AGTCTCAGAGACCCTGTCGTCATTTGCACGTCATATACGACCTCGCTTCGGCATCGATAACGGCTGAGATATAGACCCACGTTCTAGAGACGGCGGCTACCAACAGGGGTCTTCGGAGTGTGACTCGTGCGTTTGAGGATCTTGAGGAGTACGTCCGGACAGTACGTAGTCAGCAAGGCACAGCGACCCTTTGACATGCCCCTTCGGCGCAATCCAAAACACATGGACAGTGTGACGGGTGAGCTGCCTGATCAAGCATTGAAACCCGGAAACTAGTTGGAAGGCAGCCAATTGCCGAAAAATCCAGCGTGCTAGGGAGGTACTGATCGACAATTACTGTGTCACCGCCGAAAATAGACCAACGGATCTGTCGTCCCGTCGGTAGCGATACCTATACAACGGTAGTGATGCAGTTCAGAGCGCATCGCCCTTAACCATGCCTGTTGAGAGATTTGAAGATCATCAGATTCATGGGAGGGGACAATTTCTTGAGAGGAGGTCCAGATCCGTCAGCTCAACGGGCACGAACCCAGCGCAGATGACCGAGCATTGAAACAGAAGGGGCCGTTGCCGATCACCACAATCACCCAAGCATTATCCTTGCTTGAGACACTGATCGCCGGCGGCTCTCGACGGAATCGTGATTACTGCGCGCCTGGGTCAAGGCTTGCCGACACGGGCAATGATCCGCATGGGCAGAGTGGGCCAAGGTTCGGCGAAGACATCCACTTTGCAACGGACACGAGTCGTGACCGACTTCTTCTTGCTCACGGCAGATAGACATAAGGCACAACGACCTTTGCTGACTGTGTCCGGTGGTAGCTGCCGGTGACCGCCATGCACAATGTCGGCCCGCTGCTGAAGATCCTGGAGCATGTCAGCTACTGGTGAGATGCTTCACACGGACTGGTCTAGGTCGCGCTGGGTCAAGGAGCCATCCATAATTGCAGAAGTAGCGATGTTCGACGCTTTTTGAGGAACATCCGAAATCCAGCGCTGAACTAGCAGAGATGTTATAGCGGTTGGGGCCGCGTCGTCAGTGCGTCTGAGATCCAGGGACCAGCCGTCCCAATCTGGGCCCTTGCGGCCGCTGCAGGAGGCATCTATAGCCTTCCTACTATTCCCTTACACTTGCCTAGCCTCAGTCCCCTCATCTAGGCGACACGGCCGTTAGACCTACGAAGGAACTGTCCGAGGCTTTTGCTTGGCTTCCGTCGCCGAACTGGATGCGGCTTGCTAGATTCCACCAATTGAGGTGGTACACGAGCAGATACTATGCTCTGATACAATGGCAGTTGCAATTTTCAGACCTCGTGCCAATGTCCTGGCAATTCGATCCAGGAAAACCTCGCTAAATCTGTTATCATGTCATCCACACGTCCGGCATTGCGCTCTAGCCCCCTGCTCGACATCAGAAAATAAGCAGCAGCGTGTCGAGATACCCCTGTGTTTCTTATACCCCAGGTTTCATCTACACAATGCAGCAGCGCAGTCAGTCATCCCACAACCGCTCCGATGAAGGACGAACAAGCGCTGCGACGCAGACCGGGCTGTCCACCAATTTTCTGGCAAGTCTAACCTGCAGATTTAACCGAGGAGTAGCCAAGTCGAGATTTGGTTCGAAGATATCTGTCCGTCGTGCGGGACCTGCTCGCATCGAATCACTTACAACGCTCGGCAGTGCTCTCTCGAAACACTAAAATAGGTCGCCAGGCCTACGCGCCTCCTGTCGCAAGCCCATGGGCGTTTCGCGTGTCGGAAACAATGTTCTCAGACAGGTGTGAGCCAGGGCAACTAGGAAGTAGGTACAAGTAGAGAAAAAATGATGATTCCAGGTATCGGCCCAAAGCGGTCAAGTCAAGTTTGGTCCCTTTCTGGCATGCAGAATGCACTGGCGTAAAGATCTGGATTCCACGGGACACACTATCTTGAACTGTTTGGCATAGATGAGCCCTGGAAACGACAGGCATGCCAGTGGAAGATGACAGGCATAGTAGCAGCAAAGCCCCAAGAACATGCCTGACAAGCTTGTGCCCAAGCTTGTAACTTCAGACTGAAGTCTTCGATTCCTGTACGTCAATGACCTCTAGAATCCTGCCGCTTATGCACACCTGCAGCTTCTTCAGGGCATCACGGTTACCGCGATGGTATATATGTCTAGCCCATTTGAGGTACCCGCAGATAGCAAACGCCTTCTTTCCTTCGATCTGTAACAAGATCTCGTTACAGATAGGATGTCGGCAAAAGAGGCAACCTCAGCGGTCATGATGGCTTCATTGGAGTGTAGTCCTTTTGGCAAGCCCCTGAGTTGTTGTTATCTCGCTCCATGCCTCGAAACCTACCGCGTCACGACGTTTACAGGTTCCGAAAGCCTATGGCATGTGTCATGAAGAGGTTGAAACTCGAATCAACAAGGGCTGCCAAGCAAAATCCATCGACCGTTGAGCCGATGTTTCTCTTACCGCGGAGGTTTGGCCTGATGTTTCTAGCTTGGCTTGCCGCACGCTCGGGCCTGACCACCCAGTGCCTGTGCTGCCAGCCGCAGTGTTCGATATCCCCCAAGGAGAATCTCGCATGGGCATGGCTCGAAAGACCTCCCGGAGAATTTCAGCTTCTGCTCAGCCCAGCTGGGATATGGCTTTCATGACCGTTCAAGAGCATGTTCTCGGTTGACCGTTTTCCTTACTGGCTGACCAGCCCCTATCTCAACTTTCTCATTCTGTTCTGTTGTCTGTCACTCACTCTTTTCAAATGTGCCGCACGTGGCGCATTTGTCTGCTCGAACCCTATCACCTGGCGATACCACTGTGACGCGCCCGGGTCGGGCTCGCCAATGCTCCTAGCCCACGTGAAGCTCTGCGTGACAGCTCCTTGACAGGCCGGCCTAGCCGAGAGAAGCTTTTGCACCGGGGCAATGATGGGATGGCAGGTACACCGTACACAGAAATCGATGCTGCCTTGCCAGTCGTGCCTTTACCGCTACTCAACTGGACTGATGTTGCAGTCGTGCTCGCACGTCCTACAAGAACTTTGCTCGAGCTTAATAAGTTCCAATCCCAGCCGGGCCAGCGGGTAAGACGGAGACAACCAAACTCGTTGGCAGACCAGCCGCAACCTTATCGTGTATGCGACGTTGAAACGGATCACACGCGGACCTGTGCGCGCACACAAATAACCTTTGTGTTTATTACAGCACGCCACACATGGGTGCTGTCTTGCATGGCTGGGCTGGGCTCGTCTGCCTGCCTTGGTCCAAGGCCCGCTGGCATCTTCCCTGCCGGTGACCGGTATGCCATGCGTCCGCCGGCATGGAAATCCATTGCCGTGGGACGCGTCAAGGAAAGAAAGGGGATAGTCCCGTCACGCTTACTCCTTCAACCACTGGTCACCTTGCAGAAAGCCGATAACGAGTACTGTAAACGAGCCCTCGTGAGTCGTGCCCGCAGTTTCGATGGAGGCTTGCCACCCTGGGAATCCTGCTTCGTCCCACTTCCCTTGCGCCGAGCCTTGCCCCCATCAGCTGTTTCTGCTGACGACGACAGCGCCAGTGGTATTGGCGATGTTCCTTGCACAGAGGAGACTCAATGTGACCGGCTTTAAAAGTTCCCCTTCGAAAGGGCAATGCGCACCTGCCTAGTCTCTTTCGTAGACCGTGAAGATGTGTGTTCCTGCGGCTTGCCTGGCCCGTCGGAAGCCCTGCGACAGGGAGCCTGCGTCTTGGGCGTGCTGACAGGTGTCACTAGCTGACCTTGACTGGCAGCGTTGCCCTTGACAGCGTAACCTTGGGGTGTAGTTGGGCGGTGGCGGTATTTCCGAAAGCGATGAGATGCACCCCCGGAGATTGAGAAATGACGAGCTGCCATGCCATGCTATGCACGGCATCAACGTTGGGCACTCTCAATCTTATTATTGCTGCTATTGCTTTTTGTTGTGTGGCTGCTTCGAGTAGTGCCCGTCCGCAAACTTCAGCTACACGTGTGTTACCCGGTCGGGCTGGGGCGGGAATGGAACGTGCCGAAAAAAAGTTGGGGATTTTAGCAGGAGAAGCGAGGGGGGGCGTGTATGCAAATGTTGACCTGTCACTGCAGCTGTGATGGGTAGTCGACGACCATCGGCACGCTCGGATCCTGCCCCTGAAGGTGGCTTGGCGCGGAGGCAGGCAAGGCTGTGACTGTGCCTGCGCCTGGACTGCGCCGACGACAACAGACATCGCGAGGTCGTCCCCAAGTCCGAGATATCTGGACGGTGCCTCAGGAAGAGCAGCTCCCTTCAACCGAATTCACAATTGCCGTCCATGTCGGGTTTTCCGGGGACGACTCAGGTCCTGCAAGGATTACAGAGGAGAGTCCGATCATTTTCCTTAGCACCGCGGGCCAGCAAGTCCAGACTCTTTACCTGAGGCCGGCGGTCGCCGGGTCCCTGCAGAGTGGATTAGGGACGACAGCGAGCTAGAGGGCGACGAAAGGCGAAGACCACTACCAAATGGAGAAGAATGGGAAAATTCTGCAAAGGTCTGCTAAATAGTGTATTTATTCTTCTCCATGAGCCTGAATAGTTCTATCTCTCCAAAATTCAATTTGTCGAGTGAACAAGCCTTGCCGGTTTCTTGAAAGATCATCGTTGGGCCTATTTGAGTCAGTCAGTCAGTTTCCCGATTCAGTTAAAAAGGGGAGGAAAGCAACGCCTCAACAGGAGACGTTTACGGTACAAAAAGTGACAACGCTGCGAAATCCTCATTTGAAGGGCTTCGTTTAGAGAGCCAGGACTGGAGAAATCAGTCGTGATATACAGCAAGTCACTCTCTTGTACTAGAAGTGACAATCCACCGAACGGCCCATCAAAGCTACACAGCGTTATCACGATTTGTCTCAAGGCAGTCTCGCAGACTGAGACAACATCTCGCGTGGTGAAGTCACACAGATCACGTCCCACGAGATCCAAGGAGATACCCGGTGAAGCAGAGCTCTGCAGCAATTTGATCTATACGCCCAAGATCCAAGATGCCTAAACTCGACATGCACGACTTCCTGGCAGCGCTGCCCAAATGTGAGCATCACATGCACCTGGAGGGCTCGCTCAGCCCGGAGCTCCTCTTCACGCTCTCGGAGCGCAACAAGATCGCCCTGCCCCCGGCCAGCGAGGACCCAGCCTTCGCGTCGCCGGCGGCGCTGTACGAGCGCTACGCCAGGTTCTCGTCGCTGGACGACTTCCTGCACTACTACTACATCGGCTTCACGGTGCTGATCCACGAGTCCGACTTCGAGGACCTGGCGTACACCTACTTCGAGAAGGCGGCGGCCCAGGGCGTCCGCCACGCCGAGGTCTTCTTCGACCCGCAGGTGCACGTCAACAGGGGCATCGCCTACGAGACGGTCGTGGGCGGCTTCACCAAGGCGCGGAAGCGCGCCGAGGAGGCGCTCGGCATCACGAGCCTGCTGATCCCGTGCCTGCTGCGGCACCTGCCCGTGCCGGAGTCGGTGGCCTGCTTCGAGACTATGAGGGATGCAGGCCACTTCCGCGACGGCACGCTGGCGGGCATGGGGCTGTGCTCCACCGAGAAGGACAGCCCGCCTTCGATGTGGAAGGAGGCGTTTGCCCTGGCCAAGAAGGAGGGCGTCAGGCTTACCGCCCACGCGGGAGAGGAAGGGCCTGCGGCGTACATCACCGAGGCGCTGGACGAGCTGAGCGTGTCGAGGATCGACCACGGCGTGAACGCGAGGCACGACGAGGCTGTCATGCAGAGGCTGGCGAAGGAGAGGGTGATGCTGAGCGTGTGCCCGCTCTCGAACGTGGTGCTGAGGGGCGTCACCAAGGTCAGCGAGGTGCCCATCCGGACGTTCCTGGACAAGGGTGTGCCATTCAGCATTTCGAGTGACGACCCGGCGTACTTTGGAGGATATATCCTGGATAACTACTACGCTGTGCAGGAGGCTTTCAATCTCAGCGTGGACGAGTGGATTTCCATTGCGGTGAACGCGGTTGAAGGGAGCTGGTGTGGCCAGACGCGGAAGGCCGAAATCCTTTGGGAGATCGAGAAGCTTGCGGCCGAGGTCAAGGGCAAAGAACCGGCCTAGATTTTGCATATCTATTTATGAATACGTGAGACGAGAATCGCTGAAATACCAAGACCGTATGTCTGATCGAATCAAGAACACAAACAATCACCAAATATGCCTTCTAGACCTGAACACCTAACTATGCATGTTCAACATTAGGAAATAATTGGAATTTCTCGCCAAGATGGAAATGTTGACAAGGAAACGCAACGATTGTAGATGAGTTCTAACTCGCTTTGATGATCAAATCACGATACCCCGCTGGGACCATCCATTCTTTCCCTTCCAGGCCCATAGCACCAGGAGGCACGAGATCCAGACACTGATCGCCATCGCCCAGTAAGCGGTGGCATAACACTGCGTCCCATAGCAGAACAGGTCGCCAGTCCCTGCCTCTGGTGGGTTGGGGCTCTTCTCTGCGCCAGCTTGGTAGACGGCCGAGTAGATCAGGCCCCAAAGCGTGTTCCCCAGTGCTGGGAAGGTGGCCACGATACCCCAATTTGTGCCAAAATTCTCGACGCCCCAAATTATCGTTACGATGATCGGGGTAATGCTGAAGAGTGCTCCATATCCGGCTCCGACGAGGCTAGACACGAGCCAGAAGCGCTCGCCGTGGTTCTGGACCGCTCCCGAGGCCAGAAACACGAAGCCTATGGACATGAGAATGGCGAAAAAGAGTAGGAATGTGACGCGTGAAATAGAAAACTTCATTCGATGAAGTATTGTGCGAGGGGGCTGAGATGAAGGGATCTGCACGTATTGTGACACAGGAGTTGGGGCCATGAGATCCGTCAGGGCTCCGACTAGTAGACGCACTATTGTGCTTGTTGCACAAATGATCGAAACATGAGTTGCAGCTGATGTCGAAGACCCAATGTGGATGACAGTCGGCGGATAGAGAGTCTTGATGACTGTGCCCATGTTGTTGATGAAAGCCTCTCCAGGCCCGATCGTGAAGAAGAATCCGGCGGCAAGGAACCACATGGTGTGGTCGTTCAGGAAGCGTCGGGTCTCAGCATTCAGGACCCAGTTCTTCTTGAATTTTGCGTCATCCTCTAGGTCCTTGGCTGGATCCAGCAGGCGGGCATCCTCCTCGTCTTCCAATGGGTTATCTCTTTCGATCGCGCCATAACCACCAACGGATGTGCGTCCGGGCGTGAATAATGCGCTGCCATCAAGGAGACCACTCCTCTCAAGTTCTTCCACAGCCTCGTCAATAAGTTCTTGCTCATCGATGACTTTCATGGTGAACATCCCGATGGTTCCCACCACGAAGAGCAAGATTGCTAGAAAGATGAAGAAGAAGACAACGTTTACATCTCCTTTGCTGCCGTCAGGATTGCGCTCATACAACAAGCGGCTGCCAACTTGACTCTGCCACATGCCACTGAGACCAACAGCAGTGATAGGCATCGCTAGCGCTAGCCCACGATGCTTGCCCTTTCCGAAGTTCTTGGCACACGTGGTGACGGAACTAATGTAGAGAGCACAAGACCCCATGCCGATGCAGATGAAGGCAACGACCATCAGGGCGTAGGAAAGCTTCCCCGGCCTGGGTCCATCTCCTGTTTCGCCCTGTTTGTAGAGTACTGCCGCCAGGCCATAGCCAACCCCGAACAGAATGGCGGACACGCCGGCTAGCGGCGCAGGCCCAGCGCGGTCGCAGATATAACCAAAGAAAGGAACCAGAATATAGAGCGCGAAGCTGGCAACGATGGAGATACCGTTGACTTGATATTGGGTGTAGTGCAGGCGCTCCTGAAAGAGATGACCATACAGCGAGAAGGCTGTTATGGAGCCGGCGCAGAGCGCAGCCAGTATGGCACCAATGAAGGAGATGTTGCGTTTTGTGATTAGGGCAGCGCGATGCCTGCGTCTGAAGGAGGGGCTTGGTGAGTCGGAGCGGTAGGAAGAGGCAGGGCTGCTAAGGACAGAGGAGGCGTCGTCGTCGTCGCCATCGTCGTCGGTGGAGGATGCGGATGGTTGGAGAAGGGGAGTCGTGGCCTCGCTGGCCTTGCTGGATGAGGGAGGCGGCTGTTTGCTACCGCTCTTCGTGGCGCCAGCCATGGTGTGTGTTGATGGATTGCTGTGGAAGAGAAGAGGAGAGAGTCCAGGGGCTCGACATGTCGCCTTATTGTGTCATGGGCTCAACGGCCGGAGCTCGGAGTTGGGCCGATTAGATAAGGCTCTACGATACCGAGGCCCAGGTACGTGCTCAGGTCTACTGACTGCACTGTCTTATTGTCTCACTGGGCAAGGTCACCAGAGTCAACATCCAGAACATCCAATTCGACCAACTGAAGTACCCCAGTGTACTCACGACGTTGTCACTACACCTGACGTACGGCAAATATCACAAGCGGGATATTTTGTGCCTGCCGTCATCGATTGGTTTCGTTCAGGCTGCTGTTTCTGCTGTTTCTGATCAAGGTACACTTCAATGGGACAACCTCCAATCAAGTGACGTCCTGTGGGACACCCACGGCCATAATTTCTCACAGGATAACCAAAGTGCAATATCCTACCTACCTAGGCAGGTAGGTACGTGAGACGACTTGCTGTAGGGGAACTTGCGGGGATTTTTTTCTTGAAAAACCTCTGGGAGGATGATCTACTTTGGGTGACCTTTTCGAGCAAGAGCGTCCGAGCCCAACTTCTTGTTGCTGGGCGGTCTCCCAAGGGCTCCTTCTATTCCACATCTCTACCAAGGAGCGCCTACCTCGAGGTAGATCTTGTTGCTCTTCGCCCTGTGCTGCTCTGAATCGTGGACGTTCTCTCGAACCACACAGCAACGCGATCCAAGATGGCAGCTACCCTCATACGAGATTTCGACCTCGCCAACTCTGGCGCCAGGGAACAGATCATTCTTGGCATCGTTGACCGCGCTACCGAGAAAGAACTCGACATTCTCCAAGCTGCTCTTCGGCGCTCGAGACGAAGGGTCGACATCCTCTGCGGCGTCTTGAAGGGCTCCGGGGCCGAGATGCCACATGAGATTCAGCTCCAGATCATCCAATTGCTCGGCTTTACAGATATCTACTACTGCGCCAGTGTCTGCCGCAAATGGAGGCGTCTATTTCTGCATAGTGAACAGCTGACCGATGATCTACTGAAAGAGAGATTTCCGGCCCTTGATGACAAGACAACGCTGCCGGACAAGTCGAAGGCACTTTACCAAGCCATCAGGAAGCGACACTTGCGAGACACAGCGAGGTTCCGATCCAGGCAAGTAAAATACCCACTTCCCTCTTCCTAGGAATGCTTGTGTTAGTAATTCTTACGCGATTTAGATTTACTTGCGGATTGACAAAAAAGCCCAATGGTCTCTTCCCCGTGGATCGTGTAGAAGTCTTGCAGAAAGGTCGAATATTTCGGGACCTCACCTGCTCCGCATCTCTACATGGCTGGAAGCCGACTTCTACACAGTCACAGCCAGGAGCGCCTCACCTTACTGGAACAACATCCAATTTCACGAGAACATTGCCCATCCTTCCCCGCGAGACCTCAGACTGTGTTGTCAGCGAAGTCTTGTACTCTGACGGCCGCCTTGCTTGGCAAACAACGCCGGCTCCTGGCGAATGGGCACATCCCATAACCGTGCACGAATTTCGTGCACAAAGGCGGTGGGATCTCTCACTGCCTTCTATGCGGACCAAAGGAATCAATTTGAAACTTTTTGGACTTGGACGCGACCTTGTGGTTGCTAGAGTTGTTCGGGAACGAGTTTTGTACGTCCAAAACAAGTGAACAGCCTCGATTTTTGCTAACTATTGCATTAGGTACGCCTGGGACGTAAGGTCGCAAGCTGTTGACCGTGTCACTCTACAAAACGCGCCCTATAAATGTTTTACAAGATATCGTTCTGTTGTCATTGTGACTAAGAGCGGCGACTTACTGCTTTGGTCATTCGGCCACGGTTTAACCGATATTGATACGGCCATGCCGCAAAATGAAGGCTCATACGGCGGACCCGCAAAGCCCGACCAAATTCCTCGGGCGCCTCTATCGACTTTCGAAATACATGATTCCAAAGTCATGTTCCATCCCAGGGATGAAGATGTGTTCTATCTGGCAACATTTGAGGAAAGAAACATCAGCCCTGACGACTTTCTGTTGCTATGGGTGTACGAATTCAAGAGCACACGGTGCCATCGCATCTTCATCTGTCGTGTTCCACGTGTGGAGTTTTGCTGGGCAGCTTTGAGAGCTGATGCACATGGAACCTACCACCTGCTCAATCAGCAAGTAAAAACTGACAGTGGTGGCCAACTCAGCTGTATCACCTTCAATACTCTAAGCAACTCTTTCGGGCATCTATTGTTCCAAACACCATTCGATACTGATCTCGATGTCTCTTTTGTCTGGAATAATCACCTCATCTTCCGGCATTTCGCAACAGTGTTTTCGGATACGCGGCCCTGCCCCCTTGTGGCGGTAAGGCAATGTACAAATTGTCACCATTCCTCATCGCAAGGTGGACGTAGCTGCAGAACAGTAACGGAAGCAACTATTGAGAATGAAGCGCTCAGAGGCGCCACAGAAAATATGATCACGTCTGCGACATGCGCCGGAACTGTGCGTTCCCCGTTCTCGCCTGCCAAACCGCTCCAGGCTGCATTCGACACATTAGAACAAGGAACGCCGAAGAACGATATTGCTCGCATCCAGGACATCGCCCAGAGATATCCCTTGATATCAGATCTCGGTGCCGCCACCAATCTAAGCTACACACTGTCATTCTATGGCGGTCAGTGCAATTGGGAAGGACTTCACGTGAGGGATTGCCCGAGATCGTCTGACCCACCGCCCCTGGAACAACACTTGTACCCCATCAATTATTTCGATCACAACGCTTTGCAACAAAATGATAGCGGCAAGTCGATGGTCGTCTTCTGTGACGACGACTTTCTAGTTGTCGTCACTAATCCAGACTTGTATACTGTCTTCGCAGTGGATGAAGATGGCAAGATAGCGGAGGCAATGCGAGATGCTGCGATGCCAAGGGTGGAGGACGTGCCTGGTAGCTCAAAGACACCCGAGACACTGATATAAGACACTTGTCACGAAAATGGCATTAATTTCGTTGTCACTGCTTCGTTTCATTGTCATGGACAGAACTGGGAGACACCAGAAGGGCCGCAGTACACTCATACATGATTGAGACAGGCGACGCGGCCGCAATGCAAATGAGATTGGGCTCTGTAGTGGATTTGACTCTCTCAACGCTTCGCTAGTCTAGGCACTGCACTTCCTTGCTGCAAGCTCTGGCAAAATTTAGCTATACCGCACAGAGCATATCTACTACGACGCTGCTAGTCTGTGTAACTGTGACATGACCAAGGTGGCGCGGTAAGATGTTCTTTGCAATCGGACTGTAATACTCTTTCAAGGGAGCCGATAGACATGACAGTCGCGCAACCTAAGCTTCGACCTAAGTTCACAAATAAGAAGCAACCTGCGCTGATCCAAGGCACTGGAAGATATCATTGAGCGTGTCAAATATGCGCGGTTCGAGCACCGTATTAAGTGAAGAACAATATAAGATTCCATATGTGAATAGGCAACAATGGGCGGAGGAGAAACACTTGTAGGGGCAGAACATGGAGGACGCCTCAAAAAGACAGAGGAGCGGACCTGAAAAAAGCCCACAAACGGGTCTGTCTCTCACAAATTCTCGCTCAAGAAGGTTCGAAAGAATTGGAGTATGTATGTTAAGCTCCTGGTGGCTGGCCAGCTTCGGTTTGGTAGATCTGAAGAACGAGTCTCGCCTTCGGCATACGTTGGCTCATGACACCTCGTCCAACATCCAATAACCCCCTAATTCCTCAAAAGTTTTTTCGAACCCCGGAAGAATTTCATCGAGACTCCTGGGTTCAACGTCGAACATATCCGTGCACATGGCAGCATGAAATTCAGGACCATGATCTGGCTTATACGCGGCTCCGTCAAACTTGATCGCCACATCCACACTCACGGTCGGATCCTTGTCTGACAATGCGCGCTTGTAGTTGCGAAAGTAGCCCCCGATCTCCCGGTTCCACTTCATCACCTCTAGGTCAACGGTCTTGACCAGGCCCCCGTGCATGAACATGATCCGGTCGTCGTCAGGATGGTACTGCGCGAAGGAGTGCCCGCAATAGAAGCCGTCATTCACCGTGCCGACACTTGTTAGCCACCTCTTCGGCTGTCCGTACTGCGTCTTCAGGGCGTGCCAGGCAAATCTGAACATGTCCTTGTCGCCGAGGAGGAATTCGTTGTAGTAAGCACCTTGCTCGTTGTTGAGCCAGGAGGCCAGTTGGAGGTGGTACCAGAACCGTGTCTTGTCGACTAGGAGCTGTCCGCTCTCTTGCTCGTACTCGTCCAGGCGACACTGCGATATACATATTAGCCCATCTTGAGTCTAACAAAAAGTGTGAAGAGTGAATGCTTGTCCCCTTTCCTCAGTCACCGGCTTCGGATTTTCTCTTGAACCATCTGGAAGACAGCTGCCTTTGACATAGTATAAAAGGAAGTTTAGACCATGGCTCACAGGGGTGTTGAATATTGCCCAAGCTGGATTCTGAGGCCTCGTTCGGGCTATATCGGGCCAGAAGACAGTCCCAAATTCTCGATATGTCTTGGTTTCGTACAGCAGAGTTGGGTCAATGACGGGTACGTTGTCGGAGTCGATGAGTATGGGTTCGGCAAAACGGGAATTGACAAGCGCGGCCGTTTTGAGTTGGTAATTGATGTATGCGCCGTCCTTTTTGATGTGGAGAATGTTATGTGTCCCTGACAGGTCGTTGAAGCTTATCGTAGGGTAAATATTCAGCAGCCTTTTTCTATCCTGCTCAGACATCTCGTCATCCCAGTAGTGCAACTCGATAGCAATACTGGACCTCAACCTGACCAGGGAACGCAAAATGACTTCGACCCTTTTGAGCGTGTCTTGGTTACCAGCCACAACGACGAGGCCACGGCCAGCGAATTTCTTTCGGACCTCGGAGTACGGGATCATGCCGCTGTCGATGAAGGATTGCCATTCGCGCCGGCGAAATTCAATTTCAGCTTTTGGAGTGTCTTGACTAATCCATGTCTTGCCGGGACTGTCCTCATGCCATTGGAAGTTCACCTTCTCGCCGTGTTTCAGAGGGCAGGTCCGCTTAGCTTCTTGTACCGTATATCCTGGCAACTGGAGCACAGCTTTGAAGTGCGGCAGGAACGCATCTGCTGATTGTAGTTGGTGGGCATCTTGCACAATCTGGTGCTGAGGTTCTAGTTGTGTTTCTGTTGTCGGCTGCGTGAGTTCCACCTTTCCCAAGCTGTAAGGTTGATCTTCGCCCGTATAGACGCGCGAGATTAGAAAGAACGTGACGAAAACCGCGACAACGACCCAGATGAGCTTGAAGCTTTTTGGCGCAGGCATCTTGGGCAAGCATGAGACTATCAAGTCTTATATGCAAGCACCAGCCCAACCCGCTGCATGATCTCCTAGAGCTGGTTCCTCAGTTCACGTATCGGCGTTCTCGTCGCGCTGTCACGATGATATTGTGAGAGGGGCACAAGGATTTTGAGGAACGGTTCGGAGCGTGGCTACGGCACCTGTCACGCGCATGCTAGATATGGGGGAGCACAACCTGGCCTCGGCAGAGTGACTGGGGTACATAGGCGCCTAGTGCCGTGCCGTCCGCGGGCCTACCTGTGCAATGAAGCCCCGGACGGTTGCAGCACTTAGATAGTTGAATTGAGTTCATAAGGCCGCGTCGTCGAATGAGATTCCGATGCCAAGAGGCACAACTTCGGTCGAGGTATTCCAAGCCACTCGTCACATCATAAGGACCTAGTCTATAGTTCTTGCACCATGTTTCATATCCACATAAGCCACACCAGCTTGCATCTTCACATGCTACACTAGAGCCGAGCGATAACATCCTAGTGAAACTTGGATAGGACGAACCATCGTCATCTGTCAAAAGCTATAAGCTTGAAGCTACTCCTTCGCATGTAATTACCGCTCCAGACGACAGCGATCATTTTGCAAGTGACATACTTTCTTGGCACTCCTACACCTGTATTGACAATCGCAATCACTTTTGTAGATTGGCCTTCTATGGGTCGAATATAGTAGTTTGAGAATCCCGAGTGGTTTTTGCAACTTTCTTATCTTGAGCTCAAATATCAAAACCGAGATAGCTCATCTGGATATGATCCTATTGTGATTTGCAGAGGTTCCATTAGCACAAGCCATCTACTGTTGATAAGTAAACGCAGGCTCAACGCGGGAGTTTTAAAAGTGTGCCGGGTGTAATGCATGTGCCTGGTTACGAGCGTGCGCACCGTAGTCCTGGAATAGCCCATGTACATGGTTGTCATTGCAAGCCTAAACATATGATGAGTTGTGTAATTGTCGGTTCCAATGCTATCTATGGCTTGATGACAAGGACGAGGCACCTATGCAAGAGGTCGAGAGGATACCAACTCACCATGCCACCTCACAAAATCTAGAATCCTGAAATTGCTTGGACAAGTCCCACAACAACATTCCCTTGCGGGACGAAAGGCCGGTGCTCAAGCACACTGCCTCCTCGGCACATACCACTTGCCTCTTGATGCAGCATAGCATCTACAGGAATCTAGCCTCCGTATCAAGACCAGTGTCCCGTCGCAAGGAGAGCCAATGCCAGGAAGATGCACAGATCCTCCCATCATCGTACATTCAACACCATCATCCACCACCAACTACATTGACCCCTCCGTCCATTTGAATTGGAAACGACCGTGTGCTTAAAGTGGCTCCGGCTTCACGACTGGCTCTGCATTTGACGATTCGGCCTCTAGCTGCCGAGCAATGAGGTCGTCCGCCGCCTGCTCCGAGCCCACAGCTCCATCTTCGTGGTCGACATCAGACGCAGACACCGGAACGCAGAGCTCTGCAAAACGAGAGTCTGCCTCCTCTAGGATGAGCCGCATCTCACCGCGCAGCTTGCGCTCGGCCCAGGGAACCGCGGCGAGGAACTCGGCGTCTTCACCAACGAGGGTGGCAAGGTAGTCTCGCTCAAGCATGTTGAATAGCTTGCCCAAATGAGCCATCATTATTTGTTCGATAGCCGTGCACATCGCATCCACCTCTCTCTTGACAGCATCGCACGCCTGCCGGAACATGGTGTTGCGGGCGATGTCCACGTGTGCCTCCATGATAGACTTCATGCGAGCATAGGTGCCTGGGCCTATTATCAAGACATGAGTAAGCGAGATAAAGGCATTAAAGGATTTCCATGGTGAAGATGAGAAGACTTACCTCGTTCTCTCATGCAAGCATCGTAAGCGGGCTGCATGGCGCTTTGAACCACTGGAATGAACCCTCGATTTGCATCTCGTTGCTTCTCTGTAATCTCCGACCGAATAGAAGCAGGAACTGTATCCAGCATCGCCATATGAAATCTGATCTGCTGGTTCAGTGTGTGCAACCCAGCAGGTTTTGCAGCAGCACTCTTTACGCCGGCAAGACTGTCATCGTGGAACGCCTGGAAGATCTGTTTGCATGATTTGATGAAATCCTCCACCGCAGTTGGAATCCGTCGTTGGAAGGCCCTCTCCCAACTACCAGCCAAGCGCCTGCTGATAGGCTCGAACAGCTCTGCATTGAAGTCTCTCGGACCGTTGCACCCCGAGAAATCGCCATCATGACGGCAGGTGGCTTTGTATGTTGCCCATAACAAGCCACCAAGAGATTTCGCCGCACCCCATCCACTGGCAGGGAATTAATTAGTATGTGGTAGAAAGCCTATCAAGAACTGCTCAAGATAGGAACACGAAAGAGGAGAAGGTAGTAGGTGTGTTAAAGCCACGACGGGGTGATGAGATTTGCTCACCTTGCAGTTGCAACAGCACTGTCAGAAGCGGCTGGAATAAGTTGATCAAAAGTGTTGTAAAGCCGCTCTCTTAGGGTATGTCTAAGAGAAGATTGGAAGTCTTTCGCAGCCTTATGAAGGTCCTGGAATAGGATGTTATTATACGAGACAACCAAGACGTAAAAGTTCAATACCGACCTTCTGAAGGTCCACCAAGCGGGTACGCAAGAATAACTCATCAATCTCCTGGCACTTGTTGCTTACAGATAACCGGGTGCCATCATAAGCCCAGAGCTTCATGGAGTTCAAGAGTTGGTTCAACTCGTTTAGAAAAGCACGAGAAGTGTTCAGCCGAACACCCTCGGTCAGTTTCTTTGCGTGTTCCTGCAGCTGAGGGATCTCTGTGTCGTCCTGGGAAAGGAAACCGTCGATTTGGACAGCGTCGTTCTGGAGTCTTCCGGCTAGCTTTTGATACGCACGAGCTGAAACGCAAAAGACGGGCAGGCTTCGTACGATCTCATCGTAGTTTCGAGTATCTTCGTCTGGATCAAAAGCGGCGTCGTCTTCCTCAATGGTAGATTCTTGGTCGAGCCTGTGCATTTGGATCCCAGTCAGTAGTGATGGAGTATTTCGAGGGACAAAGGTGGTACTTACTCTTTGATACCCATCGCAAAGTCTTTCTTGATGGCTTCTCTCGAATACTCATTTCTACCCTTTATACAGAGCATTTTGGCCTCAGAGTGCAAAGTTTTCTTGTTGGTTCTCGCCTGAACTGCGTCCTTTTTCAACTTCGAAATCTTCTCCTGAAGACTTCTCTTGAATTTGCGCAGCTCCTTCTTCTGGGCCTTCATATTCGCTAGCTGCTCTTCGATCTCTTCCACAGTCAATGGTATTTTCTGATCGAAAGTTTGGTCACTCTCTTTGGTGTTAGCATCATCAGAATCTTCAAGATAATCAGAGTCAGACATGGAATCGACAGTGTCTTGTCTCTTGTGTCGTCGGCCCAGATCAGTCTTGCGCTTTCGCTTCTTGCTATCCTCGGAAGGTAGATAAACAGTCTCGCCCTCGGCAAGCTTGACCAGAAGGTCGTCCCAGCTGTCAAACTTCTGTTCAAGGTCATCAAGCTGGTACTCAAGGTCGTTCTTTTCGCTCTCCACGTGCTGAATTTGCGCTTCCAGGGTCTTATGAGTCTGATTTAGAGTTTCAATCTGTCTCCAGTACTCTGTGACCTCACCCTTGATATCCAAGCTAGAGCTAACCTCTGATTCCAGGATATCATCTGTTTTCGTACAGATGAAGGTAACAGCGGAGTATGTTCCATCGTATTTCAACTGCCTCTTGAAGCTTTCGCCGAGGAGATTCTTTGCAGTTTTATCGTCGACGGCACGTTGGATTGCAGCTGTAATCCAAAGACCAGTACACGTCTTCATGTAACTGTCGGCAACAGCTGCCCTTGCGGCATTGCTGTCCTGAATTCCAGGTAGGTCGACGATGACAGCGCCGGTCGAAAGGGCTGGGGCCTTGCAAAAGATTTTCACTACTTTGATGAGAGCTAATATCTGTCAGTTGGGCGAAACTTCTTTCAGAATGTGTAGGAATGAAGTAAGTACACGAGAGGGCAAGGGAGAAAGTGGGGGCCTGAAATGGGAGAGCTGCCTGGGAATGAGAATTAGCAAATTGGAAAGTTGGTACTCACGCCAGTATTCCATCTGGCGATCCTTTTTCTCCTTGCTGTCAACATAGTGCTGAAGTCCCTCGAAGAGATCGTCCGAAGTAGTAGAATTCAGTCGTTTGACAGTTCCCAGGACTGAACGGACCAAGAGCTCCTGGGATAATGCAGATGGATCACTGTTGGCGATGTCTTCCTTGGATTTGCGTGGATAGACAGCCTTGATCTTGCTGTATGCTAGGCCGGCTTCGGAGTCTGGGTTGTTGCATTCTCGAGAAACAATACCGTTGCCATCGATGAGGTCTCCCAGGAGAGCCCTGAGCTCTTGCGACCAGTCCTCTGCGCTGATAAATTCGATTTCAGCTCGGTAAAGCTTCTCTGGGTCGGTCGAGTAGTTGTAGGAAATCTCAGTGGCTGATGCAGTGCACGCTCGCATTCCGTTGGTGGGAATCAGTCTGTGAAACTGTTAACAAGTAGGTCTCGAGAGGCAAGAGTCCGAGGATGTGTTGCTGAGATGAGGGTAGGGGACCAAACAGGGCACAAGAAATATCGCATACCTCTCTTCGTCTAGGAGCGCATTTATGACACTGCTCTTCCCTGCACCAGTGTTACCACTGTCATAGTGGAATCAGCCCGATTCATTCAATGCAAGAACGTAAATCGATGCCACTTCACTCACACTACACCAACGACGGTGCGAGCAGGCTCGGCCTGTCCCTGCAGTTGCTGAATAGGTTGACGCCATTGGGCAGCCTGAGTATTGGCCGCATCCTGAGCTTTTTCTAAAGGGGACTTCAGGTCTTCGAGAAGACCGAGGCCGACCTGGACACCATCCTCAAGGTCAGGAAGGGACGCACTGGAGACAAGCTGCTCGATGTAGTTAGTGCCATCAGTGGAGGGTTTCTCAGACTTGTGCCTGGCAGGGCTGGTGCTTGTGGTATCGGAAGTAAAAACTGAATTTATGTCAGTATCGCCCTGCCCAGTGTCAGGGTCGGGCTTGATGAGGCGACGCGCCTCGTACTTGACTGGCACGTCAGCCATGGTGCTTAGTAGGGGCAACGGATGACCAGGGATGAAGGAAAACAGCCCGATGCTTCCAATACTGCAGTAAATTCGAGCTGCTTCGGTAACGAATGATGGATTGTGAGCATGAGGTGCCTTGCAAAATGCTAGATGAGTGGTGGTGGTGGTTGAGGGGAGGAGGGTGGATGTGGGTTGTGGTCGATGAAGTCAATGAGAGAGCTTGGGATACGCGTTTCGAGGTTGGCAGGCACGTCTGCTATGTTAAGGATATGCGCAAGCTCAGCGCAAGTAAGCGTGATGGGGTGTTTGTGTTATGTTTTGCTTGCAGAGATTCTTAAAGAGTGTCAGATTCGAGCGGCTTTGGGCGTATGTTTGCGGAGTGAGCTGACTGGACTGGCTGGATATCTTCCTTTTGCAGGTGTTACGAACATCCAAAGGATAGGGAGTTTGGGTTGGAAGTTTAAGGCCAGCAGACGGAAGACAAATGGCAAGACAATCAACTTTGTCGGCAGGCAGGCAGTAGTAGTGCGAGGGAAACTCCTTCACATTCAACTTCATTTGACCGCAGGAGCTCTAAAGCCACAGACCATCCCTGAAGCAAAAAATGATAGCACACGCCAGCCTGCCCGACGATCCATCATTACGAGTATGTCGGCTTGGTTTCACTTGTTTGTACCGCCCATTGAGAGCAGAAGGCTCGGATCCGACCGCTGAAGAAATACACTAAGATGCCCATTGCACCCAGCACGCCAGTGAGGAGACCATAGATCAGGTATGCCCCATCATATCCCCGCGCCTCGACGAAAGGTGTGACGCCATACGACGTCCCAAAGGAAAGTATGCCTCGCATAGCACAGATCACTACTAGCGCCGGGCCTGACCTCGTTGGATACGAGTCAAGAGAGTACACGATACCGCACTGGTTCGCACCCACAAAGGCAAAGTAGTAGGCGTTGACAGCGAATACGATGGCGAACCAGTGCAGCCGGTCCGGGTGTGCAGCCGCCTGCCCGTAGAGGATCGCAGAGAGCACGCCCACGATGATTGGGAACACGAGAGGGACGAGACGGTATTCAGGCCGATGGATCCCACCATTGCGTTTGGAGAGGTAGCGGACAAGATGATCAGAGCCTGCGCCCAGCAGCGGCAGCGCAACGAAAGACACCACGATTTGGCCCGCCATCGCGAAAGAGATGTATTTCGAAGCCCATGAGTAGGGAGGAGCCGCGAGGATGGAGCCATACGTTGTCCCAAGAGAAATATTGACTCCGATCGTCAGGCCATTGAGAAGCTAGTCGGTCAGCTGGGGCTCCAATATTGGCAGTTTGAAGTCATCGAAGCACTTACAAATGCCCAGAGGATATCCGGGAATAGCATGACGGTGAACATCCGCCGCCAAGTCCTGAGGCCTTCCTCCCAGTCTGGCTTGTTCACAAAGAGGCGCATGTCTGACGCCAGCGTCCGTGGCCTGTAGTTGACGGTATCCAGCTCCCGTGGATCCGTCGTTGAGATGCGCCGCACAAGGTAGCTTGCTGCAGCAGGACTTGCGTCGTCACTATCTGCCTGACTGCCTGTCTGGCCCGTAAAATTGCTCACGGTCGTGCCTTTCCCCTGATACGCTGCGATCGGCCGATCGTACTTGGTCTCCGGAACGAAGAAGATGCTGCCGATAAATACAACCCCAGCGAGTCCGGTGCCCAGGCCATACCAGCCGCTGACGCCGATGGATGCGGCAATATAAGATGTGAGTAGCGTCAACACGCTAGTGAGGATGTTGCTGATGGCTGTGAAGTACATCTGAGTGCGACCCCGTTCGTGGAGGAAGAAGGTCTCTTGCACCATTAAAGGGCACAATGCTTCAGATTGGCCAGCTGCCAGACCCATTATACAACGAGCCGCGAGATGCCATGTGTAGGAGCGTTGGCCTGCGCAGAGACCACCGGAGAGGACCAAAATAAGCGTGGAAATCAAGAAGACTGGACGGCGGCCGACGGCTAGGGCGAGAGGCATTCCGATTAGGTTTCCAATCCCCATGAAGAGAGTCGGAAAGGTCATGAGCCCTGATGATTGACACAGACGTTAGAACTTTCAGACATAGGCTCTCCAGATGGACACTCACAGGTTATTTCAGCCTCTGTACGTCCTTCCGCCACGTATATTGGAATGAAAATACCTAGAACTCCTCCCTATTGTCACTCATCAGCACCTTGGATTTTACACAGTAGGGCCGGAGCACTGCGGAGTCGGACTTACGAGACCGCTGACCATGGTCAGGCCAACTGTTGCGTATATAGCCACGAACGTCAAGAGGAGCTGTGTGCCCCCACGTTAGTAACCAACCCAAGCGAAATGGGCCCAGGAGCGGACCAACCCATTTTCGGAGTGCAGGCAGATTGAGAGGGTCTGGCGATCGCAGTGTAAGCAATTCGTGCTCTGATAGAGAAACCGGTACTAAGATCACAAGCCGGATTGTCCTACCTCGAGGATCTGGGCTGGGTGTCGGAATTAGGTAGACCGTATCTCCCGGGCCAGCCAGACCGACATCACCGTGGAAGTCTTTGGCCTGGTCGGCCAATACCGAGGCTTTGGTGATGTCAATATCGTACCGCGACTCGACATGCTTGTGTGCAATATGTCAGCAAAGTTCAAACCAGGAGTACCTTCTCAAATATAGAGTAGGGCTTCAGTAGAATTCAACACGTTGAAGAAGATCTTCACAGTGTTGAGATCACAGGGAAGCTGCGAGGAAAGCAAACGATAGAAAACAACAAGGGTGATGGGAATTTCATACGAGTATAGTTGATTTGTCTTCACCCATCATGACACGTCCACGAGGACTGGCCCTTCAGTAAATGTTCAGAAATATGATATAGACACGGCTGTGAGCTGCTGACAGCTTCACGGGCATGATCAAGACGCCGATACGACGTGGACTTCGTTGCTCTTATGCATTTATGTCGACTCGGTTCGTCCACATCTCTATCTCGGAAGGGGCCCAGGGGCCCTTCATTGCAACCACCGGCCGAGCACCTAGTCCTTCGATGTTGCAGCGATGAACCGGAAAGGTGTCGTCGGCTAGAAGTTGGGGCCGGCCTGACCCCTGAGGGACGAGCAATTACCAAGCCTCATCAGGGTCTGCTAGTCTTGCCCGGAACGGCTCCCATGTCTATAGCCCCCCGGTTTCAGCTGCCGCGTGTCCTTCATTCGATCAATTCATGGGGCTAAGTCCCGCCAGTCTGGGGGGCTAACTTGGCAACTGTGGGGTGGAATCTGGGGTTGGGTGGTGGGTTTTGCGGGGGAGATCCGGGGCAGAAACCGAACCGAAGCCACTCAGTGCCCAGTTCGGAGACGACCTGACTTATACGAACTAAAGGCAACGAACCGAAGGAAAACGAAAGCGACACCACATCTTCCAAGTCATAAGGATGGGGGACAAGGTGCTGCCGAAGCACTTTCCAGTTGAAGACCGAAGCCAATTTTGGCTCTACAGAGCTCCTCGGGTCCAGAATAATAATACTGATCAGCTTGGCGAACCCTGCCCGAATGCCAGTTCACTGCTGGCGAAGGTGAAGATGAGGTGAAGAACAAGATTACCGTGACACTTGTAGCTTATTCAAATGAGGTCCAAATAAAAACATTCCTGTCGGAGCTATTCTACAAGTAAATAGTGATGCAAGGTCTTCAAGCCTTGATGTACGGAATTCCAGTGAGCTTGAAGGCTCTCTCACTCAGCACAGGCTCGTGAAGTGGCCTTTCCCTCTGCACACCGTCAGGCTTCCCATTTCGCATCGCCTTATTCGTTCCCAAGACTTGAGCATTTGGCCAGTGCGTCGTCCCGACCTTCCTGTCCCAAGCATCCTTCTTCCTGATCAGGTCGTCCTGACTTGCGTCTGCCACGGGCATGTAGCAGGTATAAATAGCGAGCCTGTCCTGATTTCCTGAAGCTGGGACGTTGTAGTGTGGAGCACGGGAGTCCCCTTCGCATAACTCTCGTTAGTATTGATTGAATCTCGAGAACGTAAAGGTTGGTCGGTCAGGATGCAAGTCACTTACAAAGAAGCAAGTCGCCAGGTCCGGCCTCCACCTTGACCCATTCGCAGCCACGGTCCTTCAGCCACTGCATCCCCTCGTCCTTGAATCCATACCATTCGTTCGTCCATTGCGGGATGCGCTCCTCGTTACCACGGAAACGGTCATGATATTCCTCGCTAAGCAAATGAGCACCCTTGCAAACAATCAGGCCTCCGTCATTGGGCCCATTTGGCAGCAGGTTGACCAGTCCTTGGAGACATCTGAACCCAGGAATCTCCGGGTCCTGATCTTGGTGAGGCCAGGGCTTGTTTGCTGGCAGGTTCTCGCGATTGTGAAAACCATAGTTGATTGTGTCAAAAGAGACGAGCAAGTCTTGGGTTCCATAAACCTTCTCGAATGTGCTGACCACTCCCTCCTCACTCCTGATATCCCAAACAAAGCCCTCGTGGCAAGCGCCATACGGGAGAAGCATTCCTTTCTCGTTAATGACGGGTAGTTTGTCCGGGTGCACGGTGGATGGATCGTTGCGGTCATATCCTAGCCCGAACGACTCAATTAGGGAGTACATCTTGTCGGCGTACTCCAAGGCTCGCGACTCCGGCACGGCACCTTTGACAACTGCATAGCCATCCCGCACGAGGTCATCGCGCCAGTCACCGAAGACAGGATCGGTGCCGTCAACCTTCATGCGGTACCCACTTTGCTGCACGCTGCCGGTCTTGAGAGCATCGCTACCAGTGGGCTGGTCCCGAGTAGTGGACTCAGTAACAGTTGTGGAGTTGATGACCATTGTGTCTGGTAACAATTGAGGTGGTTGAACAGTGTTTCGGAATTCTGTATCCTCACAAGATGCCAAAGAGGTTGAATGTTCTTGCTTGCATTAATTACGCTGAACACGGCATGGGGTAGTAAGCCACAATTTTAATGACATCTTGGATGGCAAAATAACTTATCAGCCCGAGGTCTACTTTTCGTACTCCCAGCAGTGAAACTGCACTGCATCATCGCACCATGGTCGTGCGGGCTTGCTTGAAGTGGTTCGGCTCGGTTCGGTTCGGAGCGCTTGAGGATCCTCGGAGCGTTCAGGGGTAAGATTCGGTAACCCGGTCGAGCGTCTAGGCCGCCATTTCCTCGGCGGAATTTGGCCCGGCGTGGACGGGGAGAAACCATGTGCGTAGTCTGGAAAAAGAATAGATCAGTGCAAAAGATGTCGCTAATGTCCAAGGACCCAAGCCTGCGAAGAAATTGTTGATCACATGCATGTCTCGTGATACTTGCTCAGCCTATCCCAAGACCGTCGATCATAATTGCACACTGCCATGGCTTCCACAAAATCCGACGATGATTTTCGTATCATTATTGTTGGTGGCGGCATAGCAGGACTTGCTACTGTGAGTGAGATTGAGTGACAATTCCCACAATTCAAAGCTCTAAAGTATGCGACAGGCTATTGCACTACGTGCTCCCAGGCGCCAGATCACAGTTTTGGAACGCTCTCGCATGCTTCGAGAGACAGGTGCATTGATCTCGCTCCAGCCGAACGCGTCAAAAATTGTAACGAAATGGGGACTTGATCCGATTCTACAACGGGTAGCAGAACCCCAAGCGGACAGGGCTTTTCGCATGTTCAATACGGAAGGCACGCTGGTCCGGGAGATCCCTTTGAGCAGAAGCATGTTTGGCGCTGATCGGATGATGTACCACCGGCAAGATCTGCACGCAGCGTTAAGAGAGGCGGCGACGACGACAAAAGATGGTATGGAGGGCAAGCCAGAGGCCGTGATTAGAACCGCGGCAGAAGTCGTGGATTGTGATCCGGCCGAGGGATCAGTGTCTCTGAAAGATGGTGAAGTGCTCAGGGCCGACCTCATTATTGGAGCCGATGGAATCAAGTCTGTAATCAGGGACGTCGTTGTTGGTGAGAACAGGACGGCTCAGCCTACTGGGCTCTCGGCGTATCGAATGCTCATACCAGCCGCTAAACTCCCTTCTGGACAGATACCGGAGGGAATCCTACGAATGCAAGATCCAGCTGCAACAACAATGATCGTTGGGAAAGATAAGCGAGTCATCATGGGGCCCGGGAGAGCTGGGAACCTGCTCGGTATCGTGGCCTTGGTCCCAGATGCAACCGCTGAAGACCCGTCAGACGATTCGTGGACGCGACCAGGCTCCAAGCAAGAGCTTTTGGCTGCGTTCGCTGATTTTCCGCCATGGCTTCGTGCCATATTCGGCCAAGCAGGGGATGATGAGATCGGTCTATGGCAGCTCCGCGACGTTGACCCTTTGCCGCGGTGGACCAAAGGCCGGGTGGTAGTCATCGGTGATGCAGCACACGCGATGCTTCCCACTCAGGGCCAGGGTGCTAGCCAGGCAATCGAAGACGCAGAGGCCCTCCAAGCCTTCTTCTCTATTCTCGAAGAGGGACCACTGTCCAAGGATCAGGTTGAAGAGACTTTGGGAAAGGTGTTCAAGGCGAGGTATGACAGGGCAAGTTTGATTCAGGCTTATAGTAGGGAGCAGGCCAAGCCGGGAACGGCGGGAAAAGCAGTAACGCTGGATCCGGGAGAGTTTATGAGGTTCAACTGCGAATACAAAGGAGCGATTGATTGGTTGAAGAAACAGTCGGCGGCAACTCAAGGGGCATCAGATTCAAAGGAGCCGAATTTGGTGGGCGAAATGGACAAGCTTCATCTTGTTGACCCATGTTAGGTAGTACAGTCTGTTGTAAGGAGTTGAGACCGTAGATTTCGCAGAGTGAATTGGCTAATAGAATGCCTTGTCAATTAACTGTTGATTTGCACTATTCTATGGAGTTGTTGAATTCGAGCGGTTGACCCATTAGAAAATCAGAGCTCATTGACGTCCACAGCTGTTCCAATGTGATACCTTCATAAGGTTCGAAGAATGTGGGACCCTCTCTTGAATCCATCAGTGGTTCAATACCCGACATGTGAATGTCCATTCCCCCGGAGTTGGGGCCTTCTTCGTTCGACTGAATGTTTGTAGCGAGCACAGAAGGTCTAGCCTGGTCAGCAGCTTGACTTTCCCTTCTCATTTGGATTGGACTTTGGCCCTCCATGGCAACTGCCTCCAAGATACTGGTCCTTAATCTCTCGCAAATTTTCACGAATTCCGTTGACTGTCCCATCTTTCGGTAATACGTCTCGATATATTCAGTCGTGCCAACGATTAACTCCACGTCGCTCCTAATCATCCTTTTCCCTGGGTTCTTGAGCACGTTCAACCCCAAGACGACCGCAGCAAGGAATGGCTGCGTTGGCGCAAAGAGATGTTTTGAGGAGACCACGTGGTCTGCTATTTCGAGCACTTGACGGGCCATAGACCTTGCAGCCGCGATGCTTAGATTCTGGCTCTGCAATAGCCTGAGATATGAAGGAAGCCGTCTGATCGCGTTACTTGCCCTAGTTTCCTCCAGATACTTTTGTGTTGGAAAAGCCAGAGAGGCCCTGAAGAGAGTAATTTGTGCTTGGTAGTACTGCAAAGACAGGAATGCGGCGATATGCTGATGTTGGTGGCCGGACTCGGTGTCCTCCGCGTCCGGTGCCAGGTGAACCAGTTCGTGACCTGGTTTGATACCCTCCGGTACTGTTTTGACCCACTCGAGGAGAAGTTGATCAAGTCGCCCAGTCTCGTAGAGGAGCTGCCAGGAGTCTGCGATGCGTTTGCGATAAAGGTGCTCGCTTATTTGGCCCATAATCATTGCTAGAGATACCCAAAGAACGAAGAGATGCAGAGGCCCCTTGAGGCAGTCTGCTTCCACGTGTTGGGGATGTGAGAGATCTATCTGATCAATCTCCTGTTCGGTCAGAGCTGATGGTCGCCCCGTCTCCAGCTCCATCAGCCTCTCAATGGCGTAACACGACCACCAAACTCGCGCTTCCAAGGACAGATGCTCCGAGTTTAGTTGGCCTGAGGTAAATGTTTCTGAATTACCTTTGTTGAGTGGTCTCGAACGTGATGAGATGTGCCGATGCAGTCCTATAGAGTGTGCTATTCGGACTGCTTGACCGGTGAGCTGCCAGCACTGGCCGTCCTTGGACTTGCCACGAAGGGCGAATCCGAGTAGGATCAAAGCTTGAACACTTGACAGGTACGGATTAGCAACTAGATGTCCATACAGACTGTAGGCAGCCTGAATGTAAGAACTGCCAAAATCAGTGGCAGAACCGGAGGCTTCGTCAGCGCCAATTGCTAGTATTGCGAAAATAGAGACAATTGAGGGCACATCCTGTCGGTGTCAAAGTCAGCCTCTCAAGGAAGTCACGATTACTATGCGTCAAACCTCTCACCCACCTGTTTACTCATGACTTGTCCGAGGCCCCCCGGATGCGAGAGCTGCTTGCGATGAAGTCGGTCGAATTCCGCAGAGATAAATTCGCGGTCAATGACGGGTATCAAAGGCCAGATGTTCACAAAAAAAGTTTCGATGTAGCTGTGAGCAGGGAAATCCGGTAAATTAGGCATGGAAACTCTTAAGGGGAGGTCGAACTCTTCAACAAATCGCATTCCTTCTCTGAAACATGGTGTTATAGTCTGGAGGTTTCTCCTCCGCAGGTGCATATCCAAAAAGGCTGTTAGGCATTGCAAGCTGCTTCCGCCAAGGTACTAAATCATCTATCAGAACTTTGTCATGGTTGTAGCCCTGAGACCCGGGGATAATTTCGGAGATGAACGAAAAGTCTATGGACAGTGGCGATAAAAATGAACGAAAGGGCCAGAACTGTCCACACTCACCTTTACTTTTCCGGGATTGTCATCAGTGTTAATGATAACATCAGGGTGGTGACCACTTCCTGTATGATCGGAGTCGTCTCCTTGTCCCTGGGCAGAAGCTTTGTACGCCTTCGAGACCCATGATTGCGTCCTTAGATCGGATGGCCGAGATATGTTTGTGTCCCCTGGTAGATTTACACCAGACCCACTGTGACCGTTAGATGGCGTACTGCTGGGACCAAAGTTGGGTGTTGAGCGCCAGTCATTTGGTGATCTGCTAGTTGTCTCATGCTCTGTGCTGAGTGCCGTGGTGCTGACATGCTGGGATGAGTCGAGAAGGCCTTGAGTATCTGATGGAAAAGTGTAAGCATGAATTTGGAGCCTTGGTCTACTCAAATGTGCTGAAGTCGACTTTCAGAGTACAATCTTCGGACATTTCCATATAGTCACACCTGGACGAGGGCTTCCATTTCACTTTTCTAGCCTCCGTCCACGACAGAATCTTCTCAAATCTTATGGCTGACTTACTTGGACGATCTTGTGGCGATGCACTGATGTGCTTGGGAACATAAGCCTGGTTACGGTGGGTCGCAGCTGGATTCTGCCCCGGGAGAAGACCATCTTTCGTGGCCCATTTACGCACGACAACGGGTCCTGCCTCCGGGTGGCGTGGGTCCGTAGTCTCGCAGTCCTCGTCTCGGAGCCAGCAATTTCGACACTGAAAGGCTTCATATTAGTGAGGGGTCTCTCTGCGAAAGAGGAGAAAGATCTGTCCGGTCCTGGCTCCAGGACTCTAGACACATAGAATTCTGTGGGAGGGACTTCCAGCAAGGCACTGTAACCCATCGAGGCAAGATAACAAAGGCAATGTCCTCTCTCTTAGAGACTTGACTTACCTTGGGAGTCTCCGCGTCACACCGAACTTTCCGTTTCCGACACTGATTGCAGGCGAGATTTAGACGTATCCTTTTCGGTGCACGCTCGGCTTTGTCACCATTGCTGTCTGCAGCGATTATGGATTCCTGACCAGGAGAATCATTGGTTACGTCGTCCAGCGACATTTCGGCTCCGGCTCCGGCCCCGAAAGCAGGATGAGTCGAGTCCCGTCTTACACCCGTTGGTGGTGCCATGTCTTGCTGGCCTGGGCTGATGTCGACTGATGCCCTCGGTTCGTTGAGAGACTCGGACGGCTTGCACCGACCCGGGGGCTCGGCTCGATTTCTATAGCTCGGGCTGCGCGAGGTTTGTGCGGGGGCGTTCCCCCAGAATCCGGAATCTGGGGAGGTGGAGCCGCTACCTAGGCATTGAGCAGGGGGCCAGGATTAGGGGATCCGAAATTGCTCCTCGGGGACAGGAAAGTATCATGAGCAGGTATCCCTGACTAATACACCGCGCCTCAGAGGTTGAACCAGAGTCAAGGCATTGATTGTTCGGCAATGCATGCAAGTGGAGTAATTGTGCAACCACTGACCTCCAGAAATACGAAATGTACAGAACATCATGCAAGGTCTGCATTCCAAGCATTTGACCGAAGTGTCGAGCTTGGCAAATTGAACGTTGAGCAATAGAGTGACTTTGTACATGACTTTGTTCCTATTCCATGTTTGCCAGGATTTAGAGTCTCAAATTGCACACGTTGCTAGCCGCGAAGTTTCTGGGACAGCACTGGCACATTCTTGATTCTCACTGACTTGTTGACATTGGCTATCAATGGCGAGCCTTAGAGCTGAGGTGTAGAGAACTCCCCTGGTTCGGCCAGGAATGAGAGTTTGAAGTTCTGAGGCGTTGAGTTCGAAGATCTTTAGTAATTTACACTAACGTTCATAAATACAGTCAAAGGCGGGAAAACATGATGAAGATGTCAATGTATATATATAGGAATTTATTTCATGACTGTACTGCTTTTTTGAGCATTCGAGCTTTAGTAAGCCTTTACACCAGCAAGTCGAAGCACCGTGTCCGTGAGCTCAGGCTTCTCGAACGGCTCGGTCCTGTACTTTGGGCAGACCTCCCCATTTCGCATGGGCTTATTCTCAGCTGGCCTAATGTTGCAATGCGGCCAGTGAGTCGTGCCTGTATAATTCTTGAAGCATTGCTTCTTCGCCTCCAAAGCCTCCTCGGTGGCAAATCTGCGTGGAGTCATACAGATATATTGAACATGACGAATCTGCTCGCCCTCGGGCAGGCGGGCGTAGTGCATGGTCCGACTGTCCCAGAGAACAAAGTCACCCGGCTCCATATTCACCTTGATGAGCTCGCATCCGCGCCCCTCGAACCACTTGACATCCTTCTCCGAGAAGAGATACAGATCCATGAACTTAATCTCTGGTGGAGGGGCATCCTCGTGGTCGTTGGATTCACGTTTGTGCGCAAAGAACTCGTTGAAGAGGTGTGCCGAGCCTTTCATCAACATGAGACCTCCGTCTTTGGGACCATTGGGAGCATAGTTGAGAAGCCCCTGAACTGCTTGCATGCTGTTATCGACACTTTTAGCAGCGATGTAGAACCAGGGTAGGAAAGTTGACTTACCCCTTACGCTCGGGATTCTGGTCACAATGTGGCCATGGTGACCACCTCACGTCTTTTCGGTTTGGCATTGAAATATTCATGCCATCAAATGAGGAAATGAGCTCCCGTGTCTCCCCTAGAAAACCTTTAGCAATCTGTAGTAGAGTGATGCGATGACTGCTGGAAAGTCTAACCCTGGAAAGAACAGGATACCGTGACAGATAGAGGTCATAATTACATACAAAGCTTTTGGAAGATGTCAATGACGCCTGGCTCAGTGCGAGCTTCCCATGCCATCTTCTCATGAGGACTGCCGTAGGCAAAGTACATGCCACCTTTGAAGCTCACGGGCAGATGGTCCTCTGTCCATGTCTCAGGGTCATTCTCGTCGAAGCCGAGCTCAAAGTTCTTCAGCCACTGGACCTGCTTGTCGGCATAATACTTGGCCCGTTCTGGAGAGATAACGCCTTTGATAAGTACACAACCATGCTTGTGGAACTCGTCACGCCAATCGCCGTAGACTCTGCTCGGATCAAAGTCTACGAGGTCTTTTGTTTCGAATTGAGCGGCGAAGGTGGGATGGGCCTCAGCATCCTGTGTCTTAGTGGTTGTTGCTGTGGTAGACATGTTTAAGTAGGTACAAGTTGTCAGAATGTGGAGAATCTTGGACTCTATGGATCGGATATGGACAGCGAACTCAGAGTGAATGTCTTTAAGTCACAGGAGATGTATTTATTTTTAAGTTGGTCCCGCCCAATACTTGAATGGCAAGGGGCGGGTCCTCTGACAGATTTGCTATTCCGAGGGAGATCGTTAGCGTTCCGAGGAGGATGTAGCGTGTCCCCCACAACGCCGTTGCGGGGAAAACGGGGGGCCACTCCTTAGATGGGGATACCCTGAAAGACGCGGTCACAAATGAGATGGGGCCTAAAGCGTGGGCAGCTACCACTACATGGAAAGCTTCCACTTTACCGGCGTTATAAAGTCTCGTCGTGATCCTCGGCGCATCTAGAGCCCGAAGTCGACCTCGGAAGTCAACAGAGGAGACTCTCTTGGGCAGTGTTAAAATTCGACTTTGGCCCAGGCTCTTATTGGTGTGGTGCATGCACTCACCACTTAATCTTCTCCAGTACAACCGAGCGTATATACGTTGTGGTTGTAACTGATGCGAGTGCTAGCACAGACGAGCTTCTTCATTGGATTCAATAACCGCACTAGACATCTCGAGCATCATGGCACCAATCCCTCTTCAAGTGTCCATTAAGAGACTCTCTCAGCCCAAAGAGGGAGAGAATGGCTACGAGGGTTTCAAGCCCGGCACACATACAGTGCACCCTGCTGGCAGCCGCCCATTCAGTCAGATCGATACCAAACCCCTTCCAATTGATATCCGAGTTGACCACGATGTGTCCGTGACCGCACGAGATGGAGTGCGTATCTTCATGGACATTTATCGACCTGCATCTCAAGCAAGTCTCGACGTCTCAAAGCCAGAAAACAAAATCCCGGCCATTCTCTCCTGGTCTCCTTACGGCAAGAAATATTCGGCGCTCGATATGTTGCCGATGACTGTATGGCACACATGTGTCAAGCGTGGCGAACTTTCCGGCCTCGAGAAATTCGAGGGCCTCGATCCAGCCGTCTGGTGTCCGCACGGTTATGCACTGATCAGCGTGGATACGCGCGGCGCGGGCAACAGCGATGGATCCATGGTTATCATGGGCACTCAGGAAGGGGAGGATGGTTACGACGTCATCGAGGCAGTGGCCAAGATGCCATGGTGCAACGGGAACGTCGGTATGGCTGGAAATAGCTACCTCGCTATTTCTCAGTGGTTTATCGCAAGCACCCGGCCACCAAGTTTGAAGGCCATCGCACCGTGGGAGGGTGCAAGCGACCTATACCGCGAGCAATTTTGTCGCGGTGGCTGGTTCTCCATGTCCAATTTTGACCTCATCACCAAAGAGATTCTCAGGGGTCCGCCAAACTCAGGTGTCGAAGACTTTGCGGAAATGTACCGAAGATCGCCCACTATCAATGCATTTTGGAATGATAAGCGAGTGGACTTATCCAAGATCGAGTGTCCGGCTTACATCCGTGGAAGTGATGTGTCGAATTTGCACAACATGGGAAGCATACGTGCGTGGATGGAGATCCCACATTCTAAGAAGTGGATTCGGTGGGGCTCCTACCAAGAATGGTTCGAACTTTATTCCTGTCCAGAAGCTCATGAGGAGCTCTTCAAATTCATGGACCGTTACCTCAAAGATCAGGACAATGCATGGGAACAAGATACACCCAAGGTTCGATGGGCAGCCTTACAGTTCGGTGACCGCGAGGCAGTACATGACATCGTGCTGGAGAACTTCCCAGTTCCGAAGACAGAGTATCTCGACTTTTTCGCTGCAGCAGGCGGGAGGCTGGCGGAAAAGCCGCCGAACGAGGTCTCGACGGTAACCTACAACTCAGAAGATAGACACTCTTGGGTCGAATTCACTCACACTTTTCTTTCGGCTTCACGTCTTATTGGACTTCCCAAAACGGTTCTGTACGTTTCGTCAGCGGACACAGATGACTTCACCGTTTTTGTGATCCTCAGGAAAAAGGACAAGGACGGCAAAAATCTCATGCACCTGAACTTCCCTGTCCACGCGACGCCGGTGGGTAGCATAAAGGAAATCCCAGAAAAGCAACAGCAGAGTGTGAATTGTAAGTCAAGATTTGAATTCGCGTTGTCTCAGCACGTCTAATACCTGTTTCAGTGCATCTAGGGCAGATGGGTATCCTGCGTGCATCACAGAGGCACATTGATACCAGCAAGAGCGTCCATCCGAACTTCCCTTTCCATCCACACGATCGACAAGAGCGTGTACCAAAGGGCACTGTTGTGAAGCTTGAGATTGGAATATGGGCTTTGGGCGTGGACTTCGATGCCGGCGAGAGCATTTCCCTACGTATTGGTGGTCAGTATCACAGTATTGCAGAGTACGCAAACTGGTCTGCGCCGAGGCCCGAGCATGAACTCAACCGCGGTCAACACACTGTCTATTTTGGGGGCCAGTATCCTTCTCAACTGGTCCTGCCTTATGTCGGTAAACCCGAGAAATCAGCATGAAATGGGTTCAGACGGTTTCGCCTCTAGATGTTGGACTTCGTGTACGCGATGACGGATAGGCCTCTTGTGTCGTAGGCGAGCTATATCAGTCGTGGAAGTGCATTAGTGACTGTCTGTTGCCAATTGGTCAGGTGGGGATTGTATCCACATGTTGGCCAGATATTCCTCAGATTGACTGTGAGTGGGAAGCTTTAACCGACCACGGGCTATGGTAGCTTTTTTGTCCTTAAATACCTGAATCCAGTGTCCAGTCCAACCTTACTTATCCATGAAACCCGAGAGGAATTAATTAGTGTCATATACCTAGGCATCTGCTCAACACGTGGTGATCTGAGTGCGACTGCGGGATTGGCCACGAACGGGTCGCAATCAATGCTTCATTGACATGCAAGTCGCGAGTCCGTGTAATTACACAGCAGATAAATGACGCAAGTGCAAAGCAGCTTGGAGACACGGCCAGAGTGACTTCGAACCAGATTTCCGGGAAGAGGCGCTTGAGGAGTTCGCACTAGCGCTTCGCAATGTCACATTCACCAGAGGCATTGTAGATCGGAAAATGCCGTGCAACTGGGTAGTACTGGCAAGACGCCACCAACATCTAGAGTCCGATGTCTTCATGAAAGTCTTCTTCCGATCTCTAATCCAGCACTTCTGCAGAGGCATCGTGACAACAAGACGACAAAAATGCCGACTCAGGTCTGATCGCGGCGCCTTCGCTGCTCGGTTATGCAGAGTCCCCGCACGAGGTGGTCCAGCACTCTCCCCAGTCGTGGTCGGGGGCACATGTCCTGTCGATCTTGGGAACTGGACCAGGATCACACGAGTGAGTGGATCTGCGGATCGAGGCATCTACTTAGCGCCCGCTGCCTCCGAATGCCGAGCGCTTGTGCATCAGATCGTTTCGGAGGCGAGTAAATCCAGGTGGATCACCAACACTGAACGGAACTTAAACACTGGTTGCTGTAACGATCAGAAGCAGAGCAGACTTATCGTAATTATGATTCACGATCTAAATGCTTGACCACCTGGTCCACGAGGTAGCTATGACCTAGGCGGGCTAAGACTCAGAAAAGACACGCCGTGGGTTCTGTGGCTCGGAACTTAGGACCAAGCCTCATGCCCAGTGGCTCGCATATTTTCAAATCCAAGGTCGGTTCAAAATACTTCGGGGGGACTAGATGTCGATTCAAGGCTAGGACTTCGGCGAGCATACTGCATGTAGACAAAGAAAGGCACGGGGAACTCGACTGCAAGCATCCGCCTCGTCAGTGCGCAGTCTTCACGTTGCAGCAATCTGCCTGAAGATCTTCGCGCTCGGACGTGCGAACCGTTCCACTGACAATCAGGGCCGGGACCAGTGGTTCGTCCCAAGCCCGATGTCACCCACGCCCCTTTAATCAATTTGGGATGTTCTGACAAGACAATGCTCGAGATTTTAGTTTACTTTGCTCTTGTACAGATTTCCAGATTAACAATCAGAGGGAGCCGGCGAAGAGGCCCGAGCGATGGGTGGCATCGTGTATGGGGCGGGGATCGACACTATTAACGCTCGGCGTTGCATTTCATCTGCTCGAGCCCGTCCCAGTATTGCTTATAGGTCGAGTGGAAGCCACAGAAACTCATCACGGTTGCGTTGACTTGTTGAGAGCTGCAATGCCTGTCGTTGTCATCACACTCTACCCTTTCCTTTCCTGTCTGTCATTGTTTGCGCAATGCTGAACCTGACAGCTGTGCCAGCATGTGGTGTGAGTCTATCCCAAGCCGCCGGGTCTGAATGCTTTGAAGTAAATATCTAACTTACCCAGGCCTCCTGCTTAGTCGCTGAAGTTTCTCAATCATCTTGTCCACTAACCAACCAGTCGTGTCTATGCACCGACAAAGTGTACAACGACCTTGTCCAAACTTGTGTGCTTGGGAATTGCACTGTAAAAGACCAGCTTTGTGAGACTTTCATGGTCAGTTTAAAAAGAAACAAGGTGGACTGACGAGAAAATGACTCATAGTGACACTACGGGCTGCTTCTCTGGGCTGTGGCGTCCCCATAACGGATACCTCGGGGAATTTGAAGCTGCTTCATGCTTTGCTGTTCGTCGCACACTCTATATTTTTCTTCCTGAGAATATCCACTAGAGCTTTACGCCTTGTACCATGGGGCTTGGACGATACGACGATTGTCATTGCTTGGGTATGTAATGTCATCAACTCTGGCTGGTTCAGGAACGCTGTCAGGATGTTTCAATGAACCACATTTGGTTGATCGGTCATCATTTTATTTCTCAATCTCGGCTGAAATTTTCAAGAGTTCTGACAAACATATAAATCTTTACAGATCCTTGCCATACTTTTTTTCGCCTCCGGAATCGCAGAAGCTGAGCTAGAAGTTGGAAAGCCATACTGGGCCCTGGAATTCTGGCAGATAGACGGAAGCTTCATCGTTTTCTTCGCATTTGAAGCGGTTTACAACCTCGCCATTGGGATGATCAGGATTTCGATCTGCTTCTTTTATATGCGCATATTCCTGAGCCCCGGCTTCCAACGGGTAATGTGGGCTACGCAAATCTTCAACGTGCTAACAGTGCTCGTTTTCTTCCTGGTTGGCTGGGCCCAATGCCGACCTCTGACATTTTTCTGGCAAGGCTGGGATGGAGAGCACGAAGGGTCCTGCTTCGACATCAACGCCTTCGCCTATGCTCACGCCGGGGTGAATATTGCTATCGACTTATGGATGCTCATCCTGCCGGGAACCCAAGTCTGGAGGTTGAACATGTCTATCAAGAGGAAATTGGGAGTCACTTTGATGTTCGCTTGTGGCATCCTGTGAGAGAAGCCCTCGAGTTGCGAAACGAGTCCGTCGTTACTAACTAAACGCGTAGATTGACTGCCATCAGTATTACTCGCTTCACATTTTTAATTGGCTTCTTCGGGAACTGGGCAAAGTCAATTAACGCGAAAGGACTTTACAACGCAGCTGTATGGACTGCGGTTGAATTGACAGTTGGGTTAATCGTTGCCTGTCTACCGGCATCACGAATCCTCGTCGCGAGGTACGCCTCGAAAATCATGGTATCAACGGGCTTGTCCAAGTCTAGCAAGAGTCAGCCGCCTTCCTCCGCCGAAAACAGTAACCGCCGTAGTAAGACAGGCTCAGGCAGAGCCGGTGGGATGCTCACGTCGAAATTCTGGCTACCAATATCCTCGATAGCAGGAAGTACTACAATCACCGCGAATGACACTCGGTTAGAGAATACAAGACATCTCGATGACGCTGATGGAGAATCCAACATGGAGCTGGTCAGCGTCAGGTCGCACGCGGCTTATGACAACGAAGTGGCAGCAGACATGTCCAGGCGACCAAGTCAGTTGGGCGAGAAGCAAGGACCAAGTGAAAATGTTTAAAACGATAGAAACAATAGATTTTTATCTACGTTACCAATGACGCAAAACCTACATTTGAGGTGATGAAAGCCTTTGTTGAGCCGGCTCACATTTGATTGCGGCTCTGAAATATTCAACTTTAAACCTCTTGTGCACTTGCATACCTTGTACAGCTTCATGGCAGCTACAATTGGTTGAGATAGAGTCAATCCTGGGTGCACATTGGTATGCGTTGTCTACAGTCTAAACAGTAGCTATTAGATGGGTTTATGGGAAGAGCGCCCTGAAATCAGGTGTAGTATTCGAACAATATAACGAAAAGGCCCATAATTGGATTTCTTGCGCTTCTATATAGCTGAGTAAAATCTGTGTTTCATGGCCAACCATGCTGATTTAGGGAACACTGTAAACCGTTCGACCTTGCCAACACAGGGAGGTCCATGTGATGATAGCCAGAATCCTCCATAACCTTTCCAAGGAAGCCTACTAAATCCGTAACAAGTGCTTATTCCCAGCAATCCAAACTTGCTTGTCTCATTCAGAGGCGGCAGTGTCTCTCGAGGTCAGGACCAAGCCATCTGAGCCTGGTTTTTAATCTAGGACTTTTGCATAAATTTTAGTGGCCCTGTCTATTGCGTTTTTCTCCGTGGGAATTCATCCACACCCGGCAGTTCGCGATAGTGAAAGGCACGCGTATAGTTGTGAGGTCGTCTTCGAACTTCAACATACCATGATGAGCGACATTCATCGCTCTGTGGATCAGGACGGCCCAGCCTCCTCCCATACCTCGATCCTAGGCCTGCCTAGATCCATTCGATGGACAGACCAAGTCGGAAGCGCAGGCTCTTCTCAGCCAGAATATACCGAGTATCTTCGACGGCCACCTGGATCTAGCGGTTTTTGAGCAGTGCGCTGTCGATGAATTGTACTGCGCATTTCTTTGATGTGAACGGGTTGATGTACCCTGGTGCTGCAAAAGCTGCTCTACCATCGTGAATGCTCCTAGTGATATGGTACCGGGTCTAAATCGTTCTTCTCATGCATTTAGCTCACTGTTAGCTTTCTCTGGTCGAGTTTCGTGCACTTCAGGTTCTTGTGCTGTGCCATCGTCTCTGGGGTCTTGATAATGTCTAAAGCAAAACTTGATATGTGGTTCTTATCCTTCTCATTCTTGGAACAATGGTAACGGAACATTTGCTGGTATGAAAGGAGTTCGGATTGATTTCACTTGAATCTGGTCTTGATAGAGGTTGAAGCTGCTTGTTTTTTGTAGAGGGGTGCGAAGGGCTTTCAGGGCTGCCGCGCTATACTGGCTCTGGTGCCATCGGTAGCGCAAACTGGAGCGACAGAGGACAGAGCCAAAACGCCGACAATATGTAGGATCACCTCAGCCTCGGTACAGACTAAAAGTATTCTCAAGAGAAGTGTCTTGATTCTATAGATGCTAATAACACGACTGCCCTGCTGAATAATGTTCACTACTCCCAATTACAATGCTATGTGCTTCTGACCTAAACATGCTAAAAACCGGACATGGGCATCCGCCATAAGCGAGCATGGTTCGCCGTCTCGATTCCTTCCACACACACCTGTTTTAAGTTCAAGGGCTGCATGAATAAATATAACTCGTGGATATCGATGAAATGTAACGCGAGATCTTTGTTGCGACCGAGACATGAGGTGCCAAACTCAGCCTGTTGCACATCTCGGGCTTCGCCAGTGATGTTCGTTGGAGTCCATGTTAGAGAGAGTCAATTGACTCTTACATGTCTCGTCGGTAGGCAGCCCTCCACCTGGAGTACCACTTGCTCGATTTCTGTTGGGCATCCTCCGCCTCGGAGGCTCCCTCACGTGTGGGGACGTCCACCCTCTCGCCATCAAGACCAGTGTTGGTGATGGCGTTCTGCTGCTTGCCGAGGTAGAAGTCGGGCATGAACAGCGTGGCGATTGCGGGCACGGCGGCCAGGACGAGGGCGGCGATGGCGATGTGGCCGTTGATGGCGGCGTAGGCGCGGATGGCAGCCTGGCGGATAGGATCGTCGAAGGCGTAGCTGGATCGGAGCTTCTTGATGGACCCGTACAATTTCTTGATAGTCTTTTCGTCCGCACCGGCGGGGATCATCTCCTCGTACATGCGGTTGAGCATCTCGTTGGTCCAGATGGCGGACGAGATGGCGCTGCCCACGGATGAGCCCAGCGTGGACCACAAGGCCAGCAGCGCGATGACGGTGGCCATGTCCTCATGCGGCACTGCTGCCTGGCTGCCCACACGCGCGCCAACGACGTTGAAGGAGCCCAGACAGAAGATGAGCTGCGCGGCGATGAGGCGACCTGTGTCCTGGGTCATGGACCCAGTGGCGCCGTTGACCAGTATTCCGTAGCCGAGCATCCTCGCGATGGCGCCGAAGACCATCATGGACTTGTAGCGATGAGTGCGCCGTTGGATGAGGCCGACGATGGGTCCCAGGAGACTGAGACCCATGGTTGTGATTCCCAAGAAAATAGTCCACTGGTATGTGGTCCATTCCTTGATAACATAGATGTATGAGGAGTAGTAGGTGTTGCGGACAGACGAGGCGGTCTGGTTGAAGGTGAAGACGATGACGGCAGCGATGAAAGCGCGATTGTTGCGCACGCGCTTGGTCATGAGCGGCTTGGGTGCCAGGTAAATCTCGAAAAGAACAAAGGCGATGAGCAGCACGAAGCCTATAACGAGCATAGCAATGATGCTTGCGTTCTGCCATCCGCCGTCGGCGTCCTCGGCCAGGGTCAGCGGTAGCAGCAGCAGAGCGAACGATACGCCAAGCAGGATCAACCCCAGGATGTCGATGTCGATCAGGCCCTGGTACAGGAGCTTAGTCCAGTGGACAGCACCCCCTGGGGCGCTGCCGTCAGCATTGGCGCCGGTTCTCTCCCGCTTTGAGCCGGCCATGGTGACCATGCCCATCTTCTCACCACGGCGTTGCATGGCATACAGTGTGAAGATGGCCGGGGTCAGCAGCACTGGGACCATGATGGCGAACATGCCCAGGCCCCACCGCCAGTTGTCAACAAAGCCCTCGGCAATGAAGCCGTTGACGGGCACGGTGATGACGAAGGGGATGGACAGAAGGGCGCCAAAGAAGCCTCGCCACTCGAGCGGGGTCAGATCACCGACGATGATGTCGCTCAAAAGATCAAGGCCGGACTTGCCGACCGAGGTGAAGCAAATACCGACGGTGTAAGCGGCGAAGGTGCTGGAGCTGGCGGCGACGACGAAGCCGACGACGTAGAACAGCAGGATGACGACGTAGGTGGTGGGCCGCGAAGTGATGTCGGCCAGCTTGCCGATGAAGGGCTTGGCGATAGCGCGCACAATCTGGCTGGCAGTGCTGACGGCGGCGAGCGAGCTATGCTGACCAAAGGTGGAGCTGGCCATGGTAGTGAAGATTGTGGATGTGATGCCCTGATCGAGAGCGTATGCGAACATGGTCAGGCCGATGGAGACGCCCAGCAGCCACAGCAGGATCTTGCCCGTTGGGCCCGACTGGTACAGCACCTTGTTGAAGGCCTCGACCTTGCTGACACCCTGTTGGGCATTTTCATCTCTGTCGACTGGCTCGTCCGAGTCTGATGTGACGGCATGGCGGTCGTTAGACTTCAAAGGGGAATAATCGTCTGCTTCGTGGGCACCGTTGGCGTGGTTGGAGGGCTCACCAGTCGAGCGGGAGCCCGGCCTGGTGCCAGTTGGGGCATCATCGGCCTTGGATGTCGACATTCTGGATGTAGCTGTAAACCGAGAGCTATAATTGTAATTCTGTGAAAGGCCTCGAGTAACAATACTCTAGAGGTGAAAGATAGAAGCAGTGAGACGTGAGGGTGGGAAACAACCAAGGCTCGAGGCTCGAGGCTCTAGCTGCAAGGCAAGATCCCAAGACCCAGATGGGGACAGGGTGGTTCGATGCGTGCAGCTTGGGTAGGATGAAAAAATAGGTCAAAGATAGACGTGAAGACCCGGAAGACGGTCAGGGCACATGCTGGCGAAGGCGCGTGGGGAAAATAAAGTGCATGCTCGAGGCGGGAAGCTGAGCAGGGACACAGGGAGTAGATCGTCCGTGGTGCTATATAGACATGAGCTCCGGTGAAGTTTACTGGATTGGGAGGAGGCGAACCGGGTAGTATGTGGGCAACATGCATATTGTTTCGGCGGTGGAGCTGGGCAAACAACCAAGGAGGGAAGACGCATCCGCATGGGCAAGGGCCGTGAAAGGGCGAAGGGTGCAGCGGGTGTGGGCGGCGACACCATACGGTACGAAAACACCCCACGCTCATCACACGAGCTGAATAGGTGTCCCGAAACCTGTTGGTTTCTCCATCGCCTAGCAGACCTTTTACAGGGGGCCCATCGTAATCTTATCAGATCAAATCAGTATGTGGCCGATATAGGAGTGACATTGGGGAGATCAATGACTAACAAGGCTTGGGGGCCTCGGTCCTTGGGGGATATTCTATTATGAAATTCTGGGCACCGGGTCCTTGGCACCACATGTCAAAGTTTTTGCCTTTCCTTGATCTTCACCACCGATCGATCCAGCCAGGGATAAGAAAACACCCACGGACATTGGATGGCAGAGGCGTCTAAAAAAAAATAAAAAAAATAATGGATCATATCCATATTCCAGGACATGAGTTTTTTTCTTTCTGATTTCTTCCTTTTTCTTGATGAGCGCCGACTTGTTGTACAACAAACTTGCAATTAGTGAAACTCACAGCGCCTGGAACCATCTCGTTTGATTTTCGCAACTAGGTGATGACCTCGGCTTCAGAAAGAATTTCAATGCAAACCTATGAATAATGTCCAAGAGCCATTTGTGGCTGTTCAAATATTCAGTTCTATCCCTCGAAATATCGGCGTTCCTTTTGATGTCTCGAGCCATTTTCTCGCATTATAGCATTAGTGATAGTTGTAGTCTATCTGAATCTATGTGATTTATTTGTAGTTAACTGTCTCCATACCAGGGCGCCTTTCCAGTAGCCTGTCTATTCCCATGCCTGACTCCTCGTTCAGCGCCTTGCCCCTCCCACAGTAATCTTGGACGCATCACAAAGTGACCTGAAGATGCTATCCTTCTGGGCAAAGAGCTCCGGTATTCCATCGAACTCGGCCACCTGACCGCTCTCCATCACAACCACCCGGTCGCAGGTGGCAACGATGGTGTCCAGGCGGTGAGCCACAGTCAGCACCGTAGCGTCACCGAGGACCTCGTTCAGCATCTCTTGTAGTTGTGCGTCCGCACGACCGTCTATAGATGCCGTCGCTTCGTCCATAATGACAATCTTGGAGCTCCGCACCAGCGCACGCGCGATTGATATCAGCGACCGCTGGCCCTGCGAGATATTGGCTCCGCCCTCTTTGACCTCGAAATCCAGGCTGAGACCCCCCGTCCCGCGTCGCGAGTGCTCAGTCTCCTGCTTTTCCAGCTCCGAGTTATTGCCAGTGTCAGGCAGGATGGTGCTATCTTCACTTGTATTGGCGATCTCTTCTGTATTGGCCGGTTGATCCGAGTCTGCGAGCTTGACCCGGCTCAGACATTTATGTAGCCAGGCGTCGTCATATTGTTGGAATGGATCCAGGTTATATCTGATCGTGCCGGCTAATAGAACGGCATCCTGGCTGATGACTGACAGGCTTGACCGGAGCAAACTCAGACCAATCGTGTGGATATCAACTCCATCGATGACAATTTTGCCGCTCGTGGGTTCCGTGTTCCTCAATAAGGCCGATATCACTGGACAAATCAAGCAGAATTAGTGCGCCATTCAAAGCCACCGTGAAAATCAATGCAATCGAAATGGAAGGCTTAGAAATATTATGAAACCGGAAGAACCAGCCAAACTCACAAGTAGTCTTCCCGGCACCAGTACGCCCGACAATGCCAACCTTCTCGCCAGGCTTGATATCCAAAGTGACGTTCCTCAGTGCCGGCGGCAGGCCAGGACGATGACTAAGAGTAAGCTCCCTAAACTCGACGCGGCCAGCATGCGGCCATCCCTTAGCCTTGAGTTCTTTATCGACGCCCTCAGCCTCGTAGGGAGGCTCCTGCTCGATGTTGTACGCATAATGCAGCATTCTCTCGACCGAGTTCATGTTGTTTTCGATCTCGGCGCTCTGGCGAATCATGTTGCCGAAGACGGACTGGGCCGTAACCACATACGACAGCACCACGCCGCCGGCAGATGCGCTGATGGTGCCGCGCAGTCCAACGACGAGCAGACCCGTGATGAAAACGAGAACAGCGCCGCACAAGTCCAGACGTAGGTTTAGCCAGCGCTGGCAGGCCACTGACAGCCAGTAGGCTGTGTTCTCTGTGTCGATGCGGCGAGCGTTGTCCTGGACGAAGCGCGAGACGGCGCCAAAAGCCTTCAGTGTGGCCAAGCCGGACAGAGACTCGCCAAAATGCTCGTAGATTCGGCTGCGCAGCAGATTGTTAAGGCGGCGTAGCTCGCGCGCCGAAGGACGGTAGTACATGCCGGTCCAGGTGTAAGCGAGCAGTAACACGGCTGCGATGGCAATGAAGGGTGGTAGGATGATTGTGACGAGGATGATGGTGCCTATGGCCTGAACAGACGTCGAGATGAAAAGACGCAGCGTCTCGCCGACAACGTTGTCCACAGCGTCGACATCCTTGCTGAAGCGGTGCGTGATTCGGCCCTGCGGCGTCGTATCGAAGAAAGCCACGGGAGCATGCAGAACTCGCGCGATTGAAGCGTGGTGAAGCCGGTTGGAGCAGTAGAAGCAAAAGAGGGCAAAGCTAGCGCTCATGCAGAAAAGTCCCAGCGATTGGCCCACGCCGAATGCTGCATAGCCGCCCATGTACTCAGACTCGGTGATGGACGAGTACTTGCTCTCCTCCCACCACGTCAGCCACAGCGGCGAGACAATGCTCGTGCCCTGGTAGATGATGATGGAGGTCACGAATAGCGGCACTGTCACGTATGCGTTGCCCATCATAACGTAGCGGAGGTATGTCTTGCCGCTAACGGAACCGACCAGACGTTCCTCCTTCTGCATGATCTCCTTCCCTCGTCCTGATGCTTCTGGCTTCTTCTCTTTGTTATCGTTATTTTTCAATTCTTTCTCACCTGGAGTCGACTCTGGAGACTGAGACGCCTGGTTCGTCTCTCCTGCTTGCCGCTCCTCATATGCTTCCTCTTCTTGTGCGGCTGACCATGAATCCATCGAAGTGCCTACAAAACGAGAAAAGGGCCCATCACGTCGAGACAGAACCGCGTACTCGCCCTGTTCCACTATTCGGCCCTTTTCCATATACACGACGCGGTCCGCCTGCGAAGCGAGAACCATTGAGTGTGTCACAAGCACCACGGTCGCCTCCTTGTTGCGGCGCGCCTGATTGACCACCATCTCAAATACCTGCTTGCCGACGTCGGCATCAAGGGCCGAGAAGCAATCGTCTAGGAACAGCAGTGGGCTCCTTCCGTAGATGGCCCTGGCAAGACTGATACGCTGCTTCTGACCTCCCGAAAGCGATACGCCCATCTCGCCCACCACTGTCATGTCTCCCTCGGGCAGCCTCTCCAGGTCCCGGTGTAAACAGCACCGGGTCAGCACCTGCTGGTACCACGCTTGGTCAAAAGGCCGTCCAAAGACTATGTTTTCCCTGACTGTCTCGCTGAGCAGCCAGGCAGTCTGCGGCGCGTAGGCGAGAGAGGGCGTGTTGACCTGACAGTTTCGCGCTTGAACGGGTTGCATGTCTCCCATGAGGGCGCGGAATATCGACGACTTGCCTGATGCAACGGGTCCGACGACACAGACTAGCTGGTCCCTCTCGACGATGAGTGATTCAATGTGTAGTCTCTGGGACTGGTGAGATTGACTTTCGATAGGTGTTGTCATCACCTGACTTTGAGATCCATCTTGTTGTTTTTCATCCTGAATTTTCTCCATAGCTGTCGCTGTGGTGTTCTGGGTCGAGGTCTCACTGCTGTCATCCAACAGAGTCTCGTCGTCATGATAAGCAAAGGTGGCATCCTCGACCACCACCACAGTCTGGACTGGCTTGTCTCCATCAAGTTGTTCGCTTGTGCTTCCTCCAACGAACTTCGGAGGAATCGGAGCACCCGCATCTGACGCGATCATGAACGCAGTCAATCGCTCCAGCGCCGCTCGCGCATCGGCAATAGCTGACAGCGAAGTAGGGAGAGCTTGCAGTGGCGTCCTCAACAGCATGAAGAAGGTGAGGGAGGAGAAGATGACATCCGCTTTGAGCCCACCTTGCGTGGCTCCGTAGCAGACTATAGCCAACACCGCGGCAATGGTGGGCGCCGTGTATGATACAGCCGTGTTGAGCGCTCTGAGCAGCATTCGCTTGCGGATGTACACGACCTCGTCGCCTCTCAAATGCCCGATTTTGGCCAGCAGGCTCTTTTCGTAGGCGTTGGTCTTGACGAGCCGGATCGCCGAAACGGCCTCCACGACTGCCTTGACCCTGGCATCCGTGAATGGCATGCTGCCCCTGCGGAGTTTGAGCAGCTTGCCCACCATGAAAGTCTGCAAGGGGTACAGCAGAGCCAGCAGGCCGAACCCGGGCAACGCACTGTAGCCCATGGTCCAGATGGTCAGCGCAAGACACAGCAACATTTGGAGGATGCTAGTCCAGGCAGAGTGGAAGTAGCCACACACAAAGTCCACGCGCGTCACGTCGGCGCTCATCAGGCTCATCAGCTTACCCACGCCAGTGTAGCCGTTGCGGAGCTTGGCCCTCTCTGTGAGCTGGTCCGACGTCGCCCGTCGGTAGATGGTGTGCATGAGTGCACCTCTGAGCAAAACGCCCGTTGTGTACGAGCGGTAGAAGCCGTGAACATTGGCAGTGACGGAGAAGACGAGAACGAGGAAGAGCCCGACGACAAGGCCGAAGCCTGCTCGCGTGGCGTGCAGGGACGAGTCGGAGAGGTAGGAGATGGTGAAGCGGATGAGAAGTGGTGATATCATCTGGGTCAGGTCTCCAGCCAGCTTGAACATACCGCCGAGCCAAAACCAGCGGAAGCAGACGTCATTGAGGGCCATGGTCAGGACTGTGGTGTCGCTCCTGCGCCGCATCCAGAACGGCGTCCATGGCCCAGATTCAGCTGGTTTGCTCCTGTTCTTCTCCAACCTCGCCGCCCAACAGCGCTCTAGTTTGTCCGCATGGTCCTCAGCCTGCCTGTGGTCGGGCATATCATACAGATCGTCGGTCTGCAGAGGCCGGGTGTAGCCTATCCTCAGGACCGGACTCAGCCATTGAAACAACAAGATCGAGAACCAGTTCGCTGTCGATTCTGGCAGCTTCGCCTTTGGGTTTCTTCCGGCCCCAGTCTCGGCCCCATCCCTAGCTCCGTCTTCCACATCTCTCGGTGTTGACTTTGATGATGATTTCGAAACAGGTTCGGTCAATCTTCTCTCAATTGGTGTTGTCGACACGAATGGCACCTTTCTGTACCACTTCCGGGGAGGGAACGCAGAGGTTCCCGTGACGTTACTGGCCATTTTGGCTCCAGGGACTGATTATGCCTGTTACGACATATGTTTCAGTATCCTTAAGCAAAGCCAAATCGAGAAACGAGGTCTGATGGCTCTTGGATGGTGGCTGTTGGTGGCGCCTGCGTCGGCTACTTGGGTGTCCTCCTTGTTGCCCCTGGGCCTAAACCCCTGCTCAGGAGTACCATCGTCCGATTTGGACAACGAAGCTGGTCTCCGAGGACGGACCTACATCTCTTGGCCCAAAAATTAGAACTAGACCCCACGAGCGCTGGCGGAGAGTGGAGTGTCGACATCTCCTGGCGCGGGTTTCTTGTCAAGGGAGTGCCCGTATTTGGATCGGCTCCATGACAAATAGGAAAAGGCCACTTCACCGATATTCTCGGCGACTGATCTTGGAAAAGAGCGCATGTTTAGCGAGTACTACAGTAATCGCACCGGTGCTTCAAATGTTTTATTAGAGTCATCGCCCCTGCTCGCTCGCACTGTATGCGTGTAAAAGAGTGCCTAGTGTCTTGATGGGAACCTTGGTAGCCCCACAAATATCTCACAGCAACTAGTATAGGCGACTAGGGTTGAAAAGCCGCATATACCGCATGTATCTTGTGTCAACTTTAATTAATTGACTGTAAAATACCTACATTTTTAAAATATTTCTAATTATTCTGCGGGTAGAAACCGGGAGAATGAGCTCTATGTGCATATAAATATATGTTTGCTTTCCAGAGATTAAATGCAGAGGACTAGATACAGCTTATCATGTAGTATCGCTTAAGTACATTGGAATGTTGTTCCTTGCATCGAAATTTCGGTGGACTCGGTGACGTGCTGACACAGTTCTTGGCGTTGTTTGGCGTTTGTTAATGGATTCGCCCAATCAAATGTAACACATTGAGGGACAACCGGGGAGCACCCATCAGTTTATAAACTATACATCCACAAGCTACTACTACTATTGAGGATACAACAGACAAGTGCCGTCATCTCTATCAGCCTCATATTTAGTCCCAACTTTGCGGGTTGGCACAATAGTCCTCAAGTCCCATTTTCCTCAGCCAGAAGCCAGAGGTTGTGATCTTGCATCGAAACAACACTCAACCAAGTACGTTTTTAAGTCTAAGTGGCTGAACTCATTTGCTTAGATTATTATACCTAATGAAATCCTAGACGTATAATAATTCGGATAAAGCGTCAATCATGGCAACACAAGTCCAGAGCCAGGTCAAAGTAAATGGCATCGAGTCTAAGAATGGAACGGCACACCAATTTGACTCGGTGACACCTTTGACAGGCTCCGGAAACGTTGGAGAGCTAGACTTCGACGGCGAAAAGACTTCATTTAGACTTCCTGATGGCAGCACTGAAGTGTGGATAGCCACTAGAGGAACTGATTTTGTGGTGGCTTCCGGTGAAAGCCTGCTGGCTGAGTGGAAGAATGATGGGAGACAGGCCAGAGTCTCTCCAGCCATGGTCAACGAAGACAGGGCCGAGTCGGCCCAGACTCTGCAATTGACACTCCGTGGCTCGCCTTCTGGATCTGACTCCGATGATCTCGCCCTCCAGCTGACTTGGGCATCCATCTATGCCCTGTGGTTGCACCCATCCCACAGGAACGACGACATCATCGCCATCTCTGTAGAAAGCGACAGAGTGGGCGAGTATCTGCGCTGCACTGGACTCGCCACTGTATCACCCTTTTCTGAGAGCAGTTCCGGACCAGATGCCATCTACTGGCTGCAACGCGAAGCATTCTGGCAGGGTGCCGGCGCTCCTGACAACCAGCATTGGCTTCGCTCTCGGCCCGAGGAGAGCTTCCCGGGCTTTAACAGCAAGCTGGGCGTCTTCGCCAGCCAGATGGGCTTTACAAGGAAGGGCAATGTATGTACGGTACACCCGGTGCGACCGCCCAAGCCCAAGCCCGGTGCGGTGATCTACTCGCGATTCATCGTGGAGTTGGGGCAGCAGCTCGAGATCCACCACATCGACGCCTCAAACCCGCTGCACTTCGAGACGTATGCACGCTGGCAGAACTCAGACCGAGTCAACGCGGGCTGGAAAGAGCGTGGCCCGGATGAGAAGCACCGGGCGTACCTTGCAGCTCAGCTCGCCGACCCGCACACGATGTCGTGTGTGTTCCTGTGGGACGGCGAGCTGGCGGGCTACACCGAGATCGGCTGGGTTAAGGAGGACAACGCTGCGTGCTTCTTCGGCGCCCAGTGCAACATTGTCGTCGGCGAGCACGACCAGAACTCTCATATCTTCGTCGGTGAGGAGCGCTTCCGCGGCGGTAAGCGCTATGAGGCCGTGGCCACATCCATCAAGCACACATGCTTCTTGCGTGATCCTAGGACCAAGCAGGTGGTGGCCGAGCCGCGCTTCGACCTGGCACATGTGCATATCCAAAACAAGTACCTGCCGCAGGAGAAGAAGAAAAGATTCGAACTGCCGCACAAGACTGCAATGCTATTCGCCCTGCAGCGCGAGCGCTTCTTCCAAGAGGGGCACTTTGTGTAGCGATTATAGCTAGCTAGAGATCCAGTGTATGTACGGGTGGCGTCCCAAGAGCAGATTGAATAGATTGACAGCTTTTGAATTAATTGACAACTTTTGAATTAATTAACCACTTTGAATCCCAATCCTACAAATTCTTGATGATTCCATAGCTCCTCACTTCTGATTCGCGTTGTGAGGCTTTCAACACTGTTCGATTCGTTACCAATTGAGTGTCACCTTAATCTCAGCAAGCTCTCAGATTTTGGGGAAACCGTCTGTTTGAGTATTCAGGATCCATTCTGCCTGCTATTCCGACACAGTGATGCTGTGAAAGGCAGGCCTCCGGTGGGAACCACTCAGGTATACAGTTTGGTAGTATTAATGTGCCATGGGTGAGGATCAGCCGCCGATCGATGTAGGTCCCGACATGATCCGCATTGTCATTTTTGCTCGGGAAAATAATAAGCCCCTCGTCAGTGTTTCCGTCTCCTGAGTCGTGACCTTAATCCCGCTTGCACGTCATGATCAATCTTCTTGTGTGTTAAATGCATCAGATACTAGGTATAGTAGTATAGGGTTTAAATGATCCTTGACTTGCCAAGATACTTAATCTTTGTTAAGCTTATATTGACTTGATTACTCAGAGATCATTTCAACATTTGATTATCGTTATAAAGGGTTATTAGTTAAAAGGGTACAGCTTCCTCCCTTCAGAAAGGAAATAGTCTCTGAGAATAGGGAGAACATTCTAGTGGCTTGGATCTGCACGAATGAATGCAATTACATAGTAGACGGAGTGGGTACCACAGTGTCCTGCAGCTGTGTAAAAATGCCTGGGATGACTAGTCTTGGCTGACTCTTGTATACCTTGGCAATCTAATCAGATGATCAGATAAAAACCTTTGCGAACCGTGCCAATCCGAGAATTGGTAATGCCAAGTTCAATCCCTACATGGGATCGTCGCGAAAGGGTAAAAAAAAATTAAATAAGAAAACCTCGCAGTGCTCGAGGGTGCCAGAGCCACTCACTCGGCCTATTCTCAACACGGATTCAACGCGAACGTTCTAATAGAGTAGAAATATTTTCCGGGATTCTTGCAGATCTATACCCGCTGTGGCCATGATTCTCTGACTATAATCTCCGCTCTAAGTGGCGGAATCAATGCTCTGCATCGCGACGAATTTAAGCATCCCTGAGAGCTGAATACTGGGTCCGCGGAGGAGGCTAAACTAGGAGCTTTCCTCCTTGACTCAAGTCATTGCCTCATCAGGATGACAGGATGCTGACTGACGATCAGATAAAAAAAATCTGATAATAATGAGATCTGATAAAACTTGCCAAGGACCGAATGGGTCCCCGAGGTCAAACCCTTCACTGCGTGGGGGCTCCGCATCGTGTTACAAACAAGGCGGGACAATGTGACCTCAGGCGTCCAAACTAGCCGATTCTCTCGACAAAACAGGGAGCACACTACGTAGTGTACGGGCCTAATACAGGCCCAAACCCGGAAAGACCGATGCTGTTACTCTAATTGGAACTTTTACCTTTTGCACGAGGGATTGGCAGCATTCACAGGACCACATTAATGAATGACCAAGCTCGTGGGCCAAGTTCGAGCCGGGGTCACACTGTACCCACGCGACCGAAGTGTGAATTTCCAGCCGCCCAAGGACACGAGCATGGGCTGAAAGAGAGTCCTCATGCTCCTAGACCGGAGCACTGAGGGCGTGCTGAACATTTGGCCTGGGCATTCAATGGCGAGACTGCAAGGGGCTTGTAGGGTACTATAGTAGTTAGAATGAAGGCTGCGACTATCTCTCCTGATGGGCTTCTCACAACCCTGAACGGTTGAATATAGCTTCAGGTCCAGTGACACTCGGCCCCCAGGGAATGAATATCTCATATTCTCCCACGTAGTATTCACGTTACTCCCTATCATTTGCAAGCCACACATAATCGACATACAACTGGACCCCGAGACATTCGGCGGCATCTGGAAAATATCAAGATGACATCAATAACAACATGCCCACCACCAATCACGGAGCTCAGGCCACTGCACTGTCTCCAACATGAAGCCTCCCGACAAGAAGCATCAGCACTGGCGACAGAATTGCCTCACTGGCAAAGTACCCTATCACCCAAGCCTGACGAGGAGACGTGCATCAAAGCTTTTGTAGAGCTTGTCTCCCATGTCGTAGTGCTAGAGCACGGAGAGGCCTATTGTATCCAACAACACAACCGCCTTCATGGGAGAGGCTTTATCCTGGCTCAAGCAGGCCGGAGTGATTTCAGCTTCATCGAATACCGTGATGCTACGGGTGAGATCCCGACCGACTTCTCCATTGGAGACTCCAATCACATCGATCTCCAAAAAGTAAGTAATCGGTGAAACTTTAAGACGTTCTGCGTAGATCAATTTGCTAACAATATACATTTGGGTAGCTACATTTGGATGTACCTAACGTGCGTCTAAGCGCACCGCCCAGACTTGTACCTGCAGCAGCCCTTGAAGCCTTGGGCTGCATGCTGGACGATCTCGTCCTGAATCTGCAACAAGGCGAAGGTCAAAGTGTGAGCAGGCAATGGACGCGGCCTGCCGTGCTCAACTTTCCACCAAGATTGAGGCCCGTTTCTTTGCTCCCATCTCACCAGGAATCTGAAGATCAAAACGAGCCGGCTCTTCTCCACAGGAATTTCGAAAAGCGCGTGGATGAGCACCCCGATAGAACGGCCTTAGATTTCCTCGTGGACCTTGAGAGCGGCGAGAAGAGCCAACTGACCTACCAGCAGCTGGAAAATGCTGCGAATGCGCTGGCGAGAGAACTTGTACGTGTGCAAGATGCAAATGCTGCAAGCGATGCGTCTGACATCAAGACCATTGCGGTGGTGATGGGACCATGTCCAGAGCTGTATACGAGTTATCTGGCAACTCTCAAAGCCGGCATGGCCTTCTGCCCCATCCCTGTGGACGCGCCGGAGGAGAGGTTGGATGCACTGATGGCAGACCTCAAGCCAACTGCTCTACTTATAGGCGCATCGTCACCTGCTTCATTAGGGACTGTCACAGGCACAGCACCTGTGATTAGAGTTAGCTCCTATCTTTCCGCATGCGACAATAAAGTGGAAAGACTGGGAGAAAAGGGCCGGTCATCCGTGACAGAAAATGATGTCGCCTACATCCTGTACACATCAGGAACCACCGGCTTGCCCAAAGGCGTAGCTGTTTCTCACATTTCGGCAACCTGCACCGTCTCCGCCCTGAGCGCTCACTACGGCTTCGTTCCCACTGAGACCAAGCCACACACAACACGCAAACCCACCAGATGGTTCCAAGGTGCCGCCCCAACCTTTGACATCTCCCTCTTCGAGATCTTCTGGACACTCAGCACTGGCTCGACTCTCTGCTGCGCTCCGAGGCACTTCACGTTGCAGGATATCAACAAGGTCGTCACGACGTTAGAGGCTGATATCACCAACATCACGCCCAGCTTCGCCACGCTGCTGGATCCGTCGTCCATGCGCGCGCTGATGCTCGGCGGAGAGACTCTCAATGCGCGAGTGGTGCACGACTTTGCTCAGCACAATCCTGCATCACACGATGACGTTGTATCTGGCCCTAGTGGAATATACAACGGCTACGGGCCCACAGAGACAGCCATCTACTGTATCGCGCAGGCGCATGTACCTGAGGGCCAACGAGGCTCCGTGCTCGGCTCGCCTCTTGAGACCTGTGGTGTGGTCATCGTAGATGAGACGTGCACTTCAACCCTCCAGCCCGTGCCCATGGGCGCCACTGGAGAGCTTCTCATCACCGGCCCGCAGGTGAGCAAGATCGGCTACCTCAACAGGCCTGATGAGACCTCGAAGGCCTTCATCAACGACAATGACGTAGACGGCTGGGGCAGGGCATACAAGACCGGTGATCGGGCTCGCATAGTCTGGGACCAGTCGGGAAAGCCCGTCGTCGAGTTCCTGGGCAGAATTTCTGATGATCAGGTCAAGCTCAGCGGTAGGCGTGTGGAGCTTGGCGAGATCGAGAGCGTGCTGATGTCGAAGGTCGAGGGCGTGCGGGAGACAATCTCTTGTGTGTGGAAGCCTGAGAATTCTCAGCCCGGCTCAGAGAGGGTTGTGAACCTCGTCATTACCACGGCGGGATCCGACTTCGAGGCGGATATCCTCGAGAGGTGCAAGGAGGCGGCACAGCGGCATCTTCCGGATTATATGAGGCCATTCAAAATCATTCACGTTGAGTCCCTCCCGAGGACAGCGTCTGGAAAGGTCGATCGCAAAGCAGCTTCGGCATACGTGCGAGAAGTCTTGAAAGATCAGCAGCCGAAGCTCTCGAGTCTCGAATTGACAGAGGAGCTTGAACCTCTAGCGGGTGAAGACGCCGAGCTGGAAGACCAGTTGCTGTCCATGTTGGCAGACATCCTTGGCGGAAACAAGATCTCAGCTGCTACGCGTCTCGCAGATGCTGGTGTTGATAGTCTACGCGCCATGAGACTGTTGCGCGAGATCAGGAGGCGGTGGCCCGATCCTTCCAAGAGAAATCTGCAACCATCGCTGGCCCTCCTTCTGGACAGCCAAGCCACTGTCCGCTCCGTCTTCTTCCCTTCATCATCACCGCAGTCTTTGGAAGAGTCAAATGATACTAGAGAAAACCGAACACGCGCCCGGCTTGCCAAGTTTTCTTCTGAGCATCTCTCCGAAGTACGCGATAAGCTCGATGTCACCAGTGAGGCTGACATCGAGATGATCCTGCCAGCAACCACTCAACAGAGTCAGTTGGCTATTAGTTTCGCCATGGACAGGACCAGGTACATAAGCCACTCGGTCATTAGACTCAAGCCGGAGGTCGCGGCTGCGGCGCTCAAGAAAGCCGTCGAGGAGGTTGTATTGGAACAGGCTATCTATCGATCCGCCATATTGCCATGTGACGATGCCCTATCACCATTTGCTCAGGTTATTCTGACGAAGGAGGCATGGCGTAGACCAAAGAGCAACGATGGCGAAACTCCACAGGTGGTGCACAGAAAAACAAGCGAGCCGCTCTCTGTTGACGATGCCCAGGCGTGGGTCGCACTGGCAGAAGAAAACATCAGCCTGGAGTCGCAAAGACTTTACCACATTCAGGTGGTCGAGAATGAGACTACTCCTGGCAGTGATGGTCTCCTGGTCATTAGCATTGCCCATTGCATCTGTGATGGTGCCTCGGTCGAAGTCCTCATGTGTGACATAGCCAGACGTTATGCCGGCCTGGAATCTCTCCAGAGGCAAAGCATCTACGAAGCAGTTCTCGAGTGCTTCTCTAATGTGGACCCGAACACAGACGGGTTGTGGCGAGAATCACTCAAAGGCTGGGAACTTGAACCATTCGGTACGCTGAGTGGCAATAATGTGCACAGCAATAGGTCCTCCAAGTCTGCCTCAGACTGTGGAGTGGTTCAGTACAAGAGCGACCTTCCATGGCAAGTGCTCGAGGACAAGAGCAGAGCCCTGGGTAGTGGCGCATCTCCCCTGGCAATCCTTCAGGCCTCATGGTCACTACTCTTGCACTTGTTCTCCGAAGCGGACACAGGCGACGTCACCTTCGGCAGCGTCATCTCGGGCCATCTATCCACCACCACACACGCGCCCACATTCTCCGTCGTGCCTTGCCGCGTGGCCTTGCCTGAGACCCAAACTATCAGCCAGCTGATCGACGGCCTCACGAAGCACGGAAAGTTTGCTCTTGGTCACCGGCACCTATCATGGGGAGTATTTGAGACGTTGCCGTACAATACCGCCCTGGCTCTGCAGGCATATCCGGTGGAAGACGGTGGCCTCGAAGACGATTTTCAAGCCCCTTGGACTGAAGTCCGTCACCCAGTCATACGCTACGACTTCCCCATCTTTGTGGAAGTCTTCCCAAATGATCCGTCATCACCGAACCGAAGTAGCTTCACCAACATGACCTTCAAGGTTACGTACCGCGAGGACGCGCTTTCGGAGCTCTCTGCTAGCTGTGTCGTGAAGCAACTGGCTGCTCTCACCGAAATCATTCTCTCTTCTTCCCCTGATGATGCAATCTCTGGACTACCTGCACGTCTTCCCAAAAGCCTACTATCTGCTGAAGGAACAGTGCCTCAAGCAAATGCAAGCACGGACGGACAAGACAACCATCTGAACATACTCCACGGACAATTTGAGGCCCAAGCCATAGCAACCCCCTCGCGCCTCGCCTTGACCTTCTATAGCTCCCTGGACTCACCTCCCACGTCTCTCTCCTACGCGGAGCTTGACAGCCTCGCTAATGGCCTAGCACTCCTTCTTCGCGAGGAGGACGTCGATGTAATCCCCCTGTGCATTGAGCGGAGTGTCGACCTCTATGTCGCAGTGCTGGCTGTCCTGAAAGCTGGATCCGCTTGGTGCCCCATCGATCTGACCTCCCCCGTGGCAAGACGGACATCCCTCATTGCCAGAACCAAGAGCAAGGTGTTGCTTACAAACACCGAGTCGTGGCACCTGGTCGAACCTTGTATTGGCAGTGAGAGCCTAGAGGGCATGCGCGTTATCCTGGTTGATCAACACTCGAAACCAGCATCAGTCAAGCCAAAGCCACGGCAAAGCATCAAGTCGGGTGCCCTAAGCGGAGGGGATCTTGCCTATCTCTTGTGGACGTCTGGCACGACGGGTGAGCCCAAGGGAGTCATGATTCAGCACTATGCCGCGGCACAAGCTATGCAAGACCTTCAGATCCAGGTCGAGCATGACCCCAAGACCGAACAAGTGCGCACGCTGCAGCTCTCGGCCTACTCCTTCGACGTCTTTGTCCAGGACCTCTTCTACACATGGGGCCTGAGTGGAAGTGTCATCAGCGGCACGCGGGAGCTCGTTCTGGGTTCCTTCGTCGAATTCATCTGGAAGGCCCGCCCCACGCACGCCCATCTTACCCCCAGTTTCGGCGCCAGTATTGCCGTCGAAGAGATCCGTGGCAGCCCGCTACAGTATGTGACTTTTATTGGCGAGAAACTGACCGAGGACGTCGCCGAAGCCTGGGCTGCTCCAGGAATCACTACACGCGCGTACAACACCTATGGCCCGGCCGAGAATGCCGTAGTGTCCACCATGCGCCGCTTCTTCGGTAAGAGCAGGGACCAAGCCAAGGCCGCCAATGTCGGTTTCCCTCTGACCCCATGCACGGCATACGTTGTCCACGAGGTGCCGGTACCTGGATCTGAGAATAGGCGTTGGGAGCTCGTTCCGCGGTACGGAGTCGGCGAGCTAGCCTTGGGTGGATCGCAGGTGGCTAAAGGCTATCTCAGCGACCCGGCCAAGACATCCTCCCGTTTTATCCAAGGAGGCCCCGGAATTGACGAGCGCATCTATCTAACCGGCGATATGGTTCGACTGAATGATCATGGGTTCGAGTTCCTCGGCCGGAACGATGATCTCGTCAAGATTACTGGAATCCGCATCGAGCTGAGCGAGATCAGCGCGGCTTGTGCGAGCATCAAAGACGAGGAGGATGCCATCGAGCATGTCGAGACACTTCATCTGCCACGTCCAGACAGAGAAAACGCCGATCATAAGGTGGTCGTCACCTTTGTCTCTGTCAAGAAGGAGGGCGTTGACCAGAACGCCATCCGGGCGCAAGTCTTCAAGAGGGCCAGGGACATGCTTCCATCGTACATGGTGCCGGGGCACGTTGTTGTTCTGAGCACTACGATGCCGAGGACCGCATCGAACAAGGTCGATCGAAAGGAGCTGCAGGCCATTTACAAGAGCTCGGACTTGCAGGCCCTGGCGGGAGGAGGCGCAGCTGGAGATGCTTCTGGCCAACCGGTAGAGAAGCAGCAATGGACCGATCAACAGCTTCAGGTCTTACAGCTCCTCGCGGACAATTTCAAGGTAGCAATCGAGCCTCTGTCTCCTGAAGACAGTCTGGCAGCACTGGGCTTCAGTTCCCTCCAGGTCACCAAGCTGGCCTGGACTCTGAGACGGCAGCTCTCTGTTCAAGTTGGCGTGCTTGAACTCATGAGGTGCGAGCTCCTGGGCGAGCTGGTTGATGTCGTCCTCAGCAAACAGCAACAGGGTGGCCAGAAGCAGGCAGCTCAAGGGAAGGGCTTGAACGGAGCCTCAACCGCGCAGGCAACAGAAAAGTCATGGGTGGCTGCCACAAGAGACCTCCTGACCAAGAATCTCCGTGGCGACATGCTTCCACCAAGCAGCTTCCTTCTGCCAGCGACACCGATGCAGGAGTCCCTCATCTTTGAAACGATGCGCGAACCGAAAGCCTACTGGGCCCACCGAGTGTTTGACTTGAGCCACTTGGACACGCTAGATGGCGACCGTCTGAAGGCGGCGTGGACCGCAGCTGCAAGCACATTTGACATCCTCCGCACCAGCTTCGTTCCTCTCGCACAGCTGGACGCAGTGGTGGGAGACGGAGGACAGTCCACCAATGGGGTCACATGGGCTCGTCGACAGGGACTCCAAGCTACCATCCTCCAAGTTGTTCGGAAGGAGGCAGCATTGCGCTGGAGATGGCTCTCAGGTGACGAGGACCAGAATCTTGCAAGATGGGCCCAGGAACCAGAGCTGACGGAGTTGTCGCCCATGCATTCGCCCTGGGCTGTCACAATCGCGGAGAAAGACCGCAAGATGATGCTGAGTGTTCATCACGCGCTCTATGACTACGATTCATCCGAAACTGTTCTCGATGCAGTCACCAAGTTCTATCACCAGAAGACTTCTGTGCATGACGACGTCATCCAGTTCGAGAGAGGTATGGAGCTTGGTCTACTGCCGACCACTGCGCAGAGAGACGAGGCTGCGTCCTTCTGGACAGAGCGTCTCGCTGGTCTCAGGGAGACGGCGGGAGCCCTGAACGCGCCCTTCCCCGACCTGACACAGTCTAGGCAGAAGCAGCAGCAGAGGATCATCGGAGTGAAGAAGGCCGTTCCTGGGTTCCTCTCCTCTGATCTTCCGACAGCCCTTCCAACCCTGCTACAGTCCGCTTTTGGCTGTGTCCTCGCGTCCTACCTCGAGATCAAGGCTGTTATTTTCGGCCAGACTGTCTCTCAGAGGCTTCTTCATCCGGATCTCGCCCACGTAGTTGGACCAGCCATAGCTACCCTCCCCCTGCTTGTCCGGGCCAACGCCCACTCAGCCGAGGAGCTGTGGGCCGAGATGGCTCGCGACTCTTCTAACCTCTTCCGAGTCACGCACAACCTCCACCCTGTGGACATCAAGAGGCTTCTCAACGAAGGGAGTGGAAGTGGTGATGCGCCTTTTGCTGGTGTCTTTGTCTATCATCCGGCCTCCAGTGACGACGACGGCGCCGGTGTCGTTGCTGAGCAAGCACTATTCCGAGAGGTAGAACAAGCGCTATCACTTAACGTAGAACACCCTCTTGCCTTCAATGTATTCGAGGGAGATGGCATGATGGAGCTCACCGGCGACGCACGGCGTATCTCCCAAGCGCAGCTGGAGCTCATGCTGGACCAGATCATTGACCAGGCCAGGGTCATGAAGCAATCCCCACAGCTTCCTCTGAGCCAATTGCAAAACAAATTGGACGGCCAACTGGTGTCTCTCAGCGGTGCGATCGAGGAGATTACAACAGACACAGACTTTGACCCAACCGAGAGCATCGCACAGCATGCATCCCAGCATCCAGACTGGATAGCAGCCGAGGAGGTTCACACCAGTGATGATCCGGATGATGACGAGGATGCATTGTCGACCAAGACCATAACATACGCCCAGCTTGACAGACTCACCAATACCATTGCCGCCCAGCTGGCATCGCACGAGGTTGGTCTCCAGCAGGACGACGTCGTCGCTCTGTATCTCGGTAGAGACATTAAGTCGCTCGCGGCAACTCTGGCCATCTTCCGTGCTGGCTATATCTACCTTCCCGTAGACGAAGACCTTCCCCTGGCACGGAAGCAGCTACTGATCCGGGATGCTGCTGCGAAGCTTGTCATCACTACTGAAGAGCTCGCAAAGGACCTTGACATGGACCACGATGATCCCCCAGCCTTGCTGCTACCTGAAAGCGACAGTGACGTGGATTTTATGCTTCAGCAGGAGCAGCACTGGTCACGCACTCGGTCTGCAAACGGCCGTGGCCACGGAGGTTACCTACTCTACACATCTGGTTCTACTGGTCGGCCCAAGGGCGTCCGCGTATCCAACCGCAACCTGTGTCATTTCATCTTCTCGTTCTCCCTGCGCTTGACCGAGACTTCTACATCAACAGTCAAGCCAGAAGAGCTCGGTGGCAGCGGAAGGTATCTGAACCTCACGTCCAGAGCCTTTGACCCGCACCTCACACAGCTCTTCGTGCCTTGGCACCTGGGGTACCGTGTCGTCATTGGAAACCGGACCGCGCTGCTTGGAAACCTTCAGCATGCCATCAACAACCTAGGCATCACGCATTTCGGCAGCGTGCCCTCTGTGTTGATGCAGCTGCGGCTCAGGCCCGAGGATGTACCATCCGTGAGGGTGGTGACGACGGGCGGGGAGAAGGCATCGAATGAGCTTTTGGACACGTGGACAAGTCAAGAGTCTGTTCAACATGGAGACGGTTCAACAGCCAAACTCATCAACTTCTACGGCCCAACTGAGGTCACGATTGGCTGTCTAGGCCATGTCGTAAACCGCAACTCCAACGCCCGCAATCTTGGTCTGCCACTCAAGGGCCTCCAAGCACTGTTGTTGGCTCCCAGCAGTGAGAATGGCGAACAAGTCATCGCTAGAAGAGGCCAGCCGGGAGAGCTTTGCATCGCCGGCCCTCAGGTCGCCCTGGGCTACCTGGAGAGGCCCGACGAAAATGCCAAGAGCTTCCAGACGACCTCACTGCTGGGCGATTCCGAGGAAAGAATTTACAGGACCGGCGACGTAATGAGAATGATGCATGACGGCACCCTCGAGTTCCTGGGCAGGGCCGACCAGCAAGCAAAGATCCGGGGACAGCGGCTTGAGCTAGACGAGGTAGTGTCTTTCTTGAAGGAGCAGGCTGCTGACGAGGGTGAGCTAGACTTCGCTGCTGCCGTCGTCGCTGGCGAGGGAAACCAGCAACAGCTCTTCGGCTTTGTGGCCCGCAAGGCACGCCTGAGGAGCGAGATGGACGCTGAGGTCGAGCTGCTTCAAAACCAGGGCCAGGCGTTGACGTCTTTGTTGGAGAGGCTGGGGCGGAAGTGCGAAGCTAAATTGCCGGCATTCATGGTTCCCAAGCTTCTATGGGTATCGAGGATCCCATACCTGGCCGCCTCGGGCAAGGTCGATACCAAGCTCTTGGCCAAGCTGGCAAATGACTTCTTTGCCTCTCAAGATGCTCATGATGAGGATTCTGACGACTCTGGAGTCGATGTTGCTCCAAGCACTTTGAGCGCCGGAGAGGCGCTCGTCGTCGCGGCTGTGGAGGAGGTTGTAGGCCATAAGATCAACGGCAAGGCCACCAGCAGCATCAGGCTGGGCATTGACAGTCTCTCTGCCGTCCATTTGGTTGCTCTTCTGAGGAAGCGTGGATTTTCCAAGGTGAACGTTTCTGACATCCTGTCATCCTCAGCTACCGTGGCATCCATAGCCCAACTGGGTGACAAAAACCGCCATCAAATCAGTGGCGCCGGTGGCATACAGACGGAGTCCACCTCAGCAACCAACAAGCTGAAAGAAGTCGAGGCACTGAACCTCAGCACGGCCCTGGCGGGGCAGATCCCAGCGGGTCTGGTTCATGATAATGTCGAAGCAGTGCTGCCGTGCCTTCCGCTGCAGGCGGCTTTGGTCGCCCGGTCCATGGTTTGGATGAGCGCCCACGACGATGACTCTGTTACAAAGTCAGAGACAACAGTAGTCCCTTACGTGGCACAGTTTAATTACCGACTATCCTCCGGCACGGACTTAGCCAGATGGCAGAAGGCAGCAGAGAAGGTTGTCGCGTCCGAGGCCATGCTGAGAGCTTGTTTTGTACAACGCGAGGACGACGGCAAGGTCTTCCAGGTCGTACTTCGTTCACCGTCTTCCACACCATTTGACACTCAAGGAGAAGTGGCCGCTGATATAGTGGCCAAGATGAGCACGCGACCACCCATCAGAATACAGCTGCGAGAGGAGGGTAATGAGGCTACTGTCTCGTTGAGGGTACACCATGCCTTGTTCGACGGTATCGCCATCGCCGTGCTCCTTAAGAGGCTTGAGCAGGTCTATGACGGAGTGGCGGAGCAAGACAATGTTGCTTCCGCTCACCAGAGTCTCAATGTGCTTACCAGAGTCTCTGCTCACTGTAATCTCTCAGCTGTGGAGCTGGATTCCACGAAGACCATGTGGCAGAACAAATTACGTGGCGTTCGGCCGTGCCATCTTGGATCCATTGACGACAGCAAAGAGACCGTTCGTTATATTCGATATCTCCCGTGGACCTTGCCCCAGATCAGAGACAAGCTGAACTCTCAGGGCGCCGTTGTGTCGGCTTCTTCTGCGTTCCAGGTGGCGACAGCCCTCTGTTTGTCTCAACTCACCAAGCAGACAACCTCCGTTGTGTACGGGTTTGTCATGTCTCTCCGCCCCTTGCTCGACCACGTCGTGGACAATGGATTGGACGAGTTCCTCGGACCATGTCTCAACACCTTGGTCCAGGCCTTCAGTCTCAGAAAGGATGAGATTTTCCTTGAATTCGCTCAGAGAGTCCACCAACTTCACATTGACGCCTGCCAGGGAACGATGCCACTTGTGAGCGTGGAGCAGGTGCAGCGCTGGGCCGGATCAGAAGACAAGCTGTTTGACAGCCTGCTCAGCATCAACGTTCTTCCCGCGATAGATGAATCTGAAAGTCGACCTGGACGCATGAGTGCTCTGCAGACCCGGAGCAGGAGTGACATGGCCTTGGCCTTTGATGTCGACCTGCACCATGACGGCAAGATCCTCTTGACGCTTTCGTCGGCCGGGGTCTTGACTGAATCGGACTTGGACGAGGTCGGACAGCTGTTTGAGAAGGCCGTAGGCACTTTCGTCTCCGCAGACAAGGAGCTCAGAGTAGGAGATTTGTTGTCGGTCGATGTTGATGCGACTGCAGCTGCACATGATGGGATCAATGACGGTGATGTCGGGTCCCGGATCGACTCTAGTCACGGCGGCTCGGATGCGGAGTTCGAAGCAGCCTTGGCGAGCGTCCACACCAAGCTCTGCCGCCTCCTCCGCTTAAATCCGTCCGACCTCAACAAGGATAAGACGACTTCTCTGTATCAGGTCGGCCTGGATTCTATCACTGTACTCCCATTTGTCAGGCTCCTCAATAAGTCCGAAAAGGTCAAGCTGACGCCCGACGCCGTGCTCAAGGCGCGAACCATTCATGGCACCGCTAGGCTTCTGCAGCAGGCGAAGGCCAACGCCAGTACCACCACCAGAAGACAAGAGCAAGACGTGACAAACGAGAACGACAGTGATGAAACCAAGTATGACAAGACACTGGCACGACTTGCTAGGGACCTTCTCTTTGTGGCGACACCGCTTCAGGAAGGGATGCTCAGCGCCTCACTGGCCACGTCAGGCAAAGCTTACACCTACGATCACACCGTCCAGCTATCAGAGGAGGCCTTGCAGGCAGACACCCCTACTCTCGATCACTTCTTCGCCGCCGTCAAGGACACGGTTCAAGCATGCGAGATCCTGAGAACCAGGTTCATCTTCACCGGGGATGACGAGGCACCATGGGTTGGCATTGTCTCCCCAACCGAGCAAAGCGACCTGGCCAACTGGACCGCATTGGGCAAAGGCAAGATACAGCTGAGAATAAGTCACGCCCTTTATGATGCAACTTCGATCCAGACCGTCTGGCGAATCTTGGGTGAGAACTACTACAGGCGCCTGAACGGCCAACAGATTACGGGCTCTGAAACCGAGGCCCGACGACATGAGTTCCGACCGTTCGCAAAGGCGGTTGCCACGATGCAGAGGACCTCCGTAGAATTCTGGGCTGATTTATTGCGGGATTACAAGTACATTCCACGCGAATTTTCCGAGGGCTTGTCGGCATCATCCGCTTTCCACTTCAACATCTCAGAAGAGGAGCTCTCCCTGCTCCAGTCAAGATGCAAGGCTGTCGGCGTGACGACCAAGACTGTGCTTATGCTGGCCTGGGCCAAAGTTCTCTCCGAGTTCCTGTATGGGCAGCCTGATGTCGTCTATGGACAAGTTGTCACCAGCGGGCATGAGGTCGAGACTGTCGTCGGTCCCACCATCAACACCGTGCCCGTGCGGGTCACACTGAACAGGGAAGCCAGCGTGGCTGAGGGTCTCGCCCACGTGCAGAGGCTGAGCGACGAAGCCTTGGGAGCAAATTCGATGGCGTCTTTGAGGAAGGTGCAGACGTTGTGGCGATCATCAGCAGAAGCTCGTGGCGAGGATCTTCCCTCGAGCCTGTTCCAAAGCCTGTTCGTGTTCGATGGCGTTGTGGGTCACAACCCAGGACATGAAGAAGTTGGTGACTCAAAGTCACTATTCAGGCCAGTTCATGAACAGGACGACAAGGGTGATGAGCGGGCGACATATGACGACTATCATCTGATTACCAGCTTCCAGATCCAGAATAACACGCTCCGCGGCAAGCTCAGAGCAAGAATGGCCAAGGAGGAAGTGGAAACTCTGGGCAGTCACCTGGAGACTGCAGTGAGATCATTGATATCAGATGACTTGCAAAAGTCCGCGCTCGATCTTGGTCGAATGGAGATCACAAAGAAGACTATCACCATCACGGACACAAAGGGAACAGTCAGCAAGCCGGAGGCACACGCCCCGACAGCCAAGGCCAATTCTGTCTTGGAAATAGTCAAGAGCGTTCTCGGAAAAAGATGCAAGGGAAAGGATATTGACTACAACACGAAGCTCATCAATGTGGGTCTGGATTCGATCCTGGCCATCCGTCTATCAAGCTTGTTAAGGAAGCGGTTGCGCATGACGGTAAGCGTTTTCCAGATCATGAAGGGGGCGCGCGTCCACGACATCGTCATTGCGAACCCGGCCAAAGCCCCGGAGGCCGAGAGACAACACGAGGTCGAAAACAAGATCGTCCAGTCAGCAGCGAGACCACGGGCATTTAATTTGCGCCAGCAAGCGAAGCTGCTGTCCATGGCGGCCGAGAGGCTCGGGCTGAGCGAGAATCTTGTGCAGTCCGTCCTTCCGGTTCTAGCAGGCCAGCGTGCGCACCTGGAACAATGGCTGTACAATGGTAGGAGGTTCTTCGAGGCTCCATGGGTCTACCGAGTCGTCGATACCCTCGACAAGCAGACAGTAGAGAGTTGCTGGGCACAGCTTTGCCGAATCCATGATGTCCTCAGGACGACCTTTTTACAGACAGAGGTTGCAGATGCAGGGCTTGTCCAAGTCACCATGAGCGGGCAGTGGTCACCGCCTGGAGGCTTCACGGCGCGTCAGGACTCGACAACACTAATCCAAACCCTAATCGAAGACTATGTCCGCGAGGGCAACAACAAGCCATCAGATCTGAAGCAGCCCCCTGCATATCTCACACTGCTGGAAGGCGCGGACGGCAAGGCTGTTGTACTCAGGCTCCACCATGCGCTATACGACGCATGGAGCATCAAGATGATCATCAAGGACCTGGACGAGCTGTTGGCCGGTGGTGACGTACAGGGTGGCACGCCACTTAGCAACGTAGTTACCCAGATCATGGCGACAAGAGAGCCTGGCGCCGAGGACTCGTACTGGAGTACTCACTTGGCGAACGCCCAGGACACTCTACTGGGCGCTCAGACTGACTCTACCGAGGCGCAAGAAGTTAAGTCTCCGCTTGGTCCTCACCTCCAGGTGAAATACGCAGATGTCATCCCACAAGCCACTGTCGACAAGCACTTGCAGATCAATGGCAAGACGGGAATGTCATCGGCTATCATTCTTGCTTATGCCAGGACGTTGCGGAATTTCACACAACGCTCCCGTCCCACCTTTGGCCTGAACCACGCAGCGCGTTCACTGTCTTCAGTTGACGAGGCCCAGACCCTGGACTTGACTGACGCGAGTGTCCCCACGATGACTACGACGCCCTTCTCCTTGAACCTTGATGCCCCATCAAGCGGCAAGGACCTAATTGATCTCGTGCAGGGGCACCTGGCGCAACTGACCAAGTTCGCGCAGTCGGACGACACACAAAAGTTCTGCCCCAGGTTCAATACCCACATCAACATCCTCTATCCCGGCAACGATGCCGACGCTGACGAGGAAAAGGTCGGCGATAGTGGGCTAAAGGCCCTCCAAAGATACAGGCTCGACGAGCGCCTCGCCTCGGAGTACTTCACTATCACCCAGCCATCTGGCTCTTCAACATCGACGATTGAGGGACTCAACACAGATCACCTCAGCCCTCACAGGTTCTTCTTCAATGTCATTGTCCGTGATGGAATCAGTGTGGCAGCGAGTGGCGACGAGGCTTTGTTTGGTGGCGACCGGGCGGTCGTTACGAGGATGATTGATGATTTCGCGACTGAGCTGGCGAAGATTCTCGAGCACGCTTAGAGCTTCTGTTTGCCAAAGTTTCCAACACCTTTTGGTGTCTGTTAGTAGGCTGTCTGCAGAGTCAGGGAGCATATGCATTTAGGGTGGAAAGTTTTGGAAGAACTCCATTATGTAGATAAATTGATTTGCCACACGTGTGGAATAGAATGGTAGAGAAATATTTGGAGTATTTGGGGAAACAGGGACAGTAGAGCAGTATAGCAATAAGGAGTCAAATGTCTATTAATTGCATCAGAGTATCCGTGACGAGGTCACGTACCGGATCTGTCTGCTCACGGACGCGCAGAAGAAGGGCCTTCTTGACTTCCTCTTGCTAGATACGCCCGACACTCTGGCGACGGTCGAGGAAGTAGAAACATGTCCAATCACTGTAGATGAGAGTAATACGCGCCGTGTCGACCTGGAAGAGCCTATCCGGTGGACCGGCGTGTACCGTGGCCAGTGGGAGAGGGCGATGCCGCCGCTCGAGTTGATGGGTGATGGGAGAGCTTCATGCGTATATAAGTCCCTTGATTTCCCAACCAAGGCGGACCATGACGATGCGAAGATGCGTTGTAAAGGAAGAATTGACAGGCGATGGTGGAATTTCAAACCTGAGAGACAGTCCTGCATATAAGTTCTGGGGATGAATTCCCAAGTTCAAATTGCTATTTTGAAGTGCTATTTGGGCAAGCAGGATGTCATCGACCTTCCATTAGACAACAGTGTCACTCGCCGTCAACGCGGTTCTGTTCAGCCGATGTACCAGTATCCAAAATTCTCTCGAGTGGGTACCCGGACCAATTCATTCTGGAGTTTTTAAAATAAATAATTGAATTAAAGTGTTTTTTCTCTCCCTCTCGCTTTTACTTTCGGTCTTCTCTTTTGTGATTTATGTATGTGTTTCTTCTGCGTTACAGTTTCTCCACATGAATCCCTATAGTATAGAGCTTGTTTGAATTAAACTATTCCTTTGTCATCGTCGATTCTAATCGCGCGATTTTTAAATACTTACTGTTCACATATAAATGTTTCAGGTAGGTTCGATGTATCCCTCCACTAAGTCATCGCCGGGAGCGAAGCTGCTAAGCGAATTTTCGGAGCGATGTACTGGAATATTGTCCACCGCACTCTGCGCATCCATTACCAAGAGAAAGTCAGCACCTTTGAAGGTTCGCATACCATGATCCGATCCCATACTCATCATTATATCTCAGAAAGCCCATTTGTGGGGGCTTCTTGTCTTAGAGAATTCTGGCCTCGTCTCAACATATCAAATGGTTGCTTACACACATCTGACCACCACTGTGAAATGCGCAGTCCGCTTGTCTGTTGCGGCTGAAACGGGCGCTTCTATAATAGTGCCGGCTGCGCTAATCAGCATTCTCCCGTTCAGTTGTCAGCCGGTCTCCGCCCCCCTCCCTCCAGGGGGGTGCTTCAAAACGAAAATGATCTTTAATATTAGAACAGGATTTGATGACCCATTTTGGTTTTTATAGCTGCGAGTAAAAGCTAGGACAAGATATATAAGGTTGAACTGTTGCATCATTCAGCTTTCCGCAGTCTTTATATATACCTCCACATCAGAAGACTACATTCATCACTATTTATTTCACGGTCTATGGAGGGGTTTCCAGCCTTATAAAACCACATCCAAAACGTCATTTTGCAGGAAGAATGTCTTCTCAATTCGTTCTTGCTGCCGTTCCAGGCTTCGGTCTGGGTCCAGGCAACATTAAGTACACCGACCTATCAGGCAACACAGTCGACCCAACTCCCCAGGAACAGGATTACTTGAACAGAATGTACTTAGCACTGTTTCCTAACAGGATCCAAGCAAATGCGGCCTGCGAACTCTTGGCAAGAATTATTGGTTATGAAGGTGATGTTTTCGCCAAGGGAAGCACGAAGAAGAAAAACCACGCAGAGGAGAACCTCCTCAAAGATCTCGCGGGCCAGAATGATTCTGTGCAGGCCACAGTCTACGGCATGTTTGTAACCCTCGAACCCTGCCACAGTGGGCGATACCCAGGCCACAGCTGCAGGGACTTCTTCCAAGACGGGAGGGAGTTCACGGCTCACTACGATGATGGGACACGCAGAAGAATCAGGGGGCAGTTCCTGCCAAACCCTGACACTAGGCACACACGGTACACGCCTATCTTCATTCTTGAGAAGCAGCTTGCTAAGGGTGAGAAGAGCGCGCTCGGGTCGGTCAGGTCGTTTGGCCAGGCTTATCGGAGCGATATGCTGATGCTCAACTTGAGCGAGATTCCGAGGGGTTATACAGAGGAATATGGACGGAAAATGCGGTGGGACCAAAGTGAGCAGCAGAGTGCGGGCGCGGTGACGAGTGTGTCTGTGCCTGAGCGCGCTGAGGGACAGACTGGCAGTCGTGGGATGGGTGGATCGGGTGATAGAAGCCAGCGAAGAGGCGCGACAAGAACGAAGAAGTCGAAAGGAAAGCGGCGTTTCTTCAAGTTCTGGCGACTGTTTCGGAAATGAGTCGGCATCATGATGATTGAGACTTATTACAGCTGCTGATCCTGTCTCCTTCTCGTGGAGAAAGTTTCATGCCTTATTGCCGTCTTGCCCACAAGTCCCCTTCTAATAAAAGATAGAATTCTCTTGCATTTAGAAATTTATAAAAGCATCGTTATCTAGGTAGACATAGACACCTTACTCATATAGACACAGAAATGACACCCAGTGGTTTGCGTGTCGAATTATGAATCCATCGTCATAATTGTGTCATTTGAAGTTCTCATGGCCGCACCACCTCTCGCCAGGTACTAAGGGATCCAGACGTCAACCTTGACAGCGTCACCAACGCCACGGGAGATCGATGTTGAGACGCAATCTAGTACCGTATCTCCATGGTCCGATCCTAGAGCTGGCTCATTGTCGCAGAAATGATAGTTTGCTTCTTCTTTGTTTCTCTACAACAACATGATGTGCACATTAGTCGAATCCTTGGAAAAATACAAAGATTTCAGGCATGAATTCCACGGCCAATGCCTTAGGCCGTCGCTTGATAAGAGACAGCAACGGGGTGACGCGACTGCGATGATCCTACAATCGGCTCAGAGATGGCCTATGAAGCATTGACATGAGTTGGTGGCCCCGAATACGCTCTACCCGGCAACCAATCTCAGGAACACGAAGCCTAACGTAGAATCCAGATGAGGGTAGATTTGGAGACCAGTGTCCCAAGACTACGCTATCGCAGAAGTGCCATGGCTAGGTCCTTTTTTCCAGAAAGCGAAATTTAGCATCACGAAAATTGATTCGGAAGCCTAGTGCAGTTTGATGCAGCCGTACCGTCACAGTTAAACCAGGTATCGATCAGAAATGCCACTGTGTCATCCATCTCTCCACCCACTCTTCCTTGACGGGCTCCAAGCCAGCCAAAGTTTCCGAAACCGCCGATGCTCGTTTCGTGTCCAGCAAGAAGGGTTCCTTATCCTTGTTGTCCACCAAACTTTCGAAGAAGTCGACGAGTTTGACAGCCGGGTTCTGTGCCTCGTGGTTTTCTCCATCAGCAGTCTTTCGCAGGGCCTGCACCCACGTCTCCAGGGACACCACCTCAACATCGTCCGAGAGACCACGAGCAATGATGGGTACTAGCTTGTCCCACGTATTTTGACGCGGATTAGCAGCGTGGAATACAGCGGCGGCAGCATCATTGCCTTTGCTGGAGGCGGCATTGACAGCCAACTCGACGACGACCTTTGCGAGGAGGTCCACCGGGATCCAGTCCACGGTGTTCATCTGACCGAGGGAGTTAGGTAACTTCTTGAGATGCTTAGAACTCGCGATTAAGCTGGGTAGCCACTCCTGCTTCGGCCAAACTCCGGCCCCCGTAGTTGGGCCAGCTACCTGGCCGACACGACATAGCGTGACTGGGATGCCGGACTCCCTGGCACCCTCAGCAAGGATGCTCTCGGCCACGAGCTTGGATCGTCCATATCCATTCCCGTGTGCAACGTGCCAGTCGCACAACACCTCTTCCGGAATACAAACCGTTTCATTTGGCTGCTCAGCGTTGGCAGGCTTCCAGTTCGAGACCGCACTGACACTCGAGATGAAGAACACTCTGGCCTCGAATCGAGAGCTTACTGAGAAGTCGATCAGTCTTCGCACGGCAGCTATCTGAGTAGAGTATGAATTCAGCGAGAGATTGAAGTCGACTGTCCATGCGTTGTGGATAACATGCGTCGTATCCTCAAGCAGCTTTCTGTACTGGTCTGACGAAAGGCCAAGTCGGGGTTTCGAGAGGTCTGCGTCGAGGAAGATGACCTTGTCTGTAGAGACTGGCTTCAGTCCTTTCGTAGCCTGCGACTGCTGCTGTCTATCTGCGCTTTGAGGACCGCGATTCAGACAGTATACTCTAGAAATGCGCGGATTGCTATTCAGCGAGTCCAGGATGTACGAGCCGAGTGATCCAGATGAGCCCGTAATGATCACCGTTGACCCATCATGTGGCCTCGGAGAAGCATGTTTCGCAATTATGGGAAGATCCATGACCTGGGTCTTGTAGAGTTGCTCCATTTTCTCCTCTTCAGTCTTCGCCGTCTGCGCTGGGTCTTTGCCCTCCATCAGATCGCCCACCGCTTTGGTTAGACCGCTGATGCTGGGATTTAGGTAAATTATTTTGGGTTCGAGGGGCTTCGACGTCGCTCCGCGCTGCACAAAGAAGTAGTTCAATGCTCTCGCCATCGTCATGACTTGAAGAGAATCCAGTCCAAGCTCGAAGAGGTCTGCCTCCGGCGCCAATCCTTGCACATCGATGTCCGTGAATTTGGTGATAACGTCCATTACAAGGTCTCCGGCACTTCGTCCGCCACCATTGCCGCCATCCGCAGATACGCGTACGAACTCCTCGCTAGCCTTGTAAAGAGCATCCAGCTCCGAGGCATACAACTTAAGCGTCATCTTACGCTGAACCGTACCCTTGCCGGCTCTCAGCATTGGCTTATCAGAGCTCGTAAACAAGACCATGTCCCTATGAATCCTCCCATGGGAGGGGCATTGCTTATTCGCGGCTTGAATTGAAGGCCAGATTATGCTCAGTAAGTGTTCCTTCTCAGCTTCGGTGGTAGGCGGACGGACCGCCTCAACAAGAAGACTGGACTGGAAGTGGCCATCACCAGTGATTAGAGCCGACGTTATAGCTGGGTCCGCATTGATAGTGCTCTCTATCTCGATAGGGTCGAGCTTCTCGCCAGTGGAGAAGACGATGACATCATCTGCTCTGCCGCGGTACAACCAAACACCGTCCTTCGTAGGGTGTTTGGAGTAGAGGTCTTTCATTGGCCATTCGTTGAGTTCCGGGAAATTGTAGAAAACGCCTTGGAAGAGTTGGAATTCTGGTTTCCGGACAATGAACTGCTCGTACAAGTCGCTAGATATCTGGCGGTATTCCTGGCCCAGAACAGGGCTTGTTCTCATGTACAACCAGTCTTCTGGGTCGCTCAGTTGGAGGGGATGTTGGCCTGTCTCTGTTGTGCCGAGGCCGTTTAGCAGGCGAGTTTTGGAGGCTATGAGGTCTCCAACTGCCTGGGGGAGTGGCCCGCCGCCAAAAGTAACCTGCTTCAATCGCGAGAGGTTCCTCAGGTACTCCGGGTTCTTTGTGAGTTCGACGAGTGTGATTGGTGCGAGAATGGTTTCCTGGACGTTTCCGTGAACGTGGACGGAGTTTGCGACCTCTGGAGAAGGAGGGAAGGGCCCGAGAACGAGAGTAAATCCAGAGAAGATGGAAACGGGGAGGAGCATATGCAGACCGGCGCAGTGAAAGTGTGGAAAGGCGCCATACAATCTGGTTCCGGAAGAAGTAGCTGGCCATGTTCCTTCGTACCCCATGTCTGGCAAAGCTGTAAAGGCATCCTCGGCTGATAAAGAACCAAGTGCTTGCACGATTGGCTTCGGTGGACCAGTAGAGCCAGACGTATGTAAGACAGCAAAAGGGTCGTGCTTGCCTTCGTCAAAAGACTTCACGTATGGATATGGCTTGTCGGTACCGGCCCAAGAGTCGTTAATCCAATACTGCAAGCTGGGAATCTCGAGCACAGTCATTTGCCGAGAAGATAGAATCTGCTTGACAACTGGCAGGGAAAAGCTCGGCGGGAGCAGGAAGTTATTACAGTTCGTCTTCTCGAGGAGTGACAGATGCGACTCAAGTGTTTCGCGAGCAGAGTTGAGGAGGACTTTGTAGCCCGTCTTGACGCAAGCGAGGACCAAGATGCCATAGACAAGGTCCTGAGGACCAATGTAACAGAGCGTTGGGAAGTCCTGGCCCCAGCCCTGGCCGAGGTTTTCCTCGATGTGCCATGCACAGCGGTCGACGGCTCGCGCAAATGTCTTCGAGGTAATGTCGCGGAAACCATCCTGGGGATTGTTCGTCTTAGTTACGGAATAAAACACGCGGTGCGGCTCATGTTGGGCGATGTCATCCACATGGGACGGCAGCAGACGCCTCCCTATATCGCCAGGAAGTTGCATTTGGGCAAGCAGTGATGCAGATCTGCTGTTCTGAAGGTTGCGTCTTTGTCTCCCTGGGTAGTCTTGACACAACAACTTTGTTGTGTCAATTCACTGATGCGACCGAGGAGCTTTCACAACAAAGTGGCACGACGATGCGTGTTACAAGTCTTTGCAAAGGGCACTGGTTTTGAAACAGTGGGGGGATACGAAAACAAGGGCAAGATCACGACCGTGTCCAAGGTTCTGAGTGGCAGGACCTTCTTTGTTCGTCTGTGTTGTCAACGTTTGGGGGCGCACGTCAATTAGCGCATCAGACTTCGCACAGCAATCTTACTTGCTGCCAGCGTCACAGCAGCTTCCACACAACCAAGCATCATTGGGTGATTTGTGAACAGTGACGCGGACAGCTGTCACCAACAAAAAGTCCGCAAAAGTACCAACAGCAGGTACTTTATTGTATCTAATATGGAGGGAGTACGTCTCTTGCTGAAAGGCGGGAAGGGCGGAAGGGGGGTGGCAGGGGGTTGCAGTCAAGCTCCATCTTGAGTAAAGTACCTACCTAATGTCAGCATGCTCCCGGTATCACGTCAGCAATTGTTCAGTAGTCCAAGGGACCCAAGGAGGCCGTCACATGTGATGGCTAGGAGGCTTTGGGATTCAAGCTGTAGATACAATACAGGTACCATGCCGGCTTCAACGTCAACGAGTCATCATTTCAAGGACGCAAAATCAGCACTATACTTGGACTAGCCATCGGAATTGACAGCACTAAACTTTGATAAGAATGTAAGGCAAAATATCTACCCTGACAGGAATTGTCACATTCTGCAAATGCATCCTCTTCCTCACTTGCCCCTTAGACTCGGTACATAAGTAGTCCTCGGAACTCCACCATCCCCGTCACTTGCCTGAAAGTCTGTATCCGGAGGGTTCATGATTTTGAAGTGGTCTTGGACGGTTCCTCGGCTTGATCCATCTTCAAAATTGCTCAACCGAATAAATTCACCTGTCCCAAGATTGGATCGTTGATTTCCGCTGTAGGCACCCGAGAAGCCGCTCCGCATGCCCTCGATATCCCCTACATAGCGATCGGATTGAACCTTAGAGCTTCTGAGCTTCAACATGCTCGGGCCATAATGTACTATCATTGGCCACAGTGCTGGCATGCAGGCACAAATGAAGATGGCACCTGGCTCGGCGACTATCCACGAGATGAGGTCGATGGAGGCCCAGGTGTTGTCAGAGAAGGCGTTGAGTTGGAAGAAGAGAGCCGTACGAATGGAGGAGGCAACGCAACCACTGTATTCATGCGTTGTCATCAGCTCAGAGCTTGGGAAGTAGCTGGGGTCAGAGGAAACTTGCAGTGATCCGACCAGGAAGACACAACTGAGGGCCAACTTCTGCCTGAGTTGCATCTGCAACTTCCAGACCACGGGCAGAGGGATGACCAACATAACAACGTCGTGGATTATGTTCGGTGGGCCGACCCAGCGGAAGAAGGCAAGCTGGTCGATGCACACGCCGTCAGTAGCACCCGCGTACTGCTCCCATTGAAAAGGGACTGGTTTGCATGCGAAGATCGTGACAAGGCACACGCTCAAGCCCCACATCCAGATATAGGCAATCAACAGGTAATTTGCGTAGCGGAACCAGTGATGGACTCGAAATATGCGGATATAGAGCAGTAGAATCGACGTCTTCTCCAGTGGGATAGCAATTCCCAAGGTGATGCTGGTCGCGAAGAGGACCTGCGCCCAAGACACCATCGCTTCGGGCTCGTACTGGAGAACATATGCTTCGTGTCGGCCCATACCACCGTAGCGGACACCTTGAGTATGGATCGTCCATTAGCGACGATGCTCACTGGCGGCAGTGACCAAAATAGTAAATATCAGTCTACAGCTTCGCAGTCGACTTACCACAGATGGCACCGGCACAGTGGCCCATCAAGACGATCCAGGCAGGAATCATGATCCAATCTTCAGCGCATATTGGCCTCTTCTCGGATCGACGAGAAATGAATCGTAAAATGAGGATAAGGGTGCAGAGCACCATGAACATGATCGCAACACCGAGGATGGTCCCTCTACGGTCAGCGAATAGGCCGCCTTCCAAGCTGGAGGTGTCTGCCCTCGGGATCGGCATCTCAGCTAGCTGATGCGAAGAGTCTCTGTCTGCCGTAAGAATAATGGCAGTAGAGCGGATGGAGTGAGAGGCCCCAACTGTGCGCTTGCCCGCATCTTGTATCCTCTTCTATCTTTTCCGGGTAGGACCAGCCACAACGCAGTCATCATGCAGGCATGGCTGTAGCGTATCCGAAGGGAAAGCTTGCCCCCCCCCCCCAACTACCACCCAAAGAACGCATCTTGAACGTTCCGGCCATTGGCTGAAAGAGCTATCCACATTATTGACGACAGGATCCGGTGAAAAGTCATCATTCATTTGGAACAAGTCGCTTAGATCTGCACAATTCTCTGCTGCCAGTGTTAGCACCTCATTCAGCTACCCAGGTGGGAGATGCTGGGGCCTAGCAGCTACCTAGGTAAGACGGGAGACTTGAGAGGTATCAAAGTCTTTGGCAGTGCCAGGTCCTCGGCGTCGGGAACTTGTATCAGCGCCAATAGTGTGATGCAAATCATGTTTGGGGGCCGGTGGCGGATTGAAAGGATGGGTCGCACAACGTCCGCCACTCCGGCTGCTTCACAACACCGTCTATGGGCTTGCAGATTGACCGACCGTTACATAGTCCATCAACGGGTAGTTGGGGGCCGTTGGAAGATGACAATTAGGCACTTACGAGGGAGCGCGAGAAAACTTTCCTCTCAGCTACCTACGTCGGTCTTTGGCCACGGAATTTTGTGATATCTATGAAGCATCTCACCAGGAAATTTCGATATGTTGCAAGATTTCACCAATTACCATTACTTCAATTCTAAGAGTGAGTTTCAGTAGTATGTCGGACCGGAAAATCTGGTCATTCTGCTTGACGTCCTGGCCCCGAGATATCAAATTCCAAGCTGGTATGCTACCATTGGGCGCCTACGAATTCAGGCCTTTTCCAATCAATGCAGATACTAAGGATCATGTGGGTTACATAGGTAAAAGGGCGGCCTAATGCTACGCAGAATGAATGACCATCGATTTTGTATGGAGAAATCCACCGCACTAGACACTGCAGGAGTGAGGCAAAGCTCAATGAGCCTCGCAGCTCAATGTTGTGCAACGGGAAAAGGAAGTCCGCCTCCGCTCTTACACTCGTCATCACCCCACGACGGGTCCGTCCAAAGGTACTGGTGCGTACCTTCGATTGGCAGACTAGAATGAAATCCTTCATGCGACCCTGGCAATTTCTTGTGGCTGCAAGCCCTTGTCTGTCTAGCCAACACCAACTTTTGGAACAATTCTGCGGCCGTCATTGGCTCAAGATAATTTCTCCCGGAATCAATGGCAGCACTCATTTCAATACGGAGCCAAGATGGTCGGTCATTCATGTGAGGATGAAGATTTGCTGTCTGTCAGCACTTGAGCGACTAGCCCGAAAGTCATTGTCTATTTTACACTTCGTTTTTCAACCAACATTTGCTCCCACTGTACTGAGTACATGACTGCGTGAACACGTTTTCTTCCTCTTTATCAACAGATACGATTCAAGACTCGTCATCAATCCGACGCAATGAGATTCCTCTGTTGGCTGATGTGCTCAAGCACACCTAAATCAAGATCTGACCAGATCTTCAAGAAGCTGAAATCACGTCAGCTTGGATATGCTCATCTGTTGTGATCTGATCGTGTCCTTTATTCACGTAAATAGAGCTCTTCCGCCACCAGTGAAGTGATGTTGCCCTTGCGATCGATTACCATTGAACATAAGACCCGTGTACTTTCATTATTTCGAGAAGTAAGACATGGAGAAAAAGGAGTTGTTCCCGGGCCTCCCTCCTTATAGGGACCCAACCCGGGGTTTGCTCTCGAAATTACCACCGCCATGGATTCCCTATGGCCAACTCATGCGCCTTGACAGGCCAGGGGGGTTTTACGCGTATTATTTTCCGTATCTAATCGGCTTCACCTACGCGTCTTGCATTGCCCCTACACCCCTCGGGCCCAAGCTTTTACTTCCCTGGGCCTTGGTTCTCTTACCATTCAGTTTGTTACTTCGCGGAGTGGCCTGCACCTGGAACGATACCGTGGACCAGAAATTCGACCGCTGCGTAAGGCGAACATGTCACCGTCCTGTAGCCAGAGGGGCTGTCACAACTACGCAGGGCCATATCTTCACTCTCATTCAGGCAATTCTCCTCTACATTGTTGTGATTAACCTGGGAGTTTCCTCAACCTGTCTTTTCCACACTACTGTCACAGTAGTGCTATTTTGCGTCTACGCCCTGATGAAACGCGTCACCTACTACCCGGAAGTCGTTCTCGGAGTCCCCTTTGCGTGGGCCATTTTCTTCTCCGTTGCCGCCCTGGGAATGGACCCCCTCGATGCTCACATTGTTTGGCCAACCGTGACCATGTTTGGGTCGAATGCCCTATGGACCGTGACATACAGTGTCATCTATTCCCACCAGGATATCGCGGACGACGAGGCGGCCGGCGTGAAGAACATGGCGGTGCGGTTCAAGAACGGCACCAAGCCGTTGGTAGGTCTTTTGACCTTTGCTCAGGTCGCGCTGCTGGCAGTTTGCGGAGTGTGGGCAGGGTTCGGCCCGTTGTACTACATCGGCTCTGTCGGTGGCGTCGCGGCGGCGATGGCTTACTACATCTATGATGTGGACTTGGCCAAACCAGAGAGTTGCTTTGCATGGTTTGGATATCAGTTTTGGACTGTTGGGAGTGCATACATGCTTGGACTGGCGGGAGAACTCCTAAGACGAATGCGAATATAAGTCAGGACCTTGTCCATCTATAGATACGGAGAAGCGAGGTTCAGTTATTTACCTCCCAAAGAAGGCACGAGCAATCAACCGAATCAACGAATCTTGCAACATCAGAATTGGGAGCCTATTGCAGCTTGCTTACTGTTCGCCCCGAAAGTAGGGTCAATTGCAGGTGGAAAAAAAGAAGATTTCGAGGAGCAAGATTTCGAGGAGCAAGATTTCAAGGAGCAAGATTTCGCTTTCCGAAGTGACAGCGTGTGGTCCAGAATTGCTCTCACTCAATCAATTTTTTCATATTCTTCATGTTCATACAATCATTGAATGCCTCTGGGCACAATAATCTGGCCTTTTTCAGCTTGGGTGTTAATCATGAGGTCCACGGCTGTACAGCAACAGCCGAGAGTAACATTTCTTAGGTAGCTTCATTAAGTCATGATTTCTGAAGACTGACTGTAGTCTACAAAGCATTCAATCTCCATGCAGAGCGAAGCCCGGCCATTCTGTTCTGCTCTGATATCCAGCGGGTTCCTCGATACGGCATTTGGGGTGAATTAAAGTATCACAGCATCTTGCCTTTTCATCACAAGACTGTAGGAGTCGTACCCTACATATTCATAAGCCAGCCCGCCAGTAAGACAGCTCCGATCGCGCTGGTCTTGTAATTTGTTGCCCAAGTCAGGAAATCAGGCCGGAGCCGGCCTGCACCAGAGGTAACATTATCGGTGGTCCCATTAATCGCGCGGACACATTGTACCCCGACGTTGGTTGAAGATCGAGTTCCGCTGGACGACAGGTGGCCGAAGATGGTCAAAACGGTCCAGACGTTCTGGCGGGCTGCCTCACCAGCCGCGGTGGCATCTCCGGAGTCCGTTGGCTCGCTGCCGAACGCGTAGAAGCGATTGTCGTCAAGTACGGTCTGGTTGATTGCTGCGCGTAGTCTGATGTTAGACTCCACGGCCGGGAGCGAAAAGACTTAACTGGTTTTGGGGAGAGAACATACCAATCGCCGTGGTTCTGAGGCTGTCAGATGGGAAAGAATCGGTGCATCTTGCTGGCAGAACGAAACTTGTACAGTTTCCACTTGTGTCCATGCCATTCGTGGTGGCTCCACCGGCACCTACAGAGAGTGCTTGGATGCAATCCGTCGAGAGCACGTTATTGCACGAACCATCCAGCGTGGTAGAATTGTCCACGTTGTTCGTTAGCCCTGGGTATACGACAGCACACATCCTCCAGGTATCGTCCATTTTCATATTGTCAGGTGCTTTGATGTATAGAGTCGTTGCCTCGAACACTTGGTCCTTGTTGACAGACGAGTTCGTGGCGTCCGACAAGGACACGGCTTGCTTGACAGCTGCCTCGAGCTTCCATCCGTCCACAGACTGAGGCGTACTGTCGGTGGAGACGTCATACCCAGTAATGTTGAACGCGGCTGCGTCGTCGGGCTTGTCGGTATCTGACTTGAACTTGCTCGGAGGAAGGCCATACGGTGCTGCCACGCCCAGGTCACCAGAAGCGATGGAGCCGGAACTTGGGTCGTATGCACACACGTAGGCAGGTGTCTCGAGGAGTACAAGAACCCAGACGTAGGCGAAATTACTGCTCAGCATTGTGACGTCTCTTTGGCCTCAGACCTAACTGCCAAAGGAGAGGGGGTGACGTCTCTTGAAACGTAGCGGGGCCTGGGGATAGATGGATGGATAGAAGGAGGTCGTGACGTAGGTCGAGACCCGTTATGGAGATGAAGAATGATACCCAGTACAAAAGTGTATCATTACACTCTGGGACACAGCTAAATGCATTGGATCGTGAAAGACCGCTGTGAAGGAAAGGAAAAGGGGTATGAGATGGAACTAGCTGTGCCTATAGTTGGAGAACCCCGATCTCACGAAAACAAGACGCGTGACCCAGGAACAGGGGCGTGGATCTCTATTCTGGAACCCAGGTCCCGAGGTCTGTTCAACCTCAGATGAACCAATAATCAACTCGAGAAGCGCGACCTTGAGTTCAGTTCGCAGTCCAAAAGGGATGACCCCTTGTAAACGGCTGCTCATGACATCGGCCAGAGCGGGACCCAAGACGGGAGTGGCTTCCACGGAGGCTTCCTTGGGAGATCTTGGAAACCTTAGCATGAATGAAGCTTCATAGCACAAACCTTGAATAGTCATGGGGACTCCGGTCGCACAATGCGGCAACGAGGGCCGGGGGCCAATTGGTGGGTGAGGAGTGGTTGGACTGCATGTTTCATGTTTCGAGTTGGAAGGCGAAGGCGGGGTTGAGCATGGGAGGCGTGACCAGGAAGCATCGACGGCAATGTCCACGGGTTGCAAGGTATTGGTATGTGAGTACTTGAGACTAATCTCCAAATGCTCCTCCACCAGGCTGGTAATTGCATCCTATCAACCCGAACCAGCACACTGGATGATTACGGAAGAATAAATCGAGGAGAACCCTTTTCTTGTTGGTCAACAAATCAACAATATCGGCAATCTCACCACGGCCGGCATAGACCAAATTGTTAGGAGATGCGTTGGCACTTGGCTTCTAATATCATGTAGAGCGGAGCACTCAGTAGGAAGAGGGCCCAGCCATCGTGGCTGAAGGCTGGAGAGGATGACAAAGACGACGACGAGCCTGGCGATAGGTGGATTCATGGATAGGAGTTGATTTACTGCATTTACTGCTTGCCCATATTGCTCTGTTATCTTATCTATTGTTTGCTGACAGGCAACGGCATAGAGGCAGGAAGGAGCAAGGCGAAGCAACGTTGCCATATTTAGCAACAACTGGGTGCCTAGGTGCCTGGCAGTTTGGAAGCGGACCCTAGCCACAATCCTCCCGCACTACGGGTGCAGTCAGCACTTCGTCTCTCATTCTCGTTCTCACCCATTTCCTTAGGCAGACTTGCTTTCAGTCGCAGATTTGCGCCACATTTCACACCATCTGCGCGACCTTTGTCGCTTTTCATCCCGTGGGTGGCAAGCGGCTATCCTGTCGCTTGGGACGCTGTGACACGTCGATTGCCGCCGAGTGACTGAGAATGCACGTCGCCAAACAGACGAACAGGACCCTAGTCGCCGTCACATCACAAACACCGACCCTACCGTGCCTACCTGCGCTTGTTGGCCTTGGCTAAACCCCTCCTGTCTACACCGTAGACCAAGTCAAGCTCAGGATCGGCATCCTACGCCTAATGACCTGGATGGCTCCTGCAGAAGCCTGCCCAGTGCCCACAATCCACAGCCATGTCAGCCACAGCGCAGGCTAGACTGGCCATTCGGACGGGGCATGGGCAGGAGCCGACACGACCCAACTGGTCCAGGAGCGGCGATGCCATGGCATAGCACCGGCTATGGCCATGGCTATGACCGTGACTCTGACGTCTGGACTGCCTCCCCTCGGAGATTGGACCCTGCCAGTCTCTCTTCCTCATCCTCCTCCTCCTGGGGCTGCGAGCTCAGCCGCAACCCGACCTGTTGGTGCTAGAGCTAGAGGCAGTCATTTAGCGCCTGCCCCAAAGCATGCTTAATGTTAATGACGCCGTTGGCCTCCTGTTCGGCGTCTAAATCCTTTCCTCTCTACACAAAACATTACTGAAAAATTCCTCCAGGCCCTGATTCAGTTGTCTTGGAAAATCCCAAACGACGAGCTCATTCAATTGACGGAGCACCGGCGAGTGCCTTGACGATCTTCATCGACAATTTGCTTCTGTCGTCCTGCAAGGGCCCACCAAATAAGCTCAACAGGCCCCCACGCCTGCCCACACCACGACGTACCGCACCGTACCTCATACACCTTACCCACGATGCATTTTAGACCCCAATCAGGGTGGCTTTTACTTTTACCACTACTTGTCGCAACTCCGTCATTCGCAGCGGTTCACAGGAGAGCAGTGAAGAACGATTTCTCAGACTATCCCTCTGGCACGCAACAATGCCTGAACGATGCATCGGACGACTCACGTTGCAGCGGCAACACGGTGCCCCAGATGAACCAATGTCTTTGCGGCAACGGTGGGGATTTTGTGACCAATTCCGCGAAATGCATCGCAGCAAAAGATCCTGACGATCTGGAAAGCACCTGGGAGGTCTTGAGTTTGCATTGCTCCGATTCAAACACGCCACTGTCCATCTCCAAGAACGAATGGATGGCCCAACAGTCAAGCATTTCGACGTCTTCCACAGCGAGCAGGACCACCAGCAAGACGGCTACAACAAGCATGATGACTACAACTAGCGCAGGGCACACCACCACTGCGACAGTAACAAGTACGCCGACACCAACGTCGGACCCGGCTGCAGAAGACAACGACAGTGGTCTTTCCGGCGGCGCAAAAATCGGGGCCATCGCGGGGTCAGCTGCTGCGGGAGTTGCGCTCCTCGCCGCCGCGCTCTTCTTCTTTTGTCGCTACCGGAAACGCAGAAGTGGCGCCGCTTATGAAGAGGTTCATGCCATGGGCACGCAATCACCATTCAATCGCATTAGCAAGGAGCCCGCACCCTTCGGAGCCTCCGATGCGGGCGGACACCCGAGTTACCACTCAATGACGGCCTCAGATTTGGAAAGTACGTCTGACCCTCGCAGGAGCTGGCACCCCTCACCTGATGGCCAATCAGTCCCGTGGTCGCCGGGTGCGTTCGAAGCCGTCAAACATCACCCCGGTTTTGGGAATTTGCCGGCAGAGATCCATGAGATGTCAACAGATAGCGAAAGACCAGTCTCCATGTCGCCGTCTGCTCCTGTGGAAATGCCGGCAATATCGGTGACCTCGCCTACTGTATCACCAACTTCCAGATATTCGGGAGCGGATTGGGACGCTCAGTTGCCCCAGGAGCCGAGACGTTATGAGCCGTACCGGCCAGCACGGTGACCCAGCTGGACTTTGACTGGACTGGACTAAACTAATGCCTGTTTGACGCATTATTGCTTTCTGGGAGCGGCGGCGTTCGGGATTGTTTTATTTTGTCTTCCCGGTGGAAGAGACGGAACACGATTTGTGAGAGATCACAAATGGTGCATGTTGTATTTACCATGTATAACCTCTGCATCTGATAATGTATGCATGCCTGGGTGCTGTACCCGGTGGTCAGAGATTAGCCTCTTGTGGTCTTGGATGCATAAGTGTCTTGCATTGGCATGACGGAATTTACCAGTCACATTAGTATCAAGCTGTGCGACTCTCAAGCCTCGTCCTCCAACATCATAATCTTGCAATGCCTAGAACGACCGGTGTTTTCCGGGATCGTTTCTGGCATTTAGCTCCGGACAAGCACATTCTCAGCCAAACAATTACTGATCCTGTAGGGGACCAGGCCCAATACGAATGTACCACGGCATTAGTTGCACGGCATGGGCCATTGATCGAGCGGAGACGACAGGCGGCGATGTGCACCAAAAGACGTCGCGGGACGCTGTGGCACCGGGACGCGGCCGAGGATCACCGTCAGCAAACCGCCGCAATCAGGCGGTCGATTTGAACCATCCTTCAAGGCACCCGGCACATCTTCCGAGAGGTCATCGGTGCCCACAGATGCGGCTTCAAATTCTTACCCGCTCGACATGACGTCCCATTTTCGAACTTCTTGGTGTGTGTGCTGCGCTGTGCATCTAAGATGGTGTTCAAAAGGTGCCAATCTTGTTCTGGGATGATGCATTTTTAAGCTGGGGCTCATGACATGGCCCTCAACAGTTGTGTCCCATCACAAGCGAGCTGCGGTCGGCTTCATGGGTCAATTGAAGAGATTTAGATTCATCCTACCCTGCTTCGAGTCATTGGCCCAACAACAACAACTGCCAGGCGCCGACGTAACGTGTCTTTCGGCACACGATTGAAACCGTTCTGGAGCGAGTTCAACATTGAACGCGCCATGAGGATAAGCGTCGTGGCGTCAGCGGGACGCTAATGATGCCTACCACCGGCAAGGAACCACTGAGAAGAGTGGGCCAGCGTTCCGTCTAGTCGGATGTCTCCACTGACTTTGTGGCTTTGTTCATCACCGTCTGCCGAGAACTGCGAGCTGCTGGGGCCAGTGACCACCCCGCAGTTCCCGTCAACGGTGCACGTTTCTCGTGGCACGCAGTCAGCAGCAGTGACAGACGCCAGAAAGTGACAGACAACCAACCTGCAGGCTGTCCTGGTCCAGACCGCTACTCCTTAAGGCCACCTCGAGGCAAATCGCGATTTGTCCCTGCTGAACCCTTGTTTTCGACTGGTTATTGTAAATTCCACCTTTCAGCCGCTTTTCCGACGTCTTCTCGTGTACTGAGAATTTTCCGTTGATTCCATCCCGATTTGTTACCACGGGCGAACGATGAGTCTGCAGTGCTTTTTCATCCGTTCTGTCTATTTGCTTCTACCTATGTCATGATGTCCTCGTCCCCGTCATCCCCGTCCTACCTTTCATGGGACATTCTGCGGCCCTGTTTCAAGTGCTGCAATCAACTCTGGGTATGTCCGTTCCCGGAAAAGCTTAGACCTGACCACCCATCCCTCAGGGTCGAGACAGCGCCACGGCCCCTTGCTGACGGATATCTGCAGATCAATGAATTTGCCATCTTTGGAGAATGCGTCGGTGCCATTGCATGGATACCCACAGTCTTCGCGCTTCTACTCTTAATATCGCGATATGGCCTGCGGCCGGCATGGCACCGTAGGCCGATCTGGCTCCGTGATTTCGCAGCGGAGGAGCCTGGAGAGGCAGAGGGCATCTCGACCGACCTCATCCCCATCAAGAAGCGGGCATGGGGCCTCTCGACAGTCGTTCTCGTCTTGGGCTCGACGATTGGCCTTGTGATCAGCATCCTGGCTGCGCTGCACCCAGCTGCAGGTCCACTGTTCTTGACCCCTTTGATACCACATGTGAATATCCCCAAATCTTGCCCATCAAGCCAGTACTAACTTGCATCGAGGTCGTTACGATAATTATTTTACTTATAGAAAGGCCTCGATCAACCCCCGGGGCGGCACTCGTGCTACAGGGCGCGCTGCTGCTCATCCAGCTTGTCATGTTCAGCACAATCTTGCAAATCTTTTCTGGGTCAGCCGTCTGGGTTTGGGGGGTTGAGACGGTCACCACACTCGCGTCGATGATTTTCATCCTGAACATGCCACTACGCGACCCGCTTCTCCACAGCGAGGATATTTGCGCCCCTCACTCGACGCCCACAGTCAGCCTGCGCAGCCCCGAGGATAACTTCACGATGTGGCATTGGATGTCTGTGGCTTGGATGTCGCCGGTCGTAAAGATGGGGTGTCAAAGGCAGCTTCACGATGAGGATGTATGGACTTTACCGCTCGAATTCCAGCACAGCCGCCTGCATCGGCTTTTCAGAGACGTCAAGGGGTCGGTCCTAGCCCGCGTGTTCAAGGTCAACGCACCGGACCTGATAATCACCACGCTTCTGGGCATCCTCGAGTCAATATGCTCCCTTGTACCGGTCGTCTTCCTGAAGCAGCTTCTCGCAGCTCTCGAAGGAGAAAACCCCAATCGGAACGTAGCCGTCGTCTACGGAGTTTTTATACTGATGGCACGCCTCATCGGCGCCCAGTCGGGTGTTTTCAACCTCTGGTTCTGCCGGCGAGCTTACGAGCGATCTAGGGGCGAGATGATCACCATGATTTACGAAAAGACATTGATGCGCAAGGCATTCACTTTCCCTAGCGACATCGATGATGACAACAGCGAAAAGAAGAACAAGGGCGAGGCGAGCAATACAGGCCCTGCGTCCATGGGCAAGATTCTCAATCTGATGCGCAACGATGTCTACGAGATCGCCCAGCGTTTCTGGGAGTTCGCCAATCTATTCACGAAGCCAATGAACTTCGTTCTCACAATCGTCCTGATCTGGAAGATTCTTGGGCCCGCGGCATTAGGCGGTGTACTGCTGATTCTGTTTGCTCAATTCCTCAACATCTTCATCATCCGCTTCCTTGTCAGCTGGGAACGCGGCCGCCGAGCTGTCACCGACGTCAAGCTCCAGATTACGTCACAGTTTGTCGAAGCTATACGCCACCTACGATGGTACGACTGGCAGGACAAATGGCTAGGGAACATCCTGGCCTCTCGGCAGAAGGAGTTGCGGTACAGGGTCATCGTGAACCTGCTTAGCAAGGCCGTCGCGGCAACGAACAAGATTTCTGCCTACTTCTTCCCCGTGGCTGCTTTCTACGCGTACACCATCATTGGCAAGCAACCGTTGCGGATTGATGTTGCATTCCCGGCACTGAATTTGTTTACGATGCTGAATCAAAGCCTGAACGAGTTGCCTGGTCTTATCACCGTGCTTTTGAATGCGAGTGTAGCCATGGGTAGAATTGAGAGCTTTATGGCTGAGCCGAACAAAGAAGAGGAGTACGGTTCGGGCTCGGGTACCTACGGCGAGTCTGGTACAGAGCGGCTTGGAGAGCTCAAAGTTACGTTCCGAGATGCCTCGTTCTCGTGGCCGGGCTCTCCGGCCCATAAACAAGTTCTCTCTAATGTCTCCTTTGAGGCTGGTCCAGGGGTCACGGCCGTGTGTGGCAAGGTCGGCTCGGGCAAGACGGCGCTGCTACATGCCATCCTCGGCGAACTGGACGACCGGGGCGGAAGAAGGACGGTGCCGAACGAGATGATCGGATACTGTGCGCAGACACCTTGGTTGCAAAGCATGAGCATCCGGGAAAACATATTGTTCTCGTCCGGATACGATGAGGTCAGGTATCGCCAGGTCCTGGCAGCATGCTGCCTGATCCCTGATCTGGCAAATTGGAAAGCTGGCGATTTGTCCATGATCGGAGAGAACGGTGTCGGCCTCTCGGGTGGACAAAAGGCGAGAGTCGCACTGGCAAGAGCGATATATAGCAGGGCAAGGGTATTGCTTCTGGACGACCCTATTGCCGCATTGGACCATCAGACTGCCGAGACGATACTGCGGAATCTTTTAACGAACAAGACGTTTATGGAAGGGCGAATGATAGTGTTCGTCACTCACAGGATGGACCTGTTGACGAAGCATGCGGACCAGGTACTCGAGATCTCGCAATCCGGGTCTGTTACTGTCATCTCACGCGAAGAAATCAGCAACCACGAGGAGCTGCTCCACTTTGCAGCCAAGGATGAGCAGCGCCGCCAGTCAGTAGATGAAGAAGAACAAGCCGATGCAGATGAGGATGTCATCCCTGACAAGTTCATCGAAGAGGAATATCGTGCTCATGGTGGTGTGATGGCTTCCGTGTATTGGAAGTACATCAAGGCAGGTAATCTGTGGTACTGGGGACTTCTGATCATTCTTTTCGTCATGTTCCGAGTGTCACGATTGACACACTTCTACTTCCTCAAGGTCTGGGGAGAATCCTACGAGCCAGGTGGATCATCTCAGTTCTATCTCGCCGCCAACAATGAGCCCGAGTACAACTTTCAAGCGACCAACACTTCTCCCTTTGGCGTCACTACTGCTTCAAAAGACTGGTGGAATATCGACTTTGACCTACCACCCCCAGACGTCAACGTGCGCCCATGGCTATTTTGGTTCTTCATCATCGCACTACTGCAGTTCATATCCTTCGTCCTCTCTGACCTCACCATCGTGCTCATCATCTACACCGCGGGCAAGCACCTTTTCGAACAGGTCATGCTGAAAGTTGCCAACGCGACATTCCGCTTCTACGACGTTACCCCTGTTGGCAGGCTGATGAACCGATTGACGAGCGACATCGGCACCATCGATGGACAGATTGTCACACAGATTCGTGACGTCGTATGGTACTTCATGTTCTGGGCATCAAGTCTTTTTGTGATCGCTTCCACGGCGCCCGTCTTCCTCGCCATCGCCCTTATAATGACGACCCTCTTCGTCTTTATCTTCATGCGCTTCCTGCCTGCCTCGCAATCTCTACGCCGCCTTGAAATGGTCTCCCTTTCGCCTCTGATGTCCAACTTTGGCACACTTCTCGAGGGCTTGACCACTGTGCGCGCCTTCCGCGCCCAGCCGCATTTCCAGGATCGCATCATCGTTACCACCGACGCCTTCCAGAAGATGGATCATTTCTACTGGTCGCTCCAAGCATGGCTCATGTTCCGTTTCGACGCCCTCTCCGCGCTCTCGACCTTCATCCTCACCATGTCGGCCCTCTTCACAGGCCTCGGCGCCGGCACGGTGGGCTTCGTTCTCGCGGCAGCGGCGAACTTTGTTGCCTGCACTCACAACATGTGCCGCAAATACGGCGAGCTGCAGATGCAGTTTGTATCCGTGGAACGTGTCATTGAGCTCATGGACCTAGAGGAGGAACCCCGCGGCGACTTCGACCCGCCAGCCGCATGGCCGGGCTACGACGACGAAATTGTATTCGACAACGTTACGGTCCGGTACGCCAAGGGCCTTGATCCATCGCTACGCGGCTTGAGTTTCCGCATCCCTGCCGGCGCAACTGTCGCCGTCACCGGCCGCACCGGTAGCGGGAAGAGCACTCTTGCACTGACATTACTGGGCACGATGCTGCCAGAGTATGACGAATCCATAAACACATTGGGGAGCATCAGAATAGGAAGCGTCGACGTGGCAAAGGTAGACAAGCACGCGCTGAGACGGCGCATCAGCTTTGTGGCGCAGGATCCTGTGCTGTTCCCTGGGACGTTGAGGGATAACCTGGATCCCATAGGCGAGCACTCTGATGAGGAGTGTGAATTGGTGTTGAGGAGGGTGCTTGGCGCCGTGGATGAGCTCGAAGACGGGCTCGCAAGTGGCTCAATAACACCGGGCGGCTCACAACCCACATCCGACCCCCACAGTGAGAGCTCGTCGTCCAGTTCGAGCAGCAGCAGTGGCGACGTCGCGGCCATCGACACGGAGGAGAACGGCAACGGCGGGCCCAAACCCACCAATGGACAGGCAGCTGTCATCGTGACGAATGGCAGCGACGACAGCAGCAAGCAAAATGCGTTCTCTTTCACCCTCGCCACGCGGATTGATGGCGGCGGCAAGAATCTGTCCCAGGGGCAGCGCCAGCTCATCGGTCTGGGCCGCGCGGTCCTCCGCCGCAGCCCCGTGGTCATCCTAGATGAGGCGACGGCGAGCATAGACAAGAAGACCGCGTTCTATATCCAGCAGGTCCTCAGGGAGGAGCTGCAGCAGAGCACGGTCATCACCATTGCGCACCGGGTGGAGGCCGTCAAGGACGCGGATTTCGAGATTGTACTAGATAAGGGCAGGCTTGTAAGGGCTCGAGGCATTGGGGTTGGTAGTCAGTGAAGTGGCTGTGGAAGGACGTAGGATTTTTGTCTTGCCTGATTTTGGAATGAGTGAAATTTTGTATGGATAGGTGGTGGAAGGGCGGGATCAAAAGGTTTGGAGTGGGATATATGTTGACGTGCATTTTCACGAGTGGCATGAGCAACGATGATAGATAGAATGGGTTGGATCTTATTTGAACACGTGTAGAATATCGACTGCATAGCTAAGTAGATACACCTTGGTCGTGGCATTTTGCTTTCGAGTTGGGATGCCGTCATCCAGGGTCAATGAAAAGGCACCGGAAACAATTTTGAGCCCCTCAAGCGCTGTGATATGTGATACCTATACCCAGTCCTTTTTTCCCCTTCTTTTCTCTACCATCCTGGACCTTTTACGGAGTGTAGTCCCAAATATCGACTGGAGCAGGGTCGGGTGGAGGAAATGCGCGTGCCTTGGACTTTTCTATTTCTACTCTAAAAGTTGATGCGCAGTGCCCGATTTCCTTCTTGTGGATTATTGAAAACTTTACAAGCTCACAAAGATGATCAATTGCGAAGTATCTAATAGTCCAAAAGGAGTTGCTGCTTCAAAGACGACTGCTCTCGCGGTTTTTACCAGTCAACACGGGCAAATGTGAAAGCTGGATCAGAGCTGCACAGTGCTCTGGTCTCTAGTTTCCCAGTGCCTGGTCGCTTAGGATCGATTTGGGTGCTTTCCCTCAATGAAACCCATGACTGGTATCGATTTTCTGGTAAGGTGTACCGAAGTAGAGCACTCCGGTATCGTAGACGTACTGAAGATGCTGTTGATCAAAGCAATCGCTGTATCTCATTACCCTACATTAACTGCTCTGCCGTACAGTATGCATCGTTGTTGCAATACTGGAGTTGAGATACACACGCAGTCGCGCAATTACATAAACATCACATCTGGCAAATTCTTTGACTGGCATGGCATTCACATGCCTGATCAAGGTGTGGGCGGCCTCATTCGGTGTGTCAAGAAAGATTTGGCTCAGACCTTCGGGAAGAATGCCTTGGGACAAGGATAAGTGTTTCAACACGCAAGAAACCCAACCCATGGATCGACGGAAAAGCAATTTGACGTCGTCATCCAAGGTGGCCACGATGTGTCACAGGTTGCCGTTGTTTGGCTTTTTGGGCGGCTGCTTTGCCGATGGCCATCACCTGCCCAAGATCCCAGAAACGAGTTGTGGCATGAAATCGGAGTCTCAAAAAGCGCGTGCTTCAGCCACAGGAGGACAGCCGAGGCTTCCCTCACCATCCCTTTGCCTCCTCATGTGCCTCGTCAGAACTTCTCCAAAAGCAAAGAGATGTAGTTTGAGAGTGCAATCATATGCGTATTGTCGCTGTCCATTCAAGGTGGACCTCTGACTGGATGCACAATCAATTGATCACATCCGTATACAATACCCACTGTCTCGAAGATAGTACGACTTTCGAGAAAAAGTTTACAGGAATGAATATTTTAAGCATGTGAATGCTGATACCCTGACCACCGGTCACAAGGAAAATCAGCTGAATCCCATGGTTGATCCTTGACCTGGATTCTGCGGGGACGACCGCGATGTGCCGCCGCATGAACGGCAGCTATGTCGCGGATCTTGGCTTTCCTCTTTCAACCTACCGTTGCGACCAAACAAGCGCCTCAGTTCCCCGCCTGGCCACCATCTCCCCAGGTGCCACCTACCAGAAACCCTACGGGTGTGCTGTGATACTGTTCGTCCCCCATGCCCAAGTTTGCGTAATGCCGGGCTTATGCTTTATGCTTGAGATATAAACAAGGAGCCGCATTGATCTTGGGTGACAGCTCTGGATGTCTCGACCTCGGCATCGTGAGCCACATGTCGTGAGCACGAGCGGCTGCTCAGATGAAATTGTCAGGTTCATATGATGTATAGAGCTTCAGAGCGTATTTAAGAGAAGTGTGTTCCGCAGGAGACTCTCCCAAGAGATCACTATTCCTCACCAACAACAAGCGAACAACATTTCCATCCATTTCCAGCCAAGTCATCTACTACTTCAATCGCGATCATGTCTGTCAAGAAAGTGCAGGGCCACATTGACGCTATTCAGCGCAAGCTGGAGAAGTCCATCAAGATCGCCGACAAGGGCCCCAACATGAAGCTCGGTGACGTGATCAAGCTCGGGCGCAAGACTAATTCAATTGTCTCTGAGATCAAGAAGAGCATCAATGAGTACGATGTGAGTAGACTCCAGGGCTATTTACCAAGTGTCTAGAAGTGAAAGACAGGAGTACTGACTCAATCAACTAGGGCGCTGATCCTACTCCTGAGGAGGCACAAGTTATCCTCACCAAGATGGAGAAGGTCGTAGACTTGACGGAGAAGGAGTTGGAGACCATGGTTCAGAACAAGGCTCGCATTGACGAGTTGCACGTTGGAGGTAGGTGGCTCCTGCTGACAAAATCCATTTACCTTCTCCTACATCAAATATATCCGAATTGTGTGTTCATAATTGATAAATCCAGAGCTTTGACTAATTTCTTTACACCACAGGTCTTGTCAAGAGGAACTTGCTCAGCAGCCAGGAGGCAGGAGCCAAGTTCTCTGTGAGTTTGACCGAGAAGGCTCCTGATAACCTCAAGCCTTCCGCCACGGCACTCGAGGAGAGACGCAACAAAGCTTTCGAGAAGGCTGTCTCCGTTTTCGCCAATGCCCAGGGAGGAGAGGACCAGGCTGACGGAGAGGACGACTCGGACTAAGCGTGCAGATGCCGTTCCTTCTTGAGACGAAAAAGCTTCTTCATGACATTGATATCGACCACATCTGTAGATTCAATAGATAGAGGTGCAGCTTGCCAGAATGAAACAATGTCAGTCAGAACGCGTGCTACTCGGCAACCCCTAAATGTACTTTCGAGCTTTTTGCCCCCCCCCCCACAATGTCCAAATTATTGCGAGACTCGCAGTCATGATACAAAACAACTAGCAGGCACTTGAGTTCTGCGTCGAGACGTATTCAAAATCTAGTTTTTTTTTTTTCTCTCGCTCGGCGTGTCTACCGTCCTATAGAGAAAATCTGCACTTTTAATACGTAGCAAGTGTATTGACTAACTAGGGACGCGCTGAGAGATTATTCCACAAATGTTGTTTGATTATTCATGAGGAAAGAGATGATGATACACTTCACATTCTCACCGTTGACCACGCGCTTTGCCCTGCAGTGTTCATAACGGTTGCCTGAAAAGTCTCGGAATCAGCCTACTACCCTGATCTACTACCCTGATGGGTGATGAAGTCACCCAACAGAGAATCAGTGTCCTGGTTCCTTGTAGTCTGTGAGTGTATTAAATAGCTTCCTGTGGATTCTCTGAACTCTTTCATGTATCTGAAGTCTACTCAGAGACCGCTGGGGCTTTGAAGGCCGCCATTGTATGAATATGCCTCAAGAATCGTTGAAATTTGATACATAGCTTCCAAACAGCCCAAGAATGCTTTAGCGATAGGATCTGCGCCCGTAATTTTTAGATTCTGTGGACGTTCGTCTCAATTCAACTTCAGATGAAGACGCTATCAAACCCAAGCTATACGTGAATACCTTGGTAAACTTTGTAGTAAATGGCTTCTATTTCTCAAATGCGGGCAACTAAGAGAGTTCGGACTTGACTTCGACTATCTTGATTTCTACTGTCACCGACCAACTCATTTATTTTTACAGTTTAAGACTCGACCTTTCTGAGGATGTTTTCTTGACTTGTACGCGTCAAAATGCAGACAATGTGGCATCTCCGCGTCCAAGACCGCAACGGTACTAGTAGGTATTTGACGGAGACTTCCAGACGGCCGAATCTATCCGCCCCAGCTTATACAACATACGGAAATTAATGCAGGCCATCGATTTCAAATCGCTTACGAGAAACATTTGTTCTGGAATTGAACGAAAATTGAAGGCAACACACCTGTACTGTCGATAGAAGACCCAAATCACGCAACACTGAAGGGTATGACGGATGTCTCCGTGAGCAGATCGTTTCCCATGCCTATGATTCGTAAGCACTTGGATGTCGCAGCCTTGATGATAAATACATATTTGCATTATTCGTCCGAGGAGGAGGGGTGTATTCGGCCCCGCATTAAAGGAAAGCTATTCTTTATTAAGAACCTTCAAGGGAATATAAGGTCATGTCAACACTCATCTGTTGCCAATTCTATTGCCCCTTCACCAAATTTCTGGAAAACATTCGATCATGGCTCCTATTCGCGTTGGACTTATCGGCCTCTCCGCGACCTCGACCTCCGGCTGGGCTGCCAAAGCTCATCTGCCCTACCTGCTCTCGCAACGAGGACAAGAACGGTTTCAGATTGTGGCACTGCTTGGTTCGACTGTGGAACGTGCTCGTGACTCTATCCAGCATTTCAAGCTCCCAAATCCACAGGATATTCGCGCGTACGGTTCACCTGCGGAACTCGCCGCAGACCCTGATGTGGATCTCGTTGTGTGCAGTGTCCGTGTGGATAAGCATTACGATACGGTCCGACCAAGTGTTGAAGCTGGTAAGGACGTTCTTGTCGAGTGGCCATTGACAGAAAATGCTGTCAGAGCAAAGGAATTGGTGGATCTCTCGAAGAAAGCCGGTGGCAGGACGGCTGTTGCTATTCAAGCGAGGCTGGCACCGTACATTGTCAGAATCAAGGACGTGTTGGCCAGTGGAGCCATCGGGAAGGTTGTCAATAGCTATGTCAACATCAACGGCAAACAGGAAGGCAGTGATGTTATATTCTCGGGTCTGGAATACTTTGCCGACAGCAAATTTGGTGGAAATTACTACACAATTTGGTTTGGGCACGGTCAGTCTGAATTTCAAATTGAATTTACGCCAATACTCCGCGGATACAGTCTGACTAACTTACTTCCTTTACAGCCTGGGATCCCATCCAGTTTGTACTAGGCGATGCGAAAGACTCAGATGCCCTACTACAGATTCAAAACCCCAAGATCAAGGTCTTAGACCGCCCGGGAGGCAAACAGGTGGGGGAAATCCCCACAAACTCTCCAGATTTGGTCCTTGTAACAGCTTCACTACCGGAGTCGCCAGTCAGTCGCAGCGACGCCCATTTGGTGACGGCGTGGCGAACTGGATCAGCTTTTCCAGACCCAGATCAGCCAGCCTTGGTTTGGACTATCACCGGCGAGAAGGGCAGCTTACGTCTAACAAACAAAGGGCAATATATCAACATGGGCGAAGACGCTTCAATTGAACTGCATGATCTGACGACAGGAGAGGCCAAGCCCATTGAGTGGCATTGGCAGGAGTGGCAGACTGAGTTCCCAGGCCCAGTCAGAAACATCGGAGCTCTCTACGAAGCTTTTGCCGAGGGCGATGAGAGCAAGTATGCTACATTTGAGGACGCTTTCATTCGTCATGAACAGCTTGACTCGATGCTGAAAAGATTTCAAAAGTGAAAAGCAATACTGTTCTGGGCTGTAATGAATGTCACAATTGGTTTTCGAATGTGCTAGGCTTGCGGATTGTGGCTTATTTTTGTCTGGGTTTTCTGATCGCCGCAATGCAAGAATTGAGTCCAAGTAATGCTCCGGCTATCTATTTTCTTGAACATCGTCAACAGATAGTAATTTGGTTTCCCGAAGTTTGAAAACCTTCGAAAGTCCAAATTACCGCTCAGAATTCGATTGCAAATCATGTGCCGCAAGAAACGCACCCGTCCTCTCAATAATCGAGGCTCTTCTATGTCAGCGTTGGAGCCTAGTGCAAGCCTGAAAAAAACATCCGGCTGACCAGAGGTCTGTATCAACATCTGTTCGCTCGGTAGGGAGCCTTAACGAGTAATCTAGTCATTTTAGGCCGTAGAACAGCCTTGTCAAGAATGCAAAGGCTATGCTAACTTGCAAAACAGAGTCAGCAAATTGGCAGTGGCTTACAAAGTTTGAAAACCAGGAAATGAGAGCACTCGAGTATTTATTCATCAAACTAAATGCCTATTTCACAGCGTCGAAACTGATGAGAAGACAGCATAGGCCCCTAATGCAAGAATGTAATGCGTATGAAACGAAAGTCATTAGCTTCAATCTCAATGTTTCATAGCAGCTGGGAAGACAACATTCGCCCACGTTGACTGGAGCCAGTTGTGTCCGGTGACATTCGGATCTTCTCCAATGAAACTCAACGGAAACCCTAGGTCAAACTTCTTAACACTCTCTAGAGAAGCAATCTGTTCGTCCGTCAAGCGAATGCTGAGAGCCTGAATATTATCTTTCAGTTGCTCCACCTTTCTGCAACCAACAATAGGAAAGACGTTTGGCGCCTTCTGCATGACATAGGCAAGTGCAACCGCCGTGACAGACTCGATTCCATGCTGCCCAGCGACCTTCAGTAGCGCCTCACTCATGCGGGTCTCCTCTTCTGTGAGCTCAGGCGCACCACGGAGTTTTTCCTTGCGCTGCTTGAGCTGCTGGGCTGACTGGAGCCGACCGCCTCCTAGGACGCTGAAGGGAGCCAGAGCCATGCCGAAGTGTCTTGCCATGGGTATAATTTCCCTCTCAAAATCGCGCTCAAGGATGTTCCAACGTCCCTGGTAGATGCTGAAGGGTGTCTTGCCGCCCTCGGTGGCGTAGACGTTTGCGGCGCTGACGATCCAGGCCGGGGTGTCAGAGACTCCCAGATAGAGAACCTTGCGCTCCGCCACAAGAAAGTGCATCGAGTCCATGATTTCTTTGATAGAGGTCGTATGGTCCCAGCAGTGAAGGTACAAGATGTCGATATAGTCGGTTTGAAGCTTGGCCAGGGAGTCTCGCAGGCTCATATACATAGCACGCTTGTGGTTTCCAGTGTGATTTGGGGCCGCGCCGGGTCCACCGAGTCGGTAGGACGCATAATCCATGGTATACTTGGTGGCGATGACCATTTTGTCGCGGTTCTGACGCTCGGCCATCCATTCTCCAATCCACTTCTCGGAGTCTTCGTTGTGGTAATTGTTTGCAAGGTCGATAAAGTTTCCTCCTGCCTCGACAAACGCATCAAGGAGCTCGAAAACTTGCTCCTTCGAGATGGAACCGGTTGCCTGAGACCAGGCTGAGCCTAAAGACATGGCGCCGAGTTGCAACGGAGACACTCGGATGCCGGCACTCGATGACAGAACCCGGAGACGGCCCAGCTCCGTCGACGGCTTTGGGACAGGTTGAAAGAATCCAGCCATTTTTGAGGGTGGCTTGCGAGGGTGGACTAAGTGTTCCTTCGTCGAAAACGAAAAGTCTTTAGGTCTGTGAGTGTGATTGAGACGATATTGATCTTGAGTTTGGGTTTGGCTGGATAGAAAGACCAGAACTCAATGAAGGGCAATGACTTTATATAACTTCATGGCTCAGAAGACATAGGTATGGAAACTCAGTCAGTAACTCGAATTCCGTTCCTCCCAAGCCACAGAGATCTTAACTCCGGTTACTTGACTGAGACTGCTCTTTGAACTATGCCCCATGCTGATGAAGCCGAGCTTCAGCCCCAAATGCACCAAAGCAGTCATTCAAGGTCCAGTATTGTCGTCAATTCACCAATCATCATTGAGGACAGTTGCGGACCCCGAATGTGCAAAGACCCTTGTCTAGCCTCAATCCGCCCTTCGTAATCCGCCGGCTTGATTCGGACACTTTCGCTTGCTTAGGAGCGGCTAGGTCCGAGGTCTTAATGCCGACTAGGCTTTCTAGTTTAGAAAGCGTTCAAATTTATCATCCAATCTTTTCTTCTTGACATTGCTTCACTAGAAGATGTCTGATTCGACAAGCTGGCTGGACCCAACCAAACAAAATCGCCACTTAGTCTGGGTGAAGTCGCAGCAATGTCAACGGCCACGCTAATGTTTGAACTGGGCAGCTGTGGTAGCTGATTACTTTCGCCATTGCATTTCATGTCTTGTGTATGTTAATCGTTGAGACATTATTTGAGCATTTTGACCAACACTTATTCCTAGCCTCTACCTATCGGCCTGATATTGTCGTGGATTTGGCACGCCAGGCTGCGAGGACAGAGAAGCGATTAAAAGTGAATCCAAGTTACGCCACGTGCCCCAACAGCAATTGCTGCACGTTTCTGGTCTGGGGTCAAGACTTTTCCACGGATAGCACAAGAAAATGTGGCAAATCTAGCCGAGCATCGTAAACGTTCTCAGTCCCTTTTCACTACCCTGACAGGCATATATTTCTTCGGATGCCCTGTTATCTCATTGGCCAGCATTCCCTGATAGGCTTGGTCTCCAAACCATTCTGGGTCGTCCTTGTCCCAAATACTTGATATATCAAAGTCGCGAATAGTCATGGCCAATATCGCTTTCAGCTCCAGCTGAGCCAATTCTTGGCCGATACAGTTACGGGGTCCCAGTTCAAATGGGCCTTTTCACAAGTTGTTAGTTCAATGCCTCGAGCAGCTGTACTTTGATCGGACACTAATACTCACGAAAGGCATTTTTTCGGACATAAAAAGGTTCACCCTCCTTTGCGAACCATCGCTCCGGGACAAACTCGTTTGGTCGGGGCCAAAACTGCTCAGTACGCTGCGAAGCTATACTGCAGCTGAATATCATCATTCCTTTTGTGGGATAGCGGATTCCCGTGTCCGGGTGCGTGAGAAAAAAATCCTCAGAGCCCTGACGAACAGTCCCGACAGGTGGGAAAAGCCTCAGCGTCTCCTTGATGACTGCAGCCGTGAATGGAAGCTGATTCAATAGCTGCGGGTTTGAAGATATTTTGGCTCGCACAGCATCAGTCTCCTTTCCAAAAACGTCGTCATGTTCGGCCCGGATGGTTTCCAACGCTTGCTGGTTTTTGTTCAGAAGGTGATAAATGAAGCACAGGGTCGAGGCCGTCGTGTCGTGGCCAGCAAGCATGAATATCTTAATCTGGGAGACTGCGATTTCCACAAATGTAGGGTCGACGCCTGGAACGCCAGAGGATCCTTGCACTTCGTCAACATAGGCTTTGATTGCGAGAGACATGATGGTCTTGGGCCCAGTAGAGCCGCTCTTGTTCTGCGCATGCTCGGCAACGCCTCGCTCGATCAGCGGCTTGACGTAGTTCTTCATGATGCGATTACTATTCCAAAACTGGATGCGACGGAGAGGGTGCATCGACTTGAGGATACTAGGAGGGCTGTGATCCGCGATGATCCAGCTAATAGCCGTTTTAAGTGATTCAAAGAACGGGTTATCTCCTTTTTGGCAATCCAATCGCTCTCCTCTGAACATTGTTGTCAGCATATTTCTTGTGCCACCATTATGACAATCGCTGACTACTTGTACTCACAGTGCCGCCCGTCCGATGATATCAGCAGTTGCGCGCATGGCCTTGGGCTCAAGCTGAACGATCTGGCCGCTCTCTGCAACATCACCCAACCAATCCCGGAAGACCTGGATCTCTTCCAAGAAGGCCGGTATCAAAGACATTAAGTTCTTGACGGAGAAGCCGGGGTTGAATATACTTCTCCACGTCTTCCAAACCTGGCCTTCCTGGTTGACAAGATCATTGCATCCACTCAGGATGTGGAATTCTTCTCGCATTTGGCTGTGCTTCGGCCTTGAGTTGTCCTGGGTGAACTGCGCCATGATATCCGGGTGGAAGACTGCTAACATAGGGTGAGAGAATGGCCAGACGTCGAGGTAGAGGACTGCTTGTTCCGCCACCTCAGGGTATTCCTTAGCAAGCAGCAGTGGCATGCACTGCTGGTGAAGGTCTGTCGGGTATTTGGCTTGTATCTTGGCTATTATCTCAAGATGTCCCAGCCAAAATGAATGAGGGAGAATTGACTTGACAGCAAGTCAGCGTACTTGGCCAAGGTTGAGACTCATGCATAAATGAGCAGGACTCACGACGCCATATTTCTGTGATGCGTCCCTAAACAACATCCGTACTTGGTACAGCCGGTAGAAAAAGCGGACGATGACAAGGACCGAGAGAACCGCTGCAGTGCGAGCGATAAGACCTGCGGTAGACATATTGTCAGGAAGTCCTATTATCGCCATCGTGGCGTTGGGTGATGCTCGCACGAACGCGGGTTATGTGCAGTGCCTGAGCAATGTTGCACTCATGAGAGGGGATGTGTGTCTTTTGACTCTGGAGCGATGGATTGGGCTCGGCCTCTTTGATCGCCAAGTTTCAGGGACGCTGTCAAGGTTCAATGGCTGCCACGGCTTGCCCCAGTCGAGTGGACCGTGCTAACAGGCCTTGGATTTGCAATCATTTCCGGGGGGTTGAGCTTGCTGGTGTCCAGCCAACAGCCAACCTCACGACTCGCTAACGTGGATGTGGGCCCGGTTTAGCTGGTCCGAGATCCGACGTAAAAGCACTCGGGGCATAGATCAGGATTTAGCGCATTAATGTCAGTAGGATCAAGCGACGACGCGTTAGATCCAGCTGTTTAGCCATATCCATGTGCTACTGGATCGTTGTTCACCGTTCAGAGGGCCTGCTGCATTTAACTTCCTCTAGCGTTATCACTTGACCACATGCTTCAGACGAGATGAACGGTGAAACTTTGCACTCGTAGGAAGAGCGACAAAGTTGCAAAATTGGACACTTGTTTTGACCAAGGGAAGGCCGGCAGTTGCAAATGATCCTTCTGGAACGAGCAATCTGAATCCTGCACACGTGCAATCAGCATATCCTTACCGACGGCCACCTCGACATGCTTCACAAAGTCCCTCGCATGGGAAATGGGTAGGTCCGGTCATCCCGTGTGAGTTCATGCACATGTAAACAACGACCCCTTTTGCTGAAGCCCGACAACTTGTCGAAAACCTCCAAAGGTATTGAATACAATGCCTCTTTCCGGCCATGTAGCGCCCAAGACCCTGGCTCCACACCTCCTGATCCTTTCGTTAGGTCAAGCTGAAGCTACCGAAGCGCCACATTCGTACTAATTTAGAATTGGACGACGGAGTCGAATGCCGTCTGGTCCTACGAGGCGTGACCATGGCAGGAAATGACCTGCCCCGGACAAGCTTGATAACTGACACGGATCCCGAAAATTTGTTCAACGTTTATCTTTCATATACAAAGCTCGAGACAGGTATTTGGAGAAGCCCAAGGCTATATTTGGACAATGTGAGAATAGCCATATCTATTAATTCAATAATTCAATGGCAAATAACAACTGCAAAGCTGTAATAGACCAGCCTGTTCGTCTGTTGAATCTGTGCCGTGCTATGTACACGGGGAGGAACGAGATGTGGTAGCCAGGGACTGACTGCTACTGCCGCGGGCCATGTTGCCGAGTACGTCCCCCCAGTGGATTTAGCGAAAGTAATAGGACTTTGATAGGAAGACACTGGCTCCGAGACTGCACGAGATGAAAACATGCATCTGCAATCTGAATATGCAGCTTGCTGGCAAACACCTCGCCTGCCCAGTCATCATTGAACAGGAGGAAGGCTTAGTCTTCGTGTACACAGATATCGTTTAGTATTCAATATTTAAGATTCCTGGAAGGTCGTGAAGTTGACTTAGTATTCCAAGAATTTCTACCATGGACATCCGGGTAATTACTCTGAAGTTGGGCGTTAGGTCGCCCTCCCCCAATATTGGTGTGGTTACAGAACATAAACACCCGCTAGTCCAGTTGCTGATGAACTAGTGTCGATCATGTCAATATCGAGGAGTAACATCGAGGAGTAACATCGAGGAGTAATATCGAGGAGTGCATGCTGCACTTGACTACTTCCAGTCAAAAGATGGGTCCATCTGGGCATCTGCCCCTCAGGGCCAATGCTTGCTGGGCGGTAAAATTTAACAGAACGTGTCTTTCCCTTTCTTCAACCCGACGGGTCCCAGTGTTGTGAAGTTGCAAAGACAACACGCAATTCACAAATGAAATCGAAGCCACCAAGATGCGCCTCTCAGCCTATCTTCGTTATGTCTCTGCTTGCAGTCTTGTGACCAATGCAGTGGCAACCCCACCTAAGCGCGCGATTGATTGGGCCAGTCTCCGGTGTCCTCAAGACTCAACCTCCACCTTGCCCACGCCGACATACGGAGATACGGACGCAGTTTTCACAATATGCACAGAGGAACTCATCAATGCGCCCCCCGAGGTCATATACAACACCTTGATCGACTACAACTCTTATCACCTCTGGAACAGTTTCGTAGTCGACGTGGAGGTGCCACCCGGAGTGAATACGCCCGAGGATGTCTATGTCAACATGCCGATGACTCTCTTTACCTCGGGGGTCATTCCGTTCATCAACACTACCAGTGAAGAGGTTGTGACAGGGCTTGAAAAGAACATGCCTACCTGGCGGAGCAATGTCACCATGTTGGGCGTTCTGATAGTCGCGGAGCATCCCAACATCCTGGTGGACCAAGGGGGTGGAATCACGAGATACGTGTCGTACGAGACATACTACAAGGAGCCACTTATCCTTTCGCTCTTGGCTATCAAGCCGACGCTGCAGAAATTGTTCGAGCAACAAGGAAAAGACCTCCGCGCGTACGTTGAGTCGTTGGTTTGATAGGCAAGGGTCAACGCAAAGTGCAAAATATGGCATAACTCAAATTGTAGAGAAGAAAAATAATACTTTAGGACTGACACAAGTCCAATGTCTCAGGCTTCTTATTTCATCTATATATATTGTGGTGACAATGCCTAGGTAGAGCAATTATTTAGAGAGGTGCTGTAAAATCAAAACGCCTGCCAGATGCGAGCGTTGAACTGGAATGTCCAATGCGATCACACCAGAGATGACAACCCCGAACTGGACACATGCATGACGAAGCCGCGATTATAATTTACATGCAAGCAGCACCATCAATGCCGAGGACCTTGCCGTTGATCCACTCGCCGTCCTGGGAGGCAAGGAAGCAGACAACACGGGCGATATCGATGGGAAGGCCAACACGGTGGAGCGGTGACCAGCCAGCAGCAAACTAGGGAGCCCATATTAGTTTATGCACAGAATTGAGGCTGCGGATGAGTACTAGGGAATTGCATACCTCATCGACTCCATCATCGTCGAGCGTCTTGCCACCAGGGATGTACTCCCTGCAGACGGCGTGGTACATATCGGTCTTGATACCGCCAGGGGCGATGGCGTTGACAGTGATCTTCTTGTCGCCGAAGTCGATGGCCATGCAGCGCACAAAGGTCTCGATGGTGCCCTTGGAGCCCGAGTAGACGGCATGCTTGGGCACGCCCTTGGCCTGGCCGGTGATGGATCCCATCATGATCAGGCGGCCACCCTCCTCGAGGTTCTTGTAGGCCTCGCGGGCCACGAAGAACTGGCCACGGGTGTTGATGGCGAAGACACGGTCGAACTCCTCCGGGGTCACGTCCTTGACGTGGCCGAACGAGACGACACCGCTGTTGGAGCACACAATGTTAAGGTGGCCCCAGACCTGCTTGGCCTGCTCGAAGAGCGACACTATTTGGTCGACGTCGGACACGTTGGCCTTGATGGACACGGCGTCCGACCCGGCCTCCTTGATGGCGGCCACGACCTCCTCAGCCGACTCACTGCTGTTGGCGTAGTTGACGATGACCTTAGCACCGCGACGCCCCAGCTCGAGGGCCATCTCACGGCCGATGCCACGGCCTAAGGAAAAGCATGTCAGCTCTTTTCTCCCATTCGTGGTTATCTCCGTCAAGGCAGTGGTGGGGGTACACTAGGAGTACTGCGGCTGATCACTGCGGCTGACCCCTGCCGCTCAGCCGGTCCAGCGCAGGGACTCAAGGGCCGACCGGACTCCCCCACCCGCCGTCCGGGCCCGCATCCCACAGGGGTCTGATGCCGTGGACCGAACCGATGGCTGGGCAAGATGCACGCAATGACGGGAGAAACGTCCAGGGGGGTATCGGATGGCGAAGGGCCCAGATAGCTGGGTCGAAAAGAAAGTTTAAACTTACCAGCACCGGTCACGAGCGCAACCTTGCCCTCGAGGGAAGCTGATGCCAGACCTAGAGGCCCTGGAATGGCATTGTACTTGCCCTTCTTAGAGGGCGCGGGTCCGTCTTGGAATTCCTCAGTGATGGTGTGCTTGCCATTCTCGACAACCTTGCCATTTGTTCCGTTAATGGGAAGAGGGGTCTCTTCTGTCAAGCCGGGAGCCATTGTTGTGGTGATGCTTCGTGAGAATCTGACTGAAATAGACGGAAAAGTATCGCTTGGGACGGCAGTATAACAGGCGTTCTTTGGGTATCTCAATAGAAAGTTGAATCTTGTTGTCCTCCTTCAAGATGCAGAGATTACAAGGTGGCTGATGGAATATATATCCCATTTACATCGTCACGGCCCTGCCGCCCGGACTGCAGGCCCACAGTCCCAACCACACGGCACCTACGGACATTGTTGGAGAGACCGGTGCACGAGTAATCTCGAGCGCCCAGCTGTTCGGTCGCCGTGCCGGCGCAGTCCACTCAGGGGGTCTCACCAAGGCCTCCAAATCCGCAGGCGGGCTCGGATTTATCTGGGCTTTGACGGCGCTCGAGGTAATTTGCGAGTCTGTTCGTCTGGACTAATGTCTCGACGGCTCAAGTTTCGAAACTTTGCCCATCATTCAGGGGCCCATCAACCGAAGTCTGCCGTTGCGTTTCTTCCCGGCGCAACACACCAGCGCACACCCTACCTGCTAGTGCTCCGGTGTCCCGGACCCAGCGCTCAGACAGTGTCCGTCACCGACTTGTCCAGCTCCGGTATCAGCTCCCACACCCTCGGTGCAGCCCAGCCGAGCGACGAACTTGGCTTCACAACATACAAGTAATTTGATTCGATACAGTCTCCTTTGACCCTTTCCTGCGGCTGTTCGCTTCTTCCGTTGCTGGAATTTCAAAACACACGGCGCCAGTCAGGAGGTGTACGGCCTGGCTGGCGCCCCTGTCTACTTGTCCGGCCTAAGCCCTTGGAGAGGTCCGGCGTGTCTAGCCAAGATTACACGCCTTCTCAGGCAGTTGGTTTATCCCTTTCTGCCTATGACGAACCTTATGTTTCTCCGAACTAAATTTAACCAATATTGTCACTGGTGGAATGGCCAGCCACCCCTACTGCACCATCTCAGGCTAATCGTCCCTATCCACCGTATCTGCTCTCTGCACTGTTTAGATCGAGGTTCCTCTCCACAACTCCCCACAAAATGCATGCGTACAACGTATTGAGGTAGACTAAGTGCTGAATCAGACGCATAGGTTCGCAAGGTCGTGATATATCGGAGCCAAGCCGAATATATACAAGTTCAAAATGATTTTCGGACCAGGTATTCTTACTCACGTGCCCGAGATCCTGCGAGATACCTAGGCATTCCTCAACCACGGCGTAGTCATGTGCCAATTTTCATGACCACATAGTCTTACAAAATATTGACTGTCGGCTTTCAAGAGAGTCATATATATCAATCAGTTTGGAGTATCATTGATGGAGGCCTAAAGGATTGACAGCAGGGGCATGTTGTCCTAGAAGTCACAGAGGGAGCACGCCACAAGTCAGTGACAGGGAAAATCATAATTGACATATTTTCCACACTAAGATACTCCTCCGTGGTCTCCCTAGGAGTGTCTATGTCCAGCCATAACACGGGATTTGATCAACCAGATCCCGTGAACATGTATCTGCCAAGCGCAGATGCCCGTAGATGTCCGCAGCTTCAGGGACATCATCTCTGCATGATTTGCAGCATATCTGGTTCGGCCCAAGAAATTGCCGTGCATTCATCGAGGTATCAAGAGGGGAATATTTGTTCAAGCTGAGGTGTTAAATTTGGGGATCCGCGGCATGCTCATGATGTGGAATTGCAAAACTACAACCGTGAATGGCAGCCGAGTATGTTTCTTTCTTGTTTTCTTTCTCATTCTCTATTTACTTACTTATTCTTTTTTTTAAGATTATTTTTGACTGCAAGTCCTACATGAATCATGCCTCTGCCGTTCCGCGGAATGCACTCTTTCATATGGTAGCTTGGAAATTTCGCCAACACTACCCATTCTCGTTAGATGTCAGGCTCACGCAGGGGAATTACTTCAGTGGCGTTGTATAGGCTGCTCATTACCTTCCTAGGTAATGTTTGGAAGTGTCTGGACTCCCATACATCGTGTGTTTGGACGTCTGGGAATATCCAAGTTTCCTTTCGGCCGAATGTGCTCCTTCCGGATCAGGCATGGGCTCCACTCTTCGCCATTCCAGAAATAAGATGCTCGGTGAGTATTTGTGCTTGTCTTCTTGTCTTATACGTCATGTTTGAAAATATTTAAAGCTCGTCCTGACGGAATCGCCCAGATTTGCCTTTGGACATGTCATGAAATCGACCAGCTTGCTACTCAATGAGCAGCTGCTCGCCTTTTATGACACTTTCGTCGACAATGTTATTCAACTTCAAGTGAGCTATGATGGAATCTTGATGAGTCTATCATAGACCGCAGCTCTGAGGCGCTTACAGGTGACGTCGGAAAGCTGTTGTGGCGGTGATTGATGTCCATTCGATCAGGTATAACCAGCTTCATCAAAGATTGGCCCTTTTCAAGATACCGCCCAGCCATCGCGCAGTCCAGTGTTGGGAGTCAACATTTCTACATAGTTAATGATCTCGTAGCAAATGTCAATAGAATTCCTTTTCTGCGGCCTCACGGTCCAACTTCGCGCAGTGCGTTGTCTGTCAGGTGGGTTGACATGCACTTTCAGTGTTTGTAATCCGCTTGCTTTGTAATGGCCACGTCCCGCAGTTTGTGGGTGCAGCTACTGACGATGCCGAGTGGTTCGAACCAAGATAAAGAGTGATCGTTGGAGACGGGAACAGCCTAGTAAGGATTTGGATTGGTATTCTTTGGCAGCATCTAGGAGAGAAGACGACACCAGTTGTTCTGCGCCGAGGTATATATGCAGACGACTCATGCGATCTCTAATCAATTCGGTCGACACCCAACTCCTTCCACTTCCTCTGCTTGAATATCTACGGAAGCCAGTTCAAGCAACACCAGCACCATGGATCCCCTCCCCTTCGAGGCACAGTTCTCCAAAGCCCTCGCAGACAACACCATCCCCGGCGCCGTCCTGCTAGCAAAATCCAAAGATGGCAAGATCAACTATACCAAGAGCTTCGGCCCGTGGGACGAAACCACGATCTTGCGCCTCGCGTCCATGACCAAGCTCCTGACCTCCGTCGCCGCCGCCAAGGCCATCGAGCAGGACCTCATCACCCTCGACTCAGACATCGCCCCGCACCTCCCCACGCTAGCCGCGCAGCCCATCCTGGCCGGCTTCTCGGCGGCGGGGGAGCCGATCCTGAGGAAGCGCGAGAAGACAATCACCCTCCGGCACCTGCTGTCGCACAGCTACGGCCAGGCCTACACGTTCCTGGACACGGAGGTCACGGGCCGCTACGCGCAGTCGGTCGGCAAGGACCCGGGGCTCGACAGCGTGATGGGGCGGCGCAGCGTCGAGGACACCTTCGACTACCCGCTCGTCGCCGAGCCCGGCGAGGGTTGGGCCTACGGGCCCGGGCTGGACTGGGCGGGCCGTCTTGTCGAGGTCGTCTCGGGTGTGACGCTCGAGGAGTTCATGCGGGCGCATATCTTCGCCCCGCTGGGTGTCGAGAACATCACGTTCTTCCCTGCCCGGCTTCCCGGGGGCGCGGGGAAAGTCGCGGCGCTGTCAATTAGGGACGGGCAGACCGGCAAGGCCATCCCCGCGCCACCTGAGGCAGCCGGCGTCGACCCGGCTGAGGTAAAGCACTGCATGGGGGGCGGAGGAATGTTCGCTGCAATGGGAGACTACCTGAAGGTTGTTAAGAGCATCCTGGACGATGACGAGAGGGTGTTGAACAGGGACACAGCGAGGCTGTTGTTCGCGCCACTGCTCAGTGATGATGGTAAAGACCGGGCTACGCTAGTTGAGGCTTTCCGGCACATCGACTGGATCGTTGGCTGGACGCCCGAGCCGGCCGAGGCGTACTCATGGAGTTTGGCGGGATTGCTCACGCCCGGCGGCAATGCGCACCGGAGGAAGGGTTTCTTGCAGTGGAGTGGTGCATATAACCTCTCCTGGGTAAGTTGACACTGATCATCACCAAGAATCACGTTGACGGAGGCTGACATCCGAATTGCAGTTTATCGACCGTGAGGCTGGGCTGACGGCTTTGTTCGCCACGAGTTTCCTACCTTCGGGTGACACGCAGGTGAAGGAGTTGATGAAAGCATATGAGCTGGGGCTGTACGAGCAGCTAGAGTCGTAGAGAGCCAGTGCTCAAGCGTGGGGAGTCTAGAGAGGAGCAATGTCGGTTGCGCAGAGAAACATATGACTTCAACAAGCGCATTGTCAACTCCATGTCAGACCAATCTACGAGAGAAAACGAGGCTCGGAATAATTCGTGATCGGATTGTCCTCGTGGACGCATCAACATACACCGCCAGCATGTATCGACCTCCAAGTCTCACCAATTCGAATCGAATAGGATGTGGAAAAGAGGACGGGCTGATATACACAAGTGCCCGTGCTGAAAATCGAAGGTTCCTCCTGCCGACAAGAATGAAATCGCATCACTAAACACCATCCCAACGCTAAAGTGATGTGTAACTAGAACAGTGGTAACAGTGGTATGATCGGGGGAAATCTGGTGCAGGGTCTAGAGGCGATGTGATGTCAATAGTAGAAACACATGAATAAAAAACATGGAAAACAAAGTAGCAAAGGACAAAAGCGTAGAGAAGCGCTGAGACAAGGTGTAGTGGGTATCCGTCCAGCGCTTTTCTTTCTTCAAAAGTCCGCCTCCAGACCCCATAAATCATCCGCTCAAAATCCCAGCCTTATATGATGCTCTCCCGTCCACTCCTAGTCACTCAAGCAGCTGGCTTGACGTCGGCTTCAGGCTCAGCCGCGTCCTCTTCCAACTCTTCGGTCTCTTCGATCTCCTCTTCCTCTTCCTCGCCTTCCTCGTACTCTTCTTCTTCGCCCTCGGGGATCTCTCCAATACCATCATCGGCAGCGAGCCCGTTCATTCGCTCCCACACCTCTTTTCTGATGCGCTCTTCCCTAGCGACCCTCTGTCGCTCGAGCTCTTCAACGCCGCCGCTCTTCTTGAGCTTGCCCTCCGCAACAAACTCGACGAGCTCTTTCTTGATCGGATTCTGATTGCGGGTCTCGAGCTCCTTCTGACGAAGCTTCTCTGCCCGCTCGATGGCCTCCATGCGGTTCTCGTGATTCGGCTGCAGAGCGCGCACTTCTCCCAGCACTCCTTCCTTTGCCTCCGAAGGGTCAACGAGGGTGTTTTCCTCTATGTGCTTCAGGCCGCGCGAGAATTGGCGAGACACAGTGGCATTCGCCTGTCCAGCATTGACGTCCTTCATTTGCTCCTTGGTGGCCTGCTCCACAAGCGCAAACGTCTCGCTGGCCTTCTCCAGGTCATCCTGCAGGTCAGCTACCAGGTCCTCCATGAGCTTCACCTCGTCCCGGCCGTTACAAACATCCTCGAGCTCCTTCTCCCAGATCTTGGTCCAAATGGGCTTCTCGCGCTTCATGTATTCCTCCATCTTCTTGAGCTCCTTCAGCGCGGCCTGCATATCCTTAGCCACGGTCTCAAGCTGGCGTGGTAGCGGTCGGACACCGCGCTGCACCACATCTTTGCGCAGATCCTCGACCAGATCTTGAAGATCGTCGACCTTGTTGACGAGACGATCGGAGTCTGTGTTGAGCTGTTTCCGTCCTTGCTTCACGTACGATTGGCCTGAGTCTCCATCGACGTCGGGTATTGATGCCTTGGCCGCGGCAGCCTTGACGTTGTTTGCCTTGTTGCGCAGCAAAGTCATTGAGCCGTCAACCTCGGACTGGAAATTGGTATACATCTGCCGGAGGACAGCCAAATCCCGACGCAAACTTTGCACCTCGCCCGCCTGACCGCCCTTGAGCTTGCGCCCATTGCCGAGAGTACTGGACCTGGTAAAGTCTGCTGGAGGCGTGGGCGGTGCGGCTGCTAGTCGCGCAATTTCCTTTGCCGACTCCTGTTGCCGCTCGGACACACGTTGCAGAGCAGCACTTTGATCCCCGACGTCCTGCTTGACAGTCTCGATAAGTTGGCGGATGGATCCCAGACCGTCATCCACGTGCTTTTTGACCTCGTCTAGCGCTTCCACGTTCAGAACGAGAACGGAACGGTCCTTGATGTCCGCGAGGTCCTCGAGCTCATGTCGCACTCCAGAAACGGGATCTTGAATGTAAATCTCGGGCAGGTCTGCCCCATTTGCATGAGTGTTCCAGGAGAACTTTTCGATAAATGCAAGTTGCAACCGGCCAATTGTTAGTTCACCGTAACCCCCTGGAAGTACGAACTTCTTCACCCGAGACTTGTACTGCAGGAAGAGAGTGAGGTCTTTCGGTGGTGACGCCGGAGGAGACTGGTCAAGCACGAAACCTTTCCCTTGCTCTTCTGGGGTAGGTGTAGCGGGCTTCTGCTCTACAGGCTTTGGTTCCTCTTTGACTTCCGTCTTCGGAGTGATGTCGCCATCACTAGTTGCCATTGTTGGTACTACATCTGGCAAGGGTCCTTTTAAAGTCGCACTTGGTTTGAAGCTGTCCTCGGGCGTCGGACTTGCTGATTTGGGTGTCTCCTTTTCCTCAGATGCCCTTTTCTGATGACGCTGAGGCGACGACGGATCAAAAGCCCCGGGTCTCGCGCTTACCGACCCATCGTTATTTTTTCTTCGCACCGTCTCTCTGGCTTGGACAGCTCGCATAGATTCCCTGACCTCGGGCCTTCCTCGATTTGGTATTGGACCGGTCTGCGTTGGCATCATAGGAACCCCAGTCGCGCCACTTCCCAGGTGCTTGGAGATTTGATATGCGGAATATCTTCGAGAAGCACGACGCTCCAAGTCTCCACCTCTTTGCAGTGCAGCCAGGGCACTCTGTGTTGATGACTTAGGCGGAGGCGGCGGCGGCGGGAAATTGTCGAGCTCCTCAGGCGCCGCAGGAGTCGGGACAGGGTCTTCGGACGGGTACGGGGGGACAACGGGCATGCTCTGCATGGTCTCGCTCGAGAGCGAGGACTTGTCCGAGACGGTCGCTTGGGACTCATCCCGCTGAGATTGAAATCGCCGGGGAGATCCATTCGCCTTGATTGTGTCGTCCGTCCCACGGCTGCTGGCAGGTCGATATCCATTTTCGGACAAGCCCTCGTTCAGCATCTGCGACAGCCCTCCTGAGTTGCTTCCCTGGGTGCTGCTGCTTGTGACGCGGCCGTTCGAGGGCTCGGGACCCCCATTCTCCTTCTCACGCGCCTGCTTCTGCCGCAATTTTTGCTGTTTCTTTTTCAACCCATGAAGAAGATTTATGATGATATCTCTTATCCTTGGCAAGTACTTTTCCAAGCTCTCGACGCTCGCTTCTTGGCTCAGCGTCGCCTCTAGTATATTCCGAAGCAGCTCAGGGACATTACCGAGGTCGGAGGTGTCGACGTTTATCGCTGTGAAGGCCCGGCAGGCCATGTTGAATTCGTACCCGAGCCTTACGTAGACGTCTGACACCTGGGTATCCGTTGCTTGGCCCCGGGACCATTGCGTCAACGTCTCGAGGAGCTGTTTCGTGGCAACAAGGAGGTGGGTGACGCTCTTTTCGATCTGGGACAAAGGCATGGCGGAATTGCTACTCGAGGTCTGTTACATGGTACCAAACGTCAGCAAATTGGACGACTTAGTTGAGCCCGCGGAGGGCAGCACGTTTCAAAGCCGACTGTGGCCTTTGGCAGCACAGATGCTCTCCCCGTGGCGTAGCAGTCAGGCATGATGTGCATGGAAAAGCTGCCCGATGAGGGACAGCACAGGGGAACGGTTGACTAACACTCGGCCTCTTTGAACTGCTACTGTTCCTCTCACTGCTCTGGTTCGACCTGCTGGAGGCGGTGGAGGCGCGAGGTTGGACGCTTCCTGCCAGGCCGACGGCTGGCGATATGGATCGCAAGGGAACATTAGGAGGCGGCCCAGGCTCTGCGCCTGGAGAGCGGCGCAAAGACCGTTGCGAGGGGCCTGGTGCCTGCATCGTGACTGTGACTCGGACTGACTCCCAAACCGGGCCTTCCCCCTCTTTCTGCTCTGTAGCTGGATCCGATGGATATACAGATTTGGACTGGGAGGGTCTGGTGGTGGTGAGGAGGAGCGTCGAGATTCAGGACCGAGGTGAGACAGGGCCAAGCTCAGATTGAAGCAGAGGTTGGGTTGGGTGCAGTTGAAGCGGAGGCGAAAGAGTCGGTAAAGTCGGAGGCAGGTAGTGGGGGGCCAGCAAAGTCAGCACAGCGGCCGAGTTCAGTCGGAGTGGTGCGCTATCGGATGTCGATGATGGCAGTGAGGATGTTGTGACTGGCGACGATCTCTTGTCGGTGTGGTTTGGTTTGGTTTGGCTTGTCGAGGGCAATGTTTCTGGTTTCTGGTTTCTGGTTTCAACAGTCGTCGAGGCACGGACTTTCTTCCCCTGCAGTCGACCAGGGCATCAACCTTGGAGACATGGGCAGCTAGCCTGAGCCTGTACCTGAGCCGGAGAGTGAGCCTTGTGAATAAAGTGAGTGTGACAGTCGGGGACAGTGGCGCTTTGGGCACCTAAAGGACCTCCACTGGGGCTGGGCTGCAAGCGTGCAGCTCCAATCAAGGGGTGCAGAGCCGGCCGAATGCCTCCACCACATGTGTCATAGGCCTCCACCCTCCCGTGTCCCCTTCTCCAGATATTCATTACATGTATCCCATCATCCCGTCCTCTCTCCCAATGGACATCTGATGAAACACACTTGTACCGTGTTCAAGCACTTATCAGCAGAAATATTAATTTCTGGTATCGTACTATATCATAAAGCTATATGCCTCTTCATGCTTCACAAATTGCCCAAGCAGCTTCCAAGATTGCATTCTTCTTGTCATTACACAACAGAGCGTATCTCTGTTAGACGAGGCTTGCACATGTCTTGTCGTGCGGTCGCACAAATTCATATCTTTTCTGCCACTGCAGCCTAATTTTTTTTTTTTTTTTTTCAATTCGGAGAATGACTGTGCTGCTTGATAGCATCATCCTCTCAATGAGGCATCTGGACCATCTGGCGTCTTTCCTGGTGGTTGGTACAGATCTCATCCGGACTCCGATCTTCAGCCCACTCGAATCCGTCCCTCTAAAAGGTGAACTGCTTACTGGCAACTGGCAGTTCTATTTCTGGATGGCGGGCATGCTACCCACCCACCTGTTCTTTCGGAACCCCCCATCAGCTTGATATTCTAGATGGATTGCACAGGCAGGCATGCATGCTGTGGTACCAGCCCGGTGTGATACCGACACGCAGGCTCTTGTAGAACATGAGAGGCCAGCTCTACTGCCTTGCCCTTCCTGGACAGACACATGTCAACAGGCTCGGGGTTATCCCCAAAAAGGAGCCAACGCCACTCTCTCCTCCAAGTCCAAGTAACTCCACACTACCTCCCGACTTGTTTACATATATCTGTGGTGAAGTAGTAAGTAGTCACCGTTGAAAGGCTATCAGTCACCAGCAGATTTCATACCTCATGTAAGGCAATATGAGCAGTACTCCCAGAATCCAGCCCGGCTCTATTCATTTGCTGCTTGGGGGAAAGTAGTCCCAGTGGGTGGAGGGGCTGGAAGGCCTCATGCAGCCTGCTTACCTGGGCAGCGCAACCTGCGGAACGTGAACTCCAACAATGATGAGCCGACGACGAGCCTCTTCAGAAGGTTCAAACCCCTCATTGTCTCTCCATTCCATCCTTTCTTTCGGCCTCTGCTTCAATCTCTTCGAGTTTACCACCTGTCAGAATTCATTGTATACCTAGGAACACTCGTCAACATGACTTGGCTCTTCTTTGCGTATCCAGTGGTAAGTGTTTGCTTCGGGTACAAAAATGTAGACAGAGGCGATTCTGATGGCTCGACCTGCAGCTTGTGCTAGCTCTGATGGGCGTCGCCATCTACGAACACATCAATAGTGTTACCCTTTCTCTCCCACTTTCCCCAGTTCTGACCTTCCTGAGCATCCTGCTCCCCATATTCGCTGCCGCAAATGCATATGCCCTCCCCTACCTGCTCCGTGCGACATCGCGCTCCTCGAATCGGCTATGGGTTAACCTGGCACACCCCGCCGTCACCCAAGGCCTACAAGGCATCCTGGCCGTCGTCTTCGCCACGCTGTACACCACCTACATTGTGCCGGGCGCATCTCGGGACTGCAGCCTGTCGACCATCTGGCAGCGGCTTTTCCGCGCCAAGGATGCCCAGTCCATCAAGGCCATCCAGGACGCCTTCGAGTGCTGTGGCTTCCGTACTGTCAAGGATATGTCGTGGCCCTTCCCCCCTGCTGAGATTGCGTGCGCACAGCTTTTCAACAGGGACTCTTCATGCCAGGGCCCCTGGACAGGCGCACTGCAGCGCAGCGCCGGCGTCGAGCTAGGTATCGTCGTCGTGGTTGCGATACTTCAGGTAGGCAAGCCACGTATCCGGTGAGCAGTCGGCCAGATACGCTAACCACCCGCTGCCCAGGTTGTGAGCTTGGTCTTCCCGCAACAGTTCGCAGGGCGATTTCATGAGTTCTCCTGGCGCCGTTTCTTTGGTGGGCGCAGGCGGAATGGCTCTGAATCCGGCGCCTCCTCCAATCGGCCCCTGCTAACTGACCGCGATACATCGGCCGAAGAGGTCGACGAGGAGGTGGGCAATGCGCCGCAGACGAATGGTTATCGATATGGAGCTCTCGATGAGCGGAATGGAGATGGACCGAGGATCGAGCCGTCTGGCCTGCGTCAGGACGGGAACGAGTGGCGAGATGCGTGATTGTCGTTCAAAGTTGGACCTTTCCTAAGGCTCAAGATCGCAAATGAAAAGCCAAAACGTCAAAGGTTGTCAGGAGTTTCAGCCGCGGGACAGATTGTGGTGTTTGTAATGGCCAAGGCCGATACCAGCGGACATGTGGGTAAGTAGAGCAAGTGCGACACACTGCATGCGAAAACAAGGCACTATCCTATAATACAATAATTACCTTATTGTCTCATGATGGTGTCAACTTCAAAGAAAATGGCCACACTTTGTAAAGCTAATCAATAAGGTTAGTGAAACAAGCAGTAGTTTCCAAAGGGAAGAAAGTAATTCAGGGGTGATGTACATGCGACTCTGTACTCTTACGCAGTGTTCCAGTGAAATACATAGCGTAAAACATATTTCTATACCTCTTTCACGCGACATAGTAATATTTAAGCTCATTTCTCACTAACAGTGGCTAGTAGCGTCGTGTTCACTGAAGTGCGCCACACAATACTTCATGAGCTCGATGGCCAAAGTGAGGTTTGACATTGCAGCTGTCACTCACGGGGGGAACTTTGGCCCCAGTCAATGCTTCACTAAGTAACATTCGTCTCAGTAGTGATCTTCAAGGCAGATGAATTTGAGCAGCCCGCTTGGACAACCTGACACGTCACCTGTCAGAATTGATCAAAGTGGCATTAGCTGAGACAAAGCAGTTGCCACAAAAGGGCATGGTGTGAGTCTGGCAGCCTTGTAGCAGTGGTATAGGGACCTGGGTACAATCCTGTGAGTGGCAGCACCGAACTGTTCCAGCAAGCCTGACTAAAATCAAGCCTCTCAGAATGTGTTCTTTTCGATTCAATGTTCTCAACTCACGCGAGAAAGTTGACCCGTAAGATATGGCATATCTTGAGACTCACTCAGGTGATTCTGTTCACAGACAAGTGCCGCACCCAAGCTTGACAAGCAGTGAATCTGGCAACACAATAGTATTGTCTCTGGTGTCCGACCACCTATCAGGAAATTCCGCTAAGATGAGCTAGTCCCACTGGAACCAACCCAAGGTGTCAGGCCACAACACAATGCACCTTGTCCGTGTTCCCTACCTGACGAAGCCGCTCTAAGAGAGTGTTGGTGCAGAGCGAAGACTGCCAGAGAAGAAAAAAATAGAAAAAAGGATCCCGCGGCCAGCACCTATGTCTTTAGCATGCCTTATTCAGAGAGTGTCTATCAATACAAGTTTCGCCTCCGCAATCGTCCCGAAGACGATCAACCTGTGACGATTACATATATAATACTTGGCAATCAGAATTCGCCATACTCTCTATTCCGAGTAATAACCAAATGTCCTGAGCATTGAGGAAGGTCTGTAGTTCTTTGGGGATATTGCTCAGTTTTGGGTAGCCAAGAACAAAATGAGGGCGGTGCCAGTGTGAAAGAGATGTCAATGCAACTTTGTATCTCAAGCACATTTGACTTCGCGTGTGTGCTAATGTCCTTTTGGCGTATTTTGTCTTTGGCCATTCATTCTTTCAACGGACTTCGGTGACTGATTCGATCCACAGAAGGTCATATTTGTTATTGTGTCTGTGACTGTCGAGGCACTAGCCCCTGATAACTCTGCTTGGCCTCACTGACTCTTGAATTTCAGCATTATCTTACTCTGTCACGGCGCTGGCACATCAGACTGCGGAGCAAAATGCACTCACGAACATCAAGGATGTGGTGGCTCAGATTCCCCATACACTGGCAATCGTTCAAAGACTGGCATAGAGTCATGGAATGGATCACACCGGCTACAAGCTCAGCCCGGAGTCACTCAATGACATGACCTTCCTGCCTTTAAACAAAACAAGTAGACAGTGGCTCATGCGTAGTGAGTGACTAGATACCTCTTAGTGTCCATCCGGTCGTTGTTGTTCAAGAGACCATTGAAACGACTGCCATCCTTTCCTGCCTTACCGGCCGGCCTGCGAATCCAGGCCGGCCCACGAAATAAAGTTGCCCAGTCACCTGAATGTTTTCAGATCGAAGCCCCAAATTTGGACTCTGGACCTGAGCATTGTCCACATTTTCTTCCTTAGGGGGGCTGACTTTCTTGATTTAAATCAACACATCTACCTCTCCCCAGCGAACCTGATGTCGAAGCACCACTACTTACCCGGACATCCAGTCAAGATGTCTGCCTTCACCAACGGCGCCATTGCGCCACCCAATTCCAGAAAGAAGCTGAATGTCACACCAGAGCCAAGCCCTGTTCAGGAAGACGATCTTGACGAGGAACTGGTCGATGTTGGAGAAGAAATGCCGATAGAGCAAGCCCACCCCGAGATCGACCAGTACAGTGATCCTCCCGAATCGCCAGACGAGTTCCGTTCGGATGTTCTCAAAGAGCAAGGCATTACCGGTTTCATAGTCAAGGTTGCAGTACGTCAGGTTGATCAAGCCCCTCAAGATTTCCAAATAATTAACAATTGTTGTCGCCTCAGGGCCGTCTGAGGACCCTCAAGCCCCCTGTTCGATTGCAGGCGCGCCACCAGTTCTACAGCCTGATTCGAGAACTCAATGTCGACATGCAGGGAGCAAACCCGGTCTACAGCCAGACCGCAGCTTTCAAGATCCGCAATGAACGTAAGCATCGTCTGGATTCATCTGTTTCACTACTTACCCCAAGGCATTCAGTCAGGCTGCAGCCTCTGAGACAGGGTGTGGGCATGTGTTGGCTGATCCCTCCTCCGTTCCGTACACGCTTCTTCCTTTGTGCTTTGATAGCTAATTCTGAATGCTGTAGTGGAGAAGTGGGGACTCGGCGAGACACTCCTGCTGGACTTCGAGAGGCTGCTGCACCATTTTGAGGAGCGCGCAGAGAAACACAGGGAGGAGACCGAGAGAAAGGCGCAGGAGTACGAGGAGGAGCAGAGAAAGAAGCAGGAGTGGGACGTGGTCACTGAGGACGATGCCAATGACGACTGGGAGCTGGTCTAAGACTGGACGGTCATCAACGGCGCACGGCAAAGGAGTGGAAAGCCGATCGAAGATGCCAACGACAGTCAGGCAAAGGAGGTGATAGCATGGCGTTGAGGGCGAACAGCCGGCAGTTTCACGATACCTGCAGTCAGTATGTTGATTGCATACAATTAGGCGAATGATGAAGCAAGCCTTAAAGACAGGTGCAGTCAGCAGAGGAGTGGATCACTGTGAAAGATGAATTGATCAATCACGATCAATCAGAGCCAGGCAAGCAGCTGGCAAGGCAGTCAGTCAGTCAGTCTAGTCTACTGTTAGTCGGTCAAACGTCAAAATGTCAATCAGTGAGTGGATTGCAGTGTCGTCATTCCTTCAGCCTCTTGCAGCCTGCCGAGACGAAAACGGGTCCCCCGAGCCCTGCCTGCCACCCAAAGGCACGAGGACGATTGGCGGCCAGCGACAGGTGGACCCCTTTGCGTGCGAGCTGTGGCCGTATGCTGCCCTGTGTCATCCCTACACCCGAAACGACCCGACCCAAAATTCTCTCGCCAACTCTCCGTTCGCTACTTGACAAAAAGCCTCAAAACTTTTTGTTGTCTGTTGTCCACTTGGAATCCCTATCCATCAACCACCATCACCACCAAGCCCCCCTCGTGACAGTCGCAGCTTGCGTCTTGGGAACCACTCCACTCAATTCATTTCTTCCGGTGTCTTCTTTTCATCCCACAATCCCCCGTCCCTCCAGTCGCAATGGCCTCTCCATCGCAATCCACCGGCTCGGCTAAGGTCGATGCCGTCGTCCAGAAGGCTACCGCCAGCGCCCCTGGCCAGCTCAGCGGTCTCCAGCTCTACTCCAGATTCGCCCTCGCCGGTGCCGTCTGCTGCTCGATAACACACGGTGCCCTCACCCCCGTCGATGTGTACGTCGCTTCTCCTTGATGCGTGTCCTATGCCACCCACCGGCCCCGAGAGGCTCGTTGCTGTTTCAGCTTCGCGACCGTTGCGTCCGCCGCTCCCGCCTTCGCCGGTCGTCTGGGCATTGAGCATTGAACCCACTTTCTGCGAACTCTTCGGACTACCACGGCTAACAACAATCATGACTACAGCGTCAAGACCCGTATCCAGCTCGACCCTGCCACCTACAACCGAGGCATGATCGGCGGCTTCAAGCAGGTCATCCAGAATGAGGGTGCTGGCGCTCTGCTGACCGGTTTCGGTCCCACCGCCGCCGGTTACTTCCTGCAGGGTGCCTTCAAGTTCGGAGGTTACGAGTTCTTCAAGCAGCAGTCCATCAACCTGCTCGGCTACGAGAACGCCTCCAACTACCGTACCGGTGTCTACCTGGCTTCTTCCGCTGCCGGCGAGTTCTTCGCCGATATTGCCCTCTGCCCTCTCGAGGCCACCCGTATTCGTCTTGTCTCCGAGCCCACCTACGCCAGCGGTCTGCTGAGCGGCTTCTCCAAGATGGCAAAGCAGGAGGGCTTTGGCGCCTTCTACGCCGGCTTCGGCCCCATTCTGTTCAAGCAGTAAGTGGTGCCGTGCCTACCACATGTTGGTCTAGGCGCTATTTTTGCTCACACCTTCACCAGGATCCCCTACACCATGGCCAAGTTCGTGGTCTTCGAGAAGGTCTCCGAGGCCGCCTTCAGGGCATTCCCCAAGAAGGACCTGTCCGACGCCGCCCAGACCGGTGTCAACCTGGGCTCCGGCCTGATCGCCGGTTTCGCCGCCGCTATCGTTTCTCAGCCCGCCGACACCATGCTTTCCAAGATCAACAAGACCAAGGGCCTGCCCGGTGAGGGCACCACCAGCCGTCTGATCAAGATCGGCAAGGAGCTCGGTCTCCGTGGATCCTACACTGGTATCGGCGCTCGTCTCTTCATGGTCGGTACTCTGACTGCCTTCCAGTTCGCCATCTACGTAAGTTACCAAACTCAACTCCACGAGTATCGCAAAAAGCTGACATCACGTGAAGGGCGATCTCAAGAAGGCACTTGGCGCGACCGGTGGTGTCGAAATCGCCAAGTAAACGACTTTTTAACGTATCTGAGGATGCTCAAAGAGGTGGTTCATGTTTGGGCTGGTGATAGAGGCGTGGTTGTGGTGGGATAGACACTTGCGCCGGTAGAAAGATACAAGATACCGCGGGCTTCGATGACGTAAGCTCGCTATACGCTACAGGGACTGCTAAAGGGGCTTACATTAGACTCGAAGATTCCTGGGTTCAAGACGGGCGCGCAATTCTGCTTGCGAACTTATATTATTTTGGGCGGGATCTGGTCTCTGGGCCGAATCTGGCCGAGATAATCAGACAGAGGCTTTGTATAATAGTCCTTTTACTCGCGCAATCATAGACGGGAAGATGGAGACACCAATAACTGCTCTCGTGCAACGGTGATATTGAACCCAAGTGACTACCACAATCGCAGCTCGAAGAGACAGGCACCAATCGTGGCGTACAGCGTGACGGCCGGCGCTGTTGGTACAGCCTCACAGCAAGCTTTTATGGGAGTGCCAGTCCTTTGGAATAACACCTTACAAGATGACCTATGGAATCTCTGTAGGAAAGTCAAACTACCTTTAGACAGCTTGCTGTGGGATAAACTACCGTGAGACAATCTACCGTGGGATAGTCTACCTTGGGATAATCCACCGAAATAACCTACCAGGTATCGACTTGCTGATGATGTGGGATAGCTTGTTGTGGGATGGCTTGTTGTGGGACGACCTGTTATAGGACATTGCGGTATGGTATAAGACGTATAAGACTATGCTGAATAAGCTGTGTCTTCTTCTATCAGACAACCTCCCTGAACCAGGCGGACGAGGAGCCTCTTCTAGCTTCAACATACCCAGAGCCTGTGAAGAAACAACTCGCCTACATGAGGGCTTTTCCCTTTTCCGTATCTGCGGGACCGTTTCTGACGACGTAAGACTCTCTGCCGTGATGTTGGCCTTCGCGATTCTCGTGTCTAGGACGCATCCGCTCTGCCCTGCAAATATTCGAAAAGAGATAGCGAACTCAGGCTCCCCCGATGCAACAATAGAGGTGAGACCTCAAATTCTGGGTAATCTCTCTTCAGCATTCAACATTTCTGAAAAATGTAATTCTTCATGGAGACTAGTATGCCTCTTTTGCATATACTTAGCATGTATGTCTCTCATCACTTCAAGGCTTGAGAAAAGAACCTTGGAGGACGCTCACTTTACACTATGTTGTATTCTGGGGCTCAGGAGTAATGACTCCGAAGGCATCGGTAGAGGGCTTGTCAAGAGGCTAGCCAGTCCCCGAGCGTAATTGTAAAAGAAATCAAGAGAACTTTCCCGCACAATTCTTACTCTTCGTTCTGCTTCTCTCCTTTCCACCTTGATGACCGATCATGGTGATGGTTACTCCGGTCGTTTTTAGAACCAGCTGTGCATGCATGGCAGATGTACAATTCGATTTCCCTCCGGATGATCTGACATCTCAATCGGTATGGCCAAGCTTCAAGTCTAATCCTCCTTTGGTTTGACGATCAGCCCCGATAGCCGATCTGTTCTGATAATCTACTTGTGGGTCTCGGGAGGTACGTCCCAACAGTAGTCGCGCAGCATTCTCTTGATCTAGATCTTCCATGTAACGTTGTTACATGTTAGGTGCATGATACGTGCTTATCGGGTGGCCAAACAGACGATGACTCTCTTATTGTCCGTGATAAGTGGCTGGTCTTACGCGTGTCTACCTCGCAAGAACAACATGGGCGGATCTTCGCCGTGTACCTAGGTAGCTGGCAGTGAGTAAGGACAACGGATCTTGCGGGCGGTGACACTAGCAAGATCAGACTGAAGAGACGAGACATCTGAATCGGTGGAAGGTAGGCTGACTTATTGGACCACATTGACCGAAGGAAAAGCATCAAGCTGCCTTCTCCATAGGCAAGCCTCGAAGAAGTAATTATGTACACATGCCTCGTGACCGCGAATTCTATGTCCAGCGAGCCATTGGCTATAATACAATTCCATGCAACCCCCACGACTTCCATCTCAGTGTCGTTCAACGAGCATAATGAGAAAATACCGAGATCAGACAGGAGACTGTTGGGTGACATCCACAGTCTTTGTCACTGTGATGCCTGTCTTGCCTATATTGGTCAAAGAAAATGACTCCTTTGTGGCCATCGCGTTCGTGTCGGTTAATATCTCCCGCTGAGACCATGTATCTGGCTCGCCGTTCGCGCGCTCTCGCGCCTGTCTGTAGGTACCGGCATAAGACGGGTACAAATTGCTGTTCTTCGATTTGCGGGATCGCATACCACATGCGTGTATAATGCTGATATAGGCTGGCTTGCTAACAGGCAGGCCGATGCAGATCATTGTCACTGCCATTTCCGCACCATGCCAGAGGTAAAGTACTGCGGCTGTTCTCCTGGTCAGTCTCTCTCACGTGCAGCGCATCGACGAGCGGTGCTTGGCTCACCTGAGTTTTCCTGCAAGTTGTTCACCGCTGCGTAGATAGTCAACGCTCTTGCGATGCCACAGCCAGCAGCGATAACGCCAAGACTCATGCTCCCTTGGATCAGGATCTTTTCCTTCTTCGGCCTCGTCAGGCGGCGCAGGAGATACCATGGCATCGCCGCGTACCACAAATCGATCGCAACACTGAACCCTGCTGCCACTTGCATCCAGTGCATGGCGGGAATGACACTGGAGCACAAGAGAGTCGTTCCAGCAAGGGCGGTAAAACATCTCGCCCACATCGCCATTATTGCCCCAAAGGTGACAATGCCGAGGAGCGTAATAGGGAGAACGATGAGTACGTTCCATTTCCAAGGAGACTGATGCTGAGGTGCAAGGCGCATCAGGAAGACCACGAGTGAGCTTTTCGCAACGACGAGGCCTATGCTGGCGAGATCGAAAAGAACATTCTCAAAGGCGACGATGAGGGTAACATCGCTTGTCGTCAGATATTCTGGCAATTGACTACCAAGTCCGTGGTAGGAGTAAAACGTGATGAGGCCATTGTATGCGAGAAGAAGCGTCTGAGGACCGCCTGGTCAGCCTTTGCTTCCTATTGTAGGAGAGGTAGCTGACGACTTACAAAGGCAACATTGTATAGATAGTCTTCGATGGCGTAGAATTGGAGTATCTTGACACGTGAGAACAAGCGAAGGATGACGAAAATTCCGGTGACGAAGAACAGTGTCCAGAGAACCGCGATGACTCGTATATCCCAGAGCGTTATGGGAAAATATGTCAGTCTCGACGATTCGATCACATCCAGTCCTTGTGCGCTTTCCCTGGGCGTCAGGATTCCCATAGTGACATTGCTACCCTATTCAGGCGATCCCAGTGCGGGAAGATGCGTTCGTCTGTGCGAAAGAGTCAGGCACTGCAGATCACCAGCAACGTTGGGTCAGCACGGTTCGGCGTCGCGGCTCGGTGACTGGTTATGGACGGCGGTGAGAAAACGGTTCGACAGTCGGTGTTCGGTCTTCGAACCTCTCTCAACGAGGGGGAGAGGAGGTATATCCCGCTCCAGCTTCAATAACCAGAGGCCACTAGGGGACAACGGAGCTCGGGTGAGCAAAGTGGGAGGGAGCTCGAGGGGAGTTGAAGGACCACATGACAGATTATACGGAGTTGCAGATGGGCGGACCGGAACCAACCGGCCGCAATTTGACAGGCTACTCGCATACGCACGTAAGGAGGTAGTGAGACCCTTCAGTGACCCTACAACCGCGGCTCGTTGGTACAGAAGACTCGAGAGCGCAAAGGGGGGGTTGACAAGCCTCTGATCTCCTCCCCCGGCCCATGTTTTTTTGACCATTTAGGCGGGAGAATCACGTCAATCCTGGGTGATCCTTCGTTGTTATCAGGCCGAACGCCACAGTAATGCAGCCAATCCTGCGATACAGCCGCTCCGGAGTACATGGGGGCTAAGCCAACCACATGGCTGTCCAGACAAAAACTTATGCAATGCGTGTGGGCGATGGAGACGACGGCGAGCGGAAAATGCGGATTGGGAATGGGGTCGGCCTAGTTCTCGTTGGCCGCGGGGCTTTAGCCAGATTCCACAAATCCGTAAGAGCAGGCCAGTCTGCCGAATCCTGTTGGTGTGACACCCCAAACCCCCATGCTTATCTTCCCAGGGATTATTCGCCTATCAGCTGTGGTTGTTCGACCTGCCTCGACCATACTGAAGCGAGTCACCACAAAAAAAGTGGCGCAATTTTGCATCAGCACCTCCTCCAGCCAGACTGCGGAGCTTTGTCGGACGCGAGGCGCTCCGAGCTTCTTCAATCGTAAAGGTGCGAAAGGCGGGCAAGGAGCAGATTTCTTAAAACGTCCAAGCTTCCCCATTTTTTCAAATCTGTGCCTCGGAACGCACTGTTGTGATATCTGCAAGGGCGCTTCGAGATTGGGAGACTGAGATAAACGGGAAATTGCAGATGCCGTGCAATCAATATGGAGGATACGTACGGCATGGTGCGTGTCTAGGACACCTGAGCAGTGTACAAGCCAGAACATCTGGGGACAGTCCCAACAGGATGGTTCAGCACTAGGGCTGAACCACGCGGGTAAATCTCACCCCATCTTGTACTGATGACCAGGATGGGGCCAATTTTGTGCAAGATCAGAAGCCACTTTCACGCTTTTGCACAGTAGCCGTAACAATGATCATCATCGAAAGGATGCGAATTAGTGACACGTGCATGCATGGGAAGCTCAGGGTGTATGGTTGCACAGCGTTGCTGTCATCACGCACAAAGCTAGTTCATTAGCCACCGCTGTGCACAATCGAATTGTTACTGCTCTATATTTATCAATGCATGCTGACCATTGTGCAGTAGCGTCAGATGCAGTGTGAACCTCGGGTTGAATTGCCGCTATCTTGTGCCGGCCCAATTCGTCAATATGCTCTGAGGAAAAGTCTAGCTCCCACCATCCCCCCCCCCCAAAGGCTCTGTATTGACAGGGAAAAAGTTCAGATAAGGAGAAATAGTTCGAATTGGGTTGGATATAAGATCAAATACAATGCATCAGCCAGGGGCGCAATGGTTGGTCTTGTTTGTGTTAGATTTGGAACCGGGATCGGAAGATTTTTCGAGTTTCAGATCTCAACTCGCAGACAGTCTCAGCGACAGGGGTGCTCGAGACCACTTCACTTCATCTGATATTCCACCAACAAGAAAAACCGAAATCTTGTAAAACGTACCCGAAAACTTCAGTCTGCACTAAAATGGTGCTGGCAGCTAATTGTAGGGCTGAGATATAAGGGCTACGGGCCCTCCGCTGGTCCGGATGAGCAAGTTTATTTAGACTACAGAGGAAAACGGATGTATTTCCTGAGTGCGGTCTAGAGTCATATAGCCAGGAACAGCAACTTATCCCCTCTCAACGACGATCTGGACACAAGGCGGCTCTGGTCAGGTCTTCTAAACTTTCGCTTCCCTCCGGGAGTCACGAATTTCTCTGTGTCCCCTGCCCTCGCTCTTCCTCTGCTGTAGAGATTCTTTTCTGTTCTGATTAGGATTTGACCCGGAGAATGTCTTCCACTTTCCCTTTACTCGACGGCTACATGCCAACCTTGGGGGTGGGGGGTCAGAATTGTGAATTTACAGAGGAGAATGGATGTACCTTTACCTTTTGGCTGTGGTTCGGAGTCACATAGACAGAAAATTTCAATACTCTCAAGCGATTGTGTCACAAGTCAACGGGTGTAGTTGCCGATTCGCGGTTTTAGATATGCAAGATTTATTCCACAGAGAGGAGCCTTGCAGACACTCAGGTAAGGGGCAAGCATCTAAACAGGCGAGAGTTCATTATGTCTTATTCTCAAGCATCTCATGTTTGCCTCAAGCGTGAGGCCCTCGAACTTGAAAACCTCGAGCTTTTTATCTAAAAGGACTTATAGGTGGCCACCCATATTCGGTCTCTAGACCGTGAATCGCTCCGCACGCTTTTGCGGCTCAAATAGGTTTACAATTTTAACACGACACATGTGCAGACAGACTTCTTGGCAACGAACTTTTGACATCTTAATATGCGTACCCACGGCAATGTTGGATCAGCGATCCCTTTTCAAAAGGTCCGGTGCCTAGCGATCAAATACACACCTGGAATAATGCAGGCGAATAAAATTTATGTTTGTCTTTGGACACAGCCAGTGTTTGGGTTGACTTTAGGTAATGTTCTAGTATGGCGTGAAGGGGACGGAATATCTTCGTTCTTCCCCGCAGAGATCCTCAAAAAGCCCCAGATTTATGACACATTATCCCACATGCAATATTTACCGAGGTCTCTATAGCGAGCAAAATACTGACTGGGTAGTATCATCGGTTGAGCCTAAGAGAAATACAAGCCGCGGGCAAAGGTGTTGAGAGGGCAACCCACTTCTTATTATGGCTAGTACCTCGAGGTATCTCATATTATCAAGCTCTCCTTGCCCATCAAGACCATCATACCGTCTTGTGTGGCAATAGAAATGATACTGGCTCTACCTCTCACACTCAACTGTTGTATTTCTAGGCTGTGAACGACCGCAGAAGCGCTTATGTTAGATGAGGCTGTGTCTTGTTTCGAAACAAACTTTTACTACAGGAGTGTCCAAAATTTGAGTTTTGATTGCTTTCGGATCTACAAATAGTCACGCTTGATCGGGTGGGCTGAAGTCATGTCCCAGAGGCCACGCCAGCACTGCGGCCGCTACGGGCCAGCTTAGTTGGAGTAGGATGATAGCGGTGAAAACTGCATGCCTCTAATTCTAGCCTGTCTGGACGGTAAGGGCCGCTTTTGGGGAACTCCTGTGCTTATTCTCTGTTGTCGATCTGTAAGCCGTTCGTGGGGGGGCTCCCCTCAAAATCTCGCCAGGACTTACTTTCAGTCTGCGGCAGTAAGCCGCCACTGTGGGCCATGATGTATGCCGTGCATATATGTCACTTTGAGTTAGAAAAATCCCAGGCCCAAATGAGAAGTGATACCTGGCGATCAATCACTGACGGCCGACTGTTTGTCCTGTACAACCCATATCCATTTTAGCTGGCACTGATGAGGGTGGAGAGAAGGAACGCTGCGATTGCTTCCTCCCAGCATCCATGGTGTGTTTGTTGTGATTATGCTCATCATACGGGTTGAGAGAGGTTTCGAATGCGTGGGAATGAGCGAATTAGGGGCAGTGAAAGTATTGACGCTTTACATGGCTACACGAAACATGAGGATAGACACGGTGGAATGGCTTTTCCATTCTCTATAAAGTGTGCTTGACCACATGGATCATCCGCGAGCTCGAAGTCGTACTCGTACCCCCGATGCGATCCGGACTTCTCAGATTTAGAAAGGCAAAGCTTTCGCCAAGCAAGTACATCTCAACTCTACCGCTGTCGGCCCTACTCACAAAGAACGACATTGCCAAGCAACCGAGGCCCAGTCTCCATATTATCGACACGGATCTCAGGGATCAAATCCGACACCAAAGTGTGAAAGCTTACCGGGACATATGCCAAATATATGACCCCCCTCTCTATATGTTCGAGCGCTGTTAACGCTCATATATGCAGGAGCGCCCATGTAATTGGATAGGATAGGCAGTGCTTTCTATGCAGCCTGACGAGCCATTAGAGGCATCTTAAAAAAGTGCCCTGCCAATGAAAACCAATCACAGAGTCGGAAGTCAGGACTAAGGTTCTATATTCCACGTCGTAGGTTTCCCGGAAATCTGGTCCGTTCAAGCCCTTCGTAGAATTGGCTTCAGATTCTTTCAAGCACACGACTCAGCAGCTTGAGTTTAAATTGTGCCTCCCAGGCGACGAGCCTTTGCTGATTTGGTTGACGAGCCCGAAGAGCACGACTGCCTTGCTGCAAAAGACAAATCTGGTCTGAACTTCAGCTTGGACGAGTGAGAGACGTCATCTATGCGCGACTTATAGGTTGCTGTTGCGATATCCGGCCTATATCACAGTGTGCTTGGCAGCATCATTACCCGTCCTGTGCAATCAGACTTGCTGGGACCTGCATGCCATTAAAACGGGCCTATAGTCCCCAAACAGTCAGTTATGGTTACAGTCTCGATTTCCCCGATACAGTGCCCGTAAAAATATGTGCCTCCCAAAGTGGAGCACATTGGTTGATCGCGAAGCCGGATTACTCGCTCTTTCTTGTAATTATTAGGAGAGACAAACCGCAAGTGGTCGAGGAAAGCAGCCAGTAGACCACAATCACAGTCACCTACTTCATCGTTGTCCGGCATCGGGGCTAGGGACGGAACTCGGCTCTTGATGATGGGCATTTTTTAACACTTGAAGATCTTCCCCGCAAAAGAGCCCTGGTTAGAATGAGGAACCCCAAGTTTCCCCGCATGTTCTGTACGAATCACTACAATGCCGGCGGTGACGGTTCTGTTCTAGGGGCGTTAATTACCGATGTCTCCCCGTATATCACCGTGCACTAGCAAAGCATCAACCTTTATTCCCCAGTCAGGTAGTCCGTGGAGAGTCGTACCGTCCTACGTAGGCACATCTGGGGCCTGGCGGGCAGACAGGGAGCCCCATGACGCGGGAAGCTTGGAGAAATAAACAGTATCCACCTTGATTGCACTGCTTGAGAATCTTGGTTGCTTGTGGGAGGGGGGAGAGCCCTCGCACATAGTCTAGTATAAAGTACGATGTCGACCTCCCCGCATGGCGAGTCCTTGAAGGTACCCAAGGCCTCACGAGAGCGCCGTCAACACAGGTCAAAGCAGAATTCGGGCAGAAGGTATCTAAAAACAATGGCTTGGGTCTCGCTGCCTTCTTTGGCCATCCTGGCCGGCATCCATATTCAATGGCTTCTGAACCCCGAGTCGGTCGTTGTACAAGCTCAGGAAGTACCTGCACAAGCCCAGATTATCGACCAAAGAAGCTTCAATGTCCTGCCATACGTCCCACCCGCTACCGTCGTAAATGGAACTCAAACCTTCATGCCGCCAGGCATCGCACCGGAGGAGCTCTTGGCCAAACCTTTCCACATCTACGACGACGATTTCTACGACATTATCGGTTCGGAACCCACCTTGACATTGATCGCGGAAACGGAAACCGATCCATTGTTCCATGAGGCAGTGGTCTGGTATGTACTCCTAAGAGCTCAGAGCTCCTGCTGTTGCACACCTGAATAGAGGCTGAACACCCAGCAGGTACGAACCGACAGATGAGGTCTTCTTTGTCCAGAATGCCGGTGCCAAAGCCGCAGGCACAGGCCTCAACAAATCTGCTATCATCCAGAAGATCGCGCTGTCGCAAGCAGATGCGGTCAAGAACCAGGCCAATGCATCTGGGCTGGTCACTGTGGATGTTGTCCCATCCAATCCGCAGGTGATCAACCCCAACGGGGCCACCAACTACAAGGGCCAGATTCTCTACATGGCTGAGGGTGCTGGCGCGGATAACACTTCAAACGCCGTTGTCATGAGCCCAGTCGAGCCTTACAACACGACAGTCGTGCTCAACAACTACTTTGGCCGGCAATTCAGCTCCCTTAACGACGTTGCCGTCCACCCGGTCAACCAGGAGGTGTATTTCACAGATACCCTCTACGGATATCTGCAGGACTTCCGCCCGGCCCCTGGAATTCGGAACCAAGTTTACCGTTGGAATGACCAGACCGGCGCGGTCACGGTCGTCGCGGACGGCTTCGTCCTGCCTAACGGTATGAAGCATTCAGACTTGTAGCGCGATATTAAAACGAGACATTTGCTGATGTTAACGGGCCATAGGTGTAACGTTTTCTCCAGACGGCGCTTACGCCTATGTCGCGGACACAGGAATTAACAAGGGCTTCTACGGGAACAACTTTTCCGACCCAGCCTCCATGTATGATTTCTCCCGATCCCAATGTACTTGCCAAGCCCCGCTCTGACACTGACCCGGCCACCAGTTACCGCTTCGACGTCCTCGAGGACGGCACCTGGGACAATCGCAGGACTTTTGCCTTTGTCGACTCCGGTGCCCCAGACGGCGTGCACACCGACACCAACGGGAACGTCTACGCCGGCTGCGGCGACGGCATCCAGGTCTGGAACCCCTCTGGCAAGCTCGTCGGCAAGATCTACCTGGGCACGACTAGCGCGAATTTCAAGTTCGCGGGCGACGGGAGGATGGTCATCTGCGCGGAGACTAAGCTGTACTATGCCACGTTCAATTCGAGCGGGTGGATTGCAGAGGGACAGTAAACTTTCTTGGTTCTGTATATAATTAGTGAGGCTTAGTCAATGAAATTTACGGCTTGTCTCACGCTTTTCTGAGGGTATATCTGCATCTTCTGCAGAATGCGTTCTCGCTGGGTCTAGGTCTCATCCAACTGATATCGAATATTATCAGTGCCAGATGGCACCTAAGGGCGAAGATGCCCTACAGTATCTCTGTACTTGATTAGCTTCTTGACCTGATCATATATCACTTCATCTGTCTTCGACAGCAGAGCGCAAGGCTGTGTCAGATTTAGAGCAGTAACAGTCCCACAATCCTTTTTGCGACCCTTCACCTGTACAACAGTCTTGTATGCCATCTTGGGTCCCAGAGTTAATCAAAAGTCAGTCCTAGTATTCTCGGTCGTGGATCCCGGCTGAAGACGCCGTCCATGTTGGAGACGACACGGCTGCTCGTGGCCATGTTGAGATGAAGGTAGGAGCAGCTTGTAGCCACGATAAAATCATTCGAGCAGGACGATGCTCATCGATTCTGATGATCTTGGTCTGACCAGAAGAAAGAAGTAAAATTGTCTATGCAATCGAAATGAGCTACACGGGTGCTACCGAAACATAGTATGTTGAATACCTAGCTACCTAGGTACGTTTCAACTGCAACCCTCCTTACCTTCCAATAGTCACATAGCCCTATAGCCTCATAGTCCAGCCCGTCCCTACCCTTCACAACCCGCAATCCTGAGGTATAAGCTCAGCATGCGTCTAGCTAGTCCCAATTGTCATCTAGCCCCATACAGGCGAAGATCCTGTGGAGACCAAGATCTAGTTCACGCTCACGGAGGTTGGCAGTTGTTTCTTCGGAGCAATATAGTATTGCCGATTAGAATCTGTTAGATTTCAGCACTTGTCTTGCCATACTTAAGCTCCCAGATCTCTCATCACTCGAAAATTGCGCACCCATCAGCTCGCAGTAGACGTTGCGTGGTTTTTATCTTGAAATATGCGAGGTCACCCGGCATTACGTGGCACAGGGAGCGAAGTAGACCGCGAAGACGCATAGAAGAATTGACCAACATAATTCATCTGCTACGAGTGAGCCATTGATTGTCTGGTATTACCCAAAGTACCTCATGGTGGGGCTAAGGGGATTCCCGGGATATTTACAGTTGAGGCCTTCAGTGCCAGGATCTTATGGCGCTAGAAGCAGTGAGGAACAATAGAAGTAATGGAGACAACACTAGTCGCTTGCACTTGTCTGGAATATATTCTATAGTACCTTAATCAGGTTCGCTACCAAGATCCTTCAGGTCAAAGCTCATTCATATCAGAATTGAAAATAATATAGCTGCTTACCAGTGGAAGCTATCATACATCTTGGCGGCCTCCGCCAAACCCCCTGGTGATGCTTTTCGAAGTATCAAAACTTCGTTCTCGCTCTGTGCAGCTGCGAACACGGGGAACTTGCTCAACCTGAAATCAAGGAATGGCCTCAAGCTTGTCCTTGGAGATAGACGGAGAAAATACAAGCGATATCACCCCATCGTGAGCTGCCTGCATTGAATGCCACGACTTCAGGAGCCCACAAGCCACTTGCTCGTGGCGATCATGGGGGTTGTAGTTCGCCAACCCACACAATTGGGCCCCGAGGCTTCGTTTTCGCTCTCTCGAGTCGCACCTTTAAACCCACGCGACCCTCCTTGCGCCCCTGACCCGACTTCTTGGGAGCGGCTTGGCGTGTCGCGCGAAGCAAGTCTTCCCGATGCGCGCACCGGCACGCTGCAGGGATGAGAGCTTACAGTGTTTCAGGAGCTCGTCTCGAACAGCCGCATCGGTAAATGTTCGCAGGATATTCCAACGGGCGTGGCGGGTGGGGTGAGTGATAGACAGAGCAGATAGAGCTGCCTTGCTTCGGGTCGCGTTCGCTTATAGCGTCATGGTTTTGGCCGCATCTTGGCTGTTCAAGCAGTCTTGTCGGTCTGGGCGGTGCGCGGCGTCCTCTTCGCCCCGAAGCTTGAGTATATCTCACGGTGAGAACCCGAGCTGTTTTCTCAAGCTTTTGATCTCGACAAGACACTCACGTCAGTCCATCGCACATCACCCGTATTCTTGGGACCTGCCAAACTTATTCCAGCCTTAAGCTGTGAAACGAAACACTCATCTTTGGTTCAACGCTACACCATACTCCACTTTTACACAACGCGAAAAAAGAAGTCACCATCAAAATGCTGTCTAACCGCCGTTCTTTGATGGGAGGTCCCGCTGGTGGCCCAATGTCCATCGACAAGTCCAACCCAAACCGCGCAACATGGTGCCGCCGCGCCTCATCCTTCACCGTTGCGCCAGGCGCCTACAGCGACACAGCGCCGCCAGTATACAATAGTGCTCAAACAGACAACCAGCCGCACTGCCAAATGCCATCCGTCCTCACATCCACAACCCCAGAGATCCCAGGCCACCGGGTTGTCAAGGTGATCGGCTCTGTATACGGCAACACCACCGCCGCGCTGCCCAAGGACGGGGTGAAGATGTGGCTGAAGACGGCCTGCGGCATGGGGGCTGAGGTTAGGAGCCTGACGAACATTATCTACAACGCAAGGGACGCGGCAACCGACAGGATGGTCATGGACTGTGTCTCAAGGGGTGGCAACGCTATCATAGGGATGAGCTTCACAGAGAGCGAGATCGCAGGCTGCGCTACGGTCAGCGTGCAGGGCACAGCGGTTTATATGGAGATTAGCAGGAAGGTAACTGAGGATCCGTTCAAGGAGGAATGAGGTCGTTGGTGAAGGGCTGGTATTTTTTTTTTCTTCATCCTAATTTCCTGGAACATCTCGGCGACATACCCGGCGTGCAGTTGAGAGGTTTGGGTTACCACCCGTATATTTCCATCACCATTTTGACGAGTATGACAAATTTTGATAAACTTGTTGATTCTACCTCTAGTCTAATACTGAGTAAGCAGTCAGACATACGGGTCCTAGAAGAAATAGGATGTCGTGAAAGCTGATAACAAGAGATGCACGCTCGAGCGGTTGGCCCGCGGACTGGGGGTCGGAACGGGGCCACAACAGCCCCCTGGACAAGGAGATGCACGAGCTGCCTCTAACATCGAGTTGTCCGATGCAGTGTGTCCCCTCTTGACTGGGAAAGCTACGACTTCCATCTTTGTGGAGAAAACGAAGGTTGTAGCTTCGAGAGGTACAATTTGAGCTCATGTCAAGGCACGGTGGCGCTCGGAATGTGGTGGTCCCGCAATTCAACGTCGCTTTCGCGCAACACCAGACGAGGCATGTGGGCCACCTGCCGACGTCATCTCACACAACCTGGTTGCCAACAGCAGCACACCATCTGAGCTGATCAGCGATTGAGGTGACGCCTCAGCTCCTACACAGCTTCAGTAGCCTAGCTGATCCAGGTATTCGGTGGCGTACTACCCCGAATTTCACGGGACTTCGAACAGACTTGCAAGGTTGGGCCATTGAGGTGCTGTGACGAAACCGTGACAGCCGGCTCACAGGACCACGATCGATATATGTAGGACTTGGCTGCGCGCTCCCTTCGTGACCGTGCGGTCCAACTTGACAACCTATTTGCACCAAGCCACCAAAACAAAAGACTGCCAAACAACCAGAAGAGTAATAAACCACAATTCACGATGGATACAATCAAGAAAGTCCTCCACCCCAAGGAGACAACCCACAAAACAGACAATACCGACCACTCCACGCTGCCCGCAGACGCCCACCCAGACCAGCAGACCCTGGACCGGATAGGCAACGAGCCCAACGTCACCGGCACCAGCCGGCCGCCGCCCAAAGAGGACTTCCCCGCCTCGACGGCCACGGGGGACCAGCCCAAGATCAACCGCGGCCACCACCACCCGCGCCAGCCCGTGGGCGCGACGGGGCCCCCGCCCGGCCACGGCGGGGCTGCGTCTGCCGCGGCGGATGCGGGCACGCACGATATCAGGAGGCAGGCCGAGGCGGACAACAACTTCCCGGGGACGAATCCTAACCCTGCGCATTCGGCTTAGGGAATGGAGTGATGGGGGAGACTGTGGGGGTCATTGTAATTTTGGCCGATTGAGCCAGGGGGTTTGCCTATGGTGGAGATCACGGAGGAGGGTGAGGGCAACGCCAGATTGATACCAGCCAGCACGGCAGTTACATATTTAATTTCCACGGAGTTTTCAGTGCGGGTGTCACAGTGACTACAAGGCGTGCGTTATGGAGAAAATCCGCTGTCCGTAGTCATCCACAGCCAGTGCTTTCGAGGTATCTTCCGCCCGTACAAGACAAACGGGTTATTTTACTCCGGTACAATGCCATCACGGCAGCAATTAAAATCAAATCCTTGGGGATGCCAACAACGTCCAAAAAGCACAAAACAATGGAAAACGTCCCGCTCAAGTGCCCCAAAGCGCCCACATAACCCCCTGCCTTGACCCTCGGCTAAAGAGCCAACGTAGCCTGGCTGATTTTCCAATCCCATCATTTGCAGAAACAGCGAACAGCAATTTTCACCTTAATTTGACACGCCACTCAAGAGCTGTTGAACAGAATACCGAAACGAGCCAGATGTCGACATGTTAAACATCACAGAAACGAACGCCGCGCGGTGCATATTGGCGTCAGGTCGTCATCAACATCGAACCGACGTCGAAAAGAAAGAGACAAAGCATGAATTGAAGTTTCGCGAACATCACATGTGCCCGTGATTTTCGGGGTCTCCCGCGAGGTGGTTCGCATCAAAGAGGCCAGTGAAGTCACCAGGAAAGAAGTCCCAAGGTGGCATCATATCATTCGGCAGTCCAAGTGATCCGATATTGATTTCCTCCACCGTAATGGCATCAGCCATTGGCCCACCGCCGAAATAAGAGTATGAGCCCGATGCCAGGCCGTTCTGCGCGAAATCATGAGCATAATTCCCCACCACGTCAGTAGGTGTATGGTTCGCGGCGGACTGATTCAGTTGATGGATGCGCTGTTGTTGGACAGAGTTCGGATCGTTGAGAGAGTTGGGAGGTGAAGCACCTTGGAGGATAGAGGGCTCATAGTTGGACGACGGTGTGAAGGGGTGCGTCGATAGTGGTGGGAGGACTGGGCCGCTGCTCGCAATTCCAGACAAAACTTGAAGCCTGGCGTCGCTCGATGGTGTATTGGGTCCGACCTCAGGCGTCAACCCAGATCTGGCATCTGATCCAAGGCTCGTGGGCAGAGACGGTGTTATACGATGTGCGGCCGAATGATTTGCGGAGTATCGCACAGCAGACACATTTTGTTGTGGGAAAGCCGATGAGAATGCTGTCGGGGTCTCTGGAAGACTCTGGCGGATGGGATCGTAAATCATGTTTCCGGGCGGTGTTGGGGCGGACGCAGGCGCAGGTTGTGGAGTTTGATGGGTAGGACCTTGATTTGTTTGTGAGCCTCCCGCATTCATGTTCTGATATAAAAGTGTGAGGCTCGAATTTGGTGAATTTGTCGTTCCCGTGAGTGACCAAGCAATGGGAGGCGCGCTTGGCTGGGGCGAGGATGGGTTATCGAGTCGCGCGAATCGACTTAATGAAGTAGGGCGGCGAGGCAACTTCGTGCTCTCGTACTCTTCGGCGGTATAGGTCTCGCAGTCCCAGATGCCCTTCGACCTGTGTTCTAATGCGACCAGAATGTAGTTGACACCACCCCAGTACATGATGAGTTGTTGCAAGGACTTGTAGCATCTCTGATAATTCTGGTTCGCCGCATCAGCCAACAATGAATGTTTCGACGGTCTTGACTCGGTGCTCGACTTCGTTTTCCTGTTGGCTGCTTTTGCTGAGCCACCGTTTGAATTTGTGTTCCCAGTCGGTGGCGAGGCATCTCGCGAGACGGGCTGCGAGTTTACCGCGGCCGACTCGGTCAAAAAGGCGCATGCAGCAATGTACATAGGCTGCGATATGAACGGGTTGCCGATGTAGCTTTTTGGGTCAATGAGCTCAGCCAAGGCCAGTATGTCGGCGATTGTTTTGGCACTCGACATGGCTAGCTCCCGACTATGGGATGTCAATTGAGGCTGCCTGATACCGAAAGACGTCAAGAGCGGCTGGTGCAGGACGATGATCAAGGCGTGAAACCAGACATGCAAGAGTATGAACGTCGTCCCCTGTCCATGCTTGACGTAATTCTGGAAGTGTAATGGATTGAAATGCAGTCGGGGGTCTTGCTTGTGGTAGAGCCTCGTCAGGTCGCTCTCAATCTTGGCCAGTATAGCCATCTTTTCTTCTGTGAGATCCTGCACTTTGTTGATCTTGTTCAACACGTCGGATACACGACCATAAAATTGAGTGATCTGGATGAAGGCAGGATAAGCGATTGGCCAGCCTGAGACTGGATCGATACTTGGTTCTGGAGTCGGCAGTTCAAACTCTTCGTCCTTTATGGTGACGGTCCGACCAGTCCCGGAGGATATGATTCGATCCAAGATATAAACAGCCCAGGCAGTATCGACACGTTCCTGAACGATTTCCTGTTGCTCTTCCGGCCTTAACGTCTCGCTCTTTGGTATTGCAGTATTGGTATCCTCCTCATCACCATCTGCATGGTTCCAGGACCGGGTGTACCACGGGTCTTTGTCCCCTTGAAACTGGACGCCTTCGTTTTTCTGAAGGCCAAGGTCAAACGCCATGCGGATTGCAAGACCGAGATACATCCAAAGAGTACTATCTTGGCCTGCACCAAAGCCCTCATAAGCCATGAGCAGATATGCTTGGACAGCTCCGACTGAGGGACATGGGAATGCGTCGACCGTCGCAGTTCTTGCTCTTTGTGCGAACGCATTGCCATAGTCCGACTTGGAACCCTCTCCGACAGCAGCCAAAGAATCAATGTTTGAGAACCTGGCCGCCAAGGCACATATTGCGTCCACTAGGATGGCGTCCAGCCTCTTCTCCTTGACCATGCGCAGGACCCTTGCTTCGTGAAGGAACGGGTAGCTGCAGCCGAGATGCACGAAGAAGATCTTGATGAGATTAATTATTGTAGGGTGCACCGGGCTGGTGTCATTGGGGTCGTACACGGGCACTTCTTCCATTGCCTGCAGGACAGTGTCGGCGTGTGACGGTAGGCTGTGGTGGCTTAACATGGAGCCGGACCCTGGGGAGGTGACTGAGGCAGAGCCCCCTCTGCTCCTGCGTCGATGATAATGGTGAACGTTGACCACCATCTGCTTGTAGCCCGGTACGATTGCGGTCGGCCCGAAGTAGCGAAAGTAGGGGACCTTGTGAGTCTCGTGGTGGTGCTGAACAGGTGATCGGGTGCTCGGACTGTGGCCATCGTCGGAGAAGGAGACAGTCCGCTGAAACGAGTGCCTCTTTCCTGATTTTTCTGGTGTCTGTGGTTTTGACGGTTCCTTGTCCCAGTCCTTGCTTTCCTTCCTGAGTTTCGCGGCAGTGCCAACACTTGACGTTGAAGATGAATCGCTCCGTTTCTTGTTGGGAGTCCCGTATTCATGCGCGACTTGCGAGTGGCGACTGGAGCCATTTCGGGACTTGGAGGCGCGGCGATCGTGTTCTTTGCCGTCGAGCACATCTGTGGGTGGGTCATCGTCCTCGAGCTCGACAGGTGAATTATCGATTCCTCCTTCGACCTTGACAGGGGAAATTGCAGAGTCTATCCTGATTTTGTCGTTCTGTTCGGGGTATCCAAGACACTGGTGGCCATTCTTGTCGCAAGTCGAGCAAGTCGGTTTCTCTCCGTCGCACCGCGTCTTTCGCTTCCGGCAGGTCAGGCATCTGCGAGATATAAGAACGTCAGCCAGCTGGACAGCCTCGTTTACTACACGCAGCGGCTGCAGTCCCCGTCACAGTCCCACTCGCAGTCGCCATCCCCCCAGTGACACATTGTCTCACGGGCTGGGGCACAGATGACGCAATGTAGAGGGGCGGAAGGAGGGTGATATATGTATGGGGAAGATGCACTGACGCTGCATTCACGCGTCGTCTCTTGGAGGGGGGCTGGCCCTGATTATTGACGAAACGGATCTGTTTCGGGGGCGGTATGGCGCCGGTCGACGGAGTCGCCATCACAGAGGTGATGACGGCGGCATGGGAGTTGCTTGACCATACGCGAACAGGTAGTCTAGCAGGTAGCTGATCGTTGCAGAGCGCGTGCGAGACGTGGGTCCTGCCTGGCCGCGGAGCGGATGACTGCAACGGAGCGAGACGCAGATGGGAGGAAAGGAGGGCGCGAGCAATGACGGAGCACTGGCGCCCCAGGTTCGGGGACCGGCAGATGCTTGTTGGGCTGCTTGGAGGTCCCTGGTGGGCTTGGTGGATGCGGGGCCCCGGAGCAGCTCCAACATTCGGGGGGTTTAATAGATGGATCGGCAAGCAGGCGAGCCAGGCGGGCGGGCGAGTCAGGCGGCAGAGACCTGGCCAGACCCCAGGAGACCGCAGCAGAGCAGTGAAGCACAGAGCTGGAAGCTGGAGCTGAAGCTGAAGCTGCAGTTGTAGCCCAAGCAGGAGCCCAAGCAGAGTATTCAGCGAGACGAGCGATAACGATATGTGAGATGATGTGGCAAAGTTCAAGCCGTCAAGGAGGTGTTGATTTGCTGATGACACAATATGACTTGGCCGTCGCTTGTCGCTCCCCCCCTCTCGTCAGACTTGCGCTGTAATCCAGTCGCCCGAAGGATTGTGCAGAGCGAGAGAGCTCCGTTGGGATCGACGAGGCGGGATCCATGTCCACGTCCATGGTTATCCATGTCGGTTTCGACGTCGGACGGGAGGGGATTGGCCTTGGAGTGCGGAGGCAGCATTTTTCGATCCAATCCGTTCCATCTCAATCGATCCGTCCCCTGCCACGTCGAGGGAGAACAGGTGCTGTGTGCCGTACATGGTTTGGTTGTTGGGCGACTGGGGGAGAGCAAGAGGTTGAAACATTGGCCAAGCCGAGAGGGCTGCATCTGCAGCTCGGGTAACTCACAGCAGAAGAAACCCCCGAGCAGACCGATACGGCAACCAATGCATGCTCAGTGTCGATGCGCGCAGCCGATTGATTGTGTGGACACGAAGGTGTTGTTCTGTTCTGTTCTGTTCGAAATCTGGGGTCATGGCACTACCAGATGGGAATGGAATGCAAAATAAAAGATGTGTGTAGCTGGGCGATGGTATGGGCTAAATAAACCTCGGAAAGTGACGCGACATGGCATTCGCGATATCGATTTCTCGTCTCATCGGGTGGACCCTGCCTTGCCCTGTCTTGACGGGGACAGAAAGGGCCACCAGCCAGTCACTCACTCAGAACCTCCCTCCCTCATCAACCAGTCAATCAGTCAATCGGATGAAATGTGAGTCTCCACCACTGTCACCTCATGACAACCACCTGGGCACCGACATACTGGACAAGATCCACTTTTGTTTGAAAGACAATTCAATGTCATATGCCAGAGAAAAAAGGGAAGAAGGTCTCTCGGACCCTGCAACTATGTCCATCTTCCAACTCACCAGCCTGCTTACCTTCATACATATCACCACAAAGTGTTGGGTGAATTTGTGTCAGGCTGCAGCCCTGCAGCAAGACATCTCCACGTCTCCCGTCCTGCCGTACGACCGCGCCTCCCATCGCGCCCATTGCGATGGCCTACCTCCTCCTGCGATTTCTAGCACCGCCTCAGCGTTTTTCTGTCTTGGTCCTCAAGGAAAACTAAAGTCAAGTGGCCTCCAGATACCATTCTAGAGTGGACAGAAATCCAGGAGAATCAGGATTGAATTGTCTTGCATTCGTCCCTTTGAGTGACGCGGGCAAATTGTCACGGCTCTGAGACAAAATCACACTACACTGTTACACTACACTGTTAAGCAATGCTGGTCGACTTCGAAGGTGTTCGCGGTGAGAGATCACGTCCCGGCCCAACGGAGGCGCGCAAGGAACTGGCATGGACAATGTCTCTAAGACAGAGAAGGTCAAGGCCCTAGTTCGACTGGGGCCAGCTGCCAGGCCAATAGCAGCTTCCACTTCAAGCCCGGCGAAGGCCCGTCACACAAGACGCAACGCATAACCCCATTGAGAATGCTTTGGCGGGCCTGTGACGGCTCAAGTTGATGACTACCCAGGCTGATGTGACGACTTAGGTTGCTGTGACGGCACAGGTCGCTGTGATAACTCAAGTCGTCGGGGACCGTGACTTGGGGGGGGGGGGGGGCGGTGATTCGAAGTCAGTAAGCAGCTGGACTATCTCGCCGGGCTCCGCCTTATTGCTCCGGCGATAGTTGTTCGAGCAATCTTGAGCCTCTTATGCAGGCGGAGGGGCCCAGCCGAGCTTCTGAGGAGCCTCGCGATTCTTTTGGCCAGGAATCTGCTCCAGAACAATGCATGGGACTGTGCATGGTCCAAATTGGTGACCTGGGATGTAACGGTGTACAGGCCCGAATAGGATCACAAGCCGGTTATCGAAGCTGCCATCCACTGGACCGGATGCAGTCACCGAGCAAAGCATGTCATGCCCCTGGTGGGTGTGGAGGATGCTTTCGGGACGTCAGTGAATGGCAGAAATGGTGGCCAGTAGGGGTTTTTGAAGGCGTAGCACAAAGATCATGGTTGATCAATATCAATCTGCCGAATTAGAAGTCTTACTTCACGAAGTAACTCCAAAGCCCTGCATAGAATGTACAAAAGTATGCCAAGCATCCAGACGCGTTTGTACAAGACTTGTAAGCCGACTGGCCATAATTAAGCCCACCCATGTTAATATTTTCCCAAGCCCCGAAAGAAAAGCCCAAATCGCCCAGGCCTCATGGTTTTTTTTTGATATAGATACCCTTGCAATGCTTCCCCACACCGCCGCCCAGTACGCCCCAACCCATGCGATTATACGTCGTATCAATACACCAGGACGCTGCTTTCCCGCCGCTTCGGCCCGATTCATCCAAAGACAATGCTGATTCCCATCTGCTTGCTGACCTTCCTCCAAAGGTCCGGCGTGGAGAGCGCCCCTGCAACGGGTAGGTCTCCGGGGTTAACCAGCAGCGCCTCGCCGCCCTCGCTCTCCATGGCGTCAGCAAGCCGCCAGACTTCTTGAACGATGTCCCACGCCCACTTGATATTGATCATGCCTTGCCTCTTCTCGACCAGTGCGAAGGAATCCCTTGCCAGGTTGCGGTCCTGCTCCGTCACCGCCTCGCACGACGCCACGAAGAGAGGCCACAACAGGGCGCCCATGGGCCCCGCGTGGGAGCACGTCTGCAGGCAGTGCCACAGTGCGGTGTGCGCGTGTGTCTGTACGGATGAGTGGCTTCGCGGGTAGCCGTAGATTGTGTGGTACAGGTAGACAAAGGCGCTGTGTCGGTATGCCATTGCGTTGTTGAAGATAGAGTGCAGGCGGGACCGCTCTGCCGTCTCGGAGTCATGCCTCCGCTCCTCCGTTTCCGGCGACGGGGGATCGTCCGGGTTGAACCCCGGGGGCAGATATGGCTGCCAAGATTCTAGAGCCCTCTCGATTGCTTGGGAATTCGTCTCGAATTCCGTTTTGAGTACCGCGATCATCGACGAGGGCTGGCCGTCACGGCATGCGCTCTCCAGGTCCGTCTTGTCGGAGGAGAGCTTTGAGAGCCGGTGGATGATCGGCCAGAGTGATGTCGCCATACCCAACAGGGTGTCAACAGAGCTGAGTGATGACATTACTGGAGCTCCAGTGGGAGGGAATGGATGGAGACAGCCTTTTCCTGGAGCTTGTGATAACGGCGCTGTGCCAAAAGAGAGTGCTGCAATGACATCATAAAATCGAAAAGCCTTATGCAGATGTCAGTAACGCACAAGATATACACAAATCAAGTAAAAAGAGAAAACTTACACGCTCAAGGAAAATTCCAGTAGCATCCGTTGCTGCTGGGTAAGAGTTCATAATCGTCATAGCACCTTTGAGGTGGCCATCTACCAAATTTGACCGTCCCCTTTGAACCAACTGCACATAAAGTTAGCGATGGCAGGCATCGAACGCTGGTTTTCCACATACCACTTCGTAATACACCAAGAGCATGATAGCCGCCAAAAGCTCATTCCTGTTCTCAGCCGTCTTCGCCTTCTGGTCGATCAGGGCTGCCAGCCCCTGGATTGCCTGACCATGGAAATACATCGATTGCTCTTGATTCGTGACTCCACGGTATTCCATATGTGCACTGGAGAGGGCGTAGATGGCGTTCATGACCGGAGAGCTTTTGGCAGTCAGAGGCAAGACAAGCTCCCGGAAGGGATTCCCGCTTTCCTCCCGAAAGACGATCAGGTGGCTCAGACTTTCGCAAAAGTGGGCGACAAGCGCACGTCGATTCGTGCGATCTGAAAATTCGGAAAATGCAGGGATGTAGAAGTCCAGCAGTGGTGAGCCCACCGGACACGGCGCAATCATGGCGAGATCAGGTGGTTTGGAGACGTGGGTCACGGCGCGGCTCATGCTCGTCGTGCTTGCGCTTTCCGCATGGTCGTCGTCTTCGAACTCGACGGCTGATTCAGCGATGGCGCCAGGGCTGAAGCTGCAGTTCACATCGGATATGGTGGGTAAGGAGATGGAGTCGAAAGTGCTGTCAAGAGGGCTGATGAGATGATCCGGCTCGCCTTTGGAGTCAGCACGGTAGTGGTACCAGTCATGATGAGCGCTGCCGTTGCTTCCAACTGACCAGCGACGGGTCGAAGCGAAAGAGAGCCTTCGATCGAGCTGGCCAGCGACTGTCGAAGAAGCGGTGGAATTTCGTTTTCTTCTCTGGCGGGGCCTTACTGCCTCGTATGAGCAGTCAAGGCCTCGCTCGGCACATCGCGAGCAAGATGGTCGGACCTCGTCACACTTCTTCTTCTGCAGGGTCGTCAGGAAAGGTTCTTCACGTCAGGGCGGCTTACAAATGGATGGAAGAGTGTGGTATTTGATCCTGATGCAGATAGAGATCAGACGAACCTTTTCTTTGCTACGAAACAGTCAGCCAATGTGAAGAGTGAGAGCATGGGGCGCATCATTGACGCGACGAAGACCACTTACCAGAACGTACACCCTGGAACGACGAATGAAAACCTCCTGGTCAGCTAAGATCACGCACACGGGAAGGACGAGTAACAGATTTATGGTGGGACCTCAAATTGAGTGGCTGAACGTGGAAGATGGTATGTGATGCATGTCTCAGTCGGCACGATCGGGATGAGGGTTGGGGAAGGGGGGGCGCCTTTCTCGTCGACACAATGGGACGCAGCTGCGCTCGACTGAATTGGGTTCATTTGGACGGACGGAACATACCTGCCCTCGATCGCCTCTTGGGTGCTTTAGGAGGTGCCACTTTCGTATATAACAGCATTCTGCCAGGCTCCAAAACCGATGCCATATCGTTGCTGTATCAAAAACCAATCCGGCTAACGCCCGTACTTCCTGTCTTTTGAATTGATTTCTTTTTTTCCCGCTATGATTGATTCAAAGATGGCTCATGTTTGACGGCATTATTCGCCTGGCGGGCGGCGACGTGAAGGGGCAGACTGTGTACGCAGTCCTGCCCAATGTCGCTGACGCGCGAGGTTTGAGCACTCGGACTGCGGGGACGACTCGTGGATCTCGAATTGGGGTCGCGGACAAGGAAGGGTACGGGACGGAAACTCTGGGGTCTGGGGATTCTGGGGGGTGGCGATCGCAATGCGCACTCGGTGGATCGGTCAGCCGGCTCGTTCAACGTTGTCGATGCGTGTCGTAAGGCCAGGCGAGAAGCAGCGCGATCATAGGGGGAAGAGAACAACATAAGAAGGACGACAGACGGGCACGAGAGGAGAAAGGAGAAGTTGAGATCAGATCCAGAGCGGTCACAAGCCATTCATGGAATCGAGTCACGATGGCGTCTGGACTTTCTACGCTTCCTTGCTCGCCCACACCCGTTACGGGCAAGGTCCGCCTGAACGTTACCTGCGGCTTTGTTAGCCAGCCCCGGGCTCCTGGGCTCCTCCAACTCGCCTTCAATGCGTCTTCCCCATCATCGCCCAGGCACCCCCCCTGGACCTGCGGACAAGGTCACAGCACACCGGAGGTGGACCTGGTCTTGACCCCATCTGGGTCAAGCTTGGGCCGGCCTCGACACCTAATTGATGGACCTGGAGGCTTGGAAGTGGAGAGAATGAACCATGCGGGGTTGGGCCTGACCCCAGGATAGGGACGCCTACTGTCCCCCAACCCTTTGGACTCTGTGTGTGTCTGTGTTCACCTCAAGCGCACCATTCCAGGAGCACAATGTCCATGAGGATCAATAACCCTCCACGAGGATCGTAACCCTCCACGAGGATCATAACCCTTTATGGGACAACCATCAGTATAATGAGCACAACTTGCAGTAAAACGGTCTGCAGGAACCAGAGCCTCTGGGTGGAAAAAAAGCCTCTTATACGATGCCCCCTTGTATAGTGCAGATCTATCCGTGATGTGCTCTAGCATGACGTCGTATGTGCGAATGGCCCAGGTCTTGTTGTGTCCCTTTTCTACACCTTTTTTAGAATATGGCAATCCTTTGCGGTCCTAACAAACTGTATGTTGGGCTTCTCGAGTGGGTTGATATCATGTATATAGTATTACACATCTCGATTGAAAACAAGGCACTATGGCCGAGCGGTTAAGGCGTCAGACTCGAACTTTCTCACAGATATCTGATCTCTTCGGAGGCGCAGGTTCAAATCCTGCTGGTGTCGAATCATTTTTGGATCCATGTGGGTCGTCGGATCGTTGTGGGTGGTGTGGATTTTTGTCAGTGTTGCATCTGGCGGCTGCGCCGTGATGTGGCGGGGGCCCGGGAGCTGTGGACGGGAATGGCTTTTCAGCAGCACAGACACAGGCTTGCACAATCTGGGGAAACCCATCCACCGCTATCTGAGGACCCCAAATTCTCTGCACGCTAATCCCAGGTAAAGAGGAGTGGACAGTTCGACGGCGCTGGCGCTACGAGGGAGCTATTTCTGGCCCCAAGTCCTCGATCTCGGATATCTTGCATAATGAAACATGGCAAAGGCTCCTAGAGCCGGTGCCTAGGCCCTCTGGGACCCTCGTAACATTTCCACGCTGTTTACTTAGCTAAGTATTTGCAAAGGAATGACGGAGTTGGGCATGGCACGGCATGGGTGCTAGCCAAGCACCTGGGTACCTCGGAGGCTACCCCATCCGGCAGGTGGTCGAGCTGGTTATGCTGTTGGAGAGGGCTCCCGAGAGATGAGGGCGGATACGAGGGCAACGGGCCAACGGCAGGCATGAAGTTCGGGCTGGGTCACCGGACGTCTCGCAGACGCTGCTAAGAACGTGGTACACACCTAGGTCTACCGCCATGTCAGGTCTGGCAAAGAGGACTGGAGTGGTACATCTCACAACTGACCTTGTGCTACCGCGAAGGTCTTCGGTGTCTTTTACAACATCTGCTGTCGTGCTGCCGTGAACCCAACCTGGCACGAGAATCAAGCCTTGGCGAGACCTACATACGAGAAGCGATCTCAAAGGTTTGCGTGAAGACTGAATTAGCATGCCCCTCTCAGAGGATAGTCCTGAGTGGGATAACCTTTACTGGAATCAGTTCTCCAGACTAAGGTGACCAGTTTTGAGGTGGGATTTTCTGCGAGCTGTAGGGCCAACGCAGACAAATTTCCACACAACGACGGCGATCCGACGACCCACATGGATCCAAAAATGATTCGACAAGAGTTCAGTCTACCACTGACGCTGGTCGGAACCAGGAACATGTTGTTCGCAAGCCTTACACCTCATCTTCAAGATGTGAACAGATCCGACACACTCTGCTTCGACCTGCTACCCGAGCTCTGGGGATGAGGCTCCTCGGAACCTAACCGAAATACCACATCAGAACCCCACAGCCATTCAATACCCTTAGCTACCAAGTCCTCGAAGCATTGCAACCCAAGTCGTCGGCTGAGCTCCAGAGTCTTCAATTTGGCTTGGGTACATGACACGGTTCTTCACACCGGCGTTGTTTATTGCGTAGCGAAGTACGACAACGTGGTAAGCGTATCATGGTGTGCTCTTGCTGTGCAGAGCTCTTCGTGTCGTTAGTGCCCAGGTGTACTGGGCCACCCATTCGATCCGAGGACCTTTTATGGCCACCCGTCACCTTAGGAACGGCATTGGTGGCCTCGTCCGATCGACTGCAGGACAATATATATCAAGGTAGAGAGGCTCTGTGCCGGCAAGCCACATATGTGCACAAGTACTGGCATTCGCCTCAATCCGTCTCACCCGGAAAGACAAGCCACGAGACTTTCTTGCCTTGGCATGCATGTCAGACTCGTCCGCATCGTGCAGGCTGTCGGTTTGAAAGGATGCGATGCTCAAATAGTCACTGCCCTTTTCGGTCAGCCACTATTTCTGCAGGCTGGTCACGTTTGGAGCCAATCGAAGCGGCCAAGACGGCTGATATTCCCACAACCGATTTCTGATTGGGCAAACCGCCCAGATCCTCACGGCAGCGTTGGGCTCCTCGTTGGCATCGGAACATCCTTCGGTGCACCCACGACACACACCCACATTGTCGCTTCACGCTGAGATGCATGAAGCGACGCCCGGGCATTGGTGGGAGACACGGCAAGGCAGCAGGATTCGGCATGTCGGTCATCGCCGCTCCTGTGTCCAGATCGGAACACTCTGCTTCGGAAAGGCATGGTTCCACAGGAGTGGCCCATCCTCAGTTCCTTCTACCACATGTCTGGGACATCAGCACGTTCAGCCCTTGCTTACCCATGGCATTTCCCTTTGCCCTGCCCTGCCACCTGACGAGCACCTCTCGCTCCTCTCTGATCCTTGTCTCTGATTTCTTTACTCAAGCTGATATACCACCAGTTCAGCCCTTCAGGATGTTCCATCACATCGACTCAGATTAGAAACAGACGTGCGTGGTACAGCCGCACATCACTCTATTAGTCTCTCAGAGTCCCCTGGAATCTGAGACATCGTGTGCTCATTACACTCTTCTTGTCTTTCACTTGTCTTAGAAGGTGTTCACAAAGGTGGATCGCGTTCGCGGCCCATTGTGTGTACGGCTGTACGGGGAAATCTGTTATCTGCAGGTCTGCGGCGTAAAGTCCTACGGACCGAAAGGGTCAGCCACCCAACACCCAGCCGCAAGCACTTGAGTGCGCTTGCTCCCACGCCGCCGCCGCCCACCCTCCCTCCCCCACGAAATGGAAAGAATAGTTTAGCTGTCTCTCGTTACAGCCCGTTCTGGATCGCTCGATTCCCTTTCTCTCTCCTCATTTTGCCCTGCTGACTGACCCGACTGGACTGGCCTTTGGTTTCTTCCTGTCCTCTACTCCGTTCATTCACACCCTGCCTTTGTTTTTCTCTCGCATCTCGTCAACTGTCCTAATCGCGGCCCTGTTCATGAGGACACCACATCTGATGCCCGTGTGCCGGCCCATGATTTTGCCGGACCATCACGGACCTCCCGGAAAGCACAATAATTCACGGAGTGACAAGCACGAGGCTCGGTAGGCGTAGCCGGGACGCGCACGGCAGCCAACAGTATGGGAGGCCGCGGGGCCTGGTGGTGCAGCCCCTGCACATTGCTGTTGCTATCCGCGGTATTGCCCAAGGACGCCGCAGCCATGTTTCACGGCGACGGGAAGCGCGAATACGTCCACAAGGTCTACAAGGTCAAGGTCACCGAGGATTACCTGACCGAGGACTCCCAGCTCAAGAGACGTGGAAAGGACCAGTGCCCGACGAACTACGCTTTGTGTGCAGCATCCCTGGGAGGTGACTGCTGTCCAAACAACTATTCTTGCGCAAAGGACTCATGCTATGCTACGACCGCCGCCGTTTCGACTTGTGCTGGACAGGCGTCATACTACGCGTGCCCCTTTGATGTCGGTGGAGGCTGCTGTCCTCAAGGTTCGCAATTTCTTCACACAATTCCGGGCACCAAGTGCAGATTTCGAGGTTCTCTGTAGCCATCCGTTGCTAACATTTCCTCTTTTCGTTCAGGTCTCGTGTGCGGAGCTGGGCAAGCATGCAACCCGCCTGCTGGTGCCACTTACTCACAGACATGCGGGACTGGGTACACTCTTTGCCCATCATCTGTCAACTATGGTTGCTGCCAAAGTGGTATGGTTTGCGGTTCGTCGGCATGCTTCAACCTCTCGCCCTCGACCAGTGTCACCGTCTTCACAACAACTCAAGACGGCTCAGCAACGACAGTTACCTCCACTTCGGTGTTCACGCCAACCGCCGACTCATCTGGCACCGCTGACGGGGCTGTTGCCAAGATTTATCCATCGACCTACCCGAAACAGGCCGCTACAGAGGGCGACGACTCGTCCGGCGGGGGTGCTAGTAGTGGTCTTTCAAAGGGCGCGATTGGCGGTATCGTCGGCGGCGCAGCAGCCCTACTACTCATTTTCCTAGCCGTCGCGATCTTCATTGTCAAGCGCCTGAAGCGAACCGAGCGTGCGGTGCAGTCCCGTCGGGAAACAACATCCGGCTCTGGAACCCGTCAGACCACGGAGAAGAAGTCAGCAACACAGGTCAGCATCACGCGTATTCAGCCAACACCGTCAGAGGTTGATGCATTGGACTGCGACCCCCTGATGATGTCCTCGAGTGTTGCGTCACCCAGAGGACAACAACAGCATCTACAAGGAAACGGCAGATCACGGAGCGGCTCCGACGCACCGAGCCAGCCAAGTGGATATAGTAGCTCGGCTGCTGGACTGAGGTGGAACACGCCGAGCGTTGACTCTGACGGCGGTGATAGCAATTCCAGAGAATACTTCACACTTCCTCCCAGGGTACATAATCAGCCCGGGGGTCGCGACGGAAGACGGATCAGCGAGGCTTCATCTCAATACAGCTATCATCACTTCGCATACGCCCGCCATGGTCGTAACTATAGCAACGCCAGCGAGCTGTCTGCCGGGAGCGATGAGGTCGGTTCCCAGCGTGGTATCGGGTCACCGCTCATGGGGCCCACTACGGCTGAGTTGAGTAGTGATGGGGGCTTCGTCCCCGAGTTACCGGGTTCCGACACCGAGACGGAGAGCAACGGGCCTCACGGAGCGAACGGTCGTCGGCCTCCTCACCAGTCGCGGAAGCGTTCCACTAGTGTCGTGTCGCCGATGTCGACCACCGCAGTCAACAAACCGCCACTGACCCATGCGAATCTCGCACGTCGAAGAGGGAGCAGTTCAGTCAGCCCTATGGACGCACAGAATGGGAGTGGCGGAAGGGGCAGGAGTGACAGCTCGGTGGCGCCTGATCAACGACTTGGCAGCATTGATGAGTCGGCCACTACTTCTGCCCCGACCACGAATTCCATGCATGGCTACTTTGGATCACCAACAACAGCAGTGGGACAGACAGCCGTCGGCACAAAGGCCAACTTTAGCTCACCACCATTACCTGGGTTTGTGTCTCTTGGACCTCCGCAAGGGAACCAGACTGAAGAGAGCCATGGGGACGAAAGATTTGACGAGAAACAGTACCAGTAAGATACAATCTGGTCAATTTAATGAACCGCAATGCACATGGCCTGCGGTGAGGAGGATATATGATACAATTTGGAGGTGCCTTTGGGCAGCAACGAGTGGCCGGCATGCATTATTATCGTGAAGCGTACCGTGACGCTTTTCAGGTTCTCAAATACTAGCATCTTTGTTTGGCGGGATGGGCGAAGCGTTCTGGAGTTTTGCGGGTTTTATGGTTAAGCAATATTGAACGGGCATTCTGTCAGGGTGGGGTGACCTTCTCATGTCACCGTCGACGAGCCGCCACGAGGCTCTCACCTTGCCTTCGGTCCTTAGGCCCTGTTTTGTTCACAGCAAAGTACTGAAAGCCTCTTGATAGAACATCGAATACTAGTACAACTTGGTTCAGGCATCAATCTGAAATACGTAAGACGCTTGCAATCTCTGTGTGCTCACGTTTGCGGAAGTACACCTCTATTTCGAAAATTTGCATGGTTGTTGCAGCCCTTGTAACGCCAACTTGAGCCTCGAGAGCCTCGGTTACGTTGATATGCACAGGTTCCTAGGACAAGGCTTATTTCCTTTCGAACACCGGCAACCGCTCCAGAGGCGCATCCACTTCAGATGTTGTACCCCCCTCGTACACTTTCTCGCCCTCCAACTCCTTCCACTTCGCCCCAACGGGAAAGTATACCTTCCTTTTTGTTAACCCTGGGTACAGGATGGGAGCAACGAGATACTTCCCACCAAACATGTACTCATCCTCCACCTCCCAAGACTTATCATCCTTGGGGAATTCCAAGAATAATGCTCTGATCACGGGCGCACCAGTCTCACTTGCTTCTTTCATCAAGCTTCTGACGTACTCTCTCAGGGTTTCCCTTAGCTTGAGATACCGCTCCAGTATCACACCAACTTCCTCCCCGTATGACCACACCTCATTGTCCGCACCAGATGGGCATTTACCACCACCACTGCTAGCTAGCGGTGGCTTATTGGGATACCTATCGCCATGCAGCCGGAACACGGGCAAGAAGACGCCCCACTGGAACCACCTCACCAGCAGCTCCCTGAACTCCGTGTCCTTTGGGTCGCCGCCGTGGAAGCCGCCGATATCAGTTGTCCAGTGCGAGATACCAGCGATTCCCATGTTCAGGCCTGCGGCGAGCTGGTTACGCAGGCTACCCCAGCTGCTCGCGATGTCGCCGCTCCAGACCAGGGCCCCGAACTTCTGGCTACCCGCCCACGCGCACCGCACCAGGTTGACAGTGTTCGGCTCGTGGCCCTGGAATTTCCCACTCCCGTCCCCGGCCGTGGCGCCTTCGTAGAAGGCCTGCGAGTAGTGTCGTGGGTAGATATTACCTATAGCCAGAGACGATCCCAGGTGATACCGCCAATTATCGAAGTCGTAGAGGCCATATTCGGGCTCCGCTTCGTCCAACCAGAACAGGCGGATGCCATACTGACCGTAATTTTTGGCGGCTTTGCTCCACACGTACTTGCGCGCAGCGGGGTTGGTCGCGTCAAAGTGCGTCGTGTTTGCCTGAAAGTCCATGACGTGATTGAAGCCGCGCTCGCTACGGATGAGCAGACCCTTCTCTACCATCTCGTCCCAGTTCTCGCTGTCGGGCTCGACTGTCGGCCAGATCGAGACCATCGGCTCGATTCCCAGGGAGCGCAGCTCATCACACATCGCTTGGGGGTCCGGCCAGTAGTCTTTGTCGAATGACCACTCACCTTGTGCGCGCCAGTGGAAGAAGTCGATGACGAGAACGTCCAGAGGCAGGTTCCGCCGCTTATATTCCCTCGCCACCTTCAACGTTTCCTCCTGGGCCTGGTACCGGAGCTTGCTCTGCCAGAATCCGAGGCCGTATTCGGGCATCGGAGGCGGCTTGCCAGTCACATTGCAATAGGCCTCGACAATCTTCCTGGGGGTGTCATCTACCACGATCCAGTAATCCAGCTTCTTGGTGCTTGAGGCGGAAAACGACATAATGTTGGTCCCCAGCACCGCCCTCCCGATGCTCGGATTGTTCCAGAGAAGTCCGTATCCCAGGCTGCTGAGGAGGAACGGCACGCTAGCCTGGCTGTTACGATGAGCCAACTCCAGATCTGTGCCTTTTAGATCCAGGTACGGCTGTTGGTACTGGCCCATGCCGTACAGCTTCTCCTTTTTCGATACGGACTCCAGCCGCAAGGTGAGCGAGTAGTCTCCACCAATGATAGACTTGAACTCGCGCGCCTGCACACCCAACGCCGAGGTCTTGGGGTCGCGCACGTCGATGCGCGTACGTGTATATTCTTCCAGGATGAGCGCGCCCGTTTTGGTATTGTGCATGGTGATCTTTCCGCGACGGGAGACTGTGGCGCGGATCAGTCCGTTGGTGATGGTTGCGTCGTCATCGCTAATTTTGATCTCAGGACTGAGCTCAGGGACAGGCTCATCGAGGGCCCAGTCCTCGGGGGGCATGGCATCGCTCTTGTGGGAGCGGACACGGAACGCGTTGGGACCCCATGGCTCAAGGTGGAGGACCTCGTGCTCGTAGGTATAAGTGAGGCGGTTTTCGTCTTGCGTGAACATCTTATTTGGTCCGCAAAGGTGCGTTGAGTTGTGAGCTTCGGTGCTTGGAATTCAAAAGAGATCATGAAATAATAAGAAAACAACAGGTTGAAAGACTGAGTATTATGAGTGTAGAATGCCCAAACTTCTCCCACTGCCCAACCGTCGGGTATAGTGCTCGGGAGATCATCACTGCGAGCTAGGCACTTACATGGATCGTGAGCCAGCTGGAGGCGGCCCAATCGTGGCCGGCTGGAAGACGGCTGCATTGCGTCTGTGACACGTCTTAGGTTTAACTTACACAGCGTTGTACTTCATAGTGGACCGATCGCGCAGCAATGAGCGGGGTGAAGCTTCATAGAATCGGAGAAGCAAGCTCACTCTATACCTAGTGAGCCCTGGGGATTTTCGGCTGCCGGTCCGTGCTACCGGACTCCGTCAATGAGGTCCGCATTGGCAGCAATGCTGAATTCCACTGCCTCATATCATCACGAACTTCTGATCAGAGTGGCTGTCTCCTATTCTTATTATTTCTAGGCTACGAGGCGAACCTCATGTGAATCAGACGTGGGCTTTTGTGATTGCACATGCTCTTCTCCAGCTGGTTGAAGATTTCAGGTGGTCGGCGCAGCACAATATATCAATCTTTTTATCTGTTTAGCAAGGATTTGGAACATAAATGATTGATGATGTAAGTGTATTTGGGTAGGGCCGTCAAATCGAAGAGCATATTCATTGTTCAATGGCGGTAGGAGGTCACCGAAAACGGTCCCCTTCGTAGTGAACACAAGGCGTGAACCCCTTCACAGGCCGGGGGACCTTTGTCAGAGTTAACCCTACCGTGAGCCGGCCCTAATTCCAGCATTGAATTGGAAATGCTGAAATTCCCCAGAGTGATCACGGGCTCATGTCACTACCTCAATGTAGGCTGCCCTTAGTCGCTGAGCACCCTGACCGCAAGCACATTCTAGCGATCAATCCAGTATCGCATATGATCACGTCGAAGTAGGCTCGCAGCAGAAGGGAAACAGAAATGTCTGCCGCACCGGTACAGCCGCCTCCCAATGCACCGGGACAGGCACCACCCAATGCGCCAGGACAGGCGCCGCCTGTCGACTCAGGAATGGCTAGACTGGAGGACTTGCAGTCATCCCAAGACCGATTCGAACACTACTGGACTGGTCGATACAGCTGGTGGAGAGCCGAGCATGCTGCAGGCAGACGAAGAGCTCATTACATTAAACTCCAGGCCCCAAAGCCGAGACCACCTGGACCGCGCCCTCAAGTCCAGCCTGATGCGCCGAGATTGGATGTGGATGGCAACAGGGTCGCATACCAACCGTTGGGGCAGAACAATTCCCGTATTAGACTGCTGCGATATATGGTTGACATACGAAATGGAAGCTATCAGATTATGAATTATATGCGTCCCACAGGATTCAGGCTTGTCAAGATTTTAGGTAAAGGCGGCTTTGGCATAGCGTGTCTATTTGAAATGAGAGATACCAACGGAAAGACGCACAAGTTCGTGGTCAAGGCAGGAACAGGGAGAGATTTGCAAACAGAAAGGGCCAATCTCCGGGTGAGTTGGAAAGTTTCATTCCCTAACACTGAAAACAAGTGCTGACGTACAATCTGTCACACAGTTAATGGCAGGGGCAAGGCATATTGTTCAACAAAAAAGATTACAAGCAATGCCTGAACCTGAAAGTATTGAGCGAGCTCCATCCAGAGCAGGAAACTTGTATGCCGGGAATGATCCTGCATTTGTGGCACGTTTGTTTGATGCAAATCTCACCATGTTGGGCATGGAGTTCATGAAAAACGGTGATGTTCATAACTTACTGAGAAAGGCGGCCGCTCAACAAAAATCATGGAAAAGTCGGGAGTTGTGGCTTATCTTCCATTGCCGTGAGTCTTTACACACGATCTTTTGATAGGTCATATGCCCATCTAACAGGGGCACAGTCTTCAGAGGCTGCGTTGCATTGGCATACCCGGACACTTGGACCGGGGGACGCGATCCAGAGCGCGAAGACATTATATTACAGGAGGAAGCGATACCTCTGGTTAATGAAAAGCCCGCCGACCAATCTGGTGCATTGGTTCATTTCGACCTCGACCCACAGAATGGTGAGTATCTCGTCGAACATGGACTTGAACTGCCACTTACGAAACCTACAGTGATGATCGGCGATTTCGACGGTCCAAACAATCAAACGCAAGCACACTTGCATAATCTCACACCTATATTCAAGGCACGAGGCATAAAATTCTCAGATATTAGAACTCACTTCTAAAAGTTGCACAGATAGGTGATCTTGGTGTTTCTGCAACGTTTCCTGCTCAAGACCGTGTCAGGCTGTAAGTGTCTTAGGTTCCTGAACATTTTGTATTTATTGACCAACGTTAATCTTGATAATTAGCTGGCCTCTCCTGAGGCACAGAGTAGTAGGAAAACCAAGCATATTCACGCCGGTAAGAAGTCCCAGATTTAGTGGAGAGGGTGGGCAAGGAACAGCAGTCCATTTGAAAGCTCAAAACAATGGCCTCGAGATCTATACAGCTGACTTCGTGCTAGGAACAAAACACCAGAGAATGGGATTATCTCGACAACAATTCAGATCTGCCAGCGGAGTTGACTGCTGGCCAGTATGGTTGGTGGACAAATTTGTACCAAGCAGCACACGTATCTCACCACCTTTGCAATTGTCGACGGACAGGCCAAACGTAGAGCTGACGTCGTATCAGATAATGTGGCAACTGATACTTGGTTTAACCCCTGATGAGCCACCCCAATGTTCTCAGCTGGAAGTGGGCGGGGTCCAAGTTTGGACATACGGTGGGTTGCTCATGTCAGATACATCCGAGGCTGCGAGACGAACAGACCGTGACCGTATGTATCCATCGCTTGGACATTTTCTTCTAATAAATCCATGGGAACACCATCAGTACACAGTCATCAATCGTGCTAACTAAATCGCTTGTAGTTCGCTTTCTTGTGGCTGCATGTATGGCGCATGTTCCACAATTTAGGCCTAATATGTTGGAGCTGGAACAGACTATACTTGCCAAAGTCGATTGTGACTGGACTGATCTCGAAAATGACCCCGAACACAAGTTTTCAATAAGGGACCTTCTGGGTGAGCCAGGACCGTAAGTAGACACTAAGTGCTTGGGAACCGAACAATTCCTACACTCCCTTGTGATCTCTGCCACTGCTTCCGAGTAATGTCTTAATACCCACAGTCTGATACCGATGCAGGCCTCCTCGCAATCCAATACCAGTACCACCTCGTACTCGTGGCCCAAATGCTGGCGGTGGGCCGGGCCAAGGGCCCGGCTTGAACGCTGCAGCGCCCGTGTTTGTCCCCGGAGATGGTGGGCAACCGTGATATTCATTCCCGTCGCTTGTTGTATATTATCCCCCGATGAGATGAGGGAAGTAGAGGGTCGGCGGGGCGCAAGGAATTGAACTTGCCCTACACAAATGCCCCCACCGCCATGATAATACAGTGCGGATCAAAATTATTCAGGGAACTGATGTGTCCGAGCAAGTAAATGTCATTCACATGTGTGCTGATATATCGCCAATAAAAGAATCCGAAGAATAGTTGCAGTCTTGAAATTGAGTCTTAACTTTTTGGGTTTGATTTATGTACAGTCCAGTGCTGGTTGGATCTCTTCTTGAAGATAAACATGGAATAATGGCTTGAACTATCCCCCTCGGTTTCCTGATATAAAGGTGTCAGAAGTTGCTCTACGAAATAACTGGGATACTTGTTGGAATGGCTTGCTGCGACATAGTGGACATTGTTGCCTTCCGCCCTATCAGTCAGAATCAGCCCCGGCTAAAAGTCTCCACCCAGGGGCCGAGGCCCACCAATGTCCTCACGATACTCAGCCTTCAGGCACGTCGGATCCGGCTTGGCAGACTAACAATCTTGTCCATGGGAAATTGGGATGACGATGGCGCTCAGCAACAACGGCCTTTGCAATCCCATTTCAATAGTGGTCCTTCCCCATTCGACATAATTCAAAGGCAGCCCCGATTTTCATCTTGGCCCTGCATCGTGGGCTCACCCAGAGCTCACGCAGGCCCCATTGAGGCCCACATGAAGATGGCATGAAGAGACTGATGGCGCCCCTGAGCGACCCAGTATCTTGGGACCGGAGAAATAGCGTTGTTGATTTAAGTTGCAGATCGCCACTGGTCTTCGAACGTTCTACTGCATGTCGTACCCACGGACAAGTTCACGACCCAAAACGGAAGACTTTTGACAATCATGATGCCTTCCTCACTTTCACCAACCGCGCGTAGCGTGATTTCCGCCCTTGTCTTGGCATCCGCAGTACACGCGAGCGACATCCTTATGACCCGAGACGATAGTGACATATACACCGAGCCCAGTACCGACTGTCACGATATTCACATCTTCCTTGCTAGAGGAAACAATGAGGTCGCCGGCGCAATGACGAGGCAGACTCACGTCGTCAAGGCTGTTTGCGATGGCCGCGACAGCTGTGGGTGGGAAGACATCGATTACGATAACCCGGTGGACAACAAGTATGCAGAGGCTTGTCACGAGGGCGCTGTCAACGGCTTGAAGCAAATCAGATCTTACGGCGAAGAATGCCCAGACGCTAAGCTGGTCTTAACTGGCTACTCACAAGGCGCTCACGTTGTTGGCGACATTCTGGGAGGCGGAGGTGGAACATTCGAAACCATGGGGGGTGGCGAGCACATGGGCGAGAATAGCACAGAGGAGTATGTTCAAGGCTTGGACCATGACAGCAGCCCGGGCAATCAGAGTAAGTGAATCTTGGTCCTTGCCGCTGGGATGATAAGTTTCGCAAGCCTGCGGGAGAGTATTCGAGTGAGGATAATGTCGCTAACCAAGTCGCCAAAAGTCGTCGCAGCGTTCCTCTGGGGCGATACACGTCATACAGCGGGTCAGTCGTTCGAAGTCTTGGATAGCGTTGATTATGAGGGCTGGTATCCCCGAAACGAAACCGAAATCGAGAGTCTAAACAAGTGGTCCGATATCCTGCGGTCGTGGTGTGACCCTCGCGACGGAGTCTGCGCCTACGATACTACGGAGACGGTCAACTACACCTACCACTGGAACTACCTCGATCTTTACTCGAGCGATGCCGCGGACTGGCTGAGCGTCAAGCTTGGGGAGAAGGAGAACACTACTGCGACGGCGACGGCGAGTTCGAGCTCTAGCAAAGCAACTTCTACGTCTTCCTCGTCAAGCAGTGGTAAGTGAACACCTGATCCCGAGCCCTCAATGTTCAATGCTGACATGAGTGCCCAAACAGCAGCAGAATCGACCTCAGCCTCCGACTCGGACGCCAAATCAGGCGCCTGGAAAGCCGAAAGTGCACCGCTCGTATCACTGGTGGCTGTCGTAGGATTGATGGCCACTTTGTTTATCTAGCGATCGAGTATTTAGCACCGGTATACTTTGATAATAACTGTAATAATGGAGGCTCCAAGAGGAGACAATTAATGAGTAATTGAAATTTAATGATACACTATAATGTGCCTAGGTTCTTAGCAAGCAGGCGGCGGATTCTCAAAGTCCGTTCCTGGAAAGATGGTCTTCAGTGTCTCCACTTTGGACAAGATAATATCCCTTTGTGTCTTGTCTATCCTTTCGAAGGACAGTAGAACTTTTACCAAAAGCAAAAGGTCTGACATGCACTGACGAGCCTGGGTCTGATCAATCCTCAGGCTTTTCTGACGGTCATTTCTGAAGTTGCCCGATTCCTCACCACCTCCAGTGTCTGCTGGAGCTACTGGAAATAAGGCCATGACATCAGCGATGGTGTTGGCGATCTCAAAGATTTTCTGCAAAATTCCACTCCCATGCATCCCAATGCTCGTCTCCAGCTGGAACTGCGCTAACTTGCGTAACTGTGCGGATAAACGTTGGGCGGGAAAGAATAGTGACAACGCCTCATGCCTTTCCGAGCCTATTGGCCCGCTGGACAACAAAAAGTCCGACATCGCGAGCTGCCAGACGATAGTCCTCATCCAAGCGCGGGTGATGAATAGATCAGCCAGCTGCAGTTCTGTCAGCGCTGCGGGAGTCCCTTGCAAGCGTTGCTGCTCTTCTTCAACCTCAGCCTCTTCGTCGTCTAGTTGTTGCTGTTTCTGCTCGATCCACTCGACTGTGATGCCGTCATGTTCCAGGCGGATATAGTTCAACGGGTCAGCGGTGTTGTCATTCTGAGCCATCCAATTGGCGAGCAAGTCGGCATCGAGGATGAGGAACAGATTGATTATTCGTTTGAATCCCGAATCAATATTGGTTGGTATGGATGGATCTGCCATCATTGGTCTATCCCTCAAGGGAGACAAGATGGAAGGAAAACAGTTTGTTATGGTTAGGAATCGCTCGTGGATGTATGCTTCCCAGTATATCCTCCGGCGTCGAGCATATTCAGGTTCTGTCAGTTTGCCCGGACCTCTGTCTATATGGAGCAACTGGATCATTGCAATCGCCTCTCGGAGAATTAAAAATGCTTGCTCATGCTTTTTAAAGGCCATCCAGCAAATCTCAAGAAAGATGCAGGTCGCAATCCGGATCTCGATCAGCTTATCCGAGAGCAAATCGTCCGAGAAAGCATCAACCGGCATCGCTCGTTGTCTGGCGCGGAGAGAGTGATTCATAAGATCATGGATGCGCTCGGAAGTTGTGGTAGGCATGCCAAACTCGTTACTGTTGATGAAGTCAATGCTTAGCTTATGTGTGTGTTGCTGCTGGGTCATGGTCAAGTTAATGGTGACGGCTGCAAAGCTGTAAACCAGGGCTGCGTGCGTAGCATTTGTTGACGCTAGATCGATGGAAAGGCGGATCTGCTCTGATGTGATGATGGGATTTACTGGATAGGTGTAGTTCTCGAAGTCTGGGATGAGGGCTAGGAAGTAGTCGGCAGTATAGTTGGCATGAGGCGTGATAAGAGCCCGGCTATCTTCGATCAGCCTTGCAGAGAGTGGCTCTTGGCTTGCGGTAGATGATTGGGCTCCGGGACTTTCTCTGCCAGCACTTGCACGTGGCTCCCGCGGAGAGGCATTTGATGATGAAGCGACCTGCGAGGTTCCTTCACGACTGTCCGTGTCGCGAGGGCGAAGTGGAAGGAACGACGAAGCTGAAGTGGGCTTCTTTTGATGATCGCTGCCTCCACTCCTTAGCTGGGCAACCAGACGACCACGTCGACCGTATGTGCGCTCTTTCTTTGGCGAGAAGGTGCATCGCAGGTTGAAGTGTTCGCACTGAGGGCATGGTTGTCGACCATTGCACCTGACTTTCCGCGTTCGACAACCATCGCAAGCTTGCACCTTAGGCGTTCGATCACTCATGAGAATATGCTGCGGCAGAACAAGGTTTCAATATCAAGTCTCTGAGAACGCGGCTCTGGAACCTTGAGCCGTAGTATGGTGTTGTCGACCAATGTGGCCTGGTGTTCTTCATGTCCATGTGGCACCTCGAGTGACAAGGCCAAGAAGCCATTAGTGGGCTGACGCGGTACGGGGTAGCTTCGGAGCTATTCCAACCGATTTGTCGCTGTCTGTGGAAAGCAAAATGCTACCCCCCCCTTGTCGTTTGAGCCGTGCTGAACAGTACAAATTTGCTAGCAGTATTAGCAACTCACAAATATCCTCATCATTTCATCAAAACAATATATCGCGCATTATCATCAACCTTACTTTATATATATATTCAGAAAGCTCTAAAAGTGTAGAATTAATTTCAATGAATTGCATTCCAATTGAAGGTGTACGCGGTGTGTTTATGAGGAATATTGTTGTGTTGCTGATGTTACTAGCAAATTTTCACTGTTCGGCACGGCTCAAAACGACAAGGGGGGGGTAGCATTTTGCTTTCCACAGACAGCGGCTATACCGTGCTAGCATGGCGCTATGGGCATGGGACTAACGCTTGGTGTTTCCGTAGTGCCTTTGTTGGGGGGGGGGGGCACATAAAGGAAACCATAAGGAGATCTTTGAACTTCTGTCATATATATTCATTGAAACTACGCTGTATGATATTCTGATATTGAAACACATGTGGACACACAAGTTCCCTATGCCATTCTCACGAAGACTGACGCGAGACGGTTTCGACAACCTCGACCGCACCCTCCTTTTTCTCGTCTTCAAGCACTGAGTCATCCTTTGGTGCTGCAAAACGATCTACCACAGTTTTGTGAAATTTTCTTGCGGATACGCGTTGTTCGAACAAGACTTCCAGCTCTCCATATGTCCTGTCCTTCGGCTCTGGTAGCCGGAAGAAGGTCCACAGTGCACAAAGGGCGCAAGTTCCAGCCCAGAAGAAGCCAGTCTTGGCTCCCCAGCCCCAAGCCGTTGGGTTGATCATCTGTGGTGTCAGAACGTTGGTGATAATGCCCGTGATGTTGTAGAGGTTCCTAGCAAGAACCACCGTCTTGTTTCGCAAGCGTGTGGAGCTCAACTCCGAGACAAGAGAGTAGCAAACAGGCCCGACGGTGATGTTGTAAGTCAGGGTATAGAGTAGCAGCAATGCGACAATGGCCGAGCTTGCCGAGGCGTTGCCAGTTCCCATTATCCCAGCCAAACCTATGCCCAGGAGGAATAGTGACATGCTGGTCTGGCCGTAAAAGTACAAGGAGCGTCGTCCAACCCAGCGCATCAAGAACCAAGAAAGAATAGTTCCGAAGGCTCCAATTCCGTAGCCTGCCAGAGTCATGTTGAACGCTTGACTGTCTGGTATTCCAGCGTTCTTGTAGAAATAGGTGGAGAAGCCTATGAAAGTAGACCCACAGAGAGTCTGGATAGCCCATGTCATGCAGACTATTTCAGTACGGCGTCGGTTGACTGGACCTCTGAAGAGATCTCGGTATGATGTGCCCTCTGTCACAGACTTTTCCATCTCGTTTGTGTGGATCATCATGGAGATGTTGTTATCGATGTTAAACCTTGTGTCCATCGTGCTTCGAGATATCAGGCGTAGCAGGGAGCGTCTGGCCTGATCGTATCTTCCCTTGCGCACTAACCAATACGGTGACTCGGGTGCGAGGAAGATGAGAAGGATGAGTGGAAGTGGCCAGACCCACTGCAACGCAAATGGAATTTTGTATGACCATATTCCGAGTGTTTCCATATGCTCCAGCATGCCGACCATGACTCCAGCGGCCAAAAGTTGACCCATCACCCAACACAGGTTGTTGTACGTTGTAAGATATGCTCGAAGGTGGAGAGGGCACACATCAGCCGCGTAAGTTGTCGTGAGAGTTTGAAAGACACCCCAAGGGATGCCGATAAGGAATTCGCCGATGAGGAGCTGAACGAGAGACTGAGAGAAGAAAATGATAAAAATGAAAGCAGCCACGAGAGTCATGGCTCCCATGAGGGTTTTTCTATAGCCGTATTTCTCAGAGATGATACCACTGACAAACAAGCCAGCGATCTCTCCGACATAGATAGCATTAGACAAGCCAGCTTGCCAGGAAGCAGTCAATTCGTAGCTCCCATCTGGCAGCGGCTCACCAAAGCGTTGCACGAAGGGCGGGAATGCGTAGAGCTGATTTAACAATGCCATGTCGAAGCCTTCCATGATGAGACATGTCGATAGTCCGATGGACCACGCGATAGCATTGGGGTAGGTCTTGAGAGATCTGTTATGCATTAGCTACCTGCTACAAAGTCCGAAGCGATGCATTCTGAAAGGTTCTAACAAAATACGGACGGGAAACCTTATCGGGAGAAGGCTTGTACTTACTTCCAGAGCCCCAGCTGGTGCTCGGCGTCAGTAGCTGCGGCGGCTTCTCGTGTGATCGCGTCCATGTTCAAGCTTGCATCGACGGTTCCCGCCTTCTCTGTGTCATCCACAGCCCCTACGGGCGTGGCAGAGACAGCGTTGAATGCCATGACGTGTCGTGATGTACGAGACTTTAGAGAGGTTAGGGCATCCGAGAGTGATGCCCGCCAGGGCTGTCGGGATTTAAATTGGATAATGAAGCTGTGATGATGATGATGATGATGCCGCTGATGATGGTGGATCCGAGAGGAACAAAGACATATTTATATTGAGTCGGAATGAGGGAGTTGAGTACCAGGCGATGTCTTGACGCAAGCGAACGGAAAATCGTCGCTCTGACTTCGGCCTACCCGTGAACTGTGGTGTGGAAGCCACAAGCTGGGTGTTCTCGCCCAGCCTAGCTAAGACTCGCGTGGGGAGTGATTCATGTGGAGGATGGCCTTGCCCCAGATTTGCTTCTTCCCCGGATTTCATCGTTGGGGCAGGCCAGATTCGATCTTTGTCGGGCCGACGAGAAGTGGCCACGGCCGTGGCCGGGAATGCCATCATGCTAAATCAGCTTGGCGTGTGCAATGCTAAAGCTGAACAGCGAGAACTTCCCCATGGGGTCAAGGCTGGAGAGGCTAAGAGTTAGCTGAGAACTAGGCCCGATATCTGGGGAGGGGCCGAGCCAGATCGATGCCACTACACCCTGGCAAACAAGGTTGGCGTGGCGACTATGCGTGCATACACAAAGGCCTGACCATAGACTGCGGAAAATGTCCATGGTGAGTTGTGACAGGTAGGCAACTTGCTTCATGAGCCACCTGGTGCCTATGTGTTAACGGACGAGAGAGTTGTTGTACGAGGAAACCTTTGTAGGAGCAAGTGGATGAGATTCGATTAGGAGGCATCGCAGGTGGAAGCGATTTTCTTTGTAGGCTCACAGGCATGGGCCGTTGTGGTTGTAGAATGATTATCGACGTCACGAAGTGTCTGTCACCTTGTAAACGTCCATTTATGCGACTAAGTTGCTGGACTGCACACAGAGCAGACCCCCATTGTCCCAACACCTCATTTCACAGATATTAAAAGCTGAATAGTGATGAACCATTGTCTTACATGAAGTGTGAGTGAAAACTCAACCGATTGGCTAGCACTTGCTATGGGCTTTCTCTGTTCCTAGGTGTGGTCTGTTCGTCATAGAAGGATGAGACACTCTCGGAAATCCTCTCCGACAGAATCGGCCCATAATCAGATCGCCGATCATGCTTTCACTCGATGGAAATTCGCATACTATTCCAGTACACGTTGATTCATACGGTTTGCGGCCGCGCTCCGGCGCAAGCGTGTGAAAGACCGGGCGTAGTGCAGGATATATCTTTACGAACTTGATGCTGTTCCTTTCAAGCTCGACTTATTGTCTGCTATGAGGCCCGACGGTCTACTGTTGGAAAGATGAAGCAACCGAACGCGTACCTTCATTTTCAATGATACATGCGCATTAGCATCGTTATCCATGTCAATGGATAAGGCCGGTGCCATCATCGCAACCCAACCCCGCATCATCAAAAAGAGAAGGTATACTCGGTGTCTGTTTGCTCAACCTCCTATACTGTAATTGTCTTGGAAGTGCGATCCACACCTTGTTGAGTTCGTCCAACCACTGAAGTCGCCCTCCTTGTTTTCGAACGCCGCTCAATATAGTACCACATGGCCCTCCCTTGCTCTCACACAGTGGTCATAGACCTAGCTCTAACTTTCGACTCTGCGGCAAACGATTTGTCTAATCACGGCCCAGATTCTATGAGATAGCACCGCATTGACAAAACTTGACCGAGATATGACCGAGAGAACTGCGTGGCTGCATGTAGCAGTGGCAAAAGAGAACGAGCTGTCGGAAGACGACCTTGTGATTACAGATGTCAGAGTCGGAGACCCACCGTCCAATCATGGCTCAAAAGGCGCGTGGGAGAGTCGATCGGGTGCTTTTTGGGTGCTTTGAAATATTTTAAATGTGTCCATCAACTTTCAAACTCTTTCTCATTTTGACCACTTTGGAGGGCGCGTGCTGTAAGGCTCAGATGGGGGATTTGATACTGCTCGTGGAGTACTTCTCTCTGGCAGGGCATGAAGCGATGGGCCGCAACAGGACGCCAACAAGGCAATCTTTTTATGGCTTCCAGCCGGTCAGCAGGTTCATGCCCAGGTTGACGAGGTTACCTCCAGAGAAGTCGTGGAGGCAGGACGCGTTTCAACATCTGCAAATGTTGGTAGTTGTGCTGTCACTAAGCGCCGATGCAGGGTGGCGCAGTCCCCTCTACCATCATGCTTACCATTCTGCCGGGACGCATATCAAGAAGTTTCCATGACCGTGACTGGGTCAACAGCCCTAGTCGGCCTGTCGTTGTGGGAAGCAAGCTCAGCAGTGCTGCCTGGGAAGGTACAGTGGTTACCCGTGGGCGCGGCTGCCTCCCGTCGCCCCTGCACCAACAACCAGCAACTTTGGAACAAACCATTGCAAACAAAAGGCCAAGGTTGGTCCAACGCGGGTGCAAAAGTCTGGCACTGAAAACCGCATCATCCATCGATACCCTTCCTTTCTGTCGGCTGCTTTACGTCCTGACGCCTCACAAGTAACCCATTCCCAAGATGAAACGCCATCGAAGCCCCGACGCTATTGGAGAAGGCAGCAGTCGCGCCAAATTGTCAAAGACATCATCTGAGAGCACTGCAACGGGGGCTGAGACCGAACAGTTGTTGGAAGATCATCGGGAGCTTTGCATCAGCGTTTCTCTCCGTTCAGCCAAGAAAGCGGCACGAAACGACCCGAAGCCCTTGCGGACCGATGAAGAATGGCAGAGAATTGTTCAAACGTATTTGAATATGGGTGATTCTAGTAGTGATCCAAGTTCGTCACAAGCGATTGGGGACAAAGACAACCCGCGTGGCCCAGACCCGGCTGGCGGTTCTTCCGCAGCAGCAGATCTCGGCCTTGCTGATGGGCAGCATTCTGCCCAGCACTGCAGTCCCGTGGGTCCTGCGCCGACCGCAGTGTCAAGACAACCGTCACAGGAGGGAAGTCTTGATAGAAGCGATAAGTAAGGCCCACCATTCGGCCACTACAATAAAACATGCTGGCTAATACAATTTATTTGCTGGTAGGGACGACGACTCCAGGCTTGACGATGACCATTCTCACATGAGCGACGAGGACGACGAATTCCCTTGGTACGAAGAAATCGATGGCCTCGCCAGATTGCAGCCGTCATTGGACAACCCGACAGTTTCTCGCAGAGACGAACGCATAATCGGCAGCTGTGATGCAAAGCTAATCAGACGCGGCATGATGCGCGAGTCGTTCTGGCTCGAAATGGAGTGCCCTACTCAAGAGACGCACGACCTGGCATTTGACCTGTTCGATCGGTACGGACGTCTTAACCCCGTGTTTTATGATCACGAAGTCAACAAAGGATCCGGGGTTTGGGGCAATGAACTTGACCATGGAGACCTCCTGCTCTTTGAAGAGTTGAAAGTAAACACAGACTATCGACGACGCGGTATTGGTACGAAACTGGTCAACGCCATTCTGGAGAAGACGAGAAAGAAGGTCTCGGAGCGGGTGGGCTTTTTTGCTCTGACTAGACCTGGAATTCTATCGAGTGAGATATCATGCGAAGACCCCGCCGCGGTGAGAGAAGCTCAGCAAGACGCCATGAGAGCCGCTCTAGGATTCTGGCATTCTATGGGCTTTCGGAGAGTCGGCACATCGCCATGGCTTGCTTGGACAGACTCTCCACGCCATCCATCACGACAGCTAGGGATTGCCCAGGACTGGAATGACCCAGATGATCCAGTTGCGGATGTCTTACTCTCAGGCGAATTGGAAAGAACTTGCCAAAAACTGGCAGATCCGGCGGTTGAAGCGGCAGAGTGTATCGACGAACTCACAAAGGTCTTCCCAGAAGAATTTGCAGATGCCCAGTGGCAGAAAATTGACGAAGACGGCAACACCCTGCTTCACATCGCGTCAATGTCATCCAAACCAGAGCTGGTCAGCCACCTCCTCTCCAGGGTTCCCCATCTGACAGCCGTGCGAAACAGGGAAGGCTATACAGCTCTGGAAGCCCTACAGAACCAACTCGAGCGCCAGAGAACTCGGCAATCTAATGGACACAGTAGCCGCGTCACATCCGACGCGTTCCAAGGCTTCAGCGCCTCAAGCATCGCGTGCCTTGCCGCCCTCGAAAACACGGCTGCCTTCGACCTCTCGAGTCTGAGCCCGCGAGATATCGAGGCCGTTTCGTCGGCTACGGACGAGCAGATCCGGAGGGCGCCTCAGCTCGATATAGCCGGCATCCGGAAGACGCTGCGGTACAAATACGGCTGCACATGTGGACAGTGCATCGGTGGATTCTTAAGCCCGCGAATGAAATTCGCGCTAGTCTGCGTCTCTGAAATAGAGCACGACATGATGCACTCCTGGATGGATGACACCGGGCCGGGCTGGGTTAACTTCAACCACAATCTCTTGACGCATCTCCCCGCATCGGTTCGGGAGAACCTCAAGACGAATAAGTCAATGCGGCAGGGATTTGCGAACATGTGTAGTCATTTCGCCAAGTGTCTGCACCAGGGAAGGATGCCTACGGAAGGAGAGGTACTCGATTTCTACCGGTCGCACGAGAGTGAGTGGCCACCTGTGACGAGGAACTATCTCCAGCGAGGAGGGAGTGTGGCCGCAGTGGCCAATATGATCTTCGAAAGGGCAATGGAGAGCGACGAGTGGGCTGGAGACGGTGATCATAGAGAGGTCTTCAGGGAGGACATCGACAAGCTCATGCTGTGCAGGAACGACCATGAGTTTGGCTTCGTGGCTGGGATGTGCGGGTACAAGAGAGTTAGGCCAGTTTCAAGCCGTTTTGTTGGTATGTCTGGTCGAGAACTCGATCTGGACTTTTTGGGTTGATATATGTAAGCTCTGTCTGCGACTTGAGTTATGCACGTTTCTCGCTCGACACACAAAGGAGGAGGGCTAAAGTTTGCTGTGTATTATATTCTCTGAGGATCGAGATAGACAATTGACAGGACGGGACTTGCTGGTCAGCATCGTTTACAGTCACGCACATAATCATACGGCACCCGTCTTGTTCTTCATGTCAGAAATAGTTTGATGGAGGTTATTGATGAAAAGTGGGACGATGTATCAAATCGCTGCCAAATCCACAGCGCTAAGTAGATCAACTATTTGACACTTAGACAGTGTGTAGACATGTTGTCAGCTTAGGACAATGCAATGAAATTCTGGTCATACTGGAACACAGTATTTGGATAAATCATGTGTTAGGGATGGCGATGATTGGTGACGGGTCAGTGCGCCCTTTACATGTCTTTGTGGTTACGGTTTGTCGAGCTTCCATTTGCACTGTAGTGAGATACCTAGCGCAATCCTTCACCTACCCTAGTCCCCCCTCACCAATAAATCTTCCTCTCTGTTACCTTTGACGCTGCGAGATCAATTCAATTTTGAAACATAAACGTGGTCCTGCCATATATAAATATCGTGGACGTAACCAATATGCCCGTCAAACTTGTCTTCGGCGCCGGCGGCATCGGTTGGACTGAGAAAAGCTTCACTTACACGTGGGATACGGAGGAGAAAGTCACTTCGCTCCTCGATACTCTCGAAACACTCGGCCTCAACGAGCTAGATTCGGCAGCTTCCTACCCACCCGGCAACCCATGGAACACGGAAACGCTGTTGGGACAGAGCAAGGTCGTCGAACGGGGCTTTGTGGTCGACTCCAAGATCCTTGGAGCCCGTGGCCCTATGCTTACCGACGAGCGTATCTCTGCGAGCGTGGAGAAGACTCTCCAGCTGCTCGGTGCCAAAAAGGTGAGAACGATGTATGCTCACTTCTTTGATGAGCACACGCCGATCGCAGAGACGGCCAAAGCCTTTGACAGGCAGTATCGGGAGGGGAAATTCGAACGCGTACGTTACACTCCCTTACCGACCAATACATGCATGTTCTCACCTGTCTGGCTGACAACGCGAGCCACAGCTGGGCCTGTGTAGCTACCCCCCTGCCAAACTATCAGAATACTTCTCAGTCTGCGAAGCCAGTGGCTACATCAAACCCACTGTCTACCAGGGTGAATATAATGCGCTGGCGCGGGATGATGAGGCTGATCTCATTCCTCTCCTACGTCAACACAACTGTGCTTATTACGCCTACAGCCCTCTGGCCGGCGGTTTTCTTACGGGGAAGGTCACCTTCGCGGTCAATGCCGAGTCTGAGCTCCACCGAACACGCTTTCACGGGGCCAGCGCATTCAAGGCATACGTCGATAAGTATGACAATCAAAAGATGCATGATGCCATCAAACAGCTCAAAAAAGTGTGTGATGAGGAAGGTGTGAGTCTGCAGGAGGCGAGCTTAAGATGGTTGGTCTGGCAGTCGAAGCTAGGTGAAGGAGATGCAGTGATCTTGGGGGCGACGAAGGAGGGTCAACTTGAGAGTAATGTCAAGGATGCCAGAAAGGGGCCGTTAGGGCAAAGGGTGAAAGAGGCTGTTGAGGAGCTACTGAAGGACCACGGGAAGTTGTGAAGGAGTGATATCATCGACAGTACTGGGGCTCTGGCTTGGACTTGCGTGATCTGTATCAGGCATGTCTTGTTTAGTGTAGATCTTTTATCGAAATCGTATGGAGTCGGAATTCTTCTAAAGCCCCACGATGTGCGTCCGCCCGGACTAGCTCAACACGAATTCAAATTTGATCCACTTGCGCGATTCTGTCAAATCAGAGGCTGTTGATTCTAATTCCAGTGGTCTATTAATGTCTTCTAACGTCGGCCCAAGATCTACCGAGGGTTCGCAAGTCCGACGGCCCTCTGCACGGTCATGCAAGTGCTTTCAGTGACTGCAGCCCGCAAAGATTGGTTACCAGGAGCAACCACAATGCAACAACAGATGCGTGAAAAAGTGCTGACGTGCAATACCGTATTGGGTCGAGGAAATCGCAAATGCTGCAGAGTACGCCTTTCCAACTCCAAAGAATGACTGTGAAACTAGCTCTTCCATCTCTTCTATGCAAGTCCGAGGTACTCTCGCAGCGTCTTCTGCCTCGTGAGAGATGCGCCGATGCTCCTGTCCCTCTCAGCGCCTGCTTCTGAGAGGTCCTTGATGTTGTCCAGCACTCTGATGTGCTCCTTCTTCAGTTTCTCGAAGTTTTCGTCAAGTTCTTTGTGCCATGGGTAGAGGACGAAGACTTGGAAGCATAGCGCGCTGCTAGCGACGACGAAGTTCGTTATAGAGACAACTCTCGTGATGATCGCCATCTTGATGGCGCAGACTGGGGGTTGGGTTGGGTGGAGGGTCGGAACGGCTCGGAGAGAGTCGTCGAGCGAATTTCGCGCACGTGGGCTGAACTGGGCTCAAATCGTGTCAGTTCGAGCGACCGGCCCAAACAGCAAGGAGAACGCACCTTCTTGGACGGTACTTCCGACGAACGTAGGAGAAGCAATATGCTGAGTGTCTACTTTGGGAGCCCTGGGTTGTGTGCAAGGGAGTCACTTGTGAATTTGTTGTAAGAGAAAAGAAGATGACGGGACTGGACAAGTCGGAAGCGTCTTGTTGGAGTCGGAGAAATCAGGAGCCAATGTGATTCCGAGGGATCGGAGCAGCCACGAGGGATGTGGGTCTTTAAGGTTCAGTGACATGTGAATCTCTGGAAGATTCCGTCTGCCTTTTTTGCGACTAAATATAGTGACAGTGACCCAACTCAAGGCGCCTGATGATCTGTACGAGGGCTTCAATGTAGCCAGGATTTGAACCAACATTGAAGACTTTTCCTGTGCGCTGCGCTGCTGCCCACAATCAGCAACGTGTCAAGTGCTCACGAATGCGGCAGTTCGCCGGATCCTTGAGTTTACTGTCCTCGTGCAGCTCGAACTGACAAGTGACAGGTGTGGGTGGGTCTCGCATTCCTGCACCCGAGCGGGCACGCCCTGCCTGCCGACTTCGGTGCATCGCGGGCGAGCGGATAGACGGCCCATGCAACTCTGGGCATCGACGTCTTGCAGAGAGTTGAATGCAAAGAATGACCACATCACCTTGCAAGATCACGCTCAAGCAGCTGGGGTGCTGCAAAGTGGTCTCTATCTCCTTGAGTTGTTGTTTGCATCGCGGACGAACATGTGGGGTCAGAACCATATTTTGTCATGCGCTGAGTGATTTTCATGACACGACTTTGGCTTTGCCTGTCTGCTTACTTGCATTGAAAATGATTGCACCTGCGAATACGCGAGCAGAATTTCCACGAGAATCTATGCGGGACCGTTTCCTGCACACTACCTATTTTGTTGACGGATGGATTCTGACAGATCAGATGGAGCAGCACATGATCCCCTCTGAGGATTGCTCTATCGCTGCGACCCGGGCCGTCGAAAAAAATGAAGGCCTGTCTTCACCTCCTGTTCTTGCACGCTGGGTGGGCATTCATCAGAATTCAGGGGCCCGGGCCCAGTGTATCTGTAGCAAACCTGACGGTTCCCACTGCCCCCTTTCAATATTGCACAGATACACTGAAGAGCTGCAGCGTCGGGCAGACTGGGTGAGAGAGAGTCTATTGATTGTGGTGTACATGAGGATCAATCGTCTTCCACCATTTCTAGCTATCAATGACACCAGTTCTCGACCTCCTCCATTTCATGCCCCTCCAACGTAGCAGAAGAATGGCCGCTGCACAGAAAATACCACTCCATAGCCCCAACGCTGTGAAATACCATCCCCTCCCTGCAGCATCCATCAATGGTTGCAAAACAGCCACACCAGTTGCCGCCATTGCGCATCTTGCGATGCTGGTTGTTGCGGCCGCGGTGCTTGGGCTCTGAGGAAAGGAGTCGATCAGCATGGCACTGTAGGTGGTGTAAAAAAAGGTGCCCCAGAAGCCCTGCATAAACTGCAAGACAAGCACCACGGCCGGGTGAGTCTGTTGATGAAGTGCCCAACCATAACCGGCCATGGTCGCTGTGGATACTGCAAGCCCAATGAGGCTGCCTGTGGTTCTTGATTTTTCGATCGGGAAATCGAGTAAGTCTCCACTTGATGCCTTTCCGGCCTCAGCCCTGCCGATTTTGCGTGACATCGCCCTGTAATTATGGTCAAGAAGCTTGCCGGTGAAGTAGCTTCCCAGAATGATACCAATCCCTCGGGGTAAATATGCAAGCCCAGTTTGCCACTCATTCCAGCCGTAGATGGACTTGTATATATCGGGTACTGCTGCAACAAAACTATAGTCGACGGTATATAACGAGCCATGTACCCAGAGTGTCAAGAACGTGTCTTTATGAAATATAATGCGGAAGCAATTGTAGAAATTGATAAGCCCATACTTGTGCAGAAATCCCTTTTCAAACACATTCTGAGTCGCTAATCTTGCCGGAATTGTAGCCTCATCAGCATGGTGGTTTTGAGTAACACCATCTTTGCCGACAGACGCCTGTGTAAGAGACACCCAGCTGATCTGCCACCATTTGAATCGAGATCGATCCGAGCCGTTCCCAACAAGTGATCTTGCGGTCTCAGGCAAGAAAATGCCGACAGATGAAAGCAGGATTATAGCTGCAATAACCAGCGCCCAGAAGGCCCAGTTGTAACTCCCGCTGAAGTATGCTACACAACCTCCAATTACGGGGCCAATGCAAGTGCCCAGGTTGAGAGCCATGCCGATGGGCCCCAACATTCGGCCCCTATCACTAGGCAGGCAGACATCCGCTACCACGCCAAAGGCAATGGCATACGTGGCACTTGCGCCGAGACTCTGTAGTGCTCGCAAGGTTGCGAGCGCAGCGAAACTACGCTCGTTCACGGCCAGCCCTATGTTGCTCACGGCATAGGTAGCAAGAACCAGGAGAAATATTGGTCTTCGGCCGTAAGTGTCGGAAAGTGGACCGAATATCACTGGTGATATGGCTTGGAATACAACGTAAATGGTCAAGGTGAGGTTGACCGCTTGGGCAGAAGTACGGAAATGCGTGCGTAGGAGTGGGAGCAGTGGCAGATACATCGTCGCGGTGAGTGACGACGTAGTTGTTGCCAAGCCGACCAAGAGCTGAAGTTTCCTGAGCTGGAAAGGAGTGAAATGTGTGAAAGGCTCCTCTGGATTGGTTTCTCTGCCCTTTTCCTTCTGGTAGACGTGACGCCGCTCCTCGGCTAGAGGCGTTGCTTTGTTTAAGTCCTCCGAGTCGTCAGCCATTTCCTTTGCATATAGAATTGTGTATAGGTCTGCAGAACTTTAGCAGAAAGAGAAGTGCCCGCGAAATGAAAAAGGGGCCGAGGTAGCTGTTGAGGCAGACTTTGCTTGATTTGGATATTCGAAGGCAGCCAAGGACGGTCAACAGGGTGGACGATTTGAATGCTTTCTGCGGGGATTGTTGGGTCTTTGCCCATAATAACGTAGTACCTGGCTTGTTGGTTGTCACATGCATGCACATACATTTCATAGAACCTGTTCCATGCCAACAATCTTGCTGCATGCCCGTGATAAACTTATAAGTTTTCGTTTTCCGTGAGCACTCACTGGCATGACAAAATGCTTTCGACTGTAGGCAAGGGATCAACTTTTCAATCCTTTAGGTATCGCGCTAACTCTGACCTGTTTTTAATATCAAGAGAGTAAGACTTAGTTATGCTGTGTCCTTACTCATGACTGAGTCACCTTGGCTGCATGCACACGAAATTTCTATCTCAGGCAAAGGACGGCTAGTTGCAATTCCAACTTTTACAAAGTATGATCACGTTCTCCAGACAGTGTTAACATCTCCGACTCATCAAGTCTCCGCGGGGCCTCTCCTTCCGGGAATGGATCGAACTTTTCAACGAGATAACACATGTCATTGTAAGTCCTGGTGATAATCAGTCAGCGAACCTTATATCGTGCTCATGTTGATACTTGCATCTGGCGGACAGCCTTTCCAGAGGCCTTGTGATGTACCGAGTACCACAAGTAGTAGTAGCAGGCATAGAGGCGGTTCCTATCGTCCCATTCGTCTTTCGGCTCACTGGCGGGGAAGAACCTGAGGTAGGTCTTGGTGTAAAGGTCCCTATGGATCTTGTTGAAATAGCCACGCCAGTCAGCTATGTCCAGCTCGTTGTGGGCGTAGAAGCCTGCGGAGTCGTATATGTAGACATTTCCATTTTTCAGAGAAGTGCCAGTATTTCCTTCCCACAGGTCGGCATGTATGAGGCTCGGCTTCAAGGTTCTGCCGTCCTGCACTAGTGCATCGAGCAAGCGAGGAACGATTGATGTAAGAACTCGCTGTTCCACTCTATCAAGCTCCTTCCAGTATCCATTGATCTCAGAATCCATGTTCATCGCATGTTGGAGGATCTTTTTGTAGAAAGTTGTCCAATTGCTCTCCCAACCTACCGCTTGCGGGTAAAGGTTCTGACAAGTGGTGACAGCAAAGCCGAATTGTCCCGTTGGCGACTGGCTATCTCGGTGAACTCGCGCCAACTTTGAGCATAGCTCGATAGGATCCGGCATTGTGTCGGTCGCCATGTCCAGATACTCTAGGATCAAGAAATACGCGTCAAAGTCCTGGAAAGAATATTTGCCCCACGAATGTGGTTTGGGCACAAAATCAGGCGCGAACCTGTGGAATTCTGACATGACATGGAATTCGCCCTGCATCATCTGGCCGCCGAGGGCCAACGGGGCCGATTTGAGGAAATACGACTCTTCACTTCCATCAGACATCTTGAAATGGATCCGAGCTGTGACAGTCTATGACGAGGTTGCATAACGATTGGCCATGATGATCGTGGTTCCGCAGGAGAACTTGGCTAGAACATTGTCGTCGACGTGAAAGTCTCCCTCGTAAGGAAAGTTTGCCCCAAAGGAACGATCGATAAGGGTCTGGAGTGGATTCATATCGAGGATAGTTCACTGACCTTCAATGAAGAGCAGAACAGAGCAAGAACTTGAGCTGATAAGGACAATGACGGGTAACTTTCAAGGAAAACTTTCAGGTATTGGCTTGTAGCTCGTGCCCAGCTCCTCAACTAGCATTGATTTTTCCCCGAACGCAGTCGGAGATCTTGCAAATTCCGGATAGCACTTACCTGCGTGTTGGTGACTGTTGGTTATATGCTAGCCAATAGTCGACAGGGTGGTACCGCTGAAGCCGAGGCTTGCATCGCAGATGCCTGCTACTCTTGAGGGACGGGGCCACATCAACACCAGTGAGTGTTGAAGAAGATCTAAACGAACATGGCGATTAGGCTACCGGGAGTCAGGTGAATCCGGTACCCGCTGGTGGTGTCCATTTCCTTGCTACGGAACTCGGGTACCAAGGGCTCTAGGGCATTTTCGCTCTTGTGTGAGTTTATTAAGTATGTCGGTCACATTCACTGAGGTATCTGCCTCAAATATTTACCACTCTCCCCGTTAATCTTTGTGCTTGCGCTTCCAACTGTGCCACAGGCCCCAAAAAGGTGACCGCCCTCAGAAGCCTGAGAGTGACAGTGGTCTCAAGTAGCTTAGGGGAAACGCTGCGAGGAACACAAATTTCCCACTTAATTTAATATCTTTCAAACATTGATTTCTTCCTGAGAATCATATCGTAATCATTCAATATCGCTAATAAATTGGATGTGTTAAGCTTGGTAAGGGTGTGCCACATGGATGTGGATCAGTACTATTCGTGAATTGTTCTTTCTTGCCTCCTACCTTCGGGACAAATCTCAATACAAACTCGATGCAAATGTTCAATCATCGTATTAAAACACTTATCATTCAGGTATTTTCACTCGAGGAAGCCACGCCCTAATGACCAGGACGCAGGGTTGTCCGTAAAGCGTGCTTCGCCCCCGAAATACGGACCTAGTGTGGTGGGATAAGATCAAGTCTTTTTTAGAACGACAAAAGACGACCTTCGAATAGGTAATCGAGCTCCACGGCATGATTGAAAGTTGATAGGTTCACATGGAAACCCCCTTCGGATCACGGGAGTCTACCGTTTTGGGTGCATTTTGGAATATCACCCTCTTGCAGACAAGATTGTGAAGGCGCCGACTGCACGTGCAGACGAAATATCAGCCAGTCCGTACGGCAAGGTTTTTGCTACCAGCAGCAGGAATGGCGCTGAGGGAATCTGGGATTGTGTTTTTCTCACTTCCATTCAACTACTATCATCTGAAAATATCATGGCGGAACCATCCTTCAGTACGGATAGCCACTGTTTTCACGAGGAGGCTGCACGGTGATTCGATAAATACTTGGGATTGTAGTAGCCTGACTGGTTTCTTCGATTAGGAAGAACAAGTCACCAGTGACACCAACAGCAATGATTGGTCAACAACTAAGCTCTCCAAACTCTCATAAGCAAGGCACCTACCCTTCGAAGCCATTCCAGCATTTGCCCTAAGTCCAGACAAGTCTCTTCACGCGATCTCGCACAAGAAGAGAGCCGTTTGAGAAAGCGCAAGAGAGCATTCCACGGCATATTAATGCGCATGTAAGAACACTTCCGGGGGTGCTTCTCAATTCGAGATTGATCTTTTTATTTATATCAAGACACCTGGACTCTTACATACCCTCTGGGATACATTGTGCCGACCGTATGCACTGCCTGACAATTCACTCGGCTGCGCTCAGGTCATCCCAACCTGCTTTTCATAGTGTGGCAAAATTGCAGCTGCCTGCCTCTGTCCCCTCGTTCTTGATGGTCGAAATCTACGCTCTGAACCCAACGTATCAGTGCTCACATGTACATGGTTTATGGCAGAGATCAGAGTCAGATGTTTCGGGGGCTTTATTTTGTCCCAAGAGACTGGCTGGGAGAGATGAGCCTGGACAGCTGTGTTTTGATAGAGGGAGGCGCCATATTGGGGGATGCAATAGCAGTGCCCTTGCCATAGTGTGCAATCTAGATGATACACGTCTGTCGTACTCGCCATAATATTCGATTTGATAGACCTTCAGCGGTGAAGTTTCCAGGATCTTGGGGCCACGGAACAGAGCTACTCCTGGCGCTACGGACACTCAGCCAACTCAGGATAAACCCCAAAAATACAATGCAATCGTATATTTGGGAACAGAACCTTTTCCAAGGAATGACACTGCTCAAAGGCTCCATCTCATTTTATTATCGTAATCTATCATTTCCATATTCTTTTGTAGTCCTACTGCCTTCGAAGCAAGCCGTTTATTTATAAACAGATCGAAAAACCCCACTTGAACCGTTTGCAAACTGTCAAGCAGTAAAATAGGAGCCTAGTCATGGAATTCAAGCTGTCTTTGAAGATTTTGGAATTTTCCTCAAGCTGAGTGAGATCTCCAATCACAGCTATAGTTTAGCTGGCAGCAAAGCCGGAAACGCCTTCTTGGCCAAGCGGTAAGGCGTCGCACTCGTAATGCGAAGATCGACGGTTCGATTCCGTCAGGAGGCACTCTTTTTGTCAATTGTCATGACATCTAGGCTCTTTCTCTTTTGTCCAGAGCAGAATGTCCTTGTCTCAATTTACTATATGTCGTTACGGATGCACACTACGATAGCCATGTGCAGAGATCTACAGATATGAAAGGCGAGGATGGCGATTTGGGCAGCTCGCGGATCGTAATCTTATCCCCAACGTACCAAATTCTAGAAGGTGGTTTTGAGTTTGGCAGAAGCCGGCTGCGCTTCCGAGATCGACACCGTGAACTTTGGAGACCCAGACTTTAACAGGTCAGGCAAACCTGGGGAAGATGATCATGGCATGAAGCTCAGAATACACACAATCTATAAGCTACATCGCCAAAGAACATAGCACCTACACATTGCCGTTCAAACCTCTGGCCAGCCGGCCTGGGAAGATAGCCTGCCAGCGGGAGCCATCAAATTGCATGTGCCCTTTCGTGTCGATCAGATTGATTCAGTCAACATACGGGGTCACCTAGTGGTCATGGAGGCGCGCCAAGTGTGGACCCTTTGCCTGAGCCGAGAACTAAGGGCCTGCTATCCTACTGGGGTCAGGGGCGGTTCTGGCTCCCAAATTGGACAAACCCCTGGCGGTAATTTTCACGTGGCTTGGCATCCCATTTTCATCAACGTCTCGTCCTCCCTCGCTCTGTCGTACCACCTGTTCGCTTCGTAATCCACAGCTATGCAATGCCTCGACGACAGTGGGAGCTGACGACGCCAAACAGGGTTGTCGAATGCTTTTTTGCACACCAAAGCAAGCGCTTTCTCGGGTACCGTGGCAGCGTTTAGGATGCAGTTCTACACTGAGCTGTTGTCAGATACGACAGATACGCAGTACGAATAACGATTGATTTTCTCTGGTTCCACACCGTGGGTCAAACAACCATGGCGGAGGGGTCCCCTTGGCCACACTTGCACCATGGGGACAACGCCCGGGGACGCAGAGATGGACCCACCGAGATCAGCTTGCGCCTCAATGCCCCTTTCTCGTTCTCTCTTTTGTACGAGGCAGCTTTTCCCTGATCGAAAAGCGAACGCAGTCAAAAACATGCAGCCCTACCCGTGCTGCTGAACCTCCGGCGGCCCCTCTTGCTGCCCTTTTCTCCGGTTTTCGATCTTCTCGACACTCGTTGCCCGCCCTTTCTATTATCACCGCTAATTGTTTCTTTTACTTAAATTTCTCCCGACATCGTGTGCCTGTGCTTCTAGACGAACGTGACTCGAGGTAGACGCGATGAAGCTCTCGTCTGTGTCCTCCCTATGGCTGGCTGGTGCCATGGCGCCAATGGCCTTGGCCATTGACATCGACTGGACTTCAGAAGGTACGTTGGTGTCACATGCCCCGTAGTTATCCTCATCCGGGCTCGACAAGCCTCTAGTTCCTGTTGGGACATCTTGAGCTAATGCCATGGCAGATTCAATCAAAGAGGGCGCAGCAACAATAGCATATGGCTTGATGAAGTACTACACAGGAAACAACACTGGTGACGTGCCGGGAAACTTGCCAGACCCATACTACTGTATGTCGCCGGCATCGACTGCCTCATTCCAGCCAGCAAACTGACCATGGATAACGCACAGGGTGGGAAGCAGGTGCCATGTTTGGCGCGATGGTGGACTATTGGGCATACACAGGCGACGACACATACGTCAACAACACATTCCAAGCTATGCAGCACCAAGTAGGCGACGACTTGGATTTCATGCCACTCAATCAGACCAAGTCAGAAGGAAATGATGAGTATGTCCACGGGCCGAAAGCTTGCCCTGCCTAACCCATGCTGAGGTAGCTACCAAGACTATAAGGCTGACTTGACAATAGCCAAGGTTTCTGGGCACTCTCGGCCATGGCAGCCGCTGAACAGAATTTCCTCAACCCAAACCAAACATCGGAAGGTGGAACCCAATGGCTCGCCCTAGTGCAGGCTGTCTTCAACGAATACGTCTTACGTTGGGACGACGCAGACTGCGGCGGAGGACTGCGATGGCAGATTTTCACATTCAACAACGGCTACACTTATAAGAACTCCATCTCGAACGGGTGCTTCTTCAACCTGGGCGCTCGCCTGGCGCGTTATACCGGCAACCAGACCTACGCAGACTGGGCGACAAGGGTGTACGAGTGGATGGAGACTGTGGGTTTTATTGACGAGGAGTACAACATCTACGACGGAGCCGGATACGGCGACAACCAGAACTGCACCAACATCGACCAGGTGCAGTGGACGTACAACGCGGGCATCTGGCTGCACGGAGCCGCCGTCATGTACAACTACACCAACGGGTCGACCGAGTGGCAGACACGCGTGGACGGCATCCTCAACCACACCTCGCAGCAGTTCTTCCAAGACCAAGTCATGTACGAGCCCGCCTGCGAGCCCGCCTTCCAGTGCAAGACCGATTCGCTCTCCTTCAAGGCCTACCTGGTGCGGTGGCTCGCAGGCACCGTGCAGATGGCGTCGCACACCTACGCGACCATCGGGCCCCTGCTCTCGGCGAGCGCCGCCGGCGCCGCGCTGCAGTGCTCCGGCACGGCGACCGAGGCCGACGGGTACAAGGGCGTCAGCGGGACGGCGTGCGGCATGCACTGGGTCGACGGCGCAGAGTGGGACGGCATGAACGGCGTGGGCCAGCAGATGGCGGCCTTGTCTGCTATCTTCTACAGTCAGGTCAAGAACTGGAACGTTCCAACGCCCTACACGGCCATCACCGGCGGTACCTCGACGGGTGACGCCTCTGCCGGCCAGGACAAGACGGACGAGTCGCTGAGCACACTCAAACCCATCACTGCTGGTGACAAGGTCGGGGCCGGATTCTTGACGACGATTGTCGCGGCGGGCCTGTTCGGTGGCTGTTTCTGGATGGTCAAGGAGTGAAAGGGATACATATAAAGCTGGGCATCTTGCTTTCTCTGCATCGGGCTTGTCCGCCCCACATTTATGTGGCTGTGTTAAGACGCATTTGGGAGGGGGTTTAACGGACTGTATCGTCCTGGCACGGCGTCTGGAGTACTTATTATACTGGGCTCAGAATGCCCTTGGCATATCTTCTATCACAATGCATAGAGCTGCATGATTTCGCTTCTTACCAACCAACAGAGGCGGGGGCGACTTGGATCATAAAGCTCACGTAACGCTGCGACTAACTTGCACGTTGAGTACTACGAGTAGACTGTGACAAGTCAAGACGCGTTACCGTAGTTTCGCACTTTCGCAGCATTTGGAATGCATTTAGAATATGTAATATCAGTCCATATAAGGATGCAATTGCAAGATTTCTCATTGATCACCTCTCTGTTTCCTCACATCTAATACATGCCGCCTACCTGAGTCCCTCACAGCCTGCAAACTCTTCCCAGCCGACTGGAAGCTTGTGTTTTGTCATATCACCTCGAGTGAAGGACTCGCTATCCGCTTCAGCAACCAACTGGTACTCAGAGCCTCGCAGGGGGTTATGTTTTGCCCGTGAAAGCTCAGCATGGATTTGAAATGACCCCGTCGTGATGCTATCCGGGATATGCAGTCTCTCGAAGTCGAATCTTAGCCCGCCGTTATCCATTACCTTCGAGTCGAGACCGGATACAGAAGTCAGACCGTTTAGGCCGTCGAAAGGGGTAGGGCTTGAAGTCCGTGACGTGAGGTTGACTTCATCCATAGACGTGCCATCTATTTTCTGAAGCTGAAGCTCCAACTGAAATTTCGAACGGTCGTTCCCATCGCGCCACTTCAGACTGCCAACTTTCTCTCCTTCCAGATAAACAAAGCAGCTTACTGTGAATCGACCTTCACCGATCTGAGGAGGCTGGCAAATGAACCTGCCAATAATGATTTGGTATTTCCTCGTGTGGAAAGGCATGCTGAGATTCGATCCAGATATAGGCTTGGATGTGTGGTTTCAGGTCAATCCGCCAAACAATTTGAGCAAGACAGGGCCCTCATTAAAAGGAGCCGTGTGATATGCGCAAGATAATATATCGCATGCAATTCAAATCTTTATCATTGTTCAGTTCTTTCATGCTCACCGTGGAGTCGGACAGAGTGGACAAGGCTTTGCTTTGTTGCAGAGTGATCAAATGGGCGCACAGGAACAAAACTCAACGTGCATGACATCTAAGAATAGAACCCAAAGACGTGTCTAATGAAATTGTATTGTTTTCGAGGACATGCTTTCTATGACTACGATGAAGCCAACGCTTTCGGCGTCAATGTTCAAGCACCTTGCCTCTTACACCCTTGGCGGTCGGACGTTTGTATCGCATCAATCAACCAGCTGGGATTATTTCCTACAGAAGAGCTTAGCATAGGTGATTGAGAAAGTCTCTCTGCGGGGAAACGGTGCAGCAAACCATGACTCTTGGTGTGGACGGACACCAATCTGATCATGTCAAGGTTTGGAGAGGATCTCGTGAACGAGTGTCTCCACGGCAATGTAAAATCCCTGGAGAGCGGTAGGCTAGGGTCTCGTCATTGAGGACCTGAGATAGCTCAACAAAGTCAGAATCCATTCATTGACAACTTAGCCCAGAGAAATGGGTAGTTTGAATTGCTAACGAAGTCTACACCATGTTCCGTCATCGGGAGACAAACTCCTCCGCCAAACGTCAGCCACCCATACGCCTGCTTGATAAAGAACACCTCAGCCCCTCTTCAGCAGCTCATATTGTCCTGGTCATGGTAAGAGATCTTCCCCAAGCTGGAGCTGGGCAAACAGACACTCCCTTTCACACAATCACGTTAATGGGTGCTTCGAAGCGGGCTTTCGCCGTCAAACTATCAATTCAATCCATCTATATCTCGCATGGACAAAACGAAAAACTTCACTTTTGTACATAGCGATTCTAGATTCATGACAGCAGCTGAAGTTCTATGCAAGCTCTGCCTATCGCCACTTGTAGCATGAAAGTCCCTTACAGATCGGCCTCGTCCATATTTCTGACAAATAGACTGTACCACTTCACACCGCTGACATGACCCTTCATGCTCATCTTCTCGTCCACAGTATGGATGCCATCCATAAAGTTCTGCTCCGGGTCGAAGCCGGGGTTGTACCTGAAAATGTGCTTGGTGAGGTCCCAATAAAACTTGGTGTCCGTGTTTCCGGTCATCAAACCAGCCGAGACAACGACATCCTCGCCGTAGAGAGCGCGTGTAGTGCCCGAGAGAATCGAGTATGGTGTGAGCTGGTCATCCAGGATATCTGTCGGTGAGACTGGAGCAGGCTCTAGGAGGTGGCCGGTCTTGAGTGTGATGGAGCGCGGGATCTCGGGCTCGTCGGTGAAGGCGTGGAGGGTCAGGTTGTACTTCTTGGCAACCTGGGCTGCAATTCCCGTGAGGCGTTCCTTGACGTCTGAAGTGCGCTCGCCGACGTTGACACGGTGATTGACGGTCAGGACGGTGCGTTCGGGCAGGGCGTTGACCTTGGCACCTCCACTAATGAGATCTGGTGCGACAGAGGTGGTAAACAGGTACTTGATCTCATCACCGCCCTTGGCTGCCTCCAGAGCTAGCTTGTCCTTTTTGTGGCACGATGCAAGGCCCTTCTTGTTGCGCTTTTGCAGCTCCTTCTTCACCTTGGGCGGGAACTCCGGTGCGTATGTCGCACCACACTGAAGGAGACCCAAGTATGGGTTCTCCTCGTAGAGTCGAGGCTCGTACTGGCCAGCCTCGATCAGGGTAATCAGTTCGCCGGTGACACCAATGCCGTTGTGCTTGGGCGGGACGGACGAGTGGCCGCCAGGCATCCGCACAATGACATCAACATCGATGTAGCCCTTCTCAGCAACACCAGGAAGGGCAAAGACGGTGCCCCACTGCTTGGTCAGGCCTGAGCCCTCGTCGACAATGATAGACGCGCCGTCCTTGCCATAGCGGTCGATGAGAAACTCGGCCAAGTGACCAGCGCCCTGGTAACCCGAGATCTCTTCATCGAAGCCGAAAGACAGGACCACTGTCCTCTTGGGCTCGAAGCCCGCGTCAATAAGCTGCTCGATGGCCTCCAGGATGCCGATCAAGCTACTCTTATCGTCCGCAGCGCCACGGCCCCAGACATATTTGCCGTCAAACTCGCCGCTGAACGGCGGGTGAGTCCACTGCTCGACGGTGGACTTTTCAACTGGCACGACATCTTGATGGGCCATAAGCACAGTCGGCTTCAGCTCCGCGTTGGAGCCCTTCCAGGTGAACAGCAGGCCGTGGGAGTTGACCTTCTCAAGCTCCAGGGTGCTGTGGACGAGTGGGAAGGTCTTCTCCAGGTACGCCGCAAAGGGCGGGAAGACTTCCCACCGCTCGTCCTCGCCAACTGGTCCCATGTTATCGTAGGACTGGGTGGCTATCTGGATGGCATTGGACATGCGGATAGTGCTGGCGTTGAAGAACTGAGAAGACGCGAGGTACTCGTCCATCGAGGCCAGAGAGGAGGAGCCCTTGCCGGGGAAGAGAGGGTCAACCTGGCGGCATTGCTGTGCATGGCCAGGGCGCGAGACGGGGCCCTGATCCCCAAAGATGGCAGAAGGCAGGCTGTTGGTCCAGCATAACCCGAGGAGAGCCAACGCGGGGACGGCGATCCATCTAGAGCGCGTGCACCTCGTCGCAGGCGGCGGTGTTGGGTAATCGTCCTGCATCAATGGCAGCTTTTCGCTAGTTGGAGCCATTTTCAGAAAAGAGCTGCTTGGACCTCCAAGTCCAATCCCTGTGTGCTTGGTGTGAGAAAAGTAGACACTTGAAAGAAAGAGATAGAGAAGAAACGACGTCAACCGTCCGGCAGCTGTGGTGTTGGAGTCGGCAGAAAAGGTGGGGACGGGCAGCGGCAAAAGATCGGCAAGGATCATGATACCATCGCAACCTTGAAGAGGACAGGGGTCTCAATCAACGGACTACAGCCTCATCAGTGCACACTTTCTGAGCGACAAACTGCGGTGTGATAATTTCATGTAAGGACCTCAACTTTTCGGGTGACTCCCGTGCCCAGGTCTATCATTTCTGCCCCTTGCTACGTATTCTCTCGCAACCAAACCTTCCTTGGTCATCTCTGCTCCTCAGAAGCCCGCCCGCGCCCTCACCCTCGCCTGCGCCTGTGCCCTTGCTTTCGCCTTCATCTGTGCCTTTTCCATTGCCTTCGCAGCCCGTATTCGCTCGAAGTGCAGCATTCCCCTAGCCCTGATCCTCGCTCTGTGCTTCTCAAGATTCTCCTTGACTTTCTTGAGGTCCTCCTCAGAAGGCAGCTTGAATATCTCGTAAGTGCTAGGCGAGGCGGTCTTCTGGCGTTTGGCACCATGAGGAGCGGCAGAATTGTGGTCGTCCGCCCTTCGCTTGGCCTTGTAGTTGGAGGCACGCTGTGGATTCTGGTAGGCTGCTGGTATTCGCTGAGACTTGGCGTAACGCTGGTCATAGAGTGCGCGCTTCGCGGGATCTTGGAGGACCTCATAGGCGGCCTGGATCTGTACGAGCGCGACATTAGTGATATTCTCAATTGTGCTGTTTGAGAATCTGTAGAGGACCGCATAGACTGACTCACCTTCAAAAATTCATCTGTGTCTGCTGCCGCCGCTCCAAACTTCTTGTCTGGGTGGTGCAACAGCGCCAGCTTCTTGTAAGCAACCTTGATTTCGCGCTGGGTCGCCGCCTGGGACAAGCCCAGGTCGGCGTAGTAGTCGCAAGTCTGGGGCTTGGACATTTCGCTGAACCGCGATCGAGGTACGGTCGACAAGCGTACGATCTTTGGTAGTAGACGTCGAGGGCTGCGGGCACTTGTTTATGGGCAAATCAGGGCTTGAAGAGGAGATTGGTGGGTCGTAACCAGACGACAGAGGTAAGGTAATCTTGACAAGGGTGATAACAGTGAGATGGATCGTACCCAGACGACGGTGAGGTGGATCGATCGAAACAAAACAATGGAGAGGTAGTTGTTGTGGTCATCGACCAAGAGGTTGACGGTGCAATGGAAGGTTGTGTACCCTGAGGCTACGAATTGGCAGAGTGCGTGGGTTTGAAGTTTTACGAAAGTTGGTCTGGCTTTTTGCACAAAGATCTACTGCCAATTAAGACTTTCAATTTCCGCTTTTTTGTGCACAGTTTGAGAGAAAGGAACACAGAAGAAACTTCAGATGAAAACAGGAGACATTGGACACAGTGTGCTGCCCGTTTTCTTTTTCCGCCCAACTTTTCTGGCAGTGCAGCTGGAATTTTCTCAGCAGTTTCATATGGTCAGACTGATTCGACTTGATGATGATATGCTAGCAGTACTCTGGAGCAAAACCGCCATGCCTCAAGATGTCACTGTCCTCGAGTGCCATGGCAGTAAGGCTGACTCCTGAAGCTCGCATGCTTCAGTCTACTTGCCCTTCTCCATTATCCACACAGGCTATCTGAAATTTAATTTTATTTGTTCCATAAGCTTCCAGCCACGTGTATTTCCTCTGTGGACACCCGGGGGATCTACGCTGCTGTTCATAAGAAGACAAGACCCCATCTCTTCAGCTCAGGCAGGACCTCCCTTACGAAGACCCATGATCCAGTGGCCTCCGTACAAAGACTACTTCTTCAGATCGCAAGAGATCTAACACAGTGCTTTAGGAATGCATTGATCGTGACATGAAGTTGACTAGGATGGTGATACCAATCCGACTGCGTGTCCACGAATAGGGGCAAAGTGAAAGCCAAACATTTTCCAACACTCAGCCAGGTCTGGGCCTCCATGATCCTTCGAGCGTTACCCTTCCGGAGAAAAAAAGGTTGATCGCAACCTACAGTCTTCCGGTAGGTTGCTTTTCTACAAATAGTACAAATCTCGTCTCCTACTTCAAAAGAGATTGAAGTGCTTCTGTTTCTTTGCTCGTTGATCCTCCTGTTCCTCGTCGGGGCTTAATGGTCGCGACCGCTTCTGTCCGGCGAACAGCACCCTAGCCTCCACATTGATGCCACACTGAGTACTCTCCTCGAAGTATGCGTCTTTGTGCGCAGCGTCTCGCGATATACGCTGGCTCTCCCAATGATCTTTGATGGACAAATCATGTTAGCCAGTGCACACTTTTCGTAGTACTGTGGGATCGAGCCAAGACTTACACTGGAAGCTGGAACCGGCCCACTGTCCTCCAGTCGAGCTCATGAAATCAAAGTGTTGCTGCTGATGAGTCGGTCCTTGAGCGAATGAAGTATGAGGACCCTCTTCGGTTGCTCCCCATTTCTTCTCGCGCCAGATATTGAGCAGTGATGCAGCACGGCTTCTCGTTTCGGGAGGGAAGTTCGAATCTCCCCAAGTACCACGCAGGACGAGCCCTACCAGCTGATCGAGTTTGACGGCGTCTTTGATTTCTGGACAGATCCAGCCTCCGGCGACTGACTTTGTCCAGAGGTAGTCCAGCAAGCCATTGGTTCTCTGGACCAGCCGCTGAATGCCATCGTCTTCCCACTGCTTAATGTATTCTCTTAACGACAGGTTCTTCGGTCGCTTTTCCATGCCAGCTAGAATGAGGATAGACTCTTTGGCTTCCTTGGTGATGAAGTTGATGTCCTCTGCTAGTGCCTGCTCTGCCGCTGCTCGTTCACAACCAGCCTTCTCTTCTCTCAACTGCGCTGCCTCATCGACCTCTCGTTCGGCGAAGGCCTCATTCTCGCGGCGTCTCGCATCCTTGTTGCTTCTCTTGATGTAATCGAACATCTGATCAACGTGTCGGTTCCACTCATCTTTGAAATCCTGATCTGCTAGCTGCTGGGCTTGTTGCGCTGCATGCTCACGCCGCAGTGCCTCTGTTCGCTGCTGCATCGTCTCTTGCTTCTGCTCCCACCCTGATCGCAACTCGTCAGATGATGGCTGGTATCCTGGTTTGTATTTCTGTTTGGATTTCGTCTTTGCATGATGCTGGAAGCGGCTGTAGCTGTGATCGTACTTGGCACGCTTCTCAGGGTCACCCAAGATCTCGTAAGCGCTCTGAACCTGAGCGATGACGGCGCATTAGGAAACCGTCTAGTAAAACTATCTTAGTGGTGTGATACGTCCCAGGCACGAACATGAAATAGCCTGAGAAGAGTAAACAGAAGGTGTAGACATGCCTTAACAAACTCGACTGTACCACCCGAGTCGCCTCCCAAATTCTTGTCGGGATGGGACTTGAGGGCAAGCTTCTTGTAGGCGTCTCGAATCTCGCGCTGGCTGACCTGCTGGCCAGCGAGGCCCAGGTCGGCGTGCCTTTGCGTCCGACATGTTGGCAGGTTCTGAACCTTGGGTCTTTGGTGAGGAATGAGACTGATGAGGAGTCAATGCGAATGGAAAACGATGGTTAGATAGTGGTTGGTGGGTGTGACTTGCGGGAAGGGTGGAAATTGGATGGTGCTTGAAGCTGTTGATGTTATCGGTTGATGATGATTGCAGAATGATTTTGAGACGATGATCAGGCGATTCAGATAAACGCGCTCACTAGGCTAGTACAATCATCAGGGAGTGAATGGGAGAGATTCACTGCTGGTACCAGAGTTGCAAACGTCATCCGTGTGGGTGCTGCCGCAGCAGACGATTATATTCGTTGAAAGCTATAAAAAACGGAATGAATGTACGTTGTGAGCTCGACATAGGGCTTGACTGGCTCTTATAGTCAGTCTACACTCTCAGCCTCTCCTCATTTACATAAGATGTACAAGCTCAAGCTTTGTTGACAATGGGGCAGCACCCCGGTGTTTGTGGCTTCTGCTCAGAGATGACCGCAGACAAGAATATTCTGCTCTGCTTCTGAACTTTTTGGACAGACTAACCAGAAAGATGCACGGGAAACAGCCCAAATCATGCAACCAAGCTCTGGGCGAGCTGTGTTTCTGGGCCAGGACCGTAGCATCCAGGACAGAGGAGCCGGATTCAAATGTACCATCTGATCGATCATTAATCCTGGGGCCATCTTCTGCCTCGACCAACTCCCACAGTGACAAGGTCGTCCGTAACTCCTCTGATCTCGTTACTGCACCAAAAGTTCCTGCCGTATCCCCCAGCGAGGACCAATCCATAACCCCCCTCAGGAACTCGCTGACCTCCCACATCAACTGTTCCAACCTCGCCATCATCACTGCGCCCAACCAAGAAGATCGGATCGATGTTACCAACTGACAAATAGACCAGAGAGCTGTTGTCTTTCATCCAAAAGAGAAAGCCCCCACACGTTGCGCAGAACCCGCGCACAAACCCAGGAGTCGCCGAAAACGACCGCAACGCAGACGGTGGATGATCAAAGGGCGACCACACCTCATTCTTGCTGGCGGTAGACGTTCTGTCGTTCACATCGTGCCACCTGAAGCCAGAGGCCGTGATCCCCACCCAGGAAAAGAAGAGCGAGCCCGAGTTGCGACGGCACTGCGTGCATTGACAAGTGCCAGTCTAGCAAAAGTGTCAGCGTGCGGACTGACGGAGGTTTTGCACTGTTTGCACGTATGTGCAGGCAAAGGGTCTTAGGCTTCTTACATTTTCGGCAAAATCGTAGCCATCGGGGAAGTCCAGACGGTATCGGACGGCTCCACAGAGACAGCCGCCGGTCACGAACTTAGGTTTTGGGAGCTCCTCGATTGACGACATTCTTGGGATTGGATGATATATCTAAGGTGTGGTTGCGAATGTTGGTGATGTGAGATAAAGGCTTTAAGATTTTATTTGGTCCAAACCCATACTTGCACGCTAAGTTAAAGATACGAACATTGAAGGGCGGTTCCCTTGACTCCAAATTTGCCGCCGCCCTACATGAGGAGGTATCGATGTCATTTGCGCCCTGCCGAGCCGCCTTTTTCTGATCGGCCATGTTGGGGCAACGTCAAGTCTGGGTGTGCTCCCAGGATTTGGGAAGAAAGCTTTCGTGATGGCGTCGATGCTTTGTAAACCATGTTTCCTAAATTGTCTCGCTACTACACTTCTTCCTCTCTTCGTCCACTGCTGGTCTTGCAGCCACCGAAAGGCGTGCGGAACATGAGGGCAGATCCACATCCAATGAGTCGGCCAGGCTCAAGGGCTTAAAAAGGACGCGCCCTCTTGATTCTAAGTTATCGTGTTGAAGCCATACAAGGTTAAAATTAACAACCTGATCAGCCACGGGTATGCCACAATACGCGCATCAAAACAGTTGAGGGCATAGACGTCAGTGAAATCGCCGCAGATCCAGCAATGTGCCAGTGAGCCCTTTTCCGCAGGACGATCCAAGGAATTGTATCTTCTACAAAAGCACAATGGGGGTTCCTATCCATGGAAGAAAGGAGATAAAATCAGATTCCTCTCCTCTCGAACAAGGGTTTGATTCGCAACCCCCTTATCACGTCACAATCCGATAGGCCGGCAAGCAACGTCAGATGCCGCATTGGTCAAGGTTAAGAATGTTACTGACTGATATGTCTCTTAGGCTGTCCTTCCTAGCTTTTCATCAACTACAATGCTCTTCACAACCCCCCCCCCCCCGCAAAAAAAAACATTCTGTCTATCTCTCTTTTACCCCCCTTGTTTTTCTCCTTTTTATTTCTATTTCCGCAACGCTGATTCTTGAACAGGCCCGCGAACCTTCGTACATATGTCTGCAACGTTGGTGTTTCAAGATACTACCAACCCCGGTGTTCACTACCTCTGCTGAACCCCCCCCCCCTCCTTCTTCGGGAAACCCCATCCAACTAGTCTCACCTAGGTATTCAGCACGTGACTCTGTATCAATACGACAGGATCGCTAGCATAGGGCAAGAGCACTCTTTGGCAGTCGACGGGAGTCTCTATGGGCGCAAATAACACTTCTTGCCTTGTGTATATGACAACGTTGGGCTACCAAGAAGGCACTTATTCGGACCTAGCTTTGGCCCCGATTCTTCAATGTGAGTATGCAGTTCACTGCATGAGTGTTTTAAGTAGTCGGTGTCGGTACTGCAGGCGAGTTCCTTTGCGCCAGGTTATCGATTGCACCAGTGTCGGCTGAATTGTCTCCGAAAGAACGATCTTGATGCCATGAAAGCCGACGCTGTACTCGGTTTTAGCAGCGTGACAGAGCGGGGTCTTGGTCCTTTCTCTCCAATGGTATGGCCGTGTCGGAGCGTTCCGCTGAGTGTGCCTCGCAATCATTCCTTGGAGCACAGCTTTCATCTAATGGTGAGCCGACGTTGGACGGATGCGTTAAGGGCGTGTATGTAGGAAGAAAGCCCTATTTAGAAAGTGTACCTGGTACCATACCTCTTCTTTGGGCAGTCCTGCAGCTGAAGCAGAACATCTCCGGCGATCATCGATTGGATGATGGTCTCCACATCGTCACCTTCGCGGATGCTCTGTAGTATTGCTCCGGCCTCGTGAGCTTTTCGAGATCGCAAAGCCTGAAATAATGTGTTCAAAGCAGCGTTTGAGTTACGAAGCTGTCTCACTTCCGCTTGAAGTTCGGAATGTTTTCTCTTCAAGCTGGTGGCCATTGTTTCCGAAGGTGCTGTGAGATAAACGCATGATTTCTGGCTCGAAAGGCACCGAAGACAGGCAGGCCGGAATCCATCGCACTACAATCATGTTAGAACATGATCGCCTGCGCACCCAAAAGATTTCAATGTGGATTAGGACGATTTGTGAGATGAACTTTCCTTAGATTTGCGCCTCTTGCAAGCCTCACAGGCTGCAACAGTATTTTTCTTGCGCGACTGGGTGGTCCCCGAGGGAGGCGAACTTTGTAGCGGTACGTTCAGTGAGCCTCGTGGGAGTAATGGTCGGGGGACTTGTCGTTGAGTAGCCATTATCAATATGTGCAGTCGACGTCGATATAACCGAAGCTATCGTCAGGGCCAAGGGATGACGCAGTGGTGATGCGAGTCAACATAGGAGGGATTTAAATGCTTCATGTAGCTGCGCCATGGTGATTTTCAGCATGACTTCCCCTCGGTGATCATTGCGGTATATTCCGGCGCGAAGCGGGTTATGACGGTGATGACATGAAGAGTGATGTGTTTGAGAGGAACAAATCCACGCGCCATCGACAAAAATGGACATTTGCAGCAGAGGAGAGACATCGTGTCACGAGGAGACACGTCATTTACTAGAGACTGACCTGACAAACACCCTATGCCAAGGTAAATCTACAGTCTTTACGGGGCAGAGAAGTTCCTGTGTGCCCAAAATTATTTGTAGTTAGGCGCGAGTGGCTAATTCCGCCGGAGCATCCTCCGTTGTCATTAATTGGTCAGGATTGACTCTGCGAAAAGGCAGGGGTTCATATTTTGCTACGTCGGTCGTATTGACAAGACTCTCCGGCTTGGTGTGCGGTTCGAGCCACCCTCAACGGTGACCAGACACTGTGATCTTGCCCTTAAATCCTCCCAACAGCTAGCCTGTTATCAAGTTCTTCTGTAGCCAAGCACATTGTCAGGTCTTCAATGGCAGGAATATCTCATATGAAGCCAGCGATGTCGTGTAATCTAGCGAGGGATATGGAATCATTGTCAGTTGAGCATCCTCTAGCCACTGGCTAAGTCCCGTCTCGAGAAGTGTGATCGCACCGTATGGTGCTGTATTTCTCGAAAGTTTGTTGGAAATAGGTACATGTATGTCTCATAAAATTTGCATCTATTCCATGTTATGGAATCACTGCCCTCTGACAATGCTAGCGAAAATTCGGAGCAACGATGCATTACCTTCAGCAAGCAGATGTCCCGTGGTGTGTCTGAATTTTTAATAGGGACTACCCTGTCTTGTGATATAATTGTAAAGTTCCGAAAAATGATCTCAGCTCACAGGGATTGGGGAGATTTTCCTGCAAGTGTTCAACCCCTGCTGTGATGCTTTTCAGAAAGAAATCTCAAATGTAACTACACCGGTGCAAACCAAGGACTGTAGTCTCCGTTCTGTCTCTCAAGATCTTTCTGTTTACCCTTAAAATAACCAATCTCCGTTTCGTCGTCCCATCCACACTCATAAATCAGAACAACGCCGTAATCTTGCTGGCTTGCATGGCTGCGGGTGCAATAGATCATGGAAGTACATAAGGCCGTTTGTGATACCATCCTCAGCACGTCCAAGAGGTTACCTCGAGGGCGGTGTGGGCCAAAGTTTAGAAATAATCAAAGAAAATATTACGCGGTTAGTTGCAGAATCTGTGCCGCTTGCACATATTCTGGCGTTGGGTTGACCTGGCAGCAGCGTGCGTAATTCCCGACCTCATTGGGCAAGGATGAGATGTAATACTTCGCGTGCAAGGTATTAGTCCGAATACAAACTTCTTTTTAACATGAAGCGCCTGAGTTGGGATCGAGCGCAGGCCTGGAGCCGCTGCCGCTGCTACAAGGTGTGCCCTGCAGGAGCAATCACGAGTGCCCTCTGTCCCCCTTTGTAAACCCAGACAATGACGCATCTATCACCGCATCATGACCACATGGAAGATGCACGCTTCTGACGCCACTGACCTCATGGCGATATCAATACGGTATCTTTGTAGAGCATTTACCGAGATAAATGTGTCTTAAAGTTATATGAGAAATGTTGTGGGACTGCCATTTTGCTCAGAGACCAATTCTAGTGGTAAGCTTTGAAATAAAATAACTGAATCGTCGGGGACTCATTAAACCAATTCTCAACAAACTATCAAATCGAGATGCTCTTTCCATTCTATAACTATCCGAAATATTGGCATGGACCAGAACAGTCATGAATATCGGGAACATGGACTTGAAACAAACGGATGAGATTTCTTTATCACGCCAGGCCTGAACACTTAAGGCACACGTGTGCCGTGCATTATCATCGACCATAGCAACGCCCGGAAAGATGTCAGCGTTTGGAGATGATTGCATTGATGTTTATCTTCGTAATCCAGGATGACCATTTCCAACAGCAGGAAGGGGTATTTTCTAACTCAAGCACCATCAATTTTGGGATAAGCTGGGACCGAATGGGCACACCACTCGAATTCAACTCCAGCTCCGGCGCCAAAACATCAAGGTGCGCCAAAAAAAAAAATCATTCTCAGGTACGAAGACGGTAGATATGAGGCGTAAGAGAGTGTCGGAAGGACTAGAAGGCCGAAATCGAAAGGGCATCTCAGGAAGGGACCAAAAATTTGATCCTTCTGCCAAGCTCTCGTTTCTAATACAAGGCGCGGAAAATGGAGTAAGAGGAGGACCATGTGACGGCTGAGTGTCCTTGTATGTTGCTGATTTCTGCGAGGGAATCTAACATCTTGCAAGAGTCCCCTTCTCAGTAACGGAGCATCACAAGAAAGCTACCATCAGAATGGCTTGTCAGACCAACAATAAATAAAGAAGCTTAAAAAGATGTTATCACGTGTCGTATCCCGGGACCCCAATGTCTTCCAAAGTAGGACTCACAAATGCAAGCTTGAAACCCAGGTGACGCACAATACCACGCCTACATGAACACGCTATTTAAATGGGTATCAAATGTGTTTGTGGATATATCATGGATAGTGCTATTGTAATTGAGAACAGAGAATACTGCAAATTCAGACGTAACATTGCGGGGGAGGGTAACCTTGGGGGATTCCTAGTCTCAAAGAACGTCTCTGGTCTGAGAAGTTCCACGTGTCTCAGAGAGTACAAGATTCAACTAAGCACGTCCCTTATCGTTCTAGGAGCATGAGACATCAAAATCGGGTGAAATGTTCTAACTGCCTTTCTCTCACACTCTCATATAATCACTGTGACACCGATATGTCTAGAGATACCTAGGTTTGTCGAGACTTCTACCTAGGTACTATTATGCCATAGTCTTCTCCCGGCAGCTCCGGCAGTACGCAGAGACTGCATTTAATCTTTTGATAGCAGATCATCATGCCTCCACCTCAAGCATCTTCAACAGACAATGCAATGGATGCCGATGCCGTGCGTGTACCCCTCATGCTGGTGGTAGCACTCGTAAGCACTTGAGATGCAGAGTTGATGCGGTGATCTGTGTTTCCGACAAATCGTGTTTAAAAGGGGAATCTACTCAACGGTCAGACGGGGAGGGTTGCACTCTCACTTTCTTGTCCATCGTACCGAGAGGAGTGATTGGCCACTGACGTGCGAAAAGACGGCTCGCCCTGCAGCTTACGCCAAAGGTCCTTGTCGTCGAGTGATATCCCACCAGTGCGATAGGTTGCAAAGACTGTTTCAATATATCGTCGTATTTGCGTACACGTACACTCAAAATCCAGTCGGCCGCTGGTGTCCGAGGGCTCAGCTGTCAGATACTAGTGACAGCAAGTTGCTGTGATGCAATAGTTCATGTCAGACACCAAGATGCAGAGCATGCGATGGGCAGAATATGCAAGGAGGCCCCTCATGTGATATCTTGGCTGCAGTTGGATGAAAAGGCAACGATTTGCAGTCTGATACTACCTCGTCCTTCCCATGTCTCCAAATATCTATCGTCCCCAGGTCCTGCACCTTGTAATCATTGTCCTCTCCATTTACACACTCGTGAAACCTTTGAGAACCATTTCAGACCATGGCGTATGCAGCTCTTATCCCGCTCGCCATCATCATCACAATTATCTTTCGTCTGCGCAATGTCGGTCGAAGGCCAAAGAACTACCCTCCTGGGCCGCCAACGCTGCCTATCATCGGGAATCTGCACCAGATACCGCCGAAGAACCAGCATGTTCAATTCAAAAAGTGGTCAGAGGAGTACGGGTATGTTGAAAGCAGTCTACTTGGTGCATAGTGATGGCAGACAAACACTGACGCCATTCGATAGACCCATCTATTCCCTCATTCTGGGAACCAAAGTTATGATCGTGCTCTCATCCGATCGAGCCGTCAAAGATTTGTTGGACAAGCGTAGCGGTATCTATTCATCTCGCAGTGAATTTTACCTCGGCAACTTGGTCAGTGGATATCTGCGTGTTGTCCTCATGGTAAGTTTCGGGTCATCCGGATGTCAATGTCTACAACAATGTTGCAAACTTTAACGCTATAGAATATCAGGAGTACGGTGAGACATGGCGCATGATACGTAAGATTGTACATTCTGTCCTCCACATCAATGCCTCGAAAGGCTATGTTCCATATCAAGACCTCGAAAGCAAGCAGATGTTGTGCGGCATTTTGGATCAGCCACAATTCTTCATTGACCACATTCGCCGGTTTACCAACTCTCTTACCACACAGATGGTGTTTGGATTCAGAACCATCGACATTCATGATGAGGATCTGAAGAAGCTGTACCACTGCGTCGAAAAATGGAGTGATGTTATGGCCTCGTCTGCTGCAGCGACCCTAGAGGTCTTTCCTATACTGAGGAAGTTGCCCGACTTCATGCTTCCCATGCGGCGCTATGCTCAGGAACTACATAAGGAAGAAAAAATATTGTATGTGGGACATTGGATGGATACAAAGCGAAAGATACTTCAGAACACAGCCAAGGCAAGTCTCGCCAAATCCCGGTGTCCATGCAATATCAAAAAACTAATCCAGAACAGCCTTGCGCCTGTGTTGAGATTGTTGAGGGTCAAAAGGCCTATGGATTCTCCGATGATCTAGCGGGATACATTTGTGGCTCCCTTCATGAGGCTGGGTCTGATACTGTATGTGCCTTTCTTTTTCTCCAAGGTGAATACTTGCGCGATCGCTCGAATGGATTTCCGGAATGGTGATTTCATGTTTAACAAGTGGCTAACACATCGCAGACAGCTGCCACACTCACTGGCTTCGTGCAAGCCATGGTCTTATACCCAGAAGTTCAGAAGAAAGCCCAATCTGAACTCGATAGGGTCTGTGGTAACAACAGACTCCCAACGATAGACGATTGGGACGCTATGCCTTATATCCGCGCATGTATAAAGGAAAATTTACGCTGGATGCCCACAACTATCACCGGATTCCCGCATTGCGTCATCCAAGATGATGAATATATGGGTTACAAAATCCCCAAAGGAGCAGGAGTAATGTGTAAGCTTCTAAAAAGGATTTCTTTCGGTTATGAGCAACAAAACTGCTGCTATTTCACAAGCATGATCGGAACAATACCTCTCTGCCGTCACCAAGCACCTGATTTCAAGTTCATCCAGCTAGAAGAATTCGCTGACAAACATCCAGTAAATGTATGGGCCCTCAATATGGACGCAAATAGATATAGCAATCCCCGTGCCTTCGATCCGTCACGGTATGAAGGAGATGACCAGACATCCGCCGAGGCGGCGATGAATGGCGACGCCAGCAAGAGGGACCACTTCAACTTCGGGGCTGGTCGCCGCGTTTGCCAAGGGATGCACATCGCTGATCGGTCGCTGTTCTTGAGTATCTCCAGGTTACTGTGGGCGTTCAACATCGAAAAGGGCGTTGATTCTCGAGGGGTTGAGATCGTACCTGACCCCGAAGACCTCACTGGAGGGATCTTGATGCAGCCGAGTCCCTTCCCAGCGAAGATAACTCCAAGAAGTAAAACACATGAAGGGGCCATTCGAAGGGCGTGGGATGATTGCCAACCGCTTCTTGATGACACAAAACAGTGGAAGGAGGTCCCCGATGGAATGGTTTTCAAAACTCATATGCCGTCAGAGCTGAAAGATTGAACGGATTCACTCACGCCTCCTGCGATGTGTTACTCATCCTGGAGACGATATATGAGCCTTGATTTTACTTTTCATGAAATATGTTTTCTTTCTTTTCACACCTAGGCAAATTCTTCTTTTACAAGGCCGCCTTGGTCACACCTTCGCTTGGATAGCAGTTGTTGGGATGAGCGGACGCAATGGATATACTTTCGTAGATAATTAAGACTGAATACAATCAGAATGGGTACTTCCAAACGTTCTTGCCAGCACTCTACTGACCTAAACAAAGTGGTTCTGCCTACGCAGACGGCATACCAGACAGAGATGCTTCTGAACACATGAATCGTTTGTAGGCCGACTCTTTTTGACATCAGTTTTTCAAATGCGTGTTGTCTTCTTCCAAAATGTTCAGATTCTTTATACCATCCTGTTGAAGTACAAATTGTGGCCGAGAAGCTCTGTTTCCGAACGTTCTACAAGGATGTGAACTATACAGCTAGCGATCCAATTGAACCAATTATTGAAGAAAAGAAAATTGATGAATGAGGGCTGGTTGATCTGCCCTGGATTGTCAGGTCCCCAGGCATCTGCTTGAGATCTTTAGATGCTGAACGTCAAGTTGACCAACCTCGAATGCTCTACTTAATTCAGGAAAGCTTTCGTTCCAGCCGTCCCACTTTTCCGCCATCCTCATTATCAAAGGAAGTTGTTGGAATACTATTGCAGGGCGCAGGGTGGCCAGCGATGCTCAGGTAATTTAGGGAGGTCTGATCAGGAGACCATAAAAAGGGTTTTCATTCGCGTTACCTTCAATCCAGTCTCTACCGTACACAATCTATCTACCATATTCTTTTGAATTCTCGTTTCTATTGCCAATGGTAGTGATTTCCGGGCTCTGATTAGAGCCTAGATACCTTTATTCCCACCCCTCCCTCTCTTTCCGTTGTCTTGTCGCCCTCGCGTCAGAGCGCTCCCTTGACCTCCGGACGGCTGGCAGAGCCAGACCTCCACATCACCTCCCCTATTTCTGCGGTGCCCATTTTCATGTAGAATATAGAATTGGCAATTGTGTCCTCACACTCTGATCACTGGTCCATCTCGGCGCGAAGGAACATTCTGATTAGACTAAACTGACTAGGCTACCTATGTATGTGCTAGAACTTGGGATTCCTGTAACATATGTATGTGAATATCAAAGAGAAGGAAAATGGACATTATATAATAATTGTGTACGGAAACAAAGTGCTGCCATAACCCTCTATACTTCAGCAACAACAAAATTATCAAAATCACATTGGTTAGACCTAAAGTACGAATTGAAAATAATAATCCTGATCAAGTCATTACCCGCCCCGATTCAAATCCACCATCTTCAACTAGGTTGTATCTCCTCAAAAGTATTAGCCTACACACTTATGGTGCTCGTGAATGCAGTTGAAATGGTGTTAGTAAAAGTAAACGTCGGGAAGGCTGTTGAGCTGGAGCTGGTGGAACTCGTGGTGCTGAGAGAACTCGTGGATTCCGTGCTGAGAGAGCTCGTGGATTCCGTGCTGAGAGAGCTCGTGGATTCCGTGCTGACAGAGCTCGTGGATTCAGTGCTCAGAGAACTGGTGGATTCCGTGCTGAGAGAGCTCGTGGGCGATGTGCTGATAGAACTCGTGCTGACTGACGAACTGGACGTAGACGATTCCGGTTCCGAAGTCGTGCTCGTTTCAGACGAAGTGGTTGATGCTGTCTCAGACGAGGAAGATGTATCGACCGAAGTGGAGGACTCGGAAGAAGTTTCTGAGGAAGACTCTGTGGTCGTCGGCGTTGCTGACGTGGTCGACGCCTCGGAAGTTGATGTAGAGGATTCCGAAGAAGACTCTGAAGTGGAAGAACTCTCGGGGACGGAGGAGCTACCAGATGTGGTGGACAGGGTAGACGATGGAGTCGTGGATGACTCGGTGCTTCCGGATGACGAAGAGGGCTCGACCGAAGATGTTGTGGACAACTGAGTGGAGCTTGTGGCATTTGAGCTTGTAGTGGTACTTGCTACTGAGCTTGTAGTGGTGCCGTTGCCCACGCATTGCGTGGCTGATAGAATATTAGCTGCTGATTCCAAGCCTGACAGAGTTCAACTTACGATCGAGAACAGAAATACGGATTGGCGAGCATCCTGCTGGCAACCCTACTGGCGACGCCACGAAAGTGGCGTACACCTGGCCCGTTGCAGCGACCTGGCAGAAACCAGCCTCGCCGCCGGAGAAGGCGGGGTTCAACCAACGGAGAATTGAGTTGTCATTTGAGAAGGTTGTCGCTATAATGTTGGCGCCAGCATTAGTCGAATCGCGGGAGCGAAACTCCGCGAAGCCCGTGCCCACATCTGCAAAAATTGAGAAGGTGAGACTGGCCGACTCCCGCAGTGTTCCAGAATCTAGTCTGTATACAGTGGCAGCTTTGCAATCCTGAGGATTCGGATCGCCAGTATCACTGATGAACCCCCCGGCATCTCTCTTCACTGGCGTCCGCTTCTCCAGCGCTCGACCCACGATCCCAGGAATGATAGCGAGTATGATATCAGCAGGGCCGGGCAGCGGCGACGGTCCAGGAGTTGTAATGGAAGTTGACGTCAAGCTCGACGACAGTGATGTCGTCGGAAGTGGCGTTATGAAAGTTGGGACCAAGGTCGGTACCGACACGATCGATGTGATAGTCGTCACAACACCCCCGGGCAATGGATACGGGAGCTGTGGGGTGTTTACGGCGGCCAAGTAACAGCTGAAGTACGTGAAGCAATAAGAAGCAGGCTCCGGGGCCAACTGTCGTATATCATGTTGGACAACTGAGAATTTTGTCAGTAGTGGGAAGAGGTTGAGGAAAAGGAGATATCTCATCGAACGTACGTCCCAGGTGATGTCCACTGACAAGAGCAGTGCCGGCAAGCGCCGAAAAAAAGGCGATCATCAGGTTTCCTGCCATCTTTGAAAATCAAATGAGTGTAATGGTTTTTACCCAAGAGGCTTTGAGATGCTCCCAATGAGCCAGCCATCCCTCTATCTTATAGTTGCCGTTGCCCCGGCTGGCCTCTCCAGGCTGGGTCCGCGTTTTGTCTTCCAAGACATAACATCGCATCAGCCAACGCGAGATTGTCGACGCGATCTATGACAAACTATGACGCGAAGCGGGTGGAGAGTTTGCGCGGAGGCGTGCATGTTCTTGACGCAGGACGTGTAGACGCCGTTCGGTATGCAGAGTTAGGATAGCTGAAGAATGAAGATAGGATTTCGCTGTCTCAACGGCCAACGGGCGCGCCGCTCCGGTTCCCGCAGCCACACACCGGTTGCCCGGGACGGACGTTGTAAACGAGATCGCGACGTGAAATGAACGTGGGTCTTCAAGGCGAGGCTGTGGAATGGGGAAGTCTTGAAGAGCCGAGACATATGAGCATCCACAAGCTTTTCTAAGACAAGACTCGCAAGCGTGGGATTCAGTAGGAGCGTCCGAAAGACATGAGAAGTGAACATTCTCCCGTATCTTATTCTTTCGTAGTCGCCGTCAAGGCAGGCACTGATGAGGAGAGCTTGGAACCGGCCTTTACCATCTTCGGAAGAAAGCCGTGAGTGAAGTGTGGTGTTTGCGATCACAGGGTTGGCAGTGATGCGACTGCGCTTCTGCCTTTGCTTCTGTGTTTCGGTGTCTAGTGGCAGTAAATCAGCGGTTGTCAATCGTAATCTTCTCCACGTTGCCCAGGTTATTCTTCAGGAATGTGTCGTATCCATTCTCGGCCGCCCAGCCCAAATTAGCCCAAGCTTGGGCCGTAGAAGACTCAGCCTCGCAGTAGTGAGTCTTCATTCATATCTTGCATACCTTCGCACATCACTGCTGTTATCACAGCCAAATCCATGCTCTCGGTATCCCTATCCTGGCCGGCCTCCTCGCGCGACCGTAACTTTGCTCTGTCTTGAGTACTGAAGGCTGTTCCAGCATCCCCATCTCCCATGTCAACATTGGCATAGTCTAGAAAAGGATGACGTAGCAGCGACACCTTCGCTCGCTCACCAATGGTCTTCTATGCATACCGTAGACAATGCAAAAGCCTTTCCGGGAGCGGCGGGGATTCTTGACAAGATACTGCATGGTCGTGGATTTGCGACGAAGCCTGAGCGCATACACTGGACGAGGAATCGAGTTACCTGTTGCCGACACTCGTCGCTTCTCTCAACAGCGGGCGGGGAACCAAGTCCAGAGATTATTCTGATTGCTTCTTCCACGTAAGAGTCCCTCCCTCACCATGGATGATTTGATCCGCGAGATTCCTACACTCCAAGTCCAGAGTGGATTTTGATTTCCCGACGCGAGTCCTTACCCAAGGCGTTTCCCGCGACCACACGAGATTGATCTGAGCCACAGACCTGTTGAGAGATCTAGTTGACCTCGGGCGCTCAAAATAGCTAACAAGTAGGGGCAAGGCATCGCAGAAAATCAAGACAAGAATGAGCGACAATGATGCAAGGACAACATCTCGCAACAGGTAGGGATCAAGGGAAGGAGGTGTGAAAATGCGCAACCCCCTATCTTTGAGAATTCGATCTAATCAGATGGCAGACATCTCGTCTCAACTGGCGGCTTCACACAGACATGAAGGTGTATGTTGAGTCCGTCGCATATTCTCCGGAGGCTTAATTGCATTAAAGCTCGGTCCCTGGGCGCCGCTGCCGTAGGTGCACAATCAGAACCTCCTGCACAAGGCCAATAACTCCGATTAGCCCTTGTGACGCTCGCAGATGCTACTGAGCACAACACGCAAAAACAGAAAAATCATGGCAGAGAGCAGGAAGAGCATGATAACTCTCCTGGACACAAACGGTCTCACCGAGGTGGAGAGGTGGAGCTGTACAAACCCGTCGACAGGCTTTCAAGCCGCGATCAACAACGCTGCAACAGCACACAAGTCAAATTTTGGATCCTGAGCGACAAACAAGACTTTGCGCGCCGCGACGGGGATCGAGCATACCATAGCAAGAATGCATCGTGGCCTCGATACACGGAGTTTCCCCTCGCCGCGTTGGCAACACGCGCTGCTGCATGGATGAGCTGCGCGGACGAGACGTCCGATCACCGCGGGTCACGCTGATCACTGATCCCTCGACCCTCGCTGCTGCGACGCCAACACCCGCCTCGGGGCTCTCATAGCACTGGGCGCACTGGGAAAGAAACGCCAATGGCTGAGCAGAGCCCCAGCCATATCCAACAGGGCGTCGTGTCCAGAGCACATGCCCTGGGAAACAACCCTGAGGGTTTGCGTTGAAGGGATCCACAGCTCACACTCTCGTGGGCTCATGACCAATACAGGGAGACACCTGCTCGCGCTTGCGGGCCGACTGGGCGAAACAGATCAATCAGCTGCCTGACTGTGACGCGAGGGCGTCGTCAGCTCGGTCGTGAAGGGAGGAAACAAGACAAAGACGACCAGGCTAAACTGATCTGACCGGCGCGGCCCGGCTCGCGGCTTGAGCTGATCAATCGGCAGGTGAGACGCCGTGTCCGAGCGGTGGTTTTTTCAACGAAAGCACACGCGGCTGCAGTTCCGGATGCGCAAGCCGCCTTTCGCGTCAGCGCACTGATATGACTCTGGTCCGGTCGAGCTTAGGCAAAACCAAGTCGCAAGGGCAGGCGGAGTGGGTGTGTTTCCCCTCCCTTCGTGTCGGACGACAGCCATCGCGGCAGTATGCACAACTGAGTCCCTGTGCAGGGCCGCAGGGCCACAGGCTGGGATGTTGGCGATACGAGAAAAAGCACCCCCGTATGTCTGCCTGCAATGAAACCGCGAAACTTTCGGAATCGTCACCATGCAACGCGTTCGGGCGAGCTGCATTGAAACACTGGAGACTTTTTATGTGTGAACACCCGCTGCCGTGGGACGTTGGCTGCTGCTTTCTTGCGCACACGTGTGGTGTGTGCTTCACAGTTCCACAATCACCATTGTGGCATGGAACTGTTCAGATGAGAAGGGCAGTCCGGAACATTGAAGTGATTACAGACGAGTCCATGTCTCGGTCTCATGTGCGTCGTTGCTCAGCTCAATTCCTCTCAACACAGCGAGACACGTGCTTGCCCGTGGTTCTGCTTTTGGCAGACACACCCTCCAGCTTTCCCAGCTTTCCCCGGCGGTCTGGAATCCAATCCTCGCCTAAGGTGGTACCGTGAATCGTTCAATGGGCCCAAGTAATTCAGCCGTCTGCCCCTTTTGCGGGGCGACGGCCCAGAAGTCCCACCAAACAAGGCTTTGGAATCATCGGGGTGTTCGATGGAGTCTTCTGTGTCTGCCGCTGGATGGATGGTCATCGTTGGTGACAGTCTCATAGGGCGGCTTACTCGATCTTGTTCTTCCGCCGCTTACTGCACTTTGCAGGGTGTGGCACTTGAAACAATTCGGGGATCTGCATATGGGTTGCGGCATCCAGTGGCCTGCTTGCCCCGCCCTGTGTGCTGTTTGTTGGTGGGTTGTTTCAAGTTGATCGAAGCCAACCCGGCCCCGAAGCCTGGAGAGGGGAGACCCAAATACGAACCATAGCGACCACATTTCGAGATTGCGAATCTCGAGCCAGTCTTGCATTGATGACTTTGTCAATTGACAGCAACGTAAGCCAAGGATCATTCTGCCCGGCTGCCCGGCTGCCCTGTAACGGGTCGAGCTCGGGCCAATTGCCCGACCGACGACGGCTGTTGAACGTCACACAGCCGGGGCTGGAAATGTGTGTCCGAAAGAATCAACCTGTGTTACCATCTGATCGCGAAACGGGAATGCCACGGGATCGGAGAGTGTGTTTGTCGAAGAAGACCAGACCAGGACGGGATCTTCCACACATGCTTGACCGATCACATTAAAAATAGATTGGCCGTGATATAAACGTAGATTAGGACACCGGTCGTCCCAAGTTTCATCTCGGAAGCAATTCAATGCCAGTCACTCTCTCACATTTAGAGCCCCAGTCGCCCAGCAGTGCCCATAGGGCTCGAAATAACGACAAGCTTTTCCAACCACAAGAACTCTTGTGACCAGAACGCTCTGAGACCTGACTATTCCGTCTGTAGCCATGCCATGCCAGGCTGGGCTGGCCTGTCATGAGATTTTCCTTTGGGGACCGCTCCAAATTGATTGGACCCTGTTTACCTGCTAATGCTCTCTAGAACCCCAGCAACTGTCAACGCGGGGTCAGACCTCGGTCAACTGATTGGACAGAACAAACGGAAGCTCCTGCTCCTTCCACTCGTCTGCCTGCGACGAGATGGAGAAACCACCAACCAAAATTCACTCTTCGACTATTCGAGTCCGGATGAAGTAGAATCGGTGATCAAATCAGCTCAAGAGGACACTGAGGGGTGAGTGAGGTCGCATCACGATAGTGTCCCGCGCCCAGCGCATATCCGTCGCTAGCGGTAGTGCCGTCGTAGTGCCCGAGGTGCTCCCGCTCAGTGAGGCGCAAGGGTGGCTTTATTTTTGCGTGGTGTGAGGAATATAGTGCCTGGTTGGTAAAAACTAGTCAAGCACAGGGGCGAAATTTACACGCAACACTCCCAGGGAGTCTCAGCTGAGGGGGACAGGGAAATCTCGCCCATCGTGACGATGTCGAGGGTATATCGGGAGAGCACATGTCGGTACAACGTGCAAAGTGCAGGCCGACCCTGGAAGCCACTCAATCTCAGATTAGCTGCCGTTACGGCTTATCGATGCCCCCCTCCTCAAAGCTGAAGTCCTTCCTGTTCGGGACATGAGGCGCTATCACCATTGGTGACGGTATTGTTGGACCCTGCAGCCAAGTGCCAAGTCGTACCGGGCGCTATGCTAGTGGCCAGCTGGTGAGTCCTTGCCGCCATCGTAGAACTGTTGCCCTTGCTGCCGTGCTGCCGCAATGGTGCAGACCGACTCGATTGAGTTGATGAACTGCCACGCCGGAGGACCGAACTGGGCTTGCACCGCGCGACTCGATTTAATCCGCAAAATCATCATGAGACGCAGTGCACCCCGCAGATGGACATCCGAGTCAAGGGCGCAATTTAATATGCGCTCGGGTGGAGGAGATCATCACATAGCACTTCTAGCCGTACAACACATGGGCTCTGCAACGATGCTTATTGTTCTGTTTGCCGCGGGCCGAGACACTGTGTTTGCGTTCGCGGAGATGAGGGTCGTCCGCGTCTGGAAATGATTACCAAGTCCGCCCCTAATGCGACGAAGTGGCATATGGCGCAACCTCAACAAACCAATTGAGGTAGCTTTGTCTGCCAGTCATTGGCATTGACGGAAAAAAAAAACCGCACCGTCGCTCAACCAAAGCGCAGATGCAACAATTAGAACCCGCTAGCTCTGGTGCATGCGCGATAACAGGGCGAGTCGCGAATGACTGTGTTTGACAGGCTTGACTCCTCAGGGAATTAGTGCCCATCAGCGCGACGTCGTGCAGCGGCTACAACTCGATAGCGACCTGAAGCAACGGCGCCGAACTTGCTTCGTGGCCTTTGCTTCTCTCTCAAAGATTGCGGGATGCTGCAATTAGCAGCATGCAGCAGTGTATTATGAGTCTGGTCCGTGCCAACGGTGGAAAGAAGCAAACGCAGCAAGTAGCCTTTGCTTCTAACTGTGTTCTATGTGGATGTTCTGTCCGAATAATTGTTGCCCGGATCTGCTATGTAGAACAAGCTTAATATGAACGTTGCCGACAAACCACCTTCCCGCCCCCGGCCGACTTGGGCGCAAGAAACATGGGTCGATCTCGGCCGGACATCCAGCACCGTGGAGGCTCTTCGCGATGTTCCGTGAGGTTATCGGTGTTTCCTATCGAGGCCTAGGGGATCTACCGATCTTCAGGAGAGCCATAGGTGATAGCGAGTCGCTGTAGCTTTTCAGCCGAAGCCGGCAGGTCGGCAGGGTGAGCAGGGTGGGCACGGCGGTCGTGGGTATTAGCTGTTGATCAATCTGAAGCGAACCATGGGCACGCCAGTGCCGCCGGTTGGGTAGGGCCTGGTAGGGTGGCAGGGTCTGCAACCGCTGTCAAGTTTCAAAAAGTGCCGAGGGCAGTTCAAGTTTTGCCATATTGGCAGACACAACCTGACAACTTGAGTGGTGTCTCGGAATCGCTGATCTTTTCCCAGTCGTCATTTTACCGGCGAATTGCTGCAACCCCCGAGGGCTCAGAAGAGTCTGGGAAAAGAGGCCTGCACGCCTGGCACGTCCGGGATAACAAGGCCCATTGTTTTCAGATGGGCCTCTGGGCTGCTGGGGGGCCTTTTTGGGCCTTCTCCTTTGGGGCCTCTGGAAACATGGCAGGGCCAAATCACGTCACTGTGGGACCTTTGTTAGAGATATCGAGTGATGCCGGTTACTGATTGTTATTGTAGGATCCTGCGGCCGTGATGACGATGTGAGCTGGGCCTGGTCTGACCCGGCTTGGCCTGGCTTGGTCTGCCGACCTTCGTCAAGCTGTTGGTTTCGCTGCATTTGTCCTTGGTGTTGGCTGTCGGGTCTGCGGGTTGGACTCGTAGTGCGATGCAGCGTGGGCAAATGTGGATGCACATGGGAAGAGTGCGTGGTCGATGACGGAATAATGTCATAGCAAGAGGCAGCCGTGCAGGCCCGTGGTGGTTTGTGTTTCTATTCTGCCTGTGCTAGCCACTCGTATTTTTGGGGATCTTCAATGCTTTGGCTCCGTCCCAGTGTTTTTCCAGCCTCTCGAATGGCAGAGGTGCAGGTGTGCAGGTGTGGCAGGGAGGTCGATTGCGTAGGCGGTGCCATTGCAAGATGCACCGCCCAGGGCAGGGAGCGAATCGGGGTGGCGAAACAGCTTTGACTTTGGGGAGGGAAGCCAGGTCGTATCACGATCCGACATGGCTGCATGGCCACCAGTGCAGCTGCGCGGTCAGTTCAGGTCAGGTCAGTGTGCGTGGACGTGGGCGTGGGCCTCGGGCTGGCGGGGCCGGCTGGGCCAACACCCACTGCCCGAAGAGGCTAGAGCACGCGTAAGAAGGCGAAGCCCAGTCTGTTCCCTCGGACATGAGACTGGTGAGAAGGCAAGCTACGATTGGTGAAATGAAAGGCCACCGAGATTGTAGATCAGTCGTGACTGCTGTCGACTTCACGGCGGCCTGGGGTGATTGAATGAATCGACGGGCAACGGACGACTCGTGCGTATTGGAACTTGTTGGAACTTGCAAGGCACTTGGTGAGGTCTCCCATGTGGCAAAGCAACGAGGCGTTGCTTGCCTGGGAACACTTCGGCTTCAGCGTCGTTCGTATTGCCAGCTTAGGCGGGTGGCGCGCGGCTGGACATGGCAATATGCTCCTTGTGACGATGTCCCTGCCGCGAGGCGACGATGGCTTCGCTCGGGCTTGCGCGCCTGCCGTCCGAGATGCGCTGCGCAAACACAGCCGTTGCCCGTCATGGGAAGAAAGCTTGTCTCTGGACATCGGCGGGTCAAGAATAGCATTTGCAGCGATGCTGAGTCAGGGGGAACGGTTTGGAGCCGCCTTTCATTGCAGTACTGCGGTACCCTTATCATCCTTGGTCGCCCGTATGTCTGACTACTGACTGACTGAGTGAATGACTGACTGACTGAGAGCCCAGCAACAGGGCCGATAGGAAAATGGTTGGCAGGATGTCAGATGGATCAGATGGATACCGCGCACGCGGTGTGAGGCAGTTGAGGTGGGTATCACAGAGCAGTCAGAATGATCGTCGACATAGTTCGTCTCCAGTCACTCCAGTGCAGTCCTCGTGCGAAAAGAAACATTGTCGGGGCTGTCAATGCTCGCTGATCGATGACCTCACGCCCCACCGTGTTCGGTCTATCCCTGGGCAGGCGCGGTACCGGTACGTACCTGGCAAGTAAGGGGAGTGACTGCCACAGTACTCGTATGCCCCATGTGGCCGTCTCGTAGAATTTTGTGTTCTGGAAGCCAGCTCCCTCCTGCCTCCCACACACACCAGACTACCAGACTACCAGGCTACCTACAATAGATACGACATCGTAAGGCTAGGCACAGTGTCTTGGTATGTGCGTGAGCTCGGGATTGACAGCAACTGCCGATGGTCGTGTTGCCAATTCAGATCTAGAACCAGAGGGTTTATTCCCCATCCATCCATCATCCTCTTGGTTCCTTCCCGCACATGCACATCTATTTAGGCAGGGCAGGCGGGATGGGCTCGCTTGCTCGCTGGCAGGTGGCTGCAAACGGCGAATGAGTGGGTGGCACAACAAAGTCGGAGAAAGAAAAGAGCAGCCAGCCCCTGACGCAGGTACACACGCTGACACCGGCGGGAAGGAGGTACGTACCTTGGGTGACGGTGCGGTTCTGGCGGTACGTACCCTGCGCACACCTGCAGACGCCTGCAGCAGCCAGGGCAGCCAGGACTCGTCCAGCCACTAATCTTGTGGATCAACCGCTAAGCTGCTAGCACGGTAGCAGCAGGCGTGTTGGCTTCTGATGGTGTGTCGGTCTCCCCTTTTCCTCTTTTCCTTGCTGCAACCACCCAATTTTACCTCACGTCTGTTCTGCTGTCGCCATTACAAGCCTCCCCCCTGCCCTGCCCTTTTCCTTGCCCGTCCCTGACCTACCTGATTTGCACTGCTTCTTGGGGCCCTGGCCGGGAGTTGATTGCAGTAATTTAAGAAATTCCCCATATCGAGTGGAGGCTCCCCTTCCATTTGCTGCAGCGGTTGCGCCCCCCCTCCCAAGGCGTGCTTTATTACCACAGATAGATACCACAGAGCAATTTGCCGCACTGTAGATAGAGCCGCTTTGAAGGGCCCTGAAGGGCTTCATTAGAGCATCTGGCACCGTACCAGGCACAGTTCCTATCTAAACCTATGTAATACATGTAACGCCAAACCCTGCTCTTGGTTGGACCGGACCCATTAGACTTTGGAACTGGGAGATCTCTTTAGGACGTGGGAGTCGGACTGGACTGCAGTGCACTGGCACAGCGAAGCGGAGCAGATTTGGATTCGAACCTGGGCCACACTCACTCAATCTACTCTCACTCACTCTACCCAGTCCACTACTGTATACTACAGTACCCAGGTATAGTGCTGTACTATGTATGGTACCCACAGTCCTTCCCAGTCCCTGTCCCGATCCCAGTCTCCGTCCCAGTCCCAGTCCCAGTCCCTGGTCGCCCAAGGCCCTGCTGCCCCCATCGCTTAACACCGACCTTCGCCTTTTCAGGCCGTGCTGGCTCTTTTTCGACAGGCCCTGTGGCTCCTTCTTTTTCTACCCCCATATCCCCCCCTTTCCATCCCACACCTGCCCACTTCTTCTTGACCTCAACGACCAACCTATCTGCCTTATTATTCTTTTTCTTTATTGCTCCCTACCCGTCACCGAAACTCGCCTTCGTGACGACTGGCTTCTCTTCATCTTTCCCCCCCAAATCCAATTGTTGGGACAAGTCGTGCTTGCGTCGTCGTCCTCGTCGCCTTCGTTGTTTGTTTCCGTCTCGCACTCAACGGCGCACCATCTGGGCCTCCTCCTCCGGACCAGCCCGTTTCGTGTATCAGCGGATCCTCAAACTTGACCTGCCCCACGGTTGTGTCTGGCTTTGGCCCGCCTGTCCCTCGTTAGCTTAACCCACTCCTCGACCACCATTACCGTCGCGCCGGACCACATCAAGAGACAATTCCCCCCTTTTGGTCCAGATCGAGCCGTCCTCAACCCGATCCATGTTTGCCGACGTCTAGAACACCGGTCTCAGACACAACTCCTACTCTCTCCCATCTTGACTTGCTTCTGCCACAGTCTGACTTGGCTTGCAAGACCGCAACAGGACAGGAACACCAGGGTTGGTCCAATTTCCAAACTCCCGTCACCACCACACTCGAACAGTGAAGGGGAACACAAAGTCGACCGGATGAACTCACCAATCTCCCTCTCACCAAAGGATCTCAAAATCATGGGTGCCATGATGCCTCCTCCACAACGTCTCTTCAACATGCGGAGCCCCTTCTCCAGGGCCATCCTGCTGGCCGTCGTGGTGCTTCTGCTCTTCGTCATGACCATGAAGCAGAACACCTACGATGTTCGCTCCGCCGTCATGAAGGCTGCCAACACCGCCAAGCAGACCATGACAACACAGCACCCGCTCGACTCCGCTGGAAACGCCTATGGCACCGATGACAGCCGGTGGCAGGATGTTCCTTCTAACAGCTCGGCCCTCATGAACTGCAACTACGACACAAAACACCTCAAGGAGCTGCAGGACAAGTACGAGCTCGGCGAGCAATTTGAGTACTTCAAGCGATATGTCAAGGTCTCGCGTCAAGACATTGACCGGAAGACCATGACCAAGCTCGACCAGCGGTTCCTCCCCAACACCGCTAAGACGGTCGACTTGGGCAAGAAGAACCTGAACGAGCAGTGCCCCGAGCCTCTTGTTGTGCCTGTCACCAAGTCCCCTGCCCCCGATTCTGCCAACCTCACCGACTTTATCTTCGGTGTCTCGACCACCTACAAGCGTTTCACAGAGCCAGAGACGAGCCCCATCAATGACTGGAGCTACTGGCTGACAGACAACCACGGCAACTCCAACGGGGGCAAGATGGTTCTGCTGCTCTTGGATGCCTCTGATGATGAGCTCTACGACGCCTGGGATCGTCTTCACAAGGTTGGAATCGATGCCGATGTCTTCCACTCTGACAGCTCCATGGAGATGGCCGTCCGCTACCTGACGCTCGTCCCAACTCTCTACAACCACCGCGAAAGGCCCAACAAGAAGTGGCTGGTTCTCTGCGATGATGACACCTTCTTCCCCTCCCCCAATGCCCTCACACAGCGATTGTCGAAGATCGACTCCAGCCGGCCTCTGTACGTCGGCACATTCTCTGAGGATGTCAACCAGGTCCAGCGCCACGGTTCCCAGGCCTTTGGCGGTGCCGGTGTCTTCATCTCTATGCCCGTCGGCCAGATGATCAACGAACTGTACGAAACATGCAAGACCCCCCAGAAGCTGCAAGAGGCCGACTCCGGTTGGGGTGCCCAGGGAGACATTCTCCTGCGAAAGTGCATCTACGAGAACAGCGACGTCCGATTGACCCTGGAGAACGACCTCTGGCAGCTTGACCTGTACGAGGATCCTTCCGGTTTCTACGAGAGTGGAATCAAGCCTCTGTCCCTGCACCACTACCGCGGCGGCGGCTGGCACTACGCCTACCCCTTCGAGTACACCAAGATCGCTCACCTCTGCGGTGAAGACTGCACCATGCAGCGATTCATGACTGAGGACGACTTTGTCATCTCCACTGGCTACAGCATTGCCCAGTACCCTGAAGGTGCCAACTACAACTGGGACCAGATGGAGCGTACCTTCACACCCGCTCCTGAAGACCACGGCTGGAACCTGGACCATGCCTTTGGCCCCCAGCGCACATCGCTTCTGAGGACTGGCGAGAAGATCGCTTGGGACCTCAAGACAGCTCATGTCAACGAGGATGGCACCATCACGCAAATCTACGTTCGGAAAGCAAAGGACCCTCGATGGGTCGACGCCGAGGGTTGGCCCATGAGCCAAGTTGACGGAGTCATTGAGCTCGTTTGGCTCCCATGAAGTCTCTGACTACTGTCGACCTATACTTTTCTTTCTCTACCCCATTGTCAATACGTCAACTACGCTCGGCGGGTCCGTCCAGTCAGGAGTTCGCGGATTGTGCTTGGACTTTACTACCACAAACATTCTGCCCATCTCAGCATTGATTGTGCCTGGTGCTGTGATGCGCCTGAGAGACGGAAGCGAGCGACGCCCTAGTCGCGCTATCTTGGGATGAGTGCTTGGCAATAAACCGGATGAGCCGTCGGCCCAATTTTAGCAGTGCCGCGACACTCCGCTTTTTCCACATCTGCCCAGGAAAACGACTAGAGGACTTGCGAAACCCAAACCGCCGAAGTCAGGAACTTGGACTGAAACACCAACAACACCTGATAAAAACCGCTCTGTTGTTGACAACTTTTAGCCAGCCACGAAGTTCTTGGTTTCCGGTGTCTTGGGGCCTTCGCCTCGCTGTCAAAACCGTCGTCTACCTGAAACCGGACGAAGGCGGACGCGTCAGCCCCTCCACATTTCATGCACGATGGCGAATGATAATGCGTAATTATCAACCGGCGTGCTTCTACCACACAAACATCGATTCTATTTTGTCACATTATCAACCGAGACACATTTACGAGAGAAGACGGATGTGCGTGCATTGCATACGGCGGCAACTAGGATACAGCCGCCAGGCGTTCGGCAAATTTCTTTCACCTACTTCGTCGACCTACAACAAAGGCACTATTCTGTGTCAAACTGTATATACCATCGGTCATTTTTGATATACGAGGGGCGAAGGGCGGAAGACGATTACCTGGGATAGATGGAGCTTTGGGTCCGGTCTGGCTTTTTGGAGGCGGCTCGGTGCAGCGGTGCCCGTCGTGGCTAGGCCTGTGTACAAGTTTGGATCGCATTGCTTCTGGAAACCCCGGGAGCTTACTGATGAAGCTCTGTTGGATGTACATAACCTGAAGATGCGACGAAAGCATCGTCACAATATGAGGCGGGGTAAATATCTATAGAAGAAATCCAGCCCAAGATCAAACTATACTGCATCGCGTCTGTGTCTGCTCGCTGCAATGTCTGTTCCTCGGGAACACAATTCCAGGATGCACCAACACGGGAACTTTATTTCGACCTGGGGTTGCACATCGTATTTCCGCTCACCGAGATGCCAATGTCCTGGTGCCACCAGCTCGTGGTCCCAGAGCACAGCATCGGCAGCTACACACGCGCACGCCACGTGGGCGCGCTATGTTTGTCTCGAACTGAGACCACCTCTCACGGCTGGGTTTTGTATGTTACGGCTGGCTGGAATGAAGTTTGTTCGACCTTGTCAAGACAACAATGCCAAAATTAGGGCCAAAATGCCAACCAGAGAAAGCTCTTTTAGGTTCGGGTGTCTGTCTCGGGTCCGTGGGAGAAGAGGCACAATAGACTTTGTTGCCGCTTTGCTTTGCTGGCTAGCTGCGTCGGCGGCGCCCATTGGCGGCTGCGGAACACGAGGCTCCTAGACCAACCTCTTTCTTTTATCCGTCTCTCTTTCTGTCCGCCGGACGGAAGTTATGAAGAATACCGACACTTTTTTGGTCTCACGCACCGGTTGCATTGCTAGTTTTCTATGTGTGTCGTATCCTACATGGTCACAGCGAACTGATGATGCGCAGGTAAGGAAAACGCTGTCATTATAAGGTTCGTTAGACTATCAGATAGCTAGTCCATGGAATTGCACTCTCAATCTAGTAGGTATCATCAATACGATGGGGCAGCAAATGCCCACTTACGCTCCCGTTTGCTCCAGCTTGCATAATGCCCTTCGGTCTACCCCTCTATCTGCATAGCACACAGCACAGCCTAGCGGTCTATGGGATTAGATTGTCTGTGCTTCTCTCCGTAAAATCACGACGTCGGTCCGCCGGGGTGTTTCGTGTCTCCAACACCCGGCCGAGCCACACCGTCGTCCGCGTACGCCGGCGGCAGCTCCTCGTCCGCGGCCCCGTGCGACGCCTCGCCGGGCCCGGCCGTCTCCGTGTACGGCGGTGCCATCGACACCGGCCTCTGCTGCGATGACTCCAGCTCCCTCCTCTCCCGCAGTTCCTGCTCACGGGCTGCCTCCGCCTCGGCAGCGGCCTCGGCAGCCTTGGAGCGCGCCGCCGGTGTCTTGTTTTCTGCGTATGGCGGGTCGGCGGCGCCGGTGGTTGTGGACCCACCCGGGGGCCCTGCAGGCGAGGAGCCGCCGAGCCCGAGCCCGTGCATGCCCTCGGTGACGCCCGACACACCCGGGCGGGGTGGCTTGGCCGGTGGGTTCTCACCCGCGCCGGAGAAGACGGGGTCGAAGCCGGTGGGGTAGCCTTGAGGCGCGTTGCCGTGGCCATAGGTGTCTGACGGTCCCTGCTGGTTTGCCCATTGTTGGCCTTCGCCGCCGCTCTGCTGGGCCCTCCAGCCCTCGGCGCCCTTGATTGTGTCAAAGAGGGGCTTGACAGTGTTCACCCAGTTCTCCTTGCCGGGAACCAGGGGTGCCTCGCCCTTGAGGATGTTCTGCACGCCGACGGGCTCACCATAGAATGCGGCATTGGCGTCCTTGCGCTCGGTCACGATTGTGCCGTCCACCTGAACGCCAGCGTAGAAGCCCCGCGACTTGACGTAGGAGTAGGTCGGCTGCTTGATAGCCTGCTTGAGGCCAGAGGGCTTGCGCTCCTTGCCAGCCTGGGGGCGTTCTGGTGTCTCGGCACCTGCCTTGTCTGTGGTCGGCTCGTTCACCGTAGGGACAGTGTCCGCGTTGTCGGGATGCTTCTCACTCGCGGCCGGGATTGGGCTGGCCGGCTTGCCTTCTGCGTCCTTCGTAGCATCTGGGCTTCCAGCAGCGGCCTTGCCCTTGCCCTTCTGTGACTGAGGAGCAGCGAAGTCGACGCTGCCGCCTGCGCCCCACGGACCGGCCACGACAGCCAAGTCAGAGCCCAGGGACATTCTGGTCTTTGTGAAGGCCTCCAAGGCCTCTCTCGTGTTGATAACGACGACGCAGTCGTAGATATCGAGGCCAATCATGAAGCCAGCACCGACGCTGTGGACCTGGATGCCCGAGGGAGGCGACCAGCTACCATCAGGAAGACGGGCGACGATTACACCCGAGCCTGTGGCGCCTGAGACGTGGAACCCAGCGCGGGCAGTTGTGAAAATGGCCAAGCCCACAGCACGATTGATCACTTTGGAGGGGATGGTCAAGAGGGTGCGGTTCTTCTTGGGTTTCGCCACGGCGGTGGTGGGCTTGCCGTCGGCGTCTGTGGTTGGCGCCTCGACGGTCTCGGGAGCTTGTGCGTCGGTATAGATACCATCCTCTGTGGTTAGATGTGTTAGTGACTGTTCCATTTAGCAGACGGAGCATGTGCCAGATTTGACTTACTGCAGAAGCTCTTCAAGATCCTCGCTGCCTTCTCACACTCCTTGTCCATAGTGTCTGGCAGGAAGCTCTCCGACCCAAGCTTGTTTGCAAGCATGTTAAAGGGCGTTGCAGCCTTGCCGCCCCATGCACTCAGGCGCTGGCCCCATCCGGCCTTCTTGGGAGCTCCATCACTGTCGGGCGGAGGGACTTGGTGGGCAGTCTGTTGGGTCTCGGTCTCATGCTGAGCCTGGGTCTGACCATGAGCCTTGGCATCGGAGTGGGTAGAAGGATTGTTGTCGTAGAGCTCGGAGTTGGAGTCTGGGAGAGGCTGCTCATTCGGGTGCATCGCGAGGCCGTTGTGCCCAGGTGGGGGGCCAGGAGGGGGAGGTGGGAAGTTCTGCTCGTTCGAGGGGTTCTTCTCGGCCATGACGATGTGATGGAAGTGGGATTGCGTTGGTAGGCCTGGTTGTGATGCGTCTGCGTATTGCTCGAGTGGTGGATTAGGGAAGCAAGTCAGTCGGGCAGTCAGTCAATCTGTTTGGCTTTCAGGACAGTTGTTGCGAAAGTCGCGATGAGTCGCACAGGCTTGAGCTTTGGATGGGATTGTATTTAAGCTCCTGTGCCCTTGGCTCTCGGGCGACTGAAACGCGTCAGAATCTCTTGGCTTTTGGGCTCTGGCGGACGAGGCGACAATCAGTCTTGGTCACTTGCCGTCCCTAAACAAGCTACTGGAGGAGCACGAACCTGCACCATCAGCACGAGTAGGGACGTCATAGCGTAACACCGTGGCTCAGAGCTTAGGTGGAGGCAGCCGGGTCTGGGATGGAATGTGGCGCAAGCAGGTGCAGACCCGACACTGCTGAACTGGACTGAACTGACTTGATTAGACTGACTACAGTACTGTACGTAGGAACTGTCAAGCCTTCGAGTTCATCCGATTCGTTCAAGCGTACATCTGGATGTACTAAATTTACATTGAGTCTGTCGCCTTATACCCAACTGACCGGGAAACTGATCCACTTCGAATTTACAGTTTACTCCACCAAACGAACAACTGCCCCTCTGCCCCTCTGCCCCACTCATCCCCAGCTCAACTTCGAAGGACCTCGCCTTCGCTTTTGCGACTCGCGTTCGTTCCCGTCACCAGCCCCTCTCCTTCGCTTCAACGACCGCTTTGCCTCACCAAACGTGTTCTCGCCAACATCTACACCCTCAACAGCAGTAGGTTGTGTTGTGCGTGATCGGCGACTTTCTTTGATGGATCACTCGACGCCGCTTCCGAGCTTTATTCACCGTGTCATGAGCGGCAGTCTTTGTTGTTGCTTGGCGTTATAGCACGTTGTGGCGTCCTCCACGGTGAATATCATTTGACGGCCCAGTTCGAGGGCTCGGCTGTCCCTACATATGCAAATCGCAACCACACAATTACTGCTGCCAGAAATTAGGATTCATGAAACGAATCAATGGACCTAGTGAGTTGACTCTCGGACTTGACGGTAGCCACAAAGGCTGAATATGGGAATTGCCTTGTCTCGGGGTCTAAAATATATCCAGAGTCCCAGTGGATGCACTTGTGCGCTTCACCAGTCTGATACTCAATCCAGGCATGCCATTGATTGTGTATCCCCCCTGAAAAGTAGACCTTGATAGGTAGACTGCCCTTAGCAGCATTCTTTCCTTTTGTCTCCGTCCTCTTCACTTTCAATACCCTGATGTGAAGCAATAACCGCCACGTCGCTGTCGCCAACTCCCACAATATCGCGCACAGCCGTGTCACCGTACGGGTACTTGCGTAATGTGTGCTTGTCCAGCCAATCGACTGCAACAAGCCCACCCAGCATGACGAAGACCACAATTATCATGGCAATATTTCCCTTTTTCCCTATAGAAGAGCATGGTCAGCGGTTGCTCATTTCTCAAAATCCGCGATGCGTTCACACGAAAAGGGACAAGTAACCGTAACGACTTACAATATGGTGCGTCCGAGGCAGGGTATAGAGCAATACCCCAGAATGTATACAAACAGGTGGAGCACGCGTTCATAGCGTACAAGATAACAGACCGCACAGCATCATCCCCGCCGCGCTGAGTGATGATGCTTGCCCAGCCATAAGACACCGGATTGACCATGTAGCTCGTGCCGGAGAGGTAATACGCGAAGAAGGTGCCGGCGAACGGCAACGTCGGGACCATGAGCATCACGGCCGAAACCAGCTGTAGCAAGCAGGCCAGGGCCCCCATGGGCACCCTCTTCCCTGTGGCGTCGACGTGCACTGCGGCCAAAAAGTTCGACACGATGCCCACGGCCTGCACCCCGAGAGGATATGTGTTGATCTGGGCCTGGGTGAAGACGTCCGAGTGGAACTTCATCCACAGCAGGAACAGGCTCTGCACGACGTAGGCCTCGAGCGCGCCCGTGATGACAGCCCACAAGCACAGAATGTAAAGCGCTGGGCTGGTGAAGACGCGCTTGGCCAACGACAACGGGTCGATGTTGTGCCCGTCCTTGCTCTTGAGCGGTAGCCGCTGCAGCGCCAACTCGCGCTCCTCGGCGCTGAGCCACCGGGCCTGCGTCGTCTCGGGCGTGTCCGGGAAGAAGAAGAAGCCCACGACGGCGATCGGGATGGTGATTATGCCGTTGATAAGGAATAGCCACTGCCACCCTTTGAGTCCGCTGTGGTCATCCATTCCTGTGTATATCGCTGTCATCATGATTCCCGCGAACATGGTCCCCGCTTGCCCCGAAGCAGTGAAGATGGCTGTGCGCTTTGCGATCTCGCGCGGCTTATACCACGAACCGATGATATAGATTGTGCCGCAGTACGTGCTTGCCTCGGCGAAGCCCTGGAAGAACCGGACCACGCAGAGCTGCTCGTAGGTCTTGCAGGCGGCGCAGGACATGGTCAAGGCTGACCAGACCACGACCATCGAGGGGAGCCATATCCGCGGAGGGAACTTCTGGATGATGATCCCATGAGGGATCTGACCAATGACTGAGCCGGCTGTGAACATGGAGAGCACGATATTGTAGTCAGCTCCATGCAGGTCCAGGTCTTCCCGGAGGCCAGCGACGTAGGCATTGGCGAACGCGGACCGGTCGAGATAGTTGAAGAAGGAGCTCAGGCAGCAGTACGTCAAGATGACCCAGTCTATGCTCAAAGGTTAGTATCTGATATGGATTTTCACAGTCCATGAGGGCATATCTTACCCAGTTTCTGGACCAATCTTCGTTCCTCCTTGCTCTTCGCTTCATCCCCCAGGAACAGCGTCTTCACCTGAGCAACCCCACCAGCCTTCTGCGCAGAGGCAGCGCTGCTACTCTTCTCCATAATTCGGACTAATCCACCCAGTCCACGACCAGATTTACACCACAAATAAAAGTTTCTTAGCAGTCTGGGCAGGAACAGAAGCAGCGCGACGATCCTGCGCAGCAGTCCAGTCAGGTATAAGTAGGCCCGGGACATTCTCTAGAGGGGGGCATGGCAGAGACATCTGCCTCTGCATGTGCCTAGTCAGATATTAGTCCTGCCCAGCTGCCAATAAGAAAAACTCGCGCAATTACGGGCGTTGTGAATGGCCGCGCAGGCGAGTTGTGGGTATCTACTCCATCGCTGCTAGACCATCAAGGTGCTCGCCTCCAAGAATAAAAATCGCAGCGCGCTTGGCAAATCTTGGGACCGGCGGGGGTCTGCTGCAGACTTAGTCATCCTCCCATATCTTGACAAGAGGTGTCGCTTTCACCATTTGATACCTCATTCTACTCCTATTAATAAGTGCATAATGTTTCGAGTGATGATTGTCTACTGGTGGAAGGCTAAGTTATTGGCAGAGAAATAGATCGCTATCAGGTTGTAGCAGGATAGTCCTCAACACAGAAGAACATTCCACAAGAGAATTGCGACTGGAGGTACTCAGATATTGACTGATTAACGCAACATCAATCCTGAATATTCGACACGACTCAATTAGACTTTTGGTCACGATAAATGCGCTCTTTGGTGGCCCCTTAATTTTGCCTTAATTCGCCCCAGTTCTCTGGATACGGTAGTCAAGCTTACTGCTGTGTGGCTGGCTCAGCAGTACTTGCCTACAACCTGATATCTTCTGCCTGTTTTAAATCTGCCTTAATTTGGACCATTACCGAGCAAGAATACACGAGATATTACATCGTTCTAACCAGTTTCATATGTACACAGTCCAAGTTGTGGCACGACAGTGCAGGACGCTTTCCACGTCCAGCGCTGGTCACAGGTGACTCGATTGACTCCGCAGTAACGCGCAGCCATGGCCGTCATTTTCGCCAAATCAATCCTGGCTACACGCCGGCTCAAGCATAAATTTTAATGTGTTGAAAATTCACTCAATGAGTCAGTCTTCGTGTTGTCCTCCTATGTCGGCTTCAGGGTGTGGGCTCTGCGACATGTCAAAAGCCAGAACGTCTCTGCTCAATATCGGTCAATTTGATCTCGCGCCAATTTCACACTTGGGCCTCTCTAATTTATTAGTCAGTCACTCTAATATGTAATGAATGGCCGCACCTTGGAATCCTCAGTGTCAAACACTTATTGTGAAGATCTCAATATGCCGGCATTTGCGACTTCAACATTTGCAGACTCGGGTAGGCGTGGCATTTTGCAACCCGAAATTTCGTTCATGAGTTTGGAGAGATCAAGGAAGACACAAGTTTATTATTACTGCGCCTTGATCAAGGCAAGTTTCTATGTTAAACACATGCGGCTAAGTAAACTCCGTTCCATCGTTGCACAGCCTCTGTGCAACAACGCCACACCGCATGTCTCCTGTGGAATAGCAAGGAATTGTTGGCGGGGAAGCTAATTGATTTGCTCTTTGATCTCAAACATGGAGCCCTCACAAAGCTTCCGAGCTTTGATTTCTTTCAGAATAGCCGATTTCACGGGTAAAGCGCAGCTAGATCCGGACCCGTGTGGTCGGAAACTAGTTAGCTCCAACAATTGAACTGTATGCAAAGACAAGGCAGTCACAAGACTGAAATTGATGTTTAACCTTCCTATACTGCCGTCACATTAAAAAAAAACAAATTGATAGAAAAGGTGTTGGATTAAAGCTCGCGCGGTGAACTCGACTTTTTCAACACATGCAATCATCTGCGACTAAAGTCGGATATGCGACCAGAATTAAGTGTGCCTGAGGAAGCAGTCAGATAACACACATCATGGACTATTCTTTCGGAAACAACATGCAAGAATCGCACAAGAAGCTGCCTCGTCGCACGAATTTTCAACCTACAGTTGAGCCTGTCGGCTCCGATCGAATCCCCTATCTGCCTATCGAGATCCTATACAATATCGCCAAGAAGCTTCCCCGGCCCAAATGGATCTACAACCTAGCGAGGGTAGACAAGTCGACTTGGGAATACCTTCAGCCTTCTTTATATGAGTGTGAGGTGACGTACGAAGCAAGGCTGAAGGAGTTGGCGAGTTCTATGGCCAAGATACAAAAGAAATACCGATCTTCCACGGCCAAGAGTAGCAGAGACGGGAACGACAGCGAGGACAACGACAATAGTGACGACAAAGATAACTCTGATGATGACGACCCTGACTGGTCCAGCGACTCGGATTCGGATGGCCATGATGAATTCGAGGACAACGGTAATTCTTCGGATGAAGGCTCTGAGGGCGAAGAAGACCAGCCTCCTGTGTCGAACATTCAATGCCGCCACGCTACTCTAGAGAAGTTCTGTGGATTTTGTGGTGATAGGCTTGCCTTGAGGGATGTCAACTTCCAGACAGTCAGGGGCCTCTCTCGCAAGCCAAGACAAACTGCGTTGCACTTCGCGTGCTCCAAAGGCTCTGCGGGTCTTACGGTAGCGCTCAAGGCTATCCACGCCGCTTCTACACACATGCCATCTTACATTGATGGGAAAGGTCTAAAGTTCAGAACCTTCTACAACTTCCCCGGCGAACTCGACCCGCCTCTGCTGAGAGCCTCGAGACATGGGAATGTCGAATTGGTGAAGGCTTTGATCAATGCAGGGTGTGAAGTGAACATTCGAATCTCGAAATTAATACCAGTCCCGTACTCCAGACACGGTGCTGTGAGCAATGATTCTCTGATATCTAGAATACATACGCGCTGTGACTCCAATTGTCACATTGTGTTGGGACCTTATTCTTGCGTGAATGCCGCACACATTGCCATCAAATATGGAAAGCACGATATCCTCGAGCTACTCCTCAATGCAGGACTGGACCCCAAGGCGTTCTCAATCACTTCATCACCCCTAATGCATTCCGCTGTCGGGCATGGCAATTTCTCCGCGGCAGAATTGCTTTTGAAGCGTGACTCGAATTCCATCAGCGACGAAGACGATTACAAGAGGACACCATTGCATATGCTTCATTGGTTGGAAAGACCTCATTCCCGCTCATCGGGGGATCGTACCATGAAAGCCATCAGCATGACCAGCATTGCCAAGGTGGAAGATATGGCCAGGTATCTCGTCGCCAAAGGGGCGCATGTAGATGCTCGAGACATTTTCAGAATTACGCCACTACAATTAGCCAGCCACGGCAGGGACGAAATAGGTTTTCATGCTGCGGTTTGTTTTATTCCAAGACGAGAGTCTAGAAATCTTCTAAACACTCGGTCAATCTTCCACTTACAATGACCATTGCTAATTCGTCCCTTGCAGAGAATTCTCATCCGGCTCGGCGCCGACTGGAAGGTTTGCGGCTTCGGCCAGAGAGAACCAATACTCCACGAAATGATTTTGTTTGCGATCTGTGGGCAAGACTGGAGATACGAGCTTGCTGCCCTCTTGACCCTTCGGGTGGATGCTACAAGAGCTGTCCAAGCAATTGTGGACATGTCACCTGAAGCCAACGATGAATTCCTTCAGGCCTTTAAATTCTTGCTCAAACGCGGAGAGGAGGGTATGTATAATTACCAGTACGACCCGGAAAGAACCGGCACCCACCCGACTATATTCGTTTATATTGGAAAGCTCCTACTATCCACTACAAGTCAACCCGAGTATGCGCTCAAGAAGGAATGGGAGAGTCACTGCCGCTGGGCAGAAGGGTTCTTCGCGGGTGGTTTGAGGGTTGAGCTGGAGAAGCTTGAGAATCTGTTGCCTCTGGATCAGAGCCGTCTGGATGCGTACTCGGATATTAGACTTGACGAAATCGTGAAGCGATGGCGCGACCTGGAAGGCAACATTCGTGAGGAGGGCGGGCTCGCACTGAACCTACCTACGGAAGGGTCAGATGTGTTATCGGACTATGAGTCGGATTCAAACGGCAGGCATCGGAAAGAAATCGGTGTTTCCGAGCATCCGGGACCCAGCCATGGTGATGTTGAGAGTAGTGATGAAGGTTGGGATGATTAAAGCATGAAGAATGGGTCGATCATGGTAGAGGGAGAACATTGATGCAATGTGGAACGACCTCGCTTGAGTCTGAGGGAGCTGTAATTGCTTCATATTCACAAGGTCCGTACCTGAACACGCTGTCTGACAGTTTGCAGGCAGAAGCGTGCATAGAAAGAAATGTAAACTAATCTATGGTGAACGCTCAACAGAAAATTTCCAGCAAACCGATGACAAGAACCCAATTACAAGAAACAGTCTTCGGTGGCATCAGCGCAGCATCGCCACGCTATCGCCTTTGCGCACCTCTCTAATACACCTTCAGGCTCGCCGAGACTTCTCCATAAGCCTCTGTAATTGCTCTCCTCCTATCCTCCTTACGCACGCCAAACCTCATCGCAAACGGCGATGGCTCCAAGATGACATGGCTGTTGGTAGCCTGGGAGTCGATGGGCACCTTCTCACCGGTGCGCGGGCACGTCTGCTGCTCCATGTTGAACGCCCACAACACAGAGGCCCCCGTGACGAAGAGCTCGATGTCCACGATGTCCATGCCCAAGCACTTGCGGCGGCCCCAGCCGAAGCTGTGCGTCCCGAACTTGCTGTCACGGAAGTTGGGGTACTTGGTCAGGGGCTCCTGGTATGTCGGGAAAGATGGGTCGAGCCAGCGGTCGGGCCGGTAGGACTCTGGGTCTGGGTACCTTTCGGGGACGCGGTTGATGGACCTGGCGCGAGTTCATGTGTGAGCTTGCTGGCTTGCAATGTGAAATATGCCGTTGAATGAGATGTACTAACCATTCACAAGCGAGAACAATTGTGTCTTTCTTGATTGTGACGCCACGGTACTCATCGTCACGCTCTGCCTGATGTGGCACACCTAGATCACAAAATGAGAATGTCAGTTTTCCAGCAACGACTTAAGGTGGAAACAGCCCAAGAAGTAGCGACCAAATGACTTACCCAGCGGGACACCAGATCGCCATCGGATTGTCTCCTTAAGAACAGCCCTAACGGTCGGTAGATCCGCAAAATCCTCAAAAGTAGGCATCCGGTCACCACAGACGCGGTCAATTTCCTCCTGAGCCTTCTTCTGCCACTCGGGATGCAGCGCCATAGCCATGAGGAAGAACTTGAGCGGGCCTGCAATAGTGACCACACCGACCAGGTTGAAGAAGCCAATGGTACACGCCGCAAAGATCTCCTGCTCATCAGTCTGATCCAGGCTGCCCTTTTGCTCCCGCTCGACCTGCTCGATATAGCGGTATGCCCATGTGTCCTTGGGCAGCTGGCCGTTTTTGTACTTGTCCTTGGCGATCTTGTAGTTGTTCAACCACCAGGCTTTCTGAGTCGCCATCCTCTGCCTTTCGAATTGCTTCCACTTGTTGAACCGCTCGGGAATGTTCCATAGCGGCGTCATGGTGTTGACAATTGGGCCCGAAACCGACATGCAGTGCAGCGTGCAGTCGGCGCTCTCGCCATTCATCTTGCCCTGCGAGGCTTCGTCCCACGCCAGTCGCGACATGATGCGCCCACAATGCTCGCGTGAGTGGTCCATGAACCGTACCGGGTCGGACATGAGCATCATCAGGTACCGCCGAGTCTCAGTCTCGACGTGTCCGTAGAATTGGTGCTTGTAGGCTTCCGCCATAGCAGCGTGGACCCATTTTCGCTGTTTCTGCCAATGGTCTGCCGCAAGTTTCAAAAGATGGTCAGCTTCCTCTTGGTTCCTAGCTGGATATGACCCCTACATGGGCGGTTTTATCTTGACATGACTTACCATGACGGTCCATCAGTGCGAGGTACTCGATGCCCTCCTTGTGGCCAAACAAGGCTCTGATCTGCGGCCGTCCCGAATAGATGTGACCCCTCTTGATGAGGAGTTCCTCCGCGATTTGCTCGTCCGAGATAATGACGAAAGTTGCACCTGGAACACTTGTTTGGTAGATAGGCCCATAAATGTCTCCCCACTCTTTGAACTTCTTCCACATAGAAAATCTTGGCAGGTCATGGACCCTGCCCACGAGAGGAAACTGTTTTGGGCCGGGGAATTTGGCCTGGGATATCTTCTTTTTCCTCCATTGTAGGACCTGCTGCACTGCGGATAGGAGGAGGCTTGGTATAGCCAAATACAATATGATAACTGGAAGATCGAAAGCCATGCTTGACGACTGACTGCCAGTGAATGGAAGAGAAACTTGAATACCTGAGGGGTAAGAAGCAGCGCTGAGAGGAGCAGAAAAGATCAAGTACATATGAAGGGAATAACTGCCTCGTGCAGCCACCCTACTTATGCGACCTGTTGTCGGTCCCGAGATTTAGGTGTTATTAGGAGCACCCAGATCTTTCTCTGGTCGGCGCGTGGCGGTAGATTGAGACAAGAAGTCTACCAACAGCGTGGCTCAGTACCATTGGGGCCAAACTGACCCCCCTGGATGGACGCTGCCTGGCCCAGCTGCAGCTTACGGCGCGGGCAAGATTTGGGGGAACATGGTCAACACGACTTGCATGGATGGTAGATGCGGCCACTCATTTCTCACCACTTGCACCGATGGATGGGTGGGGAGGGATACCACCGAAGCCGACCCACCGGTCCCTGGAGGAATGCAGTGAGGGATTCTGGGGTGGATACTAGGGCGCTTGACCCCGGGACATGGCGACCTTGTCACTGGGCCATTCGATATATCCGAGACTACACGACAATAGACCACCGAACTTGATGCTGTAGCCTTAGGGCTGGGTGGTCAAGTTGTCCGTCCGATCTGTCATATGAGCTTATTGCAGAACTGTCTGATGTTGGGACGGGTCCGTTCAATGAGAGGATGATATTCGTCTTCATGAGAATCGGAATCGCACGATTGATCCAGCGTCAGCGGTGGTGCCGTACCGGAGATCTGGGTCAGGAAGGTAGTGGGGATGTCCGTGTCAGCAGAAGGCATATATCGTTGATGCTCAGCTGCACAGATTACTTTGCCCTGGAACACCTGTAAGTACTAGGTAGAAGGTACCAAGGATCGACACCTCCTCGGGCAGTTCGCACATAAATAAGCTTCGACGGCGCCGTCGTCCCGAAGGATGACTTGACTTTGAGTCTAAATGGGGCAGCGATAACGCGACAAAGTCACGGATTAAACCGACCTGGGCGAGCAATCGGATTGACAGAGATTGATACCGCAAACCACGCGCCAGCGACGAGGCATGCAACTTCAACGCCAGCCCGCCTGAGGGCGGCCGCTACGTCAGCAGGGGGCAATTGTTATCAAGCCGGGCATTTCGACGCCCTTCAGGTGGCACGGGCAGTATTTCCGTAAACCCTGCCCGACAAGCGGAACTATAGTCATAAACGTGCTTGCGGTAGTCGCTCGGTGTAGAACAAGCTTCTTGATCCACTGGTATAGAGCCTCAGCCGTACCGCCGGCGCTACAACGGGAGCAGTATCCGGTCCGGCCTCGTGTTTGGCCTCCTAGGAGAGTTTTGTGCGGAAAGGAAAACCCAGCCGTGTCTCGGTCGATATGTAGAGCCAGGGTTGACATATCCCGAAACGTGCATTAGTGTGCCTCTGTGGCGCCAACTGCAGGGGACACAGCTCATTGACAGCTTACCCTCAGTTGTTGGATGTAGCAAAGATTGAAAGTGAAGACTAGAATTTTGTTGATGGGGACCGCCGTGCTATCTTGAACCATGGGTTTGAAAATGCGTGGAATCGTACGATCTGAGGTGGTCGAGCCTCGCAGGTCGTAGACTGCGAGTCTGGACTGCGTGAGCGTCAAGTCAGCTCCGCGGTCCGCTCGTTTCGACATGCATCGACCGCAGGTCGTGGGGATGAGTAAAGGCGACTGTCCGTGGGAAAGTATGAGATACATCGCTGCGGAAGGTCCCAGGTCCCAGGAGTGTAAGACGTCAGCTCGGGACCGAGATACTCTGGTCGCCGTGGCGTGCATGCAACCCTGCAGCCTTGGAGTGTTGCAGCCCCCAAAGCACACATGATGTGAACAGTATTATGCGTGCAGGTATGGAGTCAATGATCGGGCTGTGGGACTATAGATCCAGCACATGGCCGGCCGCGAAGCTGACATATGCCTTGGGCTCGGCAGACAGCATGAAAGGCGACACCGACGACGGCCGCCTGCTCGTCTTGGTACCACGCATACTATAAGTCAGTCGTCTCACACCAAGCTCGGCGCATTTTCTTGACATGCTTTACTAGCCTTGTCGAACAGACCACAGCCTCTCTCCCCAAGACGAGCCGGCCTAAGTATCGGATGATGTGCCCTCAAATCGGCATAGGCATCTTGGAATGAGTCCGGGCAGCCGGACTCAATGACGCGGTGAGCCCCGAGGCCACAAGCGAGCGTCTTGCTTGCAGACGGGTCCTCTGAGACAATGTCCAGTTGGAACCATTGGTGAAGCTCAGGCATTCTCAGCCGCCTGCGTAAAATAGCGAGAGGGCGTGCTATTGTGTGCGGTCTGTTGTGAAGCGAGCGTGAAATTGAACACATGAAGCCAGTCACGGGTGATGGCTGATGCAGAACTACAATCAGAGGCAGCCTGGCCGTTCATGATTGATTGTCAGAGATGTTCTTGCCCGTTTCGTGGATATCGAGCCTCCACTGTCTGAACAAAAATGGGTATCAAGCTGGCCAAGCAAGCCCGCATGGGTCTTTGAGCCGGCGACGTGCTTCTCAGGTTGAAGTTCTCGATGGGATAGGATGGGGGCTGATAGACGCCCAGGCATGTTATGTAAGCCCCCACCTGAGGTCGGGCGGCAGCAGAGCAGAGCTGTCTTGGGGGAGCTTGGCAGCCTGCTGTACTCTTTCGTCGAGATATGAGGTCATGCCTCTTCCCCTCGGTGCAACCATCGGCTGAACACGACGCTCACGATCGCGTTTGCTTGCACCGCACTGCATTGCACCGACCTGCGTTGGTCCTGCCTTGCCCACAATGTCCTCGTAGGTCTGCCTCTACCTCTGTGTCAAACACTTGTCCCATGCTGATGTCCCGCCATGGCGAACCACAGTGCAAACCAGCTGTCGATTCCCTTCCGCAAGTCCAACCACCTGTCGCTCTCGACCGCGATCCGGCAGTACATCTCCAAGAAATATGATCAGCACCCTGACATGTTCCGTCATGACCTGGAGGTCGTCGACGCCCTGCGCAGAGATGCCACGAACGTGCGAGAAGCCCACCCCAGCGGCATCAAGAAGCTGCAGGCCTACGCCGCCCAGCTCGTCTGGATCTCGGGCAAGTTCCCCATCGACATAGGCGCCGACTTCACTTGGTACCCTGCTTTGGGTTACAACACCGAGCGGCCCCTCGTGCAGAACAACCTCAAGTTCGAGCTCATGAGTATCCTCTTCAACCTCGCCGTCCTCTACTCCCAGCTGGCCCTCGCCTCCAACCGCTCCACCACCGACGGGCTAAAGACCGCTGCCAACTACTTTAGCCAGGCCGCCGGTGTCTTCAAGCATATGAAGGATATTGTGCTTCCCGATCTGCGCATGGCCACCCCACCTGAGGATCTGGATGAGAGCACCCTCGAGTCTCTCATCCAGCTGCAGCTCGCTCAGAGCCAAGAGTGTTTCTGGCAGAAGGCAGTAATAGATGGCTACAAGGACGCTTCCATTTCCAAAGTTGCTGCCCGCGTCAGCGACCTGTACAACCTGGCTGGGGAGGCCGCCATGAAGAGCGAGGCCATCAGCAGCTCATGGATACACCACGTGAGCGCTAAACACCACCACTTTGCCGCCGCCGCCCAGTACCGCGCTGCGTGTGACTGCCTGGAGAAGAGGAAGTATGGAGAAGAGGTGGCACGCTTAACCGATGCCGTGGTATGTGCGAACGAGGGACTGAAAGAAGGCAAGGGTGGCTATCTGAGCAAAGCCGTGATGGATGACCTGAACGGCTTGAAGAGGAGGGTAGAGGACGACTTGAAACGGGCAGAGAAGGACAATGACGTGATATATCTACGTAAGTCTAGCGGAAATGTCTCCAGGGCCCTTCCGCCCTTTCTTCCAGGTGGTACTGACCCTCCCAGAACATGTACCTGCCAAAACCGAGCTCAAGGTTCTCGAACGTGCCAACATGGCCGTGGCTCGAGTGCCACCCCAAGTTGCTAACCCAACGGAACACCTCGGCGACCACACAGACTTCGGAACTCCATTGTTCAGCAAACTCGTACCATACTCCGTTCACGTTGCTGTGTCGATTTACGAGGAGAGAAGAGATCGTCTGGTCAACCAGAACATAATACATGCGCTTGAGGCTTTGAACGAGAAACTTCACGAGATATTGTCATCGCTCAACCTGCCGGGATCATTGCAAGCTCTGGAAAAGCCTCTTGGTCTACCTGGAACTCTAGTACAGCACGCAGAGGAAATCAGACAAGCAGATGCCCTGAGCAGAGTACAGCGGAGTTTTGCCGACATCGATAAACTGAGATCGAGTGATCGCGCAATCTTTGACGAGGGAAGGTCTCTCCTTGCCACCGAGGAGGAAGAGGACCAACGACTGCGGATGAAATACGGGACGCAGCGGTGGATGAGACCATCCAGCAGAGAGGACCCTCAGGGTGCCAAGCTCTGGAAGCAAGCAACTGATATCGATGGCTACTTCGGTTCCAGCACATCCAGCGACGCAGTTGTCCGTGAAAAGTGGCTTGCAGTGGAGAGCACGCTCTCTATTCTTGCCGGTTCCGACCGCAGCCTAATGGACGCTATACCGCAGAGTCGCAAGACTGAAATACACGAAACGGTCAAGCCCGCCCTCGGTCGCCTTCGCGGTGCTTACAATGATATTCAGCGCCTTGAGTCCCGCAGACGTCGTCGCGCCGAGGCTCTCCGCGAGAAGGCCAAGGCAGATGACATCAAGCCGGACATGATGAAAGAGGCGGCAAGGCTTGAGCGCACATACCCAAACACACAGATTGTGCCGGCTCACTTTGAGGACTTCTTTGAGAAGAGGCTGGATAGTATGTACGAGGCGGATTTGGCGCAGATCGAGAAAGACGCCGCTGAGCAGGAGAAATTCTTGGCGGAAGTAACCCGCGCGAACCGGGACTTTGAGGCTCAGAAGAAGAGCGCAGGAGACCGAGGGTCCAGGGAAAGAGAGGCTGCTCTGCAGGCGTTGGACAATGCTTATTACAAATACAAGGAAATCGTCAGCAATGTGGAGGCTGGAAGGAAGTTTTACAATGATCTTAGCAAGATCGCTGGCTCATTCAGGGACAAATGCAGGGACTGGGTCAGCGAGAGGCGGAAGGACTCTCGAGGACTAGAAGAGTAAGTTGCAGGCATCCATTGTAACCTTTCAGCCGGACCATCCTACTGACACATGACAGGGAAATTGGCATGCCACCTCTATCCTCCCTCTCTCTAGGCCAGCACCAGCGAGCACCCCAGCCCAGCTACCAGGCCCCTCAGAGCCCTCCGCAACAGTACTACCAAAATGCGCCTGCCCCGATGGCGCCAATGTCACCACCGGCCGAGCCGCAAATCCAGTCCTGGGCGCGAGACGACAATACTCAGCCGCCCGAACAGCCGCAGCCGCGACAATCGATGCAGCCGCTGCAGGGGATGTGGAATCCTGAGATGGGCATCAAGTTCGCGCCGTCGCCGGGCGCGGGCGGAGGCGGTCAGGGAGGACAGGCGGGTAGTGGCGGACCTGTGGGCGGGAAGTGGGAGCCCAATGCCGGGATCAGGTTTGGTTGACGGAAACAATCACTTGTGTGAGCTCTCGGGCCAGGCAAATCTTGGATTTATCATGGTACAGCACAGCGAGCGTTGGCGTACAAGGCGTTGGAATTGTTACGCATGAAAAAATCAAAGAGAAATCATACACGCAACCATGGCATGGTATGTCTTGATCGAAAGGCGCGGTGAACGTCAAACCACGAATGGCATTTCTGCGCCCTGCTGTAGTCGGATGAGTAGTTCGGCTCGGAATTGGCTCGGAGCGTCACAATGACTCGAAGGCTCCCAAAGGACACCTGCCTCGCTATGTGCGAAAATGCCTTCACCTTTGGCTCGTAGCTGCGAGCGGATGACTCGAGCTGGTAGATCGATCAGATTAGATTGTCAGGTCATGGAAGATCCACAACAAAATTGCATCGTAGATAGCGCGTGCGCAGCTGCGCAGAGGAGACTAAGGGATAGGTTCCGGCTCGCGGGCCCGAAGGCATCCATCTCATCATTCGAGACACGTAACATCAATATAAAGGCATACGCCATCAATTCAAGACACGTTGAGATAAATATACAGGCATCCACGTTTACATAATTATAAATTTTGACGATCTCGACCAACGGGCAGACCAGCCAACCGCAAGGCCAAGGGTCACCTCACAGAATCTCAGTACCTATACACGCTCACTCCAAGTCTCAAAACCTCAGCTAAGTGACTAGTCACTCACGGCTCGGCCCACTTCAGTCCAGCCCGGTCCTGAATCCGACCATAGCCCATCAACGATGTCAAACCCGCCACTCGCCTTCCGCAAAGCCACGCCCGCCGACGTCCCGGCGCTGCTCGCGCTCGTCAAGTCCGCCTACCGCGGCGAGGACAGCCGCCAGGGGTGGACGACCGAGGCGGACTTCATCACGGACGAGCGCATCGACGAGGCGGGCGTGCTGGCCAAGATCAACGCGCCGGGCGGCGTGGTCCTCCTCGCCTCCGAGCCCTCCTCCCCTACCCTCCTCGCGTGCTGCGAGATCCTCCGGCACCCGGAGCCGAGCGACCTGTCGTACTTTGGCCTGTTCGCCGTCAACCCCAAGCTGCAGAACGGAGGGATCGGCAGACGGATGCTGGCCGAGGCTGAAAGACTTGCGCGGGAGGAGATGGGGGCAGCCCGGATGGAGATGACGGTTGTGTGGCTGCGGGAGGAGCTGATTGCCTGGTATGTGCGTCGGGGCTATGTGGTGCAGGAGGGTGAGAAGAGGCCTTTTCCTTATCAGCATCTTGTGAACGGCAAGGCATTGAGGGATGACTTGCATTTCTTGGTGTTGCAGAAAGCGTTGGCTTAGAGGGTGCGTGGGCTTGTGTCTGGTTGGATTCTGACTGGGCTTCCTGAGGGAGCAGCAAGGCGCACTGGAGAATTAGAGTTACAAAAAGAGGCTATGTACTTCGTGTCCATAACACGTCATACAAACATACGGGAGAAATCGATAGTTGAAACTGAGGTATTTTTTGCCTCCTGCATCATCCGTAATGCTCAATCGTTGCGGGAGTCTTCTCACATGCCCGAGTTAGAGTTTCTTGTGAAGAAGGCAAAGACCAAAACAACCAGTGTCGCCTCAAAATGATGCTTTATGCTAGCTTAGGTAGCTAAGAAGAAACCTGTTAATATGATACTGTCGCATCGATGACGATCGCCCAACCTGAGGAGCTCTCCCATAGTCCAAAGTCATTTTCTCCCCGGAAAGTGACTTCCTCCGCCTGCACGTGTACGTCAACACTTCCTAAGGAGACTGTTGCGAAAGTCTTGTTTTGTATCTTGGGAAAGGGCCGCTGAACTGCCTGTGGAGACTTCTTCGAACGGCCAAAGAACGATCGTATTGGTGATTTGCCTTTGCTGTCGGGAGTTTCAGCTATTTCTTGCTCCTCTTCCACTTGTTGCTGCGCTTCTTCCTGTTGAGACCGCTCAGGAGTCACGATTCCTCTGAGAGCCGAAGCTAGTCGCAGAGCACGCTCTTCGTCACGCCACCACAATATGTCTGTTCCTGCTGCATCGTCACGGACCTGAATTGACTCTCCGTTCTTCGACACCCATCTGAGCTGCATTGGCGCGGCGATTTCGTTTAATCTGAAAAAGGCCGTTTGCTCCCTCCTCTCGTCAATTCCGGCAAGTGTCCATCCTTCATCACGCCGGGCAGCGTCTTGCGGAACCAGCATCAACTCCATCGACAGTGGTTCATGGGAGTCTCGGGATCCCTTCGTGTGTGTCTCCGTCGAGAAATCGAGAAAAAAGTCTCTAACGAAGGGCATCATGTGCTGGATAAGAGTATCGTCCTCGCTGAGTCGTTGACTGACCTGCGATTGATGTCTCTCTCGGATCAAAGAAGGCAGGCGACTAACGAGTGCGTCTATCGGGTCTGGATTAGGCTTTTCGTTGTACATCGGCGGGCGAGATTGTGACCCGCCAGGTACTGTTGCTTCGCTATAGGAAGGCGGAGGGGCTGAAGACGAGTCGTCTGGGCCCCCAGAGCTGTCGCCATGTGCTTTTTGTGACATGTTTCAAGAACTCTGATTTTCGTATCTATTCCTGCGTTCCTCGGATTCTTGTCAGGGTGAAGCCCGGCTCTACCGTGCAAGAGAAAACCAACGACGCAAGTGCCTCGAAACAATAGGATGGGTCTCTCCGAGCAGTGGAGTTGCGTTGTTCCCACTCGATTGTTGGGAACAAGAACGTTCAGGCATCCGGTCTAAGCCAGTTCAAAATGCCCAAGCTGGTCTATTAGTGCTGGGCTGAGTGACTGACTGAGTGTAGACAATCAACGTTTGAAAGAAGCCGTCACGTCTCCGCCCCGTAAGCCGGACCAAGTAAAATGTCCAAGCAGCCAAGGCACGTGGAAATGCAGTGTGAGCCTGACAGGGGCGCTAGAGCACGCCGTGTCAACCTGGCCTGCACCTGGCGTGATGTCAGGATGCAAAAGCGCCACGAAGAGTGGCTGTGTGCTTCAAGGCTTCAAGTGGCAATAAGGTCAAAGCACCAAGAAATTGCCTAGGTTTTGATGATAATTGCTTTCGTAAACAAACAATATGACTGCCGAGGATTTCCGTCGCCAATTTCACCTTTTGAATTCTCAATTCTCGCGAGAGACAATTGATGCTCGGTTCTTCTGCTTCATCTGATCCAACTGCAATGACAAGAGATAGATATATGACGTCCTTTTTCTGTAAGCCGTTTGCTTCCGGAATCTGTCAAAGTCGGTTTTGACCGGGAAGGATTCAGATGCTTGCACAAATGTATATCGCGCAGCATGTTAGCAAACCGCAAGGCATCCAGATTCGCGCATCTGCACCGCCCCAATCCGTGAGATGCGGAGGAATCCTAACTTTGGGCCGCGGCATTTTCGACAGATTGTTGCCTACTGTGGTACATTCCTTCGACGTGACTTCATGCCCAGCTTTTCTTTGGTCTGGGAAAGTGCCGATTCTCCGATTCTCTTTGTCCAGCCAACTTCCGCTCACTCACGGGACTAGGGGATCGTTCAACATGTACCCTATTGGAGCATAGCCGCACGAACCGCCAAGTTATAGGGATTACATGACCCGAATCGGGGCGTGCCTCCAGTTCCGGCACTGAGCCAATTTCGACCATGTCTCCCTAAAATCGCTCTTTTCTCCTATGAGTGACCACAGCCTCACAAAGAAATCGGGCGCAGGACATCTGGAAGTCACATGGACGGGGCGAAGCCATCTTACATTCCCATACTTCGGTTCCGCCTTTCGGCCCAATGCGGGTCGATCTAGGAACAGGCAAAACAGCTGGCCATGCCAAGGGCCAAATGGCTGTAAGACCATGGCCGTGAGGCAGAAAACAAAGATCACGTTGTTCCTGCAGCTCATGTAGCACAGGTTGGGGTGATCCGACTGTACATATAAGACAGCAAACCCCACTCAGATTGAGTCTGCATTCTAAATAACATGAATTGATATTTGGTTACACAAGTTACTTGTACTAGAATTTTCTAATAACGGACCAAAACACTACATCCTCCGGTGACACAAGATTTGTGTCCGGCCAAGACCGTTTGCGTTAACACATAATCGGGGACACCATCCCGGCAGACTACAAACTTCTAGTGCTTTTCTAGAAGATATATATATTCGGGGCTATAGCAGGCACCGCGTCCTCAGGGTTACTCACAACCTATACAAAAGCCCAAACGGACTTCGCAACACTCATAAAGAACACTTCACTATCTTCCTACAATAAAATCACCCACAATGGCACCTCTACCCACCTACCGGGTCGCTGCACCAGACGAGTACCTTGCCTTGACTGGCATGGGAATCGACTTGGTCAAGATCTCGAAATCAGCATGGGTCTATCCATTCCAACGATGTACCAGGTTCAGGTATGGAAACATTCAAACGCCGAAAATGTACCTTAGTCGGATATTCTAACTCTCTTGTGCTCAGCGTCCAACCCCACGACTATGCAATGAATTTGCAAGCCATGACGAAGGAGAAACTCCAGTTTCTCCTGCCAGTCGTGTTCACTGTTGGACCTGATGTCAATGCACGAGGCGCAAATGCCAAAACCGGGGTTTCTCAAGGTCAAAATCACCAGCAGGAGGACCGAGGTGACTCCCTCATGAAATACGCCATGTTGCTTACAGACACAAACGCAAAGGCCAACACGAACACGTTCTTGGAGAACATCGTCAAGGGTATTATCGAAGGAGAAACCCGAGTCCTGGTCTCAAGCATGACTATGGAAGAAATCTTCACTGAGCGTGAAGAGTTCAGTAAGTCTTATTTTCCAACTCTACAGATCCTCTGCGACTGCTGATAAGAAGCAGAGCGTCGCATCTTCCGCAACATTCAGAGCGAGCTGGATCAGTTCGGCCTGAAAATCTACAACGCCAACGTGAAGGAGCTGCGCGATGCGCCCAACTCGAACTACTTTGAGTCGCTGGCCCGCAAGGCGCACGAGGGCGCGATCAACCAGGCACGTATCGACGTCGCCGATGCCCAGCAGAAGGGATCAGTCGGCGAGGCCGATCGCAGGGGCAGGCAGGAGCGAGAGCTCGCCAAGATCAACGCCGAGACGGCCGTTCAGAAGACAGAACGTGACGGCGAGAGGGCCTCTGCCGAGGCCAGCCTTGACACGCGCAAGACCACGCTCAAGCGTGACTTGGATATCGCCAAGATCACGGCCACCAGGGCGACCGAGTCCCGGGATGCCGAGCTGAAGAAAGAGGTCGAGATCAAGCGCGCCGCGGCCGAGATGGAGCGGCTGCGTGCCATCGACGTCGTCAAGGCATCCATCGCTCGCGAGGCCAAGCAGCAGGCCGCTGACGCCCGCGCCTATGAGGTCCAAGTCGACGCCACAGCCCAGCTGAGCAAGACGAACCAGGCTACCGATGCCGATGCCTACAAGACGCGTATCGGGGCTGACGCCGCGAACTACGCCGCCCTCAAGGACGCCGAGGCGAAGCTTCAGGTGCAGATGAAGGAGGCTGAGGGTTTGACCGCCATGGCTTCCGCCTACGGCCAGATGGCGCAAGCCTTTGGTGGTCCCGCCGGCTTGCTCCAATACATGATGATTGAGAAGGGAACATACGTGGAGCTGGCCAACGCGAACGCCCACGCCGTCCAGGGCATGCAGCCCAAGATCAGTGTGTGGAACACTGGTTCCCAGGCCGGTGGTGAAACTGGTTCCTCGAGCAGCATCGACACCATGCGTAGTAAGTACAGAAGTGCCGCTGACGCTTTCCCTTATGCTGTGAGAAGTGGTGCTGACCTTCACCTAGACGTCTACCAGATGCTGCCCCCTCTCATGCAGACGATCAACGATCAGACCGGCATCACCCTGCCTGAGTGGCAGTTTGGCCGCCTGAACAATCAGGCAGCGGAGCTTGAGAAGAACAAGGAGATTGCGAAGACCAACGGAGATAACTGAACCACCACAACAGTTTCGATGAAATAATCTGCATAAACACTTAAGTCTGTTATTTTTCCTTTGTTCCATGTTGTGAGCTGATAGGATGTCTGTTTTTGCAATACCCCGGGAGGTTCCAATTCGTGTACTACGGCGTTGGGTGGTACATTATTTGAACATTGTTTCTCTTTTATTACCTCAAATTGTAAGAGCCGTGTCATGAGCGGGACAGAAGTATATCGACGAAAGGAGTGATTTCTGTGGCACAGAAGTACATGACAATTTGGAAATTCGGCAAAACAAAGTCCAGCAAGGGCACACTGTTATTCAGTTTCTCTGTGTATACCGAGATAGTGTTTTCTATGTCAAACCTTTGAAATATGTATTTTTAACTGGAATCAACGATTTTACCAACGATCCGGTCGTCGTCAGCTGCCACAATATACCTCATGGTGGCCCGCCATTGAAACGCTATATCTTCACTTGTGGCACGTAGTTCTGGGGCTTGCCGTGCTTCGCGCAACAAATTCTCACCACGATCCCTAGGCTTCCCAAACAGCGCTGTAGCAGAACCAAGATGCCGAAGATGACTAGTTTTTCAATGAAGTTATCATTCATGGAGTCTAGTCCGGTAAACTTTGCCTCCCGCATCCACAACACCCTGCCGTCGGCCAATGTATTAGAAGTTCCCATTTGGTCATTCCTCCGCTTTGTTCACGACCTTTGAGGGACGAAGTGGAATAGACTTCTCAAGGCTCACTTCCGACTGGCTAACAATGGCAGGTTAGCCACCTGTGAGGCTAGAGGGTCGTAAGGTAGGAAGACTACAGGTTAGCCTCTTCGCATGAGTTTCTTCCATCACACCGAACATGATTTTCCTCACGTCCACGTGAAGCGGCAAGCCAGTTCTAGCGCAGCGGATACAGGTGCATTTGTTTCCCCGGGAGACTAGAAGTGCCGAAGACGAGGACTACGGCAAACGGCCCCGAAATGGTCGTTTCGGCGGGAGCATTTCATGACCAATCCCGCCGCATTGGTGCCGACATGTAGAGATTGACGGCTCACGCTATTCTTGCCGCCGGCCTCAATGTCATCCCGCCTAACAGCCTCCCGACGGCGCCCACGCAGGACGTCATTGTGGGGGTCATGGGTGCCGTATTTGTACTGAATGATCTAAACAGGAAATTCGTGAAGCAAATCAAAGTCGGCCTCGCGTGGCGTGTGCTGGGCAGCATCACCATGGTAATAATTGGTCACCATCGACTAGTCTTGGAGGTAGCACCGCCGAAGCAAAGTGGCTCATGGCCATTCCCAGCAGAACTTTAATTCATCAATGATATAATGCCATCACTCTACACAATGCCTGGGAAATTCCCAGGTATGACCTTGAGGATCGAAAACAATTAATTCGCTGACCGCAGCATCGGGTCTTAAAACTGCGACTAAGGAATAGGTAGCACGAATGGAACTCAATTGAGTTCAGAGTTACACTTGATTCGGTTTCGACAGTTTGTGTACGGTGATGAAAGCATGCGACGTTGCACGCAGGTTTGCGGTCACAGAAGGTTGCACTTTCATGCGAGGCATTTTTGACCATGAGGTTTGGAGGATAGGTGGATTTGACAGAAACACGCGTGGGGTACTGTAACAGCTACACTTCTGTCAAAAAGGAGGCAGACCGTCGGAAGTGCGGAACAAGACTCGCCCGAACAACAGCCAACGTCGCTCCAGGCTCTATCATCTAGTTCTTAGGATGATTGACACCTTATCTTAGGACAGCGTCATCCCGATTCTCTTGTTCCAGAAACTTTCAGATGAAATTCGCTTACACCCACCCGTCCATCCATTATGGGTCTTTGGCGGCCAATGGTGCAGGCGTCGTGAGGAACGATGCGGGGTTCGTCGGCGAGGAGGATCACGGAACGTCAGGGGAGCCGCGGGCTGGACGTTTTATCTGGTGTTTGGGGCGCCCACTCTGCGGTGTCAACTCTGGGCAAAAGCCACCATCCCAACTTGGGCCTTCTGTTCGCGCTCGACCTGGACTCGGCCAATGATGCTCCACCAGCCAGATAGTTGGATTCGTCCCGTCAGACAAACGACTCAGCGCGAGGAACCAACGTCTCTAATACAGGGTTTGATCGCTACCGGGATCGTCGACTAGTACTACTCTGACAGCTTAACGACACTACGCCATCATGTGGGGGGATCGAGAGAGATCTTCGGCTCCTGAACAAGCTTAACAAGCTTAAATCTACCACGATGCCAATACCGCTTGCCTGGTTCATAAGATGGCCCGATGGCCCTCGTCCTGGTCCTGCTCCCGCTCCCGTCGATCTCGGTGGCCTCAACCGAGAACCACTGTCGTAGATCCTCCACTCGGTGTGATCAGCTGTGTTCGTGGTGAGGACTCGTCGATGGGTTACCGCCTGTCAACATGTCTGTCACCATCACAGCGCCTCTAGCACCCCTGACCACCATCTTCACGCCGCCCTGCTCCGTCTCTTGGCTTCTGACTTCGTCCAAGAATCCATCACAGTTCCCTCCGTTTCCCACCACGGGGCCAGCATCATGCGATCCCCCTAACTGGGCTGCAAATATAGCGGGCAAGGGCTTCCAATACTACTCCCCGGCAATATGCCCAAGTGGGTTCGAGGTTGGGCCCGGGTGTCAGATCACCAGCACGAAGACGGCTGAGGGTTTCCCTGCGATCGAGCCAGAGGAGACCGCCGCTTACTGCGTCCCGAGGTGAGCACGGATTCTTTCTTGTGCTTCAAAACCGCAACCTGGGATGCCTTGTCTGACTGATCGGGCCTGTATAGTGGCTTCACATGCACAACGGACACTACGGACTTCCGGGGCGGTGTATGGGGAGCGACAAAAGAGGCAGGCCCCCCTCTGTTCACTGTTGGGCCAGCTTTGCAGATTCGTTTCCAAGAATCTGACCTGTCTTCACTTGAGACGCACCCCTTGACTCCAGGCCTGACGTTGGCCGGATTCCCTGCCCAAGTATCAGTCGCTGCTTCAGAAACGGCAGGACCAGACAGCTCCATATCGACAACGGCGACCTTTGGTCAATTCACGACAATCCCAGTGCCCACACCACCGCCAGTTACTGGAGGGACACCATCACAGCCTGTCACCGAAAGCAGTAGGGTAGATCCATCGACAGGTTCTCCCAAGATGAACAGCACCTCAAGTCCAGCGACTATTCCTACTATTCTTCCCTCCAACGATGATACCGCAGGCGGCAAGGGTCAAAGCTCGACCAGTATCGCCGCTATCATCCTTTCGACTTTGCTATCTATCTTTGCAGTCGCATTCACTGCCTATGTTTGCCTCAAAGGACGTCGCAGGAGATTTCGGCCAGTTTCACGGACCAAGCGCAAAGGCTTGTTGCAAGTCGGTGTTGGGGTCTGGATTGGAACAAGGGGTAGTGACGAGAGTGATGAGGAAGTGGCACGCGAACCGCGCGTGAACTCGACACGATTCAGCGCAGCTCAGGAACCAAGATTGAGCGTGCCACGAGAGACAAGAGCGAGCATCCCGCGGTTGCCCACCCCACCAGAAATAGAAAGCGGTATCAGGATCCCCATTTTCGGGATAGGGCAAGACCGGCGCTCACGGTTGAAAGTGCCTCCAGCTGAGCTGGATGATGTTCAGGAGGGAACGCCCTCGAGGCACGGGAGCTGGGTATCTAGGGTATCAAGGATGTTGTCGCGAGCAGCGCGGTCCTCGACCACGAGCAGGTCCTCGTCTCGCTCAAGGTCCCGCTCGAGATGGACTCGCAGGCCCGCGTCTGAGGAGTGGGAGCACTTCTTCCAGGGCAGAGGCCCCGGCGGCTTGACTGTCCCCCAGGTGACTTACACGCGGCCGTCCTCGATCGACTCGTCGTTCCCGGACGACCGCAAGGACTTTGACCTCGAGGATGCCGCCAGGCGGCTCCCGAAGATCAGCAGTTTCGACAGGCTGAGCGAGGGCACGTTTGGCCTGCGCGGGCGGTCGAGTGACAGGAGCACAAAAAGGAAATCCTGATGCATAGCACCGGCCAGTCCCGAGTCATGATTCGATGATATACTATTCAATGTAACTATTGATGTTTTGAAACGTTTCGTGACTGCCCGCTCCCTGTTGACTCAAACAACCTCGCTTGCTGACCGGATGACACCAATCCGGTGGCTGTGCAGACGGCAAATGTTTCCACTCCCACTGAGCATGTTATTATGTCATCCTAGGTGGAATTATTTTCATCCTACCTTTTACTGCTTCGAGGCCAACAAATCTGAGGTAGGTGATCATTGGTCAGCAGCTGCTGTCATGTTGGCAGAGTTGTTGCCTCCGAAGACTGGAGGACCAAAACGCAGGTGATTGGGCTTCGAATGTATGCCACCGCATATTTTGCAGATTTTGCGATACCTTCGATTATACTGAGTAATTATTCCCAAATCAAGTCGACAGACACAACTGTCCATTCTGTGTTGGATAGTAATCAAGTTGGCCCGTGATATACCAGTCCTCACTCCCCACCGCTGTCGGTGCATAGAGCAGCCCCCAAGGGTCATACTTCTGTTTCAACTCATACAGATACCCATAATTGCTCCCGTAGAACGTCTGCTGCCAGTCAGGCTCATTGATATCCGCCTCATTCATGTAGGCCCCCGCCCCAGGGCTGACATCCCTCCACGACTGCAGCAGCTCGACCAGGTTCTTGTTAGCCGCAGCGATGTCCTCGGGCGTGGCGCTGGTGTTCCAAGTCGCGGCGGTCATGGCGTGGAGAAGGGTGTTGCGCCACGCAGGAGTCACCGCGTTGGTCTGATTTACCTTGGGATTGTGCCTGGGCTTGAAGTTGTACCCGATCATTAAGCCTGTTGCCTCGACCGCCTGACGAATCGCACTGGACTGCTTCGACAGCGTGTCCGGGTCATCCCAGTTAGAACGAGGGAATAGCCGCGACGCCGCGTGGGAACTCCAGGTTCCTGCGCCTTCGCTGGTCGCCGGGAACGTCGTTGTGAACGCGTCTAATAGTCCTGGGTATTCGGCGTAAGTGATGTTGTCAGGTTGTATGCCCAGGCTGCTGAGCTCGTTAAACAGAGGTTGGTTCAGTGGACGGAGATCATTAGCCGACATATTGTTCGCCCATTGTGGCAGCATCAAGAAAGTGCATGTCTCCTTGTCTGGGCAAATTATGTACCAATAACTGTATAGTCCGGCGTCCGCATTGGAAGGGAACGTCGCCCAGAAGGCATCGACTCCTCTCCAGAAGACTTCAGTGTCGATTCCTTGGCTTGTGCCGAATGAGTATGTGATTGTTGTGACGGGCTGTTTTGGATACGCAGCGATCACGATGGAAGTTACAATTCCGTATGTACTTCCACCGCCTCCTCGCAGGGCGAAGAAGAGATCAGGGTAACTTTCAGAGTCGACATGCACGAATCGTCCATTAGGTAGAACCACTTCCAAGGAAAGTATCTGGTCAGCAGCCATGCCGTATAAACCCATCAAGGGCGAATGGCCACCTCCGGCGCTGTACCCTCCAGCTAGGCCGACAGTCTACACCGGTCAGTCAAGTTTTCCGCAATTGCAAGTGCGATGACAGTCGAAGACTTACACGTGCGATTCCCCCAACGACTTGCAGGTTTAATGTATCAGCAGCCTCGTACACTTTAGTGGCTTCCACACCAGCGCCGAGCTTGAAAGCCGGCCCGGTATAGCCAGTGCCATAGCTATAATTTTCGCCTAAGTAAACAATATCCTGCAGATACGTGGTCCAGACTGTGAGGGCTCCAGCACCGGTTGACTTAGCGTTGAAGTCATGACCTTTGTTCTTGACGACAAGACGCAGATTGAGGTTCCTGGCGAAGTTGACGGCGAGCTGGACTTTCGAGACATCTGTGGCATTGAGTACGTACGATGGGTATCCTCCTTGGGTGCAGGTTGCGTCTGGTCTTGTCAAATTGGGTGGTAGGCAGGAAAGGCCTTCAAACAAAGGCCATTCTATTCCAGTCGGATCATAAGACCTATTTCAATGTTAGTGCGGACCTAAAATAGGTAAGAAAGTCAGAAGAAACCAGAGTGAATGATCTGCGTGCATACTGGAATTTTGGGGACACCCATTGGCTTGTCACAGAAACACAACTCCCAGGATTGTACTGTGGCCAGTCCTCATAACACACAGCAGCAGATGGCTCGCCCTTGATGAGAGCCTCCTCAGTCAAGTTGGCGAGAAGGGACCATTGATCCTGAGATGGCCAGTGGCTCTCGCCGGGAAACGCCTTGCAGCCAGTTTCAGTCACAATGCTTGGGCCAGCAGAGGTCGCGTCCCCAAAGTCGAAATATTTTGCATAATTGGGATACAGGCTGATCAAATTGGCAATTGTGTTGTCACTGAGTTGTCTGGTCTCGAATAGCAATAGTGAGTCCTTGGGTCCGCCTTGACCTTTTTCGGTATTCGCAGGTGCTATTGCACATTCAGCTTCTCAAATAAGATAATGGAATGAGTTCAAAGCAACAAGAGACCTACCTCCGGACTGAATGTCCCTGGTGGCGTTTGTGGCTGCGAGCGCGCCCAAGGGCCAAATTGCGAGGACGAGCAACATAATGCTGTCTCAGCGGAATCTTGTAAAAAGCTCTCGGAAGCACAGAGTGACTCTGTTGATGGTGTCAACTGAGATTCATCTGGGGAGTACGCCACTATTATGGCCGCAACGTAAGGATGGGATAGGTCAAATATGAACACAAACATCGAACGAAGTACTTTAATCTATTATTATGCGCGCGGGGAATACTCACCCGGAAGAGCATGCAGCAATGGCGCGGCGAATGACGATGAAGACTGCGCCAGACCGTCCACTCATCGAGTAAAAGTTCCGCTGTGATCTCGGCGGTTCCCCAAAGTTCGGTAGCGAGCGAGCAGGGCCGATGCAATGCCACGGCCGAGGCAGTCGGTTTTGCTATGTTGTGGCGACCCTGGGAGACCTCCATAGATTCTGTCAGATTTAAATTATCATCAGGCTAGTTGACTCCAGTGTCTGGTAGACCACGCCGGTGAAGAGTTGTGACAGGGTTTCGAGGTGACCAGCTGCCTGGGTGGCCGGAACTGTGACCCCAATGAATCCTGCAGACCATGCACATCGATAGACGCAGCCGCTGTTGATAGTACGCAATAAGAAAAGTCGAGTGGCTGTCAACTGGTTGCGCTGACGGCCCGACGAGCCACCGTTCTCCGCTTCCATAATCGACATGCATATGACAAGACATGGGGCGGGCGGGCGACACTGCTCGATGCCTGCACTATGATCATCTGATGTTGTGACACGAAATTTGGGTATTCAAAGAAGCTGAGAAACCGGGTCAGAAGGGGGTTTATCAAGTTTCTTTTTCTGCAAGCTATATTAGGAGGAACAACGATTGGAGCCGGGCTTCAAAAATGTTGCCAGGGCGATGCAGTGCAACATATTTATCACCGTCCTTGAATACCTGTGAAGTAAATAGCAAGACGTCTCGTTCCAACGCAACCAGCATGTGGGACCAATACAGCAAGATCTCACGGAACACAACGGCTCCGGAGGAAAGCAAGGTGAAGAATTTATCCAAAAGCATTATCTAATAGATCATTCACTAAACGCGGATCCGAGCGAATAGATTCGTGGATGTTTTGATTATTGAACGATCATGCTCTTGATTTGTGGGTACTGTTTGACAATCATCGAGCGATATTAGTCGATTGATCGAGTATACCGAGGCGAAAATCCTGAAGGTAAAGATCAACTCTTGGACCGTCACACAGCCAAGAGAATACTTCTTCTGCTGATGTTGAGGAAACATCAACAGCCTCCTCACATGCGCAGAGCCGGGGACATCTACAGGTGGACGTACACATTGGGAAGGGTGCTTGCCATGACCTGTGACAGAGACCAACATGTTCATTCCAACAAGACATCGTCTTTGTGGAGTAATGGAGCCGCAACCGGCGGCCGACACATATGCTGCAATGCAGAAAGCTGCGTCTCTCATTCTCACATTCATGTAGTCTAATTCTACAAAACCCGACATGCAACCGCCGTCAGGATCAGACCGCCTGCTTAATCGTGTCATCTGCGCGATGCAACGGCAACGCAACTAAATCTAATAAATTATTAAGACCCCATCATCCAATATTTGGTCACAGATGGCCGTCTGAATGATGATCAGTGTGTCCAAGAGCACAGTCAGAACAGGCCGGCTCGAGAGCAGCCCACGGAGGTGCAGAGAGCTGAGAATTGTCACATCCATACGGACCTGTCCCATTCATTCATCATCGCCATTCCTGTATCAAAATATGACGACAGATTGACGTGAATTATCAGTCAAAGACCTTATCGAGGGAGGGATGAAGAGGGCTCGTGAACTCCAAATGCCATCAAGTTGGACAGCACAGGATTTCTTATCCCTCCGCAGAGAGAGACGGGCGAGTCTCAGCCGCGACCGACCCGCCGTCTCTTGACAATCCCACTGGTGCTCTCAGCGTCGCGATCTGTGTGATGCTCCTCGCCATCATCTCCCAGCTCTTCCCCAACAGTAGCAACCGAGGCGGGCGTCTCGGCCGATGAGGCAGCCGTAAATCCAGCCCAGCGGGCTAACCTATCACTTGCAGGTACGGCCCCGGGTGGTAGTGGCGCCAGTGCAACTCCGGGCTGCGCCTCAGTAGAGCGCAACTCCATGAGAAGCTTGTCGACCTCTGCGAACATGGCTTGGGTGTCATTAACGACGCTATTTTCGTCGACAGCGTATCCGAGGAAGCCCGGGTCAGCCCCTCCAGCGCCATGTCCGCCTTGCCCGTGGTCATTAGCCCCCTTGCCGCCCCGGCCACTGCCCTTCATGAACGCAGTGCCAGGACCGCGGTGCGGGTCCAGGTTGTACATGATAGCGTTGGAGAACATGTGCACCAGCTCACGCTCGAGCTGCGAGCTGTTAATGATGCCGCGGGGAGGCACAAGCTCTTCGCTGATGGGTAGCCAGACGCTGCTGGTGCTTGGTTCACCCCCTGAGAGGGCAGCTGCAGCGGTTGCTGCGGCTTTGTTCCCGGCCGTGATCGCCGCCCTGATTGATTTGAGATCGGTAGGGCTAAGCACAATCGTTTTGTACCCAGGGGCGTCGCGCTCACGGATAGGATGAGAAAACATGTTTGCATGCTTGTGGCCGGAAATCTGATCCAGAGTGGAGACACTAACTCGTGGAAAGCCGCGAGTCCAAAGCACATGAGTGGGAATGCCTGGAGGGGGCGGAGGGACGCGGGATCGGTTCTCGGACGCCGCGCGGTGATCGGATGCCAACGACTCCTGGCGCTTGCGCTTGCCAGCAACTCTCGAGGCTCTCGGTGAGGTTATCTGGCGGCGGCCTGATACACTCTCGTCCGCAGTGGTGTCACCTGTCTCTTCCAGCGGTTTGGGCGTTGCTTCCTCGCGCTTAACCTTGGTTGCAGAGTCCAAGTCCATCTCATCAGCCATCTCTCGTGTCGGGACGACAGACGGTGTCCGTCTTTGGCGAGAACTTTCGCGAGTCTCGAGCCCACGCTGTGCACTGCCGGAGTTGCTGGGTGCCTTCTTCCTGGCTGGCCCATCGTCGTCGGCTTTGGCTTTAGTAGGCGAGGTTTGGGACGTGTGCGCCGAGAGACTGTCTGTGTGTAAGATGGGACTGAGAGGCTCGAACGCAGGGCTTGCTAAATCGCCGATGCCGGGCCCTGGAGTCGAAGGTGTCGGTTGAGCTGCAGTCCATCTGGTGCCGCTGCCAGCCGAGCTACGGAATGCGAAGGGTACTGTGGTCGGAGTACGTGGTAGAACCGGATGAGGGCGTCGGTGCGAAGGACCTGGCGTGCCAACAGGCGGTGGAAAGACGTGTTGAGGCACAGTAGGCCGAGCAGGTTGAGGGTAAGGAGAGCTGTACTGTGGCGCCTGTGATGTGGGTGGAACTTGAGGCAATACTGGCGTTTGCCCTTGTGGAGCGCCGGGAGGATGCGTTTGAGCCGTTGCTGGTGGTCTCTGCCATTGTTGGGATTGTGCGTTGGCGGGGGAAAGAGGTGGCGGGGTTGCCGAGACACTGGGTGCGATACGGGTCGGCAGAGGATGAGGCTGTGGCGGTTGGAAGACCTGCTGGGTAGGCTGATATGGCGACTGCGGAAGGTGTGCATGGACAGGCAGCGGAGAAGGCCCCTGGGGCAGCCGTTGCGGCTGCAGTGGAGCTGGAGATCCGGAATGTGACCTCACAGGCGCTGGTTGCAGCGGAGGAGGCGCATGGCCAGCAGGTTGCGGTGCAACAAGAATTTGTCGTGGTCCAGACGGTCCTTGTTGCTGCGCATGCTGCTGCCCGTAGCCTTGTTGGGCTGGCTGGAGTGGTGGTTGGGGAGGATATTGCAAGGGTGCTTGCTGACTCCACTGTTGTGGGCGTTGCTGGCCTGGCTGTGGAGGGAACTGTGCAATGTTTGGAGGCGGTCTCTGATGTTGAGGGATAGAGTACGGCTGGTAAGGGGGTTCCCATTTCAGCGATCCAGGCACGGGGACCTGAGTGGGTGGTGGTTGAGACGGATGCCTGGGTTTCTGAGAGTTGTCCGGTCTTTGTAGAACATCCGAAGCAGGCGGCGTGGCGGATGGCGGCTGCCCAGGATGAGGCGAGAAAGTTGGAATCCCTTGTGGTGGTTGTAAGACCGGCGGGGTGGCACTAGGTGGTCGAGGAGACGCCTGAGGTACAGCTGCCTGAGCAAATTGTCCCGGTTGCGACGCTACCGGAGGCTGAACTAATGGCTGAGGTGGTTTCGGAGCCCCAGCTGCCTGGGCCGGGGAGATCTGTCGAGGTGGTGGTTGAGGACCAACGTGGTTCGGCGCACTGCTTGGGACCGGAGTTGGTGGTTGCGTGGGCGGGCCCGCGGTCCCATTAGGTTGTCGGGCAGCCTGGGGCGCATCGCCGGCCGGCGCAACACTTGGTGGACGACTTGGTGTTTCCGTGGGAGGCGCATTTGGGGTGGCACTGGCACTGTTGCGCAAGTTGTCTGCCTCAACCGCCTGCTGCTGCTGCTGCTGCTGCTGCAACTGTATTTGTTGGATCTCGGCCTCGAGCTTGGCAAGCTCTTCCTGTTGTTCCCACAGCTGCTGCGCTGACCTCTGCTTGTACTTGGCCCATAGCTTGCTCTCAGCATCCGGTAGCCTGTGGGCGTACTCTCGGGCTTCGTGAAGATTCGTCAACTGAGGAGCAGCGCCGGGGCGTTTGCGCTTCTTGCTGTTTGGTGACAGCGGAGCATCGGCAGATGTCGCGTCTTGTTGGTGTAGAGTTGCCTCATTCTTCAGCTCATCCTGCAGTAACTGCAGAAAGAGCTCCTGGAGCGAGTCGGGATTTAATCGCGAGGCATCATAAGTGGGGTCCTCCTTGATGGAGTTGTGATTGATAAGATCGCGCGAGAACCTGGGAAAGGCGGCAGCTTCGAAGGCCGAGGCGCCTGTTCTTCGAATCCAGGTGAACAACAGTAGCGATTCGAGAGGGGTGTAGGATGTCGCGTTAATCATCCCCCAAGTCGGTCCTCCTCGCCAGCCACCGAGGGGAGAGTCTCGCCGCTGCAATAGATGGATGGGCGCCACGATCTGCGCGCGCGCGAACCTTCCGCGTGGTTAGCAATCGCAGGCAATCACACGGCAATTGGGTCGCTTTCCAGCAGTCCAGCGTGCCAGAAGATGGGGAAAGGACGTACGAAGACTGCGAGATGGCGATCAGAAGCAGTCTTGATGGCTATTAAGATGATGTCATCGGGTGCGATGTGGATATTGAGACTGCTCTTGTTGGCGAAGGTAGAGAGTAGAGGCAGTTCGCGATCTGTTTTTTCTCTGGCACGTGACAGTCGCGCTCGACTCGCCAGCGTTTGCTTGGCCTCGCTAGAGTGCAGCTGGGAGGGGGGGCCGGCTGCACTGGATTTGATCGGTAGATAAGATAAGGCCATAGGACCCGACCTCGGCTTTGCACCCAGGGCAAGTAAAGTAGACTTACACCATGGACTAGACTCAGACCATTCATCCACATATTACTTCTTGCCTTGATATTTTCGACTCCTTTTCTGCTTCCTGGTTCTTGAGAAAAGGAACAGCGATCGATGCATCTATATCCATGAGAGCAGATACCCTCTACAAATACTTGAGGGCAGTCATCTTCGACTTGGACTTTGCCAAGGCTACCTGTCAATTGGACGTCGTACGTGCTCATCAGACGGGCGAGACTTCAACTGATCGATATGTTCTGATTACTGAAGGAGTCATCTTGATAGATGTCATACAAGAGTATACAAATGGTAGAGTCTGCCTGTTCTAGTGGTCTCTCCTGTTGTGACAATGAATCTTGGACTGGTCCATTTGTTCTGCGATAGTGACCTACCTAGATAACACGGTTGGACCGCGCAACTGAGTCTACTTTCTCACTTCCAGAAAATTGCGAGAGCAGCGAGTAGTCTGCGCGGCCACCATGGAAGCCAGTCTATGGGCCTGAATGTCACTCTCATGCTCCAGGCGGTACTAAAGCTGAGAAACAAATGCCTGACGCCTGGGAGCCCACGTGCGGGCATCCGCACCTCTGGTTCATTGTTGAGAACAAGGGGCCTCCTCTACACGCCAGGCCGCCTCACATCAGCGCCATGTTGCTACAACACGTGCAGAAAAGCGTGGTCGAATTAAGTGCATGCGGATTCATAATCAGATACATAGCAACGCCTGGGTATTTACGATGGACCAGATGCTGATTGCTCGCAATAAGTTGCCTTCCGTCACTGTGACACGTCTTCACTGCGAAATTCAGCCCGCATCGTAAGATGGCGTACAGCTCCTCAAACCACTTCCACATTCCCGGCGAGGATGAAGAGACCGAGGAGCAGATCGCCTACGAGAAAGAGATTCTGTCAAAGCAACACGGCGCTCATGCAAACCAACAGAGTCAGTATGGGTCAACCAAGGAGCAACCAAGCCTCGACCGCGGCCTCGGACACCCGGAGGAGCACAGCAGCAGCGGCTCGGGTTTTCGAGCCCATGTCAAGGACTTCGTCAAGGACCTGAAAGCCACCTCCAAGTCGGCGGCAAGTTTCGTCTCGCTAGAGTCACGACTGACCAAAGAGCTGGACGATCCCGTCCGCTTCCCCGAGATTGCCCAGCAGGCCGTCGTCAGGAAGGGGCTGGACCTTTGCCCCGAGGAGAGAGCGTTCCTTGCTGCGCGCAAGGCGAAAGTCAGGGACCAGTTTGCCAAGTACATGGGGTTGGACGCGGCGCAAGTGCATCCCGATGATGTCCCTACTGTTGCTTTCGGCGGCTCAGGAGGTGGATATCGCGCCATGCTGGCGTTTCTGGGGTACTCACTCGCGATGAAAGAGGCTGGCCTATGGGACCTTCTGACGTATGTCGCAGGAGTGTCGGGTTCTTGTGAGTGACACCTTGCTGGGTGAACCTCGAGCACTGAGACCAACACGTGAGCAGGCTGGGCTATCGCTGCGTACTATACCTTCGGACAAGCAGATATGAACAAAGTCATCGACCACTGCAAGAAACGGCTTGCACCACACCACCCGCTGTCGCCTGAAGCCGTCCAGAAGCTGCTGAGCTCGCCCAAGGGCGACTATGAGACCCTCGGCCCGCTGATCCAGAAGAGCAGGAGTGGCCTCCATACCGTGCCGATGGATTTGTACGCCGTATTTACCACCGGGTATCTATTCCTGCAGGAAGATCCCATGATCAAGCCAATGGGCACCGCCGCCTCTGAGGTGGCGGGTTACCATCGGGCTTGGTGGAAGTGGACGGATGCAAAGCGCCATGTTGAGAATGGTGCAGAGCCTCTCCCCATCCTGACGGCCATCAGACACGAGCGCCCATGGAAGGACTGGGTAGACGAACAGGATCCCTTCGGAAATCAAGACCCCAAGAGCAAGGAGCACCAGGACGCCTCTGATGCCTGGTGGCAGTGGTTCGAGATAACCCCATATGAACTAGGCTGCGACGAGCTCGAAGCGTGGTGCCCGACCTGGGGCTTCGGCCGACAGTTCGAAGGGGGAAGGTCGGTCCGCGGTCTTCCAGAACAATCACTCGCCTTACTCCTGGGCCTGTGTACCAGTGCGCCAGCCGGCCCGTTGTCGAGCTACCTCGCGACGGTGCAGAGGAACCTGCCCAAGAACTTCCTCGGGGATGCGATCAACAACCTGGCGTCGGGCGTGGCAGCCATATGGGGAAAGCAGGACACGGCCGTCTTCACGAACCATCATCCGCTCCACGCATCGAACGAACATAATTTTCTTTATCATCTCACGCCGACTCCGCCAGGGTTGCCGCGCCCAGCGGGGATAGAGAACTCCCCAAGGGTGCACCTGCTGGACGCCGGAATGGACAACAACTGCCCAACGGTAGATGTCACCAAGCCATGAATGCCAACACCGGGATAACATGCTGATTACACCCCTCATAGTACGTGATGCTCCACCCCTCGCGGAACGTCGACGTGATCCTCAACATGGACGCCTCCTCCGACGTGCAGAAGGACTCGTTCCAGCAGCGGGTAAGCCAGATCGGCCAGCGGCGAGGCCTCGACTTCCGCAAGCGCCGCCCTAACCTCAAGCCGCCCGCGCCGTCGCCGACGCCGTCCAACAATCCAGAAGCCAGCGACCCGGACCGCTTTCAGGGCCTTTACGCACAGATCTACGACGGTACCTGCATCAGCGGCGAGCGGCCGGCCACCGTGGTGGACTCTTACGGCCAGACCGTCACCAACCCGCCGGCACCCGCAGTGGTGCAAGACTGCACGATGGTGTATCTGCCACTACTACCGAACGAGAGGGCGGTCCCGGGCTACGACCCCAGTACGGGCAAGTTCTCCGGGAGCTATAACCTTGTTTGGACGCCGGAGCAGGTCGAGATGATCATCAGGACCAGCGTGGCTAATTTCCAGGCCGGGCAAGATACGGTCAAGGGGGCGCTGCTTGATGCGTGGCAGAGAAAGAAAGCGATGCGCGAGGCTGACGGGAGGGCTGAAGGGGCCATATCATCGTAGCAGGCTGAAAGTGAGTGCTTGTTGGGGAGTGTTGCTCATCCATGTGTGTGCCTACCTTTGTTACACTCCTGCGAGATGATCCAGTGCTGTTCTTTGTGCTCGAGAATCCATGAACACGAAGACACCCCGGATCATGCACGGCTGCACGACGTCGACGGTGTGTGCCGCGACACCGATCGAGTCGCCCAGCCCTATTGTGCACTACCTGAACAAGAGTTATCCGGAGAGGCCCGCCCAGGAGCGCCCGAGGGGTGGAATTTCCCCCACATAGCCTACTCACAGTAGCATGTGCTGATCTTGATAGACGGGAGCCCGAAAAGGGGTCGTGCACGCAATGCAATGAAAGCGCAAGAAATGAACGTGGAATTAAGAGCGGGTCTGTGCCAAATGACGGGCTGCAAGTGTCGTGGGGCTCTTCCTTTGATCCTACACTGCAGGAAATCAACCCCTCCATTATTAGAGGAAAAAAAGGTATGGTGCTTTTCGTCAGCTGGCCTTGCTTATCTGCGACTGTCCATGAGATGTGGGAGGAGTGGAAGGGGTGGCAGCTTGCTCCTCAGCTGACAGAGGTGAGCGGGCGTCGACTTGCGAGCGGCTTCAAAGAGTCGGTCGATGTTGTTGGCGGTTGTTCGGTCAGGTTGCAGTGAGAATAAATGGGTACCAGAGTACACCGTCAGCTCTCTCCGGATTGTAGGCGAGCTGGACCCACTCGGCGGTAGAATTCTGGATCTAAGTAGTGAGATTTGGGCGGTACACTTATTTGAGGTCCCCAAGGCCAGGATTAGGATGACCTTCGGGTGGGTAATATTTGTCGAGACTGGCCCATTTACATACGCAATGGCCTGGGTGTAATTGATGGCCTGCCGCCGCAGCCTGGCTGCTTAACATTGCCCCATAGCAAGCACAGCTTGGGGCTTGGGAATCGTGGTCGATCTGTCCGGACTGTTGATGTCCTGGCTCGTCCGGGGAAATGCAATGCGATCCAAATTTGGAGCCAACAGCATGGGGGTAGGCGAGAAAATAGTGGTTGAAACAGGGGTGGCTGTAGGGTGGCGGTGGGACGTCATGGTCAATCAAGATCATCAAGGACTCGGGGCTGGCGCGATGCCATGCGACACCTTGCTTGGATGCTATGCGATGCACTCGCGCCCGGGGAAAAAAAGGTCAAGGCAAGAGGCACGGCTGAGCTCTCAGATCACCGCACCTGAGCTCAGCTCAGCTCATCATTCAAGCAGCTCGTGCAGGTTCAGGTCGATTTGGCTCGAAACGACTCGAGCGATGAGACTCGATGAGACTCGATGACACCTGGCTTGGCCTGCTTTGGGGGTTCCCTGACCAGGTCCGCGGCGGTTGGGTGCATGAACTCTGCCCAATTAATTGTCCATGCCCATGCCCAATCTGGAGTTTGATTTGGCTCATTCCAGCGTCGAGCTGCTGCGCCGCGGGAGGCTTTTTGTTTCAGGCCAGATGGATGGACCTCGAGCTGCAGTGGGCGAGTGAGTGAGTGCGTGAGTACTGTGGCAATCGATCATCTGCAGCAAGCAATCCAGCTGGCCAGTCAGCGAGTTGGTCATCCAGATAGGTGTAGATGTCTCGTGGCGAGTTTGGGGCAAGATGATGATGGCTGGCATGTGCCTGGCTGGTTGGCCTCAAGGATCAGCAGCGTGGACTAGAGTGATGTCGACACTGGCAGCAGTCAGTCTCATCCGTCCAGTCTATCAAGGTTGCTTCTGATAGAAGGGCCCAAGTGACCTTGACTCGACTCGACTCGAACTTCGCCTCGGAACGACCCCTGATATGCTGCAGGTGGCCCTAGTGCTCGTAGGTGCCAGGTGCCAGGTGCCCTTGGTAGTGCCGGGTGCCCAAGTGCCTGGGCTGCAAGGTTGATTAGGGGCAGGGCCCAAAGATGATCAAGTGCTGGGAATCATCCCCCTCTGCCCAATCGTAGTGCCGTCGCTCGGGGACCAGGGACAAGGGAGGACGGGACCCTCTTTCTTCTCTGGCAGCTGCATTAGAGTGGCACCGGGCTCCGACCAGTGATTGACTGGGTTGACTGGGTTGACTGGGGTTGATTGCTGCTGCGCTTGCGGCTTCCAAGGTTCCCCTTTTACTTAACGGGCGTCTTACATCTAAATCTGACTTGACTGCCTGTCCCCGATCCTCGCTTTGCCCTCTCCCATCCCACCCACCTCAGCGACAAGACATACTTCCCTTAGTCCAACTCTCACGAGCTCGACGTATTCGTTACAGGCAGGCAAGGCAGACAGACAGGCATTCTCCATCTATCATCCCATTCCAACGATTAGTCGTCAAAGCATCAGTCGGAATGGCCTCCTCATCGCCCACCGCTACCCCTACTCAGCCCGCCAACAACGAGAACACCACAGCCAGCAACACCATGGCCGACACAGGCTTCTCAGACGAGAACCTCGACCGTGACTGGAAGCCCAATGGCCGCCGTCCCCAATCGTACGTCTCGCCTTCAGTCCTCGCCATTCTGCATCCATTTCCCCATCCCGCCCTTTCAAGTATAACTATCCTAGTTCAAGTTGACTGACACTGGTTCCTCAGCACAATCGCCCGCTCCTTCTCAGCTGAGCTGGCCGATATCTTCCGCCTCGACAACAGCGTTGCTGACCTCGATGCCAAGATTGATGAGCGGTGTGTAACCCTGCCAACGCCATGACGATTTCGCGCTTCGTGCCACCATCTGTTCCTCCCCTCACCGCCGATATTGCTGCACCCCAATCCGGAGAACAAAGGGCGCGAAAGCTGACAGGGCCGTTTTCAACCCTCACAGAAAGCAGGTAGTTCAGACACGAGCCTCCGAGCTCGAAGCACTCGAGCAGCGCATCAAAGACATGGAGGCCCGCCTCAAGCGAAACGCCGCAGCCCCCGCTCAACCCAAAGTTCCTCATCTCGAGCCCGTCACACAACAGGCGCAAGACCAGAAGCACGGGGGATCCCGACCCGGCACAGCCAGGGCGAGCCAGCAGGCGGTCCCGGGGGCCCTGCCGCCGACACCGACGGCTAGTGAAGGTGAATACGAGCTTCTTGATGACCCTTATACTACATCCTTTGGCCCAGAGTTCCCCCGATTCCGTCACCCGCACCTGGTGCCGCGCATGACGAGTGCGAATGGCACTGGCGGCAATGTTCTGCACCAGGCACAGCAGCTTCGCAGCCAGCACTACCAGAACGTCCAGCTCAGTCCCACAGCCACTCTTATTAATACCAACCAGCACCACCTCAATATCAATAAGAACCCAAGCTCCGACGCGAGATCAATCAGGAGCGTTCGAACTATCGGCTCCGAGAACGGAAGTGCTGACTTTATAATTGTGCCCGGTCCAGATGGCGACGAAAAGTTCTAAGTCCAACACCTATTCGACCTGAAGCGCGATGAGAAGAGGCGGACTGGATTGGCGAGACCTGGATCGAAATGGTTTATCCTCCGGAACGGTTGCGACAGACGTCTGTCTTGCAAGCCATCGCAAAGAGTCCACATCCGAGAGAAGACTGGCCGTACTGCCACAGGAACGCCCGAGCTCGACCGGCCTTACTCCAAGAGGAACCAACTCACTCCGTCATTTCGAAGCGCGCGTATCCAAACATTGACCGACAAAATCCAGTATAGACGATGGGCCTCAAACCGCAGGCCACCAACTCACTCCGTTGGTGCGCGAAGCCCATCACCACGAGCCACCATTCGTTTTTCAACGTTCGGGATCAACCGATTCCACATCATTGCGTAGCCATTTGTATTTTCCGGATCCCCCCTTCTGAAGCATCTCGCCGCCGTGCAAACAGGCACCTGTCCGCGACGAGGTTGAAGCCCAAGGGGGCGATTTCCATTCTATGTGTTCTTCGAATCAGGTTTTCTCTCAGCATTTTCGACCAGTTTAAGGGAGGCAGGCCGTCTGTGGCTCGCGGAGGGGGAGAGGAAATGAAAGGAAATAGTTAGATGAAATGTCTGATGACCACGATTATGTGATAGGACCAGGGCGGGAGGGTGATAAGGAAGCATGTTCTGTTCTGTCACTATCTTCCCACCCCCCAACACGGCACATGGAAGAGAGATGAGAGGATAGGGAGTCTAGCAGCAGGGAAGGCTGGCTAGCTTGCATTTTCCCAGGAGAACAAGGCAAAAGTGTACATTATTGATCATGCTTCAATGTGGGGGCAGCTGCTAATGTGCATGTTTTGAATATCTCGAAGGTGGTCCGGTCCTAAATGTCTATGTTTCGCTTTCGCATCGGGTGAACACGTTAAAGGCGCCGGCACAGGGAAGGAGCTTACAGACCGAATTCAGATGCCGATGCCTACTTTTGCGATGTTTCTAGGGATGGGAGATGTGAGATATCGGGAGGATTGCAGGCATGGCTTCCAAAGCTCGGGGCCATGCAGCATGCTAGCCAAGACAACACGGGGACGAAGGCATCGACGCGACCGCGACTGGCATCTCTGTGAGATGCTGCGCAACACTCACGATGTGACAGGACTAGAAGGTTATTGCAAAGATCGACATTAGCATTTCGACTACTTTTGAGTGCCACCAACTGGCCATAATGTCTTCATTCCATGGGTCACCACCCCCAGCATTACCTCCCTGGATACCTCTCGTCCCTTCAAAATGAAAAGATTAGCGCATGAGACGCAGCAAAAATACAGAAGTGATGGCCATATCAGAACAACACGCGCAATTCCCATCAAATTCGTCGTCGAACTCCTCGCAGGTCGACTAGACGTCCAAGTGCACCCACCCCAGGTCATCCTTCTAGAGTTACATAGCTTCTAGACCGTCAACGTGTGAAACAAGGTGGGAAACAAGGAATCTGGGTAAGGTAGTTGTTTCGTAGACACGACTTTGCTGCAGAATGCTGCCTTCAAACCATCGTGGGATACTGGACATCTCTTGCCAGAAGACAGGCACAGCGACATCATTCCTCGGCTATCAAGTGCGGAGGGGCTTGCTGGCGAAACCAACAGACTCCTTAGCGATGTTGAAGTCGACATACAGGGCCTTGAGGATGACATCGCCGATGACAGTAACGCCCATGTTAGAAGACTGCAGGCCGCCGTAGCACCACCCATCGCCCGAGTCCATGGTCGGGGAGTAGTTCATGTAAGCACCTGGCACGGTGAACTCAGTCCAGTCCTCCACGAAACCAAAGTGGAAGTCTGGCAGGGTCTCGTTGCAGCGAAAAATGAATCCATACTCGCTGTACGAGTACTTGGCGCTCGGGACAAGCTTCCAGTAGTCCTGGACCACATCATCGGACCCCATCAGCATAAGTGAGGTGCCAGTGTCGATGATGGATGGCCAAGCGTGGACCATCGTCTCGTTGCTCTCGGCGTACCGGAGAGTGCTCATCTGAATCTGCCAGTATCCCTCGCCAGGCATGACTGGCTGGTAGTGCATCTCGCCATTGTATGCGGAAGTGTTGACCTTGCCGAAGGAGAATGTGCCCTCGTTATGGTATTGCAGGTCGACAGCGATGGAGCCTATGCCCTTTCTCTTGAGTTGAGAAAGGATTCCATCGGTTACTCCGGCCTCCTCTGGGGATACTGTGGTCGAGAGGTTGATGGCCAGGCCCATGAGACCGGATAGGAACGGATCGTAGTCAATGAGATTCCGACTGAAGTGTGTTGCAACCTCGATGGTGGCATTCTTGATCGTGAGGTTGCCTAGCTCGACGTGGTCGGTGATTACACTGCCCTCAGCAAAGCTACCATCGCCTGAGAGCCGTCAGTTGGAGTAATCTTAGAAAAAAGATTGTTTGGGAGCATACCATAGGTTATAGTCCAAGTGCGACCGTCTTGGTGGCGAGCAGTAGAGGAGACGTTGACATCAAAGATGCTGCGGTTTCCAAGCTCGCCAGGGTGACTGACCGACTCAGGAGTGAAGACCCAGCTATAGGAGCATTTAATTTAGTACCAAGCCAGGCCCAGCTCCATGTTTTCAGGGTCCCATCTGGCAAACTTACAGGTCTGCAGAACCAGTATCGAGATCCAAGTTGAGGGTCTGGCCTGGAGTGCCAATCTTGATGGGGCACAGCCACTCACGATCATTCGACTCGCTGAAGCCCACAACCTCGCCGACTAGATGCTATGAGTCACCTCTTGTTTCAATCGCGGAGGGGTTGAGGAGATACTGACAAGGGCTGGTGGCCTTGTTGACACCATCATTGTCGGCCAAATGAGCATATTTGGCCAAGGCCTTGAGGTAGGCGGCAGTGCCGTTGCGACCCTTGAAGCCGGGGTTGGGAATGGTATTCATGGTGAAAGTTCCAACAGAGGGAACAATGCAGAGTGAAGTCGAGACCAAGAGGGCAAGACACATGCAAATGAACTGCATGTTCTTGGTGGCTGAGACCCCCATCGTGGACATTTCGTGGATGTTCTCCAAGAGATTCAACAGGTATGTGGTAAAGAGCTGGGCTCAATTGTTGAAAAAGAAGGAGATCAACTGGGAAGGAGGAAATTAGATTAGATCGGTGTTGCCTTTCACCAAGCTTGGTCACAGATTGTTCCAGGGTGTATTTAATGGAATGTGCAAGCTGGGCAATGGCGTGTAGACAACTAGAGAAGAATGGGGCTCAAGTGTGCTTATGAAGCAAGTGTGGATTTTGGACTTGCCAAACGCGTTACCATCGCGTTGCAACCGCGTTACATGAGCAGAGTAAATGATGGTGAGAAGCTGTGCAGGAAATGTTGAAGGTAGCCGTGTTGACGAGGAACATACCTTGACGCTTTTAGCGCGTTGGGGTCCAGCAAGACCAGAGGGGATGGATCGATGGGAAGAGTGAGGATTGACTTGGAGGAATCTGGAGAAGTAAGCTTCGGTGGTATGGAGTGGAAAGAGTGTGATGGTGAGCGGTGGTGAGTGGTCTCGAGTGTGGTAGTCCGTTGGTGATAGACGGTTGACGAGGGAAAGTGAATGTGGGATGAACAGGGAGATAATCAAAGACAAGCAGTGATAGATACAACACCAGCTGGTGAAAGATGTCCACTTCAGTCTGCCTGGACAAAACCCAAAAACAGAAACCAGAGCACCTGCCCTGACAAAACTTTCGATCTTGCTCTGCCCCTGCTGGGATGAGTCCACGTTTCCCTCACACCAGGAAGAACTTGGGCGACGGTGTATGTGGAGAATTCACAGCGTCCTGTTGCACTCCGCCATCATAGGAAACGGAACAGTCTATCTACCTGCCTGAGTACCTTGATACGGAGCTTGCGTCCTGCCGTGATGATGCAGCCTTCCATGCCTAGGTACTGAAATGGAAGGGCCTGGCTCATGAAAAGGGGGTTGTGTGACTGCCATTTCCGTGCTGTACCGCACAACACAAGTACCGCACACAATACATTGACATACGGTGCACAGCGCCCGCCTCATATGAACTCTCTGTATCCACCAGCCCCAGAAAATTATTTTTAGTATTCTCACATACTTTGCTGTGTCTCTAGAGTGGTAGGCCTGACTGATCATGCCATCTCTGCTGTGCCTCATCAATGACAACATTCATCTTCCTGTTACGAGCGTGTGCTGGTCCAGCTCCCCACAGTTTCGACATTGTTTGTTCAGGAACGTGACTGGTATCTCTTCATAATTGTCAATCTGGGACTGTGAGTGCTGGGAAGTATATGAGACCAAACAAAAGACGCCGTACATGTGCTTGAAACGAAACGGCAGTGCCACCATAAAAAAGTATTTGAGCATGTCAACGCGAGTTACACGAGAGACGCATGCCACCGTCGGACAAAATTATGTCAGATCCCACGCCTAACCGTCGGATGACAGTCAATAGACCACAGGACTACACTATGATAGAATCTATGGCAGAAATGCCCATCCGTGACTGCCCGGGAGCCCGAGTTATGTTACCATGGCCCATACGCTCTTTTCTGGGCCCAGAGCATGCGAGTCTTTCATATATTTATTTTCCTTCTTTTTTTCGTCTCAATATCTGACTTTACCTCACTTGAGAACTAGAACGCCTTTATTAATTCTAGCCAATACGGTCAGACAAATCGTTCCTCGACGCTATGTAGTGGCTGTCTCAGTGTTGAAGAATTTGGTTGAAATTCATATCTATTAATCTTGCCTCACACACAATTTTCTCAACCACACATCAGACCTTGGATCTCATTGCAGCCTGTAACATAAGTATCCACATCATTCATGGCAATAGAACCATGTTTTAAGATGTTGGCCTCTAGCTGGACACCAAATAGTATGGGAAATAATTTGAATCTATCCTGCTACTAAGTGGGCTGTATTGGATAGAACGATGTCATGGGTTCATATCTCATCCGGAAGTCCAATAACCTGATGAAGCCTTCTCATCCCAATCCATTATAATCATTCTTTTACTCATATCATCTTCAAAGTTAGCAACATCAAATCCCAGAGATTTCATTACCAAGTATGCTTTAGTTGGGTTCTGTGGAAACCATTACATCATTTGCCACGATGTAAACATTGAAAGAAAGCAAATCCTGATTTGGAAGTGAGTTGTTTGAAAAGCCTTTGGCGGCAAGGCAGACCGTCTGCACAAGTATGTGGAAGGCAGCGGCAATCTTAAGGACTCCTCGAGTAAGCCATGGTAATTGAGTGACTGGCAGGTATACAAGTAAAATAAAAATTCCCTCTAGACTGACATCTCAACTGCCTTGCGTCTCCAAGAAGATGAAATATTCCCACGTTTGCTCCTCTGTCAACAGCCACGTGTAACTAGCGGACGAAAGGCACAGTTAAGCGACCTGCGCCACGGCACGGCCAACCGACAGGCGGACACGAGGTTGTTGTGTCACGAACATCTCGTACCAGAAAAAGGGAGGCTTGGAAAAGTGGGTGCTTCCCGGTGAATTACTAGCACATACGGGTGGTGGCATGGAATCTCGCACGACAAGGCAGATCGCATTATGGTGACTGGTCACTAGCCGTGGCCCCAGAGTGATGAGAAATGGATGACTGGTGCTCGTTTAGGCTTACCCTAACTTCGGTTTGTACGAGGGAAGCAAATGAATGAAGAGGCAAAACTAAAACTACTGAAAGAATCCATGCTTTGTAGCGACCAGCATCCGAGCAAACATAGCGCCGTCGTCAGCGACATATGTACAACCAGTCATCAGTCATGGGAGCGGACCTGGACAACATGCGCCTCGTGTTCAAAACACATTTTCAAATTCTGCACCATGCCCGCTGTAGGTGGTCTACAAAATATACGTATACTGTGCCGTGTCCAGGTGACTTCAAAATCTGGAAGGGAAACTCCATTGACTTCTAAATGCAATGCCTGAGCTGAGGCAATCTAATTGATACAGTAGCTCACAGCTCATCCCGTTTATGCTCATCGCCATCCTTCATTTTCTCCTCGCTGCCCGTCTCTTCTTTCTTTCCTGCCGCCTCTCTTGCCGCAGCTTCCTCTGTGAACTTCTTGATCAGTTCCTCGATCTCCTCCTCGCTGGGCACCTTGCCGTCCTTGCCGATCTCGATCGTCTGCTCAGAGCCCGGTGTCGCCGACGACTTGGTCGCCTTGGACTTCTTGGATTTCGATGAGCTGGACTTGCCCTTCTTCTTCTTGAAGTTGTTCACGCTCTTCAGGGCCAGGTCCTGGCCTGCCTTGTCGAGCTTCTCCCGCCACTCCTTGAGTGCCTTCACAGTCAGCACCGGATCATCCGTAGCACCAAGTTTTTCTTGAGCGGGCTCTTTCTTTTCGAGCCAGGCTGTGATCTTTGCGAACAGGTCTTCAGTCTCCTTCAGGTCCTCGAGGGTATACAGTGGAGGCACTGGACCGCGATCCTTGACGACATCTTCCATAGTGGGGGACTTGGTGGTCGACGTCGTGGAGTCGTCTTCCAGGTCCGCAAAATCGTCAGATGGCGCAGCTGTAACGGTAGAAGAGTCTGATGAGGCAGTGGCCGATGCCGATTGTGACGAAGTCCAGGCCTCTGCCTCGGCAATCTTCTGCTTAATATCCTTGACGAATTCGTCCGTCTGCTTGAGCGCTTTCTTAAGACCCTCCAGAAGCTTTGGTCGTTCGGTCGACTCCTCGATACGGTTCTGAATAGGCGTGACAATGTCCTGCAGCTCCTTGATTCGCTTCTTCAGCTCGTCCTTGGATGCGTCCACACCCTCACCGTAGAGCCAGTCGCTAGCGTCACTACCCTTCTGCTCGAGCGATTTTCGCTCCTTTTCAGTAGAGGCGGCGATAAAAGACTCGCTATCGAGGAGGTCCCGAATCTTGTAGGTAAAGCCTTCAAGCTGGTTCAGGGCTTCTTCACGCTGTCGACGGAGTTTGTCGGATTGCTCAAAGGCTTTCAGGCGGTCTTTGGATTGGAGTACATCAAGCTTGTCAAGTTGGGCAGAGCCTGTCTTCTCGAGCTCGAACTTGACGGGAACGGAAACGATCTTCTTAGTCTTCTTGCCTTCTTTGGCCTCAGCAGATTCAGTGGTTGAAGCCGAAGAGGTAGTCGAGCTGGTTGATGTTGTAGACGTGGTAGTGTCGGTCGAGGTTGTCGAGCTGGAAGACTCAACAGACTCCGCGGAGGTATCCTCCGCAGATTCGGAGGATTCGCCATCGGCAAGGGGCTTTTGCTCATCCTTCTTTCCAAAGCCGAACATGTTCTTAACTCCATCAATCAAGCTCTCCTTCTCCACGACCTCGGCCTCACACTCGACATAGGCCTTGGTGACCTCGACCTCGCCGTTCTCACCGGCGAGGCGTACACCAAACTTGAATTGGACGTCACTGGGCTCACAAGAGTACTTTTCTTTCATCAAGGACACAGTCTCTGTCAGATTCTTGGTGTTGAAGGTCTTGGTGGCCTTCTCCTCCACACCCGGTGTGACATCAGCGGCTAGAGCAGGGGTCTCCTGATAGAACTCGACGGAGAAGTCGTCCTTGTTGTTGAAGGTGACCTCCTTGGCTGTTGCACCAAGATGGGAGGTGGTGGTCCAAAGACGCTGGTGACGAGCCTTTCCCTTGTCATCGACCCATTTAATGCCGGCGGGGTACGCGGCACCTTCAGAGATCCTGATTTCCTTAACACGGAAGCTGGGGCTGAGCTCAGCTGCGCGAAGACCAGCACCGAAGACAGCGGATTCATCAGAGTTGACGTTGCTGCGGATCTTGTCGCCAGTACCAAAGATCTTCTCCAGCTCTTTCTGCACAAACGGCGTTCTCGTAGCTCCACCGTGGAGAATGACCGAATCCAGGTCGTCGACCTTTAGGCCAGCCATATCAAGAGCGCCTTGAATTGCAACCCCGACTCTGGAGGCGTGCGCCTCGACCATCGTCTCGAACTCTGCACGTGTGATTTTGTACTTGAAGTCAACGTCCTCGTAGAGACCCTCAAAGCTAGCCTGGGAGTTCTGATTGGCGCTGAGAACGTGTCGCAACCGCTCGGCATCCTTGGACAGCTTCGCCACCGCTCTGCCATGTGCCTTGACACCTTCAACTGTCGCTCCGACCTTCTTGGCGCCCGAAGATTCGACAAACTTCTCAACCATGTCGTCCACAATGATTGCGTTGAGGGCATCGCCACCAAGGGAACGGTCCCATCCGCTGCCCGACACAAGTACCTCCTGGACGGTCTTGTTGAACTTGCCGATATCCTTGACAGTGCGACCCTGCATCTTCAGGATTGTAGCCTTAGTGGAGCCTGCGCCCATGTCGAATACCATATGATGCTCCGGCTTCCCGCCCTCATTGACATTGGGGAATGTCCGGCTTGACGCGTAGTTGACACCCACGGCAAGGCCGTCGCTGATCAGGGACAGGACCTTCAGACCAGCCAGCTCGACAGCCGCCTCAATAGCTCGCTTTTCTTCTATTGTGTAGAATGGCGGAACAGTTACAACGACCGAGCGAACGGATGTGCCTGGGCCCGCCATGTTCTCGGCATTCTTCTGGATGCTTTGCAGCTCCATGGCCAACAGCTCCTCTACGAGCCACGCCTGTTCCTCGGGTGTGAATGCATCCTTGCTCTTGAAAGCAGCAGTATTCTTGACCTTGTGACTCTCAAGCTGTAGGGCTGGGTGACGGGCAGCGTACTCTCGGACAGCAGGGCTGTCGACAGGGAGGCCGAGGAGGGTCTTCAGGTTCGGAAAGACGTCGCCGGGGAAGCGAGCGGACAGGGCCATGGCGTCAGAGCCGTAGAGCCGTTCGGGGAATTCCCCCTTCTTTGGGCCATTTTGGGGAGGCTTGAAGGTGACAGCCGAGATCTCTTTTCGTCGGGAGTCTTTGGTAAGGACAATGTCGAGGGGGATTCCTGGTTTTACAAGGGCAGCTTTGATGTACTCGGTGCCTAGATCAATACCTAGCACTGCTGATGCAGCATAGACATGTGCTGTGAAGAAGAAGACTGCACAGAGGACTATGCGCAGCGGCGACAACAGTCTTGTCGCCATGGTTGGCGAGCTCTTGGTGGGGGTGTCGAGCCCAACCGCCGAGATGCTTCGTTTGCAGCTTATGGGATTTAACTCTTGACTCGAGGTCTCCTCAAATGAATGTGATGTTAGCTCGTAGAGGCAAGGAAAGAAGGAGAATTGGCAAAGACAGGAGAGAGTTGAAAGGTCTAAGGAGAAAGCAATCCCTTATGTGTTGAAGCGCAGCCAAGCGCATGTGGGAATCTGGCCTTTACCACGACGAACTCGATGGAAAGCTCCCCCAAAGGACAACTTTCTACAGTGGAGACCCCTGTAAAGGCCATTTTTAGCATCTACTGGTACCTGTCAGCCATATCTTGGGGGAAGGTACTTGGCTGATAAGATAACAAGTCGCAGCTGCTAGGTGTCCACTTCGACCTTTCTGCCGCTCTGCCGCCCATCAGGGCTGATCCTAGCTATCATTAACGCCTTCTTGGCACAGAGCATCACTGCAGGTCGGCATGCCTTCCTCCTTCGCCAGCCTTCACTTCAATATCAATTTCCTGTTTGCTCATAAGCTGAAGCTGTCTGCGAGATTCTCGTACGCACTGCAATCCATCGCCTGTACATGTAAACCACATCTGAAAAGCTTCAGAAACTGTTGGTGGGACTCATAACTCTTGTAATCATCCTTACGCTGGCCGGGACTGCCTTAGTACAAACCCAGTACCTGCTATACAGCTGCCACGTAACGTGAGAGTTTGGTCCTTTATGTAGGAAAGATTCGTTATGCCAAAGCACAGTGCACTTTACATTACCCTTTTTAGCTTCATTGCTAGGTTTTCTGATTGATTATTCTGAACTTTACTTTATATGTCAAACAGAAAGCTCATGACGAAGGCAAATTCCTATCAACGCTTGAATAATTTGCTCCTGCATTGCTGAGGATTTCAGCACTGAATATATACTGCTCTTATCAGTATATTAGCCCTATTATATCGAACATCACTTTCTAGGTCGTGTTCCTCACATATTGCAGTCTTATGTAGCTGTGCTGTTTCGCTGTGCTGTCACGAGAGTTTGAGAAATATTTTGTCACCGCCAAACACGATTGTTGGAGCAATATATCCCTGTTGCAAGGGGGAATTCGGCCTTTTCGGCACATGTTAAATGTTTCTCAGCCCGGGTTGAGAATTTCGCTCCGTCCCCTGTACCAACACTTGAGTGTCTCCTCCTTTCAAATATATAGCAACTGCCTGCAACCCTATAGTTACTTCATTCATTTCAGCTTGAGGTATGCGTATGTCTATGGCCCAATCAAAATGGACGTTGTGTCTTAAAAAGAATCCGCTATCGAAGTTTTATGCCAACATAAACCCGTTGGCGCTAATTCGAAGCTGTTGGTGTTGGGTCGTACTCCTGGACAGGACCGGGGTTGTGACTGGTCGGGGATGTAGGCGACATGCAGGAGCCTAGAGAATTGTTGCTTTATTAAACCAAACGAAGAATGTAGACATGCTTCTTCTTTTATGCCCCTCACCCTTCCCTTTGCCAGGCAGTCTTGTTTCTGATTCTTTGCGACGTGTGCTCCTTGATGCGTTTGCATACAACAACTCGTGAACCGTGAACGCATTTTTTTTTATTAATAGCAGCCATGGCAGTCGATGGTCGAGCCCAATCGCCTGATTTCGCGGCTGGGGAGGCGGAATACCTCCAGAAGATAAAGTCAATGTTCCATGGTTTACAGGCGCAGTACGAGAACGAGAAGATTTCCAACCAGCGCGAATTTGAACGAGACCAGCAAGCCACTGAACAAGGCATTCGTGATCTAGAAGACAGATGTCGTGATCTAGAAAGGAAGATGGTTGAGATAAAGGACGCGCAGAGGAAAGCTGTTCAGGAGCTGGAGCTCAAAAAGGAAGAAAACAGACGGAGAAAGACGGCATATGAAGAATTAGAGACTTTACGACGAAGAAAATACTCTGCGCACCTTGGAGGGGATCTCGCGGCCACTTTGGGACTCATGTTGGTACGCGTTTCCTCACCAGGTTTCAAACAAACACGTTCAACTCTCAGGAACTGACTGAACCGAACAGGGTCCGCGTTCTGCTTTAAACGAGCATATTTTCTCTGAATGCGAGACTGCTCAACCGCCTGAACGAGACAGAGGTCAGCCTTCATGCCGCAGTAACCAAGAGGCCGATCGGAATGCAATGGACTCGGGCCAGGGATCCGATGTATCGTTCAGGGGCCCAGACGCCTGCGTGAACGACGAAGCAGAGCATAACTCTGTGGGGCAAGAAGAACAGGCTGCATCATCGCCGGCTCAGACCGTTGATCGAGAAGATAGCTCACGGGAATATCCAAGGCGTGCATCGCGCCTACGGCCAAGAACTACAAATGTGAGTATCTGTCCTCATTGCAGGCATCATTCTCCCAACGCTGTCCACGCTCCAGCCTATCATATGGCTTCCATTGGATCATCGTACCAAAGTTTGAAGATTGACCAGCGCCAGCAGACAAATAATGCGACGAAGGCCCGACTAGGAAAGCGAAAACGCGTCCCTACAGCCAAAGCCCAGGCTCTGAGAGGCAAGCCGAGCTCACAGCTGGAGGAGCTTGGCGGCGATCAGTCGAAGCGCAATACAGTCCTGCCCGCGGATGGAATCTCCAGTGCGGGCGGAAGTGTAGACATTTACGAGTTCCAAATCACAACGCCTGAAGCATCGGAACAGCCGAATAAGCGCCCAAGGGCGTCCAGATCGAATAGGGCAAGGAGGGGTGGTCAACAAAATCTTTGTCCAGCCTTACACGAACCAGACAATTTAGGTCATCATCCAGTGTCAAAGAATCTCATTATACCTGGAGTTGGTTCGCTATTCAAGAAACGGTGGAGTCTAAACAGTTGGCACACCTTGATGGTCTTTCCTGTGGGTGACTTGAACGGAGTCGGCTTATCCGGCCACATTAGCGACACTGTACTGTTCAAGCAGGAGGGCAACCCGAAATGTTTTACTTACAGCGGCAAAGAAGTGACGGGGTGGGCGGAAGGTTATGAAGATGGGGGCCCCCGTGTCGCTCAACGCGTTTTGCCTTGCCTATTCTTCCACGATATGTTCCACGTTCCATCGGCCGAGACAGAGTATGACGTTTCAGACTTACCAGATCAAGCCTTACTACGTTGGATGAAGGCAGAAGACCTCGTGCCGATCGATTTTAAGCATAAAGGTAAGACATTTGGTTTGAAGCCAGCCCAGAAATTCAAGGCAAGCCTGGGCGTTATCAACGAGCGAAGAGCTCTGGCATCTCGCCAGGCCGAGCCAAGTCAAGACGATTCCGTGGACTACGAACAGGTGAGTGCGCTGATGCAGGGGCTCATCGTTGAACAAGATCGCTGATACGATGACTTAGGACCGACAATCACAAGAGCAAGCGCAGCAATTGAATCAATCAGACATGGGTGCTGCTCAGCCTGCTAATCACAGAGGGGAGCAAGCTCGAACTCAACCCCACGAGGCGAGTTTTGTACATGAACTTTCCGAGGAAGTGCCTCCCACCACTATTTCTCCTAATTCACCGCGCGAAACTCAGGCAACACCAACTACGAGCCCGACGCAGGAGAATGTGCAAGACTCACCCACGGAACGGGTCTCTCACTGTCGTACGCCTTGGAGTCAATGCAGCACTGAGGTTCAAATAACCGAAGTCTAAACAACTGAGGTCCAAATAACTGAGGTCCCAACAACTGAGGTCCCAACAACTGAGGTCCAAACAACTTCACCAATGGGTCGAGATGGTCTCGAGCAAGACGGAACTAGTTCTCATCAGAGTCAAGAGAAAGATGGCGACCAGCAGCAACCAATCACAGACACGACAGGAGATACAATCGTTCAGCAGCCACACCAGGGTTCAACATTAGAACCCATGCTACCTGGTCCTCCTCAGACCAACGCTGATGATGCAGAGTCTGTTAACGGCAGGGCCGCCCAAGGTAATGGAAATGAGAGTCTTGATTTGGACGGGATGTGTTGGCTGGATGCAGCCCAGCGGCGGCAGTCCCAAGCGATATCAGACGAGCCCGGACACCATAACTATCCTCATCTGCTCGTTGATCCAGTCAATGCTGGCAATTCGGGCTTGATAGAAGTGGCATCCAAGGCCTTAGAGGCTCAGGGACCGGCACTGGTCGAAACTTTCCAGAACCCCGAGTCAGATGCCAGGCAGGTTCGCGACCTTTGTCAGGCAACGAATGCTGGGAGAAACCCACCAAATGTCCAGCAAGCAACACAGCCACCAGAACATAATGCATGGTTCCACACGATTGTGCTCTCCACAACAAGCAGAGATGGACATGAACATTCAGGAAGCTTAGACTCCAGCCACAGTGCAAATGCTCGCTCCGCACAGCCGCCTGTCCTCAGGCCCTTCCCCCCAAATCAGACTCAACGACATAACCAAAAATCTCTAAAGGCTGTCAATACGCCAAGCAACTCTCGTGTGCCTTTTGGGCTCCCGTGGATGAATGGAAGAGCCACGAATTCGCCTAATTGGCGTCCAGTAAACAGACGCGCAGGCGAAAGTGATTGGACTGAGTCCTCTTCGACAATAGAAAGTCCGGGTCAACAAATGAGCTTCCATCATCATGGATTATACAAATAACTTCAGTTGGAACTAGCCTGTCTGAATCGCAGGAGCCAGTGGAAGGATGCAACGAGCAGTAAGCGCTGTGAGTGCTCATTCACTTGGGAAACAATTATGTCTCACTCGATACTGACCATTTCAGATGCGAATTTTTCAAGGAGACTTCATGGTTGCCAACTGGGTCAAAGGCTACGAGCCCTGAGTTCAACGATGACAGGGCACCGTGGCATCGGGTTTAGGCGTAAATTTGGGCACACAATTCCACAGCAGACCATTCCGGTCTCTAAACAGTTTGGCATCAATCGATCAAGTGTACGATATTTTATTCAACAACGATTCAGATTGTGTTTCTCTTCTTTTCATTTCTTGTCTAAAAAGTCATATTCTGATAATGACGAGAACAGTTCAAGTCTGATGCAGTGGCCAGTCGTTCTTTGTCAGCTGGGATTATTTTTCGGGCTTCGTTTGCTGGAAACAACGGAAAGAATGCAATGTTAGATAGGATGTAGTTTCCAAAGTCGCCGGAAGATACAACAGTATTGAAGCTCCAACCACCGTGTGACCATCCATCGTGCTTGTGTTGGCTTCATGGTCTCCTACGTGCCTAAACACTCGGGATCATCATTCTCTTCAGAGAAAAGACATAAAATATGTGGCTCTGATTTGGGAAGCTTACAGCTCGAATTCCGTCAAACACGAGTCTATCAATCATTGACGTGCGCGAACGGTGACCGGTCATGTCCGCACATGTAAGTGATTTGGGACAGTCGCTATACTGTCGATCGGACAGAGAAGCGACCTGGCCTGGACCTGAAAAGCCGACTGGAAGTTCTTATTCTCTTCAGAGCACAGCTCTCATCCCAGTGAAGAGTTCATTCTCAATCTCGGTGTATACTGTACAAAGTTGCACACATGCATGACCTCAGTACCCACTCCGATTGCGTGCTTCGGCCCCGGCCGCCATCACTGACCAGGCCCGACGGCATCAGACTACCGCACAGCGGAACAAGACCGTAGGCAACAGGACCAACGAAAAATGTCACCCGAGCTCTCCAAGTCGTACCAGCGTGAGCTCGCCAACGCCAGCCGGGGCTTTGTCGCGCCTTTAGTTCCGGGCGTCATCAAAGACGCGACAGGCAAGACCGTATGGGACATCGACAGCTATGGTTTCCTCAACTCTGAGGGAAAATGCCCACCCACGGTAAACGAGAAGTTGTGGCGGCAGGGCCAGCTGACCGCCAAGCAAGGTCTGTTCGAGGTTGTGCCGGGGATCTACCAGATCCGATCGCTGGACATCTCCAACATGACCATCATTGAGGGCGACAGCGGTATCATTGTGGTGGATCCACTGGTCTCCTGTGAGCCCGCAGCAGCCGGGCTGGAGCTTTACCGTCAACATCGCGATACGGAGCGGAGGAGGAGAGTGGCAGGGCTGGTCTACACTCACTCGCACACCGACCACTTCGGCGGCGCGGGCGGCATCCTGGACACGACGGGTAGTGGGACCGGCGCAACGGATGTGCCGATTATCGCGCCACAGGGATTCATGGAGGCTGTCATGAGCGAAAACCTCGTCGCTGGTCCGTCGATGCACAAACGCTCCGTCTATATGTACGGCATGGCTCTTCCAAAGGGGCCGGATGGGCACGTGGGTAATGGTCTAGGCATGGCTAGCAGCACAGGGACACGCTCGCTGATACCCCCGAACACCCACATTGAGAGGACCGGCGATGAGCTCGTCATTGATGGTGTGCGGATGGTCTTCCACGTAGTGCCCGACACCGAAGCCCCGGCCGAAATGAACGTGTATTTCCCTGACTTCAGGGCCCTGCTTATCGCGGAGACGGCGACGGTCTCGATGCACAACATCACCACGCTACGCGGCGCCCAAGTCCGCGATTCCAAGGCGTGGGCGAGATCACTGGACGAAGCTATTGTGCTCTTTGGGAATGCCTCGGACGTCCTTCTCGGCAGCCACCACTGGCCGACCTGGGGCCAACGCGACCTTGTTGCTAGGCTGGCAGAACAGCGCGACTTGTACCGCTACCTACACGACCAGACAGTGAGGCTGATGAATTTAGGCCTGACAGGCACTGAGATCGCGGAGCAGCTGAAGCTGCCACCCAGTCTAGAGAATTCGTGGCATTGTCAGGGATTCTATGGGAGCGTGAGCCATAACGTCAAAGGAATCTATCAGAGATACATGACGTGGTTCGATGGCAACCCCGCAAGCTTGTGGAAGCACACTCCTGCAGCTGAAGGCGCGCGATACGTTGAGTGTATTGGTGGACTGAACCCTCTCTGCGACAAGGCTGAGGCATACACAAGAAAGGGCGACCTGCGCTTTGCAGCGACACTGCTCAGCCATGCGGTATCTGCATTTCCCGACCATCAAAGGGCGAGGTCGCTTCTTGCCAATGCATACGAGCATCTCGCTTACGGAGCGGAGAATGGCCCTTGGCGGAACTTCTATTTGACAGAGGCACAGGGCTTGCGGAACGGAACAAGGCCAGGTGAGAGTCAGCTTGGCCGAAGCCCTCTTGCTGATACGTTGACAGTGGAGCAATGGTTCGACATTTTGTCTGTCCAGGTAGACAGTCAGAAAGCGTCAAATAGCCGCTTCGTGATCGAGATTCTTGTCACGGACATCAAGGAGACCTGGAGGCTGGTTTTCAGCAACGGTGTGCTCAACTACCGCCGGCAGAAGGAAGAAGGCGTGGTCGATGAGAGACCCAGCCTGAAGATAGAGATTCCAAAATCCGGATTGTTGGATGTTCTGCAAGGTGGGAATATCGATACAGTGCCAGAAGCAAAATATCATGGCGACGTGGAGGTCCTCGATACACTCCTTGACATCATCTCGGACCAGATGTCAAACAAGGACAAAAATATTTCAGCTGAGGCATGCCTTGTCATCGAACTCGATTTCACAAGATTGTAGCCGTTGAGGACATGGGATGCTGGAGTGGAAATGGCAACATTGAATCAAGTAAAACCATACGGACGATATCCAAAGTACAGTGTCACATATGACTTTCTAGCAGCCATGGAATTCAGCGCGGGCATGACATTCCAACCACGCCATATCAATTTCCACAGCAGTCCCAACACCTGATGAGCTCCTTGAAGGCACTGGCCATATCAGCTATGTGTGAGCTAACAACATCGTGCCCTGGCTCGAGTTCCCTGCTGGAGCTATTTACGCGATTGCATCGCTGGCGATGAGCTGGGAGAGCCTAGACTCCTGGTAGGCACATCTTGAAGGGAACGAATCGGGCCGGAAGAAGAATGGGAAAGCGGAAGACAATATCATCGCGGAGGATGGGACTCAGAATGCTCTTAGTTGAGGCCCCAATTGATGGGCTCCCTGCCATCGCCGACTCGATGGCATTCTGATCAGTGCAGAGTAGCGGTACGGAGTAGCCGTCAAGGAGACACACTTGGCCCGTGATGGACAGGATCCACACTTGATTTCGAGAATATGAGTGGGTATGGTTATCGGTCCAGTGAGCATAGCATTAATGTACAGCTGAGTTCGAAACAGAATAGCCCATGGCGACCAGTTTTGTCGACTTGCCGATTGCAGTAACAGGGAATGAGTAACCTATCCGGCGTGGATCGTCTGTATGGGGCATGCTGCGGTGGCTCGATGGTTGGTTGCATCTTGCAAGGCAGACAGAAAGGGAAGGGGAATCGGATTATCCTGCAGCCTGGGGCATTAATAATGCAACGCAGACATGGTGATGATCTGGATCGAGTCGGTAGTGAACCGTATTCCGGTCAGTCCATCATCTGACAGTGCAACATTGCGAGCAGAAAAGCCAAGCCGTTCTTTGGGCGCACAGACCACAATCTGGCGCCGTCACGGTCTGGGATGACCGTTTCTGTCGAATGGGAAGCGGCGGCAGTCCTCACCGTGGGGGAGCAACAGCCAGCAAGACGCGCCTTCCCCAAAAAGGGGCGTGTCAAATCAACAAATGGCAGGAGCGAGATTGGGGCCACTTGCCCCCCTTGCGCTCTGCGATGCCGCTTGGGAGCCAGGCAGTGCCAGGCGTGCCCTGCCGAGAGAGCGAGCGAGGCGAGAAGAACAGGCGAGACTGCAAAATTTCCCCCACCAAAGCTAGGCAGGACAGGGGCCCAAGACCGTCCAGGGACTGCTGCAGTCCAAACAAACCGTGGCCCGCTCAGTCCTGGCTGTTCCGCACGCAGCGGTGCAGTGCAGTAGCAGCATTAGCAGCGGCAGCAGCACCCACAATTCAGGCTCTCTCCAGCAGCGTGGCAGACGTGGGCAGGTGCAGGGCCCCCAGCAAACAATTCCCACATCCACATCGCCCCGAACCTTGCAACTTTCAACACCAATCCATCCTCAACCTGGCCTTGCCTCGCCTTGCCTTGAGCTGCACCACCACCACCACCACCGCACCACCCACCCGTCCTCCCACCACCGCTGTCGCCAGATCGATCTTCGTACCTGTCGACCGTTCCCTGCTCCTTTCTCTCGTTCCACCATACTCGCAACTATTGTCTCTGCTCAACAGTCGCGACAATGCGTGAGATCATCAGCGTCAACGGTATGAGAACCTTTCTCTCCGCTCTCCCCTCCCCTCTCCTGTCCTCGACAGGGACGCGTTTTTCCTTGACCGCAGCCCTCCTTAACCCCCAAACATGGCCTGCAATGCGCCGCCGACCTCTTCTCTTTTCTGATATTGTGCTGACTTTTGCATTTCAGTCGGCCAGGCTGGTTGCCAGATCGCCAACTCCTGCTGGGAGGTAAGCTTTGCATCTATCTCGACTCGCGTGGCCGCCCGGTCAACATGTCAACAAATCGGCCCCCCCTCCCCAAAACCCCCCCATGCGCGCTCACCTTGAATGACAACCACGATGGGCACCACTGACCTTATCGCCGCACGTTTAGCTCTACTGCCTCGAGCATGGCATTCAGGTATGTCCAGGCACTATTCAACCGACCTTCTTGTGCTACATCCAACTGACGCGTTATCTCCTTGCAGCCCGACGGCTACCTGACCGATGAGCGCAAAGCCGCCGACCCCGACCAGGGTTTCAGCACTTTCTTCTCCGAGACCGGTATGCGACGACTCTCGTCATGCTATATCTCCCTGTCCGAGAGTCTTATCTGACACGCTGAATGCCTACAGGTCAGGGCAAGTACGTCCCACGAACGATCTACTGTGATCTCGAGCCGAACGTCGTCGATGAGGTCCGCACCGGCCCCTACCGAAGTCTCTTCCATCCCGAGCACATGATCACCGGCAAGGAGGATGCTTCCAACAACTACGCCCGTGGCCACTACACCGTTGGAAAGGAGCTTATCGATGGCGTCCTCGACAAGATTCGCCGCGTTGCCGACGCCTGCGCCGGTCTGCAGGGTTTCCTGGTCTTCCACTCCTTTGGCGGTGGTACCGGTTCTGGTTTCGGCGCTCTGCTCATGGAGCGCCTGTCCGTCGACTACGGCAAGAAGAGCAAGCTGGAGTTCTGTGTCTACCCTGCTCCTCAGACTTCCGTCGCTGTTGTTGAGCCTTACAACTCGATCCTGACCACCCACACCACCCTGGAGCACGCTGACTGCTCCTTCATGGTCGATAACGAGGCTATCTACGACATCTGCCGCCGTAACCTTGGGCTCGAGCGTCCCAACTACATCAACCTCAACCGCCTGATCGCTCAGGGTTTGTCTCGCCTGCTCCGAAGTCCATCACCGTAGGATGCTAATACGATCACAGTCGTTTCTTCCATCACCGCTTCCCTTCGTTTCGATGGATCCCTGAACGTCGACTTGAACGAATTCCAGACCAACTTGGTGCCATACCCTCGCATTCACTTCCCTCTGGTCGCCTACGCGCCAGTCATCTCTGCCGCTAAGGCTGCGCACGAGGCCAACTCCGTCCAGGAGATGACCATGTCTTGCTTCGAGCCCTACAACCAGATGGTCAAGTGCGACCCCAGAAACGGCAAGTACATGGCCACTTGCTTGCTGTACCGTGGTGATGTCGTCCCCAAGGACGCTCACGGTGCTGTCGCCACGCTCAAGACCAAGCGCACCATCCAGTTCGTCGACTGGTGCCCTACTGGCTTCAAGCTTGGTATCTGCTTCCAGCCCCCCGAGCAAGTGCCAAACGGCGATCTTGCCAAGGTCAACCGTGCTGTGTAAGTGCCCACTGTGTTCTCTGAAGACGTGAATGTTGCTAACAACACCCGCTAGGTGCATGCTGTCCAACACAACGGCCATCGCCGAGGCCTGGTCCGCTTTGTCCTCCAAGTTCGATCTCATGTACTCGAAGCGTGCGTTCGTCCACTGGTACGTTGGTGAGGGTATGGAGGAAGGTGAATTCTCCGAGGCCCGGGAAGATCTTGCTGCTCTTGAGCGCGATTACGAGGAGGTTGCCACCGACTCCATGGGCGATGAAGGTGACGTCGATGTTGAGTACTAAAGCGTGTTGGAGATTTGATGGAGTCCTCCTGACAAGCATACCCCGTTAACTTCACTGCTATTGTCGAGCACACCTCTGCAGTCCTGGTCCGCAGGGCGATGTGGTTGCGGATCATGGAAGATTAGATAGTGATCCTTTCATTCACTGTTAGATCGAGGCGGAAATTACCCAAATTTTAATCACAGGACAAAAGATTGTACGGAGCCCAAAAGAACATACTTTGTAAATTCATTGATGGAGTCCATCGGGTATGCGTGCAACCGATGCAAAAAGGGGATCAATTCCAGCATTTTGACCTGGCCAAATCGCAGTCGCTGACCTGCTATGCATATCCGGGACAGAAAAGCCGAGGAGCACTTAGCCCCAGTCCCAGCGATTGAAGCTCTAACGGCTCTCAGTTTAAGTTCAGTCTGTCACCCAAGCCTACGTAGAGCTTATTTAGCAAATTGGGTTCATTCAGTCGACATAGAGCCATTGAGCGTTTCTGGAGGAGTGTGCCTTGGCCGCCACAAGGCTAAATTTGAATTCTGTTATAAGGAGAGACAATTCCACCAGATGTTGGATATATTTACATGTAGTTACACCTTGAATATATGAGGATCAGGTCACGGTACTTGATCCGGTTTTGGTCAAGAAGCGCAACACTCCAAGGATACATCGCAACTACAGTGCTGAGTTATCTGCCCTACTCGCGGCTCACAGAACATTGTACATCTCCGCTTTCGAAAACCTGGTCCCGGTTGGAAGCCAGGCATATGTAGTCTGCACGTAGATATTTCTTCTTCGGCGGTCAGACATAGCTCTTATTAGGTCCAAATGCATGATGGCGTCTCAAACCGTCTGTTGACTATCCAGCTAGTATCACAAACATGGTGCAACCAAAAGCAGCCGCCTGATGGCGTCCACACCAGCAAACTGGTCCTTGCGCTAGGCACATCATTTTCTGAGACCGCAGTAATATCAGAGCCCCTGCAACTTCCGATACACACGGTGTAGTTCTTGCCATCTAACACGGAACAACACCTGGAAGTACGCAGCCTACAGTTCACGGCCTGCAAATGCGCGCATCAAACAGCTTCGCGACCTCACTTATCCTGCGCGGTATCATTGCCTTCCGCTCCTGAGGACCTTTGATAGCTCCCAGCAAAAGAAGAATTCATATTTATCAACCGTGTCATCCATCAGATAAATATTCACAGAAGTCAGCAAAAATGGCGTCCCAGATCAACGACAACACCGAGTACGACTTCGCCAGCGCCAACGCCGGCGCGGCGCCGACGTTCCCAGTGCAAGCGAACCACCTCAAGCAAGGCGGCTTCGTCGTCATCGACGGCCACCCGTGCAAGATCACCAACATCGCCAAGTCGAAGCCGGGCAAGCACGGCCACGCGAAGGTCGTCGTGACGGGCACCGACATCTTCACGGGCAAGAGGCACGAGGCCGGCGGGCCCGCTGGCCACAGCATGGACGTGCCTGAAGTCCGGCGCACGAGTTACATGCTGCTCAACGTCGGGCGCGACGGCTTCCTGACGCTCTTTGATGGGGCCACTGGGGGCCAGAAGATTGATGTTAGGACCCCTGAGGGAGAGCTGGGTGAGAAGATCAAGGAGAAGTTCTGGGGCGGCAAGGACTGCAATGTGGTGGTGCTTGGTGCTATGGGCCAGGAGATTGCTGTTGAGGTTGTTGAGAGGGATCGTGAGTGAGGCCCTAAATTGATGTGAGCTGGCAGCCTGGTACTTCCAGTCTTTGATACGGCTCAACATCTGTCGACGCTGTCCGTATGGTCTACCAGCCCTGTCGGATACGGGACTCTTGTGTTGTTTCGGGGTAAAGGATCGTCACACTGCAGTACTTAGCTTGGGATGAGATATTCCCGGAAACTCGATTTGGTTTTCTTCAATGATCAAGTTTTCGACAAGCACCTGGCAAATGTGTGAATGGCAATCGTTGGGCATCCAACCAGATTTGGGAATAGCCAAATCATGAATGATATTACGAGACCAATTCTTCACATCCATCTTCTCAAATTGAAAATTGTTCAAGCTAAATTTACTCCCAAATCAGGTGCAGCACAATATCAAGTTTGTCTTACTCCTACCTTGAGGAAAGGCCCACACCCGAAGAAATACTTCCGTTGCCTTAACTGGAGGCGTTACAGAGGCCGTCGCCAAATGGAAGCAGAAAGGGTGTGGTTACTAATAGGATTGTAGTAGGATCGAAACTGTCCCTGGCTTTTTAAAATCTGCCACCTTCAGGGTCAATGTCGTAAATTAGCTGAGGCTTGTTTTCTGCACATAATTATCCTGAGCCCTCTGTCCAGGCGACAGGAGAAAGGCGGTGCGACTCAATGTCCAAGAAAATGTTAAGGAGGTGGCGCTCGTAGTCACCACTCATCTTTTGACTTGGCTGTCAGTGCATGTAACGATGGACTATTCGCACCTTTTTAGGGACACAGAGTGTGATGAGATGCGAATAACGAGAGGCACAAATCTGGACAGTGCGCTTTCTGAATATTGCCATGTCACGAATTTCAGAAGAAGTAATACTTTTGAAGTTCACTTCTAGCGCAAATGAGGTGATCGTATGAGGAATCCGTTATTCTGGCTCAGCTATGTACAATTCGCAAAGTCTTTGTGCGCACTAACGGATTTCCGGGCCCACCGCTCCTCAGTCTGGTCCTGCAGAATCACCCCTAGTTGAGGTTGATCTGCATAGACACAGTAGACTTGAGGATCGAGTCGCCGTAGAACTGCTCGGTTCCCGCATTGGCCACGTTGACGTAGTAGTCGTTCGTGAAAACGCCTTGGCTAACCATCTCTACGAGCCAGTCCTTGATATCGCCGGACCACGTGCCCGACGCACCTAGATCCCCATTCGTCGGTAAGATGGTGGTCAGTTCAACGCCCTGGCCACCGGCAAGGTTGTAGTTGACCCCCTGATACATGTCCCAGCTCTGGCCCCAAAGGTTGAAGGTTGCCTTGGTGCCATTGTACCATGCAAGGGGTAGCTGGTCGCCCTGCCAGTGCAACCACATCTGGACCTCCTTTGTTGCTGCTGATGTCCAGTCATGCGCGTCAGGGGCTAAGACCAGGTCGAAGCAGACATTTCCTAAATTTTGTCAGTCTTGGGCGCATTTCGTCATGGTAGATTGGCCTCGACATACCTCTGAAGTCAGATGTGTTGGTCCTGGACCAAGTGTACGAGGAGGGGATTGACGCAATGTCACCAAGCTTCTCGTCCACATTCTTGGTCACGGCCATGTTGGAGTAATATTTGTTGTCATTCATCGTTGCTTCATCAAAGACAAGGTTGGCGTCGGCGGTGAATTCAACTGCCACTTGTCCATCGGCAAGCGTCACTACGTTGTTATAGGTAGTGCAAACGGTACCCTCCACGGTCGACTCAACGACCCGGCCGTTTGAAACCAGAAGCCCCCATTCATCGAGGAGGGTCTTTTGGTCATCGGCGCACATGTCTGCTGACGCAGGGGCGTTTACCACAGGAGTGGAAGACGGCACAGTCGACGAGGCGGAAGAGGGCTCGACCGCAACTGATGAGGAGCTTGGCTCGGTGATCGACGATGCCGAACTGGTGGTGGGTTCCTGAACAGATGTGGGAGCCTGGACAGACGTAGGCTCCTCAACGGAAGTAGTTTCCTGAACTGAGGTGGACACCTGAACGGAGGTCGGCTCCTGTGCGGACGTAGGCTCGACGACAGACGTGGGTTCCTGAACGGACGACTCGCTGGCGAGAGACGATTCTACCGTGGGAATGACAACAACCGACGAAGAAGCCGTGGTCGGAATTGCTTCGGCCGACGAAGAAGGCAGACCGGCTGTTGGTGTCTCGACATCGATCGTCGTCAACGATCCAGCAGTTGGGACTGCTGTTGGTGCGCTATGGTGAGAATGGCGATGCTTGCATCGGCGTGCATCCGCAGCAGATGCGAGAATGCCCACGAGGGCAAGTTTCAAGAAGGACTGCATAACGGGCCAGCGGTTTGGGTTGAATGATTGACTGAAGTGAGTGAAAAGAATCGAAAGCAAGAGTCCTACCTGGACGCTTGGAAAAAGAGTGAATCGAAGCGTGCAGAATGGCTTGCCAAACACAGTGACAATATCGAAAAGCAAACTTGGAATCGACTGCTTAAATTCAAGTCTATCGATCTGTGGGTCCAGAACTGGCCATGACTCTCCTAATTGCCGAACACCTTGGCCAGGCCTGTTCTGCTGTGTGTCACCTACTCGCATCCCCTTAATCTCTAATTAATATCTACCTCCTACCAAGCCATGCAGGGCGATAGGGTCGAGATTCGATAAGATCCCGATGGTGTCAGATGGCGGCTCAGACGCGGCTAATTCGTTTGGACGAACGCCTAGTTGATTGGCAGATTCGCTATATAGACGACACCCCTAATCCTAGCATGAAACGTCCTGGCCCTGCCGATCACCCGTCGGACATGATCTGACCCTGGCAAACAACCTTGGAGGGGTGGAGGGGAATAGTCAAGACATTTATATGCCTCTATGTGCCTCTCTCCTACTTTACGCATGGTGGTTAACGGCAGGATAGAGCTTCCTCATCTCAGGCGAGGAGGCTTTGCACATGTTGCTAAGCAGGTCTCACTTGACTTCAATTTTGGTGAAAGTGGACGATTTTGTTAATGAACTAGCAGAAGCAACACTCGTCATGCCGCAAAAGAATGGGGCGCGACTGTCAGTCTCGCCACTGTGGCACATGACAGTTAGTTACTCAGCAGGCGAGTTTTTCCAATGTGAGGCTTGGTAGAAGAAAGCGGGCTGTGTTAATCCGCCAACCACTTCCTTCCACCAATGATCATTGTATCGCCCCCAAGGTCAAGAGGCCACACTGTCAAAGCGTCTGTCCATCTGAACCGGTGGATGAGCAACCCGTCTTGTTCGTTTGCATCTAACGACCAGGCCCCATACCTAGCAGGCTAGCAGGGGCATCCCTCACATGCCGGGGATACTCTCAGTAATATCTCGAGACCTCGATGTTGGTCTGTTATGACAGGGAATCAGATTGCTTGCCTGAAGTCTCGGGGCAGGTACTAATTTGCACCAAGTGCAGCAAAAGAAAGGCATGTAGTTCAATGTCGGGATTCTATAGTTGTGGATTTCTGTTGTATTCATTAGCCAAGGCAATACCCTGCTGATCATGGGTATCGCGCAAATGGTGACGCTTACATTCGATTTGGAGTGGCTCGAGGTTGCTTGGCCGTCGTGCATTTTTCTTATACGAGGGTCATCTTACGATAAATTCACATTTTTGTTGGATATTTCCGGGAATGCAAGCCATAGATCTATTGTCTGTAGAGTGAATTGTTCCTAGCACGCGTCGCTTGACTACTCACCACTTTTACGTCCTCGGATTCGTTTTGCACTTCGGACGCGCTGTCAGGCCGGGTCCTGATCATACACATCGCCAATATCAGCGCGGCAAAATGGGCACTGTGTAACTCTTACCCCATGTAGTGCCAAAGAGTTTTGAAGGCAGCGTCGTCCGACAATATGCGAACATGGGAGCTGAAAAGAAGGCTCTCGCTCTGGACTCTCAGGTTGAAGGCCACCGTCAGAAATAATTACTTCCTCTTGACACCACACACATAGAACCCGCGGACGAGGACCTGTTCTTGATTGCAACCATTCTGAGATCCGGGCCCAAGAGACCTCTTCCACGGTGTCGCCTGAAGAGAGAGTCTCAACTGCCGCAGGGACCTCATTGGTGGTCGACGATGGCCGGGAGGACTGCGAGGGTCGCGAAACAAGGAATTCCGCCCGTATATCCTCCGGAAGACTATTGAAGATCTCTGGGTCCAGTTCTCGCGGAGTTTCAGGTATATCCGCCCCGTGGCTCGCGCCCGGCTCGCCCATTGGGCTCTGGCTCATAGGCTGCAGTAAATCATCGTTAGCTCTCCCCTCACCCGAATGTTCATCAAAGTGGGCCAAAGTTCTCATTTCCAGGATGAATTCCTCAGGGTTGTCTAAAGCCATCTCAACCCGAGAATGGGGACCATAGCTGTTATGTGCAGAAAGCAGAACGACGTGGGCGAGGTCGCGAATGTCCGTAGGCTCAGATCTCAAAAGCCGCATAAGGATTTCAGTGCGGCTGCTTTCGGTTGGCTGGTCACCATCTGAAGACCGAGAATGTGGTTGGGGAGCAGCTTGCTCAGCAGACGCGAGGTTCACGCTATCTCTAATGTTCTCAATGAAACGATGCGGGTCGTCCAAAGCCGCGTCTAAGACAGCAGAATTGGATTCATTAGCTGTCCTGAGGATTCGAAACGCAATACCCTGCACGGAGGCAGATTCGGCGGTAGTAAGGTCCATAAGTATTCGTGCACGACTAGGATAGTTGCCGAAGCTGTCAGCTCGTCGTGGAACGCCCATGGTAAATATTGTGAGTATTGACTTGTGGACTTACAAATTGGCCAATGTACGGGTGAGGAATTGAGGTTACACGAGCAAATAACCTATCTTTTGTAGTAAATTCAACTGTTGTCTCTTCTTCCAGAGTTTCGGGCCTTTCACTACTCGAACAATGGATTGTGCCGCCCTTTTCTTCCCGCCGCCTGAGTTGAAAGAGGTTCTAGGTTTGACTTTTAATGAACAACTGGGTCTTGTAACGTGACCAATGCTTGGTAGGTCTTTAAGAATAAAATGCCGTGATTACAACATGTGACCAGATATGAGAAAAATCTACAATGCACTCTAGGTACATTCTTATAAGTAGCCAAATTGGAACCTTATAACCCCTGTAGTTATAGATTTAATCTCCTTTCTATGAAAAACAGATAATTCTTTCTGACAGTGTTTTAACGGAAATTTCTATTGCCTTCGTGTTGCTATCGACGACGGGTTCTTGGCGTTGATGTACTCGACTTGATAGGGAATGTTGGTCCTCGTCGGCAATCGCTCTTTATGAAAGTGATCATTCCGCGAAATTGCTTCATTAAGTAGCTTCAGCCGAATGAACTCTCTACGCCATTTGACTTACTTGTGGGTCGTTACTCCGAGACATGATCGCATTTCACATCGTTGCGAGGTAAGTTTTGGCTTTTCTTGCCAAGTATTTGCTCCGATATCGACTGCCTGCCTACTGTATCTACATATTAACAACCACACAACCCCAGTAACAAACGAGAGTGACCGAGTGTCAGAAGATCCGAATCAGATCCACTTGAATGCGGCCGGCTCCCACCCGACGTGTGCAGGTCATATTCGCCCCGGTCTTTTACGCGCCGGTCTTTGTGCGGAGTCGGTTCCGGTCGCTGGCCAATAAGTGTGCTGACTGGGCCTCTGGGCTGCCGCGCTTCACACCACCATTTAAGGTGTTGTAGGATCTGTAACGAAGGACTGGGTGAAGCAACGTTGTCAACAGGTTGTATCACCAGCCAGAACGGCGAGTCATCCATCGCAAGTGGACCGGGGAAATGGCAAATAGCTGGATCTGGGGAAGTGATCATGCACACCCATTTTTGGTAAGCTGTCTCTTGTTATGCCACGCTGCAACGACCAATCGACACAATTTCGGCTCTATTCAATGGTTCAGTGCAATCGTTCCTATTTGGTATTGTGTTTGGCACATGCGATGCAGGTTTGAAAGCACTCTGAGAGGACTAGTGTCCAGCCGCGAGGGCTAGGGGCTTGCCCCTGACTCTCGCTTACCGGAAGCGCAGCTGACCCTCCTGCAAATATGACATCCACGAGGCCTGAATAGACGTAATAATTGAGACAAATTTTAGTGATTAGTGAAGACAGCCGAGGCAATATGTATGCTGGCGGATCTCCCATTGGCAAGGGCAGAGTTGCAGCATCCATAGATCTAGAAGGCCAGCCAGCCCTCCTTCTGGTGAGAAAACGCTCGAGTGGCAGAAGGATTGCAGCAACCTTCCAGAATCCCAGCAGTCATTGAATCGTCATGTGGCGCAGCAGCAATGAACCACAACCTCGGGCCTTCTTAACGTTGCAACCAAATCCTTTCGAGAAGGATGTTCTTCTCACAGCCAGAGTGGCTCAGGATTGTGATGCGAATGAAGTCGATCTTTTGAGCCCGCGAAAGGGCATTCAAGCCAGGATTCAGTCCTATACAGCAGTGAGATACAGTTTTCTCATACTAAACTTGCCTTCGATCATTTTCAACTGTTCAGACATCGTTCATATAACTATGGGAGAGACAATCAAGTCGAAGTGTGTTCAGACTCGGCTTCTGGCCGCTGTTCGGATTTATGACAGCTTATGATCTGGGTAACACAAGCTAGCAATAGGTCAGATGTGGCACACATATCCTTGCTCATTCGTCCAAGCCTGAACAATTTTGAGCAATTACTGTCCCTGTTGGGTAGTCTTTAATTGGGTCATGGCAGGACCGTGACGTCGTCGGTCACCTTGCCTGATCAACTTCGAACATTCATTGTCCCTGTTGGGAAATCTTCTATTGGGGCCTTCGAGGATCGTGACAATGTCAGTCACCCTCGAGTGAACTCATGGAGCTCATTCTGTTTCATTCCGTGCAACCCCCTGGTTATTTCATGTCTCCTGATGCTTTGCAACGGGCTTTGACAGAGTAATGGGGTTCGGCGAGCGACGAGACAAGCTGCGTGTTGTTCATGTGGCAATATGGGGCTTGAAGTGGGAGATGCAACCCGTGAGCATGTCCTGGAAGCCGTGGGCGCCGCAGCTAGGGGCGAGTGAATACAGAGAAGATTCCCTTAGTGAGGACGATATAAATTGCCAGTAATAGACCGCACAGCATTGATCGTGGGTCCATTGTGTACTTTATAATCTTCCGAGACAGCTTTCAGTGTACCAGAAAGTTTTCATTCACGGAGACGATCGCAATGGAGTCTCTACTCAAATTTATTGCAGTCATTCTACTCTGTGTCGTATCTCCAGTTGTGTCTAGGCCCAGCTATGAGATTGCGGCACGTCAGACAACCGACAGGCTCGTTTTCTGTCACTTCATGGTGGGTCTTCTGAAATCCGACTCTGAGGTTCCGCCTACCTTGACTTGTTCAAGACTAAGAAAAGTGACAGATCGGCATCGTATCTGATCGCACCGGCCCAGCAGACTTCGATGCGGACATGCAGAGGGCCAAGGCGCTCGGCATCGACGCTTTTGCCCTCAACATCGGCGTTGACCCGTACACTGACGCACAGCTGAGCTATGCCTACCAGTCTGCTGCAAACAACGGCATGAAAGTGTTCATCTCGTTCGACTTCAACTGGTATCACACGAGCCAGGGGACAGAAGTCGGGCAGAAGATCGCCCAGTATGCCACTTCCTATCCCACGTCTCAGCTCTACGTCGACGGCAAGATCTTCGCCTCGAGCTTTGCTGGAGATGGAGTTGATGTGAATGCGATCCGCACCGCTGCAGGGGCACCGATCTTCTGGGCCCCCAACTTCCACCCTTCCCAAGGCACTAACTTTAGTACTGTCGATGGTGCTCTGAATTGGATGGTACGTGTCTCACGATGTCTTGCATAAGAGCTGTTTAGCTGACTCACAGCGTCTAGGCTTGGCCGAACAACGGCAACAACAAAGCTCCTACGCCTGGTAATAATGTCACAGTCGAGGATGGCGATCAGGAATACATTACAGCACTTGCTGGCAAGCCTTATATTGCTCGTGAGTGACTTTGCTCGCCTCTGAAAATTTTGACACATTCTGATGCTGCATCAGCCGTCTCTCCATGGTTCAGCACCCATTTTGGACCGGTAAGTGAAATTTACTTTTATTCAACACTCTAGAATTTAAGCTCGTTGAACTAATTCATGAGCTTCTTTTCCTTACAGGAGGTACCATATAGCAAGAACTGGGTGTTTCCTGGAGACCTACTTTGGTACCAGCGATGGAACGAGATCCTGACCCTTGGACCACGTTTTCTTGAGATTATTACATGGAACGACTACGGAGAGTCTCACTATATTGGGCCACTTGCCTCAAAGCACACGGATGACGGCAATTCTAAGTGGACCAACGATATGTGAGTAAAGTTCGGTGGAGACTCTCGAGCTGTGCGATGCTGATGTCTTTATAACTTAGGCCTCATGGTGGCTGGATGGACATGGCGAAGCCCTTCATCTCGGCTTACAAGAACGGGGCGACTTCCGCAGCGACCTACGTCTCATCTGATCAGCTAATCTATTGGTACCGACCAACTCTCAGGAGCATCAACTGCGATGCCACAGATACTACAATGGTCTCAGCAGACAACAGCTCGGGCAACTACTTTATGGGTCGTCCAAACGGCTACGAAACACTCGCTGATGCCGTTTTCGTTGTGTCAATGCTCAAGACGCCAGGGACCGTGACAGTTATGTCCGGCAACAATGTGCAGTCGTTCAGTGCTCCCGCTGGAATCTCGGCTTACCAGGTAGACATGCAAATCGGAAAGCAGCAGTTCTTTCTGGCGCGGAACGGCCAGACGGTCATGAGCTCTGTGAGCCTGAAGAACATCTCGGACGTCTGTCCCTGCGGCATCTACAACTTCAACGCCTACGTCGGATCCGTACCGGACGAGCCTTCTGATCCACTAGGACCAGATGCTTTGGCCTCGTTGACCGCTGGTCTGCATGTAACCACCTGCTCTGCTACGCCGTCCCTGGGCACTGCGCCAGTGAGCCCGACAACGACTCCACCAACGACCTCTGTCACAACCACGACATCTACCTCTACATCAACCACGACACCAACCACGACGACAACCACGACACCGACCACGACCTCAACCACAACCTCGAAACCCACGTCAACTACCAGTTCCACCACGAGCACCACCCCAACCTCTACATCTACCTCGAGTACTACTTCTGCAACTCCAAGCCCAACAGGAGTTTGCAACGCAGGCACCGGGCCAGGGAACTATGTCGGTCTCTGCAGCTTCTGCTGCAACTTCGGGTACTGCCCTCCAGGGCCATGTACTTGTACGTCTTACGGAGCGCAGGTTGCTCCGCCGCCAGAGACAGGCACAGTGGGAAAGCCGCTGCCGAGCGAGGACGACAGCTATCTGGGCTTGTGTAGCTACGCGTGTAACCATGGGTATTGCCCGTCGACGGCGTGTCAGGTGGTATCGTAATTCAGACCCCAATGGGGAATCCTGGATTGATTCACTGCTCTGGAAGGTTTTGACCCGGGAGAGATCGATACCCCGGAAACTCATAGTAGTTGCTAGTTGCAAATCGAGAATACTGGGTACCTCGTACCTTTGTTTTGGGACCACAGTGGTGTCATAACCAGTTGTGCATCTAGAAGCTTGTCCCATCGACTTACGGTGTATTAAGCTTTCTCTTACATACTTCAACTCGTCCTAGTGAGATGACAGGACACCGAGATACCAGCAAAAGAATTAGCCTTTCCCTTTCTCTCCGCACGTTCGGGCCGTCTTGGTCCTCGTAGAATGGTTCAATGTCTGCACCGTCCTGCTCTAATTTCGTGACATTTTTTACATCCGACAGACAGAAGTTCTGCTCTGTTGTAAATGCTATTCGACGGCAGTTGGCTTGTCATCCAGTCCCCCAGTCTCTCTGGGGCAAACTTAGTTTTGGCTCGGACTCTTCAAGCTGACAATCAGATGTCTGTGCAACGACCTCATCCAGATCTCCTGGAAATAGATCCACCCATGCGCAATCCATCCGATCTCCGCTGTCAGAGCGGCTCAGCATCTTGGCACTGAGCCTCAGTGGGTTGCCCAATAAGGCTTTGGAAGCTCACCAATGGCCCCCGCTTTACCCACAGGAGGACCCTGAATCCCCTGAAACATGACGTCCTTTGTGGCCGGGGGGCTGGAGGCCTGTTTCAACCCCATCAGCTCGGATGCAAGTGCATATAGATAGCTTCTTCTTGACACTGACTCTATTGACTTGACATTTCATAAACACCATTTCCCATCCCAGTCCGTCGTTATCCTAATCTCTCATCTTACACATCAACATTCCATCTCCATCAAAAATGGCTCCCCACGAAGGTCTTGTCCACCCCAAAGAGTACGACATCAAGGACAGCAATGTCGAGCTCATCGGCAGTGAGATCGACCACCAGGTCAAGTACAAGAGCGCCACAACAGAGCCAGCCTGGAACGACGGCCAGGTAGGCGTCTCACCAGGGCTGTACATCTGGCGCATCGAGAACTTCGAGGTCGTCCCCTGGCCCAAGGACAAGTACGGCCAGTTCATGGACGGCGACAGCTTCATCGTGCTGTACACGTACAAGGTGGGCGAGGGCGAGAACGAGCACCTGGGCCACGACATCTTCTTCTGGCTGGGCGCGCACACGTCGCAGGACGAGGCGGGGACCGCCGCGTACAAGACGGTCGAGCTGGACGAGTTCCTGCACGGCAAGGCGACGCAGCACCGCGAGGTGCAGGCGGGGCCCAGCGACGCCTTCATGGAGCTGTTCTCGAGGCTGCAGATCCGCTCCGGCGGCGTGCGCTCCGGCTTCACGCACGTCGAGGAGGAGGCCAAGGAGGAGGTCACCACGCTGCTGCGCGTGTTCAAGATCCCCGGGTCGAAGCGCGACTCGGTCGTCGTGCACGAGGTCGCGCCCACGTGGGAGAGCCTGGACGAGGACGACGTGTTCGTCCTCGACAAGGGCGACAAGATCTGGGTCTGGCAGGGCAAGAACTGCTCGCCCATGGAGAAGGCCAAGGCCGCGCAGATTGTCCACGACATGACGATTGCCAAGCATGTTGATGTGGAGGTCCTCTCGCAGACCGAGTCGCGGTCGAGGCTCGTGGTGGACATGCTCGGCGGCGACAAGGATGCCACGCCGGCTGCGGAGGAGTACCACCGCTCGCGGCCCTTGGCGCGCCCGACCGAGGGGCGCAGGCAAAAGAAGCTGTTCAAGCTGAGCGACGAATCTGGGCAGCTCAGCTTTGGCCAGGTGAAGGAGGGCTCTTCCATCGCGCGGTCTGACCTGGACGGCAACGACGTCTTCATCCTAGACGATGCCGGCAAGACCATCTGGGTGTGGCAGGGTGCTGGAGCCAGCAAGGCGGAGAAGGCGGCGTGGCTCAAGGTCGCGCAGGCTTATGTTCGCAAGTTGCAGGGTGGCGACGACAATGAGGCACATCTCACGCCGATCGCTAAGGTCGTAGAGGGCAGCGAGAGCCAGGCTTTCCTGCGGGCGATTGCAGCATGAGTGTACCAGACTGTGAAAGTCTTCAATTGAACAAATTTCTAACGTATTTGTATTGTATGGACAGCTGGGCTTCGCGTCGGACAAATCCAATTAACACGTTCTGCCTTCGTGATATCACCCAGTAAAATGTATTCATGAGAAGGTTCCAGACCAGTCCTTGTATCACACGCAGAACCAGGCTGGCGATGCCTCTACGAACTAAGCCCGTCTTTCATCAGATGCCAGATAGATGCCCACAACGGCCGCCCCACTTTCAAGCTTGGTATACTTTTCCATTCGTGCTGCAATACTGTCACCGTTCCGCCAATAAAAAGATTATGCTATAATCGTGATCTCAATACTCAATACCAACGATGTCTACTGGACTTCCTCAAAGGCCGCCAACGGGTCCGAGAGTCGCCCGTATTGAGAATTGCCAGTGTTGTTTTGGATACTCGTAGGATAGCGGCCGGGCGGAATGAAATTTGCGGATAATGACGTGGGAACGGGCGCTGAGGAGTTCCTGCTCCTCACAAAAAATCCAGATCATCCAGAGCCATCTCAAGCGGCGTTGATGGAATCTTGAGCTATGAGCTGTCTGTCTTGTCAAACACGCGTTGTGGTGGTGGTGCGAGTGCGGCAAGCTGTCCAGGCCATACTTCGTGTACTTGGGAACGGTCTGCGTTGGGCTGGCTCCCACTTTGATCAAATTGCGGGTAATTGATTACAACTCATGGATAATAAGCCGTGTATCTCGACAGACAAGGAAGCGTGATCACGAATAGCAGAAAGTCGTAGACTCTGTCGAACAATTTGTCTTCTTGGGTATCTATCTGATTGTATTCGCGTGGAAAGGCTCCCCTGAGGCATTTCATCAGCCATCGATTTGATGCCGTGGAAGGATAACAGCCACCCTGCCCGAAACTGCCCCCAAAACATAAACGTCCAAAGGGTATCCATACCTACTGGGGCTGGCCTCCCATAACCAACGCCGCGAATTGCGATAGGTGCGGACCTTTCAAGGAATACAGCTAGCCGACCCCAATGACCAAAGATTTCCCGCCGCGAACGCCGTGCTGAATGTCTTGTTCCGAGTCGAAGCCGGCTAGTTCGCAAAGATTCTAACGTTCAAGTCGACACTGCCCGTCGCAATGACACAGCGGATCTGCACGTCGTCGGCGGCACCTTTCTTGGGCGTCGATGTCCCGTTTGTGCCGTTCTTATCCGCTTCTCCGTTGAGCCCGGCTGCACCCTTCGTAACGCTGGGTGCCCACCTCAATGTGCTCACAAAATGGTCATGCACGTCCGCGAGGGTCTTGACACACTTGCCCTCCTGGGTCAGATCCCAACAACGGAGGGTCTTGTCATCACTGACGGAGAAGAGATACTTGCCACCTGGATGGAAGACCAATGCCCTGACCCAGTTGTCGTGACCCGTCAGCGTTTTGATACAAGTCCCTCGAGCATCCCATAACCGGATTGACTTGTCCCTGCTGCCCGTTGCCATAAACTCAGCGGTCGAGGTTGCGGGCGGTGGCTTCTTCAGGCCTGCAAGAGCCGCCAGATGTGGATAAGCAGCGGCTGGGGCCAGCATAGCACATTCCACCACGTGCTCGTGGCCAATGAGTGTCAATTTAGTTTCCGGATTCGAGATTGATATGTCCCATAGGCGCGCTGTCTGATCATTACCGGCCGAAAGAAGGTATCGCCCGTCGATAGAAGGACAAACATCGCGAACCCAGTCTGCGTGGCCGCTCAATGTTCTGACGCAGTACCCCGTGCTGACATCCCATATACGGAGGGTATGGTCTCTCGAAGCAGACACTAGAAGATTGCCGGATGCTGGAGCCCCAGCTGCGCCTGACGGAATGAATCGGACAGCCGATACGCTGTGGTCATGGCCTGGGAGGGTCCGAATGTTCTTGTACTCGTCCGATGGATCCCACAACTTGATCGTCAGATCGCTGGAGCAACTTGCCAATAGCGTTCCCCCCCTCGGCCCGCCGAAGTCAACATCCAGGACAGCCTTGGTGTGACCTTTGACTGTTCTTTCAAGTTCCCCCAACTCCCAGTCCCAAATTTTGATGGTCGCATCCTCCGAGCCAGATGCCAGTGACGAGAAAACGGGGTGAAAAGCCACGCATGTGATGGGGCTCCTGTGCGATTGCAGCGTATGCCGTGCAGGTGCTTTAGGAAGCCAGCTGGCAGGGTCTTGGTTCTTCCGCGAAAGTGTCGTCGGGGTGGCGTTGTCCAGTTCCGACTGGAGGGCGGAAGTTCGAGACTCGAGGTCCATTATCTGGCCAGTTTCATGGTCAATGTCCGGCAAACATCTTGCAGAGGTCTTGCAGAGAAAGGTCTCGAAACGAGAGTTCGTGCTGTACCTTCTTCTGTAACCGGACGACGCTAGTCCATTTCTTCTCGAGCAGCCCCTCGTATTTCTTGACAGTGTTGTTGTCGAGGACATCTTCGCCGAGGTCTAGTTCTTGTCGCAGGGCTGCTGCTGTGCCGGGGAGGTCGTTTGCGGAAAGATATGCGATGATGGACTTGTGCCTGCCATCAGCCCTTAGCCCTCGTTGCAGCCACAGCAACCACACTTGCAGGCTAGGAGATTGTAGACTTGCAGCTCATCAGCCTGACGGCTGGTCAGTATTCGACTCGCCATGGTTTATTGTCGCAGTCAGACTGCCGCTCCTCGTGTGGAGGTCGTGTCCTCGTGGTCGGTGTCGAGAGGAAAGTCCGTTCTCGTCTCAGCGGTGGGTGCGAGGCGTATACGAGGTGATGGGTGGATACGATGCGGGCGCAGCGTCTGCAGAAATGGGTGGAGGTGGTTTTCGGTGTCGGGTCGAACAAAGTGCCTGCTTCGGCCGTGAACGTTGTCGGAGCGGATCGTCGTGGTGGAGTTTGAGTTGGATCTCAAATGGGTGGATGAATGTCTCTTTATTGACTTGCGGTCATGTTTCGGCGGGCGGTGTCGAGCGCATAAATCAGATGGGACGGAGCTACGTAACGGGCGGGCAGGGAACGCATAGAGAAGGGGAGAGAGAGAGATCGATGATGCATTCGTCGTCACTTCTGCTTGCAAAGAAAAGGCTCAGCTGCGTCGCTCATCCGTTGAACGATCTTCAGTAAATAAACCTAGTCTACGGCATTTCGCCCTGATGGGCACCTTAGCTGCAGCTACACGTGCAGTGCAGTGCAGTGCAGTGCGTATCGGAAGCCAAGGTGGCGGGTGGCAGACAGCAGCACGTTACCGCGACAGACGCAGGGCACATCTGGCCATGCTGCAGCTCTCTCCCTCTCCCTCTCTGCCCAGGTGCTCTGGGGTGCTCTGCATTGCTCTAAACGGTCACAGCTGGTGGCCAGCTGGATGTTCTTTTGACGTGGATACGTCACTCGTTCCCCTGGTAATGGAAGAGGCTCCTCATTGGGCAGCGACATTTGGGTCTTGGCCGCAGCACAGAGAAATGAGATTGCGGGCAGTCAAACTGTCAATAGTACTGGGCAAGGCGCGAACACGTCACGCTAAAGTGGCAGGCGGTCTGTAGGAGGACTAGCACCAGCACGGTACATGTGCCCATGTAACTTTGTACCTGCTGCGGTCTTACTTTGTTGTGTAGTAGTCTAAGAGGCAGGCCATTTCGGAAGACTGTGAGTGCATTGTTTAGATTTTTGGGCCCTTCATTCATGAAATGCGAGCAGAATACTGAGACCTCTTCTCCCGTTTCCATTTGTTGCTAGACTGCCAGCAAGCACTACATAGTCAGATAGTCCACCAAGTTTTGCTGCCCAACAAGCTCAGCTCATGAGAGATCGTCCCACTCTGACCGACTCCCAAGAAGCCCTGCCCTGCCCTGCCCTGCCGGCAGAAGCTGGAACCCTGCCTGCCCCTCTGGCCCCTCTGGACGGCTGAAAACATTCTGCACAGCGGGTGAGCGGGATCGATTGTTGCCCTGGCAGCCCTTGCAGCGTGGCACCTGCCGACGGCCACTCACGACTCACTGCCAATCGATTCCCCCCTGACCTGGCGTGGCCCCCGGTCGTCACTCCATCAGATCCAAGGCTAAGGGAACATTGATCCTGCCCTGCTGCTGCCCGTTGACGTCCAAGCTTTCCTTGACTGCCACTTGCAACAAAAACAAATCAACGCCAGAGAGGCACACACATACGATACATACACAGCATACACGGCAGCTTCTTCTCCGAAACACAAGGACAAAGCACACTCCCCTGTCTGCAGCCTCCCTCACTCGCCTCAGTCCGCCTGCCTGATCTGTCAAGCACCAAGGCGCTGTTTGCTATTTGCGATCACTTGGTACGATCCCCCGTCCCCCAAGCCAACGCTGCCACACTCGACGTCACGAAACAGCAGCAGCCACCATGCTCCCCTTGACGCATCGCCAGAATCATGCGCCGCAAGGTTTGGTCAACAGTCCACAGGCTAACACGACGCATAGCTCGAGCTTTTACCGCCCACTCCGATCGCGACGCCTCCGACAACCACCTACCAACTACCCCTGGCTCACCCATCTTTAGCCCCAATCCTGACAATACAGCCGCTACCCCGGAGCCGTCCAATATGGCCGACGGAGAGGAGGACTACAGTTCTCTGCCACTCACAGATCGCTGGGTGCATAAGGTACGTGGGATTCGCGAACCTGCCCGGTTTCGTCCACAGGGGTGGAATAGGGTCAAGGCAGAAGGCGGTGGTGGCTTGGAAGGAGGCTGCCATCATGGAGACTGCCACTGCTAAGATATACTGGATGCTAATCGCGCGCTGCATGGCTGTAGATCTGGAAAGTCCGCAAAGCAGCATACGAAGAAGCTACCAAGCAATTCGAAGTCAGCGCCGACGAGTACGATGCTTGCTTCCAACCATTCCTGCGAGATCCATCCCTGTGGAAGGGTGCCGTGGCCGACAGTAATGTAGCAGCACAACAAGATGGCATGGCGGCATACTGTGCGTTCTTGAAATTTGGTGGAAAAGAACATGGCACAAGATCAAGAGGCGTCACAGTCACACCTATCTGCGAAAAGGGTCTCCCATCCACGCGAGCAGCGACAAAGGCCTCGTCCATCGAAGCTCTACTCCTCCTCTGCGAGGTCGATGTACCAAATCCAGTTATCGAGGATATCCTGCCAGTTCTCTCCGCTAAGCAACCGAAAACCGTTGCCGCCGCGATAAATGCTTTGACAGCCATCTTCCACAACTACGGCTGCAAGCTTGCCGACCCCAAGCCCGTCCTAAAAGTCTTACCGAAACCATTCGGCCACGCTGACAAGAATGTCCGAGCTGAAGCGACCAACTTGGCAGTCGAATTCTACAGATGGCTCCGAGAGGCCATGAAACCAATGTTCTGGGGTGATTTGAAGCCAACCCAGCAATCCGACTTGGAAACCCAGTTCGAAAAGATCAAGGCGGAAGGAGCTCCAAAGCAAGAACGGTTGTTGCGGACTCAACAAGCCGCGAAAGAAAAGGCACCGGCAGCCGGAGCAGGGGATGACGGCGGCGGGGACGATGACGAGCCCGAGGAGCCCGAGGAGATTGATGCGTTCGACCTCGCAGAGCCTCAGGACGTTATCAAGGGCATACCTGGGAATTTCTACGATTTGCTGGGATCATCGAAGTGGAAAGACCGCAAGGAAGCCGTCGAGGCGCTGTATGCGCTGGTGAACGTACCAAGGATCAAAGACGGAGATTTCAACGAGGTCAACCGTTCCCTGGCGAAATGTATGAAGGACGCCAACATCGCCGTCGTCACACAAGCAGCACAATGTATCGAGCTCCTAGCCAAGGGATTGAGGAAGGGCTACGGAAAGTATCGAACTACTGTCATGCAGCCCATCATGGAACGACTCAAGGAGAAAAAGCCTACCGTCCAAGATGCCCTTGGCGCAGCACTCGACCAAGTCTTTCTGGCAACAGGCCTGACGGAATGTTTTGAAGATATTCTGGCTTACCTGGTTCACAAGAATCCCCAGGTCAAGGAGGGCACCATGAAGTTTCTCGTACGGTGTCTACGGACGACAAGGGACGTGCCAAGCAAACAAGAAATCGGTCAGATGGTGGAGGCTGCAAAGAAGCTCCTGGCGGAGTCTAGCCCTGCGCTTCGTGATGGCGGTGCCGAAATATTAGGCACCATCATGAAGATCATAGGCGAGCGGGCGATGAACCCACACATGGAGGGTCTCGACGAGATTCGTAAGAGCAAGGCCAAGGAATACTTCGAAACAGCAGAAGTCAAGGCGAAGGAGAAGCCAAAAGCGCCACCGCCGGCTGCGAAACCACCACCGGGCGGTCCAAAGAAGGTGGTTAGGAAGGGCCCCGCTGGTCTAAAGAAAGCTGCCCCAGCAGCAGCGCCCCCGCGAGCAGAGTCTCCCCCATTGGCACCACCACCGACGGCGAAACCAGTGGGCAACAAGCTTGGCATGCCAAAGCCCTCTGGGATCGGGGGTCTCAAGGCACCTCAGAAGAGAGCGCTCGCATCGCCACGGCGACCTTCAGCTGCAGCGCCTCCACCGCCTGAAGAAGACGAGTATGAAGAGGAGCCAGCACCAGTTGCATCCCCGCCTCGACAACGATTTGGAATGGTGGGCCGTGGGGGTCTTGCTGGCCGCTCTCTAGCTAAACCGACTGCAGCGCCCGCAGCCATGGCTCCCGCCGCCGATCCTGTTCCTGCAGTCTCAGGTCTCACCGCATTGGAACGTGCGGAGCTGGAAGAGCTCAGGGCCGCCAACGAGAGCCTGCTGCGGCAAGCTGACGAGTCCCGTCATGAGCGGTCCAAGCTTTTGTCCGAGATCCAGGAACTCAAGAATCAAAATGCTCAACTTATCGAGGATCATACAAGGGACGTACTGAGCATCAAGGCCAAGGAGACGCAGCTTGTACGTGCACGCAGCGATGCAGAAGCCGCGGAGAGTACAAACGAGCGTCTACGAAGAGAGCTTGACCGACTGAAGCGAGCGCTTAGTAAGTCTGAGCAGCTCGGTATGCAGCGTGATGACATGTTGAGTCCCACGCTCAGCACGGCCAGCCCAGTACAAGAAGAGATGGGTGGTGGTTTCCGGGACAGGGAAGGCAGTTTTGGGGGCGGCTTACACAGGGCAGCGAGCACTGCGTCTAGGAATCGCACTTCGTACGCTAGCAACCTGTCTGAGGAGAAGGAGAATGGTTTCGGCCCCGACGCTCCCCCGCCCTATGCAAGGCACAAGGCCCTGAGCCCCGAGCTCGGAAGATACAATGGCGGCAATGGGGCCAGCTCGGCTAGCAGTGGACGAGCATCTCCCGCTAGGGGCTACAGGAGAGATGTCTACTCAGGCGAGCATTCATCCGCTGCTGGTGGCGGTGGCGGTGCCGTCGGAAGCAATGGGAACGGTGCTGAGAGCTGGAAGAGGGCTGCTGAGGTGACCAGCCAGTTGAAGGCAAGGATCGAGCAGATGAAGGTAAGTCTCACCATCCGAATTGTAATCTTGAAGGTAACAAGTACTAATCACGCACCTTTCAACAGGCTAAGCAAGGGCTTGCGAGGCAGTAGGTCCTGCACAAATTAAGTCCTGGCCGTCATCATCGTGGGAGCATGCGCGGGAGACCTCGATCGTGCTCGAGCATCTATGGGCCACCGGGCGAGCCACGATCGTTCTGGGAGCTCTGACAGATTAATTTGCTTAGAGCCATCGTAACATCAACTGGATGAAGTGTAGTGGGGAAGTTCTAGCATTTTCAGGGCGTCTTGCGTGCGGTCCTATGGAGCGGGGGGCCCTGGTTATCGAGGCTTGTACTGGTTTCCCTAGTCTCACACCTATGTCCGGGATGGACTCTTTGTTTTTGATGCGTGCGCGCGGGAAGGGTTTTGGTAAACATTAGATACCACTTGCGGTCTCACTTCCGCTCACTGTACTTGATTTGCCAATATCGATCGATGTTCATTATTAGGTGCCGTCGCACCACCAAGCACCGAGGTGTCGTGCATGAGGAACTGCCGTGCGTCTAGTGCTTGCACTCTTGGTCACCTCTGCTTGCGTGACCTCTCACAATTTGCGCTTGCTGCGGAAATAGCTTTAGGGACGGGCAGGGTGTCTGTTCTCTCAGTCAAATGTTCAGATGAGGTACGAGTCCTCGTCAATGCTCAGCACAGTTTTCGGCCCCGGTTTTGAGGACTCATCACTTAGTCTGACTAGGCCGTCGTTCCCTTATAGTAGAGATTCCACGGCCGTAGGTTTCGCATTTACATTTCAGGGCTGCTTGCTTATTCCTACCAACGAGAGCAATGCTATTTTCGTCTTCATGAGTGATACAGTGTTACAATGCATACAGGTATGGCGGCCCACAAGCACATATCATGGCCACCATTGCCCGATGTGCATGGCAACCCTTGCCCATGCGAGTCAATTGAGACGCCCATTGTTGACCTTTCGACCATGGTTATAGTTCAATTCATGTTGCACTCTTTTTCCTGGCCCCCTGAGACGTGCCGATCCAGCTGTGAACTTACTTACACGCGAGCCCCCGTCCACCGATGCAGCATTCGGAGATTAGATCAGCTGGGACAACATTTGCCCTGTTAACTCCACTAACCTCAGCGTTACTAACTTTTGGTCAGTCAGCAGTCCGGTTTGGCTCGATTTGAGTGTAGCTTCGCTTCCCGTCCAGCCTAGGATGACGTCTTGGATTGGAGCCATATAAAGTGAGACTCTTTCGTCACTATGAAGCACTCGTTTAATTAGTCTTGATTTTCACACGATTTCAGAATTTTTTCTTGCCTGAAGTGTATATCGAATATCCAGTGCTGCAGGTAGTCAGTCACGCTTTTCATCACCCAAGGTCTTAAGCTTGCTAAGATCCAATTGCTTGAAACCAACCAATCATTAAATAACGTCAACATGTCGAACCTCAACTTCAAATGCGCCCTTATCACCGGAGGTGGGGGCGGCATTGGTCGTGCCATGGCGGAGTATTTCATCTCCAAGGGGAAGAAGGTCATCATCTGCGGCCGGACCGAGGCGAACCTGAAAATTACACTCAAGGAGATCAACTGCGCAGGCTATTACGTTGTTGACACGGGAGACACTGCGAAATTACCAGACTTTATTGAGAAGATCACCAAGGAGCACCCCGATCTAGACTGTCTCGTCAACAACGCAGGTGTCCAGCGGCCCCTGCAAGTACTAAAGGACGACCCGGCGGACCTGCTCTCCAAGGCTGACAACGAGATCGACGTGAATATCCGCGGACCCATGCACCTGGCTGTCGGGCTGCTGGAGCACTTTAAGAGCAAGCCCGCAGCCTCGATCATCAACGTCTCGAGCGTCCTGGGCTTCGTGCCGTTCAGCATCCTGAACCCTGTCTACAACGGCACCAAGGCGTGGGTGCACTTCTGGACCATGTCGCTGAGGGTCCAGCTGAAGGACACGAACATCAAGATCATAGAAATCGCGCCGCCCCAGGTCGGCACGGATCTGCACCGCGAGAGGGAGGACCCTGATGACAACAAGAAGCACAAGAGCCCTACCGCTCTGACTGTGGAGGAGTTCATGGAGGAGGTCGCCCAGAAACTGGAGCGTGGGGATGAGACGTTTGCAGCTGGCATGGGGCAGAAAATGGTTGACAAGTGGTACGACTCTTTTGGCGAGACGTTTGACCAAGCTGCGAAGAACTGGAAATAGATTTGGCGGTGTCCTGCAATGGTTATCGATGTTAATGCTACGAGGTGGCCACGTCGTTATTGGCTTGCAGCCTGAGGGCTGATTCTCCGGATTGTAGAATACACTGCCTAGGGGCTAGGATCAGCTTCCAGGGAAACGTGATGAGTCAAAATGAGGTGCAAGAGCGATGTGGAGATGCATTTGAGATACTGTTGGGAAAACATCTCAAGTGGATTGATCGTGTACAAGTCGAGGAATGTTTTGATGAGCGCTTAAGGGGAAGAGGCACAGAAATTTACAGGAGCATGATGAGGAAGAAATATGCAAGGCATTGTAGAATCTCTCGTAATGAAAATTCAATGCAGTAGTTGAACTTAAGCCGTTATTGAAGCAGGAAACTGTCCGAAGCTGAGGGGTCGGTCGTTGACTTCGATACAATAACACACACAGCCTGCTGCTGATGTATCTAAATAGGTAAAGAATTTATACCCTACTGTCCCGCCACACATACACTCGCATCAAATAAACTTTGTCAGGTCGCGCTAAGAGACCGAATATGCTTTTGATGTCTAGGACTTTGGAGTTCTGAGAATCTTGGCTGAGCATTTTGTTAAGCTTTTCAGTGAGGGCCACCAATTATGCCGAGATTGCCAGGCCACCTAGAGAGGCTTGTCCCTTTAGCGACCCTACATATACATCGAATCAGCCAAGAGGTCGGTGAAAACATGCCCCTGAACCCCTTACATCTACTGTAGCGCCGTTCCTCCTTGGTCGTCCACAATTAGAGTTGACTTGGTATCAATATTCAATGACGCATAAATACAAAGCGGTAATGATACAACTCGGAAGGGGAACCTTTCTCGTATAGTTCAAACCCATTGAACTGGGGCTGCCAGCATTGTCTCTTCTCAGAATGCACCCCGTCCAAGTAATACATATGCCAAAATGCTATCCACTTCGCCTTCAACACATGAGCGCTATGTGCAATTCCAGTCGCTCCTTTACGAACGAAAATCTCGGGTTTCCAACTTGTCACTGCTTCGAACCTCCCAATGTTCATTCTGCCTGGCGGGTCGCTGCTTTCCGTGACTCTGTACTCATTGCAGGTCACTCTCGCGCACACAACTTCTGGTCGCAATATCCATCAAAATCCTCGGACTCAGGATGGGGTACTGCAGATTGATGACATCTTTGCGCCCCTGTCCTTCGATTCACCTCCGGCAACTATGCCTACACGAAATGATCACCCTCAAGTACCGGTTGGAGTAGATCAGGAAGGTCCGCTTCAGACCAACAAGTTTTACGCCAACTTCTTCGCCAATGACCAGGACAACCGGACTTGGACACATCCTTATTCGGTTTGGTGGCCGAAGAACAATGCCACACAAGGCCGTGGTCTCTCGATCTCGCACACCGACCGTGAAGATTTCATCTATGGCCCAGGCAATCCAGTTGAGTCATTCGAGGACACCTTTTTCCGGCAATCGCTTAGCCTCTCTGCGAAGGAGTTGAGCAACAGCACAGTCTTGACGACAGACTCCCTCACGGCAGAATCTGTCAATGTCAATCTTTCACCAAGCAAATCTGCCCAGCCTCTCATTTCGTTTCCTCTTGTTCAGGGGATGGCTTTCGTGACAGGCATCTACAACGGAGCAAGCGTCCTGGTACAAACTCAACAGGAGTTCTCTAATATCACCGATCTTGGCGCTGTCTTTCAAAGCTCGGCTGCAAACGTATATGGATGGAGCCTGAGCCTCAAAGATGACTCCACGTGGTTGATTTACATCACTTGCTCCCCTGGAGCCTCCTACATGGCACCAAACTCGACTTTCGTTAAGCCGAAGTTGAGTCTGTTGGACAAACGAACACTTGTTGGACCATCAGTATTCAGAGGAACAGTACAGGTCGCAAAGAATCCTGTTGGGGACAGCGGGCTCTCAGCCTTCAACACCGCTGCTGGGGCTTATCCAGAGACAGGCAAAGTATCAGGATCCGTCTCTGGCCGCTCTGGAACCTACACGCTATCCTGGTCGAAAAAAGGGGTTCCGGAACAGGATCTTCTCATGTTTGCACTGCCTCATCATGTTGCATCTTTTGACGAGGAGACAGCGAGCCACATAACCCCAATTACTCTCGCAAGCACATCAAAAGGTATCTCCACAGCCGTTCTCACAGATACCTTCACCATGGTGGAAAATGATCTTCCCACGGACATTGGATTCGACCCATGGTCTCCGCGCCTTGGTTCCGTTGGCTCTGCTGACGCTGCTGGCGGGACGATTTCCGAACTAGCGAAATATGCTGTTTCTTCCGTTGGAAAGCTAGAGCTTCAGGGTGACATTACGGCCCTCACCAACTTGACATCCAAGTACTATGCAGGCGTCGCCTTCTCAATGTACGTCAGGTCACTTTACGCCACTGCCAACGTTGCCGGCGAGACTTCAGTATTGTCAAAATCACTTCAAAAGCTTGAAAATGCCTTTGCTAGGTATGTCAACAACTTGGAACCGAATCCTTTGGCATACGATACAGTGTGGGGCGGAGTCTGCTCCACTGGATCCTATGGGAACAATGATTCCTCGATCGACTTTGGTAATACGTATTACAACGACCACAATTTTCATTACGGATACTATGTCTACACTGCGGCAATAATTGGCTATCTCGATCCAGACTGGCTCACAAGAAACAACTCGGTCAACAAGATTTGGGTCAACACCTTGATCCGCGACTGGGCCAACCCGTCTACAGAAGACCCATATTTTCCTTTCTCGCGCTCCTACGACTGGTATCATGGTCACAGTTGGGCTAGAGGTGTTCTCGAGGCCGAAAACGGCAAGGATCAAGAGTCCTCGGCCGAGGACGCCTTTTCGACCTATGCGATCAAGATGTGGGGACGTACGATTGGAGATCCGGTGATGGAAGCTCGTGGGAACCTACAGCTAGCTATCACAGCGCGGGCTTTGCAAAGCTATTACCTCCTCGATAGCAACAACACGGTCCAGCCACCCGAGTTCATCGGAGTCAGAGCTGCTGGTATCTTGTTTGACAGGCTGGTCAACCACACCACGTACTTTGGCGACCAGGTCTCTTTTGTACAGGGAATCCACATGTTGCCTATCAATCCTAGCAGCGCTTATACCCGCAAGGCAGGATTTGTTCGCGAGGAGTGGGATCAGTATTTCGCTGGCAACAAGTCTGGTTCCCTAACAGGAGGCGGCTTTGTGGGCCATGTGTACGTCAACCTCGCCATTGCAGACGTGGAGGGAGCAAAAGAGAGCTACGAATTCATGTTGCAGCAGCCAGTTAATGGGTCCTTCGTTGACGGCATGAGCCTGGCATGGAATTTGGCCTATACAGCGGGCTTGGGTGGGAGTCTCGCCTCAAACTCGACGATAAACACTAGAAGAAAAAGAAGCCGGGGCTGATGGCCAAGAACATACAAGAGGAAGTTGCTGCTATGTAGTCTCGTAGAATTGTAGACCAGGAAGCTGAAGGTTATAATCGACTGATGAAGTACACAGCTGGGAAGCCCGCATACTATACTGCCATTCGGTGAGAAGAGATCGTATTTCTTTAATCCGCAGACTAATTGTCTAGGGGAGAGTTGTGCACTTGAAGGAATTTGTTTGGATGGATGCCCAAATATCAAAAACTAGGTCTCGAGGTGTCTCCCCCAGCTGTTACGGGCGAGGCGCACGGCTTTGGTGTGAAGTAAGGTTTTGATAATGCTTCTTCGCAAAATGTGGAGACTCCTTGCAAAAAGACTTCCCAGCGTCCCAGCTGAGTGCAGCAGACGGACGTTAGTCTGGTTCTGATGGAATAGGAGGCTCATCTTTCACCTGTGTAAATGACCAACAATTCCGTTTCTGGCGTGCCGTTTTCTACCCCGTTTCACAGGTCCATTTGAAACGGCGCTCCCGGCAGGATGGTGCTCGTAACGTTTGCTGACTCAGAGACTGATAAGATAAGGATTTTCTGGAAGGCAACAACAACAGCTCGGGCTTAACTTGACGACTGCATTCTGAGTCCACCCTTTTCCTATAACTGCCGCTGCATCGCACGATTGCGACCTGTCGCCATGGATCCGACACACGCGTTCGATCCTTCGAGAATGAAGGCCGCAGCGGCGGAATATTCCTCATCGGAATCAGAAGAAGAGGATGACGACTACTTAATGCCGTCAACCAACCCCAACGCGGACGAATTCGCCGACTACAATCCTCGGAAGCGGCGAAGAACTGGCCGCAATGCCAAGGAGAGCGCAGCGCTTGGTATATTTGGCTCGGAGAGCGAGGATGACAGACCAGGGCAGCGATGGAAGAAAAAGACACTCCGGAACAAAGGCATGAGCTTTGTGTCGGCCGATGATGCGAAAAAGGGCAGTGAAGAGGACGTCGTGGCAGAAGACGACAGCGATTATGGGGAGCCTGAAAGAGCCAGCTTCATGCGCATAAACAGTGAAAAAGAGGATGAGGACGACGAGGACGAGGATGAGGGCGAGGGCGGCACTCCAGGAATTGGACTGGGTTACGCCGCGCCAGCAGGACTTGGTCGTGGGCGGGTATCCCCATCAGGCCAAGACAGGTACCAACCCCCGGAGAGGTCATTCAAATTCGGCAGCATGAGCGAGCCTCTTGGAATGGGATTCATGCCTTCTTCCACCAAGGAGCCGGTCCTCAAGGTTAACGATGACGCACCAACCCGTCCTCAGAAAGCAATGCCGAGCGCCTTCTCCTCGAAAGGCGGCAAAACCAAAATCAATCCGAAATCATTTGGCGCTCGCATGATGGCAAAGATGGGCTTTGTTGACGGCTCGGGTCTAGGAAAAGAGGGCCAAGGTCGAAATGTCGTTATTGAGGCAAATTTGCGTCCCCAGAAAGTGGGTCTCGGTGCTGTGAAAGAAAAGACAGAACAGGAGAGGCAAGAGGAAAAGCGTCAGGCAAGGCTCCGAGGAGAAGTGGTAATTGACTCGGACGAGGAGGACAAGAAAAGGAAGGCGTCCCGCGCAAAGAAAGCTCGAGCAGGAGGTTTGAAGAGCGGCAGTGGTAGTGCTGCGAGCACACCCAGGCGGCAAAAACCGAAGTTTGCAACGATTGAAGAAATCAAGAAAGCCGCACCGGGCCTAGACATTCCAGCTGCATTTACACCGATTCTGGATCTTACGGGCCCGGGCAAGAAGATGCTGACCTCGTCTTCTGGGTTGATGACTCCCACTGCGGGCACAACAGAAGAGGAAGGCGACTTGCAATCGAAGAAGCTGGTGTTGCGAGCCCAGAATGACTTCATGGCCATTCTCGAGGAGTGGCAGGGATTACAGGAGCGGAAGGCCTTTGCGGAATTGCAATTGCATCAGGAGCAACAGGAGCTCGAGGAACTGGAAAAGGCCGTCGAGAGCCACCAAACCACTGCGGCTATTTTTGAAGAGCTCACGCAATTTGAAGACGAAGACGAGGTGCTCCTCAGTGGAGGCGATTATACGAAGCAACGATGGGATCGAATTATCTCTCTGTTGCGTAAAGCAGACCAGTCGACATCGGGTCTCACGATTAAGGAAGTCAAGGAAGAAATGGCGTCGATAGCAGTCGCAGCCATCCAACCGATCATGAAGGACATGGTCGAGAACTGGAACCCTTTGGAAGATGCACGAGCACAATATGCGAATGACTTGGAGTCCATCAAAGACCTACTCGGTCTGCACAAATCTGCAGCCCTGCCTCAAATGAGATCGTCAGCAACACCTTACGAGAGCATGATGTACAAGCTTTGGTTGCCTCATGTCTCACGGGCAGTGCGGGAATGGAATGTACGAGACGCTGAACCAATCATCGCCGTTTTCGAGGCCTGGCAAAACGTGCTACCTGGGTTCCTCAAGACCCAACTACTGGAACAAGATATTATCAGGAGACTGGACGAGGCGATTGCGAAATGGGAGCCAAAGAGGAAGAAGCAACACAACTTGCCACACTTGTGGCTTTTCCCGTGGTTCCAATACTTGCCCGAGCACCATCTAGATCCTAAAAGCTCCACAGGTCTTGTTGCAGATGTCAAACGGAAATTCAGGCAGCTCATCGACGTGTGGGAGTTCAACCGAGGGGTTATTCCGGGCCTCAGAGAGTGGAGGAATGTCCTGCGCAACAATCGCACCGATCAATGGACACCGCTTGTACTGCATCACATCCTACCGAACATGGCTCGTTACATACGCAAGAACTTCGATGTTAACCCGTCAGACCAGGAAACCGATGTTTTATCAGCGGTGCTGGATTGGCTTGATCCTGTGTCACCCACCATGATTGCTGAGGTCATTGCCGCAGAGGTTTTCCCGAAATGGCACGAGATTCTGTATCAATGGCTGATTATGGACACGGTCAATTACGAAGATGTCGCTCAATGGTGTGAGTGGTGGCATGACGAGGCCTTGGCTGGAATCGACGACCTACCCTCGATTGCGTCTGAGTTCGAGAAGGGCATCCAGACAATCGAGCATGCGCTAGAGTTGTTTGATCTAAACCAGGACGCATCAACCTCCCTGCCTCCACCGCAGCATGGCAGTGGTGTTGCCTCGCAAAAGGCCACCAAGACAAATGGGCATCACCATCACAAGCGGGATCATCACCGCGAGCACAAGCACCACGCAAGTCCGTTCGAGCCCACCAAGAAGGACTTGGAACGGTCATTCCGTCATGTTGTGGAGGATTGGTGCCAAGAAAACGATCTGCAATTCATGCCAGAACGTAGAAAGGTGCACTCCGAGGGACCACTGTACAGGATCACGGCTCGAGGCGACGGTAAGGGAGGTGCACTGACATACTTCAAGGGCGACAAGCTCTGTGTCCAGACAAAGACCGGAGTTGAGGAATTCACAGGCGAACCTGGGAGCAGCGATTGGGACAGGCTGATGACGTACGCGCTGTAGTTGCTGTCTCAGCGTCTATAGTCTGAAGTCAGCTTTATCCTGCATCAGAATACTAAGCGTACGGCGAGAGTTCTCCTAGACTCAGGTCACTCTAACCTCTAATGCCAATATACAATCACCTTTGTCCGGCTTTCCTGCTCCCGCTCAGCATTTCTTTCCACGCCGCAACTCTAATCGATTTGGATATTCCAAATCCGAGTCTTGATGAGGTAGGTCTTCAAATGAAAACCAAGCGTGGGTTGCCTCCAAACCCGTTCAACGCCACACGTCCGGTTTGCTCAGCTCGTATATGCTTGCCCTGTATCTGACGGGCGTTGAACCGGAAGTCGGTCTGCTGACTGTGTCCGGCATTCGTGAAGCACCAGTGGACGGTAAACCTTTCTTTTTTCACGGTTGGCGGTGTCGCCCAGTCAGCAACAGCCGTTGTTGATATTTCCATGTGGTAATGTGTCCGACGCTTTGCGGTCGAGCTGTGTGTGTCACGGGACGGTCGGCTGTTTGGGCCCTTTACCCCAGATATCAGATCTAAGGGGATAAGCACTACCGACCGTGTGGCTCACACCCCAGGCCGGGATGTTACCCGTTCGCCTGGTTCAGCTCCAGATCAGCTGCCTTGGCTCGTATCCTTCCAACTACTAGGCGGACTCATACGAAGAAACGGTTCGTGCGGCCCTTTGTCGATGGCTTTGATTATTCATTCGGTTCGTGATGAATGCAGGAACCTGTCGATGGTGTGTTGCGTGGCGCTTGGAGCAAGACTTCTGCTCTCTCCTCTGAGGTTGAGGATCAGTTATCAGGGACTTCCATAGCATTTTTGATGTACACGAAGGCCAAGGCCGGCTGTCAGATATAAGCTTAGTCTGACGTTTGAGCTTCGTCGGCGTCCGCTCGCAGGGCTGAGGGCCGACTCCCGAAAGCTGCGTCGTCCATCGAGTGAGGCTCAGCCACGTTCAAGGCGGGTGAGATGCTACGTAGTATGTGGTGGGCTGTTTCTTGGGCCCAGTATACGATCTCATCGTGATATTCAATGATCTGATTCGCTAGATGGAGTATGTCGAAGTGCTCTGCCTTGGCCGGCCGTATTCCGGAGGCATCCAGTTTTGGCTTCGGTTTTTTCTTCTCAGTCTCAGCAGATGCCCGGAAGCGGTGTCTATTTTCGAATACCAGGTAAACACGCCGAGTGGTTCTTTATATGATCAGAATTATAGGGATCTCTTGACGGATATATAATTAGGAGGTCATGACCCTCGAATTGAAGATTCCTTTCTCTATCATCATCATCAGGAGCATCAACAAGCCTTTCTACATTCACCACAGCCAATAACACAGTGAATAATATTCATCCAACACTCCATATCAAAATGCAGTTCACCGCCACCATCCTCGCTTTCGCTGCCGCTGTCGCGGCCGCTCCATCCCAATGCACCTTTGGCCAGTACGTCTGCTCTAAGGACGGCCTGTCTATCCTCCAGTGCGATATCACTGGTAACCTTGTTGTGAGTATTGGGCTTTAATCTGAAACATGGATTTAATTTGGTGGACTTTCATTCTAAGTGATATCCTTCTAGACCATCGGACCCTGCCCTGACGGCAGCAAGTGCTCCAACATTGGAGACATTCCCTACTGCCAGGCCGTCCCCAAGACGAAGCGCAGCGCTCCCTACTGCGCTACTCCCGGCGCTTACACTTGCACTCCCGATCTCAAGGGCATCAATGTCTGCAATGCTCAGAACCAGCTGGTGTTCAACGGTGCTTGCCCTGACAAGACCCACTGTGGATACTTGAACGGCATTCCGTTCTGCGTCGACAACGCTATCAAGGGCTATTAAATGTTCTCATGGGTTACAACAGGATAGATCTGCATTGAAAAAAGTCTATGGGCTCCCTGATAGATGACGGATGAGATCTGATGAGCTGGTGGTTTGATCCATTGCAGCTCCATCCACGTCGCTCCTTTTATCTTATAGATTAATCATATTTTTTACACTTTATCCTTTGATCCGTTACATCCTGAAGTCGTGAATAGCCTTACAGAACTGGTGACTACTTGCATGCCAGGAAATGCCGACCCGCCTATGCTCTCAATGTGTGCTACCCATCAGGGTAGCAGGAGGTAACAGCTAGAGAGCCGTATCAACTTCTCACTGAAGTCAGGCGAATTAGAAATGGTGTACAAATTCATATTGGGCCTGTACTGCTTGCATCGCAAGTTGAAACCACCCTCAGCGCATAGCTAGCCTTCGCGAATCCCGGTTTTGGTGTAATCAAACTTAGAGGACGATTTTATAGAGCAGATGCTTGCATTTTTCGGGCAGCTGGAGAATAGAAAACTTGAATTTCAGCTACTTTTGTCTTTGAACGTATACTAGTTAGCGTATACTCGTTAGCGACAGACGGACTATTCTAAAGGTTTTTGAAAATAAGGATTCTTCCGTTTCTCAGGTACATGTGGCTTCCAGCTTGCAGCAAAATAAATATCCACGAAATACAAGAAGCACACCAGGCACTAATGGACCAGGATAAATGTCTGAAATGGTAATCTTCTCATTTGCCATTTATATGGTGTGGTTCAGGTGGGGTATTTAACCGCGTCTTACATGCCCGCAGTCAAAACCTCCTCCTTCGTTGTCTTCCCCACATCATACTGCCCTGGTCAATCTCTTCACTGAACAGCTTGACAACCGGCACATACATCGTTCACGTTTCACGGAATGGTGATATCGTTCATCGGATTTGATCCTTGAAAGTCAACATGAGTGCAGCTGCACACTCTGTGCTTGAGGCCTTGGAGGGAAGAGCAGCCAAGACCGTTACGGCATCGGCTCTCCATGGTGGCACATTTACTCTCCCTCTCAATGTATTCATAAGTGATGCTTTGGAGACTGATCGAAGTCTCGTACCATCTCTATCTTTTCTTCTTGTTCATATCGATGATAGCGGTCAAAAGACAAATATTCTCTTCGATCTGGGAGTTCGCCGCAACGTCGACGACTATCCTGCTCTCATCAGAAATCATTTTCAATACAGGCAACCCATGAATACTCTTACGGATGTTAGGCAGAGCTTGTTGGATGGAGGGCTAGATCCCTCGATCATGAAACATGTCATTATCAGCCATGTCCACTGGGACCACACTGGAACACCAGCAGACTACCCTCGGGCGCAGTTCTGGGTTGGGAACGGAGCCCTCGATGTATTGAAGAATGGCCTGGGCTCACACATGTCGCACTCCCACTTCGAAAGCGACCTATTCTCTGGCCTGAGCGTGAAAGAATTCCCGCGACCGCCAGCTAACGGCGAGAAGGGAGACGGCTGGCAGAAACTCGGGGATTTCTGGGTGTACGACTTCATGGGCGACGGCTCCATCTGGGTAGTGGATGCTCCTGGCCACCTTCCCGGCCATGTCAACCTTCTTGCTCGCCTGGACAAGAAGCGCTGGATATACCTTGTTGGGGATGCCTGCCACGACCGGCGCCTTCTCACGGGCGAAAAGGAAATCGCGGAGTGGAAAGATGCGGAGGGACGCTCATGTTGCATTCACGTGGACAAGAAAGACGCAGAGGCTACATTGGCAAGAATTCGCGATCTCCAGGCTGCGGCAAATCACGATGGATTCGAGCTCGAGGTAATTCTTGCTCATGGAATGGACTGGGCGGAAGCACATCCCGGAGCTTTTCTGCCGGGTACCGTATGAAATAATCCCCTGTTTTTTCTTTGGACTGCCATTTTCCTACCTGCAATTCCTTGTCACTAGATGTGCGATCTCAAATACATGCCTATCAACCGACCTGTTGAATTACAGATGTGCATAAACGAGAAGAGGCGAAAGCAGTCTTCGCCTAATCGCCTCTTCTCCATCTGCGTGACCGAATAAGGTTCCATGCCCAGCAACTCCGCATACTACGCCTGCGTGAATGGTGAGACGTTCTACTACTCCAAGACAATACTAGTAAATGTTGCGGGGAGACTGATGTCCCGTCACCCCCATGGGGAAGGGCGGGGAAGTGCATTGCACAGCTGTTGCTTCCATGCATAATGTCCTTTCTGAGGTCATCACATGTGCATGCTCGGCAGTGAAAGTGAAGACCGAAGATTGTATTGATCTCATCCCAACACAAAGTCCTTTTACTTCCTTGTGAGTATTTGCTTGCAGTGCTGATATTCCACCCAGAGATCTACGAAAGAAACCTACAGACATCCCGACTCCCTTCAACGATCCAATACAATCAACCCATCGGCAAAGGGTCCATTTATCGGAATGGCTGGCGAACCACTGAACGTTGGTTTCATTGGCCTGGGGACTATGGGCTTTGCGATGGCAGTGAACCTTGCCTTAAAGTTGCCACAAGGGTCAAAGCTCTTCGTATACGATATTTCAGCGGATGCGGTGAATAAATTTGTGGCTCAGCATCCGGACTCAGCTGTTGCTGCTGGGTCGGCAAAGGAAGCGACACAGAACTCCGTGAGTCCTCATTGCCCCGTCACCTCTCCGAAGTAGAAAATACTGACATAGCTTGAATACAGTCGACTGTCTTCACGATGGTACCAGAAGGGTCTCATGTCAGAACTGCATTTCTCGATGAGACAAATGGAATACTCGCAGCAGAGCAGACACCGAGGACTCTCATAGACTGTTCTACCATCGACCGTGAGACATCTCTAGCTGTGCTTGAAGAAGTGAGAAAGCGACATCCTCAGGCTAGCTTCTTCGATGCTCCTGTGTCAGGCGGTCAGATCGGTGCAGAAAAAGCGACTCTTACGTTCATGGTCGGTTGTGCTGAGGATGATCCGAAGTGGTCGTTTTTAGAAGGCATACTTAGCCACATGGGAGCCAACATCATCGCCTGCGGCGCACCATCGCTCGGTGTCACCGCCAAGCTGACGAACAATTACTGCTCTGCGCTCATCTCACTTGCCACCGCGGAAGCTATGAACCTCGGAATGCGAGCTGGTATGGATCCTCGTCTGATTCAAAAGATATTTTCGAAGAGCACGGCGCAGAGCACCATGTGTGATCGGTTCAACCCCGTGCCGGGCATCTGCCCTGATGCACCCCCAAGCCATGGATACGAGGGCGGGTTCAAGATTCAGCTTATGAGGAAGGACTTCGGACTGGCATGTCAGGTAGCGGAAAATGTTGGCGCGAAGCTTTTGCTTGCTGATGCAGGGCTAAAGGCTTACACCGATGCGAGTGCGGATCCACGTTGCAGAGATTTGGACTCGAGGGTGGTCTACAGGTTTTTGGGAGGGATTGAAGACTGGGAGACGAAGGAGACATAGAAGCATGAGCCTGAATTCACCGGCTTTAAAGCATAAGACGCAACAATACAATAAGATAGGTAGAAATATATTGTCAACGGCCCTGGAAACCAATGGAGCTACAATTAAAATTTATCAGTCGTACTGCGTTGTGTGGTCCCAAGATATATCAAGCTAATGGCAACCATGTACAACTACATGCTCAAGTCTGTTATCACCACGACATATTCCCAACAATTAGAGCATCTTATGCTCATATTATGCGCCAACGTTGCTTTTGGCTACATAGATGCCGACATTGCCGATTCTTTCTTGATCGTCCGGCGGCATTATATTCCAAGACTGACATGTGCGTCACGGTGCGGGGGATGGATGTGGCAGCTGGGCACTTGAGGGGATCCGGCCGTTGCGGAGGCCAAAACAGCCCCCGGGGTTACAAAAAAGCGACTAGACTAATGACCTACATCGCCGTGGTGAGTTGTCAATGTTCCTTCTCCCGCCTTAAATCTAGTTTCCTTAACGTGATTGCTCCTATAGACCACGTCCATCATACCTCAGCCTCAAGATCGCGCTGCCAATCCATCAAATTCGGTCAACATGAGTTCCTCCAACCAAGCCCCCGCTGATGACAAAGTTGCCGCAGCCCACAAGACGCTCTTTGACGAGGGTATCAAACTCCGTACGGAGGTCAATGGTGCCGAATATGTGCAAAAGGCGCTACAGAACGGCTCGGAGTTCGCAAGGCCTATGCAAGAGCTCGTCACCGAAGCTTGCTGGGGCTCTGTCTGGTCTCGGCCTGGCCTGGAGAAAAAGTGGCGTTCGCTGCTAAATGTTGCAATGCTAGTCGCTCTCAACAGGTCTACTGAGCTGGCAACTCATGTAAAAGGGGCCATTACCAATGGTGCCACGGAGGTAAGTCAGATACGTTAATTCACCCTTACTTCTAACTGAACGGTCCGCGTCTTCGCTCGCTTGCTATTTGCTGAGGCGGTTCACTTGTACGGTCTTGTGATTGTATCTGCAGAAGAATGCGTGCCCATTTAATGTCTGGTTACTTTAACGGCTTCTTCGCATGGCTGACTCCAGTCACTCCTCAGGCCGAAATCAGGGAGGTGCTTCTACAAGCTGCAATTTACTGTGGAATGCCGGCGGGGCTTGAGGGATTCAGGGTTGCGCAAAGGGCTCTCGAGGCGGTAAAGGAGGAAAAAGGAAGTAAGGCGGATTAGAGTATTTTCATAAGACGCATGTGCTGTGGTCATCTTGACAAATGCTGAGGGGCCTTAAAATTATCATTTACAGGTAACCCAATAGAATGAGACTCGGAATAAATTAAGTATCAAATATCACGAAACAGGGCACTGTGCACACGAACCGGCACCACCACGCCACGGATCGACGTCGGCACGGGAATGCTATCATTTGTTGGTAAGCAACTCGCCGTAGTCGTGGAACTACATTGGATACATGGATTTCAAAGCTGAAATCGCCATCTCTAACATGGCTTCACCGGTAACAGCCAAGGTACTAGGCTCAAGGATCATGACTAGTTATGCCGCCGTATCAATCTTTTATACACGTATATGTAAACTTAGAGGTAGAACGCTTGCAAACTTAAATTGTCTCCAGGAGAGAGGATGAGGAGGACCTTGTTCGATTAAAGTATGTACTTGATCGGAAAGACCTGGCTTCTTCGTGAATCGTCAACGGTTTATTTTTTTCGCTTTGGATATGGAGTGAATTAGATAGTAAAAGATGTATTGACTAGCTAGTTCATATTTAGATCAAGTCATACTATGTTCGGTAGAACTGTAGCCGCAGAATATATCACTGAGATCTGTTACGACGTCTCATAGCCTTCAATGGCAACCTTCGGTCACATGAGAAGTCTCCACCACTTATTGAGCATGAGTTACGAGGGGTTATGAAAGGGATTCTCTTGAGCATTGTGCTTGGCAATTCTAGCTGAAGTCCTCATTTGACGACTCATTATCATTAACCAGACTTGGTAGGTTCGGAACGGCATTCGCATCTCTTGGTGGCTCTGTCGGCGGTACCACTGAGTGGCACCACCGTGCAGACGTTGTTCTTAACAACGGTGTACGACTCAGTATCTCGGGACGGCAAGTTGACATATCCGCTACCTAGGCTTTGTGGAATTCATAGAAGCTGGAAAATGGCAGCAGGAAGCATCAATTAAATACGAGCACTCCTCCCTGTCGATTTGTCTGAAAAGCCTCTCCCAAACAAGCCAGTCGCAATCCAAGCCAACCAACACACAACTCTCACTAAAACAAAAACACATCACCAAACATCAGCAAAATGCAGTTCTCCGCTATTCTTGTTACTCTTGTTGCCGCCGTCGGCGTCTCTGCCAGCTTGGCTCCCGCTGTTCGCGCCGCTGTTGAGCTCAAGGGGGGTGACCTCGAGAGTCGCGAGCCGAAGCCTTGCTCTGGCAACCCTGGCTGCGACTGCCTGGGAGTCGCACTTGGCAAATGCCCGGCGGACTGCTGCTAGACATCGAATAGCTAGTGTCCTGTAAGTGATGGAGTTTGGTCTAGCGCGCTCCCATCGAGACAAAGTTCTAATGCTGGTTAGCTGGATCATCTCTACGATACGCTTTGCATTCCTCCTGCAAGAGCGATTACCACGCGAGAGTCATAAGGGGGATGATTAGATCACCTAAATTGTGATGCATTGGGAAGGGCGTCGTTGTAATTAGGAACCCGGACTTTATGCACATAAGAAATTCGAACATCATAGAAATGTCTGAGGTTCCAATGAAAAGCTTGACTACATACGTTACAATTTGTGATCAAACGTCTACCTATTCTACTCTGAAGATGGTTTCTGATCCGACTTATCAGTCTGGTTCGACATGTGAGTCCGGTCCGGCTCTGAGATTGCCTGCCGATACACGCTTTCCAACCCCAGACACTGGCGTTTCCATCTCTTCTTCGCCTCATCCAGTCTCTGTCGGGCAGCGACAGAGTAAGGACGCTTGCGTGAGTGAGATGAAGATTTGTAGCAGGAGTAGCAAGTCGTTCTTCTCAGAATAACATCTTCTACTCTGATAGTGAGGCCCTTAGACCCATCACACAGTTTAACCTTGTGGTGACACCTTCCTAGATGCCGATAAGCATGGCCGCAGGTTGAACGGAAGAACATGTTAAAGCATCCTGAACACCCAGGACCTCGCTTTGTCTTCGAAAAGTCGAGCAAAGATCGCCTCGCAGCAATTTCGCCGGCGATATCATCTTCGGTGATAATCCTTCGACTGTTCTCCATCTTTGCTTGTTGGTTTATAACCATGCAAGGCTTTGGTGCAGATCCAGTATTTCTGCGCCGTTGAGCGGATAAACCCCATTTAAATACTCAATTTTACCACATCCCATGCAGTATGAACTGTGGAAGGATTAGGTCATTGCATGTACGAATCTATGTACGACGGACAATGCCATTGTGCTCCTTGTATGCCTTGTCACGGCAAAAGCCGTATGACCGTCGGATCACTAAAGTGAGATTCACTTAACTCTGAGGTCTTTATTTATAATGCATTACATATTGCAAATAGATCATATGGATTGAACAAAGAAATACGATAAGCACTGGCTTAGACTACAACAAAGACTTTCTACACTTTCAATGCTAAGTCGGAGAAGACAAAGCAGTTTGATACTTAAAGCTTTTGAATCGCTAATGTTCATTGCACTCTATCGTTATTAGATTTGCGGTATGACTCTCAGAAGCCGTGCCGAAAACTTGTTGCTGAGGCTGTTGCCTCCCTTAGTAGGTTTGGGTTCAGGCACGGTTATATCGGTGAGCATATGTCCGCTTCGAAGAATACCGTCTCCACAGAAGCCCAATTGCGGCAAGTGACAATTGAGAAAAGTTTGAGGCTTTGGTAGTTCTCCAGTGATTCGAGTGTTCCGCCAAACATTCATAAAATATTGGCGTCGGTGAATTGAAAAACTTCGAACTGCTTTAGTCATTACTTTCTCATATGAAAGAGTTGCCGTCGGCGTCCCCTCAATCAAGATGATCCTTTTCATTTCAATACTTGTACACTTCTTAGTTGTCATGTTGGCAAGGCTTTGTGTGGGAGAGCAATGTATCGGTTGTAACATTCATTTTCAGTGAAGTTGTACTGCTGGGTTTTTTGCTAAGACACAATAAGCATCTTGAATGGCCGTCGGGCCCGTCACAAAAAGGCATAGTCGTTTTGCTGCCATCACTGCAAATCCAAGGCTTCCAGGCAGGCAGATATGAAGCATGGATGAACAAAATCGACCAAACCACATGTCGAATACAGGTTCAAAAGGCTTCGCCGAGTAGACGTTAGCAAAAATTGCTCATTTTACATTGTATTTTGTGACCGAATCTATAGGCAGCCTGAGCCACTTCCCACTCTGCTGATGCTGTATCGGATATCAAAGAAGCGCCCGCACCTTGCGCTGCCCGCCTCTACCGGCCACGGCCCTTACGCTTTTCCCGGGATCGCAATCTCATTCCGCAGCGATTGACCAGCCAAGAATTTCCTCAGGTTCTCGACGATCAGCGCCTCCGCACCCTGGGGCCGCCCACCAGCAGCGTGTGGGCTGACGACGACGTTCTCGACCGTCCACAGCTTGGACTCCTTGGGCAGCGGCTCCGTCGCGAAGACGTCGAGGGCGGCGCCGCCGATCTCCTTGTTCACCAGCGCGTTGTAGAGGGCCTCCTCGTCGATGCAGGTTCCGCGACCGACGTTGACGACCCAGGCGTGCTTGGGCAGCAGGGCTAACCTCTCCTTGTTGAGGGCGTCCTTGGTGCTGTCGTCGCCCGGCAGGATCATGACCAGGGCGTCGGTGGTCTTGAAGGTCTTGGCGATCTGATCCTCGCTGACGACCTCGAAGGCGTCGCGGATGCCGGCCTTGCGGGCGACGCCCTTGACGTTGGCGCCGAGGGAGACGAGCCAGGGCGCCAGCTTCTTGGCGATGTTGCCGAAGCCCCAGATGGTGACGTTGGCGTCGCGCAGGGAGGTGAACCTGTCCTTGGGCCTGTCGGGCTGGGGCCCGCCCAGGTGCTGCGGCCACTGGCCCTTGAGCTGGTAGTCGCGCATCTCGTAGAACCGGCGCGCGGCGTTGAGCAGCAGGCCCAGGGTGTGCTCGGCGACGGTGTGGTCGTGCAGGCCGGAGCCGGTGCAGAGGGTGATGGACGGGTCAAAGCCGGCGGCAAAGACGTCGTTGGGGCCGGCGGCGCACGACTGGATCCATTTCAGGTTCTTGAGGCGCTTGGCGGCGTCCTGCAGGTTGGCGGCCGAGTTGGTCCATACCACCAGAAACTCGGCATCGACGAGCTCCTCGGGGATGGGCTCCTTGACGTTGTAGGGGTGGATCTCGACTGGGAAGCCCTCGATGGATTTGATATCGAGCACGAGTGAGTTGCCCGTCGACTCGGGCTTGGGCACGAGGAGCTTCATCTTTGCTGAGGAAGGAGAAGACGACAGGAATCTAATTGAGGGTAGAGAAGGACTTCTTACTGCCGAGGAGACTGGGTGTGAGATTGTGGGCGTGGTGGATTTGTACAGAGGTCGCGAGCTCAGAAATCTATGTCGCACAGAAAATTGTCTACTGCACAATGACCGGCAGCTACGTGAGATCATTGTAGCGAAGTTGTGAATGAGTGGGAGAATGCACTCCGGCAACAGCGCGGGGTCAATGTGGGGGTCATTTTGGGGAAAGGCTCGGGCCAAAGTTGCGATCTCGGCCTGTCTCAGGAACAGCAATCCTCGGCGAAACCGCCCCTTTCTTAAGTCAAGCTCCTCTGACTAAGGCCAGCCGGCTGGGTTTTCAATGTCGAGTCCTGATTCTTAGGATCCGAAGTCTCTATACGGGTTGCGTAGGCATGAGGGCTGAAACATATCTGCACATTCTCGCTGCTAAAGGCATCAGTTGATACCTGAATACAGTGCGATTCATACCATTCCGAGCCAACATCAAATTCATATATAGGTCAATAGCTGTCGAATGATACTCGGCGAGATTTGAGAGCTTGCAATGGAGGGATATTTGTGTATATCACACATTCCCGTCTCTCAGGAAAGGACAGATCTACTGAATAGCCTCGCTGCCATGATGTGAGACCCAAGGGGCTTGCCTATGTATAGCACGAGCTAGTAGAGCGGCTTTGTAGCGGCTTGCATGGTCTTTCCCTTCCTTCCGAGGGAAGATGGACCAGGATCAAAGTGTGAGAATAATTGTTGCGTGAAGACCAAAGAGTCTCCCAGGAAATTAATCAATTGGGAGTTAATAGCCTTGTGACAAGTTTTCTGTCGAGGCTTTGATCCAGACTTCCAAATCCGTGCGAGTATTCTTGGATGTTCTGATCCAAACTCAGTCCTGTCTCTTGGAAGAGGCCTCAAATATAGTATTCACTGGCCTCTGGAAGCCTTTCACTCTCTGATTGAAAGTGAGAACATTCTAAGGCACGGTCAGCCAACAGCAAGTGGACTAATACCTCATTCTTCCAGGCGAGACAGCACTCACACCATCCGGGTCTTGAACTACTAGGTCCCGTAGACCCCAAGGCTTTGTTTCAATATCGCCAATGACATCAGCCTTGTTCGCCTTGAGTGTGTCCCTCAGCTTCTCCAGCTCGTCGTCATCTCCATCAATGCGGATGTAGACTTTGCCAAACTGGACATCGTTATCGATACCGGGGAAGCCTCGACCTTTATAAGAGGCAATTAGAATTAGCCAAGGCCACTATGACACAAAAAGGGAATTACAATTAGAGAATTGGATGGCGTACGGCGCAAGTAGATGTTCACGGCAGCATCCCACTTGGAGATGTTGTCGTCATCCACAAGCTGTACCCAGCAGTGGTTGTCCCCGTCGCGGCCGGCCAGGCGGAAGCCAAGGCGGCCAGTGTAGTACGCCACAGCGTCGGGAATTGACGAGACTGGCAAAGAGGGCTGGATTATAGTATATTGAGGTGCCATGGTCGTTCGCAAGTTGTAGTGATGTCGGCTTTAGGTCGCTGACGTTGGATTTGAGCCGCTTGACCGCTGCCATTTGCTGAACTGGTGCTGCAGATCCTAAGACATTTGCACATGTTCATGGAATGGACAGGGTTCACCCCTTGCATCGCACGTCAGTTTGTGGAGAGACGATGGCAATAAACTAGGTTCAGACGGAAAGCATCTTGTACCTCTCATGGGTGTCCCCCATGTGGGTTAATTCCCTTTGGGATAGCTTGCACTGTGCGTGGAGTAAACGGTTTTCTATGGGGTAATTTCCCATGTAGCATTCGATGGCCAGTTAAGCTCTGCTTACAAGTTGCCGCACAAGTCCTCATTTCCGAGACCCCTAGGAATTGTACGCACAGCATCCAAGGCACTTCTGCACCCCAAACCTTGATGATCCGGATGACTTTACGAGCGCCAAGTTTAGTTCCTCATCCCAATTTGCCAATGGCTTCGACGTGGGTCTCGCGGGTGCAGGGACGAACGAGCGGAGAAGCCCTCGGTTGACGGCACGCGATAATTCCACCATCCAGCTGTCACGAAACCCGCGTTAGCAGCTCTTGAACGCGGCTGCTCGGAGCGTCAACCCGCGCCCGACTATGTAAACTAGCACATCTAGGGAGATGCACCCCATGAACCTCGAAAGACAATGACCCAATATGATCCTGCCCCGCTGGCTCGGTCCGGGCCTAGCATAGGCAGCAGACTATTGATCAAGACGATATAAGACGCGTAGATAAGTGCACCGGTCGAGCAACCATGGGTTGAGCACCACTTCTCTGCGCTCGCTCAACCCTCGAATCCGAGGCGACCACGGCCGAGATGGTATCACTACGCCGCCTTGCAGCCGCACTGGCTTCCCTGTATTGCTGTGCTCAAGGCCTGGCCACACGCGCCGACAGCAAACAGCTCACGGTTGTTGACCCCGGGAAACGCGAGGCGCTCCAAGATCTGGTGAGACTGACCCTCTGGCGAAAATCAACCACGGCGCTACGCCGTCTGACTCCGTATAGGTAACATGGGACTCCCATTCTCTGTTCGTCAGGGGTGAGCGCATCATGTTCTACTCGGGCGAGTTTCATCCCTTCAGGCTTCCCGTTCCCGGCCTCTGGCGAGACATTCTCCAAAAGATCAAGGCTCTTGGCTACACTGGGGTGTCATTTTACGTCGACTGGCGCCTGCACGAAGGCAACCCTGGTGAATTCAGCGCAGATGGCGTCTTCGCTTGGGAACCATTGTTCGAGGCTGCTTCGGAAGTTGGCTTGTACCTGTTGGCAAGGCCTGGTCCCTACATTAATGCTGAGGTAGCGGGAGGCGGATTTCCTGGTTGGTTACAGAGGGAGCAAGAAATGCTGCGGACCAATGGCAGCTTTGTCGATACTACGAAGAACTACGTTGCAAAAATCGGCAAGATTATCGCGGATGCTCAGATCACTAACGGAGGACCGGTCATCGCGTTCCAAGCGGAGAACGAGTACACATTCGGTGCGAGCTGGGTTAAGTGGCCCGACGTCGAGTACATCGAAACCGTGAACAAGCTCTTCCGTGATGCTGGAATCGTGGTTCCTTTTATCAACAACGAGGCCGCCGCAATTGGCCTTTTCGTCCCAGGAGAGCCTGGGGGACCGGATATCTACGGCCACGACAGCTACCCAATTGGCTGGACCTGCAGCCAGCCGGACAATTGGACTGTTGGTGCCCTGCCAACTAATTTCCGCGATCTACATCTTGAACAGAGTCCAGAAACTCCGTACGCGATCCCAGAGTTCCAAGGTGGTGCTATTGCCTACTGGGGCGGATCATGGGATTTAGAGGATTGTGCGACTTTTATCGGGCCCGAAGCAGAGCGTATCTTTTACAAGAACGACATCTCTTTTGGTATTACCATTTTCAACCTTTACATGACCTACGGCGGAACCAATTGGGGAAATTTGGGCCAGCCAGGTGCTTACACATCCTACGACTACGGAGCAGTAATCAAGGAGGATAGAACTCTGGTCCGTGAGAAGTATGTAGAAGCCAAGCTTCTGGCACAGTTCATCAAGGCATCTCCGGCCTATCTCGAGGCCACGCCAGGAAACCTCACCAATACAACCTACACGAGCACAACAGCAATTTCGACGACACCCATCTTTGGAAACACCACCAACTTTTATGTCACTCGCCACTCCGACTATACGTCACGCGAGTCCACAGACTACACATTCACTGTGCCGACCAGCGTTGGCAACGTGACGATCCCACAGCTTGGCGGTTCTTTGAAACTCAACGGGAGGGACTCAAAGATACATGTCACAGATTACGATGTTGGCGGCCACAACCTTGTTTACTCGTCCGCAGATATCTATACACACGGTGCTACTGGTGGCAAGCGCGTTCTCATTTTGTACGGCGCGGCCGGTGAGACTCACGAGTTCGCATTCCCTACTAAGCTAGGTAAGCCTACAATTGAAGGCGATAGCAGCACTGTGAAGATCGTAACCGTTGGCTCTGCGGTTGTTGTGCAGTGGGAGGTCACTCAGGAAAGGAAGGTCCTCCATTACGGCAGCAATATGGATGTGTATCTCCTGTGGAGGAATGAAGCCTTCAACTACTGGGTGCTGGAACTTGAAGCTGCCTCCCCAGTTGGCAACTACACGGCCCAGAACAAGGAGTCCGTCATTGCGAATGCGGGCTACCTTCTACGGACGGCCACTAAGACAGGGACTTCGCTGTATCTTACTGGTGACCTCAACGCAACCAGCCCGCTGGAGATCATTGCTGGCCTGCCCGGCTCTAACAACATTTACTTCAATGGCGCGAAGGTCCCAGGCGTGAAGTCTGCAAACGGCCGCTTGTCGGCAACACTGACTTACTCACCGCCTACTATCGACCTGCCTAACCTGTCGACCTTGGAGTGGAAGTACATCGACTCACTTCCTGAGATACAGGCATCCTATGACGACTCACCGTGGACAGAGGCCGACCTAGCCAACACCAGCAATACTGCCCGCGACGATCTGGGAAATGTGTTGGCCCTCAAGACACCAACCTCGCTGATCTCAGGCGACTACGGCTACCACACTGGCTCGCTCATCTTCCGCGGATACTTCACTGCCAGCGGCAACGAGTCATCGCTACACCTGACCACCCAAGGAGGATCCGGATTCGGCCACTCAGTCTGGGTCAACTCGACGTACATCGGCTCGTTCAACGGCGCCGGCACACCAGGCGGGTACAACCAGACGCTGAGTCTCTCGCCTGTGAAGCTTGCTAGGGGCAAGGACTACGTGATCACCATTGTCATTGACCACATGGGCGAGGAAACCAACTGGACACCTGGTTACGACACGATGAAGACGCCCCGTGGCATCCTGAACTACACCCTCGATGGCCACGCGCAGTCCGACGTCAGCTGGAAGGTGACGGGAAACCTGGGAGGTGAGCAGTACCTTGACCAGGCTCGAGGACCACTCAATGAGGGTGCGCTCTTCGCAGAGCGGCAGGGATATCACCTGCCCCAGCCACCGAGCGACCAGTGGGAGGCCAGAAGCCCGGTCAAGGAGGGAATCGAGGGTGCGGGCGTTGGCTTCTTCGCTACGAGCTTTGACCTGGACATCCCCAAAGGATGGGACGTGCCGCTGGACTTCGTGTTCGCCAACACCTCGTCTGCGGATGGCGGCCCGGCGGACTTCAGGGTGCAGCTGTTTGTGAACGGGTATCAGTTTGGGAAATACAGTGAGTGCTTGCCTCCGCCGTAGACTTTCAGCTTGGGGCTTAGTCGCTCTGCCTGACGATGATGCTACATGATCATTTGCTGACTTCTCCATCTAGTCAATAATCTGGGCCCCCAGAGTAGGTTCCCTGTCCCACAAGGTATCCTCAATTATAGCGGGACGAACTATGTGTCTATCACGCTCTGGTCTCAAGAAGAGTTAGGTGTCAAGTTGGAAGGCCTACAGCTCGTTGCCGATGCTGTGATTCAGTCCGGCATGAGCGATCCTGGACTCAGTCCAATGCCTGCTTGGGAATCGCGGGAAGGTGCATACTGATGTTCGTTTCAAACATCAAAGCATGTGTATATACACCTTGATATTCACGCCATTCTATACCACATACTTTCTGCTAAACAATGTGTTGAATGTACTGTGCAACGCTGAGGTGTTTGAGATGAGTGGGTGAGGGGTTAGCGCAGGTGGTGAGTGTGAGTGGTTCAGTTGGTATACCGACTTCATGTGAAGCCAAATGAGACCTTGGGCAGCAATTTACTATGAACGAACTTCGAACATGAATCAGTGCCCAGAAAGAACACCTCCTCTATATTTCACTCCACAAATTGCGATTCCTAACAGCCTTGTGTCTACTTTTGAGACCTGATTCTGAACAACCATGCGGCAACGTCCAGACTGCTCGGGCAACGGTACTATCAAAGGTGTCTGGTGCGCTAGCTGTGACGGTAGAGGCGAAGTTGGGGACAAGAATGCCTGAGTAGGTCCGCTTGGACGCTTATCTCGTGCGGTGCCCCACGATTGAACCCAATGAGCGATCCATCGGCACAAAGTGCATATTGGAAGTTGAGGCTTTCTTGTACGCAAATCCTCCACGGAAGGCATCGCGAATGAGATCGGAGTGCGGAGGTCGTCTGGATTCCATAAAGTTGCGGAACTTCCTTGTTATCCATCGCCTGATGTCAGTTAATAATAAGACATTAGTCTTGACTTATTCACGACCCCTATTCCATTCACAGTCTCGAAAGCCATGTCTCTGAATCAAGGCTACTAAGTCGCTCGCCGTACTTCCATGGCAAGCCACTGCTCCATCATCGGGTGTTCGCCCACATCAATAATCAACGCAGTGCCCAGCTCAAGCGCAACGAGCTGGCATCGCTTGAAGTATCTTATTATGACCAGCCAGTCCTCCTTGTTGCCATCGTCGCAGAAGATATCCACGACGCCCACTTGGCAGGTGTCCTGGTCGAAGGCAGACTGCAGCAGCTCGTACTCGGTGTGGTCCTTGATGACGACCCTGTTGATCAGACGGTCGTTGTGTACGGGCATTCCCATGGCCCTGCAGAGTAGACTCTCGGGCAGACGGTGCACGGGGTCGCGCGGCGTCACGAAAATGTCGCGGACGAGGGGCCATGCTACTGACCGGAGGTCTGCGAAGACCCAGGAGCCCTTGAAGCCCCTGAACTGCTGGGTGGTGGTCCGGATATTGGTGGCAATATCTGTAATAGGTCAACCTTTTGGTCCAGAGTAGAGTGATGAAATGTGAGGATGGAGAAGGTGGCCCAATGGTCCTCTCTTGCATCTTGCAGGACGGAACAGATATGGATGGTTTTCATGGCCAAGAGGGGACTTACAGTACAGCTTGAAGCCGTATGACTCCAGATCGAACTGCTCCATCAAAGGGACGAGGCAGCGGAGAACCATGCTATCCATAGTGGCAATGCCAGTTGGTTTGGGGCTAACAAAGGGGACGCATGGCTTCATTCCCTTCAGCGTCAAAAGCAGCTCCACGTGATGGCGCAGATGGGCAACGGCGTGACATTTCGGCTCTGGGCCCTGGGGATACAGATTCCGGACAGTATCGTGTTCAAGATCGAGAAGAAATTGCCGCTCAGCATCTCTATAAACAGAAAATGCTTGATTGACAATGTTGGCCGGGAAGGACTCATCACGAGGCCTGGTGATGGTGACAGGCGTGTTGCTAGGATTGTCCAGGATCCGGACGAAGTCACGGAGCTCGTGTTTCTCGACCTTCATTTTCGGTGGCAAGAGGTCGTTGACCTGTTGTGTTGGAAATCCCCGTTAGTGTTGTGGATATAGAGTTGATGTATCATTTCCGTTCTCCCAAGGCCGGTCTTGCGTTGCCTACCTCTACAGTCAACCTCTTCAAGCCAGTGTAGGGCTGCGCAGCTCGCATGGCCGTGATGATCGCTTTGGAGCCGGAGTTGAGGCCCATCTCGTGTTTCGCGATTGTCGCCAGGATTATTATAAAGTCGCGAGCGATGTATGAACAGGGGACAGTGTGTAGAGGCTGAGCGATATGGAGAAGGATTGACTGGGGCCGTGGACGACGTTGGTTGTAGTGGTGGCAAATTAATGTCGAGTTGCCTGAATACAGGTAGACATCGATATCAGTGGTGTGAAATTAACATTGTGCTCAGTGGAAATTCACTGGTGAAAAAGAAGACAGCCTGCAAGCTTATGTGTCCAGGCATTTAGGTAGCATAGTCACGGCAAAGATTGCCTGATTCAGAAACAAACACAAGTACACAGATCTGAGACAAGCCCGTTTGCAGAAGCTCCCAATTTACTTGTTCTATTTCAATGAATAAGAAGGCGTTTGGAACTGCCAAGCTTGTGCTGCTTGCTCCATGGGGCTTCTTGGTGACCGCTCTCTTGTCCGTTTCTAATGCTTGCTGTCTAACTATGAGAGACGGCATTTCTTGGTGATGCTTACATTCTTTAATATCTACCTGAAAGAACCTTCTCGCCCATTTCACAAAAGCCCGTATCCCCGCTCCGGGCATATTTTTGGTAGATATTGTCTGGGGACTAGCCCTTCTTCCAACCCTTAGGCATATCGAAGACCTTTCCAGGGTTCATGACCCATTTTGGATCCACAGACTTCTTAAACGTCTGCATCAGCCCGATGGTACCTTCGCCCAACTCATCCAACAGGCACTCCTTCTTTCCAATCCCAATCGCATGCTCCCCTGAAACGGTGCCCTCCATTTCCAATGCCCGACGCATCATATCGTGTACCACATGACTGACTCTCTTCTTCATCTGTTCATCCTTGGGGTTATACATCATCGCTACGTGGAAGTTACCATCTCCAATGTGGCCTATTACACTAGCAAAAATACCGAGCGAGCCACATTCTTGCTTTGACACGTCAATGATCTCAGCCAGTCGCGATAACGGGACCGCCACGTCCGTAGACCAAACCTCCGTCCCTGATGGGCGGTTGCTGACCATTGTAAACAATGCTTCCTTGCGCGCTGACCAGAGATCATGCTCATCCTGCTTGGTCTTGGCAAAATGGAACGGAACATTACCCGCGACGCTCCTGATGATCTCCGTAGAGCGCTTGACGTCGCTCTTGATGCCGTCTGTCGTGCCCGAGTACTTGATGAACAGCGTCGGCTTTTCTTCCCATTTCCTCTTGCGAACGGTTTCACTGCCTTGCTTGTTGAGTATCTGCATCTGAACATCGTCCATGATCTCGAGTGCGGCGAGCGGGATGCCAGACCGGATCAATGAGGTTGCTGCCTTTGCTGCGGCGGAGATAGTAGGGAAGGATATTACCGCAACAGAGGTGTCGGCTGGTATTGGGGCGAGCTTCAGAGTCATTTCGGTGACGATTCCCAGAGTGCCCTCCGCACCAACGAACAGGGAAGTGAGATTGTAGCCTGCAGACGTCTTTCGTGGTCGTCTCCTAGTTTTGACCACGCTCCCGTCCGGTAGAACGACTGTCAAGTTGACCACCCAGTCCTTCATCGTGCCATACCGCATAGCGTTCGTACCACTGCAGTTTGTAGACACCATTCCTCCGAACGTTGCCGTCGGCGATGGGTCCATGGGAAAGAAAAGACCCGATTCTGCGATCTTCATGTTCAGGTCCATCCAGTTGACACCCGGCTGGAGAGTCACATCCATGTCGTCTGGTCTGAAAGCAATGACTTGATCCATATGTGTGAAGTCTATGCAGATGCCAGAGTATGGTTGTGAGAAGTTGCCTTCGACAGATGAGCCGGCTCCGTAGGGTATCATAGGCACTCGGCGAGCGTTGCAGATCTTAGCAATAGCAACAACGTCTTCCGTGGTCCGTGGGTAGGCAACGGCAACAGCTCGTACAGAAGTGTTGGATGTGCTCCACTCTGAGTGCCCATGGTCATCGAGTACATCCTCATCGTAGGTCACGTGGTCTACTCCGATGATGCCCGCAATCTCGCTGGCGGCCAGCAGCATCTCCTCTCGAGTGCCATACAGAGATTGCAGTAAATCATCGTTCGAGTTTCTGAAGTATATTACGACAAAGGCGACCGCTATGAAGGTGGCAGGCAGGGCCAGGTAGTAAGGGACGGGAAGCCGAGGCCGCCCGTCACCTCGATTTGGACCGGCGCCATCCGACTGCTTCAAGACCTGGGGCTGCCTGCCGGCCTTGGAAGGTCCTCCATCCTTGGCTTTCACCGAATGAGGTTTGTACTCTTTGATAGGCGAGAATCGTTGTTTACTTGTGGTTGACTTCCATTGTTGTTGGCAAAGGATGGCCGGGTGTTGAGCTCTTAGGTGAGGGAAGGAGAAGCCCAGCGCGGGGCAGAACCTCGACCTGAAGATCGAGGCAACGCGTATATGCTGTTGAGCCCGATTTACACAAAATCGGGGCATATTTTCATTGTCTGGCTGTCTTCTGGTTGCTTCCAGGTGTCTATCATTTGGATGCTCGGCAGTGTGGAAGCAAAAGAACGGAGAATGCTTGTGGAGAATCGTAGACATTGAGCGAATGAAGTTGAATTTGTCAAGCCCATTAGCTACCCCTGTTGGTAAACCCGAACCCCGGACTTTTGGTCGCACCGCAGTTTCTTTTGGTTCCTCCAAGTCCCAAAGCGAGAGTCCCGAATGATAAATAATTTTGTACATTGGCAGGCTGGCACCTCGGAATGACACTTGACTATATTTATCCCAATATGAAAAAAGAAGACAAGAAAAAGAGGGGGGGGGGGGATTAAGGTCAAGAACAGCTCGATCAATGCTGATGATGCTATCGCGTGGTGTTCTGCTTCTGTGATTAATTACTACTCAAGTGATTTCTAGCCTGTACCAGATAATTATCATTCTTCAAGGAGTACATTCGTGTTGTTCTTGATGCTGTACATGGTTGGCTTTAATATACCTCTGCTAATAAGCCACTTTCGACTACAAAGCTATAATCTCACCGCTATGGTTCTCTTCCATTTCGTTCCGCAAATCTCTAAATACACGCACCCTTCGCAAACAAGTTAGCCCTTGAACCCTCTGTGTTGATCATTGCCACCTACAAAGTCCTTTTAGATCACGTTGATACAAGCATCGGCACTCCTCAGTGGTCACTATTTCCGGGACACCTAGATGGCAAATTCTCCATTTCCTCTCACTCGAGATCCTGTTTGTGACATCGGTGATCTCAATGGAAGTCCTTGAACCACTCGTGCTGGAGCAAGTCGGTCGTTGATGGCCGGGCCTTAGGGTCCCATTGCAGCATCACCTGAACCAGACTTACAAAGACTTCCATCTCATTGTCCGACATGTCCAGAGGTTTCCTGATCCTGGCATGGTGCCAGATATCGCCGTACTCGAAGTCATCCGGTTCATAGACCTGTTCATCCTGTTCCTGCATGTCTAGCGCGTTGCCCTCCGCATCCACGAATTCACTTGCATCACTCCACTGCGCCCGTATAGTGGCCGGAACTGGGCCGAGGCGCTGGGCTAGATCACGCAGGAGCCGATTCTTTTGGTAGATGCGCTCCGGGTCATCCGCAACGAATCGCGTCTCGACGAGTCGGCGGAGCATGACGATCTCCCAGAATAGCAGGCCAAGAGAAAAGACGTCAGCTTTGTGAGTCGCCGGCACACCGAGCAGGGCCTCCGGCGGTCTGAAGTCCGATAAGTTGCGCAGTGGCAGCTTCTCGCATTCTTCAAAGGCACAGGCAAAGCCTAGATCAACCAAGACGAGCCTGAGTGGCTCGTCCGAGTGTGCAATTTGTTCGAGATTGATTGCATCTTCAAGAGGCGTTGCTGCCACAGTGTAGTGAATCTCACCCGGTCCCAGCGGCTTCCTATCTCTTCGGCGTAACAGTTCGATGTCATTCCGCGTGTTGAAGAAGTTTGCTTTGTTCCACTCAGCAGAGTGTGGCTCAGCAAGCTCGTCACCCACCTCGGTTGCATTCCATTGCTCCTCATTGGCTCGCTTGCGTTCTTTAAATTCTCTCTGCCAATCTTCCTCTTCTTCTGAAGTATCATCAGAATCGGAGTCTTCGTCCGGATTTTGCCCCGGTCGGTCCTTGTTGGCCTCGTTAACTTTGTCATCTGATGCTGAGTGTACGACATCAGCCGGCCAGACAGCTCTTTGGATCTCGTTCTCGCTTAGCGAGTCGAGGCTATATCGCAAGGCCACACACACGTTCGCTGGCTGAATATCTCGATGTGCTATGTGTTGGCTGTGCAAGTAATCAAGACCCAGAAGGATCTGCCAGCAGACCCTCTTGGCGAAGCCAACTGACCACCAATCGCCTTCGGAAGCCTTGCCCAGCCAGGATTCCGGCTCGTTGAGCCTGGCGCGCCTTTCAAACGCAGTCTCAAGGATGGAACTCAGCGAGCTGCCTAATGGCTCAAGCACCTTGCAGAAATGGTCTCCACCTGGCCCATGGACCATGAACGAGTCGAGTGCCAGTTCTACGTGTTGCTTTCCTGAATGGTCGAAAGGCCGCCAGAGTTTGTCGAGTTTGAGCTCGGTCTCGCTTGTTTTTGCGCCAAATACTTTGATCGCTACAAAGCGTCGATGTGGTGCACTACACAACACAGCGGCTTCGTGGTTAGAGAAGAAAGCAGATGGAGCATTTCAATCATCGAGCTGACTTACCTTTTGTCCCTTGCTAGCCAAAGGGTAGACTGAGATCCTGTGCCCAGCTTTCGAAAGACAAGGTAACGACCACCGAGGACATCACCTAAGTGCACCACGTAGAACTTTCCAGGCTCGTAGTTTCTTGGGTCTTCCTGTAACAAATTAGCATATTAGTGAATATCGCACTTTCACTTCTGTTGCAGCACCTACACCTCTTATTTGAGTGTTGCTGTAAATCGCGTCGGAAGCCATGGTGAACAAGTTTAGAAAGTATGAAGAACAGTCCTTAGCATTTACGTCTCCAAGTAGTAAGTCTCAATAAAAGCAACAAGAGCCCGCCGACATCGAGGATGCTGCGGTCAAGGAAAGATATCACTCGTTAGCTGGACTCAAAACTCTGCTGACGATTTTGAGTGTCTTAGACTCTTGTCGTAGATATCTATTATGTAAAAGCCTGACGTCATGATCAGCACAGGTCCAAAATGTGCGCCTTATAGAATAAAGCAATCGCCCGTCGCACTGAATGGGGATGTCGATCTCGCTTACAAGGCATGTGCGTTGGGCTAATGGATATGTCTCGTAGCCAGCTGTTCTCGTTGTTCCGCGTCGTAATACTGTCTATACTCTTTTTGACAAGGCATGTATAGTCCTAAGGTTGAAAGACAACATCAAACCATATTCATCTAATGCATAAACCCTAAATCAGCAGCTTCTGATAGGTGATCCGCAAAAATGTACATTATTCCAGAGCTCGAGTATGCATCCCTCCAGTTGCGCTATATTAGTTCTCATGGACAACTGACTTACGCTTGAAATGTTAAGGCCCAACAGCGGCCACCGTTGAAGATGGGGAAAAGGAGGAGTCACGGGCCGACAGACAGACAAGGCGAAGTACATTGAAATCAGCACCGCTCTACTTGAGCCTTTCAGCTTTAGCTGCTTGGTTGGTATGTGTGATTCAAAGAGCGAAGGGCATGCATTCTATGCACGATTCGCACAACATGCGGACCTTAAGAGTCCACGGACGGACCGGATCAATGGCTTTGAGCGAATGCAATCCGTATCAAGAGAAGATACAAATCTAGGTCTTTCTGCTGTCAGCTCCCTCGACCGGTCCACTCAGCCGCTCTCAAGTATGTCATGAAATAGGCGAGATCACCAATAGAACAAAGAATGTCTCTTCTTTGACGAAGAGGACGCACACCTCGCACGAAATATCGTGCTAGGGGTCTTTGATGTGCAGGCTGAAAGTAAGCACTGCTCCTAACGCTAAAATCTCTTCAACAGATCTTCAGCCCATCAGAACAAAGCACAATATAGCTTTCAGCTACAGCAGGTTTTTCATAGGAGTCAGGGGCTACTATACAGACTTGGAGCCCAAGATTCAGGTATAAAGATGTGAAAATTGCTGTAGCAATCCTCGTATTCCATGATTCATCATCACCGCATCTGATTTCACAGATTAAACAAGTATTATAACATCTCAACTCTGAGTAAGACTTGCAGCCCTACATCATTCAATACTTTGGCATTGAGAATGCGTTTCATTGCTTTCACATCTCTTGCCCTCGCCCTTACCGGTGCAGTCAGCTCGCTGTCTATTCCATCAGGGGCTCAAGAACTCGCAGTTCGCAAGGCGGCTCTTGGAAACCCCGAGGATAGGACTAACTTCTATTACCGCGACACCTCTGATGATGTCTACACCCGCGAGGCTGCTGCTGCTGCCGGCGGCAACGCCGGCCTGGCTCTCGATGCGCGGGCCAAGTACAAGCCGAGCAAGATCGACCTGGACTTTCCAAAGAAGCTGGAGCGTGGTTCGATCGCTCAGAAAGAGCGTGAGGAGGCCACCGACTTGGCCAAGAAGGCATTGTTCCAGGCCGAGGTAACGGCTGGCAAGGTCATTTATGGGTGGCATGACGAAAATACTGAGGATCCCGTCGAGCACTTCACTGTCAGACCTACCGATGGCCCCGGCGATGGAAAAGGCAACATCCACGTCCACCGAGACGGTAGCTGGACGCAGGGCGCTGGTGGTAAGGCCAACCACGGTGATGGACAGGTCTAGGCGAGCAATGATGTTGCTTTGAATTCGGGTGCTATTGTGGCACGTAAGGAATGCTTGAAGACTTGGGTCGCTTGAATTTTAGGGCAATAACAACAAAGATTTCTGGGCAGAATCTCTCATTCATATGAATACTATCGGGTTTGATACCCATAGATGCTAGGTAAAACATGTTCTATGTTCTACCCAGGCCGCCACGTTCAAAACAGCAACAGTAAAGTCCTTGCGAACCAAAAGTCAACCTCATTCATTCATTGCAGTCACAAGTCTGGAAGAGCAATTATTCGTATGCGAACAAAGGCCCCGTTGAAACTGCCACATCGATATTTGTGAAGTAACACCTACGCAACCCCTAGTAGTCTGTTGTAGCTCAGAGCGCAACGTCTTCAGGCGGGGTGTTTTGGCGCAGTTGTCTTGATGAGCCAATTCATTTACTGGCTTAATGTTTAGACATGGCTTAATGTTTAGACATGGCTTAATGTTTAGACATTTCACTTCCTGTCACCTACTGGAGACAAGACCATAGTACAACCAAGGATTATGTGGTGGCAACCAACTAGGCCAAGAAGAAACCCAGGACTGCGACGCTTGGTACTCCAATCATATCATGCAATATCGCGGAAGAGGGCCTCAAGCTAACTTCTCTCCTGTCTATAGAAGCTTGCATTCAAAGCAATGACTCGAATACTTGTGCAAATCGTTCAAACATCGGGCACGTCTTGTGTCGGCTGCGAAATAACACAACACATCTTCCGACATTACATCCAACGTGGCAATTGTACAACATTCAAGCCAATGTCTGAACGCATGTTTTTACTTTACGAGCACTGGCTCTTTGGCCTTGATTGCCACACGTCCTGTTAAGCACTCGATCTCGATGTTGCTTTCATGATTTTCGATCCGGACGCCGGCGGTAAGGGCGGGTATGCCCAAGACTTATATGAACGAAAAGCACACATTCCATATCAGAAACACGAACCTAGGCTTGGCCGTGCCGCCGCCATCAAAAATAGGCCCGAAACTCAATGACACCCTCCGGCTTGGCATCGAGGTAATGACAGTCCTATCTGTAAGACCAGCTGTGAAACATTTCCAACCCTAATCAACTTGGCAGAAAACGTGCCGAAACAAGTGGACCGCATGTGCTGTCAAGGCCCAAGACACTAAGAGCCTTTACGTGAAAGGCTTGGGGCCAGGACAAGACCATTCGGTCAGTGATTCCGGGCATTTGGAGGCTCTTGGACCTTCCGCCAAGGTATAATAACTACCTCGACCATCCCCGGCATCCGGTACCTGCCAGTGTCGACCACCGCCCCATAGCACCACGCGTCTCGAGTTCTGCAGCTCGAGCGCGGCCAGTCCAAATAGCGGCCAAGTCACCGCCAAGTTCGCCAAGTCAGATCGACCACCAAAACTCGGCTGGCGGGATCATGCTCTTTTGCTTCGACGGCACCGGTCCCAAGATCTCTTGGGTTTCCTCCCTAAGGGCCTGGCGGGTAACTCGCAGCTGAAATCATCGACCTCGAACATAGGCCACGGGGCGCATCCACGAGAAATGATTGGCAGTGTCGGAGATCGTGCTTCAACGTCTCCTCCGCCACCGCTGGGCGGAATGGGCGCACACGCGCCAGGCACCGCCCTTTGACCACCAGTATGGGAGGACTTTACAAGCGGATCTTGACTATTTTCCTGGCCATGAACGGAAATAGAACAGCATTGGTTTTGAACTCTATGTCTTAGCCAGGGTCAGACGTTGATTTGATTTGGCTCTGACGCCGCGAAGCCATCCTGGGCCACCTGGGTTGTTATTTCTTGGGCCATGAGGCGAGCGTCATTATTCATGTTCGCCTTAGGGGCGCGACATACACGCAAGCACCGCCGGCCCGCTTATATGAGTTTATAATAAGGTTAATTCTCCCTGCATCTGCTCGGGCGATCCCCATGCGACCAGATAGCTGCTGACGACTCCTTGTTAAACATTATACCGTGAGCTTTGTTATAACTTCTGGGGAGTTCTGCTCCGCCGGCCAGCTGATTGTTCACTGAATCTTCATACTCCAATAGGTCTGGAGTGAGCGCAGGCAAGATGACGAAGAACATATTCAAGGACGCCATCGATGGGCTCAAGGAGTTCTCGCCCAGCGAGCGGCGGAACATCATATTATACATAATTGGCATCATGATTTACAAGTTTGGCCTTGAGGCATTCAACGGCTCTATCGTCGCGTTGGCAACCAACAGATACGACTACGATGCATTCCTGAGTGGGACAAGTTCGAAGACGTTCGAAAGGGTGGGGCTGCTCACTGGTCTCAACCAGGCGATGCAGTGTGTGGGATCCATCATCATTGCGCCGCTCATCAAGCAGTTCCCGACCAAGAATGTTCTTTCGGGGGCAATCATCGTCTTTGCCATCTTTACTGCCATTCTATTGATCGTCGATGCTGCTGCCGGGGGCTCATGGATTCCCCAGGAGTACAAGGGCTTAAACCATCCTGATGACCGGTACGTCCTTTTTAACCAAGCCACTGTTGACCATGTCGGACTGAGCATGAATAGCTTTGAGTACTATGGGAGATTCAACACTGACGGTATGATCCCCATATACGCCGTGTGCGGGATTGCTTACGGCATGGTCGAGTTGATTCGACGCATCATCCCACGAGACATTGTCGGAGGCAACGTACAGAAGCTTCGGAGGATGGACTCGGTAGTAAGTCTCACACATTATGGACAACTTCACTGCGGGCGTCTATCTCACAACGTGCAGGTCCATATCTTTTACGAAATTACCGGCACAACAGGCGCCTTCGTCACAGCCCTGGTGCTGATCCCGCAGCTCGGCAACAACCGCGCCTTCATCATCACGCCGATTGCCTTCTTCTTCTGCGCCATTTCGTGGTTCTTTATCTCGGACCTCGGCTTCGAGAAGAGAAAGAGCCAGGTCCTCGGCAACCAGCCAGGCTACATCAAGGCGACCCTCGGCGGCTTCTGGTTGTTTTTCGAGTCCATCGGCGTCGGCGCCAAGATCCTCTTCACGTCCCGGAAGTTCATCTGGCTCGTGCCTGGATACGCGATCGCGCTGTACGGTCACAGGTACCTGGAAAACGGCATCGCGCCCCAGGTGGCCAGGCGGTACCTCGGCCAGTCGGGTTGGAGCCAGCTGATGGTCGGCGGTTCGAACATGGGTGAACTGCTTGGGGCGCTAACAGTGTTCCTGTTCAACAACTGGGTGCAGACACCCATGCCATGGCTGCGTCTGGACTCTTTGTTCCTCTTGATCGTCTGGTACATACCCTTCTGGCGCCCGCCGCGCAACCAGGTCGGCCAGGCATGGCTCGTGGCTGCGACATTCATGCCTATCTCCTTCGGCTGGGCTGCCGGAGATGTCTCCCTGGCTGCATACATACAAGCATGCCTTGCAAGGCTCGAATCCAAGAACAAGAATGTGTCTGCCCTGGGCGCCGTCATGGCATTTCTTTACTCATTCTACATCGTCACATATGCCATCCTCGGCACATTTCTCGGGAGGTACCTAGACAGCGTGTATAGCTCGACCGGCGGCTCTGACGGAGGGAGCATCTCGAGCGGGCTGATGTACACGGCTGGCGTGCAGTTCTCGATCATCTGTGTGCTAGTGTTTGCAAGCACGTTTGTGCCCAAGGGGGCGGTAGCGTTCAATCCTAAGATGTTGTATGGCGAGGCTTTGGACGACGACCTCGAGGAAGAGGAGGTCATCTCTTCGGAAAATTCGCCTGTCATCCGGCCTGGAACCAAGCGAAGCGACGGAGGGTTTAACGAGTACGATGAAAAAAGTCCGGCTATTGTAATCTAAGAGGCTTGAGTTGGAGGTAAGGGTCAATCTGCTTCATGTCGACCATATCCAATATTCCTTCGGTAGACCTTCGTGATGATGTTTGGAACACCGGAAGTTGGTTGGAGTGCATCATGTCATGAATGCACGATTAACTAAGATTGGTCGACACGCCTTCAATTCCCAGGCATCTATTAGAAACTTGTAGTTGGACAAATGTAGTGGTACTTTTGTTACGCTCAATCAGGAACAGACGCTCGATTCGCTTCACCACCGTGTAAATAAGTAAGCACTTGTGTTTAGAGGGTTTTAAAGATGCATCTCACTCAGGGGTGTCTGTGTCAGCTATTTGCTAATAAGTCTAATTGGCGGATCGTCGGGGATGGTCGGCATGTGATAGACCAAGCCGGGCGGACAGGCGGATGCGACATGTCAGTTAGACAGTGGAATCGTGGAGAGCAGCAGCCGACAGTCACCTGCTACTTGCGGAAGTCTTCACCGTGGTGAGTGACGCCCGCGCGGGGTGCACGATGCCGGCTCCAGTTATGCTAGTTTGGCAGTGAGACCATGTGAGTAGCACCAATGCAGCTCTCGAAGGGTCCCTTTCGTGCGGATCTACGCGGTGCCGATCGCCAGTCTGTGCGGAATGAGAGAGTGACAGTGACAGCGACAGTGGCATTTTTGACAGCTATTGTCCCGCGATAATAAGGGACGGTCAGAATTAGCAGCCTTCTAGGTCAATCTCGAACCTCAACGATGGTTTACCGACAATCCGGGTAGGGCATGTGCCAATCTCCCAAAAGTGGAACAATGCGGCTGGTCTAATTTAACCACTTTCTCTGCCTCTGGCCCAGAACGGCGGCGAGGGCAGGGTCGCGAAAACAAAGGAAACGGCTGGGCGGCTAGAGACAGCGTGGTGTCTAGGTGAAGGCGTGGTACGCGGCCGGATAATTCCCCAGGGAACCCAAGTTTTCCCGTGGCCAGGTCGGGAAACGGCTGGACCGTGTGGGCGAGGGATGATGGGCCATGGCCATCCTGTGATGGGCCGATGGGCCGGTGGCTGATGCTATTCGTCGAGCCGCGTCGGCTGGCCTAGCAGCCTAGTCCAGTGCATCGATTGATCCTGCGGTTGGTGAGTGCCCGTCACTTCTCGCCGCCACACAGCCTGCTTCACAACCAGCCGACTGGTCGCATAATGCCCAGTAGCCTGTTGAGCAGGTGAGCAGGGCGCGTTGGTGACCGGGGCGAGGAGGATCCCAAGCCGCTAGAAGGAAGTTGCTTGTTGTTGGTCTTAGACGCCCAGGAAGATGCCTCTCTCTCTTCTTCTTGTTTTTCTTGTTTGCGAATGACCGACTGCTGCAGCCCGGAAGAAAGTCGAACAACAACAGAGTGAAGACACTGACACTGTGGCACTGTGTCACCGAGAGTTCTGACTGAGACGGGTCAGGCCGGCTACAGTATGACAGTGGACTCGGGCTTCGAAGCCTCTCGAGCAACATGAGAAGACGACAGGCAGAGAGAAGCTCCAACTTAAAAAATGTCTCCACAAAAGAGGAGACGGTAGCATGTGGGATCAACCGACCAACCAACCAATGCATGGCCCCAAGTGGCCCAGTAGCTCGGGATCATCGGGATATTTGATGACGATAGGTCATAATGGTTGACCTTATTATCATGTTATCATTTTACCCCGGGAAACCTTGACACACAGCACGAGGGAAAAAACACTGGAGGCCCCATCCAAACCCACAGAGCCCAATAGGACCCCAAATTTCCCCAGAAAGCGCTAATGCAAGCCTCTTTTGGGAAAAGCCAACGCCCAGAGACTCGATGCTGATGCAGGGGAAATCCTGCCTCAGAAAGACCATCGGATCAAAGACACGGGTCGAGGCTAGACGGAAAAGAGGCGAGGAAAAGAGCCTTGTTAGCTGCGTGGGCCGGCCATGCTCCAACATCCTCATAGGCTGCCCTGCCCGTCCCGTCCATCAAATGTCTCACTCCGCTGCGGGAGCGGCTGTGACAAAAGCACTTTTCGTGTTCCACGGTTTCTTTTCTCGAGGCTGAATGAACAAAGTTTACGCAGAATCTGGATACCCGTGAGATGAGCCGCGGCGATCCAAATATCTTGTCCTAACACCGCGTGCGACCCCCGATGTGCGGCACGAATCCTTCGTCCCTTCTCCTCCCTCGAGCTCGAGACTGATGCTGTCTCACCACCGGCAGTCCCCGATCTGATGTTACCACCTGAACAACCTCCACCAGCAGCCACTCCATTCCTTGGTCCGAACCAAACTGAACCGAACTGATCTCTACTGACTTGAACCGGGCTGAACTGAACTGAACCCACACCAACTGAGACTGTTCCATCCGTCTCTTCCCCCAGCAAACGCCATATCGACGAACGAAAACCACCATACTAATTAAATGCATGTTGACACGGTACGAGCAAAGTACCGGATGGATGGCCCCATTATCGCAGCGACCACCGCTGCCCTCGCCGCCGCCACCCAGACCGCCTACATCGTCACCGACTTCTTGAAGGATGTGCCACCGGCCCACAGCGAGCTGGAATCCGTGCTGATCGAATTGTTTGACCTGCGCGGCTTTTTTGAGCGCCTCCAGCACCTGACGCCACCCGATGTGCTGTGTCACCCACTGATTGGGGTCACACGTGGTTGCACCGATGTTTGCGGCCGGATTGACTCTGTACTCACCGGGTGTGGAGATGGCCCACTCCGGAGCGGCCGTTGGGCTCTCACCGACGCCTCGGTAGACATCCGAAGATTCAGCAAGGCGTTGGGCTTTTGTCGTCAGACTGTGCAGTTTGCATTTGAAGCTATCTCTAGGTGAGTTATCCTTCTACCACCAAACGGCGTGTTTGAGTGGGTATGTGATGAGAGTGAAGGGCCATCTGCTGACCAGCTGAAAGGGACGTGAGTGAGCAAACTATTGCCGATATTGACTATGTGCGAAAGCACCTGACCCCAAACGGCTTGCGTGTTGCTCGTTTGGATGCCTTACTTGCTCATTGTCTCGACGAGGTTGAGAATTACGTTGCGGCAATGGAAACCTTACCAGCTGACACGCCGGAGACTCCGGTCGCCGTGGACCAACTCCCGCCAACGACACCATCAGTCCACACCATGATGACGTCCTTCAGGAGAAGGTTATCGGACTCATCGGAGCAGGGAGAAATGAGACCGTATTCCGCGACCAGCTCTGAGCTTCAGTCAATCTCCGAGGGTTCGGCCCACTCGCACCTTGGGGCCGCTCCGGAGGACGGCTTCTCAGACGCACCGGGCCCGGGACCACGAAGACTGAAGCCCTCACCCCTGCAGCTCACAGTGAAAAGTCTTTCACTCGGTGACGTTCGTCCTTCACCTGGTTACAGCCTCTTCCCATCCCCTCCACCGACGAAAAGCCTGCCACCTATACCACCACCTAAGTCACCGCACAGGCGTAACGGCTTGTCGACGTCAACAAATCGAGCGCCCAGTATCCCCGCCAAGTCAAGGTCTAGAGCTGCCTCCGAAACAACTCGCGAACTAAACCGCGACTCAAAGTTCTCATCCGTGAGTGAGGCAGCTTCGAAACGATACTCGACGGCTTCTTCATTCGCCAAGCCACCTGTCAGGTCGAGCTCCCATACGTATGAGCCGCCACTGGCCAGCCCGAAGCCAACGGTTTCCACTTTCTCCGAAGAACCGGGACTTGAGATTGTCCCAGTGAGGCGTTTGGAGCCCGGTGATAAGGACAGCTCCCACGGCGTTTACTCGATTGATACCTCTCCCACCTCCACCGTGTTGGCTAGTCGCCATGGCAAAACTCACGTCAACCTGTGGGATCTCACCTCCGGCTGTGAACTGATTACTACCATCAAGGTCTCCTCCAATGTACAGGCACAGCCACGCTCCCGCGACAATTTCATCCGCTCTCATGCCATACTTTCCGAGACCCTCAACCTGGTCGTCATCGCCTCGGGCTTCGGGCACACGCTCGAGATCCACAACTGGGCCAAGCGCAAGAAGGTGCAGACCATCAGCGACGCGTACAGGTGGGCGTACGCGAGGCAGGCACAGTCAGAGTGCTACCCGCTCGCCGCGTACCGCGAGGACAAGGACACGATTGACCTATTCCCATCGTCACCGCCAGCGTCCAAGAAGCCGTTCGGCAAGCCACGGTCCATCGAGCTGAGGAAGGCTGGCCTGCCACACCTGCCCAAGCTCCCGGAGCTGGCCTACTCGGCGACGGGACCACTCCTGGTCGCGGCGGCCGGCCCGCGCCCGCCCCGGCCAAACTGCCCCCCACCGGAGCATGCCGCCCTGCTGATGGCGTGGCGGCTCGATGACGACGCCGGGCTGGGCCACAGGCCGTATAAATTCCTGATGCCCAGCCGCAAGCAACACCCGGAGCTGGAGTACTCGCTGGCGCTGAGCCTGGTAACATACGGCAGCGTGGCAGTATCGGTGTGGATCCCGGCCAAGTTCAGGACAATCGGGCGGCCGGGCATGTGGCAGGTGGAGCCGGCCGTTATCACGGAAAGGGTGGTCCTGGTATGGGACTTCTCGACCGACAAGACGACGACCTACAAGATCCCTGACGCGCTCAACTGCGTCAGCCCGGACTGCCGCTTCGTGGCATACTGCGACCCGGGGACGCCGCAGAGGACGGGGGGCCTCGCGGTGCTGGACGCGATGAGCGGGCGGGAGCTGTGGCGGCTGGGTGGCAACAAGGCCGCCGGATGGGACGGGCGGTCTGTCTCGAGCAGGCGGAGCGGGCGCAGTTCGCAGAGAAGCGGGCGGTCGTCCGAGAGCGAGCCCGGCGGCGGCGGCGCAGCCGGGCTGGAGAAGCTCGGCGGGGACCTGGACAGGGTGACAGAGCTGGCGTTCTCGGGCGACGGCAGCAGACTGTTTGTTGGCGACGTTGATGGCGGCGTTGGGGTTTATGATATTAGGGAGGGCATGGGTATTGGGCGCGAAAAGTCTTTGCAGCAGGATACCCATTATTTTTAATTCTCCACGATGTGGAGTGCTGGCGTTGGAGGGAAATGGCGCATTGCACATGCTGTCGATGCTTATTGCCTGACGTTATGATAGTTAATGGCATCTTGGTGGGTCTCGCTCACTGGATTATTAAAGCGTCCTGTTCATTGAAACCTCACCTGGGTTCCACGACATGAAGTGCATGCTGCTTTTGCACGCCATAACCTGCGGCCGAGATGCAGAGGACCAGCCACAGTGTTCATTGGCGTATAAGAGATCTTCATGTAAATAAATACATGACAGTCTGTCCGTCATGCCTTGGCTATATGTCATTCCGCTGTATATCACACCATCCCCCGGGGAGGCGATAAGTAGATTCGAAGAGCTCCCTGCTATAGTGATATACTTAGCATAATATACAAAAAAGAAGTTAAAAGAAGATTTAAAAAAAAACAAGAAAAATAAATCGCAATTCAAGTTAAAAACATTCTCAACCCGATTTATAAAATCACAAAAATGATTATTTCAGCATCACGGGCGTTTGGTTTAGTGGTATAATGTTCGCTTCGCACTACCAGATATGCATGCGAAAGGTCGCCGGTTCGATTCCGGCATCGTCCACTGCATTTATTTTTGCATCTTCACTACTCCTTCTAGCTGAAATATACTTATTTTTACTTAAGAAATTAGGTGTGGTTGAAAGAGAATAATTTTTTAGCTTATTTAGCTTTATAACTATAGTTTATAAAAGTGTTAAAGATCTCTGTTTATACTTTATAACTTGAAAAGAGTTTTGAAAAGTATTATATAAACATAATTAATTATTCAACATGTTCATGGAAAGAGACATAAGACAAGACTCTTCCGAAGGTATTTGAGCCAGACCATATTATTTCTGTCCGTTTTTACAACATAGTCTCCCAGGTAAACAGCACTGGCTGTCCGATTATCTGTGGACTAGTTAGAAAGAATGACGTCCTTTGTCAGCAAACAATTCTAAGAAAGCGCCTTTCCAATAGTGAAATATTAAAATACTATTCGTCTACATCGCATTCGATGCCAGCTTTTTCTTCCGCTTACGCATTGATAGCATTCTTTACACCCTAACAAAGCAACATCCACGCAGGACTTAAAGCTTGAGTATAAAACGACTGGAGCAAGGTGGTACACAACGTTGGGATCTGTAGGCAACTGACGAATATGCTTTTTGGGCTACCTTGGGATTTGTTTTTTCAACTTTGAGTAGCAAAATATGACATGTGAACCTTTCATCAGAATGACAGACACGTGAAGGACCATATCTACCAAGCCCCTCAACATGCTATCGGATCTAGACGAGCTTCAACTAAAAGTTCACAATCAAACTGGTTCTATCAGCACCTTTCCACTGTTGTCCGATCTTCCGAATATCAGCTTCCCCCCCCCCCCCTTAACTGTGCAGTTGACGTTTCGGCTCCCGAAGGGGCTTTCGGAGAATCGCTGGAATTCTTTGTAATCGAAGTGGAAGCCTGAGGCTGGTGTAGCTTACAGACTCACAATTCGGAGGCGACACAAAGGCTTCTGACTACACTCATTTACCAGACAAACTTATCTCTTGTACCGAAAAGTTTCATCACCCATTTCTTGGGGACCTCGAGCGGCGATGACTTCCTCATGAAAGCGGTCTTTAGGTCACTGTGCTGGTTAGCAGCCAAGCTTCGTTGATTTCAGGGACAGCAGCTCCACGAAGAAGCAGTCTTGCACGCTTAAAAATATCAAGCTCAGGCTGTGGAAAACACGGCTGGTGTCTTTGACAGCTTTCACTAGACTGGGAGTCCACAGCTGCCAGGGACACTCCCAAACAATGGGCCACATGCAAGAACAATACTTTGAAGTGCCTTGGACGAATCGATCAGCTAGGAAAACTATGCAAACCGGTCAATGGGCGTGTCAGGGTGTAAGAACGTCAAGAAAACGTAGGTCCCTCGGCCACGGAGCTTCGATGGACGGCACGATGGGTTGCGCCTGCCCAATCTTCACAACTACTGAACCAATCAGATGATGGGATGAAACTCTGAATGGCATCAGGTTGTCCGTTTGGTGTCAGCCGTCTCTGCGTCCCTGGGACTTTTTAAACGAATTTCGACTGCTCACCAAACGAGCTCATCTCTCTTCTTCCCATACTCCACCGCTCTCGCAGGCAAATTGCAATTCGACCTCAACACTCAATCCGTCGACCTTCGCCTTGGGCACAGATCGGTTGCTCTGCATTCAATTAACGAGTGACCCAACTACCCTTCTGACCATTCATTCAATTTACTTGTCCTTCCGTCTCCACTTCGACGACTTCTGCGTCATCAAACCTGAAACACATTTCACAATGGGCGCCTCTAGGAAGAGATCTTCGTCCATGGACAGCAACCGCGCCGTGTGCGGCCGCCCCCACAAGTCCTGGACTGAGACCGAGCCCGAGCTCGAGCCCGAGTTGGGTTTTGAGGGCATGTCAACTCTCTTCGGAACGATCGCCTGTACCGTCAACCCTGCCAAGTCTTCGAGCAACAGTTCTGTCGTCTCTTCGGCTGGCAGTGACCGCGGCCGTAGCAAGAAGCCTCAACTAACCCCTAAGAACTCGGCAAGATGCTTCGATATGCAGCCTTCTTCTACTTGCAGCTCGACCGCCGCCACTACCGCGGGCAGCCTCGAAGAGAAGCTCGAGGTGACCTTCATGGATCTGCCGACCGAGATTCATCTCGACATCGTCGACATTTGTTTCGTGCTGGACGGCTGGGGTGACAACCACAGGTCGAATAAGGACAGAAAGTTTATTGGCGGTACCGTTCGGGAGTTGACTCTTGTCAATCGGTACTTTCGCAAGCTTACTGCGCCGTATCTCTTCAGGAGCATTTGCATCAACGACAACACCGAGGCTCTGTTCAGGGATGTTCTCAAGGAGAGTATCCAGGCCATGATGGTCAATCCAGACACGCAACAATGGCTGCACAAGATCCAGAAGTTCACTGTTTCCCTTACTCGAACGGCGCAGCCGAATCACCAGTACGTCGAGGAGGATGTCATCCTCATCCTTGACCTTATCCGGCCCAAGATCCAACGCTTTGTCATAGAGCAGCACAGCACACAGTGGCAGCTCCTTTGCCTCGTCGAGAATATTTGGCGCAAGTGGGCCCGAAATGGATTTCCGCACCGTATCTACAACACCAAGCAACTTGAGATCTATGCCCCTTTTGGACACAACTGGGACTTTCAGTTCCTTGCCAACCCCTACGTCAACGTTGAGCGCATGTGGCTCGACTACAACTGCGACCTCCTGGAGCCTAAGACCCTCAAGCTGTCTCGGCTCCCAAACCTGGAGTACCTCATGGTCCGCTCGTTCCCACTCAACTTTCTCGACGACGCGATCGACCTGGCCAATTTCCAAGGCTGGAGCGAGCACCCCGCAAACCCTAAGCTCGCCGCACTGGCCCGCACGCTACCGCAGCTGAAGCACCTCGCGATGTGCGGCCTGCTCAACGGACCGATCAAGAAGCTCGCGACGCGCCTCGCGCCCATGCGTTCTCTGGAGCAGCTCGACATCACCGATCAGCAGCCCGTCAGCGCACAGCAGATCATGGCGGCCAGGCGCGGCGTCCACTCTAACGACGCTATCGACTGGGCCATCACCCACAGCCGCCTGATGCGCATGCACGCCGCCAATACCGGCCGCGGCGATGCCGCAGCCACCTTCTTCAAAACTCTGCCCAAACTGAAGCGCATCTGCTTCGTCCGCGACCTGATCGGCACCGTGTTCCACGCCGTACGCGACGAGGAGACTGGAGAGCTCGAGCGCGTCGAGCCGCGGGAGACCATCACTGCCGAGCGGCGCTACCTCAAGTGGCAGAACCCCAAGGCATGGCTGTGCGGCTTCCCCAATGTCCTGGGATACAAGTTGTTTGACGAGAGAGACGGGTTCTGCGACACCATCGCGTCCGATGCCACGTTCTGGCTGTAAGGGACGTCTGGTCTTGGGCTTTACGGGAACGGAGCTGGGATGGATCGAGGCATTTGGAGAACAGAAAGAACTCTCTAGGTACTGTTTGACGAGAAGGGCTGCTTTTAATATGGTACGATCAAACCCTGGTATTAATTGAGGTTGAGTGTGGTTATTTGTGGCTAGTGGTCATGAACTTGAGCTGGATATCCCGAGCTGCGCCTTGATAGGGGCGGGTTTTTCAAAAAGAACCTGAGTAGTTGAATTGTGCCCGGGTAGGCAGCTCAATGAAGACTCGGATACCACGTATGCGCTTTCCTCTGAAGTAGAATGTGAAATGAGCATGATATAGGAGGTGAGTGGCGAGAAGGTTATGGGAAGTATCGCCGCATATTAGAACACATATCACGAGGCTGGATGTCATCTAGAGGCTACAGAGAGAGCTTCGTGGAGTGGCACATGTTTGCATGCTTAGGCTTTTTCATGTTTCTTTTGTTTCAATGTTGTGACGTCGAGCACAAAGTCCTGTCTATCCTTGTCTGCTGCGAGAGCATGCCATAGTGGTACCTGTTGAGGTCCACAGAATCCCGCATCCGCCGTCCCAAGCGTCAAAGCAGGTTTCCTCAACGAGTAAAGCCCATTACTTCAGGCTGACACAACGTGTCAGTGCAAGATACCAAAAGTCCATCTGAATAGACGTGCTTAGTCCTCGTAAGTCTCCTCGTACTCCTCCTCGTACTCCTCCCGGGCTTCCTGTGCCTCCTCCCAGTCGCTGTGGTCTCCAGACTCGTGGGCTTCGGCGAGCTTGTCCTCGTACTCGGCACGGGCTTCCTGCACGTCCTCGCGGTCGCTGGAGGAGACACTGTCTCCATCGGCGTCAGTAGGGGGCAGGACTGCAGGGGGCTGGTCTCCGTAGCCGCCCTGGTCGTAGCTCTGCGCTGGAGGTGCGGCAGCGCGGTGCTCGTCATCGCTATCATCTGTTGTTCAGGTGTTAGTACCAGGCATGAAAAAAAGTAATGTGGTGGTCGGTCACATACCAAGCGCGTCTGCAATCAGCGCGCCACCAATGGCTCCGACGGCCAGACCACCCGCAGCACCGAGCATCATGTTCCTTGTGCTGTTGTCCTTCTCCTTCTTCTGCTGCTCAGAGTAGCCCTCCTGGCCGTGATATTCCGAGCCATAGGGAGCACCGGGGGGAGCGCCGTAGCCTTGGGGAGGAGGAGAGGTGTATCCCTGAGGGGGAGGAGCGCCATAGCCACCGGGCTGGCCACCGTAGCCAGGGTCTACGCTGCGGGAACCGGAATGGTCGCCATATGCGGGCTGGGGAGGAATATAGATGGGAGCATCCCACACGGAGCGGCCGCTCGTCTCGGCAAAGTACCACCGCTGGTGCTGTTCAGAGTAGACTGGAATCCACTGGAGGGGCACCGGGGGGCGGTCGGAAGAGTAGCTGCTGGTTGCAGGAGGCGCAGGAGGACGCTCGCCATAAGGAGATGGGCTACCGTACTGCTGGGGTGGTGGCTGATATGGAGGCTGCTGTCCGTAACCCTGAGGCGGCTGTCCGTACTGTGGCTGGCCGTAGGGCTGTTGCTGTCCACCATAGGGGCTGTGGGAGGGAGGAGGGTACTGGCTGCCACCGTACTGGCCCTGAGGAGGGTAGCCTGTAGCGTATTTGGTCAGCTTCGAGTCAGGAGGAGCCTGGGAGGACAGCACATAGTGGGCGTGTTAATGGCGGGGAGCGGGGAGCTTGAACTGACCTTGGCCAGGATATTGCTGGCTTTGATCAACTGCACGATCCTTGTCCTTGGTAGTCAGGCCCTCGAATTCAGAGGTCAACTTCTTGAAAAAAGACATGATATGTTATGTTGGGTGTGTCGTGGTTTGGTTGGTGGGGTTAGGTGATGCTGATGTGGGGGTTTGGGGGAGAGCTTGAGCTGGAGCTGTGTAAGACGAGACGTGGTCAGTAAGTACAGCAGCAACAGCAACAGTAACAGCGAGAGCTTCAGTCTGGGACGACAGTCGCTTTTAAAGCAGGACAGCTTCGCAGTGATAGGCTGGCGCGTATAAAACAAAGTGCATGGACCACGCTATTGGGGAGGCCTCAAGGTGTCAGAGTAGACGGTGTGTCACTCGCTGGTGGTGATTGCTTGCTCTTTCGTGGCCGTGACAGTACTGCCCTTGCTGGACGGAAGTCTACGTACAGTACCAGTACGCGATAGTCATGGCATCCGAGGGTGAGGGAAATACATGTGCGGGGCCAGATCGCAATCTCGAGACTGGATGGGGCCGCGGGTGGGTGGTGAATGAGCTGTTTGTGCAGGTGCCAAGAGCCACTGTGGGCGGTAGAAATGACGAGAAACGGCCTGCAATTCACACACTGGGCTCTGTTCACCGTTGAGTCTTGACGTGCCCAGATGGCCAGATGTGGCCCGTTGACGACAGGTGCGAGAGTTGCAGCTCTGGGCAAAGCGAGGCGCCTGCAGACAAACAGACGAAGCAGCCGCCCGAGAGCCAGTGGCCTGCAAGCTCAAGCTGCATGCTGCACACTGCCACACTGCGGCCACTGTGCAGTCACAGCACCCAAGCATGTGCATGCATTTCAGTCAATGAAGAATGTTGTAACTCTGCGCCCCAAAACCACCCCCAGAGATCGATATCAGACAGAATCAGAAACATGCAGGGGCAGCGCAGCACAATGCACAGGCCGCAGCTTGCGACAACCTGAAGCGCTTCCAAGGCTCAAGGTGGCTCATCAGCTCATCAACATCTCCTGCTGCCGTTCGGAATACCGGGCAATGCACGCACCGTCGTCTGAACGGGGAAAGTCAAGAGAAGAAAAGGGAAGGGAAAGGAAGCACAGTGTTGATCGTAATCCACGGACTTCGGGGACAAGAGAGAGCACACACTTACGTTGTACACAGCCTCAATCGGAAATAACGAAGGGACGGACGAACGGACTTGGATCGCAGCTGCTCTACAAGTATTACACGCACATGGCGCTGCCAAATGCACGTACACAAGAGGAGCTCCACGATAGCAAAGTCGAGTCCCAAAAGAGTAAAACACATGACGAACTCAACACACCCTCATCGTCGCACCACATCTCTCCCTCCTAGACAATAAACCATATACTCCACCCAGAAAGGAGTCTTGCACTACAAGACAGCAACAGCAATGATTATCATCAGAGCCTGGTTTATCCCTATATGAAATCAGCATACGGTATTGCCCTCTAGAAAGACAATATCCCGATCAAGGACTCGGTCCATCAACGATACACCTGCCTCTTGGCCCACCATCCTCTGCGCTGCGCCATGGCGGCCGAACATATTTCCCTCGAGGACTTTCTCGAGGGCCCCGACAACATGTGGGATCCACATCCGAACCTTGGTATTGAAATAAAATGAAATGCTGAGGGTTTCACGACAGTGCTCGCAAGGTGCAATCTCCTCCACCAGTCTATACCCCTATGGAGCAAGGTTGCCCGATACCCTACACCCCGATCGAGCCGATGAGCATCCGTCGTGATGCTCCATAGGCTGGAGGATACATGCAGGAGCAACCACTTCCGCCACAGGTAGATAGAACCTCAGGCGCAGAACAGAGCAGACACACGCCACGAGGCCAGAAGACTGACGGCTGTGTGCAGATGACCATCCCTTCACCAACAGAACAGCACCAGCAGGCACAAATCAGGACGCGGTAGGTGGCCGATCCCACTTGGCGATCTAAGCCACAGGAAAAGAAAACTGATCAAGCATGCAGATACGCAGAGCGGGATTGCGTCGCCAGATGGTCCAGCAGTATTTTGGCTTGCCTGGCCCGTTGCTCTTCCTGATGGAATTTAATCGAGACGGCATCGCTGGTGAGCGAAGAGAAGAGAAGAGAAGAAGCCATGGTAGAAAGATGCCCGATGTCTGGGGGTGATAGTCGAGAACTGAGGAAGATTGCCACCTAAGTACAGTAGTTCCTGCAGTAGACAAGTTGGAAAAGAGTAGTCCCGCACATTGGATTGGTGCAATCTCTGTGTGCTGTCCTTCTTGGACGACATGCCGTTGGTGTTGAGGGTCACCGTGCCGTGCCAGGAGGGGCCATCGTGACGGTCTCGGGTCAGCATTCCTGACGGTGAGCCGCTCGGCGACGAAAGGGATGAAGTCGTCTGTCTGTCTACCTCTAAATCCAGCCAGTCGTAGGGCCCCAATCCATTAGCCGCGTCTCGGCGAATTCGGGCTACGAACACCTATAATGCATGGCCTAAACATCCAGACCAGCCAGACCAGCCGGACACCGTCCGCGGGTGGATGGACACTACCGTGATGGACTGATGGATCAGCGTTATCCCAGGTTGGGCCCCCCAGGGGGCCACTGGTGGGCCAGGCCGGCCCCAGGCGGGGGAGACCCTGAATCACAAGCGAGGCCCAACCACCCAAGACCACCCGCACATGCGACCCCTCCTGTGCCCCTCAGGCCCCCGAGCCCCTCATTCGTGCCTCACACCCCAAGCTGACAGCTGACGGCAGCCCCTCGAACCAGCCTAGCGCAAGTGGGCTCAGCAGCAACAGCACCAACACTCAGCCCTCCGCGCCGAAACGTCAGCTCTTCTTTCAAGACATCCCGCAACCAAACCTAATCAGCCCAATCAACCTTGCGTGCAACCTTGGACTACTAACCACCCTCTTTCCGTGCTCTTTCGACTCTCCTTAGTCTCCGACCACGCCGCCTCTCCTTCATCACCCAATCAACCGGCCATACCAAGCGACGCCGACCTCACGATACCCGGGTAGTCCACAACCGAGCATCGACACTCATCCTGTTCGTACCCTTCCCACCCCTCCCACTACCAACCACCTTATACATGGCGTACCCAGGCCAAGGCTACGGTCCGGGCGGCGGCGGCTGGCACCCTCAAGGACCTCCTCAGCATCAAGGCTATGGCTATAACCAAGGACCCCCTCAGCAGCAAGGCTATGGCTATAACCAAGGACCACCGCAGCACCACTATCCTCCCCAGCAAGGCTACGGGTACCCTCAACAGCAGCAGTACCATGCACCACAGCAATACCAGCAAGGAGGCGGTTACGGCCAAAGAGGGAACGCACCACCTCCACCGCAAGGAGCGCAGCAGTTCGGCCATGGCGCGCCACAGGGCTACACATTCCAGTACAGTGCCTGTACCGGACGGCGCAAGGCGCTGCTGATCGGCATCAACTACTTTGGCACAAACGCGGAGCTCAAGGGCTGCATCAACGACACGAGGAACGTCTCGAGCTTCTTGATGGAGCGTTATGGATACAAGCGCGAGGACATGGTGATCTTGACGGACGACCAGGCCAACCCGGTATTGCAGCCCACTAAGCAGAACATCTTGCGCGCGATGAACTGGCTGGTCAACAATGCGCAGCCCAACGATTCACTGTTCTTGCACTACTCTGGTACGTGATGGAGCATGTTCCACCCGGAGATCATTGGGGAAGGGGGGATAGGGCTAGTGCTGACGATGATATCACAGGACACGGAGGACAGACAAAGGACCTCGACGGCGACGAAGGGGACGGATTCGATGAGGTCATCTACCCGGTTGACTTCAAACAACGAGGCCATATCGTCGATGACGAGGTTCACGCAATTGTCGTCAAGCCCCTGTCGCCCGGTGTGCGTCTGACGGCCATTTTCGACTCCTGCCACTCGGGCTCGATGATGGACCTGCCCTACATTTACTCCACCAAGGGCGTCCTGAAGGAGCCCAACCTGGCCAAGGAAGCCGGCCAGGGGCTGCTTTCGGCCGTCATGTCCTACGCGCGAGGTGACCTCGGCGGCGTGGCAAGCTCGTTCATGAGCTTCGCCAAGTCCGCGATGACCGGCGACAAGGCGCACGAGAAGACGATTCGGACCAAGACGAGCCCTGCGGATGTCATCCTGTGGAGTGGAAGCAAGGACGACCAGACCAGCGCCGACGCGACCATTGCGTCGCAGGCCACTGGCGCCATGTCCTGGGCGTTCATCACTGCGATCAAGCAGAACCCCAACCAGACGTACCTCGAGCTGCTGAACAGTGTCCGTGATGTCCTGGAGACCAAGTACACGCAGAAGCCACAGCTCAGCTGCAGCCACCCTCTAGGTGAGTCCACCACCCGTTTAGACACGCGTATTCATGCTGTATTTGCCTCTAACGAACCACCTGACAGATGTCAACCTGCGATTTATCATGTGAGCGGGCTGGGGTGCCGCGATTGGGAAAACACTGGCAACGTGACGTGTACTTCTTCCAGGGGGTTGGGCCGGGTGCTTTCGCTCCGCATGTATCTAACAGCTGCTTTGGAAAACGGAAAAGGGCTGGGCTCATTCACACAAAACAACTGGAATTTTGACGGGTATGAGTTAATGAATGTATTGAATAGACGATACTGTCTAATGGCAACCGATGGTCTGGACTGCTATTGTGACCCTGCTGTGCCTCCACTTCCTGTCCAGCCATCTCCTTGCATTGCCCCCCTGACTGATCCAAATTCCCGAGACCTCGTCTACACCCGTGGGGCGGCTCGGCCTCCTCGTCGACCAGCATCTCCTCAGCCGGCATCATCATCATGCGGACCATCATGGCGACGACTAGTAAGATCTACTAGCTGGCGAGCTGCCTGCCAGCCTGCTTGCGACGGACGTGCTGCCTGACGACAGAGCTCACTCGGTCGCGTGGAAGACCTTCTTGACGCCCTTCTTGATGGACTTCTTGACGGCGACGCTGCCGAACAGCCAGTCGTTGCTGTGGCGGCCCCCGAGGGTGGTGTTGCGCAGCGGGCGGCCGGTCCAGGGGTTGACGCGGTTGTTGGGGTTGTTATGATTGGAATCTCCGGACGAGGCCGAGCAGCTTGTCAGGCTGGTGTAGGTGCGTTGGGTCTCGAAGCTCTTCATCGGCAAGGGTTGTTTTGGTGGTGGGCTCTGTCTTCTTGTTGAAGAAGGAGCCTGGGTTTGGTTTGGTTTGTTGTGGGATTGAGATTTTATGAAGTTGTTGGTGTTGGTGGTGATACTCCGGTGACTCTCTACTGTTGTCACGAAAGAGTTTGGAGTTCTTGTGTGTGTCTTGTTTGGGTTTGGTCTTGTTTGGTTTTGCTTGGATTGATTTGTTTACTTTTTACTTGTAAGTTGAATTTAATCAATTGGAATGGTTCCTATGGGACACGATGAATTGTTTCAACGGGGGACATCCGTTTCTTTTATGTTTGTCATCCGTCAGTCTCGCGAGCCAGATCTTCCAAAACATTGTCCTACAATCGTCCCACGCCGTCATCCGCCAAGAGGATACATCGCTGCACCCAAGAGGCTCAACGGGTACGCGGCACGTCCTCGCTGCCCTTGATCGTCACCCCCCGGCCGCATCCCAGATATTCCCGGCCCATCACCGCGGCCCAATCGCAGAATGCTCGACGCTCATTCGGCCCCAGCAGCGAAGGATTAGTCACATGGGCTGGGTGGGTGCATCTGCTGCAGCTGCCAAGGCATGTGATTCTCGCGAGGCTCCCCAATGAGCGTGCTGCGCGGAGCTGACGGCTGAGGCCGTGCCTTGGAAAAAACAAAGAAGCCTGGCATGCAGGGCGGCCTTGGGGAATGGGTTCCTTGTTCGTCTGTGCGATGACGGCGCCGCTGATTGACGTCCACGCCGGTCTCCCGTTGGCTCGTCCTGCCGTTCCCTGCGTTCCCTGCGGCCGGAACCCCGGTGTGGTCCACCCCCGGTGGCTGCGACATCATCAGAAACAGTCATCTATTGTGGGGATCGGATAAGATAGACATGCCAGCATGCCCAGCATGCCCAGGTGCAGCAGTGGTGCCTAGGCAGCGTTTGTCTTGGGACCTCGGGCTGGCCGAAGCTTTCTTATGCACGTACCGAACCCCCGAGCAACGCCGAGCCGCGAAGCGAGTGATGGGCGAACCGGTTCATTTTGCGGCTTTCTTGGTGAGCCCATACGATCCGGTCGTGGCCCAATCAGCCGGTAATACCAGTATTTCAGAACATGCTGCCAATGTTCACGTGCACGACTCTTGTGACCGCGTCAGCACAAGTGTCTGCATCGCCAACTACTGTTGTCGTGTCGCCGTGTGAAGGTGAGAGATGCCGAACGGGTTGCCTTGCCTCGGCGCCGATATGTCGTCGGGTCCGCCGTGTGGCGGCCAGCTGACTCGGTGCTGCATACCGGGATGAAGTGCCGCGTCATTGCTGCATTCTTCTTCTTCCATTGCAACCTCATCATCATTGTTGATCTTTCTATATTTGGCGCCGAGAGCCAATGGGTCCAAGCTGTGATGCCAAGTGCAATCGATGAACACAACAGTGTAAACACCATAGGTTGAAAGCTTGCGTACACCTCTCCAGCAGGACTTCAGGACTTTGTTCAGCGTGCCGATTGCTTATCCACTAGGAAGAGTGCATCGGTCTGTGTGTGGCTGGCACACGGATCCTCCTGCGAGGCGATACGAGAAAGCATGCACCACAACGGGTTAAGGGCCGTCGCATCGTGCTTTATCGTATCGTGTCGTATCGCTTCGTTCCCAATCTTGTTGACCTCCACAAAAACGATGGGCTCAGACGGCTTAGTCATCCAATGGTCCTATAGAGACGACGCGTCCTCTCGTCTGCTATGAGCCCACGAACATGCCTTGGACAGGACGGTAATGTGGCCGCAGACGCTCGTTTGATAAAGTATCGGCCTTGATATCATCCTGGGATCGATCGATCATGCCTCCTCTACCACCCTCGCGGCGTGGACAGGACAATGTTAAGCCAGATCAGATGGTCGACCTCAGCCGGAGGCTCGCCCAGAATGCCTATGACAAAAAGTCCAACCCGAGCGGCATTGTCGACATTGGTTCCGCAAAGAACGAGCTGATGCTCGACGAGCTTCAGACCTGGTTGGCCAAGTATGACGATAGCAGGGACAAGGCCGAGTGTAAGAGCACGATTTCAGCGGGCAGCAACCAGCCGTGGCCAGGGGCTGATCAGTTGAACCTACCGTCCTAGATCTGAAATACAACGACACACAGTGCTCTCCCGAGCTTCCAGCTGCGGCGGCAGAGTTCATGAACCATTTTTTCAGCCCAAGGATCCTCCTGACGTCGTCCAATGTCCTCGTCGGCAACGGTGTGACCGCCCTGCTGGACACGCTGTTCTTCAACATTGCGGACGAAGGCGAGGTAGTCCTGTACCCAACGCCGAGCTACGGCATGTTCCCCCACGACGTGACCACGCGCAACGGCTTACACCTCGTCGGCGTGCCTTGCGACGACATCACCGAGGCCCGCTTCCGGCAGCACATACGCCCCGGCAGGCCGCAGCCGGAGCTCATCAACCGCCTGGAGACCGCCGCCGCCGAGCAGCGCCGCCTGGGGAGGCGTGTTGCCGCGCTGCTCATCGCCAACCCGGACAACCCGCACGCTCGGTGCTACACAGCCGAGCTGCTGCGGTATATGGTTGATTTCTGCCAGCGCGAGTCGATGCATTTCGTTGCAGATGAGATCTATGCGCTGAGCGGGGGCGCTAATTTTACAAGTGTGTTGAATCTGGACCTGCGTGATGCTGCTGGAAATGTGCATGTGTTGTGGGGCATGAGTAAAGACTTCGGCATGGGTGGGTGCCGAGTTGGCTTCCTCGCCACATACAACGAGCGGCTCTACCAGTCAATGCGGACTGTGAGGTAAGCATACTTTGTCGTTGTCGACGAATTTCTTCTGTTGTCAAATTGTAATGTCATTTCTTAACATCACTGCGTCTCAGCATGTTTACCTGGGTCTCGGCTTTCGGCGGTATGACGGCGGCGACAGTATTATCCCACCCCAAATACGTTCGACGGAGGTATCTCCCCATGTACCAGAAAGCCTTGAATAAACGAAGGAAGCAGCTCGACGAATTCCTGTCCGGAAATCTAATCCGGTACACAACCCCTGACGCGGCTTTCTTCGCCTTCGTCGACCTCTCCAGCTGGCTGTCCAATGTTCAGGGCGACAATGACAAGGAGCGCGAGGTCGCCTTGCTCGAGTATCTGATGGCTCGTGGGGTCTTCCTGGAGCCCGGTAGCGCCTTCTCAGCCAAGATTCCTGGGAGCTTTCGCTTGAATTATGGCACAGACGAGTTCATCTTCAAACTCGGGCTGAAGCGACTTGCCTCGGCCCTCAAGGAACTGGAAGAGGAAGACAGGGACTCGTTCAGGAAAGAAGCAAAAGCCTCGCGCACAAGCTTATTGTGCTTCAAATGACCACGATTGGTCTCCTTCTTCTCGTTTCCTTTTATTACCTTCATGTTGGGAGAGAACAGTGGGCTCTTGTCTCTCTCTCCACCAGCATGTCGTTCCTTCCGCACACGTCTCACGTCTTGATGGCCTTAGCATGGAAAGAGCCAAATCAGACCCGGCAGTGGAGCTTGTGTTGATTTCCATGCACACCCGCGAGGCTCAGAAATATCAGGCACGGGCACTTCACAGCGCTCGCAGAGCCCCCCGAATAATACCCAGATACTCACCAATATAGAAAAGGGCCAAGAAACACCTATCTACGCGCAGGAATGTATCCTGAGCCCTAAATATCGCAAACATCATCCTACTTATCCCTAAAAAGACCCCGACGCACTGCGTTCCTTACAGGCATTCGAGATGTCCACACGAACAGCTGCCGTCCGCGTTAGGAGAACTCCTATTGTGGTAGTGTCCAACGAAGGTGCAAGCAGTTCTCGAGAGAGCGGCGCGAGGGGGATCCAGAAACCAGTCATACCTCTTTCTCCACCTGCGCCATGCTCATCGAGCCCAACAAGTTCAGCACAGAGTACTTCAACGACCTGCAGCAGTATGCCGCATTCAGAGCATGTTGAGCATCCCACCTGCCCGCCAGCTGCGCCACGAGAACGTGTAAGCAGTACTATTACGAGGAAACCTTGCCCAGGGTCAACGTCTCATTCTGTGCCAGCACCAGACGCACCACAAGAGCGTGCGTCCAGTGCTCCCGCGAGAAATGATTCTCCAGTATCGATATCTCCTCCCACACTAGTATCGGCACTGCGCCTATCTCTCTCTTCTTTCGTGTCCACGCTGGTAAACTCAGGCAAGAAGTCCCAGCACGAGCCGGCTATTCCCAAGACCCGTGAGAAGGACCAAATGGAATCGGAGCGTGTGTGTCGATGGTCTGCTAGCCAGACTTTTCTCCCCTTGAAGTAGGTCGGAGACACCGCCAGCAAGCCTCAATGACAGACCTTAGTAACTGATCGCCTGTCAGCTTACCGAACGAACTCTTCCTGTGCAGACGCAAGCTTTATCATTCGAGTAAAAGTGGCATCCAAATCATTAGGAACTATAACGACTCGCCTCTGTTCGTGGGATACCGAGAAACTTCGCCTTTGAGCATCAAGATCAGACAAGTCAGTCTTTGTGTGGGCACCAAGTAGTACGCAACTCACACCGAACCCTTCCTGAAGGCGTATGTCGACAAACATCAGACCGTCGTCAACGTCTGCAACCACCAATTGCAAACCGCGCCCGATATCACGACCGTCAGAGCATGGCATGCGGCGAATGACAGGCACGCTTGGCGCTTCACAGTCGGGATCCCAGACCCGGTTGACCGTACGATCTCCATGCAAGAAGACTTCGAATGGTATACGACTCGCCTCTATCGACTGGAAGGCGACAGAATGCCGCGATTTGGTTCATTTCTCATCCAAGTCTCCACCCAGGACGTTGTGGCACGTCTTGAGCGCCGGCTGAGGAGAAGGAGGACGTCGATCTTCTTCCCGGCCTTTGTAATCTCTTTTGTAGGTGCTGGGTGTCGGTATGGAGGGTTGTGGAAGATCATTGTATTTGCAGTTGGGCTCTGCGGGCAATGAGTATGGGCCATGAACAAAGGCTCAGCTCGTCACTTGTTGGTGGCGGTAGGGAATTCTAGATGACGACCTTGGCTGTCTAATACCAGCAGGTGCAATGAAAACCTCATCCTCATACACCGCTTATTCTTGTTTTACCAGGTACAAAAAGAAGAAGCATTAGTCAATCTCCAGATCTGTCCCATGTCTCACCTATCGTGGTGGTAGGCGGGTTACCTGGTGGTCTGCGCTGTCGCCTCCGGATGGATCACGCTTACCTGAAAAGGAAATCTCGGCACTACCTCCGTGATGGCACAACGGACCACGACGTGCTGCCATATTCTTCCAGCTGTGCCTGGCCCTGGCGGGCCGGACATGCGCACTGTTTCATTTATTACACGCGCTTCTGTGTTCGTGGTCGCATTGGGCCAGACCCCGGAGACGGTCCACTGCCCCTTGAAATGGCACGCATGACCACACCAGAACGTACAAGCAAGCCTGCGGAGCAATTTAAGCTTCTCCTCCGGGCGGAAGCTAACGTTCTTTCCGGATGTTATTGATGGGTCAATATGTGATAGATATGATATAACTGATCAATCGACCCAGGAATCTCAGGGACGCTGGACAGGCTCGAGATCTTCACCTCTACCAGACTCGACTCCCTGCGACCTCATCAACCCCCACGCGCTGCCCCTGTCGATCATCACGATGAGGACCTTCAGCCTCGCCGCTGTCGCAGCCTCCCTGGCCACCGTCAACGCGGGCACGGTCATCTGGGACGGTCGGTTCAATGACCTCTCCACGTCCGCAGACCTCAACAACTGGTCCTGGTCGAACCAGGTCGGGCCGTACCAGTACTACATCCACGGTTCGGGCGCCGTCACTGAATATGTCAACCTGTCGCCGTCGTACAAGAACCCGGCCGACGCTGCGTCCAAGCAGGGCGCCAAGATCACGCTCACCAACACGGCGTACTGGAACGGCCAGACGATGCGCCGCACGGAGCTGATTCCCCAGACTTCGGCGGCCATTAACAAGGGAAAGGTCTGGTATCACTTCTCCATGATGACGAGCGGCACCAACTATCCGTCCATCTACCGCGAGCACCAGATCAACTTCTTCGAGAGCCACTTCACCGAGATGAAGTCGGGCTGGATCTCAGGCGAGGCCGCCACGAGCGACCCGAACCTTCAGTGGATGGTTGGGGGCGTTAGCAAGTGGTCCACGAACTTCACTGCGGGTGTCTGGCACAACGGTAAGTGAAGAGAAATTAATTTTCTTCTCTAATTCCGCGCATACCCTTCCGCTATAGCCCTGAAGATAGATCTCTGCACATAATGTTCAAACGATTGGAAGACTATACTGACATAATTCAAGTCGCCTACGAGATCGACTTCAGCGCTAACACGGTCGGGTTCTGGCACTCGACCGGCTCAGACCCTCTGGTCCTCACCGTGTCCCCAGTCAGCGCCAGCACAAGCAGCAACGGCGCGGACTGGCACCTGGGCGTGCTGGAGCTCCCCAGGAGCGGGTACTCAGACAGCAACGAGGACTTCTACTTCTCTGGAGTGTACGTTGAGACCGGAAGCCTGACAACCGCCATTGGATCCGGAAGTGAGTATCTATCTGCATTCTCCTACATACGCGGCTGCCACATGAGACTAAAATTCTTTCCAGGCTCATCAGGCGGTGGCTCTTCCTCATCTGTGTCCAGCACAGCGGCGTCCACCAAGAGCTCGACCTCTGCCGCCTCTTCCACCACCTCTAAGGCGCCGACTACTAGCACCGCCACTTCCGCATCTGCCACGGCCACAGCCTGTACCGCTGCCAAGTGGGCTCAGTGCGGCGGCACCAACTGGACTGGCTGCACTGTCTGCGACTCTGGTAGCACTTGCACCAAGTCGAACGAGTACTACTCTCAGTGCCTCTAGACGGTGATGTGTGATAGGCTCCTGGGGGTCGTCGATGGACGTGGACTTTCGACGCCTTTTCTCTGCACATATTTAACTACACCTGTATATACAACCTGCTCAGAAAATCTGATGTAGATACTGCACCCTTCCCTTAGATCCTCGTCGAGTTCAACCCAAATGCGGTTCAAGCAATGCTTGGCCAGCCCTTCGCCTGGCTCGTTGCATAAATCTGAAATGAGTCGAGACTTCACATGATCTGGCAACGAGAGCAAACCTCAGACTAGGAATCCCCATTTCATCTTTATGTAACTCTTTCTTGTTTACGTTCAATAAAAGAGTTCGCCCCCATCCGTAATAGCTTCATTCTGTTGTGAGTTGCCGTGCGCAGTTGCCCTATATGAGATAATGTGTCACTCGATCGCTTAGACCTGAATCACTCAATATAGTGACCATTCGCAGCTAAAACCATCTATAAATGCTTCTGATTCCTTTGTATGGACGGCGTGATTTCCTTCTCTCAGAGCACACGACAGAAGAACCATTTACCGTCTTCGAAAGGATCACATGTCTGCCCAAAATCTCCAAATACCCATCAGTCAGTCACCATGTACTTTGAAAACCCTGGCCGGGAAGCTCTCAAAATCTTTTTCCTCTTGACGCACTTCGGAGGCTCAAATGGTGGGTGGATGTCTCGATCAAGCTTGATTATTGACTTGTGACAATGTGCCTCAGGATGTGCTTCCCTGAAAACCGATACCTTAGCGACTACTATGGCAACAACTTCCACATTTACATCAACCGTATACTCAACTTTGACAGTGACAATTGACGGTTGTATGGACCCTGTATCCGCTGAGTATGATGCAATGCCATCCGACTACGATGTGGATCAAGGCTGCCAGGGAGAAATCGGGGGAGGATGCAACGATTCGATTTCATTCTCAGCCGGAATGGCTGGAAGTAAGTCGTCATTGAGCAACGACTCCTTTTTTTCATGGTACGGGGGATGTTTTCTAATATGCCTCTCAGCGAAAGCAACCCTCGGCACGTCTACTGCGTAGTTCGAAAGCGCAGGAAATACTACCATCACTTTATCGAACGTAATCTCGACCACTACTTTGACAACGTCACTGCAAATTACCCCCAACGCAGCCGCTACAACGATGACGTTGACTCTTGCAGTAATGTGAAATGGAAGTAATACAACGGCTTAGTGTTAGCAAAGCAAACAAGGTTCGAGTTCTTGCACAGGCGTCGAAGGAATGCCGTACTGTTTCTGGAAATGAAATCGAGTCTTTACCCCAAAGAGACTTGCGAGGTTTTCGGTCGACGGAAATGCGAGGCATGCTTTGCCGATTAGTTTTCCCCAGAAAGTGCAAGTTTACCGTCGACGGTATTTCCAAATTTGGATCTTGAATTTCTTGATCATGAATTGATATTTCTCGATTGATTATATTTATTGTATTGGTTGCTTCGGCGATGATAGGGAGGAGCGGGTGTACTGGGTCGTGTCTCAAAGACGGAACAAGATCGGAACACAATCTTGCTATGGCAACGAGACAGGTGAAATTGCCCCAGCGAAATTCCGCGGTTTTCTTTCCGCACTCATTCTAGAACAGTGTTCAGAAATGGGGTTTGATGAGTGACCAGCAAGCAACCGACGGCTTGGACTCCCACCCGGTTTCCTACAAGCCGTTGTGCATTCCTATGTCTACCTGTTCCGGATTCTCAAGTACGTCACCATGTTCAGACTCGAGGCTCATGGCTGCGATCGTGGCGGCGCCTGGAAAATTATGTTTTGCACACCATGACTAAGGAGAAGTTAAATCAACAAATAAGAGACAGCATCAGTGTGGCCTCTATTTCCCTCCTCAAGCCCACACAGCCCTGCTTCAGCTGGATCGGTCACAGCACGAGTGATTCGTCGTGGAGTGAGACCATTACCCAGGAAAGCCTATCATCTATTGGATAAAGATGTCAGAATTTTCAGAGACTTCGATGAACAAGCCCCTACCCGGGCCACCTTCGGTGAACCGGGCATCACAGCTCAGGAAAGCAAAATCGTCACAAGCCTTGCCGCTCAGCCCCAAGTCCACGAGCAGCAGGTCCCGAGACAGCGACCGGGCCGAGCGGACACATACAGGGAGCCGGCGAGCACTGGACTTTGACAGCCGGGGGAGTCGTGATCTGCGGCACCGATCGAGCGCAAGCACCATCTCACGCACCACGGCCAGCTCTTTCGTGACATCGACATCTGGGGCTGGGACTATCGTCGGCATATCGAAAGACGTGAGCGCCAACCGCATCGTGGGCAGCGGCCATAACGGCATCGTACAGGACAGCAACCCGGACCAGCCAGGCCGGACCCCCCTTGCAGTCATCTCCAACAAAACGAGCCAGAACATCTCTGCCTGTGACTCAAAGTCAGTGGCCCAGCCCGGACAGGAGAACATTACGCCCGCAGAAGCACAGCACACAGACAGAGCCGCAGCGCACGTGTACCCCTCGCCCCCAATATCCAAGGCTCAAGCCCCGACGCCCGTGCTGCCGCAGCTGCGCAAGCTCCAGCGGCAGATCCAGTCCCTCAGGGCCGAGAACGACGACCTGCGCGCCGTCAAGATCACGCATATCGCGACCATCGACAGCCTGCGCAGCCAGCTGCGGTGCAAGGAGGCCGAGCAGGCCCGGCTCGTGGAGAAGCTGTGCGCCGAGGCGGCGGCGCGCGAGGACCAGACGGCGCACATGCGCGAGGCCGTCGCTGCGCTCAAGGAGGAGAAGTGGGCGCTGCTGGGCCGCGTCGCGGAGCTGGAATTGCAGCAGGCGCCCAGTCAGGTAGAGGACTCATACTGCGCGGGCTCGATGTGTGCGAGCGTGCCGCCAAGTCGTAGAGGTAGCGTGCTGAGTCGGGGGAGCCACGCGGGTGGCTATGACACGCCCGGATCGCTGTACAGCACCGGCGGCCAGGGCGGGCCGGCGCGGAGTCTGAACCACACGGCGAGCTCGTCGGTCGCGACGGCCAGCGTGCGCTCGTTCGTGCGGCGAAGGGCGAGCATTGCCGAGTCGGACGTGACGGCCGCGTCGATGGCGGAAGAGGAGCTGGACATCCTCTCGGACCAGCTGGTGGCACATCACGAGCGGCACAGCAAGGAGCAGCGGGCGATGGCGGTGCAGCTCACTGTGCTGGAGGATGACCTGATGGCGGCGAGGCAGCAGCGCGACAGGGCCGAGAGGCGTAGCCGCGACCTCGAGGTCCGGCTTGCGGCGCAGATGACGCTTGTCCACCACCATGTCCCGGCGGCGGCGGCGGTGCCGCCAATCCCTGACCTGCCTCTGCTGACGTACTCCAAAGTCGGTTTGGTGTGGTTTGACACAGTGGCGAGTTGGTTCAAGTACTGGGGCTTGTTCGAGTTCATCTCGCAGCCGGACGAGTCGCTCTTCGCGGGGACTGACCCGGACAGGGAGGGCCGGCGCCTGCGGGCGGTGGTGCTACTGAAGCGCGCCATGGACGACGACATCCTGGACGATATCATGTACCTGCAGAACCAGAAGTTCATCTCAGCACCAACAGCCACCAAGTCTCTCCCACGGAATATCCCTCCTGAGATCGAGTCTCCCTACTTCCTGTTCCACACCGCTGCCATCCTCAAGCGCACGGTGCCCAACTCTCTCACGGACTTTGGCTGGCTCGACCGCATCAACGATAACGATTTCGAGGGCATCGAGGGCTTCGCGAGCCTTGTGAATATCCTTAACCGCCGGCATAGCCAGCTGTATGGCACGAGCGCGGACCATTACGACGCGCTCGTCCCTAGGATCCAGGAGAGCATGTCGAGGCGGTTTCCAGACCTGGAGAAGTCGTTGCTAGACCCTGCATCAACACCCAGGAAGTGGTGGCATTTGGCGCTGTGGATGTCGAGGATGGTGAAAAGGAGGCAGGGGCGGATAGCTGGTGTTGACGAATCATGAGGAGTTGACAGTCTTTTTGGCGTAACTCTGTTCCCAAATACCCGTGGCGTCGAGTTTCGGGCGATGTTTGGTCAACCAGATGGTTGGTTGAGATACGAAAGCTGACTTGAAGAAGCGACAGACGTGGATGCTCGTAGGACCTTCAAAGATTTGAGATCTGAAGGGTTTGTAATTATTTTTCATTGATTGTAATAGCTGCCGCCTTCGCGGACATATGCGCCCATCAAATTTCTCCTTAAATCCAGCATTTGCCGACGGCCTCACCATCAACCGATGGGCTTCTGTCTTCTTACTTGCCTACACCAGATGGTCTCTGTTTGGACCTCCGTGATCCAGCGCGGCCTTCAGTCGCCTTGCTAGCCTATTATCATGGCTTTCCTTTCATAGCCTTCCTTCTGCGAAGCACGTGACTGCGAAGCGAAAGCATTCTTGTGCAGCTCGACCTTCGTCCGGGGATTTCCTCTTGCCGGACCGGTAACTCCCTTCCGTGTCTCGGCTGTGGGTATCCACATCTCTGGCCGACAACTACTCACGGTAGTCCGCTGGATCTCATACTGACGCCGCTCAGGGCGTGATGGATTCCGCGACCCGTGGAGTTGATGATCACTTTGATCCTAAGTGTTATAACGCATCTCCTCTACCCCCATCTCATCCTGCAGGCCGGCGCTCAGCCGCCCTTGTTTTTGCCTCCCTCAATTCCAGCATGTCTGCCAATAGGAACTTTTGTTCCTCTATTTCGAGGCCGTTGGGAGGTGCGTTTCTCGACGGTGGTGCTTGGTGAGGGGCGGGTAGTTCCTGCTCATCTCCGCGTCCATGGTATCCCTCCCTGTCCGGCAGTTCGGCCTGTGGCTTCATCTCGGGCAGGATGGCGGGTAAAGCCATGACCGGCTGTTTGTACTCTGTGCCCATCGAGTGACTTCGACGCGGCACAGCATAGAAATCGGTTTCGCCCTGCACACTCCACTCAGACGCGGGTGAGTGAGCGTCATAATCGGGAGGCGACCAAGGATGCCGTGCAGCGTTCGACCATGCAGCGGATTCGTTCGTAACGGCTGGCGCAGGAGGGATGGTTTCTGAGGGTAATATCGGCGCGGATATCGGGTGATTTGTCGCTGATGCCTCAGCATAATATTGTTGTTGCACATGTTGATGTTGTTGTTGTTGACTCTCATAATAGGGTTCTGCATGATAAGCCGAGGTCGGTGTGTGGGTCGAGTGAGAAATGGTTGACTGGCTGGAGCCGGCAAGATAGGGATCGTAGTATGCGTCGGGTGGCTTCGTTCGTTTCTCGAATCGTCCCCCATCGACCAGGTTGACGATGTCTCCATCGACGAAATTGACCATGTTCTTGGCGACCTTTCGCTTTTGTCGCCTACGCCACCAATACCACAGCCCCATCGTGAAGATTGCAATTATGCCAAGCGCGACGGCGATAGCAACACCGACCTTGGCGCCCGAGTTCAAGCCGGGGGGTTCTGGAGGTGGGTAATTCTGCTTGTCGGATGTCGTGGGATTCGAGGTCGGCGTCGACGTGGGCTCGGCGGTGCCGCTCCAGGTGGTTTCTTGTCGTGCTCTCGCCAGGGCAGTCCACTTCTCGGTCGTGGTACCCTCACCTGCGACCTGACCTACTCTCAAGTCGAACCAGCACGGGACGTTGGTGGTGACGTTCAGGTGGACGAGCGTGGAAGCGTTGTCGGGCTCGGCGTCTTGCACTTGCACTAGAGCAGGGGCGAGAAGGGTCAGCGGTGGTGATCAGAGCCGGGGAAGAGCTCACGGTGCGGACATACTCTGCGTGGCGACGCCGTTGATGTTGCAAAAGGTGTAGAGAACAGGGGCGAGAAAAGTGGATTCGTATGTGACCTTCACGGTGTCGAAGTTGTAGAAAGATTCGCCGCCGGTGGGATAGAGAAAGGTAGTGCCATCGGCGTTGTTCGCGGCAGATGAGGAAATCAAACTGAGACCCGCTACGAGCAACAGGCGAGAGCGAGGGAGGGATAGGTCATGTCGCCGCAAGGTGCGCATTCCCAGCATTGTGGAAAAGGACCGGACGGGCGAGACGGCTTCATTGATGGCTTGGGCGTGTGAACCGGGACATGGACGGCGATGTGGACCTGTGGTTTACGAGGTGGTTGTTCGCGGTAAGATGATGCTGGCGTTGGCGCTGGCGTAATTGCTGCTGCTGCTGCTAGGGTAAGGAGAGGACACTGGAGAACAATATTAATCAAGATGGAGACAGTCGGGACGGGGATGAGACGATGCGACGGATTCAAGGTTCCAACAAGTTGGGTGAGACCCAGCTGATCGGAATCGGACTTGGGGAGAGGAGACAGGAGAGAAGAGAACCAGGACCCAACGGTCGGATTTGGCGTGCACATGGCTCACTCGGCACGCCTAGCAGCCAGACAGAAAGAGAGGGACTGGGGGATGGGCAGCACAGAGTGGGCCGTTGTGCCCATGCCAAGTCGGCTCTAGGGTGCTGAGCCCCCCTGCAGCCCTGCCTCTCCTCGGCCTCCATGGCCTCCATCCAGCCATCCTCCAGGGTACACCGTCTCGTCTCGTCTGGTTTGTCAACACCAAGGAAACATACATCACACACCTCGCCTGCATCACCTATTTCGCCTGCTCAGGCTCTGGGTGAGGAAGCTTGAGGCTATCCAAAGACCCACATAGCCGGCCTGCATGTCTGACTTTTCAAACCCCCCTTCATGAGGCTGTCAGCACACTCTCTCTTCTCATCATCTGCCGGCCGGAGCATCGGGCAGTGCAACACACCACATAAATTCATTTGCACTCACTGTTGCGCCTGTCAGCCTGCGTCCTCTGCCAGGGCCAACCAGAGACATCACACCCAGGCACAGCAATGCTACGCCGCAATCCTGAAACCAGGTATCACCCAGCTGAGGGCTGATGAAGACGATCAAGCTGTCACGGCTGCCCATTGCCACCGGCGCCTACTGGGCCAATCGTCCCCACCTTGGCGCGCTTCTCCCACGTCTGTGTCACGTCCCGCCCACAGCAAATCAATAGCTGCTCATCCTGATGTCCCTCCTGCAGGACGCTAGTACTACTTGGGTCAACTCTTGGTGGTGCTCGTGTGACCAGCGCTGCGCTTGATTATTCCAGAACATCCGGGAAGATATGATTATATTCAATGTGTGGGTTGTAGATGGCGCTATGATGCAGTCCACCGACTTCAGATTATCACAGAGACTCACTTGCCTTCCCACCCTTTCAAACCTGAACTAAAAGGAGTCCTTTTCTTCGCTACTGGCAACTCCCAGAGACATTGTGATGTTCAAGTTGCTGCGCTGACAACAATGCGAGTGCATTGCTGTCTTGTGGGAACTTGACTGCACCTTGGTGGAAAGATGATTGCTCTCATATGGGCAAACCTCACTACTTTTCTTTGACTTGCCTGCTGTCTCATTCAGTGAATACTGGCAGCTGATGTGAATAGTTGTTTGCAGTATGCCCTGGTGTCTACTGGAGAAAGAAGCATCATTAGGTGGAGACTAGCGTTTTGAAGCTCTTGGAACTCACTTCGAGTGTCTCTTATGGTCTCTTAGTGAGCTAATGTAGAGATGGACACGATCAAAGACACAGCACTTTTCCTGTATATGACCCATTTACCTTGGCCATAGAATCTGTGAATGATATTCAAGCCCATCTGGCAATTACTGCTAGTTTGTTGATACCAGATGTGAATTATGACTCTATCAACATTTTGTTGTGCAGAGACGATCAGGTTGCTTTGGCCAAGGACGAGCCGGACGAAAGAAATCAGTGGACATGCAGTAAACAGTCTCAAGCATCAATCTTCCTTGGCTTTGGTCTCTTCACAAGAAACGTGCTCCTCAGGCCTTGTTTTCACCAAGGACATTTTTCTTGTAATTAAGTGTTTTCGATTTGTTTATGCTGCCTCCAGAGCACACTGCATCCAAATTTCTTCTTCCGCTAAATAGCAACCCTTTCATTTCAACTGTCCTGCTTGATCCTGTCGATTCTTTCCAGGCTGCTCACCCTCTTCTCATACTTCACACAAGCACTCGGCAGAAAGTACTATCAGCTTGACAAAGCTTATCATTCATCCATCTTGACAGCAAAGGTAAGTGGTGTTTGTCTCAACGGGACCGTTCGCACAATTCATCACAACACTGCCTACCACTGCGTCCGCCTATTTCTACTCTCCCTCCCAGGCGGTCTTCTCTTCTATGCCAAGATCTTGACGAAGCTGAAGAGTTCTGCTCACGGCCACAGACTCTTGGGACTTGACCAACCACATCGGGTTGTGGCACTTTCCCATTCAGGCACACCTTCAATCCAGTCCCACGCAGCAAATCCTCCTCCTCCCCTGTCTAAACAGTCAACGTCTTCCATCGCACGAGCTTTCTCTCACCCTTGAGAGTCTCGATTGACCAAATAGCATCTTCAAATAGCACAATGCTGCTGTTCCTGTGGCTCCTCCTCGCCTTTGGCGATGTCTTTGGGATCACGACTGCTGGTAAGTTACAAACACCTTTCCCAATGCGCATGCTCACTGTTGACGATCACGATGTTCCAGGATATTACAGCGAGACCTGTTCCACTTTTGTGACTACCGTGTCGACTGCCTTAAATATCCCACTGGTTGTTATCACCTCCTCTACCCCGGTGGCCACGGTCACAGTTACTGGCGAAAACACGGTGTCTCCTCTAGAGCTTGCCAATGCTGACTCCTTCTCGATATCATCATCTGAGGTAATTCAGTCCATCACTGTGGATGCTTATCGCCTCGAAACCCTCGTCCAGTGTGGAGAGTCGCTTTCCACCCTGTCTGCGACAACTTTCTGGACCACAGTGTCCGAGTCAATCATGACAAGCAGCGATGGCTCTTACATCTCTGCCTCAGCTACACCCAGCTTGAGTATCTCAACATATCCGTCCGAGGCTCCAAGTATCTACTCCTCCAGCAGTGAAGCGCCTATTTCCTTCAGCACATACAATGAGCCGATGCGCAGCATTTCAACTTATGTACCCCAACCTTCCACCATTGAATCCTCGGTGGTAGAGTCGACGGCTACCTTCAGTACATACTCTGAGCCTAGCATCAGCACATACCCTGATTACAGCTTCAGCCTTTCAACCTACATCACTCAAGGTCCAATCACTTCTTCCCTGTCGGTCTCGTCGACTCTGGCCTTCAGTACTTATTCTGAACCTAACTTTAGCATATCAACATATGCATCTGAAACTCTGGTATCAACGTCGTCGGCCATTGAGACTACCATTACCCTCAGCACGTACTCAGAGCCCAGCCTCAGCATTTCTACTTATGCGTCCGAAGTCCCAATTCCTTCATCCTCGGCGACTGAGTCGACTTTGAGCTTCAGCACATACTCTGTATCCAGCTTGAGCATTTCCACTTATGCATCAGAGGTTGAACCTACCGACTCTTCTGCCACTGGACCGGCCTTTACGCTCACCACATACCCCAAACCCAGCTTGAGCATTTCCACTTATATCACTCAAGCTCCAACTGGATCTACTCTCCCTTTCAGTACATATTCAGCGCCAAGTTTCAGCGTCTCAACGTACTCGACAGAATCCCCGATCGACTATTCTTCGGATACTTGGACTACTGCCACATTCAGTACCTATTCCGAACCGAGTACTAGTGTCTCAAGTTACGTACCTGGCTTGCCGACCTCGCCATCCACTCTTTCCACATCCGGCGGGAGTTCAGTAGTTGGCAGCGCCAAAAGTGAAACGTACGGCAGCTCCCAACCTTCCACGTCACTGGGATGGCCAACTTCAGCTCCAATCAGTGTGGTGCCATCAGTGAGCAGTACTGTGGATAGCTTCACACCAAGTTCCACCTGGTCCAACTCGAGCCTCATAACGAGCCCCTCGTCTCCAACAGCGGTCGTCCCACCTGGACAGAGCTCAGGCTCTAGCTCATCAGCCGCCATGTCAAGCCAGACACCCACTGTGTGGAAATCAACAGACACGACCTTGTCTGGCTCTGTCTCTTTATCTTCTTCAAGCAGCACATCCTCACAGACCAATATTCCTCCGCCCACGAGCAGTTCTTTGGTGTCTAGCACCTTTCCAAGCAGCTCGTCCCTGCCTAGTTCCCAAATGTCCAGCTCTCCAGCTTCTGGCTCCTCGACTTCTATCTCCTTGACTGCTGGCTCTTCTTCAACAATCTCGAGCGCCAGCCTAACCAGTACGACGTCAGGCCTATCGTCATCTATGGATACTGGCTCGAGTGCCACTCCAAGCATAACTGGATCTATCTCTGGACCTTCAATTCCCACTCCTCCAATTCCCACTCCTCCAATTCCCACTCCATCACTGCCTACTCCCTCCATTCCCACTCCATCAATTCCCACTCCGTCAGTTCCCACTCCGTCAGAATCTGGACCTTCGCCTCCCACTGGTTCTCCAACACCCAGCCCTACAGAGATCTCTTCGACACAGAGCCCGTCCATATCAATGTCTGGAAGCGATTCTGGGCTTCCATCATCTCTTACGGTCACTCCTACTCCTAGTTCTCCTTCAGGTTCTGAACCATCTCAGTCATCTTCTGGCCCCCAAGAACCCTCAAGCCCCCAACAGTCCTCTGAGTCCCAGACATCTACTTCTTCACAGACGATGACATTGTCATCCACTACGTCGTCAATCTCACCGACAGCAACTGCCAACGCCACCGCGAAGGTCATTGTTCCACAGTACACATTTAAGATTGGTGATGCATCCTATTTCATTCCGCTGTGCTCCGACCTACCGCAAACCCTCTGGTTCACGACGGGAGACAAGGACCATCGAAAGTTGCACAACTTCACTCTCACTTGCGACGGCATCGTTTGTGACTCCGGAGGCTTTCATGCCTTTCCTACGGAAATTCTATTCGGTGACTGTCAAAAGACGACAATCTGTGATGTGTCTTTTTGCTTCTCCAGGCGCTTTCAGTGGGGTACAAACAAGGACAACACGGTCACCTGCGATGAGGTAAAGCAGTCGTCGAGGTTACGGTCTCGAGGACCATGCTCCGACAACGAGGTCTGTTCAAACATAACCAAGATCGCAGATAAACTTGCAGGCCTTTCAAATGCCATTGGCTCGGCTGGTTCTGCAGCAGAACACGGGCTATCTGCAGTTGGCTGTGCTGCTCAGCAGGCTTTCCAGCAGACTGCCGCCTATTATTTCTCAAGTGAGTTTGCTTCCATTCATTACACATGCGTGCACTATTTGTAGCTTTCATTATCACAACTAACCAATATTTTCGCAAAGTGGCCCAAAAACAATTGAGTGAAATCCAAAAGCAGATCGAATTCATCAAGTTGTTTTTCACTACGTTATTCGGCTTGAACCAACAAGTATCGAACCCAGTCAACGTTTGGATTGACGACAACGACGAAGCATTTCAAGAGCTTGTATGTTACATCGACGATGATGGTAGCCGCATCTGGCGGACTATAGAGAAGCACTCCACCCTGCATGCAGGCCTCAACGCCCTCAGCTCCATCAATAACATTGTCAATCAAAATTTGATCGTGGTACTCATCGAGCTTATAATCAAAGACCTCATCCAGAGCCTCTATGACGAGTATACGGCTTATCTCACAAGCACAGGGCACATAATCCAGGGTTGGACACAGGCATGGCGGTTGTGCATCACCAAGTGGGACCGTGAGAGCCTGCAGAATCCGGAAGAAGAGCCTGATGAAGACGATGATGACGAATGGCTTCCACGTTATCAAATATTCACGAACCCAGACTCCAGTATTAGCTCCCTCCGTGGATTGGAGCGCGTTCTGGATAGCGAGGGCTGGGAGGCTTCTTTTGATGGCAATGTTTTCAAGGGCTATGTCGTGGACCTCAACGTCATGCAATCTTTACTACCAAAAACTATGTCTTTTGTGGACGACACTTTTCGCTTTGTATGGGAGGGCCCGGACAACAGCTCAAATCGGACGAATTCAAGGTTTTCATCAATTGAGCTGGCCGACCTGGAGGGATTCTTACCCGACACTGCTTCCAGGAACGAGACTTTTGGAAAGACTCAAGACCTAGATGGCCAACAGAAGCGACAGGCCTTCGACCCAGCCAATTGGCCAGCTCCAACTGGTTCAGAACGAATGACAAGGCCATACGGGAGCCATCTTAAGTCTCTCTCACAGCAGAAGGGCGAGGATCTTTCAAAACTCGACTACTACACCTATGCGGAGCCCCGTGGCGAGGGGTCATGGGTCTTTGTCATTGACAGTGGATTTGATACAACCCATTCGGTGCGTCCATTGGAGCAGCTCCTACCGAATTTGTCACATTTTCATGACCATGGCTGACTCGTAAGGGTAGAAACTGGCTTCCACCGACTACAGACAGGTGAAGACATATATTGTTCCTAACGAATTCGTCCTTCCGAAGTTGAGACCAGAACACATCGCTGCTGGGTGGAAGTTTGCCGACGAGGTCATCGATGACAACATGCCGGAACTCAACGGCCGTGGTCACGGAACCGCAGGTAAGTGGCCATGAGCTTCAGAGCCCCCCCCCCCCCCACTATCACTCATCTCGCAGGATCCGCTGACTATCATGAAGTGGCTTGCGTCGCTGGCGCCCTTGATCTCGGCGTAGCTTCGCGCACCAATTTGTACTTGATCAAGCAGGAGAACTACATGGTCAATGCAATCACCCATGAAACGTGGCAGGGCTATGTCACAACAACAGGACTGCTAGAAATGACCGTCAAAATCCTTGATGTCATCGACAAAGAGAATATACCTTACGGGCGGGCTGTGGTTACCGTGAATTCTGGTTTGTGGTCCCCGGCTGGAATCTCCCAACTGATGTGCCGAAACTCACAAAGTGTAGATTTCCCAGCAGACTCCTATTATGGAAAGTTATACCACTACTTTTTCGAGGAATTGGACAAGAGAGGGGTGGTTGTGGTGATAGCCCAAGGGAATGGGGGATACAACAAAGTCACCGGCACGCCCGATCACTACCAAGGAGAACGCTCGCCCCAGAAGTTCGTGACAGATGCAAGTCCCTTCATCAGTGTTGGTGCGACATACCACGATGGCTCTGTTGCAGAATTCTCAACTCCTCCTGGCTTGAAGCCCGGCACCTCTGGTCCGAATGCCGACGCGTCAGTCTCAATCTGGGCCCAAGGGGTCGGCGTCTACACCTGCAACCCGAACTCTCTGGTTCCGATGGGCTACCGATCTGGCACAAGCTTTTCAGCACCGATAGTAGTGAGTCCTCCTTGGTCGTGTATAAATCTTCCGCATGGAACCGAAATGCTCACTATGTTTCTTTATCCAGGCTGGGCTTGCTGCCTACATGCTATCATACCCTTGGCCGGAGAAGAAGAACCCTTTTGCCTCGAAAGACGGTCCCTCTGTTGGACGGCGCGTGAAGACGATGCTTGCTGACACTTACGCCTACCAACGCCTCCCTCGAGATAGGCTCATTGGCGAGTCCATGCAAAACATCATCAAGAACAATCCCAACCATCAATTTCCTTGGGAGGTCCCCGCCAAAGTGAATGTCGCATACAACATGGCGTACGGCGATCAGAAGTGCAAGATCGTTGATGGTTTCCCTAACCTTAAGCGCGATGGAGCTTCGTGTCCTGTCCCCGGCAGCGGCGGCGCGGACGGCGAGTCGACAGGCACTATCTTCTACACTGATGAGCCTACCTACATGCCCAGTGATTGGTCTGGCTTCTCTTCCGCGACGGGAAGCATTTACACTCCCAGTGACTACAACGCGACGGAGCCGACAGCCACCCTGACACCCTTTCCCCCCAACACGACGACCTCCTGGGTGATCACTGCCAACTCTTCCACGTTCATGACCAGTACGATATCAGGACGACAAAATACGAGCTCCAGTTCCTCCAGCCTCGGTTCCACTAGCTTATCCTCAACATCGACGCAGATGATTACAGTTTCATGGACACTCACGTTGAATCCTTCTTCAAGCACAACCACGTCATCAACATCGAGTACTACTACAAGTACCAGCTCCAGTTCAACCAGTTCAACCAGCTCGTCCTCTACTGCTACGCCAACTCCAACGCCGCCAGCCATCTCGGCACAGTGTCTGTCATAGTAAGTGCTGCTGAATAGACCCATTTTCCTTCTCACACGCCTTTGATGATATATGTTGACTTGGTTTATGATGGAATATAGCCCGGCAGATGATAAGCAGACGGCGTACAAGATTACTGAGATCCGCGGCGACTGGGCTCTGGCCGATTCTGGGTATGCGTTTTTCAGGGAACTGGGAAATTGCATCTCCATGCTGTCCTGGCAATGGCATGATCCCACCGCTACTGAGCTGGCCTGGATGCAGATCAACCTCAAAGCCGGCTGGAAATCAGACTGTATAACAAAGTGTATCAAAGATAATGGAGGCCCGTCGGATGTGGTCTGCCATCCGGGGTAAAATCTCAGTGTCAATGTCGCTACGGATACAGACACGAGTGACTTAAGCAGAGGAGGATCCGTCTTTGGTGGGTAGATAGCTTCGATGCTGGTAGCTCACCTGGTGGCAGTCTCCCCTTTCTTTTCTTACCGGAGGTGGCTTTCTCTCTGGACCTTCTATTGGTATCAAATGATTCATATCACCATACTGCTGTTTAATTGCTGTGGGATCCTTAGTGGACACTGAAGGGCTCAATTAATTAAGCTGAGAGGAAGTGCTTTCCCTGGGTGACCACAGGCTTCACAACTTTCAATGATTGCTTATGTACTCCTTTCAATTGGAATTGCAAGGGGGACTTCGTGGTATAGCGGTGACTATAACGGAGCCAAGTCGGTGTAGGTGTGGTGTGAGAAGAACAGAATACAGGCATAAAAACATCTTCTCTTTCCTGAAAGTTGATCGCTTGTGCCGGCTCAGTGCATGCATTTGAAACTGTTGGCTCAAATTGTCTGTTCAGATCAGTATACTATCTTCTCCTCAAATGATCAGTGCAGGTCGATGATGGCTAAATGTATAACTTGCTTCCTTTGCAAAGAGAACGCAAGAGCTATGACCTTCAATGCAAATCTAACTACAACTAGCTCCTCCACATTATTCGATCTCAGGCAACTTGCTGATATCCCCCAGAATAACCTCTTCAGCGCCGGGAGCTCCAGACACCATGAGCGTGATCCTCGAAATCGATGCCAACCAAAGATCCTCTCTAACTAGTGTCAGGATGAGAAAGATATTTAACATCTGTGCCTGTTCATAAAATATGGTCAGAGGGTGAGAGATAACGGTAGCGGGTTGATTTAGATCTGGGGACCTACCGAATTGGTTGGCGAAGAGAGATCAGGCATGTACCAGACCAAAAGCAAAGAGCTGTCTTTATGTCGTAAAATCTAAGTATTTCTCCCGTTTGTAGGCGAAGAGCCTCCTGGTGTGGCTGTGAAGGAGGAGCATCAATGTGAAGATGTCGGTGATCAGAATCTTAGATGCGCGCTACCAGTGCTGTGAGCAAAATATGCTGTCCAAGTCTTCCAGCTATGTCGTGAACATTATAGAAATGATGGATAGTACGAGTGCAGTATTGGTGGAAGAACTCGTATGCCTTATGCTTCAGGACGCTCTGGGCGTATTCTGAGACGAGGTGGAAGCCTCTGGTTCGGTCTCTGCCCCCGATTGTACGTCTTCTGCATCGTGGGCCGATCGAGCATGCGATTCCAAGGCTACCAGACCACTAAGGGCACGGTTAAGGTCCTCCTTGAAGTTTCTGGCCGCTTCTGGATCGTGCCATGCGTATCTCTTTGCTCTGTTCACAATTTCTTCTCGATAAACCTCCCCCTGTGATGATAGAAACGGCTGGCATGCCCAGCTCAAGATTGTGACATCGCGTCTGAGGAACTCCTCCGACCCGAGCTCTTCTATGGCCTTTATAACCTCTGTGAGTGCCTCCTTGATGCGGTCCATATTGTAGGACTGCCCAAGTCGATATGCAGTGAGGCCGTGAGGGGTTTCCTCTTCCAGTGGGTCTTGCAATGCTCTCCACAGACCCTGATCAATAGCTGCCTCAATGGAATCGAGCCTCCGCAATGAATCATCAGAGCCAGGCGTGGAATATCTCCTGCAGGTCTCGAAAATGATCTTTCGGCCTGCAAGCCAGTAGGTATCACTGAGCGCATAAGACTGGTTGTCAGAACCATCGGGAAAGAACCTCACATGCCATTCGAGCTCCAGCTGGTACCCATCGGTCTGATGCAGAGCCATCAAGCATATGAAGACTCCACATTCCGTCACGGTTGGCTTGATTGGAATATAGATGAGCCGGAGCGACCATCCGGATTGGTCTCCAAAGACCTCCGCAAATTTCTGGGCAATTTGGATTGGTTGTGCCAAACAGGCCCACCTGGACATCTCGCCAGGTCTTTTATCACGAGAAGCCATGGAGTCGTAAACAAGGATGACCTGTTGTTTGAAGTCAAGAACAACTAAGATCCAGTGGTTCCCCTTCACGCAGAATGGCATGAACAACAAACCTCTGCTGCCGGTGACGGTAGCAGCACGGGTCATGTAGGGCTGGTAATAGTTGTCAATCTCCTCTGATGTTAGATCTTGATCAAATGCAAGTAGTCGCAGGCTCTCAAGGGCCGTGCTGTCGAAGGCAAAATATCTCCCGGGCCGTGCCAGGCAGAGACTGCTAAAGAACGTGTTGATGACGCCGTCATCCAGCCATCCTCCCGGCTTGAGGGAGTTCAGGCTCTCATGATTGACTCTGTGGGTATGGTCAAACCTCCGACCTGATGGTGCTTCAAGACCTTCTGGTCGTTGGAGCTGCACGACTTGTTGCTGGTCTGGAGGCTCCATGGTGGCGGTCCGTTGTTTGTGCTGATTAGGGAGTGGATCTGAAGGCGCGTGGAGATGCTCTTGAGTCGTTTTGCTGTGTATAATACCCAAATAACCGTTTTTTTCTCAAAGCTAGGTGCCAGTGAAATAAAAAAAGAATAAAGCCTCACGATTGAGACGGCAAATATTCAAAGTCGCGATTTGTGTGTCTCACTGGTTGCAACAGGGTCTGGAAATTTGGCCACTTCGCCCTGCAGATTGTGAGCGAGTTGCGAAATGGAAGGCACAGGCATTTTTAAACAAGAAATTCTCGGAGAGAAGAGCAAGGTCATCTGGAAAAATCCAAATTCTGGAATTTATATCTCAGTTCGTGCCTACCCATTGCACTAGGGCCATGTTCGCGTCCATTAGCTTGACTTGTGCCACGCAATCAGGCACACGGCTACTTAAAATTCCAGATTGCGCGATGAGACTAGGTAATCACAAGGCATGAAACTCAATTTGTAGACTGCTCTGGGCTGGCAGGCAGGAGGTTGCAGGTTGGGCACTGCTGTACATATATTTTCTGGCATGAGCACGTACATACATAGGTATGTCACACCTATCATCAGAAGTCTATCGTCCCTGAGTATGTGTGGTAAGAATTCATTCTACTGCTTCACAATACATAGTTGTAAAGGTATCCATCTTCTCATAGTTCAATGACTCGTCTTCTTGTTAAGTAGGGATCTTTTATTATTCCATAGCTATAACCCTTTCTTCCCTGGAGTGATTGGTCCGATGTCTGTACCTCGAAAGAAAATGGAAGAAATTGAGTTCGAATTTTGGTTCTAAGATGGGATGGGATGAGAACCTATCCAACACTTGCCACTGTGAGTTAGTTAATCCCGAAAACCTCGCATCCATCTGTATCTCCCTTCCAGGTGGCAGGCCCCCCCCCCTTTTCCACAACATGTCTTTTCATCGCAACCACAACCACAACCGCCATCAATGACCACGAATCTCCCGTCCAACCTTATTCAAGCAAGCCTCGAGAATGCCTCCAAAAAATCCCAAGATCGAGTGCGACCTCGAGCCTTATTTTCAGTATCACAACAGGATCGCCTCGTTCCTGGACTGGAAGCTCGATTGGGAAATCAACGAAGACAAGCCCTCCCCTGAGCAGCTCGCCCGTGCCGGCTTTTTCTCATATGACAAGGCCACTTACAATGATGACAATGTCTCTTGTCCCTACTGTGGCCTGACCCTTGACAGTTGGGAACCTCACGACGATCCTGTGCTGGTGCACCAAACGAGATCTCCATTCTGTCGCTTTGTGCTCGGTCGACAGACTGTGCGCAACATGGACGACGCGGAAAACAGTGCCGTCCTGACTACCGCCTCAAATGCCACCACGACTACCACCCAGACCCAGACCCAGGAAGCACTTGCAAACGAGCAGAACAATGCGAGCCAAGTGCCTCGTCCGAAGCGACGGTACATGACGCGAGCAAACGGTGCGTCCAATGCCAATCGATTGGCTCTAGCAGGAGCAAAGGAAAAGCAAGTCGAAGCCCCTAGACAGCGTCGACCTGGACGGCCAAGGAAGCAACCTGCCTCCGGTTGAGCTGCCAACCGGCCACTGGAACGGAATAAAGTGATGGCAAGTTACCACATCACCTGACCCTCGCCTGACGCTTACCTCCTTGTATGGTTAGTATGAAAAGTGCTAATAAGTATGATTTCAGGAGCTCAAAATTTGTGCTTGTGGTTGATGGCTCTGCTGGAGCGACTAGCCTTCAATCCAACACGGGGCAGCATGTCCGAAAAGCAGCACGTTCCTCAGCAGACCCCTTTCTGAACACAAGAATCGAGAATTGGAGTACCCTTGACACAACACTCTCATTGCAATCAAGATTCATACGAACAAGAATGGTTTACATTGACAAGGCTGCATGAGACAGAAGGGCAACTTTGGAAAGACATGAAGGCGACCGTTGTGAGTGGGTAGCTTGGCGCCAGATACTGGATCGGGTCACCAGTCCTTGTGAGCCAACCAGGACACCATAAAGAAAGATACATGTAGAGCATGTAATTGTACAGAAATAGATGCCAATGTGGGCAGCGAAAGGAGAATACCTATTCCCATCCATATTTCTATGCCATGAAGAGAATACCGTCTCTGTTAATAGACTGTAAGTAACGACCATCCCGCTACCCCTTGGGTGGTCGGTCAATCATTGAGCAATCCGAATTTCTGTGATGAATTGTACGCCGTTGGCCAGGTACATATGAAAAAATATGATCATGAACCGAATGGTCTCCAACGATGGTAAAAACATACATTGCTTTCCCTCGCCCTTTCGAAGGCACTGCTAGGGGATCGTTTTTCGACAAAATGAAACCCTTCACCGACTGTCTTTGGAACCCCAGCCCACTTTTCGACAAAATTTATTGAAGACGTACTCAAATTGAGCAAAGTGAGCGAGGACACCCACCCATCGAAACACTGGATCTTGAACCAGTCTTGTAGCTGCACCTCTTCACGGACCACAACCTCGAGCACGAGGCTGGGACCTGCCCGATTCAGCACTCTTGGCAGATGCCCCGGTTTGGGCCACATGATGGGCTACAAGCCATTGCTAGGTACAAATCCTGGACAATTTACCTCGCATGCTTGAGTTTTGGTGATTTACAGCGCTTATATTCAAAAAAGGTGTGTTCTTTCCGTTTCCATGAATTAGGCGACAGAATCCCTGGTCAAAAGCAAATCTTCTTTAATCCGGTTTAGCTTAGCGACGACCGTCAGATAGCAACACTGATGGGCCTCAAGAGGGCTGGACTGGACAACTTCTTTCTCTACATGCGCAAATAACACTTCACCGACATATCTTGCTTCTTCCTTCTTTTTGACACACGCACACACACACACACACACACACACACACACACACGCATCCCACACCAACCCCATTCCACAGTTCCTGCATTCAGGTCCCACACAAACTTACTGCAACATCTTACCCTTGAATTCTGAGGTCTCAAGTCAAATTCGACTCTTGGCCATACCTACCTCGCCCCTACACATCAAATCACTTGACATATCGCATACCAGCACAACGGAGAGGAAGACACTCTCATAAAGCGAGATGTCCAAGGAAGGGTTGAGAGCAAGGCAGTCCATTCTCTGAACGTGGTACCGACTTTAATTTAGTGGCTTACTTCGCATTTGACTTTCACTCCCAGGTTACCTCTTGCAACTTTTACATCATCTGGTTGGTACTTTCTATGGCGCTCTTCTTTATCATACCCAATTTTTTCTAAATTTCTACACCTGATTCCCTTTTATTTAACCCTAAGGCTGTTCCTTCTCTCACAAAGGAAACACTCATCTCGACTTCTTACCTTTTTAAATTACAACAGCCAAGGTACAAGCTACAGAATTGTTTGACCAAGCGCCTTCAACCGACTTCATCTTGACTACCGTTGAAACTCAGGTCTTCTTCATCTCCATTTCAACAAACGCTAAGACATATTTAAAGACAGTTTATCTCTCCGAAGTCGTCATGGAGGACCCAGCAGATCACGATGAGACATACCGAATAGGGTAAGACTTTCAAATCCTGCCTTATTACACTGCTAACATGTTCTTAAAAGCGATGTTGCCGTAGACTTCGGGAGTACAGCGACTCGTGTTGTTGTTGTGGTGACTGAAATCAACAGAATCACCAAGACACGAAGGATCGTCGACAAGTTGCAAATACAGGACACTCGAGCGTGCGACGATTCAGGCAGGCGCTTTGAACGAGGCGAATTTCCGTCGCTTGCATGTCCTTTCGATGGACCGCCTTTCCTTTTTGGCTACGATGCAGCCGAACAAGCGACCAAGAGACGCACCTCTATGAAAAGCTTCCCTTACTTCCGGAGCCAGCTCTGCCATCCTTATACGGCAGAGCTCTTCGAGCATTGGTCATCTTTGGAATCTGAAATTGCAAAACAAGAGTTCAATGATACTCTTGACGGCATATTGCTAGGCTTTTTCACTGACATCGTAAACAAAACATTGACCAAAGGTCTGGAAGAGGAGTTTGAGATCCGGACTATTGCTCTCTGCATACCGAACGCATGGTCAGCCCGCGAAAACAAAATTCAAGAATACCTCAGCCCCATTCTGGACAAGACCGTTGCAGGCAAAAATATCGAGTTTACCTTCATGTTTGAGGCTGCAGCACGCGCACAATACCTCTTGTCACGATATTCGAGACAGTTGAAGAATTACAATTATCTGATGGTCCTTGATTTCGGTGGACATTTCATGGGAGGTGCCGACGGCGCGCTTGTGTGGAGATCCGACGGTCGCCCTGCGTTCTTCTCCCCAAAGGAGAGCGACTTTGGACAAAAAGGTGGTTACGCTCTATGGGAACTAGAAATTGGCAAGGTTATCGATGAACAGATGACGAAGGACTGGAACGCCCGAGCGAGGTTCCCAGAAAAGCATCGAGGCATGATTCGAACAGCCTTTCTCGACAAATTCTTCCAGGAAAAAGCCAACGTTCTTTCAGATAAGCCTAGGTTCTTCCAAGGGAAAGAAGAGTTCCCCTCAAACAGGCCGCCATTCCGGCTCACCATTGACTTGTCAAATACGCCTACAGACCTTGAGAAACACACCTTTTCCATCAACATCCCCGTCGAGAAATTGCAAACTGGATGGGAAAAGGCTTACCGTGGCATACTCGACTTAGCCAAAAGCAATATCAACCGTGCTGCTGAGAAGGGCGAAAACGTGTATGTCCTTCTGGCAGGCGGCAGTATTAGCAATTTGAAAGCCAGAAGCGAGATGCAGGATTTCGGAAATAATCGGGGCCGCCTCTGGTCGCAAAGAACTACTAAGGGGTCTATCACAATGAGAATCATGGAGGACATACAAGCGGTCGGTTGGAAATGGACAGCGGCTGAAGGTGCTGCTGATTGTCTGGCAAATACAATGGATGTCGAAGAGTATTTTGACAAAGGAGCCCCATTGGCCGTCCAGATGACAACGCCAAAGGGGAACTTCACTGCTCATACCTCCGGTACCGCAAAGGTGCTGTTTTGCAAGGTTGGTCAAGTTGACAACAGCACATGATCTAGCAAGTCCCACTGACAAATTCCTTTTCCAACAGACAAAAGGCGTCGAACGGCGACATGTCGTAGAGGTTAACATCAAAGATCAGAGGTCCTTCCAACTTATTTCCGACCCCATCCACGACACAAAGAAAGAGGACTTGATGGCACTAGAAGTCCTATCCGAAATCTGCTACGATATTTGGGAAATAACTCTTGACCTTGAACCAACCACTGGAACGAAACCACCCCGCCGTATACCAGATGGAAAATACGTCCTCGATGTTTTCGACATGGAATATGCTGGGAGAGATGCCGTGGTTGTCCTTCGTCTTAGGAGAAGGTTGCCGCCCGTCGGGAGAGCTGCTCTGCGATCGAAGGCGCTATCCAAGAGGGGAGCATCGCTCGAGGAGGGCGGTAGCTTGTACCTTGAACTCCCTTTGGTTTCAGATGAGGGAAGCAACCTCGTTGTGCTTGATATAGACCTCATCAAGGGACGGGTTTGGAAGTCTATGCGCTCGGTCAAGGGTCAGATAGATGCGGACGCAGAAGCAGGGCCAGATCTGAGGAGCGATTCGGAGAAAAATATCAGTGTCAAGCAGAGAAAGAGGACATTTAACAATGGCTCTGACAATCGGATGGCTAAGCGACTCAAGCAACTCAAGCGTGGAGAAGACTAAGATGCATCCGCAAGGTCATCGTTGTGTCAGATTAGAATTCATCCTGAGAAAAAACTTCAGCTTACACATATTGAAAGGTTTTAATTTTGGGAGCTATATGCTCCAGAGGATTGAGAATTAACCAGAAGATAAATAAGATGCGATGATTTTCAAAAAGCTTATTTTCCTGTACCTTCCCTGTTAATCATTATGATAAAGATATACTGAGTTCTTCTCTTAATTCTGAAATGAGTTCGCATCTATGACTCCTTGATATACATTAATCAAAAATTAGGTAAGTTCCTCAATCGAAAACAGTGCCTTGGCTGGGGGACGGGCAGATGAGACCGACGAGGTGTCAATTTCCAAGTAGCTAGCTCTCCAAATTCGGAATGTTGATCACCAGTCTTGAGGATACAAATGAATCAAACCGATTCTAGTTCGATTCTAGTCTCCGCGCAGAGCTCCATTCCAAAAGTCATTGACCAGCTTCAAGCTCGACGACTACGAGCTTCCTCGCATCTTTCCTCACTCACAGTCCCACAACATTTGACACGGACCACTCAATCCCAACAAGCACAAATCATCATGTCTACAAATAAGACCCCCGACATTACCCTCTACTTCCTTAATGCCTCCCGTGCCATCCGAATCGCCTTCCTAATGGAGGCGCTAAACGTCCCGTACAAGCTCGTCACAGCGAACCGATCACCCAATGGCCTGGCCCCGCCAGACTTCAAGGCACAAATCCGCGCCGCGGGCCAGGCGCTGGGGAAATCGCCGACGATCACGGACGGCAGCCTGGTCGTGACCGAGAGTGGCAGCATCTCCGAGTATCTGCTGGAGACGTACGATACCGGCCACAAGCTGCTGCCACAAGAATCGTCCGCGCGCGCCAAGGTCAAGGAATGGCTGTACGCAGCCGAGGGGACGTTCATGCTGCACGCGATGGCGATCCTGTACGCACGTTGGCAGCTGCCTGATACTGAGGAGGTCCGGGATGGGATTCTGCCTGGAGTGGAGGAGAAGCTGGCTGTTAATGTGCGCAATGACTTTGATTGGCTGGACAGCGAGCTCGCGGCTCAAAAAGATAGAGGTTCTGGGTGGTTGGTCGGAGAGGGCTTGACTGCTGCTGATATTGTAATGCAGTTTAGTATACAATTTATCATGGAGAGGAAGCTCGGTGTGGGCGGGAGGGGGGAGGGGAGGTGGAAGAGGTGGAGGCTTGGTTGGCCAGGACAGAGGAGCATGAGGCATATCGGAGGGCTGTGCAGAAGACTGGGTACTCGCTGGATGGGGAGTTTAGGAAGTGAAGGGGAGGGCGACAACTAGTTTGAGTTGTTTCATATACTTCAAAGCTACCTAGTCTACGTCTCAAGCAATTTGGATTGTTGGTTGAGCATCACGGCCGCGATTCCGATGGCAAGATTGTGTTTGGAGCACGCAGAAATAGTAATATATCACTCTACTTCTCAAATTCTGATACAGGCAATTCGATGTTTTCTCTTATACACTCGAAGTGGCAAGTTGCCATCAAATAGAAGCAAGCGTAAAGTTCATAAAGTCGATCACAAGCGGTATCTCTCGTTATCACTCGGAGTTTAGAGCACGATAAATAATCTCAGTCAATTTGGTAGTCACTGCACCTGGTCTTCAAGCCTAAGGCTAGTTGTTTGATCATGAGATGGCCCGATCAATATCACCCTGTAGCTTGCCCTGGCATCTATACCTCGGGCTCTCAATGTCAGCATCCTCAAACCCAACACACTTCCAACACTTCAGCAGCATTTCAGGATCGTACTTTTTCTTGATCTCTACCAGGCGTGGGTAGTTTGGTCCCCACCACGCATCCTTCCAGTCGTCTGTGAAAGGGCTAGACTCATGAAGATACGATGCGCTACCGGGGCCGGCCAAGTCTTGCCCCAGCTGTAATATCTTCGTCACGTTCACTAAAACTTCTAACCGCGTCGCGTAGGAGCTGTTTGCGGGAATAGACAAGCCAGCCGCGAGGTTCCACAGCGCGTCGTACCAGCCTGGATTAGTGGAAGTGTTGGTATCGTAGCCATCCCTGCTGCCCTCGACCGTGAACGGCAGATCTGCCGGCACATAGAAACTCAGCGGATTAAAGCCGTACTGCTTCGCTTGTCTCAAGAAACCTTTTATGCCGTCCTTTATCTTTCCTGTCTCGAACAGAGCTTTTGGTATGAGCCGACCGCTTAGGATGAGCAACTCGCCCGAAGGTCGTTCCTCGGACTTGCTATACTTGACCCAGACGTCAGCCCAGCTTGGCATCACTTCCACAACGCTCGTCCCGCCGAGGGAGGTAACATATTCAGAAGCAGTCCGCATTGACTCAGCCGCATACGCTCCCCCATCGCTCAGGTTCGCAAACCGCGGCAGCGGATTCATATATGTCAGGTACGACGCAGCAAAGTGCCCGCCCCACCCCTGCCGTGCCCAGGGGAGGGAGTCCTCCGCCACGACGCCGATCCACTCAATGGCGGTGTCAACCGTCAGGTTGGTCGGCAGCTTCAGGTGCGCGACGGCGATGGGCATCGGCGCCGGCTCGACGCGCGACGTGGATTCGAGCACCACGCCGAAGGTGCCGCCGCCGCCGCCGCGAAGCGCCCAGAACAGGTCCTGATTCTGACACGCGTTGGCGGTGCGCGCCACGCCGTCGGGCGTGACGACGCGGAACTGCACCACCCTGTCGATCGCGAGGCCATACACGGGGCTCAGGACGCCGCGCCCGCCGCCGAGGACGAATCCGCCCGAGATGCCGACGGTCGAGGACGCGGGCACGAGGATAGTGGCATTGTGGGCTGTCGCGAAGTTGGTCGCGGTGTTGGCGGTGACGCCCGCGCCGAGGGTCATGACAGCGGCGTAGGTGTGCTGGTCGCTGTCACAGCCCTCGGGCGTGAAGGAGACGTTATGGCTCATATCCTGGAGGCCATGCATCCACAGAGCAAGGGAGCCCTTTTGGCTATTGCGCGTCATGTAGTCATGGCCGCTGTTCTTGATGGATAGGGAGATGTTGTACTTCCTTGCGAAGTCGAAAGCCTTGGTCACGTCGGAGGCCCCCTGCACTGCCATGTAGTACGATGGGACACTGCCTTGGTTGCAGGAGCTGTTGCCAGGGGGCAGAGCAGCTGGGCTCACGGTGCTGTCCAGAAGGCACTGGTCCGCTGGCTCTGACAGGCAAACCTCGTCCTGCCCGTTCATGTATCCGGCCGTAGATTGGATGCGAAAGCTAGGATCCGTATAGTTCTCTCGAATCTGGGAGCAGAGGGCCTCGTCCGCCGTGTGCGGCATTCCATTGTAAATGCTGAAGCACGGCAGTGCAAAGGGTACATCTCTTTCCAAGCGGCCGTTGACCGAAGCATTGAAAGCCGACCAAGCATCATGGCTAGCACTGGGGGCAGACCTAGCCAGCCATGGCATGAAAGCTGTTAGGAGAATTGGACGCCACGCCATGATAGTCTGGGAGAATTTAAGAACTTTAAGGCAATGAGCAAGCAGTGGGAATGGGCAACATTGAAGTGAGGAGAGACTCGTGTCTGCAAATACACCGCTGAGCCATCATGTTCTTAGATCCATCTGGGCTGTATAAAGGTTCCAATCTGACCAAACCGACCTCGGCGATGCACAGTGTGCAGGGCGTCGCATAGTCACCATCTCCAATTAGAGTCGTCCTACTATGTTACACTGCAATCCTTGAGGGGAGGACAACAGCTGGGCACAAGACCAGTACGGCTTACGGGGATAAGACATATCCAAACTGCGCAGTGCGGGGTCAAATGGGCCAAGCCTGATATTTTGAAAGGTCTTGTCTGTTTCTGGACGGTGGTATTGGGAGTTCTGGGCCAGGTAACATGGGCAGTGAAGTTGTGGAGAAAAGGGCATGCGGATAAGAGGACAAAATAATCAATAGTGTGCTGATCAACGCATCTTCCCGCTGTCAGTGGGATAAGTCTGCACAAGCGAAGATTGCTGCAAGTTTAAGACACTGAATGAGTCTGTAACTAGAAATGTCCGCGGGTCTCAGGAGTAGTTGGGGAATCTGTTGTCTCGGACTTTACTCGTGGGATGGTTAATTCTACTTCACTCTCTAATTGTTTCATCCCTTTATGTCTTTGAATTCAGCATCTTTTCTCCCCGATTCGCTTTACAGCTATAGTGTCAGATTTCGTACTAGTCAGTAAGAAGGACTAAGCACACCTGTTTGAGCAAAATGAAGAAAACCCCAATCATGCTAAAGCCTCAGTACAAGATTTCAATATACAATGCAAGTGTTCATTTTCCAGAACGGTTATCCAGACGTCAATCCAAGGGAAAGGAATTGCAAGAAGGCAACTCGATCTTCCACCTTTAGTAATGTAGAGAAGCTGTGGAATGGACAAGCGCCTACTTTGCATATATATAAATACCAACACATTCACTCTCTTTCATGGGCTACTCGAGTTAAAACAGAGAGACCAATGCTCATTGGTTCAAGTGCGTGCTCAAACTTTGGGGAGGACCCGCTTTATGTGACATCCAGCTCACTAGCTACACTGAGGAGGAGCCGACATCAGCGACTGCAGCTGAGCCCTCTATATGAGTTTATGCCTGTGAGTCCCGACACTCTGCAATGAGCCTGAAGATTGAAAATATTTCGAAATGACTGTAGAGCTCTCTTTCCCATCCGGCGGCAGGGTTCACGATCCGAACGTCCATCGATGCCTCATCTATTGTCTCACTGGGAACCCAGGACTGGTCGACTGGAGTTATTCTCAAGCGTTGTACACCATACCCGAAGAACCATGGCGAGCTGGTCATTGTGTGATTAGAACCCATCATACCTACCTACCCCTTAGACACCGTGACGCAAGGCCGGCTAGCTAGCTACAATCTATCCTTTTATCTACCGAGTACCTAACTGCGTAGCTTCGGTGTGTTGTAAGTATCTAAGTGGCGCTGATATTTCAGTCAAAATCTCAATCCTTTCAATTGGCTTGGGCAGATGTCTCATTTTTCTGTGACAGCGTGATGGGGAGAAATGATAAATTTTGTGTGTTTGCAAAGTCTTCGGAGGCTGTGTCTTCAAATGTAATTATGCAAGATTCTGTCAGTACACGCACATCACCCACTAACTCCTGATCCTCTTGATGAATTACTCTAGACTCTCAGACGATACGTAGCAAGACAAACATTGAGGTTTATGCGCCTCAAAGGGTTTTATATAGATCTACGGAGTCGCTGTGTGCGATTGGGAGACGTATAATATTGAAATCATCTTGACGCTTCAAACAAATGCAGTTTTGTATGAAGTTCAAGGAGCAAATGGAAAGCGGAGGTCAGCAACCAAGATTGTGTACCCTCTTGATATTCACATTTGCACCCTTTTCATCACTTGAACTGTGTGCTCTGTACATGGCCACGATCGTGGAGTTGCTTGAATCTTGAGTCAGCTGTCATCTTCAGAATCTCTCTACTTTCAAAGCTCAATCTTGATAGTTTGGTGAATCTTGAGATTGATCTTGGCATGTCGTGCTTGCATTTTCAACTTTCATTTCACGGAGGTGATTTACAAACAACAATGCAAGCGCGAGTGGATGAATCACTACCTGCCAATCCAAAATTTGGTATGGACTTTACTTACTTCTGTGTGAAACCTGACTCTCTCTTTCAATCACAATTGACAAATGTGCACCATCCTTATTCACAGTGAATCATTCCACAAAATTCTGGCAGAATTCACAAACGCACTTCATTCTTGGTACCCCTTCAATCTAGTCCACCAAAACCGACTTACAATCTTTACTGACGGTATTGATTTTCATCGACTTCTACTGTATTTAGCGGAACCCAAACCTTTCCTGCCATGGCCACAAGCCCAACCTTGCAATCACGCTTGCCACCACTTGCACCCAAACCTGCATCTGGCCGACCACAAACACCGTCAGGCCTCCCTATCTTTAACGATCTGGCCGCAGGATCTCCAGTCACAATGGGAGACGAACCTTACCGTGCGCTGGCCTCGAGGGCTGACAGCCCCAACCACCAAATGACAATTGAGCAGCTCATGGACACACGACTTTGTGTCAGTTCCCTCACAACAGAGCAGTGCCACGAGTTCCTGTCAAGGTTGGACCCTAAGCAGGTGAAGAACGCCGTTTTTGATCGGGCCCTGTGCTTTCCGTTTGATCCGTGGACCGAGGAAATTCGGGCGTCCTACGGCAAGCAAGTCCAGGCTGCAGTCAAGAGCATCACTTCCTTCGACAACGTTACCCAGAATGTTTACCACGAATTTGCCTCCTGGCGGGACGTTTTCGTTTTCGAGGAGGTTGACTTTGGCAACATGGAGGCGCACGTGAAGGGCTTTCTCCTACCTTCTATAGACAACGTCGGCGTCTACTCAACCTTTTCCGACTACACTCTCACCAAGACTAACGGCCTTAACGCCCTTCTTAAGATTGGTCAGCTCATCCTCGAGATACCCATCCTGACTTCCAAACGGGGCGTTGGACTGTTTGTTTATGACCCTCTCAGTCGCTCTGGTAAGTCAGCTTAAATTGTTTAATTTCTTTCCTTCCCGGCAGTCGAAAGACAAAACGCCATCTCTCACCACCCTGTGAATGAGCTTTTATTACGGTAAACACAGGAATCACATTTGCTAACCCATTCTCTCAAAGTTGCCAACATCCTTTCAGGTGTAACCAACGACCTCAACCGCCGACAGATTCTCGACGCCGAACTCGAGGGCCGATTTCTGGAGCTCGCGAAGCGTTCCGACGCGGTCGGTCTTTTTCCCGGTCTCGTCAATGCGCTTATCCCAGGCGCTGAAGTTCACCCATACAACGTGCCCTACGGACGGCAGCTGAACATGAAGAACAAGCGAGCCTTGAGTGAGCAGCTTGCCCCTGCGGCTAAGAGGAGCAAGGTAATCGGCGGTAATCAGTACACGGGTGAGCTAGGTGATGGTCCGCAGGGAGCTCTCACACCTGGATATCCGGGGGCGCTCAGCACGGAGCCGCTGGTCGTCATCGAGGGACGGAGAATCGAGCCACGCGCGCCGCAGAACCCGTTCTCGAGGCCATATGACGCGGGACCCATCGCTCCGCTTTTCGTCCAGTCTGCACAGGCGACAGCTAACCGCACCGTCAAGAGCAGTGAACAGCCCATTAAGGCAGAGCGGGCTGAGGTGAGCGACCAGGATCAGCAGCAGGGCCAGGGACAGTTCTCAGAGCTACAGAACATCGCAAATGGAGCCACGCAGTACCAGTCAGAGCCTCGGGAGGTCCAGAAGGCGACTCAGCAAGGACAGGAAGAGGCTGATCAGGCCGGGAGCTCTTGCGAGGCCAACACCGGCTTGGAGGGCCAACAGGCTGTCACCGTCGACCAAGGCGAGGGAGTCCAGCAATCCGAGCAGAATGACCCCCAGAACAACAATCAGAACACACCAACCACATACGACGACATGCTGCGGCAGATCGAGGCCGCAATGTTCAAGGACCACATCCATGAGCCGCCCAGCGTGCAGCTGACGCAGGCGCCCGCGCTGAAGCAGCGGATCGAGAACACTTGCAATGCGATCCGGCAACACTTTAAGAGGGTCGCGGACGCGTGCAAGACGAGCGGTGACCACGCGAAATTCCTGGGCAGCCTGAACGATACTGCGTTCGCGCTGCTGTGGGTGATTGAGAGCTGCGCACTCAACGTCGCCGGCACGCCGCTCTCGGCCGAGGTCTCGCGTACCCTTTCGCGGAACACCATGGTTGGCGACCTGTGGGGCTGTATTCGGCTGGCTGAGCCTACTGACCAGAAGGATCTTGTGAGTTTCTTTGCCCCATGCCTACCTAACATTAAGCTGCAAGTCTGCCAGACTGACCACTGTGATCCATTCCTCTAGCTCGATGTCAAGGACCACGTGGGCGCCGAGACATTCGGTGAGAAGCTGGAGCGGATCATCGGCAGAATGAATGAGACTGGCGTTGAGGGGTATGGTGATCTGCGGGTCATCCTGGACACTATGCGTGGTGCCGTCTCTGTGCCCGTCCAGGACCCTGCTACTTGATTGAGCCCATTCATTAAGAAGATGGACGCTGCATCAGACATCGTTGGCGGGATCAAGTGGAATCATTGAGCCTTTATAATAGACAACATCGCATAAAGGGAACAGGAGGAAGAGCAAAGATTGCGGACACCTTTCTTGCAAGACCTACCTAGGTCAGTATGGACACTTTTCATGTGGTCTCCACTGGAATTCTACCAGCCAAGGTGGAGCAATTAAGTGGACGAAAAGAAAATGATGGAGTGACGAAGGCTTGGGCTTGGGGACATGTTGGTTTATGTCTGGACGATTGGGCATTGGGATAGATGCTCAGGAAACCTCAGCAGGGTCCATGACTCCTGTTGGCATAGGTCCTATACCGTTGCGTCGGAGGTGAAGAGCATTGTGTTGGTCTATTCCATTGAATCATCAGGCACATTCCCCTTACCGGGGAATGCGACAGTTGGTGTCCTTAACCAGGCTTCTAACTTTTCTGCCGCTCTTGGGGAACACAGTTGCGCTTTATCATTATTCCACGGCCACAAAAAGATAGGCACTTCCACTAATGATATTTGCATATGAATGCACCGAGCGAGATATTTCATCCTGAAAGGAAGCATTGTGTCCTGATGAGCAAAGTCGCCTTCTAACACCAGCATTTGCCAGGAAGCAGCTTTGCCAAAGCAACAAGAGACGAGACAGGCTTAGCCGTGCTTTGAGGCGAGAACACTACATGAATGGGCAGGGAAACGGTCGCTGTGAGTGAAAGTTTCATATGTGACAGTAGGTCTGTCCATGTAAATCACAAGCAAAGCGGTCTTGTTACTACTATACGTGTCTGGGTCTCTTGAGGTGGAACTGAGGTCTCTTTTGCAGCCATCAACCATTCTTGATTTGAAGCCGAGTCAATGGAAATAAATTTCACATTCGTTGTTAATGGCCTCTTTGCTAGAGCTGCCAGAGTCAAACACATGTCAACTGTGCATGGAGGCTCAGTTCAGCCCTACAGGCGGGGTGCAGGGCAACGAGCCCCACCAAATCGGCGACCCCAAGTCTAAAGTAGCACACCCTTGCTCAGCTACTGCAACATCAACAACCTCAGATGCAGAGCCGCGCCTGAGCTCGCTCAGAACATCAACCAGCGTCGAGGGCGCTTCCTGAAACCACACACTCAGACAGCAGCTTTTGGTTCTCTTGAGGCCTTCGATGGTCAGCAAGATCTGCTTTCATTGCCCTCAATCTCTGCTTCATCGCCAGCCGTCAGGATGTACGAGCTGTTTCTGACGGCGTTCATCAACGACGTCGACTTCGACAACGCAAGGTCCATCCTGAGCTCGTACTGCTGGAGCGACCCAAGCTCTCGTATCTACCGCGTCTTCCACTTTGCTGGCCCAGCACAGCCAAGGGCCCTGGCCAAAAGGAACAACATCAATGGCATCCGTCCAGCACCAGACCCCTTCATGTTCGGCCTGCCGGGTGCAGAGCCGCTCCAGGCACAGATGGGCCCCTACATCGACCAAGGCTGGAAGGAGCTCAGCGACATCGTCAAGAAGCAGTCCTACATCGTCACCGTCCGCTACGAGGTCTCCAAGACCAGCGACTTCGGCGGAACCGGCCCGCACAAGCAGCTCACCACCACGCCGGGCGCGCTCTTCTGGACCGAGATCCCCGACCCGGCCAGCGTGGCGGGCGGCCAGTCGCTGGTGATGCAGCGCAAGAAGATCGAGATCTGGGACCAGCTGAACCTGCCGACGGTGCTGAACGAGAACGATTTCCGCTTCAAGGCCCAGCTGGTCGAGGAGACGCACGACATCTACCACCGCGACGACCCCCTGCTGGAGTTCAGCCTGGTCCGCCACTACACGCCGCCGGCCTCGTTCCAGGGCCCGGCCTCTGGGCCCCTGCCGGCCTTTGAGGAGCTCGACAAGGTCGACTCCGCGGGCAAGTGGACCCTCTGGGTCAGGTACCACGTGCACGACGACAGCGCACCTGAGAAAATCAAGGCCGCGCGCGACGCGCTGCTTAAGGCGAGGGATGATCTCGCGCCGTGCGGGTTCGACTTCAAGGTGCTGGATCGGAAGGTCTTTGATACTCAGCTTATGTTGCAGCGTAAAACGCCTGCGACACAGACGCTGGGGCTGAAGCAGAGTCTGGCACCCGGTCACCGGTAGGGTGATCGGCTTGGAGGGAGTCGTTGAGACCAGGCATGTCGAGCGGGCGGTTGTCGTATCGTGGCGTAGACGCGAGAAATCGGAGGCAAACGGATTACAGGGAGATATGCACGGGAACAGTCTAGGCGCTGATATCTCAGCAGCCTTCCAGGCTTGTCCTTGGACTCACGTTGGTCTCACAAGGCCCCTTCTGTCTCTCCTCTTCTGATTATCCATCCCAAGACACCACTTGTTATCACTCATGCCTTTGGTAGGCAAGTCGCACAGGGTAGGCGAACTAGGACACCGTATTAGAGCTTGACATATGATTAATGACACAAAAAATATCTTCAAATCACTGGGCTGTTCACCCAAAGCCTCCAATATTTGCGTCCGTTAGCCAAACACTCAGAGGTTTCCATTTGAAATTCCACGTGAGAAAGAGGTATTTATGTTGATGAATCTTCATCGCAAGACATGAGGCGTGTATGCGTAGCCTTATATCATTAGACCTAGAGAGTGCGAGTGCCTTCCTCTGCATCAACCTACAAGCCACTTCCGGAGGAAAGCCCGTACATTTCCGACTCTACCTGTCCATCGCCCCTTTTCATTTCACAGTTGTTCAACTATCCAACCATGGTCCGCAGTCCAGGACAATATCAAGTGTCATCACCCATCAAATCATCAGTGAGCATCTCACTCATAATCAACAAGAGAAGCAAACGACTGCAACAGCGACTCCCGCTCAGCTGCATCATCTGCCTTCCACGCCTCAGCTACCCTATAAACCGCCTCAAACGCAGCCATGGCCGCTGGGACGGAAAGCAGGCCCCCAAGCGGGTCATCGGCCCACTCGATTTCAGTCAGAATCTCCTTCCGCACAGCAGCCATGAGCTTCTTGCGGTTCTTTTCGCTCAAAGGTTTGTCGTCGCCGGTGGCGGCGTCGGCAGCCACGTCGCGCCCTTCAACTACATCCCCGCCGCCGAGGATGCTATCCACCGGCCCACCACCTTCGTCCCTCTTCCGCACAAACCCGTGCTCCGGCGATGCGTCTCGCTTCTGATGAGCGGCGGCGGCGGCAGCGGCGGCGGCGGCCAGGCCCAGGCCGGACCTCTCCTCGAGGTCGTCCTTATCCTTGCCCTTACCAGTGGGCCGCGGGCGAGGCGGCCACTTGGGGCGGTCAGGCTTCCCCGGCTGCCCGTCCTTGTCCTTGCCCTTGCCCGGAGGAGGCCACGGACGCGGGCTACGCGTGGGGCGGGGCAGTGTGGGCAGGGCCGGCTTTGCCTTTGTCGTCGTCGTCGGTATGGGCAGGGTCGGTACGGGCAGGGGCGGCAGCGAGGGCACAGGCTTGGTTGCGCCGCCGCCCACCTTGCTGAGGATGTTGTCGACGAGCCGCAGGACGTGGCGGATGGGCTTTGGGGTCTCCTGGTCGGTGGCTAGGTTGCCGACGACCTTCTTGAGGATGGCGAGGATCCGCTGCGGGATCTTGCTGTAGTCGGGCCAGAGGCCGTATTTTGGCTTCTTGGGGGCGTCGGGGAGGTCGGTGGGAACCGGCCATCCCGGCAGGTCCGGCAGGTCCGGCAGGTCCGTGGGAATTGGAAGGTCCGGAGGGTCGATGCCAGTTGGGATGACGGGGATGGGGAAAGGCAGCGTGGGGAGTGTGGTGGGGATGATCTCAGGGATCTCAGGAATATCTGGGATCGTAGGGAGGGTCGGAACAGGCAAGTCGCTGAGGATCACCCCCGGGTCGGTAGGCAGAGCGCTGAGAATGTCTCCGACGTCGGTGGGTACTGCCACGGTAGGCACCATACTGATGATATCCTCAATGCGTGTTGGAATGGCGACGGGGATGTCAAGAATATCCGAAGGGATGGGGAGTTTGGGCAACTTGATTTTCCCGGTCCCGAAAGGCGGCGGTATTGCCTCGCCGGCCTGGACCTGGTCTGTCTCTTCCTCCAGCTCCTCCTGGGCATATCGGCGAGCAAACTTGTTTCCACGCACATGCAGCTGCCCTTCCTGCGACACAAGCTCCTCGGGGACTTTCTCATTCATGATAGCAAACTGTTCATCGGGGTCAGGGGCCCCAGGGTATCCGGGTCTTGGAACGTCTCTGTGGTCTCCAGAGCAGCCCCGATGCAAGGGGGTCAAGGGCCCAGCATGGTCGATCCAAGAGACGAGGCTGACGACGACGAGCGTTACGGCAGTCAGTAGACCGCAGACGGCGGTGCACGGCAAGCACCATTGGTAGCGTCGACCGGGAGGTCGTCCCGCCCCGTAAGAATAGTCCATGCTGGAGGAGTGTACGACAATGCTGCGTTTTCCTTGGTGCTTTGCTGTTGTACCATCAAGGGCAACCCTCACCGCGGTTGGAAATTCATAAGTATGTGGAGAGAGGAAAGAAAGAGGAGGCCACCGGTGCAGAGCATCTTCTCCTTTAAAAGGGGGGTTTGGAGCACAGTTGAGGTCGAGCCATCATCGAAATCGACATGCCCATCTGTTGACTGATAGCTCCAAGTTGTATCAACACTAGTTGGAGCCCAGGAGCTTTGGTCTCGGCCTCAACACCGGCAAACAGCTGTGATAGTCTTAGGCACTGGGCTCTTATTGGCGAAAAGCAGCTTCAGATGTCAGAGCAAGCCAATCCGTCGATGTCAACAAGGCGAGAGGGCCAATCCGAAGCGGGTCTGACTCGTGGGAAGACCGTTCATCAGCTATTACGTCTTCGAAGCTGAGGATAGCTGCGCTGCGAGCTCGTCATGACAACATGAATGGAGATGGTAGTGAACATCAAGTCGTACTCAATCCAACAAGCCCGCTAAAGCCAAGAACGAAAGACTTGAACGAGATTCGAGAGTGTTGTTGAGTTGATGAGCTGGAACCCATGGTGAGCATGTTGCTATCATTAGGCAAGACAGCAAGCCATCGTCAAGGTCCCAGCCAACCTGTGAGAAGCTCCGACCTGCAGCTGTCAAATATGTCAAATCTCCCTGACACTATCTTAGCGGTCACCAGAAACAGCCAGAACGAATAGGATATGCAGAAAAATGGACGGTTTATATTAAGCTTTATCGCGCCGCTGCTAGGCTCCCTTCGAGCCGCCACCAGCGCCCCTCGCGCAAATCTACTTCCACTGCACCTTGGCCATGCTGCCCTGCTCAACAAGGGCTTTGTGCATGTCAAAACTGTTCCACAGAAGGTGTGGCTCGTGGCCCATGCCCTTGCGAAGACACTCCCATTCGGCCTTGTCGAGGTACTCCTTCAGGATAGGGCGGTAGATCTCATGAGCGCACTTGTCGATGATGACGCGAGCGCGCTCGCGCGGGCTCAGGCCGCGCACGTCCGCAAGGCCAGCCTCGGTCACGACAACGTCGAGGTCGTGCTCGGTCTGGTCGACGTGTGTGCACATGGGCACAATGCAGCTGACACCGTGCGGGTCCGTCTTGGAGGGCCGCGTCGACGGTGTGTGCATGATTGAGTACTTGGACGACCGCAGGAAGTCGGCTGAACCGCCCAGCCCGTTCAGCATGCGCGAACCCAGAACGCATGTAGAGTTGGCGTGCGCGTAGATGTCCACCTCCACCGGCGTGTTCATGCCAATGACGCCGAGCCGCCGGATAATCTCGGGCGAGTTTGACACCTGCTGCGACCGGAGGAGCAGCTTGTTGTGGTAGGCCTCCCAGTTGTCGTAGAACCGCTTGAAGCCGTCGGGCGAGAAGCGCACCGAGGTGGCCGTCGCGAAGTCCAGCTTGCCCGAATCAAACAGGTCAAGGAAGGTGTCCTGGATAACCTCGGTCCACACCTTCAGGTTCTTGAAATTGGAGTCGTTCAGCCCTCCAACAACAGCGTTCGCGATGTTGCCGATTCCTGATTGAATTGGCAGCAGAGAGTCGGGCAGACGCCCATGCTTTACCTCGTGGGTCCAGAACTCGATTATGTGGTTGGCTATCTGTCGCGAGCCCTCGTCTGCTGGAGTGTTGGGGGCTGTCTGGTCTCGGTAGTCGGAATGAAGCACGCCAACAACCTTCTCGGTATCAATAGGGATTGACGTCGTGCCGATACGATCCTCAACTCCCATGATCAAGTAGGGCTTTCGCTTGGGGGGCAGATCGGTCATTGTGATATCGTGCAGGCCTTCAAAGCTCGGAATGGAGGTGTTGACTTCGATGATGATCTTATCAGCCATCTGAACAAGCTCAGGGGTGGCTCCGACGGATGCGCCTGGAACAATGCTGCCGTCTTCCAATATATCGGTTGCTTCCACCACCACGACGTCGAGCTTCTTGTTCGGCTTGTCTTTTGTGTAGAAACCCTGCAAGAAGTGTTAGCAAAATCCGAGAACTCCACAGCGTCAGCTACACAAGCCGGGTTCACGTACATATACCAAGTCCACGGGGAACATGGACAAGTGCTTATCGAAGAAGTTGATGCTGCCGTCGTTGATACCCTTGGCAATGGCCTTTCCGACCTGATGGGGACTCCTCCGCTCGATCATGTTCAAGCCAGCCCACCTGTTCTCTGTCTCGGCGCCGGACGAAGCGCCCACGAAGAGGCTGTACCGCAGCTGGCCCTGCAAGTTGTTCTTCTCGACGTGGTCGGCCAAGTACGTGGGCATCTTCCTGTTTCGCGAGTTTCCCTCGTCAGTGCAGGCCCTGGTGTACTATTGGCCCAGTGTGGAAGCTTACTTTGGGTATCCCACGCCTGTAAATCCGGACCAGCCAATGTACGAGCCATTGGGAAAATGTGGCAGCAGCTGCTCGGGGTGGCAGAGCTTGTTCAGCATGGAAGGACGGCGAACACGCGCCTTCAAGGCCGCGGAGGCTACGGGGCTCGCCATGATCGTGTGGTAATATTATCGGAAGGGCTCACGATGCCAGATGGTGCAGTCTGCCTTTCTCCTTGCTGCTATGTCGAGCAGGAGATGGAGAGAAACGTAGTCGCGACTAGAAGCAGAAGAGAAGGAGTGGAGATTGGGCCGATAGTCGAAGGGAAAGAATACACAAAACGCCGCCGGTCCGGAGGGAAGAGTAGAGAGGGCCCATCTTGAATGAAAGAAGGATGGGTCCCCTTCGTGGGGATATATAAAATAAATGGGCCGCAAGCTACGGCGTTGCTGTGGTCTGATCATTCCATGCGACAAGGGTGACGATGCGCGCCAGGAAGCTTTGCTGCGGGATTCGGCCCCAATGGTGGGTACACAACCACACTAACATGACATGCACCACAGACCCAGCCAGAGCTGCTAGCATGACGTAGACATCTGTTCATAGCAGAACCACAGAGCTCTTGGGACCCCTTCGATCATCTCGCCATTCAACCCCGTGCCCGTGGAACCCCCAGAGCCTGGGGAAGAACTCCAGTCTTTTTTGCCTCCTCCCATGCAAGACCCAGGGGGTCATACAGTATCCCATGCAATTGGGACATGCAGCCAGACAGTACAGTATGCACTGCAGTCTGCTGCAGCGTTCCCCTGGAGCACTGAAGCAGCCAGGGCGCCAGCATGAAAGGGCCCACCCTTGCAGAGCCGCCTGCCAGTCAGCCATTGCGGCCGGCGCTAGCTCGGTCTGTGCCGCCCGTGGCTCCCGTTCGTCCGTCCGGGCGTAGTGATGCCCTCGGTTAAGGCCTAGGGGGTGTTCCCAAACAGGCAGCTCTTGGGTCGATTCGATGTTTCTGGACTACGTGTTTGATTCATTGGCGATTCTGGCTGATTTCTCGTTGCATTGCTGCTTTCTGCCGTGAAGAAAACATCCCTTCGTCGAGCTGCACCTTGCCTCTCGCGTCTTCGTGATCCGGGATCATCGCGAGTGCCGACCCACCTTGCGCTTGACTGTGCATGGCCGCCACGCTACTACACCACTACTGGGCAGCAATTATTTCATGTACATCATGCCGCATACTTTGGACCTTGGTTCTGTGGATTACATTCCTTCACAACTTTAGGTATCATCCCGTGCTCATGACTCTTGAGAAGTGTGATTGGTCTCATTAATTATCTCCAATAGAGAGACTCATGCTATGGTATCATTGACCCCCCTCACGTTCGCCGACGTGAATGGCCATCCCGCACACACAAGCCTCTCATGTCCATGGAATGCTCAGCTACGAATGCGACAACCTGAATTTCGCCGAGACATGCACCGTCCAGCTTTCAATCTTAGACTTCGACTGTCTTCTCGTTCTTGCCGAGCGCGTCTGTCGGCGCGACGTCCGCAACCGTCTCGTCCGAGAACTTGAGGTCCTCCTCGACCGGCACCGTGTCCTGGATGCGTGTCCAGATGATCGGGGCGGCGAAGATCAGCGCGGCAGCCAGGAGGCCCCACGTCGCACCGAAGATTGTGTTGTACGGCTTCTTCAGGCCGTCGAGCCGCCAGAAGATGGCTGCGCCCGCGGACTGGATGCCCTTGTAGAAGCCGGCCAGGTTGGCGGCCTTGCGCGACGAGTTCGAGAGGGCGCCCATGTACCTATTTGGGGATGCGCTGTCAGCTCTTGGCCACGGCTAATTTTTGCTAATAAGAGAAGAACAGTGAGGGCTTACCAGTAGATGCTCGTCTGCCACACGGCATCGAAGAAGCCGTAGAAGATGTACAGGAACATGGGTCCTATGTACAGCTCTCCGCCGTCGGTCCAGTCCACAAGACCCTTGTACGTTGGGTCTCCGTTCTCATCTTTAGCCTCGATGACATCGCGGGTGGCCTGCTTCTTCTGCCAGTCGTACCCGCCTCCCCATATGACGAAAGTGAGCACTACCAGCGTGACAAAGCTCGCCTTGGCGCGGACGCTGCGGCGGACCTTGTGGAAGTCCAGCGCGTAGCCGAAGATGACGGCGCCGAAGATCTGTGCCAGCCAGTAAAGCAGGTTGTTGAGAGAGCGGGTGCGGGTGTTGAAGTGCGCTGCATTCATGTCGTTGGTCTGGTAGGTGTAGAAGACGTTGCTCGCGAAGAACATGGGAAAGAGGGTTACGACCCACGGGTCAAGGTACATGGTTTCCCACAGGCCCTTGATCTCGGAGGACCAGCTGGGGTTCTTCATCAGGATGACATGAGAGCCGTCCTCTCGCTGGACTTTGTCGGCGTTGCACAGGGTCAAAGCCAGGACCGCGCCCACGGCCATGAGGACGATGAAGGCAGCGTAGGTGCCATCGGTGACCGGGCCTGTGGCGTTGTTGACATTCTGGCCGAGAGGGATGAGCGAGCCGATGACAGCGCCTAGGTTGAAGATGATCCAGAACCACGAAATGTAGCGACCCTTGGACGACTCTGGCGGGTAGCTCATCATGATGGCCCCCTGGCCCGTCCACAGGAGACCGGCGCAGACACCGAGCAGGGCACCTGCGAAGATGACGAAGCCCTGGTTCTGGGTGTGAGAGTAGCAGAGGAAGCTAGCAGCGTAGATGCAGTAGCCCAGGCCTCCGAGCGAGAGGGTGAGTTTGATGCCGAGACGGTTGGCAAAGGTGCCAGAAAAGAAGCCGACGACGGCAAAGGTCGAGTACAGAGCCGTGTTGGCGTGGTCCTGCACCTGGGCGTCGAGCTGACCACCACCACCGAGACCGGTCAGGGAGTTGTACATGCCCGGGCACAGGAAACAGACCATGGCGACCATGAAGAGCTGCACCTTGGGGGACGCATACCAGAGCTCACGCTTGCCCAGCTTGAAGCCCTTGTACATCCAACCTGCAGGGCGAGGAATAGCTCCGTCGGCATGGTTGGCGTTCGTCGCTGGAGCTGCGGTGACCGTGGTGTCCTTCTCAGTGGGGCTGACGGGGGAGTGGGCGACGGGGACGTCAGCCGCCGTCTCCTTGTTGTCGGCCATTCTGGATTTCGAGAACAGAAGAAGTGAAGTCGCAGTGTTGAATAATATCGAAGATCTTTGCCACTTTTTGCTGTTGACAAGCTGCCTGGCAACGAGGGCGGGGTAGTCTTGGTTGCTAACCTGGGAAGCCTCTGGGTGATGAGGTGGTCAGCAAGCACGGAAACTGAAGCAATCTCACAACAGATGAGATGCAAAAGATGCTTGGAGAAAATTGATGAAGCCCAGATTGTGGCAGAAAAACAATCAGTCGAACTGGGGGCAAGTGGAGGAATATGTTGGTGCAGAGGATCGGCCAGTCGCTGATGAATGGAAGGTCCTGTTGGTACGAAACGCGAGATAACAGTCCATGTCCAGAAAGGCAGTCGGTTATCAACGAGAGACGCGTTACAACGAGAGAAGCGACCAACGACTGGCAGGTTGCGGCGAAAGGCAGAACAAACTCACCGAGTGGGAGGGTTGCACTCCACGAGGCTCGCTCAATTGGGTCTCACTCACTGCCAAATCTAAATCAGAGGTTGGTGGCCCTTCAGGTCGTCTGTCTCAGCTTGACTGTAGCACAAGGTAGGGCAAGCTGCAGACGAGCTGTTGGAGGCTAGGATGAAGGATCGATGTCTTCTGATGAAGGGTAGCATCAAACATCAGACTAGACACGACATGGAACGAGACTGAAAATGACCCTTTTCGAGGACGGGCACGCTACGTAGCAGCCAAACTTTTTGAGATGAGGCTTGCTTCCAAGAACACAATAAAAAAGAAGCTGTCACTTCCCAGGGTCCGTTTGCTCTCTTCTCAGAAACGACGCCCGCCAAAACGTAAGCGCTTTGCCAGATGAGGATGCCCAGATGAGAAAAGGTGATAAGGTAAGGGAGGGGTCCCAGTGGCGCCACAACACATCTCAGCCTGTCGAAAAACGACACCCATTAGCACTTCGTATCAAGAATACTGTAGGATGTGCCTGGTCACAACACGGGTGGCCGAGACTGCTTTTGCAGGAGTCGAAAAGCCCCAGGTTGCATTGCACGCAGCCATTCAGAACCCCAGACCCTTGTCTCGACCGCCCTTTGTCTGCTTGTTCGTTTGTTCGTTCGTCCGACCCCACCCTCACCCGCGCAAAATCCGGGGTAAATCCAATCCAATCTGGATACCACCTGGTCGGGCTCAGTACTTCGGATGAAAGACGCTACTACGATCAACGAACGACTTGTATCATTCAGCGTGGCTCTCTCACACTAACAACAGGTGAGCTGTGGGCATCGCCACACCCGTCGTCGATACAAAACATCGGCACCAGCATCAGTATCAGCATCGGCGTCCAACCTATCCACAGTATCAAATGCGGATCACGATACGATCCCAACGCCCCCGCAGACAACAAGACGCATCCATCCTTCAGATAAGAGCTCCCGGACCGATTGCAGAAACGGCCCATTGGCCTCCTTGGCGGGCACCTCGCCGCCTGTGAGAGCCCGCAGCCAGCCCCGGGTGAGCTGATTGGGCACCCCATCCGTGGTCAGCTGGTGCTCCCAAGAAGTGGGCACCCCAAGACCCTTGCTTGAGCCTTGGTATATCCCGTGCCGACAGGCAGTGAGTGCCGCGCAGGAAGCGCGCCTAGTCCCGTCTCAGCAAGCCAAACATCAGTGCTTAGGCCTCCCTCCCACCCACCGGCGGTCCCCTGTCGCACTCGCCCATGTAACGTTCCCCGGGCTGCCACTGGCGGCCATCCAACGGTCACACCTAGCTTCTGCATTGCCGTGACGGAGTTTGTGGCGTTGGGACGAGGTGCAGTTGAATCCTCCTCGTGGAAAAATAATACAAACCTGAGTGAGGACTGGGCGAACACGTGTTGTACGTCCGGACTCCGACAGTGATCCCGCGCGTGTTACCGTTAAAGGCGATGCCGCGTAGAGTTTGTCTGGTCAGTTTGCGGCAACACGTTCTGATAGGGAAGTCGAGCTGAAAGCCTTTTTTCCATCAGCACGTGCACCCACCGCCATGGAAACCGCCGGCTCTCAATAGTAGGAGCGTGGCCTTAGTCCGTCATCGTAAATCGTCTAAGCCCGTCTGACGGAACGGAGAAGCACTTGTTACACAACAGCTGTTCGCTCAACAACTCCCCATTCGGCGCATCAGATTCCATGTCCGTCTCCACATCCTATGTGTGATCTTGCTCTGTTTTCGCGGGCAAACTTTTAATCGGAAGCTCAATGAAGACCTCGCAAAGATTAGTGATGTGTTCTATGGTCAAATCTCTGCCCTTTCAACGTGTCGCGGTTGCCACAACCTCGCTGCTGGAAACCTTCAGCATCCTGTGCCGAGACAGAGGTTTGATATATGCATCTTCGTTCCTGCAATTGCCTGTATCTTGGAATTGTGATCGAGTCGTGGCTGTTGAAGCAGAATATAGATCCGTGTTGAAATGACGCTCCCTGCGTTGATGAGCAAAAACATTAGCCACATTTACAAAATATCATTGAAGTAAGGATTATGAACCTATTCTCAGCACGATTCCGAACAAATCCAGACTGGACGACAAATAATGAAGGAGACATACAGACAAGCAATTCTTAGCAAGATATTCTTGTTCTATATGTACTACGCGCCAAACTCCATGTCTAACGTGGTGGCCCTAGGTCCTTGATATAAAGCCGCCTCGCCGTCAACGACGATCCAGGTACGGCCCTTGGGTTCAGTTTCAGTCTGATGAAAGCAAAGAGATCGAATGCAGCGACACAGTAGATCCCTCATCTATCTGATCAGAATCTGGACTCCACAGACGCAATATCCTGACAGCCAAACGAGACACAAGCCTTTCCAAGAAGTCGCCCATGCTCTCAGTGTGATCGAAATCTGCTGCCAAGAGCTTGAGAGCCAAGGCTGTTTAGAGCATTCCACAAATCATTGCTCGTCGGAGAACATACCACGCATGTATGACAAAGAAGAATTGGGTCTTTCGGGTGAGACCGCACACACCTTGCGCTGATCCCTTTATTCTTGCGCGAATCCCTCGCAAGGAGTGTAAGGGTGTTCGGGGCGACTGGCATACCTGCCAAGACCTATTGCCAACAGCGTGGTAGTATATATATGCTCTGCATTTAACCGGACCCGGCAGTTATCATTTTTTGGGACAAGCATAATTAAGCTTACATTGAAAGCTTGTCAGAATTGTAAATTTGAGCCCCGCACTTCCTTCCAATCGTGCTTCATTCGAGGCTCGGTGTATAATCTACGTGCCTAGAGATGTAGTCTGGTACTCATCGATAGTAGTTACCATGAAATGGCGTATTGTGCCTTCTCAGTAGAAGATGGCCCCCTTTGCCTTTCCCCGAAGAACCAGTTAAGGAAATCAAGTTGTATACTGGCAAGCCTGTTGAATCGACAATCGAGCACCTTGCTATTCGGATGAGGCGAGGAGGTTGCGCAGCTGCTCAGTGCGTCTAGTCACGACTGAGGTGTCTTCAAACCCACTTCATAATACCAACTCATTTGATGGCGGACCACCGTCCCCCTTGCAGCTCACACCGCCGCCACTCATCAGTTCCTGCATTGGCACAATACCCCATAGGTCGTTTCCCCTTCAGAGCACAGGAAATGCAACCCACAACAATCAATTTTACGAGACTTTACCAGCTGACTTCGTAGCTCCGGAGTAGCAGAACCTCGAGATCATCAATTTCAAACATCTGAAATTACCGGCCCTTCCATCCACGTCGATAGGTAACAAGGATGATTGACAACTTGGTCTCCTGGCTAATAGGTCTCAGCGAGGTCTCGGCCCTATTACTCCTGGTCATCCCGGAAATATCTTCATATTGGATGTATGATCAATCTCCATGGGTATAAAGGACTCAATTGTTTTCGACACTGCAGTAGTGAGATCTGTTTCCTTGTTCCTCGAGTGTAAGAAACCATCTGACTACGTGGTACGCACTGATGGAAAATATCATTAAGCGTAAATTCAGGAATACAGAAATTTGATGTTTCTAGTCGTCCATGTTCAGGGAAAGAGGCCTCTCTTCCCCTCATCATGTCTACAGAGGTACACAAGTATCTGGCAACCACATCCGCATCCGCATCCAATGGTTGACTCCACCCGGGATCTGGGCAATATGTAACCAGAGCTCAGATGCTACTAGCAGCACTCAGCAGCAGGCACCATTGCCAAGATTGCAATTTGTGAAGATCTGCTGCGCCTGAGCAAGTGGCTAAAGGCAAGTGGAGGAATATCAGTCGTTCTTGATATTAGAAGGTTCCGAACACGTCCTCCGTTATTACCCATTGAGTATGTGCTCCTACTCAAGTGACCCAAAGACCAATCGGGTCATCTCCTCCTACAGGACCGTCCCACAGGGGCGTAAATCTCCCTTAGCATCGTGTTGTGATAGCAGCACATTGCCAGATATAGGCGATGGATCTCAGCCCCGCAGCCAGCCTGGACGAGCATCTGGCCATGCTATCGATGAGTTGCTCGGAATCTTATGGCCGAGGCCATCGCTAAATTCGGACCTGCGTTCCTGATTACCGAATTCGCTGCTGGCGTTCCCGTCTCGAAAGCTTAGATGGAGTATCACTTCCTGTCTTGTGACCTACATTGATTAAATAGGACAGGGCTCCCATGTGGCGAATATCACTGGGTATAAAGCCTGCGGAGGCGCCACAAGAAGCTTCATGATCACATCAGGTCGGGGAACACTACACTTTTCACTATTTACCGAGTCATAACAGAAGCACCATGAAATTCTCAACAGCAGCCGCCGTGGCCTGTGCTTCCACAGCACTTGCCGTTAAACCACGCCAGACGCAAGGTTGCTCTTCTGCCGTCACTCTAGACGCGTCGACCAATGTCTTCGCCAAATACAAGCTTCATGCCAACAGCTTCTACCGTGACGAGGTCAACAAAGCCGCTGCGGCCATCACCGATTCGGCCCTGGCTGCTAAGGCCAAGAGCGTTGCTGATGTGGGCACCTTTCTATGGATGTGAGTTACAAGACACATGGACATGGGAGCCGCGAACGAAGATGGAGACTGGCCCAAATCACATCAAGTTCACCGCTGATGCCTTTACACCAGCGACACCATTGCAAACATTGCAAAGGTCGAGCCCGCGATTGCCGATACACCCTGCAGCGACATCCTGGGTCTGGTGATCTACGACCTCCCCGGGCGCGACTGCGCGGCCAAGGCGTCCAACGGCGAGCTTGCCGTCGGCGAGCTGTCCAAGTACAAGAGCCAGTACATCGACCCGATCGTGAAGATCCTGAAGGCGCACTCGAACACAGCCTTCGCCCTCGTCATCGAGCCGGACTCGCTGCCCAACCTGGTCACCAACTCGGACTTGACGACCTGCCAGCAGTCGGCGCAGGGCTACCGCGACGGCGTCGCCTACGCCATCCAGCAGCTCAACCTGCCCAACGTCGTCATGTACATCGACGCCGGCCACGGCGGGTGGCTCGGCTGGAACGACAACCTCAGCCCAGGCGCCAAGGAGCTCGCCAACGCCTACAAGGCCGGCGGCAGCCCCAAGCAGTTCCGAGGTTTCGCCACCAACGTGGCCGGGTGGAACTCCTGGGACCAATCCCCCGGTGAATTCGCCAACGCCTCTGATGCCCAGTATAACAAGTGCCAGAACGAGAAGATCTACGTTGAGTAAGTTCCTCTCACGCCCAGACACCATTGATACTCGTCAGCAATAGACGGAGTAGTCACCGTATCTCAAACCTCATGATTGACATGACGAGATTGGGTACTCTACTGATGGAGATCTGAACAGCACGTTTGCGCCTCTGCTCAAGCAGAACGGTATGCCAAACCATGCTATCGTCGATACTGGCCGTAACGCCGTCACGGGCCTCCGTCTTGAGTGTAAGTACAAGTACCTGAATATCAGCAACTCTTTCTGAATGGCAAATTGTATTGCGGTTGTTGGCATACTTGGTCAGAGACAACACGATTTGCTTCTTGCCTATCTGAGCAACTCATTCTTTGCCCGCAACCTCAAGAGCAATTACTGACTGTTGAAAGGGGGTGACTGGTGCAACGTCAACGGCGCTGGTTTCGGCGTGCGACCTACGGGCACCACTGGCGACGAGCTTGCGGACGCGTTTGTGTGGGTCAAACCCGGTGGCGAGTCGGACGGAACGAGCGACACTAGCGCGACACGGTACGACAGCTTCTGTGGAAAAGCAGATGGTAAGATTTCTCCCAAACATGCCATACAGATGGGAGCTGGCAATTCTGACTCAAAGGTGTAGCCTACAAGCCTTCTCCTGAGGCTGGAACGTGGAACCAGGCCTAGTAAGAAGCCCCTTCCCCCTTTCCTCTTGAGCGTGAAGAGAACTCGGCAATATCCTTCTGCTTTATATTTCACGGGGCACACTTCAGGTAACTAACATGAAATGTAGCTTCGAGATGCTCATCAAGAATGCTAAGCCTAGCTTTTAAGCCTCTAACGCTCAGCTCAGAAAAAGCACCAACTTTGGTCGAGATGTGGTGGTCCCGAAGCCAGAGGCGCATTTTCACTTCACGCCAGACAAATTCATGGGAACGGCTCAATATGTACATAAATCCCCGATGAACTGTTGATATTGCAATCGATTTATGCTTCAAACTGTTTACATACCCTGCGAAGGGCTTGACGCTTGATTTGATGTACTTTGCTGGTCTTATTGGCATCAGTTCAACTCCTTAGACAAGGTCACCTGCTTCTTAAGGCCAGAAATCTCTCAAAGTGCTCTCACAATTAATTACAGTCCAGAGCAGGCGCAGCAATGCAAAGAGCTTTATGCGAGCACCCAGCGTTGATACCTTCCCCAGAAGTGCCAAGCTCCGCAACATCGCGTGTCGGCCTCACGTATCTGAGCTGCCCGAATAGGCAGCTGAAAGTAGCCGGCAAGTGCCAATACGACGTTGGAGTTGGCATTCACCCCCGGCTCGCGGGGCCGCAGTGATTGCGTGCCTAAGTCATTCGCCCACGCTATCACTGCTGGAACAGAGGTTTTGCTGTATGTTTACATATAAATTGAGATGCCAAGCTGATTATCGAGACCAAGCTTTCTCGTTTCTCTTGGCCACCCTTCTTTTGCCCCACTAGAAGACAGAGACAGCTGCCAACATGGGTCTCATTCATGCGGCCTCGGTGCTCCTTGCACTTGCATCCACAGCAGCATCTTTCCCAGCTGGGGGCAGCCATGATGCTCGTAAGGACACTGTGGTTGTTGAGAGTCTTTCGGCCCCTCCACGCAGCTGGGTGAAGAATGAGACCCAGCAGGTGGATAAGGATGCTTCTCAGATCCGGCTTCGCATGCACCTCGTCCAACAGGACATGGACAAGTTCCAGGAACTTGCTCTGAACGTATGAACAGATCTTCCTACAACTCTTTCTTAGGCTATTAAGAGCACCCACTGACATACGCCAATCAGATCGCGACACCAGGTCACCACCTGTATGGCTCTCACCTGTCACAACAAGCCATCGACGCCATCATTGCTCCCAAGGATGAGTCCGGTGACCTGGTCATGGCCTGGCTCGAGAGCGCCGGCCTAAGCGACCATGCTACGTACTCCGCCCGAGGAGACTCAATTGTCGTTGATGCCAGTGTTGCTCAGGTCGAGAAGCTGCTGGACGCCGAATACAGCAGCTTTCGCAATACGGAGACCAACGAAATTGTCCTCCGGACTCTGGAGTTCAGCCTCCCCAGTGCTCTCAAAAGTCATGTCGACATGGTCCAGCCGACGACCTTTTTTGGCTTCCGCTCTTACAAGTCTGGCATTTCTGGTGTGAGACCTCTGAATGAGGCTACCGTAAACACCCAGATCGAATCGGTCAACGCTGTAACCGGCTGCTCATCCAACATCAACCCCACTTGTCTCTCGAATCTCTACAGCTTCTCATCGGCCAAGAACTACAACACAGGTCTGTTTGGAATTGCCGGCTTCCTCGAAGAGTACGCCATAGCATCCGATCTAAAGACCTTCTTGTCCAAGTACGCCGTGGAAGGAAACACAGCCCAATCATTCAGCTGCGTCGGCGTCAACGGCGGCTCCTGCCCGACGTCCGCATCGCAGGCAGGCACCGAGGCCAACCTCGACGTGCAGTACGGGCGCGGCATCGCCGAGTCCATCCCGATCAACTACTACAGCACGGCCGGGCGCGGCCAGTGGGTCGGGTCCGGGACCAACACCAACGAGCCGTACGTCGAGTTCCTCGAGTACCTGCTGGGGCTGGACGCCTCCGCGCTGCCCAACACGCTGTCCATCTCGTACGGCGACGACGAGCAGACGGTGCCCGACTCGTACGCCACCAACGCCTGCAACCTCTTCAGCCAGCTCGGCGCCCGCGGCGTCTCGGTGCTCGTCGCTAGCGGCGACTCCGGCGTCGGCGGCTCCGGCGAGTGCACCCGCAACGGCGTCAAGCAGTTCGCGACCTCGTTCCCGGCGTCGTGCCCGTGGGTGACCACCGTCGGCGGCACGTCGGGCACCGGGCCCGAATCCGCCTGGACGAGCTCGGGCGGCGGCTTCTCCTACCTCTTCCCGCAGCCCAGCTACCAGGCCGCTGCCGTCAGCTCCTGGGTCGCCTCCGGGACTGCCAGCTCGGTATCACAGTACTTCAACGCTTCGGGGCGGGCATACCCAGATGTCGCTGCGCAATCGACCAACTTTGTCATCGTCGTGGACGGTACCTCGGAGCTCGTCGACGGCACGAGCTGTGCGACTCCCACTTTTGCCGGGGTCATCCAGCTCGTCAACAGTGACCGTGTCGCGAACGGCAAGGCTGGGCTGGGGTTCTTGAACCCCTGGCTGTACGCGAATGCGACGTCTGCTCTGACGGACATCAAGTCGGGAAGTATCAGCGGCTGTTCATCTCAAATCTCAGGAGCTGGCTTCAAGGCAGTTTCTGGTTGGGACCCAACGACTGGCTTGGGAACGCCGATATTCACCTCACTGCTTGCCTTGTCAAATAAGACTTAAGCCCTTGTTTCACACTGGAAGGAAAGTCAAGGGAGCAAGTCGATGGAAAATTCAGGTAGAAGCATAGATACCTGACTTCACTGAATATAATTTGAACCGATGTGCTCATACCTTTCCCTCGCTTGCAGTATCTTGAAGAAACTCTAGATGATGAATTAAATGATTCCTTTTTCCTGTCTGCAACATTCGGCTCAAAAGTTAGATAGACGGGAAGATTGAATGCTTTCCGTGGCCAAGGGCAATTGATTAGTCGCGCTGGGAAGACAGCCTGTTACTGACAATGGAGGCAAATGTGAAAGATCTCAGGGTGTTCTTCACGGAGGAACCTGCTTCGCACCGGGGAGTCTCTGAACTGCATGGCCGGACAATTTACCAAGTTCTAGTTCAAGGATCAGTTATTGATGGGTCGAAGCTTGTATAGGGCATTACGAGTCTACGTATTTATATACACATATATAGATCAGGACAAGATGCCCGCTTCCGAACCTGTTGGATCCGAACTAGCTACCCGAGCCATCTGAATCCCAGCCAGCCCGTTACGAGCTCCTCTTCCCATACGGCTCGAATGGGAAGAAGGCACTAACGACTGCCATGGCTATGAACAGAGCCGCACACAGGTAGATAGGCACAGGCGTGCTGGTGTCCGCAAAAGTGGCAATAACCGCACTGAGGATGCCCATGACTCTGGCACACGCGACCGCGACGCCATTACCGGTGGCGCGATGCGCGCTGGGCAGGACCTCGGGGGTGTAGGCGTACAGAGTGCCGTAGTAGATGTTGAGGCAGAAGCCGATGGCGCACGAGAAGCCGACGTTCTGGGCCGCGGACCGCACCGCCGTGTAGGCGAAGAAGAAGGCCATCGTCATGAGAGCTCCGATCACCATTGTGTACCGCCGCCCGAGGAGGGGCAGGTCGCACATCCAGCCTGCGAGCATGGGGCCGAAGATTGATGAAATGTTGACTAGGGCGTAGTTGCGCCAGGTTTCGTACTGCAGTGCTCGAAATCAGCTATCAGACAAGGCAAGAAGATTCCTTCGGAAAGGGATTGGGGGGGGGGGGGTATGCTTACGGTGGTCTCCTCGAAATCGGCTCCTCGAGTTGCAAGGTAAGTGCTGTCATGTGTCAGCTTTTGATCTCACGAGTACAAGTCTCCCATGAAACGTACGGAAGGAAGACATAGAACAGCGGGTAGACGAGTCCGATCAGCGTCCATGATAACCATATCAAGAGGGTGGAGAGGCCAATTTTCCTTGTCGCAAATAGACCCCTGAGATGAGTTGAGAACTCATTTACCGAGTAACGGTTTTTGCTGTGTGTCCCCCTGACTTCACCGCACGCCTCGAGCTTTTCCACTGTCAATGAGATTGGGCGGTTATACCTCGTAGCCAAAAACTGAAGGGTTTCGACTACTTGGGCATCCTCCCCTAGACCGAGCAGATACTTCGGAGTCTCCTTCAGTCGCACCACCGTTATGCGTAGGACTGACATGACAAAGACAAGCGCTCCGGAAGTGAACATCGTATCTGGCCACCTGTCAGACTACACGTGTTCGAATCTTTCTGAGTGCTACTCACATCTCCATCCCATGTTGTTTTCTCTGGTGCAAGTGTCGACAGAAGTGCAATTCCATCTCTCAGGTACTATGAATAGGTCCGATATCAGTGCTGGTATCTTGCTGTATCCTTCATACTATTCAAATCATCAAGAGGCAAGTCATTTCCGAGAAACTCACCCATGAAGCCCCAAGCAATGAAACCCGTGATAGCCTGCCCAAATCCCCACCAAGCCGCGAGAAACGTCAACACCCATTGTTTCTGGGAGGGCAAGTACTCCAGGAACACTGTTGTATCCAGGATCAGATTTCCGCCCGCTCCAAACCCCACGAGCGCAATGAACAGCCCTAGCGAGCCCCAATTCGGCATCGCACCAGCAACAAGCGTACTCACGGCGCAGATGAACAGCGAGATATTGAAGGCATACCGGCGGCCCACAATGTCAGCAGATAGGCCCCAGAAGATAGCACCGGTCAGCATCCCGACATAAACGGCAATTGTAAGCGCGCGGGCATAGCCGACCTCGCCGAATTCCATGAAAGCCTGGGCGGCGATGATGGACTGCAGCAGCAGGACGAGCGAGTCGACAGCATAGCCGAAGCCGTTGAGCCCGAAAAGCTTCCAGTGGTAGTTTGTCCAGCCGATTTCGTCGATTGCGTTGTTGACGAGGTGCATCTTCGCATTCAGGGCTGGGTCGAGATCCTGTCGGGCAAGGATGTCCTCGCCGTCCCTCAGGGAGCTACCATCCCCGGGCTGGACGTCTGTCAGGACGCCCTGCTCCGGGATCCTGGCCTTCTCGTCGCCCGCCTCCAGCTTCGGGCTGTGGCTACTGTTGTCATCGTTGTGGGCTGTCATGGCTGGCTTGCTTGTCTGGTGACTCCACGTATTCTCGGCGCGTTAGAGGAGCGGGAGACTCCTCGCCAGACAAACGTGGAGAAAGGGGAGGGAGCGGGAGGAGGTGACCTGAGTACAGGTATTCTGGGGTGTCGCGGTATGGCAGGTAGTTGATCGGGAGAGCTACAGATCTGGCTTGACAACCATGGATGCCTACGAGGAGAGAAACAAGCACGGTAACAGAGACAAATGTGCGACGACTGGCTGGGCACTGCGCGGCTTTTAGGATGGTAACATGTCGCGTGCCAGTCAGGAGCAGCTCTCTATTAGCAGAATGCCGATCCTGACTGACTGTGGGCTTATCTCCCAAGCCATGTGCATGCGCCATGATGGTAGCCAAGGTTACCATGCGCGCACCCTGGAAGGAGAGGACGTCCCGATGTCAGTGATAGCAGCAGCAACGGCAACAGTAGCCGTAGCGATTAGAGTTGCCAGCCCACGTGCGGCCCTCGTGCTACGGTCTAGCGCTTCTGATAGGTCGTGCCGGTTCCTGACTATCCTTGCTACGTTGTGTTGCCAATTCTGCCCTCCTCACTGGATCGGATTCAGGGCTGGCTGGCTGGCTGGATTGGGCAGATCCTGGGGAAGGATTGTAGATACCAAGCCTTAAATGGTGGAGGAGCACTTAATCGAGGTCGGTAATTGGATAAATGTGAAGATGAGCCTGTTTATGTGCTGGATCAGGGTTAGGACTGGGAGACGGGGAATTCGAGCACAGTCGCCTACTACCTAACCAACCGCCCCCCCCCCCGGCCCCCTTCAAGACCACACGCATCCATCACTCTCCATTACTACAATTAATCCTTCTGTCCCCTTCTAAGTTGCATTTGTTTACTTACTTCCACAACCACTTCAGTATCGACCCAAGTCTTGCATTGTAGTCCAAGAAACACCGTCACTCACAAAATCCAGAATGGTATTTGAGGTCAATCCCGAATGCCGAAGGCCCTCCCAAAATCTCCAGGCCGAAGGGGTCGACTCCAGACCATGAACGACGTCACTTCATCAAGATGATCTCTCTCGACGTCCCACTCAATTGAAAACAACCCCTTTCCACACACCAATACAGCAGATCTAGATGAGCAGTAAGAGACAACTCACCAGCAGTCTCTCCATCAAACCAATCGATCAGACAATCAATCAAATTTAATCTAATCAATTACCGCCATGCCAGCAACAACCACAATCCCCACCCTAACCATCGCGGCCGCCAAGGCAGCAACAGCCGCCTGCGAAGCCAAGGCCGCCGAGCTCGGGGTGCCGATGAACATCGCGGTAGTGGACAGCAGCACGCACCTACTGTCCTTCACGCGTGAGTGCTATTCTCCTGCCGCTACAGTTCCTCGATCTTTGTGCTTTGGAAATGTTCTAGAACGTATCACTTTGGGACCCGTAGCAGGGTTATTGACGGGTACTAGGCATGGACGGTGCGAAACTGACGTCGGTGAACATCGCCATCGACAAGGCCTTCACGGCGGCCGGCCACCGCCTGCCCACCTCGGCCTACAAGGACGTCGTGTGGCCAGGGGGCGCCGCCTACGGCATCAACGGAACCAACGGCGGCCGCTTCAACGTCATCGGCGGCGGCCTCCCCGTCAAGGGGCTCGGCGATGAGGTCCTCGGCGCCGTCGGCTGCTCCACCGGCACCCCGGCGCAGGACGAGACTGTTGCGCGGGCGGGCGTCGAGGCTGTCGAGAAGCTGGTCCAGGAGGAGGGTCGGGGGCAGCTGAAGGCGAAGCTTTGATGAGGCTTCATGTCTGGGGATGAGCTGTTGCGGGCATTTTCGGACGTGGGAGTCACTGTGACGGTTTTCCTGGGCAGCTATGCCAGCTCGCTTTTCTTTCACGGGATTAGGCGCATACTGGCAGAGCTAGAGGACATGAATCACATCATGAACCACATCACGAAAAGGAAAAAAACTGGTCGGGTGATTCTCAAAACTTCATAATATTATATTTTACAAGTTCGCAGTGATTTGCAATGTGTCCCTTGGCTGCGTTTCCTTTTCCCTACCACTGATCTCGTACCAGAGACGCTTATCCTGACCAAAGTTCCGTCATTATACTCACGAAGAAAGTGCTATGGAAGGAAAAGCTGAAGAGACTAGTCATGACCAAGTTAAAGACTGTCCCGGGTGCGGGCAACACGCATAGGCAGCGGCTAGAAGTCAAGATGCCCTCTGTTTATGGACGTACTTCTGGAGCCGCATCACGTCGTTTCAAGACGCTCTACCGTCACCAACCGTAAATGTCAGATGCAAGCTTACTTGAATCTCAAGTTGCGGAGCATGAACGACAAATGCTGAAGGGGATGAACGCCTGCAGTCAGAATGAAACAATTGTGCTCAGGCGGCTGCGTCCTCCCCCAAGAGAACCCCGGGATGAGGAGCAGTCAGGCGGTGATGATATCAAAGTGGGCGACGAAGTTTGAACGTTTCAAAAGTGTCCAAACAACGTCAGACCAAGCACAGCAAGCGGATCAAGCTCAGCGGTTTTCGTCCGTGTAGGTTGCGAACCATGGCCGAAAAGGCAGTCACGCCGCTGTCAGGACTACGATCAAGTGGCATCTCATGAAGAAGTGTCAAATCAATCGAAGCCGCGAGGTGCGACACCAGTTGCCTCACCGGCCTTGTCAGAAGTCGACGGAAATGTCAAATCGGCCCACAGGGAGGAAAGCCCCTTTTCGCAAAGCAGTTTTCCGTGGAGATTGTGGCGCGCAGGAGATGATGTGCTCAAACAATGAAAGGCGGAAGAAAAGTCGGGGTATAGAGATGGAGCTGGATGAATCTCAGAAGGTGCGCATCTCTGGCATGGGATAGCTTCATCAAAGTGCGGTTAGACGGACATCCGCCATGTCAGTCAACAGCGATGCAGTGGTTCAGTCGGGTCAATCTCTCTCTGCAGAGGACGTCACGCAGTTGGCCGCGTCTCGTACGCATGGCCGGTTACGATGTGCCGGGTGGCTTGGAAGCGTCGCCCTGGCCTGCATTGGCTTGCTGTGCGGCAAGGGACTGGTACCACAGTGCCAGATAGTTCTGGTAGCCGCCGTCTGTCGAGTGTGTCAGTGAATGATCGTATCATCAGAGAGTGGCCCGAAATTGGGGCTATGGGTTTGCACTCACAGGCTGCATATGGGTCAGCTTGGCCGTCAGCGCCTGCTTGCGCCGCAGGTGCTCTTGACTGCTGATTGTTAGAAGGCGGTTGCCCGTAATTCGGGTTATCGTAGTCGCGATGCTGGCCACGACCGCGGCCTCCACCACCGCCACCACCACCTCCTCCTCCTCCTCCGCCACCACCGCCGCCATTGCTCTTTTGTCTCTGCATTCAACGTTTAGCATGCGCACTACAAATCATGCACGAGTCGGGCAGACTTACAACTGCTTCAACCTTATCCTCGATGGCCCGCTTGGCCCGTTCGATAGAGTCCCGGCTACCGACGAGCTCGATCTCCCGCTCGGCCTCGCCGGGGGCAGGTTGCTGTGAAACGTTGATCTTGCAGCCGGTCTGGTTCTGCATCTCGCGGATGGTCTCGCCGCCCTTGCCAATAATCATGCCGACGGCCTCGTTGGGGACAAAAATCGCATCGTTGACCTTGTCATGGCCACCTTCCCGCTGATTAGACCGGCCTTGTTGCTGTTGGTTGTTGTTGGTGTTGTTTGTATTTCGGCTGTCGCTGTCCACGATCTCCATGATGAGATCCTTGGCCTGAGCAGCGGCGGCGTAAGGACCAATGAGGTTGACCGGACGGAGCCCGTTGACACTCTTGGACTCGCCAACAATATTGACGTGGCAGCCACTCCGCTCCTGCAGGTCACGGATCGTCTCTCCACCTCTTCCGATGATGAGACCGACAGTGCGGTCAGGCACCATGATCTGCAAGCATTCCTCTCCGTCCTTCAGGTTTATCTGGCCACTAGTGGGGTCAACAGTCGGGGGCGGACGGCCCTGGCCTCGATCCAAGCCGGCTCGGGCGATAGCGCCCATGCCACTGTCGTCGATGATACGGTTGATGGCTGCCTTTGCTTCCGCTCTTCTGGCGCGAGGGCCGGTGATCTTGCACTGTCGGAACTTGTCGTCGCCGCTGTGGGGGGCCAGGAATTGAACCCGACACTTTGTCTCCCCCTCGACACGTCGTAGGTTCTCTCCCTGTCTTCCGATGATGAGGCCGACGAGGCTCGCCTCAATTTGCATGGTCTCGGATGAGTTGTCGTCCTCTCCACGGAGGGGGGAGCGTTGGCGCGCAGAATTGGCACCTCGAGGGGAGAAAGCACCGCCACCCTGGCGGCCACGGGGGCCGGGGGAGTATGATCTGTCGCGTCCATGATCGCGACCAGAACGATCACCGCGACGCTCGTCTCGGTAGGGATTATAGTTGTCATGGAAAGCCTCACGGCGAGGAGGGGATCTGGAACGTGATCGGCGACGACCGTCGTTTCCAGCGTATACAGGAGGCCGCTCGTAGGGAGCAAGGTTGTTGGCCGCAGCGACGGCCTTTGCTTTCGCTATAGCATCTTGAATGCTGACAGTGCCCGAGTTAACGGGCTTGATAGCGCTCAGGTCGACAGTCCCGCTCGACGAGGGCTGTGGGTAGCCGTAGGCTCCAGGAGGTGGGTAGTTGGTCTGCTGTATAGGCGCGCCACCTGGGGGCATGGCGTAGCCCTGGGCTGGAGGGTAGGAAGGGCCAGGAAGACCAGGCTGGCCCTGAGTCGGGGTTGTGGTCGCAGGTCTCTGTTGAGTAGCTAAAGGTTGAGTTGAAGCTCAGGTCAGCTGGAATCGACGGTGAGATGGAAAAGGGGTGATGATGCGTCGGCGAGTGCTTACCACGCAACTGCTCAAGGATCTGCTGGATATCTGGTGTTGCACCAGCCATCTTGGGTTGGAGTAGGGGGGTTTGCTAGACCCAGATTCGCGCAGGTTATGGTTCGTGGTAGACGATGGGTGGTTGAAAAGGAGAGTGTCAGGCGCCGAAGGCGGTCACTGTCTCAGAGTTTTCTGTCGCGGTGGACGCAGGCCAAGAGAGAAACGGGTCGGGCTGATTGAGTGCGCGTGCGCAACGGACAGCACTCGGCCAAATTGAGTCCCTCAGGGATTGTCGAGTCGCTGCACCAGCTGGATCGGACAATGACAAAAGGACCCAACAGCTTGGTCGTTTGTGGAGGATAGGCTAGCCGGCCTCGACTTGATGGACAAAGACAGAGGTAGCAGGTGCAGGTGGAGGTGCAGGACGGAGGAGGTTGCTGGCTGGGGAGAGGGTGGGCAGGAAGAAGGGTGAAGCTACAAAAGGGTGTCGCAAAAAGAAATGCAGAGGTCGGACGGAGGCAATGCGCCGGCCCCACTAGACCAAACCAAGCTACAGGGTCTGGACTTCTGGGCCTCCGTGGACTTCCCAGGTTGTGTGTGTGTGTGTGTGTGCTCTCTTGGGGGCTACTTTGCCAGCCGCTTGCTCTCTGCCCTATGTGCCAGTGCCGCTATAACCTTGGAAGGCAAAGACGAGACGGCTCTACTGCCCAGGTGTATGTACTGTTACGGTGGGCCTGCCCAGGCTCAGGCCCACAATGACTCTGCCCTCTCATATTGTACAATTGACGGGCAAGCACAGCTGGCCACACAACAAACGCACATTTTGCTCGGATGGAATGAATTTCGAAATCAGGTAAATGCCAGCAGCGATGTAATTGATTGCAACAACGCCCGTACCTATCCGTGTCCCTGCGCCCTCACGTCTGTGGCTGGGTTGGCTGGAATGAGACGGCTTTGGGAACACCCCTCCACACACATGAACACACTTACACAAATACACACACCTGCATCTGCATCTGCACATGCACACCTGGCTAGAAAAGGCTGCAAGGTAGCGGTAGAGAGCGAGATCCACACCATTCACTCAACTGGGCAGATCTCTGCAGCTCAGTGCCGGTCTGGGGCAGCACGGACCACCGCATATTGGAGCAGACTCCCCTAAGCAGCTCTCTACCCAGTCTTCATCTTCACCGTTCTCATCCACACATTCACATTGTCAATCAAGCACTTCACTTGAGCAGGCTACTGTCTCGATTATTACTTTTAAGTTGCTCGGTCAGATGGAGCACCGTACCATCCTTGTTGCCACTATTTCTGCTCACACAGTCAGATGAGAGTTGCTGAGATCACGCATGTTGTACCGCAAACTCCAAGCCAAAACCAGGGGTGACTCCTTTGTACTCTCTTTTACTACTCACACCCTGACCATTCCACTGTGTCTCCTCCCAGCCTGCCTTCCCAGCATCCCATTCGGAAAATCACAGATGAAGCTCAGTCTGGGGGCCTTGTGCCCTGGGCTCAATGTCATGTCTTCGTCCCCATCACCATCCAACGGTCTCCGCCTCTTGGCTGGCGGCTTCGTTTCCTGACGAGACTGAAGAAAGCTGTTGATTCGTTCTAATGTCTCTGGAACGAGGCTCACCGGCATGCCTTGCTCTACACCCGCTCGGATATTATCCAGTGGTAGCTTTGAGAGGTCGTCCTGCCGCAGGAATATTTGAATGATTTTGGAATAGAATTGGAGTTCTCTGTAGCTCCTGGGCTTGCTCGTTATTTCCGGGCCTTTTCTCAAGAAGCATCTCAATATGTTCCACACAGCAGCCCGCAGAGGAGTTGGCACGCCAAGGCTTCGGCAAACGACTGCAATCGGCTCCCCGACCAACCATTCGCCAAGTGGTTGAACAAAGCCGGTATTCGGGTCGAGGTCCGCCTTGTGCATCAACTTATTCAGGCCCTTGAGGTACTGTTCGCTGTGCCACACAAGGGCAGGGGTCGAGAAGCAGGCCAGGAAGAACTTGACCCACACTGCGAGGGGCTCTGGCGAGTCCTCCTCACCTTCAACTATGGCATTTGGATCGGCTCCACCGTCCAGAAGCATTGAAATCACGCCTCTGCTCACGGCCTCTACCAAGGGCCGTCGCGGGTATTCTGTTGGCAGTTGGTCCTGTTCGAGTTGTGGGCACGGCATTAACCTCCTAGCAAGCTCGCCCCACGGAGTCGTCTCGATCCCAGTTTCTGGGTCAACGTATACCTCATTCGGGTCATGACCGTGGTCCAAGAGGGATTGCAGCAGATTGACTCTTCGTGCTGACCACCGCATATCTTGGTCATTCTCGTCCTGGGAGTCAAGCTTCAGAACAGAGACCAGCGGGGGCACCTCCAGACCTTGTAAGTATTGAGGCTCCCGCACAAGCTTTTTGATGGAATAATCGTCGAGCCCAGTCCGCAGGATGCAAGTTCGGAAAAGGTTTTGGGTCTGTTGGATCGTCTCGGTGCCTGCAAACGTCGCCTGTCCCGTGTTGAACATTCTGTAGACCGACCAGTCCAAGTCATCGATCAAGTCGAGAACGAATGGACTATCGGACTTCCCTGCGTACGAGAGCGCCGTCTCCAGAGTGCCCACCAATAGACTCTTCGAAGGTCCATAATATGCGATTCCTCCCATTGATACAAATGCAGAGTGCTTGATCCAGCAGATATAAGCTTGAAATATGCTCAAACCCGCATCGAAGCGTGAACAAGTATTCCTTTTCAGGATTTCTCGCATCTCTTCCATCTGCAGGAAGTCTCTCACCGTACGGTGAAGAAAATTCACCCTGTCGAAAGCATCAACCTCGAGCAGTCCCTTGCATCTTGAGTTCAGCCTAATTGAATACGGTCTGACCTCACTGGCAAGTTGTTCGTCTTCCCATGGGACGAGAGGTTCCTCGATGGCATAGTTTGGATTTGCGTCGCACCTATCATGGAACGTGTAGATGGCCGAATGAAGAGGGCCTTGGCCAACAGCGGCTATCAACAGCGTCTCTGCCATCTTTTGGAGGTAGAATGGCTCCACGCTTTCGATAATGAGCCGGAAGAACTTCGTCAGTCCATCCGGGATTCTGTCCAGCCTCTTCCACAGGTCCTTCGAGGTGTCGTAATTCGTCAAGCCCTCCCGGAGCTGCCGGACGACGAGAACAACCCAGAGAAAGACACCTTGGGCTCGTTGCACTATTTCGACGATGAGATTGTCTCTCATGCCCTGTTCGTTGGCCAGACTCCCCCACCTGGGATGTCTGCCGAGCTCGTGTTGTGCAAAATTTCGAATGTCGTTGCGAGTGAGCTCGTGTATGCTCAGGGTTGGCCGACTCCCAAAGTACTCCGTAAATCTGTTCCAGGGCCGACTCGAGACGCAGAGTTTAACATTAGGACAGGTTGAAAGGGCAATTATGGTATCACAGAGCTCATTGTCAGCATCTTCCATGTAAGCTTCATCCAAACCGTCGATGAAGAAGCAGAAACTGAAAGGCGCCTTGGCCTTCTTGACAATATCGAAAAGAGTTTTACTCAGTTCTGCAGTGGACCAAGCAGTCCACGTTGTCTTGCGTGAGGACAAGGTTCTTTGCCATCTCCTGGGGCATGCCTCCGGGAAAAGCTCGGGGGCCTCGAAAAATATGTCGTACAGGAGAGACCGAAGCAACCCTTCATGGGATCTTTGAATCGAAGTCCCTCCGCTCCAAAAGTAGTGGCAGGCGGTTAAAGACCTGCTTCCACTAGCCCACTTTTGTAAAGCTGCATTCGTTTCGAGGCTGTCTGCCACGTACTTGATGAACGTCGACTTGCCTGCGCCTGGCTTTCCGCTTATCCAGAAGATCTCGCTGCCTTTCTCTAGCCATTCGAGAAGATGGCTATTTTGTGGACTTTTCTTGTCAAAGACCCACTCGAATGTAGCGGAATATGCCAGCGGTATGCTTTCGTGCCTAGCAGTCCTGTGTTCATAGTCAATGGTTTGCAGAATATCATCTGCCTTGGTGTATATCTCGCTTAACGATGACAGCTCCCGAAGCTCGGACCGATATGAAGAAAGTTTGTTAATGGTGAGGAATTTGTCTATGTCATCCAGTGATAGTGCCAAGATACCACTGGATAAAGACTCGGGGCCAGGAGGGCGGACGGGCTGTCGAGATTGGTCCAGCTTTTCAGGTTTCTCAGCATCTGTAATGACGATGTGGTGGATCTCTTCAATGTAATTCTGCATTCCCTTGACCCTTTTCCAAAAGTCTTCGTGACGAGATGTCAGGCTGAGAGCCAGGTTGTCATCGCCGTGCTTCATTTGAACTCTCAGAAGTTGAAGTTGTGCACTGATGGGCCAATACTACATTAGTCTTTGGAATCAATCAAAAGCCTAACAGAAATATTTCACACCTCGTAGACATGCACATATGCATGATAAGCTGAGTTTGGTGCTTCGCAATGCGTGCCTCCAGTGCCTCGATTTCATCGCCCTTCCACAACTCCTTCAGTGCCGATTTGAAGCTCTTCCACCACTTCGGAAAGTTGCCGTGTCCATGTTTGAGCCTGCGCAGAACGGAAAGAAGTCTGTCGCAGTCAATCTTGCACTCCTTGGCTAGGATTACCATCGTCACATCCGCTGCTTGCTGCGGCGTTGTGCCATCTCTACTTTGCGTCGTCGAGCCGTGATGGTACAAATTCGTGCTCAAAGCAGACAGTCTGGTGTAAATGGCGTCTAGTGACTGCGTTTCCTCTGAAATCCCTGATGCCGAACGATGAATTTCTTTGGCAACGTTGAAGAGGTTCGCCGCAAATTGGACAAACTGCACCACTGTCCCGGCTAAGCCCGCGCCCGATAGTGGGTCCATGGCTGCTTTGAGAGGTGGTACTCTGGTAGTTGACGCTTGCCCTGGGCGTCTCCCTAGTCCATCACCATGAATCTCAAGAATCAAGTAGCATTCTAGGAATGCGATCTGATGTCAAATATGTTTAAAACGCCCAGGTTTCGCGGAGTGTGAGCAGTCAATAATAACACGTGAGCATTTCAGCCGGGCGAACTGCCTGGCCTCCTTCAAAGCAGGCTGTGTCCTGCAAGCCTGCGCTCATAGCCCGATTCTGACGTGGGTTAGGCGTACGACACCACCTCTACAGGTTCAAAGTTCACCAAAAGCCCTCAGCTATTGCTGTGGCAAGCCCGTAAGCTAAAGTCTGCCAAGACTTATGAAGCTAGGCCGAGATGGTAGAGATGCAGGCCGCTTCATGTCGTGCGTAGTTATAATTGGGCGTTTGGTCAGCAGACTTGGAGTTGGGGCCAATAACTGGCAATGTTCACCCCCGACGGGCCCGGGTGTGTAGAGGGGAATAGTTCTGGTTTCTTTTGGAAGCTGTGATGCTAGAGTGAGGCGTTGTCGGTTCTCACACGTGATGTGGTCTCACAAGACAAATCACGGCGTAAGAAGTCATATTTCTACTTGCTCCGCTTTTGCGTCAGACTTCTATGTACCTCACTGTTTCTTCAAGGCAATCAAGCTCTTATAACCTGCTCTTGCAACTTGGACTACGACAAGAGAATCGTCTTGGCTGGCAGCCGTACTGAGAGCGCTCATTAGCTGTATCTGGTCGGGTGCGGTGCGCGGGGCTACATTAGGAAGAGAGGACATCAAGCCCAGCCACACACAGGCCAACTAAAAGTTTGATACAGGTGTCTGCCTCTGAATGATGGACTTCTGATGATGACGATAAGTCAGCTTCCAATACTCAATGGGCTTGTCGGTGTTCTGCGCGTTGAGGATGTGTTGATAGATCCGAGTGGGCTTCATTGAAAAAGTTTCACGGGGTCTGTATGGGTTTCCTAGGTGAATATCACGTTTCCAGGAAAACATAGTTTGAACTCACAATGCGATAATACTTCTCACCACTTGCATGCGTGGAACTTGTCAGATGTCAATTCGTTTCTGAAACAAAGACCTTTGAATAAACGCCTGATAAAAATGAATTTTTGGTACATGGGTATTACAAAATGGCCTTAGCCCAAAATGACAGATGTCTCTTCTAAGTATTCACAGGTCGTATACACCCTCCTGAACACCTTTCAAGAAACAGACGCCTTGCCGAATATTTCAACTAATAAGCATGTTGCCCTGTTTTCTTATGCGCCGAATGGCATCACCAGCCCCCTTTGGTCGCTGTCCACGGCTCCGGAGTAGGCCCCCCGTGGCTCGACTGCGGTGGGGTCGCCACCTCCTCTTCCACAGAAAACGAGGTTTGAACTTGGATTCCTCCCATCATCACCCTATCCCTGGCCTCCTGCTCCATCTGTAGATACCGGAAATTGCTGTCCACTGTTGTAGCCCTGGAGATGCTCCTCGGCGGGGTCTTGATGTGCACAATCTGGTCAATTGACGAGCTATCGTGCCATCCGCCAGCTCCGGGCTGGTCTTCAAGATCCGTTCCGCTGTACTTGCTACTCTTGACATCGTCATCTGAGTCGATACCGCGGATGGCCATTTCGACATCATATGTTGGGCTCTTGGAGTGGACTCCCGGTACAGGATCCAATGAAGGCGATCGCACGGTAGTGCCGCCGCTTGCTTTGCCACTTAGAATGGTCATTCTCTGGGTCGATTTGCGAGCTCCATATCTTGCCGTTGAGGTTAGGGCTGATTTCTGGACCCTTCTGTCATACGTTCGGCCGGCACCAGGGGTCAGTGCCCGGAGACATGGGAACCACTCGCGGAGTAAGGGCCAGATCATCGGTAGGTTGCTCATATAGACTGCTACGCTGGCCTCCCGTACATACCAAAGCATATAGCTGGCATCGTATACATCTGTCAAATTGTAGATCTTGGTGAGGAGAGCGGCCAGGATGACAAAGATCCCTAGGGAGAAGATGAACGCGACAACAATCTTTTGTCGCCACGGTAGGGCCATTCGTACAATCAGCGCTATGAGATATTAGCTACTTGAAGTTGCCTTCAGTGCTCAGAAGGGAAGCTTTTCAACGCAAAATCTGTCTTGACAAGCGAAATGAGGGAAGCATGAAAGAAATAGGCGAACACATACGCATGGGTATGCATATCATAATCATGTCGGAGCTGATATTAAAGCACCCTTGCACGATGGCATAATGTTCGAGTGTCGTACACTGCGGATCCGGGGGCGGCACGCCCCAGTAGCCCTCGAACGGTCGACAAGCGGTGAAGAACGCAATTTCGGTAGCGAGCCACCCTATAAAAACGTAGACAGCGAGGTATCGAACAACTCGCTGGTCACGGAGACCGAGAGTCAGGCGTGTGTACATGATAAGCATGCACACTTTGATAGTGTAAATGACGTTGAGCATCGCCTGCTCTGAGACGACGACAATCTTGGAGCCATATATACGCTCCTGTATGTCCTTGGGTGTGAAGGTTTGCTCCAGCTCCGGTGGGTAAAGGTTAGACCCACCGCCATCTGCGATGATGTTGAGGCAGACTATGAGAGCTGTGTACAGCAACTTCGCGCGTTTTCAAGTCAGCAACATGTGATGATTGTGTTTGGCAACGCGATCTGAAGAAATGCTCACCGCCACAAGAAGCATAAGATAGTCGTCAGCCTGATAATCTCTGACACCCAACCTCCGTGCCCTGGCAATTCTGAGAAGCCATGTCAGGTCAGTCGCTGATATTGTTTGGTGGAACAAAGATGATAGGGCGTCGATACTCACAGTCTGAAAATGATCAGAAGGATTCCAACGCTGTACAAAGGCCAGCTTTGCGACCTTAAGGTCACGTCAAAATCATGGTCGAAGTTTCCCATGTTGAATATCGCGATGTGGGCCTACTGCACCTCGCAAGGTGCAGTGTTGTGCAGGAGGACAGGAAGACAAGATGTGACGGTAAATCGAGCTTTCAGCCGTCGAGACTTGCATATATTGGCCCTCGGAAGTTCACGCTAATACTTTTCAGGCCCGGAAGCCGTTTGCGATGTCAAGCCGACGCCGCCATCACGAGAAATGCACTAGAAGAAGTTCGGCGATGATCACTGGCTCCGAGGTGCGGAAAAGCTTGTGGCGCCCAGCGAAACCGATACGCAAGGGCATCCGAACTCTTCGATAAAAAAGACAGGAGACAATGAAAATATATCGCTCTTGCGGCTGGGCAAGAGATCCAATGGGCAGGTAACAGGCTATACAAGAGAAGCTAACCGAGTCAAGCTTGTCAAGAATGTTGATCGGCGTCTTAGGAAGGGGGAAAACGTGCGCTTGCACATTTCAGATCCCCAGCCGTGCCCGCCGGTGCGAAGTTTTAGGGCCGTGATTATCAAATGACTTCACCTTGACAGAAAGAGAAACAACTATATCATTGGCAAAAGATAGAGGGATACATCGTTTTCAGGAGGAAACTAAGGATCAGAACTCTGAGAAATCGCGGCGTCCCAGGCTGGGAGCATTTGGTCACACACCCGTGGATCTCAACAGTGCTACTGGTCTCCAAGTAAGGCGGCCGTGCCTCCGAGAGTTTAACGGGGTCAATCCAGGACATGTTCATGCAAAAGAGAGTGGGCAAGAGGATAAGGCGACATGGGATGGAGAAGAGACTCTCTGCATGGCCTGTTTTATCGATAATGGTGCGCGTTGGTGAAGAAAGCATATAAATTAGTACCACCGAGTAAGTGTTTCCAGCAAAGCTTGGCCGAGGAAGGTGAGACGACACAATCAGGTGTTAGCCACGCACCGACCCTCGTCCCACGTTTGAGTCGCGCAGCAGAGGTTATTTGAGCCGCAGTGACTAGCAGATGTGATATGTGCGTATGATGGACGGCCGAGCCCTTACGGCGGAATACGACGCTGTATGATTCGAAGCAAGCTAGCATTACACGCGGTCCGAAGTGCCACGCAGCAACCCCCCGACCACTTCACGGAGGACAAGCAGTTTTGTGAGAAAATAGACCGCATGAAATGCAGACAAAATGCAATGTGAAGCAAGGAGGAATGCCCATTTTGAGGAGTTCGGAGCTGCGGGTCTAGACCATTACAGTCGTCATCTAAGGCAAGCTGAATGATCGGTGATTGATCCACATATAGCACCAGGCCGCCCAGTTTCAAAAGCAAGCATTTTTTTTAAATCTTATGAACTTAGACAGGTTCCGAAACCGAATGGAAAGTTTAGATAGGGAACATTACTTTAATAGAAGGATGTGGCCGTATATTTGAAGGTGGAAAGCATCAATTCATTGTCGTTCTGCCCCGGATGGTGGGGATCTGTCATCCACACGGGAATCCCGGCAGACAAGGTTTGTTTCAAGGCAAGTACCGAGATGGTGTCCGTCAAAATTGAGGGCTGAAACGGCTGCTGGTGAAAGTTTGGACCTAATGCAGCAAGGGCTGCCAGTGCGCTGAGCTTAAGTAGAGCCTCAACGTTGTTTCAAGTAGCGAGATAGACGAGCACGAGGTGGTCATCACCACCTAATAAGGTTCATATCGAGCCTATTCTTGTCACTTCTGAATAGCTTCGGGGTCTGATAACTTGAACACTTACCATGATAGCATCTAGTCACTGCTTTAAAGACAAGTATCTGACCAAGGGAGCTGACCGTGGAGGCGAATTGCACATTTTGTATATCATACAGCTTGAGTCTGGTCAGTTGGCAATAACTTCGACGAAGTAAGTAGGGAAGAGAGCAGCCGTAAGCTTTTGGCACTATCAAAGAAATCCTGTCGATCTCATCAATAAACGCATTTGTTCTGAGACATACTTGAAGATGCGACGTGTGTCTATCCTAGCCGGATAATTGCAGATGGGGGGGGGGGGGAGGTTACACAACTGAACACATTGGAGGTTTGTGCCACACACGCCATACATGTAGTCGATGTTAAATTGTAAATAATGAGATTGCTTCCTCGGTTGCCGATGAACTATTACGCAAAGGTAGAACACACAATTGACAGTGCGAAAACAATTACTTGATGTTTAATTTTGCTCTTGATTTATCTGCCGAAAGTCGATCTAGCGATAGCTTCGGCTCTTCTCACCTGCAGGTGGAACATCCCAGTCTCCATCTCACTAGCCACCAAAGAAAGGATCCGTCGCACTTTTTGCAGCAGTCTCGATTGTACTCCCGGGTTGTGAGCACGTTCCTGGCATTTCTGCTTGTTGGGGTGAAAATTCTTGGTGAAGAGCTTTAGCGAAGGTTGTTGGCTTGTTTGGATATGGGTGGGCTTAATAAGATTGGCTTCTTCAGGTTTTGTTTGTTCAGTTGCGTCTTCAAGTTGATTGAGGGTGGAATCTGAGTGGTGCTGAGTGGTTCTCTTCTTCTTGACGTTGCTGTGAAAACGCAATGGTGTTGTACTTGATGGTTTTGATGTACTTAGTAGAATGAAGCCAGGCTCCGAGAGGAAGCGTCTCTTTGTACTCGTTTTCTGAGTCGCCAGTTTTTCTCTCTTCTACTGATCATGAGTCCATCATAGACTCATTTCCAGCTCGGAATCGATGTGTTCGTACGAATCTTTTCTTGTCACGTCCTTGGCTAAGACGGGAAATGCACCTAGCTAGTATCAGCGAACATGTGTGGCCAAGACGAATGTCCCAGACTCGCTTGAAATCCAAGCGAATGTGGTATCAAGTCCATGTCACTAGCTGATCCACGTGTATCACTTAGATATTCAAGACTGCCAGCAAGAACTTGAGCATTCAGGAATATCTGTTAGGCAGTCCTTGGAATAGTGAAATCGCAAGTGATGAAGACACTGATTAATGCAGTCATTAGTAATTCATACATCCCCAGACAGTGATAATTAATAGCCGTGTGAGGTCTTGGATGGCATCCAGAGCCGTCACTGCGTTCTATTGGTGATCTTATGTCGATGCCATGTTGCATCTTCTTGACTTTACGGCAGTTGAGGCTCCCACAGGCAGCGATATTGATACTCACTGACCATGTTAAGTTTTCGCCAATATGCTCTCACCACAAGCAAGGCTCAAAGGCCCATGACGGAGAATCATACCGTTTCTTTGATAGGGATCGTGCAATTGGCAACCTCCTTATTCGTGTGTACTCGCCGAAACTTCCAAAATGGTCGGCCAGTCTCGTAACCTACAAATGTGCAGGCCTAAGTCGTTTAGGTACGCGCTCGCACCGTCTTTTAGATGCATCATCTCTCATGGTCAGAAGGTATGATACAAATAAGCTGACTGGAATATATTTGACCGGCAATATGACCGCCAAAGGTGCACCCCGCCCCCCTGTCGCAACGACCGCGAGAGAATCGAGGCTTTGCAGAATAGGTTCCCGGATAATTCGAATTTTGACTACCCTTGAATGTACCTCAAGCCCGATCGCTCTTGCTCAGGCTTCTGGGACCGACAAACTAGACCTTCTACATCTAGGATCAGAGGAAGACTTTGAGAAGCAGGCCGAGAAGCAAGATCGAAAGGCCAATCTGAGAAAAGGTTTCATTGGCTAATCTATTTAATTTAGAAGACAGAACGGGAATACTTTGCGTACAAGGCATCAAACTTGCCGAGGCCCCCACCGCCCGGGTCATCTGTTCTCGCTGGAAGGAGACAACGATACAAGTCTGGCAGGACACAGGAGTATATACTCTTCGCACCATAGTGTTTGATACTTTCCACCAACATTGATCCAAATTTGACGAGAGATGACCTCTATGAATACCTCATTGCCTGTATTCAACAACATGCTCGCTGTCAGCCTCGCGCCCGAGTTTCTTGGCATTGTCAGCCTGCACCGAAGCCGCATGACAGCCGAGCAGTCACGACTGTCAGCCCAGCATCCGAAGGTGTCAGCAACTTCAATAATTTTTGAGACCGCGCTAGAGACCCCGTAGCCGCTATATCACATCGCAAATGCGCAGCGGAGGCAAATTGCAAAGGGCAGGACGTGAACACAACGGAACAAAATTCCCGGGGGTCGAGCCTGGACCTGGCTGTTCACCTACGCACCAAACCTATAGTCCAGCAGGCGATCCTTCTCTGAATCTCGCCTCTTAACGTCATCACTCTGGCTGCAAAGTCTCGGGTTTCGTGATTTCTTGGCAATGGCGAAGTTATCGTCACAGGGCGAGGAGGGCTGAAGCACAGGCAGACACTCGATCAGAGCGGCGAAAAGAATTTGATTCATAAGTGAGGGTGCATTCACAGCTCTGTCACGACGGAAACACACTCACCATAACGCCTCTGCAACTTCACTAAGAAGCATCTTCAACACAGCCAGCCCCCAGCCCAGCATCCATCCATATCAATAATGGGATCCGTAGCCGCCGACCCGCCGACCGCGCCCGAGGGCAAGGCCGCCGTGCCGGAAGCCGTCAAGCGCGCGGTGGAGGCCAAGGTGTACGGGTACATGTACTCGTTCATCGAGATGGGCGTGGTGAAGCTCTTCATCGAGCACAAGGTGTTCGCGGCGCTGCCGGCCGACGGGTCCGCCATCACCCTGGCCGACCTGGCGGCCCGGACGGGCGGCGAGTACAACATGCTGGAGCGCTTCGCCAACTTCCTGGTGGCGTGCGACGTGCTGGCCGCCGGCAAGGAAGGGGCGCGCTCCGTCGCCCACGGCAGGACGTCGCGCTTCTTCCTCGACGAGGGCGTCAGCCTCATGTTCAGCCACCTCTTCGAGAACTGCCTGCTGCCCGTGGCGCACTGGCCCGAGTACTTTGGCACCCACGGGCTGGCGGAGCCCAAGAAGGCCAACGTCACCCCCTGGGGCCTGTCGTGGGGACACCCGGACAAGACCAACTACGAGGTCTTCGCGCTGTTCCCCGAGAAGGCCCTGCCGTTCAATGCCTCCATGAAGGTCGGCGTCGCCGACATGCCCATCACCGGCATGTACGACTTCAGGTGGATCGGCCAATACGCCGTCGAGGCCGAGGACAAGGGCCGGACGCTTCTGGTGGACGTCGGCGGTGGCATGGGCCAGGCGCTCAAGGCCATCCTCGCCGAGAACGCTGACATCCCCGCTGAGCGCTGCGCGCTGCAGGACCGGCCCGAGACGATTGAGGAGGTTGAGAAGGAGGCGGACCCCGCCCTGGCGAAGGTCCAGAAGTTTGGCGCCAGTTTCCACGGGGAGGAACCCGTCAAGGGTAAGTCATTCAATCTCAACCCCTTCCCGGCCGACCCAGGCCCGTTTTCCCGGTGACTGTAGAGATGGAAGAGATATTCGGAGGCATATACTGACAACTCCTCTTCCACCACAGGCGCACTCGTCTACCACATCCGCCGCGTGCTCAACGACTGGCCCGACAAGGACGTCATCAACGTCCTGAGCCAGATCAGCGCCGCCGCGGCGCCGGACTCGCGCGTGCTGATCTCGGAGCAGATCATCACGGAGGCGCCGTCGCAGATGATGGGCGCCGTGGATTTGTTCTTCATGAACTTTGGCGGCAAGAGGCGCAGCGAGCGCCACTACGGCGAGCTGGCCGCGCAGGCCGGGCTCAGGCTCTCCTCCTTCTCCAGGCACGGGACCTCCGACTCGGCTGTCATCGAGCTGGTGGTCGCTTAGGTGGCCAACTGGGTTGAGGCGGCAGGAATGCGGGCACTGGTGTTGAGGCGTTATACCATTACCTAGCAGGCGCAGCTTGATGTGCCGGACAATAAATTTTGTGTTTGAATACTTCGATGCCCCTGAGAACTGTAAATGTGCCCTCATTATACTGCCCTCGCCAAGATCACAAGCTGCCTCTCTTCTTCTGTTGATGTCGGCGGGCTCTTCCGAGATAACGGCAGTGACAGCCGCCGGTACAATCACGCTCGAGGAAGATATGCACATAGGAACTAGGCGGAAGAAGTTGCTCGATAAATCCCAGACATACACGTCCGGATTCAAATGCATTTGTGGGGTATCTAGGGCTTCTTAACAAAGCCCTATCAAGCAAATAAAGGTATCATAATGTCCAGTCCCATACTCAAAAATGCATCCTGCTCATGTCGCTTGAGCACCACAATCAAGCCCGAGACTCCTAATAACCTTGTGCGATGCCTCAACGAGTGTCCAATGGCACATCCAGTCCGCAGACCGTTACCCTTGCTACTGTGTACTTTGCGTACACAGCAAGCGGGGGTGATGCAAGCAGAACCCATCTTTTGTGCTTTTCGCCCGATTAAACCGAAAGAAAACGCCGAATTCAATGCAGGACCTCGCCTCTCTTTCTCTACCCTGCCTGCTCGCAACGTGTGTTGATTGTCTAGTACAGGGACGAGGCGCATCCATCCTCACATGACCTTGGCAGCCACGCGCCTCGTCAGAACGTATCCCTCAAGAGGAACTCGGTGAAAGCGAGAGCAGAAAGGATCTTGTTCCGAAAATAAATCACACAACGGACGCCAAACGCAAAAACAAACACAGAAGCCCAGAAAATAGCAATGAAATAAACATAATTCGTGACCATACATTTTCGTAGCGAAGAGAGTAGGAAAGGTCGAGAAAGCTGACGGTCAGAGACCGCGCGATCTCTTTAACTTCAGCAGCCATCACCCGCACTGGGGAAACATAAGGCGAAGTCGAATTCTCCGAGGTCTTGCGACGGCTGGCTCAACGTCAGGTTGGTTTGCTGGCTTGATGGTTGGGAGTAGTGTTGCGAGTCCATGAAACTGTTGTACGCCGTCAAGGTGGCTGTTGAAGAAGAGACATTTGGGCTATGGTAAGCATTGTGGTCGATAGGCAGTGCTTGGTTAAATGAAACATTCGGGTTGAAGTCGAAGTTAGCAGAGCCTATAGGTGGCATCATCATTGTGTCAAGCTGCTGCACCGGTGACGTAGCGTAGAGGTCTTGCATGGTCTGGTAGACCTCGGTGTTGTCGATTGGCAAGTTGCCACCCATTCCGCAGAAAGTGGCGTTGTCGATTAGGCCGGGCTGCAGATGGTTGTAGGCAGCTGAGTGGGGGCCATCCATGTACTCCATATCTGGGTTCTGCATGTCGTCCTCATCCTGCACCGTGTTGACGTCCAGAGCATCCTGGTCATCCATCGATACACTCTTCTCCTCCATCCAGACTTTGAGGTCTTTCATAGGTGGCCAGTCACCACCCCCTTTCCCGCCTCGCTTTTCGGCAGCCTCGGTGTCGTTCCCATTCTTCGCACCTCCCTTGACCCTGGGGGGCTTTTTGCAGAAATGGGCACGTCTAAGATGAGCAGCAGCATTGTAATAGGCTCCATACTGCTTCCCACCTCTGCAGTGCTTGCACTTGTCGAGGGGAGTCACCGGCTGGTAGTCGCTCTTGAGCCCCCTGGCAGTCGGGTCGACACAAACGTACTTCTTGACAACACTTCCGTGCTTGGCCTCGGTATGGCGACGGAGCTCGTGCTCACCACGGAAACCGTCTGGATACTCGTCGCACTGCCGGCACTTGACTTTAGGGTGCTTGGGTCGCTCGTACTTGGCCTTGGTGACGGCAACTTTTCCATCCTTTCCAGATTTTGAGCCCGATTGTGAATCGGGTTCCGTCTCATTAGGGTCGGAGGCTGGCTTGGGAGCCAGAAGGACATTAGCCGCCGCAATTTGCCGATGCAATGAATCCTTGGCTCGCACGCGCTGGGAAAAGGTAGACTTTGCGCTACTTGCCGAGATGGATCGCATCATAGGCTCAGACTGCTCGGCTGCGTCCATCTGTTGTCCCAATGCTGGGCTGCTCAGAGACTGAGCTGATGCGGATGTGTCGCAAGTCTTTGACCTCTGCATTGGGATGGCCAACATTTGTGAGGAAGGATTTGAATTTGCCATGGACCCCCTGCTGTCGACAGAGATAGATCGGCCCATGTTCTCCGAATAGGCTGCAAGTGCAGAAGAAACATCGCCAAGATTGCTCCCCATGCCAACTTGCAGAAGGTCATCATCCGGTGCACGGCGTTTGTTCGAGGCAAACTGCTGTCCAGCGGTCCCAAAGCTGCCATATTCGGGACTTGGCAGCCCATCATTCGTAGATGATTGAGAATTCAACCTCATCATCTGTATTTGGCCCGAAACCGACTGGTTGGCGGTGCTGTTGGATCTTGTCATGGCGGTTTCGATAGTAGGACCCGAGGTCAAAGACCCACACTGGGACGTAGGGAAACTTTGTGGCTGGAATGAAGGGTAAGCACCTGGGGCGGACAGTGGCTGCCCATAAGGTGAGAATGTCATGTCAGTCGGGATAAGTTGAGGGGCGGCCATAGGTGCTTCTAAGCCTCCTTGCTGCCTCAAAAGCCAACTAGCGGGGTCCTCCATCACAGTCGCCAATTCAGACTTGCGTGGTTGAGACGACATTGGGTTGCCCATCGAGTGTGCCAACACGTAGTTATTTGCAGGCTGCTGTTGCTCGGGCTCATGAAGGAAGTTGTCCATCATGTCCATTTTCGAGGCTTGCTGGGCTTGCTGGGCTTGCAGGGGTGAAATGGGCTTCACCCTGCCACCACCGGCAAAGGGGTTTTGCGCAGCGGAACTCGACTTGGAGCGCACCATGCTGGCAGTTGGACTCGTCATCGATTGCTGCTGTTGAGGATGAGTTGTCTTGGTGCGTTTCATGGGATGTGCCGGATTGTTTTGATATTGGACCTAGATGTCATGTTAGAAACTGGCCCAATTGGGCAGGCCTGTGGGACCGCTCTTACCGAGGGCTGAGACCCGGTGTGGACCGTGAGGTCCCCATGGCGAGGTGTGGCGTAAAGCCTGGCATCTTGTGGAGCAGATGTGGGCGAGGACGAGAGCTGCAAATTGCTTTGCGAGGCAGACAGAAAGTCGGGATTGTGGACGCCCGTTGCAATCGACTGCTGTTGCCGTGCGAAAGCAAGCTTTGCCCGAAGCTGCTTTGCCTCGTGCTCCTTCGATTCCAATTCTCTCTCCCAGCGCAAAAGTTCCTCCCTCGGATTATCGAAAGGCGCCTGACTCATCGTAGTAAGGTCGGCGGCGCTGCCAATTAAAAAAAAACGGCGAAGCTGAAGGTTGAGATGCAGCGGAGCGCAAGAGCGAGGATAGGGCGGAGGAGTGAAGTGCCGGAACGGTGGGCAGCAGCCTTACAATTTGTGGGAGCTGGGATGAAGGCTGTCTTGAGTCCTCACTAGACGGCCTCACTGGGAAAAGCAGCGAGATGACGATGGGGTACGGGGTGATCGACGGTCAGTAGAGTTCGAAGCAAACAGAGGAACAGTTCTCGAGGCCTTGGACGGGCCGGGGAGCGATTGTTTATGAAAGCCACTTGCGCGCTGAGGCTTGATGAAGGTACAACCATACGTCGTACATGACCAGATTGCGGGCTTGGTTTTGTAATTCCCGCGCAGGCCATGCATCCTGGGGGGTGTGTGGGTAAATGACGATTGGCCCAGGGTGGGGATTTTGATGGTGTGGGAGAATCGGGGCCCAGGATCAGGCCGATGTGGTGGGGTGCCAGTGTTGTCAATGCTGGCCCCTACAGCTCCAACCCGTAGCGGCTACTAGTGGTTGCAGTCTGGCAGTCCAAGCAGCCCAGGCAAGCTCTATGAGAGGCTGGCTGGCAGCCAATATAACATTGTGCATTATACGACCAGGACTGGGGGTGTTGAGTTCTGGGTGTTGGATGCAGTAAGATGCGTGTCTCCGTGCAAATCCCAAGACAGACTAGACCGGACGGATGGTCTAGTCGAAGGCACATGAAGACGACACACCATGTGTGCATGTCGCTGTTGCTCTACTTTCCTTAGGCCAGGCCCAAGTGCCTCCCTCCTGCGCAGTGGAAAAGGGCCCGTTTCGAGATCCTCGAGAGCGGCCCAGACACGTCACTTCCCGTCGGTTTGTTCCGAGCGGCGCCTTTGCCGCATGACGTTCAAAGATTGTTTGAATTGCTTTGGCTGTGCTGCTTGGTGAGTATGGTGATGTGTGCCCATCCGTCTCAGAAGCAGGCCGTCAATTCATGCCTGAGAGCCGAGCCCACGCAGCCCAGCCAGCAGGCCCAGACCTGCCCGCCGTCATTGCAGCGCAGTACCGTACCGTACCCGTACGTTGCAGGTGCAGGTGCAGGTGCGGGTGTGGATGCGGGTGCAAGAGCAGTATTGTCGTTTACACCGTCACTGCCAATAGGGCATTATCTGGCAGGGCGTATTCGGTCTGGGTCTTGGTCGCAAGCGACAAGCGAAGCGGTCGGTCAGACGGCTTGGGGTGCCCCGTCTGTGTGTATGGTTGTGTGGTGCAGGCAAAACGACTGGCTCGAGCTTGACGACGGTGTCGCCTGCTGTGGCACACACCACACCGACGAGCAACCAGTGGTGCAGGCCTAGGGAATGCAGGTCAGAGTTCCAGCACCCTTTGAATGGGCCGCGTGGGGCCCCGATTTGTCGAGGGAGGGTGTGCATGGTCTGACAGTGCTGACGGTTGGACACGGCGCTGCAGGGTGACTGCTGGAAGTGCGTGCAGCAGTGCATGTTGCCCGGAATGGGAAGGGCATCCCATCCCATCTCGATTGCTCAGTCGCAATCCTCCCCACAGCCATCCAGACTATTCAATATCCGCCCGTGTGTGTGTGCTCAACCGTCAATCCGCAGCAGGCTGTGATGAGGGTGGGTGCTCTGTTACTTTTCGGCCAAGCTACTGTGGCATCTACATGGACTATCACCTCGGGACCCCATTGCTGGATGCCGAGGACTTGGGGCATGACACTGTGAGATGGACCGTCATGCCAGTGGATTTTCATGTAATTGTTTCTTCCCTCCCCCTTTCGAATGGAGTTTGATCAGGTGTCGCGTCGACAAAACCGTTTTCGTTGAAGTGACGTTGGTAAGGTTAGACTCGAAGTATATTTTGGCCGAGTCGGGGGATGTGCCTGACGACAATGAAACCATCTCATCTGGGACTTGAGCTAGAGGGGTTAGATGATTCGAGATGGGCAACGTTTCCCCGTCGGGGCAAGCCATGGCATCGGAGAATTAGACCAGCCAAAAAAGGATGCGAGTGGGGTGGAGGGAGCGTAGTGCAGTGGCAGGCAGAGGCACAGGCATACTGTAGTGTAGGCAATGAATGACACTGGCCGGTGGCAGGACGATGGGGTAGTGTATGTGGGTTGTCGATGCGTTGGCAAGCGCCGCGTTGACAGGACGAGCACAGGATCACCTGGACAGGTTGTGATGGGCCAAGGTGTTGCTGGTGCTGGGTGTCGCTTGCGCGTGTGCCATTCTGACCGTGTACTTCCTGGACTGGATGTACCGTACCGCGTAAGACAGGAAATTGGAAATTGGACGCAAGAAGTGTAAAAAATCGAAATGGGCAAAGATCAGGCTGGCAGCTGGCAGCTGGCTGTGACAGATGTGCTGCGATGCCACACGACGCTATGGCAAGGTGGTGAGCGTTGGTCTAGATGATAACTGAGGTAGGGTAGGTAGGGCGCCGCATTTGCGATGCGATGCGATGCGCTGCGCTGCACTGCACTGCACTGCACTTTGATGGCAGCTGGGCACGAAGGCAGGAGGAGGATGGCAGGAAGGCGAGGCCTGTTCTCACGCCTGCCGTGGCTTGTGAGTACCTACCACGCCTACCTAGGTACTGTACCCTGGGGGTGCCTGGGTACCTGGATACCTAATATTTAGACACCTGATTGTAAGTGCAAGGATGTGTGGACTAAGTCCGCATGGTGGCTTACCTAACGCACCACCGTCCCCCAACCCGCCAGCCCAACAGCGCCCAACCCTGCCAACCTTGCACGTCGCAACCTGACCGACGAGTCTTTTGGTCTCTTCCTTCGTCGAGTCTCGAGTCTCAACTTTCTTGCTCCTGCAGACGTCACCGCCTGCATGTATGTGCTGGGTTTGTTGGGGCTCAATTCCTCTCGACAATCAACTGTAAACGCCAGATGCGCCCGCTGACCGAGCGTCGACACGGTAAAAGACATCGGGTCCATCTACTTGTCCTATCTATCCATCTACTGTGTTACTCAGCTATTGTGTAGATATGTATGCACTTTCGACAGGGACGTTCCAGCGTTCGTCCAGAAGAAAAGGAGCCAAGCCACAAGCCGACCGGATGTGCTTGGCTGCGTCGTATCCCGGCTGATTGGCTGGCAGCCTCTCGACAAAGTGAGGCGGCCAGCCCTGCCTCGCCTGAATGGCCAGGAACTTCAGACAGCCAACGATCCATCCCCACTACCACCATACAACTACACGGTCTACATGCACCATATGTACACACCAGCCAGACAGACAGCCAGAGAGACAGCCAAACAGACATCACCCAGAGAGGCCAGAGAGGCCAGACAGGCCAGACAGGCCAGACCAACGCACCCTGCGCACATGGACTACAGTTCCGTATTCCTTCGATGCAAGGTGCACTAGCGGAACGGGTCTTTGGGGCGGCATGACACGACGTGCAAGGATGTCCACAACCAGAAACAGAACCCAAAATTCTCCATCACGATCTTCGCTCCCCCAGATCTCGACACCGAGTTTCAGTCACGATGCACCCATCAATTGGCCTCCATCGGCCGACCTCGGCTCCGTCCTCCTGCATGACGACTTCTGTATGTCGGGTCTCTCGGTACCGTCCTCGCCATGCCTATGCGGCTCAACCAAGATAGCACTTCTTCGTCATCTGCTTGGCTGTCTGGCCAGCCTGCGCGACCCAACACGAGTCTTGCCGAACGTCGTGCTCTGTTGGCATTGGCGGGTCGGGACTGTCGAAATTAAAATTGATGCTCAGCAAAAAGAGCCTGTGATCGCCGCTCCATCGGAGCCTGGTCGAGCGCTACCCCCCACGGAATCTACCCGTCACGCCCCCATACTTCAGTACGACAGCTTGTACTGGCGCATATTGCCCTGCAGATCATGTGTGACCGCCGTGTAACTGGCCACGGGCTGCCATCACCGCCATCGCTCCCTCTCATCCACTTCCAAGTTTCCTCCGTCCACCGTCCACCGTCAGGCCGGGTCTGCCTGCTCCCTTCGGCTTTGACCGCCTGTCTCCACGCCCCGGCTGGGCCCACAAGTCCGGGATAGCGTGCGCCTATTTTCGGCTACCCGCTTCGCCGGTCGTCGCGACCACTGCCGTCATTAACGCCTGCACTCACCAGGTTCCTTTCCGACCGCGAGTCAGCGACTCAGCAACTCAGTACGTCAGATGTTTGCTACACAGCACATCTCGTCCATTGAGTTTGCCGCTAGCTCACCGACTGAGGAGCTGCTCCAGATGTCACCACCCTGACTCATCCTCGGGAAGATCACGAGCTTCAGTCATTCTCCCGATGGGCCAGACCACCAGCGGAGAATTCTGTTTGCAGAGCGCCCACAGGGCCAACCCTGACAGCCTCAGTGCAATTCTTGGGAGTTGATATCGATTGGTTCTGTGAGCGATCCAGATAACGGGAATAGCAAACGCCCACCAGTCTCTCGCCTGCCCACGCGTCACCTTTGTAACACGCCTTCTGCCCGCGGTGAAGCCGTGTAACCGCCGGCCAGGGTGCGTCGCGGCCACGCACGTCATACTGTTTCCGTCACCCAATTTGGTTCAATATGGACAAACCCGCGCTCTGATGGCACTGTGTTGGCAACTGAGGATTCTCGAAATCAAGTCGCCGAGCACCTGTCCGATACCTCGCATCGAGCAGGTTTGATATTGACCCATAAGCATGAAGACTGAGGTCGTCTTCCAGAATTGTCCTGCTTGCGGCGACTATTTCTTTGTCTAAGAAAATGCTCTTAAGTTTTGCTTTTCACAGTTCACTGTTCGGTGGCATAGTAAGGCACCAAATGTGACTTGTCAGGGCAGCATGGCTGAGGGAACCAGTTGAGAGACAGGCTAAAAATTGTTCAGCAGCATGTGGATCCAGCATGCCTTCCAATCCAAAAACTTCGTAGCATCAACAACTCTAGCTTTGATCATTTCACGGGGCGCAGTAGATCTAAGCACTTCCAGGGCGAAGTGTCTTGCCCGATTTCAACGCCAGCATAATCAGAACTGCAATTTGTTTCTACTGTCGACTCGATGAATTTTGGCCTCTGACCGAGACATGGGTCATCGTCCCCTTTCATCTCGAATCAGGTACTAACGGCTGTTGAGGTCTAAATTCGGTTGCGCTAACATTGAGATGAAATTAGAGAGCAACTAAGTCTCAACGTCGAACTAATACTAGTTCTACGCTGATGGAAGCGGGCTAGATTAGATTACCTCCACCCTGGTTGATCCGCTCAGGAGTTTTTGCGCGAGGAAACTTCCGTCGGAAGCTGCACTTCATTGTAGTTGGCACGGGCGGGTGGTCATGGAATTGGACGTAGTGACATTACAATCAAAACCATCTTGATCATGCTTGTAATTCTTTGTCGGCTGTGGCGGCTCCTTTTGTGTTACCAATGGAGTGGCTACGGGCGACGTATCAATGCTGTTACAGGATGTATGAAAGTTAGTTCAAGACAACCTGAAAGAGCACCCCTAGTTCACAGAATTTATTGACGATAATTGTGGAGGATTCGGGCCAGTGGGAAGTCATCCCCCCGTTACTTGCAGACCACAGGTACACAGGAAAAGGCAAAAAGGCAAAAATTCTCCGGTGCATGAAAGATTCGAAACACCTTATATACTGCATATTTGGTACGACTCCGGAATTAGGAGATCGCCGGGCGAGATGGACTACACGATGTTCACATTGATGAGAGTGACGTGGACTTTAGGGCCGTGAGACTGTAAAGTAGAGGCCGCGGAAGACCGGGTCTTTGCTTTTTCCCTGCACAGCTTTACTTTTCCAAAGGTTCCGTGTCACCGGATCCCAAGTACCCAGTCACCCATGTGCATGATCAGCGGAGCAGAATTTGACGGATATTGCTTCTGAGCATAGGCCTAAGAGGTACTTGTAAAATGGAACCTTGAGACCTTCGCCACCAGCTTCAGCGCACCGGCTTGGATTGGGATCATAGATCGTGCCGGAAAGTCTAATCAATTTACTGAAGAGAGCTAAGTGCCTGTCTTTGCAGTTATGGTCGCATGGACATCACTCTTATGTGGTTTCCCTGTTGGCAAGTCTGCCGTCCGGCACAAACTAAATCACTGCAGACTCATATTGTGTAGAGAAGGAGGGAGAACGTAGTTGAAAGTTTCAGGCTTCAATCTTGGTTTATTACGAGAAAAATGCTGCTTTTATTCGAATGAGGAACCGGCCGCACACTCTATATACTTTTACCAACGACTCAATATTCTAAACATCCATCTCGAGGTCTGATGGCTCTGTAGAATCTGGGGGCGTCAAAACACTCGTTTGCCATTCACTGTCTGAGTCATCTCGTAGAGGACCAGACTTCCTGGTCGAGCGTCGTGCCTTGCGGCCGTCCTTGTCTCTCATCAGAGCCGACCAAGCGACACACTGCAGGATCGAGAGTTAGCAACTGCTCACATGAGATCTTCAGAATCCACTGCCTCCCCTTGTGATAAAAATTTCTTACAAAACAGGGGATACAGCGAATGATTATTACTTACAGATTCGCATATTCGCTTCTCGATTCTGCTGCCATTCTTGTTCTCACGCTTCTCCATCTCTACCTTCCCGCAACAACCCAGGACACGTTGAGCCTCTTCGCAGATAGACTTAGAGTATGTATAGGGGTAGATTCTGAGGCAGCCATCGGGCACGTCTGCCGCTGCATATGAGCAAGTCGAGTCGCACTGCGTTATATATTAGTGAGCCTCCCAGAACTTTGAACAAGATTGAAGAGGGCCTGATCCGAAGTGACAGGCTGGATGGCAAAATGATGTAGATTACGAGGCAGGGGACAAATTTGGAGAATGAGTGAGGAGTTTGAAGGGTTCTTACAAGAGCTACGTCCACGATGATGACACACATTGTGTATGTATTGAGATTGAAGCCGAAATCTGTTTTTCTTTAGATCAGACAGCTAGGTAGTTCCCAAGCCCTGATGCAACGATATTTAATACTCAGAGAAGTCCATGTTGAGAAATATTCTAGGCTCTTTGATGTTTCATCTATGCCTTTCGTGTCAACAATGCCTCTGTCCGTTGACAAAGGCCTTTTGTTTTGCTTCTTTAGTTCCCAACGCCTCTCTTCAGCCCTCGTTCCCATCTCTGTAATCTTGAGCCTCTGTCTCACTGAAAAAGGCTTATCGACATACACATGACCACCAGCGGACTTGATGGCTTCGCTTCATGATTATTGTGTGGACCTTTCGACCTAAAAGCCTTGCTTAAGACAGATTTGAGAACTTGAAGCGGTGACCGGGCTTTGGGATACATTGAATTAATATGATGATTAACTAATGATAATCCACTGCTTCCCTTTGAGCAATCTTGGATCCCCCTTGACCCAATGGTGAAGCTCCAGCACATACCCATCCTCTCTTCGGACATGTCCGCCTTCGATGTCTCCCGAAATCTTGATGGCCACAGTATCCGGGGTCTTTTCATCAACGTGTCGACAGAGCATCACGTGAGTGCCGCTCATTCTATCCCCTCTAAATCCATCCTTGTGTGTGGTCGTCCCGCCAACTCGGGCAACAAGTCCCGGCGTGTCTGGGAACCGGATCGTGCCACGTACGAGCCGACAAGCCATGCCGTGAATATTCAGGAAATCCACGTTTTCGCATTTGTAATCTTCCCATTCGAATGCCGCCCCCAAAACAATTACTCCTTGTTTCGAGAATGAGAGCTTCGGCCTGCGAATAAAGGCGGCTAGCCTTTCCACATTCTTGAATGGTCCATAGCCAGGGCCGCATTTGGGTAGCCAGCTCATACCGGGGAGCTCATTGATTGTCGACGAGGCAAGCTGGCGTTCGGTGATCATCCCCGCCTTCTGCAGCTTCTCCAGCATAGTAAGCCAGCTGATGCCGTACTTGACATCGATCTTGTCTCCTCCTTCACATATGCCGAGGACTCCGTAAACATAGTCTTCCTCCTTTGTTGCGTCCCTATCCGTTATCATGGTTAAGGCCTCCTCAAAAGGCATGGTAATCCCACCAACCGATTGCAATTCCTCGTATTGTTGCTCGCCTCCGAAGACAGTCCTTATAATCGTAAATCGCAGGGATCCGTCGGGATCTTCCTGCACTCTAAATTGTCGAGGATAAACAACTGTAGCAGCTCTCGCGTCCCAACGGTAGGACCCAAATCCACCTATCCATTCGATGTTCCCAGTGGCGGTGTCGCCGGTGTATTGTTCAGCGAAGGTCTCGACGTACGCGACCAGCTCGGAAATGAAATCACCGTCGATGAGCTGATCCTGCACGGCATAGACAAGCTGTCGAGACAACAATGCCTCCTGGAGAGTCCAGACTCTTGCGGCCCATTTGCAGCGGATGAGCGACTGCAGCCCTGCCGAGTTCTGAAGTACCTGCTGGTATGCAGAGAGGATTGCGCCATGATGTTGCGGCAAGCATCGGAACGGCTCAGCGTCCGGCCCTGCCAGGACCACGCAACCACTGGCTCCCATGTAATACTCCCGCATTCGTCCAATCTCGTGGGCTTTGTCGGCGTCGTCGTGCTGGCGTATGCACCATCTGTCAACCCAAAACTATCGGACCGAGAGTCTCCGGGATAGCTCCTTGAGCTTCGCCTTCAGCGCGTCGTTGTTGTTCTCGGGCCATTCTTCCCAGCAGTATGACAAGGCCAGGTAGTGTTCGGGCCGAGTTCCGTATTTGGTCATTCCTTCGTGGGCGTCATAAAGCCTGGTAGGCAGAGCGTTGGCTTTTCTGTGCTGGCACTGGAGCACCGCGCTCTGAGTCGCGCAGAGAACATTCCCGTGCCAGGAGTCGTGGAGGGCTAACTGGGGATTGTTTCTTCCATTCTTGATAATGTACCCCACACCACCATGCATAGAATCCAGCAACATGTTTGTCCTGATCTCTGGTGTTGGGACTGCAGGCCTTGTCTCGCCGGTCTCGAGGACGACACATCGATTGTGAACAGGGTCGTTTCGACAAATGGCAACTGGGCAAATGTCGGTAATGCCCTCCACTGCGTTTGCACAGAGAATTTGCCTCGCTGGCCAATATGCTGCTAGCTTGTACACTTCCTCGCTGACACCTGTATGAGACGCCTCTTTGCAGAGGGACGCTGGTACTGGGCACAACAGCACAAGAGAGTCTCGGACCGCTTGCTCTCCGGCTTCAAACAGTTCAGCCGCTGTAAGACCGGGAATAATTTCCAAGATATCGTGGGACTTGGAAGTTTGGTGTGGGAAGACGCAGCTGTAACGTCTCTGAGGCGTGTACTGGATGTGGTAGTCTTTGAGACGGAGGGCGGCTTTTGTTGTCTTCCCTTCCGCGATCCATTGCAGAACCTCAAGCTCTTGAAGGTTGCACTGCAGTTTCCCGTGATTCTGCTTCAGCTCACATGTCCACTCCATCCCGGCCAACCGGAAGTGTATATTAATTCTCTGGCCACTCTCGCTTTCTAGCAGGTCCAGCTCGCATTCATCCCAGGACAAGCCGCAGGGGCGACATCCTGGTAGTGTTCGGGTTGAGTTTGAAAGCCGACAGAAAGGTTTGGTAGTATCGTCCATGTTCGTATATGGCAGTGGTCGATGATTGTTCTCAATCCGTGCGATTCTTAAGTTGTTATGACTTAGTGATATCGCATTGAAAGATGTGGACCTTTTTTGGTGAGATTATGATCAATTATATATCACAAACCTGTAAGAGGGCAGGAATGAAGAAATAAGTAGCTCTGAAGCTACTACTGGAGAGATGCATTGTTGTGGCCCTATCCTGAAGTCCAGCCTGCGGGTCAGACAACAAGCCTGGCACAGCTGGCGCCCGAGAACACAGCCTGGACCCATAATTCCTGATGATAGTTCACAGGCGCAACAACTCAGCGATAATCAGGCAGCAATGATCTCCTCCTGCCATACAATAGAGCAGATCCAGAAGGCCTTTGGCTGGGGAGACAGCGCCCCAATTCGTATAGTTTGTAACAACACTGCCATGGTCCCACACCCACACATGGCTGTGACTTATGAGATAAAAACAGGGCGCCGCTGCGGAGTCTTTCGCCAGCCCGATCCACCTACAACCGGAATTCACCGTGTGCGGTCTGGCTACTGGCTTCCACCGGCGGCCTCAAGATGAGTATGGTGCCGTACATCGTGGTTTTGACCCAGGACCTCACTCCCGTGCTCAAATTGGGCTCAAAAGTCTCAGCAGCATCAGTATAGCCACGCATTTTCGAGACTCTGTCGAAGAGGGGGGAGGGGGCTTATTTGCTCCCGCACGTCTCAAGTGCTCACATAACAAAAAATTGGAGGAAATGGACTGGAAGATGCTCTTGCTTCGACTGAACCCGATCGTTGAGATAAGTGGCAATCTTGAAATCGACAATCGTGTTATGAGGTTGTGGTCTTATGAAAGTCTTGGAAGTCATGTATTCTTGTCGGGAATTTGAACTTAGCACATGTCGCCCGGGAGATCGGGAACAGCGACAATGGGTGGTTTTTCTAGCAGTTCCGTTGAAGCAGATTCGTGACGTCCAAGGATACTTCTGGACTACAATATTAAGAGCCGTGAGCGAGTTTGAGGTGCGTTTTCTAATAGGTAAGCCCCTGAAGACAAACGCACCTGGAACTAGTTGTATTAATAGGCCTGAAATACCTTTATACTGCTTCTTTTATACCTTATCTATTATTAAGATACAATAAATTGGGGTAACTTATAGCAGCCAAGCTGCTAGATATTATAAAAATCAGTCCTGTGACAGTGGTGACTGGAAATTGTCCCCTGAAAAATAATGATATATCATAGTTCATGTCCACGGGACTCCCACAGAACTCCCGTCAGCGCCTGGGCCGTTGGTGAGTGCTGGAGGAAAACGAGTGGGGCCAGGATAAGATTCGGACTAGAAGCAAGTCACAGCAGGCTTCCATTACAAGAGCGACATGGATTGACAGGGCCTTTCAATTTGCCAGGTATCTTCGTGCGTCTCATCGCACCCCTTCCCTCCAAGAGTACCTATAATTATATCCAATCCCCGCTAAGAACAGTGTCCTTTTCTGTATAGCCGTAGCATAATTCTCTCTATAGTGAAAAAAATAAAGCGTAATAACACTTCCATTATCGTGATCCAAAAGCATGCCTTCCAACAGCTCACAGCAGTACCGGCCGCAGAGCAGGGCTATATGCTTCCAGCACTGACAACTTCCCTCCTGAGTACCTCGATCTCGCCGCTGTCAGCCGTCCGCCTCCGCTCCATCACCCACCGCGTCTCTCCGCTTTCCCTATCTTCGTCCATTGAGTACGAGATGCTCTCGGCGGAGCTCTTGTGGCGATGGCCGAGGCGCTTCGAAGGGGACGAGACCGTCGTGTTTGGCGGTGGGGGTGGGGGTGATTCAAGGGGTGCTGGGGGCGGAGGCGCGGCAACATCGACTGAGGTGACGGCAGTGTCAATTTTGGCATTGGCATCGTATGCGTCCTTATTCGCTTGGGCGTGATCTACCGTTGGGCTCTTGGTTGACAGCCCGGGGCTAGAGGCTTCCTCTTCATCTTCAATTACGGGTGGACATTGTGGCCCAGGGGAGGGTTGTGGTAGAGGAGGTGGCGGAGGCGAGAAGAGCGGTTGCGGTGGTGCGTTATTCGGCAACGATAATCCCATTGTCAATGTTGGGCTTCCCGCGCCGCTAGCAGCATCAGAGTTGCTCCATAGCGAGAACGCAGAATTTTTCCTCACATGCGTGCCGCCAGCAAGACCTAGGTGGGAGTTTGGCCTCCCCGTTTCCCATGGTGCTGGGCTCGACGTACCCTCGAACCTGTCACCAGGTGGTGCTCGTTCTGACCGCGGACTTCCTTCCCGTGACGAGTTGAGACTGACCTGGCTGCCTCCCCATGCCTTGCTGCGCAAGCGCAGAAGTTCTGCAAGGCTCATCTTGCCATCGTCAGTCATCATGGCCAGCTGTGCCAGACCGGGGCTCTGAAGGGAATTTCGCCCTTCCGAGGCCCCCATTGGGAGCCCGAGGCTCATGATCGAGTTGCGATTCGAGTATTCAGATCGTTCTGTGATCGGGGTTAGGTTCGGCTCGCGGCTAACCACACGACCGCTGGTGGTACGACCGATGCCTGACGGGCCGAAGTAACCACCGTAAACGTTGTCAGCTGTCAGTGACATGCCGTTGGATTTTGACGTCCCGTGGTGACCTTGTGGAATAGGTGCAGAGTAGAAGCCAAATTCCTGGCCGTAGAATCCATCCGAATCGTATGCCAGTGCTTCTGCATTTGCTTCCGCAATAAAGTCGTCGTCAAATTCGAATTCATCGTCGAAATTGTCATCGAAGCCGCCTCCAAAGCCATCGTCATATTCGGCATAATCGTCGTACTCGTCCTGGGCACCATCGTCGACTATCTGCCCGCCACTGTTTGGTTGTGAACCTGTAGTGGGCGATGTGATCGTGACATCAGGGTCAGCTGGCGGCGGTGGTGGAGGTGGAGATGGAGACGGAGATGGAGGTGATTCTAGCTGCTCTTCCCATTTGAATTTCCAACCAGATGCGGCAGCTTTGTGAGCAGCTTCGGCCAGAGCTGCCTGGTAAGCGACGACGTTGCCCTCTGACGGCATTTGCGATGAAGTTACTGTGGCATTATCCTGTTGAGAGGAGAGTTCTTTGGCCTTCTCCGTCATCGACGGCATGGGCTGTAGGCCCAAGCTGACCGATGTGTGGGCTGTCGAACCAGACATTCCAGATGCTGACGCAATATCGGATTCACGTTTCCTCACTTCCTGCTCTTGGACCGCCCTCGAGGCCTGAGCTTGAGCGAACGCACCTGGTATTGGACGTCCAAATTCGTCCGTGTCGTTGATGTCAAAGATAGACTCGTCAAAAGCCGACGCCTGTATCTCATCCGCCTCCATTCGCAATTCTTCCAACAAGCCCTCATCGAAGTACAGTTCTTTGTCTTCTGTACTTCCAAGGTCTGCGCCATCGTCAACAGGCTGATATCGTCTTTCCTGGAAGACGGTGGGGTCGTATTGTGTTTTGCGAGGAGCCGACGTTACCTGAATGCCGAGACCGTCAGCACCAGCTAAGTCTTCCTCTTGATCTACAGGAGTCTCCGTGTTTGCCAATGGTGATGTCGCAGATTGCGGGTCTGGTGTTGTATCCTTGGTCATGGCATATCCGATTGCCTTGCCGCTTGCGTCTCGAGGAGTGGCTAGCAGAGCTGCGGCGGCAGGGCTTGCCAAGGATGACTGCGGATTGGACCTCTGAAATACGAAGCCAGCAAAATTCTCTTGGTCGTTGTCGGGGTCATCCTCAGTATCTACTATTTCGTCACCGACTACCGGAACGTCCTCCTCGAAAAATGCGTCGTCGTCGAGGAAGTCGTCATCGCCCACCATGGGAATATCCTCTTCGAACCCGTCCTCGGCCATGGCAGCATCATAATCGAATGTGTCATCATCGAAATCGTCGAATCTCGAGTCTCTGTGGCCTGATTCCATGTTGTTTGCTTTTCTCTCCAACTCTTTCTGCCTGTGCCGCTCTTCGAGCGCCTTTTCTGCTCTCGCCGCTCCCATCATATCGAAACTGAAGCGAGAGGAGGTACTCTTCATATGTTTTGGCAGGGCTAGCGCAACTCCATCCTTGATAGAGCCATCAGAAAGCGAGATATGCCGGGATTTGTTGGTCCTGGTCGAAGGATTTGCCTTGCTTATCGAGCCGTTGTTAGTCGCGGCACTGGGGCCTGAGCCAGATGCAGAACGCTTAGGTTCAACATCATCGCTTGAGGAGGGCTCAGGCTCCTCTGGGAGCGGTTTGTCGTCCAAGGAGACACGCTTGTGCTCAGTTGCTGACTTCTTGGATGACTCTTTCGAGAGCTCATGTGGTCTTTGCGACTCCGTGTCTGATGTCCCTGGCTGAGTCTTCTCCGATACAGCGCTGCTACTCTTACCAGTCGGACTGCGTAATGGAAGGTCAGGAGCAACATTAGATGATGCGCCCTGAGGGCCGCTCCAGACCTCAGCTCCCGGCACTGTAGGTTTTCTGGTAGGCACCACTCGCTTCCTCGGAGCACTGAAGTCGTGGACTCTTGTGCCTCTGATGCGAGGGTCATAAGTTGTCTCGGCAGGATTCTGGGGAAGCGGCAACGGGCGAAGGTCAGGAGCATTCTGTGAAGCTTTGCGGCGCATCAAGAGGCCGGACATGGGATTCTTCAGAAACGGCAGCCCTTTCTTGCCCTTTTGTGAGTCCGAGACAGATTGCGATGCGGCGAGAGTGGCAGGCTCGGAGGTGAGTCTGGTGCCAGATGGCCTCTTGCCCGTTGCGCCGGCATTGTTGTACAGTTCGGTTGGGGCGACGAAAGATGAGCGGGATCTGAGCTCCTTGATAGGGACTGGAGGCGGGTGGGCGGAAGGTAGGTTGGTATTTATAGGCGGTGGGAGCGGCTTGGATCGTGTGTTTTGCTGGCCTGCTGGTGCCTGACGGACAACTGCTGAGGAGTCTTCACGCTTCGCCCCGAAGGCGCGACGGTAATTCTCGAGGGCAAGCCCGCCCATAAAGCCGGATTCGCTGGTAGACTGCGGTGATTTGACAGGAGGGGACGGGGAGTCCTTTAATGACTGCTCTGAAGGCTTCCTGTTGGGCGTGGGGTCGGGGTCTGTTCGAGGACCGGCGGGGAGAATGGGAGGGGTGTTGGCGGCATTGGTGGACCTTGGGAGGAAGTCTGTTCGATTCGAGATGTCCTGGACCGAGTGAGGCTGCTCGGCATGGTCCAGGGGGCTCAATTGATCGGGCACAGGCGAGGAAGGGTTGGACGGGCCGCGTCGATGAATTCGGAAATGGGACAGCATGTCGGCGGCTCCAGCTTACGCTTTCGATGCGTGTGGAGTGACTATCGGAAAGCGAGGGAAGGGTTGGCTTGGATCGAGGCCAGAGCAGCAGAGGCCGTAGCCCTGAGCCTGGATCAGGGCCAGCGAGCTGTCAAGGCAAGGTCCAGATGCGACTGCGTTGTTGTGAAGGGGCTGTTCGCTATTAACGCGACCATTGCTTCGAGCAGGGCGCTTGGGAAGGCTGGGCGAGGGAGCGAAGAGTGACGTTGGAGATATCGTTCGAGGAATCTGGACGATCTACATATCCAGGGTAAGTGTTGTTGACAGGAAGACTGGATGTCTGTAGGAGCAGGAGCGATGGGTGCGGGAACGGAGCAGGTCGAGGTGCCGCAGGATCTTGGTAGTGCTGTGCGACGGTAATCAATCAAGGTGAGGTCGTTGAAGAGACGAGGATGACGAGTCGGGGGAAAAGCTGCCCCGTCTGTCGTCTTGTGCAGTCTTGGTCTTGGTTGGTCCTGATGCAGCAAAGTGCAGTGCACCTTGGGCAGCTTGCCTGTGTCCACTGTCCCAGTCAGCCTGTCCAATCCTGGGCGGTCCTGCGTGGTCCTTGGGCAGTCCTGGGCCAGGGTACCCTTGCCGTGTCGCAGGGTAGTGGGGTGCCCACCGGGCGGGAGCAATGGCAGCTTCTGGGCTGTTTGCCCGCTCTCCATGGCCATCTCCTGGCTCGTGCAGCATGCTCAATGGAGCCTGAAAGCATTTCGAGCATTTCTTCCCTGAGACAGATTGAGACAGTCTCTGGTCTGAAACATCGAGTCCCTGCTTCGAGAACTCGTAATGCATATCGATGGTGATCTACATCAGGTGGATATCCGATGATCTGGACACAGTCCTGGCCTTTGCAGAGTGTCTGTTGCGCATCTGCATTGCCATTGGATGAATTAGACTTCCTTCTCATCTGAACTGGAGGGATACATGACAGTTGCAGATCTATTGGAATGTGCCTTTTGCCCAACAGCTTCGCTCAAGCCCGTCAGGAAAATTGGCTGACTTTGACTTTCTCTAAACAATGCCTCCAAAGCCTCGTCATCTGCGGTCATGACTGCGAACCACTCGGGTAGAACACCAGGAATGGCAATCTGCTTGTTGATACGAGCCCTGGGCCATGCCGGATCAGAAGCCAAAGTCTAAAGTCTGAGGTCGTTTATCTACTTCACCGTCCCATGCCTTCGATGTGACCCTGTCGCTTCAGACGATGGAACAGCGGCTGCTTACATAAGACACGCGTGGCCAGAGGAGACGCGACTCGCTTTGATTCCAAGTACGTCGACTACATAGACTAAGTATTCATGCTCATAACACAGCAGGGCCAAAGCAGGTCCAAAGCAGGCGTTTGAGCTGCTATGGCCACAACTTCATCCACGACCCCTTTATGATGCCTCACAGTGCTAGAGTGGCTCTGGTGGTCGTCCAAAGCAGAGCGGCCATCCCCGAGTCGAGCGAGGTCTGACATCTCGACTTGTGTACTAACCCTAGGAAAAGACCGCGGCTTTGCTTGTGACATAGGCAAAAATGTGAACAGTGCAGATATCCGATGTGAAACTATCGCCATAACAATGACGACCAGTCATATAGCACGGTAGCCACCTACATGGTGATGTACCGGCAACGGCGCTGCAGCAGATGTAGATCAAAACAGCCAATTGCCTGCATCAAGAACGCTCCATTGTTCACATGAAACGCGTATGGCAAATGCCTAGGTGGGAAACATGTTGCTGGAACCTCGTTCTCTTTCTGGAAACGTACCTCTGGCATTCCTTGATGTCAAAGCTGTGAGTTGATCTGGACTTGAACGGTAGTCCTGTGACAATCATCTCTCCAAGATCTGAATTACACAATCTTTCATTTGACCAGAGGACATTGCGAGATCATATATGTGGAGCTTTTACGTTCATTCTCATTTATCTATAACGTGCTCTTTCCTGGAATCCCTTCCTAGCATACTCTGTCCGAGTGGCTTGGCAAGAGCAGCTCCAATTGCCCGAATTCATTCAGTGACGTCCAAAAATTTCTCATCTCGATCCCTATCATGGCGGCGCCATAAAACTGGTCTTGTTCTTGTCGTGTGCTTAGGCACGGCAGCAGTATCCGTAGGGCTCCTGTATAGATAGAGAAGTCAGTTTCCAATGAGAGACGCATAGGTGCAACGCAGGATGTATGACTTTACCTGGTCGCAGAAGTCGCAGCTGAAGACATTGTGGCCAATGTCGGAACAAACAGTGCAGTCCTCGAGAGCACAGCAGCGGTAGCCATCGGCAGGGGCAGCGGAGCTGAGGGTGGCCATGCCGATGGCGATGGCAAGGACAGTCTTGATAAGAGGCAATTGCATCTTGACGGTTGCTCTGATTGAGACGAGTTGAGTATTTAGATTCGTGTTGCTAATGAAGTTGTTCTGAGTGGTTGTGAGTCTTCAGGATGGTGATGGATAGGATCCAAGAAGGACAGAAAAGGCAGATGCCAGGTTGCTACATTTATATAGCCAACGCAGTGCCGGGTGAATTGAAAGCACGAGTCTCCAGGCAGTGAATCGACAGCAGTGAGTCAACTCCGTGAGTAGAAGGACGAAACGAGCAATGGAGTACAGACAAAATGAATAGAAATGAAGCAACCGAATAGCCATGACCGGAGGGTGATGAGCTAGCTCGGCAGAGACTCTCTGACTCTCCGGCTCGCAAGTGCCTAGGAGACTAGGACTTCGTTCGTATAAGGCACCTGTCACTCCTGGATTCAAGTACATCTATGTTTGTAGTCAAACGAGTAGGATAGTGTACATATGGGGGCGTTCTCACCAAGGTTCTTGGGCCAAAGGGGGGGGGGGTTCTTGCAGAGAGGGCAGCATTGTGACCAGGCCAATTGCTGTCTTCAACCGCTCGTTGAACTAATCCTATCCACATGATCTATTTAAATACATCTTCTGGATAATTCAAGCTTTACATAAATGGCACATAAGGTTGCAGCATGTTTGACTATACAGGAACTGAGTCCCAGAATGTGATTCAATGAGATAGGCGAGCCGGTTAATCAGTGTGCATTGCAGAATGTGAGAAGTAGTCAAATAAATAGCTACACAGGCAAAGGCATGTACGGACCAGCTTGCTCTCATGCGACTTTGATGACGACCTTTCCCGCCGTGTTGAGATTCAAGAGGGCTAAGTAGGCCTCAGGAGCCTGTGACCATTCAAAAACGTGTCCCAACACCGGCTTGAGGTCATGCTTCTGGATAAAGGCATTCATGTTCTCTAGCATAGGCAGACTTGCGTAGACAATGCCTCGTACTTGATTTCAGGGAGTCAGCAGAGTATTTGCACAGGCACATTGACCAGGCTAAGATATCAATGGGTGACCTACCAGTCTTAGCACCCAAAATAATGTCTTGGATCAAATCATGTTTCTCCGAGGCGGACAAGAACCCAATAAGTGTCACGAGTCCGCCTTGCCTCGTTGCGTGGAGAGATCGGACGATAGTCGACGCGCCGACGACATCCACGACGTGGTCTGCGCCGTGCCCATCGGTAAGTTCACGAACTTTCACATCCCACTCCGGGTCGTTGGAGTCGAGGCCGTGGGTGGCACCAAGTTGCTTTGCAGCCTCGAGCTTCTCCTGAGAGGAAGACAGCGCAATAACCTGCGCCCCTGCGGCTGCAGCAAACTAGTGGGAATTGGTTAGTTTCAGACCATCACAACTGACAGGATGAACGTGCTCGGGCACCTACTTGCAAGACCGCAGTGCTCACACCACCAGTGCCCTGAGTGACAACAACATCTCCCGCCTTCAACGGCACATACCAGCCAAACAAGGCATTCCAGGCACTAGCGTAAGCCCCACCCAGGGAAGCTGCCTCCTCGAAGCTGAGGTTGTCCGGGGCCGATACGATACCATCCTCGTCGACTACGACGTACTGCTGTAGGACGCCATCGATATCCGAGGCACCGAGAACCGTGGTGTTGTCCATTTCACCATCTGTGCCTGGCCCTGCGGATTTCCAGGAGGTGCTCGCGGCGACGATCACGCGATCACCAACTCTCCATCTTGATGAGCCTGGCTCGGCGTTCACGCTCTCTACTATGCCTGAGCCGTCGCACAAGGGAACTCGCGGGGAAACGGTGCGTGTTTTGTATCGCTCATCATCTGTGGCGATTAGCAGGTCTCGGTCTGTCCGATGACCGCGAGTTAGTAAGCGCCTTTAATTATATCTGGGAGTCGTAAGGTGCGACGTGATCAGCCGCTGTGAAGCTCAGTTTACCTACAATTCAGTGCGGCAGCTTTCATCCGCACCAAAATTTGGCCTTTTCGTGGCTGCGGTTTGGGAATCTCTTCTAGTTTGAGGTTTTTTATGATCCCATCCGCTGAGGTCGGACCTCGTTCATGAAGATGGATACGATATGCGTACGAAGTTGCGGTCGCCATTGGAGCTGCGCGGGGTGATTCACAAGGTTTCCCAACGAGAAATTTTGTCTATCAGTAGTGCTGGAAATACAGAAGCAGATTTAATCTTCAAATGAAAGGGACGAGACGAGTTTAAATCGTATTGGGGTGATATCGTACGCAATCACGGAAACCCCCATGATGGCATCGACATGCGCTATTCACCTCTCGTAATTTGTAAGCACAAATAAACGCAGTAAGACTTAGACCATCGTCCACGTCCGCACAAGAAATCTGACTGTGAATGTTGGCCGGTATGATGCATCACATAGTGGATCAGATGCTCGTTTGAAAACATAGAGAATTTGTAAGCATCGTCCCATCGGACTTCAGCGGTTAGCCTAATCGGCCAGATGTCGGGTGCGAAGTCCGCCAGTGCAGAGTTGGGTCTCGGGCGTTTGAGAGGGCCTCAGCCAAATGAGCCTTCAGGTAGGCTCTTCACTATGTCATTCGGAGGCCTAAGTAGATACTTCGGCAACACAATATTAGTTCTAACCCCATTTTTCGAGCTAGATTGAACGCTTCTTTGATTCAACACCTTTTTGCGCTGTACATGTGTTAAAAAAGTCGATTGGAAGGACATCTGCCTGAAGACCACCTAAGACCGCATGTTTCAGAAGCAAACGATTCGCAGATATCTTAAATCGCCAAGGCAAAAAGGAGCCGCCCGCAATATCACCGGTGAGCTTTAGCCTATGCAAAAGGAGTTCTCTGGTGTGTCAGCAATCTTGACCTACCTCACAGGAGAGCCAATGTTCTAAAATCTCGGATGTCGAGGCGTGGAGTTTACCCCTGTTCTTTCCACTAGATATAATTTCGCATTGAATTGATTGGAATTTGAAGCGAGCTAGGAGTGTCATCTCGTAGTTCCCTCATTATTGCTACCTTTCTCTTGTCGGCGCCTGAAGACATTTCATTCTCAACCCCCCTCGCCCCACGTAAAGCAAAACTACATGCTGTCCAACATAATAGTATGACACTTCCTAACAACTGGACCAAAGTAATCGCCATTTCACATTCATTAAGTCCAAATTCGTCTCATAGAAAACCCAAGGCGAGTATTGGGCGATGTAAAGATGATGAGATGTTTGGCATCCACGCCCAGTGCCCACGCTCGCCCAAAATCCACCCATCTTGAAGACCGACACACCGAATGCTGAGTCGAGAAGTGATGCAGTAATCAACCACAAAAGCTTCTCATGAATTAGAGGCTGAATTTCTAAGCATACTCGTAACTAGTCCCGTGCCCCGGGGGGAGAAACCTCCCCTCCGATACCGCCCATAAAGGGACCTTGAATTTCCTCAATGGCAGGATTTTCTTGCTGTTGCTCTGACACAGGGGTTTTGATTGCTGCCTGAGCTGGACGTCGATCTGCTGGAGAAGATGCAGCTCCGATATCGCCCATAAAGGGACCTTGAATCTGCTCAACGGCAGGGGGATTTTGCTGTTGCGCTGGTCCAGGAATGTTGATTGCTGCGTGAGCTGGACGTTGATCTGCTAGAGGAAATGCAGCCCCGATATCTTGCTGATTGCCAGCCTGGTCATGTTGCGTTCTGCCGGCCTCGTTGACCCCGTTGAGGCTCACTGGGCTGACCGGATTCTCAGGGGCATTCATGAATAATTCCAACGGTGCAAAATCGTCCCAAATTTGGGCCTCGAAATAATTTGGTTGTGGATTCCAGCCGTCTGGCACAAAAGGTGGTTGGTTCTGCCACAGAGGTGCCGGCGCCATGAAGTCCTGTGCTGGAGGAGCCTGTGCTAGGAGAGGCTGAACTTGGGGAGGCTGGAATGCAGGAACCTGTGCTGGAGGAGCCTGGACTTGGAGAGGCTGAACTTGGGGAGGCTGGCATGCAGGAACCTGTGCTGGAGGAACCTGTGCTGGAGGAACCTGTGCTGGAGGAACCTTTGCTGGAGGAACCTGTGCTGGAGGAGCCTGTGCTGAAGGAGCCTGTGCTGGAGGATCCTGTGCTGGAGGATCCTGTGCTAGAGGATCCTGTGCTGGAGGAAGCTGTTCTGGAGAAACGTGACCGGGCCAGCAAAGTGTGATATATTTTGGTAACGGGCAACCGTTCACTGCCAGTGCCATCGTGTTTACTGCATCAACCGGGAGTGTGAAGATGATCGGGCGTCGAGATTTCCACATGTATGGCACACCAAGCGGCACCATTTGCACATCGACATAACCGGTCAATTCTCCGTCGCGGGGCTCCATGTAAAAGCTGCCATCTGGAAGCATAAATTTTAGGTGCGGTCGAAGAAGTCGCTTCTGATGTTGGCCGCGCCACTTGTACGGGATTTCTTGGACGGGTGCATTGTCGCTGGCGCTTGTTGACACGAAATTGATCGTTCTCGGCATCTTCTTGATGTATCCTTTGCAAGGGCGTCGTATAGAGATGGAGTGATGAACATAGGAAGGATAGCTGCAGGTTGCACGGATTTGCGAGACGTATAGAAAGTTGCGAGATGTCAAGTGATTTTATATGTGATATTTCTGCTAAAAATTAGAGGGGAAAACAAGGAGAAATTGTTGTGAGAGATGCAGAAAACTCACTAAACTTTTGAACAAAAGTTGTGCGCGTGACGGTGTTGATTTTAATAGCTGACTAGACAAATTGATAATTATTTTATGAATTCTTCCCTAACTTTGATGGTCACATTGTGCTTAGTGGATTGTATTTTCTGCCCGGCGCTTCAGTTTTGGTGTCAATTAAAATTTTATTTGTGAACAATCTTTCGACTACAATCGTGGTACTCGATGCGAAGAGAACTATCTGTCTTTGGTCTGGTGTTTCCCGTGTTGCGCGTAAGGAGTCAAATTTCATCCTTGGCTCAGATTCTGGAATCAAATTCGACCTGGGCTACCTGGGTTGTTGATAGAGATTCAGTCAAGGTTTGCTCCAATGATCCATGCCTCTGATGATTCTATGTTGCCCTGGGTGTATTGTGGTCCCCAGCAACGAACATTCAAGACCATATTATAATGGGGCCTTCCTGTGCTATTAAGAGAATGTGAGATATTTCGCGAATCATTCGCGAGCGGCGAAGGAATGGATAGATTGTGAACTTTGTCCTCACGTACGGCACTCACTGAAAAGTTCCTCAGCGCGAGAAAGGCTACACGCCCACTTCTTGGCCAGTTGAGAAGTTCTAAAATGAATCACGATTAATAAGGTTAGACTTCATCCGTACTACAAGATCCGCTTGGTCGAAGGTCTGAGTAACTTTCCACCACATTTGGACCGAATTCGCTGACATTTTTGACCTCTTTATTGGTCTTCACTGGAGCTACTATGAAGGCCGGGGCCTCCTGATCAGCCAGGCAGCCCCTATTGGGAAAGACTTCGAGCATGACTTGACTACCCTATGCAACGACCTTCATCTCCAGAGTCGGAAACTCATATGGCTTGAGAGATCAGACTTTCGTGCTTGCGGTCCCCTTTCCTCGGAAACCTTGTCGAGCAGGTTGCCAAGATTGCGGAAGCTCTAGGACTTCACCTCAGAGCGTCTGTTTGCAATGCCTTCAAATGGCTTAGTCTACGCACAGCTGATGCACAGAGTGCTTACCATCCGAAAGGGCACAGCGGCAACGTAACAGCAGAAGAGATAACCTCTGACTCCTGTGCCTTGAAGAAGAAGAAGATATTTATTGAAAACCATTCATCTCAAGGCAAATAGGAGCAGATTCCACGAGGTCTCACTAGTATCAAATTAGAATTTTATCTCATCGGAACAAATCATTTCCGATGACGACAACACTAGCAGAATTATTGTGAGAAGTGATCACGCCGAGGAGCTGTCTGCTGTCTACGAATTCTGGAGCGAAGGGTCGACTTAGTGAGTAATGGTTTACAGCGGTGCTTTCTCTCCCGAGACATTGAGGGTTCCAAATAAGGAAAATTTGAGGTATAGAGAGTGTCCATCTTCAATTTTGAAAGAAGAGACTGGCTCGGTGTTAAGCTCCACGGGCTGCCAGTAGCGCCAGTACCAATGGCTACGCTCAGACACTAAGACTTTTGGTGTGGAATAATGACTTCTGAGTCAACACTACTTTGCAGAAGATTATTGTCTCAAGCCTTGCATAGCGAAAAAACTTTACTCGGTTATGAAGTACCATATTTTTTTTGTCTCATGACAACTATCGTCGTTCCAGCTTAGTAGAGAAACTCAAAGAATACAAATAGTCTATACCGTCTCTCTCAAGAAGAAAAGGAAAAAGAAATTCAGAGCAGAAGCCGCAGAGCCGAAGTTTCAGTTCGTGGGGTGCTAAAGAGATGCCTACGGCGTCCGCGCTGAGTTTGAGTGAGGGTCTAGCAGCGAAATCAGATTTCGGAAGTGTTGTCTTTAGCTGAATCAGTGAGGATTGTAGTTTAGAGAAAGACAAAATGAGATGCCAATCTTGCCCGAAACTTTATACGGAACGAACTTGGCTTTACTCCGGAGGCTGGATATGGAAAACACATTGACGCGGTCCCGTTACGTTGACGAACATGTGTGACAAAGCAGCATGAGATAGCCGAGCTAATCGCTGGCCAACAATTTGTTGATATTATATTGTGATAGGCTTGCGTCCCATAATTACTCTATGTCAAAGGCTTTCTGGGGCATTGAAGGCATCGCGGCTGGTCCTATTCGGTGCTGTCTCATGACGCCTCGGATTTTAAGAAGCCTTGGCCGCCTCGATGATCACATCACTAGCCTTCTCAGAAACAATGTAAAGAGGCAAGGCGATGTAAAAGCCAGGAATCTTGGGGAAAACACTGGCGTCAACAACTCGCAATCCTTCTGTTCCACGAACCCTGAACTTGCTGTCCAGAACGGCCATGGGGTCATCGTCGGCACCAATGGGGCAAGTGCACGATGCGTGGTGGCCCCATGTCTCGTCCTTCAAGAACTCCTTTACGTCGGCCTCGCTGGAGACGTTGGTGCCGGGCCAGACTTCGGGGAAGCTGCCGTCCAGGGGAATGAGATCTTTGAAAGCCTTGCGAGCAAATTGGAAGCCCTCGTACGTGGCTTGCAGATCCTTCTCTGCCGCATTACTGGTGTTCACACCCGTGTCGTAGTAGTTGAAGTTGATCAGAGGCATGTCGCGAGGGTCTGTTGACTTCAGAGTAACGGTGCCGGCGTTGTTCCTGCTGTGAGCCTTGAGAATAATCCATGCCCAGTGCTGGGCGTCAGCAAGGGAGTCGGCCGCATAGCCTGGGAAGTAACCCTTGAACTTGGCCGGAGCTCCCGAAACCAACAAATCTGGCTCGTCTTCGGCGACGGAGGATTTCATCGTGACTGCAATGGCGATTCCGTTCGTGCCGTAGACGCCCTTGGTAACGGGCTCGAAGCCGGCTTGGTAATCTTCGAGACACGCGTCAGGTGTGCTTTGTAAGAAGGTACACTTGGATGTAATCGCGAAGTCGCTGTCCGTCTTGCCGATGACGGTGGCCTCATAACGATCTTGCATGTTGGTTCCGACACCAGGAAGGTCAACCAAGACGGGGATGTCGAACGACTCCAGTTCTGACTTCGGCCCGACGCCACTGAGCTTCAGCAACTGGGGAGTGTTGAAAGCACCTGCAGCCAGGATGACCTCCCGGGAGGCGTTGACGCTACCAGACCCAGTTTCGGAAGCCGATCCGGATCGGGGATCTGCGCGGTACAGTGACGAGCCTTCCAAGTAGTCAACACCAACGGCGCGAGGAGTTGTTCCATCGGTGTCGAAGCGAACTTTGGTAACCTGCTTGGTAATTAGTATACCGCCGTGCTTACTACCAAATTATGCTTGCTCACCAGGGTATTCAGCTTGATATCCAGGTGATACTTTCGAGATCCATCAGAGTTCACTGCCTCTGCCGTCTCGAGTATAAAGTCTCGTGGACCACCCCTGACGTTGTCTTTCATGGACAGGGGCACCTGGTAAAGGCCGGTGTTGCTCGCCTCACCAGGCGCATTGATGTCCTCCAAGAGAACATGTGCCAGACCGGTTACGGTGGTGAGCACAGATTCGACGACACTTTGGCCGACTGCTGTGGCAGCCGAGAGAATAAGTGACAGGAGCTTCTGATCCTCGACCACAAGCGAGAGGGAGGTGAGAGATGTTGTGAGCCATCCACTGAATCCATGTCCGACAATGCTACTTGGCAGGTATTCGTTCTTTTCGATCTTTTGGAAATAAGATCGCATGGTTTCAGGGCTCCAAGTGGAGTCTTGCGTGAGGTCGGAGATGTATTTCCAGTCACTGTCGTGCGCACCGATGCTGATGAGAGCATTGTGGCGAGAACATCCACCCAGGGTGCCAGCTCGAGGATACCACACTCCCAATGGGGTTGCGTCCTCAGGAGGGTCAAGTCCAACATAGAAGCTCCCGTCGGGGAGCTCGTATGTCATCTTGGAGTCCTTTGCTTGGCGATCGAGGTCCGAGTAGTGGTTCACGAAATAGTTCCATCTCGTGTCTTCGAACTCGGTTGAGAAGAGATGCAAAGCTGGAAGACTTTCCATCAGATCGTCACCTGAATCACCTCCTGCATCGACGAGCAAGACCTTGTATCCTGCTATTGCCAGGTTCGCCGCGACAGGACCACCGCCGGGACCTGAGCCCACGACGACATAGTCATAGTTCTCATTCGTGGCGTTTGCGCCATCACGTCGTCCGATGTAAGGATTGTGTGTACGCTGCGCCTTCTTGGCTGTCCAAGGAGCGCCACTATGTCGGACGTTAGCAAGACATGATAAAGCCCATGCCGGACAATAATTCTATATACGCACAGCGCAGAATCAGCCAGAAGCCAGACGAGAGTCAAGGCTACTGAGGCACGCATTATGATGATAATATTCCGGCAAGGAGAGACAAAGGGTCGGTCGTATCAAGAAATGAGTGTCAAAACATGTAAAGAGTGTAGGTGTCGGCGGTGCGATGCCCAGAGTCGTGATCAAATTGGCATTCTCTTGACAGTTCAAATAGGAATCTGATCGCCAGAGTAGAGTCAGAATTGCCGGTGTGCTCTATAAAGTCAAATGAGTAGCTGGGAGATCGTGGGGAACACAAGCGTAAAAGTCCATGATGGGGAAGACCTCATATCGCTCCCTTTCGTACAAACCCCTGACTACAATGTTGGAACTCCGCCCTAGGCATGGACTTTATTCCGTCATTGAAGATCACGATATCTTCAGGAGCCGCAATGCGCCTCCAGCTCTTCGCGTACAATTCTCCTGACGATCGCTCAGAAGGATCCGGCCAAGCACAAGACGAAACCCCTGGCATCGCGGACGACGCCCGGCAAATCAAGACAAGGCAGACGAAAGGGGTGCAATACACAGTAGACTGAACGAAAAGAAGACTGTCCACCCACCTTCCAGGGCTCGGATACCCCCGTTTGGTCCAATTTTGCCCCGGCTGACTCGTCGACTAGTGCGATCAAAAACGGCATGCCATGAGTCGCTGTACTTGTACTTTGAGCTGACAGACATGGCACTGGACAAAACAAGGGTCAAGATCTGCATAGCTTTTGACTTTTGCTTCAGTGTTGATCCGCTAGCATCTTTAAATTCGTCCGTCATCCATTACTGTATCCGTCTCTCAACATGACATCGTCCATAAGAGACTGATCAACGTATGTAGGTCGGAATATGCTTTCTATAGTGGCAAGACTGCAAAATGAATAATTGCCGGACAGCATCTCATCATATTGAGGCGCACCGTCTGCAGGCCAAGGGAGGAGGAAAGTAGTTCGTCGCAAGCGGCTCCGGCAAAGGTTCACCTCCCCTTCATGGTGACTGTACGTGGCAGACAAATTGCTCGAAAGAATCAAATCAAATGGACATGAGATTCGTTGTTTTCCATGCCAGATATCTAATTAGGCAAGATGCATCTCGGAGAATTCTTTTCCCCGCCTCAACGGGGATCCGGGGCGGTGCTCAGCACCTGAGGTATGTTACCACTTCCCCCTGAAGAGTCTGTTCCAATCACACATCCGATCAGATCTCCGTTTGCTCAAAGATTCTGACTTATCAGACACTTTTGTCGAATTACGGTCCGCTTCCAGCGGATTAGGACTGTTTTGGGGATTTAGAATACAGATTGAGAATTTCTGGGCCCCACACATCCCCACGCTGGTCATTTTGTTGGCTGTATGAACGCCCCGGTGCTACGCGGTTTCCACTTCGGCATTTGCCATGACCGATAGCAAGGGTTCCCAAGTACCTGGGACGGGTTCGCCGATCTTAATATTCCACAGCATCGGCTCCATGCTCAAGCGGTGAGCCGCGTGCTCCCATACTCAAAACCATTCTGTGTTGCATTTTCAAGCAGAGATTCGGAGATGGCATGGCTTTGCCTAAAGTATGTTGCATGCGAACGCGGCAAGGGCAAACTCAAGCGTGGGGCGATACTACCGAAAAGGACTTCTTGAAGCTCCGCTATCAGTAGAGCAATATCGACAAGGCAGAATAAACCAGGGGCTTACACCTTATTGTGTTCTTACCAGGCCACGACAACTATCTCAGGGCCCATAAAGGATCGTACAAGCTTTTCAGGCCCCGGAGAACACCTTTACAATCGTTCGCCTACTTCCTTGTTCTTTGGTTTGACCAATAAAGGGCATGCATCCCAAGGTTGTCATTCCGGAAGGCATGGGGTTGAGAAACCTAGAATTGGACCATGGTCGATCTGAAAAGGTTGGTACATCCCAAGCAGTCCAGGAATGGTAGCATGATAGCAAAAGAACCTTGGGTGCAACAACTTTGACAAGCTTGGAAGTAAAGCAGGAAGGGGGTTGTCATGCCCGAATATGTGGTCATCAGCACAAGCAGGTTAACCAAAACCTGATTGACGAAATACTAAGAATTAACCAAATTTGATATAAATGACTAGTCGGCAATAGCAATTCCCAAGTGTTCTCATTTCCTTCGCAGGAAGAACGCTGTGATGTCTTCCTGCACATGACCAAGCCGTACAAAAGGGTGAGAAATCGATGGCTTTTAACTCAAACATAGCACATCCCTAGAAATGGCTCACAGCTCACTAAGTACGTCGCGAAGTTGCTCATTCAGTGATTCGCGTGAACACGTGAGTGGGGAACAGAAAGCAGGGTTTCCAGACATGAAACCGGTGGAAGGACTATTCTAGAAGTCCGGGTCCGCCACAACCGACTCAGTGCACTGAGACGTAACCTTATCGACAAGAAAACCAAAATCGTATTCTTACCTGCCCGCAAATGGCTTTTCAAAATTGGCCTTGTGAATCGTCTGCGATTGAAGCAGTACCTACACTTGTAGAATAACTAAAGATCTGTGTGTGCTTCACGAGGTATCCCCGATGGTTGTGGAAACATGCGGGCCCTCTTGGCAGGTTTAGCAACCCAAGCGGCTAATCCACGGCAGTTTGACCGCAGGTATGGCAAGACCTAATTCTACGGTCAAGGAATTAATGACGAGTTCGCGTCTTGGTACTGAGTACAACTATCATCGCTTGTGTGGCTGACGACACTTGCCGCACAGTTTTGGCAACACTCGAGAGGACGAAGTAGGGTTCATTAGGGCTGGTCACATAGTACTAAGCGACAATAGACAGCAGTTCTCAGAAGCATGGCTTAATTCTGCGGTGAAAGTGGAACACGAAGTTGAAAACATCAACAATACCCTCGTGACAGACATCTGGACAGCGACATCGTGTATGCCTGCGCCACCAAATTAACTTTGAATCCTACCACTATTCACGACGGCTTCCATCCTGCCGCGACCGGATTCCTTCCACTTCCCGGGATGTCCGCGGTGGTCCGGACTTGGGACATTTGCTTCACAATTGAGATCGACGACGGCCAGCGCCGAAGAGGCGAGTACCTCATGTCCTGGGGCATTGGGGCAACCACACGGAATGGCGGCAGTCATGATCCGTGCAGTCCGTATGCTCCAAGGTTGGCAGTAAGTTGGCCGGGGGTAGGTATCCATACTGTATGCCAACAGGGAAGACTCGATGCGTCGCACGCACGCTGCGGGTCTAGGTGATCGTTATATCCACTGCGGAGCTTAAAGTTATCAAGGGTATCTGCCAGCCATGTGCTCAGATCCCTGACTGTTGAGATGTCATCGCAAGCGAACGCAATGCTGGGTATGGCGCTGCCGGCTTGTCTGCGAGACGATCTGCCTTTGTAACCCACAAGAGTGCATAACGACGACGACTTGGCGTCTCTTTACATTCACCTTGACCGCATCGCCCGGAAACTTTGCATTCCGCCTTTACTTTTCATATTCCTCTATCGACATTTATGAAAATGCTGTGATCGGCTTCCGTATCAATTCTCTTTGTTTTTTATGACGGGAGGAATTTCGGCCGTCTAACATCCAGCATGAAGCTTTTCTCCATCGGGGTGTTGCTTTTAGCAGCACTGCATGCCACGTTAGTGACAGCAGCCGACAGCACGGTCTCTGCACCGGCTTGTGGTGTAAGTGTCCCATTACGCACAAGCGGAAAGCTGTTTTCATAATACTAACAAGGTCTGTGGCTGCAATAGCTCAAGTGCATTGTCACGGCCGTCGCGGAGCATTCGGATTGCTCGCTTACAAATACAACGTGCATCTGCCTTAATGAAGAGCTCAACTTAGCTGCCGCGGCTTGCATTGCGCAGAGCTGTAGCGTCAGGGATCAGCTTGGTATGTCCTCGTCTTGCGGCCTCGAAAAATCATTCCGGGCCATCATGTCACACTGGCAATGTCATGCTTTAGTACATTAAAGACAATTATTGACGGAATTGCGCAGCCACTCAGAAATACTCAAAAAGGACATGCGGTGCCCCAACCGAAGACAGGACAGCTCTGGTATGGATCATTGGCGTCGTTTTCGGTATACTTGGCTTCTTAGCCTTCTGCCTCCGAGTCATGGCTCGTGTTTTCGTGGGCTCGTACAAAATTTGGGGTCCTGAAGACTGGGTAATGACTGCTGCGGTCGTAAGTAAACAACCTTAAATCGGCCTCTTCACAGAATATCAGCTGACTCTTATAGGCGTTGATGATCCCTTTGCAAGTTTTATCTATTCCTCGTACGTATCTCGAGGTCGTTGGTCCCATTGCCGGATACCAGGCTAATTTTATGTGTGTAGTTGCAAAGTATGGGCTGGGAAAGGACATGTGGGAAGTCGAACCGGACAATATCACAGAAATTCTTTACGTAGGTGACTTTTCGTTAATACCTCCCCCACCCTTTGTTTTAATAGGAGAAGAGGGGCGGTGATCCACGATCGCTCAAGTCAGTTGTGGTGAATAAGGCTAATTAAGGGAACAGCTATACTTTTGGGATGAACTCGTCTATCTGGCTGTTCTCCCTCTCACGAAAATCTCGATCCTCCTCTTCTACCTCAAGATCTTCCCGAAACGCGAGGTCAAAATCGGCATCTGGGTACTCGTCGGTTTCAACATCGCTTATCTGATCACCTTCGAAATCATATCCATCTTTCAGTGCAGACCGATAGCGGGTGCGTGGCTGAGGTGGGACGGCACATTCGAGGCTACATGTAACGACATCAACATGCAAGGATGGATGGCCGCTGGTCTGAACCTTGCGTTGGACTTGGGAGTCCTTATACTGCCGTTGCCGGAACTCGCCAGGCTCTCTCTGTCGCTGCGGAAGAAAATTCAGATTCTTTCTATGTTCTGCGTCGGCTTCTTGTAAGTGTCCATCACCGGGTCATCTGGGACAAAGCACCGTGGACTGACGCATATTCCCAGTGTATCAATCGTCAGCCTTCTCAGACTGCAGTCATTGGCGAAATACGCGAACACGTCGAATGTCACACGTGAGTCTACTTTACTTCCTGTAATGAAACTCTACTAACAGCATACAGAGGACTACGTCGAGGTCGGATACTGGTCAACAATTGAAGTCCCTGTCGGGATAATTTGCGCGTGTATGCCCGCCATTCGCTCGCTCATAGCCACGGTTTTCCCCAGGGTGTTTGGCACCACACAACAGAAGTCGGACTACCAAGCGTTCTCGGGCTCGTCCAAGCAGTGGTCTTTTGGAAAACTACAGTCTGGGAAGCACATCAAGGTCAAGACAGAGTGGACAGTGAGATCCCACAACGCCCAGGAGCATGAGTCGTCTCAAGTTGAACTGGTGCCGCTGCCATCGGCGCCAGGGGACCTGCCGGCCCCGTTGCCGACGAGACCTGGGTCGCAGTTGGCAGTGATGGAAACAAGTTGCGAGCACACCAAACGCTCCGGTTGAGACGCACTTGTGGTTTTGATTTTCCTAGAACATAATTGGATCGTTCGACCTAGAAAACCTAATTTTAAAAACGAAAGAAAAACAGTTCAACATCACTTCGTACAATGTTCTGTAATAAAGAGACCAGCAGACGCGATTGTAACTGTCGAGATTACTATCATGGAGACACGCATCGACTTCGAAAACCAGACACAGGGTAGGTTATTCGATCACGAGGGTAGGATACGCAAGCTTGCCTGCCTGCGGAATTTCGGAGTACGTCTCTCGAAGCGGAAATTGCGGGTGACTTACTCGACCAAGTCACTCGAGTACGCTGGAAACAAGGATTGAATCGTTACAGACAATTTGCTTGTCTGGTTGTCAATTTAGTGCCTTCATTTCTAAAAGAGCTACTAGCCCAGACGTACAATAGTTGCCACTTAAAAGATGATTTGACGAGGAGAAAGTGATAGTACTAGTATTGATAAATTGCGTAGAAGCCATCGAAGATGGAGAATCTCCAAGTGCTCATTCAAATCTGCCAAGTAGAATGCAATTAACAAATCCTGATTCCAACTGTCTGGAATCAACGCGTCGAGACCCAGGTAACGTTACTCCAAACAATCGCCTGCTATCTAGTCTACGTGCCCTGCGTGCCTAGGTTGTGGGCAAAATGCTGGGATCCGTGGCAGCGAGCAGCCCCTGACAGACGCAGGAACAAGCGTCGACGAGCCGGGCCGGCCCCTGTCGGTGGCATGGTCCTCGGCACACCAGGCACCTTATCAGGTATCCCGACGTCGGCATCGTCGCCGTATCTTGAACCGCAATTCACGGGAATCAACGCCAGCCCGAACCTTGAATGATAGGCAGCTCGGTAGCAATTTCCACGAGCAACAATATGAATGCAACGCCATGTCTCCCTTCAGCGCTCGCTCGATCTCGAGTGTCAACGCGCGAGCCTGCAGGAGACTGAGAGCAGATAGACGGTCAAGATGAAGAATCTCATCACGAGACAGCTTCCCCAAGCATTGGCTGGCCTTCTTTGCTTGACCAATGCAGCCATCGCGGCCCGCTCAGTGCCAATCGACTTGATATCCTACTTCAACAACAAAGCGTTCGGCACCTATCCGAATGAGACCGCATTCGAGACCAACCTCAACCGGTCCTACCCGCCGCTGAACCACCTCGCCCAGGATGGCATCTACACGTCCCAGAGCACAGGCGTGCGGTACGACTTCCCGAGCTACACAGGCCCGCAGCAGCCAGACAACCTGATCTGCTCGGGGCAGACGATCCCGGTCCCGGGCAGCGGCAACGGCAGCAAGGCCTTCTCGCTCAGCATGCTGGTGGCCAACGACGTGCGCGACGCCATCGCGTCGCACGACCTGACGTACCTCTACACGGACGGGACGTCGGCCGCCGCCGAGCTGCGCGCCCTGTCCTTCTTCAGCTGGCTGACGCTCACGCACGGCGAGATCATCAGCCCCTTCACCTGGACCCCTGAGGGCAAGGACTGGAATACCAGCCAGATCTTCGAGTTCACGGGCTACCTGGACCCGGCCAAGACGCTCGCGGCCGTGCAGCTGCCAGTCGCTGACAATGCCACCGTGGGCCGCGTCCATGTCTTTTCTATGTCGCTGCTAGTGAGCGAAACAGCCTCCAGCGGTCCTGCCGGTGTCGAGGTCCAGAGCGTGCGTCCCACGCAGAAGTGGACCGAGGCGGGGAACCAGGTCGTCGAGGTCACTGTGAACAATGTTGGGAGCGAGTGTGTCTCAGGCTCGGGGCTGACGTTGTCCTTGGAGGGTCTCGGTGTCAGCACGATCGAGACGGGGTCCATCAAGAGACTCTGTCCTGGTGACCAGAAGCGTGTCAACGTCGGCGTCAGTGGGTCTGCGAACAGCACTACTGTTACAGCCACTCTATCTGGCGTCAGCGGCAACCAAACAACTAGCTTTTCCGGGATTAATATCGGGTTTGAGAGCTTCACTACTGACCTGGACAGCCTCGCTAAGCACGAGTCGCCGGAGTGGTTCGATAATGCCAAATACGGTATATTTATTCATTGGGGCCCTTATGCTGTACCAGGATACGGCGGAGTGGCCCCGAACGAGACTTATGCTGAGTGGTTCTGGTGGTACTCGAACAACCACTTTGTGAATGCAGACAAGTCAGACAGCTATGGCTACCGCCTCGATACGTTTGGACCGGACTGGAATTATGACGACGGGTTCCCCAACTACACAGCGTCCGCGTGGGACCCCAAGGAGTGGGTCGATCTCTTCGCCGAGGCGGGCGCCACGTATTTCGTCCTGACGACTAAGCACCATGACGGCTTCACGCTGTTTGATGCAGGTGACACGACGAACCGCTCGTCGATCAATTACGGTCCCAGGCGGGATATTGTTCAGGAGCTATTTGATGCTGCGGCCACGTACCAACCATCCCTGAAGCGTGGTACTTACTTCTCCCTTCCGGAGTGGTATAATCCTGACTTTGGGCCGTATGGTTTCGTCCAACATGACACCGTTGGCTCCACAAGCTGGGTGGGCATACCGGCAACCAACCCTTTTACAAATCTTACTGAGCCGTACACCGGCAAACTGCCAATCGGAGACTTTGTTGAGGACCTCATGTATCCCCAGATGGAGACTCTCGCGTACAAGTATGGTACTGATATAAGTAAGTGCTTCCAACAGGGATGTCATCCTTTCACCTTCCCAGAGGATATCTGCTCCGTGTCTAGAAGGTCTCACCGGACCAAATGTCCCGAGATGTACCGAGAGACCCCCTTGACATACATGGGACGACCATATCCTATGTCAACGTAGTCCAGAAGAGGAAGTTGCTGACTCCCAAACCCAAAGTGTGGTGCGATGCTGGCACAGCGAATAAGACAGCCGAATTTGCCTCAGAGTGGTGGAACTGGGCGCGGAACAATGACCGGCAAGTTGTCATGAACAGTCGATGTGGTGTAGCCCAGGCCTCAGACTTCGAGACCCCTGAATACAGTACCTACTCGTCGGCCCAGAGACACAAGTGGGAATCAAACCAGGGTATGGACCCCTATAGCTATGGGTACAATGCCCAGACGCCCGCAGAGAGCTATATGAATGCCTCTACTATTGTCTACTCCCTTGTGGATATGGTCGCCAAGAATGGCAACCTGCTGCTGGATATTGGGCCGCGAGCAGATGGGACGATTGTTGAGGCAGAAGTAGCCAACCTGCGCCAGGCTGGGAAATGGATTCACGCCCATGCCGAGGCTGTGTTCAACACGACGTACTGGTTTGTTCAGACGCAGATCGCCAGCCCGCAGGAGGTCCGTTTCACGCAGAACGACAACGCATTCTACGTCCTCTTCCTCGAGCAGCCGGATGTCGCGGAAGACGGGCACGTCTGGGTGAACGCCACGGTACCGGTGCTGGAGGGAGACACAATCTCGATGGTTGGGGACGCCACGGGGGTAAATGACCTATCGTGGAAGACGTCGCCGGAGGGATATTTGGCCATTAATGTCTCGGCCGAGGCCCTAGCATCGGAGGAATTCGGCTGGGTATTCAAAATCGCGTATGCGTGATGGTGCTGTCGTCGTCATCTCCTGCGTTGTCGGCAGTGAAAAAAAGAAAAACGTGACCTTGTACATAACGGCCTTCGAATATAGCTCTCACCACCCACTCACCCACCACCTTGCCTGAGGAGAACAGCTCAAGTGAGGTGAGAAGTTTACAGTGCCAAGCTAACCCATGCTCGCATTAGACTATTGCTTGAGACTGTCGTGGGGAACAAATCGCAGAACGCCATGTGCGACAGCACCCTGCAGCTCGTGGCGTTTCGAGAATTAGATCCGGCACTAAAGGATTGCCTGCTGCTTGTGACCCCCTTTGGCCCAACGCCCCCGGGAGACGACTTGCCTCTTGTCATACCTACGGCTCACGCCCGAGACGCCGTTCCCAGAGACTCGGGTCGTTGGACTAGGTCTAAGTCAGCGTGTGGCTGGCTTACGCCAGACTTGGGTTCGAGAAAACACGTCGAAGAAAACTGAGCCAAGGCGCGAGCTAAGGCGGCCCCCAACGCCGACAGAAGCGTGTGGTTTGATGCGGACGGCGAGGAAGGGTAACTCCCGAGATTCTGGACGAGGGGTTACGGGTGTTTCGGTGTCTTGATGCCTGTAGCAGAGGCCGAAGGTTGTGTGGCTGGTATGCAATCTAAATGGACACCTGTCTGGCTGGTCCGCACGCAAGTAAGCCATCGTCACTAGGCTCCAGCACAGCTGATATCGGATGTTATGCTGATGGCGTCCAATCCGGGCGGGGACCATGGGAGATCACACATTCCAATATGAAGCGCGGTTGTTGTCGTGTATGAATCTCTGGGTACGTGATGCATCGGAGGTCAAGATAGATGCATGACGGACCTCAAAGGCGGCCCTTCGCCCTCTCGCCCCCATGGGCCCCATGGGGCCGAGGCTCCAAGCCTGCGGAAGGATGGAAGTCGTTACTGCTTTTGGGCCGGAAATATGCAAGAGACTCATGGGTCCGAAAGGACCATACCTTGCTTCTCTTCATGGGGCCCTGATGGAGTAATTGCAAGGGTCATCATCGTGCCACGTCCTCTCTCCTCCTCTCTCGCTCTGTTCCTGCTGGACCAGACCCGTCAAGCCGGTGATCTCGTGTGAGGCCCGGCTTGTACGCACGCGGAAATAACGCAACGCAAGCCAGTTCTTGGCTCCAATGGGCGATTGCAGATGGTCGGAAGTCTGGCGGAAAGGTGTTGCATTGTTCATGTGGGAGTCGAGGTTGGAGTGGGGGCTCTTGATTTCCTGCCAGTCCCAATACAGCAGCCCATATGCGGCAATGACGCAGGCAGATCCTCTTGCTTAGATATCAAAATAGCGGTGTTGATATTGGAGTCGCAGTTGTAGAGTCAGGAGGCGGCTCCGAAGGGGCTTGAGTGCTACGGCTTCGAGTCGACTAGTCTCGATACAGTGGTATTGGCCAAGTAATTCTCGAAGGCAGATCGAAGCTACGTCGGGGCAAAAAGGTAAAGAGGAGGCGTCGGTCGGGTGGCATCGGCCGACGTGTACAGACTGGGTTACCGGTTACTGGACAGTGACCAGGGCGGTGGGACGGGACCCGAGGCAAAGGAACCATCCTAGACAGGACAGCCAACTGGGAAAAAAAACTTATTAGGCAGAGAGTCTAGCGAATCCTTCCCAGATTGCCGGGAGTGGGCGAGGGGGGCCGATCCATTGGCTTGATTTTGGGGGTGATCTGATTTGATTGTGACGTTGCCTCCTGCACAGCTAGTGCTCTAGCGCGCATAACAAGCATGCAAGACATTGCTGGCTCCGGTGCGGTGGGAGAAGGCCGTGAAACTGTATGGAGGGGGGAGATGAGGAGGGGAGGAGGGGCGAAGACTCCGAGGTGTGAAGCATCACAGGTGAGAGTTGAGTGAGGGGATCTCGGGGAGGCACCTTGGGTGGTTCTGTCTGTTCCCTCGGATGCTGCGTGATGGGTGCTCTCACTCTCTCTCGCTCTTCTCTTTCCCCCTCTTTTCTCCCTCCTGCCCACCTGCCTTCCTGCCTGTCTGCGTTGCTGCGTTGCTGCGTTGCTGCCTGCCTGCTGTAGTACCTTCCTGCCGTCCCGTCGTGCCTTCTCTGCTGCACGCCTGCCCTGCTTCTCGAGGCCAGGGCCATGCTTTGCCTGCATGTCATTTAAGGTAGACCACAGAGAGACTATGGGCAGACGTTGGACAACCTCAACTGCTCCAGCTCGTCACGGCACAACATGCAGAACACGGTGATAATATTCAACGTCGAGGGGGCTCATGCAGCGCAGCACAGCACGCGGCCATGACCACCAATTGGTCCTCCCGGCATCCTGGTCTGCATATTCCCGTCTCTCGCTTAGAGGCAGCTGAGGTTTGGGGGTCCCAAGTCTGGGAGCCAACGGCCACTCGCTCCAACCAGACCAGCACCACCAGCACCACCACCTAAGCCACCCACAAAACATGACATAGCACATCATGGCACAGCATGGCACAGCATAACGCAACCGCGGAGCGCAAATAAATACAGCACAACACACTTACATGGCCACCATGGCCGCGCATCGCATCGCAGCGCATCGCATCGCATTGAATGCAAGCGCCCGACCACTCGCGGTAGTTCCACCACCAACAAGCAAACGACTGGCTGGGCTGCTGCTGGACCCCAAAGTCGCAGCCGGCTCAGCACTGCAGATGCCGCAGCGGATGCAGCAACCAGCAGCAAGCAGCGCTCAGGATGGTGCCGCCCCTCTTCAGCTCGCGCCCTGGTCCCTGCGGCTGTACCAGGGCGGGTGGCGCCAGCCTTGGCATAGCTACCCAGAGGACTGGGCCCGGCTGAGACACGACGCAGAATCTGTTGGTGCCAAAAAGTACCTTTACCCAGTACCGTACCTGTACTCCCGGCCGACAAATCATGGTCCTGCATATGCCTCTCGCTCTCTGGCCCGCGAATGGCAGCTCAGCAATGGCGCTAATAACAAGATCAAGACGGGCATTACCATGAAATGGACAACCAGACTCCGAAACTCCAGGCAGCCCAGGAACTAGCCAGACTGACACGGCACCACGGCACTCTAGCACACTCCACTCGACTGGTAGCTGCACTGCCAATGGACACCCAAGTCCGCAGAGACACACACCTTGTCTGCTTGTCCGGAGCATCAACCTGGGATGCGACAATATGGTTCGGCTCTCTGACTTGTTAGTCCGGGGCTAGAAGGCACAACGAAGCCGGTCGCCAGAATGGGCCCGGTTCACGTCTTCATCCTGCTGCCATTAGACTACCACCTCCACAGCGACTAAACCTAGCCTCCCGGGCTGCTACTGTACACTTGTTGATCCTCCTCTCCCTCTGGCTTTCTTTGTTTCCCTCCCCGTCACATGCGCTCGCTCGTTCGCTCGCTCGCCGTCTTTCCCTTCCCCCTCCAATATTGTACAACATCTGCTCTCGTCTTACACGAGAGAGATGCCAGTTTGCAGAATTCAAAAAGGCTCGCTCGACCCTTCCTTTCCCATCCAGCCTTGTTGTTGCCCCCTGGAAAACCTTACTCCCATCCCAACTCGACCGTCCCAACTGTCTGGTACCCAACCCCACCTCCACCTCGGCACATCATCCCTCGACCCAGAGCTTCGGTAACCTATACAACAAGGCTCCGCCACACAGCCCAAACTCGTCACTCGCCGCAGAAAAAAAATACTTCATCCTGTAAGCTGACGAATACCACCCTGTTATTCTCTTCTGAAAGACATAAGAACTAATCGCACACTTCAAGAAAGAAAAAAGGTCAACCCAGAGAAGGCATAGAGAAAAAGAGAATCACCAATCACCAAAGGGGCTGTCGCATCCCCTATACACACCGCACGCTCGCCCTGATCAAACCAACCCAGAGTCACCATGTGCCGCATGGTGATATTTTCGGGTAATTGCATTCGCTGTGGCCAGTACTATACCGTCCCTGAGCTGGAGCAGAGCGTGTCGTGCCTCGAGGCCAAAAACAACGGCGGCTTCGGCGACTGCAGGAGGGGCGTGAACATGGACCAGCACGATCCGGCCCTCGAATGCGCCTCGTGCAGCTACGCCATGAGCCTCACCGACGACCAGCAGCCCTATAGCGACGACATGCTGATCGCCGCCAGCAGTTCGGGCGGCAGCACAACCAACCCGGGCACCAATTCTTCCTCCAGTAGCAAGGGGAGCCACCACCATTCTAGACATGACACCACCAGCAAGAGGAGGAAGGTTCGGTGATGAGTAGAGCTGTCTTGGCTCTTGTAAGTGGTTGACGGTCGCTGGCATGGACGGCAGCTCTCGCGAGTCAATGTGGGGTGGGGTGCTTGGGACGAATAACGACATTCACGACGTTTACGAATACTTCACATTTGTTTGCATTTACATTTCTGTCACAACAGGCAAGGGGTCTTAGATGCATCGCAATCTCTCTAGATCTGGGGACAAACACAGGCAGGCAGGCAGGCAGGCAGGCAGGCTCGCGGGGTTAATTAGATTCTAACATGAGCAAAAAAAGAAAGGCTAAGCTAATAGGAAAAGTCTTACAAAAGATCATCATCTAATTCCTATTCCCCTTTCTAATGCGGTGATTGTACACTCATAGGGGAATTATTCTCCCAAGTATCCTTTACAATCTCCCAGTATCTCCCCTCATCGATCCGCACATGCGCGACATGCTGGCCGCCAGCGAACTTCTCCATCCTCGCCACCACAAAACCATTCCGCACCGCAGAAGCCGCATGCTCCTCAACATCCCGGTAATCCACAAGAGCATCCTCCTCGCTATAGATATACGCGCGGCGGACCTCGGCCGCATTCCGCGCGCGGTCGTTGTGCGAGAGCCACGTGCGGTCGAGGTAGCCCGGGCGGCCCCAGGGGACGTGTGCGGCCCAGTAGAGCCCGAAGAGGCAGTTGACGATGAAGCGCATCGCCAGCCGGGCCAGCAGGCCCCAGCGCGCCGCCGACGCCATGAACGCCGTCACGCTGCGCTGCCACTGGAAGCGGCCCGGCGCCGAGTCGAACACGGTTACGTGCCGCGGCAGCGCCGCGGCCGGCTCCCCACCACCGCTGCTGCCCTCCTTGCCCGACAAGGCGTACTGCTCGCGCAGGTGCCGCAGCGCGGCCGACCCGCCGTTGGAGAAGAGGTGCACGAGCATGGCCGGTCTACCGCCCTCCTCCTCGTCGCCGTCCCCGTCGTGGTGGTCGCCCATGATGGAGCGGATGACCGGCACGGCGGCGGCGACGTCCCTGGGGTGCTGGGCGGCCCTGGTGGTGAAGTGGTGGACGAAGGACCGCAGCACCACGATGGGCGCGCCCGGGAACAGCGCCTGCAGCCTGGTGGTGTACTTTGCGAGGTGTGGCTCGCGCGCGCCCATCCACCCGGCCAGCACGATGAGCCTCGGCGCCGCGGGGGCTGAGGAGGCCGATGGCTTTCGGGTGAGGGCCCCCTGGTCCTCTCGTTCTTGGTCTGGGCGGTGGACGTACACCACGTCTGAGAGCTTGGTGAAGCCCGGTAGGCCGCCCTGTGCCGCCGTGACTGGCGCTGGCGCTGTGGCTGCCATGGTTTCCAAGACTACGGGCTGGCAGCAACTGGGAATGGATGAGGCTTGGGAGGGGATGTGGGATAGAGTGATGACTTTGCCGCCTAGAAAATGTGCGCAGAGACGTGATTATGTAGAGGCTGAATTAGGGCGCGCCCGTCAAGCCAGTGACGAATCCTGTCACGTTTGCGGCGCAAAGAAGGGCTTGGCCAACGCCCTTCCGTCTCTTCCTTCGGGTTCTTAGAGCTGACGCTTGGTGGGCAGTGATCTGGCCAGGACACAGGTCTCCCTGGGCCTGCCGAGGTTATCAAGCAAGCGAATCAAAGTTCTCTGGAGAATGAAGGTCAAGATTGTGATGAATAGCTTTGCTCGGTGAATGCAGACAGATGGTGTTCGTTCATGTCTTGATATGATCACGGCGCATCGGGGCTCCGGCCAAACATCTTTGGGCCGGCGGTCGGACATGACCTCCGGGCCGCGGCTCCGTGGCCCCACATGGGATTTCTTCTACAACGACATTACCTCTAGATACCTCGGTAACAGACCTTCAATTCAACATGGGCAAATAAAACTCAGTCCCACAGCTTTCCTCAATCTCAATCATGGAACACAGCTGACTAGCTTGGTAAAAGCGATGACCACGCGAGGAGCCACTAATGACCTCTGTGTGAAAATACAGCCATGAGCGCTTTTGACTCCTGTGCCAACTCATATGGTCGCTCCTTTCGAAGTCCTCGGGGAGAGGATTGGCTGCTCAACATCGACTAATGCTGGATGGCTGAGGATTTGAATACCGAAGCCTTTGCTGTCCTACTCTCAAAGCATCGATGAAATGCTGGAAAACGAGCGAAAGTATACGGCTCAGCATGTAAAAGCCACTTTTTACGTTCTTGCCGATACCCCGATATCAGGGTTTGATAAAAATAGAATTACCTTGATCAATCATTCCCAACAAGGCGCAAACAGCTGTCAACAGCCTCTATCCATGCCGCATATTTTTTGAGAAGATGACGGATGGCTGACGTGCCATGCCTCCATATTTCGGTATTGAAATTGCCACCTTTCTCAGAGCCCAACAAAAACAACAGCCGGAATTGCATAGCAGATGGTGTGCCACAGCACGTCGTACGAAGGCTGCTGTGTGACGACCCTCACCCTACGGGCCGGATCTGTGTACTTCCTCGCGCCTCATTCTTCCCGCCATGTGGGTAACATGGCAAAACCCAACCTGCAAGTCTGACAGCTTCGTGCGCGCTCCCCCAAGCTACGAGTCTATGTCTCAGCCAGGTGTCCGCGCATCACAGCCGCCTCCGCTCGGTTGGGCATCATGACACTGCCAAAGGCTGCCACATGTCCACAAGATCACCATCGAGCTGTTACACTCTATGTTCTCTCAGGACGACAGGGGCTCAGTGCGATGCCCGTCGGAGCTGACCGGGCGTCACGAGCGCGTGATGCCTTCAATCCCCACCCCCTTCTCAGCCAACTGCGTCCCGGCGATCTGGGAAAGACGTGGCGCGGCTGAGCCAAGCGCTATGAAGGCGCTCGCCACGTTCACACAAGGTCATGCGCCATCCTGTGTAACTGGAGATTTCAATGTCTTGCAGAACCACAGCACATCGGGCATATCTACGAGGTGGCGAGGACGTAACACACCCTCCCGTCGGGATGCGCATTGACCAAGCGGCATCTTTACCCGTCTTGAGCTACTACGACGAATGTCCCCTCTAACACATGAGGTGTCGTTCGGAATTATCTGCAAGCGTTGTACTTGTCCTCCCGTGCGTGGAGCGGCCTCATTCGAAGAAAGACCCTCCGTGCTCATCCTCCACGTCACATCCTCGGAGGCTGACGAGCTGACAGGACAAATTTCAACCGCGGCGCAGAAGATCGGGTAAGATATCCAAATTTGGGCCATGGTTGCACCATATTCAGAAGGCTTGTGAGCCTCACCGCAACCTCTTTCCGCTTGCTTGTCCACGTAAGCATCGCTTCCGATGCCACTCTGGCTCCCGAGCTCACGGCTGATGCCTGCTGCAAACTACCGCGCCAGTTCAGAGTGATGGCACCTACCAGGAATCTGGTGGTTGAATGTGCTGGGAGGCATGAGAATTATGTGCTCCTGAGTCCATGTCGATGCATATTCTGTGCTTACGATCTGTGGGCGACCCTCGTTGGAACTCACTGCAGCACTGTCGATTGCAAGACCACGATGTTAAGCGAGTTCAATCTTGTTTGCAACCGAGGGACACGAGACGGCATCACAAACCTGGTCTCGCAAACTTTCTGTCGGGGCGCACCGGCAGGCTCGTTGTCAGTCTTCAGTCCAAGGGTGATTCCAGGAACGATGCCCTTTAACACGGGTTCTGGCCGGGGGTGTTTCCATGAGCTATTTCATCTAGATTGTTGTAGCCATCTTCAAGTTGCCTGCTTCACCATCCTCCAACGAGTTTCCCTCGATTCTAGGTAATATGCTCGATATACTACTGATAACGGGCTTTATTGCCTTGGCTGTGGTCGCAGACAGACCACCTCTACCTGCCTGGGGACCCCGGCCATTAACATTGGAACCTCGTGGCCCCATTCAGACGGCTCTACCCGATGCCTCATCCAGACATGATCACCCTATTCCCCAGAGCCGGAGTAAGAGAGGAGCCAAAGACCGGTTCAGGAAGACTGAAAATTATGCCCATCTACATCGTTACAGTGGGAGGCCCTTCGGGAAGTACTCGGCATCAAATGGACTAGGCCTTCCTCACAACTCGAACAGGTTGGATGGATCTCAAAATATCACTGATCTCAACTCGGGCTTCTGGTACGGCGTCAACGTCACTCTTGGCACACAGGAGCTCACCCTGGTCCTCGACACTGGCAGCAGCGACACTTGGGTGTTTTCCAACGGCACCAATTGCATAGGGATCACGGGTCCCGACGGAAAGCCTATAGGCGATAGGATGTGCACATTTGGCCCCAGGTACCAGGGTGACTTCCCGCGGGGGCCGTGGGAGCATGCGTACTTCAGCACCGACTACTGGAGGAACCAGACCGTCAACGGAACCCTCGGCGAGATGGACGTGACGGTGGGCGGCGTGCACGTCACGAACCAGACCGTCGGGCTCGCCGACAGCGCGACGTGGTGGCTCGGCAGCGGGCGTAGCTCCGGGGTACTGGGCCTCGCGTACCCGGGGCTCACAAAGGCTTTCTTCGACCTTGACGGCCCTGGCAATCTATCCTTCCAGGCCACATACTCGCCTGTCGTCTCCACCATGATGGGCGAGGGTCTTACGGAAGGGTTCTTCAGCCTTGCACTCAACAGGCCTGGGAGCTCTGAGACAGCAGGGGTGATTGCTTTCGGTGGGGTTCCAGATGATCTGGAAGGCATTGAATGGGGCAGACACGCGCGGACAGACATTATTATCGTAAGTCTCTCTCACCTTTACTGGCTAAATGACTAGGCATATAGCATTAAATTCGCTAAAAAGCAGTTTTCGTTAGGCAAACGTCGATGGTGTAGATAGTTCGGCGTCCGAATATTCGTTTTACACAATCATTGCTGACGGCTGGTATTTCGACGGTGCCACTGATGAGAGAAGGTTTGAATATATCGTCGACAGCGATACACCCTTGAACATCCTACCGTTTGGTAAGACTTTTTCCATAGCACTTCCGGCAAATCACCACAATTTGTAACTGTAACCACTCAGAGGCCAAAGCCTAACATTCATACAGAAGTCGTGGACGGGATCGCGGAAGCCTTCGACCCACCGGCTGAGTACAGCGACAGGTTCGGCTTTTGGGTGGTCGACTGCGATGCCATCATCCCAGAGGTGGCCGTCGTTATCAACGGCACGTCCTTTTATCTCAATGCTGCAGACCTTGTGCTTGACGCAGCCAAGGGAATCCACGACCCGTGCTTCATCGCCTTCAATGACGGCAGCCCGGACGGACCTTATGTCCTTGGGAGTGTCTTCCTCAAAAATGTCTTGGCCGTGTTTGATGTCGAGAATGCGGTGATGGAGTTTGCGGGCCGCGAGTTCTACTAAATAGGCCTCCGCCCTAGCAGGTTAAGATTTGGTCTGGTCTAATGTCTCCAATAGGAGGCACTGAGCAAGGTTTGCTGAGAGTTGGTTGATGTTGAAAGTAGTCATGATTCAGATTGAAATCAAGGGGATTCAAAATAGGATTGGGTCCAGTTAAAGTATGCTTTCGATACATCAGACCCAAGACGTAAGGTGGTAAAGAGATTTTCTTGGCGATGCTAGTGATGTATTTGCATAAATGCGGAGAGTGGCTCAGCCTTGCCCATGGATATTCGGGTCTTCACCTACTAGTAGGTACGTACTGTAGTCACACCACCAATCACGCCCCACAGCTACAGCCGTCGTGACAACCGTCTTCTCCAGGTTCCAAGTGACCTATGATCAACACCATAGGGCACCTTAGAGTTTTGAATTATTGAAGGGACAACTCGCAGCACAGCCATTGACCCGACCAGACAAGCTGAAAGCAACAAGCCCAGTACCCAACAAGATGGCCGAAAACGACCCGTATCAATGTTTGTCAGAGCTATAGTGGCTCAAGATATCGAAGAAACTGCTGCCACGGCCAGGAACCTCCGAATAATTGCCGCCGACACTTTTAGCGTTCCGAACTCGTCGGGGTTCGGGTATGGTGGGCGCGCGAACTGCACTGCTGGAAGGCCGCTTGCCAAGCCTGATCGCATCTCATGTACGTTTTGAGCGTAGTCGAACGTGTTCAAATCTCTCTTGGCTGTGAGAGAATCCTCATGTCAGCAAGCTCCCCGCCCCCGGTATTTAGGCAGTCAGCCATTTTACACTCGGCTGTCGTTGAAACGAGGTAAATCTATTCATGCTTTCCCAATCATTTGATCTGCGCCTTTCATTTTCCACCCCAAAGCTAGAATCCCAGTCAACATGACAGATGCAGAGATCGCTCGCCGTCCGGGACATGCAGCGGCGCGGACTCTTTGGCTTTTCCAGGCCTTCGTCGCCGGCCTTCTCTCTATTCTCTGGATCCTCGACATATTGCGGGAGATTGATCACCCAAGCTACGGATCTGACGGCTACCCTGCTTCAAAGGACCTTCTCCTAGCTATTCTCGCAGCTATAATAATGTATACTGTCATTGTCCAATGGCAATATTCGGACCCGCACCCGAAGGTCATCGCCAAGTTTGAGCTGGCGAAAGGACTGCTCGCCACCGTCATATGGCTCTGGGTGCTACTGGACGCGATTTTCTATATTCCTTCGCATCCGTATTACTACGACCCATACTGCAGGTATAGGGCAGTAAGGATAAAATTCAGCGCAATTTCTATCGCTATCCCATGTCCGTGATGCTCCGACCAAGACCCAGATTATATGATGTGTTTTAGCTGACAATTTACCAAGGTATCTTCTTTTATCCGACTATGTTTTGGAGCGCGAGAGTGGCCCGACGAGCTATAAAGCAGGAGACAGCGATTGACGATGGGACGGCAGCGGGTGAGAACACACCCTTGCTGCGGGGTGGATAGTTCCCCTAGCATGGAACATCTTCTGGGAGATGTAGGGGCCCTCGGCCTTGCAATAACGCTCTGAAGATTTTAAATCCCATGCAGGAATTCCCCGTGACTGGAATGATCGGGTGTAAAAGAACAATTGAATGGAGAGCTTGCCACGAAAATATCCAAATTAGATACTTCAGTGCCCAGGCTCAGATAATCTCGATCGCTTTCCCATTGATTTCTGAGGCACGAAAGCAGGGATTGTCAACCTTTTAGACATATTAAATTATCATCTGATTGTGATACTTCCAAAGCCTATAGCCCTCTCCCCTTCAAAGAGTCACGTAGAATCCTAGCATAGTCCACAGCATGATACGGGCCCAGCATGGTGTAATGCTCGCCGACTACTTTGTGACACCTAGACGCTGTTGAACAAATTTGACCCCAGTTACACCGAAAATTTTCTAACCACTGCTTGCGAAATGATGCGAAGGCTTGGACGGTACGGCATGAAACACATTCATGGTCTCCACAAATCCGCTGGGGCTCATAGTCGACGGCCTGCCTTTGTAAGCCACTCACCAGATTCGCCAATGTCTCCAACAAGGCCTCGTCCATTCGCGACTCGCTCTACCGTCTTACACCTAGCTTCTCCGACAAGAGATAGTAATACGAGGTTTCCTTGCCTGGGATTTGTCGTAACCAGATGCCTGCTGTTGGGGTGCACACCCGACCAATCCTTCTCATCAAGCACTACCTTTGGAACAGGGAGCCTTCCCCTATTTAAGGTATCATAGGAGATGTAACGTGAACGCATCACCATCGTCCTCAATATTAGGAACTACTAGTAAGCTCTCAGCAACCCGAACAGCTATGGTCACGATACAAACATTCAGGTCGTTAATTCATACTCGCTCTAGTTATAAATGTTTGTAGGATTTCTATTTAAAGATCAATCAACTTGGTTGGAGTAATCTCTAGCCCACCGCTCAGTTCGATTAGAATGAGTTGGCAATTCCATTGTACTCGCTATACCGAGACCCCATACCCTGACAGTCTTATCATCTGAGCACGAGACAATCTGCGTGTCATCGTTTGAGAAAAGAATGGTGTTGACCGCGCCCGTGTGTCCCCGTACAATATTTCTCACTGCCCAGACTTGAGTGTGCCAGAGTTTTATTTCACCATCCGCGGTAGCTGAAGCCATCAAGAGTCCACTATGGGACATGGCGAGCGCGGTCACCTCGTTTTTCGCTCGATCAATGTTTTGAATAAGGGCTCCTGACTCAAGGTCCCAAAGTGAGATGTGGCCCGTCCACGAACCTGTGATCAGTAATTTTTCGTTCACCGTGAATGTCAAGGCAGAAATCAGCCCCAGATGACTCTGGATCTCCTGCCTGATTTTACTTCTGGTGTTATCAGAAATACTGATCCGACTATCAGATGCCGTCACGATGTGCTTGCCATCTGGGGAGTATCCTGCGACATAGATCGGAAAGAACTCTTGCTCCTCGTTTTCACATGTTATCTGCTCCCCACTGCTTCTCCATAATTGAGACGTCTTGTCCCAGGACGCAGACACCAGGAATCGGCCGTCTGGCGAGAATGTCAAATCATTGATGGTGTCTTTGTGTGCAGAAATTGTCTTGAAGCAGTCACGCGATTCGCCGTTCCACAATTTGATTGTACCGTTAAAGTCGCCCGTAGCTATGCACCCGTCTGAGGACCAGGCAACAGCCCAGCAATCGCTTTCGTGGCCAACCAGTGGTGGCAACTTTTCCCCTGAGCTCAAATTTCTGATCCGGACGGACTCCTCATCAAGAGTCAATGCCAAGTATTTGTTATCTGGTGAAAGGGCAATGTCTGAAACCTTCGTGGTGTATTCGAAAACTTGGGCCGCTGCCACTTCGACGTTCACCACGGTATCTTTGGAAACAGGCCCAGTGTCTCTGGCAGGAGTTTTGTCTTCTGTGCCGATAGCATTGTTGAGGTCTTGCATTGCTCCTTCGGTCAAGCCATTGGGACTTGGTGATCCTGTTCTTGAGAGTTCTATACTGCCATGCTTGTCTCCTCCTTCGTCGAACTCATTGAAGATGACCGACTCGAAATCACCATCCCGAGACTCGTCTGCCACAGGTCCATTGGCTTTGTCTGAATCCGCGTTGGACCCGTCGTCGGCGTCTGCTATGGACCTCGGAAAGGAGAATTGGGCAAGTCTCTCTAGATGAAGGGCGACGTGGCCCTCCATTTCCTTGGCAGTGTCGAATGTGACCATGCAAATCGGACAGGGGCGATCAGGCACATCCAGAACGGACTCACTGGCCTGAATGATCCGCCCGAGGGATGCTTCGTTGTTGCTGAGTCCCGCATGCTCTTCCTTAAGGTGGCGTTTATACTCTTCGAGCTGGGTAAAGACTTGGCCTGAGTGGTGAAGACATCGGTAGACTTTACGATGGGCTGAATTCTCGTGCTGGACCCAATCCCGTCGGCTATCGTATAGCTGTGCGGGGTTATTGCAGTGTTCATACGTACATATGTAAGGGCGCAAATCATGGATTAGGTGGGCTTTCCAAGCCTTGTCTGCGAGAGTCTCCCTGGGACACAAGGTGAAGCAGTACGGACATTCAAAAAACTCGTTGAAGGGCGTTTTACGAGATGGTCTTGGCGCAGGTGGAAACTCTATCACGTCTCTGCTTGGCTTCCAGGTCGATGGTGCATATTCCGAAACAGTCCACGTTGAGCGGTCGTCCATGGCTTCGAGTCTGGCGATGTTGAGGTTCGTCGCAGTCGTGACGGAGGGAACTGCGACCTCCTTAGTGATGGCCAACAGCGATGGAAGCTCACCCATTTTGGGTAGATCCGCCGCTGGCGCATCACGCAAACCGACCTCTGGAGCCTTCGCGGATAGAGTTGTTTTGGTGTGGTGATGTAGTTTGTCCCGATGTCGAGCCCAATATGCGAATTGCCGTCTCCTGAGCGTGTTTGCCTGTGCAATACGTCCGATGAGGAAAGAGTCTGTTCCAGTCCTTTCATTGAGCAAGACGGTCCTGATCGGCTCCCATACTTTATCTTGGTCATCTCCTATCGTAATTTCCCTTGGCGGCGCTCTCGGGTCGTGCTCTTGACAGGCTCTGTGCTTTTGATACTCCAAGAAGACCGACCTGACGTAGTCATAGTCTTCTTTCCTTATAACTTGCAGGAAGTCGACCCCCGTTTCTTCGTCTATTTTCTGGAAAAGGGCAGCCTTGGAGGAGCCAATTCTAGTTGATGGATTCCTGATCTTGGTAGATACTTTGAACAATCTGTTGATAGGGTCTCGAATGCCGTCTAGCAAAAGATCGATTTCCGACTCATCATCTTCTTCATCTTCATCATCTTCATCATCCGATTCTGCTTGATTGGTCTCTTCGTCATCACTATCACCCAATAACTGTTCTTGGGTCGAAGTGGAGCATATATGAACAACTATAATTGACCTTGTGTAAGTCCTTATGGCTTTCATCGTACGGAGCAGTAGTGCAGAGTTCTCACCATCATCCAACGAGTTTATCAGCTCCTGCAAAAACCTGCCAAGTGTTTGTGCCAGTTTTTCCGCATCTCGCACTCTATAATCCAAAGACCCATGGCCTGCAACAAACAGACCCAAATTGGCTGCCCAGAGCTCAAATCTTTCGGCCTCGGACAGAAATTGAGCTATCGGCCAGGCCCGATCATCGGCTTGGTTTTTGAGAGTGATCTCCACCTTCTTGAACGATTCTATCGTTTGAAACCCCAAGCCAGCCAGGGTTACTATGTTGGGTGTGTTCGTGGATGTAGATGACTCTGCCATCTTTCGCTGTAGCAACCGGCAAAGAAAAAGTGTGCAGTGCCGCTAAGGACAATTTTGTATGAATTGCTACCCCTCTTCCGGCTGGAGTCCCGTTTACAGGATGGATCTCACGTGAGAAGTTCCAGGCTGACAGGCAAATTAGACCGTGATAGTATTGGCTCGCTTGGTTAGCTGCAGGTCAGCTCTGGACCGGGGGGAGGGGAGAAAATCGACCTCAACCTCAGCTCTTGGGCAAATGGTTGCAGGTGACAGCGTCGTTCGGATTTGTTCCCAGCACCCTTAGTCCGACAGGCTTTGTCCTTGAGTCGACATATATATTGAATGAACCTCGTCGACCATTGATGCTATGGCTGGGATCGAAGTGGCCGGCCTTGTTCTGGGAGCCCTTCCTTTGCTTCTGAAGTCAGTGGATGTTTATCGGGACGGATTCCGCAGGTTCGGAAGCGCATTTAAGAAGCGCAAGCACGTGGAGAAGCTGGGTCGGGCTCTTCTTCTCCAACATCAAACACTGGAAGAGCTCATCAAATCTGTCGCACTAGGCAGTGGCTGTGAAGATGTCTGGGCACTGGAAAGTGATCCGGTCGGCTATTTAAACAATCCAGAAGTGCAGGCGCAAGTCGAGGAGTTCTTAGGCCCAAAGCACACAATATTCCTCATCAGCGAGCTCCAGGCCAACCACGAAGCGACCAAGAAGGTGGCAAAATGCATTTCTGGGCTCGTTCCTTCATACCAGGTATGCTATTATGGTGTTAGGGTCGTGTCCTGTTTCATTGGCGCGGAGCTGATAATTTGTAGGGTCCCACAGACGATCTCGTGGCCATTATCAATGCCAATCAAGGCAAGCCCGATTTGTTGGCTGACCTGGCTCCGAGAATCAAACTCGTACTTGGGATCACTGACTTGAAAATGATGATCCAAGAGATAGATGAGGGTACTCAGACATTACACCGCTTCTCGAGCCTCGCTGTATCGAACTGCCACGCGATGGGAAGCAACTCATCAAGGAAGACATTGAAGCTAGCGAAGGCATTTCGACAAATTCAAAATCTGGCTGGCGGTCTCTACGAGGCTGTGCTGGATGGATTTCTGGACGAATGCCACGATAATCACGAGGCCAGACTGTACCTTGACGACCGCATCGAAATTGCCCAAAAGGTCATGCATCAGAGAAACAAAGTCAAATCTAACACGCCCCCGATTTCTTTCGAATTGGTCTTTTATGCAGATGACCAAAAAAGGGAAACATTGCTCTATGAAACACCGGTACAAGTCCTTGGTGAGCATTCAACGGACCAGACCAGCAAAAGCCCTCCTGCGCACCTCGTCACCACAGCAGTCACAATTTGTATAGACGAAGCTCCATCAGAAGACGATTCCAGGCCGGAAGTAGCCATCATCACCAGCATATGCTCGGCGATCAGAGAGGCTCGCGGTTTAAAGCCTCGCCCTTCCTTCGCACTTTTGAACAACCGCCGAATGGGGACATTTCGAGACGACGGCACACATCCGTCTCCTCGTTCACAGATTCAGGGACCCCAAAAAGACTATATATCTCTTGGTCATATCTTGAAAGGCATGACCACAGCACTGCCTCTCAAGCCGCGGATGCAGCTTTCTCTACGCCTTGCATCGAGTCTCTTGCAGCTTCTTCACACACAGTGGATTGCACAGACATGGTCCAAAAATATGGTGTTCTTCCTCGTGCCCGGGAAACCCACGGGTCTAATCAGACCGGCTCAAGTTGACCTAAGCCGGCCCTTTATTGCATGCAAATTCAGCGGCAGTGCCGACGGCCAACAGAATCGGTCCTTTCTCGATCCAAAATCTGCACTATTAGAGCTCGGCATCCTCCTGCTCGAAATATGGCACGGCATGACTCTGGAAGCTCGTTTCGAACTGGATGAGACCTGGAGCACATCGTCTTCAGCTGCGTACTACCAACGCTTGGTGATGGCACTAGAGTGGCAGGACGACGGAGAGAATCCAATGTTAGGGTTTTACGCACAAGCTGTAGCGCATTGCTTAACGGGAAACGCCGGTGCTGCGAGACAAGACCTCAGCTGGGACGACACAAAGTTATGGGCCGCGATTTGCGCCAATGTGATTGAACCTTTATCTAAGCTCTGCGACGATTTCTAAATATATATTTTCACATGTTCTTTTGCTTTGCCCATGGATAGAATATCAAATGAGCGGCTGACGACTAAGGACAGGTTGGGGGTGACGTGTAGCTTCTCCTGTTGCCCGTCTTGTTCTTCCGGGTCGAAATGGTAGCGCCGACACAAGTTAGTATCAGGAGGAGATGCAAGACGCGGAACGCTTGAATCTTGCTCATTTTCGCAGAATTCTGAAAGGCATATCGACCTATTCAGAAAGAAGGGGAGGAGGCAAGATCGCTCTCAATTATCTCTTGGAGGATTGTTCAACAGTTGACTATGTCTCCCGAGAGATCCAGCTACTAGAAAGCACAGAATACACTACTTTAGGAAAAGCAAATGGGACTTATAAAATTTTTGGCCAAGAGGCCAAGAGCATTTAGTTACCTAGGATTATACAGTAAATCTCGTGCTCAGCATCGAGTGTATTACTGCCCTTCTATTTGGTGTTGTCACGTATCGCGAATAGGTCCTGATGTGCTTGACTAGGTAAGTCTTCCTCCAACACACTGTAGTCTTCAGTAATTAGGCCTCCTCCTTCATCCGCTTTAGATTGTCCTCTATCGTGGCACCAAAAGCTTCACTCCTATACTTCTCTGTGTAATGCAAATTTTTGACAATTTGAAGGGCCTTGTTTATGGACCTTCTGCTAGTCGGAGCCCCATACTTGACCATCAGTCTCACGACCTGCTCCCATACTTGTTCCACTTCCATTTGCGGCTCCGCGTGAAAGGCGGTCATGTATACAGCCAGGGTGATCTCCCAGAGAGATCGATTTTCCGTCTTATGAGTTTTGAATTGGTACTCACATTGAGAATCTGCTCCCCTTTCAAGTAAAAGCTGTACCATTGGCAAACAGGGCGAGGCAGTCACCACAGCGTCATGCAGCTGCCAGTCGAGATCTGATATTTCGCCCACATAGTGATATGGATGTCTACCATGGTTCCTGGAAAGTACTCGTTTTGGGAGCAAGAGGAGTTTCATCTTGCCGCTCTTTGAAGGCGAAAGCGCCTGATGAGGCATGGGTTGGGTTTTGGCTCGGACGTATTCCACGACATTGTGTTGGATGACGAGGGACCTGAACAACTGTTCCCTTCCTTGATGCACTACTTCAGATGCTATCAATATATCCATCAAATCGGACTCTTCTCTCCTGAACGATTTGGATGCTGAATACCAGCCTGCATGGTGGCTCACCTTGGCCAAGGCTTCTGAGAATACCGCGTTCAGGGCGTCTATCAAGCGGACCATGGATGATAGACCGGTTCCCTGGACTTTGGCAGCATGGGATAGACAGGATGATAAGGTTTCAATCACTTCCGACATCTCAACATTGTGTTCTTGAAACTCAGAGTTCGCCATGTTGTGTATAGGATTCGACTTGCAGAAGCCCAGTTGAGCCGAGCAGAGACGTAAATGTGGATCAAATCTTTGACCAAAACTTCGCTTTGCTCGGGCGCTCAACCTTTCTTTGACACCGGCGCCAGCTAGGTAATCCCGAACGGTCTTGTGGAGGTATTTGACCATAGAGCGTGATGCGTGTACGAATACATCTGTGTCTGCTGCCGGTTGCTCTGCGATCTCCAACAGTCCCATGCAACGACTGTTGAGTCGTTTCTTCAACACTTTTTCTATGGTTTCAAATCTCTCTTTGTCGAGAGGTGAAGCAGGAAGATTGATCGTAAAGTCTTCGTCCTCTTCGTCTGCATAGGAGAAAACCATGATGTTAGGCGGTGATATTGAAAGGCTTGCTTCCATCAGTTGGAAGTACTGCATAGCGTGATCCAAGTATTCGGGGTCCAGACCATCAAGGATTCGTTCATACAACCCCTCTAGATCTGGTGGAAGCTCGTCGAGTCGTCTTTTCAAGTCTGATATACGATCCCCAGCTTTGATGCCCTTCTGCAAGGAAGCCACAACAAGACGAACCCATAAAAATACCCCGTCAGCTTTGGTAGCAATACTGTCCACTAAACTATCCGCAAAAGATGGCTCTATAGTTCTGAGCAGTGCAAAAGCCGGGTCTGGGTGTAGTGTCGACTGGATATATGTCTTGATATCAGCGAGCGTTAGATCTTGTAGCCTCAGGCTGGGCTTATCCTGGAAGGCGTCTTCGAAAACCTGCCACGGACGACTGGAAATACATAGTTTGATGGGATGTGCATCTAGGGCAGCCCTGAACATCCCAATCAAGTCACCGTGCTCGCCTTGAAACTCGTCCAGCCCATCGATAAAAATGCAGATTCGATTGCTTGCGCTCATGCATTGTAAGGCACGAGATAACATCTTCTGTAGCATAGCTTCTGAATAAGCCCTTGGATCCTCGTCGAATAAGCAAAGCGCTTCCCAGCTCTTGGGCATCACGCTTGCTACCATGTCAGGCCCGGCTTGTTTCAGGAGCTCATGGAGCAGTGTGCGCAACATTCCCTCTCTTGATCTTTGCATCGGCGAACCAATTGCCCAGAAGTAGAAAGACGCAATAAGAAGTGGCTGACTTCCGGCCCATCTTCGAAGGAAAGGTGAGCATCTAGGCTGTTCGGCCGTGTTTTCCAGGTGGATTGAGGCATCGCCACTCGCAAGCGGTTGGGAGATGTATCGCATCAGAGTCGATTTGCCAGATCCAGCCTTGCCAGTGATCCAGTACAGCTGCTTATCTGTTTCTTCGAGCCACTGACAGAAGCTTGCCCACGGGCGATCGTGCTCCTTCTCGCGTTGAAAAATCCATTGGAACGTTTTTTCATGGGCCTTGACGATGGATTGTTCTCGAACCAACATATCTGGGTACGCCAGCTTCGAGAGCAGCTTTTCTTTGAGTGTCTGTTTCCTCAGGAGGGGTATATTGAATGCTTTCGGATCAGTCATACTGCCATGCCTCTCTGGCTCGTAAATAGCGCCCAGTATTGCTGTCTTGAGTGACTCCCCGACATTTTCAGCTTGCATACTGCCCAGCTTATGGGTTATGAAGTCGATGGAGATAGTACCTAGACCAAAATCCAAGGCCCGATCAATTCGGTTGCTTAGATGCTCAGCATCTTGAGCTATCTTCCCAAGAATTCTTTTCTGTGTCTCCTGAGACGAGGCAGCATCAGATCTATACATGTCTGTTATTAGCTGATTTGACCGTCAGGTATACGCATTGTGTAAATATGGGGATGAAAAGATCATTGCGTATATACCTTAGAGAATGCACCAAGTGGAGTGTCAACTGACTCCTTACACGGTCCAGCTTTGTCTGCAGCTCCGCAACATGATCCTGACTCCAGGTCAACTTGAAAGCCGCTTGGATTGCCTTATGCTTCTTGACCCTCCACACAGTTGGATTCCCGATCTTATTCAAAGAGTTCAAAATCTCTTCAGAGATTTTGCGGGACTCCGCAGCAAGCTTGAGAAGGTCGCGATTTCTGTCCGGTAAGGATTCAGTAGATGAATTGACCGAATCATTGTGTTCGAGACAGTCCAGTATGTTCTTGAAGTCCTCCGTGAGATATTGCAGTTGATCAAAGTCCTTGACGAGTTGCGATTCTGCTTGCGATGAGTATATCTTCCAAGCGGTCGTGACGAAGACGCCCCCATACTCGACCATCTGCAATATGTTTGCGGCAAAGCTTAAGCCAGCGATGGCTTCCGCCATTGTGAAATGTGTTGCTTGGGAATATCAATATTGAATGACAAGGAGCTGGCTGCTTCAATTCAGGGTTGAGCATCTTAGACAGTCACGAGCGGGGCCAGTCAGGCTGGCCCGCTGGAGGTCAATGTCAGGATTCTCATCTGACATGCGTCGGCTTGTGCTACCAACCAAACAGTCAGAACCGAGCACTACGAATCATCTTGAGAAGATATCCCGTCGCAGATGCCCTGCAGAGGCGCTTAGCCGAGCTTGGGAGCGAGGTGGCAGACAGTGCCATGATTCGCTACGCCTGATGGCTGGTACTGGTCATTGGCTCAATATTTTGCGAATAGAAAAGTCCGCTCGACAATGACATACGAACAGCTAGACTATATCTTATCTTTGTCTGTCCTATTGCTGTATGCTCGAGTGTGTATGGCTGAGGATCGACACCTGCACGTGTACTACGGGCTTATCGCGACTTATCGCGACTTGACACTAGCGCCCAGTGTTTGGTGTCGCGGGAACTTGCAGCCCAAAACCCGCGCTGAATCTGATTCAGCAGGGATGAGATCAGATCTCGTGCGGCTTAGGTGCTGGCTGCAGCCCAGCGCCTGAGCGGCTGAGGCAAGCAAGGGCAGGGCCCGTCGCCACTCGGCATTGGCGACCTTGGAAATCTTTGACCCAAGCAACCTGAAGCAATCGACTCCGCCGACACCGCCCACCCCTTGCCTCCCTACCAAATCTGTTTTGAGCGATTCCGTTTCACGCTCCCAACTGATTTCTTCTAATTTCTTTTCAAGCATCAGGCTAGGCTAGTATAGCACCTTATCATATCGAAGGTCAGTTCTGAGCCGACAGCCTGCTTGGTGGAGCAAAGAAAAGCCCCGCCATCCGACTTATCTCACCCGCTGCTTTCTGCTGACGCTGGCCAGATATCCTCCCGACGCACGTAACAAGACTCTCACGATGAGACACATCTCGCCAGGCCCCCCAACGCCACCGGCGGGGCGAGCGAGAGCCAACACCTGGTCATTTGGCAAGGTGCGTGAAAGAGCTTTCTCTCGGGTCTCGTCACGTTCTTCAGTTGCCCGAGCACTGCACTGCAACATGCCGCGCTGCATCACTTGAGCTATTTGCAGAGGCAAGATGTCTCATGCATTCCACGGAGGATAATACCGGCATAGATGCTGCAAACTCGCCCGGCGTGCAAATCCCGTTCTTTTCCGAGTTTTATCCCCGTGTCGTCATGGCATAGGGGTGGCAAGTCGAGAGTCCACCTAGCGGTGAGGAGCCGCATTCAGGGGTCCGGGACCCAGTGGGTAGATCTCAGATTATGGCAGAATGACCTTCGTATTGCCCCCCGGGAGTCAGACAACGGACGGCAGTCACCCACATGTCGACGCCCAGATCGTACAATACGATACCTGTTGCCCTATTGCCCAGCAGGGATTCCTCAGCCTTGGCCGAATCTCGTTGACGGGTGCACTGGCAGCCTCACACGGGATTGATGCACGCCGATGAGACAGAATTCATGGTCATTTCCTTCGTCCCTTGACGAGTGCCGGGTGAAGCCAGACTGGCCGTTGAAAGACACGAGGCTGGCCTTCTGCTCTGCGACAGATTGGGTGAGCAAGCGTCGTATCCTGATCTGTGCGCGTGATCCTTCCCACGGTGAAGCCGCTGGCTTGGGGTGAGCCTGTCCGCCTGGATAATTGCTGGTGGAAAAAAGCCCAGTGGCCTGCAAATGAAGTTAGCCAGATGAAAGAAAGCGCGGAACAGAGTATGGGGCGCAAAGGAGATGCCGGCTGCACTGGCAAGATCTTTTGGCGGGGGATGGGGAACCTCAGGCCACTGATTGTGCGGGGAGGCTCAGTCGAGTCTTGTGAGTCTGGGGAAAGGCGCGAGCGCGAGCAAGATGGGAAGAAAGAGGGAAGGTCTGGAGTGAGGAATGAGGAGAAAACATACGATTATAAGGGCCTGCTGATCACTGCTATGGCGTGGAGTGGCATGGGGCTCCGGAGTCGAGACCGGGGTGACTCGGGGTGCTCTACGCGACGCATGCCGGCGCTGGCCATGTGGGAACGGCCTGAAGGATCTCACGCTGCATGATGCTATGTACCGCGCAGGTACGGGGCCTGGCCGCAGTTTCGGTCGGGTCGGCCTTGTCCCTGACCTTGTCTTACCCAGCTGTTTGGAATCTCGAGACACGCGCTGCTATATTCGTCCTGACGGTCGCTTGCTCGCTCGCTCACACACAAACTCTCTCTCTCTCAATGGCGCGAACAGTTTCGGTTGAGACAAGAGCTTCGTCCGTCCCGCTGGGTCGGAGTGTCCGAGCTGTCGGGAGAAGAGTGAGCGAGGGTTTGGGCCAGCTTTGCAGGCATGGGCAACCCCTGCCCCGGCAAGAGTCAAGGGAAACAAGACCTGGAGGGGCGCCCCTCCAGGCCTGAGGGCCCTGAGGGCTGAAAGAAATTCCAGAAGGGGCCAAGGAACTGCGGCTGGGCGGAAGTTCTCCATCCTGGGCGCGGATGGCAAGTGCCTTTTTTGCGGGGTGAACCGGCTTGTGGAGGATGGGATCAGGGGTCTCTCCTGCGTCTCTCCTGGGCAACGGCACGGTACAGCCCAGCAGCCCAGCCCGCTTGGGTTGTGGATGATGCAGGTAGCCTCGGCCAGTGCTGGCCCTGCTGGCCCTGAGAATCCCGATTGCAACCCACTTGGCCAGCCGGAAGAAGATGCATCGGCTTCACCTTGCGTCAAGGTGGGACTGCCCGCTGCCCGCCGTCTACTTCCAAGGTACCTGTTGATGTAAAAAGCTCCATATTGGGCTGTTTCTTTCTCCCTCCTCTATCCGCAGCCAGCGGACTAGGGGCTTCAGGAGAGAGAGAGAGAGGTGTCTTCCCACGGTCCTTGCCTGCTTGAATGGTTATCCACCGTTCATTATTACAATCACAAGCTTCCAGATTCACAAGCTTCTTCTTTGTTTGCTCCCACCACATGCTATATACATTCTCGTCCTAGCTCCCCGTCTCACTCTTTTGACATTTCGTCACCACGACTCGTCCTACGGAGCCCAAAGCACCGCGCTCTCTCTTCCTCTCCACACCCTTTCGACAACTGCTTCGCGCACATCCCCATAAACCATCCTCGAATCAAGCAACGCTCGTGCGACCTGTCAAAGTTTACCCCAGAGTTACCAAATCATCACTCCACCCCTGCAGACTACATCTGGAGGCCAAGAGGCTCCCCCCCACCACACCTCTCAGTCGCCTGCATCATCTATGGCGCCGCCCTCACATTACTCCAATTTACTCTCAGCCTAACCTACGTCGACCCTCACGCGATCACTTCTTTCCTAAGAATCCCGAGCTCTTTCCGGTCCAGATCTTCAATTGCCTTCCTTCGACTTTCTTGCAAAACCCCATGCTTTCACGGAAAACAACATTACAAACCACACTTCATATTTACGGCGAAACATGGCTCCTGCCAAAGCTAATGGAAGAGGCGTTCAGGTGGAGGACACACGCATCTGCGTGGTAATGGTTGGCTTGCCGGCCCGAGGCAAAAGCTACATCGCACAAAAGGGTACATACATTGTTTGCCTCCTCCCTTACGCCTCTCCCTCCCACCCAACTACTGCCCCCGTCCACGATTACAATTTCAGCCATTGACACTATATGTCTATCGTCAACTCTAGGTGCACCACTTCCCACCTCCCCGAACGCCCCTTCAGATTCTTATGAGACCAGTAATCTAACGCCAGTTGCATGTGCAGCTCAAAGGTACCTACAATGGCTGTCAGTACCGTCACAGACCTTCAACGTCGGCAACTACCGCCGCAAGGCCGCAGCACAGCCCACAGCCGACTTTTTCGACATTGGAAATTCCGAGGGCGAACGTCAGAGGAAAGCCGCCGCTGAGGCTGCCGTCGCAGATATGTTGAAGTGGTTCCGCGACGAGAAAGGAGTCGTTGCCATATTAGATGCCACGAATTCCACCAAGGAACGTCGCAAGTGGATACTGGAGATCTGCACCAACGCCGGGATCGAGGTCATATACGTCGAGTCCAAGTGCGACGACGAGGAATTGATCATGGCAAATATAAGAGACGTCAAGACAACCAGCCCCGACTACAAAGGCCAAGATCCAGAGCAAGCTGCCATCGACTTCAGGGGCCGCATTCGAAATTACGAGAAGGTCTACAAGTCGGTCAACGAGGACGGGGACGAGGACCACCTAACGTACCTGAAAATCCTCGACGTTGGGAAGCAGGTCATCATCAACCGGATCCAGGACTACCTGCAGAGTCGCGTTGTCTATTACCTCATGAACTTGCATATTCGACCTCGGTCGGTCTGGCTATCACGAGTAGGTCTACTGGTTGTCCAGCTGAGGGGCTTGTCTTGGCGTTGCTAACTCTGTGGTAGCACGGCGAGTCCGAGTACAATCTCGACGGGAGAATTGGAGGAGATGCATTACTCTCTCCACGCGGGGAACAATATGCGCGCAAACTTCCCGATTTGGTTCGCGCATCAGTGGGTGTATGCGAAGACCAGCCCCTGCACCAGGTGCATGACGTTCTGCTGACACCCTCAATTAGGATGATCGTCCACTCACCGTCTGGACGTCAACCCTGAGACGGACTATCGCAACAGCGCGCCATCTGCCTAAGCACTACAACCAGCTCCAATGGAAGGCACTGGACGAGCTGGACGCGGGTGTATGCGACGGGATGACGTACCAGGAGATCAAGGACCAGTACCCGGAGGACTTCGAGGCGCGCGACGAGGACAAGTACAACTACCGGTACAGAGGCGGCGAATCATACCGTGACGTGGTCATCCGGCTAGAGCCCATCATCATGGAGCTGGAGCGGTCCGAGGATATCCTGATTGTTACGCACCAGGCGGTGCTCCGCTGCATATACGCCTATTTTATGAAGAGGGACCAGGAGAAGAGCCCGTGGATGCACGTGCCATTACACACGCTCATCAAGCTCACGCCCCGCGCGTACGGAACGGACGAGCAGCGGTGGGACGCGAAGATCGCTGCGGTCAGCACGTGGAGAGGAAAGGGCAGCACAGCTAAGCACGAGGAGCCTGTGCCGTCCGCCATGCATTGAAACCGATTGTTCAGGGCATGTCGGGTTTCTTTATTGGCTCTGGGGGGACCTTGGCTTTTGCATATTTCCTTTTGCATCATTACCTTATGGGAGGGAGTCTCTTGGTATGCCGGCCGGCTGGAAGCCAAACAACATCATTACCAAAATGGATAGGCGCGGGGACTTTTCATAGAATCTTTTGATGTAGGGCTTTTGCTTTACTCATAGTGGATCGGCGCTGGACATACGAGTAGCGACCAGGAGCAATAGAGCTTCATGTGGATGGCTGCATCGACAGCATGACCTTGGTTCTATGTGTAACCTGTGAGCAAGATGTCCCCCAGCGAAGTCCTCACTCAACACAGCCTGCCCTCTTGAGTAGGCAGGTACATACTTGGTTAGTTTGAAAGCAGGTGGCTTGAGCGTTCTCAAGCTTCCAAGTTACAGTCATTGCTCGGCTGTCCAACTGATTACCTGAAGATCTGTGCGTGCCTTATAGAAGAGGTTAACCCGGATCACTGCTCAATTTCCAGCTGGCTGTAGTGCCTACTGTGCTGTAGCGTTTCTTAGGTAGTGTTAGAGGATCATTTGGAGGGTTTTGGTCTGCCGGTTTGGGTATGTACCAAGACCCCGGTCCATCAGATCGGCTGCCCCACAACCCTGTTATCGCTTCCTTATCGGAGTGGAACAGCGGCAGAAAAAAAGTTCCAGCCCTGGAAAGTCGCATGCAACTCAAGTCTTGTCCCTCTTCTTACCATTTTTGCACGAAGCGCCTCGCAACATCTGGACTGTTGATCGCCGACAGACACCTGCCGCATCACGAAAGCCCGCAAAAACTCAACATGGCGTCAGAGACCACCAAGAAGAGGAAGCTGAAGGACGGCAGTGCGTCCAAGCCTGCTTCCGACGAGCGAAAGGTCAAGAAGGCTAAGAAGACCAAGGCGAAGGAGCCAGAACCCGAGGTCGAGGAGGTCGAGGAGGAGACAGCGTCTCCCATCGGGGATGCACAGGATGAAGACGCCAGCGCAAGCGAAAACGACAAAGCACCACAGACCGAAGAGCCCCAAGAAAACGAGGCTGAGAATGCCGAACTTCCATCGCAAAATCACCTTTCACTCCCCCAGGCGGCCGGTACCGAAGTCCAGGAATTCCAGCAGCTGAACCTCTCCGACAAGACGATCAAGGCGATAGAAGAGATGGGCTTCACGAAGATGACCGACATCCAGAAGCGCGCCGTTCCACCTCTGCTGGCGGGCAAGGACGTCCTCGGAGCGGCCAAGACAGGCAGCGGCAAGACGCTCGCCTTCCTGATCCCGGCCATCGAGATGTTGAGCGCCCTGAAGTTCAAGCCGCGCAACGGCACCGGTGTCATCGTCGTCTCTCCCACACGAGAGCTAGCACTGCAGATCTTCTCCGTCGCGCGGGACCTGCTGAAGCACCACAGCCAGACGTACGGCATTGTCATCGGTGGCGCGAATAGGCGGGCCGAGGCCGACAAGCTTGCCAAGGGAGTCAACCTCATTATCGCGACGCCCGGAAGGCTGCTCGACCACTTGCAAAATACGCCCTTCGTGTTCAAGAATCTGCGGTCGCTGATCATCGACGAAGCGGACCGGATTTTGGAGATTGGTTTCGAGGACGAGATGAGGCAGATCATCAAGATTCTGCCCAAGGAGGAGAGGCAGACAATGCTGTTCTCCGCGACGCAAACCACAAAGGTCGAGGACTTGGCGAGGATATCGCTGCGACCGGGGCCTCTGTATATCAATGTGGACGAGGAGAAGCAGTATTCGACTGTGGAGGGCGTGGAGCAGGGCTACTGCATCGTGGATGCTGACAAGAGATTCTTGCTTCTGTTCAGTTTCCTGAAGAAGATGTCCAAGAAGAAGATCATTGTCTTTTTCTCCAGTTGCAACTCTGTCAAATATTTCGCCGAGCTCCTGAACTTCATCGACCTGCCCGTACTTCACCTGCATGGCAAGATGAAGCAGCAAGCCCGAACCAACACCTTCTTCGAATTCTGCAACGCCACGCAGGGTACCTTGATCTGCACGGACGTTGCTGCCCGTGGTCTCGATGTAAGTGCTCTAATTCCATAATAAGACCATTTCAATTTGCTGACAACATCTCCCAGATTCCCGCAGTGGATTGGATCGTCCAGTTCGATCCCCCAGATGACCCCCGTGACTACATCCACCGCGTGGGCCGAACCGCACGAGGAACCAACACCAAGGGCCGCTCGCTCATGTTCCTGCAGCCCAGCGAGGTGGGCTTCCTGTCGCACCTCAAGGCGGCGCGCGTGCCGGTCGTCGAGTTCGAGTTCCCGTCCAACAAGATCAGCAACATCCAGTCGCAGCTCGAGAAGCTCATCGGCAAGAACTACTACCTGAACCAGAGCGCCAAGGACGGCTACCGCAGCTACCTGCACGCCTACGCGAGCCACTCGCTGCGCAGCGTCTTCGACGTCAACAAGCTGGACCTGGTCAAGGTCGCCAAGAGCTTTGGGTTCGCGACGCCGCCGCGGGTGGATATTCGGCTTGGAGCAAGCATGCCCAAGGACAAGAAGGTGCAGGGCCGGAGGCCGTACGGAAGCCAGCCGCAACAGAAGGGTAATGGGTTCAGGAGTCATCGCAAGTAGTTAAGGTTTAGGGGTCTCCGGGCATATTTTTGTTGGCGGGTTTCTAAGGGCCTTCGCAGGCTGGTGTTTTATACCTGATTGGCGTCCTGGTGGGATTTCTAGGCGTTGAGCAACCAAAATCATTCATCAAAGAGACACAGAAATATTCTGATATAAAATTCAGCTTGACTATTTAGGCAGTCCGCAACATGTGCGGATCTGGGTCGATGTTCCTCAAATGTCTCAAGATGTTGCATAGCTCAATACTAAAATCAAACAAAATTTAAAAATACGCCGACCCTTAGACCTGAACACCCAATGAACTGGTGTTCCCGAACGCCCTCAACACCAGCACCATGCAGACAAACGCTAGAGGTAGACTCACGTGGAGACAAGCAACGATCGAACGTCTTCTGCCTGCTCCTCTGGCATCTTGAATCCGTAATATGATATCTGGGACCCTCTATCAAGAACTCCCCAAAGAAACCAGACCAAGGCGACCCCGTAAGGAAGAATTGCGGCCGCCAAGCCCTCACTTCAGCACAGCAATCAGGAGGATCAGGATGACGATCAGCACGATGATGGCGATCATCTGCTTGCTCTCGCCGGCGGAGCGGGCGACCTTGCCGACCTGGCGGCGGGCGCGGTCGAGTCGCGAGGCGTGGCGGTCGACGAGGGCCTCCTGGTCCTCGAGCATGGCGACCTGGTCGTCGAGCTCGTCGCCGATCTGCATGCTCAGCTCGCGCTGCCGGCTAATCGACTCGCCCAGCCGGTCCAGCTGGTCGTCCTGCTCGCGCAGGATCCGGTCGTGGTACGCGTGCACCTGCACGTTGTCCGCCAGCCCCTCCGCGTGGTCCCGGTACCCCTCCGGCCCGTCCGGGTCGTCCCGGTACGGCTGGTTGAAGAGCTGCGCTGCTGCCGCCGCCGCGTCGTCGTCCTGCGCGGCCGTGGTGTTGTCTTGGAACCGGACCGTCTTGCTGCCTGTCGGGGTCGACGTGCCGCCGTTGCGGAGCGACTTCTTGGCCGGCGGGTGCAGGCTTGATGAGGAGGGGAGGGGCGGGCTGGTGGATGTGTTGCTGGCGTGGGCGAAGTCGGCAGCGAGGGACGGGTCGTTGGGGTGTGTGAGGGTTGCGTTCGTGCTTGGCTCAGAGAAGCCGTGGAATTGAGACGTCAGGTCATCAAACTGCTTCTGAAGGCCGGGAAGTGAGTCGGCAATGGTCGCGGCTTTGCTGTGCAGAGAAACAGGTTGTCAGACTTGGGTCAAACGGCATGTCACGGTCTCAAAAACCTGGGTGCGTACGCATCATCACCAGCCTCCTCCAGACGCTTCTGCTCCTGCTGTAGTGCCTCCAGCCCATCCCGGAATTGATCTAGCGATCGTGAGAGGTGGCCATCCTGTGAGTCGCTCTGCAGGTTCAATGCCTGGGCCCGTTTGCGCTCGAGCAACGAGAGTTTGATGTGATCGGCGAGCAGGAACAAGGCGTTGGGGTTCGACATGCTTGCGACGAGAAAGAGAGATTCTATCAGCCGGTGCTGTCAAAATGGGTGGCGCTCCGTTGTTCAAACGGATCAATAGGCTTGCAGGAACGGTCGAGTTAAGCGCAGAAGGGAAATTGAAATTCCAGTCGCTGATGAACGAGGCTTGATCATCGAGATTGAGACAACGGGGAAACGAATGTTTGGGAGTGGGAGGAGGGCGTCATGCGCAGAGGCAGCAACTAAAGCCGGCAACGTGGTGAGCGGTTACCGTAGCTCGCTGTACTTAGTTTGTACTGGGCCCTGGCAGTGTCCCGCAGCAGATACGACCGGGTGAGACAAGGGTGGTCTCGGTCGTCGTTTAGGCCCTCGGACGAGCCTCTCGGCCCCGCTGACAGCCGGGCCAGTCGACGGCCCCGAAAGGGAGAGGCAGGTAAGTCCATTGTACCCAATCTCGAGGTAGTACAACCTAGGCCCATTGCATCGTGGAAATGGCGATAGCTTCTTCTGGTTTGTACGACCCCAGCTAGTGTTATCAAATGGCATTGACATGCAAGACTGCAACCAAGATCGGGCAAATAGACTCAATCCAGGGCAGGTTGCGCCAACCAACAGGGCCAACCCCACCGAGAATTGACCTGCAGAGGATACAATCCTTCCTATTATTAGACTGCACAGATCTACATCCAGTCGGCTTCATTCCTACCTACCTTGCCCAAGTGAAGCCAGAGTCTGGCCTGCCTATGAAGATGATCCCTCAGGAGCTATTCAATGATGCGAGAAGGCCCTGGCCGGCTCCCCCTCCAGTATCTCACCTCTCAACAGGCAACATTGATATAGCAGTAAGCTTCGTCTCAAATGGCTCCGCAACGCTACAAGATCAAGTGCTTACCGCTAACCAGCCGCTAAGACTGCTTTCATGCCAAGGGGTATGTTGGTAGATGATGCATCAATATGATCCTGCCCAATGTAACTCTGGCAATTTGCCTCGATGAATAAAACTATCTCTGTTCGTAACTCTCTTCAACTCAAAGTGGTTCATCCGACGACTCCGAACCACATAGGCTCATCAACAATCGCGGCGATGAGTTTGTCAACAATCATAGGAGCTGTAGTAGCACTCGTAGCCGGCTGTTATTTGCTCGAAGGATTCATCTTCTCCAGACGCGATGCCCAGGAGCCACTTTACATTCGCCCGCGCATTCCACTCATTGGTCACCTCCTCGATTTCATGAAGAAGGGACCCCTTTACTTCGACGATGTAGAGTACGGAGACCTCAACAGTGACCCTTGTATGCAAGAGATCCGAGCTGATGTACCCCAGAGCCAAATACCCCCATCTTGCCATCTTCTCCCTGCCTATTTTCTCATTCAAGTTCTACGTCGTCACGGATCGACAGGTCTTTGCAGCCGTCCAACGCAATGCTAAGACCGTGTCCTTCGCGCCTTTCTCCAAGAGAGTGTCAAAAGTCCTGAGTGATGTCTCGGACCTCACTGTTAGAGCGGTCGACACTTTATCAGCGGACGAGGAGACGCGCAACTTTGCCCGCCAGGTCCATCATATTGAAGCAACAACGCTGTCAAATGGCAACTCCCTGGACCGTCTCAACTTGGTGACTTCTCAGGAGAAGCTGAGGCTCGTGGATGAGCTCGTCTTGGAATCTTCAAAGGACCCGGTGCAGATTGAACTGTACGAGTGGGTCCAGCATCTAGTTACCATCTCAGCTTCGACTGGCTTCTACGGGCCCAAGAATCCCTACAAAGACCCCCAGCATGAGAAGGATTTCTGGTAGGCCCTGTAAACCTACTTTTGCGCCCCATGGCGGACTGACCGGCTGCACAGGACATTCAACAGCCAGATCCCATCGATGACATCCGGCTTGGCCTGGCTCTTTGCTCCCAAGGCGCACAAAGCCCGCAACAATAATTCCGTGAGATATGAGGACTACGCGCGAGCTGGAGGTTTCGAGACCGCCTCAGACTTTATAAAGGAGAGGAGTCGTGCCCTCATCGACAATGGCTCCCCAGTGGAAGAAGCCGCCCGCATGAACACCGGCCTTGACGTCGCTCTCATCAGCAACTATGCCGGAATCGCTTTTTGGACAGTCTACCATGTCCTTTCACACCCGGGTCTCATCACGGCCGTGAGAGACGAGGTAGAGAAGGCAGTTGTTAGGGGTGAGAACGAGGAGGACTTCACCCTTGACGTATCCGCCCTTCGAACCTCGTGCCCGCTTCTGGTCTCAACCATGCAGGAGACACAGCGCTTGAAGACGACACATTCTAATATTAGAGAAGTTATCAGTGATACGAAAATCACCGCGGGAGGCAAAGATGTTTTACTTAAGAAGGGGAACTATGTGCAACTTCATGGCTCTCCTGTCCTGCGCAGCCAAGAATTATGGTAATATCACCCCAGAATCTGCCCCCATTTCACTTCCAGTCCATCTCACAAATTCCCCAAGGGCCCCCTCCCAAGTTCGGCATATTATGCAGTACTTTTCTCGGCAACATTTAGCACAATGCTATCAGATTGCGACCGGATGCCTTCGTGTCACTCGCTTATACTTCTCACCCCTGAATGACAGAGGACCCAAAGACTGACAACAAAACAGGGGTGACGACGCAGACGAATTCGACCCATACAGGTTCATCCGGATGAAGAAGGACAGCCCACCCGGCGTCGTGCCCCCGAACCAGCTCCCCACCATGTCCTTCCCCGTCTGGGGCGTGGCGCCGCACGTCTGCCCCGCACGCTTCTACGCGAGCACGGGCGTGATGGTGCTGGTCGCCCTGGTGGTTCTGAGGCTTGACATCTCGCCGGCTGGTACGCGGCGGGGTGATTCTGGTGACGCCGCGTGGCAGGAGCTCGAGGGCGGGTTCAACTTCTCGGCGGTGTCTCGGCCGCAAGGACCGGTGCATGTGTCGGTGAGGCCGAGGAAAGGTGGTATGGGGAAATGGGGAGTGGTCGTGGGGAAGCCAAATACTAGGCTGCAGTTTTCTGTTGCCTGAGAGGCTGCTGTGGGCCTGATTCTACAAATGATGCCCTTCGTATATGTAAAAGTCTGCTTCTTACTTGACAGCCAGCCTCCAGATTACTCTTCGGGTTGTGCGGCATTCCGATGTAGCCCGATTTAAACCTTTATAGAATTTTGTGGTCTTTGACACTTCTACGCATTTTCAGATGGGTCTGTGTAACTGACAGCGTCTTTTCAGTAGGGTATACGTTGATAAATTAGCTGTACTTGTCCGAATTGATCAACGCTCTACTGCTCGAGTATGAGAAACACAAACATGGCAATGATAGCAACACAGTGAGATCTTGGCCATCCTTATCATAACGCTCATCTTAGTGGAGCAACGTGGCGCCTTCTCAGGCAAAGCAAATAGCTAATCGTCTTGTGGCACGGTACACAGCCCATCTATGTCTTATCAGACGTGCGAGACTATTCTTAGTACTGCAGGAGAGAGGTAAGAAACATTTGAAATCATCAACGGGAATGACCTTTAGACCAGATATAGTGCATATAGGTATAATGCATCAATCCGTGTTGACTTTGCCGATATTGTTCAATTCGTGCAACCAGCCGTAGAGAAAAGCCATGCTACGAAACGGATAGAATTGGCTGCCAAACTCATCGTCTGAAATTATTGAAATCCCCTGAACACTCTTCCTAAGACGCTCATATCTTTTCCAGATTCATGGGAACGAATTGGGCGTAATTTTGCCATACCTTTGAATGAGCCCGTCCTCAGGAAATCCATATCACAATCGTCATCAGATGGCAACGAGTCCCAGAGCAATGACGTCTATAAAATTGCAGAGTCAAACACGCTAAACTTAAACCACACAAAGAAGCCTATTTCGGAAAGTACCATAGCTTCTGCCTCTCAACCATGCTATAACCCAGACCCAAGAACGAACACAAGTCTATCCACTTGTCCTGCTCCACGCCTTGTCCCGACGCGTACACGTCCAACTCTAACAGCCGATGCGAGTTCTTAGCCTGTGAGAAAAAGGCCTGGACCGACTCAGCACGCGCGGCCGTCTCGTTGGCAGATATTTGATCTCGCGGAGACTTCGTCTGGTAGCCTTGGACCTGGGATCGGTGCTCGACCCGAAAGTCCCATGGTATGATGAACTTCGACTCCCCGTTGGGCCTGAAGGCGTCCAGAATGTCCTCACTCGTGCTGAGCTCAGAGTATGTGAGCTCCGTCTGGCTGCACTGTGGCTGGGCCTCGTCGCAGGCTCGGCTGTAGCCAAGTGCTTGCAGTGCTTTGGTCGAAGCTCTCGTGGCCTGCGGTGTGGTCTGGAGTATGTAGACTGATGGCGAGTTGCCCTGGGTGTGGCTTGGTACATTGCCGGGCTCCTGCGTTGAAAGCAGGCCCAGAAGGCTTGAGGCGATTGAGGATAGCTTCATTGTGTGATTTGGTATGGTTGAAAGCGGTTGTTTGGCTTGCTGGATGGGAAATTGCTGCTCAATTGGTTCTTTAAAGCTGATGATCGGCGAGGAGCCGGTTTCAATTCTCCTGACTCTCTCGCTGTTTTGTTGTAACAAGTCGCAAATCGGTGGACCTGGGATTTGCAGCGGTGATCTATAGTTAGAGGCTTGTCCACGTTTCTTACTACTAATGCGCAGACAAGCGATCCTCTCGGATCTTCCGAATAATGAGCTTGATCCAGTGGTAACCGTCCTCATTTGTTTCAACTTTGGGGGAAAAGGGGGTCCCTAAAGTGGCTCCCTCGTAATTGTGTGAGTCGTCACACAAACAAAGGGTCGGTGTCGCGCGAGTCTCATCAAACCCCAAAGTGGCAGTGCGCTATGGCTGGAAATTTTGTCTCATTTCGGATCCCACAGCGACCACCTAACGACCAATGCTGATCTGAGGAACTGCCAATTGTTCCACCCGCACTCTTGAAGCTTTCCTAGTCAGGACTTGACAGCCGGTTTCAAAATCGATCTATTACCCTGAGCCGCCCAATCCATGCACTATGTCTTCCAGATAATCTCCCGACCGTAACTGAGGCTTGGTGCACGTGTTTTTCACAGTTCAAAGAGTTTATTATCTGGCAACGAGGAATTCTAGGTGGGATTTGCATGACAGCATTATTGTGAACCGCAGGCCGAACTCGTAAAGCTGACCTACACCGGCTTTTGCCTGGAAACGTCGATTACTGGACAGATAGACAGGATTTGGGACCATCTTACACGACCAGGCTATTCTGGCGCGGAGTTCATGTCCGCCTCGGACTCACATCCTGCAGACGCCACAGTAAGGCCAAATAGAGCCAAATTGAGGTATTGACGACGAGGTGATCTGGTGTGTAGCAGCTGCATGTTGGTTCAAATGGATCTTCGAAACTGTTCTTGATTCCAAATAGCTTGGAGGACTGCATAGATGAACACTGAAGTTGGTTTCTCGAAGAATCATTTTGCACAACCGATGATGGAGACCGATGACAATACCTTGCCCTGCGCCACAAAGAAACCAGAACTGCCAATATTCATGACGCTAAGCTCATAAGCTGTGAACCACACTGAAATCGGAAAACAATTTGCTCTCAAGATGGAGAATAGAATGCGTCGACAAGGCATAGATACTCTCCACAACTCCTTAACAGGGCTGACAAGATACTTCACTTGTACGCAATTTCAAAACTACCATTATCGAATACAACCACTGAAGGGGACTTCTAGTACTTATCAGTATCGATTGAGTGACTACATGGAAAGTCGCCCTGGGAGAGTACGCGGCACTCTGCCCGCAGTCTCAACTCCAACGTGTGAAGTTTATGCGTCATTAGTACATTTCTGGCCTTGAATTCTACATCCCCTGCTTTGCAGTCTGTGGTGTTGCTGCACACTTTCCAAGATCTCTTCTTGACCACATATCTACTTACTCTGTGGATTCTTGAGCTCCTTCTTAAGGTTCTCTTTTAGTTTCTCCATGAGTATGTTCTTCTTTTTGTCTTCCTTCTCCTTCTTTGCCATTAATGTGGTATCGTAGTCCGGTGCCTTGGGAACAAATTTCGCAATCCCATCCTTGCTGTTCAGCAAAGGCCCCAGAAAGCACTCCCTGCTCAGGCCATCGACGAGACCTTCCGAAATAAACCTCCTCAGACCGGAAACGTTCTGCGGGTAGTCTTTGACCTTGGTATGCCAGTCCTTACGCCGCGCAGACTGGACGAAATCTATCGCCAGCTCAATCCACGAGAGACAGCCAGTTGCGTGCGTCTGACCAGGCGGCTGGCGGAACTCGATGGTGCCCTTGCGGTAGTCCTCCTTCAGGTTCTCGAAGTTCCACGTAGTGTAGCGATCTGCGCTCATCAGTCCAGCGAGATCCTTCACGGTCTTCTGCAATTGTATCTGCTTGATGCACTCAGAATGTTGCAGATCTTCCAGGAGTGCGTTGCCGAAAAACCGATTACTTCGGATAAACTGATTTCCTCTGCGAGTCTCGGGAATCAAGGCCTCGAATGCGCATTCGAAGTGAATCACTGCAATGGATATGCCCTGAAGCTCCTTAAGCGACCAGCTGCTTCCCATTGGGGAGAGGTGCACATGGAAACCACAACTCCTGTTTGACCTAACGGCACAGAGGGTATTGAGGTACTTGAACATGTCGTTGATTTCAGAACGCCATCCGCCCTTGTATGGCTCCGCTTTAAGGATTGGGGACACAATCTCAACCATGTCTGGCCGATATGAAGTTTTAGCAGGACGAACGACTGTGCGAGGACAGGACTATTTCATTTGCGTACACATCATTTTCTCATCACCCTTCAAGGTAATATCATTAGTAAGGACCCAGTCCTGATACTCAACTCCTTGGTACTTTCTGCCTATGTCTGCTCGCATAGAGTAATTCTTCTTTGGATCTCTCATTGAGTTGTAGCTCTTGGTGATCAGACTGGCGAACTCCGCAAGGCCCTTGCCCAGAGGGATGACTTTCTGGTCATGAGGGATCAAAAGAGCTTCGACCTCAATTCCGAGCCTGAAGCCTGGAGTCGCCATGGTCGAAGACAAGTGAATCTGAGTGAGTGTGACATAGGTAGGAGGCAAATCAGTGCTTTGGATTGTCGACGAAGAAGAACGATGTTCATGCTCGGGATTTGGATGCTTCAAAAAGCCATTGTCTGCAGCTTTCAAGGGTGTTGAAGTTCGTCTTGTGAAAAGCTCGAAGACTGCTTGCTGCTCCCAGGTACGTCTTCAGCGCCGAGCTGTATCGCGAGCTGGTCCACCTCACGTCCCGAGCAGAGCTATTTAAGTGACATTGTAGCCTTTCTTCTGGTTCAAAATAGGGCTAGCTGAGGACCCAGTCCGCCTTGAAAGACCAATGCAGTACCAGCCAGGGACGCTGAAGGTGGCACAGGCAGGATCCATACATTGAGATGACCATGTCTTGTATCGGAGGGCCGCCCTCCCGACAATGTTCTACTCAGATACGCATATACTCTCTCTAGACGAGCAACCTGTGCTTTCGTAGCCCCAAGGCCGGTCGCATAGCCACATCGAGACCAACTCGACCTCATACCTAGTATCTATAAAGAAACGCTGGAAGGTGATGTTGGGGGCCACCAACCCTGAAACATGCAGCCTATCAAGAAACGAGAAATGTCATGAAACGACCAAGAATGGCAAGAAAGCCCATTTCTCATGTTCCTCGTAACCGAGCCCAGGAACGGAGCTATGACTTGAGAACTGATCAATCACTCGTTCCATTTGTTTGCACACTCACAAAAAGACATCCTTGGGACTCTATTTCCAATCTCTGGCGCGGTCTCAAACCCAGGCCGGCACGGACACGGCCGGCCGACCCCTAACCCAGGAGCTTCCAACGTGCTCATATGCAACTGCGGGCCAAAAATAGTAATCAACCACTGCCTCTCTATGTACACTACCCAGCTTCTCCCGTGACACAGCTACCTAGAATTTCTCAGAACACATCTTTTTCCGATCCAAAGAAGTCCTTTCTGTGAATCTTCTAGTCCGTCTCGACGCATGAACTTCTCCTGGGCCCTCAGCAACCATGAGCAAACCGAACGGTTCTGCTGACCCTCCCGCCGACAAAAGCCAGAAGATCGAGACACAGCAGGACATGGTTGAGACAATCAAAAAACTTCTTTGGCAGAAGACAGAGCTCGACGTAAGAGCCACCGCAGATTCGCTAGACAAAAAAGATGTGGACTTGGCGGCAATCATGTCGGATGAGCACGTGCAAAGGGAGCTTCACTCGCTCGAGCGCACCGTCGCTGGCTACATCGGCATATGCGAGGATAGATTGCGGCAGAGGATCGAGTATCTGGTCGCCCCAGAGATGCTTGCGGAGCGAAGAAACATTACTAGCGAACCATTACCTGAGTCGATGATCGTGGACGAGTCTTTTGTCGACGAGGCTTTTGGTCTCGGCAAATATTCCATCAACGCTATTGACCAAAAGCCTCAAGAGTTTGACCTTGAGGAGCCGATTTTCACCGAGGAGGATATAAAGAGCATACAGGACCCCGCGAATCGTGAGGGGAAGGCACTCTACTTCTTCTACGGCACCCTCATGGATCCTGCCACCCTTCAGCGCGTCACTGGGCTCCCTAGCGCTCCCCGAATGAGACCTGCCCATGTATTAGGCTACACCACAAAACTTTGGGGACCGTTTCCTGTCTTACTGAGTGGGCGTAAGGATGATGTGGTCAGAGGCGTTGCGTGTGAGATTGAGGGTTCAGGGCCAAAGCGCCGGCTGGAGGACTACGAAGGAAAGGATTACGACGAGTGGGATCTTGACCTGCGGCTTGACAAGCCAGACGGCACATGGGAGAAGGCTTTGGGGGTGACGTTCAAATGGGTAGGGCCAAGAGATGAGCTGGAGGAGGGGACTTTCAGTTTGAGTGCGTGGCAGGACAGCTAGTCTTGTCAGTTGGCAACGGGGAAATGATTTGAAACAAATGATTCGAAATGGGGTTGAAAAGCCTCATCAACCATCAACCTGAAGTGTGTAATTTGGTGCGCCTTCTTACAAGTCCTTCCATTTCAACGTTGGTGTTTCTGACAATACTGACATAGAAGTCTTGACAGGGAAAACCCAGACTTGGCACCTTCGTGAGTGCAAGAGCGAAAATCCTACAAGTGTTGTCCGGGGCACATGTGTGGGACGGCTTAAACAATTAGTGTCCGTGGCACTCGTCAAAGAGCTCATTGGTATCTAATTTCCACAATTTCCAAGTCCGATGAACAAGTGATGCTTTGTAAGCTGCATTCCAGGTTGACTGGTGTCCTTACGACATGTGATGGCGACACCAGGGAAAAGAAACTGAGCACATCTGTTGAATAAAAGCCGATTTCAACGTACAGAAAACAGATGTCCATTCCATATACACGAAACAGCAATGTAACATACACAACGTCTTGGACACAACTCGCGACATGTCCCCAGGAGGCCCACCTGCTGTGTGGAGATGATAGTTGCCTTCTCCAGATTCAATGCTTAGCGATTAGTGAAGCGCGGTTATGACGCTGTGTGCGATTCCTTGCCTCGTCTATCATCCTTGCATCTATACCAAATTTTCGTAGATACGGTCTCGCCACTGACGTTCTCAATCATGTAATAAGCTACTTACATCTTCACATCAGGACTAATATTATAAAGACTTCATCAATTCACATATTATCCTGATACCTCCTTGCCTTGGTCAAAAAGTCTGCTGAAAAATACGTACGTTCTTATACGGTAGATAAAAAAAAAAAAAAAAAAGAAAGAAAGAAAAAAAAACAAAGCGAAGCTGGATGCGACCATAACACTTGTAAAGCATAACCTGGGCTTTTCCGGTTGCCTACCGGGCATAATTTGAGTCGTCCCTAACATCTAAAGTAACGTTCTTTCAGTATGTCCCTCTCAAGGAAGTGTCATGACTACCCCCTGATAGTGACATATCCTGGTATGAATTGACCAACGAGGCTTCATCCACGCTCTGGTCCGCACAGATGAGGATGATACTGCACGATGACTGATAGAAGTGGAGGGGCAGAGAGTCAACCCAGGTGCCTTTATCCACACTTCTGACTGAAAGAAATGGGACACGACCTGTCACGCCGAGAATGACCGAAAACAAGCACAACCATATAGATGACTCGTACTCAAGAACACGCACGACCATCATAAGACCAAGAGGACAATGGCAGCATGTCCCCACTGTCCAAAGCCACGGTCACATCGGGAAGCATGACGAGCCGAGAACAGGGCCAGGGTCGGCAGCCGTTGCGGAACTGCAACGATACCGCCGGAGAATTCCCACAGGATGTCCGAAAGGTACACACACCACCACCACCACCATCACCACCACTAGACTCGTCCTGGCAGGCTGCATGATGCACCACTGGCCCTAAGCTCCGGCCCGGTGGGAACCCATCGCTCAAGTGACCTGGCAACCCCGGGTGGGACTGACGAGGAAGTGAGCGTGGGGGTAGGGGGGGATGGCACTCTGTCAAAACCATGGAGACGGAGAAATCGACCCAAGACGCCGCGTTTGACGTGACCCTTGCCCTGAGATCATTGCTGCTGCATAAACCAGGCCGACGCGTGGTGCGTGGTACGTGGTGCCTGGGCAGATGGACGCAGAACAGGTGTGGGCGGGCGTCATCGTCATCATCAGCGTCGGACGCAAAGCCAGTGTCGCTGCCTTAAGCGAGCTGCATTTTTCGTCTCATGGTTGACTTCAAGAATTCTCCGGGGGGTTGCAGATCAGGTAGGGCATGGTCCGACGATCAGAGTGTCGGATGAGTTTGCGAGCCGCGTGCTCTGGGGGGTCCGTCGTTGTCTTGGCGCGGCCCTGTGGGGCGTCGCCCCCCTGCAGCTCTCACACAGGGCAGGCGGACGCGCTGATCTGCAGGAAGGGTCAGGGAGGTGTCAGCATGAGGAAGCATGGACTCGCCCCCAAGATTGTCGTCCTTAGTTGATTAGGTTTTGTAGATCATGCTTGGCCGGCGATGCTTACTGTTGGTGTGTGTAGCTCATGCTCATGGTAGTGGTCCATGGTATTCGGCAATTGACAATTGCTCGGAGAAGTGAGACAGTGAGAGAGAGAGCAGGTGACAGGCACAAATACAACACCACATCACATCACATCACAGGCTTGTGTCGCAGTATCCGCCCACATGCGACACACTCGGCGAACCGGCCTCGCGGACGGGCCGCCCGCCACAACCGCAGAGCCTCAACTCTGACAGGCCCAGCCGCTTGGTGCTAATGGCGCCTCGCAAGTTAGTCCACTGTAGCAATCAAGAGGAGAACCAGGTAGCGAGGCGGTAAGGTTGGCGGTAAGGTTATCTATCGCGCCGCCACGGCTGCCGAGATGGCGGCCAACCCAGCGCGAGGGGACCGGGCCTGTCTCAGGTCACGGCGGAACCAGCTTTCCTGCTCCCACCCTGCCGCCTTCGTCCCATCTTTGTTCCATCTCGCTGCCTTCCCTGCCTGCAGTGGTCTTAGCCGAGGATGTTTCTGGACGTCGGTAGCCCTTCTCCTGCCGATCATCGACCAGATGGCATGCCATGCATGCATGCGTACTGCACGCCTTGCCTCGCATCCGTGGGACTGCCGTCCGATCGGGCGCCTCGTCTCGTCTATCGAGCATCTCGTCGAGGGCCCGAGTATAAGACGGTCACTCTTCTCTTCGTGCAAACAGCTTGGTTACTTTTTTACTCTCACTATCACACTCAACAGCTTCGACAATTTCCATTCTTTCCAAGTTCTGTGAACTACTTCCGTTCATTCTCTTCGATTAATATCCACGTTCTTTCCGAGCCGGCTCGATACCAACAATTTTTCCAACAATTTTTTTCTCCAAAATGAAGACCCAAACCATCATCATCGCCCTCCTCGCCGCCGCCGCCGAGGCAGCCCTAGTCCGCATGCCCAGGGCTGCCAACGCCACAGCGGGCGCGGGAGGCGCAGACTTCGGCGACTGCACGCCGACAATGGACTTCCAGCTGGGCCGCGCCGAGTTCAACCGCAAGGCGACCGAGGGCACCTTCTTCCCGACCGACGCCACCCTCGTTGCCAACAGCGGCCAGAGCGACGCCCTGAACCCCAACATCATCACCAACTTCATCTGCGACCAGCTGACCAACGTCTGCGGCGCCAACGACGCCGCCAAGTCCCAGTGTGCTGATGCCCAGGCTACGGTTCAGGGCCTGGGCACCAAGGACCAGAGCACTGCTGATGCATTCAACTCTGCCCTGGGCTTCTAAAGGGCTAGACCGAGAGGAGGCCCTGTGCCGTCGACGGGAGGATGGAAGCATGAGACTCGCGGCTGCATTTAGCCGTGGGCGATGGATTCGGAGCAGGGGTCTGTGGCACAAATCTAGTGTCCCGGATTTACGGACCGACTAGAGTTTCACGAAATAATGCAGATTTATGACACAATGTTTCCTCTTTGAAATTTGTCAGTGCCCTGGTGCGTGAAATGGTAGGCTGTAAAGGGTTGCACTTACAAGGAGTCCAGCTGAAACGGCTCGAATCGTAATCTCATGGATGTCAGCTGTCAAGTGAAAACAGGGCAATCGCTTTGGAAGGTTTCTCATAGAGGGGTGCTTTTGGAGTCATTTGTGTTTGAATATACTCTAACCTATGCTCGTACTCCTTGTCTATGAGGCGCTATTGCACTTGCCAACGATCAAGTCGGCCTTGACTCCAGCTAGTCCGTCAAAGTACCTAGACATAGCGAGGTTAGCACAATTCGCGTCATAAAAGATGGTACTTGAGTTCGAAAGCAACCCGGGCAGTACTCACGCCAGCAGCGTCTCCGCAGGTATCATATCCATCACCCCAAGGCTCGGGTTCGACGATGTCAAAACCCGCCCCCCAAAAAGCACACGGACATAGTACCCACCCTCCTTCTTCCACAGCTCAAACACCACCTCGCTCCCCATGCCAGGCCAGACCATCTCGTCCGCCTGCAGTATCCCCAACAGCCGGCTGACAGACCCGTCGTGCGCTACATTGTGGAACCAGAGCGTGCCGTCGCCAGTGCCATCGACCACATCCCGCAGGTGCGCCGCCAGCTCCGCTACCCACACGCCGAGGGAGCTCGCGCTGGCGGCGAGAGCCGAGGGCCCTGCGTCGCGGTAGATCTGGGAGTACTCCCAGTTGCCGAGGCGATAAACCTCGTCGGCCATATCCTGCGTCACGCAGGCGGTGGTGTCGTTGACCAGCGACGTGGTGCCGTCTGCACCGGTGACGTTGACGAGCTTGCATGGCAGCGGCTTACCGTGGCACTGCCGCGCCGACAGGTTGTCGTAGTAGTGATCGAAGCTGGCGTGGAAGCCCGAGTCTGTAGGGCTGACGCCCGAGATGCCGTCCAGCGTGGCGTATAGGTCCTGCGTCGCGTCGAAGTGTGCCGCCCACGCAGCGTTTGAGTCGGACTTGATGCTGTTGAACTGGGCCGCCGACGAGGCGCAAGTGTACGAAGGCTCGAGGGAGTCAACGCCGGTGGGCTGAATGAGCAGCGGCACGGATGCGGTAGTTCCCCACATACCGTTGATAACCATACCGGCGACCTCACTCGTGATGACGTTATTAGTGACCCGGTACTTGACTTTCTCCCTCCAGGTCTCGTCGTCCTGATCGGGAAGAAACCCCAAGAGGTCGTGATACGCCGCATACAAGTCAGCGCCGTGCTGCCACGAATCATCCAGTCCTTGCGAGCTGATCTGCGGGAACTGGCACGACCCCTTGAAGCCCTGGGCGATGGCTCCAAAGGGATTGAAACCGCTGAAGCCGTCCCAGAAGGCCAACGCGGATGCATTCTTGCCCATGTTGGGATCCGGCAACGACGCATCCGAGAATGGCCGCGCGAAGAAATACAGCCCTTCGTCGTCACAATCCCAGGTGTAGGACTCGACCGGGAACGAGTTCGCCGCGTAAGGAGTGCGCTTGTGGTGGCGGTGCATCTATTAGATGTCAGTAAACTGGGCTGGCCCTCCGGTCCTTGCTCAATCTCCGGCTCACCAATTCGACATATACAAGCTCGTACTCGTCAGAAGGCACCTTATATTCCGAGCCCCTGACGTGTGGCATATTGCACCAGTTATAAGTGCCATAAGCCTTGTCAGGAGTTTGCGACGAGTTGTAAATGAAGCCATAAACGCCCGTGGTGCTATCGCTCACGACGCTGGTGAGATTGTTGATCACCGTCTGAGATGGTGGGTACCAACCCAGGTCGACCGCGGTTGAGTTTGCCATCGTCGGCGACGAGCCCTCCTCTTGCGACGTAGCCGTGTGGAGGATCGGTGATTTTCCTTCCCAGAGTCGTAGGGAGATGCCGTCGGCTTGACTGAGCAGGAAGACAAGCAACACGCCGCTAAAGAGAAGCACGAGCAGCCTCGTCATCCTGGACGGCCGCGACAGCAACTTGAGGGGATCCATCCATAGTTATGTGCTGGGACGACTTGAACCCCTCCCACGTGCGCGGGTGAAGTAACAGTCGGGAATACTCTGGATGTGCATTCACCCCACTTCCAGAGGACCGGTTCACACTGCAGGCGGCGAGTCTATCGACCTTGTGGCAGGTCGTTGGCAGGGTTCGGATGTCGGATACCAAAGGTTGAGTTGAAATTGCTGCTTCTAGTGGCGACTGATGGCCTGTTGTCCCCGCGGCCCAGGGTTCCACGTGCTGCAGGCAACCCGCCGAGTGGTCCAATAGTCCAATGCATGATTTAAGTCTGGGATCTTGGGATGAACACCCGCTTGGTCGCAGTGCCCAGGCTTCCAACGTCCCAATTTCTTAGGCCTGAGGTGTGCCGCGACAAGATCGCTACCACAACCGAAATCATAAATGCGTATGCGAGGAGATGATGCACAGTGACATGCATCCTCGCTCCGGGCAAACAGACCGCAATACGAGTGAGCCATGACTGCCTGGCACATTGTGCTTATCTACGCCAAGACTCTCTCCTGGCTCGGGGATTAATCCTTGTCCGTCGTGCATTATCCTTCGTTCTTGTCCTCGCCATCGACCTCTTATGGGAATACGAGGCCAATTCTCTCTCGTCCTTCGCGGTCTCCTCCAGCGTGCCTCTGTCCACCTTTCGATATCTGATGTCGTACCTGATCCAATTGCTCAGCCCTCGTCGCGAGATACCCAGAGTCGGCAACGCGACCAGCACCCTCTTTTCGTGCTCTGCATTCGCCATGGCTTGGCTGACTTCCCATATGCCCGCCTCCCTCTCCCACTCTCTTATCCTGTGGTACTCTTGACGCTGCCCCAGGGGGCCCATCTCTTTCCACTGCCTCCTGACCTCAGCCTCGTCCAGCAGCTGGGCCTGCTCCATGTCTGGGGCCCCCTCAGGCTCTCGCAAGGCTTTCTCGTAGTCGCCGCCCGTGTAAATGGCCGGGAGCGTGTACCGGACCTTGCCCGGGGCGTGGTGCTTGAGCAGTGCCATCAGCTTGTCTCGTGCGTGCCCGTCGGGCAGTGAGTCGCGGAACGCTTTCGCGTGCTTGGCCTCGAATGGGGCGACTGCCGCGTGCACGTTGGACCGGTTGCAAATGCGCACCCAGAAGCGCCCGTCCCACAACTGCCACGGCTTCCACGCCGGCCAGCGCCACACCTCTGGCCGCCGGCGCCAGCGCATACGTATGCTCAGCCTCCCGAATGCACAGCTGGGGAGCGGGCGGCCGGAGACGTAAGGCTCGCGGGTAAGGTACCAGCTCATTGGCGCTCTTGGATCGGTCGAGGTATGCACCGGGAGGAAATGCACGCTGGAAACATTGAAGGCTTTGGGATGCTTTGCGTAGGTGGATGGGTCGTCGTTGAGAGAAGGGAAAAGGCGGAGGACCTGGTTTTGGAGATTGGTCGCGAACGGCCCCTGCTGTTCAGGCGTCACCATGGCAAGGAGGCGCTTGAGAAGCAGAGCGGCGATGTAGCGGTAGTGTTCCAAGCGCCTTGCGCGCCGAGCCTCGTTGTTGAGCCCTCGCCGGATACCAGGAATCCGGAATGATGGCAGTTGCACAACGACGGTACCGGCTGTGGATTCAAAATCGCGTACAATGGTCCGGCCCAAGAGTCGGTCCACTTCGGCCTCGTCAAGCTCTGCCTGTCTCCGCAGACGTCTGGACATATCTAGGATAGCCGGCTTTTGCAAAGCTGCTGGCAGGGTGTGATTTTTGTAGAGATGTCTCACTGCATTCCTCATCGTCAGAGTCGCGTCCTGGTTTGTGGCGTCCTCAAACCAAGGTACCCCATTAGCCTCGCAAGTCGCAATTAGTCTATCCTTGCTGAACTCAAGCAAGGGCCGGTATACCATAACACCACCGTCCTCCATTTGAGGAGGGGCTACCGGAAGCATCATCTTAGCCTTTGGCACGTATACATCAAACTCATCCTCGAGGTAGGCACTAGAGCGCGTACCCTTTTTGAGCTCCCTGGCCACAAGCTCAGGGTCTATATCAGCCATCATCTGATCCCTGATGGAGAACAATTCGTACCGTGTAGGTCGGTAGTTGATCATAGGCGCTCTGGACGCCTGGTCGTCGACCATCCCGCTCTGGTAGGCACCATGGCAGTCGTGGCTCTCAGGAATATCAGTAGCAGAACGCATGCCTAGCAGGCCAGCGGCACTGTGGCCGGAAAGCAGTCGCATGAGCACTGTCTCGTACTGATCATCCTCATGATGCGCGAAGAAGAGGGATGCCATCTTGGCCTTGGCGCAAAGAAATGCCATCTTGCGATACCGAAGACGGCGGGCAACAGTCTCGAAGTTGGGCAGCTCTTTGGGATGTGAGTACCCCGTGTCTTCCAGGATCTCTCTCCACCTGATGCTCACTGCATGAACTTTGAGACCTAGGCTTGTCAGGTTGGCCCGGACAGCCTCGGCCTCTAGGTCGCTTCCCTCACGCATGCGGTGATCGACCACGATGCAGTGATAGGCACTGACGGGGTTGTCAGCTACCTTCAGCGACTGACGGTTCCTGTGGACTCGTGAACACAGATATGCTAGGGCCATGGAGTCCACTCCTCCGCTGATTGCCAGACCTGGTAGACACAGTCAGTCAAACAGAGCATGAAAGCGCACACCAATTGGAATGAACAAGGAAAAAGTGTGTCGCACCGACTGGGCGTTCCTGACGGCCACGCGAGCCGGGGAATCTGGGGCGGCATATTGCCTGCACAGCATCGACAAACTCGGCGACAGCGACAGGCTTAGCAGTGCGATGCAATACCTGTGGTATGGAGCTCATGTCTCCAAGGCATGTGACAGTTCATCTCTGAGCATGCTGTCTCTGGAAGCAATGACATCTGGCGGCTGTGAGGTCCAAAAGCTGTGAGATTCCTTGTTCGTCAAAGATGCTTGGTGTATACCGTGCAGCCTACAGTACCTGCAGCACCCGCCTGGGCCACCGCAGGGACCCTTAAAAACCCGGGAGCTCGAGCCGCTGGAGCTTCCGAAGCTCGGTGAGCAGGGATAAGCTCACTGTCCCCGCCCAGGGTATCAAAGACCTCCAGCGCCGACTCGGAGGCGTCGAAATTGGAAATCCGAGATCGTCGGCGAACAAAGTCATTCAAACCACCACGAACAAGAGACAAACAAAATGCCTCCCAGCAGATAGCCACGGTCTCCTGAGTCCCTCCATCCCTTCGTTGGACTCGTCGCCGACTCCTCCACCTCCACAACCCAAACAGGCGCCCTCCACAAGCAGCAACAATGTCCTCCTCGCCCAGCCCGCCCCCCTTCACCCACGCCCTGCTCGCGGGCGGCATCGCCGGCACCACCGTCGACCTGACGCTGTTCCCGCTCGACACGCTCAAGACGCGCCTGCAGTCATCGGAGGGCTTCTTCGCCTCGGGCGGGTTCAAGGGCATCTACCGGGGCGTGGGGTCCGCGGCGCTCGGGTCCGCGCCGGGCGCGGCATTCTTCTTCTGCACGTACGAGGCGACCAAGACGGCCCTGGCCGAGGCACGGCGGCAAACACTAGGTGGCGGCAGCAGTAGCGCATCAGCAGCAGCAGCAACACAACAGGGCGGTGGAAGCGGCAACGGCCACGCCGTGGACCACATGCTGGCGGCGTCGCTGGGCGAGGTGGCCGCGTGCTCGGTGCGCGTGCCCACCGAGGTCGTCAAGCAGCGCGCCCAGGCCGGCCAGCACGGCGGGTCGTCGCTGTCCAGCCTGATGGCCATCCTGGGGCGCCGCCACGCCGTCGGCCTGCCCGGCGTGTGGCGCGAGCTGTACCGCGGCTGGGGCATCACCATCATGCGCGAGGTGCCCTTCACCGTCATCCAGTTCCCGCTGTGGGAGGCCCTCAAGTCGTACTCGCGGCGGCGCCAACCGGGCGGCGGCAGTGGTGGGGATGTCAGCGCCGGCGAGTCGGCCCTGTACGGGAGCATCTCGGGCGCCGTGGCCGCCGGTGTGACGACGCCGCTGGACGTGCTCAAGACGAGGGTCATGCTGAGCACGGAGCGCCAGAGGGTGTGGGATGTCGTTACGGGAATATTGAGGCAGCATGGGGTTCGGCCTTTCTTCGCCGGCATTGGTCCACGGGTGATGTGGATCAGCATCGGCGGCGCGGTTTTCTTGGGCAGCTATCAGTGGGCGATCAATGCCTTCGAGCGTGGCAAGACGGGCAAGGCGGCAGTCAGTCTGCCTTGAAGATGCAACATCCTCGGCAAAGGATGAATGGTTTAATCATGCGGGCCTTGTGAAGGTGTTACGATTTGGTCCTGGTTCAAGAGCTCGTTGACTGCAGCAGCGTATGCACACGGGACCTCTTCCTGAGCAGGGCAGCTGCCCGCAATTCGAGACATATGATGGTAGGGCAGCCGAGAGTTTCAAAGGGCATCACCATTATACCTCGAGGGGGCTCCCGAGAGAAAAACACTCCGCTATGTACATTATGTACCAACACCTCTGTGGTCTGTGAAGATACCCTATAGACAAGCCCAGAGAAGAATAGATGTTAAAGAGTCAGCCTCCACGTGAGACACGTCGGCACCTTCTCAACTGTCCTGCTATCCCTTCGAATACATCACATTATTTAGACTGCTGCGGCAGCAGCTTGTCCAGCCAGGCCTTCGCCGGCAGCTGGAGGATCAACAGCCGGGGCTTCTGTCTCCGCAGCCGCTGGCTGTTCAGGCGGCGGCAGCGGAATCTCCTTCTTCCCGTTGGCCTTGTAGTATAGAACGACGTCATTACCGCCCTTCCATATGTAGGCGCGCAGAGTCGCGAGGGTCATGTTGATTGGCAGGAGCTGTAAACAATGTCAGTCAACGAGGTTCACTATCCATGAACGCTAGCCATTGCGGACTCACCTGCTCATTACAGTAGAGCTCAAGATACTCCTCCGCCTTCATCGCGTCGGGGTTCGGCTCAGCGTCGTTCTCAGGCTGCTCAAAAGTAGGATCGATCCTCTCCGCCACGTATGCCAGGATCTTCCTAACACGAAGCATCTTGTTGGCATTCAAGCGGTTGTTCCCGTCCGCAGATGCGAGGCTCGGCAGTCCCGAGTCTGGCCACGGGTGTAGCACGAACGACACCTTGACGGGTTCCTTCTGAGGGACGGTGTTGAGCAGCAGAACCTCACCCAGCCACTGTGGGGCGCACTTCTCGATGATATCTGCGTCGACGCCAACCGTCTCAATCGTCCCGCGGTACAGCTCGGCACTCCCTCCCGAAGTTTCCTCCTGGATGATAACCTTGGTTCCTGGCGGTAGCTTGAGCACCGGTGTTTCATTGGTAAGGCTAGGTGTGATTTTCGTCTCGATGGACTTGTCCGGGGTATCAATTAACTGTTTTGCATACTCGTCTTGGAGTTTCTGGACCACGCCTTGGAAGTTGTCGTCGTACTCCTTCTCGGGCTCATGATTTGATGATGACTCCGATTCTGCCGTTTTCTCTTCCGATATCGCTGGCTTCTCTGTTGCTGTTGATGAGGCTGAGCGGCCAAGCTTCTTGGTGCCGAAGGACATCCCCATACGGAACTTCTTTCCAAAGGGCGTGCTCGGCTGTTTGGCCTCGCCTTTTTCCTTATCTTTATCTTTGTCTTTTTCCTTATCCTTGTCTTTGCCATTCTCAGCTGGCTGTTCGGATGGGGTTGCCGCAGGTTTTGCAGTGTTGTTGCCATCCGCTGATACTATTGCGTTCGTGAAGTAATCCTCCCTTTCCTGAGACGGTTGGCTGGCTTGAGACGTTCTCTTGTCCAGAGGAAGCGCCGAGTTTGCCCCTTCCTCCTTAACTCCAGGAAGGCCAGGAGTCGCAAGCCCGATGCCCATTCCCGGCGTCATGGGTACATACTGCGAGCCATTAGCTCTGGGGGTCATTGGGGATTCAGCCGCCTGTTCCCAGTTCGAGGAAGTGGGAATCGTGATGCTGACGGGCGGTCTCGTCTTTGCCACTGCTATATTCTGCTCGACTGTTTCGTTCAATTTTTGACGGTGAGCCTCGTCGCGCCTGATTTCTTCATCGATCAAATTTGAGAAGAGGTATCTCAAGATCCACTTTCCATGGTTGACTTGGGAGTCGCGTCAGCGGTGCCGGTCACGTACAGAGTTCAGGGTTAATGCTCACTTCTTTGATCTTCCCTGAATTCAACAGGCTCATCCAGGACTAGCTCATCAGCGTACAGTTCTGCGTCAAAACAATTGAAAGGTTCCAAGACAACTGTGAGGTTGCCAGAGCTTGTATCGACTGAGCACCATGGTGAGACGTTTTCGAGAGTGTTCACCAGTGGCTCAACGTCCTCGAGGTGCTTCTTGCCAAAGCTCTGAACGGGTTTGCACTGCAACAAGTCCTGTTAGCGTCATATGAGCAACATCAGAGCGGATGCCTTACTTGTATTAGGTCCCACAAAAGCACGTCGCCTGCTGTGTCTAGGGTAAGCACTCTACGCTTGTCAGCCAGTAGGCGGTGCTTAACTAGACCAAACTGGCCCTCAATTGTTTCTTCTGGTACATGCTGTATCGGTTCCAATACATGGACAACAGACTCAATAGTCTGTGTATCGGCGTCTGCATTGGGAGCGACCTCGGGTGCCGGGAATCTCGCCGTGTTGGATATCCTGAGAATTGATCTTGCTGGGACTTCCTTCGGCTTTCCATTAGTGACAGGCGACGATTTCGAGTGCGGGAGGTTGGCAGCAATGGAGGCTCGTTGTTGCCTGAAAGATTCCGGCAGGGGGACATCGGCGCCCGTATCGATATTATGCCAGCGGTTGATGGATGATCTCTGGGTCGCAGTCCACATGTAATCGCCGGCAGCCACGACCCTGAATACGGTGTCGTGTTCTTGAGCGACGGCAAGTGAGAGGCCTTCGTCCATTTCCCCCCTCGTCCCCCGCACGTCGGTCTTTGCGATCAAGCCAGAACGGTCGGTGCTGTAAAATACCGATAGCTCGGGGTCTTCGGAGTAGAGCGACCAAACGCTGTCGTTATGCATGGTAAGGGTGTGCATGCAGCGACCAGCGGTGACACTCCAGACCTTGACCGTTTGGTCTGCACTGCCCGTCATGACCATATCGCCTGCCGCACTCAGCAAGATAGACCGAATGTTGGATGTGTGCCCACGGAACTTGGTGATGCGTTTCCCGGCCCTTGGGTCCCAAAGATGCAGGATGGACTCGGGGCCGCCGTAAGCCAACATGTTCTCCGTGGTGCTTAGTGAGTACACAGAGCCCTTCTCCGGAACCTCTTCGCCTATGGTATCGATTTCCAGCGTCTTCCCGCCGCCATTCAGGTCCCACAAATACACCTTGCGGTCAAAGCCTCCAGTGGCCACCCAAGAGGATTGCTGCCCCGGCGATGCGACACACTTGACATAGTCGGCATGTTCTCCAATCTTATGGGGCTCGTCGTTCTGGTTCGCGTGCGGTCGCCAGAGCTTGACAATCTGGTCCTGGGATGCGGTTATGACAGCGCTATTGCTCTGTGCCAACGCGATGTCGCAGATCCAGTTGGTATGAGCGAGAGTCTGGGCGCGGAACTTTGTGGTGTTCTTGGACTTGGAGGCGTCGGTCGAAGTTGAGTCGATTGCAGAGGACGTCGCTCTGCCGGTGAGGTCGAGATTCAAGTCCCAGGCACATATTGTACCGTCGCGACCTCCAGAGTAGCTGCGTGACGATTGTGGTCAGCAAGACCCAGCGCAGATCGGGGGCGCGCCGTTGCCGAGTGCTCTGCGCGCAAGGATTGGGGCTCACAGGATTGACTGGTCTCGGTCGACGGCGAGACCATTGACACCGAGCTTGTGGCCTCCGGCCTGCTTATCGGCGCGCTCGAGAACTAGGTAGAGGGGCACATGATGTTAGAGACAGCAATCCGAGACGGTGAAACGGTGACCTGCCCCATGGATATTGCTCGCATGCCACCACTGCTGCGCAACAGCTGCCACGTGCGGGGTCGGGACCGCCTGGGTCGCGACAGCAGAGAGGCAGGGAGGTGGGAGCATGAAGGATACATACCATAGCTGATTCTTTGACGTGCCTTCTTGGCCATCACGAAAGGAACGTGGATGTGGTGGACATGTGCGTATGTTACTGTAAGGAGAGGGCTGCGTATATCCGGAGATATCGGCTCGATGGGGGGTGATGGCGCACCACTGCACACACAAGTCTACCTCTAAAGTACCAAGTCAGGAGCGTCTTGTTGCGAGTGATTGATCGTGAGTTGGCCCCGTGAGGATGCGGTCATTGAATTCGATGAGGCAGCAATAAGAGACGGTGAATCAGGGAGTTGCTGCATGTATTACGTACGGTATGGTATGGCAAGCGAAGGAGGATGAAGATCACCATGGCCCATTAGGGATCCATCGCTCGGAATGGCTGGTTGATGGAGCGGATCTCCCATCAATTAGCACCTCTGACCTGCAGCGTCACCCACCCAACTCCACTCCACCTCTCACCCTCCCACCTTTCCACCCTTGCCTACATACGGGCTACCGTCGCGTGGGGAAAGCTGCACCGCCGATGGAGCTTGCTCTGGAGCTCCGGAGCAGCTCGCGTCTGTCAGCAGCACGTGTCTGCTGCAATGTCGCTCTGCTGGGGACAGCCATCGTGCCGTGTACTTCGCAGGGATCCCCAATGTCAGCGTGTGATTCTCAATAGGTCACTACACACCATTTCTTATGATAACATCTTATAGGACAATGTCGCATGGGGATGGGTGAGCTCCCATGTCTTGCACCCTGCGGGCTGGGCAGTAGTCTACCACAGTACCGAGGGACTGGAGCGCTTGGGACAAGGAAAATCAAAGCTTCCAAGGTTTCCGTCGCCTCAGTTGACCAGACTGGCAGGTTGGGCACACCAACTGACACCTCATGCGATGCTGTTCTAGAACATCCCAGGAAAGGTGAGGCGAGGGCATGAAATTGCGTGGCAGGTCGAAGGGAGGCAGGGCCCGTCTCCCCTCTCGCCCCCCTCCCTCCCCCAGCTCCCAAGCCCACGGGTCACTGGATCGCCTGTTCCCCGCTGCAGCCGCCTGGAGAAAGCAACCATTCCAGGGATTCCCCAGCTCCCTGCAGAAGTCAATTGGACCCTGGGGTCTTTGTACGTAATCAAGCCGTTGCTTCATCTCCGCGAACTGCCTTCCAGACTTCAACCTCTGGTCTCAAATTCCAAGACGCAAATACTATGTTTTGTTATCCAGCACTGCGAGACGATTTCCTGCTACTTCCAATCATTATACAATCTTAGCTCTCAACTGTGGTCTATTACCTCTCCTGCTGTTCACTTTCAATGTCTTCGCAAAAACACTGCCTTTGAAACATCCCTACGGAAACCTGGAAGGTTAAGAACGATTCAGGGACCATGTCATACTTCGCGAAAATTCAAAGTTGCATAAGAAACGTCAAAGCAAGCTCAATGAAAGGCACTTTGCCATCGGCCCTACGATCGCCCAGACCCTTGCTTTAACAGCTCCTGATTGTCAGATAGAGCTGCCATGGCATGATTTGGCATATCAAAGCCGAGGCTTTGGTAGCTTGCCCTCTCCTCTGGCAATTATCTTTTCTCAGGCCAAAGAAAACAACACTGACGAGCAGTTCCCATTCAATCGCTCAGAAAACACCACCTCTTGCCTGGGAACCGGAAAGCACTTATGAACAATGCTTCACCATAAGCCGTGGGAAGCTTGTGACTTCGAGCAGGCCTGATTCAGTATACCATACGTGCTTGAAATCTGGTGTGATTAATATGCTGGTTCTCAGTATCTATTTCAGATCGTCGCCTGTGACAAATTCCCTGGATTTCTTAAGCCACCTCAACGCCATTGCTTATTTTAGTCCCGCTGTGCTGACTTTCACGGAGTAGAGTTCCAAATATCTCATTTGTTGTTCAGTTGCCGCTCATGGACGTCCAGGCCCTGCTCCGTGCTCACGGCTGGGAGCACAGACTTGAGGCTCTTTCATGATCATACCAGATCGACCGGATGCGCCAGCTTCCAGAAGGACCTCGGTGTAGATGTGCCTATATTCAGAGCCAGAACCCAGTCAGCCAAGCTCTCCCTCGCTGCGATCTTGCTTCCCCGACTCTGTCCAGCAGTCGTCAACATACCTGATTCGTTCGTGAAATCAGAAATCGAGCCACCCCCGTGGACCAAGCCCAGCGATGACCCGGCCGAGCTGCCGCTGCCGCTGCTGCTCGGCGCGACCCCGACCGGCCCCAGCCGCGCAGCCAGCTCGGCCTGCCTGGCGCAGCGGTTGCACAACGTCGGCACGGGCCGGATGGCCTTGAGTTTCCTGCAGGGAAAATTATTGCTGTAGTACTCCGGCGTCTTGGTCTTGCTCCTGCTGGTGTCATAGAGAAAGACGGGCTTGTCGAGGGTCAGGTCCCCGCGGTCGACCACGTCCGGGGTCCCGCGGACTGTGGCGCACTCGCTCACGTTCTGGAACTGCTTGTGCTGGCAGCGGGTGATGGTGTAGACGAAGACACACATTGCGAATGAGCGAAGTCAGATCGGTTGAAGTTGCTTTGGGTTTAAGGCGAGGTTGATAGGCTGGGCAGCGAGCGTAGTGAGATATGTTGTGTGAAGGCAGGAGAGGCTGTTCTTAAACCTGAGGTTTCGAGAAGCACGAAGCAATCACACAAGGTACAACGTCCTGTATGAATCCTGTACGTGTGTGAAGTTGGTTTCCGATTCGGTTGATCATGGTGTTGCGGATTTCAGGCGGAGCTGTATTGAAAGACGACAATAGCTGAATGGCACAATGGCTCTTTGTGACCGTGAATGTGAGATGCCGTCTGTCAAATAACCCAAAGCGAGGACTCACTTTTGAAGGCTCAACATGATGTAAATCATTGTCGGCCAGATGCGAGACTTGCCTCAGGCAGCGACGTATGAGGAAGCCGCGCTCTGCGGCGCTGGCCAGGCTGGCGGAAGGACGCGACACATGTAGCACCGTACGACGGGGGGTTGCATCACTTATCACCCAAACTCATTTCTTGCTTGCTTTCTGAAGTAACTCGAGCGCGGGCAAACCACTCCGCAGTGGTTTGTGATCACTGAAGTGATTGGAGATGCCGTCTGAAGTCTACGAATCGTGGGGGGTAAAAGCAAGGTTTGACTCGATGCAGGACTGCCGTCATAGAAACAAAACTGGGACCGGTCGTCACCGAGCAGCTCACTCGACTCGAGGCAATGAACATGTCTGTATCATGTTGATTATAGGCCATTCCATTTGGGTAAATGATGCTCGATTATGTCGACGAATAGCGACCGGGGTTTGGTGAAACGGATGCGTTCCGAGCACCGGGGTGTATTCCGTCTTCGATCTCCTTGCTTGATCATTTGGAAGCAAGACCTATTTGCCTTCCTAAATCATCCCAACAACCTCTCCTCATGGGATCCAGCTCTTGCAGCTTGGAAAGCCAGGTTTCCACGTCCAGCAGCTCACCCTCGGACGGCTTTCGTTCCTGCAAAGTCGGCAATGCCAATGTGCATTCAATCAATGCTTCGTAGATCAATTTACAGTCGTCATAATCCTCAAGCAGATCCTTGATGTCCACGATATCTGCTGTAATGTATTTCACTCTTTCTTCCACGGTGAAACCAGCCGTGATGGTCGGTCGCTTAGCATGTTCAATTAAATCCAGCATCAGGAATTGGTGATAATACCAAAGCGACTGGTCTTCGGGCCCTACATTCAAGCCCTCCTTGATCTGAGCCAATTCTGGAGCTGCGTTAGCCGCATTACATCATGAAATGAAGACGCAGTTTGTCGTACCATCATCAAAGAACTTCTTTCTCGTGCTTGCATCGGCTTGTCGCTCGTCCAGAAGTCTCGGGATAAGCTTGCTACGGTTGTGCCACGCGGAGAAGTTGGACAAATCAACGCGGATCATTTTAGATGTGAAGTCGAACTCGGACTCAATCATGCTCGTGCCGTTCAGGGCAGCGCTCTCGAGATGGCTGACGACATTCCGTCGATAGCCCCAGGCATGGAAATTCCGGCGGTCTTTGCTTAGCATCTTGGTATCGAGACCAAGCTCCTCTTCCCATATCCGCCTCGCAACAACAGGATCTAGCCGATCGATGGCTTGCTGCAGCAGCCACGATCTGTATTTCCAGATCCAATAACACTTGGGGAACTCCATCAGTAGCGGAACGGTGAAGCCCAGCTCGGACCTGAGCATGTCGAGGTCATTTTCCCTGGCCTTCTCTCTCGCTCCATCGTCCCGCCGGTCATCATCACCACTAGGTCCAGGCGAAACAGTGTCGTCAGCTGTAGTACCACTCCTCCCAGTTGTCTGGGACGCGGGGTTTTGCGGGGTCGTGATCGAGGAAGAGGAGGAGGATTCGGCGGAACATGTTGTGGTAGTGGCGGTCTGAGAAGAACTCTGCGACGCCTTCGAGGGCAAGGACCCAACCGACGGTTTGCATGATAACCCACAGGTTAGCAAACATCTGCGGCGGACGTTCCATATTGTGTAGTACTCTGGGTTGAGTCGGAGCAGCTTGTTGGTGAGTTTGAGGAGCTCGGGTGTGAACTTGTCATCGGCGACCAGCGACCGGACCTGGCCTTCGAGGTCGCGATACTTGGCGATCTTGTCGAGTTCTTGTTGCTTCTGTTCTTCAGTGCGGGACCGGTTGGTTCGGGTTACGCCGTGCTGGTTGCCTTCCCATCAGTCAACTTCTCGTGATTGCGATCGGGCATATATCGGTGGGAGATGATCGTACGCTGGCCATTTCGAAGCTTTCAAGGAGACAGGCCGAGCAGCACGGCGAGCCTTTCACCGGTTGTCTGTTTGAAGTGCTTCAGGAAAGGTGACGTTTGCGGCGGAGGTCGGTCAGGATATCGCTACGGTGGTGCAGTAGCGTATCTTGGTACCTAGGTTCAACCTTGGGCGAAGTAAGTACCCACCCAAACTGTAGGTTAGTCAGCATTGCCGCATCAATCCTCAGCAGCACACCTCACCCACGTATTGACCACCAGGAGTCAAACCATCGAAACCCTCCGACCGCACACGTACCAACATGTCTGTCTCGTCTGTTCTGAATGAAATTATTGGATACAACTGCCTCCATGGCACAGTATGCAGTTGCCGCCCAAAAAGAGAAAAAAAAAGGTGACAAGACCAGGTGGAGATGGGCCCAGCTCCTAGCAGCCTTAGGCTTCTTATACCAATTCCCCAGCTGCTGACCTTGTATATTGTCGGTCACCCAGGGGAATCACAGCGCCTTACACCAACAATCACGTCCTTGCTGGGAATCGAGAAAAATTCAATATTTACCAAATGAACATGAATCATGGTGGTGCGATAGATCGATACTCGCGCTCGGTTCTCCATATAACAGACCGCCATTGACTTACAAACACCATCAAAGCGAGTCTGGCTACTGATCTATTGTTCGTCTCATCAGCCCCGGCTTGCCACCCCTTTCAACAATTACAATGAACATGTTCCGATAATGCTGCAGTGGTGAGTTGCAATTGAAGACTAGCCAAAAAGATTGTCCGTTTATTGTGGCCTGCAATATCTTGATTTGTTTGTTGCAAGCAAGCACCTCGCTTTCAGCCCAGTGAGACTGATAAATCCTGTCTTGTTGACCAAGAAAAGAATGTACATCATTTTGCACTGTATGTATTCAATTGGACCAGTCAAATAAAGAATTGTCGTTTCGGATAGCTCCGCTGGAGGCTGTCGTCTTGATATGACTATCTACTTCGGACTATCACGTTGAGCCTCCTGTTTCGCCAACTCCGCTTCCATGTGGTTCATCATGTCTCGAATTTCGGGGTAATCCCCCTCGTCTTGCGGCCTTCGCTCAAGAAATCTTAGTTCCTCCTGCGTAAAAGGCTTGCGATCCCAAGGGTCCCTGTACACACGTTTGTGTGTGTGCGCGATGGAGGAATCGAGCCGCGTGCGGTTGTGGCGGTCAGGAAGTATAGGTAGTGGATTCTCTTTCTCGTCTTCGGCAAGCAGGTAGTCAAAAATTGCCTTTTGTTGCTCGTCACGCAGCTGATAGATTCGTTCCGTCACTCGGTCACGACCTGGATGGACCCAGATATTCGGCAAAGTGTCTCCGTTGTCCACCTCGGCATCTTCAATTTCTCCCGCTGCGCGAGGATCTGCTCGTCTGTCAAACAACACAACGCCCCCAATAATCCGATCCTCGGCCCAATAACCCGCTATGTCTGCAATACCTTCGGGATAAATATCGTGGTCGAGGTAATAAGCATGATTAAACAATGTGGGCCTTGGTGGAACATCAACCCAGCCTGCCCCTTCACGATCCGTGTCGCATGCAGCTAGTGGCCGCGGCATCACGTAATCGGTGACTCTCTTTATTTCATCCTCATCATGTGAGTACAAGTCACGCCGCTTGAAGAGGTATGCAGCGATCTGATGCAATGCCACGGCGACAAGCTCGACCAGGCGGGTGTTGAAAGCTTTGGACCCGATGTTAGCATTTTGATAGGCTTGGATGAGCTTCGGATCAAAAAGAAGCGAATTGACATCGAAGTCTTGAATGAAGTCACTGATCTTCTGCTCTGCCCCTGGACAAAGCTCGTTGTGGTCCTCAATCGGGTGCTCGTAACCAAAGATTCCACTGCAGCATCTGGAGTTAGCTACCAAAGTACCAAAGAGGAAGCATTTACGGAAACGAAGGGCAATAATTAGGCCATCATATGCTCATGACCTGTCTCAGAACCTGCAGCCTGACAAATGGCTTCGAGACGAGTAATAAAAACAGACAATAGATGATGGATGTTCCTTCTTGAAAGGGTTGAAACTGTATCTGGAAGCTGCTTACGGGTATCGTCGGTCCCACGCCACATCCGCGATCGGCAGGCCATCAACGAGTTGTGCATAGGTTTGTCGCGCTGCTTCTGTCCTCAATATGCGACTAATTGCGTTTCGAAAGATTTCGTAACGATTCGACTCGACGTTCTCAAGTGAGATGCGGTGCAGATGAGCATAGAGCGCAACGTCGCGGAGTCTTGTTGCCATGACATCCATGGTCAGACCGGTTATCTCTTCGACGGATTCCATTTTGGTTTTTGACAACGCCTTACACCTTAGATGGCTGGAATGTCTGCGGTTGCGTCTTCGATTCCAGGCTCTCAGAATCAAAAAATGATAGCATCAGAGCGAGGAGTTGTTGACGATGAAATGGCGCGAATTGTTTGGAAAACTTGCAGAGACCATAACCTAAGCATTTGGACGGACTTGCTTACATAATATTCACTTGTTGGTAGCTGCGCCCCTTGCGAATTGTCCAACAGGACCATCTAAGTGGGCTGATGTTGCACTCAAAGGATCATATGGCCCCAGGCCCTCATTTGTCCACGCCTCATCAATAAATAGATAGCCAACAGGCCACAAGGCTACGACGATCCCCAGTAGAACTCAATAAATAAATCTTAATTGGTTCGGGTGTGTTCTCATCTCCACAGATAAGTTCAGGAAGCCGGCCTGGCCCAAGAGCTTTGTTCCGGTGTCCGCTTGTTGGTTCAGAACAGACAACGTTTGGGTAGTAATGTTTCTGGAGTCACAGCTTGCAGCCAATGTCTGAATGAAGATCTGCCTTACCCGGCGTGGCCTCCAACAGCATCACATCGTGACAGCATCGTTTTAGAAGCATGTTGGCCTCAAGGCCGCAGAGCCGGCTGGCCGCTTCCACAGGTTTACGTGGCTGGAGTGCAAGAGAACAGTGTTGGTGATCCTCCCAGAATAGTTTTCCCGATTAAACTACGAGAGATCACGATAGAGAGGCCCAGATGCGCCATGGAGACATATATAGAGAGTCTCCTGTCCTAATCAATAATTTCCCTCGGTCAGACTTACTCGAATTACCTATCTACAACATCAAAGCCTAGAGCTTTCTCTTTGAGACCGAACCTGAATTTCATTTTTATCTTCACTCATCCACTCATTCATATATCGACTTCAGTGCTATCCAAGTATGCCTTCCAACAGCTCTTCCCGTAGCAACGTCCAACCTGCGAGGACCCAATCGCCATTACGAAGTCAATCATCCACGCCAACGTCGACACCCCCAGGATCCCGTCCAGGCACGTCCAGCTCGAATGGCTCGACCTCTTCAACGAATCTTGACATCCTCACGGGGGTCCGGGTAGTCCTGCAAGACCAGCCTGACCCACTGAAAGTGACAAATTTGCAGCCAACTTCAAGGTACTTCAGGATCACTGTTTTTGCACTTCATCGCGCTTTGTCCATGCTTGAAACATCCCGGGGCAGATATGTTTTGAGCAATATCGGGGTTGAAGAGTGCGAATCTTGGGGCCCTAGGGCTGCGAAAAGCCTCGTTTTCAAGCAAAATCCCAAGGCAAACCCGAACGCCATGAAAGACTACGTCAATGAATGGCTGCAGAAACTCCGAAGAAATGCTCCTACGGTGACCATAAGTGATAGAATTCAAGGTGACGGTGTCACTCAGCGTCTAGACTGGGGCAACAGTCCGTCTGAGTACATCGTTACGAAGGCCGTGTTGTTCCGTGTCAACAAAATTGTGAGTCTTGTTATAGCGACGTTCAATTTCAGTGTCCTCATTAGGTGCAGACATATGAAAATACTGATGTTAATATACGACAGCTTCTCGATAATATTATCACTGCTGCGAATAGGAAGAACACAGCAAATTTCGAGCGCTCTCTCTTTTTTCTCACATTGACTATTGCTCACGAGCTGATCCACGTCTTCACTGGCTACATAACAGGAGACGCGTTGCGGAACACACCACCAGCAGTCAATCACCCTCGCGGCTTGAGTGGCAGCATGAGGCCGGGCGAGGCTGGACGAGCCTGGGAACGCGGATTCATCGGATACATCACGAAGTCGTACTTTGACAGTAATGACCCCCTTGGAACAGCACAGGCGGGTATCATGTACGCCTGCGAGGTTGAAACTAGAGGCTATGTTATAAAACAAGCCTGGATCAAACAATTTCTGCAAGGCAGTACGTGCTTCATTTTAGCTCTGAGCGCCTCTGATGCAACTGACAAACGAGTTAGATGTAACTACCCTGACGCTGCAGAATGGCCTAGAAGTGAATGCATCCGGAAAACCGGTTGCTCTCACCAGTGCTATGAAGACGATGGAGTCGACTCGGCCAAGCGGAAAGCAAAAGGGTACCGATGACGTGTACGAGACAATCGATGTCATCAATGAACTTCCTCTCGTACGCGTTGGGAGCGCTGAACTCAAAAGCATATTAGGGATAGCCACTGATATGACCAAGATCATGGCTGCACAACGCAATGTTGGTTGATGTCGACGAGAGCAATCCTGGTGTTGAGTCCCGCGGGCGGGATTGAAGATATACCTTGTGTTGTAAGAGGACGGGGCAGTAACAAGATGCGCACTCTTTTCGCTACCAACTACTGTACTTTCGCTCAGACATGACTAAGATATAGAGTTGAAGGAATATCACACACATTGCAATGTCCTTCTGCCTCGTCAGCATGGCGTGACTAAGTACTTTGAAGCAATGAGTCGCATTCCCTTTAAGTGCGACATCGTAACATATGCCTAAAGCGACGGTGACTACTGTAATGAGGCTTTTTCTAGCTGATTGGCTAAGAGAATACTGTAGCACTTATCGTTAGGACCGACAGCGCGCCCGATCACAGGCCAAGACCTTGGGAGGAGGCAAAGGACGGAGGCCCGAATCCGAGGGAAGCAGGGTCGAGCCCAGTCCGCACCTGTTGCTTCCTTGATGGAGCCACCTCACAACTGCCAACGCGAACTCGTGTTTGAAAATTAAATGGCTTTGCTATCCCATCCACTGAATACTGCATTACATCCGCATTCAAGAACTACTCAGTCTATTCAACATTCAACAGGAACATGGTCAGGCGCGCTGGGCCAGGACGCATACCCATTGTGTGGACAACTCTGGCGGAATCCACGACAGCCTTACCAACTACCCGAGGCCTTCTGCGCAGCACGCCTGCACGTAGTCAGAAACACCATAGACACAACAACCAGAATCACCAATCACCGCAATCGCTAGCGATTACCGTGCGTACGCACAACGAAGCCCTGCCAACCTTGTCCATGTCAGAAAACAAGATCATATCCCCTTCGAAGTTTCGGAGCTTCCCCTTCCTTGCACAGAATGAGCTTCCCAAGAATGCCTCTTACACCCTGCGTCGTTCACTTCGCTGACACAGAGCTGTATTGGAAATCTTCTCAACGGAGTAATATTTGATTGTAGTGTCTGCGACCCCAGGAAATTGAATTATTCAAAACGGACTTCATTGGATCCAATGTTAAAGCCGATAATAGACATATGGAGGTTTTGATTCCAGCGAGGACATCACAGCATCGATGGCGACGAAATGCCACACGGATTGCCTTCGCTCGCTCACATACGACATGGACATTTCCCCTACTCTACAAGGAATCGCCAAACATTTTCCAGATGAACGTGGCTGCGCGTATTTCGCTGTGCTTTGGGGAGATTCTTTACTTGGGGATCTTCATGGTTGGCATCTGTATGTATGGTTCTCATGCCTGTCTGGCTACAGCAATGATAGAGCCAACTGAGAGCGTTAGCTGTTTATTGCCCCACCGCAGCCCACATGGAACTTTGACTCGTCGCGGCTGCCTGAGCGTCAGATTTTACTAGACTCATACACCAAAGAATCCCAATGAGGACCCGAGTCTTTCAATCCCGTCTTTGGACCCAACTGGGCATTGGCTTCCCACGATGTGGTCGATCCCCCCTGCCAGTATATTTGGCGATGGCAAGGAATCCGACGAACTTGCAACAAATGGTGAAGAAGATAGCCACAGCACCAGCCGTCATCTAATTAATCTCAGCAATGAAAAAAATCCCACATTTGAGACTCTACCGCCCGAATTGCGATCTCAAGTTCTCTCCAATGTCCGAGATCTACGCACACTGAAATCGCTTGTCCGCGCCTCGCCCGCATACCACGAACAATACAGATTGAATCGCGACCGCTTTCTTCAGAATTGTCTGGAGTACGAGCTGGACGGCCTTTATGTCGACGGCGTGGCCACACTCAAATCTCGTGTTCGCGAGCTAGGCCGAAGGCGGACCGACGAGACCATTACCGCCTTCCTGGGTTCCTACCGATGTTGGATATCAGGTCATGATTCCGCTGCAAATGTCCCGTCGCTTAACTCCTCAGACATCCACTGGCTTTGTGCCTTCCACCTGTCAGTTGCAGTACCACTGGCCAATTTGTTCTGCCAATGGGCCCTCGCCAATCTTGAAAGGGCTGCGGCTTCTTCTGCTGAGGAGGCAGCCCAGGATGAGCCACAAATATCGATGGGTTTCTCTGTGCTGTCCAAAAGCGAGCGAATCCGCGTCTTCCGAGCTTTGTATCGGTGCGAAACTTACGCTCATCTCTTTGGACGAAATAAAGGCGAGCGAATCGGAGCGTTTCGTAATGCTGAAATCACGGAGATTTTTTTCAATATTTTTCAGCCTTGGGAAGCTGAGGAAGTTGGGTGCATCGACTTTTTTATCAGGAGCAAGTACACGGATATTTTCAACGAAGTCAAGGCGGACCTCCATCCAGACAGCCCTAGATTCGATGACGACAGGGGCCCGGGATGCTGCCCGGATCCTGACGGTTCTTATGAGCTGGATACTTTCTGGAATGGTGAGTTGAACACCGAGCTGAGTCTTCCTCGTCATCCCATCTTTCTACGTATTTCCGAGACTTGTGTACACCATGCTGACTAGACTATGACCTCTGTCAACGGTGCAGATTATATGGAAGGCACCGTTTCGCGCGGTATCAAGATGACAGCACGACTCCTAGCAATCGATAAGCATGATCAACTCGTTGACAAGATGGCTCGCTGTCTCACTCCCTGTCAATACCTAGACGCGTCTATAAACGCGTCCTTGAGTACTTTGGCGCAAGCTGACAGACGAGAGGAGCTCAACCACACCCCCAATGCTAAGGACGACGCCGAGGGACGCGATCCCTTGTCATTCCCCGGGGATACGATGCCACCGAGAGGACCACCCCTGGCCTGGGTGCTCTTGTGGGGAGGCAAATACGTCAACATCTTTGGAGAATATGTACCAGGGCCACTGAAGGCTTATGGATGGGTTATGTGGGATGAACGTCGCCTAGTTGATATGCGTGTGAAAAAACTCATCACTGACCAGTGGAAGACAGCGCCGGAGCTTGTGGACGAAATTCAACAAGACTATCCCTGGCTGAGTGACGTAGGAAAAGGTACCGATACACTTCCCTGAGAATATTTTAAAATGAGATATCCATGACGGACAGCGTCTGTGTAGCTGCGTCAAATTTTCACAAAATTGAATGATGGAATTTTGAGAGCCACGACAGCAAAGGGGAAATCATGGTTACGTCGACGTAACGAGCGATTTGTGGCGTTTTTGCGTCTGAATAAACCATGTTCTGAATCACAACAGATCCACGCAAGAAGAGCTCGTGATATTTTCCCTTCATTCTCACGAAGGATTCGTTTGTTTACGGTGAAGGTTCAAAGTTTGCGCAACTGCTCACCTAGCTGTAGTATAGCCGTAGCACCAGTAATCACGAGGAGCGCCTCAGAGACCCGGGCAGTTGTGAAGATCGGACTTCATCCTTTTTTTTTTTTTTTTGGCAAGAGCTGAGTGTCCGCGAATTTGTTCTTACAAGGAAGGCACTTCTGAGGTAGACGGAGTGGAAGTTCCGTTTCAACTTTTCGGTCATCCCCGGTCGTCACTGAGCCGTGGATCCATGCTAGTTGCAAAGGGACTTCTTTTCCCATCTTCTTCGGATCTCCCTTCCCTCAAAAGAATTCCCGAGCTGTAACTGCTTCGCTGATTCTCCCCTGTTCCTTATTTCCTTCCATGCCTACCACAGTGACCTACATACCACCCGCATCCCTACGATGACTTCTTCCTACGACCTCCAACTTGAGCCCAACAGTGTCGTGGGAGCCCCAGTCGACCACACACATTTGGGCCACACGCTTGCCAACGGATGATCTGAGTGAGCTCTGCTCCAGCTGGCCTTTCTTTGCGCTTTCATTGCCGGCCTCAAGTCCGCCATCTCGCTGGACAGGTTGGACAGCTCAGTCGCCCACTTATCCGCTCGCTCTGTGTGAAGGTCAATTTCTCCCGGGCTGCCTGACCAAACACTCTTAACGCCCATCAACACTTACGGATCCTGCATTTTTTCGATCACTCTTATTCGACCCATATAGTGTCTACAATTTCGGCATTCGGGGACCAGCGACGCCTACCATCCCAAAGCCAAAATGGCCGATCATGTCACACCCCTCACCTCTCGGATGCGGCAACTTGATCACGATATCTTGCCTAGGACCGACCGCTCCGCAGATTCTGGCTATGCCTCCTTGGAAGTATCTCCCTCGAAGACTCGCCCAATAAGGCACTCAAACCGGACTTCTCTGTCTCTGGTCTCCAGGCTTGAGAGCGAAAGCTTGCAATCCTACGATGGCACTGGCTCCGAAGCATCAGGGTCTAAGAGCACAGACAGTGAATCGAAGCAATTAGTCTTTTCATCGCCATGTGCAGGCCGAGGGAAGTCGGCAACTCTGCCACGAACAGCACGCAGACGGATATCGCGGACAGACTCCTATCCCATGCTACCAGAGCATCAGATTCATCATCCTCGGTATGGATCTGATACCGCAGTCACTGGGTCCAGAGCCAATTCCCTGAGAGCCCTAGATCGCTTTGTGCCTCTGAGAGACCACAAGACACCAGGATCTGAGAAATTACGCACGACCAAGCCCCTGGAAGAATTGACCCCCTCCGAGCGTCTTGTCCGTCATAATAAAGATGCACCCGATCCTTTCTGCTTCAAGCGGCGACCATTGCCACCATCTCCAACCGAGTCTCGAAAAGCGACACGGCCGGGACAGGGTAGGACCGTACTTGATCACCGATTCCACCATCAAGCAGAAAGAAGGGTGAGGTGCCCAATGACTCCAATCCCCCAGATTTCCCCAGAATCATTATTTCTTCATCTACGTAGAATTACAGCTGATAAGAAAGCATTGCAGGTGAGCAACAGTGTCTGGTCTGTTGGAGGGGTGGCGCCTAGCCACGGAGCTGTCAATGACGGCCGTGGTGGTCTGGTACAAAGCGGCACGAACGCACCTATGTTCAATACCCTGTTTCCGCCATCAAAGCCCAAAGCTCAGGAAGATGTCGAAAAACATGAGGCTCGGCTGGCATCAGCATTCGACATCGACTGGTCGTCGAGGATTCTGGGCTTCGACCACTTGTCGGTCCCATTAGAAAGGCAACACAAGAAATCCTACCCAATATTGAAGAAGACTTACTGGGATGGCATCCAGCTGGTCAAAGATGACCAGTCCAATAACTCTGCATCCAAAGTAAAGAATGAGATGCGAACACTCCCGGTAGCCCCATTCAAGGTTCTTGACGCACCAAGCTTGAGGGATGATTACTACTGCTCAATCCTGGCCTTCTCACCTGTCTATCAGACACTAGCTGTCGGTCTAGGCACGAGACTCTATAGCTGGTCGGAGGAAACGGGTGTGCAGACACTGGAGGATAACGGTCCAAGTGATTCATCGTGGCTGACTACAGTCGACTTCTCTTCGAGGCAAGGGAGGAAATGCATCCTCGCCTACGGTCGGTCGAACGGACTCTTGAATCTCATGTCCCTATGGGATGCGCCCACACTCTATGACCGCCAGTACCCTCGTTTTCGATTCGCTCCCCATGTAGAAGAGGCACCAGTCGCATGTGTGAGCTAGAAACCGACCGTCACAAACCGCCCATCTGTAAATCCTTACAATCCGGGGCCTTCGGTTGAGAACGAAGATCTCCTCGTCGGTGACGAACACGGCAATATTTTTTACTACGCCGTCGAATGGCCCTTGACCTTCGAGACCTTTCGCCACAATTGGCGAGGGAGTGTCCAATGCCTCGCCTATATCTCAGCTCACACGCAGCAAATATGTGGGCTCTCCTGGTCTCCCAGCGGCGATCTGTTCGCGACCGGAGGCAATGACAACATGTGCTTTCTCTTTGAGACCGAGAAGGTCACAACGTTTCAAGAGGAAAGCGATCCCGATCAGGACATGAGCAGGCTCTTCGCTGCCTTCCGAGAGCCAATTCCGCCCCAGGGATTTAACCTCAGACAATTCTTGGGAAGTATGGCCCCTGAGACAGGTCCATCAACGTCATCGCCAATGCCCGCAGCTGGAGATGCCTCGTCGAGCCAGCGCCAAATATCGAATTCTTCGTCTGGCAGCGCTGGTAGCCGACTCACTGCGATGGAATCCATTGACGACCGCATTTCAAGCATACCTGCGCCTTCGCTCTTCGCAAGTTTCTTCCGCCCAAACACAACCACACGCTTCTGGGATTTGAATCGTCTCGTTGCCGAGCGTGTGCAACCTCGCTATCCACCGTCCCTGCCGAGCAATGTTCCCGTCGCCTCTGAACAATTTCGCAACCCCATTTCCGACACTTCTGGGGAGCCACGCCACGTCGAGGAGCGACATGCGAAGCATCGTTGGGAACATACGGCGGCCGTGAAAGCCATCGCATTCTGTCCTTGGCGTAAAGGCCTCGTCGCCACTGGCGGTGGCTCCCACGACAAGTGCGTCCATTTCTATCACACGACGTCAGGGGTTGCGCTTGCAACCATCGCTGTCCATGCGCAGGTCACCAGCCTGATCTGGTCAACCACGAGAAGAGAAATCGCTGCCACATTCGGTTATGCACAGCCAGACCACCCGTACCGGATCGCTGTTTTCTCATGGCCTGAATGCCGGCAAGTCGCGGCGATACCCTAGGAGGGCGAGCACCGTGCACTCTACGCTGTATCATACCCACGGGGCCCACCGGACCGGAAAGCAGCCAGAGATGCTACTGGACAGTCGAGAGATTGGAGAAATAGAGAGAAGAAGAGGAACCGGACTTTCATGGAGGGTTGCATTGTTGTAGCAGGCAGCGATGAGAGTATCAAGTTCCATGAGGTGTGGTCCGGTGGAAAGAAGGCTACCGTTGGCGGCGTGGGGCTGTTGGGTGGGAGTGACATCCTCGAGGATCTAGAAGGAATCGAGAAGGAAGGTGATATCATTCGCTAATCGGTCGCCAATTCGTAAAGGTGGCGAGGCATCGCCGCAGACGGTAAAGTCTGGCCTTGTGTCTCCGGTATTGCTACTGGCTTCCGGTTGCTAAAGGAAAGTTGATAGCGTGCGTTGGCGTATATGGACGGTGGCTCATTGTCATCGAATAAAAGCAGCAGATTGAACGAGTAGGTAGTGATGTGGTCCTAGGGAGGCGAGTTGTCGGTCGATGGTCGTCGTGGTCCCTGGGATCGTTCATTCCGCTTAATAGCATCTCTTGTCCGTCACTGGATCAGTCATTTGTGAAGACATTGCTCTTTGTTATCCCTGCGCTACACAGCGAATGCGATATCTGACAAAAAGAACACGACGCGCGGTTGGTGTGTATCAAACAGCTAGTCCAAATAAAATAATCCACCAACTCCTACGGGCCTGAGAACCCGACCAATACCCGTAATCATAAACCTCATGAGACGCCGCGAACCTTGCGCGCTTATCCTGTATGCGTGATGCTATCCCTAGCCCCCTCCTCTCCACCGTGTATCAAACCTTGTGGATTTCTATTAATCGGGCAGCGATCTCTGCCCCCCAACCCTTTTCTTCATCATCCAAGAACTTCACCCTACGAGGGAAACGACACGGTGATGGCCCCGGAGGTGGTGTGGCACTTGAGGTTGCCGCCGACGCCGTCCGGGCCCTTGCGGGCGATGACGCGCTCCTTGAAGCCGGGGAACTCGTCGTCCCGCTTTATGACCTCGACGCCCTTGCCCGAGATGCCGATCTTGCCCGTCAGGCTGTCCGCGTCGATGCCGCCCTCCCACGCGGCCGGGTACGACAGGCGGATGGCGGCGCTGGTGGTGCTGTGGCGCGCGTTCAGGACGTGGATGGCGGGGGAGGCCTGCTGCTCCAGGTCGGCGGCCGCCTCGGGCGCTGGGGCCGCCGGCGCGGGCGCGTCCGCTGCGGGGTTCTCCTCGTCGCCCAGGAAGCTGTAGGGGTCCTTGTCGCCGATGGGTGTGAATTCTGCGTCGCCGGATGCTGGTGTTGGTGGCGACGGGGGTGCTGGCGGCGCGACGTACGCGCCTGTCTGGATGTCCTTCCAGAGCGCATCCATCACATTGATGACCGTCGTGCCGCTTGTGGTCGAAGACTGGAGGACCGAGCTGCCGTCGCCAGAGGACTGGATCTGCGATTTGTCGTACACTGGGAGCAGGTGTAGGTCGATGTTACCCGATGTGGTGTGAATCTTGCACGAGTGGCTGAATGCGACCGACCCCTTGATGGAGCCGGACATGCTTTTTAGGTCCACGCCATACTGTCGCGGCGGGATTATGTCCTGAGCCGTAACTCCAACCGCGGTACCTTGGGACTGCATGGTCAAGGTCGCCACAGCGGCCTCAACGGGCTCGTGTAGCTCGATCGGTCCTGAGGTCGAGTGCGCGTAAAGGATGGCCGGCCGCGGCTTGTCCTTGAGTGCTTCCTTGGGCTGGACACCGGCACGGATTGATCCAGCAATGGTTTCCAGGCCGAGATAGTCGTAAAGGGGCCATGATCCAGCAATGGCATTGGACAAAGTCTTGACCTCGATGTATCGCGAGTTCAGGTTGAACGTCTTGGGTGCTCCCTCAAGCATGACCTGCTTCGGATCTGCCTCGCCGTCTGTGGCCGCAACGACGGTCCCGATTGTGCTGGCTAGCCGGGCGAAGTTGTTGAGCTGGATTGATAGATTATCCAGTAGCTTGACACCGAGGTGTACACTTTCGACGTTCAAGCTATCCAGTACGCTTCCTGGAGGTGCCCACAGAGTCGCACGAATCTGCAAGCAAGGCGATTGCCCGTTGTTCGAAGGCCACGGGATCGACAGTGGGGTGAGAACATAGAGACGTTGCTCGACATCGTCCCAGTCCAGGTCGAGCTCGATCTGGTCGTCGTTGGAGACAATTTCCAGGGTCATTGCTGGCCCTGGGGTTCCATTACCGGCCCGCCGGACGACAACCTCGCCACTGACACGGACGTCCCGTCCGCCTCGAGGATGGTCCTTCTTGACATCCTGGAAGAATGAGACGTTGCGTGAATCGGAGAACTCGACTTTGAAAGTCTGCACGGGGTACTTGATTTCCTTGGTGGCGCAGAGGTCGCTCTCGGCCCAGGGCATCTCTCCATCGTAGGGTGGGTATGCCAACCTCGTACCATCGTCATCTTCTGCCGGCAGTTTGCTGATAGGAGAACTTCCAGAGCCACCGCTAGGCACATGGATCCTTCTCTGCGTAGAGTTAGCTTGACTGAGAGAACTGGCCATTATCAAGTCTGCAGCAGATTGATGAAGGAGATGTGAGTGTGGCAGGTGAGGTTGCTTGGAAGAGCCACAGAGGAGGGTGCTCTTTGAGAATCGCCACTCATGTGTTGCTCAGAGGGGCTGCCGTGTCACCAGCAACAGGTTTATGTATAATGAAATGATCGACAGGACTGCAAGGAATGGGACATATGATGCTCACCTCGTCCTTCACACCTAGGAAAGAGCTGACGAGGAACCCAATCGTCACAAAAAGTAAGACTACGCCTAGCGCGACCAGCTTGCAGGTCCTGCCATTGAGTTTGGACACGCGGCTCCTCACACGATCTCTCCAGTTCCCTGTTCGCGTGAAGGTGTAGTCGTCGTCCGCCTGTCCTCCCATATCTTGGGGAATGGTCTGATATTCGTGGCTGGCCAGCAGGCCCCGTGACTCGGATTCTGAGATGCGACCCATGTTGGATGGCTGGAATGTCTGGTAGTTGGAGGACGTAGTGGTAGGCGAGGTGGGAGAAGGTGTGTACGCAGGTGGTGCGTCGCTGAAGAGAGACGAGCGCTCGGAATATATCGTGCCGCTGCGATGCGAGCGTGACGGAGCTGCTGAGGCGGATGGCGTGTATCTCTGGCTGTATGGCGCGGATGAGAGGCCAGGTCCGTAGGCGTATCTCGATTGTCCGGGCCCAGATGTGATCGACGGATTCGAGTTCAAAGATGGAAATGTGGAAGAGCCACCGTCCCCAGAGGGTGGAAGGGAGGCAAAGTTTGATGGATATGGCCGGCCAGCTCGGCGCCTGCTCAGCTCGCGTTCTTCTTGAGCTTCCCTTGCCTTGCTCTCGGCAGTGCTTCCTTGCTCCAGGCTGGGATCGTTGACCCAAATGTCTGGCACATGCGGAACTTGGGATGATGCCGCCTCAGAGTAACGCGACGATGGGTTGGCATGTGCTGAACCCTGACTACGTGACGGCGACAGCGGATGATTGTCTAGATTGTTGTCGGTCGGGTAAGCAGGATCATACTCTGACGTGGAAGAGTCTCCAGAGCGGCCAAAATATCCATCCGTGGGTGACAGGACTTGTTCCTCGTCGTGGTCTGCAACGTGTTGCCCGTGGTGCTGCCGCAAATCATCCCCCACACCACTACCGAGACCAGCACCAGCACCAGCACCACCAGCTACAGCTCCTGAACCAGTACCGAGCCCGTACCCATGCGTGTTTCTGTTTTCACCTCCGTCCGCCCACGGCTGCTCTTCGACGTCTGAGTCGTCGAGGCCCGAGTACATGTTGTCTGAATAAGGGTAGGTGGGCATGGTGCCGAAACGCCTTGGCGGGGAGCTTTGAAACTATCGACGGCCGCCAAGCCCAGAATTCTAGATGCGCAAAGACGTTGATCCGCTTGGCGTTGCTTGCTTACTGCCGAGTGGAGTGGGATAAAAATGGAACGGCACAATGGGGAAGGCAATTCGAGAATTACGACGCAGGTTGAAGTCGTCGTCAGAGTCTCGAGAGAAGTTCAGAAAGGTACCCAGTAAGTGGCATGTAAGGAGGACGGGAGAGGAAGCGCGTCAACGGGGGAATTGAGTCCGGCAGGGCCGTTTCGATTACATGTACCTATGTTCAATCGAGCCGCACGACTTGGAGGATCAGGTTTAACGAGGTCGCTACGCACAAATAGAGTTAGATGGCGACGGAGCCTCCCAGCACAATGGGAATGGCACGTCGAGATAGAGTTGCACTAGGACAAGAAACAACAAGGCGCCTCGTCAGCCTGGCAGATCGCACGATAGCACCCAAGTATCTTGGAAGGCTGGGCAAAGTGGGACATTGGCGGCGCTGGGTAGCGTGAGTGACATGTTTCCAGAACAATTCTGCCCTCCCCCAAGAGAAAGAAGCCTTCAAACTCCGACACGGCTTGGTGCTGCGCTTGTGCCGAACTCCGTAGTCGGTAATTGCTTGGTCCAAAGAGGAAGCTGATAACAACCTTTTGCCCCTCAGGCCGAGAGATAGCAGCCATAAGCATGGGACAACATCCTTCCGCATAGCAATGACTCTCGACGCGCGGGCCTGGGGGCCATAGTCTTGTAGCCTCAAGAGTTTAGTCCTCTTCTAGACTAAATCGCTGCGAGTAAGCTTGCAGGAAAGAGGGGTCGGGCGATGGAAAATGCTTCATTGGCCAATCCGCAACGGCAGCATGGGGTTCGGAGGAGCGGTCTTACGAATACCCTCACCCACAGAGATGCCTCTACCCTGGCGACAGAAGTGTGCCTGATGACGACTCTCGAGTCACTTAGATATTCGATCACGGCCACCCCTGTCTGTGAATCAAGGTTGACGCGTTTGCATCCTGCATCTAGAGGCCGGTTGGAAACATCTTACACCGACAGCTGGCTTCGGCTGCGAGCATCACAGCCAGTACATTGAATTGAATAGTCTTCATTTGATGCCGTCAGAGCGGTATGAAATCCACTCATGGCACTGAGTCTGCCGGATATATCGCCAACAGGCTGTTGATCCACCATACGTGCCTCTCCTGGTATCACCTGTATTCTACTTTGCTTTCCTTGTTTCTCTACGCCTTCGACATAGATCAGCTCATATGCCGGATTCAAATCAGTGCTCAAGCCATGTCCCGCCTGTCTCAAACGCCTAAGAAGATGCCTTCGTGAAGACTGCTTTGCAGTCTCTGTTCGCTTTCGCCTGTTGGTCGCCGTTCCATCAGATGTTGATGTTTCTTTGAGGGGTGATGGACCGCCCGTTTGGCTTACATCCCCACGAAATTTGATGTTCAGTGCTGCCTCGTCCGATGCTTCTGTGAGAACCTCTCCCACTCGGTCAAAAAAGTCCGAGGTAGCAACGTCGTCGTTTCAGTGCAGGCCGAGGAAACTCTTCGAGTTCTCGTAGACGATCCACGTGATGCTGAGAGCCGGCGCGACCTTGAGCAGATTCGGCGTCAATCCCTTGTACATCCCTCGCAAGCCCTCATTACTGTACGTCTTTCGCGCCACGTCCCAGATGCCGGTATAGGTTGGTGGGTGCATGACCGTGCCCTGGGTCTGAAGTCGCGTGCGAAGGACGTTCAGAGGGTAGACCACAGTGGCACCGAAGGCACCTGAAGTCGCACCAATGATGCCAGTCACGACGTTCCCAGGGGCCGCATCCTCCTCGTGGAGCCCATAGTAGCGGGCCTTGTATCGCGTGAAGGTCTTCTTCAGGAATTCAAATGTGCCCATGTCGATCGCGCTGTACGGGAACATGCCGACCAAGCCCATGGTGATGCCTCGGTACGCACTCCGGAAACCTCCCTCAGCGACCATCTTCTTGGCGGTCTGAACAAGGAGCGCGTTGCCAGTCAGACCACCTTCGACCGTCTCGCATTGCAGACGGAACTTGAGGGTATCTAGTGGATACACGCAAAACCTGGACAATGGGTGTTAACGGCACTCCTGAATGTGTTGCGCGTAGCTTAGCGAAGTGCACTCACTGTGCAGTCATGCCTGCAACACCACCAGCAGCAAACTTTGAGTAGGGGTTGATCCTGGTCGGATCGTCATGTCCCTCGAGGGTGGCAAGGGTGCGCTTTGCAGCCTCGTACGAGCCGAACTAGAGATGGTCAGTTGAGATTCTTCTTGCATCAGGAAAGAAATGAAGCAACATACTTTGATTGCAGTTTCGGGCATGATCTTGATCACATTCAGCCCATTCCCTGTGGCAGATGTCAGCTCTGCATTGACAGCATGATTCGCTTTGGGCGAGAAGACGCCCGATTGATGCCATCCCAAAACACAAAGATGGCTTACCTGCGAAAAAGGTGCGGAAACCGCCAGCCTTCCACAAAGCGTGGACGGCATCACCAATTGGCTTGCCAGCCGCTCGGACAGCAGCCAGCGGTTGGCCTTGCTTAACAACATCAGCAGCGACGCCGGCCTTTGTCTTGGTGTTGACGAGCAGGTAGACCTTGAGGCGATCGAGTGGAGCTGTCGCCGTGCGCGAGATCCCGCCTGCGAGAGCACCGGCGAGAAAGTAACCTGGTTCAGGCAGGTATTGGGTTAGTCTCGATTTTGTAAGCTTATCCTCGCACTCCTCGTCATCAAGTTCGCGCCATTGCAGCTGGGGATGGTGGTCGTGGATGTCCAAAAACTCGTGCTCGTCGTCACTGCTGATGCTGCTGCCTCTGCTGCTGCCGCCGAATGAAGTGCCCGAGGTGGCTATGACCTTGAGGCTCCTGACAGCTTCTCCAGTCACCTGCTGGATGGTGCCTTGAACGCTGCCAGCAGCGGGTTGAGGGGTGTTGGCGTAAGCAGCTGCCATTTCGTTGGTGTTTGCTGTCGCCGCAGGGTCGTCTTCGAGTGGTGGTTTGAGTTGTGAGGAGATGGGTGGTTTTCTCGAAGACGAGGTTGGTTGCGACGAGGGGTCTGTCGCAGTTGAGGTTGCGGTCGTGGGTCCAGGTTGATTGAGGTTGGGAGACGGATCAGGAGGGGCAGGTTGTGCAAGCCTGACAATAGAGCCAAAAAGTGCGTGAAGAAGGAAGCCGGTCGTACCTATGCCCTCGAGTGTTTCTTCCGTGACCATAGAATCGCCTTCAGCATTAAGAGTAACAATTGAAGAATAATAGGACAATGCGGCTTCGAGGGGGGAGCCGCTCGGGTTGGTGGGCATAAACAGCAAAAAGTCTCTTTGCTCACAGCCAGTGATTAGCTTCAACTCTCCCATTCACACGACTACTGAACACAAAGTGAATTGGATACGTTATCCGCCAACTCAACGCCCGTCACGTTGCTAGCCGTTGTAGGTGTTTGCCCACAAAAGGGACCATGGGCCCCAGCTTTGTTCAGCGTGGCCTCGAAAGGCTACGGGCAAAAGCATTCATTGACGGACGCCTAGAGCATGACGACATACGGGGTTTCCCTCCTTCAACCCGCGTAATGGCAGCACGCTGCTATCACACGGCGGAGAGGGACAATGCACAAGGAGAGAGACGCGCAAGGCAAGAAAAGATGTCCAGAGCAAAGGAGGTGCTTACCGCCACTCGTCGAAGCTTATGAAGCCGTCGTGGTTCATGTCGACCTCTTCGAAAAACCCGGCAAGCCGCCTTTTGGGCACGGCGAGCCCTGCCTTCTGGAAGGCCGCCCTGAGTTCCTCCTGGCCCAATTTGCCATCGTGATTCCGGTCAATGGACTTGAAAAGCCGGAGCAGCTGGCGCTCGGCAGCCTCGACGAAGACTCGAAATTCTGAACAGCAGCCAGGCAAGGTCAGCGCTTGCTCGACTCACAAGTCTCTGCTTATTTTACGCCATACCTTCGTACTGTATCTTGCCGTCCCGGTTCGTGTCGACCGCCCTGACAACCTCCCCTAGCAAGTCGTCGGCATTCTTCAAAGCTGTGCTTGCGCGTTAGCCGGTGTCTGGAGCACAACACAACGGACTCGGTCCGAGCTGACGATGGTCTATCCTCCGCAGGCCCTTCTGCAGCCCCTTCAGGTCCAGCTCCCCTGTGCCGTGCGGGTCCAGCTTCCTCCACAGGTCCTCGACCCTGCTATCGCGCTGGTTCTGTGACTCCTCCATCCCCATCTCGAAGTCCTTGACCACTTCGGTGATCTTCATTCGGATACTATGATATCATCGCAAGGCGGACCGTCGGCGAGGCAACCGGTGGACGGAGGGCTTCGGTGACGTGAGGGGGCGCAAAAATCTGTCCAACCGAGGACGGAGTTGGAAGCGTCGCGCGAAATTGGCTATATTCTATATCATGATTCGGCTCTGCGTTGTTGTGCTATTTCGGGACCGCGAGATAAGCCTCGACAAGCGGCGGGTATGGATAAGTCGTGGCTCGTGTTACTCAGCGTCGCTCGTCGTACAAGGCCAGGGCTATCAGTGGTTACGCGCGATGGTGTTGCTGGATATGCGGCAATCCGAGATGTTGCTGAAGGGGTTTGGCTATGGCTGTGGTTATGGCTGTGGTTATGGTTATGGCTAGCGGCGGAGGGAGCTGTCATCTCCAGGTCTGCTCTGCCAGGGTTCCAATGGCAGGCCCTCCTTTCCAAGGTTTGCTGACAATGAGAACCCACTTTCAGGTACTGTGGTACCAAACTCATCCGGTTGCGCCCCCACCTTGGCTCCTCATCCCCTGATCAAGGATGCGACCTGTCTCTCCTTTCTCGGGCCGAGGCGATCATCCCACTGGACGAGCTGTCTCCTGGCTTCGACCCAAGCTTCCCTTAGAGCCAACCAGGGTGTTCGAATAGTAACCCAGCCCCGCTTGGATGACCCTTGAGTCTTGGTGGGCTCTCCGGCCGCCGACAAGGAGCCGACAAGCCGACGTCCTGACGGAGTTGCGTACCCAGCAGCCTGCTGTGCATCGTGCATCAGACTGTCCAGATCCCACGTCCCGGTCGCAACATTGATCACCACTCAAGCTGCGGCCACAGTGCCGTGAGCTTGTTCAATCATGGCCGCCAACTACTGGGACTCAACCCAGAGGAAGCACTGGCAATTTACCAAGGAGCAGCTGTCCTCGATGCGCCAGAGACTGGAGGATGAAGACCCGGGTCTGGTTCAGAGCTTCGGTTTGCCGCAGTGGAGGCACCTGAACATCTTCTTCAACCAACGTGAGCACCTTTCTTGCTGCCCTCTAGCTTAGCTGGATCACTGACAAAACCTTACCTTCGAACCCAGAGATAAATCGGCTCGGCAAGCGTCTCGGAGTCAGGCAACAGGCTATGGCTACCGCCCAAGTCTATGTCAAGCGCTTCTACATCAAGGTCGAAATTAGAAAAACGAATCCATTCCTGGTCATAACCACCGCCCTATATCTGGCTTGCAAGATGGAGGAGTGCCCTCAACACATCAGGTTGATGAATCAGGAGGCCAGGAGCCTATGGACAGGTACTGTGGCCGTCCTGGCGATACAAGATGAGACGAGACGCCTTAGCTAGTGCAAGGTTGCTGACATATGCTCGAATACCGCAGACATGCAACTGTTCCACGACCCATCCAAGATAGGCGAATGCGAATTCTGGCTGATATCCGAGATGAGCTCGCACCTCATAATACACCAACCATACCGCACCCTTACCAGCCTACAGTCTAGTCTCAACCTGACCCAGGACGAGATAGCACTCGCCTGGTCAATTGTTAACGACCATTACATGACCGACCTGCCGCTCCTCTATCCGCCACACACCGTCGCGCTCACCGCAATACTCCTCGCCATCCTATTCCGGCCCTCGCAGAACAGCAGCCAGAGTGGCTCGTCTCAAGGGTCCGGCAGTGCAATGACCCAGCCAAACATGGCTGGGATCAATGCAGTCACCGCGGCTCTTGCACAAGCTCAAGCACGACAGACACCGACGCCGGGCGCGCCCCCGGGACAGACTCCAGCAGATGCCGCGAATGCTGCACAGTCGGCGGCGCTCACCAAGGAAAAAGGCGAACGCTACTCAAAGGTGCAACGGTTTGGCCTGTGGCTCGCCGAGAGTAACATGGACATCGAGGGCATGGTCGACTGCACTCAGGAACTTATTTCGTTTTATGACTGCCAAGAGCAATACAATGACAAACTCACGCGCGAGCAGATCGTGCGATTTATCAAGGCGAGGGGGCTGGACAAGGGCTGAACTCACACAATATCCCTTGAGACTGTAATCAGAAAGTTGGAGTCAGGTGATCGGTCACCCAGAAGTTGTATTGGAGCTTCTTCACCGACAACCCAGTACCCTGTGGCCATTGTGCGGCTACACGTCCTCTGGTATGCCTCTAGTAGCGAAGGCCCTGCACGCTTGAAGTCAGGCTTGAGATGTCTGGGTCATGACAGAGTTGTGGCATTCGCATGATCGGATTTGTAACGCTGTCCGAAATGACAACACCGGGCTGCTCGATGATCGAGTGAGCCTTGAACCGCTCCGGGAATCCGGCACATCTCAACCGTTCATTTACAGGAGTCGAAAGACTCTAGTACTAAGCTCACAAAGGGCAGGCATTCTTGGAAAACAGATGTGCTCACACCGACATAGGCTGGAAATAGTCTAGAGTCGGTTTCAGGATCAACGGTCACAATCGGGCTTACATTTCTCCAGTGCAATTGAAACTCGTTCCTGGCAGTGCTCTCTCGCTCCCACTGAATGCATATTAGCCGTCTCCAAGACCGGATAGTTACTCTCATGGCATGAGCGCAGCCATCCATTTGAAGTAGGGCGCTCCCCGCACCCCGCGTTCATGTCATCCGGCACTTTCTATTATACAAGCTCGCATTGGCAGACCGGTACGCTTGGTGAGGAATCTATGTCTATAAAGGCTAAAGGCCATTTCTCAAAGCCTTTAAGCGGGCTTTGAATATTTGTGCCTTTTCTTTGGTGGTCAGTTGACGATTACCGAGCGTTCGTCGCGTGTGCACACACAGTATATACAAGATATTTCAGACAAAATGCCCGGCATCATTCAAGAGCCTTCGCTTGAGGGGCTCACGGTGAAAGAACTCCATCCTACATTTGGAGCCGAAATCGAAGGGGTAAATTTCGAGAGCCTCTCTCAAGCACAGTTTGCTGGGATCAAGTCTGCCTTGGCTAAGGTACGAAAGCACTAGTCTGTCTCTGTATTCAATTATTGTCCGCCGGCTGCCCAACGTTTGCATCAGTCACATGAGGCTGCCAGATCTCTAGCGGCTAGATGCAAAGAGGAGGCTTGTGAGTTTAGATGCAAACGATCAAACGGCAACGGGGCCACCTTCGTCTGAGCAGAACAACACGGCTCAAGATCATATCCGACTTCACTTCCTCTCAGAGCAATCTAACCAGTGCACAGTACGGCTTCGTCGTCTTCCGTCGCACCGGCCTCGACGATGACACTCACGTCGCCTTCAGCAAGAAGCTAGGCGAGTTGGACAACATCAAGCGCTACCTCACAGCAGGCCGCAAGCTCCGCTACGAGAACCTAGAGCTCTTTGACGCGGGCAACCTCGACGGCGAGGGCGAGATCGTCCCGCCCGACAGCCCGCGCGCGCACTACAACAAGGGCAACGCGCTGTTCCACGTGGACAGCAGCTTTAACCCGCGGCGGGCGTCGTACTCGGCGCTGCGAGCGGTGGTCGTGCCGCCGGTGGGCGAGGGCGGAGAGACCGAGTTCGCGGACGCGCGGACGGCGTGGGATGATCTAGACCAGGAGACTCGGGCGCTGTTATTAGGAGGCGAGGATGGTGTGGGCTTGGTTGGCGGTCACTCCATCAGCCACTCGCGGAAGATAGCAAGCCCTGAGTTCTTCAAGGACCTCGATGTTGAGAAGGCGTCGATTAGTCTGCATAGGTTGGCGCAGGTCCACGAGCCGTCGGAGAGGATGAGTCTGTACGTGGGCGCACATCTGCACCATGTCGAGGGCCTGGATAGGCAGGAGTCGGATGAGCTGATCAAGAAGTTGAACGACCATGTTACTCAGCCTAAGTACGTTACTTCTGTGGGCTGGGAAAACCCTGGTGACTTGATTATCTGGGACAATCGGGCAGTCTTACACAGGGCAACCGGAGGGTCGTTTGAGGGGAAATACAAGAGGGACATGAGGCGGACGACTGTGCACGATGATGGAAGTTATGCTTATGGGTTGAACGATGTGAATAAGGCGATGCCTGGATTCGATTCGTGGTCAAAGCCCGGTGAGAACAAAACAGTCAGTACATGATGGGGTCATATCTCTTTATTTCAGGTTTCTATCTCCATCCATAGATCGTGCGGACTCGTACCCATTAGCAATTCTACCTCTGTTCCTTTACAAGGATTGTGAGATAAATTATTGAGGATATAATCCCTAAGCACTTACGATCAACTACGTCTCCCTTCCCCATACAATCTGTTAGAAGCACCCAAGTGACAACCCTGCCGAAACCTTCAAGTATCACAAAACTGATGGTCACTACTCATATAAGTAGTGACTACCAGACAAGTCTACTGTTGAACTTCAGCCGACGCCAGATATTAAAGTTACTTCATCGAAAGACTTGATTTTCTCACTCATTAATGGTGATGGGCACAAGTAGAGTCCCGGGTTTTCGATAGCAAGATCCGTTGGTGAATGTGAGATCAACACCACAGGAGGCTTTCTTGATGGCTTCAGTCACGCAGCTTCTCTCATCCTCACCCGGGGTCCACTTCCCCAGGGGAACAGTCATCTCGAGGCCCTTGAACATGGTGCCGTTGATTTTCCGCTGCTCACCAAAGTCTTCGTTGGAGTTGAATAGGCGTGCAGAGTGATCGTTCCAGAAGTCGACATGATTGGAACCACACTACGTGCTAGTTAGTACGGATCCCACTAGGGGTTATAGGGCAAAGGCTTACCTCTTCTTTAATGTTGTCCAGCACGCCCTTGGCCCAGCCTTCGCTGTTCTGGCCTGTTGGTGTGATCCGAATGACATAGAAGAGGAAATTGTCATAGTGCCAGTGCTCCCATGAGTAGAAGCAGTCCACGCTCGGCTCGAGCTCTTTGTTCACGGCCTTTGCGACGATGCAGTCGGCCGGGGGCTCCTTCTCGGTTTCCCTGCCGTTTGCTCCCCCATAGAAGGGGCCATGGCCAACCCTGGGACAATTCAGCAAGGTCACAGCATAATATGAGTATGGCAGAAGATGGGATCATGGGGAACTGAGAACGTACCAGACACCTCCCATATACCCCGAGAAGGCTCCGGCGGCGAAGCCGCTGGCAGTGGACGACGAGGAGCCACCGCGGCCACCACCATACCCGCCATAGCTTCCAATGCCGCCCCGGCCGGCCCCGGAAGAGCCTTTGAAGCCACCGGAGCTTCCTCCAAAGCTACCCCCAGAAGATCCTCTAAAGCCACCAGAGCTTCCTCCAAAAATCCCACTGAATCCACCACCGCCGCCTCTCGGCGACGCGATGGGTGTTGCCGTGACAAGGAGAGGCGACAGGAGAAGTGCCACCAGTCTGAGAGCGTTGAAGTGCATGTTGGATTATTGAACAGAAATGTTTACCCTGATATAAGCTTTAAGGGTTGTGTTTTCTTGGAGTCAGTTCGAGAACTAAGAATTTGACTAATACCTCGATGGTAATTTCAGCAAAGCATGGAATCGAAGTCCGTAGAAGGATACGGTCTTATATAGACGTTCTCATTGTCTTCTAGAGGTTCTCCAGAATCAAACTAGCGAGTAACGGCAAGGGCCCAGGAATGTCATAACGACACTAGTACGGGAGGCTGGTTCGACATGAAGCCATCACCGAGTACCCTTGGGCCAATAAGCAGACAGCCTTGGATTCCCCAGAGAAACCAACTCTGACCTGGCACCAGCCCGTCAGAGGCATTGCGGCCTTCAAGATCCTTCTAGCGGCATTCTCGAAGATCTGGCGTTGAGTTCGGGTCCGTAGCCTCGAGGCTTGACAGGTGCCATATGCACACTAGCGAGGCTTGTCTCGTTCGTGGATGGCGGTGCCAGATTATCCACCAGATGAGACACATCACATGACTGTGTGTTCGAGCTAAAAGGGGTTCGACAAAGCGTCGACCGACTTTGTTCAAGATTAGTGCAGATTCCTTGTTTCTTACTGACCGTCTCTGGAAACAATTGTCTAATCCTAGAGGTTGGCCTCTTAGGCGTCGAGATGGCTTCAAATTCACAGCATCGACTCATGTCTAAGCCACATACAGTATTTCTCTACGAACTATCACTTCTTTTGGTTTTCGACTGGTCTGAGGTCTGTAGCGCCACTCGTTCCAGAACAACTTCAATATAACGGCGCTCGATATCATTTATCGGGAGCAAGCGAGACGAGAACTTGTGAGCTGCTGAGGAAGCGGCGTGCGAGTCCTCCCAAAAGGCGGATACTCTGGTCCTACAGGATTAGACGCAATTTCACATAGCGGACTTGGAAGAAGATCCTCTGGAGGAAATGATAAGATATTCCTGCGTCTCTTTCTCTTCTCTTGGAAACAGCTGCCAATCGTGATATTGTAGTTCGTACACTCCCAAAACTTACACTAACCATACCGAATCATTTAGCCTTTTTCTTGCCGCAGACGCGGCCAGCGCCGCTGATATTCCACAGGAGTTCCAGAATCTCAAGACTGAGGAGTAAAAGTTCCGGAGTCAAAAGTAGGGGGTATTCTTAATACAAAAGTAATAGTTTGGGGGCAGTCTGATCGGATGTGGCCAACAAACATGTAGCTATTACTTTCTTCTTTCACACATTATCTTGTAGCTTTCCTTTTCACCATTTGACATGGCCACACAATTCAATTCATCCTTACTTCACACCCAAGGATGACGACTATTGCAAATTTAGAGGCAACACACAACGCGAGTAGTGTGGCAAATAGTTGTACTTTTGTGCTCGTCGCCAACATGGCAGGTGGGAGCTGGAAGCCGGTTGTGGTGTGAGTGGGCATTGACACCAGTCGGCGAACCATGGAACACAATACTAGAGGCGTCTCATTGATGGGCAACTAGGTCAAGTCGACAGAACTCTGCATGAAAGTAGTTTCAAAGACCCAGCACCGCATGTTGCAATGGCCTTTGACAAACCGAAACCATGTGGATCAGCCTTGCAAGGCGTTCTCTGGGGTTGAACTGTAGTCTCTTTAAGACTGTTCAATCTCAGCCACCACCGGACTATGGACTAGGGGCACTTAGAGCGGGACGCGGCTCGCATCCCTGCTCCATGGCTTTCCCTAGGCCATGGGCTATGCCCTCTGATATGCCTAAAATTGATTCTGAGTAGTAATGCTAGGATGCGTCGCGGATACCGTGCGACCGCATCAGAGAATGTTGCTATATACTCGTGAGGCCGATAATGACCTTAACCCCTTAACGCCGCGCATACCCATTTTCCACCTCGTCATAATAATTTGCCACGCTGTGCAGACATCTAATGCCTCCCACGCCATTTTCGCACCCGATTGTGCACCGTGGATGCAAGGACGTCTTAACCGTTAGAGGATGAGTGTCTCCGCCTCGTAGACCGCCAGCGCTCTCGCAGTTCACGGATCTCCGACCTCAGTCCCTGCTCCTTTCCTTGACTTTCTCTCCTTGGTGCGTTCTCATTATGTTCCTACATAACAACACAATCCTTATCTCTGCTGCTACCGCCCCCACCGGCCGCAGTAGGCGGAACCCCTTGTCTGTAGCCTGAGTTCGCTGCCCTTCGATACCCTTGAGGGGACGGTCCTCCCGGACTTGAGCCAGACGCAATTCCCGGCGCTCGGGAGCCAGGCAATCTTGGATTGTTCAAGCCTGACGTGGCGCTGGCTATCGACGGGGTTGAGCTCGAGGCGGGGTGACTCGGGTGTCCTGCAGGTGGGATATAAGGAGATTGTCGAGCAGCGTCCTCGTATGAAGGTGGTGCGTCATCGTTGCCCTCATCAGCAGGACGGTTGACGCCTCGTGAGCGTAATACAGGAGGTACGAGCGGACGAACTTGCTGCTGGGCTGGTCGAGGGGAGGAATTCTGGGCTCCTCCGCGGCTGGTATTGGCACTGGCCCCACCTCGGGCGGTGGAGGGCCGTCGACCTGTCGTGACGGAAACGTTGTTATTGCTGCTGCTGTTGTTGTTGTTATTGCTGTTGCTATTGGTTTGTCGAAGGCCCATGGGACCTTGCCGCACCGCTTGCTGCTCGATGAACTGCTCGGAGAGCTGGGTTTCCCTGCGTCGCTGGGCTTGCTCAGTACGATGACGTTGGTCTTCTTCCTCTTGCAACTGGAGAGCTAGGGCCAGGTCACGATCCTCTTGCTCCTTAGGTGACATGGGAGGTGCTTCGACTTCGCTCTTCTTTCCTCCTTTGCTCTGGACTGTGGTCCATCCCTTCTGCGCCTTCGACGCGGACGCGCTGCTTGATGCTGCATATTCATCGCTCTGCGATGGGCCCCCAACCACAAGGAAATCACCAGAGAAGAACTCGGAGTGCTCGCCATTGACATCTACCAAAGACTCCCAGACGATTTCATCATGTCCCGCATAACCTGCGTCAGTGACAAGCGCAAACATTTGAAGGGTTTGCGGATGTCGGTACAAGGTAGAGAAATGGTCGTTTCTGAAGAGAATGGCCACAGAGCCAGGGCGCATAGCCTTTGTGATAACCTCGAGGCCCCACGGCGTAAGCTGTGTCGCCGCAGTGTAGAGAAAAGATTTGATGCTCAGTATATCCTGGTAGATGCCCTGCTCCTCCTCAGAGAGGCCTGCCCCGGACGTACTGCTCAGCTTATCTTCTAGCTCTTCTTCCCTAAATAGAATATTTTGAGCATCTTCGTACGACTCTGCATGGCGTTTCAGAGCTTCATAAACGGGCTCTGACTGTGGCGGCAGCCAACCATGAATAAGGGGAATACGGAATGTTCTGTAGAATGACATTTCTTTCGTGTCCTCGAAAGTACCAGGGATCAGATCCCCCCTCTCGGTTGGATGGAGATGTGTTAGAGAAGTTCTTTTGAAGGCCCTCTCTGTCTCTTCGGTTGGCACAAACCGGGGATTGACGTTCATGCCAGTGTGTAGACCCTTTAGAAAAGCATAGAGCTCTGTAATGTCCGGCAAAGACTGATCGGACGTTATCCTCCGCTCAGACATGAGCTCATCAAAAACAGCGTTAAGCAGGAGGTCGAGGCTGATCTGTTCCCTCGTCTTGAGAGTGTTGACGAGAACTGCATCTCCCGCATCAGCAGGAGTCGTTAATGTGAGCGCATTGACAAGTGCCATTAGCGGACATGGGCCATTCGCATTCTGCACGAGTATTGGCGATTTGCGCATGTTATCAACTGAGTTAGCATCGTGCCAGCTGATGTTCTTTATCTGGTAGGTCTCGGTCTTCCCGGAAGCTGGCGTAACGGGCGTCAGAGCCGAGGACTTCTCTGATTGTCTAGGGGGCAGCGATGGTGCGTCACCCTCGGTTTGCGCTTTAGTTTGGGATGTCTCTCCTGTCCGACCAGAGTTTGGCTCGTCCCCTATGTCGATTAAACTTTCCTCGATTTTGCGTGAACCATCGGCGATTGTGCCAGTGGCCAGAACAGGCTTCTCTGGTGCTTTTCCTTTGTCCAGTGTCGCCACATCATCCCACGCATGACTATCCTGCTCCAGCCTCTGGTCTTCCAACGAGGTCCTGAAAGATGGAGGTACTGCGATGGAGGACTTCTCAGGAAGGTCATCGCCCCACGTACCTTTTTCCTCTGGTGTAGGTGACTGGATTGCTGGAGAGTTTGAGGCCGGGCCTGTGGATTGTGCTCTGGAAGGCACTTGAGACACCCAGATGTGCTGGTCTGGCTCTTGGTCTACTGGGTTCGCCAAAGCTGACGGCGCCAGAGTCTTTTTTTCGTCAAGCGCAGGCTGCCAGGGGTTTGTGCTCGTCTCATCGAGATCTAGCTTCGCGAAGGCATCCGAAGGAGGTAACGGTGGCGTGTCGCTGGGTATTGGTGGCACAGTGGCACTGTGTTGTCCAGCTGACTGCGACATTTTCCGCCTGAAAGGGTTGGTCACTCCTGCTCCGGGCCCGGACGTAGAAGAACTCATGGTCTGCGTTGAAAAATTGTCCGACTCTCCTGTCGCAACTGGCTGCAGTACACCAGAGCTGCCAGCACCGGCCTTCTCTGCCACGTCGGCGGCTTCTCCGCCGGCGACTTCCTTCTCTTTTGTCGAGTCATTTTGTGTATGTGGCGGCTCCTCTACTTCGTCTTCGCTGTCAGTATCTCGCTCCCAACTATCGGCGTCTGACAGGTCCGCGGCATCGTCGCCGTGATCCTGCCCAGGAAAGACCTGAGACTTAGTAGCCGCTTGGGGTTCGCCATCTGTGCCGTTCGATTGTGAGTTCGGCGCAGTGCCCGAATGGACAACAGCATTGTCCGGTAGCGGCTTTCGTGTCACCATCTCTTAACGGGTGGCCTCGCGCGACGAGGACCTCATCAAAACGAGGCGGGCTCTTCCTCCCGGTAGCGCCTCTGCGAGTCTCGAGGATTGAGATCGCTATACCGCGCGAGGGTAATATCGAGGGAGGCGAGGCGGTATACGTTCCGAGAGCTGTTCTTCCTGGCGAGGCTGTCGGAGAGCAATAGCAGTAAGCGGGCGTCCTGCGAGACAGACGCGCGGTACGGCTGGCCTCGCTCGCTTGGGTGGGAGGTCGGTACTTGAATGTCCCGTGAGGGGTTAGGGAACAGGTCAAGGAATGAAGAAAGTATGCAGACTTGCAAGGTAGGAATTGAACAGGGAGTGGCTAAAAGTAATGCAGCACGCCAGCAATGCAAGCAGGATGGTTCAGGTGATACAATACAGCCTGGCCGGGGATGTGAAGTTGTCGGCTTGTTAGCCAAACATCAAACGTCGACCTTCCCTGGGGCAAGTCAAGTCAAGTCAAGTCAGCCTTGGAAACAGGCAGCCCACTTCTACTTAACGGTAGCTTGGACCAGTGTCTGGGATGATGCGCGAGCTGCAGTACATACAGCTGAGCGGAAAGTACCTCTTTCACATGCCATTCAGCCACTCCAGCTCCTGTACCTCTGACCAACCATAGAGGTATTTGCTACTCACTTGTAGCTATCGATAAGCTAGTCTACGTTACGGCCCAGGCATTTCTTGCACTGACTGGCACTGACCTATGTGTCAGGCGTTTCTACTCCTTCAATTATTTCGCTGCTAAGAAATGGCTCACCATATAGACAGACGCCCGAGATCAGCCAGATTCTGGGGACACGATCACATTGTGTCAGCAGCTTAGCTGTATACCAGCCCATCTGCTGCTTTCCCTGCCACTTCGGGGGCGACCCCAGCCACTCTATCAGTGACGCAACGTACAGGGGGCGAAGCTCGGCTGGAGGCAACCCCATACTGCCCCCACCCGCGGCGGGTAACCTGGGAAGTCTCCACACGCACGACATGAATCCGGGCATCCTTGAGCTCTCATGATATTCAGGTACTCATGAGCTTGTCGGATTTCGGATGAATTTTGTCCATGTAAGACCCAGAGTTCGTAGCACTGTTGACACCGGGAGGTTGATTGATGATTGGGCTGGATAACGTGAATACCATTAGTCTCCTCATTGACTACGAGTAGACGGTCCTGAGCCCCAACTGTCCGTCCGTACCAATAATCAACACGGTGATCCTGAAAGCCTACTAAAAAGAACCAATATTGTCCTGGACTGGTTCAATAATGACCACATTCTGAGGTACCTCTCATCACCCTCATCGCCTTTCCGCAACCCAGGCTAGGGATTGAGTAGAGTCGAATCGTGCTGACAACGAGGCAACGACATCCAAGAGGCTGACCACACCGCTCATGAGCGTTGGTCTACCATCAGCAAACAGGTCAGTCCAGTCGACAGCACGAAACGGCGGGACTCGAGAACAGGTAGTGAAACAAATACGCTTTTATTTAACTGCCCTTCAAATACTACTCGTCAAAACGCTGGTCGTTCTTCTTCTCTTCCCAATACGCATCAAATTGATCCTTCTTTCGTCTCAAGAATCTGTCCTTCTCAGCAAGTGTCGCAGCATCCAGCATCAACTCTCCCATGCCCTCCTTGTGTAGAACCTTCCAGTAGATCTCATCGACGTCGAAGCTGCTCCGCGACGCAAGGTTGAACCAGAAGCGCCCGCTGTCCCACGACTCCCTCATCCGAGAAGAGAGGCAAGGCTCCCCGGCTGGTAGCGGCGATTTGGCCTCAATACGCTCCATGGCAAGGATGAACTGCTCCTTCCGCGGGTCGAAGAGGTCGAGAAATTCCTGCTTTCCATCGCTCACCAATATGGCCGGTTGCCTGAGGATAAGCCACCAGGGCAGGTCATAGGCAGGTTGGGCAGGCATGACGTTTGTGAACTCGAAGTCGAGCACGGCGGTGATGCGCATTGTCTCAGGGTCGACAAGCATGTTTGAGGGCCGCAGGTCGTCACAGAAGAGCCGGAACGGTCCGGAGTCGTCGGCCGTGAAAGTAGAGACTAGCTTGGCGAAGCACTGGCGTGCAACATACCGGTTCCATGTCGTCTCTTCGTCTTCGAATGCTATGTTGCGCTGCGTTTCCAGGTTCGTCTGTAGACGCTGCGCGCGTTCTGTGAAGTAGTCACTTGCGCTACTGAATGGCGCGGTGGCATTAAAGCGGTCGGCAGGGAAGCCAGCAAAGGCGACAACCTCGTTCATGTCGTATGTCAGAGGTGGTCTAGTGACAGCCCATTGATCAGATGTGGCATCCTTGGATATGGCACCAATATGCGAGAACTCCAGGCGAGAGATCTCCAGCATAAAACCAGCAATCTGCTCGTAGACGATATCTAGCTTTTGCTCGCTGATCTCTGGATCCAGAATGGCAGGGTCCGTCTCGTCCTCGGTAGGCTTTTTCAGGACATCGCCCAGGTTCTCGCCTTGCATAAATTCCTCGATCATGAAGGGCCCCAACTGCTGCGGACTATCTTCAACAGGACCCCAGTGATGTACACGGGGAACGGGGATGCTCGTATATTCAGAAAGATAGTTCATGACCATGACCTCGTTTTTGATCTTCTCCTCTCTCCATGGCCCGTATACCTTCCCTGGAAATGGGAAGCGGATGAGAACACATTCGTCAGTCTCGCTATTTCTAACTGAGAGACTGAGGTTGAATGAGCCTTTGAAGTAATCTTCAAATTCTCCGGCCCTGTTCCACCCAAGCTGGTCGTCCACAAAAGACACAATGTCTTCTTTCGCCTCAACGAATTTGCGTATGAATGCCAGTTGCGCCTCGCGGGCATTTTTCTCAGCGATGAAGTCGAATGTTGTCGCCATTTAGTGATAAATCACAACTGACCAATAATACAACATTTGGCAAGGCGGTACATTATGAGGGTAAGGATGAGAATAAGGAAACTCGGGTCCTTTAAAGTTGCTGTCTATTATGTAGGCCGCAAGGAAAGGACCCCCAACCCTGTGCAAACAAGCCCCCACGTCGCCGCGCCAAAAACCCAAAAACCGTCGCAAACAGGCAAAGGCTTAGAATAAAGAATGAATAAAGGATCTGTCATGGGATACTGTATCCCAAGAGTCGTGCAGATGGGGATGTGAAATGTCGAAGAAACGAGCAAAGTATTTGGTGACAACGGTCCTTGGTTTACCAACAATGCTCAACGTGAGAAGTGATCAAAACAATAGGTCAAGATAGTAATAGAAGAGTATATACTGTTTTCTTGAAGTGGCTCCTCTGAGGCAAGTGACCGGATGACGGCTGAATGTTTTGTTGCTCCTCTGGAATCGCACTTGGACTTTGAGACTCGTAAGCAATTTCAATGCTTCAGTCCTCAATCTATATTATTCAATTCGGGTTGTACATATCAATTTCGCTATGAATAGTTGTTATTTCAGAGGGACCCGGTCTATTGATCAAAGCGGCTAGTCGACTAGCAGAGAGAACTGCGTAGTTCTCTCAAGCCTTCTCAAAGCGAAGGTGAGATACTTCCCCAAAGTACCAATGGACTTGTTTATTTGAATTAGCCTGTCTGCGCGTCTATATTTTGTTGATATCATCCTTTGTAATTTGATAAGACGACTGAATATATGAGTATTGTTCGGGATGCTTCGTGAGGAGAATCCGCGATTGGAGTACAGATATAGCGGTGCGGGAGACTCAAGACTAATGGTCGAAGGGGATTAAATTGAAGACATTCAAGAGAATGCCCACATTGACCGACCCAAGAGCTGGCTGTCGAATGTTTTCACACTCCATTGTGGGCTTTTTGCTGATTTATCAAGACTCTGTTGCTAAACCAACCAATTCAATGGCTTTTTCATAGCGTTTTTTTTTCTTTTCATTTTTTTCATAGCTGGCCCGCCTTTTACCTACTCCTTACCCTTGAGAATGATCACCCTTAAAAGAATGCTCCTTGTAGAACAGACAGGTGATATGCGTCTCACTTATGGCCGATCTCCGTGAGAAGAAGCAAAGAGCGGGACATCGGCTTCCTGTATACTCCAGTCATATACTTGTGCTGTGACGCAGAAACCATTGTGGCCAACAGAACAGCCCAAGTTGATATATCAAGCACTACGGAGTGATGCTGTCCCACGTGGGCGTACAGGCCGCCCACATTCCCCCTCAGGATAGACCGTCCGCAAAACAGAATCACGGGCAGATACTCGCCTTCGGCACACCGTGCAAGGATATAGGGCAGTCGGATTGTATCTGGTATTGGAACGTTGCCCGCCCAGCACAAGGCAGCAACAGGAGCGTCGCTCACCTTGCTCAAACATATCGGATCCAATGCCCCTTCAGCAAGACGCTATGTCAATTATGCTCGCCGCCCAACGCCGACCGACCAAGACCAGCTAGTCCAAGAGATACAACAATACAGGCTCATTATCCCAATATCGGAGGCTTCTGTAGTCCAAATGCAACCACACCCTCCGCCCCTAGTCTATCGCCATATCCTGTACAGGCAAGCCTCTCGATGATTCCAGGTTTACGAGGAAGAAAAGAAGTAGAAAAACACAAGGGTCACCTGGTCGTCCTGATGCCCAGCTTGTTAAGCCTCTGGCAGCTCGGCTGCGAGTACCGCTCCGCGATGGCCATCTTGTCCGGGTCCTGCACGAACCAGCCCTGCGCCTCGTCGTACAGCCTCTGCTTGTGCAGCATCTCGTTCTCGCACTCGTGCTGCAGGTGCCGCACCAGCACCACCTCGGCATTGCTGTCCATGCGCGCCAGCTGCGTCTTGGTGTACGACTTGATCTCGACCGGGTTGACGTAGTAGTGCACCTTGAGCTTGGGCGTTATCCGCTCGAAGGTGTGCTGTGCGTCGGGCGCGTCGAAGACCATGTTCGGCCCCGCGGGCGTGCTGCCGCCGCCCGAGAAGAGCGACGAGAGCAGCGGGAACAGGAACAGGAAGATGATGGGGAGAAGCCCCATGAGCGTGTTGAACAGGCTGTTGTCCGGCGCTTGCTGCTCGTTCTCGCGTGGTCGTCTGCGTGGCCGCCCGCCGCCGAACTGATGTACCCTTACGCCCGGGCCGCCGAAGTTGAAGACGAACTGCGGACCTGTGTCGAAGCCTTGTTTGTCAGTCCTGCTGCCTAAAGTAACAGATGCGCAACATATCTACTCACCACCGAAGGGGCCACCGCCGCCAAACCCGCCGCCGCCGCCGAAGAACCGCTGGAACATCTCCTCCGGACTCAGCTCGTCCTCCCACATGCCCCCGCCCATGGGCCCTCTCCCTCCGCCACCTTGTCTGGCCGCGAACCCAGCGAACGGGTTCTGTGCTTGTGCCTGGCTGAATCTGCTGTCCGGGTCGCCTCCAAATTTGTCATACTTCTCCCTCTTCTCCTTATCGCCTAGTACGCTGAAGGCCCTCGAAACCATCTTGAAAGCCTCGTCGGCGTGCTCGTGGCCGTTCTTGTCTGGGTGAGTCAGGAGGGACTGCTTGCGGTAGGCCTTCTTGATGTCTGCTTCTGAGCAGGTCTTGCGCACGGCCTCTATGCCGAGGATGTCGTAGAAATCTGTGGCTTTACACCGGCGGATGCGCAGGACTGCCGCCTTCTGCTCGGTTGTGTACTTGCGCTCCTGGTTGCCCTGGCTGTGGTCTCGGTTTCGGGCTGAGGAAGACCCGTTGGAGGCATCCGCCCCGGAGGCGGTTGCGCTGGGCGGCATGGCGTCAGGCGTCAGGCGACTTGTGTCTCTGCCTCCGAACAGGAAGTGGTGGTTGGGAGTTGCTGTTGCTGTAGCTAGAACTAGGGTGCAGCGAGTTGTTTTGATGAGTTGTCGTCGCAGTCGGGAAGAGGTAGGGATGGGCGAGGTAATGCGACTGTGGTTAGAGGTCGACGGCAGGAGACACTCGAGCAGCTGATAGGATAAGGCTGTAGGTTGGGGCAGCGCAAGCAGTGAGCAATGGAACAGCAAGATGAAGCGGTTTCGAGCGTAAGAAGGATGGTAAAGTGGCCACAAAATGTGGTTGAGGCGGGCTGGCGGATTGTTTGTTGCGGGTTGCCCGGTTGTCTGGTGATGGCGGCCCGTGGGGTGCACGATAGGCGCAAGGAAGGTGGCTTCTTCCAAATCCCCCCCCAAACAGCACAGCTAACCTGTCCAAAAGAAGTGGCCTCAATTCAACACCAGCGGCAAGGGACAATTTGTCCTGATGGTGAATGGATAATGAATGGTCCACGAGAGAACAGAAGTGCTTCTTCCCCAGTGTTTACACCTGCAAATGCAATAGAGATACTGGTTGCATGCGAGTCGAAAAAGCCTTGCGGTGATGTCTTGGATCCGAGCTTGCATCCACACATGCTCACTCTATTGTCCTGTAGGGGACGTGCTGCCCCGTCTTTGCCGGCCAACCGACAACCGCCCTACTGGTACAGTGGCAGAGCATAGACCCCTGTCACAGCATCCCCAAGTGCAGCTTATGGGGATCCAAAGCTTTGCACAAGAACAGCCAAAGCATCTATTGTAGAAAGATATCCTACCATAAGGGAACTTTCACGATCCAGTATATTCCTGGTTAAGATTTACCTTATATATTACAAAATATACAAGCGCGAGAGAAGTTGTGCTAAAAGAAAGGTGAGCCAAGCGGCGCTCACACAGTCTGAGACCCCTGCAAGCTCTCCAGTGTACATCACGTCACTGCTCGTAGCCTCCAACAAAAAAAGTTCCCAAGCACATCTTCTCAAACAACGAGGTGCTGGAGCTTCGCAGTCCAGAGAGCCCGCCTCTGCAAATACCAACCCACAACACAATCATGGCAACTCCAGACCAACCAGAACCAACAAGATCACTAGCATCCCGCCTCAATGGCTGGGGCCGTACGTCTCTCCCCTCCCTGCCGATCTACTCGCCTGCCTCACCCACCAACTCACCTGCTAACCGCCTCCACTCACAACAACAGTATCCTCCCTCCCGCCGATGGGCCTAGCAACCCTGATCACCTCGCTGCACTTCCGCCCCTTCCACAAGCTGCCCATGCTGGTCTTCACGCCGATGCTGGCGCTGAGCAGCTACCTGAGCGTGGCGGGCTTCAAGATCGACGGCGCGGGGCTCGGCGCCGCCTGGTCGGGCCTGTACGTGCTGCTGGCCATGCGCAGGCGGAACCCCGCCGCCTCGCTGCGCCAGCGCTTCACCGCGAGGGCCGCCGTGCGCGGCGCCGCCGTCGGCCTGGGCATCGTCAACGCCGCCGCCGGGGGGTACGCCTACGCCGTGGGGAACAGGGAGGCGGAGCGCGTCGAGCGCAAGGAGAGGGACAGGTGGGGCATCGAGGCGGCTAAGGATTGATGTGTGATGGGCTGGGTTGGGTTGGGGGAGAGAGCGAGAGCGAGGTGTCACCCTTGGGGTTTTGTGCCGTCTCGAACGGCGAAACGTGGGCCTGCTGTAGTGCGTCGGAGGGCGATGGTTTGCTGTCGCAACGGCCCCGTCCGAACGTGCTTGGCAAATGCTGGTCGGCTATAGCATGACCATCCTAACTGCGAGCGCACAAGATACATTGTGAGCACGGAAGCCGATGGAGGCCGCCACTATAGGGCTTGAGGGCAATGGTCCACTGCAACCTGGGTGTGTTCACGCGACTGTTCATGTACATACTTTACCAGGAGCTCCATGCATACCAATTTTTTTTCCCCAAATGGGAGACCATAGCAGAAGTTAGCATTTGGGTATAACGCTTTGTGAAACTCTGGACATCTAGGCCTCTCAGCCTCTCTACCGAGGACTCTAGCACAACACCGACGCTCGACTTTTTGCCTCTACCGTACACGGGGCTTGTAAACAAAAGAAATCTCGACTCTGAAATCAAAGAGCCGACCTTGCCCTTAAACGCCAGGAGGACATCTCAGCTCTTGATAGCCTCCGAAGATACCCTGTCTATACCCTAGTGAGTAGCCCGACCGAATCAAGGAGATAGCTGCTCTACACCAAAAACACTGCCTTGAAAGGCATCCTCAAACTGTTACACGATCGCTGTCCAGCAGTGCCAACGCCGAATCGACTATCCTGTGGGCCAGGAGAGATATGGCCAGGCTGGACCCGGCGGAAAATCCGTGGGAACTCCAGGTCAATGTGGGAGATGATTTTAAAGACCCAAGACCGCATCGCGCTGGTTGACGTCTCGTCGGAAGAATCGTAATGTGGTCCACCAGATGAAAATGGTTAAAAATGAAGCCAGGAAGAACCGGATTCGACGGGCGTCCAACGCATGTTGACCTGGGAATGATTCGGCAAGAGGTGCCAGAGCTAGATGCTGGACCTCGTTGGTCTGGAACTTGGTGATGTACTCGACATCACAATCCCGGATTTTTGGCGATGCGTAGGCCCTGTACTCGTCTAGCACGCGCTCCGAGTCCCATTTTTGGATTTTGCGCACGAGAGCCACGACACATCCAGTTCGGTGCTGTAGTTAAATTAGTCCGTGTTCACACATTCATGACAGGATTGGGGGCGACGGGCTTACTCTGCCATGGTTGCAGTGGATCAGGAGAGGGTGATTGCGCTTGTCATGGACGACCTGAAGAATGGCCGACATTGTCTGGATGGGGATGGTCTCCTTCTTGGTGCCCTGCATGGTGATGTGGCGATGCTGAATGCTGTTGGCCTTCATAAATGGGAGAAACGTCTCAGGGAGTTCCTTATCCACAAGCGTGCTGACAGAGAATTAGCTTGGGGTGCAGAGTGATGCGACGGATTGGTGAGACTCACACGATGGTCTTCAACCTCAGCTTCTGGAGAAAGGCGTAGTCGGCCTCCTGAGGATAGCTGCTTCTGTAGATTCCGGGCGCCACGGTGCCAAAGTTGGCTGGCTGACCAAGGATATTTCTGCTCCCGACTGTCTCCTTCGTCATGCTGGTCTCGGTGGCCAAAGAAGAGGTTGACGCCTTTGACTTCAGGGAAAACTGCCCTGATTGTGACCGCTGCATCTCGATGCTCTGGACAGGAACGACCAGTTCCTCTAAGCCGACGTCTACTTCCTCTGTCGTGCTTTGCTCCGTTGTGTTAAGAAAAGATTTCCGTTGCTTCAGGCCCTTCTGGCCCTTGGCCGACTCTGCGGTCTTTGCTGCGTCCATAATTCTAAAATCCTTGCGTATGCTGACCCTAGAGCTGTAATTGTGCCACCAGTCCTGGTAAGAGCTGCCTGTCTGACTCTGTAACAGGATGATCTGTGCAACCACTAACGATATAGCCACAACCAATTTCGCCAAGAAGAGTATCAAGACAAAGTTCATGCTCCGCAAACAAGGTCGTTTGGTCTCAATGGTCAACTGCTGGTGGGTTGGAGCAGAGACAGGTTGGGAGAAGAGTGGTGATGTTTTGAGTTATGAGAGTTGCTAAAGCGTGGGGGGATCCAGGGACCTGAGGCTCCGACAGGATAGCGCGCCTGTGACTGGACCAAGAGATGCGAGGCGAGGCGTGATGATTGATCGAGTCAGTAGATGATGGATGTGTGTTTATGGTGGAGGGATCTCTCGAGACTTTGTAGTCCCAATAGGGCCCAGGGCTCTTGATCAAAGAGCGATGGTGCAGAGACCGCACGAGATTTGGTTGTCCATCTTGTTAGATTGATGGTAAGCGGGCTGTGGGATGGGTGATGGCTGTGGCAGACAAATTGGCTGAAAAGACAGTGGTCAAGACACAAAGTCGGATGCGAGAGGCCAATCCAAAAAGTAAGTCAGAAGCCGTGGGTGGATGGGTGGGTTGATGCGTGGGTAGAAGAGTAAGCTGGGAAAGAAAGCGTGTGGGCGCGTCCCAGATTTAGAGAGAGAGGACGGAACCTTGGTGGATTGACGTCGGAAAGCAACTTTGATGCAAGGCACGCGTGTGAGGGAGAGGAACAGGAAGGGTGACTGCAGGGGATTTATTCGACCACCCAGTGTAGCCCGGATTTAGGGGGAACGTTAGTGGAACGCTTGGTGGGGAGGCTTGGGGGCACGGCCTCAAGGTTGGCACCCTTGCTCTGCCTCGCATGCCTCGCACAGCACTCGAGGACTGTTCAAGAGGCTAAACTTCAGTGGCGTGTCAGCTAAAGTCCGATCTCAAGTTTATGAGATGCACATCCATGCCCTGTACTGTACATAGAGTACCGAGGACGGGCCCCTTGCTCGCGAGGTACCTCCACACATTTGGATACTGTACAATATGATGCAGCGATGTACATCAGTCTGCACATTCTTGGCTGTGCTTTCAGAAGTCACTCGAACGAGAGCGAGCTCCTCACATTGTGAACATGGAGATGGAGATGGGCAAAACGGCCGTGGGTTATTTCAGAGCTCTGCATCTACATACACGGGCAAGTTGTTCCGGGTCAACCTCACCAAGGAACGCACATCCCTTAGGCAGACAGGTCGGTAGGTAAGTACCTTACAAATACTATTGACAGCAGCATTCGAGCGAGACCATTGAGCGAACCCACGAGCTAGCTGGATTACCAACCGCGAAACTTAATAAGGCTGAGCGCCATGCTGCTTTGGCTCGGTTCCCCGGCGCAGTTTAGGTTGAGGCCGGATTTAGCAGGCGAAAAGTCTTGATAACACCGGCCACTTCCGCCCCTCTGGTCTGTCCACTCCCACAGCGTGGTGCGAGGTGCGGTTCGTGGTGGTGCAGGTAGGCAGCATCTGGTCTAGCATCGCAGCGAAGGGCGTGCCGAAGTGTGGAAGCCTCGGAACCAGCCAGTTCTGCCAGTGACCTGATCGTCGCGACCACCTCAGCTTCGACAACGCATTTCCAGTGTAGATCACACGCTGCCAGCTCGAGGATATCAGAATTTCCAGGTTCTCGAGGGCTGGGGAACGGGTCTCCTGGTCTTGGTCCCCGTCGCAGCCAGAGGTATTCATTCAGTCATTCCATCACTCTCACCCACTCAATCGTCAGGGTTTGGCCAGCCTGTTGTGCTCACCGAGAATAACAACGCACATTACGCAGCATCAGTGCACAGGATTCCAAGGCGGGCGCGCGATCTGCGGGTGTTGGTTTAATAATGCACGCATCCCCACACCCTCGCCCCAGCATTCAGCACCCAGCCAGCCAGCCCAGCCGCGCCCACGTTTTTTCCTTGCGTTGTCTTGTCGCACTTGGCATGTGTCGCGTGATGGCGGTACGCATTAGGCCCTGCCTGCCGACGTCATGCATCCCATATACTTACCGCAGATTGCATACTCCAGATGGATTCCCAGACACTGGCTCAGCTGGGTTCTGGGGCCCTGCTCAAAGGGCCCAGAGGCCTCGCTCAACTCCCGAAAGGGCTCCTACAGGTACTCCGGCCACACACTCCAGGCACTCCCCCAGGAAATCGTGCATTAGGGTCCTTGCCGTTGGTTTTGTTTCGGATTCGCAGATTCGACGCTCGCCCAGCACACAGATCTCGCCTGCCCTGTCAGCTTAGCCTGAGAACAACTGCCAGCCTACCAATCCCGCCTACCAGTAGCAGCACTGCAACCCCACGCCATCTATTTGTTGATCCAGCACAAGTCCAGGTGCGCGTGACTTGTGGCCTACGGCAGCTCACTGGGCCGCCCACATTGCTCCTTCAGGAACGTGGAGGTGCATGCAGCTTCTTAAAACCTTCTGGGGAGACCAGTGTCATGGGACCTGCTACGTGGTTACACCAAGGCCTGGACTATGATTCAGACTCTGGCAGTTCTAGGGGGAGCAACACGGCGCTGACAGCGCGCCAGCACACCGCAGCACACCGCAACGCAAGCAGCATGATCTTTGGCTCGTGCAGCTGATCTCCGCGGCGCAAATCGAGATCCTAAGCCTCACCGTCGGCTACCCGCCCAAACGTGGGGGGTTAGGAGGGCATACAGAGAGGTTCGTTAACCGCTGGGATGGCGTTTCAAGTGGCTCTGTTCTGGTCGCGCCTATGCAGGGAAGCATGGAGTACACCAAAGCTTCCAAGTATACAGTAAGCAAGGACTCTCAAATGCCCCGGAGGAGAGTGTCCCAAGACACGGTACAAATCCCTCGGAAATCCCGATGGGTACGTCTTACGAAAGAGCACCCATTTCTGGGTGACAACTCCCCGCGGCCCCTCCTGATGTGCGAAGCGGACTATCTTCTCCTGATGCTCCCCTATGATACCTTCGCGCATTGTACCGTGTCGTAATAATATCGTGCCGTCTCGTGGCACGGTAAGCCAGGAAAGCCGAAGGCAGGCGTGGGCCAGGGCCCGCCGGGTTCGTTCTCGGCAACACTCTCGACAGAACCGACCACGGCTGGCCCGGGCACTCATCACAGACCGAACAAGGGGGGAAATGATCCCACCTAATCTCTCTATACGGCACCCCGCCTTTCGCCTGCGTTCCCCGCGAGATTTCACATCTCGCTTCCCCCCAGCTTAGAGTCGATCCGTCTGGGGCGCCATCTGGAGAAAGTGACGATCACCAATAAGGGGAAGCCGGGGCGTCGGGGCGACCAACTGGCCCCAGCTGCCATATTGGTCTTCGCCACTGGCCTCATGTAGGACCCTACCTACCAGCAGCGAACCTATTACTGTGTCAGCACGGGGAAATCAATGTTGCGGCCCCCGTTGGCGCCGGAAACCCTCATGAAATCTGGCGCCTCGCATCTTGACAGGCGACAGAGTTGTGTCTTGGCGCAAATCATGCTTTTCCTAGCGCGACCCCACAGCGCGGCCCGTGCCGATCACCAGCCTGAGTGTATCCACCTCTCCTTTGATGGCCCATCGCTGCGAATGGTTACTTCGCTGTGCTCGGCAATTGCCAACCAGTTAGACAATTCCCCGTGCCCTTCCATCTAGTTTTCTAGCTTCGCTTCGTGCATCGAGACACTATCCTCTCTCGTCTGATCAACGGTGTCTGTCCCAAGTCTCGTGCCGGCTGCATTGTGATGCGCCCATTTATGGTTGTGCTCCGGCCACTCCCGATGTACGAGGCAGGTAGATACCAGCAGACGGTCTGGTAACGCATGCGACCTCGGGCCACCGGGGCATAAAGGCAAACGCCGTGATCCTGAATCCGTGACAACTGTTCGAATGCGCCGATGGTCTTGAAAAGTGTTTTCTCCAGACTAGACCTAGTGTCGAGGTCTGTTCACATTGTTCTCTGAGGCTCAGGTATGAGCCATACTAGACCACGAGAGGGGTCCGGGGCCTCATCCGACATTGACGAATCTGAATCTACCTAATAAATACAGCTCTTTACATCTCTCTCTATTGGTACAGTAGGGTATCTCTCGTTTCTCATGTGACCTCTAAAGATGCTGTGCCGTGTGTCCCCGTACCATGTCCCTTCTATTTAAACCAAATGAACAAAACACCCTCAGAACGCCAAGCCCGCAGCCCTCTGGTGACCCTCATGTAGCTCATAACCCCAGTGTGAAAATACGTCGATTCCCAGTTGTGGAATGGGTGGTCGCAGTCTCATTTGTAATTGATAAAATATCCTTGCCTTCTTCCAGGCCACGTGCCGCCCTTCGCTTGCACAGCGGGCACGTGTGCTGGCCTTTTTCTCAGAACGCCCAATCACTCATCTTCCCTGGATAGATATAAGCTTCCACAGGTATCCAAAGTCCTTATAGGCCCGCCCAGCTAATACAGCAATAAAAACACTACACACCAAGAGCAAGAAAGCCTGTTTAAGTGCGGACAGAGTGCTGGGCTGGGGCTTGGCTGGCGACGGCACATTCTCGCGGCCCTGGCGTTGTTCGCTTGCTGTATTTTCTAATATATTTTCCGACTCGAGCTTGAAGCTCTGGCTGAACTTCTCCAAGAGGTCGTCGCGCTCATCTCTCGGTGGCGCAGGCCGGAAAGTAGGCTCCGCAAATATCGTCGCTGGGCGAGCGTCTACTTGCGGCTGGCCGAACGTGCTCTCATTGGTGCCCTGGAACGCGATCGTGTTCTGCGAAAGTCGAGGGCTCCTTCTCAGAAGTGTCGTGTTCGGTTGGCTGAGAAAGCGCTGCGCAGGGGTCTTGGGCGCCGGTGGGACTCTGGCCCAGAATGCACCCGCTTTCTCGTGGGTAGGCGTCTCGCCGAACTTTCTGCTCTCGGACTGGCCTGGCTTATAGGTATTGAACGCTCGGTATTTGGACTGGGTAGGCGACCAATCCATGTTTGGGGAATAGTCGACCGACTCTTGATTCCATGCACGGGGCGTGTCGGAAAGGCTCAGGCTGGAGAGACCAACACCAGAGCTTTGAGGCCGCTGACTAGGTAGGTTCGCAAAAGGGTTGGGAGTCAAGGGACGTGAGGCGGGATCATACGAGCTCTTATATGAAATAGATGGCACGCGATCCAGCTCTTCGGTTCTAGAGAACTGCGACATAAGCGACTCAGACTGAGGCTGAGTGTTTTGGGTGGGCTCGTGAAGAATCTCGTCAAGAATGGTTGCCATGCTCTTCTCCTCGTTTTGTCGTGACTCGGTCTGCGCAACAGGTGGCAGAGGCGCTGGAGTCGCTCCGATGCTGTTGGCCTTGCTAGTCCACAAAGGGGTATGATCGACGCGAATTGACTTGCGGGCAGTGCCATACAAGTATAGCATGGACACGGCCATCGAGGCGTGCGCTGTTGCCCGGGCTGCCATTCGTGGTCCATGCAAGTCTGACAATTGTGAGACCAATAGAGTTGCGGCAAGCTTGAGCGCAAAGATCAAGGCTTGGTAGCGATAGTAGTTATCAAAGCCAACCAAGTGTTTAGTGTTGCTCTTGAAGGTATCAACCCATTTGGGATTCCACCAGATGCTCACGGCAGATGTCCAGAAGCTCCATTTCAGAAGTTGGTTTGTAGGAGGAAGGTAGCCGGCGAAGAGGGCAACAACCCTGGCGGAAAGCATCAACCATGACCTGTCGTTTGTTCGGTTGCTTTGAGCGGCGAGTCCTTGGCTGACGAGGCATACGTGCCACAGTAGCTGGAACACAAGCGAGGCAAACCACAGCCACTTGCCTACCGAATGACAGTAGTAGAGAGGCGATTTGGTGGTGATTACTCTGATCTTGGCGGTCCTATCAAGCATACGTCGCAGATGGTCCGTCTTCGCCGTGTACGCTGCCTTATCGAGTTGTTCGCGAACCTTGGGCTCGCACTGGGCGCAGCATTGGGGATACCGCGTCATGAGACCCTTGTAGAATTTGTAATATCCCTTCTCGCGAATGGCGTATTCAGGATCGTCAGGATCCTCGGGGAAGTACTGAGCCAAAGAGGATATGAATAGGTGTTGGTTCTGCAGACATTTGTCGCAAAAGACTCGGCTGGATGTCGGGGAGAGATCTCGACGGATCGCAAACTGGGCTGGCTCGGCCACGGAACTGGATTTCGAAGCAGGAACATCGGTGATATCACCTTTCTTGATTGCGATCTGTTAGTCGACATTCAAAGTATACCATGAAATGCGTGGGTCACGGCTCACTCACAGCGTCAAGATGGTTGGTCGCATTGCAGTTGTGGCACTCGAAGCGGCTCATGGAGCCATCGTACCGAGTCGAGGACTTGCGATTGCAATAAAAGCAAGTTAAGGGCTTGTTGAGCTTTCTGGACTGGGGTGCCATTATGAGGACCGGACCATCGCATTGAGCTAGAGCTGGAGAAACTCGAGCAGAGGGAGGGGGTTGCGGGCGGAGCGTCCCGCAATTTGTTTTGTATTTTCCAATCTTTGTTGGCGGGGAGAAACTCGAGGCTGGCATTTGAAATTCGACAACTCGGGGTCGCCTCATCAAGGTGCCCCAAACTTTTGGTTGCACAATGAGGTCAGCCCACGCGTTGTTAGCCTAGCGAGGGTTGCACAGGCCACCATCAACTGTGGAGCTTCAATTGCTGTGACAAGGGCCACTTGGAGGCAGTCGAGGACTGCGCACTGGAGTCACCAAGTCCAAAAGCACCAAAGTCGATGCCTCGACTTCACAATACTTTTCAACACAAGCGGAATCGAGGGGTCGAGGACAAAACTGAGGAGGCAACTTCTGCTTAAGGTCTGCATTATTCACACAAAGACGCTTTCAAGGCAGCTTGCTAAATTCGCAACAGATTGCCGCATTCCAGCACCACCTTAGGGAGCTCGTGCAGGACGGAATTTCTTTTTGATGTGTCTGTACGGGAGATAACTTCCGACATGGCACCCACAGTGCCACCTGTCGCTTCTATTAGCAGTGACAGTAAACCAGCCGTGGATCATGAGTTGCACTTGACCGATCTGCCCGACGCGGTGGCTCTCTATGGCCTCTTCCTTACAACGACACTATTTCTGATGCTCCTGGTTACCGGGCTATGCTTTATGGTTCTGGGCTGGGCCACTACTATCGGTGGGGTGATCTCGCTTGGCCTGTTGATTGTGGTAAGTCGACAGAATGGCCGGCAGTGCTTCACATCTCCAACCACTATTTCATATACTCACAGTCCATTAGACCCGGCATTTCTATATCACGAGGATGCGCAGTGTCGTGAACATAGGCGCAGAGACGACGTCAAAGCATGGACTGGACTTGTCACACTTGCCAGCTGTATCGTACTTATACGTCTTTGGGTCTGGCGGTCATACCACAGAAATGACGGCATTGATCAAGCTGAGCTTCAAGGCGAAAAGGAACCAACATCGCCGGTATATCATCACAGATGATGACCAACACTCTCAAAATCAAGAGATGGCTCTCGAACGCTTGTTACATCAGTCGTGCGCAGATGAGGCTACTGGAACATACGACACCATTATCGTTCCAAGGGCCCGGAAAGTCTACCAGTCCTATTCGTCGTCGGTGTACACCTCTCTAAGGTGTGCGCTTGACATCCTAGTCGCCCTCACCACAATACCTGCGCAGCGTGCTGGCACACCAAATGCCAGTGAGTTTAGACACCCTCATGTCGTCGTCACAAACGGGCCAGGAACGGGATTTATCGTGGGGCTCATGGCACACATGCTCAAAGTGCTCTATCTTGCCCCAGAGGACCGACTAAAAGTTGTCTTCGTTGAGACGTGGGCAAGAACACACAACCTAGGACTCACCGGTAAGCTGTTCTATTGGACTGGCATTCCTGATGTGTTTGTCGTCCAGTCCGAGAAGCTATCCAAGATTCTGGGCAAGCCTAATATCGGCAATGTAAATATGAGGCTCAAAGCCGATGGAATCACGAACTCAACAAACAGGCAGTAATCTTCTTGGACGCGAGGCCGTCCTTGGCTGCTTTTCAATTCTGAGTAGCAAATGGCATGTCCGCACCCGAAAGTTCTGTTATTTACAATAAACACCAACTTTGCGCATTGAACAATCCGTGCTCATGCAATACGCTCGGCTTCCTCTGTCTCTATGGCTTTGTCGTCGTTGCCAAAGTTGGCATAAGCCGACTCGCGCTCAGCCTGGAGCTTTTGAGCCTCGCCCTCAGCCCACTTCTTCCACTTCTCGTACACCGCATCCTCCAGCTCCATGCTGACTTCCGACCTGGACTTGCCGAAGTATGCGCCAACCATGCGCGCCTCTTCCTGGGCAATACGCCTCTCGATGTCTTGTTGCTGCCGTATGTCGTAGAACTCTTTGCGCGCTATGTCGTAAGCTTGCTCTTTTGTTACGCCCTGGCCGTTCTCCATCAGCCATAGCTGCCTCTGAACAACTCTGTAACGCCGTTAGCCTTGTCACTAATCGCAAATGTCTCTCTAGTCCTCCACTCACGATTCACCCGTGACTGGCACACCGGGCTGCTTTAAGCCCCTGCTCCAGTCCACGTATCTCCCATCCTTGCCGTCAAGCTCCACCACCACCCTGGGTCGTGCCAGCTCCCACGGATGGTCCTTAAAGAAGTTCCACCGAAGCTCGTCCTCTGGGTATGTGATCTGCTGGGGCTTGAAGATGTTCCGTGGGTGCCGCTGCCGTGGGTTTGGTTCGCGGTGCGGTATAGGTTTAGGACGCGTCAAGATCTCTGACGGTGGTATCCTCTCAATGACTTTGAGCCATACTGGGGGAACTGCATGGGGCGCGTCGCTGTTGCGCGGAATGGCCAGGTTGATCTTGGCTCTTTGGTAGACCCTCTGGGGCCGAAAGGACCGGCCCATGACGGGCGTGTGTGAGGGTGCAGGCTGGCTCGGGCGCTCAGCTTTCGTACGGAACGATCAATAAAAGCTTGGCGCCTTTGTTGGGATCCTGACCGTCAATTGGGAGTTTGTTGTCACTTTGAGATGCTTGCGCCGAGATCCTCGATGTCCAAAATTTATGATGCGGCTCGGTTCGTCTAAGCTTGATGCGAGTACCTGGCCAGGGGAGCTTATCGGCGCTATCAATCCCCACTGCAAAATACCTGGGCGCGCCATTGCAGAGCTTGCATTTTCAAAGCTTCCCCAGACTTTACGAGTCTTCCCCCATATGAAGCTCCCATTACTCCCTTCCTTTCGTTCGCCGCCAACACTCGCACCGCCAGGCTCGGTATCATATGCTGAAGACACGGCGGTAGCAGAGTCATGATGTGGGACAGCTCATGAAAATCTCCAGTCGAATTGAAGGGTCCTTATGCGGCACGATACTCCCGTTGCGACAGAGCCTCTGGCCACAAATCAACTTCGTATATGGGGCGAGGACTGCTCATGGATGGCAATTGCGGCCGAAGCTGCGCAAGGAGCGCGGCCGAAGTCACAATGCCTCGATGAATCGCTCAGCCGAAACGCAATTCTTCTCCTCGTGGATTCCGCCACCCGTCCTCTTGAACCCATTTCGCTACACAACTAGGATCGGCGAGAATACGTTCCGGCTCTCGACCTTCCCAGCAAACAAGAGATCGAGTCATTCGAGCGCCGAAGGAGAAGAAGCGACAGGCTTTCAAGGGTTGAATAAGGAAGAATTGCTGTCCTTGGTCGACCAGACGCAAGATAGCACAATCGACGAGCATCTGCAATTCACCAGAGACCCGTACATGCGAGGGTATGCGCCAGCAGACGGACCCGACTTGGCCGTTTCGGAGCGCCGGGATGACAATGACTTCCCATCGTTCTACGAGACGAGGGAGGCAGGCGAACAGGAGCAAGAGACTCTGGCCAAGCTGTGGCGTGCAGTGCAGCGCCGACTAAGGAATCCCTACAAGACCGACATCGAATATATCTACGGACTTTACCAAAGCCTGCCCGAGCCACGAATGCCGTACCTACACGCGAAGATACGCCATGGTTTGATGAAATGCCTCGGCCGAGAGAAGAAAACATCGAGGTCCATGCTGCGCTATTTCGCCGTAGTCGCAGATATTCAGAGCAATGGCCTCCGCCTCACCCGGCCTGAGTGGAACGCTGCCTTGTCCTTTGCAGCCCGTTACGTCGGTCACTCCACGGAGACCGAGGCGGCAGCGGCCATGAACTTGTGGAGAGAAATGGAGCATGACGCCGGCCTGGGCGCTAATGCTGTCACCTTCAACATCCTGTTCGATGTCGCGTCGAAGGCGGGCAACTTTGTCCTGTCAGAGATGCTGTACAAGGAGATGGATAAGCGTGGTTTCAAATACACTCGGTACCATCATGTCAGCTTGATCCACTTCTTCGGGCTGAAGATGGACAGCGACGGCATCCGAGCCGCCTACAAGGAAATGGTTGAGGACGGCGAAATGATTGACACTACTGTGCTCAACTGTGTCATCGCTGGCTTCCTCCGCTGTGGAGAGGAATACGCTGCCGAGCGCGTCTACGAGCGCATGAAAGCCGCACACGAGCGAGCCCCAGCCATGCCCTACCGGAACTACATGAATGACGCTGCCATCACCAAAGTCCTGATGATGTTCGCAAGGATATCAAAAAAGAATCCTATGCTTCGGCGACAGTTTCAGAAGGCTTCTCCGATAGTCCCCGACATTCAGACTTATCGCATCCTGCTAAATCACTATGCAGTAAAGTTGTCCGCCCTAGACCAAGTCGCGCACTATCTCGACGACATGAAATGGTTCCAGATCCCACTAAACGGAGCCGTTTTCCTCGCCCTGTTCAAGGGCTTCGGTCTATACGGCGGGCCCAAGGGCCAAGTCTGGAGTCCTCAACGGCTCGAGAGCGTTTGGACCGCCTTCGCCCAGGCGCTGGCGGAGAAGACACATGGCATGTATGTCGACGTGTGGATGGCGAAGTGGATTCTCCGGGCGTTCCGCAAATGTGATACCAAGGACCGGGTCAGGGAGGTTTGGGCTGAGCTCCGGCCGCGGTGCGAGACGGATTTTGAGCCCGAAGACGTCGAGCACTTTGAGGAGTTTTTGGTCGATCTCTTCGAGGGTGGCGAGCAGGCAATGGAATATGGAGACACGGGCATGTTTGGGAGATCTAGGGCTCAGCATCATGACTGATTGGGATGTAAACGACTTGTAAACAACTATACGAACATCTATGATACCACTTGTAAAAATGCACAGAAACTGGCCATCTGGCACATGTACATCCATGAACCCCAAAGGTTGAGACTCCACTACACAAGTTCCCCTGCACGCCCTCGTCTTAGATGCGGTCCACCACATCCTCGGCAGGTAGTCAATGATGCTCGTGGGATCTCCGGATGCAGGGCCGTTTCAGCAATTTGGTGATTTGTTCTCATGACTCTTCAGTACCAAGAGCGACAGGTCGATCAAGTCACCAATATGAGGTCTGCTATCCGTAGCGTATTTCCTCACAGACTGGCAATTCGTCCCTCTGGTGCAATCCAACTCAACCGTTCTAACACCGAAGAACCGTTGACTGTTGCGCAATACAATATATTACATCCCTCAGACTTGCAGCATCCACTGAAGGCCTAGAATCGGAAATTCATCGTATTAGGAGAGTAGATGTATCCGATCTGGCAGGCCTTTGTCATAGCGCATCATCTCGTAGGGTTCATTCTCTACACCAACCATGAAACCTACAATTCAAATTTCATGACATGCCAGTCCCTCGAGCGCCAGGTCACCTTCTACCGCTAGCACATGTGCCTGATGACCGTGTGGGAGCATCACAACCTTGGAACCTATGGGGCAGTAATGGCCACGCACAATATGTGTTGATGGAAACGTTCACGTCATAACCCATCTGCAACACTTCCGCTTTGTGCGAGGGCGTCTAGCGACGCTGCTAGGCCGCGGTTCCAGTCACATAAGGTCAAATCCAGCCCTTTGCTCCTGCGCAACATGGAGGGGTGCCCGGGAGTGGGACTCAAGGAAATTCGATTGCTGAAGTTGTCTATTGTCGATTCTATCCGCGCTCCATGTCCTCGTCTCGCCAGCCCAAGGTCCACTCCATCGTCGGTATGTACATGCCACCATCGCAAGACCAGATCGGCTCTTCGTCTATGCACGGGGCTTGTAGGTTTGCCAGGCTGTGGAAATGTCAGAAGATCAACGCGTAGGTCTTTGAGAGACAACATGAGTAAGCATAACGCACCGGCGATCAGGAAGGGAGCACTGAATCCGGTAGCGCAGAAGCCCCAGAACAGGAGTGGGAAGGTCTTCGCCTTAGGGTTGAATGGGATGTTGGTGTAAGGACCCTCGGCGTAATGGTAGGGAGAGGACATCTGGGAGCGGGTGGCATGGAAGCCTCGGCGGCCAGCGACCTGGGTGGTCGCGCGGACAGCGGCGCGGGAGAACATCTGGAGTCAATCGACCAATTTAGTATCAATTGCGTGTCAATTGTTGTATTGACGTCTCGAAGTACAAACTGACCTTGAATAATGCTTTTGCGAGGATGTGGACGAGGCTGAGTGGTCCTAAGGCTGTGACGTTTGATTGCCGTTCTCACAAGCGGAAGACGAAGTTAGAGTCGTACGAGAGAGCTCCATCCTAGGTTGGATGGGTTTCGCCTGAGAGATCAGGCAGAGCCGTCGAGTCCCGCGGACAAGGGTGACTCGGACACCGCCCGCCCCTGTCTGGCTTATCAGTTCTGCCTATCGCAAAAAAGTTGAGCTCGAATCGAGATTTGGTAGCGCCATCGCTAACAAGCGACGCAGCTGCGGCTGCTGTTGATTCAATTTGTGTAATTGGCGCCCTCCAACGTCAAGAAGCTTCCTGACCGTCACCTCACCCCTCTGCGGACCTCGTCTATTCTGGCGGCTCTCTCGTGGAGCTAACAAACTTTCCTGCTACCCCTCCACCGAACTCTGGGACGCGACGCTTGTTCGGCATCTTTCGACTTGAAGCCATCATCGTGGCCAGAAATCCCTTCAAAATCGATCGCGCTCACCTCGGCTGTGTCGCGAAGCAACACCCTTGTGATCCGAGTCAATTGTGACTTCCATACAGCGATCCTGTCCACCATGGACGAGCTCTTTGATGTTTTCGACGAGCCGCCAAAACAGGCGGCCGATGGCGTAGATTCCCCCGCAGGCGCCGAGCCTGCACAAGCCCCTACAACCTCACCGTCCGCCAAGTCAAAGTCGTCGAGAAGGGAAAAGACGGAGAAAAAGAAGGATAAGAGCAAGAAGCGAAAAGCAGATGGCCATATGAAGAATGGCACGTCTACGGATGCAGACGTCGAAATGGCCGACGGCGAAGATCCATCTCATGATGACGAAGACGACAACGACGAGGGGGAAGAGCCCGACCAGAGCGAAAATAACCCCCAGGACCCCAAGCGACGCAAGAAGGAAAGCGAGGCGGACCCCGTAATGGCAGACACATTCACCACCGCCGAGTCGAGAGAGGTCGCCGCGGCTGAAGGTTTTGCGCCAGCGAAGGGAGAGGAGGCCGACAAAGCCCTGACCATTGCACACAACATCCAACATCAAGTCGCGTTGCCGCCAGATCTGGACTACGAATATGTTCCTCTGTCAAGCCACAAGCCGCCAGCAGAGCCCGCGCGAACTTACAGCTTCAAGCTCGACCCTTTCCAAAGCTTATCTGTGGCTTCGATCCAAAGAGATGAGTCTGTTCTGGTATCAGCTCATACCAGTGCAGGAAAGACGGTGGTTGCCGAGTATGCAATTGCTCAATGTTTAAAGAATAAACAGAGAGTGATCTACACGAGTCCCATCAAAGCGTTGAGCAACCAGAAATACCGAGATTTCCAGGGCGACTTCGGAGACGTAGGACTGATGACAGGAGATGTTACCATCAACCCGACTGCTAGTTGCTTGGTCATGACAACCGAGATTCTGCGGTCAATGTTATATCGTGGCTCTGAGATTATGCGAGAGGTGGCATGGGTTGTGTTTGACGAGATCCACTATCTTCGAGACAAGAGTCGCGGTGTCGTGTGGGAAGAAACCATCATTCTGCTGCCAGACAAGGTTCGATATGTGTTCTTGTCCGCTACGATTCCCAATGCCTTCCAATTTGCAGAGTGGATCGCCAAGATACACCGTCAAGCATGTCACGTTGTGTACACCGATTTTCGACCAACACCTCTTCAGAATTACTTCTTCCCAGCTGGAGGCGAGGGCATCTTCCTTGTCGTTGACGAGAAGAGCAACTTCAAGGAGAACAACTTTAACAAGGCCATGGCTCTCATAGAGCAGAAGAAGGGAGCGGATCCTGCCGATCCCAATGCCCAAATGAAGGGGAGGGGTCGGAACAAGAAAACAAACAAGGGTGGCAAGTCGGACTCTCAGTCAGACATCTCCAAGATCATCAAGATGATCATGAAGAGGTCATTCCACCCTGTTATTGTCTTCAACTTCAGCAAGCGCGAGTGTGAGGCAATGGCTCTCGCTATCTCCCACATGACATTTAACAACCCATCTGAAAAGCAACTGGTCAGAGAGGTGTTTCACAGCGCCATCAACCAGTTGGCTGAGGAAGACCGGTCGCTCCCGCAAATCACACATATTCTTCCCCTTTTGGAGAAGGGCATTGGTGTCCATCACTCTGGCCTGCTGCCTATCCTGAAGGAGACTATCGAGATCCTGTTCCAGGAGGGGTTGATCAAGGCGCTCTTCGCTACCGAAACTTTCTCTATCGGCTTGAACATGCCGGCCAGAACAGTAGTTTTTACATCGGTTATGAAGTTCGACGGAGTGAGACAACGCCCTCTAACCACCGGCGAGTATATCCAGATGTCGGGCCGTGCTGGACGTCGTGGCCTCGACGACCGTGGTATTGTTATCATGATGATTGATGACAAGCTTGAGCCAGAGACGGCAAAGGGCATCGTGGCCGGCGAACAAGACAAGCTTAACTCGGCCTTTTATCTGGGCTACAACATGGTTCTCAATCTGCAACGGATTGAAACCATCTCGCCCGAGTTCATGCTTGAGCGATGTTTCTTCCAATTTCAAAATGCTGCCAGTGTCCCTGGGCTGGAGAAGGAGCTCATCGCCTTGCAGCAGGAGCGGGATAACATGGTGATTCCTGACGAGAACACCGTCAAGGAGTACTACAACCTGCGCAACCAGATCGAGGACTACACCAAGGACATGGTCGCGGTAATACAGCACCCTAATTACTGCACCGAATTCCTTCAACCTGGCCGACTAGTACAGATCAAGACGCCCAGTGGAGAGGATTTCGACTGGGGCGTGATCATCAACTTCGTCTCCCGCCGATCGCCCAAAGCCGGCGAGCCACCCCATGCACCCCAGGAGTCCATTTTCATCGACGTTCTGTTGCGACTGGATGGAGAGAGCAATGATGTTAAGCGTATTCAGCCCTCAAGCGGCGTCATGCCACCAGGTGTTCGTCCATTCGCAGAGAGTAGATCCAAGACCTGCAGGTACGAGGTTGTGCCTGTGCTTCTCAACTGTGTGAAGGCCTTCGGCCAGATTCGACTGTTTGTGAAGGGCGACTTGAAGACAGAGCAGGAGATGGGTCACTGCGGAAAGAACCTGGAGGAGGCCAAGCGAAGATTCCCCGATGGAATCCCGATTCTCGATCCGATTGAGAACATGGGCATCACTGACGACTCATTCAAGAAACTCATGCGCAAGATCGAGGTTCTTGAATCTCGGCTGCTCTCGAACCCCCTTCACGGATCTCCTCTTCTCCCCGAGCTATGGGAGCAGTATTTCAAGAAGGTGACTCTTACCGACAAGATCAAGGAGAAAAAGAAGTCCATCGCCAAGGCACACAGCATCGCTCAACTCGATGAACTCAAGTCACGCAAGCGTGTTCTCCGCCGCCTGGGATTCATCAATGATGCCGAGGTGGTGCAGATGAAGGCTCGCGTAGCGTGTGAGATTTCGTCCACTGAGGGACACGAGCTGCTCCTCTCGGAGCTGCTGTTCAACCGTTTCTTCAACGAGCTGACACCTGAAGTGTGCGCGTCGGTGCTCAGCGTCTTCATTTTCGACGAGAAGGTGGAGACGCAAGAACTCAAGGAGGAGCTCATGAAGCCGTATCGCGAGATCCAGCGGCAGGCCAGGATCATTGCCAAGGTCAGCCAGGAGAGCAAGCTGGATGTCAACGAGGATGAGTACGTCCAGAGCCTAAAGTGGCAGCTCATGGAGACTGTCTACGCTTGGGCTCAGGGACGGCCGTTTGCAGAAATTTGGTATGTTAATCTATCTTCTCAGCACCTATTCTTCCGCTTGCACCTCCGTCTCTTGCGCCCCTCCCCTTTACTCCCTCCAGTCCTTATGGTTTACACGTGCAGAATGCTAACGACGTCATAGCAAAATGACAAACGCCTACGAGGGCTCACTCATCCGTCTGTTCCGACGTCTGGAGGAGTTGCTGCGGCAGATGGCCCAGGCGGGTAAGGTCATGGGCAGCGAGGAGCTGAGCAAGAAGTTTGAGGATTCCCTCAACAAGATCAAGAGGGACATTGTTGCAGCGCAGAGCTTGTACCTGTAAGGACCCAGCTGAGGAGGCATTTTGTTTGGTTTACTGTAGGCATTTTCGGTTTCTGGCTCGTGCCCATTGAACAGGAGTTTTGGAAGGGAAAATACCATGATCATAGCGGCGTAGGTAATTTGAGGTAGAGAGCCACGTAGCATGAGGTGAAATGCGGCCGTCGATTAAGACGCCACACGTTGTCCGGCCATGGATAACCAATTCAAATCACTTTCCAGACTGTTAGATCCGGGGCTCGTGAAGTCGACGTCACCTCTTCCCACACTGTATGGTCCTTGTCCTCGGATGGCTTCAACTCCAGCTCAGATTCCCACGAATGCCAAGAGCAACCTCGTGATGCCCAGGTAGCCGCTTTCGACCGTGCAGAACAGCCGGTGGGGATCACCCAATAGCCCGGATCGTGCCAATGAGCAGACTCAGCACGAAGCCAAAGTAGACAAAGACCCGCATGCGCTTGGGGATCTTCTCCTCGTCCCGGACCAGCCACCCGATGGCCCCGAGCGGCCACACGAACCCGATGAACATGCCCTTGAGCAGCAGGTCCAGCACGCCCGCGACGCCAAACTCCTCCCCGCCGGCGGCGGCGACGCCCTCGCCCTCGTCGCCGCCAGCAGTGGGCACCGCGGCGGGCCCCGCGCCCGCGTCGTTGTTGTTGTCGATCCACGCGTCCTCCATGCCGCGCAGCGTGTCCGGGCTCGGCAGCGTGTCCGCCGTGTGGCGCGCCGCCTGGATCGAGCGGAACTGCAGCCGCAGCTGGTTCACCTCGGCCGCGGTGAAGCCCGCCGAGAGCAGCCTGTCGAAGCCGCGGGGCGTCCGCTCCTGCCCTGCGCCCGCCCCTCCGTTCCCGCCCGGCAGCGGCGAATGGCTCGGTGGGTATGGTGACGACAGCCCCGAGGCGGGCGCCTGCTCTGGCACGGGCTCTTCGGCCTTCTTCCTCTCCTGTTCGAGCTCCGCGTCCGTGAGCAGGTCGCCGATGCTGCAGTTTACGTAGACCCTCTGCGCGTGGTGGCTGCTGCCCTCCACCGCCTTGCCCTTGCCCTTTGGGTCATGCTCGCTGTTGGCGGCGGAGGAGGAGGATGTGTTCGCTGCCGATGGTGGCGGCGGGAGCACCTTCAGCACGGCGCCGAGGACCGCGTTGTCCGGGAGGATCTTGCCGCCGTGGATGAAGCGCAGGCGGCGCTGGGAGTTGGGCTGCTCGAGGCGTGTGCGGATGAGGTGCTTCAGCGCCGCGACCGTGGTCCGGCTCGGGCGTGGGATATCCAGGAGCAGGTCGGGGATTGAGGTCGAGAAGCGGACGGTGAGGAGGAGGGGAGGGGAGTACTGCGTTTTGGAGGGTGTCGAGCCGCCATTATGCGGTGTGAGGCTCGAAGGCGTCTTGAGCGGCGGTGGTAGGTGTTGGTGGCGTGGCTTCGTGGGCGAGGAGGATGAACTGCTGCCGCCTCCACTCATCTTGGCTATAATGGCAAGGCAACCAGTGGTACCATTTTCTGGCACATGGTGTACAAGGCGATTGTTGGGTGTGTTTGGTCTGGACCTTGGAGCTCTTGTCACTGGGGGTGATCAAGGAGATGACGTTCCTGCAGGTGGACAGGTGATAAGATTAGATATGCATCAATCGGTGCCCAGCCTCGAATATCGATTTATCGGGACGTCCTTAAGTGCCGCGAATATCTGAGCTCTGCTACTCTCTGCTTCTTTTCTTTTTCTTCGCGTGTGCCGTGTCCTCTAGGATGTGAATCTTATAAATGGAGTTCGTAGATCATCTAGTGGTCAGACCATTCACAAAGGTGTGTTTCAACACTATTTCATCAAGCAGTCGGTCACACACCTTGGATGGACAGCCACCCATCTTGACTTCAGCAATTATTTCTTTGATTTTGAGGGTCCAATTCAGACCCTAGCGTTTCCTCTAAGACGCGAAGAGGTTCAGGCTCTGCCGTAAATACTGGCGAGACTTCTCTTTGCTCCTTTCCCGAACTCCAAACTGAAATTTGTAAAACATCTTGATACAAAAGGATTCCCCAATCCCGCTCCCATAAAGTCGTCAATCATTCGTGGTCTCCCATGAAGCAAGTTCCTGATGATCTCGAAAAAGCCCTATGGCATCTAGTCCTTGTGGAAAACGTCGGAAAACCTCCGGTTGGCTTTCTGCTGGAGTTTGTTTTGCTTCCGAATAGACTGAACCGAGAAGCGAGCTAGACACTCGAAGAACTCCGTGACGCCCTCGCCGGTGTTAGCGGAGCACTCATAATAGGCCGACGCATTGTTCTTTCGTGCAGCCTCCTCTCCCTACACGCGATGTTAACTTGGTTTCTATCTTTAGTTGTTGTTCACGGGTAACATTGCATACCTGTCCGACGGTGGACGCAGTCGACTCGTCTAGAAAGCCAAGCCTGAGGGTTGGGAAGTCTGGACGCAGGTCGCTCTTCAGGCCGAGGAGGATAGAGGGAATATCAGGGCAGTATCGCTGGATCTCAAGGCGCCACTTCACCTAGGTGTCAGCACATGAACTTCAACTTGCTAAAGAGGATTCGAGTGTTATTACCTTGGCAACAGATTCTAGGTTGCGCTGGTCTGCGATGTCAAAGCAGATGACGATCACGTCGTACTTAGCCATCGAGAGAGGGTGTTTCTGGCCTGTCTGAACATTTCGATGGGCAATGTCCCAGATGTCTGCGCGGGCCGTGAAGTTGTCAACAATCAGTGGACCAGTGAGCTGCACACGGACGGAACTCTCGTGTGGCTGGTAAGCAGTGCCCTAAAACAGAGGTCAGTCCATGTGTTCCCACATCTTCACTGAGGTCAAGGACGAACGTCGGTATAGGCTCCCAGAGTGTAACGACTAAACCAATTAGCGGACATATCCTAACCACGGAGAACGTCTTGGAATTCGCCTACTCAAGCAAGGTCGCCTTGCCACAGTGCGGGTCGCCAATAAAGGCGACATGAATACGATACTCCTCTGGTTGTTAATTAGTACGAATCCAGGGGTATGTGCAAATCTATGGGCACCTGGCTCGTACCGTGCTTTTCCGCGGTCAGCTTCTCGAAGAAGGCCTTGGAAGACTTGCTGATGTCTTTCAACACGACTGAGGCAGAGCTTTTCCTGCCTCCATCGGAGTATGCAGGCGTGGACAGTCGTTTTCGAATGGAACCAAAAACGCTGGTCGGGCGCTTCTCAGACTCGTTCTCAGTAGCCATAGTAGCGCTCTGTAAATTACCCGTCTGGTCAGATTTGCATACAGGTCATTTTCTCCTCCATGGACGTGGTTTAACGCAAACTTACCTGAGCGCCGCCACCATCATAATGCGGGCTACCAATGGGCAGATGCTCTCTGAGTTCGTCGAGCATACTGCCAAATTGGACAGTATGACGTTTCTTCGAAGAGAGAGTCAGGTTATCCATCTTAGATTCGCAATTGGCCTGAGACGCAGCAACGCTTCCGTTTTCTTGTGTTTCTCCTGGTGATCGAGCTTGTTGCCCTTCGGATGCCTCAATCTGACCAATCTGAGTCTGGTCAAGTCCTCGGAAGAGATTACCAAACTGGGTGGGCTGTTGAGCCTGCGATGCCGGATGTGAGGTGAAGTACAAGGAAGATTTCCTCTGAGGAATCTTTGGTTGGAAATGGGCTCCTTCAAGCTGCGAGTGAACTTCTTCAAGCTGCCCGAGCTGTGATGTTGACCCGAGCTGCGATGTTGACCCGAGCTGTGATGTTGCTCCAAGCTGCAGAGAGGCTTCTTCAAGCTCGGAATGGACTTCTTGAAGCTGCAAATCACACCGTTCGAGCCTTATCGGGTGCTGAGCCAGTGGGTTGGGATGCTGAAGAAAGAAACTTGAAAGGGATGGATCGGTGCCTAATCCAGGAGCAGGAAGTCCAGGAGGTGTCTGTACTGGTGCAGACACTGCTCTAGGTCTGATGCTGTCGGATCGCGGTACAGAGGGGGGGTCAGGACGGGGCGTAAGGCAAACTTCAGGCTGGCCCGGTACGCTTTCAAGCCATTGGTACAGCCTCTCGGTGCAAAAGATCTGACCTTGTGCAGTGACATGTGCCCGGTACATGATAGATGTCGTTGGACGACTAGGCTCCCAGAAGCGATCCTCTGCCCTCCTGAATTCTTCCTGATCGACCAAGATGTAGTCCGGGAAGACACGTGAAGGATGCGCCCCATTTGCGTTCATGGCCTGGACCACACGCTGCCACCCAGCCCTCTCAGCCCTGAGACTACTCATCTTTCATAGACAGAGCTAGCCAGATATCTTGAGATTAACTCTGGAAATGCCGATGTCCTCGACCTGCTTGTGGTACGTGTTAATCACGTATGTAAGCAAAGGCTCTGTTGACTGCTGTTGGCGAAGAAATCCAGGGGCATAAAGGGGTGAAACCTAGGGACTGAAGTAACGCAGACGTGGCTGATCTGCACGTGAAAATGGCCCAACTGAACGATCAAGAGGATGCTTGGAAGTGCGAGATATTACCTGCTGCAAATCTGGATGTCGTGGTTGGAATCGGCAACTTTGTGGTGAGATGGTCCAGATCACCGAGACGCACCAGGTTTCCTTAGGCAATGGTGAAAATCGATGAATGGTCTCCAGCTGTACCATCTGAGAGCTGTCGGTGGGGTCAGAGTGAATGGACTGCTGTTCAAAGACCAGAAATCCAGTGCTGAGTGTGGACACCAAGACAAGAGTGGATCTTTCATCGTCTCGTTCTCGTTATGGGGGGAGAGCCGGCAACACACACCCCTCCCCCCCTTTTTTTTTCTTTTCATGGTGATTCAACCAGCTTAGACAGGGGGCTAAGAACCTCAACTGATGGACAAGCCATGAGCAGCAGGCCAGATCAACCTGGAATGATCCTGGCAGCGATTTCAGGTCGAGTCCTGCATTGCCGAGGCTGGAGAACTCCAGAGATCAAGCACCTGGCGCTCTCCAGTGCCAACAGGACTTGAGAACCCGATGTCTCTTGGTGGCACTGTCCTCAAGCCACACTAATCAGGGATTCCTCATCGTTAGACGATAGACGGCGAAGACCATCAGCTTGCACGACGAGGGCACAGGATCTGGGCAACGGGGTACGAATACGGTGTAGAAGTCCCCGTATGCCCAGTCCCGGCTAAGGTGAAACTAGCCATTCATTTTGTCTCTACACGACTGTAAGCAGCACCATTTACCGGAAACTCTCCGCCATCGCAACATCTAGGGCTGCCTCTACTCTTGAATGTACTTCTTTAACCCTCTCAGCCTCTCTTTAGCCGTCTCAAGCACGTCGTCAGGCTTGCACACCGCGAAGCGCAAATAGTCCTCCACGATCTTGTAGTTGGCATCAGTGTAGAACTCAGTCGGAGGGATGGCCGCTACGCCGACCTCCTGGATCAAGAACCACGCCAGCTTGAAGTCGCGCGGGCGGCTGGCCACGTGCGGCGGGAACGGGTAGTCAGCCGGTAGCTTCACCTTAGAGAAGTTGGCCATGACAAAGTAACCGCCTTCGGGCTCCGAGTATGGCAGCCCTAGCTCCTCGAAAACGGCGTTGAAACGGTCCACCCGCCCCTTCATATCCTTAACGCACTCATCCCAGAAGCCCTCGGCCTCAGCCTTCTCAAAGCCTGTTTTTGGGGGGTGGCTGGTCAGTCTGTTTTCCGTCATCCGGGATTGTAAGGTCACTCACCAACAGCACAAGCTTCCTGAAGCGGCGAGACTGAAGAGTAGCATATCCGCGTATGTGCGGCAGACACATACTGAATGAGTTCAGCTGGCCCCATCAGCCAGCCCACTCGCCACCCAGTGGCGTAGAAGTTCTTGCCGGCCGACCCGACAGTAAGAGTGATCTTCTCGACCTCAGGGGACAGGGTGGCGATGCGCGTGAACGGAACGTAGTACAAGCGATCGTACACCTCATCAGATAGGATAATAATGTTATTCTTGAGACAGATGTCCGCGATCCTCTGCAGCTCCGCCTTAGAGAATACCTTACCGACAGGGTTGTGCGGCGTGTTGATGACCATCATCTTGGTGCGAGGCGTGACGGCGCGCTCGAGTTCATCAAAGTCGATGGTCCACTCCGCGGCAGAAGATGTCTTCGTTGCGCCTTCCTTGGGCGGGTGCATGGGCACGTATACGATCTTACCGCCGGGCATTTCGATATTGCTTATGTACTGGTCGAAGAAAGGCTCGAAGATGATGACCTCGTCGCCTGGCTCGATAAACGCCATGAATGCGCTCAGCATGCCCTCGTTAGCCCCCGTCGTAATCGTCACCTCCGTGTCTGGGTTCAGCTTCCTGCCCCAGTGCGGCGAGTAGGCGTCGGCGATGGCCTTCTTCAGCCGAGGCCGTCCTTTCGTTGGTGAGTATTGGTTGCACTCTACCCGATCCAGCGCCTCCTTGGCAGCGTCTAGAATGAATTTGGGTGGGTTATACCCAAAGAATCCCTGGCCCATGTTGATGATGGGCTGGTTGGGCGATGCAGTCGCGGCCTCATTGATGATGGACCTGGGGTCGCGTCAGTGAGCGTCTTTCAACATGGAAAATGACACATTGACCCGCCATTTACTCACCACACATCCTGCCTGTTGCCCGCGACACGAGCAGCGGGCTTCATTTTTTCGGTCGGAGCCATTGCTGAGTACAACCTGCGTGAAGGTGCTATTGTTGTCTTGGCAAGGTTCTGTGTAATGCTTCGACCAAGAGAACCGCCAAGAGAGCCAACAATCGCCCGCATGTGTTCTTACCGAATGAAATGGAATGAGAAGGATAAAGAAAGATTTTCAAAGTGACCACGTGAAGTGAGTGACTCTCAATTAATCCCGCTGATAATTAGACTTCCTGTCATTGACTCCGCTGCCAGCCGGGATTTCGGTGGACATCGGCTCGAGATCCGGTCTTCCGGAATCGGAACGGTCAGAGTAGCGCAAGGGACCTTGAGGATTGCGCGATGCTTTTGTGCGGATATACCCGGCTAGCTTAGACGACCGGCAACTAAAGCAAAGAGGGGACAGCAATATGCACCAAGTGGGGGTCTATATGCATTTAGAGAAACAACATCCTTCAGAATGTTGAGCACTACCGGTTAGCCTGGTGAACTAATTAATTAGCGGGTTATGACTTACCAACAGAACAACACAATTATTACATCTCGAAGCTGGCCGACCTAGTCGCCGTCGACATCAAGTTTCAGATTCGCGTATTTGCCCTGCAGCGTCTTCTCGAGATGTCCCTCGTCGTCGCAGAAATGAGCGATGGACATCGCTTTCTGGGCCCACCATGTGCACCTTGTCCTCTCGTGTCGTCCCCATAAATCGATAGAGTGGTTGTAGGCTGCTGATGCTAACCATTCTATCTCTTCCGGGGGCCATGCCGCTGGTGTCTAATATCAGAGACAGTCAATACTCTTAGTCTTCCCCTTCGCTGCAATATACCGCAAATGCTACTCACCCCATGAGCGTCGCTTGTCATTCTGCAGGCTTCGTCCAACAGTCTCCCTGCGAGGTCGTCGTTGCTTGGGGCAACGGCTTGGAACAGACATCTGGTATATTTAGCAAGCTTAGATGAATCACGGTCCTGTAGAGCCGAAATCTCATTGATGATTTTGCGTAGAACACTGAAAAGCTCTATAGCAATCGCGAAGCTCAATTAGCGAAATTTCCAAGGAGCTTGAGTACGAAGAAAAAGACTCACCTTCGGGCGGGACAGGAGTCCGCAAGATGCAGTCTGCCATGGTCTTGAAAGACTCTGTGTTCTGACAAGCGCCTGCCTTCAACACGATCTCCCCGAGGTCCGGCCAGCATTTCAAAGCCACGGTCGCCTCGAAGTCGAATGATAGCAACAGGGCGAGCTTATTGAGAAGGTCTTTCGATGCGACCTCGTCAAGGCTTTGACTCTCCATCCGCTTCTGAATCTCCGAGTCGGCCGCTGCGATATGTCTGCGCATGATGAGGTAGTCCTGTAGCTGCTCCTCCAAATTGTCCTGTGATCGAGCGAGTGCCACAAGTGCCGATGAGATGAGAAAATTGCAGAATATTGATTTGAGGGAGAGATCCGCCGCGACTTCCAGTCCTATGTCGTGGGGGAAAATTTGGATGATGCTGACACATGCCTTTAAGATTCGAACAACGCTCTGTAGACTCCAATCACCAGCATGCTTCAGTCCCAAATTGTATGAGTTCTGGCAAAACCATTCCAATTCTCGGACGTCGAATATTATTTTACCATTGGAGTCTTCAGGCGCCTTCTGAGCCGCCATAGCTACTATAAAATTCGGTTAGTTTGCACATTCTTGGGGGGGGGGGGACAACAGAGCCATGTACCTGTGTCGAACGACGCACACAGATCAGCGACGACTAAATGCTGCTGTGCCTCATCTCCGCTCTCCAGGAGCCCATGAAGCAACATGATGGTACAGCGGAGGAGGGCTGGTAAGTGAACCGGCCCTGGATGTTGGAAGTCATACACATTCGCGAGCTTCTTCAAGGCATCAATTGCAATGAGCCTGTCCTTGACTTGTTGTGAATCCGCAACGCAAGCGTACAGCAAATGCAGATGAGCAGGAGAAGCCTTGGCGACAGCTTCGAGATGCACGGCTGCCGATTCCCGATCACCACTTCGAACTGTCGTTTTGTACATCACATATTGTGTCATGGGATCTTCTTGTGCGTCCTGCGACATTGAGAAAAAGGTTGACTTCGCAGAATCGATATCATTTCGTGCCATGGCGCATAGGAGAAGTTTTCTTTGAACCTTGGCATTATTTAAAAGGCCAGAATTTGCAAATGCTGGGCTCAGCGCCAAGTGACACCATCGCTCTGCCATATCATACTGACCTTGGCTGTAGTTGGCTTCAATCTTCTTCCAAATCAAGGTCTGCGCAGAGAAGCTGGCATCGGTGCTGACTGGATGCTCCAACCTTGATAGGGATTTCTCGGCCTCATAAATGCTTCTCGCGAAATCACGCTGAGTTGTTGTCATGAAAATGCGGGTGACCACCGCCTTGTCAATCCAACTACCCTGACCCGATTTGATCAAAGAAATCAGAAATTCATCGAGGATGGTACAACCGAGACCAGGGCTTTTGGAATAGACTCTTCGAATATGGTGAGCTAGAAGCTTGAAACTCGTTTCACTGAGCTGAACGCTTCGTATCATCCTCCGAAGGATGTTGCCATATGCTTCACTGTCAAACACCTCGGCAGGTGACCTGTTGAGGATCTCCAGTCTCAGCACCAAGACAATTGGCTGGTCACCAACCTCGGACTCAATGTATGTAACGAGATTTTGGGCTCTCTCGTTGCTCTCGCTTGTTCGGAGCCCCAAGAGAGCAGTGACAAGAGACTGCAGTATCGCCATACGGAGTTCGACCGCATCACGCGGTAGTTCCTGTAGTCTCTGGCCATGAAGAGAATCCCAAGCGCGCTGAAGCCATTTTTCTGCCATTGAAAAATCTTCTTTCGAGAGCATACTTTTGCCAATCAGAAAGTAGATGTCGATGATCTTCTCCGATGTGGCTGGCTTGATCTTGTCCAAGAAGCTATTCGCTTGGGCAAATAAGTGCTCGGCCACGTCGAGTTGGCTGTCCCTCCAGGCCTAGTGAATTTCGTCAATAACACTTTTTTGTGATGCCAGCAGGGTATACACACTAGGGCAATCCGCAGGACAGTCCATTCAGCCTCCATCTCTATAGATTGATTGATATCTTCCGGTTCCATCGTCCGTAAGAGATTTTGTAGTCGTCCGTGATAGTCAGCGGCTTTCTGCAGAACAGTTCTCGCGTTCTGAACGTCATTACCATCTGCCATGCAGAGAGACGGTCAGCCACACTGTGAATGTCTTTCTCGGAAGTGCAAAGTACAGGAGCTTGCGGACCAATGCATAATCTTGCCATTCTCAGAGCCAGTTCCATCAGGTGGGAGGCGACAGGTACAGTGCATTTGGTTGACCATTGACACAAATGCAAGATATGAAAGGCGAGAACTCGGCTCCAGAGGATGAGTTTCAACCCTGCCGAGGATCTCGCAGGCTTATCCGCATTTTCTCGACCGAGTCGCGTGCAGACGTTCCAAAGTTTGGTTGCCTCGGTGTCCAAATCTTCATCAAGCAGCATTCCATGGTGCGGCTTGTCCGAATACCGGTCAAGCAACTGATTCTGCTTCTCGACATCTCTGAGCAGCGTTTCAGACGCCGCTGAATCGTCCTTGTCGGTGGGCAAGCGCCTGCGCAGGTCTGATACAAACGCTATGGCAGAATAATGTGAGCACAATAGCACTGCTGGACTAAGATTGTTCAGGTGCGAATCATACAGAGGATAGCTTCTTTCCTTTTTGACTTGCCGGTGGCAGCGTCACCGCCGTCCGCTGTATTCAAGGCCTTCGGCATGGCAGCTCAGGCTCTCTCCTACGGACGGGTTAGATTGAATTAGATTGCTGTTTAAACTTCTGGATGTTGACGTACATTGTCTCATTGCCCACTTCGCAGAATGTATCACGCGCTGTGATCTCGTTGACCAGGCTGTTCACCCTTGGAGGTGAAGGCGAAGAACGAGAGAAGTGGAGAAGCCCTAAGCACTGATGGGTTCAACGATATGACGAGGAGCTCTAACCAGTGGCGGCAACTGAGAAAATCGGCTAGCCTGTAATGCGCATAGGCTTGCTGCAAGAGGTCAAGATGTCCGAGATTTCTTCCAACGACTGAGCTGTGACTGTTGAGTGGAACAGGAGAGCGTAGAGGAAGGGATGGCGTGGAGAAATGAGTACGTCTTCTCAATTGGACCCGGAGATTGTAGAAGAAAAGAAGCCGAAGGTGAAATGCGTGTCCTGTCGAGTTGCTTAGGCGTGTAAAAGAGATGAGTCCGTGTGAATGAGTGGCTTGTCAAGCCGGCCAGAAGAGTGTAGGAGAAAAGAGCCTGACGGAGGATGGTGTGTCGTGTCGGATCGGACATACAAGGGTGGGCCGAGAGAGAGAAAAGAAAGGCGGACGAATCGATGTCTCGCCGGGCTTCAGAAAATGCAGAAGACAAGAACCTGTAGGACGAGTGCGTGTCTTGTCTTGACTCGTCGTCGAGTTGGTTTGAAGAGTGCAGAGGAAGACGAAAGGGCGGATGAGGTGAAATGCGTGGTTTGTCTAATAAGAGTGGAAGCCGCTGCGCCTCCCACAACGGGAAGGCACGACCACCCGGGGCGGCGCCCCTGCCAGATACATGTATATAGACATATGTGTATGGTCCCCCCCCCCTCCCCACTTTGCCCAGCCCAAAAAGAATCTCAAAAGTCCGCAGGCCGACTGAAGTCGCTCTTCTGTCTGGGCCCAGAAACTCCGTGCAATAATATGCAAGCAAGATATGCCTCCGTTCCTCCCTCTCGTCTTCTTTCTTTTCCCCTCTCCCGCGCTATCGTGGGATTAAGGCATTATGGGTATGATCGTTCGTGCTCGTGGGGCAATTCTCAATCCGTATAGTATACCGCCTCCAACTTCAATGTACAATCAAGAGTATTCGCGGCTCCAATTGGCTACTCAGTCATCGTGCCTGTGTGGGCACTCAGTGTCCGGGATCATGCGGCAAGAAGTTTCCGACGATCAAACTCGGACTATGTTGATGGGAGACTCAGCATGGTTGGGATGTTGACTTGAAGCTGGCGGGCAAAACTTACATCTTGGCGTCATCCCGCCTAATCTTTAAGGAGAAGCAGCATTTGATCTCTTTGGACTTGGTCTTCGCCTTTCCGTCGTCGATAGGACACTTGAGCTCGCATGCCGTGAGAAGGGTATCGTGTGATGGGTCAAATGCAATCGTGCCAAACTCCTCCCAATACCGCACCACCGACGCCTCCGTGAGGATCTGGTGCAGCGCGATGTTCCCCTGAATAGAGTGTCAGCCGTCGAACTCGGGCTCAGTAACCCGCACGTAGGTGGGTCAGACAGAACGAAAAAAAAAAGCACATACGTCTCTCAGGTCCTCGACCTGAACCCCGATCAGCTCCGCCATCTCCTTGTTGCCCCTGAAGATCTCACCCGTCCTCCTCCAGCAGCAGGCCGGCACCGCCATGCTGGCGAAGACGCGGTCGTACTCCATCAGCGTGCGCTCGAACCACATCTCGACGTACACCAGCTGGATGTCCGTCAGCTGCTGCACCTTCTCGCGGAACTTTGGCCGGAAGCGGTTAATCTGCGCCAGGATCTTCTGCTTGGAGCTCGCGTGGATGTGCGACTCGAGGTAGTCCATCAGCCGCTTGTAGCCCTGGATGTAGTTGAACGGCCGCAGCAGCCCCGCCTCGTACTTGGAAAGCAGCACCCGCTCCATCCGCTTCTCGGGCATGTCGTTGCCCGACGGGTCGGCCACCTGTAGGTAGAACTCGGCCGCCTCGCGCCGCTTCTTGTCCTCCGGGTTGGTCGTCGCTGCTGGCCGGGCGACGGCCACGCCTTGTTCCGAGTCGGCTGGCGGCGGCATGGACCCTGTGGGCAATGCGCTCGGCGGGAGCAAGTTGTTTTGGTTGAGGCCATAGCCTGGCAACATGTCGTTTTGGGTTTTCGTGCCTTGGTCTAAGTCGCTAGACAACAGGCCGCCGTCATCAAGAAGACTACTGTTCAGGAACTCGTTGAGGAGATTAAATTCGTTGCTGACCTCAGGGGCCATCAAATAATTGGATTGGTAGCTGTGCACGTCCTGGAGGTGGTTCTGGGCAGTCAACCACGCATCCGAGAAGCCGGCAACTGTGAATGAGATGTCCTTTCAGTTCTGGGAACGTAGAATACAAGACGACGCACTGTCATTTTACGAGACCTACATTGATTCATGTTGCCGCGGCCCAGGCCGCTGGCTTGCATCCCAGAAAGCTGTGTCGGTCGCACAAGCTGTATCGAGTTGCCCCGGCCCAGTGAGCCCGCAGCACCAGCCGTGATACCAGCAGCCGCGGCTGCGGCAGCTGCTCCCCCGTCAAAGGAGGGGGCGCTCATGGCGGCAGCAACAGCAGCGCTTGTGGTCTGGTCCATGGCACTGTGTGCGATATCCGATTGGGATTCCGTTTCGTCCATCGTCGAGCCGGCGGCTGTGCTGCCTCTCGCCTTCTTGGTGTCATGCTCGCGAGGCTCGTCGTGACAGAGATGGCCGATATTACGCTTTATACATCTTGTACAGGGTCTCTCCTGTTCAGAGCAAAGCGCCACGAAGTGGTCAGTATTGTGTTCGCCCTCGGCCATACAGTGCAGCGCAGAGCAATTCCGTGCCGAGCCGTGTCGCGCGCAGTGCAGCCGCAGCCGCAGCACGACATACCAGCCCTTGACGGGCTAAGAAGGGGATAGGAAGACAGAAGGAAAACAGGTCTTACATACGAGGTCGCATGTCATATGCTGTGATAGTCCAGAAGAACAGTATTAGCCATGCGTTGCTATTCCCCCCACCCAAAAAGGGCCTGCCGCATGCATGCCACTGGGCAAGTCGCTGCTGTAGCCCACGACCAGGGCAATAGTCTGCGCCAACGGCAGCCAATTGCCCGGCCACAATCGGGAAGTTTTCCTGACTTACAGATCGCCGGCAATATACGCAAGCTGTAGGAACGCGAAGACACAGGGTTAGCGCGCGAAAGATGAGGCAAACGGGAAGAAAGGAGGGCTGGAAGTAGGAAAGTAGGAGGGCCGTACCATGAGTGACCTTGCGCCTCTTTTTCTGGGGGCCCTGCTTGTTGGCGTCCTCTGGCGCATGCGAATGGGCTTTGCTGCTGTCCTTGTCGCTGCTTGCACTCGTGCTGGTCCTCGCCCTATCGCCATCGCCCGACCCGGCCTGCGTTGGTGTGGGCCTGGAGTCTCTCTCGGATTTGCTGTCCTGGTCATCGCTGACGTTGACGCCATTCTTCTTCTTCTTGTCCATAGCTTGAGTGCCGCCCCTTTCCTTGCTTCCCTTTTCCTGGCGTCCCGCCTTGGTCTCCCTCGTATTCCCTGTTCTTTTTTCTTGTTCTTTTCTCGCCTTCTTTCCAGTTCCCAGTTCCGGCTCCTGGGTTACTCAATGCGCCCTCCTCCCATTGGATCTGTACGTTACGCAGTGGGCGTCGAGTTCGTGGCTCATTTGAGCAGGGTGTGCGGCTCTCTGCAGCTTCCAGCAGATTGATTCGACCACAAGTCTCCCGAAGTTCGCGTTCCCCGTCCACAACGACAAAGATCGCCCCTAGAAACCCGGCCGCACCGTGGGAAGATCGCAGGCAAGGCCCGGTGCGCCGGCAGTGCGCTCGTGGCGGATCGTGTAGGTGTGCCTGTGCGATGCGGGATGGCTGGATGTGGGAGTGAATGCGCGCCCAGGCTGTGCGACGCCAATTGCGCGCTTGGGTTGCAGGAGTGAATGATGGTAAGGCACGGCGGCAAAGAGAACGATCGTCTAGAAGGTCGGCACGGAACAGGCAAGGAGGCAGGAGGCAGGAAGATCCTGCCCGCCCGGCTCGCGCGAGCGGAAGGCCTCTACCTAATGAGAGCGGCAAGCCGGGGCTCTCCAGGTTCGGATGGGTGGGGCTGCCGGGCTGAGACCTCCACTACTACCTCATTGAACCTAGGCTAGCAGGGGAAGTTGCGATGACAGAAGCGCTGACTGAGCCTGCGACTGGGCGTGGCCAGGCGTGGGGTCTGGGTGGTGGACAGAGTTCAAATCTTGTCTGCCAGCAACCTTATCGACCCTGGGAAACCGACCTCTTGGGGAACCGACACGAGACGACCAGACAGCCTGCTGCCGTGGGACCTTGGCCCTGCCCTGGCATGTCCTGTCCTGTCCTGTCCCTCTAGCCTGCTGCCCTGCTCTTATCAGTATGACTGACTGATTGACTGACTTATACGCTCATCTCAGCTGCCATGTGGTGAGCCCCTCCATCTCAACTGACCGAGCGAGCCTGTAACAACAGCCAGCGACTGACTGCGACAATGACAGTCAATGGGGCACGACCCGAGACTCTGGCAACAGCAGGGCTCGGATGCCATGAAGCTTGGCTGCGCAGCCGATCCTCGATCACTGGGCCTCCAGAGGTGCATTGCAGCGGCACCGTGCCAGCAAAAGCACGACTTGGCTGTGGAGGTGTCTGGGGGGCTCCCTGCTCGGCCTGGCGTCCCACTGCCCAAGGCTGCCCCGTGGAGTCAGTGTGCCAAGCCCACATTGCCGCCGCCGCCGCCAGCCCGTGAAAAAAAAAGAATCAGAAGCGACAGTCTGGGGCTAGACTAGGCTACCTCGGGTTCAGTACCGGCGACTTGCTTACTGTACATTAGGTATGGCATCGAATTACCTGTGCCTAGTATAGTACCCGCTTACTCGATCCATTCAGCCGGCCTCAATGGCCAAATCATCACATATTTCAGCACTCAGCTCGTCGCGTCGCATCAATCATAGCATAAGTACTTGACATGTGCGATGGAACGTCATGTCAAGATCTTTGTCATGCCCCTGAATGGTTGGCTCACTGAAATTCCTCGGGGCTAACATTACCGAGGCCCAACCCATCAGCTTTACCGCCCATGTACTCACAGCTGCACGGATGAGCCGATGCCTGATCCTTTCGTAAGACGCCGAGGAATCCAAGAATTGGTTTCAGGTCGTGCTTTTCTTTTTTGATGGACATATTATGCCGGCCCAGTATATCCCCGATCATAGTTCCGACGCGTATGTGTGTTGATAACAGACTTAGACTACCTAGCTAGGTATGTCCTCTTTGTTTTCCCAAGTAACCGAGCGCAGCAAATGCCAGTACACCAGCCATGATCAGATAGCAATAAAGAAACTCTTCTCCCCCTCCTTAGGCAAAACCCTCGCCCTCTCCATGATGGGATCTACACACGCTAGCCGGATCCTCTCCGTCGTTGCTGGGCTCTCCAGCCTTAGTAGCCCATCATCCCTCGAGTCGACATCGGCGTCCCCCTCAGCAACCGTCCTCGCCTCGACCCCGTATTGACTTCGCGCAGCCTTGAGCCCGTCACGGATCGCAAAAAACACCGCACTTCCCATGAACAACGGTGGCTCGCCCACGCCACGGCTGCGCTGGATGGTCCTCAGATCCTTCCATTCGACGTCCTTGAGCAGGCTAACGTTGAAGAGCTGCGGCACGTCTCGGAACCCGGGTATCTTGTATGCGCCCGGCCCGCGCGTGAACAGGTTGCCCGCTTGCGGCCCGTTGCGTAGCCACAAAGACTCTTCCATCGTGAAGAGTCCCATACCCTGAACAAATGCCCCCTGGATTTGCCCGTAGTCGATGGACGGGTTAATTGACCGCCCTACGTCCATCTTGACGTCCGCGCGCAGGCACGTCCACGTCCCCGTGAGCGTGTCGATCTCCACCTCGGCCGCGGCGACGCCCTGCGTGAAGTAAAAGTACATTTTCCCTTTGTTCTCGCCCCACGTGTATCCAATCTCTGGTGTCTTGTAGAAACCCTGTGCCGAGAGATTGACGCGGTCGAAATATGCCGCATGGGCGAGGTCCTTCATTGTGGCGTCTGAGCCAAGCTTCTCTCGGTACGGGGCAAGGCGCTCGTTGAGCTGCTGACACGCATTATATATTGCGTAACCGTTCAGGTCAGACGAAGCTGACGCCGCTGTGGCGCTTGCGTTGGCTACCGTGTTGGTCGCTGTTTCGGAGATGAATACGTTATCGAGGGGAACTTTGAGTGCTTCTGCCGCAATCATTGTCATCTTCGTATGAAGTCCTTGGCCCATCTCTGTGCCGCCATGCGCCACCAGTACGGAGCCATCATGATAGATATGAACCAGGGCACCAGCTTGGTTGAACCATAGGGCAGTGAATGAAATGCCAAACTTGGTAGGAATGATGGCCTATAAATCATCAGTCAGTGCCTTGAACACTTTGGGGGAAAAGAAGACTTACCAGCCCTCGCTTCCGCCACTTATGACTCTCATTGAATTCCAAAATTGCCTCCCTCCTCCTCGCATATTGAGTCTCGTCCTGCACCTGCTTGTACATAAGTGGTACATGCCAGTCGGTCAATTTTTGGTTAAAGTGAGTCTCCTCCTCTGATTTATACATGTTTATTTCTCGGAACCTCTCAACGGGTATGCCCAGTCTGTCAGCAACCTCACTCATATAGGACTCAGCGATAAAAAGCCCTTGTGGTCCACCAAACCCGCGGAAGGCTGTGTTCGACATGGTATTTGTCCTGCAAATCCGCCCACGAACGTGGATGTTCGGAATCAGGTAGCAGTTATCTGAATGTGTCATGGCGCGCTCACACACGGCGGCTGATAAGTCCCAACTCCAGCCGCCGTTGTTGAAGATGTCCAGGTCGAGAGCTTGGATCTTGCCGTCTTTGTTCACGCCCACTTTCCATCTGCCAAGGAAGGGATGGCGCTGGCCTGAGGTCACCATGTCCTCTTCACGCGTAAGCATACACCGAACAGGTCTTCGTGTCTTTTGAGCTGCGAGCGCGAGAATCGTGCTCAATTGGATGCATCTCGTCTCCTTGCCACCAAAGCCGCCACCAAGACGCTTCACCTTGACAACGACCTTGTTTGCCTGGACCTCAAGGACTCTGGACGCGTATGCTTGGGACTCGTTGCAATTCTGCGAACTCGACCAGATCTCCATCTCGCCGTCTTCCGGTTTCGGTATTGCGACACATGCATTCGTCTCGAGATAGAAATGCTCTTGGCCACCCATCCGTGCGACTCCAGTGAAGGTGTAATCGCTATTCTTGAAGGCCTTCTCCGGGTCTCCCTTCTTAATTTCTCTGAAGAATTTGTAGAGACTGTTCTTCTCGATTGCCTCCTCCATGGTGAAGATGGCAGGGAGCTCTTCATATTCCACCTTGACTGCTCTTGCTCCTTCGGCTGCTTTCTGTGGCGAGGTTGCCAGGATCAGAGCGATAGGCTGGCCAGCAGTGAAGACCTCATCCTCCGCTAGGAAGACCTCCTCAAAGTGTGGCGCCCCCCAGTGATTGGCATCCTTGTTTGGCATATCTTTGTGGTCGATGTAATCCACCACCCCTGGGATATCAAGTGCAGCAGAGTAATCCACCGACTTGATTTTTGCGTGTGCTTTGGTCGACAGAACAAGACAGCCGGAAAGCTCGTTCGCCAGCTTCGGTATGTCATCTGTATATTGGGCTTCGCCAGTCGTCTGTTTTAAAGCAGCAAGGTGGGGGTTGGCCTTGCCTACAATTTTCTGCTGATAAGCCAGGGCGGCCGTGCCGTCGGTTTCGCCGGTCGAGATTTCTCGCTCCAGTTCCTCCACGGCCTGCTCGTCAGTGTGCTTGATATCGCCCAGGCCGAGCATCACTTCGTGGTAGAATCGGTAGAAAAAGCTCATTGCCAATGCCTTCCTGTAGGAAGCCATGCCACCCGGTACACTGAACTGCAGATTGAAGTCTTGCTCGAGAGCGTTCATGGCGCCTTCAAGAGTTTCAAGCTCTGCGAATTTCTTGCCCACCAAAAATTCATTCGTCTGTTTAGCAGCTGTCGTCCATGCCGCCATACCTCCGAAACAAAGATTGGCTTGCTCCACGATGCCCTTGTCATCAAGCTTGACACGCAAAGCACCAGTCACTATAGCAATGTCATCGTCCTTCCTCTTAGCCTGCTTGTAGGCTCTAAAATATTCTCGTCCCGACTCGGTAAGGGGTATACGGATGGACGCGAGGATATCCTCTGGCGCAAGGGCAGTTCGCCTGTAACCCTTGAAGAATCCAGACATGGGTATTTCTGTGGTCTTTTCAGCAGACTTGGCAAACAAGACCGCATCAGATGCCATGAAGACCGGGTTGAGATCGGAGATGGGAGAAGCAGTAGCAAGGTTGCCTGCTGGGGTACCGACATTCCGGATCTGGCGGCCGGCGAAGTATTTAAGCTGCTTGTACATTGCATCAAATACCTGGGCTCTTTCTTTGCCGTAGTGAGTGATGGCCTTTTGACAGATGTTCTCCAGGTCGGTGAGGATGACGTTTCCCCCGATCTCAACATAGTCTTCCTTGAAGGAGTACTGTCTCAGCTCAGCAACATCTCCTACATAGACCGAGACTGGATACTGCATGGCTTTGAATTTGATTTCGATTTGTGTTTCGGTGCTTCCGCCGATGATTTTGGCAGCCGGATAAGCGCTCTTTATTTGAAGCAGCTGGTCCAGAGTCACCGGTCGGTACCACTTCTTGCGCTTGTTTCCGAAAGCAAGAGGCCTGAACTCGTGTTTTTTGAGAGTTGGAGGGAAAATGAGCTCGGTGTCGGGCTTGTATTCGATGAAACCTGGCGGCGTAAACCTCTTGATCGGTTGATCATCCAGGCCATTACCATTGGTTTTACAGCAACCGGTACCAACACCGTCGCCGTTCGCATTATCCATACAACAGCCGCTGCCGCCGTTGGCTTTTGCCTTTCCGCAGCCTGCAGTCACACTGAAGGTCTTGGCGGAATCGAGAATGGGCCGGTATCCGGTGCATCGGCAAAGATTTCCGTCAAAGGCCTCCTCGATATCCTCGTCTGTTGGAGATTCGTTGTTCCGTAGCAGTGCGTAAAGGCTCATCACTATGCCTGGTGTACAAAATCCACACTGAGATCCATTGCCCTTCGCGATGCGTTCCTGGGCTGGGTGGGGAGACTTGACGTTCCCGATGCCCTCGACGGTGATAACATGCTTGCCATCGACGCTGGCCAACGGAGCGAGACAGGCGTTGACGCTAGCATGATAAATAGCCTTGGTGGTTGGGTTATACTGGCTCACCACTACGGTGCAAGCACCACAACCGCCTTCTGAGCAGCCGCTGGAAATGAGTCAGTACAAAAGATCGACGTGTTAAGAGCAGGAGAAATATCCAATTTGGCGAACAGGACAAGATGATATAGTTGGACATACAGCTTGGTTCCGGTGAGCCCGATGCCCCTGAGGTATTCCAGCAGAGTGACCTCGGGATCGACCTCGTCCAATACAACACGTGTGCCATTCAAATAGAATCGAATGGTATCATCGAAGGCGATTGCGAGAGAATCAAGCTGCGGGGCACCACGCTCGGGTGAGAGAGCGATTGGAGCCATGTCGATGACGATTGGCAGCGCCCTTTGCGATGATGTTGGCCTTTCAGGTCATCTGCTTGTGCCGTGCTGTTGTGAAACCAACACGGGCGGTGAAGGCGAATCAAGAGCAAAAGCAACAGTGAAAAACACGGCAATGACACACTTGATCCGACTGAGAGGAATGAACAGGAAAAGCAGTGGCGAGTGAAGAGGAAGAGGAAGATATTGATAGGCAGGGACGATGTCCGATGTCAGAAACGGACAAGCAATCACGGGGCCGACGTTGATATCAAACAAAGCTAACGGGTTTTGGCCGTCGGCCGCCCGTCTTAGTCGACCGTTTTGGTAATGACAGCACGAGAAGCAGCATGGGCTTGGGCCTGGGCTTGAGCTTAATGCTTGGACACCGACATCAGACCGTCCGGCTTGCCACGGCACGGCGATACGGTGCAGTTGCGCCGTAGACAGCTGCTCTCACCTGGGCTTGACCCAGCAGTGCGTATCTACATTTGCGTAGATAGACACCGCCCTTTGAATAGGAGGGAACCATTACCATAGCTCATTTGAAAATCCAATCACCAATCACTGGGCCTATGTTCTCAGCATTTGGCTAGGCACCGCCTTATCAGTTGCACTAAGTGAGACGCCTACAAGGGACCCACTACAGGTGACCCGAGGTCCGTTGCGGGAGCACCCCTCTATCCCCACCAAACCCCCCTGCTCTCCGCCGACGAGGGCCCCGTCCGGCGGCGACCGGCCGACTCTGCGGACTGTACGGACCGGAGGCCACCGCCCCGACCTGCATGCTTCATCTTATTTTTCTTACAGCTGCATTTCCCCTGGACACAGTTGCATTCTTTATGAGATGCCCCCCCCCGTTCCCCCATACTAGACCACCTTGATAGAGCCCTGCGCGGACTGTTGCCCTGCCACGATACTTGGTAGCTACCAAATGTCATCACCAGGCGATCAATCAGTCCCACCTTTTCAGATCCGCTATACACAAAAAGCACCATCTTCATGAAACCTGAGATTCCAAAGGAAAACCAACACACCAGTGTACCAATCAAGACAGCCAGGCTTGGGGGGACTCGGAGGACAGAGTTTGGTTCTCTCAGGGCAGATGTGTCGACCGAAGCAAGCAATTAGCATCCGCAGGCCATGTCCGCGTCTACATGCCTACAACTGTGTGCTCAAGTCTACTGGACACAGGTGCTGGTCCCTTGTTCTGGGACTAATACTTTTCGCTCCCGACGCATCCTGACTGCATGCGGGCCATGTGACGCTTCTGCAGTTCTTATTAATCCCTGACCATTGCATACATTTACCCGCAAAGTGCCAGCCAGACATGGCGTAAACCGCTTCATCTCAGCCTCGATGCACTCGTGGCCTACAGAGTTCAGGCTGACATATGTTCTGAGCTCCTTCTTGCCCAGGGCTGCGGCCTGTTTCGCTGCTCATCTGGGGCAGCTTGATGGGATGAAAGATGTCCCGCCCTTGTGGGACTAACGGGGTCTTGGGCGCGATAAAAATGCCGGACACCAAACCCACCGCGCGCCTTCGCCTATCTCAGCGAGTAATTGAGGCCCGATTAACTTCCCGACGATGCTTCCTGGGCCCCTGAGAGAACCCAGCAGCATGACCTGGGCGCCAGTCCGCCGCAATTTCACCGCGGAGGCACGGCGGTGGAGCCTATTCCCCAGGTTTCAGCAAACCTTCTCCCCAGAATCAGCAAGGCACCAAGGAAGCCATAGCTGTGATCTAGCGATTTAGAGTTGAAACTAATGCCTCGAGTGCCCTGCTATGAGCTATGGGATTAGAAACACACGGCGGCACATTTACCCCCCGACTCCAGACTACCCCGCGTGATACTATCGGTAGAACCAAACGGGGCAAACGGACTGGTCGAGTTTCCCAGGTTGTTCTGCCGTGGGCGGGTGATTGGGAAGCTTGACAGTCCCGAGCCCTTGGATACTACCCCAGTGGACCCTGGCGGTGCCTGTGCATGAGTCTCAGATTGCCCAGACGCCCGATGAAGCTCGATATGTTTGGGAGCCGTGATATAGACTGCATAAGAGACCTCACCTCCTAAATCTCCTAGAAAGCTTGCTATTCATTCTGAGCATAGAAGACAGTCGTACTCAGCACTATATATCTGTCTGGCTCGCCCCCCATCACACACCAAAGCAATTTTTTCAAGAAATCCCTCAAGCACCCTAAAAACTTGAGAACAAGCGTCAAGATGGGAAGCCTCGAGAGCCCCAAGTTCTACAACATTATCAATGGCGAGAAGCGTACTTCTTCAAAATCGCACCAGGTCACCGATCCGCGGACAGGCCAGCCGCTCTGGGATGCGCCGATCGCCAGCACGCAGGACCTGGAGGAGGCCATAGCGGCCGCAAACAAAGCCTTCAAGACATGGGGCAGGACGACCGTGGCCGAGCGCCAGGAAGCGCTGCGGAAGGTGGTGGGCGTGGTGAACAGCAACCAGGCCGAGCTGGCCGACTATGCCATGCGCGAGACGGGCAAGTCGTCGCTGATGGGCCAGATCGAGATCGGCAACACGGGCCGCCAGATCGAGGCCATCATCGGCCAGGCGCTGGAGGACTACGTGCAGCACGAGGACGACAAGGTCAAGGTCGTCGCCACCCACCCGCCTCTCGGCGTCGTCGGCGCCATCTGCCCCTGGAACTTCCCCGTCATCCTGTCCACCCTCAAGATCGCCTCGGCCCTCATCACCGGTAACTGCTGCATCGTGAAGCCCTCGCCCTTCACGCCCTACGCGGTGCTGCGGCTGATCGAGCTGTGCGTGCCGGTGCTCCCGCCGGGCGTGCTGCAGGCCGTCAACGGCGGCGCGGACCTGGGCGCCCTCATGTGCACGCACCCGGGGATCGCCAAGATCTCCTTCACGGGGCAGACGAGCACGGGCAAGAAGGTCATGGCCAGCTGCGCGTCGACGCTCAAGAAGGTGACGCTCGAGCTGGCGGGCAACGACGCGGCCATCGTGTGCCCGGACGTCGACGTCGCCGAGGCCGTGGGCAAGACCGCCACGGGCGCCTTCTTCAACGCGGGCCAGATGTGCGTCGCCACCAAGCGCATCTACGTGCACGAGGACATCTACGACGACTTCCTCGACCGCTTCGTCGCAGAGACCCGCGAAAAGTACCGCATCGTCGAGGACGCCGGCGTGCCCACCGTCTTCGGGCCCGTCTCCAACAAGCTGCAGTTCGACACCGTGACGAAGCACATCGCGGACGCGAAGCAGCGCGACGTGAGGGTCGAGACCTTCGACTCGGACAAGGTGCCCGCGAACGGCTTCTGGGTGCCCGCGACGGTGGTGGTAAACCCCCCGGAGGAGGCGCTGGTCGTGCAGGAGGAGCAATTCGGTAAGACCCCCCTAGGCTGAGACCTGCAAATCCCCCCACACGTAATAGAGAAACATCGAGGACTGACTGTGAGACAACAAAAGGCCCAGTCATCCCCATCCTCAAATGGCGAGACGAGGAGGACGTCCTCGCCCGCGCAAACCTTGACAACGCCGGCCTTGCCGCCGCGGTGTATGCGAAGGACCTGTCCCGTGCCGAGAGCCTCGCGAGGAGGATCGAGGCCGGGTCCGTCTACATCAACACCTTCGAGCTGCCCAACGAGAACGCCTACTTCTCCGGCATGAAGGACAGCGGCCTGGGTGGCGAGATGGGAAAGCAGGGCTTGCTCAGCTACTGCTACACGCAGAGCCTGCATTTCTCAAAGGTATAGCGCAGGGTGTACATGATAGTGGCTAGCAAAGTGGGCTGCCTGTGGTGGTGTAGTATGAGCTGAATATGCGACGGGCTTGTATCCTTGGAAGCGAGCTGTGAAGACCCGCGTTTGCAAGTCTGTGGCTCGCAAGCTACTGGTAGAATGTATGCTGGACGAAGTCTTGTAGAATCTTTGATATAACATGAATTCATGCGCATGCATGTCTTGGTATATTAGCAGATTCGAGGATCATAAAGACCCCGTGGCCATGCAAGGTAGCACTAGCTGGTACAGCTTTTGAAGTCTCACGAAAGCTCCTGGTTTACCCCAGATTTACGTTGAAGCTAGATCATTTTCACTATTTGTATTTCTCGTCAAGCTACGGGGTATCATTCTTTCGACTGGAGACCTTGTGTTTGCGCCAGCCAGCGTCCACACCCAAAACCACAGTACACCGGAATGCCCATGAATCCCAACACCAAAGATCAAGCCAACCAATAAATCCGGGAAATCGCTAATATAACGAGGGCATAAGAAGGAAGTAATGACTCATCAAACTCCCAGGGACACAAGCAATCGCTTCACAAGCTCGGGCGCACAGGGCTAACGCGATCACTCACACGCCGCGAAAGGCCAGCGGAGGAGTCAATAGTAGTAGTACCACCGGCTCCGGTTCCCGAGGCCGTCTGTACCGAGCCCGACTGTGCGTCGCTGTTGGCAGCAGAGGAGCCGGAAGAGCCGGCACCGGCGGCGGCGGCGCCCAGCCCGCCCACGACGTCGGTGGTCTGCCTCTGGCGCGACCGTTGCAGGTCCATTAGCCAACGCACGTGCATGCCCATGACACCAAGCTGACTCCGGGCCTCGACCAGCTGCTCCTTGACGGGCATGAGCTCGTTGAGCAGCATCACCGAGTGCCGGGCGTCCTGGTCGATCAGAGCCTTGGAGATGTTGGAGATGCGCGTGTCTAGCTCGTCAAACATGCGGAACATGTATTCGGCCTGCTCGAAATCGGTATCTGCCGGGATGGGTAGTGAGGAGCGACCCTCTTGGTTCGTGGCCTCGCCGGCTGTTACGCTACTGGCCAATGGGTCCCTGTACCGCAATAGCCTGAGATCACCGGTTTCGAGCCTTGACAGGTTCCGGGCGAGTTCTTCTCGTTTCCTTCGCTCCTCTTGCAGCTCATCCTGAAGTTCTTGCAGTCTTGTGTCCAATTGCCGTTTCTCACGCTGTATTCTTTGCTCCATCTGAGTCGTCAAAGACGTTTTCATCTGTGTCATGTCGGCCTTGAGCCGCTTCTCAAGGCCGTCCATGAGTTCCATGAAGGCGCCGCGGTCGCAAGTCTTCTCGTGCTCGATAACATCCTTTCGTAGAGATGAGTATGAGCAGCCCAATTTCGAGTATGAGCAACTAGCCATCTCAATACCGCAGGCCTCTCCGTGCGCAGCGAGAGTGTCCCGTGCAAACTCTTTCCCACAGTACTCACATGCTGCCCGATATTTGGTACAAGCATTCATGTGGTGTTGGTCCTCCGTGGACAGGTCAATAGTCTCCCCACAGTAGGCACACGGCCCCTCGTGATGCCGACAAACGGCACCGCGGCTCTTGCGGATGATCATCTTTCCGCAGCTGCTATCTGCACAAGGGTATAGCGTGTACTCGCAGTCGTTGTGCACGTGTGCCTCGACATTCGATCGCGGGCCGGTCCACTTGCAGAGCTGCGCGTCGTTGGGACAATGTACTTCCAGTCGGTCTAGCTGTGCACTCATTTCCACGACGCGGACAAACCTGCGCGGGCCCTTTTCTTCCCCGACATTCATTTCTGTCCGACACAGTGGGCAGGGCGCACGGTTTCGAGACCGACCTCTTGCTTCCTCTAATGCCTGGTATAGGCAGGCTTCACAGAAAGTGTGTCCACATGCCTTCGTTGTCGTTGGTTTGTGGTACGGGGTTTTGCAGATGCCACACAGTAGGTTGTCGTCTACCTGACCGACGTACTCAAGGCCTTGCCAATCTATCCGGGGCCCAGAAATCTGTGATGAACCTGCTGAAATCGCTTCATCTGGTGGGCTTTGAGTTTCCGACTCGAACTCGGAGGTCTGAAGGGGTAGGTATGTGGGAGTCCACCGCGGCCCAGACGTATTGGGAGTTCTCGTAACGCGGGTGGTCCTTCGTGGCGGGGAACGTTCGTAAAGTTGTGTAAGGCGCACACCGGGGGAGTCTTGCTCGTCGGCTCCAGTTGGGGTGGTGGACATGGACGGGGTCGCTGATCCGGAAGTCGAACCGCTCGGGCTGGACGGACCAGCCAAAATCGTCTCGAGGTCACGTACGAAGCTGTCTGATGAGAATGAGCGCGCCGAGTTCCTGGAAGGATCTGTGTGGGTGCGGGAGGGGCGAGTCGAGGTTGGCGAGCTCGCGCCCGATGGTTCATTGGGAGTGTTTGGAGGAGGCATGTTCAGCCGGGTCGCACTGTGAGGAGACCATGTAAGCGGTGGAGGGCACTAGATCAGGACTCCGTCCAGAATAGAGCACATCGGCGATATTTCAGCGTCAGATAAGTCGACAGTGATCCTGTTGGCGAAAGACAAGGCTCTCGCCGTCAGTGTCTAAGCAGTTAGTGACGGCGGTTGTGTTGGGCGCAACGCCCGGTGTAGCGGGCCGTCAGTGGGCAGTTCAAAGTAGCCGAGGCAAGTCAGCTTAATCGATAACGCCGTCGAGTCTGCTTATGTAAGTCGGCCAGGCCATTTACAAAGCACAAGTCACGACACTGTGCAGGAGAAATGTTGGAGGAGCAGGAGACCCAATGAGACCCAACATGCCTCTAAGAATTTTACGGACATGATAACATATTGACCGTGATTGATCAAAATCGAGGCTGAAGAAAACGGAGCCATATTTGGTCGTCGTTGCCGCACATTCTGCTTCTTCCCTTCATTAGTTGCGTATACACCTGTAGATAAATCCTATTTGTCTACCCCGTATCTCTATATATATATGCGTTCTTTAATGTGCGAATCTAAAGTCGAGACGCTTGTTACCCTGGTCCTTTGTAGTCCGCAGGTACTCGTCCCTCTGCTCCGATGACATCGCGCTCCAAGCCTTTTCTCTCGTGGCGTTGCGCCATTTGTAGTAGAATTTAATCGCAACTATGAGGCACGCCGTCCATGCGATGATACCTAGGAGCACCTTATTGCCTGTCCGATAGTAAGGAGCATCGTCGGTGCGGTAGATCTGAGAGGTCCATCAGCGCAAAGGCTCAACCAAGGAGACAGTGAAGGACGATCAATTACTCACATTAGATGAAATGATGCTTCCAGCTTGCACTGCCATGTTGTATATAGCTGATCCTACTGTGCGGGTACGAACGGAACCTGCGTTGCGTGAGGTGATTGCCACTGAAGACGAGCATATTAGTATCCTCCTCAACCCCAGGCATCCGAGAGTCTGAAGACAGAAGTACTCACCAAGGATAGCGTGAATGTATGGATATCCGACGAGCAAAGCCGAACAAGCATACCATGCCCAGGGGCTCGCATTCGATGGCATGAGTTCAAGTGCTAATACTAATGGGAAACACCATATCATGCTCACAAGCACAATGCCGAAACGGTTGTTCCATCTCTCCGAAACCCAGGTCCACCACAGTAGTTGGATGCCAAACAGGACGTACGCGGGGATGGTCAGGAGGTTGGTTCCGAATGTGTCGAATCCCAAAGACTTCAGGTTGAGCGTCAGGTATGCAGTGATGGGCGTCGCGGGAATGGTCCACGTAATACCCAGGAGGTAGATAGGCCAGAGGTCGTAGTCGCACAGCGCCTCCCAGAGGAGTGTGAGCGTGAGACCTTGTCGGTTGTGCATCCCGCCCTTTGCTGGATCGTCGCGGAGGACGCGATTAACCATGATCTTCTCTTCTCTTTCGTTGAACCACCCATCACGGCCCCTGAACCAGCCCTTGGTTTGAGTTGGTGACGGGGGTAGGTAGATGGCGGCGAAGAGGCCAATGATGGTCGTAAGTCCTCCTTCAAGGGCAAAGAGCCAGCGCCACTAGGAAAATGGTCTGTAAGCGCGTCGTCCGATCACACGAGAAAAGAATAATTGAGAAAATTAAAGGCTTACCCCTGCCCATCCAGTCTCCGATCGCAGGTGAAGAATACCATAAGCCAGCAGGGCTGATATGATCTGAGTTGTTATGTACGATCCCCAGAAGAAGCTCAAACGGATCGGTAGTTCTTTTGACTTGTAGAAGAAGCTCAAGTAAAGCACAACGTCAGGGATGAAGCCTCCCTCGACGAGACCCAACAGACAGCGAGTCGCGTAGAATGACTTGTAGTCCGTTAGGCGGCACTGGGAAATCGAGATAATGGACCACAGAACCATTTGGATAGGAATCCCTATGTTCATCTGTAAGCATTGTGTCTCGGCTTCGATTAGATCAAGTGCGTAACGAACAAACATCTGGGCCAAGTTTCTTGGAAAGCATCTGCGAGGGCAATTCCGCGCAGAGAAAGCTGAGGTAGAAAATCGTCTGCCCCGTATTGTACTGGTTGGTGATCATTCCCAGGTCTGAAAGCATGTTGTCGGACAAAGCTTGGCTAATATTCCCGCGGTCGAGTTGCAGACAGAAGAACATTAGGCAGACGAAGGCGCAAATCTTCAAATCGATCTAGTGCGCCCATCCGGATTAGTATACGATGATTCTGGCTATACATTGGGCGGGTTTGTGTTCTCAAGTATCACTTACCCTTCTTACTAGTCTCTTCTCCTCATTCTCAGTCCACTCGAAGTGTGGATCATATCGATGAGCGCCTTCATACTCTGGTATTGGCTTGTAATTCTCGATACCACCACCACTTGCCCATACGCCGCCATCGCTCTCTCCAAGCCTCACTGAAGAAGGCTTCGAGGATGTCGACGTCTCGACAGCGTCCTTTGCAAACTCGACATCCTTAGGCTCGTAGGCCTCGGGGGCTGTTGGTGCTATCTTGGACATCACAGCGACTAGGTCTTGGCTCGCAACCCGGGAGGGTTAGACAGCGCCGGCAAGACAAGAGAAGAGGCTGAAAAAAGGAGCCTAAAAGGGTAGAGCACAAGATGGTAGGCGCAGACAAGCACTCTGGGCACTCTGGGCAGCAGGCATATTGATATATGGACTTGGTCCAGCGCCTGCAGATCAATCACCCATGGCCATGCAACGATGATGGGTTACCCTGCTTCTGGGCTACCCGACCAGCCGGGCATGCAGAATCTTCCGTCAATTCGCAGGTGGGAGTGGCAACGGACATGGGGGGCTCGCGGGTCGACGACGATGATGTGATCTAGACTAGTGGGAGCATACGGCAATAATCCCAGAAGGGCTGGGCATGTAGGAACGGAAGAACGGATCCAGGGAGCGTCGCATGCATATCAAGTGTGACCCTCGCCGCATGCGAAGGATTGTTTCTCGGATGCCGGTCTCGATGATGCCTTCTTCTCTTGGATAAAGAAACCACTGTCCGCGTCATCTAACAGACGTGAATACCTACGTTGCTTCGCATCACTCTCGACTCAGGGCGAGCAATATTGCTGGAAATCACCAGTACCAGATAAGGAATTAATTATAGCAGACCCCACCGAAGTAAAAGCCTCCATGACATGCGACGAAAATCAATAAACAGGCTGGGCTCCCACAGCGTAATAGGTCGTCATCCGAGCGCTCGCGACAGCCGAGGGCAACGTCGAACCCGACGGGACGGGTCCACCAAGAAGCAGCAAAGAGCCCACAGGCATGGCGAGATCCCAAAGTGGCCGGAGGCAAGGCACGAGCTGCGGAGCGTTGGAACAGGACGTAAGAGGGCGTGGGGGGAAAGTACAGGCGACAGACGTGGGGACAAACCTGGGCGGACGAGGCTCTGTTTTCCGGCATTACGCATTGTGCAACAAGATGCGATATGGCGCAACACCACGACGGGCCAATGGGCGCGTATGCATCTGCAAATGGAATCCAGTCTGCTCGTGTGGGCTGAGTTTCAAAAAGGGGAGACGGGCGGGGATTAAATGCTCTAATCTTCACGCTTGGCAGTGGTCGTTTGCTTGAGTCGAGGTTGTCGAGGGGGAAGGGGAAATGCGAGGATTGCGTGCTCGTCACCTCAAATGCCAACATCGATAAGAGCAGGTTAGACCAACTAAGACAGAAATTCGGCCGACAACCGATGAAAAAGATTTTGTATGCTGCAGGTTGCAAGCTGCAACTGTTTCATGCAGGCGAGAATTGAAAACCAAGTACGATTGCGCAAGACAAAACAACGGCTGGGGCAAATTTTCTTGTTTTATCAGTACTGAGGGCTATAAAATATATCAACAGAGGAAAGTCGGGGGGTATCATGTATGATGGACGGTTGCCTGGCAAAGAGAGAACAACCCAAACCGGACGAAACGCAGAATCAATAAGACACGGGTCCTCCAATGAATGCTCCAGTTCCAAGAAATGCTCCGAGCTGGTGTTCAGGACGTGAAGAAGACACGAGCTCATGCTCCCGAAATCAAAAACAGGTATTCAATTGCAAAGACGCTCGTGATTCTTTAGCCGGCTTCTTCCTCGATCGGCGCCGGCTCCTGAACGGCGGGATCCTGAGCCGAGTTGTCAGCGGTCACCGTCTCGCTCGTGGCCGTCTCCTCGCTTTCCGGCGCGGCGGGCTGGGCCTCCACAGCCTTGTCCACCACAGCCGACGCCGAGGCAGCCGCGGCCTTCCTCTCTTTATAAGCCCTCAGCCTCTCCTCCCGCTGTCGCACCAGCTCCTGCTCCGCCTCGATAGCCTTCTCCCTCCGCCCGTCGACGTCCTCGCGCTTGACTACCCTCCTCAGGCCCTCGCTGGCCTGGAGCAGACCATCGATGCTGATGGCATGGTTCGTCATCTGGTGGTTGATGTACGTATACACAGCCGCGGGGCTATCGCAACCGAGGAGCTGCTGCTCGTTGAGCTTGAGCAGGGCCAGCGCGACCTGGAACAGGAACGTGCTGCCGTCGCCAAAGCACAACACCACGTCCCAGACTCGGAAGAGCGCCTCGGCCGACAGGCAATCGGTGAAGACGGAGAGGAACCACTGGAACGTCATCGTCTCGAGGGCGATGCCTAGCTCGTCAAAGTGTGCCGAGAGCCGCGGCAGGACCTCTGCCACGTAGCCACGTAGAACTTGTTGATCAGCGCGGGAGGCCAGCAGGCTGTGGTCGTAATAACCCGAGGGGAGGATCTTCTCGATGATGCAGACCAGGATCCAGAAGGCCTCTTCGGCCGAGGGCATGATAAGAAGGAGGTTGGCGGTGATCAGGTTCATGCCCTGGCAGTAACCAACCTCTGGATTGCGGCGAGAGTATGCCAGCAGCACCTCGTTCAGCTTCTGCACACCCGGTCCCTTCCGGAAGAAGATATTGTCAGTCAGGGTTCGGTTTATGTCAGCGCGGATCTGCTGTGCCACTTCCGGATTGTCGTCCAACTCAGCGCGGTTGACCAGGTCGTCGTAGTAGCCCGGGATGCGCATGTTAAGCGCGCCCGAGCACTCGGCCCAGATCTTGGATCTTATCAAGACTGGTATACCACCAAGAACAAGGCGGTTGAATTCATTCCACTTCGCCCGGCCGACCTTGCCCTTGTTCGCCCAGTTGGCAACGCCAATCAGCTCGCCATCGGCGACTCGGGCCTCCGGCATCATGGCCGTGGCCTTCTGAAAACGTGCCGCGGCAGCTTCTGCGGCTGATGCATTAGCAGCTTCGCCTTCCCGGCGCCTCTCCGCTCTGACCTTGCGCAGGAAGTCATTCCACCTGATCGTCTTCTCCCGCTGCAGGCCATCGTGTACTTCGCTTAGCTGCTGGAGTAAGATTCTGACCGGCTCGGCATCCTCCTTGACAAGGGTGCCTGACGCTGGCTCTTCCACCACGGTAGCCGGCTCCTCACTCACAGCTGCCGTGGCGGTGATCGCGGGTGGTATGAATCCGCGGTCGTCCTCAGCGGCGATTAAGCCAGGAGACCGAGGCGGCGGTAATTCAGCACCCTCCAAAACCTCAATCGTGGGCGCACTAATGGACGGCGTGTGTGACAGCAGCTCCGTGGGGAATGTCGCGATCTTCAGATAATCCTGCCACCTCTTAGGTCTGCTCTCATCCCGAGCCTCCTCTGCCGAAGACGGCGTGCTCGGTCGATCGTCGCTCCAAGCATCCCACTTGACGCTGCCACCGTCTTCCGCGGATACGGGCGATATGTTCGCCCTGCCGTTGGTGAGCATTTCAGTACGACTGCCTCTCTTGAATTGCCTGGCCACCTGCTGAGCCTCGCGTTGCCTCTTTTTCCGTCTCTGATCGTAAATAAACCCGAACCGGTCAGTCAAGTACTCCGAGCCGGCGTAGTTGTTGTAAAGTCTCGTGAGAGTCGGCGGCTGTTCCTCAGGTGGCAGAATGCTGTCCATCTCCACAGGCCCGTATGACTCTGGACGTGCAGCTAGTTCACCTGATGGATCTGAAGCCATCGTGTCCCATCTTTCTTGCGGCTGGCTCCGTGCCGAAGACACGGTCTGTATGTTATGTTGCGTAGCCGTGCGGCGCATGGCTGCCAAAGCCCCTTTAGGGCCTCCCTGGTTGGATACAGCTCTAGCAGAGGCATTCGTCCTGGCGCTCGAGGCGGATGGCGTCCTTAGTGACCCTCCTGCATTGGAACTGTTGGCTCGTCCTCTGGACTCAGGGTCTCGTCCCGTAGAAGCCCCGCCGCCAGCAACCATCCGCAGCACAGAACTCGCCAACGACGTCTTCCTATTGGCACTCACAGAGTGGATGCTGGAAGCCCGGCTCGAGCTCCTGACTGACGCCTGCTCCGGCGGACTGAACAAGTCTTCTTGTATAGTTGGCCTCCGGTCGGGCGCTGGTGCCTTGATGACTGTCTGTTTCCCATTGTCACCGTTGACACTACTTGCTCTGCTGCTCGTGTTCTTGTTCATGCCCCAGAGGTACTCCTTCCAGCCCTTTGATGTGGCCTTATTGTCGGCGTCTGACACATTCGACGTATTCCTAGCCCGAATAGTGGCCCCGTTCTCTTCCACGAACAGCCCTGAGCTGTGCACAAAGTCTTCAGCCATTGCGTCTTCGACTAGCTCCTCCACACCGCCCTTCCTGGCTCCCGAGCTCCTGGCTTCGCGCTCGATGGCCTTCAGCCTCGTCTCGAGGTCCATGTTGGACAGCCCGCATTCTAGTATGATCTTTCGCAGAGCCCTCTCGCGTTCATCGGACCGCCGTCGTAACGCGGTGATCTGCGCGTCGCGCGCGGCCAGGTCCTCCGCTATGGAACGCACCAGCCCCAGGGCGCCATGCCGCTCGATGAGCCGCTTGATGTGCGCATCGTCTGCCACATGCAGCGCACCAGGCAGGTTCTGCTGAAACACGGGTGCGTCATCCTCGAAGAGGGCGGTGCGCGGTCGGGTCGAGGAGAGTAGGGGCTTGTCTGCGGTCAGGAGCGTCTCGACGATGGCCGCAGGGCGCGTGGGGGCATCTTCCTGCGGTGTCGGCGGCTGGATGTACGACGTGGCAGCGCTCGGAGTGGACTCGTCAGCGCCGTCCCCAACTGGGGCGGGCGACGGCGAGGACGGGGTGCTTGGCCCTTCGTCGCGCGGAGACACGGGAGAGAAGCTCGGGAACGAGACGAGGGATTTGTCAGATTCGGCGATCGAGGCCGCAGAGCTGGAAGGTTGTGATGTCAGCTTCCCTCTTCTCCTGCTGGTTGCGCGCACCGTCGCCGATCTCTGCGATTTGGTCGAGTGGACAGACGCTTGTGATATGGAACGCTCAAGCTCAAGTGGAGATGTTGAAGCTTCGGCATCCATCTTGGCGTATCCTGCTGAACATGTTTGTGCGTTGTAGCTTTGTGAACGCGTTGCTCAGCTTATGCCGACGAATCTTTTTTTCGCTGCGTCAACATGAGGCGAGCAGGTGTCGCGTTGCGGGATCTGAGACCAGAGAATGTTGCAGAAAATAGAGGCAGCCAGGGCGTGGAGCGAGTATGAATCATATGTCATGATGATATGGGTTATGCATTTTAGTATCCCCCCTCTATTTATAGTAATATTCGTTCGCCGGGGGATTGTCGATGCCAAGTACGGTTATCTGAGCGCATCCACCACCGGCACGAACCTTATATTAACCTTTGTGGTGATCATTTGATTCGATACCAACCAATATGCAGCTTTGCCTAAGATGACATCAAGATTTCAGATGAGAAAATGTTCCTATTCGTGATGTTTCATTCTTCATGGAGAGCTGCACAAGCTCTACCTAACCGCGTACCTGCGAGGGGGACCCCTCAAACAGACGACGTGCTGTGCACCACGCTTTTCGCCCCTGAAGCCCTCTTGCCCCAACTCCTGCGAATCTATGCATTCAAGACACCAAGGCATGTTCTAACAACCCATTACTTTCGTGAAACTTACGTAGTATACGCGTGAGCACTGTCTCGACAAAAAATCCTAGCCACCTAGTCGTCCAGAAATTTGGAGCCCATTTCAGCCTTCGCTAGTGTCCATCGCCTCAGTAGTCTTTGCCTTCGCGGCAGCCAACCTCTCCGCCTTCCAGGCCTCGATCTGCTGCCGCAGATCGTCCGCAGGAACAACATCATCAATCGTCATCGGCTGCCGAGTGAATGGGTCTTTCTCGTCCGAGAGAAGATGCTGGATGATAGTGGATCTGTCAACAACGTTCTGGGACGGCAGAATGACTGGATCCTTCATCAGGTCGCCGATGAGCGGATCTTCAAACTCGGAAGGGATGTCGCCAAAGTCAAGTTCGGCCTGGTCGAACTCCTCTTTCGCCTTTGCAATCCGACTGGTCAGGTCAGTCCACGCGGCCAGTTCCTCAGGCGCCTTGAGAGCCTTCTTGGTCATGATGTCAGACGCCCTGTCAAAGGTCGCTGCCTTGTACGACCGACCGTCAGCCGCAACGGCTTCGACAAAGCTTTGCGCATTCGCAAGATTCAGGAAGATGTCCACCAGATCGGGAAGCAGCGTCTTGGCGTTGAAGTGGTACTTGTCCGGATTGTCCACCTTCAAATTCTGGCTTTTGGGGCTGACAAGCGTGTCGAGATTGTAGTCAAGCATGCCTGCGAGACGCGCTACAATTTCAGGCATGGTGAAGGACTCGCTCAAGGCATTGGTAAAGAGCTTCATCATTGCAATCGTCTCGTTCGCAAGTTGCATGTAAGATGTCGCTTGGCCCTCAACTGTATGCAGCTCCTCCTCCTTCTTTTGGCGATCCTCCTGTGATAAGGTTTGGTTCTCCCTCAGCTCCTTCTGCAACTCATGGATTTTTGGAAACTTGGACAAAGCTTCATCCATCACGTATGTTGCATCGTTGAGAAGAAGGTTGACAAAGCGAACAAAGAATTGACGGTCCGTTCGGCTCTGTCGTGCTAACTGGTCCCTGTAAAAGTCATTGGACCAAATGCACTTGATGATCTGGAAGATCTCATAGCGAATATTGAATTTGTCGTAGAATTGGGTATGCGCCCCGGTAGACTCGGCCTCGATGTAGAACTTCATGACTGCGTGAAGCAAGAAATCATTGGCAAACTTTGAGCTCGTCAGGGTATCGCCGAGGACTCCTTTCTTGGAGTGATACATCGGCCAAGTACCCGAGTAGAGAAGAGTGACCAGTGTGGATTTGAGGTATGGATTTCGGACATATTCGGATGACTCGAGGAACGCAATGCAAAGAGCGATCATCTCATCGCCAACAGCGGACAAAATAATTCCAGGGAGGTACCGGAAGACAAACTTGAAATTGTCAACGACGTCTTGTAGGGCGTACTCCGGTAAGCATTTGAAGGCCTCTGGCTGCTCCTTTGGTAGTGGCAACTTCAGTGGCCCGTCTGGTTTGTAGTCTGATTGACTTGCAACGCGAAGTAACCAGACCGCCACATATCTCATGAAGTGGAGGGACCTACCCTGCATCTTCTCGTCAAGCAGGACCCCTTCGATCGCAAACTTCAGGGACATTGACCGCTCCAGAACTTCAGTGTGGCGACGCAGATTGGCATCAAATAGATTAAGCTGTGTAGGCGAGTTCACGAACTTGACGCGTTCTGCCTCCATGAGCTTGAGGTTCTTTTCGTAGTACTTGATATCCTTGTCTAGAGTCTTGAGCTTGGTGTTTGCAGCCTCGCTGCCGTAATGGTGAGCAGCCAGGGTCAGAAAGAAGATCTCAGAGATGAAGTTCGATTCACCGTCCAGTTTCTCGGAGTAGAATTCGTCAGACTGAGATTGGTCGGCATTCAGCTTCGTCTCCTCCTTGATGTCGATTCGTGGGTTCCGCTTGAAGTAGCCGACATCGATCCTGTCAACCTTGGAGAAAGTCGTGTCCATGAAAGGCTCACACAGGTGGTCCAGAATTACAGTCACGTTCATCATGAAGCCATCTGAGGCCACCTCCTTAGGGTTGACCTGAATTGCTCGCCTCTTGTGGTTAGTGTTCATGATGTAGGCAAACCAGTCGAGGAGCTTGTGCCGAGAGCCAAGACTAGCCCGAACGAAGGCGTTGACGATGTCCTTGAGATCGAATTGGTGTGCATTCAGTGTGACTTGTAAGGCGCTCTGCGAGTTCTTGATGGCACCCCGATCTAGCGTTCGAGGGCCAGCAAAGTATGCCTTAGTGACTTCAGATTGAAGAGGTGATATTCGGAAAAACGGGCCGAGCAGGGTGTGCCTCTCGATTCCAGGAGCCGACTGGGCCATGAGAAAAGTGGGATGTTTGGTTAGGGCATCCAGTAATGAAGGAAATTTCGAATAAAGTTTGAGAGCCTAGATCACAGGTCAGAAATTTGGCGCAAATGGAGGTATATAAGGGGTCAGTTTCGAAAGGAGAATGGCCTACATTCACATGTGGCCTGTAGTCATCATTCATGGACATCGTGGAGAGCTGAGTACTGATGTCGACCATCGCTCTGACGAAGAGATCCACTATTGAATCGTCTTCCGGGAAGCGAGCTACAGCCTCTTGTATGAACTCCAGGCAGATCCCGCTTTCGTGCTCAATATCCCGTAGTAGATATGGCACAAGCGTGTCGTGTTTTGGATTCGACTCCCGGCTATTGAACAAGATTAGCGCCGAGCTCTCCATCAACTCCCATTATACATACCTGAACAGATCGGGCAGAGTAACTGCAAAAATGGCGTAACTCATGCACAGTCGCTTGGCTTCCTGGAGAACAGCCTCCTTCTCGGGAGTTGGAGAGCGCAGACTCTTCTTGGCCTGTACCACCCGCTTCCAACATGCCAGCATGTAATCCATCAGCGGCTTGTCTTGAGGGTAGGCGCTCGCGGCTTCAAGGATGGCTTGTTCGATGTTGTCGGTCGATAGCCGGAGTAGTCCACTGGGATCCTGCTCTTGCAACTCGGCACTCAACCCGGGTAGCAAGGTCAGCTTGCGCCCGTGTAAATCTGTCTGTCGACTCTCGTCAAGTGTGACTCGGAATATCTGGCTTATAATCTTGTCGGACCAGTCTTCGAGGGACTCGGGCGCATGTCGCTTGGCGGGCGGTATCGAGGGTGCTGAAGGTCGATTAACTTCTGAGCCTGGGGAGGGACGCTTCGTCTTGAGATTTGTACCTGAAGCCGGCGACGATCCTTGTGCCGACCCAACACCCAGTTGTGTGAAGGGATTTGCCGCTGCTTGCGGTTGGTTCGAAGATGCGGCCGTTATGTTGATCTTGGTCCGCTTGACATCCGGTGCGCTGTCTTTGGGTTCGCCAGACGAGCTGGCTGCAGGCGATTTGGCAGATGCTGCTGACTGCGAGACTTGGCCACCATTTTCAGGACTTGCTGGGGGAGCATTCGACGACCCGAGCTTCTCCAGACGCCGCCGACGGATCTATATCCACACATAGTCAGTCAACGTCCAAAACGGCCGTTGGTCTCGACCGAACCTCGATCAACGAGGCCAGAGGATAGATCGAAGCACTCGTACCTGCTCCATCTTCTCCTTATCGGGAGCATCGGGCATGCTGCTCGTGGGCTGCTCGTTAGGATCCATCTTTGCAGACTTGTGTGTCGGCAGCAAAATGTCTGGGGCAAAGCGTTATTGTCAGCGGTGGCCCCTCAATCTGGGAGGCGGGCTGATAAATGCAGATGGTGAATGTACGTGCCTGGGTGTTACTGCCTGCCGAGCTTCAGGCGATGACGGAAGACATCCAGGGTCTCCTTTGGGCACTTAGGTAAGCAGCCTCGGTGCTGAACTTAGAATTATGCAGAAATCAAGACTGCAACTTCAAAGAATGTAAATGATATATTTCCATTGACTAGAAGAGTTGGACAGGCCGCTGCAACTTGAATTGTAGTCTTTAAAGAATACCCTAGATCTTGAGCTTATTCAACCCCCAATGTTACTCCGAATCACGGCAGATGCCTGCGGTCACCCGTCCCAAAAAGTAATCAGACTGCTGGAAAAGTAAACTCCGGACGCACTCAATCAACGGTGACTCGGACGCCTGGGATATTACTCGTTACGCCAAATTAATCTACCCTTGTTCAGACACTACTTGATCTTGCCCATGATCGTCTCCGGGCCCCTGTCGACGACGATGGACGCTGCCCTGCTCTTAACAGCGTTCAGCATACTCCTCTCAAAGTCGTCCCTCGACCTCAGCACCGCCTCCACCCATCCAAGCTGCAGGTCCCAGTAGGACCGCTTAAAGTTCTCGAAAACGTCCGGAATCACTTCTTTCGGCTGCGTTAAAAGCTCGAGGAAGTTCTCCGACACTCGCCATGTCGACTTGATCACCTCGCCGACGTCCGGCCTCCCCAGCTGGTCGAAAAAGTCGAAGGCCGCGGATAGGTCGTCGAACAGCTTGTCACTGAACATATCGGCTCGCCGGAACTTTGCGCCCTTGTTCCTCACCGACGACAGGTATCTGATCAGGAGCTCATCCGCAAAGATCTCAATGAAAATGTCCACTATGCTATGGTGGAGCACCAGCTTGTAATCTTCGACATAGTCCTGGAAGGTGTAGATTATCTGCTTCATCGCTTGACCCGTGTACCATTTCGGTGTGAAGAAATCTGACATGACGGCTTTGAAGTCCACGGCAAAGATGAGGCGGGCAAACTTGGTGATACACCATGTGCTGAAATCCACGTAGCCGTCGCGCAGGGTCGCGACTTCGCTCTCAGCACGTTCCATATATTGCGGCGAGACCAGGGGCTCAAACTTCTGCTTGAAGCTGGTCAGATACGCAAATCGATTCTCTTCCTCGTTGTCGTCGATGCAGGCGATCTGGTCATTTGCGGTCGCCACGAGCCAGTCATGAAGGGTCTGGAACCCATCAAGCTCTGGTTCTTTTCCTGATTCGTACCGGGCCGCCTCCGTTTCCAACATTTTCTGCCATCCTTCTTGCCTCTGTCGTAGTCTCAGGAACATGGCATCCACAACGCCTTCGACGACATCTGCTCGCTGAGAGCTTGCAGCGCCGTCCAGCTGTTCTCTGAGCATTCTCCACATATCCACAAGGTTCTTTGTGCGGAAGTATCCATACTCGTCCGCGTCCAGATTTGCTCCCTCCACGTTGCGGTTGTTGAAGTCCTTCTGCTCTTGTTTGAAGATGCGGTCCACCCATTCGTCAAGAAATTTGATGATAACTGATCGGAAGTCACGCACAAGATCTGCTTCCCTGTTGTCGATGACGTGTGGTACCAGTTGGTCTTCTGTGAAGCCCAGCTTCTTCATCTTCTTGTAGTACCTTTCCGGCCAGTTGATGACCTCGAGCGTATTGGCAGAGCTGCTTTCGGGATCGTCGACCACGCCGATTAAGAAGTCGTGCATCAGGCCGTGGTATATGTCTGCGTACGCCTTGAATATTTTCCACTTCTTAGGCATCAACGGGACCATGCCTATCCGGACGGCGTTAAGGTCGTTAAAGTACCACTTCATAATCTTTTCTAATTTTGTTGGATCATCCAAGAACTCCTCCCGGCTTTCCGTGAACTGCGCGGCCGCGTACTCTTTGACTGCCTGCATAAACTTGTCTTTGTAGCCCCGCACGGTCTTGGCCCCGTCAGTGATGCTCTGGAATCGCGTCGCCATCTCCTTGTGGTCCTTGAGTGCTTCTTGAAGGGCCAATACTCTTTGGTCGCTCTTTTCCTCTGCTTCGATGACAACAGCAAACCGCACGATGAGCCCGTTGTTCTCGGCGGTAACAAGGTTGATGAGACTCGTGGCGATCAGGTCAATGTGCTCGTCGAACCACTTGATGGCTCCGTCCAGTCGCTCGAAATAATCCTCCAACGTAGACTGCAGATCTTGTTCTCCACTCCTTTGTATTTGTTCGATTGCATCGTCTCGTATGTTCCGTAGCTGTGTCAGCTCGTAGTGTATTGGAAGTAGGTTCGGCATGTTCTCCTGGTCCGCCTCGTCGTCCCGGAGCATGTTCTCTACGCCCGCCAGCCTGTCGTTGAATGTCTCCAGATTCTTCCGCATAGTCTCCACGGCGCCAAAGTTCCGATGCGCCTGCGACACCAGATTGATGGTCGCGAAGTCCTTGATCATGTTCTGCGACTCCGAACACAGCTTGTCGATCTTCATCATCTCCTCTTTGATTTGCTGAACGGCCTTCTGTCCCTCGGTCAATCCAGTCATGCCCGACTGTGTCGTCTCGAGCTGCTCGCGGAGGCCGCTTCGTAGTTGCCCATCGACGGCGCCCTTCTTGCGGGTGAATTCCTGCTTCATCGCCGTGATCTTGTCGAGGTCGTCGGGGATCCGGAGCAGCTCCGAGAGCTTGACTTGGGGGGCGTCCATTGCCATTTTTGAATCTTAGAGTATTGAATGCCTTGCTGGCAAGTAGGCGGTTTGCACTTCACACCATCGCTCGGAACAGGAGCATGGAAAGATCGGACTCCCGTTGGAGCTCGGATCACATAGGCTTCAGTTGTCTCGTCGCCTGGTAAGTTGACGTCGGCCTGAACCCCTTGTCCTGGGCCCACCCCCACATCAGGGACGAGCCGCAGTTCATGCAAATGAAGGGGCCTAAGCCCCGCTAATGCAGTACCACTATGTGCTGCAAGCATTTAGGCTGACCACCTGGGATCCACAAACCACTTCAACAACTACTTTACCTAACTCGACTACCTCTATCCTACGCATGAGAATGCCACAATATCGTGTAATATAATCTCTTTAAACTGTGCTGGAATAGAACGTCTTCCGTAGCTTTCTCTTGTGGAGACTGAGTCCTCTTGATGACCCATCGTTTACTACTTTCTCGTTCACGCAAGTTCCCGCCTAGTAATGTGGTTGTCTGTGAGTATCATGGGCGCTGGCATCTGCGTTGCTCGTCATTTCTCCCCTTTTCAATATATAGCGGCATTAGGGTCGTCTCAATTATCCTTAGGACTCAAGAAAACTTTTATTCAGTCTATCTGGCCGGCATATCCAGACTGAGGGTTGACCATTGATTACTGTCCTTCCCTGGTTCTTCACTTCCTTCAGTGTCCACCCGCCTGAAGCTCACTGCAATGCGCTGTCCCACTATCCTCCTCATGGCCATGTAGCCTGTCACAGAACCGATGAGGCCACAATTCTCGACCAGCGAGGATGCCTTAGCCCTTCTCAATTTTGGCCACCCCTGTTCAGCGTCTCATCTGCAGAATAAGGTGAAAACAAAACGGTAATGATGACAACAGAAGAAGAGAAGACAAAAGACGAAAGACTATAATGAGGAAACAGACATGCAGGTCTCGTCTGGAGATGAAGTCTCTGCTTCGTTAAACGAGATTTGCCGGGAGGAACTTGCTAATATCAGATGTGAAAGGCTCTGCGACCGGAATATGGGACTCGTCAGGAGTTGTCTTGGCAAATTTGGGCATCCAGTCCCAGCGAGGAGCGAATACCATTCTCCGCTGGCTGTAAGGGATGTCATTATTGGGGAAGGTATCCTGCGGTCGGTAAGGGACATTGGTGCGAGGGAAAGGCCAGGCTCCACGGTGCGAACTGCTCCGCCATCTCGCAAAACCGGGGGGCGGACGAGGTCGAGAGCCCCTCCAGTTCCGAAACTCCTCGTCGGGCGGCCATTCGACCCTCTCGGATTCGGGCGCATCAGCGGGTATCTCATTAAAACAACTTTCCATCGCAAGTACTGACGACAGTCCGTCAACCACCTTTTTGCCCTGGAAAAGCTCAATTTGCTGCTGCGGTGGCGGTGCCTTCTGCACGAATTGGTCGATTAGTGCTTCGCCAAAGAATAGGCAATTGGCGTTGATGAGCTGAGAACGGTGACTCACCATCACCTCCTCTTCCCGTCGGAGTCGCGCAACCCTCTCATTCTGCTTGATCTTCTTGCGGATTCGCTTAGCTTCTTCAGCTTTCCTCTCGGCCAGCAGAGCGGCGTACTCACCGACGGACTCCGGGAGGAAAGGAGACTTGTTCCAGCCGAGATGGTGTGCTCTCTCAAGCATGCGAGCGAAGTTGACTCTCAGGCGCTCCTCTTCGCTGCACCAGATGCGGGACTGAGACCAGGTTCCATTCCTATTGTCGGGCTCTGAATCGAGATTGCCGAAGCCAGGCCGTGGGATGACGCCCTGGTTGATGGGGTTACAACGCTCGAAACCCGGAGGCGGACCGCTGATGCGTGGAGTATCAAGAACCTGGTAAGTACCAGTCTTGGTAATAGCTGAAGAGTGGGCTCGTGCCAGGTTAGGGGTCTCAAGATTCATATGAGGGACATCACGCTTGGAGCTATCGTATACATCCGAGCAAGAGTGTTCGTCGTTGCAATCCGACAGAGTGGGCTCAAAGCTGTGACGGGTGTCCGTGGTCGCTGAGGAGTAGCATCGCGCCCGGCAGGTGTGGGCAGAGCCGAAGCTTGTAGCAGTCGCATCAGAGTGTCCGCGTGACCGGCCAAAGCGCAGTGATCGGTCTTTGGACGACATGCGTTCCAGCATGGCCCGTGGGGCCGCTGGTGGGGGGCGCAGGAACATGTGATCAGGTAACTCGACAACGTTGATCTGAGGATTCAAGATGGATGGATCGATAAAACCACGGATACGAGAGACATCTTGATCAGGCAGTGTCTCGTCTGCGGTGGCACTCTCCGCTTGCTGCGACCTTTCTTGTCGGCGGCTGACAAGTTGAGATACAGGGGAATCCTGATGGTCAATTGAGGATCGGCCCTCTTCGCCTGGTACGAATCGAAGGGGGTTTTGGGCATTTGCCTCTGCGGTTGAGGTCCGGTAGCGTCGGGGGATATGTGATGCGACAGATGAGCTGTGTCCGCCGGGATGCGAGGTCAAGTTGGTCAGTCCATCGCGAAGGGAAGTCTTGGGAGGGTTCCATTTGACTTGCTGCCCGATCTCAGGCCACTGGGGAACAGCGTATCCAGATGCAGCGATCGCATTGGAAACCTTGGTTCGTGTCTCTCTCATTCGGGCCTTTTGCTCCTCGAGGCTTGGGCCCTCCTTAAACGAGCTCTTTGTGGGCCATTCTACGCTGAGGGATGCGGGTGGCTGCTGCCACGTGTCGTGGTTGAGTCTCACCATTCTGTTGATTTTTTTCCCTCTGGCGACTAGGCCGTTTGTGATGAGGATTAACGCCGATGAATGGATTTGGTGAGGTGCAGAAGTCAAAATGGTCCAGTCAAGCTGATTGTGGCTTGAGGAAGGCAGGTAGCTGCTCAGGTAAGGCAGGGACAATCAAAGATGAGGCTACTAGACCAAGACCCACTCGTGAGTGAAGGCGAAAGAAGCGCCAGTTCCGAGTGAATAGGGAAAGACCTCCCTCTGAACCCTGGCCAATACTTAGCCACTCGCAGGTGTTGCTGTTCTGGCAGGCGGCCAGATTTGGTAGGTTGGCGGAGAGGGAAGACTTTACAATCCCCTTTTGTTTACCCCATTGAAGAGTGGTCGGAAAGTTTGTCATGGCACGAAAACTCACACGATTGCCGTCTCCAGTGCAGTAATTTCTGATGTTCCTTATGGAGACAAGAAACAGCAGAAGCCTTCCGTCTGGACTCCATCACGCTGCACATTGTTCAACTTAAACTCCTATAAAATGCAGCCAGATCGCAAGTATCATTAAATATAAAAGGTGTTTCTTAGCATTATGATACTATGATTTTCTGCTGGATCCCGGCGCTCCATTCAAGTTGTTGCTGCCTGATGCTGCAATCCCACCTGGAAGAAGGTTGCTCCTCGTATCATCCGAAAACCCAACGATTCGCCTTTCTAGACCGTCAGAGCAATCTCGACAACTTGGACTGAAGCGAATTATGTCCTATCTAATTCAAGAATTGCGATCGCGCATAGAGGCCAAGGCGACAATAGACGTGTTACTTTGCCTCCCAAAAAGCTCTTCGATTTCAGCTAGCCATTCTTGCTCCCAGGTCCTAAAGGAAAATACTGGACTACGACGAGATCTTGACAATAAGCTTTCCTGTGCTCTTCCTTCCAGCAAGATCATCGTGAGCTTGCGAGACCTCTTCCATCTTGTATTCCTTTCCGATATCCAATTTGACCGCGCCCTTGGCAACTAGGTCCAGCAGTTCCTCTGACCTCTGTTCGAAATCCTCCCTCTCGGACACGTAGACATCCAATCTCGGCCTGAGAAGCTTCACATTTTTCTTCCCCAGCGCCAATGGGCGGAATCCCTCAATAGCACCTGAGGAATTTCCGAAAGTCACCATTGTGCCCTTCCTCCTGCAGCACTCGAGATCATCATCGAACGTGGCCTTGCCAATCCCGCTGAAGACAGCATGGCAACCCTTGCCGTCTGTCAGCTTCATGACCTCATCCAGAACCTTCTCTTTGGAGTAGTTGATGACGTGGTCGCAGCCGTGTTTCTTAGCAATCTCGATCTTCTCCGGCGTGGACGCAGTACCAATGACCGTGGCACCGAGATGCTTGGCCATCTGAACGATGAGACCGCCGGTGCCACCAGCTGCGGCATGAACCAAGACGACCTCGCCCGGCTTGACCTCGTGAGCATCGCGGACCAGCGTCCAAGCCGTCAGGCCCTGCAGGATGAGTGCTGCGCCATCCCTGTTCGACACGCCGTCGGGCAGCTTCATCAGCTTAGAAGCGGACGGGGCAGCATATTCTGCCATGACATCTTGCGAGTACATGGCAACACGGTCGCCAACCTTCAGGTTGTAAGACGAAGGGACATCGGAGCCAAGCTGCTCTATCACGCCAGCCCCTTCACGGCCGGTGATTGCTGGGAATTTGGTTGGATACAATCCGGTCCTGAAGTAAACATCGATGAAGTTGACGCCTGTGGATATGTGTTAGAAATGGTTTGCTAGGTCATGTCCTGGTCTTCGTGGCTGTTAGTTGCCGGAAACGGAGATATAGCGGACCTGCGTAGTCAATCTTCACGAGAGCATCATTGGGTCCGGCTGTCGGCTTAGGAACGTCGCCGACATGGAGCACGGAGGAGTCTCCTGTCTTGTCATAGACTACGGCGCGCATGGCGAATCCTGGAGATGTGTGGAAGGACGCGGGGCTGTTCGGTTTGAGGCTTCTGAGGATGGCCTGCAATCTGGGCCCTGATCTGAGCATTAGGGGTGATTATGCTGTCGTCACTGATCTGATCCTTCTCCAACGTGCAAGGGATACTTAGCAAACTAAAAGATGAAAGAAAGTTATATAGACTACAGCTGGGTGAGCTGGGTAGCCGCAGCTCCACACGCCCCGCACTACGCACAACCTCATTTGTCATCTCACGTTCTAAGTTCCATCAACATTGATCCGGCAATTGGTCAATCGATGCGCATCGGCGCGCCTGGAAACTCGTGTATGAGCAGGCGGCCACTATACTTCGAGTTTGACATAAGCCAATGCCTGCATTTCAAACACTGTGCAATTTCAAATTGGAGGAGGTAAGGATTTGGCTATTATCACGAGCCAGCTTAAATACCCACGAACTCACCGCAGATCAATGGTTTGCAGAGCCTTGGATGGAGATCTTCCTCATGACTACAGCCTCCATCGGAAAATGTGCAATCACAATGCATGGGGAGCACATCATGCCTGCGTGTGGAATTGAACAGACGAAAAACTACATTCAGCATGATATCGCGAGAACAGATGTTGTCGTTGCGTTTCGGATTCAACAATACCGTCCGTCTATGGTGTATTTGAACTGTACTTAAGCCGTGCTAGCACTGTGCTAGTACGGCTCCTACTGGGGCATAGCTTATCTACTGGAGCGGCTTTGTAATAGTTCTAAGTAGTAAACGGCTTATTTCTGGGAGCAGCTTAAAATAGGAACCGTGCACGAAGGGTGCACGGAGGGTGCAGGAGGGGGAGAGGTGTAGAGTGTGTAAAGAGTGCGCAGCTTTAGCGTTTAGAATAGCCCACTCAAAATTACTTTCTCGTTTTTTTTTATATATAGATTTTTTCGGAATTCTAACTAGATTCTAACTTAAATAAGCTTTTTTTTTATTTTTGTTCTCTTTGTGTTTTTCCCTTCCCTTCCCTTTTTCCCCCCTTTGGCTGGCTGGCGGGTGTAGGCGTGGGCGTGGGTGTGCTTTCCTCTAGAAGAGAGAGGAAGGCGCTGGTGGCTACGCCCTGCACCCTTCCTGTACCCTTTATACCCTTTCTGCACCCTGCACCTTTCCCCCTTTGCACTGCTCTTAAAAATGAGCTGTATATGTACAGCTCCTAATTTTGAGTTGCTCCTAGAAATGAGCCGTTTACTACTTGGAACTGTTATAAAGCAGCTCCAACAGGGGAGCGGTTTATCGTATTCGTATAAGCCCGGTATTGAAACAGGCGGCACAAGCACATACACCATGGCATGGTTCACATTGTTCATCACTACTGGGGGCCACCTGTCAGTCCTATCTGAATTCAATCACAAGACCCTGCCTGGATGAGACCCCTATTAATACTCAGAAAGTTGACCGCGCAGGAGCCCATCTCAACCACAAATTTTCCTGCGTTGCTGCTTCCATCTCATCGCCTTGAGACTATAAGGCACTGCTGTAGCCGTTCTTAAAGCAGTCACCCTTATTTGGATCTGCCTTGACCTCCCACCACTCGTGTGCGTCTCCGTATTGGATGATGAACTCTCCACCAGCGCCACATCCCAATGGTTTCGCCAAGAGGTCATAGCAGTAGTTGGCATTGAACTCTTTGAAAGCATAGTCAGGGCCCCTGTACGTCAGAGACACGCCGATGCTGCGTTCGTAATCCTTGTCTTGGGTGTTGGCAGGGACTTGTTTGCAGTGGTCGATCTACGGGTAGTGGTCAGCAGACAATTTTAGGAGCTTAGTAAGGGGATCAGGGTATGATAAGTCTGCCAACTGTAATGGAAGGGTTCCACATACCGTTTGATCTTTCTTAAAGCCCTCATTGGAGGCAAACGTGGCGATGAGGTCGCAAATGTTGTGGAGAGACGTGTGGACGAATTGGGAGAACTGACCGCCGACATCGTTCCACTTCTCATTGCCTTTCCAGTAGTAGCAGCGGTCCAGGTTCTTCCAGACGTCCGGGCTAACGAAATCGGGGATTTTGGCCCTGAAGACGCCGGTATCCGTTAGGGTGAGGTTTGTGGGTAGTGTACTGGGAACAGAGGTGTTTGCCAAAGCATCGGTATTGCGGGAGATCTGCAGAGGAAGCTTGGTCTGAGAAGGGGCAGCGCTGCAGAGCGTGTAGAAGAGGGTCATCACCATGAAGGTGATGAAGAAGGTGAATGAACGCATCTTGACGGCTGGGTGGTGTCCTTGGTGATACAGTGTAGGTCAAATGTTGACGCCTATACTTTTGTCTGGCTTGATCGTCAAGTTGACCAGTTGACGTGTGCCTTGCTTTTGGAATGATAGGTAGGAAGAAATGGGAAGATTGTGCGTGGAAGAAATGCAGGCTTTTATATTTGCAAGCAGAGGCTGATGTGCATCGCCTGCATGCTTGCTTCACTGCGCACGCTTCACCCCAATGAAAGTGACTGCGTATTGTAATTCAATTATGGAGATGACTCACAAGGCAGCTTGATAGAGCATACACAACTATCATCCATTGAGTGGGTCTCGTGTGATGTGCTGTCACCTCAACCACATTCATTGATGTGAACCTTCAATGCTTGATTGGTCACATGTGTGTGATATTGGACACGCCCACCAGGTCCAGCACACACCAGCAGCATCATCTATTCAGCCCACACAGTCAAGATTGGAGATTCAAATAAAGTGAATATGGTCAGATTCAGCTATATTATTTTGTTACAGGATAGGGCAACTTATACAAGAACCCATTTCATGCCAAGCTCAGTTATGCTCCAAAGTTTAGGCAGACTTCTATGGTATGATGAATTGGGATGAAGTCTTCATTGAAGTCTTGAAAGCCATGAGTCCAACCTCGAACTGTCAATGTTTCTTGCGAATACTTTGGTGAGATTCGAAAGGAAAAATAATGATCTCGTGTCCTCTGGACAGGCAATATGTACTCCTAGAATCTTTCGCATTATACCTTTTCTCTAGCAGAGACCAAAACTCTGAGCTCCTACTCTGCTCCCTCAAAGTCTTTCACTGAGACTCCCCTATTAAGACTCGTGTGCTTATTTTCAAGGCATGCCCTTTTTTCAGTGACAAGTGATGTCAGATGCGGCATCTTCAAACGATAGCTGGTCTTGTCGATGGGGTTTATTGATGTGAGACATGACGGTTGTAAAATTGCCTTCGTCGTAATTTAAGATAAATTAGATCTACCTCTTACTAGATTCTTTAAAATACAACCAGTCTGTTTCTAACAATAAAAATTACCTATTTCTCTTGTGGACGTAATTATACCATCGATGCTATCACAGAGGCAATGGGAGCCAGCCAGAGTGGAATCAGCGGCACATACATGCCAACCTTGTAGTACGCGGACCCAATATACAGAGTACTTAGCGTTGCCGCGCCCAACATCAACTCTTCTTCCATAAGAGTAGGTGCCTCATATTTAGCCCACTTGTAGTTGAGGAGACCTAGCCGTTGTCAGCAACAAAATGACAACGAAAAAAGCCCCGAGCCACGGGGGAAGAAATAGAAGAATCATATCAAGGACATGGAGGGAGCCGTTGACCATGCTTACAGGCGATGCAGAATCTTGATGGCCGGGAAGCGTTCAAGGACATTGATCAATATTTTCAATCTGCCGATGCCGCGAATTTCTTCCCTGCAAAAGAGGCGTTGGCTATCGAGAAGCTGTTCTTACGAAAGGATTCATGGCGTCGGTTACAGCTGCTCTGGCCAAACGGGGTTACAACAGCGAGTTGCTCACCCCCAGACTCGCGAGCCAGGCCTTCGCGGATAAGTGGTGAGGCGTCCTGCAACAAATCCGGGTTAATTACTCAATGTGGGTGCAGGCTAACGCTCAGATTGGACAGCTCAGGAAAGGTGTTCCTCTTCACCAAGGGAGACGAACAGCCGGGCGATGGCTGGGTCAATCAGAACGACAACACTTGGGTGGGGTGGGAGTTTCCCGCCCTTACGCGGAATCAAGCCGTGACGGAAATCATACACATAGATCCAAGGCCTGGCAAAGACCATACTCCGCTGGTGATTTGGACCCAAGGGAATCCGCCTGTCATTCCAGAACCCAGGGGTGCTGATCCGTCCGTTCGGAACAGGACAGGTGATCGGCCTCCTGGAAACCTTTGAGATCAGGTGCAGATAGACAGATGGTAGCTGTAGTGGTATTTTCAGAACACTATTTCAAGACTGGGGAGTGGCAATCGGAGGAAGTATACAGTAGATAAACGCATGGGCAGTGGTACATGCGTGAAAGTTGCGAATGAGATTTGCGCTAACAAGGCGTGAGCTAAGAAACGCCCCGTTTGCTACACTGCCTTGGCTTTATTTATAACATTGTCACGCCGAAGGATGTCAACAGGCTAGCGTACATAATTAGAGCGCTTCTTATAAACATTCAATAGACTCATCATCCTCCCTTCCTGCTCCCTTTGTCGATCTATAATATGATTCACCTCTGCCCACTCGTCCCAATTGATGCTCCCTTTTCCAATACTGCAAACTCTCCACATCCAACTCCAAAATGCATTCCAGCATGGACGAATTCCCAGGAGACAACCCTGACAATATACCCGAAGATGAGGACCATTTCGACCTCACACGCAGCCCTGCCAAGGTTCTTGATGAGCTTGGCCATACTTTCCGAGTACGTTGTTCATATCGGATGGCATCTAGACAATCGTGAAACTTTTTCTTATGTCCATATAGGTCGGGATCAATGGTTTTGGCTCTCTTGGCCGTGCGGTCTTCTGCAAAGCGTATGCATTTATGTTTCACAACAGCCTCGTCAGAAAAAGATGCTAAACCAGGGACAGCTTGAACAGGCCTCATATCGAGATTGTCGCTGTCAACGATCCTCACGTGGATGCAATGGAAGCCGTGAGTCTTCCAATAACTCCTACACCCCCCCCCCAAAAAAAAGGCCAAAGCCGTTCGCGTTCGTGTTTCTGACTCTAGCATTACCCTGTCGCAGGCACGTCTCATCCAGGAAGAGCGTGCTGAAGGCCGAATCGGCCGAGGCGGCTTAGAGATCCATGCCGAGACCCCAGATATGCTCAAGCTCAAAGATTCCGCCATGGGCAAGACAAAAACGATCCTGTTCAGCTCTGAGTCAAATCCTTCTCACATAACGTGGCAGGACCCACAGCGGCGTGTCTTTCATATCATTGAGTGTTCGGGGAAGTTCACAACTGTGGAACAGGCATCCGCCCACATTCATACTGCCTATCATACAGCGAACGACGACTCAAAGGGAGCCTTAAAGGTATTGATAGCCGCAGCCACAAATGATGCTCCGCCATTCTATCCTGGGATCAATCTAAGGGACTACCGAGTTGAGCAAAGTATATTTGCCTGCGCGCCACCTGGAGGCGACACCGGTACGATCGATGATGATGCATGGGAGTACGCATCCCATGTCCTGGATCTATTGAGTAGGTTGTCTTTTCACCGACTCCCCTGTTGGATTTTGTCAAATCAATCCAAATTGCTAGCAGCGCTGACGAGGATATAACAATGCTCAGGTCTTGCACTTGCCCGGGATGGTGCAGCGGCCAGCTTTTCCGTGATGCAAGAAGAGGGCAACCAGGGGGAGGTTCTGCCGGGAGGCGAGAGCCTGTTTGTGAATTGCCTCAGACATAATCTGACTTTCTTCCTGCCTCCCAACTTCCGTTCGGATTGGTTTGGTGGAGAGATGGAGATGGGGAACTCTGAGTTCATGCACATTTGGTACTCTTGTACTTGCTGTCAGAGGTTGTAGAGTAACATGGGAGACACCAAAATTGTGCAATCTGTTTGAGGAGTCTCCATATGTCTTTGACAGCAGAGAAAGCGGATACTAACGGCTGTAATATCTCGAGCGATAATAGTCAAGTCATAGCGAGACTTGCAGTTGTGAACTGTGACATATCTGTCAAACCACAATGTCACTGCTGACGGCCGAACAGCCCGCTCTGTTCTTCACGTAATTCTGATTTCGCCTGGTTCAACCTCTTAACCGAGATACTGGAATTACATGAATGGCCCTGATGAAACTTTCCGGACTTCAAAAAAAATCTCACGATCCCAATACCAGCAGACTTTGGTACAATACCAGTGTAAGTGCATGGAGTGTTACAGAGGGTTAGGACCACAGCAAAGAGTACGTTCCTCCATCTGTGCCCGGCCCGGGAGGCATAAGACGGCCCGCCGCCTGCAGCTACCTTAGCTTAGCTTCCATGGCTCCCCTGCAAGCCGAGGCACCGAGCTCATGCAAAACTTTGGAGGGATTCAACAAATCCAGAGGTGCATGTACCACTGTACCGACATCTTTCCTCAATCATCACAGCCACAACTTTGTCGACTCGCTCTGCCGGAGAGTGTCGTCAATTCAACCATGGCTTCCAAGATCTCGCTCAAGCTCTCTAATCGAGGTGAGTTCTTCCGTTCAGGTCTCCCATTCACCTCACTAACGCTGTCTGGCAACAGCCCCTAAGAAGCCACTCCGGAAGCTTCCTCCCTCTGTCGAACTGCCTAACGACGCCGAGATCGAAGATGTCAAGAAGGCTGTTGCGCGCGGGGCAGGTGTGAAGGATTTCAACCGCATTGGGCTGTTCTTTCCATCTACCAGAAAGCGAATTGCGGACCGTAGAGCTCTGGTGCGCAACCTGGAGGATGTCACATCCAACGGGGAGATTCTCGTCCAGGACTTAGGTACGTGGTCTTCGACCGCAGGGAGCTCGTGATGTAGCCGCCTCGCTGACAACCCATTCAGGCCCGCAAATGTCATGGCGAACCGTCTTCCTCGTCGAGTACTTGGGGCCAATACTCTTCCACGCCCTCTTCTACTCTATCCGTCCCCAGCTCGCCAAGATCGACCCCTGGTTTTACAAGGACGCCGACAAGTTGCCCGTGACAGTCGTGCAACAGGCATGCTTCTACATGTTCATCGCACACTTCGTCAAGCGTGAGCTGGAGACGGCCTTCCTGCACAACTTCTCGGCCAGCACGATGCCGGCGTTCAACATCTTCCGCAACTCATTCTTCTACTGGGTCTTCGCCGGCCTGCTGTCGGGCTACTTCATCTATGCGCCACGGTCGCCCGCGGCTCGTCCTGCGTTCGGCCTGCTGGACTACGTGGGCTTCGCGCTGTACCTCGGCGGCGAGACGTGCAACTTCATCGTGCACAAGCACCTGGCGGGCCTGCGCAAGCCCGGCGGCACCGAGAAGGGCATCCCCAGCTGCATCGGCTCGAGCCTCGTCACGTCGCCCAACTACATGTTCGAGGTCACCGCGTGGCTCGGCGTCATCCTCGTCGCGAGGGAGTGGTCGGTCATCGTCTTCATCGCCATTGGTATTTCCTACATGGCGCAGTGGTCACGGGACAAGGAGAGGGCGCTGAGGGCGACCTTTGGTGACAAGTATAAGAAGAAGAGGTACACTATGCTCCCCGGGCTCATCTAGATCGGCGGACAGGCATGGTGACACCCGTGTGTTGGAGTGTATGTGTGTGTGTGGTAGATGTGGACCGAGGTCATTATCTCGTGCTAATGCGAACGATGTTATGCTAGTGTAGATGGTAAAGCAAATATCGCTATTCTAACATAATAGAAACGGTGCTAAATTATTCGTGGTATCGGTGAATTCATCAATCATGACCGTCAAAAGCGTATGCTACTCAGGATCCAGACCGCGTGGATTAGCTCCGCCACCAGAACCTCCTCAGCCAGCCGGTCGATGTCGGTGACTGTGGTGGCGCCGTGCTTGCTCCGTTTGACGAGGAAACGAGGTCGACCAGCATGTTTGGCTCAGACTCAACAGTCCTAGGAGGCAAGCCATCTTGGCCTGAGTCGACGTCCATGGTAATTGTAGAGGACGGCCCGTCCGACTGCTTCCCCTTGCCCTTATCCGCGGCATCCTCGCCAACAACGGGTGCCTGCTCAAGGTCGCCATCCGCCATCCTCACATCCCCATCCCCATCCTCATCCCCGACAACACTGCCCCTCTCACTCCCAGACCAGCTCCCGCTCTCGCTGCCAGTCCAACTCCCACTCTCGCTGCCACTCCCACTCCCGCTGCGGCTGCCGCGGTGGACGAGCCGCATGGTCTCCTCGAGGACGAGGAAGTCGCGCTCGAGGCGCTCGGCCCAGTTCTGGACGTCGCCGAGCTCCTTGACCTGGCGGCTGCCCTGGTTGAGGACCTTGAGCAGCTTGTCGTCCTCGCGGCGCAGGTCGGCGAGGGCGCGCTCGACGTCGCGCTCCTGCCGCTCGATGGCCGCCTGGTTCGAGTGCAGCAGCGACGCGCGCGTCTGCAGCTCGTGGTCCAGCGTGTTGCCGATGCTGGCGATCAGCGCCTGGCGCGCCTGCGCCACCTGCTCCTGCTCCGCCTCCGAGGGCAGGTGCGACGGGTTGGTGGGCGATGCTGGCGCGCGGGCGATGGCGGAGGTGGAGGAGGGCGGTGGCAGTGGCTGCTGGGGCCGGTTCTGGGCGGATTGGAGCGTGTGGGGGTGGGGATGTGGGTGAGGGTGAGGGTGAGGATGGGCATGTGTCTGGGCTTCTTGGGCTTGGGCTTGGGCTCCGGGTGCGACGCCGGGCCCCGGGGCGGGATGGGGCGGTGGCAGGTGTGAAGACGAGACGGAGGACGGCGCGGTTGTGGACGGACCTCCTCCGCCGCGCGAGCTGCCGCTCGGAAAGGCCGTGCTCCTGCTGGTGGTTGGTGGCGAAGACGATGATACGGTGGTAGCTGTCACCGAAGCCGACGAGGGCTGGGGCGGGCTGATTGGTCGTATTGAGGCGGACATGGTTCTTTGCATCTCCAGCTGTGCTGTTTGCCAGCGATTTGGATGCAGAAGGGAAGAAGACTGTCGTCGCAATAATAACCCGGGTCCTAATCAACAGTTGGAAAAAGAGCTGCACCGGTGGAGGACAAACAGGGATCGTGATCGGCGCACCCAGTGGCAGAAGTGGGTGGCAGCTGATTCACGCTACTGCAGGAAATCTCGTAGATACGTACAAGTCAGTCCGGCATCACTTGACCACTCGTCTTGACATGTCGGCAGCCACACCACCACACCAGACAGACATGTGCGAACACAATTCGTTGGCTTTGGTTGATCTCATCGACCAACAGGACGAATCATCTTCTCGCCCCTGTCGCTTCAAGTGCTTAGAGCTGGCGGCAAGTAACACGCGGGGTAAGACAACCACGGAAGCTGAGCTCACTTCGACAGTGATAGCTCCTTTGGTCCTCACATCGTATAAATCCGGTATGTACTTTAAATAGAGTTTTCTTAATTCATCGATTAGTCTTTGCGCATAATAACGGTCAACTCGTGGACTATCAATTCACCGCGTCTTGTCCATGAAATCATCTCCCTGAGTGCATGTTGTATGTTCTCCTCCCTCAAAGATGTCTTCACCTCTCGTCGCCTCACCCCAACCAAGCCTACCCCGTTCCGAGATCCAAATGGACCTCTCAGTGCTGCCATGATCACTAGAGCTCTGGCGAGCGTCTCTTCCGATGACTTGGCCTAGAGAGGATTTTGCCTCTCTTCTCTCCACACAGGTTGGCTCAACGGCCCCACATGCCCCCGTGAGAGACTGCATTCAGGGCCCAGCTCCTGTTCGCCACCACCTCGCAAGCCGCAACGAGGCTGGCCATGCCTCGGACATGATCCAGGACGTCCCCGATCTTCATCGTCTTGCTGTGGAGGGGCACGCTCCCGTGTTTGGCCCCGTACTCCCGCCTGTTCTTCCGGCATGAGTACGGTGCGGTCTTGTGGCGGCTGCAGTCGTTGTAGATCACTTTGATCTCTAGCGTCTCTCTGGGCGCCGCACCGCTTCTGTTGGCGGTGGTGCTCGCTGCGCCGCTGCGCCTTTTGTTGTTGTTCTGCTTCTCGAACGAGCTCCACAAGACGTTCTGGCAAGGGCTCTGGATGTTACGGATGGCGTCCTCCATTTCCATTATGTCCACTCCGAGCTGAGGTATGACGCTCAGAGTGTACTGTGAAATGGTCTCCTTTGGAAGAGACGGATGCATGGTCGTCTCTTCTGCCATGGTTAGTGTGTCGATGGATTTGGTGGGCTCGGGCGAGCCCGTCGGCAGGTCAACAGTCAACAAGGGTGTGAGCTCTTTCTTGTCTCGCTTCCCGATCGCCTTTCTGTTGGTGGACATTGGCTTGAGGCTGCTTGGTCCATTCTTCATGAAGATTGGTGATCCGACACCACTCGGCTTGCTCCCTCTCTTTCTGCCTGTCTGGCTTCGTGTTTGTGCCATTGAAGTGCAGAGAGAGGGGCTGTGGTGCTGGTAGGATCAAGGTTGTGTATGTATGTGAGAAGAAGAAGAGAGTTTTTGTGTTTGTTCGTTTTAGAGAGAGTGTATGAGAAAGAGGAAGAGAGTGTGTGTGGTGGTTGGTGTGTGGAGGGAGGCACACACAGAGAGAGGGAGTGAGAGATATGTTTGAGTACCGAAATCAGAAGAAGCCGGCGAAAGCAAGCTTGCAGATGTAGAAGTGAATGGCGTCGCCTCTCTCTGAACCTGGCTCGGTCGATCTCTGTCTGCCTGTCCGAGTTCGATTCTGCACCAGTGAGATGCAGAATCTGGTCGTAATGCTGACAAGACCACAAGCGTGTGTTGGATGGGTTTAAATACCAAAAGTCGAAAAAGACGCTGATGAAGTTAGGCTGCCGAAGTGTTGGTGACTGCTACTGCCATCCGTGGCCTTCTATCGCGATATCTGATCTTCTCTCGCGATCCGATCCTCTCTCGCGGTCTGGTCCTCCTCGGGATCCCGATTTTCGAAGGTGATGCAAGGTCCGTGAGTGGTCGGAATCGATGGTGGCCCTGAACGAATGTGCAACAGTAAAGGGTACCATTAGCTGTGTGAATCACGGCTTCGTATGAGGCTGGTTGTTACAGTCCTGCGATGCTAGAATCAGAGGTTCGCTAATACAATGGCTATTGCCAGGTAAGGCTTTATTAAATGTGGGAAAGGCACATGCACCCTGTGAGGCCAACCATCGAATCAAAACAAACAAGCCTCAGTCATTAGAGCCAACCAAAACATCACCAAAGTCAAATTCACCTGCTGGCACATCTCTGGTTTTCTTGTCTTAATGCAGGGGGAATAGTTGTGGAAGTTTTCCCTGCGAAGTATTTATACTGGTTCAGAGAGAGTGAGCGGTGCCTTGGGTACCTCAGGCAGCAGTCATGCAATATGAATCAACAATGATTACAATTTCCGACTACAAAGCTTGTTACACAGTACTCCAATTCACCTGGGAAGCTCAAACTATTATAAACATTGGAAATCCTGAGGGACTTAAATGATGACAGTATATGAGCCATGTCCTGGTAGGAAGAGCGCTCATAGAATTTCTAGCACTATTTCATGGAGAAATCAGAATCTACTATTAATGGAAACTGGATATATTAGTATTAAGTAACAAATGCACTGATCTTTCAAGATCAGTGTGTGGCAAACATTATCCGTAGTGGATTGTTTTCGCACAGGAGAGGGCGAGAAATGTTTCACCTACACTATCCAGGTATGCTTATATTAGCCTGCACACTTTGGCCTGACTCTAGCTGGAATCAGTTATTTAAACAAACTCACATCTTTTCTATAGATAATCAGGCCTTTACATCTTGAAGTGATAGCTCAATAGATATGAATGAAGTAAGCCAATGCCCACTTTCTTGACACTCTGTTTGTTCTCCCAGACTAGGAGGACCACGTGGATTTAAATCCCAATCAGTGGCGATAGATCTAATTACGCACATATTTATCTGGGTGTTTCGTGGCAAAACCTCTAGTTCAGCCATTTCGCTGATATATTGTTTGGCACTGATTCTCAATGCGACTTTTGATGCCCACCGGCCTTCAAAAGCCATTGCTTTCATGGGCGTTGAACAGTCCCGGAACCGTGGTCTTTCGGCATATCCACACAGTAATCACCTCAACACATGTCTCAACGAGGGCGGGTCCCAAACCACGTCCTTGATACTCAGCTTCTGTCGCGCAGGCACCCTGATCTTGTCGTGCTCAAGGCCACTCTTCCCTGGGACTTCCACATAGCCAACATTCCTGATGAGAAGTCCGGGGACGGGTACATTATGCGTTGATTCTTGAGAATTATGTGCCGTTTCGGGTGGCTCCTCCTCCGAACCTAGCCCAATCGCCCTCCTCGCCCGCTCGCTGACGCACTCATATAGGAGCTGCGCGTCGGCCTCGGTACCAGCTTGGTATAGCAGGACCCCCCAGCTGGCGAGTTGCAGCGGGTCGCCGTCGCCGCTCGGTGTGAAGGCATTCCCGACGTTGTTCACGCCTAGGCAGCCGTTCAGCCCCCATTCCTTGATCATGGAGGGGATTTGCATGGTCCCTCGCAGCCGGGAGTGCGGTTTGCTTGGTCCGTCATCATTTGACGCTTTGGGCCGTCCCATCATATAAAGATCGCTCGTTGGTAGACCTACGAAGTGGACTGGCAGATTGTTTTCTGTAATCAGTCTCACTATGGCGCTGGTCACCGATGATTCCATGGTGGTCAACCTCGTGCAGTGGCCGATGGCAACAGCCTGTGTGTCCTTCGAAGCTCTTTCAGTCCACTTATGCTCGATGAGGTGGTTCAGCACAGTTTCGAGGAGTGTGCCCGGTGCCGGTTCCTGTGGGGTTTCCAGGTGGTAGTCCAAATGGAAGTCCAGGAACAAGTGTCTCTCCATTGCTGTCTGGATAGCAAAGTCGATGTTCTTGACTGCTGCGTCCTCATTCGCCTCCACATACGGAGTCGTCCCTAGCGCCTCTATATCCGCAGCATACTTGTCTAGAGCCCCAATTAGGAGTATCCTGTTGCCACTTCCATAATCGCCTGAGAAGATAGGATCCTGCGCGAAGATGCAGATCTGCACTCTTATCAGATGAGCGAAGTCTGTTTTGAGCTTGACAGCCACATCGATTGTTTTGAACTCTGTGGCTACATCCACCTCGACAAAAGCGCGCATGGAAGTCACCCCATGCCGATAGCTGTCCGCGAGGAGCTGCGAGCCACGCAGGTATAGATCTTCTGGCGTGTACTGCCCCTTCGCGGCCGACGTGTTGGCGAGGGCTTCCTTGAAGTCGCCCGACCGTGGCATGAGACCCGAATAGTCTGGCTGTCCATGAGAAGTTGGGTTGTTGCAGGTGAGAATATATGCCTTATCCAGGTGGACATGTGGATGACAGAGGGGGGATAGGAGAAGGCTGGGAGGGGACGATGACGCGGGCATTGATGACGCTCGAGATACGACTCTCCCGCCATCAATTCGGATGTCCCAACATCTGCGTGCGTGGATACCTGGAATCATCACATTCTCTTCTAGCGTGGTACCCATGATGTTCGGGCAGTGTGATACAGCTCACCGAAGTCGTAAGAATCAAGGTACAAGTCGGGGCCCGTGTGCCGAGATAGTAGGGACTAGTAGTGTGAAAGCCCACTACATAGCTCTAAGGACGGTTCGCATGCACTTGTTAATTTAGAAAGTCAGATACCGGCTGCTTATCTAATACTATATACCTGATCCACTTACCTGAAAGTATTCAATAAATCTTCAGATTCATCTATACTGACGAGTTGGAATCCTGCTGGCAGTGAAGTTCAAATTTCATATTTGCCATCGCCGGGAAGCCAAACAACCTCACTCTAATGATTGCAACCCAATTTCTTGAGCACGCTGCTCTATTACTTAATCACAAGAACGTAACGTGCAGCCGGAAACTCTGAGTTTTCTACTTCCTCAAGACATTCGTCTTTTGCTGCCGCTGTGCCTACTTTATCCAGGACAGCCATAAATTCGTAGTAGTCTCGTTGTCTTTCGACCTCCTCGTCATCGAGCTCCTCTTTTAGGCGCTGTTTTGTATCGAGCTCGAAGCTCCCCAATCGTTGAAAATGGCCTTTGCAATGGCCACGTCGGCGAAGAATGATGCCGGCAACCTCCTTACACACTGGTTTGGATATCGTTTGGCCCGAAGTTATGGGAAGCAAAAATATGTTGTCGCTCTCGGCTATGGCCGACTCATCGCCCAAGCAGTCCGTGTAGATAGGGCATGGTCGTGTTCCGGCGTCGAGCAGCACGTAGCTGGCAAAGGGTGGGATTTTGTTGGGAATCTCACACCGGCTTTGAAATAATCCGCGGATCAGTGCGGAAACCCTGATGCGTATTTCTCCATCCTTGACATTGCCATGCGGATCGAGCCCTGACAGTATAGTCCGTGCAGTCAGCACACGGATATGCTGATGAATGTCAAAAGTCTTTTCTCGGTCTTCCTTGTTTGTTCGGTTCTCATGGTAGTACCAGTGATAAACACGTGGATAATGCTTTGCCCCATCCACAGAAGCCCATGACCAAGACGGCGACCTCCAGTCCGGTCTTTGTGACTTAGCATTGAAGGGCGACCAGAGAAGCTGCAGCTCCAGATCTTTTCGCCACATTCCAGCCAGATAGTCATCCCCAGTAATCGCAGACTGCCTTTCAGCAATCCCAGACAAGGCAGGTAGCCTGTCCGTACTGATTGTTAGGTCGGCAGCTGAATACTGGGTGACAATTCTGTCCCAGTCCCAGGCCACGTGCTCCGGCCGCACCAGCCGATCATTGCACACCGCCCCTGGAATCCAGTCTGGCAAGTACTCAGATGCGATGCCAGATCGGCACTCCCAGAATAATCCATGATCACCAAAGTATATCGTACGTGACGTCAAGAGCTTCTCCTGCAGCGTCCAGGCGCGGGTTGCCAGATGATTATTCAAGCATGACTCTTTGTAGACCTCGCGACTATAGAAGCACCGGGCTACAGGATTTTCGTCAGGGCCATCGCTCAGGTTGGTAACCCGCGCACAGAAGCCGCCGCTGTAGTGCTGAGACTCGGCAAAGCAGCCGCCGTGGACGTCTCTGGCACTGGAAGCGGCAAGGTTGACGTAGGCGCCGCCGTAGACGTCGCTCATGCAAGAGGCTTCGTACTCCCAATCTTCTAGCTGATCCTGGATAATACAGAGGGCGTCCACCCAGATAAATTCCAGGCCGATCCTGCGTACTATATGCACGGCATCCTGGATGGTTCGAGGGAGTTGTCCCTGAGGAATGGCGTTCAGGAAAGAGCCAAAATTGTCGCTCGTAAGTTTGATAAATTCTGCATTTCCCCAACAATAACTCAGGGTTGCGTACGGTTTGGTGCCCTCCCAGTCCTTCGTCAAGATCAATCTGACGCTGTCATGGCCAATCGAGATCAGCCTGGTTGGTTTTCCAAGAGTCTTTCTGCTACTACAGACCCCGTGGGAGTTGGAGCAATTGGCTAGCCACATTTTGACGAGATCACGGGGGTCCAGAGTTTGTTCCCACAATTTGCCTGACATGCTGTCAGATTCAATTCGCATGCTGCCACATAGATTTTTTGGGAAATTTCCCATGAACCTACTTGCTGAACTCATAACATGGGACTCAAGCCGCGTCTGTGCAGCGTGAGCAGTATTGAAGTAAGTGGCTACGTGGCCTGGAAAGTTCACCCACAGTGGCTGGTTGTCGTTGCAGCGCACCTCCCATTGCTGGACAGAAAGGGAAGCTTCGCCGTTGTCGCCGAGGATTTGAAGCCGCCTCTCAATTTTACGGAAGACATCGAGCCACCCTCTCACCCGCAGTCTACAGAGCAGAAACGCACAGAAGTGGCACCCATTTCGAGCTGCTGCTTCAACCTCAGTAGTAGTAAGAAGCCTAACGACGGTGGCTTTAGATCCGGTTTGAGGGTTGAAAACCGGCGGCCAGTGTTCCAACGCATGGTGGCACTTCTCGCAAAACCTTTCCGTGACTCTGGTATGCGTAGTCGACATAAGCCGCTGCACTTGCTTCTCGATCTCATCAGTGTCCAGAGGATCGGATTCGACGACGCGCATAAAATCCGAATCGGCATAGAAGTCCTTGTCGTCCGCGGTGATGTACTCTTTGTGCCATGATCTCAACACCTCGAGGTCAGGCCAGGATGACACGGCAGGATAGTCTTCGTAGTCAATACTGTTCATGGCCGCCTTGAATTGGTGTTGATGCGGGGAAAGGCTGAGGTTACAAGCTGGTCGGAAGGAAATTCCAGTTTTTAAGCACAATGAAAGCAGGTGATACGTGAGCACTTCCCCTGATAGGCTTGCCCGCGGAACTAAGATGTGTACGTCCATTTGTAAATTCCCCATTCAAGTCGATCTTCGAAGATCAGACCGAGAGGCTTTGGCAATACCTGTGTTGTTGGAAAATGAACATCAGCTAAAAATGTTGCACAGGAAGATTATTCATGGCGTTGTGATTTACTTGCTAAATAGAAGTCTACATGGCCATTAGCGGCCATCTGTACATCTATAAATATCCTCGTCGTCTAATTATTTCAGGGTGACCAGCTCCTCAGCACTCGTTGGGTGAATAGCAACGCAGCTGTCAAAGTCCTTCTTGGTCGCGCCCATCTTCATCGCCACACCGAAGCCCTGCAGCATCTCGCCGCTGCCCAAGCCCAGGATGTGCAGTCCGACGACTTTCTCCTCGGGCCCGGCACAGATGAGCTTGTATTTCGTAGGGCCCTTCTCCTCTGGCTCCATCATCGCATAGTACATTGCCGTGAAGCTCGTGTTATACACCTTGATGTTCTCCTTTCCGTACTTCTCGACGGCCTGCGGCTCCGTCAGCCCGATGGCGCCGACCTCCGGGTGCGCGAACACCACGGAGGGGATGTTGCTGTAGTCTAGCTTCGCCGTCTGGAACTCGGGCCCGCCGAACAGCCTGTGCGCCAATTTCCGGCCCGCAGCGATGGCCACCGGCGTCAGCTCCGCCTGTCCTGTGACGTCGCCCAGCGCGAAGATGTTGTCCGTGGACGTGTTCTGGTACTCGTCAACCACGATGTAGCCCTTCTCGTTCAGCTTGACGCCGGCCTTGTCCAGGCCGATGCCGTCGGTGAGCGGCGTCCGGCCGACCGCCCAGATCAGGTGGTCGATGTCCTTCAGCACGCCCTCGCCGCTCTTGTCCTTGTAGTGCAAGCTCAGCTTGCCGTTGCTGTCCTTCTCCACCTTGGACTGCGATGAGCCCTTGTGCAAGTGCACACCCAGACGCTCGTACTCGGCCGTCACACCCTCCTGCACAATTGGGTCGAAGTTCCGCAGGAAGTGGTCGTGGCGGATGAACAAGTGCGTCTCGACTCCCAGAGCGTTGAACATGCCGGCGAACTCCACCGCGATGTAGCCTGCTCCTACGAGGGCCACCTTGCTCGGCAGCTTGTCAATGTCGAAAAACCCGTCGCTGTTGATTCCGAGCTCCGAACCGGGGATGTGAGGTGGGATCGTGGGCATGCCGCCGACGGCCACGAGGATCTTCTTTGCGCGAACAGTCTCCTTGGTCCCGTCGTCAAGGGTGACTTCGACCTCGTTCTTTGACAGGAGGCGCGCCCAGCCGTGCACGTATTCGACCTTGTCGTTCTTGAGGTTCCGCTCGTAAATGCCGTTGAGCCGCTTGATGAAGGCGTCGCGCTTCTCCTTGAAGGTGGGCCAGTCAAAGGGCTTGGTCTGCTCGACCGAGAAGCCGTAGGATTTGGCATCGTGGATCTGCTCGGACAGCATGGCGGCGTTGAAGGTCACCTTCTTGGGCACGCAGCTGCACGACGGGTCGATTTGTCAGCTCCGGGCTCGAACGGAACATGGTGTGTGAAGGAAACAAGAGGACTCACCCGACGTTGACACATGTGCCTCCTAGCCTCTTGTTCTCAATGATCATGGCATTGGTGCCGAACTTTGAGCTCGCCATGCGGGCAGAGGCAAGGCCACCACTGCCGCCGCCGATGACAAGGTAGTCGGTCTCTTTGCTGATGGGAGCCATGACTGAGGCTGAGGAGGACAAGTGCCGTGAGAAACTAGCTAATCTTTGGGAAGCCGTTCTGGAAGAAGCTCTTGCAAGAGAGGAAAAGGCTAGCATGAGGTGCTGGGTGCCCGTGTACTTGCTACCTCTGTGGGAGGGTGAAGGGGGAAGGTATATTATATGAGGATTGCGGGGGAGGGGTCGAACGAAGTTGACGTCTTTAATTCCAAATCAACCAACAGAGTTCAATCGGTAATCAGTCATGTAGCTTGCAGATTACCGTGCAGTGCTCAGCCCTTCGTGTACTGTGGGCTTCCCTTTGATGACGACAGGCTCGAGTCACTAAGCACCAGTAGACTTTTGTTGATCAATAAGCAGCTTTGCTCGAACCAGCCTACCTACAGTAGTTCGGGTTGTGCAGCACGTCCGAGCCTCGGCGACCATGACAAAAAGCTCTGGCTGGATCCACAGCTTCTGCGATCCCTGCATGGAACGGCCAAGACATGCCCGGGGTCTGACAGCGTCATCGCAGGGATCATCATGCGCGATCTGCCGCGCTCCCAATTGGATTCCAGCGCGTCCTGTGGATCGGGGACCGCGACGCACGAGATCTGCGCCCTGCCGTCTACAGTATACACTCTCTTGTAACATAATCAACGAAGCCAGTCACTTGGGACGTTTCGAGTATGTCAAAATTCCACACAGCTTTCTCGTGGTAGTGTAGAATGACCAACATAGAACCCGCCAGGGGCAAATCAGAGGCAAAGGGGATCAACGCCGCGTTGAAGTCTAGTTGCGAGATGGGACGATGAATTTCGCCTTCCCTCCCAAATTGACTTCTACGCAACTGAAAAGCATCGCAAGACTATGCGGCAAAAGCAGATCTGGAACCAAGGCCGTCATCGCAGACCGCATCGTAGATGATCTCAAGTCCTTCAAACCTCTGGCCCCTGGGACACGAGTTCTCAGCATCGATTTGGGCATCCGGAATCTCGCTTATAGTCTGCTAGAGGTTCCCGACCCCAATCATGGACCTCCTGTCAAAATTACAAAGGCATTAAGGAAGAAGGGCCCCGCGCCATCATCTGCTGTCCCTATACCGCCGAGACTTCTCGCGTGGGAGCGAGTGGCACTGATCCCGAGGGCAGACAATGTGACAGCGCGAAAGAAAACCACCAAGAAACCCAAAAGGACTACCAAAGCAGACCAGGACGACGCGGACGAGCAAGATGAAGAGCTCCCCAAGAAGGGCCGGAGAAAAGCCGCCAAAACAGTCGAGGTCGACCCAAGCCAGCAAGCAGAAGACCTCGCCGCCGAGGCCGACCCAACGACCACCCCGGTCCTCATGGAGGACTTCTCGCCGGCGCGCCTCTCGGCCTTGGCGGTCGACCTGATCCTAAACCGGCTGCTGCCGCTGAGGCCGGACATCGTCACGCTCGAGCAGCAGCGGTTCCGGCAGATGGGCGGCTCGGGCGTGTACGAGTGGACGCTGCGGGTCAATAGCCTCGAGTCGATGCTGTACGCGGTGCTGACGCTGCTGCGCGAGACGGGCCAGTGGCAGGGCCAGGGCCGCATCGAGCCCGTGGTGGCGCGCAACGTGCTCGAGTTCATGGTCGTGCGGGACCGCGCCGCTGGGCTGGACGTCGAGGACATCTGGGGCCGTGGCGCGGACAACAAGAAGGTCAAGAAGGGCATTATCGGCAGGGCGCTGGCTTCGGCTGAGAGTGTGGAGGTTGAGAAGGAGGTCGAGGCCGTGGCTGCCGAGTACCTGGACGAGTGGCAGGGCAAGAAGAGCTTCCAGCGCAAGGCTGACAGGATGAAGAAGCTGGATGATCTGGCCGACTGCCTCTTGCAAGGTCTGGCCTTTATACAGTGGCAGGAAAACAAGAGAATGCTCCTGGAGAGCGGCGTCGAGGCCCTCAAGGATCAGATGCTAGAGTAATAATACTGCGCATAATACACGCAGAGGAATGTGAACAATGTCTGTTCTATTAGCACCGTATAACGTGGCGGGCAAACAATGCCGGGGTATCTTCTAATAGCTCATACATCCCTCAATAATCGTCATAACAGTTGTTATAGACACCGTCCTGCGCCTGTGTACTGACCCATTCCTCGCTAGCTAGACCTCTGGTCCATCTCCTCTTGAGGCCATTGGGGTCCTTGTGCCAATCGCATGCGAAATCACACGCAGGGACATCTGTCTCCCCAAAATACTTGCAGATAGCCGCGTGCCGACACCCGTCCGTGCTCTCACAGTAGTCTGCCAAGGTCTTGAGGCTTCGCAGCCTCGCCTCGCGGTTCTCTCCGTCCTTGACGTCCCTCGACACCATGTTGCATATCCGGTCGCGGTCCTCGCGGCTGTAGTAGAGGAAGCAGTAGCTCGCGTTCCCGTCCCTGCCCGCCCGCCCGGCCTCTTGGTAGTATCCTTCGAAGCTCTTTGGCATGCGCCAGTGCACCACAAACCGGACGTTGTTCTTGTCAATACCCATGCCGAATGCGGTAGTGGCCACGATAATATCATAGCCCTCCTGGTTGTTGACCCACCGGGCGAGCGTCTCCTCCTTGGTCTGGTTGAGCAGCTTGGCGTGGAACGGCCGCGCGCCGATGCCCTCCTGCCGCAGCGCGGCTGCGATCATCTCGCACTCGTCCCTGGAGTTGGTGTAGATGATGCCGGGGACGTTCTTGACCCTCTCGCCCCTGGCCTCGAGCTCCCGCCTCCGCTCGTCAGTCTCCCGCCGCGCGTACACCCCCTGGATCCAGGTGACGAAGTTGTCGAAGCGGTCGTCGGCCTGGTCGTTCGTGAAGCGAATCTCCATATGCAGGTTGGGCCGGTACGCGGTCATGGCGAAGGTCCTCAGGCGCGCGGGGCTCTTGAGCAGCCCCAGGGTGGAGAGCACGTCGGCGCGCACCTGCTCGTTGGCGGTGGCGGTGAGGCACATGATGGGGACGTCCGGGAAGGCGTCGCGGAAGAAGGACAGCTTCTTGAAGTCCTTGCGGAAGTCGTGGCCCCACTCCGAGATGCAGTGCGCCTCATCGACGGCGATCCGCGCCAGCTCGCGCTGCTCGTGCACCACCCGCAGCTTGCGCCGGAAGTGGTCGCCCGAGCACAGCTCCGGCGTCACGTACAGCAGCCTCGTGCGCGGGTGGCCCGACGCGAGGTCCTGGTAGATGTGGTCCTTCTCGGCCGGGGGCGTGTTGCTGTTGAGGGTCCTGGCATCAACATTGGCGAGCTTCAGGGCCTCGATCTGGTTCATCATCAGGCTGAGCAGGGGCGAGATGACGATGGTAATGCCATGGTCTATGACGGCGGGCAGCTGGAAGCACAGACTCTTGCCGAAGGAGGTGGCGGCCTGGACAAAGACATCTTTGCGCTGGAGGGCAGCTTCGATGATCTCCTTCTGCATGGGCCTGTATCCATCGTGTCAGCGAAAACCTGTAGGAACTGAATTGGACCATGCGCGTGCAATCACCTGAAGTTCTCTTTGCCGAACTGGCGCCTCAAGGTGAAGCCCGGGTCGGTGTACGAGCTCGACCTCGAGAGCGGGGCCATCTCGAGGCAGGCTGCATCAGACTGCGAGGCAACGCGTGCAGGTCGGGTGTCGTCTCAGCCTACTATATCGTAACACTGTCCTCCGGGATTCCAGGTTGATTTCAGGTCCCTGCACCCATCGCCAGACGCGCTCAACTGGCCGAGCTTGCTTTGCCTACAGAGCCGTGCTAAAACCTTCAACGGAATCTGTGGATCGTGGCAGACAGACTTCGGGATAATGTATCGGAGCCGCGATCGCGAATTCCGAACGTTTCATAGGACTACGTAGTCCTGGCTTCCTTGGCATCTGGAACGATTGTGCATAGACTTTCAAAGTAGCCGCATGCCATTTTCCCAAGTTGTCGGCAAAAGCCCTGTCAACTGGGTCGCGTCTGGGTAGGTCGTGGGCAGGGGTCCCCTGGAATTCGACGCCTGGGGAAATGTTCTAGCGGCCTTCTAGATTGCCTGGGATTCCTTGAGAACGAGTGTTTCTGGTCAGGTAAAGCCCAACGTTGAAACCAACGGGCCACTGGTCGGCCACTGGTCGGCCACAAGGTCGGCCGGACCTGGAAGCTTCAGAAACAACTAAGGCAGCAGTCAAAACTGCCCAGGACGACAGCAACATCCCAATCGCAAAGGCATGGAGGAAACCTTCAGACTCGCAACTAACTAGGCAATTGTTGACCTCATGGGCGGCTCTGCTGGAAACTCTGTTTTGTGGAGCTATGAAAAGGCATGAACACCCGGGAATAAGCTGACGTGGTGGCGGATCTAAGCGACTTTCTCCCTGACGACCAACATCTGCGATGCTCCACTCCGAGGGTTGAGAAGGGGACAAGATCGAGACTGCCTTTGCCAAGGTCCATGCAATATATTCAGCACATGTTCTGCAGAATACCGTCCTGCGTGTAATCTGTCGTCGGCACACTGCTGCATGCAATAGAGAGTGACGAACACCCCAGGCAAGGATGCGGATCATCAAGCAGTGTAACCTGAAGAAAACTCGCAGAGAGTGCAGTGATACTCTGTGATGGTCAATTTTGAGTCTGAACGACGATCGGATAATAACTATGCCGGAGTGACAAGCTCTGATCTATGTTGTGTCCTTGTGCGAGTGAGACTGCCTTCTTGACGCTCATACTAAAGTGGTCCTCGGCGGCTGGTGTCAAGCTTCTGGAAAGCGGCGGCCCTGTTCTGTCGATTCGGGACTGAAGGTGTCATCGTCTAGCTTCAAAGAGACGGCTCAAGATTTAGAAATGGTAGCACTACTGGATATGGCAAACCCACGGCTGAACATATAAGCGGGACGAGAGGCGTTTCCAGACAGCCCCTGGCCGAATGCAGACATCACTGGGTCAATCACATTCACGATGGCGGAATGATCCATCGTGCTGGTTGACGTGGTATTGTTGTTCCACAGAAGATGACATGGGTGAACTGAGTCTCGTGAGGCGATAGCGTGTTGCCTTCCTTGCAATGTCTTTCCGACGTTGTTACACCAACACGACATGCCTGGTTGACCCCGACAAGCCGTCGCCGTCGGCTACTTTCGACTCACCATTCTTAGTCAAGGGGACACGAAGCCTCGACAGGTGCGGACCTGTAGAAACCGAGCCTCCCTCTATCTCTTGTGGGGAAGTCGGACGAGAGCTAAGTTTGGGCTGAAGCCAGTCTACTGCAAAAGCAAAAAGTATAGTCACTTGGGTGGCCGGGTTCAATTCGAAGACAGAGGCTGTTGCTCCATCCACCGGACCCACGAATGAGAAGCGCCGGTACAAAGGTGATGGGGAATATTGTCACAGCAGACTTGGCACAGCACATTTTGGCCCCAGGAACAACTCATCAGGGACTCGTCGACATGTCACAGCCTGGGAACAGTTAGCGATGGCCCGGCCTGGTGGAGCTCTTGGCCTCGTCCTAAAGGCCCGATGCGGCGAAGCCGTCTTCGTGTGCGGCGAGTCGGGCGGGCAGAGGGACTAGTACTGGCACTGTCAAATGCAAAAAGAAAAAAAGGCGTCGGGCGTGGGCCACGAAACAAATGGAGCCGACACCGCCTCTTGTGTTTGACGTTGCGACAGGCAGACTTGGGACGAGTGGAAGCGCTGGTCGCCGACTCGCCGAGCAGCCGCAAGCTTCGGTGGGACGCTGGAGCCTCGAGCTGGCGGCCAGAAACAGTCGGAAACAATGTCGTGATATGGGACGTGGCATCCATCCGACGTCTTCCCTCGGGGTTTGTTTGACGATCAATGGGAATCGATCCCCTGAACCCAATCAAGCAATCGGTCGAGTCGGTGGACGGTCGGGGCAGTTCGGTTCAGTTCAGCTCAGTAACAAAGGCACAGGGGCAGCAGTCCGAGGGCCTCAAGAGGGCGAGTGACATCAGCCGAGACAGAGCTCGTGTACTGTACCTGTTCTGTGCCTTGCATGCCGTACTGCAGTGCATGTATGTAATATCAAGTCTGCCCCTACACTTGCAGCCACTTCAGCACGGCTGAAGATCCCACAGGCCATCGACGTCAGGCCGTGGGATGGGACATGCAATTAATAGGTAGACTAGGTGTGTAATTATTAGGTTGGAAAAGGAGATGGTGGTGAGATGTGGCGACAAGAGGAACACCACCAACAACCACCACCACCCCCTCTCGGGTGAGACCTGCAGGTGTGAGGTGTGTGATTCCTAAGGGTTCTTTCTCTCTCTCTCTACCTGGCAATGCACCAGTGTTACAGTATGTACCCGGGTCCAAGTACCCCAAGGTTTACAAGCAGTTCCCCTTCAGGTGCCCCTTTGTGGTTAGGAAAGGGGGACTCGACAGGTGGTAGGCCGGCTGTTTTAGTGGCCCAAGCGTCGCTAGGCTGTTGTGGGCTAGGCTTGGCCATTCGGTGCCACTCCAGCCTTTTGGCACCCGACGCTTTTCCTGCAACCCCTTTCCCTCCACAACGCAGCAGCAGCGCAGTGCGGTCTTGGAAACTCTTGTGCCCGACCGACGCACGCCAGCCAGACATCCAGAGTCAGTCATCCTTGGCCAGAGACTGCTCCCTGAAGTTGACAGAAATCTCGTGTTGGGCGAACCAAGGAGGCACCACCACAAGAGACCCATCTCTGCCTCTTGTCTCTGCCTCTTCCTCTTCGCCTTTGTTTGCCCTGCCCTCGAAACCGCGTTCCAGAGACAGCCATTGCATTGACAAGACTGTCTGTGTGGGACGACAGTCACACTGTCCCAAGATCTGCCAGCTCTACCAAGCATTTCCCATCCTGTTCCCGTTTACCACTGGTACACTTCGAATAACGGCATCCGATCTGATCTTGGGAGGGCTTGTACCACTGCGAGACTGCCGCCGAACGTTTCAACTCTCTCCTCCGCACACTGTTGCCTCGAGCTCAACTCCCTCCGCCTCCGCCTCCGCCTCCGCCGCCGCCTCTACTCCCAAGCCCGCCTCAATCTCCTCACGTTTCCGTGCCCTGTTTTGCTTTGGCATCATGACATCGCCTGCTTCGCTTTTGCAGCCGATCCAATTGGTCTAAACCCATACCTCGCTTGGGCGAATTCGCTTCATACGGGCAACACGCCCGACGGAGAGATAACTGTCGAGCGCGGACCCTGGGTTGGACACACTGGGGCATCCTATACGACACGCATCCCTCATCTTCGATTTAACTGCGAGCAAGAGCTGGGTCTATGATCGCAACCACCATGGAGAGGCCATCCGGTCCGAATCCGGCGCAGATGGGGCTCCCTGGCAATCCGGCCCAGGGGCGTCGGGCTGCTTTTGCTGCTGGCATCAACATCCCGCCCCCGCCTCCCATCCCAAAGACTGTTCGGAAGATTCCGTCCAATTCTGGCCTCACGGCCTCGGCCCCTATCGCACAGAGCCAAGTCATCGTCCTTGCGAGGGACGCCATGAAGAAGGCCGTCGAGGAAAACCAGAGCCAGGCTGCCGAAGCCAGCGCCGTTAGTAGCGAGCTGAAGCCAGGCGTGACTGTCAACCTGAGCCATAAGAATATCCAGAAGCTGCCAGAGGAGGTTGTGGATGTTATAAAGGACCAGCTAGAAAGGTAAGTCGTCTGGACCTCAATGCAGATGCAAGGGACGAAGTTCAAGGGATGGGACTAACAACTAAACTTACTTTTGTTAGGCTGGCCCTCTCACACAACAAAATCTCCTCTTTCCCAGCTCGGTTCGCCGAATGCACATTGCTTCGATACTTGAACGTCCGCAATAACAGGATTAGCGAGTTCCCACTACCGGTAATTGATCCCCCTTGGCGATTGCTTTGTCTGCTATGTTGGCGAGAGTCATGTCTGACTTGCGTCGCAGCTATGTGATCTGAAATCACTCGAGATCCTCGACCTCGGCAGGAATCAGTTGCGAAATCTACCACCAGACATTGCGAGGCTTACCTCACTGAAGGTTTTCGCAGTGCAGAAAAACCTGATCAAGGAGCTTCCCCTCTGTCTGGCTGATATGGGCTCGTTGCAAATGATAAAGCTTGATGGAAATCCGATAGTCTTCCCCCCAAAAGAGATCCTTCAGGCGCAAGCTAGCAGCCCACCCAACGACGGATTCTTGAAGGAAACAGAAGTGAAGGAGTTGACCGTTACAACTGCCATCAAGAAATTCCTGAGGCAACACGCCAACGATCGAATGGAAGCAGAGGCTGCTGCCGCCGGCGAGGACTCTTCTGAAGGTGTCGAGACACCACGCCTGGCCCCAATGAAGCGCCCTGCAAGCGGGCGCTTCCCCATCAAGGTCAATGGCACTGACGTGCCTGATCTTCGATCGCCAAACAACGCCCCACGACCACCCCCAATTCCCACGCGATCACATTATCGTGGACTTTCTCAACAGAGCACAACATCAATTCGTCGACCTGGTGTCATGCCTTTGACAATGGGAGGGAACGTCAATGAGCGCGTGCGCAGCAACTCCGAAACGCTACTTCAGGCTCGCAATCAATACTCCGGTGACCGCCAGCGCCGCATGGCATCCATATCCAAGCGGACACAGGAGCTAGGCACATTGGACGAAACTCAGGCCAACAACCGCTTTAGCCATTATCGTGGCCTCAGTCACGGTTCAGCCATGCAAGCCCCCAACGGCGCCAGCATGACCATCAAAAGCCCCGCCAGCCCCGCAGAGCCATTCCTTCAACGCCCGATTTATGTGCGACGGCTTTCAGTTCTGCCTGAGCGCCGGCGTGAGTCCAAGTACATCGACCCCGTACTCGAAGCGGCCAAAGGCATCCTCTACTCAGTCTTCCAAATCCACCCGATGATCCAGATGCTGATGCATCTCACGAGCGATGGCACATCTAAGCGATCCAGCCTCGAAATCGTCTTCTACAATACCAATGTACACGTTGAGGAGCTCGAGCAGGAGATACAGAGGCACGAGGCGGCCATCGAGACGGAAGATTCTGGTTATAAAGAGAACGAAAGCGTGCAGAGGGCCTGCATCACCCTGGTCAATGCTTACGCGCACGTTTGTTCACTGTTGGCAACAAATGTCGACCTGTTCATTGAAAATGGCGATCCAAGATACATTCGCACGCTCCTGATGCTACTGTACAACAGCATTATGGAGCTTCGCGTGACGGTTTCCAATCCAAGCCCTGACGCCGGGTTTAGGAGAGCTGCCAGCAGAGCCGCAATGGGCGATACCATCCGCCCACAACCCCATTCGCGCGAGAGCTCGGTAACCCCCACGGCTGATCGACCAGGGCATGGCCTGCGATCTCGTAGCGGAAACTTCGTCCACAACCCAAGCAATCTAAGAGTGGCTACCGACGTGCCGCTCAACCCGTTGCAAGTTCCGTATATTAATGGAACAGGGCGTACTGCAACAGTCACTCCCACGCCGCGATCCGGGGAATCTTGGACATCGAACAGCAGCAGAGGCATGAACGGAGACTTCACGGAAGAAGACCGGGTGTTCGAGAGGATCTACCTGTCTCTCCAGAGATCAACCGATTGGATTATGCGGTCCCTGCCCTCGCTCAATAGCCAATTTGGGGCTTGTCTGGACAACGCCATAGCCCACAGCACACCCAAGGTCGTACAGTACTGGAGAGCACTGATTCTTAAGTGCAACACAGCCATCCAGAACACCGAGACGCTCAAGAAGCGTCTGTCCCTAATCAAGCTCAAGGAACCAGGTATCAGGACCCACAGCGCCTTCTGGGCACTTTGCACAAACTTCATTGATGCGTGGGCCGAGCTGGGGAAGATGATTAAGCACATCACCAACGGCGTGCCAGAAGTGCAACTACCAAATGACACTCGGCAGCGCCTCCGGCCCGTGCAGCACAGCATCAAGGAGACTCGCGACTTGATTCGAGCGTCACCCTGGTCCGACTCCCTCCGCGCGCACAATCACTCGAACTCAACGTCGAGCTCGCTCGGTGGCTCCTTTTCGCAGAGTCAGGTGCCTGCAGCCCAGTCTGGCCAACTGCCCATGACACCCCAATCTGCGGCGCTCGGACCCGCTGTTCAGGCTACCGTCGCGACCCCACAAAGCGCCTCGTTCGCCAAAGCGTTCAACGGCGGAGTGTTCGAGCGGGCTGATGCGCTCATATCTATGGGCGGACGGTCAATGCATGGGTCACGGACAGGAACCATGTCCAGCGCTGGGTCGTCGAGCCTCAACTCTATCACCAGCATTTCGTCCAACGACGAACTTATGACGCCCAACACGGCGGTTAGCCCCGGGCCCGGGTCCTACGGCGGGCAGCTCCCATTCCGCTTGGGCAACGGAACCAGGGTCGCACTCTGATCGGAGATGTACAATAACGAACACAATACGCGACGCATCAATTTGAACTTGCATAAAAGGAATTTTCCTACTCTATACTAAGCATTGGCGGCGATGGACCGAGGCAGGTTTTGTTTCAACAATTGCGTTACATGAGCAATGATGGGTGGGAAAGGTTCCAAAAAACGGATTATAACTTGTTCGAATAATGTGATAATGTGTCTTGTCCCGTCCAGGCGAGGGGCGGTCAGGATTTCTTTTTACCGAACTGTTGGTGATTGCAAAGGGCGTATGGCAATGATGGTCGTTTGAAAGGAGTGACAACAACGCGAGGAAGCATGACTGTGTCTGCGGACCTGATCTCGTATGGGCCCGGGAAGTTTGAAGGCTCAGCACTTGGGGTTTTGGTGGTCAATGTATCTGTAGCCGCGCTCTCCGAGCTAGGTGGTATGTTCATAGGACCCAAATCAGTGGGCAAGTGATAATCTGCGCGATGTAGGCGATACAACAGGAATCGAATCAGAACACCTACGATGTAATCGTCCTTCCGAGCCAACCACAGGCACATGAATACCGGGGGCCTAATAATTGTGCGGTACATTTTTCACTATACCACGACGAGCATGTACGGCTGTGGCATACGTACTTGGGTTGTCTGGGCGCACCGCTGGTATGACGGAACGGAGCCGAGCGCGTTGAGGCAGAAGAAAATAGTCGCATTCACCAAAATTGATCAATGACATTGTCAGAGAGGAATTTGTCTGGGTAATACTTGTAGCCTGGGTGCGCTGTTACACCTGTACGATAAGGTAGGTACGATAGTAGTTGGGGTGTACTGCCTAATCATCAGCTTCAGGCAGCTGCAGCCCACCCCTGCTTATGCTGCCTACATGTGTTTTCAAGGTTTCCTTCCTTGCAACGCCTTTGAGGCTGGCTTCTGAAATCCTCTTTTCGTCACCCTAATTTCTGTTGGAATTAGCTGTAATTGCTCTTGCAAGTCATTTCCCTCGCGCAAAAGCAGCCATGGCGTCGCTCAGCTCTAGCTTGGACCTGGCAACATACCACCCTCAGAAGCAGTCGCCTCTCTTCGGTGTGTTCCCAGGAGAGATCCGTAACAAAATCTTCGCCTTTGCCCTCTTGCAATACGAGGATGACGCAGCCGCCTACCCTGAGGACTCGTACTGGTATCGTCCGGGCTTCAAGGGACCCAAAAGAGGCAACAGCTCCCTCCTCCGAACGTGCAAGCTGGCATATGCGGAGGGACAGAAAGTCTTCCTGGAAGAAATCGAATGGGCCTTTTGGTTTGGTATGCTCGTCCTAGCCTTTTGTACCGTTTCAGTAGAGTACGTCCGCTCGAGGTGGCTGACCGCTATGACCAATCTCAGACCGTGGACCTCGAGGTCGCTCGGGCTCGAATGACTGTCTCCGGTTCTTCAGAGACCTCAGCGACTCCCAAGTTCGCGACCTTGAGCAGGTGCGGTTCTTCACGCAGATGTATTGGTTGGAAGGCGGCCACAACATCAACAACATCTTCAACAACAACAATTTCAGACCGTCGAGGCTGACGATCACCATTCGCTACTCGGACTGGTGGTTCTGGGAGCACAATGAGCCACTCAGAATGCGAGAGGACTGGCTGATCAACTTCAACGGCTCGCACGGCCTGCGGGAACTGAGGGTCGAGTACGAGACTTTGGCGTGGAAGAAAGCCCAGATGGACGCGATCGTGGCGCGCAACAAGGAGCGGGTCTTGAAAGTCCGTGATGGCGGCTACTTGAGTGCGGAGGATACTAGGCTGGAAGAGTGGCGCTGGACTGGGCCGAGTAAGCTCGGCGGGCAGACGTGGGAACATCACGGGGAAGGAGATGTTGTCGAATATGTCGTTGTCACCGACACCTGGAAATATCACGAAGGACCGATTCCCGAGGACGTCTTGCAGAGGCAGGCTGCATTGCAGCAGCAGAGATTGAACAGCATCCTTGCTGAGGGCGACTGGACTGATGAAGGTGAGGAAGACGATGAAGATGAAGACGAAGAAGAAGATGAAGAGGAAGAAGAAGAAGGAGAAGAGTTCAGCGATGATGAGGACTCGCAAGTCTAAGATACAGCAGCTTATAGTGACGAAGAATGCGAAGAATTCGAAGATGAACGGAAATAATCAGTAAAGCTCTTCTGCACACATTGATGAGCAGAGTGATGATTGTAATCGTGATAATTACGCAATATTTACAATATAGACACGGTTCGTCATGGGCTGAACAAAATGCTCTCGTAGCCGTCTCACCATCATAAGGGCCCTTCTCATCATTCCGTCTATTGATGCAGTGTTGGATGATCAGGCTCGCGTAGTGAAGACCACACACTATAGTCTCCAAGGTGTCACACTCATGAATCAAGTGTTAAGACATCTCAGTAACGCTCTCCTGTGGATGCTAGTATTCATAACGGGTGATGTGTCATTGAGTCTGCATACTGTTCTCAATTTTATTTTTCATTTCATCCAGATGTATGTTTAGCCATATAGGTACTCCGGTGCTGCTTTCGATGCGGATGTCACTCGTCCAAGCCATGTCTTCAGTTCAGGAGACTTGTTCGTTGAGAATTTCCCGACGCTAAATCATATCCGTCTCAATTTGCCTCAGCCATTGCCCCAGAGCTATGCGAGTGCTAAGCAGCATTCATGAGGGTTCAAAGAGGAGGATCACATCACGAAAATTATCAATCGAAATGACGCAGACTTGTCACGAAACTGGTGTTTCTAGGTCGCGAACGCAGAGAACATGTGAAAATGTTGGTCAAACAAAAATATGAGATTTGCACATCTACAACGGCGCTGTGACTAACATGCCAGGCTATAGCCCGTTTAGGAAATGTTGCGTCCAGGGGTGTCATGGGACTCAGCACGTGACTCAATAATTTTCTGCCGTTCTCACCGCTTTTCGAAACCCACAGGCTAATGGCCGACCGACTTTGGTTTTTCGTTTTGCACTTTGCACCTCTTAGCCAGACATCCCATCCTTCGACAACCGACGACCATTCCCTCCATCAACGATTGCTCTGGTGATTCAATAACTCATCAGGTACGTGCAAACAGAATTGCTATCCCAAGACCACCTTGTTCTCCCAAACAGTTCGACACCTGCGGTTATTTGGTGAAAGGGTCCTTGGCAGATTTTCAATCCTGCCAACCAAACCCACCTACCCTTGGGAATACCTTCGCTGACTTTTCAATATCTGCACTCAGACACCGCAATCATGGGTATCTCACGAGACTCTCGCCACAAGCGCTCCGCCTCCGGTGCCAAGCGTGCCTACTACAGTGCGTCCCCGATAACATACAAATGAAAAATAATCGAAAGCCCGTATCGCTTTCGGAGCTCTGCTGTGCTCCTGGCCCCCCTCTTTCCGAGGGTAGGCCATGGGCACTTCAACCTCCGGGACATACGTTCTGACCTTCGTCAACAGGGAAGAAGCGCGCTTTCGAGCTTGGCCGCCAGCCAGCGCAGACCCGTATCGGCGCCAAGCGCATCCACACCGTCCGCACCCGCGGCGGCAACCACAAGTACCGTGCCCTGCGTCTGGACTCTGGTAACTTCGCGTGGGCCTCGGAGGGCACCACCCGCAAGACCCGTGTCATCGCCGTCGCGTACCATCCGTCCAACAACGAGCTCGTCCGTACCAACACCCTCACCAAGTCCGCCGTCGTCCAGATCGACGCCGCCCCCTTCCGTCAGTGGTACGAGGCCCACTACGGCCAGCCCCTCGGCCGTAGGCGCCAGGCCAAGCAGGGCAAGGAGGAGGAGCCCGTGAAGAAGTCCAAGTCCATCGAGAAGAAGCAGGCCGCCCGCCTCGCTGCCCACGGCAAGGTCGAGGCCGCCATCGAGAAGCAGTTCGAGGCCGGTCGTCTGTACGCCGTCATCGCCAGCCGTCCCGGCCAGTCCGGCCGCGCTGACGGTTACATCCTGGAGGGTGAGGAGCTCGCCTTCTACCAGCGCAAGCTCCACAAGTAGATGGTGGTTGCCGCGCAGGCGGCGAGGACGCGCCCTTGGGGTGCGACAACAGCTCAGGATGCAAGGATAGCTTAGCGGGAGGGAGAAAGGAACCCTCTCACCAGGCGAAATCGGATTCGGTGTTCTACGGATCGGCTGCCCTTATGAAACGGTGGCTATGGCTGTACTTCAGCAGTGAGATGCCCATTTGGTCGTTTTTCTTCAGGTTCATTGCATTGGGACGGGAAAAGGGAACAATCAAAAAAGGAACAAATGCCTTTACGTGCGCAATGAACATCCGGTCCATCCTGCCAGCTCTTGTGTATCTGCAGAATGTGAAATGAGACCTATGCTCACCACGGTCTATGCCATCCATCCCTTGATTATCAGCCAGCCCAACATCGTAGATGGTCGCAAGCGATCTTCCCGAAGAGAGAATTGTAGACTTGCACCGCTTCTTTTCCATCACGTCCCAACAACACAGTAAGTCCCTCAAGGTTCTTTGGGTTTCCTCATGTAAGTATCATGTACTAGCCTTTTGTCATACGAGGCTCTCACCCGATCATACACTGTAGAAATGGCACAGTTGATAGAAATCGACACAATGCAATTGGGCAGGACCACACGGATGACAACGTCTTTGCACATACATGGAGACGGACAACTGTTGTTGGTATTTGGGTACGCTTTCCCAAAACCGCCCCGGAATCATGTCTAAGTAACTCATGCTATGTATGCCCCAGTAAAACAAGGCGCCACGCCAACCATGGTGGCTGCGGCTGCTGCTGTTGGCTGCCGCTGCCATTGCGTGCTCTCAAGTCAGTGATCGCTCGGCCGGCCTCTGCGTGTGTTTGTGTTTCAATTCTCCAAATTGCTGTTCTCTGTGACCCATGACGCCTGCCCTTTCGAAGGGGTTGCTGTTGCTGCTGTTGCTGCTGCTGCTAGTAGTTGTAGATGATATGACATAGATTACACCGCACCGCCCTCGCTCGAGTGATCGCCTAGGCTTCCTGGCCGGCTAGATTCAAGCAGCTGCTATTCCTGCCTGTCTGGAGGTAGGAATTGGGAGGCATCATGTCCAGTCCTGGATCTCTTTATGCGAAGGTACGCTTGAGATCGTTCCACTTCCTCAGAAGGGTCTCATGCTGGGAGTTTATCTACCAGGTGATGTCAGCCACAATTCTCTGCTCGTGTTCCGTAATTGGTGCAAGAAGTATAACTCACCTCAGCATACTGCATCTTGGTCTGCACCAGCTGCTCCTCCAACTCGGCCATTTCTTTCTCGACCTTCTCGTTCTCCTCATGTACCCGCTGGTTTCGCTCGATAAGGGCATCTCTCTCGAGCTTCCACTGCTCTTCGATGTCGATGGGCTGCCTCTCAATGACGATCTTTAGCTCCCGAACCTGGCCCTGTAGCGACTCGTTTTGGTCCTTGAGTTCCTCGTTCTCGACCTTGGTGTGCACCAGCTCCGTTGCCAGGTCCGCTTGCTCGCGGTCCACTGCTTGCAGCCGAGTCTCTAGCTTGCGTAATTTGGCAGCGTAGCTCGTGTTCTGCGACCGCAACGTCTCGAGCTCCAATTGTTGCTCTTTCTCGGTCCTGGTCTTTTCTTCCCATTCGCCGCGGTAGAACTTGAGGATTTCGGGCGTAATCTTGACTTCACAAGCGTCATGCACAAGTTGGTCGGCACGGTAGACCTCCTTGTCCATGCTTGAGGTAGAGCTGCCAAAGAAACCGTTTTCAAGAATGCTGTTGGCGGTTGGTGCGGACTCAATATATACATCGAATAGTCGATCCCTGAGGTAAGTAGTGAGTTGCGACATGTCGGTCATGCCAAGGAGTATTTGCGCGTTCTTTTGCATCAAAACGATGCCAAATTTGAGAATAGCCGACAAGCCCTCGGAGAGGATGAGGTCGTAGATGCGGAGGACCAGCTGCAGTGGGAAGCGGTAGGAGAAGAGGGTGAGGAACCACTGCGTGGCGTAGAGGTGTGGGGAGATGCCTCGTCTTCTGAGGTGGCAATAAAGAGCGGGCTCGATATCTTCGAGTAGTCGCTCAAATTGGTACAAATGCATGTGCAAACCAGGCATGTCCTGAATGAACAGTTCACGCAGGTGATATTTGTTCATCAACCGCACCAGGAGGCAGAAGGCCTCTTCCTCGGACATCTAGACAGATCGTTAGTAAATAATGGTCATCGGACCAGTATGGGCACGATTGAGTCTTACATTGAAAAGGAGGGGCATAATCAAAAAGTTCATGCCCTGGGCGTAACCGACATCCTCATCGTAAAGCGCGTATGCCTTGCAGACACCAAAGAGGCCTTCTTGGAGCCCCTGAGCAGAGGCGAATTTGGAATAAGCCGTCCGGGCCCCAACATCCTTTCGGATAGTCTTCTCCAGCCTCTGGATCGCGGCCACATCTTCCTTCGTTGTCTTCTTTCGCTCAATCCCTAAGATTGCTTGCGCTTTGGCGGAGGGTTGGTCGTCATCCTTTGGTGGGGGAGACGGTGCGCCATTGATGCCAGAGTCCCCAGAATGTATAGATGATGCTGATGAGTGGACGCTGTTGCTATGGCTGTTGCTGTGGCTGTTGCTGTTGCTCCTGGCACCCAGCGATGCATTACTGTGTCGGTCCTGTTCCTTGTCTGTGCCCCTACGCACCAGGTCTCGGTAGACGGCCTCCAGTTCCTGGTCTTGGCTCTGTGCAAGAACCTGCCAGATGACGCCCCTGATTGCACTCGGAATGCCGGTCGCAATGGCTCTGCTCAGTTCCTCGGGACTCGTCTTGGCAACAGCCGCGGGTCCTTCGTACACTACAGACTGCCACAGATCCCAGTCGACTGGTTGGTCTGACAGTGTTGATGGCCCAGCTGCTGCCCCGGACGCAGTTCCAGGGGCCAGATTCGCGGTTGCAGGGTTGGGTGAGGCCGGCGGTTGCGCAGATGTCGCATCCTTGTCCTCCGCCGACGTAGCTACCAGCCCATTGGGACCTTTGTTCACCAGATTGGCGATGCCATTCTTGTCACCGTCGTCGGGAAGACTCGTTATGCCCGCCTCTTCCCTCATACGCATGGCCTTGAAACGGTCCTTCAGGCTATTCCGCACATTACCGTTCACCCCGTTGGCGCCGCCCTCCTCTTCCAGCCTACCGAGCATCATCTCTGGGTTGCTAGTCAAAGTTGTCACCGAGCTGGCAGTATTCCTCCTAGGCGACAGATCTGGCGGGGACGAGTTTGTCAAGTCTTTGGATGAGCTTCTAGACAACCACGAGAAAGCACTGGCGAGCTTCCGAGGTGGGGCTGGTGCGGGGGCTTGTGCCTGTGCTTGTGGTTGAGCAGGAGGAACCCCTGGGGAGGTAGGCGCTGGAGCGGCAGCGGGGGGCGTGTCGAGGTTCTTTGGTGATTCTTGAGCACCAGGCGACCAGGGCATAGCAGGAAGGGCGCTTGTCAGACTGCTCAGAGATATCGTCTTCTTGGGCTCGCTCTCGCTGGGGCTCATCTTGACGTTCTCTACTTCTGCTTCTGCTTCTGCTTCTATACCTCTGTCAGCACGTGCTATTTCCGGGCAGTCAATAAACAGATCACGAGCCTTTTTCTTGTGTTGGGGCCTCGTCATCGAGGCTTACTTCTGCAAGCTGGCTGTTGGAGGTCACGGACAAGCGCTGGCTGGGGGATATCGAGGGCCTGCCCGGCTGTGCTAAAGATTGCTCATTGTCCTCGGCTAATGGTGTGTCGTCGACGTCCTCGAATTCGTCTTTGGTGTCTACCTTGGAGTCTTCTTCTGGCTCGGCGGCGTGGATGCTCGTGTGCTCTTCTTGGGACTGTGCCTTGTCATTTGACTCTGGCTCGACGGGCTGAGGTTTTGGGGAGGTTCGCCGAGTTAGAGAGCGGATAGAGGATGTGTCTGGGACGGTGTCTTGGGCGTCTTCAAAGCTGTCCTGTATAGCGATTGGCGATGTTAGCACCATGTAATCTCCGGAGGGCAATAACACGCCGAGCAAGGGGCCTTTTGTGGCGTGGACGGATGTATGTGACGGGCTGGGCGCGCATGGGCTGCTGTGTGACGGCAGGCGCCGGCGTGTAACCAGGCCAGCATTGAAGGGGCAGTGGCAGCTGGCTCTGAGGACGAGAAGCGGGAGATAGGGGACGGCGCCTCAAAGGAGATAAGGTTTCCGTGGCTGCATGCAAGGGAAATTCGAAATTCAAGAGCAGCGTACCATTTCGCGGTCCGAGTCGGCGGCGGACTCGACCTCCCTGTCTTCGGCCTTGAAGGCGACAGGGGAGACTGGGGAGACTGGGGCGACGGGCGAGATGGGAGAGCGGACGGCCGCTTCTTGCTGTAGGACAGACATGTTGGGTGTTGCGGTTGGGAGGAGAGGTGAAGGGTCAAGGGAGGGAGGTTGGTTGGTGTAAGTGAGAGGGCAGGTTGGATGTTCTGCCCGGTATTTCGAAAAAAAGTCGCGGGGGCGCCGCGTCTGGAGGTGGGCGGGCGCTTGGGACCAAAAAAGGGGGAGAATTGGAGAGCTGTTCACAGCTTGGATGCAGCTTTAGGCCATGGGTGGATTGGCTGCTGGGATGGTCAGTTTAGTCGAGTGCCGGCAGTCCGCCCGTCATGTCATGTGAATCGAATCGATGCGATCGAAATCAAAATCCAATCCAGTTGAGCCTCGAATCAAGGACCGTGCTGCTGCTGCTGCTGCTGCTGCTGATGATGATGATGATGTTGCTGCTGCGAGTACAGGTGTTGTTCCGAGACAGAGTCGTTATTGCATGCAATGGGCAATCAAAGGTGATGGCAGACAGTAGACTACTACTAGTAGTAGATGGGACTGGACCGTACTATGCTGCAGACAAAAAAGTATGCGGTGGTGTGGTATGCGGTGTGGGGGGGTGTGATGAATACGGACGGAGTAAACTAATGGCCAAGACAGATGACTGAGTTGGGGTGAGTGAGCAGGCGAGCAAGCAAGCAGCACCAGCAGAGATGGAGCTCGATGTGCATGTGCGTGTGCGTGTGCGTGTGCGTGTGTGCTGTGCTGTGGACGTGTCGTGTGTGTGTGTGTGTGTCCGTCTGTCTGTCTGTCTTGTAGCCTTTGTTTCAACCGCTGCCGTTTGACGTGATGCGATGGCGGTCTGGGAAAATAAAGAAGGCTTGAAACGGCCAGGATCCGTACCGTACCGGCCTGGACCAGGTCTTGAATGGAATGTGGAATGACAGGGACAACGATGATGATGATGATGATGATGGCCGATGGAGATTGTTTGACCTCGACCTTGACCTCGACCTCGACCTCGACTGCGACCCTGTCCTTGTCCTTATCCGCGTGCTCGCCTCGTCAAACGGCCTTTCTCCCTCCGCGGCTCACCACCAGTGATCACCACTGATTGACTGACGGACTCTGACTTGACCGTCTCTTCTCCAAACCACCAGACCAAAAAAATTGGCGGGACCGGGGACCCAAGGCCCAGGGGTTCTGCAGGGGTCCACCTCGGCTAGTCGACTAGACCAGGCTGGCTGCGGGCTGGATGGACACCACGACACGGACTAGTCCATCTGGCATCTGGAGGGGTCGGCCGGCCACGCCTTGTATGAGCACGGGCCTTGAGGATGCGATTCGATCAGCAGCAGACCACAGCTCCCCGGAGTATCTGTCTACTATGTAGTCTATGTGTACACGTACGCAGAGGGACGGTTTGATCCCATGTCATTCATCTAGACTATCTCATAGAGTGCCTCAGATATCATACAATATATGGGTGAACTTCCTAGACGAGGTCATTGTGTAGAACGCTGTCTGTCCTACTGGAATGGTACATCTGTTCATTCACACACCGATCTTTGAGAACTCTGCAAACTGTCATAGATAGCATGTGTTCGAGGACCCCCTTTTCCACTTCCTTCTCATGTGGGTAAGCCACGACTATTTCCACCTCGCAGTAATGTTGTGACAGCCGACTCGCAGTCAGACCATTTGCCGGTATTCGACTCGTCAACAAGAGAGAGAGAGAGAGAGAGAGAGGCCCCCAAAACCCCGCCGCCTTTTCGACCGCAGCAAGTCAGCCTCCCTGAAACGAAACAAAACAACCTGGGCAAAGCAGGACAGAAAGGAACAGAACAGACAGACATACCATCAACGCCCAAGCTGACTGTGCCTCCATCGGCTCCATGTGCCCTGCCCCGTCCGTCATCGGGCCCCCAATTCAGCACCATCACGGCGAACCGAGACCAACTCCGCCGGCCGTCATCACCGGCCACCAGCCGTTTCATAAACACTCCACCACCCCATGCTTTACGGAATTCCTCCGGTGGCCCTTTCTTGTCAAGCTGGACAAAGGGAAAGGACGCAGACTGTCGTACAGATAGTTACCAGGTCTCGGTAAAACACCGGTCCACTCTCCGTCCTCACACACAATCAAGTGGCTCTCACAAATTGATCACAAATTGCACACAGGTTAGAAAATATCTGAGAGCTGCGACATTCCGCCTGCCTAATCTATGAGGATGACTAGAGGTATTCAGTTTCCACGGCCTGCACTCCGTTTCCATGTGTACCTCTCCTCCAAAGGCGGTCCAAAAACCTCAGCCTAGCATTCCCTGTTCTCTCGCCAAGGCATGCCGATGATACAGAAAACAATACAATACATAACACTCCCAGTGCTTGGGGCGAGCCATCTGATTGCTGCCCATGCTGTAGTTTCTCCTTCCCTTCCGGAACACCAGACCCCTTGTAAAACAACCGGAATTTTATGCTGCGAAAATGCATACCACCGTGATGCCATCCTCCTGCACTCTGTGTGTCTCGCATTCCTCTCAGGCGAAACCAAAGTAGTCGCCACCCGTCGTGATGGCCTTGATGACCTGGCTGCGGAGAGCCTCGTAGCTTTCATACTCGGGGAGATCAAGTTCTGAGGCAACAATAGTCAGTACCTGTCAGGCACGCCGTGGACAAATGGGGAGGACCCAAAGGAGAAAGGGGGGGGGGGGGTAAACTTACGATTGAAGCATGTGTGCGAGCTCGGCAGCCTGTCTTTGTTGCCGTAATCACGGTGGATGTTAAAGCGGTTGACACCGTTCATGCCCTCCAGCTCCTTGAAGCCGTTTAGCGGCACCTTGGACGTGCCCGTCACGAATTGCAAGAGCTTGGCCTGCTCCTCTTTGTCGAAAGAGCGCACCGCGCGCCAGAACCACTGGATCTGTTGTGAGGCCGCTGTATAGTTGTGATACTCAGTGTTGCTCTTCCAGTCATCCACGTCGATGTCGGGAAGACCAGAAATGAGCAGCTCCAACTCCTGCTCGTTGAAGATGGCAATCAGGTCTGCCGGAATCACGCCGTGGAAACCCTGCAAGAAGTGCTCCATCTGGATCTTGACGGATGATAGGAGCTTGTGCTCTACTATGAGCCGGACGTATTCGTGCTTGTTCTCGTTGGTCACCTCAATGTTGCGGCCGTTCTCGATTAGGTCAACCACCTTGCTCGCGCCGAACTCGTCTTCCTCGACCGAGAAGGTCTCAATAACTGTGCCCGTTATGTCGTTCTCCAGCATCCAGACCAGTGATTTGTAGTAGTCCGGGTCGAAAGATTCCATGTCCTTGACAGACACGGGCTTGCCGAGGATGCGCTTGTACACGGCACGGCTGAAGTAGCAGTCCAACAGACGCCCTTCGTAGACGGCCTTGCCGATGATTCGCCCGATGAACTTAAAGAACGCCAGGTGCTCCTCATTGTAATGACTGGACTTGTTCGGGTGGAAGGTCGTGCGATCAGCAGACACAGGAGTGAACAAGATGTAGTCGGGGTTGAACATAGCCCTAGTCAGGACCTGGAACCACTCTCTGGTGACACCTCCGGCGTCGACGCCCTCTTCACCGTGGAAGCGCACGTTCAACTTGCCATACTTGACCTCATCATCAGACTTGAAGGCAAGGGCCCGGTAAGAATCGTGGAAAACATTGTCTCGTCGAACGTTGACAGACAGTGGCGGGTAGGATGGCCGGGTATGGCCACTCTGCTTAGCATGCACAGTCCGGGTGAAGTAGCTGCGCTTGTTGTCGAATTCCAGCACCTTGGGGTTCTTCACCAAAAGAGAGAATGTGCCTGACATGAGCTTGTTGTTTTGTCGCACAAGCTCGTTGAGTATTCTCCGGTGTTCGTTGGTGAAAGTGAAGAACAATCCTGCCATGGCGTCCTCAGGCGGTGGACTGGAGAGGACCATGTCCTTGTTGAACTGGCTCTTGCTCTGGGGTCCATCCTCAAGTGTTGTGTTCTTGCAAACAACCATGAGTGATTCGATGAGTGGCAGAAGGATGGTGGCAACGTTCAACATGCTGTCTCGTTGGCGAATAGCCGCAAGACAACCGCTCAGCTTCTCCCACATCTTGTTGAAGGTCTCGTTGTGGTAAAGAGTCATGAGCAAGCTGGACTTCTCATCAGCCGCAGCCGCATCGCCTGCGTCACGGTTCTCATCCTTCTTGGTCTCGAAGAGATGATCAAGAGCAGTAAGAACGCGGAGAAGCTTGTTCTGCTCTGAAGCGCCAGGTGAGAACTTGGCGAGTGCCAGCCCCTGGATCTCCGTGCCAGACTCTGCCTTTGAAATGTGCGGCATGAGTTCGTCGAGCTCTGACACGATATTCTTGCTGAGCAATTGAGCTTGCTTCACGAGCTCTCTTCCAAAGGCCTGCTTTGCTTCAGGGATGTTGGACAGATTCTTGATGGTTGAGATAGTATTCTGGAAAGTCTTCGAGCTGCATTCACGAGCAACAAAGATCTTGACCACAAGCTTCAAATTCTCTGGAGGGATGAATGGAGGCTGAAGCTGTCGAATCTTCTTCTGCTCGGATTGCGGCTTGTCCGCAGCTGCCTCTGCCGGTTTAGAGGATGTCTCTGCCGGAGCCTCGGCCTGGGCAGCAGAAGAGTCCTGTGCGTTTTCGGTCGTGGCGGGAGCACTCTCGGTCTGCTCTGCACCCTCCTTTGTCTTCTCTGCTTCTTTCCTGGCCTCTTCTTCGGCCTCCCTGCGGCGCCGCTCTAGTGCCTGAAGTGGGAGCGTAACTTTGTTGAGAAGGTCCACGAGAAGTTGCATCACAGTAGAGCTCTCCATGACGAGATCACGATCAAGGAGATGCAATAAGGAGTTGATGGCGTACTTATGAACCTTCAGATCCTTGGTTTTACCCTTGCGGTTATGCGCCTGCTTTAGAGAGACGGCGATACCTTCATGCTCGGTCAAGAAGAGGGAAGGAATGTGAGGGTTCCTGCCCGAAAGTTCCACAAGCAAATCGAGACATTGCTGTACGACCAAGAGAGGAGAGATCTCCGAGTTCTGTTGAATATTGTTGGCCGAGCTAATGTTCGTAAAGGTCCGCTTAAGACTCTGAGGAGTCTTGAAGTCCTTGTCCTTCTCCTTGTCTTTCGGTTGCTTGGCCTTGAGAGATAAGGAACTGAAACTGCGCTCGACGGCCTCCATGTCGGTGCTCCCGAATTGAAGGATTTGGAGAAGGGAGCCAATGACCTCGAATCGATTCTGACGGTTCTCGCAAATGTCACCGAGCACACGGAAGAGGTGGCTGCGGATGGAGCCCTGCTGGCTCACAAACATGAGGCGAAGGAGTGTTGCCACACCTGCCTTGTCCAGCATCTGAACAATGGTGCGACGTTGCACTTTATTATCGGTTCCAGTCGCGGGTTCAGGTGCGTTGCGGACCGCATCACGTGTGCGGAACATGGTGGTCGTGGTCCGGTGGTATCGCTCCGCCAGAGCCCGAGCTTCTTCGGCCAGATCTGGGGGCAGCTGATCCATAATTTCGTTGCCTTGCTCCATGAGAACCGTCTGCCTAAGGTCAGGAGGGAGGGTCGCCAAGATACTTGCAGCATCCATATCCTGTGCCGCGGGAGTCTGCCCAATTGTCGCGGTCTGGCGCCGTTGCGCCTCACGCTCTGCCCGCCGACGTTCATGTCGCTCTGCCTGGACGATTTCGTGCCGTATATCCTCGGGGAGCGCATCTAGGAACTCTTGGAAGACCTCGCCCTGCTCTCCAGCAGAGCTGTCTGCTGCGGCTGCGCGAGCCTCCGTGCGTCGAGAAGTGACGGTCTGCGCAATGACCTCCTCCCTCAGATCTTCAGGTATAGCGGCAAGATACTCAGGGTCGATTCCGAGCTCGGTGACATCGACTTCTTCACCTCGGATTGTCGTAACTACCCGCGGTTGTGGAGGTCCAGATTCTTCTTGTTCGGGCTGTCGCGAGTCCTCAGCCGTCTCAACGCCTTCCATTGGCTGCGGCTCGGCGCTCTCAGAGCCTTCAGCGGAAAGCTCGTCATTTTCTGCGCCAGCCTGAGCTGCTGCTTCGGCTGCTTCGGCTGCCACGCGCTCCAAACGCTCGCGCTCTTCAGCCTCTGCCTTTTCTCGTGCTGCCTTCTCCTCAGCCTCCTTGGCCTCCCGCGCTTTGCGCTCTTCTTCGTGTCGCTTTTGACGCTCTTCTTCCTCTTTGCGCCGGCGCTCGGTCTCCTCAGCCTTAGCTTTCTTCTCTTGCTCAGCAGCGTAAGGTGTAAGCTTCGCCCAGATGTAGGTATTCAGCCTAGTCGCCTTTTCCTGGTTCATGTGACCGAAGACCAGTCGAGCTTCATCGAGCCAACGCTGATCAGTCGTGGCTGGAGCAAACCCAACTGCTTGCTGCGGCTCCTGGTACACCTCACGCCGGGTCTCAGCCCGCACGTCACGGCTGTGCTGGCCAGCCCTGAGAGGAATACTGAACTCTTGGACCTCACCGCGGCCGCCAGGACCCTGAATTTGGAAGGATAGATGAGGAGTCCTTCCTGCGATACCAGGAGGCAAATTCGCCATAAGGTCACTCAGGATGCTCATAGGGCTGTCGAGGAAGCTATGCAAGCCACCAAATCTCTGCACCGATGAACCAAGTGGGCGAGGGGAAGCGTCGCGAGCGTTGCTGGCGCCTCGGCGGAGGAGAGGATTGAGGCCATCGTCTTGGTTGGCGGCTGGTCCTGGGGCTCGGCTCCGGAAGTAACTACGGAAGTCTGTTGCAGGATCAGTACGGCGGTTCACTATAAGTTGAGACAGAACAGCAGTCATCTCCTGCTCAAAAGATTGCGCCCCGCGCGCGACCATTTGAGCCTCTGATTGACCAGAAGACGTACCACCGAGTGGATCGCCGCCCCGAGGTCCACCGCCAATGACGAAGGGGCCAACTGGGAAGGGACTGCGGCGAGGCCTTGGAGGGCCGCGTTCGACAACGAGAGCATCCCAGCCTAGACCGGCTGGCATAGCTGGAGGAGCAATCTCATCTCCCGGTCCTGCTAATGATATTGGTATGATAGAACAATGATAAAAGGTTTCGTGTTACTTACTTGGGTAATCATAGATGTAGTCGTCATCCACATCAACTTGCTCGTCTTCGTCATCTAAGAGAGAAATCAGTACGCTATTCGGTGTCCTATCGGGGGCTTTTTTCAGTCAAAGGGCTGACTAACCATCGTCTTCGGCTTCTTCGTCGTAACGGTCGCCACCGAAATTGAACCCTTCCTCAGCTAAGATGTGGTGGTGATGATGTCCGTCTGCATGGTCTTCCTGCATCAGCTCTTGCAGCTCATGTAGCGGATTGGGCATGTTGGCGAGCTCGTCAAGGTCATGCACTCCATCTTCGTAGGCTTGACCCTCACCGTCCTCGTCACCTTCATCCTCGTCGTCGGTCTCGCTCTCCCAGCCAGAACCGCCATCATCATCAATCGGGTTTCCTTCCTCGTCGACGATTTCGATGCGATCTTCGATGTCGTCCATATCTTCTGAGCCGACTTCGTCGTCGTCAGCATCGTCGTCGTCGTCGCTGAGCTCATCGTCCTCATCCATATCCTCGTCGTCGTCGTCGTCATCATCTTCATCCTCGTCCATGATGACCTCGACTCCAACAGGATCTCCTGGCAGGCCTTCAATTTGACCCATTTCACCAAGCTCCTCCTCATCGTCGCTGACGTCCTCCTCGCCATCTTGGGACATTTCATCACCATAGTCAAGCTCGTCGGGGTACTCTTCGTCGTACATCTCCTCGTCCTCTGGAGGAATTGTTAGCATGAATAATATTCAAGCGCAAGGGGCAGTCTTACCGTCTTCGTCGGAATCCTCGTCGAAGTCTTCTTCACGGCCAGCCTCGAGCATGCCCAAAGCGGAGTTGCGGTAAAGGTCAGGAGTCTCTTCGCGGTCGTCTTCTAAGTCGGAGAGCGATGAAGCCGATAAAACTTCATCCTCGACGTTGTCTTGGGGACCAGACGGCAGTAAGTTGGCATGGCTGAGGGCAATCCCTGTGCTTGTCATGATCTGCAGGACACGGAGGATATACTTGATGGTGCGCTTGACGCCAGGAAACGTGAGGTCAATGTCGGCAATAGATGAGGTCAGTGCTGGCAAGAAGCTCTTCTCATACATCAACCGCTTGAGCTGCATGTGTGAGCGGCTGGTCGCCGAGTGGTCTGAGAAACGGGGACTTGCCGAGTCGGCCTTGTCACCCATCATGTTGATCATGAGCTCAGCCAGGGACAGTAGCTTGGCATACCTCACGTCGAAAGGTTCGCTCGGCAGGGATGCGTCCTTGTATGCCCGGAGTATCATGTCCAGAACCCACTTGCGGACGAAAAGCAGATCAGAATCATCATCATAATCAAAGCGGTCGCGACTCCGATCCACTGGCCTCTCGTTGGTCTTAGCAACCAAGGCCACGAGCACTTGGCGTGCCTGCTCAGAAGTCGCAGCCTTCTTCTTCGCGGCAACGCTGTCCTGTGGAGAGCTGAGACCGCTCGTACAAAGCAGATCATTGAGTAGGTAGTTGAGGACGCCTGAGCGAGGCTTGACGGGTGTGTTGGCGAACATCGGGGCGTTACGCTTGAAGTTGATGAATTCCATCTTCTTGCTCGTATAGCTCTGCAACAGCTCGGCTAAGCAGTGGAGCAAGAAACAGCGGTAGACGAAGATGGGGTGTTCTTCAGCCTTGAACGATGACTTCGGTGGCTTCTTATCTTTGTTCTCAGCGTTTTGCTCCTCCATAGGCGTGGCCTCATTACTCGCAGCCCCAGGATCATCACCAGGTGCAATCGATTCCTTGACGGTATCTGTTGGCTCTTTGTCGGCAACCTCTCGGTAGTTGAGCAGCTCGCAGAGGAGGAAGTGAATCACGCCATCAGGATTCTCGACGACAGGTCGTTTTGACTCTGCTGGAGAGGACTTGACCACATCAGTCATCTCCTTATCAGCGGGCTCAGTAGTTGGCTTGACATCGCTGATGGTGAGCTCCTCCGTGGCCTGAACAGCTGGCTCCACTGATTCGCTCACTTGAAGCGAGGCTGGTGGCTTTTCGCCGGGTCTCTCCTTGAGCGCCAGGGTGACTCCTCTGGTGGTGGGCCCTGAAGGATCGCTTGATGTTTGAAACCGCCCAAGCCTGACAGTCTCATTCGTTATCTCGATAAAGACTTCTGGCGACCTCAATGCGACATGTGCAAGGCTTCGAGTGTAAGTGGGTATGTCGATGGCTCGGGGGTTCCTGTGACCCATTTGCTCGAAGTACCTCCGAATCTCGCTTCGCATAATCTGCCGAAGAGTGTCTTCGTCCTCAACAACGTGTCTCAAAACCGTCATTACATTTCCGGAAACTGTCGAGTCTTTCAGGCGAGCGGATCCCAGCCCAGATAGCTGCTTCGTCATGACGAAGAGACGCTGGAGGTTCCTCTTGTCACCTACAACTTTCGCCACTGACCGGCTCCGTGTGAGGATCACCAAGACACGGAGGACCGCAACCGCCAGGTTCTCGTTCTTGCCGATACGAGGCAATATCTCCAGGACGGATTCCAGCAAGACGCCTCGCTCTGCCTCCGGGATAATTGGCTCTTTAGCCTGGAGTACTGGATCCTCGATCTTGTCGTTCTCAGTGGCTGGTGGAGTCCACTTTGCCTCCACAGGTTGTGCATCATCCGCCAGAAGCATTTCAAATATCAACAATATGTGAGGAATCCATGGAGGCAGCTCCTCGTTGGAGTTGCCTGGCGGCACCTTCAAAAAGCTGAGATATTCCGAGACATTGTCCTTAAGGGTCTTGACGGTAGATTTGAAGAAGCGAGGCGAGCCATGGAGCATCAAAGATAGCAAGTGAGCATATGCAGCTATGCTCCGACCATTCGAAGTCTTCTCCTCGTCGTCAAGGGCGTAGGACATCAATGCATTCGCCAGAGTCTCGCCAACCTCCTCCCGAGCATCCTCACTATCTGGGCGGTCAATTGTAACGTTGATTAGCTCAGAGACCTCGAATACCGAGTCAGGGTGTGCTCTTATGACATCGAGGCACCGGTCAATGAGATCTTTTCGCAGTTTCTCTCGCTCCGCATCGAGATCCTCTTTTGACACGAGCGGCCGATCGGCAGGTTCTTGCTCCGTGTTTTCTGATGCGGTTGCAGTCGCAGCAGCCACAGGAGTGGAAGAAGACTCGTCCTCGTCCGGTTGAGCGGGAGCCTCACTGTCCCTGGAATCGGAAGAGACGCCACGGTCTACGAGCGCTTCACCTATCAGCTGCGCTAGTTCGGGGGCAGAGTCCACAACCATTGCTTCCCTTAGCAGGTCAGAACTGCGAGAGGACGCGGGCGTCTGGCTCGCTGAGCCGTTCGCTGCTGGTGAGGTGAGCTGGAAAGCATCCTCAGAGGGAATCGAGTTGCGTTCTCCTGCAAGTCCCTTCACGTGCATCCTGCAGTACTCGCTCGCGTTCTCCTGAACTCCCACGGCGCGGTATACTGCCTCGCGAGCGAGGTCCTCTGGATATTCTTCCGCCAAGCGTGTAGTCTGAGCTGCATATAGGTTCCACGGAAAGGTCGCTTGCTCTCGCTTGAACAAAGGTACAGCCTTGGGCAGCTCACTCCTGCGCCACGCAGAGCCCTCGGTCTCTGCTTGGCATATTGTCTTGAGGATGTCTACGACTTTGCCGACGACGTCTGTGGAAGCTTTGTCGATCAGATTCGAGCGCCATAGCTTCGAGACAGTAGGCAGCACCGACATTCGAAGCTCGACGACAAACTGGTTGATGGTCTGGAACCACTCATTCTGCCGGTTGCTTGAGGATCGACTGCCCACATTAAGGTGCTGGATAGAGTCTGCAAGGTTTTTGCCATTCACGACCACAGAGTACAGATCGAGGATTTTCTTGGTCCCGATGGATGCGAGCTTAGCGGTGGCTGATGCTTCCTCTGTTTCGTGCTCCTTGGTAACCTCTTCTGTGAAGACGTTGAGAAGCTTGTTGAGGACGTCAAAACCGCGCCGCTGTTTGAAGGCGTCGAGAACAGGTACGATTACACTGAAACCAGGCCGATCACTATGCCGAGCAGAGTCGACGAGCATTTCGTGAACAATGTGCAACATAATGATGCAATATTGCAGCTCAGACTTCGTCAGAGCCTTATCGACGAAAGGCTCCAGCTGATCCAACACCGTCTCGGCGAGAGCGTCAGCCAGTTGCATGTGTTTGGCTCTAGCGTAGCTGTCTCGCTCCCGGCGACTCATCAGTGCTTTACCCAGGGTTTGGAAAAAAGAATAAGCGCTTGGCATGAGTGACTGTAACAGGACCCTCAGTATCTGATAATTTTGATACTGAGCAGTGGATTGCTCCTCTGTCGAGGGCCGGCTCTGTCGGCTTGGGTCTGATTGATCCACGGGCACACCGAGACCAGCACCACCAAGCATCTGCGCGAGTGATATATCTTGCTCGCCCATTAAAAGATCACTCGAACTGCCAGGACGTACGTTCGCCAACTTCCGCGCAGTCCAGTGCTGCGGCACAAGTGTGAGCAGGGATATCTCTTCCGAGAGAACGACGCGTAGCAAAGGTCCCAAAGACTTGACCACCGCATAGAAATGATCATACACGTTGACCGCGGGTAGAGAAACAGATGAATGCCGGCTTTGGAAAGGGAAGCAGCTCCAGAGAGTCTTGAGAAGGGATTGGATGTTCAAAAGTGCTTTTGCAACGTTTGTGCCGCTCGATACCTGGCGAACAAGATCGACATTCCAAACACCTGGTTGGTCTTGTCTCAAAGTGGCACCAGGCTCCACGAAGGGTCGGAAGAATGACGGGGATGGAGAGCTGGTTAACAAAGGTTCCAGAGACGACATGGTGGCTTGTATGCGGTTTAGCAACGAGGGCATGCCGATGACGGGAGCATGTTCGATGATGTTGGCAAGAACTTGTTGCAGCATTCCCAAGGCAGCAGAATCTGCAAATTCGTGGGGCAGGCTCGGCAAAACCATAATGTCCAGCAGGTACTCAATCCCACCGCTCTTCGTCAAAGATGTCCTCAAACTGGAATTACTGATGTATGCGTTCAAGAATGACGCAAGAGCGTTGACGTAGGCGGTGATGCTGTCAGGGTTCTTGGAGGTGGGGGAAGTGTCTGATTGTTGGGACGTCAGGTCTTGAATGGGTCCAGCAATGTCTGTCATTTCGACATCTTCAGTCGAGGTTGCTGCCTCTTTACCCTTCTTTGATGGCGCCTCGACCCCAGCCTTTTGCAACAGACCCTCATCGGCATGAACAAGTTTCCCGTCCAGATCGGTCGCAAAGAGCTTGGCTCCCCAACCAGCGGTTTCCGCTTTCAGTATGCCCAAGTGTTTGATCCTTGAGATCATGTCAATAACAGCGTTCGCCACCGTCTGTCTCAAAGCGGGGTGATGTCGAGCGAGCTCGTCAAATTGAAGTCCTATGTTGTAAGCAAGATCGGAATCAATGCCCATAATCCGCACGTGTTCCGGGCTCTCGAAAACCTCCAAAAAGCTCTCCAGAACACGTGAAGATGCTACCAGCCGCAGTCCAACATTGTTGAGACAAATCGAGTTGATGACAGGGATGATGACCGCAGTGGCTTCCGAAGATGGCAGAATTCCGCAAGCCAGCGGTGCGTCTCGCTGGGCTCGGAGCGTTTCTTGGCTTGGAGGGTGTGGGCGTTCATCTGAAGGCAGGACCACCGACTCCTCGGCAGGCGGACCATTCTCGTCGCTCGGCGGATCATCGTCTTTGCGTTCGGCTGCTGGATCTGTAGAGACCTCCCGGCCAGTGAGGGATTCCAGAAGACTCTTGACCATGCCCGTCTCAGAGATAGCGGCAAAACTGGTGGGATCGTTGTTGATAAAGTCGGTCAACAAATTGATGGAGTTTGTCCACACCACCGACCCAAAAGCCTTCGTGTTCTCCATGATAGTTCGTAAGCTTCCGAGAAGCTTCGAATTGTCAACGAGGTTCCTCAGCAGTCGATCAGTATTTGTGTTCTGAGTATAGGCGCCCGGATTCATGATATGGTGAATGAACTTCAGCAACCACTTCAGAGTCTGCTGTTGGACGTAGGGTATCTCGTAATCCACGACACTGGAGTAGAACTCGGGTTTTGTGCCAGCACCAGCCTCGGCGAGACTCTTGGCTGAAGAAGTTGCATCGATCATCAACTGCGCAATGGCATCCAGTCCGTTGGCGCTGACGAACGAGTTAAATGCGGCAGGCGCATAGTTGAGCACAAGCGCATCCACGTAAGAAACAGCTGTGCTGTGCAACCGTTCGGCCACTGTCGTTCGCATGTTGATGATGCTTACAAGGACGTCCATGAAACCAGCGTTAATCATTTCGCCACCGACACGCCCATTCATAGCAAGGTGCAGTGCGAGAGAAAACAAGCTGTCTCGCCAGTCGTCCAACTCGATCGACCTGCCACCGGGTTGCTCGGTTTCCTCACTCATCTCAGCAACTGCCTTCCGGATGACATACAAGAGAACTCCATGATTCACTGTGGCATTCAGCGCCGAGAGCACGTCTTGATACTTCGCGTTGAAGTGGGAAATGGCCTCCAGTAATGAGAGTGCGATCTGCTGCAAAGAACGCGGAGCAGCCGTCTGGCCAGGTGTTGAAGGGTGGATCAGCTCCACCAACTGATAGACCAGGTGGTAGCGTCGGGGCTCGTCATTGTCCTGCTTGAGAACCTGTTCTAAAAACACAAACTCAGGATGTATGTAGGCCAAGTTCGCAATGGCCAGGAGCCGGACGGCCAGGGCCCGCTGACGAGCTTCTGTACCATTGAGCAGAGCCTTGCATATTCTTGCGCGGTTGAGATATTCGTACTGGGAGTTCTTGGGCATGTCCGAAGGAGTGCGTTTCAAGAGGTCATAAATTGTTGAAGAGGACACGATGCTCTGCGGAATCTCAACGGACTTCTGACTGGAACTTGAGGTCCCCTCAGCATTCACGGCCGGAGAGTGCTGGGCTGGGGAAGGAGTGTCGTCAGCGCTTTGTGCAGCTCTGGCGCCGCGCGGTGTTTGGTGCGGAGTCCCAATGGTGGTGCTACGTCGCAAAGGGGTGGGTGTGTTTGGAGCAGACGCATTGATTCGATCGTTCGATGCTTGTGGCGCTGGCTCGCCATCAACCTTCGGGTAGTAGACAACCTTCAGATCACCCCAACCCTTCCAACGACCGTCTGAGCCCTCGTCGGATGAAACCACAGACCCTAGATCATTGGCAATCATGGAGGCCGCGTTCTTGGAGGCTGAGGATTGGACTTTATCCTTCTCCTTGCCCTTGCCCGAGGAGGCTGGCGTGGAATGCGCAGAAGAATCTGCCAGAGTGATGATCGGGGTCTTCACAAAGGATTGTGCGATTTGTTGAACACGGTCAAGTTCAATATTGTAGTGGTTGGCAAGCAGAGCATTGCTGACTTGACGAGAAGGTTGCGTCATGCGCTTCACAGATGCCTGATACCGCTGTGCAAGCTCCAATCCAACCTCCAAGGTCGCTTGAATGACCGACAGACAAGTGCTGTTCAAAAGGTCGTTCAGGTGAGAGCTGCTGGCATAGATGCTCCGATTTCCACAGTGATTCAGCAGCCGCCTGGTAAATTGCAGGACGGCCTGTACGAGCTGAGAATCACCAAATTCTTCGTAACCCAGCGTTCTCAGTTTCTCCTCGTCCCACTCATCCGAGCCGTACTCGTCGACACGCGTACCACGACCAAGCAGGACATCGCAGCCGAAATCACGTGTCTGAGGGCCTTCGTGTAGGTGGTAGACCTTGTTGAAGCACTCGAGTATGTTGTCGAATCGATTCAGTAGAGGGATCCAGTGGTAAAGATCACCACGGGGCAGAGGCCACCTCGCTACAGGGAATGTGTCGAGGAGTTGTGGGAGTTGTGGCAGAGAAACGGTAGAGGCAGTTTGCACAAAGTCCTTGAGCCAAGGGGACTACGTCAAGGGTCAGCGGTCTTTCTTCTTGGGCAATGTATGAAATGGAGAAGGGGAGAAATAGAGAAAGTGTTCGGGTGCAGGTGCGTGTGCATGTGACATACCAGAGTCTCCCTGTGCTTGGGCTGCATTGTCTTGGTGATCTTTCCCATCTTGACGGCGGGAGCGGCAGAGCCGCAGAAATGAAAACTCCCCCACCACTACCTGAGGCCGACTGCCCTGGAAGACAGCTTGGCGGAGTGCAGGAGTGTCCTGCGTTGAGGCACTCACGAAGCAGTCGGGTTGAGTCGGTGGGTGTTGTCGAGCGGGGCGACAGGAGGCTGAGTGATTGAGGAGCAGGAAAGGCGCGATGCGATTGTTAGACGAAGCCTTGGGTGGAGGCCGCGACGGGTGCAGGTCGCCGTGACGTCGTTCCAAGGCAGGCCACTTACGCGCGCGTTCAGGCAGCTAAAGTTGCAGGTTTGGCTGCGAGAAAAGAAAGGAAATGATCTGGGTATCGGTGGTCGTACGAAATGGGAGATGGAGGAGGATAGGCGGAGGAAGATGTTGGGTCGAGGTTGATGATGGATTTTGGAGTTGCTGGTGCAGCCTGCAAAAGTCCAGCAAGCATTTGCGTAATGGGCCCAAGCTTCTTTGGAAGGCAAGCAGCAGCAAGCAGACTCACTGCGTATTGACGTCCGGCAGGCTCCACCCGAAAGGCGATCCACAACAGCAGTTTAAGGAACCTGAGATTGGCGGATGGCGGGGTGCTGCCACAACGCACCTGCCCAGGTTTCTATAATTCACCCTAAGGAAGTTGGTGCTTTCAAAGCACCTGCCACTGTATTGGAAACTGCCTTCCTCTGCTCGAAGCACAAGCTGGTGGCCCGAGTACCAAGGTACCTACTGTGTGTGCAGTCTGCTTCTCTCCACAGAAACGGGCTCGGGGGAGGACGTCTCTACCGGTCAAACTCGGCAAGCAAAACGGGTGAAGCTCACGTCCTTAGCTTTCACGGGGGCGCTTTTCCGAATCCCCCATTCTGGGGTGATATACAGCAAGCAGTAGGAGCCGGTGGTTGTCTCGCATCACCTCGCTTAATCAATCTCAAGTCACTGCCAGGCTTCAATCTTGCATCAATTTGCAAGTTTGAATGAACCACTCTCGTATTGAAGCCGGATTTCTAACCTGCTCCTTGGCCATGCCCCCAGTCCCCCCATGCAAAACAAAAGCAGGACATTCACCGGCTATCCAGGTTTCTTCCCCCTCGCCCATACGCAGCTCAAGACCAGAAGGCAGCTTCATGCTCCATGGCCCCGTCAATCTAATTAAACGCATCTGTTGGCACTGGCTGTTCTGTCGCATTAGAACGAGCACCAGGCGCCAGGCGCTCCGTGAGATACCGCATTTCCAGACCCATGAGGACGTTATTCATGCAGTCCTAGTTGATATATTGCCGAAGCTCCCGGACATGACCAGCGAGATCTGTGTCGCCTGCAGTGCGATTGTTGCCTGGCCTCGCAGGAAAGTCGGGATTGTAGCTTACAAACAGGCGTGCGCGGTGTCCTTCTAGAAGACGTTGCCGTGGTAAGCCAGTCAGCCAGTGAATTGTCTCGCCCAGACATACGATATCGGTATCGAGGTGATCGGCGCCGCAGAAGATAATCTCGATGCTGATCACCTCGGGGACCTTGAAAGCCACGCGTGGTCTCGGTGGTGTTGGACAGGGGGTCATCTCCAGAATCACCGGCCAAGTCAACGGGCACAATGAACGAGTATATCTAGTCGTTGTATCATGTCACTGAGCTCATTGCTCATATGAGGCATCTTCACTACTAGGCCCCGAGGACACCGGGCGAGGTTGTCACTCATCTCTTGCAGGTGACGCCATCAAGGGTCGGATCAAGCTCGGACTGAATATATCCATGCATCTCAAGACCTGGCTGGTCCTTCATCGAGGGAAGGCCATATTCTGCCCGTGATGATCTTGGCGGCCAAGTGCCTACCAGCTCAGAGATCGAGGTGGAGCAAACCTCCGACGCACTTTGACTCTCAGCCGGAGCATGAGCCGACCTCGCTTCTGGAAACTGTACGTCTTGCGTGTTGGAATATCAAATGCAGAGTGACTCGCTCCAAAAACTGCCCAGAAACCATCACGGCGTTGCCGTCGTACGAAGTCAGCATCGGAGCAATGACATGATGCCAATCAAATATTCCTGATGGCCATTGCAGCACACGAAAGCTCCTACGCCAGAGAGAACATGGCCGGCAAGTCACGGCGATCGAGCCTTGTTGCTCCTCCAGCGGCCGGCCGGCTTGCTGTATTTCTGAGAAGGCCCGTGTCCCCCCGAGTACGTGTATGAGACCAGAGAGAAGTGAAACTCCATAGGGCTGGGCTGGCTGTCTTGGTCTGGACATCGGCCCCGTAGGCACGGAGCCTCAACCGAACGAACGTCTGCAGCGCGAAGGAGCCTGTCCCCCACACCCACCGTCCGCCCCCGGAGGAATGCCTGCCTGACAGGATGCCCCGGTTTCAAGCGTCGAGGCGTGGGGCCGATGAGATGCCGAAACTTGTTACACAGTACAAAATTTCGCGCTTTGTGCCGGGAAAGTTTCGAGGCAAGATGGAACAGACAGCCAGCCTAGGACTAACAATAAGGCGTATTCTCTGACCGCTATTGACCCGCCGTCGAGAAAATATAGACTACAGACACTTATCCTTTGAACCAGTCCTCTTTAACCAAGTGCACAGACTGAGACACCGAATTATTCTGCTCGCTCACCCTCCGTCCGGTATTTCATAGACTGTCCTCCTATCTCGAAAAGTCCTCCGAACAGACATACCTTGCTCTCGCAAAGCCGCAACCAACCAACCAGCCTCGTGGGTAATCCAGCTGCCCCTCCAGAAAAAAAAAAGCCACTGCCCGCCGATACCATCGATTGGGGTCCACCCCGCGCTAAAATATTCAGCTACAGCCCACAGCATACAGCAGGCCTACAGCACTGCATACCAGCCACGGCCCAAGCCCAAGCCCGAGACCAGTCGCAGTCGTACGACCTCAGAGGTACATAGATACTCCGGTGAAGAAAGGGGGCGTCTCCCGAGGAAACGACCTTTTTTCCACCATGTCAACAATGTCCAACGAGATCAAGCTGCTCAGTGGGAATTCCCACCCCATCCTGGCGCGGCTTGTGGCCGACCGGTCAGTCTCTTTCTTCTCTTCCGTCTTGGCCCTACCTGCCTTGATCTTGGAGGAAACCGTCAAGCCGGGGAGATGTCGCGTCTAACCATGGGTGGGAGGACAGGCTGGGGATAGAGATCGCAAAGACTATGAGTCTGAACTACTCGAACCAGGAGACGAGCGTTACAGTCGGCGAGTCCGTACGAGACGAGGATGTATTCATCATCCAATCCACAGCACCCGGCGACATCAACGATGGACTGATGGAGCTGTTGATCATGATCCACGCCTGTACGTGCTATTGAGAACCTTTCTGCTTGCCCGCATAGCTATATGACAGTGCTAGGGATCTTGCGCTGACCATCATGGACAAAAAAGGCCGAACCGCATCCGCGAGGCGCATCACCGCTGTGATACCGAACTTCCCATATGCACGACAGGACAAGAAGGACAAGAGTCGAGCGCCCATTGTACGTCGCTGTCCGCAACGGAAACTGGCAAACTTAGACAGAGAATCCTGACAAAACTACAGAGCGCGAGGCTGATAGCCAACATGCTCACAACGGCCGGCTGCAACCATGTCATCACCATGGACCTGCACGCATCGTATGTCCACACTGCGCAATCGCATTCCTTGCGGCCCCTTTAGCCCGACCGCGTATCTAGGCAGCAACAACACGCTAACGTCCCTCCGCGTTCCTCAGGCAAATACAGGGCTTCTTCAATGTCCCCGTCGACAACCTCTACGCCGAGCCCTCGGTCCTCCGCTGGGTCCAGGAGAACCTCTCGATCAAAGACTGCGTCATCGTCTCGCCCGACGCCGGCGGCGCGAAGCGCGCGACCTCGATGGCCGACCGCCTGGACCTGCCCTTCGCGCTCATTCACAAGGAGCGCCCGCGGCCCAACGAGGTCGGCCGCATGGTGCTGGTGGGCAACGTGGTCGACAAGATCTGCATCCTGGTGGACGACATGGCCGACACGTGCGGCACGCTCGCCAAGGCCGCCGCCGTCGTCAAGGAGCACCAGGCGAGGGAGGTCGTCGCCATAGTGACGCACGGCATCCTGAGCGGGCCCGCCATCGACAACATCAACAAGAGCGTGCTGTCGCAGGTCGTGGTCACCAACACGGTGCCGCTCGGGGACAAGCTGGACAGGTGCCCCAAGCTGAAGGTCATCGACGTCAGCGGGACGCTCGCGGAGTCGATCCGGAGGACGCACAATGGAGAGAGCGTTAGTTACTTGTTCACGCATGTCTTTTAGTCAACGGCGCCAAGAGAAATAGGGAAATAGTCTGGTCAGGGTGCGTCATTCATAGGTGTTTATGTGTCTCAACAGAAGGCAATGGTTCTTGCTTGGTCTGGGGCGGCACACGGGCATCAGCAGGACGTTCGGTATAGAGCCATGGGGTCCGGAAAAGGGGACAACTACGAAGAGCAATTGCCGCTCTTGCGATAAGCATGAAATAAGTCCATCTGTTCGTGCCTTTGGTGGCCAACGAGAGCTCATCAATAAAGCGTTTTGTAATTTAGCGGGAGTACAAGCAATAGAAAATGCGCAGCAATCCCATGTGCAAAGCAACTGTATAAAAGCATCATGGTAAAGAAATTGTTGGACAAATAACCTTATATTGATGAAGAAGGCCAACAAGAAGAATACTGCTCTGATATGTCAATCCTCCGGTATCCTAGTCCATGATAGCCGATGCCACACAGCTCAGCAACGGTCCAGATGAGTCAACGAGAGTTGAGCAGAACAGTAAAGGAACAAGTAGGATGCACAGCTGTCGCTGGACGTCGTCCGGAGAGAGCTAGCCTATAGGTCACGAGCCAGCGCCTCCATGTACGGCAATAGGCACGGAATGTGCATCCATACTGGCGAGCACTGCCTCATCCTAGATTCCGAGGAACAAGAGAACTCCAACATTCCCTCGCGTCCCTTATGTGAGACGGCTCATAATGGCCGACCGCGGTGAAAAAGCCTGCCCGCACATTGTTGGGCATGTCTTGGGGAAAACCATACGCCCAGTCTTGAGCAGGAGTCTCAGGTGTCCTCCAGAGTGTCTCCTAGGTTAGCTATGGAGGCCATTGAGGAGAAGAATAATTAAGGAGAAGCGGGATGGAGGGTCCGTTAAGAAGCCGAAAGGAAGTCAGGGTATCCGTCAAGTGTATGATTTAGGACAGGAGAACTTTACCGGCGAGGAGCTACCACGACTTGCTCCAGGGAAAGCGAACGAGTCAAGTGAGGCTCTTGAAAGGGTTAATTGAAAGCAGCGGCGAGCTCCTGGCTGTCCTATTCACCAATAGCAGTTGGCTACAGAGGAAGATGGATGCACCCACACCCTCTGAGCATGGTTTGGCAGATATATAGCCAGTTACGCCAACTATAGCTTTCCCCTGTCTCTGCCATGATTGAGTATCCATTCCTATGTCGATAATGTGCACCGTGACCAGTCTTCGAGTCAATGTTAGAAGAATCAAAGGAAAACCAATAACGATACGATAGCTAGTAATTTAGACTTGGCTTGTATGTAGGGTGGGAGGACAGTGACGTTGAGAGCATCTTGTATTGGGAAGGATGGCTCAGGGATAGTAACAGTAGTGAGACTAGTTCTTGTTAGAATTCATCCAAGGCAGGTCTTCACAGCTCGGTCTCAGCTCGATCATCAGACCATCTTTTTCATTTCGTCACTTGCGCCGACGCCGTTAAGTACCAAGGTATCAATCAATCATTGAGCAGGTTCTGAAGTCTCGTCCATTTTAGTATGCCATGAATACAATCCCGTTCTTGGCCCATGGAACCATCAAAACCCTGACCCGTAACCCATCCCGTAAAGAAGCCATCCTCGAGTGACGATAAACTTTTAAGCCTTGTGCGAAGAGGCACGGCGCTTGCGGGCATCAGCCTTCTGGGCCTTGGCCTCGGTAACACGCTTGGCAAGGATCTGGGCGTACTCGCTCTGAGGAAGAGGTCAGTAAGGATTTTCGAACAGCTCGAGGGAGGCGGATGGAAACGTACGGCCTCGTCCTTGACCTTCTCGGCCTGGCGGCGCTTGAGTGCGATCCTGTGGCGCTTGTGCTGCAGACGCTGGGGAGTGACCAGACGCTGGATCTTGGGAGCCTTGGTGTAAGGCTTGGCGCCCTCCTTCTTGGGCTGGACCTCGCGACGGATAACGTACTTGCGGACCTATATGCCGGTGAAAATAGAATTATTAGCCCTGAGATTCCCCATGTAGAATCTCATTCCTCTCACTCTCTACCCGAACTGCTTGATTTCCACCACCGCAGTCATCGGGTAGGCGAAGACGGAATTGTATGATATGGGTCGGATACAACATACATCGTCTTCCTTGGTGAGGCCGAAGAACTTTCGAATCTTGGTGGCACGCTTGGGGCCGAGGCGCTTGGGGTGGACGACGTCGGTCAGGCCGGGAATGTCCTGCTCGCCCTGCTTGACGATGGCCAGAGCAAGGACAGACAGGTCCATGCCGACGATGCAGCCGCGGACAGACTTGCGCTTGCGCTCGCCGGTGCGGCGGGGTCGGTAGCAGGAGTGGCCGTCGGAGAGCAGAAGGCGGACACGGGTAGGGTGCATGACACCCTGCTTCATAGGGAAACCCTGCTTGTCGTTGCCTCCGGTGATTCTGAAGATGTATCCCTTCCACTCGTCACCGAGGGAGTCGGCGGGGACCTCAGCGCCCATCTAAGCAATTCGAAAGTCAGTATCTTGAGATGATTTCACGGGTTCGAGGTCGCCGATTCGCTCGTGCTTGAGATGTACGGTTGACGCGAGGATCTCGACGGCTCGTATTGGCTCGACTAGGGGTAGAACGTACACGCTTCTCCATGAAGACGCGGAGCTTGCGCTCATCTTCGATGTCGATCAGCTTTTGGCTGCCGTTAGCCGGGTAGGAGCTGTAGATTCGGAGGTCAGCAACAGCGGAATGACAATTCAATTCGTCTCGTTGTCTCGTGAGCAGGGCCCCCAGATGCCTTTAGCATTTGAATGGAATATTCCATCGGCCACTACTGCATTGGAAGATGGGGACGAAGGCAAACAGATTGTCCAAAACGTACATGTTCAACTTCATCTTGTCGGGCCCTCAGTCGAGATATCGTGGACTGAAAGAATGAAGTCGGGTTGTCGATGGCGGGCTGATCGAGATAGCAAAATGGGAAGTTTCGAAAGAGAGAGGTCGATACAGCCACAGCAAAATGGGAAATTCTCAGTTGTGGGCGCTAAAATTCGCGTGGTCCGTGCATTTCTGCTCTCTGCTGATTGGCTTCTAGAATTTTAGCCTGGTGGGGTGGGATCCTCACCCGGGTCCTCACCTTGGACCCCAAAACAGTGACCTTGAAAAAGTGGCGGACAAGTTTGATAGAGGCTAAGGCCTGAGATTTCTGGGGTCCTGAGATCTTTGAGGGGATGTCCAAGCGGAAAGCAACACAACATTTATAGATTGATCAGATTGTACTTTGCATGTGACAAACTGCCCTCTCAGAGCGTGCCTTCATTCTGCCGGTCTTCTCACAAAGCCTGCGAAGCTCACAACACTCATTGGCCTCTCACCGAGCCACGGTACTCGGCCCTGAATTATGGAGGACGACAGGGCTGAGACCGACCTGGGCATCGCCGCCGACATCGAGGAAGCACAAATTCCAGAGCCCGCCGTCAGGCAGCCAAAGAAGAGATTCGTCGGCAGGAGGACTGCGGCCGAAGCAACGGCATCCAAGAATGGAAACGGCTCTGGATCTATCGAGGACGCCGGTGCCGTTCAGGGTACAGTCGCCCGTAACCGTCATGTACATATCTCTCTTTTCATATAATGACATCCTCTCTAGTTGCTCAACCCAGGAGGGCTCCCCGTCTCTTGAACCAGGTTCCTCCGGAGATCCTCAATGATCCCGAGCTGAAGGCAGCTATCTCTCTGCTACCGGCAAATTATTCTTTTGAAATCCCCAAGACCATTCATCGCATACGGAGCCTCGGTGCCAAGAAGGTAGCCCTTCAGATGCCCGAAGGCTTGCTCATGTTTGCCACTACCATCTCAGACATCCTGCAACAGTTCTGCCCTGGGATAGAGACTCTCATCATGGGCGACGTCACTTACGGCGCGTGCTGCATCGATGATTACACAGCACGAGCCATGGGCTGTGACGTCTTGATCCACTACGCCCACTCATGTCTGATACCCGTGGACGTCACCAAGATCAAGACGCTGTACGTCTTTGTTGACATCAGCATCGACACAGCGCACCTGCTGGCGACACTAGAGAGGAACTTCACACCTGGCAAGACGATCGCTATGGTCGGCACCATCCAGTTCAACGCCACGATACACGGCGTCAAGGCGGCTCTAACAAAAGCCGGGTTCAAGGTCATTGTTCCGCAGATCGCACCCTTGTCAAAAGGCGAGATATTGGGCTGCACAAGCCCGGACCTGACCAAGTACGCCGATGACGGGCCAGTAGACTTCATACTCTACCTTGGTGACGGCCGCTTCCATCTGGAGAGCATCATGATCCACAACCCAAGCATACCAGCCTACAGGTACGACCCGTACTCACGCAAGCTGACGCACGAGACGTACGGCCACGACGAGATGAAGGATCTGCGGCGGCAAGCCGTCGACACGGCAAAGTCGGCCAAGAAATGGGGCCTCATTCTTGGGTCGCTCGGTCGGCAGGGAAACCCAAACACCATGGCACTCATAGAGAAGAAGCTGACAGCGCTGGGAATACCGTGGGTCAACCTGCTGCTGAGCGAGATCTTCCCGGGCAAGCTGGCGATGATGAGCGACGTGGAGTGCTGGGTGCAGGTTGCATGCCCGAGGCTGAGTATCGACTGGGGCTATGCGTTCCCCAGGCCGCTGTTGACTCCGTACGAAGCCCTGGTGGCACTCGGGGAGAAGGAAGACTGGGGCAAGGGCGTGTACCCAATGGATTACTATGGAAAAGACGGCTTGGGGAGAACAAAACCTGCGAAGCTGGTAGAGGCTACTTAGACTTCGTTGGAGAATGGAACATCAAATAACCATGAACCACAGATGCTTTTCAGAACCATATCTGTCGTCAAGACCTGTGAGTTGTTACGAAATTTAGTCGACGCACAAATGTGCTTCTTGGACCTTCTCAGGGACCTCATGACATATCAGAGCCAGTAACTTGGTACCCTGACGTAAGGCACTGTCTGTTCTTGATTCTGTGTACTACATGTGCCACCAATGCAGGTGATGATGATAATATGGATTTAGTAATCGCAATGACAAGTCTCCTTGCATCTCACAAGCTTGTGGTTACCAGACCCGCGCCTATTCTTCATTCTGCATACTTCATGATCAGCCGCGGGAACTCATTAGATGGAAATACGCGGTGCTAAGCTCTACCACCCATTCTTGAACATCGGGCTGTCTTGCCTCGCAGCATCTGGAGAGATGAACCAAGTCAACGCCTCAAATACGGTCCTGCGTCTCATGAACAACCAAGACTGTCATTTCACCCCGCCCACGATACTCCCATCACATCACGCCGTGCCGACCGGCTCAGGCCTCGACGAGAACACAATCTTGTACTTGACAATCTCCACGACCTCCAGCTCCTCGGGCCTGTCGTCCTGATCCTCAGCCCCAGACTGCTGCCGCCGGCGGACCACGCCCACGGCGCGCGGCAGCTTCTTCACCTCGCCCGTCAGACGCTGGTGCTGGCCGACGTACATGTACACGCGCTTCATCCACGCCGTGCTCGACGCGTCAAAGGTGATCGAGTCGGGCCTGTAGTCCGGGAAGTCGAGGCGGCCGATCGGCACGTGCTGCTGCTGCTGCGACCCCTCATCCCCATCCGCCGCCGGCAGGTTGACCGTGCCCTGGAGCTCTAGCAGGGCCAGGCCGGATGGTGTCTGCAGGAGTTGTGGGAGCGGGTTGCTTTGGGTGGGTGCGGCTGGCGTGCTTGTCTTGTTGAAGTGCAGCGCGACTGAGCTCGATGGGGCCGCCATGATGCGGTGCCCGCGTCGCGGTCTGTGTTCTACAAGCGTGGACGTGGCTGTGGAAGCGTGACACAAGACTGAGGGGCTCAATGAGTCGAATTCAGCGATGCTGCAGACTGATTTTGGTGGAAGTCAGACATAGTACATGTTTTGAGGTCTGTGAGACGGATTGAAAATATGAGGGTTGACCGTTATGGCGCGTTTGCATGAATTTCTTGTTAGTGACGTTTCCGAGGTTCAAACATCGGCCTCATAACAGCATATTAATGCCAGAATTAGTTCAAAGTGAGCTGGCAAACGGATAGAACCATTTTTGATTGTTCCCTCTGACAAGTTTTCGTCGCAGTTGTAGCTTTGCGTTCTCCTGCTTGCTGTCTCTCCCCACCATTGCTCACGGTAAACAGTCACTCGGGTCGTGAGGAGTTCGGTCTACACACTTCATTCACCACTGGTGTCAATTGTGAACTCGTTCACCTGAGAAATTATGTGCAATTTACGTTTTTATCGTAGTCGGCCTCAGAATATTAATTATGTTCCTCCTTGTCCATTAACCTCCTCACGACTCACACAGTTTCACAGCGGCGTCACGATTCAGTTGACACTGAACCTGTAGCTCGCCTGCAGAACGTAAGGATCGTCCTCAGGACCGAAGATCTGCTTCTTGCCCCTCTGCCACTCCGGCTGGTTAATGGCATCTATGTAGTCCTCCACCTCCATCACCAAACAGCCGTACTTGGGGATGGTGCGAGGGAAGTCAGCGTCATCGAAGATGCCCTGCGTAGACTTGAGGGCCATGGAGCCATTCTGCCCGTTGCAGCTGTAGAATTGGAAGGCGTCCTGGTCGGTGTAGACGTCGACCTGAATACCAGACCAAGCGGAAGCAAGCGAAGCGACATAGCCGCCGTCCGCGCGCCAGTCATAGGGGCCGTTCTGCGCGCGATTCACGAGGTAGCAGGTGTCGTATCCCGTGCAGTTGAACCCGCAGTTGTTGACAAGCTCCGGGCTGGTAAGGTTTGCGCCGAGCTGCTTCGGGCCGCTCCAGAAGTCGTTGACGGAACCGGGCTGGTTTGCAACGATGTCGCCAGTTGGGATGAGGATGTTGTCCACGTCGACGCGCTGGCCACTGTATGGCATGTAGAGCGTGTGGTTGAGCGCGGTGTTGGTCTCGTTGTTCGCAAAGCCGTCCAGGTTCCAGTACGTGTGGGAGCTCAGCATGATGGGAGTCTTCTTTGTGAGCGACACTGCGACCATCTTAAAGTCCCAGGTCATATCTCCCAGAGTGTAGGTGATGTAGGACAGAACATCGCCCGGGAAGCCCTCCTTTCCATCCGGGTCAAAGATGCTGAACGTGATGCTGTTCTCAGAGTAGGACTCGACGGTGAAGTTGCGCCAATCCCAGCCATCAGTACCTCCGTGTAGCGTGTCTGCTCCCTCGGGCGCCTCTGGTGTAGGGTTCTCATTGGGGGTGACCTTGTACTCCACGCCGTCGATCTCGAAGGTGCTGTTCTTGATACGGTTGGCATAACGACCGGGCACACCACCAAAATGGGGGTGCTGTTTGTCAATGCCGTAGTAAGTAGCATTGTCAAAGCCAGCAACGATGTCTCGGTCGATACCGTACTGGTCCTTGATGATCAGGTTCGAGATTGACGCGCCGTAGGGAATGAAGGAGGCGGAGATGCCTGTGCCGTACAGCCAGTACTTGCCATCCTTGTCTGGGCCTGAGGTGGTGTTCTGGGCAGAGGCGAGGGGAAGCAGCAGTGCTGTTGCCCACAGCAGAGAAGTGGAAAGCATCTTGGCCGAGAGCTGCTTCTTGACAAGATGTAGTCCGGCAGTACTAGATGCGACTCGGGGGAGGGGAGACAAAAGCGAGTCGGGTCAAGAACCTTGAGGGACCTACCACTTGGTGGGGAGGAGGAGGAGAGAGGGAAAGGAGCTGGTTTATATTACTTGGGATGAACATGGCCGTGGGCTCTCGTTCTTCTACTGTATGTCATGGGCCGGGGAAATCTCCAATGCTACCACGGACAGGGACTCGAGCCTTGCATGCAAGTTGGAGATGAGCAGGCCCTGTACGCAGAAAGTCCGCCCGTAGTGTGCACGTACGGTCGGTCACTTGCAGGTGACCTTTGGAAGCTCTGCTACTCCACACGCATCCTGTCGGGGTAACGATGTGGGTGATCGAGCCTAGTTGTCCGGGGTCAACCAACCATCATTTGCGGGGATGCTGGGATGGGCACTCCAATGGACGGGCTCGACCAACGCGGCCAGGAACATGTGGTGTTTTTTTGTTTCTTCCGCAAACAACCTGGACCTGGACGGCTTGCAGGCACCATGGAGAAGCTAATTGAGACGATGAAGAGATGGTTGTCCGTTAGCACGATGGGACGTTGATTATCTGACCGGCGACATATTCGAGGGTTTAGACATCCCCCCCCCAATCTCACACCGTTTGTCGTGTTCGATCTGAATAGGACAGCCTTGTACAACCCGACCCCACCTCATTCTGAGCTCTGATCTAGCGGTGATGACCACGCAGGTTTGGAGGAATCCTGCAGTGCCCCAGGGACGGACGTCATGTGGCTTGTTTGTCACTAACACACCCCAACGGCAGCAAGCCTTGTAAGCTTGACCAACATACGAGCTAAATACCGCTACGGACTAACACTCGGGAAGGATTTTGATGCCGTACCACCTCATTGGCGCGGGTCTGTCTGAGAGAGATGGCTTTCAAGCTTTGTGACCCCTGTCTGCGCGTGCCGGACATGAAGGGCGGGCATGAAGGATTGCGGGGTCCCCAGCTTTGCGGAAATTGAGGTGATTTTTGATGATTTTCAGGCACAGGCATTGCAAGGCCAGCCATGACTAGACGGCCAGACAGCCTAGCAAGGAATAACAAGTAGCTGTCTGTATGGCGATGAATCACGAGATCTTGGATGGGGCAGTGGCTTCATCTAGACTGTTCGAATCGCTCATCTGTAAGCGGTGCAAGACACGCCGGTTCTAGAGACATGAGTAGAATAATGTGCTGCCGGGGCCCGGTCGGTAACATTGCTATAGGGATGTCCTAAGCTTCGATTGAAGCGAGCGAGGCCGTCACTGCGCTCAGTTCATAAGCGACCGACTACCCATGTCTGGCCTCATTAGCGGACCTCGCCAAAAGCTGTTGTTTGCCCCGAGGCGTATCTGCTTTTGCCCTACCAATGAACATTCACGAAGGGCAGGGGAACTAATTCCTGAGGCTTCGCCCAATTTGCATGGCTTCATCTCGCATTGAAATGTCTGAATGCGCGAGCAAAAGAGACCCTCGTTTCTCCGTGGCGGGTACCGAGTCGCTGGGAACCTGGACGCCAGCCCATTGGCAGTCTTCGTCTGGATGCGACCTCTCGAGCATGCACACGACCCTCCCCACGTGCCTCCCCTACCCAAGAGAGCGGGACATTGACAGATGGCTCAAGCAGGTTCCCGGCCGTTGTGTATGCAACCCTATCATCCTCGGGTACACACGCGGCACGGGATCAGAGAATGTGATCATGGGCCGAGCATGGCCGTGCAAACTTTCGGTCACAAATGTCGACTCGGACCGTAGACGTCAGTCTTCGGCGTGGAATGATGCAGGGCCCAGCCTTTTCCATCTCTTCGTATTTCCAGTCTTTAACACATGTCACAGTACCTCACTCAACGCAGTATGCTAGCAATACAATGCAACCAAATTTCATGCTCCAATCTGAGGCCTCGTTACTCTGCTTTCACCTTGCGCGAGCACCCTATCTATGCATCGATCAGGTTCTCCTCCTCGCCTGGCGCGTTGTCCTTGGTGTCCTTGGTCTCCTTTGTGTCCTTCTTTGCTTTCCGGTCCGCCGCCGCAGTGCGTGAGTAGAACTCGTCAATGATCTTCTTAGGAATTCGGTTGAGCATGTCCTTGCGGAAGATACGGAGCAGAGACCACGCCAGGTCCAGAGAGTCATGGATACTTCGTTGCTCGTAGGCTCCCTGGGCGACGAACTGCCGCTCGAACTTATCCAGGAACTCCAGCGACAGCTTGTCTTCGGCTGACAGCGCTTCCTCACCGACGACCGCCTTCATGGCTGCTGCATCACGACCGATGGCATACTTGGCGTACAGCTGGTTCGAGACATCACCGTGGTCCTTGCGCGTCATACCCTCGCCAATGGCCGACTTCATGAGACGGGAGAGTGATGGCAACACGTTGATGGGAGGATAGATACCCTTGTTGTATAGACCTCGGTCGACGAAGATCTGGCCCTCCGTAATGTATCCTGTCAAGTCGGGAATCGGGTGGGTGATATCATCGTTAGGCATGGTCAGAATGGGGATTTGCGTGATGGAACCGTTGCGGCCCTCAACACGACCGGCTCGTTCGTATATGGTCGACAAGTCAGTGTACATGTAACCAGGGAAACCACGACGACCCGGCACTTCTTCTCGAGCGGCTGACACCTCACGCAGAGCGTCACAATAAGCAGAGAGATCTGTAAGAATGACCAGAACGTGCTTCTCAAGCTGGTAGGCGTAGTACTCGGCGGTCGTGAGAGCGAGACGAGGCGTAATGATACGCTCGATTCTGCAGACAAGTCAGTACTCTGCCAATGTCAGCCCAGCGAGGCAGACTCACGTTGGATCGTTGGCAAGGTTAAGGAACAGAGTAACACGCTCCAGACTGCCGTTCTCCTCGAAGTCACGGGTGAAGAAACGAGCCGTTTCCAAGTTGACACCCATGGCGGCGAAGACAATGGAGAAATTGTCCTCGTGGCCATCGTGCACACCCTTGTTTGTGACTCCCTCCTGTTTCTGGACCAGACCTGCCTGGCGACAAATTTGGGCAGCGATCTCGTTGTGCGGCAGACCAGAGGCGGAGAAGATGGGGATCTTCTGTCCACGAGCGATGGAGTTCATCGTGTCGATGGTGGAGATACCGGTGGAGATCATCTCCTCGGGATAGACCTGGCCTCTGTTAGCTTTCGTTTCCTAGCTCGCCTGGGAAGCTTTCCGTACTCTTGAGTAAGGGTTGATTGGACTGCCGTTGATGTCAAGGTAGTCTTCTGCCAGCACCTTGGGACCCTTGTCGATGGCCCGGCCTGATCCATCAAAGATACGCCCCAGCATGTCCTCCGACACACCAAGCTTCAAGCTCTGGCCCGTGAACTCGACTTTCGTCTATTGTAGAGCCGTCAGTATCACATGCTGTCGATCTGTGTTTTCTAGGATCTTCGCACCTTCTTTACATCGATACCAGTAGTTCCTTCGAAGACCTGGTATATTCGTTAATCGATCGAATCGCTATGTCGAGATGTCTGATGAAGTACCTGGACAACAGCTCGGTTTCCTGTTCATTGAGCAGTCAGCAGCTGGTCATTCAAAATGCCTCAACACATCTTCCACATACCTCGAGCCTCGAGGACCTTTCCTTGCCTCGTCGTCCCATCAGGGAGCGTCAGGGCAACGATTTCATCGTAGCGAGGGAATTTGACCTGTCAAACCAAGTCAATCGATCTGTCGGTCTGTAGGCAGCTTGGGGGAGCATTCACATCTTCGAGGATGACGAGAGGGCCGTTCACACCACCGACGGTGTTGTACTTCAGGTGTGGCACCACCGAATAGGAGGACGACTCGCGAGGGTCACCCATGGCTGCTGCTTCGACGTGTGAATCTGGAGGTTGAGGCGCAACGATGCAGACTGATGACGACTGTAGTTGGTGGTTTGGAAGCTCCCAGGAGGTTGGGCGGATGATAAGCTCGGTGCACAGGCCAACGGCCTCAGGCTGGGCCTGTGCTAAAGCAACAGCTATTCAGTGGTAAACCGCAGCACCGAGTACGTCAGATCCTGCTTCCTTTCCGCCATGGTGCTATTTTTGGCCGCCACAAATCCACAATTATGTTTAAGAACATCTATTCTTTTGGAAAGCATTTCGGTACGGGCAACCTCATAGTGCTTCGTAGCTTCGCACAGGGAGCCGACCACCTCTGAAGGGCTGCACTCAGACTACCTGGACCATATGCATCCAGACGTGGGTAGGTACCTGTAGGTAGGTCCGCACTGGGTTGAAACCCCTCCCCACCAAGGTGATCACCGCGGCCGGCAAAGCTCGATCATCCAAAAGCTCCAGCTTGCTTCAACCCGGCATCTCCAAAGTCGATTCACAATCTTTAGTCTCGTGCGCTCTGAGGTTACCTTTCGCGGCAACTTCCTTGTCCGAAACATTTCGAATAGTCGACAGGAAAGACTTTCGGGGATGGAAGTGGAGTGGTAGACCAAGCAACATGTCCAGCATATACAACACTGAGCCGCAGCCAACGGCTTCGGTGATCCTTCACACGAACCATGGCGACCTGTCAGTCGAATTGTTCGCGAAGCAGACCCCTCTGACCTGCCGCAACTTTCTACAGCACTGCTTGGATGGTTACTACGACAACACAATATTCCACCGCCTGGTTCCTGGCTTTATTCTTCAAGGTGGCGATCCGACGGGCACCGGCAATGGGGGCGAGTCGATCTACGATGGCGGAGCCTTCAGTGGTGATCTGGACCCATGGCCGATGGACCAGCGGAGAGGGAAGAACGCCGGGCCGCAAGGCGTGAACTTCAAGGACGAATTCCACACGCGTTTAAAATTCAATCGTCGCGGGCTGCTGGGAATGGCAAACGAGAGTCGAACCGATACGAATGGCAGCCAATTCTTCTTTACGCTGGACAAGACCGACGAGCTCGATGGCAAGAATACCATGTTTGGACGAGTGGCTGGCGACACCATCTACAATCTGGCAAAAATGGGCGAGGCCGAAGTGGAAGAAGGAGGCGAGCGACCCATTTATCCAACAAAGATTACGGGGGTGGAGATCCTCGTCAATCCTTTCGAGGACATGAAGAAGAGGGAACGCATTGCCCAACGTACTACACGGCCGGCTGTCACCGAGAAGAAGAAGGACAAGAAAAGGAAAGGGGGGAAGCAGTTGCTAAGCTTCGGCGATGAAGAGGGCGAGGGCGACACACAGCCTCTTCCAAAGAAGCCAAAGTTTGATACAAGAATCGTGATGGACGTCGAAGAGCCCGAGCCTCAAGTCAAGCTGGCAAAGGCGGCCAAGAAAGGAAAAGAGGCGAAAGCTTCCAAGGCCATCGTTCCAATCATGGAGGCGCCTGGCAGAGAAGCAACCCCACCTGGGCCATCACCTCCTCCGCAAGTTGTTCGGAAGTCATCGACAAAAGCAGTACAAAAGACCGAGGACGAGTCTTCACCGGAGCCAGAGGCGAAAGAGAAGTCTGAGCTTGAGCGGACGAATGAGGAAATAGCTGCACTGAAAGCGTCCATGAAAAGGACAGTCCATTCGGAGCCTGTAAAAGAGGGAAAGAAGAACTCGGCTTTGGAGCAGATGATACCAGAGACATCCACACGAGGACGCAAGAGGAGACCTGGGGCAAGCCAGAACCCTACGGCTGCAGAGGAACAAAAGGCCTTGAGCTTCCTCAAAGCGTTCCAGTCAAAATTAGACCAAGCGCCGCCGGAGAAGGCAGCAGCAGCAGAACTGCCAGCTCCAGGGGATGGCGAGGACAAGGCGGCGGATGATGCTGGGGAAGATGAGGTCTGCGATCTACATTTTATCGCCAACTGCCAATCCTGCAAGGCATGGGACAAGGCTGAAGGCGAGGGCGACAGCGACGATGAAGGCTGGATGTCCCATTCGCTCAGCTTTGCTGCAGACAAACTTGGCAAAGATCTGAGTTATCGCAAAAAGGCGGAGGACGAGTTGATCGTGATCGACCCACTGGCAAAAGCACGCAGCATACAGGCGGAGAGGAAGGCGGAGAAGGGGAGCGAGGGCCGGAGCGGAAAGTCCGGGCGTGCATGGGGCGACCTGGCACGCAACGCCCAAATGTCACGGACGGCCTCCCTGGCCGGGAGAGGAGCAAAGTAAGCAGAGCATGCTGTTCGTAGTAGTGTATAACAGTGTTTATTCCTTGAGATACCCAATGCTGTGGCCGTGAATGGTCAGATGAAGAAGGCTTCCAAAGTCAAAACGTCCACTTGAGTTGCCTAGTTGAGGTGGTGCCCGACTCAAGCGATGGGGAAAAATTTGAGCGCATTGTGAAGAGGGTGTCCGTGTCATTGCATTTCGTTCTCGGCTACGAGTGAAGCACAACGAAGAGCCGATGCGGCCCTGGCCGTTGACGACTTACACGGGAGTATCCACTCTCTAGTGGGGTTCCTACTGCCACGGGGATCGTACAATCTGGTAAAGACACTCTGTATGGAGACTAGACTGGCACCGTCATTGCATGTGAGAAGGGAAGCTCCAGCGGCTGTCTGATGAATTGTTTGAAGGTCTCATGGGCGTTACAGACCAGAGAGAGAACATCCAACAACGAGCTCAAGCAGAGACGGAAACATGCCGGCAGAGGCATTGTACCGCGTAGCTGCTGAAGACCATCAGATGATATGTACTGTAGCATTCGAGGCTCAGCGGTTGTATCGCGTCTGCAGAGGAGAATCTGCTCCGGTGTGCAGGGCAGCCGACAAGACAATAAGGTTCGGTTTCCTATTTCCACATGCAAGATCGCGATGACGATCCTTGGGCCCCACTGCCAGAAAAAAAATGGCGTTATCGATTGGACGGATAACAGGACCCCAGCCTGGGAGTGGTTCCTCATTCCCATTCAGCTCTCACAAACAATGCTATCGGCAAGGCATTCGCTCATGTAACGCAATACCTGGGTCGCTATTGTCTCTCGCAAGAATCAATAGTTCTATTGAAACGTGTCGCGGGGCCCCATTGTGCACGGTGGTCCATTTTCTGACTGACTGCATCACACGTCTGTATAAAAAGGATCCCTACCCTTTCCCCCCCACCACCAACCTCACCTCAACCGCGAGACAGAACCCGCAGCAGGCAGGCAGGCAGAGCGGCCAGGCAAGACAACCCAACCCGATCGCAAGGCTCCAGCACCAGCACCAGCTCCAGCTCCAGCACACCTGCCGTTGTCAGCAAGTGGTTGCTACTCATACACAGCTCAAGCCTGCAACCCAGCGGGGCAGGCGGGACGGACACCTGCCAAGGCTCCCTGGTCCTTTCCCTCCACTACCGCTACCCGTTCCAACAAGTTCGCCATCAGCCACTTCAACCGAATCCTCCGTCCTCTTGGTATCGCCATGTCTTCGTCTCCCGGTACAAGAAAGCGGCCCGCGCCCGGCGCATCGCCTCTGCCGGCTGGCCCGATCCCACAGGCAACCTCCCAATTTGCGCCTCAGGAGATGATGAGGTGGAATGGTGTAGCTGCCAACGGAAACAGCCATACAGACCTCTCGAGCCCGTACATGCTATCACAACCAACCGCCCCACCTGGCCATGCCTTTCTATCCCCATCGCCCGCCCCGGCCACATCGAATGCTCTGGCACTCCGCGATCCCAACACCAGCCGAGCCCTCATTCCCACAGCGCCGCGCTCGCCGTACGACCCACAGTCCGACCAATGGGGTACCTTGGGAGGCGACGGCGCCCTCATCCCGCTGGCGAACGAGGCACTGAGCGAGGAGGAGCACCTGAGACTCCTTGTCGAGCGCGCAAGGAAGATTGAGGAGGAGGCCACCAAGGAGAACCCTGGACCAAACCAAAAGAGGAGTATTCCGCCGTTCGTGTTGAAGCTCTCCAGGTTTGTCCCCCCTCCTGTAGTCTCGCAATGTGCCCACACGGACCTCGCTGACTGCTTGACAGCTTCCTCAACAATGGCAGGAACAGCGATCTCATCCGGTGGTCAGAAAAGGGTGATTCGTTCATCGTACTCGACGAGGAGGAGTTTGCGAAGAAGCTCATCCCCGAGATGTTCAAGCACAACAACTACGCCTCGTTTGTCCGTCAGCTGAACATGTACGGGTTCCACAAACGGGTTGGGCTCTCCGACAACTCTATGAGAGCAAGCGAGAAGAAGAACAAGAGCCCAAGCGAATACGCGCACCCCTACTTCCTCCGCGCTCACCCCGTCTTGCAATGGCTCATTACGAAGCCGAACAAGACCGGCGGCAAGAAGAGGCAGAAGCAGGCCTCGAAGGATTCTTCCGGCGTAATTGAGCAGGACAGCGACGCCGAGGACTTCATCGACGACCCCAGCGGGCAGTACGCGATCTCCGACATTCACCCAGGCAGGAACATGGGGCGTGGCGAGGCTGGGCCATTGGCGAAGACAGAGTTGGGAAAGCTGCGAGATCAGCTCGCCCAGGTCCAGCAGAAGCAGCAGCAGTGCCTGACCCTGATCCAGCAATTACAAAACAACCAACACGAGATTGTGCAAAGAGCACAAAAGTTTGAAGAAATGCACCATCGCCATGAGAACTCCATCACCGCCATCTTGAACTTCTTGGCCAACGTCTTTAGAAAGTCATTGGAAGAAAACGGTGGCGCCCAGAATATCTCAGATATGTTGGCAAGCATTCTACCCCAGCACGGCCCCAACCATGCCATGCCGACAGGCAGTGTGCAAGACTTGAGCGACTATCTGCAGCATCACAATGCCACCAGAGGCCGAGCGAGTCCCAGCCCAACTCTTCCAAAGCGTCCACAGCACCTCCTGCCCGGTATTCCTGCCGACCCAAGCGCTGCCGCCCCTGCTGACAGCGCACTCGGTTTGCCTACGAGTCCGGTGCCCTATTCTGCGTCTCCTCACCAGGCGCCCCGAGTCACCGAGGTCTTCGATACCTCTCCTTCTGACACGACCTCTCCCAATCACATCCGGAATGAGCTCCAGTCCAATCCCGAGGAGACCATGTTGAAAATTATGGGTGAAACTAATGCTCGGATGACCCCAGGCGTTGATCTGCCTGAAGCTGTTGCTACAACGTCCGCGAGGATGCCATCTGGCCAACGTAACAAAATGGTGAGCAGCATGTCGCGCAGGACTGCCACACCATCAAACAATCGACCAGTTTCCCCCTTTCGACCCCCTTCCATGTCAAATCCGACCCCAATTCCTCCTCCGTCCTCCACCATTCCAAACTCGACACCAGCCCAGCCTATCACATCACTGTCGCCCGTGTTCAACGCCGCCAAACCCCCATCGGCCCAAGAGATCTCGCGGCAACAGAATGGTATCAGCCAGGTGGAAGCTTTGCAGCGCAACATCGGCCAGGATATCAGCAGCCTAGCCCAGCTTGCTGCCCCCTTGTCTCCCAATGGTGCCATCATGGGCCTCGATGGCTTTCCAAATGGCGGCTCGGATTACTTCGGCGACTCCAACAACAACTTTGACTTCAATCAGTATCTCGATCCTACGGCGATGGACAGCGGCTACAACTTTGATTTCAATGACCTGAACCATGCGGGCAACTATGGCGCAACGGACGGGACCGACTTCGACTTCAGCCTCCCCAACGCCAACGCAGACTACCCACAAAGCACCGCAGCTCCGCTCAACAACGGCCTGAGCGTCCCCGGCGATGCCGCAGCTGCAGACACGCCGAGTCCTGCTGGCACCGAGGAGATCCAGCGATCAGACCTGGATGGCGTAGAACAGCCGTCTACGAAGCGTAGGCGACAAGCTTGAAAACTTGAAGGTGACACTTGTCGCCATGGCTGTTACGTTTGAATCTTAGTGACAGTCGTCTCCACGAAGGCGTTTCCAGTCTCTAGAGGACACCTGTCTTTCACTACCAAAGAAGAGTAGTATTATGAATAGGTAGCGAATGAAGAACTTGGTTGGTTAGTTTCAGCGAGTGTTTTGTGACAGTGATGCTTTGCACGAACTGAACCGTCGAGACCTGCTGGGGTTTTCTGCTAGTTCGAAATATATTTCCCTTAGGATAGACATGGGTCTTCGGTCCAAAGGCATATCGGGACTATTGTCTATGTTTGACAATATCTACCCACGGAATCTTTGAATAAGACCTCAGGGCACATCTTACACTATAATCACAGAAATGGTACCTCCAACGTTCACGTACAATATTTAACTTGATCAAGGAAGCATCTACACCTAAAGTCGTCTTTGCAGAAAGACAGTGGACGAAAGATGTCGAGTTCTATCTCCCAGCCACGCCTCCAAGAGTCCGCCCTGTTATCTTGAGCCTTGTCACAAATATCATCTGGCATCTCGCCTGTCACATATCTCTGTGGCAGTCTATTCTCCATGACAGTCTATGTTTCAGTACATTGTCTCAAGAATACTGTCCCATACGGACGCTTTCCTAACACGCTCGGTCTCTTCCAGATAGGCTCACCTGTCTTCTACTCCCGCATTCAGATGATGGGCATCCAGATCTTACCCCATGGACGTGTTTCTTTGATCACGTGAAAAACGAAGATTACTTGAGAACATAGTCGAGTGACAGACTACATCGACTATTTAGGAAGTGTTACACCCACCCAGTCCCACATGGCACACTATCCCCCGGATCCGCAAGTGACAAATCCACGATTTACCACCCACCCACCCATCCACGCGCCCTCCCGGAGTCCCCTAGCAGAAGAAACCAGGCACCTTATTTGCCCGCGCCGGTCCCCCCTCCCTGCCGGCCTCGTGGATCTCAGCTACTACTCAAATGCTCACACCCCCCCAGCTCCCCCTTAGCGCTGACGGCCTTTCCGCCCGCGCCGGCCAGCCCGGCCAGCGCAGTCAGCCGTGGTGTCGAGTTGGGACCGGGGGTGACTGACTGACTAACTGCCTGAATGACTGACGTGGGATTCGGAAAAGGCTCCAGAAGAATAGGTGATCAGGGGACAGGGAAGGGGGTGGGGCGGTTGGCAGTCGAGCGACTCTGTGGTTCCCAGCCAACATTTCTGGCCTTCCCCCCCCCCTTTCCTTTCAGCCTCGTGGGGGCGGGCCGCGAGGCAGACTTGGGCGCCCTCGCGGGAGGATAGGACACATATACTGACACACAGAGACACAGAGACACATGTGACATGAGTGTGGTGCAACCCACGAACGGGTATTAAGAGGCATGTTTGCTTGTCACTGGCGGGATCACGTGCGTGGGGAGGGCATCAGGCTCGAAACTATCGTCTTTGTCATTGCTCTCGTCCCTTTCATCTTGGCGCTGAACCCCAGCTAGAAATGGGAGGGTTGGGGGGTATTGGGTTGCACAGTTATGTGCGCTCGAAGGTGATCAGGCAGATGGCGCTGTACAACAACAACGACAACAGCAGCAACAAGAACACATCACCCAGGCAGGTGTTTGTCCGTTCGCCTGGCTTCCTCTTGCTCGCTCGCTCGGCTTCCATCCCAATTCATGTATCCGACGTTGCCATCCAAAGTGTTTGCGCGGGGGGTTGCGTGTGTGGATGGCTTTCTTTCCTCCCAGATGGACTCCTTTCATCAGTCATTTCGTCAATACTGCGCCGAAAAAATGCCAGCCGCCCGCTCATCCAAGAACCTCCACTTACTGCCGTCGGTAGACGCCAGAATGCACATTATCCTATGGTCGTGCCTGCCGCCGTGTTACGCTGAAGCTCTGAAAATAAACATTTAATGAAGTGAATAATATTTCGATCCGGTCCTCGGCCGTCGCAGAATGATAACTCCTTTTTCTCACGCTCTCTCTCACCATGTCCTCTCTCTCTCTTCGGTCCCCTCGGTAGACAGCCGAGGAGAGCCAACAAGGTAAGTCGCGGCTCCTGGAGATATGGGCATAGGAGGATCAATTACAAATCCTAGTACCCTCTAATGAGCTCTGCCCTGACCCGCCTCATTCCTTGGCTTGCATCAACCGAAACCGCCGCAGCGCAGTTTCGAGTCCGATAGCGTAGGATGTAGGATGCAAACACCCGGACCCACATAACAGGATGCGATGAGCCGTCTGGAAGGGGCATTCTTGGATCCTTCCAGGGGCCCGTCAATCTTCCACAGGTCAGCAGATCATGAAGCTACAAAGCCTTGTGGCCCAGCTCGGAAGTGTGACTCGAGTACGCGACATGTGCGCTGAGTTTGTGCCATAGAGGCACCCGATCTTTCTCATGGCTCGCACATGGTAGTGTGCAGCTCAAAGATGAGTTCCAATTTCCCATAAAGAGCACGTCGTCGTCGACTGGGGAAAGGATCATCATTCGATCAGTGGCTTCTTCTGCCCTCCAACGTTGCAGAGCCCCAGGTGTTTGAGCGCGTCCTTGTCATTAGCAACGACGATCGACCTCGCGGGAAGCATTGGGTTGTTCGGGTCAACGTGGGATGCGTCTTTGGCGGCCTGCTCGATGGCGTCCATTTCTTCTTTGCACGCTTGCTGGTCCATCGGGCAGATGACGATGGGTTGTCGCAAAGTTATGTCCCGAGCGGAGCTCATTTGGGCCTGCTCACTCATCAGATTGGCCTCGCGCCTGAGGTTTTTTGGGCCGGGTACGACTCACCTTGATGCTCAAAAAGAACTCGATCTTATATAGCGTCGAGCTCGTTGTGAAAGAGGTGACCTCGTAGAGCGGGAAACCAGGTTTGCCTCTTTTAACGATGCCCTCGGAATCCCTCAAGTCTTTTGACGGAAATACCAGCCCTAGATTTGTAACATAGCCGGCTTCTGGTAGTTTTGCTTGTACTGGCTGCGTGTGTTTGGCGATCCTGTTGACTTTCTTGGTCGGCTCGTCGCCCTCCGGATTATACGTTATCTCCTCCTCGATTGCCAGCGTGATCTTCTGGATCGTGACCCTCTTTGCCTTATTCACCCAGTCCGCATTCGGCGCAAGCTTTATGTAGACCGTGATGGGGTCACACGGGCCATAGCTCCATTTTGGTAGCGATATGCCCAGCGTCACTAAGTTGTCGGCCGTGACCACTTTTGATTCCGGGCGGTTGTACATGCCAAAGGTCGATAATGTGTCATACCTCTGCAGCGGTATTGGGAACGCATACTTGTTCTGCGTGCTTGCGCCCTGTTGCACCGTCACCACCAGCTCGTAAAGGGTCTCGGCCGTCCTCGATGGTAATTGTAATGAAGCGGGAGGTATCCTCCTATTTGTCTCCTCGCCGCCCCGACCGAATGGTATAAAAAGTACGAAGGGTAGGTCCATCGCGATCACGCTCTCGGCCTCTTTCCCCGCTTGGCACCTGAAGAGTAGCAGCTCCTTTCCCACCACATCGATCGTTTCTCGCCTCGGTGTGCCTAGATGCCGTTTTGCGACGTTCTCGGCGGCCGGGTGTATCGTCTCTCTTCGTTGAAGACATATTCGGACTAATGAAACTGCCACTGGCATGGAGTAGCCTTGCGATGGTCTGATCTCGACTTTTCCTTCTATGCGCGGCTGCGCGAGAGTGTTTGGGTTAGCAGTCCGTGATTGCGCAGTACCCTTGACCGCTGCAAACGTGTGTTTGGGGAATGGGAGGGGACGCCAAGTTGGCAGAGCAAAACTCACTAATGTTGCTGATATCCCGGGGTAGCCAACAAGGAAGCTGCTGTTTGGCGGGCCAGTGACCCGTACAAAGGCAGCCATCCTGTTCGCGAGGCCAGAACTACGACTGCAGGCGGGACAATATGGTGTGAGTTGAAGGCCGAGGGTGGACGGTCATGAATGCGCAGCGAACGCCGGCCTCGCCGCGTCAAGGCTGTGAAGCAGCGCTGCAGCCGAGCAATGTGGGGTATGGAAGACGAGTGGTGGCAGCCTCCTGGGTGTCGCAAGTACTGGGTTGAAGGTCACGAGCTCGGCAGCTCGAGCCCATTGAATCACAAGGGCCTGCTGCTGCAAGAGAGCTCGAGCAAGTCGTCGCCGAAGCCTGGGAGGGACTTCAGAAGAGGAAGGTGGTCGCAGTTGGTTGGTGAGATGGTCTAGGACTTTCGTGCAGCAACAGGAGCGTACGGAGATACTCGGGCGGTCTGGTGTTACGCCGTGTCGCAAGCAAAGGCGCTGCTGTAACCTCGAAGCCGGTCAAGCTCAGTCGCTGGTCGCAAGGTGAATGAGACAAGGGCAAGCCTTGGAGCCAGATACTCAGGGAGAGCCAGAGGTGACGAAGATGTGCTTTGCGTGGAGTTTGGTCGTCTGGTCGTCCGCCTGTCGGTCTTGTGCTCCCGATGATGCTTGTCTAGCTGCATCCCCCGGCGTGGGAGGTTTTGATACGACGCACACCTTTGCCCCCTGCTGGGCTGCTGGGTCCTACTGGGGTCGTTTCTTGAGCGGCCGCGCGAAGTCCTGCACCTCGTGCGGATTGCGGCACAGCGCAGCGCGGCGCAAAACAGGGCTGGTCTGTTGGCAGCAGTCGGCTCTTATTGGGCAGGGCCGGCTGGATGGAGAACAGAGGACGCAGAGGATGTGGCTCTCCTGCAGACGAGATTGGCGTGCGCCAGCTGAGACCCCAGGTCTGGGTCTGGGGGCAGAGTCGAGTTGAGTCGAGTCGGATCGAGCTCGTAGTCGGGTCGAGTTCGACTGGAGGGGAGTCGAGCCGGTTTCGAGAGTGAGCAAGCCTGGCAGGCCTGGCAATCCTGGCAGGTGGACTGGTCTCTCGGACGGGGTTGGAGGGGCAAAAAGTCGGTGGTAGTTGCTGCAAGGGTTCTTTGTGCATCCGGGCCGTTCCCCTCAAGGTCAACAGCGGCTTGTGTTGGTTGCACAAGGAGCTTGGAAGGACGGAGACAAGAGGAGGCTTTGCGAGTCGTCGTAATGGGTGACGAGACCGGCTTGAGGCCCAAAGCGGGAAAGCAAAGGGAGGAGCCGCCCGCTCCAACAACGACGACTGGGTACGTTCGTTCAGAGGCAGACAGACCAGACCAGAACAGACCAGTCGCCTCGAGAAAGAAGGCTGTAGTGGATATCGAAGGGGGCCCACTCTCCACAAGAGCAGGATGCCTACCGGCACATGGACTAATGTGCTGCACACTGCACCTCACTGCACTGCACTGCACTGTAATGTAATGTAAAGAGGGCGATTTTGAATTACAGAACAGAAGTTTGCAGTGTTTTTTTTTCCTGTTTGTTTTCTTTTTCTGGTTGCACGGCAGTAGCAGTGGAACAGCAGAGCGATCTGCTGAGGAGAACCAGACGGACATGAGACAACCCTGTTGTTGCTCTTAGTGAGGACGGTGGCGAGATAAGTCAACCTGGTAGATAGATAATAGGCATTTGAAATGGCCATCCAAGGTTCCTGGACAACCGCACAGATCACGGGGATGGGGCTGTTTTGTTGACGACGGCAACGGGCTCGGTGCTCGTGCTGGTGCGGATTCCGATGCGGATTCTGGTGCTGATTCTACCACAGTAGTCCTGATTCTGGTGCTGGGAGGACCCTGCAGTCCTTCAGCTCCGGGATCCAGTGCGTCATCCAGCCGCCAGCTCATCAGCTCGCCTGCTCCCTCGCTCACCCACCAGGCCAGGCCAGGCCAAGCCATTGAGCGTCACCAGCAGGCGACAGTCTGCCACAGGGCCTAGAATGTGTATTTGAGACTTGATCCTCGCTAATCAAAAAACGGCGAAACCTTATCTGTTCGTGCCGAGGTCTGCAGATGTATGTGTATGTACGTATTATGTATTCACGACTGAGGATGTGTACATGCCCCTCACCGTCTCTAGATTAATGACAGCACGGTGGCTTTTCATCCCATCTCGGATCGTGCCGAGTCCAAACAAAAGAAGGGCCTGAAGTCGAGCCCAAATTGCCTGATTGCTCGCGTGGCTCGCGGCTCCCCCTACTGTGCCTGCATCCAGCGCGCAGGGGACCACGGCACTAAGGGACCTAGGTAGGTAGGTACCCAGGTAGCTTGGGTGTCTGGGTGATGCCCACCAATCACATATTACTGAACCGACAGGGGAGCTCCAGACTCCCGAAAAGCTCTGATACAAAACCACCGCCCACCATACTGCTAGCCTGCCAGCCTGCCCACTCGGGAGCTCCCTTCCTAGGCAAGATCGAGACTGTCCACGCCCACTCCACCCCGTCGCTGAGACAGACTATCACATTGAAGGACCTGGTCCAACCACTTTCGCCTTCAACATGTCTGTCACACTCCACACAACCGCTGGCACTATCAAGATCGAGGTCTTCTGCGACAGCGTCCCCAAGACCGCAGAGGTAAGACCGGACTAGGCCAGACCGAAGCCCCCTCCCTGCCGCGAGCTCTCAAGGCAACCGAGCAAGCTGACAAGAAACCCGCCGCAGAACTTCCTCGCCCTCTGCGCCTCTCACTACTACGATGGCTCACCCTTCCACCGGCTCATTCCCTCCTTCATGGCCCAGACGGGCGGCCCCGCCAACCCCTCACCCGAGAACCCCAGGGGCGGACGCTCAATATGGGGCGGCACCTTTGACGATGAGATCCGCCCGGCCCTGAAGCACGCCCAGCGCGGCATGGTCTCCATGGCCAACAAGGGGCCCGGCACGAATGGGTCGCAGTTCTTTATCATCTTCGACAAGGCTCCGCACCTCGACGGGTTGAATACCGTCTTCGGCAAGGTGATCGGGGACGACAGCCTAGCGACTCTGGCTAAGATTGAGGCGCTCGAGGTGGACAAGAAGAACAGGCCCAAGGAACCTTGCAAGATTGAGAAGGTTACAATCCATGCGAATCCATTGGCAGGCTAAGGAAAGCGGTGTCGAGCAATTGAAGCCAGACGAATGTTCAGCGCGCGACGCCCTTATAGAGCGACGAAACATGAGCATGTCCATGATTAATAGGTTACCAACCATTGGTTGCCTATATTGTTTACACTATCGGCAATAGGTGGCCTGAAGGCATGGAAGAGAAATCGAGACAAGAGACTCAGTCTGCAACACTGGGGTCCCAGTGTCATGCAATGCTTCATGACCAGGCTACGGTCTTGACACCATCATGTGCTTAGTCACGCTGTGATGGACCAGGGGCAATGGCTCGTGGTTCATGATGACGGCAAGATCACATCGGCTGCGAGATTTCGATGACTGCGGGATTGCGGTAACTGCGAGACCGCAGTGGCTATAGGGAATCACATTGGCTACAGCCAACAGCACCACTAGTATTCGGGTCAACTTGACCAGTACATAGCCAGATATCCCTGTGGGATAATCTCCTATAGGGTAACCTGTGGGATAGCCTTCTGTGGGTTAACCTCCTGTGGGATAACCAACGTTGGGACAACCTCCTGTGGGACAACCTCCTTTGGGATAACCTCCGTTGGGATAACCTCCTGTGGGATAACCTCCTGTGGGATAGCCTCCTGTGGAATGACCTCCTCTGCGATAAAACTGTATGGGATAACCTGTCATAGGATAACCTATTGTTGAATAACATCTATTTAGGTAGGTCTCGTCTGTCTTTCTGATCCTTTTGTCTATGCACTTGAGTAACGGGTGAATGTTTTGAGAATCTCGGAAGCTGCACGTTCTTTGACTAACAAGGGAAAGGCAGGGTCTCATGAAATGCATGTGCACCGATCCCATACAATAGGTGTGGCGAGAGAGTTATTCTCCACAGCTCCGAGTACACGATGACTAGAATCAAATCGGTCATACCTGAAGCCTTTTCAGAACCTATCCATGAATGTTGGAATGACGCAAGGACTATGCGAAAGAACGGCCACCCCTTTTCTGTTTCATGCAGCTCCAGAAATTATGGCTGCGGCCTGCTCTGTCATAGCATACACAGGTGCTTGAATATGAGCACTTAGAGGGACGGGAATGACTGAAGCGTCAACAACTCGCAGTCCCTTCACTCCTTTGACACGGAACTCCGCATCGACAACCTTGCCCATAGCACAAGTACCCCCTGAATGCCACGTCGTCACCCCAGTAAGCGCGACCCGCCTGTCCAGCTTCTCGTCACTATCGTCAAGAGATACAGCCTCCATCCCGGGGACGGGAGGCACCGACTCGCCGGCAATGTACTCCTTGCCGAACTTGGTCTGAAGCATCAACCGTGTCAGCGTTCGCAGACCCTCGCGGTACACACATCTATCCGTCTCGGTGGCCAAGAAATTCAGGTCAATCTTTGGAGAGGCTTGCGGGTCGGCAGACTTGAGAGTTACGCTGCCGCGGGATGTTGGCAAGAACGGGATGGTGAGGGTGGTGAGATGCTCCGCATCCGGTTCAACACCAGGTATGGGCAATTTGAAGTACAACACAACCGTCTCGATGTGCGTACGGGGCTCACGGAGGAGCCGGTGCGTGGTAGCGTCGGGCACCTTGCCATCATCTCGTTCGATGGCCTTGGCTACTTGGTCATGAGGAACGTCGGTCGAAACGATCCAGTCGAGGGGTATGCCCATAGCGAATTCGGGTTGTTGGAAGAGAGGGTTGGCAGAACCCAGAGTATAGCCTCTTTCGGGGTTCTTCAGCTTCCAGAATTGGTAAAACGACATGTGATCATGAAGCCCTCGGCCGACTTCGGGGAGATCAACCAGCGTCTCGATCCTGTGTTCCTTCAAGTGAGCTGCGTCGCCTATACCGGACAGCAGCAGTAACTGGGGAGACCGGAAGGCACCACCGCAGACGATGACCTCTGCGCCGGAGATGACCTTGCCGTCAGCAAGCTCCACACCAGTTGCTCTGGGCGCGCCGGCTCTCTCGACGACAACTTTCTTCACCAGAGTGTCTGCCAAGACCTGGACACCATCCAGGGGATAGTTCCTAGCCGAATATTGCCGCTTGCCCTCACGGCGTGCTTCACAAATATATGCTCGGCCCAGATTGTCACCCGTGTTTTGGTCGAACTTTGGCAGGGCGGGCACGCCCAACTCGTCCCAGGCAGCCGCAATAGGTTCCGTCAGAGGGAATTTGCGGTTTGTTGACACTGCAGAGGCAATAGCAATGGGTCCATCCTTGCCGTGCTGCTCAGGGTTGCTGTCGTCGAACCACTCTTCCGTCTTCTTGATATAGGGCAGCTGGCCTGTATAACTCCATCTCGCGTCGCCTACGACTTCCGCCCACTCATCATAGTCCGCGGACGAACCACGGGTCCATCCGCCTTGAAGTCCTGTTAGAGAATTGCGTGACCCTCAAACGACAGAAGGAGGCTTACTCGCCCATCCCTCGAGGATGTTAGGGCAAACTTACCTGAGTTGATGAGGGTGCCTCCACCGAGTCCCTTGCCAGCATTGTAGACAATGCTACGGCCGCCGAGACTCGCTTGAGGCTCGGTCGGGTACGTCCAGTCGAGCTCTCCGCCCAGGTTGAGGATATCGGGCTGGAGTATGTCGGTCCGCGACCGGGTGTCCTGGCCGGCCTCGATAAGCAGGATCTTGGACCCAGACTTGTATTGCCGTAGCCGGCTGGCGAGGACACAGCCCGAAAGGCCGCCTCCCACGATGATGTAGTCGTAGGTGCTCGAGGCCATCATGGCATAGCAGATTACAGGATGATTGGGCAAGCAGTTGCCGAGCAGTAGAGTCCTGGTTGTCTTGAGTCGGGCAGCGGCGATGCTGATGCTCGAGGATGCGCTTCCGGCAAGGATTTACAAAGCTCATACGATAGACAACCAAGAGTTGGTCCTACGGTAGGCCTACATGGATGTCACTCCCTCGGTCATCATCTAACCAAGCAGAGACCGGTGGGGCGCACCTGGGCCATGGCCTTTGAAGAATTATCATAATGTTTAGTACGACGCAGCACCATGTGGTTCTTCGGATTCTGAATACGGAAAGGACTGGCATATCTGTTTGTGCGGCACTCTATCAGCGTGGAGCCTTTCCCCCTAATCATAAAATACCAAACGAGCTCTTCCACGTGCCTCGTTTGACCTGAGCTTCTGGATCCTTGGACCCCTGGGTGCCGGTGAGGCGATCGTGGGGAGCCGCGATGCCATTTCTGGCTGTAGGATCAACAGCCAAGTCTCTGTTGGGCGATCGGCCCCCTGTGGGCAACACGCCAGCTTGCCGGTTCACGAAGACGATTCCGGCTAGCACAGCAAGTTGGTAAATGAGATTTTCTTTACCAGGCTGCCAGGACACTCAAAGAAGGAATCTTGGGCCGTAGTGTCAAGGTTGTACGCGATGCCTGACACGACATGTCGTGGTATTGGATGAGCAGTCCCCACATGCCTGCAGCAGGAACGGCAAGAACCGCCCGAAAAAGGTATACACATTTCAATTTGATTACTGCTTCCAGCGCAGATCACGGACGAGTGACTCGATCACCGGAATTTTCAAAAGTCCTCATAGGGGTGAATACATAGCCCTCTCAAACTTCACTTACTCGCGTCCTGGTTACGTTCACTCTACGGGACGTGCGTCTGCGTTCCCCGGGCAGCTGAGCGGATATGTGGACTCCAGTCCGGATGGAGCGCAATAAGGTTTAAGGCAATCTCGACATTCCCACTGCGCGTTCCCGATCTGTGGTTCGCAGGGATCTGAGACTTTGCCGCCCAGCACAGCTTGGGAGTGGGACGTTTTCGTGTAGGGTAACGTACTGCTCCAAAGGTGCTGGGATAACGTGTGTTTGAGGCAATCCGCTGTGGGATAAGCTGATATAAGAAAAATTACTACTAGACAAACCATTGGTGACGGATGGGACGATATCACAGATGTTCGGAGGCAAACTCCGCCTCTAAAGCAGCCAGGTAGGTCTTTTATCCCATTCCCCTGCACGTATGTTCGGATATTCCTGAGTACCTGCAACATTTTTCATCCCTGCGAGATATGCCTGATCTGGAAGTGTCATGTGGAGATCTGTCAGAGAACCCCATCCACCCACACGCAAATGGTCTTCTATTCCCTGCGATAGGTTTGGACAGAAGGATGACTTTTCCCAGCTCCCCTCGACCCCGAGGATAGGGTACCCTCTCCTGGGGAAGCGTTCCTGCTTGTCGGATGATGTTCCTGCACGTTGACATTTCGCCTCCCGTGGTACTCATCGCATCTTGGCGGGATCGGTGTGCTGTCAGCTTGTGCTCTCAACGTGGGATCACACCGAGCTTCTCATGGTGTATTGGCACCTTCTTGGTTCTGGCAGACCCGCCCTCAGCGATTCGGCTCCATGCTCCGGGTCAGGCATATCAGTTCTCGCGTGCCTCGTCACACGCAATGCAGGGCACCTGGCAAGCATGCACATCCTGCTCCACCCGCAATCCTGCCTCGAATTTGCCTGCGGACAGCGGGTCGGTTCCTGACAGTCGCCCCCCCGGACCCGGGGGATACAAGACCCAAGCCCAGCCAGTCGTTCTCCCTAGCGAGAGCGATGACACCCGTGTCGCGCCAAGGCGCAGAGAGGAAGGGGGAAAGAAGTCTGGACGAACAAAATAGAGCCTTGAGCCACTGGTCCTCCGCCGGCCCCCCTCCACCACGGTGTACGACAGTCGGACCCCCTTCAGACTTGCATTTCGGAATCGGCACGCGATGCGGCTCTACATCTCTGCTGCTGCCGTTGAAACGGGTTCGACCAGCAGTGATGAGAAGTTCACGTCGACTATCATACCGCTCGCTGCGAGAGCTGACGTACACCAATTTATCTGGTGCGCTGGCGTTTTTCTCGTCCTGGTGACAGTATGGACTGGGTTACGAATTTACGCGAGAAGTATAAAGCGGTTGCCAATGGTACTTGAAGACATTTTGTATCATGTCTCCGTGGTGAGTAGTCTCGCTGGCTCATGCAATGGCACCTGTCGACCTGGGGCCGGCTCCTGTGCTCACATTGCAATGGCTTCCAGGTCTCCTTCTTCGGCTTCGTTGTCGCCCTGTTCTTAGGTGAGCCAACTATAGCATTCTGTTCGCAACGCAACCGCATAGTTACTCATAGCATCGCAGCATTATATCTTGGTGGAGCGGGACATCATATGAGTCAACTCCAAGTCAGCCATGTCGCAAGACTCACACAGGTCAGTCGAGGGAGAGATGAAAGCTACCAAAGGTCGTATGGCTGACTCGGATTGCAGTCCTTTCTTGTCATACAAGCCCTGTATGCCCTGTCGATGTGCACTGTGAAATGGAGCATGTTGTTCATGCTGAAGAGAATCTTCTCCGTCAAGCCATTTGAGGTTGGTGCCTTCGGCGCAGTCAGCCGACACCTGGACATAGACTTGGCTGTGTCGTGCTAACTATATGCTAATTCTTGCGCAGATCGTGACCTGGGTCATAATATCACTCCAAGCTGGGTGGCTCGTTATGACCGTACTCATTGGTTTCCTCATCTGCCGGCCGGTGCAAAAGAACTGGGACCCAACAGCGGAGGGAACTTGCGGCAACCAGATCGCTGGCTACACTGCTGTTTCTGTGGTCAACGTCATTGTAGACGTCTTGATGCTTCTTCTACCTCTGCCTATGGTTTATAAATTGCAGACTAGGCCAGGCTATAAGGTTGGCCTGTTTGCCATCTTCAGCATTGGCTTAGTGTAAGTCGCGTTGCCATCTTCCTCCATCCGCCCTGCATCACTATCGAAATTACAAACCGCAGATGCATTTGTGCTTTGTCAATGCTAATTTAGCATCTGAACAGTACCATAGCCTTCTCGACAGTACGCCTGACGTCCCTAAACTCGATCAACTTCGATGACTTTTCATATACCGTCATCCCAGTTATGACTTGGACGACCGCCGAAGCTGGGGTCGCTATATTGGTAGCATCGTCGGCCCTCCTGCGGCCTGTATTTGACAAGATGTTCCACCGCATCCTCTCATTGTCATCAGGAAAAACACCGGGGCCCTCCAATGCTTCGGCACCGTACATGAGTAGCCAGTCGAGGATAAACGGCAAACAGCGGAGAGAATTCGTCAATGTCGGAGACGTAAGTTTAATATGGTCCTGGCCTACTAAATGCACTGTGGAGACACTATCTTTACGAAAACCACCTTGCACAGATCAGATGACTGACTCTCGTTGTTGCAGTCTGAAGAGAGCTTTGAACTCGAGGCAAGAGGGCCGCGCACAGAGATCCAGGTCGGATCGAGACGGAGCAAAGGCACCCTAGACGCGATGACTCTGGCGGCCGGTGGGTCTTCTGACAGGAAGGGGCGGATGACGATAGTGGTACAGCAGCAGGTCGAGCAGACATACGAGGGGAGAAGCGTCTGACGAAGACAGTCTCTGGTGGCAATAGCAGTGACTCCGCCTGCGGAGACCTTGCTCGCTGTATAAGACACAGGCGTTGGCTACCGATGACCAGGGGACCTATGCCACCGTGAGAGCAACCCTGGGTCGATGTCAAAGTAGTCACCTCATCACGGCACTCATCGAAATACGATGATCACCGGAGCTTGATGATCATTGTGGCACATTTATCACTCGGATCGAGTCTTAAGAACTGAGCAGTTACCGAATGAATGAGCAACCAACTGATCCAATATGGGCCGCCGAAGGTAGCTGTTTCTCGCAGTGGATGACAATTGTCGGTAACTGAGGAGTGGAAGAGAACAACTTCAAGAACCAACCACTTATCCGTTGAGGGGTTACATAGGCTGTCCCAAGGAGAAGTCACGCGGGAGACTTGGAGTGACCTGCACAGTGTTGTGGTCATGTGCTTCTCAGCCGAATCAGTCACACAGCATCACGGAAGCCCAGCTTCAGTAATTACTATAATATACAAAGCATTGATATGAATCACCCGTTTGCCGCAATCCAATGCTCTCACTCATCGGCGTCTGAACCATCTCTGACCTATTTGCGCTCACAGGCTTCAGTTGCCCTACATGTCTGGCCACGCTTGTCGTCCAGTGACTCTTATACATGGTCATACGCCGTCAAATTCATTTCCGCGGGGCGTCTAGGCCGTATCAAATACACTATTAGAACAACACCACCACACTCTCAAAGGTCACAGATCATCATCACGGAGCCCCATGTGGCTTAGTTACTTCCTTCCAAAGAAGGTTACCTAACAGGAACGTATCCCACAGGAATATATCCAACAGGGACGTATCCCACAGGAGGTTATCCCACAGGAGGTTATTCCACAGGAGGTTATCCTACAGGAGGTTATCTTATAAGAGATTATCCTCTAGAAAGTTATCTTACAAGAGATTATCCTATAGGAGGCTGTTCTTTTTAGGAAATTGTTTTTCTAGGAATTATTTTAGAGTTCACTACCTTTAAGAGATTGTTTTCTTTTTCCATTATCCCCCTCCCTCTTGCCCTTTTTTTCTTTTCCTTACTTAGTCTGTGTAAATACTGTGGTCGCAAAGTGGACACCCGAGCTTAAGCTCGTTCACTGATGTGGCTCTGACAAGTCGGGCGGCCAGCGGTTGTCCGGAGGACCTGCCGCCGTCGCCTCTATCTGGGCCATACACTTACCTGGGTACGCACAGAGGAGCAGACAGCACTGTTCCATCCGTGGCAAATAAAAATTGAATATGGACGGGAAGGAAGGTTATTGTAAGATCGCGTTGTGATTCAAGCCTGCACACTTTCCTACTCTGGACAGTTTTGAATACAAATGATTAGGGTCACTGAAGTCTTTATTGATTTATGTGTAGAAAAAAAATGAACATCCTTCTTAATTGTTATTCTTGGTCTTGTAAAAATTATCATAAAAGCAAATTTAAAAGAAACAAGGAATAGCTTGTAAAACAAAGTGAATAACTTGAGAAACAAAATGAATAACTTGAAGAACAGAATGAATACCAGAATGAAACAAAGTGAATTTGAAAGGAGACGTGGCCGAGCGGTTATGGCGGTAAGTCAGCATTTGTCATAACTCATGTATCTCAATCACACGAACACATTGATACGTCTCGAGCATGTAACTAATATAGAACAGCTGTGTTTAGGTTCATCTCACAATTGTCCGCAGTACGAAAGTTCGTGGGTTCGAATCCCACCGTCTTCAGCGCTTTTTTGGCCTTTTTGCTTCTTTTTTAGAACAAGCCGCTAACTTTGGTGGCTCTCCGCGAGCAGTGCGCTGCATGCCCGGGGCTGTAGGCTGATAATATGTTCAACATCTGCTGTGTACATGCCATTCTGCCGCCTGCTACCCACACAAACCCAGGCTAGGTTACCAGAATGGTGTACTTATCAGTGAACCCAGATTCGTCAGCGGCACTTGATGATGACGGGTAAGTGGATGGATTCAGACTTGACCGACTATTTAACACGAGCTACAAGGTAGAGGATGACCGAATACATCCAAGGGATATGACACTTGTCGATATTGAGACTAATGATCATGTTAAGGGGTGGATCTGCCAGGCGAGAGCGAACATCCTATTGCTCGGACATGACTTGACCAGTACATCGCACTCGTTCTAGTAGAACAAGCTCTTGTGGGGTGACCTCCTGGCTGTTCTGGGATAACCTGCTGTGGGATAACCTGCTGTAGGATAACCTGCTGTAGGATCACCTGCTGTAAAAAACTATCTTGATAGGTGTTTCCGTCCTTCTGATTCCCGTCTAGACTACGTACTTGCGAGTAGCTGGCAAACATTTGCGACTTCTGTACATAGCTCTACAGTACAAACAAGAGCTTGTGGTCCACTATAAATTGTAAGCAACTTATGTGGGGTTGAGCTACAGGGTACCCAGGCGCTATCGCGCTGTAGATCAACCCCAAAATCTATCCGCCCGCAACTTTTGGAGATCCACGAAATTCGCTACAACCTCACCACAATCACATGCCAGATCACCACGAACATGGCGTTCGACGACGACGACGATGATATCTCAACGCAGCGCCCGGCTCAGTCGCCTGAGGATGCGCAAGCTACCGCCGAAGAAGCCCTCGAGGACGAGGCCCAGGACTTCCGCCAATTCGCAGCGCTGCAGCGCAAGAAGAACATCTCCGTGTCCACCATTCGCAAGGGCGAGAAGGACTTCGAGTCGCACGGCACAAAGTCGCAGGCCAGCGCCCTGGAGAAGAGCCGGCAAGCCATGGAGGAGGTGTTGAGTTACACACGCGTGCACAATAGCAAGGACTGGGCGCGCGCCTGGTACTTCCCCAACCGCTGGGTCGAGGACGAGGTGTTTGAGGGCAATGAGGTTAAAACCCAGAAGGTCGCCGCCGAGAGGAGGGAACTACATGCGCAAGAGAGGGTCGTCTGTGTCGGCTTTGAGCACAAGACCCTGGGCAGGAAAATAAGAGGGCAGGGTAATAACAAGCCCGGCTGGGACCAGGTTTGGCTGCTGCCCGAGGAGGCGCTCTTCTTGATTGAGAGGGGCGGCCTGGATCTGTGGTGGCCTACAGCTACAATGGACGAGATTTTCCCACTCGGCAGTGAGGGAAAGGGCGCCAGCGCAACACTAGAGATTGAGGAGGAAGACGAGTACGCTCTTGGCTTCCCGCTCAGTCTACAAGCTGCATACGCCCTACTTGTCGGCAACGAAGGTGAAAGGGGCAAGACATCACTGCGCAACCTGCAAGTCTACTCGAATCTCAATCGCGCAGGCTTCAACGTCATCAGAGTGCCTCCGCCGACCTCAGATCAAAATACGGCCAAAGCCATTGCCGAGGATCAATCGCCTCTGTGGCAGCGTCTCACTGCCCTGCTCTTCCCCGACCGAGAACCCAACCATCCCGCCTACGGCCCTCTCGTCCGGCCAGGTCTGTACAGATCGTACGGCTCAATATACAAACAGATCGCCCTCGTGCCGCGGTACAAACCAACCGCACACCCGCCTTGTTCCCTGTCAGAAACGCAGCACAGCCCGTTCCGCGTGCAGTTTCATGTCTGGAAGCCCAGCGTCCAGAACTGGTCCAAGACCAAGCCGCCCCCTCCAGACTACTACCTCGCCGTCGTCGACGCGCACGAGACGTCCGTGCCGACCTCCGAGGAGATCTCCGCCCTTCTGGACTCTGTGCCGCATGCGCCTCCGCCGGCACCTCAACGGCAGGGCCAGGCCGCATTCATGATGCACAGGAGGCTGAAGCATGGGCATCGCAACGTGCTGGTCGCGGTGAATGACCATGGGGTAATCAACTACATGCGCTTGGGCGAGGGCGCGTTCGGCGAGGAGCTGCTGTACAAGCAATACGACGTGCGCACGGCGCCGAGGGGCGGGAAGAGGGGTGGTGGTCGTGGAAAGGGTGGCAGAGGCGGCAGAGGCGGCGGTAGAGGGGGCCGGGGTGGAAGAGGTGGTTGAGCCATTCACTTTTTCCGATTCAGCACAATACTTGTGGCATCAGACCATTTTGTACAGGACCGAATTGGGTAGTCACACGGGGCCGGGAACACCAACGATGATGGGGAGGTAAGCCTTGGTCAAGTCCATCTGATCAAGCTCTCTGGGCCGCTCATATCCTGGCTGCACTGTCACGATCTCGGCAACCGCAGTGCTCCATTGGTCACTGCCACCAGCTGGTCAATGTCTCGCTTCTCACCGGTTCCTGCTTGAACCGCACCGCGCGTGAGTGAGTCTCTAGCACATCATCGAAGGACGCTCGCAAAGCCTCTTCTCTCGCGAAGCTAGCCACGCGCAAACTTCCCCTTCAAACCTTCGAGACCAGTCATCACATCTGGGTCAACGAGTGTTGCCTCCTTCGTCGCGCGAGTGCGGCCTGCCCCGCGTTGCCCGTCTGATGACAGCCTATATCACCGGGCGAAGTGCACGCACACAATTCTCACATACTATGGAATGGAGGCCGTCTCGGCCTTGATAAGCCAATAGATGAATATGCACGAGAGGGGAGCGCGGTGATGGGAACACCACGCGATGGCCCTATTGTTGGACTATTGCTAGATCGCGGGGAACTGCTGTTCGGGACGAAGTAGAATATGCTGGTCACTGGCAGTCTCCCAGTCACCAGTTCCAGCCCTTAGGGCAAATGCCCCGCGAGTCTTGCCAGGCCAAGTCCTGGACTTACCTACGTGGCTCGCCTGTAGTGACCTCGAGTCTGCGAGTTCTTCGCGTGAAAATAGGAAATTGGCGAAAACGTAACATTCAATTGTACTTTCATCGCAGGCAGATCAAGAGCAGCGAATCAGTTGTGTATTGCGACTCGGTTGCACAGGTCTGGCTGGAGGCTAATGCTCCGGTTCTTAGTCTCTCGGTACGTGAACGCGTCATATCCTAGCCTAAGACATGCCTCTGGAAATTGAGCCTCTCTAAGTTTTGAGACTTTCTAGTGGCAAAGACTGCACATGTTAGTGTGAACTTTGTGCTGTCGTGGTCAGAGAGAATGATACTGGCGACCTGCCAATAGACTCAAAGACACGACAGATCAAAGACGCGAAACAGATGACGAGGCAGAGTATGACTTTCCGACCTCTGGAATGGTTCGTCACATCCGCCAGAAAACTACTGGGTGGCTACACGGCTTGAAGGCGAGCAGGCAACGAGGCCGGCAATGAATTCCGATGCCCCGCTTATTCTGTCTACTCGAGTATTTCTCCATCTCATCATCATACGAGATAGGTTTAAAGCGCAGTATTATCAAAGTCGAAGTATGTTGTGACCTGTCATCTTTCCTAACAAGCCATTTGCTAGTGCCTGTTCTGTTGAGAGGCTTTGCATTGTGGCTTGCAGATTGTGGAAAGGAAAGGGAACAGGAAAACAGGTTGCCCTCCAGCAAAATTTCCGGTCCTGGGTGGGGCCCTACCTGCTGGCACATAACGCCTCAGCAAGCCAGAAACTGCTACCAACCCTCTTGGCTTTATCTTGGGCTCTATAGAGTCCAGGTATTGGTCGTGAGAAGAGTCTGACTGAATTCTACATTGTGGCTTTGAGTCAAATTTCTAAATAATGGTATTGGCTGCAGCTGCCCATGTCGAAAGCTAGCAAATTGGAAGGTTGCTGTTCTCTTCTGTACGGCCAGCCGCGTGTAAGTGGGTGGCGGCCTGTGGGCTTGGCACCTCTTCCCCAGGCCATGTTCCTCCCGAGCGCCACTGCGTGACAGGCAGTTTAGGTTGGGATTGGTGGCCTTCCACTTCCATCATGCCATCACTATCTTTGAATCCTACAGTGGAGAATTGGAAAGCATCATACATATCTGGAATTCTAAGACTGGGGCCCATCTGCCAGCCAGCTATATCCAGCCTGCCAGCCAGCCAGCCAAGGTAGCTAAGAAACAGACAGAAAGGTTGACGTAGGAAGTGGATACCAAGGCCCAAATAGCAGCACAACTCCCTTGTGGAAAACACACACAGAACAGAAGATTAGTGAGACATCCAGAGTCATCACTGTCTGTATGGATGAGATATTGGTACCTGGATAGGTCATAGATTAGCTAGCCCTGGCAAATTCCGAGTGTTGTCTCTGGCCGGCTTTGAAACCAACCTGCTGATTGCAATGTCGTTAGTGCCCCACAGTGGGAAGGACCAGCCAATGGCTCTGAAAGGCTGTGTCCAGCTTGGGAAAGAGCAAGCCTTTGGGGGATGCTGGAGTGTCGCCAGCTTCCAAGGTAATGATGACACAGGAAATTGGACAATCAGTGTAGCTGCTGCTAGTGTCTCGTTTTTTCTCTCTCGCTTGCCCCCCCGGGAATCCCAAGATCCAAGATCGAAGACCCAGGCAGAATACCAAACCCGAACCAAACCCCAAGACCAAGGCCCAAGCGGCCAGTGCCATTGTCCCAAAGTTGGGGCTACCTACATACTGGGTTCGATCAATGCATCCAGTCATTGATTGTACTGTGAATGAGCGTGGCTGTCCCACCTTCAATGTCGTCAAGCAGCAGCAGTAGCACGAGTCTTCGATATTGAGTATTTGAATAGAGAGAATGGGGGACAAACGTCTCACATATATATCTAGATATGACTTGATGAGTCAAGTCAATAGACTGCCTCAGATAAACTGTGCTACTGCCCTTCGGGTATTCTTAGCTGTGGACTGGACTGGAGTGGAGTGGACTGAGCTGGGACTGAAATACGATGCAGCGTTCAGAACTCTGACTGCAGAGATTTGTGCACTCATAGGCCCAGCAAGAGAATCTGAGCTGGGAGCTGCCAGTTCCCAGGAGCACCCCAAGCAACCCCCCAACGCTAAAGTGTAGGCTTTGAAACAGCTGAGTAACACAATCTTTGCTTCTCAAAGTTCCACTATCCAGCGGCAAAAAGACCCCTCGTCAAAACTCACTTTACTTGCCTGGTCTAGTTTCCCGCCAACTTCGCAATACCGACAACCACCCTCTTTCAACCCCCTGGGCCCCGATTCTCTTACCTTTCAAGGTTATTACCTGCATACAGGCCTACTTCCCACACAACAATCTCTTCATCTCATCAGTCGCCCAGACCAGCATCTTCTCTTCTCCTGTTCTACTTTTTTCTCTTCAATCTACGCGCACACTGATTGTCGCGGCGTTTGTCTCCGTCAACTCGCACTCGGCTTTCCTAACTTTCTGACTCGGCACGGCTCACTCGTCTCATCGTCCATCTACATATTGCTCCCCAACCTTCATCGCATTACACCAATCAACCTGAAAACTCTGGCAAATCGGCGCAACGCGCTTCTAACCATCTAAACACATCGCATTGAGCCCTGCAATTGAGTATGGAGTCGGACAATTCCTCGGTTGAGGCGCCCAAAAGCCCCCCTGTCAACAAGTCGCCCGCCACAGAGCAGACGCCCCCCATCGAGCCCAAGAAGACGCCAGAGACGTCCCCAGACAAGGGCGCTGTCGCATCAAATGCCCCCAGCCCACAATCAGAGAAGCGCGAGCCAGAGAAGAAAGCCGCTTTGGACGTGTAAGTGTGCCTGTTTTCCCTCTTGCCTCGTTCTGTTTCCCCCAATGCTTCCAAACATGTATTGCATCACCATTTGTCGCCTTGGCACTTCTCCGACGCTCTCGCCTCTTGCCGTCTCCTCAACTCAGCCAACCAAAGCCCTCACCAAGCTAGCTTGGCCCTCTTGAATCTTCTCTGGCAACAGCAGCAATTACCGTCTGTAGCAGACAAGAGCTGCCAGCGTCAGAGCTGATAGTGTATGTTTTGTGTTGAGCCAACTTTCGCGGGGGAACGTCATCTCAGCCAGTGAAGAGATGTCTCTCGTCGTTGACGTGAAGATCGATTCGGAGAGGTCACTCCGTAAAGTGAATGTGCCACACTCACTTACTGGGTGGGGCCTTCTCGGGAGCGCTCGAGCGATATTCAACTCGCAACACTGAGCAACCACACTTTTCCATTTCAATGCCATCACTTCACTTAGCCTGCTGCGTGTCAGTACTTTGAATCGTCTTCACGTTTGTCTTGCCAGTGTTATTCAACGCAGTTCGGGCTCTTCACATCGCCCTCTCCTTCCCACTTAAACTGCTTCAGCACACTTCCTCTCCACCCCGACACATTTTGTGTCAACACCCACTTCGACCAAGACATCAGCAGCCACTCCAGACCCAGCACAGGCTTTGAGCCTTGCAATCTGATATAAACAATAACGAGGGTAAAACTAAACACTCGTTATGTCTTTCCCCCGCCCCGCGTTTGGTATTTTTGACAGACGGGGTCGCAACGCGTATGTACCTGACAGTTTGGTGTCGAATCGCCATTGCGACAGGCTTTAGTTCTTCCCCTGTCCCCCAGATCTATTATACTGCAACCGCTGCCTTGCTCCCCATCACAGACTACGTCAAGCGACACTTTTTTTCCTGCCACTGTGAATTGCCTGATAGTTTCCGAAGTCTTTGGGGTTTCTCGTACTTGCAGTCACACTCCTTCTCCCCCCCCCCCCTTTACATCAACTCTTCAGCCCGACGGCCTCGCCTATTCATCTGTCCCTACGACTCACACCACACCTCCATAATCGCTTCAGAGTCGTGGACTTGAGCATCAGCTGACCTTGAAGCACAGAAGCATGTCCGATACGGCCAAACCCCTGGACAACAAGGCATATTCATTCCTCAAGGAACCTCCTATTGATGACGAGGACACCGGCAACGACGACAATTTGAGCCCTCCACCAGAGTCCATGAGCGGTATTTCCAGCGGTGATGTTGTCATGAATGAGGGCTCCCAGGATGAGATCGTTGTCGGCTCTGCCAACAATGACGGCACGCCTAAGGCTGAAGCTCTCGCCGCCCTTTCTGACAAGGAGTCGTCTGCCATCATGGACATTGACGGAGTAGAGGACAAGTCTGTCCCTGCCACCTCCAACTACCCCAAGCGTAAGCGGTCTTATGTCTTCGGTGATCTTACCGAGGACAATATGAACAAGAGCTTGCTTGCCGACGAGACCGACGACGAGGCTTCTCCTGCTCCAGGCCCTGCAACAGTGACCAGATCGGCCAAGGGCCCTCGTACAACTCACGGCCTTGCTAGCGTCAAGGGCGTGACTATTGGTTACTGGCGCGAGTCCAAGGCACCGATTGGAGACAAGCATATTGTTAAGGGCTTTATCGACTCCCGAGACCGCCTTCGTACACGTGTTCAGCCCTGCAATCGGGAGGGCAAAGTTGTCACCGACCTTTACCCTCTGAATCCTGGACCCGGAGGCAGCTGGGTCACCTTTGAGAAGATCGTCTTCGACAATCACCTTGTGCACCTCGACCAGACCCAGGTCAAGGAGTATGTCAAGATCCGATCCGACATGGAGGACGCCGATAACGACGGCGGTGCTAATGACACAGCTGCCGTCCAGCAAGCCATTGCACGCTGCAAGGCCCGGGGCCCCCAGGTGGAAGGTGCCCAGCCGCCGCAGATAGCCTATGGCGTCGACATCCCTGAACATGCTCTCCACCGTCCTGAGAAGCGTCGACGCATGGGCGCGTCGTCCTCTGCCAATGCGACCCCGGTTGCGAAGGCTGCCCACGCCAACTCACAGCCTCCAGTCGCTGATCTTCACGGAACCCGTCCCACCAAGATCCTCCTCGGCTTCTGGAAGGGCTCGGCCGAGCCAGATGACCAGGACAAACACGCTGTCTTCGGAATCCTTGGAAACAACGACATGTTCCGTGTCAAGGTAGGCCGCGAGACTCGCGATGGCCGACCGCTGCAGAGCAATTTCCCATCGGGCGCGGGCGCGTTGTGGCTCTCCTTTGACGAATATCAGATCGAGGACTACCTCGAGGGTCTCAGCCGAATGGAGTTAAAGGAGTACTGTCGTGTTCGCCAGTACCAGATGGACCATGGAGAGCGGCCTGAAGACAAGGATGAAAACCGGAAGGTCGCCATCAACGAAGCGCGCGCGCGCGTTGCTGCCGGCTTCACCAAGCCCGAGCCCAGAGAGCACCCCATGCCGTCCAATGCCAACGGCAATCTTGGCGAAGGCCCTCACCTTGATGCCGTCCTCAAACAGGAGGCTCCCACTCACGAGACCCGTCAAGCCCACGCTCGCCGCTCGCTTCCTACTATCGTGCCCAACCAGGCCCGCCAGTCTACGCAGCCTCCCGAATTCCGCGCCGCCAATCGATCCGGTGGTGTCGAGTCCCGCACTAATAACCTCGCCGTTAATGCGGTCGCCCGCGCCGAGGCCAGGCAGACGAAGAACGATCAGCGCGAGGCTGCCTACATTGCCCGCCAGGGCACGGATGGAGACGCAGATGGAGACGTGGACGGACAGTCTTCCTTCCAAGACAACGTTTCCCGACTGAACCGCGTTTGGGCTGCCCAGGAGGCCCACCGCATGCGAGCCAACAAAGAGGACGCCAAGATCTATATGGGCATCAAGTACGAGCGCAAGCAGACTGGCCCCTTCGAGGGCAAGCTCGTCTCCCAAGGAACCATCATCTCTATTGACGGCGAGGACTATGTGGAGTACCGCGTTCTTACCAAGCCCACCTTCTTTTAGTCGCTAGGCTGGCAATTTCTTGCTGAACCCAAGCTGGTCACGTTTCTCGGGAAGTGGTTGGACCATGATCCCTTTGATCGGCCTGTTCTCCAGGAAAATCGACGACCAAACACGGTCCCAGGCCCACTTGACTTCCTCTCGTGGGCTTTCCTTATTTTCTTTGGCGTTCGGTCTACGGAACTAATACCCCTCGGCATGCTCTGATCTTTTCGCCTGCGTCTCTGTTTTTAAGGTCTGGCCCTGTTCATATCGAGGTCTATTTGATGCCTCTTGGCTCTTTCGTTCCCTGCGGCGGCGGCTTCGTGGCTTGAGAAGAGGTTCTTTCTCTTTGCGTCTCTTTCACTGCCAATATTTTCGACTTTGGAAAATGCTTCTTGCGGGATAGATGCGAAATGCTGCACGAAAAGCACCCCAAAAGGGCTTGGCCAGGATCCACTGAACTGGCAGGATTGTATTGCCGAATAATTGTATTTGTACGACACCGCTGCACGACTGCGGCCTTTACGAAGTTTGCGGGGCATCCGTCTTGTCTTCTCATCACAGCAGGAAGGACGAGACTTGGTTTCGGCTGCGACACCTTGAGTTCTCCCACTCAATCTTTTCCGCCACACGGGTTGGCCTTTCCGAATCTGGGACCCTTCTCGTTCTGATGACGGATCCCACCTTTCTCGCATGAATACAAGCATCCCGACATTTTTTGTGAGGGAAATTGCGAGAGTTACGACAGGAACTCGGGTGAAAAGGCGCGCCCGACATCTGGACGTGGCGTTTGCCGGATAACTTTGGACAAGAGGCCAGGCTGGTCATTGAACCGCCCAATTGATTGATTGACCGACCATCAATATTGGCGTCTTGAACCGGGCGATGCGGTGAAGGAGGGTTTCGATAATATTCCTCCTTGGAGGAAAAAAACACACAAAGGGGAAACAAAAATGGTGGCAGAGGAGGGCCTGAGGCACGCAAACGATGTTGAGTTGAGCATCGGTTAACGGAGGACTTGGTTTAAGCCAGTCCTGGCCAGGTAGACCGATTTTGCAGATAGATGCACGGCCGAAAATAATGAATACTCTAGCTTTATACTTTCACTTTTGCTTTTATCATGTGAAGTCGACTCGCTGGGTGTTCACGATAGTGGCGGCATCTTGATATGTCTACGATCCAATACGTGCTGTAGTAAAAATGAAAATGATTCAACGGCAACCCCTTCAATCATACTTTATTCGTCTCTGGTATCTCTATAATGCAAGCTTTTCATCTATGGGCAAAAGTCTCGTAGCAGGCAGGTCGCGTCCAGAAAACCACGTCATGACGTCGCCTCAGCACCCTCCTTCTTATCAGCACCGTCCGCCTCGTACCCCTCCACTTTCATGTCATTCAGCCCCAGCTCCTCCTCCTCGTCGTGCGTCCTGTCGTACTCCTCGATCGTCATGCGCGCGTCAGGCTGGCTCGGGTCGTCCGCTAGGCTCTGCACGTAGCTTGCGGCCAGGGGGTCGGCCAGGATGATCGTGAACTCGCGGTCGCCCTTGATGGCGGCGTCGAGGCCGTCGAAGAAGCGGGTCCACCGCGCCTTGTCCTCGGAAGCGAGCGAGTCGCCGCCCTCGGCCGCGCCCTCGCCCTCGGCGCCGCTCTCGAAGATCTGGCTGTGCAGGTCGCCGCGCACCTGCGTCAGCAGGCCCTCGACGGTCGTGAAGCGGCCGCCCAGCGTGCCAGGGTTGACGGAGAGCTCGAGCTCGGGGCACTCGAGGGCGCAGGTCTCGCTCTTGAGGATGTCGCGGGCCAGGTCGGTGGAGTCGGCGACGCGGAGGGTGATGCGCTTTCCCTTGGGGGGCACCTCGCCGCCCGTCTTAACGTCGTTGCTTCGGTAGCCGCACGCGTCGCACACGGTGCTCATCAGCACGACCTGCTTAAAGTGCGGGATGTCCACCATCTTCATGTGCGTCACGCACGGGTGCATGCAGCCCGGACAGCTCGCGGGGAAGCTGTACACCTCGTCCGGGATGATATCGTCGTTGTCGCCCAGCCGGCCCTGGCCCTGCAGCGGGATCGTGCCGTCGCCGGAGGCGGCCGCCGTGTCCGACAGCCCCAGCGCCTCGTTCTGCTCCGTCGTGCGCGTGTACTCGCGCTTCGACCACTTGCCCACGCCGTCCTGCAGGTCCGGCGCGATCCAGCTGTTGCCGGCCGGGTCGTCGACGTACAGCCGGAAGGGGAACGCCTCACCCGCCACCATGGCGCGGCCCTTGGCGATGATCTCGGCTACCTTCTCGTAGACCTCGGGCGACTGTGCCTTGCGCGTCTCCTGGCCGAACTCGAGGTCGTCGATGATGTTGGTCAGCAGGCCCTCGACGTTGGTGAGCTGGCCCTTGCCCGCAGGCACCTCGAGGTCGAGCTCGATAAACTTGACGGTCGCGGAGTCGGACTTGACGACCTGGCGGGCAAAGTCGGGCAGGGCGGTCAAGCGGAGCTCGTAATGTGTGCCTTTGGGCTGCACTGAACCGGCTGCTTGTATCTCGCTGTTCTTGAAGCCGCAGTGGTCGCAGGAGAAGGACATGAGTATGATTTCGCGGAAGTAGGGGATCTTGGTGAGGAGGAGACGGGTAACGCCCTAGGGAAACGACAAGTTAGTTCTCAGTCGGTTGAGAGACAGTCGATCCGGGTGAGAGAGGCAGCTTACATTTTCGTGACAGTTCATGCAAAGCGACTCGATCTCCTCGACTGGCTTCACATCGTCGTTGTCGGCTTGCTGCCCTGCGCCGTTGGTGGCGGGGGCGACTTGGTCTACTTGTTGGCCGATTGACCTGAAGTATTCGTTTGGTGAAATGACATTAGAGTCATTGCTCTGTATTTGATCTGAAGAAGACATTGCGTTGTTGGTAAGACCTGCCAAAGAAGAAGATGGAAGGATCCTGTGTCGCAAAAATATGGCCTTTTGTTTTGCGATCAAAAAATTTGGAGGGGCAGCATGGCGATTATTATTATCATCCCCAAGAATCTAGATGATGGCGGGGTGGAAAATCCTCGGTTGGCTTATGTCATAGGCGCGGGCAGGTGGGGGAACCTTCTCGCGACAGCCAGCGCTCGCTCGTGATTCTCGGCCGAGTGGCCCTGCCTGTATTGCTGTGTAGTACCTAGGCTAGGCAGTCTCGAGCCTGGGTTGGAGGGGTGGAATGATACTGTTTAGGTGAGACTCGGATTTCAACCTGATCACCTCGCCGGCCTGACTCATTCTATTTCTTCATAAAGTCGGATAGGCTTAGCCCAAGGCCTGAAGAGGCAGTGGAGCTCTGTCCTGATCGTTGGTCCAGCAGGGCCTGCAGGCCGGCCTTGCGGTTCTTGGCTCGCTTCTTGCTGCTGGCATTTGCGGACAATTTTGCAGGCTCTGCCGCTGCTGCTGATGGGCGCTTCTCCTGTGACATTCTTTCTTGGTTCACCGTCTTGCTCTTGCTCTGGCTCTTGGCCCTGGCCTTCGGGAGAGGTCTTGGAGCAGGAAGCTGCAACTTGGTGTACCTGCTGCATTTCCCGCAGCTGAAGACCTTTGATATACCGGGCTTCTGTGAGGCAGATACTGGTGCGCTTTGGGTCTTGGACTGCTTCTTCACCCTAGCCTTGAGCGCCCTGTCGGCTCCAATTTTAAGTTCAGTCCCTCGGCCCGGGAGCATGATATGCCCACAGCAACTGCAGACGTGTTGTCGTTGTTGATCACTGATCGGGACATCGTGGTCGACCAAAAGTGAGGTGCGCCTGCTCATCAGGAAGGCCGAAGTTTCGGGTGAAGAGGCTGACAGCAGATGAGCTGCGTCTGTCAAGAACTGCAGCTGCGGGCCTAAATCTGAGGACACCATCTTGAGTTTGTGCGTGCAGGTGAGGCGAGGTGGCCGTGGTGGTGGGCGGCAGTGTGCTGCTATGTTGACTGAGACATGGTAGAAGATTAAATAGTGTGTTGATTTCAAGTCGGTAGGCCGAGTTTGGTCGTGGTCGTCCCGTGCAGGTACTTGGTCATTCCTAGTGCAAATAAAACGACGGCCGCAGAATAAGGGGGCTCCTAAGGTTACCGAGTCCAACAAGGTCCTCCATCTAAACGGTCACCTCGATTTAATGAATATCGCGAAGTCCTGCCCATCATTCGTTGAATATCTCTACTTTACTTTATTTATTTTTTTAGAGTTCGTATGCTGGGTAGTCTTCTTGCTGTTGATGAGCTATGCATCCAAACTCAGAAGCACGTTGGGGACGATGGTCATGATATGCCTACACTCTTCGGTTGCTCATTTTACTGATGAGAATGTCGCTATTGGTGACGCCTTTTGCCTGTGGATTTTCTGTTTTTCAGACAGCCAGTCCACGGCGCACGGCGGCATTTACTCATGACCTCTTGATCTCCCACTTAATGTCCTTGATGCTGACTTCCTCCCCAGCCTTCTCATCGTAATCAAACCACTCGCCGTCGGTCAGATCAACACCAGTGAACTTGGTTCCGGACTCGACGCCATCCGCCAACCAGTCGCCCTGTTGCCGAAGCACGTCAGCCCATACCCAGTCCAGTGAGGAAATGTAACCCTTACCTCTGGCTTGAAGTCGGTGAACTCGAGGCCACGGCAGTCGAACTCGAGGATGTTCTTGGGTTTAGCCGGCTCAGACTGCTCATAAGGAACAGGCGCTGCCTTGATGGTTGCCGATGATTCGCGCTGGGCCGATGTGGCGTCAGTGAACTTGCCTCTGACCGTTTACTCCCTTCTCTCTGTTGCAACAGCTACTTGTATGAACGACTCCCCTTTCCCCCTCATACCTTGCAGTTCTTGCATTTCCAGACAAAGTTTGCCTCACCCCGGCTACCACCCATCTCGTTCATTTCCTGACGGCGAGGTTAGCTGGCTGCGCATATACGTCGACAAGGGCGAGGAGACAGGAGAGCAGATGAGATGTAAAGGTACATGATTTTCCAACTCACAAATCGATTCACTCCGACCCAGTTCGCGTGCGTCTCCCTGCATGACGTGCACTGGACTTTGAAGGTGTACCAGAATGGGTTTTCCTCGGTATCATCAGGCCGGAGGTTGGTCACGCTGGGGAGGTGTCAGTGACAGCCTCACAGCTCGCGGGTGCACTTGTGTTCTGACGAAGCTTTCAGAATTGTTCGTCAGTCAACTCACCCGCCCTGCTCAGCCGTAACACTGAGAGCGTACATTTCTGGGGTTCGACTAGTGTCGCTTGTTAAATGTGTATGTATTCAAAGATATTCACAACGATACTCGGTGGCCTTTTGCAATCGAAAACAATGTAAAGATCTTCCTGCAGTCGCTGTTGAGGCTTGGTGGGGTGTTGAACTGCACCTGTAATAGCGAGGCTGCTGCTTTCTCAACCCCTCTTAGTGGCACCTGGCTCTCAGAGGGTCCTCTTATCAAAGACCAGGGTCTCCAGAACCCTGTCTATCCGCGCCGGGCGACCGAGAATTTGACTTGCATGCACCCGTGCACTCCATCATCATCATCATCACCACTCCGTCCCCCGGCGATCACGCATATTCGAACGACCGTTCCTTCCAGCCTGCCCCACCCGACCGGATCGCGAGCCCAAGCAGCAGCCGACGCGTGCTTCCGCAATGCCTCCGGCATGCAATTGCTTTGGTCTCGAGCTGCATCAGCTCACCTCTGCAGATGCAGAGCCTACGCCAGCCCTCATGCCACTGGCATGCCAATGAGACGCGCCATCACCGCTGCGGACCGTCTCCGAAGTCCACGACTCGGCAGAAAATCCATAGCGACAGTTCATACCACGACATGCGGTGCACCAGCTGTTCTCGACAACTGGTACGAGAATGCGCGGCGCAAGGCGCTGGATAGGAAGATCGGGCCTCCGAGCAGAAATTTGGTCCAGTTGCGCCGCCTATCGTCCTCAATTGCCAGCAACCAAGATGCCAAGGAGCGCGCTCCCTCGACAGGCCATCTGCTTGCCCATGCCATGCAGCCGTCGCTCAGCAAAGACCCCATTGGAATTTTAATGTCCATCTGCAAAATGGACGATGCCCTCATCCGCCATGCTGAAAGCAGACCAGTCTTCGGCACATTCCTACAAACCATGCACAAGAGTTACGATCCAAAGGAAAGACTGGGGGACTCAAACTTCTTTCCTATGGGGCCAAACTTTGATATGGTTGCCGACTCTATAAACGAAGAATATCAGCCGGGTGGCGTCCTCCATCGGGAGCCTCTGACGAACCAGCAATTCGAGCGATATCACGATATGATGAACAAACTTGCCGACTCATTGATCATACAGTCTTACTATGACGAGACTCCGGGGGACCCCGAGGCTGCTCGCCGGTCGCTCGATAGTTTGGATTCTGCCTGGACAGCTATTCGCCTGCTCCGTTCTGAGGGATACCCTCGGTACAACCACCCAGGGGTCGACCCGACTGCTGCGAAAAAGGGTCGTGCTAATCTCACGGCCATGCTCCGAAAACTCTTCGATTCCTGGAATGAGACGACTCGTTCCAAGTATCAAGTAGCCAAGATCTGCTACAACCTCCTCGTCTGTCCAGTCCCACCCAGCATCCATCACTACAACACCCTCATACTAGGCTTCACACGCAAGAGAATGCATCATCTTTCGGACCTGGTAGTGGAATCTCTCCTCGACGAGAGCCGTCTGCGACCCACTTCTCAAACAGTTGCCTGTCTACTGCTTCATTACCAACATAAAAACGACCTCCTCGGCTTTTATGGCATCATTCGCCGCATGATGGCTATCGACAACCGTGGGCTGCTTACAAGGCGGCGATGGTACGAGGAAACGCTTCAGATCCCAGATCTGCGCAAGTGGGCGAAGCAGCCCGAGGTGACGACTTCTCTGAAGGGGAACTGGGTGATCGAGAGGCCAATGAGGAACCGAGATATATATGAAGGTCTTGTGTGTGGGCTCCTGCATTTCGGTCGAGTCAAGGATGCTGCCAAAGTCTTCGTGGCCTCGCTACAAGAGAAATGGGGTATCAGCGTCGAGCTTTTTATCCAGCTGCTGAGACAATGTCTGTACACGTTGGATGCCCCCGCGGCGGATATCCTCGTGCGCGGCTTTATCGGAAACGCCGGGGTCATGACAGCCCTTATTCTCAGAGAGAATTGCCCAAGGAAACTAGCGGAACACCTGTACCCACTGCTGAACATTGGCAAACCACCGAGTTGGCCCTTCTCGGAGGAAAGAGCCAGTATGGCATGGCATTCTGCAAGCCTTGCAATCACCACCGAGGACCGACTGAGCATCCGGCGCCTCACTGTTGCCATGTTCATCAGGCAAGCGGAAACACACCTCTTGCGACTGCATCACATCATTCGCCGAATCAAGCGCATAATGAACATTGCGCTAACTCCGCGAGCCCGCATGGACTACGCACAAATGGGGATGGGTGAGCTTCTGTCTGTGTCCCTGCACAACCGACAACTTGCGGCGAGACTGTTGAAGCACCAGGCGCTCCTAAAGATAGCTAGAGAACTGGAGGAGAGCACATGGGATATCGTGCCGGGAAAGCTAGCGACCACTTACAATGATGTGGTACTCGTCCTGGAGAGGTCTATCCCCAGGCCAGCGCGGCCCGGGGGGTGGGAGCACTTCGAGGACGACGAGGAGGTCACCCTACTCGCCGGCAAGTGGATGCGGTATCGCCTGAGCAGGATGCACGGCATCAGGAGCGAGGCAGCGCGGACCGAGCTTGATGCCGAGCTGGCTCTCGTGATGGCCCGGCGGCTGGTGGGGCTCGTCCGGGGCATATTGATCCGTGCGGCCAGTATGAATCCGGCTGTGGAAAGCGACCCCGTTTGGAAGCCACTGACACTATTGCACGGCGAAACCGGCCAACCCGCACAAATTGTGACTCATAATCAGGCAGAGGAGGCTGATTTCGAGGATGTGCTGGCCTGGCCTGCCACCGCGACTGTTGAGGCCGCTTGACCCGTGGGTGTCGGGTCGATGCTCTGCAAAAAAGGGGAGCAACCACCTTGACAGGTTAATGTTTCTTGTGATAGAACATAAATAGATATATACACTATACATAGAAATCCTGTAATTACATACAAGTCATCAACGACAACCCTCAGTCATCCGATCTCAATATGTAGCTGTGCTCATTCTGTGTAAGTACGACGAATAAATGGGATACAATTCAACATTACTCGTATTCTGTCGACCTTCAATTCCAATATGACCCGGGACTCGCTGCCACGTTTGGTCAGATCGTCTATGCCTCCATAGAATATCCTGATGCGCGAGTCGGATGCACCGAGCAACCCCCATTACTTGAACATCATAGCTGCGCACTGCTACGTTGGAAGCATCGAAGTTGCCATAGCTGTGATTCTGCACTGTTCAAATATGGATAATTAACAACCATCTATAGGCCAACGGAATTCAAGGACAGAGAAAGCAGAGTATCAACGCAATCATGCCTTGGCGAGGGTGTTCTAATTGTTACATAGATGAGACCAGGAGGCAAGGTGGTACGAAGTATTGTTAAGATGAAAATTTAGGCTGGCAGGAAACTGTGAACGAATCTGCCCACTCCAGTCAGGCAGCCTTGCGCCCAACGACAAGCACCCTATCAAACACATAAATAGCGCCCGATTTCGCCTCCTCCACACTTCCCTGGATCAGCCTCACAAACTCGTCCGCCTTCTCGGGGTTACCTTGTCTCAGCTGCCGCTCGAGCATCTCGTAGAGCGGCATATTGCACCAGTGCATCGCTGTCAGAGTATGTGGGTCCCCCGTCTTCCAATCGGCCACCACGTCCAGCAGACCCTCGGCTTCAAAGGACTCAGGCAGTGTTTTCACCCACGGGGCCATCAGTCCTGAAGCAATAATGCTCGTCTGGCGCCAGAGCTCGGCTAGGTTCTGCGTCGGCACGCTGGGCGAGGTTGTCTGGATGCGGTGGGAGGACTGGTCGGCCTCGCACCATTGGATGTAGCCGTTGGGCTCTAGGAATCTGATTAGTTCGATGTGGACGGCAGTGAGAGTTAAATGATGATATTTACTCAGCATTCTGATCAGGTTCCGCAAAACCGGCCCCGGGTCATTATTCTGGATCACAAGGCCGAACAAGCGCAGGTTGACAATATCAAAATACCCCACGAGATCGTCTGGGATATCTGACGTTGCATCCCATTCCCTGATGGTGACGTTGGAAGGAAGCCATTGTGGCGGTCCGGTTTGATGCGTGTTTGTATCCAGGCCAACGAATTCAGTTGTAGGGTCCAGCTCGGCGGAAAGGTCTCGCAGCCAAACTCTTTGGAAAAGGTAAGTGAATTTTCCCTAAGACTGTCAAACTATGACGTGTTTGCATACCCTGTTCCAGTACCAACATCTGCGACTTTCAAATGTTCCCGCCGATGAATAGCAGGATGGAGATTATATCCGAATATGTCCTTATACAAGTAGTGTTGTAGGTTGAGTCTTGGAAGACATCTTCAGTATAAAGCGAAAAGCTCCTATATCATGCAGATGGAAGGTGAGACTTATTCAGCAGCATACCTGTTAAGATCGACAAAATCGCGCGTGAGAAAATACTCTTTGACGATTCCTTGATGCTCCGACATTTTGATTCAAGCACGGCGCAACACAGTCAAATGGTATGTGTTAATCTGCATAGGTAACTTGTGATGTGCAAGCACCACTGAGTAATCAAACGAACCAGATCGATACCAGCCTCAAACTGCGTCGATTCTGGGTGGTATCGTATTCGGATACTATCGGCTTCTTCGTACCCTTGTCTGGTGTTAAAACGGTTGAAACATCGCAACCGGTGTTGCAACAAAGATAAATGAGAGTACACTACCTCAGACGGCACCAAGAGGGCATTTGGAGGGAAAAGCCCGCGCTCCGGTCATGTACACCCTTTTGAGACAGCTTGATGTGCCATTGCATATGCATATTTGACCCACCAAGTGGGTATGCCCCTTACAGTGCGGAACATGTAGGATCCTGGATCATCTCAGCAGCTCTAGGACATGCGGCACAGCAGGTAGCACCAAGAAGATAGCTTAGCTTGGTACTTTCTCGATCGGGATGAGCTCTCAGATTCGCGTTGTAGCGAACATTTATCGCAGAAAAGATCATCAACTTAAAAGCCACATGGCGAGTTGATATTCACAGCCTAAGCATTGAGTGCAGCTACCAAACCAATCATCCATATATCCAGCCCTTATACAATCCAAGCGACTGTAGTTTTGAATACAACATTACCATGCCTTCCAATCAACCCCTCATTGTTCTCGTCCCTGGAGCTTGGACTCCTCCAACGGCATATCACAAACTCGTCAGTATCTTGGAAAAAGCTCCTTACAACTTTACAGTCCACAGCCCATCGCTTGCTTCCAATAATGGCGCCACGCCTCCCAATACCTTCGAGGCCGATGTGGAGGCAGTGAGGTCGGCTATCGAGCCTCTCGTCACGGCTGGGAATGATGTGATCCTGATTATGCACTCCTACGGTGGCGTGGTGGGCTCGAGTTCCATCGCCGGGCTCACAAAGAAAGACCGCCAGACCAAGGGCCTGCCCGGTGGCATCTCGCACCTGTTCTACATCAGTGCGTACTTGCTTGCCAAGGATCAGAGCGCATGGGATGTTTTGGTCCAGGCCGGAGGCGATACTCCCGAGCGTCGAACGCTGGTCGAGTTCAAGGACGATGGCACGTGGCTGCCGACGGATGCCATCTCGGGCCTGTATTCTGACCTCGAGCCTGAGGATCAGGAGGAGCAGAAGGCGGGGATACGGCCACACTTCTTCTCCGCGCTGTTGGGCAAGGCAACACATGAGCCGTGGAGGGATGTTCCCAGCACGTACATTTACACCGAGAACGACGTATGGGTCCCGCCATCATTCCAGGTAAGATGCTCCCTGCGAACGAAGCAGAAGTACATCAGAGCTGATTCCGATCTCAGGATATTTGCTTGGCCAACGCCACCAACGCAGGGGTTCATGTCGATGTGCATAGATTCCCCTCCGCGCATTCGGCATATGTCAAACATCGCGGAGAGATTGCTGAGCTGGTTGGAAAAGTCGCTGGCTCTTCCTAGCCGTTATGGGAAGGCGCTTAGCCACCAAATGTTCTGATGTAGGCATAATTTGATAAAAATAAAGAATTCGTCGCGGAGACGGTCTCAATGTTGCTGTGCTTCACTATGTACATGAATCGACATTTCGCACCCGTTACGAGTAGTCGAGAGAGAAATCGTGTTGAACTTCCCGCAACCAATTTCTGAAATTGCTTGTCAATCATGTTGTAGAGGGTAATAATCAAAGGACAGATACGCGAATTGCAAACAATGATACAAGTGAGTCCTGGAGGCACGTCAAGTTGAAAAACACACTTAGTCTTCGCTAGCCTGCATAGTTTACAATATGTGTTCGAGAGTTACACCTTCGATAAACCGTGCGATTAATTATACACATGAAGCTATTACAGCTTCCCAATTGGTCCCTATATGACAGAATACTGACTACCCGGTGGCGCATGCTGCTCCAGTTTCGATCCCGAGCTCCCGATCCCCATATCCAGAAGCTTGACGCTGTCATTTGTTTTGTGCGTTCGCACCGTGCTCCGGACTTTGTCTTGCAGCGACCTGAACAGTACTGCCGTCGGTGGCAAGCAGGAGCAGATGACACCCACGCCGCACTCGATGATGGTCCACATACCAACGCCAGTGATAGTCCCTATAAGCAGTTGAATTAAAATGTGCCCATCCGTCTGTTCGAGGGATTGGTACATACCTGTTGTGTTCGCCACGTCCAAAGTTCCAAGTGCGTGGGTGCGAAGAATGCTACAGATGACGGTGAAGCCTCCTAGAACAAAGATGAAGGAAACCTGGAACTTCCTTCGTATGCTCATCTGAAGTTGCCAGACCATTGGCAGAGGCAAGATGAGGAGAGCAAAGTCAAAGATGATGTTCGAGATCGCGACACCGTTGTAGAATTTGGTGGTATCGATGCATGACTCCTGAAGAGTAAAATCCCAGAAGCTGTGGACAGGCTTGCATGAGAAAATCTGGAAGCACAGCACCGTAATCCACCACACGATCAAAATTCCGGCGAATACGATGGTGGTGATTCGGAAAGGGCGGGTGGTGAATATGCGCCTCAATAGCAAGAGGATAGAGAGCTTGACGGTGACCGTACAACACGTGTAGCAAATGTTGTCAGCGTACAACACCATCAAAAACTGCCTCATTTGCTGCACGCTGAACTCGGACTGTGGCTGACCCGCGTAGCCGTACGGAGCGGTAATGAGGTAATGACAAATGGACACCGCGAGCAGGAATATGTAAGCGGAGAGGGCGGTCCAGTCATCTATACCAGTCCCGTTGGTCCGCCTGCGGGCAACGAATCGCAATACAATGGAGATGCTGGCGAGAACGAAAAGCACAGAGGTTGCGACCATCACGCCCACTGCGACTGGGGCAACACCGTGGACCGCCATTGTTGCTTGCGCGTTGATAGAGAGAGGAAAGACGGCGGTATAGAGCAGGCTGATTGTTCTGTTGGCGGGAGCAGAGTGAATCAATCCAAGAGTGCCTCCCGTTGCCAGCACGGAATAAAACGTCCCCACATGAAGAAGAATCTCGGGTTGTTCAACAAAAGGACGAAGGAAAAGCAAAGCAAGGCAACAAGAATGAGCGAGGTGGCCCCATAGTGACTACCAATCTTCGGTCCTTCGCGGCCCTTCGCGGCCCTTCGCAAATGACATGTCAGGCCGGCAAACATGGGTGCCTTCGAACGTTGGGGGCTGGAAGGAGGTATGGCTTGATGCGACTCGGCTGCGTAATCACGACTCGCATCGGACGAATGCTACGTCGATGTAACAAGAGAATGTTAGTGTAAGCATCCTACGGGTATTGCCTTCACCATGTGGCGCGCGCTCTTATGGCGAACGATAGAATTTTGATTGCAATGGGTGTCATGTTAGAATAATGGTCGATACGGGACGACTCGTCAGATCCATGTCGCCGTTATTACGTATTACTGCCGTACATACCGAGGCAGACATTGCTTTTGCACAAGCTCTTTGACATGGCAAGTCCGAGGCACCAGAGCTACGATGGTGTTGTGGGCCATTGCAATACATAGTACTGTACAGATGTTGCAACCCTCCTGCTCAGGGATTAAAATCCTGCTATTCAACGTGAGCGGCACGATCCACTCACACTCCTCAGGCGATCCAAAGTTTAATCCAGATCGGTAGTCACGAGAAACCTCCTGCGACTTGGCCTGCTTGATCAGCAATGCGTTGTGCCGAGGAATCCCCTTTGAGAAATCACGACTCAGAAGATAATAATGTGGTATTATAGTGTGGTATGCTCGAGGGGAACTTTTGCATCTTGCCTGATCGCAAACACATTGTAGCTTTCAGACAACGCTCATCATTTGTTACATATCGCAATCCCCGGATCAACCTCTTTATTTGGAATAGAAAGTGGAGCTCGAGCGCTTATGGGACCACACAGTGCCAGCGTGACGGTAAACCAAATATCATATTATTCCTGTATCCGAGCTATGCCATCTGATGTTCTTAAAAGAGACATGAGTATGCATTTTTGCCGCTTTGATCCCCAAGTTGGAAAGAATACAGACCTAACACTTGTGCACGTGTATCACAGGTCCCTCCGATCTTCAATGGACTGACGCGCTTTCAGCGCTATTCGTGTAATTCTATCTCCAATGAGGTCAGGAATATTACATGAGGACCAGTTGTTTGTATCTATTTATTGGAGTCTTATGGTTCTTTGTATCCCTCAGTTCAATACTCAGGAACAAGGGATCGTCCACTGGCATTGCCGCCTTAGTGTGTCTGATGTGCAGAAGCTTGTAAGGAGTGCGATTAAGCTAAGCAAGCCGACAAGACGATCAGTAACGCATTTACACCGTTGGTACTAATAGAATAATGTGCTCATAGTAGACCGTAGAAAGGAATTGACTTCGCTGCTTGTCGCAACCAGCTTGCTGGTTGCGACCTAGGGTCTTCCGGCGTCTGATTCGGAGTGGATCTTGAATCATGGAGGACCTGCTTCAAACACCCCAGCTGCCCGGCCACATCCTACAAATTTGTGTCGCTGTCTAAGAGTGTATGCAGGTACATGACACGAGTCCATAGCCCTACATTACGCTCGGTTCAACATCTAGCAAATGCTGAGCCGAGCGCCGAACAACCCCTGCAGCTATTCCAAGGCGATCTGGATCGTTCAACCGAGGACTAATCTCCCTGCCGCTGCCTTTCGTCCGCTACATTAGCTTCCTTTGGCTAGTGATTCATATGAATACGCGAAACTGACCCGTAAACAGCACGGGGACACGGACATTGAGACCGTCGTCTGCCGGCAGTGGCAGAGACCTTGTGGTTTGATAATCTCTGCGCTCTTATGATGCCTGTAGTGGCACCGCGCAGCCAGCCTAGTAGGCAGACAGCACAGTAGGCCAAGCAGCAACTCTAGATCTATATCTCAAATATCTTTCTCTGTCTATTTTAATAGTGTGTATACATTTGAAAAGAATACGGAGTAGCCTCGTGTCGTGACTGGGACTGCTCAGCATGCCCGGCTAGTAAGTCCCGGGGCTGGCTATCACAAGCGCGACCTACCACACCAGAGTTCTACAGAGCTCTAGGGTAAACTTTATTCTAAATACCGGTTGCTCGGCAGGTTTTGAAAGTAAGCTACATAAGCATGAGAATGAAACCTCGGGAGATGAAGTTAATCAAGTTAACTCTATCTAACAGCCATTACTCGTTGTCTGCTAACAATGCTCTTTGCATGGTTGTTTCAATGCACTTCACCATCGCTTCCAATTCCGCGGGCCTGGATCCCGTCGGTATGCCGTGACCGGCCATATGCGCGAATGAGACTCTGTTCTTGTCGTCACAAAGCAACGACATGTCGTAGTTTCCAATGAATCCTTCAGTGTCGTTACGACCCCAAAAATGTGCCGTAGGAATCCGAATGCATACTCCATCTGTATCAAATGTCAAGCGGCGATTTTCTCCGGCTTGTAGAGCAGCAAAATCCCATGGCTGGCCGCATGACAGAAATATGGCGCACTTCAGTCTTGAGCGGCTCGAGCCGGATGGATATGGAAGTTGCCCACGCTCCTCGGCAGCGAGCAGAGTTGCAGCCAAAGCGCCTCCCTGAGAAAATCCGATAATCCCATCGAAAGGACCTTCATCAGAATCGAGATACTCGGCCAAATCGAGCACAGACTGGTGAATACTAGCCAACGTGTCGTCAAAGAACGAATAACAGGCTTCCTGCTTGCCAAAAGCCTCCTCAATTCCTTTAGCTGGGGGCCAGATAAAAGGCCCTTCCACGAAGTCGTACTCGTGCGTATCACCAAGACGAAGGCGAAGGGAAGCTGGTAGATGTTCAGTCAAAGTCTGAGAAAGCAGCCGATAGACACAAGAAGCGTACAAAGTTGTGCCTCCATTATCTGCACAAATCAAGCTTCCAGAATTAGCGATAGTAGTTGATCCAAGGACGGCAAAGTAGATTGGCAAAGCACTCCTTTGCAAATAAGAACGTTCATTCCACTTACCTCTATACTTGTCCCAATTCCGTGCAAACAGAGGAAGCGCATTTTGAAATGATGACAATCTTTGGATTCAAGATTCGACTGAAAAGCCCGAACGAACGAGTCAAATTCTATGTGGACTTTGAGTATCCCAATTGTCGTGTTATGAATTCATGTCGCCAAAATGCTACCTCTACTCTGACAGACGGACGCAAATCCGACAATTCGTAGGAAAGATTAGATTCATGTGATTATCCTGCTTCTGACGGACATTTCAATTGTGCGGATTCAACCGCCACTTGAGGATGGTGGGTCTTCGCAACGGGGGCCAGAGCGAGGTGGGCAGTCGCACAGATTGTAGCCCACGTCCCTGCCGAGGAACACGATCATGCTGCCAACTATTTCGCTGACAGAGCCAAACCAGACCAGGTTAGACATGATAGGAGACGTAAGGCCTTGACGCGCTGGTTGCTGCTGCTGACTTCGGATGTTGTATTAATAGTGGAGCGTCGGCAGTGGGTCCGAGCCCTCAGACAGGGCATCCTGTGTGCGGCGCAGTAGCCGCGCAATAAAGAGTCCGAATGTAACAGCATTGGCCAGATGTCGCAAACTATATCCGCTATATTGCATACTGTATGGTGACTGCAGAGTTTCGTCTTTCGGATCTCGAGCATGGGTCAACGACTGGAGCAATGTGCGACTCGGCGCTTGCACGTTGTACAAGGCAGAATGTCAGATTTCGGATACGTATTTAGTGGTACCTTGTGTGGTAGAGTCGGGCCATGGCAACGAAGTAATCCGATCGACTGACAATCGCGGAGTCGGACCGTCGATTGAATCACTAATTCCATATCTTCCACGTAGCGGTGACTCCTTGAAGTTGATGATAAAGATTTCATGTGCCCAAACCATGCTGTGACGGTATTTCAGCCGAGTGAGCGTTGTGAACTAGAAGTTCATCCACGGCGTTGACTAAACAACCAGGAACAAGAACGGGTATCTTGCCTCATACACGCAGCCAGATTCTGCATCATGGGCTCCGTCCTAGACAATGACTGCCTGCAGGCCAATGGTGCCTATGACGGGGATGTTGCCATCGTTGGGTTCTCATTAAAACTTCCAGGTGAAGCAACATCGCCAGAGAAGTTCTGGGATATGCTGCAAGCTGGTCGGACAGCCGCGAGTGAGTTCCCACCGGACCGCATCAACTTGGAGGGCCATTATCACCCGGATAAATCACGCCTCGATCAGATGCCACTCCGCGGAGGATATTTTCTGAGTGAGAAGATTGACCGTTTCGATGCTCCATTCTTCTCCATCAGCCCCGCCGAGGCTGCATGCATGGAGCCTCAACAACGGCATATGCTTGAGACGTGCTATCGAGCACTTGAGAATGGTAAGCTTTTCTGTTAATTGAATATGATCAAGCCAGCCCAAGCCAACCCCTCCAAGACACCGTTGGGTGCGATGTTCAACACCCTGGTGACGGCGTATATGCTATCCCTCTGAAGCCTCAAGCTATCGAACAGAGAACCCTTACTTTTTCCCTTCCTGGTCTGTTTTCAGCACTTTTTATCTGAAGTAGCTGACTTAAGGTCAGCTGGAATTACCATTCAACAATGTTCTGGAACTCGCACCTCAGTACATACTGGCAGCTTCACCGACGACTACCGAAGTGTGCTATTCCATGACCGATTAGAGGGCCACATGTACGCAGCAACAGGGTTAGCGAATTCAATCCTAGCAAACCGTATCAGTTGGTTTTTCAACCTGATAGGGCCAAGCTTGAACCTTGATACGGCGTGCTCGTCGAGTCTCACAGCTTTACACTTGGCCTGCCAGGATCTGCGGAATGGAACCACGGATATGGTAAGCCAACAGCACAAACTCTTCGATCTCCCGCCCGCTACGCCCGAACCAACAGTAAAAATGAAAACCTACTTACTAAGGCAAACTTTAATCCGTAGGGTCTCGTCGGTGGATGTAATCTTATATATCACCCCGATTATATGCTCATGATGAGCAATATGAGCTTCCTCTCGACGGACTCGCGAAGTTGGAGTCTTGATGAGAAGGCCAACGGCTATGCTCGAGGCGAGGGCTTCGGAGTCCTCGTCATCAAGCGGCTCTGCGACGCTGTTCGAGATGGTGACACGGTTCGGGCCGTCATCCGCGCCACTAGATTGAATCAAGATGGAAGGACGCCGGGCCTGACCAACCCAAGTGGTGCGGCACACAAGGCTTTGATCCTGGAGGCGTATTCTCATGCCCAAATCGATATGGAACCTACGCGGTTCTTTGAGGCGCATTCTACAGGTGTGTACCTGTTAAACTGCCCTGTCGCTCTCAACTTGACTGCCATCATGCACGCATCACTGACCATCCCAAAGGAACCCAGGCGGGTGACCCCACGGAGGCCAATGCTGTCGGGGAGGCCTTTTCCAACGTCCGCTCTGCTTCTGACCCCCTATGGATTGGTGCAGTCAAAACCAACGTAGGCCATTTGGAGGCAGGAAGCGGGATGGCCAGCTTGTTCAAAGCCATTCTAGTACTTGAAAAGGGTATAATCCCACCAAATGCCTGCTTCGAAAAGCTTAATCCACGCATCCAGGCCGATCGGTATCATATTAAGGTCAGTAGTCCCCAAATCACTCATATATACCATCATTAGAATTAGGTCCTAATGTCTGTTGAAGATTCCTACCGAAGCTCGCCCTTGGCCGTCCCGCGGCCTACGAAGAATATGTGTTAGTGATTTGTCTTAGGCCTTTATTTACATAACATTTGACTCATTTTACTCATTCTAACTAGGTTAACTCCTTCGGATTTGGAGGTTCAAATGGCGTAGTCATTCTCGATGATGCTTATCACTACCCTCGTTCCAGAGGTTTTGTTGTGCCCAATCGCACAAGACCCGACCCACCGAGTCAGCAGGCAATAGAGGTAATCCAGTCTAGGCATGAAATGATCTTACCTGAATCTGAGGGCGTAATGATATCAAAATACCAACCGGGAGTATTCGTGTGGTCCAGCAGCGATGAAGACGGACTAAAACGCATACAGTCCGACTTGTCGGACTTCTTTGCTCGCCACTCTGACGAGGACCTGACCACAGATGATTTCAAAGACATAGCTTACACTCTCGGAGTGAAAAGGACTCAGCTTTCGTGGAGGCGCTCTGTTGCTTTCTCTAGTCTGGCCGACCTTAAAGAAAAGCTGACATCTTCTCTTCCCAAGGGGAAGAGCACACAAGACCGTCACGCTGCTCTTGTATTCACTGGACAGGGAGCACAGTATGCCGGTATGGGTCGCGGTCTGATTACGACTTCTCGCGTTTTCCGGGAAAGTATGAGGCGGAATCAAAAGCTTCTGGGCTGCATGGGTTGCGAGTGGAAACTCGAAGATGTGATGTTCGATCTGGAAAGTCCAGAGGCAGCGTGTATCGATGAGCCTCAATACAGCCAGCCTGTATGCACAGCCCTGCAAATTGCTCTGGTGGACTTGCTGTGGTCATTGGGCATATGGCCGAGAGCCGTAGTCGGACACTCGTCAGGCGAAATCGCAGCAGCGTAAGTTGTTCTGCAATACTCTTTCCAATCGGATGGCTGACTTGTACGGGCTTGGTAGATACTCCACCGGTGCATTGTCCAGGGAAAGCGCGCTTCAGGTCGCCTTTCATCGTGGACGTCTCGCTGCCAAGCTTCGGACCATAACAGACTGCAAGCTCTCTATGATGGCGGTTGGACTTGGAGCGGCCGAGGCAGAGACGCACCTTGCCAAGCTTGGCGAGCATTTCAGTGGCACTGGGGGACGCCGAGTTGACATCGCCTGCATCAACAGCCCCAAGAACGTCACTCTTTCTGGTGATGCGGAGCAGATCGTGTTCCTGGAAGGCCTCCTTCACGAGAGAGGCATCTTCGCTCGCAAATTGAAGATAGACATGGCTTATCACTCTCGGTTCATGACGCCTATTGCCCAGGAGTACCAAGACTGTTTGCGAAGTCTTCATTCTGACACCCAGCACAACAGACCGAGCATAATGTTCTCATCGGTGACGGGAGACATTGTCTATCCATCAGACCTGGTGTCCCCAGAATATTGGGTCAAAAATATGACAAGTGCTGTGCGATTCTCCGATGCAGTTACAAGACTCTCTGCCCAGGCCGGGAGGAAACGCAAGGTCCTTGGTCAGAAGGCGAACAACAGAAACAACGCCCTGAGGATCTCAGACATGATTGAAGTCGGACCACACCACGCGCTTCGTGGGCCCGCGAGAGAAATTCTTCAAGCCGCAGGGAAGACTGAAACAATTCAGTACCTGTCCACTTTGACACGTCCCTCGCCTTCCTCTCACACCGTTTCACATCCCTCGGCACCAGGCGACATGATGGCACTGGCTGGAAGACTCTGGACTCTCGGATACCCCATTGATCTGCTCGCGGCCAACGACTTGCCGCACAACTTACCCAGGGCCTTGCGAGTAGACTTGCCCGAGTATCCCTTCAACCACACTCAAGTGCACTGGCGTGAAAGCCGTGTGGCGAGGAACTATCGTCTACGAGATACACCGCATCATGACTTCCTGGGAGTGCGAAGCGACGATTGGAACGAGAAACAAGCCCACTGGCGGGACATTGTTAGTGAGGCCCGCCTGCCGTGGCTGCGAGACCACAAGCTGGCAGGCGAGTATCTGTACCCGGCTGGGGGGATGATCACCATGGCAGTCGAAGCAGCCAGACAGCTCGTGGATCCGAAAACACATGCTTCGGCTCCGTCCAGCTTCGAGCTGCGGCAGGTGCAGTTTCTCAATGCCTTCCGCTCACTTCAAGGCTCAGACAGCGGGATGGAAACGAGATTCACGCTCATTCCGGAGGCACAAAATCCACAGTGGTCTGCATTTAATCTATTCATATACGAAGCAACTGGATGGGTTGAGGTCTGCCGGGGCCAAATTCGGACGTATCACGACTCAGATGAATACGCTTCGGAGATGACTGAGGGCGAAAGGCACGTGAATCATCACCTACAAAGATGGAATTCTCGCGAGTTCTTGAGGAGGTGCGCCAACACCAATAATTCCTTCAACAGCAAGACATTCTACGATATTCTATCCACTGAGAATGACGCCGCCTACGGTCCTGCCTTCCAGACTCTGGATAACATCTCTGCCTCGGCCACCGGGGAGGTTGTGGCAGATATTCATGCTCGAAAATGGGCAGAGCATTACAGCGACCAGTATGTCTCTTCGCACATCATCCATCCGGCGACCGTAGACGCCCTGTTTCAGCTTGTCTTCCCTGCACTGCTTGGTACGGGGAACACGGTGGTGCCAACTCACGTCGGAAGGATGTGGATCAACGCCCGCGGGCTGTCCAACCTCAGCCAACGAGGGCTTTCGAGGCTTCAAGCTCAAGGGTTGTGCACTACAAGAGGCCATCGCGGGACTGATGTCCGTGCGAGAGTCGTCGATCCGGAGACAGGGCTGCCCTTGATCGACTTGGAGCGTTATGAGGCTACCATCGTGGCTGGTAATGAAGGAGCAGACATAGAACCGAGGAAGCTGTGCGCCACCATGCAATGGCGTCCGGATATTGATGCACTGGACAGCACAGCGCTGGAACGGGTCATCACCGAGGAACAAGCACCCAATGCCGGAGCTGCTCGATCACAATTCCATGCCGAGCTGGATCTGGTGATCCGTCACTTCCTATCGGAGGCCCTCGAATTACTCAAGGATGCCAATGTGAATCAGGATTGCAGCAAGCATGGAAGTAATCTCATCCGATGGGTGAAGTACCAGACAGATCGAGGCCTTTTTAAAGATGGCGCAGCAAGGGCTCGTCAGGAGCGCGTGGCGCAGGATGTCTCCTTCCGAGAGTCCATAATCGAGCGAATATCCAGTTCTGTCCCCGAAGGCCGGGTTCTGACACTGCTTGCTCACAACATGCATGCCATTATTCTCGGCAGAGTCGACGCCAAACAGCTCCTAGAAGAGGATTCACTGGCACATCAATACGAGCAGAGAATCATATCCGAGAGCCCTTGTACTCCGCCTCTCACCAGGTATCTTGATCTGCTTGGGCATAAGAACCCTCAGATGCGCATCCTAGAGATTGGAGCTGGCTCAGGTGCCATGACTGAAGTGGTAACGAAGGCACTGTTGCAAGGAGGGCGCCCGAGATGGTCTCAGTATCACTGCACAGATGTTTCTGGGGATGGCTTTGAAGATGCGCACCAGCGATTTGATAACTTATTGAACCACATGGAGTTTCGGGTATTGGAGGCCACTGGTGACCCTACGAAGCAGGGCTTCGAGGACTCAACATACGATCTCGTGCTCGCTGGTAATGTAAGACGACAGAATCATGGTGGGCGTGGTGAGTTTAACAAACCTGTACTAACGATCTGGTCGCAGGTGATTCATAAGTTCAAGGATGCAAAAAAGATAATCGAGAACGCTCATAACCTTCTGAAACCGTAAGTCTATCCGCAGTTATCCATCGTTTGGCGTATGCTTGGTCTAATGATGCTATCCACATAGTGGAGGGAGACTCATATTGCTCGAAGATACGAACCCTGACGCCATCCGTGCTGGTCTATACTGTGGCGCAACAAAAGACTGGTGGAATGATATCCAGGACCAAGGAAAATGCACCCCTCTGCTTTCTGTCGATTCATGGTGTCATGTCCTCCAGGGCTCGGGCTTTGGTGGCCCAGAATTGGTCCTGAAGGACTCAGCGAACCCGGAACTTTGCGAAACCTCCATACTTGTCACATCGAAATCGCTGCCCACTAATGACGCTCTGACTGGCAACCATGTCCAGGGAAACTCTGTCAACGGGAACTCGTTGATGAATGGAGCTACGATTGAAATTGTGACAATCCTCGTGGATGACCGCATTCCGAAGCAGAGATCTCTCGCCCTCGTCCTTCAAGACCAACTGAATTCTGCCAGCGGTAAGAATTGCGACTGCGTGGACGTCCAATCTATAGAACCTGGGTGTCTCGACAGCGCCAGCTGCATATCGCTTCTTGAAGTCGACAGGCCATTCCTGGCGCGTTTGGAACGGGAGGAATTTACAACGCTCAGGCAAATCGTGTCGTCCTCAAAGGATATCCTGTGGGTGTCACAGGACTCTGCAAAGCCGTCAGCGCCTGAGTTCAGCCTAATCGACGGATTTGCCCGTGTCATGCGCGGCGAATACCCGACGCTCAAGCTTGTCACCCTCGCGCTTGAGCCTCAGTCGAAACTGTTGGATACCTCACTGGCCATCCTCGACCGGTGGGAACGCATGATGAGGACCGATCACTCGCACACCGAGGCCGAGTGCCGCTTGCGCAACGGACTGATCGAGATACCGAGGGTGGTTCATTCGGAGAGCATGAACCACTTAATAGCAACGAGGAGCAAGAAGCGGCAAGTCGTGGAGAAGTATCGTCTGGGCGATGCGCCTCCGCTATCAGTTCGCGTCGATTCGCCGGGTGTGTTGGACTCGGTCTGTTATCACGAGATAGACAACGAAACGACGTCGAAGCTCCTCGCGGAAGATGAGGTCCTGGTCCGGGCACGCGCCTTCGGACTCGGCCCCAGAGACTACCTAATTGCGTCGGGACGTCTCAACGAACAGAACATGGGGATGCAATTAGCCGGGGTTGTCGTGGAGGCTGGTGCGACATCTGGTCTTCAGACCGGTGATCGGGTATGTGTTGTTCGCCCTGATGGCTTCCAGACACTGGTGCGCTGTAAGGCCAACACCGTGACTCGGATCCCAGAGAATATGTCTAACGCCGATGCCTCACTGCTTTCGGTGGCTTCTATTGTTGCTCTCCACGCCTTGACAGGTTCAGGCCAGCTTGAGGACTGCGATACGGTGCTGGTTCACAACGCAGCGAGCACCACTGGCCAAGTCTTGATACAGCTTGCGCAAAGCATCAAGGCGCGAGTATTGGCTATCGCCAAAACGAGGGAGCAACGAAGAATGCTTGCTGATGTTTATAAGATACCTGCCAGTCATATTCTGTCCAAGGGTGGTCGGAGAGTATTGGACGTGACCGAAGGCCAAGGCGTCGACCTTGTGGTTGCACTGTCGCCGAGCCAAGATGAGACGGAATTCCTCTTGGAATGTCTTTCTAGCATGGGGAGATTTGTCTTAGTTAGCGATGACCAGCAGGCCAGCACCGTGGGGGGCCAAATCGGTGCAAATGCATCTTTTTCACGCCTCGACGTCACTGAGCTTTTTCGGGGTCGGCCGAATTACGCAGCTAAACTCTTGAGAAAAGCCGAGACATTGCTTCAGAATGGAACGGTTTACCCGGTGGCTGGTGTACTCACCCTACCGGCTGAAGACACTAAGAGCGCCTTGGGCTTCTTCGCTGGCGGAGACGAGATCGGTGGCAGTGTCATCGAGCTGAGAGAGGACAGCTTCGTCAAGGTAAGTTTATTGAGCTCAGAACGGATCGTGTGCCCACTAAAGCCCTGGTTAACCGCATGAAAACAGACAAATTTGGTAGTCAGGCCTCTTTACTCGTTCAATGCCAACAGCACATATGTGATTTCTGGAGGGCTGGGCGGTATCGGTCGTAGTATCGCTCGTTGGATGGTGGCTAGAGGGGCCCGTTATCTGCTGCTTCTATCGCGCTCCGGGACCTCCAGACCGGCTGCACAGGCTCTTGTGGATGAGCTGACGAGTCAAGGTGCTCAGGTGCTCGCACCTCCATGTGATATCACGAATATCGATGAGCTCAAAAATGTTGTGGAAGATGCCAGCCAAGTTATGCCACCCATCAAGGGCTGTATTCAGGGAGCAATGGTTCTCCGGGTAAGTGACAGTCTTTTTCGCCGACGATCGTCATAAAAGGGACAGCAGTTAAAGTCACATATGTCTAACAACGAGCAGGACTCTATTTTCGAAAACATGTCCTGGGATGACTGGTCAGAAAGTTCAAGGCCCAAGGTCTTGGGATCCTGGAATCTGCACCTCGCGATGCCCTCAGGTCTAGACTTCTTCACGCTACTGTCATCCATTTCATGCATCCTTGGTGGTGTCAGCCAGTCCAACTATGCCGCTGGAAACGCCTACATGAATGCACTTTGTCACTATCGGCATTCGATCGGCGAGCGAGCCAGCAGCGCTGTCAATCTGGGTATGCTGGTCACCGAAGGTGTTGTAGCCGAGAGCGAGGAGCTCTTGGCCGTAATGCGTGGCATGGGCCAGTTCATGGAGATCCAGGGTGAGGAGATGTTTGCTCTATTGGAGCAACATCTGCAGCCACGAAAGGCTTCAGAGGATGATGCAGAAAGCTGCCAGCCCATCTTTGGAATCCAGTTGCCCGCCGCTATGGAGGCGGCTGGAAAGGAAGTTCCAAATTACCTGACAAGTCCCATGTTCCGACACTTCCATTATGCAGACACGGACTTGAAGAATGGACGAAACATGGCATCGGCTGAGCGGCAGGTGGATTTCGCTTCTGCCATTAGCAGGGCCGAAACGACAGCCCAGGTAGCCGGCGACATGATACAGTGGCTCACGACTAAGATGTCACGAGTCTTGGGACTGGAGATAGCGGATATCAACGCGAGTAAGCCAATCAGCTCGTACGGGATTGACTCTTTGATAGGGATGGAGATTAGGAATTGGTTTGAGAGGGACCTTGGGGCAAAGATAGCCATCTTCGAGCTCCTGAGCACCACCAACAGCATCGCGGACTTGTGCGCCAGTGCAGCGACAAGGTCGCGATTCCGAAGCGAACAGACTGTTGGATGAGTAGCACTATTCGAAGATGATACTTATGCAACGCGGTAGACAGTCCGTTTTTCTAGTCTTCTCTCAATGTCCACTCTTCTAAAACGAGGGACATGTGCTTCGATAATGAGTGTAGTGAAAAAGCATATCTTGGGCGAGCTAGAGTCTTGGCCTCTAACAACAAAAAGACTCATATTTAGCATTAAATGTACTTGTTGAGAAGTCAACATGCAGCCCTTGCGTCACAGGTCTTTATATGATGTTGACCACTTTGCAATCTTATTTTTGAGGGATGGATGAGTGACTAAGGAATACCTAGGTGCCTTGATCATGAGACTTGTTGTGCTTTAGTGAGGACCAGTCGCGTGTTTTAGTTGCAATCTGTGGCCCTGACGTCTGTTAGAGACTTGGAGAGTCGGCGATGAGTATTTACCTTGGCTGTCATCGTGCTGAGAAGATGAAGGTTGCCTGTTGTAGCAGTCTTCTCGTGCGGCGAGTGTTGGTCCTTTTGATTACATAATTGAATTTTTTCCTTTTATATCGAATCATTGTACAGCCGGATTTCCCAGCTCTTCCTCGCATTTTACTTCCCTCCATGAGCCCTAGCAGCCAAACATCACCTCCAGATTGAAATTGAAGAGACACTCATTCCACAACAGACCACGCTTGATGTCATGGCGGACTCTATCGACACATCTGGCAAATCGTCTATCGAGATTCTCAAAGGCGAGCGTCATGACATGATAGCTCAAGCAATATTGAACATCCTTTCGACAGAGATTGCGCAGAGCACTTTTGCACAAATCGTGGATGGACTTCCACTTCCATCGGTCCTTGAAGATACCTACGTTGGATCGGACTTGGAGCCGGACCATCCCTTATTTTCTCATGAGTCACTATGTCCCGGCGTCCTGCAAAAGACAAAAGAGCTTTTGGAGAAATTTGACGTCAAGAATTTGAAGTTCGATACGTCGGTAGAACATGTCCACAATCATTCCACCACAACGTTGAGGCATCTAACCAGTCCTAGCTTCTTTGCGCTTTCCAGGCGCACCAACCAGGATCAAGCTCGCTCAAAGCCCGCTTCTTTGAATTGATAGCTGTCGCGGTCCACAAAATTGCCAAATGGCTCTATCGGCTCGACAGCAAAGGTCACCAGGACGAAACCATCGAAACATGGGTCCCTCCTAAGAATAAGGACTGGGCATGGTGCTGGGATCACCATCCCCGCGGACCATACCCGACTCTTTTCAAACACCGCTACTACTTTGATTACGAAAAATATCCCGATGGTGTTGCTGACATGGTCGGGTACTGGGCCGAGACGCGGGTCCTTGGAGGCGTTATCTTGTTCGATAGAAAGGCCAAGCCACCATCGGATGCTGTGTTTATCCATCCTGACCGCGAAGCGGTTACTTATAGAGTATGTGAGCTGACGGAGGAACAAAAGACCGATCTGATAATGTTCCTCCTCACTCCGTCATCAGAAAGAGGCAGCCCCCAATGCCCTCTGCCTATTACCCCGAACGAGAGCAATACCCACCGTATCGACCCAGAGGAACCTATATCTTGGACCGGCGTATATCGAGACATATGGGAGAGAGAGCCCCATCCTGATGAGCTGGGCGATGGTAGATGCAGAGATGTGTGGTGCAAGGGTGACGAGGTCAACTTTTTGACATTTGAGGCGTACCAGGAAGCACGTGGCCGATACTTCTCGAGGTATGATAGATATCCTTAGGGGTATCTATATGGTTGTAGCGATCAAGAACTAGCCCGTTAGTCGTTCAACGGTGACAGATAATGGCCAGTGTTTTATGAACAAAGGCGAACAAAAGTGCTTCAAAGGGCGGACTTTGACTTGCAGGCGTCGAAAACATATTTGACTAATGGATATACTCGCCGGCCATCCGCATTCGAGTCGCAAGAGCAGGCGGTTTTGACTATAAGCTGTGAGCGTGCCCATTACCAGTATTGGGACCAAGTTGCCTCAGTGCACCATCACTACCGTGCGCGAGCTTGGGATCAGTCACGACAATTCGAAATACGCACCTGCTCCACCATCTGCAGCACAGCCCGCATGTTGTATTGAGGGACATGCTCTCGGTCGGGGCGGGCCACGATGCCTTGAAAAGTGCGATCTTGTGAATCGCGTATGCGCTCAATGTCAATATGGAATTGGGCAGGCTCTGAGTGTCTGAGGTATTGATGATACGAATGATGCTGAGCAGGCTTTTCTTGCTTGTATGTAATTCTCCCCACTCTTCGTTGCTCTCCACACTCTGCCGTCGGTCAGCCTATTGAGGATCTTGAGAGCAGACTTTTGAAGCATACGTAGTCGGTTCTGAATACCGTCCTCTTAAACTCACTTTACTTCATCGATACTGGCTTACGCAGATGTGCAATAAGCCATGACTCCCGACAAACAGTCTTCCGTTGATTCGCTAGTTACTTCAGATCGTCCATTTCTTGGTCCAGAGCCGAGACTTGATTCGAACTCTGCAATGTGTGCTCAAAGTGTATCGAAACTTGGGCGGTCACAGCAAACAGAGCCAGCTGCAGTCATTCCAGATACGTACTCACTGACTTGCTCAGCTGCTTATTTGCCCATCAGGCGGCTTCATGCATACGGTGGTTGCCTTCTACTCAATTTCTTCTTCTCGTCACCACGTCCTCCCACAAGAACATCGCTAGCAATCACAGTGAAGCTCCAACGAGCACAGCAGGCTTCAACCCAACCATTCCCATGGCTAACGAGAGAAAAGATGAATCTAGTCTGCCGAAGCCTATCTCATTGAATGACAGTTAAACACCGCAAACGAATGATTCACTCCCGATATTCTCAAACATTGTCGTCACAGCTGTCCATACGTCACTTCATTTCTTGACCCGCTCTACCGGCTGTACCTGCCGAACGATGACCGCCTTCATGCATTTGTGACTCTGCAAGTTGTTGAGAAGATGCCATGGATGAGCTATTTCAAAATCACACACAACAATGAAAGGAGGGTGAATGTGCTGAACAAGGGTAGACTCATTATAACTATTAGTGCATACTTGGAGCAGAGGCTTAATATATTCATATAGACAAATAACTTCCGCTGTTAGTCAGTAAGAGCGGTAGTCTCGCTTGAAAGATTTAAATGATCCTCACGGTTTGCGGTTGCTCGCCTCGCTCGATGTAATGCTTCCAAAATTTGGCCGATCCCCTATAACAACCCACCCTCCGGAATACGTCGCTCTGGTCAGTGCACTCAAGGATCAACCCGCCATTATACTCCCATGTACTAGCATACGACCAGCGCCTGTATGTTCCTTCGACCAAAGGGAAGACGAAGAAGCCTCGGGACTGTCCCGCTCCAGCAGACCAGGGTTTCTCGTCCATTAGGACTCTCATAGAAGCTCCCAGGTCCACATCTTTCAGAACAGGTGCCCAAGTGATTAATTTCTCCTTTTCCGCATCAAACGTACATTTCAGCAAGATGCCATTGAATCTTAACTCAGCGTCCCGTACCGGGCCGTACCTGTTGTTCTTGTCAACCAGGTCGACCTGGACTTCCTCGAGAATAGCACAATGATTACATTCATTGCCGTTACGGAGATAGCCCTCCTGCAATGTCATGCTGACCTTTCTATTCATGCTGGCCCAGCTCCAAGTCGGGGCGCGGTAGTGATCCTGCCTTGAGTTGGGCTCAACTGTCATCCATAAAAGGCCAAATGGGAGCTCCTTGCGGAAGAGGCCTGCGAGATAGTCGTGGTCAAAGTAGGCACCGAATTTGGAAGCCACACCGCCAATGGCGGGCAATTTGTCCTCCACGCGGGTCAGGGTGCGTATGCTGTAGTCCTCGCGTGCCTTCATCCATGCCTCCAAGACGTGTCTGTGCTCTTGCAGGTCCTGGATCGAGTGAATAGAACCAGCTGAGCGCAAGGCAATCTTGGGGATTGTGAATATGCAACCCGACCTGTTCTCATAACTACGCTTTGAGTCATCCTTCATGTTCTGTGAGCTTACTATTCTCGAATTTCCTTTGTCCAGATACTCGTTGCAACAGTTCTCATTACATTCCCACCAGATGCGGTCCGGTCCAAATCGCAGGAGTCGAGGAGAGAGAATCCGTTCTTGGAAGGTCCAAGCCCGTTGTGCGAGAGGTTGTTCATCCAACGACTTTATGGAGTCACGGTCGGCCCAAACCGTGAGCATCACCGCATGAAGCGTATTTTCTTGTTCTGAACGCAACATTCCGTATACATGACATGCCTAGGAGTAGCTAGAAGTCAGCCGGTGCCTAGCTTTTCAAGGGCGAGGGCGACTTCAAATTCCAACTCTACACTGAAGGGCGAGCAACGTAAATTGGTAATTACCTGGACGAGTCTTGGGTCTCTGGACACAAATGCACCTTGATGGGCGTTCTCGGCACGATCGATGGAGATTGTAAACAAGGAGTTCGTATACACAGTCTCCATAGCTCCAAGCTCCTTCAACCAGTCCTCCTTAGCCCCTGTGCCCGACTGAATGATGCACAAGCTGTCGATCCAGAGATACTGCACACCCATACGACGGCAAGTGACGAACGTATCTTGGAAGCTCTTAGGAAGGTCCGCCTCTCTTATCCCTTTCTGCAGTAAAGTGATATTATCAGACTGAAGCATGAGGAACGTTGGACTAGGACCCCAGCAGTGACTCAGCGCAACGTATCTGCTCGTCGGCTTCTCTTGCTCGGTGATTACCAGGCGCGCCGCTCCTTCTGCGTCGCCGACCTTGATCAGGCGGGCAGGAAACCATTCCGCGTCACAGTCTCCTCCGCAGTCATGCGAGTCAAGGCAGGCATGGAGCCATTGAAGCGCGAGCTTCGCAATATCTGGATGTCCGGTCGAGTCCACTGGAGTGGCTTTCTGTGGAAACTGCTTGAGTACACAGACTTCGCCATCAAGAGGGACCGGGATCGGAGGGAGAGACTGGATCTCAGCCGTGGCGAGCTTTCGGTGCTGATAGTACAGATAAAAATGATCCGTCTTCGAATTGTTGTCCTCTAGGTATTCAATTGTGAAATTTATATAGTCGCCCACACCATTGCTGAAGAACTTGTGATGAAGTTTTACGCCCTGGGGGCTCGTCTTGATCCTGGGAGATAATTTCGAGTAGACTGTAGAGCAGATCTTGCAACCCAGTGCGGCAGCCTTTTCCAGATTCGTATACTTTCGTTCTTCGGGGTACCCATCTCCCTTCAATAAAATTGATCTGCACAAGGCCAAACAATCGTCGCACAACATCTTAATTGTAGGGTGATTAGAGTCAGGTCATTGGTTTGGCCGAAAGTTGATTCAGGCTGCCTCGGTACGTGTTTTGTAGCGCCCGCAGCAGGTCCCTTTAAGGAGAATGAGCTCTTGTTCTGAAGGATTTCAAATTACACCGCCCCAAATTCATATTCCACTCACTGAATTTGCTGCCCGGCAATAAGCCTCTGAGAACCAATTAAAGGGCTGTACCCATAAATCGCCAGGTCAGCCCGAGTACGCTTCGCTCCTAACCCCATACCGAAGCGATTACCGTGGCACCGGCAGTCTCCAACTTCAGGCCTGGTGAAATTCTTCAACAGCGTAGTGTTAAAAATTCCGCCCACCAGGTCCAAACCATGACATGAAGGCAAAGCCAAAAATTTTAAGTCCCTATGACGACATGGAGAGACTGAAACCGACAGCCTATTTACCACAGGAAGGAACAAGAAAAGAAAATCAAGAAAATTGGTGTTGCCCCTTTTTTTGACCCTCTAACTCCTTTATTATATACATGCTTACTACAGACCATCCTACTCACGCACTCATCAAATCCTTCACACTGTTTCAGCCGCTCACGAAGGGTCGGCACCTGGTGTAAGTGTATTCCATGAATGTCAACTAAATCTCGTTAACTGCCACTGACCCTATTGCCCTCAATACGGTCTGGATGCTCGAGCCCGACCCTTGTCTTCTGCTGCGCAGCCCAGTGCCTAGCACTTTTGACGACGCTCTTGATTTGCGCCCCTCCTCCCTCGACGTGCAACTGCGCAAGTCGGAGATTATTCGACTAAAGGGTACAACGATATAGACTCAACCACAGATACCAATATATTTTCTGGCAGGAAGGTTTTCCTAATACCCCTGTCTTTTTGAGCTGGGCGTCTGTCAACAATTCATAGACACGAGCTTGAGTTCGGGTGTCCGCTTCGCAGCCACAGTATCTCTGCAAGAAATATGTACAAGAAAAACGGTGAGCTATTATAACACCAGCTATAGAATAATCTCTTATAGAACAACCCCTCTTGGGATAACCTCTTTGGGATAACCTTCTATGGGATGACCTTCCCGGGTTAACCTCTTATGTAATACTTTTCTGTTGGATAACCATCTATACAGGGAAGCCACAGTGGTCTCCGCCATGATGTGTTGTTATTTTTTAGAATGTGGCGGTGTTGTTCCAATAGTGTATGTGATCGAAGCTGCTAGGAGGGCTCGCGATAACGCTGAATGAGAAATATGAGAGCAAGAGAGACCGGACACGGGTCTTTCAACTGGGCGACTATGTGAGACAGGGCTTTGGAAGCAGCAAAAGAACAAGTTGCAAGAGTCTTCTCAATCTAAAACATCCTCTATATATAGCTATGCCCTCATGTGACCATCTTTGAGTTCCCGAGTATCAGCACCATTACTAGCATCTTATGCTAACACAGCGCCAAGGCCGCGGTTCCAAGGCGAGTAGACGTTGGTCGATGATGGGTTACTCATCGAGAGGGGTTTCTTCCTGTGATCAATCAAAGTTTCATTTGAAGAATCCAATCGTAGGCTTATCTACCCATCCTGCACTACGGCAAAATACTGCATGCAATACATGTAGAGGTGTCGAGTTGGCAGTGACATGTCAGATGGGTGGCAGTTGGTGTGTGTCTATCAATATCAGGAGGGGTGTGCTAAGAGAGGAACTGGGGCTAAGGCAGGAACATGCGAAAAGCAAAACCGTAAATCGGCTTGGGGGATCCGCATCGTCGTTCTGTCACTTGAGTCAGCCTCGGTGTTGCGTTGCGCGCTGTACCTTACTACATACAGGTTGTACCGGGTGACTGGCGCCCGTCGATTTCACGCAAAGGGTCATGCAGTATCTGGATGGGTATGTTCTAGGTGTGATGAGGCACAGAGTGGTGTAGACAATCAGGTAGGGTGGCCTGGTCTCCTTTGATATCTATTCCCTTTGTAATACACACCCTCGAGTCCTGCAGATATCCGGATGTGTGCAGTCTTTCAGGGTCTTGCAGGCCACCCGTCAGTGAGCATCGCGGATGACAGCCGGCCGACTTCCAAGCGTTGGACCCTGATTTTCCCCTATTTCATCATCATCCTGGCTTCTGTGATGGGTCGGCAGGGAGGGGGAGGGGCGTGTCCCTAATCGAAGAGCGGACAGCAGCGCTGTCTATGGTCGAGTCCCTTGGATAGTGTCTCTTGCAGTTCTCCACCTCGAGCTCAGCTCGTCGCCGTGAGCGACCCGTGACGACCGACGTGGAACAGAGGTAAAACTCTGGCCACATGCTCTCCCAGGGAATTGCCCAGGTCTCCCCTTTCAGCACCTTCACCGCGTTCCAATTGACTCCAGGAGATAAAGGCAACGGCACAGTCTGACTTTGCCTGGATCTTGCGGCCTCCAGACGGTCGCGTTCGCTGAGGAACGTGTCTTTGTTCTTCCATTTCAATTGGCCAGGCTCTCGGACCGCTTCGACGTCACTCCTGCTTCGACCAAGGGTTTCCGTTAGATCAGATCAAGGCACACCCTTATCCTGTTGGCCGCGCGCTACGCAAAGTACACACATCCGACCTAAATTTCTACGGTATCTGACAACTGGTTCATCGACATTTCCTCCCGGGCTGCTGCACCGACGACGGACGACTTGACTGCAGGGCCATCACTGTCTGAGTACCCATATTCATTCCGAGGCTTCTTCTCACAATGAAAATGCAGACTCTCGATTCCCTCTGAACGCCCGCCTCGCTAGGCTTCGCGGCCAGCCCGTCGACAGCGACCAGACAGACTACAGCAACAAATTGGCAGATATCTCGACGTTAGTAGCAGCAGCAGCAGCATCGACCCATAATTTCGCTCAATAATTTCTCTCACATTTCTGGGGACATACGCATTTGTCATTCAACTTGCCACCACAGAGACGAGATCTCAACTCCTACTGAGACGACACACGACACACGACTCGCTCGACCCGACCCTGACCATCTCACCACCATGAAGTTTGGAAAGAAGTATGCTATGCTATGCTATGTTATGACCTGCTCATGTCGTCCCGTAACCCCATGTTCTCAGAATCCCGGCTGACACTGCTCACAGCTTGCCACGTAATCAGGTGCCCGAGTGGGCATCTAGTTACATCGACTACAAAGGCTTGAAGAAGCTCATCAAAGCAGACGTCAGAGCCGCTCAGAGCGGTGAAAAGGTGGATCTAGCAGGTAAACATTTGGACCGCTCAACTCCCTCCCTGGTGGGCTGAGCCCGTTCGCCTAACCAGTCGGAAACAGAATTCTTCTTTGCCCTGGACCGGAACCTTGAGGATGTCGACTATTTCTACAACAAGAAGTTTTCCGATGCCTGCCGGCGTCTGAAGCTCCTTCAGGACCGCTATGGCCAGTTATCCGACGTATCCGACCTGGACGTCGATGAGACTGAAGAGCTGATGGGTGCCTTACTCGAGCTGCGATCCCAATTCAGGAAGCTGCAGTGGTTTGGCGAGATCAATAGGCGTGGTTTCGTCAAGATCACCAAGAAACTCGACAAGAAGGTCCCCAACTCGGCCACTCAGCACCGGTATATATCCACCAAGGTAGACCCCAAGGCCTTCGCCAAGGATAACACCCTTGCTCGGCTCCTGAATGATATCAACAAGTGGATGTCCGCAGTTGGTGATGCGCAGAAAATTGATGACAACCGCTCAGAGAGGTCCATCAGGTCTCTGGGACGAGCCTCTGCGAAAGCAATGCTCACTATTCCGTCTTCTCTCTTGGATCAACTGGACCAGGCCATCCGGGACAACAACGTGGACGCTTTGGAGAGCCATCTGAAGGAAACAAATTTGGTCTTCTCGGAAGCACCAGCCCAGGGCCTGCTTCACAATCTTCTGCAGAGATCAATTTCTGCCCGGTCAAAGAAATCCATCGAGTTCCTCCTCGCAAAGATCAAGACTCTGGATGAGGCAGATGACATCAATGAGCGAAACTGTATCCACCGGTTGGTCATTCATATCGGTCGGACCAAGTCCACCAATGCAAGGGAGACCGACTCTCCAGCATACCCCTTCCCTGCCGGCAACCACTATGCCTCCCAGTACATCACCCCGGCGGCTTCACCCTCGGCGTCACCGGATTCTCGTCATGTGAAGGAGACGAATCTCCTGGGGAAAGACGACGAAGCTGTGCAGGTATTGATCTACCTCTTGGGCAATCTCACCGAGGACCAACGACCTGCCCTGAGCACCAGGGACTCCTTTGGTCGCCTGCCCCTCCACTATGCTGCCCAGTTCGGTTTCGTGGTGGTCTGTCAAATCATCATGGGAAAGATGCAGGAGTGGGGTCAATTCAACGTCGAAGATGGCATCGATGCCGAGGACTGGCAAGATAAAGAGGGCAACGCGCCACTCCATCTCGCTGTCATTGGTGGTCATCCCCTGACCATCCAGGCTCTTCTCCAGGGTGAAAACTGGCAGGGATCTAGCGAAGATAAGTTGGCCAGGAGACGTGGCATTTCCAAGTCCAGTGCGGTTCTAGCCATCGCCACGAAGTCTAACTTCAAGACCATTGTCAACCTCCTCGTCGAAGCCGGCGTGGATATCAACTGGCAAGACAGCTCTGGGGAGACCGCACTCCACATCGCCGCTAGGTTCGGTCATGACGAATGTGCTCGCATCCTGTTGCAGGGTACAGAGGAGCAAAAGGCTGATCTGGAGCTCGCGGAGAAAAATTTCAATTGGACACCACTCCATATTGCAGCCGTTGATGGACACTTGTCTGTTGCCAAGTTACTGATCGAAGCTGGAGCTGATGTCGACAAGCTCGACTCTTCCGGGTGGACAGCCAGAGAACACGCCGCCTTGAGAGGGCACCTTGCCATCGCTGATCTGCTGAAGCAAAATAGCCAGCTGGACGACGCTGCCCTCGCGGCACAGAGTAACGGCGATGGGCAGCCAGCTGCTACTGAAGGCTCCCCTCCAAAGAACGGGTCTCTTGAGGATCGTCGCTCTAAGGCAACTGCTCGTGCCGCCGATCCGGTCAAGACTTTTGGGCATCGCTACCTGAAGGACGAGAGTCTGGTCTTGGTCAGTCTTGGCTCTATGGACATGAGAAGAGACGTCGATGCGGTCAAGCTGGACCGGGTGCCACTTAATGAGGCACATACTACACAGCTCGATACGGCACTGTCTGTCGTGGTTTCCGCCAACGGCGCCCTAGGCGAGCCCACTATCATCGACCTCCCTGTGCATGAGAACATCTCCACGGAGCCGATCGTCTTTACCACAAAGGACGCCAGTAAAGTCAAACTATTGTTCGATATCGTGCCAACCTACTCTGGCAACGAGAAGAACAAGATTGGCAGAGCTGTGGCACTGCTGTCCAGCATCCGGCCCTCCGTCGGGTCTAAGCGCATGAACCTGCAAGGAGACGTCTGTGTGCCAGTCGTTTCTTCGAGCACTCTGGAAGTGATTGGAACCGTCAATTTCAACTTCTTGGTCATCACGCCTTTCTCACACCCAAACATGGAGGTTACCTCAGAGCAGACTTACTGGAAGAAGTTGGCGTCTACCATGGTCATTGGTCACCGTGGCCTGGGCAAGAATAACACGTCAAACAAATCGCTGCAGCTCGGCGAGAATACAGTGGAGTCATTCATCGCAGCCGCCAACTTGGGGGCCAACTACGTTGAGTTCGACGTGCAGTTGACGAAGGATCATGTCCCCGTTATCTACCACGACTTTCTAGTCAGTGAGACCGGCATCGACGCGCCAGTGCACACACTTACTCTCGAGCAATTCCTGCACATCAACCCAGACGCACGTCGCCTGAACGGCAAGGACATGTTCGACCAGCAACTCCGCAACATGCGCAACAATGAGGTGCCCGGGCCGAGGCAGCGGTCCATGTCGGTAGGCTACGGCGTCGGCGAAACACCCGTAGCCGACGAGCGCATGAAGCACACGCGAGACTTCAAGGAGAAGGGCTACAAGGGCAACTCGCGGGGCAACTTCATCCAGGCGCCGTTCGCGACGCTCGAGGACCTGTTCCGCGACCTGCCGTCGGGCGTTGGCTTCAACATCGAGATGAAGTACCCAATGCTGCACGAGAGCGAGGAGCACGAGATGGACGCGTACGCGGTCGAGCTCAACAGCTTCTGCGACACGGTCCTGGCCAAGGTGTACGACCTTGCCAAGGACAGGCACATCATCTTCTCGAGCTTCAACCCGGATATCTGCCTGTGCCTCAGCTACAAGCAGCCCAACTTCCCCATCATGTTCCTCACGGACGCCGGCGACCTCCCCGTCGGCGACGTCAGGGCGAGCTCTCTGCAGGAAGCGATCCGATTCGCGAGCAGGTGGAACCTGCTGGGTATCGTTAGCGTGTCCAAGCCCTTCACCAACAGCCCCCGGCTGGTTAGGGTTGTGAAGCAGCACGGTCTGGTGTGCGTCAGCTACGGCCAGGAGAACAACGACCCGCTGATGGTCCAGGTACGTGTCTCCCCCAATCGTCTTTCATTCTTACAGTCAACATGAAAGCTAACCACCCAAACCACAGCGCCAAGTCAAGGAAGGCATAGACGCAGTCATCGTCGACAGCGTGCTGGCCATCCGCCAAGGCCTGACCGAGTCCGAGAATCAGGGCCTCAATCAGCTGCCGGACTCGGTGGCCGAGGATGACACGGCCGTGGTCATCGACACGCAGCCACTGAACGGGGGCGTGAAAGTTGCGAACTAGAGAGATGAATGAGTGTCAATGAATCATAGATGATAGAGGGATTTGTGCGTTGTGACGTTAGATACAGGCATGTACGGACCCGGCTGCAGTGCAAGCGGGCAATCATAGAGACAGAACCTTGGGCCTCGAGGGCGAGCCCGGTGGCTGGGGCGGAGAACAGGACCCAGTGACAACAGCGACAGCATTGTGTGACAGGCACAGTAAGGGTCGGCAGTGGGACACACACACGAGCATACGCATGGGTGTTTGTCTTGGACAGTTTGGACCTAGTCGTGCTATCATCAGTCATGGCATGCCCAACAGAACGGCAGGGAATGATGCGGTGGATTCATGGTCTGATTACACCAAAAGCTCGGTGAGGCGCGATAGAAATTCATGAATGAATGAAAAGTCTTCTGTTGCTCTTCTAATTGGAGTCTTGCGAGTCGTTCGACACTGGCTTAAGTGACGATCCGGCCAAGATAAGGACACAGTTGAGTGAGACCAGATCCTTCGTGAAGTGACCAAAATGCCGGACCAGTTCAAGTGATGAGTCAACGGTAAGTATCCAAATTGTCGCTTACGACGGTCATACGAGGACTAAAGTGAGCAAAGTTGAAGACAGTGTATTATTGTGGACTCCGACTATGATCAGATATGCTTCTAATGTGAGAGACAGATAAATCAAGAGCTGCCAATGCTTCATCTGTTTGACGGTGTGTATACACATAATATATGCCGTACGCTTAACATAACACATCCCACTTCCTTGATGCTCTCAAGAAGAAGTCAGCTCCTCCATCCGCCTCTCCAGCTCAGGGACCTGCCTCAGGAGGACCTCAAGATCCTCCCTCTCGTCCTCGAGCCTCATGCGGCGGTCGGCGTCGAGTCGGGTGAAAACGAAGTGGCCCTGGCCGTCGAACTGCAGGATGTGGCTGTGGTACTTCCACAGCGAACGGCGGTGGCTGACGGTCATGAGCGTGATCCCCAGGGCTTTCGCGTTGTCATACATGACCTTCTCGGTCTCGAGCGTGACCGACGACGTGCACTCGTCCAGGATGGCGTAGCGGGGCCGGTGGTAGAAGAGCCGCGCCATGGCCACGCGCTGCTGCAAGCCGCCCGACAGCACGTCGCGCCACTCGGCCTCGGCGTCCCAGCCCTCGTCGTACAGCGTCACCAGGCTTTCGAGGTTGAGCAGCTTGAGTATGCCCAGCAGGTCGCTGTCTGTCACGCCCTTGGCGCGCATCGTGCGCAGTCCGTCCGGATACGTGATCTGCTGGCGCAACGACCCCCGCGACAGGTACGGTCGCTGTGGGATGTAGAAAATGTCCGAGAAAGGGGGCTTGTATACAGTTCCGCCATAAACGGGCCAGAGGCCACCCAGGATGCGGAAGAGTGACGACTTGCCGCAGCCGTTAGGGCCGACGACCAGGAGGTGGTCGCCTTGTTTGAGGGAGAACGAGAGAGCTTTGACGAGGACATCGCCGTTGGGAGAGATGATGGGTCTGTTCGAGATGATTGGTCAGTCTAAGTCTTGAGTCGACGGCGTTTAGGAGCATCAAAAGTGGAAGACTTACACATCAATAAACTCGATGTCCTTGCTCTCCACGACCTTGCCTCGTCCCTTGAGCACAGCCTCGTTCTCGTCGGTGCCTGCGCTGGAAACCAGTTTCTTCTCAAAGTGGCCGGCCTGGATATCATCCATGACCTCCAACAGCGAGGCCACCCGCGAGGTATAACCTGCGAGTTCCATTATTTCTCTGTACGAGAACATGATGCGCCCGAAGGCGTCAGAAGCAGATAGCAGCATCCGTCGGTTCGTGACGAACGTCTCGGTCCTGTCACCCATGTTCTGCGTTACCGAACCTGGTATCTTGACGAAGACTGGTACACTGCACAGTACCAGCCCCAAAGCGCCCCAGAAATATTTGATGACGAAATCTTCCATGAAGCCGTGATAGAATCGCCGCCTCAGGATGTAGTTGACGTGCTTGATGAGTGTGAAATAGCCCTTGTCGAGGGTGTCTTTCTCGACTTCGTGGCCCGCATACAGAGCAACTTCTTCGCTGTGGTCTATTAATCTTGAATGTTGGAATCGGAACTCGCCCTCCAGCCTTGCTTCGTCCGCGACATATTTTCCAAAAGGAGGTGTTAGCGCCCGCATCACATTGGCGGACAGCTGGACCAGTAATGACATGAACATTACACCTTCGCCGCCCACACTGCCTGACAGCGACCATGTATATATCGTCTAGAGCACATCCGCCATCAGAAGCCGTTCCAGCCTAGAACTTGGGATAGAAAACTTACCATGTCCAATATTGGCTTGGCCAGATTACTGTACAACTCTGCCAGACTATTTGAGAACTTTGCAACATCGACAGCTATCAGTTGGTCTGGGTTCTTTATCCTGTCGTCCAGCGCCGATATGCCGTAGAAAGTCAGTTTCGAGAGGTACTTGTCGTGAATGTGTTGCGTCAATCTCGTTCTATACTTCAGAGACAGCTCTGCTTGATGCCACGACAACTGGGTTTACAATATGTCAGCCAGGCTCTCCCTTTTCCTTGTGGCCGTCTTCAAGAAATGTCCACTGTGACCTACCATGGAATTTGTGAACGTAGCCGGCACAGCGATCAGCATCCACCACACGATCCTCATCAGGAATTCCTTCCCATTGCCCTTGACCAGAGCCTTGACGATGGCGCCGTCCATGGCCGCGACCTTGAGGCTGATGAGGGTGCGAACGACGAGGAAGAAGCTGTGGCTGATGAGCAGCCGGGTCTCCTTGCTGCGCCAGCCGGGCACGACGATGCGCAGCAGCCGCAGCAGCGCGCGGAAGAACTCGCGGTTGAGCTCGACCTTGCGCTTGGCCTTCTTGGAGCCACCCCCTTCCTCGTCCTCGGCGGCGACCCGGCCGGTGGTGCCGCTGCGCTCGGCGCGCTTGGCGGCATCGCGGGCGGAGGCGGCCTTTTGCTCGGCGATGGCGTTGCGCACGCGGTTGATGAGCGCGACGAAGAGGGTCAGGTAGACGGCGCGGGAGATGCGTGTGCGGTTGGACAGGTAGAGGTCGGTGAGGTGAGAGATGATGGAGCGGACGGTGCGCTCGCGCTGGCCTGGCGTGGAGACATGGGAGAGGAGGAGCTTCGATTGGGAGGCCATGGTAGGCTTTCCGACCCTTGGGGGGTCAACCGCAGTCGCTTCTTGCTCGTACAGGAATCGTGGAAAGCTGTTGGACGGACGTGGAAGCTATATGAGCCTCGAAGGGCAGCTGGGGAGGACTCGACGAGGCTATTGTGAATAGCAGGTCGAGTGCGGGCTATGCGACGAAAGGTACGATGGGATGGCTGGTCGGCATTGAGGCTTGGGGCTGGATATATTTAAAAGGAATTGCAATGCACTGAACAATTATCTTCAACCAAGGTTCAGCCGGGCTGGATGCAATTCACCCACAGTATCGTGGTTGGTGGGCGACAAAGGTCAAGAGTCGTGTCCATCGAGAGCCGAAGTCATTGTCGTGCCTCTCAGCAGACCACGCGGAAGGTGGACAGCGGCATGGGCAGGCCCAAGGTTGGAACCCCAAATTCCCAAGTCTGCTTGGAGGTCGGTCCGTCAGTTCCTCGGTCAGCGAGGGCAGTGACGCTGGCAGTACCCCAGCTTTTGCCGCCATTGGGGGACCACTCGCGGGGACCCCCTGTGAATTCGCATGTGATCGATCCAGTCTGACTCTGGGGGACAGACAGTTGGGTGCTGTGGCGGTGCCCCCACCCCCCCGTTTGCTGTCCACTCTATCGTCTTGCTTGTGGCTGGTGTGCAGTCTCTCATCTCCCTCCAATATACACGACTCTCTTTCATGTGAAGAGACACAGACAGGCAGGCAGACTATCTTGAGTCTTCCACACAATGAATCTCCCCAGTCTCATATGTCTCATACTGGGCATATCACTGGCGTCTGCAAACGTCGAGAAAACCATCTTTCTTGGTCCCGAGCCCGTCAACATCCCAGAGCAGCAACCGTCTCTGTTAAGCCTCAACCTCGACACTCTCACGCCTGAGAACTGGTCACTCAGGACACACATAGAGGCAATATTCCCGACAGAAGATTTCGCGAGAGGCAAGTCAACATGGCTCATTCTCGATAACCTTACAGAGAGCCAGCGCTATGAGGTGCGCATATGCTGGCTGGCCACCGTGAGTTCTGCCCCATCCTCATCCCCATCATCGACCCTCCAGACCCCTAAGCCACATCTCATCGCGACACATGAGACACTGACAAACCACCCGCCCGCTCCCAACAGCAACCAACAGCCTTCCACCTAGAGACCTACACCCTGCCCACCGTCTTCGACACCCCAGAGCTCATCACCTCGCTCTACAACTACTCCATGTCCCGGCAGCTTGCGGACCCACCACCACCACCCCCGGCATCCGCAAAGGGCGGCGGCGAGCACCTGTCCTCGGTCCTGTTCCTGCGCATCGACGCGGCCGCCGACTACTTCACCACCGACGCCGCGCTCATGCAGTGGCCGGAGCCCGTGCTGGCCGACGTCATCCTGGACCCCTTCGTGCTCAACGTCCTGCCGCGGACGCTGCTGCCCACCGTCGGCTACGTCGTGCTCGTCGCCGCCGCGTCGTGGGCGCTGGCCACGCGCCTCATCATGCCGTGGGTGAGGGGCCTGATGGTCGAGGGCGGCGATGGGCGGGCTGGCGCGGGCCGGGAGGCGGGGGAGGAGAAGAAGACGCGGTGAGATCGGGCGTGTGCTCGCCTGGCGGGAATGCTGACCTCTGTCTTCTCTTTTTTTTCTCTCTTCTCTTCTCGTGCAAAGCATGTACGTAGCTAGCTTAATTATGATACCACCTAAGAAAATCATCCCATGGGGAGCTGGTTGTCCACCAGGCTCTGCCCACCCACTGCTGCTCACTCCTCGCTCATGGTATAATCGATCTGGTCTATGACACCCGTTCTTTCTCTCGTCCACAACGCCTCTGCCACTGCCCCCAACTCCCCTTATCTGCTTTACATGGTGGTCCATGAGGGATGCTCCCCCTTCAAACTTGGTTCAATCGATCTGATGACCATCTTCGATGTTGTCCTGAACGGAGCGACCATCGGCCCAGCGCTTTCTTCTCCATGACGGACATATCCCTCTCCTAGTACGCGGGATTGCTGCCGTACGGATGCGCGCCGTGCGGCAAGCCGCGGTCCTGGCCATAGCCTGCCTGAGTTGGGTACTGGCCCGGGGGCGGAGGGTACGACGGCGTGCCCCCGTTGTACCCGCCTTGCTGGTGACCCCCGTATGCTGGCGGCGCCTGCTGGTGGCCGTAGCCCTGCCCATATTGGGACTGGCCGTATTGCGCGGGCGGTGCGCCGGCCGGTGGACCGGGTATTTGCCCGTGTTGGCCGTACGGTGTGTGTTGTTGTTGTTGCTGCTGCTGGCCTGGGTAGCCGTGTTGTCCCTCGTACTGGCTCGGCGGTGGTGGGAAGCTCGGGGTGTGCTGGGGCGCGTGGTAGGATGAAGGTGTGCTCGCGGCCTGGGTGTTGTGCGCGGGCTGAGGGTTGTGTCCCTGCGCGGGAGACTGATGCGAGGCTGCGCCTGACGGTTGGTACGTGGCGGGAGGAGCAGAGCCGCTGTAGGTTCCTGTTTGGCCGGAGTTGCTGTATCCAAAGTTTTGGTTCTGCAGGGGAAGGGGTATCGGTTAGCATATATGGTCTTGTCCCTTGCGTGTTAGATCTCGGGCCTCTTGGACATGCAAACGTACCGAGGAACCAGACTGTCCCCCAAACATGTGCGCGACAGAGCCCATCATGGAACCTGCAAGCCCCCCTGAGTTATGAGGCTGCGTGGTCTGGCCGCTGTGGTAATTCTGGGGCTGCGCCGGCTTGTTGCCCGAGGAGAAGAGGTTTGACGTAAGCTGCCCGACCAGCTTCCCGCCGAGACCACTGGACGCCCCCGATGAGCCGTGGTGCTGTTGTTGCTGCCCATGGCCGTTGTTACTGTGTGTAAGCCCGCTGATGACCTGGTTCGCAAGGCCGCCGAAGGGGCTGCTGCTCGAGTTGTGACCGCTGCCGCTTTGTTTGCCGCTGCCGAGTAATGCGTTCATGGCCATGCTCTGCGCGCGGAAAGACGATATTGTCAGCGAGGGGGATCGCGCGCGACAGGCAGAGCCAAAGACAGCAGAAAAGAGAGTGGGCTTACACCTAGGCCCCTATCGCCGGTTGGACCATCGCCGCCAATTCCTCTCGTGCCTCCATTCTCGTCTGGCATGACGGGTTCCATTGTTCCATCGGGGTGCTTGACGGTCTGGGTGCCGTCAGGATGCGTGATCAGCTGGCGCTGGCCCGGCACACCGTAGGGGTGTTCGTTGGTGGAGGCCGGCGTGCCTCCTCCCACGGGGGCGGCGTCGGTTGGGACATCCCACTGCGAAACGCCAGTCGAGAGTTGGACGTAGTAGTACTTCTTGCTGTTGGCGTCCCATTGCGCAATCCAGCCAGCAGGAAGATGTGGCGGGGCAAACGTGGGGCCCTCCTGGCCTGGAGAACCTGGCCCTGACATTGCGGGCAGCTGTGGTGATGATTCCTTTTCGAGGAGGTGGGAAAAAAATGCGGCGAAAGTGATAGAGATCTCTCGAGAACAGCGCAATTGCCGGAGGGCGAATGAGAAAGAATTGAGCAAAGAGGCGGTTGGGCTGCGAACAGGAGACGGGCACGAGATATTCGTCACGTCGCAGGTCGGTTCCTTGTCCGGGTCCGGGTCCAGGTCCAGGTCAGGTCCAGGCCCGGGTGGATAGACTAGACAGACAGACAGACGGACGGACAAGGCAGTACAGCAGACAACAGGCACGAGCTCGGCAGCAGCAGCGCGGCAGCAGAGGACGATAGGCGCTGCTAGCTCTTTTGCCCGCTCTGAGGTGAGGATTAGGTTAGGCAGAGGCCGCCCTCTCCCAGTCCCAGTTCAGCCTGTTCTGGCCCCAAAAACCTCGGGCTTGGGTGCACGATGATCAGGGTCCACCCGCGAGATTGTTATGCTGCCCAACTCGTCGTCACCAAGGGTTCCGCTTATCAGTCCGATAGACCATACATCCTCAAACACTCCAGGAGTGCTGTCAAAAGAGTACCCAACTCGAAAAGTTGCTTCGACGAGCAAGCACACAGCTGGCAACCAAGACGGCAGAGGCCAACATGGGCATGGGGGCACAAAGACACGAGAGGAGCCGGGCGGATTGTTGCACTAGACCTGCATTTAGACGCCAGCGGCAGCGCGCCTTTCCCAATATCCTCAATGCGATGAGACACCGCCCCACCAACCCGGCTGAACCAGCTGAATAAGATGCGGAAATGACATGCCCAGGTGATCACTGAGGCGACATCTCGTTGCAATCCTTGGCCGCGTCCGCGATAATGCTCCTACTCCTGCTCAATCCCATCATTGTAACCCATCACAGCGGGAATGGATGTGCTTATTCATATTTTTGCCCATCTGGGAAATTTTCCCACGCGCGTACCGACTTGACCATTTGAACCCAGAGGCCGGGATCCGTTCCCAGACCACCGCAGGGCAGCTTGCACTCTATCGCATTGCTTCTCTATAGGATGGTGCACAGGATGTCTCATGGAACAAAACTCAAACTCAACTCATCTTGTACTCTACAAGTCTCCAGGCCAGTAATCTTCTGATATCGTGGAAGGTAAACGGGAGCCTCTCCGTGACGCGCAGAACAGGACGGGTTTCGGAGTTTGTCCCGGTACTCAGGTTGGTCGCCGGCCCTAGCCAGACCTCCACGTATGTATGTGTCGAAGTAGTCTTCACGCTCTCGCAACCGCAGTGGGCTGTTCCTCTGCCTGGGCACGGGCATCCTGCAAAACAAGTACTTCTCTTGCTTTCGTGATGGTCGTTCATGCCGGGTGTGATGCCGTGGAACCTTATCACCTCGGTCTCTTTCCCGGGGTCTCCACCGGCGAAAATGGCCACGCAACGTCTGGCCGAATCCTCGGGGATAATGCTACCGAAAAGCCTTTGAGCGAATGAGCATACCCACTTTGTCAAGCTCGACACGTTGTTTGAGCTGCATACTCTGGGATGAGTGATCTTTATTCTTCTGCTCTTATCTCTTGGTCAATTGATTGGCTGTGGTAGTGGTTCATGCTGCTGCCGGTACACCCCCGAGCCACTTCACCATGTCAACACACAATCGTTCAAGTGCACCGTTTCGCCAAAGCTAGGGAGACGGACACGCGGGAGCCGAAATCTGGTCGGCTCTGGAATGCCGTCGGAAAGGCGATAGGTGGAAGCGTCTCATGTTTCAGATGCGCCCTACAAGCTTCGTCTTCGAGCGAAACGGGTGCAAAGTGTTTCTTCTCCGACTTCACCTCACCTCACCTGAACTCGTCCCACCTCAGTTCATTAAAGGTCACTAATCCAGAACAGTCACGACCACATCACGCAAGCACTGATGTACGCAAAGCTTTTGAGCAGTCAAAACGACAATAATCATCCATCTTAAAATTTTCTGCACTCGAAGAATCGGAGGACAAGGGAGGAGGACACGCACGGCACTCGCTCTTGAGAACGAGGACCGTGGGTTAACATCTCTCTCTCTGCCAGCGCTATCAAAACCACAAATAAAGCCCCCATGCAACTACAACAATTCTACAAGAAAGGGTGCTGTTTGTCTGCTCCTCCCACACGCTGCTCTCGCGAGAAGCAGGTGGCGCACAACGCACACCACGCACACATACAGGAGGATCTCGGTATCTCATTAACCCATTTTCCGCGCCTCCGAAATGGGTTTATGGGGGGTTTTTGAACAAAGGGAAGAAAAAAGGTTGGAGATACAAAGATCCAACATAGTCCAGTCATGGTCTCATACCAAGCCCCGTTGCCACCACAGACTTCATCCGCTGTCTGTACTTGTCTTGTCCTCCTCTGAAAGACTCACGCGACGCCGTCATGGTTTAAATCAAGCGATTTAGTGCATCTTGGCGAAGCGGTTCTTCAGGGCGGCGCCGGTGGGGAAGGCAGAGCCAGTACCGTTGGTGCCGGTGGGGACAGGGACGACGGTGGCGGTGACGGTCTCCTCGGGCTCCTCGTCGCAGGTGTCATCCTCACCATCGTCGGCGGAGGAGTCGTCGGTGCCATCGTCCTCGCAGGTGTCGTCATCCTCACCGGTCTCGGCAGGGGACGAGGCCTCGGGAGAAGAGGCGGAAGCGGTCGTGGGGACGGCAGCGTTGGCAGCCAGAGGAACGCTGGAGGCGCCGGTGGGGGTGGCAGCGCCAACGGTTACGTAGACGGTGGGGCCCTCCTTGGTAACGGTGATAGTCTCACTGTGGAAAGTGTTAGAAATCTGCGTCTCTTGCAAGGCGAGAATGACCTGATTCAACTTACGCAACGCAAGTGCCCTCAGCGCCGGAGCCGGAGCCGGAGCCAGAGCCGGTGCCGGAGTTGTTGTTGGTGTCGACGCCAGTGGTCTTGGGCAGCGTGCTGGTGAGAGTGGCGGTCTTGGTGCCGGTGGAGGTGGCAGTGGTGGTGGTGGTGCCAGAGATGGTGGTTCCCTCGCTACCCTCGCCAGATCCACCCTCAACAGGGGAAGACTCGCCGGTTGACTCAGGAGAAGACTCGGTGTTGATGACGGTCTTGGTCACAGGGATGGCAGTGACTGGAGGTTTGTTAGCAAAGCCCTCTCGCTCTCAGTTGACATGTCGCAGAGACCGATATTTACTTACCGAAGGTGGTGAAAGAGGTGGAGGTGCTGACCTCAACACCGCCACCGTTTCCAGAGCCGCCACCGTTGGTGAGAGTGACAGTGACTGGGATGCCCGAGGTCAGGGTGGCCACGGAAGTGGAGACGACAGTGGTCACATCGGGCTCGCACTCATCCTCATCGTCGCCCTCAGCGGGCGTCGAGGCCTCGGGTGACGAAGCGGTCACGGGAGGTGTGGGGATGGTTCCGTTCGAGTATTGACCGGTTGGGGCCGGGGTGGCTACGGGGATGGCGCCAGGGGTAGTGCCGGTGATGGTGGTACCGGTGATACCACCGGTGGCAGCGACGGAGATGACGCTGGAAGAGATGCCAGAGGCGGCGGTGACCGGGCAGATGGTGGTTGCGAGCTGGATCACGTCGGTGACCAGGACGGTGGAGACCTGCTCGGGGGCGACGGAGGCCAGGTTGGTCAGGGAGGCGGAGTTGGCCGGGCAGTCGGTGACAGTCGCGGCACAGCTGATGACAGTCCGGACGGAGGTGGTCAGGACGGTCAGTGTGGTGAGCTGCTCACCGGCGCTCGCCGTGGTGTTTTGTCGGCGGTAGTTGAAGTGGGGGTGCTGGGGGTAGACATTGTTGGCAGAAGCCAGGGTCGCGAGACCCAGGGAGGCAGCGAGAACGGACTTCATTTTGCTTTCGGTTCAGGTTCTATTCGGGGTCGAGGATCCTCTTTTGATCGGTACTCTTCGGGAGTGAGAAAGATCGTGGGTATGCTGATCAGCAAAGCAATGAGTGGAAGTCAATTCCGTGGAGGAGGCAGACACAGTTTGCACTCGTTCGGTAAAAGAATGTATTTGGTTGGGAATGAATGAGTAGCTAAGCTGCTATTGCTCGCCGAAAGAGACACTGTTCAAAAGAATGTCGGGGAGAACGATCGAGGTCAGGCTCCGTGTTGGGTGAGGAGAGAAGGAGGGAAATATACAAGCCGGCGGATGGGAGGCCATCAGCCCTTTTGAGCAGGGCGGCTGCAGAGGGGTGCCACCTCTGGGGTGTATTCCGGCGATGGTTCCATTTGATCACCCCGTAAATTCGATCAGGAGCCCACTTGTGAGCAGTCCAGGGTCAAGTCTGGTTCGTCGAGACCCCGGTCGCCTTTTGAGCATAGGAGGCCGAGAGCACCGCCTTGGTGGACTTGCCGCCCCAGCCAGCCCGTAGACATGAATAACCCTTAATCAATTTTGGCTGATCCACCGCCTAGAGCAAACTGGGCAGGCTTGCGTGTTACCGGGGCCAGTCAATCATCTGCAAGATTCGGCGCACTGGTACGGCGGTACGGGTGGGAATCTCTCTTGCGCGAAAAAAGAAACGAGAACCAGCAACCGCCCTCCCGTAGCCAGGGAATCCTTGAGCATCATCAGGGGCAAATGCAGGAACGGGCGCGGCGAGAGGGTGACATGGCCCAATCAGAGCCCCTAGTCCGGACTCAACCCGGTCAGCAGCAGGGGAGCGCAGAGGCTCAGATCCTGTTGCCAAGGAGGCCCAAGTCGACAGGAGGGGTGGCCGCAGTGTTGTTCAGTGCTGGTTACACACATACACCATGGGCATCCCATGAACGTCCCATGTCGTCGTCCGAGGTGTTGAATGCACATCGTACCGCACGTTCGGATGAAATGCCTGGTTTCCCCCCCTTGGAGAATACAGTGGAAGTGCGGCGCTCGCTCCAGCAGGCGCACTCGCTTGTACCTCTCCTCTAGCGGTGGCTGAGTTGTTTCCGGCAGTTCTTCCAGAAATGTGCTTGAAGCCTTTCACTCGTTGAGGAATAGCATGGGCAGCAGAAGCTACTCGGCTGATCGACCGTCATGGCGTCGTGCCGTGGGATGAAAAGCGTTGTGGGCTTCTCGAACAGATAGATCTCTCTCGGGACTGCATCACTGGCCATGATCACCCCAGGGTATGTTGCCTTGTAATTGTCCCGAGCTCATCTGTCGCCTGTGACGACGGAGATCGGGCGCGTTATTAATCATCCGACCTTCAGGTCAAGCAAGTGGCAGGCAGGAAGCCTAAACAGAGTTGCGAAATTTAATGCCCGATTCCCTTTCTCAAACCGCAACGTCGCTGCATCCTAGTGGTAGTTTGTTTTGCAGATCATTTTCCAGGCGGCTGGTTATTGGCATCCGTGTTACCTTCTAGACTCGTGCTTGTACCTCTCATGACACGCTCCTTGTGTAAAGATAGCTGAGCTGAGCGGTAACAGAGGGACATGCTCGGGTCCAATAGCGCTTGCCTCATTTCCTTTTTTGATCCCATAGGGCTCTCTGGCCTGCAGTGGCCGGTCATGGATGGATGCATGGATGGATTGAGGGAAGCGGGCACAGAAGAGGCACCCCAGCCAAACGGTGGGCCTCATCTTTCCTTCCAGGCTTCTTCAAGCACTAGACTAGGCTCGAGGCCGTCTCCCGCTGCAGCAATGCACAGGCCGGTACGGCATGCTAGGCGGGCGCCAGCGTGTCGAAACATAATTGATGACGGCAGAAGGCTCGCTGACATGTCTCTGCAGCGCCAGCCATTCTTGTTATTCATCGCGCCAGTTGAAGTTGCATAGGCCCGGTCTCGCTGACGGTGAGCCGCTCTCAGACGGTGAACTTTAAACTGCCGACTGCAACATCGAGGTGCTGTTGAGATTGGCGATGACGAGGAGTGCCTCTTCGCGCTCACGCAAGACAGGAATTATACTGGGCACACTGCATGGCCATGACACGGCCTGCACGGCAAGGTCATCCGGCCAATCCGTGCTGGCCGTGCTGGCCCTGTGTGGTTCTGTGTGTTTCTGCGAGGTGTTCTCGCCCTCTGGAGAGGACCCACAAAATGCCGGGAGATTGGCAGAAACGAAAATGCTTGGCCCCCAGATTGCTTCAGATCTCGTTGTCGATCAACAGCACGATGACCAAGTGGCCTTGTGGTGTTGTTGAGCGCAGCAGAAGAGAGAGGAGACCAGAAGGGATGACCCCATTAGGTTAAACGGGGTATCAACAAGTATCTCGTAACCCAGCGGCCGACGGCGAGGGTAAGGTCGTTCCCAAGAGCCTGAGAGCGTGGCATCGTCGAGCGAAAAACCGGTGCAGGAGAGGGCATGGAAATTGGCAGGAGTCTGTCTAGCAGGGGGTGAAAAGGAGGTGCGCTGTTTCACCAGCCAAGCCGCAATTCCCCTATAAGGTGGAGCCTGAGGGGGGGTGCCCTGCTCAACATCACTCAACACACACCTCCCAGACCCTGTGCGCGGTGATTGCCACTCGGGGTCCCTGGGCTGGAGTATTGGGTGGTCTTTGCCCTCTGGGGCGGCCACGCCTGGGCTGGCCTTGGGGGCCCTCAATCTCATCGATGGGGTCCCCCCGAGGTCGATTGATTGAGGGGCCCACCGTCCCCGAAATGAGGCCTGGCGGTGGACAAAGTGGACGATGGGCGACGCGGGCGAGACCTCATCTAGCGAGATGCCGTTTGTCAACGTTGGTCCTTGCTCGCAGTGTCGCAGAATTATTGATCATGGAAATGACAACAACATGACAGCCTTGATTCTGTTCAAAGGAGCCCGCTCATCTCGCTATACATGGCCCATGGCACCATGTCGTGCTGATAGTGTGCTTATTACACAATCAATCTCTACAAGGTGACGGTTGAATCCTATGCTCCATGCCGAGGCTGGACGCTTCTAATTCAAGCTGTCTGGTTCTCTTTTCTTTCCTGCTCAAGACGATTGCCCCCCTTTTATTTCTCCGATTTTGCAGCTGTCATTTCGTTTCCACGACATAAGCTTCGAAATGAGTCAGACATCAACTTCTCTCGTCTTGTCCTCACTTGACAAAAACTCTCCGAACCCATGGCCGTGCTCACTGTCTGTGGGCTGGAAAGCCTTGGACAGGTCATGATCTGGCCTGGCCTCGCCCTTAGGCCTGGGGTAAAAGACACCGTCGATCCAGGTATACACATGGTCGAGCAAGACCTTCCCGATGAGGTACCACGGGGGATGATGGGCCAGCCTCGACCTAAATATGCATATTCGCGCGTATTCATTCACATTCGCGTATTGTCACTTTGAAACACAGTAACCCACATAGACCACGTTACCGAGCCTACTGTGACATATATGTCCCCAGCGCTGAAGGAGTTGTAAGAGGCCCTCGTCGTGATCATTAGGGCATGTTTCTCAATAGTCTCTTTCATTAGTCTCCGTCGTCCCAGTATCCTGGGACCCTGGCGCTCATCACCCCGTGGCTCCCGAGACATATCAACCAACGGCCATGGAAGCCACACGCTAGGTCTCGTCTCATACCGTGCCCTGCCCATATGAACATATTCCCTCCGAAGTGCCATACAAGCTCAGCCACCGGCTACCGTTTGACATCGGCCATTTTGGCATTTTGCCCGCTGCTGGCTTTGATAAAAACAAGCGTCAGAGCTCCTGAAGGAGGCCACCAGCCAAGGGGGTTCGCCGGTCAACTAGCAGTTTCAACCCCATGCCCGAGCGTCAGAGTCACCGGTGAATACCCAGCGAACCCATCACGAGGGCCTCGTGAACGGACTTTACGAGCAAGAAACCATCATAGCCAAACCCCCTGAGCAGGTAGCCCCACCTGAAGCACCTAAGCCTGCAATGCCACCCCTTACCCTTCCCCCTTTGCTAAGCGGCCCTCCCTGTGTCAGATCACCAGAACAGAACCCTATCGTCTGCACGGCAACACCACGAAGGGACCTTGTGAGAATGACCTGAATGAGATCTCGCCGAGAGACTCAAAACCGCTGGCCGAGCAAGAAAGCCATCCGATGTTCCTCTGATCAATGCACATCCAACTGCCATCCGCCCTTTCAGTCCCCTGACCCGAAGGACCGAACAAGCACGTTCCCAACACCAGGCCCAAGAATCTACAACCCCCTCCTTGCCACGTTCCGCCGCATCGTAGCATCCATCAGCAAGCGAGCGAGCGAGCAAGCAAGCATGGTCCCGTCCGGCTCCCTCACCGCAGCCAGCAAAGCTGCATGGAGATGCGATGCTTGCTGCTGAGCTCTAAAAACTAGACCCGAGCTTCGGGCAACGCAGGTAAGCAAGCAGGCCAACGCCAAGCACCCACCACACGCAACAAGAGCACGCACAGGAGCACATGCATGTGCATCGCGCAAAACACTATACATGCTGCGCTGCGGTGTATCCCTCGCCGTGTAACACCCCTCGCACCCCATGTGCGCGCCGGCAAGAAGCAACGCAGCCCCCCGACTTTTTCTTCAACGGTCTGCCGGGTTCCAGCCCATTCGGTCATCGTTGCCGTTGCTACTGTTATCCCGGCAGCAGGGTGGTAAGAGGCGATTGAAAATTCTTCTGTGAATCATGTAGATGAGAAGGTTCTGTCTCCGGCAAGGGTTGACTGGTTGCACGTGCGTCGTGGGAACGGGATGTTACGCCTCGTTGGCATGGTGTGAGTTGCTGGGCTGGGTTCAGTCAAGTCTGTCTCGGTTTGTTGTGGCACTTGTAAACGCCAGGAAGTATCAATTGGCTAAGCATCACTTCACATACAGGCATGTACATGTGCAGACGCCGACGACCGCCTTCCCCTCTTACTGTCTGGCATCACTTGGAGTCCCAGACAAGGCATCCGTACTGGTGTGGTCAGTTTGTGTATTGTTCATCACCCTCTGTTGAGTAGGGCGTCTCAACAACTATGTGCTCCCCCTACCAACTTGTCTCGTCACTACATTTACATCATTGACCAACCATTCGTCCTCAGTGCCGAGCAAAGCGCTCGCACTCATGATATCACATCATTTCAAATTCCCAACGCCGTCGAGTCATGTTTTCAACTCGATCCAAGATGATAGTCCCGTTGAGGGTAGCTACCCATGGATGCCTGCCGCCCTTGCCTTGCAATGCCTGTATGGGTATATGTTGAATTTTTGCGCCGTTCACACCTCTCCTTGAATGCCGTTTTTGGTTGAAAAAACAAAGCCTCGCTAAATCCCTAGCTTTTCTCATGAACGCCGATGTTGAAGTCGGGACCGGTAGACTTATCTTCATCAAAGTCACCAGCCCGTATTAGAACCCACCATTATCTTGAATCGTCTCCATTAGTATAGTCGTCCGCCACCAGGGACAGACGTTGTGTTGAAAGTATTTATTTCGCGTACTTGGCGCGGAAGAACTTGGCGGCGCTGACCATGTTGGCCAGGGCCTCCTTGGTCTCCTTCCACTGACGGGTCTTCAGACCACAGTCAGGGTCGATCCAGAGCTGCTCAGGCTTGAGGAACTGAAGCATCTCCTCGATGCGGTCCTTGATCTCCTGCTCGCTGGGGACACGAGGGGAGTGGATGTCGTAGACACCAGGTCCGATGTGGCGAGGGTAGGCAGAGTCGACGAAGACCTTAAGCAGCTTGGCGTCAGACTTGCTGTTCTCGATGGACAGGACATCAGCATCCAGGGCCGCGATGGCGTGGAAGAAGTCCTGGAACTCGGAGTAACAGAAGTGAGAGTGGATCTGGGTGGCATCCTCGACACCAGTGGTGGAAAGGCGGAAAGCCTTGACGGCCCAGTCCAGGTAAGCCTCACGCTCCTTGCCGGAGCGCAGGGGCAGACCCTCACGGAGAGCGGGCTCGTCGACCTGGATGACGTCGATGCCGGCCTTCTCGAGGTCGACGACCTCGTCACGGAGGGCCAGAGCAAGCTGCTCGGCCTGGACGGACTGGTGAACGTCGTCACGGGGGAAAGACCACCGGAGGCAAGTAACGGGGCCGGTCAACATACCCTTCATGGGCTTCTTGGAGACGGACACGGCGTACTTAGACTCCTTGACGGTCATGGGGGCGGGACGGGAGATGTCACCGACGATGATTGGGGGACGAACGCAACGAGATCCGTAGCTCTGAACCCAGGCGTGGGTGGTGAAGGCATAGCCATCCAGACGCTCACCGAAGAACTGTACCATGTCGTTTCGCTCGGGCTCACCGTGGACGAAGACATCCAGGCCAAGCTCCTCCTGGATCTTGACGTTGGACTCGATCTCCTGCTCGATGAACTTGTCATACTCAGCAGCGTTGATCTCACCCTTGGTGAGCCTGTTGCGCTGCTGACGGATCTCCTTGGTCTGAGGGAAGGAGCCGATGGTGGTGGTGGGGAACAGGGGCAGGTTCAGCTTCTTCTGCTGTTGAGCAATTCTCTCAGGGAACTCAGACTTGCGGTTGTAGTCGGCCTTGGTGATCTTGGACTGGCGGTCCTTGACCTTGGGGTCGTTGGTGCGGCTAGAGGTGGCACGAGCCTGGATGGACTTGGCGTTGGCCTCAAGCTGCTCACGGACGGCAGCAGGGCCGTCTGTGACAGCCTTGGCAATGACGGCAACCTCAACAGCCTTCTCAGAAGCGAAGGAGAACCAGTCGGCGATCTCAGGGTCGAGCTTCTTCTCGCTGGCGAGAGTGTGGGGAGTGTGGAGGAGAGAGGAAGAAGTGGCGACGATCACGCGCTCGGCACCGAGCTTCTGGGTAGCAGCCTCAACGGTCTCGATGGCCCGCTTGAAGTTGGTCTTCCAGATGTTACGGCCGTCGACCACACCAGCAGAGAGGATGGTCTTGGGGCCGAGGGCACCGATGACGGTGTCGAGCTGCTCAGGGTTGCGGACAAGGTCAACGTGGACGGCGTACACATCCTTGGGCACAGCCTCGAGGTTGTGGACGATGTCACCGAAGTAGGTGGTGAAAACAAGCTTAGGGATCTTGTCACCCAGGCTGGCGAGCTTCTCGTATGTGGGCTTGAAAGCGGCCTTGGCCTTGGAGGGCAGGTCGAGGACGAGAACTGGCTCGTCGATCTGGACAGTAGAGGCACCAGCTTGCTTCAGCTGGGTAAGGAGCTCCTCGTAGACGGGGACCAGCTTCTCAAGCAGGTCGATCGGGTCAACAGACTGACCACGGTCAGCCTTGCCGAGGTGCAGGAATGAGACGGGGCCGACGAGAACGGGCCGGGTCTCAATACCAGCCTCCTTGGCCTCCTTGTACTCGGCAACAGCCTTGGGCTCGGAAGTGAGCTTGAAGGTCTGGTTGTCCTGGAGGGTGGGCTTGACGTAGTGGTAGTTGGAGTCAAACCACTTAACCATCTCCAGAGAGGGCACATCGACACCATCCTTCTGGTGGCCACGACCCATGGCGAAGTATTCATCGACGCGGTTCAGCTTGGAGCTGGCATATCGCTCAGGAACAGCCTGGACAGGGTTGTTGTCAGCAATGAGGACCAACACCAAGAAGAGTTACTGGAATGGGTAACTTACGCCGAAGTTCTGGATGTGGCTCAGGACCTGGTCGTACAGGGCAAAGTCGTTGGAGGGGATGACATCGACACCGGCATCCTTCTGGATCTTCCAGTGAGCGAGTCTGAGCCTCTTGGCCTCGGCGAGAAGCTCATCCTGAGAGATCTTGCCGCCCCAGTCTGTTTCGAGTCAGTCTCGGTGCTGAACGAAGAGGCTAGTCAGCCGGTCCACAATTACTCACAAGCCTCAGTAGCCTTCTTCAGGTCACGGTTGACTCCCATGCGAGGGAAACCGAGAATGGCGGACTGAACCATGATGGCTGATGTGGTCGAGTAACCGACACGAACAATTGACCACTTCTGAAGATTTCTGTGCTGTGTGTCAGCGGGTCTTACTCAGGCCTCACGTAGCCAATTTCCGTTGGGAAAGGTCTCAACATGTGAAGTGGGGGAGGGGTAGCAGCATACAGGAGTGTCTTGGTAGGTGTGCTTATTGTTGCTCTCCACACCCGCAGAGATAGATGAAGGTTAGGAGGGAGGTGAAGAATGGTGAGGTAGGAGGAGAGGGGGATAAGAGGAGAGAAAAAGAATAGAAAGAGGAGGAGGGAGAAGCCACTTATGAATAGACGGTTCAAGGCGGCCGGGCGAGCGGTGTGTGGGTCATGCAGAGCGAAGAGCTCAGAAGGAAAAGAGACGAAAAAAAAACGTGCTGCTGGCTGGTGGCAGTCGGGAGCCGAAACCGCTGACACGACAAGGCGATAGCAACTAGGGAAACGGATTCTGGTCTGGAGGGGGAGGGGCTGAAGGCTGAGGGAGGGGTAGCTCCCCACGGACCCACCAACACTTTAGAGTTGGCGAGCCCAGTCGCTTTGCACTGTGGAGGAGGACAGTAAGGGTCTCGCGATGAAAGCTTTTCCAGTCCAGTGCAACTCTTTGAGCAGGGGTCTTTCAGCCCTCTCGGGCTCCTGTCTGTCCCAATGCCTGACGAGTCGTGGACCTCGACTGTGACCGCTCGAGTAATTGAATGACTGAGTGATGCCCTCGAGGTCGAGACACTCAATTGAGCGAGACTACGAAGCAGCCGCCTTGTCAGGCTTGTCCCAGCTTACCTACACTTCGCAGTCGTGACAACGGCGAGACAACATGTCCTAATATGGCGCAATTGGCACAGTACAACTAGTCTACTGCAGTAGCATGCAGAGACTGCTGCAGTGGTGCAACTCAAGCTGGGATGAAGCTGCAGCAAATCCATTCCATCGCTTGGCTCCCCCAGGCTCCCGGCCGAGCTCCTCGCAATCCGTCCGTTAGTTCCCTTTGGGCTCGGGGCATTTCGACTCTCTGCTGCCCAGCCAACTAGACCCCGTCTTCTGTCATCACCTCGCGACTCTCCCTGTCACACCCGTGCTTGGATGACCCGAGGCCGGCGTGACCCTCCCCGGAGTGGCACTGGTTTGTCACATCCATTCCTGCACGTCGAAAAGGCAATGTCTTGGTATGTGTAACCAGCATAGTGAAACCTGCTCAATGACACGAAGGACTCCAAGCTTCTCCGGGGCTCAATGATTGGTTTCAACTACCTGGAACGTCTTCCCCATGTATGCCTCGTTACTGTGTATATCACGCACAGTCATAGTGTTTGCATGTTGTCGGCATAGATAGTCCAACTGCTCATTACATAGAACAATCACACACGAGCTATCTGGGTAATTTCGCAGAAGCCAACATGACTCGCCTGCGGCGTCTATCCATTACATCCGGAGTGCCCCAGATGCTGACCGCCACCATGCTTCAGTGCTTCACATTATACTTCGTACACTAGCCCGCCTCAGCAGGGCTTGTTTACTCGGTCCCTGCATCTACCTAGTTAGGGGGCAAGCTTCTGTCAGACACCAGATCATACAATCGTAAGTTTGCCAAGAAGGCATCGTGAGCCGTATCAAAAGCCCCTGCTATCCGAGCAACACCTTATCGTACTGGTCTTCGTCCAGATACTTCAGCACCACCTGCTGTAGTGCAGCCTTGCTCCTGCTGATTGCAGGGACAACACCATCAGTCTGTTGTAGGTTGCTCTGCATGCTCTCCATATGGCTCCCGATCTGCTTCGACAGAGTGATCAGCTCCTCGTCATCCAGGTCTTTGAAGAGCCCGCCCAGAGGAGCTTCCTCAGGCCTTGCAACTAGCTCTAGACGGTCTCCGTCACCATCAAAATCGCCACTGTCGCCCTTCCTCCTGATACCAGGGGCAAGCACATGCTCCCGCTTTGCCTTCTCGCGCCAGCCCTTCGCTTCGGACCTCGCGTTGGCCTCCAGCTTGTGAAGAGAGTCGTAGTCCTTGGCCAGAGCGTCTTCCTCCTTCTTGATTTCCCTTTCCAGCAGGCTGACTGAGTGCAGCAGCGGGTTGAGGGTGTTCTCGAGGCTCTGGACGGCATTCATGGCGCGTTCGAAATCGAACTCGTCCTCGTAGCTGCCGGCCGCGGCCCGTCGGGCAGGACCGGTCGTAGGGGCTGGGAAGGGCAAGCCCCTCACTAGCTTTGTGCGTAGTCGCCGGGAAATATCCAGCAGCGCGGTCGACGCATGCTCGCGTCGCCGGTTGGTGTCCTGGAGGCGCAGCAGGACTGGTCGCTGCGCGTCGGCGAGGAAGGTCGAGACTGTGTTGATAGATGGCCCGTCCAAGGCGTTCCACTTCTCGGCTATGACAGACCGTGGGATATTCTTTGTACTCTCCTTGAGATACCGAAATGGGAACTCCTGTTCTTCCTCGTCTGAGCCTGCGTCTTCTTCCTCTTCCTCGACGACAGGCTCCATTTGGCGAGGCTGTTGCTGTTTTCGCTTGTTTTTGGCAGGCGGCTGCCCTTGTTCTTGCTCGTTCCCGGCTTCGGGGGAGGGACGCCGCGGCCTGCCGCGTGGACGAGATGGCTGCTCTGGATCGGCCCCTTGTGATGAGATGTCTGATTGCCTAGGCCGGCCGCGACGCTTCGGTTGTGGTGGTTCCTCTATTGTATCAGTCCCAGCTAGCGGTCGGTCTGCCTTGGATGAATTTCCTGGTGCCTTTGCCCGATTGCCCTGTTGGGGTTGTAAAGCCTGCACAATCCCAGTATCGCCTTTATTCAAAGACGGTCGCCCACGGCGCTTCTTTCCTACTTGCGCAACTGGCTCATGTTCCTGTGCCTCGGAAGCAGCCGCCTCTTGTCTTGCTCCATGTGACCGCGTCTTAGACTTGGTATTGGCCGTGGCCGTTGTAGGTTGTACCTCATGCTCGCTATTTTGTGGACTTTCGCTGGAATTTCTATCGGTCTTCCTTGTTCGCCGGTCTCGCCCACTGCGCCTTTGGGTTGAAGCGGATGGTTCGTCCTCTTTGGTCGAGGTTTCGCTTTCCACTGCTTTCTCCTTCCCTTTCAATGCCTTCCTCTTATTTGTCGGAGCATCTTCTGGTGGATCTGGCGACCCAGCGTCAGAGATCTCAGCTGAAGTCCCAGGTCTTCGCCCTCTTCCGCTTCGTTCACGCTCTGAGCTGTCTGTTTGTTCTTCTCGTGGCTCGCTGTGCGAGGCCGCTTTAGGCTTGCTCTTTATTGGCGCCGCCTTGTCGTTCGACCCTATATTCTGGCCCGGTTTGGCGCGCCTCTCTCGTTGCTCGCTTTCAGGCTGGGCGTCTGCCGCTGCGATTTGCTGGCTCTTCTTGGATGGCCGGCCAACTCTGGATGGTTGCGCTGGGCCATTATCGCTCCGAGCGAGGGCCAATTCTGTGCTGGTATCTTCGGCCTTACTCTTGCGACCACGTTTTCTCGGTCGTGCGCGTTCTTCGGCGTCGGGCTCGGCATCATGCTCCGGCGCCTGGTGGCTCGACGCGTCTGGCTTCGGCTTAGACGCGCCTGGTGGCCGGCCGCATTTCCTTTTCTGATCAGGAACTTTGGGTGGCTATATTGTTAGCCATGGACATGTTTGACTTATTTGCGCCTTGACTTACCATTGTGAATGTGTAGCGACATCGAAACGAGAAACCTCTATTTCATACGGGTCGGCAATATTGTGATGGGATACATGTAGGACCCCCCAGAGTGGATAGAAGCTCAAGTTGACCTAAGCCAATTGGGGTAAGTAAGAGGCCTGCTTCCTGGTCAACAAATGATGACAGGGATGCGGTCGTCAATAGAAAGAAACTGATAGACTTCAAGCTCAACAACAAACACAGGCTGGTGAAGGGTTTGGCGGAGTATATTAATATAGATGCAAGACAATTCTGTGTTCTTAAAAAGTTCTGTTCTGTCAAACAAGACGACTCACACTCATTTCTTAGAAAGTTCATTCACACTGGCTGCCTCGCTCTAGATTTGCCTTCCCTCCAGGCTTGGTCTTATCTTATCGTCCCCCTCACCGACCGTTGGTCCGGCTTTCTTTCTCCATCCTAGACCCCAGGATTCGGTGCCTGCTAGGAGCCCGGAGCTCCCCCAAGGACCCTGATAGTCCCAGCTTGAGGATTCTGCAGCCTCCCGACGTCTCCATCTGTTCTCTTCAACTTTTTTCTTTCTGCAGACCATCGTCATTGAGCTGCCCTGTCTTCTAATAGCTACCTAGCACATCACTTGTTCGAACTTTTTGTCACTCTTGTGTAACAATGCGTTTCTCAACATCCTCGGCTCTTCTGGCCCTGCCTCTGCTGGCGTCGGCTCAGGGTGAGCAGTTCGAGCAGTACAAGGCACAGTTCCAGAACTTCCTTGGCCAGTTCGGCTCCTACGTGCCAAACCCCAGCAAACATGACCCCGTTGGAGCTGCAGAGGCCAAGGTCGGCGAGATGAAGCTGAACATTTTGACGCTGGATAACTGGAAGGACACTCTCTATGCGCCTGTCAAGCCCGAGTCTACCAAGCCTGAGGAGTGGTGGGTTTTGATCTCCGGTGGGAACAAGACTTGCTTTGGTAGGTTTCCTTCTGAGTTCAGATGCATCTATTTCGACGCCCATGCTGACTAGCCAACAGGCCATTGTTCAAAGGTCGAGGAAGCGTTCAACCAGACTGCCGCCAAGCTCGCCGTCCTGCCGGACGCCCCTCACGTCGGATTCGTTAACTGCGACGACCAGCCCATCCTGTGCAACGCTTGGTCCGCTGGCGCGGGCAGCCTGTGGTTGTTCGAGATGCTCCCGCCGCCTGCGCCCATCGACATCTACATTAAGCGCATGAACCTGTCCACGACCGACAGCGATACCTTCCTGGAACTGTACAAGACCCGCGAGGACAAGAGCCAGTTCAACAAGAAGGATGGATACTTCCACCCCTTTGACGGCGAGCTGGCCCAGTACGGCGTTGCTGTCCCTATCGCATACGCCCTCTGGGGACTGAGCGTTGTCCCAAGCTGGGCCATGATGCTGGTTGTTTCCTTCGTTAGCCGGACATTCATGTAAGTCACACCAAGGTCACAGTCATGCCACCTACCAGGGAACTAATCATGACTAGGTCTCGACGCATGGCTCCTCCGCCTGGAGCCCCGGGTGCCCGTCCTGCCGGAGCTGCTGCCGGCGCGCGGTAAGATAGCCCAAAGTTTTGCGCATGACGAGATGTTGTACGAGGCGATACGTGTGATGTCCAAAATTTATGGGTGGTCTTTGTGCTTTTGCTTTGTCGCGGTTGGGCGGGGGAATCGGTTTTGTGTACACTTATCGTCAGGGCTTCTTCGCCTGATCGGGATAACGCCTGCTAGGCGCCTAATTAATGTCTTGTCTGACATGTCTCTTGAACGGTCTGCAGGCCTTCCAGAACTTGCTCTGTGAGCTGTGCATTGGATAATCGACCGTAACGCAGGTCGCTCATGCTGCCAACGGTCTGCTTAATAGACTGCAATAGCTCGGCCTCTTCCTTCTCCATGGCCTGGATTGAGGCATCGAGCTCCTCTGCAGAGCTGTCCAGCTCCGGGATAATGGAGTTGATATCATGTTTTGTGACCGGAGCTCCCGAGGCTGCACCGTAGAGCTGTGATGGTGTTAGAAGTCGGGTCCACTGAGATAGCGAGCTAAGGAGATTTGGGGAGGGACAAACTTACAGCTCTCTCAATATCAATCTCGTCGTCAATCTCATGATCCTCGGCCTCTCTCTTCGCTCTCAGAACTTCTCGTCGCAATGCCTTGGAACGTTTTGCCTCAGCCTCAATGTTGGATGACACGGCATCGATGAGCGCGTTCCTCTGGATCTGGAGGTCCCTGTAAAGCCTCCTTACTTGTGGTGATGACTGCTGAGCACGAGGAAAGAGGTCCGTGAATTCTTTCAGGGAGATGATGGCTGGCAGCTGCGCCGGAACCAGCAGGTAGTTGGCGAGGATTGTTGACTCAGTGGGTGCCATGCTTGGTGGCGGGTCTGTGAACTTCTGCACTCGTTGGTTTGATTCGAGTTGGTAGAGAGCATCTGGAGTATAAATGACGATATGGAGGACTGTATCGTCACAGGACCTTCTAATAAATTCCCAGATGATTTCTCATCATTTCGCGTGATTGACTGCCTTTGTTGGTGTTGCAAGAGGAATGAGTTGGCCTGCTTGTTTGATTGGGGGGCTGCAATTCTGGTCGCGCCTGCCTCGAGACGCGCTTCTCGACTCGCCAGGTCCCGTGACACTCCTATAACCGGCTTCCTTTCCTTTCTCACCTTGGTCCTCAACCTCTAACTTCTGCCTCCTTACCCAACCCACGCAGAATTCCCAATTACAACCTGCAGCCCCGAATATTCACTGTTTTCTGAGATTTATTCTAGCCTCGCTCATCTTCAATATCCCACCGTTCGCTTGTCAGTAGGAACACATTCACCCAACATGGCACCGTCCTCCAAGACAGCGGCTCCCCCATACGCCAAAGACGAGAAGGTCTTGTGCTTCCATCATGACATGTTGTATGAGGCCAAGATCATGGAGATCGATTCCACTGAGGAGGGTGGATTCCGGTACAAGATCCACTACAAGGGCTGGAAGGCCACATGGGATGATTGGGTTCCTCAGGACCGAATCCGCAAACTGAACGATGAGAACCGCGAGCTTGCAGCCCAGCTCAATCAGCAGGCTCGTGCAAGCATGCAGAAGAAGTCTGGCCCGGCCAAGAAGGCAGGTCTAAAGAATGGTTCCGACTTCAGCTCGGCTCGAGGTAGTGAGGAGAGATCGGGTGCTGCGGCCACCATGTCTGGACGGGGCCGGAAGAGAGATTTTGATTTGGAGAATGTGAGTACTAGACCCCTTTCCCTATTGTGTTCTCTCAGAGCTATTGTGATTCCCATTGTGTCTCCGGCTTGAATCTCGTCAATGGGCTGTGAATAAGCGTGTCTACCGAATAATGGTGGAAAATGGCTGGAGTGTAGAACTTGAAGCCCACCGGTTTCAAGCGCATCACTCGCCGTTTTCTTGCCAACACCCACTGCGGTTATCTTTAAAAGCCCAGAGCTTGTTTGTTCAGCAACACCTCTACAGCTGCGCAGCACTGCAGGAAGAAAAAAAACAGATTCCTGGAAAAAAAGGTTGCAGGCGGGCAACGATCTCCTGCTCTCTGGGCTTTTGACAAGCGAGCTCTCCTCCCACCTCTTGACTACCACCCACATCGTCGACGCCATCACTGCAAAACCAAGGATTCGTCATTCTTGTCACCAGGGTACTTAATTCACCCTGGATCTGCACATACCTACGAGATAGGCATTTCAGGTGAATGTTCTCGACAGCTCCGTGGCATCAAGCAACGCGACACCAGCTTTCAACCTTACGTCAACATCAGCCTTCGCACAGTGAGCTTGCCAGCACACAATCTTTGCTCAAGGCTTTCAAAGACTGCGTAAAGCCAAATAATCCTCCCTCGTGAGATCTGGTCTGTTCTGGGATCACATCAATCCCATCGACGTGTTGCATTCTTGACGCGACCTCCACCTTTTCACATCGCGCAAACACCACCGAAAGGTCGTGTTCTCTCATCTAACTCAATCGCCGCGATTGAAATCTCTCAAGGTCATCATCTTCGGCCGCTGCCCTCATCAGAGGACGACTGGTTTTGACCCTTCATCAATTCACCCCTCGATTCACCCCTCAATCACCCCCTCGGCCACATCTCAACCACCACGTCTGAGCCATTCAAATCGTTTCCTATTCTAGTCGTCACAACGATCCCATGGACGCAGATTTCGTCAAGAAAGAGGCGAAGTGGTACAAGGCCTCTCTACCCTACGACAACCTCTCTAAATTACCACCTAAAACCCTCACCAACCCCCAGCCTGGATCCAAGGAGGCGTTGGAGGCGTTTCAGAACTACTACTTCACATCCACAGACGCGGGATTGGAGGCCAATCTGAAAGCTGGTGACTACGTGGACCCTTGGCCCATTCTGGTCAAGAAAAAGACGAAGACGAAGAAGAAAGAGGAGCCTCTGGAGGACGACATAACTGCTGGTATTCCTCCCAAAGATAGAGAGGCGTTCAACGAGGAGCTGCAAAGCTTCATGCAAGAGTACTGCCCGAGCGAGACTGAGGATCTTCCGAATCCAATTGTCACGAAAACTCTGAAAGCCGAAAAGGCCAAAAAGGCAGCCGACAACAGAGAGAAACGCGCTGCTGCAAAGGCTAAGTTGACAATGGCACCCTCTCAACACACTCGCAACACCCGCCTCAGGGCCAAAGCCGCCAACGCCGCCATAGCAGCCGATGACAGGGTCCCAGCACATGATGCCCTTGCGACACAGGATGCAGCTAACACCACAAGCGCAACTGGTGCCGAAGATGACACAGTGAGAAGCAGGCTGCAGAGTGCTCCTCCTGTCATCTCATTCATGCGGGACACGCGTGCGGCAATGACCCGAAACGCGTTCATGAGCCGCCCGGTGCGAGGTGTTGTGTCCAGCAGCTACTATGCCGCCTCGTCCAACGGCTACCCCAAAGCCAAGTCGCTGGGTGATGAACCCATAGGAAACGACATTCCGGGTGCAAGTTCACATGGACAAGTTCCAGCAGAAAGCAAGCCGGAATTATCCAATACAGCAGCTCCTAAGAAGGCCGGAGTGACCAAGAAGGCCGCGCCGCCCGAGAAGTCTGCGCCGCCCAAGAAGTCTGCGCAATCCAAGACTGCAGCAGCCAAGGCCGCATCTACCATGGCCGCATCTACCATGGCCGCATCTACCATGGCCGCATCTACCAAGGTCGTCGACAGCAGTTTGGGAGACGACAAGGCGGCAACTTCCAAGCCACGAAGGGCTGCCAAGGCCTGCGACCCTTGCAGAGCGCACAAGACGCGTTGCACCGGAGGCACTCCCTGCGACGCCTGTGTGAGAAGAGGGTTCGATTGCGTCTATGTTTCCGGTGGAAGAAAGGCGCCAATGAAGCGAGCTCGTGAAGAGGATCAGAAGGCAGTAAAGACAGAGCCTTCCGACAAGGACGCAGACCACGACGATCGCCCAGCGAAGCGAGCGCGGAAGGAGGAGACCACTTCGACCAAGAAGCGAGCTCGCGAAGAAGATCAGAAGGCAGTGAAAATAAAGCCTTCCAACAAGGACGCAGACCAAGACGGTCGCGCAGCAAAGCGAGCGCGCAAGGAGCCAGCCTTTCCTGCCAAGAAGAAGAATCTAGTGCAGGGTTCCGAAGTCAAGGGCGGAGAAACCAGCTTTCAGCCCTCAGAGATACTGCCCTCCATTGAAGAGGTTCCTGAGGAAAGCGACGGAGCGAATCCCGAGCCTTCAAAGCTACAGCCTTCCAGCCTGGAGGTGCCTGAGAATGGCGCAAAGGCGAAAGCGCAGCCCACAAACACGCAGTCCTTTAGCCGGGGACGGATCACGCGAAGCCGGAGCCGTCAGATGACTGAAGAGGCTGAGGCCGAGGCTGCAAAGCTGCAGCACAAGGGCAAGCGGGCCCATGAGGAGACCAACGAGGCCCTTGAACGACCTGCAAAGTTGCAGCGCTCATCAGGCACGAATGGCACGTTCCGCAAGTCCGATGGCAACTCCCAGATACTCAAAGCGATCAACTCTCACCAAGTCGATTCTGAGGGCCACGCCCTGAAAAACTCGCATTGGGACGGGTGGGATTGGGAACCAACGTGGATGGGACACATGTGGAAGAAGTGGGAAGAGCAAATTGATTACCCAAATTTTAACTTGAGAACACAGGACGAATCCTTCCACACGCGACCATCGATCAAGCTTGTCATGACCGATATCTTGAAGGGAATTCTCGTGGATGACTGGGAGCATGTCACCAAGGACTCGCAGCTCGTACCACTGCCCCACGCGCAACCGGTCGTCAAGATTTTGAATGATTACCTTGAGGATGAGATGCCGAAGCGCGAGGAAGATTCTGCTCAGATCGACATCCTGAAAGAGACGATGGCCGGGCTCCGCGAGTACTTCGATCGAGCCCTTGGTAGAATCCTCCTTTATCGGTAAGTGTTGCAAATGGACAGACACCATGACATGCGTGACAGGTTTGGCTAAATCTGGCTGCAGCTTTGAGCGATTGCAGTACTCTGAGTTGCTCCCACAGTGGGAGAATGAGAAAGACGGAGGACCAAGCACCGTCTACGGAGGCGAGCATCTTTGCCGACTACTTGGTACGTTGAGATGTTGTATCCCCTATTTTTGAATGACAAACGCGGCTAATGCCTTCTCCAGTCTCGCTGCCCGAGCTTCTTGCCCAGACCAACATGGATCAGCAATCTGTCAGCCGCCTTCGCGAAGAATTGACCAAGTTCACCAACTGGTTGAGCAAGAACGGCACGAAGTATTTCGTCCGCGAGTATGAGGTACCCGGCCCAGAATACCAGGACAAAGCCAAGAGCTCCTAGGAGAAGCCGAAGCGAATCACTGGTTTCGAGCTCGACACCCCATATCCACAGCAAGCAGTGAAGAAGGATGGCGGATCGTCATCTGAAGCGATCCCGAGCAAGAAGCGTCGGCCTGAACGACCCTCCATAATGGGACCTAGACGAAGATGATCGACCAAGTCGACGTTGGAGAAGGACCACGGGCATCAGAATCAACTTCCAGCGGCTGACAGTCGTGTTTTTCTTCTCACGATTCTAATTGTTTGGGCACAACAACGCGAAACACTTAGCTTGGATTGCACACTGCAGTCTGTGCTATCAATCGCGAAAGATGGCTCAGACGAATCAAAATCACTACAAAGACGGACTCGCCATCACGACACAATGGACGGCGGAAAAATTGTACCAAATATGTTCCCTTTTCGCTCAGTGAGCTGTAGGACGATAATCGAATTGTCCTTTTCTATCTGTTCCTGTTTCTTCGATCTTGTCATTCACGCACTGATCGAATTGAAGACGACCTGTTCTTTCTTTCTTCGACCTTGTCATTCAACGGATCGAATTGAAGATGCCATTGGAGAGGCAGACCCCCTTTTCCCCCATCAAAGAACAAGTATTGATCGCTTGAGAACTTACGTTTTACCGAAACTTTGGTCATGATTGCAATGGCCGATCATGAATCCTTCGGTACTTAATTCAACACGAAAAACAAGGAGAGTATGGATGTGCGACTTGTCTGAAGCTTTTACTTTGGTCTCCATACGATGAGACAACGACCACGGCTTCATTTGACGAAACAAAAAATTGGTGGAGGAGGAGGTGTGGTATTCAATGCTGGACAGTCGGTTTGCGCCTTCTTTGAGGCTCTGTCACTAGTACCGCCTTATGACTTGTCAAGGCATTGTCAGTGTGACCACCGCAACCTCGAAGAAGTATTTGATGAAAGTGAGACTCTGGAAGGGATTTATTGTTTGACGGAAGACGGAATTGAGCCTCTAGAAGCCCGCGGCCACTGCCACCTCTTAATTGTTCCTGGTGAGGCGTCTTTTCACGCAGTGGACTGTTGTGGCTCGAGGCGCATGCATTGATCAGGGGGGGGGGGGGGGGATTTTAGTCTGAAGCTTTGAGAACTGCCGCCACCGGTCATTTTCGACGGGGCACTGTTGCGCAGTAACGTTCACAGCTTCGGACTCATACAGTATTTGTGTACATCAATGAAACAAAAGGGAATTCGGTACAATCGTTTCGTATTCTTCCTCTGCTTTGTGTGATCATTGAGAGCCCGTTCATTGTGGGCATGGACTTTTCTGTGCTTGCTGCTCTACACAGAGACAACTCCGTCTCGCTGCTGGCATGGGACCAGGAGTGGGAGGATCTCATGGACAGGCTTCCCCTTGGAGCCCAGGGCTGCATACTCTTCCACAACCGACAGCTTTCCACAAGCATCATAGCGGGCTCCCTGACGTTTTGGGGGTTCTTCAATCATGTCTGGCTCTTGTTTGACGCGTGCCATGTTCCTCAAACCCTCCACGCTTCCCCCCTCGAGCACCAGAGCTGTTCCGCCCTCTGCTCCTCAACTGTGTCACCATATGTCCAGTCCACCTACAGTGCTCTCCTTTACATATAAACACACGTCCCTCCTCCTCCTCCTCATGATCGCCCGGCGCTCCTCTCGACCCAGAAGCCGCGGTCGGGCGTCCTCTCGGCGCGCAGCTCCGCGGCCGTCAGCCGCCGGCCCACCTCCTCGACGCGCACCAGCTCCTTGACCTTCATGATCATGCCCGCGAACTGCGGCTCCACCGGGTGGAACACCGTCTGGCACCGCCGGTGCAGGCCCAGCGCCGCCAGCACGCCGCGCGTGCGCGTTGGCAGCCCGATGGCCGACCGGTGCAGCGTTATGCGGAAGTACGACGTCGCTGCTGGGGCGGACATCCTGTCTTTTCTGGATTGGGGGAGGGGTGGAGTGGGTGGTGGTCGGGGGTTTGTTGGGTTCGTTGCGCTCGCTCGGCTGGGAGGTCTTATCCGTGTATGGGACCTTCGAGATCGTGGATAGCTCGCAGGGGTGGCTTTACAGTGGCTGCCTTGGGTCTGAGCTATGGGAAAGTAGCCGGTTCAAATGTCTGCCTGTGCAGGAGACACGATCGTGTGAGCTTCATATGTGCGCCTGTCCGCGGATGGTTTACATACCTTTGCGCCTCCGTCAGTCGGGAGTTGCCGGTGCACCCTGAACAGTTGAAACTCGGTATCTCTTGGTATGCGATAGCAGCAGGTCCTGTTGTTTTCCCGCCTATGACATAAATTAATTGGGCTGCGCAAGAGGACGACGAGACACAGCTGCTGTGTCGACTTTCGCGAATGACCTCGTCAAAAAATCATGGTTCCCGGCAGGCGAGGCGGATGTTGGTCGTGGTCCGTGCGCCTCTCATAAAATGCCCGGTGGGATTCGAACCCAGACCGAGGTTCGGTATGAATTGCATGTCGATCTAACTTGTTACACTTACAATTGAATAGATACATGTAAATCCAGTGCCAGTCAATTCTTATTTGCGTTGTACTCACTGAAGACTAGACATTAGCAACTCCAGTAAAAGAGCGCTCAGCAGCTTGTAGTACTCCCGCATTCAGCAGTGTGTCTTGTACGTCTTCATGAAATTCAATTGCCTTCTAATTGTTTAAGAATTGCATCAGACCCGGCCCAGAGCTAATCATTACTACACGAGGTTTCAAAAAGGGTGAAACATCCATCATGGCTCCCGCTTCTAGATAAGTGCCTTTTTCCTTCCACCTGTCTAGCTCTTCAACCTTATACCTGCACCTCCACACGGCCCTCGCCGCCTGGCCGCCCCTGTTGGGCCAGGCTGGGCAGCAGGTAGGTGATGTCGTCCCATGGGTGACGGTACAGACCAGTGCGCAGTCTCTTCTGGTCCAAGAAGTGGGCAATCAGACCGATCGACCGACCGAGCACGAACAGACCGTTCAGGACACCCATGGACAGGTAGTCCTCAGCCTCCTCACTGCTGAAAGCACCACAGTTGCGGAGCAGATCAACGAAGCAGACGGCAATACAACCATCAACGTTCAAGATCAGGTTGTCCTTCTTGGAAGTAGTGACGGTCTCGACAGCCAAAGCGTAGTCGAGCAGCTTCGTGCTGGGGAATCTGGACTTGACGAACTCCTTGACAAGCTCGACACGCAGATCAGGGTTGTTCCGCGACTTGATACGGTGGCCAATACCTGGGATGAGCTTGTTGGCCTTGCGCATGGAATCGACGAAGTCACGCGGGCTGAGGCCCTTGTCGAAAGCCTTGGTGAACTCCTCTGCGGCACCGTCAAGCGCACCACCGAATCGGGAACCAATAGTGAGCAGACCGCTGACCAGCGCGCTGATCAGGTCCTTGCCGGCACGGGTGGTGATGATGGTGTTCATGGCACCAGACACAGCAGGACCGTGGTCGGCCGTGAGCATGAGAACCATCTCCAGAAACTTGGAGGCGTAGTCAGGCAGACGGCGACGGAACCACAGGAGGGACATGACACCACCGATACCAATCTCCTCCTTGAAAACGTCCGAGATAGGCATGCCAGCGTACAGGAGCTCTTGGCCACGGTCGTCAGAGATGGTGGAGATGAAAGCAGCAGGCTTTCGGATGAGGCCGAGCTCTTGCGCCCAGGAGTAGTCCATGGGGATCTTGGGCACGGCAGGCTCAGCCTGGGGCTTGATTGTGCCCTTGGCAACGAGGTCGTCGTAGACCTTCTTCAGAAGCTCAGGCATGGCCTCGAAGGTGTTGGGGACGTGGAAGCCAGCCTCGGCCATCTTCTTGTTCTTCATGGCGGCAGTCTCGAGCTGAGAGTTGGCGAAAGAACCAGCGTGTCCGAACTGCACCTCGGTCTTGAACATGCTTGCGCAGGTACCAATGGCCCATGCGACAATGGGCTTGGTGATGACACCCTGCTTAACGGCCTCGACGACCTTGTACTCCTCGACACCACCGACCTCACCCAAGAGCACCAAGATCTTGCACTCGGGGTCGGCTTGGTATCTCAGCAAGTGGTCGATGAAGGTGGTTCCGGGATACCTGTCACCACCAATGGCCACACCCTCGTAGACACCATCTGTGTTGTTGGAAATGATGTTGTTCAGCTCGTTGGACATACCGCCAGACTTGGAGACGTAGCCGACGGAGCCCTTGCGGTACAGCTTGGAAGCAACGATGTTGTCCATCATACCACCAGTGTTACCGATCTTGAAGCAGCCGGGCTTGATACCACCAACGGTGGCAGGGCCAATAATGGTCACACCCTTCTGCTGGGCAACGTAGGCAATCTCACGAGCACGCTGCAATGGACATTAGCTACGAGACTCCCGATGCGGCGGCAATTTTAAACACAGTTTTTACTTACTCGCTCTGGCACACCCTCAGCAATGATGGCGATGGTCTTGATCTGAGGGTGCTCCATCAGCTCCATGGTGGAGCTGTAGACACTTCGGGAGGAGGCGAAGTTGACAACAACATCAACATCGGGGTGCTTGGCCACGGCCTTCTCCACCTCCTGGTAGACGGGCAGGAGGGTCTCGCTGGTGCCCCAGTACATCTTGCTCACGAACTGACCGCCAAAGGTGTAGATGATGCCGGCGACGGATGGTGTGGCTCGCTTGCAGATGAAGTCGAAGTCCAGCATGCCCTGGACGGCACGGGGCTGCATGCCGTAAACGAAGCATCTCGTCTTGTCGTTGAACAGGGCGTGGCTGGGGAGAGGACTGAGGGCCCTGCTAGGAGCGGCGAAACGGGTGATGTTGTCGTTGGCAGACAGGCCCTTGCCTGTCGTGCCGTTCACAGTGGCCGTAGACATGGTCGTTCTGGGTATCTAGAGGGAGTGTTTCTCGAACAACTGAGAGGAGGCCTGTTGGCAGTCTCGGGTCAGCATTACGGGCTTCTCTTGGGTCGTGCGCTCTGTGTGAGTTTCCCGCCAGAATTGATGTTTTCTTCCAGCCTCTTGGACGTTCTCGCAGCAGGCACGTTTCGCGAGTCCAAGCATAAAGTCTGCAGGCGGATTATGCGGATCTGCGAGAGCCATTGCTGCGAAGTCTGCCCACAGCTTGCGCAGCGCAACAAAACACAAACGAGAACAGCAAGGAGGAACGGACTGGAGCTACATACCTGTCTCAATGCTTCGCGTCAAGCGTTCCTAGAGCTTTCAAGTGTGTCGAGTTCACTATGGCTGAAGCGAGGTCAGGAAAGAAGACTCAACGGCCAGGAGTGGATATGTGAATTGAGAGGGGGGAGTTTTTTTTGTCCTGTTGCTTTGCTCGAGAGGCAGAGGAGCGATTGAGAGGGCAGTCGGGTGGGCAGGCAGGGGTCAAAGGGAGGAAGTACCTTTCCAATGTGGAGCTGAAGCGTGGTCTGGTGGGATGGAGAGGGTGGATGGACTGGGGGGGAGGGAGAGATCGATGTGACGAGGCAGCGCAGCGAGGGGCAGCAGCGATGGGTATTGTTGCCGGCGGTACTGGGTTTGGGTGGGTACTGTGAAGGCAGTAGACAGCTAGCTGTTTTGGCGACGATGCCGAGATGGTGTCCTGATTGTAGAGGTAAATGGTAGATGTCTGAGTTGGATTTGTCCGTTGGAATCTTGGGTCCGTCTTGCTCTGACCCCTTCCTGTTTGCTTCGTTCGTTCCTTGCCCTTCCAGTCTCTCTCGGGGCGCTGAGCTGTGGGAGCTGGAGCTACTGTGGCAGCGCGCGCGAGTGACCTCTGAAAAAGTTGGGGAAGTTCCTGGTCTGTTGGCTTCAGTTCTTGTTGAAAAATACGATGAGCGCGCAAGGGTAGGTACCTCCGATTCAGCTCAGATCCCTGCCCGCGCCAGAGGGTCGTGACAATGCAGATGTACCGGTACTTCGGGACCCTGCAGGGCAGGGCAGGGCTGCAACTGAGCAGCGCAAGGCCCAGACACATCCCCGAGCTGGGCAGGCTTGCTGAATTCCAATGACAGCGCCTCCCACCCAGGCCATCTCAAACAACCCCGAAAAAGTTGGACCTGGGAAACCTGCCGACCGGTAGATTACTTACCAGGCCAGAGCAGGTTTCACGGTTCCCCGTCAGTATATTCGGAACTGCATCAACACTGGTTGATTGAACATTGATTCATTCATTCACTAGTTGAATGATTGATTGACCCATAGACGACGCATTGGATCCCTGCCTCAGCGTGTTTGCTCGGATGACTGCACCTCAGCTTGGGGCGCATCTAAACGAACGATGGAACGAGCCAACAATAGAGCAAGCATGGCATGTGTCCGTGGTTGCAGCTAAATTCAGCACCCGTCACGGCGCTAGGGCTGGCAACAGGCCTCGATGGAGGATCATCATCAATATGACAGAGCCCAGTATTTTACTGGCGACACCACTCAGTGCCCTCGCATGAACTAGGTCGATGCGCTGCAATCCCGTGCACCCCCATACGAGAAAGGCAACGGCTAGAGAATTCAAGGCAGTAGCAACAAAGACGAAAGTATGAGATGGGCCGAAACACTCAATAAGCAGTCCGGTCGGGCACCCGGGCACCGAGTACTGTGTAATAACTCGGCTCATCGCAGTCAGCCGGTGCTCACTGAACACGTTTCTCCGGGTGCCAACGGCAATTTTTTTCAACACTGGAGTTGGGACCAAATGGAAACATTCCAGCACGTCAAAAGACATGACTGGCAGGAGGCTCTTCATTGCAGCCCCCACGTCCAAGGAGTACTACAGCATACCATACTGCAGAGTACTGTGTAATGTAATGCAGGGCATCTGCAGCAGCCCACTCCATCACCGTCACCCAGCCAGCTTCCAGAAGCCAGCACCACGACTCGGATTGTCCCCAGCCTGGTTCCGGGTGCCGGCGGACTTTGACGGGACACTAGAGCCAAGAAACACGTTCCTTTCCAGCCTGGGCCGAGAATTAGAACGAGAAACCCCCATTCGATCTGAGTAAGAGAAGAATGCCGAAGGGCACTGACGAGGGGTCATCTCAATGACCGTCGTCTTGACTTCTGAGAATCACCGATCACCGCACCGCCGTGGTCTGGGAGTTCTGATAGATCAATGTCGGGGACCTCTAGATTGGGCAGAATGACTCGGGTGCCGAAGGGGAGTTGAGTTCTGCATCCTTGTCGCGGCTGACCAAAAAAGACAAGACGGTTAGCAGCAGGCACACCAGCTTAGACCCTCAGTTCCTCCTCCTCGAGGCACTTGCTCTCAATCAATAATAATCCGGGAGGAACTGGGGAGGGAGTGAGTGCGAGCGTGCAAAAGCTGCGACGATTGATGCCTGAGTTCGTGCGGGCGTTCGTGCGTGCATGTGTTGTGTTGCCTGCATCCTCCTCTTTGCCGTCATCTCTTCTTCTTTTTTGTTCTTTTCGGGTGTTTCCTTTTTTCGCAGTCCGACCCTGGTACCCCTCCAGGTCCGAATGTGTGTGTGTGCTGGTGCGCTGCGTGCAGTGAGCTTGTACCGGTACCTGTCCACTTAGACCGCCCACCGATTGGGATCGCCCCAAAGCTTTTTGTCCGGGGTGGGCTCTTGTACCTTTTGCCGTGGCCCCCTGTGGACTAAGCCCCTGCATGCCACTCAGCAATTCCCCCCTCCAGTCCCCGCCCTTTTCGCACACCAGCCAGCTGTGGAAAGTTCTCAGCACTGAACCCTGCAGCGGCCCAGGTGGTGAAGTTCAACTTTTGGAGCTCCCCGGCCTTGTCCTCCCTCCACGCCCACGCCCGCGCCCACTCTCAAGTCCACTCCAATCCAGTCCAGTCGTCCAGTCCCGATCCTCGTCCTCGAATTTTTTGAACAGGCACACTCGCACCTCCAAGAGACGATCGTCAAGACTCAAACAACAGAGGCACTCATCTCGCTCCTACGAATCTTCCACAGTCCCTCACGGCTGTGTGATCTCGACTTCAATTGTAAGCACGCATTTCTGGTGAGGGCATGCTTCACGCGCCCCTCACCCCTCCGCACCCCTAGCTGCGCTCTCATCGCCTCGGGCGCGAACTTGCACTCGCAGCTTCGCAGGCCTGTTTTTGCCCCAGAGCTGACCTCAGTCATTTTCTTGCCTCGCTCTCTCAGTCTTGAGGCCAATGCCACGCTCACTTGAGATCCTCGAAACTAACCTGCGTCTTGTTAGGGAACCAGAGCGCAAGCCCGACACACGAGCTTCTTGTTTGCTTTGCGACTGAGGATTCGACGGTCCCAAGGGGGGATAGACTCACAGTACAACACGACAAACCAACCCGGCTTGTACCACATACCTTGATCTTGCGTCAAAATGTCCGCAAAGTCCATTCTCGAGGCCGATGGCAAGGCCATCCTCAACTACCACCTCACCCGCGCCCCCGTCATCAAGCCCTCTCCTCTGCCGCAACCAACTAAGCACAACCCTCCCCCAAGGCTGGCTTCCCTGTACTTCCCAGAGGACGCCGCCGTCGAGGATGTCCTGAACCAGGCCGAGGTCACTTATCCTTGGTTGCTCCAGGACGGTGCCAAGTTCGTCGCCAAGCCTGACCAGCTGATCAAGAGGCGAGGCAAGAGCGGTCTTCTGGCCCTGAACAAGACCTGGGCCGAGGCGAAGGCCTGGGTTGCTGAGCGCGCCGGAAAGTCCCAAAAGGTCGAGCACGTTGAGGGTGTCCTGCGCCAGTTCCTCGTCGAGCCCTTCGTGCCTCACCCTTCAGACACTGAGTACTACATCAACATCAACTCAGTCCGAGATGTGAGTTCCATTTCTATCTTTGCGCGTCGAATAAAGTCCTGGTGGCGTATGGATGCGGCGGCGGGACAGTTCATTCCTGGGGCGACAGCAAGTGCGAGTGCGTCCACGAGGGAGCTGGACCGGGCGGGGGTCGATGAAGCCCATTGTCCTGATTTCCATCCACGATTTGCTTCACTTGTGGGAGAAGGAAGATGAAGAGGCCGGGAAATACGTTTGGCTTTATAAGTGCCCAAAGTTGGCCTTGTTCCGTGTTTGTGGATACCAGGCAATTTTGCTCCCGTGCAGGCCTAGTTTGCGGACGAACGGAAGGCCAAAAGAGAGACTTTAAGCGGTCTGCAGCCCGAACTGCGGGCCGGTATCAACCACTTCTAGCCTCCTTGATACGGTTGCATCCGGCCTCTGGCCCCCTAATCTCTCCCGAATGCTTCGGCACCTTCCTAATCCCGCTCGGGTGCTTTGCGCCATTCATTATGCAGTCTGCTAACGCGCCTCGCTTCGCAGGGTGACTGGATTCTCTTCACACACGAGGGTGGTGTTGATGTCGGCGATGTCGATGCTAAGGCCAAGAAGCTCCTGATTCCTGTCGACCTCTCCCAATACCCATCCAACGAGGAGATCGCCAGCACTCTCCTCGCCGATGTCCCCAAGGGTGTTCACAATGTTCTGGTCGACTTCATTACGCGGCTGTACGCTGTCTACGTTGACTGCCAGTTCACGTACCTCGAGATCAACCCTCTCGTTGTCATCCCCAACGAGAACGCCACATCCGCCTCCGTTCACTTCCTGGATCTTGCTGCCAAGCTTGACCAGACCGCAGACTTCGAGTGCGGTGTCAAGTGGGCCATTGCCCGGTCACCTGCCGCCCTGGGCCTGACCAACGTCGCGGCCAAGGCCGGCTCCGTCAGCGTCGATGCCGGCCCACCAATGGAGTTCCCCGCTCCTTTCGGCCGTGAGCTGTCAAAGGAAGAGGCCTACATTGCTGAGCTCGACGCCAAGACCGGTGCTTCCCTCAAGCTGACTGTCCTGAACCCCAATGGACGTATCTGGACCCTGGTCGCTGGTGGTGGTGCTTCCGTTGTGTACGCCGATGCCATTGCCTCCGCTGGCTTCGCCGACGAGCTCGCCAACTATGGGTAAGATAAAGACGTTGAATCAAGCAGAAATCGGGTCATATCATGCTAACTCTGCAATAGTGAGTACTCTGGTGCGCCTACCGAGTCGCAAACTTTCCACTACGCTCGCACGGTCCTGGATCTGATGCTGCGCGCACCTACGACCGAGCAGGGCAAGGTGCTGTTCATTGGAGGTGGTATCGCCAACTTCACCAACGTTGCTTCCACCTTCAAGGGCGTCATTCGCGCTCTGCGGGAATACGCCAAGGCTCTGAACGAGCACAACGTCAAGATCTGGGTCCGTCGTGCCGGTCCCAACTGGCAAGAGGGTCTGAAGAACATGAAGTCCGCCACCCAAGAGCTTGGCCTGGACACGCACGTTTTCGGACCTGAGATGCACGTCTCCGGTATTGTGCCCCTGGCACTGGTCCCTGGCGAGTGGGAGAAGTCCACGGTCCAGGAGTTCCAGGGTTAAATGTAGCACAGGATGGTGTTTGCTGGAAACGAAGTTGGGGAGGATGACCTTATAGATGCGCATACCATATCCTCTCATGTATTATGAGGCTGCTTCATGATATCAAGGCGGCGATGTGGGAATGAGGGTGCAGAGAAAGCGAAAAACTACAACCTGCTTAGGTACCTACATTAGAGCTTCTTCCGTAATGTGATGCATTCTTGGGACAACTCTTGCAGAAAACTCTTGTTGATGGAAATATGCGGTGATACGGCACAGCTCGGCATCAGGGTGAGTGACATGGACAGAATTGTCTTGCACGGTTGGGTTCGTCATGATCTCTCTCGTTCGACGTTGGTATCTAATGCAGATGAAATTTGGACGTGTTGGAGGTCGTTGGTTCTCATCGGTATGATGACAATGGCTCAGATCCTTTTGGCCGCTGTTGGCTATGCTGTCCGCGATTGCAAACACCGCACAGAGCGCTCCCTCGCCATCGTTGTGGATATCTTGGGTGCCTGCGGCCATGTCCTCGCGCAGTCTTCCCAGCGCCCGCACCTCGTGCTCTCTCGCGGATCCCGACATGGCTGGTCGGTGATCAGGTTGTGCTTCTCGGAAGTTCGATAATTGAGGTATTTGATTCGCGACAGGTTTGTTGGTTCGGGAATCGAGGATGCGGTCGTCACGAGGAGGTTCGACAGCGCGCTTGCTTTCCTGGACGCGCAGGGTCAAGTCGTGGTTTTGCCACAGCTCCAGGTTGTCACCCAACAAACACCAAACTTTTGCCACCTCTTTTGCTAACACCGCCCAACTCCACAAGTTACTCGGCGACTTTCCCTACCCAGAGCAGTACCTCTGTTCCTCTAGCATCGCCCTCGACGTATTTGTCCTTTGTTCTTCGACAGACTCCTGTTTTATTCTGCTCCTCTCTCTTAACTTGTCTATGTAGTTCTCCACGCTGACAGCATGGCCAAGACATCCGGCGAAGCCAAGTCTCTCATCAACGACAACCCTGAGCTCCAGTCTTGTCACCAGCCGCTTGAGCCCCGCGTCGGGTATAGGCTTGTTCTGCGCGGCACGCTCCATTTTGGATACCGTTACGCGTCTCATTTTTTAAAAGAAAAAAAACTTCAAACGGTGCATGGTTGTCTGAGGAGATCGGGGTCGCTGCTTTGTCAAGAATGGATTGGGCGGGTTTGGTGTAGTCTAGTGACGATGATCATAGCATGATCAGTATATTATTGTGCTGGTCGTGAGAGCCCAGCTGGCCGTGACGTATCCGTTGCAGTGTTGGACGGCTTGGGTCTATCATGAGCAAAATGAGCCTCTCATTTTGGCAGAGGTGCGAGACGAGTGTCCATCTGTTCCCTTCATGGTCCATGCAACAATTGTATCATGAGCCATTGGGAGTCTTTTGGTTTCTACAACATATTTATCTGGTATTGTTTGTATATATTTACAAAACTGTATTCGGCTTCGTCTCTTCCTTTCCATTTGAAGTCTATTCAACCAACATAAAATGCTTGACAGAAATTACAGTATATGGCTTTTATCTCTAATGCTGTCTTTCCCATAAAAAATGAAATAAAAAATACTACATCATTCCTGACCTCTCCAACGATCCTAGGGCTTTGTCGTTCTGCACGTTACTCAGATGTGAGGAAACAAACCGGACCACTCGACGGTTTCAAAGGCACTGAGGGGAAGCGATCGTAACTCAATGAAGTCCGCCACAACAATGTATATCCGACAGACTGAGTAGACAACAACAAAGCCCCAGAGAGGCAGAATTGCCTTCAGGGGAACCGTTAGGTGCGGGTCGTTTGATGGTGAGTTGTTCCGGATTGTATCCCATATTGAGCGTTTGGAACGTGGTCTTGCTTGAATTTTTTGATCTTTTCGAGAGTCGTTGAAATTCGGCCCTGTTTCTTGAGGTTCTGAATCATTCCGAGTCTTCTGATTTCCGATTCTGACACCTTTAACTTTTGTGTTCCATTTTGCCTTGATGAACGGAAGAATGTAGAAGACCCAATCTGTAAGGAGTTCACCTCCAGCCAGAGACACTAGATTGCCTATCGTTGCTACTCTCCAGAGTATCTGCTCTAAAGGGGTTGGGAAAGACGAGTTCCAATGTATTATGTAGAGACAGCAATACCCCATTATAATTATAGAACCCAGGCGGAACAACCAAAAGGGTATCTTGGGACTTGTTGCGCTGCTGATGTGGTCTATCGGCACGCTGCGAGATCGGAATCGTGCCACAGTGGCATTCTGAAAGTGCGCCAGGTATTTCGACCACGACCACTCCTGTCGGCTCACAAAGTCAAGAGGTGTTTGTCTGTAAGGCTCTCGTGCAGCTTCTCCTCCTGCGACGAGAATTTCCTTCATGGTCGCGTTCGTGTACAGTATTTCCGCAGTCTCGACATCCGCCGGCTTGTGTCTCCAGAAGAACATGCTGCCGAGGGCGCAGTAGATGAAAGCCACGGTGGTCAGCTCGATGGCCGTGATGGCCAGTCCCTGGGCGAGCCGGCCAAAAAAATTGACGCAGAACCAAGTGATCTGGAACGCAGTGATGAGCCGCATGAAGCCATCCGTCTTGTTCTTGTCTCGAATCACAGCCGTGTCCACCTGGGGCATGGCGACGTATCCATTTTCGATAAGCCACAGCAGTTGCTTCGCGTTGATTGGAAACTGTTTCCAATCGCGAGGCTGGAGGATGAAACCACCCATATCGGCAAGGAATGCGTGACGCATCGTCCAACCGGTGTGCCCAGCTGCAGCAAAACTTTCAACTGATTCCCAAGCTGAGAGGTACTGCCCAAAGACAGTGACATTAATGACTTCGGGCGCAAGAAGGGTCACCACTGCTAGGAGAAATTTCCTATTGAACCTGGTTGTTGACGTGGTGTCTTTTTCTGGTACGTTCATACATGAGATTGACCAACAGCATATGAAAGAAGTGCATACGCAAGACCAAAGAATGTCAAGAGTGCCTCTGCTATTGGGAGATTCTGTCCAACCGGCCCTTGGCTCGCGTTGGCCGTGCACATCACTTGGATGGGTATCATTTGATGGCGACGAGCGAGCTTGAAAGGCTGAAACTGCCACGCTAGTGACAAGCACGTGGAATACCGGACGCAAAAGCATTGGATAGAAAGACAAAGAATCAATCAATTTCTTGGGCAATCAAATAACAAGGTGCTTGGCCGTTGATGCTGAACACGAAATTGTAGGAACGGGACTGAGCGTGAAGGTCTGCGAGCACTGGGAGCACTGGTGAGCTTATTTGATTGCATCTAGGTAGCGAAGTGGATACAGAGCGCTTAGTGATGTATCACATTGGCTGCATGCTGATGAAACCCCATAGTTCGCCATATGTGTAGGGTAACACACAATGCTTAGTTGGTTTCTTTGTCCTCAACACATGAGCAGAGTATTAACTAATTCAATTACATCCACTGAACTTTATAGTGTAATTAAGGAAAATCTCCAGCTCTTAATTGCCGCGAGAGGGATTCAGAGACAAGAGCAGCTGCCCTCAATACGTCAATTGAAGTTACATCGGCGCTACCTTCTATCAAAAGGGAAGCCCTTTGGGGGCCGCGGGGGCCGAAAAAAATAAAGGCTTGGAGCGCTGTGGGCGCTTATGGAAGAAATTGCTTGCCGGCTGCGCTTCACTCACGAGCACGTACACATCCTCTCAGTTGGCATACACCGATCCACTCAGTTTAGTTGAATTGATTCAGTGTATAGTTAGTTTACATACTGGATATGAGGCGAAAATTCCGCCCTCCAGTCCGTGTTGAAATGTTCAATGCAGAATGACTGGACAATCTAACTTGTTGTCAAGTTCCTGGGACTGGAACGGTTCTTTGTCAACAACATTGCTAAGGTCGGGGGTTTGGCGGCACAGGAGCACTGGAAGTACATCTCGGTTAGTGCGAGGAAGCCTGGTGGTCCTCTAGAGTCGGCAAAGACGAAGTGAGGTACGAGAGAATGGAGATATGTTTGGGCTAGGCCATTGAGGGAAAGAGGGCAGATGGTATCAAGGCACGTTTGGTCAGCGATGTCTAGAGCATCGAGATCATGGATTTGATGGTCGGCAAGAGCAAAGGCTCCGAGGCTCATTGGTATGAGTTTTGTGTTGAGGGGGTTGCAATGCAGATCAACTGGCATTGTGCATATACCTGAGGTGGACGCTGGTGATGGGCATTTGCGTTGCCCCTTCCTCTTTCGATTAGGTGACCCATTGAAAGGTGCCTTCCGCATTTTGAATTGACCATCGATCAAAATGCCCTGGATTCGACCAAGAAGCATCCCCCTCCTCTTCGTTGAAAACCTTCCGCTTTCACTTATTAGTCAGTAATCGACACCATAGTGCGGCATCATCTACCTCGACAGCTGAAGCTCGACATAGGGTTATCACTACTCGCAAATCAACATTCAATTACCAACACTGTAGAGTCAAGTCTCGACACTCGACGAGAATTAGTCACCCACCTCCCACGAGGGCCACTGGAACAACCGGCAAGCAGTTGTTCAAACAGAACCCCAACATGTCTTCTCTTCTTGACATGCCCACACCTTTGAGCCCCGAACAGGTCATGGAAGGTAGACCGTACAGGGCAAGGAATTGTTGGCTATTTCAAGATTCTAACAAGGAGGTATTGGCCAAAGTTGTTGGACACCTGGCTGATAGCAAGACTGGTCTGCTGTCGCTTGCCTTGATCAATCCAGACTGCCGACAACTCGCCAGGTCTTACCAGTTCCGCGTTGTGACCTTTGACGGGAGCCGTCGATGTCGCTATGGCATTCTTTTCGTGCTCCTCTCAGAAGCCCTTAAGAGACGGCAGAATCGCAACGAGTATGGAAAGACCGAGGGACTCTCGCTCGGTGCGTGTGTTCGGAAAGTGATTGTCAATAAAGACGGCGGCATGAGGGACTCAAACCTACGCTCAGGTCATAATTATCAAAACGACATCAAAGAGCTTGATAAATATCTTGAGGAGTGCGATCGACCCAGCGTGCATTCGATCATCTCGAGTCTGCCAAACCTAGAGACTGCCCACCTATCAGATATTGCATTCTGCCAAGGCCTGCTCACTGCTTTGATCGGATCCACCATTGCAAGCGCTACGTTGTCTGCTCGTCTGACAGAAAACTGTCCTCGAATACACGAATACGTGTCCTGGCCCCTCACAAGCCTTACTATCATACTCTACGGGGTCACAGACCCCAGGGAAAGCCCTTCAAAATACTGGCAAAGTATCCTGCGCCTCTGCTCACCTCATCTTCAGCGGCTGAGCATTTCGTACGATGCCCCGGACTACCAGCGTCGCGAGGACTTGGAGGTTGACTACCAGAGTCCTGCGTTGCATTTTCGCTTGCAGTTCCCCAAGCTCTGCTATCTTGACCTTCAAAGGGTCACAATGCTACAGCCTTCTGCTCTCGAAAGTCTGCTATTGACGAGCCCATGCCTCTCTTACCTGAGGATCAACTATGGTACACCACTTCTCTGGGATACCTTGAGCACACCAGGCGTGTTCACGGCACTTAGAACACTGGTAGTACATTATGATCCCCCGGAACCCTCAAGGGTGTATGCCATTAGGTTGCACCTTGGCTTTTTCGAGAGCTTCCGGCAAATTACATCTTTCGCACTCACCTGTCCCACCTCAAAGGGACTCCTTAAAGCAAGCCTGAAGAAACTCTCCCAGTATCCTGGACTTGAGAAGTTGTTGATGGTATGGAACAACTGTCGTATTCAGGAGTCCTCTCTCAGGACACTGGTGAAGATCCTTAATGCACCACTCCAGGAATTATACCTCATTATGAGCGAGAGGAACTCCATGTACTGGGGCTTCAATCATCCTGAAATTCGGAAAAGCCTACGTCCAAAATTTACAAGACTCAAGCGTCTTGTTTTGTCTCGCTTCGAGTGGTACTTCCCGCGCGGCGGCGCGCTTAAGGTTCCACAGAGTTCTGTCCCAAAACCTGGGCCGCTGCAAGAGGCTGCCCTATACGGGAAAGCATTACCGAACCTGGAAGAAATTCGACTTGAGGATCAGTTGTTCGAGATTGTCCGAAATGAGGGCGAGGTGCTTGCCAAGTTGAGCACGAAGCGGTTCTACTGTCCCTTCCGGGGGGGCTTTGACTTTTGAAGCTTTGTCGTTGGAACCGATTCTGCGAACATGCGGGAGATGCGTCAGAAGTGGTTCATACAAAACGTGCTGAGGACAATGCTACCAGTGGTACCGGAGAGTATACTGATGAAGTTGAGTCGCTTCATGGCCAGGGTGAAAGGGGTTGGTAAGCGAGGTGTTGCTCGAGTCAACATGATCAAGGTTGGGTTGCTCTTCAAGATGCTTAAACGCTTTTCGGCGTGAGATAACCAACTGCGGGCATCATGAGCGGGTGAGTGCTAGACGAAGTAACGGATTGAGTTCGGGGCGCAGGCGGACGCCTTCACTTCACTTGGACTGGGCTACATGAGTGAGTTCTTGTTTGACTGTATCCATCAGCGTAGACATCAGCGTAGAATACCAGCAGACGAATATTGGATCAAGCGAATATTGAGGGTTCATCCAGAACTTGAGATGACATTGACCGTGTGTGCCACTGTGTGTGCGACACAGAGACTATGGCTGTCTTGTGAGAATCATATTTGACCAAATGTTGCTGCCACTGAACGCCCTGCGGTATTGTGAGGCTCACGGCTCTATTTACCCATGATATATAACAGGAGTACGGCACGTCCGTAAAGGGCTGGGATGGGTTTGCCAGTTTAACAACAATTCCTGCCTACTGGTCAAACACTACGCATGCTGGCATGTTCACCTACCGTACAAAATTCCCTGCCAGCTGACAAAGGACTAATCGCTTCCGCTGGCCTAAATGTCCGCTCCACACCATCTGACGCACAAGAGCCAAAAGCCAGTGAAGATAGAGACCTTCAGAGCGGACAATTTCCGGGGTAATGGCCCACGGAGCCAACACTCCAGCCCTACATGCCCTAACAAAACGACAGGATCATTCCGGAGCCCCCCAGCACGGACAGGAAGGGCCAAGGCTGGGGCGAAGCGCCTCTGCCAAGCGAGAGGCATTCCGACAGAGCCAAACATGATGGTCCACGCCGGCCAGGCTTGCAGGAAGGTCAGCTTTCGCGCAACCCATCCAGGCAGCCCTCTGGGGAAGGGCTTGTACAGTAAGCGCCCAGAAAGCTGGGTGCTTGTGGAGCGTCCGCCGCTTACTTAGAGGCCACATTTATTTCCGGCGCGTGGAGTGGTCTCCATTGGCTGGTGGTGTTGACGTCCCGCAGTCTTCGATGGCAATGACATTCGACTTTGGCATAGCCAAGGCTTTGCTGCTTTCTATCGAGGCTTGATCGCTGGTGTTATATTGCTAGGCAGACTGCCGTTGTTCCGGCGTTATGGTGAAGATCGACAGAGGATCGGCCTGGGGGCTGTACTGTGCGCACCGTGACATGTTGGGTCGCACAAGACATGTCGCAGGTGAGGAGACAGGAACACAAGGTGCGCGCGGGGCACCCGTTCTTGTTCAGCTGCTAGAGATGGGTTGCTCCTGTGATTTCGGATGTGAGCAGTTTCTAAAAATGCTGCCGTAGATAAGTCCCGTAGGTGATCTTAGCTCCCCTTTGCGGCACCCGCAGGGCCGGATCTCAACGTTGCTTTGTTCGGCCCCTGCACCAGGCTTTTGGTTGGGGGCCTCGCCGAGCTGTCGGATATCGCGTGGGGGACAACGGGTCGGGCGGCAGGGCACGTCACTGGCTGCTTCGCCCCCGCGGCAATGCCACGGCGGTGGGACCAGGAGGCCGGGATAACGGCAGCCAGGGCAGGGGTGATACTCCCAAGAGTTCCAACTGTTACGCGGCTCCGAGACAAGAGTCGTTTAAGCCCGAACTGAACGTGATGGGATTCCCCCTCCCCAGCGAAATCTCTTTTAATACAGGCTTAGCGTGCAAGCGTCAGCGAGACGAATTCGTCCCCGGAATGCGGCGGCCGTGATAAGTAAAATCTTAGAGCCGAGGGCCGGGAGAAGGTGCGGTGATGGGCCACGCGTCGCCCACACCAGCTGCGCAGGTTTATGTGGCTAGATCTGCGTGAGGTGGCGCCCGTCTGGTGGGTAGTCTGCAGCAGGTAACACACGTCCTGAACAGTTGCTGGAGCAGGAGGGACGGTCACAGGGCGGTGGCTCAAGCCGTCTGGGCAGCCCCTGAGGCTGCCGATCATGGGCGGTTGGGTTGCCAGAGGTCAGAGTTTTGCTTGCCAGCGATGCCGAACTTGGCTTTCTTGGTATTTGCCAATGCGACTGGCAGGACTGGGCGATGTTTGTCGAGACGGACAAACCGTGGACTCCGTCCATGCACGGCATCCATAGATAGATTATTAGGGGCATGGCTCGGCATGGCTGACAGACAGACGGCGAGGCAGGATGGACCTTGCGATAAAACAGGGCATATTGGACGGCACGGCGAGTCAAGCCCGTGCAAGCTTTGATCTCGGTGGACGCGTCTCCCCATCTCCCCGTTCCAAATAAAGTTTCAATTAAGCGCGAGTTGGGTGACGATGGCCACCGAGGTATCCATCGTGCCATGGCCAGATTCCATATGGCAGACAGTCGGGGCAGAACGGGTCATGGTCATGAAGGAGGCTCGTCGGGCTTGGTGTTAGATCCTCATCCCCCCTCTGGCCCCATGTCACCCTGCAGGGCTTGCACACGACGATAGGCGCCAAGACGCGTAAGTGTGCCTCTGTTGCAGGGGTTTGTGCCCTCTGTTGGTTGCAGCCAATGTCGGAAAGAACGGAACAGGAGATTGTGCACGCGACAGTCCATTGATAGGCACAGGCACAGGCACAGGCAGGACCAGAGGGCGAAAAAAAAAAAGGAAAAAAGCAGGTAAGGTACTGATGCGTCGATGATGATGATGATACCGTTTTGTCCGTTGAGGAAACCAGGCACACGACCACTCAGAAGTCAGAACCCAGAACTCACAACCCAGTGGCTGCCTCCAACGTTACCATCATAATTCATTCACCATGTTTCCAAACACAACAAAAGCACATTGCAAGACACAACAAACTTCTCAGTGATGAATCAAGATAACAATGATAATTTAAAGCCTGTGCTGCCTGATGTATCTTTAGAACCAGATCAAGCACGGCACAGCACCGCGTCTGCATCTGCCCCCATTTGCCCCCAGGATCAGATGTTTGCGAGGCCCACTTCTCCTTCTTTCTGTTCCCTGGATCCCTGATTGATGCCGTCGTCAACAATTCAGCCGCCCAAACAGCCAGACGGCCTGTCTTACGCAATTCCACACCGAGCCTCTGCCCCCCTGTTTCCCATCTGCGCCTGTCAACAGCAAAGCCTCACTCGCTCGTTCACACTTTCTTTACCTACCTACATCTTCCCACCTTCATTTTCTTTCCTTGCTCAGTTGCTGTGCTCTACATCAACAGAGGAGATTCTCCCCTTCCAGTCTTGCACTCCTTGATCGCTATCTACAGGATTCCCGCCCGCCCGCCTTCCTTCAGTCTCCACAACAGCCTGGTCTTGCCTGATTCGACCCGACCTGGCCTGAGCTGGTGGATCAAAGTGCTTTACACACGACTAAGAGACTATCGTCATCGTTCTGCGCCTCACCGCATGTCGACCATCCTGTACAAATAGACATCTGGCCCGCCTGTATAACCCCGACTGAGTCTCCCGGTTTCTGTCACATCCGGGTAACCCTAGGCCAACAATTTCCTGTATCGAGAATCAGGCACACAACAAACGGGACCTTTCACCAGCCCGGCCAACCGAATCACCACGAGCTTCTCATTTCCCATCGCAACTCCGGACACGGCAACTTCCTGCTGACCCACTTTGTCGCTGAGGAATCCTCTTGTCCTACCAACGGATCCAGTCCACAGGTTCTGTGTCTGACCACCGAGTCGCGGACCCGCCTGGCTCTACAATACCACACACGAGCTCGTATCCTATCGGAAACCGAGATCTGCGAGCCCATTGAATTTCTGGACATCGACTAGCGCTTCTGCCTGCTTTTCCCTCTTCTACGGTGCCCAGCATTGCTCCCGTCCTTTTTCGGTGACTGCATATCCGTCAGCATCGAACTTACGATTCTGGGGCCTCGGACGCTGTTGCCACCGTTACCTGATCTGGACTTTACGACCTTGCTTCATCCTGGTACGACTCCCCGGTATATTCGCCAATATGAAGTTGTTGCAAGCGCTGCTTGTTACCTTGTCGTTAGCCACAAGCGTGCTTGGTCGGCCTGAACCACGCGAAAAGCGATGGGGCGACAGTAAGAGCAAAGGAGGTGAAAAGTACTTCTTCGAGGCTGGCGGCACAGAGGCATTGGGACATTACGATGGCCGCTATTTCCAGGGCGAGGTTGACTATGAGGCGCACCGCGTTGCGCTGCGACACCTGATTCGCAGCTATGTGTCCGTCTTCCGGGCTCTGGGAATCGAGACATGGCTTGCACATGGCACCCTGTTAGGATGGTGGTGGAATGGGCAGATCATGCCATGGGATTACGACCTCGACGTCCAAGTTACGGCCTCGACCCTCCAGTACCTCGGCGACCATTACAACCGGACCATGCACGAGTACCGGTATGTCGACGAGTCAACCGGCGAGGAGATGACCAAGGTCTTTCTGCTGGACGTGAACCCCAACCACGTCGAGCGGGTGCGAGGCAACGGCATGAACGTGATCGATGCGAGGTGGATTGACACGAGTAACGGCATGTTCATCGACATTACCGGCCTCGCGGAACGGGATCCCAAAAGGGCGCCGGGTGTCTGGGCGTGCAAGAACAACCACCGTTACAAGACCACCGAGCTGTACCCCATGCGTGAGACTGAGTTCGAGGGAGTTCCCGCCACGGTGCCGTATGCGTTCGATACGGTGCTAATGAGCGAGTACGGGAAGAAGAGTTTGGTAACAACTCAGTGGCAAGGGTAAGCCTCCGATTTTCCACTCATGCAAGACTGACCACCGCGCTGACCTATTCTCTTTGCCAGTCACCAATGGAATCCTGAAATCAAGGAATGGGTACTCCAGTAGGGCTAGGGGCCCCGACCCTCTGAGGCTTGGGAATCTCTATATCGCGAGTCGTGGCCTTTGCCCAATTGGGACAACATTGGCTTTCCCTGCATTGCTCTGCTGGTCTTTGTATGCGGTCTAGCCCTGCAATCCAGACTCCCGGCGTTTGCCCACGCAGGACCACTGGTGAGATGCATCGGGACGGTCGTTTTGGGCACTCGCAGGAGGCTTGGACAAGACTGAAGCCGCCCGCTCTGCGTCGTCGAAGCACCGCTTCCGGCGCGTGCCCAGACCAAAGCTACGGAGGAAGGTCGCGCGCGGCGTCATGCTTCAGCGAGACTTCCTTGCGGTCCTTTCGACCGGCACAATGATGCGGTGCCATCGGAAGAGGCAGTTCGAACAATTTGTTTATTCAGCATGGCGGCGGCGTTTTGGGGTGTTGCTTTATGGGATGCAATATTGCATATGGCGCAATGAGAATTTCATGACGGACGTCGAGCTCGACCTTGCTTTCGCCTAAGTAAGGTTTCGGCTCGATTCTTTAACGGTGACGAGCGGATCCGGGCTAGCCTAGCCCGTTGTCGCGGTTGGTTCGTCGTCTGCATTGCCGGCGTCAGGCTTGGCGCTAAGTCACGAGATGAGGTTACAGTGCTGCGCCTCACCTTCAGCATATCGTATAGGATAGGCATAGCTCTTATGATACCCTAAATAAATTATAGACGAAACATCGACATATACTTATTTGCTGTGTGCATTACATGCGGCCAGCATTGTCCTTTTAGGATTGAAAGCACGGTCTCACTGTATAAAACCACGCTATCGTGAAGAAGTAAATCGCTTGTGATTGAGAAGTATCTGTATAAGGCTGACGCTATTAATTTCAAATGCCCACCGTCATCTTGAACCAAAAGTCTCCAGGTCACAGTACCCACGAATCCAGGCACAACATTGCTTCCCCTGCTGTGGCACGGTGCTGGTGTCCACATGCCCGCATTTGCGGCTGTCCTTCGCCGAAGAGGCATCAGCGTCTCGCATGCCGCGGTGCTGCTTTTCACAGCAACACCATGATGCACTTTTGGCCTGGGTGACTAGTTGTGACAGACCGAATTGCCTAAGGCGAAGTCGGGAGTCATGTGATACCCGATTCTGTCTTCCGAGGATAGACAGTATCAAAGCTGCCTATAGCGGGACCCTTCGAAATACCTGAACCAGTAAGCATCATCTCAAATGCTCTGGTAGCTCAGCCTCGCCTCAAGCTATCCTACTCTCTTGAGTGCGGAGTGCATTCCGTCTGATCCATTTCCCTTGACCCAGAAATTTTCTGGACGCGCTGGTTCACGGAGCTGCACTACTGCTCCCCTCGCCGCTCCCTCCGTCTGGATTGTCCGACTGCGACCTCCTCATCCGCTCCTCGGCAGCCTTCGCAATGACATCCCGCCTGCTCAAGCCGCCTCCACCACTACCACTGCTCCCACCAAGCACGTACGTGCCGCCCGTCCACCCGCCGTGGTCAGGGACGTCATCCTCGGGCGACTCGTAGTAATCCCCATCACCAAACGAGTGGCCCCCGCTTTTCCAGTCCGCAGCCTGCACCTCCCTCTCGATCAGGTGGCACAGATCCCAGAAATTGCGGTCATGCGGGCCATGTACGTTGTGCGCCAGCTCATGACACAGCGTGGCGCGGATGGTCTTGTAGTCGCGGTACCCGTCGTACGCGTCCGTCCGCAGGCGCAGCTCGATGACCTCGCCGCGGTTGCGGTTCAGCCCCAGCAGGCGCGTCGTGCCCTCGTGGGAGGACTGCGTGTTGGACGCCGGGTCCATCTCCGTCAGCAGGCCCACGCTGAACTTGTGCTTGCGCATCGCCGCGCGGATGCCCGGGTCCTCCTTCAGCCGCTCCAGGAACGCCCGGCTGCGCTCCGCGTTGCTGAACCCCGGGAGCGGCTCGACCCGCAGGAATGTGTACTGCGCGTCCGCCTGCGCCCTGGCCTGGTCCGGCCGGGAGCGCCGCGCCGCGACGGGCCGCGCGGCCGAGGTGTACTGGGCTTGCCGGCGGGCCTCGCGGCTCCGGGCTAGGTCGGAGGATCTCTGTAGGTCTTGGATTGCCTCGAGGGTGGGGACTTGGAGCGTCACCTTGGCGCCGTCCAGGTGGCCTATGGGCTGCTCGCCGTGCTCTGAGGCCCGGAGCATCTTGCCCTTGGCGATGAACTTGGCCTTGTCCCAGTCGTACTTGTTGGTTTCCTCGGCCAGGTGGTCCTCGCAGGCGATCAGCAGGTCGTTGAGGATGGCGCCCTCTGTGAGATGAAATATGTCCAGCGGTTTGCCGCCCTTTGAGACGGTGATTGTAAGTGGTGGTGTCTCATTTGGTGAGGGCTCAGTGTGTGCCTCGGCCATGATGCTTGTCCAGAATTGACTTGTTAATGTCCACTCAGGCACAAGTGACTTTCGTATTGAGTAGAATTCTCAGAATTGTGGTGAGCCTTGCCAATTTCAATGACAACCTTCTCGCGATATGAAGTGAGAGACGGGTTGGGGTGGCGATAGTGAGTAGGAGTCTAGATGTCAGAGATGCAGTCAGCTCGGATACGTGGGAGTTCACAGTATGATTTGCAGACGACGAGGATTTGGATGTTGTAAGTCTCTTGGATTTATTGGATGCTTGATTAGATAGGACGACAGCCTTGGGCGCCTTTGCTCTTGTCGCCATCGAAGTTTCCACTGTCATCCAAGACGGCATCACCTGGCACGGGATTGGTAATCCGCACGCCACGGAGAGAATGAGCCGCTGAGGCCGTTGGGAGCGATAGGAGGGCATAAAGAAATACTTAGCTACGCTGGGATCTTTCGTATAAACATTAAGTACACTGTTAACCCAGCCACCGTCAGCTGGCAGCTCGGCAGTGGGCTTGATGACATGAACGGCTGCCCGTTCCTGAATAGTGATCCGTGCACTCCTGCAGGAGCAGCAAGAAGCTGCTCCTGTTTCCAAATTAGCCCGTCCCAAACAGGGATCCAATCAGAAGCAAATCGCGTCGTGTCCTTTAGCAGGAGCTCCCTCAACTCGTAGCTGGTCGTCATTTTGTTGCTGTTGGCCCCAACTGATCAAAGGGCAATTGGCATCTCCCATCTTGGATCCATCAGCTTCTGTCACGCCCAACCCACGGTCGAGCTCGCTCTGGCTTCCCATGGTCTACCAATCTTCATTTCTTTAATCCACTCCACGAGGCGAGGCAGCCAAGCCCGGATAAGTCAAGATGTTGAACGTGTTCCGCGTCGCAGGTGCGTATCCTGCCTCTCGTGCGATAGCTTCAGTTGGCAACGACTAACTGACTTGCGCCACCCAGCGGACTTCTCCCATCTGGGATCCATCTTCATTCTACTTCATAAGATGATCGACCTGAGCGTCAGTGAACCCCGGAGAGATCAAACTCGAACGCACGCACTAACGACATTTGCAGAGTTGCTCGGGCATCTCTTTCAAGTCACAAGCACTCTATCTCCTGGTTTATGTCACAAGATATCTTGGTACGTAGTAGTGAAACTGGCCCTCCCGCTTGCAACGGCTGACCAAGTCTCGGGACAGACATCTTCCAGACCAACAGCCTCTACAACCTCCTCTTCAAGATCGCCTTCATCGGTGCGCAAGGCTACATCATCTACCTCATGACAACAGCGTATAAGCCTACCAACGACCCGAACGTGGACACATTCCGAGTCCAATATTTGCTAGGAGGTGCAGCGGTGCTCGCCATCCTGCTGCCGTACAAGTACACCGTGTCCGAGATCCTGTGGGCTTTCTCCATCTGGCTCGAGTCTGTGGCCATCATGCCACAGCTCTTCATGTTGCAGCGCACTGGGGAGGCCGAGACGATCACTACCCACTACTTGTTTGCGCTGGGTTTGTACCGCGCCCTGTACATCCCCAACTGGATATACCGATATTTCGCCGAGGAGGGCCACAAGGTGGACTGGATCGCGGTCGTTGCCGGCCTTGTCCAGACTGTCATGTACAGTGACTTCTTCTGGGTCTACTACAACAAGGTGCTGAAGGGCAAGAAGTTCAAGCTGCCTGTGTAGGAGACATTGGCTCGCCTGACACAACACCCACCACGCGGCCGACGCTGGACGAGAAGAGCCAGCTGGAATGCACATGAGGTATAACTGGATAGGATGTCCGGGACGCGGCTTCAGCAGGCCTTTTGATGTCATGGCGACCATGCAGGTCGGCGACATGTGACATGCTCGATGGGTCAACAGGATGGAAGTGACTCGTAGCCGAATTGGCGGCTGCATGCATAATGAAAGGCGTTCACGGGGCAAGGGGGTCGGAGATGGTATTCGCCCGCTATATTCGCGCGAAGCGACGGGTATCATGCGATTGACAGCAGGCTTTCCACACCTGCATTCTCGATCAAAGATGTATTTATCATCGTTATGAGTCAATGGAGGCAGAATCTTAGATCCTTAGCCGGGGGGTAGTTCTCCCTCTCGCACGGGGCAAACTTGACACCGGTTCGGTATCATCGACAGGAGGGACGGTAGGCGATCCCCAAAGCGTCATCCCTCATGGTCCTTGTCCCTTTTCCCTTTTCCCTTTTCCCTCGAAACCACGCTTCTGCAACGTGCCCACCTCTTTGACTCTTGAGTCTCTCTCAGCACTGACTTATAAGTTGGTTCGAATAATGGTGGCAATACAGTGGTTGCCGTCAAACAAAGTTTCTCATTTCAAATGTTTTCAACGATGCCTGCTTGATATTACTTGGCTTTTATCGAGATGCCGTCTATATGCACCTTGAGGTTCCCAAACACAGCAACACCTCTTTCCACCTGATTGCCCAATGTCCATAGCATGCTCGTTATCATGACCGAGGCATGACAAGGCGAGTGCCACGGCCCGTTCATCCTTTGAAAAGACGGGCGAATACGACACAAGCAACCCGGTTCAGCCAAAAGCTTGGCAACGGGCTCGACCGGGGTAGCTACCCTCCCTTCCGAGCATCCGATCTAAAGCATTTGACGTCGTGGGCGAGATGCTGGTCCGTGCCTGCAAGGACTTGAGACGTTTCCCGTGCGGCAGGCTAAGCAGGAATCGGGCCTGGGCTCCTGCAGCTGGATTACAGATACAGTAGACATCCTACTTCGGTCACGATCTAGAAGCAGCCGAGTAGCGGCCCGCAGTTCGCAGGCATGAAGGACCTGAAACGGTGAGTCAAGGCGCCGGACGGCCTACTGAAATGTCCATTCTGCCTATCGAGACATGACAGGCAGTCCCCCCGAAGGTTGACAACACAACAACTTGATGCTGATGATAGAGGTTCATGGTCTAACTCACCGGCCTGTAAATCAGCATCCGACGACACGGCCTAGCAACAATGCTGACCCATCATGCCCGGGCGAGCTTGACGGGTGACGGGCTGGGTTGAGGGCATAAACAAGTCGGGCCCTGTTGTACGTCCCCTGTCGAGGCTGCAAGGCCAAGGCATTTTCGAAGCATGCGGCTCAAGAGCTCCCATGTCTGCTTCCTGCACCTCTGCCCTTCACCGTCTTGAAGGATTCACAACGCCTTCACCTCTCTGATACCATACCCCGCTTCGCTTGTTTTGGGACCATAATAGTGGCCCCCGTTGCCAAGCGGCTTCCAGTGTCACGATGTCGTGGGCTCACCTATCCTTACCAATGTCTTTGTGTTTGTTTTCGTCCTGGGTCCGGATGAACCCAGGCACCTTCGTCCCCGCTCTTACGACTCGCCTCCATGCCGTATGGCATATGCCATGTGCCCGGAACGCGGATGTCTCCTGAGCTCACCCATGACCCTGCCATATCATGCTTGCTGACGAGGAGCTGCGTAGGGCAAGAGGGCGCTCGGTGTCGACACACACTCCGCAAACAGGCCTTGCCAGTTTATTATAGGCGTATTAAGGACCAGCAGGAGGATGCTACATTGTCTGGACATCCGACGATCTCCCGGATCCCCCCAATTCCACGTTTGACAGCTCGCTTAGGCTCAGGTTTGTCCCGTCATCCTGCAATGGCCTGCAAGTCCGCTGGGGCGAACGACTACTGTAGTCCTGGCCTCCCACCTGTACACAGACGTTCCTGTCACTATCACTATCACATCCCCACGTAGGTCTCGCCGTAAGGATTCTCCGTGTGAAGGTTCACTCAGCCATCTCGTCCCATCGTGGATCTCGCGGCGTATTGCCATTCTGGTAAATCCATTCGTCTAAGGCGTACCTGCCTTTGCCATGTGCGAGTGCGAGTAGCCTGTCACTAGACAATGATTTCTGCGCGATAGCTCTGGGAGCCGTTCCGTTTGATGCTGGTCATCACCAAATCCACGATGGCCGGAAGACGAGTAACACAGCTGGCACTGCTTCTCCTGCTTTCGTCAAGTTGTGCCTGGGCGAACGACGGTACGAGGAAACCCGAGCGAAGCGACTTGAGACTCGGAAGGGATAATATATCGGTGGAACAGGCCGTATCATTGGTGACGGTTAAAACTGAGCTGGATGGTACACCGTTCGGAGGAATCAACGAGGGATTCCAACAGGCTCGACACCAGGGTCGGATATTTGAGGAGCGCACACCATTACAACCGGACAAAGACATCGATGACTTGCAACAATCACAAGCCAGGACACCGACTGCCGAGGAAGCAGCGCATATCACCACGCCACCTTCATTACATCTCCCAATCCTTCAACGCCAGGATAACAACCAGGGCCAGATAGACGACCTCAACAGTCGGCTCCAGTCCGCCCAGCAATCCGCCCAGCAGGCCCTCCAATCTCTCAGCGATGCCTCCCGACGAGTCTCACAAGCCAGCCAACAGCTCTCACAATCGTCGCAGCAGCTCTCACAACAGAGCCAGCAGCTCTCGCAGCAGAGCCAACAATTATCAGCGAGCCTCCAGCAGGCCACGCAGTCCGTCCAATCGTTGACGCAGGCCGTGAGCTCCGCCCTTTCGAGTGGGAGCTCGGCGTTTGCGAGCTGCACGAGCAGCGCGTCGGTGGCGCTCGCGCAGGCGTCGGGTGAGCTTGCGAGCAAGGTCGGGGAGGCTCAGGCGCAGATCACGCTTGCCAATGTAAGTATATCTCACACCCCGTTGAAGCAAGTGGCTATCTGTAGCGCTTGCTTAGGACTCTGATTCATTTGGCTTGCTCGTCTTGACATATAAGCCGTCTCATAACTAACCCTTTCGAAAGAATCAAGCGCAGACTCAAGTACAGCAAGCCCAAGGCACCGCCGTCTCAATCACCCAGGCCGCGCTCGCCATCGTGGGGACATTTATCGGCTCATCTCTGCTGACCGTCCTCATCGTATGGCTCATAATAAGGCACAAGCGGAAGCAAAAGGACCGCGCCGCGAGGCCGATGAACACGGGCGTGAGCAGCTACTACGGAGGCGGGCCGGGCGCCGAGGCATACGGCGAGATCACCAAGGACGTCAAGGAGATGATGTCCCCGGCCAGCGGGACGACCAAGGTCGGCTCGGAGACGGCGCGGTCCTTCGGCGGGAGCAGGGGCAACGACATGGTCACCCGGGGGTACGGGCGGGAGAAAGAAGGCGGGATGGGCACCACGGGTATGGCGACTGAACCATCACCAGGAGCAGGAGGCGGCGGCGATGTGCAAATCGGCTACGCCCGGAGCACCAACTACCGCGAGCGCAAGGCGCCGAAGCTGTCGGAGCCGCCGCCGGCGAGGAGGAAGGACAGCGGCGCCGGCGACGGCACGCCCACGCCCCGGACGCCCAAGTACGAGGTCTTCCCCAAGGTGGCCAAGAGCCCGCCTGCCGCGGCGCCGCCGGCCCCTGGCATGCTTGGCGCGGGTGGCTACCGCCCGCGGCCCCGGTCGTCGATCCAGCCCGACTACAACCTCCAGGACTGGCTGCAGACCACCACCGTTTCCCCGTTCGGTACCCTCGAGCGGCCGAATAACACCACCGCCGCGGCCGCCGCTGCCACCACCGCCACCACGACGCAGCCTACCGCCGCGCCGCCGCCGCCGCAACAGCAGCAGCAGCAGCCGAAGCGCACGTCTGAGGTCAAGTGGCCGCTGCAGTCGTCGTCGTCCTCGGAGCCGCCGTCGCGGTCCAACAGCAATACATCGCGGGACGCGGAGGCGGATGCTGACGCCGATGCCGACGCCGGGGAAGTCGCCACGTTCCAGCCTGCGCCAGCGGCGGTGGGGCGGGTGCCGGCGCCGCCGAGGAGAGTGTCTGCCGCGAGCTCGGGGCCGGCGGCAACGAGGTCCGTCCGCGTCGGCGTGGAGAGCATGAGGGGGATCGGGCTGCCTGGGGTGGCGAGGAAGGTGACGCTCAGGGATTCTAATGCCGAGAGCTTGGGCGGTTGGCAACGATGAGAGGCAGCGGTGCGGATCTGTCTTCGCTACTCGTGCATGACTGGTCCATTGTGGATGTAATGTTTACATATTCTTGCAGTATACATGCCTCTATGGAGGATGCGTTAGATACAGCCTCGAAGTCTTTACATGCCGAGGGCAATAATACAAACAATACCAAGCCAATGAGGATGGACTTTCCCTATGTAGACTGCGAGGTGAAATGATCATCAGTTGGGCTCACGGCCTAAACTCGAAGATTCATAGTCAGCAGCCGTCAGATATCAGTGCTGGCCTCGTCCTTGCCCGTGAACACCTTGTGAATTCTCCGACTAATGGCCTGCCCAATCGTGCGATCCGTAAATGCCCCGTCTCGATTCGCGCTCTTGCGAATCCCCTCCAATGCCAAAGGCCCTTCCTCCTCCAGGCCCCGAACCAGCTGACTGACAGTCGGGAACTGGCCCGCGATGCCGTACGCAATGGGTGCCGTCACCCTGACCACCTCCTGCAGCATGCGCACGTACGTGTCGGCGGGCCCGTCGCCGGTGCGGACCTGCCCGCTGTCCATGCAGAACGCGGCCGACTCGTTGACGGCGTCCCTCTGCCGCCGGTACGGGATCGTGCTGATGTGCTGCGTGAAGGTGGCGACCCACTGGGCGGTCTCGATCGGCGCGCCCGTGTGGTGGATGGTGACGCCGTGCGCGACCTGCAGCTGGAGCAGCGCGTCCTCGACCTGGTCCTCGTCGATGTACACGGGCGGCGGCTTGGGGTCCTTCTTCCTGCGCCCTTGGGGCGCCTGGCTGCTCGAGGGTGGAGCAGTGGCAGAAGAGGCAGTGGCAGTGGCATCCGTGTCGGTGCCGGTATTGCGGACTGCAGATTGGAACTGGCGGTTGCGGACGTTGCGGTTCTTGCGCATCCAGGGTGTCAACCCCTCGATCATGTAGATGAGCTGGTCACCTCCATAGTGTCGTTGCATCCTGAGCACGTGGGCCTCGAGGTCGGAGCCCTTAGCCCCGAGCGCGAGTTCGACAAACTCAGCTGCTGGCATGAGAACCATGGCGTGCTTCTCAGGTTCGATCCGCTCGACTGGGATCGGTTCCCAGTAGCCCTCATCCTCGTTGAATCTAGCTCTGACCTTCCTCCGCCATTTCACCACATTATTAACGGGGCTGTTGTACGGGTAGTGTGAGACGTTCAGATCTTGGAGAAGTGTCTCGACTTGCAGTCTGACACTGGGGTTCATGGACGAGGGAAGGTCGACGATCATTTCCGGCGTGGAGACCTTTTTGTCCGTCCTAACCTTGTTGACCTCAGCTAGAGCTGCTGCTTTCTCCTTTTCTCGTCTCTTTTGCTCCTTGCTCTCTTCTTTCTCCCGCTGTTTCCTTCGCTTCTCTGCTTCCCTCGCGGCCGCTTTTTCTTCCGCATCCGGTTTCGTTCTGGACGTAGATGGTCCTGAGATTCGCGGTGCCGCCATAGTCTTGGACTTCGCCTTGGAGCTCAGCTTCGGCTGCCTGATGCCGTCAATATCAGGGAATTCGTCGTCCTCGTCAGACGACATAGGCAAATCGGCCAAGTCCCCAAGATCTCCTCCCCCAGAGCGGCTTCTTACGAGGCCGGCGCGCGAGGTTTGGGCATCAAACCCCGAGTCGGCCTCCCGAACACTGGCCTCAGGAGCAGAGCTTGAAATGTGATCCCATGCTACCGAGTGCTTGGCCACCCGACTCTTACTTTGAGCCCGCGGCGAGCTACTCACCGGCAACACTGGGCTGGGTTCTCTGTTTCCGATGCGTTTAGGTGGAATCATCGCCTTGCCTGCGCCTCTCGGAGGAGAGCTCGCGAACGGATCGTCGTCACCGACGAGGTCAACAATGTTCTCTTTGTCAGCGTTTCGCGGGGAGCTTGCAAAAGGGTCACTGGATATCGCATCCGGCTTGCTCGAGGAATCGGGGAACTGGGGGGAGCTTGTTGTCTCGATTGGATCGGCTTTAGCATTCCATTTTCTTAGGCCGGTAGGCTGAAGCACGCCAGGTCTTCCTCTGAGCTTTTCTGCCGTAGATATCGTAGATGCTTGGACACCTTGGTTACGAGCACCTCCAGCTTTTAAAGTCGACTCGCCCGAGACACGCTGCTTCTTGGCCGGCCGAGTTTCGATGGGGTCGAGATCATCTCCCGAGCTGCACGTCGAATCGAAGTCATCAGACAGGAAAAGGAAGTCGTTGGTGCTAGATGCGTTTGGATTGGACCGTCCGACGACTGGTCCAGTCGGGAGATCTGAGAAGGGATCATTGTCCCCAACATTGGTCAAGTCGAAGACGTCATGCTCTAGTTCCCGTCTCTCTGGCCGCGGCGGTGGCTTCGACGGGACCGGCGCGCTGGTTGAGACGGATGCCTTTGGGCGGGCTCTTGGGGGCGGAGCAGCCGGAGGGCTCGAACAGAGGTCAATTACTTCGACGGTCATTGTAGCCGGTGCTCGACTTCTGTGGGGCAAGACATTGAATCGAAGGGACTCGAATGAATTGGATTGTCTTTTTGGGGGTGAACGAGAGAGAGTGCAAGTCGCACGCGCCGTGAGACGCGTCGGAAGGAGATCCCTGCTCGTGTCAGAACCAACACACCCACGTCACCACGTGCAGACAGCCTTCAACTGCGCGCAATCAATCTATCCGACATCTTCTGAAAGTGTATAAATCATTAAGAGAGCCACTCGGACAACTGCCGTGGTTTCGTCCATTCTTGGCCTGGACACACATCTCTGCTGGCCAGTCTGCCAGTCTAGCGCTCACAAACTAGAAGCTAGACTGGCAGCAGTAGTACGCAATGTCCAAATGAAAGCCGCAAGGCCGGACCGGACCTCGGAGCTGAAAGGGACATTTGGTCCGCACATCCTCATTCAAGTTGATATCTTCGGTGGTATATGATCCACTAGCACCTCCGCGCGAGGTGCCATCAGCCAGCCACTGACAGCTGTACCTCCTGGTACTTATGCGATCGGTTGACGGTACCGGATGGATGTCTCGTCGGCTCAGGCACCCTCGAATTGAAGGAGCACTGCAGCCTACACGAAGTCTCTAGGCCTCGACGTCCCGAGCGATCGACATCCCAAAGCAGACCCAGAAAGTGTCGCCTGTGGCGCGAGGCTTGACAAAATGCAACACCAAACTTTTCCTGCGCTGCACACTATGCGTGGCTTGTAGTCGCCCTTGTCGTCTCCACTACTTAGTCGAGTACACATAACAATCCAATATACCGACGGATCTAATAATATGCGCGTCTTGGCTGAATTCTGTGCCGAACAGACTCGCAGAGAGGCCACTTGAGGCTAACACTCGACGATGTCTGCGCGATGGAGCCCATAAAGGAACTACTCTGAAAGTTTTAATGCTTCTGCTTGGTGGGATATCCACTCGCGCCGCCAAAATCCTCCTGCTACGGCTGTTTCAGAGAAACGAAAAAAAAGAGAGCGCCAACCATTGCAAGGCCGTGCCTCGAGGCGTTCGTCCATGGGACGAAGATCGTGCCACACGTGCCGTGGGCCTGGGACTATGTGACCGCCCACGGCATTAGCGTTGGTGCACGGCCGGAGAATAAGTGACGAGCTCGTGGACTAACTATTGTAGGCACGCCACGTCTACTGTAGTGGGGGGCACTGGGGGCCATTGGGCAGCAGAGGACCCTGCTCTGGCTGCTGCTTAGCATCGTGCCGTGTGTGATTCACGATGTGATAACTCTCGAGGCGGAGAAACGGTGGGCTCTAGGGATCACCTGTTCATGCGGGCGGGCTGGCGGGCTGGCGGGCTAGCTCCTCCTTCTCAGGACCCTCTCAATAGAGCAGGCTGGATCAGGACGGCCCTGGGATGGGTTGAACATGAGTGGCTCTGGTGTAGAGGAGGTCTTACAAGTAGTAGTCTACGTGCTGTAACTCGGAGATCGCCAGCCAAGGTCCAAAACCCTTTCTTCGTATATCAGAAGCGTGGGCTTGTAGCTATGAGGTTTGCTCCCTTGGTCTGGGCCAAGTTAGCAGGAAAGCTTCTTGGGCAGTATTCAAGATTGCTCCCTGCACCGTCCCGGTATCCGTGCTCTACTCGTCGAAGGAAGCTGGGCAGAAAGACTCCATACACATCAACAGACTTGCCCAGCTATACCTTGCCTAGGCATCTCAGATCCACTTACCGTCATGCTGAAGCATGTCTAGCAGCAATATAAGATGCTATGTTTTTAAGCTTGACTTAGGTTGTTCGCCTCGTTGCGGCATGTGAACGAATGATTCACAACTCTGCCCCTTCCATGCTTGGGGAACCCTGGACACGGAACAACCGCATGCAGAGAGCCTTGCGAGAGACTTGGACATGCTGAGAACGTGCTCAGATCATGACGATGGAGCCAAAGGATGCTCACGCAACTCGTGAGTGATACCTGAAGACCGAATCCTCATGACACATCCTTGGTAGCCACGTAAGATACGAAAGCGTAGTCCATCACCATACGATGCCCCAGCCCAACGCAACACTGATGCTCCATAGCAACTGCGACAGCAGGATGGTTTGCAGCAGATAGTGGGCACAGGCTCGACAGGATACCTGGGATGTCCTGACGAACCAAGATGCTGTCGCATGACCCTCAACGGGTTTCTGGAAGACGGTCCCTTGCGTGCCCGGACGCTTCAGGCTCATCGGGTCTTCAGAACAAATCCTGCTCTGCCCGCCTGGGTGTTTTGCATTTCCAAGTCCGCGGGTCTGACACGATCTGACAAGGTTAACGGCAAACTCTCAAAGAGTGTAATCCGATGAACAGGACAGAGAAGTCCGTGACCTTTTATGCTTTCTGCAGATGGCCATTAAGACAAAGATAATTATATACAGCAGTCGTCAGATTGTTGCACCGCCAAAGCCGGCCCTGCTGTCTGTCTTGTCCAGACCTAGCCCAGACCACGCTCTTAGGTACGCGTATCACGGGACCACAAGCGGGTGCAGCTGAGAAACATGGGGATGCCGGACTGGTGCATGAATCAAAATGTCCGAAGCTGCACGGCTGTCGAATCTCGAGCGCACGCACAGGGTGCCGCGATGGCCTTTGGGGAGTGGTGTGGAGGCGGGCCACGGCAGTTGAGCGAGGCCGACAGTCTCTTTTGAGGATCGAATTGTCACAGGTGATGGTACCAAGGTTTCCGGGCAACCCAACACCCACCCACACCTGCGTGGACAAGGAACGACGTCGGGTTGTTTTGGGACAGGGCATAGCACCTGCTACGTGTGCATACACAGTAACAGTATCATCATGCGGTATAGTCTGGGTCGCGTTGTGAGGGTGCAGGCTCGGAGATCATGGATCTGATCTGGCAGTGATCTGGCAGCCCCGGAAATGGGTGATCTGATCCAAGAGAAAGAGGAAGTGCCAATGCAAGTCGTGACTCAGTCGTTGGAGCAACCAGCAGTGCTTGCTTGCTCCATAGGTAAGGGTGGGTAGGCAAGCAACAGAAACAGTAACAGTACGGTAACAGCAGATATGACGAGCTTCCTGGGTGCGTTTTCTAAGCTGATAACTGATAGATAACCCGGGGCTCGGACCAGACTAATGACCGTCCCAAATCTTGCGACGCGTCGATCGCAAGGTGTCGCAGACTGGACGGACAAGTCCAGACGGTCTTGACGGTCCTGACGGTCTTGACAGTTAATCAGGTAAACCGGGGCACCACGTTGCCGCCCCGCCCGCGCTAGGCCGAAGCTGATGCAAAACGGGCGAAACCTGGGAGGCCGTGCCGAGCGACGGTGGTGATTGGGCGGTGCCGGGAGCAGGTGGTGGGGTGCGAGCTGCAAGGGCAAACAGGGACGGCGTGCGCTACTGCTGCGGAGCGTCTGCACCCCTGAATTGAGCCGAGACGATCACTTCACCCTCAGTTCGCCCTGGTGCCTTCGCTGCCTCGGTCACAGGAATAGGACAGGTGTGGGACCCACACGACGGGTGGCGATCGCAGTCATGGGATTTTCTGGTGGTGGCACGGTCGGAGGATGCTGCAGTGCAAAGGAGATGCTGCAAGGCCATCGTCTCACGGGCGATTTATAGTAAGAAAGAAAAAAAGGGGGCAACAAAGTTAGGGAGGGGTGTATAGTATTGTGATGGTGGTGGTGTCGTGGTGGTGGTCGTGGCGGCGGCGGCGGCGGCGGCTGCTGTGAAGGTCATGATTTGAGCAGCGAGGTTTGGACGGTTTGTACCGTCGGCCGTCGACGGTCTGGCAGACGGTCAGTCAGGGAAGACGGGAGGGAAGCTCGCCTATCATTGCAAGAAGCAGGCACCAGGCGTCCCCCAGCACCGCTAGCACGCCGACTGTTGAAACCTGCAGGCCAAGGCCCAGAGTGCTGTCCGCTAGAGAAGATGGTGCATGCTGGCAGATTGACTGAATGGCAGACTGCACATCCGTTACAGGCCGTCAGGTGTGTTCCAATCAGTCGGTCGGCAACCCACCCGTTTCGGGCAGTGCCTATAGGTCACTGGCCACTTAGACAAGGTGTGAGGGGGGCCAATGGACATCTGGAATGACACAGGCAGGACGAGTCGACCGAGGGAGAACCTTTCCTATCCCCTACCTAGGCAGTGTGCAGCGTGCCGTAGTCGTCTGTAGTGTGCAGTATGCAGTAAAAATAATCGATGATCCCCTGCTTCCCCAGTCGGCCGCCATCCACACCACACGCCACAACGGGACCGTGCCCTTCCCCTCGCAATTCCCAGGACAGACAGGCCAGACGGACCAGACGGACCATACAGACCCAGGCCCTCACCTCCTCCCTTCCGAGCAGCCGTGCCGTACGGCGGTATGGCTTGATAGGTGGGCGGATGGATGAGTGAGTGGGAAAGGGGAACAGCAGGGAGGGGGCCAGGGACAATACGTAGACATGGTAGACAGAACCGGACAGAGGAGAGGAGAGGAGAGCAAACCAAGGCAAAGAAAGCAAAACAACGCAGAGGAGAGAGGCTAGAGCGCTAAATAAGTTGTCACATACTGTAGACGCAGACTAAGCAGTACATGCCACCATCTACAGCAACTACGCTGGCACTGGCTCTGGCTAGGGACGCATCTAGTCTGTCTAGACGGCCAGATCAACGGCTGCCACCGAGCAAAAGGAGATTCAGTTTCGGTGACAGGGAGATGCTGTGGTATTGATCTTCATTCACCTACCGTTAGTCGTCCATCAGTCGGTCGGTCGGTCGGCCGGTCGGTCTTGTCACTCAGTCTGTATCTGTCAATCAAATCAATCTGCTGTTTGCGGGCGCAACTGGGGCGCGCACGCACTTCGACGGCCCCGTCTTCGTGCACCTGGGCGGCACTCTTCATTGCAACTGTGATCCTTCAGTCCCCTACCTTTTACTTCTTCTTTCGCTTGCTTCCCGTCTTTTTCCTTGTTCTGCTGCTCGTTTTTTCTTCTCCCGCCTCCCTCTTCTTCAACAATGGTCAGCTGTCCTGCACGTGTCCTCGTCCTATGGTCCTACCCTTGATGGCCGCTGTTCACTGAGCTGGGCAGCCACCCGTCCCCCAAGCGTCGGTGATCCAAAACCTCACAGCCGTACGGGAAGAGACAATCCGTCTACGATTTATAATACACACCACACACACCAAGAGAACCTGGACGGCAATTCTCAACCGCTGAACCCTGCCCAGCTGCCAGCAGCCCAGGTTCGATTGCGTCTTGAGCGAACAACGAGCAACGAACGCGACCCGAGCACGCCTCGCTTGCTTTAATTTGCCCAGCGCTTCAGGATCCCAGACCCAGACCCAGACCCAGACCCCCCGACCCCGACCCAGAAGCAACAAGCGACAAAACAACCCCCCCAGTCGCAATCAAATAACCACCGTGGACCCCCCTAATCCTAAGCAGCAGCCTCTAATCTGTGCTCGTCGACGTCCATTTCTGGCACTCGTCCGCCCGAGTCGGCCACCACCTAATCAAACAATCCCGCCGCAATTTTCATGATACCCGACAACCACAAATAACCCAAAATCCCTCTGCATGCTGGCGCCAATCCTCTCTGCACATCTAGGACGACTCGTGTGGAGTGGGTGACCGCCACGCACCACACCTGCGCCTGCGGGGAGTCTCCTTGATCCCGTCCCGTCCTCCCGCCAGGTCGCCTTCGCGCGCGATCGATTATAGCCAGTCATCGTCTGATAAGGGTGTGTTGTTGGAGGAGAGGGCGCGGTTGGCCCTAGGGACCAGCTCGCATAAACAACACAACCACCACGCCGTCGCCCCCTACTTTCTTACCGCCCACCATGACTTCACCACCAAACTCCCCTGGGAACCCGCCCCAGCGACCCCAGAGCGCCATGATCCGACCGACCCAGAGGAGTAGCAGCCGGATGAGCACGTCGAGCAAGGCTGGAGGTGGCAGCAGAGCTTCAGATGAGGATGGCAGAACATCAGTCAAAGTTGGTGAGTATTTGGTTCTTCTCTGTCACCCGCCGGGTGTGACGAGATGCTGAAGCTAAACCATGGCTAACACGCGACATCACTGCAGCCGTGCGCATTCGGCCTCCATTAAATCCCGACGACCCAGGTTACGATCTCATCCCGCAGCGATTTCAAAGATCCATGGTTCAGGTCATGTCAAACACAACCCTGGCTATTGATGCACCTCAAGGCCGCAAAGTCTTTGTTTTCGACCGAGTCTTCTCATCCGAGTACGACCAAGCAGGGGTCTGGGACTACCTCGAGGATTGCGTCAACGCATTCACAACGGGTTACAATGTGTCTTTACTGGCGTACGGCCAGTCAGGCGCTGGAAAGTCCTACACCATGGGAACCTCCGGCCCTAGCGAGCAAAACAATATCGATGTCATGGGTAAGTTGCGTGCGATTCCGGGCCTATACGAGGTCCGGGAAGATCTATGTCGTATATACTTTTTCATCTCCGCGATCTGACTCGGGACCTTCTAGGTGTAATTCCTCGCGCCGCAACCGCGCTGTTCGAGAAGCTCGATGGGCCGAAAGGCAACCCGAACCGCGGTTCCATGTCACAGCTTCGCGCCCCAGCAAGGTACTCAGCCCAGATACCAGCGCGTAACGGAGAGAAGAACTGGACCTTGAAGGCCACCTACGTTGAAATATATAACGAGCAACTGCGGGATCTCCTGCTGCCCGAACACATCCCTGCTCATGAACGCAGCCCCGTCACCATCAGAGAGGATACCAAAGGCAATATCATTCTTACAGGACTGCGACAAGTCGAGGTCAACTCGGCGGAAGACTTGTTGAATGCTTTGAATTTCGGATCTACAGTGCGACAAACCGATGCGACCGCCATCAACGCAAGGTCGTCTCGATCACATGCTGTGTTCTCTCTGAATCTAGTGCAGAAAAAGCCTGGCTTTCCAGGGGGCCATGACAAGCGACATTCTGTGCCAGTAGAGGCGATGTCGGGCGGAGAGACCTGGACTACGACAGACAGCAAGATGCATTTCGTCGATTTGGCCGGTAGCGAACGTCTCAAGAACACACACGCTGAGGGAGCACGAGCAAAGGAAGGAATTTCTATCAACGCTGGTCTTGCTGCACTGGGCAAGGTCATCTCTCAATTATCTTCGCGGAACGCGGGCGCGCACGTCTCGTACCGAGACTCAAAATTGACTCGACTTCTGCAGGACTCCCTTGGGGGCAACGCCATTACATACATGATCGCCTGCGTAACACCCGCAGAATTCCATCTGAGCGAGACTCTGAACACTGTGCAGTATGCGCAGCGTGCTCGAGCTATTCAGAGCAAGCCCAGGATCCAGCAGGTTGAGGAGCGCGACAAGCAGGCCCTGATTGACCGACTCAAAGCAGAGGTGGCCTTTTTGCGCGAGCAGGTCAGAAGCTCTGAGCGGACGGGAGGTGACAGGCGGGCGCTGCCTTCTGGAGAAAGGTCTGAGCGATCAAACGAGCGGGAGACCGAACTGCAGAACCAGCTCCTGGACGCCCAAGAAAATTACTCATCCTTAAGCCAAAGACACGCCAAACTGATTGCCGAAATGGCCAAGGCAAGGGATTTGGAGGAGGCTGAGAATGCGCAGCATGAAGAGAGCTTGGGCGAGACAGCCACCGAAAGGCTGAATCGATCCAACAACTTCGCGCAGGCAGTTGAACAGGTCGTCCTCGAGTACGAGAAGACCATTCAAGCACTGGAGCAGTCTCTTTCCGGCACACGAAGCACCCTGCACAATACGGAGACCAGCCTCTTGGAAAAGGAGAGCAAACTGGCATACGTCGAAACCATCAACACGCAGCTTCAGACCCGACTTCAGAAACTCATGGACAGGGAGGCTAACACCGAAAATTACCTGCATGATCTGGAAGCCAAACTTGACGGGCATACATCTGGCGAAGAAAAGAACGCAACCATCATCACGGAGCTTCGTAAGGAGATTGCCCGTGTGCGAGAGAACGAGGCCGGCTGCGAAGACTACATCTCCACCCTCGAGGAAAGGTTGGCCGAGGCTGATCAGGATGCCGAGCTTATGCAGCGCGAGATTGACCGGCTGGAGCAAGTGGTTGAGCGTCAGCGAAGTCTTGGTAAACTCGACTCCTTGCTGTATGAGCTAGACCACATGCAAAAGGACTCGAGCGTTCCAGAACCAGAGGCTGAGCTGAACAATGGATCAAATCGTCGCCGGAGCGTGAATCGCAGTCTTACCGATCATTCCCGAAACCAAAGTGTTAGCGGCCGTCAAAGTCGAATGGAAGATCCTATTCCTGAGGATAGAGAGGAAGACATACCCGAAGAAGGTGCCATCTCAGCCATTGCTGAGGAAGAGCACGACGCGGACAAGGTTGCCCAGGCCAAGTCAGCTCCTGAATCTGACTCACAGCTCGACTACCCTACAAGCCCTGCGCAGTCGAAGTTTGTGCAGGACAAGCTTGAGAATGTTTCGCACGAGCTGATGGAACTCAGAGTCGAACATGAATCCACTCTGAATCAGTATGACCTTCTCCATGCCAAATACGAGGAGTCTCTCAGGGCTTTGGCAGAGCTGCAAGATACCATTGATGAAGCACGCCATCCACACCGGGTGCGCGATTCCATGCTTTCCGTCACTTCACCGTCTGAGAATCAGACAAGGCCATCATCTTTTTTGTCGGAGCCGAGGTCGGGCCACACGAAGGATGGCGGACCGCCATTATCCTCGCGTTCGCTATCCTCGGAATTATCATCAGCCATGGATTTCCCGGCTGTTGCGGAGGTTTCTGATACAGAGACTGCAAAGCCGAAATCGGAAGATCGTGCATCGGAAACCTCTCGAGGGCAACTGCCAACAGTCGAGGCGCATGGCCCGGCTAATGACGAAACCAACAATTCAGCATTAACACTGGAAATCGAGCGACTGGCAACTCTAGCGGCTCAGAAAGAAGCGGCCGAACAGGAACTCACCGCGAAGTATACCGAGCTTGAGAAGAAGCATCATGACACCCTTGACATGGTGGAAGAGCTCAAGACCGAGGTCGCCAAGGCCCGTCACAACCTCGAACCACCATCGCCGAGGAATGGAACGCCTGTCATTCGACGTAAATCCAGTCAGAATGTCATGATCATCGACAGAGCTCACAGGTCATTTGCTTCGCTCCGCAACATTGCTGCAGACAATTTCGAAGAGGACCCTGAGACGATGCAGAACTTCGAACTCAACCTGAATGCCGCTATGCACGAGCTTCACGCCAGATCGGAGAGAATTCAGGAGCTCGAGGCTGACGTCGCGAATGCAAGGAAGGAGATGGAAACCAAGATGCAACTCATCTCGGGTCTGACTCGCGAGCGCTCAAGCTTGAAGGCCTCCGCCAAAGACGTCTCGCTCATTTCAACGCTGAGAGATCAGCTAGAGAAGAACGAGCGACAGCTCCACGAGATGCAGGAGGCTCATGCCGTACGTGAAAAGGAACTGCAGAGCGAGATCGAAAGCCTGCGTGCTTCAATCGAGACTACCAAGTCGGAGGAGAAGACGGTCGAGGCCGGCGAGCATGTTACAGACCAGGGAGCTGTGCATGAGCAGAGGATTGCGCAACTCGAGGCTGATCTTGCGGACTGGGAAAATAAGCACAAATCAGCTTTGGACACCATGCAGAGCACCGAGCAGCAGATGCGTGCCACCATCGAGGACCTCGAGTCTCAGCTTGCGAGTGTCAACACTCAACTCAAAGACTCTTCTCGTTCGACGGAGGAGCAAAATGAGGCACAGGAGACCGAATCAAAGACCGAGAATCTCATGTCGACGCTGCGCAGCGAGATTGACGAGCACAAGGCCGCCCTCAGCAGCAATGCTGCCAAGGTGGCCGAGCTGGAACAGGCACACAGCGCTGTCAGGAAGGAGCTCGAGGAGGCTCAAAGAGCCCGTGACTTGGCCGTGTCGGAAGTCAATGAGCACAGGCAGCAGCTTGAAAGCCACAAAGACGAGCTGGAGAAGGTGCAGCAAGAGGCAGACCAGCAGAGATCAGAGGCTGAAGCCCACAAGCATGATGCTGAGACTCATTCTCAACTCGTGTCGACACTGGAGAACCAGATCTCTTCACATGAGCAGGTCATCAAGACTCATCAGCGGAGCATGGAATTGCTCAGGACCACACACGCCAAGGAAATCGAGGATCTCCATGCTTCGTCGAAACAAGATGCTGACGCGAGGGTTGAGGCCCTCAAAGCAGAGCACGCCAAGCACACCAAGAAGCTCGAGAGCCAACTGACCGAAGCGCGTGAGGATTTGATGAAGGTGGCCACACAGGTCGCCTTTGCTCTTGGGCTTGACGTCAGTGTCGAGCTCATCTCGGAGCGTATTGAAGACCTCATCGCCGACCAGAAGGCCTTCAATGACGAGCAGAAGAAGGCCACTGAGCTCGAAAAGGCAGTGCACGAGATTTCCAACGTCAATGATGCTCTCACCCAAGATCTGGAATCCGTCAAGTCGACGTTGTCCGATATCCTCCTGGAGCAAGGCGCTGAGCTGAGGAGCCCGTACCCCTCTGTCACTGAGCAAGCAACCGTGATCAAGAGAAAGATGGTGGATCTGCAGAACAAGAACAAGAAGAACTCGCGTTTGGTCGATGAGCTCGAGGAACAACTGCAGACCAACTTCGATCAAGTCCAGATGACGAACAACCGCCTGTCGACTCTTCATGAGCGCAATACTCAATTGGAAGAGGCCCTCAATGCCAAGAACAGCCTGCAGAATGAGCTCAACTCGCTGAGAGATCAATATGCTGCTCTCCAGGTACGTTCAGGTCGGCCGACCCATCATGGTGTACTGACTAACCATACCCAGAACAAGATGAGCAATGGTGACACCATGGGACGCTCTGACTCACTGAATGGCACAGTGCGCAAGTCCGCATCAGTCACCTCCCTGCCTTCACCACCCCCTTCAGTCCCTCTGCCTCCATTGCCTGGCGGTGTGTCCTCCTCAGGCACGACTTCGCCCATTCCTGGTATGCGCCCGCCGTCCAAGGACATGGCCATGCACCATATCCACGAGGACCAAGAGGCTCGCATCCGCACAATCGAGAAGCACCTTTCAGCAGAGAAGCAGCTCACGTCGACCCTGGAAGAGGCGCTCACCGACCTGGAGAGACAGTCCAACAAGGTCAAGGCGGACTGCGACGCGTGGCGCCGACGATGCACGGAGCTCGAGACAGAGATGAAGGCAATGAAGGAGAAGCCGCCGCAGGACCCGCGCTGGAGCCTCCAGCAGGTCGAGGAGGAGCGCAAGAAGCGCGAGGCTGCGGAAAGGGCGCGCGCGCATCTGGAGGAGAGGATGAACGCCATCAACAAGAAAAAGAAGAAGGGCAGCCTGAACTGCTTCTAATCCGTCTCGGTCCTTCCCAAAGGCCGGAGATATCTCACGCTTACGATATGAACCTCGCGAATTGCCTCGGGTGGATGAGGTACTGCTTTTTAATTTTCTTTTCTTGCCTTCACCCTTCCCCCTTTGGGGACTTCTTTCGCACATATTCCCCCCTACCATGTTTACAGATCTACACCTTGTTCATTTCGATGCTTTGTTTGCATGGCGAGCTATCACATCACATCACATTGGTGGCGAGGAGTTTGTGGGTACGACGATGTCACTTTGACCACGTCGATGATGCGCAATCGGTCCTTGAACGCGACGGACGCTACCATTATAACATTTTATCTTCTCTTTTTCCCAACTTGCCAATGTGTTTCCCTCATCTCCTTTCTTTGACTATATGATCGTGGCCAATACTTCTTGCGTCAGTTCACCATATAATGCTTATTCACCGTGACGATTTCAACCCCCTCCCCCTTTTTCCCCAATGCCTGTCTGGCCTGCCCCCCACGTTTACGTTCATGTTCGGAGTCAAGAGGGCACAAGAAGCAAAGAGAAAAAAAAATGAGAACGAGAATGGAATAAAAAAAGTCAGCTTTTTGGAGTTGAACCGAGAAGAAAGACACAAAGTCAGTTTGGATCTTGATCCGAGAGCCGGAAGATTGTGGGAGGAGGAGCTGGCTAATGGGGGCCGGACCGTTGCTGCGCGCAGGCGGTGCCGTTTCCCAAGCGCCGAGAGGAACCGATCTTGCTGTTGTTTGCAGTTGAGCTGAGATACCACCAATACACTTCTGCCTTCTTTTTTTCCATTACCGAATTTCTGTCGCATGAGTGGGGTTGCTTCGTATACTCAAAATGACCCCGTGTCTTGTTTGACATGTGTGCCACAATGCCAGGAGCCCAATTTGGATGCTGTGTATCTTGCTTATCCACACCGAAAGTCTAGGCTTTGGGCTACGATTTAATTTATACGAATATACCGTGTGGTACAATGTTCTCATGTTTGAAGATGTTTGCTGTCTGTCTGTTGTACGGTAACTTGTTCGACCCAAGTCAACGAGTCGGTAGAGAAGCTGACCTATGTAAACCTGCGTTGATGGAGGAACACAACAGTGCCCAACCAGACACGGCTCCCAATAAGTGTGCACACTTCCTGGCAGTACCCTATGTGGCTTGCAGTGCCTTCCTCATTGAACACGTCGGGTCACCAAACCAGCCCTCCTGTGCCTGCTGAGCATCTCGCCGAGCTGTCTTGAGCAGAGAGGGGGGATCTGCGCTGATTGATTGCCCACAGAGTTCCACGGTCGGTGAGCGCAAGACGGATCTTGTCCGTTCGCTCCATCCGCGCGAAGGAAGGGCATGTCGTATTCGACGTTGAGGCTATTGTCCTCGCGAGACAAGGGTCAGCCTTACTAGGGCGGGAAACCCCCATCTAGGCTCGTGAGAGCCATCGTACAGTCCAAATTTGGGCACTTTCCTGACTCCTCGTAGATGATCTGGTCGAAAAGGAAAGGCGCACGCTGCAAACGAATCGTGCAAATCCGTTTCCTGGGGGCGGCAGCCAGCAAGCAAGCAAGCAAACATCCAATCCAACGGGGTGGCAGGTCCCCCCGTTAACTTGAGACGGCGAGTCGCACAAAGCGAGATGAGGTGTAATCCCTGCAGGGCGAAGATCTGTGAAACAGCGTCAGAAAAAGGCTTACTGTAGCCGCGCAGGTGGGGCCTGCGCGACCTTTCAGGCTCAGGGGTTATTCAGGTACACAGGTGATCACCGTGTAATTCCAAAGCTGTGTGGTCAGCAAAGTCCCTCAGTGCGGCCTTGATATTAACCTTAAGAGCCTTCCCAGGGTGGCATAGGGTGTGGCCCCCCCATCATAGTGAGCCTGTCCCGCCCAATCTTAACGGCTGGGCCCTCCTTTCTCTCGTGATGGGGGCGCTGAATCTGGATCCTGCATGGGGACGGGGTGTCAATTGGGGGGGCATTATGGTCGATCGGTAGGGACTGACTGTATTGTGTTCAGTGAGCCAGGTGCGAAGCAGCAATCATTGAGCAATTGTCGGCAAGTGCGTGCCAAGGCCTGGTTCCTCCCCACCAGGTCGGGAGGCCCTTTCCTCAGCTGGTATTGGTGTTATTGCTGCTGGTGTTGAGCGGGCCGCACGCATCGTGAGATAAGAGTCGAGCCGACTAATAAAATGACCCTTGCCCGCCCATTTCTCCCGCCCTCCTTCCTTTGTCCTCACCTTAACCTTAGTTCTGTGATCTTTCCAGGCCGGTCAAGCCAGTCAACCCATCCTAACCTTCAGTCACTCCTTCGTTGTGCTGTTTGACCACCAGGGCGTCTTTCGAGAGATCCTCCACTGCCGACTTTTAATCTCAGCATCGCACGGCGCCGTATTGCATTGCACTGCATCGAATCGAATCGCATCGCATCGCGTTTCCCGTTTCCAGTCACTCCTTCCACCACCGTTCACTCCGTTTCCAGGACAATCGCTTTGTTTCACTCGACTCAGCTGAGCGAGTCACCCCGAATTCAATTGAGGACGCATATCACCAAGTTTAGATCTCGAACGCGACTGCTTCCTTGGCTTCCTTCGACTTCGACCCCTGCGCCTGTCTATCTGACACAAACCTCTCTCTTCGACATTTCGCGACACTTCTTATAGATCCAGCACCCATCTAGAGCATCGTCGTTGATCGCTTCATCACTTGACACCTACCTACGTGTCAGGCTGTCATTATGTTTGTAAGTTGCTGCTACAAGCTTGGAGAGCAGTTGAGAATCCCTCTTGAATGCCCGATCAGCACCGCCGTTGATCCCTGATCGACAGGGTTCCACGGGCCCCCAAACCTTATAGCCTGCCTATGGGTACCACCTCTCGCGCCTCACTGCATCAACGCCACACCCGGCCCTCTGGGCACAAAGGCCTTCAACAGCGCTAACAGAGCTTCACAGTTCCAACGAACCGTCTTTGGCCTCGTTGGCGCCGCCTCTTTGGCTGCAGCTGTCCCCGCCATCGATGTCCAGGGGTCCTTCTTCGTCAACAACGCCACCGGCGCTCGATACCAGATCGTTGGTGTTGCCTACCAGCCCGGTGGCTCTGCCGGATACAACCCAGGCTCCGGCGTCGACCCACTGAGCAACAAGGACGAGTGTCTCCGTGATGCAGCTCTCATGCAGATTCTCGGCGTCAACGCCATCCGTGTCTACAACATTGACCCCGACGTGAACCACGACGAGTGTGCCTCGATCTTCAATGCGGTATGTTGGACACCGACTTGCACTGTCGACCAGGAATACGTGAGACTGAGCACAAGCTAATTTGTGAGCGATTGTGTAGGCTGGCATGTACATGTTCTTGGACGTCAACTCTCCTCTTCCGGGCGAAAGCATTAGCTCTGCTGCGCCCTGGGAGTCTTACTACGCCGGCTACCTGAACAGGACCTTTGCCGTGGTGGAGGCTTTCAAGAACTACCCCAACACGGCTGCCTTCTTCAGTGGCAACGAGGTCATCTTCGACGAGGACAATGGCGCCACCGTGCCTCCGTATATTCGCGCTGTCACCCGAGACCTCAAGAACTACATCGCCAAGAACGCCGATCGTGCCATCCCCGTCGGTTACAGCGCTGCCGATGTCCGATCCATCCTCTTCGATTCGTGGGAGTACCTGCAGTGCGAGGACGAGGAGGACGAGCAGAGCCGTGTCGACCTGTTCGCCCTCAACAGTTACTCGTGGTGTGGCAACAGCACCTTCACAGAGTCCGGCTACGACCAGCTTGTCGCTGGATTTGAGGGCAGCTCTGTCCCCATCTTCTTCTCCGAGTTTGGCTGCAACACACCTGCTCCACGTGTCTTCACCGAGGTGCCAGAGATCTACAGCGACGAGATGCAGAACGTCTTCAGCGGTGGCATCGTCTACGAGTACGCGCAGGAGGACAACAACTACGGCCTCGTCAACATCTCATCCGATGGTTCTGCTACGATCATGGCCGACTACTACGCCCTGAAGGAGCAATACGCCGGCCTGAACTTCACCACCATCCAGGGCATTGCGCCATCCACGAAGAGCACTTCTGCGCCCAAGTGCAGCGAGAAGTTGATCACGACCAAGGGTTTCACCAGCAACTTCACCATCCCCGCTCTTCCCCCCAACGCGTCCGCGCTCATTGAGAACGGAATCAGCCCCAAGCCAGTCGGCAAGATCGTCACCATTGGTAAGTTCCATCCCTTCAGAAAATAAATATCGATAAATTGGCTGACTCGAACGGATTCAGACGACTACAAGGTTACGGTCACCGTCAAGGACAACAGCGGCAACGAGATCTCTGACCTTGCCGTCGTCCCGCTCGACGAGAACGAGATCAACTCGCCTGGTGCTAACACCCAGGCCGCCACGTCTTCTGGAAGCTCTTCTACCGGCACCAGCTCGAACTCGTCTTCCTCATCGTCGGACTCCAAGAGCGCGGCTGCTGGGCCTGCCCAGATTGGTTCGATGGCGTCGATGATGGTCTCCACCGTTGCAGTCAGCTTCCTCATTGGATTCTTGGGTTAGCTGCCCTACTAGATCCATCCATGATCAAGCTTTGCGGGCCACGAGAACACGTAATGTGGGCGGCAGCTCGTCATTGGAAAAGGTGGAAGCTATGCAAGGGGTTGGTGGATTTGAAAGACAAAAACGCGTGCCCGACTGAACGAATGACTTTTTGTTGATTGGGTTTGTCGAGAGTATCGGTGTTATGATACCATTATGCTTGTGCATTTTCGCTTCTCTTCAAAACATAGGGTCTATGAGTAAGGAACAACGTTTCATAATTTGAATGTCCGTATATCTTTTTTGCAATGTGATATGCCCGAGATACGACTTGACATGCGGTCGACATGAACCAAACGGCCCTGTCACATGGTCTCAACGCCTTCTTCGGGAGCTTCAAAATTGAAGCGCCAGCGATTGAGAACGTTTACCCGAGGCATGAGAGCATCTGGCCAGATCTTCTACATCATTGGTGTCGCGACGTGCAAAGTCGTCTTAGACTGGACGAAGTCCTCGTCGAATGAGTGTCCGGCGTTAATCCATAACTATTTAGTCGAGACTGCGGCCCAATAGGATCAGTAACCAGGCTAACACGTCCTCTCGCACTACAGCCTGTCAAGGGCGCTCTTCAAAGTGTTAACTAAGGTTGGGTTGAACACTTCCAGCTCTTGGCTGTTGACAGGCGCTTTGACTGCCTACTTAAGCACTTAGTCCCCAACGACTACTCAGCTACTGTGTAGTCAGGGCCAATCAGGATGTCAACAGCTCTTGTTTCTACACATCGGTAAACATGGCCGAATTTCGTCGGGGGTGGGAGGCTGAGTGATGCGTGATGGTGGCTGGAGGAGGTTGTGTGTATGTGTGTGAACATCTTTCTGTGGATCTTGACTTTTACGAAGTTGTGTATAGTTTCTTCGGCTATAATTGCTCGTGGTCTTGAGCAGTCAAAATCTCACTGGGCTGTTCACAACGACTCCCAATATATCTTGGCTAACGTAGATAAGTAGGAACAAGATGTAGCACCTCCTACTTCAAGCTCGGTTATGGGAAGCTCAAAAGCTAGCTACGTCATGGCACGGCTTGAAGGAGAGAATATACCATTGCCGTTACCATTGTATATGAACCCGTACAGGGGCGGAGAAGTAACAGTTGGTTTCAATCCCTCACTGCCTACCGCTCGCTCGCTCGTTCCTTTCCCGAAAGGTCAACGACACGACTCAACACCACGACGGCGCATCGCATGGATACAGCCCATTGCATTTCTCAATAAGTCTATGACACAAGACTTGGCATGATTGCGATGGAACCCGGGTGTGAATAAAGGCCAGTAATCGTCCGAGTCCGTCAAAATGGTGGCCTACTCCTCTTGTTCTTCTTATTTTTGCATCCTCTGTTAGGAGATACACTGTTGCTGGGAGAAAACAACAAGTAACGATATCATCCAATTATAACAGCCATGATAAAATCATTCATTCAAGCCTTGTGCCTTATGGCGGCAGCACAATGCGCCGTTGCGATGCCTTACGACAACATGCCGGCCCTTGCTGCCGAGCACAACTCCGAGTGGCCCTTCTCTGAGCTCATCCGCGAGTCCCCCTTTGAGCACCACAGGCGAGCTCACGAGTTTAGTGCCTCAAAGGCACTCGCCCCTTGTGCCTCCGAGACCCCAACCGGAATGGGCCCGACGGTCAGCCCGGACACGGCCGCGGCGTTCTCAGCGTCCACCGCGTTCAAGAACAGCGCCACCACGTATGGCGTGAGCAACGCGTCCTTCATCATCTCGGTGGTCAACGACGACGATTCTTTCGAGTACGCCGAAAACAGATTCCACGGCTGGATAAACCAGGCCACCTATAGCCCGTATAACTGCCAGCTGGCGTGCAACGCCCTCAACGCCACTGGCATCAAGTGCAACACTTACAACACCTGTGAGTAGTAGATCATTCCCTCCTGACAGACCCTTCCAGTACAGAGTACCCAAATGCATCTTCCCCCCAGGGGGTGGATCTGTATAGAAGGAACCGAGGAAACAAAAACAAAAGTAGAGCTGACTTCTCCCCGCCAGATTTTCTGCGCTCTCCAAGCATCACGCCCAGCACTGATACGTCGTGCCCCAACCCTCCGTCCATGACCACCATAGTATGCGCGCTGTGGAAGAACAAGCTATACCCCTGGGACGGCATCAATACTGGGGAGGTCCGCGGGAGGAACTTTACGGTTGTCATCGCTGGTATTGCCCACCCCCCCCCCCCCCTACCCAAAACCCGCATCCCTCTCTCTACCGACTTACAGATCACAACGGCCGCGTGGGCTTACTGACACTGGTTGGTACTAATGGCTGACACGATCCAGGCTCCAACTTGTACCAGAGAAACAACTCGGAAACTTTGTAGAATAGTCTGCTTTGCGCGGAAAGTTGCTTCCTAGTTGCAGGTAGTCAAGAGGTCCTCCAGGCTGAGCGGTGAGGTCTGCCACTGCTGTCCGGGAAGTTTCTGCCAGCTGCCAGGGATTGACACGCAAGTGATGTGCAGTTCGCTTGCCGTCTTACATGATTTGGTACCACCTCGGGGGCGACGAACGGGTAGCATAATCATAACCATTCCTTTTGTTTTATTCCAAAGTCAACATTGAGTCATCTTTCCTATGCGTCTTAGGAGACTATTTGGGTTGGTACCGACCACAGAGACATTCATTTGGTTGGTGTTTCTATCTACCTGTGACTATTCAGATAGTGATATTTTAAAAGTAATTATGGCAGAGCGTGTTTTCCATGAATCTCGTATTTTTATAATATTATTTAGTGATTGCTAAGATGTGTATTTTTCTGTCTATTTTTGGTAATGATGGAGAAGTATTTCCAGACGATAACGTAATCGGAAAGGCGCGATCAGTAATGACATTTGTATATATATATGTGCTCTCAGATCAATAACGCCGGTGCTGTCTCTGTCTTGACTAAAATCCGCATGGCCCGCGTGGTGTTCATGGATAGCTCCGAATTCTAATATCTTCGAGTGTCTGCTGTTCCCATATTTGTATGAGTTCGTCTTTCTAACAGCTAAAGGGAGCGGAAACGGTCCCATCCCGATAGGCCACAACAATGCCATCGATTGTGACGTACAATCCGGCTACGCAGATGAACAGCCCTGCAAGGATTGTCAAGACACTCAAGGTCGTCATTCCCCAGGAATTGGACCACGCCTTCTTACCCAGTCCAAGGTGGTAAGCATCATAGAGCCAGAAGAACCCAGCGATGCCATATGTGTACCACGAGGCAAACAAGCTCGCCGCGATGCCGATGAGGTAGTTGAATATGGGCACGCCGACCGCGAGCACGAACGCTGCGCCGTTGGCCAGCAGGATTAGAACCACCCACCACGCCCACCCGAGCACCGAGTGCTGGTGCAGATGTCTAGAGCGCCTGAACATCCTGACGAACACCAGCTTGGCCGCAGTGTGTGAATACAACGAACCAGCGATCAGGAAATTCGGTATGGCGATTCCATAAGCGGCCTTCGCCCAGACTGTCGGCAGCGACGAAAAGGACGGGCTGGCCACCTCGGACCCGATGTAGTAGTAGGTGACCACGGAAAAGACGACGTAGAAACCGGTTGCGAAACCCTGCAGCGTGTAGGCGGCCTTCATGGCGCCGCGGGGGTCTTTCATCTCGGAGACCAGGATGAAGAACATGAAATGCCCTGCGTACGCGAAGACGGGGTTCGTGATAGACACAAAAGCGGTCACGAAGCCAGACGACCTTGTGATATCGACTGTCCTCCCTTCCACGGGGTGCAGCCCTGCTCCGATCATCCCGACAATGCCGGCGATCAGGATGGATAAGACGGCGGGGATGCTGAGCCATGACAGGCGGTCTAGGGTCCGGGGCAGGGAGAAGACCAGCGTCGGGATGGCGAAGATGCCCGTATAGAGCATCAGGCACAGCCGGTTGTCCGACAGCGAGGCCAGCGCCGTCTGGCCCGCGATGAGCTGCGACCCCGTCGCGAACACGGCGAAGATGATGGTCCCCCCGGCGAGGACCTCGCGGCCCACTGGGCCGAAGAGGATCATGCCTGCGTCGCCCATGGAGTGGACTGTTCGCGCAATGTCGTCAGCTAATCTCGTTCCTGCGTGGGATTGTCAGTCTGGTCTGGAGACGTGCGTTCTCACCTTGCGGATGGCGCAGCTTGAACTGGATTAGGAGCCAGCTCGTGAATGTTGCGAAGACGCCTAGGAATACGATCACGATCACCCCCGGCACGATTCCGACGACGGCGAGGCTTGATGGAAGGGAGAGCATGCCATTGGACACGATCTCTGCTATCATTAACACGGCGACGAGGGGCCAGCTCAAGGTGCGGTAGTGAATCTGGGGACTGGTCAATAAAGTTCTCGATTTTATGGACTAGTTGGACTTCAGTCACCTGTGCGCCCTCCTCGTTTCCAAAGACGTCGTCTGAGGGAGCATATTGCCCCAAAGGCGGGGTTTCCGTTGAGTATCCATACTCCTGATACGTGTCGGGCTGGTCGCCCTTCTTCCTGTACTGGTCGAGCATCGTGGCGGCCGCCTGCGGAGGAAGATGGTAAAGATGCAGGCATGAAGCGTCAAGCTCACCATATATCTTTGGACGGCGTAGATAGACCAGGGTCAGTCAGGATAGTCATCATAGATTATCAATTGCCGATCCTGGTTTCTTACTACGACCGCATGGTAAGCAGCATGCTAAGCTCACCCCTACACCGGCTTACCTATCTACCTGCCTGACTGAGATAGGTTGGACGCTATCGAGAGTTGGAGAAGCGGTCGCCATGAGATAAGCTGGGCCTGTCGCGTCAGATTGTAGGGTAACTGCCCGACCATGGAGATATGACGGAGATAACCTTCTAAGTCATTTATCTAAGCTTGACATTGGACTAATCTACGTTTTCTTAGGATCAAAAGATATACGACTTCTCTCAACACGATACGGCATGACGCGACGGCTTTGCCTCTCACGATTTCTACTCGAGAATCGTCCCCCATGAGAACGTTCGTGCTATCGCAATTACAAGGAAGACAACACAGTAATCCCTGAATGCATGAAAGTAACAATGAGAATAAAAGAGAAAAGGCGTGAAATCAGTTTAATTGCTGCCAATTCAGATAAAGTGATGGCAGTGACCATCCACTGGAACAGACTTGGCCAGCTCTTCAATGAGTACGTAAACAAACAAGTATATATTTGTACATGTATGTGTCCTGACATCTCAAGAGATATTAACTGATATCCCGCAGCGGGATCATCGATATTCTACCAAGAAGCGTTCAAGGTGTGGATGTGGGCCAGAAGAGGCGAGCCTTGTCCGTCGCACATTTTAATTCACGGTCTGCATTGTGGGAAGAATTGTGATAAGGTAGAATAGTAGACATATATACATGTTTTTATGCTATGAATTGAGGCTGAAACCAGATGTGAGCAGAAGAAAGCTCAAATACAAAGGCCAATGGGAGCAAGGCGTTGCCGATTTGTGCGTGTGATCCGCGGGTAACTTTATCATAGAACTAGAACCAGGAGAGAGAGTTCTTCATTCAGGCAAGCCAAGTTAATGACTTGCCTCTTGAGAATTTCTACTAAAGCGTATAAAAGCCATTCCAGTTCAAGAACTCGATACAGTAACAAGCACCCAACCAATCAGATTCACAAAGTTTGAGCAGGCAGGATTGGCATTAGCCGACGATAAGCGAGCGCGGGCCGTGACATCATGCGGCTGATGCGTGTCTCGACCTCACCTTACTGCGGGGATCGAACCTTACGAGCAGCTATGGTGAGGCGTGCCGCTCCACGATGAAGTCCCTGAGGCCAATTACTCGACATATCCTGCGGAGGAGCTCCCCGCGATGTCTGCGGGCATTTGCGACGGCCACGGATGCCGCCGGCCAGCAGCAGCAGCAGTTCGACAACCGTGTTAAGATCGTCGAGGTGGGCCCGCGTGATGGGCTCCAGAACGAGAAGAAGACGATACCACTGGCGACCAAGATCGAGTTGATCGAGAAGCTGGCAAAGACAGGACTGACTACGATCGAGGCTGGGTCATTTGTGTCCCCGAAATGGGTTCCTCAGGTGTGTTGCCCCGCCGGTGACCGGCAGCTAGTTCACCTCGCCTGCTAACTGGGGGCTCTTAGATGAACAGCTCAAATGAGATCCTCGAGCATCTCCTGAAAAAAAAGCTTGACAGCCCCGTGCCAATTTCCTACTCATTCCTCGCTCCCAACATCAAGGGCCTCGCCAACGCCACAGCCATCCTCCAGGCCAACCCCGAAGCCTTCGTCACCGAGTCGACCCGCACGATTCTCAACAAGGAGAAGCCCGAGATAGAGCTCGCGGTCTTCGCCGCCGCCACCGAGACATTCAGCCAGAAGAACCTGAACTGCGACATCGCGACGTCGCTGGACCGCTTCCGCGAGGTGATCGCCGAGGCCAAGAAGTCCGCGGCCGACATCCGCGTGCGGGCGTACATCTCGGTGGTGCTGGGGTGCCCGTTCGAGGGCCACGACGTGGACCCGCACCGGGTGGCGGAGATCGCGACGGACCTGCTGGAGATGGGCGCCGACGAGATCGCGCTGGGCGACACGACGGGCATGGGCACCGCGCCGCGCACCGCCCAGCTGCTGCGCAGCATGGCGGCCGCGGGCATCCGCAACGAGGACGTCGCGCTGCACTTCCACGACACGTACGGCCAGGCCCTCGTCAACACGGCCGTCGCGCTCGAGCACGGCATCCGCACGTTTGACTCCTCCGTCGGCGGGCTCGGAGGCTGCCCCTACAGCCCTGGTGCGACGGGCAATGTGGCGACGGAGAACGTGGTTTACTTTATGGAGACGTTGGGGATGGACACGGGGGTTGATCTGGATGCTGTGGCGGATATTGGGCAGTGGATCACCGCGGAGCTGGGTAAGGCGAATGACAGCAGTGTTGGAAAGGCAGTGTTGGGAGCGAGGGGCCGATCTGACAAATAAGGCCTTGTGATGAAGGGAACTTGGCCAGGCTTCTTAAATGGGCCTGCAAGAAGATGCATAGGAAACGGCGGTATGAAGTGTATATGTGCCAGTAATTCAAGTCCGCATGGATTGAGTTCACCATTCGAATTGTATCTGCAAAAATGGAAGCAGGGATGAGGCCAGGCGCAACGTATTTGAATGAAATTGACCGTGATAGGTGCCCTTGAAAGTTCCGCCCACGCAATAACCTCTTGCATAGTCGATCTAGGAGACCCCACTGAAAGAAGTAATCCGAGTGAGGAACCGTATAATCCTGCGAGAATCACATCTTTCAGATGACGCTGTGCTTAAGCAGGGGAAGTTGCTAATGCAATTGATTGGGGATATACTGATGCCTGTGTCTAATCTGTCAGGGTATTATTTCACGATTCAAATCCCGCTAAATGAAAGAGTCCTTCACTCTACGCAGCATTCCCCTGCTCCTCCTTGGCGAAAGTGTTGGCTACTATGAAAGGGAAGCAAGCGGTTGCTTCCATATACACCTTGACATTATCTGCCCCAGCCTTGATCTTGCCCCAGCTCACCGCCTCGTCCGGCCTCGCACCCGCGTCGCTCCCGTCGAACTCCTGCGCGGTGTTGATATACACGGCCGACTCGGCGCCGTTCCTCATGAGGCAAGCATTCGCGATGTGATGCTTCACGAGGCCTCCTCCGAGGATGATCATGCCGGCGCGCTTTGCGCGTACCGAGATGGTGTTTATGCGGCGGATGTCCTCGACGATATCGACCCTCAGCTGCAGGGGCGAGGACTTGAAAGTGTGGAAGTAGAGCATGTCGCCCAGGCTGCCGTCGGTGAGGGCGGGGCAGAAGACGGGGATGTTGTTCTTCCAGGCCCAGTAGTAGACCGAGGACTCGTTGTTGATCTCTCTGCCGAGGCGGTGGATGACCTTCGAGGGCGTCCAGACCAGCTCGCCGTCGACCTCGGCGCCGTGGCTGTCGACGTGCCGGCCGGCCGCCTTGCTCGCCTCCTGCTCCTCGAGCATCTTGTCCAGGATGGGCACGACCCAGTCCTCGAAGGCGCAGTAGTTGGAGTTGGGCACCACCAGGTTGCCGATGCGGTTGAGCCCCTTGGCGCGGAGGTCCTTGCCAGGGGCGCTGAAGCCGCCCGGGGACATGTAGGTGTCGCCGAGGCACTTGATGAAGTCCTCCTCGATGCCACCGGCAGTGGTGACGATGGCGGAGACGTGGTTGTGCTCAACCAGGTAGCGCAGGACGCCGCGCAGGCCCGATGAGATGAGGTTGGAGGTGTAGCCCAGGAAGATGGTGGTCTTGTCCCCGGTCTCTGGGTCGCGCCAGGCGCGCATGTCGTTGATGATCCGCACGGCGTCGCACATGGACGACGCCTGGAAACCCATGTTCTTCATGCCCTGGTACAGGTCGTCGACGGTGATGGGCCGGCCCTTGAGCTTGTTGAAGTCGAGCTCCTCGACCTTCTGGGAGCCCTCGGGCATTTCCTCTGACTTGACGAGGACGGCATCCTTTGCGCCGGATGGGGCGCCGGCTGGGTTTGAAGCCATCGTGAGGTAAACGGAAATAGAGTTGTGGTGGGAGAGCCAGCCACTTGTTTGGCCTGGGTTGGGTTCTTTCTAAGTGTTAGGTGATGGATTGGGTCCGGGTGTCATGGCCGAAATAGGATGACTTTTGCAAAGTGATGAAAATTTGACATGGCCAATTGGTCGATGTTCTCTCATCGCTGGTGTGGTATTGATGTGCTGATTTTCATCACGTTCAGCTACTGAGTGATGTGTTCTATGTACATGTACATGGCTCGGTGTAGTGGCTGGTAATCTTGTATCATGATGGTCCTTGTAGACTCTTGTGGCTCTCAATTCATCTCATCTTTGGTCTGGCCATTGGGAAGAAGATCAGGAAAAGTGACCTGATATGCATGACATGGGCGGGCGGCAGGGCAGGGCAGGGCAGGGCAGGGCGTGGCGTGGCATGGATCTAAAACCTCGAATCTATCCGCCATCCCGCCCCTCGACCCCTGCAGCGCTTTGAATGTACACAAGTACTGAATGAATTGTACATACATCAGTGTTGTGTATTGGTGGCTCCATCAAAGAAACGCAGAGCACAAGTGGTGAGATAACAACGATCTAAACCATATTCGGTAGCAATGCAGGACTTTTCAACACCATCCTGGGCTAGTGCAAAGCGTAGCTCGGGTTCTTGGCCGATGTATAGCGAGGTACCTGTGTACCCTGCAGGGATTGGGTGCAGGCTGGGCCGGACAGGCCCAAGGGTCATGGTTCTCCAGCTGTTTCTGCGGCAGCAGCAGGTGGTGACTTGGAGACATGGAGACCTGGGATGCGGCTGTTGAGAACCAGCGCTAGCCTTAGTTCGATTTCATGTCTGGACTCTGGCGCCCACACGCCCACACGCCCACACACACAGACACACGCTTCGCTTGCTTTGGCTGGCTGGTTTGACTGGGCTGGGACTTGGGTTGACCTGATTGTTGGTTGATGACTTTGACTTCGACCATTCCTCTACACGACTGCATCTCCACCACACGAACCACACGAACCTCTACCAGAACACTCAACACGCTCCAGGGCATCACCTGCATCCCCTTGACCTGCCTTTTCATCCTTTCCGACACTTCTGCTTCCCCTTCGGCGTCGGTCCGGCCCAGCGGGGACCCTGTGTAGCCGACCTCAGCCCGCCCCAGTCTTCGCAATTCCCACTCTGCCTGCCACCCGACCGACATCGAAACTTGTCCACCAAGTCAGGGCAGCTCGTCTATCTGCTGGGTCCTGGTCCTCGTTCCCAGATCCAACTCTCTCGCGCCCTCCCAGCAGCCCTGATTCAGCCTTCGATCCGGACTGATTGACCTGACTGGCCTGACCTGACCTGGCCTTCCCAACGCAAGACGTGTGACTGCTGGCTGCTACTTCTGCTGCTGCTGGCTCGACCTGTCTGACCCCACTGCACAGTCAAAACCCAGTCTGGTGGTCCATTTTCGTCGAAATGTGCAACCTGTCTGCAGACATCTAGCAAGGACATACTGGGGCAAAGGCTGCCCTTTGGAGACATGTAGGCTTGACCTGTTCTGTTCCTCTATCTATCCTCCCCACCAAAAGACCCACGCAGTCGGCCGTCGTCAGTTTCTGTTTCTGCTTGCCTGGCCTGGTCTGGCGCGGCGCAACCCGTTCGTGTCTGTCGTGTCTTTTGTCGTCTAGACCCTCTCCTCCCATTCAGTCCAGTCCAGCCCAGTCCACTCTTGTCTTGTTGTCGCCTGCAGCCTGACTGCCCTGGCCTCTTTTTCTTCCATCGCTACTTTTTCTGTTCTGTGTTGGACTCCGCACAAGACATGCGACCGAATCATTATCGGCCGGGTCGGGTCTTTGACGGCCGCCCTGCTGCTCCGCGACCTCCACCTTTGCGTACAGACATATACCCAGATGATGTCCATCATGCTCAATATGACTACAGGTCCAGATACAACCCCCGCTACGACGACCGCCGCTCGCGATCCCCCAGGGACAGATCCCCTGACCGACTCACCGACCGAGCATCCCAGTACAGCGATGGTGACCGTCGACGAACCTCGGCCGAGTCGAGGACCAACGCCTCCGCCTTCCAGTCCAACAGGGACAGCTTCCGCGAACCCTTGACAGCTCGCGAGCCCCCACGCGCCCCCAAGGCTTACCTGGACCCTCCCAGCGGCCCCCGCGGCGGCTTCTCTGGCGACTTCAGAGGAAGGGGTCGCGGGCGCGGCAGAGGCTGGCGGGATGATAGCCGAGACCGCGGCCGCGACAGAGACTTCAGAGACAGACGAGATGACCCTCCACCATTCCGAGACGACCGTAGTAGGGAACGTGATCGAGACTGGCGAGACCGCGAAAGAGATAGCTTTAGGGGCCGCAGACCATCACCAGGCCCTAGACGTTCGCCACCCGGCAGAGATTTCCGAGATCGTGATCTTCAGATAGGAGTCGAGGCCGACCGAGCCAGGCGCGGATCGAGAGATGGAGGTCCTCTTAGCGCCGGATCCTCAGCATCAGACCCTCCGTTTGGTTCTCAGTCATACCGCGGAGGTGGATATCGTGGCAGGGGCGGTCGGGGCCGCGGTGGCGGGGACTGGGACCGCAATAGTCGCGGACGTCAATTCTTTGATGACCGACCGGATCGCTTCAGAAGCCGGTCACAAGAAGGTCGATGGGGCGGTGGCCCTCGTGATCGGGATGAACGCGACAGCCACCGCTACATTGACGCGGACGTACGACCCCGGGATGGCCCTAGAGACGACCGCGAACCTCCACGAGATCTACTGCGTGATACTCGCGATCCGCGTGATTCTCGCGACAACGCTGACCGCAACGTACGCCCGAAAATCGACCGACAAGGTTCTGTGGCCACCGAGCCTATGACCACTCCGACGAGTAAGCCGACAACACCACCACTAGCTCCCGTTGCCCCGGCTTTTGGTACTGCGCCAGTCCGTCCTACGCCCTCATCTGACACATCTTCTAAAGCACCACCTACGGCACCCCGTGCATTCACTGAAGACCGTCAGGACCGGCCTGTTTCCTCCGGACAGTCCGGTGGCGACCAATGGGCACCGCCTTCGGGACCTTCCAATTCAATTAGCCCCACGATCCCAACTGGGCCACGCGGCATGCAGCTCCAGAAAGCCCCTCGCCCGTCCAGTAAACAATGGATCAATCCTGCCTTGGCTGGAGGCAAGACTATGAAGTTACCGGAGTCTCCCAAGGTTAACCGATCACAGAGCTTCGCATCCCCACAGCAGTCTCGGCCCTTTGATCCCCGACCCGACGCCTACTCGAACCGCAGAAATGACGAGCCGCGCCGGCCTCGTAGTAGTGGCGCTGGTGCCGAGTCAGAAAGAGGTAGTGCAGACGGCAGCCTGCGTCCGTTGAGCATTCCTGAACCTGGCGATACAAGAATTGAACGTGGCACACAATCTGCGCGCGCCTCAATCGATCGCGACATCCGGGCGCCATGGAAATTCCCCGATATCAAGACGGGAGGTGCCGAGACATCAGACCGCGCTAGTGTTGCGTCCGCGATTTCTCCGACCGCTGTCAAGACCACCAGCCCAACCATGTCTCGCCCTGGTGAGCAGCAGGATGAAGACGCCGCGACCGCACAGGAGGATGGGGAAATTATTGAAGATCAGCCACCCAAGAAGAAAAGTCGCCTGCACATCAGCAGCAAGTCTTTCGAATTGCCGCCCAAGGTAACTGAGATACCTACCGTGGATCAGTCTTCCGATTCCGATGATGAAGACATGAACGATTACTTCGATTCGGAGATTGCCAAGGCAGAGTCTGAGCTTCAAAGGCTGGAACATGCGAACAACGCGGTGCCGACAGAAATTGTAATTCGGTATGCGCAAGTAACTCACGAGGCTCTGGTGGCGGTCGCTACAGAAAAAGGAAGTTTCAAGGATATGCTCGGTCCCATACCCGAGGACGTCGTGTTGCCGACACAGAAAGAGGTTACCCCAGAGCCCGAGAAAAATACCGCGGCGGAGCCAGTCAAGGCGGAGACGGATCATTTACCGCCACAACAAGACGTGAATCATGCAGCAGAGCCCACTGTACCCGCGGAAAGTGCCGTGAGCGAGCCTCAGCCGAAGGTGGAAGAGATGGATGTGGACAGCTCACATGTGCTGATTCCTACTGTCGAGCGGCCCGAGCCTGCGGAAGAGCATGGAGACGTCGCTATGGAAGATGCGCCCATAAACGGGCTAGATGCGACCATGTCTGAGGCGGGACCTCTTGTGCCAAATGGAGTTTCAGCACACGAGGGCAACCAGGAGCACTTGTTGCCTCCCGGAGTCGCACCTCCTATCACTGCCGAAAACAGCCCCACACCTGTTGAGGAAGAGGAGGACGAGACCGATTTTGAGGTGGACGATGTGACGCTTGAGCTCGTCCGGCCAACCATGCAGACGCCACCCGTCGACGACTTGCCTTATTTCAACGCGAAGCCTTGGACAAAAAGTAGGCAAGCCATGAGCTCCATGGAGCATGACACCGATGTTGAAGCTTTTATCTCGCGCATATTGCAAGACAACAGCATGTTCGTACGCAATGAACAAAAGGCCAAGAAATTGGAATATGCCGGGAAGTACGAGGAGTACCTGCGTTTTACTATCTCTGACGACCCCGTCGCCAGCAAAAGTCGAGACGCCTTCAACAAAGCGAACGCACCCATTGATGGAGGTGGCAGCCAAGTGGCAGGCCCAGAACCAAAACCTGAAGGGCGTCGTGGCGGCAGATTCGCAACGGACCGGGACATAGAGCGGATCATGGCCCAGTCTCTGTTGGAGGCGAGAGAAAAGGAGGAGCGTGAGACGCGGGCCGAGAAGCTAAAGCATCCCAGTACGAGTGAAGCTGTCATCCCGGACATGTACTGGACGAAGGAGGATCGTGACAAGGAGCTCTTTGTCGACCGCTCCGGCTTTCTCAACCCGGAGAAACTCATCGCGAACTGGCAGGTCCTCCCTCCTGCGGCCAACTTCACCGAGCAAGAGGCCCAGTTATTTGAGAAGGCCTACCTTGAATTTCCAAAGCAATGGGGCAGGATCGCAGACCAGATTCCAGGACGGGATTTCCACTCGTGCATCCAGTACTACTACCTCAAGAAGAAAGAGCTCAACCTCAAAGAGAAGCTCAAAAGGCAGCCCAAGAAGAAGAAGAGCAGGAAAACCAAGGCTCGGTCGAGCGCACTGGTTTCGGAGCTTGGGAACCCCGATGAGCCACAGGATGAAAACGCGGAAACAGGTGAAAATGGCGAGAGACGTCGGCCCCGCCGCGCGGCTGCTCCGACTTGGGACTTCGAGAAGCCCCACCCGGAGTCTGCGGAAGGTACACCCGCAGCCACGCCAGCACGGAGAGGCGCCGGAGGCAAAACGGAGAGTGGCACAGAAAAGCCGGACAAGCCACGTAGAAAACGCGCCACAAAGGAGAAGGAGCCGAAGCAACCCAAGACGCCACAGGTGCTGGCCCCAACGCCACAAGGCGTGGCCAAGGGAGCCAGGTCTCGGTCGAACTCCAAGGTCCCCGTGCCTGCGCCCGAGTTTCTACCTTCGCAGACCCCTACCGCCGATATGGGACGGACGCCACTGTCCTTTGATGTCGGGCGGGCGTCGCCAATGCCGGGTCTGCCGCCATCAATCGTTCCCGCACCTGGGCACGTTATGAGCCCAGCGGACAAGGCTCTGCCAGCGACCGCTGCTCCGAACTCGAACGCAAACGCTGCGGCCTTATCAGATATTATGGCACCCCCATCCCTGGGCCTGCGGCCTGAACCCATACCACCTCCGCAGTCACAGGTCGCCACCTTTGAGTTCACTGGTCACGTGGGAAGCACACCACATGTTGCAGCCGAGCCGCCGGAGCGGGTTGGTAGAGCCACCCCCTCCAATGCGAACGCTGCATCAAGCTACTGGAGCGTGGCCGAGATGAACAATTTCCCTGAGCTGCTGAGAAGCTTTGGTACGGATTGGCAAGGAATTGCACAGCACATGACTACCAAAACGGCTACAATGGTAAGTTTCATTCCCTAAAATAGGCTCTACATGCGAGACAACAGACATTCTAAAACACAGGTGCAGGTTAAGAACTTTTACAACAAGCAGACCGGCCGCGAGAAGCCAGAATGGGGACAAATTGCCTCGGAGGCTGACCAGAAGGTTCAACGAGGAGAGAAATTGCCTGTTCCTCCAACGCCAACTGCCGGGCCGAGGAATAAGCGATCTGACTTCGGCACTCATCGCCGCGCTCCTTCAGTAGATGTGGGAGAGGACAGTGCTGCAGCCAAGGCAGAGAAGCAAAATGCCCAACGGGAGCAAGCGAGCGTCTTCAATGGCCGTGTCCCTGTCCCTATTGCCCAGGCGCCTGCTCAGCAGCAAATGCGGCAACAGCCGATCATTGGCCAGTCCTCATTGTCAGAGAGGATTGAAGGACCGGAGAGACAGGAGCGCAAGCCATTGGTATCCTCACAACCCGTTTCACAGGCGATAGAGCCGGCCGGACGCCATGCTAGGTCTTCTTCAGCGTTCCCTCCTGAGAGGGAAGCCGAGCCTCTTGTTCCGCAGTCTCAGGCAATGCGTCATTCGCTCAAGCCAGCGCCAATATCTCAAGCTGTAGAGCAGCCAACACTGCCGTCTCAGGCAGGTCCGTCTCGCGCGGGATTCGCAGCCCCCGAGCCCGACGTTGCAGCACCTTTCAACATGCTCGCAACTCCCAGACAGCGCAGGCCGCCTGCTGACATACAGGCCAAGGAGGAGCCGCGCCTCATCGAGAGACAACCACCCCGCCTTAAGCAAGAACCCGACCAAGCTGCCCATTTCGAGCCTTTCGTTCCATCGCAAGCACCCCGACCCACGTCCACAAAGCCTGTGCCTGTCGATCGAAGGCCGGAGCCGCCGCGGACCACGGCGCCTCAACACCCACAGGCCTTTGCTCCTGTGTCGGCTCATCAGATGATGCAGCGCGAACCGATGAGAGAGCCAGTGAGAGAAACCATGAGGGAGCCCATGAGGGAACCTATGAGGGATTCATTGAGGGAGCCTATTAGGGAAACCATAAGGGAGCAGCCAATAATGGCTCCTCCGGTCGATGAGCGACGGGCCCCAAGCGTGCCGAGTCGTGTGCCGAACCTCAACATGATTGACACGCGTGTGCAAAACCCGATGATTCCGGGAGAAGGCCGTACTCCCAACTCAGCCATGGTCGAGGATTTGCGCCGCGTGCCAAATCCAAACATGGAGCCATCCCGAGTTTCCAATGCGAACTTCGCCGACCCAGTTCCGGCTCGCGTACCGAATCCAAACATGATCGATACCTCTGCGCCACCTCGTGTGCCCAATCCTAACAGTATTGAGACACCTACACGAGTGCCTAATCAGAACATATTCGACAATGCGTACGGTGCATCTCCGTCTCGACCCTCACCTACGCCATCTGCTAGTGTACCCCCATCCAGACAACCCGATCCGCCTAAGAAATCGAACCTTTCTTGGTTGCTGAACGATGATCCACCGGCTCCACCGGCTCCAAAGAGGGTTGACGAAGTAGCCCGCGGCGGAGATATGTCATCTAGCCCGCCTCCTCAAATGTCCGGCCGTGGACCACCGCCTCCGGCTGCTGGTGCTCCACCACATATGCGAAGGGAGGAAACACCGACGTTCTCGCCATATTCACGCACTCCAGCGCAGTCTGCAATGCCGGCGCTCAAGCCATACAGCACGCCTCATACCCAGTCGCCGCAGTTGCAACACACTGGTATCCCTCGATCATCCATTGCGTCTCCCATCGAGGCCGCGGCTGCTGAGAGAGACTACTATGGCCGTAATCCATATGCTCCTCAGCACCAGGGCCCTTCGTCAGGATCTCCTCACCAGCCACCTCATCACTATTCTTCGCCGAGCCAACAGTCACCGATGGTGTACCCGCCGCAGTCAGCTCCATTTCCTTTTGGTGCGCAAGTATCTCAGCCACACGCGGCTTCTCCCACAATGCAATACGCGCACCCGTCAACAACTAGGAGGGAGGTAGGACGTGATCCACGTGAGGCTCGCGACCCCCGCGACCTTCGCGATCCTCGTGACCCTCGGGATGGCCGTGATCCCCGCGATCCTCGCGATTATCGTGATGTCAGGGAATCAGTACCACCCAGTCGTGAAACAGCCTGGCCGGCTCCCCAGGGCCAGTCTCCAAGTGCAGCAAGACTTCAGCAGCAGGAAGTCTCTTGGCCGCCATCCAAGGTGTCTCAGCCGCCTCCACCAGCTCAATCTCCGTGGGGCTCTCAGCACGCTGCATCAAGCAAGCTGCAGCAGATGAGAGAAACACCCCAGCCATCTTGGTCGGCCGCGCCTCCCCCTCATCCGGGCCTCAGGGAGAGCATTCAGAGAGATCCAAGGGATTTGAGAGACCCGAGAGACCTAAGAGACCCAAGAGAAGACCCATATGCCGCGCGTGCCAGCTTGAGGGAAAGCGTGCCGCCGAGAGACCTGCGCGAAGAACGCTATATGATTGAGACTCAACAAAGGGCCGCGGCCGAATCAAGAATGTCGGCTGATCCGCGCATGGTCGTTGACCCCCGAGACCCACGTGTCATGGGACACCCACATCACCAGCATTCTCACTCAGGATCCATACCTAGCCGCATGTACGTAGCGTCTCCAGCACCAAGAGAAGTCCTTGGTGGGCCGCCTCCGGGGCCTCCCCAGTCACAGACCCCCGTGTTCCCGCGCTATGCCACTCCCGGCCCACGCGACCCACGCGACATGCCGGCCAGAAGTTACACGCCTGCCCCATCGCAGCAGCAGCAACAGCAGCAGCATCAGCAGCAGCAACAACAGGCATACGAGATGCACATGCGAGAGAGAGAACGGGAAATGCTGCAAAATCGCGAAATCCGTGAGAGGGAGCTGCGGGCCGCCGAGGACCTCAGGGCCATGAGGGAGATGCGGCCCGGCCTGCGGTCAGACGAGTACGGCATGGACCCCAGGGCCCGCGGGCCCCCAGCGGACCTGCGACCACCGCACGAGTACGGCGCAGAATTCCGTGGCGAGCTGAGAGGTGGTCCGCCCCCCGGGGATCCTAGAGGGGACCCGAGGGCGGATCCCCTGCGGCGGCAGCTGAGGCCGCAGGATGGATATCCTGGAGAAAGGAGGTACTAGGGTGTGACTTCTTGTTGGAGTGAGGTGTATCCATTCCTCGGTCTTGGTTGAAGGCGCGCTGCGGCCCCCAGAAGTGGTTCATGGTGCAATGTTGAAGTAAACTCGAGAGAAGACTCGGATTACAAGAGAGAACAGAACAGGCTTCGTGTCTGAGTGGTTGTCCTGGGCCGTCCCGTCTAAGAGTTAGAAGGCGATGGGCGGCGAATTATCTCCTTACCTGTTTGTATGTATGTATGTATTCATGTGTCCATGTGCGCGTGTAGAAGTTACTCATGGCGGTGGTTTTTTGGGGTTGGTTGGTGGGAAGGGGGGGGGGGGTTTTCCCAGGGGTTGCCGGAGCGGCTTGTGCATGGACGGGCTTGATCTAAGAGTTGCGTGTGGGTAAAAAGACATAACAGAAAATTGGAGTCATGGTTTCTTTTCTTCTATTATTCAACGACATCCGAAAAGTTAATATGTCACTAATAAAGTTCGCATTAATATCAGGCAGTCCCTCTCGTGTGTAAGAAGAGACTGGGCTGTCAGGGCCGGGTATGTGTATGATTTGAGTATCACGTTCATTATGGGAGGACAACCTTTAACGGAATAATTTTCAACGAGACAACATCCGACTGCTTAATCTCCATCAGAATACCCTGCTGTGGGATAGACTGCTGTAGAAGAATCTCCACTACGATAAACTCCTCTGGGCAAACCTTCTCTGGATTGCCTTTTCGATGATAGTCCCACAGGCTGAGGTAAGCTATCTTGTAGGATCGACCCTTGTTTTTTACTTGCCGGTCCCTTCTTGGGCTCGATGAGCTAGGCAAAATCTCTGGGATGATCCTTGCCGCTATACTGCGCAGAACACTAAATAGCGCCTTATCAACCGACGACCATCAGCTCTGGCAACGTTTCCGGCTTCACTCAACTCAAGGAGTGCTCCACGACGACCAAGTCAGCGGCAGAAGTCAGTGGCAGAAGCCGGGCAGGTCATCCGTCGCGTTCTCTGCCGAGCAGGCCTGCGCCAACGCCAGCTCATACTGCAATACACCAACGTCGAATGCCTTCCTCGCGTACACGGCCGAGTACACCCCAGTGGCCACCCCGATGACCGCGAGGACGCCGAATGCGATGGCGGTCCAGAACGTCCAGACATCGCGGGAGTTGGTCCCGTCCCTGTCGAGCAGGAACTGAGCCTTGCCCCTCGGGGGCTGCGAGAGGATGGCTGCGATCTCCTCGATCTCCTTGCGCCAGAAGTGGTACCTCTCTGTGTCCAGCTGCCGGTCCCTGGTGCAGCTCCCTAGCCCGTAGAACGAGGTGACCTTTCTCTCTCGCTTTAGGAAAGCCTCTGTCGCTTCGTCGCCGAACGGGAAGAGGAGGTTGAGCGTGTCTATTGCCTCAGTGAGCACTGACTGTGACAGTATCGGTGGTGGGTCCTTCTCGCCGTGTGGACTGTTCCACTGGCCCTTATTCCTTGCAGATAGAATGTGGTTCCACAGACAGATTTTGTGCTCGTATATCGTAATGGTTCTGCTATCGGTGTCGATCTTGAGATGGTCGGCCAAGTTGGATGTCCAGTGAGGGCGGAAGTCATAGGCCTGGAACAGGTATGCCATGGTGCATTTTGGCTCAAGCTTTGTGCCTTGAGATAGAGGAATAAGTTGCTCGCTGCATTGTCTCCTGTTCTCGAGGCTTCCGAGAACGAAAGCTTGTAGTGTGCTGTCGTCAATCCAAACGTATGACAACTGTCCGGGAAACACAGCCGGGGTATTCCTAGAAGCCGACATGCAAGACGCGTCGGACGGAATATGAATATTCAACGTGGCCCATAAGCGAGCTGCCAGTTCTACGCAACGCCAAATCAAGTCTCTGTTCTGGTCTGAATCAACAGACCCGTCCGGTGCCACCATCGACGCGGCGAGCTCCGCTGCTCGCTGCCTCGTCAGATTGGCTTCATTTTGGAACACCGAGACGAGCCGCAAAGCGTCCAATAAGTTCTGGATAGGGCTTGGCTCGGGGCAGAATGAGTTGAAAATCTCGATTTGTGCGTCAGCAAAGCGCAGAAACTCCGCGTAATGCTCTTCATTGATGTCAGATGGTTTCAGGCCTGGCCACAGCTCTTGGATCCATGTCATGTCCTCGCCAGGGTGATTTGAGCGATGAAGTTTTGAGATCACGAAGCCACGCATGTTGATTCTTAACAGCGAGAAAAACTGGTCCCATCTGGTTCAGTACAAGAAAGAGCCAGAGCAGCTTCTCATCAGTCTATCAGAAACGCAGCGCCATGCAGTACTACGACGACCGAATGGGGGGAGGGAGGAAAACCAGCGATTATCAGCCGATTGGGCAGACCCCAGTCTGCCTCGTAAGGTTGATACGAATGACGGCCACTATCAAAACCCAGCGAGGGAGCTAGGTGCTGGCCGCTGCAAGCCATATGCAGCTGTGAAGCCAACGAGCAGCAAGAACGCCCGCTGCTATATGCATCTTCCTCGGGCTAGTGGGAGCGGGACTAATTCGGGGGGTCACAATTTCCAGTTGTCACTATCTCTTAATTTCAGGGCTGGCTCATCACTGCAGTGATCCCAAATACCTGGCACAACTCATCTTCCTTCAGTTGACCACGGCATACCTTTCAAAGTGCAGAAACGAACATGAATCCGAAGCCAATCAAGGATGACGAGACTGTCAAATGACCAATGTCTGAATAGTCAGGATTCTGACGCTGCCGGGCAAAAAGGACCGAACACCGGGAAAACTGGTAGTGCTCCCACAGGAGAACATCTACACGGGCCAAACTCAGGCTTGAACCCCATCGAGGCTCGCGTGCTAGCGGACGCCGAATCAGTCCCGACGCCACCTGCTAGTACGTCAGGACAGCCACCTCAAGAAGATGAGGAAATCGAAATTGGCATATCGTCCTCCACCGTACGTCTTTTTGCAGGGAGGCTATACCTGGCGCTACCAAATGTTCGACCTCCCGGCTTAAAGGAGGATGAGATAAGCGATCTCATCCAACATCTCGAAACGGATCTGAAAGCAGCCCTCGGGAAAATTAAGGCCAAGAGCCACCGCAAGCCCTGGAAAGAAAGCAGTCTTATCATCAATATGCGAATGTCAGGGGCTCTGGAGGATGGCGCGACCAAAGTTAAGCTTAAGCCATGTATCTGGCTCTTCTGTGGAAGCCGATGGTGCCGCAAAATCATCGAGAAGGAAGTTAAGAAGCTCAATTGGCGCCTCCCATGCGGCATTCAAATCGTGGACAAGGGAGGGCCATTGCTGGCAGCAAGTGAAGACTCAGACGAAGGTTATGCCGATGACGATCCAAGCGAAGACGATGACTCGACTTGCTTGGCTGGTTTTTTCAATGTCTCACACAGCATGCCTGCCTTTGCGCCAGGTCATCCGCACTGTGCCACAGGCTTAGACACAACCAGGGGCAGTGAACATGGCGAGAACATCTCATCTGCGGTATTATCGCCTTCTGGCTCGCATCGGTTGGAGGAGCAAGAGAATATCTTGGCGTGGAGGGCGCCCCTCAGCCCTCCAAACAGCGTGAGCGCGGCGCCTCTCTCGAGTTCCAAGTCTGTTGGATCGGGGGCCTCAAGTACGCCTGCCCTGCCCAGCCGTAAGAACGTCGTCACCTACGCGATACACCGTTCAGGTCGGTCGTCGAACTCACGGCATGACCTCGAGACGCGGAATGTTTATCCATCAGGTCCCGGTTGTCGTGCCATGCGCAGGAGATCGCGTGCGAGCTTCTCGGACAGTGAACATGTGGCAGAAACCAATCTGAAGCTCTTGGACGACATGATCTTGGAATTCTATGTCCAGGAGAGTCCCACAAACTCAGCGATTGGCTTGGTATGCCGCTCAACAATACGAACGCATCGAGCGATCGTTTCAGAAAGGTTTTCGCGGATGGGCGGCGTGATTACTGTCACGCGAGGTTTGGAGACCACGCTCTACGGTGTTACTTCCGGTCACAGTCTGATCTGCCAGATACTTGAAGATGCACCTAGTGGTACTGACGATTCACGCTGCTCATTCGATAATTACTCGGATATATCCAATTCCAGCGGGGACTCGAATTCCGATGACATGTCAAAAGACAATCACAGCCACGGTCATGATCCACTTCCTCCTTACGAGACCACAAAGAAGTGGATAAATGCCAGTCAGGGCTTAATAGCAACTTTCGTTGGCTTACATGCCGATTCGAGGCAATTTGGGATGATTCCTCGTGAGACATCAGTCAAGAGTGGGAGGATGGTTGGCGATCTGGCACTGATAAAGTTACCCAAACATTGTGCTCGAAGGCTGCAAAATCAATTCGTCGAGCCCGTTAAGCCCAGAGACAACTCACCGCAAGAAAAGGGTCTGAATCCTCCGGTGATCGAGGCTGACGATGGCGAAAACGAATTATTCGTGCTACTGAGTAAGACACGCTCAGTTGCGGGATCCCGCGTCACAGGCACATTTCATTTCAGTGTAGGAGGGAGGAAATTAGAGACTGAGAGGATTATGCTGTCGGAAGATCTTGGTGAGTATATGAATAACGTGCTTGCCCAGATGAGCCTGCTAGTACTAATCTCCGATGTACCTAGAACTTGGGTCTTCAGGCGCATGGGTGGTCGAAAACGATATCCTTTATGGAATGGTTATCGCAGTCGTTCCCACGGAGCGCTGCGCTTTGATCTTACCCCAGAAGCGGATGTATTCTGATATAAAGAAGATGTTCCCGGACGCAACTAGTATTCTCGTCAGCTCGGAAATCCCTGCTGTTGTTCATCCACCCGTTGAGTGGCTTGGGGGTTGCAAGAGGCAAGTGTATTCCGAATGTCAGAATGGGAATACTAGAGGAATTTTCACTCTGAATGGAAAGGGCAAGGGCAACGCACAGGCACGACGTCTTTCTATAGTATATGAGCAGGAGAAAGGCACTTCAGTAAGGACTTTTGTGAACAGGAGCGCCAGTGGGCCTCGTAGAAGTCGACGTGAACCGGCTCAGTACTACACGTAAACGTTGTACTTTCTAAACAAAACGGATGATCCCAATCGCATTATTATATATATCTTAAATAACAAGGTTTCAGATTGTTTAACTATTATAAATATATTATTATTAGAATAGTTTATAAACGCCCGTCCATCGTCAGGCAGAACGCTCAGTGATGTATCCTCTTCATTTGCAGCTATCGAATTTTCGGGGATGCGTTGAGAGTATGTCTCAGGGTGTACGACTGGAAGAAGAGCCTTGTTTCAATAAAGTTCATGCTATGAAGAACAATTGCTCAAGACAAACAAAAACAAAAAAGAGCATTGTGGATTCGCCACCGAACTCCTCCCGCCCATCATCCCTTGACACACGGGAGGAGATGTGAAGAAAATCACAAACCAGAGTCCCTAGGCAGAGGCAGCTTCTTCTTTTTCTCACGAAGCTCCTCATCCGTCGTTTCGCATATTGTCTTGGCCATCACCGACCACAGCGACTCAGTCCGACCCTCCGTCGCCTCCTCCTTGTCGGCGTCTTGCTGAATAGTCCCAGAAAGTGAAGGATCTGACGAGGACCCACTCCAGGTCTGCGAAGGGGCTTTGGAGCCAGGCGCGTGCTAGTTGCTATCGGCGTTACTGGAGCCCTCGGGCGCGTCGCCGGTTGGGCTGCCGGGGCTGCAGTCGATTCCCTGTGCCTTGAGCACCCTGATCACATTTGAACAGAACTCGTCGAGATCGGCCCATGGTTTCTGGCGGTCCAGTGCGTCATCCTGAGAAGGGGCGCACGGTGATAGTGTCCGAGGCGACGGGGACGAGGCTCGAGGCGGTAGGGACGGAGCCTGAGGAGGAGGGTTGGTAGAGCCAGATGGTTGTGGTCTTCTTGCCGCATTCAATTCATCTTGTGATGGCTGCAGAGCCCCTGATTTGTTCTGACAATTGTCATTAGATATCGCCCAAGCTGAAACGCCTTTGAGGACACATACAACGGCCTTGACAACTAATGTTCGGTTCCACTTGCGCAAGCCGTTCAACCTGGCCCAGGCCAGGACCGCAAGCTCCCTGGTTCGAAACTCCACCCAGCAGTAACCGCGGTGGAGGCCACTTGCCGGCGGTCGGGTGTCCCAGTAGAGCTTGAAGCCCTCCGCGTTGATGCCTTCGGCGGTTAGGAGGCTCGCTACCTCGGTCATTTCGATTTGCTGCCAGATTTGCCCCAGGTAAATGGAGCGATTTGCCGCGTGGGCAGGGAAGTTGGGCAGGGGCAGGTTGGTCATCTGAATCGAAGTTGTCAGCGCAAATAATTATGACGAAATGACTTGTCATTGAGAAGTACCGTGGCGATTGTCGTATGGCTACAGACGATTTGAGCTGCGACGCAGTGGTTAGGGATCTTGTTTGTGGGGTTATGACTCTTCAATCGGGTAGGACTATGGGGCTGGAGAGATCAGAGTATAGGGCAAACATATTTAACGTATAGCTCCTCAAGAACGCGTCAGAACTCGCGCAGCACGTTGTTTTTCCAGTGGGCGGTGACTGTCTGGTTGAAAAGTTTTGATATATCAAAATATACTCACTTTGTTGTCTGATGAATGACGAGAGATGCGAGTGCTGTACATGATTTGGGCTGCAGTGGCTTGGTGTTTTGTTTTGTAGTATTTTTGTTCGTCCAGTGGTATTGGCTTGCAGTTTTGCGCAAGTTTTCATTGAGGTTTTCCTTGGGTGCGCAAAGAGCCCATCCTTCCCACCAATTCAAGCTCACCTAACCAGGTACCTAGCTACCTAGCTCTATCAGACTTGAAGTACAAAAGTCAGTCTACGCAGATCTCAAGCTGCAGGACATTCCTGAGGCCTTGTCCTTACACTGCTCAAAGCATTGCAAAAGGCGCATTTCATCTCACCGACTGCGTTTCAATCTGCTGGCTTGGATAGTTTTGCAACAAAGTCTCGGCCTGGATTCACGACAATTTGCTTGACACCTCTACACTGAGTCCCGAGATTCTGTAGAACACTGGCCACTAAACATGGCTACGCCTCTGAAGCCTCGTCGAGACACGCCGGAAGGGAGCCCTTCACGGTCGCTTGCCCCTGAAAACAACCCTCCTGAGCCTGACCATGAGCCCTCTCAGCTTTTTATAGAAGACGTACCGTCAGACCCAAAAGAATGCAGCCGATGCCACAACGAGATATCTCTTTGTGGCTTTGTGCGCAGCGCCAAGGATCGCAGCACCAAAGGGTTCAGACCAGAAGAGATGAAGGTGTGCAACAAGTGTGCCTTTGACCAGCACAATGCGCGCGCAGCAGGAGAACACAAAGACAGGGTGCCGACGAGCGAGAGGATGCAGAAACAGCTCAGCGAGGAAGAGTACTCGGAGCTTTACGGGGCAGAGGCGATCATCAAAAGGTAAGAAATAGACATCCATCAGGGTACTTGCCTTAGAGAGTTGCTAATATTCTCAAAGGATACCGGCGGGAGGGAAGAATAACAACAAAGATGATGGCGACAGCGATGAGGTTGAGTACGTTCCACCTGAACTTTGATGCGGTTGATAAGTCGGACGGTAATGAAGAGGAATTTGAAGGTTACAAGGCTCATGTGAGAATAAGCTGCATGTTCCACTTGAGACGCAGGCTACAGCTCGACTGGCTGGTTTTGTAGTAAAGGTGAGCGAAGTTGTACAGAATCGAAGTCCTCATTCGCGCAAAAAGGGGTTAGTGAGCCTCCTAGAGATATTTGATGCGTTCATGGAGGAACCCGAGTCCTGTTTGCTTCCCTCAACGCTAGTGTAAGCCTTCGCGGCCAAATCATGACTTTCGGTTCTGAGATTTTACTGTTATCTCCTGAAATTCAGTGATTTATCAAGATTCTGACCTGTAATGACAAGACATCCAGTGCAATTAACTTGCCTCTTGGAGGATAACCTACAGGATAACCTACTCTGGGATCACTACTATTAGGATGATCAACTCTATGATGGTCTCCTATGCAATCGCATCCAAGCAGATCCCTTGATTAAAGACAACTAGTGAGGATGAATCCGGGTGTCTACTCAAGAAATGTGTATCTTTCTAGGATGCACCTACACTTCCAGCAAAGAGTCCCTCATGGTTTGTACCATATTTCCGCGAGAGAGATTCATCCATACCGTTCGCAGAAATCAGTGGTACAATGTGACATTCTGTCGATTTTGGATTTCTGAGCGACCAAACAAGTTCATCTTCGACAACAATGATGTCCGACAACTTTACACTTTTTAGTGAGCTACTTGGACTGCGGTACACTAAAATTCGACTTGGTTAACGGTTGCTTTAACAGGTTTCTAACAATAGGAAGGGATCTTTGAGTTGGCCGACCCCTAGCGGACCTGCTAGCATCTCCAAGGTCACCGAACGCGAGTCTACACAGCTGGCGTCGTCGATGCTCACTTTTCATGGTCTTCTCTGCGCCAAAGTTGATCCCTGAGCCATTCAACTTCTCCATCATCCTCTTCTTGTTCCTCATCATCGTACTCAAGATCTGGGTCACTCTTGCCAAGAACAACTGAATGGTCCACATACTCCGGGAGCGGTCCAATACCCATGGTATCTCGCATGACCGAAAGGAGGAAGGTTAAGCAGAGATCTGGCACTTCCATTGCTCTGGCTAATGAACTGTGGTCCGGGGCTTGTTTGCCTCGAGATGCCCAAATGGTTGTAGCCGGACCAGTCTCAATCCCGGCGGCCGCAAGTCGGATATATGGGCACAGTCTGTCCGGGTCAAAGCCCTGCATAGGTACGGAAAGATTCAGAGTGACCGATGCTGTTGCAATACCTTCGAAATGGTCGGCTTTGGCACTGAAGCGGCCGATCCTTTGCTGCTCTTCGTTCGTGTTGCAAATCCAGGAACTAAGACCTTCAACGAGGGAATTTGCTGTCGCTATCTCAGGTTTCACCCGAAGTTTCTGCAGGATCTCCCCACCTAATCGACTCCAAAATTCTGTAGAGGAGCGATATTGAGGGTTTTGCTTTAGCTCAGCCCTGTGCATGTCTACCATGCCAACGACATGGATCTGGCCATGCCCATAGTAGACAGCATCATCACCGCGCAGATCCTGATCGGTGAGGACCTCCGGAGTGCAATCATGCTCTTTGAGATCTGTACAGTCTCCGTCGTAATCAGTCTTGCCAGTGAACTGATTCTCGTAGACCCTGAGATTTGACTTCAGCGACGACAAGTCAGAGGTGGTGAGCCGAGCCGCAAGTTGCGGACTGACCACGTAGCTCGGCGTCGGTCCAAAAATGAACAAGGTGGCTGGAGGAAGGGGGCGGGGAGCAACAGGTTCCTTGCGGGAGGCCAGCAGCCGTTGGCGGTATTGTTGGCAAATAGCCTTGATCTTCGAATAGGGCAAGCCATCTCTCCTTTTGGAGTTTATGTTGACAGTCCAACCCCGAATCCACTGCAGATGGATTGTGGGACGCATTTTGTGTTGGTTTGTCGTGGTTTCGGGAAAGTCCGTTCAATGCCCAGGTGGGTGTTCTGTGGGTTGTTTGTTATGGAGTGGGAGACGTAAAAACCCAGAGGGAGCGGTGCTTTTGAAAACGCGGAAACGTATGAGACAAGCGGAAGCGTGTGAGACAAGGGATAAGAAAAGCAAATCTGCATAGACTTCTACACGGATACTGTACCCATAATACATTGAACTAATTCTCAGCTATCCCAATGACGAGGTCGAGTTTTACCAGCTCACAAAGACCTGACCTGTGTGGAGCTTCACGCACCTGTGTCTGCCAAGTCTCCAGTCTGTCTAGGACTTGCTTGTGCTAGAACAGCTGCAAATAGCCGGCTGTAATATTAACGAATGGCAACTAGACAGACCGGCATGCTCAGCTAGGAAACAAGTGCTTCGCCCTTAGATACGTGTAACCTTCCATTGACAATTAGCTCGGACCTGCCTTCCAGACAGTCAGTTGGCAAGTATCATTACACAGTTGACATATGAAGCAGGGTGGCGTAGAAACTAGGGCGGTATAGGAAGCGTGGTTGTACAGGAGGCGTGGTAATGTAGGAAGGGCGGTTGCTTTTTCAAAATTGAAATTAGCGCATGACCTCTCCAATGATCCCACGCCAGCCTTTTCGTCCGTGGCAACCTGGAGTATTGGGAGAATTGGGTGGCTCGCCCAGCGTGCGGCTTTGACAACTAGTAGGTCGGGTTCGGATGCTCGAGGCAGCGGAAGGATTCAATCTTGGAGCCGCATCGCCGTTTTCAATCCACCGGCCGACCGGGTTGGAAAGTCAAAATAGTTCATTACAAGAAGGGGTTGGTTTCAACGGCCGTTGATTGGAAGACACGCTGCCAAACTACCAATGGCGCCTGTAGTGCTGACTCCCGCTGTCTTACTTGAATCGGAGAGAGCCGGGTGAACGATGTTGCACCTTCACACATCATCCAGCCTGACGATATGCTTGTCACAGCTTGATACCATTGCGTGGCGCAATACCTCAGGCGTAGAACAACAACCATGGAACCGCAGAACGAGCATGTTGCTGCCCCTGCGTCTACTCAGCCAATTTACTACTTGCCCCTTGAGACCCCACAGACGATCCGACTGATCCACGCCCGGCGTCTGTCTGCAGATGGGCGAATCATTATAAAGCTGAAGCATTTTTCTCTGTTTGAAGCACAATACCCACGTTTTACGGCAATATCGTACGTCTGGGGAGAGAAGAAGCTGCATCCGCAGAAAGTCGTGATCAACGGACGTACGTGTCAGGTTCTGGAGAGCATCTATCCCATTTTGGCTCTTATTTCTGACGACCCCGTTGTGAAGAAAGACGTGTGGTTCTGGATCGACTATTTGTGTATCAACCAAGATGATAGTCTCGAACGGGCTACACAGGTGGCGCTTATGGGGAACACTGTATCAACGGGCGTTCAGGACCCTGGTTTGGTTGGGCGAGGACACGCCTGAGGTGCGAGGCGCATTGGATTTGTTGAAACTGTTTGCGTCGAATTCTTCAAACAGTAGGGACGAGTGGTCGTGGGCAGGTCAAGGCCCTATTTCTCCTGAGAAGTGGCAGGCCCTGCGGCACTGGATGAGGAGACCATGGTGAGTCAATTCCACAGCGCCAAAGTAGTTCAACATCGAGACAAATCATCGTTGAAGAGGCGGTCGCTCCTCGGGCCATTCTATTATGTTTGGGCTGACAAGTTGAGTCTTAGGTGGACAAGAGTCTGGACCCTACAAGAGTTTCTGCTGCCTCAGAGTCTCAGTTTCTACTGCGGAAATCAAAGCATCACGAGAAGCGACTGGGGAAGAGCAATCACCACAATCTACAACTACTCTACGGTATCACGTATTTCCTTTGAGTCCCTCATCGATCACAAAGGATTTGGCAACCAGTGGGCTCGGAGAAGGCTACTAGCATATTACAAGCATTCAACCATGGGACTGGTTGCGCTGATGGCTTATATTGGACATCATGAGGCAACCGATGACAGAGATCGCGTCTACGCCGTCCTCGGTATTTGCAACGACACAGACCGTGCTATCGTCGGAACACCAGATTACACCATCTCAGTGGAGGAGCTGTACACCCGGATCGTTGTAGGCTTCATGCACCAGCACAAGAGTCTCAACATTTTGTGCCACCGGGCACTGTTCACAAAGCCGCACCCAAGCTCGGAGGAGCCGGGCCGACGAACACCTACATGGGTACCCGACTGGCGATGCTGGACTGATGCTGCTTCTCGACCCGTACCCTCCATGGTGAGCGAGCCGAGCCGACCTGAGATCGGCAACTTTCACGAGATCCGTGACCCGCAGCATGGCGTGGTCGACCCGAACCTTGTTTACGCAGCATCTGCAGGGCTCCCTGCCGAGTTCTCGGTATCTGCAGACAGCCGCCGCCTGACGTGCAAAGGCATCGTGATCGACATCATCGATGGACTTGGCCCGGTCGGTCAGCGCGGCCCCGGTGGAAGACTGTATGGGTACTTGAACTCCACCCTTATCCAATCTACATCAGATGCGAACACCACATGCTTAGGGCCCGGATCCGATCCTGGGCAGCAGCCTGCAGGCAGCCGCGCCGCATCACTTACCATCTTGGAATCTTTGGTCCGCAGCTTGTCCCTCGACCGCGCGGGCCGGTATCTCATGTGGCCTGCAGACGTGGACGGGTATGTACATCAGCTACGAAACGCCCTCCTTGGTCCTGCGCTGGCAGCACCCTGGAACGACGTGGGCAGATTCGTCGCCGCGAACAACGAGCTGTGTGTCCTAAGGGCTAGCGTTTCCGAGCACCTTCAACTGGTAGGCCCGCCCCCGGACCCGATACCCGCGGCGAACACTCTTTATGGCGAGCTTCGGAATGCACAGTGGGTGAACGGTCGTGGGATTGCAGGCTTATCACTACAGATCAGGGACACATGGGTATGGCACCTAGGCAAGTAATGAAGGGCGATGCAATCGCTGTGCTTATTGGATGCAGTGTCCCTGTGATACTCAGAAGATCTGCGGGCACAGAGGAGTACGAAGTCGTTGGAGAGGCTTTCATGCCTGGATTCATGAAAGGGGAGGCGATTGATGGCAATAAGACGCCAAGTATCATTACTCTCCTATGAATTGTTCAGAAATTCAATATCGAAGATGCAGACAAGACCCCGTTTTTTAAAACTCTAACTTGTGTTATGGTATCTGTATTTCGGTATTGTTGATCTGCTTGTTTGGTCATTTTTTGCGCAAGCAACAAGGTACCTCTCTCGGTCCAATTTGATGGGTTGTGTGAGACCTCGCCCAGACAGATAATAACTATAATATACCCCATGATCACAAAAACTTCATCTGTTAGTGTTGTTCTGTTTGCTATTGTCACATACGCTATTGGATCAACAGCGCCGCCTTCCTAAAAGGAAGGGGAAAAAGTGAAAAGATTATTATGGAGCCCTCTGTGGCTTTCTGACTTCCCCCTATGGAAGTTATCCAACACGGAGGTAGTTTATAAGAGATTATTCTAAAAGAGGTTGTCCGATAATTTGTTATCCTATAGCTGGTTATCATATAATTGGTTATTCTATAAGAGATAACTTTATCTCTTTATAAACACCACCCCCTTTTAGTTAACTTATTCCGTATGTAGATACTGTGGCCACGAAGTGGATACTCGGGCTTAATGCCCTCATAAGGAGGAGATTGACGATTGTATTCAGAGGAGCAAAGATGAAAAAAAAAACCAGCCAGTTTCAGAAAATATCCACCCCCTCTCTGCCGAATTTCTTTACGTGACAGCCACTGCGAAGTAGTGCTAGTAGAGACGTCTACCATTTGTGTTTACCAATTATTGGCCTGAAATCTTCCAACATTCCATGCAACCACCGGTGACGAAAACTTCATCTGATTTGAATCTTAACCGCACGGCAAGAGTTCAGGTGTTGTCTCTCAACCCTATACCAATCGTTCGTCAAAAGGTACTCCTCAAAGTTACTCGAATTGGAGGCGGTGTTACTTGCTTGACTCCACTTGTCCCAGACGTTGCTTTATAGAAACAATCACAGCCCTTGTACGGTCCAGTTGCTTTTCGAGTGCCGCTACCCGAGCCTCCGCTGTTGCCCTCCGAGCCTCCGTCATTATCAATAAACCCTGGGTAGTATTCAGGCTGTATTCGAGAGACACGCGCGCGCTTGTAGCCTCTTTATTTTCCCTTTGTAATGCCGCTACCTGAGCCTCAACTGTCTGCAACCGAGCCCGCAAACCGCGCAGGCTCGCTTCTAGTGACCGCACCGTCTCACGTCGATTGAGGTCGAATGTGTGGTGCTGTGCGAGAAGCTTTTCTTGCTTCGCGATTTTGACCTGCAATTCAAGCAGTTCTGCACTAAACTGTAGCTCGGCCTGACGCTTGACATACGACAAGGCTTTATCAAGTGGCTCGACTGACCTAGTTCGCGATGTCGCGGGATATGCGGCTTGCGTCCCATACCCGTAAGGACAAATCCATGCGGAGGTCGATCTAGTGCCACCTTGCTGAAAAGAATTTGTGGTCTCATTCATGGTCGGTGGTTCTTCTCTATCATGTTGCTGACTCTTATCGTCATAAGGAGAGCTTTGTCCTGTGTCCATGATGCTCCGATTTCCTGACGAAGGGCGAAGTGAAACTGCGGTTGTATGGCTGTAAATTGTATGAGTGGAATGATCAGATGAAAAACCAGAACATGGACTTGAAAACTTTGCAGTAACACCTCACATATGTGCGAAGCGAGGAAGCCCGTGATTTAAATAGATGTGGAAACCAGCCCAGGTTTGATAGTTAGCACGTGGATGAATCTAGTCCTTGTTTAGACACACCTAGCGTGTGCTAAATATGTTGATAAATGGTAAGATCACCACTCATATTTCAAGCAGTAAGTGTGTTGGGCCGATCCTCGAAGCTCACACACTAATTGCACCATGGCATGCTAGCCCAGTCTAGTGGTGAATGATCTTTTCATGACTGGGCACAAACCTTGAATCTGGCAGAATGAACACATCGGAGAAGGGTGCTAAAAGAAAGAAGAGACATGAAAGCCGCAGAAATTGATATATAGATAGTCAATGAGTACGGGAGAACACCCATGACCCGGTTCGCAACAGATATGACACTGATTTTAAGATAGAAAGAAGTGTGAAAAACATTGGTGTATCAGAGATGTTCCGTTGTAGAGTGATATGTCGTAACAAGATTAACGGCTCTCAAAGAATGTTCTCAATGTAAACGGTGGTATCCAATACAATGCGTCATGATTTTCCTTGGACACATGTGTATTGTGAAAGCGAGGCGGAGAGAGCAAGAGGAAGAATCTCACAGAGGTCCCAAGATAACGGACCTACATGCCTTGAGATTTAGAGATTGAAGGTAGTCAAAGGCTCGTGCTCGGCGACTTGATAATTTCAGATGGTAAACAATGGACCTTGGCCCATTCAGAAGGAATGGGATACGAAAAAGATCCTGGATTTATGGAAGTCCAGGAAATGCCGAAGTATCAACGACGACAGGAAAGTCAGGTTTCCGAATTATCTTGAGCCACAGGATATGCCGCGCGCCACATTTCCGAGCAGACGGTCACACTGCGACGAAGAGCCCTCAATAAATTCACGAAACCTCAATAATGAGTATGTACAGTGTAAATGTTAAGTCCCCCAAGCTGCCTCATACTAGTCGCCCACGGCACACGCGAGACATCCCTAGCTCTGTTCTCCATGCCTCAGTACCGATCAAGCAGCATGTCCACTACCTGTTCCCCCATCTTACTTTAGGGTGTCACTAAATTTTACTTCATGAGACCCCAATCGTGGAAGTGGTGGTGCAGAAGTCAACATGCTTTTCGAGGGTGTATGTCTGGGTGACGGTGCTGACGGTACTGCTAAGGTCGAAGTAGTCTACGACGAAGTTCACCATCACTGCGACCTGGACTTGGACATAACCCTGCTCCGGGATCGCGGTGTAGGGTTCATGCCCCGGTACAGATATCAGAACTGTCTGGGCCGAGGCCAAAGTGATAATCGTGGTTGCATCGTCGGAAGCTGTGGCAACAAGGGCATCGTCTAGGGCTGGCGTTGGTGTAGAGAGTCCGGAAGCCGTGATCGTCTGCGTCGCAGATGATGTGGTCTGAGTTATATATTGGGCCGGAGATGCGGTAGCGAATGTGAACAGAGCAAGGAGGGATGATGTAATTGCGAAATGCATGTTGGAGCCTGGTCGGATGAAATCGTATTAAAAAGCATGAGCAAGATTTCAGTGGTTGAGACGAGAGATATGAGCAATGAGAAAATTTCCAAAGAGCGTATGAATAAGGTCGTAAATGAGTGAGCGGCCTTGATTGTCAGAAGAAAAGAAAAAGACTGCTCGTGTACAAAAACAGAGAAGAAGCATGTGCTTTATGAAAGAGAAATCGACTTCCTCCTCTCTCGCCCTCAGAGCATTCGGGTCCTCTACACTCCACATTTCGACTGCCGGAAGTCAGCATCAAATTAAATGACGGCCAATGATCCCATGTCGTTTATCACCAACTGCAGGAAGGCCCATGCTTCTCATCTCGAGGACATATGAAAAGTGCGGCACAGCAGTCTGCAGGGTCAAATGAGGCACTCATGTGTGGGGCCTGGGGTCGGCATCATGTCTGTTGGCCCTTGATTATGGATCCATCTCTACATTACCAATACAGTACATAGAAAAGAAAGTGAACAAGTTGGACATGACAATCAGTCGTACGATTCGAGTAGCTAGAGACCTTCAGTGCGACCAACACCACAGGAAGTGGTTACAAGAACTTCATGCGACTGTGAATGGCCCAGCTCTAGATTTCTTGATAATCGACTGCATGACTCCCCGATACAGCCCGCTGGAATCTTAAAGAGTAGAGTGTGATCTGACTAAGGTGCTGCAAAAATTACTGATAGTACAGTATGTCAGTTCAAACTCAGCACGCACTAAGCTTCAGCACATACCCGGGCTCTTCCCGGCGGAAGACTTGGCCCTTCTGATGAGCCTCGAGAAACTATCTTCAGAGGTCACTGAGATCACGGTATGTGAGGACTGGGCGCCCAAAAAGCACGATAGAGTCTGCAGGGTGCGGATCAGAGTTTCCGCTGCGTTGAGGATCAACTTTGCATTTTTAGTCTATATTGAGTTTACACTTAGTGTACCGAACGAAGACTCACCCTATGTCGGGTGCTGGGTGAGCATGTGGCGGTTCATTTGATGTAGGGCGAGTACCCGGTACGGACATACTTGAACTGAGTCGATATTGACCATAGTAGTGATGGCGCATAAAATACTGGGTTGAGGGTCATGGAGGCCGTGTGGGATATCAAGGTGTAGCTGGTCGTCGTCATGATGGGCTCTGCGCACATGGTCAATAGTCTCATTACGGGATTAGGTTCGCCGATCATGCTGACTTTTCTTCGCCTGGAGCACGCTGAGCTCGATCATGTTGTGATTCGTGGTCATGTCCAACATCGTGGGTCACATCAGGAAGAGCCTCATGGCCGCAAAGATCTCTGTCGTGTAGTGTGTGGGCGACATCTTCGGCCTAGGTCTAGTACTAATCTAAGCTCTGGACCAGTATGATCATATGTTGCTACAACCATCGCTGAGTCCATTTCTCTGTACGTTGCGCTCCGCAGGGAGCGCAGAAAGCAGCATCAGTCAGCCACGAGGCTGGACGACCCCAAAATAGCCAAGCCAGCATTCCAGTACGTGCCTGACGTACAAGGAGGACCCCTAGTTACGACATATCTTCTACGCCGAGCCAGCAAGTGTGGCGGCGCTGAAGAGAGGGAGAGAAAAGGGAAGACCAGAACATTCTAGCGGGCATTCCCCAGGGATGATCGGCGTGGGCTGGGTTGGCGTGGTGTCTTGTCCCGAGGGACACAATCTCCAGCTCCGCCTATGGGACCGGCGCATTGGACTCGATCCCGCAAGCGCGGATATCCTGGTGAAACAACCGGGCCCTTCCCCGGGAATCCCAACCCTTCCCACCGGTGCCTATCTATGAAGACACATCCGAGGTAATGAATTTTATGTTGACCGGCTGTGATCACGGTTCACCGGCCTGACTTTTGCTGCGTATGCAAGGTCTGCCGGAGAATAATTGCTATAGTTTCCAAGTGGTAAGAAGCCAGACCTAATTCCCACACGCGAGGGTCGGTATCAATGTACTTGCACCACTGGCTAGTCCGAGGAGGCAAACAAATTTACACGCATGTCACGTCACCATCACAAGAAGTAAGGAACTTTAAGTTGCAGAATACGAGGCGAGAACGCTCCCATCAATGTAATCATTCGTAAAAGATGTGGTCTGTTTTATTTTCCCACTCCCCCGAGATGCAGAATGCCAAATATGCACAAGGTATCATAAAAAAGCCGAAACAGAAAGAACAAAAATTGCCCAACCACTATTTTAGAGGTTTGACGTGTCCAAGAATTGAATTTTGCTTCACACCCGTGACGTCCTCAGTAAAACGGACGGAGGGCCACATACCCTAAGCCTGAGGGTTGTCCTTCTTTCGTGTCCCTGCCCTACTTTAAGCAGCAATGCGGCGCTTGTGGAAGCGCCCGGGCTTCCTGGCGGTGATCATCTTCAGATTGGCTGCGACACCAGCCTCGCAAGCTGTTCCTGCGGCAAGGCTCTGGACAGCGGACCACGTGCCAGAGGCACAGCGCTGGAACGAAGATCCGCTGATGCAGTTCCACTCGCCCTCGTTCGTGCATGCAGAGCCAGCGGCGGTGGCACCGGAAGTAGTAGTCCCAGAGGCTTCACCGGCAGATGCGGCAGTCGTAGGAGTTGCGGTGTCAGGAGTAGGGGTCGGGGTGGCGCTGGTGACAGTCGAGAGGGTGGTGGAAGCCTGGGTTGCAGCGGGAACCTCGACAGAGGCCGACACAGTTGCGAAGATACCACCGAGACTATTGGGAGATGTGTAAGTATGTGATGAAAAGATAGGTCGCAAAGGGACAACTTACGCTGAGGAGCTTGGGGTCGCTTCTGCGACAGAGCTGGAGCTGGACGAAGCGGCCGAGCCAGAGTCCGACGAGCCAGATCCGCTGGATGAGCCCGTGGAGCCGCAGTTTCCAGTAGGTGCTTCCGGGTTGTCACTGTTGTTCGTGACATCGGGGCCTGGGTTGGGGTAGTTGACGTCGCCGCCCTCGGCCACATTGCACCCGTTGCCGATGTTGGCGACGAATATCTGGGGACGTGAGGAGAACGCAACTCCGCGCTTGTCGGTGGCCTCCCTCTTGGCGCTGCCGCCGGTGAGGGTGACTGCAGCGCAGTTCATGTAGAATTCACGGTTGCCGATCCGGTTGTTCCAGGACCAGGCCAGAACAGCATCTCCGGCAGGGGCGTCAGAGGGGACGGTGAAGTCGAAGTTGCCCTCGCCGTTGACTGGGCAGTTTCCGACAATGCTCTGGATAACAGTGAAGGTCTTGGCGCCATCCGTGGACAGAGAAATCTGGCACGAACCACCGCCGTGGGCAGCTCCGCCCACAACTGTGATGTTGCCTTGACCGCCGATCGCAAAAGAAGCAGTTGCCTGACCGGCTGATGTGCCCAGGTCGCTCTGGTAGCCCTTGCAAGGGTAGTCTGATCCGTCTGCCGCGAGAGGAGCAGTGTATGAGTAGTCGATCTTGCCCGAGTCCGCGAAGGGGTTGTATTTGCTGTTCAGAGGAGCAGGGTACGACAGCATCATGTGGGCTGAGGCAGATCCCGTGAGGGCAGCCAGGAGAGCAGTGGATGTTGTGGCGCGCATCTTGTCTGTTGGCGATGATATGTTTCCTGAAAGGTGCAAGTTTCTGTGTCGATTCGGGATTGTATATCGACGATGCTCGAGTTTCTCTTGACTGTTCTTGATTCTCAAAAAGAGTGGATCTCAAAAATATCTTCAGATAAATCGAGTCAAATACCAACCGGTGGCAGTTGATGTGTCAATGAATGTGTGGTGGTGGCGGGACCAAGTCAGAGCTTCTCGTGACTTGGGAAGAATGGATATTGTTCTGCTGCGGTGAGTGAACAAAGCCTTTCTTTGAGTGATCGACCACCTGGTGGTTTTTTTTTCCGAGTTGGAAGGAATGTGAAGTCCCTTGTTGGTGAGACAATGAGACGTTAACCGTGGTAGGCAGGGAGACAGCGCCGGGCTAATCTTGGTTGTTGGTCTTCGCTGTTGGAAGGAGGGAAAGAATAGAAGCGTGAGGTCAAAGATAAGGAATGCAATGAACCTCGTTGCGTAAGAGAACGAACAGACAGATGATGTCGAGATGGTGAACCTGGGAAAAGACTGGAGCAAAGGGAAAAAAACGAGAGGGAGAGGCTCCTTTTCTTATGTCTCAGGAGGCCATGGAGGCTAGGTTAGCGGAGTAGGGGTATATCAAGGGACATCACGACCCGTACCCAAGGTGAGCCGATCAGGTCCACCACACCCAGGCAGCACGGACTAACCGCGGTAGTGCAAGTTCGCAGATCTCTCTTGCCAGGTGGGAACTGTGGGAGGGAGCAAGCTGGCAGGGTAGCAAATGGAAGTGCAGAACAAACACAAACCTCCTATTCCCCTTCGCTTCAGGATCTGCCGTGCACCCTCCCATGCATGTAACCGCCACTAAGCGGCATGTGGACTTCCATATTGGGCAACTTGTGTGCCACGGCCATCCCTGACAAGAGGATCCTGTTGTCGGTAGCAAGGGCATTAACGTCGTCGATTGGATTTGGCCCAGATCGCAGACCCCCTTCTGGGCCGACGCCCACGAGCGGCAAACAAAGACACGATGGAGCTGGCAGACAACCAGACAGCCATACAGGCCACAGAGAGGCAAGAAAAGAAGCAATCAGCAGTCAGCCTGCTCAGCTCAGGGGGATGGGACCCCCGATCCGCAGGCAGATGGGGCGAGGTGACATCGCGGAGGGGCTTCTCTTGGGCCGCGGGAGGTGACTACCCCACGTATAGCGGATGGCTGATGGCATATGTCAACCAAGGGTCCAGCAGCGTCTAGTCGCAATGAGGTTGTGAGTGACAATTTTACCTGGGCATTGGCATCACGAATGGCAATGCGGCATGCGAGGTCAGTGGGCACAGTCTGAAGCGGACGGGTTGTTTTGTGCGGGAGGAAAACATTCGACCTATGCCTGGTTGGTCTAGGCCTGTTTCAATCCTTGCGGACAAGAGGGACGTGGTCTGTAATGGTAGAAAGTGGCAGCAGAATGACAGCACGTTGGGAGAGTAGGAGGAGGACGATGGCTGGACTGGCAGAGAGGAGGGGGGTCAAGGTAGGCCGTACAATGGGCGAGCAGGGCACAGTAGGCAGTAGGCAGTAGGAAGGGATCAGGGCCCAGTCTTAGAAAAAAAGATCCGATGGTGCGTGTGGATGTGTCCCTGTACTGTATGTGCTGCTTGGTAGCGTGGTAAGCGTGCGCAGGAGGGCGTGTCTGGGCCAATCAGCACGGCAGCGTTCCTGGATCGTGCAGCTTCCAAGACAGGAAGCGGAAACAGTAGCCGCCAATGACAGGCGCTATTCTGGACGTCTCACAGTCTCACCGAGCAGCCACCCTGCCACCAGCAGAAAGAAGGTGCGGTGGTGTCAGGGGCTCTAATTAAGCTTAGGCTGGCCTAGGGAGGAAAGGGTCGGGGAGGCGTCTGGCGTCGAAGGCACGAGGTGGTGAGGAGGTACTGGAGGCTCTTCCCTTCCACCTTCCTTCCCTCTGTGCGCTGTCAGCCTGTCAGCATGTTCCCCTCTGCCGTGCAGCAGGCGCGACCCCTCCCTCCTGGGCCCATCCCTGTTCATGGTCGATCAGTGGCCGGGCCCAGCAGTGCTTGTGCCCTTTGTGCCTGCTTCTTGGGGGCGGTAAAATTCCTGCAGGGGGTCGACCACCAAACCAGATGACCGACCTTGGAGTTTTGCCCTTTTGCAACTTTCAACCTCTTCCCGCGGCACACAACTGAACTTGAAACATCCCATCACCTCCTCGCCTCCTCATTCACCCCTGCCCGCTGGACCGATTGTTTCTTGCGCTCGCAAGACCTTCGGCATCTGCTCGAGCACCTCATGCTGACAGTTCAGTCTGCTGCCGTCTGGTCTGAACTTGGCCGAGTACGAACGAACTGTCTACAATGTGGGTGGATCTTCATCAAGACGGCCCGCGGCTGGACACGATGCGATACGATGCGATACGATGCCATGCCATGCCATGCGATTGATTTCCACGGCCCCGCTGCCATCAGCCGCCATGGTGGATCTGGCAGGCAGGGCAGTTGACTCAGGTGACAGCGAAAAAGACTCTTCTTCTTAACACAAGAGAGCATTCTAGGCACTGCGGTACCGTCCAACGTAACGTTGCCGCTCCCCCAGACTGCAAACTGCAGACTGCAACAAGCTCTGTCTGTCAGTCGCAACACCATCCTTGGCATCGCATATCCCATCGCGGAACGAAAGCATAAATGGCCAAGACGAACGTTCTCGTGCCGGCCAATAATTCCAGGTTAGGACGACGGCTTAAAACAAAACATCAATCCTCTCGCCACTTCAGGCTGCCGAGGCTACCACTTGACCCAGCCCAGCACAACCCAGCAGCCCGACAAGTCGGCCAAATGGCTCACAAATGCCTCGAGGCGGCTAACCTATAGGCGGCCCCAACTTGGACTTTGGCCCCGTCTCAGGTCAGGCAACCCGCATCGAACGAACCATGACCACCACCGCCACAACCGCTTCCATTACTACAGTTACCACCTGACATGCCAGCACATCAATAAAATCCGATGTGCTGGCATCCGAGCACCAAAGGCTGCGATTGACGCCGACGGCGGCAGATGAACCTGGTTATGATCGCTATTAGCTACGAGCCCAAGACTCCGCCCGCAACGCTTGCTTTGTGCGATCGACCTGATCCGAGATCCGCAATGGGGAATAGCCCGAGGCCTCCATATCCATCCCCATGTCCCAGTCCACATGTTATTACAGTCTCTTCTGCCGGCCCCTCAGCCCCTCCCTAGTACCCGGTTTCATCACCAAAAAAAGAGACATGGTCCGTAGCGTGGGGACCTGTGTTCTGCGCCGGCATCGCATTAAATGATTGACATCCTCTGTGCCTCCCTTATTACAACGAACGGCTAGCGACGAGGCTGTGCCCAGATCGCCGTCCCTTCGCCACGAGGTCCCATGCCGCAATTGCTTCACAAGGACCTGGACGGCAGACAACACGAGAAAATGCTGGGACGAAACCATCGGGTCCATGTGCCGTTGGTGCGTGCCCACCCCTTCTCGGTTCATCCATTTTCTCAGAAGCCAAATTGATCCTACCAACACCGCCGGGCCGCCTGCTGCCTGTGTCTTGTCGGCCTCGGGAGCGAACCTTCTGGCCCAAGCAGCAATAGGCCCCAAGCCTGCCTTGACCAACAAAGGGCCTCTGCCCAGCCAGCCAGCCTCCCCCGGTCTCAGATCATCTCTGCTGGGAATTACTCTCCTGACACGATCTACAGAACTTGTCGTAATCGCCAATCGTTCTCAATGGGGTATTGTGATCTGTTGTTAGGTCACAGCCAGACTGGGGTGCATCCTCGTTGCAGCTCGCGTTGCCGCTGGCCTACCAGGGGCTCTCGGGTTGAACGATGCCTGACTGCAGAAACCTAGCATCTGGTAAGGACCAAGCAAACATTGTGTCTTCCTGCTCTCTAAAGCAATGGAGAATTCCATTAGAGCCTCGACCCTCATACGCGCCCACATTACAACGTGGCACTGCGCTTTCCTCCAGTCACAAGTAGCATGCTCGCACCCAAGGTCCTTAAATCTCGTTCTGTACGAGAAAGCTAGTTGACTGCATATAGCAATCTACGGCTATAGTCGCTTGAGTGATTATAGATTGGGGTAGTCGTAATCCATCGCAGGAAAAGGCCCTGTATTGTACGCCATGTCTATCTGGATGTGTAGATCCGACACGCCTTTCGCAACCTACTCCCCTTCACTCAAAGACGGGCCGAACAGCGATCTTGATCACGGCGGCCAGAGGCCTCTTCCTGCTTGAAATGAACCCCTCCCGCTTGGCACAACGATCCACAGGTTCGTGGCGGCGGCTGCCCAGAAGGTCACCCCACGGCCCAATATCTGGGCTCCTCCAAGATTGCCAGCATGCCCTTAGGGGATGTGGACATTCCCTGAATTTTATCCTCTCGCCACGCCCATACGCCTCCGTTGGCCTGACCCTGTCGGGTTGAAGCCCCCTCCTCAAGCTGACAGCATGGGGTGATTCCTCCCCTCACCGGTGCTACCCATGCTCCTTCGTTGGGGCTGCCGCCTGCTTCTCTGGAGGAGCCCACAGAGCCTGCGCATGAGGAATTACCCACTCGAGGGCTTCCGAGAGGGCCAGCGCCAGCGGCAGCGGCAACAACACCTCCCAAAGCCTATGAATTTAACCCAAGTTGTTTTCTTTAAGCTACCAAATGCCTCATCCCACCTTGTTGAGCAGGAGACGCGCGTAAACCGGATGGCTCAAGAACGGCCAAGCAGTAACGTGCCCCCTGACCTTCCAACTCGGGGCATGTCGGTTGCTTCAGTAGACAGGTCCCACTCGCAACATGAATCCATCCTCCGCAGGCCGTGGGTTGGACATGCCTAGACATGGGGCGGGATAAGAGAAGCTAGCAGCGCCACGGGATCCCCGTCAGCAGGCAAGCAGACAAGCAAGCAAGCAAGCAGGAACGCAAACACAGCGTCGAGCCGAGCAAACCTCGGCAAAGGCACACATAGGATTTCGGTGAACAGGCTGTTCCCGTATCGGTAAGGGTATGTGAACGGCTGCCAGCAGTCAGCTTCGTTGATGTACATGAACAAATACTTTCCTGTGGAAACCAACTGGTGGCGCTTCCGACGAACGCAGACGTTGGACGAACTGGGCGGGCCAAAGCTGCGTTTCCTGTGTCTGAAAGACAAGGCAGAAGAGGGTGAGTCGCATCCCGGGAACGGGTGTTAGCTTGCTTCCCTGGCCAAGGACGGAGAAGTTCAAGGTCTGAGTTGTCTGCGCTGTTCCGTGATCCTAGCCGCTTGGTGTGTCCACACAACACATGGATAGATTGTGCCCAGAAACATTTTCATTTCACTTCGTCACAAGCAGTTTGACTGGGGAGAGAAGAGTCGACACACCATAACAATCAATTCAGCTACCACCGCTACCGCAATGCCTTATGACCGCCTGGTGACAGACACCACATCAAGCGGCGCAAACACCTGGGTTTTGACTCCCTACAGCTTTAGACGACTTGTTGCGCCACGTCCAATTCGTGGTCGGTTGGCCGTCCCTTTGACCAACAAGTGCCTTGTCGTCCGGTCGCGGCCAAAGTTGCCCAATCGTCTTCTCCGAGTCCTCAAACCTCGCCCAGCAAATTGATACTCGACTAGCAGTATCCTGTGATGCTTTCCATCATGTTCTCCCCGTGGCCAAAAAGAAAGCCACCCACATCCACAGCAAGCCCTCCCTCCCGCCTAGACCGCACTGAGACCGCGGTATGCTAGTCACCGGTGTCCCCGTGACAGAACGATCTCATCCTCGTGCGCTGCCACAGCTCGGATTCGACAAGCATTGAACAGATAATGTCTAACACACGTGCGATTCCTTGTTGCAGCCTTTGCGCATCGATTATGAACGAGAAAGTTGGATGTTGAATGGCCATAAACCCTGCCTGAAATGCTTCATATCGCTAAAATCGACGGTCGTAACATAGCGTCAAGCCCGTCGAGATGCGCTATGACGGAGGCGGGTGTAGATGATGAGCATGTTGAAGACTGCGCCATGGTCATTCGAGGGTAACTGTAAACACCGCTGGAACCCGAAATGTCCTGGTATCGATGTAGAAGACTGAAGATGTATTGATATTGATCTTCAAGCAAGGGCCAGGACGATGTCAACCAGGGCAAACCAAGAAGAAAAGGTCATCATTTAGCTGCCTCTTGCGTCTCAGGGGTCCGGGCCTGGGGAAGCGCAGGGCCACTATGACTCGTTGCTGGTCCTTGATGGGGGCCGGTGAAATTCTTACCACCATAGCCATTGCCTCGGTGTTGCTGAGGCCCAAAGTGGTGAATTTGTTGAGGACTGCTTCCGAGCTGCTGCGGTCCAGGGTTGCTATGTACTCTCACGTTGCCCACTTCGAGACGTCGTTAGTATTGACGGCCCGACGAGCTGTATCGCCTGTTGTTATTGTTGTTGTTGTTGAACTTACTTTGGCCGGGCTGCTGCGGTGCGAAGACGGGCTGTTGGTATGGAGGCATCGTGCCGGGGCTCATGCCGTACATGTGTTGGCCTTGCTGAGACCCTTGATGAGCCATCATCGGCGCAGCTGGCCGTCCGGGGCTTGGATATCCATTAGAGCCAGGCATTGCCGGGGGAGGCACTGGTCCGGGGGGCATGAACTGTGGGTGACCACCCGGTGCGTACATCGGCATCTGAGGGCCGCCTTGCATGAGGGGAGAAGGTGCAGTCATGTACTGAGGACCCATCATCATGGGCCCCCCCATCTGGGCGTGTTGTTGGGGCATGTACTGTGGGTTCTGCGCAAAGTTCCGCATTTGCGGCGTCATCTGCGGAGCACCCGGATTTACGAACCCGGGCATGACGGGTTGCGAATAACCCAAGTGGGCTGGAGAGTTCATGTTATTAGGGTAAGCCATTGGGACTTGCCCTGGCCTAGGCGACGCATATGACTGTGCCGAACTTGAAGGCATCATCCTATTGGCGTCCTCACCATTGTTGAACGGCATATGAGGCGCATGCACCGGCTGACCGGCATGCATTTGCAGAGGTGGCATGTGCGGTGACTGTCGAGGTCCGACGTTGTGCGCCCCCTGCTGGAGGTGGAATGGGAGCTGATGCTGGTGTGGCATCTGAGGTGCCACTGGAGCAGGGTTTGGAGTGGGCATGGCACCAGCGTAGGGCGGCGGGCGTTCGAACAGCTGCTTGTAGCTGATCTTTTCCTGCTTGTCGTCTCCATCCGACACGTTATGCCATGTAGGCGGAGTGTCGAATGCGGGCCGCAACCCTCCATTCTCCTCCCATGCGCGGCCGCCTGTTGAACCCTGCTTGAAAGACTGCACGTGACTGAGCGCGAAGCACTTCTTAAAATCGATTGGCTTCACCTTGCGCTTGACCACTGGGCCGGTGACTGGCGTGGAGCTGCCCTGCCCCTCGACATTGTTCAGAGCAGAGCGCGGACTAGAGGCCGCGCTAGGGCCTGTGGGATAGAATGGCTGTGCGTTCGGTCTGAACTCCTGCGTATTGGGATTCAGCCTTGGACCAGGGCCCATGTGGTTCGGCGGCAGGCCAGTGTGACGTGGAGGGAATGAAGGGTTCATGCTGTTCGCGGGGCCTGTCGGGGGCATGCGCATGTCTGGCTGCATGTGGGGAGGTGGCTGCGACATCCTTTGTTGCTCCGCGCTGCGAAGACGTTGGGATAGGTGGCCAGCCTGCTGATGTTGACGAGGCACGTTCTGGCCGGATGAGCGATCGCCGCGGAATTGCTGTGGATATGATCCTGGGGCGTAAGACTGCCGGTTACCAGGGTGCCGGTTCGGCCCTGCAGCAGAGTTCGCATGTTGCGGTGCAACACCGGGGCGGGCAGCACCGCTGGCGGCGGCGGCGGCCGGCGTACTGGCCGTGGTTGCGGTAGCTTGATCTGCAGCTGGCTTCGATTGCCCTGGTTTGGTGGTGGTGACTTCCTTCTCTTTCGTAGCAACAGGGTCTTTCTTCGCGTCTTCCTTGGCCTTGCGCGATTCCTCAGCATTCTTGAGGGCCTTGGCCTGGATCTCCTGTTGTTTCTTTGGATCTTTGGCAATGATCCCGATTAAGTCATTGGGAACGGGTGTGCCCAGCTTGAAGCTGTCGGCGAATTTCTTCAGCTCGATCAACTTGACTTCCTTGTCTGCCTTCGCCTTGGTGCTGCGCGCCTTCTCTGCAACCTGTCGCTCTTTGCTTGCAAAATTCTTGAAAGAGCTGAGGACAGTCTGCTCTATTGTAGTGGACGTCGGCTTGGTGTTCTCCTTGGCTGCGGGCGAGGTTGTACGTGCGGCAGCTGCGGCAGGTCGCAAGGTCGAAGCAGGCTTCTCAGCGGGCTTCGACTCAGACTGGCCCTTCTCCGTTTCCTTCGGCTTGTTGTCATCCTTGATCGCCTCGGTCTTGACCTCACTCTTAGCTTCGGCAGCCTTTGACTCGCTGTTCTGGGTAGCAGGAGTCTTGGACGAGCTTGGGGGAGCCACCTTCGATTCATCAGGCTTGGGAGTAGGTTGCTTGCTCGGACCGCTTCTCAGCTGCGACGAGATGATTGCAGGGTCGACCGGTGCTCCCTTCACGGTTGACTGAGCAGTTGGTGCGCGACGCGCCGGGGGCGTGTACTTGTTCGGGTTCTGGTTGCCGAGAGGAGGGAAGTCTGGCCGCTTGACTCCGCTGTATCTGTAGGATTGTCAGCGTTGAACAGAAAAGTCAGTACGAGGGATTGGCCGTACTTGTCTTCTTCGTCTACACCGCCGTCGGCAGGTCCGACGTAATCCATCACACGCTCCTCGGCCACGTGAGATGAGACCGGGTTGCTGCGCTCGATCTCGCGAGCGAGCTGGTCAGCTTTGGCCATCCTCGCCTTGTAGCTCGGGTGGCTTCGATCAATCTGTGTTGTGTAGATGTTCTCGTCGTAGTCTGTCTTTAGGCCGAACTTCTCCTCGTTGGCTGCGAATTGATCCCAAGGCTTGTTGTCTGTGGGTTTCTCCAAACTGCCATCTACGTCGCCAGGGGCATCGGCGACCCACCTTTTGAGCTCGCGCTGCCCGCCGAAACGCTCGCCAGAGATACTGCTATCTGTTTGGAAGCCTGCCCTGTTGCCTTTGAGGGGAATCAGCGGATGAACCACGGACAAGCGGGCCATTGTGTGTGTGTGTTTACCATTGCGACTGTTCTGGTTTCCACCTAGGACGCGAGCGTCCGCGATGTTGCCCCGTGCAAAAGACATATTGTTCTGCTGTCTCTTAGTCGAGCCGTTCATCGCGTCAGCAGAGCCGGCCTTCTTCTGCTGAACCATCTTCAAATGGCAGCTGGATGGGTTCGTTGGGCTGTTGGCATATATGCCCTCGAACTCGGCGCCGTTGTCGAGAGTGATCTGGACTCGATTGCCCTGTCAACAGAGATGGTAAGTATCGTATCTCGGTAGAAAGCCACAGACTGCAAGTCACGGTTTGCCTGTGGCTGTGTTCGGGAGAAAGGTCTGGAGCAAAAGGAGCGTCGACGTCTGGTGTTGTGTGAAGCTACGGTGAAATTGAAGCCAGGTGTGACAGCACAGCTGGGAATGGGTGGATCCGAGTGGGTCCGGTCCACGCGAGGCAAAGAAGCCAGGGCGCAAGGGGAATGCCGGCTCGAAGCGATTGGGTCACCAACTTACCTCTCTCACGCGATTGAAGAAGTTGACCAATACTGGCTTGTTGGCCACCGAGTTGGATTGGTTCTGCTGTTGAGGACTATTCGAACGACCCGTGATCTTGGGGTTGGCAGTCGTCCACGCCTTCTGCTGCGGCGTGGGTGCTGGCTGTCTTCAGAGCTGGTCAGTTTGGGGCGCCAAGCAGGGTCCGACAATGGCACGGTCAATGTGTAGGCATGCATCCACATGGGCCAGGAACACCGAGCGCAGCACAAGCATCCAACGACGGCGACGACAGGTGGAGGCTGCAAGGAGATGGGGCATGCGCCTCTGTGTTCTTTGTTGTCGGAAGCGAGAAACGGGCGATGTGACAGGGGGAGGTAAGAAAACCAAAAAAGATTTGGGGGGGCGGGCAAGTCTCGTGTCTCACCTCGTGGTCGGACTGGAATTACTTTCGGGACCTTTGGATCTTGTATCGCCGAGTTTGCTGCTGTACAATGGGCGTGTCGTGGCAATTGCAGCGCCCTTGGATTCGGAGACGCGAGATTGCGCAGTCGAGAGGCTGGCAGCAGCTGGTTTGGATGCAGTTGTCGTTGCTCCCTTTTCGTCCATTACAGGTCCCAGACTACTCTGCGCGCCGGTGACAAGTTGAACCCTGTCTCAACGACCGGTGGGCTAGACTTGATCGAGCGATGGTTGGCAGAGAGGATGAGAATGGCGTGCTGTGAGTGGGTGGCCGCTTGGATGTGGCCGCCCAGGTACTGTGCGACCCGGCTTAGGCTTTGGGACGGAGGTTTGGGGTGCTATGGGGGGAATCAGTATGCGATGCAGAGCAAGACTGGTGTTTGTTGAGCCAGATGGGACAGGAACAAGATGCCCATCAGCCAGTGTGACGGGCGTGAGGGATTGCTCGGTGTGCAAGACGTGCGATATGCCAAAAGTCGATGAATCTAGAGGACTGGCTAGAATGACTACCTACCTACTTCGTAAGTGGGCAGAGTGGCGCCCTAGTCACTGTGCGTGGTCGACCTTCCAAGGTGGTTGTGCTGATACGAGGAGCTTCGCAGAAGTCGCCGAGGTGACACAACGGAAAATCTGCCAAGAGGAGCGTTGTCGCGCACAGCAACGTCCTCAAATGTGTGTATTAAGCGTATACGTGTGGCTGCGTAGTGACAGCTTCTATCAAATCCGAGACGATGAGAGAGTTTTTGGTGAGGGTTATTATCCCATGCGAAGGGCGAGAAGGCGTTGGTGCGGGCCTCGAGGAGGGCTCGAGGAGGGCTCGAGTCGATGCGATGCGCCGCGATGGATGTGCGGCCGGGGTCACCACCAGCGGCGATAACGTCGGCTGCAGGAGGAAGAGTGTCGCAGATGAGGAGGGATTGAGGCTCGATGCCCTTACGTCTGGTGGACTAGGCTGCTCAAGGGATAGCCACGAGAGGCGAGTCGTCGGAGGGGCTGGTCGCAAAAAAAGAGAGAGAGAGGTCGAGGAAGAGGGGAGAAGAGAAGGGGGAACCTGGAACGGTCAACACTCCAACCGAAACCCTCAGAAGCGTCTCCTGGTGGACTGCACGGAAGGGCCAAGGGGCAGGAGAGGGGGAGAGAAGGTGGGGAGTGAAATCGTGTGCGGCATGGGACGGAGGATGAGGAGAGGACAGAGAAGAGAGACAATCTCTAGAGATTTCTCGTCGACCCGAATGGTGGTGATGGGGGAGAACGGGAAACAAAACCAAACAGAAGGTGGCTGCTGCTGCTGCTGCTGCTTGCTGCTCTGCTGCTGCTGCTACTGCAACTGCTGCTGCTTGCTGCTGCTACCTCGTGCTGCCGCTAGTCGGCCTAGGACTGTACAACACAGCACCGCAAATACATGAGCAGACCAGGCCGGTCTGTCGGTCTCGCCCTCGACTTGCTGGAGCTCTATTCGTTGCGACAGGGGGGGACATGGGCAGACATGGGGCAGACATGGGCACTGGGCACGCCGCAAGCCAAAGGGAAGCTGCGGACCAAAACAGGCTAGTCCGCTCCTGGGAAAGGGCGAATGGCGGGGTGGGGCAAATGTCCATCTGCCGTCCCTGCCCTGCCCTGCCCAGTCTCTTTTCTGAAGGACTCAGGGACTCTGAAGATCATCCACTGCTGTTGAATGAGACCCTCTCTCTCCTGTGGCTTGCGCACCATCGCATTGCATTGTTTTTTTTTCTCCATTACGACCACTCCATGCAGGGTTGAGTGCCTACCCAGCTAGCTATAATTCATCTAGTATCGAGATCTAGCCGTCCATCCTCCCCTCATCAAAGAAGTCGATTATCCTGTCTCACCGACACCGAGGTGCGGATGCCCTCCCCGTCGTGTCTCGTCTCAGGTTGCCGTTCTTCCCACGGACTCGGCCACTCTGGTACAAAGTAAAAGCTTCTGAAATGCTGAGATGCACTTTCAGATTGTTCATACTGGGTCCACACTGGGTCCATAGTGGGCAGCAGTGCTGTTCTACTCTGCCCTCTGGTGCTGTCTTTGTGTCCTTTCCAGGCGTCCACGCATCCATCCCATCATTTCTGGGAAACCTGAGACAGCTAGAGAATGAGCTTTCACGCCCAGCTCCGAGTATCTCGAGCCATCAGGTGCTCAGCGACGGCCGTCCCGGCGTGTCGTCTACCTCCTTGTTGTCTGAGATTGCTTTCGTGGATCGCACATCTGCTATACCTAATTGAACATGTCCAGACTTGATTCATGTTACTAACACCTGCCAGCCCCGCATCTCACAGTCGCGCTCTGCCATGGATTAGGATCGATTGATCGATTTTCTTGCTGCGCTGCTCCTATCGCGGTTAACATTGGGCCTGGTCTGAGGAGCTCCGCACTCTCTGCCAGGTACTTTAGTGCCTAGTGCCCGTCGTCCCGCTGTCAATGCAATCCCCCCCAGGATCCCCAGGGCTGAATGCCCCGCGATTGGCCCACCGGCAACCAGCCGCCGAAGCTTCGCCCCGGACTCTCTTATTTTTGATCCAAGGTTTGGAGCTTGCTGCCCCTCCTTGCCAACGCCCAATGGACCAGTGCAGGACACGCAGCAAGAAGGTATCGACGTGCCTACAGCACACTGATGTTGCCTTTTCAGACTCAAGACTACAACAGTGACAGGTCTAGCTGGGTGTGCGCATGGATCCAATGAGTTCATGCCAAGTGCTACCGTCCTACCTGTTCGGAGATCTTCAATTCTATTCACGCCATCCAAATTTGACTCATCACATGCTCTACTTACCACAGCTCCCGCATTATCCAAGACCTCGGACACACGGGAGATCTCCGTCATTACCCCTGGTCTTATATCGGTCGAATCCTTGGCCATCCAATTTCGAGAAAAGCCAATTCATCGCCGCAACCTTTGGCCTTCTCCGAACGCCTTCTGGAATTTCTCACTAATGCGAAGCCCATCCCACCAAGTCACATGCTGCTGCTCCCGTCAAGCTACTGGGGTATTCCGATATGCAAGACGTACTGTCCGACATATGGAAGGAAATTAGTGGTGGCGGGGGAGTGAGGTTAAAGAGAGCGAGAAAAGGAGAGAGGGAATGAAAATCAAGAGGCCTGCTTCTCTGGCCACCTTGAGCAACTGAAAGGTGTCTTGGGCAGAGGAAGAGACTGGCTGTCCTACACGCACGTGCAAGAGCGCCCCCCACATGCCCACAGATGTTGTGTAATTTCTGGTTCAATGTGTCACTGCATTTGCCCGCCCCAATACATTGTTATCATTATGGATTGTAAGTCTCACATTGGAATACAATTAGACAGCTTTTCGGAATATCAACTTCCTGACAATGTAACTGCTGCTTGGGGCAGGCAGGCACACGACAGGCAAGACAAGGCAAGGCTGGCTGCTCAGAGCGTCAGCTTCAACTTTCGAATTCCTCGGGCCCCAAGCGTGCCAGTCTGAGGTACCACGGAGAGCCCTTATCTGAGTCTTCTTTAACGCAATTGAGACAACGTTTGGTGACTTTGGCACAGTCGCGTTATTTCAGCCTCTCAATGGTCGACTATCCGTAAACAACAGTATCGTAACGTCCACAGAGCAATTTCGAAGATTTAAATTCTAGACCAAGGCTGACTATTCACGAAACTAACATCTCATGTTTATTTTGTTTTTAAAAAGGAGTTCATAGTCCAAGAATATGTATCCGTTGATTCGCATATCCCTCCAGCTGCAGCACAATCTACCGAGCACCCAATATCTAAGGATCCTCCAAATGAGTTGAGTATGTTCAAAACTACCACCCTCTATTTTGCTACTCTTGCCGAGGGTTCTCTCAGTACAACATTGCCCCGTGAGCGTTCTTGCGTTAAATATCATCGGTCTCGGGAGTTGGGAATGATGAGACACGACCTCGAATTGATCAAACTCGATTCAATGGGATTCATTAAGCTCAGACTATAGGCTTTAGAAAGGAGTTGCGGAGTATCGTACAAGAGGAATGAAAGCGCAGACACATGTACAGTTTTCCAAGACGCGTCGCCCTCCTACGTTGAACCATCGCTACACTTGCAACAAGGAAAGCCAAAATCCTGGCTGCTCATTTGCTAGTGACCTTATTCCTCACTGAGAAATATGAATACGCCAGCCCGCCTACAAGCGGCTTCAAAAGCCACGGCGCATGGAAGCTCGCGTGCGTGGACAAGGCCTTGGGAACAACCGACCGCGGGCAATCAGCAGTGAAGAACCACGCCCGCAGCATCGTCTGGGTCAGGCCAGCGAACTCACCCGCCCTCTCGAACATGTCCTTCTCAAACGCCGCGACCTCCCTGTCTAGCTTCGCCAGGTCCCCTCCGGCGGCCACGACGGCCGCAGCCAGCCGGCGCGCGTCCTCCATGCCGACGTTGACGCCCTCGCCCGCGAACGGCGTCATCAGGTGCGCCGCGTCGCCGATGATCGTCAGCCCCGCGCGGTGCTCGAAGCTGAACCCCACGGGCAGCATGTACAGGCTCCGGGGCACGGGGCGCCCCTGCGTCCGCGAGATGGCCTCCCTGATGATCGGGTGCCAGTCGGCGTAGCGCTTGAGCGCGGCGGCCTTGGACTGCTCGAGGTCCCAGGCGTCGTAGCCGTATTTTGAGGGTTTCTTGTACCAGTCCTCATCGTCGGTCTGGAAGTTCAGGTACACGCAGATGCTGCCGTCGCCCAGCTGCTGCAGGTTCGTTTTGAGGCCGTCGGCGTGGCTGAAGACGCTGCCCCGGTTGACCGTGCGGTAGACCTCCGGGGCGGTGTTTTCTGCGTCTGGGATCTCGAAGGCATGGCACGAGACGCCCGAGAAGACCGGCTTGACGTCTGACAGGACGCCCCTGACCTTGCTCCACGCGCCCTCCGCCCCGACTATCAGGTCGAAGCCCGAGGCTGTGGTTGTGCCCCCGTCGGCGAGGTTGAAGACGAGCTTGGTGCTCCTTGGCTCATTCCCGGGTCGCACTTCCTTCAGGCGGTGGCCCCATGTGATCATGTCGTCCGGGAGGCTCTCGGCGAGTATCTGCCGGAGGGCGGCACGGTCGATCTCGGGCCGCTGGCCGCCCAGGTGGCCGCCTTTTTGCTGGGGCGAGGCGCTTGGCTTCACTTGCCAGAATGGCTTAAGGTTCTTGTCCGTCATCAAGAGCGATTCTCCGTCATAGCGGGCATGCGCCGAGAACTCGTCCCAGAGGCCTGCCTCCTTGATTGCCGCAAGGCCGGTTTCGGTGTGCAGATCGAGTGTGCCGCCCTGGCTGCGGTAGTTTGGAGAAGGTTCACTCTCGAAGATTGTGACAGATGTGGAAGGAGATTGGCGTAACAGCAGACGCCCAAGCGTAGTGCCCACTGGGCCTGCGCCGATGATTGCGATCTTAGGTGAAGGCATCGTTGTGAGGGAATGTATGTGTGTGTATGTATTTGTGTAAGGTATTGATATGATGACGGTGGCGTGGTTATCTGGTATTGCTGGAGCACACTTGTGCAGGCTGTCGACACTCTCCCATGGGAACCATTCCTTTATAGATGTCTTGCACTCGCAAGGCGTGACCCAGCTTACACGCCAAACCGGTCGCGGTCAACATGCCTGTCATCCATGATCCTTCGAGCGATTGGTCGGTCGCCGAGCTGAGTACCCCCCCTTCATCGCAAGTTCGAGGCGCAGCTCCAAGAAGCACTGCAAGTCTGGGGCAAGACCGGCCCAATGGATCCTTGCATGAAGTAGGTTGGTAGGTGCGGACAATCCGCGGAGCTTGAGCAAGTGCGACGTTGACCGGGCTCGGTAGACAAATTGGCTCCCGGCCGGACGGGCACCGGATTGGAGTGAAATACCTCTTCAGTGACGGTATCCGTTTAGTGCCACAATTAATGGCATAGAACAGCCTCGCTGAGAGTGTGGCACGGCGAAATGGCATTTGTGCATGGAGGTGAAGTCAAAAAAGAACGGACTTTATGCGAGCGGAGACGTTCCCGCGAATTTGCCGGTCCGGGGTTTACGGCCGCTCCGGTCGTCATCCTCAACCCGGTAGTCGGTAAGTCTTCTTCCCTGATTGGGGTGAAAGTATCACCTGGCCGTCTCGAATCAACAGTACCATGCCATAGACAAGTCTAATAAATCATGCAATCTGCTACATCATCTCCTCGTCCCTAGCTTCACAAGCATGCTCTGACTGAGTCTAACGCCAGCCCAGGTCGCCCGCCTGTTCGGGGCTCGGATTCATATCATTTCAATTGTTGATAAATCAGCAATTGGTTAACTCTTCGAGTTCCTGAAATAATTTTCTCAAGAAAATATCGACCTCTATCTTCTAATGGAAAGTTTCACGTATATGGCAACTATTCTCGCGCCTAATGGAGCCCCAGACATAATAGACTAGAAAGTCCCTGCTCTCCGGGGCAAACAGCCGAAACAGGGCGAAGGTACCGGCTCACCGAACAGCTCATTTTCGGGTGTCTCGAGCAGCAGCTTAATAACATTTGAGTGTTGGGCTCTTTCAATCCGAATGACACTTATATCAACAGCCACGTACGTTCAGTAATCTTGTGCTCTGTTTTCGAAATTCCTACACTAGTATGCTATTTACAACGATTTCACAACGATACAGAAGCCAGCATTATCTCAAAAGGGCAGACTAGAATGCATCAATTCATGCGCGACTTTTTCTCAAGTTCAGTCGAAATACCGTATCAGTCCAATCTCTGCCGCGCAAACAAGGGCTGGGAATTACAAGGGAAGATCCAGGATACCATCTGCAAGCCAATCTCGAACTAGCGCATCCATCTCCTCGGGTGCTGAGAACTCGAAAAGGAAACTTAGATCATCGATATCAGTATTGGTCGCTTCCCCAATGCCCGCCACCTCTGGTTCCTGGCCAGTCACCAAGGTACTCGCGTCTTGGTCTCCACTGTCAACGACAGGGCTGAGAGCGCCGAGCTCTGCAACGTGAGATGGGAACCACTCCTGCGCCAGCAGCTGAAGCGCGCGCAGAGCTCTCGAGCTCCAGGCATTCCACGCCAGATTCATTTCCTGCAAAGCGTCGACGCAGATTTGAAGATGACGCACTGCCTGACGTCGGCTTGGGTGTTCACCTGGTCGGGCGTCGATGAGGTGGATCACAGAGGCAGAAAAAGCGTCCTGGACCGCTGCAATGGGGATGAAGCGCTATAATGGGATAGACTGTCAGGCGTGGTATTCATGAGTTAGGTTGAATAGGAGGAGACCTGCCAGGGTGTAATGCTGCTTGTAAATTCGAAGCAGCTTCGCTATCTCCGAGGCTGAGTGGCGGCATGCCTCCATGTGTGGGCTCGTGCTCTCTGCGGACGACGACACTCGTGCTGCTGTCCGATGTTTTTGAGCCAACGGTCGATGTAGGAGGATCAAATTATTGTGGTATTGCATGCTTTTGCCTGTAAGCCCTGAAAAGAAGTAGAATCTAAAAACTCAACATACTGTAGCATGTAAATGTGAGGCAGCGTTGGCACTCGCGGCGAAGGAGGGAGGCGCAAGAAGCTCGGCAAAGTGTTGTAATATGACCGCATATCGACTTCAGCAGAGCTGACGAGACTCTCCATAGCTTGCTCGGATAACGAGCTGTTTGGCGCGTAGCTGGGATGGATTTTAGCGCCAATATACACATTCGACGCATCATGGGTGAAATGGCTTTGAGCTACATACATCTCGTCCATCGCCTCACAGGCTATGTTCATATGCTCCGAGACATAGTGAGAGACAGAAGCAATGTGGGCATGAGCGCCTAAACGCGGGTTGCTCGCTTGTGACTCTGGTGCCCAAGGCGAATATTCTGAGTCTCTGATAATACTGGGTTTCGGGCAAGTGATGTAAGATTTCCTCGTAGTACCAGGCCGACCCAACCCAGTCACAAAGAGTCTTCCACAATCAGCACGGATTTCAAAACGAACAACTTAAGGTCGAGACTGACTTGTCGACAACATAACAGCCCCACCAGGCAACTTTACGAACCTCGGCTTCCTCTGGCGAGATGAGGCCCGTAGCCACCCAGTGAGAGCAATCGAGATTGAGGCCGAGATTGAATGCCATTCTCGTTGCATTCCCTACGGTACTTGTAAGCTTCATGCTAATAACAGGTTGGTGGGGAAAATACCGCAATACAACCAGCCCAGCGCCTCTTTACCATCTGCCATGATTCTTAATGCCATGAGAGCAGCTGCCTGCACGGTAGCGACAGTGGGAGCCTCGCTCTCATATAGATACAGCAGTTTTGCCTGGTCCAAGAAAGCTCTACCGGCTGTGTGTGGGTCGTCTGGCACCGTCCGTAGCTCTGTTCGATCTGAATAGCGAGATGCATGAGCAAGAACAACCGACAGGAGAAGTGGCGTGCAGTATACACCACGTCTCTCGTGGTAGTCCTTTAAGAACGTCTCTTTGTGTACGATGTAGTTCCAAGGATTAGACCATCTCCAATACAAGTCCAGTAGGTGGGCCTCTAGTTCCTGTGAGATTGAGACGTGATGTCCGAGCTGCTCCACGGCAGCGAGTCCCTGCTCTTGAGGGCTAGCTGTCGGTTTTGTCGCATCCTCTGTCATTCGGCTGCGAACCAGATGGTAACTGCTTTGGGACCCAAAGTAGTGGAGCTGTCCATCGGTGCTCATGTTCAGAGATCCCAAAAGTCCCGTAATTTCTGAGACTGGATCCCTGTCCCCAGAACTCGACTCCTCGTACATCGAGGTCTTGTCTGTATCGGACAAAATACTCTCCTTGGCATCCAACGCAATACCTTGTTCGGTCGCGGGGCATTGAATGGAAGATAATTGAGCCTCGAGAGCTGCTATGCGAGCTTGAAGAGACTCTACATATTTCTTACTCGGTGGCCTGTGAACATTGTCAGATGATATGATCATACACTACGAGGTGCGCGGAACATGCTTTCGTTTATTTTCCGTATGCTGATACAAGCACTCAGTGTCTCGACTAATGCATTGCTTGCATGGCACCTCGCCGTCGCACTGTGACGTATTAATGAATGTAACCGATCCCCACTCTCAGGTCCCATAGCTTACCCGCATCCGCTTCTTTCTGCATGATGAGCACGCGATTGAGACGCGCTGTCGTTGGGGCGGTCCATCATTCCTCGGACCTTGAGGTGCTGAAGACATTGGGAAACATACCCTCAGGTGTGACTTTCGCTATTTGAATCTTATTCAGCAAGCTGATGACTTGATAAGAAGCATAGTTTGAAGGTGGCAGATTGGTTTATTTGAAGACGTTGACGGTTCCGTTAATAGCCCCGATAAATACTTAGTTATCCGTGCCTCCTCGTTATGCAATACCCTTGCGCCCATGTGTAAGACATCGTTGCAGGGATCAGGGGCCCTGAAAACAGTAGACCGCGGAACATTCGATCTGGACAAACAAGGCTACTTGCCACTGCATACATGGTTGTAAGGAAATTCAGCCTGGTTTACAGATCGTTGGCAAAAAAGACCGGCTTCGAGGGATGAGCATTGACACGCAGACTCAACATGTCGGGCCTGGAGTAATGTCCAACCACGTCCAAGTTCTGCTTCGCCGAAAGCTTCTGGTCCATGTCAACCACGGCATACAGAATGCCCTCCTCATGGGGAGCCAATGGCTTCGCAAGCGACTCGCCGAACGGTGAATAGATCATGGTGAAGCCTCCACCAGGTGTTTGGGCGTAGGCGAAGTCCTTGCAGCCGACCCTTTCTTTGTTCTCCTCACTTAATACTTGGGTGGCAACAAGGACGAAGCACGCCCCTTCCATGCCGAGAACCTGCGAAAAGGACAGGCAAGCCTCAGGTGTGATATGGTAGGGCCAGTCTGCACGGTGGGAAGGCCACAGGAGAGGCCAGCTGGCAACGTGTATGTCGACACCTTGAGAATACTCATAGTATCGAAGAAGGGGCTGCGTATGCTCCCAGCAGTTCAGGCCGCCGATCTTTCCGAAGGAAGAGGGCACCACGCTCTGAAGGGAGTCACCTTGACCGTCGCCATAGTAGGCACGTTCCACGTGAGTCGGCTTGGTCTTGCGGCGATGGTGGACAATATCGCCGTTCTCGTCGATGAAAGACTGTATAGTCATTAGCAAACAGCCGCTGTGACTTTGCAACATTCTTGCCCTACCTGAGAGATATAGAGAGAGCCATTGTGACGCTCGCTGTAGCCTAGGACAACGAAGACTCCGGCCTCTTTAACAGCAGCTCGGATTCGGTCCATCTCTTCAGACTCCCTCTGCAGCGAGTTGTGGAAGTACTCGTTCATGAACTCGGTATTCTCTGTTGGAGACTTGGCCCAAATGCTCCTTACCTTGACTTAGTCAACGATTCAAATAAGAGGTCTCATGTGCATTGCTTACCAGGGGTAACCGGGGATGAACACTTCTGGGAATCCGACGACATTTGCACCGTTCTTGGCAGCTTCTTGAATGAGTGAGATGGATTTGGTAACACCACCCTGGAGATCATTCCAGGCAGGCTCAGCCTGAATGGCAGCAACTTTGACAGCCTTGCCCATTTTGTGGTCTTTGTGTGATTTTGAAGTTGAGGGTGATGTATTGCTATTAGTTCGGGAAACGAGCTCGAAAGAATTCTCTGAGTTTGATGAAGCCATTGCCAGATACGAAGCTCGTCACAAAGCTGACGGACTTTACTGGCCTTTTTATAAGCATTGAATGTAAGAACTAGCTGCGCAAGAGGAGTAATATTGAGGTGTGATCTACAACATATCTCTATCCAATACCTGCGGGATAGCATTACCCTATCTACCCTATTGGATGGCACCGTATCTTTGCTTTGGGGTACAAGAACTTCGGATGATTGAGAAGTGATCGACCACGGTCAACCGATTCAAAGATACGAAATAGTCTCCTGCCAACGGTATGAAACAGCTCACTGTCTGTTAAGTCGCTTGTCCTTGATTTGGCAGATCGACGACGATCCAGCCAATCAAAACCCATACTACTTCCCCGCATATTAGTGACACTTGGCCCCTGCCACCGGGTGGGCATTATCCTATCGAGCGCCAAGAAAGAGCAGATGACGACCACTAAAATATTATGCTTTCTTCTGCCGGTCTTGCTTATCTTGACAAAATCAGCTAATTTTGGAGGGGATGGACCTTCCCCACTCTATGCAATTATCGTAGCGAACTATGCTCATCAACTATGCAACGAAGACTATCACAGGAGCTAAGTCACATGCAACTACTAGTACACAGTAGGAGTTGAGGTGAGTCAGTTCGCCCGCCTCCTGGGAACACATCTTATAGCCAGGTGGATAGCAATGCTAAATCCCCTCGACTGAATTCGTTTGCTCCGAGGCACACAATTCTCTTTGAGTGAATTGATAGACTGTGTGGTTCAATTTGTTCCCATTTCTTCTTAGTCAATCTTTTTCAACTCTGATCCCCGGCCAAGAATTTGGGTTGCAAAACGGCATACGACCCATGTCTAACCCCTGCCCTCCAGCTATGGCTGCACATCGAAGCGAACGACATATCCATCCCCTGGTCATATACAGACGCAAACGACTTCGAAAGCAATCTACCCTCTGGCCAAATTGTGGCTTCTCTTCATCTTGGCTAGAAACCACACAAGTTCAAACCGATGATAACATCACCTAAAGTTACTCAGTCAAGGTTCTCAGTCGAGTGATTTTGAGTATACTTACATTTCATCGTTCCGCAGCAATCTGAATCAACATCGCAAGATGTACCGGGGTCGGTGTTGCAGCGCTACTCTCATTAGTAAAATGATTGTGAAAAGGAGTGTGCGAAAGCACGGTTTCGTGCGGTCGGGACAGGGATGTACCTTTTCCAGGTCAGGGTTTGGAAGCGCTGATGCGGCCGTAAGGAGACCTAGGAGCAGAAGTGCAGCTTGGGCTTTCATGGTGCAATGATGTAACGATTTGGGTTCTTAGGGCTGGCTACCTGTAAAGTGACACGATCGAGGGCCTTTTTTTACTGAGGCACTTGGGCCCGGTAGTTATATTAGATGGTCGCTGGTGCTGGGTGATGGTATTTCGCAGGCTGTGCCAGCGTTGCATGGCGTCGATGCCGAGACGCGTCAGAAAGGGGGTGAAGTTGTGTATACAAAGTATGTTTTCGGCGTGCAGCCGCCACGCAACCACTGCTCAGCCTGCCGGTTTCCCGTAACTTTGAACTGTTTATGCTGAATATAAGCCGGGCACTGAATGGAGGGGTCTTGAACTGATGTTGCACATGAATAATCAATTCATATAAGGTGTCGTTACATTCACATGACCGAGTCCTGCGATGCCTTTTTTGGTCAACAAGGCAACTTTCTCCGTTCGACACGCGCTCTGCTCTCTACAGCCGCGTGTCTATGCGTAGAACCCCTTAATGCATCTCAACCTGTCACTGGTTACTCTCTAGGAGCTCGCAACAATACTGTGATGTAACCGTCCGCTAGATTCATTGGCAATTTTCTGTAAGGCATTCTATCTGGCTGATACAAATAGCTTGGTGGCCGCCAAGATGTCTTCTCGTCTCATCTCGCTCATTCAGTGTACACACTCTCTCACTCTTGGGGAGATCAGATTCTTTCTTATTCATTCCTTGACTTATTACTTTGTTTCCCTGACAACCGTGTCTTTCAAAATCTTTGAAGGCTTCTTGCAAAGATGTATATGCATTTTGCCGTTCTCACCACTCTTTTGGCCGCTAAAGGGCTGGCTAAAAGCTCAGCCATCCGGCGCGATGACTCGTCGAGCGTATGGAACACGACCACCTGCGCGACCTCCGAGCTAAACATCATCAAAGAATGGAGGAACATGAATTCATCGGAGAAGTCTGCGTACATCGCGGCAGAAAAGTGTCTATGGAACTTACCTGCTAACACCACATTTGATGGGGTTGTCAATCGACATGATGACCTTACGGCTGTCCATCAGTATCTCACCCCTATCATTCATGCCGTTGTTAGTTTGCTACTCTTCATTGATTGGTTATATTCCAGCAGAATTTCTCACAAAGTTCCCAGGGTCAATTCCTGCCGTGGCATAGGCTCTTTATGAAGACTCATGAGCATCTCATGCGTACTGAATGCAACTATACCGGCCCTATGACGTTCGTATTTTACCGTAGCCCAATTGACCCAAGTCCCGCACTCTCACTGACGCATTTCGCAGTTGGTGGGATGAGACCAAGGATGCCGGCAACTACATCGATTCTCCTATCTTGGATCCAGTCACAGGTTTCGGTGGCAATGGCACCAGTCCTGACTATTGCGTTACAGACGGGCCGTTCGCCAATTCTACCCTTACTGTTGGACCCACTACGACTTACACACCAGAGGGGTTTTGCCTGAAGCGCAACGTCAATGAGACCTACGCGGCAGGCGCAGCTGAAAGCATCATCGAGACATGTAACAATCTCACCACCTACGCTAACGCTGGCATTTGGTGCATCGGGGCCAGCCCTCACACCGCGTAAGTCCCATCCTTCTCCGTTAGGTGTCCTGTCGTATTACATTTGCATTGCATTTCTGTCCTGACGGACGTTACTCCCATTCCTAAACTTTTGTCTCTGGTACTGCTGTCTTTCTTCACTGGATCAGTTTAAAGACCGCCCATGGGCAAAAGCTGTCCATGCTAATTACCTCGTCTCTAGCGGTCACGGAGGCGTGGGAGGAGGAGTCGAGGGTTCCATCGGGGTAAGTGGTGTCCTTTACCAATCTTCTTATCACTGAATGAAAGCTGAATCTGAATAGGATATTTACGTGAGCCCCGGTGACCCTCTGTTCTATCTGCACCATGCATACATCGACCGCCTTTGGTGGAAATGGCAGAATCTCGACATAGACACTCGTTTGTATGAGATCGGTGGGTACACAACATACCCAGCTACTGACGGCGGCAACACAACGACGACATTGGAATATGGGCTCAAACTGTTAGGTGTCTGGGAGGACAAGGTTGTGGGAGACGTCATGGACCTTCACAACTCCTTTCTGTGTCACGAGTACGACTACTGATTTGAAAGACACATGTTTGCTCGGCGAATGGGCTGGAAAATTGAGTTGTTTAGTTACTGGCATCGAGATCGGAGGCTTGTTCACGTGAATGATATTGAATCGTAACTTCGCGCAGATCCGCCTTCTGTGCCATGAATCATGTTGTGCACAATGAATTTGTCCAGGGCGGATACGAGGACCTCCATATTGGTTAATCGTAAAGATCAATGCGCCCGACATCATTCATTTTCCGTTTTCGCGAGCAGTTGCAGAGATCGTCGCGAGATGGGTAGAGATTGATAGGCGGGAGAGCCACAAGACTACCTGTATAATCACTTTCTGGGCACGAGATGGTAGAAGATTCACATCTCAGATATCACAATTGCGTTCCAAATACATTGACGGGCAGACTGTTGTCGCTCCACGTAGCCATTTGGTCGCTGTCATGACCCGCTGTGGCTTCGGAATAGCATTCAGCCTGCATTTTAACAAGCCTTGCGACATTTGATTGGTCTTGATGCGCCAATCACTACTGTCCCCCTTCACCGAATGTAATACAGCATCAATGCACGAAAACGAGAGCACTGCTGGCTCACGCCACCCACCTTTGTACGATGGACGACTCAGCTGAAGAGAGAGCTATCAAACAAGTTTTCTGGGATCTCGGTGCAAATAAAATGACCATTGAACTCATTCGTAGGCCAAACTCTGTTTTGCCGAACTGCTTTTCTGCACAGAAAGAGCTGGAAAGACCGACATCTTTTGTTCAATCACATAAAACCGTTGATCATGAACATCTCAGGAACCAGACAGGCCCTCCGCAGCCAGACCCTCGGCCATTGGCTGCCAAAAGACCGTGGAATCATCGCACAATGGGTCGCCCAAAAAGCCGAAGCAGCCAGCAAGGTCCCCGACGGGAAGCTCTTCAAGGACGGTGCGCCACTTGACCCAAGTCTCGCGGCCTTCCAGAAGCTTGTCGATGAAAGCCCCTATCTCCTCAAGCTCGCGAACGACATGTTCACCGAGGCCTCGAACAAGTATCCGGAAGATCCTGTTGGAAACTGCGCCATCAATTCTTTCAGCCAATTCATCAATGTTCTAGCACTCGTCATGCAGTCTGGTCCAGAGTTCTTCGACAAGGCGAAGCCCGAGACAGCGATGGGCCTCATCGGGTTCCCCATCAATGCCCTTCTCGACTGGCCTATGGGCACTGTCTCGGGATATGAGTTCTTCCTACAGCCGACAGTCAATGACGCACTTAGGGAAGTGCTCAACTCCTGGGGCAAATTCCTCAGTACCCCGGACTCGAAGGCCTGTCTCGACGGCTGGCTGTCAGAGACAGCGCAGCAGCTCATCGCGACTAAGGGAAACAATGGCGCCACTGAGTACACTTTTCAGGAGCTCTTCGTGTGCCCAGATCCCTCTGACACGTATCTTGGCTTCGGTTCCTGGGATGAATTCTTTGTTCGCGAGTTCCGCGATGCCGTCCGCCCCGTCACGGCGCCTGACGATGGCGCCCCGGACCCGCAATACCCAGACCCGACGCTAGTCATCACCAACGCGTGTGAGTCGGCGCCCTTGCAGGTGCAGACGGACGTGAGGCTGTTCGATACGTTCTACCTCAAAGGCCAGCCGTACTCCTTGGGCAACATGCTCAACTGCGGCGAACGCACGGCCGAGTTCGTGGGCGGGACCGTCTACCAGGCGTTCCTCAGCGCGCTGAGCTACCACCGCTGGCACGCTCCCGTGAGCGGAAAGGTAGTGGCGGTGGAGTCGGTCCCGGGGACGTACTACAGCGAGAACTGGTTCGAAGGCCTCGCCGGAGCACAGGATCCGCAGCAGGCCGACCCCGCGGGGCCAAATTACTCGCAGCCATACATCAGCGCTGTGGCCACGAGGAGTATCATCTATATTCAGGCCACGAACCCCAAAATTGGCTTGATGGCGATTGTGTTCATCGGCATGGCTGAGGTATCCAGCTGCGAGTTCACTGTGAAGGCAGGGCAGGATATTACGAAAGGGCAGGAGCTGGGCATGTTCCACTTTGGGGGTAGCTCGCATTGCATGGTGTTCCGACCGGGGGTTGAAATCAGGTTTGTCTGTCCCCCACCCTGGGATATGGATCAGGAGCACAATTTAGCTGTAAGGAGTGAGTTGGCTGTGGTTGTCTAGCAACCTTGGTCCGTCCGAGAATCGACAATCTCTTTATCTTCATTTTCAAGATGAGAATCCAATGAAAGGAAGTTATCAAGGGATAACCAAAAGCCGAGAGGGCATATCTTCAAGTGTTGAGAATGAATTTCTTGCAAGGTTCAAATTTTACCGGAACAGACTGATTTTAATAACAAGTAGTTCAGCACGATGACAAAGTAGTGATAATCTATTACCTTGTCTGAGGCGATCGATAGAGCAGCACTATGCGTAAGAGTAGCTATTTCAGTGGTCGGTGATGTGTCTGTTTTAGTGATCTGTATATGTAGGTGAAGCCAGGTTGTAGAGAGTGGATATGGAGTAAAGGTGATGTTACCGGGGCTCGAGTCAGAAAGATTGCATATATAATCCATATTTCCGCATTGATGAGCACATACGGCCACAGATACAGGAAAATACGGGATCCCGTCCGCTCTCCCATAGTCAAGCCTGTAATCGCTGGATTAGTAGTTGGGTCGGTGACGACCAGCGAATACCCGGTGCTGTATGTTTTGTCCTAATTTATCTCTTTTTGTCTCTCCGTCTCTTATCTCTACGTTTCTAGTCGCACACCGCCTTTTCTCTTTTATCCCTTTTCCATCCTTTATGCTTTCATCTGGTCATAGTTCAAAACTTTTGACTTTCAGAAGTAAATGTTAATTTTGATTTCTGTGGGCTGGAAGTCCCGCCTTTTCTCTGCGCAGAGAAGTTCTCAACGCAAGGCGGCTTCCAGGCCTGATCGTAGACTAAACAGCAACCGACAGTGCCCTTCAACTTGGATCGGGGTCAATCGTAGACCACTAGCTTTTTAAGAAGAGCCAATATTTCTATGTTCAGTATCTAAGTATTTCCGTAGAAGGTGACTTCCTCTTTTTCAAGTTTCTCTTACAATGGTCAGGACTGATCATCAGGAGTGCGAGACGTGAATTTAACCATCAGCGGCCCCTTTCCCCAAACCAAGTAAATCGGCTGAGAATCAAGCCAGTTGTCGTAGTCTCCATCGAGCACAAAGTCAAAGTGGTACATCACTCGAGAAAAAAAGATACGCATCTCACTATACGCAAGAGTTCGGCCGATGCAGTCGCGCGGTCCAAAGCTGAAAGGCTTGAAGACAAAACGGTTATCCCTGTCAAAGCGATGATCATAGAGCGGATGTGAGGGGGATAGCCAGCGCTCAGGATGGAAAGAGTCGGGTTCGGCAAAGTTTTCGGGGTTATGGAAACTCGCCCACTGGTACGTGGAGACCGAAGTCTATTCAAAGTCAGTGGTGTTTTGGCTATACATCTAAAGCAAGGTTTTCTTTTTCATGGCATTTTTCAGATCAGAGAGAAAAAAAGACGAGAGAGGTTCGGATGTGAGGGATCTCCAAAAAAAATGTGAGCCGGACTTACACCCTTTGGAATGTAAAACCCTCCAACAACATCTCCCGGTGATACTCGCGGCGGAGTCTCAGCGCCTGGTGGATATATTCGGAGTACCTCTTCGATTACAGCTACCAGGTATGGCAGCCGTGCGGTAGACTTGATATTGATATCACTCTCACTGTTGAAAGCGGTGCGGATCTCATGCGCCAGGATCTTATATACCTCAGGGTGGCGGCCTAGATAGTAAAAGATTCCACATAACGCAGTCGCCGTGGTCTCGGATCCAGCAGGTAACAAGATGGATACGTTGGCGAGAAGCTCGTGCTCATGCACGCGCCTTTCTCCGTCCTCATTCTTTCCCAACATCAACGAGATCAGATCCCACCTCTTATCTTTGCTGGGCTCCTGCGCCGCACTGCGTATCTTGTCCATGGCCGTGACAGCTGCAAGTTGGCGGCGCCTATCATTGTGTTTGACATCGTCCGTGCTCATGAGCAAGCCAATCAGGGGCCGCAATAAAGGCAGGGCATCCATGAATCGGCGGAAAGCCTGACCTCGCATTGCCTGGAAGCTGCCGACCGCCCAGTCCTCGTACTTGGCGTCGTCGAGGCTGTGAAATCCATCCGTGAATACTAGGTCGCTGATGACATCAAAAGTCATGAGGGTGAGCCAGCGGGTCATATCAACGGACTCCCGCCGCCTGGTAGAATCATCAAGCTTGCGAATTAATTTCGAGATGTGACGTATGAGAATGGGCTCTTGTTTAGTTAAGGCAACATCACTGAAGCCCGGCGCCAATTGGCGACGTTGCCGACGGTGGTTCTCGAGATTCCCCTGTATCAGAGTTATCTCGTCACCTGGGAAGAAGTAGTTCCTGACTTTGCCAAACTCTTCCTTGCCATGACGATGGCCATATACCTGGGACCAGGCAATGGAACCATCAACTGCAAGACGGTTGGGAGAGATTCGGACAATGTGCCCGTATTGGCGATGCAGCTTGGTTACGCGACGAGGCCAACTGCCTTGAACATGTTCCTGGTAAAGATACGGAAGATCTGTCACGGCCAGGAGCTTTGGACCAGGGATTTTGGACAGAGGGTGAAACCAAAGGCGGTAGACAACAATGGCAACACTGTACGCAACCAGCTACGGATACGTTGAGCTGTCAGCTGCAACTTCTCGGTAGAATCGATCAGGCAATATTATCGCTGATGCAGATTTGTAGGTGACTTACACCTCCCCAAGCAAGCCCTATTGTCCCTTTAAAGGACTGTAAGGTCTTCGGTATCTCCTGGGGCAACATGTACGAGAAGTATTCAGATGATGGCATTGTAGGCTGTAGACGAGAATGCTCGAAGACACAGAAAATCTCAATTGCTGAGCTTTAGGTCCGTCGATCTGAGAACTTCCCACGGACAAGTCCTCATCAACTAAATGCACTCCGAAAGGCATAAAAATCTACTCGGGAGTTGCGGAATGGGATATGGGAAGTGATTCCCGCGATGATTGCCATCCGTTTGACTCAAGACCATGTATACCACTGACTCAAGAGAGGTGTATGCTTTTGGGTACCGTTTAGAATTTCTGACAGAGTTTATTTTCCTTGTCAAAGTTGTCGGACTAAGCACACTTTTACATGGATTAAGTGAAGTGGGGCGTGATCAGTTGGACGATAATATCCCACTCTAAACGAGCTTCAACCCGTGTAAGGTATCAGAATCGGCAACAACGGCAAATACTCTGATGGGGGAATGCGAGTGAGCTGCCGCAGCAGAAGTCCTCGCCAACGTTCACCCGCCCTCTCTTACTAGAAACGCAGGTCTCAGAGCACCTGTCGAAGCAGCGAAGAGAACAACACTCAAAGACTTCATACAGATGAGTAGTCTCACTTCCAATACCTAGTCGTTTGTTATCATTCTACGCATTCTGAGTCCCTATCGCAATCTACTTAGACCCTGAAGATGTCTGAGTCTTTCATTGAGGAATGGGCCAAGGCCCAGCGGCTGCAGGGCCCGAGTATGAAGAACGCGTCCGTATTCTATCGAAACTTGGAGGAGGAGCTCGATGCTCGCAGAGCAGAGCATGCATGTCTCACGCTTCACACGAGAGATGCCAGCATGGTCGACTTCTCATCGACCGACGTCCTGGGGCTGAGCTCTTCAGGCGCAGTGAGGAAGGCTTTCCTCGCCGAGCTTGCTCGGCACGACAGCTTTCAACTGAGCAGCCATGGATCGCGGCTCACGGATGGAAATTCCAGATATTTGGAGGAGCAAGAAAGAGAGCTCGCCGAGTTCCACGGCTCCGATTCGGCGTTGATTGTCAACACAGGGCACGCGGGCAATGGTGCTATCTTCTCGGTTATACCACGGCCGGGGGATGCCATCGTATACGACGAGCTTGTTCATGCGAGTGTTCATGATGGCATGAAAGACAGCTTGGCGTTGTGCAGGAAGCAGTTCCGTCACAATAACGTCGATTCCTTGCTGGATACCTTGACTGCTATTCGGGACTCTCAGCCACAGATACGTGACGGGTCCCGATGCGTCCTTATTGCCGTGGAATCGATATATAGCATGGACGGGGATATCTGCCCGCTTCAGGAGCTTGTCGAAGCCGCCAAAGAAGTGTTTCCCAACGGCAACGCCCAGTTCATAATCGACGAAGCTCATGGCACTGGTGTTATTGGGCCCAAAGGTGCGGGACTTGTCAATTCCCTGGGCCTCGAGAATGAAATTGCAATCCGACTTCATACCTTCGGAAAAGCCCTGGCCGCATCTGGTGGTAAGTGTCAACGACTAAAGGTGTTCGTTTGTGCCAGCTAGACTGACTATTCCCTTAGCCGTGATACTCTGTAACAGTACCGTCCGCACAATGCTGCTTAACTACGCCAGAGGTCTTCAATTCACAGTCGCTCCATCTTTTGTGATGCTTGCTGCGGTTCGCGCAACGTATGGGCTCCTCAAGACAGGTGCAACACAAGAGGTACACAGACATTATGTCATTCCTCTGCATTCTCGATCAGTACGATGAACACCTGCTAACGAAGGGCTCATGTAATGCCAAAACTAGGCCCAAATGAGACTGCAGCACGTAGTGAAATTATTCCGCGACAAGATCACTTCAAGTCCGATCTGGGAAGATGCTAAAGACGCAAGAATCCTCCGCATCCCTCTCTTTGAAGACGAGGACAGCGATCCGTCGTACTCTGTTGCGCCGATCGTTCCAATTTGGACGCGTGCAAGGCATAACTTCTTCCTTGCGTTTCATCTCCAGCGTGCAGGCTTCTCCGCCTTCCCCATCTACTTCCCCGTGGTCCCAAAGGGCGCCGAGAGAGTTCGTCTCGTTTTTCACGCGTTCAATACCGATGCGCAAGTGGAGGCGCTAGTCTCGTGCATATGCGAGTGGGCCGAGGAAATGCTTGAGATTGAGGAAGGACATGACAGACTCAAATTGCCATCTGCCGCACGACAGGCTTACTCTATGATGGCAAACGCAGCTTCTGATGCGGTTGAATGAGGAATATCAAGGATTTTTGTGGCAACTGATTTGCGTATTCAAGCTTTTTGGTCAGTTTCAATCGTCTGATTGTGCATATTCAAATCGAAATAGTATCTAGATAGCTACGTAGATAGATCTACTGCCATTCAGAGCACTAGACACTTGCCAGGCAGAAGCTGAATATAGATAGATTCATACGAAGTACTCTTCTGTATAATTGTGGGCCCTTTTGCCCAACTAGAATGAGCAGGAGTGCATCAGTTGTATAACTATGCACATTGGGCTGCCCTTAGCCACTTAGCATTCTATAGATAGGGGTTGTCGCTTATAAACTCGGAAAATCGGGGCAATTGCTGTCGAAGAAAATCTTCTCGACTCATGGAAGGAAACCTTGTTCAATAAAGAGTGGATTATCGGTGAGAACAGACCTTGATAAACATTCGGCAAATGTGAACCTCTATCGCGAGCTGTAGTAGCGGAGCTGTTTAAGCTCTGTTCCAACTGACCGGTCGTCGCCCAGAAACCTATGAACCTTTTTGAATTATATTACTCGCTCTCGCATCTTCGAACGGGTCGATGCCCCCGAATCCGAATCTGTTGATGTACTGACTCGCAAATATCATATTCGAATAACCTCCAAGGCTAGTCGAAGCTAAGGACCCATATCGTATGTCGAAACAGGCCCTGGTGAAAGCCTACGTTATACGAAAAATAATGGATGATAAATCACTCCAACAAGCTATCTCGTTACATTATACCTTGAATAGGAAATGCCGGATGTGTAGAATCTTACGCACGGGAAGACCTTACATATGTAGCTAGCCATAGTACGTAGGGGATGCATGACGTCCTACTATCTTCACCAACCTTCAACATCATAACCAGACACCGTCACAAGATTGAGCTGCAATATGAGAAATGTTACAAACGAAACCGGTGATGGCGGTGCCACCAACCATGCCACCTCATCCATGGCATCCAAGAGGGCTTCTCCCATCGCAATTTGCGGCATGGCGCTCCGCCTGCCCGGGGGCCTGGAAAGCCCCCAACAGTTCTGGGATTTCTTGATAGCGAAAGGCGACGCGAGAGGCCGGGTGCCCGAGTCTCGCTACAACATATCAGCATACTACTCGAGGTCCGGACGGCCGGGCACGATCGGGACCGAGCATGGTTACTTCCTCAGCGACACGGCCCACTTAGGTGCCCTGGACGCTGGACGTTTCTCCATCAGCCGCGCCGAGCTCGAATGCGCTGACCCCCAGCAGCGACGGATGCTGGAGGTCGTCCGGGAGTGCTTCGATGATGCCGGGGAGGTCGAATTTCGGGGTAGCCAGATCGGTTGCTATATGGGCAGTTATGGTGAGGACTGGCTGGAGATGCAGAACAGAGATTCGCAGCAGTCCGGAATTTATAGGCTAGATGGATATGGTGATTTTATGCTTTCGAACCGAATCTCATACGAGTTTGACCTTCGTGGCCCGAGGTACGTAGTCAACCGGACATGGGAAGGTGCCTCACGCCCTCTCCGCCATACATCAGCTAAAAAAAAACTCCTAGTATGACTGTTCGCACCGCTTGCTCTTCTGCACTTGTCGGTCTCCATGAGGCTTGCCTAGCCATCCAACAAGGTCATTGCAAGTCAGCAGTCGTAGGCGGTGCCAACTTGATTATGGCTCCTGGTGCCATGGCATCCATGACAGAGAAGGGCGTGCTCTCGCCAGACGGCTCATGCAAGACTTTTTCTGCGGATGCAAACGGGTATGCTCGAGGTGAAGCTATCACAGCAATTTTTATTAAACCTTTAGACGCCGCCTTACGGGATGGAAATCCCATTCGAGCAGTCATAAGATCATCTATGTCCAACAACGATGGCAAGACACCGGGCATGTCGTGTCCAAGTACGGAAAGCCAGGTAGCCATGATAAAGAATACCTACCATGAAGCTGGGATCACGGATTACTCCCAGACAGCATTTGTGGAGTGCCACGGGACTGGCACCGCCGTTGGGGACCCGATCGAGGCCAACGCAGTTGCTCGAGTCTTTGGCGACTCTGGGGTCTTCATCGGGTCGGTAAAGCCGAATTTGGGCCACTCCGAAGGTGCATCAGGCATCACATCCGTGATAAAGGCAGTTCTTGCGCTCGAGAACCGGACCATTCCGCCCAACATCAAGTTCTCGAGCCCAAACCCTAACATTCCTTTCCAGGAGCGCAAGTTGGTGGTTCCTCTCGAGCCAACCCCGTGGCCCGAGTCTCGAAGCGAGAGAGTGAGCGTTAATTCCTTCGGCATCGGAGGATCAAACGCCCACATCGTGCTGGACTCAGCCCGCAGCTTCCACGTTCCCGCGCCCGCTCGAGCAGACGCGAAGCTCGCGGCCAGCCCGCATCTGCTGCTCTTGTCGGCCAGCTCGGCTGCGTCTCTGCAGCGAATGACTCTTGATTTCCAGGCGTGGCTCACCAACGAAAATCACGGCCCGGCAAATGGGCAGCTTCAGCACGTTGCATATACACTCGCGCATAGGAGAGAGCATCTACCACATCGGGCCTTCATGGTCGCTCGCAGAGACCAGCCTGGCGTCGCATCTCCTGGGAAGAGAGTGACCAATGCTCGACCGCCCAATCTCGTCATGGTCTTCAGTGGGCAGGGTGCACAGTGGGCCCGCATGGGACGAGATTTGCTGTTGCGTTCGGACTTGTGCTTTCAGAACAGCATCAGGTTCCTTGATCGCTGCCTGCAAGAGGCCCAGCTTCAGCTTTCCACCACTGCCCCTATCTCTGAGTCAAACTCTCCGTGGTCGGTGGAAGAAGAGCTCCTGAAGCCAGCAAGGACGTCGCGTGTCCAGGAGGCGGAGTTCTCTCAGCCGTTGTGTACTGCTGTCCAGGTTGCCCTTGTAGATCTCTTCGCGTCCGTCGGCGTGGAACCGGTGGCTGTTGTAGGTATGTTGGTCAATTTTCCCTTCTCAGTGCTTCTTCTTTCCCACTTCACAAGTCGATTTCTGACATAATTTTGCGTTTCTCAGGTCACTCTAGCGGAGAGATCGCCGCGGCCTACGCTGCCGGTGCTCTTACGGCCAAGGAAGCCGTCATTACGGCGTGGCAGCGCGGGCAGGCCGCCAGGTCGCAGACAAGGCCCGGAGCCATGGCTGCTACAAGCCTGGGCTGGGACGAAGTCAAGACTTTCCTCCCCACCTCGGATCCCCCAAGCGTTGTCGTAGCATGCGAGAACTCGCCGCGAAGTATCACGCTCTCGGGTGACGCTGCCGACGTTGAAGCGGCTGTCTACCAAATCAAGGAAGCGCATCCTGACGTGACGACAAGGCTGCTCAAAGTGGACAAAGCCTACCATTCGTATCACATGAGAGAGGTTGGAAAGGAGTATTGCTCATCAATGAGAAAAGTCCTGGTTGAGAAGCCTCCCGCGAAGCCCTTTTTCTCCAGCGTCACTGCCCAGCTGGAAGAGGGACCCCTTGGTGCTGCGTACTGGCAAAAGAACCTGGAGTCCCCCGTGCTCTTCAAGTCTGCCGTGTCGCTTCTGCTTGACGAGATCGAGAACGTGGCCTTCTTGGAGATTGGGCCGCACGCAACGCTCGCAGGACCACTGAGACAGATCTCGGCGGCATGGCAGGAAGCCACAGGCAAGACGGGCAAGACTGTTACATCGCCGCCTTATGTGTCGGCCCTGACACGCGGTGAGGACTCGGTCGAGTCGTTCCTGACCGCCATGGGGAAATTGTTCGAGCTCAATGTGTCGATCAATCTTCAGGCACTCGTTCCAATGGGATCCTGCCTCCCCGACCTGCCTCGCTACCAATGGGATCATTCCGATGGTGATTACTGGCGTGAGTCAAGAATTTCGCACGAGTGGCGGTGTCGACAACACGCGAGCCACCCGCTCCTGGGTGTGCGGCAGCTGGAGAGCACCAGCCTCGAGCCCAGCTGGCGGAATATGCTCCATGTCGACAAGGTCGCCTGGCTCCGCGATCACAAGATCGAGGACCTGCTCATCTTCCCGTGCGCAGGCTATATAGCTATGGCTGGCGAGGCTATTGCGCAAGTGGACTGTCCGGCAGGCCGGACCGGGTTTTCTCTCCGTCACGTCGTCATCAGCTCCGCCTTGGTCATCAACGAGGGTACTCCTGTCGAGCTAGTAACCACCTTGCGCCCGTATCGTCTCACCGACTCATTAGACAGCCAGTGGTGGGAGTTCGCCATCTCCTCACACAATGGTCATGTGTGGACAAAGCACATCACCGGCCAGGTCTGCGCGTCAGAAGCGGATATCAACGAAGACAAGACAACGGCATTAGAACTGCTGCCCCGAGCACTCGAGGCGCAAAAGTACTACAGCATTCTGGACCGGGCGGGCCTACAATTCGGCCCTCATTTCCGACGTCTTGCAGACATTCGAACGGGCACTACGCAGCAGCTGGCAACCGCCAGAGTCATCAATGACACAAATCCCGGGGATGAGGACGACTATCATGTGCATCCGACAGCAGTAGACGCATGCATCCAGACGCTCTTCCTGGCCGCCCTCAAGGGCCGCATGGATGCCAAGCACTGTCGAGCGGTCCCGACTAAGATCAAGAAGTTGACCGTGCATCGGCCTGTATCTCACTCCGATGGCGTGGACAAGAAGATGAGCGTATCGGCGTCGGCTACGGTCACTGCAGGCAGTGGCGATATCGTCGGGCTGGTACAGCAGTGTGTCATGGACGGCCGTGTTGTCTTGCACATGGAGGGCATGACCATCTCGCCTCTAGAAGAGGCTGAGGATGGTGATTTCGGCGGCGCCGATGGCCTGCAAACAACGGCACGCCTTATCTGGGGCCCACACATTGACTTCCTGGACGCGTCCAAGCTCATCAGGCCTTCTATACCTCGCCATCTATACGCACCGACCTTGGACGCGCTGACCCGGCTGAGCCAGGCCTATGCACATCGGCGCATGGCGGAAACCTCTCGGAGCGGACTACCTCACATGGTGAAGTACCGGTCGTGGGTTGACAGTCAGATGTATAATTCCAGCGTTGGAAGTGGTGAAGACTCATTCCTCGCTCTTCAAAGGCTCAGTGACGCTACCATTGTTGAAAAGATGGCTGATATCGTCCGTCAACTGTCTGGCACCCCCGTAGCCGCCTGCGCCACGGCCGTCCAGAAGGTAGCCCTCAACATGTCTGGGTTGTACACCGGCGACACAGAGGCACTCGAGATCCTCCTCGCCGATGACACTCTGACCCAGGTGTACATCGCAACAGACGCGTGCGACAGATCCGAGTTCATCCGTCACCTGGCCCATAGCAAACCAAACCTTCGCATCCTGGAGATCGGCGCAGGTACGGGGGCATCCACTATGAGCATGTTGAAGCATTTGGTTTTGCCCGGGTCAGGCGACAGCGACAGCGACGGGTCGGGACAGCATCCCCTCTACTCCAGATATACGTTCACAGACATCTCGTCAGCCTTTTTTGTCTCTGCTAAGGAGCACTTCAAAGGCTACTCCAATATCGAGTACCGCACCCTGGATATTAGTAAGGAGCCAGCGGAGCAGGGTTTTAAACCCAGCGATCAGTATGACCTTGTCATCGCCACCAATGTCCTTCACGCCACGCGGCGCCTCGGCGAGACCTTGCGTAATGTGCACAGCCTCCTTGCGCCCAACGGCAGGCTGCTGCTCCACGAGCTCTACTCGCACTCCAAGTGGCCCAACTTCGTCTTCGGCACCCTGCCCGGCTGGTGGTACGGTGAGGAGGACGGCCGGTCGATCGAGCCATGCGTGGACCCGGCCCGCTGGGAGGCGGAGCTGACGCGTGCCGGCTTCGCCGGGTTGGATGCCCTCGTTCTCGATGCTGAAGAGCCATACCAGCTCAATGCCATCATGGTGGCCAAGCCGCAGCAGCTGGCTGACGAGGGCAGAAGCAGCGAGGAGAGGAAGAAGAAGAGTAAGAAGACGGTTACTCTTCTCTGCGACGACGATGACAGCAGCAGCAATAAAAGGACAGACAGCTCGGTCGCAGACGCTCTTGCCCGACAGCTGGAAATCCGGGGCGACAATGTCAACCGACGCAAACTAAGCGACGTGCTGCCCACCGGGCCATTGGACGACATAATCTCCCTCCTCGACCTCGGCCCCCGCGGTCCCTTCTTCCAAGCCATCAGTGAGGCCCGCTTCGCGTCATTTCAGCGCCTCCTGGAGAAGCTTGCTTCCTCGTCAGGTGACGGGCGGCGCCCCGGCATGTTGTGGGTGACGCACCCGTGCCAGGTGCGGTGTCGCGACCCAGGCTACGCGCAGATCATAGGCGCGGCTCGCACGATCCGCACCGAGATGTTGCTGGACCTCGCCACGTGCGAGGTGGACAATATTGGAAGTGACACGTCTCTGGGCCGCATTATCGACGTTTTCGCTCGGTTCCGTGAGAGGTTGGTGGACGACAGCTCGCTGGACCCGGACTACGAGTTTTCTATCAAGGATGGCACGGTGATGGTGGGAAGGACGTACCCATTCTCTCTAAGGGATGAGCTCCTGCTGCCCGAACAGACGGGCGCAGATGCCGCTGGGTTGTCTCTTGGGATGACGAGGCCTGGCCGCCTTGCGACCATGGGATGGAATCCTCGTGTGACAAGAACACTTAGGGGCGATGAGGTTGAGGTCGAGGTGTACGCAATCGGTTTGAACTTTAAGGTGAGATTCATCCTTGCATGTGCATCTATCTATCCATCGATACCAGCCCCCCCTCCGCCCAAGAAAAAGGGAAAAAGTAAGAAAGAAAGAAAGAAAGCGAGCACCTCCTAGCGAGCCCCCCGCCCCGGGGGAGACCCTCCCATATTTGAACTCGATTCCTGAATTGGCTTAATTGACACCTCAACAGGATGTACTGTGTGCCTTGGGTGTTGTGCCATTCCCCAAAGGCGGCTTGGGTTCCGAATCAAGTGGTATCATCCGTCGTGTTGGTCCGGAAGTCAAGGATCTCTGTATCGGCGACCGCGTCTTTCTCATGGCAGATGGCTCCTTTGCGACCCATGTTATTGGCATTGAAAGGATGTGTGAGAGAATTCCAGACATGCTACCATTTGAAGAAGCCGTGACGATGCCTGCGGTTTTCACGACGACGGTAGCCGCACTGTTCAATATTGGCCGTCTCGAGAAAGGACAGGTAAGAAAAACCCGACTTCAAATCACCAGCAAGATTATCACCAAAATTTCGTTGGCCGTTGACCCGCTTGGCTGACCGAATTATGAACACTAGACCGTTCTCATCCACAGTGCCTGTGGCGGCGTTGGCCTCGCTGCTATTCAGCTTGCAAGGATGGTGGGAGCCGAGATATATGCGACCGTTGGCAGCGATGAAAAGATCAAGTATCTGACTGATAAGGTCGGTCTGCCGCGGAACCGTATTTTCAGCTCGAGGGACACGAGTTTTGTCGAGGGGCTGATGCGCGAGACAAACGGCAAAGGTGTCGATCTTGCCCTGAACTCTCTGTCGGGCGAGTTGCTGCACGCGACCTGGCACAGCGTGGCCGAGTTTGGGAGAATGGTGGAAATTGGAAAGCGTGATATCCTGGGCGCGGGAAAACTCGACATGGATGTCTTCCTCACGAATCGAGGTTATACTTGCTTTTGTTTAGATCACCTCGCCCAGAACAGGCCGTCCGCGTTCAAAAAGCTGTTCCAGTGGGTTCGGAAAAACCTTGAAGAGAGCAAAATTCAGCCCATCGAGCGTGCGAGGGTATTCGATGCATCTTCGCTTCAGAAGGCGCTTCGACACATGCAGAAAGGCCAACACATTGGCAAGATTGTTATCTCGATGCGAGACGCAGAGGGGAAAATCAAGATCAACACAGCCCCTGTCAAGCCTGCAAGAAAGTTGCAGCTAGACAGCTCGGCATCTTACATGCTTGTGGGAGGGCTTGGAGGTCTGGGACGTGCCGTGTCCCGACACCTCGTTGACCACGGTGCCCGCCGCCTCGTATACATGTCCCGCAGCGCTGGAGCGGGCCCAGGAGATGCAGATTTTGTTCGCGAGATCGAGAGCATGGGCTGCGAGGTCCTCCTCGTCAAGGGCAGCGTGACTAGTGCCGACGACGTGTCCCGCGCAGTCCGTCAGGCCTCGAACCTCAAGGGGATCATGCAATGTTCCATGGTTCTCAGCGACCAGGCTTTTGCCCGTATGAGCCATCAGGAGTGGAACACAGCTGTGGCACCCAAGGTGCAAGGCACGTGGAATCTGCACAACGCCAGTGTATCTTTCGGTGCCAAGCTCGACTTCTTTGTCCTGTTCTCTTCAATGTCCGGCTTGACTGGTCAGGCTGGCCAGGCTAACTATGCCGGTGCAAACACCTTTTTAGATGCTTTTGTTCAGTACAGAAACAGTCTTGGTCTGGCTGCGTCGGCCATTGACATTGGGGCTGTGCAAGACGTCGGATACGTCTCGCAAGACCCGGCACTGCTGAAGAGAATGATGCTGGCTAGCGCACACGGTATCACAGAGCCCGAGTTTCTCGAAGCACTTACGAACGCTATGTTGTCTTCTCCCGGGCAGAGTGGCAATAATGCGTCTCCGGACAGAGGAGAAACATCCTTTGAGGACAGAAGTACCTTCGTGCTCGGCCTGGGAACAAAGATTCCCTTGAGCAGCCCTGACAGTCGAGCCTTCTGGCGAAAAGACCGGAGAATGGCCGTGTACCACAACTCATCCAAGGCTATCCGGGACGACGGCGGTTCTAACAGCGACAATCTCAAGGCTTTCTTGGCCCGAGCAAGAGAAGACACGACTTTGCTAAAGGCACCAGGCACGGCTGCCTTCCTGGCCAGGGAGGTAGGGAGGAAGCTCTTCAGCTTCCTGCTGAAATCGGAGGAGGACTTGAACACCTCCGTGCCGCTCTCTCAGTTGGGCATGGACTCTCTCGTTGGCGTGGAAATGCGCAGCTGGTGGCGTCAGGCTTTTGGTTTCGATATCACCGTGCTCGAGTTGCTTGGGAGTGGCAATCTTGATGCATTGGGAAGCCATGCTGCTGAAGGACTGTTGAAGGTCCTAGACAGCAAGACTTAGATTGATTTTGCCACCTCGTCCTGTCGATCGCGGTATAAAACTTGAAGCGGCCTCGAATCCGGGTCTTATATTGGATCCTTCAAGAGTCGCATTTGATGGGATAATTATAGACAAACTTCAAAGTTTAGATCGAGACTTTAGCATGCAGGCAAATTGTATAGTGCATGGTACTTAGATTCGGGGGCATTCGGCATTCTGAGCGCACCTCAATGCGACAATAGTCATTTATTTGAAATGTCTCGAATAGAGTAAAAGGTTCCTGTACGCAAGGGAGTAAGCTGTCATTGAGCCGGCTTTCAGTCGCGCGCCTCGCTTTTGGGAGATCACCATACTCTAGTCGTCTGTCCTCTGAAAGACTGGAACTCCTTTACAACTGGCTAAATTTGGCCAAAATATGCGTCAGCAACACGCGTGGTCTGGACGATCCTCCAAAATATTTCCATCAGAGCCCTTGCATATTGCTTCTGACTTGGCCGCCATTTCGGAGTGTACTTCTGATTCAATACAATTTGACTTCTGCACACAGAGACTCATAGTCGTTCGCAGAAACTTACCGATTATCACTTCAGGGTATTACAACTGCAAGTGTTGAATATCTGATAACATATGCCTCGTCGTCAAACACTTATACTACCACTACTAGTTGACGGGAGTCGGAGTGTTTATCCACCCATTCAAACAACGGCCCACTTTCCAGATCATAAACACCATCATAATCGGTATCCCAGCTTCCCAACCTCTTATAGAATCCTTCCGTCTGTTTCAACAGTATAAGTCCCATGATAGCTCTCTTGAAGGGCCTGTTTGGCTTGCGCTCAATTAATGGTACAAAATACATGTCCCCTCCTGTCTCATTATGCGGACCGTCTAGACTTATGACCAGCTCCGTTTCCAACTGATGATCATTATCTCCTATCTCAAGTACATGGACTGTTCTGATATCTTGCCAGAAGTCGGAACACTCATCTCGATATTTTCCTAGCACACATCGGGCAATCAAACACTTCATTCTCAACCGGCCCTCCTTTACTGGACCATATTTGTGTGATTCATCCACCAGAACCACGATCACGCTCTCCATGTCGATTAGAGAGTGGTTGAATCCCAAACCCGAAGGTATGGTAACTCCTGCATCAACACTTGTCCAGCTCCACGTCGGATAGCGCCTTGTCATCGATGTTTTGAGAGAGTTTCTTCCAAGTACCCCCCAAGCAAGATCGAAGGGCATATTCTTACGGAAGTGTCCAGCGTAGTACTCCTCGCCAAACACAGTAGCATAACGCTGTGCTACTGCTGCCAAGGCCACGAGCTTGTCCTTCTCTGGATATGTGAGTAGACATCCACTGTACTCACCGACTATGTTCGCCCACTGGCCAAAATGGTCTGATGGACTCCAATCTGGCTTTCCACCTGGGAAGCAATTGAACGGACGCCTGTAATTTGTATCAAAAGCCTTCCCAGTTCCAAGAATTCCGTGAGGGAGACCCTCCTGCAGGGACCGGCTTTCATCACACTCCCACATTATGCGATTATTCGTGAAGTGCAAGACTCTCGGGGAAAGTAGTCTTTCCTGAACGACCCATCCCCTTTTTGATAGTGGAAGGTCCCAGGTACTCGAAGTATAGTCAAACTCCGCCGCAAAGACCGTGCACCTTAAAGACTCTCCTGCATTGGCTGGTTCTGACTCTCTAGAACTCGCCTCAACAGGGCCATCATTGCTATTCTCCCCATCATCTGAACTGCTCTTCAAGGAATCGTCAGATAAGGCTTCGTTGGATGAAGTTCCCGACACTTCGCTGTCTGAGCTACGTGGAGTGACTCTGGCCCTTGGAATTACCGAAAAAGCGCAGCATTCCTGGATAATGTCGGGATTCCTTTGCCTGAACGCGCCTTGCTCGGGATTTGCTGCGGCGTCGAAAGATAAATTGAGGTAACAGTTCCGATAGATCGATGACATCTCTTCCGTATGGAACAGCCAATCTGATTCGGAATCTTGCAGAATGCAAAGACTGTCTATCCATATATATCGAATGGATAACCGATTGCAGATAACCATTGCGTCACGAAAGCTGCTGGCAAGGATATCAACGGGGATCCCGCGGCGAAAATGGTTCAAGTTCGCACTTGTCAAGGTGACGAAGCTTGGATTTGAACCCCAGCAATGGCTCAATGTTGCGTAACGACCGTGAGGACGTTCTGAACTCGTTTCCAACAGGCGGGGCGAAGTCGCTTCAGGGATGTAGATCAGACGTTTGGGATACCATTCGGAATCAACTGGCCCGTTCGATATCTCGCAATTATGCGAGCGTTCACAATTTTCCATCCACATTTTACCAATTTCCAAGACGCTTTTGTGTCCAGTACTGTCCGGAATCCGCCTGAGTGGGAACATTTCTCTTCTGACTCTCCACGGCTCTGAATCGAGGTCGCTCGCAGCATGTCCTGAAAGTCTAGCGTACCAGTCAGGTACTGCTTCACTTTTGTAGGAGACGTGTATGTAGATGGCGTTCCAGGGCATTTCACCCCAATTCAACCAGCGAACTTTTGAGTCAAACTGTATTTCCCAACAACGTGGCCGCGAACCATTGCCGCTCTTGGAGGGAATAAAGTTGGCGTCAGGAGCCCACTTGTAGCTGAGAAAAGGCATGGCTGTTTCTTCATTCTCTGGGTCTGGGCTTAATTCAGAGCGTCGCAGAAGGAGTGCGCTGCATATCTTACAACCGCCTTTCGCGGCCTTTCCCAAATCTTCGATGCACGCATGATGCAATCCAGCGTGTCGCCCGCTGGAAAACATCGAGAGGCAGAGTGCGCAAAGCATGTCAGATCGTGAGTTGAATTGTAAAAGCCAGAGCCAAGTTCACGCTTGCTGACCGGGGGAGAGATTGAGTCTTTGTTCCTGCAAATGCAATTGAGGTCGAAACTTAGTGAACGCGTGAATGACAAGTGCTGGCGGGCGACATGCGGCTGACGTGACGGTTGTACGTTGCTAATGCAGCTGTTTAGACCATGATGACATTTCAAAGACAGAAACAACCCCTCACATCGACTTTGGCGCCCATTGGTCGGCACTATCAGTACCCTGGCTGGTACCCTCTTCCAGGTAGCGCCATTTGCTGACTGCCATAGATCGGTGATACAACAAGACTATATGCTTCCGTATTAGAAACCTTTTGGACACATACGCTGAAATAAAACTTGCCAAGTCTCCTTGTTTGAAAATTCGTTGGTACTCAACATCAACTGACTGCCCGGAATGGGATAAGAATTGTCGTACATGGTTATATAATCCCAAAACTACACTCAGAGAGCACGGGCGCATCTATTCCTCTCTGTAGCACAATTAAAAAAAAAAAGGCTCTTGAAGGTTTAAAGCTTGAGACTGAGATATATACAGGTTCATTTGACTTGCAAATCTGTTGTGTGAATGTTAGATTTCACCTTACGAGGTGAATATCCCAATTTCATCAGACTTCAGCATAGAGACCAATAAACACGCTGGCAGCTATTGCTGTACTGAGTAAAAAACGCTCGTAAATGCGGACATCAGCATATCCAATCCAATCTTTGATGACAGCAAATGAGGTGATGTAGCCGACGATACCTCACCCGGTGGTTTTTTTTTTGGAGATAGAGTTAATGAAGTATCTCCGATTAAGGCTGCTGTGGTTCACGATCGACAGACTCCTGGAATCGAGTACGCGGCAGAATTTGATGGCTCATATGGTCCGAAGTCTGCCCTGACTGAATACTAGTGTTCCTGGTCACGATCTTGGAAGCGGTCATTAACTTCTCTGTCACTTCTCAGGTATAGGTCGAGTAGTGGATCATGAGTTACGGAATGAATCTCAAAATAACCAGGAAAAGCCCTTGCGGTAGACCTTGCCAAGCTTGCCTCTTATCACCATCGCAGCCTCCTTTTCCCTCATGGCGGCCTCGACCGCCGCCTTCTCCTCTGCAACCGTTTCTTCCGGAACGCCTGTGACCAAGTCCGCCACCTCAGCCCGCACACGTTGAGATTTCTTCACAATCTTGTAGCCAAAGATTAGACCTAGGTAGATGGGGATGCCGATGTACTGGACTATGAAACCCTTGTAGTCGAAAGTGCCGATGAAAACCTCGATGCCTTTGGTGAGTATCAGGATGACCAGGAACGCGAGAGCGATGAAGGAGCCACACGCGCCGAAGGGGGCGCGGTAGGGGATGTATGCCAGACTGATGTGTTGAATCTTGCGAGCACGGCAGAAACAGATGTGACAGACGAGGATAGAAATCCAGGTCAGGAGGCCTAGAAATGTTAGCAATGTTGCTCACCAGCCAAATATGACCTGGAAGCTCACCGAAGACAGTGACAAGGCTGGTGAGATTGTTGAATACTGTTGCGGCACTCGAGCTGACGGACATATACGCCAATCCGCAGAACGCAGCACAAAGAGCCAGCGACACGAACGGCACTCCAGCTTTAGTTGTACGTGTGAATATCTGGGGTGCCTTGCCATCAATAGCGATGCCGTACAGAGTACGGGATGAAATATAGATATCCGAGTTCGCCGCTGAAAACACAAAGACGGCGAGGCAGGTGTTGATGACATGATCAAGCCCCTTTATCCTGGCGATTTTTATGGCCACGACGAATGGGGAGGCGGCAGCACTTGTCTTGGCTCCGGCAGCGAATGCGAGCTCCCGGCTATTGTACGGGACGACCAGCCCCAGGAGAAAGACAGAGATGATGTAGAAGAACACGATGCGGAGGAAGGTAAGGCGGATGGCTTTTGGCGTGCACAGACGTGGGTTCTTGGCCTCACCGACAGTGACGCCTACAAGTTCAGTCCCGGAGAATGCATATACTGCGGCTACCATCGCGCTCCACAGACCGAGCAGATGCCCCTTGGCACCACCGACCTTATACTCCGCGAAGGCTCCGGGTTCAGACCAGTATCGGAATCCAGGACGGTCTCCGGTTGGCCCACCACCAACAGCGAGTATGAAAAGAAGGATTATAATGCCAATCATGATTAGCACCTTCAGGGAGGACAGCCAAAACTCGAACTCGCCGAAAGCCTTGACGCTGACGCTGTTAATGACAAGAATCAGGACCAGGATAATTGTGATGAAGACAGCCGGATTGACACGGTCTCCGACCCAGAACTTCATGATAAGGCCAAAAGCAGAGAGTTGGTTCGGGGTTGCGAGGAGGTATTTGAAGAAGTAGGAGTATCCTGTCGCAAAACCGAGGGCCGGGTCGACGAGACGAGTGGCGTAACCACCGAAACCATGCGAGAGGGGCATGTAGGATATGATCTCGCCGAGCGCGGCCATGACGAGGAAGACGACGCAGCCGACGATGCTGTAGTCTAACAATATTCCTGCCGGACCGGTCTTGACGAGAGCTGATCCGCTGGAGGGTTGGATTTGGTTATGAGCTGAGCAATCAAAATTTGGAAGTAGGAGCTTGAGGCTTACGTCCCAATCATGAGTCCCGTGCCCAGAGCACCTCCCAAAGCAATCATAGTGACATGGCGAGTTTCGAGGCGTTTCTGCAGATCGTGGCCGGGATTATGGGCCAGGTTTTGGACCTCACCGAGCTTCGCGCTCTGTTGATGCGAAAGTCTCTGTAGGCCTCCTGCCTCCATCTTATCTTGGGCCATCATTTTTGAAAAGGCCGAGACTGAAGTGAAGTCCAGAAAATCTCGGAAAACAACGAGGCGGTACTCTGAGTTCGAGTTCAGACAGGATCCTCACGATCGACTCTGGCCTTTTTAGGGAGCAGAAGCTATACCGGCTGGCTTGCAGAGAAGGATTTATGGGTATAGCTCGATTAGCCAGTGGGGGTTTCAAGCGTTGTTCAAGCCAAATGGCAGTCATACCAAGTATCTGACATCTTAAACTTGGTCATTATCTCGAGCCTGGGTCCGGTATAATGGTTCGGGAGTAGTTCCCGAAGCCGGGGAGCACCGCTCGGCTCGTCATCCCGCGTTTAGTATCAGATAGGCGACTGATTCAGACAGGCCCTTATAACCGGATCTCTTGATACGGCATATGAGGAAAGATTGATAAGAACCCACGTCTTAGGACAAATAGGATGGATTGCGGCGAAGATACCCTGCCCTACGTAAGGCTCCCTTTAGAAGCCTCCACTCACATGGCTCAGCATTCACTTCGAACTGTCAAGTCTCACGCGGTCACCCCGTAAAGCCAAGTCTTCCAATCAATGTCTCGAGCCGAATGACTTCAAAGTGGCTCTTCCGTTGTGGAGCATAAAAATGAGTCCCATTTCCCGGGCGTACAAATGTTAGGATAAAATGCAGCATGCGTAGCCTTTCCCGAGGACCTGTCATAGTAGGTCCCCACTAAAATCGAGATCCTGCGTGATGGCATCTGTCCACAACCAGCTTCCGGAGAGCTGAGTGTTGCCATAGGCGGACATTTCTGGCTCCCAATCGAGCAGTCCCGCGATTGATAGCATTTCCTCGGATGATGCCAGGCCGTTAGCCGCAGCACCGGTGGCGGTTACTCGCTCTGTATGCTCAGTAGAGGGATTGAGACCTCTATTGACATTCGATAAGGGCTGGCCGCCTGCCTTAGGTGCCGGTGGTTCTTTCGTTTGTGTCTGAACGAGATGCAGGATTTCTTGTAATTTCTCTAGTTCCTCTTTCCGGTACAGGGCAACCATATTGCCGTGCGCAATTATGGTACTCAAGATGCTGAAGGCGGTATCCAGGTAGCTGCTGTCATGATTTGGGAGACCGGGTATAGCCGTCATAAGCGTTAGGATGAATCCAGATGAGAAGGTTTGTTCTAAATCGAACGAGAGAAACGTCTCTTGTGACATGGTGAGTGTTCTCATGTCCACGTCTCAATGTTGACCGAAGTGTTGCTCACCTAAGAGATGTTGAGACTGCAAAGTCGATAGGATACGAAGGGACTTGCTTGCTGATTCGGACGATGTACTCAGAAGAGCTTTGATCGGGCCTGCGAGGTCTCGATGGATGGCATCTTGCCTTGCCAGGACATCTTGTAACAGACAAATTAGAAGTGGCCTTGTTGCGAGGACAACACACTACAAAACGTCAGCTGGGTTCATGGGCACTAAAGGTGTCGAAAATTGAACCTGATGATAGCTTAGATTCAGCGTTGCGGAAATTCGCGAGGCTGGCTCGTAGTTATCAAACTTGAACTCGAACCCCGCCGTAAGTTGAGGGGCGAGCCTGGCCATGTCTCTCAAGACTTCCTGAATCTTTTTCAGAAAAGAAGGCTCAAGCTTTCCGTCGGCACCATAAACAGCTATGGCACTGTCAGTGCGTGAGAATGGAAGACCAATATGACGATTTACTTACTACTCAGGACCTTGGCGTGCAGCTGCGACAGAGCTACGTGAAGGCCGAGAGCTTTATACTTATAGTTGATGGGCTCTGATAGAGGTAGAGTAACAGTTATATCGCTGTCTTGGATCGAGCTCGGTGCACCCATCAGCGACGACAGTTTTCGATCCAAAATGTAAATAGTCCACCAGATGCAGCGCAGTCTATTGGCTTCCGTCTCACTGAGCAGGCCTTCAGAAGGCTCACAATGGAGACCCTGTGTCAGGGCTATCCGAAATGCTTGGCCAATCTGAACTTGAAGGTAAGCTACAAGATCCAGGAGGTAACATTGCGGTCTATCTTACATAAGTGAAGGCGCTATTCCGATGGTCAACCGACTGCAAATACAAAGCGAGGCAGCACAGTATCTCCATGGACAAGATCGGATCCTGGTAAAGACCTTGATTATCAGGCAACAGCTCTAAAGCTCTGCTGAAGAGTCCGCTGCCAGGAGGACTCTGTCCTGGCGCTCCTGGAACTAGAAGGGCCTTGCCAAAAGCCATGACGAGTAAAAATTGAATATACCATAATCGAGTGTCTGTGGTAGGTTCCTGCTTCGTGCCATTCCTGTAAAAGTCATGAAGCCCACTCATGAAGTCATTCTCATCGAAAAGATGATATGTCTGGCCTAGATGAAATTTCACTGTGTTGGTGAGGTAGAGGGCGTGGTCAAGTGAAGGGATGTCGGCTGTGGGCTTAGGGATCACCTCTCGAGAAGAAGGCCAGTCTAGTTTGACTGCCTGCCCATCAACATTCAATGGCACTTCTGGAGATTCGTGTTGGCCAAGGTGCTCCTGAATCATACTTAGAACTCGCCGGCTGTATGCCCAGGTTGATGAAGGGCCAAGCCATCCTGAAAGAAATCAGATTATGTATTGAGAGTGATTTCGAATACTCACGCCTCCTTCCCGTAGAATCCGTCAAGAACTTTGAGCGTCCACTTGCTAAGGGGTTCTGTATGATGCTAAAGCTGCCATGCCGTCTTTCAATTAAGTCATCGTCCCCGATAGGTGCATTCGTGCCGTCGTTCGCGAGTAAAAGCGTGGAAGCTTGAACGACGGAATCTTCTTCAATTTGTAATGGCCTATTTCTCTCATCTAAACGCCTTTGTCAATCCTGATGTTCATGGCAATCATTATGTACACGTACCATAACGTCTACCCGCGTGGGGCGAAGTGGATCGATGTAAACGCGGCCGCTTTGAAGTTGGGGGAGTCTGAATGTCGGCATCCGGGGCATACCCAGATTTTCGCTTCAGGTCATTCAAAAACCTAGAATTTGAGCACCAAGACCTATATATGGGAATTCTTTAGGCCAAGTACCTCTCGGAGACCACAACCTTCCTGTCTTCCTTGTCGAATACGCATTCCGTCGACCTGCGTAGGCAATTGCTGCAAGGCATCGAGCCCGAGCACTTGACCTTACGCTCACGGCATCGTAGGCATCTTGAAGCGTTCGGTCATTAATTTGTGTTTGTTGGTTTTGTTCTGCACATTGATCAAAGATAAAGGCGGGACTCACGCATTGCTTGAACGCCGGCCCCGCGATGTCGAAGGTCCCGAGTCGGCGTCAATTTCTGCCGAGTTGGCAGGACTGCATGCTTCTCTGACCATACTGAGGATCACTAATTGATCTCAAATCACGTGTCTCAGAGTTTCAGACTGAATGTAACCACAAGAAGCAGACATCCAAATTGATGGAGCCTCGACGAATGCAATCGTCAATGCGCTGTGAGAATCTGCATGTCCAATGAGCTAAAAGGCAGCCACACCACATGTGTGGCGCATTGCCGGTTCATTCTTGGCTTGCTCTGGGAGGCAGGAACACGTGACCTTCAACGGCATTCAGTGAAGTCAAAGGAGCAATATTCCCGGCTGATTTTCATTTGTACCATGGAAAACGCAAAAAGTATCCCGTTATCATCTCCAAACCTTGCTTAATAAAGTTGAAAGAACGTTTTGAGGAGTAGTAATTATGTTTTAGTCCGTCTTTGTGCCATGAGACAGGTTCAAACCCGTCAAAAGCGAGCTCGGAACGCCTTGCCGAAAAGTGGACACTAGTCTTGAATCCAGTCTCTTGTGGCTCGGTTGGCCACGCCCCCAAGTAAGGATGGTTTGAGTCACTTTTTCGCCGAAGGATTGCAGTACACGGTGCAATATCCCAAAATTGTAAACAATTTCGGAGAGGAAAATTAGGGACTGGGTGTGTCCAGGTTATCTAGGCTATCCGGTGTGTCTAGAGCATCTCGGGCGTATAAGAAATCTGCAGTATCTGGATCGTCTCAGTCTCTCACCTCGGGATCAGAAATTTGACCTTCCTCATAATCGTGCTTCTGGACATGCATCTGCGATATCTATGTACTGAGAAAGGAAAAGAATGCAACGTTTGATATTCCGACCATGTGCTAAGTCCAAGTGACAAATAGGCGAGGAAACTGTGTGTCAGCTCAATAAGGCTTTCCTGAAGGGCAAAGCATGCACGAGGACGCTAAGATATATATAAATTTTAGGTAGATTCTTGACTTTAACTGATCTAGTCTTGTCTCTACTTCATTAGCGTTTTTCTAGAATAGGTAATACGACGTTTGCCACGTATAATCGGCCACGCTGTCTATTCCATTCTGAGTTTCAGTATTCCTGTTCTCCGGACATTCTAACAACCTCGTCGATCGCCTTAGCTGCACGAGCTACGTTGTCTTCGCTTAATCCAGCGACATTGATGCGCCCTGACCCTGGTAAATGAACGTGATATGTGCCGACCAATGTCTTACACTGGGATGGCGACAGTGCCAGGCATCTAAATTATTCAATTAGGTCACAAGCAAGTCTGTACATGAGAAGACTGCTACTTACGAGAAGAGCCCCTTTTCATTGAGGAGATAAGTCCAATCCCCTGGTGTCTGTATCAAGTCAGATATAAAGTTGCTTGGTGTATTTGGAACAACTGTACGTACCTTCAGCACATTCACCAACTGGTCGTGCAGAGCATGACGGTTCCTCTTGAGCCGTTTCCTCATACCGTCGAGTTCCATGATCCTAATGTACTAGTCAGCTTCGCACTCTAGGATTTCTTGGTGAGGCAGACCTACCAGGCTTTCCGCAATGCATTGTCGTTCAGCACAGTCTTGACCAGTCGGCTTCCATAAGCTGGAGGTGAAGAATAAGTGTAACGTATCAGACTCCGCAGTCTGTCCTGGACATTGAAAGCAACCTCGCTCGAGTTTGCTACCACGTGAAGGGCTCCACACCTCTCCCCGTAGAGCGCGAAATTCTTCGAAAAGGACTGACAGACGAGCATCTCCATGCCTGCTTCCACAAAAGTCCGCACGCCCACCGCGTCCTCACTCAAGCCATCACCAAGACCTTGATAGGCAGTATCAAAGAATGGCAAATGGCCATTGGCCCTCATCTCGGAAGCTAGCTCTTCCCACTGCTGGACACTCAGATCGACGCCGGAGGGATTATGGCAGCACCCCTGAAGGATAAAGACGCTGTCCGGCGGAGCTGTCCGCACGGCATTCAGAAGGGCGGCAAAATCCACTACATGCTTGGAAGAATCGAGATATTGGTACGTGACTATCTCTATATTGACATTTTGAAAGATGTCAAGGTGGTTTCCCCACGTGGGAATGCCAATATAAACCTTGGGCTTTGGTTGCATGGCCTTGGCAATCAACAGAGCGCCCAGGGCATTGGCGCCGGTGCCAGATATTGTCTGAACGGATGAGATCTGCCGTAATGTCAGGAAATTCGCATGTGGTGAATGGATGGAAATATGATGGAAGAGTAAACAGACCCTGCCGGATTTCAATGCCTTGCAATCGTCTCCGAACATCACACTGGCGGCAAGTTTGAGAAATTCTGCATCTCCAGTTGTCGGTCCATACTGTATAATACTTAGCCCGCTAGCTTCTAATTGACGAGTGCATACAAGACGACATACGTCGTGTCCTAAATCAGCGCGTTCGAGATGCCCTTTGGCCTAGGAAATGCTTAGCGATTGAATACTGGCATAAGCTGTGCTGCAAGATTGACCTACAAGCTTCACAACCTCTAACTCTTGGTAGGTACAGGCCTCGCTTCGATAGATACCAACACCCAAGTCCACTTTCTCTGGATTACGATCGTTGTCCGCATTCTTCTTCAGGATGAACATGGGGTCCGGGGGACCTGGTTGAATGTGTCCAAACATCGTGACTTGGACAGCGCTTTTGACAGTGAAAACCCTGCGAGAAATAAGGCCGAAACACTGTTTTTCTTCTTAGACCATTATTGATCCCATATAAATGAAATTAAAAGAGACAAGAGCTTCGGTAGCTGTGTCCGAGATAACGACGGCACAGCTTACCGGGCCCCACTTTTGACTTGGTGGTTTTCGGCAACGGGTACCGAATCGTGCATGTCAACGGGAACGGCAGCCGGGGACTTTCGAGCTGCTGCTTATTTTCCTGGTGATTCCCGTTTGGAAGTTGGTGAGTCAGTTACCTTGGTGGCACGTTGTTGACGATATCGCCAAAATGGCTTCCCTCTGCACGAACAACTTGATGCGGCTCAGCGCGGCCGGGAAGCTCTGTACAGTGAGTAAACTAGAGATCCAATCCTTTACCTCAATATCAACAGAAATGGATCTTCTGATCCCTGCTGTGGCACGAATCACTGACAGCCCCAGGCTATGGGCATCAGGCTTGTAAATAATACGCAGGTTGTTCATTTGGCGGCTAATGCAGGTTTCGATGCCCTTTTCATTGATCTGGAGCACTCGACACTATCAATACAGGATTCAAGCCAGCATTGCATAGTAGGGCTGCAGCGAGGTATCACACCATTCGTCAGGGTTCCTTACCAGTGCGGCAACGGCTTTGTACAGAAGGTATTAGATGGTGGGGCTATGGGTGTGATCTTCCCTCATATCCGAGGTCGAGGTAAGATATGTCGACCTACAACATGGCGAGGCTGAAATTCCATGCTCACGAACGAGAACAGAGGACGCACAGGCGGCGGTGTCGATTTGCAAGTATCCACCTCAGGGGACTCGGTCCATCACTGGACAGCTACCGCTCTTCTCTCTCAAGGCAAAACCGCAAGAGTCGATAATATCTGAGACAAACGCCGACGGCTCCAGCGTCTTCCTGATGATTGAGACGAAAGAAAGCGTAGACAATATCGAAGACATAGCATCGGTCCAAGGCGCAGATGTCATCTTGGTTGGCTCGAACGACCTCGCTATCGAGCTTGGAGTACCAGCCCAGTTTGGCAGCAATACCTTTCGGGAGGCCTTGGAAATTGTCAGCAAAGCCTGCAAAAAACATGGGAAAATCTTCGGCTTGGCAGGTATTTATGATAATCACGACTTGCATGACTGGGCTATCAATGGACTGGGGGCACGTTTTCTTCTTGGCGGGCAGGACTCGGCGATACTGGCCAAAGGCGCGAAGGAGACCATGGCAGCGATCACGAAAGTACCTACCTAGAGCTTCTGAAAATAAGAAACGTACATCTACTTAGTAAGAAAATTCTGATCCGGCGATCGCCACAGCGTCCATCGAATTCCAAATGCTACGCCACGTTAACTTATAAGGCACACATCATCAATTGCAACATCTCTCCTTTTAGATTGTTTCTCAGCCAACCATGCATTCGAAGAGTCGAATCGAACAAGGACAGAAGAACAGCTGATGTCCAGCTCAGGCTCGAAGCAGCCCGAGCTGGAACTAAGATGAGTTGCATTCCGAGGACTTTATAGCTTAACAACGCTGCTGGAGTCAACTTGAAAGGCCAGCATCGTGATAGTTACGCATTCCTAGAGGTTTCTGAGTTGAATCTGGATAGCCGCTACGTCTTCAATCTCAGACTCTAGGACATTTAAAAGTTCAACGCTGCAACGACTGACGAATAAGTCAAGTCAGTCTACAGCTACGGAAAATGCTGCATAAATAAGTGAGAAGAGAACAAGATGCGCTCTGATGTAGACAAAATTACTTCAAGAATAGGGTAAAGAGACCAAGACATTCAAGCACGACCTTCAACATTGACTCAAGAACCGACATCACTCGTTGCATCAGGGGCCACGATGGCCTGCAACCTGGTAAAGTTTAGGACCCCAAAGCCCGTGACCGGGTCCCAGCCGTCGGTTGCATTCCAGCTGGCGCCCTGCGCGCCAAAGGCACTGTTCCCCACGCAGCCCACCGAGGAGCCCCCGGTCACATCGCTGAAAATGCTCGCGCTGTAGTTGTACAGCAGTGGGTTGAGGAAGCCTAGCGCCGTCAGGTTCGAGCTGAGCCGCGCCGCGTTGAGCAGCGACACCTGGCCCGCGAACGTGGCCGCGCTGGCGCTGGTTCCGTTGACGAGGTATTGGGTCCCCTGGTCGACGACGGCGTAGTTGACGCCGATGGTCGCGACGTCCGGGAACGCCCGCTTGGATCCGTTGAAGTAGGGCGCGTACTCGCCCCCGAGGCCCGCCACGTACGTGGGAACGGCGTCGTCCTGGTAGCCGGGCCGGTCAAAGTAGAGGCTAAAGCCGCCGGAGCTGAAGGACGCGCCGATCATGTCGTCGCGGTTTGCCGTCGCGCCGACCGCGGTGACCCACGGGCAAGTGGCCGGGAAGACGGGCTGGAAGTAGGTCGAGTTGTTGCCGGCGTCGCTGCTCGTTGTGCACGAGCCGCCCGGGCCGTAGTCGCCCGAGGCGAAGATGACGCTCACACCGCGGGCGCCGAGCTGCATGAAGAGGTTGCATACCTTGCGCGCGTAGTCCTCGGGGACGGACTGCTCCTCTTCGCCGTACGAGACGGAAAGGACGGTGGGCAGGTCGGTGTCGTTGAGGGCCAGCAGGTACTCGAGCAGCTCGAGGTAAGGCTCGTTGCTTCCGGTGGTGGAGGGATCGTCCACCGTGGCTTGCTGGTCCCTAGTTGAACACTGCGGTTAACAGGTAGTCCTTGGGGAAAGAGGGTTCCAGATGATTGGTTCGAAGCGTACCCGTATCCTCCCACGATATATTCATGGATGGGGATGGGGTGGACCCAGCCCATGATCACAGCGACATCCAGATTCGCTTCCACTATGACGAGTATATGTGTCAGAAATCGCAGCGGTACATTATCACGCGGGGGAGTTCGATGAGGGACGAGAACGACGGTCGGTTTACATACTGCTCGAGGTGGTATCGTGATCCTTGAGGTGCACGCCGCCGTTGATCTCGGTGAAAGAGAAATTTAGGCCAACAGAGTGTGGCGCCAGCTCGCTGATGAACTCTTCCAGATCCCCATACCTAGCAGACTGGCCCAGAAACGATGCGAACCCAATTCTGCCGTACGCCGTCTCGGACTCGAAGCTTCCCGGGAGGAGTTGCTTGAGGCAGCCCGGGGTCTCGTACGAGTCGCAGTTCCCGCGCACGAACGTCGTGCTATTACCAGATGCGTTGAAGAACTCGGACGCGGTGGCGATCGCCGAGCCCATGGCCTTGACGTCCCCGAACCGGGTGATTGGCTGCACCGTGTCGATGTGCTGGGTCAGATGGTCGGGTATGCTGTACGAGAGACTGCGCAGCTTGGGCTCGCGCTCCCCGTCAACATTCTCGTCTCCTCCTCTCTCGCGCCGGAACCAGCCAAAGGACGCATTGAACAAGTTGTCGGCCACGTCGACGGTCGTCCTGATCGTGACCCAGTCGGCCTCGATAGAGTGGGGGACATTCTTTTCCCGAAGCCACTGGGTCACGCTCGTCTCTGTGCACTCGGATGGAGCCGTGTAAACTTGTAACTCTTCACGGTTTAAATGTATGCCGTAGTTGACCGTCCCGGGGGTGGACCGGTCGAGCACGGCCGCCTCGAGTGCCGACTCTCCTTGCTGCCGCAAAGCAAGCCGGAGTTGAATCGGCTCGTCCGGTGAGGCTGGTACGACATGCTCCCATCCCTCCGGAATACTGGGGAGGTCGAAGACTCGGGCTGATACAACCCCAGCCAGGAGAGGAAACACAAACATTGAAAATTTGAAAAGAGAGACTACTAGTTAGGCAAAAGAGCGTCGGAAATATCGGTTTCTATGTTGAGCTAAAGGCAGAGATCTGAATATGTTGCGACGAGGCTTTCAATAACTAACGCCATGAGCACAGATGAGCCTTATATTGGACTGGGTTTGAACATCTAGACAGCTCAGGGCATGACGTGTTCCACAGCGCCTTGTTGCGTATGCGTAGACTAAAGTTGTATCGTCCCCTATTCCAAGGCACGCGCCATCAGGAAGAAAACAAAAAGGGTTGTGACTCGTCAAAGAGTATACCGTCTGCCAAAGTAACCCCTCTACTGGGGTCCCTTACATTGATTGTCGTTGCATCCTCCCTATTAGTAGTTTTGTACCTACTGGGGAGTAATCCTCCCTGTTTAGCAGCTGGAGTATTTGGTTGGGATTATTCAAAGTTTGTGGCCCCTGTGCAAGGCATAAAAGAAGAACCTATGGAGTACCCTGATGTCTTCGTCAGCATCTTGAAGAATAGTTAGCTCCGAGAGCTTATTAGAATAAGGTTGCGCCCTCCCCGATGTTCTCACTAGGGTTCGTTTTCTTGGCAGGGGGTTGCAAACCTCGGTCACTTTCTTGGTTGATACGTGGGCATCAAAAATGTTTTGATTACCGGTATTCTTGGTCTTGCCCAGGCGTGTATACGGTCGCATTGGTCGTGTACCAAACTGCTTCGTCAACTGGTTGCGAATCTTTGGAACGTGAAGAGATTGAGAGAACTTTCATTTTGTTCTTTCGGTTTTGCCTATTCTTTTTCTTTTCCATCTATCTTGCTTTCTCCCTTTCGATTCAAAGTGCACATCATGATCTGGACCATGTGATACCGTATAAATGGATTCAATTGTCCTTCTCGACTTTCAACTGGGCCGAGTCCACTTGGCTAGAAGCTCGCTAAACAGACAAATCTTCTAGGCTACCAACTCAAACTGTATGAGAAGCCTCTCTCGCTTCGTGTGTCGAGCGGGTGGTATGTGGTTAAATATTACTGCGCAGGTCTGCATCGCCACTTTTACTGAACACAAATCACCTCCCTCTCTCTTTCTCCATGGGCAAACAGCCCAGCAAGAGGAGGAGAGTTGAGGCCCCTGAAGCAGCGATACCCCAATGACTGCGCAAATTAAGTGATTCTTTTAGATCTTTTCCTACGTATTTGCACCTCGCAAAACCTAATCCCCTGGGCTTAACCATATTGTTTGGTTGCATCGGGAGGCGGGAAGGTGGGAAATATGACCGTGGGATGAATGACGAAGAGACGGCTGTCACTCAAAGGGGAGGTCACAGGTCGGGGGATGCCGTTGGGGCCTTCCAGATTGAGGTCTTAACTACTGCGCTTGAGGTCATGAGGGCTTTTCCTACCTAGATATCCTGAAATAAGTCTTGCAATGCGCACATTGCAGCACCAACGCATACGAAGGATCCGCAAAGCTTACTTAAAACGAGCCCTAATTCCCTGCTTCCTGGGCCTTGGCTGTCGTTTCTTGATGAGTAGATGCTGTCGGCACCTGCTCATGCTGTATGACACCTAGCTAAGCTGATAGAAAGCGCGAATCTGTGAGGCTATAGATAATGATTCATGTGGTAGGAGCGTAGGGGTGGCTAACTAAGCACTCCACTACAGCGCTATCACTACGCTGCCAGCGCTTCTGTAGATAGCTTCCTCTCTCCCTTTCTTCTGCAGAACCCCCTAAACGAATGAATATTACAATAATTGATCTGATCCCCAGGCAGCTGCCACAATTCACCTCTTGTAGCTTCTGCTCCCTGTTTAATCCCGGCTACTCAATTCCTCGATTTTGTTCCAGGTCACTGACCATCCCCACCTTCAGTCATCCTTCATCATGGCAGCCATTCAGAATAAAGTAGTGCTGATGGCTGGCTGCAGCACCGAGTCAATTGGCTGGGCTCTGACGAAAGTCTTTCTTGAGCATGAGTTGCACGTCTTCGCTTCCGTCCGCAATTTTCAAAGCGCAGGACCTCTTGCAACTGAGCAACGTTGACGTGATTGAGTTTCACATGACGGTTCCACAAACTATCACCCAGTGTAGGATCTGGTGGCTGAGCGTTCAGGAGGAAAACTAGATGTTCTCATCAACTGCGCTGGTCTCGAGCCTGTCCGTCCGCTCCTAGATGCTTGCATGAAAGGGCAGGTCGCCAAGCCAATTGAACGTAAATATGCCTGACAATAACGAAGCTCATTTTCACTCATGATACACTTTTCCTTCAAATTTCGCCACCCCAATTTACAAATCTGTTGGAGCGGTGAATAATTCTTCTCACAAGACTATCGACACAAAACAATCCGCGTGTTCCCCTTCTTGCTTGTATTGGCTGTGGAGGACAGCTGCACATGCCCCTTGATTAAGTTGCCTAATTAGTCTCATGAGTTTGACTTGAAACTCAGATTCATTGAAAATAGCAGCAACAGAAGGATGGGACTAGCATGTAACTTTTCGTAGTATATATGGGAAAGGGTGAAGTGGACTGGTCGATAGCATGCTACAATCTGAATGCAAGGGGTCATGAGTGCTCAGCATCGTTAGACTCCGGGTATGACACTGCGCCACTACGACCTATACAATCAGTACTTTACACAAGTGCTGTGTCCAGAAATTCTTGAAGAAAGAGGTATGAGTGATGAGTCCCAGTCGCTTCTTGAAGGATTTTCAAAATCAAAATGAAGGTTATGTGACATTCTTGGTTTGTTAAACCCAATGTGAGCCTTTATTGGCTCCAGAGCTCGGGCAGAAATACGTAGAAGGTCACAAGGTACCTCAAGATTGGAAAAAGACCGTCCTTGGCCAGAGTGACCCAACCCCCGGGAATAGATCGAAGATACACGGCCACAGCAGAAGAACAGATAATGGAGATACTAGACACCCCACATGCGAAACCATAACTTGTAGGCGCAACCACATCACGTTCTCGGTGTCCCAGACCACCAGCCTTGCACGTGCTCCCAGGCCGAGGACCACGACGAGGGTGTCTCCGGCGCCTCGCGGGCCTGCTTGAAAAAGGCTGCGGCTGCTTGAGCAGCCTCGATCCAGTCCATTAATCTCTGATACCACGTCTTTTGCACATCGTGGGAGTTTGGGTTGCCGGCCTGCGGCGCAATGGGCGGCGTGGTGCTGGTGGTTGCGGCCTTGGGACAGACGACAGCGCGGTCGGCGTGGATCTCAACCGTGATAGACTGAGGGTCGCTAGCTAGCACTTTTGCAGCCTCTGTCTTGGTCCAATCGCCCTTGGGGCCCATTTCCTGGGCGACCTGGAGCCTGAAGATCGGGGCATGCTTAAAATTCCGTAGAATCAAAGACTTGAGTTCTGTGGATCGCTTCTCCGAATCAGCGTCTTTGTCCAGCACATACTTATGCCCTTCAATGTCTCCGACACCTCCGGGGAGGCCATGATGATAAATCGCCGCTCCGACATGACGGGTGGGCGGATTACACAGAGCTGTGACCTCGGGCGCGCGGAGGAGCTCCTCAATTCGGGTCCACGCAGCTTCGAATGGTTTGGGCCTGGGCACGTCCCATTTAGTGGTGACAAAAACCACATTGCGGTAGAATTTGGGTCCACAAAAGCACTGAACCCATTGAAGGGTACGAAGATCGTCATTGGTCATGCGGGCCTGGTCGCCACCGTAGACGAAGAGAAGGCCGGCGACATCTACAAAGGGACCAAGGCCGTTGAGGCATCCAACAATATCGGAAAAGTTGGAATTATTGTCCAGATCCGCGGCTCCAAATCCAGCTGTATCGACAAAGATGTACTGCTCGTCATGGATGATGGCAGGGCAAAGGTGGTGGAAGAGCGTACCTGTTCGGTTTCAGATTTTGCGTCGGTGGATGTTTGCATCATATGGGCGGGACTGTAGTACAGACCTGACCTAGTTCCACTTCCTTCCTTCAGGTTAATACCTGTCAGCTCCTTGAGCAGCAATGTCTTTCCCGAGCCGCTCTGGCCAACGACGAAGATGAGCTTCGTTTTCCCCAGGCTGTGATCCATTAGCCGCTATAGCGTCTGCGGATGAGCATAGCACTTACTGATTTTTTATGTACTCAATGACTTTCTTCGTCGCCTCGCCTCTCGCCTCGGCCACGAGATTCTTAAGCACTTTGAGAGACATGATCCTCCATGCTTTGGGATCACTTTCGTCCGACATGGCCAAACTGTGTTCGCTACCTATGTTGTCAGGCAGAGCGGGGGCAAAGGCATTTCTGCTGCTGTCCATGGTGTGGTCTGGATTTTGGCATTGGCTGCTCTCCTTGTCTCTGATATTTTTAGGGAGAGCGGAATCAAAGCCCTTGCGGTTGCTGTCTATGGTAGATATTTGATGTCGACTTTGGTTGTTTTGCCTGTCTTTGATATTGTCTAAAGGCATTGACGGAGAGGAGCCGTGACAAGGGACAAAAGAGGTGAGACGGATTGGAAAAAGGATCGGGACATCGAGATATTGAGCAGTGAATTGTTGTGGCTTTGTGTAAAGGTGACGGAATCTTCAGAGCATCGAGCAGACCAGAGACGGAAATCAGATCGGAAAACAGACCTTTTATACTTTTTCCGCCTCGCGTTGTCTCGAGTTCCTGCTTGGCCGTCGCCGGTTTTTTTCTTTCTTTTTCTTTTTTTGGCCCGTCGTCGAAAGCAAACCCGAGCTCTCATCTTGAAGTCTAGGCACCCAGTCAGGTCTCGAGCTCGCCTTACACGACGGTGCGATAGCTGCCGTAGCTCTACTAGCTCTACTATCATCTTGATGATTGGGCGGCACTAAAGTTCAATTTCCTTTCTGGGCGTAGGGCAAACTTGATCTGCAATGCCAAGCTCTGTTGGCACATGGTTGGCTACCTCATATACAACGTTCCAGATGCGATGGAATGCATTCCCAAGGCCAACCCCGCATCAATGCGTTTACAAAGGAGGCAATTTACCTAGAAGGCTCTTCGAGTCGAGTATATTGAATAACATTTAACGAGTCGTCGTGTAGACTGATGCAAGGGTGGCAGGAATTCATCTGACTCCCACCCTCATATGACCGTCTCTTGCTGGGTCACCATGTTGCCACCACCTAGCGGATCATTTGTCCAAGAACGAAAGTTCAAGAACAACGAGGGACCACCCAAGCGGAGATCTTATCGCAAGCGTAACGACTCAAAATGGACTATGATGGAGGACAAGATCGCGAAATTGTATAGCCGCATGCCACTGAGAGTAGTCAGAGAGATCATGTGGTGTATCTACAGCTTTGAAGAGTAAGGACTGAAGACCCAGCCCCGCTCACCACCGTTTCGTATCCCTTTAACATTCCTTGCGGCTAGAGAAGAATCGGAATACAAGAAGCAATTCAGTCTATGGCGAAATGTTGACCCGACGAGATTAGATACAACAGGTGAGCAGGGGCGAGAGAAAGAGAACCCCAAGCGTCCGGATATAGCAATACAAACGATCATGGTGGCTCTTGAGGAGTTCACCTTACAGAGCCAGGCCACTAAACAGGCTGCCATTGCCTTGTCTACATCCCAAATGGAGACACAGGAAAAAATTCTTTTGGGCCTGGATCGTTATATTAGAGCGGTCTTCAGCCCCACAAATGGAGCCTGGGGTTTCAACATGCTCAGTTTCATTAGCCCAACCGGTGACGCGACGACTTTGAATTTATGGGAAAGGCTTGCCGACCAATGTACCACCATAGAGGACCTCATGAAGAACGGACTTGTGGGTAAAGCGCAGTATCTAATGGACGATTTGCTGGGGTCATTGCCAACCGGCTCACGGAGCACAGATCCTTCGATGTTGCTTCAGCTGTGGCAAGCTTGTCTGAAGCTCTTGTCGATCGAAAAGCGAAGACTTTTAAAGGACCGTGCTTTGATCAAACTTTTAGAAGCTATCAAACAAAATTTGACTGCGGCGAAGGAGGAAAATGGGGACATATTGATGGTGGTAGAAGCTCTCGTGAGTGTTAGCTGCTCCAGGATGAAGACAACACTACGTCTCGCGACTTTCAAGACGGTGATGACTTTGCAAGAACTCATCGGAGATGAGAACATCATGGTACTTGGACTGTGGTCCCTCTATTGTCGGACCTGGAAGACTTCGCAGCGTTCGCGAGACGCCCTGTTGAAGAAGCTTGAGCATGTTCGAAAGGCGACACAACAGGCTCCACTATCCGACGTTATCACTTTATCATATTACCACACTTATGCTGTTCATAGCGCCTCTAACGACCGCGCCAAATCAGCTGAAATGGCCAGGGATCTTATACACAGAGTGGTTGCCCTGCCCCTCCCCTGCAAGCCTATTTGGAGCATGCAAACACTGGCATTCCAGGTCTGCTCAAAGCTATGGGCGCGGCATCTTCGGTCCTGCGCCTTCGCGGAGGTCGATGAACACGAAAAGCTTAATAAACGATACACATACTTCAAGGTGATGGAAGACGCTGTCAGTATCTTGGAGAAAGGAGATATAATATGTCGGGTATCGGCTGCGTCCATGGCCAGGACCCTGGGACATTGGCTTGGAAAGAGCGAGCTTCCGAACTGTGCGGCGATTGACTGGCACAGTCACGCGAAGGACATTCTACGCGCATTGCCTGGGTCGGAGCAGGAGTAGTATTTAGCAACCGGTATTTACACGCTATATTGCTAAGAGTAGCCAACGCCGAGGAGCGGCTGTTAGTGCTCATGTGAATCTTGACTGTACTTCGAGGTGTCCGCTTTCCTCGCTGCAAGCCATGCCTCATTCTATGCAAGTCAAGCAGGCAGTCTGTCCTGCGCAGCGCCATTAAATCTTCAGCCAGTTTTACCCTTTCAACAAGGCTATCCAGGACACCGAACTTTCTGCTTGAGTGAACGCTCATCCACTTTCAATTACTGGGTCAAACTCACAGCTAAGACTGCAACTGGTTTGTTGGTTTGATCTGGAAGAATTCCAATTGGCGTTTCACAGGTTCTGAAGTTTTGTTGCACATGTGATGTTAGCAGATGTTCATGGTCTGATAGAATATAAGAAAATGAAACTGTCTCACAGGTTTCGCTCAAATACTTCATCTTTTGAGATCTTCGGCAGAGGTCAGATAGAGTTTCAGACTTCTTTTCTTGAATCATAATTTCTGAATGAATGCATCGCCATGGTCTGTGGCACACCTTCCGGCCGCTGACTTTTTTGCTGGCACAAATTCGGCCAGCTAATGCAAGTATCTTTGGAGCGTGGTGTATTCTTCCACACCATGAATTGCACTAGTATTCAAAGTCGCACTTCCTTGGTTGGAAAATGATTGATTGGGACCATTCAAGCGCCTGGTTTTGTATCGATGTTGTTTATCGACAGTACAGACTGGAAAGTACAAGAAGCCAACTATTGAAAGCCTATTCATTTGTTCCGCTATTTGTTGGCAAGATCACGGTGTTATATGTGTATGGACAATATAGACTGAAAGACGCGTGTCATCGTGCAGGTACTCACATTGGAGGGTCAAGTCTGTGATGGCGAGTGAACCATATTGGAATATATTCGAGGTTCCAATCTGTTTCCTATACTTTGCTGCCCCTCAGCCCATCAATCCGTTCTGATCCCATGAAGTTGAAGCCTGCCACTCGGTAATAGCAGACCTTTCAACAAGTACATTTTGAAACCTCTTCGCGTTAATGAATTCCTAAACTCGCAGGATGATCTTTGAGTCCATGCCCTGCAATGCAATGAAATAAAACTTGGTGCTATGTTGCTCCGGGAATTGATCACCTTGATCCCAAGAATGCACCACTATGTGGTGTACAAAGTTTTGTCCTAAAGCCAAAACGTGGCATATCGTAGATATGAGAATGGGGTCGCACACGATCACAGACATCTTATGTGCCTTTGCTTCTATTGTTCATCTATTCTTATCCTCGAGTTTATCATATATCCAACAATTCCCTCAAAACGCTGGTGCCCTGATCCTACTTCATTCTAAGGGTAAAAATTGCCTGGGTATGCACCTACCTGAAATTTTTATTCCTGGTGGTTCAGGACATTGGCCGAGGAGGAGGGTGTCATCTTGGGAACTTTTCGCGACTGCCTACTATCACTCCAACCCAAGCACGAATGGAATTATTATCTGTGAACTTGTTCCTCAACTCGTTGCTCTTGGATAGATATCAAGCTGAAATCCAGCTACTTAAGTACTTGAAGGGAAATGATTAGGTTGGTACTTTCACCGAGGGGTGCCACAGACGGTCCAGGTGACTTTCTGCTGTTGAACACGTCAATCAAACCCAAATGAATCATATTTAATGACAATAGCTCCTTCTTGGTGACAAATTTTCCGATAATTTGATCAGGACTCAATACTTGAACAAGGACAAACTTATAACGCACGATGAGGCGCTAGAGAAATTATAGAATATCTGCTGAGCTTATTTGGCTTGAATCTCGTTGTATAATTACAAGGATTCAGATGAGCCAGATTGGATCGGCGGATCGATGCGACTCGGAAGGGAGGATAGAAAAAGGATCCGCTCCAGCCCGGGGGGGAGGGTGGAAAGGGTAAGAAGATCTTGCAAGATACAGTGTCTACAGACTCCAGAGGTACTGTGGAAAGGGGCGTAGAAAATACTTGGAATTAGTGATATTCTTTTACGCGAAAATGGTGGAACTAAAAAAGTTGAGGCAAGTCGCAAGAGCCACAATTGCGAGCTAGCAGAAGTATGCTCACATTCGTGGAGATGCGCGGAGATGCACGGAAGCTCTGTGCCCCTCACGCCCTAGAATGCAGCCACCCTCTTCCAACAAGGCTTGCACCAATTTGAAATTCAACCGCCAAGAATGGATATCTTCAAGCCACTTCTCTCCCTATTCAAGTCCATCAAGACCATCGTCTCCATCCTCCGCGAGCTCTCCAACGACTGGTCCAAGGTCGTCGCGCGCGCCAAAGCGGCCCCGGGCTTCCCGCCCACCAAGCCGACCCTCTCCCAATGGCAGGATGACCCGCCATACCCGGAGCTGGTCGACATACAGTCGCCGGGCGGCCTGCCGCCCAATGCCGACATCGTGATCATCGGCTCAGGCATCAGCGGCGTGTCCATCGCGCGGTCTGCCCTGCGCGAGCTGCGGCGCAAGGGCACGCTCGCAGGTCGGCGCGTCATCGTCCTCGAGGCGCGCCAGCTGTGCTCGGGCGCCACGGGACGCAACGGCGGCCACATCAAGGCCAGCCCGCACGAGGTCTTCCACACCCTCGTGCACAAGCAGGGCTGGGACCGTGGGCGCGCGGCGCGCATCTGCGCGTTCCAGCTCAGCCACCTCGACGTGCTGACCGAGCTGGCCCGGGCAGAGGGGATTGAGGACGTCTCGGAGTGCAGGGAGGTGGAGACGGTGGACTTTGCGGTGGATGAGGCTACCGATGAGAGAATGAAGGGCATGATGGAGGACTTCTTGCCGTATGCGCCCGCGGGATACGAGATGGTTGGCCACACGGGCGAGCAGGCGCGGGAGAGGTTCGGGGTGAACGGGCGCGTCGTGGGTGCTGTGTCATACACGGCTGGTGCGCTGAGCCCTTACCGGCTTGTCACGGTGTTGTGGAAGAAGCTGCTGGATGAGTTCCCCGAGGTGCTGGCCATTGAGACTGGGACCAGGGTGGAAGAGGTTCAGGTCAACGACCAGAGTGCTCGCTCCTCAAAGCTGGAAGACAATAGTTCGTTCCCTTACGTCGTCGTCACTAGTCGGGGGCAAATCTTCGCCCGTAACGTCGTCCATGCCACGAACGCGTTCACGTCACAGCTGGTTCCAGGGCTCCGGGGCAAGGGGACGTCGGCGCTGTGTCATATGACAGCCCAGCGGACGCCTGGGTACTTTCCCGAGAGAGATGGCAGCCGTTCATGGTCTGTGATTTTCGGTCAGGGGTTCGACTACGTGACACAGAGGCCGACGGGGGAGCTGATGATCGGAGGTGGCTTCTTCCAAGGCCCGAAGCAAGGCATGGACATGATGGGTGTCTACGACGACAGCAAGATTGATGGCCTCACGCTCATGCACTTGGAGGGCGTGATACCTACCGTCTTTGACCCGGGCTACAAGGTGGAAGGCGAAGGCGCAAGAGTGATCAGGGCTTGGTCTGGGGCGATTGGCGTAACGCCTGATTTGATGCCGCTTGTCGGGAGGCTCGACCCGAGGATTACGTCTAGGAAGATCAAGCAGGACGCGAAGGATACTGATAAAGTGCCGTCGGGAGAGTGGATCTCAGCCTACTTCTGTGGTGATGGCATGGTTTGGGCCTGGCTCTGTGGGGCGGCGTTAGGCATTATGCTGGCGGGAAGTGAGGACGAAGACTTGCCTGCAGAGCCCGGTCGACCTGCTGGCAAGTGCAAGTTGGCGAAATGGTTTCCCCAGGAGCTAAATGCTGGTTGGGAAAGAGTGAAAGGCATGGATATCGTCGATCTGGCTGATGCGCTGTGAAGTTGAGATTCAGTTTTGATATTGACCAGATTGATGCTAGTAAAATCGCTTTGAGACAATCTAGACAGATGACCACCCAGAGCGTAGATCCTCAATAGGGCAGTGGTGCGAGATTCAATCCTTCAACAGAGAACTTAAAGGAGTCATTCCTCGAGTAGCTCCCACCTGCATCCAAGTCCAGCCTACCCCTGATGCAATCCTTAAAATCAACATCCGCGTATACGATCCCAGTGTCGTCTTCCCACTGCGGGCCCGCGAGCACTTCTCCGAAGGGATCGGTGATGCAGGATCCTCCACGGGAAATGAACTTTGTCCCCGCACTGCTCTTCTTGACAGCCTGCTCCTTTCCAACAGTCTTAGGACTTTGGGTTCCATTGGCCGCAGTGGTGGCCGAGTTGCCGTCCTTGGCACCGCACAGCACAATCTCATTGCCATCCTCATCAAACACGCTCGATCGTCTGCGCTGGGTGTGTTGCCTGGCGCCATTAGCGCTGTGCGTCGGGAGGGCGATCTCGAAGCCCTCCTCCGTGACGCACGAGCTGCGGCGCTCGCGCCCGTAAGGCACGGCGTCGGCCCGGATCTCATCGTCCGCGATAGCAGACGAGTCGTTGGCCGGGTCATCTGTGGCACTGCCGTCGGGGACACACATATTTGAGCTTAGCACGAAGCACCTGCCCTCGATGCCGATGGTGCGCATCAGCGACGCCCAGGCGTCCCGCCCGTCCGCCGTCGGTGCCAGGTACAGGTTGATGTTCTGGGCGTACAAGGCCTGCCTTAGGAGGGGCATGTAGCTCTCCCAACAGATCGCGGCTGCCATGTTGACCCGCACGCCGCGGATCACAGTACTCACCGCCTGGAGGGTCTTGGGAGAGCCCTGAGCCCATATTAGGCGCTCGGTACCGGTCTGTACAAGTGTCAGCAGCCATGACCGTTGCGTGAGTGTGATTTTCTGGGCACAAGATGAGGGTAGCATACAGGCATAACCTTTCTCCTCTTGCCAATGACGCCCTTCTTAGGACAGACATAGACAGCAGCACAGTAGAGTGAACCACCAGCCTTCTCAATGCACCCAACAACCAAGAACACGCCCGTCTCAGCAGCGATCCTCTCCAGCTCCTCCCTCGTGCCGTCGCCGCGCAGGGGCTGCCCACCCTCACCACCGCCGCCGACATTCACTGCGTCAAGCCGTCTGTTCACCCAGTCATCCCCGGCCCCCGCGCCCTCGCCCACCACGTCGCCGAGGTCCACGGCCTGCTCGAAGTACCGCACGAATTCGTCCCTCCCTTCAGCGCTCCGACCGCCTACTACGCAGCCGAAAGCCGAGCCCCGCGGGTACCCGCCGAGATAGGCCTCGGGGAGCAGGAGGATGTCTGCGTTGCGTTCGCGCGAGGCGCGCTGGGCGATCTGGCGCAGCTGCGACAGCGTCGCTGCCGTGGTGGCCTGGGTGGAGGGAGAGCTCGTGGCCAGACGGACCTTGCCCGGGGCTGGGTGGGAAGACATCCTGGGCTGTCTGTGGAGGAAGGAATGGGGAGTGGGAGATTTCGCGGTGCAGAGGTTGATAACAGTCGTTGCCCGGTGGAGGAAGAGGTTTAAGTCAATGCTGGACGTCGACAAAAAAGGCGTAGTGAGATAGATGGTGTGATGCCGATACCGGTGGCAGGTGCTGTTGCTGACTACTACGGATATTCCAAACCGTGATGCAGCGAATGAGTTCTCAACCAAAAACTGTCCAAGGACAAAAATAAAATGGCAATCATATAAAGTTTTGGGCTGTCGTCGAGTGAGCTGACGATGGTGTTGCTCGCTACTACCCCGCATATCAACGAAGATCTGATATTCGCCGGATTTGGGGTCCTACCTCACATGGTTGCACACTCAGGTACCGCGACATTCAGAATTAGACCAAGCTTGAGAAGAAAAAAAAATTGTATTGAGAATAAGATGCGCGCATCAAGCCTAGAAAATCAATTTCTTCCTATGAGTACTGGGTATCGATTCCGTCCAATCCGTAAGTCATCAAGTAAAAAAAAAAGCCCTCCAATACAAACCATAAAACTCCTGAATGTGTCCGTCCAAACCATGACGTGTGCACCTAATTCTTTGCATGGGCCAGAGTGAGTCCTCTATGTCCCTTTGATGCGCCCTGAAGCAATGTTGCCAGCCCATCACAGCTTGCGCCCACAAAAAAAAAAGGCAGCCATACTGTGAACAACGTAAAGTCATCTCTTTTCAAGATTCACTGGCGACGGGAATTGCTCCGGCTCCAACACTGCCGCTCAGACTGTCGGCCCGTCCATGACCCAGAGCCAGGCCGCTAACCGATCGTTCTGCGATGGACCTTGCCGTGGTCAAACCTGGGCTTGTCGGCTGCCCGTCGAGGTTGGCGCTCAGCACCGATAGGGGTAGCGACTCTCGGCTGCCGCCAAATTGTGATGCTGGTGGCAACGCACGTACCGACGCGTGATCATAGTCCGTGTCCCAGGAGCGCCGCCTACGGCGTTGGGTGGACGACGCAAGTGTCAGGATCGAGATGTTGTCGCTCAGTAGATTATTCGCGATAATTGCGCTGTATGTAGCAGGGCGGTAGGCACTCCGCCTGTTTCGGTCGCCGTCGCCGGCGGGCATGGCTGTGACCAGGGCCTCGGGCTGGGTGTACTGGACGGCCTGTTGAGGCCGTGAGGTGGGTTGGGCAGCAGTGTTGGTGGGCTGACCGTTTAGCAGGCCGTTGGCCATATGGGTTTGGACGGTCGACAGGGTCGTCGCAACAGACCGGGCGGAGGGCGCGGGCGAGGAGAAGGTGCTGTCGGGCCTGCGTGGGTCGGTCGCGGTGATGTTTGTGCCGGCGAAAGAGGTACCACCGTAGGATGGTGCGGTTGTCGGGGGTCGGCCTTCGGCGTCACCATCGGCGTCGCCCTCAATTTCAGCCGATGATTGCCTGCCCTCGCTCGTGGACTGCATGGACTGCCTGCTCAGCTCCTCGGCAGAATGTATGACCAGCGCGGGATCGGGCGTGCTCTCGACGGTCGACTGGGGATAATCGATGGAATGCGATTCTCGTTGATGAGTCGATGACGGTGGGAGCCCATGTCGGGAACTGACATGGCCTGACTGGGGGTAGGGATTGTTCGGGCCCTTGGTGCGCTTCATCTTCTGATTCAGCTTCTTGACCCAGCTGGTAAAGGGTTTCCGACGATCTGTGGGCGCCATGGCCATTGTGTAGGCGGGGCGACAAGACGAGAAGAACAGGGGTGGAGTAAACGAAGGAAGAGAAGAAGAAGGGAAAAGAAAGGAATGGGAGTGAGCGAGCAAGCGAGCGAGCGATTGGAGTTGGCTGGTGAGAAAGAAGAGTAGAGTGATCGAAAAGGAAAGGAGACAGACGGATCGTCAAGCTGTTGGTGGCAGAAGACGAGACGACAAATGGCTGGGCGTGGGCGGCAGTGTGGAATGGGGATTGACCTTGGAGTGGTGGCATTGGGGTCACAGGGGATTGAGAATTGGCAATTGGGAGCGGAATGGCAGAAACGGGGTTCATAGACTGGAATTCCCGGGGAAGCAGCCTAAAGCGCCATCATCCCGACTGGGAAAGGTTAATTCAGGAGCCTTCAAAGGGCGTCAGGCGTTCAGGCGTTCAGGCGTCAGCCCAGCCCAGCCCAGCCAGCAGCCAGCAGCCAGCCCAGCAGCCAGGCGAGCTTTGCGACCGAGCTGAAAGGACGGGACCAAGGGGGGCCCACTGAAGCCAGCCCTGTGACGTACCCCCCCTGTCCCATGGCAGATATGGTATTGTAGATACGCTGATACGCTGATACGGTACCTGCCTGAGGAGACAAAAGATACGGTGGGTACCGCCGGCTGCTTTGCTTACATCACCCTGTCCCTGAGAAACGACGTCTGTGGTCTTGGCCTGCTCAGTCAGGTCAGAGCAAAGAGCAGGTCTATCGGAGCGGTTGCTCATCACCGTCTTCTTTACCTGTCGTCAGCATTCCCAACCACCTCAGACTGCACCAGCACCTCCGAGATGTGCAGCCGGTCATGTCCATCAAGCCACTCCCGGCGGATGTCGTGGCCCAGATCAAGTCGTCCGTCGTCATCACCTCCCTGAACAACGTGATCTGTGGGCTCATAAAGAACTCGCTTGACGCTGAGGCCACCAAGATCAACCTGAGTGTCGACTACTCCCGTGGAAACTGTTCCGTAGAAGACAACGGCGCTGGTATTCCACCGTCTGAATTTAGAAACGACGGGGGACTGGGTCAACTGCACTGTAAGTAGGCTTCGACACACGCGCATTGATATACACACGCGCAGAATGCACCCCTTCTAACAAAATGATCAAGACACGTCGAAATACCCGCCACGTCCAGATACTCATGGCAGACACGGCGTTTTCTTGGCGTCGGTCGCATCGTTGTCACTGCTCTCGGTGACTTCCCATCACCGAGAATACCACTCGCACAACTCGATGAGCATTCACAACTCTAAGGTCCTGGCCCGCCATGTTCCTTGCCCTCCCGAGCAAAGGATGCTCACGTTCAACCATGGTACACGTGTTACTGTGAGAGATTTGTTCGGCTCAATGCCAGTTCGGGTCAAACACCGCGCTCTCCAAGGCGACAAGTCTTCGTCCGCTCGGGATTGGGACCGACTTCTCTCCGACCTCGTCGCTTCAATGATTGCTTGGCCCGGAGAAGTCTCTGTGTCGATTCGCGAAGTTCATAGTCGGCAGAACCTAAGTCTGAGGACCGGCTTTCGACCTAGAGCATGGCTCAACGCCGGTTGCCGACTCCTTCACCAGGCATCACTTTGTGACAGCCCCAATACAAGTGATTGGGTCTCCATTGGAGCTTCTTCACCAAGATTATCCATAGATGGATATGTCTGCCGTGAGCCAGTTGCGACGAAGCGTGTTCAGTTCATCAGCCTTGGCATCGAGCCGCTATCAAACGAGTCTCAATACAACGTTCTATTTGAGGAGGTGAACAAAGTGTTTGTCGACTCTGCTTTCGGTGCTGTTGATTCCGAAAGTGATTCAGAGGGTGGCCGTAAGAAACGCAAGATGGATGGCTTCACCAGCAAAGAGCTGAAACTAAGAAAAGGTGTGGACCGGTGGCCAATGTTCTTTCTGAAGATCACGTACATACCTTCAGCGATCAATAGGTCTGTGGATGTGGATGACATTCTCGATGACCGACAGCCAAACCTTGCATTAATCACGGACCTTTTGAAGGCCACTTTCTACGAGTTCTTAAATAAGAACCACTGCCGACCGAAAAAGGTCACTCTATCTGCAAAGAGTAGAGACGGACGCAGTGGGTCGAATGAGAAGTCATTCGAGATGAACGAGGAACAAAAGAAGACACTGGGGGCTGAATCAAGCCTTGTATCATGTCGGATGGAAAGGCCTACCCGCAAGACATCGAAACTCGAGATCTCTGACAGCAGGTCGGAGTCCCCATTTGACGGGTGGTCGAGAATCAAGTCTGGCCAAATACTGCCTCAATTCAAAGGCTCTATGCAGCCCTCACGTTCTCAGTCGCCTTCTTCGAGTTCCACAATAGGCGGTCACAATTCACGCCGCGTGTCCGAACTTGGGCGCTCAAGAGCTGTTACAGCGGGGCTTTCTCGTCCTCCGCTATACGACACCAATGGCAAGCTCACACGAAAGCCTTTTGATGACATCGACCCCAAGCAACTGCGCAGCCAAGCTTTGCATCTAGGATCAGCCTCGCAGCAGGAAGCCACGGAAAGTTCGACAATGCCACCGCAACAGTTACCTCAAGATGAAGCCCTCGAATGGATCAACCCTGCTACCAATTTGGCTACCCTCATAGATCCCCGGACTGGCTTCGGGTTGCCTTCCAAGCCTTTGACGCTGAGCAGGAGGACTTCGGAAAAGCTATCCAAGCCGGAAATGGCGGAGCAGAACAGCCCTTTGGGAACGAGTAACTGCAATCCTTGGGTTACAGAACTGCTGAAAACGTGGAAGAATCCCGTTTTTGAGCTGACTGAGCGGCCGATACCCAAATTGCCTGACGTATCGGAAATGCTGGTCATCGACGCCAAGCCTGGCAGCCACAACTGTAATCATGGGCCGCCAGCTGTAAGCATGGCGTCATATCACGAAACGTCCGCCATGGGACTCCAAGCACGGGTATCAAAAGATGCCCTTCGCGGGGCTGATTTAATAGCCCAAGTCGACAGCAAGTTCATACTCATCAAGGTGCCACTAAATATCGTCCAGGATGGCCGGACGGAGACCCAGACATTCTCAGCCTCATCATCCCTCGTGTTGATCGACCAGCACGCTGCAGATGAGCGATGTCGCGTGGAAGGTCTGATGAGGGATTATTTTGTCCATGATACGACAAGTTTGAATAAGCACAAATGGGAGGCAGTCACCGAAGTTCTGACGAAGCCGTTGTTCTTCGAGCTCTCCAAGCGGGACAGAAACGCTCTATGCCGAGCACAGGAATATTTCGCGCACTGGGGGATTTGCTATGATGTAGAAATTCCCGGTTCCGGTCAAACCTTCGGAAGCAAGAAGTCCAAGGACCAAGCCATTGATGCAAAAGCCAGAGTTGTTGTGCGAAGCCTCCCACCCGCTATCTTAGAGAGATGCAGAACAGAGCCTCGGCTTCTTTCCGACCTCATCAGGACGGAGGCCTGGAAGCTGAACGATGAAGTTGGGTTGACCCAAAAGCCAAGGACAGGGCCCATTCTACCTGGACAGGCTGAAGATGGCAGCCCGGCTTGGGTGTCGCTGTTCCATGGATGCCCACAGGGAATCATCGAGCTGATCCACTCGAGGTCCTGCAGGAGTGCGATCATGTTCAACGACCCTTTAGCACTTGACCAGTGCGCCGATCTTCTCGGGAGGCTGATTCAGTGTGCATTTCCCTTCCAGTGTGCCCACGGACGGCCATCGATGGTTCCGCTGGTGGATCTGGGTAGGGACATTGGTCCGATGGAAAGTGCTCAGAAGGAGACTTGTTTCGGACGGAAGTTCAAGCAGTGGAAGCAGCAGAGCTGATGATTGATTGGATGGACATGAAGCGTCGACATTCGATAGATACCCCATTATATCTAACAACTCACTACTATTCGAGACTCAATCTTGCAGTATCACCACAGCGTGTCCCGTCTGACACGACCTTGTTGCCAAATCCCGCCCTGCACCAAGCCTTCCGCCTCCTCGAACTCGAAGACTTGGCCTGGGAGAGTGTGAAGTGCAGGAAAATGCGACAGCTCGGCTCTTGATAAGGATCATGACATTTATAATTTCGTCAAACGCTGGTAACCTTCTACACTACCCTTATTTACTTTCGTGCAGAGTGAGTCCAAGTACTGAATCCAACACAACAATCGGCGCCGGCGCCGCTCTCTTGAGTGGATATTGTTGAGCTTGTACAGAAAGACTATTGTCGTCTCTAAAGCATCCTGTACGGGAGATTCTTGTCCTAATCTTAGTCCCTGATGCGATAGGCGGTCGATACGTTGGTGAGCCCTGCGCGCAAGAACATCTTGTCCGCTCGCTTATTCTTGCCGAAAAGGACCACCCAGATCTCCTTGGCCCCCTGATTGAAGGCCACACGCTCCCAGACTGCCACCGCCTTGGTGCCGAAACCCATCCCCCGCTTCTCAGGCTCAACCTCGATGTGGTGACAGAATGACACCTTGGTTTTCTTGTCATATGTCGTCCACAAGGAGGCCACCTTCTCCTTCTTTTCGTTTTCGATTCTGATGTAATGGTGACCTTGAGACCCGATGCCGTCGGGGAGGATCTGATTGAAGTAGTTCTTCGTATCTGCCTTTGCCTCTTCTTCACCCGCCGGTTCCTGACCTGCGGCGGTCTCCACGCGCTTCTTAGCGAATGATTTTTCAGCTGCGGCCAGGAAACTTGCTCTTTCTTCTTCTTTCATCAGCACGCAGTAAATTTTAGGCGGTACAGCCGGCTTAACCTCCCTGTTGATTCTCTTTTTCATGAGGTGTGACAGGACTTGCAGTCCATCAAGCGCCTCGACCAATGCGGGCTGGTCGGCATCCGCACTGATCCTGATGGGCTTCTCTGGCCTCAGGAACTGTTTGCGGATCTCCTGGACGAGCGACTCAGCCAGTTCCCTGTCTTGGTGGCTGAGCCACGTCTTTTTTACAATTGTCTGCTTCATGTCATCAACGGTGACAAATAAAGCCTTTCTTGGAGATCCCAGGACGTAGCGCCGGATGGTTTCTCCTGCCTTCACCTCGATGACGTGCAAGACCTTTTCTTTCTTGTCATCCCAAATTCTAACCAGCCTTGGTTTGTTCTCTTCCCCCAGGACGACTTTGTTCTTATAGCCGCCGGTGCATTCAACGCCAGGGGCCTCTTTACGTGGCATGGCTTCGTCTTGGGCCCTTGGGCTGGAGAGAATTGGTATCACAAACAGAGAATTGACAAGCTTTGGTGATGATGGATATTTTGAAACTGTCGTTTGGGTTCGAGATTCAAGAAACCAAGTAATGATTCCGATGTAGCATGAAGGGCTCTGGATTTAAAGGCCAGAGTTGAGCTTATTGAATGATTTTGATGGGGGTATTTATCTCAGTCAGACATGCCTTTTCTGTGACAGGGTAAGGAATGCCAGTTCTTCCAAAGACGGCGGACTGTGGGCCCGCCGTTTTCTCTGCATATCTACCTTTCCAGTCGAGATCTGGCGGACTGACTGTTAGCAAGGGCCGGAGTAGTGGCTGCCTCATTGCCTGCTATTGTCTTTCCCAACAGCTCTTTCCAATTTGCTCTCGCTCCTCATCTGCGTCTCGTAGTTCATACAGTGTGATAATACTCAAACTCGTATATAGATACCTAGATAGTATCGAACACATCAACTAATTTCCGCCTTTCCTTTCTCAATGGAGGTTTCAGCATCCTCCAGTTGCACTACCTCCAACGCACGGCGGCCCAGTGCACTCAAAGCCTTGCGGGTTCACAACATTACCACAGAGATAGTCCTTTGCAGCGGTCCCATTGGTGAAAGTCACGTTGATGTCGAAAATACCAATGTCGGTACATGGTGCCACGGCGCTGCACTGAAAGCTCGCGACATTCTTGTTCTTCGTGGTACCGCGCGCATTTCGGATCTCGAGATTTCGTATTTGGAACTGTGAATTTGTGCAGTTACCAGTCCCGGGTGCGCCTGAGAAACGGGTGCATTGGGAGATGGTGAAGGCGCCACCGCGCATTCCTTCCATCTCGAGGTTACTGGCAGATATATTTGAAGCAACTGGGATTGATTTGTGAGTAATTTGTCATGGCTGACCAAATAAGAGGCACTCACAGCCAAGGCCACCGCCTCCTCCATTTGGCGGGTAACCATTCTGGTCGTTTGTCCAAGTCTTTACGTAGACCTGCCACCAGCATTAGCTTTGTGGTATACCGTAGCGTAGTCCGAGCTTACCGCGTGTAATGTATTGAAGTACGATATGTTTTCGAAGTGCAGTCTTTCAATTGTTTCAAATGCGCCTTTGTACTGTCCAATGCTGCCCAAAGCGATGCCCAAACCATTGTAGAACTTAGAATTTGTGACACTGATGTCAGTGCTGTTCGCCTTCATGGAGATACTGTCATCGCCGTTGTAAACCGTCCAATTGTTGAATTTGATAGAGGAGGAGAAGAAGGTATCGGCACCATCGGTATTAGCTGTGCGTGTTAGCATAATATTCTGTCTCCTATTTTACGAGAGGCTGATTAGGCAGTCATACAGCTTTGTACACTGTTACCGGTATTGTTGATGAAGATGCTGTCAAACGTATTGTTATGGCTGTGAATGATTGACATTGTCCTTGAAATGGTGTCAGCTTAAAGATCCGGCGTATGTACTCATCAGCGAGGCTCGATACGTACCACATCTGACTCCTTAAAAACCTCACGCCTCGGACCACAGAATTTGTTAAGCCATTGAACGTGATAGCATGCGGCCTTCCTGGATAGTTCGATGTGTTCGGCTGCTGCCGAATGAAGCGGTACCAGTCATCACCATTGCCATCAAAAGTCCCGTGGCCATGCCCTTCAACAGTGACCTTGTCCCCACCTAAGATGAAGGCTGTAGACTGGTTCTGATATCCAACTGGCATAGAATGGTTGAGCCAATACGAGATATTGGTTCCCCACTGTCCACGAAAATTACTTCCTGTCAAGATTGACTTGTTGAAGAACTTACAGAGAGGGTGCCTTGAAGGTCTACTTTGACGTTGTTCAGCCAAGTGATATTCATCACGGAATTGACATGGTAAGTCGTAGGCTCAAAAATAACCGTGGCATCTTGTCCACACTCCCGAAATGCTTGTATGATTGCAGGAGCATCATCAGTCCCGTTGCTCCCGCCAGACTTCACAGTACAAGTTTTTGCCTGTCTGGGTTGAGAGGCCGCGGCAGTAAAGCCTGACAACAGTGCAAGGACAGTGGTGACAGAAGGGCTGAGCATCTTGAATAGTGATGTGTCTGCCTTGTGGACAGCGTGACCAACTCTGTTGCTAGCCAACTAGCGAAAAGTGCAACATTTAAATGTGTTTACTGCTGATGATAATTCGGCACATGAGGAGCCGAATTCTCTGACATCACGTATCCGTTCGTCCTTTGTGTATAGAAAATGTTTCCAGATTCGTATCGCGAGGGGAATTTTGCGCGAATCAGACATGATCTGTGTTCATTTGGGATTCAAAAATAGCCGGTGGGACATTGTTGATCGACGCGGGGACGAAAGCAAAGGTGCGTTGCTGTTGAGCTCGGAGCTTCGTGTTAGGTAGCATTCAAGCGCGTAAACGCGGGCTAGTTCGCGCCGAAAGAGCCTACGACTTGTGCTATTGCCCTCCGAGACCAGTCATCCCCATGCTTCGGGATGGCCGAACATCAATCAAAATTTGGTCTTCAATTTTACACATTCTTGGTCTTGTAGTCAAGATTTACAGTGGAACGAGCTTCATCAGAAAAGTCAAAATATGCATCACAAGCGATTTATTGACTTCAATCCAAGATGGACTCTTCTATGTTGTATTAGCATTAGTGTATGTGCCTACCCCAGATTTTCCCGGATACTCCCTTTGCTAAGATGTATACAGCCGGCGCAACCAACGTAACAAGACTGGCAGAAACCACAGAACTCCAGAAAAAGGCACCAAAGCCCGGTCTATCTCATCTTCATCTAGGGATTACGTTTTCCATCCCCGAGGACCCTTTTCTTGGTGGCAAATGGTAAACCATGGATGGTTCAGTATCTCGGCAGTGGTGCTTCTGTCCTCGGGCTTCCATGCAAACATCTTCTTGAAGAGGTCCATGAGCTGCAACGCCTCGTCCTTTGACATCTCGAAGGCGACGACTTTGCGTCCCGCCCGAGCGCGAATCAAGCCCCTCGTGCTCTGAGTAGGAGGTGGAGCGGGTGGTTGTGCTTCACTCTTAGCCAAAGGGACTGTGAAACGATGCTCCAGGAGAAGCAGGTTGTGGAGCGAGCCCGGCACACCCGTCCTCGCCATGTGCTCCGATATTCGCTCTTCCCTCTCTTCCTCGCTGAGCGATACCCACTGGGACGGGTCCTTGGGCACATCGGATTGTTTGGCAAGAGATGACCGGTAAGGCTCGGGCAGGGGACCGCTCAGATCTTCCCAATTGCTCAGAAAAGACCAGAGAGTACCATCCAAAAATGGTTGACCTCTGTTTCTGACTTCAAATATGGAGCAGCCGAGCGCCCAGATATCGCTACCGACTCCGAAGTTTCCACAGTCTTGAAAGAAACCCTCCGGGGCGCGGTATGCCAGAGGAATCCCGGTGGCTTCTGGTGCATCAGAGGCGAGAAAAGACTCCCCGAAGTCTATCACTGCAATGTCATCCGACACGTACTCCGAAGCCTCTCCGAGGCATGAGGCGACAACGATATATCTTGGTTGATGATCGTCGTCGCCGTCTTGGTCATTTTCGTCCATAATTCTCGTGCTGGAGTTGACTTCGTCTGTTTCTTCATCGACACCTTCTGGGTTTTCACGGGAGCTATCTTCCACATTGTCCCCTCTAAAGTCGCTGTGCCAATCAAACTCTCCATCATCAACAAGACAAAGAAGCTTGGGTCTGCCGAATACGTGCAACAGGTCGCCTTCTTCGAGGTTGTCCAGGCCGTCCAAGATGAAGCAGATATTAGTAGGACGGAAATCCCCGTGGCAGATCCCCTTGTCATGTAGGAACTTCATGGCAAGTACGAGCTGGTAACAGATCTTTTTCAATGGTTCCTCTTGGTGTTGGTATCTTCGAGCAGCATCCTCCAAGTTCGGCCCGAGAATCGGCATGACAACACAAAGATGGTTGCCATTTGGTCCCTTGTGCCAGAAGTGTTTGATAGGAACGACCACATGGCTGGTATGAACGTCCTTTTCTTGAGGGCTCAAGCTCGACAGCATCTCACAGATCCTCAGATCTGCGCAGTGCCCGATCGAATGAGTGGCAGCGAGGATCTTCACAGCTCTCCATCCATTCTGTTCAAGATCTCGGCATAGCCACACTGTTCCAAAACCTCCATGACCGAGTTTATGCACCACTCTATACCGCCCATCTCGGCCCAACAAGTCGCCTAGATGGGTGGGATGCAAGCCACCGGGCTTATAATCCTCAATGTTCTCTGCTCTCTCATCGTAGTCGTATGGCACATAGACTGGTCGAACTGAATCTCTTGATGTTTTCATGGTGTAATCTGTGATGAGATTTTCGTGCAATGGAACATTCTGTTATGGTCTGATTTCTAGATGAACAGAAGGCTTCAGTTGAAGCGAATATTAGCTTTAAAGCAGTCAAGTTTTGTATTATCAAAATCAGGTAAGTGGTGTTCTAGGACAAAGACACGTTTGTTCTTCATTATTCGTTTTGAATGAGACACAAGTGTCTCACACCACGGCATCAAGTATGAACATTCCGCCAAAGGTGATCAAATACAATGAACCAGAAATAGGTAAGCTTTCAATTAGACCTTGCAAGCAAACCCTGCTCGGATCCCATTGGAGGGAGAGTGGTAGCTATAGATTGACCATCCTGGATAGACACCCGAGCGTGGCACACGATGTGCACACTTTCAATGGGTTTTGAATTCTGAAATAGTGGCTCGATGGTCAATTTCTCTGTACACTCATCCACTTTTGCTGACTTAGGACTACCAGGTGTCGCCATAGACGAGCTTCGACCAGGCCATTGAGATTATGCTATTTCAGGTCGAGTTCGGTGCTTCGACCAAATAAACATCATTTCCGTAGTTTTGTAATACTCCAGGGCGCCAGTACTCTTGGACAATCAACGATAGATAAATTTACCGTCTTTGGCCAGCATAATTGGTGAGTGTCCTGCCGACTGCGTGTTCAACGTTGTAAGCGATGAGCAACTCGAAAAAGGGCCGTCAACATGGATACGGAAATCAAGAAGAAACAACGATAGCAACTGGACCTTGACTTTCCCATCTAAGAGATTCTCATGGCTCCGAATGTATAGAATCTATTCACATAAGACGCTGAAGTCCTGTGCAGATAAGACGCATTACAATGACAGTGCGCTACCATGAAACAATTTGGCCAGTTAGCCTGCATTTGTGCGTGTGCACTCGTAAATCAGAATGCCTGAATGAAATCAACTGCATTCTGACTATTTTTTACTTTTTCTTCAAGTGACAGAAGGGCTGGGAATGTAAAGACGATGAAATGCAGGAGTGATGTCATCTGCATGGAGACGGCTTATAAATGCGTTCCGTTGTGCAGCTACATTCTCGTCGGTTCCAATCGTGGCCTAATCTGCCCTTCTCCACTCTCTACTCGTATCACCACCGCACAACGACACGCACCAGCAATTCATAGATTGAAGATGCCCTCCACAGCACAGAAGACGCTCTTTCTTGTCGGACCCGGCCTCATTGGGGGGTCATTGCTGGTGAAGCTGAAGGAAGTGAGGCCGGATCTGAAGCTTCACGCCCTCACGCGCCGGGATGACCAGGCTGCGGAGCTGAAGGAGCAAGGGATTGAGCCTGTGCGGGGCTCCCTTGAGGACGCAGACATCATCAAGGAGTGGGCAGCAAAGAGCGATATCATCATCCACACGGCCTCAGCCGATGACGACAAGGGTGCCTTTGCAATTGTCGAAGGACTGAAGTCAAGGGATAAGAATTCAAAGCGAGCCATCTACATCCAGACCAGCGGCAATGACGAGCTTGCCAACTCTGCCAAGGGCCTGGGCACAAAATCGATTGAGGAGAAGACCTTGTCTGACCTTAACCTGACAGACGAGGACCTGGATGCACGGATTGCGCCGGACGCGTATCACCGCCACGTGGACGGGCACTTACGGAAGGAGATCCTCAATCCTGAGAAGGAGAAGGAGCACAACGTCGTCTCCAGCCTGATGATGCCACCTCTGATCTATGGCATTGGCTCTGCACCTTGGCATCGGATCTCCATCCAGACCCCGATGCTCACGTCATTCATGATCAAGAACGGGCTCGTCACATTGCCTGAGGGCTTTACCGGCGCATGGAACTGCGTGTGGGTGCACGACCTCGTGGACCAGTACATCCTACTGCTGCAACACCTCGAGAAGCTCGAGCCGGGCCAGCAAAAGACACACTACGTCTTCCCTGCCGAGAAGAAGCCGTTCCTTTGGAAGGAACACTTTGACGCTATCGCGGCAGAGTTGAAGAGGTTGGACCACCCGGTGACGAAGTCGAACGGCGGCAAGCCGAGGGAGCTCAAGACCAAGGAGGAGTTCATCGAGTTTGTTGGCGGCAAGGACAACCCATACAGCGAGTGCTTCGGCTACATTGTATGGGGCACCGAGAACAGCTATACTAGCCCTGAGTAAGTGACATCGCGTGCACGATCATGCTAAATATTTCTCGAGGTGCATGACCAACTGACGACCTTCACAGCCTTACCACCAGCCTCGGATTCAAGCACAAAGCAAAGGGTGTCGTGGACAGCATTTTGAATGGAAAGGAGCTGGAAAAGTTTATCAAGGAGCAGAAAAACTGAGGGAGCTGCATCTTCAGGCATTGATGGCGTATCCGATCAATACCTAGGCCCTGGGTGCATCAGTGAACCAGGCCATTCTCAAAAATGGGCGATCAGACAAAGTTTTCTACATTGGCCTTGACGTTCAAATTGGCTAAAATAATGAAAATCTCTCACTACCCAGCCTTGTAGAAGTTGTGCCTGAGTCAGACCAAACACGTTGCTCTGCCACATCCCGGGGTAGCACAGGTCTGACGACGATGAAATGCTCACCTCATATAAGGTTCAGACGCTGAGGGGCTTAGCAGTATGGCACTAGAAAGCGAAAACCTCAATACTTGAATGATCCGAAGTCACTTTAGGTTCGTGCCAAACCAAATGTCCATACTGGCACCGAACTGAGACCCTCACAGGCCTGCTGGCCGCGTTATTCAACTGGGAAGAGCCATCTATTCGCATTTTTACAATGCACCATTGCGTAGCTCGATACGATTTCTGATGTGGCACGGCTATATCTATGATTAGTGAATACAGTTATTCTGCTCATTTAGAAATATTGAGTTGGTGCAGTTTTCATGTGCCAACTTAATGGAAAGACGGGATATTCTACCTGGGCCATGTCTTGCTTACATAAGCGTCAGTCGGGGATTGACCTCGCAAAGTCCTCAATAGCTACGGGCGTCGACTTAAAGAGTGCTTCAAAAACTTCACCCATCCCGCACATCATTCAGTGATGCTTACATGGCCTCCCTGAACCGGACAGTATGGCGTCTGAACAGGCAGGCAGGTTCAAACGCCCCTCTCCCGTGGTATCACCCTAGGAGGAGCATCTCAACGAGCTGGCACGCCCAAACCTCACAATCCTCCAGCCGCGTGCAGATCTACACCTCGCACAGCCACAACCCCTACCTCAACCTCTCAGCAGAGCACTTCCTGCTCCAGAACTCACACCCAGAGTCCACAATCCTCTTCCTGTACACCAATGACCCGTGCATCGTCATCGGCCGCAACCAAAACCCTTGGCTGGAGGTGAACCTCGGCCTTTTAAACAGCTTCACAGCCAGGGCAGGCGACGATGGCGCCGGCCGGGCCAGAGTCTCCCTTGTGCGCCGGCGCTCAGGCGGTGGCGCCGTCTTCCACGACAGCGGCAACGTCAACTTCAGCGTGATCTGCCCACCGGCGGCGTTCGACCGGAACAAGCACGCCGAGATGGTGGTGCGGGCCCTTCGGGGCCTAGGCGTCTCGACGGCGCGCGTGAACGAGCGGCACGACATCGTGCTCGACCGAAGCCCCGGCCACGGTGGAGGTGGAGGTGGTCCCCCGGCAACAACGTTCAAGATCTCCGGGTCCGCGTACAAGCTCACGCGCCTGCGGTCACTGCACCACGGCACCTGCCTGCTCAACTCGCCCAATCTGGCGGACATCGGGCGCCTGCTGCGGTCGCCGGCCGAGCCGTACGTCAAGGCCCGCGGGGTCGAGAGCGTACGCAGCAGGATATGCAACGTCGGGCTGCCGAGCGGCGACTTCATCGAGGCTGTCAGGCACGAGTTTGATGCCATGTATGGTGCGCCCGATGTGGATGTGAGCCTGGGCGCGGGGCTTGACGCCCCTGATTTCGACCACGAGCAGATTCAGAAAGGCTACCGGGAACTCACGGTGAGATGATTGTCCATTCAAGGCTATTGTATGCGGTGATATATTTGCTGACGGGTGTCAATCATCACTGCTAGTCCCGGGACTGGATATACAACCAGACGCCGCAGTTCACGTTCTCGACACATCCGTCAGAGGACGATCCCAGGGAGAGACCGACTCTTCCGACCGATGTGCCGAAAGACGTGAGTAGCGCTGTCCGCACCGTGTGCTACCTTCTTGTTCGAGATCAGATAACTAAAAGGGGCTCACAGTTTCGCGCAATGATCACCGCACGTCACGGTCAGATCCAGGAGGCCGACCTATCCGGTTTCGACGTCGCATCTCTACAAGGCCAGCATCTTCACACTGTCACGGACTGGCGCAAGATCCTGTCACCTGGCGGTACCGCTGCATCACAAGGAGTTGGCCAATGGTTCAATCACCTCTTTGGCATCGGCGACACGAGGTGAACGCCGTAGGATACCATTTCTTGAATGCATCTGCACGTTTCATAGACACCCGATCAAAATGATGATACCCCTCCGGCTTTCATGCCATCAAACACAGCCTCTCATGATCTCATCCCATAAACTCTTCTGTATGCTTTCATTCCAGATTCTGCTGCACATTCATGACGCCCCGCCCGTACCACTCCGCCACGGTCGCGAAGCGGTCCTCGCTGCGCTCGAGCTCGTCCTTGAACAGCTCGTGGCGGTCGGCATTTTCCTCCTGGCCGCGCTTGATGGCCCTGATGGTGGAGTTGTTCTGGGCGCACAGCGGGCACTCGCCGTCGACGCCATCGCCGCCGCGCAGGCAGCGCTGGTGGAAGCTGTGCTTGCACAGAAAGTGCACCGCCGGCAGGTCTAGCATCTGCGTGCACACCGGGCACCGCGTGGCTTGGAACACGGCCGGCTTGGCGCCGAGGTCCGCGATCTCGGCCCGCCGCTGCTCCGTCTCGGACCGGAACCCTGCGACCCGTCGCCGGTTGGACGCGATGTCCTTGCGTTCGCGCTCGATCGTCTCGTGCAGGTACGGCTTGATCATGCCCATCGTTGCCACTGCGTTCTTGGACAGCATCTGCACTACCTGCAGCGGCGCCAGCAGGCCGTCCTTGTCGATCGTGTTCAGGATGTTGGCCAGCTCGTCGAGCCCTGCTTCGTCGAGGACGCGGGAGTCGGAGGTCAGGTATGCCAACGCGGCGGGGTACAGGGAGGGCTCCTGTGGGCCGTACTTGCGGAGAGCTTTCATCGCGCCGCGAGTATCCTTAGCCGAGGTGTAGGAGCGAAAAATGTCCGAGAGCAGACCGGCCTGCTCCTTGACCAGCGTCGTGCCGTCTCGAAACTCTGAGAGATGTGAGAGCAGCAGCACATTTGAGTTTTCTATGGGTACGCCTCGGCCTTCGATAAGTTTCTTGGCCTTTTGCTCCCACTGCTCACGGTCGTGCTCGCTCTTCACTTCTGTAGATTTGTGCAGGTACATCTCGAACAGAGTTGTGTAAAGGTCGGTCTTGTTTTCGTCGGATATGCTCTCGTCTCCGAGGCATGCTTCGAGAAAGACGATGAACTCATCGGGGTGATCTATGAACGATGAGAATGCGGTCCGTGGTTGCGGTGGTGTGTACTTAGGAGCCGGCGCATCATCAGCATCGAGCATTACTGTCGCATCGCTGACAGTGGGCTGTATGTTGCCTTGGGTTGGTGGCGAGGCGACCGCAGATGAGTTCATATATGGCAGAGGAAGCAGGTTAGAAAGGTTCTGTACGGCGCTCGCTGCGCCAGCTACAAAGCGTCCACCGCCTGATGACGGGGTCTCAATGGTGGCAGCGTGGCGTGCTCGCGGACGATAGTTTCCCGTGTAATACTCGATGAATATTTGTGTTGAGCCTTGTGGACAATGCTCGATAAGGACCCGGGCATATTTCATCAAGCAAGGGTAAGCCTGGGCTGCGTTAGTATCTTGCTCATTTTTCAGGTGGATTAGTACCTACCGTTTGCGGATCGAGATGCCATATGAAGCTGAGGGCTTCTTTATAGTCCTTCAGGTCTTCAATCAGAATATCCACCACCAAATCGTTCTCGCCATGTTTCTTGGCCAGGTACGCAGCTTGTTCGAAATACCCTCCTTGCCTGCACATTGTTATTGCCGTGTCCAGGTCAAACTTGAGCTCCCCAGGTTGCTTAATGAATGCCTCCAGCTTCTCAATGTCTTTCAATTTTGCATAGCAGTTCAACAGCAGTGTAGTGTGGTCCGAGGTGGCCTTCCCATGTTCATGAAGCTGCTCCAGATACTCGATGAGGTTGTGTATCCTCTGAGTGTCCAGGAATTTTCTGATTACCTGCGACGGTTCTGTATTGTCGATTGCCTTTATGTACTGGGCCATGGCCTGATCATACTCTCCCTTTTGATACAAGTGATCGCCGTACTTGCGGAAAATGACGTTTTGCTGTTGTTTGTCCAGGCCGGCAGTCTGTGCGAGCGATATCGCGAAGGGGTAGAGGTTCCTCTGATAGAGCATCTCCAGCCTCTGCTGAAGAGTCTTTTCGTGGTATTTGTGAACCTTTCCATCTTGTGTCAAAGTGTATAGATCACCCCACAATTCGAAAACAGCAATCACCTTGGAGATGAGAGTCTCGGTGTGTGCGATCACCTTGAGATCTGGCTCCAATAGGGAGAAGGTCGACGCGTTGAAGATGGCATCAGCCGCGGAGCCCCCAAAGCGCCTTCGTAATGATTCTGGATCCCTCAAAGACTGAGCTGATGACGGAGGCGATACGATTGCAACGTATTGTTGGTATACTGTCACCAGCTCCTTCGGCGAATCGTATGCTTTGGGAGGCCCTCGTCCATCCTGCGTGTAATAGTATATCGCATCGTCTCTTGCAACAACAATGTTCCCGTCTCTCTTGTCTACGGCCATGCATCCGACGCCGCACCCTAGGTCCTCGACTGTTTTCGGTGGCTGCCCTTGCCCTCTTCCGGAGATTGTCAACTTCAGGATCCGCGACACCGTCGAGATGAAGAGGGTCGTCAGTCTTTCGTCGGCTCGCAATTCGACTCCAGTGATCGGTTCTTCGGACTCGTACACTATTCGTTGTTTTGCGCCGCGGTCATTGACCAGGTCTCCTCGTATGACTGTCACTGCGCCGTTCGCGAAGCCGACAGCGATCTGGGACAGGTCTTCTGTCGCGGCGAAGGCCGATACCTAGGAATCTCTCAGCCATGCATCCAGATTGAAACTCATTTCGGATTACGGACGGGAAATTGTTTTCTTCCATTGTGAATCGTCACGCTGCTCAGGCAGGTCGGCATACCCGTCTTCTTGACCGGCTTGTCTAAAGCCCAGACCTTCAGTACCGGCTCGCCGCTGAGATCCTCCTGTTGAGCATAGCACGTCAGCAATTTGACTTCCTGGGTCTTCTGCCACATATGGATCATGGTATGTATCGTACTCCAACCGTGACAAGCAAGCTCGTCCCCTCGACCTGGCGCATGTGCGAGATGCGGACATTCTCGTGCGCCTGGAAGCTGCGGACGATCCTCCAGCTGGGGCCTACGATGCGCACATGGCCGTCGGAGCTCCCGAGGAAGAGGCTATCGGAGCCAGAGCAGACGCTGGATATCTCGTTGCTGTCGAAGAAGGCGCGTGTCTCGTCGTCGTCGGCGAGCTTAACCTGGCTGACATCGAAGAAGTCGAAGGATTTCCACTGCGGTGACGGTGGGGTCAGTACATTTGGTTGCGCCAGCTTGTGGTGCGGACGAATACATACAGAGAGCGCCATGCTTTGCCTATCGTTGCCTCCGTGACAGCGATCTGGGCGCCTGTCGCATGCTCATTCAAGGGACAGGAATGGAGGTGAAGATGCCCGGCTGGGAGATGGCGACGTCGAGCTTACCGGGGAGCGCTGATAGCTGCCGCTACGGCACCGCGCCTTTAGCGTGAGCGAGAGCTGGTGATGCAGTGGCTGCAGGGGTATGGGGCACCTCGGCCTGGCCCCACCCCTGCAACAGCTCATGCCTGCATTGGTCTTCTGGGTCCAGCTATAGGAGTCTTGTCCTCAACATCTCGAGTCTACTCCCGTTTTTGACCTACCTCGTCCCAACAAGGCTGCCTAGGAATTCCAGTAAACTCGGCATTCTCCAACCTGAAGTTGACTGTGGAGGTTCTCCGGCATCAAGCACACACGATACCAACATCAAACTCACCTCCTTGAGCTATATGCCTCCCTCTTTCTACTGACGTGTAAGACTCGGGCCGTGGGACCCTATGGACCGCGTGTACAAGTCTGATCTTCAACTCACCTTTCACATCGTTTCAAAACTCTCAAAATGTTTGAGCCGTTAGACGTCGCTTTCTTTTAATAGCCAGTGCTTACTCGACGCCCCTTCAATCCAAAGCCTCGCAAAAATGTCACGTTCAAAGTTGTTCCTTGGGGAACCCATGTGAGCGAGTCAAATCATGCTTTGTGCTCAATTGCTACTGCATATGTAGGTATTTACAGGGTCTGAAGTATGTATAGGAAGACTGTCTTTATATCTCTCCCGAGTACCCAACTCTGCTCCGCCGTGCCCATTCACCCAGACAAAGCGCTTAAGCATACTGGCCCTTCATCTGGCCAGTGACCGACGGGTTCTTGACGATGTATACACCACGCTCGATCGTGTTGACGAGGATATTGCCGGAGGGGAATCCGGCGTAGTGAGACCAGGTGCCAGTGAAGGCCACGTTGCCGCCGCCGGACTGGGCATCGTCATCTGGGAAGACGTCGAAGAAGGCGACCTCCTTGATGCCCTTGCCGGTGGGGTCCTGTGGCACTGAGGACACATCGAGGACGCGGAGGCCAGCACCGTAGTTGGACTGGAAGGACAGACCGTTGTGGACGTACTGGTTGTGGTCGATGGACCGCACTGTGGACTTGTACAGGCCCGTCTGCTTTGGTGCACGCAGGTCGCGGATGTCCCAGACGTAGGTCACGGGGAATCCGTCGGCAGCAGGCGCACGTCCATCTTCCTCATCATACTCATCATCGAGGAGAAGGTATTCCTGGTTGTTGGGGTCGAGGACGGAGCCTTGGTGCGTGTAGGACGCGCCAGTGTAGCTGGTTCGAGAGATAATTGTGGCGGCGGCCTTGTTGGTGACATCGTAGATGGTCAGTGTGTCCTCATTGTAGCCGTAGCAGATATCGCGGCCAGTGTAGCGAGTGTCTGGTCCACGGTAGACCAGGCACTGGGCATCGTGGACATAGCCGTCACCAGGAGCGCAGCCGGGGGAGGTGGGACTGGCGGGGTTGGACAAGTCGATGAAGATCAGTCCGGATTTGCACTTGTCTGTGCGTGGCTGTGCGCCGACTGCAACGGCAAAGTTCTTCTCCTCAAGGGAGACAACGTTGTGGGTTCGACCAGTAGGGAGACCGTTGAAGAGGGAAATGTCGCTGGAAGTGCTGAACGTCTTAGGTGACGTGACAGTCAGGAGCTTCCGGGCATCGAAGATCTGGATGCCGTGGTTCGAGGCCTCACTTCCGATGATGAAGTAGTTCTTCACAGTCCTGATCTCGCGCCACTGGGAAGTGACTGATTGCTGAGGGAGACGACCGAGGTAGGTGATCCTTCCTGTCTTGGAGATCTCGATGAAGGCAGTACCGTCGGCTTGGCCGATAGCGCCGAACTCACGTCCTTCAGGAGAAGTCCATCCCCAGGAAGATGAGCCTGAGCCGCTGCGGCTACCCAACTCAGCGTGGGTCTTGAAGTCCTGAAGATCGAGGTTGCCGCAGCGGAAGGTCTGCAGACGGTCGCCCGGGACAACAACAGCTTGGCCGTTGACGCACTTGACTGGGGCAGGGAGGGCTTGGAGGAACTGTGAGGTGTTGTATGCTCCATCGGCGCGGCGTTGTTCCCACTCGTCCTGCTCCATGTTAGTCCCAGGATTTTACACTTCTATGGGCCGTGTCACAATACCATCTTGTACTCCATGATGGCTTCATGGACCTTTCCGGATTGGTACATCTCTTTGGTGATCTCGCTCTCGCCGAGCAGGGATTTCAAGGAGACGGCCGCAGCCATGGCCGGAGCCAACAGCGCTAGAGCAGACTTCATGATCAATTACTAGGAATGCGGAGAACAATACTGTTCAAGGGCTAGAACGAATGTGTGATGATGGCAAGGTGGTGTTTTGGCAGGAGATTGAGCAGAGGGGTTGTTTACCTTAAATCATTTCCGCGTATTTTGCCTTCACATTGTGCTAGACGTGAGAATGATTCCTACCTTCCTCACCGAGATAGCGTCACGGAGTCATGAATAGGCAATTACCCAGTTGTGACCTTCTCTTCAGGAAAGCGCAATACGACCTACGAATTCCTGATGAAGCAGGTCAAGCCAGCGATAAGCCGCAAGGTTCAGTGCAGAGATCTTGGCTTTGACTTGGCTTTCCCTTGGCTTCATTTATTCCGGCCTGCCTGACCAATTGGACCGCTTACTATATTGAGACGCCATCGTGACCTCGTCTGCTATCAGACTTCCGGGCACTAATTGTGGTCTTGGAATAATAGACAAATGGTTGAGCGGAACTACTACCGGAGGAGAACTATGACACTCCCCAATGTTGTTTTCGCGCTATTGGCAAGGCACAGAGTATCTATTGCAGGACTTCCACATTCCAGAGAGTTCCAGTAGGGATGTTTACAGCTGCCGGCTGGCAACGAGAAGGTTGTGTCTGTGTCTTGATTTAATTTCAGCCTGTGCATCTGTAAGTCGGGACACTTTTTTCGCACCCGAACCGCTTCGCAGATACGCGGATAGAGCCATGGCTATGCCGGGCGGTTAGCATAGGTCTTGTGTTGAATCTTGGCGTAGCCTTGAGGGGAAGGAGGACAGCAAGCAGCACGCCATGGAAAGATATGCTAGATATTATGCTGTCGAATATACTCCACAGTCTCAGTCTCAGACTATACCAGCAGGTGCCTCTCTAGAGTCTCAATTGTTCAACATATCGCCTTTGTGGTGATTACTTCTCGCATCACCCCCTTCGAGAGAGATTCTTCTGATTTAGTGAAAAGTGGCAGCTCACAAAGTGATTCTACCTGCCTAATTAGGAAGAGAGAAAACAGGCATTGAATGCCGATCTTTCGGCAGATCGACAAATATCAGGGCGTCATGTGATAAAAATAACACAAGTGCCAGAGCTGAGACCGGAGGTTAAGAAGGAACGCGCTTATGTATTATTCCAGCGTCCCATACCCTCGATTGTAGGATCTCTCATCCTGTTGAACCAAAACAACAAGGCTAACGACTATCGCTGAAAACACGCAAAGGAAAAGACCAGGAACGCCGAGAGACCAAACCTCAAATTTGAGCAAACAAATCAAACGTTATCTTGCCCTGCAGCCTCTGAGCCATTGGGCCTCTCAGGAAGCACAGGAGGCATAGCGGATGCGTGTGCAGGTCTATTTTAGCTTCGATTCATGATTTTTCTTCATCAAATACGGCCTATGATACCAGGACCATCACACAGAGACATCGCAAGTACTATCGGAATATACGTAATACTGCTCTCAAATTGGAGTGTTGTAGTTACAAAACAGGAATAGATGTTAATATACCCTGCATTATTGATGATAACATCATCTTAGTTTATAAAAGAAACTAAAAATACTAAAAGAATGATCCCTATAATTAACTCCTATTTGAATAGTTACGTTTACTGGCCTTATTATTTCTTACCACTCTTCTTCTCCTCAAGATGCTTCTTAGTTCTATTCTCCGTCCTCATCTTCGTTCCCTTCAACCCCTTCCTCATCACCTTCATCGTCTCCTTCGTCCTTTACTTTGGCCTTCCCTTTCCCCTTATGCTTCCCTTGATTAGCCTTCGCTGCCTTTCTCTCCTTTCGCTTGGCCTTTTTGTTCTTGACTTCACTTCCTGCCGCTTTTCCGGCGTCTTCGTCATTGCTTCCCTTGCCTAGTGTTGTATAGTATTTCTCATTTGGACCAAACACCTCGGGTTCGTATTCTTCGGGATCTTCTTCCTGTTCCGCATTGTTCCAAAGCACCACAGGGGCACACACAGACTCGGAGCCACTGACGGGAAACCGACCATGTTCAAACTCACTTGGATGCAACAGGCGATCCGGAGAACCCGAGGCCTCATCGATGTGAACGTAGACGTGGCCTGAATAGTCGAATTCGTTGTCGTCACGATCTTTCTTAAATGCATCAGGGTCCCTGTTCGCGAAAATGGTAATGTGAGGGTCGTCTTCTTCCGAGTCCCCCTGTTCCGTGGTTGTCTGATGGACACGGCTCCTGATGTTTTCAGTACGAGCGCACCTATGTATTACAATTTCACGGGTTTTACTCAAGATAGCTGAGCCAAATACGTACCTGATATACCAGGCACGAAGGGGTTCTTCCTTATGATGTTGCGCGGAATACTCGTAGGCTGCTTCGCTTATCATGTCTCCATAGGCTCTGACCAATTTCTCCTGGATAGTTGAGCCTTTGCTCTTGCTGGGAAGATCTGTGAGCCAGACAATCTAAAGCGTTGAGAGATTGTCAGTAAACCAATTGCATAATCGAAAGCAGCTTTACTCTCGCGGAGAATCAAACAGATTGGGTATTGTAAAACAGTTGAGTCTGTTGCTTTGGAATTGTAGAAAGTCCAGGGGAGAAGAAACATGATGTTAATCCTTGGTCTCAGCCACTCCCAACCAGCTGGCAATATGCGTTGCAATATAGCTACTCCTCCGGTCCTCGCCGGGTTTTGGAGCTTTGCAACGTTGTGGAGGACAAGGGCCTTGACTCTGCTCACCTTGGGCATCCATTTTGTGTAGCTATTCTTTATATCTCCTTCTTCCTCACTAGTGTGAGCCACTGTCCACTTTTTCTTCGCCATAGGGTCTCTTTTTGAGGGGCTTCAACTGAGGCAATAAGTAGTAAATATAAACAGTAAAACTATCGAAAATAATATTGATCAACTTGCGAAGTAGATTGAGTGACACGTTGTGCTCTCGATGTGACCAGAGCTTGTCCTGGGGGTTAGCTTTATAAAATATACTGGCCGTGATCTGGAAAACATGAGTACGCGTTGAACAATTCTCAGCTTGCCTGGATGCATCTCTATAGTGGGAAATTGACCACCTCAGCTGGGAATCATCCATTGTATTGGTCTAGACTACCCATCTCTGACGAGATACGTGGATTGTCACCACCTGGTCGCCATCGACATTCGACTGGTTGTGAGAAGCTGACTGTGCCCCAATATCACAAGACGCATTGGGGACCCAGTTAGGAAAGCCATAGCAATAAGGCTTGAGCCGAGCATTGAATGATCACCACAGGATTCTGAGCTTTCAATCGGCATCGTGGACAGCCCACCTCTCATTGAGTCGTGTGGATCCAAAGTCTTCAAAGAGGTATGTACTGTCTAAGTTACTGTACTTTCTGTACAAGAACCTCAAAGCGCTTATATGACTTATCACTGCTGACTGGCCTCCATCTTGCGCGGTGGAATCTGGCAGGTGTGGTAGTTGATCACCTAAGGCTGCGGCTCGCCTGATGGGTACGAGATTCCTGGAGCCGGAAGTCGCGCCGAGCGAGCAGGAATCCGAGGGGCGAGACCTTACCACTCTGGGAGAATAAGCAGGAATATGAGATAAAAGTGACATGTGATTTGTAGCCCTATTCACACCAAGTCCCATGGCTGAGATGTTTTTGTAAATTATACCTATATCAGAATAATTCCGATGTCTTGGGGCTCCCGAAGATCACTGCAGCAGGACTAGCCATCGGTGGACGCGAAGGATGAACTGTGGCGGTTTATTCTGGAATTTTTGAAAAATATTCAGAGATTGAAGATAAATATAGAGCTTCTATTTCGGTTGTCCCGACTTATACTGGATCATTGCCAGAGTCTAAGAACATCTAATGCTGAATCTAAATATGGCTTTGTACTGGCCAAGTGAGCGGCCTGGATTTTCGGTGTAGGTCAAGTCTTGAACCATTCATGCTCCAGCACCTTGCTGGAAGCCAAGCGCTCCTCTGGTATCCACCTTAGTAACTTCTCCAGAAGATCAGAAAAGATCCGAGCCTCATCCCCTGAGATGGGCTCATGTGGCCCGTGAGCGCAATCCTCTCCGGTGCAACGAACGGATGCCTCGATTTCCTCCTCTATTGCTCTACGACGTGCGGCTTCTGATTTCATTGTATCGATACTCGTCTCGGCCTTGGAATCCCCGTCAGGCTCGGACAGAAGGGCGCGCAACTTCTTCTTCCAAGGCACCAACCATGCCTCTGGTGGCTTTCCCAAGAGTGGTGCTAGCTCAAGCAAGTAAGCAGCGCCGTCAAAGCGCAAGAGCTGAAAGACAGAGAACAATCTTCTCCCCGTTCGTATCTCAAATAGCGTGCACCCGAGAGACCATAAGTCCATCTCGATGCCTGCGGTCTGGCCCAGGACCATCTCAGGGGCGCGGTAGTCGGCAGGGATGCCGGAGCTTGTGGGAAGGGCGTCCTCTGATATGTCAAATGACTGCCCGAAGTCGGTGACATAGGCCTCTGTAGAAATCAAGGATGGGTCTGCATCATCGAAGTCAACCGGATACACCAGGTAATCTGGCGCACCAGTGATGGCCGGCGTGGAGGACGGGCTCTTGCGGACTCTGACTTTGGTAGTTTCCGGCTTGCCGAGCATCTCGAGAACCTCTTCCTCGTCCAATCCATCGAGGCATTGCAGCTTTAGCAATATGTTGGCCGGCCGAAAATCTATTTCGATTAGTGTTGATTCGGGAACATCTGTCTGAAGCCTTACCTCCGTGGCAAACTCCACGCCTGTGAAGCGCAGACAGTGCTTGAACGGCCTGTCTAGAGACACTTCGCAGAGTAGAACCATGAGACTTTGTATAATTCTCGACATGGTCTTCGTGTTTGTCTTTGTCGGCTTGATCTGTGCTGTCTTTTCCAGCACCGTCTCGTAGCAATCTTGCTAGAGATGCGATGCTGGGGCCCAGAACAGGATAGACGAGGCAGATATGGCTCCCATTTGGACCTTGCGTCTCGAATCGGTTCACTGGCAGGCAGATATGCTCGCCACCAGGCACTCTTCCGATACCTTCTGCTTGCAGTCTGCTCACAAGGAGCTCGCGACACGCCTCCTCCGACTCGCTGGCCAGCAGGATCTTGACCGCAACGTAAGTTGGGTCTTTCGCTTTCTCATCACAGCAAAGCCATACTGTTGAGAAGCCGCCATACCCGAGCTTATGAATGACCCGGTATCTGCCTTTGTGAAGAGTATCATGAAGTTGCACGGGATGATAGCCGCCGGGTCGGTATTTGCTAACGGTTTCCAAGCTTTCCTCTACTGCATTGAACAGAAACAGTCTCTTCCAGATCGGGACTTGTTCGGCTTCTGCTTGGTCAGTCCGTTTTGGCTGGTTCGCTATCTCCGAAGGCTTATCGCCACGAGACTTCTGAGTTTCTTTTCTTTTCATTGCAGTGATAACGTAGAAATTGATTCAAGTGCAAGGTTCCGAGCTAGGGCTTGACAGAAGGCCTGCAAAGTACAACCCAGTACGAAATTTGTGAGAAAAGAGAGAGAACGATTCACTCTAGGAAGAAGAGACGTGGGCCGGACTGTCACGGAAACTTTGTGTTGGTGGGGTAGTGGACTGCGCTTCGAGAATGTCATGTGCTGAGGTTAAAGGTGAAGGGTCATGATGGTGGGGCAGGTCAGCTTGTACGACGAACGTAAGCACCTAACTACATGAAGTACTCAAGTACGCGGGTAGGTAGGTGGGGCACTTCTAAGCGGCTAACAAGATAGGATATAATTCTCGGCCGCCCCCAAGCCAAGGCCAGCCATGTTTCCTATTAGGATCATGTTCGACTTGTGCATCAAAACAGCTTTGTGTTGCAAAGATAGTCTTGGCATCCCGTAATCGGGGTGGTCAGAGGTGTTGACGTCGTCGTATGTCAGCAAATATATCAAGGCCTAGACCCTTGGCTATTTGGCTATTATCGGCTTACATTCGAAAAGTACTAGTCTTGGTCCCAAACTCCTAAGACTGTGCAATATATTATCATACCAACACCCCTATCGAGCATGTCTCACCGTGAAAATATGGTCAGCTTGCATAATCTGACGTTGGAGGACCCCGCCTGTTTGCTCCTTGCGGACGCTGAGGGTTGCAGTACTGGCCTTTCCTGATAGCTTGAGCCTGCATAATAGACTACACGGATGCAAACCCCTGCCCCCGGAGAATTAGTCCGCACGTGATGAGACCAATATGTGCATGACTGCATAGGACAAGGCGTAATCTACTGCTTCAGCCCTACCACGGGACGACCGTGTAACACGATCTTCGCCAGGCATATTCTTTGGCCGGGCCGAACGTAAACTCCAGGGGATCTACCAGAGAAATTAATTCCAGGAGGTGTGGTACAAAAACTGAATGCCAATTTTGAGACAAGTCAACTAGTTACGCAGTTCCCTAGCAGTGATCTGACAATTGAGACGAAAGCATGTAAAGAGTTAAAATTGATGATACAACAAGGTTCTTGATAAATGGTGCAGTCTATGTTGTTGGACCTCCCTCCAGACCTACTCGGACGCCTTCTTCGGCACCTTCTTCTTCTTGGGGGCATCTTTACTGCCAACCGCCTTCTTCTTTTTCAAAATAGACACAGGGCCGACCTCTTCATCCTCTTGATCTTGGGAATCATCCAACGGGTCAGCAAGTGTCACCTTCTTCCTGGCGATGCCTACAGTACCAGGGACCGAAGCCAGGCCCGCCACACCTGCCCAGTCTTCCTCGCTCTTCTCGAGCTCGGTTCTGGCAACATAGCGCGGGTCGAGAAGATCTTCCAGCACATCGGCCCAATAATCGTACTGAACCTTCCACTCTGTAATGCGCTCCTCGGTGACGGCCTCGCTGTATGGGAACTCGGCCGCACGATTGTAGCGCAGGTTCCAGATTTCGCGGGAAAGAAACTTTAGTTTTGCGGCTATGGGACTGAGGTCATTGTGGCTCGGCTCTGGGAGAAGAGATATGATTAGATATCCTGCTCCGAATAAGGCTTTGCAGCTTGTAGACTTACGTGTTCTGGCTAGGTAGAAAATAGTTCTGATCGTCTCGTACTCGGTCACCATGCGGTGATAAAGTCTGGGAGCAGGAAAGCCGGTCATTTCAACCTCAGGCTTGGGAGGCGCGGGCCCGATGAGACGTACTTCGGGCGTGCTGGGCCTTGAGGGTCTGTACGGCAGAGGCGGCCCGTTCGAGCTAAAGGACGCAGCAAGTGGCACCGGGGGCGATGTGCTGGTTGAACCGCCAGGGTTGTGCGAAGAAGAAGGAGGGAAACCAGAGCTGAATCTCTCACGTCGCCCTTTTTCTTGAGAGTAGTTTGAGACCAGGTTGGAGAGATCCTGACGTGGGTTCTCCGAGGCGTGCTGGGCAGAATGGTCATTGGACGCCATGTTGTTTTCAGCGTACCTCCGAACGGCGGTTTTGGGATCCAGTATGAGCTCTTGAAGACTGTCGCCCTTGTGAAATATTCTGTTGCGGGATTCTGGTCTGATTTTGGCATCTACATTCATCGCGATTTTATTATATGCTATCCGAAATCCCTCTCTGATATAGATGGTGACGCATTCTGCAAATGCGATGTCCGCTTATATACCACTCCACTCTTTTCTGTCCAGCCAGCCAGAAATATCTCCTGGCATTTGATTGCCAGGGAACATGAAAATGTCAGCTATAACTGTTGAAGGATTGTTCTGTTGGTGTCAAATTCATTCACAAGACCCGGATGGTGAGATGATGGGAACATGTGAGATGTGGCTGTCACAGACCCACTCACACATAGCAATAATACTCCTGGACAATCTCAAAATCTCAGCGTGATCTGGTCGGATCTGACAGCCTACGGACCTTCCGAGGCCATCCTCGACCATTTTTGGAAGAACTCGCATCGTAAGTCAGCGACTATTACTTGTCTCTTTCGCTTGCCAACATTGAGCCTCAGGGTCAGCCCCAAAATGGTGGCGCGCTTCTGCCTGTCTACCAGGTGTGCATCAAAGGTCTCGTGTGTTCCTTCCTTAGCTGATCATGACACCCTCCACGACTTCAAATCCAGAAGTCACATAGCTACAACCTCATTAGATGCCAGATTTCTTAAATAAATGTGTAAATCGGCTGACTGTATGATGAGATATGTCTCAGCAGCTCCCTTCAGCTGATGGTTTGTGGCGATGCGTGAAGCCTAGAGAGGCCATATTTCCTTCTCTGGGACATCAAGGAGAGTTGACTGGCATGAATGTGGTCACGAAACTCCAGGTAAAATTAGAAACCCTCATCCATTCCCAGATGGATGGATGTAAGGCGTGTTTTTGAGGATGACAGTCATCTCGTAGGAAGCCAACACTGTGTATCTGACACAGAGCCAATGAATCGTATGTTACTCCTAACCTAGTGTCAGGATATGAAGCCCACCCATGCCTACGAACAGAACAAATGCGTTATCAATCTTGCGGACCCTCAAGTCGGAGCCCATTCTTCACTCCATCAAGGACCGAGCATTCAGAAGTTGTTCTACAGCTGAAATCAAGACAATTTGGTAACATTCTGTTGTTAATATCGTATACTTGAAGCGCCCAGTACAGAGAACTCTTCCAGAATCTCCATCATGGCAGGACTGGTAAAAGGTAAGTTTACTACGCCACTCTTCACCCAGCAGAGTCTGACATTATGACATAGGAGGTCTAGCCTTGGGCAAGGTAGTGGGAAAGGTCGCCGCACAAGGCGGCAAAGAAGTAGCCAAGAAGAAGGCGGAAGAAGAACTAAAGAAAAAGGCAGACGAAGAAGCCAAACAGAAGGCAGACGAAGGAACCAAGCGGAAGGCTGAAGACGAGGCCAAGCGGAAGGCGGACGAGGAAGCTAAACGGAGGACAGATGAGGAAGCAAAGAAGGCAGAAGAAGAAGCCAAACGGAAGGGAGAAGAGGATGCTAAACGGAAGGCGGATGAAGAAGCCAAACAGAAGAAAGACGAACAGGTTAAAACCCAGATAGACAAGAAGGTAAAGGAAGGCAAGGAAAAGGCACCAAAAATTAACGAAAAAAAGGTTCCTAAGAAGGAAGAATCTGAGGAGGAAGAATCTGACCAGGAAGAATCTGAGCAGGAAGATTCTGAGGAAGAGGGCTCTGTGGAGGAGTCTGAGCAGGAGTCCGGGGAAGAGAGCTCTGGGGAGGATGATTCTGAGGAAGAGGACTCTGACGAGGACTCTGACGCAGAGAATTCTGACGAGGAAGGCTCTGAGGACGAGGACGAGGGCTCTGACGAGGGCTCTAACGAGGGCTCTGAGGCAGAGGAATCCGACTCTGAGGAAGGGGCTTCTGAGGGAGAGGACTCTGAGGAAGAGGGCTCTGAAGAGGGCTCTGACGAGGGATCCGAGGAGGGCTCTGAAGAAGAGGAAGAGGCTTCTGAATCTGAAGACGGTGGCTCTGAGGAGGAAAGTGACTAGCAGGAAAGTGATTAGTGGGAAGTTGTTCTTCAGATGGTGTCTATTTAGGTATGGTTCTACAGCTCATGGATTGAAGTGGTTATAGAAATTATATTATTGTGGATGAACTTTGGCTTCAAATCATCAAAATCATGCCAGTCGCACTATTTCCAAACAAAATGCGACTTTGATAACGTAGTCAGTTAATAAAAAAAGCGTAACCTGTATACCTTCGGCATGGAATCTCTTCATCTCCCATATTCATTTCAATAGGGCACAGAGAGGCAGATGATTCTTTTGTGCCAATATATTAGTAAAATTCTGTAATGGAGACATGGAACTCATTGCCAGTCTCTGCCTTTCTTCCCTCTTGAATCGGGGCACGCAAGGGTATCCCAAACTTGCCAAGCAGTGTCAATGAAAAAGCCTCGGACTTAATCCAATCGGCAAGTCCGTTCTTGTGACAGGTGTCTGTGATCACGACTTGTCTACACCTGCCGCTGTAATCCATGAGACATCTCCCACCGTCTCATGGTTAAAAGGAAATTGTGGCGGCTGGTGGGCATATCATCTGAATCCTACTAAGAAATGGGGTCCATGATGTAAGGATGGTGGTCAGAAGTGCCATCATGTGTTTGGCGAATAATTCAACACTTGGCACTCGCCAAAAGCGTCACTGATTTGTACTAGAGGTGTACTGGTACCTGTGCACCAGGTTCTCAATATATCCTTTCAATCCTCCCAGAATCCTTCCATATTTCAACGGTGATTTTGAGCTTATTTGGATCAATATCATCATGTCATTCTGTCTTTCTAAGCTGCTGGGTTCGGAAAGGTCAGTGAAGTAATAAACGTCAGCCATAGATGATAAGCAGTTAGCTTAATAGGTGAGACTGATAGCGCAGCCCACCTGCTCTTTGCCCAAATAATAAAATCCTTGTAGACTGGAAATAGAATGTAGAAGAAGTTGTAGAGACTCGCAAGGTACGAGGCTTGCCAATAAATACAATCAATCCGCTCCGCTTGATTGCGAAATTACTGCATTGTGCAAACACCTCATTCTTCTACAAAATAACTCTTAGGGCAACTTCCTGAATCCATCAAACATTTTAAGATACAACACAACTGAAGATTATCTGACCCATATTTTCACTCCAATCTGACATTATGGCGCCAAGATCATCTTCCAGAGCACCTTCCAGGGCACCCTCTAGGGCAACTTCTCGAGTAAGGGCTTCCTCGCGAGGGAGGTCTGAGGAGCCCAAAAAGCTTTCCTCTCGCAACAAGAAGCCCACCCGGCCAGTTAGTGATGATGAGGAAGAGGAAGAGGATGATGATGATGATGATGATGAGAGTGAGGAAGAAGACGACGAAAACGAAGAAGATGAAGAAGAACAAGCTAGTGAGGAGGATGAAAATGAAGAAGCTAGTGACAACGAAGAAGAAGAAGCAAGTGATGAAGACGAAGAAGCAGCCAGCGATGAGGATGAAGACGAAGGTGGTGATGATGACCAGGAAGTGGAAGGCTCAGAAGCTATATTGGACAACTCTCATCTAAAGCATAAGAAGATCCGCAGCCAGAGGGAGAAAATGTAAGACTCCTATGTCGATTTTTGATGAGGAATACTAACATGGCTTGAAGCCCTTTCGAACAGAGCAGCAAAGATGAAAAAGAAGGCAAAAAGGAAAACAAATCTAAGAAGACCAAGAAGTCTGCTGATGTGGACCAGGACGATGAAGCAAAGCCAGCCAAAAAGAAGATGGCCAAGAAAACGAAGACATCTGACGCTGAGGAAGATGCGGAAAAGCCAAAGAAAGCAGCTAAGAAGTCAAGGGCATCTGAAGGCTCCGAGGAAGAGAAGGAGAAGCCCGGAAAGAAGAAGGGTGCCAAGAATCCGGAGGCATCTAAAGGCCTGGAGGGAGAGGAGGAGAAGCCTAAAAAGAAGAAGGCTGTTAAGAAGCCGAAGGCGTCTGAAGGTGCTGAGGAAGAAGGGGAAAAGCCTAAGAAGAAGAAGGCTGCGAAGAAGCCAAAAGCATCTGAAGGCTCTGAGGAAGCAGAAAAGCCTAAGAAGAAGAAGGTTGCTAAGAAGACAGAGGGACCTGAAGGCTCCAACGAGGGTGAGAAAAAGCCGACTAAGAAGACTGCCGGTAAAGAGGCCAAAGGACCAGAGAAGGAGAAAGGCAAGAAGGCTGGTAAGAAAGGGAAAGCTTAAACTTTCAATTAATCTTCAATAGCCGAGGCAATCTCATAGTTAGATGTTACTTTCAATTGCGGGAAACAAGTTGTTGGATGGACATGTTACTGTACAGCACATGAGATAGAGACTTGAGTGTTTTTCCTTTTGTCTAGTAGTTTATTTACACCGTTATATATCACGCGCGCGCTCTAGTGTTCCATGAATCTCGATGAATGAGGTATTGCTAGCAATGGACAACGCTTTCTTGCACGGCTTGAGATGTCTTTTTGAGGAGAGTTCGGATAAATTTTCGTTCCTCTGGAAATGTGTGCCACAACATTGTGGTCAGTGGAATGGAACCAGAGTGTGTATTGAAGGGGGTTCCAGCAGTGGGCAACCCTTGGTTTTAACCCTGAAGTTGCAGCAATACTTGGGTCTAGGTACCTGGGTACCTGGGTGGGGCCAAGCCACGCGGGTGGGGCAAACATTTCAGGCTGCCCCACTGGCTGACTCCCTCATGCATTCTTCCATCTCACCTAACCCAACCTTGAGTGACTTGAGCCTCAACCAACAACCACAACCCACCTGCAATAACATCCAGCCATCACCGCCGCATCGCATCCATCACTGATCGTTACGACTCTCCAATTAATTTGCCAAAAAAATCGTCACGTTAAGAGAAGCCACGCATCATGGGATCCGTAGTCCTTCCTCATCTGCCTTCAGGCTGGCATGTTGACCAAGCGATCCTTTCAGGTCCGTCTTCAATTCATCCATGACACACTGGTTCACACAACTGACCGCTACCACAGAGGAGGACCGTTTAGTTGTCATCCGCTTCGGACGTGACCATGACTCAGTAAGGGGAACAATCACTTCTGCCTTGCTTTTACACAAACGCTGACTGCGATCAGGACTGCATGCGACAAGATGAAGTGCTCTACAAGATAGCCGACCGCGTCAAGAACTTCGCCGCCATTTACCTTTGTGACATCGACAAGGTCAGTCTCCCCTGAGGATCCAAGTTGGCAGCAGGAACAGGCTCTAAGTAATCGTAGGTCCCTGATTTCAACACCATGTACGAGCTGTACGACCCCTGCACCATCATGTTCTTCTTCCGCAACAAGCACATAATGTGCGATTTCGGTACCGGAAACAACAACAAATTGAACTGGGTGCTGGACGATAAGCAGGAGCTCATCGACATCCTTGAGACCGTGTTCCGGGGCGCCAAGAAGGGCAGAGGTTTGGTGGTCAGCCCGAAGGACTATAGCACAAGGCATCGTTACTGAGAAGTCACTGCTGTGAAATGGAGCATTTTGGGTTGATCAAATAAGTCGGAGATGGCGGATTTATGTGCCTCGTAACTGTGAAACTTGAGCGCATCACGAGCAAGAGACACAGAAAGGAGTGGAACTCTATGGGCCCAAAAATGAGGGCCATGCAAGCCGAGTTTGGCCGGTAGCAACATGGTGGAAAGCATGCGACCGATGATAAAAGGCGTGTAGTACGTATGTTTACACCAACATGGCCGGGCCCGGGGATGTTGATCCGTGAGTTTGATGGGTTTGCAACAAGAGCGTCCAGTCCAAATCTCTAGCAAGACTCGAATCAAGCCGTTTGATAATCGTGAGATTGAGATGATGAAATTTCTCACTCATATAAAGTTGATCATCAGGTTACTTCCAAAGTCACACGAGAGTACTGAAGTCGACGCGGCCCGATAGGATTGACAAAAGATCCCCAACCAGACACCCATTCCCAACACAGAGCAGACAAAACGTCGAGTACTCTATTCTAATACCCTGTTCCAACATACGCTATAGCCTGGGCAAACTTGACGGACCAGCCCTATGTGTCGATTCCCGATGGTGACTGAATTTATGTTGAAATGCTGCATATTGTCCGGGCCCTTAATGATCCAAGGGATATCGGTCGGGTCCGGCTCGAAGACCTCGAGTAATTCAACATGTTCAACAATGCAATCATGAGTAGGTCTAACAAAATGCAGTCACTCACCGCTATGGGCGGCCTTTGGTCCATCATAGTAGCCTGAGACTGCGTAAACATTCCCAGTCGCGACATCGTCTAGGTTAATGGAGATGGTGGTGACGATTGGAAGCCCGCTGGTAGTTGTTGGAGGAGCCGCGCTCGTAGTCGGCAACGCCGTCTCGCCACTCGTTATAGGAGCCCTCGTAGTCGGTATTGTCGTCTCTTGTCGCCCAACGACTCTTTGTCCCTCCCCTTCGTCTCTTCGGCCCGGCAGCTGCGGACTAATGTCTCGCTTCAACTCATCTCCCGAATCCCATCGGTAGGATGGCGAGGGTCCTTGCTGTGGTCTCCGAAGCCAGTCTAATAAAGCTTTTAGGTGTGTTAAGGATCCTGAGCTCGGAAGTGGCACCATGGAGCAGATGGCGTTCAGACTACCATAGTCATCTAAGTAACCAGGGATGAAAACTTTTCTCAGTTGACGAATTACAATATAAACGCACTATACCGGCTTTCTTGAGACGTTCTCAAAGCCGTCACAGCACAATGGCTCGATTTGCCTGGAACAATAGAATTGAGGAGTACCTATTGAAAATATTGGAGGGCAGCGCATATGCACAGGCCTTGGAGCAATTTAGACCTAGGAAGACTGGCAGAGGGTTGATAACATAACAGAAGCCCACGCCCACCTTTTCAAGTTTTGAAGGACAGAGCAGGCGCCGACTTGAATGCCTTTTCTGAAGCCTACTCGGGAGTAGCCATAACTTTGAAGTCCTTCCAGGTATCCTTAGACATGCCGTTGAAGTTGTCCAGAAACGCTGCATGCTTCACACTCTCCCAGACGCCCTGGACCTTCTCCTGAACGGCAGGGCTGAGGGAGCCCTTCCGGATCCCCGCCACAGTGGCCCTCAGCTGCGCCAGGCTCGACGCCCCAATGATCACCGCGTCGCCCTTGCTTCCGTCGAGGATCGAGTTGTGGACCACCCAGCGGAACGCCAGCTCCGCCCCCGAGATGCCCTCCGACGCCGCGATCTCTTGCCACGTGTCCAGCGCACCCAGGATGGCCGGCCGGCTGCTGTACAGGTCCTGGTACACTTTGCCAATGAAAGTTTCCGGATCCCATCGGCCTTTGCCTTCCTTGATCTGTGCCGTGGTCTTGGCTAGGAAGCCACCAGCGATGGGGCTGTAGGCGTAGAAAGCAACTAGAACGGACGCGGTCAATCATTTGCGCTTCATGCAAGACATTCCTTATATGTAGAAATCCAGGAAAAGCTGTTTGACTATGATATGCGATTTCATGGGACAGCCAGTGTTATTTGCCTCGAGTGTGGCAGAAGGGTGCTTTGTATTGTGGTACGACATCCATTGAAATTTGCTTACTGTTGTTTTCGCGCAGGATGGGGAAGAGCTCGGTCTCGGCGAGACGGCCTACGGGATTGTAGTTGCCCTGATATACCGTTGGGGGCACAAACCCCCTTTCTCGGCAGATGCGAAGGACTTCCTTCGTCTGCTCCGCGGTGAAGTTCGAGAGGCCGAACCTCCGGAAGGCCCCGGACTTATGCAGGGAATCGATGCCTTCCAACGTCCCCTCGAAAGAGAGACGGGTATCTGGACTATGCAAATAGTATACATCGACCTTTGGATTTTCGTTAGCGTCTTCAGAAGGTTTGCTCCATGACGAGTTCCACACGTAGTGGGTCTTCGGAGTCAGGTGGGGAACAAACCTGCGACGTGGCGAGCTTCTTCAGACTCTCCTTCCCGGCGGCGACCACCACGTCTTTCGTCGAGGGCTCAGGATTCATGGCTCCTGGATTTTTCGTGTCGATCGTGAAGCGGCTGGCTGCCTTTGTCTCACCAAGAAACTTCTCAGAGTCTCCGTAAACTGCGGCTGTGTCTATGACCTTGATACCAAACTCTTCAAGGAGGTCCAGGTATTCCCGGACCTCATCCACAGAGGGGACATACGGGGCAGTGAAGATACCACCTCCAAAGACAAGTTTAGCAGCCGTCATGATTGGATTGCTTCCGCAAGGCACTGCTGTTGAATTGGTGAAAAAAAGTGCTGCTCAAACCAGAGGAATGAACTCTTGAGGTCAAGTATAAGCTTATCCATTGGAAAATGCTGACACCAAACCTTACTTATACCCGGGCATCTACCTTTCTCGTTTGAGTCTTGAAGGAGTGTAGTACATAGCCTCTACTGTGGGGTGTTTCATTGCAGTAGCCTGCGTTCTCTTCTTACCAATCCCTCCGTCGATGACAAATGCCCCGCTATGGCTATGGTTGGCCCGAAACGATGGCTTCCCGCAACTAGTTCCCTCTGACGAAGGCTTCAAAGTTACCGAAGGCGGGTCGGAAGCGGTGGAAGCGGATTAGAAGCCGCTCAAGTGCTCTAGCTAAGAATCCTGCAAGATGTTGATTTGACAGCAGTCAAAAGTCTCCGATGCTAAGGATCTCACCATGCACGTGAAGTGTTGCAATGAAACCTAGACTCGGTGTGAAGTGCTTACGACTTCACAAAATACAACCATGATCCACGACTCCTCCAATTACTGAGGGGTTGGCCCAGAGACGAGGGAAATTACCTAGTTGAACTGTCACTACTGTGGCTCGGACTTGAATTCCTATAGTCAATATGGGCTGCACAAACGTATCTAAGACTGCATCGAAAGATATTTAGGAAGCTATTTCAATGCTGGCTTACCCTTAAAATCTTCAAATTTTAACGCTCTGAGTGCAATACACGCGGTTTATTTGTAAGCGATAGTCGTGAAGGATCACCTCCGACATGTATATTAGCCACATTCGTCATACCACATATTCGGACGCACATTGAAGATCACTGCGAAATTTTCTGTGCAATGGAAAGAATGAGAACCACACTGCTAGTTGCTTGGGCACTTGCATAAAGTATTGTGCGTAATTACGACTCTATAGCCGGTCTAATCCTAGCACAGACCCGGAAATAATGCTTGTCGCCGTATCAAATATCATAAATGTTGCTGTCACTGTGATTGGTTAGCATGCAAATGTTCGAGGGAGCGTAGCTAGTATGTCATCCGAGAAAGCACCGCCGGCGCAGGAACAAAGGGAAGTACGGAAGGGAGGGATAGAACGCCACCACTTACAATTTCTCTCCAAACTTCTCCCTGCCTTCAGCGTCCTTGTTCACAAAGACGCTGATACTGCACTGGCCGCAGACGAACTCTCCAAATCCGTCCTGCCCAATCTCGACCTCCCGGTCGCTCCACCCAAGCACGTCAGTCCACTTCTCCCCGGCGTGCATCTCGCCAACATGCATACGCTTGGAGCCGGCGCCGGCATTGGACAGGACGACGGCACACCCGAAGCGTCGGTCCCAGGTGCCGTAGCGCACGAAGCCGAGGCACGTCGCGTAGTCGAAGTAATCGGCCTGCTTGCCGTAGGCGTAGAGCTTGCGCGCGAGTATCAGCTTGGGCAGGCTGCCGCCGCACGAGGGCGGGAAGGACTGCTTCTCGCCCTTGGGGTCGACGCCGTACAGATCCCCGTACCAGACGCAGGGGTAGCCCGTGTCGCGGAGGAGGATGAGCGAGTAGGCGAGGGGCTTGAACCAGTCGGCAATGGGCGCCTCGAGGGCTTGGTAGGGCTGGGTGTCGTGGTTCATCACTAGTGTCTGCAGCAGGGTCGCATGCGATTAGCTTCCGCGAACAGGTCGGTATGAGTGAGGGACCTGAAGACTTACCACGGCACAGATAGGTGCAGCCTGTACAAGTGTGTCATCGAAAACCTTGCGCATGTCTGCGCCATCGCCCTGGCTAATCTCGCTGAAGTTGTAGACCAGTGGGGCATCAAAAAGAGCAAATTTCCTCCCCATACGGTCAAGGTACGCCTCCATGTCCTGAAGACTGTCCTTCCAGAACTCGCCGACGACGAACCAACCAGAGCCGTAAGTTTCATCCATGTTGGTGATGAACTTGCGCAAAAAGTCCTCGCTGTAGTGCTTGATGGCATCGAAGCGGAAGCCCTTGAGTGGGAGCTGGCTTGCAATCCACTTGCCCCAGTTGAGGACATCTTCCTGGACTTCTGGATGATCATAATCCAAATCTGACCCCATAAGAAAATCACTGTCTCAGATGGTTAGATCGAGCTAGAAGCATGCTGAATGGGGCCAATTTCACTCACTAGTTGCCCTTCTCACCGTCGACATCTCCGTCGTCAGCCCAGCCCTTGACCTTGTCACCCATGATCTTGTAGATCGCATTCTTGTTGTTCTTCGCGTTAAAATCGACACCGCTAAAATGATACCAGTGATATCTCATTTTGCTGTACTGTCCGCGTCTCCCAGGAAACGTGTAACCAACCCATGCCTCAATTTGATAGGTATCACTGACGTCCTTGTTGCGGTCTTCCTGATCAACTTCCTTGGCGTCGCACTTCTCCCTGCGGTCAGCAGCAAACTTATGATTCAACACTGCATCCCAGTAGATCCCAACGCCGTTGTCCTTGGCTGTGTTTGCCATTCTGACCAGCTCTTCCTTGGAGCCCCATTTGGTGGGAACGGTGCCCTTCTGGTCGAACTCTCCCAGATCGTACAGGTCATAGATATCATATCCATTACCATCTTTGGAGGAGCCCTTGCATCCGGGAGGGACCCAGATGTTGTCGATGCCCCATTGCTTGAGCTGTGGTATGTGCTTCTCGAGGCGGACCCAGTGCTTCTGGTCAGCAGGGACATACCACTCGAAGCCCTGCATCATGGTCATGTTCTCCGGGGTTGGTTGCTGTTCGTCTCCCATATTGGCGGCTTGCAATTGCTCTTCAAACAATCTGTGATTCTACAAAGTTGGAAAGCTGGAGAACTTGCGAGGACTGAGCGATTGAGTGAGTGATATTAGAACCGAGCTGCTACATAAAACAGGCTCACCGCCAGCGAAACTTGTAACAAAAGGTTTTTGGCCGCCATCAGCTTCCCGCCCACTAGCAATGCGCTTATCGTAGTAGAGGTGACATCCGGCCCTGATGGTGCCCTCCATCGCCTGGAATTAATCCAGAACAGGCTTACGTGGACAAGGTTCCTGGCGCTACAGGTAGCCAGACCTTCGGAGCTTCCAGGTTTCCCACGGGACCATCCCGGCAAACCTGAAATTCTGTCGCTGGGGGACACGAGCTGAGTGGCAGCGTGCAGACATAACTGGCGAGGACAGTGCTGTTGATCAAACGGTAGTGCTGGTTCCCGTCAACGGAAGCTTGGAACAGCTGGGATGGGATGATGCACTGCATGAGGTGACGTCGAGTGGCATTGATGATAAGACTGTTTCTTGGTGTCAGCAGCCATTGACGAATTCGTAGGTGGGGGGCTTGGAGATGGTCAATTGCGCTGGACTTGTCAACCTGTCATGTATATGACACCTGTGGCTTTTTGACATGAAAGCAAGCTGTCTGCTGCTGCCCAGAGGTTGAAAGAGTGCCAGATCCCTTCTCTATTTCCAGGAGAGAGAGAGAGAGAGCACAGGCCATTTCAAGAGAGGAGCCAGTGACGTCATGCCTGCAGGCTCTACCGCTTGGTGGTGAAAAGAAGCAGCTTCATCGAGACAACGCGATACAAGAGGAAAAGAGACAACTCGCAGCAAGCATACTGAGTTTCTTGGATATGTATGATATCTTATTTCTCTTCAACGGACACGATAAAGGATGCTCATGCCATTGTTCATCAATGGGAGGAGACGGAGAGCAGCCGCTGGCTCCCCGCCTCCCATCCGTTTTTCGGTGGGGAAGCTCCAGCACGCTCCAGGCCCAACCACCCATGTCGCGTTCCCAAACAGGCAATTCCCAGCCACTGCCCAGGCCGTCTCCAGGCAACGGAAGGCGCATGTCAACACGAAGACGCGGTTGCCCAAACGGCGAAAGCCACCGGACCACTGACAGCTGTCCACGCATGCAGAGACAGCCCCGACCTGCGAGGGAAAGACCAGCCTCTCCTTGCTCGATTGATTCGCTTAACGGCCGTCGAAAACTCTCGTCTCCATTTGCCTGCGTATGATCCGCGTTGCTCCAGCCGTTGCATTGCATTGCGTCGCCTGCTTTCACCGACTGAGGCTGATACGTATCTCTCGCGTACGGTATTTACTTTCTCAATATCGTATTATTAGCCCGAGACCTTCTTCTCTTTTCTCCTGCCCTCTCCAATGCCCAGAGAACCTCCCGCCCTTGACTTCGAAATACACGTCGACCAAGACTGTTTGAGTCCAGCAATGGAGGAAGAGAACCATATCAGTCAGCCCGCCGACTCGGTGGAGAAGGCGGCCGATCAATGCGAGGCCCAAAACATTCCAGACAAGGAGGATGCGGATACTACGGCTGTACCCGAGACCGCGGAAAAGGACGACATTCCAGCCGTGGACCCAGAGAACTCTACCAACACCACCACCGACGCCACGACAGAATCAGACAGCACGAAGGACACACTCGGCCAAGACGAGCCGCAACCAAATGCTGAGGATTCCCTCGAGGACGACTCGCACATCAGTCTCCGGGGAGAGCCAGAATTTGACTCCCATGAAGAGCCACCAGCTGTAGAGGAACCAACACATGAAGCTCGTTCCGAAGCCGACCACGACAAAGATGAAGCATCACCAGATGCCATCGCCGAAGAACAACAAAGTCATGACACAGAAGAGCCTACACTCGATTCTGAGCTAGACGAAAGCCACGAAGAATCACAACTCGAAAACCCAAGCGATGATGCAGAGACACAGGATGGTACTGAACTCTCTTCGAGAAGAGGGTCGGACGCATCCAACTTGGAGAGACGTCACTCAGTAAGGACGGAGGCATTGATCCAGGCTGCTGCTCGAGCCGTAGTGTCAATGAGGGATCAAAATGAGCACGACGCCACACAAGAAGAGGAAGATAGTGCCGACGAGTCCGAACTGAGCTCTACAACACATGAGACCGAAGACCCGGACGAAACCATTCACGGTGATGTGGACCAGGATGGCCCAAGCCGCCCCGAATCTTCCGCCTCCCGATCTGTCCACTCCTCAGAAGGCGATGGCGCCGATAATAGCACAGAGGACGATGTGTTTAGTGATCGCAGCCCTCGCACATCCATCCATTCCTCAGACGAGCACTTCGATGGGGATTCGGTTGAGGCCATGACTGAAAAGGGTGATCAATCACCTTATGTGCGATCCCGTGTCGCCTCTGGAGTGTCCACGTCTGGCGCATCGGTGATCTCTGAACAGTCTCGACTTTCACGTTATGAGAAGGAGGATTTCATTCCCACCTCCCGTTCCAACAGGCCCGCATTTCGAAGCCCGTCTTCTGTCAGAGCCATGCAAATGTCATCCCCAACACCGTCTAATTACTCATCACCTACTCGTTCCAAGAGGCAGCATGTTCTGCCCACAATCTCACGGCTTGGAAGCCCGTCAGTGTCGGGTCAATACCCGCCCAGAGGCCGATCGACGCCAACACGCTTCAAGCGACCGGAGCCAGCACCGCTGGTCCTGCTTCATGTTACACTTCTCCCACTCCGTTGGGCTTATGGAGAAGTGGTGAATTATTTCGAGGGCAAGAAAGTTCCACCAGTCTCATTCTCGAGTGAAGGAATCAAAAACCTGCGTGCGGCGTGGCGTCAGCTGCAAGACCGCCTTGGCGACACTGAAATGGAACGAGGAATCCTCCTCCCTCACCCCCAGAATGACTATGAGGTTCTTGAGGAGCGTCTTTTAGAAGCCCTGGAATTGCCTTTGCGACGCCGAGCCCGGATTTTGGAGTGTGGCCACTACCTCGGGCCTTCGAATGAAATGACACCCAGTTCCGACATCGAGGATGATTCTGAGGACACCAGCGATGTTGACGATTCCGAAGCTAGCGGCAGGAGAGAGAAGAGACATTGGTGCAAGACCTGCCGAGGGGACATCAAGTATGAAGAGCTTGGGTCGGAAAGGGTTTTCCGCATCAAGGTGTATGCTAGCAACGGGCTTATGAGTCCTGGAGCTTGGGAAGCCTGCTGGAAAGAGATGGAGCGCGTTGATATCGAAGTAGAGCCTATTACTGGCTCGCCTATTCAACATGAGCTGTCCAAGCTAGGTGCCACGTTTGACCAGGAGCACCAACAGCGGCTGGATCAAGAGTCTGAAGATCAAGAGCGTTTGCGATTCGAAGAAGAGCAGCGCCTCCAGATGGAGGAAGAGCGACGCCAACAATTGGAAATAGAGCGCCAACAGTTGGAAGCTCAGCGTCAGGAATTCGAGGAGGAGCGACGCCGTTCTCTCGAGGAATCGCAAAAGAAATTGGAAGAGGAACGCCGACTGGCCGAGAAAGAGCAGCGTGAGCGCATCGAGGAAGAGCGTCGCCAGCAGTTCGAGGAGGAACGTCAGCTGTTAGACGCTCAACGACGAGAATTCGAGGAGCAACGTCAAGAGCTTGACAACCAACGAAAGATGATCGAACAAGAGCAGCGGCAACACCTCGAGGAGGCTCGACGCCAAGAACTTGAGGAGGAGCATCGCTTGCTCGATGAACAGCGCCAGCAACTTGAGGAAGCACGCCAACAATTTGAGGTCGAACGTCGCCAGCGTCTTGAAGAGGAAGAGCTCAGGCGGCTGCAGAGAGAGGAAGATGAGCAGAAGCAGATGTCGTCTGCACGCTCCATATCTCGTTCATCCTTTGTGGAGGACGATCTTGCTTCACCAGCTCTTGAGACCGCCAGCTCCACAGATGTTGACGGCCGTCGGCGTGACTCTGAGCGGCTTCGAGAAATATATGGCAATCATAGTCGAACTTTGTCCGAGACCACGGCCACAAACTCATCACCAGCGATCCACATTCACGTCGACTCAGGCCGGCAACGGGAAGAGGAGCAGAACTCTCGTCAGCTCGCCACCATTCCTGCTCCACGCGACACTGAGGTGCAGCCCAGCCGAGTGCATGCCGATCCTCCACACTCTGAGGCTTTTATTTCTACACCAACACCGGCCTCCCCGTCCGAGCAAGCTTACCAGAGACGAGAGGGTCGCCGGAGGTCCCTGGACTCTGCCTCGCTGGCAGAGCTAGTGGGCGAATCGATTAGGATTCTTCTGCAGGACCCCAAGAACGTTGCAATTGGTGTCCTTGTCGTCCTGATTGCAATGCTAGCTGGACAATTTGCAAAGCGCGATGATCACGGTGTCGAGCTTTACAAGCCACAGCAACATCACCACCAGTACCAGCACCATCAGCTCGACAACCGGGAGCCTGTGGGACAGGTGATCATGAATACGCCAGCCGTGCAGCGCATCGAGACCATGCCTCCACCACCAGTTGCGGAGACGGTCTACAAGACTGTAACCGAATCGCCAAGCTCATCACCATCGCCGCTGGTGGAGACAATATACAAGACTGTCATTGAATCTTCTCACACACCATCATCTTCCCAGCACACCGAGACCGTCTATCAAACGGTCATTCAGCCTCCTGTCCAGGAGAAGTCGACTCCTATTGTTGAGACGATCTATACCACAGTGATAGAATCTTTAGCCCAGCCCCACGCTCAATCAGCAAACGCAGCGCTTGAGAACGCCCGTGAGTCAACACCTAGCCGTGCCGACCCCAGTATTGATTTGAACCCCTTGTCCTCCATTTCGGGTGGCGAATCCGGTATCTCTGCCTCTCCGCCTACCCCCGTGTCTGAATTTGGATTTGTTGCTTCTTCCCCTCTTTCGACCGCCGAACGCGACCTTGCACCGGAATCTTACTCTAACGAGGATACTCTCAAGGCCAACATTAGTGAGGAGGCTCTGGTTGATACAGAGATCGAGCAAATCATCGCAACAATATTCAACCCTACTTGCTACTTGAACAAGGAAACGCCCAACTCGGATCCACGACCACTGGACAGCCTTGACCCTGAAATTCCTACTACACAACCTGCATACCCTGAGCACGAAGAAGACTCAATCACCATTGAAAATGAATACGACGAAGTGGATAATGGGCCAGTCGTGGAAATGCCGTCGCTGTATTCACGGTCTACTCCCTCATCAAGCACAGCAGGCGCTGCCACCGACCAACAAACAACAGTGAGAGTTGCCGAGACCATCACGGAGACTGTCATCGTCACAGCCACGAGAACTAGCTTTCAGCAAGCATTGAGCGCCACTGTGAATGCCGGAGTAGTCGAGGCTTGAAGGATGCCTTTGGTCGCCTAAGAAGTTATTGTTGATGGGGCTTCGTGAGTGCATGTTGTGTATTGTGAAGCATTCGTCAAGACAGCAACAGCGAGTTTGAGAATTGAGGATCGTGGCCCCGGAGTATGATGATGGATTCGATGTCTGGAACAAACCTGCAAACAATTTGCAACACAACGGAGAGTTGTCTGGACGCCTGTCTGAACTCGGGAGTCACCTGGGTAGGAGTTGATCGCAGCCACGACTCATAAGTGTCATGAGAGAGATGCGATCTGGGACCCAGAGTGCTTGTATGCATAGGGGCGTTCTTGTATTTTGAGCTTTGTCTTATGGTCTATTTCTCTGTTGGTCTTCTTTCCAGCCTGCCCCTTGAACAATGTACATAGCATTCAGACAGCGAGCGAGCGAGCACATCTGGACTTGAATGAAGCATTTGAACCGAGGGCCTGGAAGCGCGCACATACACACGCATACATACCCACTTGAGTAGATAGATAAACTTGATTATATTTTGGTAATGGAAATTAACTTGGTCCTCGAGAGCCTACTTGTGTATGATCTGCCTTCGAGAAGGTCAATCGTTGTACACGTTCCTATCGCGCTGGCTCTTTACAAGCCAGACTTCAGATCCCTCCGGATATACACTTACAGAAATCTGACTGGGTTGATACCAGCCACGGCCCTTACAGCCAAGTACGTCAACATGGATTTGGGCTGGAAGATCGCATCAATCCAATTAAGGTACATAGGTACCCTGTACTCCACCTGTTCATCCGACTGTCCCCCCGGAAAGCTAAGCATCAGTATATTCAATCCAGCAAGCAGAGGACCAAAATGACCTGCCAGGCCTGCCTGTGATGAATTTGCTTCGTGACAGCCGCAGGCATAGCCACATTTTTGTCGATGTTTGGTAAGAAGTGGGTATCGCTGACGTCGGGGGATCAACATGGCTGCACGGGCCAAGATCCCATCCACCCACGTCACAATGATTTCCGCACGCATCTCGCCATGGGCTGGTGAAACTTGTGAAGCCCGTCATGATGGAATTCGAGTGCCGTAGGCCGAGTTATGACGCATTTTGGGGGCATGGGAGGGCGACCTCAGCCATGGTTATAAACTGCCTTCAGCGGCGGCTCTCAGCTAAGATCTTGCTGTCTTTTGGAAATACCTTCCTACTACGCTGACTATTAACAAGAGACTACGCTTGAACACATTAGAAAATTCGTTTCAAGATTATTGATAATGTCTCTGAGTGCTGAAGAAGTGAGGAAGGCGGAGGGGGTTCCTGGCGCATTCCCGTCCGAGGATACCATCACCAAGTCTGAACTCAATAATGCCAGCAGCACGACGCCCGCCATGACTGGTTCCTCCCGTCAAAACATCGCGCACACATCTGCTGGGGCTGGCAACACATCCGCGTACACTGCAAGCCCGGCCGACTCAGACCCGGATCACCTCCTCCGGCGCGCCGGTGCAGAGGGCGTGCCAGTATCAGGGGCAACGTCGTCTGCCACACAGGGACTGGGCTCAGGAGCCTCTACGTCCTCGGTAGCCAACCCGCTAAGTGGCCCGACCACTGCTGCTGACGATGGTTTCGGGGCGGAAAACGCACCGAACATCACTGAGGACCTCAAGGCTCTTGGGTCCGGGGCGGCCACTGCGGCGACGGCGGTAGGGATTGCGGCTAGGGATGCCGCGCTGGCCGTCAAGGACGCCGCGGCACCTGTTGTGAGCTCTGCTTCTGAGCAGGTAGGCGAATCTTGGAAAGATTCTCTTAGATGGTATTGAGTGCTGACGGGTGCTTTGATAACTTTCAGGCCATGCAAGCTGCTGGATACGCTGCTGAGAACGCTGGGCCGGTGGCGAGCACGGCATCCGAGCAGGTGAGACGACTCCGATAGACCACATCACAGAAAAGTCTCATCGTTTGGCTGACCGTCTTCCAATTCATAGGCCAGGGACGCAGCTATCTATACCAGAGACTCTGCCGTGCCCGCGGCGAATGCTGCCTCCGAGACAGTGAGTCTCATCTGACTACACTCTCATCTTGCTGAATGACTGACAAGCAATCCTCAGGCTGGAAATGCGGCTGGCTACACTAAGGACACAGCCATCTCCGCGGCCAACACCATCCAAGCAAATGTAAGAGCCAATGCTACCTCCCCGAGTGGCTGGAATCAGTATTAATCATCTCCCCACCACAACAGGCCCCAGCCGTCCTAGGCGGCGGGACAATAACCAACACAGCCAGCGCGCGAGACATCGTCCCCGAGGTCCCAGGCCAGGTGAAGAGCTCCATCGCCGAGGCAGGCGAGGCGCCCGAGGCAGCAGCGAGCAGGCGGGCGGTGCACGGCAAGGGGCAGGTCGAGAGCGAGCTGCTGGGGTACGCGGCGGAGGCCGAGGCGGACGAGGCGAGGCGCGTGGCGCCCGCGCAGAAGCTGCCGCCGACGGGCCTGCCGCCCTCCGGGCTGGACTCGGGCCCGCAGACGCCCAGCACGGGCGTCGCCGTCGTGATGGGGACCAACACCGAGCGGGCGTTCCCGCTCGGGTCGCACCCCACGCACGAGTCCTCTTCTTCCTCTGTTGGGCCCGAGGTTACGAGCGGCCTGTCGACTAGCGGGGTGCCGCAGACGAGCACCGGGACGGGCCGCGGCGTCGATACGGGCGACGCGGAGCTGATGAGGCATGCTGAGGACAAGGGCACCGGGGCAGCGTCAACGCATGACAGGAAGCCTACGGCGCGGCACATGCCGCCTCTGGAGGACAAGGTGCCAGTGCGGTCGAGTGAGGAGGTGGCTGTTGGGACAGGGCCGAGTGCCTACAAGACTCTGAGCTCGGGGACGCCGAGTGGTGTTGGGCAGTGAGGCATGACTGGATGACCTTGTGATGTTGATAACCAGATCTAGATTGACGGTCAACGTGTCTTATTGCGAGGCTAGCCAAGGGAAATAAATTGATATTTTCTTTATTCTCTTGTTCCAGGAACGCCGAGTACACCGGGACTGCAGTAGACTGGTAGAATTTGCTCATGCCCTTTTAAATTCGCCAAATATAACAGAAAGATATGTCCGCCCCCACATCGTTTTCCTCTCCTCTCCCACTGTCGCCATCTATGCGGCCTTGCCGTTCTCCTCGGCCTTGTTCTCCGCATTGAGTGGCGGCAGTAGACTCCGCGCCAAATTCCTCGACTGCTGTGCCAGTACCGTATCCATCACCACCAAGGCGGCCATGGCCTCCACGATAGGCACGGCGCGCGGCACAACACATGGGTCGTGGCGGCCCTTGGCGGCCAGGACGCCCTCGCCGGTGCCGTCGTAGGTAGCGGTGGTCTGCTCCTGGCCGATGGTGGCAGGGGGCTTGAAGCCGACGCGGAAGTAGATGGGCGCGCCGTTGGTGATGCCGCCCTGGATGCCACCGCTGTAGTTTGTCTTGGTGGTCAGCTTGGGGCGGGGCAGGCCGGCCCTGTCGGCGCCGGTCTCGAGGCGCTGGGCGGTCTCGGCGGGGATGAAGGGGTCGTTGTGGATGGAGCCGGGCACCTCGCAGCCGCCGAAGCCGGAGCCGATCTCGAAGCCCTTGGTGGCGGGGATGGACAGCATGGCGTGGGCCAGCAGGGCCTCCATCTTGTCGAAGCAGGGCTCGCCCAGCCCCGAGGGCACGTTCTTGATGACGCAGGTCACGGTGCCGCCGATGCTGTCGTTGCGGTCGCGGAACTCGGCGATGTAGTCCTCCATGCGGCGCGAGACGGCCTCGTCGGGGCAGCGCACGGGCAGGAACTCGTCGACGGTCTTGCGGTCGATGTCGCTCAGCAGGCGCAGGTAGTCGGGGTTGGTGCTGGGGCTGGGGTGCTCGGCGGAGGGGGGGAAGAGGTGGACGGCGCCGACGCTGGTGACGAAGGCGACGATCTCGACGCCGTAGGCCAGGCGCAGGTACTTCTCGGCGATGGAGCCGGCGGCGACGCGGCCGATGGTCTCGCGGGCGCTGCTCCTGCCGCCGCCGGACGAGGCCTTGACGCCGTACTTCTCGAGGTATGTCCAGTCGGCGTGCGAGGGCCGCGGGTACTTGTCGATGGTGGCGTTGCCGTAGTCCTTGGGGCGCTGGTCCTCGTTGAGCACGCGCAGGCCGATCGGGGTGCCGAGGGTGATGCCGAACTCGGTGCCCGACTGGATCTCGACGCGGTCCTTCTCGTTTCGCGGCGTGGTGATGGCCGACTGGCCGGGGCGGCGGCGTGTCATCTGCGGCTGGATGTCGGCTTCGGTCAGGGCCATGCCGGGCGGGCAGCCGTCGACGATGCAGCCGACGGAGCGGCAGTGGGATTCACCATAGCTGGAGGCAAGGAGGCAGGGTCAGTCTGGGAGAGTGAACAGGATACGCTGGGGAGAGTGTGTGGCCATGACGGGGGACGTACGTGGTGACCCTGAAGTGTTCGCCAAAGGTCGACATGGTGAGAAGCGTTGTCCGTCGTCCGTCGTCCAGCGTCCAGCGTCCAGCAGCCGTCTGGTGGATCTCGAGGTATAAAGGAGTAGTCCTGTGAAGTCTGGGCCTTCGAGACCAGAATTGAGGAGAATTGGGTCGTGCTGGCCAGTGGACAAGGCAAGGTAGTCTATAAAGTTTCGCGCCTTGAAGCAGCTCGACTCACCCTTCGTCGACGCATCGATGACTCGTCCCTCGACCAGGGAAAATTTCCCAGCACCAACCAGCCCGCACGCCGACAGCTCCAATGCCCCGCTACCCGCTATCGGCGCTCAACCACCAGCCAGGCGCCCGATCAGCCCACGCCATCGCAGGGGGACAGGGATCAGACCCACGCCATGGACTTGGGACCTGCAGCTGCAGCTTGAAGCTCACTCCCCCAATCCAATTAACATTGACAGGGGGCCTGCCTCAGTCCCACGAACATCTCTCCCTGCTCGACACCACCTCTCAAGCATCACAGGCCAACCAACGACTCACGATACTTTTCTGTCCTTTGCACCAACGAACTCTTTCCTGTTGCATCAACACAATTCGATGCTTTGCTTCTATTCAACGCTATGACTTTCTTACGCTTCCTCCAATGACACCAAGTGCAGACCATCCCTACACTGGTGTCAACTCGTCCGATGCCTCAAGCCGCATCGACAGGCCAGCCACCGCGCTCATCTTGTAATGCGTCACAGCCTCGTCCCCATCACTTCCGTAGAAGTCAGGGTCCTTAAACGCCATGACGACCCCCACAAGTGTCTCCCCATCCGGCACCCGCAAGCTGCTCTTCCGGTACCCCAGGCCTTTCTTTATGCTCCCCCAGTGCTGATAGCCCGCTTCACCCCCGTAGAAAGTCCGACCTCGGTTGGTATGGATCTTCGAAATGGATGTTAGCCAAAGGCGTCGTCCAGCTGTTGACGAAAATAAGGTTAGAAATTGAATACGCCATGGGGCTTACCTTGATTGCCCTTGGATGGATGGACAGGGAAAACTCCACCTCTGTCACCACCTCGCCCCCAGGTCCATCGATATCGAAGTGCTCATAACGGTCGGCATACTTCAACCCTGCTCTGGGCACAGCGCCTTCCAATCCGATCGTCCGGCGTGCCAAGCCTGACGCCGGCTCGTACTCAGCACTTATCCCACATAGGTGGTGGATGTCACGCGGCAATGGGGCACCACCCTCGCTACGGTCCATCGCCTTGCCGCCAAACACGATGCAGGCGGAAAGCCGCCTCAGCGCCCGAAGCTCACCCACGTCCTTTGCCCAGATCAGTGCGCCATGCATTATCAAGTCGCGGTGCAGGTAACCCTGAGACTTCAGCAAACCACCCCCTACCAGCCGGAGCCCGGGGTGTTCCCGGATGCTTTGGCCTAGTATGTGCGAATACTCTTCCTCCCATAAGAATTCTTGGAGGAGCCTGAAAGGGAGCCGAGTGCGGTACGGCATCACCGAGAAGTCCGCAACGTCAGGTTGCTGAGCTTGTACGAGGCCGAGCTGTGTCAACTGCAGCTTGCCCATGACGTCTCCAGTCGTGCCTGTTATGCCTGTGATAACCCACTCAGGGGCGGCTGAGAGGAAGCGCTGCATGTGACTTTGTGTCGTCTCGCCCATCTCTAGCCTTTTACCGGAGTTCAGGATCATCTACTTTGTAGTATCAGCAACGCCGGTTCTCACGTCAAAATTGAGCACTTGAGTGTGCTTTCAGTGGGTATGTTGGCACTAACCGTAAGGCCTTTCGGAGAAGTCATCGCCTGGAGGTCTTTAAGGTGAACGGGGACGGGTATGTGAACAATGATGTCTGTGATCCACTCCTCGACAGCTAGACTCTTAGAGTGCCTCACAGTCCCATCATCCGAGCCAGCTCTCCCGAGCAGCCGTCTCTCTTCACCATCAGGCGTCAGTGAGAGGCCCACAAGTGAGCCATCGCTGTCCCAGAAGCTCTCCAGCGTCTTCGTGGTGTCCTGGATCTCTGACCAAGTTTTTGCCCAGTAAACCTTGCGAACGGTGTAAGTCTTGATCGCCTCCGGCGCCGAGACGGTCACGAGGGGCCCACACTTGGAGTACTTCCGGATCAATTTCTCGGCATCGCTCATGGTCGGGTTAAGGTCGTCTTCCTTGCGCGGCCAGTAGATCCTTCCAAACTGCTCGCACAGCGACCAGATGCGCCGACGGTTGGCTACACCCATAAGCGGTCCGGTTAGCCACCTCTCAGGACGCGTCGTCTTTTCCGCCCATTGCAAGATACGCTGAGCGTCGTTTTCCCGCAGAAGGGCTTCATCCCGTTCAAGCAGCTCCCGAAGCTCGAAGTACCAAGGAAAGAAAGAATCCCTGAGCCGCTGCCGCCAGAACTGGTTGTTGTTCCGCAAAAGCGCGTGAACCGGCCATGACGCCTTTGCCAAGTTGATAAGATCCTCGTCCGAGATAAAGCCGGAGATCCTGTACAGTACATCGTATGGTATCTTGGCAAATTGGTCATGCTGGACGCGGTTCCCGAGGTCAGTCCGCACCAACACCGGCTTGAAGGCGTCCGTCCCGAACATGGACAGGACGACCTCACTCGCGCCGGGCACGTTCAGTGGGTGGCTCACGACGAACTCAAAACCCGGCACTGCGTTCCAGGACTGATCCAGCATTTTGTTTACGACGCCATAATCGAATTTACTTAACGCGTACCCGGCGCTGGGCGACAGCTCCCGCATGATGCTGAACAACAAGTCTTTGTCCAGCTTACCGTCGCCAAAGGAACCCGTGAGGCATTTGGCCAGCATCTCGTAGCAGCACCAGTGGAACGGGAAAATGGGCTCCCCGGGGCGGTCCCAGTTATCGTAGCAACATAGCTCTGCAAGATCGAGCCCGACGACGTTTGGATCGTCGCCGTCTTCGACGTTGACGAATCCAACGTCGTCATAAGTGCCCGGCCCGCTGACAAAGGACCTGTAGTTGCCGAAAGGGTCAGCTCAACTCAGCACTCACTTGCATGGCGCAGGGCTGTTGTCGCCATCAAGGAGAACTGACTTGCAAGCTTGCTCTGAATCCGGGTTGAACGCAAGGACGTGGAGTGTTTCGGCCCACTTGACGTCTTCCTCGCTAATGACGGTAGGGTCGTAGCTGTTGTCCTCCTCATAGCTATCAAGAGAATTGGCGTCGTCATCGTCGTCGTCGTCGCCGCCCCCGTGCTTGTCTTTATACTCATGTTCCTTGCCCTGCTTGTCCTTTCCGAACTTTTTTGCCATCTTCCTCAGGAACCGAGCTGTCCTTGGCTTTCGGCAGACATTGATCTCTCGGAAAGGCCCACCACATATGGCACAGAAGCAATCGCTGGAGCCCATAGTGGAAAGGAGAGACGACGACGGAGGTCAAATCATCAAAGAGTGAAGGAGGCGAGATGGCAGAGGGGCACTCATCAATTTTATAAAATGAAGACCACGAACCTGTCTCATTTGTCTAGCCGCACCCGGTCAAATGCACCGTTGCTGCCTGCTCCACCGTTCCGGAGCGGAAGCCGATGAGCCGGGCTCGACTGGGGGTAAGCACCCCTCGCCCTAACAGGCAAGTCTGCCAAGCTCAGCTAGGGTGCTCAGTCCCGTGCATGGCTCTCTCATCGAAGTCCATAAACGGGATCCCAAAGTCGAAATCCATGACCTCGCTATCAAGGAGGTTCACGGGGGCCCAGCAGTGCCGCCACTGCATCGTGACCATGGGGTCCGCGAACTCATCACCGTCATCAGCACCAGCGGCAGCGACGGGGCGGCCACCGGGATCCAGGGTCGCCCCAGGGTGCTCGCCGACGCCGCCGCCGCCGCCGCCGCCATTCATGGACAACAGCGTCGCGGCCAGGCGCTCGGAGCTCTTCTCGTGCCGCGCGGCGGACGACTTCTCCATCGCCCGCTGCAGCAGCTTGGCCGACTTGCCCGCCACGACACACTCGTCCGCCATGGTCTCAAGTACCTCGATGGCCATGTGCACCAGCCTCAGGAGCGGCTCGATCTCGGCCTCGGAAGCCTCCTGGTTGATGTAGACCAGGATGATAGACGTCGCGAAGATGGTATATGTTGTGTTGTAGAACCTGTGCGCCGTGAGGTGTTAGTCACAGATGGGGGGCACCACTTCATACGATGCTTGCGAGGGACTGACCATGTGCGGAAGAACTCCTGGTGGTGATATGTCTCGTGGATGATCTCGATGGTCTTCTTTGCCGAGTCCAGACATTTCTGGACGCATTCGTAGGATCCCGGTACTGAGGACCTCTCGGCGGGGGTAGATGTGAGGAGGATGGAGCCAAAGAGTAAGATCCGGAGGTTGAGATAACCTGCGTGTGGAAAGACGTCTCATCAGTCGTGTCCTAAGTGATAGCTCAGGTGAACTTTGAACAGTGCACTTACGCATATTCAACACCAGCTTCTGTCTCTTCATCCACATGGCTTCCTTGTGGCTGCCGATCTTCGATGACCGATCCGACTCCAGCCTGGGACGGATTGGATCCGGTAGGTGCGACAACCAATTATCAAACCGCTGGTCTAGATGCTGCGCCAGTTCCACCGTCCTCGCGGCCGAGTTCTGGGGTAGATAGATATCTATGCAGACCTGTCGGATAAGCCTCGAGAAATGCACCATGTGCTCTATGATGGCACAGTGGGGTGGATCCAAAAGCGTGGAGCCCGGGTCGAAGCCTGGGGTGAATTCGGTCAGGGGGAAAGCACGGTTATGATACTCTTCAGAGCCGAGCCCGCTTGGACGACCCATTGCGAAAGACAGCTCTCTGTGACAAGTCAGCCAATGACCCAACCCCTTCGGAGGATGAGACCCACTCTTCTAGGGAATATATGCCCCTGAACATGTATGTTAGCTCGAGATCGTCAGTCCTCGATGTGCAAGCACTCACCACCAGGTCCTGGCTTCTGCTCTGAGCTGAGCTGGACTTCTTTTGCAGTTCGGGCCTGGCTCGCGGTTTATGCCTACTGCTAGTGCCGTGCGTACAGCCATGCCGATGTAAAAGTAGGACCCTGACATATGTCAGCTTGACATACATGAAACAGGACACATATTTGACTAACAATGGGCATTCAGCTCATTCTGGCAGACCTTTGCCTAAACATATGGGTGCACAGATTAGCATTTGTGCTTGTCCCATCGACGAATTGAAGAGAGATGCTGTCCCGTCCCGACCAAGAGTGAGCGAGGGTTCGTACCATGAAGAAAAACGTCTGCACCATCTCCAAATCAGTAGCGAGCTCAAGCTCTTTGAACCTCGCCCTCGCCTCGTTGAAGAATCGCCTGCTCCACTTCTGGTTGCTGACCCCGCCAACAGGCTCGATATCCCTGTAGCCAACCAGCGCACCGATGGACAAGATACTGAAGTACAGCGGCACGAAGCTCGCGTGCTGCTTCATAGCGGCCTTGTCGCCGGACCAGAGGATCTCACACCGCTCGAGGAAGGACGTCTTGTCAATCATGGGATGGATATAATGCATGGTGGAGAAGAAATTGTGCAGAAACACACTGCACTGGCGGTAATAGGCGGGCTCCATGGCGGAGAGTTGCGCCTCGGACACGGTCAGGACGGTCGTCCCGCCGCCGGCGCCCTTGTCCGACGCGTCCAGCTGCGGCGGGGAGAAAGCCGGGTTGTGCAGATTCGAGAGTAGAGCAGCAGCGACGGCGTCCGACTCGGAGTGCTCAGCCGTGCCGCCGGCCTCGGACGACGCCGGCGACCGGTCGCCGCCCCGCTGGACCTGGGACAGCAGCGCGACCGACGACGAGCTGCCGTAGAACTCGACGTTGCGCGTGTGGCTGTTGATTGCTGTGACCTCCTGTCCGCCCCTCTGGCGGGGCCTGGCGGTCATGGGAGGAGTGGATGAGAAGGCCGTGCTTGTTCCGGGCGAGCCCGCCGGCGCGCCGGCGTTGTTAGCATACTGGTTATGGGCAGAGAAGCCTGATTTGACTGAGGAAGAGCTGTTTGCTGCCTGCGCCTCAAGCTGAGCGGACAACTGCTCCACTTGCTGCTCCAGGCCCCTGACATATCTGAGAGGGAACGGTCAGTACTTCCGACGCGCGTACAGCACTGCTGTTCAATGAGTAAGGCGACGTACTCGGGCGTGTATCGCCTCCTCGACGAGTCCTGTCCTTGGTAGACACATTCCACATTCCGATCTGGGGTTGTGTGTCAGCCTTCCCGCACTGCTGCAGTGCCATGTACGGTGTTGGGCTTACTTCTGCAGTAGGTGCAAGGGTACAGCTCATCGCACTTGTTCTTCTTCAGCCTGCAGAGGTTGCAGGCTCTCGCGGCCCTGGGACGGCGAACCTTGTGGCCCGAGTTTTGAGCGTGAGTCGTCGTCGAGCCGGTGGGCTCCATGGTGCTTCACCCAACGCCGTGGCCATAGGGGTATCAGGGTGGAAAAGTAAAAGTCGTCCAATTAAGCGTCGCTGTGAGACTTGAGAACGACGATTGACGTTGAATTGTCCTGGGCTGAGGCTCAAAAGGGGATGGAACGTGTGGACGGAGCCCGCCAATGCCGCTTCCCCGCAGGAACAGGGGGTCTGCTCCCAGTACCGCGAGCCTGGCAACGCTGTCCAGGGTGTGGAGAAGAGGTCTGGGGAGGGCTCACTTAGCGGCCAATGCCACCTAAGACTCATACATGTACCGCGTCAGTTTCCTCGTAACCTGTAAGATTAAGTAATGCGAATTATTTACACACCGGTGAAGTCGGAGCTTTGTGTGCGTCACACAATCTGACAATATATACCGTATTGTGTGATATAGACATGGAGAATGAGGCAGATGGTATGTATATGAAAATCCTGTAAATCTTCCTAATTCGAGCCGGATTTACTCCAAAAATACAAATATACTCTCTCATACTGAATCTTACGTACGGGACAGCTCCATAAATTACGCTCTTAAGACAGGGCCCCGGTCCCTGTCTGCATCTGGAATGTGCAATGTTGTCCCGCCGCCGTTGGAACTGGGTCAAACAATAACAACATCATCAGCAGGCCTTAGAGTTCCATATCATAGACTTCATTTTAGATTCACTGTCAGTTAAGGGACCTACTGCAAGACCGCAAGGAGATTTTACGACCCTAAATCGGAACGTGCGTTCCCACTTGCGTGCCTGTGTGGGGCCGTCCAATGTCATTGACCTCAGATGCACCGGCGGACCCTTGAAGTAGCTTTCGGATTTGCCGGACAACCTTGACTCCCGTGCAAGAGGGGCCGCGTTGCTCGGCTCCATTCGGTCCAGGGACTCATAAAGGTTGGGCAAACTCACACGGGTCCATGTTGTCATTGCTCAAGATGCCTCATCAAGCAAGTATTATCTATCGACCTCTTATCGGTGTTACATAGCCAGAACCAGGACAGGTACCATCCAAATATCCACATCCAATATGAGTATCCCAATCCAGACAACACCGCCCGACTCCAACGCGGCCTATATCATCGACCAGCTCGAGGGCGAACGCATCAGTATCCCTGGAAGCAAGGGTGTCTTTAGGATTCTCGCCTCATCAAAACAAACCAGCGGAGGAATTGCCGTCTTCACAAGTGGTGCCGTGCTATCAGATGCCCCAGGCTTTCACTGGCACGCGGAGGCCCACGATGTCTTCCTTGTTACCAAGGGATTCCTGAAGCTCTGGAACGGCGACAAGTGCAGGATCATGGGCCCAGGCGACTTCGCGTACATCCCTCCAGTGAGTCGAGACGAAGGCACAAGCATATTCGTGACACAGCTAACACGTGTATGAAAAGAAAATCATCCACAACCCCGAGCTGATAGGCCCACATACCGAGACCCTGGGTCTGATCGCCCCGGGCGACTGGGTGGACTTCTTCAGGTACGTGGGCGAGACGTACAACGGCATCATTGTGCCCGAATCCGACGACCGCGACATCAAGAGCTTGCTCATCCCCAAGGTGATGGCCGCCAAGGACCGCTTCGACGTCAACTTTGTGCGCGACTACGACCCGCCCGCGGTCGGCGAGTGGCTCGACTCCGAGAACATCCTCCCGGATCCTCTGACCCCGTACTTCCTCCGTGCCAACACCGGGCCGAGACAGATCCTCGGGGGCGTCTTGTCCAGGCCGTTCATCTTCGCTTCTCAGTGTAGCGGGAAATTCGCTATTTCTAGCATCGAGTCTTCGAACCAGTATGGCTCGTCTCCGTTCGCGCAGCAATGGCTGACCTTTAAAAATGTGCATCACTGTTTTACTGTCCAAGAGGGCATCCTGAAGGTCAAGCTCAAGGAGGAGAGCTCCGATAAGTGGAACAAGGTCAGGGAAGGACAGACGCTTTTGGTGCCCGCAGGGAAGGCATTCGTTCTTGACTTCGGAAGCCGGTTTGTGAGAGCTATCACATTCACGAATGGACCCGGACTGGAAGAGGTTGTCAAGTTGGCCGGCGCCGATTGCCCAGCCGTTGTCCTGCCAGATACGGCGGCTGCGTATGAGCGTAGTAAACTTCAAGACGTGTTAGGTCAAGTCGGCGTCGTTGTAGAGAATCTTTAGACGATGGGCAGAAATGCTACATTGAACACAAGAAAACAAAATTTACTCACGCAGCGGTCTTGTGAAGTTTGATCTAGGCTTTTTTATGATTGTTGTTGATTGGTTCCTCAGCGTTTGTACAATCTAATTCTGATCTTGATGAAATGGGGACATAATTCCAAAAAAGATCTCACTCTTCTAAGCTCATCCCAGGCGTACGCTGGATTATTTTCCAAAGTGAAAGTCACATGTGTCATCTTGATAATGGCAAACTTAGAGAACGAATCCTGAAAGTAATAAGGGAGTTTCTGGTTCAACATCAGGCAGCCAATAAGGGAGTTGCATGATTAATGTATTTATTAAAATTCAGGTCCTTTATACTAATATTTAAATATAAACATAATATACAATCAATCGAAATCAAGTATAATAACACAAACAAAAGATTACAACCTTACATTTTTTACAATTACGAACAAGAGTAAGATTTGTTCTTAAGGTTTAATTGATTGGGGGCTTGATAAAGTCTCTTGATTGCGGTGATTCGACGTCAACATAATACTTGAGATTACACAATCCTAGCTGAATCCACCCAGACCTCTCTCGTGACTTCGACGTCCCCGGACGACTTTCCACGGGTCTGGTGCACCTGGCTGTTCTCGACGCTCACCACATTTGTAGGGCGATTGATGAGCCGGACCTCGTCCAGCTCGACGTGTTCATATTCCCCACCGCCGCCGCCACCCCTCTTGCCCGAGGTCCACGGGTTTTGACGCACGCCGTTGAACGCGGCGTCCTGTTCGCGGTAGCGGCCCTCTCGGATGCCCGTGCTCGCCTCCACGCTTGGCCTGCGCTTACCGTCCCTGAGGAGCAGCCCAAGCTCAGGGAAGCTCACGCAGAGGATTCCTGTCGCTATCTCGGCTAGCCTGATGAAGCGGGTGCCGTGCGTTAGAAATTATACAACAATTCGTCTTGTGGATATATGTGTGCTTCGTTTCGCCCACATCAGAAGACGGCAGCATCTCATTGCACGAGGACGAATTCGGGACAGAGATGAAGGCCTATCGACTTACGCCCACATTATTATCTGAGGCTGGACCCAGGTCTTGTCTGGGTTCTTGTGGCCTCGCAGCCGCACAACGGAACCCACGAGGCTGAACGCAGGAGCGCTGACACATAGTCAGCTGGAAATCCTGGAGTCATGTAGGAAGTCTTTACTCGCAAAAGCCGAGGTCTAAGCCATAGAGAGATGCTCACCACATGCCAAACGTGAAAGCCAACACGACATAAGCCTTTTTCGTGACCTTCATGTTAAGGTTCCAGACCACCCGGAGCGGCATTATAACCATGATGAAATCGGTCAGTGCGTTGAAGACGCCGTCGACGTTGACCAGCATCAGTACTTCGATGCAGTGGCCAGGGATAAGCTGGTCCCAAGCCCGGGCCCGCGGAATGCACTCCCATATCTTGGCAATGACTGTGGCGACGTAGTAGAGCACGAGCAGGACGCTGAGCACGACGACGGCGACGTCGAACGGGCTTCGTGGGTGCCCCGAGAATACACGCCGGTACAGGCACAGGATTGCGAGCTTGGTTACGCAAATGGCAACGCCGTAGTGGATCCTGGCTACATACAACCACTTTCCGTCGTTCAAGTCTCATGTCAGTCTCTGCTTGCCCTCAAAGCTTCTGCTCTTCTATATCTCTTCAACACAGGGTCCAGGGGTGCGCAGCGAACGGGGAAGGCGCATGAGTACTGTCTACGTACGTAATATGCCTCTTTGACCTGGGCGTGGGTCAAGTCCCACTCGTGCTCTCCACCGTGGTGCACCATCGTGGCTGCTCCAGTGCCACAATAAGTGATTGCCCCAATCTGCGCCGTTAGTCAGGAGACGTCCTGCCTACTGCTAGGCAATTACTACAACTTGGCCAAGACCTACCCAAGCAATCAGAGAGAGCCCTATTCTGGTCGTTAGCTGGGTCTTTCTTGTATTCTTGCAAATGCTGATCATTCCGGGCTTCAACCCGCTTACAGTCTTCACAGATCCATTGTCGCTTGATCCAAATCCTGACATACATGCGTAGGAGGAAACATATAGTGGTGAGCGGTATAACGACGCCAATGGCGATAGTCATTGCTCCCTTCGACGTTGCTGGGTGGTCGAAGTTGGACATTGCGCCCGGAGGGGGCATCAGCTCAGGCGTCGGCGTGGCGTCGCTAGTTGTTGTCGCCATCTTTTAAGCTGTTGTTTAGCTTAGTGACATCGTTTCGGCGAAGGGCTTATTGGGTGGAGGGCATCCGGAGACTTCATGAGGTGCAGCTGGTAGTTCAGTCGGTAATTTACTTATCTTATTACATTTTATGAGGGAGTAAGTAAATTAATTTACCCTGGTTAAAGGCTGCAAACCTGGGTGCTTTCGACTATCACGCAGAAGTCCCATTGTATTGGGGTGGGTTTGTTCCGGACCAGGTCGGTGTTATAGTATAGGTAGGCGATGATTAATTACCATAAATAAGTACAGTCAGATCCCAGAATTCCGTCAAGTTCGGCTACCGAGAGTTTCTGTTGCTTGTCCACCAAGGCTGTAAGGAAGGACTGCTGCCGTGTATGGATGCAACGCGGCTCATGGGCCCGCCAAGACACACTGGCATGCTGGCTGAAGAATAGTCCGGAAGAGATCAACGCGGGGCGACCATCAGTTGCCAGAGACGGAGTGCATGAGATGTGACGCTGGCAGAAGGCTGCCCAAAGCATGAATGGAACGAAACCCGGACCCATGGGTAGACTCTCATTTACTCGGAGACGAGGTACGTGATAGGCGTCCGCTCCTCCAATATATGAATGAATGTCATCAGAGGGGGCTGAACGCTTCTTCATCTTCACCGGCCTACTGCATGCGCAGCTTAGACGTGTTCAAAATATGCAAGTCAGCAATATCGCAACTACCGACCCAAAATCCACCATGAAGGACCCAATCACGACGGCAACCAGCGCCGGGTGTCGCTTGTGGGGTATACCTAGGTAATGGCAAGGGATCGGCGTGACCTGCACCTCCAAGGCCAACTGCAGTCCTGATTTAGAGTAGCCTGCCCTCGCCAAATTTTCCTCACGGCGGAGAGGTTATTGTGTGTGCATGGCTCGGTCAGTCACAATGACAGCCCTGGTTACAAGAAGATCGACGAGGCAAACTTCTGAAAAGGTTCAGATTATGCCAACGTGCCCGGCCCCGACTTGGCCACCCTCATCACCCACAAATGCCACTATTCCGAATATCAAATTCCCACTATGACGGTATACAAACTCTCTTTCATTGGTCTTGAGGAATTATCAGAGTTGGCTTCATCTGGTAACACCTAAGCAGCGTTAATCAAAGCCTTTCAAACAGTCTTGTTATCCGCAAAAGCTATGTTTAAGTAAATCTTAACCCTCTTCTTCTTATTTATCTTAGTAATTTGAATTTCAATTTCTACAACCTGTTTTTATAAAATTACTACAAGCTTAACATCTTTTTAATGACAGTCTTTGAATAGAACTTTTTTAAATAATAATTGTTATATAAAGCTTCAATATTTCTTTAAAAAACACAACAATTCACTAGACCTCTTATGTCTTAAAATTTTGTGAATATTATAGAATTAAATCTTACTAAGAATAAACTATAGTATATGAAACGTAATGAAGTATTCTTTTGAATTCCTTAAGGCGCTCCGCATCGAGACGAAGACGAGATTACCCGCCTAAGAATCCCCAAGAATTGCCTCGCTGGCCTTCTCCGACAGCAAATACGTCGGCAGCTGGATAAAGAAGCCCGGGATGACGGGGAACGCCGACGCGTCCACGACCCGCAGGCCTTGCACGCCCCTGACGCGAAACCGGGAGTCGAGCACCGCCCCGATTGATGCCGTGCAGCACGCATGATGCCCAAACGAGTTGGCCTCGATGTACTCCTTGACCGCGCCCTCGTCGCTGGCGTTGCGCCTCCCGGGCTTCGTCTCCTCGAACGAGCCATCGAGCGGGATGAGGCTGTCCATGGCGCGCCTCGCGAACGACACGCCCTCGTACGACGCCTGCAGGTCCTTGTCCCGCGCGGCCGGGGCGCCCCCGAACGTGTTGAAGGCGATGACAGGGGTGTCGCGCGGGTCCGCAGATCGCAGGCGCACCGTCCCCGCCTCGTTGGGCGTGCTCGCCCGCAGGCTTAGCCACACCCAGTGCCTGTGGTCCGTGTGCAGCGCCAGCTCGGACCAGCCGGGGAAGAAGCCCGGGAAGTTGGCTGGCCCGCCGTAGACGAGGACATCCGGGTCGTCGGCATTGGGCGCCGCGCTGGTCCGGATGACCGCGCCGACCGCGAGCCCGTTGGTCGCGTAAGTGCCCTTGGCCGCCTGCCCGAGCCCGGACTGCCACCTCTCCAGGCATGGGTCCGGGACCTCCGGGTAGCCGTACAGGAAGGTGCAGCCGCTGGTGAGGCTGAAGTTGGTCTGCGTCTCGCTGATGACGGGTACCTCGATGTGGTCGCGGAGGTTGGACCCAACGGCGGGGAGGTCGACGAGCGGCTCGATCCCGTGGGCTGATAGCTCGTCGGCGGGGCCGATGCCGCTGAGCATGAGGATCTGAGGGGTGTTGAACACCCCCGCCGCGACGATGACCTCCTTGGACGCCCTGAGGACACCCTCGGCCTCGACGACGGCGCTGTCTGAGCGGGTGTCTGCGCGGTACAGGGCGTTCCCCTCGAGGTACTCGACACCTGTGGCCTTTGGACCGTCAGGAGAGGATGAGCTCGTGTCGAATTGGATCTTGGTCACGAGCGTGTGGAGCTTGATGTCAAGGTGATAGAGCCTGTTCCCGTCAGCGTCGGCCGCGGTGGCCACCTGCAAGATGCGGTCCCGCGCTCCACCGCGTGTCGAATTGCCCATCGACAGCGGCATCTGGTACGGGCCCGTGCTGATGGTCTTTCCCGGCGCATTGATATCCTTACTCAGAATCTTGGCCAGCCCTGCGACGGTTTGATAGACGATGCCGATGAGGCTCATGCCCGATGCCGACGCGGCCGAGGCGATGATGCTGATTATTTTCAGGTCCTGCACTGCCGTGACAAGCGACGTGAGCTGCGTCCAGAACCAGCCATGGAACCCGTGGCCGACGACAGAGTTGGGGAGGTAGTCACAGTGCTCAATCTCCTCGAGATACCGCTGGAAGGTGCTGCCGTTCCACGACGTGTCCCCCGTCCTCTCCGCCACCGCATCCCAGTCGCTGTCGAAGGCCCGGATGGCCACCAGCGCGTTGTGCCGGCTGCAGCCGCCGAGCGTGCCGGCCCGGGGGTATAGGGTGCCGATCGGCACGGCGTCTGCGGGCGGGTAGAGCCCGGTGTAGATGGTGCCGTTGGGCAGGCGGTACGACGTGATCTCGTTTCTGGCCTCGACCGCCGGGTCCGAGCTGCGTGTGACAAAATAGTTCCATTGCGTCGTGGGGTGGTCGTCGGTGGCGCGTGGGAACAGCACGGGGATCTGCTCAATGAGGTCGTCGCCCGAGTCGCCACCGGCGTCGACGAGCAGCACCTTGTGGCCCGCCTCGGCCAGGTTCGCCGCCAGGGGTCCGCCGCCCGGGCCAGAACCCACGACTATGTAGTCGTAGGCCGTGTCGTTAGTCACCTGCCGCTTTGGCAGGATCGGGTTGTGTCTGCGCACATGCGAGCTGGTCGATGCCAGGGCCGAGTTGATGAACACGGCCGCGGCCAGGGTGGCCACAGAGAGGATGCCTTTTGCATACATGGCTGAGTCCCAGCTACTATAGCACCATTTTGGTAGAGACAGACAGCCCTACACCTCAGCTCAGCTCCGGAGGAGACTCAGCAGCCGCTGCTGTGACATGCTCTAGTTATATCTGCACGAGTGGCCAAATTGTAACGACATTACTTTCCCACAATGAAACTCTACTTTATGGCCATCCCATACTGTACACTAACAGCGTAGAGGCTGCTGTCATCGTGAACACGTGTGGACGGGAGTGGAGCTTCCCGCTCGCCGTTGCATTGCGATCGTCTATTCAGAGGCTAAAGACGGTCGCTAAAGGTGGCACAGCTCCAAATGGTTCCTCGCGCCAATCGAGCCAAGTTCAGCCCCTCAGGGCTGGAATAGGCAAGACATTCGTCACTCAACACCCCGATATACAAGAAACCGCCAATCCACTGGACTTTACAGTCACACTATGTACTCAAGCTGTGAGTAACCAATACGGCCCTGCATCATGCCTCCATTATGCAGTGTGATAGCCAATCACTGTAATCTTTGGTCATGAGATGAACACCCTCCCCGCCGAACATGGCCACCATGTAAGAGTCGATCTTCGTGAGCCAAGATCAGGAGCTAGAGGCACAGCATGGCTTGCCATCGTCTATCATGGTGTGATGTACTCTATTTGCCGACCCAAATGTAAGATCCCAGTATGGTGTACAGATTATTATAGAATTGTGCGCAGCGAGAAGTACGTTTCTTAAAATGGGGCCATATCGTGACTGGATGGCCAGTACGTCAAATAAATGGCTCTTGCCTGACGGCGTCCTCTACCTCTTTGAACGCATCGTAACCATACAACCACGGCTGAACTTCCGGGCATGTCCATCTGCTTGGAAATGGGCCTGTAAGGTCTTTCCCAAGAAGAGAAAGAAACAAGGCATCACGAGCTTCTTGCTCGGGGCCGTCTAGCATGTGAAAGTCGTGTCGCTTCGGAAAGACATTAGTGAAAATGTCCAAGAGATTAATGATAATTTCGGCATCTTGTTGGAGCGACTCACCTGTTTGAAGGTTTCCCTGACAATAGCCTCTCCTCTTGCCTTTCTCAGCTTCTCATAAAGTCTAAGTGCTTGGGGCACCTGGGCTTTGGTCTTCACGTGCCCTAAAAGTTGTCCTAACACAGCTCCATCCTCGACAGCGGAGTTTGCCCCTTGCGCAAGATATGGAAGCATTGGGTGGCATGAATCACCCCTGAACATATGAGTTAGTTTGGTACCCCAAACTTTCACAATGTCCATACTTACACAAAAACAAAATTTGATTTCTCGTTGACCCAAGATGGCAACTCTTCCCCTGTATCGCAGCAATGCGTCAGCCGACTGGCAACTTCTCTGTGGCATTTCCAAATGGCAAAGGGATAGGAGGGGTACATACTGTGCATCAATCTCCATTTATGTACGAAGTTGACCCTTTCGAGGAAACGTCCCAAGATCGGGTCCCAGTCGGCAAAATAAGCCCTCATTTCTTCCAAGCTACCCGGCTGGCGACTTACGCCCTCCGGCAGGTCGTCAGGAGCAAGCAACACAAGGTTGTACATCTTGCCCCCTCGCATCGAATACCCCACAACGTGCGTTCCGGGGCCAATCCAGAAATGCACAGTCGGTTTGCTCACCCAGGCGCTCAGCTCGGGGTCGTCCGCCACCTGGTCCAGGTCGAGCACCACCCGGTACGCCAGGTCGCCTGTCGGCAGCGGCGGAACTTGCTTCCCCAGAAAGCATGTCTGGCATTTAGACCAGAGGCCATCTGCCGCCACGATGATGTCGGCCTTCGCCTTCTCGCCGGACTCGGTTGTGATCTCCGTCTGGTCGAAATCTATGTTGTCTACTCTCTCTCCGAGGTGGAACTTGATGCCCAGATCCTTTGCTCTATCGTACAAAGAAAGCTGCAAGTCGACGCGATGCATATCGAGGAAGGGCGCTTGGTATTTTCTACGAATGTTCTTGTGGAAGTTGTCCTCATGTGCGAGAACCTTGCCGGTATACCGGTGCACGGTCAAGGCGGTGGGCTCCGCGGCCTCTCTCCACAGGCGATCTGACAGGCCCCATCGCTGGAGAATGCGAGTGGAGTTGGGAGTTACTTGCAACCCGGCGCCGATCTAATTACGTTGTGAGTTGACAATGACCCGGCTGTGGAAGACAAGAGCAGATATGTGGGCTATGGTTTCCCCTACCTCAAGGAGTTCTTGTGCTGATTCGAACACTGTCACGTTGTGACCGGAGAGGGCTGTTGATATCGCAGTCGCGAGCCCACTGATACCTGCGCCCACTACGATTACATCCAGCTTGATTGATGACTTCTGCTGAGCTGCGGTACCATTGACGGTATGTGGTGTACCCGAGGCTGCTGTTGCGGGGCTGCTGTTTACCGTCATCTTGTCCGAGGAATCTCAATATTTTGATAGAGCACGAAAGGTAGAGATGATTCTCAGATCGTTTGATAACCTAAAGCCGCGATGCTTGAATCTTTACGTTAGATGCCCCTTTTCAATAACAACGAGGTCATCAATTTGTTGTGAGTCTCGGCTATCCCAGATTGGTACCACTGTATCGAACTCCTGAGATGCCGAGCACACGCGGCTAATGTTAGTGTTAAGAGCGGCAATTCCGGTTCCGAGGTTTGGCTTCAGCCGGATTACCCGGCGTCCACATTCCGCGGAGGGGAGCTTACCGGTGTTCAGTTTTGGCACCCTATGATGTCGGGTTCAATTGACGTCTTTTATGCGGTCTGACGGACGCGTCAAGCAAACGATGCGGAATTAAGACTTCGAGAAGAATAAACTTTAAAACTTTCGCAAATGGGTAAAAATTCTTCCTGGACACAGTGCCATTCAAGCTAGGGGGGAAGGCATGCGCATTGGATCATGCAGTAGATGTAACCATCCCTGGACACTATGCAACGGAAATCATCTGAACAACAAGATAGCTTCTTTTTCTAGAGTATCCCTAAGCAAGCAAGCGACATCAATTTTGGAAATGGACAAGATAAAAAGACATCATAGCGGGATTGCCCTGAGAAGCAAAAAGTAACTTTGGCGCAGATGTGGAACTTTAAACACGGGGAGCGCAGAAGTGCAGGCACAAAAAGATCAATCTGGACAGATCAAGAAGGAATGTTCGGAGGTTATGAAGATGGACTGATCAATTTTTTTTCTTCGGTTGCTTCGACCTGAAACCTGAATTATTTTGGTGTTAAGCACTACACATTGCATAGCTGTCTTTATCGCTGTTCATGTGCCACTCCGTCATCTTTTCAAGGAGAATTGGGTCAATATCGCGGTTGGCCTTCATGAAAATGAGCTCGTACGGATGCAAATTACTCCCGTAGTACTTGCCATCATACAAAGCATCATCGAGTTGGCCTGCTCGACAGTAAGTCCCGGGATCACGAGCACCAGCGTATGCCGTCATCAAAACATCCACCTCGAAGCCCTGGGCTTCAATGAGCCGTGTAGATCCAACCTCACTGTGCACCGCCTGGTCCATGGTTTCGGGACAGAAACTCAAGCCCACGGGGTCCTCCTCTGTCCCCCAAAAATCCGCCATACCGACCGTTCGAGAGAGGTCCGGGTTAAGGAGCAGGCCCATCCCAACATCATCGGTAGCCCAGAGCATCGACTGGACATGTGGCGACGGTTGGCAGTTGAGAGTTGTGCCGACCAGCTTGATCTTCTCCGTGAGTCTGTCTAGAAACAGGTCTGTCCAGCATAGGGAGGCGTACACCGGCAGAAAAGGGCCACGAATACTTGCGTTCATAGTGATGAAGCGCCTGTAGTTCTTCCAAAGATCGTCTTCCCTCAGCACTTCTCCCATTGCACCTAGATCGAAACAGTGATTTTCCCTCTCTACCACTCTGATATTATCACGATCAGGAACCAGTTCTTTGGCCGTTGTGTTGCCGTTGAAGATGAAAACGAAGTCTGTCTCGTTGTGCAAGCCCTTCTTGAGAAAGAACTCCAAGTTCAGGCGGGCTATTCTTGATTCAGAATAAGTGAATAGAACAAGTGACCTTTCTTTTGATGGCGCGATTGCATCGACAACTTCGTGGCTTTCCTCTAATGGAACAGTGTCCATCGACTGAAGAGTTGTAAGTTTTAACTCCTCGGCAAATCAGTGGGACATTCGGCATCGCCTTACCATTCTCAAAATATACTCCAACCATATGAAAACAGTCGAGACTGTGAGAAAAGCGCCAACGATCAAGTATCTCCACTGCAGGAAAACGGGCAAAGAGTACATGATTTACTGAGACTCGTGAAGCTGAGATATGTAGAAGGAAAGATTTTGGGTGCACAACTTGAGATCCAAACAAGAATATTTGCTGGCTGTTGGTAGCCATTTTGTGTAAACTTTCAATCTCCTCCATTACCAACGCGTAGATACATACGTAGATAACGACAATGACGCGAAACGCCGCTATAGGCATCTAACTCTATTTCGTAGATTTCAAGTGGGACCTCAACTTATGCCGCTGAAACTCGGACCATCTGCGGGCATGTTGTATTCGCTGAAACAACGCACGTGGGTTGCGAACTAGTCAGGTTCTTTCTCTTCGCGGTCAGCCTCGTGCTGATCATTACGGGAACTTTTAATAGCACATCCTTACAATATACCTTATCAACAGCTTTTATGAGTGATAGGCGCCAAATTCGATGAGCCAGTGTTCAATGACTAATGAGCGATAAAAGGAAATGGCGCACAGGGCCAGCGATGGAGATGCCATTCAATGTAGCCAGTCGATGTCGCTGTGACTGGCAAACCTCCATCTTATTTGTCCTAGATATACTCGATCATGATTCGTGAATGACAGTCTCTAGTAGAGCAATCATATTTCCCCATTCTCATCTCCACTAAGTCGCTGAACACCCGGCGGACTTACCTGTACTATAATGTACTGCTTAAGTTCCAGACATGAGTGATCCATCGTGTCCCCCCACCCGGGTGTCCGTACTCATGGTCGACGTTGGCTCATTTCGTCCAAGAAAAACACTTTTTCGCTGTCAGTTGTACTCTTTGCTTTCTAGTTCACTTTTCTCCTCGCAAACCTTTGAATCTGCATCCATCAATTCTCTGCGACGGTGTACAACAATCATGCCAGCACCAATGCAAAGCTCAAAGAGGAACTTCGACGGCCTCGACGGCCCAGTCTATCCGAGAACGCCTCCCACCCTCCCCTACCGCCACTATATCTTCCAGATTATCTTACGTGTTTTTACACGTGGGGTGTTGAATACATCCACTGCATCTGTCGTCGTAAGGAGTAGGAAGAGAGTATCGAAGAATACGCACGGTGGTCTTCAGCTACGAATGGATAGGACGACGAGACAAGATTCTATGTGGCATCACAATTCTCATCGAAGAAGACCTGCAATCACGTAATCAAAATACCGGTGGCAGTCGCAGCCGAAGTCGCCCAGATGTGGGGCCATGATCCGCGCAGCATTGTGCAAAAATTAGTCGCGTTGGCGGCGGGAATACGCGACAATGGAAGCAAGTGCTTCTTTTCATATAAAAGCAACCTTCAATACGTAAAAGCTTACAAGCCTGAGAGATGAATGTGCCCAAAATGAGCATGGTTGCTATCCAGGCCTCTTGCATGTTCGCGTTGAGAACGCGTCGTAGAACTTTGTGCGAGTTCACTGTGTGTATGGTTGTAGAATGGCACACATTTCACTACCGCATTCAATGGACCGATGAGATGGTATCATGACCTAGGTTGAGGAAAGCCAAGAAGTTCGGTACGGAGTGCGGGTCTCGGCAAAATGTACGACCTTTTACCGGACAGGTAAACTTGGCGATGTTGTATCACCACAAAGCATGAGAACTGCCTTCTTCGAGAATGACCTGGCATCGGCGTTCGCGGGAACCTCTTCCAACTGAGAATGCCATTGAATATGTAGCAAGCCTTTCAATTGGCTCATCTGTTGTGCTATACTGTATCATGCATGCTCTCTTTGTTTTTAGACACTGTAGACGGGTACATGCGGTATTAAAAACAGGGCACAAAAACGCTTACTCATCCCCGGCTAATGCGGGTCGTCGACCACGTTCTCCATATTTGAATGCTTGATGAGGCTTCACGATGTCTCCCGCATGCAAATCACCGAGCCACTACTTACCCCTGCTTGAGAAGGGAAGTGCTACAAAATCTTGCAGTCTGTTGCATTGCAATGAGTAGGACCATCGGAGCTTGTGATGGGTTGCTCAGGCACATGTGCACTGGCGAGGAAGTGCGTTGAGGCTTTTCTTGGCTTGAACTATCTGCGGAGGTTAATGTGTGCTAGTCCACTCTTTCGGCACTATGCAACGTCGAGTGAGTCCGATGCCGCATGTTGACAAAGCATGATGACTTCATGGAAATGTATAAAAAGACTTCCCCCTCCTTTCGTCCACTGAATTTGTGACTCCTCCTTCTTCGAAATCCATTCTCGAGTTCTTATTCCCCCAACCACTTTCGTCAAAGAAACTATAGAGAGTACGCTGTTCCTCTTGAGGCAGCATGATATCTCTCGCTATGGAATCATCCAGATCAAGGTAACTAGGTGAAAAGTACACAGCCGGGTGTTCGGCTCTTCCTGCTGAGATACCTGCTTTATTGGTCATGATCGTGAGTTTGGCACTATGCCGAGCGCACGATCAAGAGAATTCAGCGTCTGGTTCAAAGCGGAAGAGTCGATCTGAGAAACACCGGAGAACTTGAACTGGGTAATGCCAGCGAAAGAACATGTGGACCTTCGATCTTCCCCGAGACCCTCCGGTATAGATCAGACTGACGATCCTAGCATTCCGTCCAACCCGGACCACCTACACCATGTCGACTGACAAGATCACCTTCCTCACTAACTGGTAGGACAATCTCATAAAGGCATCAGTTGCAGCTCATGGGTAACATGATCGCATTCTAGGCACGCCACGCCCTACCATGCGCCATTGTATCTCGCTCAAGCCAAGGGCTACTTCAAGGAAGAGGGTGTCAAAGTTGCTCTGCTGGAGCCCAATGATCCGAGTGTTAGTGCATATGTTGCACTAGGTGTTTGCTCACTTTGCATTCAACTTACTCTCGCTTTAGGACGTGACCGAGATCATCGGGTCTGGCAAGGTAGACCTCGGCTACAAGGCTATGATCCACACGCTTGCTGTAAGTTTAAGCCCCATGCTACACTGCCATGACACAGCATTGCTAACAAGATGCTGCGTAGGCCAAAGCCCGCGACTTCCCTGTCACATCCATTGGCAGCCTTCTCGACGAGCCGTTTACAGGCGTGGTCTACCTCAAGTCGTCTGGTATCAACGCCGACTTCCAAACACTCAAGGGCAAGCGCATTGGATATGTCGGCGAGTTCGGCAAGATCCAGATCGACGAGCTGACTTCTCACTATGGCATGTCTCCCGCCGACTACACCGCGGTCCGCTGCGGGATGAACGTGTCCAAGGCCATCATCAAGGGCGAGATCGACGCCGGCATCGGCCTTGAGAACGTGCAGATGGTCGAGCTCGAGGAATGGCTCGCTGCTCAGGGCAGACCCAAGAGCGATGTGCAGATGTTGCGCATCGACCAGCTCGCTGAGCTGGGGTGCTGCTGCTTCTGCACTATCCTGTACATCGGGAACGACAAGTTCGTGACTGAGAACCCGGACAAGGTTCGAGCGTTCTTGCGCGCCGTCAAGAAAGCCACAGACTTTGTGCTTGAGCAGCCTGAGCAGGCCTGGCTGGAGTATGTCGACTTCAAGCCTGTGATGGGGACCGACCTCAACCGCAAAATCTTCGAGCGAAGCTTCGCCTACTTCTCCAAGGACCTCAAGAACGTTCAGCGCGACTGGCAGAAGGTGACCAAGTACGGGAAGCGTCTTGGGGTGCTGAGCTCCGACTTCCAGCCGAACTACACCAATGAGTTCCTTGAGTGGACTCTGGATGAGGAATCGCAGGACCCTATGGGCGACCAGAAGCGAATGGCGGAGCTGCAGAGTAATGTTGCGGACAAGGGTGGATTCCGCCGCCTGCAGATTGAGGAGATCCAGGTCTGAGCTGTGAAGGACAAGACGGCCTTGCAATCACTCGTTTTGTGCACAAGAGATATAGAGCACCTTCTCTATTTGGCCAGATTCTCAGTCTATACGTGCCATTCTTTCATTTACAGACTAGCACAATAAAACCCAAGTCGAAATGCACGACATCAACGTATATGAAGTGTAGCCTCTCTAGGGTTCATCACCGTACCTACTCAAAAAAAGATTATTACTGCGGAATACTCATGTATTGTGCTCCTCTAAACGGTGATTTTTGACTACCCGTCTGTCTTGCTTGTCTAGCTAAAGATTATAGGGATGTGCTGGCTTCGGTTTTGCAAGCTCCTCAAGCAGATTTCGTTCATTGAAGGATGTATCGGGCATCGTGGAGTCCTCTGCCATCTAGATTCTCATCATCCGTTAAACCTTGAACCAGCCAGGAAATCATGTGCAGTCTTGAAAGTCTCCTGTGCGGACATGCACAAATTGATCGCGTGGCCAGTTTTGGCAATTCTCTTCCAATTGAATTCGGCGTTGGGGAATATTTCCACCGTTTCTGGGAGCAGGTTACCGCATGCGGCCACGGCTATCGTGGGCGTGCCTTGACCACAAAATGGCTGGTCTTGCTCGCCAGTGATGACCAGGATGCGCCTGGTATAAGCTGGTGCCTTGGTCATCAGAACGTAGGTGCCGATATATTCTCCCGCTGCGACGACGTCTTCCCGCTCCCACCAAATTTGAGCAAGCTCCTGCTCAAAATCTACCTGGTCGTGAACACCGAAGAAGGAGTTGGTTCGGGTTAGCTCGTTAGGTGAAGTCAGCTGCAATGCGACTTAGTATACGTACGTCAACGTGAACGGAAGTAAAACCATAGCACATAAATGGAAATGGACAAAGAGCAAGATGGGAAAAGAATGGTTCTTACGTAGAGTGCAGGCACTGTGCTAGGGAATCTCTCTGGAAAGAGCACCGCGGCAGACTGGGGGTTTTGAAGCGCGATTCCGTAGTACGACGGGAGAATGCGTTTAGTATAGCCGGTAAAGACGCTGATGTTAAAAAGATCCGGATACGTCTGGGCGATGTAAACGCCAAGCACCGATCCATAGGAATTACTGATATACAACAATTCGTCGTACTGCGGGATCTGACCTGTGCTTCCAGACCTGATTTGGTTGGCGAGATCCACATAGAGAGAAGCTCTAGGATCAGTCAGTCTATGAACATAGCAAAATAAATGGCACAAGTTGAGCATTTGCAAGGTATAACGGGAGAATACGGCATGAATGCTGTAGTTCAGATATGGTGTAGCGGCTCTGAAAGCAAGACGGGGATCTCACTCGTATGGGCCTTGAGTATACACTGCGGGATCTGGGTGAGACGACTTGCCGTGCCCTAGGCGGTCCAATTGCAACGTGGGATCTGTCGTAGTTCCGCGAAGTCAGCACACTGAAACTGGTTTCTGGTACTAAACCTGAAGCCAATACTTACAACCTAGGGCATTTGCATAATGTCTCCAGGAGTATATTTCGGGTTTATAACTTTCATACCCTAGCATAGTCAAAGTGTCAACCAATTCAATTATATTTACTAAACTTTCTAATATAATTAAATAGAAAATTTTCAGCTCTTAGTTAAATTAAATTAAATTTTAAAGGCTATTAATATAATTTAGTTAAATATAATAAAAAGAAATGGGTTTTAAAGCAAATATTTTCTAAACACTACACCTTATAAAGCGCACTAATAAATTTAATATATACCTTATAAGGCACAATACTTAAAAAATATCCACCCTAAAATTTAACTTAATAAAAAAAAACATATATAAAATTTAAATCTTCTATAGCTAAATTATATACTTAAATACAATACATATTTAAAAATATTTATATTAATTTATATATACTTTACTTATTTAATTATAAAAAGCAATTAAAAGCTATATTTTTTTAAGTTTATTTATAAATATATACTTAATAAATTAGCCTACTTATAGATATCTAAAACCCTTTTAAAAACTACCTTTTATATAATTTAAACTTAAAGTTTTATTAATTAAAGTAATTACTTATACACTTTAACTAAATATTTAAAAAATTTGAATACTAAATTTCCTTAAATTTATTTAAAAAATTTTAAAATAAGCAAATTTACTAAATTTAAATAAAAATTATTATAATACTTTTATTATTAAAATTACTTTTTATATTAACATTTAATAGTTATTTTTACTATATAAATAACCTAATTTTAAAACAGTTTATAAACTTATAATTTTACTATTTAAAAAATAAATAAATAAAAATAAACTACTAAACTAAGCTAGCACTAATTAGCTTAACTAATAATACTAATATAATCTAATTCTAAATATTAAGTAATAAAAAAATAAAATAAAAAAAAATAATATAATTAATAAATTTAATAAACTTAATAAAATTAATAAATAATAATAAATAATAAAAATATAAAATTAATTAATTAACTAATCAACTCTTTTAATATATAAGTATTAATACTATAAAATTTAACTAAAAACGCTTATTAAATACTAAGTAGCATTTAGCCTATAAAATAATAGTAACTCTTATTATTTAAACCCTTAATATATAAGCTATACTATAACAACTTACTATAAAGTTCTACTTTTAAAATAAATTTAAAAAAATATAACTTAAAAGCATAAATTATTAATTAATATAAGCTAATTTAAAAGCAATAAAACTAATTTAAAGTTTTACTTTACTACACTTTTTTTACTCTAAACTTAACTTATACCAAATATTAAATTTTATTAGTATAAATATTTTAAAATAATAACTATACCTTTTTTAATTAAACAAATATATAACTAAAAATAGCAATAAAAAAACTAGTATTATTAAAAGCAATAGCTATAAAAATAAACTTCCCTTTAATTAATAGCTATATACTTAATTTAAACACTTTAATACTAATAATAATAAACAAATTCCTCTAATAAATTAATTATAAGTCCTTAATCTTTCTTATACTCCTCTTTATTATAGTAATTTATCTTCCTCCTCCTTAAATAAGTATTTGCATAGCTATAAGAAAGCTTATTATTATTATTCTCCTCCTTCTTTTTAAATAAGTAATTATACAGTTATAAAAAGCTAATTTTAACTAATAATTAAAATTTTTCCTTTTAACTAAAAAAAAATTTATTTTTATAAAACAAGCTTACTTATAAATCCATTTTTATATATAACAATTAATAACTATTTAATTTTAATAGTATACTAATAGTTCTTTTATAAAAGTAAATAATAGTTTAGCTATAAGTTAGGATTATAGTTTAAAAAGAGGTTATATTTATGCTTATATAGCACTTACTCCTATACCTAATAAAGCATACTAATAAATTTAATATACAACTTATAAAGCATAAGAGTAAAAATAAAGAATACCTAATATAGCTTAATAAATATAAAAGGCTAAGTTTACTTACTTACAACTTTATAAAAAAAAATTATAAATATAATATAATTTTTTTAATAAAATATATTAAAGCTATAAAATTAAATAATATAAATTGTTTTTATATTAAATATTGCTTTATTATTATAGCAAGTAAAATACTAAAATATATATATTAATATATAAATTAATATATATTACTTAAAATTACTTAAATATATAACTAATAATGTATTATTACTTTAAATAAGTAAAAACTTACTAAAATTATTAATATTTTTATTTATAACTCTTAATATATATTATTTATATATATATTCCTTTATAAAAGTATAATATTAGTAATATAACTTATAAGTATTCTTTTATATATTAAGTTTAAGTACAATATTTAACTTAATATTTCCTAATAATACTCTAATACTTAACTTTATTTATAAAAACTTTTTATAAAAGTTTTTTTTAAGCTTTATTAAAGTATAATATATAAAAAAAGCTTAAAATTAAATATAAAAGTATAAGTATAGTATTAAATTATTATAAAATTAAAAGTAAAAATAAGTATATTATTATTATATACTTAAAAAATCCCTAAACAAACTATATAATTATATATATAAAAAGCTATAAAATATAAAAGTTTACTTTTAATTAAATTATAAAGTTTAAAATAATTAAAAAATAATACTAAAGCTTATTAAAGCTAATATTTAAAAAAAATTATTAATTAAAAATTATAATATTACTTAATACTTATATTTTAATATATATAATAAATAAAAATAAAAAATTATAAATTATATTATTAAGTAATTTAATAAAAATATTTTTTAGTAAAAGTTACTTAATATAGTAATTATTAAAAACTTTTTTTTTATATTATTAAATCTAAATCTTTTTAAACCACTTTCAAATACTTAAATCTTATAATTATAAATATTTATATATATTTTTTATAAATAATAATTTAATTTATAATAATTAAAATATATAAATTTTTAAAAAATAAAATTATTATTATTTTAAATATTATTAATAATAAAATTTATATTACTTTTAATAGTTAGCAATTAAAAAATTATTTATTACTTTATAAAATAATTATTATTTATTTAAATTTAGCTATTTATTTTTAAAAACTAGTTTTTAATATATTAGAAATTACTAAATATTATATTAATAAAAATATTACTATATATATTTATAATATTTTTAAAAAGTTTAAAATTTATTATAAAATTAACTATTTTATTATAAATAACACTAATAATAATAATATAATAATAAATAAATTAAAAAAACTATTAAGCTTTAATAAACTTAATTACTATATTTATTATTTTAAATATATTACTAATCTTATTATAAAAGCTCTTTTATTTAAATTTAACACTTTAATATTTAAAAACTTACTAAGCTTAAACTAAGCTAATATTACAGCTTAATATATTAAATAGTAAAAACATAGCCTTATTAGTAAACTAATATTACTTATTTTTACTATTTACAAATTTAATTATTTAATAAAATTTTTCTTAGCAAAATAAATATTAAATTTTTAAAAATTAAATAATTTAAAAAGTAAAACTTAAATACTACTAAAAATAATTATATATATATTAATATAATAGCTATTTATATTATTTATTATTTATTATACCCTAAAGCTACATTTATTTATTATAATAATCTAGTAATAACAAAATAACTTTTATTATTAAAAATCTTATTAATATATAAAATATATAAAAAAATACTTATATACTTTTTATAATAATATAAAACTATTAAATAGCAATTAAAATATAATTATAGTTATTAATAAAGTTTTTAAAAATATTAAAAATATACTCTTAATATTAAAAAGTAATAATTAATTTTAATAATATTAAAATAGCTTTATTAAAATATTTAATAGCATTTAAAATTATACTTTAACCTTTAAATTCTATTTTAAACATTTTAAAATATAAAAATTAATTATTTTATAATTTCCTAATTTTAAATATTTTTTAATTAATATTAATTTAATTTAAAAAAAGCTTAATAAATATTATATATTACTTAATAAATTACTTATATATTATACTTTTATTACACTTTATTTATTATATAAATAAAAGTATTTTAAAGCTATTTAAGATTATAAGTAGAAGTAAATTTATACTACTAAAGCTGCTATTTAATAGCTTTAAAATAAAGAATATAAGGATAATAGTTATATTTATATATTAATAAAAAAACCTAAAATAAAAAAGAAATAATTACTAAATAAAAAATTTAATATTTATTATAATAAAATATATATTTAATAAAAGCTATTTTTATTACTAATAATACTATTAATATTACTAAAAATATATTAGTTAAATATTATAAATTTAAAAAATAAATATAAATATTAATAGCATAATATTTACTTAATAAATAAGGATATTATTAACTTATTACTTTATTAGTATTAATATTAATACTTTTATTTATAATTATTATAAATAGCTTTAAATATTTTTTTTATACTAATAATAAGTACTAAAGTTAAATAGTTATTTTTATTAGCTAAATATATAATTATAACTCAGTAAAATTAATTTAATATAAATATTATTAGTATTACTTAATTATTTTAATTATAACAACTATAAGGAATAATATAATTTAAATAAAATAATATTGCTTTATTTAAACAGCTAAAGCTATTAAGCTTATAAATATAATAAATAATATAAAAATTAATTAAAAATAATTCTTTAATATTACTATTAAATATAGTTTAAAGGAATAAATAAAAATAAGTAATAGATTTAATTAATTAAACTAAGATAAAAGATCTTTAATAGCAATACTATATACTATATTAACTAAATTACTATGCCTAATAAAGCATATTAACAAATTTAATATACGCCTTATTAAGCACATATATACATAAAACTTAATATTATAAAACCTTATAAACCACAATAAATTTTAATTTTAAATAACTACTCTAATTAAGCTTATATATAAATTAATAATATACTTAACTAAATATATATAAATTAAAATAAGCTATAATTAATATAATTTTAGTTTTTATATATTTTATAAATAAAATATTATAATAACTATTATTTAATAATTTAAAAATAACTCCTTTTAAGTAAACTTATAAAAGTTTATATAATATAAAAATACTAAATACTAATACTTTTTTAATTATTACTTTTTATTAATATATAAATATATTTTACTTAAAACTTTTTAAAAAATAGCTATTAAATAAAAACTAAATACTATACTTAATTAAGTTTATATTTAGTAAAAGCTTTTTAAATATTAATATATAAAACTTATAACCTTATAATATTAACCTTTAATAATAATAAAGCTAAAATTTAAATATAAAAGTAAAAATAATTACTATTTAATATAGCTTTTATAAACTATACTTATATTAAAAGCCCTTTATCTTACTACTAAACTCCCTTTTTAAAAATCTATCCTTTAACTTTTTTTTTTCTTTAAAGCCTCTATACTTATATTTACTAATAAAGTTTAAAGCAATAAGCTTATAATAAAAAGCAGTATATTTAATAAAAAGCTTTATATAAATATAGTATTTTCTTAAAATTAACTACTAACATCCTTTATTCTAATATCTCTCTAATCCTCTTTACTAAATATAAGCTAACTTACTTTAGCTTTATTATAAACCTTTAAAATTTAAAATAAAACTATATAAACTTAATTAATTTTATTAATATTAATATACTTAAAGCTTTTAAAAGCTTTATTTTAATATTAATTAAAAATTAAATAAAAAAAGTAAAAATAAAAAAAAAATAATAAAAGCTAAAATAAATATAATAATTATAAGTATATTAAAAATAACTAAAATATTATTAAAAAAATATACTATTTAAATAAAACTTATAATAATAAAATTTATACTAATAGTTTACTAATAATTAATAAACTTTTAATTATATATACAGTTAGTATAATAATATATAAAAATACTATATTTTAAACTTACCTATATTAAGTTAATAATATAACTGCTCTATAAACTATAACTCTTAATATACTTTTAATATAAATATACCTTAATAATACTAAAAACTTAAATTATAATAATAATACAATTACTAGTATAATATTTAAAGCTATAAGTATTTACTTAATAAAATAAGCTAACTACTAAAAAATAAATAGCTAACAAGTTTTATACCCTTTTAATACTAGTATTATTAAAAAGCTAACTTTAAAAAAAAGCTTACTATACTTTAAAAATAGCAGCCTAAACTACTTACTAAATAATTAAGTTTATAGAAATATTAGTAATATTAATTATAAAGTATACCTAATTAAGTATAAAGCTAATTTAATAATAAAAATAACTAAAAGTATATATATATATATATTAATAAAGCAGAGTAAACTTATATATACCAGCAAGTACTATAATAGCTATAATTCTTATATAACTATATATTAAAATAAATAAACAAATAAATATTAATAATTATATTTAACTCTTTATTTTAATATATATAAATAAAGAATTTAAAAAAAATAAAAAAAAAATTTATTAATATTACTACTATTATTATAATATAATTGTAATTAAAATTATAATTATAAAATCTATTTATAAATAAAGAGTTATATAAAGCTGTATTATTTTATATTAAAATAGCTTATACACTTAATAAAGCATACACCTAAATTTAATATACGCCTTATTAAGCATATAAGCTACTTTAATATATTATAAACTATATAATACTTATAAATACTAAATTGTAATTAACTATAATAACACATTTCTAATACTTAGCAATTAATACTTTAAGCTTAAAACTACTCTAAATACTTAAAATAAACTTAATTAATTTATATTTTTAATAATTATTAATATAATATAGCTATAGCTATAAATAATTATTTCTTTTACCTATATAATATACACCCTATACTATAATTAACGCTATATAATTAAAACTATAATATTAAATTTTTTATTAAAAAATTTAATATAAAAGTAGTATTAATTAATAAAGCTTAGCTACAGCTATAATAAAATACATAATATATTTATTATTAAAACACTACATTAAAAATAAAACAATACTAATATAAAAAGGTTAATAAAAGGCTAAAGTATTATAATACTATTATATTATATTATAAATTTAGCACTAAAAAACATACTTTTATACATAATTCCAAATTACTAAATTAAAAGAGTATTATAAAAAGCTATTTTAATCTTAGCCTTAAAAAAAAATAATTAATAGCTTATTTTAATATATAAAAAAATATATAAAAAAACTTAAAATATACACTACTTAATTTAATCTATTACTTAAGCTAAAAGCTTTAATTATATAAAGCTTCTTATTATTAATTATTAAAATTTTATTATAATACTAGCACTAATTAAACTATATAACGCATTATATAATTTTATACTATTATTATATTTTAAAAAATATATAAGGTAAAGGATTACTAGTTACTTAAAATACTAAAAAATTTAATAATAATCTATTTAAATTAATTTAATTATATCTACTAAACAGCTTAATAGAATAAAGTAAATAAAAGTATTTCTTTAGTAAAATAAATAAAGTTAGTATAAACCTACTTACTCAGTTTAATTAAATTAATCCAGTATAGTTAGTTGACACAATAAGCGTAGTACCTTTTATCAAAGTCAGATTGGACAAATTGCAATAAGAGCTAGGTGAGTTTCACCTCCCATAGCCGACCAGTAGTCTCGATTCGCGGTGATAGAATGAAACATAAGCTGCAGCTTTGTGCTATTTTCGTTTTTAATCGTCGGTTCGCAGTAATATCCGGCAATGGTATCGGTTCCGTTGACTGATTTGGTCGTAAACCACCCACTCACTATATCGTATATAGCGGTTTGTATGAAGGCTGGAGTGGATTGGTTGTAGTGACTTAGATCATAGTCTGAGGGTTATTTAGCATGCCAATGAACGCGGAAGCACAAGTGAATCAGACCTTGAGGTATACATACTTTCGGCAGCACCCGACAAAGTGAATGCAACTTCATGGCAGCTAGGATCCCTCAGTTTGTGGTTCTTGTGAGCAAGACAAGAGATTGGACGAACGCAACGTCTTGACCCTGCGGACAAGTCTGTTCGTGCGTAATAAGAGCTGATGGGACCTACCTGGCATTTTGAGCCGAGGCAATGGCTGCCAGCGTTAGGCCAGTGATGACTGAAAAGACTGAGGAAGTTGATTGAAATTTAGCGGCTGCCATTTTGCATGCGTAACTGCCAGTTCTAGATAGAAGAGTCCTTTAAACTAGTATGCCTCAAGAAGCTCCGTGTCATAGTACGGCATTGAGATAAATAGTGCGCACCAAATGGCTCCAAGACGAGCACCGCCGCCCAAATAATGGTCAAAAAATGTGTGTGCCTCCGCCAGGATCCCAAACGTTATTTTCTTTTTTACTTCGGGTGCGAAAGTAAAAAAGGGCAACGTTTACTGGCGGGGTTGTATGAGGTTATACCAAGGGGGTAATTGATTTGCGCGACATAGGCGACCCAGCGGTGATGCCTGACTCGGGGTATCGAGCGTATAACCCGGGCACGAGCAAATGCACATGTGCTATTCGCTCGTCATTACAAGCTGTACACATGAATCCTGATTGTCTGGCCTGAAATGCTGCATGTTAAAGTTTAGTCTATTCGAGCCGGCAATTGCTAGGTACCGTCGGCCCCACGTGTTCACAGCGCATGCGTTGGAGTGTTATAGGCACGTTGCCTCCTGGGGTAAGCGAATACTACAATGATGGAGCACAAGGACTTAACAATCAGCATTACTGAGACACAATTGAGTTGCGTAATCTCATTGTGATCGGGCATTCGGAACATCTCCTCCCAAGATTCATGCTAATTGGTGAGAGTGCGCCCGAGGCAAACAACCGATGTCATGTTGAGGGTGAAAATCTCAAATCGGGACCGTCCATAATCGGAGACCGATGAGCGTACTGAAGCCGACGTTGGCCCAAATCACGGTATATTGCCGTTAATCGTGGATTTACAATTTTTAGTAGCTGGAGATCTGCCGAGAAGACTATACATACTGGCTACGGGGTGCAGCATGGGTGGACACAAGCTTTGCTTGTCTCGGTAGGTCACTTTCCCCAGCTAAGCCACAGTGAAGTGAGATACTCGCCAACCACACTCCCCCGGAAGTATTAACCATATGAAGTACTTGAGAAGCAAATTTTCCTGATAGGGCAGCTGTTTGACGCCGTCGAGACTATTGGAAACAAAAGGAAAAGCCGACCATTTGGCCCTTGGTGTAGTCATGGCTTGTAGTTGCCAGCTTTCAATGTTCTGGAACGCGTAATACTAAATATTGATTAAGTAAAGTCTTGTTGAGTAAGTTCATCTGAAATCGTGAGCTAGTCTTATGAAGGATTCGTTCGTTACGGCGTTTCGAGTAGCGGCTACGACTTCGATGGCACTTCTAAATGTCCATGACTGCTATGTGTATCATCCCAATTAGAAAGTTCGCTTGACATCTTTTGCCCTGATGCTAGCATATCTTCTATTAAGGAGCGGCGTGATTGACAGGTCTGCTACTATGACGAACAGATGTTTTAGGGTGGAAAATTATCAGGAGGTGTCCGCGGAGGGACCGGAGGAATTGGCTGTATTTGGTCGATCGAAATGGACAACCCTACTCTACTCTGTTATCAAAATCTCACAATTCTCTGTATGCTCTGCACAAGTGGTCGATACGAGTTATATACAATGTCATCTACTATTATAAAACTTATGGTCCAAATTCAGAACTCATTCGACTGTGGTGTTCAGAATGATTCCTAATGCAGATCCGCGTAGACACACATCCTGGGCTTAATATCAATTGTTTCATTGAACATGGTCACAATATGTCAACAAGTGCCGGCAGCCTGCAGTTGACCTTACTGCTTCAGAATCGAGATCCCAATACGGATCTGCCTTCTCACTAATACTCAAACGTTGTTTGGTGAGCGGAAGTAAAGGTCGAAGCGGACGTGCCCGGGGGTCGGGGGGTTAAATGAAGACGCGAATTATCTCGGTGATCTCATTGGTGTCTTAAATCAGAGACCCAGTGGGAAGGGGCTTCACCGAAATCGGTGTCGTTTGTTGCGAGGACACGACCTTTGCTTGCACTGTGGAGATTAATGAAATCGGTCTACGCGAGTCGAGTATTGATGACGGTGAGCATTCTCGTCCTCAAGTATTCGGTGAGTGCTGGAATGATTTCGGCTCCGGGTTCTAACTTTCTGGCTGTATAATAGACAGATTGACTATGTGCATCACAACCGTGCAAGGTGCTTCAGTCCCCATTCTCAACGTCGAATGTCATGCATATCACCTACGGTGGGAGAAAATCCATGCCCAGGCAACCTGCATGCTTCCAAGACGGAAAGCACGGAAGAGTTGTTGTGAAAAGTGGCCCAACAGACTGGGCATCTGAGCTGTCACTCGATTCATGTTTACGGCAAGGTTCCCCCATGGAATGATGCGTGGTTTGTTCTATTGTAGTTCTGCACTATAATTGTCTCCACTCAGGTCCACACCTAGAAGAGTCGAGCATGTTACGGTAATGCGGAGGATGTGACGATCGGCAATATGGCTCCACTGGTCTTCTTACGATGAGGTGAGTGATATCAAACAACGTCATCCAGGCGAGGGGTATCGAGCATCGGCTCGATTCTGAGATTGGCAGGTCCTGCCATGCGTTCCTGAATACTGCAGGAGCAATAAACTCTGAGCGCTTAGTCTTTCTGGCACCGGATAAGCCGTCTATGTCAGTTTAACACGTTACCAGGAGGATCTCGAAGAGGCTCATGCCTATGTGTGAGTGAGCTTTAATGACTACATTAGCCTATGCACTAATCTTTGATAGGAAACAAGCACTCAGAGTACCGAAAAAGAGTGTCGGCACTTAAGCGTTGCGTGGAGGATTCAGGGAACAAGCCTGTCGGAGCTGAGATGTCTGACAGCAATAAGCATTTTGTTTGATGATCTACGAATTGACACACCTAATATTAGACTATCACAATCCATAACTGGACTAAAATCTGCTAACCAGCTAGATATTCGTTCAATCTGCGCGCGGACATAGCTAGACTGACCTACATGCTTAAGCAGCCGACTCACATGATATGTCAAGGCCTTCCCCCTTCAAATCCGTTAATAGAGTTAACAAAAGCGGTCGGATTTCATTCGTCTTTTGACAAGCTTAGCTCGTTGTTCTGTTTGTGTCAAATTTGAGTAGACACAATCGTCTTGTGTGTGGATCTGCAGAAGTTTCATTTCACTAGGAGGAGCGCATCACTTTTGCAACTGTTATTGGAATTTTGTGACGCTTTTGTATTCATGACCGAGAGTGCAGGTATATATGCCAACACCAACTTCCTTCACAAAGAGAGACTTTCATATTCAATCCCTTCTTCCAAGTTTTTCCAATCCTTCTCAGAAACTGATATCATAATAACGCCACTGCGGTGCCCGCTGCTGAATTTCACAACGGCTTTAACCGAGCTTGGAGGGGGTGTAGCTCTGGTCGGGAGTAACCACTGTGCCGGCCTGGACCTGCTTGTCGGTGTAGGCAGGGTAAACGATCAGACCCGCAGCGTAGTCGACAACAGCGAAGGTGGTGAAGCCGTTGCCGGGGCCGAATTGGCCAGACCAGCCGGAGGTGACGGTGTATGCGCCGCAGGTGACTGGGCCTCCGTTGGTCTGCGAGGCTGGGGGTCCCTTAACGACCTCAGTGCAAGGGGTGGTGGTCGATCCGTTGTTGATGCCGAAGGTCCAGGTGGCAGTCGTGTCAGCGGCGTCGACGACACGCTGCAGGCTGGTGATGGTCCATGTTGTGGCCTGGGCCATCATGGAGACGGCCTCAGCCCTGGGCTCGAGAGGAGCGGCCAGGGAGCCAGCAGAGAGGAGGGCCGAGAGGAGGAAGGTGGTGAACTGCATTTTGATTATGGTATTATAATTACGATCTCGGTGTAGAGTTCGGGGTCGAGCAGTATAAGGTCTTGAAGAGTGAGGTGGTTATGATAGTGTCGGATGAGGTGAACAGCTCAATAAGTCCACTCAGCAGAGCAGCCTCGACCTTATATAGGCATCGCGATCTTGGCGGAGTAGACGGTTGTTCAAGACATGCATATCATGAACGCAGCCTCAGACCAGCGATGAGGGCTTACCGTCACTTCCGTTCTCCAACGTCGTCATGGCTCGTACCCGACTCCGAATGATCCTCGTTACAGTCTCCCCACTGAGCAGATGTCAGCTGTTCGCAAAAGCATGGTGGGTCAGGTGGTCGAAGAGAGGATACCCCAGGCTGCCATCGCGTAAAGAGCCGCGGCAGTGTGCGTTCCTGGCGGCAGACGTTGAACCTTGGATCGGCATAGCTCCGAGGACCCGAGCTCGTATTCACCTCCGGCTTCCGTGTTGTGTGGAGTAGGGTGCCAACGCTAGAGACAACCCGCCAATCCTACGTCAGATTTTGGGGAACTCCTTTGTTCTCGTATGTAAGCTTAATCTGGGTGGATCTTCGCCTCCGTTGCTTGGCGCTCGGCTTGCTGGAAATAGGAACAAGGCGGAGTGGGCGAGATCGATTCTGGGGGGTTGGGTTCCAAACTGACGTTACACGTCTGACTTTCACGGCAAAGGGCGTCGTCGTGTCGTATTTCTTTTCTCACCGATCAATGCAATATCGAGCCCTATAATGAAATTGCAGAGACAGAACATATGGGGTGCATGAAACGTTCCATTAAGCTACATCGTTAATAGGTTGCCTTCAATGCATGTCTTTCACTTCTGCATAAGCGCTCATGTAAGGTGCCTACATCCAACATGCCTCATCAAACTTTGGCTCAACAGATTCTGTTGATCATCAGGGGTTTGCTGCCAGGCTACTGCTAGCGAGGGCTTTTCTTGAGGTCATTGTCGCGCCTCTACATACAGCATATGCAGAGACGCGGGTGACTCCACATGGCCATCGATCGATCATGCCCCCTCACGTTCCTACATCGTATTTCGCCTTGATGATGCCAGAATGGCACATCAGGATATTCGAAATGCCACGGGACGCTGCCACAACGCCTGTTCAGGTGAGGAGTTTCAGCCACGCCACGCCACAACAACTGATGATGTGTTGCTGATGTGGGAAATAAGTCGATGTTGTGTCACTGGGCCAACCAAAGATCGTAGAGCTCTAGACTTCACATCAAACCATTGAGATATGTCTCGACTTTCAGCCATCTTAGGGAGCTGACATCTGGATCAGTACTGATTCCCTTCCCCGAGCTCTGACGATGAAGGCATGGATGGTTGTCAATCATACTCGTGCTTTCTGACATCATATACACCTGTGCTGTCGACACGCCTCGCATGTGTCTTAGTCGCGTCTGAAATAAGAGTCAAGTCTCAGCCCATCCACACGACCTGGGCGGAAACACCGCCCGAGCGGTTCACGGTCGCCCTTGTTTGCGCGGAATCTGAATGACACGTTGACATCACCTGCACTGGCAGACTCCACACGGGACTGGGTCCGCTCAAATGCAATCCTATCAGCCTTCTTACCGTAATGTGGATTCCGAGCTCCAGACCACGGCGTTGCCTCCCTAATGTTGCTGCTTCAGGCTCCCTTTGTCTTGCATTAGGGCTCTAGGTGCGCTGGCATGGAGTTGTCGATTCATGTCCTGAGCGAACCCCTGAAATCCTCATCTTAGGCCAATTCAACAAATGCTCCTGCTGTGTGGGTACTACAAGGGTATGTGTACGCAAAAACTAATGCATCCAAGCCGATCATCCGAATCCTCCTCGCCAGCTTTCTATTCGGCCTGAATCAAGATTCAGTCTACGTGAAATGTGTCGCACCGATCAAAATTGCAGGAGAGCGAGTTGCTGGAAATGTCTGAGATCAAGACTTCGTTGACTCGGTGGCTTAGCATAGAGCCTTTCTTTGACAGTAAGGACTTCACAGTAGCACATGGCTGGGTCATGCATTCAAGTCATTAGTGTGAGACTTTGCTTGCGATTGTTAGGTCGGAAGAGCTCCTCGATGTCCGGCAGGAAATTACTCGAGGACTGGCAACTGCACGGAATATGGCGCCATGGAGAGTCACTGCTAAGTGCCTCATAGCTAGAGGGTTATCAAGGTCTCGTTTGGAAGCCCAAATTTCGAGTTGATTGCTGGGGAAACCTACGTTGGTGTTGAGGGAAGGCATAAAATGTATTCAAAGTCATTGATCGCCAGAGGTCGGGAACAGCCTTCGCCTGAGGAAAGAGCTCTTGATTTATTGCATCGCTTGTAGGAGATATCGCGGTATATGGGAGAGCATTCCAATGTCCAGCCTTGAACTTAAACGCCAGCCTGTCAGCTCCTGTTGCTTGTAATACCCCTGAATGTTTAGAACAAAAGCATAGTTTGACGTGACGTACCTTGTAGTGTCTGAACTTCGGTCTTTTGTGCAAATAGCAGTTGAAGCCCTCGTGAAATGTGTAAAGAGAACACGGCAAGCAAAAAGAACATGCTTTGTCGCCGATATTGCGGTCGTCTATCTCAGACTTTGCATCGGATTCGCGTTCCAAGTTCGCGAAACAAAGACACATTCGCATGATCGATATCGAAAACTTGCGATTTCCGTCTCTGCAGCATGAGAATCGAGCTCGCACAGGGCCATAAACTGTGCTAGACGAAGGATGCACTGGATGTATTTGATCATTCGTAGTTGAGGGGAGAATGGTAATCACGGCGACGGGAATGGGAAGAGTTTTGTAGAAAGTGATGAAGCATACTCCAATTGCCTTGGATTATATTCGGCGGGTTGCCGGTGTATGCAAGTGCATTCATGGAAATAATGTCAATTGCATGTCTTTTCGTGCTACCGGATATAATACAAGCTAGTAATTCTCTCCCGGTCAACTATACCGATAATGCTTAGCCATCTATGTAGTCTTGATTCGCAGGCTATACCACCCGCTTTTTAGCACAGAAGAAAAGGAATGTATTAGTTCTTGTTTGAAGTTTTTGTAGTCGCAATTTCCCGGGCCCTGAGCCTCTAGATTTACCATGAGCACCAGTATCGAGCATGCCTAAAGAATGCTGAACGTGGAATACACGCTTTCAAGAGACACCTTTAGCAGCTCAACAAGGTGCCACAAGGATGTGGGATCTCAAGCAGCACATGCGGTATCATGCAGCTCGGACTTCGGCGCGTGAGTGCTAGTAAAACTTGAAATGGCACGGAAACGGACTATGCTCCGAGTGGACTTGAGCAAAATCGGGTATTGACTTGGACACCAACTGCAGCCTTCAAGAGTCGTCCTAAATGAAGCTCTGCGCTTCAGGCGGAAAATTGTTGTGTTTCATCTATTATTTGAAGACATGTCAAGAGCTGACCATGCGTTCGTTTCAGGTCGTCTACAGCAATACCGAACTGACGGTGCGTTATAAACAAGAGGTCTGTTGGATGCGAAAGTAAGGTTTGGCCCATGATATCGATACAAAAGACGAGTTTCGTACACAACCCGGCAGTGTTGAGACTCCCTGTTGCGCGCGGGACAGAAGGCAGTCGAATTTTCGATGATTTTTTTTGATGTCCTAATCACGAAGCAATACTGTAATGTTTTTAAATGGGGCGCGCTTGATGCCAATACATGCGGTGCTTGTATTTCCGGCTTCGAGGGCCTTTAGCCCGAAAAAGCGCGGCTGACCTCTTCCGAATACAGCTCAATACAACCAAGCGGGCAAATTGACGAGGATGCAGAGCGCCAAGGACGGTCCGGACTGCCAATGGTCATGTCAGGTCGGAAGAAAGCATACTTTTATTGCGAAGCCACCTCGTGTACTTCAACGTACGCGGGGGCAACTACTCCATGCAGCTTTTGAGGGAGGCATCGTCTGCTGACTACTATAAATGAAAACCTTGTAGTCCGTACTGGCGAAAGGTTCACTCCACAACATCACGGCCTGCGGATAGATAAGCTCTGGCCCAGACCGATTCCGATGTTCAAAACCTTATAATTCGTGTCTTCAGACTCTCATTTCCGTGTTTCCTCGAAGGTGGGCGCATCTTCGCGAACGACCCACATTTACTTGTCTGTTTGCTTCGCTTCGCGACCGTTGAAGATGGCCTTCAAGTTATTCTGGCTGGCGTCATTGCTTACTGCTGTCACCGCAGCAGACGTGCCGGTTTATGGGCAATGTGGTGGCACTGGATACACGGGGTCTACGACTTGTGCTCAAGGATCGGTCTGCACATCGTATAATTCCTATTACTGTGAGTGACAGCTGAATTGAGCTCTGCGTTGATGTTGGACTGATGTTGTGATTCGAAATGCAGCTCAGTGTGTTCCAGGAACATCATCGGCAGCCGTGAGCTCAACCACTTCTAAGGTGTCAACGACGACAAGCTCCATCAAAACAGTCACGACTTCTACGGCAGCACCCAGCAGTGCACCCTCAGGAACTCAGTATATGATCACTTTGTCAGTATTTTAAACAGCCCAGACTTGTCCCACTTTGCTCATTCTAGAACCAGCGGAGACTCGTACTCGCAGACCGGATTCGACATCAACGGTACTAAACCATCAGCTAGCAACCCCATCGGTAACCCAGCTTTACCCGGGTATACAGCTTCCGGCGGTCTCAACTGGGTGGGAATGTTGGCGTCACAATTGAAAGTCTCAAACCTTCTGGCGTACAACTTTGCGTACGGTGGCGCGACTACCGACTCGAGCCTCGTTACGCCATACGATCCCAGTGTTAAAAGCTTCGTGGACCAAGTTGGCGAATTCAGCAGTTCCCTCGCGTCTCACCCATCGTATGCTCCCTGGACCGCGGCGAATACCCTTGTGGGAGTGTGGATCGGCGTCAATGACGTCGGCAACACGTACTGGCTCAGCAATGTCGACGATGTTATCAAGGCCGTTATTGCTCGGTACTTCGAGCAGCTGCAGATAATCTACAACGCTGGCGCGCGAAACTTCTTCCTGCTGAGCGTTCCACGTGAGTTTCAGCCCCCATTTCACCGTCAGAAAACTTCAATAGAACTACGCTGACAATGCCTGGAAAGCGATCCAATACACGCCCATGATGTTGCAGCAATCATCGAGCGCAAGAGACTCTGAGGCAGCCGTGATCACGAAATACAACCAGATGCTAACGTCCAGCCTTGCGAACTTCACGTCGACGAATAGCGGAGTTAAGGCGAAAATCATCGATACGACGACCCCTTTCATGACCGCCATCAACAACCCCACGGCATATGGGGCGCCAAACGCCACTTGTTACAACGCAGATGGAAAGAGCTGCTTGTGGTTTAACGATTATCATCCCGGCTACGCTATCAACGAACTGGTGGCTCAGGCGGTCGCGAATGCATGGAAGGGCAGTTTCTTCTAGTTCGAGGCAGAAGGAGATATGGAAATGTGGTGTGGGACATCTCCAATGGGTCTCTAGCTACTTCGTATCATTGCTACCATCTCTAAGTAGATGGACAGGAAATAAGATTCGACCTTGAAATAATCTTGCTTGAATGTAAATGTGAATGTGTTGATGCGGTATGTGACAAGTGTATCATGTACATTGACGACTCTTTTCTACTATGTTCAGAAATATACAAGAAGCTTCGAATCTAAAGAATCACCACCTATATCCATACTCCCCTTTAAAACCTTCTATACCTAATCATGCAAGTTAAAAACCCCTAGTAACGGCGGCGGATAACGCGGCCCATGCTGTCCCTCTTCCTCCTCTTGCAGGGGGCAGCATCGTCGGCACCCGTGTCCGGAGAGCTGCCGGTGGCGACATCGAAGGCGGCAATCTTCTCGGCCGCGTGCTCAGCAACAACCATGATGATGGCCTGTGTGTTTCCAGTGGGCAGGTCGGGGTGGATCGAGGCATCGACGACGAAGAGGTTGTCGGTGCCGTAGACCCTGGTGTCGGTGTCGACGACGCTGGTTCCGTTGCTCCGCCCGTCATCGGTGCCCATCTTGGTGGTGCCGACCCAGTGGTCACCCGAGATCAGGCTGTCGGCGAGGATGGAGTCAGGGGTGGAGCTCGCGTCGAGAGCCATGGTGGAGGCGATGGAGCCGTTGCTCTTGGTGGTGACGTCCATCCACCACTGGATGAAGTCGGAGAAAGCAGCCCTGTCCGCCTCGTCCACCAGCCATGGCTTCACGTTCAGGACGGTGTTGCCGCCGGCAGTGATTCCGAGCTCGCCGGTGGAGGTGGTGCCGTGGGTTAGGAAGGCCTTGATGGTGACCGTGCCGTCCTTCATGGAGCTGACAGTTCCCTGCAGGTAACGCTCGCGGCCATCAGTGCCGTTGACGGATGTCCACAGGTGCATCCTCTGCGCGGCCTGGGTAAGGACACCGGAACCTTGCTTATAGAGCGCCACGTCGGACTCGACGGGGTCGGTCGCAATGCTGTCGTACTTGTAGGCGGTGTAGTTGGCGGAGGTCTTGAACTGCAGAGGAGCCTGGGCGTGATCCTTGAGGCCGTGGCCAACAGGAAGGTCGATCCAGTCGGCCTCGTCAGGCAGCTTGACGCCAGTCGTACCACCCTGGACAATCTTCAGGGCATCAGACCTGCCGATGCCAGAGTTCCAGAGGACTCTAGGAGTGGACAGGGCGCCGGCGGCGAGGACGACCTTGCCACCTTCCTTCAGGTTGATGATCTGCTGGCTGCCATCCTCGAGCTCGGCAAGGACACCAGTGACGCTGCTGCCAGTGCGCTTAACTTGGATGACCTTAGTGCCGAGCTTGAGGGTGAAGTTGTCGAGGTCCTCAGCGAAGGGCATGTAGGTCCTGGCAGGGCCGGCACGGAGGTTGTTGGTGATGGACCAAGCGGGTCGAGAGTAGACCATGTGCTTCTCGTTGGGTGTCTCGATGGAGTCAACGTTGGTCCAGCCTTGCGCGTCCAGGTAGGAAGACACAACTGAGTAGGCCATGTCGTCGTAGTGCTTTCCGTCAGCAGAGGGCTGAGTGGTACCGGGGTTGCGGGAGTACAGGCGGTCAGCGGCCTTGCTCACATCGCTCGAGGACCATCCCGCGGGCCAGTTCTCAAAGTCGTGCGCAGGAGGGCGGATGAAGTTCTCTCCGTTGATGGAGCTAGATCCTCCCAGAAGACAACCAGCCATCGAGGCGGTGTCACTGCACACCTTGGTGCCGGGAATGGCAGACAGGCTGCTTCCAAGGGCGGGGATATCATATGGAGTCAGGGTGTTGTTCCATTCCAGACCCTCTTCGGACCCGAGTGCGACGGTGTTAGCTGGACCACGCTCGATCAGGAGGACGCTTGAACCAGACTCGGCAATACGCTCAGCAGCGATGATACCAGCAGGGCCACCACCAACGACAATCACGTCGTAGGTCACGTTGGAGGTGGTGGGAGCAGCGGCAGTGGCGTTGCCAGCCACTGGTGTGGTTGAGTTGCTGCCGGCTCCTGGCGTAGGTGTGGCAGCCGCGGAGGCCCACGAAGCCCAAGTCTCGAATTTGGCTGACTGAGCATCAGCAGCTGGGACTCCGTACAGTCCAAATCCGGCATCGTGGTAAGGCAGGTCGCTGGTGGGGTCGGAGGGAGTTGTAGGGTCTGAAGAAGAAAGTGCCCATCCGAGCACAGGTGTCTCGTCTGTCGCCTTGAACGATGTTGTACCACCCACGATACATCCCTCGCAGAGGAAAGTGAAAGAGAAATGGGTGCTGTTGACGAATGTTCCGTTGGCGATCGGCAGTGCGCTGACCTCGGTGGCGTCGTAGACAGCTGGATTGGCATATGCACTGGCGGTTCGGAAAGTGCTGACGACCTCCTCTCCGTTGGCCCAAGCAACGAGCAGGAGGTGGTTTAACATGCTCCCGGCTAGCGAAACAGCTCCCCATCCTCCTGTCTTGCTGATTGGCACCACAAGCTGTCCGATAAAGTCTGACTCGATCGTCTCGGGAAGAGCAATACCGAAGGTAAACTGGCCACCGTTGGCAGAGTATTGTTGGAAGTCAATGCCAGTCTTGGGATCGGTGTATGCGGCTGATGTCGTAGCCGCTGTCACCATGCGGACGAGCCCGGCAAGGGCCGCCGCCGAGCCTATAAGTGTAGAACGCATGGTTGTGTACTTGTCCAGGTGCTAGAAGTTGTATGGGTATTGGTAAGATAGAGATTGAAGCTGACAGATCCTAGCTCTGTCGTGATGGATGAATGAATGAATGTGTTAATGAATGTAAAGCCAGGCAGATGCTCTGACGAGAAAAAAACGAAAGACAACACCGAGCTTGCGGTGACTTCAAAGGATGCAATCCAACTCAAGATGGTGCTGCTCAAGGAAAGGAAAGACTGAAAGAATTGAGCGGCATTCTCGACATATATCCTACGATTCTGTGGACCACAACCGCCTCCAAAAGCGTGCGACTTAGATTACCAACGTCCATGTTGTTGTGAGTCCCGCTTCCTGTTTAGGGGGAGTTCAGGGGACTGGCCTGAGTATTTCGGAGGTTTATGTTTGACGCCAACGATGTTGCAAGGGTGTTCTACATAACATGCGCAGGCAGCGCTTGAACTGAGTGATAGATTCTCCGTGTAAGCTTTTGCGGGCCCCCTTCCACAACAGGAACTCTCTACTCAGGGGCAAGCATCTGGATCCTCGTGATCACATAGCGAGTCGTGCGCGGAATCATAAGTGGGAATCAGGGTGAGTAGAGGGCAGTGCTGCAGAATATTGTGGGTGAGCCACGAGAGTCACTGTTTCGTTGCTGATCGCACATATTCTATTCGTTTCGTTTCGTTCTGTTTCTTGCCGTTTCTGTTTGTCGATCCTGCCGTCGGTCGAAGCACAGGAGCGGTTGACGTGATAATCGACGACCGGCGGCGAGTGGGGGTGGAGACCTGCCATTCGGATCCGAAAGCCGGAGACGACGGGTATTGGTGGAACATCTGAGGAGGCTGCATTGCCCCTGTCATCAATCCTGCACAAGCTTAAACGCCAAGATAGGATGATAGGAAATTCGAGGGCCCTAATTCGCTGATCTTTCTGTGAGGAACGGTCCGTCATATCTCGGCGAAACGGCCGCTCAAGCGAAATATAAGGTGGATTCAATTCGACACACTGAACAAGATTAAATAGGGAAACAACCTTGTTTGGTGGGCCGTCAGGAGATCGCCTTCCAGGGAGCCGAGATGAGAGGATGACAGACCCAGTGAATTGGATTTGCAACGCAGGGGATGTTGGCGCTGGCGTCATCGCGCCGCTCACAGTTACCGAGGGATAATGCTCTTGAGCCTCCCTTTAGCCCGTAGGCCTCGTAGCATGATGGCCTTCCACCAATAACGTGGCGCCAAAGTGACCAAAGTACAAGCTCCTGTTCGCTTCAGCCTCAACTCCATCGTCGCCAAGCCCGGCGCCAATCGAAACGTCCCAAGATTCTGGGCGCCGGCCAGCGTTGCCATTTTTGTTTTGACAGAACATAAATGGAATATAAAATTCTCTGCTGTCATTGCCTGTCTGTATTTTGTGCTGACGGTTTTCAGAGCGAGTGAGTGGGTACTTGACGCGATGTCACTGTCCTTTTCGATTCGGCTGTATCCGAGACATGCTCCTTGTCGTCAAAACGCACGCTTACAATCTAGGCACTTCCGCGGCGCATTCAAGTTGCCACACCAATAACCGCCAGAAGGAATGTAATTCAATGGTGAAATCATGACACCCATGCCCGGCAACCAAGACTTCAGTCGCTGCGATGTCAATCTAATCAAAGAAGTGCGTTCCGACCTTGGGTCGGGGAAGGCAGGAGTGAAGCATGCAGAGTTGCAAGGTGACTATTTGAATGCTGCTGAAAATTATCGAAACATGATTCCTATCATAACGGTAGGGGTTAGAAGGCTAGCCAATCCTTTGCTTCCTTCTCACCCAAACTTCACTCTCGCCTCCTTCAACGCTTTCCACCGCAACAGGACGGAGCTCAATCTCCCACACCTGCAGCCTATAATTACCCCGATCGCCTCTGCCAGTAATCAGATCAAAAGACCAGCCGTGCTTGGGACATGTGATACCCGAACTCAACACAATACCAAAATCTTCTATGTCGAAAGGTGTTCCATCTGAGAGAGGATATGATGAATGAGGGCACTCCTGCAAATCAGATTAGCCAAACCCAATCTGGAAACAGACCTGAGGCGTCTGGGACAAGGTACTATTGCTTGCCTGATTTATTGCGTGAAATTTTCCCTTGTACTGGAACACAAGCACCTGATCCCGTAAACCGCCTGCCTCCGACGGTGCCCCCGAATCATCAAGTGCCACCTCGCTGGCACGCGAGCTATCTTCTTTGGGGACGTAGAATACTTTGCATCCTGGTTTTGTATCGGCACCGTCACCGCACGGGCGTATATGGGCAATGTTATCGTCATCCTCGCCAGTGATATTTGGAAATGACGATGCCAGACCGACTCGAAACCATGCGTTGCCCCCTTGGGACCGCGAGAAGGGGTTGAAGAACAAGGTCATTTCTTTGAGATGCAGCGACTATTCATGTACCCAAATTCTTTGACTGGCGCCTTTTGGGGAAGGACGGTCCATGGATGTGTGATTGTCGGTGACCTAGATTGGTTCGACAGAGTTTGACCCGCGAGACCCGGATGACTCGACCTCGGAATTGGTGGCTTCCTCCCTTGAAGCGCTATGAGATCACAGTCAGCATCTAGCGATTTGAATTCAGAGGGCTTTGATCTCGGGCGATGCCTATCGACAGCAGAAGACAAGGCTGCGAATTGGTCGCTTCGAGTGATTGTGAACCCCTGAACAGGGTGTGATAGAGGACAAAACTATAGCGTGTGATAAGAGAACGGGAAGGGTCAGGGTTTTAAGCTCAATGAGGAAGGGGGTGTCGGGGGGGGGGGGGGATGAAAGGGAGAGGCAAGGGCACGTTTCCTTAACCCCTTGGAACATATCCTCATGGTGCTATGAGTAGTATTTAAAGAATCCAAGTAATAATTCGCGTCAGTGGAATCCGCGTTTCATTTTCTGTATGTACGAGCGTTGTTCCAAATCAACCCGGGGGGGGGGGGGAAGTGTCACAAAATAATGTTGAATGCATTCTTAGATCACGACTAAAAACTCATTGCGGTTTCCAATTCGAGAGGAAAGAATATAGCAAGAAGAATAACTCTAAGCCTAGGTGAGCGGACTTGTGCAGAGAGAATGCACAAGTTCGCATCGGCAAGCCCGCCGCGACATTGTATGTGTCGAATCGGGGTCAGGTTCGCACCCGGGACCTCTGCATTCTCATCTTGACAATGTTCGCTCTGCCCATAGGAAAGAAACGAGGCTTCGCTGCTAAACAGTTCATGGTCCAGATCGTGCCACTGCTTACCATTTTTTTTGGCTCAAGATCGCCACCGCCTCCAGACCATCCACCCCCTCCTATTCTCGGCCTTCGCATTTTCGGCCTTTGCATTGTCGGCCTTCCTCAACCTGTCATTCCTCCACTTCATACCCCAAATGCGACTCATTATTGCCAAAGAAATGCAGAGGGCGAATGCGACAGCCATGCCCCCGAATGTCTGCAGTCGCCCAAACTTCTCAATCAAGTAATGGGCGGCGGGGACAGCCCCAGCAGACAAACCGCATCTTGCGAAATTGTTCATAGCCGTGGCGGCAGCGCCGTTTCCGGGATGCAAGTCCGTAATGAGGGTGGAGTTGATCGCGAAGATCATGTTGCTGGTCAGCGCGATGAGGAGTTGTAGTGTCAGAGGCACCGCCAACCAGCCGGGTTTCGAAGTAAGGGATGGCTTCCAGAGCGCGGCACCGTATAGCGCGGTCAAGACAGCCAGCAGCGGGGCGGCCCAGAAGACGTGACGGAAGCGTGCCTTTTCGATCGGAAAGTCTCCAGGTATGGACTTGGGTGATATTTCGCGATCATCCGTGATACCGTGTGCGATTTTGTAAGTTATCTCGACGGTCCTGTAGTCCCTGTCCATGAGCCGTCCGGCGAGCCATGATCCCATAATTGTGCCAATGCCTGTTAGAACCAAATGTTATCATTATTGTTCGTTCTGGAACAACTCTCAATGAGATTGCTTAACGTACCGTTTGGTAAAGATGCGTAACCCAATTGGAGTTCGCTGAGACCAAATGTCTCTCCCAGCAGCGCCGGCGTAGTGGCATTAACGATAGACCAGATCGAGTAAGCGACTGCACCGAATATGAGGTTCAGCAGCGTGTCGGTTTCCGATAGCATGCAAAGAGGTTTCACAAAATCACGGGGCTTCGGCATCCTCCTGACCGTCTTATCTGGCCCTGTCAGATCGGATGGCTTCCTGCAGATGCTATCCCACAAAGGCTTGTAAAAGATGCTTTTGACGCGCACGGAGCCGTTTCCAGCGACAGTTCGCAGCGTTTCAGGCAGAAACATGACCATTGTGATGATAACTAGGCCGGCGCTGACTGCAAGGAAGATGAATGTTGACCGGAATCCCCATGTTTGAGATAGAGCGCCTCCGATCAAAGGCCCGATGGCAATACTGAAGTTGCGTACTATGGAAAGTAATTCACGGTTAGGCCGACCTCAATAGTGTTGACTATGATGGCGGTTCTTCTTCTAGCTTACTAGCCTGGTACATGCTTAGGAGACCACCGCGCTCGGAGGAAGTCGAGATATCTTGAATGACCCCGTTGCCTGCCAATATATCAGTCATATGCGGATGGTTTGTGAGATTCGAGGGTCATCCACATACCGATGCTAACAACTGAGGCGCTACCGCAGGCTTGCAAGGCGCGAAAAATGAATAGGACCACGAACAAGGGCGAAAAGCTCAAAACAATGTTGGCAATAATATAGACGATGAAAGAATAGACATAAACTTGGCGTCTACCCAAGCTTTCTGATAATGTTCCCCATAAAAGTGGCGCGACACCTTGGAAAAGCTGGTAGGTAGTAATTGTAAGGGAACCAAATTTGTGCGATACTGTGAATTCCTATGGCCCGTTAGCTAGAAAAGGAGGATGGGGCGTGAGGTTGGCTTAGCTTACTTTTTCAATTGAGTTGAGGCACGGGAAGTAAATATTAGATGACAAGCCAGAGAAAGTGCCAGCCAAGCCAATCAGGCCCACCACTGCCCATTTTTTCCGAGTTCCAAAGACGTGGTACGGCTCAACCGCATCCGCTTGTGAGATTTCTGGGGACTGTGCCAGTTGCTCCTGGTGACCTAATTCCAAGATGCGTGAACCTCGATCCTCCTCTGGCAAGCTATCAGAGTTGCTCTGGCTGGAACTGGTCATCGGAGGCAAGGTCTGCAACGAGAAGGACGTGACATCGATACTTGGTTCCCTTTCTGCTTTTTCAGAAAAGGGGTTCAGAGACCGGGCACCCGTTCCAGCAGCTGGAAACAAGCCACTTCGAAAATTGCCCTGCTCGCTCATTTTCGCAGCCCTGAATGACTTTTTCTGTCGAATTTGTTTCGCTTTTAGGTCTTCCGCGAGACTGGAATATTTATTCGCACACCGTTGGCGTAGTATACCTCATGAGATGCGGAGTGATGCGCGGAGTCGATTTATTGGGCATGAGTGTTGCTGGATAGTTTAAAAAGAGCCCACAAGAAATAGCATTAGGCTTTGATATTTATTGAAATTCGAACCGAGTCATCATTTTTTTGCCTAATATATTTTGAGCAAAAAGTAAACGTGTGATCAAGCACATTAGTGAGCATGGCTAGAACAAGGCGCGAGACTAAGGAGAACAAAATGAAAATTTAGTATTTCTTTCAATTCTAGAGATCGACTAATAGACGGTGCGGCCCCAAAGCGCTGCATCTAGCGATCAAAGTGTCCAACACAAGATGCAGCGGAATTAATTTTACTGTTCATTAATCCCTGTGCATAATATTTTGCAAATGAATCTGAGAACATTCAACAAAAAATCAATTCAGACTGATTATTACTTACTAGATGTAGCTTAATATCTTAGCTTTGCTGTAAGCCTATATGTCTGTGGAGCGAAAGGCTTTTTCATGAGCGGTCCTTTTATCTCTCATACGTAGCATTCTTCATCAGATTTGGACGTGTAAAATGTGCAATCGCCCGAAGTCTGGTGCAGATATGTCTGTTCAATTTCGACGCCATCTGCTGGCCCAGTTTTCAGGGCTCAGGCGCACCCGCTCTGTCCACGGTTAGGTCCGCAACTCTTTTTCCCTGGCATGGCTGGGAGCGTTGGAAAGAGACGTCTCACTAGTTGTTCTTGGATGAAGAGGAGTTTAGAACAGCCGCAGGTGCTGACCACAAATAACGAACATGTTGGTTTGATCTAGGGTGGTGCCTACGTCTGCCATCATCTCATACACTGAAGGATGTGCGCGGCTGAGCAACGCAATTCAGCTGCACAAAGGTGTCGACCTCCTAACATTGATAAAGAACGAAGATATAGACGGCATGAGAACATTTTTGGATGAGGGCGTAATATTGACTCTTTTTAAAATTTCTTCTTAACATATTCTCATGGGCTAATGGGGGGCAACAAGAGAGGCATCCCGAGAAATCATGTCATACCTTACGAATGCACCCTGTTGACACGACGGGCTGCCCTTCCTTGATATCTTGGCATCAGATTATATTTCATTGAATACACAGAGTTAGCCGACTACTTTCGCAACCCAGTCATACATCGTCAGCCCAAGTTGGCTCTCTGCGCCGATCTGGCAATGTTCACCTGCGCCAGTGTTGGACTGGAACAGATGGAACGTCGCCTCAGAACCAATCATTTGCGCAGCAGTAGGCGCCTGTTCCAGACCGACCGTATCGTGGTCGGCACCACCCACAAAGACGGGAACCGTCAGATTCTGCGCGAACCCATCGATAGTGTAGTTGCCCAGCTGGTCAAACCAGTTGTAATACGAGTTCGTCTTGAAAGCCCAGAGGCCCTGGTCGACGACCCACTTGAAGCTGGTGGGCGCCAGGCCGCTGTTGTAGATGGCCAGGGTGTACGCGTTGAAGGCGGTCTCGTTGCCGGCCTCGTACAGCTGGATCAGCTGCGCGGGGAAGAGATCCTTGAGGACCTGCTGTAGGTTGTATAGCCCGTCCACCACCGTCACGCCCGCGAAGCGCCGTTCCACGGCCGCGGCGCGCACGACGAGGATCGCGCCGAAGGACTGGCCGTGCAGGATCAGCTTGTCCATGTCGACGTCATCACGCGTTTCGAGGTAGTCGACCACCGGGGTTACTACGTCCCACCAGTTCGGGATGAAGCCGAGGCCTTGCTCGCGGCGCACGGTGGGCTGCCCTGGGCCCTCGTAGGAGATAAAGTTGTATCCTCGAGAGGTGGCCTGGCGTCCTATCCCATGGTATAGGTCCTCTTGGCTGCCGTCGTAGCCGCTCACGGCAACGATGGTTGGGCGCTTGGTTGAGTCAACGCAGGCGCGTTTCGCCTTCTTTGATGGGGAGCAGTATGTCTCGGCTGGGTAGAAGTAGGCTGGAATGGTGAAGCCTGGGGCCTGGATGGTGAGTTTTTCGCCGGGAAAGGCGAGTAGCTCGATAGCCTGGGCGAAGTCCTTCAGTTGGCTGTCCCAAAGACTGTACAGTCGAGGATCAGAGCTGTTGTGAACGAGGAAAAAGCCTGAAGTCCGGTAGTAGGATGCTGCATGAAAGTAAGACTCCAGTTGACCGATTGGAGATGTGGTACTGTCGCCTTGGGCCTCGATCTGGCCTGCGAGGTAGCTGAACTGGCTGTACCAGCTTTCAAAATCACCGGGCGTGATTTGCGAGGCAGCACGAAGGACTTCGCCGGTGTTTGAGCCCAAGTTATTGGACAGCGCAAGAACCACACTTAATATGTAAGAGAACTCGCTGTCGGTGCTGAGGGGCAATGTGGTCTCATTTGTGGCGTTGTTCTGGGCCGCCTAGTCCGGAGTCGAGGTCAGCAATTGCCCAGGAGACGTTGAGGTTGATGGGGGCTGGGACGGAAATGAGAGCACGTACTGCGGCCAGGAGCTGAGCGCTCCAGACAAGAACGTGGCTCGGCTTCATGATAACTGGCCGTTGTGTGGTGGTGTATTTTTCCGGATGATGTCCTGGTCAGTGGCTCCGAGCTGCCGGCTGTGGGCGATACTGTGCTACAACTGTTGAAGCTGGAGCACGTTCTAGTCGGCCATAGACTGTAACACCCGATGGTGGGCCAAAAAGCCACTCCCATGTTGAGAAGTGCGGACCATCCTCTTTATACTTGTGTTCACGAAATCATTGACGAGGATGTGAAGGTGCTACTGCAGACTTGTAATATGCCACACCCACATACGTCGTAGTAGGACGCGACACTGAATCCTTCGCGCGGCGTTGCTGTCATATGGAACCAGCCATTCCTGCAGGTGCTCAATTGTAGCTATGTCTTCTGCAAGGGCACACGTACGCGATGCTAGACTTGGACAGGACCGATTCCGCTGCACGCGTCCCTCGGCATGCTCCACCATTGGTGCAAAGAAGAGCATCTAAGGCTGCTGCCCTGCATATATTCGTCATTCGCGAGGTTATAAAGCATGAGGTAGTATGGGGAAAGCATGGAGAGGTGTTCTAGAAGGATTGCTTAGAGCTGACATCTCGCAATCGGGATCGGTCCCCCACACCAAAGACAGCGGATATTGAATCCTGCAGGTCATGCCTGTGAGCAAGACGGCAAATTGACCAATCACGCATGTTTCGAGGACATTGGTGACAGCATGTGATTGGCTGTAAGTCATTAACACATTAGGCTTAACAGTAAGCCAGGCCAGGCCGTCGTGATAGAGACGGCGGGAAAGATGCTGAAAGCTAGACGGCCGCCATGTCTCGGCTTGTTAGTCTAGGAGCCCTGACTAGAGAAGTTCGGGCTCGCGATCGCTTCCGTTTTGACCCCAGCACCGGTGGGCTGCCTTCTGTTAGTACAACGTCACCGTCGCAGCGCCAGGAACAAAACGGCGTGGGGTCTACCTTTCAGGGAAAACAAGCTTTCCGTGCCGTTGGAACCCTGGTCGACTCTAACGTCATGTCCCTGTTCTGACCGTTGCGACCTGAACATGTGCTCCAACGTGCTAAAGTCAATAGCTGTATTTCAAGATGATATTTTGTAAATGTTTATGAACCACTGTACAGCTGCAACATTTTCAAAGCTTCTGGCCCAATGTTCCACCTGTTGCAGCCACACTGAGGCACTTTGGTAACCCGAACCATGTAGAGGTCAATCTGGCTGCCTGGACTCTGGGCGACATCGTTTTTCCCACCCAAGAACAGCGGCAGGTAAGATCGGTTTGTTATCTTCCCGCGCACGTGAAAATGACTGGTTAACACTAGTCTTTGAATTTCGATATCTCTCACCGCTCTCACCCGTCCTTATTGCACTTCATGAGAGCGAGTGCGCCTCTGAACTTCGACAGTGAAGAGAAGCCCATGGCTCATTAATCCTTGACAATGGGACGTCTAATTCCGGCCCTTACGGCGGTACTTAGCGGCGCCATCACCGTTTCTGCCTCGCACTCTGCCTCCTACTACCACCCAGACATCAAGAGTGCCCACGATAATGCCTTCGCTATCTTCAACTCCATCCACTCCGCAATGCGACAATGGGGATCTTCAGTGCATCACAATGGCCTGTCGTTCTATCTTGCCACAGCTCCCGAGGGTAGTGTCTTCTACCATGGCGGATACAGTACAGAACGCCCGGATAGTTTCGAGTGGTTGGCCTTTGAAATAGAGCATGCTGCGCAATTTGCCGCCTCTTGGGAGTTTACACAGAGTGCAGACCTCAACACCATGGCCGATACAGCCCTCGATGCACAAATTTTGAAGACTCTTCTTCGACATCGAAGCTCTCACGCCAGGCCCCCGTCTGATCCCGGCCGCAGTCCGAACTTGCATAACAAGTTGTCCTCGCAACGACCTCTGGGAATTGTGGAGAACAACGACGAAGGCGATGAGGACGATGACGATGACGATGAAGATCCACCGACCAGACCACCGCGCTTTGATAAGCTACGGCGCGGGTATTTACAACTTTACCGTGCCAACCGACCCTTGAATCTCCTCTACATCGACGGTGAAGCTGCTGCAAAGTGCCCACTTGGCTCCCTCGACAGCCAGGATCTGATATTGCTCGGCCGCAACAAGTCCTCTGGCCCACCCACCTGGGGGGAATGGCCGCGGGCTAAGCAGTTGTGCGCTCTTGCAGACGAGTGGAAACACCCGACTGGGGCCAAAATCGATGGCTTTATACGCATGGAGGCTGGTTTCGAGATTGTTTATTGCGACTTTTCCGAGCAAGGTGGTTTAGATCTGGTGTCGGTGCAGGGGAGCTCTTTCCGTAACGAGACTGGTTTACCGCCACATCAGATCGACTCAGTCTTTGAGTGGCTCCGAGCCTCCGCTGCCCGATTTCATGGCCACCCGGCCGGTCGGCTGGACATCGACTGGAGCAGCATGGTCTCAGCTTTCTCCTACCCCATGAACCTCTCAAACCCGGACTGGCATAGGCAGGACCTGCCCAGGGTAGTGAATGCCACAATGGAGAGCAGGCTAGGAGTCCGTGCCAGGTTGAGGGATGTCTTCGCCGCACGCGGTGGTCAGGAAGTACCAAAGAGAAGAATCGTGAACTGGCAGGGCGTGGTTGACAAGATCGTGACACGCTTCAGCGAACGGCTGCAGTATATGGCGAATAACCAGTGGACACATGACCGTTTACTCCTCGCCCTCGGCACAATTGTCGACCCACACATTAGCTATACCGATCACAGCCCCATGTCAGAGCACCTTGCTATCGACCGTTGCACGCAGCACTACCTTGATCCGTCCTTCCTGCACCCCGAGACATGGACCCCGGAAGACCACGCTGTAGCGACCGCCCTTGAACGGGTATCGCACACTATCTGCGACACCTTATTTCACGCACGGCGTGTCTTGCGAGCCGCCAACGGTATGATGTCGTCCGATTCTGACGCTCTCGTGAAGGAGGCACAGCGGACCATCGTGGAACTTATGGAGCAGCTCAGGTGGACCACATGGAGGGAGTGTGACGGGTGCGCGTCTTCGGATGAGATCTGCAGCATCCCCATGTTCCCGACTGGCGCGTCCGAAAACGACTATTTCCACCCCAGCTGCAAGAACATCACCGAGATTCTACGTAGCTTTGGGTATTGGGGGCTTGATGTACATATCTACGACCAGAGAACAGACAAGAGAGCCTGATTTAAACGATTCGCAAAGAAATTTCATGTAAATAGTCGTCCAGCCGAGTCCACAGATGCAAGTACAGCGCTTGCTAATCGGTGATCCAAGGGAACGGACCGGACCGTAAGCAGAGGCTGTCATGACAAGCATTCACCATTTCGTAGGAGTTTTCACGGATATCAAGGTCTGCATAACGTGTTATGTTGTTATTAAATCTATCATAATAATCAAAACATAACGATACTATTTAAAATGCCCTTATATTTCTTATTGAGTGACCTGAAAAAATAATAAAGAATCTTCAAGCCATCTATAAGATTATTACTTTCCTTAGAGAATTTTTTTTACGAAGGAATTACAGCACTACATTATGATCGAAGACTTCAGTGTTGCATTCTGCGTGAGAGCAATGTTACGGGTCGGTGTCGAGTGGGCCCCCTCGGAGACCCACGTCAAGAAGTCCAGTGTGGGAATGTTCAGAGGGAATCTTCACAAGGCCCCATTTCGTAGCCTCGACACGTTTCCTATCATCTGTGCGTCATGAAAGAGTCCTCGTATAGCGACAACTAGGAATGGAGAGTCCATCTCATCCTGGGCCACCGATGAACGATGCCACGGATATCATTCGGATCTGCTGGCAACAAGCCTATAAGGTCGAAGACCCCGCGGCCCAGCCCCTCTCGCGGGGAACCAGAAAAGCAAGACTCAGCTGACGGCCGATAGAGACGTGGTGTGATCCGCTGTACGGACACGGCGACCTTCGCCCGGGTAGAGTCATACGAATCTAGGGAAGGCACAACAAGAGTATCTTACCAAGCATTTTTGAACCAATTCATTCAACATTTGAGATTTGCTCGGTTAGCAAGCCTAATTGAGCCGCCTTTCCGCGATGAGCCCGATTTATACTTCGCGATAAGTGAATTGCAAAAGACGCTGATCATTTACCGCACGGTCTGTCTTCCTGGCAGGTGTTTCGCATATCTTGGCTGTTGAAAGTTTGACAGTCTTATAGACATCGACCGAACGCGGCAGGATGCTTCAATCAATAGTAAAGGGAATCGAAGAGATCTCGCGTGTTATCACTGTCGGTACAACCGGTCTGGAGTGTGCCGTAAGGATCGCATGCCGACGAGCGATGGCCTTACAAATTCAATTTGCTGTGGTGGAACTTTTTGCACATTTTTGGCGTCTTATTAAACAGCTGGAAGTTCCATTATACCAGTGCCTCAGAGGTGAGTCGAGGCGCGGAAATAGGTGATTTGGAAGTATTTACATTGTCTTATCTTTATCCAGGCGCTTCCACACAATCGACCCTCAAAATCATCAAAAAGTTGGAGGCTGGTTTAACTGTCGGTTTGGACGTTCTAAACAACAAAGCTCTTGATATCTCAATCGCTGTTCAACGTGCTGTATTACGGAGTAAGTAAAAGCATGTCGTCCCGAAGAGGTGCTCGGGCTTGAGCTCGCAAACATCAGGTGCACGGTGGCAGAGGAGCCGAAGCTACGCCAGATTGCATTCTTCCTCACCCAGTCCACAACCAGTTCACAAATTGACACATCAATTACTACTGTGCTAACAAAAGCTGGTTGAGCAGCAATACCCCTGACCCAGGCTAGTATTGGATATGACTTGAGTAGGTGCTTTGGGCATTCATTACCATTGCGGGTCTCATGAAGCTCGAGTCTGGAGACCAGCCGCCTTGCAAGATACTTCTAACATTTTTACGCAGGGATTATAAACAGAAGAACCACCCAACTAGACAGCCGTACGTTTATACGATGAGAGGGCTCCATGGAGCTCGCCACTGACACATTGACCCGACCTAGGCATCTCCTCGGCCCTCACCCTACCACAGGACGAAGAATACGATGGAATCAAAGAAGAGATATGCCCCTCAAGGATGAGAGGCGGAAGAGGTAGGCGCTAGGTTGATTGGTCAGCTGGATGAAGCCCAGCTGTACGAATCGTGGAGAATGGGGTTCATTGCGATGTCTGGGTAACGGGGTATGACCGAGAACAGCCTTTTTGAGTCTGCTTATAACTCTATGTTGGGATTGGTCTCTCCCTCCATCTTCACGGGGCTCCAAACACCATATCCATACGTAAGTTGGAGTAAACCATATCAAAGTTGTAGTCAGCACAGAGACAAGATTCATCCTCGGAGCACATTGCGCATTGACACTACTTCGACACGATTATACATGGGCCAACGCCATCCATTAACCTTCAGTCCACGATCGCTACCCCCCAACAAGAGCGACACCCCGTCACCCCCTGGCCCTTAAGCTTGGCCGAACCTCTTGGCCACCGTCTTCCAGTTGATGACGTTCCAGATAGCGCTGAAGTACTCGGCCTTGCGGTTCTGGTATTGCAGGTAGTAAGCGTGCTCCCAGGCGTCGATGCCGAGCAGAGGGATAAGGTTGCCGGTGACGGGGTCCTGGTTCGCGCGGGTGACCAGGCTCAGCGTGCCGCTCTCCTTGTCCTTGGCGATCCAGGCCCAGCCGCTGCCCTGGATGCCGGCGAGGGCGGCGTTGGTCTGCTTCACGAGGGTGTCGAAGGAGCCGAAGTCGCGGTCGATCGCTTTCTGTGGGCGCAATGTACGTCAGCAGATGTTCTCACTGGCTAGGCTGTCGAGGGAGGGCGAAGCAACCACCCAGCTCTGCGCATGTGCAGTCTTTTCTACGCACCTTCAATTCTCCTGCCGGCTCACCGCCACCATCCTTGCTGGCAGGCGCCAGGTTCTCCCAGAAGAGGGAGTGGTTGACATGTCCACCGCCGTGGAAGTTGAGGAGAGGCGCGATGCTGGCGGCCTTGGACGAGTCGCCCTTGGCTTCGGCCTCGGCAATGGTCTCGAGAGCGCTGTTGAGGCCGTTGACGTAGGTCTGGTGGTGCTTGGAGTGGTGCAGCTCCATGATCTGGCCAGAGATGTGAGGCTCGAGTGCGCCGTAGTCGTCTAGTAGAGGGAGCGCATGTCAGCATTCTGTGGTCGCAGGAGACGATATCGTGCGTGCAAAGGCTTGTGATATTCGGAGGAAATCGGCGGACATGTTCACTTACAGGACAGGTCGGGGAGAGTGGCCTTGCCGCGGACGAACTGGGTGCTGGCCATGCCCATGACAGGCTTCGCAGCTTGAGCTCGCAGAGCACCCCGCAGGGCAGGAGTTGATCGCAGGAGAGTGGCCGACATTTTGCAGATGGTTGTGTGAATTTTTGGAGGGCGATTGAGCTGCAGGAATTGGTGGTGGATTAGGTTGAGCGTGTACGAACCTGGCACAGAAAGTAGCAGGAAGTCTGGGAGGTTGAGACAAAAGTGAGGAATTAATAAAGCTATTCAGTCTTGGTGATGTCAAGCCGTTAGGCCGACCGGCTCGGACCCCACAGGCCTCGATTGCCTGCGCGGGTGTGGGGATGACAGAGCTTCGAGCTTCGGATGCAGTGGAAGCTCCCAGGCGTTGCGAGAGCTTGGGTCTCCGATCTCACACTGTCGTCATAGCGATGTGGGAGCTCACCACCGCCCTGCAGCGAAGCCGCGATTTGTCGACATCCCTGCACGCCCAGCTGCACTGTACTGGTGCCCCACAGCCCAGTCGCGTCTCGCTTCTATTTTCCAGCACCGCGTTCACATGTCAATATTCTGATTGTTCGACGCAGCACCACCACCACTTCACTAAGATTCCCTAATTGAAGCACGCTCCAGTGGTCCGTGGCATCGCGATCCTGATATTCTGAGAGTCGAAGACACACTAGAAAAAATCCAAAATGTCATACTACGATATTGACGCGATCCTTACGGATGCAGAGGTATGGTCGCCAAGCCGTGGTTGATGACAATATTGATGGGCATTTGTTGTCTAGCATTGTGGTTGCTAACTCAGGGCTCGCCTCCAGAAAATCCCCTGCGAATTCAACTTCGAAATCCCCGACCTGGGCCACCTCGACAACAGCCCAGGCCTCCCCCTCAAAGCCGGCTCCAAGCTTGCCCTCCCACTGTGGCTCGCCGAGATGCTCGCCCTCGCCAACACCTCCGGCGGCGCCGCAGACGAGGACGCCAAATCTTTCGTGAACCTGTCTTTACCTCCCGCCCTATCAAGCGAGGTGGTCCAAGCCCTGAAGGCCGACCCGCGCGCCGTTCCGTTGCGCGACCAGAGCACACACTTCTACGGCCTGGCGACGCGTCTCATGGACCTGTTCGAGGAGAGGGAGCTGGATGGCGTCCTGAGGAAGACTTTCGTCACGCGCTCGGCGGACCTCGCGCTGCATGCCAGGAAGACTGGCGGGGCGAGCGGCAAGGAGGATGGGAGCAATCTTGGTGTTGGGGTGGATGGGGAGTTCCTCCGGGGCTTGGACGAATGGGAAAGGAGCCTGCACCGCAAAGCGCACGATGGGACTAAGTTGTCCAAGCAATGGATGGAAAATGTCAAGAAGCACTGAACAAGTCGCAGTGTCTAGGCAGACCTCCATCGGCCGCCCCCGTTGCGCTTTGTTGGTGGTTGATCCTTTACGCCGCGGATGCCCATCCACGAGCCAGTTGGCGTGACCTGAATTTTGGTCAGGACGGTGGTGTTGAGGGCGCGCCACTTCCAGTCGCGGAAAAGAAATGCAACTGTATCGAGCTGCCGAGACTACGACCAATAGGTGAGTCTACTGAGTCTACGTACCGAGTCTCTAACGGTGCAATTATTCGTGCGATAGACTGACACCGCTCGCAGGGCGGATTGAGCTGCGACACAATTGCAGATATTGGCGCGTAGCGCTATCGGTCTTCTCCAAGTCTAGTATCTGAGGCGACCGAGTGCTCGACCATCATCTGTCTTCCACCTTGTTATCGAGTTTCGCCGTCTTCAAAGAAGCGGGGAAAAAGATCACGTCCTTTGGATAGCATGAACAACGAACGTTGCTGAGAACGCTGTCGACACGCTGTGCGAGATGGCCAAGTGGAAAGCCGCAACGATTCACAGGCAGATATCTACTGCAAGTTTGGATCGACATCTTAGGTCATCAATGATTGCTCCTATCGTTCGGAAACCCTCAGCGGATATCTCGCGGTGATGAGGGCGTGACAGACGGGAAGCAGGCCGGGTATCGACAGCTACTTCTCGGGGCACCTTTGTGCGTTCTCCGAAATAGATCCACATTGTCCAGGTCAAATCATTTTGCTTCCCAGCATTTCGGTTTGTGAGATCCACGTGCACACCTGCCATGATCAACTCGTCCAATCTCATGGCCTCGCGGCGGACAAAGCCAGGGATGTCTGGTTCCTATCTCGGGCCATGTATAAACCCTCGTCAATTTGTGTGGTACTTATTAGACGAACTCGCGCCTGGTTACAGCGGCTTCCTATCTTCGGCAATCCGGTTCATGAGATTTTGGGTTGTAGTGATCTGCAAAGCCGCTATGGCCAGGTTCATCCAGATGGGGTCAAGAATGAGGGGGTTGAATGTTCCCCATGGGGTAGCGGCGTGGAGTGCATATCTAGTACCGAACCTAGTACCTCTGACACCGAGTTCGTCGACTATGGATCACTCTTACCTGACTCTGATCTGAGGGGGTGGCCGGAGATGGCCCGGCTTTGAGCGGTGATGATATCTGCTCGCTTACATCTCCACAGTCGGAGTCAAGAAAACAAGCCGGTCTGGATAGTCACGAGTACATAAACACCTTGCCAGCAGACTTCTGAATTAGGAGCGATCCTTGGATTTTCTCACCAAGGATTTTTGGAATATGCATGTATAGACTACAGCTTCACATTTTAATTCTCTCTGTTGTTAATGGTGGTTTCTACCGCTCCAGATCTCAGTAGCGACATAACCCCTCAAGTCCAACAAACAATGGCCCGCCGATATCTCGGCGGTTCAGGAGAGCGGCTGACGGTATGGATATCCATTGCCGCCTCCACGGTGTTGATATTCTACGGCTATGATCAAGGCGTCTTCGGGAACGTCCTCGTCTCGGATGACTTTCTGAGGACAATGGGCTACCCTTCGACCGCAGACCAGGGCACGATGACCTCGGTGTATAATCTAGGCTGTTTCGCAGGCGCCCTATCAACGCTTTACACCGGCGACAAACTCGGCCGTCCCCGTGTTCTTATGCTGGGGAGTTCCGTCATCGCCGTGGCGGCAATCATACAGGCCTCTTCCTACAGCGCTGGGCAGATGTATGCCGGGCGGGTCATCGCCGGGCTGGGCACCGGGATGAACACAGCGACTGCCGGCGTGTGGCAGTCCGAGACGTCCAAGATGCGGAGCCGTGGCAAGCTGATCATCATTCAGATGGCGAACTGTATCACGGGCTTTGCCATCTCCAACTGGCTGACGCTTGGCTTCTCTTTCGCGCCGGGGAGTGTCTCGTGGCGGTTTCCGCTCGCTTTCCAAATGTGTGAGTCTGCTGCTTTTGTATTGGCCAGGGCTTTAATCACGTAACGATGCTGAACATCGCAATTAGTCTTCTCCGGGCTTGTCTTGCTTATGTGCCCGTTTCTCCCCGACTCCCCGCGTCTGCTTATTCGTAAGGGCCGGTACGATGAGGCAATGGAGGTTCTTGCCGCTCTCGAAGGCCATGGCGCCACACCTGGCTCGCCATCCGTTCGCACCCAGTTCTCCATTATCAAGGACGTTCTTGATCGAGAATACGCTGTGGAGTACACCTGGATGCAACTGATCACCGGGCGTGGACCCCCAGGTGCGATGCGGAGAATGATTTTGGGGGCCTGGATGCAAGCTATGTCAGTTGCAGCATGAGCATATCCTTGTGAAGAAGTGGTAGCTGACCAGACTCCGACAGGAACCAAATCTCAGGAATAAACGTCACGTCTTATTACATGACTTACGTCTTCATCCACGCCATCGGCTTCAGTGAACTGACGGCCCGCATCCTCGCCGCTGCAGGGTCCATGGACTACCTCTTCTTCTCATTCATGGCTTATTTCGTGATCGAGCGCTACGGCCGCCGCCGCGTGATGATGGTGTCAGCCGCGGCGTGCTCCACGTGCTGGACTATCATTGCCATCGCAACAGGACTCACCGAGACCGGGCGCGGCGACAGTTACAGGCTGGGAATCGTTGCCGTGTCCTTCTTCTTCGTCTTCTTCGCCTCATTCGCAATGGGCGTCCTAGGGGTACCCTGGCTATACCCGACCGAGATCAACGCGCTGGCCTTCCGTGCCAAAGGCGCCAGCCTGGCTATGGCGACCAATTGGATCATGAACTACATGGTGGCGCAAGTGACCCCGCCTGGTATCGAAAACCTGGGCTATAAGTTCTGGATCATCTGGGCTGTCATCTGTGCCTCGTTCATACCCACGACGTATTTCTTCTACCCAGAGACGGCGAATCGATCGCTAGAGGATATTGACAGATTCTTTGAGGGGAACCATAAAGTCTTTGTGTTCGGAGACAAAATGGCAACTCAGTTACACAGACCAAGCATCTATGAGGAGGCTGATATGGAGATCGCCGCCAAGAATGAGAAGTCTGACAGTAGCGCCGGTCATGTTGAGAAAAGGGAGAATGAGGCCGGTATAGAATGAAGTGGTATGTATGACTCGTCGTCCACTTGGAGAGACACATATGGCTTTTCAGCCCCAGGTGTATAAGCAAAGCCAGAAGATCTCAGGGTGGAGGGCTGATTACGGTCTGGTATAATGTCCGATATGATAGGGGCTGAGGAGATCCATTGACCATACTAGAGACTCGCATCTGCGTTACGCATGAACAATATAGCGCGCAAAGTTGTAAAAGTTCGAGGCATCTCTTGGCTCAAGATGTGATGCGTTCCAGTTACTCAGAGTTGTGCTGAGAGGCATGAGATGTTCCATCCTAGAACTTGGATTATTGCTGGGATGGTAGTCTGGTCTGAGTCAACTGGTCCTTTGTTCTCGATTTGCACTCCTCGTTTTATCTTCTAATGACAAGACCGCCTTGTGTTTCTATCTTTACCCATTCAGCCACTTTTGAAAACGACCTCAGCCTCAAAGTAAACCTGCATATCTCTATGCAAGGTCTAAACAATTGTTCTTTAGGCTGCAAGGATACGAGGGATCACCTCCTGGTCGTTGAGAGCCCAGATAATAGTTTGCACAGGAGCCGCGAAGGTGTTACCGGTATACCAAGTCGATCTGTAACCTTGGAGGGCATTAAGGTCCTGGAAGAAACCATTTCTGATATCTTCGGCTGTCGCCCGACCATGAATCAGCCCATGGTCAGAACAATGTATGACCTCCACGTCCTTGTCAGCAGCGCGCACTGCGCCAGTCCCAGAAAGAGCTGCAACGTCCTGGTTGAAAAGATTCCGAGTTTCCATGGCATCAAGTCTGTCATCTCCAGCTGAGACCGTGGCAACAAGCTTCGAAGCATTACCAAAAGGAATATAAGTAGAGGTAAAATTAAGGCTTGGGTAGTGCAGTTGGCTGCTATCGTTTGCGGAGGCGGGGAGGTTGAAAGCATAGAAGTCCGAAGCAAATGAGTCGCTCTGCACGGCGGTGGCCCACAGGCGAGAGTATGAGAGCTTGCTGAGGACTTCGACTTCTTTGGTATCCATGTCGAAGGTGGTGAAGTGAGACGGATGAGGCGGGATTGCGAGAAGAAGTTTGCTGGCCGCGATCACGGTCTCTTGGCCTGTGATCGAGTTTTGCACTGTTACGGTAACACTGTCATCAGAGCGTATCGCAGAGATGGCTTCGGTGCTGTAGTAAACCTTGTCTCCTAGCAAAGCAGCCGCTGCATCGTAAATATCCTGGTTGCGCCCCGATGCGGGAACATATCCTGCTCGTTGGCCAACATAGCTCTCTGCCATAGATGCTGGAAAGGCCTGCAGTACCGTCAAGGTCAACTGGTCCACCACTGTGCCAAGTCCAGGAGAAATATAGAAAATGCTGGGCAAAGTGGCGGCAAGGTCGTATTTCTGAACAAAATCTCCAAACGGCATGAGGAGTTCTTCAGGAATGTCGCTGCCGTTCGGAAAGTTGAAATATCCTGGAATGTGGAGATTTTCGTACAGTTTGGTAGCATTGATATAACGAAACCATGCAGCAGACAAGGCCTCTTGGGAGGGCGAGGTATAGTTCGTCAGAGTTTGGCCGGTGGTGAAGTCAAAATACTTCCAAGGTGTCTGCGAGAAGTCTGGCGATGCATCTGCGAGCCTGTTAGAAAGGCTGGCTCCTTCAAAAGCCACGCAAATAATGTCTTCAAGTCCACTTACAAGGTACATCGAGGCGATCAAAGAACCCCGTGGTATTGCCGTAATCGACCCAAGCAGCCACGCCGAGCTCACTCTTCACTCCAGTAGCAGGATCATTGTAGCTGTCGACGGAACCACCCTGGGAGGAGGACGTCAGTAAATGCGGGCCTCTCAACAGCCTTGTCGAAGACGTCGAGTACCGACGATGCCTACCAAATCAGATTGCTTTTCAATGACAATAACTTTCTGGCCGGCATCTGAAAGCTGGACAGCGGCATGGGCTCCGCCAGCACCTCCACCAATAATGATCACGTCTGCGTTTACTGTTGCTCGTGTGACGTATTTGGCGGCCACACAGTCAAAAGCCAGGAATCCGCTTGCCCAAAGCAAATTATTCTTCAAAGAAGACATGATTGCAGTGATGGCAGTGGAAGCGAATGTGGTCAAAATTAGAGCAGAAGAGAGAAAGCGTCGTCGACTTGGTGATCGATGATGATTTTCTTTTTGCACAAGGAGGCTGGTGCTGTTATCTTATATGCCATCAGCTACTTATATACGCATAGCGCACTCATAACCAGTGACGATGGGCGGTTTCGGTGTAATATTAAACCACGTCTGTCCTCATGAGAATTACCCTTACGAGGGAATCGGCAAGGGCACAGAGCGCGCACACTTTACGGAGAGACACAGGCTACCGATTCCGTGAATAGGGGCAAAGTTGTTGCAAGAGTCTCCCTATGCATACACATTAGACTACCGCGGAATACAAAAATTAGTCTATAGCATCGAACAAGCACCCACGTGTATGAGTTCCGCGGAAAGAAATACGAAATTGACGCATGGAAGATGATGCTAGCTGAACCTGTGCACCACGGAGATTGTTGCGCTTCTAGGAAACTTCAGAAGTTTTCACCGCGTCACTCTTTTTAACCGGTAGTACGCCCTAGGTTACCCGTGATTTCCAATGTAGAGACACTTGCGAGAACCCCGATATTGCTTCGGGAATAAATAAACATAACTTACCGACCCGATCTCCTGTATAATCATCCACAGAAGATTGACGGCTAACCGAGTCATGGCCACCAAGGTGCTTAATGGTTAGTGGAGCGGCTTATGCTTAATGTGGTGGATGTAGATTAGAGTAGGCCACTTCTGCCTGGAGACGCCCAAATGTCTTGTTCGGCGCCTATCAGTGCGCCGAGGCCGACGCTGTGTAGACATGGCAAAACGTGCACCATGATCAATTCCACAACACATTTTGATGCCAGGTGGCACGGTAGTCAAATATCAGCGACGAATGATGAGTTGAAATTGACCAAGTGAATATCGGCTGGGCTGGCAACAAAGTCGCAGATATCCCAATGTCTCCCAGCTAGCTACACGGCACAGCATGCGTCAACAACAAGCACAGCTCTGAAAGGATTGCCCGAGTCAGTTTTTATGTGACAGAATTTGTGATGTGGTGAAAATTTTCCTCTATCGAGTGAGCGAATTGAAGTCATGAATCCGTCCCTCGGAGTTTCTTGAAGTTCTCCTAACACACAAGTCGGTCAGTACTTAGGTATTTGAGGAAGTTGGTTAGTGTGCTTTTTTGTTGTATGTCGTTCTTCTGGCAATCGATTGAGCGCCACACTTGAGAATGGCCTAGCAGAATTTCGGGAAGAACTTAAAGCTTATTCGCGCAACTGACTCATTTGACTTTATCATTCAGGGGTAGTCTGCCAATACATTTAGACAATCTTGGCCACGGAGTTAAATCATGGCGGTGTCCCGATGGTTCTAATCTTGATGTTTCATCCAAACTCTCAACACTGAAGTGCTCGCTTTCTGTTCACAACGTCCTTTGCCAAATTCTCACCTATCTTATTCAGACTCATTATTCCATCAAGATATGTCCGTCACTTCAGATAGTTGTGTTATGGACCGTCTCACGCCAATTTGATGAAATACCTTCGCTGTGATTGCTGGTCTTGTCGCTCCCCGATTCGCAGCCATGATTCTGCCACAGACCAGTATCAGAGGCCCGAGGGCATGGTCTATCGCTCTTGCTGTGATCTGGTTCTGGGCAGCTATCTTTTACGAATACCCCAGCCTGATTCCTTTTGACGGCGCAGCACGAATCCAAACACTGACAATACCCTCACTCAAGTCCGGAGAGCCCAAGTCCGGAGAGCCCGGGCCCTCGCAAGACGTCTTCTTGACCCAGCCCCTTGGAGGTGAGGCCATCAAGGCAGTGTGCGGGAAGACTGCCTGGAACGAAGGCCTTGTGTTCACATGCAATGAGTCGTACGGTGGGGTCGGGAACATTCGCAACTCAATCCTGCACTGCGTTCGCTATGCCATCCAGGCTGGGGCGAGCCTGGTCCTCCCTCGAATCGTTCTCCGATCCTCTACGGACATCGGCAACCTTGAGACCGGGGAGACGGCGCACTTCTCATACATGTTCGACACGCCGCATTTCTTGGAACAGATGCAGCTGTTCTGCCCGGAGATGAAAGTCCATAACACAATTGACGATGCCAGAGCTGGCTGGGATGGACAGGAAGGCATCACCTTGAGCGTCAAGCCCGAGTCTCTGGTCGATGGTGGCGTCCCTCGGACTGGCATCCCGGACCCCGGCGCCTGGCGTGGACAGTTCTATTCGTGGCTGGACAAACAGGTTGCCACCGCTGGTAAAGGCACATCTGGCCTCGTCATCGTCAACCTGCAGCGTTCGTACATGACATACCCGATCTATTCCGACGGCGAGGCCTTCGCCCTCACATTCGCCTCTGTCCTGCAGTTCCGCAATGACACCCGTGCCTTAGCCAGCAAAGTCCTCTCGTCTCTGGCAGAGCGGTTCTCGCTCGACATCGATCTGAACAAGGACATCCTCCCGAACTCCTTCTTCGGCATTCACCTGCGCACCGAAGCGGACTCCAAGAACGCCTGGGAGAGCGCGGGCGACTACTGGTTCTACTCGCACTACCAGAACCAGGTCAAGGTCTACCTGGAGCAGGCTCCGCGGTCGAGCCCGTCTGCAATATACGTCGCATCGGGGGACCCTTCCGAGACGTTCCGGTTCGTCGCCGATGCGGCCAAGGTCCCCGCGCCGAACAACTACCCTGTCGTGAGCAAGGCGGAACTCCTCGGCGGAGCGGACCTAGAGGAGCTGCATGCCCTGACGTTCGACCAGCAGGCCCTTGTCGACTATCTCGTCCTACTGAAGGGGTCGGACTTTGCTGGGGTGGCGCACTCGAGCTTCGCTTGGAGTATTGCGTTGAAGAGGCATCAGTTCGCGAAGAAAAGGGGAGAGTTCTTAGATGCACCTGAGATGCTGGACGATGATTTGAGCAAGATATATGGCACTGTGAAGGACTTTGAGGACTATCCAAAAGTCCTATGGCCCCGCAATTGACATTTCGGGGCAGAAGCCAACCGCATGGTATGACGGGAACTATACATCGGCAGCTTTGTCATAACTCACCCATACACAATAACAACGATCATAGGTTAAAGAGGATTTGTAGGACACAGCAGCCAAGTTATCCCTTGGTCATGGCTTTCAGTCGCGATTAAAGGACATGTGCATTAAAGACTACCAGGATTCCCGAAAAACACATTCATCAAGGGATAGAATTTGCAATTTTCAGGCTAATGGCTCCTGTCATCCATCTGGCTGTATGTGAGAGGTTTAGAGAATCCTAACAGAAGCAGCAACTCACTGACGTTCAAAGAGGCGTGCCGCCTGAACGCCAACCCACTCAAGCATTTTGTCTCGACAATGAAGGACAAGTGGCCAGATGATTCATCTCTCTCACACAAGCGAATGGAGGTCCAGCGCCTCCTCCCGATAATGCCTGCATTTATGCAGCAACCGGCGACGGTACAAGACACCTATTCGTATTCACTCGCAGCCACTGTCTTGTCTTCGTGCGTCAAGGCGCATCACTTCCCAGATCTGTCCGAGAAGCGAATTTCCTCATTTCCGAAGTGATGATTCTTGGTACAAGACTTCGACATTCCGTTGGCGTGCAGTGTCGTTGGCCTCGGTCTCATGGCTCGTCCGCTCTACCAGGTCAATTGCAGCCCCTATGCTCTTGCAGCCCCTCCCACTCGTAACCCTTCTCGTTGCTTTTGACTAGCTGTGACATCGTGGCAACTTTAGGTGAAGGTACGCGCGGAGTGCCAGCAAGGTCGGCGACGAAATCGGCTTTTTTTTGCAAACTCGGCAATGATGCCCTTCACATTGCGGCAAAATTGTTTCATGGCGTCTGGTTTTTGGACTGTCTTGTCTAGAGTGCCTGTCCGCGTTAGCCATGCGCTGCTCGAGTCCAGATCTTCAATGTAGTCCGGCTTGCAGGGAAGCCAGGGAAGTCGGCAACTTGAACATGTGTTGAGTCCGGCCAGGATGTCTGGTATGTCCATGCATCCGATCGCAACCGATATGGTCTGAACTCGCGGAAAAGCTCGGAGAATGTGAACAATGAATGGACACTTGGCAAACACTGCCTGTGAAATCACCGGAGTCGGCAGACGCTGAAGCGTCTTGTATCCTTGGTGTGCCATGACTTTGCAAATCGACAACGGCAGGACGATGTGTCGGACCTGTCGCATCCACGTAGCAGCTGTTGAAGTGACCCCATTGAGCTCACGGTGTATGGCTACCGCCGAGATACCGAGATATTTGAAGTCACGAAGGTAGAGAGCGTGAACGAGAGGATGGTATTGCCGGTACGGTTGACTACTGCCACAAACCATCCACCCGGCCGCAGCGGAGTGTCTAAGTGCAACTTGACGGGACTCCTGGCAGACATATCTCAAAGACGGGATGTCGTAGATTTCGGGTGGCTCCTGCTCAACAGCCGTCCACATAGGTCTTTCTCCAAAGCTTTGGACCAAGCAGCAAACCCGGGATGGGAGGTCGAAAACGGCCATTTCCCAAATCACAAGGCGTAGCTCGAAGGGAAGTTGCTGGAAAAGAGGGAAACATGGCATCTCTGGTGGCATGATGGCTGGTGGTGCTGACTTTGTGCTGATTTCCAAGGCTTTGCCTGGGACCTGATCATGGTCAACGTCTGCTGTCATGGCGTTTGGCTCAGGGATAGAACATCCGACGTGGAGCAAGTGTAGGTGCAGACGATGGAAAGAGACTCAGTAGTTCAGCCATGAAGAACAGTGGTCTCACTTATACAGACTCATGAGCAGGCACCAGCCTCGGAATCTGGCTTCAACAGTGTGCTGCCTTTGATTGAAGGAAAAAGTTGACGGTGTCTTGTTGATCTGGTTGACACTGCCTGGATGCCATGGCTTTGCACTAGGCCACAATTCAGCTACGCGTTTGAGCATTGTTTCCTTCAACAAGACGGTTTCATTGAACAAACCTCTTTACCTTTGTCGTGCTTTGTATACATATCCAATGTAATTCTATGCGTAGTGTTGATAGCAAGCGACCTGAGTGACGAAGCAGAAACACCACTTTTCTGGGGTACCACACCCATGCCCAATCAACGGGTGGGGCCATTGAAGAAATGGCCGGGGTAGCTCCACCTGCCCCCTCCCCTGCCTCCCAGTCAGACGCGTACATCCCCGAAAATGGCGAGTTGCGGCTCCACCTGACAGTGAGCTAAGGCCAACGTCACCCCACCACCCACGGGGTAAGCTCGCCCAGGCACCGTAACAGTACGGAGAGCTGCACCACAGCGCAGCCTCCCGTCGATACACGACGGCGGAAGGCCAGCAGTTCAGTCGATCTGGTTGATAGAAAGTGCTGCAGTATTGCCACTCTGTCTGACCTGCAAGTCTGCGAAATGCTGGTTGCCTTCCTTCCTTCCTTCCCTCCCTCCCGTGCTGATCTCAGGTGCTGATCCAGGGTGGGTGGTTCGATGTCACAATCCGGTGTACGCCATGGACACGGAGGCACTGCTCCTGACAAGTCCTTCACGTCAGCACACAGGATGTCGGCGACTGGCGGGCTGATGTTGAACAAGGGGACATAAAAAAATTAAAATAAAAGTCATGAGCATCGACAGCTGCTGCGCCGTCCAGTGGCCAGGTCTAGTCGCGATCCCGTTGGCAGTAACACAGATGCAGGCCGAGAGACGTTGCACGGCCTTGTACGACGTTGTGCCCTTGAATAATATCACACCGCTCTGAACCATCCCATCACACACACGAATTAACTTCGTCTTGCCTCCCGAGTCGAATGGTCCATCAGCAATCTGGCCATGTACGTCTGCCAAGTGTGCGACAAGCCAACTTTTGGACCCTTGGGACCTGCCAAGCCACCTCTCTACCCACGAATTACAGTGTCTAGTTGGGGCTAGATGCTTCCAAGCTACGCGGGAGAAGGAGGACTCCTGCCCAGCTGTGTTTGACTGTCTCCTGATGTCTTACAACACCCCACGCCGTTCCCACCGTTTCCGTGCGGCTGGGTGGACACAGCCCTGCGAAACGGACGAAACGGACACATCTAGCACCTGCCCAACGCCACATGGCGTCAAATCTGCAGGTGCAGGCAGGTGCAGGTGCAGCTATGACTGCAAGTGCAAGTGCAAGTGCAAGTGCAAGTACAACAGGAACTGCAAGTGCAGACGGGGTCAGTGACGGCACACCTGCGTCTTTTTGCTTGACTGTACACTCGTTCTTTGCTGACCTTGGGGCTCAAGGGTCCTACAGCTGCAGCTGCAGCTGCGGTATCAATGTTCTGGTGGCCAACATTTCCCAGCCCACCTTGAGGTCTGCTCTTCCTTTATATATCGAGGTCGTCGCAAGTGTGGTTCTGTTTTGAAATAGTTCCTTTCCTCTCTCTCTCTCTCAGATCAGGACGTATAGGTCCATCTTCTCGATCTCATTTTTGCTTCTACTTCATCACCTGCTACAATTCTCGGCTGCCAGGCCGTGATACTTACGGTTAAAAAACTCCCACAAATCCCTCGAAACTACCCGCTCATTACTCTGCCATCAAGATGACTCAATCAGACGCACCGGGGCGCCGTTTCTCGACGGGCGCATCAGACGCACCAGGGCGCCGCTTCTCCATAGGCGCATCGACGCATCGACAGAGGCAGATGAGCCAAATCCTCGACACCGAGGGCCATTTCAAAGCAAACCGGACAACACTCTACGTTGGCATATCTGCTATCTTCGCTGATGACCACACCGCCGCCGTTGCTCTCGCAATTCATGACACTGTCTATCTCATCGACTTCTCTGTCAAGCATATCACACTCGACGACTCGCTCAACACTGGCCACGATCTCATCGCCGACTATGTAATTTCTGCGTTGGAGGACTACGAGCATGAAAACTTCGCAAAGTTCATAGGCGCTGGCCTCCCCGCCAACGTCAAGTACATGAGCCCTTCTCTCTGCTCGCGCCTCTGGCTAGAGATCGACATTGTTCCCATAGTGCTACGGCCGGATGAAGAGAACAAGGGGAAGAGCTTCTGGGACATCAAGAGGGTGGATGAACAAGCTGACAGTATGGCCAGGAAATGCATCATGTAAGTTGCTCCCTCATCCTTCCGTGGTGTGTTAGATGAGTTGCGTTGAGCACGTACGGCTGGGTAAGCTCACGACCATCCCGTGTTAACAATATCGTAGGAATTTTGGACCTTCTCTAGTTCCACTTCTGCAAGTCGGCTTCCGTGGCGTCGTCAAGACTGATGCTGCGTTCCGTGCGCACCTCACCACAGTCCAGAACCACAGAGACACTTGTACACCGCCCACTTGGGCTTCCACGGTCAAATATGCGGACCAGCTTCGCCTCAAAAAGATCAAGATTGCCTTCTTCAGCAGCACGCCGCAAGGAGGTGGTGTAGCCCTGATGCGGCATGCACTAGTCCGCTTCGCTCGCCTGATGGGAGTTGATCTGACCTGGTATGTACCCAAGCCTCGGCCGGGCATCTTCCGCATCACCAAGAACATGCACAACATTCTTCAGGGTGTTAGCCACCCCGACCAGCGTATCTCGGACGAGGAGAAAGCCAGTATCATAGACTGGATCACGGACAATGCGGAACGCTACTGGTTCTCGAACGGCGGCCCCCTCTGCAAGCCGGAGGAGGGCGGAGCCGATGTCATCATGATTGATGACCCACAGATGCCTGGGCTGATTCCCCTGATCAAGAAACGAACCCCAGACCGCCCTGTCTTGTACAGATCCCACATCCAGATACGATCTGATCTGGTCGCCAAGGAGGGCAGTCCGCAGGCAGACACTTGGGACTTTCTGTGGAATAATATCAAGCATGCCGACATGTTCATCAGTCATCCGATCCCATCATTTGTTCCCCACAATGTCCCGAGGGAAAAAGTCACGTACCTACCGGCCACTACCGACTGGCTCGATGGCCTTAACAAGCCGCTCAACAAGTGGGACTCGGGTTACTACGGTCACATCTACAACAACGCCTGTCATGCACAGCGCATGACAGAGCTCCACTATCCTGCTCGAAAGTACATCGCCCAAGTGGCGCGATTTGACCCTGCCAAGGGCATCCCTACTGTTATCGATTCATACGCTGAATTTCGTCGCCTTCTGGACCAACGCGGAATCACCGACACCCCACAGCTCGTCGTCTGTGGTAATGGATCCGTAGATGATCCCGACGGTAGTATTATCTACGACCAAACGATGATTCAGATCGAGCGAACGTATCCACACCTGGTCGGAGACATCAGTGTTATGCGCCTGGACCCGAACGACCAGTTGCTGAACACCATCATCGCCAATGCACACGTCATCCTTCAGCTATCAACGCGCGAAGGCTTCGAGGTCAAGGTCTCCGAGGCATTGCATGCGGGCCGTCCCGTGATCGTTACCAATACCGGTGGTATCCCGCTGCAGGTGAAGCCAGACGTCAACGGGTTCCTAGTTGAGCCGGGAGACTGGGCGACCGTGGCGAAGCATCTGGTCGACCTGTTCACAGACGACGAGCTGCACAAGAAGATGAGCTACGAAGCACGGACCGGCGTGTCGGACGAGGTTGGCACGGTCGGGAACGCGCTGTCGTGGTTTTACCTGGCGGCCAAGTGGGCCGAGGTCGGCGTCAGGAAGGGCGGTAGGAAGGGCGGTGGGAAGGGGGGTCTAGATGGAAACGAGAAATGGGTAAATGATATGGCTCGGGAGGAGGCCGGGTATCCCTACAAGCAGGACGAGAATCGTTTGCCTCGGGAGTTTACGGCGAAGAAGGAGTAAGGATTATACACTGGGTGTCGATGGGAGTGGGACTCGCCGTGGGGAAACATTCTGCTCATTTTTGAACGGTAGATGGGAGTTCGAGTGTGTTGCTTACATTGATTTCTGGAACTCAAAAGGCGATTAGGACAGACCAAATTTATTATTCCTGACTATGTTAGTGCGAAGTTGATCGTAATTTGGGGACCGTGTCACTCTTCCAGATATGAGAGTTTTGTTATTGCCGCCGCACAATGAAACAATGCATGTCAATTTTGTTCCGACGGCTGCGATCACGGTGGTCAGGTTACATTGTGAGATTGGATTCCGGTTTACATTGCCGCGAACACTTGGCAAGTCGGCCATTATGTGTCAGAACCCCAACATAGTGGATCAGTCGAGTACTCCTCACGGCGGAGTAGCAAGTGGATATAATTGTCTGAACCCCCGGATTTGGGTGGGTCTGGGGAGGAACTACCCCAGATACGGCCGCTGAGGAGGTGTTTGGTTGGTCGCGCGTCTACCGGGGTCTATCAACCATCGCAGCATACCCCAGGCACCTCGTGCAGAACAGGCCCGAATGCGTGAGGGGGAGCACGGCGGCATATGTACATCAGCTGACGATGTTGTGCCGGAGATTATCCAGGTACAGAAAGCTTAAGAACAAGGGCATCCCGCGCATCCTTGCGAAAAAGAGAGGAAAAAAAAAAGATATGCATGTGTGTAAATCACATTAGGCGAGCACGGCCACAACTCTAGGATTTCTTTGATTCACAATGGAGCCAACCGCCGTGTCAGCGGCCGACGCCCGCACCAAGCTCGCGTACAAGAACCGGTGGCACAAGGTGTTCAACAACCCCAAGATCGTGGTCATCGCGCTGTTCGCCTCGTTCGGCGGCTTCGAGTATGGCTACCAGCAGGGCGTGCTGGGCCAGTCGCTCGTCATGCACCGCTTCAAGGACAACTTCCCCTCCGTGGTCGAGTCCTCGAGCGCCACCGGCTGGCTGACGTCCATCCTCCAGGTCGGCGGCATCATCGGCTCCGTGTCGGCCGGCGTGCTGGGCGAGGTCTTCTCGCGCAAGTACACCATGTTCTCCGCGTGCCTGTGGGTCATCCTCGGCAGCTACCTGTACTGTGGCGCTTCGTACCATAACCCTGCGATGTTGTATGCTGGGAGGTTCTTTACTGGTATTGGAGTTGGAACTTTTAGTGGTGTTGGGTGAGTGAAAGCAGCCCATTTATATGATATTTGATATGATGGCTACAGGGTACTAACACACATGAAGGCCTCTTTACAACGCCGAGCTGTCCTCTCCCGAGCTGCGAGGCTTCCTGGTATCATTCTATCAATTCGCCACCATCTTCGGCATCATGCTGTCCTTCTGGATTGGTTACGCAAGCAACAATATTGGCGGCCAGGGCGACACGCAGTCCAACCTGGCCTGGCAGCTGCCGACCATCATCCAGGGTATACCCGCCGTCTGCCTCGCCCTGGGCATCTGGTGGCTGCCGTTCTCGCCGCGGTGGCTCATCAAGCAGGACCGCGACGACGAGGCGATCTCCACGCTGGCGTACCTGCGCCAGCTCCCTGCCGACCACGAGCTTATCCAGGTCGAGTACAAGGAGATCAAGGCCGAGTGTCTGTTCGAGGAGAGACACTTTGCCAAGTCGTTCCCCACGCTCGCTGCGAAGGAGAAGAAGAGCGTCTGGACGCGGCAGCTGGCTGAGTACTACAACATTGTAAGGTCTTGGGACAATGCTAAGCGGGTTGCGACGGCTTGGCTTGTGATGTTCTTCCAGCAGGTAAGCACACATTCTTGTTTCTGTGTCCGAGCTGTTCCATATCTAATGCCTCTGTGCCACAGTGGAGCGGTATCGACGCGATCATCTACTACGCCTCAAACGTCTTCCTAAGCCTCGGCATGTCAAGCACTACACAAGCACTTCTCGCCACCGGCGTCACAGGCGTGGTATTCATGGTGTCAACGATCCCCGCGATGCTGCTGATCGATCGAGTAGGCCGCAAGCCGATGCTGCTGTTCGGATCGGGTCTGATGTGGGCGGCGATGGTGATCGCGGGTATCATCGTGAGCCAGTTCCAGGACGACTGGGCGCACCACGCCGACGCGGGCTGGGTCGCCGTCGCGTTCATCTGGGTGTACATCTTCGCGTTCGGCTTCACGTGGGGCCCCGTCAGCTGGACGCTCGTGTCCGAGATCTTCCCGCTGTCGATCCGGGCCAAGGGCGCGTCGTTTGGCGCCTCGTCCAACTGGGTCAACAACTTCGCCGTCGCCTTCTTCACGCCGCCTATGCTTGAGGCCTGGGAGTGGGGCACGTATATTTTCTTCGCTGTCTTCCTCGCCATTGGTATTGTCTGGGTCTGGTTTTTTATCCCCGAGACCAAGGGCGCCACCCTCGAGGAGATGGACCGCGTGTTCAAGAGCCACTCTGGCGAGGAGGACGCAAGGATGCTCGCGGAGGCGAGGAGGGATGTTGGCCTGACTCACGAGCTCGAGGGTTCGGCTGAGAAGGCTGTACTGGCGGAGAAGGACCAGACTACGCCCTCGCATATGGAAGAGGCGGGATCTCAGTAGATGCTGACATCTTCGAGGAGGCTAAGAAGGCAATGGGTGTAGGCATTCTGGAATTCGCTCGGTGATGTCACGATTGTTCTCGAAATAGTTGATTATGACGCATTGGGTACGGAACTGTGACACTGAGGCGTGATCAAGTTTAAAGTCATATCAAAGAATTGGTGGCGAGGGGGTGCGATTAAATGGAACATGCAGGCTGGTGGCATGGGACAACAATATTCTAAGATGTCTAGATACCCAAATACAATAAACTTGGCGTAATGTTGAGTAATTCGCGAACTGCACATTAGCACATGGGAGAAATTTTATAGCATTGAGTCCCTCATGTGTATTCGTATGTACAACTATTAGTAGACCACTTAAGCTAGCTTGGGTTTATTTTAATATCGTAGATTATCAACAAATAAGTAAGACTCCGATGCATGTGATAGAAATTTAGTCAGATGTCATCTACCACAAATGATTGCCCCAGAGTCTTGGTGTGATCCACATTGGGTATAGAACGATGTGTCGTTATGCTAGCGATCCGGGGTAGAATTATGACTGCAGAGTGGACCCAGTTACACTCATTGAACTGAACGTACATTACATTTTGTCCCATATGCTCAGATATGATCAACGCATGATATACAATGCTGCACAACACTGGCCTTTCACACCTCGAATCTTGGGCCCGGCAGCCGCACAACAACGACGCTTCAGAAACCGTGATACTAATCGAGGCATCCAAAGCTTCGATTCTCCCCGGAAAGTGAGTTTAATCACATTCGGTTATCCAATAATGAAAAAGCAGGCTTTATGCAAGTTCAAGCTCAGTTCAGACTGGGCGAATAGAGTTCAAACAATTTACAGGTTATAAAAAGTATAGGAGCTGGGCGCGCGGGCGGTATATATGTGCGAAATTAGCTGCGACAGTGCGAAGAGAGTCATGTATTGTTGGAAAGGGGTAGAGCCAGAGAAATAACTGGAGAGTGCACTTAACCAATGTAACATGACAGGGCGTTGTCGATGCGGTGAGACTGGTATTTGATTGTCAGCCCATTCTCAGATTTCGCCGGATTTACCAGTAGACCAGCCCGTACTGCGGATTTACAAAGTATTTTCTTACTAGGTTCTCAGGCAGATAATGATCTTGTTTATCTCATGTGAAAAATATTTAATGCTCGCTCCTGTTTTGTCGAAGATCAGGAATGGGGTGACCCTTTCCATGTGTGCTGACTCAGCAGATCATGGATGAAGTTTTGCTCGCCGCGGAGAAGCCAAATGCTGCGAAAACAGGCCGGATGCGGCTCGGCCAGGTTTTCGCTCACACGCGATGGCAGCGAGGAAATCCAAATAAGGGGCCCTCGGACAGCCAATCACATCGATTTCATTACCGCAGCTGCTCAACACTTGGGTCAGCATCGTGCTTCGGTCTCGCACTCAGCGGAAGTCCGGGCAGTGGCATGATTCCCCAGGAATGTGGGAGGCATTAACTGGATCACATTCGCGGTCAACGGGACAATGGTAGACAAATAAAATCGGAACATGACAGCAGTGAATTGCATCTCCGTGGGAGATGAATAATACATCATTATTAAAATCAAGCCGCAACCCTGCTTCCTGTAGGCCACTGACTCTCGAGATGGCACATCACCACCCTATCATCTTCCAAGCTATCCACCTCATAGTGCCCCCAGACCACTCAGCCTGCGATAACCTCAAGACACATCGTACTTGTTTCACTAGGTTGAAATCCCAATATTCTCGGCAGAAATCACCATAATGACTGTCACACCCAGCACAACAGCAGGCCCAAAACCGGGTGCTGCGACGAACGGTGATGCCGTTCCGCCCTCTGCGCCCCTGAGTCAGGCTCAGATGGCCATCATCAAAGCCACTGTTCCCGTCCTCCAGGCTCACGGTGAGACGATCACGAAAGTCATGTACGACAACATGATCGGTGCTCACCCCGAACTACACAATGTGTTTAGCACCACCTCTCAAGTCACAGGGCGCCAGCCTCGGGCTCTGGCACGCTCCGTCCTCGCCTATGCGTCGTACATCGACGACCTGCCCAAGCTGGCACACGCCGTTGAGCGGATAGCACAAAAGCATGTCAGCTTGTTTATCCAGCCGGAGCAGTACGACATTGTGGCAGTTCACCTTATCGGCGCCATCGGTCAGGTTCTCGGTGACGCGGCGACGCCCGAGATCGTGGACGCCTGGACCGCGGCGTATGGCGTGTTAGCGTCGGTCTTTATCAACAGGGAGAAGGAGCTGTACAAGGCCGACGAGAACTGGACAGGGTGGCGCAAGTTCCGCATCTCGAGGAAGGAAAAGGAGGCAGACGATGTCGAGAGCTTCTACCTGGAGCCCGTGGACGGCGTGGCGCTGCCGAAGTTCCTGCCGGGCCAGTACATCAGCCTCCAGGTGTTCGTGAAGCACCTGAACTACAACCAGAGCCGGCAGTACAGCTTGAGTCAGGCGCCCGAAGACGCAGGGCGGTCCTACAGGATCAGCGTCAAGAAGGAACGGGATGACGAGGCCAACGTGGACGGCCTGATCTCGAACATGCTGCACGACAGCTACAAGGAGGGCGACGTGGTCGAGCTGACGCACCCACATGGCGAATTCTTCCTGGACCCATCGGATGTCTCAAAGGAGGGCGCCCCGGCAGTCTTCATCTCTGCCGGCATAGGCGCCACGCCACTCATGTCCATGCTTCAGGCCCTGGCCCAGCCCTCGGCAGTCAAGAGGCCGACCTCGTGGATCCACACCTCTCGATCAAAGGCTACACAGCCGTTTGCAGATGAGGTGGTGGCGACCGTCGAAGGAGCCATCAAGGATAGGGCCTCGACGCACGTTCATCTGAGACAGGGGCATGAAGGGCAAGAGAAGTCACGGTTGGACATAGCAGCTCTTGATCGGGACAGACAGCTGTTTGTGAAGGATCCAAGGGCGGAGTATTTCGTGTGCGGTCCTGAAAACTTCATGCTGGATGTAAGACGGACTCTGGTGGGTTTGGGCGTCGATAAGAGCAGGGTCTTTTTGGAATTGTTTGCCACTGGCGATGTGGAGGACGACGAGTAGACGGCCAAGAAAGCCTGATTTCCCAGAATGTTTTTCTACAAGAGGGTCACGCAGAATTATACGGACATGAACAGGCGCTGCAAGAGGTATTTCATTTTCCTCATCATAGTCACTAGATGATTAAACAGGTGCACGACGGAGTGAATCTGCTGGAAAAAGCCAGCACTTTGATTATTTCACATAGCCATCAACTCAGCTCAATTGCATAACGAAAAAAAAACTTGAAATCTGCTCCGAAGGGAACCAATATATGTTGGTCTAACCACAGCAGATCATCTATCAGTGTAGTCCAATCATTGACTGCCGCCTTCCAGCTTCAAGCACTCCTAACACCATCAAGGTCGCTTATCCGACCACGTGAGGATTACGTCTGACGGCCGCCATGTTCCAGAAGATGCGCTCATGCAGCGTGCCTAATACGATGATGTACAAAAAAACAAGACACCGGACACGCGCCGTGTGCAACCTCCTTTCCAACCACGCCCACGGCTTCCGACCTTTTTCCACCGGCACGTCCCCCGGCAGCAGAGTAGCAAAATTTCTACGGGTCACACAAATGTTGATTCCCGCGTGCTCATCGGCATGGAATTTTTCTCGTCGCCTTCTATGAGCACCAAAGCTTTCGATGCTATTTGGGCGCCCGCATGAAAGGGATAGACGCCTTCGGCAGGTGTGGTGATTGTCGAGATCACTGTCGCACCGCAGCCCCCATGAACCTCATCTCATTATTGTGGTTGCTCAAGTCCAGATCTATCGGGACTGATGTTGCTCAACATCGTCGTACGAGTCTCTTCTGCGGCGATGGTTAAGTGCACATGGAGATGTTGTACTCATGCAATGGGTTCTAGAATCTTTATTGACTACCTTTCAAAAATGTCAAGTAACTGTGAGGTCTGCCTTGAGTTCATCCATGGGGGTACCTCGGTCCGACTCTTTGTTTGAACCTATTGATGTGTACATATCGTTTCGATCTGGAACTTTGGTCCTACAGATGCAGGACTTCAAGAGACTGTAGCTACATGAGTTCTATGTGTGAAGATATCGATGCTACTTTGTGCTACTGAAGGTCATTGAACATCTATCAGGTGTATGTTTTCTTAATTCAATAGTGATCTCTACCTAATCATGTGGTGATGCTAGCCTCGAACCCCTAACGAACCAAGCAGTGAAGCGAATCTACCATTGTCCATGCTGCCACACTAGTAGTTCCTAATGTCACAGCTTAAGCAAGGTATTATAATAAGCAGGACCCTGATGAAAGACGCTGTTGGGGAGCGAGAACCACCAGGGTGCGTCATGAAAAATCCAGTATTCCAAGGACATTGTTGTGGAGACAAACATCAATGCGATACATCGTACCCGTGACTGCAGCTATAGATTTCCTGGGTATACGGCCATATGTGAGTCTTGAGAATAGTCATTTCGAGTGTTCGTTTTGAAACCTTAGAAGCATTCAATATTTATTTTAATGAATAGCATGAGGAATAGGACGTTGTTTGGTCATTTATAAATCTTAATTCCAGCGCTGATGCCCCCCAGATGTGGAAAAGACCACTGTAAGAATATCTGGCTTCTTGACAAACGCTTCTCATCTTGATTGGCTAGATCAGACTCTACGTGATGAAAGTATCTTTTCCTTAGCCTGTAACACAGATGTGCGATTCGGCATGAACCAACTGGAACCGAAACTTTGTGTCCAGATCTCGTACTATAATGTGACAGTGAAAACAATTAGTGCTTATTTGATACCAAGCCAACATGCCACACTCAACGGTTGTTAGATTTTGCGAACTAAATGTTCTTAGACCTTGCTGTCTCACGATGCCTTTTGTTCAACCCGAACTTGGCCCATGACAGTGGCATTGGTCGCACAATGCACGCACCGGCAAGAAGCAGCATCTGGCGCTCTGTCATACGATCACCGAATCCTGCTGTGCTGCCGAAGCATTTCTCAGAAGGCCATATTCTTGGAATGAGCCTAGATTCTGTGCTCTGAAAACCTCCATGGTGTTTCCATCTTGTTGAGGTGCGCTTTTTTATGGTAGATCAAAGCTTCAATGGTCTGCCGCTAGTGCGAATCTGTGATATAGATATGGTAGCTGTCCATATCTTCAGTCTGATTCCGTGCCTTCAATCATTTTGGAACTTACGTTTGTAGACATTGGATGCTAGTACCAGTCCAAGCTAAACAAACGATCATTTACAAATTCGAATCCTCCAAGAGAGCAATGTCAAACAGCAAAACACAATGTTTTCTCCTCAAAGATTATTGGATACGAGAAAGGCTAGCGATGTCTTGGTGCCCAATCTAACCATAGGGCGACTCGCCTCGTAACAAGGAACAGCCATGAAGTTGCTGCTGCTATTCACTCACATCTCATGATCACAGTTCAACGTCCTAGTCCAATTCAGAGCCTAGCTAGAATCTGTGTTGTAGTGAATTAATAATACTTACTGGACGCTTGGTCAGACAAGTCTCGTCAGCACCATGACTACCTGAAGGAAAGTTTCTCCGGAAGTGGCGGAGGAAGCCATCTCACCAGCCCTGGGTATTTGGATTGGGCGAAATATGCAGTAGTGTTCCCGGAAATAGGATGGTCCTGTCGACACAGTAGCTGCATGAATAGTACTCTCGGCTCTCCACCAACGCAGTCTACCACATGGACACATCACTGAAGTGGATCCTGTGTGCCAAGTTTAACAGACCCTTGTGAAGAAGTATGTTTGCTTCTTGGCATGATTGTGGCTTACTATCCACGTCAATCCAGAGACAGACACCATGAGGTGAGATGTCGTCAGAGGAGGAGTATGATGGGACTGTTTCTAAGTTGGTCCCCTTTACGCTCAGCCACGAGGAGCACCATTGACTGAAATCGGCAAGAGTCCACTGGAGTCCGGCAACATCGGATCATGCAGATAGAAAGACTCGGCGCTGATGAAACAAACGGATAAGGTGTAACTAGATAGAAAGTAGTTAATATGTCCCAAACCTAGCCGAGACCTGTCGAAGGGTACCTTGTGGCTGCCATGCCTCGAATTTGTCTTTGGCACATGACGACTTTCATCCGGTCGTTTCTTCCATGAAATCTTCAATCCCATCACTGGCCCTATTTTGTGCATTTGGCACTGATTTCTTCACTTTGCGCGAAAACGCCTTCGCAGGAGACCATTCACTGTAAGCTCGTTTCCTGGTCCAGTCACCCACAGTAGGCACTAGGCTCGTTTTCCTCTTTCACTCAGCCCCTTCAACCTTCATCCTGTATTCCATTCTCCTGGACTCTGTGAACCTTCATCTTCTCCTTCCCCCTCCCCTCTCCCAAGATAACCCTCTTCCACCCTATAATCCTTGAAATTCAGTCCATTCTTGCACTAAGCTCCTACGCATGTTGTCTTCTCGCCTGTTTGTGAACGTCTATAACTTCAATCGGCAAGAAGAAACCAAAGCAGCAGCTCACAACTACTTAGAGTCCACATCACAAAGCAAACAGCAAACGACACTAATCAGCTCAGCAGGCTTCACCACTCAACGGCATCGACAGGGTAGTACAGCTTGTCTGTATCCATTGCCACAATTGGCTCTACAGAGTCCCATTGAATATTCTTTTGCTTTTGCAGGTGCGTCAAACCATGAATGCGGATTTGCCTAGTTTTTCAAAGCCTTCTGTGCTGGCATTGTAAAGTTCCGTGATTGTCCCTCGTTTGCCACCCATCAATGCCTGTCTCAGGACTTACGGCCGCATGTGCTGACATTGTCTCTTTCAGACCGCAACCTGGTGTGGTGGAAGACATAAAGATGCCTCCTGAGCCAATTGCCCTCGTCGGCAGCAGTTGTCGCTTTTCGGGCAACGCCACTTCGCCGTCCAAGCTTTGGACACTTCTAGCTGACCCCACCGACCTCTCTCGACCCATACCAAACGACAGGTTCTCTGCTATGGGATTCTTTCATGAGGATGCAGAGCACCATGGCACCACGGACTCTCCATACGGATATTGGCTGGACCAGAAGCTGGACCAGTTCGACGCTGCGTTCTTCAACATAACACGGAAAGAAGCAGAAGCCATGGATCCTCAACAACGGCTTCTCCTCGAGGTTGTGTACGAGGCATTGGAGTCTGCTGGATACAGTCTGAAGCAGTTTGCCGGCCGTAATGTCGGTGTCTACACTGGCGTGATGACAACGGATTACAGATCTCTGTCGGAGAGGGACGAGCTGAATTCCTCGCAGTACGCAGCTACCGGCAATGCAAGCTCCATCATTGCTAATCGGATATCGTACTTTTACGACTTCCATGGCCCGTCCATGACCATAGACACTGCTTGTTCGGCAAGTCTAGTTGCCCTTCACCAGGCTGTTCTAGGTTTGCGTTCGGGAGAGACAGAAATGGCCTGTGTTGCGGGTGTCAACCTCATGTTGACCCCTGAGCAATTCATTTCGGAGTCTAACCTGCACATGCTCAGCCCTACTGGACACTGCAGGATGTGGGATATTGACGCCGATGGTTACGCAAGAGGCGAAGGCATTGTTGCAATTTTCATCAAGACACTGACTCGGGCCCTTGCGGAGGGAGACAATATCCAGGCTATCATCCGTCATACAGGTGCGAATTCGGATGGAAAGACCCAGGGCATCACAATGCCAAATCCGACTGCACAAGCGACGTTGATTCGGACGACGTATGAGAAATCCGACCTCGATCCACGGGAACCAGACCATCAACCGCAGTACTTTGAGGCACATGGTAAGTCGTTCTCAAATTGTTACAAGTTGGTCCAATTTCCAGGTTAACATTGCTGCAAAGGCACTGGAACGCCTGCGGGCGACCCACGCGAGGCTCGCGCCATTGCCAATGCTTTCTTTGGTGATAATGAAGGTGCCACTGCCAACTCAAATGAGAAATCTCCAAGGAAAATACTGGTTGGTTCAATCAAGACCATCATTGGGCACACAGAGGGCGCTGCAGGTTTGGCTGGTATTCTCAAGGTCGTGGTTGCCATGCAAAACAGTTGTGTTCCAGGCAACCTGCACCACGACTCCTTGAACCCAAGTGTCCGTCCTTTCTATGAAAACCTGCAAATCCCTACACAGGCTCTGGACTGGCCGTCTCCTCCCACAGGCCACCCTATGAGAGCGAGCGTGAACTCCTTTGGCTTTGGCGGCACCAATGCACATGCCATAGTGGAGAGGTACCAGCCTGAGATTCACGGTCCTGGCACACGACTGAGTGTGCCCTTGACCAACACGAGACTTTGCAGCCAAGTCACTGCGAAGTACTTGACACTCGGATCGCCTCATCAAGCAAGCATCTCGTTGCCTGTCGTCATCTCAGCTGCCTCCGAACCATCATTCATTGCTGTTCTGAAGGACCTTCTTTCGTACATTGACCACAACCCCCACATCACCACTCAAGAGTTGGCGTGGCACCTTTACAGTCGTCGCACAGCACACAGCCTCAAGGCGTTCCTTGTTCCAGGCCCAGGAAAGGCGTCATCGATCATGTCGAGCCTGCAGTCTTTGATTGAACAGGCAAGCCGAACCTCCCTTACGCAATCTGGTGATGTCGTACGCTCCAAGAAGACATCGCATGGCCCCCGCATCCTTGGTATCTTCACTGGACAAGGTGCTCAATATGCCGCCATGTCGAAAGGCCTTTTACGAACAAGCACCGTGTATTGTGCCACCATTAAGAAGCTGGACCAAATCCTGCAGAAAGACTGCCCCGATCCGCCAGAGTGGTCACTTGAGGAAAAGATTATGGATGAGGGAGAAGACTCAGATGTGGGAGTGGCTGCCATAGCTCAACCACTGTGCACGGCACTTCAAGTTGCCTTGGTGGAGCTCCTCTCCAGCCTCAGGGTATCTTTCCATTGTGTCATTGGCCACTCCTCTGGAGAGATTGCAGCGGCGTTTGCTGCCAAACGACTTTCAATGCGAGACGCCATCCTGATTGCCTACTACCGAGGTCGGTACGCCCACTTAGCTGTAGGTACTGATGGATGCAAGGGAAGTATGATGGCATGTGGAATGACGAAGCGCGAAGCCGAGAAGTTTTGTTCTAGGACCAAATATCGAGGTCGGATTTGCGTTGCAGCGAGCAACTCTCCGAGCCTAGTCACCTTGTCGGGAGATGCGGGCATCATCGCTGCTGCCTCTGACGAGCTAAAGTCTGAAGGAAAACTTTCTAAAATCTTGAAGGTCGATACGGCCTACCACTCGTTTCACATGGTCCAGCCAGTGAAAGAATACTCGCATGCATTGGCAAGCTGTGCCATTCAAGCCCAGCCGCCAGTCAACGGCGGAACTCCAATATGGGTGTCAAGCGTTCACGGTCGCCAGGATGCCGCAAGCTCAGAAGAATTGGAAACTCGGTACTGGATGGACAACATGCTTCACCCTGTACTCTTCTACGAGGCGGTGAAAATGGCTATGGAGGAACTCGGACCTTTCGAATGCGCAATTGAAGTCGGCCCTCATCCTCAGTTGCAGACACCGGCTATGGAGACATTCGTAAGGAATACGGGCAAAGAGCTGCTCTACCATGGGCTTTTGCAGAGAGGGAGAGATGCAGAGAATGCATTCGCCGATTTTCTTGGGTTCATGTGCGTCAACTTTGGGACCTCTGCGGTGGACATTCGCCGTTTCGTCCAAGACTCTCTGCAACCTGAGCTTATATTGTCGCGTCTGATCGATGCTCCAATATATGCTTGGGACCATAACCAGGTTCACTGGAGGGAGTCTCGCCTCTCGGCCCAATACCACTTCCGCGAGCATCCACCACATGAGCTGCTAGGTGTGCGCACCCGCGACGACAACCAATTTCAGATGCGATGGAGGAACATCCTCAAGGTGGAGAAGATTCCTTGGGTGAATGACCACAGGTTTCAGGGCCAGGCATTGCTTCCGGCGTCTGCATACTGCATCATGGCACTCGATGCTGCCAAGGTTGTCGTAGCCGGCCGCAACGCGTCGATTGTCGAGTTGCAGGACTTAAAATTCCTGAGCAGTATCATCATGGAGCCTGATAGTCTCGGCGTTGAAACGCTTTTCACTTTTCAAATCGTTCATTCTCCCCAATCGCAATCCGATCAAACCAACATCATCGAGGCCGATTTCACATTGACATCGGGTTCAGTCGTTTCCTCGAAGCCCGGCCCTATGAAAAAGAACTTTGAAGGAAGGGCTCTGATTGTTCTCGGTGACGCGTCGCCAGATGCTCTGCCCTCTCGGTCGGTGGCTTCTCTAGCTGAGACTTTGCCTGTGGATGTGGCTACATTCTATCAGATGATGGATAGCATTGGACTTTCCTATACGGGTCCCTTCCATGCGCTGAGATCCATCGATAGGCGGGTTGACTATGCAACAGCAACTCTAATCAAGGCAAACCCAGCAGATACGACGAATATTGATCTAAGCCCGGCTTTTCTCGACAGCTGCTTCCATGCTACATTTGCAACGTTCTCATCACCGGGTGATAAGTAAGTTGGCCCGTCAAGCACTCCTTCAAACCATGATCCAACGTTCGCTGACTTAGACGTGCAAAAAGAGCGCTTTGGACGTCCTTCCTGCCAACGAAGATCGGCAGAATACGATTCAATTTGGCACTTTGTGACAAGCAATCGACTTCAGCCACGATGACTGTGGAGTCTCACCTCACCAAGTTCGACGCTTTCTCCTTTGGGTCTCCCGCAGCTCTCACGGCCGATCTATCCATAAGTAATGAAATTGGCCAGACGGAAGTTCAGCTTGAGGACCTTATCGTGTCGTCTTTCTCTCCAGCGAGGCCTGAAGATGACTATGAGCTATATCTCCACACCGTCATGGATGTGGACCCGGAGCTCGAAATCGTCACCATGGCTCAGCAGCCCATGGGCGTCCGCGAACACATAATTGAGAGCTGTGAGAGAGTGGCACAGATCTACTTGAAGTGGCCCACTGATGTTTCCCCTACTGACACCCCTCCGAATTCACCCCTTATGCCCGAGCACCCGGTACAATGTAGTGGGGATGCGACGACGCTCGAGGAAGTCCCCGCGGAGGTGGAAAATTTCGTCACCAACTCTCTATACTCCTGGGCATTAAATGTGATCCGCAGTCCTCAGGTCGTTGAAATGTCGCATACGCACTCGCTGGACTTCCCACGTATGTACCAGTCTATTGTTGACGATGCGCAACTGATACAACGCTTCCGTCGACATTTGGGCAGAATCGTCCAGCAGATCTCCCATCGTTTCCCTCGAATGGATGTCCTCGATCTCACATTGGCAGAATGGAACCTCACTGAGAACATCCTGGACGGCCTGAATAACGAATTCTCGTCATTCACATTAATGGCGTCGACGAAGTCAAAAACCCTACTGAACCGGTGTCCAACTCTGGTCAGAAATAAAAAGGTATCTTTTGAGGATCTCGATTTGGACACGACAACAGAGACCATTGGTGCTCCCAGTGGTGCGTATGACCTGGTCATTGTGTCAACCGCCATATTCTCAAGATTCGCTTCTGATAAGGATGAGATCATTCGAAAGGTCCGATACCTAATAAGGAAGAGAGGCTTCTTGATAATTGTTCATATGCCAACTTTGTCGATTCTTGAGAACAAGCTCAGTGCAATTGACGAAGATATCATCCAGAATAACTCTGGTGCGGTGATGCCTCCAGATTTGGATGGGCCGTTGCTCAAGAGCATGTTTCTGCCGGCGGCTCAGAATTCGACCCAAATCTATGCTTCGGGATTATCCATGACCATACGACAAGCCGAAGACGAGCTTCTAATATCCAAGAATGGCAAGTTCCAGGAATCAGTGATCGTTGTTGGCAAAGCAGCGGCGCGCTTTGGTCTTGAACGACACAGCGCAAGCCACGATATTTGCGGTAACAAAGAGTTCAAGATTTTCGACCACATCGAGGACGTAACATCAGAGGCAGCTTCTGCAGCCACCGTGGTTGTACTACTCATGGATCTGACCGATCCAGTCTGCTCAAACATGACCCGCGAGATTCTGAGCACTCTCAAGGCAATCATGCAGCCCGGAAAGATCATCCTGTGGGTGACGAGTGCCACCCAGCGAGACCCAGAGACAGCTGCATCACTTGGCCTGACCAGAACTCTGAAGGCCGAGAACCCCAACCTCATCCTACAGGTTCTCGACTTTTGCAACGCCTCCAGTCAGTCAACGGACTTGATCATGGATCGACTGATGATACTTCTCCTCTACCGGGACAGTCTCCAAAAAATGGATAATGCAAGAGAAAACATGCTGTTCACGTTCGAGTCCGAGATCCACGTAAGTGGGAAGCGCCAGATCGTGCCTCGCGTTCTCCCGTACAAGCCAGCCATTGAGAGGTTGAATGCAAATCGGAGAGAGGTGTCCAGAACCTGCAATAGTCTCGAAGCATGCCTGCTCATCAGCAGTGTCCAAGGCACCGATGGATTGAATCGATTCGAAGTCAGCCGCATTGAGGACTGTGGCACGCCTCTCGTCGGCCATCGCACGGGCAGATTTGTCAACGTCGAGTACAGTTCGTTGCACCCTCTTTCAACTGACATGCATGATCTGTATCTCTGCATCGGCCTTGCTGCCGACAATGCGCAACCAGTCGTGGGAGTTTCCTCATATCTCGCCTCGAGAGCTCCAGCATTTCAGACTATTGATCTCCCGCAAAACCTCGCGGATCGGAGAGCTTTTGCTTCCTGGGTGCCACCGATGGTGTCTGCGGCTGACCTAGCCGCCTCGGCTCGCCCTGGTGATGTTGTGCTGATCGATCCAGGTCTCACATTTCTTCAGTGCGCGCGTGCAGTCCTGCCTCCACGTGTTGGGAGTTCGGGATATGCCATTCATGTTTTAATGACCAACCCCGACCTAGCCAGGGGACATGCAGATATCAAGTACATTCATCCACTGAGCAGCGGTCGAGACCTGAAGCGACTCATCCCATGCACAAACCCTACTGTGGTCAACTTTCTCAGAGACGGACACGACCTGTCGAAAGTACTTCGGAGCCTTGCAGGCGATTTTGAATACATTCAGTGGTCAACTCCATTGCGTCCACGCCGTGATAAACGGCCTTTGATCAATGGATCGGCGTGGATCGAATTATTGACTGGGTGCATTGATATGGCTTGTCGCAAACCATCACAAAACGAGTCACCCATCTTTGTAACTCCGCAAGTTCTCCACGGTGCCAGCGGGCCAAATTCACCATTCGCCATTGTTGACTGGAAGTCAGACCGCTATGTCACGATTCCAGTAAAGCCACTGGTTGAGCCAAGGTTACTCAAGTCTAACCGGACTTACCTTCTGGTTGGCTTGACGCGTGATCTTGGCCAGAGTCTCTGTCGCTTGTTCATACGGCATGGTGCAAGAAACATTGTGGTGGCTAGCCGAAGTCCGAACAAAGCTGCCATTTGGATCTCGGAGCTAAACTCGGAGGGGGCTAATATTCGAGCCCAGCAGCTTGATGTTACCGACCTAGAGAGCGTCAAATATTTAAGCACAACTCTGTCGAACGTTGGAGGCATCGTCAACGGCGCCATGGTTCTAGAGGACAAGGTGTTCGCCCAGATGGACATCGACACGTGGACGCGTGTTATGCGACCGAAGACTGTTGGTTCTAGCAACCTCGACAAGGTGTTCAATTCCAGAAAGCTGGACTTCTTCATCATGACATCCTCTTTTGCAGCCATTGGCGGACACGCTGGCCAGTCGAATTATGCCGCTGCTAACATGTTCATGAATGGCCTAGCAGCCAATCGCCGGCAACGAGGACTCGTCGGATCAGTGCTGAACATCGGTGTCATCTATGGGCTAGGCCTTCTTGCGAGGGAGCGGCAGGAGATCTACCACAATTTGGAGATGGAAGGTTATCCGCCAATATCCGAGCGCGACATCCACCACATGTTTCTCGAGGCCATTGTTGCAGGTCGACCGACCGCCAGGCAGATCATGGATTTGACGACTGGGCTGTCCCGGTATCGCGTCAACGACCCGAAGCCCTTGCACTGGCATCGCGACAGCCGCTTTTGCCATTTCACAGTCAATGTCGACGACGACACTGCTGGTCCGCATCGGGAAGGCCCAGAGGAGAAAAACATTAAGGAGCTGATTGATGCGGAGATATCGGCCGAAGCAATTTCGAACCTTTTGTCTTACCACTTCTGCCGTCACATAGAGACCATCCTCCAGCTGTCTGTACACAGCGTGACCCCTGAGAGCCACATCTTCGAGCTGGGAGTGGACTCATTGGTGGCAGTTGAGATTCGCAACTGGTTTTACAAGAGAGTGGGTAGTGATGTGCCAGTGATGAAGATCCTCCAGCCACTGAGTATTTCAGAATGTAGGTACTGCCACATCCAGAGTTAGGATTGCTTTGCTAATCAGGAAGCTCAGTATGCCTTGACATCGCCAACAAGATAGTTGGCGAGAGAAAGTAGGCTACGCAATCCGCGATCTTGGTGAAAAACAAGACGATAGCGCGGTTTCGGTGATTGAAAAGGTCAAGATAGATGTTGTACAATTTGTAAATATTTGAGGGTTTCCGTCCATTTCTTATGTGGCAGCAGATGTACAGAAGGCAGCCTTGCGCTTAGGATGAAGTTGAAGACGGAAATTCTACATTAGAGTTCGAGGTATGAGGATCCAGAAATAGCATCGGAAGATGGGGCCGTCAACGTCATGAGGCTGAAGCTAAGAAACTGCTTCTTTTAGATCAGATAGGGAAAAAGTTTATCCCCAGTTGCCGAACGCAAACCTTTCAGGCATTTATCTGGCCACTGCGTGAGAAATTTTGAAATGATGGGCCCATATCTTTGCAGGATTGCATGCTGACAGACGGGTTGAATCAATTACCAGCTTGCGCGTGCCGTTCGTTTCGAGCTGGTGGTCCGTAAATCCGATGCCCAGCCCCTATTCACAGCAGCAGTTGGTTCAGAGGGCGCGGGAAGATGCGGTCTGCATCGCGATGCATTCCGCTGTGCCAAGCCCCTGTGGCCTACTAGAACCCATGCAAACCTTACAGCTCTAGCTTCAGGGATGCGCTACCCAGATACAAATGGTTATCATCGACAACAGTTGGCGGCGAGCCTCAAAATCACTAACACACATTTCATTAATCTATATCGGGCTACGAGCTACCATCATCGTCGCCCGCGAGCCGCCAAAGCGGCAGCGCCGTCAGCTTATACCTGTCGGCGCCTAGTGTCTCCGGCGATGGCCCACATTACGTCCCAATCCCGCGGGATAGATCCACTAACGCGACTTGAGTGGCGAGACCCGAGGCCGATGGAGGACCTTAATTGTGGAACCGCTCAAGTGTAGGGCGCGTTGGTGATGAAATAGCACGTCTTCCCCCGTGGAGGCGGTGTTGAGTTGGCAGTTCGTGATGCCACTCTCGCTTCGCGCAGGAAACTGTCCTCAAGTTTTGCGGTCCTGAGCTGTGTACGACTTGATGAGCCCCTATGAAGATGCATCGCGAGACAGAGCTGACGAGGGAGAAGACCCAAGATGAACACCACACAGTCGCCCCAGATGTCGACCTTGATGCCCAATCCACACAGTCCGACACCGACAGTGAAGACCGCCGGTCATCATCACAGGATGATGTCGTCCTCGTGAATTTCCAGCCAGGTGAACCGGCCGACCCTCACAATTGGTCATGGGTGAGTACGATCAGTTACCGCACGACCCTTTGGCGATTAGTCTAACTGACGTTGGGCACACATAGGCCAAGAAATTCTACGTCCCTTTCGTTGGGACTCTACTATCGATCAACTCAACCATGGGCTCGTCCACGCCCTCGAATGAGCTTCCTGCTCTGCAGGAGGTCTTCCACTTCCCCGATGGGCCGCAGACTACACTCCCGGCCACGACATACCTAATTGGCTTCGTCCTGGGACCGCTCGTCTTTGCTCCGCTGAGTGAACAGTACGGCCGCAGACCCATTCTCATCTCCACGCTATGCCTTTACACGATCTTTACGATGGCCACCGCCCTGTCTCCTAACTGGGCTGCCTTCCTGATCTTCAGGTTCCTGAGCGGCACCTTTGCCTCACCGCCAATGAGTGTGACTGGAGGATCGATCGCCGATGTCTTTGATGAGAAGGTCGTTAGGGGCAGGGCCAACATGCTCTGGTCCTCGGCCACGCTGCTGGGGCCCCTTGCCGGGCCAGTAATAGCAGGATATACGTACCGCTACTCCTGGCGATGGGTCTTTTGGGCGTGCATGATTTTCTCGGGGGTATGCCTCGTCGCCCTCCTCTTTCAGCCGGAAACGCTCGCCACCAAGATCCTCCGGGACCGAGCCGCGAAGCTGAATAAGGAAAAAGGAGGCGGGAGGTACATCGCGCCCGCAGACGTAGACAAGCTCGGCCTGCTGGCCACGCTGAAGATCACCACCACGAGACCGCTGTACCTCCTTTGCACCGAAATGCTCGTCGCGCTGACGTGCGTGTACATGGCGTTCGTCTATGCGGTGTTCTACATGCTCCTCGCAATTTTCCCCGCCATCTTCCAGGGTATCTACGGTTTCTCTGCAGGCGAGTCTGGATGCGCCTTCGTGATGATGTTCGCCGGGTCGCTCCTTTCGAACGTGCTCGGCTACTTCTACGACATTTACGCCCAGAAGCTCGTCCGCAGGCATCCTAACAAGCATGCCGAGTACCTGCGCCTGCCCCTGGCGTGCATCGGCGGCCCAGCGTTTGTCGTTGCGCTGTTTTGGCTCGGGTGGACATCCCGACAATCGATCCACTGGGTCGTGCCGCTCCTGTCCATGATCCCCTACGGCTTTGCCTACCAGTGCATTTTTATGGCCATGATCAACTACATCGCAGATGCATATGGTATCTTTGCTTCGTCAGCCCTGGCCGCTTTAGCTGCGTGCCGGAGTGTTGCAGGTGCCATCATTCCCCTGGCCGTCGACAACATGATCGACACGCTGGGAATCGGCTGGTCGTGCAGCGTGCTGGCCCTGATCAGCTGTGCGCTGAGTCTTGTCCCGTTTGGGTTTATCATTTGGGGCGAGAGAATTCGTGGTGCGAGTAACTTCAGCAAGAAGCTGCAGAATGCGCCGCATCCTGAGCTGGAGTTGACGAGGAGCGTATCGATTGTTTGATTTTTGCTGCTGGAGTCAAATTACACATCATGATAATAGAAAATGGATCACCGTAATGAACGGCTTCAAGTGCGTGCTTCTGCCTCTGCACAACAATTAGCCTCGCTCACTTTGCGTATAGATTGTGGCCAGTCTCATCTCAATCACTCAATTTCACGTGTAATCTTATTACTGGTAATGAAGTCTGTGTATCTCTCCCCCCGAATCTCACGCTGCATTGTGCCATGAGATTGTTTGGCATTTCGACCATTTCTCAAATTGAGGGGATGGGGGAGCAGCTCTTTGACCTGCAGAACCAACAGGAATCCCAAAAGGTCGTGTATGATTCGACCAAAACATAGGCACTCTAGAAAATGACCTTCTAAGGGATAACCTCCCGTGGGATAATCGCCATAAGATAACATCCTATCTCCTGTAGAATAACTCCATTGTGCGATAATCGCCCGTGGGATGACTCCCTACTTCCTGCGGGATAGGCTGCCATAGCTTACTGTCGAGCGTTACAGCTTTGAATCCCGTACAAAGTCGATTAGATCGACTGCGGGGACTTGGTATGGCTTCCGTTTCTTATTGATTCGCGTCGATGATTCGAATGCTTGCGCTACCCGAAGCATTTGAGCATCTTCGAACCGCCGAGCGTAGAGATAAACAGAGAAACTGTCTCAATTAGACCACAAGAATCACAGTATACTCGAAGTATGAGACTTACGGAACGTTTGGCCCAGTAATAACCTGTCCATTTCGCTCATCGGTGACTGCTTCGGTTCCTGGTGGATAGAACCCCATTGGGACGCTCATGGCTGGTGAGCCTGCCATGGCGGCGAAGCCTTGCACCGTGAGGGAGCCTTCCGCAGCGAGGAGCACGTGGCAGCCACTATTGTCCAGAGCCCCTTGGATACCGCCCTCAGATGCAAAATACTGTTGTCTTTCCCGCATCGTGGCATAGGTGGGAGAATGTCGTGAGGTACGGTCCGCCCGTTCCATGATTTCAACATTCCATTCCGGGAAACGCTCGGATGGATCATGTTTGATCGCCTCAATCAATTGGCCGAGAGACTTGATGTTTCTGGGGTTGACCGCAAGGCTCGACAGGAATTCCTCCAGGCCCACTTTGAACTCCGTTTCCAATACAACTAATTTCTCAGCTTCCGAGAGGTTCTCATATTCCTCGAGCCCTGGGATGGCGACAGGGTCGATGATGATGGCACCTGCGCCGCGAAGCCGGGCGAGACCATCGTTGAACGCTTTGAGCTTGTGTTTGTCCACCATGTCGTCTGGTTTGCGAAGGACTCCAACACGTAGCTCCTCTGTGAGAGGGCGACCTAAGTACTCCGAGTAGTCAAAGGCTGGCTCTGCCATGATGGAGAGAATATGCGCCACATCCTTGACCGTCTTTGCTATTGGACCCACTGTATCTTGCGCTGGTGAGACGGGAATGATGCCGTCTGAGTTCACCATGTCTTTGGTAGGCTTCAAGCCCACAACGCAGCTCCTCTCTGCGGGGCCCACAATGCTCGAGACTGTCTAAAATCCGATTAGTCCGTCGCAGAGAGATCAGGTAAGTTCGATATCTTCTCTTGTTCGGGGCTTACCTCTGTGCCTAGACTTGCAAATGCAGTTCCGAGCCCTACTGAAAGGGCGGATCCGGAGCTGCTTCCGAACGCCTTCATGTTGGGGTAGAAGATCCCCGTTGCCTGTCCTCCACGCGGACTCCAAGCAGTTGTCCCGTTGGTAGAGCGAAAGCCCGCAAACTCTGATACATTGGCTTTACCCAGGATGATCACGCCTGCTCTTCGAAGCCTCTGCACAGTTGGTGCCTCGAAGGACAATCGAATGCCGAGGAGGACGCTTGAGCCGCAAGTGCTCTCAGTGCCGTCGTGGGTCATGATGTTATCTTTTAAAATGATTGGAATCCCATGTAGAATGCTACACAGCCCGCCCGATCGGTTAGATTGAAGTCTCAGTTAGCTGGTGAAGAGGGTCTTGCCTTCTAGGACCGCTTACACGTCTCTCCTCATCAAGAGCACGTGCGATCGTCTCCGAATCAGGGTCCCATTGAATCACAGCATGGAATGTGTCATCCACTTCCTTAGACCTTGCCTTGTAGGCACGAATTAATTGTACGGAAGTGAAATGACCACCGTTCAGTCCATGGTTTAGCTCCTCTAAGGTGCTGTTGAAAAGGGATGGGATGGTCTCGGCATCTAGCCACCGCAAGTCAGATTCGACTGTATCATCAAAGAATAATATACGCCTAGTGAAGACAGGCACCCAGACATAGATTGAGCCCCACATGCGGCCGAAAATGGGTGTGGGCTGATGACTTACGCTTTTGAATCCATCGTCGGAGCTGGAACCGAACAGCGGCAAACAGGGATGCCAACATGGCCACACGGAAAGTATGACGCATCCAGGATCAGTGCCAAGTGAAGTCAGCAGGCGGAAGTCGAGATAGATTGACATAGGTGGTAGTGCGCATTCAGATGTTTAGCCACAAATGTGTTCTCAGTCCTGAAGAGGAAAGGTTGAGCAGGCAGGAGCGAAGAAGAGGATGCAGCCCTGAGGCCATGTTTTGCAGCAGGCGAGGTGATCGCCTAGACACATGGTTGCACAAGGTCACTGCTTGCCTAAGTGGCAGCTTCAGAAAGTACAAACAGGTAGACTACATAGCTGGCTGGTACTGCCTGCAGGTTTGCTTCAGCGTACACTGGATTGAAGCGCCTTGAGGTGAGCCAGATTGCCGGGGTACTACATGTGAAATTTCCGAAACGAATGACTCACGATTCCATTCACATACAAACAATCTTGAAAGTGCCCGGGTAGCCGCCTCACGGGCAATACGCATTCAGTCAGGATTTCTTCATCACTTGACAACCGTCCGATGTTTTGAGGGGGCTCTAGGATACATCGATGGACCACGCATGGCATGTCATCCGTAGTCAGTTGAAGTATATGAGATATTCGAACAGGTAGCTCCCAGCACATCAACTACAGTCTCGTCAATTTACCCTGATCAGGGCACAGGTGCGGGTCTTAGGTTCTTACCGGAAGAAGCTGTCTACCAGATTGTCGTATACAGCTTGGCTGGATTCACACACACACTGCGATTTGACTTCCCCGAGAAATTCTTTCCTGATCTCTTCAGCTATGACGAGAAGATTTGGTGCCTTGTCTATTTCATCTCGATCACTTGACTCTTGCAGCCCACGAGAAAGCATGTAAATAACCCTCGCCTGCTCAGATGGCGCGATGTCGTACAAAGTATGTATGTCCAAACAAGTTCTGAAGGTCGTCCTGGGGGGATGATTTAAAATGAATGCCGTGAACTGGTTGTTGGCAAGAGCGTATACCTGGCATCTTCGAACTGCTTCAAGTCAAACTGAAGACACCCAATCTCGTACAAGTATGAGGCATGAAGTAATGGCTCGTAGGGTTCGTATGATTTTGTCTGGTCGCGAGCCATCTTGAATGTCTTCAAAGCCTGTTCGTACTCTCTTTTTGCTTGCAAGAGCGGTCCGCGATGATACTGACGCCTGTCTCGTTTTTTCTTGCTCCTATTTACAATTATCATCACCAACATCACTAAAAGTTGATGCCGCCAATGCCATATCCGATGAACGATGTTCCGACTGTGTCACCATGGGCAATCGAGACACAGCTCTTCCCTTCCAATTGTATATATCGAAAATACCCCACATGGGACCCCGGCGGCAGAAAAAAGCTCCTTCCAACCGGACAAAATTTGCAAAAGAGAGCTGATGAGACTGGGACTTGAACCCAGGAGGATTGCTCCACCAGGAATGAATGTTAAGATTAACCTTAACCTGGCGCCATAACCATCTCGGCCATCTCACCTGTTTTTTGTTGAATTTGGGATTTTTGGGAAGATTGTGAAGGTTGTGTGGGTTTGTGGTGGAGCGGAGCCCACGCGACCGGGGATCCCGGAAACCAGATTTTGCACTGGTCTGATCTGCCGGTCGCTCTGAGATGTATCCTGACACGGAGTTTCCTCAAGTGGCGAGGGAGGCTCAAAATTATGTACAACATCTTGACTCAAGGCCTCAAGTGGCGTGTGAGGAGGGCTAATTTGGGGAGTTTCGGGATCAATGTTTGTGACAAAGTTCGTGCCGTCGCAGCTCGGCTGAGGATGTTGTACGCTGCTGGGACTTGGTTCGAGATCGGTTCCCCCAGAACTGATTGTGTTGGAAGGAGGTGAAGTCGTCTGTGTAACATCCAAGCTAGGCAGTGTCGTGATTTCTTTTGACGAGTGAAGTTTCGGGTGTTTCAAGTCACTGATGTCAAGGCTGGTCAAAAGAACACCAGGAGCCGTGGTGGGAACCCAGCTTTCGCAGCGCGACCATCCCCCAGTAGCGTCGTCCATCCCTTCATGGGCGAGTCGATGAAGTTGAAGGGTCTCATTGGTCATCCACTCCAGATAGGCGTATTGTCTATACTTGCGACGCCGGTGCAGACAAGCTAGGATAGGCTCGAGTGAGTACGAAATGGTAAGGATCAAGCCTCCGAGCATGTATGTGAACAAGAGCCCGAAAAGACTGAAGGATGAGTATCTTGTCGTTCGGATTTTCTTTGGAACAATCAGCTTTGAAAACGACCGGCTGAGTTGTAGGATGCATACCTGATTCGAACACAATTTCCGCGCAGCCTCAGTCTGAGGTCTTAAAACAGCCGTGTTTTCCTCTGTGATCATGAATCCAGAAGTCGTCTGGAGAAGACTCGTTTGCATTGCGGCAAGGGTTATTGAAAACCAGTTGGTGACATCAAGTTGCCACTGGTTGTCAGGGACGCTACCTTGATATCCACCAAAGAGATTTTGTTTGGATAGCAACGCGTTGTCTTGTAAGTGCTGCAACATAGAGGCTTCACTCAAGGCGTCAATGTACGTTGCAATTGTCAGCCAGTCCAGTCGGTCTGTTGCTTCGGCTCCTTTACCGGTCGATTCCAGGTTCGTAGCGCCAAAGGCTTCTGCAGCCCCAGAAATAGCATCAAAATAGCTGGCCATTGGACCGCATGCTGACGTATTGCTGCTGCAAAATTGCCATTGAGACGCACAGCCCAGCGGCGAGGCGGCCTCACTTGTGCGATAAACCGAAAGGGAATCTTCCTCGTCTATGTTTGCCGCGGTTGCAAAAGACACGGTAGCTCGGTACCAATCGTCGTCAAGCGGTTCACCGAAGACGACCCCATGACCGGACAGGAATACGATTAAAATATCAGCATCCGCTCGTCCGAGCTCATCGTCTGGCACAAAAGTACTGGATGGCTCAGCGCCAGGTATTCCGTTGGCCGTACCGGCGAAAAGCGGTCTGTATGTGGAAAGTTTGTCAAAATCAATTGATGGAAGGTGGAAAAGGGCCAATATTGAAAGTGACGTGTTGAAAAGCCGGGGCATGGCCGCCTAATAAATCTGGAACGAAATAATGTGCAGAAAAAGGAACGGGTCTGAATGGCTTACCGTAGCATATACGATTGCTCAGCCATCAGCTTGTTATCCATAATAACGTACTGATCATCTATGTTTTCAACTTCGTAGGTGTAGTCAAGATGCCCCTTGGAGAAGTTCGAGGCTGTACCGACGACCGCATACTGTGGTCCGTAATTATACCGCGTGTAATTCCTGTGTACTGATACGCGCCCCTTAGTCAAAAGAGGAGCACATTGAAGCTTGTGTCTGAGAAACATTCTCTCATTGGGCGGTGCGTTCGAGCCGAGGTCAGCATGGGAATCAAGGAACCCGGTGTCCAAGTAGAGGTTGGTGGAGTTGCTGCGACAAAGCGAATCCTTGAAAGGACACGGCGCCATGTTTTCCATGAAACCGGGTAAACGCTGTGAGGCAAAATGTTTACAGTCGGTCACGCCGGTGCTGTTTGCAGAGTAACACTGTTGGACGTAGTTATTGGCAGTGTCGAAAAGTCTTGCGGCAACTTTTTCAAGGGCAACTTGGTCACGAAAAGATGTAATGTTACTCAAAATGCCGCAGTTGGTGCCGTCGATGAGCACGGCACTGCCGATATCATCGTTTCCAAATTGGATCTGGGATGAAAACCCGCCGGCAATTGTGAAAGCAATGGTGCAAAATATGGCTAGAAGCAAGGCTGGGGATGTTCGAATAATGGCTTGCAAGTTCGAGCCACGCCATGCGTGGAACAACGCAATGAACTTGAACTGCGAATCGGAAATCAGAGACGCTGATACGCGCAAATGGATGAAGCCATGACTTACCACTCCTGAGTCTGACGACCCCGAGTTCCTCAAGAGAACCTGGCGCTGGTGGTGCAGGGCATCGCGGGCTTCCGAGGTTGAATATGACTGGTGCAGCACTAGACATATTATGCGCCAAAATCGGGAGCCAACGAAAACCACGAAAGAAGCTGTGAACGCAATCAAGAAGTTCGCTTGTTGACGATCCATCGTCAAAGTTGCACCAAGCACACGGCCTTGAGACCAGTTGGTCCAGAGTCCCAGATGAATCTTAATTTGTAGGGTGAGGTCCTGACGCCCATCAGGCCATGCCAAAGTTGCTGGATGATCCATGGTCGCGCCAGAGGGACAAGAATGGTAAGAAAATCGTACTACCAGGTACCAGAAGCTCTAGATCAGCCGCACATGAGATAAGTTCCTTTACTGCTAGACATGTCAGCAGACACGGGCGAATATATGTTGTTCGAATCTACCAAGGGCCTTGGCTTTGCCAACAGCCAACACGACATTAAATGACAATAACAGCCCCAGTGCCCACTTCTTCCTAAAGATTTGCCACCCGAGGTCTTTCCATTGCAAGGTCGACACGGCCACTTCAATTCAGCTCCCGCGATGATGAACAGCACGATTTTCTGGGCACTGGCTCGAAGCTTGGGCTGGCAATTGATATCCGTCGCACCGCATCTTGAAGGATTAAAATTTATGCTTAACAGCCCTATCACAGTACAAATTTGATCACAGACCGCTGAACCTCAACCTAAATCTTTGGGGGCCACGGAACAGCCGCTGCAGGGGCGCGGGCGGGCAGATAGGCCAATTTGCAGGTCCTGTCCGCGGCCCCCACCATCACCATGTGAAACCCCATGTTGCATCTGCCTGCGCAAACTCATTCTCCGCAACTTGGTCAAGATTGGTGAGGCTGCTCATTCGAAATATAGTCGTGAGGCAAAACCAAGAGCGCAGGCCCCCAAAAGTCTGTGGCGAGCGGGCCATCCTAATCTCCTTGGGTGGCCAGATATGGAGCCGGCCAACGGCGACAACGTGGCTTTGACGGCCCCCACACATGCACTTATGTCTGTTATAGCTGCAAAGGTGGCTGAAATTCGCGCCGGGCGTGGCCTGAAATCCAGGGCGGTTTATTGATATTGATCGGTCTAGCCGCGCTCTGGCGCAGGGGCGAGAACATTCTTGTCCCCTCAGCAGACAACATGCCGAAGCAACACATGTGAATCCCAGTCATAGCAGTAAATGCGTCGAGTAGTCGATGTTGTGCACTGGTGTCTGCGAAATTACTAGGCAGACCGCATTTCAACCAAGGCTGAGTAGCCACGAGGCTCTCCTGTAGGCTGTTCATCAATACCTACTTCTTCATCTGATGTTCTTATGGTTCGATACCAAGGAGTGAAGGCTGCTCCTGGAAATGAGCATTTTGGATGATCTTCTGCTTCGCGCGCTGGTACATTCCGCATCGCAATCTATAGGATTCCATATTGGTGTGATATAGCTAATGCCCAAGAGAGTCAACGGTATGTGCGTAGTATCCAATAACATGCTCCGCTTAGTCCAAGTATCCAAGGGACAGCCTTACGAGAGCGATAACAACCATTTGCTGGGCGACAAAATGCCCAGTGACATGCTTCGCCTGACTTGGCCTCACCAAGACATTCATTGATAATGCTAGGCGGTATCTCGCATACCGGCATTGTAGATTGCGAAAACAACACCATCTGGTCTAACTCTTCACAGCAACGCAGCTGTGTACACGTAGTATTTCTCCATCTATCTTTATCTACGGCAGAATCGAGCTGATCAACCGCTCTGGAAGCACATGGACTTTCATCCTGAATAGATTCGGTGCTTTGCGCCCCTCACGGAAGCCGAGGAGTACACTTGAGATGTTCTCTGCAGGTCTCCCACCCGAGGCATGGCACAGGTCCCTAATGGCCGCTCATTTCAGTTGTGACAGCTGCGCGCCCGTCTGCAGCTGCAGTAACAACAGCCTGACTAACGACTTCTGCCATCCGTCCCACCAGGGCACAATCTGTTCCAGTAGAAACAAGACAGGGACGGAAAAAGCACCGCAGGCTGAACGTCACGGCCACAAAACAAGATGTCCAACAGGGATTGAATAGACCCTTGGCCAAAAGCCACGATATCGATGCTGTTTCTTCATCCTGGACTTTGTCGGACCGAGCAGCCGCCTGACAGCCGCCTGACACCACGGCATCCGCACGATTTCTTGGTAGACCACGGTTAGAGACAGCACTGGGGCAGAATCCCACACAGGCAGGATGAATGTAGGACAGATTGGCCCGACACGCAGCTCATCTCCTCACCTCAGCCAGCAGCTGCCCACGCCCACAGACGGATGGGAGACATGCGAGGCGCTCGTAGTAGGAACGACAACAGAAAATCTATGTTGGAGGAAGGAATGTTCGCTCGACGTTGACTTATTGAGAGCTGCCTGACGTGAGCGACATTGGTTGGATAGCAGGTCTGCGCCAAGTGTCTCGGCGCTGCTGGTGCAATAACGCCTGCGATCACGAAATGTGCTTGGGATGAACAAAAGCGACACAAGCCGGCTGATCTCGAGGGCCAAAGGCTCTTCTTGTGGTCGTTTATGGAAGGTGGTTAAGCCTTCGTAAATACTGCACAGAGCTTGGCTGGGCAAGGGTACGCGCGCCCAGAAAACCCACTTAGTCCCTTGAGATGTAACTTGGCGAAGGTATTCCTCGGCACTATCCGAATCAACAACTGAGAAGGAAGGCTAGGCCCTGCAGGGCCCAAAACGCCCTATAATTCCAATATTCCTTGAAGGAGTGTTGTGTGACACGCCTGCGCGCACCGGTATTGGGCATGGCAGTCTTGCATCACTAACGCTGGGGATGATGTGCCATGGATACCAAGACAACCATACGCCGAGAGGTTGGATCGGTAGTTAGCCATGCGCTTGGCGAGCCGTCGTGCATCTTTGCTTTTGGGGTGCGGAGGTATAAAGGCGACCCAAACTCTGTGACCTTCTGGCTGGAGGCTCCACAGTCTCTCGCTCAAATATCTGTTGTTGTCGTTTGGCCTATGTTTTTAGGGTTCGTCGGGCCCTTTTCTACCAACTATGGTCGACCACAAAGCGAAGCCATCCTCAACGGTTGGCGAGCAATACAGCTCAGCTGTGTCACGCGACGAGGATGCACCACCCGACTATGCAAGCGGCCAGGTTCAGGATGAGCAAGCGTTCAAGTTCTCCGAGTCGAGAAAAATCGGCGTGACAGGGGCCGTGTTCCTGATCTTGAACAAGATGATCGGCACAGGAAGTGAGTTACCGTGCCCCTAACAAAGTCATCCTGGCGCTGTTTGTTAACAGAGAGCAGTCTTCTCGACACCATCCGGCATTTTTGCCTCCACGGGCTCAGTCGGAATTAGCATCATGCTGTGGCTCATTGGCGGTATCCTCACCTTCGCCGGCCTGTCCGTCTTCCTCGAGTTTGGCCTCGCGATCCCCAGGTCTGGCGGCGAGAAGAATTACCTTGAGCGCGTGTACCGCCATCCTCGATACCTGGCCACCTGCGTTCTTGCCTCGCAGATGATCCTGCTGGGTTTCTCATCTGGCAACTCTCTGGCTTTCGGCCGCTACGTTCTGTTCGCCGCCGGCTCGACAGAGCCCGATGGATGGACAGCCCGAGGGCTCGGCATAGTCTGTGCCACGTTCTCAGTGGCGCTTCACTCGGTTCTGCCCAAGTGGGGCCTCCGCTTGGTGAACGTATTGGGCATATTCAAAGTGGTTATTCTGGTATTGATCGTCTTCAGTGGTTTTGCCGCACTGGCCGGACGACGCCTGGTACCCAACCCGCATAATTTTGACAATGCCTTTGCAATCGAAGAAGGTGACGGATACGGAAATGGGGGAGCGTACGGCTATGCGACAGCTCTTCTAAGGATCGTGTACAGCTACAAGGGCTGGGAAAATGCGAACTATGTCGTCGGCGAGCTAAAGAATCCGAAGCGGACGCTTGCGGTTGCAGCGCCGCTCGCCGTCGGAGGAGTGACAATACTTTACGTCCTCGCGAACGTGGTAAGTGACTTTCAGATACATTTTTGCCATTCCAGGAGGAGATTTCTGCTATATTCGCAGTCTGTCTCACTAGTTGCCTTGAACACATATATGGCGGCTGCTCTTGGGACACACAGAGGGCACATGGCGGCCTTCTTCTATCCCTCTCTGCATAGAACTTCTTCCCCAGTGCGTTGAACTAACCCCAAACGCTGCAGGCATACTTTGCTGCAATTCCAAAGAGTGACCTTGCCAAGTCAGAGGTCATTGTTGCCGGGCTGTTCTTCCGGAATGTTTTTGGAGCCAGCGCAGGTGCGAGAAGCTTGCCGGCATTTGTGGCCCTCAGCAATCTGGGCAACGTCCTGGCTGTTTCATTCGCGCATGCGAGACTGAACCAGGAGTTGGCGAAAGAGGGAATGCTGCCATTAAGCAGGTTCTGGGCTTCGAACAAGCCAAGCAATGCACCTGCCGCTTCGGTAGGTCTCCTTCCCATTCCCTTTCACTGAAGAAGCAGTTTAGGTCTCTGACATGAACGGTATAGTTGTTTTTGCACTGGCTGATAACCGTCATCATCCTCGTTGCCCCGCCTGCCGGCCCAGCGTACAACTTTATTGTTGATCTGTACACTTATCCAGGCGTTTGGATCAACGGATTCGTGGCTGGTGGGCTCATCTATCTGCAGTTCAAGAAGTCGGAGAACTGGTCTTCGCCGTGGCACACGTACCTACCGGTCACTCTACTCTTCCTCGCGATGAATGTCTTCCTGGCCATTGTGCCATTCATACCGCCTACGGGCAGCTGGAATGCCGAAGGCTATCCGTATTACGTCTTCCCTGTCGTCGGCGTCGGCGTTCTCATCCTGGGTGGTGTCTACTGGACCGTGTGGACCAAAGTGCTGCCGAGCATTGGCGGCTACAAGGTTGTAGCGGAGAGGAGTGTGACTGATGATGGCGCTGAGGTGGTGAGATACGTCAAGATAAGGACGAAGGACGGGTCGCGGCTTCACTGAAGGGAACGCCAAGGTCGCTGGTCGTTTCGGACGGCAGGAGAACGTTGTATTATTACACACATAGATACCTGGTACCTACCTCAGTCGTAATGGCGGAACTGGGAATTGTTAGCCTGCCCTTTGACAAGAGCCGGCTATCTGCTAAATGTGGCTATGTGAAGTGGTGACCTCCCCACAACACGGGGTCTGGGCCATGACTCGCCGCCGCCTTTGCCCAGACTCGCAGATAGTGGAGGGAGGAGACTGGATCTACTGGGGTGTATTGCTTTGCATCTTGTCAACTGTCCCAGCTCCGTGGTAACGTCCAAAGCTTGTTTGAAGGAGGGAGGGAGGGGAAGTGGCTGCCTTGTTAAGTGCGGCCCATCAAAGACTTGAGTGAAGGCATCGTGACATCGGGGGGCGAATCAGCAGCGTCCTATGCCAAGCGCAGCGATGCCAGGTGTCTGAGGTTGCATTTGGCTATGGTTGATGTCGAGGTTGACGTTGACTTTGGCGTGTGGGGTGGAGGTTGCTACTGCTCAAAGTGACTGATGAAACCTGCCATTCGGATCCGATCGACAGTAGCTGCCCGTCACATGCAGCTTCGTCCGAGGTCGCACTCTGCCTCTGGCTGCGGAGCAAACCAGCCAGCCAGGTCGGCGCAAGGTGGGTGTGATCAGCCAGCGCCGAAGGAGGGGGCGATGGAAGCTGTACGGAAGCGGTACGGAAGCTTGATTGTGGCTTGGAGCTCGGGAAACTTATGGCTAGCAGAGCGCAGGGTGGAGGGAGGGCCTGTGCCACCTTTACCACCTGTACCACCTGTAGCCTCTGAGCCTCTGTACCACCTGAGCTGCTGACTGCAGGGGAGGCGCATCCAACCGCAGCCCCTACCGTCAATGGCTGAGACCTGGGGAAGTTGCCGGGACAGAGCGAGGAAGGAAGGCACGTATCAGGTATCGGGACCCACTTAGCATGCCTGAAGAGGCTTAGCTTCCCAGCCAGATGGGTCAAGTGCCGGGCAAATCCAGTCAAGCATTGACTCCAATTGGAAGGATTGATGGTGCAGGTGCCAGGAGCAAGGTGCAAGGTGCGAGGTGCAGATTGGGGAAGTCCAGAGCACGGCAGAGCACAAAAAAACCACCAGACAAACCAGCAGACAAAACACGGAACCGAACGCGACAAAGTCAACACGAGCATTGCGCTTTGCCACTCTCACAAGCAGTATCAGATCAGCAGCATGAGCACCTATCAGTGATGTACGGCTCTGTCCAGGCGCTGCTGCTGGTGATGGTCTTATCAGCCGACCTTTCTCCACTGCTTACCATCGCCCCCCACAACATCCCGAGCTATCTCGACCTGGAGCTGGATGGAGATAACATGGTTTACTGTAGATACAGCACAGTGGGCAAACGGGCGGACGGGCAGAGCGACAACCTGCAGTTGAGCTGATGTGAGGGCTGCGGGTCTGGTCACCACCATCATCATCGTCACCACCAGTGCAACGTTCAGGCATATCGGAGACTCCAGCTTGTCTTGTGGTGTATATGTCTCTGGGTGCGAATCCTGGTTGGGAGTCGCTTCAGCAAGGGTGCTGGAATGACACTAACTCCTATGTCAATTCTGCCAATCATCATCTGATAAGAGCCTATTTTGGTCCCCCCAGATCTGCTGTCTGGACTCGCGAATGTAAGGTAACATCTGATCTTGCCCAGGCACCCCTGTCTCTTCGTATCGCCATCGTGCCCGTGGCCCGTTTTGCTATCTCCAGTTCAGGGGATTGGGGGAGCGGCCACACTCGGCCATTCTTACCCCAGGGTCCCAATGCGCCGTCCCCTTTTCTTACCCGCTTGATTTAATCCGCGTACGTGCGCTTCCTGCTGTTCACGCGACAGACATCGTCGAGGTCAATTAAATGTTGTTTGTTGCCCTGTCGTCCTTTCCGACCTGGGTCTTGAGTCAATTCCTCTCGCTTGTGCCAGCAGAGCGCCGTCTTTAACCAGTACCAACGGCCCGGCCTCATCGACGACCACCTCATCTTCATTCACCAAGGGCGGCCCACAGCCAAATCGTCAGTCAAGATGGTCAACCTCGCAGCTACCAAGGTTGGCCCGGTGCGATGTGCGTAACTGATCTCCTCGCCCAATTCGACCTCGAATGCTCTGTCCGCTAACGCACGGCATCACAGATAATTCGCCATGGACTCAGGTCACCATCCTCGGTTTCGTGACCTTTTGCTCAGTCGGCATGTTCAGTGCCGTCAGTGGTTTGGGTGCTGGGTATGCGAACTACCAACTCCTCCCGGGATGAGAGAGCTCGGGCGCTGACTTGACATCGCCTATAGTGGAACTCAGGACACCCAGTTGTCTGACACGGCAAACGGCGTCCTGTACGGCTGCTTTGCGATCGCAGGATTCTTCGCAGGCTCAGTGAACGTACGTTCCTTTCCCCATCTCCTCCGGCCGAGTCATTAGAGAGAGCGACCCTGGCACATCCCCCGCCAAGATGCCCCAGAGTCCCGGATCCAGTTCAGCGCATTGGCAAGGGCCCGATCGCTAACCCTAACTTGCATAGAATATGCTCGGTCCACGGCTCACCCTCTCCATTGGCACAACGGGATATGCCCTCTACATCGGTTCTCTCTGGGCCTTCCAAGTCCACGGGACTAGGTGGTTCTTGATCTTGGCAGGTGGCATCTTGGGTGTCACCGCTTCGCTTCTTTGGGCCGCTCAAGGATCAATTATGATGGCGTATCCCTTGGAAAAAGACAAAGGTCGATCCTTTTCGCTCTTCTGGACCCTCTTCCAGATGGGAACACTGGTCGGTGCCGCCATCGCACTCGGCATCCAAGCCCATTCAACCCTGCCCGGAGTATCCACAGGCGTTTACCTGGCATTCCTGATCATCATGCTGACAGCCATTGTCACATCCTGGCTCCTCCTACCGCCCCACCTCGTCGTGCGCGGAGATGGAACCGTTGTTGAGATCGAGGCTGCAATCACCCCCAAGCAGGAGTTCAAGGAGCTGTGGGCCTTGATGAAGGACTGGCGCATGATCGCGCTGTTCCCAATGTTCTTCTCGTCCAACTACTTCTACGCTTATCAGGGCGCTATCACTACTGCCTTGTTCAACGGTCGCACTCGTGCCTTGGTCTCCCTCCTGACCGGAGTGGGCTCCATTCTCGGTTCCATAGTCATTGGCCAACTGACGGATAATCTGCCCTTTGGCCGTCGAAAGCGTGCCCTCTTCGCAACGGCATTTGTCGCTTTTCTGAACTGCGTCATTTGGGGCTGCGGTCTTGGTTTCCAAGTACAGTTCACCCGTGACAATACCGTCGTCCGGGGTGACGAGATTCCTTGGGATTGGACTGTCGGCGTCGCTGCTGGGCCGATCGTCCTGCTGCTGGCCTATTACTTGGCCGATGCGATGTTCCAAGGTCTCGCTTACTACACGATGTCGTCGATGACCAATGAGCCGTTCAGGCTTGCCCGTATGGCCGGATATTACAAGGGAATTCAGTCTGCTGGCGCGGCTATCTCGTTTGGTATGGATGCTGTCAAGGTTCGTCATCTCCTGAAGCCCTGGCCCTTCCTATTTCTTTAGACTGCCATCGTTGCTAACGTTCGCTTCTGTTATCAGACTGCGTACTTGGCTGAGCACCTCATCTCTTGGCTCCTGCTCTTGGTTTCCCTTCCCCTTTGCGCCTGGGTCCTCTGGGGCATTCGGGACAGCAACTACGACGTGGAGAATGTCACCCACGTCGAAGACGTGCCTGGAGGTGCCATCACTGGTATTGCGCTGCCACCTGGACACGTTGCCGGCGAGCACCTTCCTGGTGAAGGTGTCAAGTCCTCTTCCGAGATGAAAACTTCCGAGTTGCAGACTAAGGGAAGCGCCAGCTCTTAAATAAATACGGACTCCCGGTATAGCACATTGCTTGCAAGCCTTCATCTTGCTGAATATTAAGGAGGATCTAGATACCCAAAATGGACATATAAAGGCTGGCCGGTAGAGCGGACTTAATGTCTAGAATCATACTAGAGCTTAATTTTATGAAATTCATGATACACGTATTTCCCGAAATTGTCTCCTGTGATCGGGACGGTGTCCCCAGATTTGAGGGGTGCACACGCCAGCTCAACATTCGGCCGGTCCCCCCGCTCATTTGCCCACACAACGTATACCAACACATTCGAAGCACATCTCGACAGGGAATCCGCTCGACAAGCAACATCACCCCAAAGTCAGCAAGAACAACAAACGAATGGCCTGACGTTCCACAGAAACGCCACGGCCCTGCAGAAGCCCCCCAAACCACCCCACGCGGCGCTCTGCCATTCATGGGCTGCGGAACTATCTTAGGATTGCCGATCCGGGCGCTAGACAGGCTAAGCTTTGCGGAGGGGGGAGCTGCCAGGCTGCCTTGGGTAGCGCCACATACGCATGGCGACCGAGCTGGGGGCCAATGGCTTGGAGTGGGCTTATCTAGGCTGGAAGGGGGTTCTCGGATGATTTAAGAGGCCTTGAGCTTTGTGTGATGGGTATATATGCCTGCAATGGACCCACCGATGGTGCTTTATGTCCTTTAGGATCAAGAGCCGACGTGCACTATCGATGCCTTCAGCAGATCATGAAGAGTGAACAGCCATTGCAATATAACTACGACGGACGAAGGCGATCCTTTGGAATTGGTGGGGCTGGGAACATCCGTACGTCCCTCACATTCTCGGGTTTTTGACTCGATTGTGTCCTGATCGGGAGTCCTGGCTGACGGGTCCGTTGCCTTGGGACCAACAGGCACGAAAGCCGAAGCAATTATCCACGACGGGCGCCCGTCCGATGGCGGCCAGCGACGGCGGAGCAGCGTCTTGAGCATGGTGTCCTCATCATCTAGCTCACGGCGGAAGTCGGGGGCTGGGAGTTGGAAAGAAATCAAGGACCTCTTTCGGACTAAGTCCAACAAGGACTGAGGGCAAATGTCCCGTGACTGGATGAAGAAGAGTGCAGAAAGACAGAAAGAAAAGACAATATGTGTTGTTCGCATTCCAACGATTTGTACTGCCATCACCAGCAGAGAGATGTACATCTGCACCTCAAGAGCTGGTTTATTGCGATCACAAGCGAGGGTCTATATGATCTTGTATTGATCTGTAAGATAAGGTCCTCCAAGCAAGTCATCGACCACTTTGTACCCGTGCATATCGACATTACTTGATCTGCCAATCCTGCTCCATCAGCTCTTCATACGTGACAGGTCCACTAGGAAATCTCAACCTGCACACGGACCGAGCCCCTCTTGGGCTGAGGCACAATCAGGTCGTGGTCATACTCGATGTCTTCGATCGTCGTCTCGCGCAATCGAGCCCGGGGCAGGACACGCAGGGCCAAGGCGGCGGTGAGGAGATAAAGCTCGCAATAAGCAAGACTGTGAATTCATCAGTCAGTCGCACGGATCTAGGAGGATGTTCAGGAGGAATCTCTTTACTCTTTGCCCAGACACATCCGGCTCCCCTTCCCAAAAGATATCAGGTGCCTCTCAAGCGCATAGTTCTGACGCCCGTCCTCGAGCAGCCACCGCTCCGCGACGAACTCCTTCGGGCTCGGGAACAGCCCCTCGTTGCTGTGCTGGATGATGGACGTCATGCTGACGGGCGTTCCGCGCGGTATCAGCCACTCAACCTTGCCATCCTCGCTCTTGTAGACCAGGTCCTCGTCCCGGGCGATCCGGGAGGACCGGTGTGAAATGCCGGGCATCAGGCGCAAGGACTCGTGGATCACGGCCCACAGGTATGGCCGCTGCTCCAGGTCCGTCCACTTGAGATTCCGCGGGTCTGCACCCTCCAGGGCGTCTAGTAGGCGGGAGTATGTGGTGGGTTGGGCTAGGAGGTAGTAGGTTATGCAGGCAAGCGACGCCTTTTGAGTAGTGATGTCAGTACAAGTAGCATGCGAACAAGATAGGCTAGGCGAGCATTAGATTAAACCCTCGAAGTAACCTACAGCTGTCGTTTCTGTCCCCGCAACAAGCAAATTAAAACCTTCTCCAGACAGGCGATAAATGGTTTTCTCTGAATCCGGCAGCTGGTCATTCTCCATAAGGTCCGCGAAGATCCTGCCACTCTCTTTGTTGTTCACAGCCTTCTGAATATGCCCAGGTATGACCACCTGCAGCTGATTCATCAGACTCTTCATGTCGTCGCCCATGTAGTTAGCAAAGTACGGGGCAAGAGCAACAGCCGCCCTCGCAAGCCAAACGTGACGCATCATGTAGGCAGAATTCTGCTCGCGTTAGTCAAGTGCTATGGAGTCCAGCCGATTGAAATATGGGTAGGCAACTGTGGTGGGAAAGGGGCGATACGAACGAAAAAGCTCTTCGCCCAGCTCCCAAAATTGGGCATCCACCCTTCTTGGTCTATAAAACCCATAGGCTCACCGAAGGAGTACTGTGAGATGATATCAGCCGTGTAGCAGTTGAAGGCCTCCTTTATATCGAAAGGCCCCCTGGTGCGGAGCAGCTTGTCGCAGGTGCGCTGTGTGAACTCATGGACCTCGCCCTCGAGCTTCAGCATCTGGCCACGGGAGAAAAATCTGTTCATGGGGAGCCTTCGCGTCCGGTGGAGCTCGTGCGCCGGGGTCGAGAAGCCGCCGACGAGGATGGGCCCCGTGGCGCCGGTGTTCAGGAAGTGCTGCCATTTGTCTCGCTTCCTGTTGCCGGACGCATAGATCTCGTCGACGAACCGGGGGTCATCGCAGTGGAGCTCTTCGGCGTTGATCCTCACGATGGGGCCTGGGTTCTATGGTTCAGCAACCGGGACGCTCTTTGATGGTTATTTTCATGAATGCTCGCCTCACCATATTTCTCGTGCATCCGCCTAATTTCATGGCCATACCGGCCGACGAGGATAAAATCGTAGTATCCCTCGTAAAAGAACCCCATCGCGGCAAGTTTGGGACCCGGGAAGCGATACAAAGGATGCAAAGGGGAGATATTATACAAAGCAAGTACCACTCGATAAATAAGCCATAGAGCGACAACGACGGCCGCGCTTCTTGCAGACAGGAGGGCGTTGAGCCCAATCCTATCCAAACCGAATGACCTTGCGGTAGCCATTCCGCCCAAATTATTCAGTTGAATGCGGTGACCGTCGCGAGTGGAAGTTGTCGTAGAAAACAGGGACTCAGGTGTGCTAGGGCAAACATGAGCCGCAAGCTTCCATAGATATACAATATGAGAGTGTGTGCATCCAACGTATCTGCAGTGGCCCCGCCATGATTCCAAGAGCTTTCGACCCACTCGTCAGAGTATGATCGTCTCGCCATGCATGGTGCGCGGGACATCTCAGTGCTGATAGGTCCTAAGTAAGCAACATGCAGATGATTGCGGATGGTCCTTATCCCTCTTTGGGCGAGTAGTTCTTAGTCTATGGGTCATGCCCATGGTTTTTGTAAATCTGCCGAGGCTGGTGCACAGCGGCACGACCAGCAAGCATTGTCTTGTTTGAAATGATACTACCATCTCCACGTAATTGTGGGAATCGCAATTCTTGATTTCCAGGGAGCGATCTGTCGTATTACGGAATCTGAAAAGCTTATCTAGTCATATTCACAGTATGCGTCTTATTATTTACAACGCTGACTTTCGAAAATGCCGGACGGAGGTATAATATATACGAGAGATGTCTCTCATACCTTGCTTCCCTAGATTCCGACCACGTGATCTCCAATTCAACTTGACCAGAATCAGGGTGGTTTTTCCTTTTTTGGGGGGGAAGGGGAGGGTAAACTTTGAGCCTCATGCTGTTGTCTTGAGTTGTCTATACCTCGCGGTCCGAAGGTCAGTTGCGATCTACCGATTAACAAGCAATTACCTGAAATGGCAACTTCGATAAGTCTCCCCCCCTCCTTGGTCTGTGGTGGATTCCGATGAGCGATAGTGGTATCTTTTATGTTGCGAACACATGGCTTTGCTGCCTAAGATACATCACTGTGACACAACACGGTCAAATACCGGCTGAAGCACAGGACTCGATGCAACCACGACGAGCATTGGACTGCAAGACTTAATCAATCTGATCAGGCCCATCAATGTCTCGAAGCAAATACTGCGTGATCTACGTCCAGGAAACCAGGGGCCTATAACCCCACTTTGACGTTCCTTGACAGTAGAGGATTGTGTTAGAGTCATGCGATTCCGTGCACAGGAAATTACGGTTTGAAAGGGATATATCTATGGCAATGGGTCAACGAAGAAGCAAATCATGTGAAGGTCTGAACGAAAGGGTATTGCTTGCCAGATTTGATGGGGGCTAATCGCTGAGCCATTGTTGGTGATCATTGGGCCCAACACAGAAGTCCCATGCCAATGAATGCTGACGACAGTCAACCAATATAGTGCGGCTGAAATTCAGCTCAAACCTTGATATCTTGACTGGGTGTTGTGATAATGGCAAGATCGTCAAAAGATCTGGCCTATACTGTCTAGGCATTAGCTTTTATATGCGCGGCAGAGAGTCGCTTTGTCACGCTCAAAGAAATTTTGGCCTACCCGAGGCTAGATTCCTTTCACATTCACTAGCACAACGCTATAACGCAGCTGATACGCGAAACATACCGATAGGTTGTTTTCTTTCACCCTTTAGACGGAGTCGACACTTGACATATGCGAAGCCACAGACAGTTGTCCTCAATTTAAACTGATGCCCCGCACGCGGAAGAGTCTAAACGATTCCTTAGGGCACACCCGTGTGAATCATCAAAGAGATTATTGCATGTGATAACCGAATGTGGTGTGGTTTGGGTGGCAGGTTGTATCGGTGCCATAGAATGACAACCTTGGGGTCATGAGCTGGTTTTCCAAAGCATGGTAGAGCCAAATATAAATTTACATGATCCACTTCCGAGATATTATGGGTCAGTCTTCCAGTTCAAGTTCATCTTTCAGACCTACAATTAGAAACATTCATCTGAGTCAACTCAAAGATCCTTAAATCCCACCAAGATGGCATTCCAGACTCCATCCAACCCAAAATATCTCAGTTCCAGTCAGCGGCTCTCTAAGCTGGCCAAGGTCATCCGTGAGGACACAAATCGTAACACAGAGCAACTTCCTGGGCTTTCTAAGCTGCTAAACGAGTATGCAAGCAGCGAGATCAAAACACCGCCTAAAGAGGAGTTGATTCGTCGATTGATCCGGGTATTCAAAGACTCCACGACGGAACCCTCTTATTCTCGGGTCTTGGAAAATTACAGCACCAACGAGCAAAAACTTATAAATCGTTTTGTTGTCCATGGAGAGTCCGCTTGTGAGTTGGGCAAAGATTTTCACATCGGAATTTCCCCTGGCGCAAGAGAAGAGCTTGAGAACCTCGACTCGCAACCAGATGACTTCATTGAAGAGGGGCGATTTGCCACCAAGCACCTCTCACACACGGGGGAACTTATCCACCACATCGTTGATGAGGTCGAGTCTGTAACCAACGCTGTTCACTCTTGGATTCATCCTCACCCTACCTTCCCTGTGTATGATGATCCCGGCAACAAGCATAAGGTCCCGGCGTACTTCGATAAGCAATTTCAAAACTGGGGTCGCACGGTGGAAAACGTTCCCAAAATTACCTGTGTTCCAACCACTTCGTACGGCATTCAGCAGGTCGTGCGGTACGCAAAGACAAATTCCATGAATGTTCGCGCGTCCGGATATCGACACTCCTGGTCACCAATCTTTGGAAACCAAGGACAGATTCTGATCTCCACATTGGATCTCCATCAAGCTACAGTGCTGCCAAACATCGTTTCTGTGCCAGGTTCAGAAGTGCTTGACTGCCCAACAGAACTCAATGCGATCACATTCCAAGGAACTCCAGAGGCTGGGAGGAACCGCCTAGTTCGCGTGGGAACAGCTGTCACCAACCAACAATTAAGACGCTGGTGCAACAGTCAGCACGGAAGATTAGCATCTACATTACCATTAAACGTCATTATGGTCGAGATCACACTGGGTGGTTCTAATGCCCCGATCTGCCACGGTGCAGGTCGAAGCCACCCGACCTTGAGTGACCTTGTGCACACGATTGAATATGTCGATGCCAATGGCAACATCCAGAAGTTGAGCAAGGACAAAGAGCCCGACCTCATGAAAGCTGCTAGTGGTTGCTTCGGACTTCTCGGCATCGTTACCCATATCACTTTGGAAATGATACCGATGACCTACGCAGTTATGAGGCCACAGAAGCTTCATATAACCGAGGCCATCCCACTTCCGCCAGGCATGACGACGGAAAATTTGCCGCCTGTGCTCCGACCAGATACACCTATGACAGAAGAACAGCACGCCAAAGCCCAGGCTGCATTTGAAGACAGGGCGCGTAACAACTTTTATGCGGAATGGTTTTGGTTCCCGTACACTTCCAAAGTCTGGGTCAACTGCTGGAACACAACAGACGATCCTCAAGGCGAAATTGAGTATCCCAGCGATCCCGAGGTGGTCATACAGTGGTTCCAGACTGTAGCCGCCCAGGCCTTGCAGGTTTCAAGTGCTATAGCGGATTTGCAACACACTTTCGCATGGGCGCAGACAACTTTGATGTCTACTTTTGCCCTCTACGCCATGCCTGAGATCTCGGATGACCAGCCAGCTATCAAGACCCAGCTCCCCAATGCTTTGCACTTCCGTCGGGCAATTCAGAACGTTCGCGTGCTTGATACAGAGATGGAAATTCCACTACTTCCGAAGTCTGGCGTCCCTTTGTCAGAAGTCAACTTCAAGGACGAGATTGACTTCACTAATGTGCAACGCGCGTGGTGGGCCGCTGTCCTTACTGCGTACAAGCCCGAGCACCGAGACACATGCCCTCAGCGGATGCCACTCGAGATGCGCATTACAGGCCTCTCGCAAGTAATTATGGCTCCATTCCGCGGACATAATCTTGGGAGTGCTTCAATTGAGATCCTGACGCTCGAAAACATGCGGGGCAAGCTGTGGCAGGACTATGCTCAGGAGGTGCTCGACCACTGGATGGACCTCAAGGACTCGCGAGGCGAATACCTAACCACACGGCCGCACTGGGCTAAGGAATGGTGGAATTTCAAAGTACGGGGCCAGCCAATGATAGACTATGTGCGGCAGTCTTACACATTTGAAATCCAGGAGTTCATCTTCCGCCTTGGGCAGATCGCGAAGAAGCATGGGTGGAGTATGGAGGACGCCAGAAAACGGTTTGGGAACGACGCGTTGGATGCCCTGTTGCAGCCTGTTACCATTCTCAACAGCGGAGTGAAATCGTCGGTGGACAAGCAGGAACGTTCATTAATCACCACGACGCCCGTCATTATCATCAATTGATCTACGAGCATTTCGAGGCGTCGAGATTTTGAGGTAGTGAGGACGTGGATCGGGGATGGACAAGGAGAATGAGGTAAAGAAAAGATTGCCTTATTGACACATTGATATTACTGCATCATCTTGAAGGAATCCAAAGACTTACAGAATGTTTCGCTACTTGAAAGATGCTAGATTTGCTTGACATTTTGGCCTTTGATGGTACTGAAACGAAAAGAAAGAAGAGAGAGTTAGGTTGTTAGAATCCGCCCGCAGAAACGACACTCTCTTATTGCCAATAAGAGATTTCGAATAGTGCTTCCCGAATGTTGACTTCTTGTATGAATTGTGGTTTCAGTGAGAGGCAGGATAGGACTGAAAAGTCCGCGACGTCCAGTACTGGGCTACATTCACGGAAGTGTACATGTACAGATATCTATAAATCAAGTATTCTGAAGGTCATATAAGCTCTTCGGTACCAGGAGTATGAAATCTAAGTCACACGAGCACCTACGTGTGTAAATCTGTCCATGCGGAGAACGTTCTGTATGGGCATCAAAGCAAACATGGCCGCGTACTATGAATATCGCATCACAAAGACAGAGCAGCACCTCCACCTAAACTCCTAGGTGGACTCATAACGTGATCCCTGGTCAAAATGACCAAGCCTGAAGTATATGTATATCCAGGGCTGGCAGGTGATGATAAGTCACACAACGCTGGCCGGTAAGCCATCGTTATTGTTTCGGTTGTGCTCGTCAAGGACCGTAAAAAATATGGCATACACTGCGCCATTGGTGTCCTTGGTACCAAAAGTATCCCGGATAATGGTGTATCGGCGTACGGTCAACTTTTTCCTGAACTTTCAAAGGAGGACTGGACCTTTCTTTCTTCCCGAAAGCAGCCAACTAGGCCAAATGTGTCGTAACGTCTTCATCGCCTCCAAATATGAAGGAGTCAAGTTTCTGAGCCTCCAATGATACTTATCGTTGCAATTTCTGCAAAACGCACGTCTCCTTCATTCATGATCAAGTTGCCTTTAATATCATTGATAATGACTTAACTGCTAGATTGACATCTTATCATTAGTGAATTCGGAAAGTCCCTTGACCATAAATTTTTAAGAACGCATCTCCGGACTTCATAAAGCAAATACCCACGGTTTCTATCAATGAGGTGAGGAATTAGGTTCCCAGAGGCGTGACTCCTGGTTGCATGGATTGCGTAATTTACCAGACGTATATAAGGCAGCTTTTGAGCACGCTATGAAAGATCCTCCTTCCACGAGAAATACTGGTAGGTAGCGTAGATAGTAGACAATGCTGCCAAGAATGACCCCAACCCAAACGCAGCAGAATTGTCAGCCGTGGCAAGAGCATATACCATGGTGCTCAACCCGATAACGATGACCATAAGGAGTATCCACAACATGATGAATTGCGTGCTTAGCCTGTCGTTGATCTGAACACCCCAGCCATCGACGTTCAACTCGTCATTTGCTTGGCGTATCAAATAACCATTAAGCTTTTTAGGGAATTCTTTGATCCAATATTGGTCGGTATGGACACCATCTTGAAGGAGATGGTCAAGGGGGATTACAACGTCGAGGTCATGCTCTTCAGTAGGTTGATACAGATATCGACGTTCTCTCACTTCCAGTTGAGGAGGACGTTCTCCAAGTTTGAGATACGATGGGTGCGTGGTCATTCGAATTGGAATTAGCCGGAACTCATTATTGACGTTAGATTTCTTCTAGTAGTTTTAAGATGGATGGAGATCTTACACGAACGAATCTGCCATGGGAGACTCGGTGTAGGCTTATCATGGGCATAAACACTCTGAGTGACTTTGGTACGCGCGGCCCGAACTGTGAACATAACTCCTGGACGCATTTGGGAAAGACTAGCGACATCCTCCAGTCTGAGCCGTGACGCATTGTGTTGTATGCGTGAGAGATATCCTGAAACATGTAGGAATCATTCTGATACTGACTAACATCAATGTGATGAAGCTCAGGTAAAGTCTTCCCATTGACGCATAGCAGAACATACTGAGGAGACTGAACTTGCGTGGTGCTAGTAATAGCATTGAACGAGACTCCCGTCGTTGCTGCCGCACTTGTGCAAGTTGCATCTCCAACCAGCGTAGGGCTTACGCTCTGTGCAGAAGAGCCAGAACTACTTTGAGCGAGATATACTTTTGGTGGCAATGAAGGCTCATTCGATGTATCATTTTGGCCTCCCGAGGTCGTTCGGACTGTGGCAACGTCATGGAGAAGGCGTTGGCGAAATCTTCGGATCCTATCGTGTGAGGTTGCCCGAACATCGATATAGGCCAACTCGCTGCAACCCTGAAGCAGGTTGATCAAGTAAGTAATTGTCAATCCAGAATCAGCAGCTGTTACTCACGCAGATATATGGTATTCTGTGAAATCCTACTGGGGGAGGGGACCAGATACTCAATGCCCAGATACGTAATCTTTGCCACCTGGTCAATTCCTGGAAATTATCTTTTTCAGGCATCTCGTTCTTCGTGTTTGGCTGGTTGGAGCCCAGCCATTCCCGCAGATTGTTGTGTAAGTTTGGTAGAGCTCGTGAGGACGATAAGAAGTCCTTCACTGCCTCCAAAGCGGTAGCTGGAGGAGGTTCATTAAGATCTGAATCGTCTGAGTCTGACTGACTGAATCCTTCTTCAGGATCGTCAATAGGATTGGAAATGGGGGTTTCGACAGAAGATAAGCCTTGTGACTCTATCCATTTATCCACGCGGTCTGAAACGGCTGCTTGAGCGTCCTGACTCTGAACCAAAGGCACATTTGAGTTAGGCCTTCTCAATAAAATTTCCAAGTCGACAGCTGCCTGGCGCGCTGAGTGTCGAACGAATGTGGCGGTCTGATGTTGAAGCGCAGTAGATGCTTCTGATTTGAGGTTGTGACCGTACTTCTTCAAAAGTCGAGAAACGTTCCTCACAAATCGTCCCGACCCGACTTTCGACAGTGCACTCCCCATGAGAGACTTCAGCTCCTCATGACTTACCAGAAAAGTGGCCAACTCTGACACTGCCAGCAAAGCCACGTAGTCTTGAGAGGAAATTGATGAGTTAATTGAGGCCTCCGAAAACACAGCAGATAGAACACTTTCGATATCGCTGATGTCGCCGCCATCATTGGAGAGCTCTCTTTTCGCGTTCCAGACATGCTGCTCGAACATTCCGCAGAGATTCACGGCTGGTAAACGCTCATTTTGTGGAACCATCATGTGCTTCTCAATGACATCCAGCACACGAGGTGTCATATTGTCACAGGATGGAAGACGGCTGCGAATATCGCGATGCATTTCATCCACACAAGAGAGCCGCTTAGAACCATTGTGGAACCCGGCTTCGTACCCACTATTTAGAAAACCCTCGGTGTTGACAAGTTCATGTTGGCGGCGACGTAAGTATTCTTCCCTACCATCCTGGCCATTTGCGACCCAGGATGCGGCATCACTTAGCAAGGCTCCGGCCGAAAAGATGTCTGCGTCCGACCTAATTCGGTTTGAGCCTGTCGATCTCCCCGAATGGTGGCTGGACTCAGGAGCGCAGTACATTTGATTGCCTCTACGGTCGATAGCTGGACCATCGAAGGCGTCGTCTTTGATGTGTCTTGTGTGACTATGCCCAAAGTCGGCGATGATTGGTAAGAACTGGTATGGCTGTAACCCAGGACGTGTATCGAGTAGAATGTTATCTGGTTTTATATCTTGATGAACCACTTGATATTGGTCTGAACGCTCACCGGAAACAACAACTTGGTGGATACGACGCAGACCAACGGTCAACTTTGAGAGACTATCCCAGAAGTCTATAATCTCTTCAGCAGTTCTTGGCGGACTTGTGTTTCGGAAGTATCCGAGAAGGTCTCCCCCTGGTATCCATTCCATGACGAGATTGTATGTTGCCCCGTGTCTAAAGCTGGCGTAGCACTTGATGACGTTCTCGGTGGATGAAACGTTGGGGAGGAGCCGCGCAAATGCTTGAACTTCGTGCTGATAGTCTTGCTCGTGCTGTTCGCCATGATAGGTTTTAAGCATATAGGCTGGATTTTCTGCTACATCGTCACCCTGTCGAAAAAGGACATTGTCAGAATGTGCAAGGAACTTTGAGATGCCGGCTTCTCTCCCATAACCTACCTTGATCAAGTTGTTACACGACGGATGGAAACAGACCCTGGTGAAGGCGGCTCTGTCATTCCCTGCCCTGGGTCGAATAGTCTCCTCGAAGCATAGCGGTAATATTCGCTCGGGTGGTAACAAGGTATCGTCGAGGCTATCTCGGTCAAGTACCACAGGAAAGAACATCCAGTGGTTCTTCTGAAAGCTGTTGAACATTGCGATGTAAGGTTCCGATTTCTCCAAAACACCAGGTACAGTGTTGACCGGAAACTTGTTATCAGTGAGGTCGAATCGCTTGAAGGCAGGAAGGAATGACAACTGTCCAATGTAGACTAGAGTTGAAAATACGCAGAGGTAGCGGTGCTTGATAAGCTCACATCTGATGGACATATCTTCAGAGTAACTCTCACAAACATCCCGGATTCTGGCAATGGTCCAGTAGGTGAAGAGCTCGGAGCGGGGCAAATAATGCTGCTCCTTGCCATATCCGTTTCTTCCTTTGTATTCACTTCTCTTTCGCTCGATGAATTCCAGAAATGCGTCTGTAGGTCCTGCAGCTGCAAGATCATTCTGGGCGATCACTTGCGTCTCGCTTTGGTCCTCATCAAGCTCCCGAAGATTGGTGATGATATGAGATCGCTCAGCCTACTCCCAATCAGCATTCGCGTGTGCACACACCGTCACCAGAGAGTGGTTCCGCACCGCTGTGAGCGCCCTAGGGATTTTCAGTGCGTACACAGTCCCGTCGGTAATCTGGGGGGTTATCAAGAATCAGTGTCCGTTGTTTGAATTTGGAGGTGCCTTGACTTGCAATCCTCAAGGGGCCGAGGTCAAGTCATGCGTATGGTCCCTCACTTCTGCGGTGATATAGCGGCTATGGCTAGGAAAAATATTGCAAAGGTACTCGAGCAGAGTGTCTTTCCGCAGATGGTAACTTGAAATGGTGTCAATTGTCATTGACGACGGCATAATGAACCCGTCCTGCTTCAGCCACAATAAGAAACTCTAGTTGCAAGTATCGCTGGATTTCGAGGGATCGCTTTTACTAATCTGAATGCAAATTCACCCCAGAGAGAGAATTCCTGAGCGAGGCAGATTTTATCTACCGTCGTAGCCTGCATGAAGACTGCGAAGACTGGGTCGGTGCTCACCATCAGCTGTGTCGGGAGGGTGGGTCGGGATGGATGACCTCATAAGTGGTACTGCAATTGGCTGCGTCTTCTTCCGAGGGTACCACAACAGCGGCCTTGGTGTGAGCAAAAGAGGGGGCCATTTTGAACCTCATCCCGATAGAAACGCAGCCATTCACAGATGTGGAAATTTCCGCCCCACTGGTGTGCAGGTGCGTTCCGACCGGCATGGGGTAGCGGCCAGTCAATTTACACACGCATGGAATCCGGATACAGGCTCGGCCTACATGCAGTGATAGCACAGAGGGCCAGAGGACAAGCGCTGACAGGTGCCGTCAAGGAATCGGGCTGACAGGGCGATCACAAAGTCTCACCGGATCCACTGCCCCTACCCTTCTTTCAAGCTCTAGAGCCCATCACGCCCCTGAATACACATCTGGTTTAGTGCGTTGACTGTGTTCACTTCGCACGGATTTTCCATTTTGTACGGCCGTGATGCTCCCACGTATTAGCATCATATCATGAGATCCAATGAAGTATATCCACCTTCTGGCAGACTGTTATCTATGGCTTCGGTCGACCAGCATAGCTTTGCCTGCAGTGGTCAGTTTACGTGTATCCTCATTACTATGGACATTTTGACGGCTCGTGTTGAGATTTTCTTCGAGTACTTTCTTTTCTTTACTCCACATTCCTGCTCTTCCGGGGTTTGGTAGTCTCAACTTGCCCTGAAAGTTGTACCAAGGCTGTGCTTGCTGTGCCAGTTGTAAGTGGGAGCTCCCTTTCTGCAAGTCCACACGGAGAGGGCCGTGCAGCAACCTTGCCACAACACATCAGCGGCTGCAGGGGCAAGGAGCAGCAGGACCTACAACAAGCACCACCTATCAAATGGAAACCCCCCCCCCCTCCAGACTTGTGAGGCGAATACTTGAGCCTCATCCAAATTACAATATTAAGAGCCGTAAGCGAGTTTAGGTGTGATTTCCCGATATATAAGCCCCTGAAGAAACAAGTTCCCAGGAACTGGCCGCCTTAACAGGTCTGAAGTATCATTACACCGCTTCTTTTATACCCTATCTATTATTCAGACATAGTAAAATGGGTGACTTATAGCAGCTAGGCTACTAGATACTATAGGGTAGAAGAAGGTATTTGAGAGGGTGCGTATAGCTGTAGTCGGTGCAATCAGCCTTCTTACATATTGTTATAACCTTATACGAACTATATATAATATGAGTGGTTAGTATAGGGATGTTGTTGCGTGTGTAGAACTTAGGAAGACGCTCATTCACTTTGTGCAAGGTATCTCAAAGGAGGCAGCATCTTGCTCAATATGATTGTAGCCTGCCTATTTAGTACCATGTAGACAATGTCTGTCCGATGATCGAGGAGGTCCCGAGTTTGGCACGGATTGGTACTCAGCCCATCTTCTTCTGGACGCAGAAGCGGTTACAATTTGATTCAATGGCACCTTTCTCCCTTCATCTGGTAGCTCGGCCAATGACTTCGACTCGCACCCCTTTTGAGTCAAGCCTAGGGCACATGACATGGTAGTCGTGCAGGAAATTCACGTCCTTTAACGATGTTTCATACAATCGCATATCCCAACGAGCCATAGCACTCACCGCGGCTGCTATTTCGGCATTGGCAAGGTGAATACCTAGGCACCCACGTGTGCCTGGCAAGAAGCTCATCATACATCGGCGGCGGCGGGCTAGTATATTCGTGTCGTGCGTAAGCCAGCGCTCCGGGTCGAACCACCATGGGTCGGGAAATAGGGACTCATTAGTGTGTAACAGCAAGGTAGAGGCACTGAGTGATACGCCTGCCGGAAGTCTGTACGTCTGCGGCTGACTGCCGTCTGCTGGTGACTCCGTGGTGTAAAACACCGTTTCGTCTCGGCAGACGCGAGGATTCCGCCCGGTTAATCCAAAGGTGAGCCGATGGGCCTCTTGCATGACGGCTGATAGGTAAGGCAGTTGCTCTAGCCGTGTGGCATCGACGATATTTGGGTGCGCATTGAGCTCAGAACGCAGCTTCTCCAAGATATCTGGGCGTGCAATGAGGTGGTAGTGAGCTACTGCCAGTGATAGCATAGGTGAGTAGGTTCCCGCCATGATAAGGAGGGTTGCTTCATCCAAAAGGCGTTGAGGCGACTTCTCGGACGTCGGAAGGGTAGGGGTATCACGAAGGTATGTGAAGATAGACGGCGTTTCGTCCGGAGAGGCTTTGCTTGACAATATGTTTTGAACCTGTTCGCTAAGACTCTTTCGGAAAGATACGATGTCTCGGACGCCCGGTGGCGTTATTTTGGCTCCGATACTTGACGGGAGACTTTGCAAGATATTGCGGACCCAGCTGAAATGCAAGTTGAACGGGGTACGTGAGAGGATTTGCACAATATTCTGACGTCGGCGGCTCGCGAGTTGTAAATCCTGAAGAAGGTTCGCGCTATGGCCAAAACAATATCTGTGGATAATGCTGGAGAGCCCAAAACTGTCAGCAGGCGCAAATCGGTGAGTCTCATTGTGGCGCAGGACTCTTTGGGGACTTACTCATTGCAAAACGCATAGTACGTATCCGAAAGATTCAATACTTCATGACCTGCTTTCGCCCGATCAAAGATTTCTTCCATATGGCTGACCTTTTCGGTCAATTCGGGGTTCAGTCGGCTAATGCGTCGGTGAGAGAAGAAGGGATTCAGCGCCTCTCGCCGCTTTCGATGCAAGTCGTGTGCAATGGAGCCTCCAACAGAGCTGTTGACTCCCAAGCTCTTGTTCTTCGCGAAATCTTTGTCACGCTTGTGGCCCGGGCCCGGAGCATAAATAGTATCGACAAAAGCTGGATCACTGACTGATACCTCATTGGGAGCAATGCGGACGATGGGACCTGCACAAATGAGCTTGTCTCGTTCTGCTTCCAAACTGTACGGTGCCGAGCCTTGCTCACCATATTTGCTGTGCATCTCCTTGATCTTGAAAACATACTGGCCCGGTAATACTAGATCTGAGCTTCGGTCAGCATGTAGATGGCTTGCTTCTCAAGGAGCACGGAAGCAACCTGCGGGATGTAATCAAAGCATACCATAATAACACTCATACCACGAGGTCAATCCAGCGAGCTTGGGGCCCGGGATACTGGCAAGTGGGCTGATGAATGCCCGGTATACCACCAATACGGACGCATAGAAAGCTAGCACGCCCAGAAACAACCAAATAAATGGCACTGACAATGGAGGTAGAGGCGACGCCACCATAGCGATATCAAGTCACTATGGGCCTTCGGACGAGAGACTCAGTTAGGGATTAGAACAGGGAGGGCCACAAGACGTTGACAAGAATTACGTCATGTAGGACACTTGAACTAAGGAGGGGTAGCTGCTGCTCAGACAACCTCAATACTGTCTGGGTTTCTTGTGTGGTTTTGGAGCGAATCCTACTATGGTGAAGGTCAGTGACTCACCAGCGATTGTGAGTCTCGGAAAAACAAGAAGTGTCCGCAGACTGAAAATCCGGAGTTGAGAACCAGCGGGTGAAATTATCAGCGTTTGTTCGGTGCTGTAGGCTGTCTGACACGCATGGGCTTCTATCTAACGCCCGTATTGGGTTAAAATGATCAAGCCCGTGGGGGAGAACGGGCAAAATGCGGTATGTGTGTCAGCAGGGGCTGCCAACTTCCTGTTTAAATGCACCATCCCGTTTTAAGAAAACGTTGCAGTGAGCATCAAAAGGTGCAGCAGTACTATTTCATATTTCGATGTACCCTTTCCTACATACTACAAACGAGTGTAAGCACTGCATGCGAGTGGGATAATAGAGCAACGAAGCAAACAGCGCCATCACAACAGCCCCTTCACTCCTTCCAGGAAGGATTCTGGTACACAGAGGCGATCTCGATGCCGTTTACGATCTCTGAACCTGTAGTTTCTATGAATAATCAGTTTTTTGTCTCATATACTCCAGTATGTGATCCCCATACCAGAGTTACAATCAGGATCCGCAAGCACTGAGCCTGATCGAGGCCGGGGAATGGTGGCTGCTGAAGTGAAGTGAGCCGCCATGATTGCAGCAAGAAAGAGAATTTGCTTCATGGTGTTTTTCATGTGACGTTGTTAAATACGGTTGGAAGAGCAGGAAGTATGGCCGGCATGTCAACGGCTCATTGGTCATTTCAAGGGCGAAGCTCTCTCTATATACCTACCAGTAGATACTGGATACTACCCGATTGCCGATGCTGACCATCCAATGCATAGAGCATAGATTTCTTCCTCGCAAAGTTCTGTGCTTTCGATACGCAGGAGAGAAAGACGATCTTGGCATCTACGCCGGAAAAGAGAAGACGACGAAGAAGCAATTCAAGCGGAGGCACAGACAGGAAAGTAGTCAGCACCTAATTACCAAGGTAGCTCCCGTCATCTTAATTCAAGGCTCTGGGTGTCCAGGCCATTCAAAATAATCAGTGGCACTGGTGCTATATTGCACGTAGTAATTTGTGTGACTTACTTGTCGCTGGAATTACCCTCCGCTCACTTACATCATCATACCGTCAAGCAGCCTACATACAGAGTCAGGCCTAACCTTTCGTGCAATCCTAACTTCAATTTCTACTTCTCCTACGCACTTAGTTGATGCCTGAGGCCATAGGACACATATTCTCTCCTGTGCAATGTCCACTGCATATGAGCCTATCCTAGACCATCGCCGCTATCTTGTTTTGATCTCAAATATGCCAGTAGCAGGCGGCTTGGAAAGCACCCACGCGATTCCCTTCTCAACGACCTGGTCCCATCGCCCAGACTCTGATAAATTGCTTAGCACTCTTCTGAAGCCATGTGGAAGACCTGGAAACATGTGAATATCAACCGGGACTCTAATAATCGTCTCAGTCAGTCTTTGCTAAGTAACAGACAAAACTTTTGACCTTACCCGGCTTCGGCCAGCATCTTGGCATACAGCAATCCTTCGTCTCTCAAGGGATCCCAACCTGTGATAGTGAAGACTGTTGGGGGCAGCCCCCGAACCTGTGCAGGTGAAGCGTTTCCTGGGTTCAGCTCAATGTCATCCACTCGCGGGCTCTCAATCTGCAATAACTCGGTAAAGAATCTACAGACAGAGAGTGGCATGAGGGGCGCGAGTCTGTTCTGCTCATACGAACAGACAGAGCTGCTCTTGAGCTTCTTGCGCTGCGGCTCATAGCAGTCCATTATCGCCAAACACGGGATGAGCAATAGCTGTCCGGCAATAGCTGGACGTGAAGCGCTGACCTTGCCAAGGTGTTTCTTCAGTACGAATGCCGCAGAGAGCTGCCCGCCACTCGAGATGCCGCCCAGTACAACACGATGGGCATCGCCGCCGAGCTCAGAGATGTGATCATGCAGCCACTCGAATGCGTCAGCCGTGTCGTTCCACGCGGTTGGATAGCCATATTCAGGCGTGTGGCGGAAGTTGACACTAAGCACTACAACCTGCGCGTTGATGGCGATGCGGGCGCATATCGCATCCTCGGTGGCCAACGTGCCGAAAAGGAACCCGCCGCCATGCAGGTGCATGTACACAGGCAAGCTCTTGGTTGTGTCTACGCTCGCAGGCCGGTAACTCCGCACTTCGATGCTCGAACCATCGCTTGTGGGAACCGAATAGTCTTTCATTTGAACGTGCGGTTTCAAGCTTTCGAATTCTTCGGCAGTGGTTGCCTCTCGTTGCTTGTTGAAGATTGTTCGCCACTCGATGATTGATTCACACTGCGGCGTGAAAGATGGCACTTTCGACGCTCCAATCAGCCATTCCGGGCTTGGTGTGCCATACACTGAGAAATCGCACATTCTAGTAAACAGTAGGACAAATTTGTCGCCGTAGACTTTCAGAACCTCGGGACTGCCCGCAATTTGCGCAGAATGATGGGATAGGTCGGGAAGGAAAATCAAGAGAGGAACAAAGTCTATTCACGGGTTTCTGAGCAGATTTCAGTCCACACGGCGGGCAAATGCTCTGGACTTAGCATATATCAAGTTTAATGTGATGGATAAAGTGATATGTGCTTATACGCTGGAGCACTTGCGTCTAAAGTACACCGCGTTGAGAGTTTGCGAAACCAGGAGAATATGCAATATCTAGCGCGGCGATGCTACGTAGGATATTGTTGCTATTTCTAGAAACCACTTCGAGAGTTGACAGCCAGGGTAATGCAGAGGTGGAAACAGGCCTTGTCTCTTGTTCGAGATTAAACTTCGACTATCCTACTCCGGGTGCTTGTCCGTGACTGCTGCATGCGAAAGTTAGCTTCCTTGATCAATAACGCATTTAAGGTTTGTGCTCAAGCCAAGGCTCTCACAATTCGCCTCGGCAATGCTAGTCAGTATAGAGCAGACCCGGAAAGATATGCGGCCGTATCGTGATGAGAGGGACAAGTGCCGCGCATATGCTGCCACACTCAACTTGAGACGATACCCCGCGTATTTGTGTGTGCAACCCGTATCAATTTGCTTAGGAGGTAGTACTGTACGTGGGCACGGAATTCTTGGACAACTTTGGGTCCACCTTGACTCCGTGTTTACTACCTATGAGTCAGTGCAACACTTTGAACAGCGAGCGGTCGCCTCCAAATCGGCGTTCCTCCTCAGTGCGAGATTGGAACAACAAGTCCGTCGTAGCCCGGGAACCGCTTGGCTCTAGAAGAATCAACAAATTACAGAGCAAATATATCAGAGTCCGTCATACAGCGTCTAAGTCTCTGTTTCCGTTCAGTACGTGAGTGCGGGGGGAGGGGATGTCTTCCGGGGGACACCGAAGTTGAGACAACGCGTCCAACATTGGCAATCATCCAACGTGTCGTTCTTGAATACCTCACTGTTACAAGAAGTCATCGCGCGTTATAACGAAAAAAAGAAACAATTGTGTCGAAATGGTTAATGGGGAAATAATTAATGCCAGCTTGGGGCGGAACAAAACACTCTCTTCTTAGACTAGATATATGAATTCCGCCCTATGCGAGTTAGAGCTTCCGGTCAAATTTTCATGTCTGGAATAAACTTATAAACAAGGTGATCTTGTCGGTGTGGAAGTGCAAATGCCGTTGGCTCAAATGAATTGTGATTGTTGACTTGACTGGGATCGCTAGTAAGTTGCAAAAGTGATTTGCAAAAGAGAAAACAAAGTGTATACTGATAGCTTGAGGTTCGAAATAGTATTGAGGGGCACAGCTTGAAGCTCAGCAATCTGGATGGAGGCAGACGCAAGTACTCCACCTGGATTTGATCGGAATGTAAGACGCAGAGGCTTCCATGAAGTGTCCTTCGATGGTTTCACATATCTATACAAATTTTCACACGAAAGTTGAGGAGTTATCATGCTTTCGCAGTCCTCAAATTGTACACTCATGATAGATATCAGAGTGGCGTACATGGTGGAATGTGCGCGAATTTGGAGAGAGGGATCCAGAGCAGTCGCGGGTCAAGAGATCAAAATCTATTCGAAAATCCTACTATTACAAGATCGTCACTCTGGGATGGCAAATGGCAAATTGCCGATATTCATGCCGTGTCTGCTGACATGAATGCTGACATCTTGGCTGACCGACTCCAGTTGCTGACTTTGTGGCGAACCATGAAGAGGCGAGGCTGAAACGACTCCCCTCATATTTGCAGCTGAGACTACAGCCTTGCCGAGAAGAGCCATACGACGACGTTAGTTTCTTGGGAGGAATAAATATATATAATATCAGGTTAAAGTCTCACTGAGTCGCAACATATCACACTCACCATCATCATAATCACTATCATCATCTTTGCACGCAAGCATCCTCATAACCACAAACACTAAAGTCATCTCGCTCAAGTCCAAGAAAATCACTCAAAATGCAGTTCATTCAGCTCTCGGTCGTCTTGGCTTTTGTCGCTGCTGCAATGGCTAATCCCATTCAACTCAACAGCCGCAGCGTTTACGGTTGCTACAAGGATGTCGCCGCAGACCAAGTAAAGTGTCTCGAAGCCTGCGGTGATACGTCTGCCACCGACTGCACCAATGCATGGTATGTCTAAAGACAATACGTCGGGCTTTATCTTGTTCTTGGAAAGGTACAGCACTGACTTATGATTTTTGGTAGCTCCCTTGCCGCGACTCAAGGCTACCTTGCCTGCAACAAGGACTAAGGATCTGTAAAGGGCGCATGATGGGAGAGATACTTGGAAGATAGAAACTGGATTCGACGCAAAGCCTGCGTCAAAGCTCCCGTCTTTCGAGGTTTCTTTTGTTGTTTTCTGATAAATATCCAGGATTATCTCGTTCTTTTCAATAAAGACCTTCTTTAGACACAAATGCATGTTGAAAAACGATAAGTTGCACGCAACGCAAAGCCTGAAGTCACATATGCTGGCGGTGATCTGTTCATGTATGGCTGCGCCCAAGTACCTATTGTCCAGTGTAGCTCTTCTACGGACAAGGCTCTGTCTGTGTATTACCACCTGTTCAGACCTTCAAACACAGTCAATCCAACCTTGCGTTCTATCTGTGCTGAGATGTAATGCACACTGTGCAATCAGGCTATTAGAGCAAAAGACTATGTGTTGCACGCAAAAGATTATGAACAGTGAGGCTTGTGGCTGTCTGTCTAGAATCTATCACGAAATAATCCATCTCTCATCAAGCTTTTGCCCCAGATATGAGTTGTGGCGTCAATTCTCCCGGAACGAGTCCCGCAGCGTCCTCAGCCAAACTTGCCATGGTGTTGTTCCCGATGATCTTCAAGACAGCTATGCTGACCTGAAAGGTCCTGAGGAACCAATCGCGAATGCCAACCGAGACTAATGAATCAAGGCCAAGCTCATTGCTGCGTTTTGCCATAAGCTCTTCATCTGGCATTGTCACAAGTGATACCCTCCGGAGTTGGGATGCAAATGCCTCTGTCTCACTGTCAGCTTGGGCCAAACAACTATGTCATACTAGACTTACGTTTCACGATGCGTTCAAGGTCCTGCTGATTCTGACAAGCCTTAAGCATGTCCGGCAGAGATTCAGCAACTGTTTGTTTTATCTCTGTATCGCTTTCCACTTGATCAACAATAAAATCCGCGAATTTCGGATCCGAGATCCATGCCGGGGCATCAGGCGATCCGGCTGGTACTTCCAGAAGGCCCGTGGATAGCTCTGGCTCATTTCGAGAGTCAGGGTGACCGACTTCGATTGCTTCAGCAATCAGTTGGTGGACATCTTCTTCCGACAAACGCATCAAGGCCATTTTCGAGATAGTCAAATCCAAGGCTTTTCTATCTTCTCTCTCCATGTAGCCAACGCCCGTGATAGCGCCTATGTTGAGAGCAGTCGCTGCCAAACCGCGTTTCCTGCGTTGAGCCGCGAGACTGCACACATATGCATTGGCTGCGCAGTAATTGGCTTGACCTGGATTCCCAAAGAGACAGCTGATGGAAGAGAAAAGAATGAAGAAGTCGAGGGGTTCGTCCCAAAACAGCTGGTCCAGGTATATACTTCCGTACATCTTCGGGCCAGTGACATCATTGAACAGGTCTAAAGACATATTGGTGATAGACACGTCTCTGAGTACTGCTGCACCGTTCATAACTCCCGCGATTGGCGGCAGAGTCGCATCGATAGTCTTCTTCACTTCAGCCAACCCAGCTTTATCGGTCATATCACTATTTCTGGTTAGTACAATTTCCCGAGAAGGAGGACTGTTAACTTTACCATGCAATGATCGTTATGACAACCTTGTTGCGAGCATGCAAAGAAATCCACTCTCGGTCCACTTCAGGACTCCTACTTGTCAGTACAAGAGATTTGGCACCGTGGGCGACCATCCAATCACACAAGGACACGCCCAGTGCGCCAGTCAAGCCAGCTAGCCAATAGGTCTTGTTGCTTCGGAAAAGAGGCCCAGAGTCAAGGCTAGTAATGCGAACTGGCAACAGATGAGATGACGTCCAGTCAACAACTGTAATTGGGCTGCTCGGAGGTGGCCCATTGGAGACGTCCTCAAGTCTCATAGCTGCTGCCAGTATGGCCTGTTGCTTCTGGTTGTCATACATCTCGGTATATTCTGTGGCTTTTTCAAGCATCTGAGCCAGGACAGGGGCGGAGCTGAAGTGATCACATCCGTCCAACGAGTAGATCTTGTCAGCAGTTTCTACGCGGCAATTTCGAGGAAGACTTGCTAGCAAAGCTGATTCGGCCAAGGATCTTGAAGTGGCCTGGTCCCAGAACCCGACAAAGCACGCAGTATTGCTCGGTAAAATGCAGCTCAATGCGGACTGGCTCATATGCGGGTGAAGTCTAATCCAGGAGCTGGGAGTGTCCGGCCCTGCATTATCCGTTGTGAAAACAACACGTACATCCTTTGCGGATGCCTGTACTGATATAGCATCGGCAATCAAGTTTGTAGAGTTGTGCACAATCAGCGTTTGACCAGCGAAGAGGTGTTGGAGAACGGCTGTGGCAACCAAGTGAGAAGCTGCAAGTGCGAGAAGTAACTCCATGGATGAATGCGTAGTTGCGCAACGAATTGCGCAGGTTGGAGAAACTCTGAGCACGGATGCTGGCGAGGGCACGAGAGCCAGATAATATGATCCGGAGCTTGGCTCTGCGCCGAATGCAAGAAATTTGTGCCCAAGAGGAGTCATGATGGCTGACCAAACCGTGTGCGTCGTGCGAATGTCGATAAGGGGCTCGCTGTTGTCCTTCATGCCCAGTCTTAACTCTTTGAAAATGCATCCATTCCGTCTCGGCTCCATGGAGATAGGAGAGGTTTCAACGTCTACCTCGTGGGTGATTGGACGGCGCAATGAGTTGTATCTGTTATTTAGACTGGTACTGTGTCGAAGTCGTGGTATCAACTCGCGTTGTTCGGAATCAATGATGATCTCCGGCTCAAAGGACCAAAATATATCGTCCTTCTCTTCCGCTCTTGTCAGTAGACGAAGAAAGATTTCAGCGATTCTATGGGAATCAAGGCTTCCAGGATCCTCTATATCGAGGAACTGAAGGCGGAGTTCAGGTGCTTCATTCCTGGCCGTCCTTCCGAATCCAACGGTCATGTTGGAGAACGGCTCTTGCCAGCGGCGACCGTTGGTGACCCAAAGCAGATCTTTGGCACCCCCAAACATGGTTTTCAGAGCCGAGAAGCGCCTGTTCGTCAAATTCTTGAAGACAGGCTCATCAAGTTCTGTCAGACTAATCACCGGCAAGCGAGGCCCACCTTCGTGACATTGGACATCCTCAAGAGTCTCAAAAACTTGCAATTCTGTCACGAACCCTGTTAATGTGGATTTCAGACTAGTGACCAGAGTGGCGCTACGCGAAGTGCAGCCGCCCACAATAGCCAACTTCTCGATTGGAGGAAGCAGCGAAGGCATGGAGAGAGGCGCTCGAAGGAGATTGAGTGTGTCATTGACTGCTTGCGAGACATAGAAGGAAGCGCCCTGCCAATAATTAGCTTCATGTTATGGAGCCAATGGTGACGGTGTTTGAAGATCTTTGAGCCTTCAGGACGGGAGTGGAGAGGGGGTATAATTTCATGCTTACAAATAAGTCTTGGAGCTCATCTGGAGCAGTCAAGTCGATTCCAGAGAAGCCAGTGGATCTTAGCAACCTATCCCATTGCGCCGTGGAGACTAAAGGTGACAAGACGCGTCCATCATCATGACCCAGCCACCACCCTGGTAATGTTCCGAAAATGACGCCAGGGAGGCTGCCGGTCTGGATGTTATTATTGGCCTCGCCAACGAGAAGATAACCTCCGGGCTTCAAAAGCTGACGAGTGTGTTTCAGTGTCCGCTCTAAATTGGACGTAGCATGCAGAACAGAGAACGCAATAACTAAGTCGTACGCGCCCTCACTGAAGCCTTGCTGGACTGGACTTTTCTCCACGTCAAGGACTTTGAATTTCACTCGATCTTCGTACTCAGAAGACACCGCGTCAATACTTTCGGAGAAGGCCGAGGAAATATCAGTCGCAGTGTAACTATGAAATTCGTGGCCGACAGACCGGAGGACACTCTTCGTTCCAGCACCAGTTCCGGCACCTGATTTAAATTAGCTGAAACAAAGCCTGATTCGCGTTTGCACTCGATAGAACCAACCTATTTCCAAAATTCTCATATGACGGTGACGATCAACGATCTCACTTGCTGCTCGACCGATCCAGGAAGACAGTTGGCTGAGTCCAAATTCATTTTCATAGTAATCATCCAAAAGATCGGACGTGCGGAGCACCTCTAGCATGTCGGACTCGTTAGCAAGGGCTTTTGGCATCTCCTGACCAACAAGATGCATCAATCGCACATCGGACCGTTGAAGAAATGGCTTGCTAGCTTCCATAACATCTTCGAGGGTATCACTGAGCCATGACTTCTTTGCCCACTTGTGCTCCCCCTTATCCACGAGGCGGGTGACGTGTCGAGCATATTGCAGGTAACTGCTGTGCTGAGATGCCGACCTCAATGGGTCATCACAAGACACACCCTGATCTATTTGTCTCAAGTAAAAAGTTGATAGCCGTACCAGAACCTCCAAAATATCTTTATGATGTTGGGTTATCACGGTGCCACACACTGATGACCGCTCATCGAGAGTGCTGGGGATCCAGCGCGTCCCGAAAAAGACTTTCTTATCATCAGAGGCGGACATCTGACGAAGAGGCATCACTTTCAAACCTTGCAGCTGAATTGCTGCATATGAAGCGTTTTGCGGATAGATGTTGACGTCTCCACAAAATCCATTGCTTTCGATACCTTCATGGGTGATCATCGAGTCGACTGGTGCGAGTGTCGTCGTGCTGCTCCTCATGGATTCACACAGGGCAGGGTTAACTCGAATAAGTTCGCAGCTCTGAGGTAGGTGGAGGCATGACAGACGATCATTGCCTGGATATCCGTATGCTGGGAATATTGACTGAAACGCACTGTCCAGTTCCGCGGGATGGACAAGTATTTCCCTTGCGTGTTCACTCGGCTTGATCTTGACCAAGCATGACGAATTCGCATGTTTTCGCTGGATCGCTGCCAGCGAAGTGAAACGGCCTCTGAACTCTAAGCCAAGCTTGTCCATGACATGGTAAAAGCGTTCTGGGTCAATGTTGACCATGTGAGACGGAGTTGGCGCACGATGGAGCATGATTGTCGGATCTGCGTCTCCCCAAAAGACGTCGACGACTGCGCTAACAGCCAGTGTGAGCTCATTTGCCTCAGCCCCAAGGGCTGCAGAGTAAGTAAATTTGGCGCGGGCATGATCCGGTTGCAGCAGATTTATGTCAATCAGTGACGTTAAAACTTCGACATCTTGGTCTAAGGGGACTGCGTGGTGTATTGAGAAGTCTCGCATCTCGATCAAGCGTATTTCTTTTCCGCTTGACAGCCAAACCAAAGCCTCCAAGGCTGTGCAAATGTAACCGGAGGCAGGAAAAACGACCTGACCCTGAACTCTGTGGTCGCAGAGCCAATCGATCTGACTCTCACGCAATATGTTCCTCCAGCTCATCTGGTGCGGCGCACTGTCCGGACATATGTCCCCTAACAGCGGGTGAGCCGGTTGGCTTCTCAAGCGCATCTGGCGGGAAAGTCGAGACTCGTGTTGATATTTAGCGTCGTGATTCCATTGGTATATGGGAAGGTTTTTAACCACTTGTAAGCGGAGTGCTTGATCATGCATGGCCCTTTCGTAAGTGTCTAAGTTGACCGCGGCGCTACCAAGGTGTGACCATAGAGTTCCTAAGCTTGTTGACATGGCATGGACGGCATCGGTGCCTCGGTAGAGTGTTCCGGTGTACTCGATCTTCTTTCCCAAGACAGCTTGAATTGTTTGGATCGCGGGCTGTTTCAGGGCTGGGTGAGGTCCAATCTCGACCGCGATATCGAACTCATCAACCGAGAGGGCAGTGGTGAGTGCCTGGGAAAACAAGACTGGCTTAGTAAGGTTCTGGGCCCAGTATATTCCGTCCAGCCCCGTCTCAGATGCCACCGGCTGATTGTGCACGCTTGAAATCCAGGTGCATCTCTTTTCTGTAGGGTGGCGTGCTTTGATGTGACACTGATGTAGTGAGTTCACATAACCATCGAAGCACGGAAGCATGTGGCTAGAGTGGTAAGCTCTGTCGACGAAAAGACGTCGGCTGAATATGTTTTGCTCATCCAAAAGGTTCTTCAGCTCTAATATAGCGTCCTCATCACCTGATATCGTCACACTGGAAGGAGAATTGCTCGCCGCAACAGTGATGCGGCCAGAGAAAACCACGTTTTCACACAACTGAGTTGCTTCTGCCATAGGTAGGCCCACAGCTAGCATAGCGCCTTTGATGCTGACTCCATGGGGACTGCGTGCGGAGAGGACATGCAATCCACGATAAAAGGCAATGTATATGGCCTCCTGGGCTGTGATCCAGCCAGCTGCATACGCTGCAGCTGTTTCACCCGAAGAATGGCCAACCACCGCACTAAAAGTGATATTCGCAGCCCGCAGAAGGTCCACTAGGAGTATTTGAACTGCTGTGCATAAGGACTGTGACATAGTGGCTTCCTGTACACGAGACTGAGAGCCGCTGGCTTGGAGCTCAGCTTTGAGTGACCAGCTGGGGCGATCTTCGGCTGGGAGTTCAGCAAGATATGCGTCAAGCTGTTCCATTGTCTTCCGAGCAGCCGAGGATTTTTCAATCAACTCAGCGCCCATGCGGGCATATTGCGCCCCCTGTCCATTGAAAATTCCAAGTACCTTCTTCGCCCCTCTCTCCCACGACGACCGCCCCCTGACAACAGGACTCGAGCTGCCATGGAGTTGATCGTGGATCTTCGACTTGAGATCCTCAACAGAGTTAGCCACGAACGATGTTCGGTAAGCAAAAGTTGAGCGACGTTCCCTTAACGTCCAAGCCAAGTCGTGAATATTTATTGTAGGATTGATTGCGAGGAAAGCCGCATAAGCGGTAAGATTAGCTCGTAGCGATCGCTCTGATACTGCCGAGAACACAAATGGCGTGAAGAGGTGGTCAATCTCAGCTGGGGCTGTGCAGTATGATCGATTATTATAGCTTTCGATGATGGCGTGTGCGTTGGTACCACCAATGCCAAAAGAGTTCACGCTCGCCCTGCGAGGCTGGCCGTCTGCGAGGAAGGGCCATGCTGAGGCAACCTGGAGAATTCGCACATCTTTGTAGAACGGCTCTACTCGGTGGCTCAGATTATTGAAGGATAGGTTTGGGGGAATGCGGCCGTGCTGAACCGCCAGTGATGCCTTGAGAACACCCGCAATACCCGCGGAGCCTTCAGTGTGTCCAAGAACGGTCTTGATTGAGCCCACATATAAGGGTTCCTCCCGTGGATCTCTAGGACCTTCGTTCGCAGAGAAGGCTCTGTAGATAGCCTCGGCTTCGACGGAGTCTCCGGCCGGGGTGCCCGTCCCGTGAGCCTCGAAATATTGAGGTCGGTCCCGGTAAATCAAAGGATCAAGTCCTGCCTTGCTATAAGTCTTCCGGATCAAGGCTTGCTGAGCAGATACACTTGGCATTGTCATTCCTGGGGTAGCACCATCGTGGTTCACATCTGTGCTTCTGATGATGCATTCGATTTGATCTCCGTCCCTTAAGGCGTTGCTGAGCGTCTTAAGCACGAGTGCTGTCACACCATCACCGCGCGCACTAGAGTATCGAGAGTTAGTCACTGAGACAGTGAGGAAAAGGGGTCATTGTGCAAAGTTTCTGTGAAGATAGATGAAATTGTGATGCAAGCAGGAGGATATCCAACGAATATCGCTTATGTGTAGAATAAAGCTGCGCATTTCCAGAACCACTTACTAGCCATTCGCATCACGGTCCCACATCCGACTCAGACCGTCAGGTGATAAAAGCTGGAGCTTGCTCATGGTAACGTAGTTTTCGGGCCCAACAATAACGTTGGTGCCACAAGCCACGGCCATTTGAGAATCACCGGCCCTAAGGGCCTGAACTGCGAGGTGCAATGCGACGAGACTGGATGAACACGCCGTGTCAAGGGTAACCGAGGGGCCGTGCCAGTCGAAGAAGTAGGAGAGCCGGCTGGATATGCTACTTCGTCCGGTTCCAATAACCGAATAGGTCGGGACGGTTTGCAGATCCCGGAACAAGTTCGACTCATAATCACACCACATAACACCGACATACACGCCTGTATCACTACCCTTAAGACTTTCAAGAGTCATTCCAGCTGCTTCTACCGCCTCGTATACAGTTTCCATAAGCAGCCGTTGCTGGGGGTCGGTGGCCTTGGCTTCCACAGGCGTCATGCCGAAGAATTCGGTATCAAAGGCAGTCACATCCCGATTGAGAAGATATGACCTCTTGACATTGCAGCGGCCGTGATAAGATCCGTTGGGGTGGTACCAGCCATCCGCGTTGAAACGGCTTTCCGGAATGTCGCTGCGAACGTCTCGTGGGTCATGAAGAAGCTTCCACAGCTCCGCTGGTGAGTTGACACTGTCAGCGAAGTGACATCCACTGCCAACAACGGCTATAGGCTCCGCGGGCTCGCAGGGCATAATGGCTAGTGCAAAGTGGTGAGTAAAATTTGGTATAGGTTTGGGATGAGAGTCACTTGGTTTACTAAAAGGAGCTGGCGGTTCCCTGGGAGTGATTCCAAAAAGCTGTAGGGGGTTGTTTAATGCTCTATTATCTAGTACTAAGTATGATCTAGTTGTCCCTGCTCTCTTCACAATACCTCCCGATTCTGGAGGGCCCCGATATCTGCAATACCCAAGGGCTTTGTCAGGCCCACGATCCATTAGAATTCATGCGATAAAACGAGAAATGTGTTATCACAACTACAGGGTTCAGAAAACAACTCACTCAGTACTAGGGTTTCCTTTCCATGGTCGTCAGGTCCGCAACTAGTCAGTCCGAGCGCGGTCGCCACAAACTTTAAATGGGTGGATCAACATCATAACTTGATTGAATGTAGGCATTGAATTGTACCAAGGATACTTGGTTATCTTAGTGAGAAGACAATGAAGTACCGTAATCAGCTATACCGACGGGCGCAGAGTGGTTTGAAATAAAGTTTTAGATTGAGTTCGCTAGTATCAAACAGTGGTATGGCAGGGCTGTGGACAAGAACGCATGTCGTTCTCCGGCACAAATCAGGCCTAGGGTGCCATGGAGACACTGCAGTCGGTGAATGAATGTTTTGGGTCTTCCGAGCGCTGTGCTCAGACAGTGTTGTAATTTCTGGGAGGGGGCTCCAGGGGGGGATGGCTACTTACAAAGAGAAAAGCCGCAGGAAGGATTTCCCGTGACAAACGAAGAAGCAATCATACATATGTCGGCCAGGAGCCTCCAGATCCACTCCTGCAACTAGATGATGTCGAATTGAGATGTATATCAGCTCTTACTTCCTTCCCGCTGCATCTCGTGTCAAGCACTGGTAGATGATCCGTAACACGGCCTCGGAAATGGGAAGCACGGAATAGTGAATAGCGCATATGCGGAGTGCTACAAAGCTGCTCCATCTTTCCTATTTTGGCTTGTTGGATTTATGTCGGCGGCAAAAGAAAAGTGCGTATTCACCGTCGGCTTGGCGGGTGATGCGACCGAGAATACACGTGCGTTTGATCATATGTAAGCGGGGTCTTCTTCCCTTGCACCTCCATTAAGCTCGAACAAATAAGGTTGCGCTGTGGCCAGGGCAGAATCAAGCGAGATAGACACCGGTGAGAAAATGCCCCGATATTGTTGACCAAGACTCGCAACTTCAGACGCTGGCAATCCGTGCACAGCTACTCTCTCGCACAATCCCAGCCGACACGGGGCTGTCCCCTTGTCTTCCCCTCGTATGATCAACACTGGTGACGAATCTAATACCCTGATGTAGAGACTTTGATCGGCATAAAAATAACGGGTCACAGATATTATGTTGATAGTTAAACTTTCAATTAACGATCAAATTTGTAACATGAATTTATAGGTGATATCATCTTTCAAAGTCATATGAAATATTCCGTGCATGATACGTTTTAAGCACGCGGGGTAGTACAGACAGCGTTTAAAATGTATTTCTACAAATATAAAATTGACGAAATCCTCCTAGCTTTACCCTTCTACGGTCATCTCAGAGGTCTTCTGCATATCAGGTAAACCATGTCTCCCGCCAATGCATCAAACACCGAGTCTTTATCATGTCCCTCATTCCCAGAACCTCTTAAGTCCTCAGGAGCTCTTGTCAAGTTTGTTTACGAGGATACTACGCCTGTCATAGGACGTGAGTTTCCAAAATTGAATATTGTGAATGACCTCTTACATGCTACCAATTCCGATGAGCTAATCCGTGATCTTGCCATCGAAAGTGCGTTTCTCACTTTTCAAAACATAGAGAAGAATAGGCCTAATCCAGTGTTACAGTTTCAACGAGAGGAGTTGTATTCTTCCGTGCACAAGACAATCTCACCGATGGGCTTCAAAAAGAACTTGTCCATCGCTTAGGACAGCTCAGCGGCAAGCCCTCGGACTCAACTCTTCATATTCATCCTGTGCTGAACAATACCTCTGAGTTTGGTGTCGTTGACGCAGAGATCAGCCCTGTGAGCTCGGTACAGCGCAAGGCGCTCTTTAATCTCGCTCCACCGCCTACCAAGCGCCGGTATGATTACTTCTCCCAGTGGCATTCCGACATTCAGTACGAGCCAGTACCTGCGGACTACACATCCCTACGGCTCACACAGCTGCCCAAGACGGGTGGCGATACGCTTTGGGCTTCCGGCTACGAGCTTTACGACAGGTTTTCCAAGCCATATCAGAAGTTCTTTGAGGGACTGACTGCGACATGTGTAGCAGACGGGTTTCTTAAATATGCAACTTCTGACCTTGTCAAAATCTATGAGAAGCCCAGGGGAAGCCCAGCCAACATAGGCGGCAGTCTCTCCGCAGTACATCCTATCGTACGGACCAATCCGGTGACTGGCTGGAAGAGTATTTTTGCGTTTGGGCCGTTCACCAAGAAAATCAATGAATTAGAACAACAGGAGTCTGATGAATTGTTAAAGAAGTTCGGGCAAATGATTGTTGAGAATCATGATTTGCAAGTCCGATTCAAGTGGAGGAATAAGAATGATATAGGTGAGTGAAGCGCTGCAAATTACACATTGGCTTCGTGGATACTAATTTTGAACAGCGATCTGGTGAGCATCAAATCTTTTTTTGCAGAACCTGCACACGTCTCTGAAAGATTATACCCTCGGGACCTGGCCTATATGTTTTTGCCCCATCTGTCTACCCCCCAAATATCAGCCTTTCATGCCCGTAAGAATCATTTGAAAGTTTGATGAATATTGACGACCGGACACAGGGATAATCGCTCCGTGTTCCACTGTGCAACATATGACTATGACCAGGAGCTTGGAGAGCGCGTTGGTACTCGTGCTGTCGGGATTGGGGAGGCTCCTTACCTTGATCCAAACAGCATGTCTAGGTCGGAGGCATTGTTCGGGATTGCGGCTTGATGATTAGTATGTACATAGATTTTGACATCGATCCTGGAACGAGAATTTGAATAGGAGCTTTCAATTGAATCACTAGTCAGTAACATTAATTGTGATGATGTCAAGGTGCCAGTAACTGACAGAATGCCACTTTGCACCTCATGTTCTTGATTCAAGAATGAGCCTATTCAAGTGCAGTCAAGAGAGATAAATTGAGTCTATCAGTTTGCACGAAGGATTATACATGTCACGGACTTTCAAGGCCTGAGCGTGCCGCTGCTACACCTCGTGGGACGGGGGAGGGTTACAAGCACGCTCTGACCGGGGTTAGGAGACTGCGCAGTATTCAGATCCCCGCAGCTCAAACTTCATGGGCATCAGTCGCGCTCACGCCCCCTTCGTTTCGCGTCCATGATCTCACTTTGCGTGTGGATGATTCCTTTCGAGTCAACATTGTGAAGCTAACACCCATGCCGCGGGGATTCCATAAATTGCAGCTCTCAAGATGCTGACTCCAACAGTCCTCAATGCTGTCCTCCCTTTTTTTGCCGTGGGAAACACACCCGCGGTTAGCGTAACGCGAGGCGTCCCCCAGGGTGTTGATGCCGACATCCTGCTGCTTGAATCCGGAGATGTCCGGCATATACTGTATTCTGCATATCATGAGAAAGGATTTCGTGAGTGCCCAAGTCTTGTTGGCAAGGGATGGAAGTAGCCACTGCTGACGGGTGAATTCTACAGCAACCAGGAAGCTGGATCTAACCTTCTGTGACATCGAGGATGCCATAATTGGTGAGCTTGCTCGGAAGATACCTTAGGAGATGAAACAAGTTCTGACCGTCTGCAGCTCGTAACTTACTCATACTGACACTGCTCGTTGCTCAGGGCAAAGATGTTGAACCCCAGCTTGTCTGGAACGTGTACTACCACCTACTGCTCGATGAACAGTCGGCTGAAATCCTTCTGGCGCACCTCACCCACCTATTGGCTGCGTCCAATTCCCTCAAGGACTGGAAAACTAGCGAATTTGGTGGGAAGTTTCGCTTCAGCAACAACTCTACCCTGCGCTCTGTACGCGACATGTGGGCAGCTTACGCCGAGTCTTTGGGGAAGAAGGACCGAAGTCAGTACCGAGCGGATTTTGAGACTGCTCTGCAACACTCAAAAGACAATAAAGATGCTATTTTCGGAAGGCAAGGTCTTGTATACGGGGGTGCCCGTGCAGCTGCTCCCCTTGGTATGCAAGCCTTGGCCAGCGAGGAACTGAGAGTTGCCCTAGACTCGTGGTGGGAAAAAGGCACGACCAGTGCAGTTCCCGCCAATGCGAATATCCCCAACCCTCTCTTCGCTGTTAGTTTGTCGGAGTATTCTGTTCTTGCCCACGGCGGGGACCCGATCTTGGGCTATCACCTGGCAACAGCAAATGCTCATCTGACTGCAAAGTCGCCACTCCGGCATCTGCATGACAATCCTTCGTCTGCCATCGTCCGAGCAGCGCAGGACCAGTTCACAGAATGGTCCCAGGCGTTTGTTGATATGACACGGAAAAACGTGGTCTTGCGATTTGTCTCAGCGGATGCTTTGTCATTTTGTCATACTCTCCAGCACCATCTTGAAACAGACCAGGCGTCAGGGCACTTCTATCGACGCCAGCTCACCATGGAAAGCCTTGAACTGGATGCTGATGAGTATGGATCAGAGTCGACTACTCCGAAGCAGTTCGACATTATTGATACGTCGGATTTGTCTGACTACCTTGGAGCTTTGAATGTCCTTGTTTCCGGGAGCCCGCTCCTCAAACCTGTTCCTTGGGCTACACTTTACACTGAAACAATGCAGAAGGGCACAGAGGGAGAAAAGGCTGCATTCGAGGAACTCCTTTGCGCACCAACAAGGACTATTTCGACCTTGCTTGGCCTCAGCCCTGTGGAGTACTGGACGAACGCCACAGCTGTTTCTAATGTCGATGATTACTTGCTTGCTATTTATGCAAGCCAGAAGCCGTCTCAAAAGCCAGGAATACAATGGCGTTTCGCCTGGAAATTCCACGAGAGCTTGAGCGGCCAGGCAGTCCATCCGCGAATAAAGGTCAAAGACGACGCTCTTGCGACCCTGTTACACAATGTTTACCGAGCTATGTTTGCTAGCGAGGACATGATGTCGCTCATGAGTCTATCCAGGGACCAGCAGACTACCTTGTTGCAAAAGCAAGCTTGCCCAAAGTACCATCGAGTAGGTTTTATTGCGTTTATTCGCAGACTACTACACACCATCGATGCACCCACGGAGGCGGTGTGTCGTGAGACCCTCAACAAGATCATGCGAGACTCGAGTTTAATGTTGAGCTCAAATTTCTCACAAGAACTTTCCTTGGCAATGTCGAGGCAAGGATTATACACCTTGCCTGGACTGACGCATGATATCCAGCGAGGATCAAGCGCCCCCTTGTTCTCTAAGTGGTCTAATATTCCCGAGGCCGTGGCTGTTACCATCGCAATTCCTCCAGTCGCTTGGAAGGAGATCGCTAAAATCGCCCTTGAGGCCAGCGTCGGCTTCACCGTCGAGGGCAGCCTACGCGGTGTTCAGGGAGGTGCACCTACATGGCACAACCTTTTTGCTGATGTTCAGGTGACGTTCGGGTCTGTTTTGACCGCGGGTCATCGAGAAGACGAGGGCTTCACTGTGAGCGTCCAGGAGGATCCGAGATCTTGGTCCGGAGACTCTCACATGATTGCGACCTTCTCAGTGCCCACTGCCGCCCTCCAAGTGGATCCCAAACACACGAAGGTGTCTCTTTGTCTAGCAAATAGCGCTCAGAATGTCGCAGTCTTCAACACAAGGCTTCAGCTCGGTAATCCCATGCTAGGCACACCGATGATCATATATGAGACCGATTTGGACAATAGTTCGCACGTTCATATTACCAAGAATCAGCCAGGCCAGGATAGCTACCCTCTTTACAACAATCTCAAGCTGCAAACTACTGAAGATGCTGCTAGCGACAGCAAATATTACTTCACGGCGGATATTGAACCTTCGGGCGTTATAGCCAGTATCACTGGCCATCTTGACGTCCTGTCTCTGGACGGAAAGGAATTACTATCCAATAAGGCCGCAGTGGATGTGCGGAAGATCTCGCCTTTCACGTTTGAAATCGTTCTCGGGGAACGAGAAGCGGTCTATCAACTCTGTTTCCCAGTCCCTGTGGTAAAGGATGGAAGCAAGACGAGGATTGCTCGGACTTCTGGTTATGTGGAGGTCACAGCAACACTTGCCGATCCGGCAACTGCTCAAACGCTGGATGACTTTGTGTTCCCTACCACTATGGCAAAGTCCACCTCCATTATGGACCTCGGACAGAGCATCCCCGTCACGCTCAATGTTCCACATATCAACCTCGACAGCTTACCTGTACTCGACATCTCTGACAAAAAGAGCCTGGGGTTCCTGACAACGTTGGCTTCCTGGACCTTTTCTGTCCGCGAGCGCAAACTCCGCGATGAAGCAAACAATTCTGGCATATCCACTTCCGCTCGAATGAACTTTAAAGAGTCGCTCTTCACGATGTTCATGCTTGCATCGGGACTGCAGGGCGGCCAGACCGGGCTCTTCGCCATCCACCACCCGGAGAAAGGAGGAATTCATATGCTTCTCTTCGTCTCTGCGATACGTCTGGACGGCGCTAATGGGAGCGTTGCCCTCGATGCAGCAGTCATTCCATTCACTGTAGAAATCATCAAGGGAGGAAAGATGGAGCCGTTCCTGCTGATGCTAAGGGAATTGGAGTGCTGCACCATAACCGTCGATGACGAAGAGCTCGTGCTGTGGAAGAAAGTCTTGCCGGCGCTGGTTGAACGCTGCAGAAACTGGACTCACACATTAGACTGTGAGTATGCGAAACCTGGCGCAACCGTTCCCCTCAACACCGAAGCGGGCAAGGAAGTCCTTTGCGGTTGCGGCGCGGGACAGCTGCCGGAGAACTTCATCAACCTCCCTGAGTGGGGTACTGCTGTGCAATTTGCGACGCGGCTTGCTATCAGCCCGACGTACGCGGTGCCGTTCGTGGAGGAGGTAATTGATCCTAACATGACTGAGAGTCTATCCCAATCGGCCTTGGGCATACAGGGCGACCAGACGCTCCGATGTAGGAACTGTGGCAATTTGGAGGCGAGAGGCGGCGGGGCGCTCAAGAAGTGTATGCGGTGTCTGAAGGTTAAATATTGTTCTGCCGAGTGCCAGAAGAAGGATTGGAAGAAGCACCGTATGGAGTGTGCGGAGGTAGGTGCGAAGTGAAGTTATATGGCAAATAGCTGTGCATGAAAAGAATCAGTGAGCAGTGGCAAACCGAGCATCGATCTTCATCTGCAGGCTTGCGACAGCGCACACATATCAAAAGCAGATTGCCACATGCTATACCATTGGAGCAAACTTTTCTGAAATGTCCAGAGGGAGAGGACCTTTTGCTAGTGGGGATTAAGGAATGTTTTTTGAAACAGAGGTTTGGATTTGCTACATAACTACACAATTCTAAAAGCTTTGATATGGTCGGCTGGCGCAATGGTAGCGTGTATCACTCCTACTATAGAAGCGATGATGAGGTTTTGGGTTCGAGTCCCAAGTCGATCGGCCATCTTACTTTTTGCATTTCTAACATCCAATCTGCTGGCCACGATGAGAAGGCTAGCTGGCTTTTACCTCCAAAATGATGGACAGACTCCATATTTTTTTGGTCCCGGGGGGAGGGGGGGTGTTCGCAGGGAGACACTGGACAGTAGCTAGAAGAAGAATTGCAATGAAAGTAGAAGCCTGTGGTGAAGGAGTGCGGATCTTTTCAAAGTGGAATTACTGGGTTGGGCCTTGAATCAACTCGCAGGAATCTCAAAGGTTGCTAAGATACCTGAGAGTAGGCAGATAGAATGGGAAATTCCTACAACACATACAAATCGTTCAGAATATGTGAGTACACGAGGGTTTCTTCTCCGGATCTAACCTATGACCTACGGAGAGCTATCGCACATGAGGCTATACTAGGAGAGGGTATGTGATACTGTATCATAGCTCGGCTCGCGGCCAGAAGAAAGCTGCAGACTTAGAAGGATTAGTTTGTTTGCACTCACAATGATTTGATCCTACCAGATTTCTTTGATTGTCATGAAATTGTTGTAATAGTCCAAAGGAATAAGTAAAAGACTCGGTTTACTTATCTCTAACGCCAATTTCGACCTCCCTACCAGGAGCACAACTACCCAGCTATACCGCTAATAAAGACCCAGGACAACCTTCGGCTTTTTGTGGCAGAATGACAATCGCCGATAGAATGAGTTTGTCTATCCTACCAGCCTCTAACCTCGAACTCTCGATTTCCTGAATTATACTTCAAGATCCACATGGCACATTCTATACCAGAGCGGACCTCGGAAACGGTTCCCTTGTACTAGACCTGCCGGCGTCGTGAATCTCAAGGACAGAAAGGTGCTTGTTACATGTAGGCAATGCTTAATTTGCCCCTGTCACTGTCCCAAAGTTCCGCGGAGCCCACGCCAACACACTCAAACTTTACATTTGCCTCGGCAAACAACTTTCTGACTTTCCTCCTCAGTGTCGCAGAAGTGAGAGCTGCGTAGAGGACAACCTCCGAATGCCGCTGAACGTGACGCACAATCGAGAATAGGAACGCGTGATCACTTTGGCAGCGATCAAATACATCCACCCAATGTTGATCAAAGCTCATATCTTCTTCGTAAAGCGCCCAATCGGAGATATCATCTCCTGACAGCTCATGATCCTCCTCGTTCAAGGTCTGCGAGCAGTCCACGCCCTCGTCAGACATATGGATGACCGAAGTGATATATTCATTACCACTGTCCTCTCCCTGTTCTTCATTGGCGAGGAAAAGAAACGAAGATCCGGTCATCATGCTAGGTATTTCATTCCCTATCAGCCTGACTTGCCTAAGATTTGGGAACTCTCCGGCCCGCGTCTGCTTCGCAAGTTCCAGGACAGTCGCTCTGGAGTCTTCGCTGAAATCTTTTATCGAAAGCTTTTCAATAGACTTAGGTAGCAGTCTAATCAGGCTGTCCATGGGAGTCACCTCATCGGGGGGTTGGAAGAAGCGGATAGTGCCTTGGCTCAGAAACAACGTCCTTAGAGCTGTGAAACTCGTGAGTGATGGGAGGGGTCGAAAAAAGTCCTCGAATTCGTGTCCGTTTCCGAATTCTAGGTGCAGTCTATCCAGTCTCGTTCTAACTGGTTGTAATGCTTCAATCACTGTAGACATACGTTAATAATGGCTCTATTCAAACTAAACGATCTCAGATCTCCGCTTGCAATATGTTTATAGACTTACCATCCAGAGCATCAGCCAGCCGCCCCGGCCCATCTTCTGGAAGACGTCGATGCTCTCCTGTTTCGTAGCGTAGCCTTGCAGTGCTCCTAAACCTGAACTTCTTCAAGCACGGAAAGTTCGCCACGAATCTTCTGAATGTCCCGTGAGGCAACCAGCACTGGTGCAACTCTAAAATGCTTATCTTGCATGATGGCAGTCGCAAGAAGATAAATGGAGTCATATTGATATCGTGAAAGAGCCTATGGCACGTCAAATGTGACAAACGTTCGGCAGCGCCCAAGACCGCGCGCAAGTCTTTCCTCGCATCTTGCAGTTCCACCACGGACGACTTAACAAGGCACGGTCCGTAGCAGAATTCTTTCAGTGATGGGAAAGACATGTGACTTGTAAATCCTATAGTGCCTGGGCTGAAAGCCAACACGCGAAGTATGTGTAACCCAGTCAAGTGGCTCAGCAAGACCAAGTCACCCCAGATGGAATTCAAGGTGACTCTTCGAACTTGGTCTGCGATATGAGCAAGTTGGATCGTAAATTTGAAGTACAGACGAAGGGCGAAATGGCTGTCGTAGTATCCAAAGGCGTGAAATATATACGGCTGGGCAACCTGTCTGAGGGTCCTGCAGGTTCTGCTCAGGGAGTCGAGGTCGTTCCTGAATATGACTGGGCTGTGAGGGATATCCAGTCCTTCAGGATCGGGATCACAGTATGAGCATAGACACAACTGCCTGCAAATTAGGTGAAGCAACTCGACAGGCAGCGCGGCGAAACCAGTCCGGCGTTCACCTGTACCGTGTGCACGCTGGAGATCCAGGGACAGGTGGGGTCCTTGTGGAGAATCTGTAGGCATTTTTCTGATGATAATAAATTAAGGGAGAGGAAGGGAGAGAAAAATGGGTGGGGAGCAAATAGCTGTTGCTTCGCAGACTTTCGGCTGGTAATATAGCCCTCGTGAGGAATGATAGTCAGCTGTCTGCTGTTGTAGCAACATGTATAGAGAAAAGTGAAAAATGAACTTTCCCCCAGAAAGTCGAATTTTAAAAATGGCCTTCGTTGAGTTAATTTGACCTTGTCTCCCACTGACTAAAACCATCTTAGATCCAGCCCACGCCTCAAGTCTTATGGTGTGGCCAAAGCTGTGTCCGGCGTCCTGTTTTCTTCAATTTTCACTAGCGACCGACCACTTTTATAATCATGCAGGCTCTAAATTTTGCCGGCGCAGATGACATTGCATGTTATTGGATGATATTTGACTACTTATAATTTTACTTATTTCTTATTCAAAGAGATCTTTGCCCTCTCTGATACTTGCATCTTCATGAGTGGAATCAAACACCTCCCTGCATACCTCAATCTTTACAAACTTCGAGCTTTACATCGCCGGGTCCTGGTGATAACTGTCATTTCGACCAAAATTAGATTTCGCTCGGAGTCCACTGCATAATATTTAAGAGATTTATCATTGCGAACTCCCAGCCTCAACCACTGAGATTTGTTGCTCACACATCATTAAGTCCGAACAACCAGAACCAAGAACTTGAGCCCAACATGTTCCAATGGGGAGCCTTCCCTGGCAAAGAAAATTTAGAGTTTTTCGAACAGCTCCCAATTGAGCTTTGGTTGTGTATTCTTGACTACCTATGCCCTCACTGCCTCGCCAGTCTAGCGCACACGCCCGGCATCTCATCAGTCGAGGATCACAATCTGATAGCGAAGCCGCTGCTGTTGAAGTCGAGAGGCGATCTCCTATCTATCAATCTGACATGCCAATTCTTTCGAAGTCTCGCCCAGAAGTACCTTTTTTACTGCTTCGACAGAGAAACAGATAACATCTTCTCTCGTTTTCGCCGCTCTGTGGAGCCAGCAGGCGGCCGACCAGACCTCTCTGGAGCAGTCAAAGAAATGACTGTGTCGTCAAACCCCGACCGAAGAGGAATCCTGGAGCATCTACCACATATTCGCACACTCAAATTCAGGATTGACCACGGCGACGGACAATGGACGGACGATTACCGAGGACAAGACGTTCTTTTCGGCAACAACACCCTCGCGGACAAATTACAACGCCTCCAAAAGCTCATCCTGCTTCCAACAGAGATGCATCGATCGGTCCATATCTCTAGGGGACGGCTATGGCTCGAAGCGTTGATGAAGGCTGGACCTGAGCTGCAAAGCCTGAGCATTCGCCGATTCGTCGACTTTTCTCACGATGCTGACGGCCTCATCATCCCTGCCTCAAACAATTCTCCAAAGTATTTGAAGTTGCCGGAGAACAAGGTTACTAAATTAGAGTTGTGGAGATCATGGTTCCGCTATAATTCGCTGAAGGACTTCCTGTCCAACTTCCAGGCCTTACGGGAATTCAGACTCGCAGACATGGATTACCTCAATGGTAGAATTGTTGATGATGATATGGTGCGGCCGGTTGATGGCTATGATGGTAAGAATCCCAGCCCCCCAAGTGCCTCGCCGTGATTTGAGATTGCTGACTTCTGGTAGTTGTCAGACTGCTCAAACCTCTCAAACGGCACCTCCAGGTATTGGAACTGAGCTTTGATGGGTTTCCAGCGCTCGAGTCCGGCTTAGCGACTTTTCGCCCGATAAAATCTTTAGGTGCTTTCACAATGCTGAAAAGTGTCCGACTGAGCCAGAATAGTATTGGTATGCCACCTAATGTGGACTACGACCTCGTCGATACTATGACAGATGAACAATATTCTCTAAACAAGGAAGCTGAGATTGCAGCTACAAAGACTGTCCTCATAGATCTCCTGCCCTGTAAGTCACTGGAGTTTCTACAGATCGACGAATTCGAGGACTACTTCGAGGATGCAGTACTCGAATTCGCTCGGTGTGTGAGCCTCAAGGAATATCCTTACCTCAAGCATGTGAGACTAGTTGGGGTTAATTACTATGATTCGCTCGCTGCGGTGTCGGAAATTGAAAGAGACCTGGGACCATACCATAATATGAAGAGCTTGGTTCCGCCTGAATACTGGGATGAAACAGAAGCTAGGCTGGCCTTAGTGGACGCTGAATTGGAGTACGAGGCTCGGGAATTCTTTCGGAAAGCTGAGGTGCGGTTTGAGACATTGGAGCTGAATTGGCCAGCAGAAATGGATGATAATTTTGATGTCGTCACATGGATGACAACGTACCCCCAAGTCTGTACAGGAGAATGCGGTCACCCGAATTGTAGGAGAGATATACTTCGGGATAACGGGGAGAGGGACACGTCATGGGGTTGGACGTCCAGAGTTACTTAGGATTGAGACACAAGACAGATCTTTTGTTTCGAGGCGTTGAATTTTGATTCATCAAATTCTGGTCAAGATGCATCGTTTGTCACAAGAATAAGATGAAAATAAAGATAGCCAGTGTGCCCTCCTTCGGGGAGAACAGGAATCATTTAACTTAGGGCAAAACTACTTCGGTGTAGGCAGCAGTAGCAGCAGCCGAGCCTGTTGATTTCCGTTCCTCACACCGAAGGCTAGTCGAAGAGCAATGTGAAGGGCCGCTTAGCATGATGTCGCCAGGTTGCAAGTAATGATTTGAGCCTCATACAAGAATAGACGGCGTAATGAGGACACCTAGCCGGTAGAAGTAACAATGAAGGCGAATACCGAGATATTTTTCTCGCCCTGGCAGCTCGTTGATACCATGCGCTTCATCGCGAACGCAGTTTATGTTTCTCTGGAGCTTTCTTTGGGGCCTCATGTGCTTAACAGCAATAAGGCGCTTGCATTCATGGGCAGATCCAAATGTCGTGATCAAGTTCAAATGCGCAGCTGGGACTTCTCGACTCTACAGGTCTCTAGCGTTGGTTTAGAGCGCGCCTAGCCCTTCTGGTCCAGCTGTCACTGAGGCACTATATCTAAGGGTGGGGCACTAAATATCGGCTGTCGCCCTTTCATCACAACACCGATGTGTGTGATGATATCTTGGTCCGGCTTTTGTGGCCATAATATTTGCAAGAAATCACCAGAATTCAAGACCCGAGACGGTCTCTATTACCCTTCGAGGCAATGGGTAAGCAGCCATTCTGTGATGACCTAGCCAACGCATTCCTAGCACATCATAAATCGTGAAGGAGCAGGCAACATCTGACTTACTGATACGGATCAGATTGTGACTGGATAAAGTTTACTAGAAACCGTAAATACTACGCTGTATGCCGGACAAATGCGATTGTCATTTCGTTTGGGACTAGTTCCGGGATCTACCTGGCACACGAATTTGGACGTTGGCTCACACACGTGGCAGTTGATGGGTCATTGGCGTCGGCAGCCTCGAACCAACAGTCGAGACTGAGTGCAGCACAGCAGGGCCAAGGCGTGAATCGTGGACGGGCTCAACCGTGACAGATCCCAGTGCCACGGTAACGGTACACTCGATGCACACGTAAATGTAGATGGATATGCACTGCATGAACTGTATCTATATCCTCTTGAGACGTATTCCTAGGCTGAATCCTGTCCTGTCCCTATCTCGGGCTATCATTAAGTCGAGGCAGCGCTGTTTCGACTCAGGCCTCGTGGCAACGGGTGCCAAGCTCCAAGCCGTCGTCTCACTTCGGCAATTCGTACTCGGCAGCTTTGCCTCGACGTGGCATGGAGCAGCTGGCCTGGAACGAAGCATATCCCCGCACAAGGTTGCATCTGCGGAATCGAGCACGGATTTCCCGACGGATCCACAGGTTGACGGGTCAGGCCTATCGAGCCTGTCTTGCTCGAACCTTGGAATCGTTTCCCGAATCGAAGCCCCCAATTCGAAGCCCCTGGACCCTGGACCTACCCCAGGCCCCGTCGGTTAATGACTGGAACCATTGGTCTGGGGATGTGGGGTTGGACATCCAGAACATGGGGTAAAAGGGCCGAAGCAGAAATCATCCTCGTCAGCGGTCTCCATATCTATTCCAACACGACCCGGATCCACGCATTATCTCCTCCTTTCACCACCGCCTGCCTGGTCGTCTCTCGACACACTCTCTATACATAAGTCTGAGTGAGCATCAGATCCACTGCGCCCGAAGTGACAGCCAGCGACCATCGACAAAGACCGGCTGTGTTTGTGTAAGGGGACAAGATTCAGGATGTTCTCCAAATCATTCTGGAAGGGCCGCTCCCTGCGGACCTCGGATAAGAAGAGGACCAAGGCCGCCGAGTTGACCCTGAAGGAATCCCTCTTCCCAATCTGCCTCGTCACCATCCTCTTCTTCCTCTGGGGCTTCTCCTACGGTCTGCTGGACACTTTGAACAAGCACTTCCAGAACACTCTCAACATCAGCAAGGCTCGTTCATCCGGTCTCCAGGCCGCCTACTTTGGGTGCGTGCCACTGTCCTCCCCGCGTTCTTGGCGCCCAGTTTATCTTCGTCCCAGCCCCCACTGACAGTATTGATCGATCAGCGCGTACCCCTTGGCTTCTCTTGGACACGCCGCCTGGATTCTGCGACACTACAGCTATCGAGCCGTCTTCATCTGGGGCCTGTTCCTGTACGGACTTGGCGCCCTACTCGCCATTCCTGCCATCTTGCACCGCTCCTTCGCCGGCTTCTGCATCTGTATTTTCATCATTGGCAACGGGCTGGGGTCGCTCGAGACAGCTGCCAACCCTTATATTACCGGTAGGATTCGCGACTACCACCCCTAATTATGAACAGTTGGGAACCAAGTACTGATATGCGCTTGATCCAGTATGCGGCCCGCCCAAATATTCTGAAATCCGAATCAACATCTCTCAGGCCTTCAACGGTATCGGCACCGTTGTTGCTCCTGTCCTGGGATCATATGTCTTCTTCAACTTCGACGACGTCAAGGCGCTTCAAAACGTGCAATGGGTCTACCTCTCCATCGCAGTCTTCGTGTTCATTCTCGCCTTCGTCTTCTTCGTATCCGATATCCCAGAGATCACAGATGCCGATATGGCTTTCCAAGCCGAGGAGTCCCGGGCCTCGGCTGACAGCGACAAGCCCTTCATAAAGCAATACCGGCTCTTCCATGCTTCATTCGCCCAATTCTGCTACACCGGAGCCCAGATCGCCATTGCGAGGTATGTCATAGCTACAGGAACACGACAACCTGCAAAACTCTCTCTTACATGAGGCACGCCACTGACAAATACCACCAGTTACTTCATCAACTACGTGACCGAATCTCGCACCAACACCGACTCTGCTCTCGGCTCGCAGTTTCTGGCCGGCGCCCAGGGTGCTTTCGCGATTGGCCGTTTCGCAGGCGTGGGTTTGATGCACTTTGTCAAGCCACGCATTGTTTTCGGAATCTTCCTGACGATGTGTATCATCTTCGTCGCGCCCTCCATCACTCATGGCCAGAACACGGGCATGTCGATGCTATACGTCACGCTATTTTTCGAGTCCATCTGTTTCCCGACCATTATGGCACTCGGCATGCGCGGGCTGGGCCGGCACACGAAGCGCGGCTCCGGTTTCATCGTGGCCGGTGTCTTTGGCGGCGCCGTCGTTCCTCCGCTGACTGGCGCCGTGGCCGACATGCACAACACGTCCATCGCGATGGTGGTTCCCATGGCGTTCTTTATCGCTGCGTGGACGTACGCTCTTGCAGTCAACTTCGCGCCCAAGTACCGCGACACGGCGGACGCTTTCACCGAGACGGAAATAGGCCTGCATGGACACCATGAGGGTGTCGCCGAGGACGGGAGTCTGGGGGCTGATGAGGAGAAAGCTGTTGTTACGGATCAGAAGGAGATCTGAACCCTTTACGTTTTTGGCGCGATAAGTTCTCGAAGCTGTTTCGAGGACATGACATGTAGGAGCTTCATTCGGTAATATGGGTGTCCAAGACCCCAAAATGCGTCTCGTTACGCGTATGTTATGATACCCTCAGGAAATGTTTCAATATACCAACAATTCCTGCGCATTCTACACATCAGTATTACTGGCTTGCTCCCGAGCGTTCAAGTTCCAAGCAACAATCAGCTATGGACCCGGTGAGAGATAGAATCAACTCGATGAGAGCTAAGCCAAATATCTGGCTACTCTTGGGCCGGTCACTATCTTGCCAGTGGCCAAGTTCGATTTGGCAACGCAGTGGTTTCGTCTCAAGTCGTTTGTACTTACATCGCCTTCGATTCCTTAGCTGCCATAAGTTCGTGTGGTTCCGCATCTCTTGATCCACACACTCGACAAGTATGTCAGCTTGCTTGCCGAGCGATGAGCGCAGTCGCGTGGCCACCAGCCCGAGCCAAGCAATATGGTAGTGAGGAGAGTAACCTACTATCCCAGGTTCATGAACTTGACTCGCCACATACCATACGTCAAGTTCAAAACTTGCCACCACCTAGCCTCGTCGAGAGGGCTCAAGATCAGTCCAAGTCGTGTGTGAGCAAACCTAGGGCAGTGTTAGCAACATGTGCTTCAATCAGTGCCCAAGCTGGCCTCGAATCACTCCATTAAAATTCCTTCTCCGATCATTTAATGATACAATGTGCCCCAAGATCCAATTTCCTGAGCCATGGCAACTTTCCTTGGAGCAGCTGCATCTCCAAAGCTAATAGGCACATCCCAGTGGTCCAAACACTTAGTCCATCGCCCGTACCCCTAGCCTCTGATACCTTGAAGACTTTGGCCAGGCCGTGCAAACATTACCCACGAACATCTACATCTAGCACCGATCTCTACACAGACGGCCCTCTCTGCTTGTATGGCCCAGAAGGTGGCGCAATCGGACCATGTGAAGGCGGATTAGAAACTGTCAGATTCCGAGGAGACAGTCTGGTCTGATAGAAATTGGAGGGGATGTTGATGGCGTTTGGGTGTCCAACGCCTTTCAATTGCGGAGGACCCGTACTTAGGTGTGTGAGGGGCTTAGGGGGAGGCCAATTTTGTTGAGGTATCTGGATGTAGTTTGGCTGGCATGGGGCAGGGGCAGCCGCTCGTTGACTCCCATCTTGAAGACGCTGGGCGAGTGACTGGAAACGCTGCTCATCACGATTTTCGCGGTCCGACTTTGGGTTGAGCATTGGTCTGGAGATTGTCTGGCTCGCGAAGGGACCATTGCATCCCGGCGGACATGGATTGAGAGACATCTTTTCTATTCGTAAATGAGAACAAGGATATGAAGGAACCACTTGTGTCTTTTATCTTGGACTGGGTACTCAACAAAGGCAAGACGGCGGCTACTGAATGTCTACACAGGCAATGATCCGTAAAATTCAGGCCACTTATATACACCAAAGTTCCACGCACAATTTGTTACACTCTGACTCACCGGTCAATAGTCTTGTCTTGAGCTGCGAAGTCCACTCACACAATGATTGTGATTTCTATGCTTGCGCAAGCTATTGGGTGATAGCACTGATTATTTTGAATTTTTGGCGAGGTGTCTCGTGCATCACACACAACGTCTATCTTATGGCTAATTGGTCAAACATCAATCGCATTCTTGGTTGTTGCCTAGAAACACTGCATGGAACCAACACAATTTACGTAAGGAAGGAGAAGAGCGAAAAAGCCCAGATAAATTAGGTAGACATGACATAATGTAATCCAACCATGCTCGCTCGAAGTCGAATGAACTGGTTTAATTTCTACTACGACCCTTTCATTTTTTATTGTAGTATCATTTGGATATTTTGGCATGCAGAGAGCTTGAAGATATCTAGCTTCCTTGTCAAAATTCCTGATCTCGAGCCATCAAATGTGTGCAAGGCAATAAGTTGAAGATCAAGTGCCTCTTCAATTACGCGTACAATGCAAAAGGCGGATTAGGTTAATTCGTGAATATGTACGTCTCGGCATGAGAGGTACAAATGCCTCTGTTTTACTTGAATTGCCATAGGATGAACTGGACTAGCTGCGGAAGTACCTGGTATCACGGGTGGTGCACAGCTGAACGTCCGATGTAACGGCATGGCAAATGCAGGGGTCTCGAAGGCTTGCATCACCAGTCAGCCCCACTTCTGTCAGCATTGGCATTTCTCGATTCCTGCCGTTAACATACCGGTACATTGAACACCAAGTTCGGCCTGTCCCCAAATCCCACAGCGCGATACTGAGCCTTTAATATACCACAGTGTGAGCCCAGAAACGAGAATCACACAAAAGCATTGATTGCATAATCGGCCACTTCGACCTCAGGACACCTGTGTTTTCTGAAATCATGGAGTCATCGCGTGCCTGATTCTTCCAACGACATGGACTCTCACAAGTTATCAGACAACACATGCGTCTACAGTCCCCTTGAAGATTTGCCGGTTCCATCAGAGAACACAGTATTCTCAGAGCAGGACAGATGGGCCATCCGGTGTGTCAGCCTGGAACCTGGGCTTGGCGGCGAGCCCCTGAGATGCGAGCTCGTCGCCTCACATTTGGGGACCATGCGCGGCAAATATGAGGCCTTATCTTACACTTGGGGTGATTTGAGCCAGAAGGCCTTGATCTACCTGAACGGTCGACCTTTGCAGGTGACTGCGAACCTGGCATGTGCTTTACGACATCTCCGGAGGCCTCGGGATAATCGTCTTCTGTGGATTGATGCCCTGTGTATTAACCAAACGGATGGCTCCGAGGTCAATACTTACGTGCAGAGGATGTGGTCCATATACCAGAATTCTCGCAATGTTGTGGTATTTCTGGGTGAATCTCAACACGGGAGCGACCAAGCGTTGCAACTTCTCTTTGAACTATCTTGCCTATCAACGGACCCAAACGAGAGGCATACCCAAATCACCAAGCTTCTGGAAGACGATCAAAAGTCGTCCCATTGGAAAGCGCTGCTAAAGCTGATGCAGCGACCATGGTGGAGCAGAGCATGGATAATTCAAGAGTATGCCGTTGCACCACGGGTCATCTTTCTCTGTGGATTGGCAAGACTCGGTGGGGATGTCTTTAACCAAGCGATGGAGCACTGGATCGACTACAGGTACAATGCAAAAGTACCTTACCGCTGGCAACACCTAGTGAGGCACATCCTTTTAACTCCGATTAACCACCTTCTGTCCACCCGGCATCAGTACCAAAGCTCGAGCCCACAAGCAAAGCCAGCCCCGATGGATATTCTCTACCGATCACGAGGCTCGAGGGCCTCCGATCCAAGAGACAAAGTTTACAGCCTCTTCCGACTTATTGCTGAAGACCCGAGGCTCCAGCCGGACTACAGCCGTTCAGTCTATGATTTATACAAAGATGTCGTCAAATCCATGATCGATTCTTCTGGCACCTTGGAAATACTCTCTCACCACAACGCGGGCAACGTTGGACTACCCGGCATGCCGACCTGGTGTCCTGACTGGACCGTGATGCGTGGCGGACGTTATTTATTGCAACAGAAGCAGTATTCTGCCGCCGGCAATACTCATGCCCATGCAACATTTCACGATAACACCCTCACAGTCAAAGGTAGAGCCCTCGATAGAATTGAATTTTTATCCAAGCCCACCAAATATAGCAACTTCAAACACAAATGGGCGATGCACGCGACCGTCAAAGCCCTTTGGGACCTAGCTTCAAAGAAGGGTAACCTTTCGGGCAGACAGATACCCGATGTCCCAGCCGAATTTCCGGCGACTCTCGTGTCTTCGAGATCTCGACAGAGAGGCCCAGACGGGTGGAAGTCACATGTCCTGGATTCACGCGCCGTCGAGGAGATGTGGAGTGTGTGGTGTCGATCTTGCAACAACCATTATACGCTGGATCGCGCAGACGAAAATCTGGCTAAGACATTCGAGGACGCTATGCTCTCAGCCTTGTACGGGAAGGTCTTCTTCGTCTCGCGCCAGGGTTACTTTGGCTTGGTCGACGCTACGGCCCAAGTCGGCGACACAATAGCTGTCCTTCTAGGGGGCGAGGTTCTGTTCGCACTCCGCGAGAAACGCGTCGCTAAGAGCTCTAATTCCATCGCTCCCGCAAAGGATGCCGAGTATACTCTGGTTGGAGAATGGTGAGGGAAACTATCCAGACACTTCCCCAATGAGCCTCACCGATAGCTAACTATCTGGATCTAGTTACATGCACGGCTTCATGTCAGGCGAAGGACTTGACAATATGACAGATGGGGAGCTATTTGAAGATTTTTGTCTGGTGTGAAGACGAAGCAAACCTAAGGATGAGCAGCCTGCATGGAATGGGTCATAGGGTAGGTGGTAAGTTATACCTTGCCTATTGTGGGCGGCCGCAGTGGTTGAGAACCTCCGACATGATTCACTACAATAACTCGACCACTATACACACTGTCAATTGACCGCTCAGAGCGCGTTGAAAATACAGTACTTTTACCACGATATACATACTTATGTGAGGCAAACTCATTCACTACTTCTTGGCTAGAATTGGACTTCAATACACGCATGGCCAGGGAATTTGGATATCCCAAGGTTGGAGAGTCAGCTTCAAGTTTCGCCGATTATACAAATGACTTTTGTGGATCACCAAGTTCCTCACCATGCACTATTGCAAATATCATTTGACAGCCAGCCAACGAATGCCGCTCAGTCCAAATGCTGTCACATGGGCAGGTGCATGGGCATGGGCCTGGCAGCCTCACGGGTCTCGACCCCGGAGCTTTGCACGTAACTTAGCATGATCACCATTCTGGAGGTGTCAATCGGAAGGTTCGGTGCGGACCCATCAGCTGCAACATGTGGAAGCCATTGGACCTGGTGCGGTGGTTAGCCGCCCGGCGAGCTGCCCCTTTTCAGCAAGCGGCCAATCACGGCCAAGACCACGCCTGACGGATTCAAGGGGCTATCACAATCACATCGCCGCCAACATGCCTCAAATGCCTCCAAATGCAATAGCTCATGCATCCCTACCGTGGAATTGGTCACTGAATGGGCTGAAAATCGTGACTGACTCGACATTGTGCGTTGATGTTGCCGTGGTAAGGGAGGAGAACGATCCTTTCATCATAATAAGGTCTGTCGGGACGCTGCTTTGGCGATGATTCTAATTCCATTTCAGACTTCTGTACAATTCTTTACAAAACTTCGAGAAAAAGTGTTCTTATATCTCGTGATCTGCGACTTATTCGCGTTGTGTGCCAAGCTGGGTACTCTCCCAAACGAGAGACACTGGATGGTCGCAACATTGGCAGTCGAGCAGAACACTTTCACCATATTCCATAATAAAGTCACAGCCAATATCGATATGAGAAGAAACCTCTCTCTTGCCTACATGGCCATTTATTTACCAGCCATTGTCACTACGCTGGCTTGCAGGCGGTCTGCCGAATGCGCAGCAGGTCTAACCGCCTGGTCCGACGCCAACTTCGCAGGAATATCACATCAATATAATGTCTCGTGGGACACATGCAGTATGTTACATCCTTTCAACAATGGTATCTATCAGAAAATACAATTATCTGACATCTGGTGTCCAGTCTCGATCGCTGCACAGTTTCCATTCAACCAACCCGCTGGCGTTAGCTCCCTCGCTGCCAATGAGGGCAACTGGTGTACTGTGTACCCGTGAGTTGAGATACTCGTCTCTATCTTATGTCATGCTTGCGGAATATATAAAGCAGGGAACTGATGGCGAATTACAGAAACACGGATTGCAATCCCGGGCAAGGCAACGCCAATGACACACTCAGCGTGGTTGGGAGCTACTACGACCTCGCCAACCCAGAAGATGCTTGGGATAATCTGGCGCAGAGCTTTTCTTGCAAGAAGTACAATTGCGAATGATGCGAGTTGTCCCGTTGATGACTGCTCAAGTGCCGACATGTGCAGCGCAGCTCATGCCTAGGCACATTCCAAGTATCCGTCTACGCTGGGGGTGGATCTAAGTGGAACATGATTAACCTAGCTAAGCGAGCAGTAATATGATGCGATTATATCGTATTTTAGTTTGGATGAATGCCAGGGTATTGGGCAAGTTAATTGTCGCAGGTGAGAATGAATGCACAATGATAATAGTCGTTGTCGAAGCATCTGCATATGATGTTCGGGGCACGAGTCTAATAGTTCAATGCAAAAAGTGCATTCGAGTGCTACTCCTTATAGCCCCCGGTACATCGCTACTCTTCCATATTGATTCATTTGTCCTTGATACCAACGTCGATTGTCTTGTTGGCAAAGCTTTTACCAACATGGGGCGATGTGCTCTCAATACATGTGACTATTGGTATAGAGCACAGAAAAAGGGGCATCTAACTACACAGAGACTCTGGTGACTGGCTCTCAAAACCGCTTCCACCGTATTCGGGGATGAATTCAGCCTGTATTGCTCTCAATGCTTCAATCGCAGACGACTCTCTAAGGCCACCGCTCGAGGCGCTCGGAGGTTCAGCCCGCTCGTATATGCTAGACTCAGATAGGACGGCATCTGGGCTGGAGCTGCGTGGTCTCGGAGGAGTGTTGTAGTCACCGATGTCGAAATTCTCGTCTAAAATACTGGATTCGGCTGATGGGCTTCTAGTAGCTGAAGTGATCGACCCAGGGCTGTAGGACGACTCGAGGTTATTGTTATCGTCATCAGCCATGCTCAGACCAGGAGACCGGGATCCTCCAAGCTCAAGATCACTCGATGATGCTACCAAAATTCTGTCTTGAACAAATTCGTGATCGTTAGTTTGTTGCCGTTGTTCCTCACCAGCTCCAGACTTATCATACCAAGATATTAGTTAATGTAACTGACCACTGCTTTTGTGTGAATACAAGCACATACTGTCTGCTTACGGGCATTATCAATTTCGTTCTGGCCTGCAGCCTGTCGAGAACCTTGATCTTGTTCATGCTGCCCGCTATGGAGGTGGGACATCGCCGTTGATGGTCGTCTCCAACGACGAGCTGCGCGGGCTGCTTCAAGCCTTCTGCAAAATTTCCTTGCGACATCATGTGCATCCTCCACGTCTTTCGTTGAACCCGGAAGGGTGGTATGTGGGTGCCTGTACCACCGGTCGCGCAAGCTGCCCGCGTCTAGCCAGGAGAGAAATTGTTTGCCAGGGGGTAGGATGAAGTCTTCTCCCCAGGCAGGTATCTTTAGGCCAGGTTTGAGGAGAAGACAGAGGAACTCCCGTTGTCTTACCCGTGAACCACCCGTTCGGAACTCTTCATCCCACTCTGGGGTGCGTGGCTGGGAGTCGTGGAGGACTTCGTGTCGATAGCACTGCGGTGTGCTCTGGGACAGCTCATTCTGGTGGAAACTTCCATTGATTCCCATGCACTGCCTAGGGCACCAATCTGTCAGATATTTGGAGATTCGAACAGAAGTAGGAGGATAAGTCTGAAACTGAAGAGCTCTATCATGAGTAGAAGGTATATTGTCATCGAAATTCATGGAATACATAAAACGACGTCTTATTTGAGAGACTGAAAAGAGGATATCGAGAAAGGCACACTGACCAATCATCAAGAGGCAGGCGCACCACCAAATACCAGTGAAGCTCCCTGCTTCCTGGCGTTTGCTGAGCTCCCTGGTACACTTCACCAGGCACGGGGTTGACGATCCCCTCGAAGGGCTTGGACGGTTCAGCCGGACGAGAGCCATGGCGACCCGGATTCGATCCGGCCCGATGTCTCTTGAAGAGATCGTGTGCCGCAGGTTTGCGTCTGCGTTTTCTCTTGCCGGTCTTCGGTCTATAACCGTTTTGCAGGATTTTCGTGTAAGCTTCATTATTCCATTCCGCCCGTTTAGCATCACAACCCTGCACAAGCTCACCGAGCTCAGCGATTGCGTTCTCATTTGTCTTCGCTTTGTGACCGTGCGCGAAGGAGTCTATGTGTTGCCCTGCTGAATTGAGAGGGCGAGCACCGAAATTCATATCATGTTCAACACAGCGTAGGATGTACCACTTCTCGCTGCCAAGCGGGAACTCGACGATGAAGTGCTTGTCACGTGAATCCACACTCTGAACGCCTCGAAAAACTTCGTCAAATGAGATAGTCTTTTGGGCCGTAGGGCCGCCAGATGGCTGCCCGCTCCGCTTAGACCTTGGCCTCTGCAAAGGTTTCATGGCCAGAGATTGACTCACGTAGCTGTCACCGGGACCACTCAACGAGCCACGGGGATCACCCACGGCAATGCAGCTTGAGCCTGCCTCTGTGTTCCTTTCGGTTAGCTCGGGCTAGCTACTGTTAGCGACGGAATGTCAGAAAGTCACAGAAGTAGCTTCGGCGCACACACGCACCCGACTTGCTGAATGGTTCAACCTTACCAATCTCTGTGACGGCGGGTTCCTGGCATCATAATAGAATGCCGGGGACAGGTCAAAGCCAGCTTCTACGAAGTATTCCGTGGTTGATGGCCTTGAATCAGCTGCAGCAGATTCTTCATTGTCCCCTTGTGGATCATTTGGGCCGGAATCGTCACGTGTAGGCTGATTTTCAGCTTCCGAAGGAGGCCAGACGCAAGGCTGCCCATCTGTCTCGCATATACCACATGTCGGCCTGTTCTCATCGCACCGCCAAAGTCGCCTTCTGCATGTAATGCAGCCATCTTTTGCGAATCCCAAAAATTGCCTTTTCTTGCCTGTCCGTGCTAGTGTACCTGAGCTGAGGGTGACTTGAGAAGCGGGCACGTGTCGCTCACTCGAGCGCAGCGGCGGTAAGGAGTTGAAAGTCAGCCGCTGGTGCGCTGGGTGTTCCTCATGAGAATCTGGCTCGCGGAACGATGAGCAAACTGTCGAGTGTTCTTTGGACGGCAAAGAGCTTTTCACTGGTTCTCGAGGTTCCGACGATGGTGGTGTGTCCGGAAGTGTCTAACTTGGTTAGCCACTGCTCCTTGAAATGATTAGACTGTTGAAGGCTCTTGTACATACTGAGGATGTTAAACGCATCTCCCATTTTTCAAGGTGCCTTATAAACTCGTCTTCAATCTCCAGGCCGTCAATTTCATATTTGCGTTTCCTTGCAGTAAGCCTCCCCTCCAGCTCCTGCCTCTGTCTTGCAGTAATGGCCTGATGGTCTTCAATCTTCTTGTTCGTGTCTTCTCTAATCTGTGTCGCCTTTCTGTAAGCTTCATCTTGGAGCTGCTTGATCTTGATGTTGGTTTGCTCCTCGATTTGACGTATGTCTTCATCGGCTTCTCCTTGTATCGCTTCAATGCCTTGGTTTTGGTCGTCTCGAATATGGGAGATGGCTGCATGGAGTTCCTGTTGTTCTGCGTCAAACTCATTTCTCGCGGCGGCTTTTCGTTCATTTCTCAAGGATCGCAATTCCTGAAATTCAACAAACGATCGATGCCACCGCTCCTCCCGAGTATCGGTATTTCCCACAAGATCCATGTTTGGGGAGGGGCAGCCTGGATTCTTTAAGAAAGTGCATTGGTATGCAATAGTGGTGAAATGTAAGGTGTCGAGAAAAGAGGGCGCTCTGGACAACCTCGGGTTCTAATTTCAGGCGAGCGTCTAATTCAGGAATGGGTATGTAGTCGTCGAATAGTGTCATGAAATCAAGCAACAAGATGTCAATCCCGCCCTTGCATGTAATTGAGAATTCAGTATTCATTGTCTATCTAATAAGGGCTTGAAAATGTAAAACTACCCAGATGCGTGATAGGATATCAGATTTGAGTGACAGGATGCGTTGGCGGCGCAGTCAACCGCGAGTTCTTTGTCAAGTACCCCTGCTCGAATATGAGGCTGGTTCCACACCATCGCAAGCTCCAAGCATCGACCGCGTGTTGAGCGTCCAGAGAAAGATCTCCGAGATTTTCACCACACCGCTAGAAAGAGTCTTTCTGATTGTTCCTGTTCCTGCAATGTTTCGACTGTGCCCTGCATGTGATCGGGGAATTTGATGTATGCCCATCAAATATCACGAGCAAACATGGCATGCGAAAAGAGGAAAATAATTCAGGTCGACAACTACGTACTTGACATTGTCTTCCAAGCCGTGCGGGTTGAAAATGGCTCTTACCAGACAGTGATGCCGTACTGGCTAGAACAACCGTTTCTTTGCACCATTTGTCCCTGGTTCTTCAAATCCACCTGGCGCAATCACGGTTACGACGCCATCTATGAACCCCACTGGAAAAGGATTTCTGCCCTTTGATGCTTGGATCTAGCCCATGCAAGGTCCCGAAACTAGTCTCACGCTCTGCAAGACAGAATTTGAAGAATTGGCTAAACTTTGCTTCATTAACTTCCACAGTGATGACCTCTCATTTTTTGCGGTGCTTTCTCCGATGGTCAAGTGACCCTCGAAATGGCAAGCCTCGTGGAAGACGCTGGTCGTGGCTGTGCTCAAGGCTCTGTGAGTTTACCGCGCAAACCTTACGTAAATCATGGAGATTTAGAAAATCATGCCCCATTCTATATCGCTACCTCTCATATCGTAGTCACTTAACCATCAAACATCCTCGCAACTTCTCTCAGCTCGTCTTGAAAATGCAGTAATGTGACCCTGGTCAGAGTCACGGCCTTGCGCCAGCCTCGTGGGAATATTGGGAATTTAGACAATGACAGACAACCTAAGCTGTGCGGTCTGGGCCAGTCTTTTCAGCCCTCCCTGGCTCTTAAAGAACGCGAGTGCTGGCCCAAATGTTGCATTCAATCATTTTTGATCGCAGAGGGCTGTGATTCGGCGAGCCGTTGTCTGTCGAGACGATGTTTGACATGAGCAACTTGGGATTATTGCAGCGATGCAAGGCTTTTGAATCTATGGACACACGCGTTGTGAAGCATTGACGAGGTGAGCTAAGAGCCGACCAGGCGAATGTGGCCATGGCTGCACTTCTGCTTCAAATGCCTCCGATATTACGTTTGACTGGATCCAGACGCCAGGACGAAATTGTAATGGTGTGGCATTTATGGATTCTCATATAGCCTTGTGGCGAATGCGTAGCATCTATTATCCCATAATAATTGCAGCTGGTGGACTAGAGCGTCCAGACAGGTATTTTTCTGAAGGCCTGAGAGTGGGTACCGATTGCGTGATCGCAGCTTGAGACGGCCGATGAAAATTCTCCTCTAAAGCGCAATAGCTATAGCGTAATACGTGACAACCCAGCGGAGTCCTCGGGATATGATATAAAACTCAACACGCTCGCAGGCACGAACGTGCAGTAAAGTGACGATGGTCACTCCGGATTCACAAGTTTTGAAGGGTTGCACAGCAGCAACGAGCTACGGAACCTTGCCTACCCGCGTGTCCGTCATCACCGCCGAGATGGGGAGCCCGACGACCGAGCGAAGCATCCAGGATAGCGAGCATGGGTCTGCCGTGGCGCCGCCAAGCAGGACGGCCTCGGTCTTCCGGTCCGTGCCGTTCCAAATTCTTGTGGCATGCGGCGTCTCTTTCACTGCTCCCGGTATGTGGGACGCTCTGTAGGTTCCCCCGGATCTTCCAGAATGCATCGTTTAAGGCTCCGTAGCGGGTGACTAACGCATGCTAGCAATAACTTGGGAGCCGGTGGAGCAGCAGAACCCTACGCCGTATCAGCTGCGAATGCGCTCGTCTATGGCCTTTTCTTCCTCGTCTGCATCGCTGCAGGAGCCATTAACAACCGCATCGGCCTGAAGTACGGCCTGGCCCTCGGCAGTATCGGATATCCAATCTACGGTGCCGGTCTTTACGTCAACAGCACATCGACCGTCACTTGGTTTATGCTCTTCGGTAGTGCCCTCTGTGGTATATCTGCCGGATTCTTCTGGGCGGCTGAGGCCGCAATCATCATCGGCTACCCTAGTCCGAAAGACAGAGCTTTCTACCTTGCCATATGGCAGACAGCAAAGGCTGCCGGTCCTATCGTAGGAGGAGCTATCAACCTTGGCTTGAATGCAGACAAGTCCAGTTCTGGCTCGGTCAACCCATCGACCTACATCGCCTTCATTGTCATCATGTGCCTGGGTCTGCCTATCGCTTTACTCCTTAGTCCGGCAGAGAAGGTCTGGCGCAAGGACGGCACTCGGGTTGTGACTCAGAGGGAGGCGACATTCGGAGCAGAGTTCAAGGCCGTGTGGGACCTGCTGAGATCCCGCCGGATCGTCCTTCTCCTGCCTGCTTTCTTCATCAGCTACTTCTACAACGGCCTTCTGAGCACGTGGCTCACGAACTACTTCACCGTCCGCGCGCGAGCCTTTTCCTCGTTCTTCACCAACTTCGCCGGCATCTTCAGCTCCTTTATCATCGCCTCGCTGCTCGACCGTCAAAGCATACACATCAAGACGCGGGCGAAGATAGGCTTCTCTGCCATCGTCCTCATCCTCACGGGGACATGGATCTGGGCCATCATCCTGCAGAAGCAGTACTACGACGCGGACCCGAGCCCGGTCTTCGACTGGTTCAAGGGCGGCTTTGGCGCGTCGTACGCATTGGTCTTCTTTTGGACTTTCGCCGGTCAGGCCTTCCAGCAGTTCCTGTACTGGCTCGTGGGCCAGTACACCACCGACCTGTCGTCGGTGTCCCGGCACACCGGCATCCTGCGCGGTTTCGAGGCGCTCGGCCAGACGGTCGCGTGGGCGATGCAGAGCGAGGCCAAGGTCAACCACTTTGTCAGCATCGGTATCAACTTTGGCGTGCTGCTGCTCAGCGTTGCGCCGACGTGGATGGTGCTGTCCAAGTTGGAGAAGAGCCACGAGATCACGCACACGGCCTCGGACCTGAGCGCCGAGTCTCTGGGCGAGGAAACCGCGGATGGACCCGTGAAGCAGGGTGCAGGGAAATAGACTGTGTAGAGCGGACAGATATAGACAACAAGCATATAATAATAATAGACAGCCAGCAATGGCTTTTCACCGTACAACCCACTGGCCATGGAAAATGGCTTTCCTCACCCTAGTGAGCGCTGGTACTAGCCCTTGTTTGGCACGGAAAATGCCCCCTTGTCGCAATGATCAGCCGGACCATATCACCGAGAAGGTGATCAATGCTGGCAAAAGCTCGCCGCCCAGCATGTCGTTGCGTGGGAGCTGGTGAGGATGCCGCCCTTTCCAAGAATGCCTTGAAAGCCTCAGATGCAAGCAATCGACGGTGTTTCGAGAGCGGACTGACTGGCGCAGATCTGCTGGACTTGAGTGACGCAAGTGCAAGAGCCGGTGCTCTTCGTTGAGCAGCAGATACGTTCTGCATGCATGATGCCACCTTGAGATCTCAAGGCGAGACAGAGAACATCTGTAGCCGGGAATCATTAGCTGCACATTTTCTACAAGGCGCTCAAACGCCGTTACATGGACGACAAGGGAGTAAGAGCGGCTGGCTTGTCTTAACCTGAGCCGGATGTGTCGGCCAAGTCACCAGACGGAGGTTCGGAAGGAAACAGCAAAAGAGCACACCCAATGCTACTGAATGTTTCCACTTTTCCTAGTGGAATCCTCCCAGCAAACCGCCGATCTGGAGCGGAAGACCCACTACCCGCGGCAGTCGGAGGATGAGGAATCGCCGGGCCAGTGGGCCAAGACATAAGTCTTACCACAACCTCGGCGAGCCTGGGTATGTGGGATCGGCTACGGTAGATGTAGCACCACTCTAAAGCTATGATGTCCACAGAGTGAAGTCATTAGCCTCTGGACGCGGTAGGATTCTTACCACCGAGCGGACTGAGTTGCCAGAAGAAGTGGAGACATTGCCCAATGAGGCCCAATGCCAGCAATGTGTAGCTAAGACGTACATAAACTTCAAGCCGGCTCCCGCATCACCAGCCGTCTCTTTAACATTACACATCTCTAGTAGTGTTGAATGAGAGCGCATTTTGAAGCAGAAAAGCACCGCACAGATTTTCATAGGCCGCCATCATGTCTCTGGAACTACACCATCTTCACCTTTCGCAGAGCGAGAGGGTCGTGTGGTTGTTAGAGGTGCGTACAGAACTCCGCGTTTGCGTTGATTGCCCTTGCTTTCCGATGTGTTCACTGACCGTAACCAGGAGCTCAAAGTGCCATACACCCTGCACGTCTACGAGAGAGACCCACAGACAGCCCTCGCACCTCAAGACCTGAAGGGCGTCAACCCATTTGGCACAGCGCCCTACTTCAGAGACACCACCGTGTCGCCTCCCGTGAGCCTGTCTGAGTCCGGCGCCATCGTGGACTACATCCTCAGCGTGCATGGCGGCAACACCGCTCCCGGCAGCGGCGTGCCGCGGCTGGTCAGGACGCCCGACGATAGGGACTACGGCGACTACCTGCAGTGGCTGCACTATGCGAACGGGTCGCTGCAGCCCGGTGTCTCAAGGCTCATGACTTTCCTGCTATCCGGAATTGGGGATGACAACCCCATGTCGCAGATCTTCACCAAGAGGAACCAGACGCAGATGAAGCTCCTGGACGAGCGGCTCGCGAACAACAAGTTCCTCGCCGGCGCGCAGATAAGTGCCGCCGACATCATGAGCGTCTTTTCCCTGACCACGATGCGGGGATTCGTTCCATTTATAGACCTGGGGCCGTATCCTAACATCCTGCGATATCTCAAGGACGTGGCGGAGAGGCCGGCATACCAAGAGGCGCTGAAGAAGGGAGATCATGGGATGGCCCCGATGAATACGCCTAAGGTGAAGGGTTTCACCCAGTTCGCGGCCTTCAAGCCAGCACTTGAGAAGTACAACTGAAGGCAGAGGGCGAGGCCAATTGATGTGTTGGCTTCCTCAAGGGTGAATGGCAGAGGGCTCAGTGTCCAAAGACGTCCGCGTTGGAAGGCATGTTTGTGAGTGGAGCACAGAGTCCCACAGTGGACGACACCTCTTATCCGTGTTATGCTAGAAGCAACCTCAACTCTGTCCAATATGCGACATTGTGTTTTTTTTCTCTTTTTCAAAGAAAAGTGATAGCAATGAAATCAATAACACAGTCTACGCGACTAGTCTCCACTACTGTGAGTTCCTTTGCCATGCTGTGTTTTCCAGGTTCCCTCCACGGAGACATCGACATGATCTGCACATCAGATTTAAGGAGGCGACGGGGCGACAGAGAAGACTAATGACATGAGACGAGCTGCAACGGGTGAAAGTGGCAAGAGGACCACTCATCAAGAGAATGCAGCTGCAAGGACAGGTATGAAGGGTTTTGGTACAAAGTATGCTGAAGAAGATGGTTTCTCGAAGCGATGCAGGAGCATGAGGCGCAGCCGGCAGAAGACCAATCCCGCCAAGAGCAGTCAATGGTACGCATTCTTGGCCATCTTGCACGCGACCGCGGATGAGGTTTGATGTGATCGCTGAGTATGTCCGTAGAAAGAAAGGATTGGGTCTGTAAGAGGTGCAGCTGTCAAGACTCCATCAAGCTGCACTATTATTGCTTTTGAGCTGCTGTCAAAAAAGCAGCTGTGATGCGGCTATGGGTAGCGCTGGGGATTGACCATTACAGCAAAGCCCCAAGCCTGCCCTGCCTGCCAGGGTTTTGCAAGGTTGTTAGGGTCCCACGTAGTTGGGCCCGTCGTTTCAATGTGCCCAGCCGTGTGACGACGGATGGATTGGACAGGGGCAAGCAACCCATCAATTAGAGCAGGTCATCTCCCAGCCTCTACGCTCATCAACCACCTCTCCACTCTGTAACTTCGTGCTTGCTTCCCTGTGCGCCTGGCTGCTGTCGACATCAACCTCCCTTTTTGTCTGTCTGTCTGTCACTCAGTCAGTCAGTCAGTCATTCGCCCCTTTTGTTTCCCTTTTCCCTGATAACGCCAGCTGCCTGTCTGGCCAAGATCCGCCGCCCGTCCACGCCCCCTTCCATCGCATCCGAGCGAGAACACGCGAAGACAATCAGCACGCAACCAACGGCCTCGTATTTCGAGCTGCGACTACTCTGCGCCATCGATTGCCCAGCCATCCTCAAGGCGAGGCACTACAACAAACCCAGAACACGCTGCAGCAGGGAGCTTGGCTGCTGGACCACCCTATTCCACAATGGCTGAAAGCAGCAGTACCGATGCTGGTGAGACCCGACCAACATATGCGCTTCCTGTGGCTGCTCGGGAGCTGCTATACGCGGACGGCCAATGTGGTCAACCGGTAGACAAGACTTGGGGCTAACTCATCTTCCCTCCCACAGGCGCTCCGAACCTGAATCTCGGCCCCGACGAGAAACGAGTCTACGGCCAGCTGTTCCGACAAGCAGACACCGAGAGCGTCGGGGTGGTCACCGGAGAGATCGCCGTCAAGTTCTTCGAGAAGACCAGACTGGACTCGAGGATACTCGGGGAAATCTGGCAGCTCGCCGACCAAGAGAACCGAGGCTTTCTCACCCCAGCCGGCTTCGGTATCGCACTGCGCCTGATCGGCCATGCTCAGGCCGGTCGCGAACCCACACTACAAGTTGCTCTACAGCCAGGCCCCATCCCACGATTCGATGGCTTTACGCCCGCCCCTCCTCCGCTCGCTCCCGCGCCCACTGGCTCCCCTCAGCCCATCTCAGCCCAGGGCACCGGGAACGCCCCGATTCGAATCCCTCCCCTGACCCCAGACAAGGTCGCGCAGTATGCTGGCCTCTTCGAGCGCCAACAATTACAACCTGGCAACCTCCTCGGTGGCGAGCAGGCGAGACAGATCTTCGAGAGGTCGAATCTTCCCAACGAGACACTGGGCCGCATCTGGCAGCTCGCCGATACGGAGCAGAGGGGCGCGCTCGTGCAGACCGAGTTCGTCATCGCCATGCACCTGCTGACCAGCATGAAGTCTGGTGCGCTGAGAGCTCTTCCCAACATCCTCCCGGCGCCTCTGTACGAAGCTGCCACGCGGCGTGGCTCTACGGCCGGACGGCCGCAGAGCCCAAGTGGCCCAACAGCGCCAATCTCGGCGATTCCCCGCCAGCTTAGTGGGCAGGCCGGGCACCAAATCCCCATGCGAACAGCCTCTCCGTTGGCAGGTGGCCATGGAAGGTCTCCTCTGGCGCCCCAATCCACCGGCGATGCGTGGTTGATCACGCCAGGCGACAAGCAGCGATTCGACGTTATCTACGACAGCCTAGACAAGACCAAGAAAGGTTTCATTACAGGTGAAGAGGCGGTTCCGTTCCTGAGCCAGTCCAATCTCCCAGAAGCTGCCCTTGCGAATATCTGGGATCTCGCCGATATCAGGTCAGAGGGCCGTCTCAACCGGGATGAGTTCGCCGTGGCCATGTATCTGATCCGGCAGCAACGTATGAAACAAGGAGAATTGCCGCAAGTGCTCCCAGCAAACCTCATACCGCCTAGTATGCGCGCTCAAGCACGCCCATCTACAGCTACCAATGCTTTCGATGCGCCACCCCAACAACAAACCCCAGTCCAACAACCACCACCACCGAAGCCAGTATCCGCTCTTGATGACCTGTTTGGACTCGAATCTGCGCCTAGTTCTGCCACAGCATCTCAGGGCCCTGCACCCACATTAAATGACCCATTTGCAGGTAGCGCGAGTCCTCTCGCACCTTCATCGCCAGCCCGGGCTTCACCGACAGCGACATCTGGCTTCAAGCCTTTTGTTCCTTCTTCGTCGTTTGGCCGGTCGTTGAACCCTCAAGCCACGGGCGGGTCGGCATCCGGCTCTTTCCCGCAACCCGCTCCGCCTCAGCCTTCAGTGGCAGAAGATCTGTTGGGTGATTCGGAGCCTCAAACTCAGGCCAAAGGCAATGATATGAACGAGACGATGGAGCTTGCGAACCTGTCGAATCAGATCGGAACTCTTTCGAAATCCATGCAGGATGTGGCAGGGCAACGTAATGCCACACAGAATGAGCTCACTCAGACCTCCCAGCAGAAGAAGAACTTCGAGCAGCGCCTCGCTCAGCTTCGCACTCTCTATGAGAACCAGGCGAAGGAGGTGCGGGAGTTACAAGACAAGCTCAATGCCTCCCGCAATGAGACGAAGAAGCTTCAGGCGGAGAGCCTTGCTCTCGATGGCACCCTTCATGATCTGCAGACTCAATATCAAACAGTCGCGACAGCTTTGCAGGCTGATCAGCAGGAGAACGCCAATTTGAAAGAAAAGATAAGGGCTGTCAACGCGGAGGTGGCTTCTCTCAAACCCCAGATCGAGAAGCTCAAGTCCGAAGCCCGACAGCAAAAGGGGTTGGTCGCCATCAACAGGAAGCAGCTGACGACTAACGAGGGTGAGCGCGACAAGCTCAAGACAGAGGCTGAAGACCTCACGAAGGAGAATGCCGAGCTGGCAAGACAGCTCAGCCAAAGCCCGCCGCCGAATCCTCCGCCGCAAGTTGCTAGTCCTGCCCTCAGTAATGCCAGTGGTAGCAACCCTTTCTTCCGGAGGACTGGCAGCACAGACATGATGGGCGCTTTCGCCAGCCCCGGCGCGCCCAAGACATACAACGACAAGTCCTTTGACGATGTCTTTGGTCCTGCAATCCCAGCTTTCAAGCCTCAGACCACAGGGGCCTCGGCCGCTAGCACCGGGTCGTTCGCCACGCCCACATCAAATAGCCCCAATGTGAGCAGGAACCCGACCTTTGCGAGTGAAGCGTCCACAACAACCCCTGTCCCGCCTGAGCCGCGTCAAGTAAGCTCAAGCATCCTGTTATCGTTTGTCTCCTCGGCGTAGACCGACGACTGGACTAACAATTGATAGGTTTCAACTCCCGCTGGAGAAGTACCTCCCCCTGCCCCTCTTGAGGCCACCGCCACGGGAGGCTCGACTGCAGAGGCCAAGGCGCCGGAAGCGAAGGTCGCCGATCCTGGCTCTTTCTTTGACGGTGCGAAGGCGGATCCTCCCGCTGCGTCCGGTGGGGACCCCTTTTCGGCGATGGATGAAGCCAGGGCCAAGGATGACTTCGAGAGCGCCTTCGCCAGTTTCAAGAACTCGAAAGCACCAAGCGCCGCACCAGAGGATTCATCGGCGCCGGAACAGCCCAAGGCTCGGTCGGCTTTCGACTCGGAGTTTCCACCCATTTCCGAGCTCGAAAAAGACGACGATTCCGATTCTGAAGATGACCAAGGTGGTTTTGATGACGACTTCGCTCCAGCAAGCCCTCCTCCCAACCCGACGGCTAAGCCAGAGTCGCCGTCTCTGGCCAAGGCAGTCTCTCCAGATGCACCAGCTGCCGGATCCGAGGAAACAGCTAAGGAGACAGCGGATGACATGTTCGGTAGCGCCCCACCTCCTGGCAGCTTCCCCGAGCCCGAGCAGGCGCCAAGCACGGAAAACCCGGCTGCTGCCGGCAGTGACGCCACGACGGCAGGAATGTCGAAGCAAAGCTCTACCTTCGATGATCTCGATGATGATTTTGCCGATCTCGAGGATGCCAAGGAGGGTTCGGCCGACGACGACTTCCAAACCATTAGTAGGTCGGGGCTTGACGACTTCAACGCCACTTTCGACAGTCCTCCACCAGCAGCCAGGAGTGACGCGACAGCAGCTCCCCCGGGCAGCAGCCACGGCCCTGCAGCCCCTTTCAGCAACGAGAGCACATTCGACTTTGCCAGCATCGACAACGCCGCCTCCCAGACATCCGCCGCGGCTCCGACCGAGGGCGCCTCTAAGGGCCCTACACAGCCGGACAACCACGATTGGGACGCCATCTTCGCCTCGCTTGATGACGCACCGCCGGCAAAGACGTCAGCAAGCCCACCGCCGCCAGGCAGTGCAGGCAGCGGAGCGGCCCCGCCTGCGGCAGCCGCAGCAACTGAGCCCGGCAAGGAGGCTGGGAACAATGGACTTCTCACTGGGCCGAGGCCAAATGCGCCGGGCAGGGCTCTCACGGAGGACGGCGAGCACGACGACCCGATTCTGAAGAACCTGACCAGTATGGGCTACAGTAGGGGAGACGCGCTTAATGCGCTGGAGAAGTACGACTACAACCTGGAAAGGGTAAGTTGAGCCATTGCCTGACTCTCGTGTTCTTGAGCTTTTGAATTCCGAGATCTTTTCTTGCTGACCTCAGAATTAATATGTCGTGACTCGGCTAACGCATGCTTCCTTTAGGCCGCTAACTACCTGGCCTCTCAGTCATGATCGTGTCACATTACGAGACGGAAGAACTTAGATCTGGCTGTTCAGTGTTGTGGAGAGTTCTTGGTTCAGTGCCGACATGATGATCTCGAGCACGGCGTGATGTTAGGATTCGACGGGGGAAATAGTTGACGGGGGTTGTATAACGGAGCCTACAGCAGAGTAGCTGCAGACATCAGGGAAAAGGCTCAGCATTTTTTCTTGTACATCCACCTCTTTCTATCAATGCATATCGCATCCAGGAGAAGGTGACCTGGCCTGTCCTGGCTTCAATGTCCAGGCCTGCCCTTGTCTCGTGGATGGGGAGTGGCGGGATGAGCGCTTTCGATTTTTCCACAGCTTATCGCATGTGCCGGAGGATGGTGTTTAGTAGGGTTCGCTTGACTAGCGAGCATATACAATTAATGTGTACTATGATACAATGGAGCCTGGAGACATCTCTTCATAAAGTTGGTGATACCTCGGTGCCGATGTGGGCTATGCCGCAAGACTCGGGTTGCTACCAGGAGCACAGTCTCATCGCATCGTGCAACACCAATGGGTGTTATGCTTGAAATAGTGAAGATTTGCTCTCTGGTGAGAAGTACACGCAAGATGCTGCAGCAGCCGCTTCACCGGCTGTGCCTGACCTGCCACATACGTTTCTGTTGTTCCAGCTGCTACTTCAGCTGTGTCGTCTCGATGCCCACCGCGTGAAACGTTAAAAAGTAGTAAATACAAACGCAGTGCCCCTATTATTGCTCTTGCGTCAGCCGTCCCCACGGGAGGGACGGCACAAAGTATGATTCAGATGCGAAGCAAGAAATGCCCAGTTGTCCCCGGCAAACGAAGTATGTGTTTCCGTCGTTCTGACGTTCGGGCTCCTCACCTCCCGTTGTCCATCTTGTGTTCCTTTCCTCAGGGACTCCATACTCGCCATATGCAACAGACGCCGGGGTTTAGCTCAGGTTGCTAATAGCAATCCCATCACCGTTCACCTAGCGCAGATTCTATTGGCCAAGGGACATGGAGAGGTCGATGTTGAGCTCCTTGAGGAACAGCTCGCCGAGGGTGGAGCCGTCGCGGATGTAGACCCAGTCGCCGACGGCCGTGTCCTCCTTCTGGCTCTGGCCCTCGCCCGAGACGACGTAGTCGTAACGCTTGGGGCCGGATATGGGGCTCGACAGCCAGATCTGCTTGTTGGGCGGCTGCTTGTTGATCACGTAGGTGCCGATGTCCGGGAAGACGAAGGTCAAGACGCCAGCCTGGAGAAGAGGGGCTGGGGTTAGTAAAAGAGCTAATAGGAAGTGCTTGTGGTTGGGGCTTTGTGATAATATGGTTGGGGGGGGGGGGGCTACGAACCGAGTACTCGACCTCGATGGACTCGTTCTTGTCGGCGAGGGTCTCCAGCTCTGACACGATCACATCGAGGTACGCGTCGGCAACCTCGTGGTACTCTCCGTCGGTAAGGTCGGCCGGGATGGCCTTAACACCATCATCTTGGACATTGGGAGGGGCGGGATCGTCAGAGTCAGGCAGGATACCTCTGGTTTGAGAGGGAGTAGTTGAAAGGAATCTCGACTTTGTCATGAAGAAGGGGACCAGGAGAGCTCTGGAGGTGGGTGCAGCAACAGCACGTCGAGGCGCAAACAGAGCTGTGCGGGTAGTGGAAGTGCGCAGGCCGCGGGCGACAATGCCGGTGGTTCTTGAGAGGGATTGTTTGGTCATTTTGAACGGAGTAAGCGTGACAATTGGCTGTGAAGGAGAAAAGCTGAATGTCTGGCCGTAGGATCTGGCGATGCTGCTGGAGCTTGTGAACAAGAGACACTGGAAGTCGTCGAGTTGTTGGTTGGGGGCCGCGGGGAGGGGAGATCTCGAAGCTGTTACAAGGTGCTGATGGATGGGCGAACTGGATGGAGCTCTCTGCGCACGTCAATTAGCAAGGCGCCCCACCTTCTCCCAGTACCCAGGTAGCTTTCCCCAGCTTTTCAGGGGTCAAGTCTGTAGTCCGTGCGTCTGCCGTCTTGACCGTCTGACCGTTTATCCCTCCGTCCGTCTGAGCAGCACGTCACGTAATCGCGGGGCGTATTGGCCGTCTGCACTGCGACGCTCCCATTTCACGGCATATCATCTCGAAGCACTTTAACCAGTGGGCAACTGGCTACCCTCCGAAGTACCCAGAATACTGCGCCGAGGATCTCAGAATGATCAACGCCTTTCTGGTCTTTAATGGCCAAGGCCAACCACGCCTGACGAAGTTCTACACACAGCTCGTAAGCCGTCCATCCGCTGGCCGTCAGCCCAAAGACCCTCGTCGCAAACATTACTGATGCTTCTACAGGACACCAGCATACAGCAACGCCTCATCTCCGAGATCTTCACCCTCGTTTCCAACCGTCCAGCTGGCTCCTGCAACTTCCTGCCACTGCCTCCTCTCCTCGCCGCTTCCGGCACCTCCCACTCGTCCGGCGACCAACAGCACAACGACGTCCCTTCCCTGGTGACATACCGACACTACGCAACACTCTTCTTCATCGTCATCTCCACGTCCACCGAATCCCCGCTCGCCCTGATCGACCTGATCCAGGTTTACGTCGAGGCACTGGACAAGCTGTTCGAGAATGTGTGCGAGCTAGACCTGATATTCAACTTCGAGAGCCTGCACGCGACGCTGTCCGAGATGATTGTCGGGGGCGTGGTAATAGAGACGAATTTAGAAAGGATTGTGGCGGGCGTCAAGGCCCAGGGCACAGTGGCGAAGAGACCGGTCAACGAATCTAGGAGTACGGGGCTGGGCGCTGGCCTTGGGATGGGCGGGAACTTTGTCTGGGCTGGGAGATGAGGCGAGCTCAAGCACGACGTTAATGTCTTATGATGGGCCTGCGGCAAATGCAGACAGGGCTAGACCATCAAAACGCGCATGGGCAGTGGGCAGCTCAGAGCAGCGGTTGACTTGCTCACGTACAACGGCTGGCGCGGTACAGACGCAGTGGCTAATTACCTCCGATCGAGAAGAGCAGGGCAGTATAAAAGGATGGCAGCTTGGCACTGGCATCCGGGTGTGAGGAGAGAACTTCCATTGCCCTAATGCTCGGGTCTATAACCAATTGCTATGCCCTGGGTATCCCCAACCAAACGCCTAGAAATGCAGCAAAACCAATGGCTAGGCCACTGAGAACAACCTCAACGAGCCCGTGGTGAGCTCTCAGGGGAAATCTTCTGTTTAGGCCCTCCAGACTTGGGCTCATACTCAAATCCAAGAAAATTCCAGAAACTTTTGCGAATCTGTGTCTCCCTGTTAGTCGTCGCCTATGCACAGCCAGGGTATGCTGAGACGTACATCATCAAATGGTTGCCGTTCCTGCTTCCAGTCCATAAACAGAGCTGCGTAGACAATGACCGCTTGTTTATTATCAGCAATTGCTCTTCTCTGCAGGTCACACTCCTGGTCGTCCATATTTCATCTTGACGTACAAGTGACAGTGAAGAGTTGCACCAGCTTGATGAACTTTACCCATCGCGGCCGTTCCGCTGCGATGGCCAACCTCCGCTTGAACTTCTTCTCGAACTTGAGCTGCTCCTGCGGCGACAATCTCTTGAAGTCTGGCGGCCAGACCTTCTTCGGAGGGTAGAGCTCCCTCATCTTCCGGACATACTCTGCGCTGGAGGATGGCTTCGTGCCTTGTGCGGCCCTTCTGACCAGTGTTGAGAACATTTTCGGTACGAGATCAAGGCAGCTGTTGTCTCAATATCGAAGATGAGCTGATTGATACGGTCCGGGCAGGTTGATGTGAGGTAAGGCTGTCCTGCGGCTGTCCAGCTCTTTAAGGAAGCCGTCAAAAAGCCTTCCACAATTCGCCGCACCCACTGACCTGCAGTACAGCCCCCTGCAAGCTTGGCTCGCTCGGGAGCCGCCTCGAGACCCCTGTCGTGCATCTGTCGGCCTGGCTCATGGCCTGGGGGCCCACCAACCCCGCGATCCGTTCCTGGTGCGAAATTTTGGCCCCTCCAAAGCCAGCAGACGGAGCATTTGCACACCTGCCCATCGTGACTCAACTTTGGACCTGGAGCACCTATCAGCCTCGCATCTCAGCCCGCTAAAAGACCGCCACAGACGAAGGGTGGTGAGTCAATTCTGGGGACAAATCGTATATACATATTTTCCTGACCTTCTCCTTCCCTTACAGATACCGTATTACTAGTGCTGCAAGCGACAGCAACCACCCATCATGGCGGCACCCAACATCGTCGTGCCCGTCTCAAAGACGAAGGAGCTCAAGGGTGTAGGTCTTTCGGCCGCCGATCTGCTTTCCTTCATACTCACCCTGCCTCTGTAGACCGAGAAGCGAGACGCCCTGGTTGCCTGGGAGAAGCAGATTCAAGCGAAATGGGAGGCCGACGGAGTCTTCCGGCCAGATGCTCCAACGACCGACGAGATCCCTCTGCACTCGATAAGCCCCAAGGAACTCCGAGAGAAATATCCTAAATTCTTCGGCACCATTGCGTATCCTTATATGTACGCTCCATCCCCTTTAAACGTCCATCTACACCGAACATTCGAGGAGTACAACACAAGCAGGCTGTAGGGGTTGTGGTGCTGACATGGCTACTGGGTAGGAACGGCGTCCTGCATGTCGGTCACGCATTTTCAGACAGCAAGATCGAATTCATGGCTGGATGGGAGAGGATGCAGGGAAAGAGAGTCCTGTGGCCCCAAGGCTACCACTGCACCGGTCTCCCCATCAAGGCCTCTGCGGATAAGATCGCAAACGAGGTCAAGCTGTTTGGCCAGGAGTTCGAAAATTACAACGAGGACGTGGAGATCCCAATAGAAAAGCCGGATGGCAAGGAGAAAACCGTGCAGGCCAAGAACGAGGATGTCACCAAATTCAAGGCCACCAAGGGCAAGGCGAACGCCAAGACGGTCAAGGCCAAGTACCAGTTCCAGATCATGGAGTCGGTCGGCATTCCCAGGAATGAGATTCACAGGTTTGCCGACGCGAATTACTGGCTCGAGTTCTTCCCGCCTCTGTGCAAGCGAGATCTTTCGGCTCTGGGCTGCAGAATCGACTGGAGGAGACAATTTGTCACCACTGATGCGAACCCTTACTACGATGGTGAGAATACGCTGGTGTATATTCCCTTTTGAGATGTCTTCCTGCTAACTTACCGTCCCAAGCATTCGTAAGGTGGCAAATGATTCGCCTCAAGGAGCTAGGCAAGATCAAGTTCGGAAAGCGGTATACGATTTACTCTGTCAAGGATGGTCAGCCTTGTATGGACCACGACCGGAGCGAAGGAGAGGGTGTTGGCCCCCAGGAATACACTGCTCTGAAGTTAAAAGTGCTGGAATGGGCCCCCAAGGCGGCTGAGGCCATCAAGGGAAAGCTCCCTGAGGGTTCTAATGTCTTCTTCGTTCCCGCGACCCTGCGGCCAGAGACGATGTACGGCCAAACGTCATGTTACGTCGGACCCAAGCTTGCCTATGGCGTTTACCAGGCTTCCGACAACGACTACTACGTCATGACGGACCGCGCCGCTCGCAATATGTCCTTCCAAGGACTGCTGAAGGAGGATGGCGTCGCACCCACATCCAAGGCTGAACTGAAGGGATCTGACTGCATCGGAACCTTGGTGCATGCACCTCTGTCTCTGCACAAGGACGGCGTCCGTATACTGCCTATGGATACAGTCCTTGAGACTAAAGGAACCGGTGTGGTTACCAGCGTTCCCTCGGACTCTCCTGATGACTACGCGACCGTCCGGGAGCTGGCCAAGAAGGCCGATTTCTATGGGATTCAAAAGGAGTGGGCCGAGCTGGAAATCTTCCCCATCATTTCCACGCCTAGCTATGGAGATATCTGCGCCAAGACCCTCGTTGAGAAGCTGAAGATTGCGTCGCCGAAGGACACCAAGCCCCTGGCCGATGCGAAGGAGCTGGCTTACAAGGAGGGATACTACCAGGGAACTCTCCTAGTAGGCAAGTACAAGGGCGAGAAGGTCGAAACTGCGAAGCCGAAGGTTCGAAACGACCTGATTGAAGCCGGCGAGGCCTTCGCCTACGCCGAGCCCGAGGGCGTTGTTGTCAGCAGGTCTGGTGACAAGGTGAGCAGCCGTTTTGTGTTGACATATTCACACATGATAGTCCCCAAAGCTAACATCGCGTTTCTCTAGTGTATTGTGGCACTGATGGACCAGTGGTACATCAACTACGGTGAGGAGCAGTGGAGGGACCAGGCCATTGACTGGGTTCAAAACAACCTGAATACCTACTCTGCTGAGACAAGGAATGCTTTCGTTGGCGTCCTGAACTGGCTGAACCAATGGGCCTGCGCAAGAACGTATGGTCTGGGTTCGAAGCTGCCTTTCGATCCGACGTTCCTGGTCGAGTCTCTGAGTGACTCTACGATCTACATGAGCTACTACACCATTGTTCCATGGCTACACGCTGACCTTTTCGGACGGTCGCAAGGCAAGGGCAAGATCGCCCCCGAGCAAATGATTGACGAGGTCTGGGACTACATCTTCTGCAGGAGAGAGCTGAGCGACGATGTCCTGGAGAAGTCCAAGATTCCCAAGGCGACCCTGGAAGGCATGCGCCGTGACTTCGAGTACTGGTACCCTCTGGATGTCCGTGTCAGTGGAAAGGACCTCATTCCCAACCATCTTACCTGTAAGTGAACTTGGTACTCTTCTATTCGTCTTGCGATGGCTCAGGCGAAGGAGATGTTTTGTCTTATGGAACTTTCCAGCGAGCAAGACATAATTGAGCCCTCTGAGTTTGTTGCAGATTTGCTGACCATGTATTTCAAGTCTTCCTCTACAACCATATTGCTCTGTTCCCCGAGGAGTACTGGCCCCGTGGAGTTCGTGCCAATGGACATTTGATGCTGAACGGCGCTAAGATGTCCAAATCGACCGGAAACTTCATGACCCTGGACGACACTGTCAAGAAGTACGGAGCCGACGCCGCTCGTATTGCTCTGGCGGATGCTGGCGATGCCAACACCGATGCCAACTTCGAAGAAGACGTCGCGGATAACGGAGTCCTGCGACTGTTCAACAACAGGGAATGGATCGAGGAGGTGTCCAAAGACCCAGAATTGAGGACTGGGCCCCTGAACTCCTACCAGGACGTCCTGTTCGACAACGAGCTGAACGCCCTGGTTGCCGAGGCCAAGAAGGAGTACACTGCGACAAACTACAAACTGGCTCTGAAAGCCGCATGGTTCGACTTCACTTCCGCAAGAGACTTCTATCGTGAGGCCTGTATCGGCGCGGGTATTAAGATGCACAAGGAACTGATCTTCCGGTACTTTGAGCTGCAAGCCCTGGTCCTAGCCGTTGTTGCGCCACATTTCTGCGAGTGGATCTGGCTGGAAATATTGAAGAAGCCTCAGTCCATCCAACTGGCTCAGTTCCCCGAGGTGCCTGCCGTCAACCCTGGTCTGTCAGCTGCTCGAGACTATGTCCGCCACACATCCAGCAGCATCAACAGCGCCGAGTCAGCCCAGCTGAAGAAGAAGGCTAAGGGCAAGGAGACTGTCTACGACCCCAAGAAGCCCAAGCAGCTGACGTAAGTTAATCCGATCTCACTCTCTTTGACTATTATGTCTTCAGCGTCGATAGTAGCATTTGACTGACCGGTTCCACAGTATCTTCACAACCGATAAGTTCCCTGCCTGGCAAGAAAAGTACATCGAACTGCTTCGCGAGAACTGGGATACCGCCACCAAATCTATCACCAACGAGAAGGAGCTCAACGGCAAGATCGGTAAGATGGGCGAGATGAAGAAGGCGATGCCCTTCGTCATGCAGCTCAAGAAGCGCCTGCAGTCTGGCGAGGAACCCTCAGTTGTGCTGGAGCGCAAGCTTGCCTTTGACGAGCAGCAGACGCTGCTGGACATGGTGCCGGGCCTGAAGAGGTCGACCGGTTTCCAGAGGATAGTGGTCATCAAGATCCAAGAGGGCACCAAGAAGGGCAACGACCTGACGGATGGTGGAAAGGAGGTTGATATCAGCAGCCCCATCGGTGACAATGCTGTGCCTGGGGTGCCAAGCTTCTTGCTTGAGAATTTTGAGGCGTAGAGTCGGTTAGAGAGAAGAGTGGTGTGACTAGATACTAGACAGGAGTGACCAGCAGAAGATGATAAAATCAAAATATTGGTTGTTAGGAAGTAAACACGATGCTCAATGATCAAACGGCACACTGGAAGTCCTCGGCATGGGATGAAATGGGAATTTCTTGGTTCCATCAACACTGATGGCATACCTGAGCACCGTACAGAAGCCCAAGATCCCACACCAGGAGAGTTCTCTCCTGCTTACTTTTTTCTTTCTTGGCTTGAGACAACGCCCACTACGAATCCAAACGGGTCCAGTCGTAAGCATTCGAGGTCTTCAAGGAGCCCTTACCCAAGATTGCACGTGCAAAGTGCCAGGCGCTGAAATGAGAAGGTCAATAGCCCAAGGGCTCGAATGGGGCGACAACGAATCCAGTAGGTTTTGGTTGAGCTTGAGCACCGAAAATGCAAGCTGAAAGTCGTACTGATATGGGTTTGTAAAAATCCCAATGTGACAATGAGACTCTTTATCTCCAAGACTTTAAGACAACCCACGATGGTGCTGTTTCGAGGTCTGCGACGGGCTCTAATCAAATCCTACGAGCACATATCTGACTCGACACCGTTGCTTGGGGCTGAAGGATGCACCAGCCAGCCAACATACAATGCCGCCGCAGACTAGAGGTTGGATTGAACAGGGCCCAGCCCCCTAGCACCAACACACATACAATTCCATTTATGGCTTTTGGCCAGCCTATAGGAACGTACGGATTTGGCTTCGCTGCATAAGCGCAGTGCTACCTATCCACCTTAAGAAGTATCCACTACAAAAAGAAAAGAATAAGAGTGCCCACTAACTCACAACTTGGTTGACGGCTTGGGTACGTCCTTGATTCATGATTTGCCTTGGTCGAGGTTAGGACTGGAGCCAGATACCGCCCAAGTGACAGAATGTTAGAACCAACGTCGTTCAGGAACTCTGCCATCGGCTTATTTGGCATCCTCCTCGCAATCATCTGGCTCCGACGAAAGCTGATGCCAAAACCATATCCAGGCATTCCTTACAATGAGGAATCCGTTGGACGCATCACGGGAGATATCCCAAATTTGATCCCAATCATCGAAGCCACTAACGAGTTCTCCAACACGCTGTTCACGGTTACAACCCAGAAGCTAGGCGTGCCTATCGCCCAGCTGCTGTTCCCTGGGATTCGCAAACCCATGGTGATCATTGAAGATCCTAGGGAGATCGAGGATATCATGGTTCGGCGGAACAAGGAATTCGACAAGGCGCCAATGGCAATAGACATGTTCGCACCCATGTTTCCACACGCAACTCTTTCCCAATACACAACGCCGGAGCTGCGGGCGCAGAAACGACTCTGGCAGGATGTCATGAACGCCGAATTCCTCCGCAGAGCAGCAGCCCCCAATATACACAAGGCAGCTCTGGAGCTTGTGGATCTGTGGCGACTTAAGGCAGCATCAGTCTACAACGACCAAGCGTTTAAGGTTCACGATGACCTCAAAGACGCTGCCTTGGACGCCATGTGGGTAGCTGTTGTGGGCGAAGAACCAGGCTTGACGAGATACAACGCCAAGAAGCTGGAGGAACAGCTCGCTGGAGACCAAAAATTAGACGATGAGCCCGCCCCGCGAGGTGCATTCCTTAAGGAAGAGGTCCGCTACATCGGAGCAACTATCTCTAAGAATTCCAATCATCCTCTACCGAAGTGGGCTCAAAAGTTCGAGACATACACACCACGCTATCGGAAATTCAGACGGACTGTCCTTTCGGGAGTTGAACGTGTCATGAAGAAAGCTGTTGAGCGGTTCCAGCTGCTGGAGACAGGACAGCTTGAGTCCGATGCTTTGGACCAGTGTATGATGGATCTGGTTCTTCGCAGGCAGATTCTTGAGGCCAGAAAAGCCGGCAAGCCCCCGTCAGACCCCACCAAGGATATTCACATGTTAGATGAGTTATTTGTCATGCTGGTCGCTGGTCATGATAGCACCGCCAATGCTATCACATGGTTTCTGAGATTCATGGAATCCAATCCAAGCGTTCAAAGCGAGCTTCGGGCTGCGCTGCGTGCTGCTTTCCCTGGACCGGACCCTCCAACCGTCAACGAGATAATCCAGACTGAGATTCCTTATCTTGACGGAGCTTGCGAAGAAGGTCTCCGTCTCGCCGGTACTGCGAAAGCCATGCTTCGTCAGGCAGTAGTTGACACCCAGGTGCTTGGATGCCCGATCCCGAAGGGCACGGAGGTATTCCTCAACCTACACATCAACCGTCAGCCTGCTCCTATCGACGAGGCCAAGCGCAGTCACACCAGCCAAGAGGCCGCGAGCAAGCGCGGAGATGGTTTTCAGGGACCGGCAGGCCGTGACCTTGGTCGCTTTGAGCCAAAGAGATGGCTAGTGAAGGGCGAATCTGGCAAGGAAGTTTTCAATCCATATGCGCTGCCCAGTCTTGCCTTTGGTGGCGGATACAGGGGTTGCTTTGGTGAGTCCTTCAGAATGATTCTCGTGTTCAATTTGATTATTTACTGAACTTGCATCAGGCCGCCGTCTGGCTACAATGGAATATCGCTTTTTGGTGGTTCTCTTGACCCTGAACTTCGAACTTCTGCCACTGCCTGAGGACCTGCGCGGCTGGACCGCGCAAGAGAAGATCTTCAGGCATCCCGACTATCCTTATGCAAGATTGAAGATTCTATGAAGGCAAAATAAAGATCAAATAAGGCTCAGAAGCGCAATTTACGGAGTGTCGAAAGGGCGCTAGGACTTATAGCTCACTGTGTTTAGAACAGATATTGTACAACAAAATTATGAGTTTCTGTACATATCCTGTTCATCAAGTCACTTTTGGATTACGAATACTAGCACTCTCTCCTCTGGGATAAACTCCTACAGAAGAAAATCCATGTTTTGCCATTCAATGTCCTTTTGAGACCCATATGTATGCCTAGTGCGATACTCCCTTTGCTGCCTCTTCCAACTTTCACCGACACATGCGTAGGAAGACAAGAAGACTACGTTCGTCTGTGACAAGTGCGGGAAAGACCTTTCCGGGGCAGACTGTGAAAGAACACATGTGCTGTGAAAAGAAGTCGAGGGCTAGGGTCAGGGCTGTCAAATTGAAAAGTAATCTGTTGTGAACAGGATAGAGTAGGCGGACGCTGAATCTAGCAATTGGCACGATCCCATTACCAATGCAAAGTGATGACACTACTATCACTGTCATATTCGGAGGTAGCGAAATCGTAGCAGAGCATTGCTGTGTAGAACGCGCAGGTGACACTAGAACCTGCACAGGCCTGCGATTGCCGCAGCATTGGCGGCATTCGCTGCTGTTGGCATGAGGAACAGCGCACTAGAGGCTAAGCTGCTTATTTTCGAAGAATATACAAGGGTATAAAGGTCGGCAAGTACAAGAAAAATGCATCAAAACACTGCCTGCGTGCTGTACCACGCCGCATTCATCGTGCTCATCACAGCCGAGAAGGCAGCTTCCGCCACCACAGGTTTGCAGTCCCGGTTGGCCGTGGCGAGGTGATCCTCAGCAAGGTCTCTCCATCGGCATCCTCGAACACGGTGTAGTTCCTGAGCTGGCTGGTTCCGACCCAGGCTGGGATGGTGGCCACGTCTAGGGGCCCGTGGATCACCTGGCCCGAGACGTTGCTGGCGGGAATGGCGTCGCTGACGGATAGAGGGCCTGCGTAGCACAGCAGGCTGGGCGTGAGGAGCGTGGAGTCAGCACAAGCCTGAAGGGTCTGGGATAGAGGGTGACAGATAGGAAAGATGGAGAAAAATTTCAGGTTTGGCCTGTCTACATACTGCTTGCCGACGGCTGCCCATTCTGCGTCCGTCTGGTTCGGCTGCGCCGGAAAGGTGAGGTCCAGGGGCCGCCACTCCGGCTCTGTGGCCGTTATTGTGGCTGACATCCAGCCCTCAGGTGTGTAGGTTAGGTGTCCTACTGGCGCGGCGCCGTACGCCTCGTCCAACAGGGCCGTACCATTTTGGGTGATGCTAGTGATGGTGGCTGATTAGAGTCTTGTGAATGAAGGTCTACGCTGGACTCGTTCAAGATTGTTCGTATCTTTCTACTCACACCGTGACATTCAAAAGAGCGTAGGTACCCGCGAGGGCGGAGATGATGTCTGATTTCATCTTCCTTCGAGAAGCGTTTGGAGGCTATGGTGAAATGAGTGGATGTCCCTAATAACTTGGGATATACAATATACTGTAATAGGATACAGAATAGTTGATCTCACAGAAGGTTTGCTGGCCAGCAAGCAGTTATTATTATAGTCTACAATCTTGCAAAGTACTCGATAAACGAAGGTATAACATGATTGATAAGCACCACACGCAGGGACGGTAGCATGGGCATGGCAGCATGAGCAATCTCACGATGGTAATATAAGTTGCGGGGCTAGGGGCAGCAGTCCCAGATAGGCTGGGATGGTTCGTGAATAGCTGCGGTATCCGTCCTTGCGGCAGGGCCGGTCGACCAGAATCAGGGGCCCTTAAAACCCAATTATATTGGAAGCTACAGGCCCTTTCCCTGTATGTTCATCCCATTGCCAAGCCAATCCCAACTTACCTCCGAATGCTTATTTCTGTTTTGCCTAGTCGGGAGCCACATTTATGGATCTTGAGAATGTTTTGACATGTCTCTTTCAACGATCACAACCTTCATGTTACCTCCAATCGACATGGGGCCGAAGATCGTTTCCTCTAAGAGTTCGAAAATCAAGGTCTGACGTTCTGTGGAGTTGCATGGAAACTTTTCAGGCTGAGGGGAATTCAAATGGAGCACCTATCTCCACCGTCGCCTTGTGAACTCCTCCAGCCGATGCCGGCGGTTACTTCGACCTCGATGTGTGCTTGTCCGATGTGGTCTGCCGCTGCAGCTCTCGTGCACCTCTTTGAGGTACAATATCCAGACACGTTACTGTTGAGGTAATATAGTCGAGCACCAAACAAAGGAAGCCCTAGACTGTTTCAATACAGCGCGTGGAAGATGTCCAGCCAGGAATGTAATCACCGACCTTATGACGGCCTACTCCCTTCCCAAAACGAAGTAAAGTAAATGGTTTCAAGTCTATCACAGGGGGTAGGTTTTCTCGAGCTGCTGACTCGCCGCGGAAGGGGTACCTCAGGGGGTAACGTCGGCATTAAGTGTTCTTGCACCGCTGTCCGGAAGACCAGGGCGCTTGTGGATACGCAGGGAATATCGACTTACACGTGATATCTACGAGACAGAAGTTATACGCTTCTTATCAGCAAGGGCACCGTGAAAAATAGTATTGTCAATTCAGACGATGCATGGGGTTCTGGAAGAGCAGTCCAATTCAAGTAAAGCTAAGAACAGTTGTCGTTATTCTCGGACGTCCAAGAGGCCGAGAGTCTTGGCCTGCCGTACTTGGCCTACTGGGCCGATTCACTCTGAATAAACTTTGTATACGAGAAGAGGTCATAATGGCTCAACTAAATTAGGCTACCATGCATTGGGGTAAAGCTCACGATCTCATGCACTCGGTCCTTTGGATGCTTTCTTGATTATCCGCGAGCTTAAGCTCGGGTGCCCGGCTTGACGCGGAAACAGCGGCAAGGGAACGCAAGGCCGCGTTAATTGTAGCGTAAGCATCTGTTTTCCCCTGATGAGAATTATTGGCTGACCTTAGTGGAGCGTATCGCAACTGTATTGCAGATGAGGAACATGAGTTGACGATATACTCAAGACAAAAGGTCTTTTTGATACTCTAAAATATCGAGTCCCAAACTTGCAGCTATCAATAGGTACTGATTGGCTCCACCTTTAGAAGAGACTGCACAGCCGAGCACATGATAATCGATGTCCCTAGACCTTCCAAAGCTGGAAGCCCGTCGTGGACGGAGTAACATGAACGGCAGTGCCTACGCCGATCATCCAATGCATTCAGTATGAGGCCTCTTCTTGACTTCTAAGTGTGATATTTTAGAATGTAATACCGCCGCTTATCAGTGTCGTTCACACGATGGATCGAGGCTGAGCTCTCCCACGTCTCTCGTGACAAACGAAGTCAGAATTAATCAAATGGATTCAAATCCAAGGGCATATGATCGTGAATGAGCTTATCTGATACTTAGTGTCAGCCACAATTAAGGATGCCCCAATCGAATTAAGCACAAGAGATTGCTCATCTGTATACTTTTTTTTTCGTTGCTTGCACGGCCTGTTCTAAGAATGCTATATTATATTATCTCGATTGTCTTTCTTTGAGCTCGAGGTCTTTGCAGCCACGATTGTTCTCTCTCGTCAGAGGGCATGGGTACCGGTCCATAAATGCCAACTCTAGAGAACCTGTTTGTGCAGCCGGCTACAGAACGTAGTATCAGCCCGTGTGAGTCGAAGAAGTTGTTTGGGGTAGTTGTCAATTCCAGACAATACAAGCCTTCGAGGGCGTCAGTAGGCATCGGGATATCCGGTAGTGCCTGGAACGGGACCGTCTCCTCGCCTTGTTCAGACTCTGCTCTTAGCCAAATTACACAGCGCGAGTAGCCAAGCTGTGATGCAGTTCCCGGACAGATTACGAAGATTTCCCCTTCAAGATACAGCGATCCGCTATCAACTTGGCCGAATGGCACCAGGGTATTGCTCAAGACAATTTCGTAGCTGATCAGGCTCACTGTGACTTGCTCATTCAAATTCGGTGGCGTGAAACGTATGTATGCTTTCACTGACGCCCAGGTCCATGTGGGAAATTGAGCAAGTTGACTGCGTGAGGATCGAGGCGACTGGACAGTCCACAGGAGATCTAACGCCAGGGAATCCGCCCAAAGACCTGCCAAATACCGATCTTCTGGTCTCGTGTTGGCGTATAGTGTGGCAACGGCTGAGATGGCTGGCAATTGATCTTCTTGATTCGTGAGGGCCCGCATAGAATAACCGTAGACCAAATCTCTCCAGGTTCCAGGTGAGATGCTTACTTCTGGCCGGCCTTGGCCCTGGCCGATTAAAAGCTCGGCTAGGCGATTGCTGACCAGATCACTATTTTCTTGATCGTTGTCGAGCTCGCGGCCAGTGCGACAGATCCATCGTAGGCCGAAGGTCCCATAAACCAGGAGCCGTCTCGAAATAAAGTGCTCTTGCAAGGTCCAAGCTCGTGAGTGTATCGGCTCGGGCTTATTTACCGTGAGTGACATGATGGCTGAGCCCAAATCACCGTACGGCCCACGATACCCCACGCGGACCAGTACAGCTGGTGTACACACATTCAGGAAGCCGTGCTGGCTGGATGTGGCACTAGCAGCGGATATTGTCATGACGCTATGCCGATAGATATCGAACATTCGATTGATTTCAATAGCCTTGTCGTTGTCGTCATCCTGGACAATACAGAGGCTGTCAACCCAAAGAAAGCGTATTCCAAGCTGACGAGTAGCCAGGACGGCGTTTCTAATGGTCGCTGGTTGGTCATCCAAGTCGAAACACTCTGTTCGAGCTATTAGATTTTCGCGTAGCGTCTTGCCCATCTGGTCGCCGCCCCAGCAGTAACTCAAGGCCACATACTCGAAGTGTTTATCGGACACTTCGGTGTCTAAGCGGATGATGTTGGAGTCGCTCTGTCCTACGTCAATGAGACGTAACGGCCTGAACGTAGCCCGTTCACGTTCACAGACCGCATGGTTTACAACGCAAGTCTTAAGCCACGTCTTAGCAACCTCAAAGACCTTCTGACTTCTCATATCTCTTGTGGGCTCCCTTGCGGATATCCAGCTGGCACTCGGGTCGCCTGTTGCTGTTAGTCATAGTAACACGGCTGTACTGTAATAACTTGACTTTTTTTTGTCAGCTTATGACTTGCTGAGACTTACCTGGCTCAGCAAATATGCGCCAGCGGCGACTGATCCAATACTGCATTTCCGAGATATCTTCATACCGGTACGGGTGCGTTTGCCCTTGCCTCTGGCCCCAACCACGTCTAGTGAATTTCAGGTCTAACCAATCCAAAGTTTCGCCGTCTTCTCTAGATCGGTGCTGTTCCAGCAAGAACTGCATCAGGGGACAGCCATGCCTGGTGCCCTCTTCCACATCAGATCTGGCAAGGCGGAGATTGTATGAGCCTGAGCTTCTCAATTTGCTTTCGTTTTGGCGAACGTCAATAACGATTTTGGCACAATGCTCACATGCGTGAGGAATGACAACATGAGATGGCCCCATCTCCGTAAATTGAAAGCTGGCAGACGTGTATTCTAGCATTGAAGATAGTGTTTGTTGACTGCAAAATCGTGATACGGACGTTAGGCAACTAGAGGTTGCGTAGACAGCCGCACACTTTAGGACAATCTGATTGACTGATTTTTTTTTGGGGGGGGGGGGGGGCATCAACTGGGTGCCCTAAGCGAGTTGGGAATAGCGAACTACTTCCCCGCACGGAACCACTGTATCGGAGCCACAGAGATGAGAGAACAGTTGGCTTGGCTTGCCTGGAACTCAGTTGGAGATAACTGGTCAAATACTGCTTTTTGATCAGTAAATTGCTCCTCATTTCTAACCTCATGGATTGGTCCAACTCCTAACTTCTCTTCTCCTCTAATGAAGTGATTCAAGCCCTCTTGTTGGCAGTGACAACCATGAACGTTCCATTATAAGGATCATAAAAGGAGATGGAAGGCAAGAAGCATGTCACGACAGCGTGTACGCGCTGTAGGCACCGTAATGTTAAGGTCCGTCCTGGATCTGGCCGGCTTCAGTTGAATCTCGCCGCTACGATTTCCTCTTTTCTGACTTTGCCGCTTCCTCGCTCGTAATTTCCGGCCCGTGTCGGTCTCCCAGAGCCTCACTCTGCCATTGGTGCCGGCCGTGTAAGTCACCCTGCCGTCTTCTAGGAAACCAGCCGGCTCAATGGTCTCAAAGCTCGGTATCACCTTCCGGGGTGTCCACGACTTTGCGTCCCACCAGATGCTGGTCTTGTCGCGACTGGCCGTGACCAGCGCGGATTCTAGAGCTGAACCTGGAAACAGGAGTATTGAATGAGAAATCGATTTTCTTTCACTTCAGCATATCTATTTTCGTCCTTTTTGTTGCATTAAACTCCAAATAAAAAAGAATCATAAATATATATATATTTAAAGCTTGTTGTTCTCTTATAATTTGGCCAATTGATACAAGAAATGCTTGTTAAAAAGATGTACATTCTGCAATTTGATGTGGAATTGTGCTCACTACTAGCATCGCCCTACAGTAATGTGGGCGCCTCACTGTGTCAGTGGACTGAAGTTCCGTGTGTGTGTGTGTGTGTGTGCGTGTGTGTGTATGAGACTGAGATGTCTGGTGTCGATTCGAGTCTCTCCTAGGTTCCGAGTTCGGAGAGCCTGGAGGCATACAATGTATTGAATTGATATGAATGACTGCACGTCTTGTCTGCTTAAATCAAACTGTCCAGTTCCATTCCTCAACATTGACAGTCCTTCGAACAAGACTGCAAGCATGTAATGAGTACAAGCCGATGTTCACACATCCATGTCATCGGCGAAGATACGCAAGTAATGTAGCGAGAACGGCACCTGCTGCCTAATAAGTCGATGTCGCTTTCTCTGGTGACGGGGTGACAACGTAGCTGAGGCCGAGAAAGACAAAACTTACCTGTTAAACCCGCAAAAATGTACCTGAAGTATTCATTGTTGAGTAAATTATTGACCAACCGAGAGATAGCCTGCAGATAATATCGGAACCCAGTATCTTGCGACGGCTGGTGCTGAAAGCGATTTCTAGAGTTGCTTAAGCGAATCTCATCTTCCGGGACTGTTTCCTTGTCATCACAGTCCTCTTGCCCCGCAACCGAAGCTGCTGCATTACCTGTGTCGATTTGGGTATCCGCTTGGATACTTGAAATTTGCTCCGACTGCTCGTCTAGTATCTGCAAGATGGTGTCCTTGTGATCGGTGTCCCTGTGATCAGACAGACAGATTTCAATGAATTCTCTCAGTGAAAAGTCCCGTCTGAAAGGTGCGCCGTCCGCTGATTGGGGACCGATTTCAATGTCCTGCCATAGTTCGGGAGAGTGAAATGAGTCGCTCTCATGGCTTGGGGCTGTAAGTTTCACCAAGCCTTGCCTACCGAAATTGAATAGAAAGTCTCTCGACACACTCCTTTCTTCATTCTCACAAACGGTGAACAAAAATTCAGTGTCTGCTTTATGTCGAAGACACAAACCACAAAGCTCGCTGCGATACTGTTCGAGCCTCCTGCGGTGCTCCTTTACGTCCCCAATCTTCCTCTCTCCTGAAGTCTTGGGGATTCCCCGATAATAATGTTCGCCCAGCATGTACATCAGAAAGTGTTGCCAAAATGTTAGGCCTGCTAGATTTCCCGAGAGGTGGGACCAGTCTTCAATTGAAAAGAATGGACAATAACTTGTAACGGTGTTTGGAGAAAGCCAGCCTCGTTCGAAAAGAGCTTCGAGGACACGCAGAGCGTGGTGGGCATTTCGATGACCCCATGTCATACCGTTGCGCATGCAACAGCATGCAATCATCGAAATTGTTTCCGGCTGCTCGAAAAGCTTATGCCGGTTAGCTATGCACCACAGGGGATAGTCGCAGAGGCCGAGCCAGGTCAGCCTGGGTAACGGGTCCGTAAGAAAGTAATCTTTTCGCAAGCCCTGTTCCTTGTTGGACACAGTCTCGTTAGTCGTTGAAGCTGTGTCTGTAGCGTCCCCGACATACTTGAGGACGGAACCATAACGGAATTGCCCGTCTTCCCCCGGCCAAGGAATCAGAAGAACGGTGTTGATAGATGTTAGTTCACTTGAGCCTCCTGTTGCCAGCATTTCTTGAAGACGCTCGAGATAGGTGAATGGCTCCCGATACAACTCGTAGCGTTCTAACATTTCCAAAAGCACTGTAGTCGTGATTCCTGATCGAGAGGTGTTGTATGCTGACGATGCCTTTTCATAGAAGATGTCGCTGACTATTATATTGAGGATTGCGTCAATGTGGTCGAAGCGCATCAAGTTCTGCTCCATGTCATGTTGGATTCTGTCTGTATGCAAGAATTCGGACACGCTTCGATGCACGAAATCCAGCTCCAGGGACCAATTTTCCCACGCTGCATTGCAATTGTTCTCATTTGACGGCGCCCATATTCGCATTTTATATGGCTCGACGAGACCTTTACACCAGCCAGCCAGCTTCTTGCTAGAAGATTGCGCCCTGTCTTTGCCGCGATTTCCGGTGAGGCTGTCGAAAGGGAAGACGTTATTGTTGTCCATGAAGAAATCTTTTCCGCTCTCATACTCTTCCAAAAAGGAATAGGCGAGGAGTGACATTCTGTAATCGCCATGTCTCTTAAGCTCCATGATCATGCAAAACGTCTGGTATGCCTTTCTTCTTGCTGACCTGCCCAGGGACTTGATTATGTGGCTGTAGAGGCTTTCCAGTTGCTCCGGGAGAACATCAACCTCTCGGGTCAGTTCATAACACGACATTCCATTCTCCAGGCCCTCTCTTAATGATTTCACTACCAGTGCTACCCATAAAAATACTCCATTGGCCTTGCTCATTATTAAGGAAACAAGATTTTCGAAGTGTCCTTCTGCGCTCACATGAGCAAGCTTGTCTCGAATGTAGGTGTTCATATCATGCCTCGTCAAATCATGAAGGCGGATTCTCAGTGTTGATGTGAATCCATCCATGAATACCGGATGCTCGCGACTCGATACGCAGATTTTGACATTTTCGGATGCTTTTACTGTCCAGTGGCAGAGTAACTTTACTAAGTCTCTATAATCGGCTTGTACGGTGGATTGGAATTCGTCGAGCCCGTCAATGAAAAAAGCAAAGCAACGCTTTTTGAGCCAGTCGTGAGATTCAATGACTGCTGCAAAGGCTTCTTTGATATCTCTCTCTGAAATTTCGATGACTTTGGGTGCAAGCCATGGCGCGGAATTGGCCCGCGCCCATTGAGCCGGCCAGACTTTGGGTACCAAATCAGGGCATTGGCTGAATATTTGGTAAAGAAGGCTAGTGTAGAGTCCTCGGAGCGACTTTTCATAGTCCGAACCAGCATTCCAAAAATAGAAATCGGCGATGGTCAACTCACGGCCGTCTGTGTCCACAAACTCAATCAGTGACTCAAACTCTGGCCGAAAATGCTGCGAATTCCGTGCTTACCTGCCCAGATTTTGAGTCTATCTTGAGTGCGAGAACTCTCCCGTATGTACTTCATGAGCGTCGATTTTCCAGAGCCGAGCTTCCCCGATAGGTGGAACACATCACGTGAACTTCCGCGAGCCAGCCATGTGTTAAGCTTGTCTCTCGCACGAGTTTTCTCAACATCTTCGATATTTCGAAGCTGAATGGCGGCCTCTTTAGCCACAGCATCCTCTGCATGCTCAGGAAGAAGTTCCGAAAACACTGTCTTATCAGTAGGCTTGTCTTCCAATATCCATTCGTATGTGTTAGAGTGTGTCTCAACCACCATGTTGGAACGTCGATTCATTCCTTCGAACGAAAGAGAGTTCAAGATTCTTTCCTGAGCGATTACGTTGAAAACTTTCTCCTCCTCCTCAAGAAGCATCACCAGCATCGGCTTGGCTTCCGAGGTTGCAGGGGTCAGACTGATGTTTTTGCGTAGCTGTGCGACCTGACTCTCAATTTTGTCCAGCTTGATTTCGTCCGCTTTTGATGCTTGCACCAAGATGTCGAGCTTCTCAAGGGTCTCCTTCCTACGTTTGTGTCAGCGGCAAAACCAGGCGGAGGCTTTGGAGGGCAGTTGAGCTGACCTTGTAAGGTGACTAAGTTGTAAATGTAGTTGACCCCGACATTCGTTAAGCCTTGCTTCTAAGCTTGCCCTCTCGCTGTCGTAGACCTTGTTTCGCAGTGCCGACAACAGACTTTGAGCTTTGGAGCCTGGGTTCTTTGATTTGACTTTGTCCAGCAATAAATTCAATTCAGTTGAGAGCCCATGGCATTCTTCAGCCAGAATCCTGAGACCTGAATCTTCTTCCACCTTGTCGGACGCTCTGGAGAGCAACAGCCCTGCTGACATATGTTGCATCTCTCGCATAATCGTTTCACGGCTTTTATTTTCCTCGAGCACCCCATGCTGAGAGTCGTGGATTTTCTGAAAGCCCTTTAAAAGACGGACGCTGAAGTCAATGAAAGAGATTATGTTGCTAGCAAGCCCGATTGCTGTTAGAGGATCCATGAAATTACCAGCCGAGAATGGTGAAGGTCAGGTGACAAGTACTGAGGGTTCAGTTTGAATGTAAAAAGCCGATGTGTTGAGCTGATCGGAGGATGGGAGTCAGCTTGAGTGCGCGAAGTTCGGTTGAATCACGGGTGATCCAGGCAAGTGAACGTCCCCGCTCTGGTACGATGACAGGGCGGGTTTGTACACCCAAGTGCTTACGGATTGTGCGACAAGGGGATAGGACGATGTGATTGGATGCCTCGGGCTTCCTCTGCTTCCTGCGCGTAGCGTTTTGAGCTGCGTGCATCTGTCATTGGGACCCACAGAGTGCTGCATCCAAATGATAAGTACATAGCTACGCAGGTCTGTCGATCAAATGCAGCGTGAGAACAGTGAAATAAACAGAGCAATAGATACGTAGTCATAGCCTGACAGATTCTCATATGGTCTTTTGGGCGCGTGACAGCAGACAAGGTAGAGGGAATCGAGTCTCTGATTATCCGAAAAGGTATATGGAATATGGTCTGATCATTTTATTCGCCTTTTGGAATTGACAGGCCACTTGGACATGAGCCGACACGATCATGTTTGGTAAGACCAAGGCAAGGAAGGTCAACAAGTGAGTCCACGCATTCAAGTAATCGTATATGAGGACGTGAAAAGAAGGACACATGTACGGGACCGCGAAATTTATCCAGATGTATGGGCTGTAGTTGACACGGTTGCGAAACTTACTCTCACCGGCGCAACACGAGGGCCAGGAAGCAAGATCTGTGTGGTTTCCACTAAACTCTGTCGTCAACCGTAACAGGCTAGCCGCCAGCCGAGCTTGTGCTGACACCCATCCGCCTTGCTGCCTGCGCAGTTATTGTAAAATAAGGATTCTGGGTTTTGAACACGTTTGCCATTGGTCCCATTTGACACATGAAGCATATTTGTCCTTCGAGTCCGTCGACATAAATCAGCATCAAAGAATTAACACAACTCAGGGCTTGCATCTCAAAATATTTCTGGCCGCCTAGAGGCCTTACTTCACAATCAATCTGGTCTAATAATCAAGGACCTCGAATCTACGAACGACGTACTTCCGCAATGTTATCACAACAAAAGAAAACTAGATGGGGCTTGTCCTTCATCATCCTCTGCATTGCCATCCTTCTGACTCCTCGTTGTCACGCTGGCCCTACTCCAGCGGGAGAGTATGAATATGGTACAGTCATCGGCATCGTCAGTCTTCCCCTTGATCCTGGAATTTCCTCTCTGCTGGTCTCAGTCAAATGTCTTCTTATGAAAACTGACCTTCCCCTGTGTTGGCTAGGACATTGGCAGTGTGAGCCTTACCATATCTAGAGCAATCAAAGGAAAACTCCTGCCACTCGGCTCGCAGCCAGATCCTGGATTAGACGTGAGACAAAAGTTTGCTGACTAGTCCTAGGAAAACTCACGAGTGGGAATAATAGAGAACGGCATACTTAATATTCTAGATCATATACCGTCCTGTGTCGCTATTACAGACAACGATGTTCTAGTGGGCAGAGGTTCGCACTTTTTTTCATCATCAGCTAGCAATCAGCACGGCCTAACAATTTCATAGAAGCAAAGAAACAGATGTTGGACAATCCTTCTCGTACCATATGTGACTTCATACCGCTCCTTGGCCGAAATGGGTCCGATCCGATATTACAAGAGGCCATCACAAGTCTGCCGTACCAGGTCAAAGAGGGCAGCGGTGGGCCAGTCGTCACCTTTGAGACGCGCGGGAAGAAAGGTTCATTAACGGTGGAGCGAGCCGCAGGTATCTTGATGAGTAACCTGAGGGACACCGCTGCAAAAATAATTGGCGATGACGTCCGGCACGCCGTGGTTGCAGTGCCGACCAGCTTCAACAACCGCCAGAAAGAAAGTCTCAAGGCGGCCGGTCACACGTACCACCTGAACGTGCTACGAACTGTCAGCGCCTCAACAGCCGCAGGCATCGCGTACGAGCTGGACAGCAAGAACGGCGAACGCAATGTGGTTGTCCTCGACATGGGTGCCAGCAAGTCCGAAGCGACTGTGCTCAACATCGACCAAGGGGTTTTCGAGCCTTTGACAACAGTGTCTATACCGATGGGCGGGCACCAGTTGAACAAGAAGTTCGCGCAACTGTGAGATATGAGGCTCCTCACTCGCATTATTGTGAAGCTGACGCTTGCCAGCATTGCCGCCGGATGTGCTGAAGAGGGAGTCATCCTCGATCAGCAGGCGCTGGCCGAGCTAGAAAAGGACATCGAGGCTGCGAAGAGATCATCGCTTGGACTTGGACCTGGTGACTACTGCACCGTCACTAGTTGTCACGAGAAGTGTCCTGGTCTGCGTCAGCAAATCAAAATGAAGAAGCAGGTCAATGACGGCATGGATGAATTCATCTCTACCGCCGTACTCGAACCTCTGAAGCGGGCACTGAGTGTGTAAAAGATTGAATGTTGTACTCGGAATCGAGGACTGATTGCTTTACAGAGAATGCGAATATGAAGTTGGAATGGGAATCGAGCAATCCCTGGTTTCAAAGGGCCGGCGTACCCTATATACCGTCAGACATCATCGATGTCGAGAGTTTCGTTCCCATTGGCGGTTTTAGCAAAATGCGAACGGTACGTGCTCCTCAGTTTCCAAACATACATGACGGCTGAGTAAAAGTTTAAAAGGTTGCTTGGCTTCTGAAAGGGCTTAGACACAAGATTCCCAAGGGTCCTGGGGACTTCGACGTGGATGAAGCTGTTCTAAAAGGGGTGGCCATGCAAGCTAAAGTGCTCACAGAGTATGATGACAACGATGGTTGCAGGTTGTTCGATGTGAATATGCTCAGTCTCGGTCTGGTATGTTGCCAAATCACCCAATAGAACACCCCTGATGACTGTGCCAACATTCAATACAGGAAACAGGAGAGGGGTACATGCGCAAGATTGTTCCGCGCAATATGCCGATTCCCACCCGCAAGAGACAGGATTTCACCACGGCTTACGATAACCAAGAGTCCATGCTCATCCGTGTGTTTGAAGGCGAACGTAGGATGGCTAGGGACAACTTGCTCCTGGGAGAGTTTGAGTTGACGGGCATACCTCGAGCACGTCGACATGTCCCTCGGGTTGAAGTTGCTTTCGAGGTTGATGTATGTTCCTACTCTCAAGGGCGACGACCATCACCATTGTAGGATACAGCTAAAGAAATGTGATAGGCCGACAACAAACTTCGTGCTACTGCTCAGTATAGGGGTACGACATGAAACTGGTCGCAATCCAGGTTTAGAAGCTGACTTGTATACAGACGGGAACATTGAAGCATCAATTCGTCTTGTACAAACAACAAATGACCCGACTGAACCGAAGACACTTGCTGATGGACTTACTAGAATAATACTGCCTCTATAAGAGGAATTGAGTACTCGGAACTCGAACGGCTGGTATACGAAGCAGAGTATCTCTACCTGAAGAATTCCGAAAGACCTTCGTGAATATGTGCTTTGCTGACTATGTCACAGACAAGAGTTCGAAGAAACTGGGCCGGTCGGCGTACCGACCATGGAGCGCTACGTCGAGTTTGTGGAGGGGGCTATGGACAGAGGAGACGTTATCGATCCGCCCGGAGCTACCGATGACTGGAAAGAGTATGAAAAACCAGCCCAAATTGGCGGAGCAGGCTAACGTATTTTATCAGAGAAGCTCGCGGTGTCGTCCAGGCTACAAGAGATTGGCTGGCCCGCGACTCTGCGACGGCCTCGATGGCGGATTTCGACCGAGAGAAGTCAAAGCTGTGGGACGTGTAAGTCATCGGTCCATTAAAAACTCAAGAGACTCATTTACTGACTTGTGTATGGCCTAGGGCGCGCAAGTTGCTGAGTTATGATCCTGTCGGCAGGGTGTACATTGTTGGTAGTAAGATGCAGCGTGACAGAGTACAGCATGATGAGCTTTGAAACATGGGCCAGTTTTCAAAATGAGCCAAGACTGTCATGAAAGCAGCAGTATCTTCAGACAGACAGTCAAATTAGAGGATGCATTTGAGGTGCGAAGCGCTCGAATTTGCGTAATTCATTGCATTCGAGATGAGCTACGGCAAAATCCAGACTCTAGGAGAGAAAACTGCGTTCAATATATGAAAGACCACCGCACAAAGTAATTTTCGTTCATCGCCCAACTCATGCCACGGATTTAGCTTCTATAATCTAGGACACACTGATCTATGATCTTTGCACGCAGATGAAAGTCTTTTCTAGCTGACAATCATCCAAGACTAGACCAAAGCAAACCTCAAGGTCACATGTCACCAACCCGGCCATGTAGCATGCAACCCACCACCCAAAACCCATAAACCACACTTAAGCCCACTGCTTCCTGAACTTCTCGTCGAATTGCTGCTGGACCATCTTGAACATCCGCAGCACCTGAGCGAGGTTTCTCTCCCCATCACCCTCCCACGCGGGCCCAGCAGCCTCGGCTGCAGCTTCGGCCGCCTCTGCAGCGGCAGCCTCATCCTCACTGCTCTCGTCGTCGTCCCAAGAGTCAATGACCTTGGGCTTCTTCTTCTTGGCGGGGCCAGCAGGCGCTTCGGGTTTCTTGGCTGCCTCGTCTTGGACTTGCAGGGCGCCGTGCGCCATGTCACCGGGGCCGTCGTCGGGCTCCAGCGCGTCGGAAGTCTCGCGGGCCGCGTCTTCGGCGTCTTGGACGTCCATCATGGCTAGGTCTGCGTCTGCTCCGGCATCAAGGTCCAGGAAGTTCGTCAGGCTCGTGACGATGGTCGCCAGCACCAGTGAGAAGTCCTTCAGCAGGAACCAGACGTCTCCCTTCTTGATGTGATTGTCTCGGACAAGGGCCTCCATATCTCCGTGCTTGAAGAAGTCGTAGATGTACGCGTTCCATGGCACGCCGTTGGTGTCGTCAGGGAAGAGTGGGATGTAGGGGATGGCAGACTCCTCGAGGAAGACATCACTTCGAACTGTGTCGCAAAGCTCATGGATGGATCCAAAGGAGTTGTCACAGAACCCGGAGAGGGCATGGAAAGGTGAGCGGAGCTTCGTCGGCGCGTTGTGACCTTCTCCCAGAATCCCTCCTAGACCAGCTTGGCCAAGATTACTCTTTGGTGCACCGACCTCGGTTTTGGTAAAAGGCAGATGCCTGTCTGGCTTGTCTTCCAAGTGCTGGTTCACATACGTGCTGACATACGTCCTGAAAATATCAAGTGTCTCCTGGTTATGCTGCCTTAGAGTCTGTAGTGCGTCCGCCGGTAAAGGCGGAAGAAACACGATAGAATCAGACCTGGTAACTGCTGCCATCCAATCCTTCTTGAAGGTATTCGTTGATATGCGGCCAAAAATGTGCGAGAGCACAAGAACAAGTTCCAGAAGCGTTGCTTCAGATGCAGTACGGAACTGGTCACAAAGCTTGTGGAAATAGCCTTCCTTCAGAAGGGAGTGGAACGCAAACACAGAGTTCTCCGTGAAGTAAAGATGGCCGACGAGGCCGGCAAAGTTCAGTGGGGAACCATCCTCGGAAAGAAGGTGCTGTCTTCGAAGATACTCAATGGAGAAACGAAGATGGTGCTTTATTGAAAGCTGACCTGAAGGTCCGCCCAGGTACAAACGGGTCTGCGACAGCAGAGATTGTACAGCGCTGACAGAGAAGTCAGAGTTCTTGGTATGGTGAAGCAAACTAAGCGTCCGCAGTACCAACGAGGTCGACAACGGGAAATGTCCTCGAAGATCAGGCAGCCGGGAGGACATGATCTCGTACACTCGATCTTGAGACATGCCAACGAAAACAACGTTTCCAAGTAAGTCGAATCCTCTTCGACCAGCACGACCCGCAGCCTGGTGGTAGTTGAGTGCGGTCAAAAACACAGAGTCTCCGAAGAACACAACAGTCTTGCAGGGCATGTTGAGACCCAGAGCTAGGGTGCCAGTGGCAACGACGACCGTGAGGAAGCCCTTGCGGAAGAGCATCTCGACGATTTGACGGTACTTGCGGTTCATACCAGCATGATGAATGCCAATACCACGGCGAAGCGCATTCAAAATATCGGGATTGAGATTCTTCCAGCGCAAGGACCAAATCATCCACTCGAGCTCCGACCGTGTGAGCTTGGTCTCGTCCCCGAGAGAGAAGCGCTCGATAGGAGCGTCCGGGTCGAAATTTGTTAACGTACTGGGGTCATCGTCCAGTCTGCCGTCACCGATGTCGTCTTCGTCCCGTTTGCCCTTGGCTTTTGCCTTGGTGGTTTTTTGTCTGAGCGCGTCAGCCTTGGCCTGATCCTTCTTCCACTGCTCGAACTTGGCTATCCTCTTCTTCCAGCCCGCGTCTGTTGCCTTCCATGCCTTCTCCGCCTCCTCAAGGTCAGAAAGGACACGGAACGCAATCTCTTCGCAAGCGACCCGGTCATAGTTGAACAGGATAGCTGGCAGAGCACCCTGTGAGCGAAGATCGGTCAAGAGTGGAAGGGCTGATTCCTGAAGCTCTTGGCGCGATGATGCGGAAACATGACACTGAGGTCTAAGGTCCTTCTGCACAGCTTCGAATGGCGAGCCCCGATCCAGCATCCAGGAATGGAGAGTCTTCTTCAAGGACGCCTCGTACTTTGCCACGTCTGCCTTTTTTGCAGTCTTGGGGAAAACAGTTGGCGGGCTTAACTTTTTGTCGAGGGGGTAATTTGCATTCTGATGCTTGGCCATGCTCTTCCACAATGAGAGGCAGTCACGTGGCTCGAGTGTGAGATCGTCAAGAGTCTCACGGTTGCGGTTGACGAGCGTAGCCACCGGGTGTATTGGGTGGAATCGTGACGCCGTTGAGCTGTTATCGTCGAGCCCAGGGACAGGTAGTCTCTCGACAGGCTCCTGGTAGTCCAATGTGTAATCCTTGGATGGCTGCCACAAGAACTTGCGTAGGTCGGAGTATCGTGTTTGGTGGACGACGGTCTCGAATTCGTAGCCTTTGGCCTTGGCTGTGCTTTCAAGCCATTGTCTGAATTCCAGGGGATTTCCGACAGTAGCTGACAATGCGATGATGGGGCATGGGGCCAAGAGCAGCAACTGCTCCCAAACTACTCCGTCTTCAGCTTGACCAATGGAGTGCACCTCGTCGAAGATGATACGCTTGACTCGGCGTGACCATGAGGTTGCATGCTCGGCATTGGACGGAGCCATCAGCATAATCTGCAAGATGTGTGGAACCGTAACTAGAACTTGGCATCCGGCTGGGTTGTTTACTCGATAGTCGCGAGTATGAATCCCCCAGACTGACCGTCCGTCATGCTTGTAAGACTTCGTGAACCGCGCTTGAATCTCCGCAGCAATCTGATTGACGAGAGCCTTGGTCGGGGCCACATAGACGAGCACACCGTCATCGCTTTCCTTCAACACCTTCCTCATGGCGTAGAAAGAGATGAAAGTTTTACCAGCCGACGTTGGTGCAACAACAAAGAGGCTCTTGTCTGCATCGATGGCATCCAGAACAGTCCGCTGCCACCCGTCGGGGTTGAAAGGCACACGTGGGTCGGGAGCCGGATCGAAGCTTCGCTCGAGGAACGGCCCGCAGTGCTGTAGTTGAAAGTCAACATTGACAGGGGCCAGGTTGGGTACTCCAATCTTGGCATCGAAGACACAAGAGAAGGGCAGTTTTCGAGTCGCGGACGATGACGGGTCAGTCGTGAACTCGACTGGAACCTGCAAAGACGTGGCAAGAATATTGAGCATCTTGGCAGTGGGTGGGCTCAGAGAGGAATTGTCGATACTTCGGACAATGGACCAGATCAGGGCGGTAATGCTTTTCCTTGTCTCAGGTGCATCACCCACTTGGACAAGTATGGCAGCTAAAACGTTGCAAGCATACAGAGAGACTTCTGCCCCGATTGACGATGCCAGATCGCCAGACAAAGCATTGAGATACTTGATGGTTTTGAGATATCTCTTGACCAGGTTCTTCTCCTGGGTCAATTGTTTGCATTGCTGCTCCCAGAAGACCAGCCTATCATTCGTTTTTGAAGAGGCCTTCTTGTCCTGCAGAGCTTGGCGAGCTTCCATGGCCAGTTCCTTGCCGCTCTTTGCCTTGCCCTTCTTCCCACCTTTCTGCGCGGGTTGTTTTGAAGTTTTGTTCTCTTCGCTCTCTTTTTTGGCTTCTTTTTTGGCATCCTTCCTTGGAACCGCGTTCTGGTCCCGGTTGATGCCTCCAATGATGACTTCAGGTTCGATTCTTTTACCAGAGGCATTGGTGAGACTTGCTGAGTATGCAATTGTGCTGGCCATCATCTTCTGGTCGGCCCTCATTTCCCGCCAATTCTTGGGCGGCGGCAGACGTTTGCTAGCAACCGAGACACGGGCGTTGTGCCAATGCGTCAGCTCCCTGAAGATCTTAGGAAGGCTCTCCTTCTCCGAAATGTCGGTCGGGACAAGATGGATATCTCGCAGGTAGTCGTCAAGCGCAGGCTGACTGAAAGGGAGAACGCCGTTGTCACGAATGGATTCCTCGCTGTCCTCGATGTCATGCTGAACAAGATCTGCTGCTGTGTTGAGAGCAGGGAGGCAGCTCTCCATACTGACACTTGTCAGTTCCTTGATCTTATTCGCAAATGCATGGACCTCTGCGACCAAAGACCTAGGGAGCTGTGGCTTCTGGCTCAAGACGTATTTGAGAAGCCTGCCATCCAAGAGATCAATGTGATCCCGATGGAGAGTAGGTGAGAACTGGTCAAGTAAGCCGGTGCATGTGCTTGAAAATTCTGCCAAGAGAGCCTCCGTGTCAGCATCGCCTTGATCTTGGACGGCACTGAAAGATCGCTGCGAGAGCGGTAGACGTCGGAGGAGCGCAAGATGGATGATCAAGGCCGAAGCGAAGATCAAAAATTTGGTAAGATCTTCTCGATGCGTGGTCGCCATGCTGGCGAGTGCATGTAATGAGATTGCCTCCCGAAGTGTCAGATCTTGGCCGTCTTCCCATGGTGACCACGCCTCTGTGGCACTTCGATCTCCATCTGAAAGAGTGGTGGCGTGCTCACTGTCCCGCGCGGGAGTCTCAGGCAGGTTTAGTGGCACGCGCTGCAGATTTGGCGAGGGCGAAACGACTGAGGCACGGACTCTTGAGCTTGAAAACCCGACGCTGTCTAGGAAGCAGACACAGAACCCCCTCGCTGCGAAATCGTGAGCGATGCTCACATATGCCTCTTCTGAGCTGCTGGGGCAAGCCCCGAAGGCAGGAGCATCGAGGCACATGAAACAATGAACGGCATTGTTGGCGAGATAGCGATGGAAAGACGGGCTGTCCAGGTCTTCAAACTCGAAGGATATCGTCTTGGCGGCCTCGGAGTCGACATCATTCTGTGACGACTGTTGGTAATTGAGATGTGATATCAAGACTGCCCGTATCAACAGGTACTTGGACGAGAGCACATCAGACGCGTCACGAGCCAAGCACAGCGCTTTTTGGTCACGAAACCAGATGACGTGGAAGTTCAAGCCGCGTTCATAGAGCTTTTGCAAGAAGCTCTCGACGGCATGGATGGCGTGCAGAAGTTGGAATCCACCTGCAAAGTATGGGTGAGTACTTGGCCGATGTTGATGCTTTGCTGCAAGCTAGGAAGGAAGGGAAACACTGACTATCAAGATCCACTTTGGCTTTGGTGATGCAGTACAGCATCAAGGCGTCACCATGGATGGCGAACAGCTCCTTGCCGGCAAAATCGCCCACGAGATCCACGTGCAGGGCATGGAGGGTTTTGTACCAGGCGGTAGGCCCAATTGAGCCGACCTGGCCGACCTCGTCATCAGCCGCTGACGATGACATGCTCCTCTTGTGCGAATTGCCTCAGTGGTATGTAGAGGGTGCTGAGGAGGGTTGACTATGGCAGGAGATTAGGATGGGGTGGGAGGGTGTGTGGGGGTTGAGTTGAGGGTGAGGCCTGAGAAATGATGAATGAAGAGAAGCAGAAACAGGGAGTGAGTGGGATGAGATAGATGAACACACGTCAACTCAACGCAGGCAGGTGGCACATCGATGTTGACTCGTCGCAAAATTGCTGCTTGCCTGCTTGCTTCTTGTGCTGCACCTGCATTGCACCTGCACCTGCACCTGGGCCTGCACCTGTACTTTGCACTGCAATTGCTGCTGACTGGGCAGGCACCGTTTCTTCGCCCCTCATCCAACAGATGCACGGAGGTTTGCCTCTGCAAACCCGTCAAGTCGAGTTTCAGGCAGGCGTTCCACTAATGACGTGCCGACCTGGACCTGCAAAATACATCAGCCATGTCTCTTGCTTGATACACAGGCTCTGGGTGTCAAGAAAAGTATTAATATCATTTGCTGCCCTCTCATCCACAGCTTGAGCATAGTGGAACGGTGGATTCAAGATTATTGAGACGTCGAGAGGGCCTTTTGAGCCTCAGGCTGACCAACACCAAAGAGGGCCGTTGTGGGCAGAGGACCCTGAGCCACTTCTCCACAGAAGGGGGGCCCCCACTTGTCCAGTTAAGCCGTCACCCACCCCAACTCAACCCCCAACCCAAAACCCCTTCCCCAACCCTCCTTCGTATCCAACAGCTTGGAAAAGTACGCCAGCCTCAACGTTTGCCCTTGCACAGCATTCACAGACCAGCAACAACTTGCAACCGCCCTTTGATCCTCGATACTTGGAGTGGGCCAGCCGCTGTTAAACTATTAGTTCGAATACCTAAGACCGTGTCCAAAGCGAAATAGAGGGTCCTTGGTGTCAAAGGGCACATCCTCCCGACTATCACTCGCCGCCTTCATCGAGCGTGGCAGATCAAACGGCAACTTTCCTCGGGGCAAAGACTGCCCCACTCCCAAGCATACGTCGAGAAACGCGTCCGTGTCGCTTCCGTAGTTCACTGTCAGGGCACTTCCCACCCAGCCCGCATTGACAGTGCTTGAGAGTGCGGTGTGACCTGGTCGGGCCGCTTCCTGTGCCTCAACAATGGGCGTCAAGACAGCTGGCCGGTCCAGATAGACATCCACGATCGATGTCGGGACCGTTCTGATCAGTTTTGAGACGCGAGCCGCTTCTTCCTCGGGGAACTCAAGCGAGCCCGAATGGAACATCGACTCAAACCCTCCCGGCCTGGCCTGGTGCGGAGCTCTCAGGCGGATGAACGCGACGTCCGCCTCAGCAGGCGTAGCCACCACTTTCAGACCCCGTCGTCGAGCGACATCGGCGTCTAGGCCCTCGACATAGAATCGCCTGTCCCTCTGTGAGGCAGGGAGAGGGAATACCGCCCCGTGATTTGCAAGTATCGTGAACGCCTCCCGCTGTGCAGCCTTGCCCAGCGCAACGAAGTCGGCCCTGCCTGCGACCCTCCCCGCCGCATCCTCGTCCACGAACCGCCTATCGTCAAATAGGCCGAGCACGAACTTCTCCCTGAGCACGCGGCGGACCGACTCGTCCACGCGCGCCTCCGAGACGAGGCCCTGCTCCACGGCCTGCACGACCAGTTCTGGCACCGACTCGCCGCCGAACTGGTCACAGCCGGCGTCGAGGATCTTGACCGTCCGCTCCAGCTCGCTCAGGTGCTCGCAACCCCACGCCCGCGCTGGCATATCCTGGCCCAAGATGACGGCGTCTGTTATCAAACCCCAGTCGGTGAGGACGATCCCCTCGAAGCCGAGCTCGTTGCGGAGGAGGCCCGTTATGATTCCCTTATTAAAGCCAAAGCCCACTTGCTCGTATTTCGTCCCGACTGGCATCGCATACGAGGGCTAAAGCAAAGTCGCATTGTCAGCGCCAAAGTTTCGCGCAGCATCGAGTCAAGTGGTGAAGGAAGTCCTATAGCAAATTACGCAACTTACCATAATTTGCCTTGTTCCAGCCAGAATTGCCTTTCTAAATGGCTCCAGATGATACTCGAAATTCTCACCCGGGTAAATTTGCTCTTTCCCGTAAGTAAAGTGGGAGTCCTCCCCATCCATCTCAGGACCAGCCCCAGGGAAATGCTTCGTCGTGGTCGAGACGCTGTCCAGGCCATCTCCGGTCCTGGAAAGGCGCCCTTGGAGACCCCCGACACAAGCAGTTACCAACTCAGAGGCTACATCGGCGTCCTCGCCAAACGTCGAGTGAACTCGAGCCCATCGATACTCAGTCGCTAGGTCGGCCTGAGGGTGCAACGCGACTCGCAGGCCCACGGCTATATACTCCTGCCTTACAACATCAGCGAATCTGCGGGCGAGCTCGGGGTTGCGCAGCGCCGCGAATCCAAACGTCTCGGGCCATTGACTGAACGCCCCGGCCATCAACCCCGTGCCGATATTATTGTCGAAGTGGTGTCGAGGGTCGGACGACAGTGTGACAGGGATGCCGAGCCTTGTGTGGTCAAGGACGTGGCGCTGGAGCCTGTTGTGCCATCGCGCCACGAGCCTGGGGTCGGAGACTGGCCCAATGAGGTTGAAATGCGACATTTTCCTGCCCTCGAGCAGCTCCCGCGTCGCCGGTGCCCCATGTGCTGGGTCGGCCTCGGCTAGAGAGCCGTCCGGGCCCGGCAGGATCATGTTGTGGAATAGCTGCCCGGCTTTCTCCTCGAGTGTCATGCGCGACAACAGGTCTGCGACTCGCTCGTCGGTGGGCAAACTGGTATCATTGTAGGGGTAGAGAGGCTTCGCCACGACCGCTTTCGAATTTAATACTGTGGAATTCTTCTCTGACGATGCTTCGCGGCCGGTGGACGGACTCCTTCGGCGGAAAATGTCGGCTGTCATGATATACAAATACAGAGGATAGAATGGATGAACAAGTCAAAATATTATTCCATCTATCTCGAAAAGTGTCGTTTAGGTCTATGAAAGAGTTTGATAGACAAGAAGCAGACAGTCTTTGAGAGAATTGGACAGACTAAATGCGGCCCATAAGGCATCTTGATTAATGAAGGCATTGCTATAGAAGAGTGGGCCCTCTCCTCTGCACATCGTCGAGCCATGTTCAATTTGGGTAAGTGTCACGGACCGGCACGCAATGAGATCCGGTAGGGAGACTCGCGCCATCATGGAGTAGCATGACCACACAAATAGGCAAATCAAGCGCGGCCGGGAGCTGTCGTCGCAGGTGATGTGTCCAGCCTGCCACACACACACGCCCGCCAAAGCCTCTGACGTGAAAGCCCTGGCCGCCTCCTGTCGTGGACCCCCGGGTGCAAAGGAGGGGGATGATCCCTGTGGGGCCAATGCCGAAGGTGGGAAGAGCGAAGTGTCAGATACGACTACAGCCGAGGTTTAGCCGGGCGGAAGTGCCTGGTCTTGGGTTTCGCGGAAACCCCGTCAAAACTTCGGCCTGCGCTCTTAGCTTGTCCCAGGAGCGACTCAGGCTTATTGCCGATGCTTACGCCCGAGTTGCGCGTGTGACGTTTGGTTCAGGCGGGTGAAGGCATGATCCAACTCTAACCACCCACCGGTCTGGAGATCGAAACGCACTTGGATATAAGCTGTTAGAGCTTCTCTACCTCCTTTCATCTGTGTCGGGCGCCGAGGGCGACTTCAGTTAATACAGCCCAGCAGAACTGGCAGCCGAGTGTCTGCACGTCTTGCTCCTCTTTGGCGTCATGCCAGGTTTTGTGTCAATCAAAGGGTGTCACTGAGACTACTCAAATACCCAAGCACGGAACAGTTGTCTCGGGGACTTAGGACGAGCCCAAGTATGTCGAATCCTCGTCGACAGTTATCGTGAGACAGGGACACGAGGTGATCGAATGACGTACACGGCGCAACCTCAGGGACTCGTTTCATGAATCTTTCAAAAAAAGAAATTCCAACCCCTCCATCAAGTTTCTCTTGCCCCAAAGATTGCGCGACCCCATACAGGAATCGTCGGCTAAACCGAGCGGTTGCTAAATTTCAAAGAACAACGAATCCTGTGCCGTGATCCTGATGCCATAATCTCCATATAGAATTCATGATCGAAATCACAGTGGCTAGGGTTGAATCGTTCACGAACAGCCCTTGGTAGCAAAAACCAATCTCGAGAGCCTTGAGGATCGGTGCTTCTCCCAGACTTTGACAAATAGGTGTGAGAAAAATACACATGGCGCCACCAAATGTCGCACGTGGCTCCCATGCACAGTGATCATCCCCTAATAGAGTTTCCAATTCCCAAGAAGAACGGCAGGATTCGCAGTCCTCGCCAGCTAGAGACAATATCGAGCTCGTCACATGTTTGAATGCGACCCTGCCAGGGTCCAGGAACAGCCTTCGAGTGAGCGGGCAACGGTCGCCGATGGCCTGCAGCAACTCGGGTCCAGCCGTCTGATCTGCGCATTGACTGCCGTTAGTCTTGTGTGTAGCATATCTTTCATCCTCATGAAGAGACAAGCGGCGGACACTAGACCAAGAAGATTTCAAGGCCCATGTCATCCATTCTTCAGGCTGAAGTGTTCGTAAGGGGATTTAGTGGCCGTTTGAAGAACAGCAAGGTGTTATTGCTCGTACTGCCGCGTGGCTAGACGTAACACATAGTTGTACGCCGATGCATGAGCTTGAATGATCCATGACGTCGGTTCTCAGGTATTTCGATTGTGTCCAGCCGAATATGGAGCGATCTTCTTGGACTATAAGTAGAAAGTTAGCGATACCATCGTATTTGTTAGGAGATCCCGGGATGTTTCAAGGTGTTGCTTCGGTCCGAATGACCCAAACAGAGCATTCATCAATGAGGAAAGCTTGAAAAAAAGCGCAGAGGTCGTCCTCCAACCCCTGCGAGCCCAAGTTCATGACACATTCTGGGGATGGTTCATGTTTGCCCACCACGTCGAGAACCGGATATCCCGTTCCAATCGCTTTTTCTTTCAAAAGGTCTTTCGGCGGGCGAGTCACACGCAGACGGCTCTCGGCCGACCGAGATACATGACACACCTTCAAGCGATCAAGAGTCGAGGGTACTCGCAACTTAGTACCTGGTTGCAGACATATGTTGCCTGCTAGTAACCTGGAAATAGGATGTGGAATCATGCAACGGTATAATGATATCCAGGATCGTCCTCAATTTCAGGACGGTATGCGCGTGAGGTCGAGACATGTGATGTTGGTAGGTCTCGTTGACTTTAACCAGAGGATGCTGATCTCCAGTCCTTTAATTTTCATCGTATGATCGCAATTAATGAGAAAATGAACAATAGAATACACGCCGGCGTTTCCAAGCTGGGAGGCTGGAGAATCCATTCCGACTTCTGAATGGCTCTTTTTGAGATCAATGCCGAATCCAATGTTCAAGTCTGCAAAATTCGTCTTCTTCCTCACTTGACTAACTCGGATACTGCTGTCTTACGCAGAACTTATTTTCCCAATGCGTCTGGCGATCTTAGGAGGGATCTTTAGAGAACACAGCGAACGGAACAGATAAAGAGGGGGGGGGACGATATAAAATAAAGGGAGATCTCCAGCGAACAAGGAAACAGAGGATAGACAGGGAATGAAGGATAGCATTCATGCTCACACCTTTATGCTTTCCCTGCGAAGCAGACAGGTACGTTTGTAGGTTGTGTGAAAGACATACGATCAAGATAGCGGCATCTGATATGAGTACGCTTCCGATGCCCGGGGTGCTTGCCGGAACTCCGCACCCGGTCCTCGGCAGCTGCACACGAGGAGAGACTCCTTTTAGCATCATTTGGGTCTCTCCTGGAGGAGATGTGTGCTCGCCCCGACGACCGGAACAGGGAAAGATATTTCATTACACACCCCATCATTCGAAGGGATTTTGCTTCCGAGTTAGTGCGGTACAGGACTGAGACCCTTAGAAGATCTCGAAAATACGAGGAAATACCGAAGTCTACAAAGTAGGCACCTCAACCATGGCAATCATCACGAACGAGAGACATGGACTCAGCGAGGAACAATGGCAGAGTAACTCCCCCGAGCTCACACGCGCCAGAGCCATCATCTCGTCGACGCTCGACTCCCTCAATGATGACCTACGGAATTTGAACCAAGCCATCCACTCACACCCAGAAATCTGCTACGAGGAGGTCTACGCCCATGACACCATCACAGCCTTTCTCGAGGCGCACGGCTTCACAGTCACCCGCCACGCCTACGGTCTAGCCACATCCTTCTCGGCCGAGGCCGGCTCAGGCGGCCGTCTCGTCGTCTTCTGCGCCGAGTACGACGCCCTCCCCGGCATAGGCCACGGCTGCGGGCACAATCTCATCGCCACAGCGTCGGTAGCCGCGTTTGCGGGGGCTGCGAAGGCGCTCTTGGACCTCGGCGTTGCGGGCCGCGTGCGGCTGCTAGGAACGCCGGCCGAGGAGGGCGGCGGCGGGAAGGCCAAGCTCATCAAGGCGGGCGCGTTCCCTGCTGCCCAGGCGGGGGGAGACGAGAATGAAGGCGTCTGGGCGGCTATAATGAGCCACGCGCTGCCGCTGGGGCAGATCAAAGAGGGCTGGAGCGGGACGGCCGGATTCAGGTCGACAGCGTTGCAGAGGCTCAAGGTAGAGTTCCATGGGCGCAATGCGCATGCGGGCCAGGAGCCGTGGAATGGCGTGAACGCGCTGGACGCTGCCGTTGGCGCGTACACCACCATATCGATGCTGCGGCAGCAGATCCGCCCCGAGGAGAGGGTGCAGGGGGTGATTGAGGACGGCGGCAGGGTCCCGAACATCATCCCTGACTACACCCGGATGGCGTGGGCGGTGCGGAGCCCGGATGTGTCGGGTGTCGATGCACTGTTTGAGCGGGTGAAGAACTGCTGCAGAGCATCTGCGCTGGCGTCTGGCTGTACCGTGGATTTCACAGAGTTAGTCGCCGTTCACCATGCGCGCTGCACGCTTGCCGAGTGAAGCTGACTGGTAGACCTAGACAGCCGCCGTATATGGAGCTGAGAGTCAACGCTGCACTCTGCAATGCGTATATCGAGGAGATGAAAGGACTAGGACGAGACATCCTTTTCATGGACGACAAGCCCTCAGCGGCTGGAACGGATATGGGTAAGCAGCCACCCTTCTGCGGAATTCTTCACTTCACCCCGTACTGATCCCAACAATGATAGGCAACGTCTCGCACGTCGTACCAAGCTTCCACGGGATATTCGGTATTCCCACAGAGCCAGGCGTCGCAGTCCACTCACGCAACTTTGCCAGTGCAGCGTCGACAGAGGAGGGACATCGTGCCGCGCTGGAGTCTGCCAAAGGAATGGCCATGCTGGGGCTCAGGGTGTTGGCAGAGCCAGGCCTCGCGGAAAGAGCAAGGGATAACTTCCACGGATGAGGGAGCCATAAGGGACTGTTGGCTCTGATGCATCCTGAAGATCCCAATAATCGCTGCAGTCGCTTGACGAAGCCCCCGTGCTCCAGAATGTGTGTTTAGACCATCTCAGCAGTCAAAGGGACACACTCTTGTTGAAGCTGTCCTGCCATGCCACCCAAGATCATGCCTGACTTTCGCGATCTTCTGAGCTGTAATTGTGCGCCAGTCCAAACACAGGTCGGCTCCTTACAGCGAGCATCAAACATTGCCACAAGCAGTTCCCTTCATATCCAGGCAACTCCGCCCAGCAGGCGGGCCGGAGGAGGTTGTCCTACGTGTGACCATATGAGTTCCCCAACAATCATGTCCGCAGGGAGTCGGGACTCTTCACCTCATCCTGAGGGGCACTGAACACCGAACGGTTGCACACCTAGCGATGGCTACACCTTGGCAGGCACAGCGAGGTGCTGGGCGATCTGAAAGCAGCTGTCTATAGTCGACGATAGGATGCATGTAACGCAACATACGTGGAGTCTGCGCCTCAACAAAAATAGCCTGCTTCAAGTGGACGATCGAGTCGGGGAAGTTGCCTGGGTATGCGCAGGGCGAGGAGGTAGCCAATGGTTCTACACCAGACCTCACTGCCTGACGGGTCGTCCTTCGATGATCCTGGGGCGTGAGGACCATGAAACCCACAGGTCCCTCGGCTTGGAGCGCATCGCTGAGGTGGCTTTGCTCGTCCTGTGCCGGCAACTTGAGGAGTAGATCAGGAAGGAGAAGTCAAGTGAGAGCAGGCGCATGTATCTACATCGCCACACATCCGATGTGTGGCTGACGGGAGGAGAAAAGAACTGGATCTCGATCGTGGCAGTACACTCAGCAGAGATGGGTGCAGACCTGGAGGGAGAAAACCTTGGCCAGCGGAGCACGGTACGTGGGGGGCAACCCTCAGGTTTCCTGCCCGCCCAATCATAGCGTGCATGACTTTTTCTCTTCAACGGCTTTTTTTCTCTTTCCTTGATCGGCTCCCCAGTCTTTTTGTTGGCCCTGCCTGTCTGCCGGTCTGCTTGATAATCATGGAGGGATCGACTTCAGCTGCCAACCCTGCATCACCACACTTAGCTGCAGCTGGCCCCTTCGCTTTCCCACTTTTGCCGACGTGGGAAAACACCGAGTCGTCGCGTCGATTGGCTGCACAACTGCCAGGAGGGAGGGGCGCAGAGTTTCTGCTGCTGTTGACCCGACTAGACTGCCCGAGCAACAGGTTGCAGCTTACCCCCGTCTGCTCGTGCAGAAGGTTGCGTGCATTGTGCAGGAATGCAGCGGGCCAAATGACATCAAGCAGATGTGAGATGGGATGTAGGACCCCCCTGTCGCTGGTGATGATCTGCCCTCGGCGTGCGGGAAACATCGCTGCGCATTGTCAGATTGTCTGTCAGCCAGGCATTCCTTCTGTGGCATTGTAGTTCAGGTGAGCAGTAGGACGAAACGCCTTGCATGCTTACGTGCGTGGCCTGCCGGTTTTGAGTTTCGCTTTCGCAATACACGTCCCAGCCCCACGATCAACCTGTCACTGCCGAGAGCTACCGAGTGACTATCTGTTGTTGTTTATTCGCGGGAGAAAGAAAACACCTCGCTCGAGCCGACTGCTCGCTTGTTTGCTTGTCTGTTAGAACAGCGCACAATGGGAATTCTTCCCCCCCAGTCATTCACCGTCTTTTGGTGAGGCATTTCCAACGGCCCTTTTGGCCAAGCTCTGCCCTTATCCTGCTCCGTGCCCCCAACTCAATGTCCGTCCCGACCTTGCCCACGTCCCGTCCTGGTCCTGGTCCTGTCATTTTCCTCGCCTTCCTCTCGCTCGCCCCTGCAAGTGTGAGCAGTACGTACACAGGTACAGTGTAGACAGTAACAAATCAATGTCGTGGCCCGATTGATAGGCTAGAACCAGGGGTGCTATTTCGAGGTTGCAACGAACTGCTGCTGCCACCCTTGTTTGCTCGCTTGCTAGCTGATAGTCTGGTAGTGTTGGTCTGGGTCTGGCTAGCAGTAATCTGTGTCTGGAGGAGCTAGAGCTATCTCATCATCCTGCTCGTTGCCCCTCTCGCGTGCTCACACACACACACACACACACAATCAGCAGCATGTCATGTCACAGATATGATGCTGGTCCTACGTACTCCAAACACTGCATATACTATACATACTGTCAGACAGTCTTGCTAACCTCAAACTCACCTCAACTCACCTCCAGCGTCCATCCTCCTCACCGAGAGAGAGAAAGCAAACCATCTTTCCGGTCTGACTGCCCTTCTTTGTACGTTCTCGTGAGAGGGCAATCCAGGGGCTCGGCCTTATTATTCCAACCACCCTTATCCCAATTCGGGGCTCCACAAGGAGGGTCGAGCTCAATCTGACTGAATCTGGGCTGGTTCGCATTGGACATTGGACGGGCCCCGGCTGCTTGCCTTTTTTTGCCTGCGTTCCCTCACCTCGCCGCCTTGCTCCACATGTCCACCTGCCCTTCATTCGGCTCAGTCGTCTGGACTCTGGACTCTGGCCCTTGCCTGACGAGCCGAGTGTCACCGACGTCAAGGTGCTGCATCCCGGTCTGTTTGTTTCCGTCTTCTCTCCACATCGCAGGCCAGGGCAGACGAGGATTGAAAAGCCTCCCCATCTGCCCATCTTGGTCCCCTGGAGGGAGGAGTCAGCCATCCAAGCCAGTCACTCAGGCACCCACTTAGTCTCTCGATCCATCTACATGCTGCAACTTGTCCAGCACTGCTCGAGATAGATATCTAGACCGGGGAGACCAACCTATCCACCCTCAGCCATCACCACCACTTCCACTCCCGCACGCATCGTCGTCGCAAAAGAAAAGCATCAAGCTGTCAGACTTGCGCCGGCGCTCTGCAGTCACCACAGCAATACACAGCTCCAAATCATCCTTATCTCTTTGCCTATCTATCTACCTCCCCACCAAATCCAGATGCGCCCCTCCAACCTGCTCGCCGCCCTGGGCGCCGCCACCATAGCCTCAGCAAAAGACGACAGCCCCCCAAGCGCATCCGCAGTCGCCCAGGCCTCCAACTGCTCATCCACCAGCACGAACTGGTCCCTCCCCAGCACGTCGGCATCGACCGTCAGCCCAGCAAGCTTCACCATGACCCTGACCGTCTCACCGGGCAACGGCACTACCACCTCTTCCAACACCGCGTTGGCCTCATCAACAACGGCGCCCGGCGGCACAAGCGCCGCGACGGCCACCTCCTCGTCCTCGCCCGGCGCCCAGTCCAGCAGCGCCGCCGCCGCCGGGGGCGAGGGCCTGTCTAGCGATAGCAGCATGCTGGGGCTCGTCATCTTCTTCGCGCTGTCACTGTGCCTGCTCTGAGCACCGGCAAGCCTGCGTGCAGGCGCATTCATGCTCACAGACCCCGTGCCAGCCGCGGGCGATGGATTGGCGCCTTGCTGATCAAAGCCTTTTCGAGGGGCCATTCTATTTCTATCACTCGTTCTTGGCAACGAGCACTTGGATTTTCAATTTCGTACTTTCATTTTGACAACTTTCTGGCATCACGACTTCACGGATTTTGGGGACGGATTTTAACGACGACGATACCTTTTTGCGCACGCATGCATCATCATGGGGAGTTTTTATCGGGCATGGCTTGATGGGATCTGCAATTTTTTCTCTTTTTTCGGACTATCATTCAGACATACCCCAACACGGCTCATGTGCGACGCCCGCGGTTTTTGTTTTCGGGATCATGGGTTTTGGAGTTGGGAAAAGCGGAAAGGCTAATTTGGCCGCATCTGGAGCAGGGAGGATTGAACTTCTACTCGGGGCAAACCCCCTCAGGAAGAATAATGCTTAATCTAGACAGGATCTGAGAAAGAATAGCATTGCATCTGAACCCTTCCATCCCCGAGACAACACTTTCCAGGCCAGTTGTTCGAGACACTGTTCCGCATCCGGGTCAGGGCACGGGTGTGTAACCGCATGCCTCCATTCCAACGACCCCTCGGCGCCGTGAACACCATCCCCTTGGAAACAGATCTCCAGGGGGACGAGTTACTCTGGTACAGACGGAACCCCTGAACATCTTGCAAATAGTTCCCCTGCCATCTGCCGAGGTCCTGGCCCCTTTCTTGTCCTCCTGTTGGTCGCAGACGCCCTTCAACCCGCGGCGCCGTACGTTCTCCAGGGGCGGATGTCACGTCGGACCGGAGGTTGGCGCGTCCGTCTCGTCTGGCACCACCGCCGTAGCTTCGGGCGCGGTACACCCCCAGCCTCAAACACCGCTGCGGCTGCACCGTTTCGCATGTGTATGCTGCGCTCGCGGCTCGTATGACTGGATTGCCAACTCAGGGCGTGTGTTTCCATGGTCATTGCGACCAACCTTATGCCTTGTAATTCCCCGGTAATTAGGCACTATACAAGTCCCCACCAGGGGCAGGGCCGTGGATTGAGCGCGTTTCCTTCAGGCGGCGACGGGGACTTGCGCCGGCTTCTCGTCGGCGGCAGGCTCGGGGTCAGGTTCTGGTTCGTCCGGCTTGGGGAGATTATCCTGTCATACAAAGACGTTGTCAGCCATCTGCGGCAGCATCAAGCACACACGCGCGCACACTCTGCGAGACTGTTGTTGTGTGCTCCGCTGCGCCTGCCCTTGGAGAAAGCGGGCAACAGCAACACGGGCGAGTGACTCACCACCTCATAGATGACCCGTATCATCAGGCTGCAGCTGGGGCACACGGCGATGTCGGTGGACTCGTCCTGCAGGTCGGCCAGGGCGATCTCGAAGCGGTCGCCGCAGGGGCACGGGTAGTGGTAGGTCTGGAGGGTCTCGTCGTACGTCATGTCCTCGATCTCGACCTCGTCGTAGACGGAGATTTCCTCGTCATCTGACATCTTGCCTGTCTTCTCTGTGTTATGGGTGCGCGCGCAAAACTGGCAGTATGTAGTGGTTTGCGGAGAGGTGATGAGTGTGGTGCGGGATGGGCTTGGAGGCGAAAGTTGCATCGATCGCTCCAAAAATAATTGAGCCTTGGATCTGGGGGCGAAAGTGGCAGAATACTGTGTGCGCTTTCGGAAGGCGGTGAGTCACCGAAGTCAACTCACCGGACAACTGCAACCAACATCTCTCGTCCTGTTCTAGGAGAGCACAACCTGTCAGCGTGGGGGAATGACTGAACTACTAGTTGTGTCCCACTTTCGTTGCTTGTTCGCTACTTATATTGAAGGATATCAATGTACACATTTTACCCCACCGTTTTCGATGAAGGAGCTTTTCGGTCTCAAATCAAACGACACGCTTGGAAGTTTGGGTGCTAATTGTTGTGTACCTGACGAAGCCCTCCATGTCAACATGTTACCATCATCTTTGCTGTATAGTGCCCTGCTCATACATGGCCCAATAGTGTCAGCACCTTGTCATTGCAGTCATTTCTCGAGGCTTTGAGCCATGATGTAGAATGCGTTCGCTCTGGCAGGCGGATTTCGTCTGTTCAACGCCCAGCCCACTGCCACCGTCGACTTGACTACTGTCTGGACAGACCCGCGCTGAATTTTAGTCTCAGTCAAGCCATCCCAACTTTCGGATCGCGACGCCGGTTCTATCACGCAATTCTGTACAAATACCTGCGAAGATCATCTTCGGCCATGTTCCTCATCAATCGCGCGATCCACACTGGCTTTCCCGTGTCGGTGTTCACAGTCTTCATATCATTCTGGTTGTTGTAAACCTCATCATATGAGCTGGCTGCTCTCTCAAGATCGAGGGCGTATGTCAACTGTGCTTCGTGCATCATGTACCCGTACAAACGGACTGCCCGTATGAACTCGAGGCCGCCACTAGGTATGGCTCTAGCGAACACAGAAAAGGCCCGCAGCAGTTATGCGGCCAGCTGCTCAATGTTGACCGCCCTGCTTGATATAAGCCATGGGGGCTCATTTGGCGGGAGTTTACCGGCACCAGTTGGTTCATTGGTACCCATGTCATCCTCGGTGGGGAATATGGCATCCATGGCTTGCCCCCTCCTCGTCTGCCTCGCATATTCCTCTGTGAGGAGAGATCAGCAAGCCGACCTCCTAGGACAGTGTCCACGAGAGTGTTGGCTCCTACTAGGACCTGAAGGGCTTACGCTCTTTTTTGGCATTAGGAAGTCGATCTCGTCGATGTTTTTGAACTTTGTACCGTGCCTCGTGAATGGCAGCATCAACACAGCGACAGGAACACATTGGTAAATAAGATTGTTTTCGTTCTATTTCGTTGTTGTCTGAAGGAAGGTCTAAATGATTGCCTAAAGTTAAAGGTGTCTGTGTATCAAAATATTTAATGAACATTGAGACTTGGCTTCTCGATCCCAGGCTCAAGGTCGAAAAAAAAAAGATTGCAAGCGCTGCAATCTTGACCACATCACAAGATGTGCCCCATTTCAAAAACAACGCTTCTGAGAAAACCTCCTTTCCACACAGGTCTCTCCGGCAGTTCTTTCGTCATTGGATTCCTGGAAATGAATCTCAGCGGATGTGTCCTCTATGCTGAGCTGAAGTCGGTCGACAAATTTCCGTCACAGCCCTTGACTCTCAAGTACTCGTATGCCCAGCCAACCTGTCACGAGCGCGTGACTTCTTACACGAATGGCCAGTTTGAGATGCCCCCATCTCATTGCATCGCTTGCCCTCAGTGCCCGGATAATTTCGGAATGGACGAGCTCTGCTGTTACATGAATGATGAGAAATTCGGAAGGCAAGCCAATGCTCTCAACGACGCTTCATACATTGGAACTGGTTTCAAAAGATGACATTTTGCAGATGCCAATGCTTATTCATCCAAACATTGGCAGTGGTGTCTCCGATCTGGTATGATGCCTAGTCGGCTGTGGGAAGTCACAAATAGATCCTCTTGGCTCTCAGCAGCCAATAGCCCACTGTCAAACTTGCCAACGTTAATTCTCCTACATCCACAACATCGAGTGGCATAAGGATCACACATGCAAAGAGTACGATGCGTTTCAGCGGAATTCTGCCTTCCGTAGCCAACCAACAATGCTAAGCTTGGCTCAAGGCAGGCATGAGCACAAACAGACTGTTAATGGATATTTTTTTACGTTAGTAGGAGCCATAATCGCCTAGAAACCCCTAATTTGATACATTTTGTAGCAACTGCTAGATTGTATAGGACAGCTTGATTCAGATTGTACCAGAGAGCCCGAGACGCCCTCTCGTCGGCCGCACGCAAATGGGGTCGAAGCCCACGAGTCACGTCGAGGAACAACGATAATTGCCATTAGACAACGTTAGTAAGCAGAGGGAAACACGACTTCTCCCTCCTCCCATATTGGTGTCACCCAATCGGGTGTAGTGACCCCGGTGTTGGAGTAGGTGCCGCTGTGCTCTCTGCGTGGCTCTCCACATACGTGTACAGGAGAAGCCGTAAGTGCAGCTGTACGACCGACAGGGAAAGTCTCGGCTATTTTGCAACGGCCGAAAGCCAAAATTGAGTTTTCACCCAGCTCGACTCGTCGGCACGCGCGGGACAACGCCTAGTAACACTCGTCGGCTGCGACTGAAACCAGCCAATCGGAATAGTACAAGCCGATTGGTCACAGTGACAGACCATGGTGATGATGAACCGCACTCTTATAGGGAAGCTTAAAAGGAAGTCAAGCTGTGGGATTTGCTTCTTGGACAAGGTCTTTAGCTACCAATACCAAACATGGTGTCAGTTCTCGAGCAAATTGTATCAAGCCCTGGCAGGGCACTGCCAGCAGTCGCCGTCTGCTTTTTTCTGGGAATCGTAGGCTACGTTGTGTATCAGGTTTATTTTCACCCACTGGCTCGATTCCCAGGTCCATTCCTGGCTTCTGTGACCGACTTGTGGCAAGTACACCAGTTCTTGTCGCTCAGACAACCATACAATTTGACAGATTTGCACGCCAAGTACGGCCAATTTGTTCGCTATGGTCCGGACAAACTCAGCGTCACAGCCGAGGACGCGATTCCCTCCATCTACCAGAAAGGAGGGCGAATGATGCCCAAGACCGAGTATTACGATGCGTTCGGAGCCGCTCATCCCAACGTGTTCGGGATGAGAGATGAAGAGGTAAATATCTTGATCGGGTCAGGCATCAGGACCATGCTAAGACATTGATAGAAACACTCCATCCGTAGACGTCACATGTCGCACAGCTTCGCCATTAGTTATGTCAAGGAGATGGAGAAATATCTGGATGAGAATGTTGTGATCCTGCGAAAGAAGATCGCAGCATATGCTGATGCAGGGGAATCGTTTAACCTCAAAAAGCTTTTGCAGTATTACACTGTTGATGTGCTTGGAGAGCTGGCTTTTAGTCAATCTTTTGGAATCCAAGTCGCGGACGATGAGTCCCTGGTTCCACCAGTCATTGAGCATAGTCTACTCGCTGCCGTCACTGGAGCATGGCCCGCGATGACTTTTACACTGAAGAAGTGGCTACCAAAGGTACCTCATAAGGGCCTACAAACCCTTTTCAAAGGTAGGGCGGCTTGTGCCACTTTGGCTTCCCGCTGCGTTAAGCGGAGAATGGCGGCGCTGCAAGAGGCGAAGTTGCAGGATAAGGATGAGCAGAGAAAAGACATCCTGACCAATCTCATCCTCGCAAAAGATCCAGACACTGGGGAGAACCTCACTCAGACGGATTTAGAAACGGAGGCGTTTGGATTCATGTAAGTTCTTGAACTTGGCATTCTGTCAATTCGCAACTCCTAGCTGACTTGAAGGGCATGAAAAGCATCGCGGGGACACACACGACTAGTGCAACGACAACACTGTTATTCTGGAACCTACTTCATAATCCAGACACTATGAAGAAATGCGTGGATGAGGTGGAAAGTGAGCTTCCAAATCTGGGCTCTGAAAAGGTGGCATATTCAGTCACTGAAGTAGAAGCGTTGCTGCCTTTTCTTCGCCAATGTGTCAAGGAGAACTTTCGCCTCACTCCGGTCTTCACTATGCCGTTGGCTCGGCGAGTCATGGCGCCTGAGGGCATTGTCATTGCGGGGGAGCATATCGAACAAGGAGTGAGTGACTTTTTTACTGCCTTACTTGTCTTTTTTCTTTCCCCCTCGTCGTGTCTGGACGTACTGTTCGGGACTGACATAAGACCTAGACCTCAGTTGCAGTTAGCAACCATGCATTCCACCACGACCCCAAGATTTGGGGCGCCGACCATAACGTGTTCGATCCGAACCGATGGGAGCAGCCAGAGTTCGCTAAGAGAGCGAGGTATTTAATGCATTTTGGCCTAGGCGGGCGGCAATGCATCGGCAAGACGGTGGCTCAGACTAACATCTACAAGTTGGCGAGCACTCTATTAAGGGAGTTCGACTTCTGTCTAGCAGACGAGGATGAAAGAGACTCCGTGTCGCGTGGTGATTACAGGGGCATTCTTCCGCCGCTCATCAGCGTCGGCATCAGTGATTTAGAAGGGCCTTTGATGGTGAAAGCGAAGAGAAGGCACGCGGCGTAATTTGAAATGCCGGTTATGAATTAGCAGTAGAGGCTCTAGCAATGGATCTGTGTTTTGAAAGAAGCGACCCTCATAGCATTCAATCAAGGACTGGTGATATCGCCTTAACCTAGATTTGTGAATTTTTCAGTCTGGCTGATCGGCGGTGCATTGTCGACCTCCGGGGCACTGATGCCAGGAAATAGTTTAAACGTGCCTGTTCTTCTGAGGCGGGCACCGCGGCGCGAGAACGGTACGGCCGCAAATTAGACTTGCCGGCGACCCGGCTTCTCCAACTCCAAGCAATTGAACTGAGGGCCACGTGGGGAGGACCAGATGACGACGCGTGTTTCCACTCAGGACAGGTATAATTTGATCTGGCGTTTCCCTTTGTTTTGAACAGCCACTGTCACTATTTCCCAAGATGTCACTTCGCCGGCACCCTCTGAAGCGGCCTCGGGTATCTTTAGCTTGTACGAACTGCAGGAAAAGGAAAAGCCGCGTGAGTGTTGTATTCCATCCGTCATTGATACTTCCAGAGGTGCTCCACTGACCAATGACGCCCCAAAACCCAGTGTGATGGCAGCAGACCCGCTTGTTCTTCTTGTCAAGAACTCCGTGTTAGATGCATTTATGAACCACTCCCAGAGAGCAACAGACAGCTGTAAATATTCCCCAGCGTGCTGATATATCCACATGTACGACTGACTATTCGAAGGCCAAGAGAAGCACTCCTTCGAAAAGTAGCTGAACTCGAAGCGCAGCTAAAGGCGCAGCGTTCGGAGGATGGAGAAGGCATGACGCAGACTTCTGAAACCAGCTCATCGCCTGTAACCACCGGCAGCCGTTCCAAAGAGCGTCGAAGCAGTACGGCGGTCACCGAGGGTGATCTCATCGGCGTAGACGCACTGGCTTCGGGCGCATTTGATGAAGCACCAGCGAGTGATATCGGCTTTTTTGGTATGCCTTCCCAATATTAACCATGTTTCCTGAAGCTCTGACCGTATTGAAGGCTCCAGTTCGAACCATGCTCTCTTTCGAGAAGTGTCAAAAGGTTTCTCGCAGCTCGCCAAGCGCCATCCAACGTCACACTTGCCTGCAATCAGCCGAGTCCAGGATAGTGCAGAGCGTTCACAGCCCGAAGGGACACTTTCAGAGCCCCGAAAGACATCACCGCATGACACCCAATCACTGCCGGCTAATTCCGAGCTTCTGACTTTGTCGGAGAGGTTCTTCGCCACAGTCGGGGCCGCCATTCCTTGCGTTGATGAGCCATCTTTCCTCAGATACTGGAAGGACTGCTCCAGAGATGAGTTCAGAGGCATCCCGCGTACCGCATACGCTCTTGTGAACATCGTTCTGGCGCATGCCTCTGCAACTCTGCCGAACTCGAAATGTATCCTGTTCTATAATCAATCTACAGATCTCTTGGATATGCACACAGTCCAAAGCGCAAGCATCGAGATAGGTACGCTGCTGGTCCGATTCACAAATCAGTTTGAAGTTCACGACTAATAGAACTGGAAGTACAAATTCTGTTACTCCTGTCAGTCTTTCAACAGAATCATCAGCGGTCTATAGAGAGCTGGACTACCCACAGCTTGGCCGTCAAAGCCGCTTTTCAGCTAGGTCTTCACTCGCCGTCGTATTATGAAAACGCCGCTGAGGGCCAGACTCATCGACTTTTGTGGTACTGCGTTGTAAACCAGGACAGGTGAGTCCTCCCAAGGCCTGTAACTTCATTGACTGGCTGGCTGAAAGTCGACAAAGGCTTCTTGCAGCATTTCTGGGCCGACCTTTCTTAATACCACCTCAGTACATCCGGTTTGACCTGCCAGAAGATTTAGACTTTACTTCGACAGTAACCCCAAAGAGGTCATTAATGAAACTTTCAAGTTGCCCTAAGTATTTTAGAAGCCTTGTGTCAGTATGTCAGGCCCTTGTCTACGTGCGTCGTTACTAAACTCAAGCCAGCCGTCTTCATGCAATTCGAGGCACGGCACTGGAGCTATTGTACGATTGCAACATCGATGGCTTGAGTCGACTTGCCCCGAGGGAAGTTATAACCAAGAGGCTGAACCTGGCAATGCAATTGGATGAGTGGTGCCAGAATCTAGATCACTCGCTGCAACTCCTGCAGGACGTCAACATGGCAGTGTGGCTACCGGAGTCATGGGATTCAAACAGATGGAGCATCATTCTTACCATACATTACTACGTCACGCAGCTTCTCATCAACGCCCCTGTGCTGACTATGGTTTTAGATGAGACACGAAAGCAATCATCTTCCGTTCTCCATGAGACTGCAAAACAGGTTCTCCAGGGCGACTTTGAGGTTGCAAAAAAGCTTCAAAACACTATACAAGGCTTACATTCATTCGGGGGGTCTTTTATAGACTGCAACGCTATTTGGTTTATTTGCAATTATTCTAGTAGGTCTTATTGTTTTCAAACGACCACAAGCAAGCGCTATCTGACGACACTCTTTCGTAGCTTTTACAGTCTCACTCCATGCCTTTGGCTTCCTAGTTTACCTTGCAGATGTTCAACACGATGCAGCTGAGCAAGGCCTCAATGCGACAGAGGTGCGATCGCTTCTGAACGACAGCCTCGACAGCCTCCGGCTCATCGGACGCAATAGTCTGATGAGTCAAAAAGCTTGCAAGTGTCTGTTGCGCTTCTTGGAAGTTTTTGATTCCATGAGTACGTGCCACCGTGGTTTCACGTTATTATTGTCGAACGTTGCATAGTAGGGATTGAGACTGAGTAAGGACTTCATATAGCATTCGACACGGGCCTCCCTACTTATCAGAACACGAAGAACAACACGCTGGATGTCGAGACGGGAACAGTGACTGAGTCTCTGGCGGAGCCAGTCGATGGACTCCTGCCAGATTTTGACTTCTCTCAGTTTATCACAGACGCAGCTGATGAATTCCTGTTCCAATCATGGCAGACATCCCGGCAGTGGTTGTAGTGGCGAGGAGCGAGAAGATGCGGCGCAAGAACTGTCAGAGCTTCGAGAATCAGGTACCAAGCCAGTATTATCTATCTGATATTAATCTACTGGGCGAACCGAATCCGGCATCTGCTGTTCTGGCTGTCGACTCCATGCAAGTAGCGCATCGAAATCATTGCAAACGTGAGCTGCGGTTCGATGCACAACGGTTGGCTCACCGGGACTCCCCCCTTCAGCAGTGCTATCCGCAAAGCACCTGATAGCATCAAATACATAGTTGAAACAGTGTGCACTGTGTTCGGCCCATGTCAAGTGCTCTAATTTCATGCTGCCGGGGAGCTGCGGGACTGCTTTGCCTTGGGCCAGGTTACCGTAGTCTTCAAGAATGGCTGACTGTAAGCATGACAAAAAGACAAGAGTCAGTAGCGCGCTCGTAGGTAATTCGTTTCAAAAGGGGAATGTCCCATGAAATGATGCTTTACTTACCAGACAATGTATTTGGTGGAATGCGGACACCTCAAACAGATCTAGGGGAAGAGGTTTCTCACGTCCTTGCCCATCATACGAGGAGGCTTGAACGAACACTATGTGAAAGATGTCAGTAGAAAGCAAAACGGAGATACGATTCGGAGCTATTGATGTCTACTGACAGGTACCCATTGACCTCCACGTATTCACGGTGCGATTGAGCAGGCCTGGGTCTGTAAAGGCTGCCGGTTCAATTTGGAATACATGAGGCTCCCATGGCTTGATCATCGTCCTGGTGCTGACATCTGTCATCAATTGTTGTCAAAGTCTAATTCCATTCAATAATCCTGAAGTTGTACTCCTGATCCGACTTACCTGCAGGAACGATGCCGCTTAAATCAATTCCAGCTTTCCGATTTTTAAAATCATTCTTGACCATCCGCGGCGCCACAGGGCCACGAATGAGCAGGACAAGGACTGCAATGAGTACCAAAAGAATGCTGGACTCCAGGGCAAGGTGAACAAGGCTTATTGGCCTGCCAACTTTCCTTCTACTCGTGAAGCGAGGTTCAGGCTCAGAGCTAAAGGACGTGGCGGATGACAGTCTCTTCAACAACTTGACCTCAGCATCATCCATTTTCACCTATTGAGGTGTAAAAAGCGGGCTCCTCGTTGTCAAGGGGCTATTTGTCTGTTAGACTTGATCGTTCGTCTATCCAACACAACAAATGAAGTCCTAGATTGGTGACCGGGTTTATTGTGACAATGCACAAAATTCATAGGCGTTGCGTTGTCAACAAAGCCGCAGGATGAGCAAATGCGATTGATCCGAACTGTGGTTGAGAAGGAATGGCAGGCATGGTGGCGGGTTGGCCGCCGGAACTGGTCCGAGAGCCCGGACACCGCTGTTCCGGCCACGCCTAAGCACATCCTGGATGACACTCCTTCGCAAGTTTGCAGCAACAGCACGTTCACCCCACCATGATTGGGGGAGAAAGTTGGCAAACTAGTCCCACGATTTTTTGTGTACCATTCGGCGAAAAGACCAACAACCAAGGACCCAAAGCCGTGATTGCAACCCAATCGAGTTCCTGTCATTCCTTTGTCCGCGACTTTCCTCGAGATGTGGGCTTTCTCTAGGGAAAAATCCTCTAAATTGTTGCCGAAGGGCTATCCTTGGCCACGGGCACATCTGTTGTCGTATGAAAAGGTTCAGGGGGCCGACGAGGTGGACTCGAACGATGGCTCGCCTGTCGAGAATGGGAAAACAGTGTCAGCTGTGTCCCGATGGGAGCGCCTTTTCTGGGCTTTGTTGACTGCAGTCCTTCTGATCATTATCATTGTAAACCACATAATCGCGATTCAGATCCAACGGAGGACATACAAAAGTTCAAATTATGAAACAGGATTCGTGACCGATCTGAGTAAGTTGATTAAGATATAGCGCTCTCCAGGCGACCACGTGGATGGAATTCCAGCTAAACTGCATTCTTCAAGGTCTACCAACCGAATCGATCACGCTCAAAAAAGTTGTCTTCACAGGTGGCGTTGATAGGCATTCCGATGGCGAACTTTTCCTCAACACCAGCGGTTCCAGAAAGCAATACGTTGGGGAGCCCTCCAAGGAAATTGAGGAAAATTGGGAAGAGCTTGAAGCAGGTGAGTAAAAGGATTTGGGGAGAAACAATGACGACCAGTCTCGAATTCAAATTAACATTTGTGTTCGCCAACAAGCAATCGAACTCGTGCTTACCAGGGACGAGACTCGAACGAAGGGTGGTGATTACGTGGAAACCATGCACGACCCTGGCTCAGAGACAATGTACCGCGTGAGGTAGGCAGGCGTTAAGCAAGTGGTCGACGAAGATGCAAGAGCTATATTGCTAATCGACCCCAACCAGCATCGATGTCATACACTCTCTTCACTGCGTGAACCAGTTGAGGAAAGCAGTCTACGCACATCATTACTTTCCCGGGAAAGAGACTCCCTTCTATTTCACCCACATGAGTAGACAAAGCCTTGTCCTTTTAACAAAACAATTGGGCTTTTTACTGATTTGGACCTCTAGATCATTGTCTGGAGCATCTACGCCAGTCAATTCAATGCCATTCAGATTTAACACCTTTGGCATATACTTTTGACACCGAAAGCTGGAAAGGAACTCCTATTTGGCAATCCGAGCATACGTGCCGAGACTTTGAGAAACTTCTCAAGTGGGATCAATCCAGGCTGGCGGTGGCATTGTCGGACTAACGAGATTTGTGAAGCAAAAACTTAGCTAAATAAATCCAAATTCATGCAGTCCATGGGTCCAAATTGCCATAAGAACTATCCTGTGGCAGTGCGCAGAATCAAGATGTGGCGTATGGGTAGCTTGCTGCTAGAAACTGGTCCGGAACAAGGCCCGTCCACCTTCGCTAGGTCCGAAGTCCGGCCCCCCAACCGGACCGCCCGCCAACTCCTGGAGTATCCTTTCAAGTCAGTTTTTCCACCTAGGAATGGACAGAATTAACCGGCATTGGACTTGTCGAGTTTGCATAGCTGCCAATAAGCCTCTCACCTCACCAGTCGCCGACTTGACTCCCTCAGTGGGTTTTTTTGGTCGTGGCAGATCATCGCCCACATACCTTTCAAGCATTGCTGTTTTCTTGCTCTACCCCAATCATGGCTTGGTTTCGAGACAGTCGTTCTTCGTACGAAAAAGCCCCTCTCAGCGACCTGGACCTTTCCAGCGACGACGGCACACTCACTCCTTCACATCACCAAACCACAAAGCAGTCAAAAATATCTCATGTCAGAAATGTACTTGGGGCCACATGTCTTTTAGTCTTCTTTGTCAGCTGGGCTAGCTCCATCATCCTCGCCTTCAGAGCTACAGGCGAGCTCGCACGGGCAGGACACATTCTTTTCCCCAATTCGAGGCCATCTTATGTCTCCGGAGCCCACCTCGATGCACCACACTTCGGTCTGCTCTACAACAGCTCCTACTGCAATGGCCTTAAGGATCCCAGCGGTGCGCGAGAGCGCGGATGTGTACTAGACCCCGTCGCCGGAGGCTGGATCCATAAAGAATGCAGCGATCCGGACCTATTGGCAGAGTTTCTTAAGCTGCCTGACTTCGGGTGGTACCTGGACGAGAACCGAACTCAGCCCATATCGCAGGCTGATGTGTTTGCCGGCCGAACAGGTGGACGCAAAGTCTTGTATACGGTTGATGATTACCACTTTCGTCACTGCGAGTTCTCGTTGAGGTCGCTGATCAGGAATAGTGTGAGAAGGGATGTTGGTCTGGGGTTTCTACTACTGGATCATGAGCACATGAATCACTGCATGGAGAGAGTGACATATTTCAATAGTCCTGAAATACGGCAACACCCAGACGAGACGGTGGTGTTGACAGGCTCTGCTGAGTGCTACAAGGCGTTATAGATAGAGAGTGACAATAAGACGCATGAGTGTAAAAACTATGTTCGTCATATCGAAGCAGAATAGTGAAGTTGCCACTTGCATGCAAGCTAGAATATTTCAAAAAGGCCTCAGTATAGAAGTACCAAATTAGAGACAGGATTGAGATCGAGAAAATCAACAAAGAATATTCCACTTTCGTTGCCACACTCGTTGCCGGAAATCAAATCCGTTTGGAAGATTTCAGGACAAGTACTTTGCGTCTTACGAAGAGCAAAATGAACACTTTTCTTATGAACGATTTTAATGGTATTGATTTTTAGAAATTTCCTCTTAATCACTAAAACCTTCCATGTTGGACGCCCTTGATGTTCCTGCCCATGACCGGATCGCATCATAATTCTTACATACATGGTACGAGCCAACCCCAAGTGTACCTGCCTCCTCGAGGCCGGCAGCTTGGCCCTCCAAAGCCGAGTCCCCGCAACACATTAAAGAAGATCTGAGATAGTCGAAACAGTGGCTCATATGCTTGTATGCCTCTGATCCAGGACCATGACCTTCGTGAGCATGGTCTCCATGGCCATGGTGAGCCCCGTCCCGACGAGAATGTGCGCTGCTTTCCTTGTAAAGCACATTGAACTCCTTGAGCATGAAGTGAAGGCAGTGAAGCTGATGAAACACTGCGACAGAGAAGACGTCGTCGCCGTGCGTCTTCATGGGTGGCGGCAGCGTTTCCTGATGCTTCTCCCAGTCTTTGACGACGACAAAACCGCTACCCACTGGCCCCATATCAATCAGTCAGAGCTAATGAGTAAACTGAACATATGAGTTGAAATGTCTAAAGCATACCTGGCATAATATCTGTCCATCCCGGGTCTGTCTCATTCATGGCGAGACGCCCTTGCTCCCAGGTCGTCGTGAATTTAATTGTCCGTGGTCCATCTAATGGCAAAATGCAGTCAGTCATCATATCCAAAATATTAAGACTGATGTGATTCTGGACCTACAAGTATTAGGAACCAGGCCGTGAACCTCGCCTAAAGGTTCTGTTATTGGCGTAACATGGGATAACTTCCAGGCAAGGAACGACTGGCAAACAACCATCGAAACAAGCACAGAGTACAATGCATAGGCTCGAAATGAGTCAAGACAGTCTTTTAGATACGACCATTTTGTACGACGTCTCCAGCGTGCTACTGGCTGTTTCTCTCCTTCCTCGCCAAGTAAGGGGTTGTCGGCTGCGTGGCGAGGAATAGCCATGCTTGTTCGTGATGGCGATGTCATTTTCAGAGTCTCTCTATGGTCCACGGTAAGAAACTACCAGCAGGACAGAAACCATAGATGGCTTGAGAAAACAAGGAGCTACTAATTTGGTGACTGAAGCCCAACTGCTGAGGTGGACCTATGCTAAGGTGGCTCGTCCCCGCAGGAGCCAATTCCTTCCCGGTTCAGGCTGATGTCCGGAAAGTTAGAGATACGGACCGGAGTACTTGAAGACTAGTATTATCTCAACCCATAGGTGTCTAGGGCTCTAGGCCGGATGAAATCTCCACATCCGAAACCTGCTCCGGGTTCGGAGCAAAGCCCGGATGAATCACAACGCTCAGTTGGTGTAGGACATTTTCAAGTTTTCCGGATTTGTCACAGTCCCTGATTTTCTTGGTACCTGCCAATGCATGTGTTCTAGACAGCAGTACTGCATACTGTCAAGTTGTGTAATGACTACGAAGGATCATCCCGGTCCGGGCGGTCGGTCTCGTGCGGTGTTCGATGGCGCAAGGCTGCTCTATAGCCAAACTGACAGCTAAATCATGAGTATATCTTCTGTAAAGACAAAGATATTCTAAGCTGAACTTTGCCACGAAGTCCAAATTTCACACAGTATCAGAGTAAGCCCCTTGTCAAACTATTCCCAGCAAGTCACCACCTCAGCTTTCAAAATGCAGATCAAAGCTTTCATTGCAGCCTTGCTCTCAGTCGGGGCTCTTGCCGCCCCCGTGCTGAATGACCGGTGAGTACGACAAAGATTAACATCATGCTGGAGTCTCATTTACGAACCTAATAGTAGATCTTACTTGATTGCTTACCCTGAAGAGGGTGGTGCTGAAGCTGAGAAGCGGTCGTACCTTATCGCCTACCCCGAGGAAGAGGGGGGTGAGGTCTCCAAGAGGGCTTACCTTATTGCCTACCCTGAGGAGGAAGGTGCTGAGGTTTCCAAGAGGGCTTACCTTATTGCCTACCCTGAGGAGGAAGGATCTGAGGTTTCCAAGCGATCCTATCTCATTGCCTATCCGGAGGAGAATGGGGCCGAAGTCTCCAAACGCTCATACTTGATTGCGTACCCTAAGGAGGAAGGTGCTGAGGTTTCCAAGAGGGCTTACCTCATTGCGTACCCCGAGGAGGAGGGAGCTGATGTCTCCAAGCGGGCTTATTTGATTGCCTACCCTGAGGAGGAGAGCGACGTCGCCAAGCGAGCCTACCTCATCGCATACCCCGAGGAGGAGGCCAAGGCCAATGTTGCCAAGGAGTAAGAGATACACTCTTGGTCCAACCTGGTTTTTGGGGTATATCGGCGACCGGTGAGGTTGTTGGAGGTGCCTTATTATCCAACCAGTCGAAGGGCCATAACAGGCTGAGCTTAGGAGAAGAAAGGAATGGGCTTTGGAATGACATGGTGGAAGGCGTGGCGGGAGCACGCCTCTCTCGGAATAGTGTAGAGGCATCTCCTGGATCCATATAGCCACACAGGACTTCGTTGAAAATGTGGCACTATAGGTTCATGTAACTAGCGCTCAATCAATGACGTTGCATGACTTGCTCACTGAAAACTTTTCTGTGCCTTGAAGCATTGAGCTGTTCTTTTTGTATATCTCGTCGATCAGACATACCTTGACTTCAATCAATTACAGACGCAGGGGACCATCAGGTATCGCACATCAGGTTGAACTACTTACATCGATCTGGAAATTGGGTGACAGCTTACATGACACTCAACAACAATTAAGGAGTACATACCTGACTTCCATAAAAGCGGGTTGTGAGCCATATTTCATCAGTATACCATCCATCATGGCAAACCACCTTGTTGTAGTCATCTTCACGCATTTCTAGACGCCGCTGTGGTCTTCGGCTTATTGGCGGGACCCGTGTGTTGTGTTCTATTTATCCTGTGACTACACAACATTCAAATCTCCTGGAGCCCAGCCAGTTTCCAAATGACCCGCCAGTCTCGACATATATGTTCGACTCCAAAGCCGCTGGGGTCTATGTAGTCTCCACCCAAAGGCTCCAAAGTGGCGTCCGCAGCACATATTATGTCCTGTGATGAAGTCAGCACCATGATCAGATCAGAAGTTAATATCATTACCAAAGTGGAGATAGCTTTACCTGACGAATGGTGTCAAAACAGTGGCCAAGGTGATAACGACGGACGATGGACTCAGGGACTTCGGCATTGTAGTCGTCATGGAACGATTGGTTGGTGGTAAGTTCGGTGAAGATTTCGCGAATATTCGTCAAGCAGTGTATCATGTGCACCATGTCTATCGCCCTGGTGACCTCTTGGCCAGCTTCATTCTGCCATTCGGCCATGCTTGTCTCCCACCAATTCTGTGGCACCAGAGTCTGCCATATCCTAAGAGTCTCCTCGTCGAATTCGCGCAAGTTTGGGTGTTCTGTGAAGGTGTAGAGCCGTGGTGGGAGGTCTATGGGAGACTGAGAGATGTCTCTGTCCCATTGTCGATGGAAAATAAACCCTAGAATCAAGGATATTGCAGTGAAAACAATACTAAGGCATGCTTTCAAGTTGATCTTGGACTTGTCAGTCGAAGAATCTAGCGCCAGTGGTGTATATCCCATTTTTGTGGACGACATCTGAGCATTGGAAGATGCCACCTGTCAGACCACTGAGCGCTAAAAAGAATTCAAATTTGTGACAAGTAAACGCGGTTTCGCGAGCATGCGAGCTACACCTGACGTTCTGAGGTATAGAGCATTGGAGGTAGGAGATTAAACATCCTTCGGATAATGGAGATCCGGACCAGCCCTACGGGCCGGGAGCCATGGATCTTCTCCGGAGGCCAGTACGTTTAAGAGATTTAATTAGCAAACCTTGTTTAAAGGGCACGATTCCTCCATTCCATAAGTTTGCTCGTAACCAGGGCCGATTCTTGACTTGCCATGGCTTCTTTCAACGCTATTTACCTTCCGTGTGTTATTATCACGGCAGCTATCTTTGCCGTACTGTCCTTCCTAGGGCCGCCTCTGCCAGTGACACGGGATACAAATATTCCGGAACAAGCGCTGACATGGCAAATCCAGCTGAACAATGACAGCTACGGCGGCTGGAATGACGAATCCGACCAACTGTGGGACACCATTGTGCCCAACAATGGCGTCGTTCTCGCTACGAACTTGACCAGTGGATTCCACTTCTGGGCCAATGTCGCCATGTTCCACCAGCTGAAGTGCCTTCGGGACATTCGCAGCCGACTTATCGCCTTGGCAGGATCCTGGGACGAAGTCGAGGCCTTCACCGCATGGCGCGGACCAGGCTCAGAGTACGAGCGCATAGGATCCTGTTTTGACTACGTCCGCCAGGTGTGTAGATGCCTTCCAGACCGCCCCCACGTTCCCTTGTCGACTGTGTCTCCGCTCGCTAACACGTTGCATAGGGAATCCTTTGCCACGCCGATACAACCTTACACCCCAAAGCAATTGTTTCCGAAGAACGCTTTGTGATTGACGGAAACGCCCTGTGGCATAAATGCAAAGAGAGTACGGCGTTGTACAATTGGGCGATCCGGTCCGGACCGCCACACAAGGTGAGTTAGACCCGGAACCTCGAAGGATCTGGGCCGGCTGGCTGTTAGGTGGAGCCCGAAGGAAGGCTCAGTGCTAACACCAAGGCGGCCGCAGGACCCGCGGGTGTTAGAGCAGCCTAGCTCGTAATCAGGTGAGCAATCCAATGCTGCAGCGGGGCTCTGGGCTGATATAAGGATTGCCTCCCAAAAGGACCATCTTGCGGGATCTCATCTAGTTGCCAGATTGAGAGACTGTAGGATTTTGAACCTTGTGTGGCGTGCATTAGTCGTCTCGCTTGCTTACCTTGTCAGGAGAGCAGGGGAAAAGACAATTGAATGGAATACGGAGCCGCAGAAACCCCGCTCTTATCCCTTTGGAATCATTGATGGGGATTTGATGATAATGCTCGGAAGCGTTTTGACAGCTGAAATATGCATGGCACTTTCAGACATCCAGATCACTCCAAATGCTACACAATGTCTATTCAAGGGAAGGGAAAAGGGAAAAGGAGTTGTGGGTAGTGAATCATGGATACTGGTATTTAACCGTTAAAATAATCTCTTCCAGCCGGCCGAATTTAGTGTGGGATCACACCAGTAGGGGCCAAATGCATGCTGATTATGCACCTTGATTGGACTACATAGAAAAAGTCAGGGACACACCTTGGCATCCACGGGTGCTCTGCCAGGGTGGTGCTCTGCGGCCCTCGGCACATACCGTATGCCGCTTAGCTAACGTGGTATACACATGTATTTTGAATGTCAGCCCCTGCCTATGAGCAAGCAAGACATTGTTAGGCTCGCTGATGGCGAGTTTCGCCTGTTGCGGAAACAAATTTCGATCTGTTATATCTCGAACTCGTTTACCTCGTGTTTGTGTTCTCAACGTGCAGCTTCACGTACGAAGCGTTAAGCAGCCCCATGAGAATGCCATCAAACCAGCAAGATTATGAAAAGCCCAAGATCACCAGGCGGCAGGGAGCCTGCCAGCTGTGTCGTCAGAAGAAAGTGAGGTGTGAGTACGCCACTTGCCAAGCTCCTAGGCCACCGCCATCAGACTAATATTGATTTACAACTTTTCAGGCAACGGCGAACGTCCTTGCGCGTTCTGCAAGGTTTGAACAGGCTCTCAAATCATGTTTTTTACTACATGTGAACTGCTATATCACTAACCTAATGCCCTCCTGACAGAGAAATCGTGCACACTGTGACTACCAGGTCACAAAAGCAGCCAGCCATGGTCACAGCCGTTCCCAGTCACAAGTTGATTTTGACTCTCCTCGGCCAGGAACTGCACCTGTCAGGGAATCCAACTTCAGCGAATGGAACAGTGACCTGGGGAACCTCGCTGAAACCACTGGAGATCTGAACAGGATCGAGTCATTTTTTGATATCGATCCTGCCCTGGGAGGGACCTTTGAAGGACTCGCTGACTCACACCACCTTCATCGGCTCCAGAGTGCTGCCCCGGACCGAAACGACGTTGATACTGGCGCCATATTTTTGTCACCACAGGGTGAGATGGCGAAAAAGACTCCTTCATGCAATTTGATATTGACTTGTTGTTGCAGCTTTCCTTGGTGTCGAAAATCAGGACGAAGAAGTCCATCGACACAGCCAAGAAGAACTTGCGGGCAACGGTCTCACCTTACTGGACGCCCTATTCACCAAGGCATCGAGTCCAGCGGTTGCCACAGCACAGATAGAACAGAAATGGACCAGCGTTGAACTTAATTCGAGCCATAGGGGAGACCAGTCGTCACTTATTGACGAAGAGGCGCCTCTCAGTCCACGGAAGCGTTCTAGAGGGAATTCTGCGCGCCAATTTTGGCCTTGTCAGAGTATCCAATTGATTTGCGACGGACAGGTGAAATGGCTATCCGCTCTATTCCCGGCCTTACCCAATTCCCCAGAAAGTGTTGCTTCGCAGAATGCATGCGTATCTGATTTGATATTGGGACTCAATGATTCTGGAATGGATAGTGTCCGCCGCCATGCTTTCAGCCAATTGATCACAAGGCTTTTGTCAAGGAAATGCCAGACAGGGTTTCCGATTAGTTGGCTGTCACAGAGCAAAACCAATGCCATGTCCCCAGGCTTTACCCCAATCAACCTCCAGAGCCTGCCATTAGAGAAGTTTGTTGGACGTGAGTATTAGCAACCCAATATATACCACACAAATTGCTTCGTACTTTCCAGAATTGAAAACAGTACTAATGAGATCTTGTAATAGGATGTTTTGATGAACCGTGGGGGTATGTTAATCAGATGGGACTTCTCGATAACATTCGTGACTGACCATGAACGTCGTTATCAAGCGTCAAAGAATACCTCGATTATTCTGAAGTTCTTTACATTATCCGTTCTATTATCGCCCAGGCCCCAACACCATTAGAAACCCCAGAGTCACCTCAGCAGACCCTGGGTGTGTTTCTCGTCAGCATTCTAGCTGTCTGGGGGTCGCTTTTGAGCCCTGGCCATGATGAAACAACCGTACTTGGTCTGATGGCGACAGTCCTCGAGATGGAAAGACACATCACTTTGGAGGACGACTCAATACCTAAGTTCTGCGTAAGTGATCCATGAATAGTTGCACTTCAGGAAACTCTCCTCGCCTAATCAAAATCATGCTCTAGGCCATCGTTACCATGGTAAGCCCAGCACAAGACTTTGATCCTGATGTTCCATATGACTACAAAATGCAGATATGAGGTGAATCAGAAAGAATACCTTTGCTGATAATGGAGAACAAGCTTCAACTCGCCCACAAGCTCGGCCTGTCTATCGTGCCGAGGCTCCTAGGCCAAGCCGTGTCTCTCATTCAGTCCATGAATCTGCACTCAAGCTCCGTCCTCAGAGATAGCTGCACGCACCAGGTTATGGTGCGTGTCAAGTCTGCTTGTTGGGTTGTTTCCTGCATTGACAAGGTCTACGCAATGAGGTGGAAGACATTTCCCGTTAGTGACTCTCATTCTGCATGCACTGATTATGCAAGTAGAAGCCACCATCGCTGATGATTCCGCTGTTCTCATCATAGATGTTGCCAGAAGCAGTTCTTCAGTATGATCCACCAGGCCGTGCAGCAGACGACCAGACCAGTCCAATCGATGACTCAAAGCTGTGGCTTCACTCACAATGCCGGTATGCAAGGATATGCTCCACTATCGCCGCAGTCCGCAATTCGCATCAATCTTTGGATAGCAAGCTGGAATTGGACATATCGAAGCTTCCTAAGGAATTAGAAGAATGGTACAGCTCAGTGCCAAAAGCTGGTCAATTGCTGCGCGATCGGCCTACTGCGTCTCCTATACAGGAGAGCAGACACATTGCAGTATGCACTCTGTACCAGTACCAAGAAGCAAACTTGGCTATTTTGAGCTTGCCGACATCATCGGAAGTTTCAACCGAATCAAATTTAACGTCTTCGCAACCTGTTTGCACATGGTCGCACGTCGACAAGGTGGTCGCATCCATCAAGCAGATCTTTGCTGCCAGTCACAAGATTGAGGATCTGATGTATGACCGGTAAGTCCATGAAATGAGCTATTTGGACCAAGTCGTGACTTTATGGTTGTTCTACGCTCACACGTCGGCGGTGTAATCTTACAGAATACTCCTTTACTTGCCCACGTTAGCGTTGTGCAGACTGGCGGTCGAATATCAACGCGGCCCACGCATGGCTCCGCGTGATGCACGCACCTTATTTGCAGTGGCACATGGCTTTTTTGCAAGGCTATCATCTTCCCTCCCTACAGAGGACTTCTTCGACCAGACCAGCGAGCTTGTTGATTTTATCATGCAATAATGCATCGAATAGGAGAAATTAGAATTGGGGACGCGGCAACCTCAAAGTGGTGATACAAAACATCGGCACGTGTAATAGTAAATTTTTGGGTGGAGCAATTGACTTCCAAATATCCCAACCTTCATTCGTGTGAAGTCACTGTACGTAAAAGAATGACACCGTTGTGTCCTCAACAGCCACCTGAGTCCGAAGTAAAGCATCCTGCTTCATCCAATAGACCTGACCTTCTGCCGCAGTGACCATTTTCTGCGTGTCAGTATATGCACGGCAGTTAACCATCTCGAACTGGTCGAAATCTACCAGTGGCACATTCTTGCCGTCCTCAACCAGCCAAAAGTCCTCCATGATCCATTCCGCATTCAGGCCCTTCAACTGGGCAGAGCTTGTCGGGGCGTTGAGGAACTGGTCAATCGTCTCATTCTTGTTTCGATTGCGCACAGTCGCCTTGCCGTGCGTCCCATTATACATGACCACTTCCAGATCGAGAGTGTCTCCTGGCTCCAGGGCGTGCTCGAGAGGGAATGGCCGCGTCCTGTCGGGCCACCACTCGTACCATGCTTTGTCTAACACAAGTTAGATACCGGCCCATAAGCCCAGTACAAAATGGGTATCTATCAAATTCTAATCGTGTAAAGACAGACGGAATTTAGTAGGGTTGGTGCAACACGTACAGCTCACGGCGCCGGACGGGTACAATAGCATGTCCACGCCGGTTTGCAGAATAGCCTGCTTGCTGGACTCGCCATCAAGGCCGACCCATACTGAAGCACTCCATGGCTCAACTCGGGGGCCACTCGTGTTGTGGGCAAGGAGAGGATGTCGGGGGAGCGTGATGGTGGCCAGAGTAGCTGCAAAGCGTGATGAGTCCGGCGGTGGCGAAGACAAGGCAACGCCAGCCCAATTCCGACTGTAATTTACTGGCACGCTTTGAGTCGGATCTTTGCTCGGCGCTGGGTTGAGCTTTGTTGGCTTGAAGATGCTCGCCGCTGGGCTTGGACTCGGGGCTGGGTGTGAGACAACGCAATTGTCATTTGCATTTTCCCACCGATCAATCGCTGTGAGATAGACCAAAATGCCGCCGACTGAAATGGCGAAGGCGAAGCCAATCAGAAATGAGACAATCATGGCCCTGTAGGGCTTGACATGCCGCATTGGACGGATGCGGCCTTCTTTGGCGACGGGCAGCTCATCATCAGAATCTGAACCTGTTGTTGTGGCCACTTCATGGTATGATGAGCTCGGAAAGACTTTCTAATCATCCTCTCATCAATCAGCTCCATCGTAACCTCACTGTGTGAAGTCTTATTTGCTTACATTTCGGTACAGCCTCTGCAAGCCTGCCCAAATTCCAGCAGCCTGGTTTTGATTCATTTTGCACACTCAAGCCAGTGATAGGGTAAGTGAGTATTTCACTTTAGATCGATGAGATGATTTTAGAAACAATTTTTGGTAGTCGATATCGTGCGGTCCAACACTCCTGGACTGTCCAACCGGAGACTAGCCCCGCGAATTCGGATCCGAGAGAGCTTGCACTCAAGGGGGCGTGTAATCAACAGCCATGTAGTGCGGCGGATGCAAGGCAATCCAGAACCAGCAAGAAGGCGCTAGTCCATTCAGTCAGCCGGTACTATCGCTTTGTTTCCAAAGGATGAGGCCGCTTGCATGAACAAACTAGGTCTTCGGACCGGTCTCCACTTGCCAGGCACAGTCTCGATCCTTCCGAGACTCTGTCCAGCTCGGGGCATCCCCCTCTCATATGCACCCCGGGGGTAAGCACAACAGCAAGTAAAGACCCGTCAATCACCAAGACGGTTACTGACTGAACACATCAATACACTAATCGTAGCCAGATTTTTAGATCTTGCAGATTCAGTTAGTGAGCATCGTGGAAATAATTGTTCTTGAGTTCCGAGAGAAACAATTGTCAATCTGAAGGAATGCCCTCGAAGCTGTGCCTTGTGAACAAGTACGTACTGACAAAGCCATGGACAAAATGGAGGAACTCGGCGCGTCAGAATCGGTCGAGGAAGGGACTCTTCGAAGTCCAAGGATCAAAAACTTGATTCTGTTCAGCAGCCCATTATTTGGGTATGTACGATGCGAACCTTTACCAATCGGGCTTCCAAAAGTCTCTGAGCTAATTCGTTTGATTTCCTCAGAGTACAACTTGCTTGGACGATCCAACAGGTTTATGGACTTGTAAGCTATCTATTGTCACTCAGAAAATGTACAGAGCGAGAAAGACTGACGTTAGGGCTTGCTCGGCCATGTGAAGCCATACCTATCGTCACTGGGCTTCTCTGCCACTCAACTTCCCTTTCTGATACTTTCAGGGCCTCTGGCCGGCTTGATTGCCCCACCTGTGTTCGCCATACTAAGCGACACTTGCCAGAGCAGGCTTGGTAAACGCAAACCCTTCATCTTCGGTGGAGGGGCAGCAGTTGTTCTGTCGCTTTTGCTGCTCGCCAGGGCAAAGGAACTGGGCGAACTCTTGTCCACATCCTTTTCAGCGGCGGGTGTAAACACTTTGCTGGCTAAGACGATCGCGACAATTTCTATTTATTGCCTTAATTTTGCGATGCAGCCGCTCTATCTGGGGATACGTGCCTGGTCCGTCGACTTCTTTTTGCCGCACCAGCAGCCCGTCATCAGTTTGTGGAGCAGCAGGTTCATGTCTCTGGGTTCTCTATTTGTTGCTTTCGTCGGATACGGGAGCCAAAAGCCTTCGTTTGAATCGCTGGCGTTTGTATCGGCCGCAATTCTGACTGCCGTACTGCTGCTTATTTTAGTGGCTGCTCCAGCTGATACACGCATGACGCCTGGCAATGACCATCGTGTTCGAGTCCAGATGCCTACCTCGTTGCATACTCACGCTTGTCGGCTCGTGAAAAAGATTCAGGATCTACCTCCAATCACACGACATGTTTGTCGTACCCAACTCCTTGCCTGGTTCGCTTGGTTTCCAATTCTACAATATAGCAGCAGGTAAGCTACCCAAGCATTACCGAGCTCAAATTTCGAGGATTTGTTTAATTGACAGACCGTGATAATTACAGCTATGTCTACGAGGTTTACGAGGCAAACACTTCCCTAAATCCAAACGCGGCGATCGCAAGAGTGTCGTTGATGTTTTATGTGGCCATGTTCGCCACAAATCTGGCTGTCCCATATCTCTGGCGGTTTTCAGCGAAGGAATCGTCTGAATCCAGCTTGTCGGAAAATGAGGGTAATGGGAATCATTCTCACCACACGCGGGGGGATCACGTCTTGCTGCAGACCTGGCGCATTTGCTTGATCATTTTGGCAATCTGGCTGCTAGGACTATCCCTCTCCTCGTCGCGGCCCTTAGCTGTGTCCATCATCTTTGCTGCTACAGGGGTTCTGTTTGCGATTGCAAACTGGGTACCGTACTCCCTTATTTCGCAGGAGATATCATCGCGCTCGAAATTGAAACATGAATGCGAAGGAGTTGATCACGAGCTTGAGCACGAGGACAGCGGATCAGATACCGCGAGACTATTGGCCATTCACAATATGTCGATTACTGTCCCCCAAATTCTTTTCTCGCTTGCTAGCGCTACGCTTCTGTCAATTTTAGGACGGCTAGGAACACCGCTGGATGTATCGTGGATCTTTCTTATGAGCATTCCAGCAGCAGTCCTTTCAGCATGGCTGGTCTAACGAGAATTTGTCAATCATAAAGCAGCAAGAGAGAGCTCCTGGGACTTGTTGTTCTCTCCTTTCCGTAATGAGACGCTTCCATTTACCACTCTTGATAATTTAATCATTTTCTGGTCCCGGGCTTGACAATACAATGTTACCGTGCAACTACTCGCGAACATGCTTTGTACAAGAGAGTGATAAAAAAAGCATAAACCTACTTTCTTCACTTTACTGAATTGTAGTTTACTGAAACGATTCATTTTGATCCTTCAGATTGACAAGGATTTCTCCCTATACGGCGATCTCAAGTCAAGAGGTGTATATGACGCATTCAAGTGCTGACAGTCTTGGATTTGTGTTATCGTGAAGATGGCTCTTTTTGTTTGACCCGCGAGACTTGTGCTCCAGCTCGCCCAACTACCAGATGGAACACAAGACTCTACCTAGGTATACCTGAGAATATCGCACTCTAGTTCGGTTCTAACATAATTACAGCCCTGCACCAAACCAGCTCCATTCTACGAAAGTGTCACCTCCACTTCAATATCATGCTCTTCATTGTAGATGGGCAGGGCCGAAACATTGACCTTCCCATTCCTCACAGCCCCAAGCTCAGGATGAGTCAGCTGGCCTGGCGAGTGGAGGCCATTCTGTCTGGCCCAGTCCCTGACATGCTCAAAGTTCCGACACTGGTGATGATTCGTCCAGATCGCCCATGGCTCGATCCAGCCTGGTGCCCATCGTTGTGGTATCACACTCATGTCTGCGTGGCATTGTAAAGATAGCCGGATGCTATCAAGGCAGTGGGCTGAAAGGCGATACAGATGATTAGTACCAGGTCAGGTGTCTACCCGCAAAATAATGTCACAAGGAATGTTAGGCATGGCTTACGGATGTGGTACTTCATTGGGATGTCCTCTTCCCCAGGTTGGTTCTGGTATACGGGCGCATATAGCAAAGTCTTCTTTCGAATATAATTCAGGCAGTGAAGTTGGTGGAAAACATCTAGACCAAAAAAGTATCCAGAGCCGTCGTCAAACTGAATTGAATCTTGGCCCATGTCGTTGACCTTCTCTTGGCTAATGTTCACCCATCCCTCTGCGAGTTCATACCAGCGTGTGAGCAAAATGTTTCTGAGAAATACGGTCTCAAGGCCGCACTCACGTTCTGTTCCTATGACAATCTTTTCCCATGCTGCATCTGCGATTGTTGGATCAAGACTTGTGTACGGCGATCGGACTCCGATAGGCAAGTGCCATGTCTTCTCTTCCGTTGCTCTTGGAATTCCATCGGGCTCTTCAATTTCATTTCTTGTCAGTAATGTGAGGCGTCGATTTGGAAAATGCATTACATGGCGTACCGTATCGCCCGTACTGTTCCGGACAGCCAGGTGGATTTGCGTGTTTGAGATTTGTAAATAAGAGCACGGCATTGAGAAACGCGAATACACAGTTGAATGAAATGAACAGAGTCTGGCAAATCCTTCTACTCCGGTCTTGTCGAGGTGTCAAATGACAAGTGCATGTCTCTCTTTCGTCCACTTTCTCCTGGGGGATAAAAGGGGAGTTCTCTGATTCAGACGTCAAACTGAGGGACGACATTCTCTTCTAAAGTTGTCGTCGCTAGCAATGACAGCGATGCCGATGATCACAGTTCTGGCAATGAAAGGAGCATTGGCGCAGTCAGAAAGCCGCGCCCGCACTCAACACTTGACACCTCATTCTTCGAGGCCTGCCTGGGCGTATGTGCCTCGGAGCCGCCAAGTTACTCAGTTGCCCTGTTCATGGTGTCTAAAAACACGCCTCTTTAGTTCTACCGGTCACCCCCTTGGGTCCGGCCGGAGCACACAGGGCGACCGCTCCACCGCTTTCCGAACAGCAATCCTTCCGGATCATGAACCGGGGTCTCAAGCGCTCCCCGGCCCCCAACATTCTGGATGCGAAGAACCTTTGGGGACTACTATCGAGGCCGGTATGACATCCTTTGGAGTTCGCAGCACGCCATTGGGGGCCGAATTCTGTAGACGGCAGGAGATTCTCGCTCAGCTCAAGTGCGCACTGCGATTGGCGACACAGTAGCATGAATACATGTATCTAGGTAGGGATTCTCATCCTTCCGATCAAAAGAACCAACTAGCACCAGTCTGTGCAATACGCGGAGTTTTGCCAGCCGACCTTGCAGTATTATCTCACCTGCGTAATCTCGCCCACCGCACAAACCCATGTTCAGTGCTGCAGGCCTGTTGCACAGGCAGGAAGCACTAGACTCAAGAAGACAGGTATCTAATGCACCTCGCATGAGCTGCCACCGACCAACGAATGAGTTAGTTCCTGCCCCATTTCCAAAGCACAGATAGAGGGAAAAGTCCCAAGCGTGTAACCGTGGGATCTGAAATATTACCCTTTGTAGCAACGCGCCCTAGAACATACGCGGTCATTCTCACAGCACCCCGGCTCACGAAATCAGCTAAGCTTTTCGTGGGATTGGCGAGGGAGCTGGTCGTCGACGGACTTCGACGCGAAAATTGTAATTTGGCCTTTCCGTGCGCAAGCAAAGACAAGACCATCAACGTTCAACAGCATTATGGGGTGTTTGAACGACGAGTCGTTTGGCCCGTCGGTCAGTGGCTGTCGGGATGACTTTGATTTCACGAACACTTTTGAGCAGATTTGGTTTTCCATCGTGCCAGCCTGTGTCTTCCTTACAGCATTTCTGCCACGATCATTGTTCCTGCTACGCGAGCCGCGCGAAGTCCACGCACCTGGAAGTTTGCTTGGCCTCAAGCTGGTAAGTTTGGTTTGAATAACAGAACCTGCTACTATACTCACCAACATCTATTCCATTCAGATTTCCTGGACCGTGTTCACGGCTATTTGCCTTTCCCAATTGGTCGTCAGCGTCAGAACCGATCGAGCCTCAACATCGATTTCATCTGCCTCAGTCAGCTTGGACTTCATCGTGGCCCTATCTCTCACACTACTATCTGGTCTTGAACACTTCAAGTCTCGCCGTCCATCCGTCCTGCTCTGCGTGTTCTTGCTTTTTACGCTGCTATTCGACATCGCTCGATGCAGGACACTCTGGCTGGTTCACCATGATGCTGAAGATGGACACAGTCGCACGCTGGCCTCCCTGTTCTCGTCGCGAGTTGCGATTAAAACGGCACTGGTTGTGCTAGAAGCACTTGGTAGAAGAAAATGGCTCGGCCCGTCCGCCTCAACACACAGTCCTGAAGAAATGACCAGTATCTTCGGTCTCGCACTTTTCACCTGGATCTATCGATTGCTTGGCAGAGGCTATAGATCACCTCTCAAAACAGATGACCTCTACCCTCTCGATCAGTCTTTGCATGCGAAAGGACAGTTCTATGATCAAGCTCCACGTCAGCAACCACATAAAAGCCAGCAAGGCAAAAACGAGAATCAACCTGGAAACGCCAGTCTGCTATTCGAGGCCGTTGGAACCGGCCTTTTCCAGCCAGTGCTTCCCCGGGTATGCTTGATTGGGCTGAAATTCTGTCAGCCACTATTCCTGCACACGCTTCTGAACTTCTTACAAGACGCGTCTGGCGGTACGGACCACGAGCAAGACAATCAGTCGTACGGACTTATCGGTGCCAGCATACTCATCTATCTTGGCCTTGCAGTCTCCACTTCCATGTACTGGTATTTTCAAGACCGGGCTCTTACCGTGCTGCGTGGATTTTTGGTGACTTCTATCTACCAGAAGACCGCACAAGCCAAGTCCGACATCAACGGTGACGGGGCTCCTGTCACTTTGATGAGCACAGACGTTGAACGGGTCTACACCGGTCTGCGATTCGGCCATGAAACCTGGGCTAGCTTGATCGAAGTCGCTATTGCATGTTGGCTGCTTCATGGCGAGTTGGGGAACGCATTCTTGGCACCATTAGTGGTTGTGCTGCTTTCATTTGGGGCAAGCTTTTTCATATCCAAGCTATCGGGCAAGTATCAGAAGGTCTGGATGCAGTACATTCAAGCTCGCGTTGGCCTAACAAGCAGCTTTCTCTCGAACCTCAAGCAACTTCGCATTGGTGGCCTCTCGGGGTTGGTGGCAGAGACCGTGCAGCAAAAAAGAGTCGAGGAGCTTAGCAAGGGAGGCAACTTTCGTACCATCATTGCCTTCACCGCCGCACTCTCGCAAGCACCGGGCATTGTTTCACCAGTGGTTGCTTTTGCATTTGCTTTCGGGCCTCTTGGAAATCCTGCCGCCACAACGACGGCGTTCACATCTCTCTCCTACATCATGCTTTTGGCTGCACCTCTGCAATGGCTACTGCAAAGCATTCCCCAGATCACAGCCAGTCTGGCTTGTCTAGATCGGATCCGCGACTATCTCAATGCCCCGTCATGGCAAGACTCCCGTGAAAGCGCAGCAAAGGAAGAAAGCGCCGTGCAAGTCCTTTCGGAACCTGAAGCTGTAAGTGAGAAGCAAGATGACTCACTTATCGTGCGGAGTTTCAGTGCGGAAGACAGACCTGCCATACAAATTCTGGATGGAACATTTGCATGGAAAGAAGAGGATAGCCCAGTTTTGCGCAACATCAACATTATTGTACCAAGGTCATCCATCACTTTGGTGACAGGGCCTATGGCGTCTGGCAAATCAACACTATGCAAAGCAATCCTCGGTGAGGTGCCTCTGGCGAGCGGTCGGGTCATAGTCAACACGGGTAGAACGGCATACTGTGATCAGGACCCATTCTTGTGGAATGGAACGATCAAGGAGAATATCATCGGCTGCTCGTCATATGTCTCTTCACGATATGAAGAAGCCGTGGAAGCGTCTGCGCTTGCCATAGATCTGAACAATCTCACTGATGGAGATCAGACACGTGTGGGAAGCAAAGGTTCATCTCTGAGCGGTGGACAGAAGCAACGGGTCTGCCTTGCGCGAGCCTTGTATCAGCATGCTGACCTGCTTGTGTTTGATGACGTTTTCAAGGGTCTTGACAGCAAGACACAGCGCCATATCTGGCGATGTGTCTTCGGCAGCGAAGGCATTTTGCGTCAGCGTGGTGCCTCCGTTGTCCTCTGCACCCACGCCACTGAGTTCCTGCGATTCGCTGATCACATCATTCGGCTTGGCTCCCAGGACTCTCAGGGGACAATCGAATCCCAAGGACCGCCTTCCCAGATACTGTCCGATGTCGAGAAAGCTGACTCGGCTGCCGATCCAGACTCATTTGGATCTGCTTCCAGCTCGCTCTCTCAGCAGCAGTCATCTGACGATGATTCTCCACCATTGAGCGAAGAAAAGGAGCCGAGTGCCCGCAAGAAAGAAGCCTTACCTTCACCAAAAAGTCCCAAGCCTGCACCTGCTCTGACGACTGCAGATTCTGCTGTTTACAAGCACTACGCTTCCAGCGTCGGTCCTTTGCCACTGCTCCTCTTCGCCTTGCTTGCGGTCATCGTTGGCTTCTGCACCGTTTTCCCCACCATTTGGATAAAGTACTGGACCGACGATGTTGTCCGCACAGAACCGCGGCACGGATTTCCATTTTACATCGGTATCTTTGCTTTGCTGGCCGCCTGCGCCCTCGCTTGCAATCTTCCAGCTGGCATCGTGACAATGCGCGTCATGGTGCGTCTCTCGGGTAGCAGGCTACACCAAAAGACACTCAACACCATCACCCATGCCAGTCTTGGCTTCTTGACACGTACTGACACCGGTGTCGTTCTAAATCATTTCTCTCAGGATATGACGATCGTGGACACTCAGTTGCCCGGGTCGTTGACAAATCTTGGAATAGTCATGTCCGTTTTCATTGGCCAGGCTGTGGTGATAGCTACGTCCTCGGCTTACCTTGCCATCAGCTATCCATTACTACTAGCTCTGCTCTATGCCGTCCAAAAGTTCTACCTTCCCACCTCTAAGCGTCTACGGCTCCTTGATCTCGAAAACAAAAGCCCGCTCTATACGCACTTCCTGGACACTGTCTCAGGAATTGTCACCCTACGAGCGTACGGGTGGCTACCGCAGCATGCCAAGATCAACCATGATTTTCTTGATACGTCTCAGAGGCCTTATTACTTACTCGCCATGGTCCAGCAATGGCTCACGTTAGCAATGAATCTTATAGTCCTCATTCTTGCTGTGCTCTTGGTTGCCCTTGCGACTCAATTGAGAGCCCAACCGGGCTTTGCTGGCGCTGGTCTTGTCAGCTTGATCAACTTCGGCACCCTACTCACGGGCATTATTACCGCATATACGACGCTGGAAGTCTCTCTTGGTGGTATTGCTAGGTTAAAGCACTTCAGCGAGGCGACAGAACAGGAAGACAGTCAGGGTGAGGATCACGTACCAGGAAGAGAGTGGCCATCAACGGGCAGCATTGAGATCAGAGATGTCTCCGCTGGGTACAATTACGAGAGCGAAAAAGACAGCGTTGGTGCGGAAGAAGGACTTGCTCTGAAACACATCAACCTCTCTGTTCGTGCAGGAGAGAAGGTTGCTCTATGCGGAAGGACTGGCAGGTTAGTCTCCTCTTTTCGTCACTGAGTTATCGAGTTCCACAATGTTTGCTGACGCATGAATCTGTCCATAGTGGTAAATCTTCTCTGCTCGCCCTCCTGCTGCGTCTTTTTGATCCTATCAATACCGACGCCAGCTCCTCCAAAATCCTCATCGACAAAACCTCGATCCACAACATCGACCGCTCAACACTCCGACAGCGTATCATTGCCGTGTCGCAAGACCCCGTCTTTCTTCCAGACGGGTCACAAGCTACCTTCCGCACCAACCTTGACCCCTTCGACGCGGCCTCGGAAGAAGACTGTCTCTACGCCCTCGATGCAGTCAGCTTGCGCGCGGCAGTGGAGGCAAAAGGTGGGATAGGTGCAGCCTTTGAGTCGAGTGCTCTCAGCGGTGGGCAGCAGAAATTGTTCATGTTAGCTCGGGCCGTCGTGCGGAGGATGGTTTGTGAAAAGGCACAGCAGACAGCATCAGTCAGCGCAGGAGGTCTTCTACTCCTAGACGAGATCGGAGCGGGCGTGGATGCGGAAACAGAGAAGACCTTTCTTGAAATTCTCCGACGCGAATTCGCGGCATACACAGTACTCAATATCACGCACTCCGACGAGGTGGCTGGGCAGTATGATCGGAGAATCGTGCTCGATAGTGGTTGTGTGATAGAAGATACGGCATCTTGAGCCCTTACATATTTAACACGCTACTAAATAGACACGTAGTCATTGTGTTCGCTTGAATTCATATTTGCGAGAATGGACTCAGCAGCCGATCGCTCTCTTAACCATGGTGAGATATTAGTGTCTCAGAGGCTGGCATATTTCGACAACTCCGTGAAGGGTGGCGACTTTAACAATCTGCTAGGCAGGCTTGTCCTTCTTGACACGTACTAAAAGTGAGTATGGTCTCAGAGGAGCATGTCCACCGAGCTCCGCTCCTGTATCTCTTTCGGAAGTCTGAGAGTTACGTTCCAGGGAACGCACTGATTCAGTAAACACACCATGACTAGATTCTCATTCCGGAATGTCTAATACAGGATAGGATTTTATCCTTGTTAGTGAAATCACGCCAAAGTGAACGGTTGACTAGCACTTCATAAAGAAACAAGAGCCGCAATCAGGACTATCTTTCCATTTCCACTACTCTCTTGACATCTAGTAGCCGTAAAGTATCATGATTTCCCGGAGCTGTCGACATTAGGCGCGAGCAGAGGCCCGCAGGCAGCCTGTCCCACACAAACTGCAAAGAAAGACAGATTTTTCAACGCCTACGACGTCGGTGACTCTGTGAAGAAATCGGGTTTCGGTGAAGTTGCTTACCAGTTGAACGCTTGGCAGCGTCAACTAGGCAAAATACTGGTGCGATGAATTGCTGTCCCCGCTGCTGGCTCAATTCTGGCGAGCGACCGACTTAGTCTGCTCAGCAAGTGCCGACGCAGTACTTTGGAAGAAGGCTTTGACAAGAGCGGGGCCTAGAATTTCGCTCCGTCCGATCGTGAAACGTGGATGATAAGAAGTTTTCCATATGAAGATCTGCAAAGGTATCACACCGGATAAACGAGGGCTGCATCATAATTGCTGCTGCAGAAGCTCATTTTCCGTAGACCTCATGAGGGGTAGTGTAGCTCCCGTTTGGGAATTCGTGTAAATTGCAGAGGTTCTGGACCGGAAAGCAACCAGCCCCAAGAGAAGTCGTGATGTGAGAGAATGTATGAATATAAAAACATAATAGCTTCCCAGCCCACGGTCAGAGACATGGCACCTGAAATTGCAGCACATCCAAGAGTATTCAATTGAGTAGCTTCTTAGCCAACGACAACATGCAATCCTACGCCTTGTTCCTTCTAGCATGTATTGCTACAACTGCCTCCGCGGCCTGTGACCGAGAAGACCTCAAGGATTTGGCCGTGCAATATGTTGACGCCCAGGCTACCGGCAGCGTCGAGGACATGCCTCCATTCATCGATGTCGCAACCGTAAGTCTTTCCACGGATTTCATACAAGTCTTCTCTGCTTTGTCAGCGGGTTGTCACATTGTGTGTCCTTTTTTTTTTTTTTAAAAAAAAAGAAAAACTTTTTTACCTCTCTTTTTTCTTTTCTGCTCAAATTCGCCAAGTGCCCAAGATATTCTCAAATCGGCAAATTTTTGCTTGATGTATTTGCCCTCGCCCACACACACACACACAGCCATACAGCAACAAGGGACGTAATTAATTTTTAACTCGGCAGTACTCCGAAAATGGCCAAGCCATGGACGTCCGCTCTGGTATCTTGACACAATCCCTGAATATCGACCACAACCGAAGCATTCACGATACCGTTCAGTGCGCCACATTCACCGAACTCATCGTGACTGACCCTGACCACCCATATGTCATCGGCACGAGGATCCTCTATACCGACGATGGCGAGATCTCGCACATGGAATCGATCGTGACCGACCAGGGCGACTGGCTCTTTAACGCTACCGGGTACCTGTACTGGAACTCTCTCGAAGATTGGGACCCGATACCCGTAGAGAAGCGAGACACACGCGCGGTGATCAAAGCCGGCGGAGATGCCTACTTTGACCGGTTTGACAACGTCAGTGTCCAGGTGCCCTTTGGTCCGACGTGCGCACGGCTAGAGGGAGGCGCGTACACCGGAGAGAGCAACCCGACCGGCGAAACATGCAGCATCGGCGGCCTGCCTAGCAGCATCAAGATCCCCTACCGTCGTTACATTGTTGATGAGGAGTACGGAGCCGTGGATATGTTTATCGGGTTTCCGGGGCTTGATCGCAGTGTCCCAGACCAGGCGATGCCTGACAGTCACATATTCAGGGTCGAGGGTGGAAAAATCAAGTGGATTCACACCGTGTCCTCCTGTGTCAATGCGGGGTGTGGGCTCAATGCGAGCATCAATGGGACTACTCTTGGAAGGAGGAGTGTGAAGTACAATCACCGGCCTGTGCGGCTGTGAAAGAGCTGCTAGTGCCCAATCCGGGCTCAGCCTTCTCAAAAAATCTTGTCTCTAGCATCCCGATGCTATTGGCGTGGATTTGATTGTCAGGTCGATGCAACGGGACATTCAGCCCGCATTATAGGTAGATAGTGAAGTAAAAGGAAAGACAAGTGCGCACCGATGCTTTCCAGAACATTTCACTCATAGCCTTACACTTAAGTCTATGTCTTTGCATTCGTTTGACAACGTGTGGGAAATGCTGAATATTCTGTAGGAGTGGACGCAGCAGTCATTGGTAATTTCGGAGCGTTGAAGCGATTGGTCTGTCCGGGGAGTCCGTGGTCAATTAATCTTTAATATGTCAATCCCCGACTCATCATTATGAATACGCATATCCGTACCGACACTCTTGTTGTGCTGCCAGCAGAATCGCCATTTTCTAGCCTTTCTTCCTGCCAAGGAGGCTAAGCCTATACTTTTACAAGAGCGTGAAGACGTCCGCAGGACTTGTCACAATTGGGTAAGCCCCTAAATAGCAAAGCCTTCAACTTTGACGTCATATAAAAAATTTAGAAGCAAAGTGGGACTCACTGATACTATATCATAAATCGGATTAAGGGCGGATGGGTCTTCTCGTCGGTTCTGACTCAGTCATCCAAGATTTGGTCTAGCTGGCAGATGCAGGCTGAATCGATCGATCAGCACGGAGATGGAGAATATGAATAAGGGGGTCGTCGTAACTATTGCAGGATCTCTAATTTTTAGCACTGAGAAATTTGCAAGCGTTTTCTTTTTTGCTTACTTTCTTCTATTTGTTTGCTTGCATCAACTTTGATCCCTTGGGTGTGGACCTGCGTATCTACTAGCCGAGCTTTTCGATACGTTAGAGCAAAGATCTTTGGTCTCAAAGATGGAGTTTGAAGATGAAGTCTTCCCATCACAGCTAGAGCAGCTTCTGCCCGAACTACAAGAGGACGACCCAACCGATGACGGCCTCAAATATGATGACTTCGTGTCGACCCTCATAGGAGCGGACACAGAAATGTTCAGAGAAGCTATTCCCGCTCGTATCAGATACCTCCTAGACGCAGTGTCTCCTGATGATCCGTTACGTGGCAACCCACTATCTAAGCCCCCACTCCCGAGCCTCAAAGGTAAGGTTTCCAACCATTGGCAGATGAAGAAAAGAATTCTCGCCGCTCACTTGACTTGATCTTGAACAGGCCCACCGTTTATAATAAGAGAAATGCCAGGTAAAGGATTGGGAGCAGTTGCTATCCGCCGGATTCCAGCCGGCAGCGTTATCCTCGATGATCCATTCGTGCTGTCTGTCCAAGAGCCAGCGCAAGAGTCAGCCAGCGAGGAGGAAGCTATCGAACTACTGAGTGTAGTGATGATCCAGCTCGTTGGGCAGTATGTGCGACTACCGATCGAGACCCGACGACAGCTTTCTGGCCTACATCCACACATTAGAGCAGGAACACGCGACTGGTTCTGCTTGCATCTGAGGAAAATAGGTGTCAACTTTAGCGAATGCGAGTTAGATTTCGTCGTAAGACTCTACTGCACATTCAACACCAATGAGTTCTCAAAGGCTATGCCTGGTGGCGGGTTGAATTGGAGAATCGGCAGGCTGTTTCTCATCACCAGTCGTATCAACCACTCATGCCAGCCAAACTCAAGATCGATGCAGACTTCGGATGGGCACAAGGTTGTGACTGCCATCCGCAACATAGAGGAAGGGGAGGAATTGACGCTGAGGTATCTGGACCACAAGCTTTTCAGCCGCAGCGAGTGGCAGACAGAAACGCAACGTATTTGGGGCTTTGTTTGCGACTGCCCTGGATGCAGTTCGAAATAGTCGGTTTTGTATTTTGGGGGCACCCAGTGTCACTCGAATCGAGTCAACTGGTGACATGCGTACTAAGTGGGTCGTTGCAGGACGATATTTTGAAAGTACTGAGCATGAAAGCATGGATTCAAGCTCAAGATTGATCTGCCGAATTTCACTCAGATCTTTGTGAGCTTTCCTGGGTCGGTGTTTCTGAGAAGCGAGCGTTCTGTCTTGCAAAAATGAAGTTTAGCACTCAGATACAAGAAGCTACGTCCCTACTTAAGCGAGTGTCTCTGAGATGCGCCTTCCCGAGCCAATGGTCACGCGAATTTACTCTCAGTCAGGACCCAGAGCAATCAACATTCAAGTCATTGGTGTCTCAAAATCTCCCCTGCCCAACGTCAACACTCACCCACCCACATACTTGGAGCATTCCAAGCAGTCCATTCAATCAACAACTTCTTGAGACTCTTCAAAATCGCAATGGCTTCTCAGGTGAAAGAAGAATCTGATATGAAATGCGAAGATGAACAGCATCCGAGGCCACCCCAGAGACCCCTACGCCTGAATGCCTCCCAAGCGCCCAAAGAAGAGATTCAGAGCCTTGTCGGCCGCATCAATGCTGCCGCTAAGGCATTGGACACACCCGAGACAGACTTAGCCTCCAACGCTCGACAGAATCTTCTGCTTGAGGCCAAAATCCTAGTCGCCTCTCTCGAAGATCCCGATGCAGAAGTCTGGCCCCGCGCCTTTCAGGTCAACGTCGCGCTTTCAGTCGACATCGCAGGAAGTCTCGGGGTTTGGGATAAACTGCGAGACGAAGAGTTCATCACTCTTTCGGATGCTGCCAAATGGTCGGATGCCACAGCAGTTGGTATGTTGCCAGTTCTTCGAGGTTGAGAATGGATTTTAACACATCAATTGCTGTGAAAGTTCGAGTTTTGCGGCAGCTGACCGCAGCTGGCCTTCTTTCCGACTTCAAGAGCCTCAATGAGCCTGCATATGCCCTCACGTCCTTGGGAAAGCCGTATCTCGATTGGAACCATCTTTCCTTCAATCGTTTCATTCTTCGAGAGGTTCTCCCGACTATTCGCGACTCAGTGGAGCAGAAGTGCTTTCAAACGCCCAGCTTCGACAGCGTGCCCCACAACAAGTGGTTGAATCTGGCCAAAAATCCCAATCGTGCAGCTAACATGGCCCGAGGAATGAGGTCTCTGAGTGCCGGTGGCCTGGCCGCCAAAGCGTACCCTTTCGGCGACGAGCTTGCGAAGCTGAACATCAAAGACGATGATATCGCTATTGTAGACGTGGCTGGCGGACAGGGACATATCATGAGCGACATCCGCAAGCGGTATCCTGACATGAAGGGCAGCATCATCGTCCAAGATCTCCAATCGGTGATCGAATCCGACCCAGGCGGCAAAGTCCAAGGCGTCAGTTTTATGGCTCACGATTTTTTCCAGCCGCAGCCCATCACGACGGCTCATGTTTACTACCTTCGACACATCGTTCACGACTGGGACGACGACTCGATGACACTTATACTCAAGGAGTTGGTCCCAATCCTGAAGGCGCGGCCTCTGACCAAGTTGCTTCTGGCAGACTTAGTCCTTCCCGCCACCGATGTAAGTATGCAGGAAGCTGTGCGAGACTTCACCATGTTTCGCATCGGGGGCTTAGAGCGGACTGAGGACCAGTGGCGAAAGCTGCTTGCGAGGAGTGAGCTGGAGATCAAAAAGATCTGGAGAGGCACCGAGCCTGAAGCATGTGTGGAATGCGCCTTGATCGTTGCTGATGAGCATGATCAGAATGATTCTGCCACAGGTTCTCCTAGCTCAGAGGTGACTGGAGTGTGATCACATTTGGCGCGGCGACTTGTGTCCTTTCTATGGACAGTGTTCAACATTCAACCTGACCCGACTCGAAGGCGACTATTATTCGAACATGCTTTCCTAATCACTACCTGTGAAACAAACTCTTGGAGTGTTCTACGCATTGACTGAAACAGAAAAGCAGAACACGCATGCTTAGGTGCTGGCAGATACCCTCAAGGAAATAGCCCCAAATACTTGGCACTTGGTTCTGCTGCCTACACCTCGGCTTCGGCCAAGCATTCGAGTCTACCACACTTGGTGGCTATTCTGTTATGTTGTGGCAATTACAATATTGTAATTTTGGTTCTCTTGCGTTAAACAGTGATGGAAATGATCAATGGGAGACTCGTACTGGAAGGTGACTTAGACAAGCTTCGTATAAATACCACTACCCTGACGCCTTGATACAGCAAGTGTGACAATTTATGTACTGCAAGCACGCTTCATCGGAGTGTACAAGTGAGAACTAGTGATCAGAGTGGCTTATCGGTGGGTGCGATTATGAGTGATTGGGGATTTGGACTTGTATGCCAACGCCAAATTGTCAACATCTCCTGGAGGGTGAAGTTCTCAGGCGTCCACTTCAACTTTCAACAAGCTCGCCGCATTCTTCCACCGTATGCCTTCCAGCTCTTCCTTGCTTACCAACCCACTGCCTTGGAGCTCTTCTAGCCATTTCAGCCCATCTTCGTTGCTCGCGAACGGGTAGTCGACACTATACATAATCCTGTCCTTCTTCGTGTTCCTCAAAATGCACGCCAGGGGGTCCAGGGACCAGTTCCCACTTGTCGTGATCCAAATGTTCTCATCCCAAACCTGTCGGAACGACCTCGTCTTCCCCCAGTGGCCTGATATCCGCTCGATACGCTGGAGCATGAAGGGGATCATCTCGCCAAAGTGGCCGATCACAATCTTGAGTTTCGGGAACCGGTCGAATACTCCCCCAGCGTAGAGCCGCAGGACGTGAATGGCGACATCACTGTGCCAGCCGAAGCCAAATGCGGATATCGCTGCAGACACGTGCTCAGGGATCGCCTCTGACCTGTACGTGCTGAAAAGCTTCTCTGAGGGCCACGTCGGGTGGATGTAGATCGGCACGTCCAGTTCAGTAGCTGCCTCCCATAGCACATCATACTCGCCGCCCTCGTAGTAAGTCCCCGACTCCGTGTGGCTGTCGACGAGAGCACCCACGAACTTGGCCTCTGAGCATGTGCGCCGCAGCTCTGTCGCTGCCTCTCCTGGGTGGCTCATTGGCAGCTCGGCGAAGCCGGCGAATCGTTTCGGGTAGGTTCGGACCGCACGGGCGAGCTGGTCATTTGCCTCCCGGCATTGCGCTGGTGATAGGTCCCCTGGCCCGTGGGAAATTACCTGTAAGGTGACCTGACCGGCGTCCATGTTCTTCAGCCGCGTAGGGCCAAGTTCGGTGAACTTGTCCCAGAGGCCAGGTATTTGTTTCATTGCCTCATCGCTCTTGCTTAAGCTGGCCTCCGCTGCAGTGGACATGAAGTGTTCCTCAAGCGTTATGATCGGGGTTGCCGTCGCCATGATGAAGATATGATTTTGCCACTTCTAAACTGTTGTCTGGTCCGTGGCACAATTGGGATGCGGGGTGTCCGGCGAGCAATTGCGATACTTCAATATAAGCTTCCCACCGGAAACAGTCAGTGACGTACACTTTTATAGACCGGCTTGCTCGGAAACATCTCCAAAGCTACCGGTGATAGCGGCAATACGCCAAGACTTCCGGCCGGACCGGACTTAGCATTACTCTTCTAGGCAAGTCTAACTCCGGCTCTGACATGTCATCGGCAGGCGGGCCTAACCATCGGTGTGCGGCTCGTCTCGCTCTCCCGTGAGGTCCGCATTGCCGCATTTATTCTTAGTGGGTTTCGGCCCGCCCTCAAAATCTCCCGGTGACCACTGGCCAGACTTCAGGAACCTTTCCAAGCCTCGTCAGACCTCACGTGGTTGGCTGTGGTCTGTTCCTGCAGCAAGTGGCGTGAGCTTACACATCACCCAAGGCTGGGTGCGCGCTGGGATGAAAAAAAGCCCCTAAATGTCTCGGCCTCATGCGCCCCTTATATTCGGGTGCCTGTCCTCCTCAGCCCACTCGCACCGCCAAGAATCTAATCATCGAACGCGAGCAGCCACAGGTTCCTGGGATGCGCATGTCAAATGCCTGAACACAGACACGGTCATGAAACCCGGGGTACATCCTTGGCAGCCGCAGTCACCTATTAGCGGCCGCAAAACTGTATTCTGAGGCGCAGTGCGTCACTTGGTTGTTCTCGACGCTTTGCATGAAGCCGCAATATAAGGCTTCGATTACTGACCACGTGTGCCCCTGACCGGGGTGATCCTCCTTTCTCGTTGACGCTACTAGTAATATCTCGATCCCGCTGGACGATGTAACGTGTTCGCGCGTTCGACAGTATTTGAGAAAAATCAACAACAACAACAATCTGGTGATTGACAAACTGACCCAGAAAGAAACCCCACAACAGTGCGGAATGAGATGACTGCAGCTGTAGAATCAAGCCAGCCTCAGCTGCCCTCTTATAATGAGGCTCTGCAGTGGGGGTTCACGCCCCCACCGCGAGTACAATGGGCGCCTCCGAGAGAGGACTCAAACAGCCCTAGGCCGCGAACAGCTCGGCCGCGGACGAATGCCGTGAGGCCATTCTCCATGTCAACGATCGACGAACCAACCACAAATGTCCACGGCCACAGACCTAGGACATCCTCCGGCGGGCCACTGCCCGTCATCGGCTTGGACAACATTCTTCTCGATGCCCTCAGCGGAGCATCACGCGCCATTGGAGGTCCGCTCTCTCCAGCATCGCCCATATCGCCCGACCGCCCGTCGACGGCACAACCGGATTCATCCAGAAACTTCCTCACAGGGCCGTCGTCATCACCTTATGCCTTTCCAGAACCTCTTTCTCCAGCATACTCCCCAACGCAAGAGGAATTCATTCCTGAGCCTGTACCGCTGCACCCGAGGCCACCCATTCCACCAGGCTACGCGCGGCATGACCCCACCGCGGCGACATTTCTCATGCATTCACCACTGATCTACTCATCTTCGGGCTCATCGCCACAGACGCCCGCGTATCAGCTCGACACGCGGCTCAGCAAGGCCGGCCGACCATACCAGCTCCGCATCCGGCCTTTGGACCACCTGGAAAGCCGGACGCTAGCTTTCAGCGATGACCACCGGAACTCGGGGCGGTTCCTGCGCTACGAGGAGGAGCACACGCTGTACCTGCTGCAGGTGATGCAGCTGATCGGGGGCTTCGGTGTGCCGGGGCTAGGGTTCGGCCCGTCGTGGCGTGTGGAGATGCACCGGGACCCGTACCACGACCACGGCCGGGGAACTCGTGGGTTCATCCGCTTCGAGGGCGGTGGCTTTCTCGGCATGGGAAAGGGATTCATGCGCAAGAGCGGGTGCAAGTTCTGGTACATGACGCGCAAGAGCGAGCGCGAGCGCGAGGCCCAGAACGAGTCCAAGATGTCGGCCAAGTACGGCTACCAGCCCGAGTTCGAGTGGAACCGCCGGCTCATGTTCTCAGTTGAGAAGAGACGCGGCGCGATGGGCCTCGGGGGTAGGAGTAAGGGGTACGAATGGAAGGACGGCAAGGGCCGCGTCGTGGCTGTTGAGAGCGCGGAGGGCAGATTGGATTTATCCCGCGTTGCTGCGAGCATGAGCCCGCAGTCCAGAGAGTCCTTGCTCGCGTGTTGGGTGGGTAAGAGTTGGGCTTCGGGGGCCCTGGAACTGTAATCCTGAGCACGGCTTGATGACGGACATGATGATATTTTGAACGAGACCACTGCGATCAAATTGTAATGTATGGAAGTGGTATATTTGCAGAGTCTTTGGAAGGAAGCGAAGCATATTATATCCCTACTTTAGTTCTCACTCAGCATAGTTGAATTCTCTCTTCTCTTGACCTTCGTGCTACATAGAGGATCCAAATCCTCGGGCACTGATTTGAAATTCTTTAGTTGTCACCTCATATCCTTGATTGTACAAGCTCTTGTTATCTGTACTTAACCCACTTGCCCTATGACCAGTCTTGTTGAATCCGGTACAGGAAGGCTCGGGACTTAGGCACCGCTGCCCGTACACAGAATCGTGATAAGTATTTGTATTTGCATTTGTATTTTTATTTAAATTATAATTTTCACAGCGCTGCCTGTCTGTCTATTGCTTTGCTCAATTTAATGGTAGTATTTTCTTTTTCGTTGTGACCAGATTCTGTCCCCCTCCCCTCTTTCTCCCCCATTTTGGGGCCACTCTGATGAGAAGTGACAATGAAAACTGCGGTCTGGTGGATGCGGCTGGCTCCATCAGAGGTAGAAGTAGTGTTGGCAGTTGGACCAGGCTCGACTATATTGCGGCTTTGGCATTGGCTAATTGCAAACATGTCATCCTGAAAACTGTATAATGCTACATTCACTGTGGGCTGCGACTGCTGACGGGACATGTTCGTAAGCCATCACATGAGATGACAGTCACCCAGTATATCGCACTTAAGATTGAAGTGGTGCATCGTGGTCAAGGAAACCAATTTCTACCTAAGTCGAAAAGGTTGACGACAGTTTCTCGCGGTGTCATCCAAGGCAATATTGTTGAGCATATTCCGGGACAGATCGCGCATAGCCCGGGACCTACTAGTCAACCTCACAGCACTGATGGGTTCTCTCCACTGGGCTCCATCTCCCTCCAGATGTCATCACGGCTCATCAGATCTACCTGTTCTTGTTCTTCGGATACCCCTTCGTTCCCTTCCGCAGTAGACGCTGCATTCTCTTGAGATTCTGCCCCACGTGGGGTCTCAAAGACTGTACCCTTGATTCTGCGCAGGTATTGCAATTTGCAACTACCCTCAGTGCGTCCAGGCATGTGTGACGCGATCTTGGTCCAATTCTCCTCATCTGAAGCTTGTGCATGTGTCCGCGCAAGCTTCAATAGTTCCTCTTCCGACCAGGCTGACCTAGCATTTGTAGTGATTTCTTGAGAACCCTTCAGGAGCTTCCACTTCTGAAAACAGGCGTTTGGACTACGCTTAGGGAGATGATCAGATACATGTTTCCAAAAGCCGGGCGAGCCCAGACGAAAGGGCTGGAGAGCCTCAACATTGCCGCGGCAAAGTTGTATGAGCGTATCATTCTCTTCTTTTGTCCAGAAACGGACGTCGAACACCTTTTTTCTCGGGGGCTTCTCTTTACCGGAAACTGCCTGACGCTTCTCTATTGATGGCAACACCTGTTCTTGAGAAGCTCCAGAATCCGCCTGATCATTTGCATACCTTGGCCTTGGGACGGTGACTCGTGAGGTAGTGAGAATGTCCTCCTCGTCTTGCTCTTCAACTGCAGGGGGACTTCTGGGCATGCTCACTTCAGGCAATTTCATTGGAGTCGTGTGACGCGTTGGCTCTGCGATGGTGGTTGGTGGTAATACGTCTGGAGAAAACGCTCTGCTTGTTGGTCGAGTAACCTGCCAAAGCAAATCTACTCCTGTAGACGAGGGGGCGGCGTAATCCCGGAGCACTGGAGAATTCCTGTCAGCAACAAAGTGACGTCTGGGCGACGTACTTGCTCCATCACCAAATAAAGGGGGCTCACTGGTTCTCCAAGAAGTGTCAGACAAAGAAGCATCCGCACAGCTCCAATGCAATACGCCTGACTTGCCGTTCGATGTGTGCAGCTCAGAGAAGTCCATCTCTGCGGCGAAGTCCTCATCAGAAAGAAGTTCTGCAGCAACAACGGACCTCACACCGTCAGGTAGAATCCTAATTCTTTTCGCACAGGATTCGATGAATAGCTGTCTTTTCTTATGTTGGTTTCGCATGATATAATCGTTGTACTTTGAGATCGTCTTGTCAAGACCTTGCCTCGAACTCTGAAGCTTTTCCATGATCTCCGCTGTCACTTCTTCGGGCTCAGGAAAACTAGCCCCTCGCTTTCGTTTGGATTTCTTCCGAGCTAAGTCGATTGGTTCCGCCATCATTCGATTTCAATTGAACCCACAAGATTTTACGTTCGAAAAACCTTTTCCTTATCGCTCGAAGAAAGTAAAATGATCTGGAGTTTGGATCAGAGGGGACTTGACGGACAGACGTGGGTGCAAGGAGGTGGCAGAGGGCAAACGAATTCTGCGTCTGCGGGTTTGCTTGGCCATACGTCTGAGGCGCGAGACACGTGCCATATAGACGAATCAGAAGGTCAATTCCGCGACTTCCTTGCAAGCATGAGGCTTCAATCAAAGCTTTCTAGGCATCTGACGGACAGGCGCGTCGATGTTTGATTTTGTCTTGACGCGTCTTTGTTGCACCCGCGGCTGTTGGTGCTAATTCCAAGCTGAACCCCGGACAGCAAACGGATGGAATTGGACACCATCTGGGTCCATGGCTATCTCCTACGGTATCCTGGCACGTGCGACTTGTTGCCTAAAGCTCTATTCTCGACCTCTCCTCTGAAAGAAAATTCTCCCTCGGGGAGATAATCCTCCTCTCATCATTCTGAAGCCGTGCTCTATCGATCTGGGTTCTCACAATTGGAGAAATCATCACTATGGCTTCTCGAAATGATTCCGCCTCTCATCCATTTTTGAACCTCCGAAGCTGGAGAAACTCACAATCAAACCCTCCTTCTGAGCGATTGCATGTGCCATTCCTGGGTGACGATGGAGGCGAACTTGGTACACTAGAAGGGCTAGTCTCGACCCACAATGGACTTTATTTCCTCTTCAATTTCATGAACACTTTCGCTGATAGCTGTGGTCATTCAGATACGCTGCCATCGATCCAGGGAGTACGGGAACCCGTGCAGTAATCGCAACTACCCAAGTCGACCAGACGACCGGAAAACGAAACTTGGTCAAAGTTTACAGGATCCAGGACTTCAGGGAAGACGATGACTCTGACAGGCGATTCAAACGGGGCGAATGGCCGTCGAAGTGTTGTCCTTTTGATGGCCCTCCCTATGATGTCGGATATGACGCAGCTATTCAAGACGAAAAAAGGACAATCTCGATCAAAGCCATCCCCTACTTCCGAACACAAGACGATGACGGTCACCCATTCACGAAGGCTCTTTACGATCACTCCAACTCACTACCTTCTGAGATCGAGAAAGAGAATTTCAATGATGTGCTGGATTCTATCCTCTTCACCTTCTTGTATGACTTCCCCTTGCGCTCATCTAGACCTTTGCGTCCTGGGCCAAGTCATCTGAACTCCTCCTCACTGCTAGCCCCAAATGCCCTCTCTTTACTGTGTCTTCACTATACAAATGAAAAGTGTCGGCCGGCAGTACTGTGAACTGATACAATGTTACTGACATGAGACAACCAACTAGTGACCAGGTCGTCCAGCAAATCCTCAAGCACTGTGAAAAGATCCATGTTAAGCTTCGCTCGCTCGCTCTATGCGTCCCTCAGACATGGTCAAGACGTGAGACTCCCATCCAGGAATATCTCAGCCCCATCATCGATAAGACAGTCATGGGACAAGATGTTGAGACTTTGTTTGCCCTCGAGGCCCAATGCCAGGCTCAATTTCTCATCCATAGGCACCCACAGGATTTGCGTAATTGCAATGAGCTAATGGTCCTCGACTTCGGTGGACACTCCATGGTACGTTTCCTATGTTGGTCGAGTCGCCCCGTCACAGTGGATACCTGACGTGATGTCTTTCAGGGTGGCTCAGACAGCGAGATACATTGGGGGGCCGGAGGCGACCGACCTCGATTCCACGCTACGCCACGAGGCGATTTCGGTAAGCTTTTCATGTAATTAGATGTCAGTCACTGCGGCGTTAGACACTGCTACAATGAATGGAGGGATGAGATCCCTCTTTCCGTTCGGTAATGTTGTCTGGGGTGGCGAGGCGAGCCTGTCCTACCACTGTCCTAACCTTACCGCCCTAACCCTTCCAATGTTCATCAAAGGGCCACCTAATGATAAGTATAGGCGTTCGGGGAGGCTACGAGCTGTGGGAACTTGGCATCAGCCGCTGTATTGACAGGGCCATGGGCAAGAATCCAAAAAGGTACCCCCTTCACAAGCGTCATGTCATAAGGTCAAGGCTGCTCGAGAGCTTCTTCAACTCAAAATCCAGGATCAGTCTTGAACGCCCGCATCGCCTGAATGCCGACTTGGTAGGTGATTTTGGCGCCTCAAGGGCTTCGTATACAGTCACAATCACAGCTGAACAGCTCAAGCGAGAATGGGAATCAGCGTTCCGCGAACCCATCAACTTGGCAACTCAGAACATCAGGCTTGTGGCCATGACAGGACGGAGAGTCCAAGTCTTGCTCACCGGAGGAAGCGCCAATAGCCGGAATCTGAGAGATGAGATCAAAGACGTCTGCGCCAGACTTTGCGATCAAGGCGTGGACATCACCTGCAAGAATGTTGCGAAGGAATTGGACGTTGTCATGGCACCGTGCGTATTTATCGCTCCAGCTTACATGGAGACAGTGCTTGGCTAACGCTCACCCTTCAAGTAAATGGAGCATCGCGGAAGGGGCGGCATGCTGCCATGCCCTCGCTATGGAGGTTGAGGAATTCTTCGACCTCGGCGCAGCTTTGGCTGTGCAGACATGGACGACTACAGATTCTGGAGGTCAGTGCGGTTCAGATACCGGTGAGCTTTTGTTCTGCAAGGTAAGTCTTGGCTTCTCGTTGTGTGCCGCACGGAAATGCCGTCAAGACAAGCATCGACCTCCAAATATTGACCAGAACGGATTGTTTTCATGTAGGAAAACGGGGGAGAGCGACATGGCAGCATTGACGTAGAGATCGCGGACACCAAAACGAAGTTCAGGATCATCGCCAACCCATTCCAGGTGGCACCTCAAGGGAAAGGAGCGAGCAGCAAGAGCGTCTTGGTGCGACAATCCTACGATGTCTGGGACATTGTGCTGGAGTATCTACCGAGCTCTGGAGTGGGACCGCTTCCCATCCCGAATGGCAAGCATATCCTCGAGGTGGCCGAGATGGTCTACAACAGCCGAGAGGCCATATTGGTGCTCCGGATGCGGCCCAACTTTTCGCCAGGCTCTCGAAGATCGGAGAGAATCTTGAGGAAGCACGCCATCGACCAGGTCTACGACTGGAGTCTACTCTTCCAAGTCCCTTTGACATCGTGTGGCCCTAGCAACCTGGTTGAGCTTGATATCGACCTTGTCCGGGGCCGGTTCTGGACGGTTGAGGGGGATGAGAATGGCTCTCATCCCATGGAAGACCGCGAAAGCCGAGAAGCCAGCGTGGAGCTGGGCACTCCATCACCGCCACCGGCAAAGCGCAGGAAGGGGTCCGATGGGTTCTTCAGGGTCGAAGTAGATTCGCGAGACGACTTTGGGCTGCGTTAGGGAGGATGGCAGTGGACTGGATATCAATTTCCATTTCTTCTGAGACTATTATGTGTCAATCACCAAAAAACACACTAATTACACGTTGAAGGAGGGGATGAGGAAAGGGGGAGAGCCTGTGCGAAATGAGCTTCTCGAGAGTGCTCACAGCTCTGCATCAGTGAAATAATGATTAGAATACTCAGCAGACATGGATCGCTTCCCATGACCAGCTCCTGACCAGCTCCATGACTCCGGAGAAATGTCAAATGAGACGTGGGGAAATCGTCAAACATTCGCAAAGACCTTTTGTACTCTAGTCAATTGGTCAAAGTTGGAAGTTTAAGGTCTGAAGTATGCAACACGAAATGCAATTGCACGTGGATAATCTCAAGAATGGTTCTCAGCTTGTTACGGGACATCGATACAGCAACACCACCCTTTGTCTAATACCCCCCACGACCCTGCGGGCTTGCTTCAACTGATCAGAGGTGCTTGATTACCTAGGTAGGTAGCTCTTCCGTATCTTCTGGTACATAGCGTGCAGAGCCGATAACCCGAAATCACACACCCACCACAATCTCTGTATATATCTCATTTATCACAATTTATCTTCTTACAATTTGCGTCGTATATGTAGCTATGTGCGCATCAGCAGGTGAATAACCGAGTCTGGTACTGGACTAGATAGGGCGTTTTGGATCAGATAGCGCGTCATCAGGCCATCAGATGAAGTTGAGATCCATAGAGACAGTTGGTCCGACGAGACGCCAAGACTGCCTGACAAGACGAAACTACGTCTCGGATCAGACGAGTACGGGAAAGGAAACTGGCCCACAAACGGAGGCACTCAGGATGAGAGAGCCCGACGGCACTCAAGACATCGGTAGCCAATTTGGCAAGGTAGAGGTGCGGATCCGATGGGAATGTGCCCACCGACAGCATGAACGGATGAATACTGCTAAACTCGCGCACGGAGTAATTATTGCGTCTCCGGTAGCCCGATCTGTTGACTTGCTCGCGAGGGTGGATCAGGCAAGGCTTACGGAAGCTTGCTACTCAACTTTAATTTTCATGGCGAGACAGGGCTAGGGAGTTTCGCATGCCCCCACGCGAGCAAAAGTTCGGCACCTGCCGGGCACTCAGTACGTGCTGGCTGTAGTGTTGCCTTGGCCCTGAATGCATGTAGGCGAGGGATCGATGTATGGAAGCGAGGCCCCCTGTCTCACATCGAAAGGAAATCAGCTGTTTGCAAAGAGGCTCCTGGCTCCGTACGGGGGTGCAAGGCTTGTAGGGCTTGTAGGGCGCCCAGGACAGGTCAAGCACCGGCGATCGGCCTTGGGATTCGCAAGAAGTGTTTGCAACAACACATCATGATTTTCCTTCCCGCCGGCCGATGGCAGCGATGTTCGCCATGGGTGACACGGAGACAAGGGGTTTAGGTGGGTGGTAGCCGAGAAATGTCCGCGGGATGCTCTCCTAGGCCAGCCCTGCAAACCAAAACGAACCCACTGGCATGATTTCATCTCGTCTCAATGCCGGCTTCAAGTTCGTTTCTGACTCTGTCATTGACGCTGGCAAGCTTTGGGCAAACGAACCGTGGGCGGCTGCGCTGCCTGTGCTGTGGATGCGATGGGTTTTGCTGGGCTGCACTTGGGCTGCGGCTCTCCTTAGTATCCACTCTGCACTCCAAATCCCCCTGGTACCCCCCCTGTCTCCCTTCCCACGCCCCACTCAGGGGTTTCGACTTGCGGCTCACTTGATACGGCGTCCGTAGCAGACTACCAAGGCATGGTGGCTACACAGCCTTTTCGAGCAATCCATGCCTGTGTCACTTGGCGCGTTTGCATGTCTGTACTTCGTCGTCCCAAATTCGCAAAAACGGCGTGGCTGCCGCTGTCAATGATGGGGTGAAAGGGAGTAGATTCAATCTCATCGTCAGATTCAGAGTTTCCTTTCCCTCATTCTTTCTGTTTGTTCAATCTTCACCAGCAGGTCTGTTACCCTTCTTCAAACGCCCGATTTTATTTGCATTGAATCATTCATTTTTGTGGTGAATTATAATTATCTTTTTTTTTTCTCTCTTTCTTTGGGAAGGATAGGCAGGACAAGATGCGTTCAGCAACTCGAGCCCTCTTCACCTCGGCCATGCTGGCTGTGGCCAACGCCCAGGGCGTCATTGTCAAGGCAGTCGGTGACTCTGGCACTAGCACTGGTCTTCAAGGTACGAGTCACTTATACAATGTTCTGTGTTGCTGTACAAGTATATGCTGACTAGTAGTAGTCAACGCAAAGGACCCTGCCGACGCCAACTTCATCTCTACCGCGGAGCTGACTGCCAACGTTGTCAATGAGTGCGGGCGTACTCTGTCTGGTGGCAACATCGACATTGGAGAAAACACCGAGAATGCTCTGGCGGCTAAGCAGGTCACTCAGGTGACCAAGGGCAGCACGGTGACCATGACCATCAACCAAGTCAACGCGACGGGCTCAGGTCCATTCACTTGCGATCTGGACCCAACGTCAAACGCCCTGGGAACAAGTGGCCAGACACCACTGACTGTGGCGCAAGGAAATGCTAAGGATACCACTGGTGAAATGCAAATGTGAGTCTTATTTTCTCTCAGCCTTGATCACTCACTCGACTCGGTACAAAAGATATTAATCCGTTCGAAATACAGAAAAGTCACTTTGCCAAAGGATATGGCCTGCACGGGATCATCACAAGGAAACGTGTGCACCGTCCGCTGCCGCAACGCCCAAGACTTTGGCGGCTGCATCGCAGTCCAGCAGACGGACACCACCCCCCTGCCGGCAGACAACGACCCGTCCAAGATCACCTCGGCCCAGACCCTGGAGGGCATCATGGCGCAGATCGCCCAGAACAAGAAGGATCTCCCCGCCGCCATCCAAGGAAACCAGAACGCCGGCTCGGTTGCTGAGCAAGGCCCGGATATCGCCCAGGCCATCCTGGACTCTGACAAGGCCATCACGCAAGACACCACCAAGGAAATCGCCACGAATGCCAATGCCGCCACCACAGGCAATGCCAACGCCAACACGGGCACAGGCAACGCCAATACCAATGCAGGCACAGGCAACGGCAAGAAGGGAGGAAAGAAAGGCGGCAACGCTGCCGGGGCCAACGCTGCCGGAGGCGCCGCGACGGGAGCCGCAACAGGAGCCACAACAGGTGCTGCGACAGGAGGCAACGGTCGTGGCCGCGGGAAGAACAACAACAACAATGCTGGGGCGGGCGCGGCTGCTGGAGCGGCTACTGGAGCGGCTACCAACAACGCGGCCGGCGGTAATGCTGCCACCAATGCTGCGACTGGTGCTACGACTGGTGCTACGACTGGAAATGGAAACGGTGGTGGACGTGGCCGATTCAGCGGCAACAACAACAAGCGCATGGCACCTGCTGAGCGCCGGGCCAAGAGATATGTTGATGTTGGCAAGGACTTCTCGGTTGAGGGCAACTAGATGGACATGTGTTGCGGCGGGAGTGCATTAGCTGGCTTGGACCGCTGTTTCCTGCCTTTCTTGAGGACGTAGTACTGTCTTATAAGGACACAGATTTATCGAGGTGAGTATTTACGTTTGTGCGCTGGATTGATAGAGTGTAGCATAATCGATGAGACTTCCTGTATTGGGTGATTACTTGCTTCTTCGTGCTCATGCGTGATGTTTCAATGAATTAGGATTTAAAATCAAGTATCTACCCTAGCAAATTGGGTTGAAGGCCGCCAGTCATCGAGAGGCTTGGTGACTAAAGCCCTGCGGCGCAAGAGTCTTATCACAATACCGGTCTCTTGGTCATCGACTGTGTACTGAGTGACTGGAGTTCCACGAAACTCACTCTTTAGTAGAAACCCACACCATCAGACACAAATGTCATCCCGTCCGACCCGCATATAAATGGATGGCATTCAGTCTAACTCTCGGATATTCTAACCCAACTCAGCAGTAAACACAATCAACCAAAGCGCGAAAGTAAGGCTGACAAATAAATCTCAACTAACAATCCCAAAAAAAAAAAAACAGCCATGCCATCTGGATCTTCCAGCACTTGGGCATCATCCGGTGATGGGTATCGTGATGATCTCTGGTGGAACAACAACCTCCGCCACCGCCCCCAGCTCTTCAGTAATTTGTGGCAGGGGCAATACCGAATCAATCCACAACTGAACTATTGGGGTAATCGTAACATAATGGGTTGGATCCCGCAGCCGCAGCCATTTAGTGGCTGGAGTAATATCTATCCCCCAAACTATCGTGGCTGGCGGTAAGCGGGCCAGGCGACTATGTTTCTACAGAGACACTCTGTTAATTGAGCAGTCAGATAGGTAGATTTATTGCAATCTCACATTCTTCACATTATGTGCCCTTCCCCTCAGAGTCGCCTGTGTTCAAGAAGTGAATTAAAGATAAGTGCAATATGTCAACAAATGCCTAATCAGATAGCTGCCGAAACTTCTTACTAGGTCTATAACCCAACGACAGAACTGAAGAACTGGAAGACGTGGTACTCCACATTTCGATGGAGTTCTCTCCTCCTCTGTGAAAATTATACTCACCAAATTCGTTTTATATTCGGTCTTGCCCCGGACAAGCTAATGACCAAGCAACAGTTGACACTGGGACGATCCGACGCCCACAGCCACCCGGGCTCGTTGGACGCCCACGGGCCTCCCCGGGAATTTTAGAAGCACTTTCAGTGGACTTCCTCCTATTTGATTTCACTGGACAAGGTTATAAAGACATACTAGGTGACAAAGGCTGACCTGAAAAGTCATGATACGACAATCCGGGCAGGAAGTAGATGCGAGAAGCTAGGCCAACCCCGGCAGCAAGACTTCATTGCTTCGAGGTTTCCAGACACGAGTCGATTCCTGGCTACGAGGCTTGGACAACCATCAAATTATACCGGACAGTTCACAGAGCGAATTGTCCACGGCTGAAATACTGGAAACAACTTTTTAATTCAAGCCCCCGCGGGGGTGCCTACGCAGGCAGGGTATCTAGTCCAACAAAAAAAGCAACAAAAAAACAAACACATCATCATCGTCGTCATCATCGTCGTCATCATCGTCGTCATCATCGTCGTCCTCTTCCTCTTCTTCATCCCCTCCCGCTACCCCTCCGCTTGGGGGCGGGCGTCCCCAGCCGCGCCCCAAGCGCGCCGGACCTCTTCGCGGGAGTGACCCGCGAAGGGGCGGGGACCGGGGCCGACTTCGTCTTCGCCGGCGTCGTCATCTTCGCCGTCGTCGTCTTCGTTGTCGTCGTCTTCGCGGCCGGCAGACGCGAAGCGCGCGGTCTGAGCGCCTTCTTCTTCTCCGACTCGGCCGGGGCTGGGACCGGGGCTGAGACCGGAGCTGAGACCGGAGCTGAGACCGGGGCTGGAACCAAGGGAGTCGGATCCTCGTCGACGGCGGCAGTGGGTTCCTCAGCGACAGCAGCGGGGGCAGGGCCGCTGTCACCTTGGAACCTAGCCAAGGTCTCGTCCCAGCGGACGGCCTTTCCGCGCCTAGCCGCCCTGGGCTCAGCCGACTTGCTCGGGGATGTGAACGGGTCGGCGGCCGCGGCGGCGGTCTCTGCTGGTAGGGAGAGGCCAGCGAGACGGGCAGGGACCGGGAGGGCGCCCCCCTTATTTCGGCGAGTGTTAGTACGCGTCAATGTGGCGAGGTCCTTCTCCGTCTTCCTCTGCATCAGGCTAGCTGTCGAGACGGCAGGCATGTCTGCGTCGAATGAGCCTGGGAGCCGGACGGGTATATGGGATGGTGTGGCGGGTTCTGCGGTCTTCGTAGTAGCAACCCGCTTGGAGCGGCGAGGGCCACCGGAAGGTCCCTTCTGGGTGAGGCTCTGGGACAAGGCCATCTCGGGGTTGAAGATTTCATCTGGAGAGTCGGTCTCTGCTCCCTTTCTACGCCTCTTGCGCAAGGGCTGTGGCGTGGTGTCGTCGAGGTCGGGCTTGACGAGACGGCTGTTCTTCGTCATATCCAATGGAGCTCCTTCGGCTTCCTTGAGCTTGCGCTTCTTGCTTGGGCTCGGGCTTCTGTTAGCGTCCTTCTGTCCCAGCGGCTGGCGAGGGCTCTTGATAGCTGTGCTGGTCTCGGCTGAGGTATTTGGCGAGCCTGTGGACGATGTTGTGAACTCCTTTCGCTTGGGCTTCAGTTGAGCACGGCGAACGAAGCTGTGCAGCATTGCGTACTCCGAGTCGTCATTGGAGTCTCCGTCCAGTGCCTCTACGGGCTGTGTTGTGGCCGTGGGCATAGCCAGTGCGCCTTTGTCGGACTCGCGTTTCCCTGCCTCAATGAACGGTGTCGCGACTGTTGGCTCGATAGATGTGGCCGAATTTCGTTTCCGCTCCACCGTCTCAACGGACTGTGACATGTTTGTGGGCTTCTCAATGGTGGATGCGCTCGGTATCGGCATGTTGGGCGAGACTGCGTCAGAATTTTGTTCTGGCGCCTCAGTGGAGTGCGACTTGGCCGCTGGGTCATTGTCAAATGGTCTCTCAACCACGGCGACAGGCTCGACAGGTGCAGCGTCGCAATCAGATGTCTCGACGGATTGCATCTTGGCCTCAGGCTCGGCAGAAATGGGCGTCTCATCCATGGGTGTGGGCTCGATGATTGGGCCTCCATTCGAATGGTTATCCGGATCTTCAGCGGGCTGTGACATGGCCGCGAGCTCAACGGAAATGGGTATATCAACCACGGAAATGCTGGATGCTGCTGTCTCAACAGTCGTCTCCATGGCTGTGGGCAAATCGGGGACTGACGAATGGGGCACTGTTGGATGGAGTGTAGGTGAGTCGGCGACAGGTGAGTCAGCCATGAACGAGTCGGTCGTAGGTGGTTCGGTAACAGGCAAATCGGCCGCAGAAGTATTGACTTCAGGAATATCCATCGTTATATCTTCGTCTTCATCAGGCTCGAGAACACTCATGATGCGGTCAAGAACGCTCATCTCAAAGGGCTGCGTCTCGTCCTCTTCCGCAACAGTAGTGTCTCCGTCATCTTCTTCCGACATGGTGGCATCTTTTTCTTTTGAAATTGTAGTATCTCCCTCGACCTCTTTGGTGACAGGTATAGTTTCGTTGTACACTAAGGCGGCCTTACGATCGAGAAGATCTCTAATCTTATCGTCGATATTCGTAATAGCGTCCCAGTCAATGGCGACCTTCGTCTGGGTGGGGGGCGTAGCTGTGTCCTCCAATGGAATTTCCGACTCTGGGTTTGCCTCATCCAGTGCCATCGAAAATTCGCTTCCGGCCTCCGAAATAGAGTCATCTTGGGCTGCAGCAGTAGCCGCATTATCGAGAAAGTTCCCGACTCTCTCTTCAACGTTCGTACCGGCTCCCACGCCAACTGATGAAACCCCGTTCTCGATTGAAGGCGTTCGTGCGTCCTCGGCCTGGGTCTCCGTCTGTGGGATGCGCTCTGTGGTTGCAGTGGAAGCTGATTTCTCCGACTGCTCGATAGGTTCTTGGGCTGGATGAGTCAGGCTCGCAGCCCGTGGGAGGATCTCATCAGGGGTGGTGGAAGGTAGAGCATCATTTCCAGCATGTAGATCTTGCTGCTGACCAGCTGTCTGACCAAATATGTCCGGGTTGCTTCCCACGTCGACGTCCAGCGTGTGCCGGCGCTTTCTACGAGGTTGCCCTTCGCGCTCTTCCTGCTCCTCCAAGGTCTCCGCAAAGCTGCGGCGGCGCCCACCGGTGAACGTATTGGCGACCCAACTGCGGACTTTCTTAAAGGCCGCCATCTCAGTTCGTCTGTCGCTACGTCGTGCATTGTCAAGTGAAACACGTCTCTTAGTCTCGTGCTCTGGCTCGGTATGCACTTCAGGCGTGGGCTGGTCAAATACAGCCACGGCATTCGTGGTGGTGATGGGTCGTGAGGGCGAGGGTGATGACTCGCGAGGCAAGGTTCGGCGGCGCATTGGAGTCCGCTGGCTGATGACCTCGTTCTGGGCTTTGCGTTTACGATTGGAAGATGTAGTTGCGCCGGATCGAGAAGACACGGGCGATGAGGGGCAGCGGAAACGGCCACGTTCATTGGTGACCTCGTCATCAGCCTTGGATTTGCGATTGGAAGCAGCGGTGGTGGCGGACCGGGAAGATAGAGGCGAGGAAGGGACGCGGAAATGGCCACGCTCATTGGTAATCTCGATCTCTGAAGATTCTTCGGTGTCTTGGTCTTCCTCTGCGTCCTCGATGGTAACGCCTCTCGGTGTGACGCTCATGGTGAATTTCTGCAGAGGTGACGAGGCGACCTTGAGACTGGTATAGTACTTCTCTGCGGCGGCAGACCACCTCTTTGCAGATGCGCTGTACATTGGGCGGTACTTGGTGCTAGGCGTCGAGCTTGGCACTCCAGAGGGCTCCTTATACTCCTCCGAGATGGTGCTCAGCGACGGACGCTGGACAATGCTGCGGCGACGGCGCGACAATTTCTTGGTCTGCTGCTGGTCGCCTTGCTGCTGGTCTCCTTGCTCTTGCTGTGGCAGGTCCATTGGGTTCTCTTGCTCCCAGAATGCGGGATCATCGATGTCGCTCGTGCTTATCTCGAAGATGATGAGGGGCTGGCACTCTGCGATCATAGGCGCATCCCACTTAGGAGGGTTGACGGGCCAGCGGGTGTTGTGTCGCTTTCGGGGGGTCCACGTCAATTGGGATGGCTCGAAGGTGGATCGCTTGGAGGGGCGGGCACTCTTGCGGATGGTCTCGTTGTCCTCCGCAATCTCCTTGTACGCCCTCTTCACCTGGTCTATTCCAATTGTTAGCCATGCGACGCGTGACAGGGACACGCAGGCATCATCTCGAGGGAGCAACTCACATCTGGCCTTGCCGATGTCATACTGATCGGTCATGGCCGTCCTGTATCTGGGGTCGAAACTACGCAAGCCCCAGGCGGCCTTGTGGCTCGTCATCTTCGCCCGCTTTCTCTCGCCAAATCCCTGGCTATCGAGCTCGGCTGCGACACCATTGTACTTGGTGTCCACGCTTCGGCCGGGGACGCGCTTGAAGATTCTTCCTCCGCCGTGGCTGGAGGTCGCGGGAGGAACCGCGATTCTCTCCCAGCCGTGGGGCTGGGTGTTACTGGGAGGCTGGAAAAATTCGGCCGATACAAAGGTCCTAGACAGCATCAAAGCGACGTAAGTAGTTGCACGCGACCAGCTAGGCCAGCAACTAAGGCGCCAGAGGAGGCGCGAAGGAGGAACAAAAAGAGAACTTACGTGTCCTTCAACCACTTCATCTCACCTGTCGAGGCGGAGTGCTCCCAAGCCTTGTTGGCCTCGGTGATTTTGCGCGTCATGTTGGCGCGCCCAAGTTGGGTCGGTGCTGCGATCAGCTACTGTAGGTGCGGGTTGGGTCAATGTAAACAAAGTCTTTGAGGGGGCAAACGACGCGATGAACTCGGTCGCTGGAGGGATATTCAATCAATTAAAAGTGCTTCGAGACACAATAGTGCTTTTTGGGATAGTTTCTTGAGTCAATTCAAAAGATGTGGCTCGTCGTCGCGATACGAAGAGGTCGAGTCGAGGATCGAGTCGCGCTTGTCGTGCTGGGATTGTCGCACCTGCGCAGTGAAATCGCCCTTTGGGGTACAGGTCGTGGTCGAGGAAACGGGTCGGCGGTTTACTTTGTTTACTTGGGAGCTGCGGCCAATCAGGCAGCTCCCTGGCCTCAAGGTGGAGGGGCCCTAGGGCCCTGGGCCTTGCTGAGCTTGGGTGGCGCGCCCGCCGCAGTGCAGGGGGCTCTCGCACGGACCACCAAAAACTTTAGAACCAGATTCGATCATCTGGAAGCTTGAGTTGAAGCTTCAACCTTGAGCAACCCTTCAAACCCGTATCCCGACGACTACGCTGCCACAACCGAGGCACTCACCCGTACGGCTCGATCCTCGACTGCACGAAAGGACTGCCACAATTGAATCGCGATTCCTGTCCATCCGAAAGTGAGGCCCTCACCGGGCAGAGTCGCAGTCCGTCGCATCCATCATGGTCAAAAAGCCCATCCGCTTGCCCCCATTGCGGGTTCTGCGAGTGAGGAATCCGAACAAAGAAGAGGGCAACCCATGTCTACCAATAATGTCTTCAGTGCTCGGTAAGTGACAAAAGATGGAACAGCTGTGCACGTTGCTTCCTGCGTACATTCGGCCTATTGGAAATGGACTCAAAGCCGAGTGGCTGCAGCGCTGAGCCGGGACGACCTTGAGACGAGATGTCATGGCCGAGGTCTTTCGAGTCGTGTCCGGAATATAAAATCGGGAGACCATGGACAAGACAACACAAAGCCACAACACCAGCGCCACAGGAACGGGAGGGCTCGAAAACAAGATATGGGAAAGCAAGAGCGACAGACCGACTGGGCCGAATGGAACAAGGCAACACGGGGGAGTCGAGGCTTCGCCGGTTAAGGAACGCAAGATCAAAACAAATTCTTAGGGCGACACAGACGGCTGCTCATGGCCAGTCATCTTTCGAGAGATCCCAAGGGACATGCTTGGGCTTGTGGGAGAGGTTTTCCATCTCTTGACTGTCAGAGAGGACGGTCATGTAATTCGAAGTCGACCCGAATGAAGGATTGGTCAAGATCCACCGTGCTGGATTAGAATCCTGACCGAGACACACGGCGACTCGACGATACGGCTACTATACTGGCAGTATGCGGATATTATCAGTCAGACAATTGACGAGGATGGACCATAATATGGATGGGATTGTCTCTGAACATGGCTCTGACAATTGAGTCTAGGGGGAAAGGATCATTCCGTGTCAAGGCAACCGGCCACGCCATGGATACATGGCTAATGGCAATTGGGCACACCCCCGTGGTCATCAACGCAACACACCGTTGCATGGGCTGCGGAGGATCTATCAGCCATTATGGAAGCAACAAGCGGCGCTCGGACAAGTGTCTGAGGGCATCCATCTCTCAATATGCATCTCATTTGGAGCCAGTCTGCTAACCATTGTCATCGCATAGCGTGCTGGGCTTCAGCAGGATACGCAGCGGCCGGATGTGCCGTCGTCGAGCAAACACTACGGGAGTGCATGGACGGGCCAAAGCCACCACCAAAGAAGAAGAACAACATCAACTACCATCTATCAAGATTCAAGAAATACCTCGAAGGCAACACGAAGAAAAAGTAAACAGCTCGCCCGCAATCTTACACCAATTTGGGTATCGGTTTGGAGTTTGGCTATGGAAGGTCGGCTTGACGAACACGAGTTGCTGAAAGGACTGCACACTGGGAGGCGTCCACGACGGAAGCGCTCCGTCGCTCGTTGGCCTCTGGGAGGTTGCATTGCGATGGCTTCGATTGTGGAAATCACTACCACGTGCCAGATCGTATCGTGTGATGGTATGAGGGTCAGATCAACATCGGCCAGGGCTCGGCATGGTCGATTGTGACCACATGGAATGGGGTTGCGCCTGTCACTGGGCTCAACAAAGAGCAGAAGGCCATGAGGGAGGTATACTTCACCAGTCGGCGTTTACAGAGAGGCAGTTAGAGGGACAAATGCCCAATGTTTCACAATCATAGAACTGTGACGATATGTACAATTGCAACAATATATAAACGCAATTCTCGCCCAGCCGGAGCACTTCTAGGACTATTCCACAAATGCGCTTTTTTGGGAACAGCCACGGCCCAACGGACCGCTTTAACCGCATTTTGATCCCCAGCTCACACTACACACATCACCAACTGGACCGTCCATGTTCATTCACATGAGATACCGTTGAGTCCAAATTAACCTGCTTCATGCTAACCATACAGACCGTCAACTGGTGCAACATAGCATGAACATCAGCATGGAGAAGCTGGACAAAATCCTTGACGCCTGCGTCGCTAAGGGCGACAAAACAACTAAGGACGAGCTCCTCGGCGCCGCCTTTGTCGTTGTGAACAAGGACGGTGAGCAACCGTAACCTGCTCTGGACTTGATAGTACAGCCAGCACTCACTAACAAGGCAAACTCCAGGTGTGATTTACCAAGGCTCAGCAGGGCGCACAGCCCCACCAGCAGACTCGCCCAAGTTCTCGCCCGCGTCCTTCACATGGGTGGCTTCGCTGACCAAGATCGCGACGGCGACGTGCGCAATGCAGCTCGTGGAGCGGGGGCTGGTGGCGCTGGACGACGACATGCGGCCGCTGGTGCCGGCGCTGGCGCGGCTGCCGATCCTGCGCGGCTTTGTCGGCGCCGACGTGCCGTTCCTTGAGGAGAACACTTCGCCCGTCACGCTGCGGCACCTGCTCACGCACACGGCCGGGCTCGGGTACGCGGGCGCGGACCCGGACTACGACAGGTGGGCCGCGCACGTCGGGTACGGGCCGCCCGAGGAGCTCCGCGGCACAGTCGCCGCGTGGGAGACGCCGTTCAAGTTCACGCCGGGCCGGGGGTGGTACTACGGCACGGCGATTGACTGGGCTGGCCAGGTCGTCGAGAAGATCTCGGGCAAGACCCTTGGGGAGTACATGGCGGAGAACTTGTTCAAGCCGCTGGGGATGGATGATTCTACCTTCCACAGAGAGGCTCTACCTCATGTTCAGGACAGGATTGTGCCAACCTCGTACCGCGACGCCCAGACGGGTGAGCTTGCGGCTGGCGATGACCCTGTCCCTGTGCTTGCCGACGGAGACGTCGAGAGCGGTGGTGCTGGGCTATACACCACAGCGACAGATTACGCGAAAGTGCTTCAGGCTCTGCTGAAGTCTCTAGCAGGCAGCGAGGGTGCACTTTTGAAGAGGGCAACTGTGGAAGAGATGGTCCAGCCGCAACTAACAGAAGTGCAGAGGCGGTGGCTGATGTTCCTGACAGACCTGTTCCATGACGGTTTGGCGCCTGACTTTGTGAAGGGCATGCCGTTGGACCACGGCATAAGCGGCGTAATCAACATGAAAGATGAGCCGGGGAAAAGGAAGAAAGGCAGCTTGATGTGGGCGGGACTCTGCAACGGGCACTGGTTCATCGACCCGGCTTCCGGCATAGGGGCAACGCTCTTCACCAATATCCTCCCGCAGCCGGACGCTGCTGTGATAAGAGTGTGGGATGAGCTGGAGAGGGCGGTCTACGGCGATCTACTGCCATCTCTTGGCTTGTGACCCGTCCCAGGTTTGCAGTCATGGCTTCATCGAAGCCACGTCTCTCTGATCGACAACTCCCCATTCGCAGTCTCTCTTGTGTCTCCTGGAGTGCCACGTCTCCTTGGAATAGTCTCGCGAGAGCTGTGAGACGGTAGGAGGGCGGGCCTGATGGTGTGTTCAGGGCGGACAAGCACTCATCCCAGCGAGGAGACTCCATGGTCAGCCAAGTGCCGATCGACGCTGTGGGGCTTCCTTGACTCTTGTCCCTACATAGCACATATGGAGATACTGCAGGACACTCTCGACCAATACCACAGTATCGACGATCATGCCCATAATAATCCCGAGTCTCCTTCACGGAAGCAATACCAAGAAGTCTAGAAAGCCCGCATGACACCTCGCCGTGGAGGTATGGGGCGGGAGCCCCCTTGGCGGTGCCCTGGCAGGCCAGGACACACCCCTCCACCGCCCTATAGTGGGCCCTGAAACGACTCACGCAGCACGGGGGACCTGCAGGTGAAGCTCTCGAGCTCACAGCTCCCCGGCGGCACGCCGCAACCCCGCGCATGAGGGACCCACTGTAGCAACACGAGCACATGCGATAGTGAGCCCAGACCTTCACGCTTCTTTCTGTTGAGCTTTAGTCGACTCCACCCAGGCGCGTTGGAGAATGGCGGCACGGTGACCGGTCAAGGCAGCTTGAGCCGCTATCGGTTTGGCCAGGGGCTGGATTACCAAGGTTGGTTATGCTTTCGTTCGACCTTCCTAGATGAGGTGGCTGGCTGATGCGACGACCCGCTTGGCACTCAGAAGGATAAATGACTACTCATGAGGTGACTAGTGTCCAAACTGGCAGAATGATTGAACTGCATAGGGAGGGCTAGTTAAGTCGATGCTGCCAATGACTTTGAGTCAAGATTCGTCTGTACTGGAAGACTTCAAATGGCCTTCAAAAACTCTTAATGGCTCTTCAAGAGTCTTCGAAAGTCTGGCAATAGTTTTCAAGTCATGGTTTGAGGTATATTCGTTCTCAAGAACCGAAAAATCTGTTGTTATGAACAGCAAAAACAATGAAACATGAACGTCCATGCCTTGGCTGGCGTTTCTCCATCTACAATGCAATTAACCATGCATAGTCAAAAGTTACAATCAACAGGAGCATACTTCATAAGCACATATTAGGGCCCCATTCCTAGATTATCCGTAATTGTTCCTGTCACTATCTATCTGGCTCTTTGCCAGAGCGTCTGTTCTTCAATTGAGTTGACATATATGATGGAAACGCATCTGTGTAGTACTGAATTGTGAGAATATTCAACGCTGGCCAGGAAGCTTCATTGAAGTGTTTTTGCCAAAGTAGAGAAGATTCCTGAAAAGGTTCAGCTTGATAGTACTACTTTGTCCCACTCAAATTGAGAGAATACCATGCAGACTCTCAGTTTTGTCAGTGGTTTGGTATCAGCAGCACCACCAACAGCATCAAAATGTGCCTGTTCTTGATAGGCTGGGCGATCACATCGACAACTGCAAGTAGCAGGACGAGGCGGAGGACACATGGCTTCTTCCATGATCTAGACTCTGGGGATCAGCACTATGCAGCCCCGGCTTTCCCTCGACTGCATGGCGTCCACATTTCCTCAAGGTGGCTGAGTGGCAGCTCATCAGCTCACGCGCAAGACAGAACAGGGCGGAAGGCGACAGTGAGCCCTGTGGGCACATTACTCGGCTGGCGATCTGCGCGGGGAGAGCTGCCGCACGGCCTCGCCTGATGCTCTGTCGTTCGCATAATGCAGGCGAGCGCCGAGGCAGATGTGATATCAGGTTGACACTGCTGATCGAGTGGTATCGAGATGAAGCCCAGCTGGGGGCTCCGGATCTGCGCCAGAGCCCCAATCTTTTTCTCTGCGTTGGGCTGTCTGTCTACTGGTACGCAGCAAGTCAAGATCGGCAACATTAGAATAGAAACAACACTTGAGACACGTCACGCAGGTTGGAACATTGAGCTTTGGATGATGAGTGGTTGTATCATTGTTGTATGATTTGAGTGGTATGCTTGGTGCAAGCTTCTAAGTTAGATGCTTTGCACGTCACGATTTGCTACCTAGTAGTGTTCAAATGCGTTGCCTCCTCCATTCAATAGCGCTCGCCCCTGGTGGCGAGCCCATGCCCATGCGGGCGACACGATGTCATCGTTCGCCGCTGCAGTGGTCCCTCTCGAATTGCCCATTTCTGTGCCCGCCCATGCCTCCTGGGTCACAGAGACCCAGATATCGGGGATGATGGAGGGGCGTTTTTCTCATTGGCAAAGTCATACAATGGATTGATGACTGCCATGGTCGTTTTTTGAAGCAGCTTGCGGACGGAGACGCTCACGTCCGGCTGGATTGGCGTCGAGCCTATGAATGATTGTCTTCCTCGGCGGGAAGATCACTCGCTCGACGCGGCGCGTGTTGTTGGAGCTCATGGCCACTGAAGGTTGTGGCCAATCAAGCAGGTGGTTGTTCAACCGCAGACAGCGGCGGCGATGCGAGACTGCCTGAAGGAAGGGTACTCAAAGTTGCCCTGGCGCAGTGTGCCGCCGCGACGGCGCATGGGAGTGCGGGCGACCTCGAAGGCGCTCACGGGATCGGAGTCCTCAAGCACGGCGAAGTCCTCGGCGAGCTGGGCCAGTGCAGTTTGGGCCTGAGTTTGCAGCGCAGCGTTGGGGGTGGCAGCCATGACGGCCGGAGAGGCGGCGGCGATCTGCATGGTGGAGTACGGGGAAGCCATGAGTAGATTGGAAAAGTTGTGGGACTGGTCAAGGTCGATAAGCCGGACTAAGGACTGGAGTGCAGCTGGTGTGGAGACTGGAGAGAGAGTCTGGAGAGCGAGTCGATGGGAGTTTGCGGTTGAAGTATTGTTGTTCTTGGTTAAATGTTGGTTGGTATGAACTGAGGATGGACTTTTCACGACAGACCGAGGGTGATGGGAGGTGCGGGCTAAATAGTGAGTGCCCATGGAATGGCATTACCCAAGGGAATCACGATGTTTGAAATCTAGATCGAGCCGAGCTCGACGAGATTCCACTATTCGGACGCCTGTCACCCGCCCCACTCGATGCATTACTGAGCCGGACACGTCGCGGAATGAAACCAGCGAGCCGCTATCGATCATACGATGGAGTCGCTCTCAGCCGACATCCACAGAAGGGCGTCTGCACCCCTCCATTGATCCATCTGTTCCAGCAGATGTGCGCGAACTCGGCCAGCCTTGACAGCCTGGACCTGCATCAGTCGCAGCCGTGGGGAGCAGAGTCTGTTTGTCTATCCGCGTGAAGCCAAGTGTTTGGGGAGAGAGCAGCGCAGCGCAAAGCACAATGTGCAGATCAGGCCAGACCGTGGAGAGATACGCTTGGCACCGATTCAGACCTAGCTTTCCCCATGGTGCAAAACAAATCCATGGTTGTGGCTTTCTATGACAGGGTTCATGGTGGCGACTTTGGTCACGATGCAAACGCAAAATCTTATGAGGCTGGATCTCACGATGCCTGCAAGCACGTCCGAATCTGGTGGTGTGCAGAAAAAAAAACCTTCTGCTCCGTCTCCAACACGCGTGCACGCTAATACGAGTGCGTCTTGACTCATCCGGCTTCTCCTCCTACTCCTCCTCATCCACTCGCTCCCGCCCCTTTTCCTCCGCCCGCCAGTCGCCCTGGCCGCCGTCTGTGGAATTTCCACAAATATTCGAGCAATGCCTGCGAGTTCGCCTGATCACGCCAGTGCTGTTCCCACGATGCTTGTCCTGCGAGGCTGGCCCGTGCTGCTTCACGCTGTCATAGCGACGCAAAGACGGGCGATTGCTACTCATCATTCCTGATCGCGAACCCTCGACACCTTTACGTCAAACCCTCGCCGCACGGGGCGATCGGCAATTCGGGCGTCATAAGCTCATGACTCTCGTCTGACGGCCTGGACCAGCTGCGAGGAGTCATTAGGAGCCCTGATCTGGGACTGTTTTCCAGCTCATCACCACGGTTTACGCTTAGCTAATCTCTAGCTTGTCACGCTGGTGTCTGCGGTGGAGCGCCTTGCGATGGTGGGTATGCATATTTGAAAAACCGCTGGCCAGACCATGCAGGGACTTCTCTGGAAAGTTCATGAGACTTCTGCTTGTGGGATAACACACTCCAGTAAGCTTTGGGTCCAAACTCCACTCGACGCTGGAGAACGCAACATTTGAAGCGGGAAATAATTGGACAATGTCGAATCCCACCGAAATCCATCTCCGCTCGAGAATGCTACTTCTACAGAAATTCTCTCCATTTCTGTTCTTTCCACAGTTGCCGCGGGAGCCACAAAATATCGCGGGAAGACCACCTACGCCCTCGAGAAAAATGAGAGAAACTGCCTGGAAATCGTTAATATCTGACTCTGTCTAGGCAACTGCTTTTCGGGAGACGTGAATCAAGAATCTGCTCACAACAAGAAATCTGACTCAACTTGCAGCTTTACACAAGCGAAAGCAGTGAGAAACAGCTCAATTTCACATGCCAGATAAATGACACGCGAGAGTTTTCAGAGTGCATGCACTAAAGTGCATTTACGGCACAGATTCATCGACATTATCAAAACCCTGGCAACCCATACACATAACTACTAGTCCAGTACCTAGGCTCTTCGGCAAGATCGATACAACTCCACGGACGAGTATTATATCTCAGCGCTTGCAACCATGGGCCGAACAGATGGAAGCCGCGGACACGCTAAAGATGCTCAATTGCACGCCTTGTGAATCAGGTGTGCCAGACACAAGCGATGGCTAGGAGGTTCACACTTCTTGAGACTATATCGATGCAGGAGGATATATGTGTTGTCTAGCTCATCTCCACTCAGCAAGCCTGCAGCGAGCGTAACAGTCGCTCTTTGCATGCATGTGGTGGATCCCAGAACTAAGTCAACTGGGTGGGAAGCTTCTGCACCTCAATGATATATGCGTACCATTGCACTAGCTCATCGGCAGTCAATTCGCCTGACCCTTTGGAGATCTAGAACCCCAGGGTGACAAGATCAACCAAAGAGAGATGAAGTTGCTTCTGCAGTCTCACGTTTGCAAGAAGAATGAGTAAGCAAAAAGAAACTAGAAACTTAACTTTAAAGAAATGAACGAGGCTATCACATGGTACGGTAGATTGATTGTGGTTGACCTACGTGTTCTGTCATTACTGGGTGCGCTATACACACCTTGATCAGCCTATGGGCTGCGCCTAATGGCCAATGACTCTATTGATTTAGCCATGGGGACGCATGTTTACTAGGTACAAGTTGCGTGAATAGTAAAAGACTTGTTCCCATACCGGAAGCCTCTAGAGAGGCTGATGATCCCTTTTCTATAAGTAGATCAAACCTATAACACCTTCAGCACTATTCAGGTTGAATCATCTGTACTGCTACCATGGAGTATGAAGCTCAGACTTTGCATGCGTCGCACACCTTGTTTACGGCTCTGTGGCAAAAAGAAAGTAAGCGCTCAGAGCTGAGCCCTACTCTTGAATCTCCTATAGCGTCCTCACCATGCTCGCGGTTGATCCGTGTGAACCTAAGTAAGTCTCGGCATGCGGTTTAAAACTCTGCGAGCGAGGTCAGATCGAGAAGACTGGGCTTTTGACAGTCTTCAAAATAACCCTACCGATGCATTGACAATTTGATCGGTCTTTCGTTCAGTCTTCTATTAGATCTGCTTCAGCCGCTACCCTCCCACATCGACAAAGACACGTCGGATACATTCAAATGAGAGATCCAAGTTCTATCGCCCTAAGGCGGATCTTGAATACACTCCGTCACATCGGCGGCTTTTTCTCTGCATGACTAGTTATCGGTATGTGTCATGGGCGCGCTTGTTCGCTTATGGCCATGGGTGGCCAGAGGTCTCGCTCCAAAAGGAAATCAATGAGCTGGCAAATACAAGTCAAGTATAATGCATGTACCAAAATCAGGCGCCTTTGCCGTTCTCCTTTGGCCATTGACCAGAAGAAGTCAGCACATCTCGTACTGATAGTCTACAAGATCAATATCATCTCCATTTCGCAGGCTCTCACGGCAAAGATCTTCAACATGTTGAGCACGTTGAAGCAGCATCCTGTCCGCAGTAGTTGACACGACGGACCAGCCATTCTGATGTGTCTGCAGAGGGCAAGCCATTGGTCGAATTGTGTCTGTCGCAAAGGAAGAAAGTTCTCACCGTCTCAAGGGTGGGAACTTCATCAAGGGGCCATCTTTACAAGAGAGCCTGAGCCACTATATGCTGCCCAGACCGCAAACTCTAGATGATCACGAGGACTCATTTCATTCCATGGCTGACCTGCACTTCGATCATTATCCATTATCTATACTCTTTAGAACTGGCTCTCCATCTCCCTGCCCATAATCATATTCCGGATGTTATTCCTCGCACTCCACACGATGTTCTCTGTCGTCCCCTCGTCACGCACGGCATCCCCACCCACATCCTGAATGTCACTGTCACCCATAACCATTCCTTTAGCCTTATGGTGGAAAAAGACCGGCGGCGTGACAGAGATACACTTCGTGTTCAGCCCACGGTCCCCTTCTGCGTTCTCCTCTCCCACAGCAGCGACCGAGCGGCGGCAGAGGCCCGCCAGCGCGTTGTCAAAAGCACCAGTCAGATGGTCCACACTCAAGTCAAAAAGGACCTTGCGGGCTCCTCGTTGCGACAACGCATAAGCGAAAGTGCAAATAGGCGCAGCAGAGACGTGCACCCATCGGGTGTACGGATGGGCTTGAAAGTCCACCAGGCCGGTGGTTCTGTCCGGCGGTGGGACTGTTGGGTCGTTTTCGATGACGTATTTGTGCTTCATAAATTGAAGGCCTGGATGATCCAGAGGCTTGTCCTTGTTCTCTTCCAAGAACTCGGGGAACGGCTCCCCGCAATGTCCTAGCCACAGGACGTCCCAGTTGTCCCCGTAGGGTGAGTGTGGGTTCGAACCGCCACCGAATATCTCGCGGGTGCCCTTGGCGACCTTCTCTAGTTGGGAACGCAACCGGACGTCCCAGTCCATGTCGTCCTCCATGATCAGAGCAGATTCGAGGCCTTCCTCGACTATCCTTCTGACTGCGTTCATGTGGCCCCTCCAGCTGCCCAAGTTATTCTCCATCAGCGCTTGTCGATTGATTCCAAATGGAACAGCCTTGTCAGGAATGGATTCCCCCTTGACTCCGTCAACAAAGTCGACATGGAAACCTGTCAAGGCCGCCGTCAAGACCACGGCGTCACGTTTATCACTCCGCTCTGGCAGGCCAACAACGAAGATCTTTGAAAACCCAAGCGTGTCATTGGTCACTCGATTAATGTCATCAGGCTGCGAATGGCCTTTGTATCCCTTCCCGTAAAGCTTCTCTGGAGGTCGAGGCACGGCATGGCTCGTCGCCGACTTTGTTGGCGGCATGTAGGTCGTTGCATAGTCGCTATTCCCAATGCAATAGAGCGATATGACAACAACGAGCGCTCCTATGACGGTGATTATCTGTCGACTTCGTTGTGGCAAACTGCCCACCAGTTGAGCGATGGAGCTCATGTTTTGGGTTCGCAGCGGGATACGTGATTAAGCACCTTAAGGAAAAGGCACACAATGCTTCAACGCTGGCACGCACTGAGCTAGATTGTAGCCAGCGTACAGAGGGAGAGCAGGAACAAGGAGCTGGTTCTTTGTGTCTTTCGCCTCGCCTCGAGCATCAGAGACTCGGAGTATTCTCACCCCTCAAAGCGAAGCTCCACAACCTGATTGATCTAGCAGATTTGTCCTCGACTGTACAGCAAACCTAATTTGCGCCGCTTAGCACCAACCGCGTGGGTCTATTAAGATAAGTGAGCGGTATGCGCTGTGGATCTCATGTTGGTTGGTTCCCACTAGAAAAAAGCCATAGAGTTCTCCTGGTGGCACAGCACGGCATTTCGGCTAAGGAATCAGTCCATGGGCGGCGAATTGGGGAGCCTCTCATATTCGGACAGACAAGTTCAGTTTGGCAATTTCTATCGTATGAAAATCCACTACGTCGTTGGGAGCTCCGCACGAAGCGGCACGGCCTACACGGCTAATCAGTTGAAAAATGCAAGAGAGTTACACGCAAGAGCATTTTCCTTCTCGAGGAACCAACGAGCGCGACTTCACAAGCGAAGACGCGATGCTCCAAACACTACACTTTTGCAATTGGCCCCCCGAGAGTTCGAGTGGATCCGTAGTCACGCAAGGATTGTCGGGTGCAGATTCGACAAGTCTGCCGGCATGGGGCGGTCCATTGTGGTCCTACAGTAATCTCCACCCACTCACGATACTTCGCTCGCTGTAAGATTTCGCCCTTAATGTCCAAACAACAGTGCTACATTGACCCACTTCTAACAGCTGGGGCAGAGTTTTTATCAGAGTGATCACAAACTAACGGCACCCTACAGCCGTAACACTCTTGAAGCTCATCCTGGGACTGTTCTTGCGGTTCCAGAACATTCACCACTTGCTACATCTCTCACTGTCGGGCCTGATCCGAGATGAATTTTGCGGTGCCATGTATCCTTTACAAGTCGAAGCGTTTCCCTCCATCTGCTGGTATCTCGATCACCTGCCCATGGATCTTCAATTCCTCTCCTTTTGCCAAAATCCTGTTAGCCTGCCAGTACACCCACATTATAACTAGAGCTACAAGTATGGCTCCAGCATACAAAGCAAGAATCGCCATGAAAGCCCTAGTATATCTTGGCGCATCATCAGCCCGGAACAGCTGACCTCCCGCAATGGCACCCAGATTGCTACCCATCACAGCCATGGCGAGACCGATACTTCTCTTGGACGGGTTCACGGCATTGATGCTCACCCAGGCATCATTCAAACCCTGTGCTAGGGCATTGCCGCCGCTCAGTAATGTGAAGATGGAATATTGTGCCCATTTGTCGGATCCCGAGGGCAAACCGTATAACACCCCTGCGAAGATTATGGACCAGGAAAAAGCCACGATGCACCATGGGCCTCGCCACCGCGTCCTGTCCGAGGCGAAGGAAATGAGCCATGAGAGAAGGATGACAAGAACGCTGCTCACAGCATTGAGAAGATTTGCGTTGGTGCGAGAAAATCCAAGGTTTTTGATGATGGTGGGACCGTAGAGTTGTAACCCGCCTTTGGGCGACAGGGCGACAAGATTCAGAAGCAAATGAAGCCAGAGACGGTAGTCCCTCAAGGCCTCGGCAAAAGATCTGAGCGTGAAATGAGCCTTGTCGGCGCCCTTCGTCTCATCATCTGCCATGATTCGGGCTCGAAGAATTTGACGTTGGCGAGGGGTGAAAAGGTCGAAATAGCCGTGAATGGGAGCTGTGTGGCCGGGGCTTTTGGGGAGGAATATAACAAAGGCGAGAAAAACAACCAGCGTGATTGCTCCCTCGACTGCGAAAGCTCAGCAATTGCGCCACAGCATAGGCGAGGCTATCAATGACGAAGGGGTTCGTACCGATAAATAACCATTGCCACCCAGAGTAGCCCAGGGTTCCACTCAATTTTAGAATACCCGCCGCCATCAGAGAACCGATTGCCGTAGCTGCATAGTTACCAAAGTAGAAAATTGCGGTTCGTAGCGCCAACTGCTCGCGGGTATAGAACAGAGCCAGCATATACTGACCACCCGGGATATAACCCCCTTCCCAAATCCCAAGAAGAAATCTCGTCGCCAGAAAAGAGTTGATGTTAGTGCACCAGGCCTGGGTCAGTGCAATAGTACCCCACACACCCATTTGGAAGGTCAGCCAGACAGGAGCGCCAACACGCTGCAAGATGAGGTTTGAAGGGAGCTCTGCGATGACAATGCCGGCTGACATGAGTTGAGACCCCACGTTGACATCATCCGCGGTGATTTTCAGGTCCTCAGTTAAGGTATCTGTCATCGCATTGCTGATGTTGCTGCGGTCGAGCTGGAGTACCAGGAAGCCGGCTACTAGCAAAGGCATAAGATAGCAGTCAAGCCTGGTACCCGTCAACACGGGTGCTCTCAGTGACAATCAGGACACTTACTTTCGCAATGCAACCTTTTCCTCATGTGGAGACCATTGATCTTCAGGCTCTGTGCTGCTCGAGATTCTTGAGGACGTTTTCTCAGTATCACGGAGAATTAGCCCAGGCGTAGGGGCCCCTTGGCGGATGTGTTGAGACATCGCCACCACGAAACAATGAGAATATGATATTTACTAATGACACATTCGATAGTTTAATGCTGGAATCTTGAAGCAGGTGTATCTAAGGGAGCTGATCGGACCATAGATTAAATATAATTCGTTATCTCAAGTCAGTGTCCGTATGCTCAGCGCATCAAAGATACAAGTCACCTTCAAGCTAATCCCTCACAACGTCCAATGAAGTGATGTCGCAATATCAGCGGAAAAGCACGTATGGACTCCTTGGAACGATCCAGGTCAACTTATCACTATGGTGAGGGACGATCGATCCCTGCATTTCGGAGCTTTGAGCGAGGTATCGGTGGTGGCCGTCGGAGGTGAGCGTCAGCAACTCCTCTTCACTCCGCAATCTTCGGTGTGGGGCCGAACGTGAATCCCGATTTGTGTTGTATGGCATACCGTGCCGTTGCCAGGGAAATCCAGATTCTCGTGTCTTGCGTCATCCAGATTACGATTGGGGTCTCTTGCAAAGTGCGTCCCTCTGCTTGGTTCAAAAGACCGAGTCTACTTTCCGACCGGTTGTTTACCAACTGCCGAGACTCCAGAGCCCCGAATATCAACACCAAGACGACACGAAATGTCCAAAGATCCTGCCCGGCCAAATGTCGTGCTCGTTCTGGCCGATAACCTCGGCTGGGGCGAGCTGGGCTGCTACGGTGGCGGCGAGCTTCGAGGCGCAGCCACGCCTCGCATCGACAAACTGGCCACCGAGGGCCTCTTGCTGCACAACTTCAACGTCGAGAGCGACTGCGTCCCGACCCGTTCCGCTCTTATGACCGGCCGACATCCCATCCGCACGGGCTGCCGCCAGTCAGTCCCCGCCGGGTTCCCGCAAGGCCTTACACCGTGGGAGAGGACTCTTGCTGAATGCCTCAAGGACAACGACTACGCAACCGCTCACCACGGCAAGTGGCATCTGGGCGACGTTCCCGGCCGGTACCCATCTGACAGGGGATTTGATGAATGGTTCGGCATCCCGAGAACGACGGACGAGACGCAGTTCACCAGCGCTCTGGGCTATACCCCCGAGGTGGCAGAGCTACCATACATAATGAAGGGCAAAGCGGGCGAGCCCTCGGAGAACGTTTGTATCTATGACTTGGAGAAGCGCAGGCTTATCGATGAGATGCTGGTCGAGAAGTCCAAAGACTGGTTGTCTCGGCAGGTCAAGGCCGAGAAGGCATTCTTCTTGTACCATCCACTAGTTCACTTGCACTTTCCGACACTTCCACACAAGGATTTCGCCGGTAGGACGGGTCAGGGCGATTTCGCAGACTCAATGGCCGAAATGGACTACCGTGTTGGCGAAATCATTGACCACATCGATGATCTCGGCGCTCGGGAGAACACAGTCTTCATCTTTGCCTCGGACAACGGCCCGGAATTCAGAGAACCATACCGGGGAACTGCTGGCCCATGGTCAGGAACATACCATACAGCCATGGAGGGTAGCCTTCGGGTCCCGTTCATCATCCGTTGGCCAGGCTACGTCCCTTGCGGTGTCACTAGTAACGGCATCGTTCATATTACGGACATTTTCACCACCGTTCTCTCCATAACGTGCACCCCGGTCCCATCAGACCGCCCCATAGACGGCGTTGACCAGACACAGTTTTTGTTGAAGCCCTCTGAAACTCCATCACCTCGTCAGGGCTTCTTGTTCTACATTAAGGATGAGCTACGTGCCATGAAGTGGAAGGACTGGAAGCTACATCTTGTCTGGGAGCCGAAGGTGAATCAGTCGAGTGGAAAGCTGGAGTCTCCGTATCTCTTCAACGTCGTCCGAGACCCAAAGGAAGAGACGGATATTCTAGCTTACAATACCTGGGTACTGCAGCCTATGTTCAAGCTGAGAGCAGAATTCCAGAAGAGCCTTAAGAGCGATCCAGCACCACCTGATCCGCTCAAGGATATGTAAATTGCTCCATCCCATTTCATACTCTTAACGAGGTTTCATAAAACACATCGATTTACCGCTGCCCAAAATTGACAGATGTGACCTATGTCCTTGTAGTCGATAGTGAAGCCACGGTCTAAGTAGTCGTAGTTACAGAGGGAATCCAAGTAGTTTAGCAGTAATTCTAAAGCACATCCCCAGACAGCTTCAGCTCCACGGGACGTTCCCAAATCCCCAATACAAGGCACCCAGTGATGTCTGGGGCAACGCCATATCTGCCCAGAACGGCTGTTCAAACGCGATTTGAGATGTTCCCTGATGCTGCACATCTCCCAGGCTGCCAACATTACTAGCAGACCTAAGGACAGAATTCGACAGGACCTCAAATGCATCCCGGTATACCGACCCGGGAGGATAGCGCTCGACCATGGCCCAGAGGACAGACATGCAGGTATTGATAGACGCAATCATGTCCGCTTGGTTGAGGTCCGGGTAATGGTGCATGGAGTTCAGGTGGACGCAGTAGGCCGTCGCGACGCCGCTCCTGAAGAGATTGTGCGTCGTGCGCCAGAAGAAGCGCAGCTGTCCGTCTCGAAAGGCGCGGCGGTAGTTACTGATGCACTCGGAGGCACTCTGCGCGACAATGAGGATGTCGTTCTCCGAAGGGTCGGGAAAAGATGCTGAAGGATAATAAAGAAGGACCAGGTCAATGTGCAGGATGGAGCTGAATATGTCAGTGGGCGCCAGTTGTGTCGACGGGGCGGTTGTGGTCGGCGCTGAGTTCGACCATTCTATGACTCTACGTCTCATGCCCTCGCGCCATGTTAAGAGATCAATGACGGCACCGTTCACTGGTGGCTTCTGGTTGAGGGTGGTGTAGATCTCTGACTCGAGCCTGCGGTGCTTGATCAAGTGAAGAGCCAGGGCTCGGCTCCCATCGGCTTCGGCGAGGTCGGGTAATGGTGTGTGAATGGCTTCGTCTGGAATAGAGAAGGGTCTTCCCACAATGACGCAAAGGTTTCGCTCCAATGTGTATAGTGCCCAGAAAAGCCATCGGCGCTGGCTAATTTCGTCTTGACTGAGTTTCGTCACAACGGCACGCTCATCGTGTAGGCCCAGCTCGACTGCCAGCCTGGACGCGACGCCGACAAAGTGCCATGCCCCGCTTAGATTAGAGGCGAAGCAACAATACTGTGCCACGAGGAGCAGGTTGCAGAGATGACCGGGATCGCCAGTGCAAATGACGGCTGGATTTTGGGCAAGAAGCTGGATCGCTGTGGCGAAGTAGTTGTCTGCCCTGGATATGGGGAATGCGGAATCCGTCCTGTTGAGCAACAAGACTGCCGTGGCAAAGACTATGTATGCGCGGAACATAGTCGGCGACACCCCAGAACGTCCCGAAAGCGTAGTCTGGCCGTTTGGGCCCTCATTGTAAAGCAGCACGATTGAGGAAGAAAAGTCGTGCTTCGATGATATGATGGGAGAGAAGAACTCGCAGTGCTCGAAATAGGCGTCAGTCAGTCGCACTGCCCCATCTCGACTGGGTAAAGCAGCTTGTGTCTCATTGGGTAATTCATCCAGAAGTGCCCGGTGATCGTTTGGTTTCGATGTCCGTGAAACGCACCTAATCGGCTCAGATAGCAACGAGCGAAGAAGGGACTGTCCATTGGAAGTTGTGATGGTATTATAAAAGACGTCTCGATCCAGACTCTTGGACATGACTTGTTCAATTGGATCTCTAGACGAGGACCTCCCATTCGGGGGACTTGAAGCCAATTCATCCGAATTTGATTGAAAGTTCGGGCATTCTCGGCTGGCGAGTTGAGACTCGAGATAGGCCACCCTTTCTTCTAAACTCTGTACGTAACTGAAGAAGAGCGTCAATCAGTTTATTTCTCCTTGTCATACAAAACTGAGAGACGGACCTTCGAGGAATAACTTGACCATCGATGTCAGTACTCACACAAGGGACACCTGCGCGTTCGCAGTTGGAGCAAGCCGGGATGTTCTGGTCGCATCGCTGTTTTCGAGAGCGGCACCGTGCACAGGCGGTGACATTCGTTCGTCGAACGTTCGTTCGTCGACTCACGCGGCCTTGTGACGACATGATCTATCCGCCAAAAAGACGTCGGGTCCAGGAGCCTGACGGGCTTTTATTCGGGTAATATTTTGGCGGTATAAGGACGATGCTGACAAGAAGGTAATGTAGCGCCTGTTTTAAGGATGTCCTGTCAGCCAATTTGATGAGCACACTCAGCTATGATATTTCGCGGCTTTTAGTATGCGCTTGATGTTGAAGACAATTGCGACATGGACATCGCTTTGTCCGGCAAAATGAGTTATGCAGCTCGGCGAGTAGGTACTCCACAGGAATACTGCTTAACGAGGAAGGAAATGCACCTAAACACTATAAAGCAATTGTTAGGACTATGCATCAACGTAGTTCACTATCTTGATATTTTTATAGATTATGTTTTTCAGAGAACAATCAGTATGTTAGAGTTAGAGAAAATGTAATTCACATTGTGTTATGCTGTTCTCTACCAACGATATTGTCCCAAAGTCAAGAGATCTCTCAGACGGATTTCAGAGTTACGCTCGCCCAAAGCCGGAGACCAACAACCGGAGCAGCTCAAACCCGCGCACTGAGCCAAGGCAAACGGCACGGCAAGATCACTCAACTCAACATACATCACATTAATTCACAGCAAGGGTTTATCAGAAGTAGTTGATATTGAATTACCAAGTGCCCAAGCCACCCAGAGCAGCCAATCCCCAGTCTCATCTCAACCCACGACCTCCACAAACCGCTTGACAAGGAATCCTCCTACATATACCACAAAACAACAACACAACACAATGAGCACATGCGGCGATGAGCATCAAAGTACTTTGTAATTGCGCCGCACCATTTAACACTAGCGCCGTGATCCATGTCTTTTCCCACTTTCCCTCCTCGAAAGACAAAAAAACAAAGCGAGTCGAACCATGCTTGCAATGAGATGATATCAACCAACCGGCCACAGTTCAGAATTTCCACTTTGCATAGGCACCCGACGCAGCAAAGTAGGAATAACAGAGCAAGAGGAAATGAAGATAGATGCAAGTCCGCAAGTCCGCGGGTTGTTGGTATCATGGATGTTGGTGATGTAGCCCTCTCCCTTGTGATCCCATGTGGTGAGGCGACCGAGATGTCGAGATGAACTCATGGGCCAGAGAAGCCTTGAACAGTCTAGACTCGGTTCGCCTTCACCAACTCCATGCATTTCGTTCAGCGCGCTCGTCAATCACAGCCCAGCTAGCTGCCATGACTACCTCACCACTACACCTTCCCTCGCTGCGACAAGCAACTCCGTGCGACGACGCCGCTGAAACAAACCAGCTTCCGCTGTCATGCAACGCAAGAACCAATATCGCAAGGTTCGCGAAGAAATGAAGTAAGAACAAAAAAAGGTATCTATAGTCATGAAAAGAACGGATTGTCGGTCGGTCTCCAAGGAAAGCTGGTATATGGGTATAAAGGAGTGTGGTATCAAAAGAGATCTGGTGCTCCCACTCATCCAAGAGAAGCCAAAAAAAGAAAAGAAGCATCCATCATCCATCATGAAAAATAAACGAAACGTCGTCGTATGCTGAACTAGGCCCAGACTCTGCTATGATAGGCTCATTGTGGGGGAAGAGCAAACGCTGTGGAGCAAACGCTGTGCGGCCAACGCTATAGACAGTGAAATATAGCCCGCAGACTCAAGCAATAAGCAGTACAGCGGGAGGAAGATGGCGATGCGACTGCTCGTTCGGGAGGAAGGGTGGGCCCGGGCTGCTGTGGCTGCTCGTGAGATCCACATGCATGAAATGGGTGAAGTAGCTTGGGCCGCTAGCGTCGCCAGCGTCGGTCGGTCTTTGTTTATGGTATCGATGTGGTCATTTTGAACATCCCGAAGCCCGTGCGCCAGTAAAATGCCGTAAGAAAAAATTATAGGGTATTGATAAAGTGAGCTTGATATCGTCCCGATGAGGTACGGGGTTGCGGGCTCTGGATGATGTACACCTGAATGTAGATGGTGCAGTGGGAGGCGGTTCCGTGTAATAAATCGAGCTCGATGCGGAGTGTCTTCGATTCGTCGGGATCTCGTCGGAGGCTCCTACTTCTTGGTCATTGGCTAGAGGCACATCCTCCCACCAAGCCGTGCTGTCACGGGAAGGTGACGTGAAAGTGGACCTGTGGGTGTCAGATTCCCACCAGTGTTTGCCCGGGGCCCAAGATGATCTAGAAGAAGGTGGAGTAGGCGGCAGGGATGCAACGGCCGTGTCGTGGTCATTCTAAGCCGTGTCACCCACACAGAAGAGCTCTATCTCTCCCATGCCACCACTGTACATGCTGCGGATGTTCTCGCGCCAGTCTGAAAACGCGATTTGGATGTCCTCGTCACTCTCGATGTTGACGAAGTCGCCGTCCTCGTCGCGGTATCGCAGCCTCAGATTTCCCTTACCAATACTTGAGTTTGTGAACCGCGAGAGCTTGGCATCGATGCGATCGGTAAGACTCTGGTACGTGATGTTGAAGGCTGCTACAAGTGTGACGTAGTTGCCACTGTCGCAGTTGACCTTGACCTTGAGTTGGGATTGGAAGGGCGCGTCATTCGGGTTGGGGCTGGCCAGGGGGTTCGAGGTGGGCGGCGCGGCCCCTGCGGTGTTCAGTCCTGGAGAAACTGTCCTTGATGAGTCGAGATTCAATGGTGCAGGCATGAGGCCATTTTTATTGGGACCAGGGGTAAGCTGACGATGAACAGGCTGAGCTGGGAATTGGGCCATTTGACCTCCCCCGCCGAACTGTTGCAAGCGATCCCTCTGGACGCCTGGACTCTGGGTGTTAGCCCGAATCGGAAGCTCTTGCCTGGGACTGCCCGTCTGGCTCCTCGGGATGTTGCCGTCATGTGCTGGATGCAAATGCGCGGGGATGCCGGGCACGGCTGGAACGCCTTGACTACCTCCTCGCTCGGTTCTCCTCACCGGTTGCTGTGGTTGGCCATTGATATCAGGAGTTGAGTAAGACCTACTTCTTTGTTGCGCGGCGATAGACTGCGATGACGACGTTGCCATTGCTGGCAACGAGGGTCCACGTGGGTTGCGGCCGTTCACCATTCCGTAGGCATTCGCTGGGGACGGTCCGTCGCGGGAAGGGGCCCGTGGCATGGCTGGAGCTGTGTATCGATTATTGTCTTCTGGCCACCCGGACTGCGGGGCTCCATTCTTGGGTAGTATGTAGCTGGAACTCGGACCGAAGAAGCTAGATGTGGTGCTTGTCCTTGACGAAGCAGGGGACTCGGCAACCGGGGAAAAATACGACTCTCCACCGCGTGGTCCGGGAGAATGCTGTGGCTGCGATCCGGTTTGCAGCGAAAGGGCTGTCGGCGGCTGTGGCATGGGGAAGCTTGGAGGTGGCTGTCGGCGCACCATACCGGCTAGCGACATCGTGCTCTCCTGCGTTCCTGACCGTTGCCGCAGGCTCGTGCTAGAGGCCGTCCTTGGCATGAGTCCTTGCATGGGGTTATAGGATGACGCCGATGATGGAGGGGGGAAGTCATCATCATCCTCGTCGTGCTCCGCATATGGATTCACCAGGTCCCCGCCTTGCGCTTCCATCCACCTAAAGTTCGCCGTCGACTGGTCAGGGCTCGTTGCGCTCTGAGGCGCGTTCTCCTTTCGTTGCTTATCGAGACCAGTGGCCCATTTCTTCATCATCTCCTCATTCGAGAACTTGATGACAAAGTTCTCAACCCCGGGGTCCCCCTTCCACCAAATCTGCACGGTGTACGATCCTGGAAACGTCAGTCGAAGAACTGTGCGCGTTTTGACGGCCATCTGCAGGAGATATGTGTGTTAGTATGTGCTTACCGGGCTTTGAGAAACTCAACACTTCTGTGACGTTTGTCATGAAAATACGTCCCTTGAGCTGCAACTTGTTGTTCTTGTTGCGCATCTTCGGACCTGTCGAGCGTGTCTTGTCCTTCTTGTCCTTGCTCTTATTTGGCGTGATTTCTTTGCAGCACAGCAGGATGCACTCAAAAAGGTAGATCTCATAGTCCTTCTCTTGGTCAGTCTTGCCGGTGATGACCGTGTACACACCATGGAGCAGAAGTTTTCCGAAATGCTCCACGCGGTGGTTCTTCCAGTCGTCTACGCGGCCGACCAGCTCTTCCAGTGCCTCGTCAAGCAGGTCCCGATCAACGGCCTCGTTTGCTTTCTTTAGGACGTGTTCTGCGGCCTCAATACCAGCCGCCAAATCTTGTTTGATGGTCTCGTCATCGCTCTTCTTCATCAGGTCCTGCAAAACAAATTAGCAAATAGCGACGGAAGTACAAGCACTAAGGAGCACAAACCTTGAGCAGCAGAGGGTACTTCACAAGTCGCTGCATAGGTTTGAGTAGGAAACCATCCAGGGTATTGTAATCACAGGCCACGGGGTGTTGAATAGTCTGAATCTTGTCAAAAACCTGGCTCGCGATCAGAGCCGCTTTTCTTTGGTTGGCAATGAAAGGCTGGTAAGTTGCATTGAACGAGTCTTCGTATGCCACAAATGGACTGCCCCATTCCTGCCGAAGCTGCGGCATGGAGTTTGTTGTCTCGACGCGGATCAGAAAGCGCCGTTGGAAGTCGAGGATAGAATTGATGTTGAGAAAGATCGAATGTGCGACATCGCCGCTGATCGCGCCCCTTTGTTCCAGCGTCTTCTTCAAATCATGCAAATTTTCAAGGTCCTGGACGTATTTGCGCTCGGTGTCCACAAGTTCGCGTATGATGTGATCGCGGTAGCTCATTTTCGCAACTCCCTCGGGGGGCGGGGCATCGATGTCGCCGTACGGCGTTTGTTGTGGTTGTCTCAGGAGACCTCTCTGTTGAGCAATGTCGAGAACCATGTTGATAACCACCAGGACCTGTGTTCGGGTCAGATCATGCGATTGAAAACGCCCAGGAGGGTCCCGATGAAGGAACAACAAGAAATAGTTCAGCCCTGTCTCGTTATCTTACCTTGCTGAATCCCGATGTATCAGTGCCTAGCAAATCTGCAACAATGAACATTTCCTGAGGCGGTATCTTCAGTTCTTTCGAGCATCCTTGCACAAACTTAGCAATCGCGAGCTTCCCTTTCTTCGCATCGGTGGCGTTTGGTACGTTGACGACGAGTGGGTCGTCTGGATCGGTGGCATTGTAGATAGACAGGAGAGGAATGCCTGTCCTCAGCAGGCCCCAGAGGCCTTCGACAGGTCCGCCGGCGTCTCCACCTTCCTGTTCCCTCTCCTCAAGTTGGGCCATGTACTCGTCGAAGCCGGGTGCGAGGCTCAGTCGGTTCTTGATGGCAACGCATATTTGGTAGAGGGAGCGCGAAGCGTCTGCCTTTTGGTTGATGATGTTGCTGGTGGCGACGACCTGCCCGTTAGAGGGCGGTGAGATGATTGTGCTAGCGGTTGCGAGGGAGTTCAAGCTGGCATTTGAAGGGTAGACGGTCGAGCCTGAAAGCTGGCTCGCCCGTGGCGCGCTGCTCATACTCATTTTGGCTAATCTCGCTACGCCGTCAGTCGAGTGTTGGAAGACGGGAGCCGTACTGGTTCTTAGTAGAGGAGCATGTGATGCCATTACAACCTACTCCATGAACGTGATTGCGTGTGTGGTGTGTGGTCGACTCGGGTGCTCCTGGGCCTGCGACTTGGGACAGCGAAGCCCACAAGCGGAGGGTCGAGGAGGAAGAGGGTGGATGTTGAGAGCTGGGCTGTTTTCGAGTCGGCTCCGGCAGCAGTGAGGGGCCAGGAGCGGCTCGTTGATGACGGAAGAGAAGGGATGCAGTCGAAGAATGCAGATGCAGACAGGAGAGGAACCCGCGCGAGCGACGGCTAGCAGGACGCGGGGTCCAAGCTGACTCAGTTGGCGGGTGGTAGGCGAGGCCGGGCGAGTCTTAGAAGCGACTTCACCGAGGCGAGGCAAGACCAGACAAGACGTCGGGGTCTCGAGATGGATGGTGTCTTGGGTCTAATTGTGCGGTTCAATCGCTGGCGATCGGGGGTGATGCAGCGTTGGGGCAGCTGAATGCGAATACCTGGTCAAAAGTGGCGAGAGGATGAAATGCGACCCGATATTGGGGCCGGCGTGGAGGGTGAAAGCGAGAATGTATTGTTCCTGTTCTCTCTGGGTTGCGTCTCTTTCAAGGGCCCATCAATGAACCTAGGGTCCCTCCGTCTCAGGTGTGGAGCCGTCTCCAGTATGTGCCGGTGAGGGAGAATTGGGGGGGGGGCGAGAGATTGTGTATGTGTGCGCGTGCGTGCGTGCGTCGCCTCAGCGAAGGGGCGAGGAGCGGCGATGGAATGGCGATGTTGGTCCAAATGAATGGCTCGTATCGTAGCGTCGTGATGCGATGGTGGTCGTGTGGTTTTTTTTCTCTCTCCTCGCTTGCTCACCGTCTGAGGTGAGAAAGGGCGTTTCGAGGGGCGTGGTTTGGGGGTGTTGAGTCGACTTGAAACAGGCCGTCGTGGTAATGGCCGTTCTGGGCAGGGTGGGTGACAGGCGGACAGGCGGACAGACAGGCAGAGAGAGAGAGAGAGAGACAGTGAATGTGGATTGCGAGCACACTGTTTTGTCTTGCTAATTGCGAGTGGACGGACGACCGTACCGTATGTGCGCGCGTGCGAGCGTGGGTGCGTGCGAGCGTGCGTAGATGGATGCAGTCAGTTGCCGGTGGGTGTTGTCGATGCCAGATCGAATCGAATCGATGAACGATGATCAATCGAGAGACCCGCTCGGCTCAATGCTGTAATGTAGTGGTAGTTGGCGGCGACTTGTCTTGCCCGTCGTGGGTGGTCACTGGTCAACTGCGAGTCGGATGGAGGAGAAATGGAAGGGAAAATGGAGGGTTCCTTCCTTTGGTTCCTTGTCAATGCCCTTGCCTTGCCTTGATGCTTGCCTGCCTTGTCTGGTCTTGGCTTGGCTTCGCTTCGACCTTGGGAGCGCGGGCAGGAGCAGGAGCAGGGGTAGGGGGGTCGGCTGCACTGTGCTCAATGTACAGATAATGAATATAATTACCAAGGGTACTACTGCACAGCACTGCGTATGATATAGAAACTGCTGCTTTACCCAGAATCGAGAGAAAGGTTGAATGTGAGGTTTGTATGTGTGTGCACTCTGCTTCCTGATCTGATACTCTCTGGCAGCACGGTAGGCACGGTGGGTTGCAGGCCAGGCGCGGGAAGAGAGCATGAACGGCAATGGGCACTGGATGGACATGGACAATGATGGGCGATGGGTTGGGGCATTGGGCATTCACACACACCCTCTTTTCGCAGTTTACCCAGTCAGTTCTGCCAGTACCACAATACCTGAATACCCAGCAAGCAACCCAGCATGGGGATTGGGGGGGGGCACGGGAAGGGGAAGGTGCGCGCACGAGTCGTTCAGTCAGTCGCAGGGTTGCTCCTGTATCGAATCAGGCGGGCCGACCAGGAAGTGCTGTGTATCAGCTGCCCATACTGGCGGCTACTGCTTCCTGTTAAGGGGCTACCCCACCTCTGGCTTCTCTGGTACTGTACCACGCACCTGAACCCGTCTCACCCATCTGGCCCGCCTGCTCGCCGCAAGGAGGATGGGCTCCCTGGTACCGATACACGGCACAGCAGCATCCACCCAGCTGGACGGAACAGCCTGAAAGAACTCCCCGGTTGGGATCTGAAAAAAGAGAAAGAGAAAAGCTGCCCTGCCCTGGCTGCCCAAGTGGATATTCAGGACGATTTACTGGGGCAGGGCCACGGGCACACGCATGGCATTGGTAGACATGGCATGGTATGGCATGGTACTGTTATGGCATGGTACTGTTATGGCATGGCGATACTGATACTGTGGTAGCAATCCCAGGGTCCAACCGTCCAGGGTCTCCCAGTGCCGGATGCACACACGCAGGACACGCAGAACGCGGTATGTCAATCATCAAGTCAGACCAGTCAGATCAGCAGGGCCAGGCCAGGCCAGTGCACGCAAGAATTGTCAGCCTCACAGCCCATGGCCTATGGCCCATGACATTTGACACGCTTGTTTGATTGATTGAATTGATTCAGACAATGCGGACGGAGACACTGAAAGGCCGGCCCGAGGGATCGATGATGCCACCACGGTAGCCTGCATATCCATCCCAGCTGCCCTGTCTCCGTATCTCGATCCGATGGTTGAGTTGACGGGACTCTTTTTTTCCATATCACTCACTCACTCACTCGCGCACTCGCTCATTTACTTGCTGGGTATACTGGGGATACAAGGGACTCGCAGCCTGGCCAGAACAGTCTGAACAGCAGGGCACTATACGGGACTCCATGGATGACCTCACAATTAACCTTCTCCTTTAATCCGCCACGTGTCTAGCACAGTCCTCTGTCCATCAATATCCCATCAATATCCATCTATCTCCATCTCGCCGTCACCCTTCCGTCCCTCCGTGCCTCCATGCCTCCACGCCTCCGTGTGCCTCCTCCCCGCCCCTTCAATCCTTATATCTGGAATATATGGACTCTTGCGTGATGGCATTGAGGTGTGGATTGCTCTTGGACGCGCCTTCCCTGCCAGCTCCTGCCTCTTCCAGGTCCCCGTCCACGCCCGTCGTTTCAAATCCGTTGCCCGCCCGCACTAACCCCAATGCAGCCTCGATCCCGCCCCATCCAGACAAGGGCCCTCCCCTCCTTCCATTCCTACCTTGGCCCCCTTTCCATTTCGCAGCATCGGCACAGAGCACAGAGCACAGAGCACAGAGCACACACCAACGAAAGCCAGTCACCAACTAACTTGCTCTCTTCTTTGGGCTGAGACCACAAAAAAATGAAGACGGACACGCCCAATGACAAATGCAGCCCAGCCCGCCGCTTGTCTGCAGCTCGCCATCTGCCTGCCCTGCATCGCTTCTCTGCTTCTAGAATCAATCTAGAAGATTTGGAGACGATCCTGATCTTGATCTCGATTCACCAGTCCCTCTTTGGCTATGGCGGCCATGCGCCTCGCCCTCATCATCGCCCTTATCTCCGGCTCATTGTCGCTAGTCCCCTCTTTTTGCCCGTCTGAGTCTGCAATAAAATACCGTTGCATTGTGCAGTTGTGTTGTGTTGTGTTATGTCATGCTAATGTCGCGTTACGATGATGTGGCTTGCCAGCTTGCCTGCGGCACCAAGAAGCTCACAAGCTGCAGCCAGGGCAGAGCAGAGCTGTCTCGAGGCCCGTCGCGAAACACCATGGCGCGCTATCTCGAGAGCATGCGCCGTTGATAAGGGCCCCCAACAAGCTTCTCCAGCTTCCCTGCCCACTGATAGCGCGCAGCTTCTGCTACTTGACAGGCCCAATCCGAGCTCTGAGCACATCATCCTCTCTCGTCCCTTGTACATATTGTTCCACGGCGTCACCGACGTCGACTACCTGGCAAGAAGCTGCTCATGGTTTCAATATCGGAAAATGACTGGCCTTCCGACAGGTCGATAGCCTCCTCTTGAAACATGGGCCGCCTTCATCCCAACGCCGGCGCTGCCTCGGAGCACAAGAGCGCCCCACACCTGCCTTGGTGCTTTCTCTTTCTCCGCGCAGCCGGGGGGGTGTTCGTCGAAATCCTGTCGATACGCATTCAATTCCGATCGTCCATCCTTACTTTGCAGTGCAGATCCGGTTCTACAGAAACGCGGGCAGAAAGTCTATGTCCGTGCAGCACGAGTTGCTCGCTGACTGCCTGCCTGCCTGCCTGCCCACCGAAGTTGAAGTTATTCAGGTCCAAGATATGCTTCATTGCACCGGGCCTGAGGTCACAAGCTCCCCGCTCTGCGACAGCGTGGAATGCAGACGTGCATGTCGTGTTGGGAAATAGACCTGTCAGATGCGGTCGTCATGCAGCCCCGGTAGTATCTGATACGGCATTCGAGTATGCAACGCGCACATCGATCGCTCTGGCGTCCGGCTCTTGCCCTCGGAGGGGGTGCCATCTCCACACCATCCTCTTGGGTGCTGTTTGTGGCCAAGCGCCACCCTGCTTTTCTTGTTACTGGGCGAAGCTTTGCGCCATGTTTAGAGTTACAGACGCAGCGCAGAGCAGATCTTTGCCTTTCACATCACCGTGGTCACGTCCAAGTCGGCGATTTTGCGCACACGCATAGGAAAGACTTGCTCGGCTTCACCCGATCTCCCGGTCACCTAATCCCTGCATTATGTTTTTGTGAATGCTTCGCGCCTCCACCGCCTCAACGTCGCCTCAAGTCGCTGGAATGCCCTCACTGTTCACAGCCTTGTTCTCCTGCCCAAGTGTCACGATGGCTTCCTCCCGCTGGCAATGATAGAGACCCATGTCAGTGTCCATTTCCCCTCCTCACCATACTTCTCCACCAAATGCTTCTTTACCAACTCCTTCACCTCCTCCACCTTGTCCCTGCCGTTCTGGAGATCCAGTCCCAGATTTAACTTTCCGGCGTACTCGACCATCATGCCACTTGTCTTCATGAAGTGCTCAGGGCTTTTGACGGAACTTAAGGTTGCCAGGACGTCAACTTGAACATCCACCAGACCTTGGTCAGTTAGTGCCCCGCGGACCCAGTCAACATCATCCCAGTGACCATCGTCTGTCAGTTGCATCGGCATGTGGAATGCATAATTTGGAGGATGCAGCCTTGACGGAAGGGAATTGAAGGCATCACGAACGTCGGTCGCCCATGCGCTGCTCTGGCTGTGCCAGGTTGTGACTGCGAAGGTGCCGCCCGGCTGGAGGAGTCTGATACTATCTAAAACCCAACACGTACGTCAGTAAGATGTGATGAGAACATAGGTTTGGAAGCCAACCATACCTTTGAGTGCGGCCAAGGACTTTGGGATTGTATGGTAAACAATGTTACCGACCACATGCGTGAAGCTCTCAGATGGGAGGCCCGATTCCTACGTTCACTGCATCAGCCTCCGCGGTCCCACTTACACGCGGCATGCCTTCCTCCCCCTTCAAACAGAAACACTCACCTGAGCATCAACAACCTTCGCCTCGCAGTTGACCCACCCCTCCCTCCCCATCCTCCCCTTGACAGCCTCGACCAGCGGGCCCGAGAAGTCCCCGCAGACCACGCTGCTCTTCTCCTGCACGCCCCGCGGCACCGTCTCGTGCAGCAGCGGCGCCACGACGCCCATCCCGCAGCCCTGCTCCAGCAGCCGGTACGGCTCCGTGGTGCCCGCGCCGAGCCCGACCTGGGCGAGCATCCTGCGCGCCAGCGGCGCCGAGATGGTCCGCATCGTCTCGATCAGGAAGTCCTGCCACTCGTCGCCCGCGCCGCTCTCCAGGATCGCCTGCATGGCGCTGCCGCCGTCCAGGCTTGATGATGGCTTGCTTGTGGTTGTGGACATTTTGGGAAATGGGATGGTGGGTTTTGTGCTTCTTGTGTGCGGTGGTAGTATGTTGTGTGGTATGCGAGGGCGGATGGAGCGCATATTCAGAGCTTTGGGATCTCCGGCGTGCTTAAATATCATTGAGAAGCAGCATAATATGCATTCGTTTGAAGGCTTTTCTAATCAATTTTCAAGTGAACTCCATCCCTCGGAGACTTTTGTTGGTTTCGAGGTGCTGTTTACATGCTCAATTGGGATCTGGAGGATGGCGACGGCTGGGTCAGAAAGTGGCCGAAATGTTTCCGCCGAGCCCTCTGACGTGCCGCGCTTAGTACTTTGTCTCCGGGGTGAGCTACTGATCTTACGGTACTGCTTCACAACGGTTTGGTAGGTTTGTGAGCCAGTACAAGACTTGCCTGTCGATGACCTGATTCTTCTTGGTTGTTTATTGGCAGCTTGGATGTACAAATGGGGTGCAGATTATACACTGACGTATTGAGACATGCGCGGCTGGCGTGCGTCGCGTACCCGCACGTCGAGAGCTGATTGCAACGGCATGTGTAATTATACTCTGAATTACTGGCCAACTTGTTGTGCAACCAAAGGTTGGCTGGCTGTGCCTGAAAAAAGAAATCCACTCCAATCACTTGCATCCATGGAGAGTACAATACATTCACTGTCATACACCACATGCATCAAGCTGCAGGCTACCGGGTCTCGACTGACTTAGACTTACTGCGGTGCTTTTGTGTCATCGCTAATTCGTTCCTTTGGAATGCATCCTCGTACGATGAAGCCTGTTGCGCTCCGCCTTTATGTAGATCAAGGGCGAGCGCTTACCTTCCACATGCACAGGTGTCTTTCGCCAGTCGCTTTTCATCTGTCCTCTCGCACAGAAGCACCTCACTGAGTTTTCTTGCTTTCAAACTTCCCTTGCTCCAGGTCAACCTGAAGGTGCTGCCATGCTTACAGTTGGGGCACACATCTATCCGTTTTCTCGCCACGAGCAATAGCAGTGAAGAACGCGCAAGTTCCTGAAAACCGCCATCACATGGATCCAGCAACAATCATCGGGACCACATCGGCTGTCCTGAGCTTCGTTCAATTTTCAGGGAAGATTATCAAGACCGGGGCGGAGTTGCACTCCAAGAAGACCCACGCCACCGAGACCAATGAATCCTTCGAGGAATCGGTGACAGACTTCGAAGAGAGGGTTGCGGTATTGAAAACGAAGACATCTCACGCGGGCATCTCCCACAGTAATCACTCTTCGAGGACAGATGATGTCTGGAACGACCTTCTGCGTTGTAGTAGTGAATGCGAGAAACTAGGCAGGAGAATCTCCGGACTACTGGCGAAATGCAAGGCCAAGACGAAGCCTCCGCGTGTAGGAATTCGAGAACGCCTCAACATAAAGCTATCTGCTACACACAAGGCGGAACGGTCGCTTAGAGCAGAATTGAGCCTCATAGAAGTAATGAGGGCCAGTGTGGTCACCGTGTGGACAAGCGATGAGATCGAGTATTTACGTGGACAGTGGTCACAATGTATCGCGGCATTCAACGCTGCTTGTGCCAGGTATAGGCTGCTCATTGTCCCTGAAATACTAAAAATATGCCAAAAGTCACTCACATGAGTCCTAGGCTCGAGTCGTCCCAGCGCTTCGATTGCTTGGTCGAGATGTTTCAGCATCATTCAAGTCAACTTGGAACCATCCAGTCACTTGTCCAAGAACTCGTCGATAAATCGCAGAACCTAAATTTGACCTCGATGGACCTCTACAATGACTATCGAAAAGCGAATTCGACTTCCGCTCAACAAGTTAGAAACCGCGGTTGGATTCTAAATGCCCTCGCCTTTCCTGGTATGCAATCGAGACGGGATCAGATACAAAGCGATATCGGTAAAACCTTCAAATGGATTGCCTCATACGAACCCTTGATGCAATGGCTGGATTCTACAGACGGCATTTATCACATTTCTGGAAAGCCAGGAAGTGGTAAGAGCACTATGATGAAGTTCATCGATGGTAACCCCGATATTCACGAACGACTCGACAGATGGGCGAAACTTGACAACAAATCATTGCTCAAAGCTAGCTTTTATGCATGGAAACCCACTTCTGACTTTTTCGAATGGAAGCCTGAGGATTCTTCATGCATGGAACTGCTCATACGGTCATTACTTCACCAGTTACTCACGAGCACACCAGAACACATCCCAACTGTGTTCTCCAAGTACTGGAGTCCAGAGAGATACACTGTGTTCAATACTTTAACACAGACAGAAGAATCGAAACTTAGATTCAGTTTCTCTGAGCTTCAAACTGCTCTGAATGAATTGCTTGATAGATATCTCACACAGTCAAACCGGATCTTCTTCCTCATCGATGCTATGGACGAATTCGGCCATCCATACAGGCACGAACAGCTTGCACAGACCATTCGAAGCTGGTGTCACCGCAGCCCACTAAATATCAAGATCTGTATATCAAGCAGGGAGGACAACCCGTTTCTCAACACGTTCCCCGCTCAACAACGATTACAGCTACATCTCCATACGACTGATGACATCAAGGAACTGGTCACAACACGCCTGACTAGTGATTCTCATTTTCAGTCAGACAGCTTCAAAATGCAGGACCGAGAGAAGCTGATTGGCAAAATCGTCCGTGACGCCCAAGGCGTGTTCGTATGGGTGGTTTTCACTATTAATGAACTTCTGCGTCTTCTAACCGACCGACAAGACTTCGAGGCTCTTAAAACTGAGGTTGATACATTCTGTGCCAAAGAGATGAACGAGTTTTTCGCAGAGATATTCAATCGCATCCCGTGTCAATATCGCCGGGAGGCAAGAGCGATTTTCTCAATAGTGGGCATAGTATCAGCGCATGGCATGCAAAGCCAATTCTATTTGCAGCACTACGCGGCGATATCGAAGTGCCTGAACCCCTCAGCAACTGACTCTCAGTCAAACTCGCACCAGAATTTGACGCATCAGGCCGTGCACGAAGTTGAACAATTCAAGTCCCGTCTACCTTCCATATCGAGAGGAATGCTGGAAATGTCGAGAGGATGGCTGGAAATGGCGAGAAGATCGCGGGGTTGGAAGTACTCCCCCGATAGTGACGAAAAAGCAGCATTCATGGTTTCACAGAGGCTGCAGTTTAATCACCGCTCCGTGTACGACTTCTTCAAGGATAACCCTGATGTTCTTGTCAACGCCGGTCATGATGGGCTTCCCATCGACAGCTTAAGCCTCATTTTGAGGTCATCTGTGCGAGTAGTCAACATGACCATACCACCAGATGACTGTGTAGGTCTCTTCACACTTGAGCTGTCGATTTGTGGCCTTCTATCGCTTGTCGATGCAGAGGGAAGAGACAGTACAGGAGACATCAGTCCTTTATATCTGAATTCTCTGAAAAACCTTGACGTCGCCCTTTTCCGCTCATTTGGAGCTTTGCCTTCAGATAAAGCTTTTGGGTCATCAGTAGAATCCGACCTGATCCTTGGGCAATTGTCCAAATCAGTGTTCCAGGTAGCCATTTTCAATAAGTTTCCGTGGTATGGTACATGGGTTTTGGACGACAATTATCCCTCATGGATTCGAAGCGATTCAATGAAAGACCACGTATCGAAGCTGCTACTCGGTAGTCTCAGTGACTTACCGAAAGACTTTTGCATTTCCTACTTGGGAAATGTGGTCCGATCAGGCTATCTGGTCCTTAACGAGCCTTCACGCTGCCTTCAGCTTCATCCAGAATCTTCCCTACGGATGACGGGTTCACTGTGGTTGCACTTTTGCATTCGGCTTATAGCGACGAAGTTGAGTGTACATGATTATAAAATAAGCCCAATCATCTCGGAGTTTCATGCTGAACCTCGCATCGGATTCCAATGGTGGTCTGAGGGTCCAAGCCATCAGCAAAAAGAACCCCAGCACAAGGAAAAGCAGCATGAGATTCCTTGTGAAAAGATACTGGATCGCATAAACCTGCACGAAGTGAAGGTATTATCACTTCACTGGACTTGGCTCGAAGATAAACTAGACCGCGTAGACCTTGGAAACCGATTCGGACTCAAGGTCACAGTCGGAGATGATCCCGAAGGTCAGTTGATTCAAGGCCCACAATTGACGAGTAACAAGTACGACACGAGGATCATCAGATATCTCATTTGGAATTTTGGGACTGCCTCAGGGAAGGCATCATTGAGGGATGTATTCGAAAGGCGCCCGATACCTCTTAGTCCCCGCCATAAAGAGTCGGTCGAGTTAAGGGAAAAGACGCTCCGGGCTATGGATGAGGCGCTGGCCCGCGCAGAATCGGCCGCTGAATCCCATGCATCAGACGAGCAGCTTAAAGACAAGGGAGAAGATGAAGATCTCGCTATTGAAAGGCTGCAGACTAAGGACGACAGATGTTGGGAGAACAGACCTGCTCGTTCCAGTCAACAGATCCGATCAGTAGAGACCGGGGGAGTCTGGACGGAATTCGCATATCTGGTGCTATTTGGCTCAGGCAAGTTCATCTCACTCAGGGTCTGGAGAGGAAAGAAACCAGAAGTTCTATATTGCTGACATTATTTCTCTGCTTAGGAGTCGGTCTTGCTATTTTTTTGCACATTATTTCGCGTTTCATGAATTGGATTTAATGTCAATGCTTAGGCCATGTAGAGGTTTATTTTGGGCATCAAAATCTTTCCTGTAGCTGATCTTCGAAAATTTACCTAGACTAGACCATAGTTACACTCATGTCAATGAGCCTTCAAGAATCTTGTGCACAGGTAGGTGGGTTTACGGAACCAACGGCCATGGCCTTCAACTTAAGTCGGCTTTGGTCCTCGGATCCTCACATACGTTGGTTCATAGCTCCACAAACCCAATGTGACCCTCTGTGTGTTGGCAATCGCTTCAAATTCAAATGATGTCTTGAAACTATTCGCACTTTGTGCTCATCTTATTACCCACTTTTGTATGCAGTATCGGGTAACTAGAATCCTTCAATGGCTTCCTCGTGCGAGAGTCCCACCTTCCGTTTGACGAGTCAGAGGGCAGAATCGCCGAGTGCATATCGTTGGGGGTCGTGGACACAAAGTGTCAGACCACAATTGGAAGGTGACCACGTATTACAAGCCTGGCCTAGTGTCCGGCGCCAACTCACTAGACAGGTAGCTTCGTGCAACATGCGGCAAAGGCCCCATTCCCGCTCAACGGGTGGAGAGTACCGTAGAGCGTGTGGCCATAACCCTTGTGCAAAGCAACATGCACCAAAAAGCAGTCTTCCCATAGCTGAATTGATCTAACTCTGAATACGAAAAAGATAGACTCGTCACGGAATCAAGAGCTGCCGTCGTAATCTCACCAAAAATGGCCCCGCTTCTGCGAGGTACTGCGTTCATCACCGGGGCTGCGAAAGGTGAGTGTGCGAAGGTGAAGTGCTTTTGCTAGGTTGTGAGAGTCGCCAAACTGTACCGTAGAGCTGCTGACGGACGAATCGCAGGTATTGGTCAAGCCACCGCCGCAGCGTTTGCACGACACGGCGTCTCCCGCCTCGCAATCGCTGACATCGATATGCATGGGTTGGAAAAGACGAAGGAGCTCCTCCATGCTCAGTGTCCCGATATCAAGGTCATGGAGCTCCAGCTCGACGTGCGGCATTCTGCACAGGTGGCGGGGGCACTTTCGGAGGTGATGAAGAAATTCGGGCGACTTGACATCGCGGTGAACAATGCGGGTATTGGGGGCAGTGGGAAGCGGACTCATGAGATGCCAGATGACGAATGGCAGCAGGTTGCGGACGTCGATCTCTTCGGAGTTTGGAGGTGTCAGAAGGAAGAGCTGGCTATGATGGTTGACCAAGAGTGAGAAACATCCTTTTCAACTGCGTTCAGATCGCGCTGAACGATAACTGACTGCGTCTCTAGAGATCTAGGGATCCGTGAGGGACGGGGGAGAATCATCAATGTCTCCTCAATGTACGGCCTCAAAGCGACAGGGCCGCATCTACCTTCAACCCCATACGTTGCCTCCAAGCACGGTGAGACCACAAATTCTCCCAGCTGATAAACCGATTCCATGATGCCATACCACTGACATATACCTTTCAGGCGTCATTGGGCTTACACGAGCAGATGCGAACAGCTATGGACATATGAACATTCGCATAAACGCTGTTTGTCCGGGGTGCGTACTCAAGCCTGAGTCAAAAGAGCAAGCGAGCTGAGTGTAACTCCACTAATACTGTCGTTTGACTAGATACGTGAAGACGCCGTTGCTTGACAACCTGAACATTCCCTCTGATTCATATCTAGGACGAGATCTTGAAAGGACAGCCCTCAAGCGCTTGGGTCTGATCGAGGAAGTGACGGACGCCATTGTGTTCCTTGCCTCACCGATGAGCAGCTATATGCAAGGCTCCGCGCTGGTGGTCGATGGTGGGTACACTTCGCAGTGAAACTTGGGCTAAAATCGGTTGCACGTCTCTCAAAGTTTGTGACCGAGTACCGTGGCATTGGTACGCTTATGTCTAGCTCGCTTTTTTGTCCACCTCCCACCTACGCGACGAGACTGGGTATGGGCGCTCTGTCGATAATGGGCCGAGCACACACAATGCAAGCGTTGCTTCAAGTAACAAAAGACAGGCCAACAGACTTACCAAATGTGTCCTCAGCTGATGATAGATTTAGGTATGTTGTGTATCCCACGTAGTGTTCGACTGACGCGCCTGCTTCATGAGCAGCTTTGGAACCAGCCCAGTCAATAGAGGAGCAATACCTACCATATCGTAAAGAGAACTCTCTTTTCCCGGCTTCTTTCAGATATCAGCGGTCGAAACTCGGTGGTGAGTCGGGATCAGTCGCACACCTGGCTCACAATTATAAATGTATTAAAGTCTACAACAGGTAGACCACGACTCATGTATTTCTTCGCATGGTGTCTATAGCTGAAGATCAGTCATGGTCTACGTTTGAAATTCGTGCACTTGCGTAAGATGTACGCCGAGTCGTTCATGTTTGTATTGTAGTTTTTCTTAGTTTTGAGATGAACGGTCATGTGGTCTTTTGCATTTTTGTTCTAAAAACCATCGAAGCAGGCTTAATCTGACAAATTGCGTTCAATTTACTTACGGCATATGCTAGCCACTGCCAATACATGAAAAGCAAAGCCCGGTATCTTGAATTAACGCACACGGTGGTGAAGGTGCAGCCACCCCTCAGCAAGGACATGCTTGTATGACGATGGTCCATAAATTCACCCTTGTTGGTCCCCTCTTTGCCTGCGGTCTGGCTTAATTGGGGCTTGGTATACGTATCAGTGGGCTGGGTCTGACGTGGCAGTGTTCAGCTGTCGAAAACAACCGAACCTTCCGTGTGAGTCCATCACGACGTCGTCTTCCACGCTGGCTACCCCAGACCTAACTGACATGCTGCCCAGTATACATGACACGGTTTCGACCCCGGACTACCCACCTGCCGGAACTGACCCGGTATAGACCCCCTTTCGCCTCCATGGTTGCTTGTATTGCCATGACGAAATCGAACGAACAGTCAACGTGTACCTCTTCTCAGTTTCTGATAATATGGATATCGGTCGTGGCTTTGCATAAGTCAAATTAAATTCACAACTGGGTGTTTGTTTCGTCTCGGCTTATCTGCACTGCCCAGCTGAAGTATGGCTGTTCGGTTTCATCGTCCCCCCGTGCAATCCCGCCGTATGATGATCGCTCAGGGTTTGCATTTGACTGGATGATCGAACGAAAGAGATCGAAGTAGGAAATCCGTCTCAGGGGCAAGATTTGATCCCAACGAGCAGGAATGATCGAAGGAACGAGGTGTCACACTGGCTCAGTCATCACAAGTAAACAAAAAAAAAATCAGTAGTTGAAGAGTCTGAGAGAAGTAATTCCGCACTTCACAATGGCAAAATTTGTGAAACACTAGTTCAGGGAGATGCTGAAGCCTCAATACACTCGCGACAGCTCAACACTGATCCCTTCTCGAGGTGCCGTCATTTCATTTCCCTGCTACTCGTGCCCTGTGAGAGTGTGAGAATAGTTAGAATGCGGTTGTTGTGATCACACTTGTAGACAAATCAAGCCAAATAGCCGATTGTGTGTAAAATCCTCATTGAATGATATTGATGGCTACAAGCAGGTGACGTGAGCCTGACAGACCTGCCCCCCTGGAGCCTGCTCCTTGCCATCCTCTCCCAGAAACGCCTTTCTATAACACCTTATTTGCCCAAAATCAGCCCGCCTCTCGCTCACATCCAACCCCGGGGTATCAATCAGTACTTCGGCCTCGCAACTTGTCCGTACATCTCGACATCGTTTGGCCCAGATCGTTCCCTGCTCAGCGGCGACTCGTCCTCAGACACCATGAAATTTCCGCCCTCCCGAGACTTGAGAAAACCTCCCGAAGGCATGTTCATCTGCGCGAACCAGCCGCCAGCGGTGAGCGCAGTGGCAGCGCCAAAGAGCGTGAGGAAGAGCAGCATCTTGATGGCAAATGTGCCCATGACGGGGTCGAGGGAGATGTTCTGGCGGTTGAAGGCGTAGATGCACATGTAACTCAGGCGGCCGAGCCAGATGGGCATGGCGGCGACGCCGCCCCAGAAGAGCATCAGCGAGGGCCGCGCGTTGGGGTGCACGCCCGTGTAGCGGTTGATCTTCTTGTAGGTCGGCCACATCCACCCGCACACCGTGAACAGCACCCACAGCATCATCAGGTTGCCGATGCGGCTGAGCTCCTGGTTCGCCACGCCGCCCTTGCCCGTCGCGCTCGGCGCGCCGCCGTACGTTGCTATCGCGATGCCGGCTGTGTTGGCGAGATGGGTTACGCCGAGGACGATCTTTTCGGTCCATTTCTTCGGCTGCTGCGGGAGAATTATGTTTCTGTTGGTATGAATGAAAGGTTAGTAATTTTCTTGTTTTATTAGATTGAGATTGTGACTTAAAAAATCAATCGATGTATCGATGTGACTTCTCAGCACGGCAGCGCCAGATCTATCCTGAGAAAACCAATTAGACAATTACTTACGCCTCATAAATAATACCGATGATGCCTAATGATATACAAGCAATAACAGCAGATTCGGTCATTGTTGACACCGCGGTCGGTAATAACGGCTTGTCTTTGTTGACAATAAGATATACGTCCGCGATGATCCGCGCGGCGAAGGCCATGATGTAAATCGACCAGCACGTCATGCCCGCTTTCCCATGCTTCCAGGTGAGATACCCGACGACTGGGAGGAATAATCCGGACAGAACGGTCTCCACGTAGGCGAGGTTGATGACGCTCGATGACGGCGGGGGAAAGTCTGCAGCAGAAGACATGATGGCTGACGAACACGGACGCTAACGATGAGGCTCTCGAAGCCAGGTGGTGAAGACGCAAGACTGGAATTCCGGGGTTTTGGCAGGCCGGCGCGAATACTCAACTAGCACACAAAGACACGATGTGGACTTTGATCTGAGAGAGGCTTTTGAGATAGATTGATGGTGGACATATCACAGAACCAAGCTTTTTCGGCATTGGGAGTCTGGAGTCTTTTATTATTCACCCACCTAACCCACGGCCATGTTGATCGCTCATCGAAGCCCTGCAACCGGATGCCCGGCCAATGGGCGACTCGCGGGGCTAGCAAACTCTCTCCGTCGATGTCAGTTACGAAACCGATAAGGGCTATGCGATGGCTCAGAGGTTTGTTTTGCTAGATACCGCGCGTTAACCATGTCGAGCTGAGGCAAAGTGGTGGGTAAAGGGACGTGTGAAGGCCCTTGTTTGACTATGCACGCAGAGAGTACTGCCCGCAAGCCGAATACGGGAGCGAAGCGAGCACGGCTGTGCCCCATATCCATGGATCGACAGTCGTCCCGCAAACCCAATTTATGTACTACCGCTTTTTGGGCCAATGAGGAGAACCTAGCAGCCAAAACACTGCGCGCGAGTCGAGTCTTGAGCCTTCCGTTGTTAGTTTGGTCCAACCCTTTTTTTAAGTTTCATCCTTGCTCGCGGAGACTTATTTCTGGAAGGTCGACGGGGCGCCCACATAATTAGGGATGCCATTCGCTCTCGGAGTGTTTCCCGAGCACTAGAACTACGAAAACGAACCCTTAGCGCAGCCGCAGCTGCTAACTTTGTAATCTGTCTCAGCCTTAACGCCCACTTTGATTCCAGGGGATAATAATGCATCTGCGCTTTGACAAATACAGAAATGATTACCCGTGATATCTTTTGACTTATACATAATGGAGAAATATCGCGGTCAGAGATAGAAGCGATCTTCCAAATCATCCAAATTGATGCTGTGATCTACCTTGCAGAAGCTATTGACGGTGGCTCGGCCTTTTCTGAGTGGCTCCAGATAACTAATGACACCCCGAGCACGCATATTCAAATCGAGTATGCAGAGCCACTGCATGAGTGCGTGGTGATACAGAGGTGGGGTTGATTATTGCCAAGGCGATGTGCTGTTCAAACCAGCCAGAGCACAAACCAGCAGCGAATCAATTGTGGCGTGCTTTTCCTTTGCAAGTCAGTTTCATGTATGCGTGCCCGAGGAAGGCAACAGAACGAGGGAAGCTGAAGCAGGTCTCCAAAGGCTTCTTCCCGGGAATTTCTGAGTCAGCGCCCGGAAGTGTCAGGCTCCGGCTCTTTAAGATACAAAAATATAGGAAGAAGAGGATGTTGTATGGGCCCGGGGAAGGTAAGTGTAGTCGGCGACAGCGTCTAGCGGCCCGAGCATCGGAAGGACCCGAGGGCGTTCGGGGGGAGGGGAGAGATTGGAAGAACCGAATCGGGGACGATATAAATAGAAATTTGACGGGATGCTCGGTACGCGGTACGACGGGTGAGTTCATGACGCGGCCCCGGTGTCCACGACCAAATGCCGTGAAGGGATCCTGTTTGGCAGTCACTCGAGCACGCGAAGTGCATCGGGGCCTCGCCAGGGGCCGCTCAAAGACGGAGAATTTTCACAGCCACGGAATGGACAAAAAATGTGTGTGGAGCAGGTTGAGTAGCTTAGTCCAGATCCACATCGTTAGATGACCTGTTGAGGACAAGCAATTTTGACAATGTTGAGTGCTTACTCCACGGGACCCCTTTTCTCTCACATAAGGACGTTCCAAGTAGATAAATATCCAATTCCTTACAGCTTTTTTTGTGAATTAAAGTCGTGAAGTAAACGTTACAGACTGTTGAGCATGTTACTACACTTGCACAGTAATGGACATGGCCAGCATAAATATAGCCTATGAGTTTGACCCTATGATCCCGCTCTCATCTGTGTGCTGATGAGCCATTTTGTTATTTCTCAAGATTTTCAGTATTATTGCCTCGAACTGTCAGTGACTTTGCTTTGTCGCTTGATATCAAACTTTTGCGGACGTCACACCAGATGGGCTCCGTCGTATCAACAACACTTAGCGTAGGTTCTGAGATGCTGATGGCTTGCAGTTCAGCCCTGTCAAGCAATGACAAGACACTAACAATACAGTACCGGCTAATTAGCCTCAAAGATCGGTGTAAGTAGTTCTAGGCCAGGCCGTGGTCGCATGGAGATGACAGCGCCAGCCACGGCTTCCGTCTGTCAGCCCAGCAGACTAGGCCGGGCAGGTGTGGCTCCTCACAACGCCACAAGATCGAGACAGGCGCAGGTTACCTCCGTCCTCAACGTGCTCTCATGGGGACTGTCCCCCCAGTAAGGTGACAACTTACTCATCTGAATTCGATGCGAGTGGTGGCGCGGGGCATTCTGTTCCTCTGTGGACTGACTCTGGAAGTTTGGAAGTTCCAGGACTGGCCACTGAGATGACATAATGTTGCAACATGTGGCTCGAGGTGACACAGGCCACCAGCAAGTTTCAGGCACCGTGAAACCTGATTCCTGGGGAGTCTAGAAGGGGCCTTTGGTGCTGGGCTGCAGGGCTGCATGGTTTACTGAGTAATAACGGAGCGCGAAGCTTGTTTGCACCCTTGAAATTGATCAACTGGGCGACAGGCGCTGATAGTCTAGACTGTGGGGTTGGGTGGGCTCGGCCGGTTAGCTGGTATAGTGTCGGCCGGGAAATAACCTGGAAGAGGCGCGAATGACGTGCAGCGCCGCCAGGGATTTGCATGTGAGCTCATTCAGGGTGCGAATCTTGCCTGGTATGTATGTAAACCCGTGAGATAAACACCTCAATACAGGTTTTGAGCATCATGCCGCGCAAACCCACGGGCGTGGGCGTGGGAAATGAGCACACTTTGCCGTCGATCTGGATGCTGCTGGGGGCTGTTGGGTCGGTAGAGATCCAGCAGAACCAGGCTTGGGAAGCAATAGAGGTGTTGGTTATATGTGAGCCTAGGTCATGAGCATGGGATGTGGTCTGGGATCTGGGGTCCGGCTGGCTGTAGATCCAACATTCGAGCTGGCAGTGGACCTATTGTAGATGGAATAGTAGGTCCGTCTATGTCTGCAGCAGGATCACTGGCTGCGGATGTTGACCTGCATGACGGAATCTACTGCAGGCTGGGCACACTAACCATTGTAGACTCTCTGATTGAATTCGAGGCCAAGCTGTGGCTTGACGGCAGTAATAACATTGGATGGATGCAAGTCAAGACCCAGTTGTCGAGCAAATCTGCCTATAGATGGGTACAATCTTGCCTGGGCAGAGAGTTTAATAATGGGATGGGGATGGCTGGATGGAGGGACGAATAGACGAATGGGTGGGATGAAAGATGCAGACATTGATTGTGAATTGAGTTACGTCGGTCAGTCTGGCTGGCTGGCAGTGGCTGAGCAGGGATGCCTAACCCCTGCCTGCACCCCGGATTTCCAATCAATCAGGCTTGGTCGGCTTGGTCGGGCGGGGCCTGGAACCTGGAACCTGGATCTGGACCTGGACCGTCCTGGCATTGCAATGGCAGACAGGCAGGCAGAAGCCACTGCCCACTGCCCACTGCCAGCCAGGCTTAGGCTTTGGCTTAGGCTTGATTGAGGCTTGGGTGAGCAACGAAGCAGCAACAACAACATTACGGCATCAACCACCACCTCATCGGCCGTATTGTCGCCGCCTCTCCGTTTCCCACTTCCGTCTCCTTCCAAGGCTGACTGACGCCCACCATGCGCATATGCTCAATCGTATGAGAGCATAATCACACCTCTCCCTCTCCCGTACACCAAACCCACCCTCCTTTACATATATCCAACTGCAATCCAGCATCAGTCTACAGTACATAAATCACACTCGATACACTCGATACACTCGACAACCAAGACACTTACCAACCCCCCGAGTTGGTCCGCCTCCAAACACCATCGCAGCACAGTCATCCACCATCCTCTCAACCAGCCTGCACCCGCATCACGCTTGTCCTACCTGCACCAGAACCCAACCCGACCCGACCTGGTCTCAATAGATCGATAATCCCACAGCTGGATATCTCCGTCTGCCGCCTTCCACCTCCAACGCGCCCATAATTGATCCCAGTTCCAATCTATAGCCCATTCATCGCGAGGCACCACCACCACTCAGACACTGCATGCGGCATCGCGAACCGCCCGCTGCCCAACCCACCATGGAAGGCTACGGCGTGTCACAACAAACAGACGAGGGCTATTCCGAAGACCCCCTGAACCCGCCCTCGCCCACCACCCTGTCTCTTCCCTCCGGCGTCAAGCAGCTCGAATCCGCAACGGGCGCCTCCCCGCTGCAACTCAAAGGATGGCTGTCAGCGCACATTGCCAGCCTGCCCGCCGACCTGAGGACTCGTACGTAGCCCACTGCTTACCCCCCTGGTGCCCATCTCGGTGGCGTTACACATGATGGGGGCTTCCGTGATTGCTAATATCGCCTGCTAATGCCGTCCTCATCTCCCAGAACTGACCCTCGAGCTCCTCGACAACCTGCCCACCAGCCTCGTTGCCGAGATCGTCGAGAAGATGAGCCCGCGCCTCTACATCGACTTCATCAGGTACCTGCCCGCCGAGATCTGCCTCAAGATCCTCGGATATCTCGACCCCATATCCCTCCTGTCTGTCGCCCAGACATGCCGGCCATGGTTCAGCCTGGCCCTCGATCGCACCTTATGGCAGCGCCTGTACCTGATGGAGGGATGGAGAGTGATCGCGTCCGAGATCGAGGCAGCCGAGGAGATGGCCAACAGGAGGACCTCGCCCGGCTCCATGCACCGCCAAAAGTCGGAGGAGGATGGCCACACCCACAAGAAGCGGGCCGTGTCCCTGGACGACGATGATGACCACATGATGATGGATGCCGACCACCCCCTGACCGCCGAGCCCAAGACCCTCGAGGTCGACGAGTCCCTCTTTGGCGGCAGCTCTGCCAGGACCACCATGACGCCGGCTTTCAGGGACCTCAACATGCAGGGGTCCGGGTCGAGCGCCGGCTCCTTCATGAGGATCAAGACCCTCGATAAGGGCAAGGGCAAGGCAGTTTCACGGACCCCGACCGATGCGCTTTCTCCGTCCACCTCCTCTTTCAAGTCGAAACTCTGGATCTACGATCCATCGTCTGGCAAGCAGAAGATCAACTGGCAATACTTGTACTCTATGCGGATGAAGCTCGAAACGAACTGGGAGCAGGGCAACTTCAAGAACTTCCAATTGCCTCATCCGGACCACCTGGATGAAGGCCACAACAATGAGTGCATCTATAGTCTACAGTACAACGAAGAATACTTGGTGAGCGGAAGTCGCGATCGCACGCTGCGGATATGGAATCTTGCCACGAGGCGGCTGGTTCGGAAGCCGCTCGTCGGCCATATCGGCTCTGTCCTGTGTCTCCAATTCGACTCCGACCCAGACGAAGATATCATTGTCTCGGGTAGCAGTGACTCGGACGTGATTGTTTGGCGCTTCTCCACCGGTGAGATCATCCAACGACTGACACACGCGCATCGAGAATCAGTGTTGAACGTAAAGTTCGACAAGCGCATACTTGCGACATGCTCCAAGGACAGGACTATCAAGATCTTCAACCGCCGTGCACTGAAAGCAGGCGACCCGGGCTATGGCATGGTCAACCCGGTGCCTACCACTGTGAAGCGGTATGGATATGAATCCTCACCGCTAGATCAGCTTCCTACAATCCCACCATTCACCATGATCGGAGTCCTCGAGGGCCATAGTGCGGCAGTGAATGCGGTGCAAATAGTAGACAACGAGATCGTCTCGGCCAGTGGCGACCGTCAGATCAAGGTTTGGGACTGGCAGACGGGAGCTTGCAAGAGAACATTTGTTGGTCACAACAAGGGTATTGCCTGCGTGCAATATGACGGCAAGCGCATCGTCTCTGGTAGTAGTGATAACGAGGTGAAGGTTTTCTGTCGGGAGACGGGTATAGAAGTTGCCAGCCTCAGAGACCACACCGACTTGGTCCGCACCGTGCAAGCTGGCTTCGGTGACCTCCCGTGGAGCGTAGAAGAGGACGCTGCCGAGGCCAAACGAGTGGACCAGGCATACATGAAGGCGGTAGAGGACGGCGAGGTGTCCTCGTCGCCGCGTCGTGGCCGCCCTGGAAACGCCGGCAGCACAGATCCCGAGGAGATAACGGCTTACGGAGCCAAGCTGCCGCCTGGAGGAGGTGGCGGGAGACGATGGGGTAGGATTGTTTCCGGGTCGTACGACAAATCCATCATCATTTGGAGGCGGGACAAGACGGGCAAATGGAAGCCGCAGCATCACTTGAAGCAAGAGGAGGCTGCATCCAGAGCGCTGCACTCACACCCTCGCCCGCCGCCTGATCCTCCAGCACCCGGCAATCACCCTGGAGGAGCAGGAAACGGCCACGGTGCTGGTAACAATCCGAGAAGACAACAGCCTCCCTCAGACTGGGCCCCAGCACCTATCCTTCGACCGCGTGCTACGAGGGCAAGCGCGTCCAGTTCGATGGCTGCCAACCCGTCGAGCTCCTCAGCAGCCTCAGGTTCGTCGACGCCGGCCGGTTCATCAAGGTCTCAACCAGAATTGTCGGGCTCCTCAGCTCAGGCGAACACGAGCGCGTCCCGGCCTCGATTTTCGCACCCTGTCATGCCGCGGAATGTAGCTCCGGTGCCCTCAGACCAAATCACACATGTCACCTCGCCAGTCATGGCAACCATAACACCTTCATCGCAGCGTTCCTTCGCGCAGCTGATCGATCTCATTGTCCCTCAGGGCGTCCACGCCCTCCAGCAAGCCTTGACCAACTACCCTACCATGCTCACTCTGCAGAGCCATCTGCAGGCCGCCATTGACCGCGAGCAGAGTCCGTTTGTCCGGTCACAGCTGCGGCAGGTTGTCAGCGCCGCGACGGTCCGGACGCAGGTAGCGCAGGCCAGGGCTCGCCAGCAGGGGATGCAAGCTCTCCAGGCGGCTGATGCTACTGCCATCAACGGCCCAGATGACGATGCAGGGGCAGGAAGCTCCTCAAACGCCGCTGCCGCTGTCGCAGTCGCTGCCGCTGCTGCCGCCGGGATCCCAAGCTCAGTCCAGGCCGCAGCCCCTCCTGCAGGCGGCGCCCCAGGCAACGTGGCCGGCGGACCACCACCTGCCGGCGGCCAGCACCGGCTCAACCACCACGGGGCGCCCGAGGTGGGGATGCCGACGAGGATCTACAAGCTTCAATTTGACGCCCGGCGGATCATCTGTTGTAGCCAGACGAGCGTGATCGTGGGCTGGGACTTTTGCAACGGGGACCCAGAGCTGGAGGAGGTTGCTAGATTCTTTGCTACTATGGATTAATAGAATAGCGACCATGTTCTTGCCTATTCTGTGTTGCCTCCTGTGGGTCCTTTGGCAAGCTGAATTAAGAAAATAGTAGGCGAGTGTAGTAGTCGGGGATAAAGGAGTACTTGGGCTCGTTTCAGCATTATCTTCGACCGGATCCGGGCGCACAGGCTATTTCGTTGGCTCGTTGTGCATGCGGCCGTCTGGTTGTGGGTATGGCCAGAGTGGGGGCCAGAGTGGGAGAGGTTTTCTCTTTTTTTTTTTTTTTTTGGTCGGTATTGATAGCAGCGGGAGCCTCTGGAGAAAGGAGGCGTAAGAGGGGAAAAGCAAGAGATCAGCCAAGCAAAAGGGAATTAATTGGAAGGGGGAAAAGGAAAAGCAAAAAGAAGAGAAGATGGGCAAGGGCATGATCGAGATAGAGCTGCCTGCCGTTGCCCGTTTGATGACCCCGTCATGATCACGATGTATATATGATTGTGTAGCCTCCAATAGACTCTCTTAAATTAGCTTCGAATAATCTTTATGAGTGGTGATCATTCGGAAGTTAGGAGAAGGGGTCGATGCTTCCTGAGTGCTTCGAACGGCTTAGTCTTTGGTTAACGTGCGGCTTAGCTTGTTGAGTCAAGGAACTTGATTTCGCCCAAGATGTTAGCGAGCTCTTGTCATGCCCTCACAAAAGATATAGCAAGTATCACAAGTCGGGAACGACTTGAGAGAAACGATGGACAGCCATGCAAATGATCAGATCGCATTAGTGCTCCTGGTATAGTGCGCCGGTGGCGATGTCGAAAACGAGCCTTTGTCCCTCAACTCCATCCAACTTGCTGTCAATAGATGCCTTCCTCCAACGCCATGAAACCACATCAAAACCCCCAGACTATCCAACACAAGTCCTCCATCAGAGGTATGTCCTTGTGCATCAAAGCATCCCCTCCTCCACGAATCATCCAGCCGCCTCCTTCACAGCCTTGCCCGCCTCGGTCTGGGGCGGCTCATCAATAAACTCAGGCACCTCATCCTGCATGAAGCTAGGCAGCGCCTCGGCGCCACCGCCAAACTCGCGCTCCATCTCGACCTCGGCGCCCAGCGCCTCGAGCTCGGCGTCGAGCTCGGCCTCGTCGACGTCCTCGGGCACGTCGTAGCCCCTGCTGAGCGACTCCTGGATCTCGTTGCCGACGTCGAGCAGGTCGGCCATCTCGTCCTGCATGCGCTCGATGCGGTCGATGTCGACTTTCCCGTACTGCCGCTTGAGCTCCTTCTGCGTCGTCTTCATCGCGTCCACCTGCGTCATCACGTTCTTCAGGTTGTCCTGCATCATCCCCGCCTGCTCCATGTTCCACACCTGCGACTGCAGCTGGTCGCGCTGCGCCTCGTACGCCTTGCGCCGCTGCAGCACCTTGAGCGCTTTTTGCTTCAGCGCTGTCTTGCCTGGCCCGTCGCGCATGCGGGAGAGTTTCGTCTGGTACGTTTGCAGCTCTGCGTTGATGCTGGCTAGCTTCACGTCGATGCTGCTTATGCGTTCGTCGACGTTGCCGATTGCTGAGTTCAGCGTGGGCTTGGGGCCCTTGTTGGACGAGCCGAAGAGGCGGTTCATGGTGGGTGGTTGACTTGAGTGGGTGGGAGCGACTTGGTTCGCTGGGTGTCGGTGGTGTTGGTCGGTAAGGCAGTCTCTTTCAGATGCGAGACTGTAGGACTTGGTGCGTCGCCTTGGATGTATTCGAGATTATGCGTCTCTAGGTGGCCTGGTGAGGGCGTGATCGCGTTCGTCGTGGGTGATGTTGGTAAATGGTAGTCTGGGTTAGACGGCTTCCTCAGCAGATGCCTGGTCAGTGACGATGCCGTCGGAGCTATCCCTCGTGGGGCTGGAACGATGGCCCAATCAGAAGGGCTAAGGTGGGGTGTCATCGGAACCGAGCTCGGCAAGGCTCACTACACCTCGTGCTGACTTGGACTGAGTGGGCTTTGAAATATCGTCCGTCTGGCACTGACATCACGAATTCGACACCGCAGATTTCGAGTTGGATTGCTATAATTCTGCCTTGCCATCCTGGAGAAAGAAAATTACTTGGAAATTCGCCTCCACCACGCACACTGCAGCTGAATATACACCGTAAAAGCCGCCATTAAATATGCCCCAAGACCAAAGGCAGAGGAATTATCGCCTGTGCACTTTGAGTACACGAAAATGAAAACGCCAGTAATGATAATCGTAATCCATGACCACCACAGGATCAATACGTCGTTGAGTCTCTCGTTGATTCGGATCCCATGACCAACAATATTGGGTATGCTATCGAAATCTGGAAACGGATCATTGAATAGTCGGCCATCCAGTTTCTTAGCTGCGGCATTGTACCATTGGTGGCGAAGATGGGCACCCGGGTACTTGAGCTCGTGCCATAACGGAATATTGAGTGTAGTGAGCATCATTGGAACAGGTTCGTAGAGGTAAGGATCCGCTGATGAAGGCCATTGACCACACTCGAACTGACCAGGGTAGGGCTCCGCCGTTGCCGCCTGGGAAAACACCTGAAACTGCCAGGTAGCAAGAAATTACCATCTCATATCATGCACATCGCGGTCGTAGAAGAAACTCACCTTGACAAAGTCGGCAGTACTTGGCATGTGTAAAGGAGCACACAGACCACTATCGGGTATCCAACCATGCCAACATTCCCACATGGGCACATCACGGATCCAAGACAGCATTCTGGAACTTCGCAGGGATTTTACAAACGAGGACTTCCTCATCCTCGCTGGTAATGCCGGCAACAGTGACGATATTGACCACTGGCGACCCTGACGAGCTTGCTCATATTCCCGCAACAGTGCTCTCAGAAGCATGCCATCGTTCCAGTCGGTAGTGATATCGATGTGTCGGACTGTGGCCAATGTCTCATACTCTCTCCCGCCGACACAAACCAACAAGTGCATTTCACGCGGCTGGGCAGAGGCTCTCGACCCGGTGGACATGTCACGGCTGGTGGGCAGACTTGGAAGGGTGGTAGCCGCCGTCCGAGACATTATTCACGGCTGAGACCCTTGCAAAAAGCTAGAGATTGGGTGAACCGGTGATGGTGTCACCAAAGCCGGCTGTCCAGTTTGAGATGGAGTTTGCGAAGACGTTGGACGTCCTCTGACCGCCGCGGCACTCTTGATGATGTAAAAGTCGAACAAGGTAAGTAGCAGTCCTAGTAGGGCGCCGGCCTTAGTCCGGGCTACGCCGTGAAGGCGAGGTATTTGTGTTTCGGCTTCGATGTTTGGTTTTGCAATCTGTTCCAGGGTAGCCAGCTCGCACTTCAACTGGTAGAGGTTGATATGTTGTGGTGGAATAATTTTCAAGTTCTGCGAGCTACTAGTAAGAATGGAATTTGTGATCCATCAGTACGACAGTTGACTCGTCAACAGATCATAGACATCGTTCGCAGAGCCGCTCCCGAAAGCCTCAAACAGCAAGTTACCAGAGAATTCATCACTGAAGCTGGGTGCTCCAGCATTTACTGGACCGGTATATGCACCCCATTCCGCGTTCGAGAAAGCCACGTGATTCCCATCAGTTGGAAACCTTTGGGCAAACTGGCCGTTGTCACTACCCGAGATGCCTGTCCTGAGGGCTGCCTGTCTCGAGCCCTGTGCTATTGTCACACCCGAGTTCGTGCTGAACTTCGCCAGCATCTTCTCTAGTCCAAATGCTATATGGTACAGGACATGTCGATCAGAAGTCACTGACGTTTTCAGCAACGAGACTACGCGCTCGAGTAGGCTGGTGATGTAGCCTGCCTCGATATACAGCCCCATGACGCGGCTCCACATGGTTGCACACTTCATTAGAAAGGCAGATGCGAACGTAATCATAGTGTGCACATAGAGCGGTGTTCCAACCAGTGCCCTCCTCATATCCTCTTCCTCGAGTACGAACGTCAGGATACTTGCTGCCGCAGAGATGGCCAGATTCACGTATTCCTTGCGTTGTGTTGACAGTTGGCCGCTGGACAAACTCACACCACGGATCGCGAGTGAGTTGAGCTGCAGCTTGGCAAAATAGCAGTATAGTATGATGCCCTTTGGCGGGAAGGATCCGATGAAAGGGTTGTGCTCCTGACGCGCGTGCCACAGCAACCGCCAGCGGTCTATCTCGCCGTTGAACGCGCGCAGGTCATCAAAGTCGCCCTCTTCATCGGCGAGCATCGCGCTTGTTGTATTTTCCTGAGTTAAGCCCTTGCTACCTTCAATGAACCGATCGTATATGCGCGTCAGGATTTGCATCAAGGAGACTTGCGAGAGGATCCGTCGGTCGAGAGCATCGGCGAAGGGCGACTGTAGGAATAGCTCGTGGTCTCGAATTTGTAGAGATTCGGCGATCATGGGTGGGCGGCCGTACGCTATACTGAAGTGTTTGTCACAGACATAGAGCATGTACCAAAGCCTGGCTCGAAGAAAGTGCTCTCGGTCGCCTTCCATCGCCCGGGAGAAGGACCGATGGATATTAAGTTCTGTAGCTATCCGGATAGCATGGCCAGAGAGCTTCCACGACACTGATAAGGCTGATTAACGGATCTGTATAAGAATGGGTGAAACCTAGCTCTTCTCACCTTCTGATAGCCAGAATGCTGCAATACATAGGGCTCGCACATCGTCAACGCTGTGGTATCGACTAAACATTGAGCTCGATATGAGCAATAGGAACTCTTTATAGCATTTGTCGAAAGTTTCAGCGCTTGTTGGAATATGAAGCGCCGTGACTGTCAGAATCGTGGCTGTGAGCAGCTCCGACGATTCCCTTACCGACTTAAAATCTGGATGGGTCTGCTCAAGGCCAACCCAGAGGTAGTGATTCAGGGATGTGTGGAAGCTATTCGATTTTCACTTAGCCATACGACGCATTCAAATACTGACTAGGAGCCTGTGTATACCTTGTGTAGAGACTTTCTGCTTCAGAAAGAGGTATGACACCCCTCGATATAAGGTCTTGCACTTGGCCGCGCTCAGTCGCAGGACGTACGGTCTTGGCCTTATTAGACCTTATATTCCTCAGTCGCGTTACTTCGTACAGACTACCCATTGGCTCCTCTACTGTGACTGAATTGCCATTGTGCTCGGTATTCCCGTTTGCTTCCGGGGAGTTTTCTCTCGTCATCGCCATACGCAGATTGAACTCTCTTGCGGACAATGCCTCTCCCGCAGCTATCGTCGCGTTTGGGGGGCTTTCGTGATGTGAGGTCGGCTCGGCCTGCAGCATTTTCTGCCCCGCCAAGACGTCCATCGATGCTTGTATTTGCCTGATATCTTCTCGGATTAAAGTCAAATTGTGGCCGCAGTTGCACTCTGGGTTAGCAGCTGCATGCGGCCGCCCGTTGTTTGCAGCATGAGGAACTACGAGTCGATCAAAGACGCAGTCCGTGCCTCTCTTCCAGCAATTCCTGCATTTGTGGCCTCCAGAAGGCACTTCACATTTCATCTTCTGTTTCTTGCATTCCGCACCTGTGTTGGCGTCAATACCATTGCGCGCGGGACCGCTCCAAGAACTCGAAAACGGGATTTATTACTTACACGCCCTCGGCTTTCTCCCCGGCCCACCGATCTTTCGAAGGCTGCGCGTTCCATTCTCCATGGCATGAACCGCATTCTGCGACGACATGGCGGGAAATCGGGAATTTCAACCTCGACGTTTGAACTATGGAAGGTTGGGTAGAAGCCCAAACGGCAATTCGGCTTTTGAAAGCCGAATGACCGTTTACTTTTCCCCGCGCGGTCGTGGCCGAGGAGGGACCTTCCCATGGTTCTCCGTTCACGCTTACCTGGGTGGCTTGGATGTGGGGTGCAGTTCGTGGTTTCTGGGTGAGATCTGCATGTACAAGGAGTCTTTTGCGGAGAACGAGGACATTCTACTTGACTGGGCGTGCCAGTGTAAATAAAGTGAGGCGATCGTGTAATTAGTGAAGGCCTAGTCCAAGTAAATCTTCCAGGGTGATGAGCAAAACATCATATCCAGCCTTCATATCCAGGTTCAAGGGGCAATACATCCCTCTGGAAATAATGCTGAGTGAGTTGATGACAGGGTTGAGACAGGGTTGGTTTCGTTCTAAGCAGCATTGATTCCCCGGATAGGAAGTGCCGTTGCAAGAGAGCATGGAATGGCTGCCCTTCTTGGGTCATCGCAGTCACTGGTCTGTGTTTGCCGAAGAATAGTATAATCTGATGGAAGTAAATGAACTAATATTAATTGGTTGGCAGGATCATTCATTAGCATATTCTTGGGATGATTTTGTTCAATCCCTGAAAGCACTGTCTCGCAGGCAAGGCAGTCGAGCCAAACCCTTCGCTGAGAGTCATGTGAGACATCGACGCTGCTAAAGTGGGAGTAGCGGTAAACAGAAGGCAAGCATTGATGTGGAATGGGAATATCGACATTGAAGATGGGGAGTGAGCGCCCAGCCTGCCTCAAACGTCCTGGATCAATAAAGCTAGGTAGCAGTCGATGGAGACGACACACCCAAGATAAAAGAGTGAGACTCACGAGAGTGGGTACTAGCAGCCGTGTGAAATGCACTCATTTCGAGCAGATTTCATTTATGTGAAAATTTAGATACTGAGCGCACATCTATTGGTTTGAAGTACTACTTTGTAAGAATATCTAGATAGGTACTTAGGTACTAAACGTGTCAAGCGACTATCACTTCCAAGGTCCTTCTTCTAAGGTCCTTCCGCAGAGCCTTCAGAATTTGTGCTCGTGGGTATTTTCAAGGCATAAGATGAGATAATTCAAGCAAGTTCTCAAGTATGATTCCAACAAATTCAAGATCAACCTCGTTCAAATCGTGATAGGGCTCAGAACCATTTTCTCGTGCAAAGGCGATAGCGTGCTAATTTAGGTGAGTCTGTAGAAATGACCGCTCTGGCTTCCAAAGAACTAGGAAGAGCCCAGTTTCTACGTCTGATATCTGGTTAATCCGCCAGAGATGGCACCTCCATTAGGTCTACCAACGGTAGGGTGCTCGTTATGACGAGAGATCACTTGCTGCTTTTGCTGGCCGTCGGCGCGTTCAAGGTTGAATCCCAGCAGCTCAAGATCGTGAATCGTCTTGTTGTCTCTTATCAAAATGAAGGACAGAAATAGTACCGAAGTCAAGGTGACGACACTCAACCCCAAATTCACACTCCAAGCTGAGGCAACCAAAGTCAGTCAATGTGACAGCCGCTCAGCTGGCGACGCTTACCAGTGGTGTACCTCGGGCCATCGCTATCCGGATACAAGTATGGAGTCCAAACTAGGGCCAAGTTTCCAATCGAGTTGCTCATGGCAAGGCTAATCGCTCGCTTTTTCTGAGGCCGTGCGGCGATGTTCGCCACCCAAGCGTTGGAAATTTGGAAACCCCCATAGGTCCCTGGAAGCATGAGGAACAATGCGAAGTATCGAGCGCCTATATTTGTCGTCGCAAGCGTTATTATGATGCCGGACATAGCAACTAGCGTTGGATACACGATGTACGGGGAGCGGTTGCTCGTTTTGTCGCTGTGCCAGGTGTTGAACAGGCTGAAAAGGGCCGTAAACACGTACGGCTTTGGTTTTGCGTAAGTCAGTACGCGAAGTAAATACTGAATGAGGAGTTAGCTAGAGCTTACAGGTGCAGTCAGCAAAAGAGTATTGATGTTGCTGTATCCGAAGTCCTTTACTAACGTGGGCAAAAAGTTAGTTAGAGAGGCTACTGCCTGAAGGCACATCTGATTGAGGACACAAAGCCAGACACGATGGTCTTTGACCGCCATTTTCAACGCGTCAAAGGTCCGTATCTCCGATTCTTCATCGCCAGCGTCTTCGATGAGTCGGACAACGCCCAAGGCTTTCTCTTCCTCAGTGAGCCATTTCGTAGTTGCTGGCCAGTCCGGGATAATGAACGTGGTAGCCATCGCACAGACGACAGTAGCAGCTCCTTCGATGATAAAAAGCCACCGCCAGCTGGGGATTTTGTTGTTCTTGAAGGCTGCGGCAATACCCGCTGCGAAGAGACCTCCGAAAGCACCGCTGATCATGGCGGCGCAGAAGAAGAGCCCAAGCCGAAAGCCAAGTTCTGACCGGGTATACCAGCCCGAGAACAAGAAAGCAACACCGGCGAAAAACGGTGCTTCCGCGATTCCTAGAAAGAAGCGGCATGCTGCGATTCCCGCAAAATTCTGAACAGCCCCCGAACATCCACTGACGACCCCCCATACTACCATGACGGCTGGAAGGTAAATACTAGGTCTAGTCAAGCCCAATATCATGTTGCTCGGGACTGGTAGAAATCAGTACGGGGCATGAGAGCGGTATAAAGGCCCGGAAAATTTTTCGTGCTGCTGACCTTGCATCAGGATGTATCCGATGAATGTAAGACTCAGCACGACGTTGTATTCTATACCAGCCAGACCGATGTCTTCGGAGATTCCCTGAACCTTAGCTTGTGGAAGCGCGTTGCGATCAATGTAATTGAGTATGTACATAAGGCTCTGCTCTCGGCGCAAACAATAATACGTTAACAGCGGCTGCTTGATATTGCTCAGACACAGGTGCTTTACTGACGAGGATGGGGAGAAGGCGAAGGTCAATTTTTCTTTTCAGCGTCTTTTCCCTGGCAGCTCGCTCCTCTGGTGACCATGAGGCCACGATCGTCTGGTAGTCCAAAGTTGTTCCAATATTGATTGCATCTCGAGGCGTTGCCATGATAGCGATTGTGACATGAATCAGTTCTTTGGACGGCAAACGTGAGCTCAGAACAAAGCTAGACTTTCCAGAGAGACAAAACATAGTCAAGCTGATATCTATGTCATCCGGGGCTGCTTCCAGTTTATTATATTCAATCGTCCCCGCCTAAACAAGCACTTATCCGCATTCCCCAATGTTCTACGCCCAGGCGATCATTGCTGACTCTCAAATGTTCTTTCTCATTTCGACCGCCAATCTGTCTCATTGTCCTTCCAAATGCGTGCTATTACCTGTACCCCTCACCACGGATCTCTTTTTGTGATGAAATTTGCCTGACCAGATCCGATCAGTTCCATTGGCACTTGGAAATGTATTTCCCGATTTCCCGGCGGCAGTTTTCCGGACCTGTGCTTACGGCCACGCGTGGAGAACGTTGCACACTCGCAACATCCCTGCATGTAATACTGATCTAGAAATCTAAGTGGATGAGTACCCCCACAAATGACATTTAGTAATGGTGCCACTGCTGCCAGTATTCGGCGGATCGCGATGATTTTGCTTCGGTATTTACGTATGTATCTACACTGGAGGTGATGAGCTCTCTCCGCGAAAAAGAACTTATTCCCGTCAATTTGCAGATACAAAACCGCTGATCGCGGTGTATGAAAAGCTTCTTATAAGCCCTCTCACTTCCCGTATTGCTACTTCAACCAAGTGTAGTCTGTGGTGCACTCAGTATATGAAGGGCATGTTACTTGAAATTCTCATTTCAACAACTTGAAATCGTTCGTCTTCTAGTGTACACCACCGTACACCACTCCATCTAATCCACCCAACATGACCAGCCTTTCGACTAAGCTCGCAGAGCTGGAGGCCGCGGGTAGGCCGATCCAAGTCGGTCTTATCGGCGCTGGCAAATTTGGCTCTATGTTCATCGCGCAGTCTCACAGGACGGTCGGGTTGAGACTAGCTGGCATTGCGGACCTGTCCTCCGACAGGGCCTTTGCGGCGCTGAAGCGGACCAATTATCCAGCTGACAAGTACGATACCACTGTCAATGCATCCATATCTGAGGGAACCCGTTCGGGAAAGACGATAATCACGACAGACTCTTCTGCTCTTATTGCCACGCCGGAGATCGATGTGATCCTCGAGGTGACTGGAAACCCGGCTGCTGGTATCAAGCACGCACTCCTTGTGAGTTCCCGCAATCTCATTCTTACTCCGAACACTTCCATCGGAATGACCGGTTTACCAACTCCTGATCAGTGTTGCGAGCATAAAAAACACATAGTCATGATCAATGTCGAGGCCGATGTACTTGCCGGTCCTCTGCTCGCTCGCAAGGCGAAGGAGGCGGGCATTATCTACAGCATGGCCTACGGCGACCAACCTGCCCTCATCTCCGAGATGGTTGACTGGGCTCGAACAGCTGGATTGTAAGTTGGCATATGGGGTTCTTCTCCCATCACGAAGGCCTTGACTAGGTGAGGCTGACTGGACACTAGCGACGTTGTCTGTGCTGGCAAAGGAACGAAGCACCTTCCTCAATATCACTACTCAAACCCGGAAACAGTCTGGGACCATTATGGCTTCACAGAGGAACAGCTCGCTTCTGGCGATTTCAATCCTCAAATGTTCAATAGCTTCCTCGATGGCACCAAGTCCGCGCTGGAGATGGCCGCCGTTGCCAACGGCTGTGACCTGATTCCCCCATCCGGCCTCAAGTTCCCACCCTGCGGAAAGCACGATCTGCCCGAGGTGCTCAAGCCTGAGAGCGACGGCGGCCAACTTCCGAACAAGGGTACTGTAGAGGTGGTATCTTGCATGGAGAAGGACGGCCGCTGGGTGTTTGACGACCTGAGGTGGGGCGTGTACGTCGTCATTGAGGCGGCGTCGCAGTATCAACAGGATTGCTTCCGCCAGTATGGACTTAAAACAGACAGCAGTGGCAAATACGCCGCCCAGTACAAGCCATATCACCTGATCGGACTGGAGCTGGGCATCTCGGTAGCCACGATCATGTGCCGCGGTGAACCTACCGGGCAGACGAAGACTTGGGCCGGCGACGTCGTGGCAACTGCGAAGCGCGACCTCAAAGCGGGCGAGAAGCTTGACGGTGAGGGCGGGTTCACCGTCTACGGTAAGTTGATGAAAGCCGAAGACTCAATCGCGATCTCAGGGCTGCCAATCGGGCTTGCACATGGTTTTGTCCTCAAAATCGACATCAGGAAGGATCAAGGACTGAGTTGGGATGATGTCGAATATGTTGCTCAAAGCTCTCAAGCCGTTGCTGTGAGGAGGGAGATGGAAGCCACATTCAGCAAGGATTTCGAGAAAAGGAGGGCCGGGATTGAAAATGGCCTGCAGTAGTCTTGAGCATAGGTCTCCTCACCGGTCTTTCAGCTAAAGCACCCACGACTGTTCAATTTCGACGTGGACTCATTTTGTATTTGCTTGACACGGCATCTTTTCCTGAGCAGTCTTTCCTCGCCGTGATGGTCTGACGGAACATCACTGCGGAATTGTTCGCATGTATTGCAGTAGTGGCATCGTCAGACGCATTCTCATTTCTCTTGTTCTCAGGGATCCACATGGCGCACCTGCGCGACTCTGTTGGCCCAGGGCTCTGCGACGCCGCGTCTCCATCTCTGAGGCCGAGGCAGTGATGCATAACTTCCATGAGGCGCGGATTGTTTTTTGTCTCCATGGCCACATCGTACTTGCTGACGCTTGCTATACGGTAAATGGTGCTTGGCCCCAAGCGGAAGTGAAACTGGTCTCTTTCTGGTTCGGCATCTTGGAATACGGAAATGCCATTGTGATTCATGCCCGCGCTATGAGCGGGGAAGACACGAAAGAAAAGGATGACCTTCTGCGATGGTCGATATTCGATAAATGCAAAAGTATCTTCGAATCATGTAAAATTACACTGCTTTTTATGCCTTCTGAAGGAGGCGGATGAGCTGACCCCTTGACTACGTTCCACTTATCATAAATCCAGAGCCCCGGCTCTGTGCCGCTCTACTCGGAACTGCTTGGACACTATGCGAGCCATGCTGCCAACTGTTGCACAGCTGTAGACTACGAACTAAGAGGTCGTCGTTGTGATCACAGAAGTTAAAGCTTCCGAGAAATTTTATTTCGAATGATGTAGAAGGTTAGTCTTGGTCTGATGTTTTCTTTTTCTACTCACCACGGCTTCTTGGCATTAGGTGCAGATTTCGGAATATGGTGAGTCGCTGGGTGTAGGACAGTTCCGTTTGACTACCACGACCGGAGACTTCGGGGAGAAGCCAGAAAATCACTAAATTCCTGCCAAGAGCGAAGCCCTCTTGAGTCTACCGTTACACATCATTTTAGCAAGTGCTAGCCCACAGCATGAGTCCGAAATTCATACCCGTTCTCGTTCGGAGCAGGTGAAGTGCTAGAGGCGGACAATGGTGACCCAACTGTGTCCCAATTTTCACATCCTGCATGTCGTTGGCAAGTAGAGAAAGCGGTGACCATACCACAATTTACAGGCTTCTTACATATCGCGTTGATCTCATGGGCTTCAGTTTGCCTTGTACCGGCGAGACCGGAGAACTAACTGAACATACTCGAGACGCTCCAATCAGATGAGTCTCGGTCTCCTGCTTGGTTTTATCTCTTAGCCAGGAGCTCGTATGAGAAGTGCGAACTGGGAACAAAAATGGGGTTGTCCATCTCTATTAAGAAGGTGGATACTGTTGCTGCACTTCGAGCCGTTTTTTGATGACTATCCGGGCGCTTTGGTTGGTTCAGCATTTGTGCCGCCCGCAACCTAAAAAACAAGCATATCTCGTATGCGGATAGGGGATTCAGGGGGTCCCAGGCATCGCCAAGGCCATGCTGGCAAGGCCCTTCAGCACCCCCCACTTGTTTGCATTTCCGTCTGTGTCAGCAACAGTGTTCCCAAGTATTTTGATTCACTAGGAGAAAGCTATCTTTCAGGTGAACAGATTCGTAGGGCTTGTTGTGCTCCTCATCAGCACTTGACGTCGAAATGTACAGAGGCCCCGTTCTCCTCAGAAACGCTAATAGGTTGCCTAACTCTCGCGTAACGGCCGCAAGTGACAGGAGTCTAGGCATGGTCCACGGCGGATGGATACCTTCGGAATACGGCCGGCACCACCCTTCTCGGCAAGGAAGGTGACAAGAATAGCACTGTGGTAGGGAATACGAGGGGCAGCATTAGCATCGAACTTCGGCTCCTGGATGCAACTCATTTCTTTCCCCGTCTTTTTCTTTGCAGGGTACCGAGGTGCCAAGAATCGCCCCATTCACCGTTGCACTGCCGACTCTAAGGGAAGATAAAGGGAGGCCCTCTTCCAGCGCAAGATGGGATGAACGAGGCTCCCGAGCAGGCATCTTTGTCCGCCAGTCATTCGTTATTCTTCTCGGCCGAAAGCTGTCTCCTCCAATCATCATGAAGCAGGCTTTCCTTCCCACACTCGCTCTGGCGTGCTTGGCTGCATCCGAGTATGTCTGGCCGTCGCCTTACGATGAGATCGAGGACTATCTCTCGCTGCAAGGCGGCTACCTGCGTCGAGGCTTCATTGATGGTGAGGCACCTCTAGCACTTATTCAGTTCAAAGCTAATAACTCAAAGGCGTGATCACCTGTGGCTTCGGCACTAGTGTTCAGGGCCGTCAGAACTCGGCCGAGTGGATTCGGGCCGCCTTCCACGACATGGCAACCCACGATGCCGACGCTGGCACAGGCGGCCTCGACGCTTCCATCTTCTTCGAGCTGGATCGACCCGAGAACCCAGGCGGTGCCTTCAACAACACCTTTGCTTTCTTCAGTAGCTTTTACTCTGCCAGAGCATCGGCCTCCGACCTGCTGGCCATGAGTGTTGCTGTGGCTAGTTTCTCGTGCGGCGGGATCAAGATACCATTCCGCGCTGGCCGAGTCGATGCTCAGGAGGCTGGACCTGCAGGCGTTCCTGAGCCCAGCACTGACCTCAAGACTACCCAGGACACATTCACCAAGGCCGGTTTCTCCACAAGCGATATGATTGCCATGGTCGCATGTGGCCACAGCCTGGGTGGCGTACACAGCACAGACTTCCCTGAGATTGTTGGCGTCGAGGCGGATCCCAACAACGATACTGTAGCGCATTTCGATACCGAGTTTGACAATTTCGATAACGGTGTCGTAACTGAGTATCTGAACGGAACCACCAAGAACCCATTGGTGGCCGGAACAAACGACACCCTCAACTCTGACAAGCGTATCTTCAGCGCGGATGGCAATGCGACCATGACTAAACTAGCTGATCCTGCCGCCTTTCAGACTATGTGCGCCGACATCTTCACCCGTATGATTGATACAGTGCCTGCCAGTGTCAACCTTACCGAGCCCATTGAAGCGACCGACATCAAACCCTATATCAGCGGCCTCTCTCTAAACGCTGATGGGAAGCTGGAGTTCAGCGGCCGAATCCGCGTCCGCACATCATCCGGATCCGGACGGGATGCTCAGGACCTAGCTGTGCAGCTGACCTACGCTGACCGAAAGGGCAGCAGCAACGGCTCAGCTGTTATTCCCGCCAAGATGGCAACCTTCCAAGGCGGATCTGCCTCGGGTCTGTGGGGCGAGCACTTCCAATGGTTCGAGTTCAGCACGACTCTCAGCGCCGATACTGGAATCAGCAAGTTCTACATCGACGTCACTAAGCCATCAACGAATAAGAAAGTCACATACGACAATGCAGGCAACGGGTACCCCATGAGTGACGCATTGCTGTATGAGGAGGGACAGTCCTGTCTCAACACCAACACACAGGTCGACGGCAAGTTTCCCCTCTCGGTTGTGGCCCTCGTTCGCAAGGACCAGGCGCCCGCTTCTGGGGGCCTGACCCTCGACCTCGTGCACAAGGTGGCCCGGCAGGGCGTCATCGTGCCGCAGCTGGTGACTAAGACCTTCAACTTTGAGCCCACGGGCGAGGACAGGGGCCAATGGTCGGTCTACAAGGCCACCGCGCAGCTCGAGGTGGACAGCTGGAGCACAAGCTTCGATATCAAGCTCGCTGGAGAACAGCCTGCCGAGGTCGCGTTCCAGAAGACGGGCTCATTGACGGAGAACGTCTGCTCATAGCATATTCTATTAATAGCTCTTCGATATTCAAAGCGTGGTACCCTCTTTGACTCACTTCTGCCAACTCTATACCTTGAGCCGTATGTTTGCTGAACAACTTCTCTTCGAACCTTCGTTTCCCTTCTGTATCAATTTCGCTTTCGTCCTCTTCGTGCGCCAGGATCTTGCTACGTTGTTCACGGACTGGCTATGAGACCACAGAACCTGTTGTGACCCAGCGAATGACATGAAAAGATAGGTAATTCTGTCTAGAGAAATAACCAAATACCCAGAATCTCGGAATACAGTCCCTCCTTGGGTCAGATATGTCTGGGAACTCTGTGTTGAAGCGTCTACTTTTCCCAATATCTCGAACTGTTAAACCCAGAATCGCCCGACAACCGCAGCCACGACATACCAGCAACCCTGCGATTGCCTCGAGTCGACCGGCTTGCCACGCTTCGAGTCTCGGGATTGTCGCGGTGATTCTCGGCATCAGACGCCAGTGGTGAAATTGTCTCCTGCGCCTCACTGATGCCATTTGCGTGCTTTTCCAATCTTATTTCGACCCTGTTTGCCTCGAGATCTATCTCTCTTACAGCCAGCACCTCAGTTGCTTCTGGAACTTGGAATGGATCCACGAGAGGATCCCATGTGATGAAGGTCTGAGTACTTCTCGTAATCATCTTGGCTTTGGGTTTGAACGCCCCATTCTCCAGAATGTGAGGCGGCACCATTTGGTCATAAGTTGGCGATCGCAAGGGCCCAACCGAAGACCTCAACTCGACGTCTTTGATCGAATCAGGTGGATTTGAGCCCAGTGGGCTAGGAAGCTGTCGTCCATCACCCTCGGTCGCTCGGAGTGGCAACTTGTCTCGTATAGAAAGTGGTAAAGGTGGAGGACCAATTTCCTTTTCGATCGTGCTGGTTTTTGACTTGAACTGTTGTGTAGCAGATTTCAACGTAGATCCGGTCATCTCCGTCGGTATAAGCAGCGATTCGCCAGGTAGCTGCCTCGGGCCACGCCGGACTTCCTCGATATTCTGGACTTGTCCATGAGGGCCTTTCATCTGGCCATCCGCCGCGTCAGGAGGCGCAACGCCACGCATGAAGCGTGCTACGATCGGCCGAAGAATTGGTAGGCTGGTACATAAGATAGCAGTCTCTAGTTCTGCGAGCGACCACAAAGCGGTTTGTACATTGGTGAACGTCGGGTCTGGGGATGAGGCGCCATGGCGTAGTGTTGGTATGCGTACTATTGAGATGATGACGACTATGAAGCCGAAGCAGAAGATTCCGATGAGCAGATACCTCTGACGCTGGAGTAGGGGCATCATCCAGAGAGGCCGCATGGGAATTGAGAAGATGATCAGGTCTGTACAGACATTGATGCTCGAAATGGCGGTCCCTACGGCACAGGTTTAGTTTTTTTATATTATGTCTCAAATACGAGCCTGAAGCAGAAATGCATTCTCGCCTCTGGAAAGAAGAGTATGATGATTCAGAAGCAGCAAGAAAAACGGTATCAAAGTTGAACTCACAGACTGGGAGCGTTGGAACGCAAATCTCGTTCAGATGGGGGTTATTCACCACACCAGTCGTTGGAACGCAACTAAGCGCGTATAGAATATTCTGTCCAATCATCCAGAGGAAAGAGAAAAAAGAGAAGTAAACGCATATTTGTCTGATTCTTCGGTCGGGAAAAATTCGGTAGAACTGGATTAAAAAGGATATCTTGACAATATTGAGGCCCACGCTGTAGAATTGAATCACAATGAAAAGCGACAACTCGAAATTCCGGATTTGGTCTTTGGTGAGCTCGTTGATGTGTCGTCCTAGGCCTGAGTTGATTTCTACATTGATTGCAGGCGTCAGTTGTCGTCCGTCAGCAAGTATGAGATCTCATGCGTACCGAAATACGTAGCAATAGAAGCACCAAGTGCCATGACCTGTCTCAATGTCATCAGTCAACCACTTCCTGCTTCGGAAGTCCTCCGAGGGTACCTGCCCATGCGATAAACACAGTGAGATCATCCCAACCAGCCGAGCCAGCTTTCAGCAAGATGCATCGGATGTACAGTCGTATCGCGACAACTAAGGTCGTCAAAAATAGGAGACCGGACGTTATCCCGATCGCGAGCTGCTGGTGTGTATTATGGATAACTTCCATCTTGTTTGATCGGAATATGGGTCGTCGGCGCTTCGGCTGCCTCGGATATATGAAAGCAACCGGATCATTCAGTCGATGAGTTCACGTTGTCGTTGATCTCACCTGCTGTCGCCTAGGTATCTTTTCTCGCGCAAGTGCAAGATCTTCAACGTTTTCCAGCCTGGGGCATGTTGGGGGCATCCCAAAGGACGAGTTCGCGAATAGATCACACGCACTACTTCACGTAGACACAGCCGTGCACATGGAAGAATGATATAGAGTCCAGGTACGTAATTGCTCGTGAACGGATATTCCGTCCTAATCCGACGCATCACTAAACCCGCTCATCCCAAGTCGCAAGCTCAAAGTTCCAATTTTGCAGAGTTCGCGACCTTCCCGCCTTGGTCGAATGATGTCGCTGAGGCTAGCAGGCCTTGTCTGTGCAGCACACCATGGCTCTGTGATCCATTTATCTGATTCGCTACAAGCGTGTTTTGAGAAGCCTCCTGCTGTGAGGAGAAGCGGGCAGCGCGCCCAACGTTACAGGGTTCCCCGAAAGCTTGTGAGTTCAGCAGCGAGTGCTTGTCGCGGTTCTGGGGAAATGGGGGACTTTGACTTTCCAGCTAATCCTGTTTGCTTTTAAAGCGCTTTGACTACTCACTGACTCAAATCGGGAATATTAAGTTGACCGATGTCTAGTTCGCCGATCCTTTACCTTGTGGACACGAAATTTGAACGTTTATTTTTGTGGCGACGCCAGAGGGCACAGAAAGCATGACTTCTTTGGCTTTGTCGGCAAGATACTGGTCTGATTTCTGTTTCTTTCCCGGGAGCAGAGCAGGACATTTGAGTTCCCTGGATTCCTCGAGGGTACGCTCGGAATGTATGGCTTTGCATACTTTGGACTCTCAAAACATTTTGATAATGCAGTATTTGATAGCATGGACCGTGGGCCGAAGTGAGGAATTAAGCATTCCTCAGCGCAGGGAAATCTGCCGTGACACATTTTGAGAAGCTTGGGCGGGTTAGAGAAGAGTATTCCGACTCAAAGTCGTAAATATTCCGTGATCTAAATGTGGATTATACCGCGGTCTGATTTCCCATCTTGGTGCTTTCTATTGTCCGCGCAAGAACATCGTCACAGTACTGGGGCTCGGGTTGAATGTAAATATTCTTCCCATTTGCCACCACGGCCTTCCCAAAGAGCTCGTCGGGGGTAGCTCTCGTGCCGTTGGCGTCGACAAGCTCCTTCCCTTCCGCCAATTTCAGCACAATCTCGGCTATAAGCTCCAGTGGAGTGAAGACATCCTCTGGCATTGCCTCCCAAGCCTTGTCTGGAACAATAGGCGTTCTCACCGCGCCGGGGCAAAGTGCGTTGACACGGATCCCCTCGTGCTTGTAATAATCTGCAACAGACCGCATAAAACCCATAATGCCGACTTCCAAGTTCAACAATTCTTCAGCAAGCTTTCGGACAAGGGAGCGATGGGGAGGGCGGTGGAACATACATTTTGAAGCTGTGTATATCGGGGCCCAATACGTTGGCCAAAAGCTCGAGCAACTGGCATTGATCACAATAGAGCCTTTGGCAGGCGATAATTTGATATAGTGGCGTGCCACGTGGACCGTGTTTATGCAACTTTTCAGATTGACCTCCAATGCAGTGAGATCCGGTGGTGGCGGACCGTCAATGGTCTCGTGCTTTCCGAAGATGCTGGTATTTTCGATTACTCCAGCGTTGGCAAACACGAAGTCCAATCTGTTGTTGCCGGCAGTGAAGGCCTTTTTGAATGCGGTTGTGACCTCTTCATAGTCGAGCAGATTAGCTCTGTGGTAGATTGTATTTGAAACCGAATCTGCGGCTTGTCTGCCCTCTTCGTCTTTGATGTCGATTAGGTTGATCTTCCATCCACCCTTTGCTGCCAGAGCCTGGGCCACGGCAAGGCCCATACCCCTAGCTTATGACGTCGACTGTGAGCGTTCGATTGCGCCGACAGACTCAGGATCAACCAGTGTGGAGGAGGACTTACAACCACCTGTGATAACAGCAACTCGATCTGGCTCGATCGTCATTTCCAAATGATTCCTTTTTGTGCTGTACGATTCAGTCGGAGAAATATCGTTCAATCTCTATTCGTTCATGAGTTCGGGATCTAGGTATAGGAAATTTGAGTCGTGGTGGCTTCCCCTCTTCTTTTCCGGTGGGTCAAATGCATGTGCTAGATAGCATCACGGAAACGGGGTATCTTATTCCCGAGCCTTTCAATACCCTCGTAGACTTCGAATGGTAATATTTTAGGAATAGTTTGATCAAGACGTGACGAATTGTTGCACATCATGCCCAAATCCGAGTATTGTTGTGCTTTGTGCATGGCCATCTTGATTTATACGTGATTGAGTTGAGGCACAGAGTCGATGAAATTTACAGACTGCCAAGGCGTGGCCCAGTCTCGTGCTAGTTTTCAGTCGGCGGAAGCCCGCCCCATATTTGACAGGCTGACTCGATTTTCTGTCTATCATCCGAGTAAGTTCAACCCTCGGCTTCGGACGTCTCTACTGCGTACGATACGCGTAGCCCATTCGGGTCCGCATTCCGCTTGTATTTAGCACCTGCTTCCCGGGTCACGAATCGTCAATCTGCATAGGGGCCGAGACTTTTAGTTCTCAATTCGACGCTCTGGTTCATCTTGTGGCAGATGTGTCTGCCCCTTCCACTACTGACTCATTGTGCCCAAGATCCAGCTATCACCCTGGCTGAGATCTCGGGACAATTTCCAACACTTGGCATCATGTCCCTCTTACCCCTCCTGATGATCTAGAAATCTTGCAGCTGAGAGACAGCCGTTTTATCAACAACCTGGTTTGGAAGAATCGACGGAGCTCTCGGGCTTTCATCGGGGCAAGAGGCCTTCTCGCTCAGCTGCTAAAAGCCGGTCCTGGCGAGTCTCGTACTTGTATTCAAAGACTGCTAGAATGAGTAGGATGAATCGGAGGATACTGTATGGTCAATTGTTAGATTTTGTGTTGTGCAAAGTCCAGTCAGCCTAGAATACTTACGGCAACGCGAAGAACAATCCGGATCCAAGCTTATGTTGCATTGCATACCACGGGCCGTGCCAATACCACAAGCCATACCAGTCTCTCGAGCAGACTAGAACAAGAGCCCCAATGGCATCGCCCCCAATCAAAATTGGCAGTGCTGAGATGACCCATCCTCGGGCCTGTCCGCACAGGCAGACGATCTCCAAAAGATCTATCAAGATCAGATAGACGAGCTGAAAAAAACGCATCCGGTCAGCATGTGTGCGTCGAGAACAGGTCCGCAAAGCTCACTATCACGTAGCTAGTTGTCCAATCGTATCCGGGCTCATGACGAAGCCATAAGAGGATGAAACTTAGGATTTCTAGGACGAGAGCTGTCAATCGCAGCACGCCCGGTACGATACCGATGCGCCGAAGTGGACTGGGATATTGCATCTTGTACTGTTGCAGGTGGGTGAGTTCTGACTTGTATGGCTGATCAACCCCATAACAAATGATTCGACCTACGGAGAAATTGGAGCAGTGAGAATTTCTAATATTTATGTTCGAAAGAGGGGTGTTATGTCTCACTATTTGAAGAGTTGCTGACGACGCGCGGAAATTGAAACATGTAAGACGGAATGACTTTGCCCTATCGCCCAGCCTAATACGGTTGATTATAGCGGGAGTGCACCAACCAGTCTAGGCAACCCGCAGCAGACCGATCCACTTCCACGTTTTTCTCAGAAATCACGTTTACGAAGGAATATTTGCGACTTTAAAGTCGGACTAAGGGGCGCGTACAACTCGGAATGACCAAAATTGATCAACCACAATGTCCAGGCCGTTGGCTGAAATTCCACACTCTCTGGGCAACACGGCAGGCAAAGCTGCACATATAGTCACTGGTTGGACTGGAGACTTGTTCAAACTGATCGCTAACATTTCCGGGTATCGACTGCTTCAGCAGATTAATTAGATATAATTACTTTTATCCCAACCAGATATCGCCACATCTTATTCGGCGACCTGAGCATCAAACAAATCCCTTGCCCTGCTGCTCAATCCCATGGCTCCTTGTCCTCGTGGCATCGTGCAGAGAATCTGGGATCGTCCCACTGTCTCCGGAGCTCGCGTACGTGTGCGTCGTCGTAGTCATGGTGACCTCTGTCGTCCTGACGATGCCGTTCCCGTTGTTCCCGAACTCTCCCCGCGACGGCGTCGACAGGTCCTCCTCCCCGGGGTACATATACTCCGAGTCCTTGCCGAGCTTCTGGAAGGGGCTCTTGGTCATCGCCCTGCTGTTCATGTGCGACGCGCCGCCGCCGATGGTGACGAGCTCCGTCGCCCGGCTGCTCGACTTGCCCGTCTTGGACTTGTTCTGTGTGCTGCCGAACTGGCTCGACACCTTCTTGGCTAGGGGGCGCAGCGTTGGCAGACAAGCGCATATCACGCCACAAGCGCACTCAACCACACACCAGGTGCATGCTGTTGCGAGAGTAACTGGATTTCTGTAAGCATTTTGACGTGGAAATGTGAGATTCGCGCTTGAGACTTACAAGTAGTGTCGTTCACGTCGAACTGCATAATGGTTGAGAATCGGTAGATACTTGCGATGAGAACGCTGCAAGAAATTAGCATAAGCTGATCGATCCATCTGAATACAGACCAACTCACAAGCTACCAAGACCAAATGTGCAAATCAATGAGATCTTCTGAGCCGGTGCGGTGTGCAGCGCCCAGACCTGCTTCACCGGCATGATCAAGATGGCGATGTCGGTAATGATGTTCGGCACCGCGTTGCCGATGAAGGAGCCCTTGAGGTTGATGCACTGGCCAGCCTCCCAAGGCTCCCACGCTACGTAGATGGGGTTGCACTGGAAAATGCAGACGAGCACGATGGCAATCCACCACGACAGCACAGTGCCTCCGATGATCCAGGCTGCGATCTTGAAACCGCGGCTGGGGAAGATGCGCAGGTACATCGCCAACAGTGAGAATTTGATGAGAGCCACGGCTGTGACGTACATGCACTCAAAGCCGAGCAGTAGCTTGAGCACGTTTTCGATCATGTCGAGGTTGAGTGTGCTGGCGTGCCGGCCCATGCCGTAGTCGACCACTAAGTTTGACAGTTCAAGTCAGCGACCGTCTGTGTGCCAGTGAAGTAAGCTCTGCTAATTCGAAAATGGAATGATGCACGTACTACCGTAGTTGAGTCCGCCGATCACAAACACGGAAATCTGGACCGTCCCGCGTTAGTACAGATCTCTATTCGACGCCACAGATCGTGGGGATAGACTCACCAAGCCTGCCACAATCAGCCAGTCGTCTGGGCCATATTGCGCCGCGACGTAGTGTCTTGCCCAGAAACGCAGTACCACAAAGACTGTGGCGAGGACGAGTAGAATCGTGGTCGTGCTGATCTGAGTAGGGCCTGTGTTCTCGCTGGCGTCCACGGCTCTCGCCATGGTGAGCACCTCCTGGGCCCTCATGTTGTCTCCCTCTGAGCAGTAGACCTTCGGATTGACGCCGGTGGGTGGAGTGAAACCATGCGATTGTTGACTGAAGAACAGCCAAGGCCGAAGCAGGAGCTGTGGAAGGGATCTCTCGTTCGCGAGTAGAGTTGATTCAGACACGCGGGGAGGGATCCAGTTATCATATGGGGATAGGAGAGAAGACAAAGAGAGCGTGCCTTGACATGATCAAAGTCCAGGTCGTAATCCACCGGGGCACTCGGTGCAACGCTGATCTTCTGCCAGGGCCGAGGGGTGGACATGTTCGGCGGCGCACGGCCGTTCTCTTGGAAGTTGCAACTTGCCTCGACCCTGGAAATCGTGGAGACATTTTTCCCTTCGCTTCCTAAGCGAAAAGACAGAAGACCGCGTCTGCTAGTCCTGCCAGTCCAGTTTTTGCTGCCGGCCCGCCCCTGGAAGGGAGGCAATCCAATCCCCGCCGTTGTGTTTGTCGAGGGGCTTGTACAGGGGATGTCCTTGATTGACCATATTGGTCTATAGCGGGTGGCTTATCTAGTGGCAGCGTGCCATACGACCCGACGCGGAAATGTCCATGATACTAGTGCCACCGGCGAACACGACACTTAATCGCCGGTAGGTATACCCAGCAGTCTTCCAGGTACCCCGAGTCCCTAAGTGGGATCGACAGCCGTGAAATCCCAAATGCCGGCTGTGCCTACCCAAAGTAGGCTTTCTTGGGTGTTTGACAGCCCACAATAGGACGCTAGACAGCCTGGAAGAGCAACATTTTCCTCCTCAAAACGGTCGACCCACATGGTTTCGAAAATTGACCAAGTGGAGGAGAAAACCACATGTGAAAGAATGGGTCCAGCATCAAACCTCAAGTGCGACCGATGCAGCAAGAAGGGGTAGTTCTGTCCGGAACATCACGCGTTGCAACCCGGCGTCTGTCGATGTACCTGTGCGTACGCCATTGCATTTGACATAGTGTCACATCGATCATAAATGGTAAGTTAAGTCGCAGAGAACTTTCAAGGACGGAGACTTCCGAGTGGAGGACCAGCCAAGATCCGGGATTGGTTCAATGCGGACCTGCGTAGGTTTACTACGCAATATGCTTTTCATTACATACTTGCCCTGGTAGTGGCGCGACGGCAGCACGGCAGTCCGGAGAAGAATCAAGGCTGGCTGAATTTTGCCCAGATGTGATGAATCTGTATCACATAATACATGTTACTGTGATAGATAGTATACTATGAATCACCATAGTATAACTCGATCTCGACCGCCGATCGTCACGATTACCTGATCTCGACCTGAATCTAGTTGCCTATGAGCTAGCTATGTCTAGAGCGTGGTGCACTTCCACCGGGGAACTGTTGCATCCCCGCGGAGACGCTCACCCGCGGCACGCAATAACTCGAAGTTGAGAGTCGATCGCAGCGTCAATCAAACATCAACAGTGGAAGCGAGTCTCGATTCGGACAATCCCAAGTGGGCCTCCCACAGGATGTTAGAAGTCACGTGAATAAAAGGGGCTCTCGTGTACGAAAAACATGTTGACATTGCGATACACAGGGGTAGCCAATAAGGTTCCAATGAGGAAGAAAGTTTCCACGAGACTGGGAGAGCAGTTGCAGTTCACTGCTGTCCGTGGGCCCTGTTACCGCTGTCCTGGGTCAGATTGATACCCTTTGTGATCCTGGACGACGAGATCTCGGACAATAAGCTTGAGCCGCATCGGCAATGCGACGAACAGATCTCGTTGTGGTGTTCCTGATGTGAACGATGAAGCCCTTTGCCGTCCAAACATTCCCAAAGTCCACTCCTGGCAGCACGCTTCCGAGCTCTGGAAGCTCCACGGAAACCATCCGCAGAGCGCATGACTCGGTCCGTCCAGCTAACGTGCAGATCATCTCTAGACGGACCGGGGTGATGCTGAATTGCCGTTTCCAGGGGCACTGGGGCTCTTAGCAGCTCTAAGAGCTGCAGGGGACGAACAGGTGGGTAGTGGCATGGATATCTATGTCTTGGACCCCAGTGGCTTGCGTGGGCAGCATCCGACAGTCAAGCAGCATCGCCGGATAGCGTCGAGCCCAGCCCCTTTTTGGGCATGCGTTGCCAGGAGATAAATCATCGATGTTGCTCAATCCAGAAATCGATTCGTGTTGTAGTAGTATAGCCCAAATAGCGTTTGTTGCCTCGATTGAGCCTCGCAAGCCACTTCCAGACTCGTATTTTGCCAATCTCGAAAAAAAAAGCCAATATCTCTCCACACCCCACAGACGCCTGTCATAATCATGTCTTCCCAGGCAAAGCCCGTTTTCGTCCTCGCCCCTGGCGCCTGGCACACGCCAGACTGCTACCAGATCGTGCAGGACAAGTTGCATGCCCAGGGTTGGGAGACACGGGCCGTGGCGTACCCGTCTGTGGGTGCCGAGCCCCCGACCAAGGGTGCCTTCGACGATGCCGCTGCTGTGCGTGCCGAGGTCCAAGCTCTGGCGGATCAGGGCCGACAGGTAGTCCTCGTCGGCCACTCATACGGAGGCCTGGTTATCTGCGAGGCTTCCAAGGACCTTGGATACAAGCAGCGCAAGGCTGAAGGCAAGGAGGGCGGCATCGTGCTCCTGGTCTTCCTGTCTGCCTTTGTCGTGCCCAAGGGCCTCAGCCTTATCAAGATGCTTGGTGGCAACCCTCTGCCATGGATGGACTTCCAGGTGAGTACCGTCTAGTCAAGTACTTCCAACTTTGTTGGACCCATGATTAACGTGACAATCAGGGCGAGCGCGTCTACGCCCGCACACCCGAGGAGATCTTCTACCACGATGTCCCCGAGGATCTGACCAAGGGTGCCGTCTCCAGGCTCCAGCACCAGTCGGCCCAGGTCTTCCGCGACGAGGCCACCTACCAGGCCTGGGAGGACATCGAGAGCATGTACTTCTTCTGCGACGACGACCGCGCGCTTCTGCCCTTCATCCAGAAGCAGATGGCGCCCATGTTCGGCCCCAACGCCATCACCTGGGCCACCAAGGGGTCCCACTCGCCCTTCCTTGCCGAGCCGGACAACGTTGTCGCGGGCCTGCTGCACGGTGCCACGGAGGCTCAGAAGCGGATTTAGGGAGGATTGAGCCCTGCTTTGCTGTTTGGCACGAGCTTTGACGTGTAAGCGAGTTTGCCCCATAGATGTGGGCTTGATACCCAATACGAAGCACGAATTCGAAATCAAAACGCCGTCTAGGTCATCTCTCTTGTTCCTCAGTGCATTCAATGAATTGGAAATTCCACGCCGAACCCCCTTGCTCGACGGTGAGGGCCCCTCGGAAACATCTTACCACGTGTGATAATGGGAGGTGGAGCCGCTGAGCATCGCCCCCCCGAGTGCCCCATCGAACTCGGGACGTGCATGTGGGTATTTCTGTCGAGGCCTCGGTAGATTATAGTGCCATGGTACTCGGTGTGAGAATGCTTAATCATGGGAGTGGGCAAAGCTTGGAACTGACAGCACTTAGGCTAATCTGAAGACGACTTGTCGTTGGTTTGACCTACTTGCCTGTGATGCATGTTGTGTCTTGCATAATATGGGTTGAGTTAACGTTAAGGGTTAGGGAAAGGGAGATGCCCCCCCTTAATGGATAAAAAGGGGAATTAACCGGCGAAACCCCGAGCGTTCAGGCGGGATTACTAACATTTGGGCAGGGGGAGATAGCCTCGAACCACTTTTCATCCACTACAGATCCCGAACTATCAAACCACACGGACAAACGCGCACTCTTTTTGCACCGACGCCGACAACCGGTCCGTATCAGCCATCTCCTGACTGCCCGTCTGTCCCTGACTCGTCTGCTGGCGGGCAATTTGACCCTGGGGCCACGTGGGTGCGTGGCGACGGCGGAATGTTTGGCTCCCGTCTGACAGTGAGAGCTCGACCGCGGCTCTGTCGCCATCTCAGGCCAGCCGAACCCCACCCATCTGGCATCGCTAGACGACGCTCGTTCACCAACGCTGGTTATGATTACACACAGAATCCAGTCCCTGTAATACGTCCTGTGATATGGGCCGTGACGGCTGTCGGTACCATCTACTTCACATGTGCCGCCTTCGATGTCTGGCAGGATGTCAAGAAATTCCGAAAGGAGGACCGCCGCAGCCTCACCTTCGACCGGCTGGAGGAGGAGCACAAACGACGATGGAGGCGAAAGAGTCTGTCGACATCGATTTTCACACCAGGGCCTATCGCGGCCGGCTCACCAAGCAGCTTCTGGGATAATCTGAGCGGCCCAACCAAAGTCATGGCTGGCATGACTTTCGTAAACGCTGGATTTTGGGGTCTCTCGAGGATGCCTTCACAGACTGCACAGATATGGTGGGCCAAGCTTGGGCACACGCCAGCCTCTCCATGGTTCAGGAATTCGCAGCTCTTCACAGCCATGTTCGCGGTGAGTGTCTTGTAGGCTGCAGCCTCTGGCTCGGTTGCCCGTCCCGTTCCTATGAGCAAAACTGAGCAAAGCTGACTTGTTCAAACTGATAGCATAGTGGTACGTTCCATGTGGCCCTGAACATGCTGGGCCTCCTCAACATGGGCCCACCTATGGCTGCGAACCCCCCAATCTCTGGATCAGGCAGCCACTTTCTCGCCTTCTACCTTTCGGCCGGCGTTCTCTCCTCTCTTGGTGCTCAAGCTTCTTCGCTTGTCTTCAAGCAGGGAAGGTACAGTTTTGGAATAGGAGCCTCTGGAGCAGTCCTGGGTGTGTTCGCTGCGTGGGCCGCGGGGGACCCAAACGCTCGAGTCCGCATCTTCCCATTGCCCATGGTATTCAAGGCAAAAGATTTGCTGGAGTTTGAGGCGGTGTTCGAGCTCCTCGGTGTGCTTGGTGTTTGGCGGATGCTAAGATTGCCGATCCGCTTTGGCCATAGTGTGCATCTTGCTGGACTTGGTGTTGGAGCTGCATATGTCACTTATGACAAGAATGCGCAGGCTTGGGCTACGTCGCGGAGGGCGGCGTTTAGGTCCATGAAAATGATCGGTATTGTTTGAGATGCACTGGATGTCAAAAACGAGTGAATACAGTCAACATTCGAGCTGGCTGGATTAGGCAGCTTCGCAACAGGCTGCTGCTGAAACATTCTTAAAACTCATTTAGATGAGGCACCTATGAAGTGTGTCTGTGTATAAAATAATGCCTGTTCTGCGTCTTGAGCAGTCGCATTGAAGCGCGATCACAAATTTGGCATGGGCAAACAAAGTTTTTCGGGGCTTGGGCTTTCTCTAGAGCTGAACAAGGAATATTTAATTCTTCGCGGGCGACCGGTCACATGGTATCAATCAACATCCCACAAATGACTTCCACAAATAACATCTACCAGCTACGGCCATGCTAAGAACACAACTCAGCAGGTCGCTTGGAAACTCTGCGCAATGCACACCGTCCCGTCAGGCTCTTCAGACGTCTTGGTCGGCTCCCCACCGCCATCAGTAGCCTGCCAAATCGAACAAGCATTACCCTCCGCCTGGCAGGAATCAATGATGGTACACGTATCACCAAAGTTCTCATTCACGCCGCAGAGCTCTCCACCATTGACAGCCTGCACGCCCTCGATGACAAACTCCCTGGGGCCGCCGTTGTTGTCGCAGTTCCCACAGCTCCTCGCCAGCTTGCCGTAGTTCTCGGCGTAGAAATTGGAGATGTGCACAGTGCCGCGCCCGTTGAACTGCACGATCTTGTCGGAGGCGCCAAAAGCCCCGCCGCCGTTGATGTAGCTATCACCCGAGTCCTGTCGGAATGTAATGGCGTCCTCGCACACCGTCGAGAACCACACGTTGTTGAGCGTGCAGGTCCCCTGGCACTGCACGCCCTCGGCCTGCCCCTCCCCGATAATCACGTTTGACAGCGTCGCCCCGTCCGCCAGGATGAACATGGCTGCGTCTTGACCCGACTCGCCGCCCGAGCAGACGCTTGGCGACCGCTCGTACATCTGCATTGCGCCGTCGAACGACCCTGAGACCTGGATCGCAGCTGACTCTTGTACCGTTCCCGTTGACGCTGGCAGGGTTGTGGAGAGACCGGGGACGCTGCCTGGGGGATTGCTACTGGTGTCATTTGGTGCCGCTGGCCTCAGAGGCGCGTTGACAACTGGTGGGTTGTTTGTAGTCTCGTTTTGTGCTGGTCTTCTGGGTGTGTTGTTACCGGAACAGCCCTTGCTACCGCGTCCTGATCTTGATTGCGCGTGAGCCCCAGCAGCTAGAGCACAAAGCGAGAAAATGATACTGCTCTTCATTCTGATTTGATCGAAAAAGAAGGTACTAGATTAGCTGTCAAATGAAGTCAATGAAGGTTGGTCACAAATGGAGTACGTGTGGGACCAGTTCGATGGACGTTCAATGTAATGCAGGGCCGGTGTTGCGGCGATTATATATGATCCATGACAATGCCCACAATCTGAGCCCTCTCAAAGAGTCTCCCAAAGTATTCTAGCCGAGTGAGGCTCATTTCAAAAATTCCAAAGTCTTAGGGGATGCCGAGAGACGGTTTAGCTTGGAAGCCGCAAATAAATATGAGTTCCCCTGAGATGCTCTTGGCTATCGACTAGTTTGAACATGCACAAAACAAAGTTTCGACCCATAAACAACCAGCTGTTTCACGTCGATCCCATCAATCAAAATTCGCTGCGAGATCTTGTGCAGTCCACGACCCTGGGAACGGAAATTCTGGATGACTAATGGCTGGATCGACAGTTTCCTATCACGAAGGAATGCTCAACATCTACAAATTATTTCAGAATTCAATTCATCAGCAGGCGGGTGCTCATTGCTGAGCTTCTCATTAGTTGACGATTGCACAGACCTTCTCCATTCTTTGAAAGCAGAACACTTGTGTGCCTGAATCGGCCTAGAACCAAAGAGCCAAGACGGGACAACTGTCTGGGCACAATTCGGTTCATCTACACAAAGCTGCCGAGGTACAGGCATAATAAACCAGTGCTGTGGGCTTCAGACGGAATGGAGCCAAGAGCATCGAGAACCCCGCCTCAGTGACTCCGATATATCAATCTCGCATCTTTTGACGCTAGAATCTTAAGACCAAGACTTCCATGACCATCGCAACGAGCCACGATGGATCAGTTAGCTGACTCTGCTATCCGGCGTTTCATTGTGGAAAACTTGACCCGAGGCATTGGAATCTGGGCTGTACAATCTACCGACTTACCACAATTTCTGCTCAGCTCGGCCTGACTGAATAAGACGAACTTCTAGACTGTACGCAAGGACAGGCTGTGACGCTGGCATACACCCGAGAGAATTTCGAGAAACCAGCGGCGGAAGTGAATGAGTACCATTGAATACAATCACCTTCCAAAGCCTCCGTGCGCGGGAGACAGATCGTAGACCACAACGGTAGACCTATAATACCATAACAGATTCATAGGATTGATAGAAATAGTCTACTTGAACAGCGAATCACTCTGATATTTGCATGGCGGCTTTGTATGCCATTTACCGCCACTGGCTGAGTTATTCAATCTAGCCTGAGCAAGACAGAGTCATTCCGCCGTCCAAGACCAGGCCCGTGCCAGTGGTGAAGCTAGACCTGGGGCTGCAGAGGAAAATGACGGCGTCGGCTGCCTCCTCCGGCCGTCCCAGGCGTCCTAAAGGTATAGTGGCTAAAAGTGCCTGCTCCAGCCCCGGAGCTACATCTGTCGCCTTCCGGGTCATTGGAGTGTCCGTCCATGTGGGACAGACGCAGTTCACCCGGATGCCAAGAGGAGCATTGTCAAGAGCTACGAGTGTGTCAGAAAGACTTCATAAGGCCGCAAAGGCTCTTGAGGATACTCACCGGCAGTCTTGGTGATGCCAATGATAGCATGCTTACAAGTGGTGTATTGCCTGATCTCGGTCAGAATCTCTCGGCCGGCTATGCTTTGTCTGCGAATCCGGAAACCAGCAGGGGGATACTTACACCATATTAGAAACAGCCATGAATGAGGAGACCGAGGCTAAATTAACGATAGATCCTCGGGTAGTACCTCGTGTTGGGTCAGTAAAGCTGGCTTGTCGAGGTTCTTGAGTTTTCATGGCGGCTGAGATCAAGCTAGTAAACAGAAAGGTTCCATTGACATTAATGTCGAGGAGGTGTTTGAAATCCGCAAATTTGGCCTCGGCAATAGGATCGAATGTACCACCAGGAATCTAGACAGGAGTTAGCCGTTACCAAGACCAGTATAATTCATCAAAGGACTGACACCAGCGGAATGAACTGCATAGTCAATACGACCGAGATATTTGGTGGCGTGGGCGATAGCTGCCCTGAAAGACTCTTCGATACTGACGTCGACTTGAACTGCCTGGATTCGAAAGTCGGGATTGATAGCAATTGCCTTGGCTTCGGTAGCCGTCTTCTCAGCTCCTTCGAGATTGATATCAGCCACAACTAAGCCTCGAGCACCTTCTTTGGCAAAGGCTAAGCAGCAGGCTCTGCCGATGCCGCTTGCTGCAACACGCGTCAGTGATAGTCCACGAAGAGACTGAAATATGAATAAGAAGGAACTCTTCTCCCATGGGTGTTTCCTACCTCCACCCGTGACGAAGGCATTGCCGGTGACATCCATACTGTTCTGTTAGGGTCAAGAATGGTTACAGATTGCTCCAAGATTAAGAAATAGTCTCAAGAAAAGGCGGGCGGGGTAGTGTGACAAGTGAAAAAGACAAAATCAATTCGGACAAGATAAAAAGATGTAGAATTCCGCCAACTAAATTTGTAGCACAAGGCCGTTGGTGGTGCCAAGCCAATGAGCGCATAGAGTCGCAGAACGCAAGACGCCCAACGTGCAGATACGGTGGGGCCGATCATGGGAAGTAGTCTCAAGCATGCAAAGAGAGGCAAGAGATGGACCTCACACTGAGAGAACCACTGTTGGCCACGAAGTCAGATTCAGTGCAACAGAGAGAGACCTGGGCTTGGTAAATCTTTCCCATAGGTTGGGTGAACGCTGGTAACGGACATGGTAGTATCTAAGATATAGTTTGCGCCACCACTAACTCAAGCACATACGGCCACAGATACAGGAAAATACGGGATCCCGTCCGCTCTCCCATAGTCAAGCCTGTAATCGCTGGATTAGTAGTTGGGTCGGTGACGACCAGCGAATACCCGGTGCTGTATGTTTTTGACTTTTTCCAGTATCCACTCCAGTGGAGCCTAAGTCTAGTGGCTTTGTAGTTGTAGTCGAGGAGCCCCCCGTCCAAGGCTAACACAATCTGCTGCGCAGCAAGGAATCCTCCTAAAAGCTGAGAAGCAAATTTAAAGAGTAGTCAGACTAGAGACAAGACACTGCAGAGCATGGCAATTCTAATCCTCAACTGAAACTCGAGGCTGAAGATCATTGATGACAAAAAGTGAACATCGGTTGTATGTTGAGGATAATCAGTTTAGCAAATTTCTGGATCAGTCAGTATCTCTCAAGTACTTTTCAACCCATTCTTCCTTTAAAGTACCAAAGACCGAGTTTGTGCTTACTGTCGCACCGGAAATCTTGTACCGATTGGGTTTCATGTTATACGCCTTGTGTCGCTGAACAGACAGGCATCTTTACATGTGAAAATATTGGCGAGAAGTGCTATCCCACAACTCTTGACTGCATCAAGAGGATTTATCACGAGGTCTCCTACGTCGCGCCACGTATCGATGATGGCGCAGACGCGGAAGCGTTTCCCCTTAGTTACAATCGGAATTGAATGCACAGCCTCAGCCCCTATTCCTTTTGCTCGAGAAGACTCGCCGATCAGGTGGCAATGAGGATTAAACCAAGCAAGAGGCAATCTTTTGCATGTCACAAATATTGGCGGACATGAAACTGGCGATAGAGTTCTTCCAAATTAATCCCATGTTTTGCAGACTTTGGTTTTAATTCGGTAAATTTGCTCCTAGTTATACAGTATTTACGGGAAACGTAGTTTCACTTATCCTTGGTCATGGACTCTAGGAACTTATGTCAAAGAGCGCTAAGACTAACATGCGGTTGGCTGGCGGATTGCAGGTGGAGCGTGTGGTAATTCCTTACTAGCTTATGTATGGCTTGCTGGAACATTTTTTCTCGGAATGTCTGGCTACCGCATGTGCTCATTTGGTTTGTGAGGGATTTCTCGACAAAACTTGTTGTACAGTGTGGTACATAGCGCACTTGAACCCCGGATTTTGCCGGTGGAGAGTAGAGACAGATAACACTGGCTGATTGTACGCGAGAGACAATGTTTCAATTCGTTCGAATGAGGAATGCTGTTGTTCAACAAGATACCACGAAACGGGCCCGCAAAACAGTGGCCTGTGTCTCCTGTTATCATTGTGAACGGCTCTTCTCCGCGTGGCAGCGCATACACTTGTGTATTCCTGTGCTCCTCCCAGCCCACTTCGGCTCCGACAAGGCGATGTGCCAGAGCCGGCAATTCCAAATCCGTCTCTTTTGCTTCGCAACCTCTCTCTCGTCTACCATCGATAGTTCCTGGCCACTTTGGCTCTTCATGGATTCTTCGTCTCTAGCGTGTGTCACTGTCAGAAGGCAACAAGCTTTTGCCAGGCTCTCGATAACGCCTTGGCCGGAAACATGTTGCGAATGCAGCCTGAGAGCCGACCATGGTCCACGATATGCTTGTTTTAAACATAATGTTGTAGGCGGATCTGCCGCCACATAAATGCGGCCCGGTACCCCGCCGAAGTCTATATGCGACCCATGGTATACGGCGGCTAGACCGCCCATGAAACCGAACTATCGGACCCCACGAGGTACAATACGTCGGCGCAATATGCCGTACAGCTGGTTACCAATATAGTGTGTATTGCCGCACCATACGAGACACAAGCAGTTGTTAGTGCACCACCCAGCAGCCATTACTCGAGCACAGCCTTCGTTGGCCACCTGACCCCCTTTCACTATGATACTCGTTGGGCCGGAGAGCTCCGTTTCCGAACAGAAGGGGCCACTCAGACGTGAGTTCATGGAGGCCCAACATGTTCCTCACCATGTTGTGGACTATTTCTTGGCTAATTCTGCACTTCTCCAGTACGTTGCAATTAATGTCAGACCAAACGGCGGGTAACAAACTTGGCAGGACACAGAGCCTTTCATGGTTGGTCATCCACTTGACAGCGCTTAGAAGTGTTTATAGTCCTCGAACGTGAAGCGTAGCCGGATGTACACTCTCTAAGCCCTGTTAAATATGTTAACCCTCTGTCTTTAAGTTAAGCATTTCCCGAAGCATAATAGAGAGCGAGCGGGGGTGAGCCAAGATGTAACTCCATCCCACCAAGGAGCCTTGGCTCACACGGTCAAATTGGGTTAGTTGTTCGAAACTGCTCAGAGTTTCGATGAACTGACTAGCAGGCCTCGACAAATCGCGTCAGTTCGTCCGCGCATATGTAAACTGAGCCTGGGCAAACCTCAGTTGCTGATCTGCGCACAGTTCCAATCGGTTTCTTCCGTGGCGCTGACAACATTCACAATGAACCGCGATTTCTGGTCCAGAGACCCGAAGAGTATCCAAAATGTCGGCATGAATCTGATTTCGCCGTCGCGACCGAACATTGAGACTGGATGTGCTCAGCCTACGCGGGAGGACAATCCAAAGTACGACCGTCGGTTTTCTGTTCTGCAAGGCCAAGTCAAGAGGATCAAGAGAGTGTCTATTCTTTCTTTGCTACTCATCGTCCTCGCTACCATTGTACACATCGTTCAATTCTTCGTTCCACCTGCCAAGATCAATCAGCAGTATGCGAAGATAGTCGATGGCAACCGAGCCGCCGTGCATTCAGCCCCTGAATGTGAGTGATCCCCTGCCTCAACAGAGACGCGCGCTTGGACTGACCACAGACCCTTCGCTCAGCGGCATTCCTCGTATCACCGTTCTCAGACACACGGCCTGAAGAGACGCTCACTAGCGCAAGGGTTCTGAATGGGGATGAAGATACTGTCTTCACCGCTGACATACCGCGTAAGCTGGACCGCACCGCACCCCTTCCCTTTGAGATCGCCCCGCCGAGAAGCCAAGCCGATATTGACGTGCTCTTGTCAGTCGGCCGAGGATTCGTCAAGCAGAAGGACGAGCATGGCAAGGATCAGACTTACGCAGTAGCTGCGATACATCAAATGCGCTGCGTGGTAGGTGCAACAAGATGCACAAAGCTAGAGTGGGCGCAATTGAGGCTGACCATTTTAGTACTTCGTCTTGAACTCCTTCTCACTAGCCTTGGAAAACGCGACTGCTCTAGACTCTGTCCAACAACGGACGACCTACCACTGCATCGAAATGTTGCGACAAGCCGTTCGGTGTCAGGCTGATCCTACCTTGGATGTCACCTATCCGTTACCTGGTGACGCAGAGACGCCTGCCTCGTTAGGATGGGGCACTTCGCATATCTGCAGAAACTATGACATGCTCTTTGAGTGGTCAGAGAAGAATCGCGCTGATGACAGCACGGGCTTGGATGTTGTGTACGGATACAGTGCAAACTGAATTGACGAAGTTGATTGAGAAAAAACATAGCCTATAGTCCCACTCGACACATCAGACATGGTCTCAATGTGTGTGCCCGGCTTGACAGCTCTTGGGATGGCGGCGATGCACGATGCAACCTCACCGCCACGAAGACGCTGGTGTTGCGCTACACTTGTCGCAGTGTCGCATTCAGGTCTCAACGGCGGCCAGGCGAAACAGGGAACAGGCATCCCAATCGGCGGCAACCGCGATCAAACCTTGACAAGAAGTCTGGGAGTGACTCGGGTAAGTCGGCAGTCGTGCCTGAGTCCCCGTCATTGGATGGCATTCCAGCTGGAATCCTGGAAGTGAATCCCTTGGCGCACACCACGGCGAAACCTGACCGGCCGCAAACTGCAGACGGCTGTGCAGCGTGTGACGTCTAAATGGGGGTACGTCACACTTGCGATGGCAAATCTTCAATCTGATCTGCCCAATTTCACCCCTTCAACTTAACAACCTCCTTTCCTCGCACCACGCATAAATTCCGTGATGGCGGGATCAGGAACATCAAGACACCAGCCTTCGCGCCGAGACAGAGGGGATGCAAGGAGAGACCGCGACAGAGGCAGCCCAGGCAGGGGCAGGGACCGCGACTCGATCGACCTGATACCCTACGACGACGAGCCTCGTGGCCGCGACAAGCGGCCTGCAGCGTCCCGGCGGTCCACCTATAACGACGCCAACGGGTCCGCCGAATACTATGACGACGAGGACCGCTATTACCCGCCAAGGTCGTCGGACCACCGGTCCAGGAAGCAGGGAGGGCGCAGTCGAAGACCTCACAGCGAGCCGCGCTCTTCTTCGACTCGCGGCAGCCGAGATGACCGCAGGGAACGTGACCGCTCGGCAGATGCCAAGAAGAAGCGCAACCAGATGATCAAAGCCGGGCTGTCAGCTGCTGCCTTTGAGGCGTTTCGCCAGAAGAACCGACCCGGGGGTTGGGTCGGGGAGAAGGGCGTAAGGGTCGCGACCGCGGCCATCAGCGCCGCGGTGATTGATGCTGGGATTGATAAGAACCCGAACCACGGTGCTATGGGGAACATATTGAAATCTACGGTCGGTGGCCTTGTTTTCGACAAGATTGCGAATGGAGGGAAACGCTAGGTTGGCGCGAGGACCGAGCGAACTAGGAACACTCGAGGCCTGAATGCAAGTGCTGAAAGATCGGAAAAGCTGGTGGAGGCTAGAAAACGAATCTAATAAAGGCAATGGCGCCTGGGAGTGGACATCCACGCCGTGTACAAGAGGGAGAATGCAGTGGAGCTTCCCGAGTGGAATGCTCATTGGCAACTTTGATCATTGATACCACTCTGTTGCGGGGGAGCAAGAAACAAGGCTTGATTTCTATTTCTTCAACATTTCCTCAGCCTCCTGATAGAAATCGATCGAGAAACCTAATCGGTTGGGTTCAATTCCAATGAATCACGTTGTTCATTCTCAAGGCGATGCTCCTTGTCGGTCACAGGACAGACTTTCACCTCTCAGTCCCAAAAACAAGCAGCCCGAATCTCAATGCTTTCCCTGGCGGGCAAACTTTCTGTCCCAGGAATCTCAAATGCGGTATGTGGACATCTCCATCCCGGCACGTCCTGCTTCGTGTCGTAGTTTCTGAATACAACAAGTTCGTTGGGCTGCATCTCATGCATATAGTACCACGCGTGCTGATCCTCCCGACTGCCATGCGACATGACATAGTTGCCCGACTTGACACCGCTCTGCTTGAACTGACGGGCTCGGATCTGGTAGTCCGAGTCCGGGACAGTGGATGCATCAGCAACGGCGAGGGGGTCGCGTCGCACCGTCTTGAGGGGCCGCCAGGCGTTGACGAATGCGAAGCGGGACGAAGACTCGAAGCGTCGGGCAATCTCGGTGGGGAACTTGAGCTCCTCTAGCGTGCCCTGGATGTCTTCTGGGCGTGCTGCATAATCAACGTGGGGATGCCCCGAAGCAGCGGCCAGCCAGCGGCCTGAAGCATCCAGCTTGCCCTTGGATACTGCCTCGTCACACTGACGGAGGCAGTGGTTGAATACGTGGACGGTCGAAGCACCAGTCCTACGGAGCTGAATGTCAGCATGCAGTCAGCAGAGCGCAAATCTTGACGTTATCGACTTACAGCTCTTTGATGATATCTGCGACCTCTGGATACCACTGCGTTCTGATTGTCTCATCATCTTCGGTATTTCTTTCCCTGCTCGGGAGCTTCAAAAAGTGAAATCCATTCTTATCGAGTCCGAATCCATTTTCCATCCCGCGTATATCTCGGATAAGCACCTGTCGGGTGAAGTCATCGCTTATTCCCAAATATCTGGGCTTCCAGTCCTGAGTTGCAATGACGTTGCCAGTAGCCGGGAAGTAGTTGATGTCAGCTAGGACATCGTACGCTGCGCGGTTTCCGTTGGCCTCCATTTAAAATAGATACCACGGATATCAGGTTGCAAGTGGTGACAAAAATACAACATCACAGACTTCGGTGGTTCGGCGTCATATGAGGCTTTCTATGCACTCACTCCAACAAGGCACGTGATCTTCTTGGAGACTATTCTTCCGGCGGAGGGGTTTTCAGCTCCTCTTCCCATTCATAATCTGACGGAGATGTGAGGGGAGATTTCTGGGCAAACCTTATCCCAAAGTAAAGCAATGGAAGTGACGAGCTGCTTCATTAGGTGCACATGAGAAACTGAAAGATGCTGCACTTGCCATTTATATATGAGTAAATCATAGATTGACATACACTCTTAGAAGTGACTGATCCAAAGATAGCTAATTAATGCATTGAAAGCTACTAAAGCTACTCGTTGGGCAAATTTCTTGACGCTGAAGAGGTCGAAGTAAGCACTGCAAGTGTTTAACAAAATCATGTATTGGAACAGATTCATGAACAAGCGCAGTTACGGAACAAGGTGTGTAGATGAACTGTTCTGACCATGGCTTGTTTTTATTCAATAAAAGAAATATCTCATTATGGAAGTATCAAAATTACGGAAACGCGCAAAAGTACCCTGTGTGGCTCGTCCACAAGACAATCACTTCATTCCTATCCGCCCTAACTCACATGCATTCCCACGCGCAGCATCTGTGAATTATGTCGAGCGCAACCAAGCATCATCCCTCCTCGATCTTTCCACAAAGCCCAAATAATTACTCGTTCGATGTGCTTTCCACGTAGCCGCTCGATCTCGTCTACTTAAAGATACGCCAAGATAGCCATGCCGCCAACCAGAGCACCAATTCCCACAGCAGCAGTCTCACACGCTACGCCACCAGTGCTGGTGCTTGGGGTAGGCGTAGGCGAGAACGTCCGATTGGCAATTGCTCGCGCAGTTTCCATCGCAACAGATGCACGGCTGACATTGGCTGCGACCAGACTGAGTTGGGAATTGATGGACGTGGAAATGGCGGCGTCAGCGGTCGAAAGCAGGAGGTCCAAGGACGAGGAAACGGACGCTGCAGAAGAAGTGATTTCTGCAAACTCAATGCTGAATATTTCAACGACCCATGACTCGAGAGCGGACACGACGCTGCCAGGGTTGACGGTGAAGTTGTTGATTGCGCTGTAGAGATCACTAGGCTCGATGACAGGGGCTGGAGTTGACTCGGGCTGTTGGGAAGTGGTATCGGCCTGTCCACCGAGGTGCATGAGCAAACAATTTGTTTCTCGTTCGAAGGGTCGCAAATAGCACAAATGAGCCAAAGTCTTTAACTTACCACGACAGCAGCGATAAAAACGGGAAGAAAGACAGAGAATAGCATATTGTAAGAGGATGACGGTATTGTTGAGTCAATCTCTTATGCGCAGCGTAGAGTAGAACAAAGTGCAAGGGAACAGGCAATTCAAGTCTTTAGTCTGAATTCAATGTCTTTGCAACATGTTTTGCAGGATTTCGAAATGCCCAGAATAATCAAGGTGTATTTGGCTTTTATATCTAACAGAGTCACTGGATGTTCCTGGCCTCCAAGCAGGCTAAGAATACAATCAATGCGGCTGCAGGTGGAAGTGCAACAGTTGCCATGGTCGAGGAGACACAAAGTCGCCGTTGCCGTGGTGCGCAATTTCTTGTACAAGGCAAGCTTTAATATTCTGCCTTTGTATCACAGTACACACATTGTCGTGACCAGGCTGTGCCGCGACACGTGGATGCGTGGGATTGTTTCCCCCATTACACAAGAGGCTGAAAATGGTGTCACGGCATGGCTGCCTTCCCCAGCCTCAACGCGATCTTACGCAAACATCAGCCAAGAGTCGAGACCCCGTGAGCCAACCGTCTTTCAAGGGCTTGGTGGTTCCTTGGTGATGTTAGGATGCATGTGTCTCGGCTCTAAGTTATTCCATAAATTGCTGTCATCATCAAGCCAGATTCCATTATTGGCAGTCTCGGAAACGGGAAAGTTGCCTTGCCATCCAATATATATTGCTGAATATAGGTGTGTTACATCGTACGATGAAGGTAGAAATCGCAAGCTCGTCAGCCAGTGGTCGAGTGTAACTTACTACGTGCACCGTTAGTAAACCTCTCGCAGATACTGTGAAGGCTGGGACTCATGGAGAGGCCGGGTCTCCCCATGTCAGCTGATGCGATATAGCGGCTTTTATTTTGATAAGACTCATCACCTTGAACTCTTGACCCGGCATGTAAGATGCCTTACAGTAAATCTTAATGAGTTTCACAATCTGCAGTGCGTGAGTTACATCCGCTGGAGTAAGTCTAGGTACAAACACTCTGTTCGGCTTCTGCATTGATGCCCGGAGATTATCTTCCAATGAAATGAGACTGTCAGGCTGAGAACGGCAGGAGTCTGCGAGTGCTCGGGATTCAATTCAAAGACTTGAAGTCAACTCCGGACACATGCTTAAAATCAGCAGCGAACGATATGTGCAGGCTCAGAGAGCTGTTCTGGGCCCTAAAGCACAGTACAATGAAGCATGGATCTCCCGAACTTCACGGGACCACATGTCCAAATGCTGTTATCATGGCGTTATTTACCTACTTCATCAATACGATCTGGCACTGTACCTCAAGTACAATATCAAAAGGGGCCATGAAGAGGCAGAGACATTATGTGATCTTGGCTCAGAAAGTCAGGTCCTTAGTAATGATCATGGCGGATACTTGCCTGCGCATGAACGAGGTGGCAGCGGTGTGCTGATATCTTGATACACTTCCATGTCTCCAGAACCTCTACGAGAGGTTTCCGTCCTAGATTAATGTGCATCTGTTGCGTGTCTTTACGTCAATATTGACATGTCCAGCCAAGATGATTAGAATCAGTCCCAATTGTTCCGGCAATGAATTTTCCCAAACTTTCCGGAGAGCCCGGTGCCATTGGTAGCAAAGCAACAAATGAGTGCTTTCCGCAAACTTAGTTGACAGCGACAAGTATTTCAGGCAAGATAATTCCTTGACATGATTCTGAATTTTCTTGTCGTGGTTGTCAACCACTTATGGTCTGATGATCCTCCCGAACTTGGTTCCACAAATCCGTCTGACAACCACCCGGTTCTTGGCGCGGCACGGACACGTCCCGAAAAGCTTTGTTCGGACCTTCCTTCCACCACAGGCTCCCAGATCGTCCAAAGTACCAGAGGAAAACCGACGACACCTTTCCAATCACCTCAAATCTGCATACAAGCTAGCATGGGGTCCAGCGACGTCGCTCCCGCCCATGTCCCCGACTGGGTCGTGCCACTCTCGACCGTCGCGCTTGGCGTCGGCGTGTTGTTCTGGGACGCGACGTACATCCTCATGACGCTACGCAGCCTCCGGACCAAGTCCTACAGTATGCCACTGCTCGGCCTCGCCCTCAATGTCTCGTGGGAGATTGTCTACTCTCTCTACGTGTGTGAAGCGCTCATCGAGACAGCCGGCTTCACCATCTGGCTAATTCTCGACATCGGTCTGATCTACACGACGATCAAATTTGCACCTTACGAGTGGGATAGGACGAATGCTTGGGTCGGACGACACATGGCTTCCATTCTGGGTTTGATGACCGCCATCGGGTGCGTAGGCCACTTCGCGTTTGTGAAGTGGTGGTTGAGCCGTCCGGGGATGTAAGCAGCTTCCGATTACGATTTTTGACCCCTCTAGGGATAACTATCTTCCATATGTGTGGTCTGTTTCGCTGCTTGAATCAAACCCCCTTGTTGGATCGCATTTTTCGAGCAGGCACTGGGCATATGATGATCTACTTCGACGTATTCTCGCATGAACCCCCTTCCTCAGTGCTTGGGTGGCTAACTCTGAATGCTGTAGTGGCCATGGGGACAAAACCGGCAAATGGTATTTTGGTCAGGACCAATACGACACGACTGAACTAGCATACTGGTCTGCCGGGGTGGCCCAGATGGTTGCCAGTGTGAGTTCACTCGCCATGTTGCTGGTTAGAGGTCACTCTGGAGGCGCAAGCTATGGGATCTGGTAAGTCTCACTCTTTGACGTTGATCTTTTTGACTACCCATTTCCATAATTAGAGCATGATGATGGTATTGGCTCTCCGCGAATCTCCCTGTTAAGATGGACATAGATGTGCCGACTCTTGTCCATCGAATAGGTTGATCTCCTTCCCTAGAGAGGTTTGGACTGCGAAAGAGGCTCGTGGCGTCCAGCATTCACGCGAGAAAAATCCTCACGCTTGCTCGAAGCATTTGTAACGCACACAGACTTGTTAGCCAATTCTGACAAGCCCATGTCACCAAATCAATGAGCTTCAGAGACGTCGAAATGAGGCATACACAGCTAGTTCTGCATACTCCGAAAACCTTCGCATATCATCTATCACATATGGCATTCTGCTCTTCTGCAAGAGACAATCATTTTGCTGATGTTTCTATCAAATAGGCTCTGCAGAACAATCGGCACAATTTCCGGAATGGGCGTTTGCAACGCCATACTATGGTATTACTGGCCTGAGGCGCATGGGTACTTCCTCAACCCACTAGGCATATTCATCTGTGGCACGGCGCTGGTCTGCGATTTGTTCTACCCTTTCGCGTTGTGGCAAGTCAAAAAGACAGAAGTGGTGCTACCAGATGGGAGGCTTGTCAGCCGAGAACAATTCGATCACTTGCAGGCGGCGGGCAAGAAGAATCTTTGAAAAAGCAAAGACGAATACGGTCCCAGTCTTTAGTCGGGTGGCAAATTTGACAGGTAGTGTGGAGCTCTTCTCCTATTCAGCGCATAGACTAGACAAGTGACGTTGAAACTTTCCAACCACAAGCATTGATGTGGCTGTGTGGTAGCATGGCGTACGGACAAAGGCCTCGAGGCGGTGTACGGCCGTCCTACTTGGGCGGAATACATATACGTAACACATATCCCCGGAGCTACTGCACAATCAACGGTGTGTTTGGCGTCGGGTGGCGCCTGCAAGTGAAGTATCGAGCGCATCAAGCCCTCCGTTTCTTCTCGCGGCTGTACCCGAGTCAAAAGTGAGTGACATGTCAGCTGCAAGAGCCTCTGTGGCGCCGGCCTTGAACCCTGGTCGCACCGCACCGAATCTTCCCACCCATCGTCTGCGACCACTGTCGTACAAGATCTGGGGCCTGTGGAGGGAGTACAAGAGCACATAGAAGACAAGGACATTCCTTGGAGGAACCCCGTATCGACCAACGTTTCTACCTGTCAGAAAGTCGTCGTTGTACTGTTGTTTATGTGAATGTCTTGGCGATGGGCTGCCGACGACGATGTGGTCTGCTGATTGCATTAGTGGGCTTCCTGTTTTGTGCGCCGAGATTAGCGAGATCAGAATTCAGAAGGCCTTGTGATGGATAAGTGATGCCTCGACTGCAGCTGAATTAACCGGGGTAAACCAGACGTTCGGGACCAGCTGAGACCGGCTGAGCCTGTGGTCGAGCCAATGGCACAAGTGCAAACGGCAGCTCAGCCAAGGTAAAACAGTATCAAGCATTCGACGTTAAATCTAGTTCCTAACGCAAAGATACTCCGAAGCGGACAACATACGGACTAGTCGTGGTGTGTGAAACCTCACATTTATTGGGAGACTTGGTCGAATGAGAATTCATACTACGGGTGACCATCGATCGACGTGCCCTCAGACCAAGAGCAAAATATGAGCGCTCGCAAAGAGGCTAGCAGTGGAGCCTCGCTTGTCTAATACTGTCTTTAAAGAGGCATAAGACCATGTCCATCTCACCGTCTAACATGCCGCCGTTGGGCCGTGTATATTGCACGCATATTCGTCGTGGGGGTTACGGTCTGGGCGGCGCGGGATGCCATACACCATCAGCATTGAAATGTAATGGACAATACACAACATGCCACTTCCAAAGCATGTCTTAGACAGACCCGCGGGCGGTGCCTTTTGAGCGCCAGAGGCGGCGGAATGATTCCTCGAGTCGTACGAGACTCGCATATCCCTGGACTTATCCTCTAGTGAACATTGGCCGGAGGAAAACACCCGTGAGGCCAGGAGGCGCCCGTGGTCAAAGGAGATGCGAGATGCGCATGGACTTTGCATGAGGCCGCTACTCTCGCGAGAACAGAGCGGAATACTGAAAACGCGAAATGTCCGAACGGCCGAAGTCCTCTCTAGATCCAGACCGAGGCCAGCCAAGAGACGACACATCAAGTGGCAGTTCCCCATTCGCAATCCTGCAGATAACAACATCGAGCCACTGGCGTACATTTATACTTTTGCCGGCTTCGGCCGCACTTGAATGTTACGGAAACTCAGGCCGGGACTAGGATAGGACCTCACCGCATACGCTCGATCCTTCCCGCTCGCCTAGAGGCGCGTACTCCTTGATTTAGCATGACGGGTGCGTGTACCCGTGTCTTCAACCTTTGGACTCCTGAAGCGTGGTGGTGTGAAGCGTGTCGAACCCACAGAGCACATACACACACACGCACATCTTGGTAAATTATGCCCGAGACTGGCTGCCTGCATGAGTTGGTCGCCGAACTTGTGCTCGATTCGAGGGTGAGGTGGCGGCTCTATGAGCGCATACCCCCACGCGTGACCACGCACAGTGACTTGTCAGTTTACCAAGGAGACGAGCTTCCGAGACGGGAAGTGAAGAAGATCCACGGATGGCAAGGGGGAGGGGGTCCGGTAGAGTCCTTAACTTCGGCCCGCAAAGCTCCTTTGATGCCGGATGCTCACCGCCTGAGATATGGTCTTTCTTTTCGTGATTTTTGTCATAGATAGTAGCAGAGTCCGGCGATACCGAGTTGCAGGCTGAGCCGAACTACCTCGGAAATATACCGGTTGCAGCCTGTTCGAGAATGCAAGGCTAGTTCACCGGCGTGGAGACTCTACCTCCTTCTCCTGCATGGGTCGCTGGCACCAGCCGATCCGTCCAGGACTGCCCCAGTCGGTCCCGGACGGGGTCAGCATAACCCACGTGCTCGAGGCTGCCGGTAGATTTGATGGGGTTTGGACGGTTCGCTCCTCCTGATCGCCGTGCTGATCACCGTATGCTCCTCCTGGACGGTAGCACGGGCGGCCGCAGTGATCACTGACCGGTCAGTGTTACACGAGAGACGGCTGCTGCATACTGTATGTTGATATCTCGTGACTTCTCGTGCGACTTCAGGCGGTGAGTCGGAAAAGTCCAGCCTTGGGTAAATTGCAGTCCATCCATCCTATGCTCTGCGTGGGTCGTCCAGCCGACGGAGTCGACGAGACATTCTGCTACCGTCCACCCTGCCTGTGATTGTCTCCGCCGGAGCACGCAGTACCAAGGTCGTAACACCATGGTGTTGTGAGAAGACAGTTTCGTCCGACAAGGGCACGACCCTGATCGAGGCTGACAAGCGTTGCCATCGGGACCCAAATCAAGCACATGACCCACGTTTGGTGCGCAGTACCTGCAGACCGGTCAATACTTACGAAACACCAGCAATAAGAGACATGCTATTATTTTCCAAGACAGCCGCATTATGCTATGCACAGTAACTTGATCGACGTCGCCTGATGGGTCCTCTACGTCTAAAGACCGCGATGGGTGACATTCGGACTTGGATCCCTGCCCTGGTGGTGCCCGACTGTAAGGAAAGTTCGAAAAATTGTCCTCAGCTCCGAGACCCCGACGTCTGATATCCATGTAGCCGGTGCACATCAAAACGTGGTTGAAGAACGAACGCGCGTATGACATGACACAGCATAATGGCCCGATCCAACATCCATCCACTCCGGCCTGCCATGTGGCGCGCGTAGAAATCGCGATATTGATCGAATCGTGCCCAAGATCGATTGACGATGCACAAGAGGGTTCAACCCCGTTGGATCGCGGTGGAGACGACCCTGCACAAACAGCCCTGGAGGGCTGGAGGGCTGAAGCCTGAAGTACGGCAGAGGTGAGCGCTCACTTGATCGCGCCCAGCTCGGGTCCACATGGGCGTAACGTCTGTCCACATATGCGCCCCGCTAACCGCTAGTTGTTCTGGTAGTTCGTGATCTCGGTACCCAGTGAAAGCACCGCCCGCTGGCGCGTTCGTTCCTGGGCGCCCCACGGGCGAAGGAGGGTTGCGGTGAGCTGAGCAGCCAGCCACTTGACTGCCGAAGGATGTGGCAACCATTTTGTTGTTGGTCTCCCACCGGTCTCGCGAAAATATCCCAAAAAAGGCACTGTCTTGTCTCAAAACGGACGTTTTTTAATGGCGAGGGAGTCATCACTATATGTAGTAACAAAATGATTTTCGTAAAGGCGGGGACTCAGGTGAGGACCGAAAGCAACGGTAGTAGTCGCGTATCTTGAAACGCCTGCTTATCGGAGATGAGATCTCGAGCTTGTCACTTACGACACCTGAGCGCTGCGGTAAATACCGACAGCGAGCTGCGTCTCGGTGGACAAGCAGACAGGCCACTGCCTTGCTTGAGACAAGTCATACGTGTCGTTGATCAGCGTTCCATATTCCGTACTAAGAATGAGAAATGAGGGACGATTTTCTATTCTATCAGGTGGAAATTGCGAGGATTGTTACACACAGACCCTAGGGGATGACGAATTGGACTGGCAGTCGATGGAGGCCTGGGAGGGTCGACACGGTCGAGACCTAGGCCACAGCATACGCGATGAGTAAATGAGACCCATACGATTGCAGCTGGGCTGGGTCAATCTCCATCCGGCCTGCTGCGTCCCACCTAGGCAGCTGGGAAGCCTGGGATGCATGCATCCAGACCGCCATGATAAGGGGGCCTGAAGCCCGCTCAAAAAGAAGAGAATGGAAGGGTGATGGGCGCGCGATGAAACCTAGCCCCCCCACACCCTTGCCGGTCGCCCACGGGCGAGATTGGAGAGAGACCCTGGCGATGGTGTGTTCATCGCAAAGCTTGTTACACTCCATCAAGGGCCGGGGGGCTGTCGTGATGACCTAGGTGTCTGACCGGAACGGCCAATTCCAGCTGCCTACATACGAGTCTGAGACAAATGTGCATGCGTATGTGTTTGGACGTGGAATTGTCTTTTTGGTGACGATATTGAATGGCAGCAGACCCCCTAAAGACCCTCTGCGCGCCCACCGGAGCCGCAGCTCGAAACGTCAACCGCGAAATCGTCTTGAGCAAGTCAGAATGCCAGCCAGATGGCCATCCAGGTTCTCGTCTACGATGAGGGGCTCAAGCACGACCCCTGATTTCAGTCAACCTCAGAGGAGGATGAGCATTATCCCAGCTGGCAAGAGGGGTAACCCTGCTGCTGCCCATGGGGTAGAAGGGGTTGGTTGGAGGGGGGAGGGGAGGCAGGAGGAAATTCAAGGTTCATGACAATGCTAGGCCGGGTCCGCAGATAGGCAGCGTGCTACTACTGTGGCATGTGGGCAAATTTCCTGCCCGCTGCAAACTCTAATCTCAGACTCAATCAGCGGAGGATGTGCGGAACTCTGTGGGCCGCCGCGGAAGAGCATGCGTAAGTGCGTGTCTGATATCCCGTTCCGAGGGTCGGAAAGCTAATCGAATTCCGCGAGGAATGGGGAAATCTCGGAGGAGGAGAAGCTTCCCAGTGACAGCAACTGCCACCTACCAAAACTTGCTGAATGGCGGAAGGGACGAAAAAGCATCAAAGTTTTGCCCTCTGCCATTTATGACGGCATCCCCAAAGCCAGAACGGGGCGGGGGCTGAACAAGATTCCAGACATGATGGCAGATGGCAAGGGCAGGAGGATCATCCTCGCAGAGCCAGCCCGATCCGTCTCAGGGCACGGATGTTGACTGTTGACAGCTGCCCTAGGGGGCGAACGACAGCGAGCTCTCAGATGTTCGAAGCCCAAGCCGAAAGGCTGCCCCCCAGTCTGCCCCTTCCTCCCCCCACGTGGTGGTGTCCTCTTCTGCCCGTCGGGTTGAGCGGTCTGAAGAATGATTTGTTTTGGATTAAAAGCGCGCAGGGCGAAGCTGAGAAGGGGGGGGGTGGTGCGGTTGGAGGCGGGGCGGTACTGTCCTCGGCTCTCCGTCGCCTCTGCACATACGTGTTTCACGCCCGTCACTGGGTTCCTATGTGAGGGCCTGACAAACCCGGGGTTACATTGCGTCAACACGTGCAGCCCACGTACATAATGTAATCGCGGTCTATACTATTGTACCTGGCGCCCGCTATACTCCATCGGGCGCAACACATGCGTCGGCTTTGGTGTGGCAGGTCGCCAATGTGGTTGGCTGGTCGGTGGAGACTTTTTTGGCTTGTGCTGAGGAAAAGCCGACGTCTGGCTGACTCTGGCGACTCGACTCGGCTGCCACCTATCTATCTGCCAGCTCATCAGGTGTCGAGCTTACCTGGCCCTCAGCCGCGACTTGTCTTCTCTTGAGAGTTTCTGGTGTAGTCAGAGTGTGCCTGTCGACGTGGTAACAGAGTTGGGCAGCGAAACCGCGGCGCCTGTCCACAGCCCAGCGTGACATGGCAATTGCAGAGCGCATATGGGTGTGGGCGTCTCGGTTTTGTCCTCAGACCCGGGGTCGTCCGAGGTGCGCCTCCTTACCCGCCCATAGCGACGGCAGATTACACGTGCGACGGTGACTACGTGCCTGAAAATCTGGAGCCATAGCTACATAACAATGTGTGCAACGCATAGTACACATCGAAACCTGCTGGAATGGGGCGTCACGCGACATGGATCGAAGAAATAAGGTTTGCACACCGGGTCCACATTTGGGGTTCGATAGTTCCTTCAGCGCGCTACTGTGGTGCGGTACGAGGGCATTGGGGTCAGAAGGATCTGGAAATTCGGTTGACGGGAGGAGCTCGCTTTGCTTTTTCTCAGTCGGCCGGGTCGAGCCAGTCAGGAACTGCCTTGGACGTCAATGCAACCCTCCACACACCCCAGGCCACCCCCTACTGTACTGTACACCCCATCCCGTCGAGTAGGTGGCACAATATCCCGCACATGTACCGCAGATGAGCGCCCCTCCGCGAATTCATTTGCTGCTGCTGCTCGCGGGAAGGGCGTTGCACGGCAGAGAGGTTTATCATGGCGCTGCAATCTCTCCTCACAGGAATGCCAGCCACCGGCTGTGTCATGTAAGTGTTGGCACACACACACCAGCACACTTCGGCAGTGCTGATGGTGGTGGCTAGCAACGACTGACCAGCAAGGAGTGGCACCTCATTTTGTTCGGAGGGAGGGCTATGGCCAGCGCATGTCGGTTATCATAGGGCGAGAAATGAGAAGTGAGAACTTTTTTACTGTTTGAAGTGATTCATATTGCTATTCGTGTGGTATCTAAAAGAGAAACCGTCCTGGACAAGCGCCGGCCATACGAACACCGAGAAAGATTCCCAAAGTCAGTCCCATGTCATCTGCTCAGCCCCCCCCCCCTTTCCCAAGCAGAACACCAATCGCTAGATGCTCGCAATGCAATAATGACACAAGAAAAACGGTGAAAGAAAACAAGAAACAGATTAAGGCTATGAGAGACCAGAAAAAACAATGATCCAAGAAAAAGAAGATGGCGTCTCGGTGCAGACTCTTCCTCTCCTGGCAACTTTTTTTATCCTTTTTATGTAACACACCCCCCCTTTCTGCGCCGTGAAATGATTCCCGCCGAGGCCGCAGAACGGGCCCACTCGAGAAGAAAAAAAAAAGATTGCTCGAACGAGTGCGAGTGCAAGTGCAAATGGAATAGTGTGTGCTACTGCAAGACACAGCATCCACACCTACTCTGGCAAAACCCACCAAACGGGTTCCTGAACGTGGCTGCAGCCACGCCAAGCAGGGAACAAGTGGCTGCGAGGCTCAAAGGCAGCCCCCCTTGTCTGTTTGCTGCCGTGCTATGCCACACCATTTTCGAGGCGATCCCCGTAGTGGTGGCTTGACGCTGTGAGGGGGCCCAGTCGGTATGGGGCACCAAGGCAGTTTGTGGGTTGCCTCCAGTGCAAGCCAGAAAAAAAGGTGGTGGTGGTGGTGGTGGTGGTGAACCCGGGGAAACCCGCCCAGTTCAGATACCGAATTTCCGTCCTTTCGCTGAATTCGTTTCATCGTGGCCGCTTCTCGAGGCCCTGTGGCGGTGGTGGTCGCGGTCGCGGTCGCTCGACTATCTCTGGCTTGTCTCTTGTCGGGCTGATCTCGGCAGTTCCTACCCATGTCGACTCGCGCATGTGGGTATCCGTGATGTGCCTCGTCCTCCTTCCTTCTGTCGTGGTCCAGACCCACTCATTACGCCCCCGTGACCAGCCGTGAGCAGAAGTAGCTCGGACGCGGTCCCGGGGCGGCGGCGGTCTCCGTGGGCCGGTTGCAAGCTCGTTGCTTCTCGACGGGGATGGCGTTTGCTGCGTGCGTGACAAGGTCGCGGTGGTTCTCGGCACTGGGTTCATCGTTTCGTAAATACATTGCTGTAAACGCTGTGGGCCTTCATCATAGGCAGTGGGCGGGCTGGTTCCGGCGGTTGATCATGAATTCCCATGGCGTGTAGGTGGGCGGCTTGCAATGGGAGCACACCTCCCACGACCGGTACTCGTAATGCGTGAACTGTGGCGGGCAGCGGCGGTGGGTCCGGGTGTATGTGGGACACCAGACGGCCGCCTGGCCATGCCAGTGACCACAGGAATACTCGATCTAGACGTCTGTCAGTCTATGGACATTGCGTGTGGTGGAAGCTACCTAGGATCAGTCTTACTTTGTTGTATTCACACATGTCGATGAGAGGTCGACAGAGAACGAGTGGCGAATTACGGATTTGGCAAGTGAGCCTGATGTATATATGCAAGAGCAAGACTCAGTAGTGGAGCGAGCCTTGCTCCTGCGTAACAAGGGCAGCGATATATCAGTCGAGATGTCAGGTGCTGTGAGAGCAGTCGAGGCAGACGAGCACGATGCCAAGCGTGTGGAGTGGCGATCGCTGCGAGGTGGTTCTTATATAGTCAGGATAGTGAGGCAGGCTATGGTTCGAAACAAGCAATCCGAGGATCAGGAGGGAGTGAGGTTGTATTTAAACTTCAAGCACCAAAGAGGGTCGGGAAACGCGTTTTCGATGGGTCCTTGTTGAGGTGTGAGGATGCGGGATGGGGGCTACGGAGAGCAAGGAGGGGAACGGGATAGACTTCATGCAGCATTTTGCACCTCGAAAAGGTATTTATATTGGAACAAGGGAGAAACCCATGAACCTTGTTGTTGTGTCCAATCGTCATTCTTGCGAGAAGACATCGAGGAGTGGTTCGCTAGGACAGGGCGGTACAAGTTGTGCAGGGGCGGGCCTGACGTTCAGGGCTGCCAGGGTGCGTTTTCCTGCGGGCCAGGACAGGGATGGGTCAGAACGGAGATAAAAAGTTGGGACAGGGGGACTCTGGCAGGTGGGAGTGTGGTGGGATGGCGCTCCACACCATCTCTGCTGGGCCGTTGTGCTGTTGGCGGGATGTGGAAACGGTGAGGGAGTGTGAGGGCGGGTGTGTGTGACTGTGAGGGTGTGAGAGGGTACATAGTACATCCCACCTTCCCACCTGGCGATCGGATGTGACAAAGTGCAATATCGGAGAGCGGTGTTCGGGTGAGTTGCCGGTCGTGACTTGGGCATGTCTCTAGCTGAGAAGGGCGAGTCTGGCTGCCTGGGCAGCCTGGCTGTCTGGCTTTCTGGCTTTCTGAATGCCAATAGCCCCCCCACGACGATCAGTGCCACCATGGATTCGAAGGGGATCAGGCCGCAAGTGGCAGAGGAGATTTCCAGAGCAAATTTGCCCCTTCCAGGTTCCCTTCCAGGATTCAGAGGACGGAGAGGCCAGCAAGGGGATATTCTCAACTCTTGTCGCATCTTGTGGACAGAAAGACTCATTTCATTACCACTGTATGATCCCGCACAATCCGGCCGCCGCGTCTGTTTTGCATCGAAGCCTATTCCAAGGTGCAATTCGACCAGACGGAAATAAGCACGACGCAGAGTGCTGCGTTAGTGGGCAGCTGGGAAGCCGGCGTGTCCTGCATGTGGCTATGGCATCTGCTAGCGGGCACCTATCACTGTTCGTCGTGGGGAACCCGGCCTCTCATAGGGCCAGGCGAATACGGGTGGGTGGTGAGTGCCCCATTCCAGACTGATATTTGTCTCGTCAGCTTCGGGTAGTGAAAAGAAGGTGTTCACTGTGTGTATCTATCTCCCTTTTTGTCTTTTGTCTCTGCCTTCGAATTGCCCGCGGCAAGCTGAAAGGCTTATTCAGTCTCACTTTCGAGCTTCGCTGGCATTGACTTCCAGCGAGAGTCATTTGACCCCGGGGATACAGTGGTAATAACGTTGCAAAAGTCTGTTGATGTTTGCCGCCCAGCGGCGAGAGGACCAGGGCGCAATCTGTGCTGTTGCCACGCCAAGAACTCGGTGAAACGCAGTAGCTTTTGTGTCGGACCGTGGAAAAATCAGGCCGCATACAGGAGGCTCGCACGTGAACAAGAGTTCAAGTTCTGTCCCTCTATGCGCCCGTGCTTTGCTTTCCAGGCACTGTGGTATCTACATGTAATGAGACCCTGAATTGGGAAGCCGCTGACGAATGGTTTGCCCTGGCGTTTGCTCCGTTTTTCTGCCAACCTCGGCTGGAGGCCAGATGTCTCAGATCTGAGCCCGGGATGTAGATCAGTCGGTCAGTCGTCGCCTAGGACAGTGCTTCGAACGGTCCTGAGCCGCGTCTGCTGTGAAATGCCGCTGGCTATTACTGCGGTTGAGGCGACAAACCCGCAATGATGGCGTTGATTTCAGCCGCCACTGCGACCACTGAGAGGGCGCGCGCCAGTGCAGATCTGTTCTGCCAGGCATTGGTTCCGCACAAGAGGACCGGATGATGTATTGCCCCCCTGAGCTAGAGTGACAGCCAGTTTTGTGGACTTGGCACACACCACGACGGCCAGGAGATCCGGCCTAGACCCGACACCGACCAGACGAAACATCGACAGGGACCTGGTCAGACACGTGGTGGCCCTCGCAAAATGTACTGCAGCCTTTACGAGGACCCTTGGCGCCACGCAGTCATCCGTCCGAAGCCTGCCAAAGATAGCGCTAGAGCCGGGTCTTTGCCTGGACTGCGTGATTCCCCTCAAACGGGAGGGCAGCCGGACACATTGCAGATATCGTGCTGAGTAGAATTTGCCCGTCGCCTGGGAACATGGTACTTGTTCACCCCATATGAGCTCCACATGTTGATTTGACTTTGCCGGTGCCATTTTGATGGTGTGCATGAGGACGAGTCGCGACACTCAGGTCCCAAGTACACGGCGTCCTGAGTCCTGACTAGATACACTAGGTGGGTCCTACTGAGTTGGTCGGTGAGTCTGATTGCCTTCGTGCGAATCCCTCCGTTCCTCCGTCCCAGTAACCACATGATGATATCCACACCGGTGAAGACAACGCGGCGATCACGTCTTGGTCTAGACCCTCGAGCGCGGGGGAAGGCATCAACACCAATGGGCTTTTTACGGTCGAAAGAAAAACATGCTCGCATGTAAGACAAGGATGCTAATCAAACCTCGAGTCAGCCTGATACCATCGTCTAGTACCATGCCGGTCTCGTCGACCTCACCGAAGAGGCCATGCCGCTAGCTCACCGTACTTGGCTGGCAAAAGTCGCTATTCCAAGAACAGGAAGGGAAGGGCCTAGAGTCAGCAGCGCGTTGAGAAACAGTTTGGCAAAGTACCGCACGTCGGGCTTCTAAATTATTCACGACTCGTCACCCTCCCCACGGAGACGAACACGTCGTCGAGGTTATTTGCAATTTTGCAATTTTTTTTCAACAGCTTCCTCATTCGGGGTCCGGCAGGTACTCTTGGAGAACCGTGCCACGAGTTGAGAAAGCCAATTGATGCATCGGGTGTATGAGTCGAGGCTTCTGGAAGCTGAGTCTAGGAGGGTGGAGGAGCCAAGTCCCGCAACCAAGCATCCGGGCACAGGCCTATCCCTGGCGACGCAGCGCGACACCATGCGGCAGGCCATGGGCGATTTCACGCTCTCACGAGATTTACAGTGCAACCGAGCCAATTGTTAAAACTTTGCGATGCCAGTCCCGCGGTAGCGAGCGGTTTGCAACGCCCAATGTGGATTTGACAGCGGCTTTCGCCGCCTCATCCCTGAGCTCCTTCTCACGCGTCGGGCACTCCTTTGCCACTGAGCAGGCCGTCTTCCTGCCCCCGTACTGTGGCGCGGTGTTCGAGCTGGGTCATGTTAGCGAAGCGCTGAAAAGTGCCAGTCGACTCCAGTCGATCCGCCAGAAAAGGGCTGAAGCTGCAGCCCAATGTCCGGGCTGGCGACTGGGCTCTTCTTAGGGCTTCGAGAATCGCAAAGGGGCACAGGGCACGGTTGATCGCGCCTCCACTCCTGACGACGCTCGCATTCGTCACCAAGGTGATCAAACAGGCTGTGAAATTTAACCGAGGAAAACTTTTTCAAGGCGGCCTGTTCCTCTATGGGAGTTCTTACAAACAATAATCTATCTCCGGCGGTCGGCAATCTGCGAGGCAGTGGGACCGGCCTGACCAGACGGGTCCCCATCACGGAGCCGGATGAAGGACGGCGCCGAAGTATTTGGAATTCCAGCCAGCAAGCAAGCGGTGAGCTCGTACCGAAGGCAGTCTTTAGTGTCTTAGCAATATTTACCAGGGCAGAATGTTTGGCGAGTCGGCCTTCCGGCGGTCGGAACGCCATGTGGTCCGGTCTGATGGTGAACACGCAGTAATGGTGCTGGTGCTGAAGACTGGGATAATCAATTCACGACTGCTGATTTGTGGTCGGACTGACCGTTGGCTCCAAGATCTTTCCACATTCTGACCGCCTGGAGATAAGTGAGCTATCTCCCAGGTAGGCAGAATTATACTTCGGACCCTCCGGCGCCTTCGTACCCTCGTGCCTCCTGGTCCGACGAGCCGCCGAGCCTTGACTTAATATCGCCTATGTGGCTACGGCAAAGAGCCCGACTCCCGGAATCGCCTATGACTCCAGGTAACGCCTTTCCACAGCAATTTTTCCCCTCAACTGATGGACCCTCCCAGCACGAACCGGGAGCGAAGAAGTTCAGGGTGAAACTGCTAAGAAGTCAAAGTCCCGAGCGCCGCGACCCCGCCCCCGGCCCTCCTCCGGTTCTGCATATAGATCGTTCCTGTGGGGAGTCGTGCAGCATTCCTTTACTCGTCTGAGTCCCCATCGAAACAGAAGGCCAAAGCTTGTCGGGACTGTGGCTGCGACAGGTCACAAGTCCGCAGAACAAGACTGCAGAAAATCACGAGATCAAGGGATCGAGCTTGTAATATGCCGGTGTCTGCTGCCAAATTTGACGAGCCGCAGAATCGGGATGATGCAAACGCCGGGAAACGCCCGTTCAGGACGCGTCCTTCCTCTTTGCGCAGGCCAATAAACCTGTCAAAAGGCGGGCCGAGCCAAACGTGAGCATGAGATCCCCCAGTTGATCATCTGCTCGAGCAGGACTTCGAAAAACCATTCCATTCTTGGACGCCCAGGCCCACTCCCTAGGCTTGCCTAGCGGTGTCTTGCAGGTGTCATGATTCACTTCGGTGGATCTAGATCCACACAACGCCCCATTGTACCCTTCTATTTCATCCCTACAGGGATCGATTTCTGCACCTAGGTGGAGAGGGTCCCTCTTCGGCTGTCAGCATCACGATATGACCCGTCTGGGCGACGGTCATCAGTCAAGCCTCCCGAAGGGGAGAGGCTCACGGCGAGGACTGCTTTGGTCGAGTTTCATCTCTCTCCGGGCATTTTCTTAATACGACGGCTCGGACGAATCTGTGCGGATGTGGCATTTCTGCGACTCTCGCATGGAGCACGTTCGCCGTTCCAGCTCATCAAACATGACACTGAGGATCAATCTTCCCCAGCGTGTCCGTGGGTTCTTTACCGTTACAGTGGCTGGGCCTGGACATCCACAATGTAGAGTAGAGGCTATGAGGCTCGTGCTGAGGCGACAGATCACCTGAGCCTCAGCCCTACGAAGCGAAGTCAAAATGAGGGAGGTGGATCTCTCGCGCTTACATGTGCTGGCCGAGTCTCTCGGGGCCATAAATGAAGTCGTACCGCAGAATCGTAGTTGTGACCTGTCATGGGCTTACAGTAGAAGCTTGCTCGTGGTGGCTTGCCACCAAATATACAGATGCTTGTAGAATATATGGCATAAGGTCGTATTGTGGCAGGCCAGACTGACCCATATGCACGGATACAGCCTCCCGGCAGGACCCAGAGGCTAGGCTCTGATCTAAGAAGACTTGCAGAGATAGAGACCGTGATACTTTGCAATGAAGGATTTAGTCAAAGCTGCCGAGGCCGAGTCCTTGAAACTTGGAACAAAGTCCGCAAAAGCTCATCGTTGCGGAAGTCTTCGAGATAGTAAAACCCGGCATTCCTTATTCAACATTAGATGTTGATCGGCCAAGGCGCAGGCTTGATCAAACGGTTGAGCCGTGCCCAAATCAGGGAACAGCCGAAACTTTTTATTTAGGCATTTAATTGGGAGAGTAAAAGTGCTGTGCGTTAAAAATTTCTATCAATATCTCATCGCAAACAACTGCCGAAGACTATACCAGTTCATGTACGCGCAATTCCCATGTTGTCACGATGTAATCTTGCCAAAAAGCTTAACATCAGATCAGCATATACTGCCAGAAACCCTTGACAGAGCAGCATTGTGATTCGCACGCTTCAGCATGCGTCAATGCCGGGTGCAACCTCCACCGAGTCCGGCGGCGCGTGGTGATCTCCCCGGGCTGATGGTGGGATGCCGGCAATTTGGCCCGCAGGTGTAACCCGTGTCATCTGATCCTCGGGCCCGGGCGGTTCATTCAGCCCGCAGTAGTGGGCGAGGAGATCGGTACGGAACGAGTTCTAGCGTGTGGGGGTAAAGCAGCGCGATGGGCCTCTGCGCATGTGGCTCTCGTGGGCGGCGGCCCCTTTCTTCGCGAAGGTGGTTCACGGGCGGCACGCCGATTTATGTGCGTGTTCTGGTTCCGCTGACACGCTGCAGGCGATGAGTTTCATCCCAGATACCACGTGTGGGCTAATGCAAGGTCAAGCTCGGGCCTGCCGCATTTGGTTTGCCTTGCCTCTATCGTTACATCGCCGTCGACTGGTGGCCACGAGATGGAGGCTTGGCAGCGCCCCGGGTGGCCCTTCCGGCATGACGTTGGCATGCACAGTACGATCTCCTCAGTGCGATCTTCTGATGTACGGATGGGGCGGCAGATGGATGGGGTGCAGCCCGTTCCCCGACATTGCTTTGCGCAAGCACCTAGGCTACATGAATAAGGCTGTTGCTGCGAATATCCCTGCAGCCGTCGAACTTCTTGCTGCCCAGTAGGCACCTAAGGGGGGACTCGATGGCTTTAAATACGAGTCAATGGGGGTCAAAATTCTGCATTGCTCTACACGTACAAGATTGCTGTCGGGAAATAACGTTATGTTCTGCTGCTGATCTTCACTCATGGAAAACAAGCATGTGCGGTCTGAGTGATGCAGTTCGGAGACCGAGGACAATCGCGGTTCGTGACTCTTAACTATGTGTTCGCTATAATTGCTGCAGTGGAGTGACCGTGATGCGGGTAATTGGTTCTGGTGACTTCACAAGGACAAATTTAGAACCTGATTAAAGAATGCGTTGATACGTATAGGGACTTGCTGCCTTTTCGGTTCGAAACGCTCAATGTATCAGTGACCTCCATCGACCTTCGAGTGGATACGGTGCAAATTGACAACTTCTTCGTGAAGTTTTATTAAACTAATCTCTATGATAGTCTCGAGTATGAGATTGCTGGTGCTCACGTCCATAATTCAAGTACAAATGAAGCCTCTATCAAATCTGTTCACGGTAGTTCCCTCCTTCATTGTCGTAGCTCAACCACAATGCCTTGGTACATTCCGGAGCCGGTTGAGTATTCCTTCATGTCAGCTTTGACCGCTGCAATTTCAATTGCAGAGTCGTTCCAGGAGCCAATACTCCATCTTGACCATGATCATTTGCTGAAACACTCGACCGCCATTTCTGATGAATTTCAAAGATTACTTCGGTCGTACCAGACAAAAGCTGAAACATTGGAAATAACCCCGATGGTCCTGAGCAAGGACCACGTGGGATTGATCACTCCGCGGTTCCCGAGTGAAGCTTGGTACACTGCAACTCTATCAGGATCGTGTCACATCGCGATGTGAATCGCCCGAGTGACTTGCCTCGCAGATCCATCGCAAATTGGATCCGTAATAGTCCTAGTTTTCGTCATCTAGAACACTTAGCAAGGCTGGATCTCTGGCACAATGTAGGGTCACATCCTACATTAGATATCTATGATAAACCTCAACATGTTTAAAATTAGCAACTGCCAAAATTTTAAGTCTAGCTTTGGTGAAAACAAGAAGTTTTGAAACACATCGTGAGAACGAACGAATTCTCAATCCCCTGCATTGAGCATGGCTTGGTGGGTTCAAAGAGTCTGATGCACTGTGCACAGAGTATCAAGTACATCTGAGATTACATAATAGCAGAGTCTTTGTGGTTTCGATACTGACTTTCGCTGAGATAGATTCCATAAAAGAGGTAGACTAAAAGCGACTGATAGCTGATGAGTGCTCTTCGAGTTGACCTGCTCACCCGGGAAACGGGAGATTGGTGGCAAACGGATAACCACATACTGACATGCAACATCGAAACGCTGCACAGCCGCTACATACCTCACAATTATATACTATCACGCAAACTACATTTAAAGCTGACCTAGGGACTTGCACCTGTAAAGTCTTCAATGTGTCGTCCACATAATTTGATCGAGACTTGCACTACAATAAGCGCTAAGTCTTCAGTGAATGAAGTCCTTGTTCAACTAACAATGCCTCGTCAGGTGCATCAAAATACTGCATCATCACCGCGAACGAAGTAAAATTACATGTAATGAAGGGGAAGCATCTGTTCTGCGTAGACTTCAATACGAGGAGTGACAATATATGCTAGCGCGATGCCAAATCCCCTAAAGCGCGAAGTTGAAGACATCTGCCAACGTCTGTGATGTTCCGTCGCCACGCTCCATCGTGGTCTCTTCTGCCCCAAGGATGACTGAGATAAACCGCGCCCACTCCCCCGATCGGTTTTCCCAACTGCCGGGTCCGTTAGATACTTCCCAACAAGATGGCAGAAGGAGGTTGCAACCTACGCATGCATTGTGCCACGTTGCACGACCACATCACCAGGCTGACAGACCGTCTCCTGCAGCTTTCCTGCCCCTTCCATTGTGTCTGGGTCATAAGCTTCCGCCGGTGTGATCAGCACCATGGATCCGGTCAGGAAAACGTTGTAATCAGTCGTGCTGGTCCGATGCTACATATGGCGCCCGCAGTCAGCAAGTAGCGCTACCCGGGCCCGCTGCACGGAGGACCCCACTCACCATGGCAGCTCTGGAACCGGGCGGGATTTCGTTGAATCTGATATTCGCGCCGTATGGTAAGCGGAGTCCGCCACCTGGAATATCTTTTGCAGTGATGTCAGTGCCAGCGTTGGATGTTGGCACGCGGTCGTGGGTGAAGACGCTTCGTTTGAACCATTGCCCGCCGACCTCTGAAACGAGAGGGACCTCCTCGGTGACGACTTGAACCGCCGGTTCTGACTTGTCAAGCTTACTGAGACTCTCTGGGACCGGAAGGTTGGACGTCACAATGCGACGGGGTGCAGGTAAGGAGCTCATGGCTTTGGTCTGAGGCCATCAACTGGCTTTCTATTCACATGGGAAACTCAAGCATGAGGGACTTCTAGCTACAGAGAAGAGTCGTGCTTATTTATATATTCTCTAGATCATGACAAAGTACTTTTAGCTGTAGTCTACCATCTTGATGAGGCCGACGGCAGCTCGTACAGACCAACCAATCGAGGCCAGGCTTGGCCCCGAGTCCGGTAGCAGATTGACAAGAATAGACACAATTGCTGACCAAGTGCACAAGCTCAGTGCTGTCCAACGCACTATGATGATCGGTGAGTTCTCTCGGACTTCATTCTCCTTGTCCATCTCGCTCAACGTCTCTCCTGCTGGTCGAAGCATGTGTTCCGGCCCAATTACGATGACTCTTTGAGCGTCCTGCACATGCTTGTAGAGGGGTATTTCCAGCCTTTGCTGCTTACGCGTCAGATAAACACCAATAGCCGGGGGCAGGTTAACTGCCTTATCAACAATATTTGACTCCGGGCCGACAATGAAGCCCACTTTATCTTTAAATAGCTTCCGCTGATTCATGTGGACTACGTGCAAGACAACCCAGGTTATGTGAAACAACTTCATCAAGACAATCGATAGCAGACTGTCTATCCATTCTGTGACCATGTTCTTTAGGAGGTGAATCAGCTGGATCGGCGAGACCTGCGCCAATATTTATCTTCAGCAGCTATTATTTCCACTTTAATTCAAGTCTTTCCTAAGCAAGCCCATACCGCTACTCGAGTAGTACTCCCTGTACGTAGGCATGGAGAATATTACTTGTCATCTTCTGACTATAGGCTCTCGGCCACAGGCCCGGGACGTTGCTGCATCAGGCACTGCAAATATTCTATCAAGAAAAGGTCCTCCCCGTTGGAGCATGTGTAACGCTTCCAAAGGAGCTGACGAGGAGCTGGCGAACGTGGATGGCGCTTCTTAAAGCCTCAACTCTGAACTCTTGCGTCGTGCGAAGAATCGTCATCTAGCTTGAATCCATTACTTTCACAGGCATGATTGTCTTGAACATTGAGGTTCTCGGATTGTGATGCGGTCGTCTCCGGCGTTCAAGATGCCACGCTTAAGGAGCTCGAAAAGTTTTCCATGGCCTCCTACACAATGAGCTCCTGCTGCTCAGTAAGCTGCTCATATGCGGCGCGCACAGAAGTATACAGGCAATATGCATAGGCCTCGACCATGAATTACCGTCGCACAAACTCGCTTCAGGGCCCATTCATGATGGTCCTAGCCATGAAGTCCAACAGGCACGCCCAGACCGGTTCAGACCGGAGACGGAGGAAATCCTCAACGTCCTCCACCGCCAAACCAGAAGTCAACAATGGGGCAACTTGTCTTCCAGGACAACGTCGGAGAGCATGCATCAGTCGAACTACTTCTAACCTTACCGCAGATCCCGTAGCCCCTGAGAGCAAAAAAAAATATTTTTAGATAAATGGTATTTATTTACGAGGCAACGGACGGGAAAATGGTCAATTCCTTTGATGTCGTGCAATTTATAGGTACGTGATGTTTTGTTTTGTGCATAAGGGCTTCGAATGGCATATACATCCACACTGAAGCCCAATTTCACCAACAAAATACATACCACTTACCAGACTCATGATGGCAACAATCTGTCAACATGTGTTTTGTTCCATGAGGATTCCTTGACGCATAGAGCCAGCGATCGAGTGCTTTAAGTACCTACTTAGCTGGATGATCCGCGGCGGACTAGTTCCACCTCTCCCTTGCGAGGCCTTCCTAGCAATGAAATCCATGCGCCTCGGTCGCTTCGGAATGGACTCGATCGCCACGAGAGAATAATGCGTGCCTTGGAGAGCGGTATTTCATGACTCGTCCGAGATCCCGAGAGCTTTCGGGTAGTTCACGATGTCGTCATACTTGAGAGATGGATATTCGTACTAGCAATCTAAGCGTAATGGAGTCCTCTTTTCATATCCTGTAGCGTCCTTTGTTTCAAAGATTGCAAGTATGTCTCCACGGCAAGATCCGCATTAGGTTTGTAATCGTAGAAAATTATATCATAGGAACACGCATGCCAAGGAAGCTCACTGTCCTGACGTCCACAGTGATAGCACGCGCTAAGGATACAAAGCGGCACCTTAGTTGAAAGTAGTAAAACATACCCTAGGGTAGATTTGTAGATATTGATCCCTCGTCGCTTTTTCTTTTTGCTAACCAAAGCATTGTCACTACATTGAAATAAACATACTTGTACTATTTATTGTAACGCAGACGACTGTGAAAATGGTCAAAACACAGCAATGGCTCCTCAACGCCCACCCAGATGGGCTTCCCACCTACCACGGCTCAAACTCGACCTTTAAAATGATAGAAAAGGATCTACCGTCGGTAGGGAGTGACCAAGTCCTAGTCAAGGCCAAATATTACTCCAATGACCCAGCCCAGCGCGGATGGATCGACCATTACCCAGATGAGAGCCGCTTGTACGTCCCACCTGTTCACACAGGCGACGTCATGCGAGCTTTCGGCCTGGCTGAGGTTGTCGAGTCCAAATCCGACAAGTTCAAGAAGGGCGACCTGATCCGCACCCTGCTCAATTGGACGGAATACAGCGTGCTGGATGCGAAAAATGTCCAGCTCTGCGACCCACTGCCCAAGAATGTGTCTCCTACTCAGTACTTGGGCGCCCTGGGCTTGACTGGTTTGACGGCGTACATGGGCCTGCTCGAGGTGAGCCAGGCAACCAAGGACGATATTGTGGTTGTTTCCGGTGCTGCTGGCGCGACCGGTTCCATGGTCGTGCAGATTGCCAAGACGATCGTGGGATGCAAGAAAGTCATCGGCATCGCGGGCGGACAGCAAAAGTGCGACTGGGTGAAGAAGCTGGGAGCAGACGAGTGCATCGACTACAAGGCCTCGGACTTCAAGCAGCGGCTATCCAAGGCGACTACCGAGTACGCAAACGTGTACTTTGACAATGTCGGCGGCGATATCCTCGACTTCATGCTCACTCGAATGGCGCGGGACGGAAGGATCGCTGCGTGCGGTGCTATCTCGCAATACAACGCCAAGGAGAATGATGACGGAGACAAATTAAAGAATTGGTTTCAAGTCATTAGTATGCGATTACGCATTCGTGGCTTCATCGTCAATGATTTCCCCTGGAGGGTCGAAGAGGCGCAGAAGACTCTTCATAAGGCTCTTGAGGACGGGAAACTGGACATCACCGAGGGCGAACACGTTGTTGAGACCAGGTTTGAGGATGTGCCGGCGACTTGGCTTAAATTATTTGAGGGTGCAAACACTGGCAAGTTGGTAACCAAGCTGGTCGGAACAGCTGAGCGCCTTTGATGAGCGCTGCAGTGGGCAACACGTGTATAATTCCCATTGTTGAATCGAGTGATTACAGTGTCATCATCAGAATAAACATAAGTGGCTATTAAGCATCACCCATTCAGGTCTTGCATCACAGCAGCCAACAAGCGTAGGATAATACTTCTCTCGAGTTGAGGCCCGCACTTCGAGAGGCTGGCTCTAAATACGCTGATGCACAGGAGCACGTTCGAAAACCCCCACAAAGTCTACAAAGCGATAGTAACAAGTATATATGTCTGAATTAGCATCATGACAACTGCGAGGAATTGAATTTCTTCGAACTGCAGCAGAGCTTCCGAGTATCGTGGTGGAGCTCTCATTTGTATTTGCAGGTCTTCCGGGTTGCTTGATGACTAATCCCCTTCACCTCAAATTTTCGCTTCCCAGACCAGCCAAGCTCTAGCAGAACGACGTCAACTGAAATTATCATTGATTCTCACATGAATCCACTCCACGAATTCATTAGTCCGCCTTGGTAGCCTTCTCCCAAAACAAGTTGCTTGCCTACTGCCATCCATCTTCATTTTTCAATATTCTCTTCCATTCCCTATCCTCTCGTCATCTTACACTTCCCCGTCCAGTCCCTCGCAAGCTTCTTGGAGCCACCTGCTCCTACTTTAAATAATCTTCAAAGCACGATATTTGAGTAACTCGATCATTAGAAGGAGAGATAATTCTGACACAGAATGATGAATGAACCTGACCAGGAACGCTTCAATGCGCTTCTTGAGTGGGGCAAAGCGCACGGAGGCACTCTTCATCCGGCCCTAGAGGTGTACAAAGACAATGTGACGGGCTTCTCGATGCGAGTCAAGGTGTCATTTACCAACACGACCAACCAGTCTATCAACCCTGGGGAAGAGATCCTAACGTGCCCCTTGGAAACAAGTCTGTCGTTCCTGAACGCAACGACGGGTGGCCCCGTCCTATCCCAGCCGTCCGAGCATGCGGAGCCGTGCCCGGTGTTTCCACATCGGTTCATGGCACTCCAGCCGCACGTGATTGGGCACTTCTTCCTCATGAAGCAGTACCTGATGGGCAAAGATTCATTCTGGCACCCGTACATCGCCACTCTTCCCCAACCAGACTCCCCTTCGTCTTGGAGCCTACCCGCCTTCTGGCCCGAAGATGACTTCGAATTCTTGGAGGGAACGAATGCTGGGGTGGCGGCTGAAGAGATCCAGACCAATACGAAAAGGGATTTCAAGGAGGCACGAAAGATTCTGAAGGACGAAGCATTTGAGAATTGGCAAGACTACACGCGACACCTCTTCAACTGGGCCTTCTCGATATTCGCATCCCGCAGCTTTCGCCCGTCCCTCGTCACTCCTCGTCTTGTTCAGGAACGTGAACTGCCCAGGAATGTCGACATCGACGAATTCTCTATGCTTCTTCCAGTGTATGACATCATAAACCATGACACAAAGGCCAATGTACAATGGGTGGTGGACCACCAGAGTCGTGCCTCTGAGGCCTGTCGCTTCATCACCTTGGACTCCTACAAATCTGGCGAGCAGGTTTTCAACAACTACGGGAAGAAGACCAACAGCGAGTTGTTGCTGTCTTACGGCTTCATGTTGCCGGAGACCGAGGAGTTGCACAACGATTATGTGCACCTACGGAAAAAGGAGAGTGCGCCAGCCGCGGGCGAGCAATCCGCCCCCCTACAACGCACAGAAATGGCACAATCGGAGGAGTCTGATGGCTTTTGGCCACAGAAGTCAAAGAGAAAAAGGCCGCAAGACTTCCTCGTGTCGCCGCGACCGATGAACCACCCGAGCTCTTTCGTCGGGCAGAACCGAAACTGGGTCGCAAAGGAGGCTGGTTTCGACGTCCGTCCTGAATTCTCTCACGTCGAGGACAACCTCGTATGGGATCTGTGTCTGTCCATTGTCGGTAGTGAAGCAAAAGAAGCCTTCATCGACAAGGTCCTCGGCACGACCGGAGAGGCGCAGCTGCCAACGTCAAATGATCAACGCAAGCGTGAGGAAGCTGCACTACGGAATATTCTATCTGGGCCTTCAACTTTGCCCAGAGAAGTCGAGACGGTCCTAATCAACGTCAAGGAGCTCTTGCTGGCGAAGTTGGGCATGGAGTATGACAAATTCTGCGAGGCGGATCCTGGGATGGGAGTGGACGAGGATGGCAATGAGGTAGTAGTTGAGGTCGAGCCGCAGACGCGCAACCAGGAAATTGCTCTGCAGTATCGGAAGCAGGTGAAGAAGGTCTTGGAGAATGCCATCGGCGCGCTCGTCCCCAACTGGAAGGAGGAGGTTATGGTTGAGGACTAACTGAATGGAGCGAAGACCACGACGAAGCATTAAAAAAGTAGACCATGTCTGAACCACACAAAAGCAAGTAAAGAATTCAGATTTGAAAGGGGCAATCATTCAAGCTTCGTGTCCGGTATGATAATTTTTGTAGGTATAATCGTGAAGTCACGTTCTACCTAGGTAGTCTCAAGTGCCATACTGATGCCAACAACCGTCCTGCAGGTCAATTACAATCTCAGGCCCTTTCATGAATGTGCATGTGTGTACTTGCAACTCCCCAACTTGGTCATTGCGGACAGTCGACTTGAAAAATCCCAGTCAGTAGTCCTGAGTGAGACGGGTCCTCGGAAAGCTCAACGCATCGGCTCCCTTCCTCAGGCGTGACCCAATCGTCGCTCTTAAGACATGCAGGCCCACTGTTGCTTGCAACAAACACCCTGCATCGCCAGGGAATAACTTTCACAGCCTTTGCTGGGCCTGTGATGGACATGCACCACTTGCCATCCTCGGGTTCCCATGGCCCAGTTTTACCGCTCTGACTCCACCCCCTGAGAATGCTGCCCGAACATCCGCTTCCATCGTAATGCCAAATGTGCTAGCTGTCGGCGCGGCTGGTGCTGTTTGGCGGTTGAATAGAGGGCGAAATCTCGACTGCGGTATCCGAATCCTCAGCTCTTACTTTCATTCCGTTGACCGTGGTGGCTGAGTTGGGAGTATGGATGACAGCGGCGCTGACGTGGAAGCCCGAGGCATAGTCCGAGAATGTGGCTGCCAGGAAGAAGGAAATGAGTGATGCGAGAATGGACTTCATCGTGGGCAGGCTCATGTGGGCCCAGCTATGGCAAGTTGTCTCGAGGCTTGGAGATCGAAAAAAAAGCGGGATGACGGGTCTTGGGAGCAATGCTTGTTTTGACAAAGAAATGAGGTGCTATTGGGGCATAAAAGATGGGAAGTGGGATGAAGATCAGATGCGAAACCAAATTCCAGATCTGCACGGGTTTTCAGATGGAACAACATTGAGAAGGCAACTTCCCCGTCAAATCCTAAGAAACACTACAGGGGAGGCGCGTTTTGTGTCTCAGCGTCCTACGTGCGTCTGTGCCGACGGCGACGGCACGGCGGCTTCCCGGTGGTAGAAGTTGGAAGCTGCGACGAACATCAATTGTTCCCTATAGATAACACGCATGATACGCTCGTGCATTTTACTCTGAATATTTGTCTAATATTGAACGCTTTTCCAACTTGGTAGGGTTCAAGCGCGTACAATGGTCCTACTTTGATGTACCCGATGGCTTACAATGGATTTTATCTGGTAGAAGAAATGAGGCAAGATAGTTGTCGTAGAGCGGTTATTCAATAGAAACGCCTTTTGGACACAGAGAAAGTGATGCAGACTGATAGTCGCATTCCTCATCTTCGGTGGAAGGAAAACGTATCGAAGGGCTAGACATCCAGGAACCAGGTTATGTTGTCAGTAGGATTGGAATATCCTAGATAATTCTACTAATTATACGGCCTCATTTGACATCAATCCGATCGGCAAGCCCGAAAGCCTATATAGTTGTACCGTGCCTCCAAGGTATATCGGAGGTTCCACTCTTGTCACTCGCCACCGTTTCTCCAGCCTATTTAAGCGGCACCCATCCGCACCCATACCATAAACATGGGAGAGATCAACGCGATACCTTGAGATACTTGAGATACTTGGAATAAGCGATGTCTCTGGGGATCTTTGATCAAACGATGGCGAAACCTAGACAAAGGATGCACTCTTGTCATTATGCAGCACCAAGAGCGAAGTAGCTCTGACAGGCAAGGAGAAACCCAAGGACAATTTTCCGTCAATAGGCATCGATAACGTCTCCCCTTGAGAAAGCGCCTCTAACTTTCCTGCTTGGATGAGCTCTTGGTACTGCTCGTCCGACGGCGCTTGCGGTGAGCCCATGGCTTGCCATCGAGCAAACGAGTTGCTGTGGTCGTTGTCGATTCGATAATGAGTCAAATTCAGTCCGCCGGTGCTGTCCAAGAAGGCGGCTGGAAGACCCTGGATGTCAATGTTGACATTGCTGTCCGGAAAATCAAGATCTTGGTCGTGGTAATTCCAGACAAAGACGCACAGAGACTCTGTGCTGCTGTTAAAGGTCGCGACGGCTCCCACGTCTGTATCGCCTCCCCTGATGCCCTCTTTGAGTATCACATCCGTCGATACTTGTCCAGAGCTATTCGTGCTGACCATATCCCCGTTCATCAGCCCCCACATCCGATGGACATTGAGGACAGGCTTGTCGATACCATGCGTGCTCAAGACTCGGAAGCCGTCGAAAAGGCCCGTCTGATTTGGTAGCAAAGCCGTCTGTTCATACTCAAAGGCCCATGTTAGAGCACCTGTCAGGTTGACCCCTCTTTGGGTTGCAAGACTCATAGCACGCATGAAAGAAGCAGCCGTGTAAGCAGGGTATAGCAGCCCATTGCGATAGCCGTATGCTTGCGAGGTGCACGCAGCACAACCATCAGGGTCGTACTCGCCCATAACGATCGGGGTCGACCTGTACTGGGGGAAAGATGCCACTACCCCGAAAGCCTCGTCAGTTTGTCGGAGTTGAGTGGATATGTTCATCTGGACGTATCCACCGTTAGGGCTGTCGGTCGAGTTGACCCACAAGGGCGCGCCTTTGGCATGGAATGAGATGAAGTCTAGTGGCGTGCCTATCTCTCCGGTGGCATAGTTTGTACCGCTGGCACAATGGGTGAGAAAGTCGCCTAGGTAAGAACCCGCGGCTCCACCTGCTACCTCGCAGCCTCCGACTCGGGCAGTTGGTACCGCACGAAGGACGGCAGCGATGGCGCGATCATGGAGCTCGTGGAACTGCTCTTTGGTGCCATTCCAGTCTACGATACTCATTAGCCGTCTCCCTGGAGTTCAATTAAAGGAGACTTACAAGCAATGTTGGGTTCGTTCCACACCTCCCAGTACCATGAGTTCACCTCATCAAGGCCATACCTCTCCACCGAATGCTGTGCCCACTGATACACCAGCTGCTCCCATTTTTCGTAATCCGTAGGCGTGTGGCTCCACCCAGTATAAATGCTGTCTGGTCCAGCAGCTGGGTCGAATTCAAAGAAGTATGGTTCCGGGTTCGACGCTAGTGCAAGTGGCATGAACCCTATCTGTAGGTATGGCTTCACATTTCCAGCAAGATATGAATCAAATATCCTGTCGATAATGGTGAAGTTATAGACAGGATTGCCGTTTGTATCCTCGGTATACGCGTCCGTGCTACCCCATTTCAGTCCAGGGACACCAACCAGGTCCTTGGAACTGTCGCCGGTCGTCAACAAATTGTGGGTTCGAAAATAGGTCTGACTCTGGCCGAGGGCCCCAAGCTCCTTGATCAGTGCTGAGCCATAGGGGTAGTACGCGAAATTCGGCTCATCGCAGCCGAAGAACTGATTGATTGATGCCCACCGGCCGAGGGTCTGAGAAACGTCCACCGATATGTTCACATTTCGAGGCGTGGCAATTTGCGCTAATAGCAGGATTTGCAAGAGCATTGCCGTCGCTGAAGATTTCATCATGTCTGTCGGGTTATACACGCGACATCTTTCAGCATCGGGACAATGCGAGGGGGGAAGAGGCCGTCAGAAGTGCTGGGGAACGCGGGGACGACTGGCAACAATGACACCAATCCTCGTCGTCATCCGAATTATCTGAATACCCGCACTGACTACACAGATTAACGAACAGATGGAACGTTAACTCCACCAAATCCGATGATTCCATTGTGATCCTTGAAATAGAGGAGAGCACCTACTCCATCACATTATATCGTGCTGGTGACACATAAGTGGTTGGCCAAAGAAGCGCGGTTGCGTACGATGACTATTTTGTCAATCCTTGTGGACGGAGGATTGATTTTATGGCCTTCCTCTTGTTTCTACATCATTAAGGGCAGCAACGCAGATTCCACATTGGTTCCAAGATACGAATTAAAATGTTTAGAAATCGAGGGGGCCCTGAGGAATCAAACCTTTAGTAGGCTGTGACCGGAGAAAATCAGTGTACGTCTTTGGAGCAGATATAGGCGTCTTCGACTTTCATCAAGCAGCAACACGTCAACACATGTGCTCATTACTATTGACGTTTATGATGTAAGCTGCACCCCCATCATCTGATAGGCCCTCCTCACGGGCCAAGCGTGCTGACTTTTCAACTCGTCAAGCACTCGCAGCAATGCCGACCGCTCCCACGGATCTTGAAAATAGTCACCGTAGAGCATGATTCCGACGGCGGCAGTGACAAGGTTCGGAGGGGATTGGAGGTGATGCATCGCCAACCCACACAGTTGGAGAATGTGAGATCTTACCTGGTGCTCAGCTTCTCGAGAAAGCCCGCGATCTGGGTTATGCCTTTCGCGGTGTTGCATTAGTTTCGTGCTCTAGTTCCTTGAATTGGATCCTTGTTGGCGTTGTGAAATGACTTACTTCAGATGTGGGTTTTCGGCTGTTAAGACCGTCTTTGCCAGGATAAAGTGCTGGGTTGCTGTTACCTCGCCGTCAGAGGTATACCAGACGAGCGGAAATACCTCACCCCTCGATTTATCCGCCTGCCGCGTTAAGACCGGGTTGAACTGGCTGCAACAATTCGTCTCCAGTGCCTTTTCCTGTGCTCTGAGCCTGTCTGATTCTTGATGTCAGCGAGTTGTGATGCAGCGGCGGCACTTGTTTCCGCATTGAAGCTCACTCACCCCATTCTTGGGTCGTTTTATCCCCATAGTTCCACTTAGCTACCTGGTATGTATGCAGAATGACCTTGTTCACCTGCGAAGCTTCCTTCTCCTGCTCATAAGGAAGGCTGATCTGTGGAGACCGCCCAAGACTAAAGGCATAGTAAATCTCCTGCCGTAACGCCAGCCAGCCCACAGCGTCCGTGAGGCCGTTGGATCCGCTTGTCGTCGTGGTACGAAGAATAGCCTTTGTTATGTCCAGGAAGTTGACGCCGTGATCAGAGCTCTGGGATGACTCTCGGGAACCCAGATGTGCAGAACCCACGGCGTCACCAGTTACAATTGGCCCAACCTTGTCTGTACCTTCCCTGCTATCTTCATTCTGGTCCATTTCCTCACACTGGCGGAGTATCACAGCTGCGGCGGCAAGGTTCTCTCGCTGTTCCTCGTCCTGAATTTGAGGAACGTCATGCAGTGCTGGAATGCATTTGAGCATGTATTCGAAAGCTGTGTGTGCCGTCAGATTTGGAAGAGGCTGCCCCAGGTACTCTACTGTTCCTCCTGGCCCTGTCCTGAACCGAGGAACTCGTACTAAGTGCCTGGCTGCGGTTGCGAAAATCGCGTTCAGTAGTGGTGCACAGTGTCGCGCTCGTTTAGGGGCAGTGATCTGAAAGTGACGCAGATTGTCGCAGTGGTCAAACTGGTTCGGTTGTGAGTACTCTAATTTTGTTGCCGCAAGTATAAAGTGAGATAGTATATGAAGTGTTCGACGTACCCAGGGAGCGATCACTTCCACGAAGTGTCGCAAGAGACAGGCTTCTTGTACATCATCAAGAGGGTAATGACTCTTCCGAATGTGCTCGGTCGTCTTCGCACCATTCCCAGTCGTGGGATGATATGGCCTAGGCTGTGAATCTTGAACAAAGTCAAGCTGATTCGAAGCTGATGCCGCAGGAGACTGAAAGACCCCCGGGGAACCCACAGATGGAAAAGTCGAATGTGATGGCGTATGATAGTCAGGGCTTGGGCCATAATGTGACACCTGCGTGGAAGACCCATCATATGGTGAGCTATAGTTGGCGACCTGACCAGAAGACCCAGGTGTGGACGCGTTGAGGAGATCTTTTCCAGCAATAAAGAACCGTTCCTCTCCAGATGGAGATCCCACAGATGGCTGTGCGTGATTTTGTGCCTGAAAACTCCTTGTGGCTCCTTGGTAGTCCTTTCCATTCGTGAGACCAGTAGTATTCACATCAGTCGGATTTGGTACTTCGGCCGGGGAATTATGAGCCCGAACATGAGACAGAGGTGTTGTGGATGTGCTGTTCCGGCCGACATGGCGAACTGTGGGATGAACTCATAGTCAGTGATGATGTTGAGGACGCTGTTGATCGAGGAGGACTTGCATGCTCGAGGTCTACTATTCACCCAAGACTGGTCGTTCGAGAAGTTGGCTTCGTAGCTGGCTGAAGACCCTCGCCGAAATGATTTCCACTTTCGCTCTGGCCAGTGGCACTCAACATCACGCTTCTCACACCTTCCGCAAATTGGCTGTTGCTCATCACCTACAAGATGTGTTGGCGTCAGACGAGCATATTCAAGTGACGGTCAATAGGATGACAGGAGGCAAGAGCACACTTACACTTCTCATGCCTTTCTACACTATATGGTCAACCAATATACGCACTGTACTGTGGAAATCTGTAGACGGGTACTTGGGCTGCCCGTTCACAACCGGCCGTTCAGTAGGGAAGGTACGTACCTTTACATCTCAAGCACGGTCTTTTTGCACTGGGCATTGCCGCGTCTCTTATCACCCATACTGTGTTTGGTCGTGTTGTAGGATTGGCGACGCACAAGAAGAGTGGACAAATTCAAGGAAGGACAAGGCGATGGCATCGGCGAAGAATCCCTAGAAAAGGAAAAACATAACCCGGGGAACTTTGTCCCCGCATCACACAAGGGGGCAAATAGTACCCACTATCCCCATCTCAAACGACGAACAAGGTGCAAATACGCGGGGATTGTCTCCATAAAAAGCCTGATTCGGTAGCGTTCGCCGATCAAGGACAGCTCTGGCTTGACTAAGGCCACCCTTGGCGGCTGATCGTCAAGCTAGGCACTTGGATCTATCTTGCCGCATGCCGCTAATGCAGGTAGCAGCCGGCCGGATGAGGGGCTTTGACAACGGAATTTTCGGTTGGGTTGACTGTTGACCGCTGTATCACGTTTTCGTAGGTCTAAAACGTATATATGGGAGGGAGCGTATACTCAGAACATCATCACGATCGCGTCCATCGCCTATTTGCATATCCTCACCTCTTTCTCCTCCGATCCACTAACCCCCGCCCGTAATCCAAAACAAAGACACAATGTCCGGCAACAAATTGAATGTAGCAGTGGCCGGACTTGGCCGCATGGTGAGTCCTCGCTGGTCAGGGCCTGGTGTAATATGGGCATCTCACTCACATTGAATTTAGGGGTTGCGACATGCTCGCCATTTCGCAAATTTCACACCGAAGGCCAACCTGATAGCCGTGAGCTCCCCAGTCCAAGCGGAACTGGATGCGGCACAGGCCGAGTTCGGGCCCCTGAGGACATACCTGGACTACGATGAGATGCTCAGGAAAGAGTCCACATTGCAAGCTGTAGTCGTCTCCAGCGCGACCACGGTGCACGCAGAGCAGGCCATCAAGGCCATCGAGAAGGGCCTGCACGTGTTGTGCGAAAAGCCGCTCAGCACGAGCGTCGAGATCTCACAGTCCGTTGTTGACGCATATAAGAAGTCCCTGAAGAAGAACCCGGCGCAGAAGGTCATCTGCGGCTTCTCGCGCAGGTTTGACGCATCTTACCGAGACGCCTACAAGCGCCTCTCCACAGGAGCCATCGGCACACCATCGGTCTTCCGATCTCAGACTGCTGATAAGCTGGACCCGTCAGGCTTCTTCGTCGCCTATGCCGAGTTCAGCGGTGGTATCTTCGTCGACTGCTCTATCCATGATATTGATCTGGCGCTGTGGTTCTTCGGCGAGGACAGCAAAGTCAAGAGCGTATCTGCTGTGGGCATCACAGCTGTGCAGCCTGATCTGAGGAAGCATAACGATCGAGACAACGCTGTTGCTGTGGTCGAGTTTTATGTGAGGTTCCTTGTTAACATCTCTTCTGGTAGCCTCCAAACTAACTCATCTCTTCAGGGCGGCAAAATTGCTCAGCTGTTCTGCTCCCGCATGATGGCAGCCGGCCAAGAAGACACAACTGAGATCTTCGGCACAGCTGGCAAGATCGCAATCAACACTCAGCCTCAGCTCAACCTGGTAAACTTATTTGAGCCTAATGGAATTCGCCGTGAGATCCCTGGAGACTACTACGGTCGCTTCCGTGAGGCATTCATTACCGAGGCCAACGAGTTCACTGAGAGCTGCCTGAACAACACACCACCGCCGCTGAAGCTGGAAGGGGCTGTGAACGCCGTAAGGATTGGTTGTGCGTTGCAAGAGAGTCTGATTTCGGGGAAGAAGATCGAATTCGACGAGAGTGGAAACAGGATCGAGTCTCCCGAGCGGGCAAGACTGTAAGGATATTCAGCTTAGATATACCAGCTACCATTTATAGACATATACCATAAGTTCAGAGTCCGTTGTATGTCGTCATATGTCAGAGACTATGTAATATTCAATTCCAGGGGTGGCATCGAGCAGTAATAAGGCTGGGCGTTCATTGAGCATAACTCGGAGCAGATCATCGATACTAGCCATGCGGGGCATAATGGCAACCATCCTACTGGCAGAAGTTGACATGGTTTATGTAGGTGGAAGTCCACTTACAGCCTTACTCTATGAAAACCTTACTTTACTTACCCATTCCGAGAGGTCACGCGTCAAGGGACGGCCAGTAGTGCTATCAGCCAATCACTAGCTCATCAATTTCACGCCCACAATACTGTCGTCCCATCACAGCTTGATAGTTCAACCCATGATCCTTTCATTCCATCGAATAGGTGGTGGTATTGTGCTAGGTACCGAGGTATGCTCATGTCTCCTGTATGTCGTGCATATCTCTTGGGTGATCTATTGATTGTAGATCTTAAAACTATGCAGCTACGCTGCATTCATTGCATCGTGACCGATGGGTGTCGTCTGTGTCGCTACTGAGTCGTGTACAACTATGGGTAACGAGTAATGGACATGATGCACTTAAGGCGATCTGAACAAGGGATTCAAAAGGACAGACCCTCCTCAACCTGACACTGGCTGACCATCTTTACCTAGATGAGATTGAGAGATTTGTATGTCTAATATTAACAAGTGGATTGGAGACGGCTCTGCGCCGACAACAACCGAAATATAACGCATTGCTGCTATGAGGTTATACTTAGCAAGACCCGCCGACAGCATCCCAAAGAACCTTGAGCCAACCCCGGATTTGGACGAGTTGGGAATAAATCGGCATTAGGCAGACACGTGCATGATGACGCAGAAGACGGGGTTTCATTCTGAAGGGGGAAAACAAGGAAGAGCAGCCCGATCCAGGGACATATCCAGGCTGTCAGGCTAAAGATCGCCAAGGTTTCATCGCCGATGAGTTCCTGATGCGGCAATTTTTAGGTTCGCCCGAAGGGCTGGGGCTGCAACCCGTCGCCTTGCACTATGACGACGCCGGGGCTACCCCGTGAGAACGGCGATTTTACCCCAGGAATTCGGTCCACCCCGTTATGCCTGTGGCTCGGCACGTGCACAACTCCCCGTGGGGAAGGGGGTCGACTACCACAGTATTCCAAGGCGCTGGGACCCATGGGATGCACGAGTCTAGACTCCACACCTGAGCATTGACGGCAGTATATATTCGCTGAGCCTATCCCCTCTTGCAGATTTGAAATGCTACCTCACCAAGTCCCACAGACTCTGCAATAATATCTAACACCTCTTCCTCTTTTCCCAGGCCTCAATTTTGTGGTACGAGGGGCAGCATGGACTCTAAATTCAACTCGGCTGGCGGAGCCAATGTCGAGCAGGTTGAGAACCAGGCCAAGACTGGCCCCCCTATCCTCGATGCCTCACTCAACCCATCGGAAACTGTCTCGTATGGAGAGCAAGGCATCAAGGGTCTGATCAGCTCTCCCTACATCTTCGGAGCAGCATTACTTGCCTCCATGGGCGGCTTCTCCTTTGGCTACGACCAGTTACGTCTACCTCTCCCTTCCCGTTTGGCAGCCTTATGTTCCGTACCATTACAAATCGGGCCACGACGGCAGCCCGGACAACGTGACGAACCAGCTCGCTGACCACATTTCTCTCACAGGGGTGTCATATCCATCATCAACGTGATGGACCAGTTCCACGCTGTGTTTCCCCGGGCGGAGACTGCATTCGGAAAGGGTCTAATGACTGGCATGCTCGAATTTGGCGCCTTTCTCGGATGTTTTTTCATGCCCGCACTCGCCGACAGGGTATCACGAAAACGGGCCATTGCTTTCGTCGTCATCATCTTCAACATCGGAGCCATCATGCAGACAACCGCAAGAAGTTATGCCGTCTTGGTCGCTGGCAGAACAATTGGAGGAATAGGAGTCGGCACCTTGGCCATGGTAAGATAATCTCTAACGCTTTCGCGTTATACTCATGTGCTTTAGTGGACAATAGACCGCCTGATGACTGACTCATTGTGTTCAGGGAGCACCCATTTACATTTCTGAAATCTCCCCGCCCAACCTTAGAGGTACACTCCTGGTGCTCGAGTCCATCTCGATCGTTGGAGGCGTCGTTATCTCGTTCTGGATCACCTACGGAACTCGCCACATCGACGGCGAGGCATCGTTTCGAATCCCCTTTGGCCTGCAGATGGTGTCTTCAACCCTGCTCGGCCTCGGAATTCAGGCCTTCCCGTACTCGCCCCGATGGCTCGCCTTGGTTGACAGGCCTGACGAGGCGCTCTCCAGCCTCTCGCGTCTGCGAAGACTGCCGACCACCGACTCCCGCGTGCAGGCGGAGCACCATGGGATCCTGACCGAAGTCGCGATCCAGAAGAAGATCCAACACAAGAAGCACCCTGGCGTCAGCGGGATCAGGCTCGAGATTATCGAATGGCTCGACGTGTTCAAGCTGTGGCGTCGCACTGTTGTCGGCGTGGGCGTCGCATTCTTCCAGCAGTTCTCTGGTATCAATGCCTTCATCTACTACGCGCCCACCCTGTTTGAGTCGCTGGGCCAGGACCCAGAGATGGCTCTGATCATGTCCGGCATCTTCAACATTCTGCAATGGGTTGCCGTTGGCATGTGCTTCCTCGTCATCGATAAGGTTGGCCGTAAGCCTTTAGCCATCTTCGGTGGCTTCAGCTCCGGTCTCACCTGGATTATCATGGCGGTCCTTGTCGGCGTCTTCTCCCATGACTGGCCGTCCAACCCCGCAGCCGGCTGGGCCGCTGTTGCTATGGCTTTCCTGTTCATTCTGACGTATGGAAGCACATTCTCCTGCCTTGGTTGGTGTCTCCCTGCCGAGGTTTTCACCAATGCAACACGTGCGAAGGGTGTCGCTTTGTCAACTGCCACAGTGTGGCTTTGCAACTTCATCGTAGGAGTGGCTACCCCGCCTATGCTTGAACAACTGGGCTTTGGCACATATGTTTTCTTTGGGTCATTCTGTATCTTGTCCGGCTTCTGGGCAATCTTTCTCGTCCCTGAGACAAAAGGTAAGACGTTGGAGCAGATGGACGAGCTGTTTAAAGACACGGCAGCTCAGGAAGAGAAAGAAATAATGAGGGCTGAGATTATGGCCGACGCGGCCTTGCATGAGGGCCAGAAGTACGACTCTGCTTAAAGGACAGCCTTAGACACTATAACTTTTGATAGTGATGTGACTGTTTTCTGTATTTACATATAGTGAGCGAATAGCAAAATATAAAAATTTGCAAGGTCAGACCTTAACGGGTTTCTTGGATATCGCAAAGACGTGGAGTGACAAGTGCGAGCGCGACCACGATTATGTGAAAAGAAATGGTACAGAGGACCTGGCATGCTGTCCTAAATGCCTCATCGATCTTGCAGACTCAAGTTCTCCCCGAGTGCTGGACAAGGCTACAGAGCGTTCCTCTGATTGGTATACAACTCTCACCCACGAGTGACATCGTGATCCGCCATTCCTAGTCTTGTATTTGGACAATTTGGACAATTTCGGGAGGTACATACCGATCAACGACCTTCCCAAGAGCCCCCATGATATAATCTCAGTTTACCATCACTTAGATATTCGATGCATATGAATTGATGGTCTATCTGTTCTGCAGGATTTCAAGGTTGATTGGCTCCTCCACGCTCGAGACATGGCGTGCATCTACGCAGCTGCTGCCTAAATCTTTCTCTTGATACAGCAACATGCCCTGAATTACATGCCTCGAAAGAACAAAACACCGACAACCATCGAGAATTCTTTGCATCATCCTGGTTTCCAAACCAAGTGGAAGATTCGGATTCCAGCGAAGACGGTGGTCACGTTGGTCCTCGTCGAATAGTAGTCAAGCCGAATGGCCCAGGCAGCGCAACGAATCTACGACGTTACAAGGTCTTTCTTCCTCGGTATGACTATCTGCCGTCAGAATGGAGCAGTTCTTGGCAACTAAGGGCTGAGTTCTGCAGGAGAGACTGATGTTTCCTCGGCTACTTCATTCCACAGAGGGTTGTATCGCCTAGAATTGCGCGCAGTGCAGTCTTTGAACGAAGCTCTCCCACAAGGCTCTGCTGCATTCGAAGACCTCTTTGACCATATCGGCTGAACATTCAGCTGCCCGGTTGGGGAGCGCAACCATAGTGCACATGAGGCATGGACAGATATCGTCAATTAGTACACCAGTCGCAGCCTCCCATACCCAAAGACAGGCTTGTTGCGCTCGCGGCAATAGCACAAACATTTGCGTCTGTGTTCGGTGACGACTACTACGCCGCCCATTTCGGATCGACCTGCTCGTGAACCTGGTGTGGAGCGTGGATATAGGCCAATTACGAAGTCAACCCGCTCGTTGTTGACCGACGTGGAGTTGAGCCCACGTTGACAGCGGAGGGCGAGATTGAGAAAAGAAGACTCCGGACTTGCCATGGCCAAAGTGGAAGGAGTGCATGTGAGCTTAGTCGACCCAGCTCACCGATATGGGCGGGTGGACAGCGGTGAACTTCTGATACGGTGCTGGCTGATGCGTGCTACTTTTGTGAACACACTGATCTACAAGAGGCGCCATCTATGGGAAGCGAGGGTACTCGAGAGTCCTGCGATTAATATACGCCTACGGATCTCCTTGGATGAGCTTTTCAAGATCATCCTTGGCGACGTCTACGTTGTTCCGTTGGTCCAGGACTATGAATAGAAAATAGAGGTTGCAATGGGAATCTTTTATGTAAACAGTAGAAGTATGCATATGCCAGACTCGGTGTCTGTTTCATTTGGTCGGTGGCCTCGAGCAACCCGGAAGACGTACCACTCGCCGACTATCCAGGCGAGTACGCACTTTGTGGCATCACAGTGGTGAAAATAGTTTGAACGCAACTTGAAGTACTGAGAGATTGTTCTTTCTTCTATACTCATCTTCCAGCTATGCTACTAGAGTTATAAAAAGCAACTGGACCTGCTATTTTCTTTGTAACACCTGCGAAGCTATAGTCCGAGTGCAGGTATGGGACTATGACTTACTGGAAGATCGATTATCGAAGATTGGTGATGTGCATGAAATGCTCAAGATCCACGATCGTTTCCAATATGCTGATTACTGTTCCGAAAGAAGAATTTCTTTCCGAAGTCATAGCAAAATCGCTTCCGCAGGAATCTGCAGCGGGATGCAGGGCAGAACCAAGATGGTATTCATTCTTTCAAGTCCTAACGACTTTGAAAGTCATTGCATCTGATTTCTAAAGATACCGAACTCATCATGTTTTAATGCTAATGGATAGGCCGGTATTCAAGTGTGTTGTTTCCAGGCTTGAATTCCGGAGCGACTTTATTGTCCTCACGATCCCCAAGCTCGAGCTTGGGGTCAGGAGCCTGAGCAGCATAGCCATTTTGCAGCCTCTTGAGCACATTTTGACGAGCGGTAGACGTTTCTTGGCCTCCACAGCATGATGGACCTCTCACTTCTTCTATAGACGCTAAAGAGACTCGGGAACTTTGCCGATCGATGTCCTTTCAACTATGTGTGCACAGCATCAAGGTCCTCGGCTTCAGGCTGGCTTAGTTAGCGATTGGTGACTTTTAAGCAACATAATTTTGATGATGACACCGCCTTTTGTGTCCGAATCATGCTACAGACTTTGAGATGGCTCAGGAGATTGCTGATCCCTAATTTGCATCTGTGTGTCTTCTACGACAGCTTGGACCTCAGCCGCAGACAGCCCTACTTGATGAATGGCAGACAATCATGTATATCTCTAGGTATTGGCCCATAAATCCTCCATGCAATCCTCATTTAAATACTGATCAAGGGTATGGGCAAGTCGTTGGCTGCTTGTATCTGCAGAGGAATGCCCCTTGAGAAGGCTTTGCCACTCTTTCAGCATATTTTCAGCCTCGTCATCGCCTTCACTTGAGTGTATGCCATGGATTGCGAAACGCACAAGACGCCGGGCCAGCCGATAAGCTGGATGGTAGGCCGAGTGGACATATCTAGCACCAGCTGCAGCCTCAAAGACTGTTTTGAGCTCTTTCTGTTCGATGGTTGCGGGCTCTTCGTTTGCCAGCCGCTCATCTTCGTCCTCATCCTCTTGCCAGTTCCAGATCCACATGGGCGGGGCACAGGACATGAAGGCTGGGGCCAGAACGGCACTGTCCCAGTCGAGAATGCCGCTTATGATCGGACTGTCCGAGGATGTGCCCGGGTCGACTAGGATATTCCGAGGCTCAAGGTCGAGGTGTGAGAGTGCGAAATGTCCGTTGAAGTTCTTGAAATAGCCATGTGCGTTCATCTCGGAGACCATGGTGCAGAATTGGTCTATCCGAGCCGGTCTTAGTAAATCCTTAGGCAGCTTTTCTTGGATCTCCGTCTTCTGGTCTTAAAAGGTTCGCTTTACTAGCTCAAGAACAGACACGTCTTTTCGACCGGCGCGATATCGAGTGGAGGTCCGTACTCTCTGCACTCCATCCGAGAAGATTGCTGCACACGGATCTCAAGCTGTGACGTGAACGTCTGCTTCAAGAGTCTTGCTATCATATGGAAGTACTAGACTTCCGGCCTGCGCGCTCGATTTGGCGAGCATCCGACGGTAGGCTTGATCGAGGTCCTGGGCCACTCTGAGTTGTTGCTTGTGCCCAAGTTGAGGGTAGGCATCTATTAAGGGCTGGCCAGGCAGACGGTTCTGGACCATGAAAGATGACTCGAGGCAATTGTCCTCCGTCTCGTCGAATAAAATGACTCTTGGGGCGGGAATCTCAGGCCTACGATTCTGCTGCTCGGCGTTCAGAAAGCGCTGAACAAAAAGAAGAGCAGCAACGTCAGCGTCGACTTGCGAAGCGTCGAACCGCAGGATCCGCAGGATGTATTCGACAGGTGTCCTAGAAGCTCGTGTCTCTATGGGTTGAATGTCGGTTGGATATTGGCCCTTGCTCTGGCTGTGAGTCAAAGTCAGGCCGAGAATCCGGTTGAAGCCACCGCCCCGAAGACGTTCAACGATGATCTCATCATTGGGCTGTGAATGAGGCCAAATTGTGGATCGGGCAAGGGCGAGGACTTTGGGCTGGAAATGCGCGAAGCTTTCATGGCCGTAAACAATCGATGATGATTCTGATTGTGCGTCTTTTGAGTCCAGCTTTGAGGACGACGACATATTTGTTTGTCTACGCTAGACCCCGTGACGAAGTATGATATGCTGGAGGAAGTAGTCGAATAGAATCTGCGTCCGAGCCAAGCTGGGTTGCTGTTACAAAGTGAGAGGAACTTTCGCCTTTGTCTGGCTGAAAACCAGGTAGTGTTTATATTGCGCCTACCTGGGTACTTATTGCTATGAGTTGTTCTTAGGCCGATCCAGAATATAAGCGCGCTATCAGTCAAGGTGAGCCCTGACGTGATTGGCTGGAATTTCTAATTCATTGAGACCTGTGACTTTTGGATGTAGAAATAGAAGACTAAAAGACTCGGTCTATCTCAAGAATCAAGTCTGGTACTGAAAGCTATGAGCGTACTTGCTCACTGAACGTTCGATTCGAGCCGCTCCGTATCAGATCTCAGAAATGGAAATCCCATATTCTTATTATTTACCTCCACTGCAAGCGACTTCTCTCGGATCTGAAGTCCACCAGGACTGGGACCTACCCCTGCCGACATGAAAGCGCGACCCCTTGGGAAGGGCAAATGTCAATATTCGCAACGAGGATCATATAGCTCCTGTCCGAAGTGAATAATTGTTGACGAGCATCCTGGCGGCGATTTCTGGTTCGTTAGACACGTAGCAATTTATTTAGGAAGTGGTGCGTGGGCTTCAAACAATCAGACATTCTCTTCTGATTCTTCTTATTGAGCTCTCTAGAGAGCAACCTGGCTATTCATCAGATGCCACAACACAACTCCGATTCCCGACGGCATACATACACCTTGCATAAGTCATTTGTGACTTGACTCTTGCTATTTCCTTACACGCGACTGCTTCTAACTAGGGGACAATTTCGCCTCGGATTTCTTGCACGCTCAGATGATTCCTTGTTGTATACGGATGAGTAGAACTGACTTGCCGCAGCTACTTGGCCATCTCTGCGCTTGCATTGAGTTTGCGTTGAATATTACTTTTGAAACATTTGGGCTCGTCTTTGCTCAAGACCGGGGTGTCCCCATAGGCCAAAGCTATTTGACGCGCTGCCTTTCTACGTCTAGACATCGCCCTCAGCGAAACTCCCAGGCTGCTAAACCGAGACAGGGCACTCGCTTCAATAACCCGCTTGGTGCCGTCAAGCGGCTGAGAAGTAGGAGGCAGGTCATATACATCCCCTGGCAATAACCCAACAGCTCTACGAGAGTCTGAAGCCGGCTCTAAGCGTCTCAACTGACGCCAAAAGAGGAATCCCGGTGCCATCCAGTTCTTCGGAACCCCCACGGTTCTTCACTGGCGTCCATATCCACTTCCAAAGTTACCAGTCTGTCTCCAAAGTAGCTACCTCGCCTGAGACTTCTCGATACATCCCAGGGGCCGTTTACCTCGCGGCAACTACACGACGCCAGGATCGTCATCGGTTCATGGGCAAAATGCCATCGCCCGTCCCGGCAGGCTGGCGATCCCTTGGCGCATCGAGGGCGCGCGGGCACGTGAGGCCGTCTGTAAGGGAGTGGATCCGCCACCGCTCTTCCCGGGATTGCCAACGACGGCGGGCTAATGCGGCCTTATCTCGATTCTGCGCTATCGTCCGTCATATCAACGTGGGGGGAGGGCGGGGGAACGCGCAGCAGAACGTGTTCCCAGCGGCAGCGGCGGGATTGCTGCTGCTGTGCGGCGTGTCAATTTGTTTCGGAAGGGTTGAGTCGGCCCTGGCAGCAGCGTGGGATCGTGCTCCACACTTGCTTCCGGGCTGGAGGAACGGCGGTTCGCTTGGTTAAACATTCACTGCCTGCCGGATCTGTGGGGCCGCGCCGGCAGCGGAGGGGGGGCCCATCGGGCAGCCTGCGATGGAACGCCCTCTTCTCGGCGTCGAGGAGCCCTCAGTGGCGATACACGTGGCTGAGGAGCAATACGATGGAATCCCGCAACATCACCACGCAGCCCTAGCGGGACGCCACGCCGTCGCTTTGACAGTGGCAGGCAGCTGGTAGCCGGTTCCTCCCCTCGGCACACGTACATTAGGAGGAGTCGGAGGTGAAAGCTCGGGAGCAAAGCCAGAGCCGATTCACAATAAGGTTTGAACCTTGCAGCCGCCACGATGCGGGCGTTGCGAGTGAGCGTTCGTCCCTGAGGCCTTGACGTAGTCGAGCGAGTCAGGTCGCTGGTGATCGCCGCCACACTGAGTCGAGATGGCAGGCTGCTCTAACGTCGAGTGTTTCTCCTTCTAGAAAAACTCAATTTCCCCGTGGTTGGGTGATTTCTGAACTGATCATGACGTCGAGGTGTTGCTGGATTCTGTGCTGTGCAGAGAGTCATTTCAGGGGAGGGTTCGACGGCATGTATCGTGACAAGGTGAAATTCTGAGGCGAGCCCCTTCGGGCGATCCCCTTCGATTAGGTGGTATACATCGCTGTTTCCCGATACTCTACAAACTTTGGAATGAGGCAGGTAAGAAGGTAATATTCAGAAGGGATATATCGACAGTCAGAAGCGTTAAGATTTTTTAAGTCGCTCGCTCGGCAGCAATTGCCCAATCGAACCCAAGCTACATGAGACGGAGCCTATCGAACAGAGTGATGGCACCGTCCCATATTCCTCCCACGCCGCTGGCTCTCCCCAAAACATAGCCGACGCAGACAGGCGAGCGGGCCGGCGCTCGCCTCGGTTCGCTTCGCTTCGGCAGAAGCAGGAAGCAGGCATAGAGCAAGCCACAAAACGTGGGAGAAGAGAAGCGAAGGCGGCTTCCTAGGCTTGGGGGGCGGGTGATCGACGCCAGCTGCGGAAGGGGGTTGCACAAATAGGATGTTTCGCTCCGTTACTGTGTTAGTCTGTTTATCCGCTGGGGTGGAATGGAGATAATGGGTTGGTTGGCAGCCAGCCGGGAGGGAGCTTGGGAGGCCGTCAGTATCACAAACCGCACCCCGCACCACCACCACACCCTCTCCGTCCGGGCTGGTTGGACGGCGCACAAGACGGGTAATCCATGAACAGCTGACCCGAGTCAGGCATGTGAAAAGGCAGTCGCGTCCCTTTATGTGGCGGTCACAGCGGGATAGAGAATAATCGCGGGTGATGTGGGAGCTTTCTGATTCATCACTACTCGTCGTCCCGTGATGTGCTTGGGCGGGTAGTGTGATGAGGCTCCTCTCTGAGGGCGAGCGCGATGTGCTGGCAGTGTTAGGGAGGCTGGGTTTAGCCCTCCATTTAGCATCCCGTGAGGAAGAAGCTTATGCATCGGCGCGCGAATTTGGTAGCTGTTTACAAGATGTATGGCTATACGGATGTTTTGGCTGGGGAGCACAACATTATTCGCGGAAAAGGTCATGTAAAAGACTGCGGGCCTGCATCTTCCGCGAACGCGGGCCAGCCACCACCGAAATGTGTCCGGGTCCGGAAACACCCACTCACGGAGCTGTGGGTCCCCGTTCTGCAGCCTATGCAGCAGTTCCCAGGGACAGACACATGGAAACTAGGCTATATGTCTGTGTGTGTGTGTGTTGCATATAGATGGGTGTATGTACCATAGGTATGGGATACTCTCATCCATTCAGCCCCCAAAGGGTCCAGGCCTGATTCATGAGGTTAGAGTTTGGCGACGTCGATTTACCTCGCTGCACAGGAGATCCTGCGCGTGTCAGCACGCTGTAAGGGAGGGAGCGCCAAGGATTCCAGAAGGAATGGAAGCGGTGTGAGCTGTGTGGTGCCGTGAGAACAGACCGCGAGTACAAGACTCAGCACCTAGTCTACCTGCCCGACCGTTGGAATGTCGAGGTTGGCCCGAGGCATCGCCGATCCGTCCAAGTCGACGGCGGCGGCGGCATCTCGAAGCATGAAGCATGGAACATGATCGTTCGCGGACTGCAGATGACCTGAGTCACGAGGGAGCTGATCCGGGAACGTCCTGAGCCGGAGGGCAGGACAGCGCTGGCACGGCGTATGCGTATGTGTATTGGAACGCTCACTCTCGTGTGAAGCTGCACGGAACACCGTTTTTGGAAATTGGGGCCCCGACTACGAGCCTGCTGATGGCAGGTGGTGGGTGGTGGTCAGCCAGCCGCATCCCTGCATCTGATCGCGACTTGTTGCCGTCACCGAATCACTTCTCACATATCACATCGTACCAGAGTAAAGGTAGAGTCGCAACACGAAACCACGCAAATCTTAACTATGCGAACTTTTGCGAAATGGTGCGCGCGCCCGGGCGGGAGCGAGAATAGTATCGTCGTACAGCAGCGGTAGCAGACGACGATGACAAAGCGGAGCGAACGGCGTTTTAAAATCTGACGTGAGGAAATAGGATCCCACAGGATCCGAGCAATAGGAGTCAATCAGCCCTACTGGGTGTGGATGCACAAAATAAGCTACATAAGGACCCCGATCGTGCCGCAGCAGCGGGTTGAGGCTCTTTTGTGGAGAGAACATAAGGACCAGGCAGCGGGAGGAGTGGGACCACGTGGAAGTAATCATCTAGCATACCACACCCGAATTTGGTGGTGTTGCGACCACCATCTTATCTCATCTCATCTCATCTCATATCATCTGTCACGGTGCTCTGACAGCCGATGCGAGTAGTATATGTGTAGCCGGGATGTTTTGCCCTCGGTCTGAGTGCTCTTCTCAGCTCGACTCATGTTAACTACACCGACACGAGCTGCACGGTTGCCGAAACGGGAACTCAAACGTCGGCATTTGCCCGGCTGAATGCCTGAATAGTGAACTCTCGTGAGGTGGTGGTTAGGGCGCGTGTCGTTCGAGTCACCAAACCATCGGAAGAGTCTCGTGCTCATATTTCTCTCATGGATGGTTGGAGTAGTAGTAGCAGCGGTAATAATAACTCGATTCGAAAATCCCTCGCGGCTGGACCGGCGGATAAGAGAGGTGTTTCGGTTGCAATTGGGTATTCTGGTCGTCGGCAGCCAAGATGCCCAGGTGCCTAGATTCCAACAGAGGGAAAAGGCGGGAGCTTACCCAGGTGTGTGTGCAGTGCGACGGCGCTCGGCCGAAAGGCCCATCCGGCGGCGACGGCATTGCGGCTGAACTGAAGAGTACTTGACAGCATGGCTGGGTAGGGGTACAAATACTATTTTCAGCTGGCAGCAGTGCAGCAGTGCAGCTGCAGTGGTGGCTGAGCTGAGTGATAACCAAATAGGCGGCCATGGCTAAGCTGAGCAGTCATATTGAATACCAGCTGGCCGTTCTCAGCGATGCAGCGCGCGTTCAATATGCGAAGCGTTTCCAAATCAGTCACCGGGGCGGTCAAGTGCAGACCGCCGCCCACGATCCAGTGGAGATCGGGAAGATGCGAGGAAAAGGAGCGGCGGGACACGACTGTACCACCGTCCCCATCTTTCACCGTCTGCCACTCCGGTGGCTCCCGCCGCAGGCGCTCAAAGTAAATCGAGACACTCTCGTCACAAAGCTGCCGACCCGGCCGGAGCATCGAATCGAGATTTTGACAAACCTACACTTATCCCTTCCGGAGGAACCTTTCCGGGGGAACCCAGTTGTGTTTCTTTTTAAGTGTTGGCATGAGGCTCAATGCTAGTCTCAGTTGCCGGGAACACAGAAAGAGCGGGAGGGAGATGAGGCGAAAGGCGTCAGAAGGGACCCAGAATGTCGTCACCGCTGCGGGCATAATGGTACTGCAAATAGACTACGGTACGTAGACTACGTAGACTACAGATGCGTTGTGCACAGCACATCTGCAGGCCTGCGCCGTCATCCAGCCCCTAGGAGCAACCCGCTACGCCACACCGCCGCCTCGGTAAAGACCACGGTTGCGCTGTCGATCGCACGCTCCAAAGGACGGCGGCGACCCGGACGATCGCTCACATATCGACTAATTAGCTATGGGCGAGGGAACAAATTCTCCGATCTGTCAGCGATCTGCTGTAGGAATTGCCAGCCCTGGAGTTGTCTAGCTGCCGTCTTCGCCAGTGCTCAGGCTGTCAGGGAAAATGATGGGCGGCCTGCACGGTCAGCACCAGCCCAGATGCAATAGGTGTTTCTGAAGATCAATACACGCACTGTCATGACCGCTTCACATGATTGTTTCGGCCGTTCTGCTCCTGAAGATTGAGTTCCCGTGGACTTTATTGTCGCCCGAAAGCCGGCGGCTCAGCCTGATGACACAGCATTCTTGAGCAGACCTCCGGAACAAAAGAGATGAAGCGATCCGATGCGAGTGCACTCGAGCCGTCACGATCCAGGACAAAAGATCGCACAGAAGAATCCGATCCGTAAAATACCGGAATCTGGGGAAAGCTTGGGAGCGGCAGCGCGGCAAAAGGAGGCCACCCCTGCCGAGAAACCCGGCGGCGAAACCAAGACTACGGCCTGTTTGGCAGTCTGTCAACTCTAATCGTGGCCCCATCGGCCCAAGTTGCACCCTAATAGCGTCATCGTTCCCTCGACGCAATACATGCATTTTGTACCCCTGATTGTTGGCCATCTTGGCTTTGAGTGCGTGATGCCCTCGCACCCGACAAGTCCGAGTCAGGGTGAGATGGAAGAAACAAGGCGAACTTTGCTTCTACGCAGGGATGAGCAGCAGACAGTCAATCACACATATATCTCACTTGATCCAAACCCTCGCCGCCTTTTTCCCGAGGAGAAACGTTTCCTCCCTTTTTGGTCTGGCCTCAGCGATTGGCAGAACCGATGAAATCGGAAACAGCACCGAAATCAATCACCATTCGTCGACCCGTACTTATCACAATTCCACTTGTGCTGCACATGTCTGCTCAGCTGGCCAGCAATAGGTTATCATCCATCTATCATAGTTCCATCACTCTGTACAAACCACTTTAAAAGGGCTGCGCCGCATCCCACCTCACGTCCTACGCTCCATCTCTTCGGGCCGGCCGCAGTTGGGTGGGAAAAGCCAAAAGCAAAAAGAAAATAAAAAATGCAAAAAGCGAATTCCGAACAAAAAACGGCGCGACTCAGAAATTCTGCTGGAACTGGACCATCTTCGTACCGTGACATCTCTGCAACCCAACCCCCCAATATAGTAATTTACGTCGCCCCCCTCCATCATCTGGGGACGAACGAGCGAACGAACAACCGCGGGCAGGCAAGAGACCAGCCAGAGCGCAGGCAACGGCATCTGACACCGACGCTTCGGATCCAGGCCTATCAGCTCGTGAGCCGCAAGTCAACGCGCACCGGGTTGCCTGACTTGTGACTTGTCCAGGTCCAGACCCGGCCGACAGGGCTCAGCTACAACCAACGGCAGAAATACGTACACATTGTACACATCTACATCGATACGTACACGTACATGCAGGCATCCCATCCCGCGCGCTGTCACGGCAAACAAAGGCACAGCAGCACTGGGAGAGCAGCGACGTTATATCGAAAGTAGAAACACACACGCGAGGCAAAATCTGCGGGTGCATGATATTGAATCAGTTGCCGTCGGGGCCCAACAAGTCACATCCTCGCATCCGCCATCGCCTGCCAAGATATCGCATTCCGTACAGTCTGGTCGTCCTGTCGCCCTGTCTGTGTGCGTGATCGAGTCGAACTGGGACAACCTTGGAGTTCTGTATAAAAACAACGCATCGGCCCCGCCACCCCTTCACCGTGTCTGAAGCTGTTTCTATTATTTCCTCATACCTCGACTTGATCTTCACCTCGGCAGGCCACCGTGTTTCCTTTTACTCGACTGTACTACAATCGTGCTCTTCTTTTCATCCTCTTGATACCCTGATACCAACACCCAATATACGCATTCCACGTCAACCTGCCTGCTTCTTCATTTGATACCCAGCTGTCAACACGATCCGAATCTCAACTCAACAAGTCGAACCAATCGACCAGCCAACATAATCAATCAATCAAACAAACACCTCACCGACAAAGCCAACAAGAAGCGTGTGCATCATCCGCCACCGAATCATCCGCCCTTTGTTGCTCACGCCCAACAAAGCAAACAGCAAAGCAAAGCCCGTGCCGGCCCGAATTCGTGGACGCATCAACCAATCTGCTACCTCATTTCTGGTCGCTTGCCGTTTTGGGCAATTCGTGTCAGCAACGATAGTCGCGCATTAAGACGACGAAATTCACCGAGATTTCCCTCGTCTTGTCCTCTCTGCCTGTGACCATCCCGGTCAAGCCAGTCTGTCAGCTGCCAAGAAACAGGAAACCCACCAGCGAGGCTTTTAATAGTGCCTCTCCTACTGCCTGCACCCATCCATCCATCCTCCTGGGCAATCCATCTGCACCCCGCGAATTTGGATCGGAGACCCTGTCGCATCTCAATCGCACGGCATCGCATAGTATTGCACTGCACACTTAAGCTGCACTGCATCGTGTCTCATATATTATTCATCTATCTAGCCACCTGTCCGCTTGCTCTGCCGGAACGATAATAAACAACAATATCGACATCGGCCATCAAATCACGGTCGCCTTCACACATCCAGCTTCCAGGTTAAGGTTAGCCTCGGTCGAGTAACATTCAGCTCAGACAGCATCTCGGATCGACATTCTGTCTTGTCTAGGACCCCGCGACGACCATCCTATCACGGTCGGCTTCGCAATCGCCAATCCTGCAGTTGGGCATCCGCATCGGGACACTCACATTCAAGGACTGAGCTACGAGCTGCAAGGCCAGTGCACGCACACACTCTCACGCACGCACGCACGCCCATCCTTTTCCCCACAATCACATCGACACTCAGTCAGTACACACAGACCGCGACACGTTTGGGAAAGGAGAGCCTCCTTGTCGGGTCGGCTGCAACCAAACCGAGACAATCCAGGAGGTCCCTAGACGTCCCGAGGCGCCCCCAGCCTCCCGCTTATTATTCCTCATTTGACCTGGGGATTTCTGAATCAAAGGGGCCCTGTCTCACCTGCGGCCCTTGGCTTTTATTTTGTCTCTGCCCCCTATTTCCCTGATTTCGACGCGTCGAAGACGGTCATCTGTCATCTGTCTGCAGAGTCTGCTGCCTGCAACATCTCTTGCTTGACAGCGCATACACACCTGCACACACGCTACTTCTGCCCTACTGCCCTACATACCCACTACTGGGTGTTTCCGAGTTGCATCTGATCTCCTGGTCGGTGGATCATCCATTCATCCATCCATCCATCGATGCATGTGTGACACCGGTTCGCCTCCACATAAAAAGGACAAGCACCGAGACAAAGGCAGAGTCAGAGAGCAGCAGGAGCAGCAGCAACAATCAGCTGCAGGTGCCCTGTACCCCAACCCCACAGCACACCCCCCACTCCCGCTCCCACCCCCTCCCGCGAGGTCCACCTCGCCCACCACATCGCGATCCTTCAGCTTCCAGCTAGGCTCCACTCCACCTGAAAAAAGGCCTTCCGCCCTGCCCTGCCTCGGCGAAGCCACAATAACAACACTGCCAACGCTACTTCCCGTCAGCAGCTCCAGGCATCATAAACATCAACCTCACCCCTCCCCCTCCACCACTACCACCTCCTCCTCCTCTTCCTCAACCTTAATAAAGACCGAGGACCCACCTCTACCACCAAACAACCTCGACTACCTATACCAAAACACAAACACCAATATGTCTTCACAACAATCATCACGGGGCAGCGCCTACTCATCCACCACCTCCTCGCCCTACCAACACGCCTACTACTATGACGTCCCAGCCCAGGCCACCTGGATGAAGGTCATCCCTATCGAGGACGACGAGCTCACCTTCGGCGGCAAGCCCCTGTCAGACTGGCACGAGGAGGACCTGCGCCGCTACAGCAGCTCCAGCTTTGACTCACACGACGAGCATCGCGGCCGCACGCGCCAGCGCGCCTACTATGAGCCTACTTCGGCGCCCTCCTCTGGCGCCACAACGAGCAGTGGTCATGGACACCACCACAAGCACGGGCACAAGCACCACCACAAGAAGAGTGACAAGAAGAAATGAGCGAGCCATCACCTGCAAGAAGCAAAGCCGTGGCAGCTCGCTACACTCCAACACCGACGCCCGCACCATCGGAGTCCGGCGCAGTGTGTGTATGTGTGGGTAAGTGTCTGCGAGGTGCATACGCACCCAAGACACCACACCCGCGCGCATTACAGCACATGCAGCAGCCGGCCCCGGTAAACGCCACATCGTTGCACAACAGCCTTGGCAAGGCGGGCTAACCCAACCTGCTTACGTCTATCCCTTCGCGAGAATGCGAGCGGCCCCTCCCCTGACGTCGACGCCTCTCCCCCCTCTTCGACCGATGACCGAACCCGACGCAGCCCTCGAGACGACGCCTCCTAACAGCCCCCTCCATCCTCCACCATGCAAAGCTCCAAGCCAAGCCAATGACCGTGTACACATGGGAGGGCGGATGGGTTGTACACGGACGGCATTGGGGCGGGGAGGAGACAAAACACCATGCAGGGAGAGGCTACACATCTCGGCCGTCGAAAAGAGGCTGCCAGCTCGCTCGCTACACGATAGACGCCCTGCCTGCCTGTCTCAAACAAACAAAGAGAGACAGGTAGGCAGGCAGGCATACCAGACAAAGACAAAGACAAAGACAAGACGATAGACTCTAGATGTTCTATACAGTCATAGAAGCATAGACACTAGACGGATAGAAAGGGAACGGACGACCTCGAATACTGGGCTGGGGATGCCAGACCCTCATCGCCCTGCACGCCACACAACTTCACATTACACCACAAATTGATACGTTCGCCCTTTGTACAGTACGTTACGACAGGGAAGGGTCACCAGGGAAGGAAAGGGAAGGGCACAACGAGTCTGTCTGCGGCGTGCCGCCCTCGGACTCGTTTAAGCCTGCATGCATTCTGCACGGAGTCAATTTGTGTTTTTCGTTTCGGCGCCACTGCTATTTCGTCTTTTGTGCTTCTTTGGGGGACACCATCTAGCGACCTGCTTGCTTGCTTGCCTTTCTGATGGTCAATGCATCCTGCATACTGCACGCCATCTATCTACGGCCTACTTCAATATGCAACTACCTGTCACAGACTAGATTGATTCCCCTTCCCAGCGCCTCATTTCTGCTTGACGATATCCCGGCCTACCGCTTTGGGGCCCTTTTTTATTTATGGTTGCACTCAACTGTTTTTGGTCTGTTTACCAATCCGGGATTGGCACGTCTTTAGCGACGATGAAGGGGTTTCTGGTACATATATTGGCCTGACTCTCTATATTTGGTAGTGAGAATAGATAATCAGAATGAACACACTACAAACAACATGTCTGTCTCTATCTGCCTGAAGTGATCCTTTCCAACAAATATTCACTCCAAAGCAGAGCCTCACACTCTTGCCTATCGCCACCGAAAACCGGCACGCCTCATCGATGGCGAAAAAAGCTCAAGGTCGTGACGACAAAGATCGACCCAAGCCGGCAGCCATCTCGCCGATCCCTAAAATAAAATTCCCGGCAACTCCCCCACACAAGTCAACTCCCGCGCCCAAGCCCCATAAGGCAGAATTAGCAACGGCTAATCCCTTTTCCTTCCTGCCAGTGCCTACTGCTACCTCACATCGCACAACAATGGGATGAGCGCGCGCGCTACCATCGATGACCGGATGAAAACCTGGCCGGGGGGCAATCTAGAAGCAACAGGGGGTGCGCGCGCTGCGTCTAAATCTGCCGTCTTTGTTTCACCTCATGGATGTGGATGGACCCCTTGTCTGATCTCGGGCGGGTGGGGTGTTCCTGCGATGGCTGTATATTTTTACTTCTTTATTTTTGACTTAGGGCCGCCTTTTTTTTCTTCTATGCTTGTTGCGAAGGTTTTAGTTCGGACGCTTGCGGCTCAGTTGACTTAGATTTCGGAGATGGACGATCTGGGGGGCGGCTCGGTGCGCGCTCCCCCCACTCACATCCGCAGCCCTGATCCGGGGGCTGGATCTGGGCCTGGATCCGGGGCGGGTGAGGAGCGTGCTTGTGTTCTGTCGGATATGTAAGGGGCCGGGCCTGGCTTGATCGGGGGTTTAGTGGCCATCTGTCTACGTATCCTGCGGCAGTAAGTATCGTTGGAGTGTCTCGGCTGGGCAAGCGTGGATCAAAGACCTGCACGGCGTTGACATTGCACTGCATCAGCATACCCCCCACTCTCCCAAATGCTCTTGCCCACTGATCGCAAAGACTCAAGTCTCGGGATGCCAAACAATCTATCTCGTCCCGTGGCGATGGCGCATTCGTGCCAGCTGACTCGGGAGAAGCGTCTGCGGCAGGTAAGCCCATCGAGGAGGCAACTAAGTAGCTTGGCTCGGCTACTGCCTCGCTTGCAATCGAGGCCGCGCTCAGTGGCAGTAGGCCGACATGTAGTGTTGTTGTTGACGTGTTCGGTGTATTAACCGCGGACATGTAGGTGCTGGCGCCATAGGATGCTGCTTCGTGGTATGGTACCGCCGGCCTGCGTAAGACAATGTAGGCGAGCCAACGCAGAACAGCCGTATCAATGGTCAAAGTATGAAGTCGACCTAGTTGCTCCGTAGGTCTGCGGCCTGCGATCAGCGATGAGCTCAGCGCACACCACGCGTGGATCGGTCTGCCGCGCACGCTACCAATGCGAGAGAAGCCACCATACGTTCAGCAGGGCACATTATTCCACCGACTTCACTCGTCACGAATACTGATTGCTCCAGGAACTACTCTCGCTTGAATTGCTCCGCATCATATTCGCTTAGAGACCGTCACAGTCACAATACACGCACACTGCGAATTAGTCGAGGAGTCTGCAGGACCTTGTAAGTGCAGCCTAGCAGGTGTACATATGGTCTAAACTGCCTGTTTGATATTACGACAACGCATCAGACTCAGGTACTCATCATAACCCCCGACCCAGGTACTTATAATGAGGTGATAGAACAGTATGCTCCAGAAGCCTCGACCGTTCTCTCAAGTACCAGCTCGATATAACTGGTACCAGAAGAAAACACTGCTGTCCCTGAAACATTCGTTTGATCTGCTATCCCTAAAGGAGCAGAGAATCTCCTTGTTGAGGACAATGAACTGTGTCTGCCACGGATGTTTTACATTGGAACTTGACATGCTCATGCCTGGGCAGACTTGGTGTTCGGAAGCTGAGAACACATCGCTGCTGAGCCTTGGTCTGGCATATCTTGTTTCGTATTTACATGGATTTGGTAGTACCTGGAACATGTCGTGGATATATAATACAATTATATTTGATCCACACGGTTTGAGGCTTTCATATCTGAGTGCTGACATTAAGAAAGTGGTCTCACCCTACAACATGCATTTGACTAGCTTGTCTGTTATCTAACTTTATCCTACAAAGAGTTGCTGACTTCATGCCACTATTGTTTCCAATTGAATTTACTACCGGAACAGGGGAAGAACAACTGTATCTCTTTGTCTACCATGCATGTTGGTTCAGCCGCAGACGACCTTGACCTGAAAGCGGCTGAGGCTGAGCAGTCCTACAATGGGGCCTGAAAAGAAATTTGGAAAGTACATATAGATCCAGAGACCCTTCATACACATCAGATACCTGAACCCTGGATTGAAAGCCTCGACCGAACTGTCACGATGCCTGAGCCTAAGCCGATCCACATGCTTACGCTAGATGAGGAGGAAGTGATTAGGCAAAATGAGGCCCTGATAATTGAAAACGAAACTCTCAAGGACCAGTTGCAAGATGCATATGACGATATCAAGGGGCTCTCCGAAAGATTGATTGTACTTCTGGGAGTAAATCATTTCGGCGTACAGACTCCTGAGGAAGTTCGACCGGTACGTTGACAAATATTTGCTATAAGCAACAAGTACTAAATGAAGTGCAGAAATATGCAAAAGTCGAGGCTACCATAGACGATTTTGTCAACTCGATGGAAAGATCACTCCGACATGACCAAAATCACAAATCGCGTGTCCTGCAGGCTATGAAAAGCGAAGGGCTAGCGAAAGCCTTTCGAACTGCCCTGCGTTCCAATCCAGACCTTCAGGCGGCTGCTACGAATCCACTGACCAGCGTTTCCGACATTTGGAGGGCCTACATCTGGCGTTTTCTACTGCAAAAACTATTCTCGCAGCAAGCTACTTTGGACTTTTACCTCCAGCCAGGCGAGAACGCTACATATTACATTAGAAACATCAACGAACTGGACTACCTGATGGGAAAAGCTACTGATGGTCAATTCGGTAAGAAATAAATCGAGTGATGTATTCGTAGTAAGAATGTTGGCTCGCTAACTCTCCGTCCAGGATCATATTCCCGACGCCTGTGGAAAAGACAGGCCTTGTCTGCCGTTTTCAGAACTGCCGACCACAGTTGGCTCAGATCAGCACGGAACGCCAAGACCGACGAGCTGTGCCAGCTGCTTGTGCGAGTCTTCAAGGTATTCGCAAGGCCCTTAGGCGAGGACGGGGCACACCAATTGGCACGGAAAATCATCGCCGCGGCGGTCGAGCTCAACGAGCACATGATGATCGAGGCAGATGACATTTGGACCCTCGACCTGGACCAGATAATCGGCCCAGAAACGGACTTCCACTCCAGATTGAGTGATATGGATCTAAAATCGGTCGCCACGGTCACCGCCTTGCGGGACAACTCGCCCTTGGATTCTATCAGGTCGCGTTTGGCTACGGGGGTCATTAAACAACGCGTGGAGGCACTCTGCGTAGTAGCGCCAGCATTCCGATACCGACATATTTCACGCGAAGGATATGAGTACCAGGACCCGGTGACCCTGGTCAAGCCGCAGGTTTTGGTCGCTTTGAATGAGGTGTCATTGGCAGTACCTGCCCAAGACGGTGCTGCACTTGAATCGCCGTTCTTCGTCATGGCTCAGAGCCTGGGTCTCTGTTGATGACATTCTTGATAGAAGTAGCATTAACACCTTGTCATTAGTCGCTAATGTCGGCAGGCGCAGGGCGTTGGAACAGAAATGTATTACATTGTGTACCTTGTACCTTCAGACACTCGTCGTCCTAAATCAGCTTGGACTCGCCTCTCCTTGAATGCGGCATCATTGAGTCTGAATCTAGCCTTCGTTCATAATTGCAAGGTCTCTCTGTGGGATCAAAGTTCGAAATCCTGCTTCGACCGCTCTTAATAGTGGATAATCACCAGTGCACATTGCGGTCTTCCAGGTGCTCCTTAGAAGACCTTTCGGTCCATCATATCTGACATCAGCCCTTTTTCCTTTGCAATCGCGTCCCTGTGATGGTCGTTTTTCTTCACACACCATCAGAGGCGCCATATAGACTAGACGGCTCAATTGTAAATGCACACTACCTGTAGAATAATTAGAGATTCCCAATGACTAGAGACCAGAAGAGTTGGGTGGCCTAAGTGATGGCTGATACAAATTCTGCAGGTGTGAGTAAAGAATAGTGCTTGTACAAAGAACAAATCTTCAGTATTGTGAGCAAAAGCAACGAGCGCAATAGCTTCCATCCAACCAATAAGCCATGTCTTCCTCCTCCAACCAGTTTTACCACTTCTCTCAAGACCGAGTTCTTAATCTTCAGACTGACTCTACAGAGGGCTCAAACCGCTCCTTAGCTTGCTCCTGAAGCTCCTTCGTCCATCGGAAGCCGTTCTCCTCAAACCCCTTAGCCAGCTCTCTGTGCTGTTCGACGGTAAGCGTGATACGCCCACCACCCTCAAGAGACTCCTGCCAGAACACGAAGGGCACCACAAACCCGTCTGCCTTTTCAAACTCCTCAAGCAACCTCATTCTCTGGGGATCAATCAACCTGAGCATCTTCGCCGCCTGATCCTCAAACACAGACGGGCTCCGGGCCAGGACCGTCTCGAGACTGTCCATCTCCGTTTTCATTACCTCATTAGAGCTTTCGTCCTTGGAGAGGCCGGCGAAGGGGCCCTGAACCATGACGGAGCCATCACTGCGCACGAGGAACGAGTGGCGGCTCAACTGCCCTTTCACGATGCCGAGGGCATGCAGCCGCGTCAGGGCTGATCTGCACTTGTCTACGTCTGCGGTGCCGGCCTCACGAGCATCCGGAACGCGCTCGAGGAGAAATCCTATCACACGCGAATGATTCTCAGTGACGTGCGCCAGAAAGCGCGGCGCCAGCCCAGGGTCCTGAGCTTGGATGATCTCGTGGGCGCGGGCGTCGTTCTCGATGCCCACCCAATGGCCGGGCAGCCAGTCTGTCACGCGAAGCACCTCGTCTGCATCCGTCATTACTTCAGCGGGGGCCGTCACGATGGAAGCGGAGACATAGTCCATGCACTGGAGATCGGTGGGCTTCGGGACGCTGATCTCCCTTCCGTCCGCGTTGACTGCGACCGTCCAGCGCGGACTACCTGGCGCGTCCCGGCAGTCCACCACGTCGACGGTCGTGCTACACCAGACGGGCTCTGCGCTGCATAACCCGAGGCTATCAAGCGCACCAGCGGTGTCAGTCTCGGTCGATGTCAGAGCGAGCTTGCCCGCCTGGCCGTCACGATCTTCTGTGGCGGCGAGCCGGCCAATGATCCAGTCGCCGGCAGGGACCGTGTTGAAGACAAGGTTGTTATGGCGGCGAGTGTGAGCGTCGGGTCCGATGAAGACCTTGCTTGAGTTTGGAGCAGCTAGGTACTTGATAGTCGGCTGGCCCGCCGCGGCGTGCGTGGGCTGGATGCGGATGCGGTACAGGTCCGGCGAGTCGGGGAGGGAGAGCATTCCTGGCAGAACATTGTCGATGGTGAAGGGGACCATGGTGGTGGACTGTGAGGACTGCATGATTCCTAGTAAGAGCATCGGAAAAGGAACTTATGCAACTTTGAGAGGAGATAATGGTGAGTCGCTGCTTTGAGTGAAACTGTAGGAACTGTACCGGTCTTGATGTTTACGGCTGAGCAATGTCATGAAGGTGATGCATGTTGCAAGTCTATCTAGAGGGGCAAGAATGGGGGTCGAGCCTTTTTTATATTCTTCTATCATTACGTGTTGCTCATTGTCTGAAGTGTGTTGAGCTCTGATTCTATTCATCGATGCAGTCATCCCAATGCAAGAGGACTAAAGTGATTCTCATGAGGCTGTACTGCAGTCACCCCCAAGAGAGACTTGAACTATTCCTAATAGGGACACCTGCATCTCCTTGCAGAGTGTGTGGCATTGTGCACTTGCGGCCAATTATCTGGCCGGGTCACCCCACATTGGAGTTTCCTAATCTGTCCCTGACTGCATAGAGTAAAGCTGGAGGCCTAACTGGGATAGAAGAGTAAGTTTTACAGTTATAAACTGATACAAGTGAAAGATAAGCGGTACTATATTCCTACATGGCTGTTGTTATATGTGAGGGGCGGAGGCTCGGGACGCGGCGGCCCGGGCAGACGTTCTTGCAGGAGAGACCGTACCCACGCCGGCCCGCCCGAGAGGGGCAGAGGTCCTCCTTCTTCAGGTGAGAAACCGCCGGGGGATAGGCATTCCCGCCAGATGATGATAAAGCCTTGCCGTTGCTACTACTACTTTCTTTCAAATGTAAGAACACAGGGCGCGGGTGCCTGGGCTTTGAAGCGCGCACAGCTTTGCTGGTCTCTCCCTTTCCTACTTCGGGTAACTCTGAATGAAAATGAACAAATTTCTTTTGTACATCGAGCTTTTGTGCTATGAAGGTAAGGGAACCGTCTCAAATGTCATGAGGGCTCCGAGCCCGTGAGCTCGAAGAGGATCTTGCACGCGTTTCAGAAGGCAAGCCTGCTCTGTGATCAAGTAACGTCTTCTTTAAACATGAAAATAATGAAGCAGTAAATGGATGATCAGCTGGCCAGGGGATTTTCCACCCTTAGCCCTTTAGCTACCGTAGGCTAAATCTGCTTGGGCTGATGTTCGTCCTGTAGCTGAATCTAGCTTTAGTAGTCGGGTTTGAAATAATAATTTCAGTCGTAAGGATTCGCAATTTACCTCACAAAGATTATGTGACATCCATTGGCCTCGCATTATATGCACTCATGTTCGTAGTAAGGTCTACTGGTGTACGAAGTGCGAACCAGTTTGTTGGTAACCATACCCGGGGGACACAATATGTTCACTGATGATATGCTCTTGGAGTATGCAGGTAATAGCGATTGGCCGTACGATCGTTGTTGCCGGCTTGAGTATGCTGAGACCGTGCTGAAAGCACTTGAGGCTTACCTGACAAGCGTCAGGCGTGGGATTTGATGATTTTGGAGAACTTCGAAATTGATTCTTCAAAATTGAAGTACGGTTGACAGTATTCGATTCGTGCTCGATTTTAAATGCAAACAGATTCCCCTGGTTGCATCTGATCAATTGATTTGCCCTTCATATCGAAGCAATTGTCTTGGTTTTGCAGTTTTGAAGTGCTTCGATTTATTTGAAAAGTTGATAATTGAATAACAGCGTATGGTACTGAATCAGCGATAAGGGCAATCGATGTACATTCAGTCGTTCCAAAATCATGCTAATTGTCCGCACTTCGTCAGTCACATTTTTGCTCTGGAACGATTGAATGCATATGAGAGCAAAGCTCCCACGGCTCCAACTACTTCCGGCACAGTCAGGATTCCGAACCCTGTCGCTTACGGGGGCATTTCTGCAACAGCAAACCCTGCAGAAGGACTTTATGCAAGACTGCTAATGGTCGGGTCCGCCAGTCTGTTGTGCAATGCATTCAGTCAACACGCTCGCTCCTTGATTGGCATGCGGCCTGGATCCGCATCGGGCCCACTGGAGGTGGTAAAATGGACTCTCACCATTCACATGTAGTGCTGCGCCTTCGGCGGCTCGGCGCGGACCAATCGCCGATTTAATGGTTTGATATGGGCCTCGGAACTGTTGTGAGATTAGCCGCGGTCTACTCAACGCAACTCCACCGTCTGAGCTGATAGTATCGATTTAGCTTGTAATACCGATCATCATAATTGCGTCCTTAGTTCACTACAAGTTCACTGTCTTCGAACTCCTAGCTCTTCTTTGAGTTGAGACACAAAAGTTGACGTTCGCTATGGATTACTCGGTCCCCGAACAGGCAAAGCAGCTCCTCAACAAGGGCATTTTGGAAAATCCCTTGATCGCCTCTGATCTACCCACCGATGCTGCTGAAGCTGCCAGAAAGATATCCTTCACTGGGAGCGACTTACCCAGCATCCCCATCAATTGGCGCTTTGCCGAGAGCATATCTACCCTCAAGGCCTATGAGGCTATTCTCGTCAATGTGCTGCTCAAGAGAAAATACGGTCTCGAGCCCGTGCCAATCACCATCGACACGTGAGTTCTTTCTGCAATATTTGTCTCAATGGCTCTGGCTACTCGTGGTCAGAAAAGAGACCGAGACTCACACGTGGCCGACAGTGACCATGCCCAGCTGTTCATCATGTCGACGATGCTCTGGACGCTTGACCCCGCAGGAGATAACCTCTCTGCAATGTCTATCATGTCAACCCCAGAGGGTCGGGCAAAGCTCTCGAGATATTTTCCCGACTGGGATAACCACCACTCTAAGTCAAGCATTTACAGAACGGCTGCTACTAACATATATAAGACTTTAGACGGAAAGTTCTTTCATCTTCACGGTATGCCGCACCCACTATGAATCAGCTGCGAGGATATTCTTCTAATTCTTCTCATTCTGACGGGCAGGCTCAATGAACCCTGATCCTACGCTTGACAGCATTGGCATGCCCCATGAGATGGAATTTGAGTCTTTGCCCGAGGCTTCAGCTGCCATCGGTGAGTCGGTGGGCAAGCTGACGGCCGATGAGTTGCAGCACCGTGCGACCGACATATACAAGCAGGCTGGCACTATTTGCTATACCCGGGAGCAATTCCGCGAAAGCGAGCACGGGAAAGCCAACGCCCACGTGGGTCTCTTTGAAATCCGCGAGCATCCCAACCCTCAGCAGAAGCCATGCTGGTGGCCCGACGTACCCCAGACATCTGCCAAGCGGCCGCTCGCGGGGCTCAAGGTCATTGATCTCAGCCGCATCATCGCTGCACCCGCCATCACCCGCGGCCTCGCCGAGCTTGGCGCCAGCGTTATGCGTATTGTCGCGCCTCACCTGCCCGATATGTCAGCCTTGCATCTAGACCTGAATCATGGCAAATGGAACGCGCTGCTGGACTTGCGCAAGGAAACAGACCGGGCTACCTTGCGAGAGCTCATCCTTGACGCCGATGTATTCCTCCAAGGTTACCGGCCCGGTGTGCTTGACAAGTATGGCTTTGGCGAGCAGGATATCATGGAGATATTTCGAGACCGCAGCCGTGGCATCATATACGTGCGCGAGAATTGCTACGGCTGGAACGGTCCATGGAAGGACAGGAGCGGCTGGCAGCAGATCAGTGATGCCGTAAGCTTCTTTGACCTGTTTCCTGAATGAGCTTGGTTTCTTACTGATAGTGCAATTCCTAGAACTGTGGAGTCTCGTACGAGTTCGGTCGCGCAATGGGTAATGACGAGCCCGTTACCCCGGTGTTTCCGAACTCTGACTACTGGTGAGCCAACGATCTTCACATATTGCACTAGCATTGATCTTCTCCCTCTCTTAAAAGCTGACGACGTAACCCCTATCAGCACAGGAGTAGCCGGTGTTGCCGGCGTCCTGACGTCTTTGATACGTCGAGCTGAGAAAGGAGGATCTTATAGCGTCGATGTGAGTCGAAGCCAGCCCTCCTCCTGCCATCTGACACGAACACAAAAGTCGCCATATGTATCTCCTGACAAATATTCTCCTGGTGTAAAAACAGATTGCGCTCAACTACTACTCAACGTGGCTAGTAAACAGCGTCGGCATGTACCCCGACGCGGTATGGCAGGACTTGTGGAAGAGCAACGGCTCGCTTGTCTTCCGGCACGACCAACCCATGCAAACAATGCTGCCCGCCATGATACAGACCATCATGAAATACAGCGCAAACAAGCTGCTCAAGCCACATCACTTCACGACGTACAACTGCAGGTACCTTCAAAAGGACGTTAGGATTGTCGCACCCATCCTACAGTTCCCTCAAGGTGAGGTCAAGCCCGGATACAGCGTCGGCACGAGGACGAACGGCGTCGACAAGCCAAGGTGGCCCACCGATTTGACTGTTGAGGTGGTAGAATAAGAAAAAGAAAAAACGGCAAGCCGACTTCCATTGTGCTTCTGTTCCTAAGCTGTGGGTGTAATGAGAAACAGAACGTCAACCCCGTAATAGGCCGATTCTGGAAAACCTTTATTAGCTGTGGCGTGGACGTATTCGCGCTCTGGTTTCGTGTCTACCTTGAAGTGGACTACTTTTGGTTTCTAGAGATTTTCTGTCGCGTTATATTATGGCAGCCCAACGGCGGCGTCCGTTGTATATATTGTCCATCAATCTTGGGAGCAATGGGCAAACAGCATATTGGACAAGGGCGAATGAGCCAAGACAACAGGGTCAGGGTAGCATTACAGATTGGACAGCTTCAATCATTTGTTTGCATGTCATGATTCTGGTTCGTAGCATTGCCATTTAGGTTACGTCGCCTGGTTCCAGTCAAACCACCAAAGCGCCCCTCGTGACATGTCCAAAAAACTCCGAGGCCGGGAAGAAGAAGGGGATTGATAAAAAGTAAGAGAAATGGGTATCGATGTCATATGTGCTCCCGGTCGCTCATCTTCGCGCGTTAAAGCCAAAAATCAGTCTGGGAAATCTCGCCACCAACAGCCGCTTTTCGGCACAAAAGATTCCAAACGCCGGCCCCAAATGCAAGCCAGCGTGAGACCTGGTCTATGAAGAAACATGAAAAGACAACTACATCGTGCTTCGTGGGTTCGTGATACGTGCATGCCCAGCCAAGGCAAGCAAGCTCAGCTCAGAAAACCGAGGTGCGCTTCCACTTGGGACTCCTCTTCCGCTTCGTGGAGTTCTCGTGCAGCCACTCGACGAGCCTCTCCTTGTCCTCATCAGGAAGGTCGGACACACTGTCATTCAGAAGATCAAGACAGCTCCGCGATGCTACAGCACATCAGCGACCAGACTTTCGGAAAGGGACAAGACACTAGTACTCACGAGCATATCGACCAACATCAACACCCATCTCGAGCTCCAGCAGCGCGGCAGCCATGCGCGCGCTGTTGTAGCAGTGGAACTCGCGCTGGATATCCAGCATGCGACGCCACAGGTGCGCGTCGTCCATGTCCTCTCCAGCGGTCGGGTCGAGGTGCCACGTCCGCACCGAAGACATCTTGCGCGAGGAGGCGGCCGAGATGGAGAAGCGCGCGTTTTGACTCAGCTTGCATGCGGTGTCGAGGAGGGGCTGCTGGGGCTCGGGTGGTGGGGATGAGCACGGCGTGATGGCGTCCTCATCGTCGCTGAAGGAGGCCTTGGCTGAGATGGAGCGGCGGCTGCCGTGACTTCTTTGTTGTTGGCGTTGTGACAGTGCCATTGTGTATTTGTGTGGGTGGCTTGGGATGTGCTGGTGAGAGTTGATGATTGTTTGAGTTTCCTGCGAATGATGCGGGACTTTTCCGGTTCGTTGTGTTGTTTGGGTACCGTTGTGGTGGATATATTAAATCTCAGGGCGACCCAAATTTCCAAGCGGAAGGATTTTCGGGGGTTGTCAGCTTTCTTTTTATGGATCGGCGCGTATGCAGGTTGACGCCGCAGTCAGTTTTGGGTGGTAAGAAGATGTTTGGTTTTGCTTATTATCGCAGAATCCAGCGAGGCAGGGCATGCATGAGTCAGGCCGGATCGGAGAGCGGCCGAGGGGGTGTCTACGATATATATATTCAAGTAACAAGTGTGTGTTTGTGTGCACTGGACAGAGAAAAGGTGGTCTAGAACGGCTTGCAGCGTGATCTCATCACTGTGGTTGCATTCAGGTGCATGTGCGTGCACTCGCTTGTGTGTGTGTGTGTGTGACGGCACTGCTGGCCCCCTTATTCTGCAAGCGTAGGCCTGAGTCAAGGCCTGGTTGTCCGGCTGTCTTCGCAGTGCTGTTGTCAATGCACCGCACTACGATGCGATCATCTAGGCTGTCGGCTCCGTCTTTGTGACCACAGTGACTCCCTTGTTGCACATTACAGGCTAGAATAGGGTGTCGTCTGGGGTGGGGTTGGGCCGCACTTGAGTGGATGCCATCATCCGGCATATCTGCGGGAGGTAAGAGAGCCTTGGACTGACAGCTCACGGGTGCGATGTGGACATCTCTATTCGTTTGTACCTTGATTCAGGACAGGGAAGTACCGTACCAGTGGGCGGTTGGGCTGAGAGAGACCTGGTCCGGCTGGTGTGGGAACCGGATGGGTACCTTACCGTGATATTAGGCGCAGGCTAGTCTTCCCTGCTGGTGCTGTCTTACTGCTCTGCGGCGACCCAGCAAGAGTCTTCGCTGTCGTCACAGCATTGATCTGGTAATCTTGACTTGATTTCCCAAAGCCTTTGAGCTTCATGCACCCTGCCATGGCACCTCGACAAGTGCCGGATACGAGCACTGTGACACGTCTGTGGAACAGCACCAGCTGAACAGAATCTGGGGAACAATACTGGACAGCAGACGCCCTCTTCGTACAGCCCTGTGCTCTCATGGTCTGATTGACCGCCCGAGAATGATGGCCATCAAGTGGGGCATGTCATGACCTCGCCCTTTCGCGCCCGAAGAGCGGATCTACAATGCAACCTTGGCTTCGGCTCTGCTCCCAGCCCTCCACTAACACCGCAAGATTCACAGGAGATTTACAGGCATGGCAAGCACTGACCACTGCTTAAAACAGGTAGGGGTGGAGAACGCGCGAAAAGAAAAAAAAATCGTGAAGCAGACAGAAAATTTCCTGACACTGACGACATGATCCCTCTGTCACGACCAGCTTAACCTCGCAATCACGGTGGCAAGCGCAGATTCTGTCATGAGGAATTTTCCTTCTCTCCCTGCACGCGTGGCTGGCGGTCCTACGAATTACATTACTGGGTCCTGATGGTTCACAAGGGCTCAGACATGATAACGGTTGAGCACATGGACGTCTTCCAAGAAGGGAGGGTGTAGCCGATGTCTTGTACTAGACAGTAGAACGATGTCTTAGACACCCCTCTTCACGCCAACAGGGCTCCAACGGTTGCTCGTGACAAAGTAGCGTGGGGTGCAACTGCAGTGCATGTCTTGTCGATCAGCGCAGAGTCATTCTCTGGTTCTAGCGGAGGATAGGCGGGCAAAGACCAGTCGCATCGTAGCACGAATCTGGCAGCCTTAACCCAGAGGGGCAAACCGAACAGCCAGCCTAGAGGCTGATAGGACCACAAGCTTCTAGTCTTGCCAGCCAGTAGGTGAAGCTCGACTCACGCCAGAAGTTTCCAAATTGACGACAAAGGGTCACTTGTGAGGCTTACAGGCCGCCCGCAGGACGTAAGGAGCGTTTCAGGGGTCAGCCCAGCGGAACCCAGGGCAACACAGCGGAATGCCCAAAACCTTATCATCGACCAGAAAGCTTGTCCCTCACCTGCGTGTACATGTTGACCGGCGAACAAGAGACAGTTGTCAACAAAGCGTGTCATGGCAAATCATATTTCTGACTCTTGTTGACGCCAGCCACCTCACTGCTGATGCGGTAGAGTTTCACATAATCATGTGAAGGCATCATGCTCGTCTCCATCGATCATACCGAATCGGACAGCTACGACTCCTTGCGCCTGGGGCCAGTGCACACAATAGAAAGAGAGGAGCAGCCGACCTCGGGACGACCTCCGCATCCCGACTTCCTCTACACGGAAGTGCCGCTGCAGATCCCGGCAGTCATCGCAGCGCCGGCCCTGCGCTACAGCTGGGAATAATCCGGCGCTGGAGGCTGCAGAAGCGCCATTCCGCAGTGGCACCCCGAACAAGACGATCGTCGCAAACACAGACCGCCAATCTGGGGTGTTTTTGTCACCTCGCACCTCGCAGGCCTTACCCAGTGGCCGCTTCCCCTCATCGTCTGGCTGCGTCTTCTCTCGTCAGCCAAAGCCAAAGCTCGGTGACCGGCAAGGTCGGACCCAGAAATTGGGGACATGTCATGCCCGCGGTTTCACAGGCAGCGGCGTCAGACCGGGGGCTGCATGCAGCTCGCTGAGTGAGCATATGATCCAGAGCAGTGCAAGTGCTTAGGTGTAGGAGGAATAGTTCATCCCAAAGGACGCCCAAGCGCAGCCAGAATATTGACACTAGCCTCAAATGCTTGTGAGCTTCGAGGAAACGCTTGGAAAGGAGCACTCCTTTTCGCAACCCTAACCTGGAACGCGACCACGCTTTTTCTCCCCTCTCCGGGGTCCGCATCAACAACAGAGTCCTGCAATATCTACAGCTCAAGTGTGCACAGATCATGTCACCCGTGAAGATGGTCATCTGAGGTGTTCAATAACTGAGAAATCACATATAGTCCGATGGCTTGAAAGTTCTGATCTGAAAGTATTAGATCTGCTCAGCTGTTAATTTCATGAGAGCGCCCACGAAGGTCCAGATCTCGTCAACAAGAAGAGTAGTGATCCAACAGTCTGCTGAGTTGAGCACCTGGGAATATTTACCTAGTGACTCAAAATCAGCCAAAAATTCGGACCTTTGTATTTCTTTTTACCAGGTTCTAGCTCCTTCAAAGAAGAAATTCATTATGGATAGCTTTGAGCACCACAGGATTCGAAAGGCTGCAACTTGAGACGCGTTGGGAAAGCGAGAGCAGTACGTGCAATACCGATTGCCATGAAAATCCAGAGAATTTACATCGTTGGTGACTGGGATTCTGTAAAGTTGTGCCGCAAGCCGTAAGCAGGTAGTTTCCATCGGCACCAAATCAGGATATCCCACTCCTTTGCACATATTCTATGGCCGGAAGCAAGAGAAGAAACCGCCAGGTCAGTGGGCGGTTTGTCACTACCTCTACCTTTGTCTCTTCAGGTCTATTGTCAAACTTGAAGCGTACGGCAACATTCTGACATATCTCGCAATTTTCAGCCGCACCTCTAAAATCAAGGCAGGATTTATCCCATTGATAGCGTCGCGTCACCGGTCATTTCCAGAGATAATGCTTCTCTGTCCGTCGACAACGAAACAGCACGTGCCGGCATACTCTCAGTAAATCCTCAGACAACTCAAGTATCCCATGTTGGATTCTATGACAACAAGCGAATTGATTAGGAGGTCTATGCCAATGACGATGACAATGACAATGGCAACGCCGTGCCAGGTTTATTCGATGCACAGGCAGAGCGCTCCAACGCACAGCTAGGCAATACCTATACACAGTCAGGGAATGCAGACCCAGGCCATGCCAATAAACTATTAGAGGCTGCTGCCGCATGCACGTCCTGAACGTTCTTTGTTCGGGTCACACTGCTGAGTTCGTCACATGCTGACTGGACCGTATGTTAGCGAATGCGACAGCATACATGCGATTCTACCCATTGACGACGAGAGTTACCGCCGCCGCATATTCACAGTCGTCCTGGCCGCCATTAGCGCACTGTCTTGGACAATGGCACCCAAGCCCTTCTTCAAACCACACGCTTCGAAACACCGGCCTGGAAAGGTACACCAGATGAAGCTCGGCAGGTTCAACGGCGTGACAGGCGTTTGCGATAGACTCCTTAGCGTGTTCAAAATGAAATATGGATTCCTGTCCCCCCCCCCTGCATAGCGGCAAAGGGGATTTGGAAGTCAGGAAAACGTGTTTGGAAATACCAGCGGTCTAGGAACCAGAGTTTTAACGGAAGCGGGCGCTATTGAAGCCTCGAAATTGAACGCCCGCTTGATTTTATACGCCAGAAATAGAAGCTGATTTCGCAAAGAATGGGTGTGTTTGTGGATTATTTGCGGATTGTTACCCCATCTATTATCTATAGTCGTTGGTTCTCACTAGGTAGGCATAGGGCGTTGATAGAAGTGTAATAGCAGCGGGGATTTAAAATTAATCTGTTGTTTTTAGTCAGACTACAATTGTTCTGTAGTCATGTAGTTGTAGTTAACTCTTCGGGTTGAATACATGTAGTTTTGTAGTCTGTAGTCCGAAGAGCTGACTACAGCTACATGATTACAGAATAATTGTAGTCTGACTACAAGACTACAAATTAATTGTAGACAGGCTAGTGACTACAACTGAATTATTCACGAATTTGCTGACTACAACTTTGTAGTTTTAGTCAGGGTACTGACTACAATTATTCAGACTAATCTCAACACTGAATAGCAGATTGGGCTTTTCAAGTGTCTTAGCACATATAATGGAAGCGCATAGAACCCAGCTATATGAAGAATGTAATTGATCATCACTTGTGTCCAAGGACATCCTACAAGGTGCTTAAGGTGCGACATTTGACTCCTCGATCGCAAAGCTGAGGAGGGTTTCAGGAGGCTAGAAGGCTGTGTTTCAATCATAACACCACTGATGACTGATATTGGCCATTGCTGAATCTTTTTTGGCGTGAAATCTTATTGGTAATGCCTCTTTTGGAAAACTGTATTTATACAAGGATAGCCATAACACAAAATGTTCAATATTTACTTCGAATTCACAGACCCTTTGCCCCAGGCATGCGCATTGCGCGATTGTCGCTTTGAACATGGAGTTTTAAGTACGACTCCAAGATGACCAACTATCCGGAGTATGCCCACCTGACATGTCATCTCTTCCTCCTGTATTCCGTGTGTCCATCATCTCGATATCGTCTGAGTCAATGATATTACTCGGCAAGGACTTGCTGCCCTTGCTACCCTTTCTGGACTTTGACCTCGGCTTTGAATCGTCACCTTTGGATGGCCACATTTCGGAGCCTCCAATAGTCCGCTGCTGACCACTAAAGTAACTGGCCGAGTACCTCTGGTCCATTTCGCTGCCTGGCAGCAGCCGACTCACCCAGTCTTTCCACAGGGGCCGGCAAACTGGAATTCCGATGGCAACCATGGTGACTGTCAGCTCTGCTGCATGCCAGATGATTAATGCTGCTCTGTCTCCTGCAATGAGAGATTAGCAAGTCAGCTTTGCTGATCACAGTTGGCCAGACATACTCATGTATTCCCCATCAGACATTGATGGCAGCTCGACTGCTCTCATTATGCCACACGCGCCCGCGCTAACACGATTACTTGTCAGAGATATGATCTTCGATTTGGAAACTCTGGGGCCAGACTTGACAGAACAGAACTTACAAAATGCCCAAGCTAAGACTGTACAGCACAATGTTCTTCTCCCGAGGTGGCACTTAATACAACGGTCAGCCGGGGACTTCTTGCCATCTTGTGCAGTACTTACTCTGGATATTCTTGAGGGTCCACCACGGTAGAGCCGCGAAAATAAAATCACAGAAGAAGCTCAGGATGGCGGCAATGAGGTTCAAGTACACGGCACTGTCACCGCAGACTCCATCCGGATTCAGCCGGTCCCACAGAAAAGATATCGGCCGACATTCAAGCCAGAATGCCAGAAGTCCCGATGTCACAAACAGCCCAAGAAGAGCAGGCGGCAGTATAATCGTCCACCGCGTCTTTCGACCACATGCGCCGAAGATGCGCAGCAGAAAGAAAGCCAGAGCGGTCTTGGAAATCCAGACCGCAACTCCAACAACAGTCTGCCCAGCATTTGTGAGAATTATCACCATTGATCGATCCCATGGATCGGGCACGTCGTCGCGAATTAATCCGAAGCCATAGAAGGCAGATATCGTGATCAGAACGCAGTATGTGACCAGGAGGACCTGTTCGAGACAAGGGGCTGTCAGTAAGTGACAAGATAGGAAATGCTCCCCACACATCGCGTTACTGTACTTACGAATGCAATATTGAAGAGATGATCATCTATCCCTATAGCATCAATGACTTTATACCGGGTATAAAGCCTGAGGAGGACGAATACCAAGGCCAGGGCTACAAGGCACCACAGAGCAGCCAGCGTCTGCGGTGCATTGCCTTGAGGCGATGAAAACGGCGGCATCTCAACAAATAGACATTATCGAAAACACAGAGGCAACAATCACTAGTTCTCGAGGAGTGGCACAGGCCAACTTGTAATTTCTACCAACTCGGAGGCTCTCGCATTCCCGATGATTATCTAAACATCTTTATTTAGGCCTGTCTAAGGCAGAACTGACTCACTAACCAGGCACGCCAGGCTTGGACATCGGATCGACTTGGCATGCTAGCCTGATTAGAGACAAGACAGGCCACCTCAGATCAAAAACTGGAACAGCGTGAAACCGCCGCAGTGGATTAAAGGAGATCATGCCTTGAACGGTTATGCACCGAAAGCATATCTCGGTAGGCCGCACGGAACTTGTGGCGTCTACTATTGACGGTAGCTTCGCCGTAGTGGATAGCGATACCGTGGAGGATGCGAAGGCTATTTCGTATTATCAGCAACACTTCAAGTCGAAATCCACCGGAAATTTGAACGCCATTTTGATATGCATAGGATTGTTAGATGATGTATCTGTGTTTTCTGGATGTTCTCACGCCATAAATCGGCGGTTAATGACTTACCCGAATCTGCCGAAGAGGCCGCTGGCCAACAGAATACTTGATACATCGCGGGATTCACACCTAGTGAACGAATCGGATTACACTCTTCAAACGCATGTTCGCTGCACCTGCCATGGAGTTCTGATCCGTTGCATCGAGGGTGGCGGCTTGTGTGCGGCTGAAGTTTACTAGCACAATCTACTCTTGGTATGCAGTCTTCGTGACTGCGTCGACAGGCTGTTGTCTGCCGTCATCAGTGAACGAGTCAGCCGCCACGGAGATCGCCTTAGCGCCGAGGCATTGGTTCAGCAGCTGAATCAGTGCCGTGCAGGTTTCCTTGCAGGCGCTCGCAGACACTGATGAGACGTCACAATTTGAAGCGCGTCTTGGAAGTGGGACTGACGGTAGCCAAGATCAGTTTCATGATAGAAGAAAGACATTAAGTAGGTGTGGAAAGTTGTTTTCCTACTATTTAAACCACTGGATTTTGTGCGTGCCGGAAATTTGGCAAGCACCGTCTTGGCACGGCGTTCACAATGCGGTAGCACTCGGCGATTCGGAGGCCGACCGGCGGAACAAATATTGTTCCAGCACCAAGATACCCATCGACTGGCAAATCAGATGCTGAGAATGATAGTACTTTATCAGAGTATCAAGATCTTTAATGGCCGGAAGCCGAGTTGGCTTTCGATGTAAGCTTGTTCATGGCAACGAAGCTCACTGTTCGTGCCGTGGATTCGCCTTACGCTAGGATGGCTTCAGCAGAATGGCCAATCGCTCAGTATATTACTTCACAAAACAGATATTACAAGCATATGAATTTACAAATGTGGTGTTCTAATGACATGCCATTTCCACACCTTTAGACATTCTGCGTTCGCTCTACTCGGGTCAAAATGTCGACTGTTGCAAGCACCACCAATGTCAGTCTCACTGAAAACGAATCTCGATATAGCCCTGTGTACAATGTCTTTTACTCTCCCACGGCGGCGTCTGCAGTCAAGGCATTAATGGATGTCGGACTGGGAGATGTCGTATACCTGCCTGGGCAAGAGCGCTTTGAAACTCGGATTGAATCGTATTGGTCACGTACCTCGCAACTCAGACCGTGGGCTGTTGTCCAACCTCGGGACACTCGCGAAGTATCAATGGCCTTGAAGGCCCTTGTAAATACTCCTGGATGTCAGATCGCAATTCGAAGCGGAGGACACATGGCTGCCCCTGGAGCAAGCAGTATTGAAGATGGTGTCACTATTGATCTCGGCCTCCTCCATAGCACCAAATACAACGCTGAAACTAATCTGGCGTCCCTCGAGCCAGGCGCGCGCTGGGGAGATGTGTATGCGGAGCTTGAAAAGTGTGAGTCGCCTACCCTGTGTCCTAACCCTATCTCTTTGAATCGCATGGGCTAACGCCTGGATGTTCCCATGATAAGACAATGTGATGGTTGCAGGTGGCCGTGAACGGGATGTTGCCGTGGCAGGATTCTTGTTAGGCGGCGGGACGAGTCTATATACTTGCCGAAGAGGATTTGGATGCGACCAAGTTATCAATTTTGAGGTGGTACTTGCCGATGGCAGCATTGTCCAAGCTAATCGCGATGTAAATTTCGACTTGTTTCAGGTATTAAAGGGTGGTGGCAACAATTTCGGCATAGTCACCCGTTTCGACATGCAAGCATTCCCAACAAGCCAAGATGGTATATGGGACGCCGTCGTAACTTATCCCAGCAAGTCGACAGACGAATTGTTGGCAGCTCACTTCGAGTTTACCAAGGGTTTGAACAAGGAGTCCGATGCCCATTTATTGCCCTTCGTGAGTAAAATTCTCGAACCTACTCTAGACCTGGAAATTTTCTGACTTAAGAACGAAGTGGTATTCTTCAACCACATCGAAGCGGCCAGTTATTACCGCAATATTGACACAGCTTGACGGCCAAGAGGATAGCAAGTCTCTGGCGAAATTCAAAACTATTTGTGGATGCCAGATTGTGAATGAAGGATCCACAACGGTAGCTAGGAAAATGGAAACGCTCGCAACACCTCCAGGAGAGTGCGTACCCAGAAATATGATTGCGAGCAACCAGGCAACTTGACCTATTCAACACAGACTGATGTTTTGCATGAACAGATACACAACTTTTAATTTACTTCTGAAACTCGACATGCGGATCCTCACGAAGATATCAGAGACCCACGCGAGCATAGTTCGCAGTTTTGCAGAACGTTTACCCGATAGGGAGATTGCAGTCTACTTCGTAGTCCACCCGTTTCCCGCTTGTTTTGGCCGGAACTCTGCCGCCTGTGCGGGAAATATTATGGGCGTCGAAAATATCGAGGACGACTGCATTCTTCTTCAAGCATCGCTGGCGACCGACAATTTACACAGATCCGCTTACGTCTCAACATTCAAAGAGGGTCTTGATGAGCTCGAGGCTTTTTCTCAGTCGATCGACCAGTAAGTCGTCACAAATTGCCATCGTGACGCATGAATACTGAAGGGAGCACCAGAAATATGGGATTTCGTTATCTTAATTACAGTGATATCTCTCAGGACCCATTGAGCACGTACGGAGAGGACAATTTCAAGCGAATGCGGGAAGTGGCTATGAAGTACGACCCAACCGGTGTCTTCCAAACGAGAGTACCTGGGGGTTTCAAACTATCTAAGGCTAAAATCTGGAGAGGATAGTAAGACGCCCGGACTGGGGATTGTTGCTCAGTTGTACAGGAACTAGTTCTCTGCACATAAGGGTAATCAAGAAAGCTAAGCGGTAAACCTAAGTCCTCAACGCCTCTCACCTCCCTTTCAACGAGGTAATTATCCCAGCAATACTCTAGCCAGTGATGTCAAGACTGTCATGGTTTGGCAATGCTGCCGAGAACACTGCACCGCTAGCGAACATCGAGTGGCAACGGTGCGTCGTATTTGCGCGATAAGGCACAAAAACTTGTAGAGTGACGCATCTTGTTCTTCCAAGCTAGCATGTCAACCAGGGTTTTGAAGCGCCAATGCAGCGTCAAAGTGACTAATTATGGTGCCTTCCGGCGGGCGTATAGCATACATGAAAATGGTAATCCGCAAGCCGCAGCCTGCCATACGGGTTGGCAGGCTTGACGATTAGGCCAATTATGTCGATCTATTACTCAGTTTACGAACCTAACGTTCAGCACATTTCATTGTCCTAACTATGGTGGCATCATCGGCAATGTCGATGTCAAGCAAGCTCTTCAACATGGTGCGCTCTATCGGGGTGAATCGGCGTGCCATACCACGATACCACTCTGGCTCGATTTATGTCAGGTGATATATATGGTACGTTCAGTCGTAAAGCGACACTTCAGGCCTTCGCCCCGCGTAGACACGTCAATTTCACGGCTGTGTTGACGCGTTGAAAACTTGCGGCAACATTTGGGTTATTGTAGCTTGGAGCGTCACTAGCGTGGTTTTGGAACAATTGAATGCATAGGCTAGCAAGGGTGTTAACTCACTGCTCAAAGTGCGGCGCCCGGCTGCCGGATACAGGCAGGACAAGACGGGTGCCGTAATACGTACAGCATGCCAGGTTTCAAGGTTCACCGGGGTACGGCACTCTAACAGAACCGGGGGGGAGAGTCCATGCGTGATGGGTCGGTCCAATGAGATTTTGCGAAGAATTTGCCCTCACGGATTGGTCTACACGCGTGGTGACCTGCAACTGAGTTGGTAATCCTCGCAGAACCCTTTCCGTACGGACAAGCTTCAATGATATGAGGATTTGACGCTCGTTGTTACACTCACAGATGACCGGCAAGGCGCAAGATCTGTGCACATAAGAGTTAAGGAAAGATTTTCCGAGGCTGGAATTAATTTTCGAAGTCTCCATGTACCAGACTTGTGGAATAGTCCCCTGCCCCTGATGACCCCAGAATGCTTGCATGTATACGCTGAGAACCGCCAAGTGCCCGAGAAAGCACATGGCTATGGATATCAACATTTCCGAAGTTAACAGAATCGGCGAGGACCCAAGCTGCCTGGACCTCTCGTGTACGTCTACACAGACTGGTGTGGCTCCTGTGCTAGACGCCGACTGTTTTTCAGCAAGTCCGTACCCAAACCTACCTAGCTAATTCACGTGCATCCATTCACGAGCGAAGTCGATCTAGGCACACCCGACATTGGGCGCGTCTCTCAGCATGGTGATAGCAATATTCCGCGATTCCTTCTTTGGGTGGTGCTGTCGCTTTGTCACGGGAGGTAGAGTCTTCAAGTATCCTGAGGAGACTCAGCCTGCCATATGGCAGCACTATCTTGCCGACGACGATCCCTTCCTCACAACCATCGGAGTAGCAGTAACAAGTCCAATAGTACCTCAGCTGCCTCCAAAGAATCCTAGAAGAAATTCTCCGCCTGCAGGAGAATCGACATTTCACCAAAATAGCTATTTTGCTGAGGAATATCAGCAGGCAAGACACCCCCAGTATCCACCATTGCCTCCTGAGCCCCCGGAAGAAGTTCGTATAAGAAAATCGCGGCGCCCAAGTGAAGAGAGCGTGGGAAGGTCGGCGTGGCTGAACAGCAAGCCGTCGTCAGCAACACTTGTACCAGAGGGACCCTACCCTTCAAACACTGCGGAGACAAGCCGACTTGACAGCTTCGGTGGACAATCCAGTTATCGTCTGCGCGAAGACTTCAGGTTTACCCCCAAAGCAGCAAGACTCAGCTACAGCCGCTCCGCTGAGACACTCTTCTCTCCGGCCCTTGAACATGAGAGGGCCTATCCCCCAAACAGCCCTAGGGACACTAACAGGAGGACCGGCCAGCCTACAGTGGAGAGAGCTGTTTTGGAACGGAGGAATTCACCGATGCAAAAAAAGAACACCCCTGCCGTAAGTTAGCCCTCGACCGTGAGTGACGGTGGTACTCAGGCAAACGCCCTTTCAAATGTTAATATTACGACTGAGTATAGAGAGCCAACAACAAGTCTGCCTCTGTGAAACGCTACTTCATCGGCTTCGAAATTCTCAAGTTCATCTCATGTATGATTTTCATTGGGTCCGAGAAGACAGTTACGGTCACAAGTAGCCGACAAGACCTTTCTTCCCACCCAGTCAAGCGGCCAAGATTTACCGGAGATAGGCGTTCAAGACCAAAGCGACGGTTTAGTGACGAGATTCCTCTGCAAGAAATTCGGGTCGATAAAGTAGATGTTGAAAAGGGCCTAGATGATTCCGGAGAAACTTGGGATTCCAACGAAGTTCTGGTTCCGGACTGGGAAGTTGATAGAAGAGCAGGCTTTTACATTGTTGGCTGGTACGGTTCAGACGATCCAGAGGTAAGTTCAGCACATGACATGCCAAGCCAATGATAAACTAATACGGTGGCGCAGAACCCTCAGAATTGGTCGGCGGCCACGAAGCTGTTTGTCACTTTCGAAGTGTGCCTTCTTACGTTCGCAGTCTACATTGCCGCTGCCATTTACTCCTCGGCGGTCGGTGACATTGGCCGAGCCTTTGGCGTCTCACATGTCATGTCAATATCGGGACTCACAGCCTTCGTGGTTGGCTATGGCTTTGGACCTATGCTCTGGTCGCCTCTGTCGGAGCTCCCGGCCATTGGTCGCACCAGCGTCTACATTTTGACGCTGGTTGCTTTTGTGGCTCTACAAGTGCCCACGGCTCTAGCTACGAATATTTCCACCCTCCTCGGTCTGCGCTTTCTGGCCGGTTTCGTGGGTAGCCCAAGTCTAGCGACCGGAGGAGCGAGCATTGCCGAGATGTTCACTCCAACCAAAGGTGCCTACGGTATGGCTCTTTGGGGGCTCTTCTGCATCTGTGGACCGACGTTGGGTCCGCTCATTGGAGGTTTTGCTGTCGAGGCAAGAGATTGGACTTGGGTCTTTCTGATTGTCTTCTGGATCTCTTCATTCACGCTCCTCGTCCTATTCTTTCTGCTTCCAGAAACATCGGCTGCCAATATTCTGCACAGGAGGGCAAGCCGGTTGCGGAAATTGACTGGGAACCCTAAGCTCGTCTGCGAAGCGGACATCGCCTCGCATGAGCGAGGCGTCACGTTGAAAGATATGCTAATGAATACGCTTGTGCGACCGTTCACGGTGACATTCACAGAGCCGATCGTTCTAGCGCTCAATTTGTACTCGGCATTTATCTATGGTTTGCTGTATATGTGGTTCGAATCTTTTCCAATTGTCTTCATAGACATATATGGATTCAGCCTTGGGACTTCAGGGCTGATGTTCTTGGGTATCTTGATTGGTGCCATCCTCACGCTACCCGGGTACTTTTGGTGGCTACACAAGTCTCTTGAGCCCAAAGTTGCGAAACACGGTGGTGAGTCGACAATCCAGGTCCTTCAAGCAATTTACCCCACAACATCATGCAATTGTCATATGCTCACTTCAGTATTTAGACCTGGTCCCGGAGTGGATTCTACCGCCTTGTTATGTGGGCGCTGTCTCTTTGCCCGTGTGCTTATTTTGGTTCGGCTGGACCAGCAGGGCAGACATACACTGGATTGTGCCTGTGATTGGCACTGCATTTTTCTCGGTGGCAATAGTTCTACTTTTCAATGCTCTCTTGAACTATTTGGTTCTAGCATATCCGACGCAAGCCGCAACAGTACTTGCAGGAAATGACCTAAGTCGCTGCCTCGTGGGCGCAACATTCCCGCTTTTCGCCACAAATATCTATGAGGGTCTTGGTGTGGCTTGGAGTACGTCTGTCTTGGGGTTTATCGCAGTGGCTTTTACACCTATTCCCTTCATCTTAGTCAAATACGGCACATGGCTGCGAAACAAGAGCAAAATGGCTAGACATGATTTGTAGCAACTTAGACAGGAGGATTAGATGCAACAGCCTTGTGATGGAAATACACTATTTCAGCTCTTTTTAGTCCTCATTTTGAGTTCTCATTAATTGGCTATGCATGCCCGCGCAGAGTGACAGTCGTGTACTCAGAAGGTGGCCAACTGACAGCTACGTTAATTCCTATGAACTGTTTGACCAAGCACTTTTGAAAGAGTTGTATAAATTACTGAACTCGACCATGCGCAGAGTGGTGGGCAGTAGCCGCGGACGAATGGGGTATGAGGGTGTACCCGGGTGCCGAGTTCCGCATAACTCGCATAACTCCGACTGTGCAGGATTATTCGAAAGAAAGACTTCTCAGGTTCGCAGCTTCATGCCAGAACTATCAGAAGCTGCTCATTTTCAGTGACTTATTGACTGAAATGCTTAAAACGCCCGCCACTCTCTTGAAAGTACACATATACTCTGCCAACTTATCCACAACTTACCTGCATCTCAGACACACCAACACAATATAATTGACGATCGGTTTTTGTGAACAATGTCTCCATCACTATCAGCATCAGACCTGTTCAATGTCAAGGACCTAGTAGCTGTCGTCACTGGAGGTGCCACGGGTGAGTAAACGGTAACATAGCAGTCTATATGAGATCATCCGCAGTAACAGAGAAGGCAGGCATTGGTCTCATGATAGCAAAAGCCCTCGAAGAGAATGGAGCCAAAGTCTATATCATTGGACGACGCAAAGATGTTTTGGAAAGAGTGGCCAAGACAGAAGCTGTATGTTCAGATCGATTGGCCAACCGCTCTTTGTATTCAATGTTGGCCCATTAGCAATTGCTATAACTGGACAGTGTTGACATTTTATTCACCCAGAAATTCAGTAACCTCATCCCCATTGTAGGCGACGTCACATCAAAGGCGGACTTAGAAAAGGTGACGAAGCGGATCTCATCCGAAGTTGGCTACATCAACTTGCTGGTGGCCAACGCCGGCACCACGGGTCCAATGTTCGGTGATAACATCTCCATTTGTGGGCCAGACCAGTCTCCCTTGTCAGATGTGCAGAGAGATCTTTGGAACATCGATCCAGACCTCTTCCTCAATACGTTTGCCACAAATATTGGTGGTCCTTTCTGGTCCATAGTGGCGTTCCTCCCGCTTCTAGATGCAGGCAACAAGAAGGGAAACGTTCTGCAAAGCTCTCAAGTGGTTACAACAGGATCAGAAGCGGCATACGACAGAATTCCTATTCCGCATTATACGTACAGTGCCAGCAAGGCGGGATTGACCCACATGATGAAGCAGTTTGCAACTACCTTTACCAGATACAAGATCCGGTTCAATGTGATCGCGCCTGGCCGTAAGCCCCCGTCATCGGTGTTTTGTTCTGACACTCGCATCATGTCTAACGCGGCCGCAGTCTATCCCTCGGAGTTGACAGCGGGCTTCATCGCTAGTACCGAGAACTTGTCAGACGATGAGAAATCGTCTCTTGTATCACCGTTGCAGAGGCCGGGAAACATGGAGGACATGGCTGGTGTAATCATATGGCTTGCATCTAGGGCTGGCGCATGGGTCCACGGCAATGTAGTTCTCACTGATGGGGGCAAGATAAGTTCTGTTCCTGCCACGTACTAGATCCATAAACTTCATTAAAGACCACTACAAATTTCGCGAAATTCAAAATAGCTCTTGGCAATTCTCCTCCTCTGAAATCTGAAAGCATAGTTTGGAGAGTCTGTCATTCATTTTTCTAACCCCCATCTGAAACTTCCAGCCGTTGCTTGTGTCGTGGCTTTCCCTGAGAGTGAACACCAGTAACCGGTGAGGCCCTAAAAATGATGTGCGGAGCATATTTGATGGCTTCTCCACCGCAGACTCCCGGTAAGCATGGCTGAAGCCAAAGCTATTTATTTGTGTCTTAGAGGAACATCTTGGACTCCCAATGACAAGCAGAATTTCCCATGGACCGAGTTGCTGCATATGTCACGACTTCAGCAAGTAATATTGAGACAAGTCACCAAGTCCTACCGAAGCTGCACGTCAACGGTGTGGGACCTCAGATTAGCGGCTCTTTACAAGACGGGCCAGGAGCTGATCTCAGGTTTCCAAGAGCGGTGACGAGTAGAATAGTTTCAGGCAAGGTAAAGTTAGTCCGGCTTACTGCCTTGGTCAGATTGTACACAGCCAGAAATTAGATAGATGTGTGCCAGTGTTCAGCTGCCCATTGCGGCTCTAAAAATGGTCCAGGCAGAATCCACTGCAGAGTCCCCCGAGCGCCCATTGGCTCGAACATGACCCAACTCGGATCGACAACTCTCCAAGATTCCTACCACACGCTACAATTCCTACTTTGGGTTCTCCTTCTCGAATTTCAGGTCACTTGGGTCTCGCTGCGAGAGTGCAATTGACCGCCTCATGGTTGAAATCCTGATGTAGGCACGACTCAGAGCTTCGTATGGAAATGATAGTCATTCCAGCACCATCAAACACTCATTTTTAGTATTTTCCTGGTCAAGGATACTATTTGCTCAGGTTGAGGCAATTTTGAGAGTTTATTTAGAACGGAAACACTTCGCATAAATTGTCATTGAATAATAGACTTGATTCACGCAACAGTGTGAAGGAAGCGCTGACAGACTCGGCATTGACTTTATGTCGAACTACTTGCTTTAGTCTAACAACAGCGGATGTGCCTGATTTACTTTGAACTTTGGCCGATGATACGGCTATATATCACATGCTGTGCCTTTCTGTATGGAAGTGTGTCCAAAGGGTTCACCACTCGATCTCCTTCCCATCATACCTGCCCGGTGATTTTTCGTGGCCAGGAACGTGTATGTTGAGGAACTTGCCATTCTGAGCCGGCGTAGATGCAAGGACAATTCTTTTGATCTCGGCAGCGCCGACATCGACAGTAAAATCGCCATAATCGGTACCTAGATCTGTCTTGAGCCACTAGACGCAAGATTTTGTGAGTTACGTGCACGTCTCATGTAAATTGAAGTTTCGCACTCACCCCCGGGGATACTAGAAGACACGTGAACCCCTCTTCGGCGAGATCTAAAGAGAATTGCTTGTTGAGCATGTGAAGGCCTGCCTTAGAAACCTTGTATGCGGACCCTTGAGCAATGTTCATAGCGTCTGCCCACGCAATAGAACCCATAGTCGAGGAGCTGTATTCATATGATTAGTACCTAACCTGTAGAGAGCCTATGATCTCGGCAATTACAATAAAAGAAATGTTGATGCAGAAAGCTTACATGTTGATTATTTTCTTCTGTGTACCTGCTCGGAGAAGCGGCAAAAATGCTGTGATCACGCGGTGGGGTCCTACAAGGTTGGTTTCAAGGATCCGGGAGAAATCAGCTGCACTGAAGTCCTCCATCTTGTTGTTGGGACTATGCTGCTGTATGGCGGCGTTGTTGATGAGAACGTCTAGACCCTTGGACCCAAGCTGGCCTTTGATCTCTTGGGCCGCGTTCTCTACACTTTTGGTATCGTCGACTGACGCAATGATGTTGACGATCCGTCCATTGTTGCGAGTGATTAGATCGCTCAATGCCGTGGATGGTGGACTACGTGTTACTGCAAAGATTTTGGATACCTGTGATTCTGGTAGCTCGGAGAGTTGCTTCGTCAGCTCAAAGCCGAGCCCCTTCGCCGTTCCGGTGATTAGATAGGTCGCCATCTCAGATATGAGCTTCGCTGTAATGTGTTGCATGTACAGATCGGACGTTGAGGATCCACTCCTCGATTTTAGGGCTAGTGCGAGTGTATCAAAGCTTTATACAAGCCGATCTAGATCCAAACTAGTCCACATGAGAGTAGAGATCGTTCTAGGGACACTGCAGGGGCAACACGCTGAGCAATCTGCCGGGGACGCTCTAATGGTCAGCGGCTCGATCTTGCATGCATGTGCTACTGTGATAAGGTTTCGCCGTCAGGGCGGGGTGACAACCATAGGCCGTCTCCAATTATCGGCGGCCGTTCACTCGAGGTTCTCAAATGGAGATCTCTATACCTGTATGGGTTCTCGCAGCACCCTAGCGCAGCCGCTTTCCGGGTGCCGAATAAACCTCGGACACATTCTCGGATCCTGTTCATTTCAAAGCTCCGACTATGCCGGCCATCATGCTCCGCAGCTCGCTCTGGCCTTCTTTGTCTCTCAACGGCTGGACTTCACTGCGCAAATTGGCCTTTCGGGAAGATTCCATTGTGATGAAGTTCCACTTAAATCAATGAACCCGATGAGATACTACGAAGAAATGAGATTTACACGATGGCGCTAGAATACTTAATGCCGTGGTCGACTTGGTGGCCAAGAATGGACCATGCGTCATCCAACAAGTCCTTCTTTGACCGAACAGAGCGTACCTCAGACGTTGTATAGCAAAGTGCTTGCACAGGCCCTCTGCCATAATAGTCCTCAATTTCAAGTCTTCCGACGTATCACAGACCAGCTTGCACCATGAAGTCTTCTGCCATGAGCAATAGGGTGATGCATTCGTTGCTCTGGGCACTTGCCACACAAACTGCCGCGACGTTGCCCTCTTCTACATCCCGTCGCCAGTCTGGTGGTGGGGGCCAAGTTCAACAAGTAGACTATGTGGTCGTCGGGGGAGGAACAGCAGGGTTTGTGGTGGCTGAGCAGCTATCGCGCAACCCTGATATGACTGTGATGCTGTTGGAAGCCGGCCCAGACAACGCGGATGTCGAAAACATAGACGTACCGCTTTTCGCACCGCGGCTGCTTTTTACTGAGCACGCCTGGAACTACACGTCCCAGCCCGATCCAAACCTCAACGGCCGCACGCCGACACTCGACCAAGGCCGTGGCTTTGGTGGTGGTAGCGCTATTAATTATCTTGGACATTGCCGTGGCGCTGCTTCAATCTTTGATGAATGGGCTGAGATCGCAGATGACGATGGGTTGCGCTGGAACAACCTAGTCGAGCATTTCAGAGCTGTTACTCACTATAACCGATTGCCTGACCAAACATTCAACCCACCAGTGAACCACAGTGTGTACGGCACTGGCCCTATAGAGCTCACAATGCGGAACAACGACCTCGGAATTGAGACAGCCGTCATGATGGCCTATACCTCCGCACTGGACCTTCCCCTAGTCGACTTGAGTGATGGTACCGGTATTGGTGTTTCAACCGGTCTCGTTGGTATACGTGCGGAGAACAGAACTAGAGTATTTGCTCCTCAGGCTTTTGGCTGGCAAATGGCTACTAGATCGAATGCTCAGCAACTGCATCATGCTTGGGTAACTAGGGTCAACTTTGACGGTACTCGTGCAACCGGTGTGACTTATGTGAATCCCGACGATCCTTCAGAAGAAACCACAATTCAGGCCAGGGAAGTGATACTCTCAGGTGGTGCCATAAACAGCCCAAAGGTAAGTGACTTTTATTGCAGTAGAAACTTGTTTAATCACAGCTGACTGACATCGTGCATCAGCTTCTCATGCTCTCCGGTGTGGGGCCAGCCGACCATCTTCGAAACCTGAGCATTAATGTGGTGGCCGACATTCCAGAAATTGGGAGGAACTTGTGAGTCGAGAACCGTCAACCGTGAATAAATGTCTACAAAAAGGAGGTATTCTTACAGCTATTTGCAATTTTCTCATAGATTTGACCACCACAATTCCTTCATTGAGTACGAAGTTGTCGATGATGTGCAGACGCTGTACCAGTACGACAACAACAATACTATGGCTGCCCAGGCCAATGCAGACTATACACAGCCGGCCTCTCCAGGAGTTTTGGGGTCACCCAACGGAGTTTCATTTGCTGTGTACCGTGCTCCCGACTCAGTGTTCGACAACGTCAATAGCACCTTTCACAAAGACCTTCCCAAGGACCGGGGACAGCTTTTGATCCAGTGCGCTACACTTCCTTTGAGCGGAAATTCCACGGGAAATGTTGTCTCAGGTTTCGTTGGTCTCGTACAACCTGAAGCAAACGGAGAGATGCATCTAGCCTCCAATGACTTCCGCGATGATCCGATCATCAACTCTAACTACTGGGGTTCGGCAAGTATGTGCGACCTAATCTGGCACTTTCGTTGCGTTCAATACTCAATTAAAAATCGTTGAGACTTGATACAAGACACACTAATCATCTCTCTTTTATCATCCAGGTGACAAAGCGGCCATGCTTCATGGATATAAGAGGCTTCGCGATGTCTGGGCAGACAAATCGCTCAGCAAACTCGTTGTTCGCGAGGTGTATCCAGGCCCGGACGTCGTATCAGATGAAGACCTATGGCGCGCTATCCAGAATTCAGCGACCACATTTCATCACCCTGTAAGTGAAGTGGAAGGTGTTGATAGAAAGTTCAATGTTCTGCCAGTTGTGGTCCTACCAAATGGATTGCTGATTATGATATAGGTTGGCACAATTTCACTTGGTCGCGTCTTGGAGGGCGGATCTTTTCGGATCCGAGGGCTTGACGGCATCCGTGTCATAGATTCATCTGCTATGCCATATGCCACTGGGTGCCACCCAATGGCGTCCGTGTACGCCTTTGCGCATTATGGTGCGCAACAGGTCATTGAACAGGACAATTTTGGCAATAATCCACTCAGCAGCAATACCACGCAGTCTGGATAAGAAGAATGCCATAGACAGTGGCAAATTGGCGCTTTGAAAGAGCAGAAACGAGAGAACACCCCTCATAATGAATGACATTGTGCGGTAAAGGACTATTCCTAATGTGAAATAAAGAATCCGAGAAGAGCATGTCCATCGCTAGCTTTGAATTCATCCGGCTCAATCCATTGTTATATTCCAATGCTATTCTTTTTCGTCCTTTACCTTTTTCAATCTTCTTTGATGACCAAAACAATCGTATTCATAGTGTGTTCACCAATGATAACGTTTTCTCGTTGTACAGAGGCGTATGCAATGCTTCCAAACTGCACGTAGGATAGTTTCCCGATCGGATATAAATACCGTGGAACTGTCATGTGAACTTGTTCTCTAAATTACGATCAAACAACAACCACAGGAATCACAACAGAAACAGCCGACATTTCATCCTCATCCAGCCAAGAGCCGGATCATTTGAAGAGATGGAGGCGCAAAATCAGCTCGAGAGTCTTCTTCTGTTGTCGGACTCCGACCCTACCAACAATTTGAGCAATCTGTTACCTACTTCCCCACCTGTAAGTTTGGAAGACTTTATCACACAATGTGGTCAACTTATCTATGGCGTAGACCCCCGGGATCATGTTGTCGATCCCCGAAAACGATCAATACCTCTACCCAAGTCCAGACTGTTCATAACGCCATTTCAATTGTGGGAGGCTATGAGAATGCTCGATCAACGGCAGCGCACTGGACTACGCGGCGGTCTCCAGGCCAGCGGGACTGGACTTGGCAAGAATTTTCTGGTCATAATCGTCTGTATACTACGTTCTCGCATTTTTGAATCTGAACGTCAGGTGAAGCAGTTCTGGGAAAAGACCAAGCCGAGTCCCAAGAAATCACCAAATACGAATGCTCATTTACCCCAGTCTGCCAGGGGCGACAATCTGTGTTGTCCTTCGCAAAAGGATTCCGACATAGTCTGCTTCTGTGTTCCTACATCAAAGGCCAGGAATCTAGTAGACTCGGGAGTCATTCCACGCGGAATATCCCTAATTCAAGCACCTCTTCAACTCATAGGGCAGTATATCCAGATTTTTGAAAACGCAGCCCTCAACACTTCGGCCTACAACCTCTGTATTGTCCATTCTGAGGTACCAGCCCGACTGAAACGCGATTTTGGTGCAATGGTAAGATCACTAGCCCAGCCATCCACAAGGGACTCTCCGGCCCCGGAAACATTCATTGTTGTATCTTCTCACGGAAACCCCACCGTCTTCGAGAAATTTGCAAACGCGTCCGTAAACGTCGGAGTAATGTTCTCAGATGAATGCCATTTGGCCATGAAATTAGAATCTCGATCAATGGCTATTGCTGTGGCACAATCGAAGGTAGGTAGAGGAGGCATGGATCTCTGGCTGGTTAGCGCCACTCCAATCCGCTTTTTGATCGACTGGGAATTGCCAATCAGTTTGATCGCAAACTCTATCGACTTGTCACGAGCCGCGTCTGTGATGGACGTTGTCACAGCACACGCGGCCGCAAAGTCTTCGGACGACAACATGCGAAGATTCCTCGCTCTTTGGTCCAAAGTCTTCGACAAGGATCTCGTTCTTCGTAATGTCGTGACATCCCAATTTTGTGGCAAGTCAATCACAGATCTGCAGACTATACTGCCAAACACAGTATGGCTTAAAACACCAGATCAGCATCATGAAGACGTTCAAGCAGTGGCGCACCAGGCCAGAGAGGTAATTCGTACAAAAGCACTCGCAGCCCAGGAGGATGAAGCACCATTTCAGCCGGATTATGCTTCTGGTATTGATCCCAGACTGTATTTTGTGTCTTTATTCCCGGGGGCAGCTGCTCTCATCCGCAATGGTCTGCTCAGCGTGGATGAGAAGAACATCACGGATAGCATATCGGCCATCAAGGACTCTAACAAGTTGAAGGTCGAGAAGAGCGCACACTTTCCGCAATATCTAGATGAGATTGCCCGCAACTCTCCGAAATTGGACTTCGTGTTGGAGGAGATTGAGCGCATGCAAAGGGACAAGGACGTACGCGCAGCAGATCCCGAGCTCCCAGCCAACAGCCATGGGGAGAATCTTGCCCTCAAAAAGATGGTCATAATCACGCCTACACTTGGCACCGCGGTTTTCCTGTACTTGATCCTCCTCAAACGTGTACCAGACTTGGCCCCTGCGTTGCTTCATTCCCGGGCTCGCGCTTCTGATCGCGAGGCAGCCCTGAACAGCTTCACTTCGCTTACAGCTCGGAAGACGGCCAGACATTCGTACATTCTCATCACTTCATTCTCGGGGGGAGGAACTGGTCTGAACCTGCAATCAGCTAACTATCAGATCCTCATGAGTCCTCTGAGCAGTCGAGACCATGAAGTCCAAGCCTTTGCACGAACAAACAGAACTGGGCAACGGCTAGCGCTGCATCATAGCAGACTTATCTCCGTGGATAGTGCTGCCGACAGGATCAATGTTGTGAGTTTCGCTGGTCGCTCTATTAAAAATGACCCATTTGAGATGGGCCGAAGGCTTGTGTTGTCAGAGTCAGATGGTTTCAAAAGGGTCCAGCGGCTGGAAGATTGGGGTTACCAAGTCGATGACACGGAAATCGATTCGCTTCCATACATGGTAGAGAACCTATACTCCTCGGGGTGTGAGTACCAAGCTTGTAAAATTACTTATCCGGCAGAAAGCAAGCAGTCTATTGATGAGTTAGTTTACTTTGGCTCGAATACAACGGCCCGCGACGTTCTCTGTATCAATGAGGCTTGGAATGCGCGCAGAGACTCACGTGCCAGACATGAAAACTTGCCTCTGCGAGATATATTGCTCGGTCTTTGGGTGTTCAACCTCAACCGATCGGCGCATGATCTCAAGCACTTGGTGTATTTCACTGTGATAGAAGCGTCTCTCAACCACACACTCCGGCCTCATGTGTATCGTTTGCTTGGCGAAGACATGAGGAACCAACTGGTCATTCACAGGGAAAGCGAATCGCCCCAAGAAGCAGAGGCATTTTCATTGCTCATCGAGGAAGCGCCCTTTTGCGCAGGCGCTGAAAAGATGTTGCAGGAGTATTCTGAATTTACAGATGTACACATTGCGTCTTTCGACTTTCTACCTGTCATATTGGAGGGCATGGATGACGACGAGCCATTTTTTGATTTCAGGATCAATTTTGAATAGCTCGTAATGATATTCCTAAAGGTAAGTTATAATTTTCTTCTCAATGTAATAATAAAAACCAGTCCCATTGTCTTGTCTTAATTACATTCGCACACATGAAATATGGATCTTTCTGGCGTAAAAATGTGGACAACACCTGTTGTGCTAGGATCCCATCAGCCTTTCTCATCATCATTGGCACATGGTCTGCCGGTGGGATCAATCAGAACCACTTCTGACTAAACGAGATTTTCCGGTGTACAATAGCTATCTGTGTCTGAATGTGTCATGACTTATTATCAAGTGTATATACACGGGGTGGACGGGCTTAAAACAATGAGATTGGCCGCAAAAGAAGGTTAAATGTTTCCACTCGGCCGGGTTGCGGCCCGAGGCACCCGGCCGATTGGTTTGGAGCCGCTAGGCCTGAAACAGTCTGCTAATTTTAACCGACAAAGCTTAATCTCAGATAATCTCAGATAATCTCGTGGTCCGACAGGATCCTCCCCTCGACAACATCCTTTATTCTCCGCGCTGCACACGACCGCGTGGAGTCTGTCCGGTAAACACGTCATTTACGAGCCGCACACGCGGCGGCAGGGTCGAACCTTAATGCCCTAATCAATCTTTTATGCGAGCCAGCCTGATCGCCTCCCAGTCTCTCATTTGATCGATCAGTCAGCCGGCTGCCATGCCAACCGCATCCTCGTCTCTTCTCCGCCTGGCCTTGTGCCTGGCCACACTCATTGTCGTCGCTTCGGCAGATGGGACGGGCATCTGGGCAACGCCCCACGACAGCTACTCGTCTTCCATTGGCGTCCTGGGATGCAAGATCAACACGAACCGCGTGGCCTACTGGCCAATGAGCGTCGATTGTAACAACATCTGCGTCAAGCTCAGCTACGGCGACCGCTCCGTTCACCTGCTGCGCATTGACCAGTCCGGTGGCGCGTACGATGTCAGCTACGACGCGTGGAACTACCTGCAGACGGGCAAGTCCGCCTCCAAGGACCCAATCGCCGGTGGCGCCGTGGCGATGACCTATGAAAACGCGTCCGCGTCCGACTGCAAGGACTTGATCCACACGGACGGGCTGCCGCTCAGCGCCGCTAATAGCATGAACTACGTTGCGAGCTGCTTGGAGGATTCGGACAGCTGGGTTGGGAAGAATTATGCATTGTATAATATCGCCGACTCCGTGTGCTCGTTGGGCTATGATGAGAAATGTAAGCTGGACTGGGCGTCTGGGCAGAACCAGGCCACTTGTGATCACACGCTTGGCTCGCAGGCCGAGCTGAAGTCGGATCCTGTATATAATATTCGATACCCGACCGGAGAAAAGGTCTTGGCCTCTACTAACCAGGTTGTAGGTAGTGGCGCAGGGAGCGTTCGGGGCGATGTGGCGCGGTTGAGTTTGTGGCGAGCAGAGATGCTCACAGGCTTTGCGGTCTTCTGTCTTATTCGTATATGTTTGTGGTAATTATTAGAATTAAATTTCTTGCAGCTGTATCTCGATTGTATTTGTCTCTCATTTACCCGCTTCCGATGGTGGGACTTCCGATCGACGGACCTAGATACTCCCACGGTCTGTCAAATGAACCGAGCGTATCAACGGTCACCTCAGTAGTTCGAGTGACAAGGATCGTCAAGCCTCCATCACTTTCCCATTCTGTTCTCTCAATTATTTCCTGTTTATGCGGTCTTACTTCCTCCTGGCCAGTTTGAGACACCGAGTGTCTTAGATCCCGAAATGTCCCATCCCAGGGCCCTTCACGCTCGCAAGGCCCTGTATTGTTGCTGTCGTGAGTAACAAGCGAAGGCAGCTCGGTCTGGTAGTCTGGTAGGCGGGCCTTTTTCGTCGGATTGGGGCCTGCGGTACTTGAGATCGTGATCATGCTCCGTACTTTGGCCACCAGTCGCGTCGGCATGAGGAAAGGTACCAATGGCTTCATTTCAGGAAGACAGGCTGTAATGATATATGTTCCAACTTCAATGACAGACCAGCCGCAGAGGTCCACCGATGCCCCTACTCACAGATCAGCGTCACCTAGATAATGAAAGGACGAATGAGGCGAGGGGCCACAAACAAGTTCGATCTTTGAAGGCGGCGGTAGTAAAGAAAATTTGAACGCGGACGATGGATGCTACCAGCCCAACACTTGCCACGCCGAACACAAGTAGCAACTCAATTCTCTTGCGCTCCGGCAAGTTTAGGCCCCATATCGACCTCACAGGTAATATGAGCACTATGGTGTCCAAGATCGGGCTCGTGATGGCTTGCGCGCGGTAGAAATTCTGAACATTGAAGCATGTCCCTCCCGGAATGGCATTATCCCACCAGAAGGCGAGCGGTCTGCACTGGAAGCAAGCGGCGAGGTCACACGCCAGCCAGGTAGCAACGAGGAGTCCCATGGTCGCGTAACAGGTCGCCAGCATCCTACCCTTCCAGTTGAACACTCGGATGTAAAAGAAGAGAATTGCTATTTTCGGCAGGCCGACGCCGGTGAAGTGGAGGAACTGGAACACCAGCACGAACTGCGCCCAGCGGACAATCTGAGAGGGGTCGTTCAACCTGACCCATTCCTCATGCCGCCCTACGCCGGCGAGTTTGGTCATCGCTACAGCAGGGTCAACCGAAACATCCCAGATGGATAAATATCTCACTATCGTCAACCTGGACTTACCGATACCAACAGCGCACAGGCCTACGTTGAAAAGATACGCAGCCACGAGCAATATATCATCCCAGCCAGAACGGGAGCGCATGAGGCTCTTGGAATAGAAACGCAGACCCAGAAATATCGATGTCAAGATCGCAAAAATGATCGATGTCGCGACAACCTTGTCCCCAGAGTATTGTTCGATCTCCTCGGCGCTGAGGCCTCGGCCCGTGTAGCTCATTACTGCAGGCGTGCCGGGGTGGTCACCGATCCAGCTGATGATCTCCTTCACGGATCCAGGGGCGCACAGGTGGGGGTTGTGGAAAGTTGCTCATCCCACGTGCTAGGGTTGGTTTTGTGCAAAGTGCGAAAGAGTCCCCTCAGGTCATTGACCGTCGGGACAGGTTCTGCGGGCTGTTTAATCTGTTATAAAGCTTGCATCGTGCACGACATAGCGTCTATAATTTGAATTTGAGCGGCTCCACACCCGTCAAGCTTTAGGACGAGGGAGACACATGGGCGCTGCCATGCGGTAGCATGTTTCCGATCCTAAATGGCACACACCCGCTTATTATACTTCGCTTAGCGTGTCGTCTGATATATGCTGTGGTCAGGGTGGCTACCGCCGTCCAAGAAGATGGGGGTTTCCGAAACATTGCCGCTTACAGATGTGGTTGTTTAACAGTACATCCTGGTGACACCTACACGTTGCTACTAGTATGACTCGCATATCAGATGCTCGAGCAGGTAGAAATATCTGAGGCAAGGTTCGAAAGTATAAAGTCAGATCTATGACTCGAGATCTCCCATCACAGACTTTGACGTATTGACGGCAATTGAAATTAATCGCCGTAAGATATGGCGCCTCGAGGCTCACAGGAGGCTATTACAAGACTTTCGCTTGCATCGAATCCAACTAAATGGGTCATTTAAGATATGAAAACTAAAATGGAGCCACTATCTTACATAGTGACAGCGTTACATGTCGCTCGAGGATGCACAAACCTGCACCCTGGTCTTTCCACGTCAACAATCTCTGATGTCGCAGTAAGTTGCTGAATGTTGATGGTTCCTGCGTGATCGGAAATATCGATTTCCCCGATGTTCTGCTCGGTATGGTGACGGCGCCGACGAAAGTCATAGCAACTGCCGCGACCCCGTTCGTCTGTTTGTTCCTGGCACGAGTCGCGTGCATCACTGGCCTATATCTGTGCTCCTCACACCACTGAGACGCACCCGGGGCTACGGAATCTTCGTAACCGAGGCCATGGATCTGTCCAGCAGTTGTACTCATTACCCACTTTACTGTTCAGTGTTTATATGGGAGCTGTGGCCTGGATCACTACGCGTCCTTGGTGATAAAGTGCTGAACTTCCTGTTGTCAGAGGCAGCCGTGGAAAATGACATGTAGTAGCGACAGAAAGTAGGTGGTGGATTACTGCCACCGCGGTATATGCTTCATCGGATGCAAATTGTCCCGTGAAGTGCATGTAACATATCTAGTAAGGATCAGCAATAGAAAGAACCCGAAAGGAAGTCTTTCAATGCGACTTGAAGTAGTGGTCCGCTGCAGAAGTACTGATCTTCACGCATACGGATCCGCACAAACGATGCATCATGGTCGAGACGAGCCTGTCTCCTTGGCGAACTTTAAGCTGTTGCTTCCGTGGAATTCGAACGTAGAATTTTCTTTTAGCCTTCATATATGACATGAACAATAATATTTAGGTGCAGAAGGCCTGGGCTGGCTTTGAAAGCTTGCCGCTTGATGAAGCCAGTGGCTAACCCTAGAAAGATCTCCTGAAAGATCACCCAGCGATCCGTAGTGACAGCCGCTCACGGGTGTAGCCATAGCAAATCTAGTGCTCAGAAAGGTGATGAGTTTGAAAGGATATCGGGACTTGATTGGAGCAGAACCCTGCGTTAGTCATGTGCCACGACAGCCCGGGCTTGAGTCACGATAACATTTTACGGAACGCCCGTGGGAGTCTGCTCTTGGATCATAGATGTGAATGATTCGTATGCCAAAATGCCGCCCTTCCACGGAGTCCACGGGAAACAAATCGAGGCCGTCAAACAGACTGTCACTTACGTCCCCACACCGGAGAAGAACTCGGATGATGCTTAATGACCAAGAGCACAGCGCTTTGTTCCTTTTACACCTATTTTTCAATAGAGTCGTCTCACTAACAACTTCGAACACACTTTCCTACCCCACACGGGCCAGTGTTGGTAGCGTTCAGATTTGACCGAGCAGCAGAGCCGAGGCGTTCCTCAGGTTCCACAGACCATTGAACATATGGCGGCATCATAGGAAGCCAATAAAGCATTATGGGCCAGTCACAAGACGGTGATGTATACCACGAGCCAATTCTTCCAGACCTGTGCACCTTGGACTGCCTGCCACCAGTCCTAAAGCGATGATTCGAGGCAGAGACGCTGTGGGAAAAGGCTTATAAAATCGTTTGATATGGTTCGACTCGAGTCATAGCCTCTGGGAATATCAAATGGCTAGTTTGCTTGTTTCTTGTTTGTGGTTTCTGACTAAGGAGAATCGTCCATTTCTACTTCCCTGCCCCCATTCAAGCTACCTTGCTCCGCTAGAATTTGAATCTAGTGATCAGCTTGGCCATGACGGGGCAGAATTTGGTTTTAAAGCCCTGAGAGAGAGATCAACCCATCAATAGGGATTTATATCGCAAGGATCTCTTGGGATCGTGCTTAAGTTTGCGGGTTGGTGTTGTGATTATGACATTTCAATACCAGATACGTATGATAAGTATTGAGGAGTTGCCGATATGCTACATTGCTTGACAAATGTACTTTGGTGAAGCTTCTAGCTGCTCGTATTCGGAATTGGCCCCTCTGCAAGCATAGCTGGTCATGAGTGATGGACAGCAGCTAGGACTTTATGGTTTGCAAGTTCTCGATTTAAATCCATCAACCCAGCAAAAAGCCGGAACAAAGAATATGGTTAGGGCTGCCGTCGGGCTTGTTTAAATTAAACTGACTTCGCGTGTTCAATTACTGATGCTTGCTTGTTTGTCTGTCCACGTTGGCGGTGACATGATCTGCTTGAACTTGTCTTGCCAAGAGATACCTGGAATACGTGCCCAAGTATAGGCGGTGCGTAAGTCACATGAGCAACAAAACACCATTCTGGTCACCGTCCTGGCTGAGGATGCGATGCCTATTGATACGCGGCAGATGCAGGGCATAGCCACAGCCACGGCAGAAGCGAGCCAAGACCTCGGAGAATAAAGCTCCGTACTGCGTGGACGGCAGCATAGGCTGTGGCTAAATTGTTCAGAGGGACGCTTGGGTTACAGTGAGATATGGAATTCATAGCCGCTCCATGACTAGATAGCTAGTAATTGATGGTTTTGATTGCCTTGAATACAGTCAGGCTGTCAGGGTGGGCAGGTCATATGATAAAGCAGGAGGTCGAAGATGATTCGCCACTCCGAGCACCGACGTTGAAGAATCAGGGGCAGGATTATGTCAGCGGGTGCGTGGGTCGTCGGGCTATTTTTGTACCCCTTACTGGACCTACTTGGACCTACTGTGTACAGAGCTGGACCTGAAATCAGGTCCATACCTCATGCAGTAGAGCCGCCCCTTTGACCCTCAGTGGGGAACCCCCTGGGCTGCGACCTCTGACCGCTTTGGCCTGCCAACGTCCGCCCTATGGATTGTGTGCATTTGAAATGGATTCACATATTGGTAGATCTATGCCTGTCATATGATGTGCACGCTCTCGAAACAATTTCACCGTTTTCCTCCAATTGCCACCGTTTATTGCCTCGTGAGTTGGGAAACCCCTCCGTAAAGCACGAGGGTTAGGGCTCTCCCTTGAAACGGAGGCTGCGCAAGCGCTCGTCAGCCCCTCGGTACGTACCGCCGTAGATTGTGGCCGAAACGGGAAATTGGCCACGTCTCATGGTTCTTCTGGGACGTTTCTTGCCGCCTCCTGAGCGACCCCAGGAACTCGTCGTCCGCGCCCGCGACCCGCCAACCTGGTCCTTCATCCTTCAAAGGCCCTTTTTCCTTATCCCTTATCTAATCACTCTCACATTTCACTCTCTTTTTGACCTCACTTGACTTGACTTCACTTCGACCGCTGCGCAGATCGTGCCAGCAAACCACTTGACTGTTCCGTATCCTTGTTTCATTCCTTTGCTGTCTATAGCTTCATAGTTCACATCGTGCTACCGCCGCCGCCGCCATGAGGCTCTTGACACGCCTCGCCCTCGGCCTGCTCGGGCTCTCAGCAGTTGCCGTCGCCGAGGACCCCTCGACCCCGTCAGCCATCGAGCTGCAGCCAACCAGCTTCAGGACTTTCATCAAGGAGAACGATGTGGTCATGGCGGAGTTCTATGCCGTATGTACTCGCCCCCTGCCTTCTAACTGGATCCCAATGCCGCTCGACAAAGACGCCTGCTAACCAATGCTCCCTGATATCTAGCCCTGGTGGTGAGTCTCTCCTCCTTCAGACGCTGTGCGGTGCTCTAGCTGCAACCCCTTTGTCTCAGCCACCCAAGCCGCACTTCCGCTCACCCGCTAACCCTTTACTACAGTCGGCATTGTCAGACCTTTGCTCCCAAGTATGAGGCTGCCGCCAAAACCTTGAGGGAACAGAACATCGATGTCAAGCTCGCCAAGATCGACTGCACCAGGTTTGCTACCTTTTGCCAGGATTACATGATCAGGGCATTCCCTACCCTCAAGATCTTCAAGGAGGGCCGTGAGCTGTATCACGAGTATGATGGCCCAAGGAGGTCTTCAGCGTAAGAATCAAGTCCCAACTTCATGATGAATCACGAGACACGTTAGGCTAATCACACTCCAGCATCGTCGACTTCGTGAAGAAGCAGGTCCTAGCCACCGTCAATCCTCTTGCCACTAAAGACCTTCACGATGCTTTCCTCCGAAAGGAGAAGGAAGAGATCGTATTGGTGGGCTACTTTGCTGCAGACGATGTCGTTGCCAAGGGGGCGCTCTGGGCCGCTGCCGAGAAGCTCCACGAGGACTACCCTATCGGCGTCACTTTCGACGCCGCGGCCGCAGCAGCAGCAGGTGTCAGCTTTCCCGCCATTGTCATGTATGAGCCCAACGGCGAGGGCAAGGAGATTTACCAGGGCGACATCGAAGACATCGAGGCCATTAAGACCTTTGCCAAGAACACCTACACCCCTCTCATCGGCGAGCTAGGCTTCAGCACCTGGCGCAATTACGTCTCCGGCCACAACGGTCCCACGGCCTTCATCTTTTCTCGTTCCGATGACGACCGACGAGCCGTCGTCGACGAGCTGCGGCCCCTGGCCAAGAAGCTCAAGGGCAAGCTGACCTTCGCCACGGCTGAGACGCCCGACTTTGCCGGCTTCGCGGGCTACCTGCACCTCGAGAACGGCGCCGAGAAGGACTTCCCGGCCTTCGCCATCTACGACGGCGCCAAGCGCGGCAAGTACCCATACACCACCCAGGGCAGCACCAAGGACCTGTCGGCGGCCAACATCGGCCGCTTCGCCGACGACTTCCTGGCCGGCCGCCTCAAGCCCATGATCAAGTCCGAGCCGATCCCCGCCGTGCAGAACGGGCCCGTCACCACCGTCGTGGCCGACAGCTTCGAGAGCGTGGTCCTCGACAAGAGCAAGGATGTCCTCCTGTACTACTTCCGCGAGGACTGCCCCTACTGCCAGGCCCTGGCGCCCGTCTACGACGCACTCGCGAACACGTACGGCAGCGGCTCGGCTGCGTCAAATGTTGTCATCGCCAAGATGGACATCATGAAGAACGACCTGCCCGAGGACGTGCCCTACGTCCCGTGGGTGCGCCTCTACAGGGCTGACGACAAGGCGAACCCTCTCTCGTACGAGGGCCAGAGGACGCACAGCGACCTGGTCAAGTTTGTCACGGAGCACAGCCGTCACGGCGCTGACGCTGTCATCCAGGACCAGCAGGTGGTGGATGGCGGCGCGCAGCAGGTCCCCATCGGAAATGGGAACGATTTGCACGAGAAGCCGCTGTCTGGTGTCACGCCGGTCAAGCATATCCATGACGAGCTGTAGAAGGCTTTGTTGATGTCTTATTTCCTTCGTCTGGTTATCAGTATTATACCTGGCAGTCTTTAGGGGAGGCCTTTGATGGCCTTGTTGACGCAGCAGACTACATGCTGCCTTGCCCTTTTTTGCGGTTTTGTATCACGCGTGGGGGTTTTAAGCGGCGTTGAGGGACGGGTCTCATCAGCATACCAATCATCGGTTTCGTTATTAGAGTCTAAAGAATACTTTCTGGTTTTACAATTGCCTTTTGATGCTATCAACTGTGGCCTTTGGCATCTTTTGAATGAATTTGAAAAGAACTCTCAGCCTAGTCTTCATCTTCAGCACCACTGTCATGATGTCGGGCGTCGGTCGTATTAGCCTCAACAGCACCAACATCGGTCTCGGCGCCGGCATGCCTTCCGGGCTTGAGACAGGATGTGAATCTGTAGATTCATATCTAAACAAAATGAGAATAGTCCATGGAAATGCCTTGCCGTTGTATGCGCGCAGGTCGGCCTGGAACTCATAGAAGAGAACCTTTAAACAATTTAAATAGCCCTTCCAGGCGGCGACATGGGCGGGCGTGTCGCCAGACCTCGAAACAGCGTTGGGGTTTGCGCCTCTCTGGAGGACCATGCGAAGTAGATCGAGATGGCCGCGGTCCGCGCCGATGTGAGCAACGCGAAAACCGAATGGGCCCTCTGCGTTGAGCTCTGCTCCGTTCTGGAGCAGCGGGTCGACACATCCGGCCCCTGCGCGCTTTTGCTCCGCGCTGGCAAGGCCTCACTAGCCCCAAGAAGATGCCGCGATCACTAAGGCTGTCTGTTCACTCAGCGATGAGCTTCCTCGACTGTTGAAGCTGCTCGGTGAGATCGTCAATTGTGCCATTGGCCATGATTAGTTGACCATGAATTGCATTCAGAGAAGACTCATACGCGGCTCGCTGCGCAAGTTGGTCGCTGAAGTATGCCTGGTCTTGTTGCTCGAGTTTGTTCTGCAGCGTATTGCACACGTGACTGATGGTGATAAGTTGATGTCCAATACCTCGCAAGTCATTGTTCACGAGAACTGGGACACCTGGGGGCATGCCAGGCTGGCATAGTCCAGGAAACTCGGAGGGAGTGCTGTGGAGTCTCCGAAGTGTTGCGCGCGGGTTGGTAGAGCTTGTCGAGACGCTATTCGGCAAGCCACAAAATTGAGGCCGGCTTCTTGAATGCCTGCATATCAACGAGCAGCACATTCTCCGGCTTGATGTGAATGTGAATGCTGCACGCTGGTGGAGTGTGCATAGAGACCCACCCCTTGGTGTCCTCTATGCACTTTCCCGTGCGTCGATCCAAGCATCGACAATCAGGGGCCTCCTAGCTCCTCCGAGGAACCCAGCCCATCCACCAAGCCATAACCCAAGCCGCCCACGAGGACCAGTGGGGGCGAGGGGGCAGGCCCTCCGTCCTCGGCAGCCCAAAAAACAGCTCGGCGTCCCAGCGCAGCACGAGCGCCATGCGCTGGTCCGGCGCCTGCTGCGCGTCCCGCTGGGCCATACTGGCACGGACGGTGTGGCGCAGGAAGGCTGAGAAGGTGCGCGCGTTGATTATGGGTTCTAGGCCCATGAAGCGGTAGAGGCCGTCGAACGAGCGGGCCCCCCGGATCTGACTTAGCCCGTCGGCAAGGGCAGCCGCCGTAGCGGAGTGAGGGAGTCCACGCTCCGCGAAGAGGGCGTCGCGGGACTGCTCGAGCGTCTTGCCCGTGGCGACGGGCCGGACTACGCGCTGGAATAGGTGCGCGAACATGAGCACCCTGTACGGGGTCAGGCTGCCCCAAAAGGTGTGCCCGATCCGGTACGTGGAGGCTGCGTCGTCAGGCTCCATGAAGGAGAGGCCCGGGTGTGCCGTGAGCAGGGTGGGTACGTTGCGTGTGATGACCTCCGTGACGAGGCTGGCTGTGAAGCTCTCGTCCGTCTCCACGTCGGATATCAGCAGGGCTACGACGAGGTGCTCCAGGCGAGGTATGTCTTTGGCGGAGGTCTGGCCGGCCTGGAAGGACTTGACCAGATTGTTTGCAATTTCGATGCACTCGGGCTTGTCGACTGCCAGGCAGAGGAGGATGTGAAAGAGTGAGAAGAGCGCCTGTATGGCCTTGTCCGAGGGGTGTAGGAGACTGGTGGTCTGATGCTCCAGCCTTGGGTAATCATTCGCGTCCCTCGATGGGACCGACCGCATAGTGTGCACATTAGTGATAAGCTTAAAGATCGTGTCGCTCAGCCTTGGGTTGCTGAACTGAAGGCCGATGCCGAGTGGAGACTGTTTATAGCCCTCCTTGGTGATGAAGCACTGCAGCTCGCGGTTGCGAATGACCATGTGTTTCTCATTGATTCTGTCAATGTGACCCCATGCCTTGCTGAACCGCAGTATGTCCTCGACTGGGAGATGGTTGAGGACCAGTAGAAGTATCTCACTTGGAAGGCCATGAATAGTCTTTGCTGGAGCCTGCAGGCTTGAGGATCTGGGAATAGCAGATCTCTTGGTTGCTGTCGGGGTAGTATAGAGTTCATTCCACCGGTTCGTGAAAGCGAGCTCGAAATGACCAGAGTCGGACGTGCCCAGACCACAATGGTCGCACTCGTAAGTCTTGCCCCTCGGATATGAGCGCCATGGGAACTGGGCGCTGGCCGCAGTCTCCGCGGCGATTTCGGCTAGCAGAAGGATAGCGATGGTCTTGATGGTGTACGCAGGGGTGTAATCCGTGCCATAATGGGAGACCAGAACGCAGAGAGATGCGTTGAGGAAATCTGGGTGCGAATCCGGGCTGTCGACAAGTACGACAGGGGCACTGAGCGGGTAATCAGGCTTGAACTGCATGGTCGTGTGTACAACACCGCGAGAAGTTTTCAGCACAAGACACGCTTTCTTGAGGGAGTCGTCCTGGAGATTGAATAGCACGCCTGTGTATGGTTCGTTGTGTATCTCATAAACGTCACGGCCGAGCCGATTGTGAAGCGCAGCAGGCGCTTGTGCCTTAATAGACTCTGAGTCGGCGGAGGACATCGTGGAAGTGCCGTTTGTGGCTGATCGTAATCTTTGCTTCCGTTCTACCAATCTGTCAGCGAATTTGTAGGGTTCATGGGCTTCCTAATGCGATTAAATTAACGTACCTGTCTGAAATAGAGAGTGTTCGGCGAAAGGCAAGCAGAAGGGTGCGTAGGAATGGACTCGAGAACGGTTCAGCTTTTGTTGAGGAAGCTGTTGGACTTTTGGAAGGAAGTGAAGAAAAGTTGAAATCAATGGAAACAAACACAGAAAGAGCTTCGAAAAAGTAGTTGGTGTGTTTTCTTCGGGGTCGGGGTTTTTGGACCCTCGGCTGACAACCGGAGCCTCGCAGCGCGCCTTGTCTCCAGCCTCGCCGTGGCGAAGTCGCCGAATGGTCTGTGCAGCACAGGAACTCAGCGAGGGTCAATTCGGGTTCTGAATTAAGGAAAGATTCCACTCAGTCACGGATTCTTAGTCCGATCTGAGGAGGCTTAAAAGGTTTTTGGTCAAAGGAACTGCTGTGTACAGGTGGCAGGTATGTGGGTAGGCAAGCTCAATTTGTAGGTAGGCGTCGTCGAGATCTTCGCGAAGGGCTGGCCTGCCCAGCTGCGTAAATGGCTGGTTAAGTGGGCACTACAAACACAATGGCTGTGACTTGAGCAGCTTATTGTGCCTTTTTGTGCAGAATGTGAACATCAGGATCGAAGTTGTTTGTGAGATAACTCTCTGTCCTCCATCCAGACTGCGACGATGACCTCGCGAAGAGAACACAATGGGCATTCATCAAGATTTGTGTAATTGGAATCACCAGAGACCAAGTCCGAATTGATTGCAAACTACAATATTATGCCACCACAGCTTCAGGGATGAAGTTTTGCAAGAGCCTTTTACCAGATTGAAGTCAATTACCAGCTATTGAGAAAGTGACACCAGTGATACAGCGTTGAGAAGAGATTGGGCTCTTCCATCCCCTCATCACCACCGCAGCTACAACCTCAGGTGGTAAGAGGTGATGCTCTAGCACGGGAAGTTCAAAACAGTTGCCAGGTATTCAACTTTCATCAGTAGCTGCAGTATCAGCAGCAGGACACCGCCCGCTCTACTGGATGACCGCTTTGAGAACAAGAATGAGACACCTTGCTCGTACATGCACCTAGCAGAGGTTACATGTAGGTGTTGTTTTACATTTCGTATCAAGAACGCCAACAAGGATATTACCTCCCTATTTAATAGAGCAAAAGCTGGTAGATGAAACAAATATCAGCGGCTTTCCTTGATATGTCACACACATATAGAATTTGCGTGTTCCTGGATACAAGCATACAAGCAACCCAATAAACCTGTCAGGAGTTCTTGGCTACCGATGAATGATTCACATGAAATTGAACACGTAGCAAACACAATTTCAACATTTTCACAGCATTCTGTTTTCATTCATTAATTCTAGGTCATAATAAAAATGCTTCCTAACTCGATGTGGTATCTTACGCCTCTGCCTCTCCCATGCTTAAAGAGGAACTGAAACAACAGACAAGACTTGCCTGGTTCGCACATGGTTCACCGAGAACTCCATGCCATCCATCTATAACAAACCAAACCCTGAAACAGCCACCGAAGTCATTACAACATGCCCTCCTCTACCACCGCTTCAACGCGGCCCTCACAGTAAAACGCTCCCTTCCACGATGAGCCCTTGGAACCACCGCGGTGAGTCCTACTGCGATAAGGCCACTCAGCCATGGCCGTCACCATACCCGCCCCGCTTATATCTCCCCAGAACAGAGCTCCACTCAGGGCTCCATGCCACCTGGCCGGGAGACTAGTCCGACCAATCCTTCTCGACGCGCCACGCGTCGCTCGGCCTCAGGCCCGCGCCCGAAATCAGATCACAGTCCCGGTGGCCCCATTTCCGGCGGAATACCTCGCGCCCTGCCTCGGTCAGGACGTCTATCGCCTCCGCGAGCCCCTCAGCCGAATAGTAGAATGGCTCGCCTATGCCGCCGTGTTGGCCCTGCTGCCAGGTGTTGCGACCTCGGTCGCCGTGTTTGTAGTGAAACATGCGGTCCGATACGTGCCGCAGTGAGTGGTAATATGCCAGGTTTGGATCTTCAGCTCTGTCGGCTTCTGGATTTGGTGCTCTTTTTACTTTGGCGTCTTCTTTCGGCTTTGGTGCGGGTGGATTTGGGTCCGTAAAATCGGGCGCGAGTGTGGGGTCGCGATACAATGCCAGGAGATCGTTCAGTGCGGAGCTCGTATCGGTCACCGTCCCGGCGTGTCTGTCGAGCATACTCAGGTTGGACATGAGCAGTCTGCTATGCATATCGCAGTCAGTCAAGTAGTATGGGATTAGAGTATCCCATCCCCCAACTTCCTCGTAGGCCTTCGGGTTGACTAGCGCCAGGTGATCGTATGCGAAGAATCGCACTGCCCATCGATCGTCTTTCTTCCGCGCTTCGTCGAGCCACTGGCAGCCAAGCTCATACACTGTCTTATATCCTGGCTGGTCATATGGTGGCGTGACCCCCTCAAACCCTTCTTCGAAGGATAGAGTGAGCACGTCCTGATGAGACCAGAAGTAATAAGGCCAGTTGTGTGTGTTGGCCATGGATAGATAGAAATTCTGAAGCTGAGCAAAGTTAAGCAGCACTGGCGTCTGCACAACATTAACCCCGAGCTTCTTGAGCTGCGCGTGGTTCAAGTAGAAAGGGTTTTGAAGTGACAATTGGCCGCGAGCGTTAGCCATCTGAACGCCGGTGTTCTCAATGACATATATCTGCTCTGGTGGCCACCCTGCCGTAATATAAGAGACGACTGCTTGCAGGAGAATGGGCCAGGTGCGAGTGAAGCCGATGAGCAGAGGAGGTGGGATAGGCAAGTCATATTCCTTGTGAAGACCTGGCCGAGGCTTATTCCATTGCGGGATAGGGGGTGGTGTCGATGTGGCTAGTAGGGGGAACGGATCGCGGATTGGAGGTGGAGTATAGGTTGGCGTCGGTTTGTATTTCGGTGTCGGCTTGGGCTTTTCTTTAGGTTCTGAAGGAGCACGGAGGCCGTCGACTAAGCTCCCAACGTCGCCCTTGACCTGCGTCGCGACGCTCTTGCCACCAAAGTCGACACGGAGGAAGAAGATGAACAGGACAAAGAGACAAGCGACGACGAAGAAGTTGAAGTGTCGGCGAGAAGTCATGATGACCGACATATCTGGACCGCCAGCAGTGCTGCGTGTAAAACCGGTCGCTTCAGCTCCTGTGATAGGATAGCCCACGCACAAGCTCGGCCAAGAATATAGGCGTCTATTGGTGTAGTAAGGTAAGATCCAGCAGGTTGCAGTGAGGCGACATCTGTGCCAATGAAATCAGGGCACTGGTGTGAACTGCCTATCACTGTCCCCTGGTCGCACGCTGTGGATGGAGTTGAGAGAATCTGGGCCAGGACAGGCCGCTGTTGATCTTCGTGGTTGAAAACACCAGACGGGGATACTCGAAGAGGCCCTGAGATACGAGTACAATACTCGCTGCCTCACGTCAGAGGCACGAATTGGATTACAAGCAGCGGAAAGGAAATCGGGCCCGAGCGGATGTCACCGGTAGGGAAAGTTTAAGACAGTCCGGATGGAGATGTCAGGCAGCAGACTGCGCTGGCCCAGACAAGCAGATTGCGATGAAGGATCCGAGGCAACGAATAAACAAGCAGCAAAGAAGGAGAGACAAACTGGTCTCAGAGTCTTAGTACGCGTTCCGGACTGAGAAGGAAGGAGGCGAGGCGCAATCCACAAGTACAAGTGGAGGAAAAAGTCCGGAAAGAGCTAGGTAGCGTGGGAGACGTTGTACTGGGACCGGAACTGGGGCCGAGCTAGAAGGAAGAGGAAGAGGAAGAGGATCAAAGGGTGAGAAGGAGGGAGAGAGTGGAAGAAGGCGAAAGAGACGTGATAGGTAGCGTCCACTTGCGACAGGAGAAAAGCAGGAGGAGAAAAGCCACAGCAGAGGACTCAGGAGGAGGGAGGGGCAAACAGAGAAAAGGCTTGTCCTGCCGTCATCCCAACAGGCGGACAGCTGCACCCCAGGCAAGCTTGGAACAAGCTCGCTGCCTCTCTGGGTTCTCTTGCTGAGATAGGATGCGCCCAGATGGATCAGGCGAGGATTTCCCATGACAGACAGCGTTAGAGTGAAGCTAAGGCAGTACCTGGGCAGCTGTACTCGCATTGGCGGGCCAGTTGTGCCGTAGTAGCAGACGACTACGGCCGCTAGATAGATCCTGCGTACAGACTGACAGACTGTGTAAGGAGGCACAGAGCTTGATGTTTTCCCCGTGCAATCATGACGCAGGCCGGCGGCTAAGCGGCAGTGCTCGAACATGGAGCTGTGGCCGGGCTGGGCGGATGGCGTGGATGGGGGATGCGTCAAGGCGTTGGGGTGGGAGCTGGGGAGGCGAGACATAAAACCACATTAGATAAGTGGCTGTACATGCAGTAGTCGAGGCCAATGGCCTAGACTCGTCAAGACTCCTCAACGATCATGGTAGGAGAACGGCCGGACAGCCGGGGAGTCGATGCGTGTTATGCCGCGTGTCGCTGTGTCATAAGGCTGATGACAGATTGGGGCTGGGACGTGCTTGGGTGGTATGGGTAATGCTTGTTTTCTGTGAAGCTTGCCGTGCTTTGCTGCAGCGATGCTGCAGGTGGCAGCTCATCCGATGCCACCCTGCTCCTGCTAATTTGCTGCTACCCCCATGCCATGGCATGTTAAGCATACAGATGCTGATAGGGGAGTAGCGTTGCCGACGCTCGCATTCTCCGTTTGCAGGTGGAGGAAGCGACATTGGAACGCCAGAGCACTGACGGTGTGGTGGTGGTGTCTGTGCTTGCCCCAGTCGAATGGATCGGACGGAACGGTGCAGCACAGCCAGTCAGCCGTTAGTCTGCTAGTATGGACTCAGGAACGCAGGCACTACGGTACCGTCAAGCTGGGAGATGCGAGGATCCATCTATTCTGCCATCCAGGCACCTGGCGCACAGCTGGGGAAAGACGAAACTGGAGTCGTTCGTTCGTTGTTGCCAGCTCCAGAAATACAGTACGTGGATTGTGGATATGGACGTGGATGTGGATGTGGGGGCAGGTGCAGGTGCAGTGTGTGGATCCCTGCTGCGGATTACGTCCTGCCGTACGACAGTGATCGCACTTGCCATGCCATGCCATGTCATGCTCTGCCCTGACAGCTGTCGCAAGCCTCAACGGTAGAATTGCAGCTGCTGGGCAAGTACTCATTGACAGAAGAGAGGCCACTGCCTGGCAGTGTTGCTGATACAAACTGCATCGTGGAGGATTCAGTTGATTCGAAAGAAAGCAGCCGCAATGTCTTGGCTCAGCAGGGAAGCAGGAAGCGCTAACCACAACCGCACAATAGGCAGGTTTGACATGGACACTAACGGTGACAGTGACGGTCTGGATGGTGAGGTCGAGGTTGAGCACGGGCCACCTCAGGTCGAAATGCTCCGGCTGTGACTGGCGCTTGACGTCACTATGGCATTTCTCACAATCGCAACTGCCACAAAATGCACAAAATGCAGAATCCAATCAATCAATCAATCAATCAGTCAGTCGGAGACCATTCCATCAATCAAAAGCTGATGGGGCTATCTTTCTCTGGTTCGTGCGACAGGAGGTCGGTGAGGACCTCCGTCCATGGGATCCAAATCAAACTTCCAAGTCTGTATGTATTGGAGGTGTCGTCGTCGGCACATCCACACACCCACATGCCATGATCTGCCGGGCGGATGCACATGCAGGCGGCCAGGCGGGTGCTAGGCTCGCTCGCTAAGCGGGATGTCCCTCTGCAGATCTCCGTGTGGCGCCCAGATGATGATCCTGACTGCCTGAGCATGCTGCCGCTCTTTTTTGCCTGCGGCCTGCCGTGTCATTGTGACATTATGCCCATGAAACGTGGTGCCAATTGGGGGAGTCCCGGCCCGAGCTTACCTTGGCTCCAGGTCTCACTCGCCTCACTCACCCTGACCCAGCCAGCCAGCCAGCTACTGTTGGTTAGCTAGCTGCCAGATTCGCGACTCGACTGTCATCAGCAGCATCACACACACGCACGCACTGCATCCACTGCACTCGTAGCCGGCCACCCCCACGGCCAGCTAGCCTCAATGAAGCATGCTCTCTCGCGCTGCTGCATTTCCCCTGTCACTCTCGCTGTCGCTGTCCCTCTCTGTGTCGCTATCGCTGCTGGCAGCCCTGCACCTGGTCACATCTCCGGTCGCCTCCGCCCTCTTCCATGAGCAGGTCGCCTTCGACAACTCGGACGTATGCTGGTGGGGCTTAGTTCCCCCAGACCTCGTCTGTCCCGTCCTGAGACAGCAGAACCTCACCGACATTGTCAACAGCCTCGCCGGGCCCCCAAGATGGACCGGAGGTGACCAGTGTGTCGGCGCCTACTGCCTCTACTCCAGCAAAGGCTTCGCCGGCGGCAGAGGCATCGCCGCCATCACCACTGCCGAGAACATTGCCAAGGTCAAGGAGGTCGGGGACCTGCTGCATCAATTCGAGGTCTCATTCAACAATGAAGACGAGAACCTGCCCTTCCATGTCGCAGAGGTCGAGGGTAAAGGAAATGGTGTCATTGCCAACCATCGCCTCTCCCGGGGCGATCCCATCATGGCTCACACCCCTGTCCTGCTCATCCACCAGGACTTCAAGCAGGAGTCTGATCAGGACGGGCAAAAACACCTCCTCGATCTAGCGCTGGAATCGCTCCCTGAACAGACTGCGAGCCTGTTCATGGGACAGATGGCCCACAACCCTGACGAGCACCCCGTCGCAGCCCGTCTCACCACCAATGCCTTCCGGCTCGATCTGGGCGGCGGTGATGGCCAACACTACGGTGCCTTCCCCGAGGTGGGCAAGACCAACCATGACTGCCGCCCCAACGCCGCATACTATGTCGACCAGTCAACTCTGATGCATATCACTACCGCTGTGCGACCCATCAAGGCCGGCGAGGAGATCACCATCACTTATCTGGACCCCTTAGCCCATCGCGCCGACAGGCAGGAGCGCGCCCAATCCCACTGGGGCTTCGGTTGCACCTGTCCTCACTGCAGCGCCACTGCTGAGGAGAATGTCGAGTCGGACACCCGCCTCAAAGAGATCAAGTGGATCGAGGGTCAGCTAGAGGATCTCAAGAACAGCTCCAACGATGTCTCCGTCGGGCTGATCACGTATCTGGTGAAGCTGTACGAAGACGAAAGGCTTCACTGCCGCATCGCCAATGCGTATATTCTGGCTGCCCTGAACTTCAATGTGCTGGGGTACGACCAGCGCGCTGTTAAGTATGCCGCCTTGGCCATCGATGCTTTGAAGATCGAGAAGGGCGACGGTTCCCCATATGTCGAGACCATGGAGGAACTCAAGAGGGATCCGAAGAAACACCCCACTTTTAAGGGAAGAGGCAAGCAGGGTGGGAAGTGAACAGGAAGCCGACATTCGGCTGGCAGCTCCGAGTGCTCGACCGGAGCCGATTACAGACAGAAAAAACTCAACAGTAGATGGGGACTGGTCTAAATCTCAGCAGCCACTTTGTCCTCAGCTCATGATTGTATAACCCCGTGATATATACAGATTTCCGTGCCAAATGGATCCATATCAGACCTTCCAAGCCTTAATCCAAGCCTTAATACAAAGCAGGCAGACAGTCAAAGCCTCCCAGCACGAATATCAGGACCCGCATATATCATCAGGAACCAACCCCAGATGACATCACCACACCACGTTCCCGCCCCACTCCCGCCCATCGAGCAATGGTAAGCCGTCAAAATGGGGGGGGGGGGGCAATCACCCGAGAGCTTCCACGAACCGCCGGAGTAATTGACAACAAAAATTCGCCGGGACAGCCACCTAGACCGGCCGCAGCGTAAACCTGATATAAGGCGCAATTGGCCAATTAGCACTACGCCTCAGCTGTATGGCTCTCGTCAGGGTTGCCTCATCATCATCCTCCTCCTGCTCTCCATCCTCGTCAGAATCAGAGCCCTGCGGTCCCGCTTCATCGTCGAGAACGATGGGAGAGCAGCCCATAGCTCCAAAGAGGAGCGAACAGCCCTCCCTTTCAGCGCTCCCGTGCTGAACCCGTGGTGCGATGGAGACAAGGCCAACGAACGGGATGAGCAGCACAAGAGCGTCTTGGTCTTCCTCTACAAGAACTGCGGTGTTGCTCCCCAAGAATGCTCCGCCGGACTTACGGTACGTCACAACGACGGCGTCACCACTGGCCTCCAGCGCCAGCAACCGGGCCAACACGTCTTCTGTACCGCTTTTTGCGGCAGAACCCGCGTAATAGTCCATGTCCTCGTCTCCATCATCTTCGTTCTCGTCTCCCGACAGCCGCATTCTCTCCATCGCCTCGGACACCATGGCGCGATCCGCCAGGTGCTGCTGATGGTCGGGACCTTCCAGGGACGACGCCGGCATCGTTTGGCGGCCGTCAAGAAGATGAGCGAGCAGTAAGGTCACGGCGGCCGGCCAAGCGTAGTGGTCTAGGAGCTGGAAGTAGCCTGCGGTGCGCTCGCAGGACCGAAGATGGATGAAGCGGCTCAGTAGCTTGCGGCTGGCTTCGACGCAGATATCGCGACTACTACCGATGTTGTGTTTGTGGTGTTGACGATTCCTTTTGGCCGAGTTATCCGTAATGGTGGCCTCACCGCATGTTGCCTGCAGCATGAATGGGAGATAAGCAAGCAGGAGAAGGTGTGAATGGAATATCTGCGCCCTGAGCTTCACTATTGTTCCGAAGAGATGCTTCTCGTCGTCCGCCTCGTCGTTTGCATATTTGTCTAGGCTGGGCGTATGCCACCATCCGCTCGGCATCGCACTCGCGGCTTCTTCCAACTCGGTACGGATCTGATGCGCGGCGTCTAAGTCTTCGAAGGTGGGATCATGCGCACTCCGTCTGAGCAAAAGACCAGATATCGCAGCGTGTCGCCTGTGAAGCTTGCTTGTATCTGTTGTATTGTCCTCTGTTGTGACAGAGTCCGCCACGAACGTAAAAGTTTCATTCGGGCAAGAGGCTGAGGGCGGCATCTCTAACGCCAAGCATAATGCGAGCTCGCTGTACACGAGGCGGAACCACATCTGCTGCAAGTCTGCCGTCTCGCCATCCGGCTGCTGTAGTATCGTTCTCGGAGGTACCATCGGAGTATGCCGGCGCCCATGAAATCCCATGAGGTGTATTGCGGAAATGGCCCTCCGACATGCCAACCAGGACCGGCGGAGGCTGCCGTTGTGTTCGTGATACACGGCCTCAAGCCACAGACTTTCCAAGCCCTCGAGAGTGTTGGTGGTAAACCTATCGTGCGCTGTCACCAAAGTCATTGCCGCCTCTGCTAACCGTCTCGCCAGCGCTCGCGGCGTTCGGGACAACTCTCCCAGTTGCCGGTAGCTATTGTTGCTCCTTGCAGATTGCGCAGCAGGCAGGTGCTGAAGAACGCTAGCAAGCAGGAGCATTTGTCGGGCAATGAGGACCGGATGTGTTTCTGGTGTATACTGTTGTTGTTGTTGTTGTGCTCCCCATAGCTTTTCCCACTCGAGTGCCACCCGCTTTTCGAGCAGATGCGATGGCGACACAAGTGCCAGGGGCAAGTAGAGCACCATCTTTTCGCCCGCATTTCCGATATTAAGCAGGTCCCGGGGTGACGGGTAGGCCGCGAGCAATGTTTGCGATAGCGTTCGGTGCTTTGAGCCCGTCATTGTGGGTGGCAGTGATATGCTGATGCTGGCCGGGGTTGACGGTGGACTGGGAGAAGCAACACGACCACCTACTTGCTCGGCCAGCTGCTGGAGCATGGACTCCAGCCGGCCGATGCGGTCTCCCACCAGCCGGCTTTTGGATGACGGCCCGGGGTCCTGCTCTGGAAACTCCTGGCTCAAGCAATCCAAGCAGCGCCGGGCGCACCCGATACACACGTCGTCAGTGGGACTTGCATATGTGCATTTCACCTTACGCCGTTTGCATGCCCAGCAGCTCCGCGTTCCTTTGCGCGTCTTCCTCCTCTTCAGGGTACGTCCGGCGTCGACGCTGCTGCCGTTGCTGCGCGACGCCATGGCGCGGCGGCCGAATGGAAGCAGCACGTTGGACCGAATTTCTCGGCGCTTGCTAAATGAAAATCAGCCCTCGATTTAATCCTTGCTTGTTGCCAGCGTATCATCATACATGAGCTCGACCATTTCGGTGGATTGCCACGGGCCTTGTGTTACCTCTTTTCCACCGAACGGCGGTGAATTATGTGCTCGGAAGAGCGAGGATCACGTCGATGTAGCGGATTTCGAGGAATGTGACCCGCACTTTTCTTCTTAAAATCCGAGTGTGGGCACTTGTTGTGAACTATTAGTGTGAGGACACTGCGGCTTACTCTCAGGATACACTGATGTAACCTTCTAGCGGACGTAAGACCGAACGGCGGTTGAACGACAGGATCCGGGCCCCCGGCACCCAACCGACTTAAGTCCGGGCAACGGCACAGCCTACGATGAAGGCAGTCAACGTATAATTGCCTGCTCTTGGTAACAATGAATCCCCCCCAGTAAACACAACCTGGTAGACTAGATTCTGGCTCTAATTTTCCCTCTCTTCCAGCCAACGACTAATCGATCAGCCCGCAAATCTGTTGAATTTATAGCAGCGCGGCGACCTCAACTTTACAGGCAGAGCCGTTAGACGCGGCTTAATTTCACACGTTCCTAATATAAAGCCCGATCAGACGATGAGTGGTGAGAACAAGGAGGATGTCGAGGTCGGCGGAGATGTCTCTGAGGCTGCTGAGACTTCTCCTACAGTGGATGCAGACGACTATCCGGCGGGCGCAACGCTTGCTTTGATCGTCGTGGCACTGGCCATGAGCATGTTTCTGGTCGCTCTAGACATGGTAACACAAAACAAACAATTTGAAAAAACTTTGTCTCTCGCTTTTGCACAATTTGGAATCGTGTGGCTAACCTTTGCCCCGAATTCTTTTTGACAGACAATTATCGCGACTGCCGTCCCCAAGATAACCGACGACTTCCACAGCCTGGAGGACATCGCCTGGTACGGCTCGGCCTTCTTCGTAACAAGTGGTGGCTTCCAGTCATCGTGGGGCAAAGCCTTCAAGTACTTCTCCCTTAAGGCCAGCTATCTCGCCGCCATCTTGATTTTCGAGCTCGGCAGTCTAATTTGCGGCGTGGCACCCACGTCGACGGCCCTGGTTGTCGGGCGCGCTATCGCCGGTGTTGGCGCCGCCGGCGTGAGCTCTGGAACCTACACGTTGATCGCCTTCGCGGCGCGGCCCGAGAAGCGGCCCGTCTTCGTCGGCATTTTCGGCCTCTGTTTCGGCATCGCGTCTGTAGTCGGGCCCCTTATCGGCGGCGCTTTCACTGACCATGTTACCTGGCGCTGGTGTTTCTACGTTAACCTGCCCATCGGCGGGCTGTCGGCACTCCTTGTTCTCATCTTCTACCGCACACCCGCATGGGCTAGGCCTGCTGAGGCCAGCTGGCCCGAGAAGCTGCTGCAGATGGACCCCGTAGGCACAGCACTGGCATTAGGGGCTATCATTGTCTATATCCTAGGTATGCAGTACGGAGGGCAGACTGAGCCATGGAACTCGTCCACAGTGATCGGTTTGCTCGTGGCATTTGTGTCTATCACCGCGGCTTTTGCGTCCTGGGAGATGTATGCGGGCGAGCGGGCAATGATGCCGCCGCGCCTAATGAGGCAGCGCGTCGTGTGGTTCAACGCGACATGGGCCTTCCTCCTGATCGGTGCCTACTTTGCGGTCGTCTACTACCTGCCTGTCTACTTCCAGAGCATTGACAGCCTCAGCCCGACTGCATCCGGCGTGCGCAGCCTGCCATTGATCCTGACCGCCAGCGTCGCCATCATTATTCTCGGCATGACCGTCAAGTACCTGGCCTCATACACGATGCTGGTCATGGCCTTTTGCGCAGCCGTCGCGGCCGTTGCCATCGGGCTGATGATCACTTTTGACACACGCCCTTCCCTTGGCAAAGAGGTCGGCTATCAGCTTCTTGCGGGTTTCGCGCTAGGCTTTCCCTTCCAGCTTCCCGTCATCCATGGACAGACCCAATCCAAGGCGGAGGACCTTGCCGTCGTGACAGCCATCATTATATGTGAGTATATATCCCTCACCCGTCTAATATTTTCTATACTGATATGGTACCTTTATCTACGTACACAGTCTCGGAAACAATCGCCGGTGCCATCCTCCTGTCTGCCGCACAATGCGCCTTTGTAAATCAGATGCTGAAAACGCTGGCTTTCACGGCCCCAGACGTTGATCCAGCCAAGCTCATCGCAACGGGCGTGTCCGAGATCCGCGATGTGTTTCCCGCCGAGCAGATCCCCGGAATCTTGCTCGCTTACATGGACGGCCTCCGGATCCCGTTCGCCATCGCCACGGCTACTGCTGGTGCTGCCTGCGTCCTCGCCTGTATTGTCGTTGTCGTCCCTGACCGTCTCGCAAAGAAGGCTGGCGGCGGTAGCTTGGAGTCCAGTGACGGCTCGGGGGGGGATCAAGGGCGAGCGACCTTAGCTTCGATAATCTGACAAAGGCCACAATGAAAGCACCGATTCTGGAGAATCCAGCTTAAAGTCTCAATTGCGGCGGTCATAAAATTGAAATTGTTTCCCTTTGTGCCTATCATATAATATGTTACAAGAGACATTGAGTGATGTTGAACTAACACCCAGAGCACGTAATAGAAGTGGCCGTGCAGATGTCATGGTGAGGAAATCATACACTACAGCTTTTTCAAAAAGCCACGGAAATCTCTCCCGAAATTCTCAAGAGACTCGGAATTGCCTCGGGAGAATGGTAGGTGTAGAAACAGATGATCTATTCTCCCTCTAATACCACTATCTCAGTCCCCTCGGTCTCGGTATTATCACGTAGACAAAGTAATAATTGGAAGGTGGCACAAAAAACATTCCTTTGCGTCAATGACAGTCGTGTGGGTCGTGTTGGCCCGCTATTGATAACAGTTGCCGAGCCTCTCAGGTGGAAGTCTTGGTTATGCCCAGAGCCTTGTCGCCATGGCACGCACCTTCGAGTGGTGTAATTCGACAGTAGGGGCTTGGTAGACTTAGGTCGATCTCAATTCTATACGCGGATGACAAGACCCACTAACCTTTTTCCAAGTCAAACAAGTCGGAGATTAGGTGAAAAGCACCAGTTCGGCACCAATCCCCGGGCAAGTATATATCCAGGTCGCAACAACCAAGCAATACCAAGAACGACCAAGCAGATCCAAGCTTCTGAATCGACCACGACTGCGAATTGCATTTGTTCCTCATCCAGTCTCTTAATATTTCAGGACCGTTTTTACGGTAATATACTTACCACACCTTCTACTTGAAGCTTAGTCTTGCAGGCAATGGCACGGTCGATTGTTCTTGACTTCGCACGGGGAACAAAATTGCGGCGACCTTCTTGATTGAGGGTCTCCGCCCGGCGATTAGACAAAGAAAAAATATGGTGTATGGCGCCAGTATCGGAGCCGTGAACAACGCATCCTATTTGCTATAGGCTTGGGTGTGGTTGCTGGCATGGGCGGAACTTCGAAATAGCCATGGGTATATCAGAGTGAGGCCTGCGGATATAAAAGATGCTACATCGTCAGCGTGTTCTCCTCTATACGATGCTCACCATCCCGCCATCATTTGCTGTTCTCTCAGTCGAGCGATTTCGTTGATCTTGTCTTTCCCGCCACGTCTCAAAATGCTTGTCCAGTCCATTCTGAGTGCCCTCGTGGCCGCCCCCCTGCTTGCTTCTGCCCTGCCACACCAAAGCAACAGGCGCAGTGAAGGCCTCTCTGTCGAGCTGTCTCAAGCAAGCGAGACTGAGGTTAAAGCAATCGTCTCAAACACTGGCGCTGAGACTCTGCACTTGTTTACCAGCGGCACCATTCTTGACAATGCCCCTGTGCAGCAGCTGGACGTGACCCAGGATGGTGTGTATCTGACGAAGACTTTTCTCATGGCTGACAATTTGCTGACATGTAAAAGGTCAATCTGCTGAATATCTCGGCCTGATCATCGATTATCTGGCCGATGACCTCCAGGAAGAGTCTTTCATCACTCTTGCTCCTGGGGAGACTGCAGAGGCTCTCGTGAACGTCCCTGCTCTGTGTAAGTCTCTGTTACTGTTCTTGGCACACTCTTCAGAACAAATGCTGACTCAGGAGTTAAGACGATATCAAGGGTGGTGACTACTCTGTCTCTCTTAACGGTGAAATTGCATTCGCTGGTGTCGACTCTACCCAGCTTGAGGGTGTCTACGAATTCCAGACCAACACTGTGGACTTCAACATCGAGGAGACCGTGGCCGCCGCCGTCCCAAAGGCAGTTGACATGGAGATTCTGCCTCTTGAGAAGCGCGTCCGCATCGTCTCGTGTTCTGGCTCCCAGCTCACAGCCCTGAGTAACGCAGTGTCCGCCACCAACCGTCTTTCCACTGCCGCAGCCAATGCCGCCGCCAGCGGCTCGGCGACCAAGTTCAACGAGTACTTTCGCACCACGTCTGCCACCACCCGGAGCAACGTAGCCAGTCGATTCAGATCATTCGCCTCTGAGGACTCGTCTACTACATCTGGCTCCAGCTCCTACTCTTGCGTCGACTTCCTCGGCGTGTGCACTTCCAACACCATTGCCTACGCCCAACCTGCGACCGGCCGCATGGCCAGCTGCCCAATCTTCTGGCAACTGCGGGCAGTCTCCACAGACTGTGGTCAGCAGAGCCAGGCTTCGACTGTGCTGCATGAGTTCACTCATATCCTTGCTGGCACCAACGACCACGCCTATGGATATGCTGCTTCGACTGCTTTGTCTGCGGCGCGGGCTTACACTAACGCTGACAAGTATGTGCTTTCCCCGTGCTTTCCCTGTCGTTGATTCATATGAGATAATGAATCTAACAAATTTGTGTAGCTACGCTCTGTACGCTGATGCAATTGCGAATAGCTGTTAGATCTACGTGACAGCGTTCCATAGTGGGAATTTGAACATAATGGACAATGGGAGATTGAACAACAACGTCTCTGAGGCGATTTAACGAGCGTGGGACAAGTAGCAAGAGATCTTCGATGTATATATGAAACTTGAAACATAAGGCGTGCTATGAATTATAACTGCTCTCTCCCACCACCATCCACTGCAACCCACCGCAGATTCTAGCGGTCTCAATCTAACTACACTTGCGTTTTACCCAGTTTCGAACTATAATCTCCCAGTCCCCACATGTGATACTCATTGCCACTTGATTTTCTCACTCATGCTGAAATATTGGTTCCCTGATCTGTCTCATGCCTTGACATTTCTTCAAGTTGAATGTTGGCCATAGGAGCACTCTCCCATCAGCCCCGCAAATCACACGGTGTAGAGATGAACACTCAGCCCCCCCTTTCGCTGATTCAAATTCCTTCAGCCGGATGAGGAAGCACCGGGCTTTTCTTTGCCTCCCTTACTGCGGCGCCTGCGTGTCCACGGGCCAGCACTGACTTCGGGCTCATCGTCTTCCACCCCATCTTCCCCAGGAAATTGATCAGAAAGATCTGTGAGTTCAGATATCTCAGAATCGGCATCAGCAGTTGGAGCTGACCATTCCGCCAGGTGGAAATCCTTAAACGAATGAGGGAGAACTTCCCACTCCACCACATTCGACTTAAACCTGTCCCGAAAGCTTTTCGCTGCGTCCTTCCCTGGCTTAATTCCAAGTCGAATCATAATCTCAAATATGTCAGGACCGGGGAGCTTGGACAGTCTGACCATGCTGAATGGCTCTTGTCCTAGTCTGTCAATGTCTCCATGCTCCAGACCCTCTGCGCAGTGAATCCAGTATGAGCATGTGCTGTCGATCTCTCCAGATTTGCGCTCGCCAGTGCTGCCAAAGAACAGAATGAGCATGCACAGGTGATTCGCCTGCAAACCCTGCATGTCGCGCAGAGCCGCCTGAGCCGGGTTCTTGAGGTCCTCCGTATCGGGCGGTTTCTTGAATTTCTCGATATGCACCCGAAGTTGCGCAGACCTCTGGGTGAGGGATTCGAGTCTTTTGCTGGCTCTGATTAAGGTCCCGCCTTTTGTGGTAAGCGTCTGTTTCGCGTTTGGCTGGTTAAGTTTGTGCACGGTGATCTCGCAATCACGGAAGAAGTTCGCGAGGCCAAGCAGCAGACTACCGCGAATGATCGCGACGCCTTGTTCCAGTGGAACCCACAACGTGTTGGGCTCGAGGGGTTCCATGTCAGCCAGGGCTTTCTTGCGCCTTTCGTTTTCCTCGACCAAAGCTTGCAGTCTAGCTTCGGTGTCATCCTCTCGCTGTCGGTCCAGCATCTGTTGTACCCTTTTGAAGTAGTGGTTCTTACACCTCATGGGAATTCGTTTGCCGCGATATTTCTTAACCCAACATCGTCCCCACCTGCAGCTTGAAACAAAGTACCTGAAATCTACGAACTTTTCCCAGTCGATCTTTCGGAACTCGTTCCAAGAGAGGTCGTAAAGGTTTTTTGGTAACTCAGACATTTCAGATGGTGGTCGTGTTAATGATTGGAGAAAATGATTTGGTGCACGGTGGGAAGGGTGGACTCGTCAAGTTTGTTCCATTCGGTTGATGCTGGCAAGATTTACCACATCGTGATTTCAAGGCTGCAGGAATGTGACAACAGAAACAAATTTAAATAACATTCATGGCTCCGTATTGCCGCTACAATTATTGCCAAATTATTCTGTCCGTTATCATGTGCCTGCCCCATCAAGGTCCAAACTAGTAATAATTCAATATTTAGCCTCAGGCCAAAGCAGAAATTGCCAACTATAATGTACCGCGGCTTTGTTGAATATGCATTGGACCTGTGAGTAGGTAGTTCTGTGTTGACAGTGGGCAACATTCAATCCACAGACAGCGGAGAAAATGACTCGACCCTTGCTTCATTGTATGTCATACTGCAGCAGTCCAACAATTTTAGGGGTGTCTATTGTAAAATTTGAAATATGAGAATATGTTGGAAATTCATGGTACTCAAAAGGTGTGCTTGATATTGTTGCAAAGAACACCACCGAGGCAACAAGGCTAGCAAAGCACTTATCATTGCATCGTTAACCCTCACTCCAACTTTGCAAAGCCTTACGATGATGATATCCACGTCCTAATACACAATACTATTTCCAAAAATATAATAGTTAATGCAGAAATACATCGACCATCAATGTCCTTGCACTAAATTTGTGGCGGCTTAATTTACGGGTAGTGCAGTTAAATATTGCCCAAAATGACTTCCACCACAGATTGAATCGCCTTCACAACAAAGGGAATGTTGTCTTTATGGAAAAAATATTAACATTATAAATAATGAGGCTGCTCTTATTTCCTTCTCGGTAGAAGTACGTCGCTGCGAAAACCACATGAACGCTTGTCACTGAACTTCTAATATCCTTTACTTCTTCATAATAGAGCACCTTTCAATCACCTCAATTTCCATTTGACATCCCTTGAAACCATAAAGAAATGGACGAACGCACAGTTTGCTTCTGCCTTTGGGACACTTCAGAACAAAAGTTGCTATATCACTGTCTGGATTGCGAGAAACGAGAAGGTCCTCGCAGAACACCATGGGACATTATTTGGCCACTCTCCCCTATATCCAGCCCTAACATTGATACACCTGTGGGTCCGTCTTTGAACCACACATCGGGCGATACTCACAGTGGAGTCATCAAATTGGCATCTGCCCAGAACAACAGTGTCGCAAGCAAAGTCGGCCACGGTGCTAGATCTTTGGTTTCTTCGGACAAACCCATTATTCACGCCACGCCTGCACAACTAGATATCAATACGGCGTCAGACATCTCAAGTGCACAGAACCGTGGGGAACGATCTCTGCTTTACGCAAGTAACAGGTTTTGGGAACGAATCGGCCGGAGTGCTAGCCATGGGCGAAATTGCGTCCTGGTAAGCGCTGGCCTGATCCCTATTATCGGCGCTTTTTTCTACGAATGCAAAATCACAGCCATCCCCAAGAACGGCACCTACGAAGACGGCAGGACTCGAATCGGCAGAAACTGGGCAGATAGGACCTTGATGTTGACATTTCAGCGGGAGATGGAGGCCGGTCTTGAGTACCAAGTCAGGGTCAGCGATTTCGGCGGAATAAATCAGTCTGCTTCGCTCATGACGGCAAGCCACTTCAAGCATTTCCCACGCGACAAGTTACCCTCTTTGGCCGCGGCTGTCAAGCATTTGTTGTTGTATCTCGGCTCAAGAAGGGATAAGCACTCTTCATACCGTTTCTACCATGACTCACAAACTGAGGGCCAGGGCCGCGAGGCCCACCATGTCCAAATTTTGTTTGGGATGGTCAGATTTCCCACGTCGCCTGATCCACGCGCTGCCACGACGGCAAGGATGGTCAATGTGGTTATCGGCGAACCAGTCACAATGCCCACTATGCACAATGGCATTGCCAGCTGGCATGAGTTCTGTGACGGTCGATTCAGGAACCATTGGGAGGAGATCACGCTTTCGCGGTTTCGATATGAGAAATACAGAAAAGGAGAACATCATCGTTTCATAAGGGCAGGTCCGCCACTTTTTCTTCGGCCGCCTGCTCTCTCTCCTGCGCCTGATCAGCGCCCCCGGCCGGCAGCGGCTCGTAGAAAGAGAGGGAGGCTTATGAAGACGCTGACTCCTTCCATAGCCCGTGCTGTCGCTCCGGCTCATGGCCCAGGCACCTGCTGTGATGGGCTCTCACGCAGAGAGTTTTCACAAGGGGGCACTTCTCGCGGGTCCATTTCACCAGGCGGCTTTTCAGACGGCATTTTATCAAATGGCAGTAGTGTTGCTACTCACGGAAACAGTGTTGCTATTCTGGGAACCAGTGTTGCCGCTACTAACGGAAGCAAGGATAGCCAGACAGAAGAGAAGAGACCACCTGAGGAACAGCACACAAATGTGCCCCCTGCTCCTCCCATACCAGTGGGCCGTTTGTCGGAGCACGCGAACCAAACTACTTTGGGGGTGATCACTTTTCCAATTCGAAGCGCACCACGCGCCAAAGACGGAGGTCCCAGCTTGTCGGCAGGGAAAGACCAACCAGGCCATGAGATCACGATCGTTTGAACGACCAATTCGTCTTTGGACAAAACGTTAAGGATGTCAAAGCAGCCAATCATGTACTGTGAATGAAGGTGACTGCCTTGTGGTGTGTAATTCATGTGTCGCAAGCTACAAGCCAGAACTTTTCACCTTGGGGCTTTGCAAAAGTTCCATCCGAAGGACGTCAGTTTAGTACCATTTGGAGTGATTAGGGTCAGTTTAAGGGAGGCAGAAGAGGTAATAGGAATACATCTGAACGAGTGTAATTTGCTTGCGAAAGGCTCGGGGTGACGATACGTTAAATGCGTGGATTGTGAGCGGAGGTCCTCGACCGCCTTGAAAGTACGTTATTAATTGAAATGAGTTTTCTTTGCTGATCCGGAAGTGATTCGCTCAGCAGGCCCCCAATCACTCATCCTCCTTTGGTGACGTTCCTATGACAGTCCATCGAAAGCATGCTGGGTCTGATGAGCTTCTAAGATTCCTGAGCAAGCCATAAAAACCATAATCAATGTCCATGTCCACCTCAGTACATGTCCACATCGCCTTCCAGAGCGAGAGTCATGCCCATGCGCTTCGACTGACTGCGTAGCGCAGAGTGGTCAGCGCTGACCAGCGCTCGGGACCACGTCTCCTCTCCCTTCGACTCCTTTTCGTCGCCAGGATTGATCTTAATATTCGAAGCGCCTAACAGGGTCGGCGGGCAGTCGACGTAGATGGTCTCGTAGTCTCCAGGGCGCGTGACGAACGTCTCGTGAAAGATCCCGATGTGCGAATTCCCCTCCTTCTTGGCAAACTGGTGGTACCAGTCCCATCCGTCACGGTGGACCTTGTCATGCGCAAACTTGTTGAGGGCGTCGATGTCCCGGAAGTAGGCGATTATCATGAGCGTGTTATTGGTCTCGCGGTCGGTTGCTCGCCAGTTGGTGACGTGAAGCATGCCGAACTCTTCTCTCTTCTTGCTGAGTGCCTTCGTCATGGCTGTGAAATAGTCACCGATCTCCTTGGCGCCCGGGCTGAGCAGGCCGAGCGGGTGGTTGAAGCGTACCCCGAGGTGGAAAACGACGAGTGACTGGGCGGCGGGCTTGGAGCCGAAGGCCCTGCTGTTCCGTGAGGGGAGCTGGGCAGTCACGCGGCCAGGTACGACGTCGAGGGTGAAGGCATTGTCCTTTAGTGACCTGGCTTGGACGATGGTGGAGATGATTGAACGGCCGAGGAGGAGGACGAGCGGAAGCAGGGCGTAACGAGCAGGCAGTACCGAGACTACAATTGTCTGGATGAGAGCACCGATGGCGAAGATTGTGGATAGCTTAAAGGAATCCTTGAGAAAACTCTGCAAAGCTGGTCAGTCTTTCAGTAACTATGAGGCTGGAGGCTAAATTTTGACTTGCCTCCAAGACAGGTGGTGGTCGAGACTTTGTGGGGGAATTGGTCGTCGTAAAGACGGGCTGGAAGTCTCCTGCGGTCATTGTGTCCGGGCTCCGATACCGATGATGTTGTGGGTGTCTTTCGATGATAAATTTGAATTCGCAAAATTTTAGTGGCGGTAGCCAGTGGTAGACAGCCGGTATTCTGATGAATGCTGCAAATTCCAATTCGATACGTTGAGGGATTGGAGTGCCCTTAAATCTCAGAGTCTACGATGAGCTCATGATTTTGAGCGGATGAACTCGAAAAGGCCGCTGGAAAGGATTGGTCTCGGCAAACTTGGGTCAGCAGCCATGAGTTCTTTTGCATTGGCCCCCAGGTGCCAGTGGACTACTAAGCTAACCAATTGAGATGGTGTTCAACCCAGCCGAGTTTGAGCAGACATCTAAACACCTGATCCGGATGTGGACAAGCCTCAGCGCCCAGTGACAAGGCCACAGCCTGCAGCATCAGACCGAAATTGTGGCTGCCTGTGTGGGTGGCACAGCAGAACAAAACTTGCGAGAGACGGCTAGAAGAGGGGCAGGACAGGGCCGTCGGATCGACTTCAAAACATTGGCCCCCGCATTGCAGGCACAAGAAAGGGGGATCAAGCTTCCCGAGCTATCCAAAGGAGCTAAGGATCGCAGACGGGAAGCGGGATAGGTATTCAACGCATAAGCGCTCGTAATGCCACTAGCTATACGAGTGCGACGGGCCAACTTCGCACCGAAACGGACTAGACTTCGCATAACTTCAGCTATCGGTATGATCCGAGGTGGCGGTTTGTCTCGAGCCCTGAAGTCATATTCCACAAGCCATCTCTTCCACCGTTTGCTCTTTTATTTGTTCTTCTATGGCCTTGTGTAGAAGCGTCCGACTCGACCATCAGTGCTTCAAGGTAAAGTGGGACTTGATTAAGCTTAGACCCTGGCAAGCCAAGAAGCGCCAGATGGTAGTTTTAGGAAGCTGCCCTGGTTAAGCTTTACCGGACCTCTGGGCTGGGCGGACCCTCAGCTTCCATGGCAGAGACTCGTTTGTGGTGCATGACCAAAAGGAGATTAGACTCTCCATTACCTCCTGACAAAACTTAATTCTGTTTTGTTATCCGAGAATCTTCACTCAGATTGTCAGGCCCACGCAGTCAAATGTCAAGGGTGGCGTTTGCACGTTTCTTCAACGCCTTGTGTACGCCTAGGCGATGCATTCGTGCAGACTAGACTGCTACAACACAGGCATTGGCCGATTTTCCGTAGGTAGAAAGATTGATAGTCGATGCAGGAGAAGGTAAACACTATTAACTGATCTGAACGATGCCAGCAAAAGCAGAGTGTAGAAATCGCCGGCTAGTAAACCTTAAAGTCAACCGTATCATAGAAAGGTGTTGCCAGATAGAGTGGTAATTTCACACAGACTCTCGTTCGAATCTTATCAACTTGAGCCCGTCCCCAATTTGAGTTGCGCTGGACCCCTATTCAACCGCATCATTGAATCATGTGTATATTATTAGAAAATTCTGTGATACATATCTACAACATCTTCAGCTTTTATGACATGGGTCCACTCTCGCGATAGTCTTCCGCGTAATTATAAAGAGGGACCTTATACCCTCTTTCGAGGGGCGCGTCGTTGAAATGACATCCGCAATCCCACATCCGACGCTCTTTGTTCGCTACTCATTCTTAGCTCTTGCTGTTCGCAAAGCTATTGTCATTCATTAGTTCGAGACTACTTTCACTTTGAAAGCTTCAATATCATGGCGAGATTGTCATGGGCGCTACTCCTCGGGGCTGTCCTCCTCAGGAGTGGCAATGCTCAGGGAATCGAGCGAACGTACATCGTTCAGATGGACTCCACATCTGCAACTGGACAGTCCTCGGTTGCTCGCCGCTCCGCTCACGAGTCTTCGCTGCGTGCAGTCACACCCCGTGACACCATGCTCTATTCATACAGTTCGGCCATGAACGGATACGCTGCAAGGCTCACCGAAACGCAGGCTCGCGATCTGATGGCTCAGCCGGGCATCAAGTCCGTCAGCCGTCAGAAGATTTATCAACTTCACACTACACACTCGCCTGAATTCCTTGGCCTGGACAGCGCAGAGCTCCTGGGTCAACAGACACCAGTATTCTCGGGCACAGATGATCCCACCAATACTACCGCTGGTGCCGACAGCGAGTCTGATTTAGTCATTGGCGTTTTCGACACAGGCGTTTGGCCCGAGAGCGCCAGCTATGACGACACCGGGCTTCCCCCAATTCCAAGTCGTTGGAAGGGATCGTGCGTGGAAGGGGAGCAGTTCACGGCGGCGAATTGCAATAAGAAGCTGATTGGCGCAAAGTGGTTCAGTAAGGGTCTCGAGGCTGGGTGGATTTCCGAAAACAACGGAACGGCGTACAACTTCACAGGGGCGTACCTATCTGCGCGAGACCCGGATGGCCACGGAACACACACGTCTTCCACGGCGGCTGGTGCCGTCGTCCAGAATGCGAGCCTCTTCGGGCAAGCCTCTGGTACAGCCCGTGGCATGGCATCCAAGGCTCGTGTGGCCATGTACAAGGTCTGCTGGCCTAATGCAGGTTGCGCCGAGGCAGACATTCTCGCAGCCATGGATGAAGCCATCAAGGACGGCATCAATGTGGCTTCTCTGTCCCTTGGAGGAGAGCCGAATCTCGGTGCAGACCCTGTTTATGTTGGTGCATTCTCTGCCATGGCTCAAGGGATTTTCGTCTCCATGTCTGGAGGAAATTCAGGTCCCAGTGCTGGGACAGTGTCCAACAACGTCCCGTGGGTCCTAACTGTCGGTGCGAGCACGCAAGACCGTGGGTTTCCCGCCACTGCTGTGCTTGGAAACGGGCAAAACTTTACTGGAAAGTCACTCTCGGTCAATGAAGATGGCTCTTTGCCCGGATTTCAGGAACTACCTCTCATTCTGGCCAGCGAGGCGGCCAATGGAAATGTCACCAACGGCACCGATGCATCTTTGTGCCTGGCTGGTACTCTGTCCCCGACAAAGGTTGCAGGCAAAATTGTTGTCTGCATCAGGGGCGGTAACGCGAGGGTTGCCAAGGGACAAGTCGTCAAGGAAGCCGGAGGCGCGGGGATGATACTGGTTAACACGGAGGCGACAGGTGAGGATGTGCTGGCAGATGCCCATGTCCTCCCTGCCGTTCAACTCGGAGCTTCAAACATGGCCGCAGTAGTCGAATATGCCAAGTCTACGGATGCGACGGCCGGGTTGGATATTAAGGGCACTGTGATGGGCATCGAGGCTCCATTGATGGCAGCTTTCAGCTCGAGAGGCCCCAACTACCCTGCCCCAGACTTGCTGAAGCCAGATATCACCGGACCGGGAGTTGAGATATTGGCCGCGTGGCCCGACAATCTGGGCACCACAGGCCTTCCTGAGGACACGCGCCGAGTCAAGTTCAACATCATCTCGGGCACTTCCATGTCTTGTCCTCACTTGAGCGGCATTGCTGCTTTCATCATGGCCAGGCGTCCTGAATGGAGCGCTGCTGCGATTCGCTCAGCTCTGATGACCACCGCCTACACGTCGACGAAGGGCAGCGACTCGATGTTTCGAGACGAAGCTACTCAGGAATCTGCAACGCCATTTGATTACGGCAACGGCCACGTGAATGTGGCTGCCGCTCTCGACCCGGGTTTGATATACGACATCAAGACTGACGACTACTTCGACTTCCTCTGCGCGTTGAACTCCACAACTGAGTACGTCCAGGGAGTGAGCGGTACGAACAGCACCTGTTCCGCCGATAAGACATACAGCGCTTACAACCTCAATTACCCATCCTTTGCGGTCGGCTACGATACCAAAACTGAGACCGGGCCCAAGACGGTCAACTTCACGCGAACAGTCACCAACATCGGCGAGGCCAGCACCTACCACGTCAACGTGTCTCTCAGCAACCCAGACTTGGTCCAGGTTTCAGTTGACCCTGAGGAGCTGACCTTCACCGAGGCGAAGGAGCAGAAGACTTTCACTGTTTCTGTGACGCTGGCGAGCGCCGGTGCGGAGGCTGTTTCAGGGAAGAGTTCGTGGGGGAGGCTGGTCTGGTCGGATGGGTCGCATACTGTTGGAAGCTCCTTGGGCTTTGTGTGGGGTGATTTGGCTGCCCGTTCCTTGAATGCATCCACCTCATCGACCAGTAAGAGCAGCTTCTAGAATGCCTTGCGCCTATTTTGTACTGGTTCTCTCTATCGAAGACGAAGTCTTGAATTGATTCCTTCCATGCGCTGAGCTGTCGCGCTACTGCCTCCATCAAGAAGTGCGCTTTGCAATTTGCTAATGATAACTTGTGACTAAGGCTAAGGGAAATCATTTTCTGTAGTGTTCATTCCGAGCAAGTCTCTAACTACGACACATATGAAGAAAAGAACACCGCACTGATCGCAGCGTCGTCATGAAACAGAACAATACCGGCCTCAAGAAGCCAATCGCGATATGTCACTGTGCGAGGCCTCCATTTTGGACGGCGAGCAAAGTAGAGTGCATCGACTCCAGCAGTATCCCCAACTCAATTCAAAACTTGACAGTACTTACAACCCCAAACTCGAGTTAACGTCTGCCATCTTCATGGATCTTCAAGATCGGCTTGTTGTCCAGCATCTTCTCCCAGAGAGAGCTGCCTTGTTTCCGCAGCTGCTCGTCCTGGCGACGAAGGAACTCCTCTGCGGTCTTGATCCTACCGGGAAAGATTTTGTCCAACTTGTCATAATCCCTCCGGATGATACCCTTGTTGTATCCAGAAGCCTTCCACAAATTCCACCAGCCCGTGAAATTCTGCTGGATGGTCATGGTGGCTGGGTCAGCAAGATCGGCGTGAACTCCAGATGGCTGGTCCTTAATGTGGGAAAGGGAGCCCTCTGTCCAATATGCAACCAAGTCGACATCGATGAAACGGGCTTTATGGCCGGTGACCCTCTCGAATGCCTTGGCGAGATTGGCATAGTGTACATGTTCAACGGAGACCTCGAGGTCCAGTCCATCTGCCTCTTCCGGGTTTTCGAATAACCACTTCACATAAAAACCACAGTCGTCCAAAGCAATGTGAGGGATCCCTCCGTCGGTAGTCAATGGTACCCTCCATGTCAGGACTTCTTCTCCCTCCTCGTCCTTCTCGACTTTTGCAACCATGGGACCCCCGGCAGATATGGCCATGTCCAGGTACGGACCCGTAGTAAACAAAGACGTATTCATCTCGTATCTCGGAAGGCCCCCATTCTTGTTGCGTTTGTGCTGATCAAGAATCCACTCTCCAACTCTTCCCTTTCCATCATAGTGGCCGGCCCGGAATTCAGGTCTGTACCCGCTCTTCTTGTAACCATAATCAAGGTTCGCGTACACGAAGCTCTTCAATCCGTACTCAACTGCGAGCTCATACGCACGCATCGCCCAAAACACCTCGGCCTTCTCACCCAGAATGAACCCATCGATGTTGATGAAGGCGCCCCAGCAGTCTTTGAATCCGCGGCGCAGTCCAGGTTCTGATTCCAGGGTCCCTTCGTGGAGCTCGATTCTGTCAGGGGCTAATGCAACGAGCTCCTGGGCTCGGGAGCTGGAGGCATCGCGAGTGAGGATGCGCAGGCTGTATTGAGGATCGCCGGCGAGATCTCGGACCACGGGGATACCTTGGGCGCCAGTGCCGCCGATGACGAAGACCTTCTTGGTAGGTACCATGCTGGGCAGGTGGTGCACCGCTGAACTCGAGATCGTTTCTTAGTATTCACATGTGCAAAGTTGCTCGGTCGACGAATACTATGTAGGACACTGCGGTGGGGCGGGGAAAGAACAGCTCTTAAGTAGACAAATTGCATTCGCATTTATGGTCTCTATTGCGGCCTGCCTTTTGCGAATACGTGATCATCATGTCCGTGATTACTGAGACGTTTGTATAATTCTAATCATTTCTCCATATACCTCGCCTTCCACCACATGCTAGGCAGTCTTGGCCAAGTGCTGTAACATATTCACTGTTGCTGATTAGTAAACAACGACGGAACCCGATCGCCGTCATGATATCGTGGGTAATTGAATGACAGGATATTAATTACATACTGAAACACGTATTGAACATGTTCCAGTTTACATAATAGACCAGTCACTGCACAAAACTGGCCAGTTGACTGAAACTATGCATCACTAGCTTACAAAGGTCTGCGAAGTTAATTAGTGAATGTGTCCAAGCTGGTTACGTGACGGCATTCTCACATTGCAATGTTCGTGTAGCCGGAGGCTCGATTAAGGTCTGCGGCGTGTGCGAACTCAGCACATGTTTGTGATCAGTGAAGCAATTGAACAAAAGGATTTTCGTTCCCAGAATTTAGGCCGAGTTATGTTTTTTGATCTCCTTTAGTGGAAAATCAACCGACTAGTCGACACGTTTACCAGATTAGAGGTAGCGAATCTGCTATGTTGTCAACGATGATATCCTCAATTCAAAATCTGTGTCTGTACGAAATCAATTCGATCACCAGCTCAGTAGTTTCGTAGCTGCGAAAATGTCTCAATGTTGTGTTCTAAATTATGTGCATGCGATGTTTCACAGCATTCAAAGCATCAGAGTGCCACGAGTGGCTTCTGAAAGCAAAAATGCAATTTTAAGTCACGCAAAGCCTTGTTCGATTGTATGGGCTGAACAGGCCAGTCGGTGTGCTGACCAGTGGCTTAATGTCAGACCACTATTGAGCCGGGGCCACCCGAGGAGGATCGCCATAAAGGAGTAGATAAAACTCATTTAATCCATTACAGCAGAGTGTTGCACTGCATCTCTACCATATCAAAAGAACTTCTCTGCTGCATTGCTTGAACGAACTGCGTTTGGATCAGTGGTAATAATTTTGAGCCTCCAAACATGGCGACCAAATTACACAACCCCCAGCTCGAGCACGCGATGCTCCTCGTCCAGACATATGTGCCCGACACGGTGAAAGACAATTGGCGTGTTCTCGGTACGACTGCAATTATGATAGGGCTCGCCTTGTGTCCTGCAATCGCCTGGGCCACAGAATCCTACCAGTCATATTTAGATGTCGGGCCTGGGGGGTTGCCTTACAACGTTTTTGGCTGGATGATCCAAGGCGCAACACAACTCATCGCAAGGCACGATACCCGCGACCACAAACCGTTTTCCGAGCCCAAATTTCGCGCGTCGCTGGGCCAGCATGGCACCAAGAGCTTCCTTCCAGGACAGCTCCCGGAGCGGAAGGGAGAGCGGCCTGTTGTTCCTGGATTTGTGGCGCCGCAACGGCAGATGAGCGACCGAGGACCCCGAAATGCGGAGATGAAAGACCGCCTTGTCGCCTATCAAGAAGATATTGCCAAAGCCAATCCTTCATTAGTCTTCGTTGATGTCTCTCGGTTGGAGGGCGAGGGATCGCCGAGTGACCACGCCGCGCTGTGGTTTGCAGTGAACCGCGAGCGAGTCTTCCCGCCTTATCTGAGAAAGACTAAGGGGGAATTCGCGCACGTGCATCCCGAAGCGACGTTGCATGTTACGCTCAGTTTGCTCGACGCCGAGGAGGTTGTCAAGAAGGGTTGGGGTGAGAGGCATCCACTGAGTGGAGTCAGAGGGTTTTGGCCGATCACGTATGTCATGATTTATGCACCACGGGACGATGCCGAATTGGAAGTCTGCAAAAAGGTTGTCGATGCTAGTGTACGATTTGTTTGTGCCGGAGGTCCGCAGGTGCGGAAGGTTTGAATACCATGGTGCGGGAGACGCATGTGCTGAGACTTCATAATAAAGAGTATTTCCCCCCAACTCTGTAATTAATATTCACTGCAGCAGATGACACTGCATGAGCTATTCCTCCAAGTCGAGTCTCCCATCATGTCATAATTTAATATCTTTATACATTTCTACTTATAATCATTCTTCCTTAATCGTTCTAGCTAGTGCCTGCTATACGCAGCTTGACCCAGCTCTTGAACCTTTCAGATCGTTCCAATCCGCCACAACTGGCAACTTCAAACGCCTAGTCTTTTTCGGGCCCTAGATAAATTGTCGACTTCCAGGATTGCATCCACAAACGCACTAGGGCTTTGCTGAGGGATGTTCTCCCCTACGCCCGATACGATGCGATGCACTCTCGTGCCCGTGAAGTACTTCGCCGTTGTTGAGCCGTTCGTTGCCGGGAACGTCGTGCTGAATTCGGGGTCAAGCGTCACTGACGGCACAGAGATAGATGGCTGCTTGTCGAGTGCGTCTGCAAGCTGAGAATATGCAGGATCACCTGGCGCGAACAAAAGTCTGTTCCTGTAGAAGTCAACAGTGATGTTGATGAAGTCGGGGTTGTGCAGCGCAGGTAAGGTACGGTTGAGTTCTGCCTCGCTGAACTTCCATTGCGGCGAGTTCTTGGCCCAGATGGCCCGGATATATGCCACTAATTGCTGCTCCAAGGCAGCGTTTCCGCGTGGCGTGAGGAACAGGTAAAAATACCACCGCGCTGCTTCGGAATCGGGGTCTAAGGGCACCCATGCCGTGTTGCGGTCTTGGATCAGGTAGCAGCCTACTGCGACCATGCCATCACATCGCTCAGGCCAGAGTGCAGCAACCACGTTGACCGGAATGGCCCCCCAGTCAAATCCAGCGAGAATTGCATGTGCAATTCCCAACGCATCCATCAAGGTTAACAAGTCGTATCCGAGCGCCGCCTGTTCGGCGCTGCGCGGTGTAGATTGGTTAAGAAATCGGGTATCTCCATAGCCACGCAAGTAGGGCACGACAACTCGATAACCCTGTTCTACTAGCCTCGGTGCAACCTCCGCGAAGCTGTTGATGTCGTACGGGAATCCGTGCATAAGGATCACAGTCCGACCGTCTCGTGGTCCTTCATCGTAGTATGCAATGCGTAGGAGACTTGCTGTGTTCGTGTACTGTATAGGTTGAAGAAAAGGCACATTGCTGTCATTGGTGCCATGTCCGTTTATGTCAAGTGAGCGGCCTGATGTCTCAAGAAGGCCGCGAACGAGGGTACTACAGAGCACAAGGGCAAGGCGAAATTTGAGTAACATCATAGTTGAACAGTGTGAGACTTTGGAAACGCGTGCAGTCCGAATGGGAGAGCAACAAGGACTACTTATAGCAGCGGACTTACAGGAGACGCCATGGGAAGGTTCGCAAACTCGCTGCGTGCAAATCCAGGTGCTATCAGCTCGATGACTGAGGCGAAGCAGCTCTGCATATTAAGTAAGTACCGCACCCAATGCAAGGTAATTCCAAATCGGATATACCTTATGCAGGAAGTGATGATTACGAAATCAGCCAAAATATGGTATCACCGAACCTCTATCATTGTAGCGAGGTGACGACGGCGTTGGGGCTGGGTGCAGGGCAAATACATGCGCAAATTTCCTAGTGCTTAGTATTTGACCCCGACGGAGAATGTCTGCATGCCTGACATCCCTCACTATTTTCTTTAGTGCTTAGTATCCGATGCCGGCTCGCAGTGTTTAGAGGCCCGATGTTGCTATTTAATTTGGAATACTTTCAACAGTCCTGTTTGATAATTCTCTGGGTCTCATCATCTAGAAGACTCATATTCACAGCAAATTCATATAAACCATTAGCAAATATCCACCATATTCTGCTACCAGGAACAGAGTCCAGCCCACCCACCCACCTGTGGGGTTGACGCAAAGGAAGAGTATTCTCATTAGGAAGTAGGCCAGTTACGTAATGACCTTCTCCCAATCGTGCCAAAGGAGTCTGACCTTACCGGTGTCTTTGATGCTATACAACCACTCATCCATTCCATTTCGCCCAAGCGAAGCTTGCCATTCCTGCTCTGAGATCATGAAAACAAACTCCTTTTCATAATCCTCGCTGACATGATGACCCATCTCTTGTAGATCTGTCTCAAGTTGTCTTCGTTGTGCAAGTGATCGCACATTCTTGGGCCGCGGGAAGATGTGATGCCAATCAAACTCAGCGTCTTCATCGCAGTACAAATCATCTTCCGCAGATTCGGGAGGACAGAAAAATATTTGCAGCCGCTTGGCGTATCGCACGGGCCTACAGCCAGTATGGTTGCAAAGTCTCGTGAGAATGTCCAAGGTGGTTGAGTCGTAGCGATATCGAAGAAATATGACGTTTGTCGCGAAAAAGTAGGTCGCTAGCTCTCGACGGACTGTGGAAAAAATCGGATGCCGTGAAATTCCAAGACTTCGGGGTATGATGCGAGTCGAGATGTCTGCGATACGTCGATCGAAGCGGAAGTATAGACCGTGGGGTTGAATAGTCCATGTAGCACTCTCCCGGCCAAGTATGTGGGAATACACCAGGTCTCGTAGCTCCTGCGGGAGCATTTCATGAAAAAGCCGTAGAAAATCGGGACTCAGCGACGGCCGAACGGTCTCTGCATAGCGGTCGACCTTGTGGCGAGGCGACTTCGCCTGGTCGTCAAAAGAACAGTTCGCCGCGCTTTCATACGTTGACCGCTCCCAAGCCAATAGACGTTCTGCATCTGTGCGTAAGTGCTTCAAGTGAAAGACGATGAGGGACATGGTTCCGCGTGCGCCCAAGATATTGGTCGATGTGGAAGCTAAGTAGCACTCGTCGTACACCAGGGCATCGATTATAGCCGAAATTTGTGACACTAACCGTGTCTTGCAGTGGTCTGAGCCTTCAGAAGGCGCGAGGACATATGAGAGATGGCTCGTCTGCTTCTTGAAGTTCGACTTGATTATACGTTTGTGGCGTTATTATACTGTTGGGATTGCCTGAGGTTTAACTTGTTCGATGGATGGTGTCATAGCCCCGTCTGGCCCTCAACTATCTGGGACCCGGTGCGCATAAAACCAGGGTTGTATCGACCCACCTGAGACGGACACTACGCCTTCATCGCTTGCGCTCGGCTTGACTGCCGAAAATAGTTGACTTTGGTAGAGGATTGCCCGAAGAAAGAAGAGCAAGAATGCAGCGCATCCTCGAAGCTATTCTGTTCATAAGCTGGCTAGTGCATTGATAAGATAAGCCTATCGATAAGAATCGTGGCTGGAACGTTACCCGCAACCTCGACATCTGCCATATTAGTTCTTGCTTGAATGCGGCGGAGATAGCCTCCCTGATAGCCTACCCTAGTGCACCTTGAGGATGAATACAGTCGAAGATCTTGGTATTAAGTGGCGATCATATGGATTTCACTGTTATATAGGTATACATGAAGATGGCCGTCTATATAATCGCAGCACCACCATTGAGAAAATTACTAGACTGAAGTAGATTCGAAATCCGGGTTAGGCACATCCGTCGCCAACACGGTACCGTTACTAAATTCTGTGCCGTTCCTGAAAATCTCCACGCGTCCCGGATGAAAGCCAGGCGGTGGGTTGTCAATAGTCGTCCCGTTAGCGAAGATGATTCCATTGAACTTGGACACCAGGGGATGTGAAGGTGTAGCCAGGCTTTGAGTGATCGGAGGCAGCAAAGGCGACTGTCGCGGGTTGATATCGCAGTTCTCGCTGATGGTGTATAGGTTGAGACCGATGGCTAGAGTATAGAGCTCAGCGCTCAGCGCATCCCACTGAGGCTCGTTCATGAGCACCATACCGATGTAGTCGACCATGAGGACATTAGGGAAGAGCTCGGGTGAGATCTCGTCGACGCCACGCCAGTAAAGAGCCGGATTTGTAGGGAGGATGGCGATTCCTTGAAGACTGTAGGTGAAGGTGGAAGTCAGGAAATGTGGTGAGCTGAGCCACTGGGCCACGTGGAATCGGTCTTTCTGAGTCCACGAGTTTATGGCAAATTCAGCCACCTCTTTCGTATCTTCCAAGTTGGGCCAGGCATCGTACCAACTCATTGCGTCTTTCTTGTAGATGCCCCCCATAGGCAGGGTTATCGGCTCCGATGCATATTTCAGGTGCGCCGTATCCAGGAATATAAGAACACAGCCCTTCCCATTATTCATGTTCATCAAAGTCCCCATCTTAAGCTGCTCGATCGAGCTGGTCCCAAGGTTGGGACAGCGATTCTGGATCCCTCTGAGCTTGTCAAAAAAGTTGTTCTTGGCGCTCTCATCCCAGTAGATGGGCCCAACACTCGGCACGTTCCGTATGCCGACCAGATAGCGGAACTGCAAAACAATGACCTCACCCGGATTTTCGCGAGTGAAGCGATTGATCTCGTCGATGACGGCCTCGAACTTCTCGCCCGACCTGCCAATGGGCACCTCACCCAACTCATCACTCAGGTGTGAGATCCAGAACTCGTAGTCTCCGCAGCACTCCTGAATGGGGACCTGGTGCACACTTGAGACGCGTAGATCGAACCAGCGGGACCCGACTCGGAGTTGGTCGTATATGTCTAGCAGCTGGTTCTGCGTGTTGGATTCGACGCCGCGCGTCAAGATGGCGTCCGTAAGCTTGCTCATACCAGCATCATGCGTCCCTGGCATGACCACGTCGATCAGCTTCCGGTGTTTGATCTCGTTCTTGATGGCGTTCATCCAATTTCCCGGACCAAAAGACAAGGAGGTGATAAATCCGTACGAGTCGCTGCCCGTGATCACGAGTGTGACGGGCACCTCCTGCCCAGGCACCTTGTACTCGCGCTGGCCCTTTTCCATCCCGGTCAAGTCAAAGACCACACGCCTGGGGTACGTGTCAGGGATGTGAGTAGTAACGCGCACGACAAACTTCTTCCCAGTGTCTCCGATGTCGTAATAGGCCTCGCCGTTGTCATCCACTGGGTTTGTACCAGTTTCCTCGGTATAGTGTGCAACATTTTGCCGCGCCCTGCCGGAAGGGATATCGCCCCAGTCCCACTCGTCCATCTGATACTTGTGCGTTGAAGTGAGTTTGAAAGGGTGTGGGGTCAGGTTGACGATGGTGACATATTGTTTGCCCGTAGTGGCCGCGTTTTCAGGATCCATCAGGTACCACCGCATATACTCTCCAATACGGTTAGAAGGTGTGGCGCTGTAGGTCCTGTCGTCCACTTTACAAGCGTCGTCAGGGTCTACCTCCTCGTCACCGCCGGCGTCGTCCCTGAAGTCACAAACGTCAGAGGGACACCAGCCGCGAGAGCAGGTAAAGTCGCATAGCTTCTCATCATTGACGTCTCCGATGGGCTTTCCAGTGAACCCTGGCTTTCGTATCGGTGGTTCTATCAGGCCGCCGGTGGCGGTACAACGACAAACGTGGAGTGGGCAGAAGCCAAAGGTGCATGCATAGGTACATAGACCCACTAGGGATTCAAACCCAGCACGGCTTGTGCCTCCTGTACAGCTCGGTGGGAGAAACTCGGACACAGTTGGCACGATTGTTGGTTGCTTCGTCAGTGAACAATACTCCTCGGGGCAGTATCCGTAGTTGCAGGCATTGGCGCAGAGCCCCGAATAGTTTTCGCTCCTCCCCTTGGCGGGAAAGCCCTCCCGATAAAGCGCAGTCGGCTTCGTGTTAGGGGCCCCCAAAGCCTGGCACAGGCAGGCTGACACTGGGCAATAGTCGTATTTGCAGTTGAATTCGCAGAGCTCCGTGAAGCCATTAACACCCGTCCCTTTGACACACCCCTGCTCATTGCGAGATCGCGGCATCGCGGCGGATGTGGACCCGGCAACGACGGCGCTCCCGACCCAGGGATTCCAATTTGTGAGCCCGTCATGGCAGCTCGCGGTACTGATGGCTGTCCCTTCGACTCTCGCGAGGGGCCCGCCGCCTCTCGATATCTGGACGCTCACGGCCCCAGTGTCTCCGTAAAGTGCGACGCTGCCATGGTAGACGCCGACGCCGCCGTCGGGAACCGAGGACCACTCGGGCTGAAAGGTCTTGCCGCCTACCGTGACTGTCGCTTGTGCTTCGGCTCCAAGAACAGCTGAAAAGAAGATCTTGTCTTGCATGACGCTTTGCGGCGGGAATTCAAGCTGAAGTTGGCCGGCCGTGTTGCCGGTGGTTCCGCCGTCTGAGCAAGCACCGGCTGGGCTTGTGCGATACCAGGTGACAAGACCTTCCTGCGTAATGGTAGCTTTCCCGCTCTTGTAGTAGTCGATCCAGAAAGGTAGCGTCAGACGCCAGCCGTCGTGAGGCATGTCGTTGGCATAGTTGTACGGAGCCTTTCCGACATCGAACGCATCCATGGCGTGGCTATACAAAGGGCCAATGTGATGGGACTCCCCATAGTCATTCCATGAGATAATCTGAACATACCTGCGGTTGAGACATCAGCATCAGCCCGAAAAATATGGATGGAGGCTCCGTCACCTACTCAGGCTGATTGACTATAACTTGAATCCACCTGTCATGCCACATATCATCCCCGCGCCACATCCAGTTCTTGTTAAACCCGGGCATATTGGTGTAGAACCAAGGGGATACTGGCATCATATAGGGTTTCTTTCTGTCAAGGTATTGGAAATAAGAGGCGTCGACGTAGGTGTCCATGTCTTGAGCGCCCCAAGGCCAGGCAGCCCAGTTAAAGAGCCCATCGGCCACACCGCCGGCGAGCTCCAGAGATGGTTTCGCGCCTTTGGATGACCAGTCGGGGATGAAGAAGCAACCGACTTGGTCCTTGATTTCGATCCAGTCTTCTGCATTTTCTGGACCTTCGACGGTAGAGACCAACGGCTTGCCGTCTCTGTGCTTGAAGTACTCGGCCCTGGACGCGTACTTCTTTAGGTAGCTGATGACAGTATCCTTGGGCCAGGGGCCACGTCCCGCGTAGTCGAAAGAGAAGAAGAGCTTGAAACCTGCGCTACTGGCGGCATTGAAAGCCCGTTCAAGTGACGCCTCGTTCATGGATTCGCCATGGGCTATGTTGAGTGCGAATGCGTCGATATGAGCCTCTTTAGCGAGCCTTATATCGGTCTGCCAGGTACTGTCCGTGTACTTGGCCGTGTTGCCCACCTACAGGAAATGAATAAGTCACCAATCTATTCCAAAGGGACATGAAAAGAATTGACTAATATACTGACCATGAAATGGGCAAACACCGCTGCGGCCTGGACGCAAAGTGCGCCAGCGACTGTGGCAAGTAGTATCTTGAGTCTCATAATGGTGGATTCCAACCAATAGGAGAGCAACGAGGATGTAACTAATGCTTTTTGGCGCAAGCTAGCATGTGGAATCGGAAATGTGAGTACATGAGCTCTTATATATCACGGCTTCACCTTGACTCGGAGTCACAACTGAGCCGCGCAACCCACAATGGCAGGAAGGGGCTACATCAGACACCATGTTGCCTTCTACGGACCTAGCGAACCGATTCAGCCCTTTGAACAAGGCACAACCCAATCTCATTTACTGCGTTGCCAACGGTTGGCGCAAGTGTAAGGCGCAGTTACGGCGTGACTCTCTATTTCTGTCTACAAATTCCTCTAGTTGCGATAACGAATGCTACCTTGACCTGTCAAATAGCCCGTGACTGGACTGACAAGGACGACAAGCAATGTTGACACTGAGGGCCTGTTATCTCAGACACATTATACTGACCCACCGGGAAATTGCAGTGCCTCGATCCTGCAGCGGCGATGAGTCCTGAGACTCAAGTTGGGAGAGCTGGACGCAATGTGTGAAGCGCGAGTGGGCGTGGGCTGAGCCGGAGGTGGTCGTGATGCGGCGTGGAACATGCAGTTGGTTCTAAAATGTCAACACACACCGGACCATATTCCCAGTTCAGCCCGTATGATTCCGTAGATTCCTTAGTACAAAAGCCAAGAAGTCTCGATGGTTTGTGGTTGTGTCTTGCTGGCCCTGCAAGATTTTGCGTGCATCGCGAACCTCGAGGGAAGCTCCCGATCATGTATGACGGACTCAGCGTAATGTACACTTCGACCAATGGCTTAACAAAAGCTGATTAGCCTTCCCATAGTTGAGGAAACACAATTTAGCACTTGTTGTGACCTCTAAGCTTTGTTCTGTCAAAAGAACTTTCGTGATACATTTTGCTCTTTTGTAAGTAGGACCCCTTAGGAAGCTTTTGGCTCTTTTCTCTTCCTGCTAGTCTACCAATATTGGTTCCGTTGGTGCTCCATCACGTTGGGCTCGGGTCATGCGGTCCGTATTGCAGGCTTTCTACCTAGGTAGCCCACACAAATTGTCTTGGCCAAGCGATGGCGGGTCTGGGCGCGTTGTTGGAAGAAGGTTGGAATAGGGAAGGCAGCACCAGAAGGCTTGGCCCTTTACTGAGCTTCCTGTTCGGTCGGATAATGTTACAAGTGCGATCTAGAACCAACACAAGCACCAAAATATCCAGGGTCTTGGTTAAGATGTGTTCTAAATCGGTTCTGCACCGATAGGGACCTCAGCCCGGACCAAACTATTGTGAATTTCCCCAGACCCCCATGTCCCTGCTGCATGGCCCCTAAGAGATGAAGCGCGTGGCTATAAGGAATAACCCAAGCACATGTCCCAGCCATCAATAGCTACTCCATTCTGCTTCGTACCAGGAATTGGCTCAAATGAGGCGCTTCGACGAAGAAGACCATGTCTCTCAGCACCACGGAGCCTATTACCGCAACATCCACCGGGCCGATCGCCATCAGGACGCCATTCGTGCAGCCACAAGACTGCAAGACCCAATGGAAGACCACGACCGTGCCTGCATCCGTGGTGAGCGGTACTACCATTATGACTCCCATCTTGATTTCTGAGCCGGCTGCAACTTGCTACCCCTCTAGATGGGACGAAGTCACACCGGAAAGTCGCCTGAGCTTCAGCCCGGGGGTGTGTCCTGAAGGATGGGTGTACAATGCCATGGCTGAGGACGGCTCTTCAGCGGCATCAACGGCTTTCTGCTGTAACAGGTTCGCTTGGGCTGTCTTTTTCCCTCTCCGTTTCCCCCCTCTAATTCATCCTTTCTGTCTTCGCGAGGTCGCTTCGCAAATGATCCAGTCACTGACTGCTGTTATTATGCTCCAGCGGCTTCTCATATTTGGGTTTCCCTGGGTACGCACTCGTTACGTCGCTAGTTCCTAATCGATGTGGGAAGTTCGCACGGAATATCGAAGATGACGCCGAGGACTCATCAGATACAAACTTGGGGAAGAGCGTCATGGTGCACCAGGGGTGGGCCATAACCTGGGCTGCATCTGACACTGCGACACTGACGCCGAAGCTGCCCACGCTGACCAGCTCCATGAGGGTGCCGACGTGGACACCTGGTCAGGAGATAAAAGGCGGTGCATATGACCCGTCCCACCCAAGCCCAAGTACCAGGGAGTACTTGAGCGACGGGGTCTTTTATTTCCTGGTGGTTGGACTGCCTATATTGGGAGCTCTCTCGATCGGTGTATGTGTATGGTGCTGTGTGCGGACATGTAAGAAAGATAGGCGGCGTAATGGACGTGGTGTAACTACGTAATGCCGTCTGGTAATTCTTTTTGCTATATTGTGCTTGACTATAAACAATTTACTAGGTGTGCATTCTATATTAAATATCATGTACTTCGTGCTATTTACCAAAAAGAAGTCATATGCGAATAGGAATCTGTAGTGCTATGGCCATGCGTGTGGTGTCTTGTGAATATGTTTTACGTGCAGTGCCCTGGTGGAGGCCCTTGCGCCCATTCCCTGGCCACTCATTCATGATTTAACCACTTCCATCCTGATACAAAAAGCACAAGTCTACCTACTAAAAAAGTAACCATTCGCCAAATCCTCCCCAGCAGCAAGTATTCGTCTGGTTGTGGGAATGTTGCTACTTCCGAGCCCTGATCAGCACCTTGAGACCGGGCGCATGCGACGCAATGCCCCCAGTCACAACCCACTTTCCCTTCTCTAGCATTTCTAGGTCGAGCCGACGGATGATTTCAGGTACGAGCTTATGCATCTCCATCAAAGCAATCTCCTTGCCCAAGCATACCCTCGCACCCATGCCGAAAACATACATGGCAGCGTCCATTTTAGCCACCTGATCCTCGGAACCTAGCCATCGCTCGGGGCGGAACTCATGCACATCGGCACCAAACACGTCTGCGTCCCTCTGTACGACATACGCTTGGCTCGTCATCTCGGTGCCCTCTGGGATAAAGTTCCCATCGATGACTATGCCGCCCCGCGGCGCAAGGCGCGGGAAAATGTTTGGGATGGGGGGGTTCACACGCAGTGACTCCCGGATACACGCACTCATGTACGGCAGATGCGCCCGCGTCTCGTCATACTGCACGACTGGGCTCAGCAGCCCTTTCGCATCCGCCGCGGCGATCTCGGCCCGCACCCGCTCCATGACATCAGGGTGCATGAGGAGCAGACGCAACGTGGCTCCCAGCCCGCTGCCCGTTGTGTCGACGCCCGCCTGTATCAGAAGCGTCATGTGCGCCGTCTTCTGCGTCGCGGTCAGTGGCCGCGCCGAGCCGTAGTCCTCGCCGTTCCCGCCGACCGTGGCCTCGAGCGTCAGCTGCAGCATGTCCGGAGGGTCCGGCCTGGGCTCCCCCATGGCCATGCGGCGCTCACGCTCGGCAATCTCGCGGTTGGCCTGTGTGACGAGCCAGCCGTTGCCTGTCTCGTCCGACTCGCGTGGTAGTACGTGAGGCCCCAGTGGCGAGGGTAATATTACCTCGCGGAGGAAGCGCCAGCGCTGCGAGAGGCCGAAGAGGGCGAGCCCATCTCGCCAGGCGCGGATGAGGCCGCGTTCGTCGCGATCGTTGGCGAGGAAACCCCAGGGTGTGGTAAACACGACGGTGGTGAGCACGTCGGCGGCGAACTCGGCGACCTTGTTGCTCAAGATGACCGGCTCGCCAGACTCAACGCGCTTTTGTTGGTTGGAGAGGAACAACCGGATAAGGTTGTCCACCCGCGACTCCCAGTTCTTCTTGATCAAGCCGACACCCCATGGCGCCCCGCCGACGGCCTTGCGCAACTCCTTGTGCTCCTGGCTGTCGGTGACTTGGAAGATTGCTCTAGGCCCCAAGGCATCGTGCCCGTACATGGATGACTTGGTGTTACACTTGGGATCCCAGTAGATCGCATGAAGCGCCGAGGCCTTATAGAAGAACAGGAGAGTAGGCGTGATGCGGATTGGCCTGCCGTCCTCTGTCCCGAGGCAATCTCATGTCAGTGACGATACATCTAGATAAGGTGGTCTTATTTCTTCATAATTCGGATCAACAACACCAGAGGGGGCTCCTGACGTACTGCCGTATTTGCGCACAAGCGACATCAGCCAGTCGGGCTCCTTGGACGTGATGGAGGCCAGGCCCAACGGCAGAGACGAGCATGCGGCATACCATGGCCCTGGGAAATGACGCAGTGGGTGCCAGAACAGGCAGTGTATTATACGCCAACCAACAAGTGCCAGAGCAAAAAATCCAAATGCTAGCACGGCCTTGGGGAGTGCTAGCTGGATTGCAGAAGAGTTCAACAAGTGGATCGCCATGCTGGTAATTTCTTGATTTCAATCCCGTGATGAGACAAGTCTCGCAACGATAGAAACACATCTGACATGATGACTATTTGAATAGGAATATTTATCTTGAATTGTTTTACCCCGGCTTTAGTCACGGGAATATCTGATCCAGAACTGGCAACTGCAGTCAGCGTTACTATTGCCGTGTTAGGCTCGGCACCTGTTCTGTCGAATGAGGTAGCCTGGGTTTGGTTACACATCTGCGGGGTCGAGAACTAGAAGCTTACTCAAGTGCTACCTGCCTTCGATAAGTGAAGTGACTTGACTTGGCGTTTATGTTGATCAAGGAGGAGATATGTCATTGTGGCATCCGAGGGGAAGTTTGATGCGAGTCTCGTGTGATAGAAAAGATTCGCCAGGAACCTCACACTCCCCTCAAATGCTAGGATGCGTTCATCAAGAAAATCCCGATCGCTGTAGGGAGAGTATATTCCTGTTTTGCGTCTCACACTTCTGCCCTATGACCCAATGACACGGCGAACTCTGCAGCGTCTTTTCAACCGCGACTATTTTGGACGTCCCTGGGTTCACCAGGAGCTCCAGCTTACTAATCGCCCTGCCGTCATGCAAATCGGGCACGTCATGCTCCCCCTACTTTTCGTGGAAGACACCTGGGTACTGCCCTACGCGTTGTTGTGGCAGGTGCATGGGGCGCCGTTCAAAATGCTAGGGACATGACCTTCTCCCAGTTGCGTCGACTATATAGATTGCGACAATGTCTCGACCCGAGAGACAGAGTCTACGGTATTCTTGGAATTTTACCATCCCGCTTCGCTTCGACTGTTCGGCCTGACTATGGATAGGCAGCCGTAGAGGTGTACAGATCTGCGCCCCTGTCCCACGTTCCTGCGGTCCGACGATGGGAGTTGCTTGGTTACGAGTTGTCCACAAGAGAGCTTGGCAGGCCTTCTTGGGTCCCGGACTGCTCAACGATAGGCGCTGACTGGAAATATAATAGGTTACTGAGGCAATTTGCATCAGGTCACTCCCACTTACACCACGAGGTTCATGATCGAGAGATTCTGGACGTGTAGAGCCTACTGTGTGCACGAGTGTGTGCTAATAGGGGACAGGATCGCATGAAGCGTTTGGAGAGCGTTCGATCTTGGCAGCCTGAAGAGCTCTCCGACGCCTCATACGTTACCGGACAGAGCTTTCTGCGTGCCTACACGGCTACTCTGGACACAGCGGATTTGAAGAGCGCTTCTCCAAACCTTCCATATACCCAAGTATTGGCGATTGGTAGTGAGGCGTAGGGGGGGCTTCTAGAGCAGTAAAGACAATTAAGGGTTATAGTATGACCGCATTGATCATCCCACAGGCAGAAATAGGTAACAAAATATATATTCTAATTTAGAAAAAGAGTTATTTCATGATATTGATCAATCGGTATAGATTGTAAATTAACATAGTAGGTAATCATTACCTATCAGTATTATTTGTTCAAAGTCGTGGTTCGGGAAGCCCGCACCGGCACACATCCCATGTTTTGCGTACATGTAGAGCGGCCCCCTCAGTTTTGGTTTGAGACCGCAATTCGGGATGCGGCTCTTCCCCAAGGATGTTTTTGCCGCCGCTGCTTCTGTGCAAGCTCTACACAGAACCGTGCTGGTGAACCAAGACGCGTAACGTGCTGCTCCTTATCTTCACCTTGATCTACAGTTTCCATAATCGTTACCCGCATCGTCGGCCTGAGCTGGACGGGGTTCCGCAAGAGTTCCTGAGACTTTACTCACTCGCTCATCATCGTCCCGGGCGCGTTTGCCACGTCGGCTCTCTTCCCAGGTGACAAGTTCATCCACACGCAAGTCCAGCTTCACAAGGCCTTTTTGGTGGCCATCATCCTGCTGCGCATCCGTGGCAACGATGCCCTCGACTAGCGTTCAAGACGGCCGTTGCATCGCTCACGACCACTGTCAACCTTCTAGCAAGGTGGCTTGTGTTATTGCTCGTCTTTGCCATTGCCCTAACGCAGCTCTTCACACTCACTTGATTTGACTTGGCCAGCTCAGCCCTCCATGAAGCCGACACCACTGTCTACTGCACCTCAACCACTAACTCATCCGCCGCCACCGCCCCCTCGGTGACGACGAACCCGACGCCGCCGCTCTCATAGACGTCGTCACCGTCCGCCCCAGCCACCTGGGCCACGGTGTCCGCCGTCCCCGCGCGAGCAACAGTGCCCGTTAAGCTCCGCCCGTCACACAGCACACCCACGTCGTACGGGACGTCAACTGCCCAGTCCATCGGCACGGAGTCAAGCACCTTCCTCTTGTCGTCTCGGACCTTGACCAGTGCGACCCTTCTACTACTCCCAGACTCGCTTGGGACGAATACCAGACCGTACCACCTCCGCAGACCCTGGACGCGCACAACGACACCACACTGTCCGCCCGCCAACACGCGAAAGCCGCACACTCTGGCATCATATCGCGCCCACTCGCGCGTCCCGACACTCAACAAACCCTCGCCCCGATCCTTCGCCAACCGGAAGGTCGGCCCTGTCCGCACGTGGAAGTTGTCCATAGACCGGACAAACATGCGCTGGAAGTAGGTCAGCGGCTCCTCGGTGTGCCGCGGCAGCTTGAGAGTCAGCTGTGGTCTGCCATCCCAGGAGAGTCGGTCGAGCCTGACTGTGCCGGCAGCGGCGGCGCTGGGCGCGTTGTCGACGTGCAGGATGGGTGTTAGGGCCACACCCACGGCGAAGATGGGCCGGGTGCCGTCGAGAAGTCCGGAGGTAGGGATGGTGTACTCGAGAATCACCGGCGGTTCGAAGTCCTCGTCCATCCGCACAGGGTGGAGATCCGTGGCAGGGCCTCTGAGAGTGAGCACGGTGTCGTCGTGGTCATAGGCCGTGATGAAAATCTGGCAAGAGACAGGAAAACGGCACTCGTTGGCGTCCGCGCGAAGGACGGCCCTGACAGTCTGGCCCGGGTACAAGAGAGGGGTGGATGTGAGTGGGTACCTTTCGCCGGAAGTGGGCAGGTAGAGCGGGTGGAATGTGTCCGTCATGATGGCGACGGGGTCACTTGTTGGAGTGAGGCCCGTCAGCTTGATGGCCAGGCCGGCCCTGCCAAGACAGTCGCGGCTTTGGGCCACAGTGGCGGCCTTTGTTGGGTAAGCGGTGAAGCCTTGGACGCTGCCTGGTAGGGTGAAGTGGTATTGTGCTCCATTCTTAGGGAGGGTGAGGGGTTTGTGGCCTGCGAGTCTATGCCCGAGGTTCGCGATGTCATAGGCGAGTCGGGCTGCATTGTTGACCGAGTAACCTCCGTTGGCACTTGAGATTAACGCTCGGTCGGCAAGGGGTCCTCGCCAGTCCGGTCCGCCCTCAAAGCATTGCAAGCCGTGCATGATGGCCACGAGACAGGCTAGGTTGCCAGAGTTGCAGTCTGTATCCCAGCCGCATGTGTTGACAATGTGCATGGCTTCGTGGAAGTCGTTGCCCGCGTAGAGCAGGGCCATGATCATGATGGCGTGGTTGGGAACGACGTGGACGATGCCGTCAAACTGGTCGTACCCGTATTTGTCGTCAATACGCTGCCTTGTCGCCGGCCAGGCCTTGTCGCGTGCTACCCATCCGCGCACGTCTTGGATCAGCACCTCAATCAGGGAGCCTGTTCGTTCTTTGCGAATGATTCTCAGCCCTGTGTCAATCAGATGGTCGACGTCCTTGGAGACGAATGCCTCGGATTCCATGGCGGCCCACATCATGGCAGCGAGGACACTCTCGCCGTCATGGCTGACCGAGCCGGCTGCTTTGGCGAGCTTTGCCGCGAGCTCAGGCTGTCCTGGGCAAAGCATGGCCCAGCCATCGATAAATATCTGGGCTCCAACCTGCTCGGCGACCGTCTTGCCGTTTCTCTTGATACTGCCGCTATCGGGTGCTTTGATGCCATTCTTCAGGTTGAGGAAGGCAGTGTGCTCTGTGGATACGCCTCTGCCTCCCCACCAAAAGACGGTCTCCTTCTCGATGACGTTGTTAAGCCAGGTTTTGCCAATCTGCTCGGAGGTGATGTCCTTGGTAATGCCATGCTCCGCAAGGGCCTGAATGAAGGTGAAGGTGCCGGAGACGTCGTCGTCAGTGACAACGGGTGGTCGCTGGGCGAAGCCGGGGAAATGGGTGTGGACGTAGTGGCGGATGTTGCCCAGCTCAGCGACGATGGCAGAGTGCGGCCAGCCTTCGAACGGCCGACCGAGGTAGACGCCGATGAGCTTGCCGAGGACACCAGCGTACACGCGCTCCAGGTAGTCGGCGGGCATAATATTGTAGGTTAGCATCTTAAGAGATTGTCATGGAGAGCCAAGGGACGACGAAGCAAAGGTAAACAATCTCACCCTCAAACGTCAAGCAGTCCAAGTGACCAGCACATGGTGAGATGTCCTTCACCCCGCACTATACTTGAACGCAAAGCCAGATGGAACCCTATTGAACTTAATCTTGTGACGGCGCTGCGGGCATGTTCAGTGACTGCAGGTGGGCCATAGCGCACAGACCACCTGCAGCCTAAAAGCCCTCTGCTTTGAAGGCCTGACTGCAATCGGAGGCAACTTTTCCTCCTACTCGTCTTTCTTAGCAAGACAAGGTCTTGTTCAGAATTCTACAATCATGGAGCAAGACTTGAGGGCATCGCCTCTTCTACGTCCCTCTCGTGACAGTAGGCAGTTGCTACGTCCCAGGCCCGATGAGCGGTGAAGCCGTGTACGGAGACGGGCTGCCTGAATGTTTTCGACCCGTGTTCTCCCTTTCAACCCCTCCAGAGAACCTCATTGACGGCGCTCTACGATGCCTGCGAGACATATGCAATGGTTCTGTGAGAAGTGATCCGGCGGGCATTCTGGAAGAGTTGGGCATTCCATACTTCATGTATCAGAGATGGCCGCATATTCTGGAAGTCGCACCGAATATTTTGAAAGAAACGGGAGAAGAGTTGCAAAACTTCGAGTTGATATAGGCTGGTTGGTTTCTATGCAGAGAGGATTTCATGTTTGACAATAATTAATAACAAAATCAAGAGACATAGTAGCAACGGGTAACAATTCAACTTCATTTTCAGTCCATGTGTAATTCGCTACCATTACGACCACATGACCATAAACCAACCCAGCTACGTAAGTATCCAGCGGTGATTTATGCTGAGTGTGAAGGCGCTGCGGCACGGCGTAGGATCTGGGTGAGATGCTTGGTAGACGAAAACCAACTAACAGCCAACTAACAACCAACTAACAATTAGTACGCAATGCTATCACACCCTGCAATTTCAGCCACTCTCTCCCTTACCCTAGGATACCTAGCCCAGAATCATCATTCACCAACTTTATCATCAATCCCATCGCACGTCGCGATCCAGAACCTCGCTGTGCTCAACATGATCGTAACATAATGGCTCCTGTTCCAAGCACGCTTTTGCAGCTGCCGCCCGAGATATTGTGGGGTATCCCGCCTTACTTGTCCAACCGCGACATAAAGAGCCTCCGGCTGACCTGCAAGGCTCTGTGTGCCATTTCACAACTGCGTCTGGATCGTGTCTTCTTGTCGGCGAACCCGCGCAACATCGAGGTCTTACGGGCTGTAGCTGATCATGAGGTCCTCCGTGAGGGGGTTGTTGAGATCATCTGGGACGATGCGCGTCTGAAGAAAGGGCTGATCCAGAGAAGATCTCATGACCCTCAAAGTCGTTACTACGATCCGACCTTGAATGAAGAGTTTGACATTATAGATGAGCTTGATGATGACGATGAGCTAGGTTACGACACAAATGATGAGTATGAGAATCAGGACAGCGATGAGGACAGTGACGATGAGGAGCAGCATCCGCGCTGGTTCGACCTTGGGTGCCGACAAAGTCTGCAGAATATGAAGAACCATAAGGGGCCCAATATGTATCGGCCCGATCAAGTTGTTCGCGCAGAGCTGGCCGCCAACGTCTCGCTCAGGAAGCGCTCATGGCGATACTACCAAGAGCTCATCCGCCAGCAAAAGGAGGTGTTGGCAACAAACGCGGATGAAGCGGCCTTCAAGTACGGACTACAGCACTTCCCAGCCCTACGGCGCGTCACTATCAGTCCTGCAGCCCACGGCTTTCTGTTTATGCCGCTCTATGAGACGCTCATGATCCGGGCCTTTCCGCGCAGTTTCAACTACCCCATCCCGCGCACATGGCCGATAGAAAAGTACGAGCAGAAGCTCTGGGAGAGGACACCGGAGAGCGACAAGGACACATGGCGCGCGTTTCGCATAGCTACGCGGACGCTTGCCGCTGCCGGGACCAACGCTAGCCAGTCTGTGCAACAAGAGCAGCAGCAGCAGCAGCAGCAGCAGCAGAAACCCGGCATCACTGAGATCATCGTCGACGTCAACCAGCTCCTCACCGGCCTCAACGCACACATGTTTGACGAGGAGTGCGCCGAGCAGCGCGACCTGGCCACCGCCCTCCGGCAACCCAACTTCCGGCGTCTCGATCTCGCCCTGGCCGTCGGCGGGCTCGAGCACTACGGCTGGCGAGCCTTCCGCAGCGGCTGCCTGCGGCGGACGCTGGCTTCAGCGCCAACCCTTGAGCATGTCAAGCTCACGACTGACATGGCGAATGACCCTGACATGGATTATAACGGCATCCCGGGCTCGGGCCTCGACCACCACTTCATTCCACTACGCGACATCTTCCCCATCGACGTCTGGTCACGCCTCAGCCATTTCGCGCTCTCCCGATTCCATGTGCGGCAGGACGACCTCCTCTCGTTCCTCGGCGCCCTACCGCCGACACTCCGTTCCGTAGAGCTCAGCTTCCTCTTCTTCCTTGACGGATACTATCGGGACCTTCTCGACGGCATGCGCGACCAGCTCGGGTGGCGGGAGCGGCCTGCTGAGCAAAGACCGCGCGTGTCCATCGGCCTGCCTAAATACGGGCTGGGCAAACTTACGCGTGTGGTATGGGGCGATGTACCCGTGGAGCAGTTTCTATATCATCACGGGCCCAATCCATTTGGAACAGACCGGGGGGCTCGCAACCAGATACCACAAGGTGCGGGCGGAGTCGTCAGGGACTCTTTTGATCCTGCGTTCGAGCAGCCTTGGGTCTTGCCGGACGAATCGAGGCGGCTTGGCTACGTTGAGACTTCGTGGTGATGGTCCACATTCCTCGACTGGGGACGTGGCTTTCGAACATATACACAATGCGCTTAGGAATGCCAAACGCACAGTGGCATAAACCATGCCTCATCGGGAATGGAGTAGAAAGATGAGGGCAAGCTCGGTTGTCATTTCTTGATGAAGAAAAAGACTTTCTGCGTCAATCCAACTACGACACTGACGGACCATTCGACTACGTGGCTCATGTTACAGCCGACTTACTTCGAGGGTTCCATCACAGATCAATCACGGAAGGCCTATTTACAAAGGAGGGGCTGCTGAATTGGCCAGAAATTTCACAGTTGGCAGCTTCGTTGATTCTTCGACCGAGTTTGAACAATGCTGCTGGCCTTGACAACGCTCTTGCTGATTTTCTGATGCTTTCTGGAAGAAGACCAGATGACGCGCTGTTGCAAGCGCAGCAAGTCTCTCAGGCCTGGGATACATATGGTAGGAAGTGTCCAGGCCGTGTAATTCGTGATACCCTCATCACTGAACATGCTCTCCAAGGAGGAAGTCAGGGGGACTTGCCCAAGATATGTTTTGCTGACAGCCGAATGTGGAGAGAATGTCCAATTGCATATGGATGATGTTGTAATGGAAATTCCAAAGAGAATACAAGCGAGAAAATATCTCAGAGGAAGCCGGGATAGCTATTGCCTTTCCCTGCTTGAATATATGACCGTCAATGAGCCGCAAGATACAGCCAGAGGATGATGCAGGGAAGATAACATGACGAAACTCAAATGGACGCTGTTGTCGGAACTATCTCTTGAGGGTCCCCGAAGAAAGGAAAAACGCTCGATTTGGAGATCATTGTCACAAAATTTCTTCAATATTGATGTAATTAATATGAGCGGTTCTGCATGAAGTCTTCCTAGAGCTCCTGGAGAGTATACAGTTGTAGAAGCACTAACTTGCCCTCGAACTCGACTCTGTGATCACAAGCACTTCTGAGCTCATCTGCTACTGTGAGCAACTCAAGATGATATGATTAACATGGTTCCCCTGCGCACGACTGGCCAAATCCTTGTCGACGTCCTTCCAAAACGCACTCACACTCGCCAATTGACTCAAGGTTCTGTGCTCGCCAGTCGATTCATTCATGTTCACAATAAATCTTTTTCTTCTTGAGAAGAATCACTTGCAATTGAGTCGCTAGTAGGCCAAACTTACTCCCATTCGAAAGGTCGTGAACATGCAGTCAGCTCTCCAACTTGGGAGTCGCTGACCAATTGAAAGCTATAATATCAAGCTGAGTCTCCTCAAACTGGTCGAGACAGGCCATTTCAAATAATAGCGTGTCGCATGTGATTGTTGCGACTTGTGGTAAGACCAAACTGCATTCAGCAGCAGACTTGGTAAGCTGACACCCATGCTCCAAAGTAGGCTGTGCCGTAGGAGTGCTTTCATAGACACCGCGAATAGATGGGCTGATCAGGCGTGGCATCCAAATTTGCCATGGTCTGTTTCGGACTAACCTCTGGGTCGCAGGCTGGAGTCAGTAACTTGGGAACTATATACGTAAATAACCTCTCTGTATTGACTCGAGAGAATCACGTTTAATATCACAGCCAGTGTCAATCAGAGTTTATAAAATTCGGTGAATATTTTCTACTGTCCCGTATTTCCTTGGTCTCGAACCTCTCAATCAATGCTCTCAAATTGGTTTTGAACCATGGCGAGAAATAAGAAGAGACTTTACGTTGCCGTCTACCCAAGTGGTCAGGGTACCGGGAGGTAAGTGTGCTGAAAGACTGGTCGACTCCATGCTTTGGGCTCCAACATCTCTATTCCAAATGAACTTGAATATTGACACCTCCTGGCAGTTACCACTGGGCTCTTTTGGTCGGGCCAAAGAAGGAAGTCGGCCCCGTTGCTGGACAACGGTATCATGTCAAGAACCAGCCTGTCGGCCCTCCCTGGAAGTACGACGCGGGAGATGTCCAAGATGTCCGAGTAACCGCTCAGCTTCTGGCGCGGGTCGCCATTGCCAAGATTGTGGACGAAGAGCGCTTGATCAACATACTCGAACGAGTCCCTGTTAACCCGCCGAACTGGTCAGGTAAAGCAAATGGCAGGGAGCCGAGGTGGACGTGCCGGCTTTGGGTGATCGCTGCTTTGAATGCTATCAAAGCTGACGGCGAGGCTGTTGGTACTAATGTGCTCGATAATATCGACGGTCCTGGTGGCATCATCGAGACGACCAAAGAGTTTGTTGCCCGGCAGATAGAGAACAGGCGATATGGGTCGGGTACGGATGCGATGGCGCCGAAGCCATTGTTGGATATGATGACTGGGAAGGAGAGCTACCTCTGAGATGTGATTTCCGAATGAAGGATACTTGTCAGATAAACTTCGTGCTTATATAGACCGTCAAATAGGAAATTCAGCAAATGTTTCCCCACCAACGAAACCGTACTTTCTCCATTTTCAAGTCGTCCGGGAAGGGGCTGAGAAATTTGTCAATGTTCTCGTCCCAGGTAGGGTTTACCAGGTGGCTCCCGATCTTGAGGGACGTATATTCCCAGTAGTGAGGATACCACCCTGACATCTCCCAATCAATGATTCCTACTATCTTGTCGTCGCGGACAAGTATGTTCGAAGGATTCAAGTCTCCATGCGTGAATACGGGCGGAGGCCAAGGTCCGTCCTGTCTGGCAATCATCTCGTTCACGCTATCCAATTCCGCTTGCTCCATATTCTCAGCTTCGCCTTGCTTGAGGCCGTCCCTCAGCCAGCTGTGGAAATCCTGCATGGTTCTGAAAGGCCCAAATCGGACCGGCGGTGGTGCGCGACTCTGTCGGAAGTCTTGCAGTGACCCACCCGTGCAACTGCCAACACAAAACTCGCTTGGAGGTTCGAGTGCCCGAAGTTCGTCAACAATCTGTCTCAGTTGGCCTAGCAGATTTGCCCTGGTCTCGTCGGATATGTGGTGCCAAAGTTTGGCCAACTCTTGACCTTCGATCTTCTCCATGACAATGTAAGCGGCTCCATTTCGTAAAAATGCGCTGAGAACTCTAGGCACGGGGATGTTGGTTTTCTCAGCGATAAATTTCATGGTGGCCGCTTCGGTCAGCCGGACGTCGCTCCCGGTCTTCACGACCATGCGGCGCGACAGGGGGTACACATGGCCTACATGTGGTTGGTGGCGGTGTCGGAAAACAGAAGTCATGCGTTGTGATGCGGTGTTGAGCCCCAACAAAGAAACAGTGAGCAGCTGCCAGTAGAGCGTGTCATTTGCTCTAGGGCTCTCGAGGCATGCGGACTCTCCGTCCCTGCTAGCAGCATCTGTCGCATTCATGGAAACTCCTGGAAACAGGGAACGCTTGAGAACATGTACGTATGTACGTCCTAAGCCTCGAAAATCGAAGCGCTCATCCGCAATGACGCAACATGTCGGCCCTGATCAAAAGGGATGTGTATGGGCGACTGTACAGGCGAGTTATTGTCTTGCAGATTGATGAGTGGAGGGTGAAGTAGCTCCTATTGTCCGTATTGAGGTTGGGCTGCTTTAGGTCCGACGGCTCACGTGAGGCTAGAAGTGACCAGCCGTCCGCCAGGTGCGCGTCAGGTGGCCTCCTAGCAAAACGATGAGTGCCCGCGAAGAAGAAAAAAGAAAGCCCCCGTAATACAACAGGTCCGTTCGCATGAATTATGTGATATTCTCCAGCTCCTTGGCTATTAGGACGTATGCCAATGATTCTTTCTGCGCTGTTTTGATATCAGTTGTGCTTAGCAGCGTCTGGTCGCTGCATGCTTGCTAAACTCGACTCGCGGCCGTCGCGGACTGTATCTATTCAATTACTCTGAAGTTTGGTCTTGAATGTCTGAATCAGGCCACAATCCATGCCGGCTAAGAGGATGCATGCAATTTCAGTAAGCGCAGGCTGTACCACCACTTCATAAAGGATACCATGCTAGTCGCGTGCTGTCTCGCCTTGCCTTGCCTAGCCTATGTATTATTGTTCACCTTCTCTCTCAGGTAACCGGAGAAAAATATATGGCTCCACATATTCTACGCAAAGATCGCATATTGAACGCTAGCCTAACACAACACAACACAATACATTACGATACAATCCGGTCCCACATAAGCACGCACGCCAAGACTGCATCCGGGCCAAGATTGATACTGGAACACGGAGTTTGCGGTGATTGAGGACGTTTATTCGGGGTTTATGGCTTGGGTTACGTCACTCACCGCGCGATGAGTTGCAGTAGGATTGTGACAAGTACTATTTGCATGGTGTATGCGGGATATAGTTCGGGGTTTGCTGGCACCCTCCAGATCTCGCCCAGATATATAGGTACAGATGCGTAGCTGAATCTGTTTGTATTTGGTTCAGTGTGATATATGCAGACTCTGACAATTTCTTCGAAAGATTCCCGAGTGGGACATTCTCGACGAAAGCCCGTAACTAATACAAAATGACTGCACCGCCCTGCCCGCCGCCAAAGTCACTCCTTGGCCGCCACCGGCTGCTCGCACCGACGGCTTCTGTGTACGTGAGTCCAATATGCTTAGGCGGTATGAACTTTGGTGAGGCGTGGAGGGATCGGCTGGGTGTATGCAACAAGGATACTGCGTTTGAGATTTTGGATTACTTCTATGAGCAGGGCGGGAACTTCATCGACACGTGGGTCTTTACTCGATTCCTAGATTGAGTGCATGCTCTGTCCTTGATGCTAACGCCCAAAATAGAGCGAACCAGTACCAGGACGAGGAATCAGAGCAGTGGATAGGCGAGTGGCTCGCCTCACGCGGTGTGAGGGACGAAATCGTCCTGGCGACCAAGTACTCATCCGGATATAAGGTGAACTCATCCCCGAACAACATTCAGAGCAACTTCGGCGGCAACGGCAGCAAGAGCTTAAACCTGTCCGTGGAAGCCAGCCTCCGCAAGCTGCGCACCGATTACATTGACCTCCTCTACGTCCACTACTGGGACCTCGCCACGACGGCCGAGGAGCTGATGCAGAGCCTCAACGCGCTCGTGCAGGCCCGCAAGGTGCTGTACCTCGGCATCTCAGACGCCCCGGCGTGGTGGGTTGTAAAGTGCAATGCCTACGCGGGGCAGCACGGTCTCAGGGCGTTCAGTGTCTACCAGGGCCGCTGGAGCGCGGCGGCAAGGGACCTTGAGAGGGAGGTCCTTGGGATGTGTAGCGACCAGGGAATGGGGATCGCGCCGTGGGGTTGTCTGGGCGGCGGATATTTCAAGCCCAGATCTGAGAGCGGTGTGCCATCAGAGGGGAGGACGATGAATGTTAAGACCGGAAGGGAAGAGGGCGTGGCGGAGATGTTGGACAGGGTGAGCAGGCGTGTTGGGGCACCGATGACCAGCGTTGCTATGGTGTATGTCATGCACAAGGCGCCGTATGTGTTCCCCATCGTCGGAGGGCGGAGGGTCGAGCACCTGAAGGGTAATATCGAGGCTCTAGGATTAGAACTGACGGAGAAAGATGTGGAGGAGATCGAGACAGGCTATGACTTTGATGTTGGATTCCCGTATGATTTTCTCGGAGGGGGGAAAGCTCCGAGGGGACCTGCAGATGTGGTGTTCACGCAGAGATTTGGAAATTTTGACTACGTGCCGGTTCAGGGAGGATTCAAGCCGCATAAGGGGCCATTGAGTACGCATGATCCTAAATGGGTGTGAGCCGAGAATACCTAGACTATATTGTACTGTTCTCCTGACAATTCTGTTTCTACCAAAGCAAAGCCCATCCTGTGCGCTACTGACGGATGCGAGGGTTAATTCCATCTCTCTCCGACTCGCAGCGAGAGGGGACACTGTCTATTTTCAGCCCTAGATCCCGTCACCTTCTCTTTCTAACTTCCTTTCCCGGCAGGTACCATTCTAGACTCCACAAAGCTTATGCAATTTCTTGGCATCCCAAGTCAGCACCAGAGAACAGGGAAGTTGTGAACCATGGTGCCATGGTCCACTTTCGGCCACACGATATCAAAATGCTTAGATACGAGATTGACTTGCCGTGAGGCGCTCGCCACCGGTAAAATGCTGCAGGCCAATCGCACGTCAAGCGGACCGAACCGCCGGCATTTAAGCTCGTCTGATCTCGCGACACCATTGTTTCCCTCTTTCTGACCGATTTGTTCTCTTTCTACTCGATTAGCGCGCGTAATAAGGATGTCCCAACTTCAGAAAATTGCCGTGGTTGGAGTATGATTATTTCTTAGCTTCAATGATCAAGAAGATGATTCTGACACTGGGTGCAGGGAGCCGGCAACCTCGGCAAATTCATTGTCGAGTCTCTGTTACGCGAGAACTTTTCTGTGACAGCAATTAGTCGATCTGACTCCACAACGACGTTTCCTCCTGATGTTCATGTCAAGAAGGTTGACTTCAAGTCTGAAGAATCACTCACAGCTGCCCTCGCTGGTCAGGATGCGCTCGTTTGCGTCATCGGCACTATGGCCACCGGCGAACAATTGAGGCTCGTCGATGCCGCAGTGGCAGCCAAGATCAAACGATTTATCCCATCTGAGTATGGGTTGAACACGCGTACCGTCGGAGCATCGACTAAGCTGGGAAAGATGTTGGGCACGAAGATCAAGACAGTTGACTATTTGATTGCTAAAACTGAGCAAGTCAGCTGGTTCTCTTGGACAGGCCTCGGAAACAATTTGTTCTTCGACTGGGTAAGTCACCCAAGGGTATCTTGACTTTCTGCATATCTAGGTTTTTCTCACAACGACCGATAGTCCATGAAAGCCAGCCTGCTTGGCATTGACCTCACAGCTAAGAAGGCTACCATCGTTGACTCCGGAAATGAGTCCTTCTCAACTACAAACCTAGCTCTTATCGGCCAGGCTATTACTTCGATTTTGAAGAAGCCAGATGAAACTTCAAACAAGTATCTCAGTCAGTACTTTCCACAATCCATGTTCCTTGCAACACCTTCGACAGCATGGAAGACCCCATCGCTGCCATGCCTAAGTCACCGCTTACAAGCCCACCGTATTAACCTGGAATATAGTGATTTCATCCTTTACTACAACGCAGAACGAGATTCTCAAGGTTGCGGAGGAACAAACTAGTTCCAAATTTGAGGTCACGCACATCACTGCCGCCGAAGCCGAAAAGTCGGCTGATGAGAATTTATCGTCCGGCCAGGCATACAAGGCATTTTGGGATTATGTACGTCAGTATCAATTTGCTGACGGAGCTGGTCATGCATTGAAGGATGACGAAAGCGCGAATACGTTATTGGGCCTGCAGAAGGGCAGCTTGGTTGAGAGCATGAAGATCGTACTCAACACATCTTAGGGTTTGATGCCCTGTGAATTCCCACAGAGGGTTGTGTACCACTTCGCAGCGTTTGTTGTCAGCATTTGAAAACATTGTTTGAAAGAGAGAAATAAATTGATTATGAGGACAAAATACTGCTTCCCAAGGTCCCCCGCCTATATTCACTCCCTGACTCTGTATGGGCACCCATCCTCCCTCTCCCTGAGTCCCCATGGGCACATCGCTTCATCCACTTTGACGATGGCGACGTCGTGGGCATACTTACCATTGTCACAGCGAGGCACGTCTTTCACTGCCATCTGCCATCACAGGTAAGCTCCTGGTCTCGCTTGCTCTTTGTTTCAAGGCATACGCAGTAGAGGGCATCCTGAGGCTCGTCTGCTTTCCCGCATCCACGCTTTGTGTTGTCGTATCAAGTTACATTGCGAAGTGAACGATGGCAATGTACAGCCTGGCCGATATTTCATGTGATATATGATCACTTTGTATGAAGTATAAGGGACCTTTGGATTGATAGACTATTCATTCACTTTCCTTGCTACGTTATGGTGCGTTTCAGTTGATCCTTTCTGTTCATGGCTCAACTGGCGATTATATCACCCGCACGGAAGCCAATGGGTAGCATTTAACATTGACGCTGTAGGGAATCTCTGGGCACTAGGCTGAATGAGGTACGGATTATCTGTCCCCGGAATACTCAAGGTCCACTGTGTTGATTCAAACGGTCCATGATGGTGATGGCCTTATCGCGGTGCTTCTCGAGTTCGATATCCCAGATAAAGTCCCACCTATGCACTAGCTTCTCCCTGACTTGTTCCAAAGGCACCTTAGTCTCACCGCCCCTGCCTGTCATTATCTCTCCGGTGCCCCTGCTGGATTCGACTATGCGCTGGGTACGTGGCCTGCGCACCTCGTCATAGGCTTTCAGCGCATTTACTGCTTCCATTGTCGTTTTGGCATGGCCGAGCAAAGACGACAAGATGAAGCTGTCTTCAACAGACATTCCGCCACCGGAAGCTTGCCAGGGCGTAGTTGCGTGAGCCGCGTCGCCCATTATGCAGAGCGGACCCGATACATAAGTATGGCATGGGGGATGCTCCCACAGATACATGGCAGTTCTCTCTGGCTCGTCGCAAAGTAACTGCCGCGCCGGTCGTCAGTACAACTGATCTAATCCAAGCACATGATTGAGTTTAGTGGGGATGGGTCTTTTTCAAGTACGGACCTCTTCGACAGCCTTCTTCAAGTGCGGTGGCCAGTCCTGGTAATGCTTGCGAAGCTCGTCTGCCGAAACAGTGCGAAACCATTGGTCTGATCCGACTGCCTCTTTTTTGTAAGCCGTGACAATCAGCTGAGCGAGCTGGCCGTCACTCAACAAGTTGTGCATCAGAAACGTCCCGTCGCCGATCCACCCGTACTCCCGTGCATCTTCGATGTTTATCGGCCCCTTCCCAATGCTTGCCTGGGCTTCGGCATAAGATTTCAGAGCCATGACTGCCCACCACCCGGTGTTCCGTGGCACAGCTGCTGGGCCGCCTTCACCCAGTACCAGCTTTCGGACAGTGCTGTGGATGCCATCGGCGCCGATGAGGATATCACAATCATGTGTGGTCTCATCAGAGCTGTGATGGTCGTTATCGTGTTAGAAAATTCTACGTGTTGACGCACTGAGCAAATGCGAATGAAATCCTGCACATTCGACCAAAAGGCGTCGCCTACAGAATCGGGCGCAAATACGTACAAATGGATGGTCAAAGACCCGTCGTTATTGCGATCAACGTTTTCGAGTTTCTTCGAAACGTGCATGTGATCCGGGGGCACGCTCGCCAGCAACTCACGAAGCAAGGCAGCACGGTGCACAATGCTTGTGACGCGACTGCCACCGTCGTTGTCCGCGTCTAGGAGACAGACCATGCTGCCTTGCCCAGCGCCCTGGCCCATCATCACTTGAACACCCTTTTGCGGGACGGCTCCAGCGCGTTGAAGGCATTCCATCGCCGGCTGGCCGATCAAGCTCAGTGCTGCTTGGGCATTGCGGGACACACCTACAGCTGCACCGGCTTCTTTGAAGGCGGAAGCTGACTCGAAGACGTGCACTTCTAGATGTGAGTGAGGGAGAAGGGCGAAGAGAAGAGTGGCGCCCGCGAGCCCGCCTCCAGAAATTGCAACGCGTATAGGTTCTGACATCTTGTGAGAAAGGAAGAGGCTATCCGTTATAGTCTGTTCAGTAGGTTAAAGTCTTGAGTTGGATTTGAGTAGCTTACATCTGTCGTGAGATCAACAGCCATAAGCCCAGTATAACAGCCTTTTGAAGGGGCTTGGTTATCAATACGTTGTTCCCTGGTGTTACTGGGCGTCACGACTTCGGCAAGCACGGTAATAGTGGGGTAAGTCTATTCTTAGCAAGTGCATCGAAGCGATCAGACATTACTTTGGTTGTTGGTCCCTAGCGTTCAGTCATACCAATCCGGCGATTGCACAGCGTATGATCAGCGGTATAATAGGACAGTGGTACATGTTGTATCGTACCATGCACAATCTGGACCAAGTGGAAGCGCTCTGTACAAGATTCCTGGAAGGTTTGGCTCCAGCGGATGGATGCTGCCTAACTGAATTTCGATTAGTGGCTCTGGCGCATGGGAGCCACCGGTAACGACTCCGTGTTTAATGGGACGGTCCATAGGCCTTTACAGGTCCTTTGACCTGAATGGAAAATCAAAATGCGTACCTTCTGGGACATGTCCTGACGGCCGGTAAATGGCACGAGGGTACTGAACGTCATACAGCCTTGAAATCCTCCCCACCAGTGATCATTCCAATTGAAAAGTGTTATTCTTTGGGTGGACATAACAGCACACAATCCATGGATATCACGAGGCTGTGATTGCTAAATACGACGTACGACCACATGTTCATCATAGCCTGCTTTTGTGAATGCATCCGGCATCGTCGGTGCTTGGAAGTATTCATCGGGGAAAGACCAAGTACTCATGTTCCACGATGCCCGATGGCATAAGTAAAACGGTCCTCCGCCCTCCTTGACGTGTGTGCATGTCAAATGTGGTGGGCAAAAGGAGGGAACCTCGTAGGCTGACACCGGGACGTCTGTGGAGAGCTTCGGGGCTTTAGGGCTCCGGGGCTGGTCTTGGCGGGGCCGGCCAACACCGAGAGGGGGCGGGAAGCTCTCCAACTACAAAGCCAGTAAACCTGGGCTCCACTGGGGTGGGTACCACAAAAAGCGGCGAAAACATACAGCACCGGGTATTCGCTGGTCGTCACCGACCCAACTACTAATCCAGCGATTACAGGCTTGACTATGGGAGAGCGGACGGGATCCCGTATTTTCCTGTATCTGTGGCCGTATGTGCTTTGTTCAGCGCTACTGGATATTATAACTTAGATATTACCGGCTCGGAAGCCCTGGCCGTGCACCCGAACCACAGTCTCCGCGAGGCGGCATCTTTTCCACCCCCAGGTCCGGCTTCTTCTCTCCTCAATTTCGTTCTGTCGTCGTTCCATTACGGGGTCCCTGTGGGACGTTCTGTCGGTCATTGTGTCATAGCAGCATCGTCTCCCATATCCTTTCCCCGGTCCTGTCCCCATTGTCCTATTAATTTAAACGGGACATATTCAATTTACCCCATCAATCCCGTGCCCTTATGATTCATACAGTATTAGTGGGACCCGAATACACCAAGCAAATTCTTTGATATATTTCTCCCTGTATACTCGAGTCATCCGAACATCCTGTGATTAAAGCCATCTTTCACGGAGAATATCGATATACTCGTTCAGTTCCCTGCGGTCGACAGGTTCGTACTCATGAGAATTTCCCCATCGGTTCTCCATGTGCTCAAGCCTCTCGCGCAAACTAGCCTCAGTGCGGCCGTCGCAATTCTCGGGTATCCAGCCAGAACAGTGAGGCGGCCAACAATGCCTTAAAATAGTCATCGGAGATTCGGGCCGCTTTTGTTCAGTTCGAGTTGTTGTCCACCATGTAGAATTGGGTAGGTCCCGTACACGAGAGTGGCTGAAATCTATAAGCGTGATCTGCCATCCTTTCTTTGCATCCTTGGTCACCATGAAGTTCCTGGGATGTTCGTCATCATTTATTACTCCGATGAACTGGAGGTGGCTGATGGCCTCCATGAGCCGGTCCAACAGTTCCACCCGGGTGTCAGGGGGGATTTTGTTCGCTTCTCCATGTTTTATGAGGGCCTCTATGGTGTCGCCTGGGATGAATTCCTGCAAGATCAGGCAGACCCCGCGACGGACCACATTTCCCTTGCCAATGGGCAGGGGCAGCTCGAGGAACCAACAATCATAGAATTTGGGGGTATATTGTCCGTCCAGGCCACTCTCCTTGATTCTCTTATATGCGGCCGCCTCACACGAGTAGAAGCGCTCGGAGTAGTATGTGGGTGGAAATCCATACTCGTTACATCTATCACTTCCGACGTACAGAGGGTCAAAGATCTTAGCGACGCGCTCCTCCCCGTCCACGAGGCACCGCACCACCTGGGCCAAGCAGTCGTCGCCGCATCGGATTTGCTGGGTGACTACCAGGTCATGCTTAACCTGGTCCATGGGAGGAGTTTCGTCCCTTGGCTTCCTTGGCGGGTGCGCAAGGTACTGGGCGACGATGCCTTTAGGTGCGTCGTCACCGAAGGGCCAGGGGTTCGGATTCCACTCCTTCGGATCTGGGTTGTCATATCCGTAGCCATTGTCGAGGGGCGGCGGGGGGTTGTGTGGCTTAATTTCGAAGTGCGCGCCAGGCACATAAGGCAGAGGAGGGGGCTGAAGGCTGGCACTTGGCGACCCTTTAGAGCCTTTAGAAGATGAAATTGAGGGCGGAGTTGGGGCACGACGGCTGTGGCCCGCCTGGGTCCCAGCAGCAGGAGTGTGCGTGACAGGTGGGCCTTGTCTGGTGCTCATTGTAGCGGATCTGGGTTATGGATGATACGAAGTATGTCGAGCTGTGTGTTGAAAGGTGCAATGGTGACTTGGTCGTGTTCCAATGTCACTGTAGAAGGTGTGGAGACAGGCAACTACTAGAGGTGCGATGAGTTTGGTGGGGTCGGGATCATCGCAATGACAGGTGGGCGGTTTGCGGTCTGTGCAGTAGATCACAGTGTTCAGTTATCGTTGAATGGCTTGCATGTATCACGAGATTAACAGCCTTAACCTAAGTTAACTGCCTTTGAAATAAATCTTAAGAAATTAATACAGTGCACTTAATATTACTAGCTATAACAACTTTAAAAAGTGTAGTAACAGTACAGTAAGTATATTTTTAAAAGATGCTATAACGCAATTAAATGTTATCTACTATATAATTTATAATACAATTAGTAAAATTTTTAAAAAGCTTAAATTTCTTATTCTAATTAATTTTAAGTTAAGGAAGAATAGTAAAGTTAATAGTTTAATAGTAAACTCAATATCATAGTATTAAAATGGCGTTCAAGCGCACTGGTGGCTATCCATTAAGCGCTCACTCGAAAGCAATTGAGTTGTTGGGGCCCTCGACTCCATTGGATTTACTGCCAGTATTCATCGTTCCAGGTCATGGATGAGACTATTGGGTTAAACCGTACTTGCCTCTGGCCATCCTCGGACTGCTTCTTCGAGTACATATCCACACAGAACATATAAACGCCTTGAACTTTCCTGCGTTTAATTTCTGCAGAGTATTCACGGCCACCCAATGACGTCCCTTTCTGCTCCTCATCTGGGGGCTCTTCTGCGAGGAACCTCGATACCTCCTCAACAATAGGAATACCACGAGATCTCCTAAGGGTAAAGCAAAGTTGAAATTCGCTGTCAGTCCTCCGTAGCCGGCTAGATTGTAGCCATAGGCAAAGCAAAACATGTCCCTCACTCGGTTGTCGACATGAGAACACCACAACTGTCCTTGCAAGTTCCCGATGGTTCAGCTCTATAAGACGCAGCTCGGGGCTATACCGCACCGATGGAGGAGGATGTATGCTGTCTATCAGCAGATCTTCGGGAAGTGTACTAATGTACAAGGCGTTATGTCGTTCCAAATGCGCAACTGGTTTGATTTCTTGGCTGTGAACGGCTTTTGCGATATAAATTGTCGTCGTGTCCTCTGCAAGAGTAGAAGGAAGGAAAGAGAGCTTCGAAGGCTTGGTTCTGATATATCGATCACCACCTTGAGAGACAGTCTCGATTGCCACAACTTTACCCAGATCACCTTGCGGTCGACAGTTGAGGATCACCAGAGCAGTTGACTGGGTCGTATATGCATATCCGCCTCGAGTTTCGGTCCTGGCCTTCATCATTACGCCTCTGCCAGTGATTGAAGGCAACGCATGAAAGGGCGAAATCAAGTCTTGGAAAGACTCAAAGTCCCCGGACAGAATAAACTCAGCCGGCGACGAGGCGAATATGCCTCGGAATGGCGCTTGCTCGGCCGACCTCTCGGTAGCACGCCACGCAAAAATAGACTGATCCTCTGTCTCCCTGTAGATTTCCTCCTGGAGACGAATAAATGATTTATCCCCCTCTCCATATAACAAGGGCATATTGACGTTGAATATTCCCAGAAGACAATACGCCCGATCCTCCTCTCTTGTAGTTTCTCGTTGAGCTGCCCAGCTCATCCGTCTAGCAACGCTGATGTCGTTTAAGTCTCCTCCTTTTAAAATACCAATATCGATACCAGTAGCCTGACTTATAATTTCCCTGAGCTCTATTTTATCCCCGATTTCGCCCCATTCGGCATCGTAAAACACGACCCGTTCCGGCGCGATAAGTTCTTGCAATGTCCAGCCGCGACTGAACCAACGACTCCGGCGGAACTGCTCGAAATGGACATCACTATCGCTGCTACAGTCCGACCATGCGCTCGAATCTGACCCTGCGCTCGAGTTCGACCTTGATTGTCGAGAAATTGCTGAAACGTCCGCCATGTAGGAGTAGTATACTTTAGCCAGGCGGTACCATTTAAACATGGAATTGATGGCCTCGCTAAGCTCCGCGCTACTGCTTTTATCGATGCAGCACGTGTCTATCCATACCCACTCTAGACCGTCTCTCTGAGCTTGCTCACATGTGCATCGGACCTTTTCAAAGCCTTCTTGGGCCTCTCGTCCCTCATTTTGAAAGTCCTGGAACGAGACCTCGTTCTTCAGCCATGTGTGAGATAAAATAGCATATAGCGGCGGCTTGGCAAGAAAGTCAGTGAGCTGCAATGTTTTCGTATTGATTAGTCGCATGGTAAAGACTGGGTGTTTTGACCTTTGCCTGAAGTTGTCCAACTTGTTGTCGTTGTGTGAAGGTCAAAGGTGGGGTCAAAATAAGTCGCACGAACGTGCCTCGGTAGGGATAATCATTTCTGCGCCTTAAGTGGTGGCCGATGTTGGCTGCATATCACCAAAACACGCCGATCCCGTCTTTCGGCTGAGTGGTCGACATTGGGATTCGCGAGGTGTGCTTAGGTACCTCCTTCCATCACATGTCCCCGGAAAGCGATGGCCGACACGACGGCCCCCCTTAGGACTCAAAGTCATAGGTACAATGTGCATTTTTGCACTTTTACCGTGCATCAAAGGTGAAAATTGTTTCTTGACGCATTCTGGGGACGTGGACTTGTTGCAGAAGATGCTGGGACAAGCAAGGTGTGCAGCCATCTAGCGTTCATCCACAATGCTCACATTGGAGTGGGGCATCAGGACGCACCTGTTATTTATACCTGTGGGAACAAAGGTTGGATGAGAAATGGCCGTTCCTTTAGAGGTGGCCTCGTTACCTTCAAGGACGGTGCGATAGTACCCACAGTGTGTTTAGCAACAGACTTCTCTGCTGTGCGACTGATCAATTTTCTGCAGACAGTGACCTCGAATCTGTCTGTCGGAACCTAGCGAACATCTTTTTTATGGATAAGTCGGTGAATGCTCGTATTAACCACCGACAGACCCGCGTTCTGCCCACTGCAGCGCGGAGGTCAAGGTGGAAACCCCTCCATACCGTCACAACCCCTAGGACTCCTAAGCATTATTTGATTGTAGTATCTCTATTAAGTGTATCCGATGACTTGTGATACAATCGAACATTGAATACAATACTTAGAACAAATTAGGGAAATTATGTTTTCATATTAATCATGAAACCCGGCCGACCAAGGCGTGACAGGCCCCTTGTGCCGTTAGGCACTCACATATAGGCTGCCAGCCGTCTACTTAACGCTGGTCATTGTCTGCTGATTGGACTAAAATGGTTTCGCTTATTTCTCTCTAACTATTATTGTTAATCGGCTTAATATTATTAAGCTAAATTATTTAATTAATAAGACTTATATAAGTATCTTTTTAAAGTAATCTCTATAATAATTCTATTATATATTAACTAATTATAACTAATTTAATTATTAATCTAACACTTATATAAATTCCACTATAAAAGAGTAAAATAAGGGGTATATTTTCTTATATCTATAGCTATATATAATTATTCTAGCTGTATTATATTTTATATTTTAATTCTTACTAAGTTAAAAGCTTAACATATAAAGAATATAGTATAAGTGGATTAAAACAAAATAACAGCTACTAATGCTGTACTAGGGGTTGTTGCTTAACTAACGGTCTTGCGGTATATCGGAACGATACTATAGCACATAGCTGCCGGCTGGATTTGGGCAGGAACATACATCAAAGAGGCTAAACCAAGGAAAACCAGCAAGCCCTTCATTCACCCGTATCCCACTGGACCGAATTGGCACCGCGTTTGTGCCTTGAACCGCACAGAACTGATCTCATCAAGAAGCCTCTCCCGGATATGAAAAGCTCATCGGACTCAAGTCAGAAAGGGATGTTGTGAATGCATCCATATTATACCTCATTCACCCTGTCCATGTTGGCTACCAGACGCTTTATTCAAGCGATTGTTATCTCAACGAACTCACAAGACCCCGTCAGGACGGGACTTCCTGCAGTCGTGTCGACAGGGCCTATTTCTTGGGAGAGCCGAACAACGATGATCATCCAGGCGTCTCAACCAATATATTTGCCGCGCCGGAGTACAAGAAGTTTGGGGCAATTGATAGGAGTCAATCCAAAGCAGGAATAGTTACTGACTTTAACGAATTCGACGACGCTCAACTACATTCTGCCTATGTCGATCGGGTCGAGGAGGATAACGTCATGGTGCTCCTGAAGCAGGCAGTCCACTATGTGTGGAGACAGGAAACCCCATTCGTCGCTCTATGCGACTACAACACTTTAGTCCTACTATATATGCCGAAACAGAAGGATAGCCATGGCGGACCAGTACGTACAGACGTTCTGCCCACCACCGAGATGCCCTGCTAATTCACGCTTCAGTACACCTATATGACCATAGTAAGGGGGGAGTCGAAAGAAATGCGAAAGGCGTATCTGGGGTTCCTTCTAGCGGCCAGATCACGTGCACAGGGAAACAAAGACTGGCGTCTGAGTCAAGCCAGACAAGACCTCTTCTTGGAGGCGGAGCAATGGTGGCAGCAGAGCGCGTCATCCACGCCTCAGAGAAACCCAGGTCGATCTGGGAGAAATGATAACCCAAGGCACGATACTCCGAGTAGCCAGGGGAGCGATGTCTCCATGACTGGAGTCCAGCGTGGTAGAGGTGATCACATTATCCTCCTCATTCTCTTTCTCGCCAAAGACCTGCACAAGTGTGATCAAGCACCTGGGCATGCCGCAACCTTTACTAACATGACTTTTTCCTTGTTCCAGCATCCCAAACAAAGACTGCCGGAACGTCGAGGCAGACTTCAACGTCCACGATTTCGAGAGGCAGCTCAGCCTCAACAAGGAGCTCGAGCTCCTCCTCCACGGCGAGCTCTATATCCAGAACCAGCGGACCATCCGGTTCGAGGAAACCAAATGAGAGCACTGCGCATGCTTCTAGGACTACGATGACCAGTAATCATCCTTCTCAAAGTGCGGTTGCGAAGTCTGCGACGACCACTTTAGCTGCAGCCGCCACCAAGCCGACTACCACCGTCGTTGATCGGACCAAGGCGAAACATTCCCCCACTTCCCATGCCACAAAGCCTAGTACTACGACCACATCGGCTCCTAAACGCACGGGCACATAAGGTCGAACGTGGTGGACACAAATTCTTGATACTACGGTGGACTACACTTGCTTTAAGGAAGTTGGGATTGAAGTATTAGATATAGCTGGACTAGACAGATATAAAACACAGCTGGGTCTGTTTGAAAATTGCTGAGGCCTTCAGATCTCTAAGGCGAGGTCTATAATTGATTGTTCCCCACATATGTATAGCCCTACTCGCCCGCTAGGATGTGTGTATATGCGCGTGGGTGCCTGTGTATATGTATGCTGGAGTATGTCTGCGTGTATGTGCATGCATATGAATGTGCACAACGATCCACCTTACCGCTCAACACATCCGCCCTTTAAAGTTAAGAGATACGAAGTCCTCGCATGATTTCACCTACTCCGTGACAACGAGTCCCTTAGAAATTCAATGCTTTACTTTCCCCGTGAATTTATGTACTAGTATCATTAGCATGCGGTTTTCATTCCAAAATTCCAGCCTCATGTGGATGTAGTGACCCTTTGTCAGGTACGTCTCTAACCGACCCTGAATCAGTTGAGTAGCTCTTTCTCTTCTTCCGCAATGGTTCCACCATCATCAACCTCGTCCCCCACAAAGTCTTTCAGGATTTTGAAGTCTTTTCTGCATCTTCTAGAATTCATCTATCTGTCTAATTTAGGCTCTGAAGATTTTTAGGGATGAAGGCGATTTATGAGCCGTACACAACCTTTAGAAAGATCAATGTAACAACAGGTATTGATCATGTTCTTAACTAGGTGACATCGGCTCTAGTCTTTCATATTTCTTTGAGATCCAGAGGGTGTACTGATCTCAATGCCGTCGGAAATCCCACTGCTCGCAATTTCGTCATCAAAATATCCCTCAGGCTGGTTTCGTGCTAGAAATTCCCAAGTCTTAGGATTTTGGTGGTGACCTTTTGGGAAAATGGCTGGCTTCTCCAAAAATGTGGCCATTAAATAGTATGTCACTGCTGCTGCTGACATGTATAGAACCCAGCCAACCTTGTACATGTTTTTGGCTGCCTGGTTGACAGCAAGCGGTTCGTATGTGCCCACGAGACCTGGCAGGCCTAGACTGACACCCACGCACCATGAAACGACTCCGGCAACGTGGACTCCTGAGGTAAACCAATATAGCTCACATGGGGAGCCATTGTACAAGGACGGAATGTGTATGTTTCCACGTCGCACAATGAAATAGTCCACGATGATGACCTGAAGTATCAGTGTAAGCTATTTGCAGAGAAAATGGGAGATGATGGGAAGATAAGACTCTAGAGAATCCAGCAATCATCGGCCGGCGCTCGAGTTACTTACACCACAGATAGGAGCCATGAAGATATTGTAGCTGCCAAGGAAGGTTATGAATTTCTGAGCTGTGGCCATCAATTCCCATGGAACGAAGCACACGCTGAGGACGGCGCAAAGGATCTGACCCCTTCGGATCGTGAGTACCTTCGGCAGTAGGCCGTTCATGTCCGCTCCGAAAGGTATGGAGTTGGCCCCAACATTCATTCCAAACACGCTGAGAAGGTACGTGAACGACACGAGAAACACGCCCGCTCGCCCCGCAGCCGTCCAATGCCGATCGAGTATCGCCTCATTCAGGTCCTGTCAGGCAATACACGGTCAGCATCATCCACATATTTGAACATTGAGGAGCGTCGCACCCAGATATTCCAGTAAGTCTTTCCCCAGGCACCCTGGATTGAGCTTGTGGCTGCCAGGCCCAGAAACATGACCAGTACTTTGGCAACGAACACTGATACCCCCTGCAATGGCCCTGCATCTCGCGTCGTTCTGCAATACCGTGCAAGGTCGGGTTGATTCACTAGCATAGGGCTTAGTGTCCCGAGCACCGTGTTTATGCCGCTCATGATAGGCCATCCCAAAGGTCCGGTCGCGGGCTCGGATTGGTCATCGATGGTTGATAGACCGGTCCCGTTAGCCATACACCAACCAAACATGCCAAAAGTAGCAATGGGGACAAGCAGGCCTTTCAGGGTAAAGAGGATTTGAATCCTCGATGGGTGCACGAAACACTTTTCGCCATTGTCAGCACCACTAGGTCGTGTCCAACAACGGAGGGATATGTGTCTTACCAAGGGGAACTGAATCAGCCAGACGAGAAAGAAGCACAGAAGCGTTTTGGACGTAATGTGTGCAGAAGCAGGCAGGCCGTTCCCCATCCCTTCCCAGGACGAACCGAATATGCATCGCAGGCAAGTCGACAAGAGGTTGGCGCCGTAGAAAGTCTGGATACCGTAGGCGATAGTTCCAATAACGGCACGAATGAAGATGAAGAAGAAGGAGCCGTACATCCCCATGGAAGATCTAACCAGCACAGGATAACCTATATGATACCGAGCCCCGGGCCGCGCCATCGCTGTAACGACAATGCCAGCGATGGCGGACCCAATTATGCAAGAGACGAAGGCTTGTTGCCATGTCTTAGCGGTTAGTCGTTTCAAAGACTTAAGAGGTTCCAGATCAAGGTAGGCGTACCAATCCCACCGCTATCAATGACGAAGCGACGTTCCACCCGGCAGTACCGAAGGCCGTGGATAACCAGTACAGAGGCAGGTTGTACCTGTTGGCATGATGAGCACCGTACAGCCAGTGGGTATGACTTTTTGAAAATATTCTCACCATGTCCAAGTTCTTTCTTCGTACGGCACTGGCTCAAGATCGCGGTTTGTCCATCGTGAGACGCGCGGTGCCTCTTCCTCACAATTCTCCTGACGATGCAGGGCGCTTCGAATCATAGCCTGCCACTGTTGAAACATACCCACATACGCGCCCTATCTGTGCATTTATGTGCTATTGCGAGTCCGCAACAAGGTTGCGGTTCAGATAAGAAGGGTGTCCTCGAGAGTAAATTATCTGTTGCCTTCACTAAGAAGACACAGCAGACTATTTCTGGTATGTGCTACAGCTATCCGGTCTAGTCGTGGTGCAGTTGCGCCCCATACAGGGTGGCGTCGGCCTTTGAATCAGGCGGTCCGACAGACACGACTCGTATTCCACTACCATCCCAGCCAGTCGGACTCGCGATAAAGAGTCCGTAAACGCTCGCCGGCACTCGCGTCCTCCAGTCCACGACGCAGGGTTGCCAATTAGAAGACCTCAATAGTCTATTCAATCCGAGCCACTAGAAAATGCACAATTTGTCGTTCATTTTGCGATTTAACAGAGGATACTCACTAAAAGTTGGTCAGTAGTAAACCGTCATACGAAGCTATCCATCACTACCTCAGGTTGAATCATGGCCTACGAACCTACTGCTTCCGAGCTTGCTCGTCATACTTTTGATTTTGACGCGGACACCCTCGATAGGGAGCTGGCAACCTTCCTTCAGAGGTTTTACACGCTTTCCGACGACAAGGTTCACGCTGATAGCTGGGCCGCCTGCTTCTCCGACGATTCGCGGATGAAACGGAAGATGGACGACGTGGTCGGTCGACAGAGTGCGTTGCTCCAGATGAGATTCAACCCATATAATACGTTAGATCGACTATGCATAACTGACACCACGAGCACGGCAGACATATTGAATGTAAACCTAGAGTCCTGGAAAGGGCAGGCGGAACGCTTGCACATTGTATACAAGGTGTTCCCGTTTAGTGCAGGCAAGCCTGACGAGATCATGCTATATGGAAAGAGCGAATACGACTACGAAGATGGAACCACTGGTGAGATGCCATGGTCTGCTCGGTTGCACTTCAAGCGGTCCGACAGCGGCATTGCCATTGATTTCTATCAAGTCTACTCCGTGAGCTTTCCAGCAGGCCACACTCACGTTTGTTTTTGGACTAACAGAATATCAGGGTCAACTCCAGAAGCCAAAAGGTTCCTCATAAGCTGAGAAATTGTGTGGAATTCGGTGACACAGATAAATGAAATAAAATCAACCTATCATGGGGCTCCCTCACTGGTTATGAAACGGCCATTCGGGTAATGGACGAAGGTTGTCGATGCAAGAGAAAGTTTTGTCATACGTCCGATCCATGCTGGTGGTATTGAATTGGATCCTCAGAATGTCAGGCGGAATATGTATATTGTATCCACTGCGTCTCCTCGATTGATGGGGCAACGTAGCATGGCCGCGACCCCCTGGCCGTGTCTCGTAGTAAATAGACCAACCTTTTCTGAACCTGAAGTCGCTCGAGCTCCAGAGTGAGTCCAAGCAGTTCTGCGCAGCCGTCCGGCGACAACGTCCACTGTTGTACAGGGTCGCCGTACTCGGTGACTGGGATCTCCTCAGTGAAAAGTCTGAATATGCTTTGGAAAACGTGCGCGGATGCCCATTTGCTGGCGTAATCTACTAGTGTGGCCAAACAAGCGAATATGGCTTGACATACAACCCGTCGATCATACAGGGCGAGTTGCTGATGGGTCGGGGTTGCCCACAAGCAATAGAGGACAATAACACCAGCTTGAAATTGGTGGATCAGCTAGCGTCATATCAGTACATATGGTTCTGCTCGTCCATATGGAAGATTGGGCTTACTGCTGTCCAAGTGTAACATGAGAGATGTTCCTTGACACGAAAACGTCGAAAAGTCACGAGGACCTGGCAAGCTGCCGTTACCAAGTAGCGCGCATCGCCACTCCTTACTGCGAGGTAAGGGTTGGGGAACAGAGAAATGTTTGCGTAGTTGGCCAGCTTTAGTAGCCACGGCTGCGACTTGAATCGATCTGAAATACCTTCACGGTCCGAAAATATCAAGTTGTCCTCGGTCCAGCGGCTCAAATCGTGCCGGATTTGTGAGCGCCATAAATTGGGCACTGGGTGATTATCTCTTTCGGCCTTGGTCTCAAGATTCTGTACCATCTTCAAAATGCGACACTGGATACGTCGAAGTTGAAACATGTGGTCTTCGCGGTCCAGCCTCTTGAGTGGTGTGTCAAGCGACGACCCGTCCCCAGAGGACTCATAGCTCTCCAGCGACTAGAGCATTGTATCAGTCAGTGAAAGAAAAAGTGGGTAAGGACGGAAGCCTACTTCGTCATCCAGGAATCTATCAGCTGACACCGCCTGGTTTGTTGAATTGCTGATCAAAACATCTATAGTATAGCAACACCGAGTTGCCTGCCTTTGGATCTCACTCTCGACGTCGCTCGCGAAATCGTACGGACTATTATTGGACTGTGCCTGCAGTTTGGCAATCGTACACTGTTTGATAGCTTCCGAAGCCCGATCCCGTAGCGTGCTGACTGAGTCCAGGTGCATTGCCTGAACCGTGAGAAGCAGCGAAGATTGCGTTCTAACGAGCGCTGGCCAGCGCTGTGCCTCGCGAGATTCATACTTCTTGAGTGCTCTGTCTTTGAGAAACTGGCGTTCGTGTCAGCACCTACGTACGTGACACACTCGTCGACGAATTACTATACCTTGAATGATTCTAAGTGTTCCGGCGCCGGATCAGAGTTCTGAGCAAGAAGTGCCCCGATGGACAGAACCTGTATCATGGGGTAAGAAAGCGTCTCCAGTCGTGACCACAGTACGCACCATATCTGCAAAAAAGTGAATCCAGGCTGCTCTCGTACTACCGCCTACGGGGTTTTCCCAGCGTCTCCAACAATCGTTCCATTGCTGCTCATGCAGAAATGGCCACATGGGATGTGCATTGAGGAAGTACTCGGACGCGTAGCTGCTGCCGATACTAATAGACAAGTGGCGGCGCGCGAGCGTCGATGATAAAGCGCCTGGTCGTTCGATAAGTGGTTCAGTATATTCGTCGCCGTCTGTGACAAGAAGGCTCTGGGCTGATGTAGACCCCAGTGCTGGGTCGACAAAGCTGTTCATCGAATCGTCTGCCAATTCTGCCATATTGAAGTTGGCTGGCAGCAAACCCCCATCTGTTGGTACCGGCATCCAATCGGTTCCATCTGCGTCTCCAGCGTTCAGGGTTTCTTGATTTATATCGCCGTCTTCGTCTATCGGCAAGCCTGAAAGTATGCTTGCTCGCTGCAGAACGGGGCTTAGGTGATCGAGCGCAAGGCTGGGGTGCGACTGACGCAGGCGCGCCTCAAGCAGGGCAACATGCTCCTCAAGGGCATGCACATAACTATGCGACAAATGAGTATACGGCGAGGACTCGATTCAGATGCCCAGGGTTAAACATGCCTCGCCCGCGGGTCGCGCCCGGCGTTGGACTTTTTTGGTTTCAGAACCTGGCAGTCTAGAATCTCAGCAAACACCACAACGCAGCACAGCATCACGCATACCTGCTCCAGACTTGGCGCACTCACTGCACGCTGGACGTTTCTTATCGCACTACTGCAGATGTCAGCAATGCCGAGTTGGGTCAGTTTGCCACGTTGAGCTGGCTTGCCTTCTTTTTCCTGACTCTGCATCTACGACAGGCGATCTCCCTAGGGGCGGGCGTCCATGGGTTGGTGAACATGTGGCCGGCGTCCTGCACATCTGGCGTCGCCATAATGTTGAGTCTGTTGGTCAGCTATCTTGGGGATGTCGAAATCGAGGGGTAGGGGCTCTGGACCGCATGCTCCAGACAAGACGATAGGAATTATGGGCCCCGGCCTGTTTGTTCTCGTGCTTCACGTGACATGGCATGGCAAGCGCCACTTAAGATAGAAAACCGATTTCCGCCAATACTCGATGTTTCGACCAGTACACAGTTTCTTCTAAATGGCTTAAGACTTGTTCATCATTTCGTGCTCGAAAGAAGTGCAGAATCTCCACATCAATTGCTATCCAGGCTTGGCGAGGTGTTGATGCCCCGCGGTCGCTTACCAACTGGACGGTACCGGTACCGTATAACATCGAGTCAGTCGTCCCTTAGCTGCCATCTCACCCAGGTCTGCAAACACATACCCACTGATGCGTGCGGAGACCGTTCTCAACGAATTGGGTTGACAATTGCTGGCTGCCATGCTTTTTCGTATCCTGCTATTGTGTGACAGCATGTATACGAGGAAGCTTAGGGTTTGATACCAGCAGAGTTGCATGGATCATCGCACTGCACGATACTTCTCACTTGTTTACGTGCTTGGAAATGATAATGCGGCACAAACCCGAGGGAGGCATCGAGCCCATTAGCCTGCGCATATTCGATCCACAGTGTAGGCGGCGGACAAGTCGGACATCTCCAAAGAAGGAAAAGGGCTAAGCCTCGACCAATAGCAGGCCAGCCCATACCATCACCACACTTATACCCACGTTCACAAGCAGTCGAGCGGTCCTGAGGACATCCATGAGCGAGATATTGTCACAACAAATTCTGCTCCTACAGAAGAACACTCATGAATAATGTGTGAAATATAAGACAAGTCCAATTGCACTGCAATTGCGGATCCGTTTTTGCGTCACACAATGACTATCAACACAAGCCCTCGCCTCATTCGGCTCGCCGTCTTCGAATGCCTCGAACTGGCGAACAACATTGCACAGTCCAGGGGACAATTCAGAGACATATTTGCGACTTGGCTGCACAATGCCTCTGTTAGTTATAACACTGGCCGTCCACCTTTGGAGCACGTACGGATCGATACTGCGGCCTGGAACGTCGTGCAGGGCCATTATCCACCTACGCTAGACGAGATCGACGCCATCGTCGTGTCCGGCTCAACCGCATCTGCCTACGATCAATGTCCTTGGATCATCAGGCTAGGGGAATATCTAAAGAGTAAGTGCAACAACCAGGACAGCTGTTGAGCCTTATACGAAAAGCTGACAACCTGACAAGATGTGTATACGCACAACCAACACGTTAGACTCTTTGGCGGATGTTTCGGGCACCAGCTGATAATTCAGACCTTGCTTGAAGACAGCGGTGCGTTCGTTGAAAAGTCGCCAAACGGATGGGAGATTGGAGTCCACCAGGTGGCGTTGAATCCCAAGTTCACGGCACATTTTCCGATGTTGCGGGGCGTCTCGCAGATATCTTGCCAATTCTTGCATGCTGATCACGCAGTACTTCGCGACGCACGTCTCACGGATGGATGGGTGTGCGTAGGAGCGAGTCGTTTGTGTGACGTTCAGGGAGTGTATAAGCCTGGAAAGGTCCTGACTTTTCAGGGCCACCCTGAATTCGATGCTTTTCTGAATGAGCAAGGCATCAGAAACCTAGAGAGGAATGCAGTCCTTAGCAGAGCGCAAGTTGACGACAATTTGAAGCAGATCTACCAAGAAGACGATGCGATCTTGCATGGCGAAGTCTTGATTGACTTCATAGTTAGAGCTTGAGTGGTAGTGATGTGGATTGTAAATAAGAGTAATTCGTAATTAGATACTGAAAAGCAACTCACGGAACATTCACCGATCTCTTGTTACTCTATCACAACTTTCAATGTCGGTCCTATGCTGTACGAATCCATAATGGGTCCCAGAGTCCCAGTCCGAACAATTCGTCTATAGCTGGGGTGCGTTGCTGGGACTTGCTGGGACCCTGGGTGCATTGCCTTGCCTTGCCATCAGCAGGGATTGGCCAGATAAATTGACTGGGGGGCCTGACTACTATCGCAGACTTTCCCTTATTTGGCGCGTTCTATTGGTCAGGCTCATTCCTCATGCTGGCGGACTTTTTCTCGACCAGAGTCCGCTGCGCGGACGTCACTGCAACTCGCACCGCCAATCTAGACTCACAGACTCGACATGGTGTGCACGCACCCATCAGGCTGGTACGACAACAGGCTCGGGCGGGTTGATATAGGATTCGAGGCCGCAGCTTTGGGGGTGTTATCGCGATCCCATCTGTCGTCCTCGACTCGGTGCACCAACTGCTGCAACAACCATTGCCAAGTAAAACATGTCGAAGAACGAACAACATAAGGGCTATGCCGCCAGTGTCGATGCCAGTACCTCGAAGAAGAGCGTCAAAGCCGTCCAAGACCTCGAGACGAGTACCGTCTCGGTCCCCGTTGAAACCGTACCATATGAGCAGTCGGAAGAGAAATCACTCGTTCGAAAAGTCGACTGTCGCATTATGCCGTATTTGTGGGGATACGCCGTCTTGTCCGCTGTCGATGTAAGAAATAAGTCTTGAAAACCAACAACGGGGATATCAAACTGATATTGGCTCCAAGAAAATTATAATCTCCAATGCGGCACTCTATGGCATGAAAGACGACACTCATCTTACTGGGCAGCAGTATAGCTGGGGTCAGTTGCCATTGTTAATTTCTGATTAGTACCATCTGCTAACTTAACATTTTGCAGTGGGCTCGATCTTCTACTTTGGTTATCTTGTTGCCGAGTTTCCGCTTGTTGCTTTGATGGGACGCTTCCCTATAGCCAAGTTTCTCGCAGTTATGGCTATGGGATGGGCTTTGATGACTATCCTAATGGCCACATGCCAGAATCATCAAGGCCTTATGGCTCTGCGATTTTTCATGGGTATGATGGAAGCGCCAGCACTTCCAGGCTTGACATTGATGACGACCATGTGGTAAGTCCTGACGCTTGCCAATCCCAGCCACCCAGATCTGTGTTTCGTTTTGATTGATCCTTGGTTATTACTAGGTATACCAAGAAGGAGCAGCCTCTTCGAGTCGCGCTTTGGAGCTCTACTGTGGCTTCTGTAAGTTTTTCCGTTGGAAGTCTACAAGCTCAGCTGATCGGTGCCTAGGTCTATGTCGGACTTGTTTCTTACGGAATCGGCAATGCCTCGAACTTGTCAATCGCCAATTGGCGATTGCTCTTCATCTGCCTTGGAGCTATCTCCATCTTCTTTGCCGTGATGATGTTCATCTTTTGCCCGGATCGGCCAGAAGCCGGACATTTTCTCTCTCAGCGGGAAGCCCTTGTTGCCATTGAACGGAAACGATCCGACAATACTGGAATCGAGAACAAGGTTGGCATCTTTGCCAGGCTCCACCTTTCGACGCTTGCGCTAACGCAGTGCAGAAACTCAAGTTTTACCAGGTTCGTGAGGCTCTGATGGACTGGAAATCCTGGGCCATCGCCCTGTTCTTCCTGTGCATGAACGTCAGTAATGGCGGTCTGAATACTTTCTCCGCGCAAATCGTGTCGGGATTCGGCTTCAGCAAACTTAACACTGTCTTGATTGGCATGCCCACTGGAGTGATTCAAGCAGTGACAAGCATACTTGCCACTATCCCGCCCCGTTACTTCAAAAACACGCGCTGTCTATCCGCCGCTGCATGCTGTGTTGTCCCGTTAGTATGCTCGATAGTGATCCGGAGACTACCGTCAAGCGACAAAACGGGACTTCTGATTGCGTACTACTTCTTCTACTTCTTTTGGGGTCCCTATGCTGTCGCGCTGTCGCTGCCGATGGCGAATACCTCTGGGCATTCGAAGAAGCTGACTGTTAACGCCATGATCTTTCTCTCCTACTGCGTGGCCAATATTATCGCCCCACAAACGTTCCAGTCGTCCGAGGCCCCGCATTACCAGAGTGGCTACAACTCCATTGCCGGCTTCGAAAGCGCCGCCATCGCTATCATGCTTGTGTATATCATCGGCGTTAAGTTGGAGAATCACAGGCGTCAAAAGCTTCATGGAGCAGTTGTCGAGGGAGATGTTGATCCAACACTCAGCTTTGACGATTTGACAGACTGGGAGAAGCCTAACTTCAGATATGTGTGTTAAGAATCCGGGTGGTTCGCTTCGGCTCGGCACTTTTGTTTGTTGCTGATATTCATGCAAGGCAACGAAGTCCTTCCCTCATATAGCTACTATTTTACTCTGTTATAATCAACCTTTTCCTATACTACTCTCACCACCAAAGATGGGAAAATCAATAAACTTCATGGGGCCTCGGTTTCGCATGTTTCATAACTAGATTTAGCACTTGGAAATTGGTGATGTTTTGGTCACGGAGTGAAGAAGACAGCAGGATAGGCGGACCATAGTAGTTGGAGTAGCTATGCAACAACTGCTTCCTGACTTCTTACTGCTTTGTTCTCGCCCTCCCTTCATGATTACGCAGACGCAGCTTCTGCGCCTTTCAAAACCTCCCGAAACTATCATCCTCAGCTGGTCCTCCTGGTTTTCTCAATTGCTGCAGCTTTATAGCAGCTTATGCGTTGCTGTGTCATAACTATACAGACAATGACCGCAATCGGCGTACTTGGTGATAAGCGAGCATGAGTGCTGCGGGGTGCTATACAACTACTAGACGATATCCGGCTTATGTGTTTTCAATCTTTACGTTGTTTTCGCGCTGGGGAGCAAAGACTACCTCCTCATCGCGCGGTGGAATCTGTCTACTAGAGTCCTAACCATCTGTTAGTCTCCCCATTCAGTGACCATGACAGAAGCTAGCCGAACAATGCGATGCTGGTCCCACAATAATGTAACAACATTTATGCTATGTTGGCTCTTGCACCATGCATGTCCAACGGTGCTGTACGTCGATTTGCATCCCACTTATTAAGGTGCGGATCATTAAAACCACGTGGCTTTTGAGCTGACAGACATTTATAGAATCACAAGAGCATCAATGCCATTTTCAAGAAGGGGAGTATATCCAATTGGCAATTAATTCAGAACCAATTTTAATTATGACAGCGCACCCGCTCCTCTCATCAAAACTCGTCTTCTCTTTGCAACAAAAGATCAATCTTTTTCGTGAGGGTCAACGAAAATTCTTTACCTCTGGGTCTAACGTGCCTTTCTCAACTTCCGAGACGTTATCTCTGCCTGCTTGTGATTGCACAGCTTCGCCGTCAATGAGACCGTCATACTGCGGAGCTTGCTGTTCGAAGGCGAGGAGCTTGTCAATGTGCGGATCTGGGAACACCAGGAACAGGACATAGTAAACCACCCCGGATACAGCAATACTGAGCAGATAGCCCAAGTTCCACATGTGTCTTGCCCCGTCCCCAATGAGTGTGGTACCGAAGCTGTCAATAAATCCGGGAAATGGGAGAACGATGCCTAAAGTCCAAGCCACAATCATGCGAATGTTCCAGCCCTTGGTGTACCAATATTGGGAGTCTGCATTGCCGATATATAGATGAGGAATGTTCAAGTTGCCTTTGCGCACGAAGAAGTAATCGACGATGCATATGGAAGCGAAAGGACCCATGAGAATCGAATATCCAGACAAGAATGTTAAGAGCGATTTGGCGCTTGATATGATTTTCCATGGGACAATTGGGAATACCAGGAGAGAACATAGAACTTGTCCCCGCCGAATGGTGATCCATCGGGGCAGCAATCCAGCGATGTCTGAGCCGAATGGCAGGGAGTTAGCTGCCACATTTGTCCCGAGAATGGCGATAGCAAATGAAAACGAGGCAAGAAACACGAGGCCCCGCGAGGCTGGTGACATCTCGTAATGGTCCAAAGCAGCCGACAGGACATCCCATAGATTCCAGTACTGTTTTCCCCAGACATTAGAGGTCGCCGATGCCACTAGAAGGCCAAAGAGGGCTGGTAGAGCGCTGAACACCGGATAGGTGATCAACTGAGACCAAGTTTGATCGCTGGGCTTTCGTGCCCATCTAGCGATGTCTGCCTGTGCTACGATGAGTGCAGAGCAGCCGCCGAAGCCCGAGTTGAGTGCCGACATCCACAACCAACCATAGTACACTGGGTCCGAGATTTTGGGCGAGGTTTGAAAGGACGGGCCGACAGAACCTCCATTGAGGACAATGGCCCAGATCAAGACGGCAAAACATGCGGGTCCTACCATGCATGACTTTGCGACAAAGTACCAGTTGAGATTCTTCGGATCTGTCGAGTAGCGTTCAGTCAGTAAGATTGCCTCATGGGAAGAGAGCATGGACAAGGTGTTGGCACACGTATAAAGACGAAGGGCATGGACAGCACCCAGAAAATGGCCATGGCACCAAGCAATTGTGTAGTCGTGCCGGCGTTGCTCGGCAGGTAGTTTGGCACATCGTTCCAAGACGGCCAGATGCATCTTATGCAGATGGACACAAAATTGGATCCATAGTACGCGTTCACCGCATACCATATTGCCGCCTGCGTAACGGGTTAGTTTCAATCGCCTCGGCAAGACCCATGCCATGGACTTACAACAATGCATCGAGAAACAATGGCAAAATAGCTACCCCACATGCCAAAGCTCGCCCTGGCGTACACTGGAAAGCCGATATGATATGCCGCTGGCCCACGGCCGTTGGCCACAAGAAGCACTGCACCAATGATGTGGGAGACGACGAGCGCCAGCCACGCAGCGTACCACGGCATACCAAGAGCGATCATCGCACTACCAGTCGTCCACGTGCCAGTGGCAAACGAAGACGCCAGCCAGAAGCTGGTGTAGTGAATCCAGGTCCATGTCCGAAAGGCCGGCTTTGTAGGGTCCAGGTCGGAGTTAGACCACACCGGCTTGCTCTTGTCATGTTCTACGGCTGCCCAAGTGCTATGGGGATTCTGCGGCGCCTCAAACTTGTTCACCACATCCTGCCATGAGAGGTCTGTGAATCTGCTAATCAGGCGCATGGTGTTTTATAGATAGGAGACGTATCCCTCGAAAGTGAAGATCACGCAACTTGTCGTTGCGGTTGATAACAGACATTTCGTTGTATTGGAGCGGATCCTACTTGCCTATATACCTCGTAGGAGTTGAATGACACTGCTTTGAAATCTGCTGTCGGCAACCCGGAAACCCATAGCACACAGAACCAGTCTAGGACCTAGGATAGCACGTATTCTCGTCGGACAGGTGGGCAATGTCCGACAACCCTAGCATGAGGCGGGGCCCCACATGTCATGCTGCCAGGGTGAGAACAGGGGCTGGGCACTGATAGTGACGGAAGCCGTCGCTGTTGAGCGTGGAATGCGGCTGCTAGAAGCCTGGATTTGGCGCTTTGACACTCTCTGTGAGACAGTGCTGACCTCTTGGGCTTTACAGTCAAGACCACTTTTTTCTTTTATTCGGATTTTCTTTTTCAATGAAGCTTCAGGGTGGGGTCTGAACAAGCCTTGTTCCAATTCGAGATGGCATCTGACCTTGCACATGGAATGGAAATCTTATACAGGTAGCTATGATTCGAGTGCCTCAGCCGAGGAGATCTGGTTTGGACAAGTGAATGAGAACTTCCCGTAGCCGCTGAATCCCCTCCTCCAAAGCAAGTTCCTCGTGCCACGCCCAGCATAATCGTGCACCGGAAAGATATTGACCTGGAGAAGCTTGCCTACCTGAATCTTCGCCCATCACCGTGAACAAATTCCCTGGAGCAATTCTCAAGTTGTATTCGTCGAGTGCGAATTTGGCTATCTCATCAGCAGGCGGTAACGATCCATCTTGTGGAAAAGTGATGTATAGGAAGAAGCCCCCGGCCGTATCTGCTGACGCTCCAGTCGGTTCCTGGGGATCTACCATGATTTGGACACCAAGTGGAATTAACAGTCGCCGGATGGAATCAACCATGACTTTGTAGCGATGAGAGTAGGTTGGAATCAGCACAGTCTCAAGGTGTGCCGTCACGGCGCCGTTGCTCAGCATTTGGTTCAGTACCAGCGATGACAAATGGCTCTGGCAACCTCCAGACACGGTGGCTCCCCTTTATCCCCCAATGTTAGCGGGGAAAAATATCATAAGTCTTCAAGAGCAGTACAGACTTACACAGTTCCCATCGCTTGAACAAATGCTGGCGTAGACTCTAGCCATCCTACACGTACCCCTGGTGCGACTATCTTGGAAAATGAGCCGTTGCTAACAGCGTTTCCAAACTCATTTGTCCCTTCAAGCGACCGGTCAACGTCAACCATGCGAGGCATAGAGGATTCTCTGCTCCGATTTCCGCTCTGCTGAGTGGGCCAGTGAAGCAGGTCGTACACATCGTCTGTGATGACTAGTACGTCATATTGCCGGGCCAAGCGGATCAACCTCTCTCGCTGTGGCAGAGACATGGTACGCCCACTAGGGTTTGAAAAGGTGGGAACCATGTAGAGAACATGGCGATAAGTCTTTGGGTATCCATTCTTAGGGGTTTTCAAGTGCGATCTCAGCGGCAGAGACTCGTTGCAGGAAGCGCTCTTCAGAGCACTCTCAAAGTACTCCAGGTCGATGCCATCAGATCCCTCCGGCACGCCTCGGATGCAGCCCTCGAAACCTGCGTCGCGGAAAACCGGATAGGCCAAGAAATACGTCGGCTCTACCATCCATACGTTCCTCGTCATACTGACATCTGCAAATTTCTGCAAGATCATGACGAGCCCGTTAGATGCTCCATTAGTAACGAAGATTCTGTCGCCGCCGATCAAACCAGCTTGCGGACGATATGATGAGGAGAGCCATTTCCCTAAGTTTGATCTCAAGGACTGATCACCGTGCTCAGGTCCGTACTTTAGAAGCTCGTTGATGTCGTTGCGAGCAAATAGTTCCAACGTGGCCGATTTCATTGCCTCCACAGGGTGCAGTCGTGGTGTTGGCCATCCGCCCTGCAGATTGATGGGTTCTCTACAGATGGGCGATTTAGAAATCATGTTGGTTGACACTTAGCCGGGTCATATGGGTAGGCAAGTGGGCAAGGAGTGAAAATCAAGGATCGTCGTTTATTCTTACAAGGGAAGGACTGATATACTACAATTGAGTTCAAAGAGTCGTCTTCAAGAGGTTCAAATTCCTTCAAAATGAATTGAATACATAATCCAATCTACTCAATGCAAGCCCCTGTGATCGGCCACCAGCGGACTCGCGAGGGAAGTGTCCGACGGCCGTCGAGTCCGGCCGCAATTCCGAAGTCCCCAGTAATGGGCGCACACCTCCGTGTGGGACACCCAGGTCCCAATCGCGGCTTATCTTGGAAACCATCCAGACATGACTCTGGCAAGCAAGCAACACACACACAAATCAACACCAACATGCCCAAACGCGCATCCTATTCGAATACGTGACCCAGCCAACAATATACTTAATAATATTATAACTCAAAAAATAATATTTGTTCAAAAGTTTCTCATTAGCTTCCAATGGAATTTAGTGTCGTAGTATATGTATGTTATTAGCGCGATTTTGGAACGCAATTCAGAGTAGCAGGGGTTACGGACTTGAGGTTGCGAGTCCGACAAGCTTGACTCAAGTGGCGTGGCCACTGATTGCTAGTCGCTGGTCCTCCATAACTCCTAGGACATTACCTTTATACTACTTCCTGGAAAAAATCATCAAGGGGCGTCTCCTCTTTGATGCTTCTTTATTGAGTCATATTGAACCCCAAAATTGACTGGGCTTTGCTTCTTTGATCCGTAATGGCTCCAAAGGCACTCTGTTGTATTTCTGTCGATATAGACGCCGTATGCGGGTGGATAGGGTCATACGGTGGTGAAGAGTCTGTATCAGACATCTCCAGAGGTAGTTACTGCCATTGGGTGCTTTAGGGGTGCGCGATGCTGACATGCATAGGGTACTTCGCTGGCACAGTGGGCGTACGCCGTCTTCTGAAGCTTTTTGACAAGTACAATATTAAGACCACTTGGTTCATTCCTGGCCACTCACTAGAGACATTCCCTGAGGAATGTGCCATGATTCGTGATGCAGGCCATGAGATTGGCCTGCATGGCTATTCGCACGAGAACCCGAGGGACATGACCATCGAGCAACAGGAGATCGTGCTTGATAAGACTTATAAGATGATCACTGAATTCTGTGGAAAGCCACCGCGAGGCTCAGTGGTCCCATGGTGGGAGACTTCGAAAGAAGGCGCCGACTTGATGCTGAAGTACGGTAAGTAGTCACGCCACTGCTTTCTGGGGGAAAGCATAGTTGATAATAGTGCTAGGGCTGGAGTATGATCATTCCTTCTCACATCACGATGCCTTGCCCCACTGGCTGCGCGTTGGAGATTCGTGGACGAATATCGACTACAAGAACCACCCAGACACGTGGATGAAGCCGCTGGTCCGTGGGGAAACCACAGGTCTTGTTGAAATCCCTGCAAGTTGGTACCTCGACGATCTTCCACCCATGGTATGTCCAGTTGCTATGCGTCTAGAGGTTTCGTTAGCATGCTAAGCTCGTCCAGATGTTCATTAAGAACATGACCAACTCGCACGGCTGGGTTCACCCCAGCGTTGTTGAGGATCTCTGGAAAGACCACTTTGATTACTTTTACGAAACCTATGAAAATTTCTGTTTTCCTGTAACAATACACCCTGACGTATCTGGACATCCCCACGCCCTGAAGATGGTAGAAAGGTGAGTAAACTAAGTTCTGGAGCCATCAAGGTGGAAACTGACCGGACCGTATCCCCAGAGTTGTTCAATACGTTAGCAAACATGAGGGCGTGGAGTGGGTTAAGATGGAAGATATATGCGACGAGTTCAAGTCACGCAATGCACCACCTGAAGGAGCGAGAATGCCAGCGGATAAGGGAGCCATGTTGATCTAAGCTGGCACACGTTTGTCGACTGTAATCTAGTATGAGGGTCCCCGAATCTGGACCACAACGCAGGTGAGAAAAGGTTACATCCACTCCCAAGGAAGGCTTAATGGCCGAATATGATTTACTAAGCGGTGCTCTATGTCCTTAGTTTCACCAGGTCGGAAGCTGGACACGTCAGGCTTGTAGTATGAGCAATTACAACAAAATAACGGCTACTAATGGAACACCAGGGGCTGTTGCATGACTGATAGTTTTGCGGTACATCGGAACGAAACTATAGCAAATAGCTGGGGTTTGGATTTGGGCAGGAATCTACATTAAAGAGTCCAACCAAGAAAAAAAAACAAGCCCTACTCTCCGGAGGCATAGTTGCCTAATGCGCATCTCAAGCCCTCAAAATGTCCTCGCTTCGGAGGACTCTGCCCTGAAAATCGGTCCTCATCCCTGACATCGTCCTCGAGGCGTCGTGATACTCATCCATCTCGTCCTGAGTCAATCCGGCCGCCTCCATGCCAAACATCACATCGATAGACGCCAGCCCGAAGTCCATCCATACCGGGGACCAGAGGCGGCTGTGGAACAAGTCGCCAGACTCAACCTTGGCACGGGCCGTCTTCGCCCACGCATCACCGCCCTGGGGCACCCATGCCATGGGCATGGGTGGTTTGGTCTGGAAGCAGCGGTAGGCGTACTGTCGCTGCGTTTTAAGGGCGTGGTAGTACCTTTCAGCCTCTTCCATGGCTTTGTCGGTGAGTTCAAGTTTCCAGTTCTCGGGCTTGTCGGGCACGCCTGACAGCAGTGGTGGGTAGACGATGTCTTGTGGACAGTTGGGATGGTCCTGCCTGGTCTTTTCCCAATGCTGCTTGAGAGCGGCCGCACGAGAGGCAATTTTTTGGGCATTGTTCTCCGAAAAGCTTTTTTCGTTCGCTAGGCGGCGGAAGGCGGGTTCAAAAGAGGTGTACTCCAAGACAGACTTCGTGATGTCGTCGCGGCTCTCGAGCGAGAGCAAAAGTTTGGAGATACAGCTGATGTCTCCACTACCGTCGTCCGGGACGTTGAACGTTGTCAAAAGAAGCATGATATAGCCAACTGTATCGATATCAGCACGCTTTCACGAGCCAGTAGAACGGAGTGTAGGAACCTTCTTTGACTGCATTTTCTAGATGCGTAGGAGGAGGGCCATAACTTATCGGGAGTCGTGGCCAATAATCCTCGGTGCCGGCGTCGTCTGTATCTGCGGCTTCGGATCCGACCAAGTCGCCGAGGTCGCGTCGGCCGCCCAAAGGGGAGTCAGCAACGTACTGCGGAGTGCCAGTCATTTTCAAGTGTGCTTTTTTTATGAATGGTATTCCCATGTTCTTCAGAGTTTGAAGGGAAAACACGAGCATTTATCATATTTCGAAGCGCATCAAATTGGTCCCAAAGCGGATAGTGCCCAGGCGCCCTTTGTGTTAGTGCAATCTGCCTAAATCCCGCCAGGCAGAACCCCCATGCCAAGGGACAGTCGCTAACCTAGGAAGACGGCTGTGAAAACAAACAAAAGTTACGTGAACTTAGGCTTACTTGAGCCATGTATTCATGCAATTCTTAATGTCCTCCTTTAACACTTCACCATTCATTGGTGGCTTCCACGTTCAGCTCTCAGTCATTGCCATACCGTGACCTCGTTGGCTCAATGGTTAAGGCTGGTTCTTAGAGAGAACTACTGCGATGGAGAATGAATTCTTATGGGACGTGATTAATCAATCGTATGGTATCGACTACGTCGATGATTTAGATTCATTAAGTTTCATACTTTGATGCTATTGGCTTGTTTTAAAACCAAAATAAGATCCAAGCAGTTCGCACTGACACTATGAATTAACTATCTGGGGGCACGGCCATTGTAATCATGGCCAGCCTCCGCGGTGTAGTTGCCAAAGCAATCGTAATCATAGTCGATCTCATCGATGCGCTTCTGCAGGACAGAGACGACGTTGTCAAAAGAGCAGAGGCCATCCGCATCGTACTCACAGCCGGGGTATGTGCCGTTGACAGGGACGACAGCATCATTCCTAGTCTTGCGTGTCAGTGCTTATTCTCAATACAATGCCTACAGCTTGGCAGGGATACTCACACAATGAAACGGATCTGCTTCGTAGGCTGGTAAGCCGGGCACTCGAGCACCTGCACAGTAAAGTGCGTAGCAAACGGCACGACCTTGCTCGCCACGAAAACATTCTGCCCGCGGTTCCCTGTCGGAGACAAAGGCTCGCCCTGGAACAAGGCGGACAAGTTGAACGCGGTCAGCGCATCGAGGACGACAACCTCGTGTGTCGCATCGGCATAAATGGACTGGTTGAGCGGGAAGTAAGTCGGGTTGTCGTCGAATGTCTCGTTAAGGGCCGACTCGGGCGTTGGGTAGCTCCCGGTGAAGCGGGCGACGAATTCCTGGAGATAGCCCTTGCCCTGGGCAGCTGAGACCGGGGAGCCTGGGCCATTTGAGTAGTAAAATGACAGATCATAGTAGTACTCGTAGTTGAGATAATCTTCTTGTGAGAAGAGACCACAGAAGGCCGAATAACCCAGAGCGTTCGTCTCATACGAACAAAGCTGAAGCATTGTGATGATATCTGAGGGAGTGAAGGTGATGCCAGTGACCTGTGAGTTCAGGCGAGCCAGAGTAGCGTTGAACGCATTGTTTGCAAATTTGGCCGCCACTGTACTACCGATTGATCCTCTGCTGGAAACGTCGGCGTTGGTGCAAGTCTCGTAGGGCGCACCGGAGTTGTTTAGACCAGACGTCTCAACAAGAATCTCGATGTTAACCTGGTCCAAATACTCGGGCACACCAAAGAACCCAGCGGCGAAGTTGTTGGCAGTCTTGACCATGCGGTCCTGGGATTGGGTCCGGAAGACCGGGATGGTGCCCTGCTCGGTGAAGTTGTTGAGCAGCGACCCATAGAGTTGGCGGTACTCGATACCCAGGAGGAAATTCTGGCTCCTGCCGAACGGCGTCAACAGCTCAGCGCCCAGCTTATAAGTCCAATCGGCCAGGAAGCTCAAATCTCCGGATGCACTGAAGCCAGTCTTGGTGGCGTTGTGGATCTTCTGAGCAAACTGTGCGGGGGCAGCCCCGCTGGTGGGATACCGAGCACCATGTCGGTAGAGCAGATGAACCTGGACTATGTCGCAGCCATCGGGGATCAGAGGGCTAGCATCTGGAAGTCCGTAATCTGCGGATGAGACTGAATACCAGGGAGACAAGTTGCCCCAGTACTTCTTGATGTCGAACGTCGACGATTCAGATTCGCCGTGCGGCACGGGGGCGACGAGGGGAAACTGGTTTGCCGGCCCGTCGTTGTAAGGGTAAGACGGCGCAGTTTCCGCAGCTGCGGGCTCAACACCTGTAATTGTCGTGCCAGGGTAACCGACGACAGGCTCACCAGGGAAGAGCTCAGTGTTTGCGGACGCTATTGGAAAGGCATTGTTAGAGCTGGTGTGGCACTCAGTGCTTTGCAGGCACACATCGGATGAACATCGGACGAGGATCGGACGAGCGCTTACTGGCTGAAGGAGGGTACTTGTCCGATGTGGTAGAGCCGGCCTCTGGTGAGTTGGTGACAGGGCTCGCATGGCCGAAGGCCACAAAGAGCGCAACACATAGGAGGCGAATATTATGCATCTTCTATTATGTTATTGACCGGCACGTTGGATGAGCAGTACACGAAGATGAAGTGCCGTGAGGAGGAGAGGCCCAGGAAGCTTGTTTATTCTTGGCAAACTGCAGTGTTTATATAACACCACATCCCAGTTCACAATATCCTTACCGAACTTCCGGAAATGAGATGGATCTGAGTCTAGGATGCAACAGCTCGGTGCCCGGTGTGGCCATTGGCCTATCAACAGCGTCGTTTGCTGCATGTGCCAAGCGGAAATCGGATTTAATGCCATGGGTCCCTCGACTGACGTAGTAAATGACTGCTAGCGTCAATGTCGACGCGCCTCCTCATGGCCTTTTCCAGTCAACTTATGGCTTACCGGGTCCTTGGGTCAGGCCTTGTCGAATAATTGCAACTTATTTTGCACAAAGTGACCACGTGCCGGGTTGCCGACTCCAGGGGGACGGCCGGTGCCTGTCGGTGTCGACGTAAGGCATCCGTAGCTCCCGCCTAGAACCTTAATGGCTGCTAGGAGATGCTACCATCTCTAGACTAGGCCACGATACCGGTGCATCCAAGTATAGGCTGAACATTAAAGCTCGATCCACTGCCTTACATCAAGACCGCATGACGCACGAAGAAGAATCACGATGATTGCGCAGTCGAGGTAGCGACATGACATTGGCTTGTTACTTACGGCTGTGCACAGAATCAAGTGCGGATCAACCTCTGAACTGACTCGCAGACTCATCAAACTCCTGTTGGTAGCATTTTATGCATCTACAGACAAGGTCCAGTCCGTGTGGTGAATGAAGGCTACTTTGGAAGATATGAAATGCGGTTCATGATGGCACTCAATTGCCTCGCAGGCTCTCATCCGATGAGATCAGGTGTCTAAGTATATATTTGTGCCCTTCTGCATCCTGTAAAGACGCTTCGCCTCGATGACACCTGTCCCGCCCCTCATCAGCCATCCCAGTCCCTAAAGCGTCTAAGAGCATCGAAGTCCTTCTGAGAATATAACTCCATCACGTCTCCGAAACTTCCATCAGGTATGAATATCTTCCGCTGTGTGCCATCATCGTCATATGCCAGGAAGTTAGGATCCTGACACGCTCTCTGTGTCGAATTATTGGCATCCGCAGGAGGCCTGGGGGTACCATCGTGCCTGTGGTTGATAACGTTAGCATTTATTTTTCCCTAGAAACGATGCCGAATTCAACTAGGAGAGGTAGGGATGTGCGAATCATGTCTTGGCAGCGTTTGTCGATGACATTAGTTTGACTTACCAATACGCTGAGCAGCTGCTGTCATCGTGAAACCCTTCAGGGAATGGTATGCAGCAAACGCCGTGCGCGATGCAACGGTTGTAGTTGTGGAGGTCGTCATTGATCTCGCATTTGCTTCCCACAGTGAAGTAGATGGTACGGGCGTCCGTGTTCATGTTTGCCAGGAGGGCGATCCCGCAGAATGGATGGTGGGAGGAGCAGCAGGCCTCTGGGGCGAGATTGCCGCAGCCGATATGCTATGGGAATATCCAGGATTAACACGAAGGACTTCTGGAACTGGCGACTGATTGTAACTTACGTCCGCCTTGCTCTGGCAGTCCCAGTTGGCATTGTAGAACACCATGGCGTTGTCTTTAGCTGAGGCCATGCCCAGGAGGGCAAACAGCACAATGAGGAGGTATGCCACAGGCTTCATATCGGGTAGTCAGTCAAAAGAATAGAAGCTGAGGCTTGGATGGTCAAAGATTTCTACCCAGAGACTGAGGGCTGTGTTGATATTTCTGACAAGAGAGATCTAGCAGCGATGGTCCAAATTTATATTGTGTTACTGCAAGATTGATGGAGGATTGAATTTGCAGCCTAAGCAGTGAAGCCACACACATGTCAATAGATACGGGTGAAAGTGAATAAAGAATAGTCTGTGATTCACAAGTACCTCCCATCCAAATATAACCACGTCGCCGTTATGACTGAGCCCCCAACGACATCAAATGCACTTAAGTCACGGAATTAAGTCGAACACCATCTCATCTCTCTCTCTACCATTTAGACCCCTCAGCGCATTCTGTCTACCAAACACTCAGACACTCCGTCTCAAATGACCCCTTATCCCAGCCATCAGCCCAAATACGCACCCCTCTGCAACCCCATCCACAAAAGCCCGCCCCCAGCCGTAATAAACGGGAACGACGCCTCCCGCAGCCTGACCGTGCCATACACGCCCAGCTCCGTCACATACAGGAACAGCACGCCGGCAAACGTGCACATGGCCAGGTCGTACACGGGGCCATTGGTGATGTGGTACGCGGCGTAGGCGCGGATGAGCCCCGTGTAGATATTCTTGGTGCCGCTGGTATGCGTCAGTGAAATGCTACGGAACCCGAAAACGATTCATCATAATAGATTCTAATAAAATGCGGATGCGTAGCGAGAGAAGGGCTATACGTACTAGACGCGGGCGAGCAGGCCGCTGCGCTGGAGTGTGGCCTGGGGCCCGCTGAAGGCGCGGAGCGAGGTGGTGGGCGGCTTGAGGTAGCAAAATAGGCTGTGGATCATGGCGGATGCGCTTGTCTGTGGTTGCCGTGAGCTTCTTCTTCTATCCAACGCGAACAAATGGTCCTTCTTTGCGGGTGTGGTACGGGTGAAGGAGGGAGCTCGCCAACCCTCTGTTCGCAGGGGTTCAAAGGCTAGGCGGACTCACGTAAAGCAGGAAATAGCTAAGATAGCCATCGTTCTGTGGTAGATAAGCAGCCATTTCGGGCAGATTGACTTGTCCAGACCCCTATGAGATGGCGTTGACGAGCGAGTCTCGTAGTGGTGTCGTGGGTGAGTGAGTTTAAGAGACAAGTCGAGAAATCAGAGATGCCGTTCAGATCGCCCAGCCGGCATTCAATGTTAGCGCAGCACGCAGGCTGCCAACGTGCGGCGCAGCACGCGTACAAAGCAGCCAACCGGATGAAACACAGTTCAAAGGCCCTTGTAGCCGTCTGGTATGTTGGCTGGAGGAAGTGGACCCAAAGGGCACCGATCGGAGTTGTCAAGGTCAGCTGGTGGTGTCAAAACTTCATTTGGACACCAGAGATGCGACATGGGGAAGCCGGAGCTTGAGTAAACAAGCCGCCGCTTTATGATAGCCGCAGTTCCCATACCCGAACACATCAAGACCTCAGAGATCAGATCAAATCTGGATATGTTATTTACATCTTGAAATGTGTGCATCCATGCAAATACTGAACTAAACATTTCCCTTTATCCAACGCCACATCCGTAGGACATCTTCCCGCCCCAAAGGCCGCACCCCTCTCATGGTCTCGGAGACCCTCTCCGTCCTGCGCGTGTCAAAACGCACCGCTGACCCCTCTCCCACACCTACACTGCCACGTCTGCCGCTGTACGCCCCCTTCCACAGATGTAGCAATGCCCGTGCCGGGTGATTCTGCGTCTCCAGCGCCTGCTCGAGCCGGGCGATCCACTCCGGTGCCGGAACGATACTCACCTCCGCGCCGCCCTCCTGGTCACCACCGGCGGCGCAAATCCACCCCAGCAGGTCCCTCCATTCGGGTTCCTGGTGCGGGTTGACGACGTGGTACACAGGCGTCTTGTGCAAATGCTGCGAACGCGACTGCGAGAAGCGCTGGGCGGACGTCCGAGGGGGTTCCGGCGGGCCCGACGGTGATGCAGAGATCTCCAGCACCGAACGAGCTGCGATATCGACGGGCAGCCAGCTGAGGGCCTCGCCAGGTAAGTCAGGCAGGCAGCCAGATATGCGTGCGGATGAGAGCATGATCGGGTAGGCCTCTGTGGCGTTCCAGGCGCCGGTCCTGGAGTTGCCGCAGAGCTGGCCAACCCGGACGATGATGATCGGGGTCTTCTCCTCTGCAATCCCGGGCGAGGGGAGACCCGAGGTGCTTATCGAATCTGGCGTCGCGAATCGGCCGCTCACTCGGGCTGAGGCGAGAATATTCTCTGCCACCCACTTCGACCGCGAGTATCCCAGAGGCGAGGCATCGTCCGGGTCGGAGCTGAGCGTCTCGCTGATGGGGCGATCGCCCTTGGCGGCGGATGTCACGGAGGCCGTAGATGAGATGAAGACGAGCCGGGCCGCGGAGCTGCGTGTGGCATTGCGCAACTGCAGGAGGTTGGCTAGACCCGTGAGTTGGTCGTAGAATGACCTGAGCTTGAGGCTAAAGTTTACAGACCACGCCGAGTGGATGATCAGCGTTGCCTCGCCGGCCAGCCTTTCCCATTCGGAGCCTGAGAGGCCGAGCTTGTCGCTTTGGAGGCTACATGGGAGGCAGACCAGCTTGGAGTCCTTACCGACCTCGCTGGAGGGCATTGCTAAGTCGCGCGATTCCAGTGATTTTGATACCCTCTCGCTTGCTTGCACAGGGCTTGCAGCTCGTACGAGGCAATAGACTCGCGACACATTCGAATCGTGGAGCAACAGCTCCAGAATATGCGCTCCCAGAGCCCCAGTTGCGCCAGTGAGAACAACCACGCGATCCTTGTGTAGGTCAAATGAGCCGGCTGGTGATTGTATCTCACGTCGGTACTTTTCCACCAGGTCCAACATGAGCTGCTCGTCCGGGTCCTCCTCATTCAGGCCATCTGGGATTGCGGCGCCGGAAATTCGGCATCGGAGGACGTACTTCGATATGCGTTCTATCGAGCCTTGGTCATATATAACGTTGAGCGGTAAAGTTACCTCGGAGTCGATGAAGAATGCCTTAGAGATGGACTTCCTAAGCTGCGAGCATGCGAGAGAATCCACGCCTTGTGCGAAAAGGTCGGCCTTGGGGTCAATGTGTCTGCCCAAAACATGGTCAAAGAGGTGGCTCAATTCATCCATGACTTTACTGTCGGGTATCTTTTTCCTCTTGCCGTTCAACTCTGGATAATGGTTGCCTGACTCCTCGATGTCCTGTGCAAACATCTGCTCGGCCTGTCCTCTCAAAATTGTGCCCTTGCTGCTCTTGGGAAGCTGCGGCGTCTCGCCACGATCCCTCTTGACGACAATCATGCTGCTTCTAGCCAGTCTTGCATGGCTCTGAGTTTCCTCGTTCATCTGTTCGACAGTCGGCCACACCTTCTCGATGATCTGATCGTCACTGGCGTGATTAGTCCCCGACTTAGGAAATAGTAAGATTCCAGGAGCTTCTCGGCCAGTTCCAAAAATCATGACATCGCTCAATAGCCTCTTTCCCACTTCTGACGCGAGAAGCTCGCCCTCCACTGGGGCCGGATCGAATTTCTTGCCATTCAAAAGCGTAATTTGCGCGTCTGCCCGGCTGTGATACCGCCAAGCGTTTGGAATCGTTGGATGCCGTTCGAACAAATCCGAAGTGGCAAAGGAGCCATCGGGGCGATTAGTCTTGCCACGATGAGGCCATTTGGGCTTCACGACAAACTCGAAAAGTGACGGTTCGCCATCTTCTGTAGCTTGAGGTTCAAAAGCGTAAAAGTCCGGCTGCAGGAGCGGATCGGCACGGAGAAAGGACCATTCGCGATCAGCGCTGTAGTCCCGGTGCGAGGAAAGCAGAAAGCCACACTCTGCACTTCCGAAGCGGGAGACCAGCTTCACGTTTTTGGCAGCGAGGTGGTCGCCAACAGACGGTGGCAGAGCAGCTCCACCTACACCGACCATGTCCATGTCTTGCAGCAGCTGAAGTCCGGAGTCACCTTCAGGATCGGCTGGGTCGCCGCCAAGCATCTGAAGGATGTATGGAACGCTGGTGAAGTACTTGACTGGGCATGCGTTGGCGAGATAGCTGTCAGCGCGATTGACAGCCCGTTGGACATTAGTGGCTGTGATGGGCTGGGTGCCCGGAAAGAGGTGAATAGTGGCTCCGCTCGCCCATGCGCGGAAACAGTCAGCGATACCACCGTGGTACAAAGGGGTCGTCGAAAATGTGGCGGCGCTGCTGCCACCGGGAAGACGAGGAAGGACACCGACTGCGGCATAATGAGACTGCGGTATAGGCTTCGGAAGACCGGAAGAGGTGCCTGAAGTATGGAAGAGGTATGCTATATCACCCGATTTGACAGGTGAAGGGACGTCAGTCGGATGCTGGTCAGCCTTGAGATTGTACAGGACGTTGCTGATGTTGATGGCCATGCTGCCATCCTTCAGGGTCTTAGCCTTGTCGTAATTCCTAGCATCGGCGAAGATAACAGAGACGTTACATGTTGAGCACAAGTGTGTAATAGCGGTTCGTTCTAGCTGGGGACTGCAATGGTCAGGATCCGTGCTGTGGTATGGGTGGGAAACATGTCACGTACGCCAGGAGCATGACGGATATGCCCAACCGCATGAGACCCAGCCAGGTCAGGATGAACTCAGGGGTGCTGGAGCAGAGCAGGCCGGCGGTGCCTGAGCCATTTCGATTTGAAATCTGTAGCCTCCGACGCAGACGGGCTGCAGTAGCGATGGAATATGTCTTGAGTTCTCGATAAGTGAAATCTATGGTCAAATGGTAAGCAAGGCAGCTTTGAGGATGAAGGATTCCTCACAAGCTGTTGACCTGTGAGGGAGTGAATGGATAGTAGGGTATACATGCTACCCACCTGACTTCATCTCCCGGCCATCTTCAGCAGCGCATCCGCCTGGGAAATTGACGGCCGGTCTTTGTCCTTGATCCTTTGCCTGCTCATCTATGAGGTGGTTGACTGTGTGGAAGGGATGAGGGTGTTCTGCGTTCCATGTAGCCGCCTCGCCGAGGGTGCATGTAAAGTAGTTGAGGTGTGTCTCTGCTTGGGCCATATTGCCTGCCTGAGATGAGTCTTGGCTCCAGTCATGGACGTGGAACCGCACCCTCTTGAGCATTTGAAGGCTGCTCCGTTTGGCGGGGTCGGAGGTTGTGGGCGCGGGCGTCGTGGTGTTGTGGGGGTCCGGATCACGGGCGGTTGAGTCGAATGCCATGTATGTCCTCCGTATGCCATCTGCTGACACTGCCAAGCGTACCAGACCTCTCTCGACGATGAGCCTGGTACATATCAAGGCAAAAGCAGTGTGTGCAGAGTCTGTGATTTGTGGTTCAGCGTGAGGAGAGGAGAGTCTCACCCAGACCAGTGCAGGCCAACTGCAGCAGCTGTCCCTGTCCCTGGTCTCGATTCTGGATTGTGCATTGTGAAGCCTGACGTCGATGGGAATCTAGACCCTCGAAACCCTGAGACGGTGTCGGGGCTAATTTAGTGAGGTGAGACCAGAGACGCAGTTGATACGCACGTACGGCGGTGGCAAAGACGATCACAGCAGCAAGTTGCCTGCGTGCGTAGCAATTTGCTGGTTTGTATGGGCTTATTATGGGGCCTATGGGCTAGCAGTAATTGTCATCTTTTGCTTTTGTTGCCCCCATCGACGGGCCGAGCCAGAAGTCAGGGCAGTCGATGAGGTCATCAAGCCGCTTCTGGGGGAAGGAAAGCAATCAGTCCTGCAAGCGCAGCAAGGAAGGAGCTTTAATCGGCAATGCACCAGTCAATGATTCGCATATTGTGGTACATGGTAATTGAAACTGCAGCTACTGCCCTGCCCTTCCTTCCTGCCTTCTCGAACCCCAACCCAAGGCAGGTACCCTTTCTTTTCGTAGATTCTGTACTGTAGATGGTGGTGTAGATCATGATCATCCACAAGGATGCATCTCATCCCTCCCTTGGTATAGACTCTGTCTAGATACCTACTCCCTCACTCACCCACTCGTTCATTCATCACGGCTGCAACCTCTCGCAAGTCGCAAGTCGCCTGTCACCTGTCACCCTCCCACCGCACACACCTCACTACCGCCTCACCCGCTCACCCCTGCCCTCATCCGAATTAGTAGACAGTCACTAAGGAGTGACTGAGCACTCCCACCCAAAAAAACAAAATGGCCCCAACCAATAGAACCATCACCGACGCCCTCCCCATCCCAAACTCCCCCACAAACCAGCGTATGCCCCAGCTCGGCTTCGGGACCTACCTCTCCCCGCCAGAGCTAACCCTGCGGTCCTGCCTCGCCGCCCTGAAGGCAGGCTACCGCCACATCGACACGGCTCAGTACTACCAGAACGAGGCAGAGGTCGGCCAGGCCATCCAGCAGTCTGGCCTGAGGCGCGAGGACGTCTTTGTCACTACAAAGGTCCTGACTCCGGGAGACAGCGTTGACGCCAACTACGCCTCATGCCTCGAGAGCGTCGAGAAGATCGGCGGCAAGGGGGGATACGTCGACTGCTTCCTGATCCACTCGCCCAACGTGGGCGAGGCCAAGAGGAAGGAGCTGTGGCTGGCGCTGGAGAGGCTGCACCGCGAGGGCAGGGCGAGGGCCATCGGCACGAGCAACTTTGGCAAAGGTCAGATCGAGGGGCTTAGGGGCATCGGTGAGGTCTGGCCGCCGCATGTGAATCAGATCGAGGTATGTTGGCTGGCCCGCCCTGATTTTGCTCCTCATATGTCGAGAGCTGACACAAGTTCCCCCTCTGCAACAGCTACATCCCTGGCACCAGCAGCGCGAGATCGTGCAGTACTGCAACGACAACGGCATCATCGTGCAGGCCTACTGCCCCATCGTCAGGAACCAGAAGGCCGATGACCCGACCCTTGCGGGCATCGCGCGAGACCACGGCGTCACGCCCAACCAGGTGCTTATCCGGTGGGGCCTGCAGAAGGGCTGGGTGTCGCTACCCAAGAGTGACAACCCAGATCGCATCCGCCTGAACGCTGATGTGTTCGGCTTCGACCTGAGTGTGGACGAGGAGGTGCTGCTCGACGGGCTGGACCAAGGAGCTGCAGGCGGGCTTGTGCAGACTGTTAATAATGATTGATGATGCTGAGAGCATTGTTGATGTTGCAACCTCAGAGCCATTCTCCGAGGCAAGGCGGTTTGGAGTTCAGGGTGCTACGCACATGGGGGAAAGGGATGACCTACTGTAGGCTTGCTCAAAGACTCTCAAGGGGCGATATTGCTGAGGACATCATTTATGTATAGTCTCGGGGAGATTATGTCTGCTACATGTAAGCAGCAAATTACACGCAGCAGTGAGGTCGGTAGAAGGGGCTGTGAAGGGAGCCTCGCTCTTCGAGGTCTGTGGCGAGCCGGGGCTGCGTGCAGGAGTGTCGAGCACAACCACAGCCAAATGCTGTTGCTATATTTGGAATGACGCCCCATGCTTGTTCTTGGTCAAGAAATCTCAAAGTACGGAAGAATGCGCCTATTTTGGTTGCTTCGTGGGCGTGTAAATGGAGGGGCCTTTAACTGCGGATGGAAACGTGGTGATGTTCAGAAGACCCACGGGACAGTTGCAAGGGGTTGGTGTGCATTGAGTACGGCAACACCAATGATAGCAATGAATCAAAGAGACATATCTATCCAGGTTATTCCCTCTTGGTATCATTCCCAAACATCCCTTTACCAATCATTCCATCACAGCCATTGCGCCACGGCCCGAGAACCCCCAAGTCGATCTCCATGCCCCCGCCCCTCTGTCTCTCCCGAGACAGCCAAGAACGCCAACACGTCAGTCCTCCTCGGTCTCCTCACCGGGCCAGATCAGCCACACGATCACGACGAGCACCTTCATGACACTAGCAGTCCACATGGCGCCCGCGATGCCGAACCGCGAGTGCGCAAACAGGCCGCCGAGGATGGCGCCGACGAGCAGCATGGAGGGCGCGCCGACCCTGCGGTTGCGCTCGGGGTTGTCGGCGCGGAAGAGCTCGGCGTCGCTGAAGAGGTCGCAGTAGATGCTGGTGAGCACGACGCTGGTGAGGGCGTTGTACTTGAGGGCGCGGCTGGTGACGGCCTGGCCGCAGGCCTGGAAGGCGACGAGCGCGATGGGCACCAGCACGTCCCACGTGATGGCCTCCTTGTTCCCGTTGGCGCCCTGCGCGGGGCCAAAGGTCACGATGGACGCCGCCGCGATGCACAGGATCGCCTGCAGCGTGAAGGAGGCGATCAGCGTCGCGCGCTTCTTGGGCGAGAAGTGCCGGTGGAAGCGGCTGAAGAAGAAGGACCCGATGCAGAAGAAGCCCAGCGACGTGCCCGACTTGATCCACCTGGTGCTCTCGCTTGGCGCTGCCAGGCCGAGGCCGATGTAGACGGTGTTTCCTGTGGGTTGTTGTCAGTGAGTGTCAAATGTTCCATGCATGAAGGTGGGGTCTGTTCTCTTTACCTGTCTGCATCGAGACGAAAGAACCCCAGTCCGAGATGGCTGAGCTGTCCAGCATGCCGGTGATGATGTAGCAGAAGATGAGCACCACGTCGGCCCAGTCGCGCTTGACCTCTGCGCTGGCAGCCTTGCGCAGTCGCGAGGTGAGCGACTTTGAGCTCCGCCGCGGTGCATGGGCTCCGTTCAGCAGCGGTTGCTCCTCGTCGGATGCATTGTGCACGACACGGCGGGCGAGGTTCTGGTTGGCGCCTGGCCCAGCAGTGCCGTATCCATTGGCGGTGCTCATCTTGTCGGCTGTGTGGCTCTGGGGAATGCTTCAAGCACCTGATGATGAACAAAAATGAGATGTTCAGCTGTTTCACATGTAGGACTGAGGTTCTCGGGCAAAGCACGGCGTGTGGACGGACGTCGTTGCTCGGTCTCCGGACGGTCAGACCTACTGTATTAGTACGAGAGGGCGCTGACTCGCTGGGGCTGCTCCGAGGTGGAAGTGTGCGCCGAGAGAGATGGTCTGGCGTCACTGCGGGGGCCTTGTGCCAGCTTCCCCGGAAACAGCCAGAGCAAGCAAGCAACCGGGGCCAGGGCAGGCTAGGGCAGGCCAGGGCATGGATGGAGCTCTTCCAAAACAACAGTGATGCTAATATAGCGCGGCCCAGGCTTATCAGATCAGATCTGGACGGCGAGATTCGCTGAGATTTGGCGGGCACTCGCAGAACCCAAGCACTTGGCTGAGCATAGTGCTGCTACTTCAACAATGGTTCGCGATGGCTGAGTGGACGACCGAGACGTTGCTTCAATCTTGAGCTTCATTTCAGCTGATCCAGCAAGCCCATGTGGGCACACGGCACCCGGCACTCGTCCGCGCTGGGTCATTGGAGTCGCGGTGGCTGAGCCCCCGGCGGGTTGGCCTCGATGACACGACAAAACAGACCAGCCTTCCCCGTCTGCCGGTTCTTGGGACCGACAATCGTGTCTTGGCCGACAGTCACGTCTTGGCGATGCATGGGCGTGCATGTGTGGATGCTCAGGTGCGTTGGGGTGCTGGGTGCTGGGTGCTGGGTGTTTTGGCCAGTACCACAACAGCAGAAACAGTCTGTATATCTCTCACACTGATGCGATCTGAGGGCGTTTGCCCCCCATCCCCGCACCCCGCCTCACCGAGCATCCTCTTCGGTTCTGGCGCCGGCCCCTGGCGGTCTTGAAATAGTACGCCAGCTGGACCAGGAGCTGCCAGGCCCTTCGGACGAGCTAGGCCTGTTTCAGGACTTCGGCAATCGAGCTGGACTGGGAGGGCAGAGCTTCCCTCCAACCGGACATCTTCGCTGATGCTCGGTCTTGTCTCGGCAACTCGAGGTTGCACGCCACGGTCGTCGTCGTCGTGGTCCTTGCATGGTCACTGTGGCCAGGCCAACGACGTGAACCGCCGGATCAGAATATCGATGCTCTGTTGGGCAGGTCAAGGGGGCACGAGACTGTACAGGGAGGAGAGAGGAGATAAAAGACCTGGCTGGTGGTGGGAGGTGGGGGTTGGTGGTACAAAGCATGTGCATACTGTACAGTAGACAGCTCAACGCCTTGTCTCAGAAGAAGCTGTGCCTGAGCATAAGCGAAAGCTTAGCCGTCTCTCCCGTCTGTCCCGCTTGCTTGCTTGCTTGCTTGCTTGTTTGCTTTGCAAGTGGAGGCAGGCAGGCAGTGCAATGCAGTCTGTGCTGGACGTTGCAAGCTGGGCAAGCAGGGTGTATTAGCAAAGCCAAGGAGAATATCGAAACGGGCGAGGGGGGAAACAAAATGCTGCTTGGGAGCTTGAACTGTGGGCCAGTCCCTGTCATAGCAACATAGCAACCATAGCCGGATGGAGCTCTCCCTGCAAGGTACATGCATAGATGGTTCGCATCCAACATGCCATCTTACGTGCAAGCAACCACACACAGCCTGCCCTGTCTCCAGTCTCCAAGTCTCTCCAGTCCCTAGTCCCCAGTCCGTCGCAGTAGCCTGTACGGAATGGTGACGCTATTACATCCTGGGCGTCTATGCCGACCTCCCATAGCTACCGTGCCATAGTACCTTGCCTGTCAGGTCTCAGCCGTTTTTTTTGGAGTATTTGTTTTGGCATGTCGCCTGCCTTTTCTTTTCTTTTTCCGTGACACTACCTCTACCTCACCCCTCCTCTTCTCCTCCACATTAGTCTTTCTTATTATCCACAGCATACCTCTAAGCCGAGGTATATACACCTACACACACATACACCCATTGACTCGCAGGCGATCAAGTTCAAGACCACCACCATCACGATGCTCCTCCCACAGCTGCTCGTGACGGCCTCCCTCGCCACACTGTCGCATGCTGCCCCTCATCGCGACTCTCCCCAGCAACGTCTCCAGGCTGGCCTCGAGCTGCCCGAGAAGTACCTGACCAGCAAGAAGACCTCCAAGCAAAATCCATATACCCCAGACTTCCGCGACCCTTATGATAGGGCAGTTGACCCTGTCAAGGACGACCTCGACCCGCTGCCATGGCGCAATGGCCTGGGTGCGTCCGTCCTCGGGCCATGGAACCCAGAGCGTTCTCGTCAGAGCCCTGACCTGGTCAGGCCGCCCAGCACCGACCATGGCAACATGGCCAACATGCGCTGGAGCTTTGCAGACTCCCACGTGAGGATCGAGGTACGTCAAGTGTTTCTGCTACAACACCCCCGTTCGTTTCTCCACAAGAACACCCCCAGCTAACATTTCTCTCCCCGCCCATCAGGAAGGAGGATGGACCCGCCAGACCACCGTCCGCGAGTTGCCCACTTCCAGCGAGCTGGCTTCCGTCAACATGCGCCTGGGCGAGGGCGTCATCCGTGAGCTGCATTGGCACAAGGAGGCAGAGTGGGCCTACGTACTCGACGGCTCCGTGCGTGTTACCGCGCTCGACTACGAGGGCGGCAACTTCATCGAGGATCTGGAGAAGGGCGATCTGTGGTACTTCCCCAGCGGCGTGCCTCACAGCTTGCAGGGCCTGAGCCCCAACGGCACAGAATTCCTCCTTGTCTTCGACGATGGTCGCTTCTCTGAGGAGAGCACCTTCATCCTGACTGACTGGCTTGGTGAGTTCTTCTTTTTGTCCGCCTTCTATGTTCGCTGATCCGCTGACTTGAGCCCCTCAGCCCACACTCCCAAGTCCGTCGTTGCCGAGAACTTCCACCTCGCCCCTGAGGTCTTCGCGCACCTTCCCGCGGGCGAGAAGTACATCTTCCAGGGCTCCAACCCGGGCTCCATCGACGACGAGCGGCCCACGGGCAAGAACATCAAGAAGTCAAAGTACAACTTCGCCCACAAGATGCTGGCCCAGGAGCCCATCGTCACCTCAGGTGGTGAGGTGCGCATCACTGACTCCAAGAACTTCCCCATCTCCACCACCGTGGCTGCCGCCCACGCCATCATCCAGCCGGGTGCCCTGCGCGAGATGCACTGGCACCCCAACGCCGACGAGTGGAACTTCTTCATCCGCGGCAAGGCGCGCATCACCATCTTCGCCGCCGAGGGCACCGCCCGCACCTTCGACTACGTCCCCGGCGACGTCGGCATCGTGCCCCGCAACATGGGCCACTTTGTCGAGAACATTGGCGACGAGCCCGTCGAGATGCTCGAGGTCTTCCGCGCCGACGAGTTCCGCGACTTCTCCCTCTTCCAGTGGCTCGGCGAGACCCCGCAGCGCATGGTCGCTGACCACCTGTTCAAGGACGACCCCGAGAACGCCGAGAAGTTCCTCGCCAAGATCAAGAGCGCCGCCAAGGACCCCATCACCAAGTACTCGGACGACGAGAGCTCCGAGGCTGATGAGGAGAAGGAGCTGTAGGCTATTTGTGAAATAAAGGCTTGGCAGATTCTTTGGCATATGTTTCATTTGTATGGTCACGGACTTGGATGTAGTTCAGGCATATGTCTGCGTGTTGGTACGAATGTAAAAGCTGTACACTCCAAATTGTAATATGAAAACTAGTTACGTCTAGGACTCTTGGTTGTCCGCCTGTGGCTTGCACAACACACCTGTGAAGAGATGACATGGAAAAGCAAGGCGTCTACGTTCCATTTTCCTGCTCATTGTGAGCCACTTATTTAGCCATTTGGAATTCTGTACTAGCTCCCGACTCCTATACTTGACTTCAAGCAGCATCCGCATAGTTCGAGTCTGGAGTTGCTCTGAGCCTACCTAGGTACTATTATTACCTGCAACAGAGATGTTGGGTTCATCTTATAAAAGAAACTCACTTTAAGGTCCTCAGACAGATTATGATCCATTGATACCTACAGTTCTACTTTTTGAACGACGTATTACTGCTACCAGCTGCTCCCGAGTTGTATGCATCAAATCTGACGCCCATCAGCGCCGCCTTCTTGCTCATATCATAGTTGTGGACACGCTTCAGGTAGTCACTGAACTCCTTCGACATGTCCACGGTCGCCTTGATATGTTCTTTCTTGATAACGATGCGTCCTTTCTCATCTTTCTGTCCCTGGGCTTCGGCAAGGGCAACCGCCACTTGGAATGCTAATGACGAACAGTCAATGAGTAAGCACAGAATAATAGTGATAAACCAAAGACGATTCAGAGACTTTCTCTTACCGTTCCTGATTTCTCTTCCGTTCCACTTCAAGTTCTGGAGCTCTGTGGACTGAACGTAGTCCTTTGCGGACGGGATGATGCGCATTGTACTCTCCCTATCCAACTCCAGCTTCTCGAAGAACGTTTCCCAGACCTTGATGCGCTGCTCAAACGTGAACTCGCCGTAGTATATGGGTACGTGGATGCGAGAGATGAAAGCCTCGTCGAAGGTTCCGACACGGTTCGTGGTTAAGAAAATGATCCCCTTGAAGTACTCTAAAGCCCGCAGGAACCCGGCCACCAAGTGATTGCGCACAAGATCTTGAGGCTGCCTCTCTTCCACTGCAGAATTTATATTTAGCCATCAAAACATCAAAGAGGAAGTTCCATTGGGAAAGAAGTCGAAGTAGACCACCATATGCCTCGTGCCTGTCTCGGAAAGTGCGGTCTAACCAAGGGCTCTGATTCAAGCAGTGAGACAGACCACACATATGGCGGATGCTTCTCCCAGGAGAATTTGAATTTCTATCCGGAAGCTGCTTACTGTAGATATCAGCCTCATCGATGAGGATGATGGCTCCCCATGCTTGGGCCATTTCGAACCAATTGATGAGGGCGCGCTCAACTTGAGTGGGCTCCACACCGATGTCAGAGCATGTCAAAGACAACAGAGGGCGCTTGGTGTAGTCTGCGATGCATTCTGTCGTAGTTTATCAGTGTTACTTTTCTGATTTCAAGCCGTTCAGGAATTTCCCCCTCACCTGCCGTATAAGTTTTCCCGACTCCAGGCTTCCCATGGAGGAGTATCGTGAGACCCTCCCCTTTTCCTTGGATAAAGTCGGCAGACCATGTCTTGGCTTCCTGCTTTGGCTTGACCGCTTTATGCACTGATGTGAGTTTGATGTACGATGTTTCGTCACGAGATCCTGGCTTCGCAGTGTCTCTTATGTACATCTCTGTGAGGTCCTTGATCATCTTCTTGGTTGCTTCATTCATTACGAGCTTTTCGAATAAAGCGGTGTCGAATGAAGGCTCTTGGAATCCAGATACGTGAAGGAAATCTATAAATTAAGTCTGCAGCTTAGTATTGGTTCCCTTTCTCCAAGGCTTGTATCTGTTGCCTACCCCAGGTCCTGGTCTTGAAAACAAAGGCTTGCACTGTCCTGGAGCATATGAAATACTGATGTTCTGTCAGCTCTTCGACAATATGAGAGTCCCAGCAGGAATATCCAGAGAACTTGGGCTCGACCGCATTTCGATAGATTTGCTCCTCACAGAGACTGCAAGGACAGATCTTGAAAGGTGCGGAGGGGTGAGCGGCCGTCTCTGCTAACACCAAGCTGGATTTTGTGGCACGATCGCATTCCTGCTCATATTCCAAAGTGTCATTGTCAACCATAACGAGGCTATTGTACTGGTTTCGTCGGCATTCTTAGTTTAATCCTTACTGTTTGTCGAACGCCCTGAAAGTGAGAACTCACCGTGGACCTTGGAAATGTCGATGTGATGCCATCGAATTGATAGCATTTTTTGCTGCGCTGAATATTGTACCACTTTCTACCACGGTCCACAAAATGCTTCCGGATGTCCTCTGCATCACCGGCGCCAATTTCTTTAGAATATGACAAACATTCGCATGGGAAGGCCACCAATGAGACAATCTCCTTCTCTCCGGCATATCTGCGTATTGATTGTTGGCAATAGCGAGGTCCTACCCATTCAGGGATGCCGCTCAGATTCCAGCATCGAAAGTCGTAATTATCGGCTACACCGTTTATCAATTGGAAATTGACAGCTTCGAGTACCCAAGGCTCATGTTCGCCGACGTCGTCAATGTCCACGTAGATGTCTGTTCCGGGTTTGTAGAGCAACCAAAGCATGTCGAAAGTGGCGTAGCCTCGTAAATGGCGTTCTCTCTCCAAGCTGACATCCTTCTGAACACGTTCATTCACGAAGTCCTGGACAATACCAATGTGTTTATAAGCATACCGATTCTGACAATTTATCAATCTATCATCAGACTGATGGACTGCCAAGCGGTTGCGATAGTCTGTGAGCTCTTTCTCGTAGAAGACAAATATGCAGTATGGCTCGTGTACTCTGATAGTATTCCCGGATAGACTCCTGTTCAAGTTTGCACGTTAGCCGGAATGAAGTATGTAGAGACATTAGGATTGAGCCTCGGAATGTTGAGCATGCTTCGGGGAACACGGCCCAGACTTCGGGTTCGAAGCCTGAATGACGGTGTCTTGCAGTCCAAACTCGGAGATGTAATGTAGATATCGAAAAGTCATACACGTTAGGGTAATAATCCACAACACATCTCAGGGCTTCGTTGACGGCAGGGGAGAGTATGGTGATGTAAGAAGCCCCTTTTAAATGCTCGTGATATTTCCGCGGGGTCCTGTGCGTTCCAGAGTCGGAATTCAATGCTTCTTTCGTATGGCGTACTTCAACATACTCCATGACGGTCGATTCTTCAAGAGTGACAGTAGCTTCATCTAGGTCTTCCATAGAGGCACCTCCTGGAGTCACAGAACTGATATACTCAATCCTGTACTTGATCCGGCCCGGGGCATCAGTTTTCGAAGCAGGATGCTCAGGCATGCCGGGAAGCTTTGTGTCCGAAGACCCCGTTGACATAGTGTTGATTCTATACCAGCTGTCAGTACTTTCAACTTAAGTCTTCTTTCCCAAGACAAATTTTGTGTGTAGAGATGGCTCACCTTATGAATGTACTGGGGATAGTCTATAGAGTCGATGGGCTCGAGGATGCGCGTGCTCGTGTGCACGCCACGTAACTGCCCCCTTACAAAGATTCAACTTGATGTATTGAAGGAAGCACTGAAGGGTAGATATCAGGGACAACTCGATTACCTGCAATTCAGAATTTGGATTCGGGAATCACAAGGCTCTCACCGGTGTGAGAGAAGAAGAGGGGACCTTGTTTGGATCTCAGTTCCAAAAGCCCGAGAGGCAGCTGAACTTCGCGCTCGGAGACGCAGCTTGGCGCATAATGGCCGCTGACTGATACAGCCACCCCGAAATATTGATCAGGGCGGAGTCAGATATTGAGGGTGGCACATAAAAGGGATATGTACCACTTAGCGTTGAAAGATTCGGGAAGTTGTGGTTACACCACTCACGATCACCTTCTAATTGGCCGCGATTTTGCATTGTGAGGCTGGATTCTCTGCACTTACTGACGAGTGGCTTATTTGCGAAGGAAAGATGGTCAGGCTAGCCTCCATACTCGGCCAATTAACTCTGTATAAAAGAGCGCCGAAAAGTTCGAACTCCGCGTGTGGAATGAATGCTACGTTCCACAACAGTTTGCGGCACTACAATTCGGGCACTACAATTCGGTCGCGAACCCCTCTTCAGCTCTAGCAGCTCTCTATTGGCATTGGTGTAACGTTCTTAGGCGTAATACAATCTTCGTCCTGATCCTCTCGCCCATTTTCTCTATCAACATTAAACCCCTCCAATCTCTATCACCCACATTCAACCCCTGCCCCATTGCTCTATGAGTGTATTATTACACGCTGTAATGATACAAGCGTCCCAGGGGGTGCAGGAAGATCCGCTGTAAGGCTCGTTATTGGCTTGAGAGCCCACTCGCCCAAAAGGAGACAACCCCCCGTGTTCATCTGGAAATCCATCATATCACGGACCAGCGATCTTCTTAAATCACCTTACCGACTCCTTTATCAAGATTACCAAGTCTTTCAATGATATGGCAAATATTTACTGCAATCCAACGCCTGGTGAACTGGTGAAGAGGTTCTCATGGGAAATGGAAAACAGAGAAAACCTCGACACTGACAGCGAGGAGTTCACACAACTTAGAATGGACTTCGTAAAGCAGACAAAAGTCAGTACAGGTGGAAAAGAAATGGAAATGCGGCGCCTCGAAGCGTACTTTTCCAAAACTGGGTAAGGGTGTTCCCCTTGGCAGGAAAAACAGACTTGGGAATGCAAAACTCATTGCTGATCTCCTGTTCTCTTGTCTTGAAGGCCAGGGGATGAGAAAGTCTTCGAAGAGACAAGAAACGAGTTGATCAAAGGCATGCGAGCCTTCCAGTCACTTGTTCCAGAGGAGCTCAGGACAACAGCCATCCCTGCGTCATGGTCAGATGTCGACACAGCAGTTTCGACGGTGCAGGAACATTGGGAATCCCAATCTCAAGGCAGTAAGACTTCACAAGCAAAGAAGTGGTTCAGAAAGATGTGCAATGGTCTGCACAACCACCGGGCGGCATTAGACCTGCTTCCCAAGGAGTCTGAGTACGTGTCTGTGATCGCCGGTGCGGTCACCTTGATCATCAAAGTAAGCTGAATTGCCATGCGTAGTCATCTCTGAAATCTAATGAATGTATTCACCACCCATCTTAGGCCTCGGCAAATTATACTAAGATCTCAGAGTCTTTCGTTAAGGGTGTGATCGCAATCAACGACGCCGTGGCTTTGGTGCAAGGAAATCAAGTCTACAACACACCACAGCTTCAACAGCTTTCCATGCGTCTTTACACGGGAGTTTTCAGCTACCTCAGAAAGTTCATGACCTGGTTTACAAGCAAGAGCAGGAAGAGATTATTGTGGAGCTTGAATGAGAACCTGGAGCAGACCTTCGCGGACGATCTGGAACAAGTGAAGAGCACCTCTGCCTTACTATCTCAGCAAATTCAACTGCACATGTCTATCGATGTTCGAATATCGAATTTGAAAATTGACAAGACAAATTGGGCCTTGAACTACCTGATATCTCTTATTCAAAATGAAGAGGCGCAAAGAAGGCTTCAAAGCGCAACCAGCGAGCGCTTCTTCGAGAAGCTCTTCCTCGAAAATTTCCAAAAGTCAAATGATGAGCTCAAAGAGGCATTATCCAACATGATGGACGGCTTCAAGGAAGTTATGAGACAGGCAGTATCAGGTGAGGCTATGGGAAACATCCTCGAGCGGCAAGCTTCCATCGAGCTTGACACCGGCGACCAACACTCGACTGCCTCCATAACGAGCTTAATCGACGATGCCCAGAACCAAATTTTGACGGATCAGAGCCTCAACTCAACGTCACAGCAAGAGGAGGATATAAAGCTCTGGTCGGCCCACTTAGAAGACCACTACAGCAGCGAGCAGGTCTACCCTTTTCCCGATGTGCCGCAACAATACTATGCAGAGACAGCTTTTGTCTCCAGGTTAAGCGCTTTCACGACAACATTAGAATCGCAGATCCTCTATGCAATGGCCCAATTCCAGCCCTCTGGCCGGAATCTACTGCGCTTTTCCGCGGCTAAATACGCCAACCTGGCGCGAACTCACGGCGTCCCGGTGATCTCATTTTTCTGCTCGCCTCTGCCGGATGAGCCGTGGCAGCTGACAGCTCTGTTGTATTCTCTGATCCGTCAGATCGTCGAGCTCCTAGGAGACGACATTCCGGCGTCGGCGCAGCTCACGAAGGCAAGATTCCAGCACCTCGACGGGAGCATGGATTCCTGGGACGAAGCCCTTCGCCTCTTCTCCGACCTGGTGAGGTGGATTCGGCTCCCTCAACTGTTGTTCGTCATCGATGGGGTAAATTTGCTGGGAAACGATTCCGAAGATGCCCTCCAGGAAAAGGTACGAGCTTTTGGGAGGGCTCTGAAGGAGCTCGCGCATCCTGGGGCGGTGACAGACTGTATCTTTAAAGTCCTCTTCACAACCGCCGGCCGGTCGAGTTCCCTTTTCGAGGAGCTAGATAGTGATCAGATTGTTATGTGCAATCTCTCGTCGTCAGTGGGGGCTGGTGGGGTTTCTCGAAAGTCACGACGCTTCCTTCTGTATTAGCTAGAAGCTAGATGAGTAGGTTTGCGATATTGAAACAAGATGTCGATCCATCATTATATGGCGCATCCCAGCAGATGAATCAGCGAAGAAAGATAACTACAATTCGGCTTGAAAATGCTCAGGTAGACAACGACCCACCTCCGCCGGTTCGCATTAATTGTTGGTAACACAGCCATGTCGCCAACAAGCCTATTCAGAACTCACGTGCGATGGAATCATAAAGTATTGAGCTCGTCGAACGCGAACAACGAGGGTGAGGTGTTGTCGGCTGAAAAGTCCAACAGAAATCATTGTTTCAATCTTAGCTCCCTTTCCGAGAATCATGGACAAAGTGAGATTGACGAGGAAGAGCTTCAGTACAGATTGTGGTGGCTGTATTGAGATCAAGCATCACTGGCCTTAAATAATAAGGCCGTGCTACACAGAGGCTGATTTGTCCAAATGACAACTTTGGGATAGGAGAGACAATGTCCAAGAACATACCAAGAAGCGATGGTGGAGCTGCTTTAATCAACGAAAAATAGAACAGAGGGTGGGCCCAAAGTCAGGCAATAAGGGGAGAATCCAATAAAGCTGCCCACCCTCTTTGAAATAAAGAAACACTATTTTGCAGACCAAAAAAATCCTGCTGAATCGTGTTGCCAGGCCCCTGGGCCCCCATAAGCGCCTTGGGCCCCAAGGATCGATCCTGCCAAGAAGCACATCAACAGGAGGAACGCTTTGATGTTTTGAAGGATTCAACAAACTGCCCACGCGATTGGTCTTTAGCACCTGTGAAAAGCACCGGTCCGCAGCTTCGGGCCGGCTTTTTATATCTCGGGGTCCGATTTAGGTCTTGCGGTGGGCCATATTAGCTATAGACATCGCAACCTGAATGAAGCCAAAGACAAAGGAGCACTGACCAGGCTTCTCGGGCGAGCTTTGCGGGCTCTTTTGGCTTACCTGGGGGCCGTTCCTCAAACGACTCCTACCAGACTGAAATAAACATCTATAGTATGGGCCTTGAAAAGGCATAGCTTTGATGCGATGTAGCTCAGACTTGAGCAATACTTAAATTGGGCGATCCGCAGATCTGGATTGGAAATCTTCTGACATTATCAATAATACAATAACAACACTCCCAACAACACTTTCGCAAATAAAAGTACGGCAGATTATCTCACAATTACACCCAACCCTTAGAGTCTTCACATTTATCCTCAACAATTAAAATGCCTGCCCCTCCCAAAGCTGCACCCAAGGCCGCCCCCGTCTGGAACGGTGCGCTCAAGGACACTCAGGGAGGCACACCTGACAGCCTCGACCTCGTGCCAAAGACAGCAGCGACATATGGGGTGTCGCTGACCAACCCCCAAGACCTCAAACAGAACTGCGTCTCGTGCTGCTTGACGCGCATGGAGAACTACCGCAACGTCAACGACTTCTGGAAGGCCACCGTCCGGGACCCGCCGCCGAACCGGCCCCTGACGTTGGAGGAGACGATCAAGCTAACGCGGCGGACGGGCTGGGAGTACAACAGCAAGAAGTTCAAGTCGACGCCCGCTGCGGGATCCACCAAGGCGTATACGGCGTGGCAGTACCTGGATAAGTTCTACCTGCACAAACTTCCGCCTTACGACGACACGTATATGCTGCTGTTCCGGCTCCCCAACGGCAGGGGCCACGCCATCAACCTGCACTACACCGCGTGCCCGCCTACTGGGAACAAGGTTCCCGGGATCGATAAGATGGATTACATGGCGCACTGGAAATTTAGGGACTACCAGCACAGCGACAACGGGGAGGCGTTTAACGTAAAGGTGCTACAGTCGGCGACGGAGATTATCGTCATGGGCCGGTATACTGTTGTTGGTGGCGACTCGGCCAAGGCTCAACAGCTCTACAACGCGTGGAAGGCACGAGGAAAGGCTTTGCCTCCAATCTAATGCACCTGATTTAGTGCTATCTGGCGCGAGATATGGAGGATTGCATTATGGCTGGGGCGGTTGTTTCGAGAGTAGAGCCAGCGGGAGGTCTTGCTGGACAAGGGCACTGTTACATCCATAGCATTTGAAGGTCAATTCATTTTTGATTGTTTGAAACGAATTATGAAGCTGGGAAATTGTGCCAATACCGGGACTAGCTTCGAAGGATAACAATTGATCATGATCGATGACTTGAAAGAAGTCCATCCCAGGCTTTGATGTCTACCGGCTCATTGCTTGAAGCTGGCCAGGTTCAACATCAAGGGCGCCAGAAGCAGCATAAATGCATCCTCTGAGCTTAACCAGGTCCCCCTTCAAGTACAGAATGTTGAATCGCTTACAACCTAGAGTAGCTGTTTTACTCTTTTCGGCCGCATTGATCTGAAGTCAGTCCTGAATCCAAGGCAGGTGTCGCCATGCTGATATAATGAAACCTAGAGGCAAGCTTGGTTGCAAAGTCACCACTTTGCAACATTTCTTCGTCGGTGATCAGACCAGAATCCAATATCTCGTCCATATGTTCGTTGCAAAAAGACCTCAACAGATATCCTGAAGCTTCTATCAAAAGACGTGCCGAAAGGCAGGACGCGCTGTGGCACCGTATAGGGTTGACACTCGTGAGGATGGTATCTTCGATGACCTGGTTTTTATTTTTGACCTATGTACACGGCATACTCGCTTACTTGTCTGTATCCTGGATTGCAGCTGACTATTTAAACAGATAGTTGTGATTGCCTGCGTCTGTGTACTTCTTGAGCAGTGAGAAGGCGATTTTGATGACCAGAGAAGACTCAAGGAAGTGAGACAACTATATTTTAATCGATGGTGACTTAGCCTCTGTCATATAAACACGTTCCCTCAGTATCATATGCCGATGTGCGCCTGAAGACCACTGTTTCACGAACAGGGTCGCTTCCATTAAAAGAGTCTCTGGCATAGTTTAGTGACTCCAAATGCTTGATCTTTAATGTATGTATTGTTTAAAATATGCTTCTCAAGGATATGTCATGTTCCGCAAGTTACAGTTTTCAAAGAGTCCAAGATACAATGCAAGTCATGCGTAAGAGAGAGGCAACAGAAGCAATGACTTCAACAAAATTCATAATTTGATATTCTACTCCAGAACTCTCACCAGATTCGAGAACACGAATATTGCACTGGCACCACGCTCTCTGTATCTTGCTGACCCCTCTGACCCCAAGTATCGACCAACAAGAGTTTGAACACAGGATGGCTCTCACATAGTCACCAGCACCGCCGGGATGCCATCCAACCAGCAAATGATGTCGACAGCATTTGCCCCGAGCCAGTCACACATCCGGCCATCTTCGTCCGAGAAGCATTGGCACACCGAGACCGGACGTAATAAAGCCATGGCATCATCTTCTGACACGCAGTCTATCGTCTACAAGCAGCCTGCCTGGCAGCAGAACATTGCATACGGGCCCTCCTGCCAACGAGACTGACCGTCTCCTTTCTAAGAAGCAGGGATACGGCACCAGCAGCAGCAGTAGTAGTGGTTCAAAGCAGTATGTCGGCAATGGCAAGGGTAAGAGTCAACGCAGCCGCAAGCACGACAACGGCAAAAAGAGTAAGCGTGGAAGCGGGAAAAGGTAGAACCGTGACAATTGACGCTGAGTCGGAATTGGGGTGGCTAGGCACTTGTTGGAATGTGAGGATGACATCAGTTCCAGTTTGGAAAATTACATTTAAAGCTTAGGAACCGGGCACATTGGACGGAGTGTAATCGAGCGTCTGTATAAGATATAGAAAGTGATAGCCACCTGAACGAAACAGTGTCGTTTCCGCTCTGATTATCCGCGAGATTCACCAGACTTTTGCTGACCAGGGAGGATAGATACTCATTACGCATGAGGTCTGTGTCGTAAAAAAACAAAAGAAGAATTAATTTACAAGGACTTCAGGACCTTCCAAAAGATGAACACACCCATAACACACGCAAAAAGTGATCCACCAAGACAATGTCGATGTCCTCTCACTGTGATAAGTTGTACTTCCACTGGACTATGGCACATACATAGGTAACCATGTATGCATACAGCCCACGGATCAAGTACCATGAGGATATTACTGGAATAACTAGTGGTTCTAACCAGAAATTATGTAGCTCAGAGGTTTCTCAGAAGAACGAACCACGGTGATAGTGCGATATTGCTCTCAATGTTCACGAGAACAACAACAACACAGCAACTAAGAGACATCACCCTGGAGAGAAACACCGCCTCAGTGATCCCAGCCTGGTCCCACAGCAGCACATCTCGCAACGACCTTCCAACACAGGCAACACACAAGAACCACACGCATCGAATTTCCACGGAGGAGCAGCTCCCATCAACAGAACACCCCAGTCATTCGCCGACCAACCTGGTGCTCCCAAGCGGATGGGGCCGCCCTCGTGCGCGACGAAGACCACATACACAGACCTGCGGCCGTTGAGGCCACCCGAACAAAGCCCGCAAGCGAGGGCTACACAGCGGCCCCTCGGACTCTGGCGGCACACGACCAATCGCGAGATAAATTACACACGGCATGGGGGTGGCAAGCAAGCAGCCGGGCTGCACGAGGAGGGGAAGGAGCAGGTGAAGGAGGACGAGGCAGCCATGATGCGATCACCGCATACATACATCGATACATGCACACCCAGATGCAGATACAGATACATAGCCGACAAGCGCCAGGCAGCGCGGCAGAGAGAGGTCGCACATATACATACACACACACAGACATACATACATACGAGACAGACATGCAGAACGAATGCATGAATTGTACAGATTAGCCCCAATTGGACGGCTTGAGTTCGCCGTTCTCCGGAAGCGAGGAATCCTTCCTCGGTCTACGTTGCCCACCCCACGTGTCGAATATGCACGTCAAGCCTGTATTTCCCTGCTAGGAGGATTGAGGAATGGTCTCTTTTATCTGTCTGCCTGGAGGCCGGCCGGGGGGCTTGATCTGTCAATGTCCGGTACGGCTAGATGTGCGTGCTCGCTGGGTTGCCACGTAGGAATGGAGGAAGGATGGCGGGGGACGGATGGAGGGGAGGAGGGATGGTGGTGTTGGATGGATGAACGAATGAGTCGATTGGTAGGTAGGATGGGTTGCGCCGGCCGAAGGCTGTTGCGATTGGCGGCGATATCTCGGCAGCGCCCGCACTCTCTCAACTTACAACGGCGCTCATCGATTTTCCCCCAGCGCACAGCAGGACCGTCTGTGGCTGCAGCAGCTGCAACGGATAGCATCATTAAAACACAGCACGCACGCAGGCTACAGCGTGGCTTGACCGGCACGACGTGGGAGGGCAAAAAGGGAAGGGGGGACAGAAGGGGGATATTTGATGATGTGACGCTTGTCACGGACCGGTTGCCATCCGGGGGCAGCTGAGTTTGGGGGCCAAAAAGACAGTCGGCCGTTCTGGACGCAGGGTGAGAGATTAGGATGGTCACTTGAGGTGGCCCCCAAGCTTCGAGAGCATCGCCGGCAGTGGCCGTGACGTGGTAGATCGATATTAGCTGGTCTGATGTTGAGCATCGAACCTAAAGCCGGGGAGCATAAACAAAAGCTTAATAAGAAGCCGTAATAAAGCAAGTAGTCGGCGGTGAGGCTGGAATCGATGGCGAGTCGAAGACGCCCACGCAATCATTCTCGAAGAGGGAACATCATTCGGGAAGGGCACAAAGGGAAGTAGACTCGGACTTGATAACCCTTTTCGGCTGATCTGGACAAGCATCGGGCCAACCACGTTGGGTCGCGCGGCTTGATGCAGCCAGGGAACATTGCCAGCCCTTGCCCCCAAAACATTTTGGGCTGAGTGATTTGCGGTGATGGGAAGAGCGGCTGCCGAATACTGTTGCTAGTGGCTCTCGGTCCAATGCAACGCCAAAGGTCACTGCATCTCGATACTACCTGGGCAGCACTTGAGCGAGTGAAGCACGCGTGGAAGCTTTTCGCAGCACGAGGGCGACACGAGCGAGCGCAGCGCCTGGGCTGAACATCGGAAAGATGGATCCCGACTGGGCGGGCCGGCACTCCACGAAAGTTGTCCGGGGCCTTTTGCGCCAAAGCAGTGGCCAGGAGCGGGCCTCTGCAGGCGGGAGACCGTGCTTGAGCCCTGAACGGTCAAGTCTGTGTACTTCTGTGGAGATGCAAATCTGCAAGCTCGGCGGGACCCCGGAGTGGTTCGTCTGGCCAGCAAAAGTACCCTACCTAGACTCTCCACTCAGCCCGTATCTGTGTCATCCACGTGGAAGACGAGATGGAGGCAACGTAGTGGGTGACAATGTGGTAGGGAAGCAGAGACCTAGCTGTCTCGCAAGTTGATTAATGGGACAAGAAGACAGTCGTGATGGCTGCTCTCATTTGTCCAAGACTCGTGAGAAACAAGATTGACGGGCTCTATACGTGCTAGTGGCATCGACATTGCGAATCCTTCAAAAGCATCCGAATCCTGCGGCGCAGGTACGAGGCTCAAAATGCATAGCTCCCTCCGCCTTAGCAGCCGACCTGCCCCGCTCGAGGGCACTGGCACTGACGCTGATGCAAGGGGAGATAAAGGCCGAGAACACATGTTGGATGATCGTGGATGGTATTGGCGCCAACAATTGGATGTCGACGAAGACGGGCAATTTAGACCAGCCTGACTGAGTAGGGAGGTCGTTAGGTGCTGTTGGCTGAACAAGCATCGTTGGCCAACCCTGCTATGGCAAGTTGAGGGCCAGCTGAAGTGAGGCTCTCAGGCCTCACCGATGTGGGTTCCGTGACCGTGCGTGGGCAAGGTGGGCAGGGTGACCTTGCCACACCGAGGGAGGACGAGATCAAGAATGCCCTGGCGATATGCCTTGAGGCGAGTGTTGGAGCCTGGAGGGAAGTTTCACCTTTTAATATCTCTTTCGAGCGTGTTGATCCTTGAGGCCAGAGCGGATGACAATGGTGATCGTCAGAACCATCATTATCATATCACTCGTGCATGCAGCTGTGGACGGCCTCCCGAGGCAAGACCCGACATGAGACCCCCAAGTTGAGGGCCCACGATCCATCGACCCCGTCGCCGATGCGACTCATGCACCGGGCAGTCGGTACGGTACGCAAGGCAGGTCGATGCATTCTGCTGTCATCACCTTGAATTTGCCCAGGAAGGATGCGTGTTTCGGGTTGCTCTCCGTCGATTTCTGCGCAGCTGGAAGGATGAGATGACGACAGGACGGCCCTAGGTATGTTGCAGCACGCAGCACCGTGTCTCTGGGCGTGGGATGTGGCCGGCTGGTTTGTGTATGTGTATATGTATCACGGCACCGGTGTAACGAGGAGTGCGGTGCACAAGTCGGAGGAATAGCCAGAGCGGGCCCGATGGAGGTGCCACCGCGTCAGCTAATCTGGGCGGAAGGGCATGCCTCGCTGGCTTGCTGGCTTGCTGGCTCGCCGACTCGCAGGCTCGCAGGTGTGTCTAGGCCCCCAGGGCCCCCAGCGGATGGTGATTGGGCCGGGCAGATGCTGTCATTGCGCAGGAAGGACAGGGGGATTCGAAATCCTTCGCGCAGTTTTGGGTTACCAGCAGACCAGGAATGCAGCAGAAAAATCGGCAATGTACGTGGTGGGCTCCGGTGGCCCTGGTGGCTCGTGTGATTTCGTGTGGTTCCAAGGGGTCAACCAACGTGCATGTTGGTTGGTAGTGGCTCTTGTCTACGTTGCATCGGATAAAAGTTGAGTGTGATGGTCTGGGATGAAAGGAGATGGAGATGTTGGTGTTGGTGTTTCCAGGATGGGGAGATGGAGATGGTGGAGAAATGATTATCGGTCAGTACCTGGGCTCGAGCTGGGTAGCGTTGGGGTGCAGCTGCACAGACATTGACTGATTGACAGACAGACAGACACAGACACACAGAACTGACAGAACTGACAGCAGGCAAAAGACACGACTGTGAGAGCAGGTGCGGGTGCTGGTGCTGGTGCTGATGCTGGTGCGGGGTACGTACCTCCTGCACGACAGTAGCACAAAAAGGTACGTATCTGGGCAGGTGGGGAAGTCCAAAGCCGCTAGGGGAACAGCCGAGAAGGAGCCACGTCTGATTGGAGGACCTGCCTCACTTAACCGCGCAAGATACGTATCGCCTACAGAACGGCCCCGGATTGGGCCGACACAGCCGACGTTCCTTCCTCCGGGCCCGCAGGTCCCCAGGTACCAAAATGTCTGCCTGGAAGTACCCTTGCACTGCTTCTGCGTGGGCGTCAGGGCCTTCAGGGCTGCAGGAGGTACTTGGTTGACACGGCAAGGGCACTGCTGACGGGCTATATCCAGATGGGCAGGGCAGGGGCAGGGCGGGGCAGGACAGGGAATGCAAGGGAAGGAGCTCAGCCCCCGGCCCGTCATGACTGCTGTTGCTGCTGCTGTTTGTGGGTGTTTCTGTTTCTGTTTCTTTTTTCGTTGCTGATGCTGATGCTGTGCAGCGTCCCTGGGCCCTGGGCCTGAGCTCTGAGCTCTGAGCAGCCCACTGCTGGAGATTTTGCACCTGCCCGCCAACCCGCCTTGCATCGTGACTGAAGCTTCCAATCCCGAGCTCACACATCCATACCCACTCATCTCAACAGGGCGAGCACGTCGATCACGTTGAATGTTCATGTTTTCGTCCATGTTCCTGTCTACAACCTTACTATCCATGGCCTGCTGTCAAAAACCAGGACAGGCCTGTCTGAACAGCAACCATCGTCGCTGTGATCAACTCCAACTGTTCCATCAGTTTGCAGTATCCTGTGTGGTGTATGCGACGGTTCCATCGCGTGCCTAACACGACCCAACGGCTCGTCTGGAGAGGTCTCGCCACGATCCACAGTATTCTTCGATGTGGCGATTTTGGAGGCTCAAACGCTGGTCCCTGGCCCCCGGACGCGGCCCAGACTGACATGATGAATTGATCTTGGGCAGGCCCGTGGAATGGGCCGCCCTCGTCCACTTTCTCGCCCCCAACCCGACGACCACGTCCTCAGTCTTACAGTACGACACCCGTGTCTGTATCTGTATCTGCATCTGTGTCTGTGTCTCCTGCTGCCGCTGCCGCTGCCCCCGCCGCCGCCGCCGCTTGCTGCAAGCAATCTGTGTGCAGGCAGACAGACAGACCGACCGATCGTGTCTCTCGACAGGGGTTGGCCTCGAGACGCATGCTCGCCGGCTGGTGACTTAGATCTACCGGTACTTGCATACACGCACACGCGTACAACACATCACAGTACATACCGTCATTGCTCAGTCTCGTTGTAGCACAATCGAGGCTGAGGTGAGCTCGGCCTCGATCCCGCTGCGTGCCAGAGAGTCCACTTCAACATGGCCGAAGCCTGTCGTCATGTCAGGACAGCCACATCCTGTGGCCCATCCCATCTCACGGCCTCAGGACATGAAGGACCTCAATCACCAGGTCCATGTCTAATGTCTGGGTCGATTGAGGTTGTCGAGGTGCAGCTTCGGATCCAGATGGTGGAGGTTTTCGACCACGACGCCACAAATCCAAGCCATCGACAACGTCTTCGCGAAGGCGGTGGAATTCCGGTCTTACTTGCATGGCCAGGTTCCTTTTAGCACCCGGCCTTCGCCTCAGGACTTTCCAAATCCCCCTGGGCGCATCAGCAGTAGCAGCAGTAGCAGCGGCATCAGCATCAGCAATAGCAATAGCAATAGCAATACTGCACGCATCATCAGCAGCCCACTCACATCAGCTTCTCACTAGACCACTCCAAATTCACACCCACCCATCCCACCCACCAGCTCTACCACCCTGGTGCCTGCTAAGCAGCCGAGTCGCACCCGCATGTCCAGGTATCCCTGCGAAGCCCACACCAGCGCTGCCGCCGTCTCTCAACGGCCCGCTGCGATTGACCTCGAGGGCAGCATAGCTCCGTAGCAAACTAGTCTCTGTCCTGGCATCTGGACCGCCTCTTAACCGCCATCAGGAGATGCTATTGTTGGTGCAGGGGCGCGGCACCAACTGCTCGGCGCACACAGCGAAGACCCGCAAAAATCTGGTTCGCACTCCACATGGACCGCCTTGTGCAGGGCGGGGACTGTAGACTGCAGAACGCACTCACCACACTTCGCTGTGCTGCACAGCACTGCAGCCGACAGACCAGTCTGCACCCACAGCACAGCAGCACGCTGGCTCCGTGTCTGCTGGGCGTCATGTCACCTTGGAGACAGAGACACACACACACCACCTCGTGAGGCAGGGCAGCCACTCGCACCCGCCCGGCATAAAATACACGTCCGCTGTAGATACATGCGTGCCAGGCCAGATTACATGGTGCCTGATCTGTATCACCTCCTGCCACCACTAGAGTGACATTGACACCTCGGGATCCACTTCCACCACCCACATCGACACCAAGACGGATCCTTTCTCACGTCTCTGTATTCCTGCGCCTGTCGCCTCTCCTTCTCCAAGTGGTCCCTGGAATCCTCCTTCTCTGCCCTTCCACTTCTGGCCAAACCTCTCATCAGCTGTCAGTCCCTTGTCAGCCGTCTTGTCACTTTCCTCGCCAACCTTCCACCAAACCCAATCTTGCTGACATCCTGCATTAGACTTTTTTCTCCCACTCTCAACCTTCTTCTTCCACTCTTCCGACAGCTACTCTACCTCTCCCTTACTGCCCGCCTGTTTTTGCCTACTGACGCCTTTTTTCCCCTTCTATCATCCATGCCGGCATATCAAATCGATAGCCAGCCATCTCCTTTCCGTTATTTCCACCTAGGCCTAGGCGGCTGTACTATACCAGAGATACCCAGACTTTTTGTTTCTGCTTGCCCGCATCGCTGTGTCTTGCCATGACCTGCCAGCTGAGCAAAAGCCAGCAGTCTCCGCGTTGCTCACCTTAACTCGCCTCATCTTACCCGCGCTGACATAGTCGCTCGCTCGCTCACTGTTGTCATCGCACGCGTCCCTTCACGTCCTTCCACCTTCCACCCTTGCGCACGATATTCCTCTACCTCATCCTCATACTCATCCGCCTTTGACGACACATTTCATACACGTCATGGCAGAAGACCGGTCAAAAGCCAAGCGCAGCTCCCTACCCCGGATCGATACCGTTTCCCTATCTACCAGGCAGCCGGAGCAGCAGGCCGGCATCGCAAACGACGACAACCAGCAACAACAGACTCGTCCCCACACGCTGGAGGACCGCATTCTCACCTCCGTGGCTAGCTCCCTTTCATTGTCTCCGGACAAGCTCCGCGAATCCTTGTTGTCCGGTCGTTCTGGGGATCAGGAGTCAGCTGCGACCAATGGGGGCACGCCATTTGCCAGGGCTTTCGCGGAGGAAGATGTTACCATCCAAACCAAAGTAATAGCCGGCTCCAAGACGCTTGCTGATGTTGAGACTCGCGTGATGCCGTACTCTGCACATTCCTTGCATGGGTCACTTGTTCAGCCTGACGAAGACAACGACCACGACTCCTCGTCGGAAGATGAGGAAAGCGAAGGAGCTGAGGTTGACGTTCGCTCGGCATCCGTCATGATCGCACCCGAGAAAATACATCGGGCCAGCCGCATGGATTCGAATCGACTACGACCCAAAAGACAGGAAGTCAAAGGACACTCGCGAAATGCAAGTGCCACATCAGCCACTCCAGTAATCCATCTTGACAATCCCAGTGAGGTCGAGCTCTTCCTTGGTTCCGAGAATGCCGTATCAAAAGTAGTAGTTTTGAAGCCAAGGGCCGGTCTCTTTGATGAGAAACTGGTCGCTTGCCTGACACTCAGCAGCATCCCTCCCCGGGAACCGGACTCCCCCAAGGTCGAGCTCGTTTCTCCATCGCAGATGTTCTTTGCCGGTTCTCAGATAGCAACTATCAAACATAATCTCAGAACATTACCAACCGTCGAGGCAAAGGCCATACCAGAAGTGTGGGTACCACTGGACGACCTACCTTCTGTGCCCGAGACTGGCGAGATCGACCGCAGGAAACTCCGCACGTGGGTGCAGAATGCCAACCAGGATATCTACGAGAAGGTCATGGGCCTGTGCACCGATCAACCCTTGCAACCACCAGTGACCGAGATGGAGAAGAGTATACAGAAGCTGGTCGCCAGGGTATTACAGGTACCTCCAGATCAGGTCGGCATGAACTTCACCTTTGCACAGTTCGGGGGCGACGAGGTGACCGCCATGGCGCTCGTCACAAACTCGAGAGTTGAGTCGATATTCTTGGAGAGCCATGAGATCCTGCAATCGAACAACACGCTTGCCCACCTTGCTTCCCTGGCTACCCAACGAGGTGGGCTGGCGCATAAGTGGGCTGCCGAAGGAGAAGAGAAAATCGCCGTCGATGGCGAGGATAGCTCACCATTCCATTACTTTGAACTCTCGCCCATGCAGAAGCTATACTTCAACACCAGAATGGGCAGCGACTCGGTCAGCCGCGCTGCCGGTGACGGCAGCTACCGCTTCAACCAGTCTCTTCTACTACGTGTGGCAAAGTACTTCTCCGTGCAGGATATTTCAGCTGCTACCGACGCGGTAGTAGGCCACCACTCCATGCTGAGAGCAAGATTCTCCCGCGTCCGCAATGAGTGGATCCAGCGAATATTACCTGAAGTTGACAGCTCATATTCCTTTACGCACTACACCATCAGCACGAACGAGCAGCTTGAGTCCGCGGTCCACCAGGTTCAAATATCACTCAATATTGAAGATGGGCCTGTCTTCGCTGTGGCACACTTCTCCACTGCGGACGGGCACCAAATGGTGTACCTCGCCGCACATCACCTTGTCGTGGATCTGGTGTCGTGGCGGCTGATCATTCGGGACCTGGACGAGCTCCTACAGAGCGGCAGCCTATTGTCTCAAAGGTCGATGCCATTCCAAAAGTGGACAGAACTGCAGAGACTCGACGCACAGATACCCTCGGGTGGCTTGCCTTTCGACATCAGCCCGGGAGACTTGGAATATTGGGGGTTGTCTGATTCGCCGAACACCTACGGGGATGCCAACGAGGCCAGTTTCTCTCTGACTGCGGAGCTGACGTCCATTCTGGAGACGACGTGCAGTCAAGTACTGCAGACGGATGCGATTGATATCTACGTTGCTGCACTGATGCTCTCATTTGCCCAAACATTCCCTGACAGGAATGTACCAGACGTGTGGAACCAAGAGCACGGCCGCGACTTGTGGAGTAACGATATTGACATCAGTGAGACGGTTGGGTGGTTTACCACACTATGCCCCCTGAACCAGCAGATATCCCCATCTAGCGACTTCATAGACATTCTACGGCGCATGAAGGATACACGAAGAGCGGTGCCGCACAGAGGTGCACATTACTTCGCTAGCAAATTTTTTCCCCGCGATAACCAATCCACCACTGAGCTCGACCGCCCACGGTCTCCCAATTTTCTACAGATTGCGACACACGATTGGCCCATTGAAATTCTTTTCAGCTATGCCGGAAGCCTACAAAATCTTGGTAAAGACCCGTTGAGTGGCGATGGTATTCTCGAGCAGATGATCCTTCCCGGACGCACGCTTGATTCGCCAACCTCCGACATTGGCCCTGCTGTGGGACGCATCGCTCTTTTCGAAGTGAATACCACTATCGATCAGGGTGCTGCGAAGATCAAGTTTCTGTACAACCGAAATTCCCTTCACGCAGAGAGGATCACCGCCTGGATCAACAACTACGAGCATCTTCTCCTCGAGGCCATTGGCCGTCTCCGCTTTCACGAGCCAGAGCTCACGCTGGCTGACATTCCGCAATTATGGGCCACAGGTGTCACATACGAGGGCTTGGACAGACTGAATCGAGTCATTGTTGCAGATTTGGGATTGAGCAGCGTGAAGGACATCGAAGCTGTGTACCCACTGACACCGGTGCAGCAAAGTGTCCTGGTATCCCAAGACCGACAAATGCGCTTCCATGCCGGAGTAAATGGTGGTAACGATAATTACAGCTATGTGCCTAACCCGAGCAACAACGGAAATGCGAACGCCTGTCACATTCACACGATGTACGAGTGTGCAAGCTCAGATGGCGCACCGGTCGACCTGGAACGGATCTGCGCTGCATGGGGTCAAGTGGTCGCCCGGTATCCAGCGCTCAGGACCGTGTTCATTGACAGCGTTGCGGAGAATGGGCTCTATAACGCCGTGGTATTGAGACGATCGAGCCCTAACATGCTATTCCTTGACGCTACGCCTAGCGAAGACCCGGTCGACACTCTGAACAATCTTCCTCCGCTCACGGCCTGCCCTGCGCTGAAGAGTGTACCACGACACCGTCTCACCGTGTGCCACTCGCCCATGAAGACTGTCATCAAGCTAGATGTCTCTGCGGCACTGTGTGACATGATGAGCGTGAATGGGCTGATTGCTGACCTGAGAAGGGGCTACGCCACAGGACGCGCATTACCAGTCACTAGTGGTGATGCTTCGGTATTCTCATACTCCGGCTATATCGACATCCTGCGCGGCTTAGATCGGGAAAGAAGTATCGGATGGTGGCGAGATACGTTGGCAAATGTTACCCAGCCATGCCTTTTCCCGAGGCTGGACTTCTACTATGGCGGTGCAAACAAGGATGCAACGTCCTCTCGACGATACGACAACGTCCATGTAGAAATCAACGATGTTCCGTATTTCAAAGTTGCGGAGTTCGGGAGGGCGAACAAGACGACCACCGGCGCGATTCTCAGGCTGGCATGGGGCTTGGTTCTGCGAACTGTCACTGGCACTAGCTCTGTGTGCTTTGGCTACAGGGCACCCGGACGATCTGCTACATTAGAGGGGATGAGGGCTGCGGTGGGATGTTTCGCGAACACTATCGCTGTGGCTTTTGATCTGTCGCCTTTCAAGCCCCTGGCCATTGTTTTAAAGCAGATCGAAGACATCTACAACGCCGCTTTGCCACACCAGCACATCACCATGGCCGAGGTCCGACACGCGCTCGCAAGCGGAAAGAAGGGAGTCGCTGTGGACGTTCAGCTTTTCAACACTGTCCTTGCGTTCACAGAAGAATCGGCCGATCTGAACAGTCGTCTTGGTTCCCGGACGAACTTCGAGTTACGAAATGTGCTGAACCACGAGACCAGTGATTACGACCTGACCATCAACACCCGCTTTAGCAACGCCACTGGAAAACTGGTTGTCGATGTTGGACACTCAATCCTTTCCGAGGCCCAGGCGCACAACATCGCCAACACTTTTGGCAGAGCCGTCAGCGCCATCATCAAGTGTACGGTGCCATCTGCGCACATCGGATCCCTTGACCTGTTTTCTGACCGCGATTACGCTCAAATCGTCAAATGGACTACCCCTGCCGATAAAGACAACCAGAACCAGCAGCGGACGTTGTTGCACGAGCTAGTGTTTGCGCAGAGTATCACGCGCCCAGAGTCAAAAGCAATTTGTGCCCATGATGGCGACCTCACTTACCTTCAGGTCGAAGTTCTCTCCCACAGACTGGCACACGTGCTCCTTGAAGCAGGCGTTGTACCCAAAGGAAACACCAAAGCGGCCATCCCAGTGATTCTCGACAAGTCAAAATGGGGTCCCATCGCCCTTCTTGCTGTTTTGAAGGTTGGTGCGGCTTTTGTTCCAGTGGATGCTGACGAAATGGGTTTCGTTGCCAAGATTGCGGAGCAACTGGGTTCGAGCTGCAGAGTTGCCGTTGCCTGCACATCCGCTGCCGACGCCCTTGACAACTTCACAGAGCCAGCACCTCTGTTCGACCGCGTGGTTCGCCTCGATGATGCGCTTATGAAGCGGCTGGAGCGAGAGGCGCCTGTGCCGGGACAGCTCCTTCCGCCTAGCAAACCTGAGGATGTGGCTTGTGTCTTCTTCACACCTACTTCTTCTAGATCAGTGCGCGGTATCAGCTTCACTCATGCATCTTTATCGACTGCCTTCATCGGACAAGGACCTGCTGCGGGAATTAACAACACGACGCGTGTGCTGCAGCTGTCAAGCTTCAACGTCGATGTCGCTCTGGCTGAAATCTTCACGACACTTGTCAGCGGCGGTACCATTTGCATCCCGACCTCGAGAGACAGGTACAATGACTACACTGGCTGCGTGTCAAGGTTTAGCGCAACATGGAGTTACATGACGCCTTTGCTAGCCCGAAAGCTCAACGTTGATCTTCTGCCAAGCCTCAAGACTGTGTGCTTCCGCACGCGCGGGCTCGATGAAGATACGTACGCTCCTTGGCGCGGAAGGAAGAGGGTCGTCATGGCGTACGGTGCACCAGATGTCTGCCCATTGGGAATTTCCTTCCTGGAGATTCATGGCCCACATCACTTGAAGGCCATCGGACGACCGATCGCAGGGTCGGCGTGGATCGTTTCTGGGGAGGATCACAGAAACCTCATGCCCGTTGGAGCTGTCGGAGAAATGGTAATCGAGGGACCAACGCTGGGTAGGACGTTCCGGCGGTCGTACCTAAACGGTGATCACGAGGACTCTCGAGATGTGGCCGAAACCCCGGTGTCTCCCGAGAGCCGAAGCCCCTTCTCCGCCGCAAATGCACAAGGTCACAGTCGTCATCGAAGTCTCGATGACGCTGTTGCGTCGGACGAACAGAAGGAAAGCAAAAAGCGCTATTACAAGACCGGCCACAGCGTGCGATACATTGAAGGCGGACTCATGGAATACGTCTCATCCAAGCGTGACGATCTTGAGATCAATGGACGCGTGGTCAATCTTGCCGAGCTGGAGCAGCAGATTCGTCGGGCGCTTGGACAGGGGGTCGATGTGATGGTTGAGGCACTTGCTTTCAAGGGCGAACGAAGCAGATCCCCGACGCTCGCGGCGTTTCTCGAGCTGGGAGGCGATGCGAACGCGTCCCTCGGTCAACACAGTCTTGATCTGTCGAACCTTTCCCCTGAGATCAAGCATCGGATCTACATCTCCAGACAACTTGTTGAAAAGACCCTGTCTGGTGTCGTGCCCGACTTCATGATCCCCAAAATCTTCATCCCCGTCCGACACCTCCCAACGACGTACTCGCTCAAGGTCAACCGCCGTAAGCTGCAGAAGGTCATCAAAGGCCTGTCCAGAGAGCAGCTGCTTGAGCTCGGAACAGTGGAGAGTCCCAAGCGGGCGGCGAGTATCAATGGCTTAAGGACAATGCCATTGAATGATCTGGCGGATAAGGTTAGGGCTATATGGGCCAATGTCCTAGGCGTTGACCAGAGCGCAATCGATACCGCCAATGGATTCATCAAATCAGGTGGAGATGAGATTTCGGCCGCCGAAGTCGTGGTTCAGTGCAGGAAAGAAGGCGCTGCGGTTTTTATCTCCGACCTCTTGAGTGATGTCCCGCTGGCTGAGATCTGCGTGGCCGGCAACCGCTTTGAACTTCCCGCTGGAGAGGTAAGCGCCTCTGCTGGAGACAACTCATCCATTGAACAGGCCGCAGATGAGTCTGCCGAGCCAGAGGACTATGACGAGACGAGCAGCCCCAACGCAGCGACGGCCCCGGCTCCCCAGGTCATCGAGAAGAGCTTCATTGAGAGTACACTCGCGCCGAAGCTCGGAATCGAACCTACCCTGATCAGGGACGTTGCCGAAGCGACATCAACACAGATCCGTCATATCGAGACCGCCATGATCACCCAAGGCCCCCAAAGGTCGTCATCAGTCTCGCATGGCCAGGGCCTAGCAAGCATCAACTACTTCATCTTCCACTTCACAGCCGCCAGCTCAACCACCTCGGTGTCTGCTCGCCGGATTGAAGAGGTCTGCCAGATTCTGGCTTCTGTGCACCCCATTCTTCGTACAGCATTCGTCCCACACGTCGAGGGACAGACAAGAAAAGTGTACCAGACAGTACTCAAGAACCACAGTGTTGACTTCAAAAGTATTCCACGCGTGCAGAGCTGGCGCTTGAATGCAGCTGTTGAGAAGGAGATCAAGCGCGACCGTGAGAAGCTGCAGAGCAGGAATCAGCTGGACTTGTTTGCGAGGCCGATCACGAAGTTCATCTTTCTGGATGCAGGAAAGACAAGCACTCTTGTGATGAGGTTGTCAAGGGCCCAGTACGACGATGTATCGATTGGTTTGCTTGTCAAAGACCTGAAGAAGCTGTACGACGGCGGACAAAACCCTCCTCGTCGACCGGGATTCGCGGACTTCGTCCGGGAAGCAGCACTTGCTAACGTTGACGGCGAGGCGGAAAGGTACTGGCGCGGACTTTTGGAAGGTGCACAGCCAACCTGCGTTGTGCGGCATCCCAAGCCGCCGAAGATGAGTACTGGGGTCCGCACACTGCGAGAAACGGTGCCTGTCAGCTCCACTGCCATGGGTGGTCTCGGCATTGAGTTCGACACGGTGCTTAAGGCTGCGTGGGGAATGGTCCTCGCCAGCATTTCAGGCACTCCAGACGTCGTGTTTGGCGAGGTCGTTGAAGGCTGTCACTCACGACTGCAGCACCATCTCGGCCCCTCAAGCGTCAACCGCGGCGGTGTCCTCGGTCCCACGTCAACCATCCTGCCAGTGCGCGTCCGCTTTGCCGATGCTCCAACGAGCCCGATGAATTTGCTCAAATGTATCGCCGAGCAAAGGTCGTCCGGCGTGCCATATGAGAACTTCGGCATGTTGGACATAATTGAAAAGTGTACTCCATGGCCATATTGGACGCGACTGAGTACCGTCGTACAGCACCGGACGGATCCCGAGGCAGTATTTGTGGATGATGGAAAGACGAAGAGTTTCCGGCTTGGTGCGGCGCTTTGCAGGGTCAGTGTGGTGGAGAGTGAAGCCATTGATGTGGCGGACTTCGTTGTGAAGAGTGTGATCGTGAAGAAGAAGGTACCTGCAGGCGCTGCCAGCAGTAATGCAGGTGGGAAGCTGCCAGCAGGGACAAGTTGGAGAGAGGAGGAGGAGGAGCTGGAGGTTACGGTATCTTTCCCCGAACAGTCGGTTCCCGCCACGCTCGCCCAGGAGGTTCTGAATAAGGTTTGTGGCTACGTTGGCATGTTGACAGGCTTCAGCATCATGCAGTCCGTTGTGCCGACCGCGGCTCAATACTCGACTCTGACGAAGCAGATCCCGCTCTCGCTCCCGGTATTTGCGAACAGCCCCACGTCTGCGACTTTTGGTCACGGAGTCCAATTTTCGAATCCTTTCGGTAGCGGTGGGGCTACTGGTGTCAACTTTTCCCAGCTCGAGGGCAAGATGTCACCCGACCAGACAGCGACGATCCAATCCATCATCGAAGATGCTTGGCGCAGCACACTTGACCCTCGCACGCTCGGCGTGCCTGAGGAACATGTCACATCTGCCGCATTCTACGATCTGTGGGGCTCACTGATACCTGCCGCACAATTGTCTGACTTCCTGACCGAGACGATTCCCGAACGACTTGTCGGCGATCTGACGAACAACGTCTTCGGAGGCAACCTGGATGGATTCTGCATCACCATGCAGGAGATCGTGAATCACCCAACCATGCTTGGCCAGTTTGAGCTGGTCGTGCGCAAGATCTTTGGCGGCGAAGGCCGCGACAGGTCCGGCAGCTTCAAGGGCAGCACGAGAACCAACAGCCTGCAGCACTCGGTGAGGAAGAGTAACAGTTTGACCAACGTGGCAAACGCGGCCGGGGCTGTGCGCAAGAGCAGTAGCAACAGCAGTCTTGGACCAGGACACCTCAACCGCGCAGGGACAGTTAGCACGTACGAGCCATCGAAACTAGGTCACAGCAGGACGCGGAGCGACTCGACAACAAATACGGCGGTGACGAGTTCATCCGCGGGATCACCTGCGGCAGCATCAAGTTCTATGTTCCCGAGCCATCCAGCTGTGCATCCGCCTGTCTCTCAACGCGGTGTCCAACCTGTTCAGCGCCAACACAATCGGAGCAATAGCAATGCAAGCAACACCACTCACACGACCGCTCTGACGGATTTAGCCAGTACCGCACCGGGAAGCAGCAGCGGCAGTGTAGTCACAGCACCGACCAGTGTCAGCAACACTCCTCCTTTGAGCATTACAAGCCCCGGGTCGTCGAACCCGAGCGAGCTTCAAGGATCTGCTGTACACGCCCTGCGACTCAAGCGCTCGAATAAGAGTCTCAAATCTAGCCAACCCGAGTCTCCGGTCCTTGGTGTCAACATGATGGCAAGCCCGCCACTGGTTCAAGCTGGTTTCTCAGCAACTCGAAAGAAGAGCAATCTCGGCCTGGGAGCTAGTCTGCGACGAGTGGCAAGCACGCTGAGGCCGGGAAGTTCAGGTGGGCACAGCAGGGAAAACAGCAAGGAGAACATTCTCTCGCGCTCCAACACCAACCTGCGGTCACCCGGGCTCCCGCCGCCGCCCCCTATCCCTCGCCCGAGCCTGAAATCGGCTGGGAGATCAACTTCATCTGGGAGCGATATGAGCAAGGACGTGCCGCTCCCACCAGTGTCTCCGTGGCTGAGAGTGCAGAGCATGGCGCCTCAGTTGCCACCGTTTCCTCCCTTCACACCCGTCACGGAGGATACCTTTTCAATGAACGGAAGTGCCCGTGCCAGTCCGGATATGAGTCTGGGACAGAGCAGTGTAGGGACCTCGCCGGACCTAAGTATTGAAGAAGCAGCCGAGCCGCAAAGCGATGAGAGCGGAGACACCATCGTAGAACCGAAGGCAGCCAGGAACAGCCAAGGCACGCAACCGGACGGGCAGCTCTCGCGGGCGGGGTCGTGTGGGTCGATGACGGAGGGCTCGAGCGCAGAGGACGTGGATGAGCACATCGACGACCACCAAGAAGCCGAGAACGAGGAAGAGAGCACACTCCGACCCCACCAGGCTCAGAACCTGAAATACCTGTACAGCACAGGCCTGCAACCACCGGTGCAGCTCGAGCAGCCGCAGCCCGAGGACCACCGCCAGTCCCAGCAGTCCACCAAGTCGAGCCCTTACAGGGAGACATTCTACATGGAGGAGGACGAGGAGACGGATGAGGAGGACGTGACGGAAGTGGAGGCGGAGCGCAGCGAGGAGCCGAACGATTCGCAGTACGACTCATACGAGGAGTTCGAGGACGTGCCCGAGACGCCGCGGCAGCCTTCTTCACGGCCCATCACCATGATCCACTCGCCGCTGACGAACAATACCAAGGGGGACGGCCACCATGATATCCCCCCGCAGCCACCAATGCCGGACTCGATCCCGCAGAAAAAGCAGCAGCAACAACAGGACCCTCCCACCATCAACGAGCCAAAAGCGGAAGGAGCTGCAGCAAGCGGCACGGACGTGATGGACTTTGCGGCCATCGAGGCGGCCGAGATGGACGACATGGTGTCACCGCTGACGCCAGTGGAGCGTGCCATGCTGTACAAGCAGCAGGCGATGGGAGGCCGCGGCGGCCACCACCGATCTGGCGGCGGGCGGATGAGCAACAGCGGCAACAACATCAGCCCGCTTACGCCGGGGTATGGCGTCCCGCAGCAGCAGGCACAGGCTACTGCGCAGGGGATGATGGGCGGGTTCCATGCGATGTGATGATTTTTGGGGGGTTTATGTGGGAGCACTGTGAGTTGGGTGATTGATCTTATGGCATATATGCCTTTTCGGATTTTGTTTTTCTATCCGCGTCTTCTATTCATAGTTTTGTCTTTTGTTTTGTCTTTTGTTTTCCTTTGGTATCAGCCTGGAATGTTTTGGATTTCTTTAGATCTGCATATTCAAGGGAGTTTTTGGTTCGTGTGATTAATGCATGGGATGATATCAAGTCAGGTCTTCTATTTTTCTCTCTGGTCTTGGGGCTTCTGTCTGCCTGCGTTGCCTATTTTGGGAAATCTATTTCATTCAGTTTTTTCTTTCATTTTGATTCCGGTGCACCGTCTGCAACGCGACAAAATGCCCCGTCAAGACTTTGGACGGATAGCGGTTTCTAAGCCTTTTACATCCACACCTCACGTGTGAAGCATACACTGAATTTGACAAGCATACTGCTTCTTCGACCCGATTTACACTGATATAATGCGACGATTGATGTGCTGTATCATGACATTACTGTATCCGAGCCGTGTTTTAGATTTCGTAAGCTGAATACATATATCACCATCGACCATATACCGTCTAGTCTCGTTGACATCGTGTGACCGGGGTCTCTGCATTTCCCTCTCTGCCTTTCTCTATCTATCTAATGCTCGTAGTCGTTCGTCCACAAGATTCGACGCCAAGTAAACATGCCATGGATCATTTATCCGCGCATTCCCTGGACGCCTCCCATGTCAGTATGCGGGTTCTGGATGTATAATGCTATTATATGAAGTCCTGTTTCAACCTCGCGCCCCTTTCCCGCATCTTGCGGTGATAAATGGCCTGCGCTAGCCTGCCTGCCCAAAAAAAAAAAGGGACGGTGGCGAAGAGGCACACTGGCACCCCTCGCCCCGTTTGTGTTCATCCCCAGGATCCAACCCGTACTTTTGACAGCCTTGGGCTGCCATGGCCCCCCCCCCCCCACGAGTCCATCCTCGACGTGGTTGAGTTAAAACGTATACGCTTTGCTTCCATCTCATCCCGTCCCCGGCCCAGCTTCACCTCGATGGCAAGAGATGATAGCGCCCCTTCATGACGCCGCCCAAGCCGAAGCGGCCCCTCCGGAAGCGGCCCCACTCGGGCCGCAGAGCGACGACGAGAAGCAGGGCCAGCAGGCCCACGCCGGCGACGAGGAAACTCACCGGGGGGGATGGCGCGAGGCCGCCGCCGCCGACGAGCTTGCTGCTGCTGCCGCCGGAGGAGGAGGCGGCGAAGCCCGGGATGGTGTTGGCGGGGGGCACCTCGAGCGGGGCGGCGCCGTAGTGGAACTTGTCGTGCAGGACCTGGGTGTAGGCGCGGGCGATCTGGAAGTCGCCAAGGGAGTTGGGGTGCAGGCCGTCTATGCCGGCCGGGCAGGATGTTGTGTGGCCTGCGGGAAGGGGACGGAATTAGCATGTGGATCTGACAGCAGTGAGGCATCCTAGCTCAAAGCGAGGGATCACCCCGAGAGAGGGGGGAGGAGGAAGGTTGGGCGGGGGGGGGGACCCACAGTCGTAGACCTCGCTGACCTTGACGACCTCGACGGGGCTGTCGGCGGTCCACCACTCGGCGGCCTTGGCGTCCAGCAGGGCGTTGTATTGCTCGGTGGTGCCCTCGATGTCTTCCCTCCCCGTGACGGCGAGGCGGTGCGACACGTCGGCGATGAGGACCTTGATGTCGGGGCGGGCGAGGCGGGCGTTGAAGACGAGGCGCTGGATGCTGAGGATCAGGTCGCTCGCGTTGTTGCCCCACCAGCCGATGTCGTTGAAGCCGAGGTGGAGGACTATTATGTCTGGGGAGTACGTGGTGATCTGGGCGTGCAGCGGCTCGATGTCCTGCCAGGCCGGGCGGCCGTAGACGGCGAAGTGCGAGCTGCCGCCGCCGGGGGAGAAGAGTGGTGACACGGTGGGGTGGTAAGTGCCCCAGGTCTGGGGGTTGGTCGGGTCGACGTTGATTGCGTCTACTGAGGCTGGCAGGGTGCCGTTGAAGGGGCCTACGTATTGGAGTGTTGGGAATATGTTGATGTTACTGTTGGCATTGGCATTGGAAGAGGCTGTGGGCGAGGATGGTTGTGGCGGGCGAGATTGCGATGTTGGTGATGTTGTTGTTGTTTGGGAGCTGGACTGGTCGTTGTTTTGAAACCATTCCCACAGTCTGTAGCGCCATGTGAAATCACCCTCTCTTCCCTGGGAGATGGAGTCGCCGCAGACGAGGATCCTGACAGTGCTTTGGTCTGAACTTGTTGCAGCTGCTGGGGGATTGGCGTTGCTGCCGATGTCAGGGACAGCGAGGCCACTTGTGAAAGGCGCCGCCATCACGGCCATGATGCCGGAGCGCAGTGCTGAGGCTCGCATCTTGGTGATGTTCGAATGTCTCACATCGCCAGCCGCTAGCTGTCAGTATCAACTACACGACAGTACAATACAGTATATAGTCTATTATTGTCATTCAACACGTGAAAGAGAGAAGTCTCGGAACCACGGCCTTCGTTTTGTGGGGGGAAAGAGGAAGCGAAGAAGGGGGGTGGGCTGTTATTGACTACCCCGAGCCATTGTCGCAGTAGGAGCAGAGGCAATAGAACAAGGCTAGGACAGATGAGGCATCAAGATTCAAGAGAGGGCAAGAGTGTGCAAGCATGTGCAGGTATGCAAGTGTGGTGCATGAGGCGGTTGGTTGCAACCAAGCGATCCTTCGCTCGTGGTGATTGTTGTTATGAGGCGGCTGGGTGATGGTTGCTTGACGGGTGTGGAGAGCTGGAGGCGGCTCGGGAGAGGAGAAAGCAGGGAAATTATTACTGTGGTAGAGGCACCAGATACAGATACAGATAACCAGGCAGCCAAACAAGGTACCCCTCCCCCACGGGGATTTAACCTTTCCACATGTGAGAAACGGGGCCCCCTTGTCGAATGTCCAGGTCGACGTCAGCTCTGCAGCAAAAAAGTCAATCAATCAAGCAGTTAGTTAGTTCTTAATCAAGCTGATGCCGAGGTTGTCAGCACAGCCGTTTTGCATTCCTCAGACACCCAACGAGAGAATAAGACGGACTGAGCTTGGAGAGTCAACAACAACTCTCACTGTCGCTTCGAGAGAGGAAGAAGCACCCAACACCAAGACCCACACACCTTCACAAGCCTCGACTGACATGTCCTGGCGCAAACTCAGAGCCCCTGCCACGCCCGCGCGAAGGTTAGGTTACGCTTACCCGGTTGCACTTCGAGGCCAAGCCCGTCAATGTCACCGTCAGCAAGCCAGCCAAGAGCCAGCCAGAGGCTAGCCACCTGGCCAAGGGCCCGTCACTCTGGTTGCACAGATGCGGGGAACACTGACGTCCCAATCCGCCTTGCCTTTTCCCTCCCCCCTTCCCCCAAAATCTGCACGTCAAAACGGTCGACCGTTGAGAATCAGAGCTCCCCTCTGCCAGCCGATTCCTCCGACCTGCTCCTCTTGGCCTAGATAATCATGTACACAGGAGATAGCTTCCCGTCTTACCCCTGTGCCTGCGCCTTGGCGATATTCTGATCTGGAAAGGAAAAACATCTTCCGAGACAGTCGTCAACTACATCGTGCCGTGCCGTGTATTGTGCCGTCTGCCCACTACCTGACTGGCCATGTGATTGTTGCTTCGGCTACACTCCTGTGATATTGTGTCGCCCCTGTGACACGTGTGCAGATTGTCCATACAAGTTCAGGAGCATCTAGAAAGTGAACCCTTCAACCCAGTGAGCCCAAGGCTCTGTTCAAACTGGTGTGGAATGTCTGTCGTCAGTGCCACAGCAGGCAGTCTACCACGATAGCCGCTCAATTGAATCTGCCTATGGTGGTATGCTTTCCGATCTTTCAATGCCGAATCGAACTCGACAGCAGCAAGGTCTTGATTGCCACGAAGCCTCTGAGTTGCATTCAGCCTCGCCGCGTCTGTCATTTCCCCTTGCGCTCCGCTTTGCGCCAGTCTCGTTGCGCGAAGCGAGGCTGGACCACGTACACTGCTAGGTGCCCGAAGTTCTCACGAAGCTCCTCTATCGACTTCATCGGTCCGTAATTAATAATGGAGGCTTGCCTGTAAGTAGTTGATCATTCGGATCAGCCGATGTTATTTGGCGTAATGCTGGAACGAAGAGGTGCTTGGGACGCAGCACAATAAGAATTTATAAAATTAAGATATTAAAATACTTCATCGTAAAATTTATTTATATAATATATGCTATTTTCTTTCTTCAAAGCAAAAACTTCTTCCAGCCCTCGGATTGACCTGTCGAGAAGAACACAGGCTTGCGGCCTCTCGCCATGTCATATCTCCCGGCGCTGCACACGCGGCAGCCTTCGAAATTGCCGAAGTCGAAATGGAGAGTCGAAGACACCGGGACCATCATCAGCCATGAGAACACTTTGGAACACTTTGGCCATGGTTATGTCCAAAGCATACCCTTCCAGATAGAGTATAACCGGAGAGTGACAGCAGAACGATATTCCTGGATTTTCTTGTGTTCTCAATACATGTCGGGCATCAAGACCAGCTTGAGTTGTTATGGCAAAATAGTGAATTGCTTTGGAACCCTGTGGTCGGGGAATTCTTTTTCGACGATCCGCAATGACTTGATGTTTCTGCAAATGGATGCTGTGTGAATCTGAACAATACTACGAGAACACCTTCTTAGGCAGATGCGTGGGGAAGGCCATTGAAAGGAACAGTAGCTGACCGTCGCTTCAATCGGGTAGAACCAAGGTCTTTTCTGTGTCTGTGCGTTATGCTATGTTATCTGGCCGAGATACTGGACAAGCGTCTAGGATCACCAAGCGCTGGATCCGGTGATGTGCACAGCATGCACTGGCAAGTAGATGTGTAGCAGGCCCTGCACAGCAAGCTCGTGCTACTTGAGGGAGAAGGATCGTACATGTACCTAAAAGCGACTTGCCTAACAACTCGTGTTGAGACGGTCTATTTTAATTTGGTCAGTCAATCCACCATGGTGAAGAACTGAGTAGTTGCAGTCGCTGCTTGTGATCACGATCGTGGCAGTGGGCATGTGAACATTGGAACGTGGAACAACATTACTTATACCGATGTAATACCTCGGCTATTGCTCGATCACACAAGATCTCTACGTGACGAAGCTCTATTCGTATTTACCGGAAACGCGAAAGAAGGGCTATACTATAGGTCCCAATTGAACTCCTACACCTTCGATCCCTTTCCTGGACCAGGATTCCATGCACCTCATGAACAGCTAGAGCTTCAGCTACAAACAGCGACGGTTGTGATCAACAGCAGCGCTTTCATCTTTGCCTCTGTGGACAAAAGTTTTGGTTGAATTTTCAACCAAATTATAAAGCTGTTCAACTTGGCCCATCATGTTGCAGTTGGTCTCGGAGCAGTATGCTACTTGGCTGGCCAAAAGTCAGCTTTTCCGTCTCCTTGCGCGAAAAACAAAGCATGATCTGCCTCTTGACCTTCGCGATTCCGTGGAACCGAATTGGTCGGTGCCGGTGCTGGCAACGCTTCTGGCGTTTGTGGTTGTTGCATTCCTACTGCTCGCTTGCTCAGTCACAAGATATTTCCATCGCAAGCACAAACTGCAGCTGCCACGGATACGCATGGAGGAAGGCTGGGACTACCCAGCTCTTCTCACAGAGGGCGCGCGAAGGTACCCGAACTCTCCATATATCATCACTTATAGCGGGTACGAACACGTGGTCTTCCCATCCTCATCCTTCGACGAAGTCAAGCGCCTGAGTGTGTCCCGGGCCTCGACGATCGCCTGGTTCAACCAGGCATTTTGGCAAGGATGGGCGTTCTATGGTACCGATAACCATGCTCGATACCACACCGTTGCCATCGGTCTGTCCGTGCTCTTCCCTCACGCGTGTGGATGCGCCAGGACAGTGCCAAGGCAGCATTCGAGGCCGTACTGGGACCTCAGGGTACCAGCAAGGACTGGACGACCGTGTCTCTATGGAGAACTGTACAGAGTATTGTGACCCTTATGAATGCCTCCGATCTGTTGAGGCCCGAGCTTGGGATTGATCCACGCTGGCTGAAAGCTACACATCGCGTTGACAGGGCCATGATGGTCGGCGTCGTGGGGTCTCATTACACACCTCGAAATTTGCGGCCGCTAGTAGCGCCTATTTTCTTCCTGCCAGCAAAGGTGGTGGACTGGTACATGCAGTCGCTCGTCCGGCCTACGGTTGAACGAGAGCTCAAGGCCTATGAGGCGAAAGAGGCGAAAGAGGCCGACGGTGGGCACAACTCTTCCGACGACATTATTTCCACTATCGTCCAAGATGGCGGTGTCGGCACTGGCACTGAATGTCACCGGAGCATCAAAGAAAAGTTCCCCCTAACAGAATGGCTTTGGGCCGGCGCTTCCTCCCGGCACTCTCACATGCGTCGACAAATATCACTTTGCAAAGTCACAAACGGAGTATGAAGATGTAGAAGAGATGAATCCATTGCGGTTCTACAGGATGCGGCAAAGCCCGGCCACGAGGAGATGCATCAATTCGCTATGCCAGGGCCTAACAACACCATCTGGGGCAACGGCACGCAAGCATGTCCCGGGAGGGCCTTTGCAAGCATCACAATAAAGGTCGTCCTGGCTCATCTGCTCACCCACTATGACATTCGACTGCTGCCAGGGGGCGCAAACGAGCCAAAGCGTTACTCCATGCCAAATGGTTCCAATTCACCAGATATAATGTCCAAAATCATGATACGGGACCGATTTCGATAAGAATGAGCACAACGAGACTGGTATAAGCCCAAGGAAGTCCACCCATTTTCATGCCGCTGGCAAGTCAGTATCTATTCTATCCTTGATGGGACTCGGGACTTTTGTAGTTAACATTGCTCTACTAGGAGCGAGTGAATTGTAACGTCAATACGGATAATAGGGGTTGATTCACTCTCCTGCCGCGGGAATTCAAACCAAAGAACCCGCTGTTTTTGAGTTCCCAAGACGTCTTCCAGGGCTAGATTATGGACTAGATTCCTGAATACATGAAAACTCTACGAGCTAGGAAATCTTATGTCTTTGCCTTGTCTACACTTGTTCGACCTGTATACGTTCCGCCGAAAGTACAATTGAGTCGAAGTTGGGAAGCCTGGTCCCCCTAAAAATTCACTTGCTTCCCATTTGGAAGCAGACTGCACTTCGAAAGCCTGAACTACATCCACAAGTCGCCCAATCCTCTTTATTGCCTTCCAAAATCCCACACAATCAATTCTTTCTATACACTTAAGCCTCCTAAGTCTCCATCATGAACTACACTAGTGCCCACAATCGCGAGCAGATCCTCGAGTCGGCCGATGAGGACTGCGAGGATTGCAAGCAGGCTATCAAGATCGTCTGCAGCATGCTGAGCCACACTCTCATATCTGAGACTGCCAGCTTCATGACCCTTGCCTCGGTATGCACTTCTCCAAACCCAGCAACAGCCTTGCCCTCGCCCATTTCAAGCCCACAACCCAACCACGCAACAAGCGAGTCACAAGAACAAATTCATGTTTCGCTTGTTCGTGCTCAGTCAACCTCAGTCCAGAGCGCTGACACCGTGACACTGATATCTACAGCGCAAGCTCTACCCCGTGGCCATGCGAGGCAATCCGGCCACCCCGGCCGCCACCAGCCTGCGAGAGTATCACTTCATCGTCTTGATGGTCAAGCTCGCCTCCTCCCATGCCGACGGTCGAGCTCAGGACTTTGCGGATAACCGCTTCGCTGTCCACAACCTCCTCCTTGAGGAACGCCAGCACGAGCACCTCGCCGAGCACTTCCGCATGCTCATGGGACTGTGGGTCAAGGAAGCATGGGAAAAGCAGCGAGAGGAGGACATGAAGAAGCAGCAGAGGCATGCGTGGGAGAAGAAGACGAAGAAATTACAGGAGGAGCGGGAGCGGGAGCGACACGAGGCTGAGAACAGCGACCGCGACAGCAACAGTGACAGCAACAGCGACAGCAACAGCGACGATAGAGTCAACCAGGATAGCTACTCGCCTGCGTCCCATACCGTCCAGATCGACCGAGAGGACGACGATGAGATCGTGGCGCCGAATCTGTTCGCTCTGATGGCCTCCAGAGAGAATGATACCTACGAGGACGAGGAGACGGCCTCCGAGAAGGAGGAGACCTCTTCCGATGAGATGGAAACGTCTTCCGACGAGGAGACCTCGCTCGACGAGGAGATGTTTGGCGAGTAGGCCACCGCGACGAACTATGCTAGGGCCGACCAGGCTCCGCTGCAGGTATACTCATTCGCCCATACGCGAAGACCAGAAGTTAATGATCCATGCCAAAGAAGATGCACATCAAGTCATTTGCAAGCTCAACTATCAGGTGTCAATACCATCACTCAAAGATGTAAAGGGCGTTTATAGAATAGAATGCCTTAGCAGAGCGGGACGTGGCCACGCGGCCAATTCCCATAGCGGATACGAAAGCGAGCTCTTTACAGCCATAGCCAAGACAAAAAGCTTGTATGATGCGGAGGAGGTTGGCCGAGTACAAGCAGGTTTGCCGGATAGAAGGATGGTTGGGCTGACGGTACTTTGCCGAATAATCCTCGCGGATGCACGTGCTTGGGCTGTTGCTTCGGTCTGGATATGATGTCTCATCCGGCCTGGCTCCCTGATTAGCGGTGATTCGTCCGTTGTCGCACGGCACTGGCCCTTGTACCCGCAACGGGTGGTATAAGAGTCGGACCGGGAGTGGGCCGCGGACGCTCTTGGCAGAAAAATTGGCATCTCTTGACCAAGCTTGACTCGGAGAGAAAGCTCGGGCCTTGCGGCAGTCGAGCAGCGAATCTGGGGAAACCGCAACTAGTGTGTTGTATGTTTGATGAAGAAGAAGAAGTAGAAGCTCTCAAATGAGCCCTACTACTTCAGAAGACGATGAAACCGTAGTACAGGCCATGTTCTGCCTAGCACCTTGTACTGCTTGCTCATAGATTATCCAGAGTGCTGTTCAACTGCCCTCCGCTGCCGCACCGGAAGAGTGGGTACATATCAGGGGAAACCGGGGATCTGCACAATTATCTTGGAGACCCCCACAGGCATATCCCCCAGACCCCAGGAACGGCTTCCCCAGTGACGACATAGCGGACCCTTGGGCGGTGTATTCTTTGCCGAAGTTCACGATTCTCCCCGATATAAAAGCAGCGAGAGCCGCGAACGGGCAAGACAAGATGAGTTCCTGCAGCAAGGCCCTCCTCATCATGTCTCTCACGATGCGCAAGACTCTTGCCGCTGCGGCACTCCAGCTGCCCCTCGTCTTCTCGCAGGCCACGCTTGAGGTCTCTGCTGAGAACACGTGCGTCGTCCAGCCCGGCCCCAACGGCACTGACTCGGCGCCGGCGATCATTGAAGCCTTCCACAAGTGCGGGCACAATGATGCTGCCAACAGAGGCAAGGTCGTGTTCCTCAACCAGACCTACACGGTCAAGACGGTCATGAACACGACTGGTCTTAGCAACGTCGACGTCGATCACCAGGGCACCCTCCTGTGGGATCAGAACGTTGAGTACTGGCTCAACAACTCCCTTCCCGTAGGCTATCAGAACCAGAGCAGTGCCTGGCTGTTCGGCGGAGAGGGAGTGAGGTGGGATGGTCATGGTTATGGTAGTCTTGACGGCAATGGGCAAGTTTGGTACGACTACATCAATGGAACCAACAACTACCCTGGTCGTCCACACTCAATCACCTATACCGGTGTGAGGGACACCGTTATCGAGAACCTGAGATTTGTCCAGAGTCAGATGTGGTAAGTATCCAGCATATGCAGCGCAGATCTCTCAGTGCATCCTAAATGTGAATAATTACTCACTTTCATTTTCTAGGACAATGACGATCATCCACGCCGAGAATGTGCTATTGGAGAACATCTACGTCAACAGTACAGACTTGGAGCACCCTGTTGGGTTCGACTTCTCGTCTTTGAATGTAAGAAACCCAAATTTGACAGTATATGGTGGCCAGGAGTGAGAAGTAAGTACTGACCAAGACCGCAGACTGATGGAGCCGATACTGTCTATGCCAACAACATCACCTTCCGTAACTGGGTAGTCGACAATGGCGATGACAGCATTGCCATGAAGGCGAACAGCACAAACATTCTCATTGAGAACTGCGATTTCTACACCGGATTGGGAATTGCCATCGGTAGCATCGGACAATATGGTAAGTGATGATTTTCCAACCTGGGTATTAGAAGCTCGATAGCTAAACAAACACCTCCAGACGGCCAATTCGAGACAATTGAGAACGTGACGATTCGCAACGTCACAATCAACAAGAACATGCGCTACGGCGCCTACGTCAAGACCTGGACGGGCAACAGCACCGGCTACCCACCCAACGGCGGCGGTGGTGGGCTGGGCTACGCGGCCAACATCACCTTCGAGGACTTCCACCTCAAGAACTCGTCCGGCATCTTCGCCATCACGCAGTGCACGAGCTACAACTCGGCCAGCGGCGGCTGCGACACGAGCAAGTTCAATATCCGCGACATGCGCCTCATCAACTGGAGTGGCACCGCCGCCAGCGATGTCATCAGCGACATCCAGTGCAGCGCCGCGAGCCCCTGCACCGGGATTGTGCTTGATGAGATTGATATCATCGACTCGATCAACGGCACGCGCCCGGCGAATTATCTGTGTGATAATGTGGTCGATCCTACAGGATTCAACTGTACTGGTCTGCCGTGGGAGGAAAACCCCAGGTAAAGTGACTTGTACATAGCCTCTCTAGCTTTGTAGGTAAAGAATTATATCACTATTATCCATAGCTCGAACATGGGACCCATGGATTTAAATGTCTTTGCTATGGATTTCCTCATGAGCCATGCTTACAAAGCAGATGGACTCCACAGCAATTGCTTCAAGTCAAGGAGAAGAGCGCGGGCGGAGGGCTGAAGGATAGAGACGTGGTAGTGTTGCAATTGCAAGAAGTCAAAAAGGCTGTTCCTCAAACTAGCCTACTGAATGTAAGTCGAAATTGTCCCCTGAGATCAGTTAACTCGAGATCAACAGGTGGAATCATGTCTCCTGCGACCAGGACGTGGCAACGTAGGCAGATTCCAGGCTTATGGTGCGCTTTGTGCTTGACCGTATTAAAATCACGAACGGGGACGTAATGAATCGCGCTTGCATGATGAGACTTAAGGGCCCGGTTTGGCTTGGTGTAATACAAAGGGTCCATACAAGACAAAGCACTTCGCTTCTCAAGTCCACTAACTTTCCCGCTACCGGCTGGACAGAACAAATAGAGCTTCCGGTGGCAACACACAAAGAGCTTTGTATGACGAATACAGGAAGCGAGCCGTGTGATTGTCAGCCACAAATGCCGCGGACGAAAGACATTGTACGCTGATAATATGCTAAGTGGCATCACAGACAATAAGACCTCAGATAGTACTCAAGATGTCGGGTATTTAACTTCGAGCATCTCTCCCGCTGAATTATGGAGAGCTCACCACACATCTACTCAACTTCAATCATCACAAATACTACAACGACTAGTAAGGACTTTTCCAAAATCAACCCAAGAACACCATTCCTATCTCATCAACAGTACATTTTAGTCCATACGCAATCATGTGCTGCGTAACCAGCGAGATGGTCGGTGGATCCTGGAAGGTCCCGGGAGGCAAGTGGGTCTCCTCTGACCCTTTGTCCCAGTATGTCAAATATTCCCCGAAATCCAAGCGCGGCAAACCTGCCGGCCGTCGCGAAGAAGTTGAGAAGTTCTCGTCCTTCGGGATTAATGTCCTTGAGCGCGCGTTTAATGGCGGTTTTGACAGGCCGGATCACGCACAGCTCTCCGGGTGCAGTTGCACCGGCTGCTGGTACGCCACCCGCAAGCAGCTCGCTATTCACAACCGTGTCATTGGGTCTGGCTATAATCAGCGCTTTGCCCGCTTTCTTGAGGATAAGTCGAAACAGCGCCGTCGTGCGGCGAAGCGTGACGTGCGCGCTGGTTTGCTGGATGCTGAGGACGACGAGTAGGTGGTTGAATAGTGGTAATTCCACTGATTTGTTTGGATCTTATGCAAGTCTATAGTCGCTATGTAAATTGGCATTAATTTGATTTCCGCTTTTCAACATCCAGATCGCTTCAGGAATTTTGTTTTGTTCCAAATTCTTGAACATTTTGAACCGATCCATCAAGGGTAAGTGAAAAAGAAAAGTACCCTGAGATTTTGCATTGCGTCTGTCCGCATGTATTCAAGCGGTCTTTGCAATTGTTGTATTACTGGTTAAGTGCACTACACTGATAATTTTGACTTTGAGTTGTTCTCTGAAAGAAAGGTCAAGCGAAACTGAAAATGTCCAGCAAACCTACAGATGTCTAGTGCGCTGGCATTTGCGCAACCATGGTCGTGCATGTGGTCCTGAAGCTCTGACAGTTTTTGTGGCAGAGATATGAAATCTTTTTTTTCGACATGATAAGATCATTCTTTGCCCACGGAGTTCTTCTTACAATAGAGACATTTGACCAATACTTCTTTGATATCATATCAGCCATGGGTATACATTAGCAGATATCCGATGGACGTACCTACCTCCGAAATAGTTAAAGAGATCTTTGTGTCGCTGAATGGCTACTCAAGGCGGAGGCGAGAGACAAAACCGGGCAACAGAAGAGAGTGGGGAAAAATCGAAGTCTTTTGTTGCCATAATGATTATCGATTTGGGGACTCGGAGCCTTTATTGTGGTCGAACAATGTCGCAGGACAAGTCACTATACCCATGTGACCTATAACGGCACGACACAAATTACGTCGATACTTAGATGACTTGAACTAACAAATGGCGCATCTCAATGACAATGGTCCTCTGGGCCACGGTGTGTAGTTATTCATGCACCGAGCCAGAGGGGAGAGGTCGTGGTGCTCGTATAGTGAGTTGACTGCAAGCTAGAATGGGTATGAAGACCCGCTTAATGATTCTGACTACCAACCCTTTTGTGTGAAATCATTTCGCCCGAGGACCTGCACATGACTTAGCTCAACTGCAATTCAACTAGGTATTTTGTTTCAGTTCATCTCTTGACGGAAAAAGGACTCGATCTTTATGAGTATCAAACATTTCACGTAACATTCTTTTCACAAATGACAGATTTTGTATGTAGATGAAACGACATAGTGAATCTCGCAAGATAGAAGGAATTATAATTTCAGTCATCGAAAGGATCCTGTTTTCTAAACTTTAAATTGAAAATTTGATTTGGGAGAGTAGTGAATGTCGCCAGAAACCGGACGCAGTGAAAATAAAAACTGCACCTACCATTCGAGGGCCATGACAGCACTTGTTGCTCATTTATTTGAGAGGCAATCCACTTGGAACACCTACAATCTTGACCTCGTGCCAAACATTCGACTTCCAGAGCATACCTGGCTTTACCTCGAGTTTACACTCTTGCATCTAAAAAGGAAGAGAAAACGCCGAACAAATATTGCATCCTTTGCGACCACACGGAATCTGCTGAAACTGTGCCGCCCTCGGCTCATGAACTCGCTGGTCCTGCTGGCGTCTCTGTACCGCGGCCTCCCACTCTGCTCGAATGCCTTCGTCACAACCTATGTCCTCGTCTGCCAAGGCTAAATGGCAAGGCTCATCAACAGCAGGATCATGCTCGACGATTGGATTACCAACGGGAAGATTAGCAAATCGAACAAAATCATCGAGACCTTGAAATCCCATGTCAACTGGGCCGAACTCATCGCCTGCCGTAGAATTTGCTTGCGGGGCATCCTGCCCAAAGGCAGGCTGCTGAAAGGCATTGCCGTTAGGTTGAACCATCAAAGGCAACTCGTGGCCAGGGAAAAAGCCAACGTCTACATTCATCTCCGGTGAGATGACAGCTTCCGAAACATGCTGGTTAATGTTGAACGGTTCTTGAATGCTCACGTCGTGCTGAATTTCAACGCCAAGGTCCTGGTCCACATCTCGGGGGACTGCGCCGTTGTCTTCGCGCTCCCTTTCGCTGAGGGCTAGAAGATAGCCTTCACAGAAATGAACAAACCCTTCAATAGACTCACCATTGTGATTAGGAACACCGTTGTCGGACATTCTGACTCTGGAGATGGATATCTACTGCAGATGTATAGTCGGCGATCAGGTCAGGTTGTGTCTGGGCAGATTATGGTGGGTGTAAGTGATGATGAATGGTGAGGATTGTATGGAGCAGAGTACAACCAGCAATACCTGCGACATTTATGTGCGTATAGTGATGTTCCAACAAAATAATTCAAAAGTCAATGCCTTTGTAAGGAGGGTTGAAGAGGTCAATAGCATTGTCTTCAGTCCTTATGCATAACTCTATCGACCATGTGGAAAGGACCGACAGTGGCACAGTTTCTAAACAAAGCCTGTGCCCACATACTTGAAAGGCTGGGACCGTCAAAGGCGCGGGATTGAAGCGATCAAATCCCGACACGGTAAAAGCTGCTACCAATTCAACGCCGCGCAAATGGCACAGAGTGGTAGCCAAGCAAATAGGCCCCCGATTGAAAGCATCGTATCATTAGGTCTTCATAACCTCGGAATATCTTGGGAGGTGTTCACTCCGCTGTGGCTCAGTATGCGTTCCCGTGGCGTGCTTCTCATCATAAGTCGAGACATACTCCTCGTGTCCGTCATCGTAAACAATCTTGACAGGTTGTGCTTTGGCCTGGCGTTCTTGTACGACGCCGTATTGCTGCTTTTCGGGATCGGGCAAGTGAGGTTGTCGAGGAATGTGGCGTGCTTCCTCCTGTAGTTGACGCGCTTCCTAGTTTTGAGGGTCAGCAGGCTTTCTGAGTATGGCAGAATTCCCAGACGTCAGGCTATCCTCCGAGAAAACAGACGACGACGTACAATCTTCTTGTTTCGGTTTTCAATGGCTTTGGTGACCAGTGTTCGAATCAGTCCCGGTCTACAATGGCCTGATCCACAGCCCCTTCGACCATGGTAGGCACCAGGGGCAGGGTAAGTGCTGCCGCCTGCTGGTGCATATTCCCTGTAAGCAGCGACGCGTCTCTTGGAACCGCACATTATTCAGGCTGCGTTTTGCAAACAGGGAGGCTGTGGTTGATCTGGAAATGGAAGTGCTTGAGATATCGGCGTCGAGTATTGTTCGATGTAGAGATGAGCATCAACTTGGCGAAGCATTATGGATAATCCTTAGGCAAGCATGCAACTACTTATGTACTCTATTTAATCTGTGAAGGCTGCCTCGCATCGATGAAACGTCTTCATCTCATCTGGTCTCAAGACATAGCCAATTGTGCTGAAGTCATACTGCTTAGCATCAGGGATGACGCCAGTCAGCTCATTGTAGTGGGTGCGAATGCGCCTCGCAGCGGAGAGAAATTGGGCCGGACGGGCTTTATGGGGAAAGCTTGTAGTAGGGGACGGCCCGATGGAGACCAGACTGACGGTGGGCACCCCTCGCATTCGCACGTGAAAGGGAAGCACTAGGCTTAACAAAGCCTCATTTAGTGTGTGTGTGGCTGAATGACATGACGTGTTTTCGTCCGAAGGTACTACGACGGCACTAATATCGACATTTGATGCGATCCAACTGTTGACTGGAAATATTGATTAAGTCTGCTCCCTGGCCAATAGCTAGCCCTCAAATGCTCAGTCGGAAGGATTAGAGACATGAACGAAATCCATCGCTCCAACGCTATCTGCGGCACAGCAAAGAGCTGAAGTATGAGGCCTATGAATTTCCAATGACGCAAGTAGTTGTATCGTGAGTCTGTGGGAATCAGAAGACGACCCATCTATTGCATGTCATTTCGGTGGAAACCCAGACTCAACTTTCCCCCATCTCAGTCCGAGCATGTTTCGTCACTTGTAACCTGAACACAGCTGCGGCAACCGGTCTCTCGCATACGAGTCCCCACATGCTTGATATATGAAAAACTCGTACTGCTTCAGTCCAAGTTCATATTGCTTAATCCTGTTCACCAGTGCCGCGACAGCCAGTCCCATGTCTAACAACGCAAGCGTACCGGCAGCCGCTGCGACCCAAAACGTTAAGGTCGGCATGAGATTCTTGCCTTCGTCATCCAGAAGCAACTGTTGTATGCCGGTCGTTGGGTCCTGAAAGATCTGGTGGATATTGGCGAATCGACCCCTCCACAAGCGAGAGTCGCTCAGGAGCAGTTTCCTAGGGCGACCACAGAGTCCGAGCCCATAGAAAGCCATGTCATGCTTTTCCAACATCCTCTTCGTTGGCTGGTTATGGAAGGGAAACAGCAGGCTCAGGGTGTCTATAGCCTCCTCGAATAGCTGCATATCTATCTGTCCGTCATCTGTGGAGGCCTAGTTGGTCAATGTATGTTTTGCGTCGAATGAATGAACTACTAGTTAGTAGATGACAAACAAGGTAGAGATGAAAGTCACCTGTTTCGACTCGCACGTATCCTTGCGAGAATCGCGGCCGTCGAGGCAGGGATAGGACGCGGCGGGCCACTCCCGTGCGCTTGAATCCAGCTCTGCTTCTCCTCCACCTTGTGCTCCGGCCCCTGGTCCACCATCCACGCCATTCCCGCCGACCCAGGATACGGCTGAGGTTGTGCAACCGTCTTAGCAAGCAAGATCTCAGAACGCAAGCCCATGAGCCAGGGATGCACAGCTGCCATTGTCCATCGTTAGCCAAATGGGGCTCGACCGAACTCTTTTTCCAAGCCTCGACTCACCGCTGACGTAGTCGTGCACCGTGACGAAGTGACCGCCCGCAGCCGGCGTGACCACAAGCTTCTGGCCCCTCTTCCCGAGCGGCCGATCCTGCCCGCAGCATCGGACGAGGAACTCCGTGTCCGAGTCCTCCTCCCAGCTGCCGTCCTCCTTGGGCTCCGCCGCGTACGGCCTATCCTCATCGCTTAGATCCCCATACGTGACATACTCCGGGTCGGCGGGCTTCCCCTCGTGGTGCCCGTGCCACGCCACCCAGTTGAACTCCCACTGCTCCAGATCGTAGACGGTTGCCTCGACCGACGAGACCTTGGGGCCGGTCAAGGGCAGCTGCGCGATCTCGTGCCAGATTCCGCCGCCGAGGGTCTGCTGGAAGTACGGCTCGAGATCGTCCGCGCTACAGGACGTCTTCATGACGGAGAGGGCGGTGGGGAAGACGCCCTCGAGGGGCCAGAAGAGACGCTTGGCGGCGGGGGAGAAGACGACGGCGACAGTTGGATCGCCGCGGAGCTCCTTAAAGGAGCGGTACGGAGGGCCCTTGTCCGACGGGCCTGCTGGTTGGGAAGACGTTGCCATCCCATTTGTGTTGATGTTTGGGGCTGTGAGGTTGGGTTGGACAAGCACGCCTTTTCGTGTGCTGAGGGTGCGCGGGCGGCGGGCACTTTATTCCAGCTAGACTGCTACGACTCGTATTAGACCTGATAGATTGTGAAGGAGCAGGCAGGCCTGATCGATAAGCAGGCTTCTGCAGTAACCAACCGCCACAGCCCTCAGCCACCAGCCTTGACTCTTCTCTTTCAAGCCCCTTTAATTAGAATTTGCATTATAATTGTCAATTTATACGAATTACTACACTTTGCAAATTTTGATATTCATGGGTTTAATCAAGCACCTGAAGGAGCAAGCCTTTGTGAAAGGAGCCAGATACTCAACGCCAAGCTATAGGCGACATCCTCAGATCAGGACAATTCGGTGCGGTCTAGAGTATGACAAGTTAGAAAATGATTGAGAGATTAATGACCCCTCAGGAGTGATATTTGATTCACCGCCAGCATGAATCGAGACTAGCATATATTTGCACCGGCCGTCGAAATCTACTGCACTCAATCATAATATACACGTCTCCAAACACTACTTGTATTTGCCACTATGCTGTGCTGCATACACGCGTCTCCTCCATTACACCCAACTATGCCAGCTCCATCCCTTTCGGTACTGATAAGGTATTTGTGGGCCCTCTGAATCAATAATGTATCCAGGCTCGCACCTTTTGTATGCTACTTTCGCCTGGTTTCTGTAGAATGGGTTGAAGCGTACTTGCAATGCTTCCGAAAGGCTGTGCACGTCTTCCTGCGGGTGAAGAACTTTCCACGGCTCGATGCAGGTATCACCTTTGCAAGATTTGAGTACCATCATCAGGGCATCTAGTCGGCTGATGACAAGAGAAAGGCGGGTTCCCAAGAGCATGACGCCTTTTTCATTGGAGTCGGCCGAGTAGAGATTATGCAGCTGGCCGGGGTCCGTCTGGTGAATCAACGTGGTCAGCCAGGCTTTCTCTGGAAATGAAACGGTATCCGGAATGGACTGCCTGCCAAAATTTTGACTTACCTCCAAATTGTACAGCTCATGCTCATTGTTGCACCAAACCGAGTAGTAGAGATTGTACCCCTGCCCGATCACTCTCACTGCTTTGTAGGTATTGTTCCTCAGAACAAAGTTTCCCTGGCCATCGTATCCTCCACCCTCGCCTTCTGCGAGTGCAAAACCCCAGTACTCAACAGCAACATGCTCATGTCGTTTTGTTTGCAATGAGGCATCCAGCTCTTCACCATTGTCGTCGATCCCCGTACCTTCCACGCCAAGGGGAATAGAAGTACCATCAAAGTTGGGCCGGGCATCTGATCCGATCATCTTCAAAATAGTCGGTGCCAGATCGATATGAGTAGTCACAGCGTCCTCAACGTGCCTTTTTGGAACACCTGGGCCGCGAATGATCAACGGCACTCGAATATCTTCCTCATACCCGCACGTCTTACCTGGCGGCAAGCGGTGTTGGCCAATGTGGAAGCCATTGTCAGAGCTGAAGATCACGTACGTGTCATCCAAGATCCCGGCCTCTTCAAGTTGTATCACAAGCTTCTCCACCAGCTCGTCCACTGCTTGCAGGGCTCGCAGTCGTTGTCGGTAGTAGTGATCGAGGTACTCGACGGCAGAGGCATTGTGCTGTGCCAGCTTTCGCACCCATGAAGCACCGCTAGGCGAGTCTGGGTTAAAGTTGTCCGTCCTGGGGATTTTGACATCTTTGAACAGGCCGGCATGGCGGTCCGCGGGAATAGGTTCCGTCATCAACGGCAAAGTTGAGCTGTCATGGTCAGGATCGATATCAGAGTGTGGTGCTATGGGTGCCACTGCAAGGAAGAAGGGCTTGTCTGATCCAATGGCATCTTGGAGAAGACCTTGCGCTTTGCTAGTAATGAGGTCAGATGTATGTTCATCATGATGATGCACCGGTGGTTCTCCATTGGTTTGGTAGATGGGATGCAGGTAAGAGTAGGTTCCCGGGTCGAGTAGAAAGTCCGTCGATGTCCATGCTGCTGGGAATGGCTTATTGTAGTTGTAGATAGTGTGCGCGTTAAAGAGCTTGCCGGTATAATACGTGTTGTAGCCAGCTTCCTGTAGCCACACCGGGAGGTAATTGCTATTCAACCCTTGCGAGATAAATTTTGGATATCCCCCGTAGGGTGGATGCACATCGGTTACGTTGGTGTTATGTGGTTGCTTGCCCGTCCACAGAGACACCCGGGAGGGACAGCAAATTGCGGTTGTGGTGAAATGGTTTGCATATGTAGTCCCCTTGTCTGCGAGGTACTTCTTAACCAGAGGCATGTAGGAAACGGAGTCCATGGCCGCATCTTGGTCATCTGTCAGGATGAAGACCACATTCTTCGGCTTCTTCGCAGCACTGGGGCCACTCGTTTCGCTGCCAAGAACCGCTTGAGTATCATCTTGGAGTGACAGATTGGCGCGGGCAAGCCCTGCGTATGTTAGGGCAGCTAGCCAAGCTGACCAGAAGACGGGTTGGAGATGCATGCTGGCCGTAACTGTCAGAGCCGCGCTATTACTTTGGGCAACTGCTGAAAGTGTCAGATTTGAGTAGACACAACGTGAAATATCGGTTCGAGGTCTGTCTCGGTACGACTCGGTAGAAAGTCTAAATTGCGCCACGAAACGTAAATATGCCGCCACACGCGTATGTGGACTTTTTAGTGGGGCAGGCCGATCATATGGCCGATCTAAGCACGGTTAGAAGCACTTCAATTCTATCTGAATGACATATCGTCATGTTCGAGACTCTACTTTAGTTTGCTGCTGCTGCCACTGGTGTATATTTATATGAGTTGCTCATAAAGCATCTGCGTATAGAAGTGGCAAAGGACGTGCACACCTCGTATCCGATTCTTAACCTCGAGTACCGTTGAACGACCTGGAGAAGCTATGTTCACCATGCAATCCAGCTACGCGGTTGGTTGTCTTCGTCCCACTCCAAACCTCGAACCGGAGGGGCAAAATAATCGGAATCGTTCCATCTGTTGTACATCCATTCCTGCAGCGGTCGTAGTCTTTGCTCCCACCTTCTGGGCAGCCAACCCCAGAAGCCTCCGTACCAACCGCCGCTCCACCACCAGTCGAGTGGACTTGGTGGCTTATCAGGGCCTGGTTCACGTGGACCATATTTCTCCTCGAAGCTGTCCAGTCTCTCCACTGTTGACATGTTGAAATCTATTAGGACAATTCTTCCCACTTTCTCCACGTTTTCGCCCTCACAGATCATGATGTTCCGTTGCGAAATATCGTGATGGTGTACGCCTATGAAGGAAATCTTTGAGATGAGCTCTGACATCCGTGCTAGTATTTCGAGGCGCTCTGATTCAGCGATCGTGTCTGGTTTGGACTCAAGCATTGACTTCCCAGAGATTCGCTCGATGAGAATCATACGCACGTCCCTCGTTCTTCGTCCAGTTGGAAGATCCAACGGAATTTGGAATGTCCAGGAGCCAAAGAACTTTGGGATATAGGTCCCGCCAACCCATTCGTCCATCTCTTCATATGCAGCAACTTCTCGACAGTAGTCCATGTCTGATTGGAATGTAACGTCTCGAGGTAAATCAGCCCATGTAGTGTTGCTGAATCCATAATACATGGGGTCATAGATTTTTGCAATGTAGTCTTGATCGTCGTCGTCCAAATGACAGACAACGAGCTGCGCACCGCCATCACTCTTTACGCGGAGTTCTTCCACGATCTCGAGATTCTGGATGTCCTCGTAGACGGTCTGACCTTCCATCGGAGGGTTCTCCAAACACAATTCAACTAATGTCTTCTGTCGCAATTCTTCCTCCAGAACTCTGTCCCGTAAATCATCGTAGAAGGTGCAGTCTTGTCCAAATGGTGCACAGGCTTTATGCCTATAAAGCTTTAGGCTTCGACCCTTTGTGTACGGATTTTCTGGCCTAAGAGGCTCTGATGGTTGGCTCCAAGGTCCTGATTGCTCGAAACATGTAAATCTGTCGAGATCCGGAGTTTCTAAGCCTGAAGCTGACCCATCCGTCTCATTGCAGCTGATCTTGGCCTCAGGGAGAGAATGGGTGTTTGAGCTGTGATACAGCCCAGCGCTGTCGTGGTCTCCAGTCATGCTTTCCAAGCTCTGATTTTCCGGATAGAAATCACAACTTTTGTCCTTGTCATCTTGCGGATGCAAAGAAAGGGGCTCGTTGCGAACAGACCCAGACCCTCGATTGGGCTGAGTCAACTGTTCACTCGACTCTTTAGGTTCGGCTGTGTTGTCCTCATCTGAGGACGCGGCCAGTTTGGGTGCTTCACTTCTAAATTTCTCGTGACCGTTAGAGTCTTGATCTGCAAGAGAGGTCGTGAACCTGCGAGTAGGGCCTAACTTGTCCTGTGGGTCCCTCGTGGGCGGGATTCTGAGGTTGCATTCATTTTGTGCTAAAGGGGAAGTCCTGGCTCGCTTCTGTGAGCGTAGCTCAGAATCCAAAGCCCGGATTCTGTTTTCTGTCACTTTGCTAACAGGGTCCTGCATCTGAGTTTGTTGAACAGCGGAATACCGTCGCCAGAAACCTGAGGGGTCGTCTTGAAGGCGGACAGATGCACCATCAAATTGGTCAAGGTGATGAAGCGCCAGAATTCAAGAACGTAACGCTTCGTCTATGCGACGCGATGCGTGATGTTCTTGGCAAGTAAAGGCGAAAAACAGAACCTGGCCAGTCAAACTAGAGTGCAACTGTTGGAATCAGGAAGCCACTATATGAGGGCCACAACTACGCTCAGGGGTGTGGGTGCATCCATTTTCCCTGTAGCTTCAGCAACCCTACCAACGCTTAGTGGTTGGCAGGTCCAGTGGGCGGCAACAAGACCAATGACGGAAGGCCTAGGGCCCCTGGACGTCCCAAAGTTTTTGGCTATAGGCGAGCGCCTAGGCTGCGGCTCGATCCACGGCCGCCGATCAGACGCTCTCATATCTAACACTTCCCATGGTAATCCAGGGTGACAAATCCGACAGCATCCTCACAACCTAAAGACCAGGACTCTAGGTCTGTTAGCGACTGGTTTTGCAACCAGCCAATCCGAGTGTTCCAGCCATCCGTGTTTGAAGGCTACTACTTCTTGAGAAGCACCTTGCCCAATGGGCTTGCGGGACTTCTGTCCAGGTCATCTCATTGTTTGTCCGCAACTGGTCCGTCGAACTGCAGTGGGGAATTTTACATCACATTTTAGTGTGAATTTCATCGCGCCAAGCCTGGTTCGTCGGTAGTATAGTCCTGGTGGTCCCTGTGTCAGTGCTGGCAAGTGTCCCATGTGAATCAGGGAGAGCTGTAAGAGGAACTGAGTGCAATAGCTGAAGATCAGTCCAAGGCCGGCAGCAATGGAAGGGTTCTCTTTTGAGAATTCCGAAATCCAACCATCATACAACTGTTCTTTAGTTTGATTCCCATTTTAGACCGCCCCTCTTGACGATGTTGACCACTAGTGCCCACCGTCTTCCCATATTCATCAGTCAAAATGCCCTAGCCAGCGTAACGGTCAAGGCGCAAGGTCTGTCTTCGGGAGAAGGAACTGATCCGATGCACATTTCGCAGGTCTGCATCCCTGTCAGTGACCCCTACTTTGAGCTTAGATATTAACAAAATCATATCAATCGCGTTGTTTCATGAACCGGTGGTTGAATCACTGAATATCAAGTTGACACCTTTTACGGGGTTGAATGGCATTTGACAATTTATTGTGGATTATCTTTTGCCCATCTAAACGAGTATGGTTATTTACATATCGCTTTACCGTCTCCCCAGCTTCTTTGCTCCCATACGCTCGTGGAACCTTTTCAAGGCCAAGATAGGGCGATGAGTGGCATGTCCGGTCAACCGGTCTCATCAGGCAGTCTACGATACACAAGAGTGAGCTTGTATCAGTATACAGATCACCTTGAGGCTCCTATTCGGTCGTAACGACGGGCTGTTGGTTCGCTGTGTAATATTGCTGGGGTGAACGAGCCCCCCCCCCCCCCCTATCTCAGGTAGCAATCCAGTTTCGTGGAAGGTTTTCTTCATCCCATTTCAGGGATCTTTTCGGAGGCGCGTATTCTTCCGAAGTGCCGTACCTCTCATAAAGCCACTCCTGACATGCTCGCAACCTGAACTCCCAGCTCTTGGGGAGCCACTCTCCGGCCATACCGTACAGAGCACCACGCCACCATCTATCAATCGGGTTTGGAGGTTTCTCTGGCTTCGGTTCCCGGGTCAGACCGCGAAACTGCTGCTCAAAATTGTCAAGACGGGTAACGACCGCGAAGTTGAAGTCGATCAAAGCGACTCTTTCGATTACGTCAGGTTCGGTGAGGCAGACCATGACGTTCCGCTGGGAAACGTCACCGTGCCTTACACCGACGAACTGGATTCGGGACACTGCCTCAACTATGCGCGTCACCAATTCCAAGCCGACAGATTCTGGAAAGGCTTCCGGTTTCAAATCTGTCATCGGCCTGCCGTCAATGTACTCCATCAATATGAGTCGAATGTCTCGCATTCTCTGACCGTCAGGAAGATCCAGTGGCAACTGAAAGGTCCATGAGCCGTGGTATTTGGGAACGATTGTGCCGCCGAGTTCATTGTCGAGTTCCAGGTAGGCTGCTACCTCCCGACAATAATCCTTTCCAGCCTCATAGGTAACGTCTCGCGGCTGATCTGACCACATCCGGTCTGCGAAGCCGTAGTACAGAGGATCGTAGATCTTCGCTATCACTGGCTCCTGCTGCTCAGAGAATCGGCAGACAACAATCTGAGCACCGCCGTCTTCTTTCACTCGTATCTCGTCCATGATCTCCAAGGTCATTGCCTTTTCACCTGCTGCAGTCTCGCCTTCGGATGGAGGGCGATCCAGGCACAGTTTCACAAGCGTCTTTTGTCGTAGTTCCCTTTCAGATGCGCATTTCCTCTCGCCTTTGTGATACGGGTAATTCATACCGAAAGGGCGGGAAGCCGTATGCTTTCTAATCTCAAGAGTTTGCCCTTTCCTGTAAGGATTCTCTGGTCTAAGTGGTTCCGACGGTGGCACCCATCGACCAAATTCCTCGTTCAAGTCCTCAGACACCACTGGTGAGCCTATGTCTGATTCATCGTCGTAGTCAGGGTCACAGTATGCGTCAGAAATGCCGTCACTTTCCTTGCCTTCAGGTACAAGCGGATCATCGCCTTCTTGTTCGGAAGGCTTGTCTTCGGCGTCTCTGTCAGCCGCAAAAGTGTCGAAATCTGATAAACGCGTGCTCTCTGGATCCGCATCTGGGTGATCGTTCGGCGGTGATGCACGAAGAGGACTGTCTTTGGGGCTCTCAAGTTGCTCCTCGTCGGGGGTCGCGACCTCATTTTCCGTGCCCTTTTGCTTGCTTGGGGAGTTGGCTTCCGCAGTTGCTTCATTCTCAATTAAGGGAGCGGTAGCTCGCCGGCAGGGAGTGCTGATGTTTTCTTCATTTGGGGCCAGAGGGAAAGTTTTGGATCGCTTTTGCGATCGGTGTGCAGGGCTTTGAGGCGATCGCTTGTCCGTCATTGTAGACACTTCGCTGCAGGAATCAAGCGACGAAGTATGAGTGTTGCGGAGAGAGCGAGGGCAAAACCTTGAAGAGCAAGATGTTGAGGTGCATGCAGCACGTTCATGAAAATAGCTGTTCTTGTTTAGGAGTGAATGAACCTGTTTACACGCACTAGCTGGACGACGAGTGTTGCTGGACTGTTGAGTGCGCGGAGATTGATGGAGGGTTGCATCGGCCAAGTAGCTGCCCTACAGGCGCTTGGTTAGGGGCCAAGGATATGCACCAGCAGCGGCTATTTGACCCAATGGCCAGGGGGGCAACCCCTGGACTTCTCATCTCGTGCGGATTAAACGGGCGTTAAGATCGGACCCGCACCTCTACAAGCCGCCGTCTCTATGCTGTGTACATTACGACGGTATGAATTCCGCGCCGATCAATAAGGTTACACCACGATATCGAGGTCCTGCTTCGTGTTGGTGAAAATTCCGAATGCATCCGATTGGTACTCTTCACCTTGCTTCGCCCGTCTCTGGAAGATCACACCTCAGCTCCGTTTCGCATCACCAACATGCTTTCTTCGGCGGTTCGCTGGTTTCCAGTTCTGGTCAAGTCAGCGCGATTTTCTCTCAAACCCTGGGCCAACATTTTTCAAGCCACGATGCCATTGGGTCGATACTGGTTTCGTAAGTGGCCAACAGGTCAGGAGCCTGGTCATCTCCAACATCAACTTCGTGCCCAGAGAGGTTGTCAACATCTACCAGGCCGGGACATTAAACATATAAGGATCATGTCTTTCTTGCGAGCCAGAGTTCTAGAGGCTTTCTGTATTAATCAAGCTTTCGTTGTCGGGTGTTTCTGAACGAATTCCATTTTTCCTCTTATTTCCTCATCATATTGCAGACGAAACAGGACTTTCATCTGCTTCACATTGTAATCCATAAAGTCAACCGTTTCATCCCGAACAAAAGAAATAAATCCCTTTTCCTTCCAAAATGTTTCGACAGCCTCTAAGCTACGACCCCAAGTTCGATGCCCTCACTCTGTACGAATCATTCCACGAAGAGGTTCTCATCCTCTCTAATGCACCAGTGCACCTGCAAGTGCCTAATATCGACATCAGGAAGCGTGGTGCTTCTACTCAAGTGGCCACTCCACCAGCTGTATGGTTCAAAAAGGACGTGGGGTACTACCTTGACAGGGCGTCTGAAATCTGCGCAAGAAACAAGGCGGCACTGAAGCGATCATATTTGCCCGCTCCATACAGCCCCTGTATACTTGAGAGCGAGGCAGACATCGTCCGCTCCGCAGCACTGTGGCTGCTTCATCCCGTCATCATAGCTCTACAGAGCGAGTTCAAGAGTGTCGGTTGCTATGCTGAAGTAACAATTGATGACTGCCGGTGTGATGCTCTCATCAAAATCAACGGGGAAACCATCGTTGTGCTGGAATACAAGAACAGAGGTCACATCAAGATGTCCGAGTTTGAGGAAGGCCTCATTACGGACTCTTCATACGCGAACCGTGTCAACATCCTAAGCACAATCAATGATGTCCAGCAGGACGATGACCAAAGTGCCATGGGCCACAATGCTGTGTGTCTGACCAAGCAGGCCGCCGCCTACTCTACAAAGTGGAAGACACGGTACGTGGGGCTGTTTGACTGGGACAACTTCTTTCTCTGGCATTTCGCGGGCAAAGACTTCCGACCGCGGCGGGCAGGCACATCTACGACAGTTGGCCATGACGGCCACGCCACGTGGGCATATGGGACGCCGGTCCGGAGAAGGGAAGACTACCGCAAGGCACTGCTGGGTTTTATCTTGGAGGCATTCCAGGATCGCAATAACGCGAAATTCACGCAACCTAGAGAGCCTCCGTTTGAGTTGTCACCACAGCAGAAAGCGAAGAAGCGAGCGGAGGCAGAAGAGCGAAGGCGGCAGCAGCTCAACGCGCAGCAAGCATCAAATGCCAACGTGTACGGCCGGAGAGGTTGAATAATATTGAATCTGGTCAGTGAATTGGCAAGAGGCATTCTGTAATATTTCATTCGCAAGTTAGCTATACATTAGCAGATTGTCAATGGGCAAAGTCGATGGGTCGGCGTTTGGCATGGGATAAATTCCAAACAATATACTTTATCATACGGTAATGTGATCTTTTCTTGTCTGAATTATCATCATCTCATGGCCGCATGACACTGCGCGGCTCGAGGGCTACTTTGAGGTTGGTGGCAGCGTAAATTCGCCAGCAGTACAGCTTTTTGTTATGAAAATCTGAGTATTCAGCAAGTACGCTGTTTAGGCAGTCCACGTAAAGGAAACATATGGTCAACTCAAATTTGAAGTAAGTGAACTGAGGTACTTTTTGAGGCACTTGTGAGCTAGGCGTTGCGATCAGCTCCTGGACGTCTCAAGGACTCATTGTAGACAGACTGACGATCCTCAAGTCCGGCGGTCATAATCGACAAGAATCGCAGTCGTCTAAACGGAGACTATTTCTCCAAGCGCCCGTCCTCAAAATAACCCATTTTCTTCCCATCAAGCCCATCGAGCCTCTCCATAACCTCACCATCAATCTCAAAATCAAACACCTCAGCATTCGCCTTCATCCTGGCCGGTTTCTCGCTCTTCGGCAGGGGTACCCACCCCTTCTGCAGCGCATAGCGTATCAACACCTGCGCCGGCGACTTCCCGTACTTATCCGCAACCTCAAGTACGATTGGCTCATCCCACCGGTCGCCGCGGGCAAGGGGGCTGAATGCCTGGACTACGATGCCGTGTTTCTGGCAGTAGGCGTCGACCTCGCGCTGTTGCGTCCAGGGGTTCAGCTGTGGCGTGTGAGAATTGCGTCTTAACAACACGGGCGGGGGCGGGACATCGAGGAGCTGGGCAGCGTACCTGGATCTGGTTGACGTGCGGCGGCCACACCTTAGCATACTCCCGCATCTCCTCCAAATGCTCAACCTTATAATTGCTGACGCCAATCGCCTTGGCCTTCCCTTCCTCGAACGCCCTCTCCAGTGCAAGCCACATCTCCTTCCGTTCCTTCTTGGCATTGGGTCCTCCGTACGGCGTGTGCACCAGGAACAAGTCGACGTACTCCTCGCCAGCGTCTTCCTTCTTCTCAGCAACTTCCTCGTCATCGACGCGTTTCCTCTTCTTCCCGGTAGACACCTCAGCCCCAGAGACCTTCCTGACGCTGTCCACGACCTTCTTCCACGTCTTGGCCTTGTTCAAGCCCGGGTAGCGGATCTTGGTGGTCAGGAAGACTTCCTTTCTAGCGACACCGGACTTGCGGATGGCCTGCCCGAGCTCGGCCTCGTTGTTGTACAGCTGCGCCGAGTCGATGTGGCGGTACCCGGCTTCCAGCGCGGCGAGCACCACGTCGACCGTCTCGGAGGGCTGGACCCGGTAGATGCCGAAGCCGAGACGGGGCATGCTCACGCCCGGGGCGAGCAGGTCCACCGTGGACGTCAAGGTCAGACCCCCGGGTTTGGAGGCCATGTTGCGACAATGATTGGCGTGGGTGATCACATTTTGGATGGGACAACTTCAGTCACCAGGAATTATATAGTGACAAGTCGCCAAGACAGGGGTCACGAAGGATGATGCTACCTAAGAGTCTGGATCGTGAGGGGACGATGCTGGACAAGATAAGCACTGGCGTTTGAACCTAACCGTTTTAGCTGTAACCATCTCCGTAACCACAGGCCGTCAACGGCTATCGCTCGCATGCCTAAACACCACGCTCGAGCAGAAGATCTGGGTCGGGATGCACGAAATGAGCTTCACTGCTAATATCTGACATATGCTATGTGCTATGGTCACATCCTCCAAACGGTATCCCGCAGCCACTTCCCCAAAGCATCAACATAAGCAACAGTCTTCAACTCAGCATCCCTAACCGTCTCCTCGCCACCAGCCCTCCACAGCGTCCGATCAAAGCCATGCATCACATCCGGCACAAGGATCCACCTCACGCTCCCGTCCCCATCCCCTTCTTCCTCGCCGCCATCAGGCCAGGTGACCTCAAACCCGAACCTCTTCCGCGCCCCGAGCCCATCCTCGTCCTCCCGCGCCGAGACAGAGAGGTCCTCCATCTCCAGCGCGCCCTTGACGGCGCCGAGCTGCTCCCGCCCGCACACGGACTGCGCCTTGTCGGCCCCGGCGTCCGGGTCCGGCACCCTCCAGCGCGCCCTGCGCCCGTCGCCCCGCCGGATCCCGCCCTCCTGCACGAGCCGGCACGCCACGCGCCAGCTCTCGTGCGCGAGCATGTCCAGCTCCGCGCCGACGAGGCACACGTGCGGCGGCAGCGCCCCGTCCCCTTGCTGCGCCTCCCCCCCGCCGTCGTCCACGTCCCACCCCGCGAACGCGGGGCTCAGGCACGGGTCGCGCAGGTCCTGCCCGTACGGCACGTAGCTCCACGTGTACGCCGAGTAGGTGTTTGCTAGCATGTCCATTGTGCCGCTGCGGGGGTATGATAGCCCTTGCTTGTATGGCCTGCTGATCATCTTTGCCTCCACAGGGCGGGCCAGGTCGAGGATCCCGCAGATGCTGACCACGGCCGAGGGCGCCGCGGCGCTGAGGCTGCTGCGCACGGCCGGGAGTTGGGACAGGGCCATGGCGAGATTGGCGCCAGCATCGAAACCCGCCAGGGCGACTCTGCCCTTCAGTCCCCTGCTTCTTCCACCTCTTCTGCTTTTGCTTGGACTCGACGTCCGGTCGATGGGTAGGCTCTCATCCGCCAGCACGGCCAGGTACAGCGCCTCGAGGTCGTTCAGCCCTGCAGGGAAAGGCGCGCGCGGGGCCTTGGAGTACGGCAGGCTGATCACCAGCATGCCCTGCGTGTCGGCCACACGCCTGTTCCACTCGTCGTCGTCGCGGCTCGTGCCGACGCAGAAGCCGCCGCCGTGGATCGACATGATGGTGGGTAGTGTGTTTGGGGAGGTCTGGTCGAAACTTTTTGGGAAAAAGATGCTGTTGCGCGAGGATGATCAGTTTAGATACCTGTTCCTCGAGTAGAGAGTCAGACGAGTGGGTGAGTGGGTGACATACCGTACGCCCATCCCTGGTCGACATTCATAAGCCTTCACGATATCCGGCCCGCCGTCGGGAGGGTATAACCATTCCCTCCAGCCCTGGAACCACAACACCGTGCCCATCACTCCCTGGATTCCATATATCTGCGCCGCGAGCCCGACCTTTCGTATCAGAGGCGGCGGGTCTTTCTTTACGCCTCCTGCTCTGCCCTTCTTGCTCGCCTTGCCCCCTTGGTGCTTGCCCGCGCCGTCGTGCCATGCTTGTTGCCTCGAGTTCGCCCGCTTCTTTCTGGGAGGCGATGGGGCGGATGAGGTCGAGGAGGAAGGTATAGGCGCTTGTCTCACGGTCATGGTGGCCATTTCGACTCTGCCCGAAATGTCGGGGTTGAGCAAGCAGAGGCTAGGCTTGGCTGTGCAAAGATTGGATGGATGGTTGGTTTGATGTTCGCTCGTCGTACTCTTGTTCGAACCTTCACGTTCGCTCTCTCGGCGGCGGTCGAATCACATACAGAGCCTATCGCGGAAAAGTACAATGTCAGCTCAGGACCCCTCGAACCAACCCAGACTTTCCTCTCAAAAAGAACGGACGTAATGGAAGGAATCACAGAAAATCACATACCCGCAAATAGACATGCACATATAGCACCGCAAAAACGGCAAGGAAAGCCCTGACGACCATGATGCCGACCCGCCGTGCGGATTATTATAACAGCAGCAATACCCGCGCCCTCGGTATTCCGTAACCACGGGTCAGCATAGAAGGACCAAGATCCAATGGGCCGCCCGTCCTCCCTGTCGATGAAACACCCGTCGAGGCGATGGGTTAATGCGGGCTGGATAATCCCTCCTGAGGGGTGGGAGAGGGGAGCCGGGGTTTCTCTGCGTCGAGCGGTTTATGCGCTCTGCCTTGATTCGTCTCTTGTGCGTGCGTGTGTGTGCATGTGTGCGCGGCTCGACGTCAGCTGCTGGGCGGTAGTTATTATGGTGGCTCGATTGAGAAGAGTCCCAAATCAATGTGGATTTTTTGGCAGACAAGAGAATAATAGGGCTGTTCTGGTTGTTTCAATGCGATCAGAAGTGATTTAGTTGCTGGTGACACGCATGGCAAAGCGCGGCTTGTCTCGTCGCATGTCAGCAGCAGCCAAGTCCGCCAAACCCCAACGCCTGGGCGTCATCGGCCGTCGGCCACTTGTGCCGAGATCGGTCCCGAGACTGGGTGGGCGGTTGCAGCCCTTCTAAGAAAAGCCCCTCTATCCAACACCGATGTTCACCCAACATAGAGAATAGTAATTACCACAAGTCAGGAGCCAAATCGACTGAACAGTAACAAGAAGAATAGTAAGAAGCACATATAATACAATTCTCAACATGGAGAGCCAGCCAGCCAGCCAGTCCCGATGACGGCGCCAATAGACTGAACTAACTAAACTACACACACAGGGGCCATACGGTCATGATCGTGACCTCTAAACTAACCACAATCCCAAGACTCCCCCCCCCCCCCCCACAAGCTGTCTCTGTGTCGTCTCTTGCTGTGTAGATTTGGTCGTGATATACCTACAACATAATCTTGTCATCATCATCGCCCGCGGCGGCAGCTAGTCCTCGCGGCGAGAGCAACAGTGGTAGCACTTATCATCATGCAACCCGAACAACCGTGCTGGATCAATCGAGCCACACCCAGCCAGAGCCGTCCACTCCTTTACGGTCCGCCACCTAGACAACAACCTCATCCCCCTCGTCGGGCTCCTCGATGCTCGTTCGGCGCTTGGCCTCGACAGCAGCCTGCACCTTCTCGCCGTCCTCACTAAGCACGACTGGAGGCTCGTCTGGCGTCTTGTCATCATCTTTGGCACCGCCCTCCCCGGCAGCGTCCTTCTCTTCCTGCTCTTTGACCGTCTCCTCTGCTGCCTGGGCCTCGATTGGCTTCTCCGGGGCGGTCTCTGCCTCGGCCGTCTTGTCCTTCTCAGCCGTGTCCTCCTTAGTAGGGCTATTATCCTTGTCCTTCTTCGCAAAAGGCCACAGCCCTAAAAAGTTGCCCTTATTTCCACTGCTGCCAGGCGGGTGTACAGGCATTGGTTTGACTAGCACCTTCTCTCGGTCCGCATCGAAACCTGATGTCGCGCTACCGGTGTCGGCAGTATTTCCTGAGGACTCAGGCATGGCGAAGTCACCAAACTCCTCGTCACTGCTGTTGCCGCCCTGACCTTCGGCTTCATCTTCCGAGTCGGAGGAATCTCTGCCGTCGCCAAATGTCTCCTTAGTGCTCTTGCCTGGTCGGCCGCCGAGTGCCCCACGCCACCACCCTCCTCTGTTCCAGCTATTGCCTTGTCCGCTAGTGCTCTCAGCCCGTCCAAGATCGCCTTCCTCGTCGTCATCGTCTTCGTCATCGCTCTGCTCATCGTCGTCCTCGTCATCCGCGAAGGGGTTTCGCAGCTGCCCGTCGCCCTCTTTGTCCTTGTCTTGAAGTAACGAGCTTGCACCTCCCTTGCCCAGGCCTTTCTCCTCGTTGAGCTCGCTGTCCTCGCCGGCTTCTTCAGCCTCCTTGCGTTTCGAGGCAAGCCGGGCTGCAAAGGCCATTCGGGCGCGGGAAGGAGGGATGTTCAGCGGGGGTGGGGGCGGCGGAGGCGGCGGGATCGAAGGTGGGTTTAAGCTGTTGGATGCAGACTGGCCTGAGGAGTTTAGAGGGTCGGTGTAGGCACGGAACTATGAGTTATTAGCATGAATGCCTTTCTGTAGTCAACGTTAGATAACCGCAACGGTGCAAGTGTAAGACAAAAGGAGATACACATAAGGAAATCCAGGGTGAGCTGTCGTGCAACCAGCTGCCAGAGGGCATGAAGTAGGATCGGTTCCATGGTGACGCCAGAACGGAGCCAGGACGAGTATGCAATTCGGATGGACGGCCGGTTCGTAACCGAGATGAGGTCGTTCGGCCGAAGAGGATTCCAAGATAGGGCAGGGGCCACCATCACCAACCCACAGTCCCGCAGCATCAGACCCACAAGGACGCAACAGACGACAGCCAATCCCGCGAGGCCATTGATGAGACGCAAAAGCCGGAGTGCCCTGGAGAGGCTGTCCAATGGCCGGCAGAACACCATTATTCCGTTACACCAGGCCTAGCAGCCTGGTGCCCCAGCTCTTGTAGACCCAGTCATTGTGCTTAATCCTACAACTATTGATTTTCCTAGATATGCTTCTTCATACCACACTCCTCGTCGTCTGCTATCAGTTTGTTCGTCTGGGAGCTCGAATCTGTGGCCTCGTCTTGTCCGGGGTGTTTCTTGACCAATCGCCCCATCTCGACCAGACAAGCCTGCACCCTCCTGTCGTGCTCAGTCGGAGGTTGGCCGGGTGGACAAGAAAGTATATCGGCCATGCGGTCCAGAAATGTGCCGGGGTATTTGCCATCGAACAACTCCTTCACAAGTTGGAGCATGCCCTCGTAGATCTCCGCGTCTCGTCGAGCTCGGCGTGGCTGCATCTCCTCTTCTGATGGGAAGTTGACTGAAATGAGCAGGCGGAAGAGCGGGTCGCCGTCGTCGTCCGCTTGGCTGACGACGTCTGTCTCCTGCTCCAAGACCCCATCGTCCACTTGTTGGACAGGGCCTGAAACATCATCGTCCACGTGCGCCAAGCCCCTGTCCTCAACATCTTCCCACTCTTCGGGTGAGAGGTGGCCCAGGGAGTCGGTGTCGCTTTCGTCACCTAACGAGACATCCTCGAAATCGTCCATGGAATCGGCCAGGCTGACCCTGCGAAGGCTATCGACCATCGGCGGAGCGATTTTGCTCTGAATCATCTTGCGTGGCTCCAGCTCGTCTTCATCGGCGCTATCGTGGTCGTGGTCGTTGTCCAAATCCGGGCAAGACTTTTCGGAATCGTCCGAGTCGGAATCCTCGATGCAGTCCTCACTCCCCTGGAAGGAAGATGCAGACCGGGTAAAGAGACGTGGCACAGGGCGGCCGGCAAAAGATGATAAACCAGAAGACCTCCTAGGGCGTGGTTGGGGAGGAACAAAAGAAACAATACCAACCTCATTGTTAACATCCTCCTCGTTCTCGGCTTCTTCATCCTCGTCCTCATCAGAACTGCTACCAAAGCCGGACATCAATGTGCCCGATGAGATGGCAAAGGGTCCGATGCCGTTCCCACCACCATTGTCACCCATGTCATTCAGGCCGCCGTTAAGACCCGCATCAGCCAGGGCGTTCGAGCTACCGCCTTGTGAGCTACCGAACGCGGCGCCGAGACTAGATAGACCGACCGCTGAAAGACCCCCAGCTTGTCTATTGCTCATGGCCACTTCGGGCCGGACACCTCCCAGGATGGCATTGTCACGCTCGCGGGTCTCTGCGAGAGCACCCTCAACATAATTGATCCATTCCTGGTCCATAACCTTCTGCAGTACCGTCTCACTGAGAAGCTCTGGAGGGTGGCGTTCAGTGAACTTCACCACCTCTTCGGCGATGAGGGTGAGATGGCCCATGTAGCCCATGCGGGTCTTGTTCTGTTGCTGAGACTGCTCGCTGGCATGTTGGCCATTGATGATTTGGCTTGTGATGTCTGCTGATTCGAACAGAGAAATTGCGAGTGTGGGGTTGAAGCCACGATCCATTGGTCCGTTAAAGACTTGCTGCACAATATCATAAACAACGTTGTGGAGGAAGTTGTTCCAGGGGTACTTGAAGAAGAATGACAGAATGGTAGGAACGATTCCATACTCAACAAACTGCATCTTGAGATAATCGCCTACGACAGGCTGCACATTGCTGAGATCCTGCGCCTCGGGCTGGACCTCGTGGCCGACAACGATGGATGCATCGCCGGCTCCCTGCTCCGATTGTTCTGGCTCGGCAGCCTCTGGTGCGGCAGCCTCTGGCACGGATTTGGGTTCCTCTGTCTTCTCAGCATCACCAGAAGTCTCCGCGTCCTTTGGTTCTTCTGCTGTAGCAGCACCTTCCTCGGGAGCAGTTTGAGACTGAGAAAAGAGTGGCGCGGGCTTGTCTGCTTCCTCAGTTTGTGGTTCGGAAGATGGTGCCTCTGGTTCGCCTGGGGCTGCGTCTTGGACTTCAGGTTTTGCACTTTCGGACTCGGCTACCGATGAGGCAGCTGGGGTATCAATAGCAGGCGTGGAAGCGCCACTTTCCTCCGCGGAGCCCGCCGCATCTTGAGGCTCTGGGGTTTTCGGCTTGTCTTCCAACAAGGACTTTTGCATGTCTTCCACCAAATCTTCGACCTTAGCATCCTCGGCCTTGACATCTTCGTCCTTTGATGGTGATGGAGGGAGGTCGTTAAGCTCAGCCGCCTTCTGCTTTGATGGAGATAATGGTGCCACAACCAGGTCTGGGTCGTCGAAATCTGGCTCCTCAATCTTGGCGTCGCTGACTTGAAGCCGAGGAGAGCTGAGCGGCTCGTCGACAAAGTCGTCCTCGTCCTTATCCAGGAATGAAGTTGCCTGACCAGCTTGTATCTCCTCCTCCGCTTTGACGAACTCATGGGAGGTGTCTTCGGTCATCTCTTTGCTGTGTGCAACTTCTTCGAAGCCATCATCCTCCGAGATGTTGGTGATTTCGAGCCGGCGACCTTCGTCAGCAGGCGACGAGTGTGAAATGCGCATAGTGAGGTCATCTGCTGAGGATGGCACGTCCTCGCCGCGCAGAGCGGAAAGCTTGCCCTCGACACGTAACCGCTGGCGTTCGCTATCTCTAGCAGCGATGAGCTCCTCGGAACCGACCTCGTTTAGCAAGCCCATGTTGCTACAGTGCAGGAGCTCGGCCATCAGCTCGCAGGTCTTGAAACGATCAAAGCCAAGCGGCTCGATCTTGTCACCAAAGGTGGAATCAAGACGGGCTTTCTGGGCTGGAGCATTCATGATCAAGTGTGCAAAGTCGGGAACGTGATCGGCGAAGAGTCGCAGAAGGGTACCTAGGTAGATGGGGTCTCTACTTGAGGGAGAGGAGTTGGCCTCGGCACCGACGTCGGGATCGTAATCGGAGTTGTTTTTGCGGATCACCTCGATGACGATCCCCACACCGACCGTCAAGGCGTTTCCTCCGCCCAACATGTAGGATATCAGCTTCTCGACGCAGTCTTTTGATACCAATTGCCTAGTAAGCTCGTTTGGACCGATGCACGTCTGCTCGTTTTGCGAGGCGTTCGCGGATACAGTGATGATGGCCTTCATGAAGTCACCGGCTGAGGTCTGAGTGGCCCAGCTGTGCTCAGGGCCGAGGAAGGACAGTAGTGTTGGCATGACGTCTTGGGTATACAGCCACTGTGCAGCAATTCAGGTTAGTCGTTCGGGCGGTGTTAGACATTGCTACTGATGGTAGGTATTTACCTCGACAATTCCTTGACCAGCTTCGGTTCGCTCGAGACTGATGATCTTGAGCAACAGGTCCATGATCATGGGGCAATCGACGTGTCGAAGCATATCAGGGACTGCGTTGTCGATAGACTTGAGCAACTCGATCATCTCCTCGGTTTTCTTGTCGAAAAGGGCCTCGTTGACCTTGGTGAAATAACTAGCCTGTAGGGGGTCGAGAGGGATGGGATGCTGCAGAAATTCCCAGAAGTTGCGCAGCATGGTCTTGTTTGCGAGAAGCGCCTCGCATATTGACCAGTTGTCTGACGCAAGGATCTCGGCCGCAACGTACGCGTACCTATTGCGCTTCTTCTCCATCTCTTCCTCCTTGTTTTCAGGCTCGGATGCCCTGGATGATGCTCTTGGACGGGAGAAGGGCAGGACACGGCTTTTCCCCTTCTCCGTCTCGACTTCGAGTTCCTTCTCGTCATCATCGTCGACATCGGGGGTCGCGACAGGCTCTAGTTTAGGGGCGACCACGTATTCGAGCAGCTTGACTAGGACAGGCTCGTCCCGCAGATAGTCGATAAGCTTCGCATTGTGTTGCTTTAGTTCTTGTATGAGGTCGCCCTCGTCGAGGAGCTCTTCAAGGGTGAAATCATTCTTGTCGAGGATGGTGTCGATGGTGGATATGTTGGCGTAACCGCCAAACCTCCAAAACATCTTGCCTGTGCTCCCAAGGAGCCCCTACGTCACAGCGCCAGCGATCTGACGCCAGACAGGGGATGGGTGGTAGAGAGGTAGGTATTGAGTCTGGGCGGCGGTCATGCAGATGGCCGCGCGGCGTTGGGGGATAAGATCGCACAGGAGGCTGGATGTCGATGGGATGGCGATGTATGGTATAGTATGGGTTGTGCTCGTGTGCCGTCGAGGGCTGTGCCGGGAGGTAGCGGGAATGGGATGGAACGAAGCTGGAAGGCCGTGGTCGGCACGGCGGTCTAAAATACACCCAAAAGCATGCAGTCGCGGTCGAGCTGTGATTGTCAATCGCGAGGGGGTATCTCAATGAAGTCTATCGTCTGCGTGGGAAAAGGCGTGGGTCAGCGTTCAAGATTGAGATGAAGTCGGAGAAACCAAATGACTTGTCAGCGAGCCTTGGCCAACCAAGCAGCAGGCAGGCGGATGAACATAACGGTCTTGGCAGGATCGGGGGCCCGATGGAGGTGTGGACGAGTGTTTGGTGCCAGCCTAGCAGCGGCAGTGAAACAACATGTGAGAGACCGAATCAGCAGGCCAAGTGGTGCGTGGTTCCAATGCTGGGGTCTCTTCCAGGTTGGGGTTCCCTTTGTCTGGCGTCCAGGCCAGTCCAAGTCGAGCCCAGTGCGGTCCGGGGTTGGCAGCTGGAGCTCAAGCCTCGGACTGGCCCTGACCACCGACTGCCTGACTGAGTGACTGATTGATGATGCCATCCATGCCATGCCCATGCCATGCGTTGTAGCCATAGCTGTGTGATCTGAGTTCCAGATGCGGCCTCGGCTCGAGTTGGCCGTGCTCGACGTATGAGGACGTCCTAGCAGGATCGAGCTCGCAGCTGCAACTTGAGAAGCGGGATGACACGGCACAGCACAGCAGCGCAGGGCACAGCAGAGCACAGTATGGGCACAATCGTCGGGGCCCCCGTCAGGAGTCAGAACTGACGCCTCTATTCGACTCGAGTTTGCGCCGCGACTCGGCGATGGGCGGCACGGGACCGAGACCGAGGGACGGTCAGGATCGAATCCTTCTTTTCTCCGATGGACTCCCCAAGGCAAATGACTGGCTGACCGCGATGTCTTTGGGCCCGCGATGCTCAAATGAAGAAAACAGAAGGGGGGACAGGTCGGACCTACAAATCTTGAAAAGCTCCCCTGGACCCAACAGTGGTGATCACGTCAAAGCGTGTTGTGCGCCGTAACTGTTCCGGAGACAGAAAAGCACAGACCTAGACCTGAGGAGAGAAACAAAGCCATACATAAATGAGGGAGGGATGATGGATGATGAATTCTGGTTTGTGTCGAGGGCTGGATCTGGAAAGCTGTGCGCTGGGCGAGTGGTGTTTGTCGCCAGCAGCTGGTGGTGGGAGAAAGAAGATGGATGGACGGATAGATGATCGGAGGGCGGACGTCAGTCAACAAACAGTTTGCTGGTTTGCTGGACCAGTGTGGTCAGTGGGGTGGGTGGGTGGATTGATGGGTGAGTCGAGACCAGCTGAAGCTGAGGTCCCAGAGGTCTAGAGGTCCAGGCGGGTGCGGGATGCTGAAATGCTGAATTCTGAATGCTCAATCTGCCCAATGTTCATGCAGGCCCTCAGGAGAATGGGCGAGCAGGCAGCTCTGTGGGGCCCTGGGCTTGCTCTGGCAGCTGGCAGATGCCCTGGAGGGCCTGGAGCCAGCCCGCCCGCCCAAGTGTAGGTGCACGCAGGAACTGAGCACTTGGGGGAAGGAGGGGTCCAGCCCGTCAACGTCAATGCGTCCGTAAGCCCAACAAACACTGGCCCATGAAGCTTGGAGCGTTTTATCTAGATGACTGAACTCCTGTACACCTCATCTTACCATGCATCTATGCATGCTTGATCGTCCCGAATTCCCTCTGCTGGTTTCCCTGTGATCCGGTCAGGCCCTCCAAGATCCCTTGGTGTGAGGTCGAGCTCGCCTAAGCCAGGGGAGCTTGGAAGCTTGGAAGCTTGGAAATCAATTCTGGCGATCCACTGCCACCGTAACCATCACCGTCACTGCCACTGCTGGTGCAGCTGCACAGGCCACACAAAGATCAGGGGAAAATACTGGGGCTTCCGTATAATACGGAGTTATTATGTGCCTATCTTTTCCGCCTCTCCTTCCATCTGCACATCTGCTTGCATCGAGACCGAACCAGCCGCAGAGAAACGGTACTGACAGTCGTTAAAAATCTACTACACGTTGAACGGCACGAGATGAGATGAGATGCTCGTTGCAGAGACATGGGCACGTGTCGTATAGCATGTCTCGTGCCTCGTGTCTCAATTTTTCACGGCGTCATCCGCTTCCTTCGATTTGTACTGTGCCCCCTCCCTCTCCCTCTTGTCCTCGCTACAAATCAATCGTCCGCTGGCTGCGAGCCACTTCGAAGTGGGCATATCCCTGCAGGACCACGTTTCGGCCCGCGAACAAGCGCAGGGGTCACGTGCCACATGGGATGCACCTTCGAATAATCGCAACAGCCCAAGCTCCGAACAGAGATGACTGCAGCAGATTGACTTTGGCCTCTCAAAGCATATTGAAATGCTTTTCTGTAGTGGCTGCCACATAAAGAAACCTCATTTTCCACCTCAAGGCAGTCTCATGCGCTCTCAACGGCGGTCTTCACCGGCTGCAAGGTGATGTCAGATCTGCAGGACCAAGCAAGTTCTGCACCTGGACAAGCGGCCATCGCGCGCGCACGCGACCGACGCTGTTGATGCCCACGCGACGACCCTTCTGCTGGCAACTCCAAACTGAGAGCAAATCAAACGCCTACTGCAAAATGAATCCCTGCTGAACATTTAATTTACGGGCCTACAGCACCATTTGGGAACACGGTCGACGCTCAAAGGCAATTGTCCCGTCTCTTCCGGCCGAGCTGATGAGGATAATGCTTGCCCACTCATGGTAAGAGTTGCCGGAGTATATTGATACTGGCCCAACTCGGTGCATATCTTGTCCACACGATACAACACCTCATGGCCTAGTTCTTCACCACGTGTAGAGCCTCGACTGAGTGACCACAAGCAGCAAACCCAGCTCTGTTGGTCCACGTGCGCATTTCATTGGTCCATCTGGAGCTCTGCCCTGCCAAGCACCCCAATACCATGTAAACTACTGACGGGGACATGCCCCCCCAGGTGACATCACGAAGCCCTTGCCTGGCTCACATATAAAATGTCGTGATATCTCTATGACCTGCGTCTGCATACGATCGCCCGGAAAGTTAGGATGAACACCAGTTCGCAGGGGTCGTACCTTCCTAGAGCAATAATAATATAGCCCAACCCCGCTCCCGATTAACCCGGCCAGTACTCACACCTCCAATTCATGCCTCGCACCTTCAACATGTTGCGCTCACTGATCACCACGGCCTTGGTCGCTGGACCAGCTGTTCTGGGTCAGTCAGACATGCCACTGTCGCCAGCCTTGCAAAAGATCATCAGTGATGCGGCCTCGGATCCCAAATATGACTACCCGACTTCCCTGACACGAGACATCGTCCCCAAGGCCTTTGTAAGTGGGATAAATCCGCGGCACAATCCAACCATTCTTAAAGCACGGCTGATCTCAAGCCGCCCAGCACTCGCACAATGACTACTGGCGTGAAGTCCCCTTCTACTCGGCCCTGAAGGCAGGCGCAGTCAGCGTCGAGGCCGACGTCTGGCTCTACAACGGGACCCTGCACGTAGGCCACGAGCAGTCCGCCCTGACCGACGAGCGCACCCTGGACAGCCTGTACATCCAGCCCATCCTGTCGGTCCTGGAGGCCCAGAACCCAAACAGCTCCTTCGTCCCGGGCGCCACCAAGAACGGCGTCTACGACACCTCCTCCACCCAGACGCTGTACCTCTTCGTCGACCTCAAGACCGACGGCGCCACCACCTTCCCCGCAGTCATCGAGGCCCTCCAGCCCCTCCGCGACGCGGGCTACCTGACCACATTCGACGGCACCACCGTCACCCAGGGGCCCGTCACGGTGATCGGCACGGGTAACACGCCGCTGAACCAGGTCCAGGGCGTCGCGCCCCGCGACTACTTCTGGGACGCGCCCATCCCGTTCCTCTCCACCATCTACGCCAATATCACCTCTGACGTCTCGCCCATCGCGAGCACCAACTTCAACGTGATTTTCCCCGGCGTGCGCGGCACGGACGGGCTTAACGACCTGCAAAAGGTGCTGCTCGCGGCCCAGGTCGCCGTCGCACACGTCAAGGGCATCAAGGTGCGGTATTGGGACCAGCCTGGGTGGCCTGTGGGCACGCGGAACGGCATCTGGAGGTCGCTGTGGGAGGCTGGGGTGGATTTGTTGAATGTCGATGATCTGGAGGGCGCGGCTAATTTCTGGGAAAGCTCTGGCTGAAAATGCCGGTCAGTAATACCATGGGCGTGTACATACGTGCTGGGGGGGTAATTTCGGGGGTGATCTGCATGCACAGGTGATCTTTTTTTTCTAGGACCAGGGAGTAAGATACCCAGACCCGACGATGGCAAGCATTTACAGCAGAGCATAATGATCTGAGGTTTCTTGTTGATTCTGTATATTTAACTATTATCCTGTGCTGACAGGCTTTTCAGAATCTCTAACTGCGGTAATAAAAAATCTCTACGGCTCTTTCAAATCAAGAGCCTGATTCTGCGAGCCCATCAACTGTCTCGACGGTGAATTTTTCTAAGCAAAGAAAAAAGGAAAAAGAAACAAATACTCAAGCAGCGCTGATTGAAGGACACCTGCCCACCCTTGCTCCGTAAGTTCCTCAAAGACTCGAAACTACTCTCAAGACAGTGCGTTCAACAATTTCAATCCGGTACCGACCTCGATTTCATCACCGCCACAGATATCTCATGCCTGTTTCCCCATGCCATCCAATACCCATGCCCTTTCGAAACTTTTTCCATCTCCATTCTTCCCCTTCTGAGAACTTGGTGTATTCTCCCATGTCGTGCGGTCCAACGAAAAGAAAACATTAAAAAGACAAACACCCCGAGCACCCAGCTTTCATACCATCCACCTCAATAAAGTCGAAGCAATATTAATGCTCCGGCGGAGCCGGGTACTTAAACTTAAGCCCAGCGTCCCAACCACCCCCAATTTGTTCTTGCTGGCCGGCGATTCCGACTAGCGCTGGGAAATTCCCAAGATTATCGCCGCCGGCCATGTTGCTTTGGTCTTGCCCTTCACCTGCAAGCCCCTGCTGCGCGTTGATGGCGATGTGATCGCCGTTGCTAGGTTCCTCGTGCTCGAGCGCGGATTCTGGGCCCTGGCTGGCAGCCGTGTGCTGAATCGAGTGATCGCCCTCCTGGGAGCCCTGTGGAGGCGCCAAGGTGAGGAGGCGAGGGTCGATACAGCTATTGTTGAAAGCGATCAATGCTGCTATATCCTCCTCGGGGGGCATATACAGTTCAGGGACAGACGACTGTTCTGGGATCAAGTCCTGCCCCTGTACCTGTCCCGACTGCTGTCCCTGTGCAGGCTGCTGTTCTTGAGCTGGCATCCCAGGGAGGAATGCATCGCGCAATAATGTCTCCTGACAGGCAGCTGCACCGCTCTCGTCGGGCCTAGCACTCGCACCAGTCAGTGTCTGTGGCACAGGCTGGACGAGGGGAAGCGTGCCTTTATCACCGGAGGGTGAGTGGACGTTGCCTGCCTCTGAGGGAGGAGTCGTTTTCTCGCGAGTGGGACTTGGATAAATATTCGTGTCGCAAGGAGCCTTGCGCTTCCGAGAAGGACTTGGAACAGGCGTAGAGTGCATGATTTTATCAGACTCAGTTGAATTCGAGGGACTCACGAATTGGGGAGGACTGGGCGTGAAGAGCTCTGGTTGGCGAGAACTGGGTAGCCCGCGAACAGGAAGATTTGTGTCGTGGACAGCATGCGGTCCGTTTTGGACCGGACCCGAGGCCGATGGATGATGCTGATTAGGAGCAACGGGGGCCCAGTATGGAGGAGGATAAGAGCCGTTGTGGACGGGATACGGAATTGTATCAGCCCCAACGAAGGCTGAGGGATAATGCTGCTGATTGGAAACAGGCACGCCACCGAGGGGAGGAGCGGTATTGTGAAAAGCGTTTGGGCCAGGACCGATCCATGCTGAGGCCAAGGGATAATTCTGCTGTTGAGGAGCAGCAGGGGCCCAGTATGAAAGAGGATAACCCGCGTTGTGATTAGTATACGGGGTGGTGTCAGCCCAAAATGAGGCCGAGGGATGAGGCTGCATGTTGGCACCAGGGGCCCAATATGCAGGACGAGCAGCAGCGCCATAAGGAGCATTCGTGACGGCGTTGACCCCCGAAAACCCCGCAAAAGGTTGTTGGTTTGGAAATACAGGGGGACGAGGCTGCTGATGCATATATCCGGGGTGACGAGATGAGCCTTGCGGAATAACATCAGCGACGACTTTAAGTCCAGCCGCGTTCTGAGGAGGTTGCTGATTTGGAGAACCGGGGTAACGAGGTGGAGCTTGAGGAGCAACATCAGCGACGACCTTAAGTCCAGCCGCGTTCTGTGGATGTTGTTGTTCAAGACGGCGGATATCGTCGCGATCACGAGCCATGCAGCGCTGTAGGATCTCCCGAAGATATATCTCCTCGTTCTTGGCGTTGACCAACCACGATTTATCCGAGGGTGTATACTTCTTTTCGGCAAGACTTTTTTCGATGTCTGCCTCTTTTTTCTTGATCTTGGACAGTGCCTCTTGGTGCAGTTGCCGGGCCACTGCAGTTTTTGGCAGTTGATCAATGCGGAACGAACCCTTGCATTCGTGCTCATACTCAGCCAAACACTTTTGGTAGAGAGCCCGATTTCTGTCTACCACATATTTCTGAGGGTCCTTCGTCTTTTCATAATTTTGCATTCGTTGATATGCTCGATCCACTCTTGCGTGCACCACGATAATGAAGTTGTTTTTCCCATTTGGAGCAGGTGGGCCCGGGAACGGCCTTGGTTTTGGTGGGCGGCCTGGCTTTTTGCGCGGGAAAGACGCGTTGGCATCTTGGGTAGTGATCTGGGGTGAGGCATGGTGTGGAGCTCCTCCACCATCTTCCGACTGTTGCGGGATAGGAAAGACGCCCTTTTGGTCCATGTTGAGGTCGACTCTGTGTGAAGTGAAATAGAAAGTATCTCAATACTGTCAGGTAGTGATGACCAATGAGCGCGTTGAGATCTGGGAGATACTGAAAAGTCTGGGGCACCGAAAGAATACACCTTGATGTGAGGATAGTACGAATACTCGTGGCACTTTTTGAGTCTCAATGGCTGTTGATACTGAGGATGGCTGGGCATCCAAAATGCAAGGAGCCTTGCGATAGAAATGGCCAGCGCTGCCTCCATTCTGGGCAACTTTCAGAGGGGACTAAGAGTGCCCAGGTACTACAATTTTAATGGCCATGGACCGGACGGACTACAGGAAATCCGACAGAACGCTGTCAAACAGGAGTCACAAGGGGCCAGACGTCATGACCGATGGACGCCAGGCATAAAGTGCTTCACCGGAAGACCGGCGGCGTCTTGCAAGTGGAAGGAGCATATTGCGGAATAACATTGTTTGTTGGTGAATGCCATCATGGCAGCAGCTCCTTCCTTACGACCAAGGCGCATTTTTACAAGTGTAAATAAATCAAACCTAGGTCAGAAGTTCTAACAATCTAACATGGAAATAAAAAAAGTGAAACTGGCAGGTGTGCCCCTTATTCTTTCCATCAAGGTTCTCAAACAACACTATGTTGAACGGGTGGACTTCCCGGGCCCAAGCATGACAAGTATTGACTGCAATTATCTTTTCACTTGTCGAAAAGGTTTGCACGCCTGCAGAATGGGAATGCACCTAGAATTAGGACATTCCGACTTTCAAGGCAGCCTCATAAATCTGGCAACTGTCAAAATCTCCCCGATGAAACCTGTTCTGCGTTGGGAGATTGTTTTCCTTTGGCGTCCACACATCCGCAAAAAGGGCACAAGTGCGAGTTCCTCGATCGTCTTTTCCAATGTTTACTGGCGGATATCAAGACTGTCAACTCAAATACAGTGAGAAACTACAAGTTCAAAGCTCCAGGGGACATTAGAGCATAAATTAGTGAAGGGCCAACGTGGAAGTCCAACTTCCAAGTTGCAACACTTCAGTCCTCTTGAAACTTATTCTATCGAATGGCAATTGCACTCGGCATCAAAGCTATGCCCCCAGGAGGCTTTCAAGTGATGATCACCCCTTGATGGAAACCAATGTTAGAGGAGCAAATTTATTCGTGGCTCGGCAAGTGGTGGATTTCGGACAGAATTTCACTGTCAACGACATGAGCTTTGCCCTGTCCACACAAACCATCCTTTCGAAGAGCTTTGATGCTATACGTGTGTGCCCTGAGTGACTTCCTACGTAATATTGCCGTGTGACCCCTGAATTGAAGCAAATGAATCTTAGCCTCACTTCAAGCTCACACAGTGATGGTCATGGCCCTCGCATTGGACTCTAGCGCCAAGTTCATTTTAACAAGACGCCATCACAGTAGATGATCATACTCTCAAGTTTCTGCAATACTTCAACATCGCAAATTCTATGAACGACCGATAACTCTACTTCTTTATCTTTTGCATGTGTACAGCGACTGAGTCCCAAATCCTTGGGAACAATCAGACCAGAGAAACTAGCAGCTCCCTAGATAGGCACGGCCCAGTAAAATCACTAGGGTGCCTGATCCATCAGGCCACACGTAGTCGCCCGTGACCACACTCATAGCCACGTAGACCAAAAGAGCGTTTTTGCGACTCTTGCACTGTGTGTACATACTGAGTCTGTATCTATAAGCAGGCCCAAGGAGATTTCGGTAGGAAGAGATGAAATCGATGGCTAAAGGGGCACTAGGAAGCACCAACAACCCCTAGTGAGTGGTCTAGTGTTCGCGCAGCTAATAATAATATCATCTCTGACACCTTGTTGACCGCTCAATGTCAATTCTTTTCCGGCCCATCTTCGCACTGTCCCTAAACACCTTCATGGATCGAATCCGGACCATTTTGGCCTAGCGTTGAGGCACCTCAGTGAAATAATTGTAGCCAGCGTGAAAGTAATCAGTTCAGGGGGGCCTTTGTGACCAGAAATCCTATCCACGAATGGGATCATTCCATCCCCTATATTTATCGCCGATAAACATGACTATGAAAACATTAGTGCTCAGAATTTCATGCCATCTATGTTCTCACAAAGCGAATATGTATCTCGCACAAAACCATCATACACTGCGCTTGCGCCTCCTCAGTGTGCATTTCTTGATCTAGCTTAGACGCTTTCCTCACAGGAGCCCATAAAAATTGAGAATCCATGATGGTAATAATAGTCTACTGAGAGTGGACTCTGTCCATAAATGCTTCCGAGATACTCCTGCAATGAAGTCTTGTATCTGTCTGACGTCTGATGGCCGACGTGAGTCTACTTGCCTGAGCATAGTGGCCCAAATGCACTGATGTGCAATTGGTTCTGCCGTAACTGGTTGTGCGGCCATGATACCCCCCCCCCCCCGATTTCTCTCCGCGGGCAGCAAGTCGGAGTGTCCATGAAATGACACAATCGTAGCGTCTCTGAAAGCCCAACCGTGTCATCAATGGACATTTCAAAATGTCAGCCGTAGAGCAGAATTCCCAAGTCAAATGGTTAGATGGACATTCACATCCTCAACTCAGTGATCTAGGCTTTGCGATGGCTTGGTTCACGCAATGCTAGTGGTCCTTACTACCGATATATTTCTTCAATTGCGTCTTTCCTGTCCGGCCAGGCCCTCAGGCCTTTCGAGGAGGAGTACTTAAGGGGGCATCCCCTCCCCCTTCCTCAGCATTTTCTAATTTTAGAACTCAGATCCAAGTCGTGAACAAGTATCTGCCAGTGTTACTAGTGCCTCACATATGACTTTGATCTCCCAGACTTTCACACAACCTATCAACTACGTGTGCCAACTCATCCACAGAACAATCTATCAGCAGACACGCAACCTCCCAAAAAAGCAGTGAGCTACTGTGCTGGTTTACAAGACTACATACCTGTGCGGCATCTACAAACAACTCACTCTACGAGTACCTACTGCTGCACCACTACTTCTACGCACAACTACTTCTACGCACACCTAGGGCCACGCACACCTACAACACTAGAGGCATATCAAATACTACCGCGGCTGATCTTCGCGCAGTCAAACAACAACAAAATGGACAACAACGGGCAATGGTACCCAGGGCCCAGTGCCCCTGTCGAATACCCATCGGCACCAGCCTTCCAACACCAACACCAGTGGCCTGCACAGCCAGCCATGTCACAGCACATCAGTCCACAGCAGGCTTTTGAGCAACAGGCTATGCAACAACAAGCCATGCAACAACAAGCCATGCAACAACAAGCTATGGAACTTCAGACTATGTCACCCTGGGATTTCCAACCCCAAGCCTTCCAATCCCAGGCCTTCCAACCCCAGGCCTTCCAACAACAAGCCTTCCAACAACAGGCCTTCCAAGATCAGGCCTTCCAAGACCAGGCCTCCCAGCAACAACAAGCCTTCCAGCAACAACAAGCCTTCCAGCAATGGGTTATGCCACCACAGGTTATGCCACAGGGAGATCTCCAACTGCAGGATTTCCAACATCCATATATCCATCAATCTGGTGTTCAACAACAGGTTATGCCACAGCAGTGTATCCCACAACAGGGTGTCCCACAACAGGGCGTCCCACAACAGGGCAGCCCACAACAGGGTTTACAACCGCCTGCTATGCAACAACCTCCTATGCAACAATCTCCTGTGCAACAACAGGTTGTGCCACAACAGGCTGTCCAACAACAGGATGTCCAACAACAGGATGTCCACCAACAGGATGTCCAACAACAGGATGTCCAACAACAGGCTATCCAACAACAGGCTGTCCACGAACCAGCTGCCCAACCACAAGCTGTCCCACAGCAGGCTCTCCAACAACAGACCCACCAGCAAGTACAGACACCGGCTCAGACGTTCGAGGAAAAGAAGGCCGCCTTCCGCGAAATCCCACACGCCCACCCAAATCCTGTGGCAAGGCCCGGCCCAGGACGGAAGAAGAAGGCCCGCCCATTCTGGCCGCCTGCAAACGCCGGTGAAGACCTCAAGGCAGATTACGAGGAGCTTCACATCGCCCACGAGAGGGTGGAGGGCGCCGAAAAGAAACTCAGCATGAACAGGGACCCTTCCAAGGCTGTGCACTACCAGAAGATGGTACTGCGCAACATGCAAACTCGGGAAACTCTGTGGAACGCCTGCGAACTTGAGGAGAACGACCTTCCTGACAATGCTCCTTTGGAAGAACACGAGTCGAAAATGACAAAGCTCCACGATTCATACTTGGAGAGTTGCAACCGATTGCAGACAAGGAGGAATGAGCTGATGGCTGAACACCCAGAGCTTGTGGATCCTCAAACCCTTCAATTCAATGAGAGAGGCCTGAGCAAGAAGGAGAGGGAGAGCCTAACCTCGACGCGAAATTGGAACAATCGCTACAGTGCCAGGTTGTCGCGCACATACACCAAGTTTTATCTCGCACTGGAACGCGAATATCAGGGGTGGCCACTGTGCTACCAAAACCTCAAGCGCATCCACAAAGCCCGTTGCTACAATTTTGTGGCAGCCATGATGTGGCCTGAAGATCCCCGTTCGCGGGAGGAATTCTCAACCCTTGACGAGGCTGCATGGTTTGCTGCCTGGAGCAGGTATCAAGACAGGGACAATGGACTACTTCCACCACAACAAAGTGCTTCAATCGCCCACGAACAGTCTCAGACGCAGCCTGATGCCCAGCAGGTCCAAAACCAACCAGCTGACCATTTGAACGGGCAAGAAGCTGCCGCCGAGCCGGATGACCTCCAAGACGCAATGGAGTTTGCTCGCGACGACCTTGAAGAAGGCAATAAGATCCGAACGGCTATGGCCGAGATTCAAAACATTCACAACGCTCCTGCGGGTGCTAACAACCATCAACCACCGGCTGCCGGGACTGGAGACCTGGACGCCGAGCACGAAATTGTGCCCGGATACGGCGAAGATGTCCAAGATGAACAAGAAAATGTCAACCTATGTGACGTGCCTGGTGAGGATCTCGAAGCCGAGATAAAGAGATGGACACCCGACGACGCTGAAGAAAGCAACCAAGACCAACCAATGGCTATCGGAGATGGGAACCTGGACTCCGAATACAGCGGAGATGTTGCGATGCCTGATCATTCTCCTCAGAACACAGAGGAAGGAAAGCAAGACGAGGCTTCCGAGGCTTCAGACGACTCACTTTTCGGGCCTGAATAGTGACACACACCAGATCGATCATGTGTCCTGCTTCGAATGATCCTACGGGGGAGATACGCGAAAAAGGATTGAGATATTGAATTTGGGAAGAGGCATCGGGAACAACTTGAAGAAGGTTGGATTTACGGCATCAATTGTTTTTCGCATCCACACACACAGCATGGCGCTTGAACAGCATGGCGCTTGAACAGCATGGCGCTTGAACAGCATGGCGCTTGAGCTGGAACATTCCTGTACATACGGACTGGAATACCGAAATACCCACGATACCCAACAAAGACCAAAAAACCAAAAGAAAAAAACCAAAAAACACAGAAAAACGAGAAAAACAATACTCGAAAAAAAACAACGAAAAATACAAAGTCAGACAAAAATATCTAGATAGTCAGGAAGCGATCAAAAACAATTGATATTGCCCCCAAATTATTGTGCCATCCTCTTCGATTCAAAGTGACAGTGATATGTTATGTAGACTCATCGGGCCGTTGACTCAGACAACCTTTTCGACGATGATTGGCCACCGTGCCGGATGTTTGTGTTGTGCCCTCGCCTGGCCATTTCCTTCTTAAAATAAAATTCTTTCGACGGCATTCACATGCTACTGCTGCGACTAATCTGTGGATCTGCTACTATGGATAGATGAGGATATAAGTCTAGACGTAAATGTTGAAAATTACTCGCTACAGTTCATACTTGTGGTCGATGCTCAAAGCCGTCGAGCAGAATCTCCTCCAGGACAGGTTCATGGAAATAGGGATGTACACAGTCTGCACCGATTCCAGAGCCGTACAAAGTCCGTGGATAAGAGTCTAGATAGGGTATGAAAAATTACACCGAGATGGCACACTAGCAAGGAATTTGTGACAGTTTGTTCTCCCGTTGATTGCATTACAGAAAGCATCGCTCATTAAGCTGCCCCATAGGGAAGTAACTCACAAAGCAAAATTTGCTTTGTAGTAGTGAGCTTATACATAGCAATTTGACAACATTGTAAGCTCCAAATATGACTGAATAATATATGCAGCGAGAATAGTGTCCGGAGAAAAGATATAGAGTTACTTGAACTGCCGAGCGACTAGAGCGAGATGGTTGCAGATGCAGCGCAAGCAATTAGTAAAGTAGAAAAGAGTTCAGTACATACTGAAGGACTCGCCGTGAGTGAGCACAGAGAGTAAGCAACATAAGCAAACAAGCTTGATTATCTAGCGGAGGCCACAGCATATTCATGTAAAACAGACACAGTATTATGGATAAGCAAGATTGTGCATAGACAAGTGACTAGCATTTACCAAATATGTACAACTAAACGCTCAGCGACTTTAAAGATAATTATATACACAAAAGCACCAATCAGCTAATTCCCACAAAGATGGGATCATCAGAACCCCCAAAATTGCCATGCACAACTTAGCAAGAGGCAACGCTGGGAACGTTCTTGCAAGAGTCATACTTCTTGCCACCGGAGACCTTGACGTCGGTCCAGGTCCAGTCGGAGCAGGCGCCGGAGCCACAAACGATGGCCAGGTTGTGGCCGGAGCTGGCGACGGCGCCGTCGCCGTGCAGGCCGTTGACGGTGACCTTGGTGATGGGCAGGCCGCTGGTGGGGTCTCCGTGCAGGTCGCCACCGTCGTAGTTCTGCTCGATCAGGACACCGTACTTGGCGATGTTGTCGAGGGTGATGTCGGAGTAGGTGATGTCGCTGATCTTGCCGGTGGTGTCCTTCTTGGCCTTGATGCGGATACCGTTGTCAGAGTTCTTCACAGTGCTCTTGGAGAAGGTCACGCCGGTGACGGTGTTGTCGTCACGGCCACCGACGGAGCCGATGGAGAGACCGTGGCCGCCGGAGCAGAGACCGGAGTCGAACTTGATGTTGGTGCCGGAGTTGATGGCAACACAGTCATCCTGGTTGTAGACCTTAGCACCGTTGATATGGATGTTGTTGGAGGAGCCAATGTCGAAACCATCAGTGTTGTGGCCTCCCGCGGAGTCACCGGCGGAGTTGTCGATGGTCATCTTGTTGATGGTGAGGTCATCACAGCCGTTGATCGAAACAACCTGGACGGGGCTGTTCTTGATGGTAATGTTGTTGATGTGGGACTTGATCATCTTGTGGGCGGCGAAGAACTTGGGCTTTGTCTTGCCACCGTTGGAGCCCTTAGTGTCCCAGTACTTCTCACCGAGACCGTTCAGAGTGGAGCCGGAAGCACCCTCGACGGTGATGCCAGTGCCAGCGATGGACAGCAATGGGCCCTTCCACTCCTTGTAACCGAATGTGGTCTCTCCCTCGAAGATGACCTTGGTGTTGTCCTTGAGCTTGGTCAGGTCCAGGGTGGTTCCCGCAGGCACGGAGAGATCCTTGAGGGTGATGGTAGAGCAGGAAGCTTGCTGCTTCATAGCATCAGCAGCACCGCTAGATCCAGAGAAGGTGCAGCTGGATGCACGCTTCATCACGTCGTCAGCCTTCATGACGGGGGCGGGCGAAGCCATGACGGATGCCGCCAGGGCAGCCGCGATAAGTCCAGACTTGAGAACCATTTTGGCTAACGGTAAGTAATTGTTAAAGAGCGAAGGGGGTGTGAAAGGAATGAGTGTCGTAGAGGTCAATCAACGAGGGTGAATGAGTGAGTGCAGAGCAAGGTCAGGAATCATCCCAAACAATGAAGGTCCTCACGATCTTTATACCTAGACTTCACTTCATCCTTTCTGGTGTGCACCCAAGGAAGCGTGCCGAATGTGCCGTTGTGTGCCGTTTGCCGCATACAGAACAGTAGCAGCGGTCCACAAACAATAATCCAGAAACATTCCAGAAGGCTGTGTGTAGGTCGTTCGGCCTTGCACCGAGATAAACGGAGCCCCATCCGCAGGGTGGAGCCCGGCATCCACCTTGCAGCCTCCCCCTGGCGGTGGAATTGTTCATCTCTCCGGGGCCGTGTGGACACAGCCGGGCGAATGGGCGGCAGCATAGACGGCTTGGCGTTTGACCATCTGGCCAGGGAAAGGAGACGAGGGAAGCACTCGAAATTGTGTGAGGCCAAACAGGCATCGCTATAATGGAAAAACAGGCTGGAGTTATTTCCGTAAATCCCGTCGAGTCTGCAGACATCGCGTTGACATCGACGTGACGCGATGGTCTCACGAATTGGTTCCTTGACACCACGAGAGCATTATTGGCGAGGAATGGCCCAGCCTGAAGGTATCGCGCGAGGTCAATGTCGATTCTATCTCTTCCACCAACCAGGGATAAGCAAATTGATCCCACTAGTAACGTCGTTTAACGAAACGGATCGTCTAGACCCATGACGATCATGTTGGAATTGCAAACCGCCAAGCGTGATCAACGGATGTGCGGCTAGCCACGCAGTGGCTATAACCTTGATAGAAAGCTTAACCTGTCAAGCACTTAGCGAGCGGTCCGGAGCGGCAGCACGGGGCGCGGTTGCGCGCTGTCGATAGGGACTCAGGGAGAGAGGGTCCCCGGTTTTCATTTCTCAATCCGGCTGTGGCTCATGGAAATGTCTTGGCTTCCTCCACATCATCTCACCGTCTGGCCTGGCTAGCTACTGCCAAGAAACTCTTGCAATCCGACCAACGGGACGGCCGGCCAAATTATGCGGTGCATAGAGAGAGTCGTCTGATGGCATCACAAGAGTCAGTCTAGCCTCGAAGCTTGATGTCTTCCGGTATTGGTGGTGGAGCTTGTCAGCGTCTTGGTCGTGGGGACTCTTACATATTGGACATGTAGACCCACCATGCCACATGTGTCCTAGTGCTGAGGTTGACTGACTGGCGAGACATTGCTGTCGCCAGATCGTGATACGCTTTGAGCAAAGCATGGTATTGTGCGTGAGACGGGTCCTCAGCACAATGGTGTTACTGCGCGTGACGGGTGCGAGCAAGGGTTGATTTTGGGATGCATTGCTGGTCTCATGGGGTGATGGACGAAGGAAAAAAACGGCGACGGAGTCTGGGGAAGGACAAACAAGCTCTCCGGCTGCGAATTTGTCCGCGTCTAACTTAGTGTGTTTGTTGAAGGTGCCATGTCAAGTCAAGACGTTGGCGGCAAAGCCGTAGGCCACGCAGAAAAGCGCAGACAACTCAAGATATCAAGCGTGTCTCTGCTGCGTAACGGCACGTATCTTGCCAAACAGACAGGTGACGAAATACCTGGGTACCGTGCAAACATTTCTATCCACAGCTGCTACCATGGGCGGACTTGCCAATCCTCTGCTCCCTGCTTGGTCAATGGTTAATGGCCCTCTTGCTCTGCGTTCTCAAGATGCTTCAAGCCTCTTCTGGTAGATTCTAGATTGCCTTTCCTCTCGACTGCAGACCCCATCCAGAACAGCATTGACGACGATCAGCGGCAAGTTGGATGACAGGTCTCCTGCCGCGAATCCGAATCCATGCAGCTGTGTTTCTTTTCTAAATTCGTCAGAAGCCTTGAATCTTGTCTTCCACTGTTCTACAGGACAGCCAGACTTGACGTAGACTGAATGTCAGAGAGGGATCGTCACAAAAACGCTCCGGGCACACACTTTCAGCTTGTACCCAACGAGAAACTGACAAAAAGACCTAGATGGTGGCTGTTGCGGTGGAATGGAGCCATGCCTGATCGTTGTTCATGAGTGGCCTTGGTAATAGTCAGAACTTACAGCAATAAATTTCACAGTTCTCAATTGGCGAGATTTGACATGTTGACACCGCTTCCCCGATTTGAAATTTCAATCTCAACCTCGCGGAGAATAATGTGAACCAGACCATGCATGAAGCTGTACAAGACGACAGGGTACATTCTGTGAGAGTCCAATACATATATTATGAAAGCCACGAGGAGGGGTAAGAACGCTGCGCAATCTAGATACTACATTCGATGGAACAATTTTACCACTACCAGAAGTGGCGATGGGCGACGGGAGTCCTAGCAGCCACCGCAGCCTCCGATATTGTTGGAGGGGGGGGGGGTTAAAAACAACAACATAGAGCTAAGCCAGTCTTTTCCTGTATCGTCTGTAAAGTCTTTTGCATCCTGCGGCGGTGTATACGGTCAGATGTTGCAAGATGCCTCTGGTGGAGCAAATGTATAACCTTGCGCATTCGATTTCTCGCTTCGCAAATGCTGGCTGCGATTTTCTGGCTAGCTATGAATATCTATGACCCCCAGCCACAACGGCTTCAACTGCACATGTAGCTGGACGAGGTAATCGTCGCTGGAATAGCCAACTAATCAATTATGTGCGTTAAATGCTCATTAATGTGCGTTAAATGCTCATTAATTACAGCGCTGTTGTACGAATTGAGCCTGAAGCTTCACTCTCTCCAAAAAAGGCAGATTCAAGAGATATCAAGTCCTACTTACACTCCTACAAGCGGCGCTAGGGTACGCGGCTAAAGTCTGCCATGTACACAGTTAGCGTTGACCACTCGTCCTGGCTTTAAACGTCGGTCCTGTTTGGGACCTTGACTCAGACAGACCCGTTCTTCCCTGCAAGTGTCAGTCATCAGCCGCCGAGCAGCTTGGAGCCCATGTACCTGACAGCCGCAGACTCGAGGGGTTCTGGCCATTCTCCCTGCATGAGGTCTGTCGCTTGCGGCCAGTGGACCAGAGTGCAATCTCAGCTTCGTGTGGCTAGGACACAACTCTGCCCGACCTGGTCAGAATTCCTGAGATAAGCCGGTAGTCGGTCACCAAATCTGGCAGAGCGCTCGCCTATTCGGCGGGGCCGCCGCCAACTGACGCGAGAATCCACATACTCGAGTAATGAAGTTAGCCAACATCCTTCTGAAGTAATGGAGCGTTTGACTTACTCTATGCTCTCTCATGTAAAGCTTTCCGACAATTATCAACGGAAGGGGCGCCTTTGTTTCCGCTATGATCAGTGGTATGCGTGAAGCCTTGTTCTCGATCAACGGGCGTCGACAGACTCGGCCGAGCAAGCTCGATAGTCTGCGTTCATTGAGTCAGTACTCGGATCGAAATCGGGGCTATGGTGATCCGGCAATCACCGTAACCTTAATTCAACTTCACCCGAACGCCTATTTCAACGCCAGGTCCTCAGCGCCGTGAAGCTTCTCAGGTCTGCCGCGAGAGCGCCCGCCTCGTGGTGACAGCTGTCATGGCCCTGAATTCCAATTCCAGGACAGGCTCCAGTGGTCGTCCCAGCTGCCGAGCCATGCGCGCAGCAAATCACGCGACTCGCGGTCTGCCTGGGCTTCTGCCCCCGATGCCTCTGCCGCCATTTGCCGAGTGATATTGCTCATCGCTCTTATCGTCCAACTGGAATGCCTTCCTTTGAGCACTACAACCGGGTCGCGAGTCTTTCTCTTTGCAATTCTTTGCATCGTGAAGACCTGCTGATGTTTCCCCACGTCTCTGCACCAGTCTGATTGCCATTACGCTGGCCGTGGTCTTACTCCCCTACCCTCCTCCTCGACATTAAATACCCCCAACAACTTTTCCGTTTGATGTCATGTGCCGTGGTGGTGCTGCTTCGAGATATCAGCAAACATTGGAATGCTACCCACCGAACCGCGGCAGCGAGTCAGGGCTGAGAACTCGTGTGCGGCCGCTAGTGCTGAATGTCGGTCACAATGTCACATTGATGTAGTGTCGTTATCTCGCGTCTTCGTTACCCATTCTCTGACCGCCCTCCAGCCCTGGCCGTTGATTCTGCAACCCGCAGGGTATAATGCTGTTTGTACAACGCTCATTTCCACTTTTCCCCGCGATGACGAGAACCATTCCGCTGAAGGAGGGAGGGGCTCGGGTGTCTCCACTTCGTCGTCTTGTCGCAACCTCGTATGCGAATTCTGTGCATGTTGTTGTCAGTTAAATCGACTGAAATGTCGCATTTTCGGAACGCTTCCCGATATCTCAAGGCTTTGGCAGCTGGCACAACCGCCCGACAGCTCGGCGTACAGCGATCAGCACATGGACGTCTGTATTGGTACAGGATGACATATTGCATAGAGATGAAAAGGATCTCTACAGTGCATGCCCCCCACCTAATGTTGGCTTGGCGCGGGAATAATATCGTACCTAATGGATTGTACAACCACCCCGCAGGCGACTCAGAGGTTGCAGTTTTGGATGCCAAGTCGACTTAAGCAGGCAAAGCTTTCTGGGCCTTCGCTTTTGGGATATCGTTCGCGCCGTAAGAGAACGCGGTCAAATCTCCAGTGGACCCTCGAGGTTCCATCGCCAAGACGAGATTGCATCCCTCACGCCTGCCGGGTCGGCCAACCACTATGCGCCATTGGACTTCAAGCCATGAATGGGGAAAACAACGCAGCGGTTCCCACCACCATGAGCAAGTAATCCAAGGCAGTCAGCAAGGTTGGGCTCACGAGCGAAATATGCAGGCCAATGTCGTCGTCAGAGCGAGACCGCGATAAGGCATGTCGACATCGGAACGGCGAGTCTCGTGAGCTCTTGGCTGCAGCTGATGCGGAAGAGGGGGTTTGATTCTGTAGAGAGGCACGTTCGCGATGAACGCTGAGTACATAACTTGGTCTGGATATAAAAAGAGGCTTGTGGGAGCTTTTCAGTCTAAGAGGAAGTATGGCAGTGCCCCATCTTCAGCGGCTAGTTCCTACATCTTGTTAATCATCCTCCACAACACCAATATGTTTAGCTTCAACAAGCTCGCTCTTGCTCTAAGCACCTTTTCTCTGGCGTGGACCCACCCAGTCTACCAGAAACGGGATGTCATTCCGGGCAGTTACATCGTCACCCTGAAGGCCGATGCTGACGTCGGGAGCCACATATCATGGGTGAATGGCATACAAGCCCGCAGCCTGCGCCGCCAAGACGCTGAAAGCGGCGTCACCAAATCATACGCCTTCAAGAGCTTCAGTGGCTACGCCGGGGCCTTCGACGACGCCACCATTGAGGAGATCCGCAACAGCGATGAGGTTTGTCGTCTTTGTCTCGTTCCCTCGAACCTGCGTTCGCCCGAGCCTAACAACCACGCAGGTCGTTGCTGTAGAGGAGGACGCCGTCTGGGAGCTCTATGAGCTGACCACGCAGAGCGATGCCCCGTGGGGCCTCGGGGCTATCTCTCACACAGCCCCTGGGTCAACGGATTACATCTACGACACCGAAGGCGGAGTCGGAACCTACGCCTACATCATTGACACCGGTTTGCTGACAACCCATGTCGAGTTCGAGGGACGTGCATCTCTTGGATACAATGCGTATCCCAATTCTGATTTCGTCGATCTCATCGGACATGGCACCCACGTTGCTGGCACGATTGGGTCGCGTGCGTACGGTGTGGCTAAGCAAGCCCAACTGATCTCCGTTCGAGTCTTCAACACTGGTGGCGTAAGTCGTGATCTTTGAACGACACGGCAACTCATGGCAGCTCGCTGATCATTTCGTCCAGTCCACAACCTCCATTGTTTTGGACGGATACAACTGGGCAATCAACAACATTACCGCTGAAGCACGGGAGGCAACCTCCGTTGTCAGCCTCAGCTTGGGTACGACACACACCGCCACTACCTTTCCCCTTGCTTTCAGCTCGAATGTGCTTACTAACCTCCTTTCTTGTAGGCGGAGCCTTCTCCTCAGCCTTCAACGCCGCCGTGGCCGCCGCGTACAATGCAGGCATCACGACGGTCGTGGCAGCAGGCAACAACGGCGTCGACGCGAAGAGCTACTCGCCCGCAAGCGCGCCCGAAGCCATTACAATTGGCGCCATCGCAGTGAACAACAGCAAGCCGTCGTGGAGTAACTTCGGCGACATCGTTGACATCTTCGCTCCCGGCGTCGACACCCTCTCCTCGTGGATTGGCTCTGACACCGCCACCAATGTTATCTCAGGCACCAGCATGGCGACTCCCCACGTCTCAGGTCTGGTACTGTACCTGAAGAGCGTGCTCGGCGGGCTGGAAGCCCCCGCCGATGTGGCCGCCAAGCTGACGGAGCTTGCGACAGAGGGTGTCCTGACTGACCTGGGGACTGGAAGTCCGAATCTGCTAGCTTACAATGGGAATGGAGCTTAATGTCTGCAGTCGTGTATGCCTCAGGGATATGATTTCGTGGGACAGGCCTGCGACGTTTAGGTACATGCTATCTAGACGACTGCATGAGTCCATGAAGCCTCCGGGCTGCGGTAATTGCCACCTGTGGCGGTTTCTGCGTGAGGAATCATTGGCTATAAAGCCCAAATGTGATTTTAGACGGATCTTACAAATTAATGAAATATCTCACCCAAAATGACGCCACGTCCAATGCTTAATGTTCTGCAAGATAATACTCGCGTACGCTACAGAGTCCATTTCATTGCGGTAACTCAAACGCTCATACAAGGGGCTAGCAAGCGCAATGCTCAACAATCAATTAACACAGTGGAAACAATATACGGACGCCATATCTAGCAGCTTTGAAGTATACCTGCGTAGTCACCTGGTATTTAGATCGCAGGTGCTAATAAACACGCTCGTTAGTTGAGTCCTTACGAATGAGTATTCGAAGACTACCAGCCGTGACTGACGGCTCACATTAATACATCGATTGCGGAAGGGCACAGAAGAGCGTGTTGGCTAAAATCGAGAGGCAAATGTGACTTTTAGGAGCAGAGCAAGCCCTATGGTCTAATTCGTCCTACTGAAGACGTCTATCTCGTAGTGTACTACGCATTGAGATATTCGTTCGCGTACGATAATAAAAGAGACATGAACTGTTTGCTATGAGTACATACACCATCTGTCTCTCATCAATATTTCGAGCAAGGCACTTGAGCATTAATTAGGTCGCGAACCACAAGGCCCTACGAACTGCTTTAATGCATCAGTACAACTTGTATGAGCAACCATGGTACCTTGGATTCACCGGAAGCAACTCAAATGGCCTAAGAAGTGTCCATCGGTGATTCGGGGTAGGCCAGGCATTCGTGTCCGATCCGATCCAACTGGTTACACGATCAGATTAGAGTGACCGTCCTGATCGCCGCCCATGTCGTCTGCGACATCAAAAGTGGGCCATGGGATAGCTTCACTTGTGTTCTATGTCAATGAGACAACGCCCAATAACAGGGTCAGTGACTGACGATGCCCCACATATACATCACGTACGTTCGAATTCACATGGTTCAGTCCAAACGGTAGTGATCTCTGCAATATTTAAATTCGTCCCATGTGCGGTCACCCAGTCTTCCCTCCTTTTGAAACTCCAACACCCCACGACAACACAATTCCCATCTTGCGACCAGGTTTGTCGTCCAAGCTTGTGTTCTTAATCTCCCCCAAAGACCACTCAAGATCATCTAGTAAACCAGTTGATCAGTAAGTAAGACTCCTCAACATATTCGCCCCTCCTACTTCACCTATTACAAGGCACCGGGACGCGAACTTCTTCCTTATCACCACCCAGCTACCCAAACGCCTTTAAAGAACCTTCATTAGACACCTCCCTGACCCAGTTCCTATACACACATGTTCAGCCAACAATGGCCCTAGCCACAAGATAATCAATCAAAAGTGCTATCAGCTACTCCTTGAACTGCCCACCAACACTCAATCATGTGTTGCAATATGCTAACATACCTTTCCTGGGATCATCAGCAACAAGCAGCATGGATCCGAACAACGGTCCTCAAGACCAAGGGGGCCATACTGTGCCAACCACCGTCTCCAGTGGCAGCACACCGGCGACTGCCTATCGTTACGCCCCTTTTACCCAATACCACATCAATCCAGCTGCTTCGGAGTTGCACCAACAACAATCGGCTGCCGGGCCTGGCCCATTCATCGGTCACTATCCTCGTCTCCATAGTCCTCGCTTCGTTGATCCTCGCATGACTAGTCCTCTTCCTGCTGATGCGACTGGTCCTCGTCTCACTGGTCCTCGTCTCACTGGTCCTCGTCTCACTGGTCCTCGTCTCACTGGTCCTCGTCTCACTGGTCCTCACCGCGGCCTTGTTACTCCTCAACAAGCAGGTCGGGCACCCGGCTATGCTGTACCTCGTCAGCCTGATCCGCGTGCAGGCTACATGTTCTCTCGTGATGCAGCTCGTCTTATCGGCACAGCTCATCCTTCCGCTGCGGCTTTCCATCCTATGGTGGCTCGTCCTCCAATTGCGGGGCCTCCTCGCGCGGCGGCTCTTCCTCGTGCGTCGACTGATTCTCGTGCGGCAGTTTCTCTTCCCACGGCGGCTGCTTCTCCAGTCGGTCGGTCTCCCATGAGCGCAAACGTCTCACAAATTACTGTGGAGAGAATGAGGAACCTCGTGCAGGAGAGGAGCAACACCTTCCAGGGATACATCCGTAATGAGGCTGAGTTCTTCTGTTACGACGAACTCGATAGACAACTCAGTCTGAATAGAGCGATACTAGAGGATCATTCCCAAGACTACCCCAATGATGATGCCGGGCGATCAAGGATCGTCGAGCGTATATATAACGCGATCATCAACACTAGTGGTAACCAGGATCCTGTGACGACATCAGTCGATTCTGGCAGCAGCCTTGCGGTGAGATGTATCCAGGAATTGGCTCCAATACAGGTCGAGCTTTTGGCGTACAAGTTCATGGTGGGCAGCATCACTTTCCAAGGCTAATATTGCGCTAATAAAATTGGCGATACAGAGAGCCATCCTCAAGGTTCAGCGAGGAGAGCCAGTAGCCCCCTCAGGTTTTAAGCTCCAGCAAGAGCGCAACTCCATGACCAAAGTCGACAAGGTTGTGGAGGCTCTCAGCGTAAGTCAATTTTGCGAAAGCGATAACATGTTGCTATTTCTATACGGGAAAAGAAAAGTAGTAACAATTCTCCATCTGTTCCAGTTCAACAAGCTCCTCTGCCGCAGCGCAGCAACGAACCCTGATTTCATCGGTCGCATCGCCGCTGATCCTGAAAAGGAACGCCAAAAGAAGAAAGATAACATGGAAGGCAACAGCAGAAAGGGCGGTATTCTGAAGTTAGGTTCGCAAAGGAGGGCCAAGATGAAGGAGTCGACGGGAAAGAGAAAGAGGGTCGCCGCCGAGTCCGAGCCCAAGCCCAAGGCTGAGTCAAATACCGAGGGGAAGGCCGCTAAAGAGTCTGCAACTTCGGACGAGATCATCGTCGCATCTGAGACACCGAGATAGGAGAACGGCGTCCAGATTAAAGAGGATGAAACCGACGGAGCAGCCGCTGGAAGTGGCCGTGCTTTCAAGCGCAGACAGACAGAAAGCTTGCCTATAGAGGCAACTCGTGCCAACAGTCACGGTGAGGCTTCTCATCAGGAGCAGCAGGACCAGCGTGTTCAGTCTACTGTGGAGTACACCACCACTGGTCCCGCCCACTCCGATGTCAACGTCCAAGCATGCCATGCCAACGACGAAACCAGTTTTCCCGACCGGAGCTCCTTTACCAACCAGAACTACTTCGACAAGACTGTTGTTGCCGACGATCAGACCGACGGTGCTTCCAACTTGACTGATGACGCTCTGGCTGCCCGTGACCGCAACTTTACCGCGCCCATGCAAACCCGATCCGATACGCCCAACGATTTCGAGAATCGGATTCCCAGCCACCAGCCTGTCCTGAACCTCGACCCCGACTTCGCCTGGTCAGTTTTCGTCGACAATAACAATTCTAGCCTGGCCTCCCACCATCAATCCCATCCTCAGAACTCGGACCAAGATCGGCCAGCTCAGGACCAGGCCCCCGAGCACCATTCACCCTATCAGGAGGCCACCAACTTTAACAACATGGACGGTCTCTTTGACGACGTGGATAATGCATGTGGCTGAGAGTTCAGGATGGGCAACGAATATCAATTGTGGTCCGGCTATCGCCTTCTGCTTGGTCTCGGTGATAGTTGGGCTTTGATCTGCCGGGAACAGGCCTATGAAAGATGGGTGCAATTTTGCATTTCGGGGCCCAACGACTTTATGCTTCATTGCGTCTTTATAGAGGCAATGTTGGTGGGTTTTCCTGAAGGTGATGATGGCACAAATGAGGGCAGATGCGGGATTTGATACGGAGCTGGATGGCTTGATGTATACCTGTGACGCGGTCCGCGCTGCCGATCTCGTGATTGGCCATGTCTGCCGCGCCGCACTGGCAACCTCGTAGGTCCTGGAAGGTACCTAGTTGACGAGCCACGCGGTACCTTTCCAACGACCGGACAGTGATCAGGCAATTATATATACTATAAGCCCTAGCTAAGGGAACAGCGCTATACAAGCAAGCTGGGCGTCTTGATAAGCGCTAAGACTATCTCCCCTTGCAGCAGCCCTTCCCCCATTTGGTTTGTGCTATTATGCCGGGGTTTGTACTTAAGGCTGGTGTGATTTCGAGGAGGAAAGTGGAACAATATACATAATGATTTCCCGCCATTAAATTGATACCTGAGGCAGCCACGACGTCTGGAAGCGATTAATGCCATACTGGTCTGTGTTCGGCGGGAGACGCTTTAGCCCCGTTGGGACTACCTAGGGTCATGCTCCTCCTAAGGTTGCTCTGTTATTGGGACCCTGTTTATTTCAAAGCGAGGAGGGCTTGAGATCTGTAGACTGCTAGGGCTGAAATAGCTTTAGAGGGTAGTTGATGTGGATATTGGAAGTGCATAATCCTGCTGCAAATTATAACAATTACCGGGGGGCTACTATGGTCAATGCGTTGGATGGTGGGAAGGCAGATTGCAAGGCTCAATGCAGGTCCAGCAGCTGCCTAGGATTGCTTCTAAGGTCTCGCTGAACGCATTTTAGCGCTTATACTCTGCATGTGAATGCAACACTGGGCCACACGCAAGGCTTTAAGGTTAATTGAAAGTAATATCCAACCTTCACAACTTGAGTTCCCACACATACTGCTTCCGGGGATTTGACAGTATCTGTCATGGCGTCGCACGTTGAAATTGATCCAAGCTGGGTTTATTTCACCAGCAGTAGAGAAGAAGCACAGAATACACACCAACACTGTCCGATCCGCCCTTATCTCAGCCTTCATATCCCGAGGGCCAGTGATCCTGCGACGACTTTGATTGTCCGGCGTATTGTGTTCACGACGGTCTCTCATGACCAGGGATTCAGCAATTACACAGACAAACACGGCACCTACCAAGACTCACATACATGGTTCGACGCCAACGTTATCGATCCTTCAGGTTTATACCGAGTACCGCGCCTAGTGCTGCAGCACAATGTGCATGCTCGTTGGGAAGCAACTAGGCACGTGAAAGCCTACGACTTCCGCGACGAAGCTGATGAGGATTCCGAGCAAGGCTCATCAGAAGCCTGGCTCTCTGCCATCAAGTGCGGTGATACTGTTCAGCTCGTTCCAAGGGCATTGTGGCCAGCTTGGGTCAACTGGGTGATCGAGGCACGCATCGAAGTTTGGGCAGAGATTGTCGCAGTCGTGAACGCAGACCAAAGTGGCCCAGACGATAAAGTCTATCGCCCTTTGGATGCTGAGGAGCGTGAGATCCGAGTCGTGGCCATTGAGCGTGGAAGAGATCACGAACCGCCACGCCTTTCGCTGCACTATACTTCTCTCTCCAGGGGGGATCGAATTCTCTTCAACGCGCTTTCGTACTGCTGGGGAGAAGCAACGGACACAACGTTGGTGGCCCTGACCTCGGATGTAGATGGCATGCGCGTGTCATCCCATATCGCCATAAATGCCAACCTTCTTGCGGCCTTGAAACGCCTAAGACGCGAGGATGCCGATTTCTTCGTCTGGATCGACTTGATATGTATAAAGCAGAGCGATACCGCAGAGAGGTCACAACAAGTTGCGATGATGGGCGATATCTTTTCCTCGGCGGACCACGTATACATCTGGCTTGGGTTGGAGCAGCGAACTGCTGCGATGGGAGACATTTCAGTCTATAAGCATATCGCAAGCAAGTTCCAAGCCGACCTCAAGGACAACAAACCTGTTGATAGACGAGTGGATGGCATGGATGCTCCCATCCCTACACACAGAGCCACCTACGATGGCTGGGTCTGGTACAATTTCCACTTCACCAGACCTTTCTCACTCCCATGGTTCCACCGCGTTTGGGTCCTCCAAGAAGCTTGGAGTACACAGCCCGGCGCCGCCATCCAGGACATATCGGAGAGGGTGTCGGTTCTCTGCGGGTCGGAGGAACTGCCATGGGCTGTCTTCATCCAAGCCAGCCATTGTATACATACCTATTACGGCAAGCCGGACGGGGCGGCTAACATGATGCCGGAGATATGGAAGACCCTGTTCCACGCGCCCCGCGACACAAATCCCTTCTTTGTCACACCAGTGCCACAACTGGATATACTCGAGGTAGTCGTAGACGGGCTCGACATGCGCGCCGCAGACGCCAAGGACAAGATCTTCGCGCTCCTCGTGTTTGGAAAGGAAACCCACAATGTCTCTGACCTCCCAGACCTCGTGCGCCCGGACTACCGCAAATCAGTCTCACAAGTATACGCAGACTTCACCAGGTGGTGGATCGGCCACTCCCAATCCCTCCGAATCCTGTCCGCAGCCCAGACGCAGACCGGCCGCACGTGGCTCGACATGACCGACTCAGCCCACAGGGGCCCCGGCAGGGCCGACCTTTCCCGGTCGCCGTCATGGAGCTTCTGGCATGAGGGACGTGGCTCCTGGAAGCGGGGCCTTCTGGGGTTCGACGAGCGCATGCCTTATAACGCAAGCGCTGGACGTGACCTGGACACGGCCCTGCTGCTGCAGCAAGACGGCGGGGTCGTCAGTGCCCGCACACATGTCCTGGCACTGCGAGGCCTTCGGCTGGGTTGCATTTCGTCCTTGTCGTATTATCCCCTTCTTCGCAGCCCAGCGGTGTCGTCAGAGATGCAGACCGCGTATATGCACATATTCGGTATACAAAGCATCTTGCCAGATTCGCGCACTCGTCCTAGGACTCCGCATATCATGGATCATCATAACGCGCATGATGCCCTCCCTCCTAGCGACCCTGAAGCGATACCGGATTGTCTGCATTGCCATGGAAAGTGTATGTTTAGTACCGGAGATGACCTAACAGGTTTATGCCCATCAGGTGCTGAGATTGGGGACATTGTGGTTGTTTTGTATGGAGCACGTGTCCCCTCGTTGCTGAGACCCACGTTGTCCTTGGGGAATTATTTCTTTGTGGGCGAGTGCTACGCAGATGGTGTCATGTATGGGGAGTGTTTTGCTTCAGATTTTGCTGCTGGGCAGGCAGTAGAACCAGAGACTTTCCTCTTAGTATGACGTGTAAACTTGGGAAGAAAATTTAAGGAATTAAAGGCAATCATTTACACTGAGACACCTTGATTCTCTCAGCGACAATCATCTAGGCCCTCGTTAAGTGATGCGGCGAAATGTGGTCTCAAGTCCAATTTGTTGAGCACATCTGGTGAGTCTGTTTCCGTGCTGTTGAATCATTGAGTCACAACATACCATAAATATTGGTCTTGAAACTGTCCTCAACCTGTTAATTCATTTGGCTCGACCCTGTGTTCTCATAGTTGCACAAAACACTCGAAGTGCATGTCCATCAAGGTGTGGACAATCCAAACATGTTCATCAACTTAATTAGTTTGCCCATCAAGGGACGTAGCAAATTGCTAGAATTTGTGAGTGTACCATCTATATAATGATCTTGAGATGTCACGGAAACAATACTTTACCATCGGTCTATTTGCCACCCCGTCAAAGTCAATCTTATTTTGAAGACACACATTCTCTCGCACACATACATACACAAACATACAGAGAGACACACCGAGAGATGCACACAATAAGAACCTCTTCCTCTCCGTTCTGCATAGATTCACTATCCACTGCCATGGCTGATCCCATACAAAAGCCAAGTCTTGGGGTGATCGGAGGAGACGAGCCAAATGTGTGGCAGTCAATCATCCGGAAGTATTCGAAAGATCTACAGAGCCTTCCATTACCGCCAAAGAACTTCACTCGCCGCAGTCGAATGCACCCTGAACGGCGAAACAAAAAAGGCACCTGGCCCAAAAACCTTCTGGCCAGACTAAAAGGAGGAGAAAAGAAGGAGACACTTCCCATTAAGACAGCGACAGGATGCCGCCAATGGGAGCTGAGACCCATGTCGGACACGCCTCCGCAACCCAGGCTAGGTGTCCCGTCTTTCACAGTCACAACGCCGGAGGGAGAGACCATGTGGCCCAAGAACCCGAACTCCAACATGACACAAGAAACCATACGACACTTCATATCGTGTGCGAAAAGACAGCACAATGGAGCTGATCATGACAGGCACTGTGCCTCTTTTGCAGAGGCACGCCGAAAGTGTTTGCACAAGCTGCCGCGCGTCCTTCAGCCACAAGTACTATTTTGCCTCAATTGTTGGGAGGATGAAGATGCACAAGAGGATTAATAATGCGCATACCGGTTATGATCATCTGGTTGAATATGGGAGTGGATGAATGCGGGAAGGGGGAAGGAGGACGGGCGAAGAGGAAACCGAGTTGGAGGGAAGGGGAAGGAGCAAAAGAATCGGCCTTGAATCTTGGGACTGGCTTTTCATTTTCCAGGAGAAACCATGAGACTCCTCGATGGCGTCTGATCACTGGCATAGAATGACGATATTCAGATGAATTATCTCTCACTTGTGTTGTAAAATGTATCTCGTATATACTCGGAAACAACGTCTGGTCGCATATAATTTTACGACAGCCGCCGTCTTCCACAAAGTCATTAGCAATTCAATCTGTCCAACCATCTCCCTGCATGGCATATTCGGTTAGCGCAATGTCGTGACAGTGAATCTTGTGATCTGTACTCACCAGTCCGAGGAGCTCTTGGCCCTTGAGAAACTCCTTTGCATTTTGCTCTCCCATCCACTGAGGCAATGTTCTATCGACTCCCTCTTCCGTGTCGAAAAATCTCCCTCCCGTGATGAAAACTGCTCTTCCATTCAGTTCCCGATCAGCAGAGCATTGAAGTATAATCTTCCCAACATCGGCTGGGGTATTCAAAGGCATGTTTTGCTTCACCCACTTCTCTTTCACACCAAGCAGTTGCGTATCCGTAGCCCAAGGGCAAAGCGCATTTACCCTTACTCCGTATCTTTGAGGTGCCCATGGCCGGAGAGCTCGCATCAAGCCAATCACACCGTGTTTCGATGTTGAGTAGGCGAACAAACCAGGTGCCTCAGTAATGCCAGCTATGGATGAGACGAGTACGATGGATTTTGAGAATTCCGTGTCCGTGCCTGAAGAATGACTGGCTTTCATATACGCGAGGGCGATCCGACAAAAAGAGAGAACACTGATCAAGTTGATGTCAATGTGATCTTTCAACGGCAGGGGCTCCTAGAGAAGATCGTTAATTGACAACTCTTGAGGCTTCAAAATACAGCCACTCACTCGCCGGACGGTGGCTAGGTCCAAGTCTTCCGGTTCAAACCACCCGGCTGGCTCTTTCACAGCAGCACAGGACACGGCAACATCCACACGACCATGGTCCTTGAACGGAGTGTCGAAGAGTGCGAGCTGAGAGTCGTAATCCCGGACGTCGAGTTTCTGAAAATGCACTGAACCTCCCGTGTTCTGTGACCGCAAGTCTTGTTCGACTACTTTGCCTTTCGCGTCGTCCCAGTCTCCAAAATAAACGTGGGCGCCGTGGCTGTGGTATAATGACACGGCTGCTGCACCAATGCCTTGCGCCCCCCCTTTGCACGATGTTAGATATTAGGATTCGATTGTGGCAGATGATGAATGGGTTAGTCGTACCTGTCAACACAACAACCTTGCCCTTCAACGTCTTGGCATCTTCCTCCGAAAAGTGTATCTCGGCCATCGCGGAATTGAGCCGGAACAGATCTGTTACAACTATGGCACTGCAGTGCTGTATGTATTGAGTTTAACGAAAAGAGACTCAGGACCTCCGGATCGAGGCACTCTTGTTTCAGTGGCTAGGTGTGTGAGGATGGAGGACAAGGCTTCTCGGTTCATCATTTGTCGACCGAAGGTCACTGGATACCCGCACCGACGATGCTAAACAAGTCGGGCGTATGCCACTGCGGGGTTGTCCTCCTGACGAACCAAGCATTGAAAGCAAAACCCCCCAAAGTCTCGGCACCCAGACTGGCGGGATCGGCAGCTCGCTATTCGCGTGTGGAGACCGGGTCAACTATATCTAGCAGAAAAGAGGAGATATCCTGGTCCCACTATTGTTAGCTCTATGAAAACCAACATACTAGTGCAGCGCGTGTCCCAAATCGAACTTGTTTCTGAAGTCACCATTTCATAACCATACATTGGACTACCATAACAGTGAAAGTAAAGTATGGACAACGAGCCAGTCAATCGTCATGCTGAAAAGACTGTCATCGTGACAGGGGGCGCCAGCGGCATCGGCCTTGCTGTAGTGGAGCACTTCGCTTCTCAGGGCAACAACGTGGCAATCTTTGACGTGAACCTGGAGGTCGGCAAGCAAGTTGTATCAAACATTTCAGATGAGAACCCGGAAGCCAAGGTATTGTTTAAGAAGTGTGATGTTTCGTCGTGGAAGAGCCAGACGGAAGCCTTCAAAGATGTGTTCAACGAGTTCGGACGGATCGACATCGTGATGGCAAATGCTGGCATTTCTGAGCAAGGAGCAAGCGCCATGGCGGGCATCGAAGAGGACGAGCCAAAAGAACCGAATTTGAAAATCATGGATGTGAATCTTTCGGGTGTTATTTACAGTGAGTCTCGTCCTACAATGTCCTGTCTCACTCGAGTTAAGCTTTGCTGCAGCCGTAAAAATTGCCATACACTACATGAACAAGAATCCATCACCTGGGCCTTCTCGAGGCTCCATCATATGCACAGCTTCTAACGCCGGTTTCTACCCCTTTCCTGTATCGCCGCTGTACGCAGCTGCCAAGGCAGGCGTGATAGGGCTTGTCCGCTCTACAGCGCCGATACTTGAGCGTCACAACATCCAGATCAATGGATTGGCGCCGGCAGTCCTAGGTCTGGCACACCCAACCCATGAACTTTGGTATTCAAGCTGACAGCACTGCTCTAGTCACCAATATAGCACCAGACAAAGCATTATTCAAAGATATGATCATTACGCCAATGTCGACGTTAATCAAGGGAGTCAAAAAATTTGTTGACGATCCGACTTTAAATGGCGAAGTAGCAGAAATTCACGGAGAGCACGCCACACTTCGTCCACCACACGAGTATGTTGACGAGGATAGCAAGAAGAATCTGGAAAGGTTTTGGAGCTTAGGTTATGCTTGACTGTGCATGGTGATAGAGATGAGGAAGTGTTGTGCCTGGAAGGCGTTTTGCGCCATTAATTTGGCTTTCATAGACTCGTGGAACGATGACTGCAGCGGCTCAATACTCAGGCCCCTCACCCAGTGTTACCATCCCTCTGCGGACCGTCACTCTCGTCACCCACACAGCTGATTGTCAAAGTCTTGGCGCTGATGGATAGATGAATACTTGGGATTATTGACTTTTAATGGCCTTGGACGGAAGTCCGGTTGTAGCGAATTGGGGTCTAATTGGATGCTTTGTGCGAGGCTCGCATCAGACTGAGTAGCCAGACACCAGACCGCGAGCCAACCAGGACGATGTGCGAGGGCAGGCCAAATACATCATCCGAGATACCCACTTATCACCCACCTATTCCAGCGAAGCGATATCGCGGAACCAGCGAAAGAACATTGTCCCGGGGCAAGCATGGTTCATGCCCGTCTACCCCAGATCCACCCCCGGCTCTCCCCCGCACCCTAAATGCTTAGATCTGCTTGAGTTCGGCTAAAATGGACTGGGTTCTGCTTGAACATCGCTGACACACTGTCATCTAAGACGCTGAAACAACGGGTGACACCTGCCCGCAGGCCTTGAATGTGCCCCCGTGGTGGGTGTGATTCTCGGGATATAACCTGGCACCCGGCCCAGGTAAACATCCTCGACGCGTAGCGAGCAGTCGAGCAGAGTGTGTCCTCATCCTTCAAAAATTTTTGTCCTGCGCCTCGAATCAGCGAACATGCCTTTGGGAATATTAGAAGACCGTCACCTAGAGCACGTCCCGGGGACGTCGCCCTTGAACGAGCTGGGCCATGTTGGAGTCGAGGATCCAGTGGGCATCGATTCCAACTTCCTCAAGCATGACCCAAGCGGCAAAATTGTGCTCGTTCCACAGCCATCAGACTCGCCCAATGATCCTTACAACTGGCCGAAATGGAAGAAGAGGATGTTCACGGTTGCCATCGCTTACGGCTGTGGATGTGTAGGAGGTAGGTCATTGGAATTTCATCTGCCTATACTCGAGATTCTCAATTCTACCGATCTACTCGATCTTAGCATACCACTAACGCGATGGAATAGCGGTCGGTCCTCTGCTCACTGCCGCGCTGGCTCCCCTCGCCGAACAGTTCGACATCCCCTTGCAACAGTTCACACTCGGTCTCCAAGGCTCTTGCATCGTTGCCATCGCCGTGTCCAGTCTTATCTGCAATACCCTGGCCGTTAAAATCGGCAAGCGGCCGATATACATCGTGACATCCATATTGCTTATGGTTTCTTGTTTCTGGGCTGCCGAATCTAAGTCTTTCGGATCCCTCGCCGCCGCACGAGCGGTTCAGGGTTTCGCCATGGCTCCTATGGAAGCCCTCGTCCCTGCTTCCATCGCAGATATTTGGTTTGTGCACGAGCGTGGGTTCCAATCTGCTGTGTTCAACCTAGGCGTGCTGGGCGGTATCAACCTAGCCTCCCCGATTGGTAAGTCATCGCCTTCTGGCAGACAATCAAACGCGCATCTAGGCACTGACCTCAAACAGCTGGCTCCATCATCCAATACGGATCCTATCGCATCTGCCTCAACGCAATGGGCGGGGCATTCGTACTGCAATTGATCCTCACTGTGCTTTTCATGCCCGAGTCTGCGTATCATCGCTCCGGCGCGATTGACATCGACACCACGGACAAGTCCTTCAGCCAGATGCTGGAGAAGAAGACTGATTTTGAACACACGGAAGAGAAACCAACCTCCAGTCCGACCACAGAACTGAGCAACGAAGCAAAGAAGTCATTCGTGCGCGAACTCCTGCCTTATGATGGATACTGGGACAAGACATCATTTTGGAGAACTCTCATCCGCCCGTTCTTCTTCCTGGGCTCTCCCATGGTAGCCTGGGCCACGCTGCTATTCACCACCTGCATTTCCTGGCTGGTGCTCATCTCCATTACGCTGTCGCAAATCTTCTCGGCGCCTCCCTACAATTTCTCCATTACGGCTGTCGGCGCCTCGAATCTGTCCTCCTTCGTGGCCACTTTGCTCGCCACGGCTCTAGCGGGACCTCTCATCGACGGCCTCGCGAAGTTCATGTCGAAGAGAAATAAGGGCATATTCGGTGAGCGTACTCGCGATCCCATCTTCAGTTAAACATCCACTGACAGCTTCTTCAGAGCCCGAGTTCCGTCTGCCCATCATGACCACCTACCTGTTCTTCACTGCGGTCGGGTTCTTCTCCTGGGGCCAGTCCCTTTACGCCCAGGACCCCTGGCCCGTGCCCGTGATTGTGTGCCTGGGCCTCATCAATCTCGGTGTCCAGCTCGGCACGACGGGGGTAGTGACGTACATCGTCGACTGCCACCGCGAGCAGGCCGCGGAGGCGTTTGCCATCATGAATTTTGTCAAAAACATGTTCGCCTTTGGGCTGACCTTCTACGCCAATGACTGGATCATGGTCCAGGGAGTGAGGAACTGCTTCTTTGTCATCGGGGGCATTACAGCGGCGGTTGTGCTTACAACCATACCCATGTATATCTTCGGGAAGAAGGCTCGGAGCTGGACCTACCGGCATCGCGTTATTACTAGAGTTGTGGAGTGGGCTCATTGAGGGATGCTTTTGCTGTTGTATGGAAGCTTGGATGTATCTTGATAATACCTAGGACCGTGGAATCAATTTGACCTGAGTACCAGTATACGTCTCCCCAAATCATCGACGCGCAATGGGGGGAAAGCTGTTCCGCGTCACCCCAACGCGCTTTTCCCAATCCGTTGCAACACGCGATGTCGAAGATCCCTGCGTCCTCTCCGTGTAGATTCCAAGAAATAAAACCTCTTTACAATGCCTTACCACGGGGTTCATTGTCTCGGAGATTTGCACTGTCGCCCGATAGAAGCTTCTACGATATAAGCCCCTACGAAAACTAAAAATACGCAGCCCACTCTGCTGAGCGAGGCTCGAAGATTATTCTTTGGACCTGATCTGAAAGCTCAATAGCCTTTTAAATCTACCCCAACTTAAAAGAACTGTTATTTACACCATGATTATCATAAAATCTCCGATCTCTCAGGCCAAAAAGAGCGAAGGAGGGCAGTGTCTGACAGTCGTGGGAGTTTCCCAAAGTCAAGGGCCAGTAGTTCTCGTCTGTCTGTCCACAGATTGACCTGCGGCAGCCTTGCAGCAATGTCTCAGGCCTGTAGCAATGAGCGTGAAAAATAGAGTTACGTAGAAGAAATCAGGAAAAGATACAGAAAATCTTATCTAGTACTCAACAATGGCAAATAAAGCTCTCCATCATCTCTCACTATTCCACTAAAATATTCAAACAGCACGCCATCCAAGCCCTTCTGCTTTGCGGCGTCAATCCAATCACGAACAGCCATTTGGGCGAATTCATACCCATGAGTTCCTTCCATATATTCCAACAGTCTATCTGGTGGCACTTTGATGTCGTTGCAGTGGTGTACAAAAGATGTTGGGAGTGAGGCCGAGGTGGCAGAAGCACAAGAGGAAGTCGAGTTCAACGCAATGTTCACCAATTCACCAGCAACACGCTCAACTGGAACCAAATCGAAGGCACCCCGAATCTTCAAACCGGCGGTGAATTGAGGAACAGCCCTGAGAATGTTGGAGTAGCGCAACACGGCGCCAATGACATCCCGCTCAGGCGCACCCGGGCCAACGAGGCTCGCTGCGCGGTGCACATAAGCCGGCAGGCCATACTCGGAAGCTGCGCGTTCAAGCAATGCCTCGCTAACCCACTTCGAGAGCGTGTAGCCATCCAGATGGGCCAAGCTCTCCTCGCTGGCAATAGCAAGACTTTCCGTCACAGAGACTGGGCCGAGTATGCGGGCTTCTCCCAAGCCACCGGTGTCCCGCGGCAGCACCCCGGCCACAGAGGCAGTCGAGACAAAGTGCAGCGGGATGCGCCTCACGAGAGCCATCATGCACAGCGCCTGCGTACTCAGGACGTTTGGAGCCCGGAGGGCTTCGGTGTACGGCTCGAGAAACGAGACATGTGCGCCGTTGTGGATGAGCAGGTTGACTTTGCGCGAGAGTTCGGAAAAGGCCTGCTCGGAGAGACCCAGCAGGGGTTCACCCAGGTCACCACGGTGTTCGATGATCTTGTCGCTGACGATGCCGACGTGGCGGCCGGGCCGCAATGCTACGCAGTGGACTCTGGCGACGCGCGGATCAGACACGAGCTGTTGGAGTATGTGTGTTCCGAGGAAGCCCGTCGCGCCTGTGAGAAGGACTTGGTGCTTCGACCCAGATGGTAAAGCCGGAGGAGCACCGCCCGTTTGTGAAGTATATGAAGACAGGCCCTCGAGAAGGACGGCAACCTCGGCAGCCCAGTCTGTGTCTCGGGCTCTGATTTGCGCTTGATTCCTCTCCGCCGTATGCAATGCGACTCGAGCGGCCATGCTACCCAGTGTGCGCAGCTGAAATAATTCTGGAAGGGTCATGGAGACCCTGAAAGTCCGTCTGACGAGTGCGCGAAGCTTGATAGCCAGCATAGAATTGCCGCCGACTTGGAAGAAATCGGAGTCAGGATCAATCGCAACTGGCAGCTGGATATCGGCATCCGACTCATCTGCACCAAGCACGTCTAGCCAGACATCCCTCATTCGCGACTCAGCATTTGTCAATATTCGACCACCGTCCCCGTTGCCGTCATTCTGATTATCCGTGGGTTGCGTTGGCAAAGGCAAATTGTCAATCGCACCTCTATCCAGCTTGCCATTGACGTTCCTCGGCAGCTCTTTCACAGAGACGACGAGTGAAGGGCACATATGTGACGGCAGGGGCAAGTTCGTCCTGAGACGCTCGCCGAGCTCAATTCGTCGTTCCTGATCGAATTCCGCGTCAAAGACGATGAAAGCGACTAGTCGCTCGAATGGCTTTGTCCGAAATGACACCGCCGCCGCCGTGAGCGCGCCGGCTGATTCGCGGATCATGACATTAGCCACCTCGTCGAGCTCGACGCGCATACCGCGGATCTTTACCTGGCCCTCGTTTATCCGCCCTAGCAGATTTATCGAGGTGTCTGGAAGAAGGCGTCCGTAGTCACCAGAGCGGTACACGCGAATATTTGTTTCGGCTCGGCCAGGTGTGCTGGCGGGCTCAAATGGGTTGGGGATATTGATAAAGCGGAGTTCCGTCTCTTTGGGACGGTTTAGGTAGCCCAGAGCCACGCCTTCACCAGCAATGAGGATTTCTCCGGGGAAGCCGATTGGAAGTGGTTTCATGTCCTCATCAACGACGAGGACTGAGTACTTGGGCATCGGGAAGAGGAAGTCTCCGGTAATTTCGAGGTCCTTATCGGTACGGTAGGGAACTTCACCTCTTCCAACGGCAATGGTAACCTCTGTTGGCCCGTAGACGTTGACAAATTGCAGTTGCTCTAGGTGAAGCCTTTGGAAGCCCTTACGTAGCTGATACGTGAGCTTCTCCCCGCCCGAGAAGGCGACTCGCCATCTCGTACACTTGCGCAGGATGGGTAAGCCGTAATTGAGGAGTGCTAGGTATTCCGAAGGGCATCCGACTGTGAAGGTGACGCCGTGCTCGAGCATTAGTTCGGCGATGTGCGATGGATCACCACGTCCCTCTCTGCTAACCACAACCAGAGTCCCGCCGTTACCGAGTGCGTGGAAAATCTGGTCAAGACAGAAGTCAAAGCCTGGAGATGTCTGATGTAGGATCACATCATCACGATTGATTCTGAACAGAGAAGTGTTGGCCATGATATGGGAATGCAGATTGTTGTGACTCAGCAAAACGCCCTTTGGCACGCCAGTGGATCCACTGGTGTACAGGATAACAGCCGGTTGATCCGGTGTGCTCCGGTTCTCTGGTATTGCATCTTCTGTGTAAGCCTCAGAAACACTATCCAGGTCGAGCACTTCTGCTGAGAGAGGGCTCGCATGCCGATACGCCTGGTCCTTGGTCGGCGTATGACAAATCAGCACCTTGGGTCGACAATCTGAAAGCATGATATCGAGTCTTTCTTCCGGGTTTCGCAGGTCTAGGCCGATGCAGACCAGTCCAAGTCGCAGGATCGCAAGGACAGTGCACACATACTCACTCGTGGGGTGAATGAGCGTCCCCACGACAACGTTGGCTAGTGGGCTTTCATCTAGGTTGATCCCATGTCGGAGAAGACTCTGTGTTAGGCGCTGTGTGATGTGATATACCTTGCTCATCATTTGAGCATAGGTGAGTTTGGTGCCGTCATGACCTATGAGGGCAGTGTCGTTAGGGTACTTGTGGGCGGCTTTATCGACCTGATGAATCAGTGTGCCTGTTCCTGTCCCCCATCCAGGTGGCGCTTCTACGTGCTGTCCAGTACCAAGTTCGAATGGGCGTCGCATGTCTGCCTCTGCGGCTATGGGACATTTTGCCATCATCGTCGACGGGTCGCGAGCAAGGGCGTCAAGGATCCTCGTGTACCAGGTCATCATCATTCTTCCGTCAGATGCGCTATACATGTACTTCTGAGTGGTCCAATGTATATAAGTACGGCCTCCCGACGCCTGCGTCACGTTGATGAAGATATCGTTTGGATTACGGGCGGTGAGACTTCTTTCGGCATCCCACTGAATCATGCCGTCTGCGAACTTGTCTTCGGCTGAGTATCCCTGACGATAGTCCAGTGCCACTTGGAAAATCGGGTGGTGGCTACCGGACCTGGAAACACGGAGGTGATCAAGAATGGTATCAAATGGCGCACGTGTGTGGGCCAACGCTTCGAGCACCATCTTCCGACACTCTTGAAGCAAGTGGTCGAAGCGACTCGCCTCTTTGTCTTGAGATCGGAGATCGAAACGCAGTGGCAACATGTTGAGAAAGTAACCCATAGTCGTGGCATCCTCCGGGTCAGGCCTGTTGGCGTCCACAATGCCAATGCTAAAGTCGTCCACCTGGATGCATCGCTTGATGAAGACGGCCAAAGCCGACAGGAACCAGTGGAAGGACGTAACACCACAAGCTGCTGCGGACTGCCTGATCCGGCTGGCTAGATCAGGATCCAACTCCATGTCGACAGTCTCTGTTTCGTATCTTTTTAGGACCTGTCGGTTCTTCACGTTGGAAAAGGCAAACAACGGCAGAGGTTCGTGAGGGTCTTTGTGCATTTCGCCCCAGAAGGCTAGTTCGCGCTGTATATCTGTCACGTGTAGCTTCTGCTTCGCCGACATATCAATAGACTGTTGGACTGGTGGAACTAGCGTTTTCCCGGTGTAAGCTTGATCAAGTTGCTTCAGGAATAAGAACCAGCCGATTCCATCGACCGCGATATGGTGGTGCAGGAAAATCACGTAGTGATCAAAGGGCGATAATGAGAGAACTGTAACTTTGACGACATGCCCGTTCTCAATGTCCAACACCAGACGTTTCTGGTGGTCGACCTCTCTCGTGACTTCACTTGCGTCCTCAATCACGCGATGCTGGAATCCTGGAAGCGGGGATTTTAGCACAGCCTGAACAGCGCTGTGTGAAGTTTCGTCCAGGAAGTAACAGGTACGAAGGCTTTCGTGGATGCTGCAGACATCCCAGAGAGCTCTTTCGAGCCTGTCAATATCTAGTGTTCCTTTGTATTTGCCCACATACCCGATATTATACGCAGACTTGTCTTCCAGATACTGGTGCAAGAAGTAGAGTCGAGCCTGTGCTGGTGACATGTCTCCGACTCGGACATAGCGAGACACATCTGGAGACTCAAATGACGGCTTGGGTGCGGGAGAGAAACATGCCGTGACGGGTGATGCCGGTATATCCTGTTGTGACATTGACAGAGATGTGGTATCTGAGGGTGGTCCGGATTGAGATGTCGAGTCACCATCTTTGTCATGAAAGGGTTGATATTGAGGGAGAAGTTCGACTGGCATGGAAAGACTCGTCGCAGTTCCATCGTTACCAGTCTTTGCGTCAATCTCAGCTGTTGAGATCTGTTGAGTCTCAGGTATTCGACTCAAAATTTCATCGCAAATGTCAGTTAGCGATACACCGCTGAGCATCTTTAAAATTGGGATATTCACTCCTAGCTCCTTGAGAATCCAAGACCTGAGTTCAACTGCCACCAAGGAGTCAATGCCGAGACCCACGAGTGGGAGAGTCTTGTCGGTCTTCGCTGTGTCCATCTGAAGAATTATCCCGAGCTTTGCTGTAAAAGCCTCTTCCAGCAAGGTGGCTGCCTCTGTTTGAGAAGAGACTAGAGCTGCAATGATCTGCTGCTGGAGGGAGCCCTGCCGCGGCATGTGAGGTGATATTTTCTCTGACTGAGGGTCTTCACTGTTCCCCCAACCTGCTTTGCTCCGATCGGAAAGATATGAGATCCAGGACGAAAAGCGCGGTATTGCCCGCCAAGATGCTTCCTTGCCGTCACCGAGTCCAACGATAATGTCCGACTCCATACCCGAGTTTGGCCGGCCGCAGAACACGGCCTCAGCAAATGTTGTGTGGAGATCGTCCTCAGAAATTGGCATGGACGAGTTCCTTTGGAGCTGAGACTCGATGCGGTGGCTCTTGCCGCCTATCTCCAATGCACGGGCTACGTGGCCGACGCCGAGGATGGTACCAAGATAGATGACAGAGGCGGCCAGGCCTCGTCTGCGCCGTCGCTCTGCCAGAGCTGCCATGTACATGTTTGCGGCACTGTAATTCGATTGGCCGCCATTTCCAGCAATGCAGGTGGCGGATCCGAAAAGGACGAAGAACTCAAGGCTTTCATCTGTGTAGAACAAGTCGTCCAGATTTTGCGTGCCCAGAGCTTTAGGCCGCATAGCCACCTCGAAGTCCTGGATGGTCATATTTTCAAAAGGCCGGTCACGCAAGACCATGGCGCCGTTGGCCACACCGGCGATAGGCGGCATCTTCGCGATCATTTCCTTGTGTGCGCAGCCAAGTGCTTCCTTGTCAGCGATGTCGAGCGCCCAGGTCTGGATATTGACACCCAATTTTGTCAGATGCCGGAGCACTGCCGCATTCAGGCGGGGGTTCCTGGAAACGAGGGCGAAGTATCTCGCGCCTTGTGTTGACATCCACTCAATCAATGACATGCCGACGTCACCCGCCAGCCCAACGAGTAAATATGTCCGGTTTGATGAGAACAGTGGCCTAGGGCTCGAAGTTAAGGGATGCAGTCTAATTGAGACTACGTCTGTAGAGAGCGACGTCGTTGAGGTTGTCATCGCGGGCCAGTTGAGAACACTCGTGATGTCTTGGTCACCTGATATGGATTTGAGCATTGATATGTCGATGCTAGCTGGGCGTAAAGAGGTATCATTTTGGTGGTGAATGCATGGCGAGCCACTTTGTCTGGCCAGAATCTCCATGATTCGAGAGCTTCCAAGGTTAAGAGGCACTGTCTCGGCTTTACTGAAGTTTCGGTACGAAGTGGTGATGTTGCTTTCTGCGATCGTATTGTACCTTAGGAGTGTATTTCGCAGGGCTAATGCGTCTTCGCTGCCATCCGGGCCCAGAAAACACAGTCTCGCAATTTTCGAAGGTATGATGTCTTTTATTGAGCGATTGGGAGATCGTGGGTGCAAAAAGGTCAAGGATCCAGACGATGTTGCTGCCCTCGACGCGGAGCACGTACTGAGAAAGATGTCCTTGCCTTGAGTCCTGCCCACGGCTTTGGCCAAACTGGCTAAATCGTCTGGAGCGTCGTGAAGCCAAAGTGTTCCTGAAATGCTGCTGAACAAGCTTTCGCACCAGAGTACAGCAAGTATGTGGCGCAGTACGTTGACAGGCTCTTGCTCAAGACGTTTGCAGTCAATTGACTGCCACTGCTCTGGTCCGACAGCACACAACGAGCTGTTCGTGGGGGATAGTGCAATTATCATTTGATCCGGTCGGTTCGTGGCGAATCCCATGCAGAGATACGCCGGAATAGCGCCATCGTTGGATCTGAAGGCGAACATCGAGGAGCAGCAAGAAGTGAATTGTGTGATCGGAACATCCCCACCAATGCTAGAATTTACTGCGGTAATCGCCTCTCGAATCTCAACGCGTCCATCGTGGTCAAAATCGAGCTCGACAGGGAATTTCGAAGCTATGGAATCGACCGCAACGTCCTCTGAAACAACTCTCCTGGCAGAAGCAAGGCGGGAATTTAGTCGATCATGCGACTTGATCCTGGGGATATAGATGAGACCTTTACGAATGGTCACCTCCGTCTCGTTGCTCCAGAGAATGCCCTGATTCTCGAGACCGTCAAGGAATACCATCCGCAGTAGCATTTCCGCGAAAGATGTTGAGGATGGACAGCTGCTAGCAGACACGTCGTCGATGTCAACAAAGAGAAAACGCAAATGCGGCGATTCGCACATCATCGTGCGACCAAGCCCTACACTGACGCTCGCTTGAGGGTTCTCGGCGCGGCAGCGTGTAACCCACAAGACGTACGACGCGTCGCGAAACATGGTCTGGAGGGCGCCCAGTCGTGACGCTGACAATGCAGTAAATATGGCTGTCTCTTCGTGCTCGAGCTCAGACAGACAGACGATGGTGCTCCCTGGCTTGATAATATGGTCTGCATTGGCCATTCCAGTTGCATTCTCCATAGCTTGAGCTTCTAATGTCTCCCAGCCGTTGAGTATTGTCGTTGAGTGCGCGAATGGCTCGAGCAATGAGCTCATTTTGAGGGCTATCTGGCCTCCTGAGTTACGGCCGCCTATCACCACAAGGTCGCCAAGCTCACAGTTCAAATGTACAGCATTAGGTCGATTGACCTGGTCCGCTTCGGCGGCCGGAAGCTTTAGCGGGGCCCGTAGGAAATCGACGTGGTCATCTGTGGCCTGGCTAATGATGACGGAGAACATATAAGAGGAGTCATCCTGTGTGTCGCGGACAACATGATCCACTCCCGAGAACCCTGTGTCCATCAGGAGCTGATGCCACTTACTCTCGGATACCAGTGGGCCGTGGCTTCTGCCATCCCCTTCGAGGCCAAGCCACCAGCCTGGTAGGGCCGAGACGATGAACGGTCCCCAAACTGTATGGCTTGTGACTTCGTCCAGAATTAAGAACCCCCCGGGTCGTAGCAGTTGCCTGCAGTAGGATAGCGACTGGATCAACGACCTCGTCGCGTGAAGAACGTTTGACGCAATTATGAGGTCGAAGGAATGGTCCTCGAAACCTTGATCTCGCGGATTGCTTTCCAGATCAAGAACTGCAAATCGCATTTTGTCCCCACCAACACCGTTGCCAAACTTGGTTTTTGCCTCATGGAAGAATGCAGCGGAGATGTCGGTGAAACTATATGAGGCGAACTGATCGTTTAGACGTGGTATTGCGGTTGCAGTCGCTGCCCCAGTACCGGCACCCAGCTCCAGAATATGCATGTGAGGGTAGCGGTGGGCAAGCTGACCAACAGCCATTCCAACAAGATGATTAGCCTGCCAGAAGCTTTCTGCATGATGGTAGAGCTGGCCGAGCATGTTGTTGCTCATCAGCGTGTCTAAAACCAAAGCTGGTTTGGTTGACGAAGGAGAGATCGAGTCACGCAGCGCGAGTGGAAGCACTTGGCCGACTGCGTGGATGATCTTCATCTCGATACGATCAGAATACTGTTGCCTCCAGCCTTCGATGTCTTCAGCGGTGTCATATGCCCACTCGGTTCGAATTCGGGGATGACGCCCAGCTTCTACTGCTGGTTTCAGGAAATCCAGTGCCCACTCCATGAGGCATCGGAAATGCCATTCCATAGCCGCGATGTCATCTCGCGAAAACTCATCGCAGAGCTTTCTGATGTAAAAGTAGGCCGTCCGATCACTTATCTCGTTCAGATGGGCACGGTATCTTGCGCGATCTTCCGTTTCGTGTTGGATCTCAAGACCACACTCCGCCACGTCTCGGTCCCAGACGGTGCGAGCAAACAGGGCGCGATCGTCTTCTCGGGTGGGAGGGCTAATACGCGAAATGGAAACACCCTCGATCTGAACCTCGTGACGCTTGCAGTTCGCACAAAACAAATCGACGTCGCCACTGATCACGACTGCCGAGCTTTGCCGGACGTAGCAGTCAGCTAGCAGTCTGTTCTTATCATCGTCCCGCTGGATGCCCTGGCAATTACAAGTGATCGTCGGGGCCAAGTCCACCAGGACACGGTCAATTCTAGAGGGGAGGTAGGCGCCTGTCATCCGGAGGTCTCCAGGAAAGCTGAACGCCGCAAAGATTCCGTGAAACGCTGCGTCCAGCGTCGGGGGATACAACCGCAGAGCGCCGCTCCCATCTTGGCGATCAGGTCGTCCCACAATAACAGTAGCCAGGTTGCGCCGCCTCTGGATTGACTCCACGAGAAAATCGCCTGAGTACTGAAGACCTATCGACGAAGCCCATGAGTAGAACCGAGTGGTGTCGACCCTGCTGAGCGGCAGCTCGGGCGCAACTCGGTCGGGTAGAAGAGGGGTGGAAACTATCCGTCCTGTATGTTGGAAACTAACAGTCGCACGAGCGCTGAAGACAAGCGTCGTTGACCCGACTTCTTTGATACTAGCCTCCCCTGGACGGGCAGCCGTATCGCCGCTGTAACATGTATAGTCGGCTACGATCGTACGTCGCACTGGATCCCGATGCAAAACTGTCACGATGAAGGTCATTTCCACGCCGGCAGACGAGTTTTCGTCGAGCGTCACGGCACTATGGAACCGGAGGTCGGTGAGCTCTACAGGGCATGTCGACAGAGGCAAATTCCCCGGCTCGACCTCCTCAACCAATGCCGCAGCGGCCTCTACGGCCATGCACACATAGCCAGCAGCTGGGAATACGACTTGTTGCTGGAATCGATGGCCGTTTAGCCACGCTATTTCATCCAGTTTAAATATGTTTCGCCATGCTATCGACATTGAACCGTGGCTGGTAGCGCCGCCCTGGATTGTGGCTTTACCAAGGAGCGGGTGTCTAGCTCTAGTTGTTAGTATGTTGCTGCTACGTTGACAGTAAATGAAGGGGGCGGGATAGCTCAGGCATGAAGCAGGTTGGGTGTACAAAGATGCTGCATACCTAGATCCGCTGTAGGTACGCCAACGCTTTGATTGTCGAGACTCGAAATATAATGGATTCGAATGATTCCAGCTGTACGTAGGAAGATTCTTGACAGGTCGAGGTTGTTGTGAAATATTCTCTCCGAGCACAGCACCTCGAAAAGCTTTCCATTGCACGACGGGAGCTGAACCTGGCGCGGTTCTGAACTTCGCCCACATAGAGCCCAGGGCATCGGAAAAGGCGATTCGATCATCTGACATCCGAGAAAGCAGCCCGAGATAAGGGAGGTTTACTCCAGCAAGGATCTTGAGCGCATTTTTCACCGGCCCCTGCAGCGCTGGATGCGGTCCTACCTCGAGCACGAGATCATAGCAGTGTTCTTCTTCCCGGGCAGCTCTTCCAACGGCTTCATGGAATAAGACAGGTTTAATGAGATTATCGGCCCAGTACTGCCCACTGAGCGCGTGCGATATATTGATGCTTCGCCCATCCGTGCCATGAACGCTGGAATACCAAGTGCATTCGCCATCCACAGAAGTCCGCTGCGGCTGAACATCACAGTGCGACAAAGACTTGAGGTATTCTGGAGCGCATGGCTGCATGTGGTGTGAGTGATAGGCCTTATTGACTTTCAGGATTCGCGCGAAGACCTCACGCGAGTCCAACTCTGCTTTCGCTTCCCGAATCGCATCAGAATCTCCGGATAACGTTACGCTGGCGGGTGCGTTGCTGGCTGCCACCGATATTCTGCCCCTATAAACGACGCTTCGGCAAAATTCAGTAGCTTCGTCGAATCCCATGCCAACAGCCATCATGCTGCCTGGCTGGTCACCGTTAGGTGACCGTGCGAGGGATGAGTGAAGACCGCGGTAGAACGCAACGCGAATAGAGTCCCAGGCAGAGAGGTAGCCTGCACAGTAGGCGGCAGCTATTTCACCCGAAGAGTGTCCTACGACAGCGGTGAGTCTGACGCCACACGCACGGAGTAGATCCACCAGTGCGATCTGCAAAGCTGTCGTGAGTGGCTGTGCAATCTCAGCCTCGTGGACTCTGGATACAGCTTCGGGTTTCAGCATCTCATCGGCAAGTGACCATGATGGAGCGTCTGGCAGGTCTGCGAGACTTTCATCTAGATGTCGAATGCTGCGCCGGAAGTCAGGCGAGCTCTCGAACAGGCACGCACCCATGCGAGGCCATTGTGCGCCCTGGCCTGTGAAGACGCCTAGCACACGAATTGGCCATTCCGGTGATACCAAGACAGCTTCTTTGGCAGTAGAATCATCAGGGCCAACATGGCCTGCCACGAACTCATCTAATTTATCGACGAGACTTTTCTTACCAGCAGCCGCGAAAGCAGCTCTGAAGGGGAATTCGGTCCGCCGGGATTGTAGCGTCCTTGCAATATCCTGGAGGTTTAAAAAGCTTGTTGTGCTCGAGAGTGTCTTGCTCAGCTCCGAAGCCGATCTCTCAAGAGAGCTCCTCGTATGGGCCGATAAGGTGATGAGACTGCAATCTGCAAGGGCAGGCTGCAGTTCCGGAACAGCTTCGACTGGACCAGTGCCGGCCACATGTGATGGTAGTTGCGTATGTTCGTCCCAACTCTCCAAAATTGCGTGTGCGTTCGTTCCTCCAAACCCGAAGCTGTTCACACTCGCACGCCGTGGTGCTGGTGATCTACTCTTCGGCCATGGCTGCAGCTCGGTCGGTATTCGTAAGTGAGGATGGTAGAATGGCTCAACAGCATGGTTCAACTGTTCAAAATGCATGTTGGGCGGTATTCGTGCGTTTTGAAGAGCGAGAGAAGCCTTCAAGACTGCAACGAGACCTGCCGCACCTTCTGTGTGCCCTACAACAGTCTTGACAGAACCAACGTACAAGGTCCGGCTCTTTTCATCACCATCAGTAACGAGCCGTCTTGCTTCCTTCGGAAAGAAGACATCACGTATGGCCTCCGCTTCATTGGGATCTCCAACTGCTGTGCCAGTGCCGTGTGCTTCGAAATATTGACAACAGTCTTCGGCACGTGTGGGATCCAGGCCACATTTGGCATATGTCGACTTGATAAGCGCAGACTGTGCTTTGGGGTTGGGGACGGTCAGCCCTTGTGAGCGACCGTCCTGGTTCACGCTCGTCTCTCTGACGAGGCATTCTATATGGTCATTGTCGGCTAGGGCTTGGGAAAGGGTCTTGAGTACGACTACAGCCTGGCCTTCTCCCCTGCCGTACCCCTTGCAATCAGCATCCCACATCCGGCAGCGGCCTGAGGGTGATAGCATGTGCAGCTAAAAGAAGTCCAGGACATGTTAGCGACACGTAAGAAACTTCCGAGGAGTCAACATTACGGGGTATTGACGCAGAGGAAGGTCTTCAGGACGGACTGACTTTTGATTCCATAACAAATGTCTCGGGGCCAAGGATGACATTGGACCCAGCAGCAATAGCCACTTTCGAGTCTCCACTGCGCAGAGCCTGGACAGCTTGGTGAAGCGCCACTAGGCTGGACGAACACGCTGTATCGATATTGACGGAGGGCCCGTGCCAATCAAAGAAGTAGGACACGCGGTTGGCCAAGATCGCGCGTGAGGAACCCGTACCGGCATATTGGGGTATTACTTCCATATCGCGGAACAAGACGTCGCGATAATCATCAGTCATCTGGCCCACAAAGACTGCGGTATCTGATCCCTGAAGATCGTGCATGGAGTACCCGGCTGCCTCTACTGCCTCGTAGACGACCTCGAGAAGCAATTTTTGCTGAGGATCCATGGCCTCAGCCTCGCGCCGGTGGATGCCGAAAAATTGATGGTCGAAGACACGATAGTCTTGTTCGAGAAGGTAGCATTTGGTGACATTTGTGCTCTGATTGTGACGAGTAGATGTTAGAAATGACTTGACCCGTCAGAGCTGCACGTCCTGGGTCACTCACGCCGTGATAATCTCCATTCTCGTGATGAAATCCCCGCGTCTCAAACCTGTCCTTCAAGCTGATATCGGACAAAACATCTCTGGGGTCTTGTAGGAGATCCCACAGCTTGGATGGTGATGTCGCACCACCGGGGAGCCTGCATCCGCTGCCGACAATCGCAATCGGCTCTGCTGTGCGGTGCCGCTCCCCAGTCTCCATATTTCTTGCTGGCTGCACCATGTCCCATCAATGTCCAAGATTGGTTCTGTGTAATGTTACTCAGTAGAAACAAGCAACCAGTTGCAAATATTTCAGTGGCATGGTGGAGGCATGATGTAGTATTTGGGATAATCTTTGCAATGGTTTATGGTAATGTGACAGGTATGCGGCTAATCTTGGACACATATGCAGGCCCCGAGTGAGTGGATGTGTATCAGGTACCCCATAGTGCTTGCATTGCCTTCGGCACAGGCCCAGACTACAAGGATAGGTGGCCTAAATCTGCCGACTAGGCTTCAGAAGGGGATGATGATGAAAACTTGCCGGCCTTACCTTGGATAAGACTGGGCGACTCCTTCGCCATGTATTGTACATACATGATATTTCCAGAGCTGAAAGGGCTGAGAATAATGGCCACAATCTTGGCATCCGCCCTAAAATAAGAGATTTGGATGCAGTTCAAACCTAGGACTGTGGACAATACCATCCCCTGAGCCCAATTCGGTTCTTCTTACACCTGTGGCGACTGAGATCGAACTCACATCCAAGCAAACATGGCGGCAGTACAGACGCGGCAAGCACTTACCAGCACATCCGTCGGCAACCTTGAACTGAACATCCAATCTCGGATTCCAAACCTGAGGCCAGGAACGCTGCTGTGCAGAGTCGAAGCAGTGGGGCTCAACCCGGCCGACTTCAAGTCCAGTGACCATGCCACTTCGCCTGGCTCTGTCGGCGGCTTCGACTTTGCTGGTGTGGTGTTGGAAGTCGGCACTGGCGTGACGAGGTTCTCTGTCGGTGATCGCGTGGCAGGTGCTGCCTATGGCTACAACCCAGACGATAAAGAGCTCGGGGCCTTCACCAACGTGGTGCTGGCTGCCGAGGAGTTGACGTTGAAGCTTCCTCCGAGCTGGACGTTCGAGCAAGGAGCCACCCTCGGCGTAGTGGTAACGACGGCAGGTTTTGGCCTGAATCACTACTTGCAGGTCCCGATTCCGGGCGAAGAGGCGACACAAACCGGCGGCAGGGACCAATTCGTCCTGGTGTCTGGCGGTGGCACGGCCAGCGGCATGGTTGCGATCCAGTGGCTTCACCTGGCAGGATTCAAGCCTCTGGCCAGCTGCTCGCCCTCAAGCATGGATCTGGTACGATCACTCGGAGCCGTGGCCACATTCGACTACCGCGCCCCTACCTGTGGGGCAGACATCCGGAGGTTCACAGAAGGCAGGCTCGCACATGTGCTTGACTGCGCCCCAAGCGTGGAGGGCACCGAGTCGATGAGAATGTGCTACGCTGCCATCGGTCCGAAAGGAGGACGCTACGTAGCGCTGAACCCCATCTCAACGCTTGTCAAGTACACACGCCGCGACGTGAGCGCTGACTGGCTGATGGCGGTGGCCATGTTCGGGGAGACAGTGTCACTGCCCGGTGTCTACGGCCGACCAGCGAGGCCTGAGCTACGAACATTGGCTGCTCGTATCTTCCGGACGGCAGAGATGCTCATTTCTCAGGGCCTTCTGACGGAACCAAGGTTCCAGATCCGGGCTGGCGGTCTTGGAGCTGTTGGCCAAGGTGTAGAGGAGCTGCGAAGGGGTCTGACAGGAGGAAAGCTGGTTTTTCCGCTCACTTGAAGGTGATAAGCGAGCAGGATTTGCTCTTGGGGCTGTTTATTGGATGTTGAAGCGGACCATATCTCTTTCTGAAATAGTATCTCAAACATTGAAGGCATCAACTGAGGTGAATCTTCCGCCTTAGGGGGACTCCGAGACGGTGCGTCGTCAAAAGAGTGCCCTAACCCAATCCTTGACGCAGGCCTCGGTGGATGCAGGTGTTTTATCGCCTTGGCAAGAATCCTCAAGTGACAGGGGGGATGAGCAAGGCAAATAGTAGGGCCAGGGGTAGGGGTCTCCGCAGATGAGAGCCGATGTAACACCTCCGTTCAATTCAGCCGCAAAGCGGGTGTTTTTAAGGCAATGGATGAGTGAGATCCTTTTCCCTTCCCCACACACAGATCAATTGGTGCTTATCGCAAAATGCAACGTCGGCAAGTTTCTGGGGGCTGACAATGCACCGACTGTGCATGTCGGCCGATCTTACACGAGCAGGCATTCGATGGTCTAGAACTCATTTCCATGGTATAGATCCTACAGATACCAGCCCTCCAAGGTTTCAGTCGGCTGTCGGCACAGATCTGAGTGACCCAAGAGTCTGGCTACCGCGTCAGCACGTTCTCGGAAGCCCAGCCGAATTGCCTTGCTGGTTGAGTTATATGCCCAATTTGGGTGATGACATTCACTTGCCAAGTAACATGTCAGCACCAAAACTAGACCTCGGGAGTAGGGGCCAGGTCGAACGTATGGAAGTGAACCCTGACTTCTTTGGGCACCATCTCATCGAGGCAAGTGGATGACATTTTCTATCAGCATAAGCAGTTTCCTTTACTGATCTACGTCTGTTTCAGGCACCTCAGTCTGTGTATTCGCTTTGACCATTGACAAGTGGTGACCCCAACTATGTACAAGTTCTTACCCTCAGAGTTCTGTAACTTCGAGTTCCTCCGTGTGCTCGGCACAGCTCCAACACACGGCTGTGACGTTGGAGAGTGTGTTGATGTTGCCGCAAACATCAAGATCAACGATGGCGAGAGTTGGTACCGAGCCTGGTCCGAGGCGGCATCCAAAGCCGAGGCCGCTGCCGAGGACTGCATCAGAGATGGAGACAGAGTAGGGTCTCGGTGGGCCTTGTTGCGAGCCAGCAACTACAGGCGCTCCAGCGAGCTGTATGTATCTTGAACTTTTATTTTACTTTTCTTTCCTGGCTTCACTGGCAGTGCACCAAAAACATCGACACTTTTATTAATCACTACTAATTTGCAGGATGTTGCGCAAGCCTGTTCCGTCCGAAGACCCACGACGTCTCGAGGCCATCTCACAGTCCGCCGCCCTGTTCAGAAAAGCGACTGCACTTTTTGACAGCCCTGTCGAATTTCTAGAAATTCCTTTCTTAGACGAGGGGGCCACTTTACCCGCTTACCTGTTTTTGCCTCCCAGGGGCCCAGATGGCGATGACAGTGGCAAGATACCTGTCGTCGTCCAGGTTCAGGGCTTCGACACCATCCAAGAGGAATTTTACCATTTCACCGTAGCTGGCGGCCTTCCCCGAGGTTATGCCGTCCTAACATTCGACGCCCCGGGGCAAGGCATGGTCCTCCGCCGAAAGGAGCACCGGCTTCACTTGCGCGGTGACTTCGAGGTCGTGATAAAAGCCGTCCTAGACAAACTCTGGTCCCACGCGGCATCTTCGCCGGTGTGCAAGGACCTTGATCTGAACAGAGTTGCTGTGTCGGGCAACTCGATGGGCGCATACTTTGCCCTGCGTGCTGCTGCCTTCGAGCCGACTCGGATCAAGGCGTGCATTGCGTCAGATTCGTTCTACGATCTCGGCCAGGTCGCCCGTGATACCATTCCAGGCTTCTTCCGCTATCTCAATCGCGGTGTCGTGGACAGCATCATGGGCCTGGCCGTCCGCTTATCTCCATTCCAGGTGCGGTGGGAGCTAGGGCATGGCATTCTTGCTTTCGGAGCCCCGACCATATCTGACGCTGTCGACAAAATGGCACCGTTCACGCTCCAGAAGCCAGACGGGACGTCAATCTGCGGTGACATTGCCTGTCCTACGCTCGTGACGGATGCTCCAGACACAGTCTTTCCCCTGGATGCGCAGCGTGTCTACGACAATCTAACACAACTCAAAGACGGTCAGAATAAAGTCATGTGGCGTCCTGTAGGTGTAGGTCAGGGGTCACTACAAGCCAAAGTGGCCGCGTTTTCACATCTTCACGCTAAGACTTTCAATTGGCTTGACACTGTGTTTGAAATTACGAGACCTTCGCTAGAAGATGCGGCAAGTAAATGAATATGCTTCAATTTCAATACAGAATCACAATAGAGGATTTTGAAATATTGTAAATTTCTTGCCATGGAAATAACGGAACCAAAATGCGTCGCTCTCTCCCGTAGCGAATATTGATATTGCATTAGTGATTGGCAGCTATAGAATTCTTCCATGAATATTCACAGCCGCTTTGACCGTGCCAAAAGCTCTGAAATATGCACGTCGGCTTGAAAGGTATGGTGAATGATGCCTGGAGGCGCTCCGAGATATCTCATCATTAAGTTGGGGAATTGAATTTGGTCAGGCCAACAAATCAATCTCTTATTCGGCGCCATCTATTTTGCGGCAGTTTCCCTTTGCCAGGACCCAGGTTCCCCCAAGTCGGACACTGTTGATCCCATTTATCATGCCATCGACCGACTACCTAAGCTGAGCTCTCAAGCTGGGTATTCTTTAGGGGTGGTATTGATGATCTTGCCATCTTCGATGAAGGTCGTCTGGGTACCGATTTGCACGTCCACCTTGGTCTGATCAATCCAGCCTTGCTCAAACTTGGTCACCTTGCCTTCCCAGTCCGGGTCCGTCAGCATGTTGCGGATCTTCTGTGGATCAGAGGTCCAGTAAATGACAGCTGCGTCATATGGCGCCATATTCCAGCCCTCGGCACACCCGCCCTTCAGATTGTCCAGGTCTTCTTGAAACTGTGCTTTGAAAGCGGTCGGGGTGAAGTACTGTATCACCGGAAAGGGCCCAGGTCAGCACCAAAAATGCGAGGAATGAGCATTCGCACGTGTTGTCAAGTCAGGGAATGCGGGAAAGAATGCGCACAATCTCGACACGGTCAACCCCGTTCCTGAGGGCTACCGGCATGAAGCGAGGAATCTGCTCCTCGTTGTACCATTTCAGCCACGTCTCCTCATCGTGCGACTGGTCCCGGTAGTGAAGAACGGTGACCTTCAGCATCGGCATCTGCGGTGAAGCCATTTTCGCTAGTATTCAAATGTTTCGCGCCTTTTGGTCAAAAAGATTGGAGAGTCTGGGGTGGCAGGCAGGAGATCCTCGAGCTCACTCATTTCCCGATTATCCAGAACACGGCCTGTTTTACGCTTCTCAATTCTGCTGGAGCCTGACAGTCACCATTACGCGCGCGGGGCGGATGCCATCCCCTGAGACATACATGCACGTCTGATGTGGTTCATAGCTAATCGTGCACACATGCACACGTGGGGCACAAAGAGACCCTCGTTCGCCTGGCGAATGAGGAGGATCCGCTGCGTTTGGAAACCTGCCGATATGCGACTGGGCGCAAGAGATCAGTTCAGCTCGGGCCAAAATATAAACCATGTACCACCCGACGCCAACGCCACCAGCCTAATTTGAAGCGTCAGGATTCAGCCCCATACCCCTCACACGGATAATTAACTATCAACTGCATTTCCGTGGCCCCGTGAAAAGCCGCTTGAGAAAGGCGCAGCAATGCTGACGGCTTCAACGAAGGATGAGATTGTCCGCTTCTTGATGGGACAAGACACTCCCACCAGACCTACCCCCCTCAACTTGGAACCTTTTGCCACTTGTGAAGCTCTTTCCACGCCAGCCAGCTCGTGACACCGGCAATTAGAACAACAGCGCCAACATGGCCGGTCTCGCCCTTCTGAGTGTCGCTCCGTTGCTGTCGGCAACGGGCTCGATAATGTTTACTATCTCAGAAGATACTTTTATCCGGCCCCTCGTGCGCACCTCCCCCTCAGCGCCAGAGATGGAGGCCCGCCGGCACGCCAACCGAATCCTGCCAGGGCTCATGGACTTCACCCGCAACGGTCTGGCCATCATATTCACCACCTACCCAATCAGTATCGCGACCGCGGCAGCCAACCTCGCACGCCACGACGGGGCGGTGGCGCTCTCGGCACAAGCCGCCAGGAATCCGCGCATTGCGGCCGGCTTCTACCTCGCGGGTCTTGTCTTTAGCGTCCTGCACATGCCATTCGGGCCTGGTGCGATGAAGCTATTGGAGGCGGTTCGTGCTGATAAGGGTACAGACGGGGATGCAAAGGCAGATAACACTGCCAGCATGGCGTCTTGGTTGCGTATCAACACGATCAGGGCTTGTGTGGCTGACTTTCCCTCGTGGGCATGCTACTTCGTGGCTTTTATGTTTGCGAACTCGTGATGGCGTGCCGAATATTGTATATTGTCACGCAACAAATCAGTGACCAAATATACAAGTTAGAAATTATAAATATAAAGAAGCTTGGGAAGTCACAATGCCTTTAAAAGAAAAATTGAAAACACAGTGCCGCGTACTAAGCTATGGATCTGAATGGTATTAAATGACATTGCTCACTTCCGTTGTTGTTTCATTTCTTCGCGTATGACAAGAACGCGAGGCAAGTCAACTTAGCTGACAGAAGTTACACAATATCCGAGACTGGAACAACCTTGTCCTTCTGCGATGCCCTGACTTTTTCGTTCGGTTCTTTGCCCTCAGAATGGGGCGATGACGATGTTGGTTGCTGTTTGATCTCTGAGCGAGGGTGTTCCAGTCCAAATTCAGTATCGAGGTGCTCCCTTAGCGGGACATCTTTGATGATAAAGCTTATCAGGAACCCAAGCAGTGAGAACCCAATACCGACCTGAAAGCAGCGCTTTAGGCTTTCCACGTATATTGACGAGATCTGGTCCTGCTGTTGGGGGGTCCAACCCTGCGAGCCTGTGCCGCCGCCAATAGACGCCAGGGCGTAAGCCCCACCGTCGAGGAGCTGCTCGCGGATGGACGGATCGCTGATGTTGGTCACCAGCTGATTGACACGGGAGTTGAATGTGGCTGCGGGAATAGCTACGCCCCAGACGCCGCCGAAACTACGAACGAAACCCCAGGCTGCCGTGGAAATAGCTTGGTCGACTTCCTCAAGAGGAGCCTGAACTGCTGGCCATGTCGTCGTCACCATGGCGCCCAGGCCAGCTGCTCCGATACATTCCACACTGGCCCAGTACGCGGTCGAAGTATTTTTGTTTAGCCGGGACAGGAGGCCAAAGCAGATTGCCAGAAGTCCCATTCCAGCAAAAAAGGAGGGACGATATCGGCCCCACTTAGTCGTTGCCCAACCGCCCAGGATGGCGAAAGGCATGGTGACAAACGGAAGTGGGAGTAAATTGACTCCGGACTGGGTCGGACCTGTGCTCCTTACTCCCTGAAAGTAAATGGGAAGGAAGTAGGTGAGGAAATTGGTGAGCATTGCGTGAAGCGACGAAATTCCAAACGCACCCAGCGATGTACGATTCGAGAACAGCCGGAGCGGCATTGTCGGTTCGGGAATTATGGTTGTGGACTCCAGCCAAATGAAAGCCCCGATACCAACCAGGCCAAGGACCAAAGGCACGACAGTTCTGAAGGACGACCAAGAGAACTGGGTACCGCCCCACATCAGAGCAATGAGGACTGCAACGACAGAGGCCACGAGAAGGGCGTTGCCGCCCAGATCGACACGCTTGAGTGAGTTACCAACCGTGTCCTTTCTATATCTGGTCCTCAAGAATACAAATAGTGCTGCCAGAGCAACCGCGCAGACAGGGAGGTTGAGGTAGAAGATCCTGTTTCCAAAATCAGCTTCATCTTCACGTGGCAATCTCGAGGGCTCATGGTACATACCAACGCCAGCTGGCGTGCTGAGCCAGAGCGCCCCCGACGACCGGACCGATGCAGACAGCCACGGTATATGCAATGAGAACGATGCTCATAAACTGTGGCCGCTCGCGCAGAGGAACCAGGTCAGCGACATTGATCTCAATCAGGATACTAATGGCACCACCACCAGCACCCTGAATAGCACGCCCCGCGATCAGGGCGCCCAAGTTCCGAGCCGAACCACAGACGGCCGAGCCGACAGCAAACAAAAAGGTAGCCAGCATGGTCGTACTTCGACGGCCGTAGATGTTGGAAGCCTGACCGAAAAGTGGTTGAAAGGCTGTCATGGTGAGAAAGTAAGCATTCGCAATCCACATCCAGCCGTCGCTCCTGCCGAGATCCTCGAGGATGGAAGGCATTGCTGTTGAGACGGCAGAGGTGTCCAAGGCCGACAGCATCGATATGAGCTGCATGGAGACGATGATTCCCTGCAGCGAACGTCCAACTGTGTTAGCACACACTACTCCTGAATTGCGCTGGAAGCTCGCCCGCGGTCAGTCCTACCCAAAATTGCCAGCCTCGTGCAGGCCTCTCAGGGGCCGTCTCATCAGAGTGCTCCGCGCTGCGATCATTTGGTGGCATCTCCATTGCCATATCTCTAAGGCTCAATGGGTCTGGTTTGCTGGCCACCTAGAAGGCAAGTCTGTGAAGAGGTCTTTCGGGAATTCGGGAGAATGCGATGCGCCAGGTCGAAAACTGAAAATAGCTGGGAACACGAGTCTATTGATTTCCGAGACCCCAAAGCATTCTGGGCGCTAAAAAGGTATCAGGAAATCAGTAGGGACATGGATGTAGGAAGATAGGACGGATCGCGGCAAAGTGCCGTACAGCAGTACCTTTAGCATTGGGCCTTTTTGAGGCCTGGTCTGTTCAACTGCACGTTATGCTTACCATCCGGGAACCCGGATCGTTTTTTCATCCGTGTCTGGTCCATCTCTTTTCACACGAAATCGTCGGTTGGGATCACAGAGGCGTGGGAACCGGAAAATCGATCCCCGAACTGGGAGGCAGCTTGGATACAACCTGCAGGCAGGCGGCGGTTCACACCCTAGTAAGATCTTGGGCACTCTTTGCCCAGGTGGTTACATCACATACTGCAGGTAGGCGAGGTAAGATTTTGGTACCATCTGGTTACACTGCATATTACTACAAGTACAGTACTTATGTACACGTGTAGATGGCCGCCCCCACCTGCTGAAGAATGGAGCATCATGATGACCCAAGCTTCTCGCTCTGTTACATTACATCTTATCCCAGATCGCCTGCATCTAAAATCGGTGACCCCTTGTCATCTAACAGATAACATCAGGCAGACCAAGCATATGTACCCATATCAAGGCGGAGATGCCCACATCCGAAAGATTTCCACAGCTTGGTTCCTCAATAAGAATACCTGTGCAAGGACACTAAACCATGAACAGAACAAATGAATTTCTGCCGCTCCGTCAGACCTGCAATAGGTGTCGTGATTTGAAAGTCCGTTGTCAGAGCCGCTATTCTGTCATTGCTCCAAACGATGAAGACAGCCTAGCTTCGTGCCAGCCATGTTTGCGATGCTCGAGAACAGGAGCCAACTGTACATTCAGCTGCAAGTACCTACATGAATTTATCGATGCCTGGTCGAACTTCATAGTTGGCTGATCTTTTAATTCATAGCAAAACGACCCAGTGGGCGACCACGACTGCCAAAAGGTGTCACGAATCGCAGCAGCAATGACCAGCTGGATCATACTACTCACGAGTCGTCCAAAGGCCGGAAGGCTCCAAATTGCCCCTCATACTTGTCTGAAATTTCCGTGGGATCGCCGCCATTATCACCGGACATTTTTCATCGAGAGCCGGTCCTAACGCCAAGATTCGCGGGCTCTGTCTCGGTGCAGAACATGTGGTCCGAGTCTTGGTCTCAAAAGCGGACCCTGGATGATGCCGGAGACGGTGGCATGAAGCATCGGCTCACTTCGGACGAGGAACGAGACAATGTTTCACTTCAGGAACTGTTCCCGCAGCAGACAATTTCACCCGTGAACACCCCATCAGCCCTACGCGAGGATCTCTTCACTCCAATACTCCCAAACAGCGGCGAATGTCATTTCCCGGCGCCCCAAGAGTACATTGTTAAGCCAAAAAAGCATCGTACTTCAGATAATCTGGGCAGAGCATCCTCTGGAGCAAATATCTTGACGCGGACCCACGATTTGGCGCAGCTCAGCCTGCGTATTTACCAGCTGCAGTTAGAAGCGGGCTCTTCGATGCCCTCACCAGTTTTGTGCGAGAAAATCACCAGCGTGACGCGATGTCTACTACGGTCACTTGGGCATGTTCTGGCGGGCACAGGGGGTTCTCAAAATCACTTCACGACTTCAGATTCAGCGTCTGTTATGGCTCCTACTGATGCTGGGCAGAGGTCTGATGTTCGAATACGTCGCCAAAGAATTGAGTATTCAGTCTATGCAGCTGAGACCCCTGAACCTGAGATATGTGAAACGGATCTATCTGTCACTCTTCTCGCACTGGCATGTTATCAGCGACTTCTCGGCCTGTTCCAGCACATTTGCGTGTCTATTCACATGCACATGGACGAAGTTGGCTCACCCGGATTCTCGATTGCTCAGGTCATCATGACGACAGAACTCATCAATCACCTCCTCGAGAGTATTGATCGCGATCCACTGCGTATTTTGGGGGTTTCGTCGGCTTCCAACTCTCACGGGTCAAGATCTTGCTCAAACACCACAGAGATGTCTGCCTCAAACGTGAATGTCGGAACTATATTAGCAAATATGTGGCCCAGGTCAAATTTCGAGGAACTTTATGAAACGCAATTCAATGGTTCCAACAGCCAGGCCCAAAGTGCCTCTAGAACTCCGACCATGTCGCTCTCTGAATCTCTGCAAAACCCGAGTCTGCAGAATCTCGAGGCCGTCGTTGGTTCAATGGTACGGAAACATAGCGCAATTCGCGCACATATTGGTTTAATTAAGCATGCCATCCAGACATCAGAGTTTAACTAGTTGTACACAAAAAGACGTTCAAGTCACAATCAGATTCAAACTGGGCGAAAAATGAATAGGTAGTTGAACATAACAGGAGGCAAGAAGTGCCTGACTGTTCCGAGAACTCCGTACGATAAAGTTCCTGAGATATTCGATTCTTCATAGCACAAAAATGACACGTGGGAAGTGTGAACTGTGCCAGGGAAAAGCAAGTCCTCCGGCTTGAAATGCCACCATCTCTGCGGGCCGCCATGTTTGTCTCACTCCTGCAACACAGACAGAATGTGAACTAACGCAAGACTTTTTGTGAACTCATGGCTGATACTTGTCCCCGGGAGACCAAATGCGGAAATACGCTCCAGTACGACGCAGTGACTGGTACACATACGTATATGGAATATCCACCGTTGGGTTCGGCGATAGGCGGGCCAACGCTGAAGGATTTAAAAGGGCAAATGGCATGGTTCGGTCGAATCCTCCATTAATCCTTTCGGCAACTCACTCGTATAAGACTTTAGTCTGAGAAAGTACTTGAATTCGAAAGTCTATACCACATTTTACGAATTCGTGAGCCCGGAGCGGCTAAAAAGCATCTTTGCGGCTGAAGTAGTCTAGACCTAGGCCTAGAATAAGCAATGCAATGTCGCATTGCAGTGAATCAGAATCTGATAGGGCAATACAACCGGAAAGATGTGCAAAGTCCCTATGAAGTGGGTGCTCCGGCGTACTTGAGCAGTAGACCAAGAGGAGAAAGGAACCGAGGCCCGGCATTAGGGTACCTGCAACGTTCGACTTCCTGCAGGACATCGAATCAGCGCTGCACCGGATCTGATATAATATATTGGTCCCAGCATGGGTCTGTGTGATGGTGGGAGTCGTCACCAATCCATTTCTGCCTTGGCCGAATCGTAAGCTGCCACACCTAGACGGACCTTGCCGCCTCCCACAAGAGATCCACACCAATGTGATGTATAGGACTTACCAAAAGCAGTAAAGACACCAGGTTGCTGACCTGCACATCAAAAGCTGGTCTCAGAAGTAATCAGCCGACAATACACACATGAGCTACTGATTTGCCATCCTTGTGCAAGCTTCCGTGGCCAACTACTCAGCATTGGCTCACATCACTGTGGCTGCTGCAGGAATGATGGAGCTGAACACCATCGCAAAGCGGAGCACAAAATTAGAAATTCCTCGCCTAGGTTGCGGGACACACTTTCCACGATCCCCCGCTTCCTGTTAAACCCGAATCGTGTCAGGCAAGCCAATTACATGGTCCGCGAATTCAGCCCGGAATAATATGTTCGCGTCTGAGCAGTCGATATGCTGATCGCTTGAAAAGCCCAACAGTGTCCCTCAAGTGACGGCCGCAACAAGATTGTCAAATCTTTATGCGAGGCAAAGTCTCATAACGAAGCTTTTCACAATGTCGACCGCCGACCAGGGTTCGGCTTTCACTCCCGAAGAGCTTGCGTATTGGTATGTAATGTCAACCGAGATCGGGCTCCAGCTTGAGCTAACCCCCCTTGCAAGGATGGAACACGAGAGTGACACGTTGGTCCCGAACATCATCATCTGTGCAACAATCACGGCCGTCTTCTCAACGCTGTTTGTGATTCTTCGATTTATCGGCCGTTTTCTACAGCATCGCACCTGGCGTCCCGCGCTGAATGACTGGCTCGTGCTAGCAGCCTGGGTATGTCCGTCACTAATCTCAGAACGACTTGTGAGGCTACTCTGGGCAACACTGCTAACACCGTGTTCCTCCTTTCCAGGTATTCTTCATAATTTCTGATGTTTGTTTTGCTATGCTTACCCCGTACGGAGGTGGTCGCCATGTGATCTATATTACCAATCCATACATGCTACAAGTTGTAAGTCCGCAAGTGCACCCGGAGGCTTCTCAGATGGCCAATGTAACTGACCAAGTGCGCGAAAACAGTTCAGCATTCTTAGTGAGGGCTTCTACGGCCTTTCGATGGGATCGTTGAAGCTCAGCCTTCTCTCCCTATACGCGGCGATCTTTCCGCAGAAGAACTTCCGTTACCTGCTGTGGGGAGTGGCCGTGTTCATCATCGGCTGGAGCCTTACCACCTTCTTTGGATCAATATTGCAATGCGTCCCTGTGGAGAAAGCCTACATTGCCTCGCTCTCTGGCTACTGCATCTCCTATCCGAAGCTTTCCTTGACCATCACAGTCTGCAACGTGATCACTGATTTCGTCATCATCCTGTTACCGATACCGCTCGTCTTGAAGCTGAACACCACCCAGAAGAAGAAACTTGCCATTATTGCCACCTTTACCGCAGGTTGCAGGTGAATACAAGCAACTCTAAGAGTTTGTGTTCTGTGTGGAGACTGACCTGCCTTCGACTCTTAGCGCCGTCCTTGTATCTATCGTGCGCCTTGTATATGCCCTACACGTAGGCTCAGTTGACGGATCTTGTGAGTCTTGACCTTCCCGGTACCCTTCAATGTCTTAAATTTATCGTCTGTAATCAATTGATGCTTATGACTATCGTCGATTCTAACTCTGCGATGCACAGGGACTGCCATTCCCGCGGGATACACATCCTGCGTCGAGCTAACCCTCGGGTTCCTGGTCGTCTCCATTCCGGCATATCGCCCCCTCATCATGAAGCAGATTCGGCTCAGCAACGGCTCAACAGTCTGGTCCTGGCGGGCGAGCCGCAGACGTGGCCTCTTGGAATCCTCCAAGTACCCCTACGGTAGTGACGGATACAACGCCAGCGGCCGCAAGGGAAGTGCTCCGAGCGGTCCACAAACAGACATTAGTACAATGGAGCTAAATAGCATGAGAGACAAGCGGAGCAACAGCCACGACCACGGCAGGGGTTACACCACTGTGGTGGTAGCGAGCGAGCAGAACATCCCAAGGCTGCCGAGTTCTGGGATCCATGTCACAGACCAAGTTGAGCAGACAAAAATGGCTAGAAACAACTCGTCTTGGCTCCGTATTGGAGATGAGGAACTAGGTATGCCGGGCAGGAGGGCTTAGATAGATGACTTCAGATGTGATCCATGCGCCTCGCCTGGAGCCGCGTCTTTCCACCCATCCCCAGCGGCACCCGCTCGAGGAACTATTAAAAGAAGTTGACAGGTTAGGCCAAGTTCGAGTTGAGTACTTCTCTATGGATGCAGTCTACAGTGATCAGACCAACCGGCGCTTGTTTCTGCTATATCTCTTGGTTTTGCTGAAACCATGTTGTAATTTCCAATGAGCCTCCACGTTCTTGCCTCCAACGTAGACACATGAACTGCACAGCTTTGTCACATGTAAAGGTGTTCTTTATCAATAATTGACAAACTCCGCCTTGTCCGACCCCAGTGGCTTAGGCATGGCATCCAACTTATCCTCATGCTCCTCGACAAACGTACTGTGCTTGTCAACCTGAATGTTCTTCCCGAAGAGCGTATGTGCTGTCTCGCTACCACCCCGGGCCGTACAAAGTCCTTGGCCTCAAATTCGACAGCGCCAGGGCATTATGCAAGCATTGCAGACACTTCATAACCCGAGAAAGGAATGCATCTATCTTTCAAGATCTATCTTTGGTTGCTTGTAGGCAAAGAGTCACAAACACCCGTGGCAAGGGATTCGACTCCAGCATGGTCAAGACCCTCATAGCTGATAGGACACGCTACATCACCTTCACCGGCGTGCTCACCTTCTCAGCCGTTGATACCTAGATAAGTTTCTACAAGAGAGTTGTTCCCTCTCACACTGGATCCTCATCCTTCTGGTCCAAATGTAGATATATTAGCAAATATGAGGTAGGGGTTGATGTTCCAATAGCTCTTAAGGAGGTTGGCCATGGGAAGCCAGGCTGCCGGGCTGGGATCGTTGTAAGAACACATTGCAATCGCCGACAAACTTTAAGAGCAGCTTCTGAGTGTCCTGAAGGTTGTGAATATTTAGTTGAACTTTCCATTTGCCCCTTCCCTGTCCAAAGCAGGCAGGTCAGGCAGGCCAGGCAACGTGAGCCACATGATTTCCGCGACGTAGACAGCCACGTATCCCGCCAGAAGGGCTGGGGCGTATTTATATCGAAGCAGGATTATTAACTACCTAACTAAGTTCGTATGCGGTCTTAAGCAAATTAACAGTAAATTACCTATGTAAGTGTTCATTTGACATTTCCTCTGCCTCGCGAGCGAATGAACGATCTAGGATTTTGCAAATGCAAAACAGATATCTGATGACAGTCATGATAGTTCAGTGCTGGAATCCATGCTTCCCATGCCTGGGGCAGGCTTACAACAACTCGTAATTTTTGTCTTCAATGAGTTAACGGATTATGTGCCCCCAGGCTTGTGTAAGTAATTCTTCACGGCAAGAGACAGACACCATTAGGTGCAATGTGATCGCAACCAGATGAGCGCAAAGACGGCATTTATTAACGATATGAAACATGAATAGGCTTCCTGATGTAGGGTGAAACTGATGGATTCAGTTCTATATCGGATCTAAGTCTCATTACTCTATAAAACAGATCCCTCAATAACCCAAAGCACGAGTAAGCGACCAAGAACAGTTCTTCCCACCACATAAAAGCGATGTTTGTGGCATGTTGCGGTGGAAAAGCGAGCATGTCAAGTCTGGTGAAAAGACGGGTTTGACTCTGATGTGCGCAATACGGTTTCTCATCATGGATTTGAGGCATTTCATTGGGTCTGCTTATCAATGAAGTAACCGCTCGAAACACTTCTGTATTGGATCTCCCTAATTCGCCTTTATTCCTAAATCCAAGCACCTTTTGCTGTCTTCCAGCCTGGCACGAGCTCGTCCTCGCAGTCTCTATTGAGTTAAGGTCCAGATTCAACTCGCCAATGGACATGCTCAAGCTCATTGTATTTGGACACGCTGTAAAACATTGCCTGCCTGATTATCCAAGTGAAATCTTGGCGAATGTAGGCCTGGCAGCATCCCAAGCACCTTGGTCTACATGGGCAACGCACACTCTCTCCCAAAAGCCCCGCGCCTCGGACCATCTGATCATCATGATATCCCTGCTTGACCATGGGGTTGTCTGAGTTTCCTTGAAAGCGAACGATTCCTTGAGCTGAAAATTGTGTGAGAGGCTGTCCTAGCTCACAGACTATTTTGGACTTTGGGGGAACTCATCGTATACATACTTGGATAGGTTGGCTTTTTGAAAGAAGAATCCACTGAAGCTGGTCTAAACAATAGTCTTCTTCCAAAATATCTGGCGGTTGCCCGAGACTGTGTCCGCAACGAGATCCCCCTTGGTCGTGGAGGTATGAGATCGATGAATATATTTCCTGATACCCCAATCTCCGTTTTACCAAAGCCTGTCTGTATGTCTTGAATGTAAAGGCTGAAGCTTTGGTGGACAGACACTCGATTTCAAGAAGTATGTAAAGCGGCGCTGTCGCGGATGATTTCTCTGTTGGGACTGCAACCTCGGAGCTTGCTGTCTGTAGGAAGTCTTGATCGGAGTCCTCATGAGCTTGTGAGCTTTGTATCCAACTTTCATGTCTAATTCGACTGCTTCGACTGTAACGGGTTCTGCCACAGACTGGTCGTCGAAGAAGATTGAGTCATGCCAGCCTGCCCAAGACCACGAGGGTGCAGTTTCGTTTCTTCCAGGTACGAGGCCCTCGCCGGTAAAGTAGAATTGCATTGAACGTGGTATGAACTTTGAAGGTACGGTCGATATGAGTGGCACACTCAACAAATCTGCTACGACTTGTGTGACGCCTTGTATGGCGAGAATCGTATCCTCGATATATCTGAGCTCTCGGGTACGATACCGCTCAACAATTGTGGCGTATGTTTGCCAGACGTCTTCGAAGCGACGGTTGACCGTAGCTTCCATCAGTGTGGACCGAAGAGAATTCATGTCGAATGAGGCTGGAGGCTGCAAATATTCATAGAGGCCGTCCCCTGTCGCATCGAGCTCTCTGCACATACCTTTCCCGCACTGGAACCAAGTCGTGTGGCAGTCAAAATACAAGCATCGTTTTGCCATGAGCTGTTCCTGTAGAGTCCAACCACGTCTTTCATGGGGTGCACCAGAGTCCCAGAGTTTTGGGGCCTCAACGGATATCACGATATTGTCGATGCGCTTCGTCGGCAGTCCGAGTCTTGTTCCCGACCGCAGTCCGGGGAGTGGAGATGTTGCGGCCACCCCAGAATGCGCAATTATTGTGATGAGAGCATGAGAGTAGATCACATCCATTCTCCGAATGTGGACATCTTTCTGAGTCGTATTATCCTGCTCGATGCAGAGCGTATCAACCCAGAGATACCTCTCTCCAAGCCCTTTCACGACATCCATCGCGTCTTTGATCGTCTGTGGGATTTTGCCCATATATCGATCAAGGCCTCTTTTATGGCCAAGGGGCTCTCTGGTTTTCGTCGTGGCTGCGAAGTGATCGTGCTCGCCCCAGACATAGCTCAAGGCTATGTAACGATATCCTGTAGTGGCTGGAATGACCATCATATATTCGACGTCGATGAGCTGTATGCTGGTAGGGCTTTGGTATCTTGGTAGGTCCCAGTTGTTATGGTCGTGGCTTTCTTCGCACTTGTGGAGCAGCCGCAGAATTGCCTGAAAGTCTATTATGGGTGCTGATTCAAAGCGCTGAGCCTGATCAGCCTCTCGTTGATCGACTGCCTTGATTCGCACGTGTCCTAGTATTCTGTCCGTGCCTGCTACCATTCTGATTCTAAGAGAATCTTCATCGGGGTAAATTGCGAAGGCTGTGATAGTTGTTGACTCTGGCAGGTCGACGGGGAGCAGGTTGCGCATACACTGACACAGAAAACATGATTCTTGTGTTTGGTTAGTATAATCAACAAAGCTGAACTTATTGCCGGACATTGAACTCCGCGAGTTCCTCGCCACCGGATTCAGGGACTTGTCAATTCTTTCCAAGAGGGGACCGCAGACTTGACAGAGAGGCCATTTCAGGCGCGACCATATGTCGAAAGAAAAGGTGGTGTCTGGAGTCAGATTTGCTACGAAAGAGGGCACTCCCCACACGAGCTCCATGATATAGTTATGATTAGATGCAGAGAAGAAAAGGAGACAAAAGACAAAGTGCTATGGGGCGGATCTCATATGCTGTACCAGTTGATCGATCGAGTGATGTCGGTAGGGCGAGCACCAGGTTTATCCTGTAAGAGTTTGGGTCGTAGGGGCCGAACAAGAGCGACGCAGCAGAATACTAGACTGCGTATGTAAAGGCGTCAGAAAGAGTGGTGAATCGTTATGGCAGGCATTGAAACGCAGCCAGGCCGTTGGCTGAGCAGCAGCATATATAGGTACCTTGCAGGGCGAGTCGTCTGCGGCAGGCATATTGAAGAAGACATAGTGCTTACGGGGCAGTATCTGTTGCACCCACTGCTGACCCCTCATGCCAATGCCTAGGCGCTTACAAGCGCTATAAAATCGACTCTTCCATTGTTATCCCATATTCTCTAGACTTCGAATAAAGCTGCATTTGCACTTGCTAAGTTTTCAAATCAGTCTTTGATCCAAATGATCCGGGCGCACGGATCGGCGCCTGGACGTAGAGCTACGCGAGATGGAATTGAACGCTGCCGTCGAGATTCGGTATGTCCACAAGTGGAATAGATCCACGGTGCAGACGCATGGAAAGCGCCTCAGCGCCTGAGTAGGTGGCTTAGACCATGTCAACATCAAGTAGGCACTTGATTTGCATCCTGACGGCCCAGACATCAGACGTAGGGCTTTCTAGGCACCCTCGATCCGCCCGTACGCCTCGGACACAAAGATCGCAATATTGTCAGACCCAGTCGTCCCTTCCACAACGATGGCTCGAAAGGGGGAGCCATCCTCAAGAGCCAACATAGCGAGGTCCACACCTTAAATAGCTAGCACAGTTGCCCAGCCTAGCCACCTTTTTATCAGCTTTACCTCTACCTTCAATTAAATCATAATTCATACACTCTGACCAAAACTAGATATTCAATGATAATGAATCGACATTAGAGCATATCGTAGCAACTCGGTACACTCTAGCCGTACATCGCGCTCAGCTGCGACAACGTTTTGAAAACGGAAAGGACTTACGAAGACATTCGAACGACCAACATTTTGATATCAAATACACCTGCTCCTACAGACATCGTTCTCGCCGTGATAAGCATAAAAGTCACATCAAGCAATGCAAACACATGGAGGACGGCTTCTATTTTTGTCCATGCGGAAACAAGACTGATGGACAGGCCTTATATGACCTCGAGGAGCATCAACGCTACATCGATAAGGAGTGCTCTGATTGGCAGCCACGATAGAGAGGGAATAAATCAAGGACGAAAAGTGAACCAGCACAGCGACGGACTGGCGGCGGGATCCCACTAAGGGTCTCCTACGGCACTAGAAAGTCAGGAATACAGTAGGGGTGTCTATATACCATACAGAGCTCACTTTACCAGACGGCCTGCATCTTAGGCACACGGGTTCAAAAGCTATCTCAATTATTGAAAAGGTTGAATTATATGCAACCAATGTGCCTTTCCTGTCTACTGCCTATCTGGCGGGTATGAAGCTACGCTGGAAACAAACAGACCGACCGGTGCCCGGAGTCCTGCTGGCCCAGCGTCGTTAGCCTGATGTCTCTGACACAGTGGACCCTCGGGAAGTTCTCCGCGGAAATCATGACAGAGTCAGGTACCAACTCGAGACAATGTAAAGTGGTGCTATAAATCGTAACTACCACGTGATTAATAAGTCAAAGTGGTACCAGTTTGAGGTGCAGGGTGTAGCTGTTTCCTACGGTCATTTGGGAAAAAAGGGAAAGACGGGAGAGGAAACGACCTGACAAGAATATTCAGCTGACCTCGGTCCAAGACGCTTCTTCTTGCTCTAGTATTCCTGAAACCTCTTGTAAAAGCGGCCGGGACTTCATATCTGCTAAAAGCCGATGAGACTGCTGGGCCGCCGCCGATCTCAACACAGGGAAGAGCTTCTCCTGCCGACGATCCAAGATGAAACGCTCTGCATCTTGCAGCTCGTCGGCCCACCACGACCGTATCGCCTCCTGCGCGGCCTGTCCTGCTCCGCATGGCTCTTCTGCCCCTTCGAAGCCTTCTCCCGGGTCATCTGCCCAGAGTCTCCCTTTTCGATACACCAATGGCGGTTTCTTGCCATGCCATTCGGGAGCGCCGGCGGTGCATTTCTGAATCAGTCGGCGGATCGGCTCCGGGGTGAGTGCACACCTTTCACAATCACGCCCCTCGCTGAATGCAGGGAAGACGGGTCGAGCTGCGTCAAAGTCACAGGCTTCACGGAACACTTCGATGTGGAGGCAGTGGTCGATGGCGCCGACTTCCTCAAAGAGGTGCCACAACAACCGGCCGAGCATGTAGACCTGGCAGCGGTCACGCTCTTCAGCAGTCAAGGCTAGCCACGGGGCGCTGAATCCATTCAGAGGTTCGCCGTGATCCCAACACGACCGGTACCCACGCTTCCTTGAGGACTTCTCGGACTGCCACGTTGGCCAGTGCACGCGCATGAGATTGGCAGCGCGAGTGCGAATGTCCTCCGGAACGTACATGTGGCCATGATCTGAAGCATTGGCGAGGTATTCGACATGCATGCTATGGTGAATTTCAGGAGGTGTCCAGATGTAGCGACCGGCGCGTTGGTCAAAGTCGATTAGTACCGGAGACAGAGTGGAACAGCCAGCTTTGTCCTTGTCGTCCGCTTTGTCACTCACGCCGCTCCATCGCTCTCGCATGACCACATTCGTGTACTTGATTCCGGGGTAGAAGGTACCTAGAGCCTGCAGGTGCAGCAGTGCAGACGTGATCTCACGGGCTATGCGGAACTTGTCTGTGACGCTCAACCTCAACTGCGGTATCCCGTCGCCGACAACCCGCCGGTTAGTTCGAGAACGAACCAGTAGGTCTCTCATCGTCCCCCGCGGGAAATACTCAAGCACAAAACCACAGACGCCCTCTTTGGCCCCGAACCTCGACCGCGTCGTGACGATAAACAGCGGCCGCGCGACCATATTAGGGTGGGGCGCAAGAGTAAGCAGCCGCCATAGCTCATGGTACATGTAACGGAGGTCGTCCAAGACCGATTTGAAGGCAAACAAAGTTGTCGCTCCTTTACTACATGTGCTTAGTTTCGGTATCTTAACAATACTGATGGCTTCGTGTGGTTGTGCAATAAGTCGAAGTTCTTGGAGATCAATGATCTCGGGCCACTGGACTACGGTCGATGTCCCTGACTTAGACCAAAGCTCGGCCAGCTCCTGTACAGACATCCATTCGCGCTCCGTCTCGTACCAGGGCACTAGATGCATTTTGACTTTGGCCTGATCGGCGCAGATTGTCTCTACTGCAATGTAGGACCCAAATGGTAGCGCCTTGTATTCTTTTTCGAAATTCTTTTCCGACTGGGACCAATGTTCTAAGGCACGAAGGATGTGTTGCGATAAAGGCACACGCCACGCCTTTTTGCTCGGGACCGTCATCGATTTGTTGAGCTCTAGAACGCGCCGCAGGCCCTCGGACAGCCGGTACCCATCCTCGTCAGAGAGGTAGATGTCGACCCGCTGGGGAGGTTTATTGAAAGCAAATCGCGGTGTTATGAACAGTCGGTGCCCGTCTGTCTGGCAGCCGTCCATCCTCCACAGAATGTCGCCCCCAGGGTTCAAGCTGTCGGGGCGATTCTGGGGGTTAAGCATGGAGCTCAACCATTCCGGTTCGGTGTTGTTTGTGACCGGGCTGGTTGTGTGCAAAGTGCTGGGCTGGGTGCGAGCAAATGTGGCAAATGGATGCATGATCCTTTCCACGAGTCCGATGCTAGGCTCCATGTTGGCTAAGTAGTGAGCTTGCTTCGAAGCACCGATTGACTGTTTGAGAACAGCTGTAAGCCACGTCGTGTGAATTTGCAGGTGTCTGTTGCTTTGACACGAAGGGATGAGGCAATCTGCTGGGTTCAGTATTTCTCCCTTATTGAGTATGTGATATACACATGCAAGCAACCCTTTGCCCGAGTGTCAAGTCATGCAAGACGAGGCTCTGAGCAGGCAAACGGGTATTCGGAAATCCTTCCCACTTCGATAGTAGTGGCTTACTTGCAGATTGTGATAACAAGTTTCGCATCCATTGGATGAATCCCTGCCCAGATTGACCAACAGGTCTCCTTGAGTGACCAACAGGTCTCCTTGAGTGACCAACACGAGATTGAGATGGTGTGCGTGCGGGGCTGCTCAACGACGGAAGAGCGAAAGTCCTACCCCAAGTATGGCAAAGGAGTATTTCAACCCAGCCAACTCTGGACTCATTGTTCCGCCGACCTCGTCCCGAATTAACATTGTTGACAGTCCTACAAAAAATCATTATTGCTTCAAGTGCCACACTTAATTGCACCTAGTCATCGTTCCATCCATCAGAATCAACATGGCGGCTGCCGTGACTCTGAAGCCGTATGGCAATGGCTTTGAACCAAGCTTCACACTCCCTAAAACACCGACAGAAGCCCCGAAAAAAGTAACACAGGACCCGGGCCAGTCTCTAGTCGAGGAAGCCGAGCGTCTGAAGCGCGAACCTACGTTTGTTGATGTTGACGCTTGGCCCCACCACTTCGAGTCGCCCATGGCCTGGACTGGTCAGGAACTAGGTGACTCGTCGACTTATACGTATTACCTCTCTCCAGATGAGGCGCTAGAGATTGATAATGGCCTCAAGAACTTCAAAAGTTAGTAATCAGATGTTCAGAGTCTCAATTTCTTTCTCAGCCATAATTCACCTTGGTCTGATACTAAATACATCATACAGGCCTGGGTCTTTGGGGCGGCGATATCAGCCCCGAGAACTTCTCTCTTCCCACATTGGCCCCTAAGCTGGCTCTCCTTGCTCGAGAAGTGCACCTCGGTCGTGGCTTTGTTAATATACGCGGGTTGGAGCATGACCGATACTCTCCCGAAGACACAAGTCTGGTTTTCATTGGCATCTCCAAGTACATTGGAAATCGAATCGGGAAGCAGGATGAGGGCTACGCACTAGGTATGTGCCTTGCTACGCATGCAATGAGATCCTCAGGATGTTCATGGCTCCAAGTTTGCTGACTAGCCGATAAGGCCACATCCGCGATGCGAATCGTTCCGAGACGACGCAAGACAATCGTCCATTCCGGGATTCCAATCTGGCTCTGGTCCGTACCCAAGTACTCTTTTCAGTCTTGTAGCTTTCTGCCTGTTTAGACATTGTTTCTGAATACTTCATGTCATAGACTTTTCATACCGACGGATACTGCCCCATACTAGGCATGCAGATGAGAGCTGAGGCCGCTGAAGGGGGCGACCATCTCTTTGCTTCGTCATGGGCCGTCTACAACGAGCTTGCTGCGACGCGGCCCGACATCATCCGTACACTGGCGACTCCGAACTGGTACTTTGACCCGTGCGTACAAGAACATTTTCTTTGCCTTGCTGTCCTCGTGCTTCTATCCACGTGAAACATGAAGACTGACAAGTGATAAAACCAGCCGCGGGATTCATGATGATCCGCGACCGCACGCTCTCTTCTTCTATGAGGGAGAGTCCCACTCGGGAGCTGGTGACGGCAGATTGATGACCAACTTCATCCGCTACCTCTTGACTGGTCGGCCTGGGGTGCCGAAACTGGTCACAAGCCCAGACTGCACACCGGCGCAGGTAGAAGCCCTGGATGCTGTCGAAGCCCTTGCGCGCAAACATGCGCTTAGGCTTGATGTGAAACCGGGTGACATTACTTATGTCAACAACTGGTCGATGCTGCACTCGCGGACTTCATTTCATGATGACGATAATCATGTGAGGTACTTGGTGCGCATCTGGCTCAAGAATGAATCCCCGGCCTTTGCGTGGCCGCTTCCGGACATCTTTCGCATGGGACACAAGAAGATCTTCGATGATGATAATGATCAGAACACCTTGAAGTGGAACATCGTGCCACAGCCACGTCTCAAGTTCAAGATCTATCAGACATTGGCTCAGGCGTGAGTACTTGGGTCCCGAGGTCGTGATAAATCGAGGCATAGGCGGAAAAACAGTGATCTCATTAGTCATCTCGATTTCCGCTCCTTGCTTATTCGCCCATCTTCTCACTTTCAAAGCAACCGAATTTTTCAACGTTGAACTTTCATACTTCCGATTTTCTTTGCTCTGTTTGTTTCTAATTGAGAATTGGCTCTTTCTCAGGACTGCACAGAAGCAATTGTTGCCATCGGGAGAACCCACTGATCAATGAACAGTTGAGAGATGAAATAGTGTTCGTGATGAAACATGTGCTTTTCAAGTATCTCTTGGAATACGGGGGTTATTCTCATTGAGTTGATATGATTGTCAGTAATACATTGATGAGCTTCAAGGCCAGGTAGAGATCTTAGTGTGTACCCATATTACGCAACTGTCGATTCGACCAAACCAGGAAATTAACCTGGTCCTTGCTTAGCTTTGCCGCCTGAATGTCTTGGGCCAATTTCCACCCCGCGTCGAAGGGGACGTTGCCCTTGACGCAACAATGATAATAGGTCAACAGCATGTTGGGACTGCCATGCAGATCACTGAAAAGATCAGCGGCGGCATATCGTTGCTTTGTACAATGTTAGTTGCAAGTGTTACATTGAAAGTAGGCTTTGTTCCCTGCGAACTAGGGGCGTAACTTGAATGCTTGGGCTCGACGCGTCGCCTACACTCAGCTTGTTCACATCAGCCTTTATTCCCAACCGGGAACTCTGCGAGCAATTCTAGGAGATCCTGGCCATATCCTCTGCCAAAAGCCGATCGCGACCAATAAGTAACCTTACAATCCACTGTCCGTCTAATCGTGGTCTTCTACTTGGGAGGTGAATGATCCGTGTTAGCAAGTGACAGCATGTCTATTGGGGGACAGTGGGATTACGAGTCCAAATCAACATAAATACTCCATTGTGTCATCGGAAGAAACAATTGGAAACATTCAGACAGTTCTGAGACTGAGTGGATCAATTCAGTTGAGCGATTACTGTTTCAGATCTGAGTTACCTCCCCAGTCATGGTCCTCCCATGGGGACAGAAATCAAAATCGACTAGCCCACCTCCCAGTCTTCCCTTCTCGCACGTGCTCAAACATCCTTTGAGACATCCTTTGAGTCATCCTTTGAGTCATCCTTTGACTCACCCTTTGAGATATTGGGCTTCAGTTCGTTCTCAGCAACAACTTTTGTCTCGTTCGGGCTAAGGTTTTGCCAACCCTCGAGTCTGTTGGCGATGAGCGGGCTGCGGGATACTCATGGGGACTCGATTGATGACTTACGGATAATCAGACTGAAGTTTGGAGATGAAATCGACAGTGTACATCCAAGTCCCGGTGCCATCGTTGTACTTGTATTCGAAGCTCCTCACCACTCCTTTCTTCAACCCGAAGATGACGAGTGTTCCAATGGGAAATTTAGCTGAAGACATGACGTCGATGTCTGGAAATGGGCTCAAGTAAACGTTCTGGGTGAAGTCTTCCGTGTGGCCCTTGGGTGATGTGTTCGTGGTCTTGAATTCTGCTCTTTGTTCTGCCGATGATGTAAAAGTGCGAGAGCAGATCGTGTAGTCTTTCTGGAGTTGTTGCGATGTGTCCTGGAAAGAGAAGCAGGTAGATTAGAAAAGGAAGAGGCTTTTATATGCGTTTCTCAGGCAGTGGCTCTGTGATTGACGGGAAGAAAAGCTTTGTGATAATTCATAACCGGGTGAGTAACTCCGGAATCTTGAGAAGTCACTCGAAATGATTTTAATGATGAGAGTGTTGTACAAGGCATCGCTGATGAGCTTGGCTGCTCGAGTCACAATCAGGCAAATCGGTTCCTCAGAAAGACTCTTCATACCCTAGTAAGTAGTTGCGCAAAAACATTACAATGCATTTCAAGCCATTAACTCACGTTGTAACTTGAAACTCCCCGCCCTCTCAGCTTTTCGAGCATCATATTCGACGAAGATTGTCTCTCTGGGCGGAGAATGCACCTTCTGCAACATTGGATAGATATTGTGTTACTGCTCAGCCCAAGTTCTCCAAGGAAATGCGATGCATCCAGAAGGATTGCTTGGAACTCTGGAAATATTGACATGTCTCAGGGTTGCTCGGTACATATTTTCATTGAAGCCATCGGGCATCTGGCACAACTGCTAACAATTGACCATGGCTCCTGAAGAAGGGAAAGCTCATTACCACCCAGGGACCGAGAGGTGTGTAGTGCGAGTCAACAATTTGTCACAGCCGATGTTACCACTACGCCGTGCCACACTTCGACTGGCAGCGTAGATTTAGAAATACGGGCGTTTCCGGATCCGCAAGGAGGCGATCTCCGTGAATCAACAACCAACGAATCATTTAAACTACAACTTAAAGTCAATAGCACCGCTGGTTTGAATTTTCAAGTCACGAATGTCCGATGAGCATTGTAGGAGAACGATGCTCAGCTGGGCCAAGCCCCCGTTTGCACCAGTGAGGTTGATGGAATTATCGAGAACATGTGTGGGCTATCATTGGAATCTCAATCGGCATGATGATGAACAATCTCGAGAATTGGGTATCTTAAGTGCATAAATCCGCCTCCATCTCCATCTCAAGCCATATAATCTGCCCAGATATCCTGTCATTCCTACATCAGGTAGGCCCTACCACGCCGAACGACCGACTAGCCCGACTCAGCCCGCCCAAAAACAGTAACAGGAGTCTCCCCCTCCAGACTAACAGTCTCACCCCCAACGGCAACAACCATCTTCCACTTGAGCCGATGCGAGTGTCGTATGCAGTACGTCGTGAACCCGGGGCAGATTGGTTCCGCCACGGTGCCCGCGATGGAGCGGCCCAGCGCGGTGGCTTGCGTCTCGTGCAGGCGCAGGCTGATGGCGGTGCCGACATCAAGCCACGCACCATCCGCATCCCAGGCACTTGGAATGACTAGCGGACCACGCTGACTCAGGTTCTTTGGGAGCTGGTATGCGGGGGGCTCTTCAGGTGCCGGTGGTGGGGGCTCGTTGGTACGTGGCTGGTATGTCGGCGGGGCGGATGACTCTCCTGCTGGTTCTTCTGATCGCTGAACTACTGCTGCATTCTGTCCATTGACGTGTTCTTCTTTGGAGATTCCTACAGGTTGATCCTCCACTCTTGGAGCGGATGACTGGCCTTCCTCTTCCTGAGGCACCTCTATCCGAGGCTTCTCGTCTCCAGTACCCGGCTGGTGGACCACAGTCTCTTGGACAGCCTCTTGGTCAGCCGTCTCCTTCCCCTTCGGTTCCCTATTCAAAGTCTTCAATACATTGGCCGGCACGTTCCCGGCGAAAGCCACTGGCAAGTGGATGTTGTGCTTCACAGTGTCGTCTCCAGTATGAGTGCCCCACGTACCCGGCGCAATCACATACGTATCAGCCTTGATAATAAGCTCCAGAGAGCTAAGTGTCACAATTTGTGGCACCTCGCGGAGCACCTCGCTGGTCCGCCTAGCATCAGGCACAACACGGACACGAAATGGGATAGGCGTCGGGTTGTCAAGCTGCACCACAGTTGGGCTATCATACTGCAGTGTAAACCCAAACATAGGAACCTTGGACGAGCCAAAGAACTTCTTGGACTTCTGCTTAAACGTGAGTTCCGCGTTCTCCATCCCCGGCACAAGGCGGTACGAGCTGACGGCGAACTGGGCGGAGCGGCGCCGCAGGTCGAAATCGGACAGCGGATACGGCATGGGCGGCGCCACCAGGCGGACCGGCAGCGTCGCCGTGATGCTGTCGCCGTGTTTACTGCCCTGCTGCACCAGCGAGGCCTCGAGATGGTACTCGACGTAAGCGTCGAAACGCGTGTTGCCCCTGCGTCCGCTGGTGGCGAATGACGACGGCAGTGCATAGGAGGCGATGGTATCTGCCGTCAGGGGCAGGTAGCTCGCTTCCGGGTCTTTCATCTCGCTCACGACGGCGCGCGGCGACGGATGAGTTGGGATCTCGATTGCGAACTCCCATGAAGCCGGGCTACTGGACGAGGGGACGTGGATTGGTCCCGTGTGTAGCTGCTGGCGGGTGTGCATATAGCTTGCGTCGAACTGTACGGGTTTCAAATTAGTGACTACTGGGACAAGTAAATTTACAATTGAGAGGACTCCAGAGGCAGAGGGGGCTCATACAAAGTTGTAGCGGCTACGATAGTAGCTGTGACTAGTGCTATTACCATGGTGCCTTGTTACTACTATCTTTGACTTTGCTCGGCCGAGCAGCTGAATGGTCACCGTCGCTTGTGGGCTGACTGCGTGTGTTCGTCGTACAACCCGTCCCGTGATGACATCTCCGGGCTGGTAGGGGCGGCCAATACTGTCCAAGTGAATGTCCAGGTTCGGGCCTGTCGTTCGTTCTGCTAGCGGCATTGTGAGTCAGGTTGCACTGAGCTCAATGAGGCTTTAACCGAATCGCTCGAATTCTTTGGACTCAGATTCAATATGAGTATCCGGGAGTCGTGACTGTAGGTAGATGGGAAATCGCAGAGGTGAGTCGCATGCGATTGAGTATATATGGGAAAGGTAAGCTGAGGTCGGATGTCATCGAAGAACTGGAGGCTAGCGAGCTTTCATATGAGCGCCTCACGTAGGCAGTCGCGTGTGGCAGTGGTAAATAGCAGAGCATAGCCCGTCAGCAGACCCGGTCGTTCTTTGTCGAAATGGGTGAGACTTGGCGTGAGCCATGTGGCGCAGCTTCAGCTCGTTGCGGGAAGGATTGCAAGTGCGGATCAGGTGTCGGCCGGTTTTATTGGTGTCCGCAAGGATGCAGACGACGCCACATCTGTCATCTTGATTCGTTTCAAAAGGTGGAAAAAAGATAAGACGTTGAGGGATTCTTGTAACTCACGTGCTCCTGTGTAACTCTGAACTATCGCCCGAGGACGCGATGTTAGTACAGGCATTGTGGCTTGAAATGAGACATGAACATACAATATGTCAATCAAACCAAGAACCCAATTGGTCACACCACCCAAGAAGACTTCAAAATCACATAGCAAGGGAACCAAATTGGCAGTGTCAAAGTCCCAACAGGGACTGATATAGCATTCGTCAATATGCTAGCTAACATCGAAGTCAAGACAAGACAACACGCTCTACCGAACCACCTTTTCCCGCTCATGCAACTCCACAACTCCAAGTCTAATGCAATCAATCACGTATTTCCCGTCTCCCGGGGTTCCGCTCCCGGGCTTTTATAAAGTCCACAAACCGCTCCGTCGCTTCCCTAGGGGGTATATAATGAGTGCGCTGAGAAACAAACCAACAGTGATGCCAATCGCTATCTGAATCATGCTCGCCGCAACGCTGAAAACCTGTGGAAGTGAGGGTGGTTAGTTACCAATGTTGAATATAAAACCATAGGGTAAGTAGTTGGCGGATTAGACTCACAAGATTATTCGAGGTGTCGCATGCCTCAGACCCAATGTCGTTGGCGAGGGACTGAGAAATGCAAATGGCGCTTGTGACAGCGCCGGAGGATGCCAAACTCCCGGGGACCTGGCAGTATACAGCCGGCAACAGCGCAGCAGCAGCGACGCCGTGCCTGAGGCGGCTGTACAGATTCGCTAGTACGCCAATAGTGAAGGCGCCGAAGGTGTAGGCGATGGGGGCGCTGGCGCTGAACTTCTGGCTGCTCCAGAAATTGACCGCGTAGCCCGCCGTGGCGATGAGAATCATCACGGGCATCTGCTTCCATTTTGCCTGGACCATGATGGTGCTGAAAAAGGCGTACAGTGGGATGAAGAGAAAGTTCCAGTGGGAGGAGAGTGGCTCGCGGCAGGTGGCCTCGCTGGCAGCGTTGGGGTCGATAGCGCCGTACAGCGCGGTGCCAACAGTGATACCATAGCCAAGGAAGAGCGAGTAGATGACGGCGTAGACCATGCGCACCGACCCGGCCACCATCGACTTGGACTGCAATTCCAAAGCCGAGCACAGCACCAGCCACCCGGGCAGGATCAGCGCGATGGAACTCTGCGCCAGCGCCGAGAAGCAGAATAGCCCACCCCCCTGGATGCTGCCCAGCCCACGCGCGATGAAGGACAGCAGCACCGCCGCCACGATCTCGAAGACGTTGCTGTATGTGCGTGACATCGGCGCCAGGTAAAGCTGCATGAAGCCTAGTGCTGTGCCCATCACGAAGATGGGCGGCAGGTCGATGGGTCGAGCGCTGAAGAAGCAGGCCACCACAGCGCTAGCGAAGCCGTAGGTGAGGATCACGACCCACAATGGGAAGCGGTCCTTGGCCGAGCTGATTTCGTCGAGGCGTGCTACAGCGTCGTCAAGGCTGATGCAGTCGTGCAGGACCTCCTTGTAGATATCATGAATGTCCTTGAGCTTCCCCAGGTTGACACCTTGCTGCGTGCGCACGATCTTGACCTCGGCAGTGTGGGTGAGCACATCATCGAATGAGATAAGCATGCACCCTGGAATGTAAAGGAACTGGCAAGTGATCTCAAGGACGTTAGCAGCCATGGACAAGTACTCTTCCAGCCTGTGCGTGGGTGCTCCGAATAGCATCAGCGCACGGCACATCTTGATCAGGTACTTCTGCCTCTGCAGGATATCGGCGACATGAATGGTGATGCGGGCTTCGTCTTCTGGAGCCCTGGCTCCGATCATGGACAGGATGCGCGAGCCACTGGTCTTTCGTCGGTGGGAAGGTCTCCTGGGCGTGTCAGGGTTCGTCTTTTTCTCCTTGGCATTCGGGTTGGCCAGCTTGGTTGAGGCGCCCACCAGCGTGGCGAGAGTCTCCGTCGAGCGGGCCTCGGGCTTCTCGTGCCATTTCCTCCTCGGTGTCTGCCTCCCGGATGAACTTGGGGTCCGAACGTTGCCATACCCTGGTGCCGATGAGTCGTAGGCAGTGAGACCGGACTCAGTGCTTTGTATCGGTTGGAAAGTGATATCGGGGTTGCGATATGCCTGCAGGATTTGGTAGAAAACACCACCACGAGGACTCTTGATGGTTTCTGTCGGGGAGCTTATGCCGTCTGCCTGCATGTTCGCCACTTGCTGAAGACCCTGAGCTTGAGCACCAAAGCCATGTGCCATGAGCAGCTCCTGGGCCTCCATGTTGCGCCGCTCGGAATGCTCATCGGCAGCCGGTTCGTCAGCTCTCGTTCCCGATGGCTCCCCTGCTCTCGCATTACTCTCCATTGTCGTCAGAGGAACCAGGTCGTTCCTGTTGTCGTCATCCAATTCCTCCGACCACGCCGTACTAGGTGGACTGCCTCGAACCCAGTTGTACAACCTGTCAACTTCATCGTCGTGATGGGCAGGGCTGGCTGGGTGTCTTTGAGCATCCTCGGCGATTGCCCTGGCTCGTTTCTGGGCCTCGACGGCAGACCTGTATTTGATGGGATCGGACGTATCGGGCTCGGAGGAGACGACCGAGTTTGACGAGTTTGGATTCCGCACCAGGGACGGTCGAGGTCGTGCGCCTTCGGATGGGCGCCTGTCTCCGGATTCAGATGCAACTGTGCTGGGCTCTGATGTCATACCAGACTTGCTGTTGAATCTTACGCGTCCCTTCTCCTTCCTTTGCTGAAAAGCAAATCCTGCTGGCGTCGTGCCTGGTACTTCCTGTCCGTCATTCCTCGCGGGGCTTGCCTCTGGCTCAGGCGACTCTCCCCCTGATGACAGGTCCTGTAGTTCCAGCTGCTCGAGTTGGACCGGAAGCTCAGGTCCATGGCGAGGCCCAGGAGCAGGGCCAGGATCATGGTCAGCATCAGTTGGGCTCGACTCCATTTCTGAAAATGTCGCAATTTTAGTCGCCCACGACTGAGGCTGATGGTGCTGACAGGATGGAAATGGAACTAGTGAGAAGTAAAGGTGATAGAACTGTAGGACAGGGCTTAAAAGAGCATATCAAGTCGGGTTATAAGAGTGGGTGGGCATGTGGGACGGGACGAGACGCCCTTGAATGAGTCGAATCAACTTTGGGCAGTTGCAGGGGCAATGGCTCCGTTCCGTTTGGCAGACCGTTGACGCGGGACCTGGCCATGTACCTTTGTACCTTGGTATCTTTGTACCTCGAGACTCGACGTCGGACCGTTTCTATAAATCTCCTTCCTTGCTATGGGCCAGTATCTAGCTACTATATGCTCAATATGCTGAAGCTTATGTGGAACCTGCTCGTATGTGCTGGGCCACGCGTTCGAGCATAGCCTTCCTCAGGAGAACATTCTACTATGTCTAGTCATCCCACCTTGCCACTCTGTGGCAACTGGTAGGATGCTCGACAGTGTAGTTCTCAAGCTGTGAGATGCGGTACTTACAGCTGCAACGGAGGGCTTATACTGCTACGGGATATGTGCTCCGTCTGCCAGTATGTGCGAATTGTGAAATGGGCTGGGGAAATGGGCTGGAGCTCCGTGATCGCTGCATGACTGACGTGCTGCATAGGTATCTCCGTGAGTACCGGGCACGCGTGTCTCTCAGCGATGTCAGTATTGGGTCGTGAAATCGTGATCCCCGGGGCGACATTCATCATTGTGGGTCCTGAGTGAGGATTTTGTTATGTAACGAGAACGCCTGAGTTGGCCCGAGCAGCTCGTCGACGGGCAGGCCCAGCCCGTCGATCTGTGCTTGTGGATGGGCGATGGAGCTGTTTGGAGCTGTTTGGACCTGTGGCTGCCCGGCCCGGTCAGAGCCTGACGCACACTTGGTGCTTGCGGGGAGGGAAAAAAATTGGTTGATGTGTATTCACCACGACCGGGTCAGTGACCATTAAGACGACCAGCTGGTGCCGGCGTGTCAGGTTCTGCATATAGGCGCGAGAGAAACGGAAGAAAATGGAGTGATTTGAAGACCATCTGCATTGACTATGTGATGTCCAGAAAAAAAATAGGAGACAAAACATGTGATCTATCACAGGGGAAACACTGTAAATAGAAATGCTTTCAGAGGGTCATATCACAAAGAGCATCCAAATCTCGGCCCAGATCCAGATCACCCAGATCGTCCTGTCAGCCACACTTCTGTCACTCGCTCACTCCCACTTCCAGCAGAGTCCCTCCTTGCATGGTGCCCTGCGTGCCCGTCCATGCGGGGACTCCCGCACCTCCTTATGCAGCTGACACCTGCACACTTGTCACCTCCAACCTCCCAACTCGGCCGCCAAGGATATGGGGTCTCCGCAAACGAAAACCCCGTCGGCTGTAACTACCCGAGTGGGGGTAGGGTAGCTGCCAATATCCCGTCTTCCCGGATCACGGTGGTGTCTATCAAAAGCGTGAACAGAAAAAAAACCGACGCTCCCTATTTTTAGAGACCCGTCATAACACGAACAGCAATTCGTACCATACTTTGCCCATGACGATGCCGAGGATAGGAGAAAGGAGGCGCTCCGACAACGGGTCACAGTCGACCCCAAACGGCCGGCAAAAAGGATCTGTCCCTCACATTCATCGCAAGCACGTGTCTCTCCTGGAGTCATAACGCGCCCGGTCCTGGATATCCCCTTCGTCTAGGAGACGTGACTCGTTCCGCAGCATCCTGGACTGACATGTCAAGCTGTGCGCCGCGCGGGTCATCCGGAAGGCGGATCATGCCAGCTCCCAACGAAACACGTAGCAAACGGTGGTCCACTCGGGTGCCTTCACCGAGGGCAAGTATGGCGGTACGCTGCACTGAAGCATCATTAAGCTACGAACCCTTGCGTAGGCGCTTCATGTCCGTCATCTAGTCTGGCTTGGCCAAACGTCAGAAGGGGCACCGTTAACGGACATTCGCTGTCGTGATCTTGATCTTGTGATCAGGGGTCCAGCGAGCTTGGTAATAAGGTTGGGGCGAACCCGGCCGCAGATCCACCCTCAGAGAAGGGTCTGGACCGCCGCAGACACATGGCAGGCTAATCCGCCGTGCCCGCATCGATGCCCACTCCTCACGATGCAATGGATAATAGTCCACCTTGGAGGCCTGGCTAGAATTTTGCAGCCTCGCTTCTGGCTTGGGCTTTAACCACAGCCGAGCAGCCAGAGCGGCCCAAGCAGGCCCGGCGCGCGCAAAAATGCTGCTGCGACCCCTCTTTGTTTGGCACGGCAGCATGGCTGTTGCCGCCCATGGATCCAATTCAGACGCTACCTGGATTCGATTCCAAGCGGTTCTGGAATGAAAAAAACCCACAAGCACGCGGCCGCGCCGAGGAGGATGGCAGCTTGATCACGCGTCTGATGAAATTTTTTTTGGTTCTCCGTAGAAATTTGAGGGTGCACTTACCACCATATTGACCGTGATGCTGTCTAGGACACCGAGGGCACCAGATGGCCGTTTCAGGTAGCAAATGTCGCCCAAGCGCCATTATATGGGGCTGGGAGGCCTGGGATTCGATTGCAACATTGTACTTAAGTAACGGAAGAAAGCCGGGGGAAAAAGTGCAAGGCAAAGAAGAAAAAAGACAAGAAAAAAACACTAGATCTTTCGTTCACATGCATTGTTTCCAACCGCGTGACAATATTCATCCCCTTTTCCAATATTTCATGAGGGGCTTTGACAAGAGCCGTCATACTGTCCACGACGATCCTTTGCCTCCTGAGACAGAAGGAAGGATGACTATGTGGGTAAGTGGTTGAGTGAATCCATACAGAGCGGTGAGCGACGATTCGATCACCAACTGGTGCTTTTGATGGTAGCATGTGACCAAATGCGATCCATATGCATCCATGCATGTTCAAATATGTGGAGATCAAATATTAGAGATCACATGTATCAGTCCAAGTTGCTAGCTAGGTTGCACCTCCAATATTCTGGAGTATTGACATCGTGCTCTATGTCAAATCCCTAGAGCGTCGTGGGCTCACCGCCTGGCATTTTCGAGTGGATACTGCATACTCCTTGTGCTATGATTCATCGACTTGCAAAGATACATAGTAGAGTCTACAAGAGCGATGACTGGAAACAAATAACCTACTCTTGGTCACAGATAAGTCTTGAACATGCAATCGTTGTATGAGACTCTGGCAACTTCGAAATAGAGATTCATATCTCAAAGTCTTGCCAATGATTTCAAAGTTACGAGTGGTAGGAGTTCTCGACCCCAGCACAGCGCACAATGTAAGTAGGTCGGTTGCTATGCTGAGCGGCGGTCGAGTGATGCAGACGGTCCCCACACATTTGACATCGCATTCAATTATTGCTCGCGAGTGCTTTGATTCTACTCATTATGGCCTGAAAAGCCGCCACAGTTTTGTGCCCACAGAGTAGAGGTTTGGCTGTTGTTTCGGAACGTAACTCACGTTCCGGATGCTCGTTGGTTTCGGGAATTTTTTCCCGTTTTGAAACCCCACGATCATTTCATAGCCGTGTACTTCCTTGTTTCCATGGTAGGAATCTATCTCGTTACCGTGTCTCAAGGGTTTCTCACCTACCTAAGTAATGGTAAAAAGTTAGTTGATGAAGTTTTTGCTTTGCCTAGAGTTCTTTCGCGTTGTACTATTTCACTGCGTTCCTGGTCCTCCTCCGTATATGCCAAGGTCAACAATGAGCTCTACGTGAGCCTCAGCCGCCGCCCACATTAAGTTAAGGAGATGGCCATTCCTTCAGCAACCCAAGTAATCCGTTCAAAGAAGCTCACGCCTTTAGAACTGGTAAAGCTGCACTGTGCTCGCTACGTCAACTGCCGTCTAGACTTTTGTTAAAGCATGCATGCTGAACCCGAACCCTGCAGACGTCGGCCGAATGGCACATCAAGCCTAACCGACGTATCTCAAATCATGCCAGCTTGCAGATTTATTTCCGACAAGCAAAAGCCTGCAACAGTCTCCTCCAACTTCAAGTCCTCGTCCAACCACCACTCCCGGCCGTGGTACAGTCTCATCTGACAGTCGGTTGCCCTGAATCGCCTCGCCCTTGCAGCAACCCCCATTCTTCTTCGGGCATGGCCTCAAATGCGCCCAGGGCGGTGGCCGACGCCGTTGCCGCTCTTGCAGCCAAGAACCAGGCCCCGCACTTCCTGGTGGTCTACGCCAGCATCGTCAACGGCCGGAGCTGGTGCGGCGACTGCATCCGGGCGGAGCCGCTGATCCAGGAGAAGTTCCCCGCCGGCGAGCAGTCGCGCCTGACGGTTCAGTACGCTGGCGACAGGGAAACGTGAGTTTGATTTTGCGGCTTGGCTCCCGCACCGGGATCAGCCGGCTAACCCGTTTCTTGACTATTACCATGGCTCTGCATCCAATATCCTGTCGATGTGACTGATCCATGGTGATGAGTAGGTGGAGATCTCCAGAGAATGAATGGCGCAAGTTTGGTGTCCCTGCTCTGCCAACGCTGTACAAGGTGACACCAGATGGAGTAAGTCACCGCAGTTTCGGTCTTGCAACGTTCTTCTCGCTTTACTAAACATTTTGTAGACGTGGTCTCAACTGGTGGAAGGGGAGGTCTACGATAGGAAGAAGCTGGATGCATTTGTCGTTACGCAGTAGACATGAGGAAGAGGCCGGCGACGAATTGTTACCCTGGTGCCTGTTGATAAATACACCTAAGGATTGGCCTGTCTGCTTTTTTCAGCGAACGGTATAGACCTTGTTGGCGGCTTGCTCTCATCAAATCTATGTCTTGAACTTTACTTTGTTGGCACCAACCTTTTTAAAATTGCATAGGACGCTTCTGCTTGGCTTGCTGCTGTTCTCTTGTGTCATCTCCCTGTCCTTAGATTGTCCTGTCGCGAAATGATGGACTTGGGATGTCGTTTCTGCAAGAAAAGACGTCCACAGTGCGACTTACTCATCGGGGAGAGACTACTGGGCACATGTGGTCTGTCCAGACTTGACGTAGGCATTTGTGGGTGTTTATAAAATCTCCAAAGGAGACTTGGGGCGCCTTTACTACGCGTGGATACCTCAAAATTTGACATGAAGAGCTTGGCGGCCATTCGATGGGCCGAACTATATTTGCAAAGGCGGGACCTGCCTTGTGAACTAAATAGCCACATATATGTGCACATAGAAGAAAATCCAGTGGCGGACGAAATTCTGAGCAGAGCCCATCCTATCCACCACTCATTTGGGGAGCTCAAATCTTGCCAGTCCCTGCACTCGCCTCAATGGCGGCGACCAGGCCGTCAGTGGCATCAAGAGTATAGTCATAAGCCGGCGTGAAGCTGCACTCCTGTGTGATCTCAGTAGTGCTGCTCCCGCTCAGGACGTTGCCGACATCGCAAGCGAAACCATCCTCGTCACTGTCGAGGTTTGTGACGATAGAACGCGGGACATTATCAAAGACGTTGTTCTCCGCAAGCACCTGTGCCCCCATGCGGCTGTTGATGCCCGAGGTAGGGCAGTCCTGGAATACAGAGTTGAAGATGTGGCCGGTGCCGAAGCGGAGGGAGGGCAGGCGGGAGCCGACGTTAATGAAGCTGTTGTGGTGGTAGGTGATTCGCAGCTTGCCGGTGTCCTGCTCTGCGTTGCTGTCCGAGTGGCCGATCAGCGATCCCTGTATCAGTGTTAGCTGTGAGTTATCTCATCCTCGAGTGAATACAATATTCCTTACCTTGAAGTGATCGTGGAACTTGGTATAGGACACTTCAAGATTGTCAGATCCACGCTTGGCGTCGAAGAGTCCTGTGAAAAATGTCAACATCTTTATCCCCAAAGGCCATGTGCATTTCGGCCGAAATAATCCATGTATTGGTACTCACCATCAAAATCGTCTTTTCCACCAGTCAAACCAACAGAGGACAAGTCACAGTGATCGACCCAGATCTGCGTGCTCGACTCAACATCAATGGCATCAGCCCCGGCGGGCGGTGGCCCAAGCTTCAGGTTCTGAATTATAACATTGGTGCTGTCGACGATCCGGAACCCGGTCCCGCTGGCTCCAGAGTCGGCTCCAACGCCCAAGATTGAGGTGTTGCTGCCAACCTTCAGAGAGCCACAGTCCGAGAGTTGGCCATCGATCTGCACTACCTTTGCCTCAGTGCCAGCGATAGCAGCTTCAAGATCCGCGCAGGACGTTACTGTGACTGCAGTCGCAGAGCCGCCGCCTGTGGTGCCGGCGCCGAAACCGATTGGGCCGCCAGCGGTACCGTTTGCTTGTCTCCTAATGGAAGGGAATGCCTCTGCCGAAGTGAAAAATACTGCCAGCAGGGCTGCTACTGATGTGACTGACTTCATGGTAATTGGGAGTGTGGAAATAACTAAGTGAGCGTGTTCAATGAGACAAGCAAAGAATGGAATGCCGGGTGATGCCTTCGTACACATTGGCCGCCATGACAGCGAAGATGATCGCTTTTATCATCCATCAAGTCTAGTATCGCGGCCTGCTGATCGAAAGTACCAATGTCTTGGAGCCTCCAGTTCAATCTCGAATAGATTGAGTGTGGCAGTCATTCCGTTCAGATCTGCATTCCGCACCTCCAGTTTCGAATCAATGCCTGCAATGAGCAACCTATTTCCCTCCCGTACAACACATTTGATAGGAGGAGAATCAGAAGTTAAAGCTTGGTAGGCGGAGCGAGACTCGGCACTCCTCGCCGAAACTCCTCCCCACCAAAAACTCCTGGCAGCGATCCTTGAAAGTCTTGGGCCAATTCAAGACTAATCTGTCTTGGTAGGATTCAATGTTCGTCTTTAGTTACAAGGTAGCCTCATGGGAGCGGCTATCAAAACCTTGGCTGCGCGCACAGCAGAACAGCCCTTGGTTACATGAGGTGACTCGTAGCCTTGCTACGTGCAACATACCGCGATTCATAAACAGGCAAAAGATATTCATTCAATGACCGGATCGCGATCCTGTAGACGAGACTGATCAGTATAGGGAGCAACTGATGTTCGAGTGAGCGTCTTTCGAGGAGGCTCCGCAATGCAGCTGCAACAACCAGCAAGCTCGAGGAGGTGGTCTGCCGGTCCCCAGCCAAAAAAGGGGGAGGAGGATCGGACGGGAAGCTCATTGGCTTATCAGACAGGTGAAACAAGCTGACTGTTCAGCGGTTCCACTCGGATATAGTGCCGAGCCTTGGGTGCCCAGCCTCTCGGGGCGCTCAATGAGGTTTCTCCATGGCTGGTTGTCCTGCCAAGAGAGGAGTTGTTTGAAAACTGACATCGAGCTCCCGGCGCAGCTCCAGCAGGAATCTGCAAGTAGCATTTCCATCTATTACTTGGCGAGAATCTTCTCCCATAACGGAACTGACTTGCCCGGAGGATGACGGATCTCAGGCCGGCTGTCGGGGTTGTTGACTGCGAGGTGGGAGGACACCAAAGAGTTGATTTCTGAATCGAAAGGACAAACGCTTCGGCCGCGTACTGGTCCACTTCAATTCACCCACACATTCTGAACTCTCCTTGTCTGGTTGTTCCGCAAGTTCTGGCGAGCTAAAGAACAAGCATCCCGAGAGTCTGGATAATCTCGATTACTATGTCAATAATCAACTTAGAAACTTTAAATACAGTTACGTGTTAATCAGAACGTCATATATGCGCGCTACGACGTGGCAGCAGTGGATCAATAGTCAAAAGAGAAGTCATATGTAAGAATTAGGTGATCTGAATTTACTTTTGATGGCTCTACCCAAACGCATCCTGCGAGCAATAACACACTTACAACACCAAGAAAGGGTGGTGGTTTTAGAGAGTATCAAGACCCAGAAGGTGCAAATATCATCCCATTCACCTAGTTATCCCTCCATTTTGAAAAGGCTGATGTCACCTCTGCACCATCTGTGAATCAGTACAGGGTAGAGTGGCCTGAGAGCTGGTTGGAATCCTCAGATGAAGCCAGTTCCCAGTTGTACATGCAAATAGTTGAGCTCTGACCCACAACTGGGCGACACCATTACGACATTTTTGAGCAGATATACATATCATTGACCTGAAGATAGGAGAAAAATGTTCACACCTGGAACTCCAACCAAAGGAGACCATAATCACCCCCATACTCCCAGACGAAGCCTGCAACCCCTTTCGACCTATACCTCTCCCGCGTCTTCCTAGATAGGCACTTGGTTGGAAGACCTATCAAACGACGCTGATCACCTGCAGTGTTTGAGCCGAGTTCTGTGCTTGAGCTTGTGCACCCTGCAACTGTGCTCCAGCCAGCGCGGCGGCAAGTGCTCCGGCATTTTGGGCCTGTCCAGCCTGTGCCTGTTGTCCAGCCTGAGCTTGCTGCGCAGCTTGGTCCTGCTGTGCAGCTTGATCCTGTCCAGCCTTGGCTTGTCCTGCCTTCGCGGCAGCAGCATTGGCGCCATCGGCCTGGGCTCCGCCCTTTTGTGCGCCTCCTGCCTTGGCACCACCTTTTCCTTTCTTTCCACCGGCTGCCTGGGCACCTCCAGCGTTGGCGGTACCGTTGTTGGCGGCAGCGCCAGCATTGGCGTTGGCATTCGCGCAGCCCTGCAAGGCCTATTATCCAGTTCATTCATGTTAGCGCATCCTCATTTGACTTCATCTCATAGCTCTCATCAGCTCTTGCGAGGTTCTCGTGCCGCCTCTTCCTCAGAAAGAGAATACCAGCAACCACCAGCACCTGGGAGATCATGACGGCCCCGAATATCCATCCCGTCTGGGGGACGACGCTGTTGTTCGTTTGTCGTTTCTGTGGGAGACAGAGCCAGTTGGCACCACGCCTTGTACACAAGGCACACGCGAGCAGACAACAAGACATACAGACAAGCACATAGCAGAACAAAACCTATGCTTACACCACCACGTATATATGCGTGCGTGCAGCGACGCAGCAGCCAGACGGGAGGATATTCAGAGACCGGAACTCCGAGGCTGACGAGATGTGGGGATGATTAGTTGAAGGAAAGCAGTGGGTGACTTACGTCGACCTTGTTCTGTTGGTTCTGCTTGATGCCACCGGCAAAATCCGTCTCGAGTTGTGAAACAATATCGAGGTCGCTGGCGGCTCCCGTGAGAGACTGAGCCAGGTTGAGCTCCTCAGCCTGCGCATTTTGTACCTAATTTAAAAAATGTACGTTAGCAAGCTCCACCACAATGTTTAGTTGAGTCGAAGGACGTACGATTCCGAGACCGTCAACGGCAGCGTTGCCAGCAGGCGCGATAGCTTGGTTGTTCTCGCGAGCAGAAATGCCGGCGTTGACAAAGTCGAGCAGCTGTGACTTGGCGGCGGTGAAGGCGGCCTGGTCGATCGGGTTCTGGCTCACAGCAGCCTTGACCTTCTCAACACTAGCCTGCTCGCCTGTCTGTAGGTCGATGTTGCTCTGAATGCCATCAGCGAGCGCCTGGGCAGCGATGCAAGCGTCACCGTCGGCGAATGCAGCGCGCCTGGCCACGCGACCGTAGGCAGTGGCAGCAAAGACTGCAAGAATGACTTGTGTGGTCCTCATTTTCGTGAGCGAAAGAATCTGCGAATGGAAAATAGATTAAAATAGACGTATAAAATAAACGCGTAACTGAGAACAGTATACACGGAAACGAATGTTAGTGGATGTCGACAAATCGGCCCTGCCGGTCTTTAATTTGTGGATATTAGAAGAGAAGGAACTGGTGGGTGGTGCTGATCGCGAACAAACGAATGAAAACATCGTGGAGAACTACGGAGATATATACCGTCACTGTCAACAACTCTCCGGTCCATCACAGCTTGGCTAATGCTTGACCAACCACATGTTTCACAGCACGTAGGAGAGAGACCATTCCGTGTTGATTGAATGACTAGAAAATATCGTTGGTATATCAAACTCGCCTGACATCCGGTCTCGAAGTTAAAAGCCAAGTCTGTGCCCCTGCAGGTACCAAAGTCGTGCATCTTGCTTCACAGTGGGCTACTAATGCAGCGGTTCCCAGTGTTTCGGAAAAGGTCTGAGGGTAGCTCGTAAGGCGCGCGGGTGCAGAATAGAGAGGGAGGTGCGGAGGACAGAGTTAAGCTTTCGGCTACGTCTGGACGCCGAGAAAGCTTATCTAAGTCTTCACCTGAACGCAAGTTGCATGGTTTCGGCCCATCCATGCTGACGTATCAAAGCCTGAGTCAAATCTGGGCTGAGTGACCGTTGGCCAGTATGCCAAAAGCAATGCATGACCCCCTGATTGACACCAGTGAGACGCCTTGAAAGCAACGTCGAAGAGGCTGAGGGGCCGGCTCTGGATGGCTGCCAACTCAAAATCAAACTTCATCCAAATCATTCCCGTCTCAACTTTAGGCCCTACTGAGCCAATCGGCGTGGCTCACAGCATGCGACGGCTTTTAGGTCATTTTCGGACTCCTTCGGCCGAACTCAACAGCCGAAGTCTATCTAAGAATTAACGGCGGAAAATAATATTGCTTGAAAATGCCAGGCTTATAGTCCTGATATCCTGCCTCCTACTCTCCGTCTGCCTCAAGACACAACTTCTGTGTGCACACTGAATGTGATAGTGTTCGGTGATTCTCTTACAGATCTAGATGCTCACGATGTTCAGACGCAAAGAAATTAAGTGTGGGTCAATGGCGGGTGACGTGAGTATCTAAGCGTGAGGAATGACTCTAGTGCCAGAACTGCATTCATTAACATGTCCATGCCGTAGCGCAGTCTGTAACAGTATCTGAGCACAGCGGCATATGGCTGGGAATCAATGAAGTCGGTAACTGCTAGCCTTATTTGATCTGAATAGTATCGAATGAGATCTCTTCGCATATTTGAAACCCTTCTGGCCCTTTTTTCGCGAGAACCCTCATCATCAATCGTGTCTAGTCCCGGCCCCACTATACCCCGTGTTCGGTCCAACATTGCCTCTAGTCAGTAGCCTCGTCTCATCGTCTTTGCCGCTCGGACTTCGTTATGCTCCTGACCCCACAGATCATATTGTCAACGGCGTTTATGTAATCCAGATGAACTGATCAATGAGTAGAAGATGGTATGAGAAGAGGATGGCATATTCGTCCGGTGTCAAAGTTGTCCAAGTTTTTGAGCGCTCACATGGAACACGTCGCCGCCTCAGGGCAGGGAAGGGGTACCTAAAGGCACCATTAGGCAATAAGCTATCGTTGCTTCGACTATACGTTCCTCAAGCGGTCCAAGTGAGTAGGAAATGAAGAATTTAGGATTTGCGCATTTTACCGGAGCAATTGGAATCAAGATTAGAAGCTAAGGAAAGAAACCCCCAAGGAAGACCTAAGCATCTAAGAATGGCTAGAGATAGAGTGTTGTGTCTGCCTTTCGCACCGGCGGGAGATTCTTAAGGGCAGATGGTTGCTGTTATGATTCTCGGATGATGCCGGCTAGTAACGCTTGGCTGACAGATAGAAACTTCGATTCCTGAAATGATCACGGGCCTGTATTCCTGGCTAGTGGAATCCGCAGTCCCTATATACCGGAATACTCGTTCCGGAGAAGCAAAACCCTCGCGCTTCGAATCAAAGACTCCACTCATATACGTATGTACAAGATGATACTTTATCATTTGGTTTGATGACCAGCAAGAGCGATATGCTGGGGCAGAAGCTTGTGACCAACCAGCCCATGGGCAGTCGGCCCACCGGTGGAACAGTGCGCCGAGCCAAACATGAATGGAAGCATATCTGCTTGAAGTCAACAGCATTTGCTCGACAGTACTGCCTTCGCGCAGGCTTCGACTGTGGGTTCGAAGACTTTTGTGCGTTGCGCAGGGGACTCCCTTGCAAGATGCCAAGCGAAGCGACCAGCCTCCTACGTGATTTCATGTACTGCTAGAAGTACTGTCACAAGAATTCCACATGCGCTATGTTGAGATCATAATTAATCATCTTTTCGCTCAAACGACGTGCGAGGTGAATAACGCACAAGTCGCGAAGCCGGGGATGCCTTGAGCAGCTTCTTCTCGGCCTGACCGCATGATGCTTCGCCCGACCTCTGTAATGATATCTTGATCACGGGCAGCCGTCAGTTCGACGGTCGAAATCATAACAATATCTATGGCAATAGACTCCCTTGGTGGTAATTAATACACACCCCTCAAGAAGCTCAGTGCGGCACTCGAAAACGCAAAGCCCCGGCAATCTTAGAACATTAGCTTGGCACCAGATTTGATGGCATTCACAGTGTTTGACATGACAACGAGGTAGCTTCTGTCCGACGAGAAGTGTCCCCATGCGCTGGATGGCTTTTCTCCTCTTGTCGCGATGCTGAATGCCATGTATGAATGATATCTCGGTGCTGACTTACATGCATATTTTCTAGCTACTACCGCAACCAGAGGGACAATTGGTATTGACCGACTTTAAAAACACTAATAAAGTCGATTGTCCAAATCGGCGCACCTAGGCAATTGGTGGAGTGGACGCGATGCCTCCTTCATTTCAACCCAAGGCTTCAGAACAGGTTGATTCTGGCTGCGATATTCCGACTGTTCTGCCTCGCTCTACTTCTCACCATTGTTTCCTGACTACTGATGTTTGGTAGACGAACACTTGGTGCTTCGCAATCGACAACCGGTCCGGCGCGGGTTTTGCCCGTCGTGCCTATCTACAATCGCAGGAATGTGCGGACCCCTCCGCGTGCTTGTCTTGGCTCGAACCTCGGACGATAAGAATATGTACTGAAGATATCGAACATTTGTTTCCCCGCTCAAACGCTGAAGGGATCCTGGGGCGTAATTCGAAAGCTACCCCAGCGCCACGCGCAACGATTCGCTAACAACCCCGCCAAGAGACAAAGCTCGCATGGCGGACATCCACACATTGCCGAAGGTGCACAGGCAAGGTTCTCCATTCAGATGTGCGCGATAAGATAACAACGACAGGCCTCGGAAATGGGAATGTAACAATGGCTATCCATAGTCTGCTTACTGAATCCTTATTTATCCAGCCCATCACATCTGATATCGCCGAACTCCCCTGTCTTGCTGTCGCACGCTCTCGGTAGTTTCTGGGGCATGCCTTGTCACACTTGAGTGATCCTATCTCTATCGCAGTACCTCAGTCGTAATCCTCCCCCATTCCTCAATCTCTTGGCCACCTAGTCGTGGGGGACAAGGTCAACGGCGCCGAGAATGCCACCGTAACCTTGCATGATCGACGGGCCCAACCGGCTGGGCTCGCGACATGTATAAAGTCTGTTGTGTCATGGCCAGGAGGGAACGTTCGTAGACACCAATTTCCACAACTTTCAACTCTGTTGCGTGCACTTCACGTTGGTTCGATTCTTTTAGGCCTGTACTGCAGGGGAACTCGCTCCTCCTGCTCTGTGAACTGGTAGAATGGCTACAGTCTCAGAAGTGACGACATTGCCGGCGGAGGTTGGCCAGGTTCTCGCGGAGGCAGATCGCATTGGCGAATTTGAGAAGAGCGGCGAAAAGTCCGGGACCGATGAGGAAAATACCAAGTCAGAAGGAGAGGGAAGCGTCATCGTTACAGATGTCGTTGAAGATCGCGGTAAGTGCGGGCGAATAAGTTCCTGATTGACAAACGTGTATTTCGTTCTATCCCAGTTGCTCCCATCTGCATCGTTCAGCTGCTCAGGCACGTCTCTGACATAGAGCTGACACCCCTTCAAACACCAGATCAGTACACGGACGAACAGTATAAGCAGCTTAAGAAGAAGATCGATCGATATCTTCTCCCCCTCATGTGGCTTTGCTATGGCATCCAACAAACCGACAAGACTTCCCTGGGCACCCAAGCTATATTTGGGCTACGAGACGACACTCACCTCGTCGGACAGCAGTATTCGTGGCTGACGACAGTTTTCTACATCTTGTACATGTGTTTCGAATTTCCTTCCAATATCTTGCTCCAGCGATACAAGATGGGTCGGACGCTTTCGCTGTATATGATTTGCTGGGGTTTTATCGTCTTGGGGGTTGGTTTTGCACAGAACTTTACCCATCTTGTTGTACTACGAGCTCTCCAGGGAATGTTCGAGTGCTGCATCAGTCCGGGTTTCATACTGGTCATTGGAAGCTGGTACACGACACGAGAGCATTCGTCACGGTCTCTGGTGTTTCAGAGCGCCAATGCCGGCTTTGGTATCATTTCCAGCCTGATTCTTTATGGAATCGGCTCTGTTCAGTACCACCGACCGGACTTCGAAGCTTGGAGATACATGTCATATTTTCTCGGCTCCCTCACAGTCATTGTCGGCTGCTTGTGTCTCTTTCTTCTTGGCACTCCGTCTGAAGTCCGCTGGCTATCGCCAGAGGAGAAGGCAATGGCTAACACCCGTATCCTCTCGAACAATACGGGCCATGACCGCACTGGCATCAAGAGGTGGAAGTGGGAGCAGGCACGCGAGTGCCTCATCGATCCGTGCTTCTGGTTTGCAGGATGCAACGCGTTCCTCAGTTCTGTACCAAATGGTGGCTTGACCACCTTTGGTTCCATCATCAGTGCCTCCTTTGGGTTCACTAATCTGCAGGTCATCCTGCTCGACATCCCTAGAAGCACATTCTCCGTTCTGTACTTTATTTTCATTGGTCTCGTCACCAGCAAGTACAAGAACTTGAGAATGTACTTCATGATGTTCTCAACCATTCCTCCCTTTGTGGGTTTCCTGGTTATGGCTCTTCTCCCCAACGAGCCGCAGTACAAGTGGACAAAATGGGGCGGCTACTTCATGACCGTGCCGTTCGTCATATCGCTCTTCCTCGCGTGGACTCTCATCCCATCCAATACGGCCGGCAGGACAAAAAGGACACTGACAAGCTCTTTTACATTCGTGGGCTATTGCGTGGGCAACATGACTGGATCGCAAATCTTCAAGGCGGCTGATGCACCTCGCTACGTACCGGGTACGATTGGCTGTGCAATATGCTTCGGCCTTGAGTTCTGCCTTATCGTGACGTGGAGACTGGTCTATGTCTTCAGGAACAAACGCAGGGACAGGCAGCTGCGCGACCAGGGAATCTCGGAGGAAGATAGAGTCAGGTTGGGCAAGGAATTTGGGGAGAAAGACAGTACTGATTTCCAGAACCCATATGTGAGTGTTGCAGCCCTTTCGGTACTTACATGCATGATGCGGGAAAAGATTCGCTGATCAATATTATACAGTTCCGATACACCATGTGAGATTCGCGGTGTCAAAGCAGGTCGTCGGGCAGAAGTAATGTGCATAGCGACTTCCGCATTCCTTAGAACAGACACTGTCAATTCATCCTGTTAGGTTTATCATAAAGACCTAATCCAGCACACTTCCAATAACAAGCAGTTGGTCCCGCTTGAAATCGAGTTATTTCCTCAATCTTGTAAAGATGCCGCTTTGGTCCCTGAGCCTGATAAATGCATACAGAGCAATGCGCATTGGCTGCAGCATCCGTAACTAGACTCGAATCATTTCCCATGAGTCTCTCAGCATCTTAACTTATCATGAAGAGGGAGCGGGCATGTCTCTTTACTATACTCGCTGTCCTAGTGTCCAGCCTCCAGTATTTACGTTCTGCAGCCGATTGGCATACGTCATGCGGAGACCGAAGTTGGAAACAGTTTGATCTGGGCACTTTAAGTCTAATATATCTGAGAAAAACATTGCTCAGGTTGGTGACTAGCAGACTCGCTCTCTTCTAGAAGCGGCTAACGTCCAAGAACCACCGCATAAATAGCCGGTGCCTTTAATTAACACCTGCATTTTCGGGGTAATTAAGCTTTCTTGACAGCTCTAAACAGGCGTTACACTCCGACCCACGTCGTGCTGAGGAACATAAAGCTCCGAATCCTGGTAGGAATTATGTCCGGTCTACGTATGATGGCCCAAGTCGACTGCTCTGAATCATATAATGAGGCATGGACAGTCAATGGGAACCTTCGACGGACTGAATTAGTCAATACTTGGTCTCACAAAAGGGTAATACAACACCCAAGCCACAAACACTCGTTCTAAGCACATATTACAGTCTGCTCACTTACTCGATCAGTCTACCATTCAAACATGAAATCATTCGCCATCCGCGCTCTGGTGTTTTGCCCGTTTGCCTTAGCTGCAGGTGTTGCTGATATTGGAGCACGCCAAGAGGAGATGGTAGAATGCTGCTACCTATGGTCAGACTCGGTACGCCCCCTATGAAATCTGTCTCGTATGCCGTTGCTCAGCAGGTCAGAACGCTGACCTAAAGACACTGCCAACCACAGGTCGGAAATTCCCAGCTCTTCCGTAGCACCTCTTTGTCACAGCAAGATATCGGCGAGCCCGGAAGTTGGTGCATTGCTCAGATTGAGAGGTAGGATATCATACAGAACTCTTTGAGTACAGTGCATGCTAAGGATTTTATCTACCCGGCAGAGATGCAAACGATCCCAACAATTGTGCAGCTGGACAAGCTAAGATTTACGCAGGATATTGTCCAATTGGGGATGTGGCTCCTGTCACTGAATGTCCCTGAAAATAGGTTGATATGATTGTTGATAAGCAACCGGAATCGAGCAGAAATTGAGCATCATCTGCAAAAGTTCACATGGACGAAGTTCGGTGTACTAAACTTTTGACTGCTACGACTACATGTACTCATAGCAAAACCTATTCGTCCCAACCTTCATCAGCTCACCCGTCGTCTTCTCGCGACCCAAGATTCCCCAGTTCTGTGTCGTCTCCAGGGTGACCTCGCCAGTCTCGTTCCCGTTGAAGATCGTGCTAGTTCCACTCAAGGCATACTGCCTTGTCTCCGGATCCGAGGCTTGCCATATGGCCCACAACCGATCAATCATAGAATGATGAAGGAAGAAGGCTGGATCTGCTGGGCTCGCGAAAAAGTCCTGCAGAGCCAGCCCAATACTGAAGTGACCTCCTCCATGCACGCCAAGGTTGATATCGGCTCCTGACATGGTGTCCTGGAAGTCGGCAATCGTTGTGGTGGCCAGGAGAACGTCGATCGCCGTCTGATTGCCGTAACGAGCAGCGATGTAGTTGTTCAGATCACGGCTGAGGCAGTGGGGATTATACCCAGTCCAGTTCGACGGCAGGCCAGAAAATACCAAATCAAATGCGAAAGGCCCGAGGTTGATGGTCTGGTTGACAAAAGGCCCTGAAGTAACACATCCTCCACCGGTTCCGTGGGGCAGGGTTCCGCCTCCACCTACAGTGTAGTTTCCTTGATCAGGCTCATACGTTTCATCGCCAGAGAGGCTCGTTGGTCCACCGTCGAATAGAGGGCTGCCGGCGAGGTCGTCGCACCACAACGCCCAGTTCCAATAAGGCTGACCGAGATGAGCTGGATAGCCGCATTCTTGATGGAGAGCGGTCTCCCAAAGGTGCACAAAGTTGCGGTGCCACGATAGAAAAATGCCGTCGAGGTGAATCGACCGGGTTTGGTTGATGTGAGTGGCGACAAAGTCATCTAGACGCGTCTTGGCGCCGGGAACTTGCGTGTTGTTTAGATGCGACGGTGATGATTGCATGCAAAGAACCGCATCGATGTAGGAAACCCTCTCAGACAAGGTGAGTGAACCCCATTCTTTCCGAGCGACGGTATTGTTTGAATAACATGAATTGTGGTCGCCGGCGAGGACCCCATTGAGCAAATATATGCCTCCAAGGCACATTTGTGCGACAGCCAAACTGCTTCTCAGCCTCATCTTCACGATCCTGGAGTTTTCAATAGCTCTCGAAGTGGTCCCGCGGCTCTCAGAGTAGGAAGCGTGGCATTTGAAATTTGATCTGATTCTCAATGGCAATCACGGTAATATATTGCCGAGAAATGAGACTCTCAATCACAGCGAGTCCCCCGCATCCCGGATCTCGACCAGCCTATGCATCGGAGCTGCAGCTCCCTTCTGGTGTAGTGCTAGTAAGATCACGCTCATTTGTCCTATCAGCTGTTGCATGTCATCGCTTCAATGCAGTCACCCTTGCAGCCTGCCATCGCTAGCGAACAGTGGCGCATCCTTTGAGGAATATTAGGACAAAGTCTTCAATCGATGTAAGGGTTCCAAACTTCATGAAGAGCACAATTATGAACAAAGCGCATGTATTTAAGCAACACTATGCAAGACATAGCATTGACTCGTGTTTTGTCTAAAAAACACCTTGTAGAACTCCGTAAAATCATCGAATGTATTTGTAAGTCTTCCTACGACTGAGTGGAGGCTCTCTTCATGGGGACATCTTCCCGTCTGCGATCTATCTCAGCACGCCGCCAAAGGTTTTGACCTCCCTTAAGCACGGGCATGCTATCAACTTGCGGTATCTACTCTCATGCGACCTTGTTGGCCGGATAATAAAAAAGACCGCAGACTCGCTACGCCTAGTCGCCTCCGATAACACACCCCAGAGGCTGCCCTAGTCACGTAAGATCAATAGCCTGGGGACGTATCCATGTTACCATTGCAGAAGGGCCAGAAATGCACACCGATCCAGACCATGTGTCTGCTGTTGCATCTTTCTACAAGATCACACAGCACCACTTTGCCTGACTGCCATCGGGGCAAGTGTATGCACTAATCAAGACGTGCTTGACGACCTCAGCATCGAGGACGACAGCACCACTCCCAGCCACATCATGATCTGGCTTCTGGATGACGCCCTTCGAGATGAGGTATTCGATGGTGTCCTTGGCAATGCTCTCAACACTGGAGCCGCCCTCGTTGGTCAGGACCTGCGAATGGTCATGGTTAGCAATACAGTTGTGATGCGCCGGAAAATGGCCAGGGTTTCAAAAAGAAAAAAGAGGTTTTAGTGAATGACGAGGGAGCGGGTCCGATTTCTTGCCTGGATCTCGTCATTGAGCCTGGCGATGGTCTCAGCGTTGAGGGCGCCGTTTGCCTTTAGGGCTGCTTCAGCCTCGTCGACGATAGCAGGGGCGTCGGGGATGTTGTCGGCCTTCAGCTGGGCCTTGAGAGCGTCGATTACCCCCTGCACTTGGACTGGCTGTGCAATATGGGCAGGCGCAGCCGCAGCACAGTAAGCTAGAAGAAGGGCCATGAAAATGGTTTTGCCTTCGGGAAGCATCTTGTGGTAAGTCTTGGTAATGTTGAGTTATGTGGGTGTTATCTTGTAGTAGGGAAGACACTCTAAGTTGAAGTTGAACTCAAGATGAAAGTGAAAGCAGAAAAGTCGAGTTGGCTAGGAGGAAGGATCAAATTGAGAATCAGATACGTGACACATTCGACAGGATGAATCACATATCGGAACCAATGGGTTTCTAGTTCGGCTGGGCCCGATTGTACTTCAGTTGGATTTGGCCTGGTGGGTCTTTGTCCGCATGTCACTGGTGCTCTATCGCACATGTGCACCTATCTCCTGTTCGACACCATTGTTGCATTTTGGAGCGTTTTACCATTTAAGCTGCGCCGTCGAGGCCTTATCAAGTCTGGCTCTTCAGGGTACCAGAGACGTGGCCTATGAATCGACAAACTCCTGAATTTAAGGCACCGTGACGCTCCAACCAGCAAACAGGTCGTTTCAAAAACCCAAAAGTGCTCTTTCATGGTTAAGATGTTGTTTCTTGACCAGATTTGTGTGATTGCAGGGCTAGTTGCTGATGCAAGCGAGGCTTGTAAAGTTTCAGAATCGCGGGATAATTCTGCTGCCCCTAGAACCGGGGCTTTGGAACCCAAATACTTGTCAGCAGCTGCTTAAAACGACACCGAGATTGGGAAACTCATTATCACTCGCAAAAGAATCAAGACGAAGTTTTCTGTGTGATGTGGCATCATATTCTGTTAAGTATGTATGAACTCCAAATGGAACTCCAGCGCGTTTATGCAATATGTACGGCCCAAAATGCTCAGTGACAGATTTTGAACTTTGAAACGACCCATCCCTCCAAACTCATGACAGGGCACCGTACCCACAACAAAAGGAATTATCAACACCCAGGATTGTATTACCCTCCTGCAATAGAATCTCTTTCAGACCGCGTTTATACGCCAGAGTCATCCTCAGTGACGGAGTACTCCTCAGCGTACGTCTCCCAGGCCGAGCACGTGCTTTCAAGGCTATCGTAATCAATCAGGTCGGTGATCTCATCCTGGCGGACAATCCATTGCATCGCGAAGCCCTCAGATGTGTGCCAGCCGATGTGGCAATGCATCAGCCAGGCACCAGGGTTGTCAGTCTCAAATGCAAGGACCAGGTAGCCGCTGGATGGCAGCATAGCAGTGTCACGACGAGGTGGGTTGTCCAGGTTGAGGGTGGTGGTGCCAGAGGTGTACGTGCCGGAGCCCTGGGCGAGGACGAAGAAGTCGAAACCGTGAAGGTGGATGGGGTGAGGGACGGCGAGGGTGGTCTCGATGATGACGTAGGCCCACTCGTCCTCTCCGTTCAGGGTGACGACCGCGTCGCTTGAGTCCCAGGTCGTGGTGCCATTGTAGATCTGCTCCAGAGTTGGGTCCGCCCACTCGACCGCCATCGTGGTTGAGTTCAGGTACCAGCGGAAGTAGCCATCGTCGTTGGTAGACACAGTCGCGGCCTCGTCGACATCCCAGGTTGAGCCAGAGACAGTCTTTGAGAGGTAGGGGACGAGTGTGGAAACATCCTCGTCGTCGCAGGAATCAGTGTAGGTGTAGGCGGTTGTGGAAGGGGTGGACACGGAAGTACCGTAGGAGATAATTCCCTTGATGTTGTCGGCGTTGTCATTGTCAGAGCAAGCGGTCTGGGGAATGGCACGCATCCAGAAGTCCGTGGCAATATCGCTCATGCCCTCGGTGTAAATGATAATGTCGTAGCGCTGACCCATACCGATGCTAAGCACGGTTGTGTTGTAGGGCTCAATTGGGACAAGATCCATGGCGATGACCCCGATGGTGTGGTTGTCAATGGAGAACTTCCAGTGAGTGTCAACAGCAGCGTTCACCAATCGCATACGGTAGGTTGTGCCCTCAGTGAGGGTGGTGTTCCAGCGGTAACCAGTCTGGTCGGCATCACCGTCATCACCGTAGACGTTGGTGCCGTTGAGCAGACCAGTGTCAAGGGTGGGAGGGCCGTCTGTCTCAGCAGAAATGTAGAGCTCGTCAACGGTGGAGTGGTCCCAGTCGTTGAGGAACATGTGGCCAAGATCTTCATCGTAGTTGGCAGTGGCAGGTCCGTTGATCAGAATTCCGCCGAAGACACCCTCCCAGGCTTGCAGAGCGAAGTGGGAGTGGTACCAGGTCGACCCGTACTGAGTCGCCCTCCACTCGTAGGTGATAGAGGAGCCAGGTGGTGTGGGGCACTGAGTGATAGAAACCACACCGTCGTTCTGGTTGGTGTAGTTCTGTCTGATACCGTGGAAATGAATGGATGTGCCGTTGGTGCTTTGCGTCAGCGAGTTTGTGACATGAACGATGAAGTAATCTCCCCAATCTCCGTAAAGGGTCGGTCCGGGAATAGACCCATTGATGGCCATGGCATAACGAGAAACGCCATCGGGGGAAACGGTAGTATCTGACAACTCGAGCTATGGCAACCAATTAGCACGACCGTAGGCCGAAGAGTGGCGAGGAAGAGAGAAATTCTTACCCAGTATTCTCGTGTGACCCCAGTGTCAGGTACAGTGTTGTAGTAGTCGGTGGTGAGATCGTAGTCACACCATGTAGAACGAGTGGTAGCAGTGTTGCCGTCACACGCTGCCCGTGGCAGAAGTGAAGAATCAAAGGGATTGCCGAGGGCAACGCCAACAACTGAGGCGGCAAAAGCCAGGGAGGACAACATTGTGAACGATTCAAGGGAAATGAGAGACAGCGGAAAAGAGTGTGTGAGAGAGAGATAGAAGGGAGAGAAGGAAAAACAAGCAACCCTAGAGAATGAGGGCTGATGTTGAGAGAGGCGAAGATGGTGGCGATGATGGACGAATTGACTCGCTGTTTTGGAGTTGATTCACTGGATATATATCCTCCTCCATCATTGATCCTCGGCCGAAAGTGTTGGCTGAATGTTTACTCCTGAGCCTTGCTTGCTATTCTCGTCCGAACTACGATCGGGGAGATGGGGGCAGACGGAGCACTTACTCGCAACGCATCCATGCCACATGACCCACATAAGGCTGAAGACGGCTATTCGCTGTGATCTACACTGCGTAAGAATTGAGGCTCATGCTCCCACACCTTAGGATCCATGCATATGATTCTCGGCAGGACCATAGTGGATACCCACCACATTCCGAGGGAAATATTGGAGGCTAAGCCTCGCACCACTAGTGTAACTCCTTCGCACCTCTCTCAAGTGCTCGCTGTGATGCACGGTTAAATGCACTTAGCGTCGGGCTTTTGGTGTCCAGCACGATCCCTATGCTTATGCCCCCGATGATCTGAGTTTAGACTATTAGTCGGGAATTACGAGAAACTAAGTCTTTTCTTAGACAGATTCTTCAATTCATGCCCGGTATGTATGAAATTTCGGGAACCTTAAGGACTAGGTGACAGGATAGCCTAGACTCAATGCAACCATGTCTACGGAGCTATCGTATGTGCGGCAGAAAGACACCTGAACATGCATGACGCAAGCTGCCAAGGGTGATGAATTCTTTGCCTAGGATTGGTGGATGCTCGAAACACTTGAAGAGAGACGAACGGTTGTACGGCATGCAACATGTACCCCTGCATTTTATGTGCCTTAATATGGGAGGACTGCCGCGTTCAGGAGGCAGGTCCACAAACTGACACAAGTGTGCATACCCACGTCCTTCCCAAGTGCCGGGCGACAACCACAAGTATCCATGAGAAGCAATTTCCAGGAGTCAAATTTAGGTTTACCTTCACGGGATGGCACGCCGCCTCTCCGATCATGAAATTTCAGTCGCCACACGGCAACACCGCCATGGGCCCCAGCAAACAGTGTCGGCAATCCTAAAATTGCCGTCTTTGAAAGGATCCAGTTGCAAAGCGCCGCATTAGACCAGATTAGGTTTCAATGATCAGCTTCGTCTCTGTTGATCCTCACTCCTCTCTGTTGATCCTCACGATTGAACGGAGACTCGAGGTGCCGGGCTCTGATGCCGGTCTATAGAGCCATGCCGCGCGTACCTCGTCGGCATATAGTCTAGCTCTTGCACGCGTACGACAAACCACGAGGTGCTGAGCCTCTTGACGACGATGGTGTGCGCAGGAGATAAAGGCGTGCAGCGCACACATTCAGCCCAACATGAAAAGGCTAACCCTCATTCGTCCCATCAAGTTGTCACCTGCAAACTGCCGTGCTATTTTTGTATGCAGTCCGGGGTATGCCGCCTTGGGTATCCGGCCGGGTATTACCTTGAGGCTGTAGGGAAACGTTCCATGGTCCTGTTCTAGACTGACCCGTTGAGGAGAGGCTCGAACGGGTCAAGCTTCGCCCAGTGGGTACCTGCCAAGCATTTTCACCTCCCGCTACTGGTAGGACCTAAACGCGTAGAGATCTGCAAGGGATGCTTGCGCGTTGTGCTTGCGACGAGTCAGCCACCTAGGCGTCATCCCTATCATGGGTCCGCTATCAAGGCCCTGTGGACCAGAGAACTCAAGTTTATTCTACCCGATCGACAGGTCGGCTGGTCGGAGATCACTGTTGTCGGAAAGTGGGAGGCATGAAAATAGCAGCTAGCTGGCCATGTCATACTGCGAGGCTGAATAACATTGTCAGTGGCATGTTGTCAGCTAGATATATGACTTCAGTAGACGCCTTGCAGCACTACCGCTTTCGCTTCGCATCATCACCATCGCCTCGTTATCCCATCTCATTCTCTACCCCGATCCTTTCCTAATTGCCTCGAATCCTCCTCACACTCTCTACCTGACGCTCGTTACAGCCCAATCATTTGAGAACACCACATTTACTCCATATCCTGGTTTTCATTTTCACCCCCGCAATGTCGAAGATCATCACGGCCATCGCCGCTCTGTCGGCCGCGATCGTCGGCGTGACGGCTCGCCCAGGGTTCCTGCAAACTCGCGATACCACTAGCAATTTCAGTCTCTTTGCCTACGGATCTGATTCAGACAGCGCCATCGGTGGCTACCCTATCTTCTATAACGAGGGTAAAGTTTACTGTTACTTTAGAGAAACCATCAAGACACAGGGCTGACACGAGATCTCCAGGTTTTGCCTACATCGCCAACCCAGCGAAGGTGAACTACACCGATAAATATGTTCTCTTCAGTATGTCTCCTTGAAAATCAATCGAATTTAACCACGTGCAGCGCTGATACTGCCTAACAGCCAAGGGCACCGAGGACACGACCGAGTGGGTGGCCAGCCCGCTGACAACCAGCAACACCACCTGGACCGAGTCTCTGTTCTACGTTCCTTCTCCTTACGGCCCCACTGGTTTCTACAAGTCTGGCCTCAGCAACGTGACCGAGTCCAGCATAATCACCTCCGGCTTCACATTCTACGGAACAACCGCTATGCTCAAGATCGACGGTTCGCTCTACACCGAGTGGTATGCCGTGGAAACCAGCGTCGATGGCCTGTGGAGCGTCGGCTGGAACGCTACCGGTGCTGGCGTGACAGATGCCGAACTCATCACAGTCAGGAGGGTCAACCCGCCCAACGTCGAGTACCCCGACGAGTAAGGAGTGTGCGCTCATCTGAGGGGGCGAACCAGGGGAAGAGACAGGGGAGTTGTTCTGAGAGCTTCCAAGCTCGAAGATGATTTCCAGAAGGCGGCAGATTTCATTGGTCATGTGGATTCGTCAGCGATGGTGGCTTGCTTACAACATATTTTGGCATTCATGTAGAACAATTTGTGTCGGGATCGACCCCGGTGGATATACAACATGAATTACAACGAATCAAAGATTGGGACAAAGATCTTCGCATTCACACCCGCTGAAAATTGCAAGCCATGTGGAGTGTGCATGCAAGTAATTACCCGATGCAGGAACGACTGAAAAGATCACAATACATTCGTGGTTGCTAGCTTTGGTCCAGACTTCAGGAGATTCTATAGATGTGGAGCGAGGTGCAGATCTAAGATTGAAACTTGAATCCATGCGTTTTGTTCCAATCCAGATACACGTAGGCGGCGCCCTCAAAATTCGTCCGAAGTCGCCCTGTCAAGCGGAACCTACCCCCAGACAAGCGCAAGCATGGCACCCTTATGCAGATCTCTCAGCTCTCAGGGGTGAGTACAGCCGCCGTATGCCGCACACAACAATGTGCATGAAGCCCATGCCGCAGGTGACCAAGATGCGCAGGAGTGCATTTGAGCTTGCGTCTGTTGGGCTCGTATGCTTTTATCCACGTAAGCCGCGTCGCAATTGAGTCCACCCTGTATAGAGTTCGGAAAAGGTCATTTTTCCGAAACAAACAAGCCTGCCTATCAGGGCACAGACATTTCGACGACCATGCCTAAGACTTGCTAGGAATCCCGTCAATCGAGTGGATAAAAGCTGTCTCTGCGAGGGACATGCACATCTCCTGATCACTCGTTCACGAACTTTTATTTTTGGCCTCTGTTTATCTCTTCGTGATCTGAGTGCTTGCACGCGGCAGTCCGCCGCGCGGCCACCACCCGCAGTAAACGAGTGCTGCATAGACAACATGACGTCATATCGTGTGTTCTAACGAGCTGAGCAGAACTCTTTTCGGCCTGGATGGATTTGTGCTGGAAGTGAAGCCCGTAGAGGAGTGTATGCTCCTGCAGATATTCGCGTCCTGCTGGCTGTGTAACTTGAGGAGGGGGTTTGCGGTCCACGCAGCTCTAGCTGCTCACCCGGGAGGGAGCCAGGCTGATCATGAGGCTTGCTGATTTTGTATTCCCAGTAGGGGACCAAAACTCCTGCGCATCGAACCATGCTACAATTTGATCAACCCCGATGAGGATCCTCTGGCTTTGTGCGATGATTCCTCCTGATCATAATTGCAATGCTTCGGCATTGCTTGCAAGGCGTGCCAAGTCTAATGCGTCGTGAGGAAATACTCGATTTCCTTTGCAAGCATTGTCCCAAACACTGTGTCGTGCAGTCTTTTGCTAAATCGTATTTGCCACAAATTACCCCATTTACAACTGCGTAGTCTTCAATTCCTCGCAAGGTATTGGGAACGAGCCAGAATCTTTGGCATCGCTCGCGCCGAAGCTGCTGCAGAGGCAGAGCGACTATCAGTGTCTTTCTTTCTATAAGTCATCTTGTCGTCTGAAGCCACGACTCGACTTCATTCTGACGGCCGTTATATGAGAACTCGGTGCACTGTGTCCTGTCTTGAGGGAGCACGAGAATGTCTCATGTCCACATTGTGGGAAGCCTCGTTGCGTTTGACTTATTCTTTCTCGCTTTAGAAGAACTTCAAAGGATTTGTGTAGTCCATTCTCGTAATTGTGTCCAGCATCAAAGTTCTGAAATTAATTGCTTTCTCGCAGAGCCTAGTGATGTCAGATCGGAACGATGAGCCCATAAGTGTTGAGGCCTCTGTGAAGACTTCATACCTTTGATAGTTGATCTCCTGCAAGCCCAAGAAGTCATTTGTCAGTCGCAAATACGATGCCTATTCCATGTCGTTGGTTGTGGGCTTGCCGCTGCAACGACAATCAACTGGTACCCAGGTCCATCTGACAATATCCTAGCCCAATTTGCGCCATCGCCTTAGCGTTAGAACTTGGGCCGATACAATCCGCTTATGAATTCTCGTGTGGCGTCCCGTAAACAGCTGAAAAGTGCACTCGCCACTGTCACTGGCGCTGGAAGAGCGGATGAGGAACCTCGCGGAGAGGCAATATAGGACGGTCCAAGATTTGGTGTGCTTGGGTAGATTACAAGTCAAGTAAGTGTAAGACAAACCAGGGAAGGTGATTGAGTAACTAGAACGGACTAATCAGTGTAAGACATCACTTCACAGTACCAAGGCTGTGACCCGCACTTGGCTTTGTCTTGGTTCTCTTGGCCCTGCTATGAATTGATAGCACGAATCCTGGAAATACAACTTCACGCTATTGTCGCCTGCCGCTTTGGGCATCGTTTGCTACCTTCTCCTGCTCATCGCGCAATCGACTATCAGCCATGCGTGGAGAATGGTAAGCAAAATCATCACTGCCAAGGTGCTTTTTGTGCCTGGAGGATCTGTGGAAATGAGGGGTTGATTGACTGTGCAGCGCCCTTGCATCTGGATCATCTGGATACCAGCGCTCAGTATAAGAAGCATGCTGGCTAGAGTGAAGATATATGTTCAATGTGCCATCAAGGTTCTTCTTCCTGCATAAATCCTCTCGCTTCCATTCCAGCAGGAGCATCGAATATGAACCGGTACCTGACAGCTGTTGTGCCTCTGGCGGCGCTCGCCGTTCTTGGCGAGGCCTCGACTCCTGCGGGCCATGTTCATGCTGTGCAACCTGTGTTCTCGCATCTGCAACGCCGTGGGCCATCTGCATTCGCACCTGATTGGAAACCAGACGTCGAGAACTGGGGTCCACTGCCGGACGTGATCGACGCAGCCTCATCACTGCAGGGTAGCACCGACCCAGCAACAAGGACGCCTGTAACGTCGGTAAGCGGATCAGCGCGATGCCTTTTGATATATCTTGTAGACCGCATCACAATCTAACGATATTTCTTCTCAAGGACGCACTTCAGAATGATATCACGTCCCAAGCCCTGCTTGACCACGCTGAGGACCTGCAAGCTATAGCCTACCAGACTACCGGCCGAAACCGCGTGTTCGGCAGTCCAGGTCACAATTTCACTGCTTTGTACCTCTACCAGCTTATTTCAGAGCTCGAGGATTACTACGATGTCGAGTACCAGCCCTTTATTGAGACTTATTCAGGCGGAAGCGCCTCCTTGTTGGTCAATGGACAGTCACAGAACGCCAGCCTGATGACTTATGCCCCCAACGGTCAAGTAGAAGCTGCGTTTGTCGCTGTTTCAAATCTTGGTTGTAATGCTGTACGTCTTCCACTGCCGATGGAGAGATTGAAATATGTCATCTTGGTCATCAGGCTAACAATTAACGTGATCACAGACCGATTTCCCAAGCGAAGTTGCCGGGGCTATCGCTCTGATTTCCCGCGGGACATGTGACTTTGGTCTGAAGGCTGCATTGGCAGGAGCCGCGGGTGCTGCTGGAGCAGTGATTTACAACAACGTCGCCGGCACGCTGAGCGGCACCCTTGGCGCACCCAGCCGTCCTGAGGGGCCATATCCTCCAACAGCTGCTATTTCCCAAGCCGCTGGCCAGGCTCTTGTGGCGCTTCTCGCTGAAGGCGAAGTCATCGGCGACCTCAATGTGAACTCCATCATCGAAGACCGTGTAACGTGAGTTACCCCCACAGTCCATGTTATCAAGCAAACAACTAAATAAAGGCCATCAGTATGAATGTCATCGCCCAGACCAAGTCTGGTGACCCCAACAATGTTATATTCGTCGGTGCACACGCAGACTCCGTTGAAGCTGGCCCAGGTAATTGTGTCTTACTTGTGCCACTTGTGTTTATTCAAGCTTAAATGAACTTTCATGTTAACAAACATACAGGAATTAACGACGATGGATCGGGAACCGTTGGTATCCTTGAAGTCGCTCTGCAACTGGCCAAGTACGAAGTCACCAATGCAGTGCGCTTCGCGTGGTGGTCCGCCGAGGAGTTCGGCCTGCTGGGTTCTGAGTACTATGTCAACCAGTCAACGCCCGAGGACCTGGACAAGATCCGACTATATCTCAACTTTGACATGATTGCCTCGCCAAACTACAAGCTTTCCATCTACGACGGCGACGGGTCCGCCTTCAACCTCAGCGGCCCGTCCGGCTCAGCTGAGGCAGAGGCCCTGTTCGAGAACTATTTCGAGAGCAAGGGTCTTCCCTCCCAACCGACTGAATTCAATGGCCGTTCTGACTACGGGCCGTTCCTGGCGGTCGGCGTCGCGGCTGGCGGTTTGTTCACTGGTGCGGAGCAGATCAAAACAGAGGCGGAGGCTGAGCTGTACGGCGGCACGGCCGGCGTTGCCTTCGACGAGAACTACCACAAGGTTGGAGACACTGTGGATAATCTTAACTTGGAGGCGTTCCTGATCAACAGTCGTGCGATTGCCCACTCAGTTGCGACCTACGCCACCTCTTTCGATTCTCTACCGCCGCGTACAGCTAGGGTCGTCCGTCGTGATGCTTACAGCGCCAAGGCTAAGCCATCAGGATGCCACCACGAACATGAAGAGCCGGCGACTTTGTAGATTAGAAAGGAAACAGAGTTTGACGGGAAGAAAAATTATATACTACGGTTATGAATAATTAATATTAAAATCTTTCGTTCTGTGGTCCTTTTTGTTTGGCACTCGTCGAATATAAAAACCGGAAGAATGCATGGTCATTTTTAGGTAAGTGCCGCCTAATCGTAGGACTTGTTGAGATCACGCGGAGTTATGACTGCCGAGAAAAAGGCTCGTCCGCCTATTGCTTAAACACTAATGGTTTTAGATCCCAGTGAAGTGATCATTGCCGTAGGCAACATGGGAGCATAGCCTTGAAATGTCTCAGAAATAACGCAGCTCTAATTTCCCTAACATTCCACTCGGTAATCATAAGTACTCGAAACAAATTATTCCTTGAACATCATGGTCCTGCATGCATATTTGGTCGTGAAGCCTTCTAGAGTTCTGATTTGCACCCAAAGATAATACTCGACGCGTTGAATGCCAATCTTCGCCGTGACGATATGAGTTGTGTTAAGAAGTAAGGGTCATTTGTGTATCCCTTATTTTGAAGGCCAGCGAAACCTTGCCTGTCACGATCCCCATAGTGTTGAGTCTTCTAAGATGATGAAAAGCCGCAAGCTTCTGACGCATCTCCTGTTTTCCGATGTTTAATTGCTCAAGAATCTCCGTCACGACGGCGTAAAGTATTTCTTCACTTCCGTCCTCAATCTTGACCGCGATACCAATAGCCCCATCCACACCAAGCTGCTTGATGTACTCAGACGTTCGAATTCCAACACCGTAGCAGCCATCCGCACCAAGCTTGCCGATAAGAGATCTCCCAAAGGTCTCCATGAGTAAGGTACAGAAGCGGCCTTCACCACCAACCATCTCTGGATAGCTAGCCATGGCGTTAAAGATACGAGCCATATGCCGTGTTCTCTCAGGAGCAGATGATTTTTCGCTTGCGACAGTGTCAGCAGCTCCCGCAAATTTGGCGTACATGAGTCCCATTGAGCACAGAGGCAACCCAGGAGCGGGGAGGTTACAGCCATCAATGCCCCATTTGACGTCTTCTTCAGACAGACCGCTGAGATCCTCCACGACCTTCTTTACTTTCACCTGGATGGGATGTTCAGGGAGGTGGTAGTCGGCAAACCCTGCACCCAGCGCAAGTCCACCGCCCAGCATGGCCGCATGCTTCCCGGAGCAGTTGTTGTAGACCCCGGTGGGCTCGAAGTCAGCCTGTATCCAGGAGCGATTAATATTTGGGGAGATCGAAGGATGACCACCGCATTGGAGGTCAGACTCAGAAGCTCCGACTTTAGCTAGCATAGATCTGGCCCTTTGGATGTGCCTGTCTTCGCTGCTGTGAGAAGCGCACATCAAGCTCAGATCAGCCTCATCAAACCCGAATCGTGCGAAGTCAGGTGTTTCCAGGGCGGCTAGAGCTTGAGCTGGCTTGGCTGCAGATCGGGCCAACGTCAACCGCGACGGGTTACCGACGGCGTACAGAAGCTTTCCGTCTGCATCGACCACTGCGGCGTGAACACCATGTCTGTTTTCGACAATGCCGCCTCGGTCAGTTACGACAAAGTCTTCCACCTGCGTGGCTCTCGTCATCCTTGTCAATGTATATATATTCTTAAGTAGAAATATCCTTGACAGAACACGATGCAGGAAATACCATGGCCGTAAGAAATGGTGGAGTGGGTGAGGGTTTGATGTCTCAACTCGATGATTGTTAACTGTTGACTGTACGGAATTAAGGTATCTCAATTAAGATGGACTGAAAATCCAGTCCTGAGAAAACTTCTCGAAAAGCCATGGTATGTCAGTATGGGACCTGAATCCAATAGAATGGAGGGTCGCTACGGCGGCCAGGGTCAAATGTTATCACTGTAGGCTCGCTCGGACCCTACTTAGTTCGGAGTCATCGATACGCAGTGGGGCTGTGGGGTCCATTGTACGGGGCTCTTTGGACGCAATCGCGCACAGCGCCGATTGGCAACAGGGTTCCATGGTGGCTTGCATAGATTTACAACATCCTCGTAGTCTTTTCAATTGCATGTGCAGACAGTAAGATCTGATAAGCTTCGCATCAGTAATGGGACGGGACACCGGAAAAATAAAATTGGGTCCTCTTGTGTAAGACACAAAGCTGAAGACGGGCCCCACGTGTGAAAGCAATCGAGAGACTTGAATTTGGAACAGCCAAACAATCCAGGATTGCGGTTTGGTCGTAACGATTGTCCAGCGAGGTAATCAAATTTCATATCAAGATCAAGGCATAACAGGTAGCCGTCTTGTGAGTTGAACAAAATCTTTACAGCCACAACATTGACTCGGTCTAGGGATATTCCCAAGCACAAAAAAGTGTGGACCCAGAAAAAAAACATGCAACACCGGGCATTCGCTGGTCGTCACCGACCCAACTACTACTCCGGCGGTTAGCAGCTTAATTAGGGGAGAGCGGACGGGATCCCATGTTCTCTACTACCTGTGGTCGCATGTGCTGAATGTTAAGGAGCTGCAGTTTATATTGCGGTTTCTTTTTGCGTGAGATGGTGGCATCTACCTACAGCTCACCCTAATCAAGATGTGTTTTCACCACCAAATAACTCAATCCCGAATCTTTTATATCTAAACTCCGTACGTCAACAACGCGTGGTCAATTTCATGGGTAGCTTCATTTGCGAGTGCACTCGGGACTCAAGTCCAAAAAGAGACATCATCAATTATCCATGAAAAAAGGATTCGAGCCAGGGCTCGTACGAGCTGTCCACCATTCAGAGGCACAAGGTCTGGGAAAGACAAGGTCGATTCGCTGATGCTGCTGGCATAAATTTGCGTAAAATATGGTGTATTACGAGCATTCGTTCGGACGTCTTCTCATTCGCAAGTCTCGCGCCCTTGCTTGTGGTAGACATGATAGTCATGCCCGCACCATAAGACCCACATGAGGACCACAACTGAGAGCGGACAAAGCCAAGTTTTCCCAGTCAACGTCTCGGTCCATAACTTTATCAAAGAGTCGTCGAAGGTGGCTGTTGGTCTGTCCACACAATCCCACCCACATCAAAACTCGGATCATGCCCGGTCGGAAAGTCACTTCCGACGTTGGCCCACAACGCCGCCTCGCCATCCATGACGCTCATTGGATCCCAGACGTACGGCACGGGGCTTTCGAAGTTGACGTCCGGGGAAGACACGGTGCCGGTGGCATCGCCTTGCTGGGTAATTGGTTGCGCCTGCAATTGCGATTGAATATGGGCCTGGTGATAGCCTTGGTACCAGCTTTGCGGTTGTTCCACATATTGGCCGTGGTCCTGAGCATGAAGAGCAGGATTCATTGTATAGGAATCCATGAAATTCAAACCTGGCTCCGCAGATGGCTGTCCTGAGAAGTTAATTTCTTGGTTGATGGGCCCTGATGGCTCTTGGCCAGCTGCGTTCTGACGATGCCATATACTCAGTGTCCGCTGAAACTTGATTCGCGCTTCGCCAGCTAAGGCCCATGGTACACTCAGTTCCTGAAGGTATGAATCCAACGCCGGCAGAGCAGTGTCCTTGATTTGCAATGGGGGCTCATTTGTGTTTTTGTGTTGATGCCGTAAGTTCACGAGAACCGCGTTGGTCGCGACGATGGCGCCGTATACCAGTAGAATTGGTGCGCTTCCAAGGGTGTGCTGGGCTCTGAATCGATGTAGAATGTCCACGAGGCTCTCGGATGACAGTTCGCAGATCCTAGCTGATTCTGCCAAGTGGCTCAACCGAATGGCAGGAGACTCATTTTTTCTTTCATGACTTTGTTTCGTGTCTGCTGTACCCATCTCGCGCTCTATGGTTGAGGTGAGAAAAGGGAGGTTGAGGCAGATCCGAGTGCTGTGATATAATGTGCTGTTGTGAACCAAACTATCAGTAAGTGATAACGTGAGCGGAGTCGATGTTTTTCATACTGTAGTACGGTGACGTCCGGCAGCAAGTTGTCTTTTGCAGTCAGCCATTTCTTCCACCTCATCTCATTTGGCAACGCCTCGTGCCAAGCAACAAGTCTGGCATTAAGCTTGTTGAGCGAGATTTTGGTCCACCGTCTGGTCTTCGAACCTTCTTTTCGCCTCGGAGCAAATGTCGTGGACAGGATATCGTGGATGATGCGGCCTAGTTCGACTTGTTGGTGGAACAGTGATGAAAGACTTGGGCCGGCCGGTCTGGCTGTCTCCAAGAACCCAAGGTCGTGGGAGAGCAGCCAATTTTCCCAGATACTAGGATCGTGGCTACATGTTCTGTGTTAGATATGGCATACCAAGACTGCGAGGGTAGAGGAACCAACGGCAAAGGTTCGCTGATATCAACGTCTGCGTCATCATCGTGCATAAACGTTGGGCGGCCCAGGAGCATACTGAACACTCTAGATGACACCGTCAGATAATACTATTTGAAATTTGGTTGAATTTTGCTTACTTATCGGCAAGAAATGAACCCCAGTACAGTTTTCGCCAAAGTTCATTGTTAAAGTAGAAGGGTGGTGTGCTGGTTGGTTTCTGTGCAAAATCCCAGTGAGAATGATCCCGTTGGAAACCCAGTTCCTGTCCCATCCGGAACGCAAGGCCTATCATAAAACATATCAGTACCTCACACAAAGACAGCTGACATCGCGGATACCGTACCGGACAGCAGCCAGCCCTTAGACATGTTTCCTCTTCCAACATGATAGGAGGCCAAAACAAGTAAAGCTTGGACTACGGTGATGCTAGGTGCATCTAACCTGTCGACTTGCAGTAACGTCTCTGAATACTCTGCAAATGAGGCCGACTTTGCACGTGTCTCTGGATTCGGCGACATCGGTGCGCCCATCGCACAGCAAGCGTAGATAAGGGGAGTGAAGCCGGGCTCCATCCCGGTAGCGTCTTTTTCATCAAGCTTCTGCACAAAGCACTCGCGGTCAATAAACATGAAAGAAGGATATTGCCATCTGAAAAATAGGCCGATGCAGAGTCGAATGGTTGGACCGTGCAAGGTTCCGGCACCGCTGTTGGATGGTGTCGAGACGGCTGAAGAGAGCCTGGGACTTGGCGGCTCGATGAGGCTGCTGTGGAAGATGCTCGTTGGGCCGTGATACGCCACCGAACCTTATAATAACCTGAATTAGGTCATTACTCAAACTAGAGAGGGTATATGGATTGGTGCGGTACCATCATCGGTCTCATGCAGTGCAGCCTTGGACATGGCATCGCTCAGCGCGATGTCATCCACATCCAGATCTGCAGCAGCTTCGGGCACAAAAGGCTGCGTGCGGTCATGGGGTGATATACCCTCTAGTATCTCATCGCGCTCCTCACCCGAAGTTCTTTTGAGTCTTGCGAGGACGCCTTCAAGGGTTGCAACACGTGATTCGAGAGCACCTATGTACTCCCGAGACACCGGCGGCCGCTTGAAGTCATCCTCTCGAAACTCGCACCGTACGTTGGCTGAAGCGCAACTAGCGCAGGGGTATGTCCTTGTGCATTTTATCTGTGTGAAAATCCGTCTTTAGTCGGTGTGTCCTAACTTCAAGGAGCAAAATTGCTAGAAAGTCGCACCTTTCGCTTCTGACATCGCTTGCATCTTGTCTCAATCAGTCATGGGATGGGTACATGTCAGGGGCGACTGATTGGATCGAGACTCACGATATACGCCGTGCATGGGTCACTCGGGTGCTCTCCATCTGAGTGTTGTCACCAATAACCGCTGATGTTTTCTCGGTGTTGCAACGTGTCGTTGGCAATTCAGGCCACCAATATGCTTGTTTCTACAGGAGCAGTACAACTACGCAGATATAAAAGGGTAGAACAGAGGTTCTGAGAATGTGAGTCTATGCAAGCCGACAATATGAAATGACCCATGATAGTTGACCAGCAGGTGCCATGATTAATTCCACGAGACGATTATCGTGGAGTCAACCTTGGATGTTGGGATTCAGGGGCGCATGTGTCTGGGCCCACCGTCAAGGCAGCCCTATGAACAGTTCTCCATACCGATGAGAGGGCCAATGACCTCGGGACCGAGACCAGCAGAATACTGAGCAGGTCGTAGGGCCAAGACGCCGGTGACAGCGGAGGGAATTTATCCTGGGCGTGCTCTGGTCGTGCTTTCATAGGCCCACTTGTCTGACCGTTGAGATTGGTTCAATGTAGAGGCATAGGAGCGAGAACCATCGCCTCGAGAACCATGCAAATGACCCAGCCCCCATTGAGATTCCAAATCCGAGGGAAAAGGGCACCATGCAGACGATAGAGTCACAGCCCCACCGGGCAGTACCCATCTGGTCTGGCGGTGCTCGGATACTGTCCCCCAGAGCAACACCAGAAATGGCAGGATCAGCGCAGCAACAATTGATTCATCACCTTCTTTGAAATGGAAGTGTGGCTGCGGGTATAGTTGCCTGTTGGTCTGTCGTCAACGCGCGGTCGAAGTGGAAGGGGGAGAATCCTTCAATGCTCCCTTAGAGTCATCACTTCCAGGAGTGCATCCTCTACGCCAAGAATTAGCATGGTAGCATGTCGTATCAACGAAGACCGAAACTCAAATCCCGATGAATAGAAGGCGACCTGACTGATGCTAGCCCCCTGAGGTGAACCAGACAACATCGTCTTCGGATGGCCGGATCATCCACGGACCATGAGGATCAGTAGCCCACGGCAAATCCTCCTGGTGCCTGGTCGTGTGAGCGGGTCCATTGCGAGCGATGGGGTCCAAAGACACTCAGCAAAAATAACCTGCAACTTGTATGGTCATGTCGCCAACGAGGATGGGTACGACATCTGCACGAGCCTGCTCGCACATGGAGGCTCAAACAGCTGTGCCGCTGTTCTGCTTGAGCGTTCGCGGGTAGAGGTGATGATCGCCTCAGGAGGCCCACCCCCACTTCGCACGTTGCGTCCACTGCCGACAGACGAGACAGCCGAGCTAGGGTCTGGAGAAAGCCAATGTACAATGTATCTAGCTGCTTGTCTCTTATCTTATCTCCGCCCGTCAAATCCGTGGGTGGCAACCGAAGCTTCAGATCGTCATCGACACTGACCAATTCCACCAAGGCGTCGAGCTTCTCAAGGAGCAACCCATTGCTGCTATGCCTCGCTCGTATGAGGCCTCTCCAACCTTCATGACAACATGGCTCTTTCTTGTCGCGTGCCTGGGCGCTACTTGAAAGGCCTCCACCACCGGCCAGTTCCTCAATTACTGCCAGCCATCAGCAACGCCACCTTGCGCGCATACTCTGAGGGGGCCGGAGCGCCCAAAGCCGACTCCAACGCCCCAGAGGCATCGAATAACAACAAGCCTGACTCGAATGCATCCAAACCAGAACCCGGGCCCATGGCCCGTAGGCTGGAGGAGGCGACAGAAGAAGCCCTTCTAATGGGCGGACGAGCCGGCCGACGCGCGATCGAAGACGCCGGGTTCAACGAGGAGCTGAAGCAACGCCTGCTAGACAAGGTCGCCGACGCCAAGTTCCGCGAAGAACATGCCGTATCACTTCGAGATGCCGGGCTCACGGGCAACGTGCCAGAGGCAGCAGGCCGCGGAACTAGAGACCTCGCATCAGCGCAGCCGTGGACAGGCACAGAGACCGAGTCCGACGCAGTGCTGCGCATGCTCAACGATGCGCACAAACCTCTGAAGCCCGGACTGAGGGGGAAACCGAAAACCCCTTCCCCGTCTGGAACACCGGTGGACATGCGGCTCAAGAAGCAGACCGCCGTCAGTACTGGCAGGAAGATGGCAAATGCAAGAGAGGCTGCTTCTGTATACGCTGGGATGGGCTTCAAAGACAAGGAGAAGGGTCTGAGCGATAAAGAGAAGGAGGCCATGAAGAAAGAGCTCCGCGAGCGTTTCTCGCCGGCGGCCCGGGCGATCCCAAACACCATCTCTGGCCTTGCAGCTCTAGCAAACGAGAGGATTGAGGATGCGATCGCTAGAGGGCAATTCAAACACATACCACGCGGGAAAGGGGTCGAGCGCGATGCAAGAGCCGACAACCCATTCATAGACACAACGGAATACATCATGAACAAGATGATAAAGAAACAAGAGATCGTTCCCCCGTGGATAGAGAAACAGCAAGAGCTGGTCAAGGCCGCCACGGTCTTCAGGGCGCGGCTGCGCAATGACTGGCGGCGGCACGCTGCCAGGATGATCGCGAGCCGTGGGGGCACTTTAGAGCAGCAGATGCGCACTGCAGAAGAGTATGCTCGGGCTGAGGAAGTGCACAACCCACGGCGGCGGAACTCCGACCAGGTGGCCGTGCCTACGAATTCGACGGACGATGTGGTAATGGTAGCCATGCGGCAAGAGGCGCTGCCCGTGTCTACGGCCGAGGTTCCTGCTCCAGCACCAGCAGCAACATCGGAGCCCGAGATAACTCTGACAAAACCTTTTCGCGATGCAGATTGGGAAGCGGCTGAGCGGTCGTACATGGAGCTAGCCATCAACAACATGAACACTCTGACGCGGGCCTACAATCTGATGGCCCCTGAGCTGGCCAAGAAGCCATATTTCTCCCTGGAACGGGAGCTCAAAGCCTGCTTTGCCGATGTTGCGCCGCAAGTCGCCAACGAGATTAAGGATCGTGCTCGGCGGCCCTCGAAATCGGGTCAGGGACAGGTCGGGCCCCAAGCTGGTAGCTTGCTGGATCGATTTGTCATGGAAGGTAAATCCAGCAAGGTGTACGACTCCAGAGCCCCTCATTATGGCTTCAAAGAATTCTGGAAAGACCTCTGGCAGCGATCACCTTGATATCGTACGAACAGCAATGAAAATCTCAATTGAAATGTCGCTGGGTAGCCTCTATCTAGCCATGTATAGGTGATATCTATCTATAATGTTGTAGACCTCATTCAAGCGACAAAACCTTGCGCATCACCTTCTCCAACTTCACCACAGCATCCGGGATTATCTCACGAGAGCGCCAGGCAACGAAGCGATCTGGGCGAACCAGGACACAGCCGTCCTCCTCAACCTGCCTCCTTCTTGCCCAGTCAAAGTACACATCCTCATAGTCCTGCTTCCAGCCAATCGAGTACGCCTTGATCTCCACTCCGACTGCCTTGCTGACCTTCTCAGCCGCAACCTTCCACTCCTGTCCGCCGGGGCCCGTAAGCAGGCAGAAGCGCCCGTGTCCAGCAAGATCGATGGTCGAGAACTTCTTCACAGGCACGCGCTCGCTCAGCCACACGTGCGGCAGCCGCCTGCCCGGGTACGTGGAGATCTGCAGCTGCTTGACAGGGTCGTCGGGCAGCGGCGGGGCGGGGCCCTCCTCGTCGTCCTGGTACACGGCGCCCGAGAAGTAGCGCTGGTTCATCTCGATGCCCAGCCCGTGGAACTCGCTCGCCGTGTTCTCGATGCCCTTCTGGAACTCCTGCCGGCGCCTGCGGCCCGCCGGCCCGGGGTCGTCGAACTCGGCCAGCACCTTCGCGCGCACCTCCTTGTCCGGGTCCATCATCCCCATCGCCTGGATCCAGCCCGTGTGGTCCCGCAGGCCCTGGTTCGCCCGCGTGATCACGTCCTGCCCTACCGGCTGCCGCTCGGTGCTGAATGAGTCCAGGAGCTTGGGACCTGCCTTGCCTGACATGACGTAGGAGATCTTCCAGGCCAGGTTGAAGGCGTCCTGGATGCAGGTGTTGGAGCCGAGGCCGTTGAATGGCGGGTGCCTGTGTGTGGCGTCGCCGAAGCAGAACCTGTGAGATCGTAGTCAGCATTTTATGATATGCCTTCTCTGGTAGCAAAAGGCACTTACACGTTGCCGTCGGAGTAGTACTCGGCCACAATCTCATTGATCCACCACTTGCTCACGTCCTTGATGCGCACCTTTACTGAATCGTCTCCAATGATCTCCTTCACCCGTGATATGCACTCTTCATCCGTAGGACTGAACTGGTCAACCGAAACATCTGCGCCTGGTACAGGCAGGCATATGAACATCCACTCCTTCCATGGGCGGACCATCCTCACGATCACCGCCCAACCCCAAGGTGGATAGTCCTTCTCAGGCTGGAACACCCAGTGCAGGTTCCCTGACCGATTCGGGATCAGGTGCGATAGGTCAGCCTCGATGAAGATGTTCAGCGCCAGGCCTTGACCGGGCTTCTTGATGAGCGGGATGCCCAGCTCCCTGACGACCTGGCTGCGGGCGCCGTCACACCCAAACAAGAACCGCGACTGGATCTTGTACGTCTTGCCGAGCATGTCGTCCCTCACTTCAGAGACGATGACGTCGGGCTTGGGCCGCGTAAACGTGACCAGCCGCGTGTTGAAGCGCATCGTCCAGCCCGAGTGCACGGCCCGCCGAGTCAGGATGGGCTCGAGCTCCGTCTGTGGCAGGTCGACGTGCGCGCAGGGCGACGCCGCGTAGTAGTCGCCATGCCGCGCCGGATCGTTGCCCCAGCTGTGGATGCGCGCGAACTCGGCGCCCGCCATGCTGTGGCACCACCGCGTGTGCTCCATGCTGTCGCCGCCCGTGCTGGCGTCCACGCACGCGTCCTCCAGCCCGATGTCGCGCAGGCACTCCAGCCCCGCCATGTTGGTGATGTGCGCCCGCGGCGTGTCTGCGTTGCCTGGGGCCGCTGCGATCATGATGCCCTTGAGCCCGTGGGAGCCCAGGAAGCACGCCAGCGCGGCGCCGGCTGGCCCCGCGCCGACGATGAGGAGGTCCGTCTTGACGATGTCTTCTTCGCTCATCGTGTCTGCTTGTCCGAATTTGAATTTGCGCCTCTAATGAGTGAGATGACGGGCTCTAATTTATGGTATCAATTTTGAAATGGACCCTTGATTGGCATCAAGGGGTATGACTGGGATGTCGAAGTGGTCACTTATTGGGTGCGTCTCGTGGCTCTTTATGCACTAAGGAAACGTCCATTACCAAATGATTATACTGAGCTTATTTAGAATCTAGCCGGGATGTGTGCAGCTACGATGAGTTTGGTGTGGATCATATCTGCGCTTAGTTCCCTTCGCCGAGCAGGGCGATGTCATGCATGCAGGTGCCGCGGTCTGCTCCCGAACTTCAACGGTCGTGCCAGGTGAGCACTCGGAATAATGCTAGTGGGCAGCCGAACTAGACTTGATGTGTGTCGCAAAATGCTGCTTCATACGCCGTGGATGATGAGGACATTGGCCAACATGACGAAAATCGACTCGATGGGTAAGAGGGGTCGTCTTCTCTTCTGACTGGGCTCAAGGACCAACGGTCAACCAACTTTGCCTGCAGTTGGTTGGTTCCTATCTCTTGTGGGGAACACGAATGAATGATCGCTGCAGACCGCGAAACTTTTACCCGCTGTTCCCCCGGATTTACGATTCGTTCTTGGCCCAACGTCACAATGCCAGCCAGCACTATATGGATTTGCAGCAACCTCGCTACGGATGCGCCCATTCCGACGGATAAAATGACAGGTCCAGAGACGTCTTTTAATCTCAGCTAAAGCCGTAGTGCCAACCATCATCGAGCTGCCCGTGTTGTTGGTTAAATAGTGGCCAAAAATTGGCCTTCTTGGCGGCGCTCAGGCAGTGGAGCAGTCAGCGAGAAGAGGTGCCCAGGTGGGGACCAGCTCGGGATCTAAATCCGTAGGACGGCCCCGACGGCTTTCCGGTACAGATGGGGCGTTTACTCAGGGGCTCAAAGTTCGATCCACATGCCCAGGAAGATGTCCATAGACTTTCTCGAAAAAGATGCAGAGACATGCTCGTATCAGCATGACCGATAGTTTATCAATCTACCAACTTGCATTAGCCGCGTTTCTGTGCCACGCTGTACAGAGTAGACTACATGATTACTCAGACTTGACAGCGCATATTGCCCAGAGATCCGGAACTCCATTCTCGTTGTGATGCTTCTTCATACTCTGCACCAACAAAGTCACATCTGGTCTTTATGATTTTCGTATACTTCTATAAATATTTCAATTTTCTTCACTCACATTGTAAAACCTTTTGCAAATAGTGTATTTTAACTCAGTTTATCCTATTTCCGCCTATCTATACATTGCGACTGCCAATGCCTGATCTAACTAAGGACCGCGCGATGGCCGGTATTCGCCTGGAACCAGCTTAGCCAGCGAAGGGCGACGTCAGGGTTGGCCTTCACATCCATTTCCTGCCCGTTGGTCGCGATCGATGGCTTCGATCCACTCAAGAACAGCGGCCACATCTTGCTGCCGTCCTGGATTGTGTTAATGAAGATAATGTCAGTAACGCTGTCTGAAGCACACACCGTCTGCGGGAGAGCAGCTGGAGCCTAATCGCCTCTCAAAAGAAAAATGAGTTCAAACAGTCCAAGACTCACATATTGATAAGCCTTCCACTTGGTCCCCCTGGCCACGATACACCAGACTTTGTCGCCCCCACGGGCCGTCGGACCCGCCTTGTCGAGATATTCTAAAAGCTGCCCAGAGGCCGCCAGCAGGGTGGAGGAGCTCTCGCTACTCTTGCCCTCGAAGGCCAGCCGGATAATCAACTTCCCTCTGCTCGGGTCTCCGTCGATCTGGCGCACGAGGAGGTCGTTGCGCCTCTTCGACTGCGAGCTCAGGGCCTGGCCCTCGGGCTGGATGACATATGCAGGCGCCTGGGCTATGGTGCCCGGGTAGGCGGTGGCGAGGAGGCCATTCCAGATGCCATTGACCGAGGCCTCATCTTCCCAGTAGCTGTCGGGAAGGGCTTGGATTGCTGCGAAGGGGAGGTGGGCGTCGGCCATGTCGAGGTCTTGTTAGGTGAGAAGGTTGAGACTAGCAGAGGGGAGTAGTTGTTGAGGATTCCAGTGAAGGGCAGGAGTGATACAAGCTAAATATCGCCTGGGGGTTGAATTGGAATTTGAGATGCATCACTGGGAAAAGTCCTCGATTTATATGCGCGTCTAGTCAAGCCTCTTCTGTGAGGGGGGGCCTAAGGCACGCAAGTCACACAAGATGGATTCGCGCCCTGGTGCTGATGAAACAAAATGGTCACAATAGAGGAGGGCTCAAGATTTTGCGCCCCCAAATTTGCCCTCTAGCTGATGGTGCTTCACTCTTCGTAATTGGAAAGCCTATTTCAGCCACGATGTGAATTACATTAGGACGTCATCAAGCCACACATCACCAGCCAGTGCCATTTCTATTATTATTTCGACTTGGCCCCTTGACCAACAGTCGAGCTTATGATCACGTACCTAAGAGCTAGCACATGTTGATGGCACATGTGGTCGCTGACGAGCTTTCTTACTCACCATGCTTACTCTGTGGCCCTTATGTAAGCTTGGATATTCATAGTCTTCCAGCCTCGATAGCCGATAGGGCTCACATAACAGGAAGGAGTGACCTCCAGGGCTTTGGGCTGACTTCTAAATTTATATTGGAAATAAATGTGTCATGGGTGACTTGCGCTCTCAATCTGGTGTTGTAGCTCTTGCTCTTCCAACAAAGGCTGATGCAGATTCTCAATCTCTTCCTCTCTTTTTCCGTATTTGACAGTGTCCCAAATATGCTCTCAATGGGTCAAACTTCATCGATAACATCATATGGATGGCATTTCCAGATGCTTCTTGAACAAATCAAAGAGTGTTGTAGATGAAAATGAGAATTAAAAAACTTTTGTTGTGATACGTTTGTAATATAATTAAGATATTCTCACAGTGAATAATCTTTGCAAGCTATCACAACGAAATTCATGTCAGATCTGATCGTCCAAAGTGACCATGTTATTCTCATTCTAATTGCTCACTAAATGAGGTAACAAGATTGCCTTCCCTGTCCAGTAATGCCAGATCCTCCCGAAGTTGTTGGTATGACAAAACGCGACCTGGGTATCCGAGGATTGCGTCAAAGCACCTTGGCTATCTGGGCGGCACAAAAGACCTGATGCACATGATGTGGATTTCTTTTCTCTCGGAACCTGCACCGTTACCGGATAACAGTGCGGTTCCAGCCAATGATACTGAATCTTTAACACATTTCTTGGAGACATTCTCAAATCAAAGCTCTGGATATTGCTACAGGGTGGCAGCACAGTTCGGATGGGAATAGAAGAGGTCAAGAAGGACAAATAACAATTCGTCGCGCAACATTGTTTACTTTAGACTATTTGACGGCTGAATTGAATGGTAATTACTCATCCTCTTTGAGTCGTTGAATGCGAGGCAACCCTTCCAGCGTTGTTTGAAATCCACTCACTGTGCAACTCGGATAAGTAGGATCTCATTCTTTCTCAGCAGTGCAATGTAAGCTCCGTGATCCTGAATTTCGTGCCTTTCCTTTCGAGCTCTAGATGAATTCGGAGCCTACTTGAAAAGTTCTGAGCCTAAATGCCACGGCCAGGTGCCGAAGCTGCGTTGCCATCCACGCCCATATACAGCTTCACCTCTATGATAAAGATTTGATCGAAGTCCTGTCACTTGTCTTTGGTCGCACTTCAACTTGACACTGATGCAGCAACTCAAATGTGAGCCCAGATTTGGACTGCCTCTTATTGCAGGTATTAGTCGGCACTGAAGCAATTTTGGAATTTTTCGTTGACAAATAGTCAATCGAGACAATTGAAACCTCTACCCTGAAGAGACTTCCAAACATACCAGAATGAAGACTCGGATCCAACACATGTCACGCACGATTCGTCGAGCCTGTGGCCGCGGCTTTGCATATTGATTTCCATCCATCCCTTCGTGAAGACTCGCGCTTGTTCCTGGAGAACAATAAAATGAAGCATCATCCAGATCATTCAACGACTAAAGCAGTGGCCAACTTGAACTTTCTCTCGATGAAGGAGACCACATCAATTTCTCTATTTTATATATGCACGCAAGGGCTCATTCAGGGGCCGTCCGGATCGTAAGTGAGCAGTAGAAGAGCTTGAGCCTGGGGCTCCTCAAACCGGCGCGCCATGATGACGGACGCTTAAGAAATCAACATGACCACAAACCAGGGAGCTCAAAATAATTGTTGTTCTTAGCAATGAACGATATTCAGCCAAGTAGCCTAATGTTGGAAGCAATCATCACGACATCATCCCCGAGATTCCGTTATATCCGAAAAGCGCACTGAAGTGCGAGTATTTTTAGAGACAACCACAAGCATGGATCGCCCCACAAAACTCAAGAGTGGAAAGCTTTCTTTATTGTCTACCAGGGATAAGCTTAAGTCAGCCTGCCCATGAACCCGAAAGTCCGATCTTCTGATTACAGGCCCAACCACGTGCATGTTTCGGCGGGCCGTTTCCTACTCGAATCATCCGCAGAGGGGAGGTGTGAAGATTCTCATTATAAATATAGGCACGGGCTGATGAAAGGGATAGTGAGCTGGGGCTGATGAGACGAACGATGGAGATCGAAACGGCTGCAGGCAAATCACAGCTGCGCGATAGAGTGGCTTCAATGCTTGGCTTCCCTGTAAAGGAGTGTTGACTGACTTGTACGAACCACAACCGAGTCATGCCCACCCACAGCCCTGCGGCGACCACACGGGTATCGACGGTGACGCTACGCCCTACAGCGCGGTTGTTACGGCAAGGCTGCGATAAACTTCCAAGATGGGTCCATCGAAATTATATAGATCAGCAAGGTCTCTCGTTCTTCATGAATGACTGGACTCTCGAAATCATCATCCTGCATCTCTTCAATTACCAATTGTCATTCATTCCCAGCCGTCTTTTATCATCCTCGCCGGCGAGACTCTTCATTCGAGTCTAGACACTCTTTTTGCTATCTCAGTCACTATCGACATTGTCCTTTCACAACCACAATCAAGATGCAGTTCAGCAGCGTCACTTCGGCCGTCTTCCAAGGCCTCCTCATGGCCGCCAGCCTTCCTTCCGTCATGGCCCAGAGTGACGGCGGCGACTCCTCCTCCATGGTCCAGCTTCCCGACCCGTCCGTGACCAAGCAGATCCGCTTCCGGTCCACGGCGTCGGACTACGGCGCGACCGTCGACTTCATCACCAACGCCACATGGCCCGACGGGGACAACCTCCCCACCTTCGTGCTCGACAAGGTCGTGTACAACTACAACAACCTGGGCGGCCGCTTCGTCACGGGCTCTGGCCCTTTCATCGGCACCACCGCCCTGTGGATCGGCTTCAACCAGGACACGGCCGGCTCCGTCACGGGCGAGTCCACTGCTCTCGTCGCCCCACGCTGGACCTACCTTGCCAGCCCCGACGCCAAGAGCTTCACTGTCCGCAACTACCGCCAAGGCGCCGCCGAGATCTACGACTGCGGCAACCTGTGCACCTACGACGATATTCCTGGCCTGGAGTCCATTGACAGCGACAAGGCTGCCAAGACCCGTCGCGTCTTCAAGGCTTAAATGTCTTGACTGAAATTCAACGTTTAATAGGGCGGAGATCATATGAAGCGCACGCGCACTGCTTGCAGGGACGGAAGGCGTTCGGCTTTGACTACTACGTTTCTTGATGTATATTGATGAGCATTTACGTTGGGTCCATTTACCTCGGGTTGATTGGAGCTTGACTACGTATAGACTGTACATAGCAATGATTATACATGGTCATGTCACATAATGTTAAGTGCCCTGTGTCAGTGTCTAGTGGATATCACTCGAAGCTCGCCTTGGCGTTGGTCAACTGGCCTTCTTGTATCGTTCCAAGCACCTTGATGAATGAAATCATCAGAGGCATCTATATGGCATTTCCAAATGGTGATGTCCTGAAAGCGAGTTCCTGCAATAATGTCGCGATTTCATTTGGTGACCAAGGCTGCAAACATTGCATCACTGGCCCGGAAGGTGTCATTTGCGAGCCACTGCGTACGACGTTGTCTTCATGCACCCTGATACATGGATGGATTGTCTTTGTCTGATTCTGCTAACAATCCACCTAGGGACGCCAATCCTCCCGGCGCTTTCCTGAGATACTATTCTTGGCGTGGTCGGGTTGTACTGAAGCGATCAAGTCGCCACAGAATCCCACGCTTTCCAATGGCTGGATGAAGACAACGCGACAGAGCCTTGCTGAGGCACTGATCCAACTACTCATCAATAACAATAACCGATCCAGGGTCCTCAGCTCCAACATCAATGCCCTCATCTCCTCCGTCATCGTCCTTGGCTCCCCATTGACGCAGCAAGAACTCAACTGTGTCTCTGGCCGTGGTCATCAGTTCATCGCCCAGATCAGAGCTGAGCCCCTCAGGCTCCGTTTCCTTGCAGATCTGCAACGGCGTGAGATGGCCCTGGATCTCATCCTTCCCCTTGCCGAAGGAGAATTCACCTTTGGCATCGCCGACTCCATTTGGATCAGCTCCCTCCTGAAGGAGTGCTTGCACCCAGCCGTCCTCGAGGTAAGTGACAGCGAACTGCAACGGCGTGAAGGTATAGTCGGGGGCGTCGGGTCGGACTCCGCGCTCAAGGAGCATCTTGAGCAGCTGGCCCGTCTTTGCGCCACCATCCTCATCGTCCAAGCTCTTGTGACCATAAGCGTGGAAGAAAACGTCCATGACCAGATTGGTCTCGCTTGAGACGTCCACCCTAGACTCAATCAGCGTCTGCAGGAAAGCAGTGTCTCGCCGGGTAACGCAAAGCTGCATCACCGTCTCTGGCTCAGTTCCGTCAACTCTGTGCGTGTTGCTGAGTTGGAAGTGGTCTCTCCAAATCTTCCTCTTTGTTTTCGCCGGCAACCCTGAGAGATAATCTTTGGCCAATTCGGGCCACTGAAGCAGCATAAGGCTGACCAGAATACTGGTCTCGGAATTCTTTGGCTCCGCTCCGGACTCGAAGGGTGATGTCTTTTGCCAGTTGGGAAAGTTTTTCCGGATTCTTAAGTTGGGAAAAGCTCCCAATTTCGGTTGATGGTGCCTGCTGTCCCACCTCAAGCATTCAGTCACAACTTGCCAAACTGTTTTGTCCTGCAGAATGAGGTCTCTCCGTTCCTTTAGAGCCTTGTCTGTCATCTTGAGGCAGTACTCTTCGTAGCGCGTAGGATGTTTCATGTCAAGGGGCCGGGATGAGCCAAAATGTTTCAGGCCTCTGAAAATGACATGAAGTTCAAGAGTCTGGGTCGCCTCTGTCGACAAGGCAAAGTATTTAGCCCCGCCCAAAGTGGTTGCTTCGTCAAATAGGTACTCCTTGACCGTGTAATGGGCGACAGAGACACGTTTTGAGGCACTTGGATCCCGTTCATCGTGATTGTAGATGGACTCCGGCGGGCGCCGGATGGATGTGACAGTGATCAAGCACCCAAGAACCTCTTCAAGTTGTGGAAGTTTGAATTCCAGCGCGCTGTGGAACGGAACATTGAAGCGAGATGCCTCGACTAGGACCTCAGCACAAGGGATGCTCGAAGATGGACTGCAGATCAACGCCAGTGCAGTGCGGGCGAAACTGCGGTTATGGTTATTTTGGCCTTCACCCTCTGGTAGAAGGTCCGCAATTGTGCGCTCATAAGTGCCGAAGATATCTGAAGGCATTCTGTCAAGCCTGTTCATGATAGATTTCTTGTCGCATAGTTTCGACTTGATGATGTGGTCAACTTGGCATGCGGCCCATCTGAACCTGAAGTCTTGTCAGTCCTGTTCTAAGAAACAACAGAAAGGCATGCTGTTTACAACTCACATTCCTCTTGCCCTTCTCGCAAGCTCTTCGACAACCACATCCAGGTCTTCCTCGCTCCATTTCTGGAAAGCCGGGCGGTCCTCCAACTGGTTCCGCACAAAGGTACGGATCGCATCGACCACGTAAACGTTGTCCATGCATAGAATGGTGCACCCCTGTTTAGCAGAGCGTGAATCGGAAAGATGGGATGAATCTATCTCCATGGGATCATCGTCGAATACATCATCAGCCCCGCCGAGTGACAAAGATCGTTCTCGTGTATCTTGTGCCGATAGGAAATTCCCCGATGACTTCCTGTTCTCGGATCTGCTTTTCTTCTGGGAGCCAGATGGAAACCGTGAGCTGACCCACGAGGAAAGTCGACCTCGTGACCGTTCCATCTGGTCAGCAGCGAACATGGTTGTAGAACCACCGTCAAACCCCTTTAGGCTCAAAGGTCGTCCTCGTGGACTTTCAATCTGATTAGCAGCGAGAACATTTGTGAGACAACCGTCGGGTCCCCTTGGTTCCGGTGTCACTGATTCCGATCGAGGGATCCCTAAACGTTTTGATGGCGACTTTGGCTGCAGGATTTTCCGACCACATACTACCAACGGCGAAGGCTTGCGAGTCTCATCTGGAGGCTGAATGGCGTCAATCGCTGCGGTAATTTCTGTCTCCTTCCTGCTTGTGAAGCAAAGCGAGACGTGTTTCCATTCAGAGTCGGCACCAATGGTTGTCAAAATTCTGAGGAGTTCACTCCGGGGAGAAGGACTCTCGTCGACTGCATCGACAATAATGTAGATTTGGCGCTTGAACTCATTGGAGATGTATCGCGTCACAGACAGTAAACAATCCAAAAGATCATTCACGAGGAAGTCGTTCTTGTCGTAAAGATCCTTCAGAATTTTTGGGATTATTGCATGGTGGGCCGCGGCTATGGACACCGGGCGAGTGACCTGGGCAGTAAGGTCCCTGATGACCCAACGCAGGAATGAGCATGCCTCCTCAGAAGAAGTATGCTCTTTCTTCTGACGTTCATGAGAGCAGTAGTAGAAGGCAACGCCTTTGTGTTGGTACGAGCCAGCAACATCATCGATGGCAAAAGACGCCAGAACAGTTTTGCCAGCTCCAGGAAGCCCGTGTATCCAGAGGAAACGAGAGAAGGTTGCAGAGCCTCCCTGGCACCAGTCTCTCCATATGTTTGAGTCAACAAGCCAGTCACAAGTCCCTTCCTCTCGTAGTGCTCGTTTATGGCGGTGAGTTTCGTGCGCGTCGATGTTCCCAGGCTTGAGCCACTCCAGAATGTTCCGTCTCTCATGCTCGCCTGATGCACTTGTCAGCTCAAAATTATGATGCCAATCTGGGGTAAGTATACTTGTTGTGAGCACGTCGATCTCTTTGATTCGATTACCTATATCTTCGAGACCCAATCTGTGAATTGATTAGGGGGACAGAATGTCTTTTGCCTTGGAATGCCAGGCCTTACCTGCCGCCCGTAGTCACAATTGCGAGGATGACGGACATTCGCTTCTCCAGTTGGCCATAAAGGTCTTGAATCTTATCTTTAGTAGTAATCGGCCACATGAACCTCATCCAAATATTTGGTTTCTCAAGCTTCGCCAGAGTTTCATTGAGTTCATCGACGAGCTGTCGAACGTCGTGGATACCTCCATTGATGAGATCCTCCGTCAACTGTGCGTCCTTTCGGTTCAAAAGGCGCTCGAGGAGCTTTTGAAATCGTTAGAGAATAAAATATTCGGGTCCGAATCTTGAAATAGGAAGTGGCTCACCTGAAGCTGCGGCCGCCAATTCGACACTAGGCCATTGATCTCCTGGATCTCCCTCGGGGCATCGCGAGCACTCATGATAATCTGACAACAATGAAAAGATGTTTTTGAAAGTTCCTCAATGAGGGGGATGATGGATACCACCTCTGCCATATTTTGCTGCCAGTGTGATTGATCAGGTAAATGTGTTGCGTTACCGTGGACGAAAAGTTAATGGTTGGGAGAAAAATAAACAAGCTTCGGTCAGCGGGGCAGTCAGATTTATTACTATCCCTGTGACTTTAGGCAGCCTCCAAATTTGCAGTTAAGCAGAAGCTGATAGAGACATTGGGTCTCGGTTTTACAAAGCAGCTTTTGATCAAGTACGCCTAGAATACAAGGCATTAGGATTACAGAACTATGATGCCGTTTGCAGGGCTAATGAAACCCCTCATTTACATTTCGTACAGAATAATTTCTAAGAGGTTGTCTTAAAAGATTTGAGACCGATTGGGTCATCTAAAGGAGTGATGTTAGGTCATAACACGCGCCATAGTTGGAGGTCTCTGTAATCTGCAGAGCAAATCGGCCATGAGATGAAAGGATCATAGTCGCCTCCCCTATGAGCAATGACGAAGATCCGAGGATACGGTGCTTGAATCATTAAAAAAGAATTCCAAAGACATTGGTGTTTGCCTTTGAACGTCTCGTATCTAGGCGTCAAGGTTTAGATCTTCGACCTTTGTGCACACGAAGACGATCAGTACACATCAAGCGAAGAAGCTTTGATACACAATTTCATGTGTAATTGAGGATTCTGCATGAGAATGAGAAGCTCGGCAGCAGAGCCAGTTTAGTTGCTTGCTTCTTTCGTGGCCGCGAACCCGAAATCACCGCACAGAGTCTCCGGCCGTCTACAAAGCTTACGTAAAACCACTTCTCAGTGTGGAGCTCTCAGGATGGAGCAAATATCACCTTAGTCGCTGCCTTTTTAGGCATCAAATAGCATATGAACATATACCGTCACTGAGCAGCGGGGGGGGGGGGGGTGGGCGCCGCTGTGCGCTGAGATTAATCACGCAGGATCCTTTGAGAAACCATAGCTACACTTCCGCACAAGTTCATCCGCCCCCATGAAATGACTATCTAGATTCCATTGAGATTATTTGATCATCAATTTTGGATGAAAGCTTCCCATTATAAATGGCTCGTTTTGAAACATGTAAGTAAATTGATAATAATGACTGATGCCAGCATGACCTCCCTTTGACCACGCACCACTTGAAGTATGATTAATTGCCCAAGACTTATTTTAGACCAATCTGTATGATTGCCCATGATAGATTTGGGAGTCTTGGGAGAATGGGAATGAACCATCTAGTGTTCTTAATTGACAGTAATTACTCGGATCGTTCACTGTCTTCGCATGATGTGTAGACGACTCACTTGTGCAAATTGACAGTGTTTCACAAATAAATGCTATTCTCTGTTTCAGATGTATTATGTCACGTTCATTACCGTAGTGGAGACATGAAAACCTAAGCATACCAGTGGCCAACGGCAGGAGGCTGCACATCATCTTCAGGGAGGCCAAAACTAATATGCTCAACTTCAGTCTCCCGCTTAACGAACTGCTCCGACCACGATGGCGGCATATTCACTACGCCCCATCTAATTCTGCTCTGCGAAACCCGAAGCAGCGTAGCCTTCCACTCCTCTTCGTCCTTCCAACCCTCCGATTTCTGACTACCGAGGGGCGAGGGGCCAGGACTTGGCGCCATGAGATGCCGTAGCTCGATCCCATCATCCTGGTGGCCACGCGAGCTTTCCATGGAGGACCTGTTTGGCTGCGGCTGGCTTTGGCCTACGAGCGGCGAGATGTGACAGGAGGCTGAAATGGCGAAGGAGTTGCTTCCCACCACGATGCTATTGGGAGGGAGGCGTATGAAGCCGAAGATAGGCGGTATAAATATCAGGCATAGTTCGAGTGTCAGCATCACGAATATGGACTTCGTGGAGAATCCGAGGGCCGTGAATGAACTGAGAGGTCCATTCTGGGAGAATTGAGCGAAATACTCGCCTTGCATGACGAGTAGGTAAATGCATCCAGATAAGACCCAGTGTAGCGTGATACTGATGATGATCAAGGGGACACTGTATCTGTATGGGAGTTGGAGGAAGTATGTCGAGCTCTGCTGGCCCATGGGATAGGTCACTCGTAGACCTTTGTACCGAGTGCTCATAGCGGACCATTCCTTGGCCATGTGCAGCCTTGTGAAAAGACTATTGTACGCGAGATACGCGAAAGACAGGAAAAGCTGCGGCGCGTTTGCAATGAACAGAGCCATCTCAAAACTGGGCGTGAAACTTTGCGGGAAAGAGATCGTATTGTTCCCTGCGTCCTGGCCGAAAGATCCCTGCCTGAAGATCATAAGTAAGCTTTAGAAGAACGACCACTTGAAGGAGCAACACTGACCAGCCCTCCGCCATATACGACCTGACGGAGAAGTATAACGATAGGCCGAGTCCTATGGAAAATATGAAATAGGACGAAACCCAAATTTGCTTGGGAATAGCGTCCCATCTTCTGTGCGTTTGGGGTTTCCACTCCATCGCTCCAGGAGCCAGTCTGTGTCCATTTCCGTTTCCGTGGGCCCGGAGGAACTTTTGATCGAGAAGGCAAGATCCTGGGATATAGTCCGCTGGCTGGCTGATAAATGACTCTATCGCATCCCCAATAGTAACAAGACAGGTTTCCTTCCCTAGTTGAGTGATGACAACAAGGCACAAGAAAGCCTTAAGTAGAACACTAATTAATTGATTAATCACATTAGCAGGCATTCCGTTTTGTTCGAGCGTAGACAATTTGCATCTGTCAAAGCAACTTTGGGTGACATACCAGAAAGAGACACACAACAGCAATGTCGACGCCAGTCCGATTTGGCACACCGTATCGAGTGGCTCTGCCAGACAATATTCAATGCCCAAGCTGGAATTGTCGAATTGCGGTCTAGTTGAAACCGATGCTATTGTGATGCCGGTTCCGAACAGTTGATAGCTCAACACATCAGATTCATTGCTGTGTAGTCCCATAGAATAGCTGCATCGGTTGTAACAGTGGTTGATCATATCGTTGCCGCTGTCGGCCAGGACGGTTTCGATCTTCATGAGGCAATTCGAATCATTTTCTTCCGACACTTCGGCGAACCATAAAGCATTATTCTCGCTACTCGGCACGTGTGCGTCCCAGAACGAAGATTCATCCGCAGGCAGGTCCCATAGCTGCGAACGGTTCCATCCCGAAGATCCACTGAGGATTATTGCCACGTTACGATATTTCCGCAGTCCGGAGCAAGAATCTGTCTTGTATATCGATTTGCAAGTGCTTATGTCGAGTTTGTGCCATGTGCCGTTGGAAATCGCTTGCACAGTTGTTTGGATCGTTCGACTCCTATTGACATGGGCTGTCTCGAAAAATGTATTTCTTGATATTCCCAAAGTCGTTTTGTTTCTCCAAATTTTTGTGTTGAAATCGTAGTCGTCAGACTCAAAGTCTCCCATCAAATCCTGGAGGGGTATTGAAAGGCTGGCACCTGGGTCAAACACAGCTACTCCGGTCGATATGGATTCGTCGAAAACAAAGTAGCTGAAGTTCGCGTCGCGATGGTCCGTTAAGAAGATTACCGAGTTGAAGAGCAAATGGATAGGAATCGACGACAGGAAGAACAGTAACCACATGATTGTTTTGAACTTGGAGACTCTGAAGGCATTCCGGGGCGAAGGCACACCAATATCGAGCCAGTTGCCTTTCTCATGAGCTCTGTCGAGTTCAGCTCTGCTCGGTGCAATGAGAACTTGCATGAAGAAGTTGGTAGACGCAAGCACCAGCGAGGAGAGGATGTTGATGAGCAGATGCAAGAACGTGTTCAAACGGCCGACGCTGTTGCCGAGACAGCTCCCAGAATAGATGATTTGAGACCCATCCAGGCTACCTGATTTCGCCCAAACCACAACGTGGAGTGAAATAAGGACCAGCAGCACGGCGAAGACTAGGATGGTGTTAATGAAAGCACTCTTCCTCCAGCCCGTCAGACGGTTGAAGTGTTCCCAAATGCCCCATGATCGCTGCTTTTCGCACTGCTTTGTCCAGTGGGTAAGGTCATTTGTTGTAATATTCGCCGAGCTTGCCATTCCTGAGAGCCTTTTGTGTACTGGCAAACCTGAAAAGTGCAAACTCTGCTCGAGATATTGAGGCAAGTACAATACCCTGACTTCGTGCCGCCTAAATCAGCTCTAATCGACCCACAGTAAGCGCTAGTGGTAACGTCAATTTGTCCAGGGACGTCTGAAACCTACGCAAGGTTGCTATAATTATCATGTCAGCCAGAGAGATTGTCTCCAACAACGCGAATCGGACAGGGGTACGCGCAGAGAGAAGCACCCCTAGGACTGCAGTAGAGGAGGTCTGAACGAAGTAGTGTTCGAAGCACGATAAACTTGCGAATAAGAATAGTATCGCCGGCAAAACAAGGCTGGCACCTCAGGGAAGGGCATACCGGCGCGTGATGGGGGAGCGGGACCACTGTAGATGCGAGGACAGTAGGAAGTTGAGGACAGTACGAAGGTGAGTGCAGTGAAAGGGTAAGAATATAATAAGAGCAAGACCTACACTTGTGGCAAGTGTAATGCTTCTAGCCGTGGAAGCAAATTGGCAAAAGCTGTGCTTCAGGAGCAGTGTAACGGCGACGGCAGTTAAGATTCGAGCACAAGGCCCATCAACCGAGAAATGGCCCCCAAAGCATGTGGATTGAGATGCGTTGGCTAGCCAATCCAGGCATAGGAATTGTGGTGCATACATGTGTGCGCCCGTACAGCTCGGTTAAGTCTTGGCCTGCTCCTGCCCCGATAGATCACTATTCTGCAATATCAGTCGAAAGAATAATAGCGTCTATTAAACGCGGTACTAAAAACATGCCATTGGCCCTAAAAGCAAAGCAAGAGGGATACGACAGGCTTGTAATTCCTAGTACCTCTGGAAACGAGTGGGAATTCTGTCAATTTCAAGTTACAAATATGCAAGAATGCACCGACGAAAGCGCAATACACGCAAAAGGAGGCCCATCAGCCGCAATTGCATCGCAGATCATTCCCAGCGTTGACGTAAAGAGCAGCAAAAGAACCCGGCCTCGGAGATACAAGACCCATCTTTGGGATAGGCTGCAGTCCCAATCTTACCCCAGCCATCCAAGCCCACTTGGTGAGAAAGACCGGTGAATGCTCGTTCGATTGCACATTTTTAGATGCTTTATCTATACACGTGTAAATGGCCGCCTTGGCTCTGTGTAACATCTACTGCGTGCCGACCGTCCCCCCCACTCTGCTCATTCAACCAGGAGGCCCCCCAAATGCATGAGCTGACCCATGCCCGAAGATTCAATGTTGAGTAACAGCAGAACTGATAGATATTGATATACCCTTCCATTAGTTGCACTGAGACCATTAGAAGAGCCTTCACATGATCAAACATAACTTGATTTTCTCGAGTTTATTACATGTTGCCTCCCAATGATGCACAATCTCCATACGATATTTCAAACACAAGTTTTTTTTTTACCCGGTCCGCACATGAGGATATCTGAAGCCATAACACCCATAGCACCCATAGCACCACCCAATATTTCGCCTCCCTGCTTTTGGTCTGAGGTCGCCAATAGAACTCCATCCAAATAAAATCTTGAGAGAACACCAGTTGGGTAATGCATAACCGTGGCCGTTGAGGCCGATCCGATAACCTGAAAACCGAACGCTCACGTAAAGAATGCACGTAGTGATAGTCCAAGAAAATGAGGCACCGCTCTGCCAATCTATGCGTTGTACGAAATGAGTCGGAGGAAAACTTTCTTCCTATGGCTGCCCCCTAGAAGGCGCGCCTACGTTCCACCGTGCTTGGAGCTGGTGACCCGGCCCAAGCCAAACCACTTCCTGCCGTGGGCATGGCCACCGCCGTGGCTGTTGCCATGACCCGGAGCAGATCCCGACGTCGGAGTGCTTTCCTGTTCGTGATCGCCGTTGTTGGGCGTTAGAGGCACGCCGCCGTCGCGACTGGCAAGGACGTTGCTCAGTCCCGCGCCCAAACCCGGGCTGGAAGATCGGAGAGGATGAGGCTTCGCTGCCCTCGTTATACCCGTCGTGGTAGCTCGCGCCTCTTCAGTGTCTGCGAAGCCTATGTCGTGGTGGACAGGCGCCCTCTTGCGCATGATCGGTGGTGGCGTGGCAGATGTCTCCTCGTCGGCCCGGTCATTCCTCCGCTCCCACATCGGCACTCCCACAGTTGGCGGTGCGACGTCAGCCTTCGCGGGGGGAGGGAAAGGCGACTGATTATTTGGTGCCGAGGAGGATGGCTGTATGTGACCTGAACCTAAGGAACGTCGAAAGAGGCTAGTGATGCCTCTGCTGCGAGGACGAGCAGGTGCTTGCTGTTGGTGACTGGCAGTTGGCGGATAATGGCGCTTTTGAGCCGAGCCTTCGTCATTATGTTGCGCTTGAGGGCGATCTGGCGGGGTCGGCGTAATACTGCGGGAGTTAGGTGCCTGTGCCGTCAGAGAGCTCTTTCTGCTCGACTCAGATTCACTGTGCTTCCCGAAGGATCGGGGCGGATGTGTCGTCCTGGGAGTCCCGGGCGCCGATGTTCGGGCTCGCAGGCTGGATTTGCGATTAGGAGCCGGTGGTGGTGCGGCGACATTGCCGGTTAGACGTGGCGAAATCGGGCCAGCAAGTCCTGAGCCGTAAGTTCCAATTTCTGGCGCTGGTAATGACGCACCCAGAGCATCCAACGCTGGTGCAAGAGGAGCTGCTGCGCCAAGATAGCCATTTCCACCAAGCGCGCCAAACATGTCGTTCGACTGCCACCCTTTAGAGTCAGATGGGAAACCGAATAGATCAGGAGTACCTCGACTGGTGTGTCTCTGTGAGACTGCCACGCCATTCTGCGCTTGAGCCTGGCCGCCGCGACTAGGTCGAAGACCCTCCCTCATCCAGTAATCGAAGCTAGAGACCTCCGAGGCCGCGTCGTCAGGCTCACTTCCAGAATCCCAGTCTACCTTATGGCGAGATATCGTGGTTTCATCAAATGATCGCGGGCGTCTCGGCAGGGAGAGCGGAAAGTCAGCATGATTGCCAGCCGAGTAGTCTTTTCTCCCTGTGAATGCTGTGACTGACGGCGGTTGAGCAGCACCGCCACCCTTATTGAATCGCCAATGCCCTGGTTCGATCTCATTCGTCTGATCCAGGGTGAGCCGTGACATGACAGGATATGTCGCCTCTCCGTCAGGTCGGTCATATTGTTGTGGGATGTCGTCAGAACAAAGGCTGTGGTTCATCGAGCTTGACATTGTGTCTGGAGTTGGAGGCAGTGCGTGTGCACGAGGAGTCGGCACGTCAGTGACTACCCTGCGGGCTGGTATCGGCTTGTCCCTTGCCTTTCTCACACGAAGGAGAGGTTGTGGTTTGGCAGGCTTGACGGTGGCTGGCCGGTCGATGTCTCTGCCAAGAGGCTTTACCTCCGAGCTCTCCCGTATTACTGGTGAAGAGTCAAGCTTCTCAAGCTTCTGAAGTGGCGAAGTTGTCTCTCCATTTTCGATCGCCTCCTTTGCGCTGGGCCTGGTAGGGGTGGAGTCATGCCTCGACAGAGAAAGACTTCGGCGGCCGCCTCTTCTGCTGTGATCATCGATTTGAGAATTATTCTCAGCATGAGGAGGTACAGGCTCATGAGATCCTGCTTGCCCACCGTAGATACTGACGAAAGAGCTCTCACTCAAGACACTCATATTCGGGCTGACATATCCACCGTTGTCCACTCTCGGATCTGTCCTTGACAAGCTAAGGATACTGCCCTGTGTTCCCAGGTAGACATTGCGAAGGTTTTCGGTGTTCTCGGTGCGCTCAGAAAGGAAGCTGGGCATCCGCGCGAGACTCTTCCCATGAGCATTTGACACAGCATCGCGTGCACCCATTTCGTCAGCACCATCAGCGCGAGGCGCGGCCTGGGAGGCGGTGAGCTTAGATATGAGGGCCTTGTCGGCCTCCACCTGCCGAACCATTTCCCTCTCGCGTAGTAAGAGTTCTATGCGGGCCTCGAGAGTGACAATCATTGTAACAGCTTCTTCGACCGCCTTGTCCCGCTTTTCCAGCTCCAGTATCAGCATTTCGTTGGTCTCCTGAGTTTGAGACTTGTCTGCTTCCAACGTCTCAACCTTGTCTTCAAGGACCGACTGCCGTTCCCGCCGATGGAACAGCTCGAGCTTCAGGTCAAAATTCTGTTTGTGCAGTGTCGACATTGCCTGCGCAGGGTCTTGTCAGCAATTCTGGCAATAGCATCTGCTTCACATTGTCTGCAGCCGGGAGCGAAGTGGGCTGAGATGAAGAGTTGTGGCCGGGTAGATGTGAGAGGCCATGGCAGGAAGCATGTACAGAGTCAAAAACCAATCTTGGCAAATGACGAGAGTAAAATGTTATGAGATCAGGGTGCAAAGGGGTCATTAGTACCTGTTCCATCTCCTTCAGGGCCAGTCCTTTCTTCTTCCCGGTATCGCCATTCGTGTCACTGGATTCTGGTCGTTTGCCATCGGCTGTGGCGCACCGCACCGGAGTGGGCGTCGCAGCTTGTTGTGCGTCAGCTGCGGTGTTCATCTCTCCAGCCAGTCTGTTCAGGTTCCGTTGGATTTCGGATCGCCGCTCGCGCTGTAGCTTCTCTTGGAGCAGGGTGGAAGTAGGCTCCTGTTGAGAGCTGGTCTGCGAGCCCCTAACAGAGCTCTTGGACACCGGGGTCGGGGGCCGGTCGGTGTTGGACCCCATGGAGCCTCTGCGATGGGCCATACGAGAACCAACGGGCTGTGCGTATCTCAAGCTGGGCGAGGAGGTGAGATTTGATGCGGAATCGCTGTTGGTCTGGGGAGGCATCCGCGCAGACGAGTTGCGTGTACTTGAGCGCGAGACGGCACGGGAACTGTTTGGTGAGTGGAAGGAAGGCCGGCGGCGTTCTCGACGCGGACTTTGGAGAGCAGGTCCCTCCATGATGACGGGACGGGGACGGTGCAAGGGGACGTGGACGTCACCCGCAAGTCCAACCAACAGGGAGTCGTGGGCTGGGTTGTGCCCGGTCTCACAAGCAAGGCAGAGCCACCAGACTGGCGTGGCGTGTCAACCAGCGAGATCAACGGGAGCTGAGATGTGACCAAAGTCAGTCTGAGTCTACTACACACGTACATGGCAAGTGATGGGATGGAAATGGACGGGGGCCGGGAGTGTGAATGAGACACACGCACCAAAGGTTCGGGATCATGCCTGTCCGGGAGGCGGCGTAATCTGTAGAATAGCGTGGGATGGGGAATACGACAGGAAGAGACCCTCGTGGGTTTAATTGACGCCCCTGGCCCTTGTGGCGCGCTGCCTTGCGCTGCCTCGCCCGTTTGCCTGGCCGGGCCTCGCTGGGTCGTGACTCGTGAGGCTGCAATTGGTCGCGGGTGTTACGAAATGTACCGTAGAGTAGCAGTATTGGAACAAAGGCCGATGCGGTGGGCCCAAGTATACGCGGGGCGGGCAGGAACCCCAGGCCCGCGTGCCAAGAGGTGGATCGTGTTAGACTATTAAAAGCCGATTCGATTCAAGGCAAGTTGGGCACTGGCAACACACGATTGGCGAGAGAGGCCAGCGACGATGAGATTTGAGTGAATCTGGATGTGACGGCGGGCTCGTGTTGTGTTGGTGGCCGGGGATGGGATGGCATGAGCTAACGGGGACCAGACGAGATGGCAGGTCGCAGGCTCGGCAGGGAAGACGCGGGAGACAGCAGCGCGATCAGACGAACCCAGGCAAAAGCTATCGAATCCTGATCGGGCGGTGAACTGAAGGAAGAAAGACTGGACTGGACTGTCCTGGACTGGCTAAATTGCCCCGACTGGCTGGATTGGTACTGGTTGGACTGGTCCTGGCTGGCTGTGAGGCGGGACAGGAGAGGACAGGGCAAGAAAAATTGGAATGGGATGATGGACTGTGTCTCTGAATTGCGCGAGATGTCTCAGATATGCAGGCAATATTAGCAGAGAGAGGAAAAGAGCGCGCGGGGTGGGTTGACTTTGGTTCGCTCCTGTCGCGTGCCAGTCTGAACTTGTACATGTACTGTGCTGTGCTGTGCAGTGCAGTGCAGCGCTCTGCTTCGCCTTGCTTCGCCTTGCTCTGCTGTTGGCCGAGAGGGGCGATACTGCACAGTCTCTTACAATGCAATGCGGTGGACTATTGGCTGACTGACTGAAAAAAACTGGATTGATTGACTGCTGGACTGAGACAGTCTGTGGCGACAGCGACAAGACAAGAGAAGAGAAGGATTGTAACCACGACGATGTAACAGAGAGTGCTGGATTGACTGGGCAGCAGGCAGACCGGCAGATTGACGATTGACGACTGATTGATGGCTGGGGAAAAGAGACTAGGAGAGGGAGACCAGGTTGTTGTCTGGTACGTACAGAAAAGGACAGGGCAGAGCAGGGCAGGGCAGGGTAGAGGCAATACATATGTTACATATGCGTGAACAAAAAAGAAATGTTGGAAAGTCTGGAATATTGGAATATTGGAAGTCTGTGTCTGCAAACTTCCATCTCGTTTCTCCCCCCCTGGCAGCGGGCAAAGGGGAAGTTGCATCGCATGCCAATGCCACCCTCCTTTCCCAGCGCAAACCAGGATGGGGCTGGATGGGACTGGATGGGGGAGCTCTCAGGACCTGAGCTTGTTGTGCCTGGCTCGCCTAGCTCGCCTGGGTGCTATGACTGCTGCAGAATGCTGCAGGCACTTTGCGGGACGTCGCGACTGACAGGGCAAAAGCGTGAAAAGCTGCAGGGAAGGTGTGGCAGACCCCAACCAGCTGGGCAGGGGTGTGGCAGGAACAGGGCACGGAAGGTGCAGGGAAGAGAGCAGGGGCAGGACTGGTCTAGCAGTGTTTAGCAGTCTGGCTGTGTGCAGTGTGTGGCCTGTGCGCAAGTCTGTGGCCCCCTTTCTGCCCTGTCCGTCCCTCAACCTTCTCCCTCTTTCGCAGCTGGCAGCTGGCAACAAACAAACACTTCGTGACGAACCTGGGAATTGGCAAACCCTCGAGGGGATCACGCGGGTAGTCGGTCAATCAGTCAATCACTCTGTCACTCACTTCATTGGGATCACCGCGCTCGAGCCCCTCGAACCGAAATCCGACCATCAATGGCGGCCAGACTCGATCGCATCACGGAAGCACATCCTGTGTGACAGTCAACCTCGCAGCTCACAGCTCACGCAGCTCAGCATACACAGTAGCATAGCTTCGCTCAACTCAATTCATCACTTATCCAGGCTCGTTGGAAACGACAGCTGCGATGCATGGTTCGGATCACATCCGTCCCTGCCTCCCGCTCACTCTGGCACTGCACCATGCCGAGGATCACCACCATTAGCACACAATTATCGCTGCCCAACGCCCAAACTCCGGCGCAGCACCTTGCCACGCTTTTCCCGAGAGGCACCTCTGCCCCCTGATTGGCCGCCCTGCCCCTCCGATCTTCACCTGCCCTCGCCGTTTTGGCACACGGTCTGGAGATCCGACATCTTGTCCCACCTCCACCAACGAAACGGGAACCGCACTGGCGAACGAGCCTCTCAATCGACCCGACACAGCGCAGAGTCCGTGGATGGGGGCTGACCACTGACTCGGCACCCGGATCAACCCCAAGGGTCCTGATCAGCTGGGTGGGTTCACCACGAACTCTGTCACATGGGGCTGCGACCTGCCGCGCGACGGAAGCTCCATCTTTTCACGAACCTACTGCTGCCCTAATAGCGGGTCTCTCAACCTCTTCAACCTCTGTGCTCTGCGCGTTCATCTTGTTGACGCATTCCAGACCATTCTGAGTTGAGCCCACAACGCGCACCGAATGATGGATGCTTTCACGCCATGTCTGCTCATTTCAATACTGTTTCCCAACGGAGATTTTTGTACTAGACTCTTCCCGGGTCCTTGGGACACCCATCTCCCCGCCCGCGGATAACATCCTAGCCTGGCCATGGTGTCCTAGCCATGAGATAATCCGCAAGCCACTTGTGGTGTACCAAAGCACTTAGCTCCCGGCAGTGCCCGCCTCTCGACCATGGAAAAACATGCGCTCCCGGGTTTGATCCCCGCCGCCGTCGTTCGCTAGGCCGACAGGCGTGCCCGAATTTGGTGTCGTCACGTTTTATCCCCTTGCCATTGTCTCGCACATCTTAAAAATGCTTCTCAAGGTATTTTCATCTGCGCTTTTGACTATCTTATATCTTGCAAGCACCCAACATTTCAGGCTCTGAGGCATATCATTCACGGGGGAATCGATCGGACGGAGAATTTGAGAACCGCCGAGTTGATCTCGGGGCCAGGGATCCCTACGATGCAACTTTACGCGGTTCTTGGGTCACTTAGCCCACATTCTTCAACCAACAACGTGCGTTTCTTGCTTCATTCCGAAACCCACTTGCCGGGGCATTTCACAGTTGATTTGAAGCATCGGCTTGTCAGCAATCACACCTTAGTATCATTGTCCAAACCCCAAGTGCCGACAGACCGGCTCGTACTCGCGGATGTGGCATTGTGGCAACGTCGATTCCAGAGTGACTTCTCAGTGGTACTGGCCTTAACGCAACAGCAAAGTCGTCTATGACATTCCACTCTGAGCAAATACGTACCCTTAGAAATCGGGTACTCAGTTACTGGCTTGGTCGTGCAATCTCCAACAGCTTAAACTTTGCATCCAACCGGGTATTTCCGATCGAGGCCAAACCGGCGTTTATCAGAAACGAGGACTACAGTCGCACAAGGTAAAGCATGTTCATCCCCACAGAAATATCAAGACGTGATATACCTCGACGGTACTATCCGTCAAGGGGATCGTACGAGGTTCGGGCCAATTCTACTTCAATGTCACCTCCGTCCCCACCGGCACTTGAGCTAATCTTGGGCCGCGCGTGGTCTTTCGCCCGTTTCGCTGTGATAAAAACAGGTTGTTAGCCGTCGACCGATGGAGTGATCAGACGGACTTGGTCAAGTGACGAAGCAGCAATGCGTGTGCTACGGGTGTCTTCGTCTTCCGTCTGTGCCGCGGTATCAGGACTGAAGATGTTGCATAGGTCAAGTGATCTCCCATTGCACAGAAAGTGCCTTGGAAGTCTCTGCTGTTATCCGCTTGCAAGAGGACACAGCAATCTGTGCGTCCGTAATGGCTGGCTTATACCTTCAGGGAAAAGCAAGCCCTCCACATTGTACCATACCACACCATACCAGCTTGCGACAGCTGGACCTCAATGTGCCATCACGGGTTTCAAGAGGTGACCACTCGACACACAACTCCATCCCTCATCCGCAGTGGGAGGGCTATTCGTCTGGTCCATTGCAAGACAGCTGCCCCCAAGGTCTTCGCAGGAATCGCCATATGTGGATTATCTCCCGGCGTGAAAGACCATGCCGTCGTGCGAGTGACGACGTATCAAGGACATGGCGACCTCGATGATGGTGGGAGTCAGACAATGTGTACCATTGTCATCGAGCGCCCAATGAGTTCGTCCTCGTTGGGAGCAACTTGCTTCTGCCGCTTCGAGTTTATTGCGCCTCGGATTGCGCATTGATCAGCTCAGATGGGTATACTAAGTAGCATTGATTGCGTGGTACTGAGGAACATTACACGGAATACTTCTCAGGATCGACAGTCTTCCCGCGCGTAAATAAGGAAAAGAACCATCGTGATGGATTGATTTGAAATGAGCCCCAAATAGCGAGCCTGACAAGAGAATCGATGCCTTTTATCTTTACAACTATATGCGAGCCCACAATAATCTCCATGTCTACTCTCTCGTATCGATATCTCATGCTCACTAGCTGACTATAAAGGCCAGGGCCACTGCCGACTCCTTCGCCCCAATCGAGCCCGTGCCCCGAGAGCAGGGATTCCGCATTCGGCACTAACAGCCGAAGAACTCGGCCGCCCCAGCAACTCGGTTGCACACGGCCTGCGCTGGGTTCTGTCAGAGATAGGTGGGATCGGGTGCGAGGCGAGAGGGGACCGAATGCTCCCCTGGCACACGCTGCAGTAGTCACCAGGCTACTCTGCCTGCATGCAGCTGTCACACCGCGCGCAGGCAGGGTTGTCTTTTGGTCCTGAGGGAGAGAGATGCGCCGGGCTGTGGGGTTCTCGTGGGCAACTCGTGACTGTTGTTGTCGGCGACTGACGTTGTTTTCTTCTTCATCTAGAGTGTATGCACCTCCTGCAGGAGCATATACAGTGCGGTGTAACAGTCTGAGATGCGACGAGAGATTATACAGTAGATATGCTCCGTGTGGATGGGAGGCCTTTGAGGGATGGTTCCCTCGATGGGACCTTGCTTAACCTTTGAGGCTGGGTTTGAAACGCCATGTGGTTCCTCCTTCGATCTGGGTGGCTGTCGTCTTGGTGGTGTTGATCTTGAACTGTGTGCATGTAGATTGGGAACTTGCATCCTCGAGGGTAACATGACCTCGTCGGCATGCCGCCATTCCCGGGGATGAGAAACACTACCCTGTCGTGTGGTCGGTAATTGGTAATTACGTAGGTTGGCAGTCTGCCAATGAGAGTTTAATCACCACGACTTGTGTGTATACATAGCGTATGGCAATCATTGACGTACCATATACTACGAGACTGCTGCTACCTGACTACTGGGGAAGAGGGTGCGTGGGGGTTGGAGGATGAGCATATAATATCACCATAGTATTAGTTGTTTTGTGACTGATTTACTAGGCATATGCAAGGTGCTCGTGGTGTCTCAACTATATGCCGCTGCATGTCACACAACCTCCTCGCATGTGCCATATCTTGGTGGGTATACCAAGGCCTTTGATGTATACACATTCGATTATACCAGCCTGTATAGGCATGGTGGCCACGAGGCAACCCATCAGTCTCTATGTTCTGAAGGCCAACGGTCCATCGACCACACCCTCTAGTGGGAGCCATGGCATTTTTATCATGTGATTGTGCGCAAAGCAAAATTGAGGATACTGAGCGGAAATGTGAGACGGCTTGTGAGACTCCGCGGTGTATCTTCAGCATTTCCGTCTTCCGCCGGTGCGTCATCTTCAGGCTCTTGGCTTGCAATCGTAGGTTTCATGGCTTCATGGGTTTCACTGGTTGTGAAGAAGTCCAGTGGCGGCGGCGAGCTACACAAGAGCCCCTCTTCATTGGTGTCGCCCTGCCCGTGCTTCTTGAACGTCTCAATCTCGCGGAGGGCATATGTGAAATTGACCAGGACCTCAATCGAGTCCCAAGATAGAGTAGGGTCCAGGAAGAAATGCGACGGCGGGCCCTCGGCATACTTGAAGCCGAACCTGTCCAGAGCCTCGGCATCAACCCAGAGCTTGCTGACCAACAAATACGGCCGCTTGCGTGGCTGGCTGCTTCTGCCGTCCGCGGCGTCGTCCTGTGTCGCCGCGGCCGTCTCCCCGTCGTACCCTGCCTGGAACTCGACGATGTAGATGGGCTCGGCCCCGTGGAACCAGGTCTGGCCGGCGTCGCTGCCGCGCAGGTAGAACGGGGTGAGCTCGACGAAGTTGCCGAGGTGCGCGGCGCCCTTCCACGGCTGCGACCGCTCGACGTCGCTGTTTCGGCCCCTGTCGCGCTGCTCTTGGCTCTCGACTGCTGTCCTGGCCGTTTCTGTGTCGGTGTCGGAGTCGTCCGAGTCGACGTCGCTGGCATCGGTTGTGGTCGTCGAGCTTTCTGTATCTTCGGTCACGTATGACATTATGTCGTATTCTACATATGGTACCATGTACCGTTGAACAGCATTCTCCAACAGAGTGGACCTGTCGACATCGGCGGTCCTGCCGTGTGGATGGTCGTTGGACTGATCAATGAACTCCTCCGTGGGCTGTATTTGGCGAGCTCGGTGCTGGCGTTCGGCTTCTTCGCGCTCCGCTTCTGCTATCTTCCTGAGTCGCTCCCGAATGTCTTGCTCTTCTCGTGCTCTCTTCTCTGCTTCTATTTGCTCTTGTCTCAGTTCTGCTTTTGCTTGTTCTTTTATTCTGTTGATGAAGTCTTCCTGTTCGGCCTCGTGGCGCTTCAAATCTGCATAGCTTTTCTCGTACGCCTGATCGTATGTCTCTTGGAGATCTTGTTGTCGTTGGAACTCCATTTCGACTTCTTGACGCATCTCTACTTTCAGCTGCTTGCGCCAACTCTCCAAATCTTGTTGGGTCTGCGGCGGGGTATCTTTCTCTGGCACCCCATTGGCCCTCAAATTATCTTCCACTTCTTTGAAGATGCGAGCTCTCATTATTTCCTCCGTCTCAGTGTGCGAACGTGTTCTGGCCCTCCCAGTCGAGATAGGTCTCTGCTCTCTCTGCCATTCATCTTGCTGGAGGGTTTCCGATTTTGAAATTCCGGCGCGATGCCTACTTGAATCTCCTTGTCGTTCCAATTTGGCATCATTCCCGTCAGACTTTGGTTCCTGAGATAGACTCTTTCCAGGCGCCTCTGGAGTCATTCCCATTGTTCTCCTGCGAAGTTCGACCAACGGGTCTGGCCTAGCCTCGGTCGTGTACGTATTATCCTGTACAACATTTGACACGCCATCAATAACTGTCGTTGGACTATCATGCATGCTTGGAGTACTTGGGCGGTGAATTTCACCGACGTCGTTACCAACAGTGTACGCAAAATCGTTTCGCTTCGGACGCGCCGGTGGAGGCATTGGAGGACGAGGCGGCGGAGGAGGTGGAGGCGCTCGAGAGTAGGGTAATGGTTGTACTCGTTGTGGAATCGCTTGGTTATTCCCTGGGTATGACCGATCGAAAGGCACCTGGCCTTGCGCTACGGGCTGTCGCGGTTGTGTCAAGCCTGGTTAAGTCCAAGTGGGAGCTGGCTTCTGGCTCTCACCATAAGCCGGATACCTCGAAGATGAGTCGATGGAGCCATCAACCGTGTACGCGTATCCCCGGGGCCCGGTGTAAGGCGCTCGGCCTTTACTAAATCTGTCCGCAAGGGGTCTCGGGCTTTCAAACCTCGTCGGGCCCCGCTTTATCTTCTCATTCAGCGGCTGTCGAGTGCTTTGCCTTCTTCGGGTCGACGCTGGGGCTTCTTCCTCCGAAAAGCTTGTCATGGTACTAGCACCGCCGTCCGAGTCAGAATCGATCTCCGCTTCCTCTTCGAGTGGAAGTTGGACTGCTTGGATTTGACGAGGGTCTAGAGTAGTCCATTCCGTCAGAAGCCGACAAAGGACAATATCCTTTGGCAAGTACATGAACGGGGTCTTGTTAATAGACCAGGTTTTGGACCTCGGAAACTTGTTCACTATGTCCATTCCCACAATCATGTCCACCTCGTGAGGTTTCAGAGCCTCTTCCCTCTTGATAACGAGCTTGGAGCTACCCTGAAACGACCTTGTCAGAATGCAAGTTATGATTTCGTTTCGAATGCAGAAGTGGTCTTACATCTGGATTAGGTGACTCCTGGTAAGGCAGTCCAAATGTTTGTAGGGTTCTAATGTCCAGGGCTCCGGATCGAAATTCGATGTCTCGGCCGGCTGCCCCTCCGTTCCTGTGATACCTGGGCTTCGCTCTTGACACAGGTCCAAAAGGCAAGGCAGCTTTTGTTCGTGACCTGACTATTTTGACACTGGAGCCAGAAGCTTCGGGCTCCGGCAGTGGCCTTGTAGGTATAGTGGGAGCCGACAAGTTGACGGCCATCCAAACGGCCATGTCTGCAGGCGATTCATCGAATGTTAACAGCTTCCTATGTGGTTCTGGAATAGAGTGGTGTTCCTGATTATGAAGATTCCATAGACTTCGGAAGCAGTCTTCAATTGTTTGCGAGGTCTGCGCCCTGAATATGTCCACTGCTGATGCTGCCATGTCTCTGAGCAAAGACGTCAGTTGTTGCTAGTTTTCCAGGGAAATAAACCCTTACCGCGAAGATCTCTGCTCAGCGTACTGCGCTACGTTGAGGATCAGTGCCAGCGTGCTCCTCAGTGCCTCCAATTGAAGCGTGATATCCTCGATCTTCTTGCTTTGCCATATTGCCCTCACCATTTGCTTCAACTTGTGCCCTCTACTGCGCGTGGACTTCGGGAGTAGTTTGTCAATGAGACTGCTGATATTGGCGAACTGGCCATTGACATCTCGAATCAAGCCCTTGAGCTCATCTTTGTAAAGGGCATCGTGATCCTGGATAAGCTCCACTGCGCATTTCAGCAGGGTCGCGTCCCGCTCGATTTTCTCAGCAAGAATGTACAACTGCCCAGGGGCTTCTTTGAAGTCCTGGACAAGATCATGAAGCTTCTTGGATGTTTGAAAGGCGGCCACCGCTACACCGACCACGCTGGCGGCAAGCGAGAAAGGATCCGCCATGCCGTAACGCTGGACAGCATGTCGCTCGACCGGAGATCTAGGCTTTTTCTCATGCCAATAGTGGATTTGGGAAAAGAACAAAAACTTTTCATGACAGCAGAGACACCTGCAAGAGTGTGCGACGAGAGGGGAAAATCAAATGGAAAGCTGAAAAGTGCGGGTTGGGCTGTTTTACCATCCACCAATGTCAGCAACACCCCTTCTTTCTTGGTTAGCTGCATGGGCGCATGCATGCTCACTGCAGCATAGCCACGTTGTGATCAATAGGGAAGCTTACTCGCCCTACATATTACGGCAGCTGAAGTAGGAAGCTTCTTAATGCGGCACAGCCCCTACCAGCTCTTGTAGTTACACGGCAGCATTAATTAGCCGCTTGCGATGCTACTCTGCCCGGTAGGATCCCACATTGCGATGGAATTTCGTTACTTGCACGCGCTTTTTTGATCCGTCCATTTGGTCCTCTCGATGATTTACAAAGGGAGAAGGTTTTCCAAATTAACTAACACGTGAAGATTTATTGCTCTCTGTGATCGTTCTACCAGTTCGCACCCCGATCAGAGGCTCCTCACGTCTGTTGCTCTTCCCTGTATACATGAAGCTATCGATTTTACAGTGCTGAACTGGAATAAGTCAGGGATACTGAGATCGCACCCAAACTCGGCCCGCACAGCAGCTTGGAGACGGATGACAAGCAAGGAGCTGCCTCCCGCGCTGAAGAAATCCGACTCAGGAGTCAAATCTGCCATCTCATCTGCTGCGAGGATCCCTTCCCAGATAACCTTCACCCGAGCTTCTAACGGCGAGAACAATGATGTTGCCATTCTGTCCGGGATCGTTACCGGGATGAGCAGCTTGTCGATTGCGTCCAAGTCTTTACTTCCATTGAGTGTCTTTGGGAGGAAATTAACGGGGATGAACGACTCTGGAATCATGTACGTTGAGAGAGGCAAAGTACTTTTTAATCTCCCGAAACACACTTCCATGTCGCCTGCGAAGTCATGCGCGAGTGTAACGAAGGCAACAAGAACCCCTGGCTCCTCACGCCAAGAGACAGCTGCATCAAGAATATGCGGGCTTGCTTCGCGGACAATGACATTGGCGACTTCATCAAGATCAACTTTAGTGCCCCGGATAGTGGCTTGCCTGCCTCCCCCAAGTCGTCCAATGAAGTGCACAGACCCATCTTCGAGAATTCGACCCTTGTCGCCGCTGTGGAAGAGCTTTGCGCATCCTCGACGAACGTCATCAGGTGAGGCAAATGGATTGTCGATGAATGTTCGAGCTTGCTCTTCCGGTCTGTTCAGATACCCCTTTGCCAGCCCAGGCCCTGCGACACAGATCTCACCAGGGTATCCGATCGGGAGAGGCCGCAAGTCCTGGTCCACAATCACAAGGGAGTAGTTTGGCATGGCATGACCAGATATGTTTTCCCCGATATCATCCGAAACGTCTTCGCAGGGATTCTTATAGTCCAGCCGGGTTCTGATGCAGGAAATGCTAGTCTCGGCCGACCCGTAACCACTGATGAGCTCTAGTTTGGGTAGGTCCAGATGCCTGAATGCGCGTCGGAGTCTTGCTGTGACAGTTTCTCGGCTGGAGAATGCAAACCGCCAAGAAGTGCACTTCCTGAGCACAGTGGTCCCATGGTCTACAATATCCAGATACTCGGATGCTGTGAACCCAGTATAGGTGACTCCCTCAGAAAGCATGATGTTAGCGACCTTGACTGCATCTCCAACAGACTCTTGGGGCAAGATGACAAGTGTTCCCCCATTGGCCAAAGACATGAGCATTTGTTCCAATGATAAGTCTGACTCTGGTGAGGCTGACTGCAGAACGACCTCGCGGCGAACTCCGAACCGAGTAGTGATGCCCCAAATCTGATTCATGACGCCGGCATGGGTAAGGAGCACGCCTTTTGGCGCTCCAGTAGTACCATTTGTGTACGCTACAAAACCCGCTTGGTTCGCTGCCGTCGAAATTGTGCTGAATCCTGAGTTCAATAAATCATGGTTCTCAATATTTCCGATATTGATGGCCTGAATCTCGCCAGTAGCGAGATGACCAGCCTGAGCCTCTGTCGACCGGTGGCACAGTATAATACAGGGCTGGCAGTCCGAGACAATCGATCCAAGACGCTCGACTGAGTTGCGAGTGTCCAAAGGCACATAGACGAGCCCAAGACGCATGATAGCAAGCAGTGAGCAGGCCAAGTCAGAAACGGCCGTTAAAAGCACAGCAACTCTAGCACCAGGTCGATCTCCGATCGTGCTATGCAGGGTGGCGGCGATATTTTCTGATCTTGCTATCAGTTCCGAGTAGGTCAGATGTTGTCCCAAACCATCTTTTACTGCCACCGAGTCAGGATAGAGGCTTGCCATTTCCTGAACTCGATGTGCCAATGAGTGGTGGTACCAATCCATAGTAGCCCTGGGTCCTTCCACCAAGGCGATATTGTTGTTGTCGTCTGTTTGACTGCTCAGGGGGTAGGAGCCGATGGAAATGTTAGGATCGGAGAGAAATGCAGTCAATGCGGCTTGGTACCATCGCACCATTCTCTTCGCATCCAACGCCCCGTAAAGATACCTTTGAATTACAAGACATAGTCTTGTCCCGTCTGGTGTGTCATTAACATCGAACTTCATGTCATATGGGTAACCAAGATTAGTGCCGTCGATCCACTCAATGGGAATGTCTCCAAACTTGGACCGAGTAGAATTGTCTTGACGGTAGTTGATAGCGACCTGGAACAGTGGATGGTGAGTTCCGGATCTTGGCACGTTCAGATGGTCTAAGATAGCAGCTAGAGGAGCTCGCGAATTTGCAAGAGCAGCGTAAACCATATCTCGAGTCTGGCGCGCTAAAGAGCCAAAGGTGGATTTGGGTTGCATCGAAAAGCGCAGCGGCAAAAAGTTCATGAAGTAGCCGAAGGTTTCCAAGTCCTCAGTGTCAACCCTGTTACTGTCCATGACACCTATGTTCAACTCGTCGATATTAAGACAGCGGGATAAGAATGCGGCCAGGGTGGAAAGGTAAATGTGGAACGGGGTCACGTTGAGCTTCGTACCCAGGGCTTTGACTCGCTTTGTGATCTGGACATCGAAAATGACATCGTGCCACACAACGTCAAATTTCCGTAAAATTTTCCGATTTCTAACCTTCGCGAAAGGCATCAAAGGTAAAGGCTTCAACTTTTTCCTATGAATCATAGGCCAGAATTGAAGTTCGCCTGGAAGATTGCTGGGTAGTCTATCGAGTTGCTGCTTGACACACAAGTCGATTGCTTGCTGCTCTGGTGGGACCAACCTGCGGCCTGAGTATGCCTCGTCCAGATCTTTTAGAAACATAATCGCGCTGAAGCCATCCAGAACGATGTGATGGTAACAAATGAGTATGTATTGGGTAGTCGGCGACTCGGTCAACACCAGGAATTTTATTGTTTGCCCTCGTGCCAAGTCGAATTCAAAGGTCTTGTGGGTCTCAACCACCGCAGCCAAGTCGTCTGGTCCGGTGACAATCTTGTGTTCGAGTGTGATTCCTGACGTGGCTGTGACAGCTTGCACGAATTGTCCAGAGGACTCATCAATGAAAAATGCACTCCGGAGGCTTTCGTGCTTCTGGGAAACATCATCGAGAGCCTTCTGAAGTTTCGGCACATTCACCTTCTTCTGCGCCTTTCCAAGCATGATAACAGTGTATGCGGACTTCTTCTGACTATACTCTTGCAGAAAGAACAGTCGAGTCTGTCCGATGGACAAGGGACCAACTCTTTCGTATGGTGACCTCTGGAGATTGATATCTCCACGCTCGTTATTTGGGGTCGTAGCGGAAGTAAGTGGAAGCACGTCCAGCGTAACTCTACTTGAAGAGTCCGAGCCACAGCTGGATCTTGGTGTGTGTGTACCTGGTTCGCTTTTAGTGGGGCTTAATTGACACAAGAATTGGCCATCTGTTTTTGACACGGATGAGCTTTGGTCGTCCCGGTTATCTTCAGTAGCACCTCGTGTGCGAGATAATGCTGAAAGACGAGCCAATGCACCCATGCAAATGTCTGAAGCAGATGCACCGTTGAGGAACTTGAGCACCGGCATATCAATATTAAGCTCCTTCAGGAACCAAGACCGCAACTCAACAGCGACGAGTGAGTCAATGCCCATCTGAACCAAGGGCGCTTGGACATCAATGCTTCCAGCCGCCAGTTGCAGCATAAGCTCGACCTTCTTCGAGAAAGCGACCTCAATCACACCCAATGCCTCGGTGTTGGTATTCGACTGGGCCAGTTGACCCAGAATGTTGATCGAAGAATGGACGGTCTGAGCGATCTCGCCGAACTTCTGCTCATGGCAAACAAAATGCGAAAAGCGCGGGTCCGAGGTCCATGGAGCGTCCGCATCGTACCCAACCCCAGTGATTACCTCCGGAGAATGGCTGGATCGTGGTTTCCCAGACAGAATAGCAGCAGCAAAGATATCGTGGAATTCAGGCTCTGATATGGCCATATAGCTGTACTGTTTCATCTGAGACTCATACTGGTCCAAGGACCGGGCCACGTACCCGATACCAAGAAGCATTGCGATGTCCATGACAGAGGCTGCAACACCGCGGCCCCTGCGTTGCTGTGCTAGACTGTGCATGAACAAGTTGGCTGCTCCGTAGTTGGACTGTCCCTTGCTGCCGACGACACTGGCGATCGAGGAGAACAGCACAAAGAATTCAAGATCCGCTGAGAAGAAGAGATCATCCAGATTCTTGCTACCCTGTACCTTCGGCGCAAGGACTGCATTGAAATTGTCGAACGTTGTGTTTTCGAAAGCTTTGTCACTCAATACCATTGCAGCATTAGCCACTCCGGCAATCGGCGGCATCGTGTTGCAAACCTCCAAATAGACTTTGTCTAATGCCATGCGGTCAGAGATATCCAAAGCGAAGACTCTGACCCTGGCACCACGTCGCTCCAAGTCATCTAGCAACGCAGGGTGGATATCCGGATTCCGGCTGGTAATGACCAGGTGCCGCGCCCCGTTTTTGACCATCCAACTGCATAGCGAGAGGCCCACCTCACCAGTAAGACCAACCAAAAGGTATGTTTTGTTGGCTGAGAAAAGAGTTGCCATTTCGAGCGACCGGATGAGCGCAGAAACGGTGACTTCGCCTTTCCAAGTAATAACATGTGCGGGTCCCTTGTCTTCATGAGGGAGCTCCTTCACATCTTGAATCATGGTTAGTTCTGTTGAAGGATTGCCTTCGCAGCTTTGAATGTGTCTTGAGGATACATGAAGGCATATTTTAGAGAGCCTGTCCAGAATCGCGTGTCGCGAGAACTGGAGAATGACGTTTCGCCGACCGCCGACATTTCTCATGAGGCTTTGGGCATCAACACACTCGTCTTTGTATAGGGACTTGAAAATCTTGTCAAATTCCCTCCCATTCTTGTGACCTGCGTTTGCAAATCGCGTCAGATCAGCCGGCAGGATGCTAGCCAGGTCTCGCCGGGCGGTTCGTGGATGGATGAAGCGTCTTAGTGGGTCGATTCGGGACTGCGCGGTGCTAAGGAACACGCCCAGCTCTCGATTCTCGGAGCAATGCGTCAAACACTTCGCGAGTCGATCATCGGCCTCGTGTACCCATAAAGACCCTTCAACTTCAAAAGAAAGGTTCTCGGCGACGAGATGCGAGAGGACCTCATTAAGAGCCTCCTCGTCGTTCAACCCTGAATTCCACTCCAACCTCTGGTCGCGAGGAACGCAAACGAGAGATGCATTGCTCTGGGATAGGAAAAGAAACCTCTCATCGGAATGAAATTCGGAACCGATACAGATGAAGAGTGATTGGTGGTCTAGGGTAGAGAATGGGAACAGCGATGACACATGAACACGGACGAGGCGGTTCTCACAGCTGCTGTGTTCCCCAGCACAATTTGTGTGCGGGTCGGACTCCAGCAGGGCTATTCGTTCGTTTCGTTGAGCAACCTCAATACAGGAAGTGAGGATGGAGAAATCCCTTTCTATAGGTCTCCTTTGTGCGTTGAGGCGAGCATTGAGGTCATCATCCGGGAGGATTCGGGGAATGTAGGCTCGTCCTTCCTTTATGCAGAGTTCACGTTCGGAACTCCATAGCACTCCCTCAAAGCCTGGGCTGCTGAGGCAAGTCATTCGCAGAATATGTTCAGCCAGAACAACGGCCTCGAATCCAGCTGCACCAACGATGTCGAAGTCAAGGAATTGCAGGGACACGTGTGGGGATTCTAGAAGAAGTGATCGGCCCACGCCGAGAGTCATGTTGCTGTACGGCTCGTCAGCCATACGACCTTGCGTGACCCAAAGAATGTGGCTGGACCCAAGGAACAGTTTCTTCAGTCCGTTGAACTTCATTTCAGTCATGTCTCTCCAAATAGGTCCGTCAAGATCCGCGAGGCACAGGGTCACAGTTCCGGGACTGAGGTAGTCTGTGGAGAGAAGGTCAAGGGCATTCCTCGTCAAGATACTACCAGCGAATGGCTGCAGAAGTTTCGTGAGGGTTCTCAAGATTGCATTGCTCGCTGCCTTGATGCCACCAACAAGTATCAGATTAGTGATGCGTGGCACCAGCGAGGTAATGGGCTCTGATGAATTTTGAACCGTCGACAGTGGTTGGCGGAGAAGAGTGACTCTATCGTCCACTGCTTGTGTTGCCATGACAGTATTGTAGTGGCCTTTTTCAAAGTCTCTGCGTGCTATGTCGACCCCAGAGAACCCGTTTTCGGCCAGAACCAGGTTCCATTGAGACTCACTAAGGGTGGGAGTGTGAATCCTGCCGTCGTCCCTTCCAAGCCACCAACCTGGTAGACCGGCCGTGATGAAACCAAGACGAATCGTCTCTTCGGCGCTGGTAATCTCCATCAACAGAAGCTGACCACCAGGTCTCAATAAGCGTCGACAATTTCGCAATGTGTTGGTCAGAACTTTGGTAGCATGCAGGACGTTAGACGCAATGATCAGGTCGAAAGACTCGTCTTTATACCCCTGTTCCGAGGGATCTCGCTCGACGTCAAGCGTTTTGAACGTCATCTTGTGGAGATGCTCGTGAAATAGAGACCGAGCGTTCTCGAAGAAGCCCGGTGATATATCAGTATAAGTGTATGACTCGAACTGAGGCGACAGAGCTTTGAGTACATGGGCTGTCGCCCCGCCAGTGCCAGCACCGATTTCCAAGACTTTTATGTGAGGATATCTGTGTGAAAATCGTGAGACCAGACTTGCTAGATGGAAATTGGCCTGCGGGAATCCAAGACCCTCCTTATAGAATCTGTTCAACATATCATTCTCCATCAGCACTTGCAATGTTGGCAACATCCCTCGGCACACTGATGGAAGGGCTTCGCCGAGGGCCGTGATTAGATCCATGTCGATCTTGCCGCGATATCGGGATTTCCAGAACGCGATCATTTCTGGGGTGTCGTCTTTCCACGCAGCCTTGACCCGAGGGTATAGACCAATTTCGATGCGAGGTAGCACATGATCCAAAGCCCAACTCATGAGATATTGGAAATGCTTATCCATCTGCGGGATCTCCTCAGGTAAAATCTCCCTTTGGAGCTTCCTTAAATAGAAATAAACCACCCGTTCAATGATCTCGGCAAGTTCTCTGTCCTCAGTGCTCGACGGAGCTTCGGGCAGGACGTCATTGGCAATATCTGGCATCCAGATGGTGCGCGCAAATGTCTTACGGTCATTTTGAGCCAGACTTCTCTCGAGGGAAGTGCAGGTAAGTCCCTCGATCTGCAACTCCGGGCGATGCTTGGCACCGAGGAAAACATTGACGTCTCCAGATATTTTATCACCAGATGTTGACCTGACGTAACAGTCTGCGGTGTGAAATAGCTCGGATTCTTGATTTGAAGGTGGATATTGACAAGCAGACACATCGATGCGAACGCGTTCTATATTTGTTGGCAGATGGCCTGTCTGGAGTCTCCCGTCACCAGGGAAGCAGAATGCGGCAAATACTCCCTGGAAGGCTGCATCCAGCGTTGCAGGATGGACAAGTAGAGGAGAGCTTATATGCCGAACATTGACGTTTGCCATGTCGAGTCTCCGGCAAGCCGACTCGATCAAGAAGTCTCCAGAGTATTTCAGGCCGATCTCCTCCAGTGATGCGTAGAAACGAGAAACGTCGAGCTCTGACAGCGGCAACCTTGGTGATTCTCTGGCGGGCAAAGCAAAAGGCTCCGCAGATGTAGCCAGGGTCAAAATTGCTCGTCCAGTAAAATTGACTTTCTCCGTGTCCCGCGATGAAGCATCCACCCCTGCACTGTAACATGTGTAATCGGCTGTGATCATGTTTGAAGACCTTTCGGTAACCCTGATCACAAATCGCACATCTGTTCCCGATGAGTCGTCCTCAAGGATAATGGCCTCATGTATGACGAGGTCTTCAAGCTCAACAAATTGCACAGCCGCGTCCTGTCCACCACGGACCAGTCTGACAGCTGCCTCTACAGCCATAGAAATGTAGCCTGCAGCCGGGAAGAGAACCTGGCCTTGGAACTGATGACCACGGAGCCAATCCATCTCCCTCAGCCGCATGACGTTGCGCCATCTGACTTCTTTCATGTTGCCGTCCGAAGTTGCTGTGCCGAGAAGCTCGTGTGGTGGATCTTTGCGTTCTCGATACAATTTTGATACTCGCGATTCCTTCCACAGAGGCTTTTCGTGATCCCAGGAGTAGGTAGGTAGTCCTTTGACAATGGAAACTTGATGGGCTTTTTCTTCGCCGATGCAGGCCCTTCTGAATGCTTGAAAATCAATAAGTGGATATGATGGTTGAAAGCTTTTCCACAGGAAACCTAGGGCATCTGAAAATGCGTTCATTTCATTTTTCCCTCTGTTCAGAATTCCGATATATGGAAGGTCAATACCGGTGAGCGTTTTGAGAGTCTCCGTAGCCGGTGACTTGAGCGCCGCGTGAGGGCCAACTTCGAGGACTATGTCATAGCAGTATGACTCCGTCACGGCCCTATCCAATGCTTGAGAAAACAGAACTGGCTGTGACAGATTTTCCACCCAGTATTGACCTCTGAGCGCTGCCCTGTCATTGATACTTCTGCCATCTGGTCCATAGACGCTGGAGAACCATTTGCAATTGTTCTGACCTTCAGATTGTATGGCGATTTCGCACTGGTGAAGGGATTTCAAGTAGGTCTCAGAACATGATTCCATGTGCCTAGAGTGATAGGCTTTGTCGACATTCAGAATCCTCGAAAAGATTCGGTCGGCATCGAGCAGAACTTTGGCCTCCTCTATTGCGTCTGCATCTCCGGACAATGTGGTGCTAGATCTCGAATTGCTGGCTGCCACAACAATTCTTCCCAAGAATTGGTCTTTTTGACAAAACTGGCGCGCATTCTCAAAGCCCATTCCGACTGCCATCATGCGTCCAGGGCGCTCTCGACTTTGCAACGCTTCTGCATGCAGACCACGGTAGTATGCAATGCGAATGGCGTCATGGGCGTTGATGTAACCAGCTGCATACACAGCGGCAATCTCACCAGAAGAATGTCCCACAACGCCTTGAAATGCGATCCCACAGGCTTTCAAGAGATCGACAAGGCAAATCTGCAATGCAGTGCAGAGGGGCTGACAAATGGCAGCTTCGTGTACTCTAGATGTTTCGGTCGGCGCTAGAAGTTCTGAGCTAAGGAACCAATTCGGAGGATCTGGAAGACAAGCAAGCGATCTCTCGAGACTTTGCATGGTATTCCTGAACGCAGCTGATTTCTCGTATAAAGCAGCCCCCATTGTAGGCCATTGTGCGCCCTGGCCAGTGAATATGCCCAGTATCCGTGGTGGCAGACTCTCGGTGACATGGACTGCAGCTGTCGACCAAGATGGCTCATTATTTCCAGCTGCGGACTTTGAAGAAACTGATTTTAATTTATCGATAAGGTCATTTGATGTTGTTGCAGAGAAGCTTGTTTTGAACGGAAGCACACTGCGACGCATCTGCAAAGTAAAAGCTAAGTCGGCAAGACTGATCTGGCTGTCTTCGCGTTGCTTGAGTGTTTCTGCCATTGCTGCAACTGCCGAGGACAATGCAGACTCAGAGTTTGCCGACATGATAAAAGGCCCGTAAGGATACGTGTCTGGAGATTGGACACATTTTGCTGTCTCCCAGCTTTCGATAATTGCGTGACAGTTGGTGCCACCGAAGCCGAAACTATTAACACTTGCCCGCCGTGGGACGCCCTGTGGCAAAACTGGCCACGAAATTGCTTTCGTAGGGACACATAAGTGATGGTAAAATGGCTCGATAGCTGGATTCAGTTGATCAAAATGCATGTTGGCCGGAATAAATCCGTGTTGAACAGCCAGAGAAGCTTTCAGGAGGCCGGCAAGACCTGCAGCACCCTCAAGATGGCCTATTACCGTTTTGATGGAGCCAACGTGAAGTTTAGCGGTTGAAGAAGAAATATTCGATGCATGTTCACCGTCCCGTGGATTGTCGAAAAATGAATTTCGCACAGCCTCAGCCTCGACGGGGTCGCCCGCCAATGTTCCAGTACCGTGTGCCTCGAAGTACTGGCATCGATCTTCTTCCACCGAGCAATCTAGACCGCATCGTTCGTAAGTCGATCGAATCAATGCAGTCTGAGAAGAAACACTCGGCACGGTTATACCGGCAGTGCGACCGTCTTGATTTACCCCGGTTTCCCGAATGACGCTTTCAATATCATCTCCATCTGCAATAGCTTGGCGGAGCAACTTGAGCACAACAGCTGCAGACCCTTCTCCTCGCGCGTAGCCATCAGCTTTGGCGTCCCACATGCGTGATCGACCTGTGGGAGAAAGCATATGAAGCTATAAATTGAATCAGCAATCGTCCCAGTGATTCGCTCTGCAAGTCTTCCACCATGGGCCATCTGCTATCTTTCTTGGCTCTAGTGAAAGCTTCAAATCTTCGTGATGCCAAACAATAAAGGTTGTTATTCTCAAAAACTCCGTGTCTACCAAAATCACACAATTATTTGAATGACATGTGGTACTGTCCACTGGCTAACAAAAAGTATTCAAGACAATGGGAGGAATACATACCTTAGACTCATGAATATAATTCTCGGGGCCTAGAATTAAGTTGACACCTGCAGCTACTGCCAGCTTCGACTCGCCATGTCTGAGTTCTTGAATGGCTTGATGAACAGCAACGAGGCTTGATGAGCACGCAGTGTCGATTGTGACGGAGGGTCCTTTCCAGTCGAAGAAATAGGAGACTTTGTTTGATGTAAGGCATCGCGATGTACCAGTCGACATATACTGCGGGATACTATCGAAGTCTCGCGCAAGAACATCATGATAATCTGCCGTCATTTGTCCAACAAAGACCGCCGTTGCGGATCCTTTTAGTTGCTGCAGAGAATAGCCCGCTGATTCTATTCCTTCGTAGACAGTCTCTAGGAGCACGCGGTGCTGCGGATCTGTCGATTCCGCCTCTTTCGGGCTGATGTTGAAGAAATTGTGGTCGAACACACGGATGTCTTCGTCGAGCATATATGACGTGGTAACGTTCGAGCACTAGTATCTCCTTAGATTTAATCCACAAATTTCTTAAGTGACATGTAGCACTACCACACATTTATTTTGAAGCAGTCTTTATCTTCATCGTCCACCTCAAACAGCTATCGCCTCCAGCTTTTATTTTCCCCTGAGGCTTCAAAGACAACGCTGCCATCCTGGATCCAAAATACTCAGAAAACTTTGTAGACTTACCCCGTGATGTTCAGGGTCACTGTGATAGAACGCCTTTGCATTGAAACATGATGACGGGATATCGCTCAGCAGATCTCGTGGGTCTCGCAAAAGCTCCCATAGTTTCGATGGAGACGAGGCTCCTCCAGGGAACCTGCAACTGCTTCCAATGATGGCGATGGGCTCAGGGCCGGCGCGTGTTGACACCATGATGATCTGCACAGCCTAACTACTAGCCCCGCGTAGATGGGCGAGTCCGGTGGACGTTGTAAATGGACCCAAAGATGGAGGATCTAACGAGCCTTTTCGATATAGAAGCCACCTGCACAGAGGTCATGGGTGACACAATGGATACGGAATAAAGTCAATCCCAACATGAATTTTCATAGGGCAAATTGGTCGGCGTTACGCTTGGGTGCCTACTTGACTTGATCTTTAGCATTTGGATTTTCCGCACAGACATTTCAAGCAGCTTTGGAAAGTATCGTATGATCCACTCAGTCTTCTCCTACTTACCTGGTATTTCGAAACTCATTACAAGTAAAATGAAACCCCAACCACAGACCTTTCGGGGTTGGACTTCCGGACATATTTTCATGACCCAAATTTCTGTTCGTGTACTGCGTGAGGCGCGCGCAACTCCAGGCCGGCAATTCAAATGCGACTCTGCGGATACTCTGAAGTTGAACATGGGGCTTGGATGGACTTCATGTTATTCCGGACGCGAAAGCCCACATCCCTGCTTGTAAAAAGGCTTGAAACATCGGCTCTCGCCCCTGTAAGCCGCCTCCTAGGGGTCGTATGGGAGCTGCAATGCTATTTTATTTTTCCCGCTTTCCAAATGGATCCAAAGTGCACCTTATCGCAAGAAATGACCTACAGGAAGCCCTAGATGCTGAAGTGACTACGAAGGAAGAAACGCTATTGCGTAGTCAATCGTTGCTTTATCAAGAACAAAGTTGATTCCTCTCACACTAAGACACAATCGGGAATTCTTTATTATACTCTTGCAATTATCGATTTTGACAAATGCAAGATGACTACACAAGTAGCGCTTGTGGCCGGTGGTGATGGGTCATACCAAATTTCCACGGAAGTTGAAGTACCAAAACCGAGGCCAGGTACAATGCTCTGCAAAGTCAGGGCCGTGGCTTTGAATCCGGCTGACTGGAAGATGATTGACTTCTCTGCATCGGAGGGCGCCATTGGAGGCAACGACTTTGCCGGTGAAGTCATTGAAGTCGGGCAAGGCGTCGAGAGATTCAGCAAGGGAGACCGCATTTTTGGAATGATGTTTGGCCTCAATCCATCTGACAAGCTAAGCGGAGCATTCTGTTGCTATGCATTAGCCACGGAGGACTTGTCCTGCAAGATACCGCAGTCCATGACATTCGACAAGGCATCAACATTGGGCGTACCTGTTGGAACCGCTGGAAGCGCCCTATATCAAGCACTGGGTCTCCCCATGCCTGGCTCTGTTGGATGTCTAAACAGTCAACTTTATGTTTTGGTCTCTGGAGGAGCTTCGGCGACCGGCACGATTGCGATCCAGCTTCTAAAAGCGTAAGTTCAATAATTTGAGTCTCTATTCAAGTTAAGATTCCATAGCTAAGTCAAAGTAGATCTGGGCTGATACCAATCGCAACATGCTCGCCTAGTAGCAAGGACTTCGTGTTGTCCTTGGGCGCCGCTGAAACATTTGATTACAACTCATCAACCTGTGGCATGGAGATTCGCAACTACACGAAGAACAACCTTAAACATGTCCTTGACTGCGTTACGAAAGATGATTCCATGAAAATGTGCTATGAAGCGATCGGCAGTGATGGTGGCAAGTATGTAGCCCTGGAACCGTTTTCTACGCGCATACAATACACGAGAAGGGAAGTACAGGCTGAATGGCAAAACACGTGGTCGTTATTTGGGGGTCCAGTAAAATTGTCCGGGGTGTATGGGAGGCCAGGACACAAACATGATCGCAAGTTTGCTTCAGTCATGTTCCCTATGGCTGAGCGCCTGATCATAGACGGGCAACTCAAGCCTCATCCAGTTGAAGTCCGAGTAGGCGGGCTGGAGTCTATCATGGATGGGATTGAAATTTTGAGAAGCGGAGAAGTGAAAGGCCGGAAGCTTGTTTACCAAGTAGCGTAGTAAAGAGTTGTTTATACTAGGACTTCATATGAAGTACGATTGATCGCACCACGAATGATCATAATACGAAAAGATACACATGAGTATTAGATGAGAGGCTGTGGAAGCGCCTTCGGTGAAATGCATGTTTTCTATCTTTGTGGTTGACACAATTGCGAGCCATCTTGAGCCCGTGGCGACATCATCGTCCTGCGAACTTGCATAATGTTGATGGAACTTGAAGAAAGAAAGTCGCCGGAGCAGATGATTTATTGTGGATATTCTTTACCTTAAGACATAAGCAATATACAACTGTCTGCTGCCGTGATTGCCGCCACGCCCCCCGCCCCCTCCCCAGGGGTATTCAAGGACTTCCGCAACACTGAGTACATGTACTCTGCCATTCCAACTGAGGGAGGTCTTTTATTTTATGCTTCTATTTCTATATCTGTGATTTACATACGGAAAACGCTGTGCCAGCTTTGAAATTTATCAGCTTCACTGAACCTAATACAACTCTTTCGTCATTCTTTGCTGGTACTCCAACGCGGTGATCTCGTCATAATGAGCAGGGTTCTCCGGGGTCACAAATTCGGGAAGCGGACCGGCCGAAGTGTTACGACTGGCTTTGAAGAAGAAAACACACGAATGGCGTTCGAGAAGGATACCGTCAGCAGCGCTGGTCTTGTATGCGGGAGGAGCTGAAACTTGGTGAAGACCTGCTTTGATAACGCCGTTGGTCCATCGCTGAAACGTGTCACTGATGTTGACTACCATCTCGCTTTTCTGGCCTGAACCGACATTGACCGGCGTCACTGGGACAAATGTCCCAGGCCGGGCTCGGTCCTCAAGCTCCAGGCCGCCGACGTGGTCCTGAAATAGCAAGGTGATGATGCCAAAATCGGTATGTGGCCAGGTGCGCTTGACGCGGCCGTCTGCCAAGCGCTCCATTGATACCGGAGGGTAGCGGTTCATGCGAATCTCACTGGCTGCCGGACAGCAGCGCCGGACGAGTGCGCCAGGCTGTAGTCCGAGGCCGACTTCAATAGCTGCCACGATCCGCAGCGAGATCTCCTGACATTGCTGATAGGTATGCTCCATGAATTCTCGAAATCCGGGCAAAGCATCCTCGCGAGGCCAAAGATTGGGATATTGAGTGTCATCCAGCGGCCCAGCATCGAAATGCTCCTTTTGACCTTCATTAGATGGTGCTCAAAATCGGCGCGTTGAATACGGATGGGCAAGTCAACCGGGATCTTGGCTCACTCGTTCGTCCATCAGCTCGCTCGCGTTGCGGTTTATGATGTTCTCTTTTCTTAACTTCGAAGTCTGTTCTGAGCCCACACGGCTCCACCCTCGCTGAGGGTGAGGGCTGCGAATGCAGACAATGTCATCTTTAATTTCTGCGGGAAGATTGAAGAACTCTTTCGACTATGTTGTCAAAGGTCAATGTTTAAAAACCACAAGCTATTGTAGAGATGCAAAAAGTGATCTTACAAAATTCAGCAACGCCTTGGTGGTCGCGTCAGGAAGACCGTGATTGATCAATTTTACAAATCCATGGTCCCTGAACGATTTGACCAAAGCATTTCCCAGATTCAACTGGTCGAGGTTCGAGCCATTGGTAAATTTAGCAAAGTCAAGAGTGGGAAGACTCGTCATTCTGCGGAAATTTCGAAAACTCTGGTGCGTCTGTTGGAATGTGTGCAATACTTCGCACTCAAGATGCCTCAAGTCAACGAAGAATGATTCTTAATATCTTGTTACCCACCGCCGTTGCCATGGTTTCGCGGCACGGAATCCTGTTCTTCCCAAGTATTGTCTGCAGATCCGACCGGCATCAACATTTTTCACCTCATCTCTATAGTAACTTCTGCACAGCTCAAATGCTTGAAACGTCCGTAATCCTGAGAAGCACTCAGTACCATCCCGTGGCCCCCCTTCACTTGCTCACTTGAGTCTGAATAGTACCGCTGCTCCACTTTCTCAGCAAGAGGTTTTGAATTGTCAGACACAAAACCTCGGCAGGATGATTTTAAAGCATTCAATCAAGTATGGGTTATGACTCATGTGATCTGGTACAAGCTTTTTGGCAGTGGAAACGGATTTCAGAAACTCCGAGTAATACATCAACGGCAAGTAGACGTCGTATTCCATTGACGAAACGCAAGGCCACGGCAGTTGTATATCGGTAAACTGAGCGGTCGCATCACGCCTTCGATTTGATCAGGCCACCTTGCGTTTTACAGCGACTTTGTTCTAGGCGAGTTTGCAAATTGTCGACACAAAGTTGCAGCTACCATTAGAATCTCCACTGACAAATAGTGTAGTCTCTACCTACAGGCTGTTGCGAACCAATCATTTCAACCTGTTCTGACCCTAAAATGATAGCTTTGAAGATAGAAGTGTTTACCATGATCATTTATCTACACTTTCCAGGACTTGAGGTGGAATCTCTGGCTATAAGCATCAAATACACGCTCAGAGGTATGGGTGCATCCATTTTCCTCTGTAGCTAAGTACTTATAGCTCATTTTCAATTCTCCTAGAATTCATTGTCAATGTGAATTATATCCACATATCGTATTCATGGATTGTCTCTATTTCATGCTTGGTTCCCGAATATCTCATTAGCTCCAAAGCTTCTATCCCCCAATTGCCACTTAAATGCAGAGAACTTAGGTAGCAAAAAGATCTGGCAAACTCTCTCCGTTTGGTATGCCTGGGAGGCGTGACATATTCGTGCTCTACCAGATGCTCATCCATCAACGAAGAGTTGTCGTCTTTCTCATCTATTTGGTCCTTGTCGTACGGAGAATTTCCAAAGTCTGTTCCCAGGTTCTCTCGAAGGGGTATGCCCTTGACAATAAAAGTGACCACGAATCCCAGGAGACTGAAAGCGATACCAACCTGCCAAACCAGCTTCAGACTGTCTACGTAGACACTGAGTACCTGGCCCTTGATAATGGGTTGAGAGTTTAATGTCATCATGAAGCTTCTGGTGGCCAACGCATAAGCACCACCATTTGCAAGTCTGCTCCTGATCATATCATCGCTGACACGATAAAGCAGAGAATTGGCCTGTGAGTTGAAAATCGCTGTTGGTATTGCCACGCCCCAGACACCACCAAACGAACGCACAAAGCCCCATGCAGCTGTGGTGATGGCCTGGTCCGCTTCAGCTAGAGGGGCCTGGATCGCGGGCAGAGCAACAGACATAAGCATGCCTGTGCCGGCGGCTGCCACGCCTTGTGATGCAGCCCAGTACGCTGTGGACGATGATTGATCAAGGAGACTGAGCATACCGTAACCTGCAGCCAAGAAAGCGAAGCCGGCGAACATAAAAGGCTTGAATCTATTGAAGAATGACAGCCCGAATCCCGCAGCAATCGCAAATGGCATGGCGATAAAGACGCTGGGTAGGGCATCAACACCGGATCCGGTAGGTGTCGCTTCCAAAACGGCTTGGAAGTATACGGGAAGATAGTTGGATACCCAATATGTGAGCATCGAGTGAATAAATGATAGCCCGAAACTGGGCAGTGACGTTCGGTTGGCAAATATCCTGATCGGCATCGTAGGCTCTGGGATTAGCGTCGTGGATTCGAGTATGAGAAAACCAGCGATTCCAAGGATTCCCAGAATCAAAGGCACAAGAACCCTCCAAGATGACCAGGGGTACTCAGACCCAGCCCAAGTTAAAGCTATCAGAACGGAGATGACAGACGCGATGAGGAGGGCATTGCCTGTGAGATCAACACGTCGAAAAATGTTTGATCTAAGATCTGGAATGTACGGAACATGCAGAAATAAGAGCAGCGAAGCGAACGACACCCCAGCGATAGGCAGGTTAAGGTAGAATATCCATCTCCATGACGAATGCTCAGCTAAAGCCCCACCAACGACGGGACCGATAGAAAGGGCGATAGAGTAAAACGAGAAGATGATGCTCATGAACCTAGACCGATCGCGCAATGGGACCAAGTCGGACACTACGATCTGTGTCATCACATTGATTCCTCCACCTCCAATTCCTTGTATGAGACGACCAGCAATCAAAGCCGCAATGGTCACCGCTGATCCCGAGATGGCTGAGCCGATAGTGAAAAGGAGCACGGCAGAGAGAGTCAAAATTCGCCGTCCAAAAATGTTGGCTGTCTGCCCAAAGAGAGGTTGAAACGCCGTGGACGTGAGAAAATAGCCATTGGCAACCCAGGAATAGGCAGGGCTAGAGCCCAGGTCGTGCATAATGGTCGGCAGAGCGGTGGAGATGATGGATGAGTCCAAAGCAGAAAGAAGCGATGCGAAGGAAAGTGCCACAATGACTGTCTAGAGTGAGGGTCAATGCAAATCCAGTATTGTATGGTACAAAAACACAGAGAATTGAGTGCTCTTACCCAAAGGTGCCAACCGTAAGAAGCCATGACGTTTAGGCGCAGTTGTGTCAGCATGAAACGTGGACACGAGATGTCAATTCCATGTCGGCTTCTGTATAGCTTTTGTTGAAGAGATCGGCCCTCTTTTGCTTGAACAATTTTTGCCCATCTGCTGCACATGGACACGCCATAGAGATTTTCAGCAGATGGAACTTTGCCGTTCTGAGCTTTGATGCATATCTTCACTGGATGAAACGATGAGCAACCTTTCTCGGAGTTTTGGTTTACAAGCACCTGTCTGGGGGCACAGCCCCGAAGCACCTACGTACAGGTAACATTCTATGTCCGCATCTTGTCCCTGTCAATCGCAGAAGTACCGAAATGGATTTTCAGATGCTTTAATTGAGCTCAAAGCTAGTTTGTGTCGGTCAAATCATTCGGACCAACCAACTGGGATCAAGACCATATTCAAAGACTTTTGCGTTTTATTATGAAGAGAGCTGACTCCTGACTGACTCGAAAGTAATGTGTTCTTCCTGGGACAGCAGACCGTACTTGCGCGCCGAAATCAAACGAGTGATAATACTTAGAGCCCAACATATCCTCCTTTTCTAATCTGTGATTTGTGCATGAGCAATCAAATGCCACCATAGTCTTCCTCATCGGCTCCGTCTTCCTTGCATCCGCGCACTTCGATTGCAATCTTCTGATTCCAAGGCAGCGATTATTTGCAACAGATTCATGCACTTTGTAGAAGAAGAGAAAAGACAATAGAAATACCCAAGGACGTTTTACAAACCAACATGGTACTCAACGATAGTGGTTACAAGGAACAGGTGCTACCAGCACCTGAGCTCCAGAGCCCGGAAGCAGATGACTTCGCATTCTGGGACGATTATTGCAGGAGCTATATAGATCCACTGCTGGACGCTGCTCACTATTCCGATGAAGACCGCGAATCGCATCGAGCATTCATCCGCGAATATGTCATTCCTGCCATAGGGCCTCGCCCTCGACCTTCGGTCGCAAAGCCTCGAATGGCAATTGCACCCCACGGCTGCCCCAGCGATCCCAGCATTAATTTCACTGCCAAGAAAGCCCTGGCTCGATTCGGATTTGCAGTCAACGGACCTCAATCATTTACCGCGGAGGACCCTCTCGGCGTGGAGACGTCATATGCGGCTCTCGCTAAGTTTGCACGGGACACAGACTCCTGCGTGGACTTGCGTTGGTTGGATTGTCTCATGGCCTTGTACCCGAGCCCCGATTCCATACATGTCACGGCAGACTCTTCTTTATACAAGAATTACAGCAGGCGGGTCGCATTCGCGGCGGCGGTTGATTTCGATGGGTCCCGACGGAATGTGAAAGCTTATGTGAGCCCTTTCATCAAACATGCCATGACGGGCATTTCAGAGAACGAAATTGTGTTTGATGCGATCAAAAGTCTGCAACCCGGAGGCCCTGCTCTACGACCAGCCATAAAGATCTTGGAGGACTATTTGTCAACTCGCACGGAAAAGTTCTATCTCGGCAACCAGTTCATCGGGATTGACTGTACAGATCCCAGCAAAGCTCGGGTCAAACTCTACATGGCGACAAATACTGCCCGATTTGATTTTATCCAAGCCGCAATGACCCTGAGTGGGCGGCTCAACGACGAATACACTACGCAAGGCATGAATATATTGAGAGATATCTGGCATCTTCTCCTCGACGAGCCCGAGGGCATCAGTGATGATTTCAACAAGCCCCGAAATAAACTTGCGAATGCGCTCCCTGGCGTGTTTGTGTCTTATGAAATCAGAGCAGGCGTAGAACTACCCGATATCAAAGTCTATGTGCCAATGTGGCTATACCACAGAAGCGATGAGGCCGTAGCAGGAAACCTAGACCAAATCTTCACAAGGCTTCGTGACCGGAAGGTGCTAGGAAAATGGGCTTGGGACAGTGGAATCGGAGAAAGATATCAAGACTTTTTCAAGAAGACGTTGTGAGTCAGCATCGATCCCTCATTCCCAGATTTCTCATGACTGATTCCGTTTAGTGGCGATGGAGGAGTTCCCGGGCCGAAAATGGTCCATACATGGAGCACGTTTTGTTTTATGAAAGACCGGGGTGTATATATGACTTCGTACATGTCTCAAAATGTGGAATTCCCCTTGCCATTTTGATATGGTACACCGCATCGCGAATGGCAATTCGCATTATCAGCATACATATTCAATTTGGAAGCTTGTTAAATACTAGTAAAACACTAGGGACTGCTCCAAAATTGTCCGAGTCAGGAGTTGAATCTTACACAATGATTTAAAGGGCATAGTATACTATGGGTACTTGTTAACTTGTACTTGTTCGGAGCTTTCTTTGTTCTCATGACGTGGGCTGATATGCCATCAAGAGACGACTGTCATTCAAGACAATCTATGATGGCAGCTTTGTGTGCTCTCCTGACACAAAACGCATGCGCCCGGAGCTGAGCTCATGTAAGGCACCTCTGGGTGGCGCCAAGCGAGATGTGAAGTCAATGGGATGTGTTGCAGTCGATCAGAAGACATAGAGCTGAAGCAACATGCCATGTGGCTTTGATAGCTACCAAACGCCGTAAAGCGGTATGGGATTGTGGATGTCGACGAAGGTGAATAAACCACACGAGGAAGTAGTGGATGCGATCCATGTAACGAGATTGCATTGGAGATACCTGTTGAGATTTGGCGAAGTTGCCCGGAGACGTGGAGAGCCTCCTCGCGAGGTGGTCTCAATTCGCATATTTCTAGAACTATTTTCGTGATTGGCCTCAGCTATTGGTGGACAACTTGTAATTCTATTTTGGGTGGATCGACATAGTGACATATGCAGGAAGCAACACCTTGCTTCTTGGTCTGATGCCTTTCTTGAGAATGTTCGCTGCAGCTCACTTAAAGTCTTGCAACCGCTTCGGACAAGTGCATAGAGGTGAAGGTATGAATGAACCTAAATGACCCCATTTCTGCAGGGGTGCTAAGAGTCAGTCTTGCGAGAAAACTGCAGCGGGTCACTTGTCCACTTGTAGGCCATCCACACATTCCCACTTGGCGCCCCTATCATCAACCCTCATTGACCTTCCAGAGAATAAAATCGACTCTTTCCTATTCGTCGAGCGCTTTGCATTGAGCTAAAATAAGCTTATCTTTTGAGAATTTGCGCGATCAGATTGCATGTACGGCTATCATCAACTCACCCTAGGCATGTTGTGCTTGAAACGGACTACCTGCCACTTACGTGATGTGTAAATTCTCGGAGGGAGCAATGCACTCCGTAGTCTTGGCTTTGTCTTGGCTCAGGAGACATGCCGGTGCGCAAACATGAAAGGATGACTGGCGGACCCACGGTCTCCCCACAAGATGTGCACCATTATACGCGGGTTTGCAAATCCCACGAATGAAGATCTCCCGCAATGCCAAGCCCACCCCTTCTCAGTAAGATTGAGGGCTCCCAGTGAGGAAGACGAAATGAGACTAAGTATGGCGCTCAGTTACATTCTGGTCGTAGTTCATGATGTAGCTCGTTGGAAATCAAGTATAAGATATCGTGTGGTTAGGACAGGAGGCAAAAGAGCCCTGACGTCCTTCGGTGTTCCATTTCAGTGTGTTGCCTTCATCTAACCGACTGCCTGTCCAGCCCAATCATGCCGTCTCCCATCATTCTTTTGGCTTCATTGCCAGCTGCTCTTGCTGCGACTATCTACGTGTCTCCGACAGGAAGCAGCAGCGGAACTGGCACACTGACGAGCCCGTATGCATCTATCCAGTCCGCGGTCGACAAGGCCGTAGCAGGGGATATCATCTCCCTTCGTGGTGGCACGTACAAGCCCACTAAGAACATCTCGATCAAGAAGAGTGGAACGCCTGGGGCCTACTACACACTGACCGCATACGGAGATGAGTCGGTAATCATCGACGGCGAAGCGTTGACAGGCACACCGGCTGAAGTTGGTGGATCACTGGACCGGCCCGACCGCGGCGTCCTCCACTTCGAGGGCACCAGCTACTGGAACGTGTCGAAGATCACGCTGATAAACGGTCCCTATGGAGTGTATCTCCAGGACGGTAACAACAACATCTTTGATCGCATCGTCACACATGACAACTATGAGACTGGGTTCCAGATGCAGGGAAGCATCAGCAACAACCAGATCTTGTATCTGGACTCGTACATGAACCGCGATCCACGCAAGAATGGAGAGAGCGCAGATGGCTTCGCGTGCAAGGAAGGGAGCGGCACGGGTAATGTCTTGAAGGGGGCTCGTCTCTGGAACAACGTTGATGACGGTCTTGACCTCTGGTAAGTTTGTCACTTCACTGAGTGTCCCAATCCATGACAGCACGATCCTGTCGTAGACATAAAGAGCCAACGCTAATTAGGAGTACAACAGGGAATTCGCATCTCCAGTCACAATTCAGGACACGATCTCATGGGGCAACGGATTCAACCGGTGGGACTTCAGCCCTTTCGAGGGCGACGGCAACGGGTTCAAGCTGGGCGGCGGTAGCACGACCAAGGCCAACCACGTCGTGACCAACAGTATCGCATTCAGCAACTTCGCCAAGGGCTTCACGGACAACAAGCAGCCGGGCGCCTTCACCTTCACGCGTAACACGGCCTACAAAAATGGCGGCGTCGGCTTCCAGCTGACGGGTGCCACCGATGTTACAGGCACCTTCACGAAGAACGTCGCAGCCCTCAACTCGGGCGGCAGCACCACCCAGGCCGACCAGATCAGCCTCAAGTCCGCCACCTCCAGTGGCAACTCGTGGGACAGCAGCACCAAGTGGACCGACGCCAGCTTCAAGAGCGTGGACGTCACTCTCGTTCAGGGCAAGAGGGGGTCGAATGGAAAGGTCCCAGCCAGCAACTTCTTGCTCCCAGCTTCCGGTGCGGCGATTGGCGCTACAATTGCCTGATCTTGTGGGACGCAATGTTCTCTTTCTTGTCCATAATTCAATCTGCAAATAAAGTCATATAGAGGAGGTCGCTTTAGAATTACATCTCCTGTTCAAGTCGGACAGTTCGAACTACTTGATGCGGAGGCGTGTCTTGTTGTATTCTTTCTCAAAAAGTCTTGCCTCCTATTGCTACCCGAAAAGCACCCTCACTCCCAGAACGCCTATGTTTCCTGTTCGTGAATATGCGCGTGAACGCCCGTCATCTACTTCGCGACTGTAGCATCGAAACGTCAACACATTGCCATTCCCGTACTGTTGTGCTAGATCGAACATACCTTGCCGGAGGAGAAGACCGCGTTGCCTTGATTGCTAAAGCAACATGCAGAATCGCTGCTGAAGCAGCAGCCCTTGGTGCTGGAGAAGCAGCAGCCCTCTGTGTCGCTAAAGCAGCATCCCCCGCGACTGCTGAAGCAGCAGCCACCAGTTGTGCTACAACAGCAACCCGGAACGTTATCGTACTTGGCCCAGGGATCGGGAGAGGTGGCTTCAGCGGACATGGCTGGCTCGCGTGTATAGGCTCCACTAGAAGAGCCGCCTTCGGTCGGGAGGCTGGTGGTATTCTCGATTGAGGGGTGATTCTTTGAAACAAATGGTGATGTTGAACAAGTTGATGTGTACGGTGGTGGTGGTGGTGAATGAAGCCCATGCCCTCGCAAGGGTGCTTCCTGCTGGTTGCTCCTGTGGACAGGGTAGGCAGAGCCTTGCAAGGTTGAAGAGTCGTGCTTCATTGTACCAATGTCCAGCGCGTACAAAGCTGTCTCAGGTCTCTCAGCCTTTCCCAAAAAGAAGAAGAAAGTGCACAAGTGCTGAGTTTCACAAGATGCGGAATACAGAACTTTATTCTGTCTTCGCCATCTCAGTTCGCCAAAGTTGGGGTGCTGCGCTGCTTTATCATAGACTCATTCCTACACATTGAATTTGGCTGAAGTTCAGCTGCTTACGCTTCGCCGAATAGAGCGTAGGGAATAGGTGTGGTGGTGTAAGTTTATCGGTTGAGGCTAGCGGACTAAGCCGCATGTGGCATCGTGTCTCACTGTGGCTCGGGTGGCAGCCAATGCCTCTGGTGGGCGACGCGTGGAATCTCATCGGTGGTGCCATGGAGCTACGCCACAAACCACGCGATTTAGAGCATCCTTCGTCTTGAGACATGTCACAAGGAAATGGTTGCCTCAAGAACTAGGTCCGTTGTTCCGATTGGTTTCAATTTATCCCTATGTGCCCGGCCATGATCCCAGTCCAACTTGCAGCTTGATAGCATGCGACGCGGCAATTATGCGTGTCAAATCTAACACTGAAGCCCCGAGTTACTAGAAAACCGTGGAAAATTTCTGGCCCTCCTCCAAAACGGTAGGAGAATGTCAAATGTCAGAACTCCACTCCATCAATGCAGCCACGGACGAGACTGAACTAGGCAAGGAAAGCAGGCAAGTTGACTCCGTTCTCTGTAGTGACTAGTTGCGTCGTACGAAGCTGCCGAATTAAGAGTCAGTATGCAAATTTTAAAGTGTGATTTCCATGTGCGAAATACTTACGACCTCATGGCAGCCACGCTTGAGTTAGATGAAGGCACTGCCCTCATCGTCGTCCTCCTCCTCCTTGGTCTCCTCCTGCTTCTTGGCAGACTTCTTGGTGGCGGTCTTGGCCTTCTTCGGGGGAGACTCGTCGGTGTCTCCTGCCTCGGCAGCGGAAGCAGCCGACTGCTTGCGCTTGGACGGGGTCTCCTTCTTGGGGGTTGCCTTGGTGACGCCGGCCTCGCCCATGATCTTCTTCTTGACCTGGAAGAAGCAAGCGTAGGCCACGCGGCCGTTCTTCAAATTGGCCATATCGGCCATCATGTTGTAATCGATCTGAATCGTGAGACTGTGATCAATGATCTTGATTCTGGATCCATCATAGTCGTCACGTATGGCGTGACATCGCGAGTGAAGTACACCCGTTGGCTTGCCAGCGGGTGTAGAGTAGAGGAAGTAGGTATTGAGAGGGGGAATGTTAAGGGGAACAGCGTAATGATGGAGGCTTAGGACCACTTTGTGGATCTTGAAGCCAAAGACGTAGAGCCAAGGTAGAAAGATATGACTTACCTTGGGGAAGCCGTTCTTGGCGCTGCGCAGAGCGCAGATGAGGAGCTCCATGTCGCGGCCCGTAAGCTGGGGCATGTTGATCTCGTTCTTATTGTCGGACATGATGGTTGTGACAATATCGATCTGATTGAACTGGTTGAGGATTGATGAGCTGCACGATGCAGAATTGAGCGGCTAGTTGTTGGTTGAGGAAAGGAATCAACTGTGGTTGTGTCGGGAGGAAGGGAAAACAAGGCTGCAGCGGAATCAGTCAGTACGCAGCTTTATACTGGTATTGAGGCAAGAGGCGGGAGCTCCTTCCTAGCCAAATTCAGCCGACAGGCGCTAATTTTGCTACCAGCGTCTACGAGCTCTACAACGGCCTTCATTTCAGGCCGACGAAGTGGAAGAGAGCTGCTCCATCTACCGTCCGCCCACGGCGGCTGTCTTACGGGCAATGAAGCCACAGCAGGGGCTCTCGAGGAAGCTTCAATTGCACAAAAGATTCATTCTGATTACACCATAGACGGTTGTTTTATAGACTGATATCCCGTAAAACTTCTTTCCGTATGACATTATCCTCCTCAATGCTTTTTTATGCTAGGTGATCCTGGAACACATAGCATCATAAGGTGGGAATAACGCATCAATCAGAAATCGACGATCAGAGCTACAAAAATGATTGTTTTCCTAGCTCAGATCAATGATGAACCGCGGTATACTCCATTTCCATCACGACCTTGCATCTGATCTGCTGCTGATGTGCTCCTGCTCCCGAAATTCTCATGCATCTGAATCGTGAAGAGCTCGATGGCAAATACAGAGGACCATATTCGCGCCCTTTTGGCTCGGCCGACACTGCCCATCTGTGTATCTATGCAGCGCGCTCTGCTGGTGCTGATACCCGCTCTTTGTGTTTTCGTTGAGGGTGGAAAAGGTTGTGTGGTGAGTGGGGCTGAGGAGGCAGATTCGATGAATCGGAATTTTTGAGACAGCATTCCACCAAAGTTCATTCACGCGAATATCTCGAATCCTTCTCAATCAAGTCACCAGAACGTCCACAGGCCTCATGGGATGAAGGCTGTGGTAGATGATGGTGAAGTCCCTCATTGAAGTGCCTGTAAATCAAGCACATCTGAACAATGATATGTATACCCTCACATTGGTAAGATTAATCTTCTAATTGGGACGTCGACGGCACTCCAAGACATCGCAAGAGTTAAGAGAATGTTTATGGCCAGCAGTGCCAGCCCTGCAGAAGCTTTGAAGCTTCCAGCACCTTTCCTGAACCGAGCTGCCTGGAGCACGCAGCAGTGACAAAGGCACTCCACCCTAAGAACATTCTGTGCATCAAATACACTGAAAACACTGCTTGATGTCTACTTTCAGGTGTATGCGGTCAGCTGCAGCCGAAGATTAGCCGGTGGAAGTCCTACGTCGTCAATATCGGTGATGTTCAAATAAGCGGTGGTCCGAGCGCCCAACCTTATTCCAGCTCTGACAAATGGCCAGCCCGCCCTTGGAATCACCCACCCCCCATCTGTGCCAGGCCCGTGAAGGGCTTTCAAACATGTCATATGTAGGAAGAAGAGCTATAGTACTGTCTTATGCACAATGAACAGCTGTGAAAAGCAAGGCTTCCGTGCTATGGGGTCTGGCCCAGCTTGATGTTTGGTCCCAGTTTGTTCAGGGAATGGCAGTACGATCCTATGTCCAGGTAAACTGGATCTGCTTTGCATTGAGACAATATTCAAGAGAGAAATCATCACAAAATCTGGACATTCCTTAATGCATCATTCATCAAGGCAAATTCCGTGCTATAGTCAGGTACAGTATACATATGTATAAAGAGCGATAATGTTTATTTGCTAAACTTAGAGTAATAGAAAGGAAATTATCTAAATTTACCTGCTAGCTGGCTAATAAGTAGTAGCTAGCTAGCCTCCTAAAGGTTTTAAAAAGTACCTATAACTAGCTATAGTAATTACCCCCTCTTAAAAAAAAAGTACTAACCTTAGTATAAAAAAAATAAAATAGTATATATAAAACTTAAACCTTTAACTATTTAGGTTTACTTTTAAACTTAAAAGCAATATATTACACTATCCTGCTTTATAACTCAACCCTGTAAAAAAAGTAGGTATTATTTAAATTTAATAGTTTATATACACTTTATTTTACTGCTTAAGCTATTACCAGCCGTTTACTTATATAAATACCCTAAAAACAATAATAAATTATTACGTTTACTTTATAAAAAATTTATTTTAAATATATATTGCTATTTTATAATATAGCTATTATAAATAAGTAATATACTATTAAAATATAAATGCTTTATTTAAAAAGTAATTAAATAATTAATATAACTTATATAATATATACTTAATTAAAATATACTTATTTAATATATATTTACTTCCTTTTTTTAATACCCTTTATTATAAAAAATACTTTTAAATATAAGCTAATAATTTAAATACCTATAAAATAGTAATAATCTTTATTACTTAAACCCTTAATATATAAGCTATACTATAATTAATTTACTATAAAGTTTTACCTTTAAAATAAATATATAAAAAGTACTGCTTAAAAATACTATTATTTAATATTAAACGCTTATAAAAATATATTAATTAATTTAAAGTTTTACTTTAATATACTTTTTTACTTTAAATTTTACTAGCGCTTGCTATAAAGTTTTATTATTATAAATATTCTAAAGCAAAACTATACCTTCCTTAAACAAGCATATATATAACTAAAAGCAATAATAAAAAAAAGAGAAACACTATTAAAAGTAATAACTATAAAAGTAAATTTCCCTTTAACTAATAGCTATATACTTAATATAAACGCTTTAGTATTAGTAATAATAAGTTTACCCTTTTAGTAAATTATTAAAAATAATAAAGTTTACTTTAAAGTTATTATAGTATTAAATTTAATAATAGTATATTTTTTACTAGCCTTTTTTAAAAACGCTTATAAAAATATTTAAATAGTATAATAACTTTTAGCTATATAATATTTAATATAGCTTTTGCTTTTTTTTAAAGCTAATTTATAATATTATTAAAAAGTAGATTAATAATATTAAAAAGGTTTTATTTATTACTATAATACTATTAGTAAGTATAAATAATTTTTTATATATTTTTTAGCTATTACTTTATATACTAAATATTATATTTATAGTTATAGCTAATTTACTTAATAAAGTATTTAAACTAGCTTTTAATATAGTTTTTATTTATATAGTAGGCTATTATATATTAAACCTTTTAATTTTTATTAAAACTATTTTAGCTATTTTTATAATTAATTATTATTAGCTTAAAAAAAGAAATCTTTTAATAAAAAAGGTCTTTTTTTTATAGTATAAAAGATAAATATAATATAAATACTATTAAGTATATTTAAAATTTTAAAGGAAAGTTAAGCTTATAAGCTAAAGGGCTAATTTTATACTTAACTTACTATAATTTATAATACTACTATAAGTATTTATAAAGTAATTTATTAAGCAAATAGTACTTATTATATAGGTAAAAGTATACTTTATTACTTTTTTTAAACTTAACAGTATAATAATACTAATTATAATAATACTTTATTTTAGCTATAATAAAGTTAATAGTTAGTTTAGCATTATACTAAAAATAATTATATAAAAAGTATACTTTTTTAAAAGAAAGTTTACTAACTATTATTAATAATTTAAATAGTTTAAGAATTTTAAATTTAAATAATATTTTATATAATAAGTACTATATTAATATTAAATAGCTATTATTTAAATTTTACTATAAAGCTAAAATAATATTTATTTAAATTTATTTTAAATTAATAAAGTAATAGTATTTAATAGTAATTTTTATAGTTTAATTCTTTTATTTAAATAAACTATTAATTTATAAATAATAAGTAATAAATATAAGGATTTTTAAGTTTAAGCTTATTTATAATTTCTATTAAAAGTTTAAAATAAATTAGTAGTTATAATTATAAATAATACTTTTTAAAATTAATTAATTTATAATTAAAAATATTTTAAATATAACTTTAATCTAGCTTTTAATAGTATAAGTTATATATTTTAAAATAAGCAATATTTATTTAATAAACTTATTAATAATTATTAATAGCTAGTTAAAAGTAGGTTTATTTAATAACACTTATAAAGTTTTCTTTAAAGGCATATTAAAAAGCTTTTAAATAAAGTTTATAATAATTACCTTTATAAAAACATTCTTTATAAAAATAAATTATATATACTTAAAGCACTATTATTAATTTATTTAGTTTAAATAATATATTTAATAATATTCTATATACTTTTTAACCTTTTATATTTTACAGTTAATACTAAAACTATTTAAATTAGCTAATATATAATTATATTTAAAATAATAGTACTTATTATATACTATTTAAAAAACATTTTAAATAAAGTTTTTAAAAATATAAAGCTACTAAGTATTATTAGTATTATTAATATAATAAAAGAGCTTATAATTTAAAATAAATAATAGCTTTTTATAAAAAAGAATATTAGCATTTTTATTATAATTTTACTAAAATTATTTAATAATAAGTTAATACTTAAAGTTTTAATAATAGCTATTTTAAAATTAATTTTACTATTTAAATATTATAAAAGCTTTTACTATAAATCACATATTATTTAAAATAGCTTTTTTAAAGCTTTACTTAGTCTTTTTATTTTTAATATTATAAAGTTAACTTAAAATATTAAAAATAAAGTTAAGCTAGCTTAAAAAGTAATATATATTTAAACTATATTAAAATATATATATAAAAGCATTAATTAAGTAAAAATTTACTTTATTTATAAAAAATATATTAAGTAATATTTAATTAATTATACTCTTTATAGTAAAATAGTTTATTAAAACAATAATTTTTGCTTAAATAAACTATAGTATTACTTTTAAATGCTTTATTACTTATATTAAATATATAACCTTTAATTTTAAAGGTTTATAATACATTTTTATACTTAAAAGTATATAACTAAAGAATATTATTAAAAGTATATTTATTATAGCTATATTTATATTAAGTCTTTAAATAGCATTATTTTAAAGATAAAATAGCATTATACTAAATTTTTACTTTTTAAAGCTATTTATTTATAAAAATAATACTTTATTAGGGTTTTAATACAAAAAAAACTTATTATTATTAATAGTATTTTAAAAAGCTATAAAGCTAGCTTTTTTAATTAATATTAGCTAAAAAGTAGTTATTTAGGTATATACTTAATATTTATTTAATTAACTTAGTATTACTTATTTAGCTTTTTATTTTTTAGCTAATATTACTATTTTTTATATTTAAAGTAAATTAGCTATTTAAGTATAGTATAGGATAAAATATTAAAGAAATTTTATAATATTAAAGTATTGCTTTAAGGTATAAAGAGTTATAAGTATAATAAGGTTTTTTAAAGCATTAATATGCTCTTTAAAAGTAGTTAAGCTAAAAGTATTAACTATAAAACTAAAAAGCTTAATTAATAAATATTTAAAAAATAACTTAGTTAAAAAAATAGTAATATTTTTAAATATAAAAAGCTTAAAAATTTATTTTAAGTGTTTTTTATATTTTTTAATAGTATTAAAATAGATTATAATATTATTAATAAAAGTATAGTAAAAGCTATAAGGTTAAAGCAATTTATTTATAAACCTTTAAATATAAGCTAGAAAGTTGTAAAATTTTATTTATACTATAATAAGTGTTTTAAGTTTTTAGTAACTAATTATAATAAACTAACTTTTATAATTAAGGTATATATAAAACTAGTAAAAAAATTGTATAGTATTAATAACTAAAATATATTTTTTATTTTATAAATAAGCTATAACTTTTAATTAAAAAAAAAAAAAGTAATTATTAAATATTACAATTTTATTTAAGCTTTATAAATTAATAACTACTTATACTTTATTTTTTTTATTAACTTTATATTATATTATAAAGATTAAATAAACAAAAAATATTAGTTTTTTAATAAAGTATAGCTAATTAAGCTTAGTAAGTTAATTATATATTTAGTTTATAGCCTTTTTATTTTAAATATTAAGGTAATAAATATATATATTAAGCTTTTATTTTTACTAATTATTAATAAAAAAAACTTTTATTTATTTTTTTTATAAATATTAATAAATTTAGTATTTTTTTAAAAGCTTAAATATTAAGCTATTAAATTTATTTACTTTTAAAAACAATACTAAACTTATTTAAAATAATAAATATAAACTTTTTTAAAGGTAATATTATAAAAGATTTTATAAAAATATTTAATTTTAAAGGTTTAATAAAAGTTTTAAATATAAAAGTATAGTTTTTTAGTATTAAAAGCTAAAATAAAAGCAAATAAAAGTATAGTAAACTATATAATACTATATACTATATTTAAAAGGGTATATATTTTTTAATAATTATTAAAAGTATTTAGCTATATTATTATTTTCTTAATAATAATATTTTTTTATAGTATTTTAAAAGGTTTTTTTAATACTTTTAAAATAGCTATATTAAATAAAGGCTTAATAAGGTTAAATTCTACTTTTACTAATAGTATACTAGCTTTAATTAAATTTAATATTAGCTAAATTAAAGTTAGTTTATTTAATACTACTATTAAAGCAGTTTTAATTATAAAAGCCTTTATAGTAAATAATATTATTAATAAAAAAAAGGTAAAATTTATACTCTTAGTAATAGTATTTAGCTAAGTATATTTATTAACTTTTATTAGCTTAACTTTTAAATTTTTAAGCAATATAGCTTTTAGAGATTTAGAAAATATAAGCGTGTTTATAGCTAAAAAGTGTATGTTATTAAAAGTAAAGTTATAGTTTTATAATAGTAGCTTATAATTAACTATAACCTAAACTAACTGCTTAAGGAAAATAATTAAGTTATATTTTAACTATACTTTTTTAATATAAAAGTAATTAAATAAATTAATTATAAAAGGTATTTTAAAATTGCTTTAAATTAAAAAGCAAAATAGGTTTATACTATAATTAATTATTACTTTTAAAAGCTTATTTTAATTATTACCTAAAAATATATTAAGCTTAAAGTTGCTATTAATAACTAGTATAATTTTAATATACTTAATTACTGCTAATTTATTATTTTAAATACTAAGTATATAAAAGGTAATCTTAGCAAATTTTTTTATTTATACTAATTTATTTCTAATTCCTTAATATTAATAAAGTTTTTTAATTAGTATATACTTAAAGTTAGTAAAAAACTTTTATTTAATTAAAATCTTTTTAATATTAATATTATTATAAATTATATAGTTTATTTTAGTTAATAACTTTTTAATAATAATTTGCTAATATATAAATTAGTAAAAGTTAAAACTATTATCTAGCTAGTTTAAATTACTATATTTAAATACTTTAAAAAAACCTAACTACTACTATAGCTAAGAAATCTTTTTAAATAAAGGCTATTTAATTTTAAGTATATAATTAGTATAAAAGTAATAATATAAACTATTTTTAAAAGAGAATATTTTATAATAATAGTAGTAAGTTTGTTTAATAGATTTAATAAGTAATATTTAAACTTAAAGTTAAAAATAACTTTTTATTAATAGTAATAATTAATACATTTTCTTATAATACTTTTATTAATTTATAGTTATAAATTAGCTATAATAAATAAAGTAAATTATATTATTATTATAAATATATGCTGCTATATAAGTATTAAAGTTTTTATTAATAGTATATCTTAAATTAATATTCTCTTCCTTTAATAATTTAGTTAGTTTAAATTTAATTGCTTATTTTTTTTCTTTATTAGCTTTATTAGCTTTATAATTGCTATTAAGTTTTTAATTAAAATAAGCTTTACTAATAGCTTTATTACTAACTTTTTAAGCTTAATATTTAGCTAGTAATATTTAAAAGCGTGTATGTTGCTTTTAAGTACTTTGCCCTCTTTAATTTCTATAAATATTTAATCCTTTTTAACTAATACTTGCAAACTATATTAGCTATAATAGTTACTTTTAAATAAAAGATTATTTATAGCTTATACCTTAATAACTAGTATTACTTTACTATTAGCTAAAACCTTTATATTAAGTAATACTTTATAATATAGTAAGTTTAGCTAATAATACTATATATAGTATAGTTATTTAAAAGTATATTAAAAAAACAGAAAATAATATTAATATAGCTAGTTAATTTAATAACTAAAACTTTTTTTACTACTTAGCTTACAGCTAACCTTTAATTAAAAAAACAGTATTTTAATAAACCTAAATATACTTAATATATAAATTAGCTTAATAAAACTATTAAACTAATATTTAAAGGTTTAAATTAAAATTATACTAAATTATTAATAAAGCTATATATAGTAAGTTATAATTATTAAGTTAAAAGAACTTTGCGTTATACTATTAACTCTAAATATATTAAACTAATACTCTATTATTAAAAATAGCTTTTTTAAAAATAAAGAATTTACTAATTATATTATTAACTATATTAATAGGCTATAATTTAAAGTATATTATTAAAGTTTTAAATAATATATTTAGCTTTAAAGTAATTATTAAATATTTTAATTAGAATAGCTTATTTATTTATTAGTAATTAGCTTTATTAATAAAAGCTATTAAAATAATATATTTAATATATTAACTATTATATTAGTAATATAAAAACTTAAAGTAATTAATAAATAAATTTATATTAAAATAAACTATTTTTTTATATAAGATTTATATTAGCTTATTGCTAACTTTAAGCTTTTTTTAGCTAAAATAAGCTAATATTCTTTTTTTTAAGAGTAGTTTATAGTTTTATATAAAATAGCTAAAAGCAGCTAAGTTATTAAAGTTTTAATCTTTTTCTTTAACAACTCATTTTAATAAAGAATATAACTATTTAATTAACTATTTTTATACTTAAACCTATATATATAATATTTATTTTAGGTTTTTTTAAAAATACTATATTAAAATAGCTTTAAAATTATAATAATAAATAAAGTTAAAAGGTTAATAATAAAATATAAGTGCTTACTATATAAAGCTTTTAAATATTTAGTTTAAATTATATAATAATAAACTATTAATTAGCTTAAGGAATATAATAGCTAAAATTTTACTATTTAACTTAAATAGTATTACTTTTAAAAATAAATACTTTTTATAAGCTAGTAGCTTAATATAATAAAAAGAGAATTTTAATTAATTTTAAAGCTATAATTAGAGAGTAGTTTATATTAAAAATAATTATAATATACTTTATTACGCTTAAGCTAACTAAATAGTAGTAATTCTTTTAATAGTTTTAGTTAAATTTTATATTTAAAATAGTAAATAAGTAAAAGTATTTATTATTAGTTATATTAAAATTATTAATTATAGTAGTAATAAAATCTTAAAGCTAAAAGAATTTATAAAATTTTTAAAACTTTAAGTATTTATAACCTAATACTTTTTTTTTATTCTTTATATAAGTATTTTTATTAGCTACTTTTTTTTTAAAAAAAAGCTTAAGCTAATAATTTTTAACTTTATAATTAATTATATTACTAACTTTAATATAATTTATTATAATATATTTATTTATAAAAAGTAATATATATTATATAGGTTATATAATAATAGTTAAGTATAAATAAATTTTTTTTTAGCTTTTATATTTCTTTAATAAGCTATAGTAATATATATATAGTAGTTTAAAGTATAAAAATATAATAAAGTAAATAAATATAGGAAATTATATTTTAAAGTATTATTATAGTTATATTAATTATAATATATATTAGCTATATAGTTTATAATTATATAAATTTAAAGGGTACGCGCTTATTATATTAATACAAAAACACTTAAGTATATCTTTATAAGTTTTAGTAATAAGCAAATAAAAATAATATAGTTAAAAAGTTTAAAATCTAAACCTTTAAATAATATATAGTTATATGTAGTAGCTTTATAGTATATAAATTATAGCTATTAATTGCTATAGTTAGGTATAGTATATATATATGTAAAGAGCGATAATGTTTATTTGCTAAACTTAGAGTGATGGGAAAAAAGTTATCTAAGTTTACTTGCTAGCTGGCTAGCAGGTGGCAGCTAGCTGGCCTCCCAAAGGTCTTGAGAGGTGCCCATGACTGGCCGTAGCATTCCGAAAATACAGATGGCATCAAAAGGTTTCAAATGCACAAAACCCATAAATATCGCGATCCCATATTTTCAGCATTGAGTTTCATACAGATTTCCCAAGAATTTTGCAAAGTGCCCTTGATTCAGTAGTCACTAAAATTCTCAAGGAAAGTCAACATACTGGAGCCATTGCGTGTCCCAGAGCTCATCAATTTGCTACTCTAACCCTGGCCCTTTTCTTTCCCCCGGCCATGATTCCTTGGTTCAACACGGTACTGCCCAGCCCCTAAACGGCACATTATCCCACATTCCTAAGTTCTGGTGAACATGAAACTTATGCCTCCCTTCGCTACCAACATGCCATCAACGCCTGGCATTCAGCTACAAATTGGGCCACCAGACCTGCAATGCGTAGGATCTATTCCGTTCGTTCCCGTTTGCGTCCATGACATTCTTGACTGACAGTACGAGCAGTGCAGTGCTCGATTGAAACGATGCTATGCGACTTCAACCACTCGGTGGATCAGATCAATCTGATACTGGTGTCGAAAGACGTTCACTTCCAGCACCGACATCCACGAAGCTCTCGAGCAAAGTTACCCGTCACGACCCAAGACACGCCTTGGGTTCTCTATGATATCGGATGTTGCCAACAATCATACAATGCCGCTCTCCTTTATTATCTATGTGCCAAGATCCTCTCCATCGGTGGTCTAGAGAACCTGCTCCTGCGCGCAAAGGCCCAACTCCCTGTGTCGCAACATGAGATCTCAACCGCAATGGTGCCATCCTTTGCTTCAGCCTGTCGTAAGACGGGTGACTCGAGGCAGACGGTCGTCTCGAGCTGGCATCTAGGTTGTGTGTCTATCTCACTCATTACAAGAACGTGCCCGGCACGGCTCGCTCAGCGCCTCCGGTCCCCTCTTCAAACTAAATGCAACACACAAATCTCACTGATTCAAGCTGTTTTTGGCCACACATTGAATTATTACGCAGCAACTTTCCGGCGCTCTTCCTCCTGCAACTCACCTTGCTGACCTTGTGTTCTCAGCCGGAAGGATCGTTCGGGTACATATCGGCGCACTTACATCAGGCTTGGCAACTTGACCACCAGAATTTGCTCCACACATCATACTGTCCTAGCACGCCATGTAATGCTACCTGGTTCGGGCTCAAAAGCCGCATGACTGATTGAGTAGTTGAAACCAATACACACAGATCATCAAGACCAAGTCTTGTGTTGGCGCCACTTGGCCAATGTATTTTATGTATGTTTGTATTACTGAACGAAAAAGACTCAAAGAGTCTAAGAAATGATATATTCAGACCTAAACAGAAATCGAACGCCGTTTCAAATGAGCCACTAATCTCAATCTTATGCTGTAAGTGGCTCCTGATCTACACAGTGATATCACAGAACTTGGTAATGTCCACCTCCGGTTCCCGAATCTTGTACAAAGCCTTTTGTCTCCCGTCTGGTTGCATGAATATCCCAGCCGACATGGTCGGTAACAAGCCCTGAGTCTTGGGTAGCTCCCAGTCGTAGTGCAGCAGCAGATAAATAACCAGTAGCTTGATCTCATTGGTCGCGAGAAAACGACCCGGGCAGGCATGCGTTCCGTGGCCGAAGAAGGTAAAGTCCGTCCCGGTTGTTACCGACTGGTATTTGTTCTCAGCATTCGGTTCCTCGCGGGCGCGTAGGAAGCGATACCCGTCGAACTTTTCTGGCTCTGGATAAAGCTCGGGGTTGCCCAGCGGAAGGGGATAAATCATCGTGTAGGCGCCTTTGGGAACCACAGTGCCATCTTGAAATTTCACGTCTTGTTGAGCAAGGCGTGGCATATTTGCTACCGGCCAGTTGGGTTAGCACACCGCTGTCAAGAATGCCAGCGAAGGATTAAAAAAAAAGGTATTGACTTACAGACGGAGGCTGGATTTGTTCTCATGCTCTCCCTCAAGACACTGTCTAACTTCCGCATCTTAAATATCGTCGTCTTGTCAAGCTTGCCTGTCTCCTTCAGGACTGCCACGCATTCGTCACGCAGGTCCTGTATGTATTCGGGGTGGGCCAGCAGGTCTCTCATTAAGCAGATTGTGGTCCGCGTGGTAGTGTGGATGGCCGCCATGGAAAGGGATATTTCAGCAACTGCAATGTCAAATTTAATGTTCTCTTTGCCCTTCATCGAGGCGAGAAACCAGTCAACGCTGTCGAGTACCCTGCGACGTGGGCCACCGTGCTTCCGGAGCTCCTCCATCCGGCGATCGACCTCGGGCCCAATCATTGCGCGGGCTTTGTTGACCTCAGCCCTGATCTTCCGGCATTCAGGCAGGAACCAGTGGGCGATCGGTCGCACGAAGGGAGGCAGGTTGTTCAATCGCTGGCTAGCAATGTTGACGTCTTTCACATACTGTGTGCTGAGGTACTGCCAGTCAGGGTCCTCCATAAACTTGGGTCCGAGAAATAGATTGCTAGTGAGTCGCGAGATGCATTGGAGCAGCATCGACTGCAACTCGATCTCGGACCAGGAGTCCGGGTGGCCGAGGACCTTGTTCAGGGTGTTTGGAAGCTCGGCAGCCATCGGTGCGATGGTGAGGGCTGGGTAGATTCAGATTTGTTAACGAGCGAATGACTTTTGCAGCCTGGGACCAAAGACTCACCAAGTACCTGGGCGAGTTCCTTACGCACAGCATCCTGGAAAATTGAGGCGCTGGTCGCCGTGCCAAACGGTTCAAACCCAGGATAGTTGGCATAAAAGTCCTAATTCGAATCAGCACATCATGAGGCACGAAACAATGCATCACTGCTGGGCTACCTTGTGAACGAAGGAACCAAAATCACAAGCTGGGTTGCTTTTGATTTCGTCGATGTATTTGGGTGATAGCAGCAGTTTCGGCCCAGATTGCGAGAAGTCATCAACGCGGAAAGGTTGGCCCTTGAACTATGAGTAACAATTTGTGGTTAGCAGCAACTTTCAGAGCATCGTTAACTCAATAGAAATGCTGCTGGTCATGATCACTTACTGTGTCGAGTCCTTTGCGCATAACGGATGCTGCACCCCTCATGAATTCCTCCTGAGGCTTCCCATGGTTGGCGATGGGATATTTCCTCAGCCGCCAAGACAGCCAGAGCTTATTAATCCATTCATTGGCTAGCAGCGAAACCAGCAGTATCACAACCGTGAACAAGGCTTTAATGTGCCAATCGGCGGACTTGGCGGTTTCAAACACGTTGGAAGCCATTTTGTGTAAAGTTTGGTTTAGTTGAGTGAAAAAGGGTTCATTGCATTGCAACATCGAGTCTGCAACGACTTGAAATACGGCTGTAAATAGTCATTTGTATAGCAAGACCACTGTCGTTGTTGTGGATCTTTTGCCGAGGGGAAATGCGAATACGAGACCGAAGTACGAGTGCGGTTGTTAGGGTGGTCGGTTTCGCAGAATGAACACCACAAAGCCGGCACTGCCTCAAGCTTCTGTCCGACGCGCGGGGGTCTTTATGAACGAGTAACCCGACCCCGAGCGGTACTTGGATGTGGAATTTCGTAAAATAGCAGATTTCATGGGCACGATACACCTCGAGTTGAACTTTACAAGTGATAGTATCTCTTTTCGCCTAAGATTACCCGTTTCTCTTTGATTATCTGCTTGCCTGTCACTGCTACCATGGCTTCATTCGATTTCCGTTCTTGCAAAGGTCTCGTCTTCGCTATCACTGGCGGTGGTGGAGGCATTGGGGGCGCAACAGCCCTTCGGCTGGCCCAACTGGGGGCTGCAGCTGTCGCTATTGCAGATGTGCATGAGGAGGGAATGGAGGCCAGAAAGAAGGAGATGTAAGACCCTCAGAGATATCGCTGAACCGTAAAGGAGAAAGATACTGACAGCACTCCGACTCATAGCGTGGCAGCCTGTCCCGACTGCAAAGTCATGACTACTAAAGTGGACGTCATAGACCCGAAGCAAGTTGACGATTGGATCTCATCGATCGTAGCTGAATTCGGTCGCCTGGACGGCGCTGCGAACATCGCTGGAGGTGAGAGAAAGGGAAATCGGAAAGCTGAGGACAGAATTATCGAAATTGTAAGGATACGCTGCCAGCGCACCTGGTGCGAGTCGAGGCTGACAGAAACTCACCTATAGGTCGATGAAGATTGGCAGCACGCGATAGACTTGAACTTGCGAGGTACTATGAATTGCCTAAGAGCCCAGCTCAAGGTCATTACACGACCCGGCGGGTCTATTCTTAACTGCAGCTCCGGAGGCGGCTTGGCTGGCCTTCCTCACCATGGTGCCTACGGCGCGTCCAAGTGGGGGATCCGCGGGCTCACGAGGACAGCCGCTGTGGAATACGGGCCTGAGGGAATTCGGGTCAATTGTTTGGTACCGTATGTTCGATCCAGTCCACCAAAACTCGATGTTAGATGAAGTCCTGACAACTATGTGATGTCTCAGCGGGCCTATCGATAGCAGTCCCGTGTTGCATGAACTTGCGGCCAAGGGATTGCTCGATCTGCAGTGGATGGCTGATCATTCAGCCATGAGAAGACTGGGAAAGCCAGACGAGGTCGCAAAAATGGCGGCTTTCCTCCTATCCCCTGATGCTTCATACGTATCGGGTATTGATGCTCCAGTTGACGGTGGCGGCTGCGCAATGGGCGGTTATGGTGACTGGAGCTACAAAAAGGCTGTACAGTCTAAGCAATAATTGAGTCAGGGTGTAAAAGAGATCCGATTGCGTAGTAACCATAGTTCTGGGGTGGACTGACTTGATCGAGATGGATCCTTGTTGGGATGTCCAGGTAGATAGGACGAGCGGGAATAACGAGATACATCGCAATTTCACTCAGGTCTGTGAACGTGCAGTACTTGTAAAGTCCTTGAATCAAGTATGATAGACATTTATGGGGATTTCGCTACTATTTTGTCCGGAACTAGTACTTTATTCTTATTCTGCTCCGAGAAATCAACCACAGACACTCAAACTTGTGCGCTCACTGCGCGGGTAATTTTGATCTGAAGTTCTCATTTACATGTAAAAGCTACCTTAAATCGAAATACCAGCGAAACTCCAACACTGAATACAGACGGAGACCGCTGACTATCCATGACTGCCATTGTCTATCAAGCGATATGCGGATTGGGTGCCAATGGTTACCCGGCATCATGGTGTTCATCCAATATTTGCAACCTAACGTTCTGGCAGCCTAGAAGCTCCGCTTCGGGCCTCCAATGCCAATTGTTAGACCTCTTAGCCACATTTCAGGGGTGAAACGCCACATTAGTGGAGCAAGTTAGAGGAAAAATCGGGGCCTTTACGGGCCATACAAACAAATAGCATAGCATTTCATTATCGTTGTCAAATCTCCCCAACTGTAATTGCTCGGCCACGAAGAAGAAGCCGGAATGCTTAACGCTCCCGAGACTCCTATCTCCGCACTATACGCAGGGCTAAGTTCGCTGCGAAGTGCCTTGCAGCGTTTAGAGAAATTACTGTACCTATGGCATCTCGGTCCGAGGACTTTTGCATGCCCGTCTCGTATTCGCTCTCTCTTCGGTCTCGCGTCCGAAGGCATTTTGAACCCAAATCTTTATGCATTGCGGCAACCATGGGAAGCAGTGTCGCAACGACCTATTCAGCGGCTAAGCCTTTTTTATAAGTTGTAAATAGTTCTAGATGTCTCTATTTTAAAACATGAACGCGGGCCCGGTCAACTCATTCCTTCCCTCTGCGCCACAATACACGACACACAATTCCTACAGCAGAAATTCCACACTTTTCCAAGATGGCGACCCCCACTAAGAAGTACCGTGTTATTCAAGTCGCGACAGGCAATGTCGGTAATGTGTCGCTCCGGGCCATCATCGAGCATCCCCTGCTGGAGCTTGCCGGTGTGCTAGTCTACACTAAGGACAAGGTCGGAAAGGACGCTAGTGAGCTTTGCGAACTGTCTGATCCCAAACCCACTGGCATCAAGGCAACCGACAAATTGGAGGAGATCTTGGCCATCAAGGCCGACGCGGTCGCGTACATGCCCAGACAAACCAACTTCGAGGAACTAAGTAAGATCTTGGGTTCTGGCAAGGATGTAGGGACGACGCGCACTGATCTCCTCAATCCGAATTGGCTGAAGCCGGAACACCGAAGTCTCATCGAGGCAGGCTTGAAGAAAGGAAACACGGCTCTACGATCCATAGGTAGCAGTCCAGGTACGGCCACTGAGTTGCTGCCGCTGGTTCTGCTTTCTTACCAGCGGAAGCTGGACTGCTTGGTCATCAACGAGTATGCGAATTTGTCGAGCCGAACGAATTCAGCCGACATGATCTTCAACCAGATGGGCTATGGCCAGCCGGACTCTGATTTTTCAGAACAGATGTTGAGCAAGGTGGCCGAAGACTTCCAAGGTTCCATCAGAATAACAGCTCAAGGACTCGGGATCGAGCTGGACGAGGTCAAAGTGAGCGGCGAAAAGGCGCTGGCCTTGGAGGACATCAAAATCGCATCTGGCCTGGTTCCCAAAGGCACGGTCGCCGCGCTTCGCATTTCCCATGACGGGATCTACAAGGGAAAGGTCATAATCAAGTACCGTGCTAATTGGTTCGTCACCACCAAGCTGAGCAAGGCCTGGGGCGATGAGTGGGACCTCGACAAGTATCAGTCAGGATTTATCATCAGTTGTAATGGCGATGCGCCCTGGAAGATGCATATTAGCTTCCCAGTTTCGGACGATTACTACCCGAAATTCACCCCTACTCTGGCCGCTTACCCTGTGGTCAATCTTCTTCCTCAACTCTGTGACGGAGAGCGTGGATTCCGCACAACACTCAACTCTCCCGTCCCCACCACTCATTTTGATTTCTAACAGTGGAAATTTAAATCTGAGGCTCTAGCCTAGTAGCAAGGAATAGGCATCGTTGGTTGATACTGTGTAAAGGCTCACATGTATGGATGGAGACATGGCATAAATCAATCAGCGACAGTGGTGTGATTGGAGCACTTAGTTATGTACCAGAAATGGATGACCAAAATTGTGCTTGCAGAGAGCATGAGAAGAATAGTCCGGCAGCCTCCAAGGCATCTGGCCACTCCTTGACATAAGTTCAGGAAAGGACCGAAACGAGAGCACCAACTTGCAATTGGCCGTGCAAGTCTCCAAAAACGTCCACACTAGAGCATACAGCAACACTATACACTATTGGCAGTCCGAAGTCCTGTGCATTCAGTGTCCCATTGGCCACATTCCGCAGCCGTCCATTTAGGAGTCTCGTGGTACACTCGTACATCGGCGGCGAGGTAGTATACCGGCACGGGGTGCTGAGCTTGATCTACAGATGGTCAGTGAATCTAAAATGGAGCAAAACAATAGGAAAAGAATATGGAGCTCAAGGTCAAATTTTATGCAAGTACTAACTGAAGGTTGTGGGCAACAGTGTCTGGGAGTGTCGGTTGTGCCTGCATTTGAAGATGACCAGAATTGCTGAGGGAACTGATACAATGACGCCCAGAATTGCAACGGTCAACTCAGCTGATACAGTCATTGGAACCAGGCCAGAAAAGATATAATGTGAACTTTGTGGAGTGGTGAAGTCAGATTACAAATGAAACAGTCTGAACTGCTGCAGGATTGAGTTCAATTCTTTAAATTTCGAAATATATATGTTGTGACAGAGAACGCCCTGTTACCAAAAGCAGGCGAGAGACATATGTGTTTTCATGCAGAGCCTCGCGCCATCGCAATCCCGATTTTGGTTATATCCAATTGAATTGCTTCTGATGTCTCTGCATGTACCTTTACATTCAGAAGATGGTTCTCACCAATGAGGTACGACCTAAGCTTTCGGCAAGCAGGCCTGGCAACTGGGCTTATCTGCACAGCCTCTTGTGCTTGCATTAGCTTCTCTCGGAACTAAGTGTTGCTTGCATATTCCAGATCTTGGGCAGGCCCAATCAGCGTGGCTCACACGTCACACAGCCAGTGATCTTTCGTTTGTTGCTAAATCCTTTCCAGATTCTGGTCTCGTCGAATCAGAATCCTCTCGTACGGCAAAACTTTATTTGTGTAACCTAGGAAAGATCAGCTTCTGCTTGGATACAAAACGCGGAGAAGACGGAAGAGACGATCTGATTCTTTTCTTCGCGTAACTTTTGATATCGACAGCAGATATCGACTCCATCTTGGAAGCATCTCTACCCTGCATTGATCAGTTCCTTTTATTCGATATAAGCAAGGCAACAACCACAATATCATGCCACCTCGTTCAGCCGCGATAGACTGGGAGGTGCTGAAGCCAAGGGTCCTTAAACTCCTGTCTGAAGGCAAAAGCCAAAGTCAAGTGAGAAAGGAAATATCCAAGGATGGCCCTAGCATCACGTTAGCCTCAAGCCTTTGCATATTACCATATCCAGTGCTGACCCTTTGGTCAGAAAGTCGCAGCTGGAGTATCAACTCAGGCTCTGGGGTCGTCGCACCAATCTCACGGAAGCAGCGTGGAGGTTCGCTGACTACACGATGAAAAAGAGGGCAGAGAACAAGAAAGACAGTTCCCTCTTTCTCAACGGCACCTCCATACCGCGTGCCAAAGTCATCAAGGAAACCAGGCGATACAACGTCCCGACGCTTCTCGCTGCACCTGCTGGCAAGTTTGACTTCAATGTCATCATAGGCAGAACTTCACTATAACGAAAATTGACTAACAAGTCTAATCGTAGCAAGCCCCAAATGTCCAGAAGGCTTCGACCTGGTGATTTGCACCCCACCTGCATCACCAGAGCCTACCTGTGACCTTATACGAGCTTCGACACAGGCGCACAGTTCTTTGCGCTACCCCATGCAGGCGTTATTGTCATTGCCGTGGCTGCGATTCAGGCAAAAATTACTAAGAGGTGCGATAATCGCTTTGTCTCCTCGAATTTTTTTTTTTGAATATTGTAACACGTCAATTTTCAAATCATCTTCCGTCTTTCGCAGGAGTCCAATCTTCAGAATCGAAGTCCAGCCGGATGTTGCAAGGTCAAAGAGACAATTGGGCTGACTGACCCCTCATCCTGCAGACTTCTCATTGACATCTGCTGACTCAAATGTCGATGTCCTGGATGTAACTCAAGCCGGCTATCCGACACAGTCTCAATCAGAGGTCGCCCTGGGTGCCCTGCGTAATGCGCCAGTGTATCGTGGCGGGACAGTTCCGCTCTATAGAGCCAAATTTGAACAGGAGCTCTACAGTCGCTACGTTACAATGCCGGAGTGGCCAGAAGATGTTTGGACTGCCGAAATGCAAGCCGTCACTAAGGAGGCGCTCTATGATGCTCAGCTCTTCAGCATCCTCGTATTCCAGATATCAAACAACCTCATGTATAACGCCATTCATGGCAAATCCAAATTGCGTTCCGACACACGCCTTCTAGGACATGAACTGAAGAGTATCGTCTCATTCAGATCGATTTGGGAGAGTCTCCTTAAAGCAGGAGAAGAAGTGACATTGAGAGCATTGATTGAAAAGCTCTTCAGTTTCTCAATCATCCGCAATGATGCTGACCTGGCGGTCCTGCTGCTTCAGAGTGGGGCAGACCCAAACCAGCGCATTGTGTGCGAGGACAATCCCGAAGGTCTCTCCGCCCTTGACTATGCACTTCGATGGCAACGCGATGGTCTCATCAACCTCCTACTTGACTCGGGCGCCGTCTTTGGCCAGGAGAGCTTGAGGCTTGCCATCATCAACGGACATATCCACACTGCAGATCGCATGCTGCAGTCCGATCCATCTCTTGATTTGGACTTCAATCATCTTGGTGACCCAAACAAATCAAACCGAAGATACCCAGAGGTTGATAGCATAAGTGTATTGGGCACTGTGTGCATCCACCCATCTCTGTGGGACAATTGTCGGTGCAGAAAGACAGCGACGATGAACCATGATGACAACTGTCCAATGAGCAAAAGCATCGGCATTTTGAAATATCTGATACGAAAGGGGGTTACAATAACCCTAGAGACAATGATTCTGGCTTCAAGTTGTGTTGATCTCATCACGCTCGATCTTCTGTTGCAGCATGGTGGGAATGTGAGCGGATTGAATCGTTTCGGCTCCTCATGTCTAGCGGCAGCCTTTCTCAGAGACAAGCTGGATGTCGACATCGTGAAATTACTCATTAGCCGAGGGGCAACCATCAACATCCCTCCAATTCACGCCTCATACGGAATCCAAGAATCGCCTCTGCATTCCTTATGTTCGCGTCCGCCTGGTATGGATGAGAAACAGGTTCGCAGCATTATTGCTTTACTTGTAGATGCAGGTGCCGACCTCGAATATCGTGTCCAACGCTACGCATTTTCGTCGGAACATATTCTTGAAAGTGTTGGATGTTTAGGGGATGGGTTTCTGGAATACTGCGTACCGCATGCACCCGAGTCTGTCCACTCTACACGGGCTCGGATTGCAGAGACCAGTGCAGAGAGTCCGTTGGAATATTCCATAATCGCAAAGAACGAAGAAGTTGCTCTTGAGCTTCTCAATCGAGGTGTCGAGATTACGGGCCAGGAGACCGCATTAGCGGCGGAATTCGGAATGCTTCTCTTGCTGAAAGAATTGCTCAGACATGCCCGGTGGGAGTCTAACATGGAACGACTCAGGACAACTTGTTTGAAACTCGCCATCAAATATGGCCACGATGGGATTGTGCAATTCCTCTTTGGAGAGGGAGTCGAGCTGGAGGAAGACATTGCATGTGCCTTTCAAGGTCGGGGGGCATCAAAGTTGTCGACGCAAACCCAGATCAAACTTCTGCATGCGTTGCCAGATCTGGAACGGTTGCAAGTCTCCGGCCAATCATTGCTGCAATGTTGTCTTCGAGATTTCACTGAAGATGCATTGCGGTATACCCTCAGTCGAATGTCTGCGGCCTATGATTCCGGGGCGCTTTGTGCGGCCATCTTACGCGTGCTGCAGCACGACGCGATGGGCCGAGCTTTTTTAGGTACTCCAGAGATCAAAGCCTTGGCAAGTCGACGCACAGTAATCAATTGCGACTGCGAGAAAGAGAACACGACCTTGCTGATCACCGCAGCATTTGGGCATTCTGTGGTTTTGCGCATGCTTATCACTCCGGGTACACCTCGCCAGGTGAACACTGCGTGGCTCGCGAGGGAAGTCCTGATCACCTGTTTAGAGAGCGGAGGTGTGATCATACCATACCGATGGCCTACGTATACTGAGGTATTTCCAGCAGAGGTAGACATGCACCCGGGCTGCGAAGACTGGGTGAAGTGCTCTCCACTGGTGGGAGTAGCCATGGCAGCGGATGAACAACGTGCTGGGGATATAATGGATTGTTTACTGGCCTGTTCTTACGAGCCCGACGCATTGACGGTTATTGTAGCTGTTGCTGCACACCGCATGGCTTTTCTCCATCGACTACAACAACTCAGCGCGTGGCGCAGCCTTGTGAGCATAGATGATCACTCGCGGCCAGCCTGGTGTCCAACTGCGCTTCAGATGGCCGCCCACAATGGAGATTGGGACGTTGCGATGATGCTTCTAGAGGCCGGTGCCAACGTCAACGAGGAGCCACCGAAGCATACGGACCGCCTGAAGCTTTTGCCGCGAACTGCCTTACAAGCTTCAGTGGACCGAGGGGATCTAAACCTAGTCAACCTTTTCCTAGAGCATGGAGCTTCCATTGACGCACCAGCAGCAAAGAGTAACGGTGCCACCGCTCTCCAGCTTGCTTGTATGCGTGGGTATCTGGGCATTATACACCGCCTTCTGGACCTTGGGGCCGATCCAGATGCTAGAGGAGCACAGTACCACGGCCATACAGCCTTAGAAGCAGCCGCAGAATATGGCCGTGTCGATACGCTTCAGCTATTGCTGAACTACGGCGCAAGCACGGATGGGCCTCACATAACGCAATACATGAAGGCTGTACTGCGCGCCAAGCGGAACGGACACTATGCAGCTGCGGCACTATTGAAGGAGCACAGAGAATGGAGCGCTGAGGACGATGAATGCTACAGGAGCTTAGAATCATATGAGTGGCGTGATGATTGAGGAGAGCAGGGAGGCGTGAATGATTAAGAGAAGATGATCTGCGAGGCCTAGGTTCGACAAGGACTGCAAAGAGATCCAAAATCTCTCACTGCCGCAAAAAGGCAGGATGGCTTATTTTAGAGACGTTCCATACGAAGCATGCGGGTAAGCTGGGGGCTGCCTCTGGGTTGAACGTAAGCTTAGTTCCCTTCTATCTGTACAAATTTATCTCGCTGTCGAGTGGTGTGTAACCTTTCCCCAAGGATTCAAGCTACCTGAGCTAGATGTCTTGTCTTCTCCTCCATCTCATAGCATTCTCTTCCAGCTGTACCTCCAAGTTTGCTCATTTCTATACGAAACTTCAGTTAAGCACATGCACATTATTTTCAGTGGGACCATGCATGGCTGATTCCTGCTGTGAAAGACAAACTGTCGAATGTGTAGTAGGAGTTCAAGGTAACCAGGTTCTATTACTGTGTACTACCCTTCTAACCTTCAGACACGCAGTAGGCCGATCTACATGGCACTGCAAATGCCATATGGAGAAGAGGTGCGGCGTGGTGTCACCACAGGATAACAACATTCTCTCTGAAGGCTGTTTCTGTGTAACAGGTTCCACAGGTCAGGATGGGAAACTTGATGACCTGCAGTGGCCTCAGATTCATTTCGCATTTCCCTGGTGATTGGTGACGGAGCAGACGGATCGGAAGGTCGGATTGGTTGGGACTTGAAGACTCGAGAAGCAGAGTGACCGATGGATTGGTTGTCATTATCATTATGTCATTTGAAGGATCGGGCCCGCTCACAAGTCCGGGGTAAAAGGCGGGACTAGCGCGCCCCACTTCCCCAAGCCCCCCAAGCCCCCATGCAGCTTTGCCGGGTGCGGGAGTGCGGGACTGGGGTGGACTGGGGTGCACGGGGGGAAGGGGGGCTGAGGAGCCGGTCGACGGGCGTCAGTCAATCTGACCTCCTTCATTTCTCTCTCTCCCTCTTCCATGCCGCTTACCTGCGTATTAGACTTTCCATGCAGGGAATGCAAACACCTTGGGTATGCTTACAATGTCAGGTCAACTCAATTCAGGTCGCAAAGCCCTCTCGAGACGAACAGGTGGGCAGACATGAACTCATGGAGCAGAGCAACCAGACCCAGTCTCGATGTCGACGACATTTTACCCCTCGGCACTTGGTGGACTTGGTGGACTTGGCGAACATGGCCTCGTGCCCAGCGATGCCCAGCCGCCCAAAGGCGCCCCCCACTGCTTCTGGGAAAGCTTTGCCGAGTCCCGCTAAGCCTTTTCTCCCGGTCTTGGTGTCTTGTTCTCATCGCCTAGGGTCTGGCGGATGTTGACCAGGGGCACCAGGGAGTGGATATGAGGGCTTTTCGAACCAACTGTGCCGTTGCTAACCAACCTGTCCCAGCCGGGGGTCAACGCGGACGTGGACACGGAAAAGGACGCAGACGTGGACATGGGCATCTGGCGAAGAAATGAGCGGTTCTGTTGCCCTGCCCACGCAATCCCACCCTGCAAATCCTCCGCATTGCGTGCCGGCGTCGCCATGTCTGATTCCGGGTGCAACGCCGTGGAACTCTATCTCGTTACTGCGGATCTTGCGTCCTGCCCACTCGCTTAAGCCGTCCATTTCCCTCTGTTGTCTCTGTTGGACAGGCATTTGCTGGTCCGAAAGAGCCTCGTAAACACCTTGACCGATAGAGAGACAGAAGAAGAAAAAGAGAGAGAGGCGATGTCCCTTACTCTCTGGCATGATATAGTTCGAATTTGGGTTCACATTCGAGACGCTGCTGTCTGCAAGCAGCTTGTTATTTAGCCCTGATATCCTTTGTTGACCCAACCTGATTTCTATTCTTAATTCCTTGCATTGCGTTGCTTTTTCCTCCCCTATCATACCCCACCTGTCTTCATCGTCGGTCTTCATCCTCTCTCTTCATCGTCTCATCGCTCCGCATCAAGCCTAGATGATCAGCGATCACACGGCTTCAGCCTCTTTGGCCTCTTCCAGCTCTTGGCCTGCCTCCTCACTCGCCAGTATCATTGACACATGAAAACCCCAAAACGTCACACCTTCCGCAACCCCCGTCACCCCCGGCTCTCACTCGACTACGCCCTGCACCGTCGCTGGCAGCATCAATCGCCAATTGGACGATAAGTCGTTTTCGCTAGCAACTTGGCAGACCATACATCCCCAGCTTCCAGAAATATTCGATCCGTTTCATCCTGCTCGTGACCGGCCAGTCGACTCCAGTGCGGCGGGACCACCACCCAGGCAAAACGCGGCTAGCTTCGTGCCTGAGCCTGCGGTTGCATTGAGGACCAGCACGCACGCACACACACATACATACTATAGGACACATACATACACAGTCGCAGCGCGCTTCCTTTCCCTGCTCAAGGCCGTGCTCAGCCGCTCTCCAATCTCGACCCCTCACCTGCAGCTGTCACGAAATTCATTTGTTCCTCTTGCTTGCCACAACTTTTCTTTACCGAGCTCAGTGACCAGTGAATGTAGCTGTTAAGCATCTTACATACACCTTCACTTCAGAATTGTAGACACCAACACACACTCAGACACACGAGAATCACTACATTTACTGGTCATACCACCCCAAAGCTGATCGTCACCATGTCAACCGAAGAAAAGGGCTTAACGCCCGCCCAACCTGCCATCTCAAAGTCAGAAGGCGACGTCTTGCCTCCGAGCTACGACGGCCGTGATGGCTCGCCCACCTCGCCACATCACAAAAATGTCGCCGAGGAGATCGCCTCGGAGCCCCTGATGACCCGTCTGGGGCTGACCTTCGACAGCTTCAAGCCCCGTGCCTACGGCCGGGGCATTGTCGAGCTCGACCGCTCCATGAAGACGCGCCACTTGCACATGATTGCCATCGGGGGCTCCATTGGTGCTGGTTTCTTCGTCGGGTCTGGCAGCGCCTTGTCTAATGGAGGGCCTGGCTCCCTGTTGATCGATTTCCTCATCATCGGTGTCATGATGTTCAACGTTGTATATGCATTGGGCGAGATGGCTGTCATGTATCCTGTCTCTGGTGGTTTCTATACCTATTCCACGAGGTTCATCGACCCCAGTTGGGGCTTTGCCATGGTGAGGATCCCTGAGCCTGAGCTAATTTCCTGACAACAACCTTTGGACTAACATACACTTTAGGGCTGGAACTACGTCTTCCAATGGGCCGTCGTCCTTCCCCTCGAACTTACAGTCTGCGGTCTGACCGTCCAATACTGGAATCCAAACATCTCAGTGGCAGTCTGGATCTCGGTCTTCCTCGTCTTCATCGTCATGGTCAACGTCTTCGGCACTCTCGGCTACGCCGAGGAAGAGTTCTGGTCCAGCTGCCTGAAGCTGGCCGCCACCGTCATCTTCATGCTCATCGCCCTGGTCTGCGTCCTGGGCGGCGGGCCCTCCTCCGGCAACTACAGCGAGTACTGGGGGGCCCGCCTGTGGTACGACCCGGGCGCCTTCAAGAACGGCTTCCGCGGCTTCTGCTCCGTCTTCGTCACCGCCGCCTTCGCCTTCAGCGGCACCGAGCTCGTTGGCCTCGCCGCCGCCGAGTCCGAGAACCCCGTCAAGAGCTTGCCCGGCGCCATCAAGCAGGTCTTCTGGCGTATCACCCTCTTCTATATCCTGGGCTTGTTCTTCGTCGGCCTGCTCATCGACTCGAATGACGAGAGCCTGCTCGGCGCGAACCCTTATGCTGACGTCAACGCGTCGCCTTTTGTCCTGGTTGGCAAGTATGCCGGCCTCAAGGGCTTTGACTCGTTTATGAATGTCATTATTCTCGTCTCAGTGGTATCCATTGGCGTGTCTGGTGTATATGGTGGCAGCCGCACGCTCACTGCGCTTGCGCAGCAGGGCTATGCTCCGAAGGTGTTTACTTGTATGCATATGCCCCCCTTCCCCCTTTCAAAATACAATACCCCGACGCAAAACCCTGGGGAACGCTGTTGCCAGCCTGTGCTACACCTACTGACACGTGACGACAGACATCGACCGCTCAGGCCGCCCCCTCTGGAGCGTCAGCATCATCCTGCTCTTCGGCTGCCTCGCATACGTAAACCTCAACGCCAAGGGCCCCGTCGTCTTCGACTGGCTGCTCGCGCTGTCCGGGCTGGCGGCGCTCTTCACCTGGGGCAGCATCTGCCTCGCGCACATCCGCTTCCGCCGCGCCTGGGCCTTCCACGGCCACACCACCGAGGAGATCCCCTTCAAGGCCATCGGCGGCGTGTACGGGAGCTGGATCGGCCTAGGGCTGGTCGTCCTCGTGCTGATTGCTCAGGTGTGTACCTACCTCACTGCCAACAATCCCGGGGCCATTGCTATTCCCCCAAAAACCTCCAATGAGCTCTCTCCGATCCATCTAACTAACCCGTCACGTAAAATCAGCTCTTCGTCGCCATCTGCCCGCCGAGCGGCGGCTTCAACGACGCCGCGGGCTTCTTCAAGTCGTACCTCGCCTTCCCCGTCGTCATCGTCTTCTGGCTCGTCGGCTTCGGCTGGAAGCGCAAGGGCTGGCTGCGCACGCGCGACATCGACGTCGACACCGGCCGCCGCGAGCTCGACTGGGACGCCATCAACGCCTACCGCGCCGAGCTGGCCGCCATGTCGCCGTGGAGGCGGACCCTCAACATAGTGTTTGTCTGATTCGTCTTTTCTCGGGCCAGCCGTTGGGGCATCTCGGAGGAGATGGATGGGGCTGGACCGGCACAGTGAGACCTCTGGGAAGCGGGTTGTAAGTCAACGGGAGGTAATGAGTGGTGAGCGGGCTGTTTGGAGAGGCTCGCCTCGCGGCTAGTGTTAGGACCTCACGGCCAGACCTAGGTAGGCCTATAGCGTTTGAGGGATTCTTCTTGTGGATATCTATGCTCGTATACAATCGAGACAAAATCAAAGAGCCAAGTCTTTGAAGTGACGTGTTCAGACTCTATTCTGTGTCTGCTCTTCTCTTATCCAATCTTGTACATATAGAGATCAAAGCTGTCCGTGTGTGCATCCTGTTGCGGGCCAGTCACTGCCACCTGTCCTACTTGCCCTTGTCGCTCCCCACCGTCGGCCTATTCTGCGTCAAGCTGGGGCACCGGACAGGTGGACACAAATCGGGAACGGCAGACGCGCAAGGACAGGGCATTTAGTGGAAGCCATACAGAATACTGTAGCCTGCAAGAGACAGCGGTGCTAGAAGTGAGGATCCTCTCACCTGTCCGCCCGGCCTTCTTCGGTATGCAGAGCATGAATGCTCGACTGGCTGGGCCCTCACCACAGAAGTACAGTACGATACGTTACTAATATCAGGTCACTGTAGGCAGATGTATATAGACTAACTCTATCAGTGAAAGCGTAAGAAATCCTGTCACGGTCACAAAGCACGTCAGAGGTCATCAAATGTTTACTTGAATAATTGGAATAATTTTAAATTTGGTGTCTGTCATTGACGCTTTAAGTCATCGCGTTCGTCTTCATGCCTGCCTGCCCGTTTCCCCCTCAACCACACATCCCGCGAGCGCAGTCGGCCCCGTGAGCATCTCGCTGGCTGACTGTCTGGCTGGGTGGTGGTGAGCCGTGTGCCGGTATCGACCTGAACACATCGGTGAAGGTAGAGGGGTATCTTGGGGCTGTGACTGTTGATCTGCTGTGCTGTGCTGTGCTCCCTATTTGTCCGCCTGCCTGGTCGTGGACATATCCCGCACGATTGAAATAAGGTATAATATCGTGGGTGTTTGCTGGTGCGGTCTATGCCGCCCGCGTCCAGGCTATTCCTTCCCACCCGGGTATTCCCATCGAGCCCCTTCTTTTCCCGTATCCAAATGCGCGCGCGCATGCCGGTTTCCTCCATTTCCCTCCTCAAATATTATGCCAGCTAACTCATGCGCATCTTTCACGCAGCATTGATTTCCCACCGCGTTCCTCCTCCCCTAGGCAGCAGCAGTGACAGCAGCGGCAATGCAACCAACCTAACCCCACTCATGATTTTCAACAAGAATTGGAAAAGCAAAACAGGAAAAGCACCAGAAACTCCAGATGATGATGATGTTATGATGATGGTAGCGATGTCGATGAAGATGCTCAAGTTTCCGGTTGTTCCACGATATATTCCATCGGAACTGTTGTCTCTCCGATAGGGGCAGTGGAAGTACACGAATTTTGTTTTCCCCCCTCCGACCGTCATCCCTTGGCAACCCTTGATAGTACACGGCGAGGCGACGCAGTAGCGCATTAACTCAGAACGGAAAGCAACAGCAATAAAGTTCTCGATGGATTTGAGGCGTCGGGTCAAGTCGCTCGGGTTTGCACTCGTCCAGGTAGAGTTCAGAATCCAAGATACAGATTCGAAGCGGTTCGTGGGTTTAACATGTAGCATAGTGTGGGCAACTCCAAGTCAAAAAGCGCGAGCTGGTTGAGTTTTAAGGCCGATCGATGTTGGGTCGTGTGTCCGCAAGGACAAGTGTATTTCTTGGGTGTGAGATAGAAGTCGTCCAATCGTATGGCATAATGTGCATCGGAGGCCTTGACAGGCTGTTGATGCAAATGATTCGTGCTGTTCTTTTCCCCAGGACCAAAAATTTCAAAAGCGAAAAAACCAAGAAACGAGTAATTTTTGGGTATCAAAATAAAAGGACCAATAACAATAAAGCCAAAGAAGCGTGCGCGTGCAAAGGTAGGCAAATGATGGCGGTCGTCGGTTTCAGGTGGTTTCGTGATGGTAGTTACGGTAAAGAGTATTTTAAGAGGAGTCATTGGTGAGCGCGCTGTTCATAGTCTTTGAGTTGGACGTCCCAATCTTCCTCCAGGTGAACATGCCCTGCGCATTCACACCACCGGGGCCCTCCACTGGAGTCCGCGGGATCTGGTTCTCCCTCGGCTCCAGCAAGAGACTCTTGCGGTAGTAACTGACCTGGACGTTGCTCTTCGGGTCCGAGTCATGGACGCGTTCCAGCTCGGATTGGAGCCACTCCTGCATGTCGGGCAGCTCGGTGAGCCGGTAGGGGATCTGGAATCGCTGGAGGTCGCCGATGATCTTGGCCGTGCGCGTGTGCTTGTCGAAGTTGACAACAGTCATGTCGTTGCCGTCCTCGCCCTGCAGTTGCTTCGTAGCTGGGTTGCCAATGTCAACGAAGGTCAGGTCGGTCAGGAACATGCCCTGGAAGGGAAGGCAAGGTGGGACATGGTCGGCGAGGCGCGCGCGGAGCGCCTTGTGGTTCTGGGCTGGCTCAACGATAGCCTGGAGAGCCTTGAGCATCTCGCGCCGCTTGGGTGACACAATGTCCCACGTCTTGCGCAGGCGTGTGATAGTTGAGCTGTTCAGGCTGCAGATGATGGCCATTAGCGCGTCATAGTTGTTGAGCTCGAGACACTGGTGGGCAATCTTGATCCACTGCTTGATAACAGCGGCTCTCTTCTTGACCTCGTTGTAGTGCAGAACGTTCTCAGCGACTAGGTTGGACAGCTCAGTAGACAGGGCAGTAAGAGCCTTGACGTTGGGTGAACCCACGCCACCCTTCTTCATCCATTGAGATCCGAGTAGCTCCTCCGGCAGGATAGAGCAGAAGATGCCCATTTGCTTAACTGTGATCTGGCGAGCAATCTCCAGAGGATCGAAATCCAGAATCGTTGGGCAGCTTCCGCCAGCCTTCCAGGCGACCAGGGTATGCGCTTGGCTCTTGGTGAGTGCTGGTGCCGGCATCGGCGTGTCCACTGCTATGTACTGCGAAACGGCGGCGTTGTTCTTGCCCATGGACGAGACGAAGCGAGGTACAAGGGTTGTATCTGTAGAAGAGACACGTTGCACAAGGTCGAGGAGGCGCTTGCTAGCTGAAGGCAAGGCCGAGTGAAGCCTAGACTCAGCGAAGAGCTTAATCAGCTCCAGTGCCTTGTGGTCCGTCTCGTCTCGCCAATGTGACTCCATCCAACCCTTCAAGACGTTGTACACCCTCAAGCGGACCGGCCCAGACATATGCGGCGAGTCACCGACGTACTCGAAACGGTCAATCAGAGCCTCGGCGAGTTTCGTCGGGGTACAGAAGAGTCTGAATGTCAGGAAGAAGGTCGAGACAAACAATGCGTCAGGTGTGGATACGTGGGTGGTCAAACGCTCCACTAAGGCCGGCAGGGAGCCACCGACAACCAGACCTTCCTTGTTAAACATGAGCTCATGCGCATAGGTCTTCTCCAGGAGCCTTGACTCCACCTCTTCGACCTCCTCGCCATTATTGCTGGTGGTGCTCAGTTCAGAGATCGATGGTTGAAGCTTGGGTCCGAGATGCTGGTCTGGTGTGGTGGCGCGGGTGGATGTCTGAGACAGGAGGCTTGATTCAGAGCCTCTGTTGAGGTAAGCACTGCTGTTTGCAGAGCTGGTGGCATTCAGGCTTTCGCGCTGGTAGGAGGATCGCCCCTCGCTTTCGGGGTTGGCGGAGTTGGTCGGGCTATAGTCTTCGGGCGCGAAGGATGTCGACAGCTTAGGTAGTGGCGGAAGGCTGGGGCGGATTGAGGAGACTGATGTTGCGCTGTCGGAGGTATTACCATCGGAGAAGAGGAGTGATTCCCGCCGAGGTGGGAGTGGCATGACAAGAGGCTCGGTGTCATCACTGTCGGGGTATGCTGAATACGGGACTTGTGGCAGGGGCTTGTCCTTCGGCAAGGGCTTGTGGATTGAGGCGGGGATGGAGACAATGCTTCCAGACCTTTCACGCTCTTCTCCGACGATGTCCAGAGCCCCAAGATCCAGGTCAAGTCCCATAGTACCATCTTCCAGCTCGAACTCAAAGTCGCCTATCCTCTCAATGACCCATTTCGTCTTGGCGACACACTCGCCGGTGGCCCTGACGCAGCCGGTCGCAGCAGACAAGAGTCTGCTGTTGTCCTCGGTCATGATGATTTCGGCCAGCTCGGGGCCATTGTCTTGGTGCAAAATATCGCGGGCGGCGTGCACGAGATCTAAAACGCGGTCGTACATGGCAGCTCGGGGTTGTTCTAATAGCTCCTTGGTTAGAGAACTGTGGGCGCACACAACGTCGACAACCACCAGGAGCTCTCCGCCGGAGGTAGCCGACTGCTTGATGGCCAGTGCGAGGTGTGGTCGCGACTGTGACTGGAGGTGCAATCGGCCGATGAATGAGCCAAGGTGCGAGAGGAAAGTGTCATGGCTGGCGGTGAGACGCTCCGAGACAAGGTGCTGCGGCCTTGATAGCGGCGAGGGGCCAGCGAGAGAGACCCGGTGAGCAATACTGGACGACAGGCGGCTAAAGTTGACAGCCCTCTGGCTGTTCTGAGACAGCCGTGCACCTGTGCCAGCGGAGCGTCCGGTTGACAAACGGTCGCTGGCGGGACTGCCTATTTGTGTTTCCTCACTAGCTCCGGCTGTGGGTGACTCGGGAGCCAATCCGCTGTCGCCCGCACGGGAACCTGCATCATGGGACTTGATTGTACTCCGGTCGTCGTCAAAACTTGTCGCGTCTGCGGGTGGCGTCGGCGGGACGTAGTTTTCCTCCATTACCGTCGGCATCAAGGTCACGGCCGGTGCCCGTGATTGCCTGTCCTCTTCCAGGATGTCGAGGAATCGGACGCCCTTGGTGACAATCTTGAAGGCCTTTAGTATCATCTCATCGACGGTGTCGTTGACAGCGTCGGTGGGGCTGGATATCTTCTGCTGCTCCTGTAAGCGCTTAGCTGTCTTGACCAGGGCTGATAGTTCGGAAAGTAGCGATTTCCTGCCCCTGCGCAGCCCATCGTGGCGTTGCACGACCGATGATTCGCGGGTCAAACAATGTGTCCGTTCCTGTGTAACATTGATTAGCAGCGGCGTAACAAATAGTGCGAACCGTTGCACAACTGGGGATGTGCGCCACGTCGACATACCAAAAGATAGCGCACGCCGGCAATGATGCCCTTCATGAACTCCTGGTTGCCAAAGATCTCGCTGTCGTTGACGGCTGTGCTGCGGCACAAGTCCCAGAAGTTGAGGAGGGCCTTGAGCAGATTCCGCATCTCGTCGGGGTCGTAGGCGTAGCAGTAGTTGGTGGGCAGCCATCCTCGCGCGCCCGACACCAGTAATGTGCCGTCGGCCCAGCCATTTGTGTGTATAGAATGCACCAGGACGATGTCGCCCTCGTTTAGCGGTAATGTGACGGCGGAGTCGGTCATGGCATAGCTGGGATGGAAGGGGTAGAATGCTCGCAGGAAGTTGTGGAAGACGGGCGGTGGGTTCGAAGGCGAGTTGAGGTCCTCCTGCGACCCCTCGGGGGTGGCCGGGGGAGTCATCTCTGATCGTTGGTAAGGATTGGTGGAAGAAGAGGCGTCGGTTGTCGATGCATCGCCAGTCGAGCCGGACCTGGATTTCTGGATTGTGAGGGGCGCCACCTGCAAACTCGACCGGAAAGGTTGTTCGCTCAGCATAACCATGGCGGGTGGAATTCACGAGTGGAGAGTCATGGGAGCTGTGGTTTTGTTTTGAGCCGCTGTCGTGTTGTCCGTGTCGTGTCGGGTCGTGGGTGGTATTGTGGACCCGGAGCCCAAACCCAAGGTTCTTTTTCCCTCGGTTCGCTGGGAAAGCACGAGCACCGTGTATTTATTTGTTGGCGGCGAGTGGTCCCTGGTTTCAACTTTGCCAAAATCCCCAAGAAAGATCGTCCAGCCCTGTTCTTGAATTTGCCCCGTACTGCGCCCTGAGGGTGGGAACAATGCCGGAGTAATTAGAGCCTGGGCTGAGGTTTGTGGTTCCAATTGGAACTGGTTCGACCCTTTCGTATGTGTCCTGGCCGATGCTCTCGTGACAGATAGACAAGCTGGTGAGGTGAGGTCCGGATTCTCCAATTTCCGTTCCTCGTCGTACCGTACCCAATCAATATATCACCACCAGTTCACTGTCGGAGTGAGAGTGGGTGTGTGTTGACGTGTGGTGTGTACGTATGTGTGCTGTATGTTGTGTTGAGGTGTTTGCGAGTGATGGAGCAATAACACACAACACAAACTTCAGTCTCGACGGTAGATCGTGTCGGGATCGAGAGACTGTTGTTTTTCTTTGACTGACTGTCCGTCTGGTGCAGTAGCAAAAGGGAGCAAAGCAGAGACGCGGAGCGTTCTGGAATGTTGTAGCAGGAGGAGGGAGAGGATCTGTGTGGGTGTTGTATGGGTATGGGCAACTTGGGTGTTTTGCTCTGCCCGTGCCCGTGGGCAAGGACAGTAGGAGGAGAAGCAGGGTAGGGTGGCCCATGGTCGGGTCTGGCAAGGGTATGGGCAGGGTATCTGAGTACCCGGGAGAGGTACAAGTTACAGTCGCACGCATGCAACGGCTGATGGACGATCAGGTAGCAATACCAACGCGCACAAGCACCCACACACACCAGGCTGGGTAGGGTACATTGAGAGAGGGAAAGCAGATTGGGGACCTGGACTTGGACCTTGGAATGACGGATTGCTGGTCCGTCTGCTACACAGTGCACTGTGCGCAGTCGAGCTTTGCCCCCTGTGCAGGGCTCATCCTGAACAGGCGGCGCTACTGTATCCTCGTCCAAGAGCGCGGCAGGGGTAAGGCCAGTGCAGGTTGCAGATGCAAGGGCAGCCAGACCTGGACTGGTGGTGCTTTGCTCTCTCTTCTCTCTGTCTGCTCTCTGTTCTGCTCTGCTCTACTTGCTCTCTTTGCTTGCAGTGGGCTGGACTGGAGACTGGGACTGAGGTCACCCACCACACGGACCCTCCATTGGGGTACGTACCCCTCCTCCCTCATTCTGTTTTGGAGACACTCACACACTGAGAGAGAAGAAGGTACGTACAGTACGGAGGTACAAGCCTTCTTCCACGCCTGCACTCACCCGAGTCTCCTTCCCCTGCTCTCTCTCTCTCTCTGTGTGTGTGGTGTGTGTGTCCCTCCTTCTTCCCTCCCCGAGGCCTCTGCTCTGCATCTCGTTCGGGTCGGTCAATGTGATGCGATCTGCATGAACTGCCCACGGTGCCTCCATTACAGGGTCAGTAGACTGTCCATCTGTCTGACTGCTTGACTATTTGCTTGTCTGCGTTTCTATCAGTCTGTCTGTCTGTCTGTCTCTCTGCAATTGGGTCTGCCAGACTCGGACACCTCCTGTCTTGTCTTGTCCTGTCCTGTGGTCCAGTGGCTGGCTACGTTTCATCGCCGCGACAACCACTTACCAAACAATGACAGGCAACAAACTGCAAAGGGAGTAGGTAGACTGTAGTGCCATGCCGTACTGTACAGGTGGTCGAGTATCACCAAAGCGCGGAAGAGGCCCGAGGGGACGTAGCCCAACAACAATAAAACAACATCCGTCTCTCCATCGCGGTCCGACTACATGCTGTACACAGAAGGAAAGAAAAGGTGGGTTGCGAGGTCACACACATTCCAAGGCCAAAAAGGCAAAAAAGCTTATCGGACGGAGATGGATGGCGGTGGAGGCGGATTTCCATGTTTTGTAGATTGGATTGCTCAGCATCTGGAAATTACACGTCTACGCCCACCAAGCCCACAACCACATCCCGCAAGCAACAACCACCTTGCCAACCCCGACCCTCATCTCCCTCTGTTTCCGGTTGACGACTGCCCAATAATAATTAATAATGGCTGACGAGGCACAGTGAGAGATGGAAAATAAGAGACGGCGTCCAGGAACTCTGCAGTATAATTCACGATCCCATGCAACATCCCAAGAAAAAGAGAGCATAGCATAACAGTTAGGTTGCCTCTCCTTGCCCCTAGGCCAAGAACAGCCCGTCAGTCCGTCAGTCCGTCCGGCCTCATGGCGCAAGCAGAGGAAAAAAAAAGGGGCACGGAGAAGGATTCAAGATGCGGCCAATGCGCAAGGCCGACCCGTGTGTCTCCATTCATTGCTTCTCGAGCCAATTCTCCTGCTTCTGGCTTCGTTCGCTCGCTCGCCCGAGTGAGTCGACTTGTTATTAGCTGTGTACGGACTGACGGTATCAAGCAAGCCCTGCTGCAACCTCGGAAGTCGAATTGCCCACCTCACGCCCCTCCACCCCCCTCCCCCCTTCATCAAGAGTGAGAGATCCCGTACACGGTCGCAGAGATCACACACCCTCAAACTCCCATTCTGTCTTGGATATCGACGTAGTACATGCACACACACATTCATAGATAGAATGCATATTCGCACACACGCGCCCCCACCCGATGCTGCTAGACCTGCGCAGCGTCTTTGGCGCAGCTTATTCTCGTCGAGGCCCTGTCCATGTCCACCCTGGGGCGGGTGCGTGGGTTGCGTGGGTGGGTGCACAAAACCGCTGCAGAGTCCCATCTCGCCCAGGGTTATGCAGGGGTTCAACATTTGAATTGCGGTTTTGCCATGCTCCGGCCCACCAAAACTCACCCGTCGCTCCACCGTGGCCCAAGCAAGCGCTGTCATGGAGAACGAGTGATACAGTGTACAGTGGGAAATCCAGAGACGTCAGCAGTTCAATTAGTGTTTTCCTGTCAGTTCGGTCTACCTGCATCCTCGGCACGAGATGAACGAACGGTAGAGTTGCAACGGACAATCATGATGCGCTTGATCAGACTAGCTTGGGCCGTTACATCGAACATGAACACCTCTATCACACACTCTCTCTGTATCTCCCCATCCGAGCTTGGGGCGGATGGAAAAACGTTTTGTCCTCGGAGATCTGCATTCACGCCTGCCGATCCTATCCTCGGGAGATTCTGTTACAATTGAGAAAGCACAAGCACTTTTTGCACACGCCCTCGGGCAGGCAGGCAGGCAGGCAGACAGACAGGAGACCAAGCAGGCAGATATGTCCGATAACAAAGACGGGCAAGATTTGCCCTGCCCCCCTCCTCTCCCCTCCTCAGACGAGCAGACGGGACGGCCCAGGAACCTTTACCAAGAGCAGAGCCGAGACCCTTTCCTTCTCGTTCATGCGTTACTCGGAACGAGGCTCGCCCCGCAAGGGATGGGCCAGCTAGGTGACTGATGGACAGGAGAGAGAGACAGAGAGAGAGAGAGGCACAGAGGGGTGGTAGGAAGGTAGCTAGCGAGGGATGGGGGATGGGAGTGAGCAAATGCGCTGCAGCCACCCATGCCGTTTCGCGCCTAGCGCAGCAGCGATGCACGGGGGCTGCATCGCAAGCCATACATCCTGTCACTCACATCGCATCGCATCGCATCGCGTCGAACCGTCCCTGACGCCGACGACAAGAGGATGGCCGGTGAGGGACGAGCTGACGTCGTGGGGCAACTGCCTGCGAGCTACAGCAGCTAGCTCGCAGGAGAGGGTAAGGAAAGCAACTGGGCCGTGGCGACGCCATCGCCACAGAATGGCACAGGCACTGTGGTCGACTGGCAAGGGGGCAGAATGATCCCCCGGAACCGTCAATCAATCAATCAATCCATCCCCTCCCGAGGCTGGGTTTGGGGGCCCCCCCCTCATCAATTGTCCCAGGCCTCTGAGACGCCTGGTAAGCAAGTGTAGTCTAAACGGGCGCCGGCCTCGGTCTCCCTTGGGCGGACGATCCTGTTGGGTGGAGGGAAAGGAAGGGGCCTGGCTTTCTTCCTTAGCCTGATGGGTTAGTTCTGGTGGGGATCCCACGAGTCACGGCAGTTCGCAGCCGAGGGGGAAGGATTGGGCCCAGAGTCACGAGTTGACCACATGTTATTTATTGCCACTGATGGGGAGGGAGATGTCCCGTCCCGCTAGACGCTATCAATAGCAAAGACTGCTAGACCATATACGGCCGTACTGCTGAAGAGGAGGGCATGGTTGGTGACGAGATGATGAGATGCTAACTATTAGACGCTTGAAAGGGGGGCGCGGAGAATCAATCGCGACTCGCTTGATTTGGGCATCAGTCAAGATGCATTCCTCCACGAACACAACGCCTAGGAAGAAATGACCTCCCTCCTTCCTCCCGCCCGTCCGCCCCAAGCCAAACTCACCGTCGGCCCTCCGATAGGGTCGGCATCCTCCTTCCTGCCAACGGGCAACCCCCAAACACGCCCGGCTCGTCTCGTCTGAACTCGTACCGTCATCGTGACTCGTAGATCCCCCGAAACAAGAAGCCCAGCTGGGCTGAGAGGGCGGGCGGGCGCACGAAAAAGAAAAGAATTCCACATTGAACCATTGGGCGGTGCGCTTGGGGGCCCTGCTCAGAATTGATACACTCGCCCAGCTGTCGCGGCCTTGGCGGGCACGCGGGAAACGCGGGCTCCCCGTTTTTTTCCTTCTCGTTCGCCTTTTTTGGCCCTCGCGGCTCAGCGTGCTTTCTGGTTTAGCAGGGGGGCGAAGAGCGAAGGGGGGAGGCCGAGGCGAGGCGAGACGCCAGGCGCCCAGGCGCCTGTTTGGCGCGAGGCTGTGGGCTATACGAGGTAGCAGCCAGCCCTTGGGATTGGAGAGAAGGCGCTAGGCGGCGCGCGCGACTCGAAATCTTGTTGGCTCCC